CAGATTCCCTTGTCAATTGTGTAGAGGGTCTCTCTTCAATAACATCATCATCCGGTATCTGTGGTTTCACCTCATTATCTTCCATCCATGTCGGGAACACGGGAGATGAAAGAGTGTCATCAATAGCCATAGCAACTGAATACCCTCGTCCTTTCTTGACATAAATGCCATTTCGACGTAGGAAGTCTCGCAACTCTCGAATAATAAATTTCTCAAGTTTTGCATAGGTATCTCGTGTCCATCTATCGAAGTCTTCCGCTAGGTATTCCCACAATTCTTTGGGTTGAAGTTGATGTTCTCGGTAGTAGTACATCGTCCAAATAGCAGCGTCATTAAGTTCTCTGACTGACGTAGAACTTATATCGACTGTAGGTGGCGTGTGTTCTCGCCAATCTTCTGAAATCCATTGTGAATACCTTTCCAATCCAGCAGGTATCTTCAGTGGTGTTGGGGTGTCGGAGAGGGGAGGTTCGTCAGGGGGGGGTGAGGAGGTTGGCATCGAGCCTGCCATGCGCTCCATAATTTCCTGGTGATCCGATCCAAGATCTTTAGGGAGGCGATCAAGCAGTCCCTTCTAATCTCAATCTTCACAGAAATTGTTTTCTCGTGATGGACGATGGAAGATCGTGCATCGAAGAAGGGGCGGGCAAACGCAGCAACTTCGAAGCAATTTCTTCGGGTAAGCACAGGAAAAATTGATCCTGTCTCTTCTTGCCCTTCCTGTCTGTGGTTGTAGAGCAACCACTGATCAGTGTTGGTTCAAGGCTTAATAACACGTGTTATCGAAAGGTGAGAGGTTGTGGTAAAAGTTCGTTGTTCTCTTCTAGTTCCATGGTCGGAACTGCTCTAGTTAAATACAGCGAATACATCCTGTATTCACTTCCTTTTCCTATGTCATCCACTTCCAGTGACTTAACTGTTCCTTCACTCATCCGGTAAAGTGACATACGTCCAATGTCACAATAGTCACAACAATACCTTTTGGGTCAACATGGTCTATGCTCTGCCATTCAAATAGAACTTCGCCAGTATCAATATCGACCTCTATTAGAAAGTGTGTTAGTAAAAGTATCTGAGTGTCGCCAGCCCAACGTACCTTGAAATCCACTGGATTGGATCCAATTTTGCCCATCGTTGCCTCCCCAAGGTCTCAATGAGAGCGATTTCAGAACAGCAATCTCGATCAAAGCCGTCTTTCCGTCAACAATGGTGAATTCATGCAGCGATGGAAGCTTATCCGACTGTGCTTGGACTTCCTTCGTAACTCGATAATCATTTCCAAGTAAGTTGTGACGGCCATACGAACGGCCGGGCGTATTTGACAGGGTACTCTGAAATGCACGCAAGTACACCTCACCATTCCACACATCAGGGCGGAAATTGCCTACGAATCCAGAGTAATGGCCAAGGCTAGACCAGACTAGCTCGCCATCATCTTGGAATATGTACGCCGCCTCTTGCACAGCACCGGCACCACCATTACCAAATCCGTAGTAAGGAGCAACAAAAAGAAGACCCTTTTCAGTACCATTGCCGGCCGGCACAGTGATGTTGAGCTTTGGAACGACGAGTTCTGGGCGGGAGACAAATTGAGCCCAGGTGAGGGGCAACGATGCAACACCGCCAAGAAGGAGGATAAGCTTCGAAATACTATACATGGCTAAATTGAACAATATAACTCTGTATGATAAATTTAAATCTAATCATCATAATGGTGACTATTGCTGGGTATATATCATGGGTATACGACTAAGTGGCGGCTGGCTCCTCGTATGACGCCATAATGTCGAATTTTTGCGTTGTCGTACGTTTAACTCCTAGAAATAAAACGGTTAAAATGACTAGTGATATTCAGTTGCCATGAAATGACCGATCAGGTTGTCAATTGTCACGTAAAATGACCAGTAAGGGTTATCTTTGAGGGTCATCGCATACATGTTAAACGCGTATAATTCTATGACGTTGTATAAACTTTATAGACTACTATTGGATAAGAACATAGATAAAAGTGATGGGAGCGTAGCCATAGATAGACCAAAAGCTTTATCGGGTCAGAATACATATAACCAACGTCGTTCAGTAGAGGGAACTCACTGTAGGTAACCTTTAAGGCGTCCACGAATGAACCGATGACAGTACTCGAAACGCTGCTCGGTAACTTGTGAATAGCTCCAATGTCATTCGTAACATTCCGTATAATCTGTCCTCATGTTAGATTTAACAAGGCATTTTTTGCAATCCTCACCCAGCTTACCTCTGCGGCTTCTGGCCCGGTAAGCCTGCTCTCAAGATGTCTCCGAAAGAAGAGTTGCGTTATCCTATCGCTGCCGCCAACCCCTACAGCAGTTCCAAGACTCGATACCAAAAAGAACATGCCTGTTGCCATACTGATGTCGTTTGGGCCCAGGAAGGCTGCCATTGCCACAAAGCTAGCCGACTGAACCACGCCAGTGGCAAACCCACCTGGCATGATGTACAGCGACTCCAACAGAGACGTGTTGCCATTCCAGCGGAAGAGGAGAAGCAAAAAGCCCGTTGCTCCGACAAAGCTGGTAGAGACAAGGAGCTTCTTATACCGTCCAGTCTTGCGGATTACCAAGCCGGCCAGCAAAGAGCCGACGGTGTTCGCAGCCACAGCAGGAACAAGGTGAGCTCCAGCTGTAGCAGCAGGTGCATTTTGCGTGGCCTGAAAGTACAAAGGCACTGAATACATAAGAGATAGCTGTGCGACGCTTTGGAAGTGAGAAATCAGATACGAAAGTGACACATTCTCCTTTGACAGGATGGCCAAGTCGAAAATGGGGCGCTTCGTTCCGTAGAGCTCATATAAAACAAAGGCCGGTAAGCCTATCGCTAGAGTAATTGAATTAATCAAGAATGGGGTGCCGTTTCCATTTGTGCCGGGCTGGTTAATGAGCAGTAGTGTCGTAGTAATGGAGACGGAAAGGAGAAGAGCGCCAATGCCGTCTATGGCTCGGAGCTTGCTCCAGGTACTCTTAACTGAGTTGTCCTGCGAGTTTTTATCTCGGGGTGATTCATTATCGAGCATGACGACAAGAAGCAGGAATGAGATGCCGAAAAGAGGAATACGTCCCCAAAACACCCACTGCCACCCGAAGGCGTCCATGACAAACCCACCAACCGGGCCACCCAGGCTCCTACCAAGTGTAGCTGCGGTGTTAATGTAGGACCTGTATTGGGCAATCTCTCGCTTGGGAACGGAATCGGCAACGACAATGGCGGATATAATCATGATACCTGCGCCGCCAACGCCAGTTACAACCCGCCCGAGAATGATTTGCCAGAGAGCTTTGCTAGCCGCGCTCAGTGCACAACCAACGATAGCCATACCATACGACCAAAGAAGTACCGACTTGCGGCCAAAAATGTCGCTCAGCTTTGCACAAAGCGGCTGCGCAACGCTGCTCCCAAGAGTGTAGGCCATGACAAGCCAACCCGCCATCTTCAAGTCGCCTAGCCTGGAGGCAATCGTGGAACCAACAGCGAACATGATTGTCGCCTCGGAGTGAGACAGGCATTCCCCTAAGAGGTTAGCATCAAAAATTGACATTGTAGGATCGACTTACCTAGCAGCAGTAGAAGGATAACGTATCTCAACTTGGGAGGGCGAGACACCCGCTGAGCCTCTACATTGTTTCCGTCAACGAGAAGAGGAGCATCCTCGCTTGCTTCTCCAGAAGCCATTTCTAATTGGATGTCTACCAGTCCAATTCTATGTTTTGTGGTTGATATTCGTGCGCTGGTAGTTGGGTGAGACCCAACCGTACTGGTTTCGAGAAAAAAAAAGCCAACCAGTACAACGGTCGAAGTGTGGACCTAAACGTTGCGTACAACATTTTTAATACAAATACACTCATGTATACTATGACTCGGGAATAGCGTTGCGGGACTGGCGATTCCGGCCACATAATCACGTCATTCCACGCTCCCAAACGCCATTGTTTATCTCGCTCGCCGTAATTTATTCAATTGGACGCCACAAAAGCCTTGAAAATCCGTGAATGAACAAGCAAACCTTTTGATATTCCTCAGCAGCAATTCTTGTAGCTTAGATTGTTGCATTCATAGAAGCCCTGCCACGTGGGACTTATCCCAATTAGGATACTGCCTGTGTTCCGTGTCTTACCTCTCGAAGCACGCGTCGTTGATCATTGGCTGCATTAAAGACGACCATTGAAAGTAGTCCTTTAGACTGTGTTTCTTTTGGTTATGTAACGAAATAGAACAAAAGAAAGCCCTCTAAAATTTCGCCCTTGGCGTTGGCCTGTACTTGTTGCTGTACCACAAGGGTGCGAGATCAGCAAGTGTTGTATGTATTTTATCTCTTAGCGAGTTGTTTTTGAAAAAGAGAATTTATATACATATGCTTTTTAGTATCCATCAATGACCGTATAGGTCGTAATGGGAATCTCAAAGGACCAGCCGTGCATGTTGCGTTGTTATACTGGTCGCGCGTACAATGCATCGTGAAGTTGCCCTCAGCAGTGTAAGCCAGTCTACTTCCATTGGTGCACTTGGGGGCACATCCGTAGTTTAAATCTCTTCTAAAAGTGGCCTCGTATGTGTCGCTGTTAGAAGAGCCCCAGAACCAGGAGCCATACCCCAAGCCCCTCGAGTAGGATCGGCACGCGGTGAGACCCTCACCAGGTGCATCATTGTTGTGGTAGCCGCCGCTGATATTCTGCGTGCACGTCTAGCCGTCTTGATACGTAAAGGGCAACGACTCAGCTGGACCATGGCCCCAGGGTGGAGGAGTCTGCGGGATGTCCCACTCGGCGCAGACGTACGCCCACAAGCCATGCTTGCTTTCAATGCAATCGTTGTGAGAGCTGGGTTCTAGCCAGGGATTGGCTAGAGTTCCGTTCCAGCAATAGTAGCCGCGCGTGTATCGGTGTGAACCGAAGCAGCGAAGGCTAAATGAGCTATTAAACCAGCGGAAGTCGGTGATGACGGGATTGGGCAGCTGGCATTCCTTCGGTAGCTCAATGGCAGCCGCAGGCAGCGCCGTTGTGAGAAGGACGCTCGCAAGAGCAATAGAGGAGACCATTTTGTGAGGAATTGATATGGCTTCCATAATTAATTTTCTTTCCTTACAATGCAGCCAGTCCTCGTCGCAACCTTGCTCGCTAGCACGGCCATGGGTGCTGCCACTCTTCAAGAACTTTCTCGCTGTGGCACAACTGGAATCACCAACGCTCAACGTGCAAACCACGAGACTGCAGCGTCTGCAGAAGCTGCTGCTGCATCCGCCGGTCTTACCACCAGAGCGAACCTCATTATCAATACATACATCCACATTGTTGCCTCTACCGGCGCCAAGGCCAAGGCTGTCGCTGTAAGTATACCGACAACATCTTGCGCTTGAATATTGCTAACTCAGCTCGCTGCAGGACAAAACCGTGGCAAACCAAATGAGCGTGCTAAACGGCAACTATGCCCCCAGCGGTATATCATTTAGACTCCAGAAAACCACTAGAACTGCCAATTCGAACTGGGACGTCGACGGCGACACGCGCACAATGAAGAAGGCCCTGCACAGTGGCCAATACATTGACCTGAACTTGTACTTCCTTGAAAAAGTCGGCACAAACTATGGCTACTGTACGTTCCCTCAGGGCAATGTCGCGGCCGGTGACGGAATCTGGACCGTAGATGAATGCTTGATCCGCGCCGACACGATGCCTGGTAACGCGGGCCCATATGGCGAAGGCAAGGCGGCAGCCCACGAGGTTGGCCACTGGTTTGGCCTCTTTCACACCTTCCAAGACGGCTGTTATGGAGGCGATGAGGTCGCCGATACTCCTGCGCAGGCTACCTCGACCCATGGATGCCCTGTTGGCAAGGATACATGCCCCAGTCTGCCTGGACTGGATCCCATTCACAACTACATGGACTACAGCTATGACTCGTACTATGAGGAGTTCACCAACGGCCAGCAAGAGCGGATGCACAGCATGTTTAACATGCTTCGAAAGGGTGTTTGAGTTGGGGGCTTAAGTAGGCAGTCATGAATATGACGGTATTATATTTGCCAGGTGATCTGGTAGAATAGTTACTACTATACGCTGTATATAGCTGACTAGGAACAAGAAGTAAGACACTCTACATACGACGCCCACAATAAGGACCACGCGCTATGCTATGCAATAGGTACATTAGACAATTTAGCACAGTGTTTTTAGTTAGTATGAAGGGACAATCCAGTTGATGAAAAGCGTGACACAGCCATCAAGAGCGGGGGACCGCATGCCGCTTGAGACCCAAGTAGCGCCCAACCTGGCAAATCGATGCATGGTCAGCATCCTCTCTACACCAACTTTCATAAACACAAAAACAACGACGGTTTTACTTTCAGCCATGGCGACGTGCTCTTATTGTAAGGGTACTGGTTATAGTAGCAAGGGGTTTATCTGCGGTGGATGCAAAGGAAACGGAGAAGTTTGAGGTGATTTTCACTCCGTCACTTGTTAGTGATCTATCGTGGCTGAACAAAGCCTGCATCGCCCTTCATTACTAACTTTTGAAAGTGCTTTCCCTAGTATCAATACCCTTTATTGCCAAGTTATATTGGTGTAATGCTCCCAGTTTGTTACATGTGCTTTCAAGATGCCCTTCATCTATGCATACACAGCCGAGCGAAGGGAAAAAAGACAATAAAATATCAGCTCAGTAGTTGTACCTACCACACCAGAAAGTGACAATAGCGGACCGGCCCTAAGCAAACTCTGCCGCCAATCCCGCACCATCTCTTCTGCACGCTTCCCGGAAAGAAGGTAGGCCGGCCGACGTGGATGCCCAGCCTTGGGATAAAGTAAAACCCTGCAGAAGCTGACAGCCTTCTTTTGCGATGAAAATCCCATCTACCCGCTTACTCCGAACCCGCTTTGTTCGGCTACGGTCCCCTTACGGATACTGCGGCGCCGTGGCGCTTCTTAGGCTAAACCCAGCATATCATCAATTACCACCGCCAAGGCAATCTTTTTCTCCTGTCTGCAGGCGGAGTAAGCCCAGGCTCGGTGGGTGCGCATCGCGCCATAAAACCCCCGAACGGCAGATGAAAGGCAGATGAAAAAAAAAGGGTAGATCACGGCTCCTGTCAACACAACCCGCGTGAGATCCAGCACCAAGCCCCCCCTCTCTCTCGCTCCCCCGTCCGCTCCTTCAGACGATTACTTGTTTTGTTTTTACTGAAGGTAAGGTAGTAGCATTGTCACGCTGGGGAAGGACAGCGCTAGTTGAAGTAGATAGCGCCTCGTCTATACGAAACGCTATTGAATGTATTTGCCCAGTTTGGTGGCACAAAAACGGTAGAGGCAACTAGAGAGCGTCTGTGCAACACAACCTCGGGCCTAGCGCAGCGGCAAAAAAGAATTTCAATACTCTGTAACAAGAATAGGGGTGGGTTGCGGTGGAGTTGGCAGCAAAGCACATCATCCGGATTCTCCTTCATCGCCACCACACAACTTTAAAAAATGCTAATGTTAATCTTCTTTATTGTATTTGCTTTTCAGGCACCCCTCCATCACATAGTTTTGTGGAAAGAAATGGAAGGAAAACGCCCAGGCACCGTAAAAAACAAACCGAAGGCGGTACGCAAGCCGCCCCAAGGCGCCGCAACCCATTTTCCCAAAGTAGCACTCAATGCTAAGCTGAACGGCTAAAGGGGCGCACCAACACCCAAATGGGCTTGGCGTCAACTGTCACTTCATTTTACTTCTTTCCTTTCCTGGTCTGACGGGGGCCTAGACCAAGCCCCCAGATCGTCAAAGCTTCCCGTAGACTTTCGGCGGCTCAACCCGCGCGAGCGCAAGAGCGAGTAATTTTTAGCGCGTATGGAGTAGTAGTAGTATATCTCTCAGCTGCGTGCGCTTCTTTCATTCATCCATTTCCTTTTAGCCAGCGCCTTCCGAGCAATTGTGGTGGTTCAGCTTGCATCCTGCATTGCATTTACCCTCGTTGTTTGGGCTCCGACTTTCGTTTATACATCACCATCTTTCTCGCTCGTTTTTTTCTGTCCACCAGCATTCTCTCGTTTATTCTTCAAGTCTCTCGTTGTAGTTGTTCGTTGTTAGCAAGCAGCATTCCTTCACAATGCGTGTCAGCACCAACCTCGTGGCCACTGCTGCCCTCGCTTTGCCTGGGCTCAGCGCAGCCGCCAATTCGGCTTCGTCTACTGTTCTTCTCATTGCCCGTGATGCCTACGATGTGACTGGCATCAGCCCGGGCCTTGACGCCTACGGAATCCCTTGGACATCCGCCCTAATCCCTCAAACAGGCACTGATCTTCCCGTGCTCAACTCGACCGCCACCCACGCCAACTACGGCTCCATCATCCTCGTCGGCAGCATCTCATACGACTACAATGGCACGTACAAGAGCGCCTTGACTGACGCCCAGTGGGACCAGATCTTTGCGTACCAGGCAAACTTCAACATCCGTATGGTCCGTATCAACGAGTACCCCGGCCCCAAGTTCGGCACTACACCATTTGATCCCAATGCGCCGGGATGTTGCGACAACAGCGTCGTTGCCGGCATCAGCTTGACCGACAACTCGCTCTTCCCCAGCGCTGGTCTCAAGGTCAACCAGCCCGTCAACCTCGTCGGCCTCTACCACTACCCCAGCAACATCACCAACACCAACACCACCACCGCTTTTGCCATGTTTGAGCCCGCTGGTCCCTTCCAACAGAGAACCGTTGCTGCCGTCATCAACCGCGTCAATGGCCGCGAGGAGATGGTCTGGTTCACGTCGTGGGCCTCGCAGTTCTCCCTGGCGTCCAGCTTCCTCCAACACTCTTACATCCACTGGATGACCCGCGGTCTCTTTGTCGGCAAGCGCAAGCTTTATCTCAGCCCCCAGGTCGACGATTTGCAGCTCAACACCGACATGTACTACCCGGCCAACAAGACTTACAAGCTAACCACTCAGGATTTGGACGGCATTGTTACCTGGCAGGCGGGTATCAACACGCGGCTGAACAACGGCTCGTCGCTTCGTCTTGAATTCGGCCACAACGGAAACGGAAACATTGAGACAGCGACCAACCTGGACCAATCCGAAGGTATCTGCGTACCCGACTATGCAGTCGAGTACGGCGAGATCCCCGACACCGCTCTCGAGTTCATGAAGCCTCTCGGTACTGGCGTTGATATCTGGCCCGCTGAGTTTGTTACCTATGGATGGTCCGAGAACTGCTCGCGTCTCGACTCCTTTGCCAACTGGTTCCGTGATACCAACAACCTCAACGCCTTTGGCCACATCTCTCACACCTTCACCCACGAGGAGCTCAACAACGCGACATACCACGATGCTACACGCGAGATTCAGTTCAACCAGGCGTGGCTGAAGCAGATGGGCATCGACAAGGCCAAGTACTTTACAGCAGACGGCATCATCCCTCCTGCCATTACCGGCCTTCACAACGGAGATGCTATCCGTGCCTGGACCGACAACGGTATCAAGTATGTGGTTGGTGATAACACGCGCCCTGTGCTCCGCAATGCGCAGAATGTTCACTGGCCGCTCGCTTCCACCGTCGCTTCCAACGGTGCTACTGGCATCTGGATCATCCCGCGATATGCTACTACCATCTACTACAACTGTGATACTACCGACTGTCTGCTTCGCGAGTGGTACGTTCTCACCCAGCGCACTAGCGGCACCTTCCAGGATCTTTTGGATGATGCAAAGTCCACCAACGTCCAGTACCTCCTCAACTTGCAGGCCGATCCCTACATGTTCCACCAGGCTAACCTTGCCAACGTGAATGCACCCACTATTACCGTGGGTAGCCAGACGGGCAAGTTCTCTCTGATCCAGAGCTGGCTGGAGACAGTCACCCAGGAGCTCACTCGTCTTACTACCTGGCCTATTGTGTCTCTCACGCACGATCAGTTTGCCAACTACTTCATTGACCGCATGACACGCGATGCCTGCCAGCCCACCGCCCAGTATGGCTACTCGGACGATGGAAAGACGATTGTCTCTGTTACTGTCAGCACCAACGGCAACACTTGCTCTGTGCCCGTGGCCGTGTCTATCCCGACCGGTACGGTAACTGGCGCCGGCTTCAGCGTCGAGAATGTTGGTAGCGAGCCTCCTATCGTCTGGGTGCAGATGCAGGGCTCGCCTGTCACATTGACACTGTGCAACCCTGTCACTCTGTAAATAGACGATGGCAAGAATGAATTTTTTTGTGTATAGAATTTAATATATAAATATCCACATATAAATATCCCATAGCCATAAAAGGGTATATGCGCACCTGTTCATTGCCCCAAGTTCTGTAGTGTTTTGTGCTAGGGCCATACATCGCACCATCATCGTCTTCAGTAACAACCTTTCGCTCAGCCTCTTCGATCCGTGATACCGGTCGGCTTCTTTTTGTCTCAAGGGTTAGTGACATCCCCGGCGGTGTCTCGGCCTGTTTGCTGACCCCCACCACGCCAGACGAGGCTTCACACTACGGCGACCAACCAGCACACGACCTGTCATCCAAGCCCAGCAAGCCACTGGTGGGATCGGGTGGTGATATTTCCGGCGGGGAGAGGGCGTCATAGGCGACGATGCCCGCCAAGACAAAGAAGCTTTACTATTATACCCGCGAATATCGCCAGCATAGTCTCTTTGGGGCGCAAAGTTTAGCCCAAGCAAGTAGCGAACAAGACAAACGCTATACTCCCATTACCTAGTCCAACGTATCAGCCTCTCAACTAACAGACTGGCAAAACCAGTTGGAGCCAATCTGCGGGGTAAAGGCGGGGGATGAGAGACGTCGGGGAAAGTACGCCGAACTAATGCAAGCCTCTTTGTGTCTGTCTGTTTGTTCTTGTAAGTACGACGTAGTTGATCTGCTAGGATACCTTTTACTACACAGATTTACGTCCGCAAGCTGGGAGCGCTTAATTCCTATGTGGGACGTAGTAAGTTGTTCAAGCGCACGCCAATGTGGTTGGTGCAGGGTATGTCGCGAGACTGAAAGGGATAGCCGCTGAAAACGAGTCAAAACATGGGGAGTGACTTGTTTTGCTTCTTCTTTTTTAATAAGATCCTTTAGAATTCAAATTTCGCTTTTTTTTTAACTTTACTACGGAACCATAAACATACTAAATCTGTCTTGAGGCTATGTTATCTGGTGAAGGCGGGTTACAGAGTGGGCAACTGAGAGTTCGGAAGTGGCTTTCGCATTGAATTATATTCTAAGCTTATTAAAATATCCTAAAAGTATATCTGGTATAAATATTCACTTTATTTTTATTTATTCATTATATTTTTTACTTATTTCTGTACGCTGTCTATATAGCCTTGCACTATTACTTTACAGTTATGACCCGCGATGGATCTGAGCAGAAAACAACAGCTTTCCAATAAAGCTCCCCACATAGAGCGTCACGTTGCAATAACCGCAATAATCTACAGTCATCGGCCGCAGTCTGTTCATCCAAGAACGCGTTGATTCTCATCGTACACTGCAGTCCAAAACAAGATCGGCTTGTGATACGATCGGATAACATACGCATCGTGCAAAAGTCTCCGACTCAGAGACGACAAGGCTGCGCATCAAAGGCGACAGTCGACTCACTCCCCATCACGACAATCCTCTTCTCGCCCCCTCCTCATCACCTTTACTCATCAATTACATGCTCAGATAGTCGAAGAAATGCATCTTAATGCAAAATTCACCAGCCTGGCTACCATTGGCCTTGCTCTAGCAGGCGATGCTCAATTTGCGCCAAACAGGTTGAATGCCGAGAAGAATGCGTACGCCATCTTCAATTCTATCCATTCTGCGGGTCGCCAATGGGGATCAGGCATCTACCATAACGGTTTCGCCTTGATTCCTGCTGTCGTGCCTCGCGGCTCACTCTTCTACCACGGGTCAACCTCCAAAGACGTCCCAGAAGGCTCTGAATGGTTGGCATTCGAGCCTGAAGCTGCTGAAGGCTTCGCTGGCGATTGGCCTGGATCGCCAAATAATCACAATCGTCCACAGAACTTCTCCCCAGTCAACCAAGAGAACACATCACCTTCAGATGTGCGACGCTATGTGCACACATACAGAAACAATCGCGACCTGAAGCTGCTGCTCATCGACGGCATGTCTGCCGGTAAGACGAATTACGGAACGCTCGACACGCAGGACTTGGTGCTTTTGGAAGGAAAGAATCTCTACCCCTCGCCGTTTGATGACCCCAGACGTGGTCAGGACCTGTGTAAAGTTGTCCAGCCGTGGGGCTACGACGGCTTGATCCGATCAGAGATTGGCTTTGAGATTATCCACTGCAACTTTACCGACAACCTGTATCAGATGAAGGTCAAGAGCACGCTGCACGAAGAAGAAAAGATTGGCGACTACTCGATGTACTGGTATCAGTGGATTCGCGCTGCTGGTCTACGCTACGATGGACTCGGCGCCCGAGTTAAGCTCGACTTCTCCTCTATGGTTTCCGGGTTGTGGTATCCCGTCAACATGACAAATCCGGATCCGTTACATCCTGAATTTAAGAGACTTGCTGCTACCCCGATAGATAAGCTACGTATTATGAAGGACCGCGTACAGGAAATCGCCAAGGCCGACTACCAGACCTTCCTCATCGACTGGAGATACATTGTTGACAGCATTGTCGAAAGATTCTCTGATAGACTGGCCAACATGGCTCACAAGGATGTGAGTGATGTAGCATTTATTAATGAAATCCAAGCTACAGCCTTGAGCCACGTTGATGCCGTGGGCTATCTCGACTCGCAGGACAGAGAGGCCGTTCTCAAGCAGTCGATCAAGGACTGCATGGACCACTACCTGTACCCGGCTCTTCCTTTTTCCAAGCGCTGGAACCAGGCAGATCACATGCTCTACCACAGCGTCATCACTGTCATGAACGCCACTTGCACCACGTTTATTCAGGGTTGGTCTGACCTCCGCGAAGCATCTGGTCCAGATGGCCTTAGAATCCGATACCTCAGCAACAGCAAAGAGCAGCGGATTACCCTCAACAAGGCTAAAACTCAAGTGAAGCAGTTAACTGCTAGCTTGGGCTGGACGACTTGGCTCAAGCCTCGTCCTTGCCCCGTCGATGAGGTGAACTTGGTGGTTATGTGGCCGTACGGTAATAAGGAAGACCACTCTAACCCTGGATGCCGTAAGATATCAGAGCTTGACATGGATAGATCAGATTACTGGAACTTTAGTATACCAGTCGATGTCGGAGAGAAGCCGCCTGTTGCTGACTTGGAATTCGAGGAGCTATGATAACTATGCAGGCTTCTTCGTTGGGCTGTTGCTGTTGGTAGCATTTGCAACAACTTTGATAGCATGGTCCACCTTGGATAGAACTCCCTAGAAGATATTAACACAAAGCTTATATATATTCGTACAATATATAGCTTACAGGGAGAGTTTTAACGAGCTCAGGCTTACCCTGCGCTATAAATGTGACAGCTTTGTTAGTAATGCTAGTCGCAGCATCCATGTCTTGCAGTGTCTGTTGCACATTGAGCGCCTTTGCCCCCGTTGCAAGGGACAGCATTATAACCGAGGCACTAGAGATAAAATGCATGGCTGCGGCTATTATATAAGGTCCTTAATTATGAGGCTTAAGGATTTGGATGTAGGTGATAGATCGAAGTCTTTAGAGTAGTCCAGAGAACAACAACTGCCGTGTTATGCCGATGACCATAAGCCGTCTTTAAAATGAATGTCTTGGTATGAGTTATGGGGGTCATGTTACACAAGCATTTTAGATTAGTACATAGTCTATGTAATCAGGCATTGGACATGGTTAAATCCCCCCAAATCCACTGAAATGGAGGTTATATAGTGGCCCTTTTGTCATGGTTCGTAGCTGTATAACAACATGACACCTCATCGAATGCCCGCCAGGAAGCTGGACTTTGACCGTTCTTTTGTTTCCTTTCTCTACGCCATCCTTCTGAATTTTAGTATAGACTTAACTGGAGGATATATTGCTAAGTCCTCATTGAAGCTAGCTCTTCACAGATAAAGAGAAATGTAACCTGTCCCCTCGCTGATCGCAGTGATGCCAGCGCTTACTGTAAGACACGCACAGGATATCGATGTGGCTTTCCCTGCCTTAGCGGAATCTGTATAATTTTTCGGACACAACCAAAATACGCTCTCAAAACATATTTATTTATCAAGATACATTCTATACTACATAAAAACATGTAATCATGTAGAGTAAGTGTGACTATCCCCAACGTTCTATAAAGTAGCGAAGTTTTCGTCTATAGAGACAAAAGTTGTTTTATCTTTGGACGTCCGGAAAATCGGCATTTCTCCACTACGGCACCTTTACCGCCTAAAAACAGTATACAATTCTGAGGGTAGTTGCAGCACTTCTTGGGTTTAAAGAGCAAAGCCACAACGCTATTATTAAATATACTACTATTAAAGTACTGATATAATATCCCTAAAAAGAAAACTCTAGCCAAGTAACCAACAATGAAGTCAAAATGAAAACCATTCCCACCGTATTTCTCAAACTAGAGCCCCAACCATTCGATTAGCGGGCTGACTAGCAAACACACCTGGCGCAAATCTGCGGGGGAACGGTGGGGGGTTAAGTGACCTCGGGGAAGCTACGCCGAACTAAAGCAAGCCACTTTTTCGTGTCCTCGTTGTCACAAGGGCGATGGATGCAGTTGGCTTGCTAGCCTGGTTCGTCATAGCGCAGTTCGCTAGTAATTGTAGCCAACCAATGGATCTTCGCTGCCAGATGAGCCTGAGCGCGCGCCCGTCACATCCCATCCCTTCATCATGCATCCCATCTGCGGGGTAAGGACGAGGAGAACCAGTTGGATGCAGGCAAGGTTGCATAAGGTAACGGTGTACTGGCGGGCGTCTATTTGTATACCAGGATGCCCCCGCCCTTTCTGTAGATCAAGTTTATTTGGCTTCTTCTTGTGGGAGTTGGACGAAATCATTAGCTATTCTTTTTTTTTAAAGCTGGGCGTAGTAGTGTCTCAACACCTACGCAATTGACACTACAAACATGGCAGAAGATCCTACCAAGGCCGGCCCCCCTGCTGGTGCTGGTGCTACTCCCCGTACCGCCAGTGGCACGGAGGCTGTCGAATCACACAATGCAGCAGCAGCCTCTACTGGTGAAGAGCCTGTCGAGGCTCCTGCTCCCGCGTATGAGGATGTCACTCGCGAAAAGGCACCAGAACAAGAGCATGTCATCCATGTCGAGGATAGCGGCGTCACTCGTGACAAGCACCGACAGGCGGGTGAATCCTTTATCCGCCAGCAGCACACTATTCCCACGACAGGCAAGCGCATGCTGACGAGCAAGTGGGAGTACATTTTCTTCTGCATGTTTTGTAAGCCCACCCCTTCCAATGTCTACTGGCACTTCATCTTACTAACAATGTTCGTATAGACTTTTCCAACAATGGCGCACGTATGTCAAGAAACACAGAGAATAAAAAATCATTTGCTAATTAACATGATTCTCTAGCCATTGGAAGCAACGGTGGTGCGCTCACTCAGCAGCTCATGAATCTGCAATTCCCCGACGGAACCATCCACTGGGGTGGCCAAGACATTCCCCGTAAGCTCATTCTCCCAACGACACAGTGGAAATATTATAACATGTTGCTTACGGTGTGATAGTCAAATCTCAGCTCCTCGATGTCACCGGTATTCTCTTTGCCTGTCAACTGGTACTCCTGCTCGTCATTGGCCCTTATGCCGACTATGGCAACTGGCGACCCTGGATCATGATCAGTATGTTCTGATTTTGTGAAATTCATTCAAAATACTAATAATTTACCATAGTCGGACAGATCATCCTCTACATTTGCCAGTTTGCCATGTGCGGCATCACCAGAGCTGACCAGTGGGAAGCCGCCCAGGTCATCCAGACCATTGGTACCCTTGGTATGTTTTCTTTCCTCTTATTTAGTACATAAATTAACCATTGTTTTGTAGCAACCAACATTGTCACTACATTTTACGCAGCTACCTTCCCTGGTCTCATCTACAATCTGCCCAAGATCTTTGAATCCGAACAAGAGGTCAAGGCTGGCACCAAGACGTACGCTACTTTTTATCTCTGTATTGTATTTAGCCACTAACGATTTCCAAACAGACCCGAGGCACACGCTGAGATGGACTCGTACGAAAGATCCAAGGTATGCTCCAGCCATCACTACCGTCGGACTCATATTAATTGTAAACCTTCACAGCTCTACAACCTGGTCAATATCACGGGTTCAGCCATTGTTGTTGTCACCTACGCTATTGCCGTCGGTATCTCGGCGGGCATTGGCTACGATGACGATAAGAAAATCTTCACCTACCGCGTTCTTCTCGGCTACTTTGGAGCCATCACTCTCATCTGCACCGTCCCTTTCTTCATTGTCCAGAAGCACCGCCCCGGTCAGCAGCTTCCCGAGGGTGCTAACTGGCTTACTGTTGGTCCCAAGCAAGTCTGGAGTGCCGCCAAGAGCGCCAGGCACCTCAATCAGTGTCTTCTCTACCTCCTGGCCTTTTTCATGCTTCAAGAGAGTACGTGATTCACGGCCGCAAAAAACATAGATAGCCCATTCGCGCTAACAAAGAGTTCTTTAGCTTTTGGTACCTACTTCCAGGTCACCGGTATCCTCCAGAACAAGTATGTCCTCATCTTTCTCCACTGCCACCAACGACTATACTAACACGCACTGTCCACAGGCTCGTCAACTTTAGCCCTCTCAAGATCAACGCTATGCAGCTTGTTGCTGACTTGTCTGGTGGTTCTGGCACCGTCTTCGTTCTCCTCCTCCAGAAAAAGTTCCGCTTCTCTGTTAAGGCGGGTGTCTTCTACGGTGCTTGCATGACTCTAGTTCCCAGTCTCTGGGGCGCCATCGGCTACTTCACCAACACCATTGGCTTCCATCACGAGTGGGAGTTTTGGCTTGCACAGTGCTGGAACTTCCAGACCGCCGCCTGGGGTTCCTACCAGGTGACCATGATTTCCGAGGTCGTCCCCGCCCCCAAGGCCTACATGTTCTTTGCCCTCTTTAACATGGTTGGTAAGACGTCTGGTTTCATCGGTCCCTTTGTGTCCTCGGCGATCATCTCCCGCGCCAACGACAACCCAAGCGCCGCCTACTGGTTCCTCTTTGCCATGGGCAGCGTCGGCGCTTTTGCCTTGTACTGGTGTGATACCGATAAGGCTAAGCGCGACAATGCAGCCTATCTCGAGAGAGAGGCCAATGAGTACTACAGCAGCCAGCAACTTCAAAAGGCAAGGCTTGATGAGGCCGAGGAAAGCAATGTCAAAGTTGCTTAGAGTACCATTTTAAGTAGACGCTGCGAGATTAGGTTTATTTTAGTTATCATGATACTTGTCGTACTTTTGCAATACAAGAAATTAAATTTATTCAGTCTTTTCTTATAAATAGATACCATTACAGTAGAAAGTCTGGTGGCAGAGGTGGTCCCCAAATACTTAGACTGTCGGGTCCAGCTTCCTCATGCCCAGTGGGGGAGGTTTCATCAACAAGATCGCCATCCGCTACGACGAATTTGTTAGTCCTGTGATTATTAAATTTGCACATAGCTTTGAAATCCTCACCGTAATGTTCAAGAATAAACTTGGAAGGGTCTCGCCTAAAGATGGGTTAGAAATACAGGGTATTCCCCGGTCTCTCAAAGACACTCGCACCAGTAGTCAAAGATCTGCGAGCCTAGGATGTGTCGACCGACGCCCCAGACAAGATCGTAGTCCTTTTCCACAAGCCAATGATGGCCAAGGGCCTGCACGTCGAAATCATGTACCTCAAAGCTAGAGTGATGAACGTGGTACTTGGGGCCTAGTCCGTGTCAGTAAATATTTCACATCGGGCGCAAGGAGTGGTACCTTGGAAGAAGAAGAAGCAGTGATGATCGACCTGCTCCATGCCGCGGTCCAAATGCAAAAAGACTGTCACATTTTTGCCTTCCTTGGTATGAACTAGATCGCTGGGTTTAAAGTTGAACCGCGTCGTGTAAAAGTCAAGAGTCTTGTCAAAGTCAGTAACACAGCACCCAAAGTGTCCTAGCTTGTGCACTGGCGCAGGTCCCTTTTTAAACCGCTGTGACTTGTTCACGGCGCGGTGTTTGTTCTGAGGGAAATTGTACTCTAGCTCAGGGAGCCCTGATGATGACTCGACAGCCTGTTGTCCGTAGACCAAATGGAACGGAAAGTTGTCAATTGGATCATAGAATGTGACTCGCGAGCCGCCACCAGGAGACGTCATCTCATGGATAGGAGTAGCTTTGGGGAGCGTTTTAGATGCCAGTTCCAGATCCTTCATGGATTCCACCACAAAGGCTGCGCCGCCAAAGACATCATCGTCGCCCTTGGTCGCGCAGTAGACGAACGGCTCCGTACCGTAGCCACAATGAAAGATGTTGCCGTCCTTTTCCTCCGTCTTGGAAAAGCCGAAATCTTTTAAAAAGGCGGTGGCCCGATCGATGTCCTTGTGGGTGTAGTAGACATGGGCAATGCGCACCAGTCTGATCTTTTCCACAGTAGCCATACTGTCTGACAACTTTGTTGTGTAACTTGTATAACCAATCCTTATGTCAGGATTAGCAAGTGGATATACCTGACCAACCAAAAGGGCGCTAATAGTTCGGTGGCGTTGAGTGGATGCGGGGGATGCGGGTTTGCGGGGAAGTGGACGATTGCTAATGTCTTAGTCGTAGCTGTATAAGTGAGGGGGGGACAGAGCTGTGTACTTATACTGCACTACGCCAGCTCACCATTAATAAGGTATTACAAAGAAGCGTCTAATAGGTAAAGCCCCTCTTGCAGAGACCTGAAGTAACGGTACACGAGACTGTGTAAATACACCAGTGTCCCCAGAACTGGTATTCATTTGTGCTGGATTTCTTTGTCAAAGGAATACAGATACAATATACTGCAAATCATGGACCAGTCCAATAGCGCCTCTCCGGCTGTCATCAAAACGGATCTACTTATTGTCGGCGCTGGTCCAGCTGGGGCTTCCCTCGCCTGCTTTCTTGGATCCCATGGTATAGGGCGTCGCTTTTCTTTTAAGGGCAGAGGAGATAGCTAATGCACAGTCTAGGACATCATGGTATCATGATATCGGCGGCGCCTGGCACTGCAGACACGCCGCGTGCTCACATTACCAACATGGCAGCTCTGGGTACACTTTGTTCGCCCCTTACGCAAAATACTAAATTATACTGACAGCTTATCAGAATGCCTCCGAGACATAGGCCTCGAAGAAGAATGCATCGCCGCCGCAACTCACGGTGACACCATGTGCCATACGAGATGGTGCCACAGTCTAGCTGGCGAGGAGTACGCGCGATGCTACTCATGGGGACATCATCCGAACCATAAAGTACGTGAAGTTGTTCTAAGATACAAAATCAGAGCGCAAGTTTTAATACCTACAAAAGGGAAACTATGAAACCGCAAGCCCTTGTTCGCATGCAGACTTGCCCCAGACGCTTCTTGAGCCGATCCTCACCAAGCGAGCCGTCCTCGATGGCTGGACCCTACGATTCAATACTACATTTGTCCGGTTTATTGAGCAGGGCCCCGAAGTCAATATAAGCGAAATTAAGGACGACATCACGGGCAATATCTACCACATTCAATCGAGATTTGTGTTTGGCTGCGACGGTGCCCGCAGCCAAGTTGTTCGAGAACTACAGCTTCCCTTAGACAAGAAGCCGAACCAGGGTCTGGCGCTAAACATTCTAGTACGAGCTGATCTCTCTCAGCTGATGAAGAACCGTCGTGGCAATCTTCACTGGGTTCTGCAGCCTGACAAGGAACACCCACCTTGGGGCTGGGCTGCTTGTGTGAGGATGGTCAAAGCTTGGAACGAATGGATGTTTATTTTCCTGCCTGCGCCTGGCTCCGATGTACCTCTGGAGAAGATGGAAGCAAGTAACGAAGAATATCTACGCCGTGTTAGGGAAATGATTGGGGATAACTCCATCGATGCGAAGATTTTAGCAGTCAATAAGTGGTGGATCAACGAAGTCGTCGCGTCACAGTACTCCAAGGACAATGTGTAAGTGGAAGCGACCAAATTATTATGTTATCGAAACATTCAAATGCTAACGCTTGAATAGCTTCTGTCTAGGCGATGCTGTACACCGTCATCCGCCATTCAATGGGCTTGGCTCCAACACATGCATCCAAGACGCATTCAACCTAGCATGGAAGGTGTCCTATGTTCTTAAAGAGCAGGCCAAGCCTTCCTTGTTAGCCACATATGGGGCCGAACGCCAGCCTGTGGGTGTTCAGATCATCACCAGAGCAAACCAAGGTCTGCGCGATCATACTGGATGGATGGACGCCATTGGCATGACGGAGCCAGATCTTGATAAACGCAAAGCCATTCTTGAGGAATTCGAACGACCTGACGCCACAGGAGCCAAACGTAGAAGTGACTTTCAGGATGGCATCGCCAACACAAATACGGAATTCCACGGTTTGGGCGTAGAGATGAATCAGCGATACGAGTCCACAGGCGTATTTTCGCACGACGAATTACTCTTCCCGTATGATGCGGACCAGTCCACCACGAATCATGTGGTTTGCACATACCCAGGACGACGCCTGCCGCATGTCTGGCTCAATACAAGAGCACCAACAACACCAATCTCGACCATTGATCTCGCTGGTCACGGTGCATTCTGTCTTCTTACAGGACCTCAAGGTCAAATGTGGAAAGAGGCCGCCGCAACCGTGGCTGCGGAGCTAAAAGTACCAATCAACGCACACTCAATTGGTTGGAAGCAGGATTATGAAGATGTCTATTTTGATTGGTTGCGCCTTGGGCAAATTGAGGAAGGCGGCTGTGTCTTGGTTCGACCAGATCGGTTTGTGGCGTGGAGAAGCAAAGATGTTGTGGCGGACCCGAAAGACAAGCTAAAGCACGTCATGGAATGCGTTTTATCATTAAGTTAGAAGAGCAGAAAATATTTTCAAAAACATCATCATTACACCGTTTTCTTCCCATCACTTTATGCCTCCACCGTCTCATTGGTAGCTTGTCTCTCAGGTGACATGTCGCCCACAGCGCCAAAGACACCCTTGTAGCCGTTCTGGATGAGATACTCGCGGAATAGGTAATCCTCGGATTCCAAATCGCGGTCCTTGTCGGGGATGAGGAACCAAGCAACCAGGCCGCCAACCAGAGCGAAGGCAGCTCCGATGAGGAAGACGCCTTGAACACCCTTCTCGTCATCAGCGAAAGAGTTCTGGATAGGTAAGAAGACTTGGGTGCCGATTGCAGCTCCGGCCTTGCCAAAGGCAGCAGCAAGACCAAGGAAATGTCCTCTAATTGGGGTAGGGAAGGATTCGGCACCGCAGAGGAACGTGGCAACACCGGGGCCCATTTCGCCAAGAGCGTTGAAGATGCCGTACATGATGATGAAGAGAGGCAAAATGGGCTGGATCTTGGGGAGAGCAGCACCAATAATGAATCCCATGAGGGCCCAGAGGAAGAAGCCGAGCGTCATTGTCTGTTTACGGCCGATGCGGTCCATGAGGAAGCCGCCAAGAATGGTGCCAGGCAGGTAGAAGCAGTTCAGGACGGTGCCGTAACCAATGTTCTGAACGATGGTATTCTGAGGGTTGAGTGTTTCGACAATGGTGGATCCAAAAATACCGAAAGGGTACGTCTGTAGAGTATGTTTAGCATTGTTACAAATATGTGAGTAGTGGGAGATTGGTTGTTACTTACGACGAAATCGTAAAAGAACCACGCCAGAGAGGTTCCAAGCATGGGCTTCCAGTATCTCTTCATGACCAGCAGATAAGGGATATGCTGCTTCATAGCATGCTTTTCGTACTGGGTAGAGTTGACTAAGCTAAGTCGGACAAAGAGAAGAGCGACAGGCAGGACGATGCCAATGCCAAAGTTAACCCGCCAAACGCCATCGCTAAGGTTCTGTTGGTATGCAGCAAGGACAATCAGAGCCACCACGCCGGCCATGACGAAACCAAAGTCAATAGAGAAGTCGGTAGCAATGGCAGTGAGGATACCACGACGACGGCGCACTTCGGGGGTCTCGTTGGCAGCCTCGGTAGAGCTGGTGGCACAAGTAGGGTATTCGCCTAAGCATTTGGGTTAGTATAGACGCCAAGTAAATAATCATCGTCTGTCGTACCTCCAGCGCCAAACCCGGCAACACCACGGCCAATGATGAGCATCCAGAATTGACCGCTGATAGAGGTGCCATGGGCAGCAGTGGACAAAACAAGACCAAGCACCAAGAAGACAGTGGACCAGAAGATGCCGTTGCGGCGACCCAGTCTATCAATAGCCCAGCCAAAGAAGAGCATACCGAAGACCTCGCCAATAAGAAAGGCGTTGGAAACGCGCGTCTTGACATCGGCAGTGTAGTCGCCCTTGTAGAGCTCTTTCAGGACAAGGTTCATGTAGCCAACAATCTGAGCATTGTAACCATCAGAGAAGAGCGCAACACCACCCACCAAGACGGCAAGCATCGAAGAGAGGTTGGACTTTGACTTGACCAATGGAACATTGTGGATGTCGTCTTTCTTGTCTACATCGTCTACGATGACAGACGAGTTCGTTTTCGTAGCAGCCATGGTAGCTGTAGAGTAGAGTCGAAAAGAAGCACGCGACAGCCAACAATGCAAAAAAGAAGTACGACAAAAGACGAGCTGCAAGATTCCAACGTTGGGGGTAGGGTAGCATTCATAAGGGTCCGTCACTCAATATTTTACCTGTCCAAAGGCGGCTCTCAGAAAAGCTGCCGCTGGGGGCACGTGTATGTCGTTGCAGCGACACTCTATGCCGAGTCAACGCCCACCCGCCTATCGAGTGGCTCTGCTGCCAAACGGAACCCGGCATACCGCGCCGCCACCGCCAAAGAACCTACGGGTAATTAGATTAATCACTAGCTTTATTCCCATGTTCAACAAATAAAAAAAATTGGACCGCGGCTTTTGGCGAGACCCAGTGGAAATGCAGGCATTTCGCAGCATGCTTGACTCGAGAGTTTCCTATTTGGGCCGCCAGAGGCGCCACAGCGGGTGCCAGGTGCCCGCCGATTCAGCCCAGCCAGCTGGCGGACAGGTGCGCGACGGCTGGCGGAGATCCCACGTGGGGGCTCACAGCGCTCTTATTGCTCCTGCGAGCCGTACAGTGTGAATGCACAAGAGTGACAAGTTGGTTTTCGCTTGCGGCTGAAGGCGTCTTCATTAGCCGAAACCCCTCATTTCTGGATATCAAAACGTTGCATTTACGGGGCGTGATGGGGTGAAAATTTCCTGTAGTCCTGCGGAATGGGCTCGGAGCCGGAGGGCCGGTGCAATCTCGTACATTGACGGCATGATGCGGCGCAGCGCCGAAAGCCGCATGCTGCAGAGTTTCTCTTCTGGAATATTAAAGAGCAAGGCACCGTGACCGGGTTGATTGGATGTAAACCAACCATCCCAATTCAATTTCACAGTCTACTGTTGGCTGCACTATCTCTTTCTTCCTTCGCCTCTCTCATTCGTCCAATCACCATGCCTGTCACCCAGGAGCAAAAGGACTTCCTTGCCGCCAATGGCTACGTTATCATCCGCGACTTCTTGAACCCGGATGAGACGACCAGCCTGCAGAGCTGGGCTCAGGAAGTCCACGACTGGAAGCCTACTGAGCAGTCCGAATTCATGCCCTATGAGGTAAACATGCCCGTGCCTGCTGCGTGAAGCGAGACAGAGCCAAGCCGTTGATGGCGTTTTGTAACACTTTTTTCTTTATACTCTTGCAGGAAGTCAATGACAAGGGTGATCGGGTGCTCTGCAGAACCGAGAACTTTGTCGACTACCATGACGGCTTCGCCAAGCTGCTCCGCGGTGAGAAGCTGCTCGGCCTCCTCGAAGGCCTAGCTGACGAGCCTATGCTTCTCTTCAAGGAGAAGATTAACTACAAGCTCGCTGGTAGCGGTATGTTCCTGTCCTCCGCCGACTTTCCGTCCTATTCTCCTTAGCTGGCTTGGCAAATCTAACACAATATTGCAGGTGGCTTTGCGCCTCACATTGATGCCGTGGCCTACACCCACATCAAGGATGTCAAGCACCTGACCATCCTGCTGAGCGTGGATCCTTCCAACATGGCCAACGGCGGTCTTGAGGTTGTTGATGCCAGCCACAAGATGGATGTTCCTATCAACGAAAAGTCCCACTGCATCGAGGCCGACTGGGTCGACAACCACAAGTGGATTCCCGTTGAGCTCGAGGCAGGTGCGTATTTCTGACACCATGTGTGCCTGGTGCCATGGCCCCAAATTTGCTAATTCTGTCCATATAGGCCAGCTTCTCATCTTCACCTCCTACCTTGCTCACCGCAGCGGACCCAACACATCTGCTGAGGACCGCAAGGCCATCTACGCCACCTACAACCAGGCTAAGGAGGGCGACCTGCACAGGGACTACTACGAGAACCGTAAGAAGGAGTGGCCTGCCACGCACATGCGTAAGGCTGGCGAGTCCTACGCCAGCGGTGCTTTGACCTATGGATTCGGCTCGCCCATGCTGAGCGTCGACGAGGGCAAGCAGGTTGTGTTTTAATCGTTGTTTCGTTTTTATTGTAGGACCACCCTCGGTCGCGCTGGAGCTCACTGTTTGTTTCGGCCGCTATTTTTGGACTTTGGTCGGCTGCTGAATGTTGTTTTTTGTCTGGAGGATACCTTGCAGCGCCGTACTGTAGGCAGGCATTGTCTGGGATAGCTTCCTGCTTCGCGAATGCGTCCGAGCTGTTTAAAAACGAGGTCGGGACAAAAACTAGCAGAACGAAAAAGAAAAAGACAAATAGACAGACGCATGCTCTGTTCTGTATATTGGACTTAGTGCCGGCATGATTGCGTCATAGGGCTCGAGCGACAAGCCGAATCCCGTGCAAAGAGTTGGCGAGGAGGTGAGTGAATGCATTGGCCATGACGCAATGAGTGGGCATTTTGCTAGGCTTTTCCATGTGTCCGCGGGAACGGTCTATTGGTTTCTTGCATCGCAAACTTTTCAATTCTGTGCTTGTGCTTGGCGAACAAACACCTTACTTGTAGGATGGGCCTGGACGACTTCCAAGCTGTGCTTTGGCCGCCAATGGCGTGTTTGTGCAAACGAAGAGACGGTTTGATGTTTGTGGATGCAGTAGCAGCACACAGGCTGCGCTTGGGACCCTTTTTTGAATCGGAGGCGACGCCCCTCGTCAATGATCGACGCCAAACACGAGATCCCCCCCTCTGCACCGTTTGTTCACTTCGACAATCCATTAACTAATTGCTATGGCTATAATTGCTATTGTATTGTAAATTTCTACGTGGCCAGCAGCTATGCCTCGCAAACAAAACAAGCCCTGGCTCCCAACGTCACATTGGCCCTTCCCACGGCACTCGAGCCCAGAGCATTCAAGAGGGTCTTATGACGTAGCGTCACCCTGAAAGCACCAAGCTCCCTGAAAAGCTAAAGCGGCTAGTTTCTCGTATCGCCAAAAGGCGCCGATGAGGCCCCGGCAGTGGGCGCCGCAGCAACTACGGCAGAGGCGCTGCTTACGCTCCAGCAGGGTTGCAGTCTCGTATTTCGCCGGGCCTACTAACTTACTATTGGCTGACAAGTACTATTCTAAAGTAAGAAAGAACTATTTTTGTAGTCTTGTAATAGTGCATGACGATGCAATTAGCGCGACCAGCACGGTAATCCTTATGACCCGCCGCGCTACAATATCAATAGCACAGGAAGTTTACCCCATAACAGCCAGGGACAAGCAAACAAGCAAGGTTTCCTCTTTTTGTCTTATTTTTAGAGCTCGGCACATTGACGTCGCATCGTCACATTCGCTTCCTGGTCTGGTGCCCCTCAGGTGTCTCACAGAAGGGCAGTGATCTGCTACACTATAAAGGACCAGACGATCCCTCCCTTCTCTTGGCCATTAAAAAAAACATTCGCTTAGTTTTTTTTTTATCTACTACTATACTCTTTCAACCACATTCGCTTAACTACACACATACACAATGCCTGCTACCTCTATCCTCTCGCTTGCCATGGCCGGTCTGGCCTCTGCCGCCGCCATTGCCCGCTCGGCCACCACCACCGAGACCAAGGCCTTCAACTTGATGGTCCGCGTGGACGGCGCCGACTTTACACCCGCTGTCAACGGTAACTGGGTCACCGGTGTTCACATTGGCGCCGCGCTGGATGCCGTTGTGCCCACCGCCGACTTCAACCTCGCCCGCACATTCTACGTCAACGGCACCGATGAGGAGATTGACGGCAAGCAGGGCCGCCTCATCTCCGATGCCAGCGACCAGTTCTTCCAGGGCTGGGAGATGGCCAAGGACGGCAACACGCTTGTCTCCAACGTCATTCTTGCCCCTGGCAACAGAAACCCCGGCGTCACCATCACCGAGGACGGCCTGGCTTACCTCCAGCCAGAGGACTACATGGCCTGCAACGTCCCCTCGCCTCACGGTGGCACCATGGTTGCCATTTCGCAGAGAGACACCACCAATAACGCCAACTTGCCTCCCCAGTGCATCAAGATTCGCTTGATTCCTCAGTGCGCTGAGCTCCACGAGCTTGGCCCCGATGCTACCTACAACCACAACTACGCCCGCACTTCGCGATGCTATGAAGATGCGACTGTTGTTTAGATGACGAAGGTGTGGATATAATTGGGTAGCAGTGAAAATGGTTCTGCTGCTGCTGCTCGCCCTTTTTAACGACCGACATGACTGTACACATTGTTCAGCGATCTGTTTATTAGACTTGATATAATCCTTAATATATTCTTGAACAACACCATGCCCTTATATTCTGTCTGTGACTAGTGATCATCTCATACTAATGGAGTGGAAGATGCAAAAAGAAAGGGAAAGGACGAATATTCTTCAACTTTTTCGATTTATATATGTACTTGTCTGCACGATATGCAACAATGCTACTACTACGCACAGCCAACCACCACCATATGTACACAACTCATCAAATACACATCAATCAACGCCTCGCTCTCCCACAGAAACAGAAAATACAAAAGCCTACGCACTCCAGCTCGTAGACACACACCAACGCCATGTAAGTTCTGTTTGTACATACAACGTCATCATCATCTCTCATCGTCATCATCATACTTGTTTTATGGTTGGTTTTGTTTTCCTTATTTCATGTTGTCAAGAACGTAGCGGATGCCGGCGTACGACTCTTCGCCACTGGGGACAATCTGGTCAGGAGGGAGGACAAAGCCGTAGTTACCAGTGTCACGGAGCTCAATGGCAAAGTTGTAGGTCGAGCCCAAGACATCGCTGGTCCAGTCAACAGAGTTACCAGCGGCAGCGTAGATGGTGGAGCAGATAGGTCCGTAGTCAAAGCTAGTTCCGTGAACGTCGCGGATAGCCTCGACGGCGCCCTTGAGCATCTGCTGAACCTCGGCGTTGTTACCAGGAAGAGCAGTGCAAGAGTATCCGTAAGCTAGAAGGCGGTGATGTGTTAGCAAATGTACACTCATTAGAGCTGAGAGAGAAGGATACGTACGAGACATGAAGAGCTGCGAGTAGGAGTGCCAGTCAATGTAGAGCTTGACACTCTGGGTCTTTTTGAGGTTGGACAACCAGCCAGTGAGAGCCTTGTTCTCGACGGAGGAACCAGCAGAGGCACCACGGTAGGTCTCGGAGCAAGGGTTGGTGGAAGAGCCCTGGCCATCCCACTTGTAGGGCCAGTTGCGGTTCAGATCCGTGCCGGCACAGTTGCTGCCAGTGTTGGCGACTCTGTTCTTGCGCCACATGCGGTCATTGGTCTGGGTGTAGATGAAACCTGTGTTTACATTTGTTAGCATATATATAATGCTATTCCACACACGAGGATAGAGACTTACCATCGGGGTTGACGACAGGGAAGATGTAAAAGTCGTACTTGTCAAGGTAGGTGTTATCAGTGCCGTAGCCGGTGAGGATGTTGTACAAGATGTACTCGTTGACCATGGTGCCGATCCATTCACGGGCGTGGACAGTGCCGTGGAAGACAACGGCGGGCTTGCCCTTGCCATTCTTGCCGTAGATGTGCAGGCCAGTGATGGCGTTGCCAGCAGCAGACTTGCCCGAGGTGACAATCTCCGAGTTGGAGGGGTACTTGGCCTGGAGATCGCTGAGGAAGGTCAAGTGGTCCTTGTAGCTGTGGTACGAATCGAACCACGAGGCGTTGGCAGAGCCGGCTAGTGGTAGTTAGCATCTTGTATAGAGTGAGAGATAGCCAGAAGTATAGCGTGAAACATACCAGCGTAGACGGCGTGGTTGCCCTCCTGAGCAATGGCGCTGCCCAGGTCCTCGTGCATGACGATAGGTCCCATGTGGTCAATCAACTCGTGGAACTTGGCGAGCTGGGCAGGAGGGACAGCAACATCGCTGTAAGTGCCCGTCTTGTAGGGAGTCTGCCAGGGCTGCAGACCGAGCTGCTCGGTGACCTTCTCAAGCTTTGCAGCATGGTCCTTGTTGGCAGAAGGGATACGGAACACCTTGTAGCCGTCGTAGGTAACCTTTTGGTTAACTGCGGCAGCGGAGGCGGTGGCCAAGAGGCCGAAAAGGGCAGCAGCGGCCTTCATCTTGTTGTGATAATGTTGTAGAAATAAACAGTGTGAGAGGGAAGATGTCTGATACAGCAGATCAGATACTATTTACATGAACCAGAGAAGAAAGAGAGAAAGGGGCGTCTTCACGTAGCGTCCGTCAGCGCAAGGCCGCTATTTATAATAGTCGCCCAACACTACGTCGTAGGAGTACCCGTCCCTTCCATCCATCCATCCTCACAAGTTCCATTGTGTGAATAAACTAAACAGCTGATGCGACGAAATCTGATACCTGCCTCATTGGGTAATGGTTGTCCGCCCCAGCAATACGCCAGAGCAACTATAATTGGGTTGATGTGGCATTTGTGCCCCGCAAAACGTAGCGTGCGATATCTGGGGAAATGCCGTGATTGGTCCGGCAGACACGTTCGTTTCAAGTGTCAAGCCCGTCGATGATCTACGCAAGAATGATGGCTGACAGAAGCATGTTTCTCTGTTTTGGCGTCTGCGGCGCTGGGGGATGCTTCCACGTTTGTTCACGGTTCCCCTTCTCCCGTGCGCCACCCTTTTTATTCTCTAGATAGCATCATTCATCCAAACAACTCAAAATGCTGCGCTGCAGGATGCGGCGGACGCTGGCTGGTCCGTGCAAGATGCTGGGGGCGATGCAACGCTACACGCTAAGAGCGCCCAGGCCTAGAATACCCTCTCCACCAAGACTTGTTTTCATTACCAATCGCCCAGAGGTCCTTATGATGCTCCATTGTCAATCACCGCTGCATCAGGAAGCTGTCTTGTGTTGATAACATGGGCATCGCGGGCTCGGTACTTGTGAATGGAGGGGCCCAAATGAGGTTTATCTAATAGTTCATCACCAAGACAAATCACGGTAATTGCAATCGTGTGTCTCATCGGTCATCTTGGCTGAAAACACGGCCACGCCAGTCTCTCGCTTAGCGCAGCTGGCCAAAGCCAAGATTTGAGCCTATTTTACGCCTGGGGAATCTGCTTTAGCGGCACTCTACTTGCTATAAGAGTCTCTAGCCCTCCCCCCCTACCGATAGAGTGTGCTGCTGCCGCTGTGGGGGACAAGACAGCGCTAACTTGGTGTAAACTTTTGCCGGTGTGGTGGTGAATGAAACGCGGATAAGAAGCCTATTCTTCCGGATGGACCAGCGGTGAAGCGAGGCACGCTTAAAAAAACGCGTCAACAATGCTCAAACATCGCGTACCGCAATCTGCGCATCGTGCTACATTTATCAGATTTTTATAGTTTTCCACAGCCATGGCCAGCGCCCCAGACGGCGTTTGTGTGCATCGAGTTTCCCCAGACTTCCGCTTGGGGATCTGGCGGGGTCGGCTCTTCGGTACCTCGGCTAAATGTAGATAGCCTTTGATCTCTAGATATTTTAGAGCTGTAGATGTCGTGTGTCGCTTTCCCAAGCTGCTTCCATCTTTGTCGCAAACAGCAGCATCTCCAACCCACCAGTAAAACATGCCTCCTGATCCCAAGCTCAACCTCGACGAGCGCATTCCATGGTCTGAGCCGGCCTGGTACACCTCGCTCAACTCGCCATACTACAATGAGTCGCATCGCAAGCTGCGCAACAGAGTGCGCGCATACATCGACACCAATGTGCTGCCCTACGCCATGGAGTGGGAGGAAAAGGGCGAGGTTCCCAAGGCAGAGGCCATCAAATACTTGCAGTCGGGCTTCGCGCTCGAGGACATCCCAGCCCAGTTCAAGCCCGCCAATCTGCCCAGCTTGGTCGAGGGACAGGCGCCCGATGCCTTCCACATGCTTATCCTGATCGACGAGACATCGCGCATCGAAGGCGGCGTCAACATTGGCCTCGCCGGCGCAAACTCCATCGGTATCCCTCCCATCGTCAACTACGGAACCCCCGAGCAGCAGGCCAAGTGGCTGCCTGGCCTCTTTACCTTTGACACCAGCTTCTGTCTGGGCATCACAGAACCCACTGGCGGCTCTGACGTCGCGAATCTCCGAACCACTGCGGTGCGCTCCAAAGATGGCAAGTCGTTTGTCGTCAACGGCGTTAAGAAATGGATTACCGGCTCGCCGTGGGCCACACACATGACAACCGCCGTCCGCACGGGCGAGGACGGCCGCAAGGGCATCTCCGTCCTGGTCATCCCGCTCGACAGCCCCGGCATCACAATCACCAAAATTCACAACAGCGGCCAAAATGCCGGTGGTGCCTCGTTTGTCGACTTGGAAAACGTCACAGTGCCTGCAGCCAATCTGATTGGCCAGGAGAACCAAGGCTTCAACATCATCATGCGCAACTTCAACCGCGAGCGCTTCCTGCTCGCCGTCCAGTGCAACCGCAAGACGCGATCCTGCCTGGCAGCTTCGTTTTCCTACGCACTAACCCGCGAGACGTTCGGCAAGGCTCTGATGCACAACCAGGCCATCCGCAGCAAGCTGACAGAGATGGCGCACCGTGTCGAGGCACACTGGGCGTGGCTGGAGCAGATTGCCTACCATGTGGGCACGTCGCCCGAGGGCTGGAACAGTCCCGATATCGCAAGCCGCATTGCCCTGCTCAAGGTCCAAGGCGGCCAGATGGTAGAGCTTGCGGCGCGAGAGGCCCAGCAGATCTTTGGCGGCGCAGGATATCAAAAGAGCGGCCCGGGAGCCACGGTTGAGCAAATCAGCCGCGATCTCCGCATGCTGGTAAGTCAAGAAACGACAGCAGCGTTGTACAGAAAACACAGAGCTAACCAAGATCACCTATATAGGTTGTCGGAGGAGGCAGTGAGGAAATCATGTCCGACCTAGCCATTCGCCAGGAGCTCATGATGGCGCAAAAGGCGGCCAAGCTGTAATCACAAGCAAATAAAAAGGAAACCAGTTGCACGAAAACAGGGCTCGCATGTATTATAGAGCGTGCAGATATCTGCAAGTCATTTTCAATAATCAACCCGTAAGGCTCCGTCCTGTGTAGTGACCCCTCTCCTCCTCGCACATTGCAGCCTTGATTTGGCCTTTGACCCTGTGTTTATGCGAGCTTTGGTTATGTTCGGCCAATGACCGGCTGGTTTGCGTGAGTATAAGACGCATATTGGCTCTTGCGTAGAAAATGGGCTCCCGGAACGCCACAATCAGCCGGAATCCTGCATGACCTGTTTTTGGCCACCTTCTTAATTAAGCAGCGCATGGCGTCTGCGTTTTCTGCAACCCTCTCTCATTGCTTCTTCTCGCAAACGAAATGTATCCAAAAACTCTATTTGCCTCCCCTCCCGCTTCATCACGCCTCCATCAGCCGAGGCACCCACCCTGTGAACGAACCTGTCCATCTGCCGATGCCACATAGTCAGCCCAACAAAGCACAACAGCCCGCCACCCATAATAGGGTCTGGACTACACAAAGGCTTTCCCGTCATTGTTCTGCTGTACAGATGAGGTGTTATTCAGCTCGTAAGCAGCCCACTTGCGCCATCACCGCAAAAGCTGGGGTCGGACAAGAGCCTGCTGCTCGGCCGGATGAGGCTTGCGGGCATCTTCCCAATCCAGCAATCGCAGCCTCTCCGGCAGCCAATAGTTTGGTGGAGATGGCTCCATATCGTTGGCTTTTTGTGCCGGCACTTGTCCTTTGTTCGTAAGCTTCTCTCTCTTGCTCATATTCCCGTGAAAGCGGGCGCCCGAACGATCCGCCTCTTTAGCAACGGCGGTCCAGCTCCTCCCGTGTAGTGTCCGTTGCGAGTACGCGGATTCTGCTCGCAAATGCCACACACTTGTTACCCCGCAAGATTTCCCCAGAGGCAACCCTTGTAAACAAGGGAGCTAATGCAGTTTATGCGCAAGCTTGGCATCCCCCCGCCTTTGCTGGGTTCGGGATGCAGCAGACGTACGTTGTGTGCATCCTCCATCTATCCCACCCGCAGCCAACTACCGTAAGCCTCAGGCCACTCCCGGTCAAATCTCGCTTGGCTGCCAGGATGCTCCGAGACATTCGCCGCTCATTGTGTTCCCGTTAACAGACGCTGTAAACTCTAATGCTCAGAAGAGTAATCGTTTGCGAAACTGTAGCGCCATTGTTGTTTCAAACGACTCCAGCCCACTGGCCAAATGTCACCGAAACGTTCACGCCTCGCCGCGCAGGCACAGCCGAAATACGGCCCTTTGTTAGCTCAGGTAAAGCTGGCATGCTGCACTGTAGATGGCGTTCAAGATCCACAGGGGTTGCCGCCAAGAAGCGTGAAATGCAGGTCCTTGCCTCGGCAGCTTTTGTGTGACTGATGAACTCTTCAAGCTCGTGCTTGTGAGACGGCCGTCCGCCGTGATGCTTAGAGTTTGGATATAAAAGACGAGAGCCTTCCAGTCATTCTCTCCCCAATATCAAAGCAGATCCATCCCTTACATCTCTTCACATCACACTTATCTACAAACACAAAACCCAAACCCCCCAAACCACACATTCACCATGAAGTTCGCCCCCCAGGCTCTCGTTGTTGCCCTTGCTGCCTCTGCCCAGGCTGCTGTCATTGAGGTCCGCGACCTTGCCACCGTCCGCGGTGTCATTGCCCAGGTCCAGACCGGCACCGACAACCTCGATGCCGTCGCCAAGGCCTTCAACGGTGACACTGCCCCCGTCATCAGCTCCTCCAACGCCTTGATCACCACCATCAACAACGGCAAGACCACTGTTCAGGGCAGCTCCAACCTCAGCTATGGTGACACCATCTCCCTCATCTCCAACGTCCAGGAGCTCAAGAAGCACGCTCAGACTCTCTCTGACGACTTCAAGGCCTCCCGCGACAAGGTCCAGCAGGCCAAGGCTTGCGACATCACCCGCACCCAGATTGGCAGCATCAAGACTGCCGCCCAGGCCCTCATTGCTGCTATTGTCTCCAAGGTCCCCGACAACGCCAAGTCCATTGCCAACGACCAGGCTTCCCAGATTACCGCCGTCCTCCAGGAGGCTGAGAACAACTTCTCTACCACCAACTGCGTCAACGCTCCTTAAGTTGCCTCTGGTAAATTTGCTGCAAGACAGCACGCACTGTATATAGTCGCGATGATGATCTTTTTGAATGTCTTTTCTTATTAAGCCCAAAAAAAACATGTACATAGCTAGTTTTCTGAAATTACATATTGCTGTTTCGTCAATAAGTTCTTCGCATATTATTAAAGCTTCGCAAAGTATCGAGTTACTTTTGCTGCGCCACCTTTGCCGCCAAACATTAGCTTTAAATCCGTTACCATTGCCTCGGGGCACTCATATGCTGCAAAATGGCCACCCTGGTCATGGATCGCTTGGAAGACGACAGGTCCTAAGCCACGCCCCCAGCTTGCAGGCACCGGGGACATTTCCTTGGGATAGTGGGAAACGCCAAGTGGTACTCTGGGGATGTATTCAAATGTCTTTTTCGTGTGTGGATAGTTGGACTGGAAGGCTTCGTAGTAGATTCGAACACTCGCAGCTGGGCCGGCACTGGAAAACTGGTATATAGACACCCAAGTCAAAATCTCATCGTCGGTCCAGGGATAGCCGTCCGTCCAGGTAACCAGCTTTTCATATATCCACGCCAGCAAGGCAACCGGAGAGTCCTCTAATCCAAATCCAATGGTAGAGGGCTTGGTGGACTGGATAGCAAGATAGCCCATCCCTCGGCGTAGGTGATCTTGCATCTGTTTGGTCTCGCGCTTCTCTCTGTCGGAAAGTAGCCCGAGTGTAGATTTGAGTCCCAGCCATCCGAGATCTAGCAGTCCTGGGCGTGCCCCAAGACAGTTGACATGGCATGCCAGACAGTTGTCGGGGAACTGCATCGCCATGGATCGCGTGATGATGAAGCCCCAATCGCCGCCTTGCGTAACTGTAAACCGATTCAGTCAGTAGTCAATCGAGCTAGTGTTTTAAAACTCCACTTACCATATTTATCATATCCCAACGCCAACATTACCTTGTGCATAGCCTCCGCGTACTGCATAATGCCAAAGCCTTTGGTTTTGACAAGGCCAGAAAAGCCAAAGTTGGGCAGCGAAGGTGCAACAACATGGAATGTCGGCCCCTCTCCATCGTCCTGTGTAAGAAGTGGCAGTATCTTGACAACTTCAATAAAACTACCGGGCCAGCCATGGCAAAAGAGTAGAGGAATACTTCCGGCCTTGCTCGGCTGGTGGATAAAGTTGATGTCGATGGGATCAAAGCCGTCGACGGTGATGGACGTTGTAAACTGTGGCAGCTCATTGAGCTTCGCCTCTTGTGCCCTCCAATCGAACCCGTTCTGCCAATATTTGACCAGTCTCTTGATATCGGCGGCTGGTGAGCCATGAGTCCAGTCGTTGGAGAACTCTACGTCATCGGGGAAACTGGCGTGGGCGAGCTTCGCCTTGAGCTTGGCTATGCCTGCATCGGGCACATTGATTTTGCATGGTTTTATTGCTGCCGCCATGTTTCCAGGTTCCAGGTAAATATGTTTCGTTCCAGACGGCCGTTTGAATTTTGCTGAAGCTAATGCAATTGGCAAGTAAGAAGGCTGGTGAAGTAGGATGCCAATGCAGCAGCTCAAGCATCGGAGGCGGGGCCTCTATAATACCGACCGGTGAGCTCGGCTACCTGGCAGCTGCATTAGCTTAGCTTCTTTTCCGTTGCATATAAGCGAGAGGTTCAAACGCTCATTATTTTCATTTCCTACTGTTACATAGAGTTTAGAAATTTGTATTTATTTTTTCTTTTATTTTTAACCTACTTCTCTAAATAGACAGGCCATACTGCGCTGGGCAGCGCCCGCGGATTACCCCAGACTACCCGGCATCGGGAGCGCGGGTCCGGCCCAACATCCACCGCCACGGGAAATGGGGAATTGGGCCGATGAAATGGGTACCTGGCGACAAGTGGTGGCTGATAGAAAGAGTGCTCGTTACTCTCATATCTGCAGCCTGCATTAGATACGTGGTGTTGGTCAGCCCACCGTAAAAGGTAATCCTCGGGTCACGCCGTAAACTCTTTTGGGGAACTCAGTGCGAGTACCCTTTTGAATTCTGTCTAGCTTTTTTTTTATTTAATTACTGTTAAAAAGTTCATTCTGCAAGGCTTAAATCATGCGAAACTATGTCTGTTGTCTTATTTATAGTCCCAACCCATCCTATCGTTTTCATACTCTCAGGTGTACAATCCATATAGCCACACGTCTCTTATTGTGTCCCAGATAACAAACATGAGTACCCGAAGCCTTTTGATATTCGCCTTAACGGTGACTCTTTGTGATGCCCGGGCCCCTAGAGGCAATTTTATTCGGACTGATCTACCTGATGGCATCGTCTCGATTCCTCTGCAGCGCACCAAAGATCAGATGGCATACGGAGTAGACTTTTGGGTTGGCAATCCTCCACAGCCGGCCACTCTATTAGCTGACACGAGCAGCAACTTGATTTCATTCGAGTCATCGAGTACGTCCAAGAAAAATTCATGTTTTCTCTACATATGGTCATACTAACGGATGCCCTTTCTCTCTAGTTGACGATGTTTGCACACGGGGATACTGCAAAGACTATGGATACTACGACAATAAAACATCCAGCACCAGCAAGTGGGTGGCCGGCGGGTTCACCAACGGCGTTAATAACAATGGCTATGGAAGTATCGTAAACGATACGCTCCGTGTAGGTGGCCAGCAATTTCCCAATATGCAGTTTGGAGTCACAGAAGGACACCATGCGTCATTCCCCCTCAACAACCAGTTGGCGGCGATTCTTGGGCTCGGCGCGCGTTGTGCTACCCGACAGTGCGATGAACAATTGACATTTATCCAACAAATGTACAATAATGGGTACATTGGCAAGCGTGCATTCAGCGTTTACCTCGGTTCAAACGAGCCAGATACAGTGGGAAACCTTTTGCTGGGCGGCATAGACCTAGCCAAGCGCAAGGGCAAGGTTTACAAATTGAACATGATCGATCCGCTCGACAGCCAGGTATTTAGTATGCCCAATATCGTTGGCGTCCGCGGGTATAAGCTCGAAACTGGTCAGATTACAAACCAAAACTTTCCCGCAGCTAACAACTCAACTTATTCGCTACTGGGCACTGGTTCTCCCCGTCTCTATGTGCCGAAGGACGTCTTTGAAGCTATTGTCAAATACTTTCGTTTACCCAGCACCATTGACCCCAAGGATACGCACTACGAAATCGATTGCATTTGGCGTAAGATTCAAGACGCGAAACTCACAGTCTCATTCGACTCGGCAAACGTCACTATTCCCCTGCACACACTTCCCACAAAGGTTGGGAAAAAGTGCTTTCTCGATATTGGCCCTTGGGACGGGGTCTTGGGCGATCCGTTTCTGCGTAACGTGTATGTCACGTTTAACTATGAGGACCTTACAGTCGAAATTTCACAGGTCCAGTATACTAATCATACCAATATCGTACGTATTTAGAGTCTTTTTGTGGGTAGCTGGTGACGTTTGTTGGGGTATGTTGGCGCAGAGGAACGAAGGACTAGTGGGCGTGTCTTGGTTGCGTGTGGTTGGTAGCTGGCAACCAAATGCAACGATATGGGCATCTCTAGATACTTCCACAAATGAACTGTATTATAATTTTCAAATATATCTTCTCCTATTTCAACCAACCGGCAGTCGACGCGCTCTCGTCTACCTTGTTCACTGTTAAGCGCGTTTGCCCCCATGGCGTTGACAGGGTTGTTCCCAAAACAATACATTGCAAGGGCTACCCCACTGTCCGTCGCCGCTAACCAGCGCTAGCTACCGCTGAAAAGATTGCCTACGGCGGCGCTAAGCCCACCTAGGCACACCACCTGCACCACGCCAAGATTAGCGGGCGCACTGCAGCAGAGATCGGGTGGTGCCTGGCTAAATTAGCCCTGTCAGTGGCCGTTCAGCGCCCAACGAATTAGTGGCCCACCAAAAACATCACTGTTGCATTCCTAGACACGACAAGATCGAGCATACTTTTTTACTCATGGCAAAATTCCATTCCCCCCCTTCCTCCACCACGGTGCTTTTCAATTTGGCCGCATTCTTTGTTTCTTGTCTCCTTTTGCCTCCTCTTGTTTTCCGCCAGTCTGGTTTCATTTCTCCTACCATCGCCCATCTTTCGATCTTGTCCATTGTTCTCTATTGCAACATCACCACCACCACCAACTTTGCCGTTGCCGTTACCTCCAGCAAGCAGCATCCTCTCTCCCTCCTCCGGCTGCCTCTGCTACTTTGATCCTCCTTCCAATCTCCTGCAGCGACACGCGCGGCAGCGTCAGTCATGGGTACCTTTGCGCATTGCCCGTCGCCAGTTTGGCTGATAGACGACTTTACAAAATGTTTTATGCGAGAGTTTGTGCATCCTGTTCTGCTTCGGCACTCCATTGACGCGTACTAATCATAAACAGCTATCTCAAAACGCTCTTCCCATTACTCGTCATAATAATTTCTCTCGCCCAGCTCTCATGGTCTAGTGTCCGTCGCTCGATAAAGAAACACAAGTCTGCCGGTTACAATCCGATAGCAAATGATGCCAACGCTCGAGCCCAAACCGACATTCCACCAAGTCCCGTCGATTCCGAATGCAGTGAAGACCTGGAGATCAATGCTAATGGACGCCTTGTGCTTGCAAAAACAACGTCCCGTGGCTCCGTCGTCCAGGCTGACAAACCACCACAGCAGCGCACCTTCGAAATAGTAGAAGAAGCCGCCGTCATTGGCTTAATCATAACGAACGCGACAGCCCTCCTTACCGGCACGTATGGAGAAGGTGGCCATATTGCTGCCATCTGCGGCATCTTTGTATGGTCATATACCTTGGTGCTGTGTTCGCTTCGAGTGTTTCTTGGCCAGACCAAGTGGCGCGTACCACAAATCTGGAATCATACAGCCCTCATTTACACAATCAACTGGGCTCTTATGGTATTCATATTTCGTTCAGCTCTTATACACCCAAGCTCGCCATTGACAGAATCATTAACAATAGTAGAATTTTGCCTTATCAGCTTTCTCTTCATCTTGGCTCTCACCACGCGCAAGGGTAATAGGACAGTTATGATGGAATGGGAAAACGGGATACAACCCTCTCGGGAACCCCTTGCCAGCATTTTCTCTCTCATGACGTTTAGCTGGGTTGATGATATTGTCTGGCAAGGTTGGCAGCATCCATTAAGCATGAGCGACGTTTGGAACTTGGTCCCCAAGGACAAGGCTGCCAACGTTATTAACGACTATCGCAGCAGGCCGAAAACGACCTCTCTCGCCATCCATCTTTTCAAATACTTCCAATACGAAATTACCCTTCAATGTCTCCTGGCAATTGTCTCTGGCGTCTTCACCTTTGCCCCGACGATGCTTATTATGAAAATCCTTGAATATGTTGAGAACCCAGAGTCAGCGCCGCGCAACATGGTTTGGCTATTGGTCATCTCACTTCCTGTTTTTGAGGTCATCCGATCCATGACTGATAACATGGCACTTTGGATTGGCCGCAGAATCTGTGTCCAGGTCAAGGCAATCACTATTGGCGAAATATACTCTAAGGCCCTGCGTCGCAAAGCAAGTAGCAGCAACGATACAGCGGTGAATAGCGATAACGCAGGTGCCCAAGGAGCACGATTCGGTGGCGTCGTTCATAAATTAAAGAAGATTCTAGGCTTGAAGGGAAAGGCCACCAGTGGTGGATCGAAGAGCAAAGGTCCCAATGAAGCGTCTGACGTCGATGACGAGCAAGCTAACATTGGCACTATCATCAACCTCATGTCTGTTGACACTTACAAGGTTTCCGAGCTAACATCCTACATGCATTCGTTGCTTGCCATGGCTCCGGTTCAAATTGTCGTCTCGGTAGTTCTGTTGTGGCATGTCATGGGCCTTAGCGCAATCCCCGGGATCATAATCATGGTTCTCCTTTTACCAATCAATTACGGCGTCGGTCGCGGCTTCAACTATACATTCAACAAGATGATGCTGGCCACAGACAAACGCGTCAATGTCACAAACGAAGTGCTCCAAAATATCCGCATTATAAAATATTTTGCTTGGGAGAAACGGTTCGGCTTCATGATTGATGAGAAGCGGGAGGCTGAGCTGAATGCCCTGCGTTCGAGGTACATTCTGCTCTCATTTGCGATTGGTTTGTACAACTCTGTACCCATTCTAATCACGTTCTTCTCTTTCTTGGTGTATACCGTGGTTGAGGAGAAGCCCCTGGTGCCATCAGTTGCCTTTACGGCCATCTCCCTCTTTATGCTGCTTCGAATGCCCCTCGATTTGTTCGGCGACATGTTTGCACACACGCAAGAGGCTATGGTTTCATTGCAGCGTATTGAGGACTTTCTGAATGAAGAAGAAACGGAAAAATACGAGCAGCTTGGCTTTGATAACCGCGACGAGATGGGGAGGAAGACTATCGGTTTTCAAAGCGCTACGCTGATTTGGGGCAGTAAGACCACGACGCCAGACACCGAAAACACGAGTTTCCAACTACTTGATCTCAATGTCAGGTTCAAGATTGGCAAAATCAACATCATTGCTGGTCCTACTGGATCAGGCAAAACGTCTATGCTCATGGGCCTTCTGGGAGAAATGATGCGGGTGAAGGGCAAGGTGTACTGCCCAGGTGGTCGCAGCCGTGAGGATGTTCGAATTGATCCCGACACCGGGCTAACAGATACTGTTGCATATGTGGCTCAAAGTGCATGGCTGATGAATGCCAGTATCAGAGATAACATTACGTTTGCAGCTCCGTATGATGAACAACGGTATTTGGATGTGATCCGAGTCTGTGCTCTTGAGCGCGATCTAGAGATCCTGGATCACGGCGACGAAACGCTTGTTGGTGAGAAAGGCATCACTCTCTCTGGTGGTCAAAAGCAAAGAATATCTCTTGCACGCGCCGTTTATTCCAACTCAGCCCATATTCTCATGGATGATTGTCTCAGTGCCGTTGATTCTCACACCTCGCATTGGATCTACCATCACTGCATAAGAGGTGCTCTAATGGTTGGCCGTACCTGTATCCTGGTAACCCACAACACACAGCTCTGCGTCCCCGCCGCCGATTATGTAGTAGTGTTGGATAACGGGCGTGTCGCCGCTGAAGGATCACCTGAGGAGATTATTTTATCGGGCATGCTAGGTGACGATATTCTACAAGCCTTCAAATCTCAACCAGCATCTGCAAACCCTTCCCGTCTTCCTTCCCGAGTGCCTTCGGATGTTGGCCAGGAAGATGCAGCTGAAGAGGTAGATGATACGAAGTATAAGCTCGGCAAGAAGACAGACAAGGTCCAAATCGATCCTATGAACGAAAGCATGGCTACCGGTGCTGTTAAATGGTCGGTCATTAAGCTCTATATCTTCTCCATGGGCTCCAAATGGTACTGGATCGTCGCTTTAGCAGTTTTTCTCATGCAGCAACTCGCGCCCATGGCTACCAACTTCTGGGTTCGCGAATGGGCAAACAGATATACGAAACATGCAGGAGAGGGCATTTCTCTGAGCGCTACCCACCATGCATGGCAGACTCAGATGCATCCCAAAGCTGTTTGGGCTTCTATTGCCAACCTCGGCAGTATGACAACTTCCACTGTCCGCGGCATAACCACGCAAGGAACCACCACTACCTCGTTTGACAATGCAGATGAGCCTGTTAATGACATGTACTACATTTTCGGATTGGCTATTATTGGTGGCCTTGGTGCTTTATCGGCGCTTATGAGAGATGTGTGGATGTTTTATGGCTCGCTGACAGCATCTCGTGTCTTGCATAACCGTCTCATCTCCTCTGTCATGGGCGCTCAATTCAAATTTTTCGATGTGACGCCCCTTGGCCAGCTAATGAACCGATTCAGCAAGGATTTAGAAGCCGTGGATCAAGAAATCGCTGGTACAGCCATTGGTGTTATTGGGTGCTCTCTCGCCATCGTCATCACAATTGTGTTGATTATCTGCATTACGCCGAGCTTCCTGATTGCGGCAGTCTTCATCGCCGTCGCGTTCTATTTTGTCACCATTTTCTACCTACGCGCATCACGAGACTTGAAACGCCTCGAGTCTGTTCAGCGAAGTCCCGTTTACCAACAGTTTGGTGAGACTCTTGCTGGAATCACCACCATCCGCGCCTACGGCGACCAGCGTCGATTCATCCGCGATAACTTGTCCAAGATCAACGCCTCTAATCGCCCATTCTTCTACCTCTGGGCTTGTAATAGATGGCTTGCTTTCCGGGCTGACTTTCTGGGTCATGCAGTAACCTTTTTCGCTGGTGTCTTCATCATCCTCAGCATTGGCAAAATTGACTCCGGTGCGGCTGGTATTTCCCTCAGTTATGCAATGACGTTTACAGAGAATGTTTTATGGTTTGTCCGACAGTACGGGCAGAATGAACAAAACATGAACTCTGTGGAACGAGTCAAAGATTACTTGGATATCGATCAGGAGGCGCCGGAGGTGATCGAAGAAAACCGACCTCCGGAGAGCTGGCCGTCCAAAGGCAGCGTTGAGTTTGAAAACTATTCAACCCGATATCGCGCCGATCTGGATCCTGTGCTGCGCAATGTCTCTGTCAAGATCAACCCGAGAGAGAAGGTGGGCATTGTTGGGCGAACCGGCGCGGGCAAGAGCTCGCTGACCTTGGCATTGTTCCGCGCCTTGGAAGCCGACTCTGGCAGGATTATCGTCGATGGGATTGACATTTCCACTATTGGGCTACAAGATCTTCGCGAAAAGATTACTATTGTTCCTCAGGATCCAACACTTTTCATTGGCACCCTTCGGGGCAACCTTGATCCGTTTGATCAGTTTACTGACGGGCAAGTATTTGAAGCGCTGCGTCGAGTCCATCTTATCTCCCGAGAGGAGATGAGCCCTGGGTCATCCCCCATTGATCCAACTCCACGGGCATCGAGCATTGATACCATGTACAACAAGAACATCTTTCTCGATCTAATGTCGCCAATCACAGAATCTGGAGGAAACTTGTCACAAGGGCAACGACAGCTTCTGTGTCTGGCCCGTGCCATGTTGAAGAAGCCCAGGATCCTAGTCATGGATGAAGCAACAGCCTCCATCGACTACCATACAGATGCCAAGATACAGGAAACAATCCGGGAAATGACAGGAACCGTGATTACTATTGCACACCGTCTACAGACAATCGTCGACTACGACAAGGTCCTTGTCTTGGACAAGGGCTCACTTGTAGAGTTTGGTCACCCGTGGGAGCTTCTCCGCAACGAAAAGTCACAGTTTCATGGTATGTGCGCATCGAGCGGCGACCTGGACATTTTGAAGAAGACTGCACAAAAGAAATGGGACGATAATCACTGAAAACCGTGCTATTCCCGCACGCAAACTCAAACAACAAAAAAACCATCGACACTGTAAATACTCAAAAAGTTCTTTTCTTTCAACCATTGTCTTATATATCTATTATTCCTTTTTTAATATTGGGTTGGCTATATCCATATAGAATACGTTTATGGTGGAGGCGAAGCTCACTGCAGCAAAGAGCCACCAAGAAGGGGGTGTCAGCTGGAAGACAAGGGGCAAGATTATATATACATGGTTCATTCCAGGAAATACAATACGTTATGAAAACGCACCTGATTACTGTGCCTGCTTTGTCTGAATCTTTGTAAAGAGCTTTTCCAGGGCAATCATGTCATCGCCCTCCAATCCAGCATCAATGGCCTCCTTGTACATGGTTGCGCAGAGTTCCATAAAGGGACTGCGCGCACCGGCAGTTTTCGATGCGTCCACCACCAGACGCGTGAGATTATAGCAATCTTGTATAGCAGCTTGTGCGCTCCAGTCCTCAGCCATCATCTTGTTAACCTTGAGCTTGGAGTAAGCTGACGCCATGGGGCTTGCGTCTACGACCTGCGCAAAGGCATCGAGATCGAGGCCCTGCCGTCTGGCCAAGTGCATAGACTCGGCCAAGCCAGCCGTTGTGGTGATGAGAAACGTGTTGATGGCGTACTTTGTCTTGAGGCCCATGCCAACGGGGCCGCAGTAGATGGCCGTCTTTGTGATGGGCTTGAGCAGCGGCCGGACAGCATCGACGGCATCCTTATCACCTGCGACCATGCCGACAAGCTGGCCCATCTCAGCAGGTACCTTGGAGCCGCTGACGGGCATCTCGATAAAGGTGCCGCCGGCAGCCGCGACAATGTCGGAGAGCCGCGTGCTGCAGTCGACGGAGATGGAGGAGGTGTTGATGACAGTCTTGCCGCGCAGGTTGGCCTGGAAGTCGGGGCTTTCAAAGACGGGGGCATAGGCGGCATCGTTGAAGAGCATGGTGAAGACGACGTCGGATTGGGCGAGCACGGCGGCTGGTGAGTCGGCGACGCGGGCTCCGGCTTGGATGAGGGGTGGGAGTTTGCCCTGGGAGCGGTTCCATACGGTGAGAGGGAATTGGCGGGCGAGGTTGATGGCCATGGGAGAGCCCATGACGCCGAGGCCGAGGAAGCCTATTCTGGTGGTAGCCATGGTGGTTGATATATGGGATGAGGTTGTTGTTGTGGTGAAAGAAGAGTACGAATGTAGGCAGAGGAGAGACACAGGATTGGTTGTCTATTTATGCAATGGGTGATGGTGTATTCTCATCGTTATCTAAATGGCCAATTCGTCTTTTGTCATGTAGTCTGCCGCTTTCTAGAAGCAAAAAAAGGAATGAGGGCTTGGGATCCCGGCACCGGAATTGTATGAATCGGCGTTTGATATGGGGTCTCTATCTTGGCGGGTCATGTAGATGCTAGGGCGCGCCAGTGTTAGTGGGGGTTTCGTGTGCTGTAAGGGTGCGAGTACAGCGGCTGTTGGAGGTTAGCGTCGGCCTGTACTGCAGTGCAGTAGCACCAGTGGGAGTCACACAGCTACAGTAGAGTGAAGTTAGATAAGATAGGATACCCCATGGTGATATCATACCTCCGGAAATAAGGTCCTATCTCCACGCTGATCAATTTCTTTTATTTTATTTTTACTTGTTATTCTACTTCTTTTACATTTTTTATTTCAATGCTGTATGCAACACAATACCCTCTTCTCTACGAGCAGCTGAACGCAGCGCCACCAATCACCGTCCAAGCACGCACCGTGTTCTTTCTGTTCGAGACGCAGGGTCTTTGCTGGCCAATGGCGCTGGCTCCACTGTAAGAAATAGCCTACGACAGGTGGCGACCAGCTGTCACAGCCTCGTTGGTTCGCACACGAAGCCAGGCTTGCGTGGCCGATCCCAGGCAAAACTTCCGTCGACGCTCCATCCTCACGCACCGCCTCACGCTCTCTCCCATCCCAACACACATCACCAAAGCCCCAGCTTTTGTTTCTTCCATCTCGTTTTCTCATCATCATCGCAACCATACGCCTATTCGACACTCGCACACACAGCCGCCCATCATGGGGAACCCAAAGGATGATGCGCTCGCCGAACCGCCCTCGCCCTCACTCTCGACTCCCCTAGCATCTTCTCCCTCCAGCGCCGTTCAACTGCAAGAAACATCTTCTCCTGTGCATGGCCCTGGGAACCCCAACCCGCCGTTCCAGCGCTTCTTTGACGAAGATCCTCCCGAGCTCCAGGACAGCGACCTTCCGCCTCTCTACTCCGACCTCGATCACAACCTTCACACACCTGTCGACCCTCTCCTCCCTCGAAATACTCCCGCACTTTCCATCGAGCCCTTTTTCGTCTCAGCCCGTACCGACACAGTAAACTACATTGACCGCCGTCTCGAGTCGGATCCCGACTTTCTCATGTCCCAGCTTGACATCCTTGCTGCCAGTCCGCCCCGGCCCTTTGTCACGATCCGAGGCCACCATACCGAGACGAAACAAAAAGGAGACAAGTCCGAGACCAATGAAGTGATTGACTTTGCTCTCGAGATTGAGCTCACGCACCTCCTCTTTACAGACATTGCCTCGCAAATGTCATGGCGCCAGCTCGTCACGGCTGGTAACTTTGAAAAGGTCCGCCGTGGCACCGTCTTTGCTACTCGAGCTCCGGGCTTTGGAGGCTCCGGTATTGCGACAGACGACGGCCTGCCATCGCCTCTAGAATGGTGCCATCGCTTCTGTGCATCACGAGCTGGCCTCCGAGTCTTTAGTCTCCAGCGCCGCGTCGTTGGTTGGGACTTTGACCTGGTCCGCCGTAAATTGGAATCACTGGTCCGCGACACAAACTACCGCGGCACCCTTACCATCGACTTCCCTATCCGAAACTCACGAGTCGATATATACAACAACTGTCTCACCAACCGCTGGCGCCTGACAAACTGGATCTGCTGGCTGTTCATGCTTTCCTTGCTCTTCATCTTTACCTGGCCGTGGATCTTCTTCCGCACCAAGCGCTTCGAGACAGTCAGTGCCGTCTGGCCTATGAGCAAGGACGGCCGCTATGCTTCCATGAGCGAGCAGCGCTGGTACAACATGTGGGCTCGCACTATCCAGAGGGCTGTCCTGCGACGACGCCAGGGCGTCCTGGATCAGGGCGATGTCCAGCTGGCTGAGGAGCCGGAGGCGAGAGCAGAAGGCGCTCTAGGCGCAATCCAGGCCGGTTTGGAGGCTATGGGCGCCGTTAATCAGTCGTTTGGATGGGGAGGTGATACAAACGGACATAGTATCGGCATCGGCAGGCGTATCACAGGCACGAACTGATAGGACTACCATCACGACATGTAATCAATCCCATCTAAGCAACCCAGAGCATTATCATTAGCAACAGCACTAGCAGTAAAATGTACAACGTTAGCATCTTCTCTTGCTTTATTTCAACACAAAAATGAAAATAAACTCTCATGAATTTCGAATTTAAAGATAATTTACATCGGACATTTTCTCCAAACTCTTTTTATCGTACCACTTTATCAGCTGTCTTTTAAACTGTACATCTGGTTGCCTGCACGTGGTGAAGCGGGGCCGTCCCAACCGTTCGCAAGCCGTTCATCGCCGACCCCGCCCCCGCCATGATTTTCGTCTTTCAATTTTTTCTTTAAACCTCACCCGTCACCCAACACATCGAGGATATTCCAAGCACGATGCATCCCTCGGCGACGGCAGAGGTCAGGAACCCCAGACGGATCCTGGCAGTCAGTCTCCAGGACCACGAATCGCATCTCCTCCGCGTCATCACAGGTCCGTTGGCTGCTTACCCTATACCCCGCATCGGCGTAGAACATGGGCGACTAACAGCATGTACAGAGCTTACGGGCACTTCATTAATATCCTCGTCGCCGACAGCAGGCTCGTCACATACCCTCAACCTGAAAACTCGATACTATAAAGCTTCTATCCCACTGTGGTTGGACCTGATCGAGTCCCCAGTCGAGTGGTCCACGTCGTTTTTGTCGTCGGAAGCAACAGAGGTGTTGTCTGTGCTGGGTGGCATTATTCTCGTCTTTGCGACACCGGAAAAGGGCCAAGAGGATAAAGTACGCGATCTGATACAGCATGTTGGACAGGTCGTTCATCAGGGCCTAGGAGGATGGGAGTGGGACGGCGTCAAGCTGGCCGTGGGTGTGGGTGAGGGCGAGGGCGACGAGTGGGATGAGCTCTGCGCTGGAGCTGGAATCGAGTATGTACAAATTGGAGGCTCAAGAGGAGCGGCACTACAGGAGTTTGGAGGTACGTTACAAAGTCACAGGGCTCGGCCCTGCGGTGCCAACAGAGCTATGCTAACGCAAGATTGATACATATAGAAAAGTCTGGTGTTCCCCGAATCATTGAAGCCCTCGAAGCCAACGACTGGGCACAGCCCGACGAGCCGATGCTGTCCGAATTGGAAACCGCCTCCGAAGCAACTACACAAGACCACGACCACGATCTCGATCCGGATAACCTAGACTTTGGCTTTGACAAGGCCGACATGGAGGGCTTAAGGCGGGCGATATGGGGATTCGGAGATGCCGATCCGCCTGTCGGAAGCCGCACTGATTCGCCCGCACCCGCTACCACTAATAGTAATATTAATACCAACGACGGGACGAGCCGAGAAGCTGCAACTGCGGCAGCAGCAGCAGCAGCAGCAGCAAAGGAGAACGAAGAGTTGACAGAAGACGATATTGCCAAGGTGGAAAGCATGATGCGCAGACTCCAGGCTGCACGAGAGACGGGACAAGGAATGAGCGAGGCAGAACGGAAGCGGTTCGCGGCGAGGGCTGTACGAGAAGTAATGAAGGACCTATAAAACTGAGGCGAAGAGGAGAGGGAAGCCAGAACGATCTGTACTTTACGACTTTGATGAGAAAAATGAAAGAAAAGAGAACAATTATGCTTCGCAGCAACGCATTACCGCTATCACGATCACGATTTCTCCCAACATGGGCATTCCCGAACACGAATGGGCAATCGATAATCGATAAGCCGGACCGTCTTTTGGTGGACGTGTGCACATCTTATGCATCTTTGACCGGCAATAGACGATCCTGACTCAGACGTCGGAGAAACGCCCCCAAAGAGAAACCTCGATGCAAGGGAGTCTGGGGGTGCGCATGCCTCTGTCTTAACCTTAGCGGCGGTGACCCAGCCGGAGAAGTGCAAAAAAGGGAAACGGAATGCAGACACGCCTACGCCTGTCTTGCCTTTCTGCAAGAGCAGGGGCCTTTTCTTTTTTTTTTCTTTTGTTCGTCTATCAACGGCCGGTGGAAAAATAGAAAATACGAGACCGCCTAGTCGCTTTTGGGACCGCCGCTATGCGAGAGCCCAGGGTCTTCAGGGGGGGCCAGCGACAGGGAATCGTGGGTTTCTTTCAATAGGATAACGTAGTTATTTGTTTGCTTTTTGCTTTGCTAGTACAAACGAAGCAACACGTGTAGCCATGTACTGTTTATACAGCATCGAGATATCAATTGAATCATTGGAGATGCTGCTGACTGATATGGTGTGTTGACACCTTGCTGCTTCCCCATGCTTTTTGGACCGTCTGATCACGATATGCCACAAAACTTCATATACAGCGGTGACGTCGTGCGCAGCTCATCGGGATTACCAGCAAGGAAGGTTCCGATGCCTTAACGATACCTTGGCCCCCTAGGCCAGGCCAATGCAACAATACTTTGCTCTCGGCGCAGAACAAATCAACTGGTGAGGCGCTCGTGACTTGGTTGCGTACTTGCACTGCTTGCTTGGCAAGAGGGCCCAGGGTTCGTCACGATCCTTGTATTCCGGACTCCGTGGGCCACATCAATAGATTCAGGTCCCGACGCCGGACAGGGGATCTGGAAAGCAAGGGCTATCGTGATGTGCCGGACAAAGGCCCTCTCGGTCGGGACTGGCAGTCCACGGCCTGTTTCGTCCTACCAGGACAAGCAACAGGTGAGCCTCAGCCCGTACAACGGCCACCGCCCGCTTTTGTTTCGGACTGCGCTGGCACTTCTATCCTTGGCCTAGCCCTGCAGCAGCGCCAGCACCAGCTCCGCTTCAATGGACGAGAGAGGCCAACAGTGCTCCTCTTGCTTTTGGGTCTGGCTCGATAAGCCGCCGAGCCCAGCGTTGCCATCCCCCACGCCACTGGCCACTAGAGGGCATGTGGTACGCGGGCGGAGACCGCCTCGGCTCGTGGTTGGTCAGTGTGGGACGCGGTGCCGCTTGCTAAAAGCTGCTAGTCAGGGGTAGACAGCAAGCCACCTTTGGCGCGCCGCCGCTCTGCAGAGTTTTGGCGATATATCTTTTTGCCGTTGAGCTTTAGTCGTACTAGGTGGGCGTCATAGCTTTGTGTTGTTCTTGTGGTTCGCCACCAACTGCTGTTCTTGTCGATTCCGTCTCAATGCCTGTATTCTGTGTTTCGTCTACTGTTTGCCGAAACCAATCCTCTAACACGCGTTCCCGCCGGTTTGCACGCCACAAGTTTATGCTCTTGTGTTTTATGTTTGCCGTCCTGCCCGGCAGCTAGGTCTCTGTTGCATCTCTTGCAGCTGCACCCAAAAATACCCCGAGCAATGACGAGCGGGCGGTTCGGTCACCTGCACTTGCATCAGGGGTCGTGAGTGGTCTTTGTATGGTAGCACCACCCCACGGATGACGCCAAGCTACTGCAGGAACAAGAAAAGACCGAGTGGGGTCGCAGCCACAAACCACACAAACCACGAACCACCACCACACACCCACACATCGCGGTCCTTTTGCCTGAGGTAGCAACCAAACTGGGAAAGTCTGACAGGCAATCGCTGCGCATGATGTTCGTGTGTGCCACCAGCTTTATGCGTTGGTGGTTGATTGGTTGTGCCAGTGAGGCTTTCACAACTCTGACATGCGTAGAAGGCTTAGACCAGGCGCTGCAAGCCAACGGCAGCTGGAGTCTACTTGCTTGACCGCTCGTATCAAGCACAAGCCTTTTCCCTCAACGCTGTGCGAAGGCTGACCGACGGACAAGACGCCCCGTTATCGTTATGGTCTGGTCGACGGCCTCGTGACGAACCAGACCCGGGCCTGGCTGACTCCTCAGTCCGTCGTATGCTCTGTAAAGCCACCTGGTATAAGCAGTCCCTCTGCGGGGCTGTTGCAGTGCCTAAACAGCTATTTTGACAGTAAAAAACAGCGAGGTGAGGGCGATACTCTAAATCAGGGTATCTTTTTTCGGTGCCCACACCCGATCTTCAAAGCTTGACGTGACCCGGCGTTCTGAGCACACCCCACGCCTTAAACATGATGTTCGCGAGGGGTACAGCCGTTGAGCAGACAATTCCGGTGAATGTGATAAAGAATAGCAACCATCAAACCACTGCCCTTTTTAGGCTCTGCAGAGCAAATGCACTGTTCTGCTGTCACTGTGTCTGTCTTGGCCACGGAACGTACCTACGCGCCATTCTCGAGTTGCCAGCCCCTGGAGGGCTGCGCTTTCCGAGACACGATGGGCCTCGCAAGCCAAACGAGGCAAAAAGCCAGCCATGCGAGGCGTCGTGCGGCATACTTGCAGAAAGAACACGCACAGTTTAACAAAGCAGAGACACCACAGACAAGCGAGTCTAGGGGGCGACGATGTACAATACATTTGAAGGTACAGTCTTGTACAGTACTCGAGAAACGCGAGCTGACGGTGAATAGTACGTTTGCTGTCACTTGTCGTGTTTGGCGACGATTGCTCTGAGTATTGTACCAACCGTTGCGTGTTGTTGCATTGTCTGCCCTCAAATTATAGTAGAAGGGCCCAGGCAACGTTTGTGTCTTTGTCTTCCAAGGCTCAAAGCTGTCAATGTGAGGATCGATGTCACAACTGTTGGTGTTTGTTACCCACAGAAAAAGGGTTATTCAGCTTCGCCTACGTCAAGTCTGTGCTCAGTGGAGGTTTTCGAGCCAGCACAAGCCCCCTCGTCAAGCATTCTGGTTTGTCCAGGCTAGCGCTGTTCAGTCCGCCAACATGGTGTGTTTGGCGGTCAGGCCAAGCAGGGCAAGGAAGGGTGCGGTAGGTAGCTTGGCGGTAGAAGCACGCGCGAGGTCGCGCAGGGTGAAACAGAAGCGAGTCCCAAACGGCACAATGCCTGGACTGGGCCTTGCGAATGCTAGTTCAGGGGTATCTGGCGACCCATTGGTACGTGCCCGAGTCGATGGCTTTTCGCTGATCCTCGCCACACATCGCAGGCTTTGGGGCTCACCCCTGTCCGCTCCCTCAGCGGCGCGTGCAGGCTTTTTTTTTCCGTCGTATGAACATGTTGTCGCGCCGCGAGCTGCTGTGAACCTGCGGGCGTGTGACGGTGGCATCGAGCAAGCTGCTATGAGAAGGGGGGATAGAGGGGCCAACTGCAGCCAGAAAAGAGAGAATAAAAAGCAACAGCGTGTTACCTGTAAGCAGACCAGATGGGGCAGCTAGCTTTATGCGTTGAAGATTGATCCGGCTGCATAAGTGGTTTTGTGAATGCTTCTTTTTTTTGCCAGTGGTGAGGAAAGGGTGTGTGGGTGAGTGCCGCCGCAGTTTATGCATGCAACACGCAACGCTGTGCCGGCGTCGCACTGGCACGGCACTGGCACTGGCAGCTGCACCAGCTGCACCAGTTGGCGGGCGCTGTGGCAAAATGTTGGAACAATGGGCGGCATCCTGTGCCTGCATATGCGCTACCGCCACTGCGCACCACTAATGGCCGAGCCGTACCTGACGCTAGCACCCAAAGAAGCAGTGCAAAACAGGCACCACTAGAGCTTCAGCTTGCCCCTTTCGTGTAGAGTGCCTCACGCTGCAAGGCGACTGGTGGACAACAAGCGCCCAAAGCACGGCGGTCTGCGGGCTTGGGAGGCGTTTTTCTTGTGATGCCTTTGTTTTCGTTCCGCTATTTTTTACTTTTTCTCTTCGTTTTTGCTGCAGGCCGTCGCTTTTGCCGCGCTATTGGTCGACAAGGCGCTTTCTTTTTCCCTCTACCTATTGATCCGCTGCTCAGCTGGCAGCCAAGGGCTTACGGAGACGCTGCGATAACGCTACAGTTAACGTACTGTACGATGACTACTGAGCATTACTAGGAGGACAATTGTATAGGCGAGCCCAGGTTTTAGTGCGCCAACGGCACCCCCCGTGTTGTGGCCGTAGCGCAGTCCAGTCCCCGTATGTAAGTTGGGATTCGCCCAAGGGGCCTCGCTCCCCCGGACTCAAGATTTGCGTTCGCAGCCCATCTCGCAGCGTCGCCGTGCTAGCAACGTCCCAAAGCATGACAATTAAGCTCACGACTCTCGCTGCAACAGTACTGGTGTTTTAATTATCACCACAATCCTCTCGTTGTGCCTCCTATTCTGTAGTCCCGCCCCCCGCCCGCCGAACCAAAGCTACCAAACCAAGCAAGAGCCGGCTCCGCCCACAGGTGCAGCACTAAGCAGCCCGCCCACACAGCCAGACGCACACACCACACCACTGCTGCACACCACACCCACACCCCGTGCCTGGCTCTGGCTCGTCGCCCCCCGTTTTTTTCTCAGGCCCCTTCCCTCCCTCCTCTCTCCTCCCCCAGTACTCCATCACCACTTTTTTTCCTTTCTCATTCCTTTCCTCTTCACAACCATCTTCTCTTCTTTCTTTTCGAGTAATCCTCCTTCTTTTCCTTTTCCTTTCTGTCGCTCTCTTAATTCGAACACACACTCTTTTCAACCCTCTTCGCCTTCTTACAGCCACTTTCCGGTCCTCATCACTCTTTCTGAGGAACCATTACATTCTTTTCGGCTTCAAAACTTCATACGATCTTTACACACTATCCAACCAGACGACCTCGATAATCCGACCGTCCAACACTCTCTTTATTACTCTTCAATTCATTGTCCAACTAGCTTGGAGATCCATCCATTCATTACAACAATACTCGATACAGTTGTCCGACCGCTTACCCCCCAGCTGGCCGCTCCTATTCCATCAGACACATCGCTACAGCCACATACCACGCGACGTGACCTGTATTTTACCATTACTCCTACCAACAGAAGAAACATTTGGCTTTCTACCTGATTTGGTGCCTTTGTTTAAACACGTTGTCTACGCAAGCTGCTTGCCGTAACTAGCATTGACAGCTCTGAGTACGCGTTTTTAGTTGCAATGGCTACCGAAGTTGAGCAGCCCATGACTATGGCCATGGCCGCTCCGGCACCTCAAATGTCCTCCAGCCCCAACTCAAGCATGATGCACATGGCTGGTGGCATGATGCCCGCAAAGCAAACCCCATCCCCCTCCGCCACGTCGAGCGCCAGCGTCCCTGGTGCCTCAACCGCCCCCAAGCGCCCTCCTCGCAAGAGTACACTCACCCAGCAGCAGAAGAACCAGAAGCGCCAGCGAGCTACCGCGGATCAACTTTCTACGCTTGAGGTTGAATTCAACAAGAACCCCACGCCCACTGCCGGTGTACGCGAGAAGATTGCCGAGGAAATCAACATGACGGAACGATCTGTTCAGATTTGGTTCCAAAACAGGTACGCTACTCTTCGACGTTCTTGATGTCCCTTTCCGAGCCTATCAAAACTAACCCGCTTTCTAGACGTGCCAAGATCAAGTTGCTCGCCAAGAAGAGTCTTGAAACTGGTGAAGATATTGATTCCATCCCCGAGTCTATGCGTGCATACCTTGCCATGCAGGCCATGGAAACTGGCAAAGGACTTAGTGGAGGCTACCTTGGCCGTAATGGTTTGGCCCCCTTCGCTGCTGGCACCATGCTTTTCGGCGAACAAGCTGCTCAGGGCAAAGTTTGTATGTATATTCTAACCGTTACTGGGCGACCGACGGGTAACTAACATATCCTCCCTAGTGATCCACCATCTTACCTGCCGCTCTTTGAGCATTGGCAAGTGGACCAGAATTGGCCAAAGCATGATGGACCTCATTGTCTTCTACTCGCCTGACAAGTGTACCATGACCTACTACATCAACAATGACCAGGCCGGCTACAAGATCGAGTACCCATTCTCTTACATCAAGAACATCTACCTCGAGAATCAGGAGGGAGACCCAACCAAGCAGGGCGGCATTGTGATTGAGTTGAACCGCGCCCCGTACTTCTTTATGGACACATCTACCCAGGCCAATGGCTTCGGCCAGGTTGGCGATTTCACCGAAGACTCGCAGGCTAGCAAGTGCCTGATTCACCACCTCGGCGGCAACCCCAAGGTCCTGAGCGGCCAGCTTGCCAAGCTGATTTCGCTTGATCCCTTCATGAACCGCCACAACCCCATGGCTTTTGCTGACCCTCACACCGTGTCTGCTTCCGCCCCTGTCTCACCTGTGCCTAGACCCTCGTCGCAGCCCAACTTTGCCCAGAACCCGCCTGTCCTGCAAGAGCAGCAATGGGGCATGAACCAGATGCACTCGGGCAGCATGCGTCCTCCTCACGGACACAAGCGCCAACGTAGTCGCTCTGTTCCTGGCCCTATTGACTTTGCTATGTTCCAAAGCCAACCCATGCCTTCGTTCTACATCCAGCCTCCAGGCGACATGGGACCTCCCCAGGCTCCCAATGTCTACGCCCCTGTCCCGCAACAACCTAATGCTCTGCCGCAGCATCTTCGCATTGACACACAGGCTGGCTTCGGACTAGACATGCGCCAATACCCAATGTCTGCCGCTACTGCCTCTCCCGCCGAGTTCCCCGGCAGCCCTGGCGGCTTCCTTCCCCAAGGCTCTGATCCCACCGGCATGATGACTCCCAACTACAATGCTTCTTACGGAACCGCATTCCTGTCGCCAATGGTCAATGCTGATGGAACCATGCCCACCTCCGTCTCGCCCATCCCCTTCAACGGGATCGGCGAGCCTTCGATTGTTGAGCAGTCTCCTCCCATGGGACTGATGGCGCGCCCTGGCTCGGCCGGCATGTACGCTGGCCAAGACGGATCCTGCGCCGTATCCGAGGATGGCTCAGCCTTGAACGAGATGTACTCTAAGCACTCTATCAACCTGCCCATGCACACAGCATCGCCCGGAAGCTTCATTCAATCACAACATGCCGAACTCGACATGGATCAGCTTGTCCAGTTTGACACTGTCGACCCTGCCAGCCTGTCGCCTGAGGGTCTTGCCCCTACACAGCAATAGGCTCGCAATTTGGTTTGCTTGTTGATGCTTCTGCTTCCCTCTTTGGAAGGGAAGCAAATACAAGGCACTGGGCAACAACAGTACTGGATTACACACTTGTTGATTCGATTTTGTTTACATTTCTTTTCCGTCACGGAGGCGTTGTTTCTGCCGGGCATGGCACACATTCACATTATACCATTTGGCACTTGTTGGAACTCACGTTTACTCTTTCCCACTATCTTTCCGTTATTTTGTTTGGATACATCACAGCACTTTTTTTATTCGGCCTCCTGTCGCAGGCACCTAATTAATGTTGCACTGCGGGCAACCGCAAGAGTGACGCGACACCAAGCATTTTTCCTTTTCCTGTTTTGTGCTTGCTCTACAGCCAAGCCACAGCTAATGATTTTGCATGACCCGATCTCTCCTCTTTCTCGAGACTGATGATGGACCTGCCGGCGCTGCATCTGCATGCGACGACGGGGTCAGCTCGGAAAAGGTCTGGACCTTACACCAAAAATGTGGCCGTCGAAGCACAACAGGGACAATGGCGCAAGCAAAGTGACTTTTGCGTGCGGGGTCCTGCCAATTGTCGCGGCCATGTTGCCCCCCTCTCTCTTACTCTTGTTATTATTATTACTTATAATTGGTGGTGAAACCGCGTCTATTTTTTTGTTGGCTGCGCAACCTGTTTATACTTGCTTGTTTTCTGGCTTGTTGCTTTGAACTGTTGCTCGTTGTCTGTTTTTTCTTTTTTTGGATGCAGAAGAGGACCGGCCCAGGTGGCCGGGACGGGAGTGGTTGACTTGGGGTGAATCAAAAGGAATTCTATCTCTGGAGCGGTGTTGTTTGATTCTACAACCTCTTTTTACTTTACTTACGCCACTAGATACTTTGGGAGGACAAAATGTATATTGCCTCCTTGCTTTGGGTGGCGGCAGGAGTAAAAGGCATCAGATAGACGAAGAGAATAGAATCAGTCTTAATTTGTACGAGCAGAACAGAACACAAATGTGACGAAGAGAAGCAGGCAATTGTGACAAGGGCAGACGTAGCACAACTGTCCTGCCTATTTTGATAGAAAGAGACTTTTTGGATGCTTGTTGGCTAGAAACTATTTGATCTCTTGACCTTGTTAAGTGGGGACGATGACAGTTTAACGGCCAGGGCCTTGGAAGTTCTAGACGCTGCGGGGAGAGGCTCTTTTTTTTCGGGGCTTTTTTTTCTCGCTTGGGGGAAGATGGTTGGGAGCCAAGCAAACGGTCTAGCCGAGAGGGAAGACAAGCTTTTGGCGTATTACTCGTAGGCTTGGGGAAGAGGCTGAGCTAGTGGTTAGCGTGCCCAGAATGCGGTGCTGCTGTAACCACTGTCGAGAGGCCATTTGGCCACGACGAGGGCAGTGGGACCGAAGCAGGCAAAAGGTGGCGTGGGCAAGGTCTAAATCGGGCAAAGCCTAAAGCAGTGAGGCTGCTTGGGATGCGACTGTGATTGGTGTTCTTTTCATTTCTGCGCAGTGGAATAGCATAGGGACGAATTAAAGCTGCAGCGGACGTTTTAGCGTGCAGGAATCAGCCACGGAATTGGGTAAGACGAGAGATGCCGTAGGACGTTGGACGGCAGATGGAGCAAAACATGCAAAGTGAGCCGGAAGAGAAAAGAGAGGCCAAGACAACAGAATTAAGACCAGGCAATTAAAATAAAGACGATAAAAGAAGGCTGTGCGGCTGGGCATTGGAGGCTGTGATGGTGCGATACAACTTGACAGTATAGAGAGAGTACTACCTACGCCCGCACTGACAGGGCTTATGGGGGGCCCGTGGGCACGGGAGGCATGCTGTTGACGTGCGCACGGTGCTGGGGCCAACTGCCAAAGAAAAAGAAGAAGTATAAAGGTATGATGGAACAAAGGAGATTATCGTACGGAGGTTAAAAATGAGGAAACATGTTTGTATTGTCTCGGTTCTATCGGCAGCAAAAAGAAGGCTGGCGTCAGCAACACGAGAGAGCGACAGACGTTTTGGGCGGTGGTGTTGCGTGTCTACAGCGGTGTTGCTTCTTCTGGCGTAGTGGAGTGCAACGCTGGGCTGCTTGAGTCGAGCTGGCACTGCCTCGTGCTGGCGCTAGTGGGTCTATAGCGCAAGGCGAGGCTAGAATTTGGCACTAGCGAAAAAGGGCCTGGTCTGTTTGCCACTAGAACGCCGACGAGGCGCCGGGAATGGCGAAATATTTGTAGAGAGTAGACAGAGGAAAATTAAAAGGACAAAAAAAATAAGAGCAAAAGAGAGAAGAGAAGAGAAGGGAGGGCACTCTTTGCTGCAATAAATACAAAACCAACTGCCGCCCTTTTCTTTTTTTCATTCATTCTTTTGCACTGCCCTGTTGCGTTGTTGCGCAGCATAGCGTTGCGTGGATTGGATGTGCCGTGGGTTGCGTGTGCACCTCCCAAAAAAGGAACATGTGGACATGGTAGAAAAGACGTGCTCGCTGTAGGTACTCACAGTACGTACTGTCCACTACAGTATGTACCTGTCGGTCCATCTCTGTTAGCCCACCACACTACTTACCGTGCTGTGGGCGGGCCCTGCGCCCAGATCGTCGCTCCTCGCTGACGGCCCCCCCCGTTTTTTATTTTTCTACTTGGCCAGCACAAAGGGTCCCCCTAGACCGAGATTCGTTGCTTCTTCTCCTTCTTTGTTTCCATTCTCCTATTCTTCTCGGTTTTGCTGTAAGATACGAATACAACTTGCTATTTTGTTGCAGAGACGAATAGCTACTGAGTACAACCCCTGTCAACCGTCGTGTGGCCCCTTGTACCTTGTACCCTGCCACCACCCATACGACGACCATCAGCATCAGCATCAGCACACAAGCAACTGTTGCAACCACCACCTCAGCCTCTCACGTACAGCTGGCCCAAACCTCCTGGGCTGCATTTTGGGCCAATTCTGCCACCACTTGGCTACTTTTTGCTCCTCTTCTTCTCATTTTCCTTCCTTCTCCAATGAAGACTACGCAGTAATATCGCAGATATTCATCCACCGGCCATGGCTCCTCCCCCTCCAAAGGACGCCCCCGCGGCTTCGTCTCCCTCGTCTTCTCACAACCACGCCGCCGCAGCAGACAATACTCGACCTCCTACGACTGCTTTGCACATGACAATTCCTCGACGCTCCCATACCGATCCCTCACACGCCAGTCCCATACACGCCAGTCCCATACACGCCAGTCCCATACACGCCAGTCCCATACACGCCAGTCCTATTCACCCAAGTCCCTTGGCCGCCACGCACTCCGCACAGCGAACCTCGAGATCAAAAGCAAGGCGGTCCTGGGCCGAGCCCGACGCCGATGGCCTCCAGCAGCACCATGAGCTCGAGACAATCCAGTCTCGTGTGCCGATTGCCATCGAGGACCGCCGCGAATCTACCCATGCCCGTCTCGAAATCATCGCAGAGTCCTCGGGCCCGACGGTCTTTGACAGAGTTCGTGAGCATGCCGAGGGTGTCTCCGAAAAGCTTGTCTGGATGCGGCAGGATCAAAAGTCCAACCGCCTTCGCCGCCGCAGAAAGCAGGGCATGCCCTTTAAGGACCGAATCGCAGCCAAGGCTGCCACCTTCTTCCAACTGTACATTATGCAGGGCATTTTCCGTCGAATGCCCTTGAAGCCCTCCAAAGACGGCCGCCACATCCCTCTCCAGTCACACGCCTACGCTGCACCCCATCTCATCGACGAGCGATCAGGAAAACCGTATATAAGCAACTTTATCCGATCTAGTCGATACACGATTTACGACTTTGTGCCACAGCAGCTGGTCTTCCAATTCAGCAAGCTCGGTAACTTCTACTTTCTTCTCATGGGTATCCTGCAGACCATCCCTGGCCTCAGTACCGTCGGTCGCTGGACAACTATTGCACCCCTCAGCATCTTTGTTGCCTTCAGTATGGCCAAAGAAGGCCTCGACGACTACAGACGATACCAGCTCGATAAATCCGAAAACCGAAGCACCACTCTTGTTCTGACAGATTGCGTGGGTCAGGATCGCCGTGGAGTCTCGGGCATCAAAGCCAAGTCCCGCGCTGGCTGGCATGGCTCGAAAAAGGGACCTGAATGTGAAATCGATGAAGTACCCCTCGACGACCTCGAGAGCGCCTCCCGAACTACACATAGCGAGCCAGAAGATTGGGTTCTTATGCAGTGGCAGCATCTTCGAGTCGGTGACATTGTTCGCCTGCAACGAGACGAGCCTGTCCCGGCAGACATGGTCTTATTGCACGCCACTGGCCCCAATGGTGTGGCTTATATTGAGACCATGGCCCTTGACGGTGAGACCAATCTCAAAGCCAAACAAGCCTGCCCACCTCTCCTGGAACGATGCGATACGATTGAAAACCTGCGAACCCTCAACGCCACCGTCATCTCCGAAGACCCCAACATCCATCTGTACAGCTATGACGGCCGAGTGACAGTTGACAGCGACACTGCGCCACTTTCACTTAACAACGTTGTTTACAGAGGGTCTATTCTGCGAAATACTGCTGGTGCCATTGGCGTCATTGTGAACTCGGGCGAGGAGTGCAAGATTAGAATGAATGCAAACAAAAACGTCACCGCAAAGAAGCCTGCCATGCAAGGCCCCGTCAACAAGATGATCATGGTTCAAATCGTCATTGTACTGATGATTGCTACGGGTTTCTTGATTGGCTACCTGGGCTGGCAGTCTCGTGAAAAGCACTCCTTTTACATTGTGGAAAAGCGCAAGTACAACGCCCAGGTCCCCCACCGCAATATCTGGTTTGGATACCTGCTCATGTTCAACACCCTTATTCCGCTCTCCCTCTATATCAGTCTCGAAATCGTCAAGCTTGGCCAGCTCTGGCTTCTCCACGATGAGGACATGTACGATCCCGTCTCAGACACCCCCATGGTAGCCAACACCACCACCATTCTCGAGAACCTTGGCCAAGTTAGCTATGTCTTCTCCGACAAGACTGGAACCTTGACTGAAAATCTCATGAGATTCCGAAAAATGTCTGTTGCCGGTGTTGCCTGCCTCCACGATATGGATGTTCTCAGAGACGAAAAGGCAAAGCAGACGAGAATCGACACAATGCAAATGGCAAGAAGCAACAGAAAATCCACTGCCTCTTGGCACATTTCACAGATGAACCGCCTGTCATCGGATGTGTACGCCAACCGCAACGCCCACTACGAAGCCGGAATGGCTCCAGGAAGAGCCTCTACGGGCTCCGCAACATACTGGAAGTCGTCTGCTCGCCCGGACGAAGCCCCAGAGATGAAGACTGAAGATCTCTTGCTCTACATTCAGCGAAAGCCCAACACCACGTTTGCCCGTAAAGCCAAGCACTTCTTACTCTGTATTGCCTTGTGTCATACTTGCTTGCCCGAAACCAAAGATGACGGAAGCGTGGAGCTGCAGGCTGCATCGCCTGACGAGCTCGCGCTAGTAGAGGCTGCTCAGGATCTTGGATACATGCTCATCGATCGACCGGCTCAATGCATCAAGCTCCAGTCTCGTGACAGCAATGGCAACATGCAGACGGAAACATATCAGGTCTTGGATGTTATTGAGTTTAGCAGCAAGCGTAAGCGAATGTCCATCATTCTGCGTATGCCAGACAAGAGCATTTGCGTCATCTGCAAAGGTGCCGACAACGTCATTACCTCTAGGCTGAAGCTGAGCCACATTGCCGAGCAAAAGGCCCGCGAGGTGGAGCAGATGTCCAGCATGCGCAAGACCTTTGAGCAGCACAAGCTGAACAAGAGACTCAGCATGCAGGCGAGCGCAAAGAGTACCCCTCGCAGCAGCTTCAACATCAAGCGAGGTGAGACGTTTGACCACAACGACCGACGCTGGAGCGCCGGACGCCTCTCCGCCGACTTGAAGAAGCCTGCACATACTGAAGCCACTCCCGGAAAACTGAAGAGGAATCGAACAGAAGATTTCGGCACGCCCCGCACTTCGGTTGATTTCTTGCGCAACCGACCTCTCTCTACTGTGAATCCCGTTGCCTCGTTCGATGCTGTTGAGCAACAGGTTGACGAAGGAGTGGCAGCCAACGAGTCGGCTATTCTGGAGCGATGCTTTCAGCATATTGATGAGTTCGCCACCGACGGCCTGCGCACGCTGCTCTATGCCTATCGCTATATTGATGAGGAGACATATACTTCCTGGAAGGCTACATACAAGGAGGCCGAAACCAGCTTGGTGGACCGCCAGGAGCGTATTGAAGCTGCTGGTGACCTGATTGAGCAAAAGTTTGATCTTGCTGGTGCGACGGCTATTGAAGACAAGCTTCAGGAGGGTGTCCCGGAGACCATTGACATGCTGTGCCGTGCCAACGTCCGCGTCTGGATGCTGACTGGTGATAAGCGAGAAACGGCTATCAACATTGGTCATTCTGCCCGTGTCTGCAAGCCGTACTCAGAAATGTACATTTTGGATGCTGCTGCTCCAGGATCTTTGTTGGATACGCTCAAGGTTACCCTCAATGACGTGAGCCGAGGCATGGCACCGCACTCCGTTCTTGTGGTTGATGGCCAGACGCTAGCGGCGATTGATGCCGACGATGATCTGGCTGTTTTGTTTTATGACCTCGTCGTCCGCGTGGACTCTGTGATTTGCTGCCGTGCCTCGCCGTCGCAAAAGGCCAACTTGGTCAAAGCCATTCGACGATATGTACCCAAGAGCATGACGCTTGCCATTGGAGATGGTGCCAACGATATTGGTATGATCCAAGCGTCGCATGTGGGTATTGGCATTTCCGGCCGCGAAGGTCTCCAGGCGGCTCGTATTTCCGACTACTCGATTGCGCAGTTCCGCTTCCTACAGAAACTCTTGTTTGTTCATGGCCGCTGGAACTACCTGCGCACTGGAAAGTACGTGCTGGCAACCTTTTGGAAGGAAATCTTCTTCTACCTGATGCAGGCGCACTTCCAGCGGTACACTGGCTACACTGGCACCTCCCTGTATGAGTCGTGGAGTCTGACAACCTTCAACACGCTGTTTACGTCGCTGGCTGTCATTCTGCTGGGTATTTTTGAGCGAGACTTGAGTGCCAAAACGCTGCTCAAGTTTCCTGAACTCTACACATTTGGGCAGAAGAACCTTGGCTTCAACTTTAAGCAATATGTTGGATGGGTGGTGCTTGGTGTTTTGGAAAGCTGTATCGTGTTCTACTTTACGAGAGCCGTGTATGACAGAGGCCTCTCGACGGACGACACGAGTCTGTACGCAATCGGTAGCATCTGCTTTACCGTTGGTGTGGTGTTTATCAACCTGAAGCTGCTGGTACTGGACTTGCACACCAAGACCATCATTACCTTTGGCGGATTCATCATCTCTGTCGGCGCATGGTTCATGTGGATGCTGATCCTTGCTGTTGTATACAACCGCGGCAACAGCATCTACATTGTACGCGCAGCATTCTTGCACAACTTTGGCCGGCAGCTGGTCTGGTGGGTGACGGCATTGATTGCATTGATGACCATTACCGTGATTGAGCTGGCAGTGCAAGCTCTTCGCCGCGTCTACTGGCCCACGGACCAAGACCTGATGCAGCGCATCGAGCAGGACCAAGAGGCGCTTAAGGCCATGGAAGATCATGAACGGGATACCGAGGCTGCTATGCAGCAAGTTGAAGAGGAGAATGTAGCAGCAGCAGGAGGAGCGGTGGTACGTGATGCATCGCGTGCTAGCGGGCATCGCTTTGTGCGTGTGAGCCATGATGGCAGCAAGCCGGAACACGGCGAGACGCTGCGAGAGAAGTTGGAGAAGCTCAAGAGTGAGCTTTAGGTGCTACGAGAGACGATGACCCAATTTGTCTTTTTTGGATTTTCCTTTTTTTGGCGTTACAAGCAAGCCCTTTTTTGTTTTACGATATATCATACGCACGTCTAGGATGAAGACGAGATGACGGAGTAGAGGATACATATATATAGAAGATAGAATACCCCCAGTGTGTACTTTAAAATGCCAATGAAAAATATCCCCTTTTAAAACAAGCTTCCTCTTGTGTATACACACCAAATTAAAGTCATGTGAAAAAAAGTTGTAACTTTTGCACCCTGTGACATTAGTATATCGGATAATAAGGCAACTGTTATGACAATGTAGAGCAGGTAAGAAAGCAGTGTTTCATAGAAGGAAAGTATATCATTATAAGAGCCAATTGGCTTGCTATATATGTATAAGTAGCATCTCATGTACAGTCATATATGGTAGTTTATATATATACATATATAGATATATGTTCATTGTTGTGTGTTCATTGTTTGATCTTTTTCTTTTTTTTAGATTGTTGGTTTCAGCACTTTTTAGATGTTAACCTTGAGAGCAAAGAGACCACGCTCGATGCAGTTAATGACAACAGTGCCCGACTTGAAGTAGGGGTAGACGCTCCAGGCACCAAAGAACTCGGCCTTCGAGTCGTCGTCGTCCTCGGGGTAGCAGTCAAAGTTGGCAAGCTCGGTCATCTGGGCGCCAGTAGGGTCCTGGAGGACGGAGCGGGCGTCGACAACACGGAGACCAGAGCCGTAGTTGGCCTGGTAGGAGATGCCGTCAATGATGTACTGGTTGTGGTCGATGGACTGGATGGGGGACTTGTACTGGCCGGTGTATGTGGGGTTGGCGAGCGAGGAGATGTCAAAGATGTAGGTGGTGGTGTGGCTGTCCTGGCCGACGCCGGCGCGCTTCATCTCGTCCTGCTCGTCGTCGAGCAGCAGGTATTTGAAGTCCTTGTCGATGTTCCAGCCCTGGTGGGTGTAGGCGCCCTTGCCGTTGAAGCCGTCGTACGTGACACGCGAGATGATGGCCGACGAGGTGCGGTTGGTCACGTCATAGATGGTCAGCGTGTCCTCGTTGTAGCCGAAGCAGATCTCGTGGCCCTGGAACTTCTTGTCCACGCCGCGGTAGACGACGCACTGCGCATCGTGCACGTAGCCGTCCTTGCCGTTGCAGCCGGTCAGCTTGGGCTTGGAGGGGTCGGCAACGTCGAGCATGACGAGGCCGCCGTTGGATGCGGTGCAGCCGCCGTTGCGGCCGGCGCCGACAATGAAGATGCTCTTGGTCTCGGGGTTGGCAACAATGTTGTGCGACGAGCCAACGCCGGTGTAGAGAGCAGTCAGGTCCTTCTTGATGTCGAAGGTCTTGGGGGTTTTGATGTCAAGAAGCTTGTTGAGGTCAAAGATCTGCACGCCATGTCCTTGGGCCTCGGAGCCAATATAGACGTGGTGGTCAATGACCTTCATGTCACGCCAGATGCTGCTGCCCGTCTGTGTGGGAAGGCGGGCAATGAACTTGAGCTGGCCGCCGGGGAGGACCTCGACGAAGCCGGTGCCGTCAGAGTGGCCGACAATGGCAAACTCACGGCCATCGGGGGATGTCCAGCCCCAGATGTCGTTGCCTTCACGCTCATTGGAGCCCTGCTGCTGGTAGGTGAGGTGGTCGAGCAGGTCAATGTTGTTGCACGAGTACTCGCCGGCCTTGCCGTTGACACACTTGGTGGCGTTGGACGAGGCGTATCTGTCAATGTCAAAGACACCCTTGGCACGCTGGGCCTCACGGTGGGCAGTCTTGTGGCTCATCATCTCCTGCATTTTGCTGGAGGCCTGCATCTCCATCATAGGAGCTGAGGCAGTGACCGTGGAGGCCAGCACGGCGGATGTGAGAAGAGAGAACTTCATTGTGATCTGAAGGGGGGGTATATAGAAGGACAATGAAGATGGGAAAGTGTGAAGAGGAAAGGGGATGAATACTCAGAAGCAGAGATACACGGAGAAGAGGACGGGTAGCCTGGATCCTTTTATACAACTTGGAAAGCGGCTCTTTGGCTCGCTCTCCTCGCCCTCAACAGGAAGCCCGCCTCTTCCACATGGGCCTGGCCCGACAATGGTCCCATGGGGTACCATGAAGGTCGGCTAGCCTCACTTGGGAAATCAAGCTCCGTTTCGAAAAAGGCAGAGTGCGTCTTGGCGAATGGATGGAGTCACATCTGCGGGGGGCATCCCGACTCGTGGGTACAGGGGGTCAAATGATGCGGTGCAAGAGCGGCATATAGAGCCAAGTTGTAGCGACCAAAAGATCCCGAACCTGCGCCATGCAAAAGCTGAGGTGTTGTTTTTACTTCTCTGTGAGGCGCAGACAGCAAGTAGAGCCTGCCATCGTCCTCATCGTGCGCTCATCCATTCAAGGCTGTGGTTGTTTCGTCCTCTGGTGTGCACGACTCGCCACTCACTCTGACGCCCGACCAATAACAAAGGACGTAGTGTGCGTGATACTAATCATACTTGCTCCTCCAAAAACCCGAAACCCAAAAACTTCAACGCCCCCGTATCTGTCTGGCTTGGCTGCTTTCCTCGCTAATGGTAATGCCGCTGCTCCTATTAGCTGTTCCAGCAGCTCCAGCAGGGAATTAGTCCGGCAGACAACAAGCTTATCGGTTTAGTGGCTGGCTAGCCCCCCTTCTACTGGCCAGCGACCTGCCTGAATAGGCAACACACCGCAAATGCACCCACGCAACCCCAGAGCGCCATTTCTTCGGTGCCAGCAACCAGGGCCCAGCGATCGCCTGGAGGCTGAACGCCGGCTCATGTAAATGTTACGCCTCGTGCCCCCTTCTTACTTATCAGTGGCGGCCAACTAGCCCCATTGACGTTCTTGGGTGTTGCGTGTGTCTAAGATTCCCATGTTGAAGAACCAACCGTCTGCGTCATGTCATGCAATTAGAGTTCTTGGGCACCCATCGGGCCTACCGCTCCCACGACAGCGGCAACGAAAAAGTTACTTTATCATTAGAAAAAGTCGCGTGCACAGCCCCCGCTCTCTCCTCATCGGTGGCCCGCAGGCTATTCCCATTGGGGCCAATGCAAGTCGTCTCCCTGCCTGTGCCGGCGGTGCAAGCAAGGCGGAGTCAGTCTGCACTGCCAAAAAAGATGCTTAAAAAAAGGTTCCTTTACGGCTCTGGAGACATTCATGGTACCGACACCGCCCTATTTCCAGTGTATCATCCGCATGAGAAGCGTGAGGCAGGCTGGCAAAGCAGACTGCGCAGCGCCATTCTCGGCGTGCTCTTCTTGATTTGTATGGTTCGTTCTCCAATATTTACGGTTATGGCGGGCGCCGTTTTGGCAGGCTCGTTGATCATTTCCGCCCGTCAATGTCGCCCGGCTCGCTCTATCATGTAATGGCTTCATTCTCACAGGCTCAGAGGAACCTTTTTGCCTCCACCCTCGCGACAAGCTTTGGCCGTTCATTAACAGACCCAGTCCTAATGTTACATGGCGTGCTGGTGTACGAACGAGATGGTGGGGAAACAGGCCCTTTGCAATCCCTCGTCTCAGGTTGCAGCGGTAGCAACAGCACCTGTTTCTTCGCTGGTGATGAGGCGCATTTCCGCTCCGCTGCAGATGCTGCTCTTACTGATGTCCTTGCCATGAGAGCAAGACGTCCTCTAGCCTATTAATACAAAGTACGTAAAAGTATAACAACGGCTCCGAAACGAGCAAAAGTTCCGCGTCGCGTCATAGGTACTTGGGTAGTAAATACGACTGCTCTCTTTTGCTGTTGCTGTGCTGCGGCTTCTACTGCCACCCTCCCTTTTGGTGCCTTGGTGGGCAGCCGACCTGCCTGATTGGCATTGCTGGTCTAGAAGGCGAGAAGAACAAAAGGCTTCTCTCCCGTATGGTGTGGATGTGCATCATATGACGGCATCGGCACTTGTAGAAATCTGGGAATAGCTCTTGGCGGCCAGCGCGCGCAAAGCTGGGAAGCAACCGTTGTGGGTTGACGGTAAGAGCACAGAGAACCAAACTGTCCCCCAGCCACAGATTCGGCTCCGTCTCTTCTCTTTCTCTCTTCCTCTCTTTACATGTCTCTTCCGCTGCGTTAAGGTTATTTATGACGGTGTGGCTTAGCTCAACCAGGCAGTGTCACATCACCACATGAGGCGATCGCCAGTCGCTGGACACTGCCCAACCAAACACTGATCTACCGTATATGTGTCGATATTTCCGTTTCAATTCATGTTTTATACCTCTGTTAGTCGCATTTATCTATTGCCATGTCGTTGATCGATCGTTCCACTCCAACTGCATCTCCGGATCTCGGCAAGATGCGCGCCGTTGGATCAAAACTTGCTCATCCCGTCTCAGCCCTGCCAGCGTTGTTTTGAGCAAGTTTCTCATCGTGCTCCCAGGTTACACCTATCGAGATTCCCCGCACTGTCACAAGTAGTAGTATTCTTCATCTTCTTCTAGAAACCACTTCGCTGTGTCCTTTTCATCGTTGGCACAGTGCCTGGCCCTTCGGACACTTCTTTCCGAGAGGTTTCCTGATCGGGTAATTGAGTCGGACAATAACTGTTTAGCCGGCTCATGGCGTGCTTTTTAGCATCATTATACTATAGACTATACTTTTGATAATAAATGTATACTTAGACACGCTTTGCTTTTGTTTGTGGCCGGCCAAAAAAAAAGGAGGAACGACATTGTGGTGATGTCTGGCAACACGACGGCTTCAACAATGGTACAGTATCACCTCCAACGAACCCATGTTCCACTATCCATGTTGTGATAATAGTGTTAGAAGACCATACATACCTCATATATAGCATGCAGTAAATATCCTCAGTACGACGTATCTTACCTATAGTCTTGCCCTTGAGATTGTCATATGCTATACTGGCAGTTATCACCACAGCGATAGCGATTACAGCGATAGAAAGTCGTGGCATAATGTCGTATTCATAGAATGCTATCGCAATAAACCAGATACATATAGCGCTTTGAAAAAAAGAAATCGTAAAAAACACACATGGATGCTGTCGTTTCGCGAATCACAATAGCCAGTTAAACGCGGACGCAGCAGACATGTAAAGGCTTAAGCAAAACAAGAACAGGCAACTAGTTGCACAAGTACATAACTGAGTAAGAGTCTCTGTGTAAAAAGACAAAAAGAAGCGAAACATGACATTAAACGCCGCAGTACGCAGACATACATCTAACTGAGGGACTCATCCCAAAGGGGTCTTCACCGTCAACCGCAGACCTTTTTAGTAAAAACAAAACAAGGAAAATGAGAGCTGTCAAAGCTCGAGGTATCGCTCGGGACTCCGGTGTCCTATTCCATAACATGATAAAACAAGAGGCAACAAGAAAGAAGGAAGAAGAGGGGTTAAAAAGAAGGGCGAGCGAGGTACGCTCAGCAGAGGAATCTGCAATATACGCATACTCAAAAGTTGTGAGTAAGTTGATGGGGGCTTGGTCTATGGTAATAATGTACCAAAACGCGTTGGTCACAACAAAGTTGCCAGATGTGCCACCAACCAAGATCCTTGGGATTTAAGTCATCTTGGTATCTGTGGGCTCAGGCGCCGCGGGAGGGTCAGCAGCATTCAGGTCAAGAGGCTCATCCTTTTCAGGCTCACGCTTCTTGCCCATGCGCTCACACCATTCTTCCGCACTGATGATTGTACCGTCCAGGACGCCGCTGATTTGAGTTACCATATCAAGGCCTTCCTTGGCGAGCACAAGCACCTTTTGAGCACCATCGCGGAGAGCAGAGTCCCGGTCCTTAGCGTCACCGCTGCGCTCAGCATTAGCATCAGACATGGTGGCTAGGCGGAAACGTTGTGGCAAGCTAGTCAAGTGACGGCGAACCAGGATACGGGCATTCTCTGGCAGAGAGCCGCCAGCATACTTGGAGACGGTTGTAACAACCTCCTGTAATGTCTTGAGAATATCACCCTTCATCGTCTGGATGCGGTTAGCAATCTCGACGCGCTTCTCCTCCGGTGTCTTGGTTCCGCTACCACCCTCGCCGCCGTTAGCGGCGGCTTCGTCTTGTTCCTTGAGCAGAGCATCCACGGTCTCGGGGTTGACAGCTTTTTCGTAATCCTCCAAAGCTGTCTTGAGGTTTCCAATAGTGTTACCCATACGCTCATTAGTCCACTTAAGCCACTTGAGGCAGTACTTTAGGCTGCGAAGGCTTTCTGAGCTCATGGCAACGCTGAGGCCAGACGTCGTCATGAATAAGCGAGTCTGCCAGGCTTGGGTTTGCACAGCCTGGCCATCTGAGCCAGCAGATTCTGTGTAGGCAGGGGAACGCAGCTCATCATATGCAGGAAGCGTGTCCACTGTGCTTGCAGAGGATAAGCGGCGCGCACTCTTGGGTGTAGGAGGGGAGTCATCTTGACCGTCGCCGCTGGCCTGTCCATTCTTTTCTTCGCCCACCTTGCGTCTCTTCTTAGAGGCACCGGCATCGGGGTCTGAGCTGGGAGGTGCTCTGCGACCGCCGCCGAGGAACCATCGCACACCACCCTCGACACCCGTCTTACGGCCTACGACGTTGACCGTCTTGGCCAATGGGGTGAGATATCCTTCAACATACTCGGCGCCCGACTTGAAACGGGGCGAAAAGTTCTTTACGCCGCCATATGCAGACGATGCTCCGCCAAGAGTAGAGGTAATGAGAGGGTGGGAGGTGGTTAGGAGCGAGAGGAGAGGTTCGGATCTTGGAGATTTGGGTTTTGCGGAAGTGGTCCGAGAAAAAGGTGGCGGCGGCGGGCTCATGGTGCCTGTGGTATCGGGAGGCGAGGAGACAAAGTCTATAGAGCAGGTCGGACGGTTAGCATGCACAATATCACCATTTGGGCATCATCAACGGGCCATTGCGATCGTAGCCCGCGCTGTTGACGTACCTGCTCGCAAGTCGCCTAGAGCCTCAGCGGCCAAGCGAACATCAGGGTCATCGAGCGTAACGCTGGTAGGTGTTCCTTCGTGTTGGTTGTCCGGGGACGGCGTGCTGGCAGCACTAGCGCTGGGGTCGACGTCCATGGGAGCCGGGCTGTCGGCATGGACCGCAGAGGGCGGTTGTCGATAGGGCATGGCGCCATGAAGGTGAGGAGGAAGCGGAGTTCGATCGAGAGAAGACATGTCGGATGGTTGTCGCAAATGATTACCGCCTGTGATTGAGCTCAAAGACGGGAGCATGCGACCATTGTCTGTTGTGTGCAGCGGAGGAAGCTTGTTGTCTGTGGAATATAGAGGAGAGGAAGAGGAGGAGGAGGAGGGGAGTTGAGAACGCTCTGGTTGCTGCATCGGCGAAGCGGGAGACAAGGAGAATAAGAGAAGGAGGCGTCGGAGGGAAGGCAACGGAGGATAAGAAGGATGGCTTGAGAGCGATTAGCCCGTGCTTTTTGGGGGTGCGAAGGATGGAAAGCACCAGGGGCGTGAGCAGCAGCAGAGGGTGGTGGTGGTAGTGGTGGTGAGGAGGTAATGCGTGCAGCGGCGGCTGAAGGAGCGCGGAGCGGGCGTCGGCTAATGGGCAGAATCAGCGTTGATGGATGCCGGCAAGCATTGACGGTACGCGTGTAAAAGCGATATTGCAGCAAGTTTCTTTTGATGGGATTTGCTGCTGATAGAGGGGGTTGTTTTGGGGAGGTTGAAAGAAGGCAACGGGCGAACAAGAGCAGTCGCAGTGGGCAGGTTTGGCAGGTGGTGCAGCTGGCAAAGGTGGTGGTGGTGGTTGTTTCAGTGCCAAAGTAGTGGCGACGCCGGGGGGGAATCGCTACGCAGTTTTGCAGCGCTTGGGGCTAGCGACGGGCGTTGGATTAGCGGGTCGGTCCCCCCAAGAAGCGACTGGAAGAGGCAGTGAGCGCATGTGATTGCAGCTTAGCATGTGCTTTTTGCTGGGGAACTAGGGCGCCCAGTTTTGGGTTTTTAGCGGGTACCCGCTGGGTTTGCGGATTTGACATGTGCGTGTACCTTGGAGCGAAAAGCGACGACAAGCGACGCAGGGTTTGTATACGGAAATAACAGTAATTCAAAAATAAAAACAGGCGAATTCGGGTCAGAACAATCATGACAATCATCACACAAATTCACAAAATAAAATACAAATAAAAAAGGAGAAAACAAGGATCCCGAAGCCCGCACGCACCCACGCGCCGCCGCCCACCACCCAAAAGCGCGGACCACGGCAATGGCCTTCATGCGCCGCTCGCATGTGTGGTACAAAAGTTTGTTGGGGATGAGGCGGGGAGGTACTTGGACTTGTGGTGCAACACCCGCTGCCGCCCAAGTACTGCCGGTGCACCACCTCGTGGTCGCCCTGTCTTCCCATGTTTTTAGGGGTCTCCAGCGTGCTTCTGGGGGGCCTGGGTCCACTATGCACACACTGACCCCCCCGTTGCGGTAGCGGAACACAGGTTTTCCGGGGAAAAGATGAATTGTGCATCTGGGCGACGGGGCCGTTTGTTTAGTTGAGGCGCTGCTTTCCGAATCGTGGAGAGGCATGATTCTTGCGCTGGGACAATTGCTAAAGTGTATCTTACACTCCGATGCCCTAGATTTACGCGGGTGCGGCATCAATGGCTCCTGCAAAGGGCTTCTCTGTCTGCAAGGGGCACGCGCAGGCGCTGTTAACAAGACGTTTGCTATAGCGCGCTACATGTTTGCTGCTTTCAGAGCATTCAGCACACTGTATAAAGGCATTCGTGCAATATACGCAGATATCCACGAACAGGTCACTGTACCTGCAGCAGCATCACTCACTCGCTCGGTAGCTTACAGAACCGGGCATGTGGTTCCAGCTCGCCCGTCTGTCACCCTGCTGCCCTACTGCTGGTCATCACGCCCCGAATCTGAAGGATCGAATCTCTCGCCCGCCCTGTCATCTCAACAATTGGCATGCCCTATCTGATATTTCATCCGACTCCGGGCGAGATACCCCCGCTCAGCTCTGCATTGCCGCGGGCTACACCTGTCGTTGTTTCCCCTCTCGCCCCCAGACCTGCAGTGGGGGTTGACACCATGATATCACATGCACCCCCTCCAGCATCAGAGCCTGGTTTCGCTCTCGCGCACCTCAAGCCCGCAGCAGCGCTAATTTGCTGCTAATACCGTACCGTGGGTAGCGCTCTGCATGCTGCAGCATTTTGCGAGACCGAGTAGCACTTAATTACCAGAAAAAGCAAACGTTGCTGTCGGCCCTTTCCCCGCTCCTCTTCCAAGTAATCCCACGCTCCAAGCCTGCGCCGTGATTGGGTGGCTTGTAGATCTTAGCTCCTTGGTCGTGGGTTAGGTCTCTTTTTTCTTGTCTTTCATGGGCAACAATCCTCCCTCTTTCGGCCTTGCCGCAGCTGCAAATGGATATACCACCATACTAAAGCTGGAATGTACACGGACACGCGGGCTGATGTTCGCATCCGTGTCTCGAGATAGCCTACTTGATGTCACAGTTGTGATACTAACTGCGTGCCTTTGTGCTGGCGCCCGCACACATCCTCGGTCTCACGTTTCACTTCTCAGCGCCTATCGCTGCGCAATGCAATAGCAACAGTAACAGCAAAGACTTCCGTCGGTCAATGACTACGTCTCACGACAAGTCGGAGTAGACAGCCGCGGGGTGCAGTCCCATCGCATGGGAGTGTCTTGGATACTACAAGATGGACATTACACTGCGGTATTCGCTGACCGACCACAGATGCCATGTCACGAAAGCATGCGCCATGGTGGCTGAAGGTGGCCGCGGTATGGCGTGATTTACAATGGCTGTGTGACGATGCCCAAGAGCAACGCACAGCTGAGTTGAAGATGATTATACGAGTCGATCAAGCGCATATATCCGCATGCCAGGTTCGGTAGCGTAGGTGCAAGCTATGACTTGTCGTCAATGAGGTTTAGGCCGAGCTCGGTGGCAACGCAGAAACTTCAAATTTGCAGATGCAGGTTGCCGCTTCAAGATCGCTACCCAGCCAGTCTACGCCGGAGCTGGGATATAAGAATTGGATTCTGGTATCGTGTCAAGTAACGTTGTCAAAAGGGAAAAAAAGAAAAGGTTTGTTTGGTCCCTCTGACGCCGCCCAAGCAACAGTATAAAATGCTCGGCCAGCTCTTATGAGACCATAGATTATCATCCCTCTCCGCACCGCGAAATCGCAACTTCAACCACGGCCCCAAAAAATCTGGAATGACAGAATGTCACTCAGAAAAGAGCTAGACGATCGGCTGCACTGTCTAAAAGGGTGCGTTGAGGAGAAGAAAAAAGAAGAGGAGAAAGAAAGCGGATGCCCGAAGGTGAAGATAAATTTCTGGTGGAAATCAGTAAACACGTGACTGCAAGCAATGGGTGCCTGTCAACTTGCGCATTGTCCACTCTAGCAGCGCAGCGACCGCACATCTTAGGCCCGACATTTCTCCGGCAGACTCAGTCAAGCCGCCCCGCGCCAGCAGCCAGCTTGTAGACGTCGCCTGTTGCTCACGCTAGGCGGTGGCCAGCTCTCCCAACCTAACAACCATCCTCGAGCTGATATCCTGCTCACGCGACATGCCATTGGCCAGCACCAGGCATTAACGAATCACGCAGAAGCATTTTCCTCGTCCATAGTCGCAACGCATCGCATTGTTGATTTTTTCTTAGCTGCCTGCTGTGCAGCTCTCGTCGTCATCCATCTCCCCTCCCCTCCCCTCCCCTCCTTTGCCCCTCGCCAATTACATCCACTCTCAAATCATCATGGCGTCGGCTCTATTCTTCCTAGATCTCAAGGGCAAGGTAAGAGAATATCCCCATAACTTGAAAAGCCGCCATTGGCGAGTTCCATGCTAACCGGACTCAACCCACTAGACCCTGCTTGCCCGCAACTACAGAGGCGATATCCCCATGTCGGCTGTCGAAAAGTTCCCGATCCTCCTATCCGAAGCTGAAGAAGAATCATCGGCTGTGCCGCCATGCTTCTCCCACGAAGGCATCAACGTGCGTCCCCTCGATATAGAAACATGGCTCCCTTTGACCAGAGAGCATCAGTAGACTAACCTAGCTTTATATACCAGTACCTCTATATCCGCCACAACAACCTCTACCTCCTCGCCCTTACGAAGCGCAATACTAACGCGGCCGAAATCATCCTCTTCCTTCACAAGGTGGTCGAGGTATTTACCGAATACTTCAAAGCCCTCGAAGAGGAATCTATCCGCGATAACTTTGTCATTATTTACGAATTGTTGGACGAGATGATGGACTTTGGTTACCCGCAAACTACTGAGTCCAAGATCTTGCAAGAGTACATTACGCAAGAATCACACAAGCTAGAGATCCAAGCCCGCCCGCCCATTGCCGTGACCAACGCCGTGTCATGGCGATCCGAAGGCATCCGATACCGCAAAAACGAAGTGTTCCTGGATGTGGTGGAAAGTCTCAACCTGCTGGTCAGCTCCAACGGCAACGTGCTGCGCAGTGAAATTCTAGGCGCCATCAAGATGAAGTGTTACCTGAGCGGCATGCCGGAGCTGCGACTCGGCCTTAACGACAAGGTCATGTTTGAGACGACCGGCCGCACAACACGAGGCAAGTCGATTGAGATGGAGGATGTCAAGTTCCACCAGTGTGTACGTCTAGCACGCTTCGAAAACGACCGCACCATCTCCTTTATCCCGCCCGACGGCGAGTTCGAACTCATGTCGTACCGCCTCAACACGCACGTCAAGCCGCTCATCTGGGTCGAGTGCGCCGTGGAGTCGCACTCGGGCTCGCGCATCGAGTACATGCTCAAGGCGCGCTCGCAGTTTAAGCGCCGCAGCACGGCCAACAATGTCGAAATCATCGTGCCTGTCCCCGACGACGCCGACTCGCCGCGCTTCCGCACCAACATTGGCTCTGTCCACTATGCTCCCGAGCAGAGCGCCATTGTCTGGAAGATTAAGCAGTTTGGTGGCAACAAGGAGTTCCTGATGCGCGCCGAGCTTGGCCTTCCCAGTGTCCGCGGTGACGACGAGGTCGGTGGTGGCATGACCGGCGGCTTTGGTGGCAGCATGGGTGGTGTCGGCGGCAAGGGAGCCAAGCGTCCCATCCAGGTCAAGTTTGAGATTCCCTACTTTACAACATCTGGTATCCAGGTCCGCTACCTCAAGATTACCGAGCCCAAGGTACGTTATTTTCTGCGACCTAGCCCCCTCACACATGAACTAACAACTACGCTCACAGCTGCAATACCCTTCACTACCATGGGTCCGATACATTACACAATCCGGCGACATTGCCGTCCGCTTGCCCGACGCCGTATAACGTTACCATCGCGCTCATGCAAACGGTAATCCTTTCGAAATCAAAACCGACCGCATTTTTGTTATATCTGTTATCAGAAATGTACTACAGCTCAGACTCATGTGGCCCCTTTATGTAACGTGCAGGCAATAGACAAAAAAACAGAACTTTTTCCTAATCATGCCTCATCTTCGCATCTGTTCTATTCATAATGATCTATGTCATGCCAACTCCTTTTTCTTTCGTTTCATAACCGCTATAAACAAATACTCATGCTTTTCCTTGTTTAAACGCGCGCCTTTTTAGGAGACGACTCTGGCGCATCATCACCATCCTCTAGCGACGCAGCAACCTCTTCAAGAATCTTCTTCTCGCCTAAGCGCACAATAACACCGAGTCTCTCGCGGCCCTGTACACCTTGATTCAGCAGACGCTGGTCCTCTGCCGCCGACGTAGGATACTGCGACGCCAGAGCCTGTACGGTGAGTCGGAGGATCTGCTTGTGCACTTCATCGCGCTTGCGCTTGTCTTCAATAAGAGCCGGGTTCTGCTTCTTGACTGTCTTGAGGAGGAACTTGAGCTGCTCGTTGAGGTCTTCGGGGATAGTGGCAGTAGCAGTAGCAGAGTCCTCGTCAAACAACCCTTCAGGGGTGAGATCGATGTTGCGCTCAATGACAAAGGTGTCCTCGAGCTCTTCTTCTTCCTCCAGCGCCTCATGCTGTTTTTCACAGTTAGTATCACCCATCCATTATGTTTCAATAGTTTGACGTACTAGCTTCTCGAGAGCTTCCATGTGTAGCCCTAGAACGCTGGACGCGGCCTGCTCGATAAAGAACCACGATACCTCAACGACGTCATGACGGGCATGGCAGTCCGACACGTAGCCGTAGCGGCGGAGGAGCTCGCTGTTAGGATGGGGGCCGTAGTAGTTGAGGATCTGCTCGCCGGCACGGATCGTACGGAGCGAGGTGACGGTGAGAGTGTCATCGCCGTGGTGGACGTGGGCCTATGATGGTGGTTAGCAAGGGATGAAAACACTAAAGAAAGACAAAGAAATTTACGTTGAACTCGGCATCAGCGTTCATCATGTCCGCCATGGGGACCATACCCATGAGGGCCTTGCCGTCGCGGTCCTCGACCCAGCCGTCCTCTTCGTCGTCCTCGTTGTCCTCATTCTCGAGGTCAAAGGCGTAGGCCATGATGGTGCTGCCCATGCGGTGGGCCAGGGCAATGAGATCATCGTCCGAGTACTTTTCGGCGCCAGCAAAGACCTTGGGGTTAGCGCGGACCGCAGGAATAATGAGCTTGGAGAACATGCGCTCAGCCTGGGCCTTGCCAATCTTGCCGACGGTGGCGCTGGCCTGTAGATGCTGCAGCTCAGCAGCGTCCCAGAACATGGGTGTGTTGAAGCTGGTAGGGAGGACGTCGAGGTACGGCTTCCATGCGGACGAAGGAGAGAGGTGTTCGTAGATGAGGATGAGGATGAGCGATGACCACGAGTCGAAGCGGGGTTCTTCGTCTTCGTCTTCATCTCCAGAGCCCATTTCCTCATCAGAGTCCTCGTGGTCATCTTCCTCTTCTTCTTCATCAGAAGACATTTCTGCTTCTTCAAACAGAGTAGGGAGAAGCTCGCGGAGGGTAGATGTCTCGACATTGATGATGCTCTTGCGGGGGATGGTGAAGAGGACGGTGTCGGGTTCAATGTCCTTGACGGCGACTAAGCGATGTTAGGGTGAGTGACTCAAAAGATTATAAGCTATATTAACGTACCAATACCGCGACCAGCCTCTTGCTGGCGAAGGTCGACTAGAGAGATGGCATCGGAAAAGGTGGCGCCGGGAAGGGCCTTGAACCAGGCGAGGAACTGCGCCGTCTGCTCAGTAAAGTCCTCCATGGTGTGGCTCTTTATAGTCAATTATAAATTGCCTTTTGTTTATTATTAATAAGGCTTCTTTTGGTCAAAATTATATTGAAATGGGCGGAAGCGTGGTGAAGAAATGTGATGTACAGTGTCGATGAAAATTTTGATATCAAGCTTTTACAGGCGGTATGGGGTTTACAGAACGTGGGGTACTATAGAGATGTGCTACACGGACTAGAGGACAGTAAATGTTAGTTCAACAACATCGCAATAGTTATAATGGAAGAGAAATCTATAAAATAAAATTCATTTACACTATTTTATAACAAGACTGTAAATTCCATTATTTATCAATCGCTAACTGCCAATAATGGGTGATCGGCGCTGCGATGGCAGCTACCGGGTAGCGCTGCCCACTTACACGGCGTGGTTGATGCTTGATGGTTTCAACATCTTGCGGGAGAGGTTTGAGATCTGACTAATCTCCCTTGTGTGAATATACATTGGTCTTCATCTTTGAGAGCCATGGAATCCTATAGGCCAAACTCCTTGTAAGGATGGCTCAAGAAAGTTGAAGTAGCCCTCGCCTAGTCCAGCTCGCTAGCAACGACGAGCATTGGAGCCCACGTTGTCAGTTCAAAGCAGGATCTACGGTTTTTACTTTACAAGGCTTGAACCATTTACACTGCAACGATTAGAGTTTGCCACAAACGTTGGCTGCGTGGTCAAACAGGCCACTCTGAATATCCGGATGACACCGACGCCTCCACAGACAATGCCAAGAAGCCGGTCGCTGCTCGCCAGGGAAGCACGACGCCCTGGACAAGCTGCGCCACGGAACGCCTGGAGAGGCAGGCTTCTGGAAGGTGGCAAAACGCGGCCTAGTTGAGAAAACGGATACTACCGTATCACAAGTTACGACGATCTTGGCGAATGCTTTGCGGCAGCGTTGCGAGGCACCAACAGCAGCAGCGAGCCCTTACCGTTTTGTCATCTTTGAGCAGAGATGGCGATTTACCGGATGGCACGCTCCAGGTCGCAGCCAAGTCTTGGGTAGATAGCACCATATCTTGGGGGCGGGGCACCGTTTATAGACGGACGAAGACTGACTGGCGTTCTAGAACTGGCAGCACTGGTGTTTCTGAGGGCGTCGCAGGGGCTTTGATAGCGTGTGTGTGTTGACACTGGAGACACGGCTGGCTAGTTGCCAAGAGAGGGGGACGAAGAAGGCATATCCAGTCAATTTATCACCTGCGAGACGGGTTTCGAGGCAGCGGCTTGCACAGGTTGATGCAGCAGCTTTTGCTGTACGTAAATGATCTAGTTCTGTTTAATGTTGCAGTGCCGTAGCTGCACGCTTTGACGCGTTGTGTGTGGATTTGCGGCGGGCAAATGCCGACTTTGATGATTCGATAGATTGACATGTTTTTTGCATACCGCCTGACTCGATGGGGGCCAGTCGACCAGAGAGATTCTGCACGAGAGGCAGTTTGGATTTCCGGTGAGCGGGTTCCGTGGCAGATAACGCCGTAGTCTTCCACCAAAGTTCTAGTGTATTCTTTTTGGTGGTGAAGTCGATGACAGCAGCTGTTACTGGGCCAGTGGGAGCGCTGCAACAAGGGCACGTGCCTTTGGGGGGACAAGAAATAGAAGAGGGGACTGCCAAGACGCAAGTGCAGCTGGGAGGCGTATATTTTGATTGGGGAAATTTTTCAATTCCCAAAAAGTTGCTCAGTTCGGTAGAATAAAGGTTACTGGCTATTTAGGTTTTGTAATTATTGCTATTTTGCAACTGCGGTGTGCGTGTTTAGTTATTGTTGCGTGCGGCCGGCATCTGGGTGCATCCGTGGGGGAGGGGGGGGGGCCGGGAACCACGGAATTAACAAGGGCATTACAGTGCAGATTGCCAGATTCCAGCGCCCGTTGCAGCGCCCGGGCAGCGTTGCATCGCAAGCGGTTGGCCTGCTGTTGCCGCTAGAAGCGCTAAGGCGTGGGCGTTGGCGCATCTTGACCCGATTAAGCATTTCGCTTGTGTAAGCGATCCCACGGCCACCTGAGACGGGTTGTGTGTGTTTTTTGCTTTTAAAAAAAGGGAAGTTGACTTGAACTGACACTGGCGTAACAAGAATAAATTAAAAAAAAAGGATAAAATAAAAAGAGTGAGGTGGTGTCTGTCTGTCAAGTCTTACCGGGCACAACCAACCCAGCCTGACAGACCACAGCCTGGGAGACAGCTTGCAGAGCGCTAGAGTAGAGCACTATACCTGCTACAGTACAGCCACTGCAGTAAAGAAAGCAGAGCTGGGCTGAATGCCAAAAGCCAAGCCTTGGAAGGAAAAACCTAATGGCTTGGCGCCGCGCATCACGACGAGCAGCTTTCCCCCCCATCAGCCTTGGGTTGGCCCCAGATTTACAGGGCACTCCGGGGCACGGGGCGGCTTCGCTACAGGGGATGGGATTCCCCAAAAGGATGCCCGCTGGGAATAAGTGCTGCTGGAGCTGGCTGCGGGGGCTTTTTTTTAGGCGGGCGTTCGAGCCAAGCACCACACCGACAGGCGCCAAGCAGTGGTCTCCAGTGGGGGGACGGTGCAGGGCGCACTGTGTTTTGGATGCGTTGCAACCGAAGAAAAGGTTGATCAATCACGCAAAAGACAAAAGACAAGACAGGAGGATGCTTGTTGTTGTAGTGTGATTTATTTTTAAAAATTCCGATGCTCTAGTACAGTCTCGGTTTTTTTTGTTGCTTGTTTGAAACGGCGGCCCGTGACGGCCAACGTTGCAGCAAAGGTGCTTGTACAAGCAAGTTTAGCAGGTCTGTTGTTAGGCGGTGCTTTTGAATACCGCTATAGAAGGACGAATGACGTAGTGGACAATATTCTGCCCGGACAGTCTGTCAGATGCTACCAATAGGAGGACAAAAAAACAAGGCTACTAGAATTTCAATTAAGCTTGAAAGATTCAAATGGCAATATTATTCCAATATTCTATTGGCTCTGGGCAGAGAATGGAGCTTCATGTGCTGCCCATGCCCGTATACACCACCAAGAACAACAACTCCCAACCACCACGACCACGATATCACGAATACCAAGAACACGATACTTACTCAATCTCTAACCAACCCCCACGCGCAATATATACCGTTCATCAATATCAATTACCCGCCTGGATCATCCATCATCACATACGTGTCCCATCATGCGCTCTCCAGAACATCGCCATCTCGTATATCAATCTCTACCATCGCCAACAAGACACCTTCTACAAGACACACCGCTCCCATATATCCAATCAATCAAGATGAAACTTTTGTTCTCGATATTTTATCCGCCCAAATCTTCCAATTAAAGCAATAATACAATAAGTAAAACACCCACCTCTTCGGCGCATCTCCGCGTAGCACCATAGTGTTCACTAGCGTAGCGTTCATTGGCATAGCGTTCAGCACCATCCGCACTCGCACTGTGCACATACACCATAACTGTGGTCCGCCAAGACTTCTTTTCGTCATGCAAAAAAATAAAACAAAGCCTCGTAGCGCCGCCCAAATGGAATGTAAAAAACGCAGAAAAAAATAAAAGAAATAAATTAAATCCATTCTGGCAATAACGGAGACAGAAAAACAGCCAATTCGCCCCAGATAGAGAGTCATAGCGTCAGGCGAGTCTGCACTGCGCCCCATCATAACCTCTCCTACGCAGATACCATCGCACCACCACGCCCCTCTCCGTTAACCTTCTTAAGCTTCATCGTCCCCCCACACCCGTTTTTGGAAACCTTCTTCATTCTTTCTTTTTCTCTTGGTATTGTCTCTTTTCTTCATCTTTGTCTTCATTCTTTCTACTCGATCAAGGAAAACAAAGAAGACAACTTGTCCTGCTGTACTTGCACATCTGCTCGACTTACACCAGGAACAGCTACAACCAACGGGCAAAGTCACCACCACCACAAACTACCTCTCGCCCGTCAGATACAACAAGCTGGTCTTGTATAGTCATCCGCGGCCATGAGCCCTCAAAAGTCCGGCAATGACGATGCCGTCGCCCAGCACGTCTCCGGCCAGGCCAACAAGCCCATGTCCGCCCCGGCCCACGCCCTCACCTACACACAGGTAGTCGAGGAGCTCGGTGCCGATAAGGAAGTCGGTCTCTCGCCGGCCAAAGCAAAGGATCTGCTGGCTCAGCATGGACGCAACGAGTTTGGCGAACAGGAGGGCGTCTCACCCATCAAGATCCTCATCGGTCAGATCGCCAATGCCCTCACCCTCGTCCTCATCCTCGCCATGGCCGCCTCCTTTGGTATCCAGTCCTGGATTGAAGGTGGCGTCGTTGCTGCCGTCATTATCCTCAACATTGTCGTCGGTTTCTTCCAGGAGTTCAAGGCTGCCAAGACCATGGACTCCCTCCGCTCTCTCTCCTCGCCTACCGCTCAGGCGATCCGTAACGGCACCAACCAGACCGTCCCGACCGCCGAGATTGTCCCTGGTGATATTGTCGAGCTCAAGACCGGTGATACCATCCCCGCCGATGTTCGCCTGATCGAGGCCGTCAACTTCGAGACCAACGAGGCTCTTCTTACTGGCGAGTCCCTCCCCGTCCGCAAGGAGACCGAGACCACCTTTGCCAACGACACCGGCCCCGGTGACCGTCTCAACGTTGCGTACAGCTCGTCTACTGTCACCAAAGGTCGTGCTCGTGGTGTTGTCTTCGCCACTGGCATGTTCACCGAGATTGGCCAGATTGCTGCTGCTCTCCGCAACAAGCAGTCCCGCCGCCGCGAGCCTAAGCGCAAGGAGGATGGTACCACCAACCTCGGACGCTGGATCGAGGCCTGGACGCTCACCTGCTCTGATGCCGTCGGTCGCTTCCTTGGTGTCAACGTCGGAACTCCCCTCCAGCGCAAGCTCTCCAAGCTGGCCCTGCTTCTGCTCGGAACCGCCATCATCTGCGCCATCATCGTCCTCGCCGCCAACAACTTCGATACTAAGCAGGAAGTCATCATCTACGCCGTCGCTACCGGCTTGTCCATGATTCCTGCCTCTCTCATTGTCGTCCTCACCATAACCATGGCTGCTGGTACCAAACGCATGGTTCAGCGCAACGTCATCGTCCGTAACCTCAAGAGCCTCGAAGCCCTTGGCGGAGTTTCTAGTAAGCGTACCACACCCCCCAAACCTGACTTCAACCGCTTAACTTGCCACCTCTTGCAGACATTTGTTCCGACAAAACCGGAACTCTGACCCAAGGTAACATGATTGTAAAGAAGGCCTGGATTCCCGGCCGCGGAACCTACTCCGTCTCTGCCAACGAACCATTCAACCCTACCAAGGGAAGACTCGGCTTCAAGAACGCCCAACCCAAGGACATTGACTTCAAATCCCAGGATGCCGAAGGTACTGAAATCAACGGCCCAGAGGCTACAAACAGTGATGAAAACCTCCGCCAGTACCTCAACGTAGCTTCCCTTGCCAACCTTGCCTCCGTCTCCCAGGTCGACGGCGAATGGAAGGGTCGTGGTGACCCGACTGAAATCGCCATCCAGGTCTTTGCCTCTCGTTTCGACTGGAACCGCCTCCGTCTTTCCCAAGGTGACGCCTCTCAATGGCGCGAAATTGCCGAGTTTCCCTTTGACTCCGATGTCAAGAAGATGTCCGTCATCTTCGAGGAGCGCAAGACCCAGAACCAGTGGCTCTTCACAAAAGGTGCTGTCGAACGTGTTCTTACCTCTTGCCCTACTGTCGCCGTTGGTGACGAGATCAAGCCCTTCACCGAAGATGACAAGGAAGAAGTTCTTCGCAACATGGAGGCCTTGGCCCGTCTTGGCCTTCGTGTCCTCGCCCTCGCCTCCCGCACCGATATCCGCCGTGTTGCCCACAACGAAGCTGAGCTTGAGCGTGCCGAGTTTGAGCAAGACCTCGTCTTCCGCGGTCTCATTGGCCTCTACGACCCTCCCCGCGCCGAATCCGCCCCGTCTGTCCGTAAATGCCACGAAGCTGGTGTCAGCGTGCACATGCTCACTGGTGACCATCCTGAAACTGCTCGCGCTATTGCCTTGGAAGTCGGTATCTTGCCCTCTCGCATGAACGAAATTGCCTCCGATGTTGCCCGCACCATGGTTATGGCCGCTTCCGACTTTGATAAACTCACCGACCAGCAGATTGATGAACTTCCCCTCCTGCCGCTTGTTGTTGCGCGCTGCGCTCCCCAGACAAAGGTCCGCATGATTGAAGCCCTCCATCGCCGCAAGTGCTTCGTCGCCATGACCGGCGATGGAGTCAATGACTCTCCTAGCTTGAAGCGAGCCGATGTTGGTATTGCCATGGGCCAGTCTGGCTCCGATGTTGCCAAGGAAGCCTCCGATATCATTCTCACCGATGACAACTTTGCCTCTATTCTCAACGCTGTTGAGGAAGGCCGCCGCATGTTTGACAATATTCAAAAGTTCATCCTCCACGTCCTTGCTGAAAACATTGCCCAGGCTTGTACCCTTCTTGTTGGTCTGGCTTTCAAGGATAGCCGCGGCGTCTCCGTCTTCCCACTTGCTCCCGTCGAAATTCTCTGGATTATCATGATTACCTCTGGTATGCCCGATATGGGTCTTGGCTTTGAAATTGCCGCTCCTGATGTTATGCGCCGTCCTCCTCAAAACCTCAAGCAAGGTGTCTTCACTCCTGAGCTGCTTATCGACATGGTCGCCTACGGTCTCTGGATGTCTGCTCTTTGCCTCTCTGCCTTCGTTCTCGTTGTCTTTGGCTTCGGTAACGGCCTGGGCGACATTGGCGACAACTGCAACGAGAAATATTCCGCTGATTGCGATATTGTCTTCCGTGCTCGTGCTACAACTTTTGCCTGCTTGACTTGGTTCGCCCTCTTTCTCGCTTGGGAAATGGTCAACTTACGCCGCTCATTCTTCCGCATGCAACCTGGCAGCAAGCGATACTTTACACAGTGGATTATCGACGTTTGGCGCAACAAATTTCTCTTCTGGTCCATCATTGCCGGCTTTGTCACCATGTTCCCCATCATCTACATCCCTGGACTCAACACCGTGGTCTTCAAGCATGCTCCCATCAGTTGGGAATGGGGCATTGTCTTCATCGAAGCGGTTCTCTTCTTCCTTGGCGCAGAGGCTTGGAAATGGGGCAAGAGAATCTACTTCCGTCGCCAGGCTCGCAAGTCTAGCTCCCACTTGGCTGACATTGAAGAGAGGACATTTGGTCACTACTTTAGCTCATCGCGCTCTGTCACTGAGGCAGGCAGTGGTGACGAGGAGAACTTGTCGTCAGCTAATGAGAAGAAGCGTCGCCAATAACACATGGTGAGAAGCAAAGACAAATGCGGATTGACGACGTGAGGATGAGCTGGTAAAGCGGCTACCTTTTCCTATGTAAATGTGTGTTTTTTGCCCAGTCCCATTTTGTTTGTTTTTGAATATCCTGTTTTGCATGCTGGCGCACCTGATACATGGGCTTGTCGTGAAGCTAGCCTATTGTTTACAAAACAAAGAAACAATATTGACCTGCATATTTGGTCCATTTAACGGTAACCAGCTTAGAGTAAGTCGCTGGAGTCTACTTTGGTAAACTCCGGCATATCAAATAGAGAGCGCAAAATAACGCGCGCATATATGCCAGCCTGGCATAATAGTTATATTGCATAGTTTGAATATAAAAGTCAGCACACTGTCATGGAATCATGTGTGAACAGATTTACTCGAAACATTGTTATGAAACCGTGGCGAATGATTCAGCTACGCTCAAACCCGTTGACCGCACACTAGAGCCGAGTTTCAAGCTTCAGATCTCATCGAGATAGATACCTGTTAAACAGCGGACACCACGTTGGCCAAATCCGTGACATTGGCTGTATCATGAGTGCGTACTGTGCCTCAAAGCGTTTTTTTTGTTCCACGTCTGTTTCCTATATTGGGTGCGGTATTGTCTCTTGCCGTATGCATCTGCCGAAAATAATGACTCTTTTGAGCCTGCGGCAGTCGTCCGATGCAGATTGTTGTAATATGGGTACGGCCGCTGCTCCGGTTCGTTGAGAAAGCGATACCGAAGTTCATCCCCTACTGACAGCTGGGTCCCCAGTAAACGAGTCGCATCTGCGGACCGCTTAGCCAGACCCCCTGCCATCAGCGTGACTGAAAACGCCTTTGCAACACCCCAACAAAGAGTATTTGGAGAGCGAAAGAGAGAACCAAAAAAAAAAAATCAAACGGACCTTCGGCTCATGTTATTGCCCGATCTTTTATATTATAAGGTTTGTGTCTTGATTCGGAATGGACTGCGGGAAGTGGGCGTTGGCTGCCATCTCGGCGCAGGTCGGTGTTAGGATAAATGTCCTTCCTCGTCCAATCCCAGACTATTTGACGCCAATATTTCGTGTCCAAATGGGCAACTTAATCGCGAGAAAATCGCGGCACTTGCGATCTCAGGAGGCCGGAAGTCGCCTAAACTCATTATGCAAGGGTTTCTATACCGCTCTCGGCTCTCGCTGTAATGCTGTGTGGCATTGCCGCGAGGACCGAATGTGGCACGCGACTAGCCAATACTTTGGGTAAAGGATCGCCCTCCAGCACTCAAAGTCGCCCAGGCGTTGAGGCTAAGGGTTGTTTATTTGCATCTCCGGACGCACAGCCTTAACCGTTTGAATCGCCGGAGGTTTACCAATCCAAATACATGACTCCGACATGGTTCGGGGTTTGCCAACTGTACCGTTGGCCGCTGCCGAACAACAGCTGAGGCAACCAAGACTGAGGTCCAACCAGATCAGCATGACTCGATATTAGTGGCGAATGGTAACCACCTGACTGGGTGAGCTCGGCGTCGCAAATAAATTGATTGACAAGAGACGCTAAATATTGAGCTTAATTGTAACGGCTATCGGTGCCCTGGTCAACGGCTCCCGCGGAGTTGTAGATGCTGCTGTCTGCCCAGTGATATTGCAGCGCAAGTTATTGGCTCCGCGTATTCTGGTGGAGATCGAATCGACAAAACGGGCTGTCAAGTTGACGTGCATCAACTGCCGGCGGCAGCGAATTTTGCCCAGGGTCTATATCAGGCGTTGTTTAATGCTCTCGCATTTCGCTCCAAGCCGATCGGAAAATGCCTCTGGCTTCTTCCGCGGTGGCGCAAGACAAGAAAAACTGCCCTTGCTACTCATGGATTTAACCCAGAAGTGTCAGGCATCCAGCCGCCTGTTGTTATTGCTGCGACTGTATAGTGGCTATCCCTCTGCCCTGCTGGCGTCATTGGATGGGCGATCTGGAAGCTGCATGGAATATTCCTTCGCTTCCATGCAACCGCCTAATGCAAGAGTTGAGTTGGCGCATCTAGTAAGGCGCAACTAGTGAAAGTAGTTGGTCGAAACGTGGAATTTATTCCGAATTTCGTGTTGCCCTATGAGAACCCCCTAGCATGCTTGGAGGCCTGTCTAGTAAGCCAAACAAGCCGTCTGCTAGGACCGCCTGCCGGAATGTAGAAAAGATCGCCAGAACGAGCCCTTTTGGAACAGCCACAGCGGACGCTCGACCACCTGAATCGGCGACACGGGCCTACATTGCGGAATGGTATTGGAGAGAGGCACCAGGCGCAACAAGAGAGCGCTGCACTGGCGACTGTTGCCATGCAGGGGGGTCCAAGGCACCACGGAAAAAGGGCCGACCGACTGATGCACAATAGCGTGGCGTGAGTTATGGGGTATCTTGGTGATCCGTTGCGAGTGGTCAGTTTTGGCAAGGCTGGACCACTCCGATAATCCACGAATCACAGTTGCAGCGACCTGCAGCTCAACTGTCGTCTTTTACGAGCATAGGCAAGCGCAAGGTCATGTAGGTTAGCGACCATTGCAACGGGCATCTTCTACGGTGCCTGCAGGTGGAATTTGTCATGCCTTTCCAAGGAAAGGATTGCGAGTTGCTGCGTTTAGACTAGCGGTGCATCTTGAAAATCATCCTGGGCATCTCGGTCTAATTTTAACAGATCCGAATGGAATAGTTATCAACAAACTTCGGTGCAAAGCGCTAATGCTCACCTGCCACGTGTGACGCTGTGTATTTGCTTATCCTGTACCTTCGGTGGTGATTTGGATAAAGAACCGCTGGCCTCGAGGACTCAAAGCCTCTACAGACAGGCACGCGAGAACAACCAGCCTCCTGCACGCTTTGAACATAACAATGGTTATAGCATAATGCACAATGTATAATTTAGTCATAGAACATCAGTTGAAGATAGGTATACCCAATATTCGGCGCACTAGGTGTTGAGAAACTGGAGTCGAGCTTCACGGCGCCTGGTCCTAGCGCGGCTTTAGGTGGGTGTGATTTCGCTGTCCGCGGCTTCTGCCTAGACTTGGTCGCACACGATGTCGATGTACAGAGCTTAGTGGCGTTTAGACCGCAGGGAGGATCAAAAGCTGCCGGCAAATACAGACGATTTGCCAAGTACTGGCTACCGTCGGTGTGCCTGTGCTGGCCCAGGACAAACCAGCGACATCTGGAGCAGATTCTGAGCGCCACCCTCGGCGTCATCGTTATCTTGAGACGGTGATCAGTGTTACAAGAGAGTATCTGATTTCTCCACATTATGATGTTGTTGTTTAACAGTGAAACTGCATTTGGCCGAGCCTAGCATCCGCAGAGCCCACATAGTTTATCCGTGGAGTTTCTAGAAGGCTTCTACGATGCGGACAGCATTGCAAAACAAGCGTGGTAAAGAAAACGTGGGCGATGAGAGTTAGTTGCTAGCCGTGCATTCCACGTGGGAAGACGTGTGTGAAATTGGTGACCCTGGGCAAGCGTGTTGAAGTGGTGTGAGGGGCATGTCAGCATGGATGCAACTGTACATCGCTTGCCTGCGATGTGACCAAACACTCTAGGATGCCACAGACCGGCAAAAGGGGAATTCTGTCGGGTGTGCACCCCCAGACGCGTGTTCAATACAGCAACTGATGCAAAAGATAAGACTAGCAGTGTAAGATGCAGTTGATGGTAACGAGTTCATGTGGAGATGAGATGGCGTGTAGAGCATCTAGAGGGCACGGATGGAATCCTCTCGGCTACTTGCTCGAGTCCCCAATTCGGCTTACTCCCTGGGTAGTGTTATTGTACAACCGGAGAGGCTAAACGATTAACGGGAAAGCCATGGATTTGTTTTCTGTTGTTGAAGGTGGCTGTATGCTGCTAGACGGCGGGTCCCATGGGCAGCTGTCCACGAGGGTAGCAAGATCATCGGCAAGATGGGGACGAGGTCAGAGGAGTGTGACGTCTGTATGCACGGTACATTACACCATGCAAGGTGGTGAAGGATCTCGAGCAGAAGCAGGTGCGGGCGAAATTGCAAGAGAAGACGAGGTGGCGGCGGCGCTAAAGCGGCGAGCGGGGGATAGGGACCTGGGCGTGAGCAACATCTTGGATGGCTCGAGCGCCACGATGAATCGAAGCGATATGATTTGCTGCGGCGGCAGGCAAGAGACAAGTTTCATCCTCGGACGGCTGTTAATGATGCTCCTGCTCCGCCGATGCGAGAACCACAAGGCGGGCGTATCTATCCAGGTGTAGTAGTAGTGTAGTAGACGAGGGCAGGGCCAAGAGCGGAGACTTGGGACCGGAAGCCGGCATTTACTCGGGGGTTTTGTAAGGCGATGACAGCGCTAGCCAAGGTGTGAGAGGGCGACCTGATGGCGCGTGCTTTGGCATTTCATGATGAATTCAGGGCTATCTGTAGATGTTGTTGAAGGGTCTGGGCTGTGGAGGGAGAGAAGCTCAGACGAATTGCGGGTGAATGGTGCTGGTGTGCGAAATAAGACACTCAGCGTGGCTGGTGATGGCGTGCGTTGTTGCTGCTGCCAGCTGGTGCAGCCGTTGCAGCTGGCACCGGTGGCACAGCTGGCAGAAACCTGCCGCCTCTACCGCAGTCTTCATTTCCTGGGTTTGGCAAAATATACTTGAACCATGCCTGCAACATGACCGCGTGGCACCATGCATATTGTTAGCGGTTTAGGTCAATTCCAGGTGTGGTGTGTGGGAGTGGATGTGGATACTGCTGCAGGCTCAACAGCTAAAGATAGACCAGACCAATTGCGACTTTCTGGGTTGTACTTTATTGCCGTTCGGTCATATCACCTGGTAGAGACGAGAACGGGAGACCCACGCTTTCCATCGTGAGACTAAGAGCAGACAACGGCCGAAGCGGGATAGTTTTAGTGGCGTTACATGTACTGTTCTCGAAGGCGTAGAGCGTAGTGGGCTTGGTTGGTTGGTTGGTTGGTTGGGGGGGGGCCCTGATGCCGTGATGGGTAAGTGTTTGGGTTGGCTTGCGCGGTGTAAGTGGACGGTGGCCGAAAGCCGCACCTATGACACGGCGGACATCCGGTGCGGTGTAAAAGGCCGATTTAGCCCTCTTTTGTTGGGTGTCAAGTATTTACTGGTGATTGGATATAATCTACAATAGAGAGGCATAATTTATGAACAAGGATCAACAAGACGATGCAAGAGCTGTCATTTGCCATTTCTAGCGGCCCATCAAAGACCCGTCGGGAGCCTCGACTGGTGGTGTCTGACTAGTTAGGCTTTGGCAAGCTGTCCGAAGGAGGCCCGGCTCATCTCGGCGTTGATTGGATAGCGTGTCTCGTCTTCTTTCTTCTTTTCCCCCTTCTTCTGTATTACCCAAGAAATCCAGTGCTGCTTTCCCCTTCCATCATCCCCGCACACACCCTCCTTCACTGGCGTCGCCCCCCTCGCTGTTTTCGCCCGCTGTCCGCTAGGGACCAGTCCAGCGCCGCCCGCTGCAGAGCACAGGCCCTACAACCGCAACCCTGGCCACCTCCACCTCCACTAAAAAACAGTGGTCTCCACCCCTGAAGGGGCCCACTGAGCCAGCCCAAGGACGGAAATCCTTGCCAGACAAGGCTCTACAGCAGCAAACACTGGCGCCTTCACCTTATGGGCCACCCACGGCACCTGTGCCCTGCCCTGCCTGCCCTGTGGTGGTGCTGGGGGCTAGGGAACGAGCTCAGTCCAGTACCTACTGCTCGACTGCGGCAAAGTACTGTAGACGCTGAGATTCTGCTAAACAAGGCTCAGCCTGCGTTCACCCTCAAAACAACTCCAACCCTGGCCTCTTGTGTTTTTTCCCTTATCTCCATTCTACCTAATTCATCCATCTCGCTTCCACTGTGGCGTCCTGTCTCGCGCCTATTTCTTATTTAATCTTCCCCAGTCGCTACCTACCCAATCAAGGTCTGCGTATATCGTCATCTATACACACCACCACCCTTCTAGGCCCGCAGCCTGCCCAATTCAATCTTCATCCCATTGTCAAACCCTCTTTTTGAGGCAGTCTCTACTGCTTGCCTCCGCTTCCAATGCGTGAGGTAAAAACTTGCCACCGCTGCAGGCATTTCAAGCGCCGCTGTGATCTCGAGAAGCCGTCATGCTCCAGATGTGTACAAGCTGGTGTTCGATGCAGCTTCGACATCAACCAGGTTGTTCCTCTTAGGGATCCTGTTGTCTCTAAAAAGGTTGCCAGCGTCCCTACAACAGCAGATTATGTTACTGCCATGATGGCCAACGGACCGCCTCAGCATATGGACCACGGATTACCCATGCAGGCGTACTCTACATACCCAAATGATGCGGCCTTCTTTGCATCGTTTGGATCCAACGACACCATGATCCGCCCGGATGGACTGATATCACCAACAATTACATCGGAAAGCCCAGAACCGCAGCTTTTCCCACTTCCTGATAACTCTCGCCTGCTTCATTCCCCACACTCCTCCAACGTTTCCACCACAACCAGGGTGATCCGCAAACGCAAGCGAAACTGTCTCAGTTGCCATAGATGCCACCGTCTAAAGGTCAAGTGCGACAAGGAACTGCCTTGTAGCAGGTGTCAAAACAGTGGGAATGGGAGCAACTGTTACTACAGTCCAACCAAGGAGTCGGATCCCAGTGACAACAAGTCGCCCTCCAAGGCTAGGTCCATACCCAACATGGCTCTTGATCCTTCCAAGAGAGAAGAAAGCCCAACTGGAGTTGTGACTGAAGAATGGCAAATTGCCTATAAAGACCGTGGCGCCGGCCATTGGATGGATCTTATTGGAAGAGTAGGTGCTAAAAGCGTCTCACAACCCCGTTGACCAAGACTAACGAGAAGCAAAACAGATTAGACAATTTTCAGGCAACAACGAGCGTCTCATACAAGCGTTGTTCGCAAACGCAGGCACTGACAGATGCATGTCTCGCGTCAACCTCCCACACAACTTTCCTTTTGGCGGTTTAGAAGCCACCAAGTACTACAGCAGAGAGTCCATCACTCGGCTTATTGAGAGTCAGCGTAGCAAGTGCGCTGCTTTTATCGAAAGCTACTTTGAGCTGTGGGATACCATCAACCCGGTTGTGGATAGACAAATCTTTTCGCAAGAAGTTGAACGTTATTGGCTAGACCCTGCGTCTGCAGACTTTAGCTGGCTGTCACAGTTCCTCATGGTTCTCGGCATGGGCTGCTTCGGCTTGTCTGATGAGCCCCCAGAGGCTATAGAGCTCATGGTTGCCGCTGGTGCTTGCTTAATGCAAACAAAGTTTATGCTTCGACCGAACTTATTAGATGTCAAAGCATTATGCATCATGGTTTTGGCCAAGGTGGCGTGCAACCCTGTTTGTTGGGCGCAGGATTCATGCTGGGCTCTGCAAGGTACGCTTATGCGTACAGCTCATATTCTCGGTCTACCTGATGAAGGTGTCACTGGCGTCACATCGGCAAGATCGCCTGCCGAGATGAAGGCCTTCAAGAAACTTTGGTTGACCATTATGTTCATGGATATTAAATGCGCCCTGTGTGTCGGTATGATGCCACAAACACTACCAGAATATCTCATTGGATACACTGCCGACTCACCAGACTGGGGACCTGAAGACAGTATGCAAAGGGTGCTGTGCCAGGCCCTGCCGACAGTGCTACAGGTGGTAATAGAAATCAACTCAAAGGAGTTTCGACTTTCGTATCCTGATGTGCTGCGATACAACTCCAAGCTTCGCGAGCTTATGATTATCGCTCAACAGACTTGCATTAATCCTACACAAAGGATTCTGACAGATCTTCTGCTTCGTCAGTGCCTAATGGTGCTGCAACGCCCATACGCCATGCACAATGACGGACCGAGATTGTACCCTGATTCTTACTGGGGTTCGCTCGAGTGCGCCATGGCACTGCTGATGCACTTTCGCGAGTTCTGGTGCGATACGACACATAGACGCATGGACCTCGTCGGCCGCCCATTCATTGTGGACATTTTCACGGCAACACTTACAGCATACGTGCATGTCCTACGTGCCGAAGCGCCACTGTCCGACACCACAGCCAAAAATATGGCGATCCCTCCTCGGCAGATCATCTTCGACCTGCTCTCTAGCTGTGTCGAGATTTGGGCAGCGGAGGATCATCGAAGTTATTGCTGGCACGTCGCCAACCAACTACACCAAACTGTGCTATCGCTGATTCCTACCGTGTCCGAGATACCCTTCCAGCTGTCTCTGCATACCCCTATACACCATGGTAATATTTTCATGTAAATTTGTATTATATTTCTTTTGGATACGGCGTTAGTTTTTCTATTGGGTTTATCTAGCGATGCATTACAAATATACACATCTTGTGATTGCCTTTGAGGGCGCGTAGCTTTGACCATGCATTTTAATGAATACCATATTGTGAAACTCGTACCTTGCATATAAGGCCCCCTTATCTAAACGGTGCATCTGACCATAATAAGCAGAGCGCAGGGACGTCTTTCTTTTGATAAGCATACCGCACACGCCATGGCCAGCTGAACCAACTTGATCGCCTGCGTTCTGTGAGAGGTACCTGGTCTTCGTAGTGGTTTATATGGAGATCGAAAGTCACCTGCCCAGTCGCCTGCGCCTGTGTGCGTCATGGGTCCCTAAAACGGCCAACCATGTGCCGTTCAGCTTCTCATATGTCTTTATGCAGCCACCAATTTCTTGGCTACTTTTATTGATAAAAATCATGATTAATATAAATCAATACAATAATTTAACGCTCAGTCTTTTACAGTTTTATTTTTACCCTGTTCTTCAATTAAAAGTCTACCACTATCGTAGATAGCGTGCCTGTAGCTGTCACACGCGTTTAGCACCTTCGCTTGTCCCGCCCTAAAAGCCCCCACCTTACAGAAGCTTGAGCTCCTACTATGACACCACCACCTCCAAACCACAACCCAGCGTTTGACTCTGTGACAAGCAGCCCAGTCGCCAGCCTGACTTGTCTTGCACCTCGCACTTGACTCTTGTGCCTCTTACTTTAAAGTACACAGACTACGCCGTCAAGCCTCGTGGACACCGTCCAACGGCTACCTCAAACCAGCTCTCCCCCGCATTACAAACAGACATATATCGCCATGTCGTCCACCGAGCATGCTGCGAATCCCCATTCGGGAAATGATTCAACCCGACCAAAGGGTAGTTATATGCCATATTCATGCTTTCTTTTGCTCAACATTAACCATACCCCTAGGCATCCTTAAGACCTCTGGAAACCAACCAAGTGGCAGCGGCACTACTCAGACTCGCGAACGGTCCATGTCCGGCAAAGAGCTCACCTTGGCCAACACACAAATCAACACTGGCCATCGCCGATCATCTTCCGCTGCCCGACAGCCTCCCACCTCTCGCCGCCAGTCCGCCCAGGACGGCTTGACGGAGAGCTCGCAGCGCCTCAAGTGGGACGAGGCCAATCTCTACCTGACCGAGCAGGAGCGCACCTCGACTATGAAGATTGACGAACCCAAGACACCCTACGCAAAACACTATGATCCCGCTGAAGATCCTTCGGACGAAGAAGACGAAGGCCAAGCGTCACAAGAAGCTGGTGCTCAGGGTGCTGCTCGTGTCGGTAAGACTGCACGTGCGCGTGCTGATGATAACATACCAGGTCTATCGCTGGGCGAGCCGGAAGAAGGCTACTTCGAAGAAGTCCAAGAAGAAAACCACGATGCCCTGGCGGCGGCGTCGCCCCGAGCCCACTCAGACAAGTCTGTTCATCTGGACGAAGAAAGCAACGCCGCCTCCGCCGAAGACCCGATGGTCGGCCTTTCGGCAGAAGAGGTGGAGAAGCATCATCACTTTGAAGAGATGCGCAAGAAGCACTACGAAATGCGAAACGTCGCCCAGCTCCTCGGACACTCCGACGACGTCATGGACGACGAAGATGAAGACGACGATGGCGAGGTTCCGCCGATGCCCCCCATCCCCAACGGAACCAAGTAAAGTGACGCCAAATGCACAGTATATGATGGGAGATAGGTTCTTTTTGTTTCACTTCTTTTCAATGAGCGAATACGTCAGGGCGTTTAGGTTGTGATTGCAATATGCCAGAAAGGAGACGGTGGCTGATGGCAGAAATTGGTTTGAAGTCTTTACGGCTTGAATTACCAGCTCTGTGTTTGAATTTGTAAATAATAGATCTTGAATTCCAATAATAACTTCGCCTGCTCTTGTTCTACAGTTGCAAAATAAAACTCCAAGTTGGCTCATTTTAATTATCATGCGTAAAATGCAATGCGCGTTCCCCCGTCTATATTATTCGTATCCGTGTGTTGTTTATAACAGGCCCTTTCTCGCTAGTTCGACCTTTCGTGCTGTCTCGGTGTCTTTGAAGCCTCCCTTGGAAGCGCATATTCTTTTACCCTCACCAAGCTCGAACTTCTCATCGTTTGCATCCCAGGCGCAAGGGCAGTGGTGTGGGAAGTGGACGCAGGCGAGGGTATCGGGGCAAAGGTAGTTGTCGCATGGTGCTGCAGAATGTCAGTATAAAGGGCTTCTCTTCGTGAAATTTTATTCGTTCCCTCTTACATTGGTCGTATCTTTGTCGGTACATATTTGCATCGCTGGGCACGTTGCCTCCGTGGCCGTGGCCGTGTCCTTGGTGTTGGTGATGCTGTTCCTGGCCACCGCCGAACATTTGGTCGAAGAAGCCAAACTGGGCTTGCGCCAGCGCGAACATGGAGATGATAGTAATAATTAGACGCATGTTTTCTCGATTTTTCGACTGGTTGCGCTTAATTATGCTGTTGTAGAGACTAAGTTGCCTACGCCGAGTCGCAATGACGGCGAACTGTCCAGTTGACAGATGTTATCGATAGCTGCCACCACTACATAAATTGGCTGAGTCAGCGAGAATTTCCTCCAATTTGCGCCGACAACCAATTCTGGGCCACACCTTGGCGTTGTGCCTGACTATTTTTATCCCACGATCATCACACCAATTGACGCCGCAAACGTCGCCCGCTGTTTGCAATGCGATTTTTAACAATGCAGCGGCCGACGCTAGCTGCGCTAGCTGGCATGTCTCGCGCAACGCCGGCCGTAACTGCGGCCACCAGCGGCCTGTTGCCCCTGTGGGCAAATGTCGCTGTTCAGGGACAGAGATATGCCTCCGTCAAGGCGCAGGGAGCTTACAAGAAGAAGAGCAAGAGAGGAATTCCCAAGAAGCTAGGTGCCAAGAGAACCGGTGGTAAGTTTCCAGCGTGCTGCATTCGCAACCAACCACGACAAAATACTGATCTCGTGATGGTACAGACCAGTTCGTTATTCCGGGCAACATTATCTACAAGCAACGCGGCACCCTTTGGTGGCCAGGAGAGAACTGTCTGATGGGCCGCGATCACACAATTCACTCCAAAGCCACTGGATACGTCAAATATTACCGCGACCCGGCCCGTCACCCCGACCGCAAATACATTGGTGTTGTCTTTGACAAGGAGGACACGCTTCCATATCCGCCACACGCCGAGCGCAAGCGCCGTTTGAACATGACCGAAATTCCCATTCGAACTGTCCCCGAACGCCCTACAGCCGAATCTCCCTCTGGTATCCCCTACCAGGTGACACGAGTCCAGGAGGGCGAGCCAGACCGTGTTCTCCGCCTACAGGGCGACTACAGCTACCGCGAAGATAACTGGAAGATTGGTCGCTTGGTTGATACGACAAACCTTAAGACGAAGAGATTCCGCACAAGGAAGCAGTACTTCCGTCAACGCCGCTGGCGTAGAGAGCGCGAGATCACTGGTCAACGCGCATCAGAGAAGAAGAGAGCTGAAGCCGGTGAGGCCCAGGGCGGAGCGAGAAAGGGCGGCTCCAAGAACGGTTCTAAGAAGGTGACGGCCAAGAAGAGCAAGAAATAAATCTTCAACCGAGCGTGGGTGGTTTATACCGCCTAGCAACGACTGTATTATACTATCATATAGGCTGTTTTCATCATTTTCGGATGCATTGTAAAATCACATTATTATTTCTTACACACAGTAGAGCTTGAAATATGTGAATAATTTTTGTTTGCATATTCGCAAGATACTATTGTCCGTTTTGGCGTACGTATGTAGAAAACGAACAACCACCGTTTGCTGTACAAAGACGCACTCCCCACATGCACTGGAAGCTGCGTCTTCACGCGCAACATTGCTGGCCGTTGTACACACCCGGTGCACAACTTGGCGACGACTAGTTCTCTTCATAACGCAAATACTTCGCTGGATATTAATTAAATTGCTTATTATCCACTACTTCGTTCACTTTCAATATTCAAGGAGGGGACTACGTTATCCCTAGTGCAGCAAGAATGCTACCTCCGTCCACACTCTCCTCATCGTCAAGGATTCTGGCGCTGCAGAAGCAGTGGGAGGAATATAGACGGCGAAGCGATTCCGGTTCTCACGACGTAGTAGATGATGAGAGTCTCGCGGATGACGAGTACGAAAATAGCGAATCCAGAGATATCGAAGCGGATTGTGAGCGCCATATACTATGAGAGACCCGGCACAGGGTATTAATTGTTCGTCTAGTCCCCCATCCTCAGACACAGAAAATTAAGGCAAAAGAAGTTCGATACCGCAGACGCACATTCGATACAGATGATCAAGGACATAGACTCGCACCAATAGCAACAACAGAGACGCCCTTGGGCTTACAGAGTAGGGACGAGTCCGCTAATATCGACATGTTAGCCACAAACAAACAAACTTTGGAATTACCAATCATGAATCTAGGAACTTCGGAGAATCCTGTTATTATTGACGCACCCTCTGAAATAGACGACAAGTCACAGTCAAGTGATGCTGGCACGGATGACAGAGAAGAAGCAATAATATCGAGGCGCCAGGGGAAGCGCAGACTACGACGATACACAGAACGAAATACAGCCTTGAAATTTGCAAGTAGCTCCGACGATGAGATACCTGCCATTAAAACAACATCCAGAACGGAGACACAAACATGGGAGATTGCACCGGGGAGGGTCGTCAACCCAACCAATAGTGAGAGTGAGACTAACCATTAACCTCTGGTATTTCCCGTTTACTCACATTTGTTAGATCTAGCTTTTTCTTCTGCATTTCTCTCGGGCCACACTTCAGTCTCGATAGCACCAGATGTGGCCTTCAACCTCCTTACGCTGCATCCCATGCGCCTCCACCGGTTTGAGATCGAATTAAGAATGCTTCGCTCATGTTCCATTGCGGAAGGAAGAGTGCAAGTACAAATATTAGACTACAAGTTTTCGCTTGGAACGGGTGGCGTATTTGTTATCCGCCCTGGATATTCCTGCTGTGTGGAAAATGCAGAAGGCTCGGATGCTGTGTTGCATTGCACCACCGTTCACAACTACGAGCTCATCCCTTCCCCATCAGGAAAAGTCACTACATCTGCAAACGATCATTTGCACTGACGTCAACTTAATCGTCTTTTTTAATCGCAAAGATTATCCCCGGATATCTGAAGCACGGCATTTATCCTATGAACTCTATGTCCAGACAAGACCAGCTGAGATTTCGCCCATGTGCCACTTACACGGCCATCACGGGACCCCCGCACACACTGAACGGCGGGCTGGCCCATGAGACACACGCCACCCGAGGGGTCACGTCTTCAGCATCACCACACCTGTCAAATCAAGTATAGGGTTGCATAGGAAAATTTGAATGGCAGCCAGAATTATGGCGCGTCACTGCTGGTGCTGCCCGCCTCTGCGCCGCCAGACAGCGCAGCGGTGCCTAGGGTCGCTATTAATGGCGGGTTGTGACTTGCAGTACCCTTAGCACATCCCTCCGTCGAGCAGCTGATATGCGATGAACTGTTCGAAAATGAAGCTAAGCGCAAAGATTGCAACTTCACATTAACACGTAGCTTTTTTTATAAGTTTCGGTACTAGCAACTATGTCGGAACTTGATGTGGAAGATTGCCATGATGCAGACTCGATCCAGACAATGGACTCGAGACTTACTGCTGGAGACATCGATTCAATCCGCGTACAAGCGGGCAGCCCCAAGAGCCCTTTACCTCCTAACTTGAAACGACTTGCAACAGAGCGAGTTCTTCGACAGGAAGAAACGTCCAGCTCGGAGGGGACAGACGCAAAGGATGATGTGTATTCCGAAAAGGACTATGAACCAGACGATACGAATTACCGGTTCATTCTTGATCCCGAAGGCGAACTTACACACGATGTCACAACGGTCGATGTCGTTACGATGCCCTGCCCCGGCGCAAATCCTCTGAGGGCATGGAATCGAGATGGACTGCTAGGTCGATATTTTGGAGCGCCATCCATGAGAGATGCCGAAGGCCATAGCGACAACACCTCGTCCTGGGTACGCCAGGGAATTCGAAGGGAAGCCAACAAGGCTCGTATCCTGCTCTACAGCCACCCCGACATCACCGAAGGAACAACCCTCAACACATTGGCAACCGCCCTTCTCGAATCTCTCCTTGCCCTGCGCGTGCGCGAAAATCAAAATCGACCAATATTTTTTCTCGCTCATAGCATCGGTGGGCTTATTGTCAAGCTTGCATTAGTCAAGGCGAGCCGAGACCATCGATACGAAAGCATATGGAGAGAGTCTTATGGCATTGCTTTCTTTGGCACACCCCATCAGGGAAGCAGCTATTTTGCTATGCCGAGCCTCGCAACAGGAATACAATCATTGCTACAGCTGTCCGTACCACTCCCAGAAAGTATTACGCATGATCTAAGAGTTGGAAATGCACTGCTGGCGCACGTTGACGAAGACTTTAAAGAGATGGCATCGGATCTACGAATATGGACATTCTACGAAACCATTGATTCCAAGCTCTCTGGATCCATCTCTGATCAGCCTAATGGAGAAGTGTATTTTACAGCGCCACTAGCTGCAGTCAAGTCTGTGATCCTCGGCATGCGCCAAGAACGAATATTCCCTATGCAGAGCGACCATGCCAATGTCGCATCCTTTGGCCGACACAATAATCAAACACTACGACTCTTTCTTGGCCAATTATCGGAACAGATAGACCGTGCTGATGGTGCCGCCAATTCTGGATTGCATTGGTCCAACCTTAACCTAGAGCAAAAGGTTCACATCGAAGTACATGGCTTTTTCGACGACGTAGTGAGCGATGGTGTTAGAGCATGGTCTACGAGACTTCCACTCGGAGAGTTTCTTAAGAAAGGTCCAGATGTATGCTTGAATGAAAGGCTCAACGAGATTGACGGCGAGCCAGAGCCGTCACGGTTTTTGACAACTAGAGGTAGGACAGCCGTCATCGAGCACGCCAGACAGGGAGTCCATTCTGCACCTCCGGCCGGATCCAAGGACGTTGCGCCAATGACAGTAAAGGATGCTTTAGGAATTCAAAACACACCGCAGTCAAGGGCCTCTTCACCTCCTCGATCGCCCGTCATCAGACCAATGGATGCGCAGATTGCGGCAGTTTCTGGTTCACCTCCACCGCGACCCCAGTCTCCTGGTTCTCAAATATCGCCTCGACAATCGATATCAGTCCCGAAGCCATCGCCTCTTGTCCGAGCCCAGTATGAGCAGGATCTGGCGATCGACAGGCTCTCTCCGCCACTACAGCCACGACGAACAGCCAGGTCTCTTACACGATCTATGAGCCTGAGTAGCGATGGAAACCCGCGCTTTTCATTCCGAGACTTCCCGCGCTTCTCGCCTAGGAGTAAGAGCAACTTTGGAGTAGCTGGTAGCGATGACGAGGCTGACGGACTTGAAGCCTCACCACAGCTGCCAGAATCTATTGTCGGCATGAAGACCGTGTTCAACAATGTTAGCCGCCGCGACGAGGAGATCGCTTCTATTGATCTTGTCCCTGGTATCTTCACCAAACCGGAAGTCAAGGCGCGAAAGTTTATCTGGATTCACTTGCCGTACAATAGTCCATCTTGGGCAAAGGTAGGAAGAGAGAATGAGCCAAGGAACAAAGCTAACCTTTTGTACAGAGCATATTGCAAACTCTTCAGGTGTCTTACGGAAAGGATCTTTCTGCTATCTACGGACATGATTTCTGGGCAGCGAAACATACCAAAGGTAGGCATGCGCAGCACTATGCCTACTTTGCGAAGCCAGGCTGCTATTTCTCAGCACCAAGGAGTGAGTATCACTTGGGTATCATTTGCCAGTGTTTGGCTAACAAGAATAGCTGTGGGATCACGCAGTCAATCAGTGGCTAGCCGGTCCCTATCTGCCCCTCCTGTGCGTGAAATTGGAAGCACGTATACAACACTCTTCTTCCCTTACCTGCATTTCGACTCGTATAAGAGATTGATTCGTCGCCGCGACCTAATTGTGCAGCGGCTGATTCAAGGACGCGCACGACCGATTCCCGAGAACGTATCAAAGTCGGATTCTCTTGAGTGTCAAGTAATTTGGGAACAGCTTGGCCATGACCCTCCTCTCAACTGTAGACGCACATTGGATCAGTTTGGCTATCCGTCTCTCCGCGATACCCGATCGCGAGACGATGACCAGATGCTCTACAAACTGACCAAGGAGCGACGGTGCACTGCAGATCAAGCCGCAGAGTTGCGCACTCAGCAATCCAATGGCGGTCAAAGTTCAACGAAAGCCAATAGTACATCATGGCGCGAGCGACTAAACTGGCGAGAATGGTTCCAAGAAGAGCCTGTGGTTGAAGAAGACGTCTTGAATGGAAATGTCTTGATGGTTGACCAGTTGTGGCTTTGGGTAATCAACTCCCGTAAGTGTCCCACTTCGCTAGGCCTGCAGGTCACTAACATCCCCCTCTTAGATACCGTTCTTACTTTCTTCCCGAAGCGAGAAGGCGATCCTATCGAAGGGCCACTGTTTCAGCAGGCCGATCTCCGCGACAGCATCTTCAACGAAGTCAACGTAGATCTCGCTCGGCAATGCGAAAATGCATTCGACCTTGCTGCTTTATCAGTATTGCACGCTACAACTGTTTTGCTAGACCGAGCAGCGCATCCAGACTTGGAAGTGTTTCGCATTTTTGAAGAGGCAATTAGCGTCCTCGTGAGTTCTCTGTCATATGAGCGCGAAAAGAGTACACTAACAGTAATACAGACTGAGAAATTAACATCGTCACTAAAGGAATTTCGCGAGGAAGGCGTGCGAGACAAATCTTTCGACTACGACGCTGCCGAGACCAAGACACGATCGATTCGCGCCAGACATAAAGAAGAGGGCAGGCGTGCAGAACAAGAGAACCGCGACAACACGTCTGCACTCTTGGAGCTCCGTGATATAGAAGATGAGCTAGCCACGCTCCTACACCTTTTTGAAAGGCAAGGCAAAGTGATCTCAACTATGCACGCTATCTACGCACGGGCAGAGCTACGAGATCAAACGGCAAACGGGCGTGTCTTTCTAAACGAAGCCCTCAAAAAGGTCAGCGAGTACATGTCGCAAGCCGAAGAGATGATTCGGCGAGTGCGAAACACACGTGACGACTACGACAAACTGCTTCAGATGGTTCAGCGCCAGGCCCAGGTGGACGAAGTCCGACTTAGCAGACTACATGCGGATGTTGCCAGCGCTCAGAGCAGAAGCGTCCTCATCTTTACGACATTTACCGTCATTTTCCTCCCACTGACATTCTTCACGGGCCTATTTGGCATGAACACGCGGGAATGGGGTGGCGAGAACAACCTTCCTCTAGCGACAATTGGCAGCATTGCAATCCCCGCGTCAGTCTTTTTGATTGTAGCCTCGTTGGTTGTGGCATGGAGCACGCGCGTGCGTCGACTACTGCGCTTCTTTGGCCGTATTGTCGTTTCCATCGACCGACTCTTGTACTTTCTCTTTTGGCGGCCGCTGTCTCGTGCTGTGTCTGCCCAGTGGCGGGTATCGAGGTCCGTGTCCGCAGGCGACGAGAGAGGATCGGGTGCGCAGCCTAGTATTACGCAGGAAGTCAGTGACTTTTGGGATAGACACCGGCCAGAGCGGGACAGAGCATATCGTATCCCGGATGTGAATAAGCGGCAAGGCGTGGTGAGGGTGAATAAGCCCCGAAAGGACACCAAGGCGCAGGCTACGGAGCGATGAGGCTGCGATACGGTGTCATTTTCTCTTGCTGCATTATTTTTTGGTTGAGGATCAGTCTGGTTATTATTTGTGCATATTTACGGCGTTTAGTTTGTGAATTAATTTTCATTGTTTACACTTAATTTGTTTGTTTGCGTCTATAACCGTGAAAATATTCCCTTGGCAAGTCCGGTCATCGGCCATCTCGCCGCCTCCCTCCCCCGCACAACTCTCCACCACTAGCCCCAGCCCATCGGCGGCTCCTCCCCCACGCTTCTCCATCACCTCAAGGCCATGCATCCCCATTGGTAGCTAGCTCTCCACATCGCCTAGGCCTCGTTAGCGGACATTATTCTAGCCACCGTTCTCCACCAGCACTAGCGAATGTGAGTTCCCCCGGCTATATACAGGGCTGGCGCTGGTTAAAGCCCGTTTCCTGCCCCCTCCCAGAATGTCCAGCAGCTCTCACTCAATCACCATGTCGACTGCTGCAACAGATGACGGCGCCGTGGAGGCTGGTCTCCGTGCTAAATCCAACACGCCCATCATACAGCATAAAGATAATACCGGTCCTGCTGCCATGGTCTGCGATCCCGAGATCGAGAAGCGAGTCGTGCGCAAGATGGACTGGCACGTCATGACGCTCATCTGTTTCCTCTGTAAGCTCGTCTCTCTCTCTCCTCTCGTATCTCTTGTTCTAACGAAGCCGGGCTAGATCTCTTAGCCTTTCTCGACCGCTCTAATGTCGGCAACGCCCGTCTTGCTGGCATGGCCAAGGATCTCGATCTCAACCGCGACGGCCGCTACGACTGGCTCCTGACCATCTTCTACATCGGCTACATCATCTCGGAGCCGCTGATCCTCATGTTCAAGATTCTTCCCGCGCGCATTTGGATGGCCTGTGTAGTGTTTGGCTGGGGCGTGGCTGCGACAGCGCAGGCCGGCGCCCAGTCGTGGGGTGGCATGATGGCCGCGCGCTTCTTCCTGGCCGTCTTTGAGGCAGGCTTCGGACCAGGTGCTATATACCTTCTATCGTTCTTTTATCTGCGACGCGAGCTGGGCCTGCGAACGGGCATGTTCATCTGCGCGGCGCCGCTGGCAACCTGCTTTGCCGGTGCGTTGGCGTACGGCATTACGGCTGGGAACCCGGGCATTGCGCGCTGGCGACTGCTATTTCTCGTCGAGGGCGCACCCGTCCTCGTCATGGCAGTCGTGACATACTTTGCCATGCCTAATTCACCCAAGGAAGCTTGGTTCTTGACCGAAGAGGAAAAGCAGGTTGCGCTGGCGAGGACTATGCGACAGGCGGGTAAAGCGGAGCGACAGGGTGCGCTGAATTTCAAGGAACTTGCAGCGACATTTTTCGATATTAAGTCTTGGGTTACGCCGCTCATCTACTTTTCTTGCAATGTCTCATTTGCATCGCTGCCTGTGTTTCTCCCGACGATTCTGCAAGACATGGGTGAGTTGTAGTCCTATTATTTTCTTACTCTGGTGGCTGTTGCTAACAAAATGTAGGCTTCTCCGGTCTAGATGCGCAAGGCCTCTCTGCGCCACCGTATCTGCTAGCTTTCATAGTTACAATCTTTACATGTATCATTGCGGATCGCACCCAGCAGCGCGGTCTGACCATCATCTGCACATCCATCCTTGGCGGCGCCGGATACATTATGCTTGCTGTGGGTAAGTCTACTGGTGTACGTTACGCCGGCGTTTTTCTTGCAGCTGGTGGCGTCTTCCCTAGTATTGGCAATGTGTTGCCGTGGGTTCTAAACAACCAGGGCAATGATGATCGTCGCGGCGCGGGTATCGTGCTCCTCAACCTCATTGGACAGTGCGGGCCACTGTTAGGCACCAGACTGTATCCGCTCAACGAAGGACCAGATTATACAAAGGGACATAGTATCTGTGCCGCTTTTATGTTCTTTACCACGCTAATGGCGCTCCTTCTGAGGACTCTCCTGGCCCGTGAGAATAAAAAGCTGGACGCAAGGTATGGACGGTTGACGGAGGAAGACCAGCTAGAGAGCGAGGGACTCGAGAATTTTGGACCAAAATTTCGATACGTTTTGTAAACAGTGGAGGATTCCATATATACCATTTTTCACAGTAAGGAACACGAGTAATTAATTCAATTGGGACACTCTTTCTTTACATTATTTGTCTATACATTTGTCTAGTATGTGTAACTCGTAATTCCCCTGCTACATTCAATACAAAATTCATCCACTCTGAGCTTCTCGTGCAATTTAAACGTTTAGAGCTGGGCAACAAGAGCCATGGCAGCAACGAGACCAGCAACGGCAGAGACGCCGAGGGTGGTGGCACCGGCAGTAGAGGTACCAGGGGTCTTGCTGGGACCAGAAGGAGTGGCGCCAGTGGTCTTACCACCGTTGTTGGAGCCGCCGTTAGGGCCAGTGGGGGTGGCAATAGCGGTACCGTTGCCAGCGGGCAGAGTCTTGACGATGGTGCAAGGGCAGTCGGTGATGGTCAAGGTCGTGGGCTCGGTGACGGTGTAAGTCTTGGAGTTCTGGACAAAGGTGGTGGGGATAGGGCAGTAGGTGGTGTAAGCAGTGACGGTCTCGGTAACAGTCTTGTGGGGGACGACACTGCTGGGGGCATCAGTAGGGCGCTTGATGAGGGTGAAGTCATCGCCGCTGGTGCCGTCAGAGCCCTTGATGAAGTTCCAGGTCAGGACAGTCTCGTTGACGACGTTGAGCTTGGAGAAACCGTAGTGGCTCCAGTCGAGGACGGCAGAGATGTTGAGAATGTTCTTGCCAGGGGCGAGGGTGGCGTGAGACTCAATGTTACCAGCCATACCGTTGATGATGTGAGTCATGGACTGGCCAGGGTTGGTCCAGTAGGTGTTGTTGTTGACGACGGAGCTCATGTCGACGGTACCGTTGTGGCCAATGGGGAAGATACGCTCGTACCAGTGGATGTGGCCAGAGAGGTAGGCATCGACACCGTTCTTGAGGAAGAGCTCCTCGAAAGCAGCGCGCATGCTGTTCTGATAGCTAGAAACCTGGGAAGAGTACATGGGGCGGTGGCTCATGGCGATAACCCAGGGGGTCTTCTTGCGGTCAACCTTGGCAAGATCATCCTGGAGCCACTTGTACTGCTCGTAAGACTCCTTGACGTTAATGTCGCCAGTGACGGCGCCAAAGGGGCCAGAGTCGGTAGAGAAGGTTTGGTTGGGGGAGATCTTGTTCTCACCCTTCTTGAGGTGCTTGGCAAAAGGAGCCTCGGGGGAGTTGGGGTAATCAGTCTCACCGTTGAATGCGATGAAGTGAGCCAGACCGTAGTCGAAGGAGTACCAGAAGTTGGAGACACCCTTGGACTCGGCACCAGGCATGCGGAAACGGTTCTGGTAAGCAGTGTAGTTGCGCTGGGAAGGAGGGCAGCTGAAGTAATTGAGCTTGGAGGTGGAGGTGCTGTTGGTCTTGTTGAGGTTGAGGTAGGTGGCGAGAGGGTTGTCGGGGTAGTCGAACTCGGCACAAGCAGCCTCGTGGTTACCGGGAAGAACCATGTAGGGGACCTTGGAAGAGATGTTGGTCATCCACTGTTGCCAGAGATCCCAGTTGGACTCGTAGATGACGCTCATGTCACCACCACGGGGACCACCCTGGCTAGCAACCTCGCCAGCGGGCAGAGGGACATCGTACTCGGGGGTCTTGCCGCCGGGCAGGCGGGTGCTGGAGCCGTTGTAGCAGACGGGCCAGCTGTCCTCGCAAGGAAGGAGACCAGAGTACCAGTCATCGGCGTAGGAGATGTCACCACCGTGCCAGGCAAAGGCAACACCGTTATCAATGGCCTTGGTGAGCTGGTTGAAGGTACCGCCAGCGTTGGTGTAGCCCATGTCGTTGAGAACAGCGACAGAGAAGCCCTTCTTGTCACCAGCAGCACGGGCAGTTGTGAACTTGAGGACATCGGAGGCAGTGGTGCCGTTGGAGGCCTGGATCTTATAGTAGTAGGTGGTGTCCTGCTTGAGGCCGCGGATCTGGACCTCGTGGAAGTGCTGGGAGCACTGGGTGACAGGGGCCTCGGAGCAAGGAGGCGTACGGTCGTAGCTGGAAAGGTCGTGGTTAGTTGATTGATAGAGGCAATTGGTTTGGGCAAAGAGAGATACTCACGAGTGAGAAGCACCAGTGGCCTTCTTGTCGAGCTTGGCAGAGTCAGAACCCCACTGGACGGTAGGCTCCTCAGTCAAGCCAAAGGGAGTCTGGTAGTGGATGTTGACACCATCAGCGCCGGCATACGCAATGGAGATGACGTTGATATTGTTGGTAGGGTTGGCGGTGGCAGGCTTGACGGCGGGAGGCTCAGAAAGACGAGGGTAACCTTTTCCATTGCCCTTGACGTCCTGGTTGACCCAATCACCAACGGGAGTCTTGGGGCCAGTGTAAGGCGAGCTGGTGTCGACGGTGGGCTTGGCCTGGGCGACAGAGGCCAGGACGAAGCCAGCAGCAATGGCGGAGGCGGTCTTTGCGATCATGATTGCTTGAAGCTGAGAAGCAAAAGAGACGATGATGAATTGGCAGCAACGGCTAAAGAACGAAAAGAAACGAGCAAGAGACGGAGCCGTTGGCGACGCTGCCTCAGCTCTTTTCAATCATTTTTTTCCACCTGCAGCTCCAGACCAGCTGGGCTCCGGCGACCTTACCATTACGGGCCATGCTATTGGCTCTTCCGGCCCAGCTAATGCAACTCGGACATACAGCCTGGCGAGGGATCCGCTGGTTGGTGATGGGATGGGATAAGCGTCATGGAGCAAAAGAGTGCACGGCTGAGGCGGCCCCTGCACATCGCCCAGTGTGCTTGGCGAGATTGGCGCACGTGGGCTGCCGTTCTCGGTGCTGTTTGTTGGCGGCCCGCCCGCTGTGGCGGCTCCTTATTCGACACCGAACGCACTGTAAGCAGGGAACTATTGCCCTGAACTGCACTGAGTTGCTAGCGCCAGTCCAAAAGTGGCTCTATTTGGAAGCCACCAACATGCAAGCCACATTTTGGGGGATTTGCATTGGCCTAATTTCGGCGCTACAGATTTCTCTTAAGGAAGAAAAAATAGAAGAAGAGAAAAACGAGTCAAGAGCACGCTGGCCTGTTGGGCTTCCCCATTGGCTCAATTCGTTCGTCCCTTCATTCTATTCCCACCGCTGCAGCCAGCCGTTCTACCCGTTGGTTAACAGCTGAACCGTTTTGTGACAGAAGCCCAAGGGTGCCTGAGTCGTCGCCTGTCCATTTAATCACAAATTGAAAAATGAATAGTGTAAAAAGAACGACAATATTGAGACCAGAATATGCTATTGACTCGCGTCATCCCACCACCCTAGCACACGCAGCGCCTTGAGCGTGAGCCACTGGCTACTCTCTCCAACATCACCATACTTGAGCCAGTGACGACCCTTGAATTCCCTTTCCTGCTGCCACTTGCCATCGGCTTTCTTCTTCTGCCTCACAATGCCAATGGCCTCGGCGAGTCTAGCGTCAGGCTTAGCCTTGCCTCCCGCAGACAGATGAGCTGCCCTGAAATACTCCAACCCCCGTAGCACATCATAGGCATACCTTCGCGGATATGTTAGCTGCAGGTACGTGGCGTCGACCACCGCACCCGTGGACAGTCGCTTGAACAGAGATCGCTGTAGCAGGTACTCTTCGCCCGACTTGCGCGCTGCCGTGAGTTCCGGCGTGGCGCCATGCGCAATCTCATATGCAAGTAAGCCTTCCAGCACGTTGATGGTGCTGTCAAACGACGACCGCACGGAGCCTCGGTGCCTATCGCAGTTCCATCCACCGTCCGACTGCACCTCGCCTAGCAGTCGCTGAACGATACTATGAACATCGACGCCAAAGTAGACGCCAGAAGACACGGTTCGCCCATTAATGCACTCTTCTGTCTCGCCGTCCCAAAATCGCTGTCCTCCTTCATCCCATTTGCAGTTGTCACCCACCAGCTCAACCGTCCTCTTGGCCGCGTCGCAGCCAGGCTCAAGCCCCATCTCACGCAGCTCGTCCAGTACAAACGCCGTTGCCGTCCAGGGTTGCCTGTTTTCTTTGAATTCGGCGGCCGTCGCGTCAGATGGCGCAAACGAGCCGCCGGCCCACTGCCCGTCGGTATCCTGCTTGGATAGCAGCTCCTTGCCCCAGCCATGCGTCTCAATCCTTGCGCGGACGGGTCTCCATTCAGACTCGGAAAGCCCGAGTAGGTCTCGCTTAACTTGCCATTCTAGTGCTACATCCGCCGAGCATATCCATTCGAGAACGTTGTCCATTGAGGATGTCGAGTGTGTAGATCGGATTGCCCTTTTTAGACCCGTGGAGTTGTGAGTGTTGTGAACTAAAGATGCACAATGGTTACTTGCTGGTGATTCACAAACGCCAACAAGACTTGGATATTTAAGCCAGCAAATTCAATTGGACTCGGCCAAGTTCGAGCGCAAAAGCCACCTGTGCACTATTCCAAGTACAAATTTGCTTGATTGGCGTGAATCTTGTAGCAGTCACTGGGCACTAGTGCTGCGGCTGAACGACCAAACGCGCCTCTTTGTTGATCACTCGCTTGGCACCTGTCAAAACTGGCAAGACCTGTCGCCAGCTGGCAGACGACAACAAAAATCGACTTTTTACTAAAAGTGCACTTTTCTTCCCAATTCAAGTCTTCCACCATTTATTCACATGCTGCAACTATTAAAAGACCAACACTGCGCTAGTTTGTTGTAGTGGCGTGATCACTTACTCTGACTGCCGGGTAATGGACTGCGAGTGGCAGCGTCGATTACACCAGAGGCACGCAAAAGAAAATCGTGAGAAGTATGAAAAAAAAAGTTGTTTGCAATACATCTGTCCAAAGCAAACAAATAAATTCAAGGCCATTAGAGATATACACGCAAACGGCCTCAACTGCTTCCTATGGAGGAAGATCTACGATTCAGGCCCCAGGACTTAGCGTTGGGAGCGCTGGAACAATCTTATTCATCCACAAGTACAACATCCGATAAATATTACGAGGATCGCTCCGGTATTCATTCTCAACCCCTCCTTTTTTTGCGTCATCAATACCAATCGACTCATTATGGTCGACATTATGAGTCTCGCAAGCGTTACCGTCCCTGATGGAGCTATCCATGGCACCATTGCCCACCTGGCGTCGAACATATTAGAGTTTCACTACCCATCTCTAAATATCTACACTAAGCCTTGTTCAGCAAACGCCCACTACCTTAGCCCATTTGTCCGTCGAAATTTGCAAACCCAAGGCTTTGCAAGCTTGCCTGCGCTAATTAGTGCCAAACTACCAGAAACCAGCTCCCTTGACTCGGCACTTGATGCGTTGAGTGGACAATATCGAACATAACACTCATAACCTTGATAGCCGATGGGTCGAATTTTTACTACAAACTTTAGACCAATGAGGTCTTTTATGTTTAAAGAGACTACACGGGACCACTAAATATCTATTCCCGCATCATGTGGCACCCAAATTCGACTGTCAATTGAATAGCAATCAAACCCTTGTTCGCGATGAGGCTGCTTTCCCTGGCAATCACGGGCAGTATTGTCGCCCACGCTACGGCTACCAACTACTATTTTGACGGACTAGCGCTGTCCAACGGCACCGGCACTGTCTTGTCGCCATTCAACAACCTCGATGTCATCCCTGGGCTTGCGCTGCAGCAAGGCGACCGACCCCTGTTGAAGCGCGGCACCTCCTTTACATCCAGCCTCGTGCTGAAGGCCAGCGGCTCCCACGATGCCCCATCACCATCCAGGCATATGGTGCCGGCGAGCTACCACCATCTATCCAAGCTCGCCCTGACCAGCTCAACAGCATCCGGCTCCACGGCGCTTCCAACATTGTGCTCCAGGACATTGCCGTGACAAACCGCGGCGCCAACACGACGGCCCGCCGCGGCGTGTACATCTACGGCGAGGATGCGGGCGCTGTAAGCAACATTCTTGTGCAGAGGATGCACATCCACACCGTCGAGGGGTACATGCCGTCCACAGCCGAGGGGGACTTTCGAGTGGATAAATATGCCAACCCATCAGGCGGGATCGTGCTCGAGGCGACCGGCAATAAGACGGCGACGTATTTCCAAAATTTTACGGTACGGAATAACTTGCTAGACGACGTCAACAGGCAGGGTATCTACATGTGGTCCAACTGGTGCCAGAGAGATGCCTTGGCCACGTTTTGGTTCGACTTTTGTTTTGGCAAGTTTGTCCCGTCGACGGGGATCAGGATTCGGCGCAATAAGCTGAGGAATATCGGCGGCGATGGTACCGTGGTTACGGGTAGCGTTTGAGCCGAGGTTTCGCATAACCGTGTTGATGGGTTCAATACAGCGACCAAGTCGGCCAGCGCAGGCATCTGGGCTGCTAACAGCGACTATGGCTGGTTTCACCATAACGTCGTCTCTGGCGGAAAGACTACCGAAGATGGTAAGAACCCATAATGCGGAAGTGAGTGGGAGAGTCCAGCGTGCTGACTATCACAGGCATGTCGTATGATGTCGACCATTCCACGTCTGGCACACTGTTTGAATAAAACGTGTCGCACGATAACGAGGGCGACTTCTTCCTGCTCTGTACGTACGACAAACCAACGCGCAACTTCACCATCCGGTACAACCTGTCGATCAATGACCGGGCACGTGTGATTCAGATCTGCGAAGGAGACCTTGCTGGCGGCCAAGTGTACAAGAATACCATTGTGGTTGGTGATGGCATCTCATCCATGGCCGTCTTTTCACCCTCCGGGTATAAAGTAGACACTGCATTCACGGACAACATTCTAGTCAGCACAGGAGCTGGGCGGCTGGCGTGGAATGTGACGGCAGCCGACTTTACCGTCGACAACAACGTTCTGTACGGCAACATTGACACGAACCCGAATGCCACCAACACAATCACCACCGAGCCTATGCTAGCAGCGCCGGGCTGGCGGGACCCGTACGCAAACATGCTTCTGGCTAACTCGTCAGCGTATCAAGCCGCCACGGCAGTTGCAGGCGACGGGACGCCTCGGCTGATTTCTTCAGCCAGCCAACGCAGCTCCATCGCAGCATTGGCTTTTACAGCGGCGAGGTGATCAACCAGCCACAGTGGACTGCCGATTTCGATAACGGCACGCTGCAGGGGTTCGTAAAGGCAGGTTTGGTGGATATTGTCCCCGATCCAGCTGGCGACTTGGGCAAGTCTGCGTCTCTGGCGGCGGGAAGTAGCATTTCACGCGATTTCGAAGACGCCGGCAATTTTCGGCTTAACGTGCGTGTTTTGATCACTTCAGATCGTGTGGAAAAGCCAGCAGTCATATCCATCGGCACGGCGCAGGTTGTTCTTGGTGGGTTTCAGTCCAACGATGTTGGCTTCTGGCAGATTGTCATGGTGACGCGCAGGGACGGCAAGGTGACAGCTGAAGTGAATGGCAAGAGACTGTGTATTCGGCAAAAGGGGAAAGAGGGCGTAGTGAAGATTGAAGCTGGAGATGCGCATTTGTTTGTAGATGAGGCATTCATTGTTGCGCTGTGAGCCAAGCCCAAGTACGTAGCTACGATTGGAGAGGCAGCGTTGAAGGACTTACATGGCTAGTACTACGTTTGATTCAAAGTAAGTATTCTTGAAATTTCCATTTGAAGTATATGTTTTGGGATGATATTTGGATAAAACTTGGAGGCGTAAGCGTTGCATCGCTACCCTGCTAAATAGATACGGTATATATAAAACACTATAGAAAAATATCTAGCCAAAAGTTTTACTTGTCACCCTAGATATGGCAATCTCTTTGGGTCATTATCCCACAGCGTCCATAGCTCGTGATGGTCATACGCAAGTTCGAGATCTGCGCGGCCTACGCCGATCCGTAGATGACTGACGCTTGCTTCAAAATCTCGCCAGGTTGGGTGCGCTTTGTGCTCATTATACGGAGGCTCTAACATGGAATGATAGAATTTAAAAACCACCCGTTCTATCTTTGGGCACCTTTCGGCAACAGTGCGAAGTAAGTCGATATGCCAATCGTCTCCAAAAGGACCTCTAAGCGTCAGCTTCTGTAGTCCAATAGGAAACAGATCTCGAAACCTTGCAATATTGCTGGTCTCGTATGGGATACAAATCGTTTCCATGCCCAGCTCAGCGCTTTCCAGGTTGTATAGCCCTGTCATGCGTTCTAATAATGGTACCATGCCCTCGTCATCAAGCACGACCTCGTCATAGTCCATACACAAGTGCTTCAAGGTTGCCGCTACGGGTAACAAACCGTCCACTATCCCTTGAGGTCCAAGTCCTTCTGATACCTCCATATGGCTCGTACTGCATGAGTATGAGAACGATTCGAGCAGCGGGAAATGTGTTGAAATAATGTGAATATTTGACGATGAGACATGGCTGCATGTCAGAGTCAGACTTCAAATATTGGCGTTTTGCAAAGACGCAGAGAATTCTGTAATTTTCTCTCCCGAGAGAACTTCGAGATTTGGAGCATGATTCACAATCCAAGTTACTTCCTCATCGAATATGACGCCGAAATGTGAATCCATGAAGCTAGTGTTCACGCCGCGTAGATTCTCCCAAGTCGGTGGCTTCTTAATTTGCACCTGGGCATGGGATGTCATGAAATACGAATACATGGCAATGTATTCGACATTTGGACATGCAACACATAGAGCTATCCGGGAAAGCACATCTAGATTGTCCAGGATAGTTTCTCCTTTATACACAACGTTCGCGTCTAGCCTCGTAGGTTTACCCTGATTCATACTGAAACTTTTCGAATACATGGTTGGCAGATGCAGCAAAGTCTTCGGGGGATTGGCAGTTTGCCGTCTCTCGAGCCCAGTCGATGAGGTTAAAGTTAGCTTCGAGGCGACTGACTTGCTGAGATAGTTCTGGTTGTTGCAATAATGTGCGAAGGAGAAGAAAGTCCCGAGTAAGGTAACCTGGCTCTCTAGAATCCTTGGTGTCTCCAAGGTTGCAGTGTTTGTCGCCGTAGAATTGCAGAGTGTGGTAGAGCATTGGTTGCGTTATGCGATGGAGCTGCTTGCATGTTCGACCCAAAGACGACGGAGAACGAAGGAGTATGGATACCGGAGGTCCTTGAAATTCTTGTCGAAATCGACATTTGTCGAGATGGGACAGGATCGGCAATAGGACCTCTACTGGTAGCGAGAGAAGGGAAGCCATGATGAGTGAGGTGAGTAGTGGCTTTGTTGCTAGGTCGCCACCGGCTGATTGTATATTCATAGACGGACCAATTTATATATTTTGTTTTTCACGGCAGGGGATAGAGAAGCTGAGATATCCTCACAGACTTCAGGCACCAGCCATTGATTGTTGTAAAGCGTGAATTCGAATCAGGCTGAGGGCGGGGGAAAGGCTGAGGATATATATATCCGCCATGTTAGGTCAACGCGCAACGTGACGGAAGGGAATTGATTTTCTTTCAAAATCTCTCTAGAAAATCTGCTAGTAATTTTTAAGTATTTCATATAGCATTGAAACAATGTCGAGTTGCAATATAAGTCCCCAGAAGCTTGCACTCCCTAGCGAATATGTCACTCTACCTACAATATACAGCCGCTCTGTAACGACAGCCATAATACGGCTACGTCATCTAGCAAAGTATTAGACATTAACTCTACTTTGAGCAGTTAATATATGATACATTTAGGACTATATCTTGTAACTCATTACAAGATCCGCGCAAACACATAGTGGTTTAATTGGAACTGACATCTATTCTTCTTTAATTTGTCATGTCTGTATATTATATCCATATTTTGGAGAGAATGAAGGATGTATATGGAATCTAGCTCACTTTGGCGGCGCATAGGAGACGTCGACAATCGTTCTATCCTCGCTTACAAAAAACACGTCTTCATAGGTTCCTGAGCGTGCCACGGCGCCGATGCCCGCGATTGTGACGGCGGTAGATGGCCCAGACAGAGTATAGCAGTTCCAGTTTGAGTTTTCCATCCAGTTGCAACCACGGATAGATCCATCGCTGCCAGTGTACCAGACATCCATGACAAACTCATTGCGCGCCAGAGCCTTGATGGCCCCTTCGGTGGGCGCACTACCTGGACCAGCCAACTCGAAGCCCTTCCAATGGTCACCTTCATACCAGTACAAGTCTCTGATGCTTCCATCCTTGCCAATGTACCATAGTTCCATGGTATTTGACATACGCGAGACGACAGAGATGCTGCCCGTGGCAGATGCGCTTCCTGGCGGTGCGACTTCCTGATCATGCCAACCGTCCTTTTCGTAAAAGTAGTGATCACGAATACTACCGTCGTTGCGCGTGACAAACAGCTCAATAGTGTCTTTGGCACGTGACACCGCAGCTATGCCGCCCGACATGGAAACAACGTCGTTGGGGATGATCTGCCACGAGCCCCATCCCTTGCCTTCGTAAAAGTACCAGTCGATAACGCCGCCGTAGCCGTTGATGTACCAAAGCTCAATAGTTCCACTGTGGCGAGAGACAGCAGCAATCCTAGAGTTTACGGCGGCGCTGCCCTCGGAGCTACGCTGGACACACGACCAGTTCTGGCCTTGAACCCACAAGCAGTCTATGAGGGCTCCTTTGGGGCTGATGAACCACACCTCCATCTGGTTCGAGACGCGCGAGATGGCCACGATGCCGCAGTCGGGATGAGCGGATCCGGGCGGCGCAAGCTCGTATGGATTCCAGTGTCCGTTCCCCCACCACTGGCCTTGCACGGAGCCGTCGGTGCGAAGATACCAAAACTCCATAGAGCCTGGCAGCCGAGACACGGACGCGATGCCGGAAGCATCGGTAGGGAAGCCATTGGGCGTCAAGGTCTTGGTCGTCCAAGTATTCGGCGGCACTGCGTCGAGTGGCGCTGTCCAGTAAACTTCTGTCCACGACGAATACCGCCCACCAAAGGCTTCTTGACCCTCGACGCTGAACCTGTACACGTGGCCAGGCATGATGTTGGTAAAGACGTAGCCTTTCGAATCGCCAGCAAGATCTGTCTGGAAGTCATCGCGGCCGTCGGTATGGACACGAGCAAGCACCTTGTTGTATGTCTCCCCGTTTCGCCAGTAAATGTTGACTGAGTGCGTTAGCTGGTCATAGTATCCAACTTTGAGGTTGTAGGGGGACCAAACTGCAGTGGCCACCCCACTGAAGAATATGAGAAGGAAAGAAATTGGATTGATTTTCATTGTTAGGTGTTGTTGGGCGCGGACGCTGGTACTCAACAACTGGAAGAAAAGGTTGACATCCGGTGTTTATATAAACATCTTGTTCCAGTTCGCCATGGTAGCCTAATATCAAAGCGATGCTTATTATCCAGCACCGTCGGACCAGGCCCATATCACCAAAATGGTCGAGTGGGTTAACTTATACCGAAAGTGAACCCATCGGGGATGACAGACGAGAACCCCTTGCAGGTGGGTTAGGTGGGCTACTGGGCTGAGAGAGGATTGTACATGATTGTCGTAATGTCGAATTAAAGATTTGCGCACGTGGAGTCGTTCTTTAGTCGCAGCATGGGGATTCTTTAGGTAGCTCGTATACGACGTATGGGTGCTGCTAATGTAACCTCGGAGTATCCGCGCGGTGGCTATGCCCCTTGAATGCAATTGACTCTGTGGGTATTTCTTTACTTCAGTAACATTAAGAATGTGACGTCTAAGGCGCCAATCCCAACTCGGAACAAGATGTGGCGTTGATTTACCGATGGTAATGGCGCCATATAGATCTATGTCCTAGGCCTCTTACTAGCTAGTATGTATCAGGAGGTACTGAGTAAGTCATGTGATATTTTGGGCCTTATTGAGTATCTTGCAAACTGTAAAATACAAATTTGTAGCTTTTACTATTCGCTATAATAGATAAAAGAAGCTGAAGTACTCAAATCCTTCATCAAATCGTACAGTACGTGGGGTGAGCCATGCCCGATGCTGTCAAAGTAAGGATGCTTCACCTGCTGCAGCTGAGCTTGGAGCAGCGCGCGTGCTATGATGCAGTAGTCGTTTGAGTGTTTAGCGAGCCCAATTTTGGAGATCTGGCTGGCACTCAGCGGCGCCATGACCTTTTCCCAGAGCAGCTGCCATCTTCCAAGAGCACGGAGCAGCTGAGGAGCTGCAGCTTCAACAATCTCCATTTGGCAAGCCGTAATGCTCGATGTTAGCAGCGCTAATGAAGACACAATCAGTGAAATTGCCCGTACGTGTTACATCTGATACGTACCCAATGCCGCGGTATACAGATATTCGACAGGCAATACATCAAATGAAATGTCGTCTATATCTATAAACTCATCTGCCATCAACTCGTCGACTAAATATTTGACTGACGTAGTTAGTTTTGAGTACTGAGAGGGCGCAACGGTAGATTGGCCCAACGCTTCTCTCATCAAAATGTAAGATGTAGAATCTAAGGCGTTCCACAGTTTGTCGGAGTGCAAGAAGCTGCATGTAACCTCGCCAATAGACACTTGTGGTGGATAATAAAACATCCAAGAATGGTTCCAAGAAGCGGCTATAATTCCGGTACCGACCCTAGCTCACAAAAGGTTACGTTAGTAAGTTGTGTGAATAGCAAAGGACGAGGCTCGCGTACCGTATGATTGTCTCATTAGTGATGAATTGCTGCCAATCCAGGCCGGGTTGGTACTGTAGCTCGTGCAATTTAAAGTGCCGCAGCGCGCGAATGAGTATGGGAATTGTTTGAAGGCGAGATTTGAGGAACGCACTGTCCATGTTAAGACGGTGTTGGACGAGAAGAGCAGCTTGCAAAACTTGTAAACCTTGCGGTGTAAGGTGTTGCTCTGACGCAATCAGCTGTTCTAGTTTGCTCAAGATGTACTTGTCCACCAGTTCGCCGTATCCCCTAGCTAAAAGAGCGTGATTGATTGGCGTTGAGCGGAATGCGCCAGTGATGGCGACGGCAAGCACAAGTATCATGGAAGTGTCTGACATCCCAAAGGTAGCATAGTGGATGATTGGCACGTAGATGATGCTTATGCGAAAAAAGGTGGCGCAAAATGCGCGTAGATGGTCTGCACATAGTACTACTCTTGCCTGGTGGACGTCGAAGTTTTTGTCATCTGTTTCTGGCAGGGTCCGGTGGAAGGCATGCAGTTCACGCACAATATCGTCAGACATGCGAGTTAGCATATCGAAACCCACGTCGTCAGAGAAGATTGGTATCGGTGAGCGCCTGGTAGGCGACAACAAGTCGGAGTTTTGCTTGGGGTCAAAGCTGTCAATAATATCATCCAACATGGAATCCACACAAGGTGGGAAGAGATCTCGAAACTCATTGAAGTTGGGCATTGCCAGTGGCGTTGGGTGAGGCGGCTTGTGAGGAAGACTTGGGTCTGGCTCGTCAGGGGCATCGTCATTGAAGTTGCCTCCGTTGTTGGTAGAATTGAGATAATGCTGTATGGTGGGTTTGCTGGGATCGAGAAGACCAGATAGGAATGTCATGGACGACAATGGCGGGCCGAGTTTGGGAGCTTCAGAAGGCTTGCTGGGGCGGCTTCTCCGCGCCACATCGGCGGTTGTCTGCTGCTTCGCGCATGTCGCTAACGTGGAGGAGCCATGGTGTTTTGCGCATCGTATGATGTGCTTTTTGTATACGTCGCTAAGCGCGTATAATCATCAGCCTATTGGGATACACTGCTTATTGCGATGCCATCAGAGGCGGCACGCGGGGACTTACCCTCGAGCAAAGGTTTTGGAGCACTGGCTGCATTGAAACCGATTGGGGTTATTGTCTATGTCACGATTAGCGTATAGATTCGATTAGCAGAGAGCACCCCAGGTTAGGAAAGCCAAAGGGGCTGTGCCCGAAGAGATGATCGTGAGTTGACATACGATTGGCTTGGTGACGTCTCCAGTGAGTATTGTGATGGAATTCCTTGCCGCAAGTTGGGCAAACCCATTCTTTAGCAGATTGCGCACGTGTCGACATTGGTGCAGGCAGTGGTCATCTGTTTAAACCCAGCCTGACGCGGATCAAGGTTCGTTGTTGTAGGGTCAAGGTCAGAATGTTCAAGTAGATGATAAGCCCCACGGATCAGCGCTATTCTGCCGGACGTCGCTTTCGCTTATCAGCCACCACGGCGACAGCGCTTGGCGATTTATTAAGTCGCCCAGGGCTTAAGTTACTGGAGGTGCATTGCGTGCTGGTGTATGGTAACCAAGTTACTGCCTTGAAGTTAACATCAAAACTCACTGGAAATAGGCTACCTTAGAGTGTAAATTAAGCAAAACACCAACATGGTCGCTAATACAAGAGAGAAGCAGAATAATAATAATAGTTATGTTCCACGCCATCCACGAATCCACGCCATTCGCGAATCAAGGTGTGTGGGTCCACGCCATTCGCGAACGGCGTACGCCAGTCACGAATCAATGTATTCCCGTATCGCGTACGCCAGTCACGAATCCCCGCGGGCGCTGCGGGCGATTCGTGCCAAATGGCTCGGAAGAAGTAGTTAAACTAGCTGAATTCATTAATTTTACTATCGCAATATGCTATCTGTGCTCTAGAGAACTACTTCGAGTGATTTGGCTCAATCACTCGCAACATAGAGCCTTCTACACAGTGTGGTAAATAATATAAACAATACAATATTGGCAATATGAGCACCCTCGAAATATTATTGTATTGCCAGAGGGTGCATATTGTATTTCGCAATATGACAAACAAGCATATTGCATTGTATTGTCAAAATCCTGGCATATTGCCAATAAAACAATACATACAATATATTACACGTGACTGCAGCTACTCGGACTAACATGCCATCCCTTCAAAGTCTCGTATCCCGAACCATGATTTTAAGCACTCTGTTGCTTCAATTATATCACTGCCCATCCGATTTCGACGGTCGGTAATGGTTATTTTCGTCCCCGAAAAGAGTCTCTCAGGCTCAGCTGACATGGCAGGAATCGACAGTATATCCACTGCCATTTTACTCAAATTGGGATACGTCTTTTGCTGTGTTTCCTCTAACCACCATGTCAGCGCGCTTGTGAATCCATAGACCCGCTCGGATTTGCAGTAGTGCTCGTACTCGTCCGTCATCGGAGACGGTTGTAGATGCTTATTTCTCCATCGTAAGAACTCGTTCGTAGTGTTCGATTGTGGCTCGGTTAGTGGAGGTGACGCTATAGGTTTATAATCGTCCCAAAGCGTCGCAACCAGCTTCTTCGAGGGTGTTACCCATTCCCTCTTCCAATTCTCATGTATATAATGCCATTTATGCGACGGGTGGAGCACAATGGCTGCAACATAGGCTGGGGATTCGTCCGTAAGCCGATAGTACTTGTCTAGTTTTGCCCAGCCCGAGTTGTACATAGGCGCCATAATCGGATCATTTGCAAACGTCTCCTTTCCTACTTCGAACTGCGCCAACACGAAGTCCATGGCTAGGAGCACATTATCAAGAGTGGCGAATGACGATTCCAGGGCCTTGGTTGTCATCTTCAGTTTCTCTAGAAATGACATGATCTTCTCAACGGTGGCCCAGTCCTCAGCAGAGAGTTCGTCCCCAGCGCAATTCACCTCGCCCCATTTTTTAAAATAGTTTTCAATAGCATCTCTTAGATGCAAGGCGGCTTGTAGCATAGAATACCATGAATTCCATCAAGTATCGTTATCCCTCGCAAGCTTGCGGTTTTGACTTATAGCCATAAACTTTTGGCAGCGCTGGACACTCTGCTGAATATACACCACAAAGTTATGAAGTTTGCCAAGAGGCCCTTTTCGCCGCCACGCCTCAATTTGTTGGAAAGTCACGTTATGCAAACCAGAATCGTCGCGTTCAATCTTCTCTTTATCGGTCACAAAGAGGAATGATTTTGCGGCTAGGTTGATAATATGGCCTTGGCAGCGGAGCCGGTGGGCTATTGGATCGTATCGAATGTCGTACTGTCGTAGAAGGGCTTTGATACATATTAGCTCTGCGTCGCTCTACGTGCTTGTGTCAAGCTGAAACAATAGGTGGCACGGTAATATTATACTTACCAAGAGAAAGACACTTTATCATAGTGTCGTTATTGCCGGCGTTGTCCATCACGAAATAACCAAGTTTAGAGGCAAATCCCCAGTCATCAATTACATCCATAATAGCCACAGCAAGGTGAGACCCATCATGATCACCATCTATATCTTTCAAAGCCAATGTGTGGTGTTCTAATTGGCAGTCTTCTGTGACATAGTGAGCAACTACGCCTAGGATTGCTAACGAGTTGGGGGAAGTCCAGAGATCGCAGCTAATATGGATCCTTGACTTTGCTGACTGGATGCGCTGCTTGACCTTTTCCTTTTGGTCTTCGTACTGCCGCAGTATCCATCTCTTGATGGTCTGGTGTGTATTTGGAAGCCATGTATCGATGTCAGAATTGATATAGGCTAATAGGGCTCGAAATTCCGGGCATTCCACAAGCCGAAACGGAAGAGAGCAGGCCGTAACGAACCGAACGTACAGCACTTCCAGCTGATCGGGCTCGATGGAGTCTCCATATTGATCGTTGAGACGACGGCGTTTTCGGGCGCTCTCTTCCGCTGTTACACGAGCTTGCTCGATAATTGTTCGTATACTCCGGACTTTGGCTGTTCGTAGAGCACCTTTTGGGAGACCATGGCCATCCGGGGGAGGGTCAGTCAAGTGCTTGGCGGGCGCCGCAGTGCCTCCCGAGCAGGAGTACGTTTTATCGCAATACTTGCAGCGCCATTCCTCCTTACCCGACCGTTGACTGTAATATCTAGTTTCGATGTCCCAGTCCGGCATATGGGAGAAGACCCATGACGTTCTTGGTTTGGGGGTGGAGGTCGTAGACAGTGTGTCGGGTCGCCACGACTGGCATTGAGAAGTTTGGCTGTTGTCTTGATCCTGCAAGTGTGAGCTAGACTGTGCGACGGCGCCGTCAGATGTCGCTGAACCACTTTGTTGGGGCGGTAGAGTAAAACATAGGCGTTGTTGGTGCATTAGAACAAGAATATAGAGGTACAATTATATGCGGCTTGTTATGTCGAAGGTATCATGAGAAATGCACTAAAACCAGTAAAGAAAGTCTGGCTAAGGTGGTGTTAAAAGCCAACTCGGTAATAAAACACGTACGCGTTCGTTTGCTACCTTTATTTCCTTTTTTGTGTTATGACACTATTTGTTTAGTAGCGTCATTAGCATGGCCAAACACGAATCTATCACGACCTGCTAGATCGTACCATGGTCTATCAGTCACAATAGTTATGATATCGAAACAGTTGCTATGCAACGCGTTTGCTTGCCAGCTGGCAAAGGAAAGCTACCAGCTGGCAGGACCATAACAATCACGTATATAAACAGAGAAGTGAACCGTAGAAGAGGAGAAGGATTCTTTCCTCTTCAAGTTTGTTATCTTCTTTCTATCTTATATATAGAATAGTTAATAATAGCATTGTGTTTGGCGAACTCTTCCCTAGATGCCCAAACAGCTACGTGATAGAATCTTGGGACCTACCCGATAGAACGGTGACAGTTCCTTTGCAAAAATATCTACCAATATAAACAATATATTAGCAATACAAAGAACTGCATATTGTATTGTGACAATATAGCAGTTTGTGTATTATATTGTCACAATATGTAAAAGGGCATATTATATCGTATGTATTGCCGTATATTGTTTTATTGTCATATTATTTACCACACTGCTTCTACATCTCTCTACGGGTGTTTGCCCGTGTTCTCCTTCGTTGTGGCTGCTCAATTAAAGCTATCTCTGTACGGATTGGCAATGCAGATAGATTCCCACAATCATGATCATCTCTATGGCAGTGAATACTGCACTTCTGCTTCTCTCTAAAGCATCTACACCGTCGTGTACTGCAGGCAGCTTTACATTGGCAAGATACGGTAACTCGTATACTTGTTGATGCATCTCGAGCTGCTTCTCGTAGTGTAATTTCTTCTGTTGTAGATGGAATCTGTATACCGGACCAGAGTGTCTTATCTACAACACATAGAGATTTGGTTGGAATAAGCCGTTTGATAACTCCAGATTTGGTAAGAATTCTATATCGATGACTGTATGGCTCTTCTAAAACTCTCCCAAAGAGTCGTTTGTTATCTGTAGAGGTTCGATCTTCTCTTGGGATCTTAATAGAGACGATATCGTTGACTTCAAAGTGCTGAATAGTATGATGCTTGGAATATTTGCGTATCATCCGTATCTTCGATTTTTTTGTAGCGATTTGAGCAGCTTTAATTATAGGATCAACTTCTATAACTGAACTTGCTGCTGGTAAAGGTGGTGTTACTCGTATATCAACATCAGAGCTTGATGAGCTTGATGAGATGTGTATAGTAATCTCCGTATTATGCAAGGTCTGCCTCCGGCCCATTTGGCTGTTTGACTCGGGCGTATGGCTTCTGCGTGGCTTTTCTGGCGTTAAGCCGTATATTGGAGTTCGATTGGGGTCTTCTTGATTAATTCCAATTGATGGATCCCTCCTCATTCGATTATTAAGCCAGTCCTTGTAAGCCGAGCGCTCTCGAAAGAGTAATTCGGCTGGTGCACACTTAATTGATGAGTGTATCTGCGTATTCATTGCCAAAGTAATCTCAGTGAGGCTCTCTGCCCATTGTGTTGACTGATGATCTGCTTTCCATGCAGTTATCTTACTTGATACTACCCCATTCGCCTGTTCAACTAAGCCTTGCGTTTGAGGTGATCTTGGGGCGCCATTGATGATCTGGATACCATATTGCCGTAGTAGAATTAAAAAAGCCCCCTTGAATTCTCTACCATTGTCGGTTTGTACGATCTTAGGTGGTAAGAACGCGCTGATGAACTGAAGGAAGGCTTTGGCGATTGGATCGGCTTCTTTGCTTGTAAGTGCGTATAGTTGAGTGTATTTTGTAAAGTGATCTTTTATATGTAAGATCCATTTGAATTGGTCGGATGGTTCATGACGCATATCGATTAGATCGGCCTGTATTCGTTCCCATGCTCGATCTGATATAATTGGTACTAATGGAGCTTTGATTGCAGAGGGACGATTTAGTGCGCAGGTCTTGCATCGTTTAACGACAAATATAACCTCTTCACGCTTAATACCGTAAAATTGTTGTTTAATTGCATCCCAAGTCTTATCTTGGCCAGTATGAAGAAGCTGGAGATGCTTGTTGGCGATAATATCAAAGGCTTCGCTCTCTGGCACCACATATCTTGACTTTGTAAAGCGTTTATCAGGTTGACGATAGAGCTTCTTGTTAATAAGCTCAAATTCGCTGTAGGCCCGATGCCGCAATCGTGAATCTGTCTGGGTTTCTGGTACTAGGTTGGATTGATCAAGATGTATGTGTAATCGAACCCATTTCGAGTATTCAATGCGTTCTCGATTGTTGTACGAGTCGGCGTGAATGAATTCGTCAAATGCCTTTCGAACATCATTTGGAAAGGCTATATATGTTAGACTTTGCTCGTCTTGTTCCATTGTAATTGAATTAATGGTGTAAGCTATGAATTAGTAGCTATATACATGCAGGAAGCTGTATTAGACCCTCTGCCGAGCCATTTCAACGGATGGCTCGGAAGCCCCTCTTTTACACCGCCCGCGGGGATTCGTGACTGGCGTACGCGATACGGGAATACATTGATTCGTGACTGGCGTACGCCGTTCGCGAATGGCGTGGACCCACACACCTTGATTCGCGAATGGCGTGGATTCGTGGATGGCGTGGAACAGTTATATTACTATACAAATACAAAACATTATCACTACTATTTCTACTCCAATACAGCTTTTGCATCGATAATCCATTAAAATATCTAGTTTTCAGCTTCCGACCATTCCGAGGATAATTAGCCTAAATGACGGCTAGTAATTGATCTAACCCTAGGGTAAAGGACAATTCTTCCCATCTGATAAAGGCAAACATGATGCAAGTACCTTGTTCCATCAAGACTCAATAGCTTTGTATTCTCCACCATTTCCATCTTACAAAAGCAGAGTTGAAAGATGGCACTATCACAGGTAGTTTGTAGATGATTGAGTAAAAGAATATTCTTATAACAGTAGGCACCAAACTATAGCGTTTCTGCGACTCTCTATTTTGTTCTCGTTGTTTCTTGCATAGCGACGTTAAGATGGTGGGTTTGAAAGGCCTGAAACAAATTTATCTTGCTTCGAGGCAAAACTGTCGTTGTCATTTGATGAAGCAACTGACAAGATGGAATCTACAACCATCTAGCACTACTCGCAGCTGCATGGATCAACAAGGTCTACCAAACGACTTCAACAAGGCTGCCATATGGGCCAAACACTCTCCGCTTATATACAGGGTTCGTCCAGAGCATACGTACACCTGTGTTTGTTTGCTTCCGTCCAAAAAATTATGCGTAGGGATCGTCGGTAATCATGCATCACTAGTGCATCATCGGTAATCATGCATCGCTAGCGCATCGTCAGCACCAAGTCGTGGCCGTGTTAGGTCAAAGCACCAGATAGCCGTTATAACGAAACGAACTATATAACATAGTCTAGTATTTTTTAGACTATTACTTAAACTCGTCAGAGCAACGGCCAATCACCATCACTAAAACTATCCGCCTCCAAATACGCCCGCTTAGACCGACCGGGGATAGTCCTCTACATGTTTGAAGTTGAGTTTGCGCTGGTCTGGTGAATGGCTGCTGAGTTGGCATAGCCCTCCTCGCCTGGCCACCTGCGCGACGAATTCACGTCATATCGGATCATCGGTATAACTGCCGACTTGCTTCCGGAATGTCGCCAAAAGTCTCCATGAGGCATGGAACGGCATCCGGATGACTTACCTGCATAGATTACAAATTACATGCAGGAATCTCGACCGACGCCAGGCGAGAATGTTTGCTGCCGTAACCATTTATTGCATTTAATGAAACAATACCTTCGGCCAGCTACTCTATAACTTGTAGGTAACCGAGCAGGCTCTAGGCAGCAGGGCGCAAAGGAGGGACTTTAAACCATATATGCACCTACCAAAGTCTGCACGCTTACACCACCACTACCACCACCAGCAATGCCTTCTTTCCCTGTACATCACCACACCACATTTCTTTTGCACCGACGCATCTCAACCACACACAAAGTATCTCCTCTGCAGACAGCTGAGCCTAAACATATACTGTACAGGAAGCGTCAGCATCAAGTATAAATATCCGCGTTTCTTCCACTCCTCACCATGGCGTCACAAGCTCCCACAGTTTCCGAGGCCAGCTCTTCTGCTCACTATGTAAATACCATCCCCTCTTGCATCAAATAATTTCATCCATTTTCTTCCCCTTCCATCTGGATCCTTCACCCTCAATCCATGTCCATATCACTAACCTGACCTGCTCTTAACAGACCGAAAAGACAGACATCATTGTCAATATCTTCAACCGAAACGCCGACACTACTCCGTCTGCATACACCGACTTTCTCTTCTCACGAGCCCAGCTAGGCCAAATTTTGCTCAACCTTGAAAATGCAGGTCACGCTGTTTTCTCAGTTTCTTACAACGGCAACGTTGCTGACGTCGTTTGCGGTTGCAACTCCGACGAATGGACAGAATGCCTTCGAAGATAGGGCTGCTCTGGCCTACAGAATCGCGGGATGTGGTAGCCAGGGCGGCATGTCGCCTGCCTACTGCCATCAGACTCCTCCCTGCAAGTGCTCTGGAATTGGCGTCTACGGATGCGACACTACCGACAAGACGAAGCTCTGCAAGAGCAAGGGCTGTGGCTGTCAGAAAACGTAGAGAAAACAGACCTGGAAGGAAGCTGTGAATGGGATCCTGAACAAGTTCATAGCTATGTACTCGCAATAAAATTACATGTGTCCAGCTACAACGTGAACCTAACGTGATAAAGCGGTTGTCATTAGGAGATGGTGCTGTTAAGGTATCGGAGTGGACTGACCATTGGTGTCGGTGCAAACAACACTAGCTCATTAGGAAGGGCATGTGCCAGTCCGTGTATTGCGACGGCTTGGCACTTTTAATTTAAGGTATAAAATAAAATTCATTGATTATTCCTCTGTCTAGTGAGCTGAAAGAGCCTGCTTTCCTTTACAACAGGTCTTGAGCTACGAATCCTGTGCTTCAATTTGGCAGAACCATGCAGACTACCTTTGCCAATAGGTAGGAACCTGAAACTTCTGCGGTAAGCGAGCTTTGTAGTCAAACTCCCATCGCAATGTACGATTCAGTGCCCATTGGCGGAGTCGGTCAAAGTTGCGACACGTATGTGGTACGTCGAGCCAAGGCTTGTTTCGAGACGGCGCAGCCGCAGATGCATCCCAATGCCACACGGCGGGAGTAACATCTGCGTGGCACATTACGGACTGGCGAAGACTCTCCAAGCAGTGTCCAATGTGCCATGGAGTAATGGAGTGCTCAACTCTGTTGCGTTCTATTTCTTCACGTGCGTAAGGAGGGACTGTCCAGTTGTTGTTGGAAACCTTGGGATCGCGAACTGCCTCCCAGTCTCGTAGGTAGATAGGAGTGAAGGCCTTGCGGAAAACATTCTATATGGAACTGTTAGGGCGACTGTTGCGCGGGCGTTCATTCTAGACTCGGCTCTAGCATACGAGGCAGTGAAGCTGATGAAAAACATCCAGCTCAATAATGTACTCATCCTCATGATTCGGGACGGGGGATGTATAATTCGTCATTCGTTTCGCCTGTTCTTCTGAGATGGTAGATATTCCAACTAAAGGGTATTATTAGATGGTCAAGTGTTTTGTATTACTTGTACTCACAATTGAATATGCTGTCCCAAGCTCGATCAAGGCTTTCTGATGGAGGACCCTGGAACTCAACGGGGGCATACTCAATGCCTGTGTGGTACATCTTCACCTCATACTCTATTTCATCCTGAGCAGGCGAATAGGTCAGTTGGGAGGGGTAGAGCTTGTGCTGATGAAATCTATCTGTTCCGTAGAGTGTATAATAAGCGTTGCTGCTCAGCACAATCGCGAACAGAAGCCAAGGAATGGCAATGGAGGTTATAACTGAGAACTGATTCCATTCCCTGAGTTGGATTCCGTTTCGAGCAGATTTCAAACCAACATCGCCACATTCGATATCGCGGTCTTCTTTCCGCAGCAATGGACTTGGTGAGGCTTTATCCATAGGGCCCTATTGATGTAAGTAAGAGCAGATGCCTGGAAGAAGTGCATGAATGAGTTCGTGATTGATAGAGCTGGGGAAGTCTATGACAGAGTATTTACCAACTTGACAGATTCTTATCAAATGTCAGCTGCATTTTGCTGCATCTTTTCAGATGTGGGCTTTGACTCGAACAGCAGAAAAGTCCGGGCCTCAGCCACTGAATATATTGGGCCGACTTTTATATTAAGTCCTTTTGAATGACTCTGAACAGTAGATGCAAGCGGTTACCTTATCAGGAAGGTAATGATGGATAAGAAAAGGAGTGTGGCACGCCCTTGCATACATGACACACTACGCCTCCAACTTACCAGCAGAATTGAGCCGCTGAAATATTCCAAGCATTTCTGACCGCTAGACTAGAGCTGCCTCAATGGGATAGCCTCTATCGGGCTATAAATTACCTAACCTCCCTTCCCGTATTTCTCTAGCCAGTTCACTATCGAAGCTTGTTCCTCTCATATAATTTGCCAACCAAGTTCAAAATGAAGTTCATCGCTGTTCTACTTCCGTTAACTGCCTGCGGTCTCGCAGCAGCCGTTGCTCTTGGAGACCCCAATTCTGTGGACAAGCACAACCGCCTTTGGAAGAAGGACACTGCCTCGCATGCCAACGTTGACGTTGTTGACAAAAACAACCGTCTCTGGAAGAAGGAGGCCAACGCCAACGTCGTTGACAAGCATAACCGTTTGTGGTGATACAGAACAAAAGGTGCATTATTATCTTGGCCGGCTCGGATCAAATGTCACACGCATTGCTAACTATGGTTCCAATTAGGAATTCACCTATTATACCGCTGTATGGTAGCAATCGATGATGGGAGATTGTTGATGATGAATCATCTATATAGCGTAAATGAGTATTATATCAGCACCAATAATACCATATTCAACATACTACATTCTATTGCATATAATCTGTACAAAACAGTGTGAAATATTGCAGCTAAGCTTCTTCAATGGCCCAAGAATGCTTACGAGACGTTATCAGCGGGCAACATAAGCCATTCTATTATATCCATTGCGTAATGTTTGCCTGGAATACCTACGCTGACAACTCCGTCGACATGGACCTTGGATCAGTGGCAACAGTTTCCACCTATCAGAGTTCAGGTGGCGCTCTTTGGGGTTTGTTTGCTCTCAATTGGTTCTTTAGAGTAACGTAGAATCAAACTGTAAGTCGCCGAAAGCGGACCCGGCGACGCCGCTAACCTCGACCGGGATGGCGTTGTTGATTATCTCGGAAACACTTGATATCAGTTACGCTAGCAGAATATATTGCCAGGTACCCCCAAGCGCTTGTCTCATCGGTCGACTTTTTCCGGTCCCCGGTAGCCGGACCGGTTTGTCAAGGGTATTTTGCTTACCAATGACGCCGTTCGCTCAATGTTTCCTCTTTTAGATATTCACTTTCCTCATCCTGCTAGCGGCTTTTGCTCTCATAGATCCGAACCGTAACATAAAAGATGATTTACCAAGTAGAACTAGACAAATACCCCACGCCAAGGCTAAAAGAGATATAAAGTAAACGTATTTACCTATTAAAAACACATCCCTAAGAGCTAGTACTAGCACATAGGATAGAAGAATTAAACAAACAGTCACCAAAAGAATAGACGCCCTTCGGCGATCCAGTCCCTCTCGACGGCGCCGGTTAAGTAGGTCTCAGAATCTCAGCTAAACATCAGTTGCGGTGCAGGTTGACAAGAGTCTCCGTCCGCTCTCCCATAGACAGAGCACCGACAACGATATGTGATTATATACTAAATTGGCTGGTACACCGGTACATACGACCATAGATACAGGAGAACTCGGGATCCCATCCAGCTCTTGTCATCAGTGCAATGTCCAGCCAGATTAGAGGAAAAGAAATACAAAAACGGAGGAAACACCGCCGTTTATTTTAGTAGTTAGTTCTAACAAGTATAGAAATCCCACAATTATGTGACTATTCTATTTTGCCATACCGTTTATAACGGTATCGTCACTTTTCAGACCGACATCGGCTATAGTTGTTACGTTCACCCCTACTATGCAAATATACTAAGTGGGGAAAGTCGAGGCAGACTCAAGACATTCGCAGCCTCCTTATAACCTGCCGCTACCTGCGACCACTTGCCGCTATCTCTTGCCACCTCTTTTGGAATCATATTATTTTTAATAGGCTGACTACAACATTAGGAGAGAATATACTTATATAAACCAAATAATTTATTACGCCCGGTGGCCTCTGGCTAATAGGGCTTACTAGCTATGGCAGATTACGACAACAAATAGACATCCCCTGGCTGCCCGACGGGCAACTGCATCCGATCTCATATCAACCTTACCGAAACCACTAGATCGCTGTCCATAATCCCAAGACCGGCGTCCCCTCAAACAAGGTTATCATTAGCATCGCGAGCTACAGCCGTAGCTTCCGCCTCCAAGACGCCGGTTGCACTGGTATGGACTGTAAATACGTCAGGCACCCCGAAATCGTCAGACGCCTTCAAGGGTCAATACATTGACAACTCTGGATACATATCCAACGTGGAGCTTATGGAGATCAAGAATGGCCAAGGCGACTACTTAGATGTCAAATCATGGCACGACGCCGGTTAGAACTCTAATATCATAATATACAGTAAGGATAGCAATGTCGATTGGGTAGCCTATATAGACGATACAACCACGAGCACGCGAGCCGACTTCTACAGGAGCTTTAACTTTGCCGGCACCACGGATTGGGCCGTCGACCTCGAGCAATTCGGCCCCGACGAAGCCAATGGTCCAGGACGGCAGTCTATAAACCCGAGCAAACTGTGCATCAATGCCAAATCGCTACGAAACAACGGCGGGATACCTTCTTATCATACCTGGCCGTCCCCTGTTCTGCCCGGAGAGCACGAAGAGAGCGATACGCTTGCCTTCGTCACTATTATCAACAACACACCCTACGATTTTGCCATTCAAGACGATAAACTCAAATCGTTTGCCTTGAAGCCTTTAAATAATAATAGTATAGGTATAAGTTGGCTGTCATAATCAGTATTTGTTGGCTAAGACGCAGGCAGTTCTCCTATCTCATATAATGTGCTAAAAACAAGTTTGGGAAATGCTTGACAGGACTCTATCCGGGCCCGAGCATCTCACGATGCCAAGAGGAATAAAGCGAAATAGCTTGAGGATGACGACAGGAACCGAACCTTTTCAGTGCTACACTATCCATTAACTTGCATTGTATTGATTGAAGACATGACGTCGCGTTGTCGCACTACATAACGCTCGCATACCCAGCGTCGTAGGCTGAAACGCAACTGGTGTGAAACGCCCATCAGAATACAGGCGCCCGTCTCCACCACGTACCAACTTACAGCATATTCCGGTTTCAAAACCTATAACCCGCGACCCCCGCCGTCCCATCTTGATGTACCATCGTCCCCCCCAACCCCCTGCATACCAACATTGCTCCATCTACTGGACGGAGCCGACGCCTTCCATGGAGCTGGACGTACTGCTACCGGGTTATTGGTCTCTAAACGAGTGCGGCTCTAGATTATCACGCTGATTGATTCGCCTAAATGAAAGCACTCCCTTTTCGGAGAATCCAGATGAGACTAGCGTGGAGTGCGTCTCAGAGTATATAAGGCTTGGCAATTGCCTACACTAAACAACTTTCTCAGAAGCCCAAACAACAACCCAATCATCCGTTTCATCACCCTTCCTTTTCCCTGGCTTGCTCTCATTCACCATGAAGGCTGCTATCCCCTCCCTCCTCATCAGCCTTCTTGTCTCTGGCGCGCTGGCCGCGCCTGTCAACGAAAATCGCGACGTCGCCCACGATGACGTCACTGCGTACGATGTCCCCAGTCTGGCGAATGTTCAAATCAAAGCCGCTGAGGTTTATGAGGCTGACTTGAACATTTTGGACGAGCGTGACGACAGCCAAGAGATAGAAGACGAGTCCTTCGACTTAGAAAAGCGTGATGCGTTGCCTTCTAACCCGGACACTCCCCCGGAGCCAACATGCACCAAGGAGCATGTAAAGAAGCAGATACCTCGCTCCCCAGCCCCTACTCCCACCATCCGCCCCGATTCGAACGGTAATGGCCTCACCGATGCAGAGATTGAGTCGTCTATCGACGCCGAGGCCCGCCGGATCGGCTCCGCAGCAGCGGCTCAGGCTACTCCTCCTGCCAGTGGTGGTAAGAAAGCCACGGACGAAAACAACGGGGCAGCTAAGAAGGCGAAGGGGGGCAAGCAGAAGAAAGGAGGAAAAAAGAAGAAGGGAGGCAAAAAGAAGAAAGCTGCCAATAACTAGAGGTTTACCAAAAGAACGAGTCAGCATTTACAACGCGGTTATGGGAAAGGCACATTTGGTCACAAATTATGTTTATTTATTCATTGTTTATTATAGAGAGCAGGTTTTACTTTAATACAGTGAGTGACAGCAACATGATATTACACGAGCCTGAGTGGGACATAGACCGTCCCAGGTCAGTGGAACCTGTGGAGGGGAAGACAGGCACGGCCGAGCACAGAGACCCTCTCCAAATCCACTAGATGTAGCCATAGTATTTATTGGTGGTATACCGGCCACATCACCCTAGCCGGCTATATTAGTAGCTGGCAGAGCGGCATGGCGCACCACTTCTACGGAAATCCGTTCCCCTCTGTATCAAATCTAACAACGGTTCCCTGGGGCACGCCATGTAGGGCCTTGGCTAGTTGTCCTCTCATTTTCATGCCTCTCATTGCGTCCCGTACAATAAGGTTGTTGTGATTAAATTCTCCTCACATCACGAAAAGCTGTAGTGCCACCAATCGTTGGTGCATCTCCAGCGCGCCTTTGGCATCCTGGTATTCTTTTGCAAATTCCGCAGCGCCGTTAATGTCGGGATCGTCAAGTAGCCACGCAGCCCAACCTTCCAAGGAATCAAATGACTCCTCATCTTCACAACTCTCAGGATTCCATACAACGACTTTTGAGTTATTTCTTATAGCAAACTACATCGCGAATAGGTCCTGGCCAAAAACGAAAAGGTCATCTCCTAAGCCCTCATAGTTGTTTTCCCAAGTATTTTCGTTATTTTATGGTAGTAAATCAACACATTGGTCGGGATCTCCTCCGTGAAAGATTTGGATTCTAGAGTTGGAGGCAAAGAATCCGTTTAGTGGCGTCAACATCTTGCCGAGATCTGCCAGAGGGCCTTCATCCACGCCGAAGCGCAAGGCACAATCAGGTCCCACTGGGTCGTGCGCGCAGTCTAATAGTTGGTCTAGCTTGGTCTTAAACTAAACATCTCGGTGAGTATTATCCTTTTCGACCATTTTGTGAAGGGGATTGTTAATTTCGAGGCGTTTGTTGACTGTTGAAGGGTACTCACAGGGTACGAAAGTCAAGATGGATATTTTTGAGAATGCCACCAGCTGCGACAGCCGTCAGCCGCAAACCAATTGATGCCTGGTGGGGCACAGCTGTCAACCTACTGAGCAAGAAGATCAGGTCGACGTGGGTTTACGACCAGAGCACGGCGCAATCATGGCGGCCTTTTTGGTGTTAGAGATCCGATAGGGTATAGCAGTTACCGGATATGGGTAAGAAACAAGACAAGTCTGAGAATAGTAAGATATGCACTTCCTAGGGAGTCAGCCCCATCTCCACAGACCCCACGCCTACCATTATCTCTTTGTCGACTAGGCAAACCAATATACCTACCAATACCGACAGCATGGTAACCAGCACCATGTACACCACCACTATATATACCATTACCAGCTGGCCTACGTACATTACCAACTGCCCCACCAGTTAAGTAGTCACAGGCATAGTCGCTATATACACTATTGTTTGCCCCGCGGAACAGAGTTCGCCGCAGACAGATGTTAGCCCGGTACCAACCAGGCTTTCTATCCATATTCCATATTCCATATGGAAGGTTTTACGTATGGAACACAGAGCAGCAACCGGTATGGAATTTTTCCATACGTATGGAAAAAAAAAACGATAACGTAATCAAACCTACTGATTCGAGACTACTTAGATCGATTCCGTTAAGGGGCTCGCCCATCCTGCATGCTCGCCTTTTTCTCCGCTGTCACCGCCGCCCGCATCCTCGTCTAACGCATTCAATCCATCCAATAAATTTCCTTTTGTTATCCCACTTTTGATCCAACTTTTCATGCACTCTCCCTTCTTAATGGTTTGCGCTCCTAGCTGGCATCTGTCCCATGAAATCGTACGTCTTGCCCCGGAAAACACCCGCTCCGGCTCGGCGGACATGGCAGGCACTGATAGGATGTCCACCGCCATTCGCGAGAGTCGCGGGTACGTTTTTTGCTGCTCTTCGCGAAGCCACCAAGCTAGGGGAGAACAGTCAATTGCTACAGGTGGCTGTCCAATAAATGACTCGTACTCATCTAGGTCACTCATAGCCGGATCAACAACATCCAATTCGCGCGCCAGCATGTCGTACTCATCCAAGCGCCCATCTTGACTTCCTAGTCGAGGTGTTAAGGTGGCGACTGGGAGACCTTGATATTAACTCGTCCAGTGCTTCCGAGCGCCTTCGAGAACTTGCTTGTGCCATGACCTCGGCCAGTTCTTTTTAATATGCGCTCGCCGCCTTGACGGGTGCAGCATTATGGCCGCGCCGTAGACCGGACTATCGTCTGTCAGTTGGTAGTACTTATCAAAGACGGCCCAGGAAGCTGCGATACAACTCCGCAGCGTGCTATCATAAGCGTGCCGTTCGAACTCCTGCGTGTAATGCTTGTGTAGAACGTCCATGGTGAAAAGCGACCGATCCAACGTGGCGCAACGCCCTTCTGTAAGTTGTGTTATCTTCCAAAATGGCTGCAGAAATATTCGTGTCTCTGCCAGCATGCGCCACTCCTCCGGCGACAGGTAATCATCGCGAAGATCGTCGTAGTACTTTCTCTGGTACCTTTCCACGTGGTTTTGGAGGTTAAGAGTGACGTCTAGGAGACGGAACCACGAGTTCCAACGCGTATCGTTGTCGAGACCTAGGGACCTCCCCGCGCGCCTCTTGAACTCGTTCCAACGAAAGTCACTTCCGCGCATGTGCACCAACATGTTATGTACTTTACTAAGCGGTCCGAGCCGCCTCCAGCCCTGAACTCTTTGTGCGTTGACACATTCAGAGAAGTCTGTACCAAATGGCGATTCGTCTGTGAGCTCGATATTCTCCAAAGCGGCTTGCGCTGCTTCTTTGGAATCCATGAAGAGGAACGCTTGAACAGCAAGGTTGAGGATATGGCCGTGGCAACGAATTCGCTGCACTCCATATGATCAATAGTTAGAGATAAAAATCGAAATATGAAACTTAATAATGCGTGATATTATGTATAAAATAGTTAGTATCGTATCTTTTGTTAATTTAGTTAAATATATAAGCAATGTTATCGAACATATTGGTACATACGACCATAGATACAGGAGAACTCGGGATCCCGTCCGCTCTCCCATAGATAAGCCTGTAATCGGCAGATTAGTAGTTGGGTCGGTGACGACCAGCGAACACCGGCTGTTGTATGTTTTTTGGTTCACCTCTTCTTTTTGGCAGTTGATGTCTTTATTTTAGCTTGCTTTCAATACATCTCAGGAATCCTGCAAAAGGCAGCATGAATTTCCCGCGATTTTGCAACTTGCCCATCAAGATTCGCCGTCAAATCTGGGACTTTTGCCTTCCACAGCATCTCATGGCAACAGCCGCTTTGTATGTTTCCATAAATTTGTAGAATAAATAATTCATGCAAATCATAGGCGTCTAAGTATTGGGAGATTTATCAGCAATGCTCTCAGGCTTAACACCATTGCTCTTGTACTCATCTTTGCTATACAGAAGGTTGACTTCCAGGATGTCATTGCTTGATTTGTGGCTGCATGTGGCGTCAGATAAATCATGGGGAAATTTAAAGTGGAAGATCCATCTTGCTTGAGCTATGGGGTATGATAGACGGAAGAAAAGCATGTTATTTTAAAGCACAAAAAAATTAACATGATTCAAATTTTGTATAAATAGATCCAAGGTTCGTGGTAGTGACGTAGTGTCGGACTTCTCGCCGCCCTACCATTTAATCCACACCACGTCCGCCCTTTTCGCCCTCAGAGCTCACTGGCTTCTCGTACTATACAATATCACGCTGGAAGATAAAAATGCGCGTTTTACCTCCCTTATCTCACAAAAAGACAGATCGAATGAACGCGCTTTGCAAAAATATACATTTCTATACACCAATCTAAACTAGCCATCTATATACACCTTAAACTCAGGCACGACTGTCTTCTTTTAGTCCTGAATGTTGTTGTAGCGGTAAGGCTGGGCGGTAAACGGTCCGTCGGTCCAACCAACACGCTCAACCATCTGAACGCAGCCATCCGAGCCATTGCACTCGAGCGAGCGGTACGAGTTGTGAGAGCCATCAACCCACTCAAGGAAGAGGGTGACATGGCCAGCATCGCCACCAGTGCCGGGACCAAGCGTACCAACGAGATCACCAGGCTGCAGATCAGCCCAGTTGATGCGGTGAGAGATGGACGGCAGCGAGACAGTGTTGAGACCAGGGGCTGAGGCATGGAGAGCCATGCAGACAAAGCCGGAGCAGTCAGTTCGGTAGCGCAGGCCGTTGGGGTCCGGCGATGTCGCCGTCTGAGAGTACGGAATGTGCTTGTTGGTCCAGAAGCGAGCACGGGCAATGACATCGCTGCGCTTGATCGGGCCTCCAACAGTACCGGGGTTGCCACCGGGGGGGTTGCCACCGCCGCCAGAGCACTCGCCGACGACCATGTTGCCTGTGTTTGTCTGGACATACCAGTCGGCGACGTAGCAGCCGTCAGTGGTCTTGTCCCAGAGGCTGTCGCCGTTGATGCTCTCGCCGTACGCCTGGCAAGTGAGGGTCACCATGGTGCCCTTGCTGTAAGATCGCTGGACAGCGTAACCGGTGCCAGGACCAGCGCGGCAGTTGACGCCCTCATCGTTGATGGGGTAAGAGTTGCCGCCGCCACCGCCGCCACAGGCACCAACAACCATGTTGCCGGTGTTGGTCTGGACATACCAATCGGCGACATAGCAGCCGTCGGTGGTTCTGTCCCAGAGGCTGTCGCCATTAATGCTCTCGCCATTTGTCTGGCAGGTGAGAGTCACCATGGTGCCCTTGCTGTAAGATCGCTGGACAGCGTAACCCGTGCCAGGGCCGGAGCGGCAGTTAACGCCATCATCGTTGATGGGGTAAGAGTTGGCGCTGACCGAGCCGAGCAAGGCCGTAAAAGAAAGGGCTAGGAATTTGGATTGCATTGTGAAAAGAGGAGGGTGGGATGATGGTCAATTGTGGTGATGTCGAGGGGGGACCTGTTGCGGGTTATATGTGTTGCGCGCGACTCGATTGCTCCGTGCCTGATCCCTGGCTTACATCCTGGCTGAAAACTACAGTAGCACCAACGTTCGATTTCCCATCGAATTTAGTGCAGCCCACGTTTTTGCGCCTTGTTTTGCCTAATGCGGAGATGAGGTGCTTCAGCCGCACCACGATAGTCTAACTGTTTTGGATCAGAGTCAGCCCTTCTGTGGATGCCGGCAATGAGCAGCTGAGCGCTTAGGCATTCGGTAAAGATGAAACTGTGCCTGGAATGGTGACGCTGAAGTGTATTGGCTCCATTGCACGCTGACATGGGCTATGTCGGCGGTTCCGTGTGAATAAGGAATACCGAAATACGGCAAGTGTCATGTGCGCAATATATTATGTACGCATGCTAGAGAAATGATAGTCTATTGGGTGGCTTGCGCAAGGCAGTTTCAGTAAGACGGGCCAGAAATAGGCCCGCGTAAATTAATTAGCAGATCTACAGCCAGGCAGATACGCATCAGCCTTACCCCATCCTATCGCTACAGTGGCGTTTAAATAGAAATTTACAAACTAGGGCCCCGATGTCAATGTGATGCAAATTCAATTGAGCTTTATTGTGTACGGAGAAATTCTAGTAAAATCTTGTGTATAAAATCCTCTTAGAGAGTAATCTACATTCAGTCCTTTTCCCTCCCACAAGGCCAGCTCTACCCTAAAAGGTTCTATACTCGTCAATCAGCCTCTAGATCTAGTCAAGCAACAAAGCCACCATACCTTGTAATTTCTTTAGTGGTCCCAGCAGCGGTAAGAGGCAATCGACTTCCAGGAACGAGCGTTGCAGTGGCCGTCGCTTACACTGCAGCGGTAGGTAGAACCGAATGGGTTACCACAGCCTGTAGTGTAGAACTCGCAGTAGTCGGTTCCAGGAGGAGGAATAGTAATGCCGCAGAGGTTGTCCTCCTTGGCACCAGAGACATTGGTGCAGCCATCGCTGTTGGTCTTTTCAACACCGCCGTTGCAGATTTCCCAGTTGACCTGAGTAGCCTGGGCGGCCGAGACAAGGGCAAGGATAACGGGGACGGCGAACTTCATGATTTCTTGATTGATGTAGGGGAGAGTGTGTAGTGTGTAGTGTAAGTGTAGTGCTTGGGCTGTTCGTTTCGGGTTGGGCGATGCCGTCGATTTATACCCGTGAGCAGCGACATCAATGGTGTGTTAATTTACATCCTAGTCACCAGCCTGCTCTCGTACTCCAATCCCTTTTCAGGACAATATTGAGGCAGAAACATGTCTTACTGAGAGCTGCGCCTGCCTTGGGAGCCCAGGTTGTGGGCCTTGAGAACAGGAGCTGAGAAGCGATGACCCGACCTGTGACGATCATGGCTGGATTCAGAATCCATACAAAGCTTAACAGTGTTGGATCTACGCTCAAGGCAGAGGATCGCTTACTTCGTTTTCAAGTGAGAGCCGCCAAGCCTCCTTGTAAGGCGGTTTTATTCACGGTGTTATGCCGGCATATTGCTATCAGTGGTTATTGGTGGTAAATTCGATTCAGCGGCCTGATCACGGGAATTATTACCCCTGCCCCTCATAGCAATTGGGCTCTTACAAGGAATGGTCGTATTCACGCTGCATCAACGAGCCTGGCCCCGAGGCTCTTAGGTTCGTCTACACCATTAAAGTGCCGAGTCGTCTTTAGTAAGCATGGCCACTGGGTTTATTAGGGGTATTAAGAAGTAAAGAGCTGAACCTTTACAACAGACAAGCCAGCAACAAATGCTCGGAAATATGCCGACACGCTTCATGCGACACCAGATTACCCCTACCCTGTAGGTCGCGCGAGGCTGCCGCTGAACCTGCAACGTTGCAGTGACGCATATTAAGGCTATTCGCAAGTTCAGCTTGATGGTATGAGTGTTTTCATCTACTTAGCAGGTAGTGGTTTGTATCCCGACCGATGATAGCCAATAATGGGCGCAGTATGTCAACTTCTCAGTTGTCAATTCTCCATGAAAGGTCTGATGAAGTAACAAAAATAAAACAAAATTCCAACATCATGACTAACAAAAGCCCAGAGCACCCTGTAAACAAAGTCGCGGTTAGTAGAACGACAACAGAGCCAACTCTGGCCAGTGGCTGGACAAGGGGAATGTCTGTTTTTCCGGATATGATTGCTCAATATCTCCCAGAACCTCTAGAGGAAATATCCAAAATCCAATAGCCGGTCTTACAGCCTTAGCAAGCTCTTCCGGACCCTCAATAGGGGGATTCTTCCCCGTACACCACCGCACAAGCTTCCAGAGCTTATGCTGGCCACGGAACCACTCCTTCTCCTCCTGTATCAAGAATTCTTCTGCTCTTTTAGGATCCCACGTGGTTTCGTCATGGAAAGCAGCATTGTATGCCATCAAAAATCGCTGCCTGGCTGGTTTGGTCGGCGGCGTGGGCCATTTCGTAGAGAGTTCCTGCCACTTGGCGAACATGTGTCGAGGATCGCCATGACTCGTAAAAACAAGTTCTAGATCCGAAGCTATTGCTCTGTGGTCGCTTTTGGGAGGATCAAACAACACGGCCCTCGGCCTTATAGGCATCGAGTGGTTGAACCGGACGCCTATTTCTCGTTCATGGAAGCACTCCCGTGGACCTATGACACTGCGATTAAATTCACCCACGAACGTAACTTCACGAATACGCGATAGATGATCCAGTAGAATAGTTTTCGCTGGAGAATGTAATTGTTTGATGTAGTGGTGGATCGACCTTATGCAGGAGCTGTTAACTGCCCAGTTAACGAGGCCAATATTCTGAGGATCATAGGCTCTGAGATGTTGCAAAAAGCGTGCTAGATTTTCAGCACCAGCTCCCCCGTCATTGGCCAATTTGATATTCAGCAAGTCATATTCAGGGTTGAAGAAGAACACTGCGGGCTTTTCTCTCGTAATCTCGGAAGGATAACAAGATAGCCTATAAGAGTAATACGGGAGGCGGACGCGGTAAAAGTCAAAAGCTGCTAAGCGCGACTCCCGGCTCACACGAAAAATGACTTTCGTTTGTCCAGGGACCTCTATATTGACCGCATAGTTTCTGTTCTCGAACGCGGATGTTTCGGCAAACCGGTTCAATGTGGTTGAGCCATCGTACTCTTTATATAACGTCCTGAGATGAACATCTAGTAATCGATTTCGCCTAAGGCATTGCTGCCAGATCATATGTCGAAGCTCGGGTGGAAGCTTGGGAAACTGAGGGAATAAAAGGTCCTGTTTAGGACGGTCTGTACGGTTGATTATTCGTAGATGCTGGGGGGTTGACATTGTCCTCTGTCGATGAAAGTAAAGAGTAGTCTGAGAATCAAAAGGTGGTCGTTGGCGGTTGGGCTGTAGGCTGTTGATAGTTGGGCGTTGATGGGTAGTTAGGAGTACAAGAGATGGTCTATTTTTAGCACTTCTTGAACGTCTCCAGCCTCGTGCAAAACTTGAAGTGGAAAGTTAATGCCACCCGCCTGATAAAATACGTTCATCTCATATTTTTAAAGGTACTTTCATTGATAGTGACCCGGACTGCACTGCACGCCGCTCGGTGTCCATCCCTGTTACATTTTCGTTACCTCTCAGGCACTCTTTGTCGCATGGCCCACTGTATAGCCTTTTGATTGGATTCATACACATCCAAGCGTAAGTCTGAGGACATGTTTTAGAGTCTTTTTTATGTTTCGCCGTCTATAATAATTATAATGAACCGCTGCATCTCCATCATCTTGCTGCTTCAATACGTTCGTTTCATCAAGTGAGCTTTGTCCTCTTGCCGATGTTTCTAGCGTATCAATACAAGTTGCAAATTATCTGAGCAGTGTTTCAGATACCTGTTAAAGGTTTAAACCTACTTATTTGAGCAAAATGTAAAATAGATAAAGGCCGGTATTGTTATGCATCGCTCACAAGGTTCTACTACATCACTCACCAGTCTATCCATCAACCTATTTATCAAAAAAAAAAAAATCGATTAATAGTTTTTCTTTTTTATTACTTTCCCTTTCTTCAATATGCGACCTGTTAGAAGCTTCTCGGCAGCGTTCAGAGCGGCACTGGTGGCCGCTCTTTTCGGAACTGTCGTCGTTGGCGAACTAACGCACGCTGTTCGGTATGCACTCTCGCGCTGCCCGTATAACCCACAGCCTCAACGATAGAATTAGTTCTTAACTTAGGGCATCTTTAGGTATCAGGGAGACCCTAGACTCTCCGTGCATGTCAATGAAGCCGTCAAGGTCGAACGGGCCCCAACCCCGCGACAAAGAGCTTTTGAGTTCTGTTCCAAGCCTTACAAGAAGGTAGCAATAGCGCCGAACCAGACGCCTCCGAAAGCTGGATCAGCAAAGCCCAGCAGTAAGAATCTGGCGCCTGCAAAGAAACCGTCTGGAAAGAAGGCCGCTGCAAAAGGCCTAGTAGCTCGCGTCAAGCCAGACGACTTTGAAGAGGTAGAAATGAGTACGCTCAAGTCGTGCAAGCCAGGAACTGCTGGCTTGTGGTCTGGTGGCTTTGGCACCTGCCCGGGATTCATTGTTACCGGTCAACCTAACAGCCCAGATGGAGTGAGCTGCATTCTAATGCACTTCAGCCTCGGCGCGAGCTTGGATGACAAAGAGCAGAAGGAAAAATGGGCAGACTTTGAGAAGGCAGTTCGAGCTTCTGGTATGACCGAGATCAAGGGGTTGATCTTCACTGTAAACACCGATACTCGGTCGAAGGAGATAAAGGGGGATCAGTTCTTGGTGGAGGAAGCACAAGCCTTAACCCCGGACTACAACACTCTTAAATCCCGTTTGGCGAGACTCACCAAGTCTAGATCTGTCGTCCATCAGACTCATAGCTTTGCCCAGGTTGGTGAGCTGCAAGTTGATCGCAACGGGAATGTTCTTGTTGATGGCCGCCGAGTTATCCTATAACAAGTTAAATTCCAGTCTAGCAATTAAACGCGTTCTGATAATGGAGACTCTTAATTTTCCATTTTTTTCTATTATATAAGATGGTTGCCTTCGCCTGTATTGCAAAAGGCTCTCTTAGCAAAAGTCCAAGAAAAATTGAAGGGTTACCACCAAAATGCCTTGTTTCCGTCGCTCCACATAACGTGGTTCACAACCGAGCGGGTCGCACAACCGAGCGGGTCGCTTTTTGAAGATATCATCAATAAAATAAGTAATTAGAATTTCGCAGTGTAGAAAAGAATATATTCATATATCTAAATAAATTTTCTACCTCTATTTAAGTGACTTTACAAGTTCGTGAATTATGCCCAGTATTTCCACACTTTGTACAGCGCCGTTTGGTTGTTGATTGCAGCCGTGTAAATGTATTATAGCTTCGAATATCGGCTTGCAATTGAGTATTTACTTCCTTTTGTGACTGAATTGTATCTGCGTCTGCAAAAGTAAGTGATCCTCCATCTTGTATGTGTTTCCTTTTTGTAATTCGGCGTCGGGAAAGGCGTGTATTTGCCTTCCGAAGCTCGTGAAGCTCACTGCGTATTAAGGTGACCTCATGCATGATTTTGGTTGTACTTTTTGCCAGCTGCTTAACACTTTTTAGAATCAGGGTTGGCGAGCTATTTTGGTGTTGAATTATGCGAGTTTGAATGTAATTGGTTTGTGAGTTGATTTCAATTGAATTGTGTGGTGTTTTGGGGCTCCAAGTTGGTGATATTATTGGTAGTATTGGCGGCGATGGGGTACGTGGCTGGGTATTTAACTGCGATATCACACAATTAGGATTAAATGGAAGAATCCCCGTTGCTCTAAAGCCTGATTGTATATTTGCTGATGTCATTGCTTTGTTGTGTGCAATATGGAAGGCTGCAAAGAAGTCTTCCTTGGTAATATGAGTTACACTTACACGCATTAGATCCTCGATCTCTTGACTGTAGGCACGCTTTAGCACACTAAAACAGCCAATATCCAGAGGTTGCAGCTTGTGTGATGAGTGTGCTGGCATACAAAGAGTAATAATTTTATTCTCTTTGCAAAATAGCTCAAATTCGGTTGAATGGTGGCTCTCGTGGCCATCTATAATCAACAATCGATATTGCCCAATTGTGCGTGATTTCGTATGTTGATTGAAATGTTGAATCCATTCCAGGCCTCTTTCATTTGTAGTCCATCCATTGGATGTAACTACAATTCGCCAATCCGGTGGAAGAAGGCTATTCTCATACCAAGATGAGAGATGGATCTTGCCAGCAACAATGATGTAAGGTGGGATCACATATCCATCCGATCCAATGCTCTCAATCACTGTAGCCTACTCGCGATTGCCTTGCTGAGCCATTCTTGGTCGTGTAGATCGATCTGATGTAGTTACTACCATTCCTGGAGTAATTACCCCCATCATAAAGCCGGTTTCATCAAAGTTATAGATATCCGTTTCAACGATACCGTAGTTCGCAATTGTATTTCGAATTAATGTAAACCAACTTTGATAGATCTTTGGATCTTCACAGAGTACTCTTTGATAGTCAATTTTGCGTGAAAATCGTGTTTGAAGCTCTGGTTGACGTCGAATGAAGTTTGTTACCCAGTTCTTCCCAACCTGCTCATCTCCTCGTTGTTTAAGCAGTAGATTCGCCATTTCTGCAACTTGGCTGTGCTTTGGCGGAAACGATCTAGAATTCAGATCAATTATATATTGAATAATTGAATTCTCTTCGTGATCTGTAAGCTTGCGGCCATTTCCAATCATCTCAACACGGCTACGGCGACCTGCTTTCCGTGCCTGTAGCGTACTGTATGGTACGCTATAGATCTTAGCACATGCTTTGATACTTAAGTTGGTGTCGTTTTTGAGGGCTGATAAAGCCAGATTAGTATCACGTTCATTCGGCATAGTAGAGAAATTGATTTAGAATTAAAATAGAATTTTATTTGCAATTCTCTACTTAATACCGCAAAAAGCGACCCGCTCGGTTGTGCGACCTGCTCGGTTGTGAACCACGTTATACTAATTTTATTATACATCTGGTACATACGACCATAGATACAGGAGAACTCGGGATCCCGTCCAGTTCTTGTTAGCGGTGTAGCACCCTCCGAATTTAGAGGAGATATCATCAACATATGAAGGAAGCTCCTCGGACTATGGAGGCGAGAGCACAATTAATTTCAACAGCTAAAATTAGTAGTTACTGACGTAGACGGACCCATGCAGCAACCTTGAGTTGTTGACATGTTGTCGCCATTGGCCTCAAGCGCATCAGGTGCTAGTGGACGTAACCAACACGCTGCGTATGATGGACCGGATGTTGAGCAACGAGGGGGTGCAGTACCACGTAACGTTCCAGATCTTGCGGGACCGGAACGACGGTCTAGGGCGCGCATACGATGCGTGTGGAAGGGATGCGACTATCACGAGCCTGACGCCGAGAAGATGAAGTGAGTCAACAGCTTACTACAGCGGACAATGCATCTAACATTTGTTCAGGAGACACGCCGCAATACATCGCAGATGATCTAGGAAGGCTGCGACTTGGCTGGCGCCGATAACCTCAAAGAGAAGAAGTGCCGCGTTTGGCATCAGCACAGAATATGGACCGAGAAGACCAACTATCCGCCGATGTGCACCGAGTGTGACTGATGCAGAAGGACCTTTACACGTGAGGACACCCCTCTTCGCCATAAAAGGAGGCGCACAGAGGTGGTTGGCGGTGCAGGAGGTCGGGCGGACGAAGAGATGTAGATTGCGCCGTGTTTCAAGCGTGGTGATAGACATTCTATTTCAAGCTTAGGGCCGTTGCTCACTTTCTCTTTCTATCTATCATTGAGAGGTGGACGTATATTGCTCCAAGAAAATACGTAAACAAATCTTGGCAACCACTGCGATGCACCCTATGACCCAGACGTGATTAAACACCAGATGCAATGGTAACCTAGAGAGAGCGCAACGGCTGGTCTAGCCGCATGAGGAGTCTCTCAGTATGCTTTCTCTGCACAGCCATGCGACTAGTGCATTGTGCTGTTCCGCCAGATTCTAGTGGCTTGAAGCCACATTCATCCGGCGTCCGCGTTCCTCCGTGCGTATACCTCCCGCGTTAGCGTTCTATGTCCGGTTGTAAGTAGTCTGACCTCGTGGGCTTGTCCGGATACGTGCCGTTCATGTAAATAATAAAACGCCGCCTCAGTACTTGTGCCAAAGAACGAGCAGACTCGTGCTCTAACTTGTGTGTTTATTCGCCAGCAGCCAACGGCGCAAAAAAGAAGACGAGTCCAGTCGTTACCTAATCTGCTTCGTCAGTAAGCCGTTTGGAATAGATGCAATATTTAAGCGAAGAGCCTTAGCGTGTACGCTGAAAAGTGAAGCTGCCGTCGATGCAGTGCTGCAGATGGTGTTGTACTATGCCGGAGTCTGTGCATATACTTGCCGGATGGCTTCAACAATAGAAGCAAGCGGTCTTTGTCTTGTCTAGTTTCTGGCCACCTTCCTAATAAGGCACATGGGCGATATCAGGGGGCACGGTAATTATAGATTAAGGTTACCTGGAAGCTATAACCATCATGCGCGGCATATTGCGGGGGTGGAGAAGAGTGCTACGTTGCCGTGTGATTGGTTCTTGGCTATCAAGCTGCTGAGAAGGGTATATGAAGTGGCGTGTCGATCTTACGGGCCGAGTGGTGGCAGGCTAACGCCAACCAGGAAAGAGCATCCGAACGATACAACGCACCTCAACATCAACTTGAATGGTTTAAGGTTTGGAGTCGGGGCAGTGCTCTTTGCCGGAGCGTGCACTTTTGCAAGCTGCAGCACTTCTCATTACCTAACTGACGAGAGAGGCTCGCCTGGATTATGTTGCGTGCTGTGGCCTGCTAAATTCGGGATGCCATGCGACAGGTTGGTAAGCAGAGATGCTTCAAGGCGAGGAGGCGTGTGCGTGTGCGTGTGTAGAGACATGTGTATAAATGGGCCTTGATCCTGCCCGTCCAGCAGCCCAGTACCAAGACTCAAATTCTTATATGTCAGAAACAGAGCCTCTAGCCCTTCCACTTCCACTGTTCTTCCACTGCCTTTGGACTGCCCTTGTACTCTACTGCCATCTTCGACATGGAGCTTACCAAGTGTCTCTGCTTCCTTGCCGCCATCCTCCCCGTGGCTTATGGCGCGCCATCCCAGACGTCCAGCAGCCTTCACCCCCAGATCTTGGAGGCCATGAAGCGCGATCTGGGGCTCAACGCCGAGCAGGCCACTGCCCGCGTCGCCCGAGAGCTCCAGGCCACCACGGTCATTGAGCAGGCGCGCAGCGCTGTCGGCGACTCGTTTGCTGGAGCTTGGATCGACGGCGATGCCGTCCACGTGGGCATCACCGACCAAGCCATGGCCGAGACCGTGACGTCTGTCGGTGCCACGCCCGTCGTCGTCAACAACAGCCTGTCCAAGCTCGAAAGCGCCAAGGCGGCCCTGGACAAGATCTTCATCGGCCAGGCTCGCGCTGCCGGCCCTTCCAACGAAGGCATTGCATCCTACTTTGTCAACGTCATCTCCAACAAGCTCGTCATTGAGGCGCTTCAAGACAGCCACGGCCATGCCCAGGAGCTAGCCTCGCAGGTTGGCCTGGCTGCCTCGGACTTTGAGGTACGCACTGTCGATAGCATGCCCACCATCAAGGCCACCGTCCAGGGCGGCGACGCCTACTACATTGACGGCCGAGCCCGCTGCTCTGTTGGCTTCAGCGTCACCACGGGCTTTGTGTCGGCCGGCCACTGCGGCGAGCCAGGCTCTTCGGCGACGACCAGCAGCGGCGCCGCTCTGGGCACCTTCTCCGGCTCTGTCTTCCCCGGAAGCGCCGACATGAGCTACATTCGAACCGTCAGCGGCACCACTCTTCGCGGGTACATCAACGGCTACGGCCAATCAAGCATCCGCGTCTCTGGGAGCACCGAATCTGCTATTGGAGCAAGCATCTGCCGCTCCGGCTCTACCACCGGCGTCCACTGCGGCACCGTCCGCGCCAAAGGTGCTACCGTCAACTACGCCGAGGGCTCCGTCACCGGCCTCACTCAGACCAACGTCTGTGCTGAGCCTGGCGACTCTGGTGGCTCTTTCTACTCGGGTTCGCAGGCTCAGGGCGTCACCTCGGGAGGTAGCGGCGATTGCAGCCGTGGAGGAACGACCTTCTTCCAGCCTGTCAATGAGATTCTGCAAACCTACGGCCTCACCTTGGTCCGAGGCTAAGGATGAGCTGAATATCTTAGCGAGAGCATGTGCAAACAAATCACGCACGAGTACATAACTTGCCGTATATAGCCTAGGCTGGAGTGAAAAATATAAGAAGCAACTAGTTGAATTGTGTTTTAGCTTGTGCGTTCTGCTTGCACTTACACCCATAGATGCCCTTCTGTAGCAGCCTCACTACGTAGCAGCTTATTTGATGCGTGCTGAATCCCCAGTATTGTAACCTCACCTTGAAGACACCCTAGACATGTTCAAACAGGTACGCGCTTCACGTCCTCCTCAAGACCTGCTAGCTGTAGGCGTCGTCCCAAACAGAAACAGCTGGCGGCCCTGCTTTCTGCCACAGTGCGTCACAGTGTGGTTGGTAGACCACCGCGATGTCTTTCGGACAAGGGCCAGGGAGTAGCAAATAACCGCCTCCACAAAGGCATCAGAAGCTGCAGTGCCGCGCGCGCACCCGGAAACTTAAGCCTTGCCACAACGCTATGTAGCTGAGAGTCTGGCAGGACGGTTCACGAGAGAGAAGAACCTTGTCGAGAGAAGCGACATCCAAGTCACTTCCATGTACCTGTGTAGCCCCTCGTTCAGTCTCTTTGGGCCTGCTGCGCAGTATCCTTGCCTGCAGGCGGCAGTGACAAGCCCTCAGAGGCTCTACTTACTGCGCCCAGAACCTTCTTGAGCGTTGGCGTGTACAGCAGCTCAGGGCCAAAAGTCTGGAACGTGGTGTCGAGAATGGATATGTTGCTGTACACGGCAAGATCGTACTGGACTTAAATAGGCCGGCAATAACAGTAGATAGATAGGTCGGGTTACCGTATTGTACTAAGGTATTGCACAATTTATAACCTAAAAAACCCAAGTCTCTGGTACATACGACCATAGATACAGGAGAACTCGGGATCCCGTCCGCTCTCCCATAGATAAGCCTGTAATCGGCAGATTAGTAGTTGGGTCGGTGACGACCAGCGAACACCGGCTGTTGTATGTTTTGTTTTTTTTATAATATTTTTTCTTGTAGTTCTCTGCGAGCACTTGCTTCATATATACAGGACAGAGACGGCGCATCTTAACATCGTCTAATAAGGAAATGGAGGGTGGTCGCCTGCCTCGGCTGCAGCAGCACGACGCCACTAGCTTGAAGTTCCTTGTTCATCTGTGCAGCCACGGTTTATGGCTGCTTTTTTTGTATAGTATACAGTATACATACATTATTTTCTCTTCTAGTGGAACCAGATGCTCTGTCCAGCTCATGCCGCTTGCGGAAACCCCATTAAATTTGGGGGGGGATAAACAGCAGGTGCATCTGCTTGCTGTTAAGAGAGCCTAGACTTGCTGCCCTACATACAGAAGTAGGGCTGGGGAGGACTATGGAACCCCCATTGTAGATTTATGATTCATATAGACCCGTAGGTTCGTTTACAAAGGTTGTATGTTACATGCCTAAAATGGCGATACTGGGTATACGCGACTCGGGCTTCTTGCCGATTTGTGGCGCACACTATATTTACCTTCCTAAACTAGTAACATAGTAACGATACAACTGGGGACCCCGGACACTGCTCTTTGTACAACGCGTGAGAGCCCAAGCCCTATCGGATGATAATTCCGCAGTAGCATCGAAGTTTTTACGGTAGGTGAGTTAATTATGTTGGTGCAGGGGAAATGGTTCGACTCATACGTAGTTCCCAACTATTAAAATACCAAGGGATCCGTCTCCTGCGTCTCCCCTCGTCGTTTTCAAGTCCCATTCATCTACCCTGGAAAGCTTTCCCTCCATTGTCATGATGCGTTTCCTCACTGTAAACGCTGCCCTTGCGGGTATTGTAGTTGCCCTGCCGTCAGCACCCAACTTTGTCGTCCACGAAAGGCGAGATGCCAGCCCAACCTTGTGGAATCGACAGGAGCGTGCTGACAAGAATCTGCTCTTGCCTCTTCGCATAGGCCTTAAGCAGTCCAACCTGGATCGCCTGAATGCTCTGGTCCATGAGGTGTCCAACCCCGAGTCTTCCAACTTTGGTAAGAATGTAATGCCTATGAAACATGACCAACTGCTAACAAATCGCCCCCTTTCGTCCAGGCAAGCATTGGACAGCCGAGCAAATTGCCAACGCGTTTGCGCCAACAAGCAAGACTGCCGATGAGACCTGGCAATGGCTCATCAGCTCGGGTATCGACCCAAGCAGGATCCAGTGGTCGGCTGGGCGCAACTGGCTCGAGGTTAATTCCACCGTGGGCGAGGCCGAGAAGCTGCTCAACGCACAATATTATCGCTACGAGCACAAGGACGCAAAAGTAGCTCGCATTGCATCCGACCAGTACAGCGTGCCCAGCCACGTGCAGCAGCACATTGACTTTGTCATGCCTACCATCCAGCTAGATACCGTTGGACCGGTATCCCGCGCCAAACCCGCCGTCTCGACAGCCGTAGAAGGCGTCATAGGCCTCAGCGGCGGCACCGGCAACTGTAGCCACATCATCACCATTGACTGTATCCGCGAGCTTTACAAGCTGCCCATTCCCACGTCTGCGCAGCCAGGTAACGAGCTGGGCATTCCCGAGTGGGCTGATTACCTTTACAACCCCGATCTCGACGTCTTCTTTGCCAACTTCACCAACCCTGTCATCCCCAAGGGCACCCGGGCCGAATTCATCTCAATTGATGGTGGCAAGCCTGGCACGTACGACCGTGTCCAGCAACAAAACAACATTGAAAGTGCGCTCGATTTCATGATTGCCTACTCCATCATCTACCCGCAAAACACACGACTGTACCAAGTAGGCGATGGAGTCAATGTCGACTCCGTGGGCACCTTTAACATCTTCCTCGACGCCCTGGATGCGTCCTACTGCTCATACAAGGGCGGTAATGCCCCCTACATTGACCCGGCGTATCCGGACATGAATGATGGCGGTTTCCGGGGGAAGCTGCAGTGCGGAGGGGCCAAGATGAGCAATGTCATCTCCATTTCGTATGGTCAGATTGAGGCTGCCTTGCCGCGCTTCTACCAGGAGCGCCAATGCCATGAATGGGGCAAGCTGGCTCTCCAAGGCGTGTCTGTTATTGTTGCATCAGGCGATAGCGGCGTTGCCAACAGCTACAACTCGGGATACCCCAACACCTGTGTTGATGCCCAGGAAAGGTATCTTGACCCGCATGGAAAGCGCTTTTCGCCTTCGTTCCCCAATAACTGCCCATTTGTCACCAATGTCGGCGCCACTACGCTGCTCACAAAAAACATTGCCGATGGAGAACGCGCCGTCTTGAGCTACGGCTCCGGTGGTGGCTTCAGCGACATCTTTACCACGCCTAGCTGGCAAGCAGAGGCTGTAGGCAACTACCTGAAAAACTACGCACCCAAGTACGGCCCTGATGTTTTTAATTCTTCTGGTCGTGCGTTTCCAGACGTTGCGGCTTTGGGAGACAACATGGCCATTGTATCCGGCGGCCACGTTAGCAGGAGTGGCGGTACTTCAGCGTCTGCTCCTCTCTTTGCATCCGTCATCACCTTGCTCAACGATGAGAGATTGGCGGCCGGCAAGAAGCCTATTGGATTCCTCAATCCTATTCTGTACAAGAACCCAGGCATGTTCAACGATGTCACCGTGGGCAACAACCCTGGTTGCGGCACAAGCGGTTTCCCCGCCAGCAAAGGCTGGGATCCCGTCACCGGTCTCGGAACCCCCAATTATGAAAAGATGCGCGCGGTTTTCAATGGTCTCCCATAAGTTGGCAGGCTTTGTGCTTTCAAAAGTACATGTATCAAGTTTTTGACTTTGGGATTTTCTGTTGTACTTCTTGTAGTATGTAGATAGACAACCAAAGTAGTGTGCCTTTCCCCCCCGAAGAATGCAGATGTGTTTTTTTAGACAGTCTCTACCTCATACGATCGACGTAATATATAAATGCAACCTGGCTGGATGACTAATTAACCTGTCTCTTTTTTGTATCACAAGGCGAAGATACGCGTTGTCATCTGTGAAACTTGCCTTATTGATGTATTTTCCGCTTTATTTACATCAGCGCAGCATGATTGTATATTCATGGAGTGTTTTTGTCATATGATAACGGTTATTTATATTCCACAGCTGCTTCGCAGGATGTAATGGTAACCTCGCGCGTGCTACGATGTGACTTGCAATGGCTATCGGAATCGCATACAGAAGTCCAGGTACCATCCACCTTGGCCTCGAAAGCTTTGATCAAATTCGAGAAGATCTGTACCCTTGCCCAAGCATCATCTGTATTTATATCGCATTGGAGTTATACTTTCAACTCTAGTCTCCTGTTGAACTAGAATCGCCGATCGACACCAGCCTGACGGTGAGGCAGTGCTGGGCAAATCAACGTGCTAGTGGCGGGCTGCAACGTAAACCCAAGTGAATTCTGATGGATTGACTATTAGCTTATAGCTTAATTTAGATCGCCTTCTGGTACATACGACCACAGATACAGGAGAAATCGGGATCCCGTCCGCTCTCCCATAGACAAGCCTGTAATCGCCGTGTATAATAGGCGAATCCTATATTATGTAAATTAAAGGGCTATAAAAATAGAGGTACATAGTCGTGGCGCCCATTGTCTCTCTTTATTTGCCCTTGATTCTATTTACACACATCTTTCCGTCGGCTCTTTCGTAGGTAGGCCCGTTTACTTTAAAGGTTGACGAAGTAGTTCTCCCAACGGTCGTAACGAGGAGTTCCAAGACCAGTGACAGGGTCCCAGCCTTCGACACATGAGAAGCCAAGGTTACCGCAAGCGCTGTACCGGCGGTCGTCGCCGATTCCTCCCCAGCGCTGGTCGCCCACGGTGACATCATTGAAGTAGTACTGGTAGTACTCCTTCTTAGAAGCGAGAGCGTAGAGCGCAGGGTTAACGAAACCCACGGGGCCCTTACCGATGCTAAGACGCTGCTCGTTGATGCGGTTGAAGATGGCAGCAATGATGGGCGCAGACATGGAGGTTCCGCCGACAGCCTGGAACCGGCCGTTGGCGACAATGGCACCAGCTTCTCCAAGTGCAGCGACATCGGGGTAAGCACGGCCGCCGCGGTTGTAGATGCCGCCGTCGTCGGGAATGACACCATCGCTGGTGTTGAAGGAGCGGTAGTTAGGGTTGTGTCGGAGAAGGTAGTTGTCTAGCACGTTGTTCTGGTACGAGGGACGACGGTGGACATTGGAGAAGCCGCCACCAGAAGAGAAGCCGTCGACGGCAACCTCAGGCTTATCCAGTGCGTTGAGCTTAGTAGCGCCGACGGACAAGATGTAGGGGCACGAGCAGAGGTTGTCGCCTACAAAGACGTCGTGGTGAGCTCCCAGACACATGCCGTTTCGGTTGCTAACACCAGCGTCGCCGCTAGCAACGACGGTGGTGATGCCCATGAGACCAAGCTTGAGGAACTCGTTACATTCGCGCTGATAGCAGGGCAGAGTACAAGGTTAGTTGACCGCATTAGGTGGGCTAACGGAAAGAAGAGAAGGGGTCATTGGGGAAAGAAAGAAGAAATGAAACATACGTGATAATCATCGGCATGCGCAGGGTCCTCAGGGAGACCGTAGGAAACGGAGATGACGTTGGTGGGTTCGTATGTGCCGCACATCTTGTGGTCGTTGAAACGCGGGTCAAGGGCGCAGAAGTCGCTGTCGATGGCGCTGAGGTAGTCGCTGAAAAGCTCGTCTTTGGAAAGGTATTGCACTTGGTACAAGACTGTGCTCTGGGGGTAGATGATGGGGTAGGCCATCTGGAAGTCCAATTCGGATTCACGGCCAGCAGTAGCAACGCTATTGGGAGCAGTGGCGCCATTGATCAAGTTGAGCTTGGGGCCGGTTCCCTTGGGGATATTGGGAGCAAGAAGGCTGAAGAAGGCATCCAAGTCCTCCTGGGCGTAGACGTCGCCGGCGGATTCGTACATGCCCAGAGGGTTGGAAATGTTGTGCTGAGTAGCCTGGGGAATGTTGTAAAGGTAGGAAATGCACTGGGGGATGATGTACAGGCTGCAAATCTGCTTAAGATATTCGGCTAAACAGAAACAAAGAGTATGGTAAGCGTTGGGCGAGATCACTACAAAGGCAAGGGATGCTGGTGGTTGCTGGCTAGCTAGCTAGCAACCGGAATGGGATGACTTACGAGGACCAGTAGTAGAGTTGTCGGCGGTAGTCGGGGCAGCCTGCGCGGCCTTGAGGGCATCCTTGATGCGCTTGAGGCCGTTGTCGTCAATCTGGCGCGTAGGCTCAATGGAAAAATGGCTGACGCCGTCGTCCTTCTTCTTGGGGTCAAACTTGACGCCGGTAGAGCCGGAAGAAACACCAGGGTGCACAAAGTCGACGACGTTGGCAATGTTGCTGGGAAGACTGTACTCGTCGGTGCCGACATGGTCCTTTCCAGAGGAGTTGCTGCGGTAGACGTGGTACTTTGTCTTGAGAAGCTTCTCCAGGGTGGCAGCGTCAACATCGACGTGGACGGACGTCTTAGTAGGGTTGACGTAGATGTCCTTGTGGTCGATGCCACCTTGACCGAGCCACTCCTTGACGGAGTCGATAGTCTTGTCATCAGAAGCAAAGTACTTGACGACCTCAGCAGCAGTCAAGTGCTTGCCGTAGTTGGGAGACTTGGGGTTGGAGCTGCATAAGACATGTGTGTTAATAGTGCATTTTCTTTCTTTTTTCGTGGATTGCTTGTGCTCGCTGGCTGGCTGGCTGGCTGGCAAAGAAAGGCTTAACTTACATGTCGTAGAGCTTGGCCTCTGCTGCCTCGACGTTGAACTGCTTCAAAGCAACCCGGAAAGGAATCACCGTCTCGGCGTCTACGGCTCTGTGCTTGACAAAATGAGCCTTTTGCACAGCGTTGCGTGTCTGGTGGACGACGTGCGCATCAGAGGGCAGGGCGTAGGCCGTGCTGGCCAACCCGGTGAGAAAAAGAACACTTTTCATAGTTGCAGAGAATCGTAAGAAACTGCCTTTGTGAATGCGATAGTTCACCAAAGCTCATCATGTCAGGGAGACGACCGTATGCTATTTTATATTCTACGAGACGGCTGCTGCTGCTGCCCTGCGTGCGAGATACCTTCCAGTTGTAGTTTAGATGGCTGTTGTATTGCTTACTGAAACGTTAATACACGTCCTAACGTGGAGGAGGATCTTTTGCAGCTTCTTCTTCTTTTCGTTTTCTTCTCCAACACCCCAGAATGAAAGCGACCTGCCACATTCGTGCACAGCGAGAACGATGTTAGCAGCACCATCAACAGCAACAGCAGTAGTAGTACTAGTAGTAGGTAGTAGCAGTACATCGCTTAGGCCAAATTGGCGCTGCTAGTGCACTGTCTTGCTCTGGCCGTCGTAAATTTATATCGGGCCCGTGTTAGCGTTCCACTTGGCCCAACGGAAATAGTACATAGTATTGGGACTTTGCCGACTGATGTAACCGCAACACAAGTTCCTTGGCTTAATGAGGAAGTTGTCCACGTGCTACTTGCAAGGCCGAGCCATCAGTGCATCGAACCTTCGGGCCAAAGTCCGTAAAGTACCTTGCTCTGTGTGGGGCGTTGCTGGCGGTAAGGCGGGCCACTCCACTAGACGGCCACTAGACCACTAGACGGGGAGCCGAGCTTACTGTATAACGATACTCTGGTAACATTATGAATTACATTATTCGGAGGTTGGTTGGTTGGTGCTTGGTCCCTGGTCCCTTGAAATGGCCCACCACCGGGCTGGGGCCGGTGGAGGGGAAAGGGAAAGGGGATGGGGATGGGGATGGGATCATCCATCTCCTCCAACTCATATCTTTCAAATGGTGCCTTGGTCTGCGGCTGACTGCAGCGCCCAAGGTGATAGTAATTGGGACATTGTTGGTTGGTTGTATAGACGCCGTCTCCGTAGCTACCATGAACATGAACGAGAACAGCTATGTAAAACAGCGCAAGCTCAAGGCATCTATCCACAAACTGGCACACTAACCCGGGCTTGTATGCCGAGCCGTGCTCCCCTCCTATTTCCTGCTAGAAGTCCGCACTGGCAGGCAGCCCGCCACTGTCGGGAACAAGAAAAAAAAGTGGCGATGCGTCGACGCCCGTGGGGAAGCATCCTGCGCTCGCAATGGGGCGTAGGCTGGTGTCCCGGATTATCGCATTGTTCCCGCCCACTGGCGAGTCATAATTCATGGTTTCACCTTCTCGGCTACCAATTATGGCAGGTCTGTTGTAGGCAGGCTCACCAGCATTTTCCGTTTACTCTCCGCACTGCATGAACCCTCAGCCGGAGTCTCGACCATTTTCCCGAGGCTACTAAGCTGGGTAAGCAACGTTACGGACATTTTGGGCGCATGTCACGAAACGCATCACAACACCCCAAACCCATTCAGCGAGAATCTGTGCAACATGCGCTTCCCGATGGATGGTGATGAGCTCTTCGCTGACACGGATCCCGCGACTAACAATCACATCTATACATGATATTATAGTGGTGGCTTTATAGTGGGCTACTCTGAAAGAGCGACACAGCATTTTGTGCCTGGGTAAGCAAGCCGTGTGTGTATGTATTCCTACTTAGCTATTAAGCTGCTATATGTGACTATAGATGCAAATAATTTAAAGCAAATAACATCTATAAAGCAAATAGAACACCTGTTAACCCTATTCAGGCTGTTACTCCTGTTTGCATTATTTCGTCCATCAAACCTTATTGCTATTTATTAATTACATTCAAACACATCATGTCACACATTCCACAAATGAACCTACCTACTCCCGTTGAGTTCTTCGATAGTATAGCAGACAATTACGAATTATCTGCAGGAGGCTGTACGCTAGCAATAGCACGTTCTTTGTTAGAGCTGCGTTGCCTACAAGACGTGTGCTCTTCTGAGTCTCATGTTTTAGATAACGCTGCTGGCACAGTGGCACCGGTGTAGTGGCCGGAGAAATTATTCGTCAGGCGCGTAATCTCCATGCCGACATCCCCAATATCCGCATTGTTGATCCGGCCGGGAAAATGATCAGCGCTGCTAACGCTAAATTATCGCGTCTAGATGCTGCAGGTCGTTGTAAGGCGGCAGTCATGTACGGCGAGAACTTGGACTTTGCAGACAACACATTTTCTCATAGTATCACCAATATGGGCATTCTATTTTTTAAAGATCCAAGCGCAGGAGCTAAGGAAATATACCGGACTCTGCGACCTGGTGGTGTGGCCGTTGTGACGTCTTGGGCTGAAGCGGGCTACTTGACCAAAGTCATTCACCCTGCGCAAAAGGCTGTGCGGCCTACCGATCCCTTATTTCAGCTACCCGTCCCTCCCGTCTGGTTTCAACCTGATCATTTCAAGAGCTGTTTAGAGAAAGACGGGGGTTTTACTGACGTTGAGGTGCTAGAGCTGCGATGTCATTATGGCGCACCAACTCTACTCATTTTGCAGCAGATGCTACTACGAATCTTTGGACCTGTCTTTAACCGATGGCCAAGCGAAGATCAGGAAAAGTTTACCAACTCTATCGCCGAAATTCTATCTAATGTGGTGGAGGAATACATTATGCCGAATAGCGACAGGGGGTTGGGAGTTCCCATGCGGGCGATTGTAGCTATCTGCAAGAAGTGAAATTCCACGCGCTCTAGCCATCCTAGCCCTACAGAATTCGATTAGCTATATTGCACTCTTTAAGACGAATATAAATACTTATCTAGTAATCCAGAGAAACATTAGCCTTAGCCTCTTATCTAGCTAGAAGAGCAAAAACAATACCAAGCGCGCCGCTTGACCGTGTACACAACTCGACTGTGAATTATTTTATAGAGCTTTTAACTTAATCAGTTTAATATTCATCGACTTTTTTTGTTTTTGCATAATATTAAGCCAACTATAGCATCCACCAAATTTAACCGGAGTGCAGGTAAAAACTAAAATGGCTCGAGTTGTTGTACATACGACCATAAATACTGGAGAACTCGGGATCCCGTCCAGGTCTCGTCTACTGTTTAACTTGCTCCAATTTTGCATGTTCTTTCCATTGTATATGGAGCTTTGGCCGCTAATAACGGAGAACCTTGACCCCCTAATTCTGAGACTGATTGGCCGCTAATTGTAATGCTGGATTTTGAGGCATGAAGGCACAAAAAATAGGACACTGATGTGTTTTTATTGTCAAACTCTATAACATACAAACATATACACATGTAAAGAATAAAGACGAGTGTAGCGCAGTGTCCTAATATTTAGGAAAAAAACCCTTATAGGAAGGCAGCGGCAGCAGCAGCCAAGACGGCGGCGGCGCTAAGCTGGGCGGCACCAGCACCAGCGACGACCGGGGGGGTACCGCAGCCAGGCCCGCCGCAGGGCACGGTGCCATTGTTTCCGGTACCAGTAGGGGAAGGCTTGCTGGTGGAAGCGGTAGAGCAGGTGGTGGGCTTGGGGACTGCTGCAGATGATGATGGGAGCCCGGACACTGAGGAGGTAGACTTGGGGGTTGAGGAGGTAGTCGGCTTGGGAGGCTTGGGGGCGTCACTGCCAGATGGTGTATTAGCTTTGTCGACTTTGGTCCAGGTGGCCAAGGCGACAGGGGCTTGTTTGGAAAGCCTTGTCTGTCCGGGATGAAGAAACTTACGGGTCCGGGCACACGAATCTGGTCAACTTGCTTACGGCGAGATTTCCCTCCTGGTTCTTGGGCTCGCAGACATACTCGGCCTGTCTCTCTCTCCACTTGAAGCACATGGTGGAGTAGGCGTTAAAGACCTCGCTAGGGCTGCCCTGGCACTCATTGGCGGCGTTGTTGAAGCACGATTGGATCTTGGGCCATTGCCCCGTGGGGATGGGGCAGAAGCAGTCGAGGAACTCGTCTGAGTCCCAATCGCCGGGACACTGATGCTCGATGGGCATCAGGCAATCAACGCACTTGTTAGGCATTTGCCAGCCGAGGCAACGCACGCCGTTGACGTTCAGCTCTGACTCGTGGCACCAGGTGAGGAATTCGGGATCGTAGGCGAGGACGGCGGGCAAGGCCGCACTCAGGGCAAGGAATGCAGTAGCGGCGTGCATGGTGACGACTTATGGCCAAAAGTGGAAAATTAGAAAGGAAAAGTAGGAAAGGAGTGATGTAACGAATGTGTGCGAGAACGAATGGTTTGTTTACACGGGCAGCCAGCCTAGCGGACCATCGCGCAGTATTTATATAGCATAGCCGTAGAGGTGTATATATACGATCTGAGGCGGCAGAGCAAAGGTCCATTCAGCCTCGCATATTCAATCGGTTGTTTATTTGCGCTTTGGAACATGTGCGCCCTCCTCACACCTGTCCGTGTGAGCTATGCGAGATGATCGGTGCGCTATGCGATATGAGTTTTGGTCGCCGACGACGCGAGACTGTACGAGCCTATGCGAGATACGATAATCTGGGTCCACTCACTGTTAATGATAGACAGGGAATATACTGCATCCAGCGCCTTCATCAACGACTCATTGCGCTGTTTTCATCTCGCAAGAGATGGTTGTGCGACAAGATACCTGTGTGAAGGATGAAAGTAGCTTCGCACCGGCTTGGCGGAACCCCCTGATACGTTGCGAGTTCATGATAGATGGGTAGCTGGTCTCTACAGTCTACCATCATGGATGGTTAGCTATTATTAGATGCGACGGTGCTGAGAAGCTGCTGGAACTGTTGGACCGTCGGCCGGGGCTCTCCGCAGAGCGCACCCGCCGACTTGTCTTTTTATTGAGCCCAACTAAGAGCCCGTCATAGACTTGTGCTGTCGTCGGCATGACAAACGGTAGCAGTTCGAGCGCGGTTCGAGCTGCGCACGTTAGAATCGTCCTCATTCCTACTAGCGTTGCCATGCTGAGCGACGTCTCCCTCCTTCGACGAGATTGGCGAAGCCATGACCATCCTAGAAGTGATGCTACTGTAGAAATATGTTTCCCTTCCTACGTGTTCGGAGCAGACAGCATCCATGCCAACCGGAATATTAGGAAAGTAAGCAAATTGATTGCCGATGCTGGTAAATCGAATTCTAAGCCGATCTTTCGAACAACCACCTTGAATGCGTTGAGTCGACCACTATCATACATGAGGAAGAAGGTTAGTATATTGGTTGATTGATGGACTTATAGTGATGTCCACTATAACGAGCCGCCAGTATTCAGCCGATTTGACGTATAAGCCAAACCGCAACATCTTAGCCACCATAGGGAATGAAGGACAATTCGGAATACCCGCACGCTCTGCCCCAGAATTCGCTTGTAAATACCTGCGAACTTAGCTCCTCAGCAGATACATACGACCATAGATACAGGACAGCTCGGGATCGCGCCCAGCTCTTGTCATCAGTGCAATCAATATACGACCGAAATGGAGGCAAAGGCATCCAAAAATAGAGGAGGTGGTCCATGAAACAGGAGCAACAACCACCATTTATTTTAGTCATTAAATTTAACAAGTGCGCAGATAAAGTAAGCATGTAATTATTTTCTTTTATGAAACTGTTATAATGCTACAATTATACCTTTGATTGATACTAGCTCTAGTTGTTGAGCATACACTTGCAGTATCGATAAATACGTTCAGCTGCAAAGTCTGCAATCTCCCACAACCTTGTGCGACTTTCTATAGCCGCCTAAGAATTATGTCTCTTTTTATAGAATTGATTAAAGTCTTAGGTAGAAGAGAGCGATATATATATATATATATGTTAAGAATCAAGCTATATATATACATATTCCACGTAGAACAGCATACACTACCCTACAGCCTAAATACTAAGTGTAAAAACCCACAATTACGCCACCAGAAGGGCTAGGCGCGGCTCGATAGTAGATAATTAAATATAAACAAAATAGAGAGAATAAAAGAGTCAATTAATAAATAGCTAAAGTAACCGAATGGGCTGTCTGTAAATTCAGGAACTGAAACTTAACCTACAAACAGATAGGATGCCTGTTACCTCAATTCAGGGGCTATATATAAACCTTCCTGGGAGTCGAAACTCTTTAGACTGCTCGTTAAGAGAATTAATTATCATCTTAGGACACTCTTCTCCTCTGACTGGCCTGGGCTAGGCTATAACATGTAGTTTAATGTTTAATATGGTCTATATTACTATGCTAACATAGGGTAGTTGTAAGTATCGGCTCGTCGGCGGCAAGTAGTTTAGCCGCCGTCTCGTGGTGGAGCGATTCCAGACTTGGTTCCGCGTAAACCTGGATGGCTAGTGGAGAATAATTATCTTGTACCGAGTTACATTCCTAATTAAGACGCGGCTCGCTCTACCGTTCTCCACGGTGCCCACTAATTTTTCACATTATAACCTACAAAGGAGCTTCCCAATGCAGAAATAGTTAGCTCTAGGCGTAAGTCTCCTGAAGATACAAGGTAGCATGGCTATACTCTTTGGCTTTAGTTATATTCTAGGTAGACTCCGTGCAACGTTGCCATCAATATAGGCAGGCCTACTGAATCGATTCGTTGACTACTACGCTACAGCGAATCTCTCACAGGCTTAAATATGAATCTTTGTCCCACCAACACATCTCAGAACGAGTCCCAATTGCAATAAGCATCATTCTATTCATTTCAGAATCCACAAAACCGACTGTACAACATGAAATACAACGCTGCAATTCTCACTGCAGCCACTTCCAATCTGGTTGGAAGGGCTGCTGCGGCACCAGATCCCAATTTGCAGCCACTGCCTCCTATGGGATTCAACAACTGGGCCAGGTTCATGAGCAACATCAATGAGTCCATCTTTGTCGATGCCGTCGCTGCCATGGCACGCAATGGTCTCCAACAAGCAGGCTACACCCGCATTAACCTCGACGATGCATGGCAGCAGACTGCCCGTGCCGCCAATGGGTCAATGCTCTGGGACGAGAGCCGCTTTCCCAATGGATTGCCATGGCTGACGAACCACATCCGGTCGAAAGGATTCCTTCCTGGTACCTACAGCGACGCGGGCACCTTTAGTTGTGCGGCCAACTTCCCCGGAACGCTGGGCCACGAGGAACAGGACCTGCAAACCTTTGCTGATTGGGGCTTTGAGTACCTAAAACTCGATGGCTGCTACGTGGATACACCCCCAGGTTACTTCTCTGTCTATGGAAAATGGCTTTCTATTCTTGACAAGTTTAACCATGATGGATCGGGCAGAAAGATGGTCTTTTCCAACTCTGCGCCTGCTTACGCTGCAGGACGAGACAATTTAACCGACTGGTACACATTGATGGCTCAAGCAGCGAGTGGAGGCCAGTTGTCACGCCATTCTTATGATATTGCCACCTACAGCGACAGCAATGACTCAGTCTGGTACAGCGTGATGAAAAACTACGACTGGCAGATCCGCCTTGCTCGCTTCCAGCAGCCTGGATACTTCAACGATCCCGACTTCCTTATTGCCGATCATCCTGGACTGACACTAGAGGAGAAGAAGAGTCAGTTTGCTCTCTGGGCTTCCTTTTCAGCTCCCCTTTTCATCAGTGCTGATATTCCCAATCTGTCCCCCGATGAGCTGAAATACCTCACCAACAAGGATCTCATTGCCGTTAACCAGGATAAATTGGTCCAGCAGGCAACTCTTGTCAGCCAAGACGGTTCTTGGGATGTGTTGACCAAGTCCCTTAGCAATGGCGATAGGCTAGTGGCAATCCTCAACCGTGCTGATAAAGCTGCTTCTCTCACCGTTCCCTGGAGCCGCATTGGTATCAAGCCCAGAGCTCAGGGTACCCTTTTCGTCAAGAATCTTGTAACTGGCAGTTCTTCGACTATCGCGGCTAGTGCTGGTGCAGTAAAAGCAGAAAGTGTTCCTTCGCACGGCACTGTTGTCTACCGCATTTCCAGCAAACACTCGCTCAACACTGTCCCAACTGGCATGATCTTCAACACCAATTCCCTACTTTGCCTGACTGACAGCAAGAACAGCCTTGTTGCTTGGCAGAATTGCCAAGGCTCTGACGCACAGGTGTGGTCCGTCTCTGACGATGGCAAGATCAGAAGCTTGCTTCGCCCTACCGCATGTCTCAACGCTGATTCAAACGGCATAATCCTCTCTACTACTGATGCCTGCCAGAAGAGCTCATGGGAGCATACCTTCTCTGGCAACTTGGTTGACAAGGCTACCAAGAAGTGTCTCACGGATGACGGCACTGGTATCGCTAGCTCACAAGACTGTGGCATTATGACAAATGAGCAAGTTGTTGGTCTCCCTGTTGGTGTCAAGATCATTCAATAGGTCATTCCCTGTTTTAGTACATTGTAGAATGAAGGAATATTAATACAAGTTATATTTTTGTGTACATATCAAGCGCGCAAAACATTGTGTTTCTATAGGGATAGAACCTCTAATATGCTCATTTTTGTAAGCTATTAAAGCTTTCTCGCTTGCTTTATTTCAATAGAATTATTTCTGTTGTGACTATTGTGGCATTGGACGTGTGTTACTTTACTAGAGAAGTGAAAGAACAGTTAAGTCACTGGAAGTGGCCAAGGAAGGAGAAAGAAGTGGAAGACAGAGGAAAAGGAAGTGAATACAGGATGTATTCGGTATATTTAACTAGAGCAGTTCCGACCATGGAACTTGAAGAAAACAACGAACTTTTACCACAGCCTCTCACCTTTTGATAACACGTGTTATTAATCCTTGAACCAACAAATATACTCAGTTGAGACCGTTACAGTTTACTTAGTTTATTCTTTACTTAGCTTTTCTACTACTATTTATTCTACTTTAGACTAAGTTAGATTAAGTATAATATATTAAACTATTAACTAGCTAATATTATATATTGTAAAAATAACCATTAACAGTTAGTGTGTACATCTCGAACGCGTAGACCATCTTCGCCATAGATAATAGAACATTACAGAACAAAACATACTAAAGGTAATAACGCCTGCGATCATGCCTGCAGCCTGTCCCGTAGTAAGGGTTATGCTACTTTGAGCATGTAACGGTCTCAACTGAGTATATTGACAACTAGCTGAGCGACTACTACGAGTATCCGAAGATGAAGAAGAAGGGATCGAAAAGGGGCTATTCCAGCTAGCTGGAATAGCCTTTTATATGACTTACATGGGTCCCTTGCCTAGATGGTCGAGGGCTACCCGAGACCTCCACGGGCCTAGCCCGTTACAATACCCCCCTCCTCCGTTTTGGGGTCTTCTTCTTCTTGATTTTACCATGGGAAGCTTCATACCGCGAAAAAGCAGCCGTATCTTCCAAGTATTGCAGTGGTTCCCACGTTGGCTGCGCCCAACCGGTCCATTTCACTAAGACATGCCATCCTCTCCCACGGCGCTTCGCTCCGAGTATCTCCTCCACCTCCCATTGCTCTTCATTGTCTACCAGGATAGGTCCAGGCTGTTGATCATCAGTCTTCTGTGATGGCAGTGTATCATCTGCTGCTAAACGTAGAAGAGAGACGTGGAATACGTTGTGGATTCCCGGTGGTGTATCGAGACGGCAAGCATGCGATCCAATTGTCTCGATTACTGTGTATTTCGCGGCAAGCCAGTCTAGTTTCTTCGATGGTCTTGTAGAGTGAATGTTTTTAAGCCTCAGCCAAACTCTATCCCCTTTTTGGAACTGATCGGATGGCTGCCGGTGTATATTGGCGTTCTTTTCTTGCGTCTCTTGCGCCGATGCCATGGCGGCTTGTGCCCACTCTGACGCTTCACGAAACTTTGATACAATGGCTTCGGCCTTCTCAATTGGCGTCGACCCGTCTTGACGTAATGACTCGTTAATCTCTAGCGGGTCGAGGTGGTATCCGTGGGTAAGAAAGAAAGGGCTTATTCCTGTGGCGGTAGCTGTCCGATTGTTTAGTGCTATAGCTGCTGCTGGTAATAGTTCATCCCAGTTATCTTGGCTGTATGTTGTAAATATGCGTAGATATCGTTCTATTTCCTGATTCGCACGCTCTGTAGATCCGTCTGTCTCTGGGTGCCAGGCTGTAGAGAGCCGCTGCTGTATTCTGAGGATTCCACATAAACGGCGCCATAATTGTCCTGTAAACTGTGTTCCTCGGTCGGAGACGATAGCTTTTGGCAAACCGTGATGCCGTATGACGCTCTGCAGTAGCGCCTTTGAAACTGCCTCCGCGGTTGCTTCTTTTAATGGTTCTAATACAATACTCTTCGATAATCGATCCGTGACTACCATGAGCGTTGAACTACCATTTGACTTTGTAGGCGGGAGCCCTGTGACGAAGTCGATCGATATCTCTGACCAGATCCGATTTGGTATTGGTAGCGGCTTCAGTAATCCACGCTTCTTCTCTCGCCAAACGTTTATCCTTCCGCAGATATTGCAGTTCCGCATGAATTGGCGTATGTCAGGGTCCATTCCAGGCCAATAGAACCGTCGACTAAGTAGTGACTTCAGCATATCGCGCCCTGGATGTCCGGAGAGAGTTGAATCGTGTGTATCTTGAATGATACGAGTGCGAAGAGGCTCATAATACGGTACCCAGATCCGGTCCCGCCAGCATAGCCTTCCGTCAGTGTCAATTGAACACTCAGATAGCATAATTGGTAGTCCCCACTGCTGAGGAAGTTTTCGTTCCCCGTTCTGTACTGCTTGGCGAATAAGCCAGTATCTATTATGGCTCTTCAAGCCTTCTTCCCACAATTTGGCTAGTTCCTGCTGTGTAAAGGGAGTCTTTACCATAGTATCCTGGTTTCCAACCTCATCGTTAGGCTGGTCGGCGTCTGCTTTCGTTACATAGCCACTCCTAATCTTAACTGGCTTTATGCGCTCTTCTTTAGGTAGCTGAAGTAGCTGGAAGCGCCTTCCTTCAATGCGGTCGTCTTCCGAGCCATTTGGCATATCTTGCTCGCGCCGAGATAACGCATCTGGCACTATAGCTTCTTTGCCAGGTCGGAACTGTATAGTAAAGTTGTATCGTGATAGGATTTCGGCCCATCGAGCTTGTCTCTCGCTAAGAAGTTGTTTCTTCATAAAGTAACGTAGATTCAAATGGTCTGTTTGAATCGTGAATGAGGCAACACTTCGTAATTCGGCGTCCCAATGTTGTACGCAACGAATAATTGCCAGTAGTTCCTTGTCGTGTATTGGATAGTTGCATTCTGCCGGTATGTTCTTCTTCGAGAAGAATGCTACTGGTCTCCATAGACCATCATCTCCCTTCTGCGAGAGAGCGCCGCCCGTCACATATCCAGACGAGTCGGTTTCCAGTATAGTTTCTCTATCAGCGTCCCAGTGCGCAAGGACAGGCGCTCCAATAAGCCGTTCTTTGAGCTTCTCGAACGCACTCTGACATTCGCCCGACCATGTAAATGTCGTATCCTTCTTAGTTAACCTAATAAGTGGTAGTGCTAAGAGCGAGAATTCTGGTATAAACTGGCGATAGTAGTTCGCGAACCCGATAAATCGCCGGATTTCTGTAACTGTTCGGGGCGACTCCCACTGTTGAATAGCTCGAACCTTATCGGGATCTACACGGATGCCTTTCCCTGCGTCAATAATAAACCCAAGATATTTCACGCTTGTCGCTTCGAATTCACATTTGTCGATATCGACTTGTAGGCCAGCTTCCTGCAGGCGCTTCAACACCTTCTTAACCTTCTCGCGGTGATCGTCTAGTGTTCCGTCAGAATAGATGAGGATATCATCGATGTAGGCCGAGCAAAACTCGTCTAGGAAGTCTTGTAATATATCGTTTATAAACCGTTGAAAGGTTGCTGGTGCACCTGTGAGTCCAAATGGTGTCACGAGCCATTCGTATAAGCCGTACCGAGTACGGAAGCCTGTCTTCCATTCTTCGCCTTCTTTTATTCGGATTTTATGGAATGCAGCGATGATATCGAGTTTTGTAAGCCACTTTGCTTTCGATAGTGATCGTAGGGTTTCGTTAATCAGGGGTAGCGGGTATCGATCCTTTCTCGTAATTTGATTAATACCTCTATAGTCTACACAGAAGCGTAGACCACCACCGGGCTTCTTGACAAATAAGACAGGTGCAGATGCCGGCGAACTACTGGCTCGAATAAAGCCTTTATCTAGTAGTTCTGTTAATATCTTTCTTAGAACAATCAATTCTTCACGGGACATCCCGTATAATGGTCCCCATAGGGGCGACTTTTCTTTTCCATTAGCATCAGTTTCCAGTGGTATACTATGGTCGATTCCAGGCCGATAATTCGGGAGTATATCAGCCTTCTCTTTGCTGAATACGGATAGATACTGGTGATAAGGGCTTGGTAGTTTCTGTTTCGGGTCTGTTAGAGCTTTTGGTGCTAGCGCTTTGTTAATATCAGCGATACTAATAGCAAAGATACGCGATTGAACCGGGTTGTTCTCTTCCCATAGCTCTTGGTTAATAGTTTTCTTCCGTATTCGTCTCACCAAGCCCATAAATACTGCAGCACTCTGCCCTGTGATATCATATTCTTGTTTTTCTTCGTACTTTCGCTCTTTAACCCAGTGATTAGATGAACCAATGTGTAGCAAGCCTCTAGCAGGCTGTATTGTGACGTTCTCTAGATCCATCCAGGTTTTCCCTAGTATAACATCATCCTGCTGGTTTGGGATAATATAAAAGAAAGACCGTTTCTTCGTGTACCCGTCGATATCTAGATCGACGTATGTTACGGTTTGTATAGCCCCATGTACCGTGGTGCTGATCTGTTCGAGCGATCTAGGGGTGATAGGAATACGCGGTAAGCAAAGCTTCTGGGCTAATCGAGAGCTAATAGTTCCATAGCAAAGGCATCCGGAGTCAACAAAGGCTCTTGAATAATATTCTTGATTAATTCCTATGTTGATATAGATACCTCGACTATCCATTCTCTTCTCTAGCTTGTTCCAGTCCTTCTGAGCTTGGTTGTGCTCCTGACAGCGCTTTTGGACAGGAGCTACTCGTTTCCCGACTCATACTCGCTATTTGAGTCGTCTGAACCGCCTAGATCGTCGTCCTCTTCTCGAGAGAGTGTCTTCTTCGACTTGCCTTTTGCAATTCGTGTTTCAGGCTGTGATTCCTGTTTGCCCTTTCTATTGGTCTTGCAATATCGAGCGATATGGCCAAGGTTGCCGCAATTGTAACACTCTGGGGCGTACTTAGGTTGCTTTCTTTGTTTGTTGCTTCTTAACTTTCCGGCCTTTGTAGGCTCCCAATCCATCTGGTTGCTACCCGTAGCACTCTGGTTGTTCTGTTGGGGCTGTTCTCTTCTGGGTTGGTTTGGGTGGTAGTTACTGTTGCTCTCCTTAGGGTATGGATTCTGTTGGTATGAACTTTGGTATCGAAGCTTGTGGTTTCGGAAGTGATAGCCTTCGATATTAGCTCCTAAGCTCTGTAGAGTATTGACAAAGTCCGGATAAACTGTCGGTAGAGCGAGCTGGCTGATAAGGTGGCCTTCCATCTCTTGATTTATTACTCGTCGTAAAGAGTTGATCTTAATCTCGTCATCCCAATTATATCCTCCACTATCTGCTAGTTCTCTTTCGAATCGAGGTAGGAAAGCAGCAAAGCTTTCTTTATTGTTCTGCCTCATTGTTTCTAGCCGGTTTAGAGCTTTTTGTTTGAGGTGGCGATCTCCATAACAGCTAACAAGGTATGCCATGAATTCGACGGGATTATGGCTGCCATTACTTCCTCCTTTTTTGAAGTAAGCAGCTGCTAAAGACTGGGGAGTCTGGTCTAATCTTGTATAGATATAAGCGAACTGGTCCGCAGAGTTACCGAGTGCTGGCCCATCAACTCGAAGCTTGCTTTCCATTTCTAGCTGCCACACTTGGAAGTTTCTTCTATTTCCATCGAAGAGTTTCGGATCGGGGAGAGTTGGCTTCTTCTTAATATAAATGATGTTTTGTTGTTGAGACTCTGTCGGTATAGGAGGTGATGTCAGTTGGGTGTTAAGAACTGATGGTATTGGTTCTTGTCGTCGAGGCCGAAGTAGGTATCCTCTCCTGAACCAGTTATCAGGAGTCCTCTGCTATTCGTATCTAGTACGGGGTCGTTGCAGGCACTTGCAATTCGCACCTAGGCGAAAGCCTTCTACTCTGTCGGTCGCGCTCGAGGCCGAAGTAGGTATCCTCTCCTGAACCAGTTATCAGGAGTCCTCTGCTATTCGTATCTTGTACGAAGTCGTTGCAGGCACTTGCAATTCGCACCTGGGCGAAAGCCTTCTACTCTGTCGGTCGCGCTTGGGACCAAGGTAGGGATCGAGCCAAATAAACTGAATGGCTCGCTTCTTTTTGATCTTCGGATAATGTAACGGTCTCAACTGAGTATATTGACAACTAGCTGAGCGACTACTACGAGTATCCGAAGATGAAGAAGAAGGGATCGAAAAGGGGCTATTCCAGCTAGCTGGAATAGCCTTTTATATGACTTACATGGGTCCCTTGCCTAGATGGTCGAGGGCTACCCGAGACCTCCACGGGCCTAGCCCGTTACAGAGCACCTCGTACTAATCTATAGAGAGGACTACTCTCATTTCTACCAATCGGCTGCAGGTGCGTATCAGTTTTCCAAGTAGCTGGGAATGCTGCCTGGTGAATTCGAAAGCGTTCTTGGTCATATTTAGTAATAAGATATGCCTCTTGGAGAAAAGATCGGCCAAGAATTGCAGTCTGCCCTGGTGCTGCCCTCCGCAACATGACATACGGTACTGCAGGGTCATCATAGGCGGCGACAGCTCCGGTAAATGGATATCTAAGGGTTGAAACGAGGGAACTTATAGGGACTGTTATGTTGACCTTTTGTGCGCTGTGACCTTTTTCGTCTATGCTCGACAAACTGAACATAATAGTATCTTCAAGTGACGTCGAATAGTCCCTATATTGTGTATTTGAAATGGTGTAGAGTTCGAGCGTGTCGTTGTATATAAGGTTGAAATTGGCGGCAATGGCATTACAAGCATGAGCAGGAAGCCATAAGTATGGAGTTGTACTATCGATTAGAGCCGAGAAGGTCTGACTATTGTCGGATATCGAGACACCCTTGGCTCCACGTTGCTGTAGAGCCTGGACTGCATGTACATCCGCTTGTAGAGATCCATCCTGGTGTAGTACAAAATCGATATCATGAGGGATAAGTCTTGCTGAGTCGTAACCACCTATAGTAAGCGATGATGGAATATTGCCTGTTTAAATTAGTTAGGACGTCCTTCTGAACAAGATGTAACGCCTTGCTTACGATAGTGCGCTCCGGCAGTGTAGCCGTAGCTGTAACTAGACGTATAGCCTGCTTGTAGGATTCCCGTCAATGTTGAGTCTATAGTTGTGTTACCAAATTCTCTTTGCTGGATACCAAGTCCAAATGTTCCCAAAAACAGATTGGTTGAGCTGAATGTTGATGTGAGAACATGAGGAACCGTAAAAGTTATAGCCTTGGCACCATCAATCATGTACATGTTGTCGGTGCCATACTGGCCTGTGATATTGAACCCTAGATATTCTAGGCCTACTCTGTATAGTCCTAAGAGCGACCATGATGTAGAGGCACTGGGTTGATAAACGCCGCCTCGCTTAGCGGCACACAGGAGATAATCTATAAGTAAATTGTTAGCCATTCCAGAAGCAGTATGCATCAATTGAGACGATGTTAGTCGTTATTGGATTTTGAAGACTACTATGGTATTGCGGGAGTGCATAATAAGACGTACATTTCGAACACCCGCTGCCATGCACTGCTGAAATGTCACTTAGCGAGGTGCTAGGCAGAAGATGAACGCCCATGTTCTCCAACCCTATAGCGACTTGAATCGTTGACCAATTTCCATCATTTCCAAGCCTATATTTTAGCCCATTAGTATTTTATTGCATGCTGCCTCATACATTGCAATAATATTTTTTGGAGAGGCTTGTACGTACCAATCACCATGGGGCATAGAAATTATGCTTTGACTCATAGTAGATGTAAGTTGTCACCGTATATCGGTATAGAGTATAGAATATAAAATATCAAACACAAATATTGAAATGACTGTGAAAGAGCGGAAAGTTAAAAAGTGAAATGTATATGTGGAGAGGAATACACTAACTTAGATTTATCGGAACAAGTGGAAGGACTGATGGAAAACGTCGATAAGAAAGGAAGGTGTAAATTGTGCTCGTATAGTCAGATTTAAAGCTTAACTTAAATAGGAAGCTAGTTTAATCATGACTATACTGTCACACGTCATCCAACGAGAACAGTTGGTGCAAGAGCCAAGGAAATATATATTTTGCATAGAGAAAGACAAGTCAGTACAGTAAAAACCTATTATTTGAATTATATTTTGTTTCTATTTCTATCCAGAACGGTACTGCCTCTATGATAAGCCGTCACCTCTCTTCCCTAATTTACCCCTTTCTTTTTATCATCGGTCCACTGACTGACTCGGTACCATTTGTTGTACTCTACCCCGCTTGCACTGATGAGCCCACTTAGAATCAGACTATTGAATTCCATAGATTGTCTGCTACATGTGCTATGCAACTATCTTGCGCTCCCTCGGGAATCGTAGCGTTGTAGGGATGGTCCTAGCTGTGAGAAGGCATGTTTCGGCATATTCCGCAATTGACTGTGCCATTGTGTGGCGCTAGTCATTTCACGTTAATGACCTGACTAGATCTAAATATGAGTGGATCGGCTTTGTAGTCCAAGCCAAAAAAGGCCTATAAGCACGTGAGCTACCCCAAACTTCCCCATGCCTAGACAGCGGCGACGACAGACTAGACTCCTTTTCTCATAGTCTCTACCCCATTCCATCACTTGTCCTAACTCAACGTTATGAAACTGCGCAAGCGCATGCGAAGGAAGACACCAAAGGTCCGCACGGGGTGTGGGACCTGCAAGTACGTCCTCATGCTCCAACCATTATTTACAAATATATTGACCAAAACTCCGCACTCTAGGAGTTAGTTTCCACTACATGAATAATCGGCTAACGCTGATTTTGCGTATGGCGTAGTTTGAGAACTGACGTTGTGGCAGTCCGAAGAATAAAATGCGATGAAGGCAAGCCGTGCTGCCAACGATGTAGGTGTTCCATTGACGCTATGTCATATTTCAGGATTACTAAACTGTGGTTTATAGGCATTCGTAGTCATATCCAATGCGGAGGGTATGCTCACCTCATCGGAATAGAACCTCTTATAGTTGATAAAAAGAGTTCGCAAGCGCTGCAATTCTTTATACGACATACACAGAGGCAGTTTGGCACTTTCATTATCGATGACCTATGGCAACAGTGGATCCCACAGGTCGCACATGCTGAACCCTGCCTACAAGATGCTCTCGGTGTCCTATCATTATATCATGAGATGTATACCTTCCGTCGCCCGATGACTGACGGACGGCAGTGTCTGCTCTTATATAACAGGGCTATTCACAGAGTGAAGTCTGCCAAATACGATACGGTATTGGTCTCTCTCTTATCTTGCGCTATATTTATATGCATTGAAGTAAGCAAAACATCGTCATTTGCAGGTACCTTCTACTAATTGAGTAAAAAGGCTGTTAGAGGTCAGCACGCATCTGTAATCCGGCTACTTAAATGCGCTTGCGCGATTCTTCAGGAAGGAAGACAAGCAACCAGCTTCCACGGCTATGCTTTTATTGAAAAGGATAGATTGCAAAGTCGTCTAGCAGCATTCTTTATTCGAATGTCTGGTCAAGCAGCTTGGGTGAGAAAAGAAAAAACTTCATCTTGAACATATCTAACAAGCTGTGCGCTGGTAGCTGTTCGGTATCAAAGTACCAATTCTATGCAATATTGCAGCTGAACTGAAACATGCCTTCCACCCCTATCAGATAGGGAACAGGAATAACAAGTTCACCTCACTCGGAGAAGCCCGAGATGCACTGAATTTCATCATTCTTGGCCTAGTAGACAGTCCCAACCCTTATGAGCCATATCCGGATCACGAAAGTCAATCAATATTGGACTCTCTAAAACAGTGGTGGGAAGATTTTACGCCTTTCAGACGCCTGTTACGGTGCCATACCACACATTCTAACCATTCTAGTGGCGTATTCCTACTTCTCCTCCAGTATCATGTACTTGCTACGGAAGTAGTTTCATGGCACAAGAACGCTGCCTTCGATGGCAGCTGGACAAACACGCCACCCGAGCTATATAGAGCCATCTTTGCGTGTGCAGAGAGAGCCATAGAAGCAGCAAACAACAATTCCAAGTATACTGGAATTTCAATATTCCACACTGACGTTGGTATTGCGCCACTTTTATCACAAGTCCTGGTCCGATCCCGCGATCCCACTGTGCGGCGCCAGTGCCTTGCTATTATGAACAGATGGGTCTCTCAAGAAGGTGTTTTTAACGGTGTAGCAATGACTACATTAGCAAGGAAACTAGATGCTATGGCACATGAATACTCTTTTGTTTACGTTAAACCTGGTGGCTTGGCTGGGCAGCTCGAGGTGACATTATACACTCGTCAAAGGGAACTACAAAATGTATTTTTAGTAGAATCATACTAGAACGGGGTATTAAATGTATTAAATGTGTATAGAGCCGATGATAACGGCACAATGGACTAAAACAGCTTAATTCTACGCGTCTTTTTCGCGCACTATTTGCGAGCCCTAATAGTAATCGCACAGGAACTGAAAATTATCATGACACCTCATTTTAGTAGTGCTGAGGAAATACTACTATGAAACAAACTTCCGATTACCAGGCAGGCATTTGGGCCCCTCATCTTGCACAGCCTCCTCGAAGCAGTCTTTAAGTTAGGCACTTTCTGCGACCCTGATAGCGTACAGCCCCGCGGAAGTATTGCAGCGGGTATTGCATGTTACCTTCCTATTACAGGGGAATCTTATGGTGCTTAAGGACCATTGACCCAAACTGGATGGTACACCACTCCACACGTTCGGTTACTGTACCGGAAGCTCCATCTCCGAATAGCTTGGATGCAGATCGAAGTGTTTTCGGGCATGACAGATACATGAATTACGGTATTTCTACTCTGTGGCTTGGGTACTAGTCAGTCCTTTCAACTTGCATACGAGATGTTTTACCCTTTTTAGCTAGTCTCGCCTGACTTAGTGTTACGCCTGCCACTAGCTATTGCTACAGACCTAATATGCCCCAAATTACTTGGGAAAGGGACAAAAGTCCCATGGGACTTCGGTAACAATATTTGGTGAGTTGGTATCATTGTAGACAATAAAGATAAATATGGCCACATTCCCTATGATATTCTTCCAGTGACCAGTAGCCCCAGCTACATTCCCTTTCTATCCTTTGTTTCGGCATTATCAAATTGGCTTTCACTATGCGTTGGAGCCTCGCCGTCATCGCTGTCGCTTCGCAACTGCTTAGCCCCTTCGCAAACGTTGAAGCCAGGCTCATACCCCATAGATCCATCACTGCCGGTGTGAAAAGCTCCCAAGCTTCAAACGTCGTTGCTGCTGAGTTTGACCAGCTGATTGACCACTCTAACCCATCTTTGGGTACCTTCAAGCAGAGATACTGGTTCAACTCGGACTTCTACGGCGACCCGGGTTCCCCTATCATCTTGGAGTCACCTGGCGAGTCCACTGTCAACCCCAAATGGATTGATCCCACTGAAAGCTCCATTACTGGCCTCTACGCATCCAAGGTTAACGGCGCTACTGTGACTCTTGAACACCGTTACTTTGGAGAAAGCCAACCCTTCGGGTCCAACTCGAGCACAACCGCTCTACAGCACCATACACTGAACAATGCCATCCAGGATCTCATTTATTTTGCCAACAACGTCGAATTCCCATTTGCTCCCAACAACTCTTCCAAGCCACAAAATGCCCCCTGGGTCCTTGTAGGCTGCTCCTACTCGGGTGCTCTTGCTGCTTGGGTTAATGTTTTGGCTCCCGGCACTTTCTGGGCTTACCATTGCGGTAGCGCTGTCGTCGAAACTATGTCCGATTTCTGGCTTTACTTTGAGCCTGTCAAAGCTGCCCTACCAAAGAACTGTACTACTGACTATAAACGCATTGTTGATCATGTCAATGTCGTCCTGGCTAATGGCACTGACACGGAGAAGGCAGCCCTCAAAACTCGATTCAACTCTCTCAATAGCACTGATGCCCAGTTTGGCGAATTCATGACAGGATGGTTCGGCAATTGGCAGAAACAGCAGCTATGGGATGGGTATACTAAGCCGTTCCAGACATGTGACTACATCGAGAACCGTCACCCGGGTAGCACTTTCGCGCAACCTGGAGCGGATGGTGTAGGCCTTAAGATGGCTCTCGATGGCTTCGAACGCGCAGTAAAGTCTTCTTGGTTCCCAGATGATGAATTCTTCAGTCCTGCCGATGGCAGGTCTTGGGACTGGCTTCTTTGCAACGAGCCCTTTGGCTGGTGGCAGGCATACGCCAAAGAGGACACTACTGGCCTTATCCCCAAGGCCTTTACCACAGCTGAAAGTATCAGTGAGAGCTGTGCCTCAATGTTCCCGGACGAAAACGGCTTCTCGTATGGTCTCAAGCTTGGTCGCACTGAAGACCAAGTCAATCAAAAGACGGGCGGTTGGAACCATGTCAATACTAAGCGTCTCATGTGGATCAACGGTGAGTTTGATCCATGGAGGCCTGCCACCGTCTCTTCCGTGTATCGCCCTGGAGGTCCCCTGGAAAGTACCAAAGATGCCCCTGTCTATCTCATCCCGGGCGCTGCTCACTGTAACGACTTCTACCCAGCCAATGGGAACTACAATGCTGTCGCCAGGAAAATCTTTGATGACATGGTTCAGAATGTCGTTACTTGGGTTAACGAGTTCTATTTCCAGTAGAGCGGGAGCGCTTCTGTTTCCCATGCCTAAGGAGCTAACCTATAGTACCTTGGCAACAAGCATAGGGTACAATCTCATGTGTTGGATAAAAGTCTGTCAGTTATAAGCCTTTTTAGCATAGGAAGCGAGCTACATATTAGTGTCTATTTTATCTATTATTTTTAGTAGAAACCTGCCAAAATATAAATTATATAATTCTATTGAAATTTTTGGTTCAAGGATTAATAACACGTGTTATCAAAAGGTAAGAGGTTGTAGTAAAATTCGTTGTTTTCTTCAAGTTCCATGGTCGGAACTGCTCCAGCTAAATACACCGAATACATCCTGTATTCACTTCCTTTTCCTCTGTCTTCCACTTCTTTCTCCTTCCTTGGTCACTTCCAGTGACTTAATCATTCCTTCACTTCTCTGGCAAAGTAACGCACGTCCAATGTGTCACAACAATATTGATAACTAGCTGAGCGACTACTACGAGTATCCGAAGATGAAGAAGAAGGGATCGAAAAGGGGCTAATCCAGCTAGCTGGAATGGCTTCTTATATGACTTACATGGGTCCCTGTCCTCCCCTCTACACTCTTCCGCGCTCATCTGCAGATGTTGTCATCCCGCGTAACGCGACTAACTACGCCCCGTCTAAACCACCACCTTATCAACTTACCCGAGCGGTTAGAGATGGTGCTTGTCGAAATTGCTCGAGATTTGGTGGACGCAAGTTCCTTAGATCCTTTTTGTCAGGGAGCTGCTCCTCAAGCACGAAACGCATTCGACAACGTTTTGCCAGCGGCGACCGATGATGAAGCCTCAAAAGCCTACGAATACTCATCGCCTGTTTAGCAGGGGCCTCTGCCGAAAATGTTGATTCGGTCTCTTATGTCGCAATCACAGCAGGTCACATGGTCGAAGACCACTGCGCACCGGTCCAGGCTCTTGCCTAGGTGATGTTTGAAAAGCTTCTGGTTATATCCGTACGGGCATGGAGTTTGTAAAAGAGTGTATCGCCTTAGAGGAAAAGTTACATGAAAAAGAACCCCTGGATGAGGATGGCCCAAACCCATACATCACTGTTGGGTACGCCCCGATGAGAGTGAATAGCGAGCGCATCACGAGTCGGTCCGTGGCTATCTTGCGGCAGTCGATGCCCGCGGGCTTGTCTGCTTTGTGTTATCTCAATGTCCGGGGCTGGTCTCGCTGTTGTTGCGATTTCGTTTGACCTCGCAGCCCATGCCAAGGCTACAGCATCACCAGAGTTTATGGATTTGGTTGAGCTTACCAAGGATTCGCCTGGACGAAGCATATACACCGTCTTGCATACCCCCATCAAGGACTTGCTTGTTATTTTCCCGACCGAAAAACGAGCATTCCTCATGGGTATATTTAATATTGATGTTTACTTCGGCCTTAGCGCCTTGGTTTCGGACATTTTGATTACTCATGGCTTGCCTGGTGAGCGCCTCCCGCCTGAGTTGATTGCACATATTAAAGGAGATGCGAACCCAGCTGCGGACTCAGCTGTTGATGGCAGGTTTCAGTTTTACTGTTTGCCAGCAGCTCAACATGACGCATCGACGCTCCATGAGGCACCTTTACAATCCTATGCCTGGGGGGAGATGCCAGTGAGTGCATTGCATCTCTACCAGGCCAAGCATGCCTCCGCTGCTTCCATCTTAATTGCTGGACCAAAGGCTGTCAATCGCAGTTGGGGAGGACGTTGGTCGAATAGCACCATCCGATGCGACATGTTTTTGAAGAAGGAGTTTACCAGTGCTGAAGCCGAGGAAATATGGACAGAGATTCAAGGTCAGGCTAAAGAATTAACTGCCTAAGGCACATTTCAAACAAAGCCCCCGACGGCCCCGCCAACCCATCGCTGCGAGACGACAACGTCACGGCCGTCATGAACCATCTTGAGGAGAAGCCTTCACTCAGATGAAGGGTCGCCTCGCATTGCGAGCTTGACATTCCTAACAGTCGCGTGTCGGGTCGAGGTTCGTTGTATTGGCTCCGCTAGTGGTTTTGTTGCAACAACATTCGAGAGTCATTCCAGAGACACCATAAATACACGCAGCTTTTCGAATACAGAGATTAAGGTCTAATTGTGTAGCTTTAATAGCGAATATAACGTCTATTTCATTTAATTTCTTTCGAACTAGTTAAACTTTAAGCGAAGTATTTCAAGAGCCATACAATTATATATTCCATTGCCCCTGTAATTTGTCACATACGACCATAGATACAGGAGAACTCGGGATCCCGTCCGCTCTCCCATAGATAAGCCTGTAATCGGCAGATTAGTAGTTGGGTCGGTGACGACCAGCGAACACCGGCTGTTGTATGTTTTTTTTTTTTGGATATTTTATGGTTTTTTTTCCTTCGTCTTTGGAACTGTGGTTTCTATTCTATATAATTTGATGATAAATCTCGATTTTGTGGCTGCAGGGTGCTGGGTGGCCGCTCCAGGCGGCCGCATCTGTTTTCGTGTAATTGGTTGTGCAATAGCTTCAGCTGTCTTATACACTGACAGGCGGCGCTTGTGATGCGCCACAGAGCCTACTTTTACGTTTTCTTTTCCCCAATTGAGTTAGCGCTGGGTGGTCCTTGCTGGGGAAATATTGGAAACCTAGAGTTGATTTAAGTCTAAAACATCTCCTTCGCGGGGAAGCGCAATTGAAATTGGATGGGTAGTTGTACTTCTGCCCCTTGTTAACTGCATCCAGCTACCACACATATTCATCGCTCAAGAACAGTACTCGTAGCACAACTAACTAAACAGTGATAATTAAAACCAGTATACCTTTCTTAGCCCTCGCGGCTACGACGCCGGCGATCGTCAAGAGCTCGATACTCTCGTCAATCCCAATACTGCCCTCTGGAGCCTCTCCGCCATCACCACCAACTAGTTCCAGCGCAACATCTACACCACCTACCTCGTCGTCTTTAGCGAAGACAACTACGCCAAAGCCAATATCAACACCAGCGCCAGAGCCAACTGCTAGGTACGATGATTTAATCTTGGTCACCGTCTTTGTCCAACCGTCATCCTGTGCCGAGGGGCTGACGCAGGCGGCTGGTAAGACGGACCTGATTCAATACGCAGTGCGGCCAGCTCCCAACCTCAGCTTTTCAGACTGCTATCCCCGGCAGTTTTACGATAGTGCAGCAGCTAGCACCACAAGACCACCATTCAAGCAGCTCGTGTGCCCGCAACGCTGGGAGACGTACGATTACAACGATACATACATCATCTGCTGCCCCAGGTAGGTCTAGATGCCGTCGCTCTACTATTGACTAATCGAATGCAAAAAAGGAACAAGGCGCTGATTTTACCATAGAGGATTTGGCTTATATGCACCGCTTTATATGAAAAGCACCGACCGGCCCGGCGCGTATGCACAGTGCTCTTCTGATCTGGCGCAGCAGCGACTCTTGGACATCACCAGCTACGACTTTGACGACTTTGACGGCGGGGCAACCACTAAGCACACCACGGCTGGACAGTCTATATTTGCCGTCGTCTGGGCAGATGCATTTGATGGCATTAGAGCAATGCCATCCGCAACGACCACGGGTAGCCCAGCAAAACCAACTAATCCGCCCGACGCAGTAAGCTGGCCATTGTTGCCTATAAATATTTGCTTCTTGCTAATTTATCATCGAGACCAGTCACAGTGCCGGTCAACCGATTTCGTCAACAAAGTCAAGTATGGCTGTCAGCCGTTCCACATCGACTATACTTGCAATTGTTCGCACTTTGTCAGCGACATATGGGCCTGCAAAGCTGCTTCTTGTCTTTCTATGTATATAAAACACTTCAAATATCCGGTCCAAACCAGTCAGCCGCATCCAACGAGGGATTAACCTCATCAATCCAAAAGGTAAGTGGACGTTCATGGTCTGCGGCCCTCCTGCTGACCTGAGCCTCCTTCTGCCAATGCTCAGCGTGCTCTGCTGCGGATGCCTCGCTCATTGGATATGGCGTAGTAGACTCCAAAACATGGTCCGCCAACTCTTGCGGCAGGCGCAAGGCATCAGCGCTGATCCTCCTAGTCCACCAAGAATGCTGCGGCGGCGGGACATTGCGTGTCGAGCACATACGATAGTTCGGGTCTACAAGAGACAGCTTAATGCGCCGGTGATGGGCTGGTCTGGTTGGATCCAGGGCTTCAAACCGCCGGTATCGATGTTGAAAGACGTTTGGGTACGCAACTAAGCGGCCTGCTTGCATTGCAACCGATCCACACGGACGCCAAGCTATTTGATGAGATACACCCGCGTTCATCAGTGGCGGCTGTGTAAATATGGCATACAGATGTTCCTTTTTCAATCTCTCCATCAAGACCAAGCCCGTAACGCCCCAGAGGAAGTGCATCTAAGGTTACGTCTGGCTCTCCAAACTTCACAAAATGGTAGAATGGCTCATCCATTGGAGTGGTTTCCCGAAAGTCCTATCGGACTTCAGCCATGTTCTCGGCGCTATATGTAAACTCAGCAAGAGCAACTATGTGCTCGTTTCGTAGCGAGTCGCTCTCCCAAGTTCCCTCGTCGACGTAGGTCTCGCCAGCTTCTAGCTCTGTGCTCTCCATTTCAATAATAATCTGCAGTCCATCCTTGCGGAAAGTCTCCTCTAGCGCAATTTTGCAGCCCTCAAATGGTGGTCTAGTGGCTTTCAAGCCCTTGCCATCCAGTTTGTCAGTGGCCATCTCAACAATTGCGCGGTGGCCAAGGCCCGACTTCCAGTCTTCGTATGTGAAAGAGATGCCCGGCCCTGGCACCTTTGGCTGTAACCTCTTTCTTTGTTGATCTAAAAGAATACCCCAGGCGCCAAGATTCAAGGTTTGGGAGGGATAAGATAAAGGTTGAATGTATTCGCGCAGTTTAGTCCAAAGTTCAGGGTCTTCAGGTGGTAGTTTGGATCAGCTTCTAGCAGCTTTTCAAATGCTGCCATGTTGTCCCGCACTGTTTGTACTGTAAATAATGCTCTATCTATCTCTCTTTCAACGTAGGACGGTAGTGGGTTTGGATAAGCTGCTTGCTGCGGCATAAGCTCTGGTCTGCTTTTGAATTCTTGCACTTCATCAATGAACTGCTTAAGGGTACGTAGCGCGTGTAGTGAGTTTGTAGCCTCGCCACCCGTCCATCTTTGCATAGCCTTTTTCAATCTCTGTTGCAACTGGCGATCGTTATCGATTGGGATACGGAACTGCAGTGCCCATTCGGGTAGTGTATTCTCCCACTCAATTCCGTAGGCAATAATTCTAAGGGGGGCGCAACCGCGTTGGCCCTCGTTCCATTTGTCATCGAAATTCTTGTTTCTTTTGATTAAACATCCATTCCACATTGGTATTGCCTTGGCTATGAGCTGCTCTATCCCATGATACATCTCTTCGTTGGATGGATCTAAATTGATGATATATGATGTAATGCGTGGCTGCCCAGTTCCATCTGGTACAAACTCAACCTCGGTGGGAAAGCGTTGGTAATTGGAGCTCCAGTGGAACTTGTGATTGTCTTTGTTCCAAAGAAAAGGTTTTGATGTTTTTATCGTATATGGTGTCATGCAACGGGGCTATCTTTAGCTGAGTCAAAGGCGGAAATAGCTGATTGAGATGGACCTGGCCTCTATCTACCAGGACAGGTGTTGTTCCATAGACAAGCGGATATAGCGTTGAATCTATTTGACGTCGGTGCTGGTACTGCATAAAGTCGCTTTGATCGTTTCTATCAAGCAAAGGCTCTGATACCTTGCTTATGGTCGCCGCCAGCTCTTGCAGAGGCAGATCATCGCTTTTACATATGCACGAGCCTGTATCCAGGATCCTCACGTATCCCGTTTCCTTTAATGCAAGAGCCTTATCACGGAGCTCTTTGATGCAACAGTCCCAGGTTGCGTCGTTTATAAGCGCGCTGGTTTCGTTATAGGCACGCTCACCTATGTCCCGTCGGTTCATTACGGCGTCGTCATCGTTATCGGAATGCGGCTCCGGCTCCTCTAGCCATAGGCTGGTAATATACTCGTGGCTCTCTGCCAGTTCCTGTCGCCATAATTGGATAACATCGTCATTGAAAATATCTACCTGCCAATCTGGACGGTCTGTGAGAGTCTCCATCACCACAACCATGACAGTCTCGCGGCGAGTCACTGCAGGGCGCTGCGCCCAGTCATGGATCGTGGCGAACTGGTCTTTTCCCGGTCGCTCGTAGTCAAGAGGTACGCCGCCAAACCCTGGGACTTGGAGCGGGCCATTGCCGCTGTTATCCACCATTGTGACTGTCTGGTTGTTGGTTGAGAGGTTGGTTGTTCACGGCGGCGCGCGCCTTGCGAGGTCGTTTACTAAGAGTGAGCGAAGCTCTTATTTGTGCGCAGCCATTTTATCTGACTAGCCTGTTAGTATATAAATATTGTTAAAATTTCAAGAGCTATAATCTATAGGCTTGTATAATTCAAACGTGGAAAGAGACAAAACAATTACACTAAAATATACAGATTAAACCAGAGCCCACTATATACACGACCCAGCAACAAATCATACACCAACCTTAACGTTTATCTTGTTTCTTGCCCCTCTTAGTAATAAGAATCTCTTCCTCTGAAGATACACTACTCGCTGGTGACGATACTGCGTATCCATCTGTCGAACTGCCCCAACCGCTGCAGTCCGAGACACTGGTTGACCGGTCCCGCCAGGATACCACATCATCATCAAAGTCATCATCTAATACTTATGTATCAGTATAATGATATTGTAGCAACTAGTTCATTAGAGACTTACCAAATTCAGTGCAGTTGTCACAACATCCATGGTCGCAGGTCATTCTGCCCGCCTCGCCCATACGGCCAGTTCGCATAGCGCACCACGCCTGCTGATTTGGCCCCGAGCCGCAACGACAGCAGCGCCATCTGCGGCCCTTGTTGCTGAATGCACATCTTTTTATGGGACATTCTGCCTTGGAAGACTGTGCCGGTGCCAGAGTGACGTTTGAGCACGGTGTCTCGTAGCCCGTGATGAGATTGATGTTCGCCGAGGGACAGTAGTACCATATCATGGAGGTGTGGGAGCATGGATGATCTCTTGGGTGCCCGTGACACATTGCGAGTTTGCCTCGATTTTGGTAGCTGCTTTCTGGAATTTGGGCTGTAGTAATAGTAGTGAGGGAGAGAGAGAGCGTGCTTGTCGTTGAAGACAGCAAGGCAGCTATAGCGAATACCTATTCCCTTTTATAAACGCCGCGAGTCAACCTTTGTTTTCTCTTTTCTGCGTCCATCCCAACGCAAGATAACAAAAGTTCAAAATACGGCGCCGTTCTAATTCACCGAGCCTGACCACGCTCAGCAGTTCCGGGTGCCTGGGTTGCGGCGTGATGACACCATGCCGTGACACCGCGATTCTCTTTCCCCCAATCCGAGGTGCGAACACTGCGCATACATTCCAGGCACACGTCACTCGAGATAACAGCCGTTGACCCGAAAATCTGGTAAGGTTTGCTTGTGGTGGCGGTATCGTGGCTGGCTGGGTCTGGCGCCGGCGAAAAGGACGCCCGCAGGTGTCTGTTCCGGATGGTGCAACCGAGCAGCTGTCAAACGAAATGATGGCGTTTTTGTGTTTAAGAAAAGGGGAATAAAAAGAAATGATTTTGTTCAGTATTACTTTAATCCAAGGTATCCAATTATATACAAGAAAAAGAGCCACCCCCCCTTGTCGACACCCTTGTGTAACCAGGACAAGAGCGCCGAGAGGCAACAAGAAAAGCAAACAAGTACCGAGTCCAAGGTGTTGGTATTCCCGGCCTAGACGGATATGAGTAAACAAATATCCTTCTGTAGATCCTAGATCCTGCAGGCGCGCGGCCATGAGACCGATATCCTTCGGAGAGACAACAAGTCTGTGCGAGGTCTACGGAGCAGAAGCTCTGTGAAACCGAGGCAGCTGCCCCTTTCCTCTACCAAATCCTCGTCAGGTGCATACGATTTGCCCTTTACACTACGTAGAGCCTACTTGCGGCGGGCTTCGACCCCCGCCTTCTCGTCCTCAGTGAGACTGCTTACAGCCCAGCCGTTGATGAGATCATAGTTCTCAAGAGGCGAGGTGCCCTTAAGATGCTCATAGTGGGTGCGCTGGCCACAGAGAGGCTTGGATCCGTTGCCGTAGACGTTAATGCAGCGGTTCTGCATGATGCCAGCAATCTGTGAACCCGCCTCGCGGCCCTCGTACCACGCGCCGTGCAAGAAGCCAAAATACGAGGCGCTGGTAGCCTCACCGGCGAACCAGAGGCGGTCGGCGTTGGCTCGCAGGTTCTGGTGCATCTCGAGCGTAGTACCAACCGGCCAGTTGGAGTAGCTGCCGAAAGCCCAGGGTTTTTGAGTCCAGCGTGGGTAGTAGAATGCGGTTGGCTCAGGAATGGTGACGTTGGGGTACATCTCCCGCAGAACCTGGACGACCTGGTCCTTGGTCTGCTTGTCGGTTTGCTGCTCGATGCGGTAAGACTCTTCCGTAACAACGGTGGCGAAGATGATGTTGGAACCAGGCAGGAAGCCTTCGGTGGAAAGAGACTGGAAAACGGGGTAGTATCCTCGAGTCGTAGGCGACGCGTACATGAAGTACTGGGTGTCTTCTGGCCAGAAGGTCTCGTTGAACTGCAGGAAGATCTTGGTGTATGTGCCCATGGAGAACTTCTCGATGGCAGTCTGTTTCCATTCAGGTAGTTTGGGTGAGAAGTTGATGGTGTCACTCTGGAGAACACCAACGGAGAATGTGCAGATGGCGTAGGCAGCCTCGACGCAGGAACCATCCTTGTTGTGGATGGTTACTCCATGGTCGGTGTAGGAGATGTTAGTGACTTGGGTGTTGAGCATAACACGAGGGTCGTTTTTGCGGAGGAAGGTCTTGGCTTCCTCGGTGATGATGTAGTCATAACCGCGGGGGTCAACAACAAGGTTGTTCTCATCAGAAAACTGGTTGAAGGTGAGGTTCGCGCCGGCAGCGCCAAAGATGGCAGACGAGACTTCAGGAGTCTGAGCATCTTCCCAATCTAGATACATGGCTGTTAATTATGGACACTGAAAGATTGACTCGGTCGTACGTACCGAAGTTAAACCATTCAACAGCTTGGGCAGCCATGTCGCTGTGTTTGGGGTTCCAGCCAGCCAGAGCAAGGGCTGCGCGGGCAGTCTGGTCCTGCTCGTTGTTGATCAGGAGACGACCAGCAGCGGCCGCCATCTTCTCATTGGCTGTGGAATACTCTTCAATGAGCTGGGAGTAGTCGGTGAAGCCAGTCTCATTGTAGGTGAGGATGGAGCTGTAGTTGGAGTAGGTGTTTTTCAAGCCGTACTTCTTGGCCTACCACAGAGGTTAGTTTGCGCCAGCGTTTGTTGGATGATTAAGCAAGCGTACCAAGGTGTAAATCGGGTTTTCTGGTTTGTATTAGCTTGTAGATATAAACAATGTATTGCTCGGAAACGTACCGGGTCCACCAGCGTGGCCAAGACCCTGGATCCAGTTGGCGCCCATCTCAATGACGTACGGAGAGCCGTCCTTTTTCGCACCAAAGTTTTGGTGCAACACGCGGCCACCAAGACGGTTCTGGTACTCGAGAATCATGAAATCCGTGACAGAGTTGTTTTTCAGGGCTTGCTGGTTGGCGTTAGTATCCATTGGTGGAGGGTTCCAAGAGCGAATGATTCAAGGAGAGCTTACAGCAGCGGCGACACCAGCCATACCACCACCACTAACAAAGCATGTTAGTCATGGCCAGACACTAAAAGCAAGGGCAGTTATGAGCTTACAGGATGGCAACAGTGGTCTTCTTGCAGTGACCATTGGTGTTGTCACTCGTGCGCCCAACAAGGGCGACAGCCGGGGTAGCACAAACGGCGATAGCCGCAACAGTGGTGAACTTCATGTTGGCGTGTTGCGCGACAATCGAGAGTAAGTATCAAATTGGACGGAATAGTTATAGGACGCGTGCAGTTATTTCTGCGTTGCTTATATGGCACGGAAAATAAAAATGAAGAAAAGGGAAGAGGACGCAGCGAGGATGAAATAGGGCAGGACACGTGCAGGATAAGCTACCAAATACGCCAAGACGTCGGAACCGCTCAGCTGTGGTGCGAGTCAATTTTGTTCAGATGGAGACCGGCTCGTACTGGATCGACGGCGCGCTTGTTAAAGCGTGGAAATGAGTAGTGATGGAGAGCGAGAGTGGGCAGTAGTATTACGGCGGCAGGGTTTATTGGCAGCGGCACAGTGGGTGTGATGACGGCACAGGAAAATCTCACTACATTTGCTTGCTTGCAGCTTTGCCAGCTGGTGCAGCTGCTAGCACTGACGCCTGGCAGCTGGCAATTTTGAGAACAAAACGATATTCTGCCTAAGATAGAAAATACACAACCCGGCAATTCAAATTACGCTGATTCTAGACTCGCCGTTGCAAACTTTAGCTTATTTCTTCTTTCTTTCCGTCGCTTAGACTGGACCAATCCGCAACCAACGCCTTTTTTGTCGATGCGATGGCCCGCCACCTGCCCCCCAATTACCGAGTTGCCCGATCCAGCCAGCCCGACAGACGGCCTCCGCGGCGTCCCGGTGGCAGCCAAAAAGAGGCGTTCCAGCAGGGTTGCCGAACCATTATAGCAATCAATCCATTTATCTACAGATGATATGCAGCATCAGGGAAACAATGAACCTGCCGCCGGGGGGTTTTATCTTAAGCGATGGGGGCGCAGCAGCAGCAGTTGCAGCAGCAATACACAAACTGGAACATGCATTGTGATTCATCACTTAATTGGAGCCTTTGTTTTTTTATAGGGAACTTTTGGTTCGCTACAACCGTATATCCAACTCACTGCTGTCAGCATATAAACACACAATAGCGGCCGCTCTCCCTTTGGTGGCTTTCTCACAGCGCCGCCAAATGTGTTTACAGTGGATCGCTCGGGGCCCTCGGACGCGGGGACAGCCCCCCAAAAAAGCCCCCCGTTTCCCACCGCGTTGCTCCCCCGCTCTTTACAATACCTATGTAGCGGAATCTGCGCTGGACGTTATCTTCTACAATCATTCCCAGAATTTAATATAACGCAATGTAAAATTGATCTGCATGTCATTCTAATTACCCCGGATTTTATCCTGTTTTTAGTCTCCGCGTATTCCACGTACCGAGTGCAAAAGGTGGCAGATTCCGTCAAGCTCCGCGCCGGTGTCGGCAGCCTCCGCATTCTTTGCGCGGGGAGAGGATCCAGTGGAGATTCCGCCCCAAATATGCACTGTAACAGTGACCTCCAATTGCCCTACTATTGCCACTGTCAGCAGCGCCAGAGAAGCCACCCGATACTGTGCACCAGAACAGTTGGCCGGGTTGTCTGCGCACCGCGGTCAGTCAGCCTTGGATAAGCACACACAGGGCAACCGTTTTCTCCAAAACGGCCGTCTGCTTTGTCTACTTTCGTCTCTTCTCTTCCGTACTCTTCTACTTTCTGTACATCTCCAATTGACTTCGACACTTTGTATTTCTCCCAATTCTTGCCATTGCTATAGCCATCATCGTCAACCATCATGAAGGACGTCACCGCCGATGACGCCCAGCTTGCTTCGATGGGCCACAAGCCCGAGCTCAAGCGAAGCTTTTCCATGCTGTACGTCGTACACCTCACTCTCGTTTATCCGACTGCCTATTCCGGGGCCTCGCATAGCCCTGTGAGCGGCTCCGACGCGTCGCATCTCGCTAACCATATCACCGTTGCCTGCCAGATCCATGCTTGGTCTCGCCTTTGCCGTGCTCAATGCAAGTACTTTCTTTTAGTTTCTCTGTCAACCTCGTTCAAACACTAACCGCTTATTCGTTATAGTCCTGGACAGCCTTATCTGCCAGTTTGTCCGTCAGCCTTACGTCCGGCGGCAGCACCAGTATCGTATGGGGTCTAGTAACCGCCGGTATCTGCAACCTTTGCATTGCATCCTCCCTTGCCGAATTCCTCTCTGCATATCCGACGTATGGCTATACATCTTCGAAAACTGAAACTCTTGTCCTTTTCTAATCATATCACAGCGCCGGTGGCCAATATCACTGGGTAGCAGCTAGTACGACCCTCGTCCTACTTCGAATTCGACTCCGCTAACCAATACTAGTTTCATGGACCGAATGGGTTCCCATCCTATCATGGGTAACTGGCTGGGTTAATGTCGTCGGCTGGGTTGCCCTTGTTGCCACAAATGCCCTCCTCTCTAGCCAGCTGATTGTTGGTATCATCTTTGCTGTCCACGGTGTACGCTCCCCAGTCTCCAGCATGAATCAACAAGTCTAACAAAACATTATAGTACGAAGTGACTCGTTGGCAGCAGTTCCTCATCTACATTGGCTTCACCGTCCTGTCCTTCCTCATCAACGCCTTTCTCAACGGTGTTCTTCCCAAGATTTACCATGGTGCCTTCATTTGGTCCATTGGTGGGTTTGCTCTCGTATCCATCACTGTTTTAGCTTGCTCCTCGCCGCACTATAACAGTGCCGAGTTCGTTTTCGCCAACTTTATCAACCAAACTGGATGTAAGTCTTTTTTTCTCCTATAGTATCAATACTCTGAACTAACATTGACAGGGCCCGATGGTGTTGCTTGGCTTCTCGGCGTAAGTATCCGACATTTACCATCCCCAAGTTTCCACTAACAAACGTAGCTCCTACAAGGTGGCCTTGGTCTGACCGCTTTCGACGCCGTGGCACACATGATTGAAGGTATGTGGTGCACCTCGACATGATTGATACATCTTCTAACAGATACAGAAATCCCCGAGGCTTCCAAGCAAGGACCCAAGATTATGATCACCTGTGTTGGCATCGGTACCTTTACTGGCGCTATCTTCCTCATCGTCCTGCTCTTTGTCGCTGGCGACATTGACACCGTCATCAGCTCGCAATCTGGCCCCCTTCTTGAAATTCTCATGCATGCTACAAAGAGCAAAGTTGGTGGTATCTGCCTTCTCATGTAAGACCACCCTTACGACACAGTCCTTTGGGACACTCTGTACTGACCGTCTTAGGCTCCCACTTGTCTGCCTCGCTTTTGCCACCATTAGCGTCATGACAACAAGTAGCAGAATGATCTTCGCGTTCGCACGGTAAGCGTTCCCTATATGGCATAAACTAGACAAACGCTAACGGGATCAGTGATGGTGGACTTCCATTTTCTCGAGTGTTTTCTCGTGTACACCCCAAGCTTGGACTCCCACTCAATGCACTTCTCCTGACCTCTGGTGTCGTCATCGTCTTCGGAGTCCTCTTCATTGCCTCCACCAGCGTCTTCAACGCCATCATCTCCGCCGCTGTGGTTACCTTGGACCTCTCGTATGCCATGCCCATCGCAGTCAACTGCTTGCGAGGTCGTAAAATGCTACCAGAGCGTTACTGGAACCTCCCCCAATGGTTTGGATGGACAGCCGACATCATCTCGCTGTCTTACATTTCTTTGACAACGGTTTTGTTCATCTTCCCGCCCAATCTGCCCGTCACTGGCGATAACATGAGTAAGTATATCCCAAACCCACAGTTATACAAAACATCTAACAGTACACAGACTATTGCATTGTTGCGTTCGCCATCATCATTGCCATTTCTGTTTTCCAATGGATAATAGATGGCCGTAAAACCTTTACCGGTCCTCGTGTCAATCTGGAGGACTTTACCGTCGACCCTGCTAGAATAGAGAGCAAGGACATTATCACTACAGAGCACAGCATATGAAATGGCCGATATTAGACATTCGCTTGCATTTTGTTATGTAGTACATAGTGGCGTCATAAAGCGTTATATATACCAAATCCCATCTATCTCTATCAAAATCTGTTTCAGGTTAGCACTATGGAGATTATTATCTAGATAGAGAATGCTTACCGGATCTCATATGAGCCTGCCCTCGTCATATAGCGCACCCACTTAACGCTTGAGTAATTGCTCTTTTCAAAGACCTTGAGATATCGTACCAACAAGCCTGAACTCGTAAACATGAGCAGGCTAAAGTTCATACTAACAGGCGGCCTGCTCCATGCTTTTTGGTTCGTCATGCTTGTAAGGTGTGCTTCGGCGCTCAAAACATATTCGGATTGTCCGGTAAAGCGCGGGATCTTCCAGATGATATGGTTCTCGCTCGGCTCGTACTTTGCCTTTCCTTGTGTACACCGTTCTGTTGTCTTGGCTGTGTTGAGAGGCGTCGGGATCTTAAGGATAACGTTGGTGGCGAAGAGCTTAGATCCAAAGTTGGCCTTGACTCCGATACTGTATTCGACCTTGGAGCGTCCAACCTCATTAACAATGGCGTGCACTTTGAACGGCAAGTTGACATTTTCCGTCGCTCGGTAGCGCATCAGCTCAAACTCGCCGTCGGGAGGCACAAAGCTAATAATTCTGTCGGCGTCGAACTTGCCCAGGCGCACACACTGGTGAAACTGGCAATCCTCCAGCGACACACTACCAGCAGCCGCCTTTGTCGCCTTTGTACCCATCTTGTTTCCACTCGGTAATGTCTTTAAGCTGTCGCCGTCGAGCAATAATCTATCGTTGAGTCCAAACTTGCATTCGGGTGTGCCGGAGAGGTATGCTCGCATGACAATCTGGCCGTTGACGTCGGCTCTCAGCACGGCACCAGTCGCCGACATGAGCAGATTGACATCCTCTATTACGTCGACAAAGGCTTCGTTCTTTCTATATCGAACATCGGCTTTACGCCATGACAAGGCGCCGGTAGCCTGCATTGTGATTTTGGAGGTATCTTCGGGCCGGGCTTCCGACTTGACGCCTTCGGTGGTAATGTACATTTTGAGAGTATCGGTCTCTGTGTTTTGGGGGTATCCAAAGTCGATGATTTCTGTTTTTTTCAGCGGTTAGAATCCACTGTATGCTTCTACAGTTTCCTGAGAAGAAGGGGGTTTGCGAGAAGTGTAATACATACCATCGAGCAATTCGTATACCAGGACAAAGTTGTTCTTGACAGCCTCTTCGTCAAACTTGCCAAAGTAACCCTTGCCCAGCTGAATAAATCTGTATAAAAACTCAAAAACAAGGGCGGCATTGGCGTTGCTCTTGGTCACGGCGACCAGATAAATATTCTCGTGCTTTACATGGCTAAAGGTAGTGCTGCCCAGCGTCAAGATAGGGGATCGGACCTGCGGGTTGGAGATGACCTGGATGCGGAAGACGTCGGCGAGCCTGGGGCGACAGTCATTGCGAAAGGCTCTGAAGATGAGGTTTTCACCCTTCTGATTGAATATTAGCACGCCTGAGAGCATGATTTCTCCTCTGGCGAATTGCGTGTTTGTATGCGTGTGCGCAGAGGTTCAACGAGCTTCCCGCCGAAGAAAGAGGGGCTGCCCGCCTTTCTGCCGTGGCCAACGGGCCAATGGTGTGCTAGCAAGGGCAAGCGGTGAGGCCCGCGCATCGAGATTTAGTGGCTGTGCACGTGCTGGAAGCGCTGTAATTTTAGTGGTGTAGGCTAGCTTCTAGGCGCCGTGCAGTGGTTTGCTTCAGGGGATGCTACAGCGCTTATAGGCGTCTCATTTCCGCATCCTCGGCTTCACCAGAACCACTCAACATCAACATCATTTCAAGCGTCATGTTTTCCAGTTAATGTTTTCAATATTCCCGCAAATCTCATAATTTCTATTTAATACTATTTATATACTCCTCTTTATATCCGCACTACAATCACCTATAATAGCTCATCCTCGCTTCGCCATCCAATGTCTTCGTCGCAGTTTCCAGCCTCCTTCGTCGAGCCATGGAAACGACTCATCCAAAACCGCCAGGACGGCTGCATTGACGAATTCCCTCAGTACAATGTGACTGATTTGGACTCTTTAATAACCACAAGCGCTCCAACTTCGCTCTTCTTAGGCACCGGCTACTCGATATATCGCCAGGCTCTCATCCCGGCTATCCTCTCAGCCAAACATTCTGTCCACCTCGTAACATGTTTCTGGGCTGAATCTCCTACCCTTGATGCCATTGGTGAGGCGCTTCTTAGCCTAGCCAATACTCGATCTCAGCAAAACAATCTTCCACCACTGCGCATCACGGTTGGCTTCTCCTCTTGGGGCCTCTTTCAAAAGCTTCTTCACACTGCCTCAACTGACGGTTGTGTGTATCCTCCTTCAGAATGGCCAAAACTTGGACTCCCTACCGAGGCTACTCTCAAGCGTGGTTCGATAGACCTCACAGTCAAGACTCTCTTCTTCACGCCTTTTAGTGTCATGCACCCAAAGTATCTCATCATTGACAACACGACAGCTTGGGTCCCGAGCTGCAACGTCAGCTGGGAACAATGGTTTGAAGGCTGCATCGAGCTTCATGGAGACGCCGTCCAAACCCTCCTCAACTTTCACACCAAGGTTTGGGGTAGAGGAGAGGTCCAAGAAACGCGTGCCAAGGACGACGCGATTGTGCCGCTAGCGCTGGGATTCAATTCGCAAGGCGCCATCGACCATGAGCAGAGTCAAACGGCATCACTAATAGGTGATGATGGAATAAGTGCTGTCCAATCCGCTATTCTCAAGTTTGGCGATCAAGTTCCAACCATCCTATTACCCTCATCTCACCACCGCAACCCTAGATTCAAATGGATACCCGGGCAGCCAAAATGCAATTTACCGCCCATGACCCCTCTAAACGCCGCTCTTCTCACACTCTTTGCAAACGCTCAGCACTGGATATCCATCGTCACTCCCAACGTAACCTCGCGTGCCGTCACCGACGGCTTACTGGCTGCGCTGGGCCGTGGTGTTGATGTTGAAATCCGCACCAGCAAAAACATGATGTTAATGGAGCAAGTCGTAACCGCAGGCACCACAACCAGCTGGTGTCTATCCTCCTTTATAAAGCAGTATCAGAGCCTAGCCCTGGAACGGCAACGAGCACAGCAATCCGATCCCGAGAGTCAACTAGCAGTTGTTGGTGAGCTACGCGTCTTTTACTACCAGCCTCTAGCTGGCAAGGCAGGTGATGAAGACGAGCCCGTCTTTAGCCACTTTAAGATGACACTGGTAGACGGCGAATATGTCGTACTTGGGTCTGGCAACATGGACAGAGCAAGCTGGTGGACGAGCCAGGAGCTCGGCATTCTCTTCTACGTTCCTGGATTCACAGAAAATGAACTATGGGAGAGGATTCTTAAAAACAGAGCCGAAGCTGTATTCATATCTAACAATGCCCATTAACCAACATAGAATTACATATATATAATCATTAATTTTCGAATTTCGCCCTCTGTTTAACCCTCGAGCTGCTTGGCCCTTTCAAAGACCGCAAAGAAGGCCTCTGGCTCACGGGCACCGTTGACCTTGAAGCGGTCCTGGATAGTGAAATCAGGGACACCGTTCACACCGCTCATCTGAGCCTCGATCACGGCGCGCTCAACCTCAGCGGCGCCGTCGGTTCCGTTGGTGATGGCCTTGTCGAACTCGTCGCCCGGGATTCCCGCGGTGGTAGCGACGTCCTTGAGAACAGCGTAGTCGGTAATGTCCTTTTCGTTCTCAAAGTATGCGGCAAAGAGGCCATCAATGACCTTTTCATGAACCTCATTGCCGTACTTCTTCGAGATGTGCGCAAGACGGTGCGAATCAAAGGTGTTGCCGGTGCGGCCTCCGTGCTTAAAGTTGATGCCGAGACTCTGGCCAACGGCATCCAGACGGGCGCGCATCTGGGTCACCATCTGCGGGCCAAATTTCTCCAGGTACATTTGCTGCTTGTCTCTGCTAGACGAAGGGCCCTTGGGCCAGTCGGGGCGCAGCTGGTACGGCTCATACGACACGGTGAAGGTGTCGGCCGGGTTCTTCTGCTTCCAGAGGCGTTCGGCCTGCTGAAGCTGGCGACGGCCGACATAGCACCAGGGGCAGACGGTGTCTGAGACGACTTTGATGCGGATGTTTGTCATGGTGGTGGTGGTGATGCGAAGGTACTATGAGATGCAATGTACGTCACAGGATGCAGGAGCAACAAGTCTTTTATACAGAAGGCGTTTTTTTTAATTCATATTTTCCCCATCCACCCTATTGTACTGTACTTGTTACATGATTTGTCGTCATTACTAATTGCGGTTAGGTGCTGCGGAGAACCATCCCACTGGTTGGCCGCCGCAGATTCTCCAAGCTTCTGGTTCCGTCGCCTATAAACTCCGCCGCCACTTAAAAAAAACACCGTCCCATCTGTCCGCCGAGGCTCAAATCGATCACCGATTCCAGTTAGCGCGCTGCCGTTATGGGAGGCGCTTACAGACATACTCCTAGGCAGTCTGCTGCACCCATAGACGTATTGCACGCCGGCGTTGGAAAATCGTAGCAGAAGAGACCCTCGGGACACGGCCGACCAGCAAAGCCACCGCATGTAGGAGGCTCATTGGACATACAGATGCCCGGTATATCACAGGCCAAGCCGCAGCTTCGGGGGAGCCTGGGATCGTCAACACAGCGCTCATTCTCTCTGCAAGAGGTTTTGTTGGGCACTCGTAGGCCGCCGCATGGCTGATACTCGTTGAAGAGGACACAGACGCCGCCACAGGGCTTTGTCTTGTCGTCGGGTTTACAGCGGTCATGCAGAATCTGGCATCGCATGTCGCTGGGGCACGCGGGACGGACTGAGGAGCATCTCGGAACCAGGGCGACGATCCCTTGAATGAGTAAAATGACGGGAAGAAGAGCGAGCTGCATTGTCGATTGTCGTAGGGTTCGTGTCTCGGACCGTTTATGCACGAAATTTGACAGGATCGCCGCGTCTTTTTATGCGATGCAACGCTGATGCCGTTCACAAGGGAAGATGGTAAGCTGAGATGATTTTTGAAAGAGTTTCTTGGTTTTGGGTATTATCCAAGAAAGAAATTCACGCTCTTCTCCTCCCTGGGAAACTTTCAGCTGACTTACGCTCCCTCTCACTACATTTTGGGCTCTATTGTTGGGCGCGTCGTGAAGCTTATTTGCACTAACAAACTCTAAACATTCCACAGACACGACCAAGTCTCAGCCAGCCCTGCGTCCCGAATCAACCTTGTTGTGGTGTCTGAGAGTCTAATTTTGGTAAAATTAAATACGAAATCTAGATCGAGTCTATACGAGGTAGACATAGACGGCGCGACAGATTTAAAAGCATAAGTGTTTGTATTCAAGAAAGAACTATATACAGAGTGTGTAAATGGCATACACAACGAAACTAAAATAAAAATATGTACTGGTGCTTCGAAAAGCAAAAATATGTGCTGTAGTTCTGAAATCTTCACATGGTTTCATATACCGGCATATACACGTCTCTTTTTTTAGGCGGGAGGCGCACCGACATAGACAGTCAGCGTGCCGGGGTTGCCAGACGACACAACGCCAGAAGCGTTCTCGTTGCCGTCGGGGTTAACATCGTCGTAAGCAAAAGCGTAGCCCTTGCTGTCGACCTCGTGGACGTGAACCAGGCGGCTGTAGTGGCTGGTAGGGTTGGTCTTGTAGTAGTTGCTGCTGGCGAGAGCAGGCTGGACGTTGCCACCGTTGGCGAGCAGAGTAGAGCGAGTAAAGGCAGCGCACAGGCGAGCAATCACAGCGAGATGGACGTCGTTCTCGTTACCATTCTTCCCAAAGGGACCGCTGTTGCAGCCCCAGATGTCGGCAGCAGTGGGCTTGTTGTAGCCACGGTTGTCGCCGGCACAGTTGAGAACGTTGTTGGTGACTTTGCAGCTGACCTTGCCGGCAGCTCCCTGGGTGTTGATGGTGAGAGGCGAAGAGGAGTACTTGGTCCAGACCTGGTTGACGTAGTTATCCCAGTAGTTCTTGAAGCCGTTGCCGTCAATGACAGTGTAGTCGTTGGGGGACAGAACGCGAAGAGGCTGGCCAGACTTGTTGGCAACGCACATCTTGCTCCAGGGGTAACCGTCGCTTCTTCCTTGGTCAGCAAGACCGTTGCAGACAGAGCTGACAGCGCCAGAGTCGAGCCCCTTGGTGACCTGCTTAGGGGTTCCATCCGTGGTGGTCAGGGACATGCTGAGAATCATGCCGACAAAGTCGACGTAGCTGATGTTGGCGTAGATGGCGCGCTGAGGAGTGTAAGTCAGCTCGACAAAGCCCCAATTGAGACCAGCGCTGGGATCTTGCGTGTTGGTGACAGAGGGTTGAACAAGACCATCTCCAATGTCCGTCTTGACCATAGCAAAGGTCAATTCGCCCTCGGAAAAGTAGATGCGGGCAGAGTCGAGGGGCATGGGCAGGGTCATCTTGAGCGTGTTACCACGGGAAGGGAGAGCAATCTTGATGTTCTGGGTAATGGGCTTGGGAACGCCAGAGCCGCCAGAGCTGGGATACACCAAGGTACCATCTGCGAGAACGAAGACGACTCGGTTGGAAGAGTCCTTGCCCACCACGTAGGCATAGACTTGGCTTCCACCAAAGTTGTTGACGAATTGGAAGGGAAGGCCAGTAGCCCTGGCTTCGTTGACAGCGCGAGAGTGAATAGTGGTGTTATCGCTGTGGTAAGTTCCGTTCAAGGTGTTCTCCTTGGTGACCTTCATGTCATGGACGGTACCCGGCTGGGCAATAGTGAAGTCACCAGGTGCTCTGACTTGGATAGACGGAGCAGCCATGGCTGTCGCCATCAAGGCAGCCAAAACAGTGAAGAACTTCATCTCTACCAGATACGTAAGAGTAGATAGGTAGGTAATAGAGATACAGATTGAAGCTGAATCGAACGATAGAAGCAATCAGGCGAGAACCTCACAGCAGACAACGGCAGACTTTTATAGCTACCCGAACGTTACTTTCGAGACGCTCGGGCTTCTGAAGGACGAGGCTTGGTCCAATTGGAAACCATTTAGCCGCTGCACCATGAACAAGTGGTGCAAGGAAGGCAAATTGGAGTGCCTCTGGTTCCTGCGGGATGGTGGGCGCGTGGCAGGCAAGGTTGCGCTAGCTCCGGGCTTCCTTCGGGGGATGTGGTAGCAAGCAAAAAGACCCCTGTTGCATAAAAGGGCTGAGAACTGGTTTAACTAGCCGGCTACAAGAGGAAACAGGTCGGCAATGGGGCCATTGAAATGTCATCTGGCCTATGTTTATGGCCAAGACCTGCCAGAAGCCAACGACGGTGGGCTGGAATGTGGATGAGGCCACTTCGATGCGGCGTCCCCGTCAGCAAGCAATCAAGTAGAAGAGAAGGCTCCGTAGGCTTCCGCTTTGCCTAGAGGCAGTGATTGCACCCACCGATTCTAGACCGAGATAATTTACGTAGTCTGGATCCTATTGTTGTGCGCCGAGGCCCGCCAGTCCAGTGTGTCGAAACAGACAATGCCGACGCGCGACGATATCCACCATCCCCTTCTCAGTATCCATCTCAATTGCACACAGATCCCAAAGGTTGAACTGTTTTCTATATTATTTTTTCGCGCTTGACATTTGGTGGGTGGAGGAATATCAGGTCCACGGCGAATCTGACAGAGTCTGCTATACCTGGTCGTCGTTCAGTATAGAACCGTTGTCAGGTGTTCAGAAGGAAACTCGAAAGCCATCGAGTCGTTTGCAGGGGCGGCCCGATTAAGGATAAGCCACAACTCAAAGGGAAGGCCTACCATGTCCCGAAACGTCTGAGTGCCAGTGCATGGCGAACGGATTAGCAGCCTAAACGACAACTGGAGCTTCGCCACTACTTGTCGCGAGGCTAGCCGTCCACAACAGGAAGTAATCATCATAAACTGATCCCAAAATGATCATAATCCGACTATCGCATGGCCCAAAACACACGTTACAACCGCCGAGATCATGGCGGCGCGTGGCTGGCGTTACGCTAAGCATACCGCCACGAGCCTTCTATTAGCTCCAAATGGATGGGAGAGGTAAGCTGATACACATGGCCACAAGGAGGAAGAAGCTTTGTGGAGAAGTGGAGGTGGAATAGTAGCTTTATGCTCGGCGTGGGCCGCTACATCCTTGTTCGATATTCAGGCAACCGTTCGGAGGCTTTTTTCTGGTCAAGCTCGCCGCCACAAGCTCGCAACGGTGATTTAAGATGACAAAAATTCGGTCCGTTAACTTAGGTGGTTGCATATAGAGATAAAGGGTCTGGTTTGGAGTTGTCAATAGTTGCAAACCTTGTGCAAGCCACAGCGCGTGGCAGCCGTCCACTGCCCTGTTTTCAAGCACATGAACAATGCGATTGTTGTCTGTCGTCTGCGTTCATGCATCTTTGGCTCTCCACTATGGTAGAATCCTACCTTGTGTCCGAACTTGGACTGCAAGATGCTGCTTGCTCGTTCTGCGTGGGTTTCGGTGCGAGCTGGTCCGAGAGCCAGGGAGATGAATTATGGGGGCGGTTAGTGGTTCGAGAATCCATCCATCATACTATTTGCAGCAGTTGACAGAATAGTAGGCGGGGTTCGCAGATGTGATTCGGCACTAGTCATACTGGATTGTTATTAGCGCTCTTCTCCAGTCGTTGAAGGAGGCCAGCGAGCACCACTGCTCAGCCTAGTGGTAATTCGGGCGCTGTCGGTAACTGCCCAACCAAATGTCTCGGATCGTCCATCTAGCGAAAGCCTGTGCCTGTTGATCCTCGAGTTGTAGAGAACCTTGCGCCCACGCCGGCGAACCGTCCAAATCAGGTAATGAACGAGTCGTCCACCCCACCGCCACGGGCCGATTGGCCCTCTTTTCTCTTGCGCCCATGGCATCTACTGTAAATTACTGTAGGCGGCTGCATGAGGACGTGCTTGTAGGATGGCGCATTTGCTTAGTTCTGTGCGTCAGTCTGCAGCTAAAGCTCCGGTATATCCCACAATTCGCGGGGTAGCGCCGGCCTAGCTCATCTGCCGTTTGCAAGGGCGAAAGCTTCTGAAGTTGGACCCGCCAATCTGATACCGTCGATGCTGTTGCATGTTCATGCGACGTCCATGTCAGTACGGCGCTTGTCTGGGACGGAGTGTTGGGCGTTGAACCACAATGGTCAATTTGCCAGTGAGCATTATTTGCCGCTCTTCACATTATCAAGTGTTCCGATTCATTCAATAACCAGTGTTCGACTTTAGTCTTTGTTTTTCATAATTTGCAGGCGCACATAGGTACATCACTTAGCATTTGTCACAAAGTGTCTTGGTCGGTGGCCACGATGCAACGCTACTACCACGAACGGCTGCTAAAGCAGCGGTAACTTTAGGTGATGCAAAACCTATACGCTGTCCCGTTATACGTAATTCTGAACACTGGATATGTCGTAGATGCTTCCCACAGGTCTACGAAGCGACGGAAATAGCCAGCGTCCGACGATGCAATCCGATTCCCAATAACATAAGAAGTCTCTGGGCGAACTTTTCGGCCAATTTTCGTATCACAGTCGACATCACCAAAATGAAGTACTCGGATACATTGATTGCTTTTGCCGCTGTGGCAGCGGCTGCTGCTATAGACCAAAAGGTTTCGTACGATGGATACAAGGTCGTTAGAGTACCGCTGGCCAATCTGGAGGAAGGCCGAGCTGCGTTGAACCTGATTGAGGAGATGGACCTTCAGCCATGGAAAGCACCCTATGCCGCTGGCGATTTCACGGATCTCATCCTTTCTCCCAGTCAGATAGAGCAATTTGAAAACCGATATGCGGCGGCCTCTTTCTCTGGAATGACTGTCATGCACGAAGATTTGGGCTTGTCGATTGCTCAAGAAAACAACGTGACTGATACTTACCAGCGTATGTACCTCGATTTTTCTTCATATTTTTGTCCGCATGAATCCAAACTAACAGTATATAAAAAGCTGGATCGTTGAGCATGGACTGGTTCTCAGCATACCACCCATTCCCAGACCACATGTCTTGGCTCAAGGACCTACAAGGAAAATATTCCAAGAATTCTGCCATTATAAGCGCTGGAAAATCCACCGAAGGCAACGATATGGCCGGCATCCACATCTGGGGCTCGGCTAAGGGTAAACCAGCCGTCATCTTCCATGGCACTCTCCATGCTCGAGAATGGATCATTGCCAAGATCGTGGAATTTGCCGCTCAGAAGCTTCTCGAAGGACTTGAAAAAGATGATGCTATCAAGGGTTTTCTTGAAAAGTACGACTTCATCTTCTACCCAATCATCAATCCTGATGGTAAGACTTCAACCACAGTCAAGTTGTCAGTTGGCACCCGAACTAACTCAGGTCGCAGGTTTCAAGTTTACCGCTAGCGATCGTATGTGGCGCAAGAACCGTGCCGCTAACGGAGGAGATAAATGCAAGGGTGTAGACATTAATCGTAACTGGGATTACAAATGGGGAGGCCCTGGAGCTTCGCCCAGTACTTGCCACGAGACCTACCGCGGTCCGTCGGCCGCTTCAGAGCCTGAGACCAAAAACGCTCAAGCTTCCATCAATAACGTCGCTAAAGACCAGGGTGTTGCCATGTACATTGACTGGCACTCTTACAGCCAGCTTATCTTGGCGCGTAAGTAAACCTTCTTGCTGTGTCGACTCAAGCTATCGACGAATGCTAACCAAAATCTCTTTGATAGCCTACTCGTACGACTGTAGTGCTAAGCCTCCTAGGCTGGATGAGCACATGGCGGTAGTCAGAGCCATGGCTGATGGTATGAAGTCCGCTCATGGGCAAAGCTACAAAACTGGCCAGACCTGCAGAACTCTTTACCAAGTCTCTGGTGGTAGTACTGACTATGCCATGGATGTCTCCAAGGCCGGGTTGTCCATAATTATCGAGTCGAGAGACACGGGCAAGCATGGATTCATCATTCCTGCCAATCTCCTCAGACCAACTGTTGAGGAGTCCTGGGCTGGTACTGTTGCGGCGCTCAAGGCAATGAAGTGAATGGAGCCGTAGCTGCAGAAAGACATCTTTGTTAAGTGAGCCCATTGTGGTTGTTTGTATGGTGCGACCTAAATAGAATACCATATCAATAATGCTTTTTTATTCATACTTCGTCATGCAGGATTTATGAATATAAAATTTTCGCAGCTGTGTTGTGAAGAGTGAGGGATCGAGGTGCCCAGGTTGACCAGTGTTATCCGCCATCACGCTGTCACGTGGGCACGTATCGAGCTTGGTCCCAACGACTCTTCGTTCACCACCACTGATTCACGATTACGCGTCGCCAACATTTTCAGCGACAAAATTGGCCCTGTTGCGATTCTGACGCATCTAGCGGGCAAAAGATGGCTACAGAAGATGAACGATACCGGAACTCAAGTCAGTTCCGCCTTTGGTCCTATTCGCCAAAGGCCTTGAAGGAACTGCGAGAGAAGACAAACAACTTGGCCCAACAGCAAATCATCCCTCGCCTCGCTGCCGATGCGCTTCCAGAATTCCTCACAACTGACGAAGAGATCCAATTGGTCAAATTCTTCACCGTCGAGCTTCTTCGTGCCGCCGAATTCCTCGACCTGCCCACCGAGATCCGCGCCACAGCTGCCATCTTTTTGCGACGCTTCTACATTACAAACTCTGTCATGACATATCCCCCGGACGATTTGCTCAAGACATGCATATTTTTCGGCTGCAAGGCCGAGAACTTCTACTACCGACTAAATAAGCTCGCTGATGCGCTACCCAACACAACGAGCGAGCAGATCCTGGCCGGAGAATTTCTCCTCTGCCAGGGAATGCGCTTCGCCTTTGATGTGCGCCATCCTTTCCGGGCGTTGGAGGGAGCGATTCTTGAGCTTCGAAACCGTCTACCTGATGAAGAAAAGCGTATACAGGCCGCCCACGGCCAAGCCCGACACATCTTGAAGTTTAGTAGCATCCTCACAGACGTCTATTTCCACTTCACACCCAGTCAAATCATGCTGGCCGCTCTGCTTATATCAGATCCCGGCTTGGCAAATGAGCTCATTCCCACTACCGGTATTGACAGTGCTATACGTGAAAAGATTATCAGTACTATCGAGCAGTGCAAAACAATGCTCCAACAAGAACCACCTGAGAATATGAATCAATACTCGACTGCCGTGAGTATACATCCCGTAAGGCTTGAACTCTCGACGACCATGCTGACCATTAATGCAGTCTGATACCATCAAAGTCATAAAACGATTGCGAAAGAAGCTTAGAAAGTGCCGAGATCCCGATAGAGCCGACTTGGTTGCTCTACAAAAGGCACGCCGTGAGCAAGCCATGAACAAGCCTAAACCTAGCAACGGCGGTCAAATGTTGGCTGATGCCGCCGTCTTTGGCGATGCAGAGAGCAGAGAAGCCAAACGCCGGAAACTAGAGGCAGCCAATGATATGTTTGGTCCTGCGCTTGGTTGAAGAGTGCAACCTGATGAAAGGCTTTACAGGCTTTAGAAAAAGAAACTCTGATTATAGCATAGCGATGTAAGAGCTGCAGGTTTACAGCACCAAAGGTTGCCGCTCTAGCGCACACAACATATCTGTGAGACGCACTTATCGCTTTCGTCATGAGGCTCTATTGGCAAACATGAACACCGCCATTGGATCACAGACTGTTCGTTCCACTATAGCGCTATGCTCTTTATGACTTATGATATAAATTAATTCCACGGCACACACTGCCTCAATGCCAAGTATATGTCTCTCCATCTCGTGTATTCAAAAACATCATCCCTCGTAGCATACGACTCCAAGTATAACGGTGTTTGTGGATGAGTCAGCCGGCGAACAACTTATAAATAGCATGTACCTCGCACTCGGGCTCGCATAGCGACAACAACCCCTCGTCATGTGCATTTCACTGTATCGAGGAAATCGGGACTTATAACATTATCCAGCACGATGGAACCTCCAAAGGGAACGCTCTGCACCAAATCTACGCTCGTCACCGCGTTTACAAACAGTGGTCTGGCAGCTGGCGACACGGTTCTTCTCCATTCATCGCTCAGCAAGATCGGATGGGTTTGCGGCGGTGCAGAGGCAGTGATTCTTGCATTACTAGAAGTGCTTGGTCCAGAAGGGACGCTGGTCGTTCCAACACATTCCTCAGATAACTCGGATCCCGCGAAATGGGAGCAGCCACCAGTGCCAAAGGAGTGGTGGGATACCATCCGCCAGAATACACCAGTTTTCAACCCCAAGACGACAAGGACACGTGGAATGGGTGCTATTGCAGAGCTGGCCCGCACGTTTCCAGGAGTACTAAGAAGCGACCACCCACAGACATCGTTTGCTGCCATTGGCCCTCGGGCAAAGTGCATCACGGACGGCCATCAACTGGACAGCATGCTGGGTGAGAATAGCCCTTTAGCGCGCCTGGAGGAGCTGAATGCCAAAATCGTCCTATTGGGCGTTGGCTTTGACGTGTGCACAATGATGCATCTCGCCGAGTACCGCCTCGAAACAACACCGCGGGAGCAAAACTCGTTTGCTTTTGAGGTGGATGGCCAACACGTTTGGAAGACAGTAGAGGATGCCGTCGTGGACAATGAGGACTTTGAGGCGATTGGTAAAGAGTTTGTCGCAGCGACAGGCCTGTATCCATCGAAAGTAGGCGATGCTTCATGCTATGTCGTCTCTGCCAAAGAGCTGGTTGTATTTACAGAAACATGGATGAAGGCTCACAGACGAAACACTGACTTGCAGACAAGCAATTGAGACGGTTATTCATATACACAAAAGAATTTCATAAGGTCAAGCTAAGAGTCCATATACCTCTACAAAAGATCTAGTCTACGAGTTATCCTCAACCCAGTGATCTTCCTCACCCCAAGGTCCAACATCTGGGCCCTTAAGCAATCGTCCACCCTTCCATACCCAGTTAATGTTTTCTCTCTTCTGCAGAATCTTGACATCTTCGACAGGATTCTCCAAAACTCCCAAGATATCAGCTTCATATCCCACCTTGAGCTGTCCCGTTAGCGGCGCCTGGCCCTTTACCGTTCGCGGAGCCGTGGCTGTAGCCGCCTTGATAGCCTCGAGATTGGACATGCCCGCCTCGACAGCATACTGTAGCTCAATAGCCATGTTATATCCGGGGCCGGTATCCGTGCCCAACGCAATAGTGACACCCTTCTTAATGGCGAGCTTGTACGCCGTCAAGTGGTTGGCGTTGGTCAGCTGCACCTTTTTCCAAATGATGGGTGGCATGTCTTTGCCGCCAGTCTTGATGAGCGCGTCCACAATAGTTCTAGTAGCGACCAATATAATGTCCTTTTCAATCATCAAATCAGCGCACTCTTCGTCCGTAAATGTGCCGTGTTCGATGGACGTGACGCCGGCGCGGGCGGCAGCCAAAATACCCGGCTTGCCATGGCAGTGAGCCGCTACGGTCCTCTCCATACGGGATGATTCTTCAACAATGGCCTCTAACTCCTCCTTGCAGAACTGTGCATACATAGGGTTGTCATCGCGAGACAAAACGCCGCCAGAAGCCAGGACCTTAATGCATTTGGCACCTCTGCGGATCTGCAGGCGGACACCGCGACGGCACTCGTCCGCGCCGTCGACGAGGCACGCCATCTGTACATTAGAGTAGCCGTGCTTGGTTCCATTGACGCCTAAATTTCCAAGAGCATCACCTGCTGGTAGGGCAAAAATGTCTCCGTGGCCAGCGGTCTGGCTTAGTGCTGCACCGGCACTATAAATGTTGGGTCCTATGATGGCACCTTCGTCAATGGCAGCAGCAATTTCGCAACCATAACCAGCTAGGTCACGCATGGAGGTGTATCCGCGCTGGATGGCTTCCCAGCACCCGCGAGCAAGCCGAGCGCCCTGACCGTAACCGTCGCCAGCAATGAAGGTGAGCCCAGCGGCGCCGCTTGAAACGACATCACCAGGATCGGAGAAGTGAGTATGGCAATCCCACAGGCCAGGCATGAGATAGGGAACATGAAATTTGCGGTGAGGTTTATCTGCGTATTTTGCTGGGATTTCAGCCGTTGTGCCTACCCAGACAATAATCTTCTTGTCCACCACGAGGGCGCCATTGGGAACTGGCTGTCCGTCGCCAGGGATTAACAGGTTGGAAGTGATGACGACGTAGGATATCTTCTTAGTGGTGGTCACTGGCTCATTTCCAATGGGCAGATACATGTCTGTTTGGCCTAGTGGACGAACATATCGCGCGTGGTATGGTGCTGATTGCGGTGTGGCGGATGATGGAACGGATGGCGCAGTCGATGTTGATGACTGGACGCCAATGGCAATGGGAATATTTCTTCGACCCATTTTTCAATTATTGGTAGCAGAATAATCTATGGTGAGTGTATTTGGCTGCAACTGTGGTGATGATGAAGGAATACGTAAGAGAAGACTGGTTCGGCATCGTGGGGCAAAGCTGGGGTAAACTCCACTTGGGTAGCGCTTTGCAGCGGCTAAGAGCAACTGTCACGAAAATAGCCTGATAAAATGAAGAAAATATGCACGCATCAAATTATATACATTAAATATTACATAAATCATTAGACATGATAACCAACGCTTTTTCCGATTAACCTGTCTTTATTGTTATCCACAGACGGGAGTACATATAGGCAATTCCGAACGCAGCTTACAAGTCGAGCGGCACTTCTTCTGTGTTGACGTCCAAAATAGGAAATACCCGAAGGTGCACTCTTTTGCCCCAAACAACACTACGCCGGCTCGGACGTGGAGGCGGACATAACGGGGATTGTCCTAAAAGAGCGCCAGACAAGGCTCTGGATGGGGCTTTAAAGAACTTTTTGCCTGTCTGAAAGCTGTATTATACGCTAAAACTTCTCTAGATATAGAGACTAAACATGAGAAAATACTAGGAGAAATTCTTTACGCCGGAAGCACTTGTACGCAGTATGCTCTGAAAAAAGTATGGGTAAGAGTAAAGTATATACATCTTTTGAATATTTTTACCCAATAGACAGATAAACCATATCTAACTATATAGAGCTGTATCGAATACCATATCTCCTTCTAAGCCTTTCGAGTTGTGAGAGATGACAGCTCGCTGACCGAGTTTCAATCAGCATCGCTTCGAGACAAGGTACGGGCAATCTCCAGACAATTCATCATATCTCTTCTTTTCGCTAACAAATGCCAACAGTTTTGCAATTATTGTGGCACTGGTGTAACCGGCGAGCATGTGAGGGGGCCAATGTCTGGGCAGTTTGCGGTCAACATCCGAGCAATACAAGACGTGAATCCGTACAATCTCGAGTAAGAGCCCCTGTCACCTATTCTGTCAACTAAAAATTAAGCTTTATTATGTAGATCCAACTTTGTGACAAAAGCTGCCAAGGAACCAGAGAGAGACGTTGAGACGGCAGCCAAGGCACGAATGTCCAACGACCAGGGTCACGAAACGGCATCATGCTACAGCGGCAAAGTACAAGCCGAGCTCCTCTTTCCCCTTTCTGAAGGGGAGATTAAAGAAGACAACTGCAGTTCGTTTGTGAGAGTGCGTATTTGGACGTCATGTCATGTATAGACTTTGTCCCTCGCTTACACAGTCCTACAGGCAGCCTATATTGGCGTTTACCCGACTCGAGATCAAGTGAAGATTACCGGGCGAGATGACACCTTTGAGTACCGTCACAGAACCAAGTTTGGCGGCGCAGCATACTGCAAGCATTGTGGTGTGCACATATACAGCAACATCTACGGCCCAAACCCGAGCATCTTTGACAAGCTGCCGCCAGAGAGGCGAGAGTTTGCGCTCAAGGTATATCACAAGAATATGTCGCTCCAACCCGTCAATGTTCGATCCATTGAGAGCCTGGACCTAAGCAAGATTCATGTGGAAAGGTCGGATGAGGGAACGGAAGGCTATGTACTAGAAGATTAGCTCTACCCGTGGCGTCGGCGGCTTTGGTGACAATCCTACCTCCACAGACTAGTTGCGCAATTCAATTACCAGTGTCGTCATAGAAGCAATTGACAGAAATGAACGTATCACTTCCGAAAAATCCCATCTCGACCGATATAGCGTGCGGCTTAACCACCAACTACCACCGCCGCCACTACCCATTCGTATCGTATCGTATCGCAGGAATCCTACTCGCCACGCCCGTTGCTGTCGTGCCCAACCCCATATTTTCTTATCTCATTGGCTGCCCATCGGCCCAGAGCGACGTGGAGAGCCACGTGTGAGGATGCGCCACTGCCACGCTACGGTGACAGCCACTGCGACGGCACTAAAACCAGAGGGGGGGGCTACTCGTTCCGTCTAGCTTGTGTATTTGTCAGGGCAGACTGTTACCCGCCGTCCTTTTGTCTCATATATGCAGTTTGTGTGTTTTCTCAGCATTTCTTTTTTGCTGTCTGTTCAGCTTCTTTCTTTTTTTCGGTGATGATGGAGGATTGATGTCCCAGCTGGGCGGTCAGCGTCTGAAACAGGGCAACGCCTTTAGCGGGCCTAACACCGCTAACGAGGGCCGCAAAGCACCCCCGCTACAGCGCAGCGGGAATGCAGGGGAAGCCGTTTCTTTGCTTCTGCCATTGTGACTGGAATGCGGATCGCATTGTGTGTGATTTTAAGCCAGTTTTTATTTGTTGGGAGCACGCGACACTAGCAAAAGGATAATGCGCATTGTCTTAGCGACGACCAACGTCAGGGGCATTTGGAAACAGTGGCAGCTTCTCTGTCCCACAAGATGCGCCTGTATATTAACTGGGAGACGAGACGGCATTTGTTTACGCGAAACTTGTCTCCTCTGCATGCAGCTCGGCCTGTCTCCAGTGATAGACAATGCATAGCCCCTAACCAACAGGGTACAAACAAACAGAAAAAATAATAAGAAAGTGGTGCATGTCTGATGATGCCATGATCAGACCCGTGCATTTTCCAAAGTGAAAGTGTGTGAATGCGCTGGCCGTGGAGACCAGCACATCGAAAAACCTAACCTCTCCGCGGCAGCCCAGCATAGTTGCTCCAGTGCTAAATAATTAGAGCTACAAGATAGACTAGTGATTCCAATAGCGCCTTATCTGACAGCCGTCCATAATTATTATACTGAAAAATATCTCCGAGACGAGGACACAAAACCACATGGGCATCTCCGATCCGCTCTTGTCAAAGACGCTGTAAAAGGGGACGCTACGCCAACAGGGGGCTACAAGGCCAACCAACAACCAAACCCACTATAAGTTTTAGGCTGAGCAGGCGAGTGAGTGAGAGCGGAGAAGGGGGCAACGGCCGAACGTGGCCTATTGCAGGGGTCTTAGCGCATTTTCCCTGGCCTGGCCATCTTTTTTTCTTTCTCCTGTTTAAGGTGGCCCAGCCAGCACAGCGCTATGTCCTTTTTTTTCTCTTGCAGTGTAGTCACTGCGCGCGAGGTGAATCACTACCTTTGTACAGAGGTACAGTGCTCTTCTGCCCGCTATACTTTGTAGTACTGTACCCAAGACCCCCCAAAGATCTCCCTGCTGTTCGTCCTTTTTCTTTTTCTTGCTGTGTTGGGGGGTGGCCTCCCTTTCCCGTCCAGCAGAACAATATATTCCCAATAAATATAATTCTTCCTCTTTCCTCTCTCTAATTTCGCTCTTGTTTTTTTTTTTTTGAAACCTTCATCCGCAACCCCCCAGTCATCAGGCGCCGCACATCCTCATTCCACACACGCTGTTTGTTTGCCTTGGGCGCTGTTCCGGCCCCTCTTCCCCCCAGTCTCCGCGGCCCCTCCACTTCTCAACCGCTGTATTTTCTGCGCCTTTCGGCACCTCTCAGCGCATAACCGAGCTTCACTGTTTTTTTCCTTTCTCTCTTTTTCTTCACATCATCTCCCTCTCCTCTTCTTCTGCAAGCATAACCGCCTCTGTACGCGCTCACTACGTCTTTCTATTCGCAATTCTCAGACACCCCGCTACGCTCTTATACAACTAGAATCCATTCCAGCCGCCCGATACAACCATGCCCGTTTCTCTTGAATCCGCTCGTCGCCCCATCATGGCCCCATCGGTGAGTTACAGCGTTACAATGCGCCCGTGTGCCTAGCACCTAAAATAACACCTTAACCTCTCGTTTTTTCTCTTTTTTCCATCTCTGCCCGTTTCTCATCTTCACAAATCATCTTTGTCTTTTCCCTTATTGCACCGCGTCGACATCTCAGCTTCGCCCCCGTTGTCAGCATCACCGACACACTCGTCTCCCCCTTCTCACCACCACCACTGCTTTCTACCGTGAAGAAAATCAACCCGCCCTAACCGACCATGGCTTCTACTCAGGCACGCACGTCGGTTCGCTACAGCACCTACTCCGTAACTCCTTCTTTCGAGACAAACGACTCTGCCCAAGGCGAGATCCGCGACATCGCTACTGGCCTCGCCCGCATGGAAAACCCCAACCTGTCGTCCCAGCGTGTCCTTCTCAACGAGGAAAAGGCCGACAACTTCCGCAAGCTTGCTCTCGGTGCCAAGCTCGATCGCGCTCTTGGTCGTCGCATGAGCAGCCAGGATGCCGTCATGCGTCCCAGAGCCCCCAAGCCCGCTTCCACGGCCACCACCATCATCGACGAGAAGCAGCAGCATCAGCTCGTTGAAAAGGTCGCCTAAGCTGTTCTCCTCTCATCCGCTAAACCTCCATTCCGCAATCATCACGACCCGCACTATGCACTCTCACATAAGCTGGCTCTTCGAGCTGCATACACTTGCAGTCAATCAATCAACTCTCTGAAATTCATGAGCGTCAAGGCATAACCTCTTCTCACCCTTGCTCTCGGGCACACTACAACACCACCATCGCTATTCTTCACGACGACAATGTCCCTATATTGGAATAATCATCCTGTCACATCTCTTTTTGACTGCTTTATCGGCGTTTTCTTTATGCTTTTTATTCACAAATGTCACTACCACCATTTCTCAATTTTTCTTTTGCGTTTCGAGTCATATCTGCCTCGCGGCTAGCATACTCTGTGTTGGAAACAAGGGAGGGCAACGAGGACAAGGAGAACGATCAAGATCTCCTGGTAGTTTAGAATTCTCGTATGCTCTGCGAAGATACTACCAACTTCGCGTCGAGCACAAAACAAATGTCTCGTCTTTTTTTAACTTTATGCATCTTCCTCTGTAATCTATGCCGATCACATCTTCTCCTTTTCTAAATTTATAACCCTTATACATAGCAGAGTTCATTTGAAATGATTCCATCGTCAAAAAAAGAAAAAATATACAGCCACTCAGCAAGCCTTTACAAGAATGTCACCGCGAACTGCCGGTCCAATCTCTTCGTTGAGACTAAATTATCGTGGCGTTTTTTGCTCCAGCTAAATTGAGACAATGACGGGGCGTGCCTGGATATATTTGCTTTTTCCTCACGCTGGCGCGCCCCAGCCTTGTCGCCTCCCCCTCCCCTCCTTACGCTTCTGCCTCTAATAGATCTGATCTGTTCCCGTCACGCTGGTATGACAAGAAGCAATTATGCTCTCATGTGACATGACCAACCCTAACAACCCATCCTGTGCCAACGAAACTACCTGTCACACGCTCCACAGTCATGCGGACTTCGAATTCACATCCAAAAATACAGTCAATAGAAAATATATCTTGCTCGATACCCCGCATGCTCTAGAAATAGTCGTACAAATTCATTATGCTTATTGCCTCCGTGCCACTCTAGCCAATGCCGAGCCATGCTCTCTAGACCCTGCGCATGACTACCATTTTCCAACACGCCTGTTTCCAAAGTAAACAGCAGCCCGTATCATCCTCGCCAATTATGCTTTATGCGGTGTATATCTTAGCGTAAATAGCAACTCTCCAGGTTATACTCCTTTAGAGGGCAGCCCGGGCCTTCTCGATTCTACCCTCAATATCCTTGAGCAGTGTCACGAGCTCGCCCTCCTCGCCCTCAACCTCAAGGCCCTTCTTCACCCACTCGCGGGCTTCTTCCAGACGGCTCATCTCCATCAAGCAGCGTCCTCTTCTCCACCAAGCCTTTGCGTTACCAACTCTTCTAGCCTCAACGCTGGCTTCGGCGTCCACGCTGCCTTCCGGCCAGTTCTGGAGCGCCATGTGGGCTTGGGCACGGTTGGCGAGCAGACCGGCAACTTCTTCTCTCACTAGAGCTTGGGGCTCCCAGAGCGGACGGTTGAGGGCAAGCTCGATCCCTGACGTGTAGATCTTAATAGCTTCGGGGTAGTTTTGCTTGCGGAACTCGGCGTTGCCATTGTCGCGAATCTTGGAGACATCGGCGCTGCGCTTAGGGTTGACGGGGATAGGGGGAGGAGGGACGCCGGCAGGGTGCTCGATCTCGAGGAGAGCGCTGTGAAGTTTGTTGAGGCTGTCGAGTTCGGCGTTGAGAGTACGTGATGAGCGGGTTGATCCGACGGTCTGGGTCTTGCCATCCAGTTGGATGGGCAGGAAGTCGAAGTGATCGAGGTCCGACATTGTGGCGGAGTATGGTGGGATGAAGTATTGTAAACTTGTATTCTAAGCTTGCACCAGTACCAGATTTCGATGCGTCTCAGGTGAAATGAAGAGTAGCGTAAGTTGGAATCGTAGAATACGATTGGAGCTGGAGATTGGATTCGCGACGAAGCTCCCGCCTACGCCAGAGGACACTTTGCTGGTCCACCTCCACTTCTTATCGCCACTTATCAGCACGTGTCCCACAGAGCTACCCGGCAAGATAAATCAACAATGCGTATTTGCAATTAGGTCAATTACCTGTAGTATTTATTTTTATTTACCTCTTACCTCTGGGTAAGTGAATATTTAGGTTTAATGCATCGAATGTACGACGTGAAATGGTAATCATTGTCGTTGTGTAAGGTGTTGTTGTCTTGTCAGTAAGTGTGCGTGGTAGTAGTACAACAGCCGTGGCTCCTACGCAAGCAACTCAGACAGACAAAGTAGTATACTGTATAGCAATGAACAAAGCTTAGTACTACAAATAGGGGACGACCACATAGATATAATTTACACGGCGAATATGATACTACACATGGATCAACACCCAACGGTAGCAGAATAGACATCACTGATATTCACATTCACAGCAGGTAGTTAAACGTTGTATATGCTTGTGTAACTTTATTTTGTTTTTTTGTGGATGGGCTGTCCTTTTCCAGGCATTGGGACAACATAAACAACAAAAAAAGAGGTTTCATCAAAAAGGTGACATGTAATAAACCATTCCATCCCTATGCCTTTCCATCATCCACTGTGTCTCGTCCCCAGGTGCATGCGATTGCTGTCCAGCAAATTCCAGTTTTTGTGTGTAAAAAGAAAGAACAAATGACCTTGTTTTCCCTTTTCCTTTTGCTCCCAACTACTGCTCCAAGTCTAATTGCAAATAACCATTTCTCATATTTTCCGGCAACAATAGCCAGTCAGCTTAGCTGCCCAATCGTCCAGTTTCTTTCACAGTCTCCTGCCAACATGGATTACATGTTGAACTCGTATCTCCAGTCGCTTGCGGTGTCTTTCTCGTGCCGAATAAGGAGCCTGGCTACTCCCATCATCTCGGATATACAGTACTAGACAACATACAACAAGCAGCTAGAGAGTTGCGACAGAATGAAAATCATCGGAAGAAAGGAGAACCAGTTGACTTGGCTTAGTAGCCGAAAGAGGCAAGAGCAGCCGTTGTTGCGCTCTTGGTGGCAGCGTTCTTCTTGGCGTCGGACAGTTGGCGGGCGGCAACCTTCTTGCGCTCGTAGTAAGCGGCACCCTTGGCCTTTCTTCTCTCCTCGAGGCGGGCAACGACGTCAGAGTACTTCCAGCCGACCTCTTGGCTGAGACGACCGACAGTGCAGTACTTGCGGCCGGGCTGGAGGCGAAGGACACGGAGGGCCTGGGGGACGACCATCTTCTTCTTCTTGTCGTAAGGGGGAGGGACACCCTCGAAGACCTTGAGGCGCTCAAGAGCGGCGGCACCACGGGCAGTCTTGTGGGGAATCATGCCGCGGATGGCCTTGTAGAAGATGCGGGAAGGAGCACGGAAGTGGAAGGGACCACCACGGGTGCGGTTGAAACGGGTGGCCTTGCGGAGGTAGGCGTGGTACTTGACTGCAGCGGGTGTTAGCAAGAGATATTTCTTGAATGAGGCAGGCCATGCCACTACCATCACCATCATGGACAGGTGTGGTGGTGGCCGTGGTCTATGGGTGAAGACGTACGCTTAGAGCGGAAGAACTCGCCGGAGATGTTGAGGGCCTCGCAGCGGACGACAACAATCTTCTGGCCAGCAAGGAGCTGCTTAGCAACGGTGGAAGCCAGGCGACCGAGGAGGTGGCCCTTGCCATCGATGATGACCTAGGAGTTTTGGTTAGTTCGAATGTTCGTCAGTAGGCCGTACCAGCCCATCTTCTCTGCGACTAGTTCTTGACTCGACTGTGTCTTGGCTTGTGAAAGGATTGGTAGTCGTGTATTGAGAGAGTGAAGGATGTCTTTGTAGTATCCTGTGGCCCAAGACACCATACCATTGTAGGTATTGGGGTGTCCATCAGCCATCCCACTTCTCTCGCGATATCGAGGCAGATCAAGCCAATGTGGTTGCTGATTGTTTGCGCGGTGCAATTCGATAGTTGCTAATCCATTCCCACCAAGCAAGACACAGAAGAAGTCATGAAGTATAGGCGTTCGAGTCGAAAAGGCTGGCGGATCGTGGCCGTGAAAAAGTGTTTGGGGCGGTACTCACAACCGACTCGAAGGACGACATCGTAACCGATTTGTGATGGAAAAGAGTAAAAGAAGGGAATTAAACAGACGGTATAAGACAAGCAAATTCTCTCACAAACCAAACGGATGCAAGAAGAGAATCTGATTGCTAGCTGCTGGGTTAGTCGAGCGTCTTCCCTGTGGGCGGTTGGAGAGGCGAAGAGGAGGGTTTTCGCGAATAAGGTGGACTAAAAGTCAAATCAGGTGGTTTGCCCCAGCGCTGCCCACAAGGTGCGCAGCGATTATTTTTCCTGTGTGCGAGGTAAGCCACTAAGCCTAATTCGTCAGTGCACCAAGGGCTACGCCGAGCGAACATTTTAGGGCATGGAACCTACTACGCGGAGAGGTTGAGCTGACTAATGTGGAGAATTTCGCAGCACAATCAGCACGTGATCTTGCCGATAAGCAATGACATACTTCTTGAACCTGCGATCTATGGATCCGGGAACTAAAATAAGTATGGGGATGTAGACGTTAGGCGACAATGGCTATATGACATCAGGTGAGGCTAAGTAGCAATAGCCGTATTTGGGCCGGGTTCGCTGTCTCGAAAGTTTTGCATTATATATCTCGACTTTCTGTATATTTGGCTCCAAAACATTGCATTGATAAAGAACAAATTTGTCTATATATTTGGTCTGTAGGTCTGTAATCTTCCTCTCTTCTATGATGCCTTGGCGCTGTCCAGTTGTCGTAGTGTAGCCTCAACCTCTTTTACAATGGCTCTTCTCTTGTTGCGAATCTCTTCGTTGCCGCCAGTCTCCACGGCATCTAGCTTCAGAATAATTTGTGCCATAATAGATTCCGACAGCTTGCGGTGCTCCTCCTCTCGCTTCTTAGGGTCTGCTGGCGGTGCAGCCAAGTATTCTTCGCACAATGGCAGCCACTCCACAAGGTATTTGTTGCGAAGGCTATCGAGAACTTCAAATGGTCCGGAAGGCTGGGCCGGCGAGGGCTGTGGAGATCGAGGGGAGCTGATGGTAGACGTGTTGCTAGCTGAGTCACGGCTCTCCTTCTTCTTCTTGTTATGGCTCTTCTTCTTATTCTTGCGCTTTTGCGCTCTCGTTTCCTCTTCGCTGACGATGATGGTATCGTCAAGATCTGCAGGCGCTAGGCGCTCCTCCTCGGGAACAACGGCCATGAGTTCGCTCTTATTCTTAATACCGTACTCACGGACAGTGGCCTCAGGATCTTTAAGCTGTCTGCCTTTGTAGAGCAACTTGATACGATGGGTTCGTCTATCCGAGAGACCCATCAGTAGTCCAATTCTATGCTTTACATCCTTGACGAGCAGTTTGCCATCTCCAATAGCGTAAGGTGGGAAGTGGGCCGGGTATGTAACACCTTGGTTTTTGATGATCAGGACGTCGTCACTCTCGTCGCGGTGAGTTCTGCGGCTGTGGCGCACATCGTCTAGATCTTGGGAAGTAATGTAGCTAAAGTCATCCTCTGTGACTGTAGGTACACCACCCCGCATCGATGTGTAAGGCGAGCTGCCTTCTCGATGGAGCGACCAACCGTAGCGAGACATTGTCAAAGGAACGGCTACTAAAGCAGCGACACTTCCGTAAACGACGCTAGGGGGAACTCCAAGGGTCTGGGAGATGTACTCGTTCGAGTCGTTAACAACAGCGGAGAGCTGGCCAATAGTACCGGCGAGATATGCGGAAAGGTTCTGCAAGGCACCAGCAGAGGATGCCACCCCAGGTGTGCTGGAAGCCACTTTGGCGGGGATCCGGAAGGCGGCCTGGAATCAGGTCACCTTTTAACGGCTGCAGCGAACTTTATTCGGTCGAGGGGCTGATCGAGATTGATGCGTGGTGCGCTGGTGATGCGCTGGCGATGGCGTCGAGGTCGAAAGGGTGAATGGGTCCGTGACAACGCAATTCAAGCGCAGTGACGGATTTGAATAGATTGGACAGGCAACCAGGGTGTGTCTCTGATTGAGTCGACGTTGCACGACGAAGGAGATGTTGTGCGAGTATGCAAATTGATGGCAGCGCAGAGCTGGACTCGTACGCTTTTTTTTTGGTTGCGCCAGGTTGTCAACAGCAAGGGAGGGTCGCGGACGAGGCCAAGGTGGCCCGGGGCTAAAAGTGGCCGCCTACTGGGCATTGCCACGCTGAGGATGGCTCCAGTGCTTCATAGTGAAGCTGTCCCTGCTGGGTTAGAGGTTCTTGAAGAATTCTCTAAAAATATTCCATAAACCAGAAAGTCTGCAATAAGTACCATATTGATTTTGAAAGCATTTAATGTAATCATTAGAATTGTATTGGTTGTGATGGTCGGCGCTCGGGGCTTCCATGTCTTGGTCATGGTCATCTGCGGTGGATTATAAAGCATATCAATAACTAAATAAATAGAAGAGGATATCTAGCCATCAGACTTGTAATTCCAAATATTTTCCCTGTACTATTTTTTCTTTGTAACGGAGCACGGCCGAGCATTTGTAATTCGCACTATTCGCCGCCAAAGCCCGACCGATCTCCGCTCAAGCCACACTCCCTTTTTCAGCCACAGGCGCAAAACAGAACCTGGAATCATTGCATCATATTCGCCATTCGTCCACGGGAGGCACCTCCCCACCTTCACCCTCGCCTATAAAGACACTTCTGCAGCCTGTCGTTGCAACGCAGCCTCACACCATCCTCAATGAACATTTTCAGATCTCTCTTCTCCACATCCTCAAGAATATCTCCCGCAATGGCTTCCCAAAAGGTCCAGTCTCTCATCGACGAGAACACCGTCAGTACGTTATTCGCGCCCGCATCCGTTCGCCGCCTCAATCCCACGCATCTCGCTAACATGAAACACCAGTGGTCTTCTCCAAGTCTTACTGCCCTTACTGCCGCTCTACCAAGCAGCTCCTCGAGAAGTCGGGCGCCATCTACAAGGCCATTGAGCTTGACCAGGAATGTACGTAGTAACCGTCCTCCACGACCGCACAATCAGCGCGCGCGCAACGCTAACGTTCTACACAGCCGACGGCAGCGACCTTCAGAATGCGCTTGAGGGCATCTCCGGCCAGCGCACCGTTCCCAACATCTACATCCAGCAAAAGCACATTGGTGGCAACTCCGACCTGCAGAGCCTTGCCAACGGCGGCAAGCTCGACAAGCTCCTCCAGGAGAATGGCGCAGTTAAGGCGTAAGCGTTTCCCACAGTCCTCCTTATCGATTCGCCAAATAGATACAACCACTATGACATAGAATGGCGTCGAGGTATGGCATTTACTGATGGGCCCTCTGTATAGCTCACGTTTATAGATAGAGTGCTAGCGAACATGGGACACCTAGCCGTTTTAAACCTTAATGCCAAAAAGTAACGAAACTAAACTTGAGTTCTAATGTGATTTATTATGAATGGGGTTGTCATTCGCATATTACATTGTGATACATAGGCTGTAGCCTTCTCTTGTCTAACCTAGCCACTTTTAGACGACCTGAGTCGCAACTGTTCCTACCGGTCTCTCCACGAACTCCATCACACCCTCGATAATATTTTGGCGCGCAGGCTCAGATGCAACATTCTTACCAGCCAGATAGTTGAGCCAGAGCAGACGTGACAGGCGTTCGTCTGCTACCTGCCCAAGAGCCTGTCGACTCTGCGGCTCACCAGCCACGGCAGTGTCGGAAGTGTATGTAACCTTGAGCTGGCCGCGCGCATCACGGCAAAGCAACATCTCTCTCTGCTTCGGTACCTTGCCACGACTAAAGAGTCCCTTGAAGTCTTTCATGGCCTCACCAAAATCCTCGTCGTTGTATGCCTGCTTCTGCAGGTTGGAACGTGCGGCAATTGCTCGTACAAAGCCATCGCGCAAGTGATGGAAATCGGTGTCGCGCACTGGCGAGATGCGGAAGACGCTACGGCAGCCAGATTCCTGGAGCAGCTCGTCCCATAGCTGCTCGCCTTCCTTGGGGTCTAATAGTCTTTGGCGAAGTTCGTCTTTTTCTGATGGGATAAGAGTTGTCGCCAGAGGGTTAATCTTCTTAACCAAATAATGCTGGAGTTTGGCAATGTCTTGTGTAGCGACATACCAGCCGACAAGGTATACTTGAATGCCGAGGAAAGTAACTGTACGCATACCAAGGCCAACCAGAGTGTACTCATCCTGGCCGGCCGCCGCAATGCTCGTGACGTTGTCATTGCCAGATCCATCTAGTGTCAGCAACCTGGGGAAAGCCTTCACAACGCTGTTTCCAGTAGGAACAATCTCATTTCCTTGGTCATCATGAACAACAAGCTTGCGCTTCTCCCCCGCCTCTGTCTTGAATGTCTCTGTCGGGATCTCAGTGTCGCATTTTGCCGCAAGTTTCGCCTTTTCTTTGTCGAGGTCAATTGACTGCTTCAACTTCCACGCTGTATATATAGATGCTAGAATTCCGGCAGCAGCTCCAGCGGTAAGAAATGCGGTGCGATTGCTCTCATACTCGCGGCGTCTGTTGTGAATCTGGTTGACGTCGAGATTCGAGGACAGTTTGCTGAAGGCGCCCTTTGTCGCTAGGCTACGGCAGGGGGCAAAGGCGCCAATACGCGATGTACCCCGCGTAAGAGATCGCAAGACAGGTGGTCGCAACATGTTGAAACTGTGTGTTGGGCAATTGATATTCGTTGGCAGACGACACGATTGAAGATTACTACGGAGGTTCGCAGATTGGGTCGAACGCCTCAGAGTGGCTCTCACGTGAGAATGACATCACTAAGTGTAGACTGGCTCCGTGAAGGGATGCGCGCGGGCTAACACTAAGTGTTGTATAAAATGGTGTAAAAATAAATAAAAATAATAATTGTATCAATTTGTTATGAAAATCCGAAATGGAGGCCGTATATGCGATTTAAATCTGTGAATGTTGAAGTATGTTACGGTTTAGGAGCGATGGCTGGTTCTTCACCTAAAACATTGTAGTGGTATGAAGCTGGGACTCCACCTTGCTGCGAGGCAGGTTGACAAGGATCCCGCGAAAAGAAAAAGTATTAAAAATTACAAGCCTTTAATTTTACAAATAGCTGCAAGGGAACACAACATAGGTGGTGCATGTGCCGCTCTGGTGGCGGCGAGCCTTACCTGATGGAGATATAACGACCATGTACTAGTAGAAGAAGACGCTTCTATTGAAGTGCCGAATCATGCTCCTGGACAATTGGAACGCCACCATTGATAATGGTCATATAGCTGTTCTGAGTCATAGCAAAACTACTGAAAACGAGGCCTCCGGGGAGTACCGCTGTTGCCGATGCTGCCATAAAGGATTGTACCAACATAGACGACGAATAGGAAATTAAAATGACGACGACGATCCGATCCGATTTGCAAAACAGGACCGCGCCTCAACAATCGTCACTACGTGCGTAAGTAGCGAGGCGCAATACCCAGCACTGCAACGTCCCAGCTGGCCCTGGTTATCTCGCAAGTATTGGCAAATCTGGGCGACGGAGTTGGTGATGAAGTCCAATGCCGCAACCCCGGAGGCGCGCCGGCGATATCCACACACACCTCTTGGACCGCGGACTCAAAGGGGCCCGGGACCACAATGCTGGACAAGTTCCCACTTGGTCCAGGCGAGCGGGAGACGAGTCCAGCTCGTCCTAGTCGGAAGGCCCTTGTCCCATCCGATTAAGAGATGACAAAACCAGGATAAGAACCTGACGACGTGCATTGACGCTCGATTCCCGGCTTACGTACGATGTTTGTTTGCATCGAGCTTTTGCTTGTCCTCCCCCGCACTTTTGCTGCTGCGTTGTGGAGCTGCTCGGCTACTCTCTCGTCTAATGTGCCTTCAATTCAATAGGTGGTGGTGGTGGTGGTGCACTTGTGCTAGTCCATTAGCGGTTGAGATGTGCAGCGCCGTCCCAACAGCAAATAAACAGCCCCGGGTATTGAAAATTAGGATCCCAGCCCCCGCCGTCATACTTGTACTCGGGCGCTGGAAAAGAGCCGATTAACTACGCCAACATAGGCCAGGCTGGGGCCCCGGAAAACTATCGGGGAAATCTTCGCTGAAATACATTGTTGGCTTCCCTTACCCGCACCAACCACAAGCTGCTGGGGCACAATATCCCCTCTTTTTGCCCCGGACCGACAACTTTGGCAACGCCACCTCTGTAATGATTTGATAGCCGACGGAGAAATTCAGTATTTGCGGCAAGCTTATTGGACACGAGCATAGAAATTGAGGAGGCCATCGTCGTTGCCCAGGCTAAAAGGTGGGGGGCAGGCTGGGGGAGGGGAAAGCTTCTCCTCACCGTAACCGTAAAAAAACAAGCTTCATGCAAGCGGCAGCTGCAATGAGACTCCCCGGATGGCCAGTTTAAATACCGCCGTTGCCGCGATCGTCGCTTTGGTGGTTTCTGGAATACTGGCCAACCCTTCTAGTTATTTGACTGCTGCTCTTGATAACATGTTTGGTAAAACTCAGCAGCGCGTTCTCGCCACGCTGGGTGTCGCGTCCAGCCTCTCTGGTGCGCTTGCAGCCGATCCCAGTAAGTAGAAGCCTTTGTTTGGGGCTGCTCGATTGTCCTTTGTTTCATTTCTTGCAGTCTCTAACCAATTTTTTTTTTACCTCCTCATAGTTGCTGTCGATGGTACACACTTTGCTCTCAACGGAGATGGCTTCTCCTACCGCTTTCATGTGGATAACTCCACTGGCGATCTGATCTCAGATCACTTCGGCGGCCTCGTCACCGAAAATGGTATTATGGAAGCCATCGACCCTATCCAAGGTTGGGTTAACCTCATCGGCCGCCAGCGTCGTGAGTTCCCGGATATTGGCCGTGGTGACTTCCGAACGCCAGCTGTTCAGATCCGACAGTCATCTGGGTCTGTAGTCAGCGACTTCCAGTACAAGTCGCATGATGTGAGCAAGGGCAAGCCTGCTCTCAACGGTCTCCCTTCCACGTTTGGCAAAGACGATGATGTCTCGACTCTTGTTGTGCACATGTACGACAACTACAGCTCCATCGCTGCAGACCTCTCTTACTCGGTCTTCCCCAAGCACAATGCGATTGTTCGCAGCGTCAACATTACCAACCAGGGCAAAGGCAACATCACTATTGAACGATTGGCCAGTCTGAGCGTTGATTTGCCCTATGGCGAATTTGACATGCTCGAGCTGCGTGGTGACTGGTTCCGTGAAGCCCACCGTGTTCGCCGAAAAGTAGAATATGGTACGCAAGGGTAAGTTGATTTCTTGCTGTTGTTTCCACAAACTTAATCGCTAATGCAAAGTAGATTCGGCAGCAACACGGGCTACTCATCGCACTTGCATAACCCATTCCTCGCTCTAGTTTCCCCTTCGGCCACCGAAACCCATGGCGAAGCATGGGGTTTTTCTCTCGTCTACACAGGTTCATTTGCCGTCGAAGTCGAGCGCGGATCTCAAGGCTCAGTCCGTACGGTAATGGGTGTCAACCCCGCCCAATTTTCATGGCCACTTGGCCCCGGCGAGACTTTCACCTCGCCCGAAGTTGTTGCTGTCTACTCTGATTCTGGAATTGGCGAAATGTCCCGCAAGTTTCATCGTCTGTACCGTAGCCATCTCATCAAGAGCAAATATGCGACGGAGACACGCCCACCCCTGCTCAACAGCTGGGAGGGCCTTGGATTCGACTACAACGAAACTACCATTTACCGTCTCGCACAACACACCGCTGACCTCGGTATGAAACTCTTTGTCCTTGATGATGGATGGTTTGGTGTCAAGCACCCGCGCATCAACGACCACGCTGGACTTGGTGACTGGGAGGTCAACCCCAAGCGCTTCCCCCATGGTCTCCCCGCTCTTGTTGGAAACATCACGGCTCTAAAAGTGAATAACACTGACGACAAGCTGAAGTTTGGCCTGTGGTTTGAGCCCGAAATGGTCAACCCCAACTCGACACTGTACGAGGACCACCCTGACTGGGCGATGCATGCGGGAGACTACCCCCGTTCGCTTACCCGTAACCAGCTGGTTCTGAACCTCGGTCTACCTGAAGTCCAGGACTATATTGTCGAAGTCATGTCCAATATTCTCGGCAACTCTAGCATCTCCTACGTCAAGTGGGACAACAACCGTGGTATCCATGAGGCTCCTCACTCTTACAGCGGACATGCCTACATGCTGGGCATGTACAAGGTTTTTGAGCGACTGACTTCCAAATTCCCTGATATCATCTGGGAAGGATGCGCTTCTGGTGGTGGTCGATTTGATCCCGGCGTGCTCCAATACTTTCCTCAGATCTGGACGTCTGACGATACAGACGCCGGTGAGCGCATCACTATCCAGTTTGGTACATCACTTGTCTATCCTCCTTCAGCCATGGCAGCTCATGTTTCCAACGCACCAAATGGATTGACCCAGCGCAACACCACTATCATGTTCCGTGCCCACGTTGCCATGATGGGTGGATCCTTCGGCTTTGAGCTCAACCCTGACGACATATCAGAATCTGACCGCGCTGCCGTACCCCAAATTCTCAGCCTTGCAGACAAGGTCAACCCCATTGTCATCAAGGGCGACATGTACCGTCTGAACTTGCCCGAGGACTCCAACTGGCCTGCGGCCCTTTTCGTCTCAGAGGACGGCAACAAGGCGGCACTCTTCCTGTTCCAGTTGCAGGCACACTATAATAACCTCTTCCCACCAGTTCGCCTTCAAGGCTTGGATGCCAAGGCTAATTACAAGGTGGATGGTAACCAGACACTATCTGGTGCAACACTGATGAACTTTGGCCTGCAATACAATTTCCAGGGCGACTACGAGAGCCGAGTTGTCTTGCTCGAAAAGCAATAGTGGGCTGTAATTAGTTGCTTATCTCTGTGCATACCCTCCGGATAGTTGCCGTATTGAGCAACATGAGTAATGAAGTAATTAGCTTTTAATTGAATATTCCTTTTTGAATAGATTTCCTATCCCGGCTTGGCGACTCGCAACTACTTCTAGACTTTGCGCCAACCCTTTAATAACATGCAACATGACTGGCTCAGGGCTGCGGCTCGCCGGCACTAGTGCCCGCCACAGCTCAGGGGGCCCCCTGAAAGCGCCCCTTTACAGTGGAACACGGCCGCTAGAGGTTCCCTAATTCAGAGGCAAGACACTGCGATTCAGGTTTGCGACGGCCCCAATTATGCTACAGTGTGTGGCTTGCTGAACGGCACACTACTTCCCTGACACAATAGTGTTCTGGTGTGTGATTCTTATGGTATGTTTATGCTACCACTGAATTCAGCAAAGCTCTGCACACCAGGGGACTTTGTAATCCAATACTAGATGCGACAACCCGTGCCGCAGACTGAGCGCACCGTCACGTGCGACGATTCTTGTCGCGCGTGCCGACAGGTGACTGCCGGTTTGTTGCAGAAGGCCAGCGGACTTTCAGGCTTGCCAGTGGCACGGGTGGCACTAGCTGGCACCTGCACTTTGCTCCGACGCTAGCGCTAAATATGGAAAAATAGGGTCACATCCCAACTGAGCAACACCGCGAGCACACCCAGTAGGCACCTTTTAGCGTCTCTGGCGCTGGGTTAGTGCCCGGTCCAGTGCTGTGTCGCAGCGGCCCGCGGCTGGCGGCTACAAGGCTTTGGGGGCATCCCGGTCTGCCGTGTTTCGTTTAGCAGCCTTTTGGTGGTGTGGTACAAGACGTCGTACCGTATCTACATTTCTGCCGGTCATGCCACTTGGCGTACTTGGCTTGCTGTGCTGCTTTCTCAGCCCATGCAACTAGATTGGTGGTATTGTTTTTTTCAGGCGCGGCTGCTTGTTGTAGTGAATGTGGCCATGGCGGGCAGCTGGCAGGTTGGCCATTGCCAGCTGGCGATTTGATATACAACAATCACCACCGCTTGATTCACCCTTTTCATCTCCCAACAAAAAAAGAACAATCACACAAAACAAAAACCTGCACAACTCGTTTCTTTGATTCCACAAACACCGCCTCTTCCCCCTGTCCGCCGTCGTCACAAGGCCCCGCGGCCTGTACTTGGCGTCTACGGATTTCGGATTTCGATGTTGAAACCTGCGTCGTCACCGTGCATCGGTCAAATCAAAGTACAATCTAGCCCCAATAGAATGCTACGCACCGGAGCAAAAAAGTAAATCAAGCACTGGCCACTGTTTAAGCCCCTCCCCCCGCCCTAACGCCGCCTGTTCCGACACTTCGTCTGCCCTTGTTGGTCGATCCTGGTGACCAGAGCAAGGCGAAGCAAAGAGCGCCGCAGTGCACACACGGCCCAGGTCGTGTGTCCCTTTAAAACATCCGCGGCACCCAGCACAGGTGCTCAAAGCTGGCTCTCTTTCTTTTCCCTGGATTCATATTTTCTTTCAGATCCTCTTGCAAATTTTAATACAAAAAACAAGTTGTCAAGATTTTTCTTTGCCTCTTGCACTGCATCATACTTTTACGTATAAGCTTTGTTGCCCAACACATACAAAACCACACCATAGTTGCAGCGGCCGCGGAGGGTCCTCCACCGTACTCATGCCATCATTGGTTCAGCCTGCCCTTTCGATAAAGGCGCCAACCACACCAAGGAAAGAGGGGGCGCCGACACCAACTAAACTTGCCGCCTCCCTCCTCCCGCATGACTTGTCCTTGAACCTGCACAACCTCGCCATCGCCAACCATCAACAACAACTTTTGCGCACCGACGCAGAAGCATACGCAGTCATGGCCACACGACTGGATGTCTCCCCCGACCGGGATGACGATTCACGCTCTTCATCAACGAGCGGCTCCCCCGCTCCTGTCGACAACGAAGAGTCCGACTTCTTTTTAGGCGCCAACGACTCCCAGTCCTCGCTCGGCGTCGTCAACTTCCAGGACATGCAGGTCCTCGACGACTCGTGCTGGCCTCCAGTCAACCGCTTGCCCAATGAAATCCTCATCAGCATTTTTGCAAAGCTCAGCGCCAGCTCCGACCTCTTCCGCGCGATGCTCGTGTGCAAGCGGTGGACCAGAAACGCCGTCGATCTCCTCTGGCACCGCCCTGCCTGCACCAACTGGAAGAGCCACGAGAACATCTGCCAGACCCTTGGTAGCCCCAAGCCTTTTTTCAACTACAGAGATTTTGTCAAGCGCCTTAACTTGGCCAGCATCGCCAACGGTGTTAACGACGGTAGCGTGTTGCCCCTTGCCGTCTGCAGCCGTGTTGAGCGCCTCACCTTGACCAACTGCACTGGCCTCACAGACACCGGCCTCATTGCTTTACTCCAAAACAACGCGTCCCTCCTCGCCCTCGATGTCTCCAACGACCGCAACATCACTGAAAAGTCTATTAATGTCATCGCCGAACACTGCCGACGCCTACAGGGCCTCAACATTTCCGGCTGCACAGCCATCTCAAACGACAGCCTCGTCAACCTTGCCGAGAACTGCAAATCTATCAAACGCGTACGTGTTGCAAATTCTTTTCTCTCTCTCTCTCTCTTGTATATACCCTTGCTTTTTTGCACTTGCCCCTCTTTCCCTTTCCGCATCTATCTTGCGTCATCATCGCGATTCATTTTTTTTAAACTTCTGACGCCCCGTTCTCGACTACGTCGGGTTTCCCGACGGACTCCGAAACACCGTTTGCTGACATTCTTGTCCGCCTGCAGCTCAAGCTCAACGATTGCACCCAGATCCGCGATTACGCGGTAAATGCCTTCGCCGAGAACTGCCCGAACATCCTGGAAATCGACTTGCAGCAGTGTGCTCAGATCACCAATGCCCCCATCACCTCGTTAATGGCAAGGGGCAACTGTCTTCGTGAACTGAGGCTCGCTTCTTGCGATCTTATCGATGATGCGGCCTTCTTGTCGCTCCCGCCTGGCAAAACATTTGAACACCTTCGTATTCTGGATCTCACAAACTGCGCCCGCCTCACTGATGCTGCTGTGACCACCATTATCGAGGTGGCACCCCGCCTTCGTAACTTGGTTCTTGCCAAATGCCGCAACATCACGGATGTTGCAGTCCACGCTATTTCCAAGCTTGGCAAGAATTTGCACTACGTTCACTTAGGACACTGTGCCCAGATCACAGATGAGGGTGTCAAGAAGCTCGTCACCAGCTGCAGCCGTATCAGATACATCGACTTGGGCTGCTGCACTAACCTCACCGACGACTCTGTCAAACGCTTAGCCCTACTTCCAAAGCTCAAGAGAATTGGTCTCGTCAAGTGCAACTCCATCACGGACGAGTCCATCTTCACACTTGCAGAGGTGGCGAGAAAGCCACGTCTTCGAAGAGATTCGAACGGCTTGTTCATTGGTGGCGAATATTATTCGTCCAGCTTAGAGCGCGTCCATCTAAGCTACTGCGTTAACCTCACACTAAAGAGCATCATGAAACTGCTCAACTCTTGCCCGCGCTTGACCCATCTCAGTTTGACCGGAGTAGCCGCGTTCCAACGCGAAGACTTCGCGCCATTCTGCCGCACACCACCACCAGAGTTCACCCAGCATCAGCGTGATGTCTTCTGTGTCTTCTCAGGGGTTATGGTCTCTCGTTTCCGCGACTTTCTCAATACATCACCCTTGTTTGAAGAGATTCGTGAACCTTTTGTTGCGATGCGCGCTGGCAGACCTCGAGGCTCTATTGGCTCTCGACGCTTCTCCGCCGGTGTGAATCCCATCCCTCCGTTCGACGACATGTACGAATTCGACGGTAACGGTGGAGATAACGAAGAGGTTGAGAACTATGGACCTACCTCGACGCAGCACCCAGTATACCATGCTGGCCCCGCTGAAGTTGACACACTGGACATGGCTACTGACCAAATGATGCAAAACTTTGGAAGCGGCGTCGCCCCACCCATCTTTGGCCAAGTCAACTATGGTGGTGAGAGTGCTTCTTCTGCTCAGCAAGAAGGACTATTCCAGGGTTATAATGGCCCTGGAATGATGTCGACGTTCATCACCAATGATCCTACCGTCGACGCACCTCCTTTGAGTGCTTTTGGTCATACCCAGGCTAGCATGGCGGGCGTCTCGGTGGATGGCTCTCTTCCTCAGGCTAGTGCTGCCGGTGCTAGCTCTGCTGTTGGGGCCAGCACAGCTGCAATGCATCTACAGCCTCCAGAGACACGAGAGAGACAATTGTCTGTGGACGAGATGTCAAGTGAGGGCGGCTTTTAAAGCGACAGCAACTTGCTTCGTCAGGCCGATTATATTCATGATTTCTTTTTTGTTCATCATTACTGCATTGATAAAGCGGGCTAATCAGGGACTACTGTATATTGGAGTCTACGCGCCAGTGCGGTACTGGCGTGGTTGGAATTTGTCTTTTTGGCGTCTTGAGATTTTCTTTTGCACAAATCGTTCATAAGCATTTGTATTAGCATGGCTACTCGCCACTGGATTGTGAAAGGCATGAGTCGAATATACCAATTTGCAGCAGGAGGGCGAATGTTTTTTGGCGTGTTACAAACGCTGAACACGACGACTTACGAATACATTACATAGCAAATATCATATACCGTTATAACAAGATACGAATCGCGTCATAGAGTGATGTTTTAAATTAAAGGAAATATGGTATAATGCGCCCCGATAAAAAGCAAGGAGGAATAGAAGTACACTGCACAAATAGTCGGCTAGACGACTTCCTTTGGTGCCTTCTCGTGAGTGCTGGAAGCAGACGACGCAGAGGCGCTGAGGCTCACGCCAGCATCAGCAAAGTGACGCTTAATCTCAACATAGTCGTAAGCAAACTCTCCAAGCTGGCAGTCATCAATGCCAACATCTTCGTCTTCAGCTGTAACGCGGAGGGACATGCCAGGAACAAGGTTCATGAGGAACAGAATGAGGCAAGACAGGCCAAAGGACCAGGCGAACGCTGCGCAGGTACCGGCAAGCTGGTAACCCAGCTGAATCCAGTTGCCCTCAATCCAGCCGATTGGGGCGTGTGATGAACCATCTAAATCGGCAATCCATGATCTATTAAACAGTTAGCATTAGAAACGTACCGAATACAGATTTTCCCTTTTGAATGATTAAGTACTTACGCTCCAAAGATACCAGTAAGAAGGTTGCCTACCATTCCACCGACGCCGTGGACAGCAAAGATGTCCAGAGCATCATCTACACCCAAGAGGAACTTGAGCTTGGTGGCGAAGTTGCAGCACACACCACCAGCAACACCAATGATAACGGCAGCCCAAGTTGGGACAAAGCCGGCGGCGGGTGTGATGGCGACGAGGCCGGCGATGGCACCAGAGCAGAAGCCGATAGTGCTCCATTTGCGCTCTAGACGATAGTCGAGTAGGACCCAAGCAATACCAGCACACGAGGCCGCAAGGTGGGTAACGTAGCAGGCCATGATGGCACGCAGGTTCATGGACAGGGCCGAGCCACCGTTGAAGCCGAACCAGCCGACCCAGAGGAAGACGGTGCCCAAAAGGACGTTGGTGACGCTGTGAGGGCGGTAGGGCAAGCCAGCGTTAGAGGTATACCCGGCACGCTTTCCAAGCATTAGAGAGTACGCTAGGGCGCAGGCACCGGAAGAAACGTGAACGGGGCCGCCCCCAGCAAAATCGTAAGAAGGCAGCTTGGCGAGCCAACCGTTAGCGTTCCAGGTCCAGTAAGCGATGGGATCGTAGACGGCTGTGGACCAGATGAACATGAAGACGATGGCGGGCAACATGCGGCCTCTGTCAGCGACGGCACCGATAGCGAGAGCAGGTCTGCAATCGACGTTAGCAAAAGATGTGGACTAGGTCAGTGAAGAACTTACGTGATCGCAGCAAACATGCCCTGGTAGAGACAGAAGAGAATGTCGGGCATGGCGCTGGAACCGTTGGGCTGGGCCAGGGTCTTCATAAGGCCAAACTGGGAGAGGTCGCCGAGGAAGGAGTTGCCGGTTCGCGAGAAAGTAAGCGAATAGCCCCAGAAGAACCACTGGAAACCAATGACAGCGACAGACAGCATGGAGAGAAGAACAAGCTGGAGGGCCGACTTGCGACGAGCAAGGCCGGAATAGAAGAAGCCGACGCCGGGAATCATGAGAAGCACCAATAGCGATGAGATGGCAATGAAGGTCATGTGTCCGGTCTAAAAAGCCGAGTGTTAGCAGCGGGGGAACTCATGTTGGTCATTTGAGAGGGTATGACACACGTCGTAGAAGATGTTGAGGTCCGGGACATCAGCTGAGTAACCGGGATCGGCCACCCCAGTGGTGCCGTTGTATGCTACAGTCGCCATGGTCTTGGTATCGAGCGATAGTGGCTGCTATCAAGAAAGTCACAAGTGATGGAATACGGAATCGAGGAAGAAGTGGTGTAGAGGGAGTGGACGAGGACAACTTCATATAGAGATCGACTGAGGCGCCAGAGCCCAGACTGCTGGGTCCGTTGCCGGAGGGTGCTCCGTCTTATCAATTCTCTATCATAAGAAACGGTAGTTTGCTGTGAGTTGCCAATAATTGGTGAGCAGTCGACCAACCGGGACGTTGCGCGGCCGCCTCAGCGCCGTTGATAAGAGCGGCTGATGATGTGAGGCGGCGCCTGAGCGGCTTCTGCTCGGTAGCGAGCACGGGTTTGATAAGGCTGTGATAAGATTGTACGGATTGGCATGCTTGGCACGTTGTCGGACCTGGGGTAAGTAGTAGTGCAGGGGCACGAGCGGGTAATCATGAGGCTAAGTCCATGTGGGATGGCTGGCTCGTCTCGTGTTGTATATACGCAATGGTTGATAGGCTGGGTTATCAAGGTTAAAGTTGATGGGATCAGCAAACCATCCTTTATGCCTTCTATGCATACTTGTTTGGTAGCGTTGTACCAAGGGTTTCAACGAGTCTATGCCTTTATTTCCTTGTGTTGTCCGTCTTGGAGTCTGAGTACAACACGCAGGAATCATGGCTTACAGCTTGACAGGGCTCACCGTATACTAGAAACCCGCCGTTTGTCGTTGTCGCCCAAGTACATCTCGACTCCGTGATTTTCCGACCTGCGGCGCAAGCCAAGTCCATTGTTGGATGTAATCGACGGGCTTTCTTATCGACGTGCGCCAGTGCGCGACGGCTCAGGGCCCGATTCAGCAACTTGTGGCTTGTGGGGTGACCAGTTCCGTTATCTCTTGGCGGCGTGGCGTTTTGTATATTTTGGGGGGCAGCTTTTCGTACAAGGCTGGCATGTGTCAAAGATCATGAAATAGAAGGTTTGGATTAGGGCTGCGAGTCTAATTGGGTTTTATTGTGTATTGGTATGTTTGAGTTATTTTTTTTGCAATTTTATGCGTAGAGTGGTATTTGTGAGGTTGTTGTATGTAAGTCGAGATAGCGGTTTAGAGTAGAGAGTGATAGCGCAGCCGTTTCGAGTCAACAATTCTCCAGTGAGCTCATGCAGAGACAATAGCTTGGCCGAATTTATTTTGCGAGCCCGGGAATTTGTGCACTAAATTCGACTGTTATAAGTAATCTTCCAGCTCATGACTGAAAGCTCACGCAAAGCGCTGTTGCATGTTGCCTAGCGAGGGCTCATAAACGTCTCATCATTAGGATTAAAAGACCTGGCTCTGATAGCAGTTGCTGATCCAATCAAGGGTAAGCAAGCTAGGGATTGAGGCCTCTCGTAGTGCCATCCAATAGGCGTCCGCGCGCGTTACTCCGCCTCATGGGACGGTTCGACCCAGCACCCGTCGCGATGACATGCCGGGTGACCAGCGCCCAGCGACCGTATGAACCAGATCTTCAGTCAGCGTGATATTCATCGGCTTGTATGACCAAAAGTTCTGATCCCATCGTAATAGTCTGGGGTATGTGTATCGTGTTGCATATGATAGCGGTAGGTGGTGCAGCCAGTCTTCGATCCAGCCAAGTCCCCATGCCTATGACGATACACTATGGAGTAGATAATAGGGCGTGTAAATCCATGCCCCTAGTCTCCATTCACTCCGCCATGCTCTGCCGCCACTCTTCTTCCAGCTCCGAAAGTCGCTTGGCAACCTCCCACGGCACTTGTTCCTCCAGAATTTGCCGGTTCTCTCTCGAGATCCTGTCAAGGACGTAGCTACTAACTGTGGCAGCATCTCGTGCGGCTGGACGACCAATTCCTATAGCTATTCGGGCAAAAGGAGAGTCTGGATAGTTGGTAGCGGCCAGTGACGCCTTGACGCTCTTGATGCCGTTGTGACCCCTGGGGCTTCGGTCCCATGCCACCAGCTTGACAATGCCCATGTCTTTTTCCAATTCGTCGTGTACAAGCACCAAGCTAAGTAAGTCGGCAGGACCATGCTGTTTTAATGTCTCCTGCCATGCCCTCGCGACGAACGGTCCCGAAATGTTCATCAGCGTAGGGGACTGGACCAGCGTATACTTGGGGCTGCTCGAGACAAGACACGCCTGTCTCCCGAGAGTAGTTTCTCGGAAAGGAGCCTGCTTCAGTACTTTGGTCAGGCCATTGAGAGCAAAATGGCCAGCTGAATGTAAACTTTCATATTTCGGTAGGGGGTTACCCAGGCTCACGATCAGAAACCGAGGGTTAAACTTGGTCATGATAGCGCATATAATAACAAGCAGTAAACCAGTATGCTCGAAACCCTATTCCTCCTCTCAAAATCAGAAGAAATAAAACATGGTGATGCTTTCGCGACTTTTTCATGGTGAAAGCTTATATGATAAGAGCAGTCCTGTCGCAAAGTACACGCGCAGTCACGTGATCATTGCAGTGGTGGCCGCTCAGCCGCATGCGACTCGGAAGTGCTGACGTCGTGCGTGCCCACAGTGGCTGTGCGGGCAGCAACAGGGAAGTGACCAACTCTGCTCCAACACGCCGCCTCCCATCTCCTACAAACCAATTCCAAGCCGCACTGGGGACGATTCAGAGTCACTTTTTAGGCCGATAATTTATTTCTACAACATCAGTACATAGCAAAAGCTACACAACCGCAACAATGTCGTGGGCGGGTATGGAATAGTGCGCGCATACGTTTGCGTAGATGAGGGGCTGACCAGATGTTACAGGATTCAAGAAAAATGTGAATCGCGCGACGACGACGGTGATGATGAAGACGGGTAAGCTAGCGGCCAGATTGTAATCCATTATGTGCAGGGTGCTAACCAAAATAGGTCATGTCGAAAAGACCAACGATCGAGATTATGAAGTAGAAGAGAGGTAAGCGCACTGCTCGCAGCAAGACGCGGAGAGCAGCCATCCTAACGAGAAATGTGTAGGCGGTTCAAAACCATGGAAGCAGCAGCTCTGCGGTTACAAAAAGAGTCCAAAGGCTACCTAGATTCGTTGCGAGGTACGTATTAACTGCTACCAGCCGCTACCGAGCACTCCGATGGGCTAACCTGTAATAGCCATGACCGCTTCACAAATGCGCATTGCCGAGACTATCGATGCCTTTTACGGAGACAGTGGCGCCACGGATGGTGTTAGCAGAAGCTACAAGCAAGCCGTGGAAGATCTCGATGCCGAAACTATCAAAGCCCTCGACGGCCCCTACAGAAGCACCGTCCTCGAACCAATCTCTCGATTCTGCGCATACTTCCCCGATGTCAACGAATGCATAAAGAAGCGCTCCCACAAACTGCTCGACTACGATGCGCTGCGTGCCAAGGTCAAGCGCCTCACAGAAAAGCCCGACAAGGATGCAACTAAGCTGCCGAGAACCGAGAAGGAGCTCGATATGGCCAAGATCATGTATGAACAGCTCAACGAGCAGCTTAGCACAGAACTGCCGCAACTTATTGAATTGCGTGTACCTTACTTGGACCCCAGTTTCGAGGCCCTCGTCAAGATCCAGCTCCGCTTCTGCGCCGAGGCATACTCAAGAATGGCCCAGGTACAACAGTATCTTGAGGCAGATACAAGAGACCTCTACGCTGAGGGCCACTTGGATGCCAGAGTAGAGGAAGTGCTTCAAGAAATTCGGGAGCTGAGCATTAGCGGCACAGTATAATGGATGGGGTTTAATTTTGCATTCAAGAATCGGCGCTTGGGTTGACTGTTTATAACATAGAATATATCACCTTTCGTACACTTACTACACACTTCGTGAGAAGCTATGATCCTCTAGCAATGACGTGAATGACTGTTTGAAAAAAATATATTTGATGACCCGCTAAAACAAAATGCATTTCCTATGCTCCAAAACGCCAGCTGCCAATGGTCCAGGGTCAATTTCCCAACTTCAGACGATAGCCCACAACCACATGTATTATTTGGCGGCCTGGCTTGCAAACAGCTCATTCAGAGTTAAAGAGCGGCCAATGGCTTGGGTGGCAGGGCCAGCTTCGGTCACTTGCTCTTGAACAGTGGTCGCCAATCTAGCAACCTTCCAGCTCTCTTGGATCATGGCTCCGTTGATTTCTCTTGTTTGTTCTTTATCATTGTGAATCCAAACACCCAGGATTTGTTCGCCGTTGGCCCAGTCTTCATCCACCTTCAAAATGACGAACTCGCCGGTGATTTCAACGTGACTAACTTTGGCCAAGTCAACGACGACATTATCCAGGCTGCGACGGCTGAGCACGAAGACGCATGCACGTGCTCTCTGTTCAGGGTCTTCAGGGAGAGGGGATTGTGCGCAGACAAATAGTGTTCCCTCGATGCCCGACTTCACCCACTCGTTGTCGTATGTGTAGATGACGGCGTTGGCGGCGATGCTGAGAATGCTGTGGATGGATGGGAGGTAGTGCTGTAGCACAGATAGGTTGAGATCTGTGTTTGTTCGAGTGGGCGGAGGGGGAGCGTAGTTTTGGTTCATCATGGCCGCATCCGACTCGTAATCAGATATCGCGGCGATGAGGTTGGAAGGCTGGCGGCGATGCCGCGTCTTACGCGGCGTGGCGCGACTCATTGGGCTCGGATAAGGATTTCGTTTGTCGTTTTATTTCAATAGTAATGCAGGTGGCTAATTATGTGCGGCAAATGATGGGATATTCAGCTGTTTTTGTTGAAGTTGCTTTGACGATGGCTGGAGGCAAGCCGTGGTCGGACGTGCGCTGAAAACGATGGCGGGGAGGCTTATCGATACCTGCAGCCACACCGCACGCCAGCACTATAGCGTAGGCGATAACGTCACTGGACCACCCGCATTTGGCGGGGAGCTCTTCCACTGCCAATACACGTATTTTCCCCAAGCATCACCAACCCTTGCTCCCGAGAACATTTAGCATCGACTTGGTGCCCTTTTTACGCATCTTACTAATAATTTCTTTTCGTTATTAATACTACTCTTTTCGCCAGGCAACCATTAGTCACGTTCTACTTGTCGCCATGATCTAGCAGCTCGGTAGTCACAAGACCAATACAAGCATCACCAGCCTCCCGTCGCAGCGTTCACGGCAACCTACTGAATCCTCCAACTTGAGCAGCGACAATATAATATCAACCATGTCTGGCTCGTATCCGGACGAAGAGGAACCAGCCGACCTCCCGGTTTCCACGCCGTTGACGCTAGCAAAGGCGCTGTTTGACCGTCGCCCAGACTACGTACGAAGACGAACGATCAAAGTCAAGATTGGAACATGGAATGTGGCAGGATGCCCGGGGACCGACAAAGATCTTGCAAGCTGGTTTCTTCAAGATGACGCTCCAGAGGTCAAGGGCCTGGAAAAGCTGAGCATTTCTAGCACGGCGCCAGACGGCGAGACCGCGCCGCAAGCATCCAAGGGTCGAACCGACATTGGACTTTATGTCCTTGGCCTGCAGGAGGTTATCGATCTGAATATGACAAAAGAGTACATGAATCGCACCATCAATCCAGATCTAACACCAACCGAAAAGTGGAAGACGGCGCTCGAAGCAGCGATGCCGGAAGGATATCAGCTTGTCGCCACCGACCAGATGGTTGGACTGCTCCTTTTCATATATGCATCACCTGAGGTTTCTGCCAATCTATCCAACATTAGCACTAAGCAAGTCGGTACCGGTCTACTCGGCTATTTTGGCAACAAAGGTGCCATCGCGACTAGAATTGTACTTGGAGAGACAACGCGGCTGGTCTTTGTAAATTGTCACCTAGCTAGTGGCTCTACAGCGACCTACTTGGACCGTCGCTATTGGGATGTCTCGCAGGTTCTCACAAAAACTATTTTCGATCCCATTATTCATATGGGGCGCATTGAGGAAGATGGCGAGAAGATTGGTGACGAGGACTTTGCCTTTTGGTTTGGAGATCTGAACTTTCGCCTAGATGGTTTACCTGGCGATGATATCCGTCGAATCCTCACTCTTCATACAAGAGGTGAATATGACGTTCATAGTAGCAAAGCTTCTGGAGCGTTTGAGGACGAGGGTGTTATTGTCACCAAAACGCCTGACGACGATGACGCGGCGACCACTACTACAACGACAACTACAACTGCGTCGTCTATACATTCACGCGAGCAAAGTTTCGATACAATAACATCATTGCCAGACCCAGACGACTTTCCAGAAGATCCTAGTCAGGACCCTGCCTCACTACAAGCGACCATTGATTCGCTTTTGCCCCACGATCAGCTGAAGCGGTCTATGCGTGACAAGAAGGTCTTCCATGATGGATGGCGTGAGGGTCTAATTACCTTTTTGCCAAGCTACAAATACGATGTTGGGAGCGTCACGCTTTTCGATTCCAGTGAAAAGCAGCGCGCTCCCAGTTGGTGTGACCGAATTTTGTTTCGAACCAAGCTCGATAGACAACAACACGAGAAGAAAGCTGCGGAAGAGCTGGAAGCGAAGAAGAAGGATGATGAAATGAAATCTCGCGGTCTTGAAGAAGACGATGATGTTCTTTTCACATATGACCCCGAAAACGATGGAGATGATACCCCCGCTGAAGCCGCTGATGAACCTTTAGCTGCATATGAACCTTATGACGAAGATGAAAGTGGAGAGCCTGTTGAGTTCGAGGCGGAGGAAGACACTGACAGAATCGCCCAGACGCAGTACATGTCTTATCAGCGCATTACATCGTCAGACCATAAGCCCATCGTGTCGTTCTTCACTCTTGACTATGACTGCGTGATTCCCGAGTTGAAGACTCAGGTTTACGCAGAAGTAGCTCGCGAGTTAGACCGTGCCGAGAACGAACGACGCCCGGTCATCACAATTGTGAATGAGGGTGACGAGAGTGTCGTTGACTTGGGCGAGATGGGTTTCCTGCAGAAGAATTCGACTACTTTGACGGTGGCAAACACAGGAAGTGTTGCTGCTACTCTAGCATTTGTCGATAAGCCATCCTTGGTCGATGATGTGGCTGCTGGTTCATCCTGGCTTAGTTCGTCACTTACTCACAATGACGATGTCGACGAAGTGAGCTATAAGGAGGTTACGCTCCAGCCAGGCGAAACGGCTGATGTCACCATCAGCGGACAAGTCACATCTATCCCGTTGCTTCGGGCTCTAAACGATGGTCACCAAAGTCTTGACGATGTCCTTATCCTTCGTGTCGAAGGCGGCCGTGATCACTTCTTAGGCGTACGAGCAACATGGCGGGCCACTTGCTTTGGTCGGTCCATTGATGAGCTTATTCGAGTCCCTGACGGTGGTATTCGACAATTTATACAAGATAAGCAGATCAAAGGCGCCATTCCGTACGACTTTGCCGTTCACTGCTCCGCTCCAAGAGAGCTGTTCAAATTGACCGAGGCTATCCAGACACTTTCAGAGCGATGTGTTGCAGATGCCGCCATGCTTGAGGAGTTTGAAATGTCTGATGAGCCCGGGTGGCCATTCGACTCGAAGACTTGGACGGCTAAGCTGAAGGACCAGGACTCTCTCACAGCCGTCATCATCGACGCCATGGACAGAGACGCTTCCATCACTGAAGCCCTACCTGTCGAACTGCCCTCATCTCATCGCCTCGAACTGCTGGCAGCTACTCTTCTCTTGTTTCTATCATCGTTTACCGATGGCCTTGTCCCAGCTCAGCTATCAGCTAAGATGGCAACAACTATACCCAATGTCTCCAGTCTTGCGGCGTCAGCACTTCCGGACATGAAGTTCCGCATCCTGGATATCATGTCGTCTGTTCCGAGTCATAACATTGCATTTGTCTTCTTGACTACTACACTTGCTAGAGTAGCTACGGAGCTTGTCCCAGTTACGAAGAAGGAGGATGGCCTGCAGCGCCGGCTGAGCTTTAAGAAGGCTGATGATGGCGATGGCGCCCGCCGAAGACGGGCACGACAGAAGCGCTACGCTGAGGTTCTGGCACCAGATGTGTTTAGAGACAAGACGGTGGGGGATAAAGAGAAGGCCATCCTGGAACTATTTTTGAGAACAGATGTCGACGGCTAGGGGCTTGCAAGAGGACGAAGAGGCAGAAGGCGGCGCCGTCTACTCTGCGCATTTCAAAGCCTCCGTTTAAGAATTCACCATAGAATATAGATTCACATGGAACGCATGTCAACGTTTATTAATACACGGTATATATTTTCTCTTGAATATGGGTCAGCTTGATCCTTGGATATAGTATATTGATCCAGTGCGTGTTGTACACCAACCGCCAACTGGGAACTGCGCAAGCAGTTGCCCTCCAACATGGAGTTTGAAAATGGAATACCGCGGCTCGCTACGAGTTGCATGTGTCAAAAACCTACGCATCATACTTTTTCACTTTTGCAACAACCCATCACGGTAATGTGTGGTCGCTGATACGGTCACCGGAACGGGACAACAAGACAAGATATTCACGGGACTCAGGTAGGCGGGAAGCTCCGTTTGGAGGGAACGGCATAGCTACGCCCCGAAACAAAAACACAAAACACATATCGAACTTGTTTAATCCCGTTTCAGGCTGGGGCAGAAGAGATAAATCTCCGTGACCCGCATCGCGTATCGGACAATCGAGAGCGGCAAGCACGGGTGAGTTTCCTTTCCCATCAAGCAATCGCTGGCTTACACGGCAGGATGCGAAGAGGCGCTGTGCGCTTTAGGAATGGTGTGTTTCAGATGCTACTCCTCTTTGTCTTGTGAGGACATAAAGGACGCTCGATTGGGCGAGTAAAACAAGGCAAGTTCCGCTAGCACATCGTGAGAGACAGGGAAAGTTCCGATAGAGACAAAAAGGGCCAATGAGACAAGGCATCTTCCGGTTTCTTGGTCGCATCTCGCTGCCCAAGACAGCTGGTAAGTTCCGCTAAAAGGGTAAACAAGGCAAGTTCCGTTAGAGACAACAGGGTCGTAAAACCTCTATTGAGCCACATGTTTCGCAATGCCCAATGTTTTCAAAGCAAAATAGAGTTGGGCGACGTCCCCCCAAAAAAGCCAAAACAAAACGGTGATGGATCTTCAGCAGCATCGGTCGTCTGTGCATACCATTCGATCGACGGCGCGGATGCGACTCGCTCGGCGCAAACTCCACTTAGTGGGCAATATACGCGGGAACGGCCAGCCAGCGCCCTGGGCAGAAAAAGCTAAAAGGGAAATAGTTGAGATGGTCACCGTTGGAAACACGCATGGAACTTCCCGCGGTCCAAAGTTTGAGAAGCACAGTGTAAAGTCTAACTGGGCGAAATTGGTATAATCAGAGTTTGGCCAGGCGCGGATCGAATATCCCAATCCATCAAGGACAATGGAGCAGCTAAAAGTATAAAAGAAAGGAGAAGCGCGTCTACGGCCTGTGAGTGGTGGGAGGTTTAGCCTAACCTTGACCAGCGCAGGTGAGGCGATATTTGACAAGCGCCAATGAGCATCCGGGAATAGGCTTCTTCACCGTCGCCTGGCGTGTTTCAGAATGAACGGCGACGGGTGCTAGGGCCCTCCCGGACGCAGGCGTGCCAGCGTGACGTCGGATGGACCGTAGGGTGCGAGGAGCCAGGGTTGTGGAAGGTTTGGAAGCGTCGCCACCGTGGTTGGCAGCCTGCACGGCGAGCCCTGTCGCGATGCTCAAACGCGGGCGCTGGCTGCGTGATGCGGTCTGTAGCATGCAATGCGCGGGTGACCGACGGGCGATCTTGGAAGCCATGATCGACATCGGAATATATCAGCAGCAACACCTGTGATGAGTGTGTTGTATAGATGTGGCTCAGGTGAACAGCATTGAACAACAATAATCTGCCATTTGTCTAGCCCAGCAGATTGGATGCAATTCGCATGAGAGATGCCTTCTTCCTCAGCTGCTCTACATTCCGAGACTTGTAGTGCTGGGGCGTGCATGTCTAGCGCTTGGGTGTGCTATGTCTTGCGGCCACGCGAGCCCAGCACATCTTGAGGACAAGGAAACGGCCCCAAGTTAAGGAGGAATGCGCCTGGCTCAATGCTTTCTTTTTGGCAACGGGTTGTTCCGTTGTATTCTGCGACAGTGGCTACGCTGGAGAATTGCTTGGTTTCGGATCACTGCATAGTTTTTGATAGCTTTGTAATTTGAGTTTCCTGTTCGAAGAGCAGCAGTGTATACCGACTGACAGCATGATTTGGATTCACCGCCTGCGCGTCACCGACCGCCCATTGGTGCATCGGTACTAGGTTTGCCTTGTGATGGGACGAGGCCTAGTTAGCCCGAGGTGCTAACAGTGGCTGGGCTGTTGCTGATTGGCGAGAGCACCAGCTAGCATTAATTTCTCACGGACACGCTGCCTCAATCGGGCTTGGGCCCCAGAAAAGCTGACGGGCGAACGTGTGCTGCTGTAACGTCACACGTTTAACTAGTTCGTCTCTTGTGACTGCTCGATTTTATCCAAGGACCTAGGAGCTATGCCTTGCGACAGTCAGCATGAACTTGTAATTCACCTCAGGCAGCGTTGTGAAGCATCACAAGCAATCCGCGGACAGCTCACGGGTAGCTGGTTTTGCATAGGCTGCAGTGTGTGGAGAATTGGCCAGATGAAAGGCAAGCTGAATTAGGCGATCCGAATATGGAAAGGCATTAATTAACCAAGACCAAACCGAGATACCCACTCGTCTGTCGAGGGATCCTCGATGGAGTTTGTCCCAACGCGTTTTGGTAGTGAGTGAGCGGAGAGGCAAGGCTTGCGGCCGTGGCCCAAGAAACGGACGAGCCTGCCCAGGCAGTGAGTGAGTGGTGCGTCTGTTGTCAACCAGCGAGCAGCTGAAGAACGGGTGGATACATAAATGATACATCGAAAAGTATGTGTAGCCGCTGCAAAGCACATGTCACTTCAGAGTAACGCGGTCCTCGGCTCCACCGCCACGCCCACTTTCTCTCTTGGGGCATGGCGCCGGTCAGCCCGCTGTCAAGTTAGTGCACACTGCTGATCCCCAGTATTCGCACCGTTTGTCTTCATACAATATACTAGGCCGCCCACAGTGACAAAGAGCATTCTGCACCGTATTTATCCAACACCATGTGGGCCTGTCGCCCGAAGAGCATGTAACCATGAGGCCAACGCTTTTTTTTCCTACTGTGCATGCACTGACCATGCGCTGAGCCCCCTGTAAAAACGAGGCAGGACGCAAAAAGAGCCAAACCGCTTACATTGCGTCGCGCACAGTGCTACGTTGATGCTAGGCCTCTCGCCCAGCCCGAATGCCGTTCAGTGTACAGGGCAAAGCGGAATATATAGACAAACAGAAAAATTAGCAGTAGAGAATGAGGTGTGTTCATATGTCAGCCTGATTATACATTCGGTAGGCAATAATTCCCACGTCGCACACTTGCTGATGCACGCTGCGCCTGACCCTCACGCGCAGCGTCTGCACAGTGCCCAAAATGCGGTAGCCGCTGGGCTACCCCCCTAGCCAGCCAACCAGGGCAGCGCGTCGTCCGCTGTTCGCTCTGCCCGGCCACCGCTGACTGGGCGGGCGCCCAACGGAGTTTGCCATGAACTGAATTCCATGCAGGCAGGCTTAAAACAAAGACATAGGCCCCAATCCTCGGTTTCGCATCAGCTCGCAGATTAAACTTTGGATGTTGGTTATGTTTTATACCAATTTCTTGGTAATTTTTTTGCCTTTCTTATATTTTTACTTCAACGTTTTTGCTCGCCCGTCGCAGCGTACCCGGCTTGAATACGACGCTTAGCAGCGCCACCAAATTGGCCCCCTGTTGCTTCCCCCGCGTTTTGGGCGTAGGAAAGGGCCGAATACACTTTTCTGCACCAAACACACAGTGCCGGACTTGCACTGTGCACCCCTGTCTGCTGCCCTCTGAGACCTGGCAGCGGCCACACAGGCTGAGTAGAGCCCACTACACCACTACGGAGGGTCCCTGTCTTAGCGGTCTTTGTTAGTGCGTGTGGGTTGTCTGCGCCAGTCTCACACGCCTCCCCGCAAAAGTCAACCCCAGACTGTGGAATTCCTCTCCTTCACAACCTTTCCTCACCACCTCCTTGCTCTCGTCGAGGCTCAAGATTTATTTTTAAAAAATCTTTATTCCCCGCCCGATTCTCCCGCTTGCTCATCTCCTCTATTTTTATTCCCTCCCTTCGCAAGCCGTCTATTTTTATCCTCTGCGTCGCCCCGAGTCAGCGTCCAGCAACATCCTTTCAACAAACCACGCCTCCTCCCAACGATTCTTCTTCTACTACTTCTTCCTTTCCGCCGCCAGCTATCACCATGACGCAAGCCGTCAAGCGTGCTTGCGATGCTTGCCATCGTCGTAAGGTCAAGTGTGACGGCATCAACCCCTGCCGCAACTGCTCATCCGCCCAGCTCTCTTGCACATACAATGCCATTCCTCAGAAGAAGGGCCCCAAGGGCTCTAGAGCAAAGGTCATCAGCGAGCTCCGCGAGACACAACGACAGACTAGCCTTTCCACCAAGGTCCAGAACCGAATCAACGGCATCGCCTGCCCGTCGCCCATCTCCCTCGCCCCTACTCCTGGCCTGCTTACTAGCGACCTCGTCAAGGACTGTGCAGGCTTCTTCTTCGAAAACATGTACGCCCAAGCACCCGTCCTCGACCGCCGCCAGATCGATCAGCAAGTCCTCTATATGGAGCAGAACCGCGATGCCTACTGCCTCATGTCCTCCATGTGTGCATTTGTCATGCTCCAGCCCGGCATGACCATGCCTCCCGGCGATCCGTACAACCTCGACATGGTTCCTGGTGCCAACATCATCTCCAGCCAGCTGCTCCTTGAAGAGGCTATCCGTGTCCGCAAGGGCCACGAGTACCTTGATAACATTACTCTCAACGCCCTCGTCACAAACTTCTTCATGTTCGGTTGCTTCTACAGCCAAGAGATGCACGACAAGGCCTGGTACTACCTCCGTGAAGCCACCACCATGATTCAAATGGCTGGTATGCACAAGGAGGAGCACTACATGCAGTTTGATGCTCCTGAGGCTGCCCGTCGCAGACGCATCTACTGGCTTTTCTTTGTTCTTGAGCGCGCCTATGCCATCCAGCGCCAGCGCCCTCTCACTCTCCAGGCTTCCATCAACCTTCCCAGCCTCGCCGACGATGCCAGCGACCCTCTTGCTCACCAGCTTCATGGCTTTGTGCTACTGGCTAACCTCTTCCGCCCATTTGACGATGCTTTCACCGCCGTCTGGAACAAGACACGCAGCCATCTCTCTCCTCAATTCACAAGTAACCTCCACAAGCAGCTCAATGAGCTTGTTCAGTCTTACGTATGCCAGGACTCTAGCTTCAACGACGTCCGCTCAAACCAAGAATGGCTCAAGAACACTGTTTGGCAGCTTACCAACACTGGATCCCCCACCGGTGCCAATGACGAGTCTGGCTCGTTCCAATTTCCCGTTGATATGTCTCGTGAGCTCCTGATGAACATGGCTTCTCAATTCCCTGGACAGGGCATGGAGCTTCTTAACTCTGGTTTGGTAAGTTTACAACACAGCACTTATATCCTCTATGTCTAGCCACTAACACTTGTAACAGATTGAGAAACTCGTTGAGACCGCATATTCCTTGACAGAGTTCCTTGCCATGCAGCCCGCATCTCGCGACCCGTTCGCTATTGGTCCCCGTGAGCACCTCAGCCAAATCATCAGCATTGCCGCCGCTTCGCGCAACGGCGATTACCGCTTCCTTCCTCTGCTCCTGAGCAAGGTCACTGAGATTCTGCCTCGCACTGCCAACCCAATGCTCCAGAGCGCCCCCGAGAACGCCCAGATGTCCAACGTCGACATCTTTGACGGCTTCGGTAACGCTGGCATGGCTCAACCACCAATGCCTCTTCCTCTGGACAACGCCGAGTATGAGCGCAAGTTCTCTGGTGATGTTAGCAGCCGTACTCCCGAATCTGCTAGCCACTCCAACAACTCAACCAGCACACCACCTGGCAACCACTCCTCTGACTTGAGCAGCAGCTCTTTTGTTGGCTCTCCAGAGATCATGTCGCCCACTACCATGGATTACCCGCACAGCCTCAACAATTTTACCTGTGCACCCATGCCTGAGATCATGGGCCAGCAGATTATGCGTCAACAGTCACTGCAAATGAACTCTCTCAACAGCTTCCGCCAACAACAACAGCAGCCGCGTCAAAATAGCTTTCACGTCAATAGCCATCATGGGTCTGAGTTTCAGGCCTTGCAACGGACAGGCTCAGAAAGCTCCGCCTTAATGAGCCATTTGGCCCACGACATGAACTACATTAGTTAGAGAGCCTGCAGCGCTCCCTATCTCTTGTATAATTGCCTATTTTGCCTGCAACGGCCTTGTATTACGACCACTTTCACGTTATTTTTGTCCCTTTTCTTTCTCTTCTCTTCACTATACTGTCAACCCCCTATTTTCTTTATTATTTTACTTTTTTTTTTTTTTTTTTGGATATAGTAACCGGCGTCAAAAGGAGTTACTGAAAGATTGCATGTTCGAGATTAAAAAGATGCTGTGAGCAGCGATGAGCCTTAGTTTGATGAATACATAGGATGTGATGGTACGAAGTTGTACCTGCTGTGCAGGAATCTTTACATATATATAGCTTGACCGTATTGAAATATATTGACTGAATTTCAAATACCATACATTTCAAATACTCTTGTGAAATTAAATCAATAATAATTTATTTAGCTGTAAGACGTGCTTTGGCGCATTTCCTACTTCAACTCAAGACTTGCCAGCAAGTTTGTTGACTCTCTCTTCATACACGTCCATTAAATGGCAGAGTGGGTTGCCGAATACCACGCCACGCAAATTACTCTCCTTACAGAGCACTGCTTCCACGCCCTCTGCCAATTCCATCTTGTCCTTTCGCTTGCCTGGCTGCCTCAAGACCACGATCTTCCCCGCGTTGCATAGTGCGTTTTCTGGTATTGGCCACCTCCGCGATCTCTTAGGCGCAGGCGCAGCCAATAAGTCCAGCAGGCTTCTCATATACGGCATTTCAGCACGTGTTACCGCATCTCCTTCATTCACAAAACTAAGAAACATAGACTTTTGATAGTGTGTAGTAAGAGGTAGAAGGGATAGCGGCGGGGCACCGAAAGTGATGCAGTGGATGCGATGGAAGAGACCGGCAAGGGATGATAAGGGTGATGACGAGGCTGAAAGCATATGGGAGTAGAGTAGCGCAGCGATAGCACCGCCAGCTGAGTGTCCAGAAATAACCAATGTGTATGAGGGGGGCGAAGCCTGAGAAAGCGATTGCTGTCGAATCATATCCTGCAGGTGGCTTGCGACGGAGGGCATCATGGCACGCGCTGCTCCAAGAAAACCAGAATGAATAGCATTTTCCTGATCACGAAGAAACAAACCTGGCTGCTCTGGTTCGTACTGCATATTTGTCATCCAATCTTTCAGCGAAGAAGTCCCCCGGACAGCGATAACAATGGTGGTAGAAGTGGCAGAAGGAATGGCTTTGACCAGCATAGCCTTTGTGTTTGAGCGCCTGTCCGAGGCGATGACGGATTCCCTGGAAGATGATGATTGATATGACACATTTGAGTAATGCGCTGCCAGGAGAACAATCTTCCAAGATGAGGATGGACTGTATGTGTTGGTTACTTGGTATGGCAAATCTGCGCGCATGTATGACTTACAGGAAACATGGAGGCAGCGAGAGCGAGACTCGCGCATTTTCATAGAGCAGAATCTTGTCAAAGTAACGCCCTGTAAGCGCCGATTTGAAAACACCTGTTTTCCTGCTTTCGTACAGCGACTGGGCATTTGTTGTGAAGGATGCTAAACTCTGGTTGTCAGAGGGGTCGACCATGGACATGACATCATCAAAACGCTGGGAGACCACATCGTCGCCTTGATCCCGCCAGCGAAGGGCCTCTTGGGTGAGAGGGATAGAGTTCTCTGGGATTTTTGGTGGCCTGGGAGGAGGAGCTGTTGCTTGCGAAGATTGTGGTCGTGGTGGTGGTCTTGGTATTGTCTGTTTTGGCGGTCGTGGCGGGGGAGGAGTGTATGTAGTGGGAGGCTGCGCGATGGATTTGAGAAAGTTCATAGCTATTCTGGTATCGCGGAAGAGGAAGTGAGAGGACTACATTGGAAGAAAGAGGAAGAAGCGAGTCGGAGGGGTTATATAAGAGAGAGTGAAATCGTGTGGTGAAGGCGCAAGAGAGGAGCAGCTGGGCGGTGGCGATGTGGGAACAAATTACTTCGTCGTGTGGTGCTGGTTGCTGGTTGCTATGCCCATGCTGTTAGTGCAAAACAACAAGGACAAGGACAGCACATTGAATCTTATTTACAAAAGAGAAAAGAGAACAAAGGAACAACAGATATAGAAGCTGTTTCAAATTCAAAATGAATAAATAATTCTGCGTGTCTTTTTTTTATTCGACCACGTCAATCACATCAGTGGTGGTGCGAAACATCGCCATCAGTCTGTTGTTCAGCCAGTCTCTGCAAGAGATGGTTTCATATTTTGGCTTTTCCCCAGCCTCCACACAGCTTTCTACCACGCTGCAGCTTTCTTTGAGCCCAAAGCCCCAGAAGAAAGGGATACTCATTCGCTCCTGACCGCCCCAGTTCTGCACGCGATGAATGCTGCTCATGTAACGATCGCTCGTGATGCGCTGTAGGTAGTCGGCAATGTTGACGACAAATGTTCCCGGAATGGGTGTCGCTCTAATCCACTGACCATCGCGGTTGACTACCTGCAGACCTCCGACGGCATCCTGCCATAGAATGGTGAAGAACATGAAATCGGTGTGTGCGCCGACAGAAACGGGGTTCGACTCAGTAGAACCACTTGGCTTCTGTTCGATGGGGGGATAGTAATTGACAGTGACTGTTGCTTCTGGATATGCAAACTTTTGGTCGAAATAGCTTTCTTCTAGTCCCAAGGAAAGCGCAAAAGTACGGGTCAGAGCCTTTGCAAGTGTATACAGCTGCTGAGAGTAGACGTCCAAACTGCCACACACACCAGGCAAAACATCATCGCCGTGCTTAGCTCGGAACTGTTCAGCCTTGAGTCTAGCTTTGTAGTAACTAGGAGTGTTGTTATCAGACTCAATTTCGTGGCGCCAGTAGAATGCTTCACGCTCCTCAGCACCCTCGGCATAGTTGAGCGCCTGTGACTGGGAAGGCTTGTACCCAAAGGCCTGTTCTGAGATCTTGCGGCTGTCGACCTTGGATTTCGTCTCCAGATCTTGTCGACCTTGGATTTCGTCTCCAGATCTTGTCGAAAGAACTTGGTCATGTTTTCGTGTGCGGCTTCGACTACCTCCTCGTCAACGCCATGGTTCTTGATATAGAAGAAGCCGGTGTTGACGGCTGCCGTTTTGACCTCATCAGCGACAGCTCTCCGCTTAGACTCGTCAGGGTGAAAGATATCAGCAACATCGATGACTGGTATCTCTGAAGTGAGAGCATCTCGAAGAGGTGTGGTCAGAATTTTACGAATGACGGTGCCATTGCCAGAGTCAAGTGCTAGATCGGTAGTGGTTGGAACGGTCATGATGAAGGATGATGATCCATCCTGTATCGAGATATGTCAGAATCTTCAAGAGGGGTTATATACGTCGATCTGGGTCACGTATGCATGTATGCATGCACTCATTCAGAATCTTGCTCATGCAGTAAAGGAAACATGTATAGCTTCGATATTAATCCCAAGAAGGGTTAGCTTTGCGAATCTGCAAAGCCTTGACACCCTACGATCATCGCATTTCCGCGCTGACCCCGTTCGGTAGGGCTACCAAGTCAAGACTAAGACCCCCCTTAGTCTCTCAATAGTCGGCTGGGGAGTAGCATCGTGCATGTAATATAAATGGATGCGTGGGCCTGTGGGTAGTTTGGCGGTGGTGCGGGAATCACAGCCGCGACTTACACGGTGTGGTCCGCCGCTAAAAGCCGATGGGCTCGTAGTTGACATGATGACACAAAGGAGGTAGCGGAGAATGTATGCAAACAGTATGCGCACGCTAAATGACACCGATAAGTTGGTAACACTACATATTCGTGAGATTTAGGGCTTTTGAAATTTTTGTTGCACTTTGCAGAAAACAGAGGTGTTCACAGGTGTTGGCAGCGTCAGTGACAGGGCACCGGAAAATCTTTGCACCGACCCGCTCCCGCAACAACTTTGTCGCAAGTCTCCTTCATATTGCCACATCCCTTACGCCAAACATCAAAACCGTTGCATTTATCTCCTTTCTTTTTCGATCAGGCATCGAGAGGAAAATACAGACATCATGTCGTGGAGAAATCAGGGAATCACCGGTTCCAACAACATTCCACTCGGCAAGTCTCGCCGCTTCAACGACGACGATACGAGCGCTAGCTCTGGTGGCGACCGCGATCTCAAGCGTGGTCGTGATCCCGAACCTCGATCCCAAAACGACGGACCCCGACAGAGAAAGAAGCGCAACCGATGGGGCGACGCATCTGAGAACAAGGCCGCTGGCTTGATGGGCTTGCCCACTGCCATCTTGTCCACCATGACAAGCGAGCAGCTGGAAGCATACACCTTGCATCTTCGTATCGAGGAAATCAGCCAAAAGCTTCGTATTGATGATGTCGTGCCTGCCGATGGCGACAGATCTCCTTCTCCTGCACCCCAGTACGATAACCACGGCCGTCGTGTCAACACCCGCGAGTACAGATATCGAAAGCGCCTTGAGGACGAACGCCACAAGCTCATCGAAAAGGCCATGAAGACGATCCCCAACTACCATCCGCCCCAAGACTACCGCCGACCGACCAAGACCCAAGAGAAGGTCTGGGTCCCAGTCAATGACTACCCAGAGATTAACTTCAGTATGATTGCTAACCCTCCTAACCCTAACCATGATTGCTTTCTGTTTTGTTTTGCTTTCTTGCGCTGCTATTGCTTTGAGTGTCCTGCTTTCAAGATTGATCAGGTTTGGTCTATCCACAACCGACGGCTTATCCTACATTGAACGTGGTGCGCCTGATCGTTCGAGACGGGGCTCATACCACTCCTCATCCTTTTTCTAACTAGAAAAACACCGAGAGCTAGCACTCTGCGTCCATTCCACACTAATTTCCCACCCAAACTAAAAAAGAACACACGATACTAACACCTAGCTTTTTCCTCTATCAAGTTGGTTTACTTTTAGGCCCTCGTGGCAACACCCTCAAGAAGATGGAGTCCGAGTCCGGTGCCAAGATTGCTATCCGTGGCAAGGGCTCCGTCAAGGAAGGCAAAGGCCGATCGGATGCTGCCCATTCGAGCAACCAAGAAGAAGACCTCCACTGCCTGGTCATGGCCGATACCGAAGAGAAGATCGAAAAGGCCAAGAAGCTGATTGCCAACGTCATTGAAACTGTGAGTATTCATAACACCGAACTCCCTTACGCTCCCAAACTTCTTAGTGCTAACACAAAACAGGCCGCGTCTATCCCCGAAGGCCAAAACGAGCTCAAGCGTAACCAGCTGCGAGAACTTGCCGCACTCAACGGTACTCTGCGAGACGATGAGAACCAGGCCTGCCAGAACTGTGGCAAAATTGGTCACCGCAAGTATGACTGCCCTGAGCGTCAGAACTACACAGCCAGCATCATCTGCCGTGTCTGTGGTAATGCAGGCCATATGGCTCGTGATTGTCCCGACAGACAGAGAGGTGCTAGCTGGCGTAATGACGGCGCTCGTCCTGCTGGCAGAATCGGCGGTGGTGATGCCGTTGATCGTGAATACGAGGTACGTGCCCCTTTCAATCCCAACTTTCAATCCCGTACAACTAACACTTCTATCTAGCAACTCATGCAAGACCTTGGCGAGAGCGCCCCTCGCGGTGCCATCGAGGCTGGCCCTGGTGGCGGTGGCGGCGACGACAATGCCAGACCATGGCAGCAACGCCCTGCGCCAACTGGTGGCCCTGCACCATGGCGCTCAAGACGCGACAACGACGACGGTGGCAATGGTGGTGGCTCGTCCGCTGCTCCTTGGGCACGCGATCGCAACGGCCGTGATCGTGACCGAGACAACCATCGAGACCGAGATCGTGGAGGCTACGATAACAACGGCGGCGACTACTACGGTCAACAGCAGAATGGTTATGGATCGGGTGCCGCACCTCCCTGGGCACAGCAGCAGCAAGCCTATGGCCAGGCTCCTGGTGCTGGCTACGGTGGCTACCCTCAGGCTGCTTACGGCGCCTATGGTGCTGCTCCTCCTGCGCCGCCCGGCCTGGACAACGTGAACTCGTTGATTCAGCAGTATGCTAACGCCGCTCCTCCTCCCCCCCCTCCCCCTCCTTCTGGAGACGCTCCTCCACCTCCACCTGGAGATCAGCCTCCCCCTCCACCACCTCCTGGAGCCTAAACAAGCTGTGGTGGAAAAGACATGACTGTCTTGTGCTTTTTATGTTTGCTCTGGTGAGGTCTTGAGGGGGTTAGAAAACGGAGTCCTAGGGGAGTGAGCTTTTGATTGTAAAACATGATGGCGAGACAGAGTGTCTCCAGATATCAGATTGCGCTAACAATAGCCGATAATGGCCTGAAATTTGAAACTAACTGTAATTGTTGTAATCGGTTGAACCTTCAGTCAACCTGGTTAACCTAATATCAATCTATAGTCAAGTACTATCTAAGCAGAAGAAATATGACTTGTACGTTTTAAGACTTGTTTGTGATCTACTGTCTATACTCATCGCCGCAATCACCAAACTTTTCGAAAAGCGATGTAGTCTTTGCGCCGTCCTTGCCCAGAGCCAAGTCGTTGATAGCCTGGAGATCTTCGCCCTCCAACTTCCATCCAAATACACCGAGGTTATCTGTTCCATGGGATGTTACGCCAAGTCTAGTTCCAACCAGAATGGCACCGACAGCAGGCTGCTGAAGCACCCATCGAGTAGCCACATTTGCAATGGTAACGCCAGCTCCCTGCTTGGCAGCCACTTCGGCGAGCTTTGATAGAAGAGCCTGGAACTCTTCCCAGGTTCCCCAAGCGTAGAGGGTATCGAGATACTTTCGTTGCGATGGCGTGAGAGGGTTCGATGCCGAGTATGTGTCTGGAACTGGTGCTCCAAGCCACTTTTCAGCTAGAAGGCCACCACACTTGTAACAAGAGTTAGTAGTCTGACGGTTAAGAGTGCTCTATAGAGTGGCTTACAAAGGATCCGTATGTAAGAAGCTTGAGATTGTACTTTTCACTGACTTGTGTCACCTTTTTCAAAGGACGAGAGTCGAGAACAGAAAACTAGCCCTGTTAGACTCGGCTATACGACTAGGTATCGACCAGAATAAACGTACCTGAACTTGATTGGACACAATGCCGACCTCTCCCGTCGTCTTTAAGAGATACTCGCACGCTTCTGCCGTGTGATCCGCGTCAAAGTTGCAAAGGCCAATGGCGGCAACTAACTCCGGTTTCGACTTTGCGATACGGACCAAGTGTAGCAAAATGTAGAGGTATTCCTTTGCCTCGTACTAGACACATATTTAGCCCTGTCCTCCCAAATTCAAATTCGAAGAAGAACTTACATTGTGCCAATGGAACTGTAAGAGGTCAACACGACCTCTGAGTCTTCGAGACCTCTCCTTCACAGCAGCGAGCACATACTCCCTCGTCACAGGCTGTCCTATGTCGCGGAAAATGCACCATTTCGTAGCAGCATAGACTTTATCGCGGGAATCTGGGCCCAGACTAGCTCTGAAGTCGCCATATACCAGCTCAGCATCTCCCTGTACCTATAATTAGCAAGTTGACAGAGGGTGGATAGTCCCAGTACACCTACATAGTGGTCTGCCATGTCTGCAGCAGTGAATCCAGCTTCGGCCAGCTCTGTCAGCGCCGCCTGTTGTTTATCAGCGGAGCTGTATCCCCATTCTGAAGAAGCTAGTTGCCAGAGACCATTAAATAGGCGAGGTACTGAGCGGGAGCCCATAGGGAACATCTCCACATGGGGGTTCGCTGCTGTGAGCTCCTTTAAAGCAGTGCCACCTGCTGTATCCGTGGTTAAATCGGGGAAATAGAAGGCCGTCGAATCCTTTACTTGTCTCGAGGCTCGCTTGAAAGGATCCTCAAGATTCTTTGAAGCGCAGTATTGCTCACAGGAGGCGAAACTCGAGAGCAGCGGCTGTAAGAGGCTCTGTAGCGCAGCGTCGGCCTTTGGTGCAGTCTCCTTCAGCGCCTGCATAGCTTGAACAATATCACCGCTGAACTTGTCAAGAATCTTGTGCAACTCTGAACCCTGCGTCCAAGATACCTGTGCGGCTTCGACAGACTGTACAAAATGCGTGATACTACCAAACGGTTAGCGTGGTCAGTGACGATAGTGAGGGGCACAGTACTAGTTTATAGCCGGGGTGACAAGCTTGCTGGCAAACAGACACTTTGTAAACGCAACATATTCTAGACACTCATTTGACACCTCGTCCGTTCCGGGAAACAAGCTCTTTGGCGACGGCATTTCACCGTGGATCTTGGCCTGGAGCTGTGTGCGGATGTGCTGTGTGAATGTCTTTTGTGCCTCTGAGCCGTTGTGGACAAGAGCTCGTAGGGCAGAACGAAGATATTCGGCGGGTACTAGGCTAGTTAGTCATTGCATAAGTGGTGTATCAGGCTTAGAATTGTTTCCTCACAGGTAGCGATGAGGGCATCGTCCATCATGTTGCTGTTGAAGAGAAGCGGTTAGCTGATTGGCCATCGTATACGTTTTCAAGGTGAGGCATACACGTGGACACCCATTTTGACTGAGATGACTCTGTTTTCAATGCTACTTTTCAGATAATTGGAAAGTGATAGCGGGTGCGTCGTGTGTTTAAGAGGATGTTGTTAGTGGCATCCAAGGCAGAGCGGTGGTTACAATGGGGTCTGTAAGTGGGGATGCTCGGCTCCCCGCTGTAATAGGGAATTGCCGGTGATATATTTCATGAATCCACGCCGTTCATTCGCTAATCAACGAGCGTGGGTCCAAGCCAGTCGCTACTTGATACTCTTCTGATTCGTGAGTGGCATGCAGCGTATATGCGGTACAAACAAAGTGGTCAAAATTAGGGGGAATTCTATATCATAACATAATACAAAGGGTTTGTTTATTAGGGTTCAATCGACTATCAAAGCTTTACAGTCTTTCGCACATCCACCAATCCAACGCTATACTTCATGGGCACCGACCACGCCGGCGCAAACCGCTGCAGCTCGCCAAACGCAGGGATCTTGCGAACCTCGTTGACGTCGCTGTATGCACAGCGGATCTCCACTTCCAGTGGCTCCTTGTGGTTGTCGGAAGGGCCGGCAATCTCCAGCACTACCTTCCACGGGCCTTCCCACCGTCTTCTCCAGAGGCGCGCCGTTGTAAAGCCCATGCGCGGGTCTCGGCCAACACGGGTGTCTCGTGGAGCGGCGCCCTCAACCTCGAAGCCATATACGGGTCGCGAGAAGCCGAGAGAGCATGTTCTTGAATCGACAGCGTCCACCTCAAGAAGAGCCGAACGACCATCAGGGCCACGCGTGAGCGATGCCTTCATGAGGTCGCCTACATCCACGCCCTCAACCACATTAGGCGGTACAGATGAAGCATCGAACTTGCAAGTACCGCTTCTCTCAGAGGATCCGCAGGTAATCTCCTGACCAGCTGCAGCAGGGAGCGTTGAAATGACTTGGCGCAGTTGGTCCTCAAGACCGTACAGTGATACAGTGTTGCTCTTTGTATCGACATCAATCACTTGCTGGAAGTAGTACTTGAAGCGGTAGTTGACGGAAAACGGGAAGGCCATGAGGTTGTAAGTAAGGGTTCCTACCAGAATCAGGAATAGCAGCGTAGGAACTCGGCTCCGAACACGATGGATGAATGGTGTAAGCGGTAAGAGAAGCAAAATCGAGATGGTCGCAATGCCAATCAATGTAGTCTTCATGTCACTGCCATCGACACCCGTTTGCGCCATAGCGGCAGTCTGAACAAGCCCAAGAGATCCGACCAAGATGATGTGAACGGGCGCTAGCACTGCAAGCTGGAGAAGCCAAGTCCATGATGGCAGTTTGCCGGACCATGACTGCTCTCCCTGGTAAGGCTCGTACAGCTTGATATCAGACGTCCTCCTGGATTCGTCGTCGTCCTCAGCAGCCCTCGCTCTCGCTCTACGATAGGTGCTAGTAAACGTAGTAGGCTCTTCGGCTTCGCCTGAACCGTAGCCAGGCTCTTCAGCTCTAAGCGGTGTCTCCTCAGTCGGCTCAACCTCTTCATCAGGGATGTCGTCATGAGCATCATCAATATTACTTCGTATGGCGTCAAGATACGGGCTTCCAGGCACATCGGCATTGCGCAGATACAAGGCAAAGTCTGCTCTACCAGGCAGAGCAAACATTTCAAGCAGCGATACCAAGAGAGCGACGAAAACGCTAGAGTGAAAGAAGGCCATGAAGTAGAATGATCCAAGACCCATTCTGTCCTCAGCAACAGCAACAAAGATTTGCGCTGCCCATGTAATGATGAACAGCCAAATGAGGGTGAATCCGCGATGAAGTGCTGTAGGACGAACATAACTTGCACCTCCGGAAACGAGCCAGTAGGACAAGTAGAATGAAGAGATCACCATAGCCCAGACAGAATAGCCGCTGCTGTACATCACTAGAGGGTTCACCTTTGCCAATAATAACGCTAAGCCAATAGTCACCATGCTAGCAAAGCCAGCAGCTAACGGGAAGCGGAAGAAACCTCTCCATCCGCCCACTCGGAATGTTTCTTCGGCGGTAGTAGGATCACCTGGGACGTCGCCAGCGAAGAAGTAGTACTTGTCCTGCTTCAACAAAATTACCGTGACGACAAATAGTATCAGGGGTGTTGCAATCAGAAGAGTCAATGTCCAAGCAAACAGCCCCCTAAGCGAGAGTGCAGCCCAGGCTCGTCCAAAAAAGTCAAACCAGACGCCTTCGGTGGACTTGCCATTCTGGATAAGATCCTTCCGTCCGTCGGAGCGATCGCCGCTGAAAACCGACTCTGAAAGCTCGTCGAGTCTTTTAGTAGTAGCCAAGGCAGCAGACAACATGTGCCAGATACTTCGGGTCGAGGTGTGGCGGGTATCGTCATCTTCAGTATGGTAGCGCGACCGAGGCGTGTAAAAGGCAACATCTAATCCACGTTGGCCAAAGGAGCTAGCAAATACTTGATAGTCGGTGCCACTTTGGATGATGCCGCGCTTAAAGGCATCGGCAGCAATGACAGAGCCAAAGGGATGTGGGCTCACACCGTAAGCCTGGGCAGTCTCCAGATCCGTTGTACGGAAGAGCATAGCACGGCCACCTGCACCAGCACCCTCTAGGTTGATGAAGGTATGGCATAGTTTAAGAATCGGGCTGTAGCCAAAAGCGCGCGCGCCAAGCAGACCATCTTCTTCAGCGTTGTTGAAAAGAATCACAATACCGTGGTTGGGCTGATTACCATCTGTTGTGAAGTGGTCCAGGAGCTGCAGCAGAGATACACAGGACATACCATCATCTGTAGCGCCGTATCCCGTAGACACTGAATCAAAATGGCAGCTGAGCAGAACACCACCCTCATTCTGGAAAGTATCAAAGGCCCCCTCTAAGTGCCACCAGTCACCCTCGGGGTCCTTTTTACCATGAATGTAGGCATAGAAGTTGTTGCCTTCAAAGTATTGGATTTTCAGTGGGCCTTGAGCGAGAGTATCGAGCCCACCATCGGTAAAAGTGACATTGGACACTTGATCATCGAAGAGGGTTACACCTGGGAGCTTGTCAAGAGCATGGACTGGCGCAGAGCGCGGAGTCGATGCTACGTGTGCCGCGGGCCAGACGACGCCTCCAGACTGATCAACTGTGTACTTGACGCCGTTCTTATCCAGAATGTCCTTGGATCTGGAGATTATGTAGTCTCGGACGTCGTCATTTTCGTGGGTATTGAAGGGATGGAACGCTTTCGTGATGGCTTGCAGATCTGCCCAAGCCGCGGTGAGGTTGACGCCGGCAGGAAGCTTTGATTCGGCAGGTGGCGAGGGGACTGTCTCGTGAACGTAGATTAATGCGAGAATTAGGCCAAAGTACACAACGGTGGACCAGAAAGAGACTGGTCCTGGCCGAAAGGCGAATGGATTGAGGTTTGCCATGGCGCGCGCTCTAGCTCTGCTTCAAAAGACTGGAGATGGCTTGACGTAGGCAAGAGTACAGAATGTTGACTAAGGATGCTCAGAAGCTCATTCTGTTGCCTGCTGGCGTCTGAAGTCTGGACAACGAGGCGTCCGACGACAAAATTGGTTGAATCGCTGCGATGGTGAAGCTGACAAGCGAGGTCGACGGATTGCGGAGAGAGGCGGGTAAAATGGGTAGCTCCAACTTGGTTGCAGCAGCTTGCTGCCAGGTGACCCAAGCACTGCAAATCACCTGCAGCTGCTGCTACTGCTCTGCAGCCACAGTGGGTTGTCTCAGTGGGTTGTGTTAGTGGGTGAGGGGTAACTAATTTACTAGTCGTCAGGTAATACGGTACAGCACAAGAAATAATTTTGTGTAAGTTTTACCTTGGCAAAGAGATACTAATTTTCCATTGTATAGTGGAAACGTCGCTAGATTTAGAATGTTGGAGATACTCACACGGACTCTAGAAGACTATACGTTTTTTATAGCACAGAACGTATTTTAAGAAATGAATACGCTTTAGACGCGTATTTTAGCTGTATTTATGGCGTCTGCAAAATTAATTTAATGTCAAATATCTTCTAGTTAGTATATGATTTTGAAGATGATGTCTATAAAGTATGTAACTGATTCATCTTTCTAGTCTAACAGGCTCTTACAAAATTAATTAATTCCTACATTGACTTTATAATCCATATATGTATACTATTGGGAAGATTCCCCTCTTATAGTCGAAAGAGAAGAGTTCAATAAACCTTCAATTAAATATCATATACAGTTATATGCACATTACCATTGCCATTACCATTACTGCTGCTGCTGTTTTTCCGCTCTAACCCTAGCCACCTCTCGCATCAACGACCTTGTAGCCGCATCGTCCCTCAGCTCACCCCTTGTATGATCGCTCAACCAGAACTTATACGTAAAGATTTCATGCCATGGCGCCGTCCTTACCGAAATCATCCAGTTCATCGAGCGTGCTTCTGCAGGCGCCATGTGGCATCTACCGCCAGCGACAATCTTGGCGCCTATGATATCCTCTCGCAAGGTCATCATCCACAGATGCACCACTACATTCATTCACATGTCCATTAGCTTCAATCAAACAGAAACAATGCAAAAGAGGAATCAGACAATAAAACATACCAGCCACATAGTCGCGTATAGTCACAAAGTCCATCCCTCCAGCGGGTGTCACCTGCACCGATAGACCTCTCTTGTGAACCGGTCTGTCCTGCCCACAGCACCTCGCGAGATATGGCGTATCCAAGTCCGCCTCCCAGGTACCATCTTCCTGCTGCTCGCCAAACGGGCGTGTGTCGTCGTCCAGATCCCCATACGCAACATATTCAGCCGCGTCGTGGTTCTCATGCCACGCTTCCCAGTTGAGCTCATACTGGTCCAGCATGCGAGGAGTTGCCTTGATAGACGAGACCTTGGGTTCCGTCACCGGTAGAGAAGCGATTTCATGCCAGTTTCCGTTTCTATCTTACAGTGGCTCCATGGCTTCCTTGGCACCGCGCATCGTCTGCATAACGGCTTGCGCAGAGGGGAACGTGCCGCTCAGTGGCCAGCAGAGACGCTTAAACTCCTCAGACATGCCAACTGCTTGCCTCTCACTGCGCATCTCTTCAAACGAAGGATACATCTTGGGCCGCGTCGTCACTAGGATATTATTTACGGTTTGTTTGGTGCAGTAGCAAAGAGAGGTGTTAACGAGGCGGAGACGGACACGCCTAGTGCTGAAGGGGGCAGACAATCCCACACAGCCTTGTCGCATACGTTTGAAAATAGCGACGGATTAGGGTTTGGGCCAATTTTAGCTATTACAGTTTAATTTTGGCACGAGGAATAAATAGAAAATAAATATAATTATTGGCTTTCCGGGTCGTCATTTGACACTATGTATTGGAAGAATAGCAGTTCAACATTTCTTGCAGTTCGGTGCACTAACTTACCGTACGTAGCAAGTCACTATGGTACAACACTTATACAAGTCTACAAAATGAATAAAGATGCAATTAAATAAAAAGCTAAGAGACAAAAAGAACAAGTGAAGAATCTTTACGCATCCAACTGAGGATCCATCCTCCATATATAGCAGTCGTTTTCCAGTGTACCACCTTGTTTGCCATTGACACCGCCGCAGTTACAACTGTCTGCAATCGTCGTCAAGTAATTCTCACAAAGCTCAGTATCAAAGTGTACAACATCATGTCCACCGCGGGGACCCGATGGGTCCGATACGTGGTACGTACCGAAGCTACACAGGTCCTTAACCTCAAGAGAAAGGTCCATGATAACACTTCCAACTCCACCATTATATCCGAACGGGTAAGACTCCTTCAGAAAGAAACCGGGGAGAAGCAACTTTTTGGAGAGGGTTTGCAGAAGTCTACGAGAGCAAATATCATACGTGGTCGTTCCGTCTGCTCACCTTCGTCGTAGCAGTGACCTTTGTTGGTAGAAGCGTGGCCCTGCTCGTAGTAGGATGTGGTTGCTTCGGGCTTTGTTGTTGTGCTGCTGGTTTTGGGTAGTGGGCTAGCTGTCATATCAAACATGTTTTCCTCATCGGGAGGACTGCCGTCTCCAGATCCCCCAATTCCAAGCCACCTGTCCAGACACTTTCCATCGAAGTCTCTAAAGAAGCACTCGGTCACCACGGGAAAGTCTCTCGTACCCAAAACAGCGTTGATATGGCGATCCTTTGGCCAACTGCCGCCTGGCGGCGCAGATGCATCGCCACCCCAGATGTGCGGTGGAGGCGTCGGGAATGGCCCTGAAGCCCTGCCGGTTGATGTGGCACCATTGGCTCCTCGGTAGAGAAATGCAGGCCACAAGGGAGTCGTAGCCAACGTGGGCTGCAACGAAACCGTGTCACCCACAGCGCGTTTCTTGTTCTGGCTTGCGGCAATGGTGACGGGCTCAAACACCCACTCGGTGATGGTGATGGGAGGCTGTGTAATCGTCGTTGTCCAGGCCCCATCGCTCAGTGTCACCAAAGGATAGTTGACAGTGCTGGTAGCGCCTGTCCATGGAGGAATCTTGGCCCGACAGGGCGGGATGCAAGTAAACTGCCGCTGGTCCATGTCCCAGATCTTGGGATCAACCCAAACGTATTCATCAAAGTTGGTGTGGCCATCCTTGCCCACGTCCAACACGCTGATCTGAGACCAGCTTGGGTGTACTTTGACGTTAAGGTTGTCGGCCGCAGCGATGCCCTTACCATCCATAACCACCATATACTTGGCGCCAATCGTCACTAGATTCGTAAAGCGCACGTTGGATCCATTGTCCTTGAGAAGAACCAGCGCCTTCTGGCAGTCTTGTGTATCAATGCAGGATTAGCTGTACGTCGAGAACCACGAGTACAGACCAGCGGCAGCGATAAAGATATTCTCAGAGCCCGTCATGATAGTAGACCAAGAGTCATCACAGCCATTAAAGGGATCATTGGCAGTACAGTTATAGGCAGGGTCGCCGGCCATCTTACCCACAGCGTTAGTAAAAGGAGCTGGAGGTTTAGGGTTGGGCGGCATCTCTCCGCTAACGTAGGCGCAGCTGCGGTAACTACAGTGGGCGGTTTCAGTGGGTGAGGGGTACAATACTTTGTATAATTTAGCGCCTAGTGAGGTACGGTAGCTTCTCTCCTTGTAGTCTACCAGTTACAAAACTACGATTCCCACCACCAACCAAAAAAGTAGAAAATAATATATAAAGTCATGGCCACACCTAATATCGACGAATCCTTTGAATTATACGATCTCAAGGTCGAAGTCATTTGTCCTCCGGGTCAACGTATCCTCTGTGGTGCCAAAGAGGGCGACTACTTCACCATGAAAGGCGAGATGCTTCATCTCCCGCCAAATCAAGGCATCAGTATATACAGCCTTTGTAAGACTATTCCTATACCTCCTATATCTCTAGAGGTAAAATACTATTAATGGCAGTTATCCACTAAAACAGTCCGCGCAGCTTCTGTCCTTCCTCTTCTTCCCGCCAAACAGCGCGTTACTCATCGAAACGACTGGATGACAACAGACGCCCTTGTTGCTTGTCCTGACCCAGGCTGCCCTTCCAAGTTACGCATCACGAGAACAGGAATTCGAAAATTCAACCATTCCGATACGACAGTTGTACCCTTAGAAGGTAACTAGCCTTTGAAGGTAACTAGCCTTTGAAGGTAACTAGCCTTTGTATATCCGCCATGTAAATGGATCGTCAACCCCGCGCCTCTCGAGACACATTCCGCCATCTTTAGAGCTCTCGCGTATATACAACTATATCCAAATTTGAAGACTATAGATCTTCCATTCGCAACTGGGAGACTTCACAAGTTACAACTATATCATTTTCATTTTCTACCAGTTTTGGCTGCCAGTCCCACGAACCATACCTGCCATCAATTTCACGTGACTCGGCCTCGGCTTGAATCGAATCGTCCGTCTCATCGCTCAATGAATATCAAGGTCAACCACTCCATCATATTACTGAAATAATGGCGTTGTCATTGCTTTCTTCCATATCTAAAGCCAAATCCAGGGCTCTAATCTACTTTATTCCTGGTAATCCTGGTCTGATAGAATACTACACTCCTTTCCTCAGCTATTTACGCAACTTAGTAAATGGCGCGGAGTCACAACAAACAGCGTACGATATTTATGGTCGAAATTTGCTAGGTTTTGTGGATGAGGAGCACGAGCCATTTGGGCAAGGCCGGGAGCCGTGGGACTTGAATGGTCAGATTGAGGGAATTGGCCAAGATGTTGCGAACCGACGATGCCCAGACGGCCGCCCTTACGACAAAGTCATTCTGATGGGCCACTCGGTGGGAGCCTACATTGCTGTTGAAATCTTCTCAAGGCATACTTCCCACTTGGATCGCAACCCGCATGTCAACATGGAGCATGGGTTTCTCCTGTTTCCAACACTGACATCAATTGCGCTGTCACCAAGCGGAAAACGAGCTGGCACCTTGCTAGCCGTACCAGGCCTGAAACCATACGCACATATCCTAGCGAAGCAGTTACTGAACCTTTTCCCTGCCTTTGCACTGCGCTATATAGTCGGAAAAGTTACCGGGTTTGGTAGAGCTGCGCTTGAAACAACCTTGCAGTGGCTGTCGAGCAAAGACGGTGTTTGGCAAGCTATTCATCTTGCCAAAACTGAATTCGCGGAGATTACTGAAGAGAAATGGGATGAAAGTATGTGGCAGGGCGATGGAGTCCCACGATTCTTCATATTCTATGGCGAGGACGACCATTGGGTGGACAACGACATTAGAGCGGACTTTATCCAACGGCGTGCTGCGGGCAAGGGAACGCTGGCTCACATTGAGGTCGACAAAGGCGGTATACAGCATGCTTTCTGCACCCAAGACGGTATGTGCAAACCATTTTTGAAAATACGGAGAAGCAAGACGCTAATCTTTTGCAGCAACGAGCCGAACAGTCGCCGAGAAGGTCTTCTCCTGGGTTGAGACTATCAACGGTCACGAATGAAGTGCTGATTTGGTCTGGAAGATTATGCAGCGAGTTTTAGTATCTTATTCGAAAAGAACGTCGCATATTTTTATTTTTATTTTTGATGCTACCATCGTGACACATTATAATCTGAAAACGTCTTGTGCTATGCGTCGTGTCCTCTCGCTTGCCTCAATATTTGTCGGTATACGTCGGCTCTCATCCAAATTGGGGATAAAGTCATGTGCCTCATTTCTGTTCGTTTAAGATGGAGCATTAAAACACCAGATCGTACCAGCACTCTAAGCGAGCTTTGTCTCGGTATACCCTGCGTATATCAACGCTATTATGGGCGAAGCTCCACTACCGCAAGTACTACACTATATTTTTACAAATGCCTCATGACTGATCGTATTCTACCATATCATTAACATTATGGCTCTACCAGATCTAGAGGCGGCGAGCATTGAGTCCCTCTCAAAGGGACTACACGATGGTCAATTTACAAGCACCCAACTTACCCAGGTAAGAGTGACCCCTTAAGTGGTAACAGTCTGCGTCAACTAACCCCTCCCTCTAGGGCTACCTCGACAGGATAGCAAAACTGGATGGACAGTTCCGCAGTGTCACAGAAATTAATCCAGATGCTCTGGCAATTGCCGAGGAGTTGGATAATGAGCGAAGCCAAGGAAGTCTAAGAGGGTTTGTATAACTACAAGCTGGACGGATTTCGCGTTGCTAACACGAGCGCTTTCAGCCCCCTCCACGGCATTCCCATTCTAATCAAGAACAATATCGCTACGGCTGATCAAATGCAGAATACAGGTATGAGTCCTCAATGCTTATCTGGGACCGCGGAATTAACAGGTTGACCAGCCGGATCCTGGCTTCTTCATGGAGCCACGGTTCCCCGCGACGCAACGGTTGCAGCAGCCCTACGGAAAGCCGGTGCAATCCTTCTTGGAAAGACCAACATGTCTCAATGGGCTAACTGGCGCATTGATGGAGGCTGCAACGGCTGGTCGTCTCATGGTGGCCAAGTCGTGGCTGCATATCTGGATCGCCAAGACCCCCTTGGCAGCTCCAGTGGCAGCGGCGTTGCGGCCGATATGTGTTTTGCCGCGGCAACATTGGGCACAGAAACTGACGGTTCCATCATATGCCCGGCAGCATTCTGCAACATTGTAGGCATCAAACCTACTGTTGGCTTAACATCGCGTTCGCTGGTTATTCCTGTCTGCGAACGACAGGATACCGTTGGACCTATGGCTGGATCTATACGTGATGCTGCCATGGTTCTGCAGGCAATATCAGGTCGAGATGATCGCGATAAGTATACATTGGAGGCACCCTCGCCGTTGCCGGATTATCTGGGATGTTGTAAAGAAGGATCACTGCGTGGCGCCCGCATCGGTGTGCCATGGAAGTTGATTAACAAGGTGGTCGAGGAGGATAAAACAGTGTCATCTCAGGATGAGCTGGCTGTCTTTAACGACGCATTGGATGTACTACGCAAGCACGGCGCCGATATTATCGAAGCCAACTTTGAAATCACAGCGGAAGAGAGGTGGGAGGCTGAGCGTATCATCATGCATGCCGACTTTCCGGTGAACCTTGCTGCGTATCTGGAAGAATTGGTATCCAATCCACACGATATACATACTCTTGCAGAGGTACGGGAAAAGACGCGATCTGATGACAGAGAAGACTACCCTGTCCACGATACGTCAGTCTGGGACTTTGCTCTGGATACACTAGGCTTTGACAATACCGACGACGAAAAGTTTGGCGAGGCGTTGCGCAAGTACAAGCTTCTCGGCGAGGAGAAGGGCCTACCAGCTGCCTTGGCTGAGCACAAACTCGATGCTATGGTGATTCCAACGATTTGGGCGTCAGGCTGGGCTGCCGTTATTGGCGGGCCTGCCATCACGGTGCCGATGGGATGTCACCCTTCGTCAGGCCCTGTCCAGGAAAGTAACTGGGGTCTTGTTGAGCGTGGGCCGGGTTTACCAATCGGTCTCAGTTTCCTTGGACCGAGATGGGCAGAGCCTGCATTGATTGGGCTGGCGTACGACTTTGAACAAAAGACTAAATGGAGAGACCAGGTCCTTGAAGGCCGATCAGACCGCATCAGCAAGACGCAGCAACCAAGCAGCTAACGTATGGGATTGCAACAGATGCCGCTGTATAGATAGCTATAGCGATCATAGAATCCGATGCCTTTTGTGCTCATACCATATCCGTTGACCAGCAAGTGCCAGTCATGATCCGCTAGTCCTTGTACTACAGTGACCATCCCACACAGTGACAGCTACTCACGTCGCCATCAATCTAATTATAGTTATCTTTCCTATGCGCATCTGCCGTGGAATGTGCAATGTAGATATACCAACCACGAAAACGCTACGGTACATTACTGGATACGAACATGTCCCAATGCGGCAATAGAGCGCTCATGGTGAAAAGCTAGATTGCTTGGGGATCCACGCAAGCGAGGCGAACTCAACCATTCAAGAGCGGAACGTCAGAGGGAAAAAAAGCCAATCGAAGTAGAAGGGCGAAATTAGAGTTTACACCGGCACTGAACGGGGAAAGACGAAAATTTTCTCGCTAGGTTGGTAGCGGAATGTCGGCGTCATGGTGAGAAAACGATGCCGCAGCCTGTGGCCGATTGGCGGTGGTTGTTGGTGGCTCGCGTTACAATGCATGGTGCATCTTGCGCCAAGGATTTCTGTATCGATGAACGCATGGACGCTCGAGAAGAGGGGGGCCTGGTACTGTCTGTGTTGGGTGAGGCTAGCTAGCGCACGTCCTGCAGCAGTATACTGCATCCAGGCAGGACAAGGATGTAGATTGATTTTTTTCCCGCAGCGACAATTGTTGCGATGTCGGGCTGAGGAAGAACGGTGAGGTTTTTTTCTTCTCGTACAGCTTGGGCATGCGATGCCCTGGTCAGAATCGCCAGCGCGTCTGAAGAATGAGGCTCGTCGCGATGGCAGAAAGAGGGGAAGGCGTCGCAGTGACAGCTCTTGGCTGGCTGCCTTGTCAGTGCCCGCGCCACACAGCCACAGCACCATGTAGGGTAGCTTATCTCTCCAGCATCTGCATTGGCAACCACATTCTCCGATGCAGTTATCTTATCATTTAATGAGGGTAAATCAGTACTTAAATTACCAGCCATATACTTGGTGCATATTCGACAACAAATTCGAGGTGTTTTGTCGTGGTGCAAGTACATCTACAGCAGTAAAGTACTCTCCTTCAACACACAGCAGACCGTCCAAATCCGAGAAAATGCAACGCTAACGCCACCATGCAGCCAGCCGCAGCTGGTGTGTGCTTACTACTTGGCCATCGACTAGCTGCCGCTGCAAGGCACGCGTAACTAGTACATCAGACTAAAAAGGCAATTCGCCGTAGTACAGGGGAAGTACAGAAAAAAAAGAGACATTAGGCTCCGATGCTACACCGTGAAAAAGAATCAGTTATCACGACGGCTTGTGGAGGAACCCCGGATAACACGGCGATCGGCTGTCAATTAATTACCACGACAAATAATATTGACAGACGGGAAAGCCTGAGCGGGTCACTTTGCTACTGGCTGCTTGTCTCGCACGGGCAGTGCCGGATTTGGACGCGCTGACGTTGGGCGAGATTGGTATCTGCAGACTCTGCATGTTTTTGTTTCAAGCGCGCTAAATACCGGTCAGCACTTGACGCGCGGTCATGGCAACAGTAGACAGCACGTAGTGCTAAGCCTTATGAAGCTGAAAACAAAAAACATTAGAGTAGCAAAAATGGATATTATAGTCACAATTGAGAAGAGAGCGAAATGTTTTCAAGGTCAGCGATCATTAATATTAATCCAGCTAACTGGTGGTATTTTCTAAGATTTAATTACACGGGTATTCCAGCTCTTCTATACAGCAGATTTCAGAGACTGGAAAAGACCCATTTTTGGTCCAATCCAACAAATTCATTATCACATTGTTGCATTATCCCGCATGTCCATTGCAGCCTTGCAGGGCTGCTAATTCACATCATTCGTGAAAGAACCCATTTACAGGGCAAGGGCAGCAAGGACGACGGCGGCCATGCCGACAGAGACACCAGCGGCACCGGCGGTGGGGACGGTGACGGGGGCAGTGGTGGTGCCGTTGGTGGGCTTGACAGCGGTGGTGGTGCAGTCAGCAGCGGGAGCAGAGCTCTTGGCAGCGGGAGCAGAAGAGACGGGGGCAGCAGAAGACTGAGCAGGCTTGGAAGAAGCGGGAGCAGCAGAAGACTGAGCGGGGGCAGAGGACTGAGCAGGCTTAACGTCCTTGCAGAGCTGACCAGCGAGGGTAATAGCCTTGGCTGTAGTAGGTGTTAGCAAGCTGTGTCAATGGTCGATGACGATGGTATCACAGGAAACTTACTGATGTCGTCGGGGTTGGTGCAGGCAGTGATGGCGCAAGGAGCAGCGGCCTGCTGGATCTCGCTGAAGTGAGGGCAGATGCACTGGAGATCAGTAGAACCGCAGCCGTACTTGGGAACCTCCTTGTCGATGCAAGAGCGGGCGCAAGCAGGAAGGTCGTCGACAGAGGCGGCGGCAGCGACGGCAACGAGGGCAGCGAAAGCGAACTTCATTTTGAATGATTAAAGGTGGTGTTTGGGGTGATTGTACAGGACAACGAGTGTGATAGATTGAATAGCGAATGTGGATGGAGAGGAAAGAAAAAAGGTCGAACAACAACGGGGACAGGAAGCACCTTTATATCTGGGGGACGCAGAGGATAATCCGGGGGGGTGTGGGAAATGAGCAGGTACTAACCAAGCTGCCTGATTTACTGGAGAAGAAAAAAATTAGTATGACAGAGGCGACAGCCCGGAGGGATGCTCGGGGAGAGAAGCAAATCGTTGCTGGGGTGAGAGTACAGCGGTCCCCACGCCCCCTCCACTACCAACGCTGAGCGCAACCCCGGCTCGACAACGGTACGTACCTTTTCTTCGCAGCGGCGGTCCCCATTTGCCAGACTGCGCTGCCTCACCAGCACCCGATCCACAACCTGCTCCCGATCCAGGTTCTGCCATCTCGCCGCCCCCGGCGCTAGGACCACCCACAAGCTTGCGTTGATGTGGGCCTGGGAGGCCCGTTTCGGCGCTCATCCACTTCTGCTTTGGGCTGTTGCCTCCGGAGCCAGTGCGCCCCCCATGGCGCGCCACTGGTCTATTTTTTCCCTCTTGTACAGTACAGCGGCTAGCTCTGGGCCGCGCAGTACCTAAGCAACCAGAACAGCGCACTGGAGGAGAAAGAAAAAAACCCTGCTGTGCCAGTGGAGACCGACTTCGTTCTGGTAGGGGCAATTCAGGCTCGCTGGTTTGACCCATCTCCACTGTAATTCCGGCGGCTCCACTGCTGTTAGAGCTTGTCTACGGGGAGCGACACAGCTGCGTATAGTGGTTCGTGGAAGCGACGGGCAAAAAAATTGCATACCATGCAAGCGCCGCAGCATTTTTTGCGTTGCAATGCAATTAAAACAAACACATAGGGGATCATGCTCACAATAGGAACTGAAGAAAAAACACTTTCGAATACCCCATGTCTCTGGCAAGCGTGCGGAGATGACAGCAGGCAGCTTAAAGCTGGGCAAAAGAAAAAGAAGTGCAGCGTTCCAGAGCTGTCTGTCTCGCCTGGGGCAAACAGGGATCCCGCTGTGGCAAAAACTCGTTCAGCGGGCCACCGGCGCTGTGGAGAGAGCTTCATCCTTCCTCCATGGGGTGACAAGAGCTGCTGCGAGTCAGCGGACAGCGCGCTATCGGGCCTCTGACAGAGCTGTTTTTAGCAACCTGACCTGACCTGACGTGCGCTGCGTAGGCCGCCCACAGCGATCACCAGAACCGTTGCCCTCCCTTTCCCATCCCCCAGACTGCTCGACTCGCCAACAGCGGCTGCCCGTCCCGTACCCAACCCAGGCATCGCATTGGTCCATATGAACCTGTGGAGGTGATTGTCAAGGAGGGTATTCATGCTATACCTGGTGTTATGGCCGTGCTGTCGGGCAGATCATGTATCAAAACCGGCGGGTTGTCGTCGTCACGCGCAGCGAAAGCAAAATAGCCACAATAACAATAGGCGGACGGCAGACATGTCACTGTGCGACAGCGCTGCTGCCAATCAAATTACAGCGACCGCGTCCGCTAAAACGGCATTGTCTCAGCGCTGGCTGGCAGCGCCGCCGCCGTCCTCCCCGTCGCATGTACTTTTGGCGAGAAGGGCAGACGGGGGCGGCGCGTCGCACATGTCAGCAGGAAAAGGGCCTACCCACTAAAAATGGAGGATCTCCACTGGCTGGAGTGCCCTGTGCTGCTGCTGTAATTAGCTGCCCCGTGGGAAATGAAGGACGGGCTAACTAGTTGGAAAATCAATTCTTTTTTGCCCACCTGTACAATTATTACTTGATATTATTATTGGCTTTTTCTGTTTGCTTGCTTAGTGGGTGCCTGGCTTCGGCGGAAAGCTAGCGGAACAGCGTCCAGACTACAGTTGCCAATACTACTGGCTTCTAGCTTGGGTCGAGGCCCTGTAGTAGCTCTATGACGTCCACTATGCCAGCAGCTTGCGAGCGCCCCGCGAGTCTGCTCTCCCCGGATACATAGATAGGGGAGATAGATGTGCAATATCATGCCCGTGAGGCAATTAACAACACCCAGCAATTGTCTGGTTAATCTCGGCCGCTCGCTGCGACAATTCCTTTCCCCCGCGATGCGGAACCAAGGGTATTCGGGCCCGGGCCAAGGTTTTGGCATGTCTAATTTCCCCCGGATCGCTCATTGCCCACATGGGCACGCTGTGCTCGCGTGGGCATTGCACCCATTCAGGCGGCGGAAATACACGAAGCACCAAAAGTAATACCCTTTGAGAAGCTGTATTAAACTTCCAGTTACAGCTTGTTATGACGACGATATGCACGCCCTACGTCCCTCCTTCGTCCGTAAATACCAGCTATTAGCAAAACCTGTTCCTTTGTGGCGCTCGGCAATGAGGCTGCATCCTCTCTCTGCAGGGGCAAAGCCACCTAACTAGACAATGCTTAGAGGCTGCGAACAAGCTTTTCTTCGCCTGCCTCTGGGGCTGCCATCAAGCCACTAGTAGAAAGAACCCTCCTTTGCTCTGTCGTTTGCTGCCTTATCGCAGCCTTGTTTTTTCTTTAGTGCACAGGGAAAGGCATCGCCCCCCTTACCGCTTTTGGGGGTCTGCCGTCCGTGGTGGCTTGCGCAGGGGGGCGTGGTAAAAATCAGCACCGGCGGTAATTTTCCCGGTACGGGCTCCCAGTAAAGAGAATCGTCTGGAAGCGCGCTACACTCGCCTTCGCTGCGTCCCCCCTGGCCCGGCCGAACGCTACGTTACCGCTGTGCTTGCCTGCAATTGTGTACAGCTACAGCGACTGTGTTCTGTCTGACAAGCTGGCGATCTCCGGGCTTTCAGTGGTTGAAGCCTGCTATTACTGTTGGAGCAGCAGCCGCGGCAAGGTTTGATCCATGACATGTTCATCCAATAGCTTACGGCCGTGTTTGTCTCACAGTATCTCTACTTGTTTCGTGTATATCCGTTGCTACGCACTATACGGCTCGAAGTAGCTTTCCCATGTACCAAGCAGGTATTGTCGTCAACCCTGGCTCCTGCAGCCTTGGGTCTGCAGAGTCTGTGCGGACAGGTGAAAAAAATGATGAAAATTCCGCTTTGCAGGCCGTGTTTGCAGTATTTGCTTCTTGGCGCCGAAAGTTCCAATCTTGCATGGTATTCAGATCGCTGACGACCGCAACCGCTGTCCAAGCGCATGCAGGCAGGCACACAGGCACGCACGCATGCACCTCTCTCCCAAGCACATGGGAAAAGCCACCAACCTCTGTCGTTACATGCATGCACAGCTTATGATTCATCTCGGCGCTGATTGCTTGTTAGCCACCGCCGCCGACTTGTAGATATTCTGGCTAATCGGAGCGCCCTGTTCCTTAATTAGATAACGAGCCTCATTCTCTGGCTAACGAGCCGTGTGTCATGCCCCATGCCCTGTGCCACAGGCCTATTCACATGCCTCGTTTTGGTAACCTGGATCAAGATCTGCATCTGTGAACCCATCCGTCGCCGAAGCCGTCTCTCCTTCTGGCCAAAACCCCGAGCCCTGGTTCTTCTGCTCTTCAGCTTTGCGCGTTGTGGTGCTAACAAATAAAACGGTCTATCCCAAAAGTCCGCAGCTTCGGGCCGGTATCCATTTCCAACGCATCGCTTGAATCAATAGTCTCGGGGATGGGTTAGGCACAATGCTGTTGACCCCATATGCTCTCCACTGATCATACAGTACCACCTTGGCCGACGAGAAGCGAGGCGAAGCGAATCTTCAGCAATGCTCTCTCGCGAACCAACACCCAGCGTATGCAAGCCTATCGCAGTGAAGCTTTGTAGATCTGCATGTGACGCATGCTTCAGATACGGCACAGGCTTGACCTGTACTAAATTGGGAATACTGTGGCTTGTAATGAGCCGCAGGGCGCTGTCTTCTGCTGCTCGCAGACTCCTGTTACGCCCACTTGAGAGCATTTTCCCTGAATTATACTGGACATCCAACGTCTAATGCTGTTGCTTGACTCACCAGTCCACCATTAGCTCGTCGTTCAGGGGCCGCTGAGGCTACCGGCCATACAGATTAAGCTGTTTATGCACTGTATTACTCTGCAGCTGAATTGGTTGGCAGCTTTCTACCAGCGCCACCACCAGCGCCTCCCATACCGTTTAAAATGATGTGGCCAATACGGGCACGCCCCGTCCCTAATCTCCTTTTGACAGCGCCGTCCACGAACCAGGACTCTCACATTGGATGAATTGGTCTGGTTGGTCGCTGACTAGCCGCCCCTTCCAGTTGCATACGGGTGCCTAACAGCGCTGTGTGTCAGAGGCGCACTTGGACCTGTCAGGAACACGCCCCTTTCTGCATCGGAGATTGCCAACCCCAAGTGCTGCAGAGTGAAAAAAAAAGACACCAGTGGAAATTACACGCATAAGACATCCCGCACTGGCACAGGTCTAGAAACGCATTCCGCCAAGCACCGTGACTAAGACCCTGTTTAGATCCTCGTAGGGTATTCGGAGCGTCGTGACACTGTACTGTATGTAGTATGCTTGGGGAGTAATTCTCCCAGCTATTACCACTGCCTGCACCCATTATAGCGGTTTTGTTAGGACTTCATACATTTTTGTCTGTTTTCTACGAGGTTTCTCCCATTATTTTTTGTGCTTACCTGGCATTTTACAGTTACTACCTAATAGCGCAAAGCTGCCTAGTAGCCGCTATTGAGACAATACTTACGTTACTGTACACGACTGGTCGCTTGTTTCCCCGCGTCTCAAAACAAATGTTGCCGGCAATAATCAGCTGTACCCTTGCGATGTTTGCCGATATGAGACAGTATAATCACCTACGTCGTTAATCTAGCACGCGACCCGAATAAACATGCAAAACAAGCAGTGTGGATAGAAGGGATGGTTTGTTTACGTAGTGACAGAAGTCACTTCTGAGACAACGAGATGCCCAACGGCAACACCCGGATACACTTCCCCAGTTTCCATCTCTTACAGTACCCAACCCAGAAGGGCAATAATACAGAGGTGTCTCTAGTTGAGGGTCGTCTTGCTGTCCGTACGACGGGCTTCTCAATGTTGTATCTGCTCGCAGATACTGCGGCACTGTGATGCGTCTGGATATGAGTTCAACCTCGTCTTGCGTAGCGACCGCCTCCCAGTCTAAGCGATGTGTCTATAGATGCAAGTCACATAGCAGCTACGATCTGAACATTACACTTTGCTTTCTATACGGCATAGTCACGGATTGCCTCTTGACCACCCCCAGCGCCGTAGCGCCGTTGACCGGCCATACCCTCTCCGGGAGCGGCTCCGGTGTGGGTTCCGTGGAACTTCTCCTTCAGGCGACTCCGGCGCATACAGTATACAGCTCCGCCGGTGACTCAATGCAAACGTACAGAGCTAGCGAGCCTCAAGGATAAAAAAAAACGCCAGTTTGAATTTCCAATCCACAGGTAGGAAAATCGGGCCTGCCTCCCGATCGGACGCTTCCGTGCTGCAAGCTTTTCCGCCGTATTCTCAGGCCATAGCGGCGGCGATTAGGTGGGGTTGCCAGCGTTATCGCATCGTAGCTTTTCAACTGGTGGATCGTAGGAATTAATAATGCAGATGCTTGAATTTTGTTGAGCCAAGATAAGGGATTCTTATTTATACCCTCCAATCTGTACCCTGGACGACTACACAACCTCAACAACAACTGTATAGTATCTGTAAAGAGCATATCGTCTTCACAATGGCTATCGCTCCCGGTTTCAAGGTTTTCAACGTCGGCGTCATTGGATATGGGTAAGTCGCTACCCCGCCCCCTCGTCGTTGAGCAAGCGGTGTAAAATGACAGCGAGGGATTGTCTTTGGAGTTTGACGAAGGAGAAGAAGCTAACAGGAGTTGTAGCATGTCTGCCAAGGTCTTCCATATTCCCTTCATCGCCACGACCCCTCAGTTCAAGCTCCATGCAATTGTCCAGCGCAGCCCCAAGGAAGGCAACTCTGCGCCTGCCGACCACCCTGATGTCAAGCACTACACTGATGCCAAGGACCTTCTAGCCGACTCCGATATCGATGTCGTCGTCGTCACCACTCCTCCCAACCACCACTTTGAGCTCACAAAGGCTATTCTCGAGGCCGGCAAGCACGTCCTGACTGAGAAGCCTTTTGTGCCCACATCCGCCGAAGCTGATAAGCTTATTGAAATAGCCAAAGCTAACAACAAACTCATCTGTGTTTACCAGAACCGTCGCTGGGATTCCGACTTCCTTCTTGTCAAGCACCTTGTATCAAACGACACCCTCGGCCGCGTCTTCGAGTTCAACACCCACTTTGACCGTTACAAGGCCGGAGCCGCTACCAACTGGAAGGGAGAGCTTGGTATCGACCAAGGTGGCAGTGCGCTCTTCGATCTTGGAACCCACTTGATTGATCAAGCTTATGTCCTCTTTGGCATGCCTCAGTCCGTCCATGGCCGCCTTTTGTCTCAGCGAAACGGCAAGTTTGACTTCTTCAACCCCGAGGCCATCAATGCGGAATTGACGTACTCGGATGGCAAGATTGTCAACGTCCGTATCAGCCAGCAGAGTGTCGAGCTTATCCAGCCTCGCTTCTGGGTCCGTGGTACCAAAGGAAGCTTCCACAAGGTCGGTCTCGACCCCCAGGAAGATCAACTCAAGGCCGGCGTTTCTCCTACCGCTGAGGGTTTCGGCAAGGATCCCGCTTCTAACATGCGCTTGGCCGTCGTTGATGCCGAGGGCAAGGCTCAGGAAGCCCAGGTTCCCGACTTGAAGCCCGAGACGTATATGACCTTCTACAATGCTTTTGGTGCTGCTGTTGCTAGTGGCAAGGAGGAGGATGTTCCTGTTAAAGCTTCCGAAGCCCGTGATGTCCTTTGCATCCTTGAAGCCGTCCAGGAGAGCGCCAAGACAGGCAAGGATGTGACCTTTTAATGAATTGTTACCCGTACCAAGCGCATTATCTTGAAAAAGTTCGCCTTAAAAAAAGGTGCTTCTGCACGTATCTATTAATATTATGAATTATGAAATCGTCTTCATCTTAATGTGCTGTGAACATGCAAATCTGGCCGTGCACCTGTGACAGCTGCGCCAGCTGGTAGCACGGACGTGAAGCTCCTTCTACGTTGTCGCTTTTTCATATCCATTTACGCTTAGACACCGCCATTTCCTCGCTCTCGTCATTAAGGATTCTACTCCTACAACGCATCGGGACAGCTCAAGACTGGCGACTAATCAATTACCTCCCATGGACTCGTATGAACAAAGCGACGCTGCAATAGACGCGTGGAGCTTATCTGGAGGACACTTTGATAACTCTGTATCTGGTGAGTTGGTACCAGAAGAATACTGTAATAGCCGAAGAGCGACTTGTCTCGCTCAAGATGACCTTGACAATGGGGCTGCAGTGTTTGATGAGTCACCAGACGCGAGAGCAATGGAAGACACTCCTTATGAGTTTCACTCACACGATTACTTTTCTCGACGACAACAAGATATGGACGATTTGGAGCCTGGAATTCCTGAATGGCTACCATCACAACACAGACTAGGCCGATCTTCATTTGCTGCACCGTTCTTTGCTTCAAGCATTGAGAAAAAGGCACAGAATCCAGCAGCTTGTGGTGCTGTTGCCTATGACATTCGAATTAAATACGTTATGCCGCGCTTTTTATGTCGATTGATTGGGTTCATGCTGTACTGCTGTCTACTGGCGAATTTTTATCAACATCTGGGCCTGCCATGTAATGATAGAAGAGTGGCACGCGGACAAAAAGAACACGCCATTGACACAAAATCTATTCTGTTAATGTGGTCCGAAACTATGGTAACCATGGCCGTTTGTTTTCTCATAGGACAGGGCTTTTATGGGTAAGCAGTCTCTCCGCCGTATTCTCAGCAGCTAGTGACGGAGGACTGGACTAGATTAAGACACTTACGCGAGCGGATGGAACGTGTTCGGCAGACAGCCATAACGGTGGCATATGCGTTTCTGAAAACTACAATTCGCAGACGACGCTGCCTTGATGATGAACTCGAACTAAAGATTTTGTGAGTCTGAAAAAGTGGTTGCACTAGTAGGTTCAGTATATTCACAAGACATCATAGTGAATGTCTGGCATTGCTCACCGCATACCCTGTCGCACTATATCATCAGATACAAGGTAATACATGTGAGCCTGCGGTAACGAACTATTGCAGAGAGATTTCACGTGCTCTGAAATCTCTCCGCGATGGAAAATGGGAGATCGGCTGCTCCCCTCCAGGTATGCTCGCTCACGAGCGTTCCGTGACCGTTGAATACTTTTTCGAAAGGTTTTCATTGAATCTTGATGCCGAATATCGTCGCCAAGCAGTCCAAACAAAGACCCCATCCATGGCACCACAATACATCATCTATAAGCTTCGCAATCACTTTGAAGATTTTGTTGACGCAGGATCTATTGCTCGTCACAGCGGGCCAATTATCCGTACGTACCTGCGGCTTATACGTGAATAACGCTAATGATGACCATATTAGGTGAAAACATTGACTTGTTTGCCATGGCTGGGAGAGACTGTGGCATATATTCACTGAGAGATGTGGTGCCTATAACACTCCTTTCTGTTGTAGACTTCTGCGGCCGAGTTGTGGCGTTTGGGGTACCAGTTCAAAACTGCGAGTGGATAATAAGTGAAACAGATGCCCAAGTACACAATAGTGTGGCACCTAGGGCCGAGATTTTTGTTGCTTGGGTTGTTCTATCGATCATTAGTGCCGCCGTTTTGTCGATCCTTGATGAGATGTGGCGCTTGTGGGATCCCCTGGGCAAATCTACAAACGTATATGCTTGGTCTCTGGGGATTGCATCTGAAATCGACCATATGCTTAATGAGTTCTACGAACAAGACACTTCCACACTAGATCGCCGGCATGCCTACATGGGTTCTTCGATTCCGTTGAGCCCGCCGCTGGTGGTGAGCTGCGGTGAGTGCTGCGAAAGACGGACGATTTGAAGGATCTGAGGGTGTGTGCAATTATTGCTATAATAGTGAGCTTACTGTTTGATTTGTTTTCTGCCTTTGACCTTATACTATATTTATTGCTAGGTAATACAATTCATTGGTCGAATAATCACTTATAGGTAGGGCTTTTTAACGGTGCGCGACTGCTGCCAGGGCAACGGCGCTAATCCCAAAGTAAATAAACTACCGAAAGGGCCCCATTCCAAACAACCGCGCTTGAGGATCCTGGTCTCAAACGCGTCATTCGACACTCCATCTATAATCGGCGACAAAAACGTTGAAGTAAAAACGAAGTGTGTGAAGCTTACTGTTCTATAGAAAAATCGTTTGAACCATTTTTCGCTGGCTACCCCCAGGGGCACAGTTGCATCCCTTTCCGTTGACGCGGGTCTCGCTCGTACGCTTGATATCATTTTCCTTGCGTTTGTCACCCCGCGTTGGGAGATCATATCAACATCATGAGTCCTTCAGAAGCCCAGGTAAGCAATGAAAGCATGATGCCAAGTCCGCCTCTTAGACCTGCCAGGCCTTGCTAATGCGCCAACCTCGACTCTAGTCCTATGGACTTCGAAGCTCTAAATCCAGTCGCCTTCCCGGCCCTTCGACAACCGTAGGAGCAGGACTCACCGAATGGACCGATTCCCAGCACAATCGAAGCCAATCGGCAATCCCTGGACCAGCAACCACAAAGGGGATCAAGCGCGAAATCCCCCAGCCAGGTGCGAGAAACCGAACAACCAACGCCAGCCGACGACATATCAAGACTAACCGTCCTGCTCCTGTAGCCCCCCAACCCGAAGCGAAGCGCAAACTCCTTTCCGAGCGTGCGATCGAATATCCAGCCAAAGCTTCTGCGTCTGCCTTGGTGCAAAGCACACGCGCTGCTGTTAAGGGTCAAACCCTTGCGAGCATGTCGCAGGTATGTAGAGGCACCTGCGTGTGCAACCATTGAATGCTCACATGTTGTGTAGCTTAAGCAGCCGACCAAAGCCACCCCCAATACTCTTAAGGCTTCCACAAGCGGACTCACCAGGTCTGTTGCAGCTGCTCGAAATGTTGCCCCTATGGAGCGACCCGTATCGAGAGCGCAGCCACGAAGCATGCACACTCGCTCGAAGAGCCAAGCCGCTCTTGTCAGACCGCGGACCGTACATGGCCACCGGGAAGACGAATCGTTTGCCTTGTCTATCTCAAGCAGTAATGGTATGAAATGGCAATTGCCGCCAACCCCATTAAGCCCCTCGCACAACATCACCCGTCGGCGAATTGTCGATGCCCCGAGCTGTCTAGCAGAGGTCCCAGTCGCAAGTGCCTGTTCTATTCTTAGGACTGGGGATATGCTCACCATTCAAGATCCCAAAATCATTCCTGACCAAGCGAACGACCATCAAATTTTCCCCTCCCATCTCACTGATTTACCCTTGTCATCTCACCCTGCTGCGGATGAATCTATTATTCGAACCCGTGTGATGGTTCAAGAAGTATAGGATGCCTCTTTACCGTTCACAGTAGGCGTAGACACAATTCATCGCCAAGTGGAACACGCACAAAATGTTTTCAATAATTTGAAAGCCTCACTGTCCCCAGAAAAGCAATCATCGCCCCAGAAATTTCTCACCAAAGACTCTAATTTGACTAACTTTGGATTTGCAGCATTCGATGTGGAGGGCCGAGTTGGTGACATGGAGTCATCATTCAAAGAATTGAAAGATATCGTTAACAGCACCCTGATTCAGAAGAAGGGACACGACGATGCATTGGAAATGGCAAAAACAAGAGGTACGTGGTTTGCAAGGACATGCTAGTGTGACATGAGCTAAGAAAATGTAGTCTCGGAGTTGGAGGGTGACCGAAAGTCGCTTTCGACGCGCAACGAAACCCTGAAGCAAGAACTTGAAGTTGTGCGAGACGAAGCTAGAGAACTCAAGCACCAGCTCGAAGACTCTCGTAGGCAGCATCAGAGAGATGTTGACGAACTGTCACGGACACACAAGCAGGCTGAGGACGATCTTGCACGACAACACCAAAGCTCCATTGACCAGCTGAGCCGCGAAATAGATCTTCTCAAAGACCAAGAGATGAAGGAGTATCAAGAGCAAATAAACATGCTGAAGCGACAACACCAGCAAGATCTAGACGATGAGAAGCAAAGAGGCAAGCGTGAAGCGCAGGACATCCAAGCGCGTATGAACAATGAGCAACAAGAGTTCAATATCTCGATGCTGCGCAAAGACCGCGATGTTCAGGAAATGAGATCTGAGTGTGACAGTCTGCGAACTGAAGTCGACCGCCAAAAGGGTTTGAATGGCACATTACAAGCGAGTATTTGTGAGCTATCTGCTGCCAACACTACCTTTGAAGCTAAGGTCAACTCTCTGAGATTGCAAGTCGACTTCCTTGAGTCTGATAGCAAGGCGCAATCGGACTCATTTGCCGACATGGAAACGAAGCTGCAAGAGGCTTTGCGGATGGCAGAGGAGGCCGATCGACGTTTGATGAAGGCCGAGACTGAACGCCGCGTCCTATTCAACAAGTATCAGGAGCTGAAAGGCAACATCCGTGTTATGTGCCGTGTCCGCCCTGCTCGAGATGAAATTGAAGGTGCCAAGGCTGGCATCTCGTTCCCAGATGATAAGACATCAGCCGAAATCTTACTCGCTGGACCTGAGGAGAAGAGCAGCCTGGGTGCTGTGACACGCAAAAACTATCCTTTTGAATTCGACAGGGTGTTTACGCCGTCGACTCAAAATGAAGAGATTTTTGGCGAAATTTCACAGCTGGTTCAGAGCGCGCTCGACGGCTACAATGTCTGCATCTTTTGCTATGGTCAGACTGGCTCTGGTAAGACATATACCATGTCTTCCCCAGACGGTATGATCCCGCGGGCTACGCACATGATTTACGACACGATTGAGAAGCTCAAAGAAAAGTCATGGACGTACACCATGGAGGGATGCTTCGTAGAGGTGTACAACGAAGAGCTGAATGATTTACTCACGCCCAACGACCGCAACGGAGACAGCAAGTCAAAGAAGTTAGAGATTCGACATGACGAAGTGCGCAAACAGACCAACATTGCCAATTGCAAGTCGGTCATACTTGACTCGCCGGAGAATGTTGAGCTGATGCTCAGTGAGGCACAGAAGAACCGCTCTGTCGCTGCCACCAAAGCCAACGAGCGATCCTCCCGATCACATAGCATCTTTATTCTGAAGCTTGTTGGTGAGAATTCGGCCACTGGTGAGCGCTGCGAAGGCACACTCAACCTGGTAGACTTGGCTGGCTCAGAGCGACTGAAGCAGTCACAGGTAGAGGGCGATCGTATGAGGGAGACACAGAACATCAACAAGAGTCTAAGCTGCCTGGGCGATGTGATTGAGGCTCTGGGCCGCGGATCGGGACACATCCCGTACCGTAACTCGAAGCTGACGCATCTGCTGCAACACAGTTTAGGCGGCAACAGCAAGACACTCATGTTTGTCATGGTCTCGCCACTAGAGACGCATCTGAAAGAAACTCTCACTAGCTTGCGCTTTGCCACAAAGGTGAATAAGACCCTAGTTGCTACCCATGACTTATTAACGCATGCACTAACACTTCACAGGTCCATAACACGCACATTGGCCAGGCCAAGGCGACCAAGAAGATCAAGGGCCAAGAGGAGAAGTAACGCGAACCTTTTGAGAGATTTTGAATTTACGATAGAAATGAACATTGGAAATCAGTACATGAGGGAACCCGGATATGGTTTTTGTGTTTTTATTTTGGTGGGCGCGTGCATTGCGATATTTTATAGGAGTTTGCTTTTTGGAATTTTGGTTGGAAATGCTTCTCCTACTACTACTGCCTGTACAAACAATAGAGGGGATTTTGATCTTGACCTCGCAATTGAAAACAATCTTGTCAGCAAGCTTAAATCAATCTTCTGTGAATTTTTAGTCGCCGGTAAAAAGGCTGCTGCTTCATCAAGGCAGCAGCGGCCACAGCGGCCGCCAACCAGTGGGCAATGCGCTGGTGAAAGTGAAGTCGGCGCTTGTGGAGCGCGCGCATAAAGGAAATTGGGACAGAAGCTTCACGCACAACATCAAACGAACAGACTTTGAGAGTCACCACGCAGCGCGGGCGGCAGCTGGCTTCACGGATGATTTCTCTAGCAAAGAGATATGATTACAGTTGCGCTTCTATTCAACGGTGACCGCAAAAAACACAGGTGGTCGTTCTTATCACCATTGTTCACGCCAACACAACTCCCCGCAACCAACCAACACAGCCTGAGCCATGCGTCGAGAGCGCGGCCTAGGAGGCTCGATATGGGCTTCCGAAACATCAAGCAGACGCCAGAGTGTAGCAGGTGACCACAGATCGCGCTCTGTCCCGCCGCAGAGCCCGAACCAGCCAACATTTGACTTGCCCAAGACCAGCACGTCCATTGCTGCGCCCTTACCGACTAAGGGCGCACTGGGCCCAACACAGGCGCTCCAGCGGTTCGAGCAGGCGTGTCAGCGGCTACGATGGAAGTTTATCGATCTAGAAGCGTCGTATCAGCGGGCTCTTGTTCCGCAGCCGCACCAGTTCACGCCCGATGACGCGGAGCGCAACTTCAAGATCGACTTCCACGAGTTCTACGTGTGGATCGAGCAGGCTGTCGTGCTGCTGCTGCATGTGTTTTCTATTGAGATTCCAAGGACGTCGTTTCTCTCGGATAAAGATCGGCGGGCGGGCGGCTCGTCCAGCCATGCATATCACCATAATGTGCTGCGGTGTCTGGACGAGGTGACGAATCCGCTGCACGAGGTCCTGGGTAAGGGCGACGTCAACCATGCGCTGTGGAAGGCCAAGGAGCTGCGTAATAGATGGAAGGACGCGGCTGAAGGGCGAGAGACGCCGCCGCTGAAAATGTACGATTTGCGCTGGATTGTGCGCGAGACACTGGGCGGTTTGGAGGCGGCGTATACTAAGGCGCAGCAGGAGGTTGCGTTGGTGGGTGGAGGGCGAGAGGAGGAGGCGAGTTGGGATTGGATGGTGGATGATATGGATTGGGAAGCTTAGGAATTTTCTCTTGCATAGCGTGTCGTGTCTATTTGCTTTTTAGCATTTATTTGTTGGTGTTGTTTGCTTTGGTAGACAGAGGCGATACCATACGGTCTATCGTCCGTTCAAGCCCTTTGCAGATATCTTTAACTAGATGGTAGCTGGATATAGAAGCCAGTGGTTAATTACAATATTTGTTAGCTCACTATGGTGAAAAATAAAAAATAAAATGGTTATGAACCTGTTTGATGGGTTGTAATTGGCATTTGCTGAGAAATGCAAAAAAAGAAGGTATATGATGGAATCAAACCACCTGCAATGGACGAACAGGGAATCGAACCCTGGACCACTCCCAAGTTGGGCAATCCGTAGGAAGGCTCATGCTAAGGGAGTATTATACCACTAAACCATTCGCCCGAATGAATTGGAAACCTAGCTGCTAATTACTAATATGAACCCATTGACCCCACTCTGCCCACCCTATCGCCTTGCAAATCCTCTACCATCATCCACCCGCAAACTGGCCTGCGCGCCCGAGTTCATATAATTTTACACCGTCAAATTTATAATTCCTTTATTTCATCTTCCTAATGTACTCGTACGATATACATAATTGTATTTCTCCACATCATACCCCACGTTGATTCGGCGACTTTCCGGCGCTACTATCAATGAATGACGCCGGGGTTGTGGTGATTGTCATCATATTTAACCATCACATCCTCGCTTCGCATGTTTGTGGATACTCCTAGTTCCCATCTCACAGAATAAAGACTTCTGTACTATATCTAGAAACTACACATCAACAATGAAGGGATTTGCATTTCTGCTGCTCCCAGCGACGCTTTTAACTGTCGACGCTACGATGGCAGTGGACTACGTCATTGTTGGAGCCGGAACGAGTGGTCTTGTTATAGCCAATCGCCTCTCACAGAACAAGAACATCACTGTTGCCCTTATCGATCCTGGGTCCGACGAACGCGGCAATCCGACAGTCAGTGACCCTTCCGAGTGGCTCAAACTTCAGCAAACACCCATCAATTGGAACTATACCTCGGTTTCTCAGGAGACTGCTAATGGTAGAGCTATTCCATATCCCGCTGGCAAGGGCATTGGAGGAACCAGTTTAATGAATGGTAAGTTGTATTGCCCCCCATTCGTAAGACCGTGGCTAACTGGAACATATAGGTATGACGTACTTGCGAGGAGATAAGGCGGAATTTGACGCTTGGGAGGAGCTTGGAAATCCCGGATGGAACTGGAACTCGTTGTTTGCCAAATACAAAGAGATTGAAAAGTTCTTTCCCCCGCAAGCATGGCAAGAAGAGATAGGTGCAAGCTATGAGCCTTCACTACACGGCTACGACGGAAATCTGCATGTGGGATTCCCACCAACACTGGAAAAGGGGCTCTACGGAAATTTCAGCAAGGCATGGAAGGCTTTGGGCTACAAAAAAGTTCAAGATCCGAATGGCGGATCTGTTGCCGGTTTCAGCGTATGGCCAATGACGCTGGACCCCAAGCAGAATCATCGCTCTGACGCGGCAACTTCTTTTTATTGGCCAATACAGCCATTGAGAGAAAATCTGTCCCTAATTAAGGGAACTGCAACCAAGATCTTGTGGGGGAAAGCTGGGTGTACAAGCAAAAGGCCCGGAAAGGTTGCACAAGGCGTGCAATATCTGGACGCTGACGGGGCATTGTCACAGATAACAGCGAAAAAGGAGGTCATTCTGTCTGCGGGTGCCTTGCGGACGCCTCTCATCCTGGAGAGGTCGGGTGTTGGCAACCCAAAGATCCTAAGTCCTTTGGGCATCGAAACTGTGATTGACGCCCCTACCGTGGGCGAAAATCTGATTGACCAGCCCAACCTGGCCATTATCTATGGGAGCAACGACAACACCACTGGCACAACTCCATATGCTACGTTTGCTAGTACGGAAGATTTGTTTGGCAAAACAAACGCGGGTGCTCTAGCATCTTCTACAAAGGAGCGTTTGGCAGCGTGGGCAAAGGACATTGAAACCCAGACCAACGGTGCGCTCAAAGCCGCAGCTCTGGAGAAGCAGTTTGCCATTCAGCACAAAGTCATCTTTCAAGACAAAGTGACCACTGCTGAAATTCTGACAGCAGCACTGGGCTCGGCCTTGGTAACGGTTTCATGGGCGCTGCTGCCCTTTAGCCGAGGAAGTGTCCATTTGACATCAGCGTCGGATACAGACATAGACAAGCCCGTCATTAACCCCCGCTTGCTCTCCAACGATTTTGACATGCAAGTTCAGATTGCATCTTGCAAGCTGAGTCGGAAGCTATGGCAAACCGCTCCGGCGGATACTCTTGTAACAGCTCCTGTGGTCCCAAGTCTGGACCAAGTTCCGCTGAATGCCAGCGATTCGCAATGGGAGGCGTTCATCCGAGCTACCTATCAATCCAATTCCCACTCTCTGGGAACGGCAGCAATGATGGCAAAGGACCTCGGAGGCGTTGTTGACCCCGAGTTACGCGTATATGGTGCTGCCAATGTTCGAGTTGTCGACGCCTCTGTCCTACCCACGCAGTTTAGCGGGCATCTGACAGCAACTCTGTACGCTGTGGCGGATAGAGCTGCCAGAATGATTCAGCTTAACGACGGCTTGGCGGCTTAGATGAGCCGGTTCCGCACGGGCCGGGAATAGTGAACCATGGTGATGGTCTTGCTAGCCGATGCTAACGCAAGACGAAGTGGGCTGGAGCATTAAGGTTTGGGCAGTAATTGTCATACGCACTTGTAGTGGAGCAGGCGCTGGAGGAATGCATGCCTTGCTGGTTCGGTGCTAGACTGAAGGAGCTAGAACGTTGAGATTGTGCCTATGGGAAACAGAGTTCACTTGGCGGTGGGTTCATGCCGAATTGCATTGGGGGCTTGGTGCGGGATGCTCGTCTTTGTGGTTGAGGCTCAAAGCTGACATGCGGCTGTAATACGACAGAATCCTTCCATCCCGGACCGGACTGTTCGGAAGGACCGCAGCCCGTCAGCATGGACCAAAGTAAAAAGAAGCTATTGCATGCAAACGGGAAGAAGCTTATCGGGGGCTTGCGAGCTATCGGCGGCACCAAAGTTTGGTGAAATTGGGTGATGATGGCGAAGCGAAGCCTTGGCCACAGGCTGAACCACGAAGGCGAGAGAAGCGCTCGTGATTACGCACAAAGCCTCCCGCCCTATGAGCAAAGTGGCGTTGGCGCTGGGTTTGACGAGAAACGGACGAGAGCAAAGTGAAAAGAAGGAGGGGCGGAAAGAAAAAGGCAACGCAGACAAGGTTTACCGCAGTACTGGGAGTTTCGTACTACAGTGAATAGGAAGGCTCTCAGAGAAGGAAAATGGATTGCCCCGGGGTTAACCCAGCGGACGATGGGGGGGCAGGACACGGCATCCACTGCAACGCTGCGGAAACTTAGCGGTCCAGGCGCCTGGGGAGAGGCAGGGCTAGCGGGCGTAAGCCCCCCGAGAAAACAAGGTGCAGACCCCAATTGGGGCATTGAATTGACTCCCAAGTTTGCGCCACTAGGGATAGAGTTTGTATATTGGGAGGGGTTTGCGAGGGGACAAAGTGTGGAAAGAACGATAAGGCAGAGGAAATGACAGGAGGCGGGATGTGATTCATGTTGTAATCAATCAATAAAAAAGAAGTTGTTACCAGAATCGCGGGTCAGGGCAGAGACAGGAGCTGAAGAGTCAAGACAACATCACATTGCTATAAAACATCGTGCGAAGCGCTGAAACCTACCCGCTGTCCGCTGTACAAGGCACCTAACACCACTGTACAAAGGGCCAGTATTATTAATCGCGGCTTTGCACCTAATCCAGCAGCACCTCAGCACCAGCAGGAACAACAACGAAACAACCTTTTTTCTCTCCGCAACATACCCCTGCTCTGTCTGTTTCCTGTAAATCACAAAAAATCCTTCATGAGCGGCCGCCGCATGCCGTCAGCATCTTACCAGGAGCTCGCGTTTCCCCAGTCCCATTCAGCGCCGAAGCTACCGAGAAAACATTGCAGTGGCAGTGGGCGCGGCGGCCGCATCCTGGTGGGTGGCAACAAATAAAATGTCACTGACTGCATGCCAATGCTGATTGCTGATGCTGCTGATGTCCATCCATTTTGCGGTGCTTTTCCAGAAAACAATGGAAACAAACCCAGCAATCCGAGACATTGCCTGATTTACCTACCCATTGCCTGACAGATGCAACTATCTGCAAGCCCATGCCATCGGAACAAACCGACAATGCAACCATCTCAGCACACCCTCTTGCATGTCTTAGCGGGCTCGCCCACTGCAAGGCACCGAGTGCGACGGTACTTGGCCGCTAGCGCTCTCCACGTACTGGCCCGGAACAGGTAGGCAGTGGGCCCTCCTTGTGTTCCCGCTACCGCTGTGGAAGCGAATATCGGCGCTACATGAGAAAGCCAGTGGTTTTGAAAAAAAAAAAAGTGACTATTGCTTTTGTGTCTTCTTTCTTTTTGTGTATACAGATCGACCAGGTGCCTAAAGCTATGACGCCCAGTTAATGTTACGCCGTATTCGTCTTATGTCGTATATGCCAATATTTGCACTGCCTAGATCGAACCTCTGCCCAACTTCATCGCTTACAGCGTCGCACGCAACAGCCACCCGTCCCTCCTACTCCTGGCCGAAACAGGCAATACAAGGTACCTGCGGCGCTGAACCAGCCAAGGTACTCACGCTGGCGAGCCCCCGGCGCCCAGTTGAGTTTCTCAAGACACTCCACATCCGCCCCATTAGCACCAGCTGTACCACCTGCGCCAGCTGCCCCAGCTGCCCCAGCACTGCGCAGCGCCGGTCCGCTTGTGCAACCCTCCCGAAAACGAGGACAGGCTTGGGCTTTTAGAGTTTGGGGCTCCATCGTCTCATCACTTTGCTGTCATCATCACCTGTTGTTTCTCGCTCTTATCTCGTCTGCTCACCCCCTGCCTCACTATCCTTGGCTCAGGCTCTTGTTTGCTCCTTTTCCCCCGTTGCCCATTTCAGCTTTAAATCCACCATCTCTCGCGTCGATATTGCTTCTAGATTTTCTGACAACCGCGCCAAGATATGCAGGCACCGTATTATCGAACATAAAGGGACCCCACTGCAAGTGCCGCTGGACCACTGGAGACCACCCAACTGCCGATCGCCGCCACAAACGTATACGCAGCACCGGCAGAATATATAAAAACGCCATTTCAACTACCTGTAGCGGCCGCTTTGCTGCATCTTGGCCAAGTTGCAACATCTATCGCCCTAATCAACTCCCAATCGAGGGGTCTTTCGCCTAACATGGTACCAATATTGGGTACCGTCTGGTCAAACCCCCAGACATGGCCCCTCGCATTGCTGTTCGTGCTTCTTAGTGGGAGTCTGCTTGTGCTCCTTCACCTCGTCATCAATCGACAAAACTTGCCAGGCGACGCGCCGCCGGTGCTAAAGGGATATCCGATTCTAGGATCACTGGGATTCTTCGGGAAGAGGCTCGAGTTTCTCCAGCGCGGACAAGAGACCAGCCCCAATAGGCTGTTTAGCTTTTACTATGGCCGCCATCCCATTGTCGCCCTGTCTGGGACCCAAGGACGATCTCTCTTTTATACCACAAGAGCCCTTGATCTAAATGCTGGGTACGTCTACTTTGTATATCTGGTATAGATGTGCTAACAAATCGTCTTACATCGAACAGCTTCATGATGTTGTTCGCTGCTCGACCAAATATCGACCACATTCGCCAAAACCGAAATGATAACATTCAACCAATGTTCAAGAAGCTTCTTATGCGCGATAGATTGGCAACCAACCTCCATTACCTAACTGGCGACACTCACAATGCGCTTCGCGCTTTTGACGTTCACCGTCCGGTCGACCCCTTTGCCGTTATGTATCGGCTGATATATCAACTTACACACCGCACTCTTGGTTGCCATGATGTTGCTGAGAAACCTGACCTGCTAGAAACCACGATGAAACACTACTCGTGTATCGAAGAATCTTCCCCGGTGCAAATCTTGTTCCCAGAGCTGCCCACCTTTGCCAAAGTTCGCAAACAATGGGCAGGCATCAACCTCTACTGGCAGTTTCGCAAGATCATTCATGATAGGAGAGATCGAGGAATCAAGGGAACCGATGCTATGCAGGTGCTCATGGATGATGGCATGAGCGAGATTGAGATTGCCTCGGTATGTTGTATTGATTTCACCTGTCCTAAACAGCGTTGCTTACCACCCGTTTAGTTCATCATTGGTGCCCTCTTTGCCGGTCTCATTAACAGTGGTATTAATGCTGCTTGGATTTTGGCCTATCTAGCTAAGAATCCAGAATGGTACTTGAGATGCCGAGACGAAATTGACGCCGTCGTTGCCTCACATCGACAAAACGAATGTGAAACAGCCGAGGACATTCTACCACGAGTATCAATCGATGAGTGGGAGACAAGATTCCCCACAATCGATTTGTGCCTTCGTGAATCTTTACGACTCAATGTGTCAGGTGTTGCTATGAGGAGAAACATTGGCAGCCGGGATATCAAGATTCCTGGCACTAACCAAATCATCCCCGCCGGGGCTTTTGCCGTAAGGATACCCCCCATTGACATTATTTGACAAGACTATGTAATCTCTAACTCGTGATCCTTTGGTTAGGTCTATCCGGTTGATGAGGCTCATCTTGACCCTACCGTCTTTACGGATCCCTATTCTTTTGATCCTACCCGTTTTCTGCCTAACAGAGCCGAAGATCAGAAAGTACCACATTCCTTCCTCGCCTTTGGTGGCGGTCTACATCCTTGTCGTAAGTCTTGTTGCCATCATATCATGATTGTTAAAACGCAACTAACAAAGTATTGATTTAGTGGGAATGAGAGTAAGAACATCAAACGCTTTACTGTTACGTACCCGTTTTGTACAACTTACTGACTTGAACTTTGCACAGTTTGCCAAACTCAGCATCTATATTTCCACGGCGTATTTCATGTCTTATTTTGACTTTTATCACTGCGACAAGGAGTCCAGTCTACCTCTAGCGGAAGCTCTGCCTACCGTTGACCGGAATGCTATTGGACTTCGGCTTCCTACAAATGTGTTTTTACAATGCAAACCGCGCTTCTAATGACAGGCACCAGGCCCGTATCATCAACATGTCTTGATGGTCTTTCTATTGTCATTTCTGATTTGATGAATTTTCAACAGCATACGTTTTATGATGTCAGACGGCTGATTTCTTCGCTACCTGTTTTCTTTCTTATCAAGCGGACCATGATTGCGCATATTTTTATTTTATATTTCTCGATTTGGGGCGGCGTTTAGGATTGCTATAAAATGCTTCAGATGTCTCAATCGGGTTGGTTTGGCACATCTTGAAGTTTTCGTTGCTTTCTTCTTCTCTACTACTGAGGTTTGGCGCATTTAGGGCGTTGGTAGTCTTTGCATAACTACGAATTCAACTTGTAATTGGACTACGCATGTAAATTGGACAAAAACCAAAAGTGTGCGTGCAATGAACTCCACAGGAAACAGTGAATGGCGGTTTACATACAGGAAGGGGCTTTACCGACTCCTTCCTGACAGTACTGCTCAGCATTGGTTCTATCTTACCCTTTTCCCAGTTCGTCTCCGCATTGTCTGTTTGAAGACATGCCATATCATCACATGAAATAAAATTATAGCGAATGCAAAGTATTTCATAGCTTGTCGTTTGTATACCCACACCAGGTTCCATCGTGCTACTTCTCGTTTGGCTTACTGCATCTCAACAAGATGACACAAAATTCAACTACGATTTCTCAAGTTCCGTGGCGAGGAATTCAGGTTCATATACCCATACGAGGTGGAAGACCACATTATCAGACAAGAGAGACAACAGAATCAAACTTACACTCGGATGCACCAAGCAAGCAACACCATGTTGCTGGTTACCCATCCACCCCCAATAGTCGAAAGAGAAAGCAGGAGGACCCAGAGAGAGGCATAAGATCAAAACGCTCCATACGAGCAGTAAATCCTCAAGAAATCGACGAGGTGGATGATTTCTCAGAGCCACTGACTCCTCCCCCTTCAGAACGCAAGATGGCGCAAGTTCGAATCCGAGACCTTGAGACACTCGGTGGGGGATTGAGAGACTACGAGTTGGAAGAGCAGATTCCGACATTTACACAAGATCAACAAGACACAAGGGCAATCCTATATCCTAGTGATCAGCGAACGAGTATTCTAGCGGCCGGGACAACCAACAGCGAGCTCATGGGCGCTTGGGAGAAGTGTATGCATTGCAGCATTGACAATCTGGATGGTACAATAGACTTGGACATCCCGGGCCTGCTAAGGGATTCTGATGAAATTGGTGCCTTTGAAAAAAGCTCGTCATTTGATGTAAGTTTGAATCTACATAGTTTGGAACGAGTATGGAAACAGAACTGGGATGCTGGCCAGAACGCAAAGACGAGGTGAACAAAGGAAATGGAACGTGTTTGTTAGGCTGTATTATTGAGAGCAAAGATACTAGGAATTGAATTTTTAACTTTTGCATTGTCGGGCTGTGTCTGACTCAGAGTAAGACGTCAGAGTGACCGTTGGGCTCATTTTCATAAAAGCATGTAAACGTGCACATGGGCGTCTCGCGACAGCCGTTGGAGGCAGCGCCAGTGGAGTTCTGTGTCGTTGAGGAGCAGGTGGCGCTCAACGCTAGTCAACATGCTTAAAAACTAGCGGCCTAGAGCATGTCTGTTAGTGGAGAAAGCACCCTGTTAGGTGGTGCACGTGCGCTGTAGCAATGCGCTGTAGGGCTACGGCGTCCGCCGCGTTGTTCACTGCGGGGGGTTTCGCCAAGCGTGGGCGTCCTCGTCTAGCGGCCTTGGCCTTTGAGCGACATGACAGCGAAATCTCCAGCCGTCTTTCTTTGCCTGCTTCTTTTTCTTGGTTCTTTGGATTTCTTGGCTGCGGGGAAGTTTGTATTACCTCTCGTTTATTTTGTATTTGTACCCTTCCACAGCCTGTTCCTCCCCCTTCCTTTTTGCTTTCGTGAGTTCTGTCGACCTTCTTTCGCTGGCTGCTATTTTCTGCTTGACCTGTTTTTTTCATTGAGCAATTGCTTTTCCATCTTTTGCCAATCATGAAGAACTCAATCCTTCTCGTCGCATTGGCTGCGGTTGCAAGCCCAGCTGCTGCAGATGATGTTCTTCTCACCAAGCGCATGTTTAAGCGTGGATTAGACACCGTTGGTCAGCAGAACGTCTGTAAGTGAACCAAGCTCCTCTCGATTGCCGAACCGCCGCCGCCACCACCGCTCGACTAACTCATCTTGGGAATTGTAGCCTTCTTCCACATCAACGATGTTCACGCCCATCTCGACCAATTCGTCAAGTCCGGCTCCGACTGCAAAGATCCCACCAAGGGCTGCTTCGGCGGCTACGCCCGCATCAAGACCAAGGTTGACGAACTCCGCAAGAAGAGCCCAAACCACCTATGGCTCAACGCTGGAGACGAATTCCAAGGCACCCTCTTCTACTCCTTCTACGGCGGAGAGAAGATTGCCGAGACCATCAACGACTTGAAATTCGATGTCATGACTCTTGGCAACCACGAGTGGGATGGCGGCGACAAGAAGCTCGGCGAGTTCCTCAACAACCTCACTTTTCCCGTCGTCTCGGCCAACGTCAAGAGTCAGGAACCCTACTTTAATAAGACGGTCAAGAACTACCACATCTTCGACAAGCAGAAGCTAGCCGTCATTGGCGCTACAACAGAGACTACACCCTCCATCTCCAGCGTCGGCAACCGCACTACCTTCCTGGACCCTATTGCCGAGGTCCAAAAGGCCATCTACGAGATTCGTAACACGACAGATATTCGCCGAATCGTCGCTCTCACCCACATTGGCTACGATGTGGACCAGAAGCTCGCCAAGGAGACCGAAGGTCTGTCACTCATCATTGGCGGCCACTCGCACACTCTGCTAGGCGACATGGACAAGGCCGAGGGCAAGTATCCCACGATTGCCAAGGACAAGGCTGGCAACGAAGTCTTTATTGTCACTTCTTACCGCTGGGGCGAGTATCTTGGCAACATTGACGTCACCTTTGACGAGGACGGCCGAGCCCTTTCGTACCGCGGCGCTCCTATCCAGATGAATAACGAAACCAAGCTCGAGGAGGGCCTCCAGACCAAGATCACTTCCTGGCGCGGTCCGTTTGAGAAGTTTGCCGCTGAGGTCATTGGCACTTCCAAGAACGAGCTTGTCCAGTCTACATGCCAAAAGGAGGACTGCCTCCTCGGCGAGGTCATGACCGACGCCATGCTTGCGTACCGCACCAACCTTACCAAGGGTACCAACGAGCCCAAGCCTGACTTTGCCATCATCAACGCCGGCGGTATCCGCGCCACTATCCCTTCTGGCAATGTCACCCGCGGCGACATTATCACTGCGTTCCCCTTCGGCAATGCCGTTGTCGAGATGAAGCTGTCTGGCGCGGATGTGCAAAAGGTCCTTGAGGGCGCTGTCTCGCGCATGAACCAGTTCAACAACAAGAAGACATCCTCGTGGTTCCAGGTCTCCAAGGAGCTCCATATTGTCTTTGACGCCAGCAAGCCCGAGGGCAGCAGACTTGTAAATGTCACTATTGGCGGCAAGCCTCTGGATGCCCAGCGAAAGGAGTACCGCGTGGTCACTGTGGACTTTCTTGCTGGCGGTGGTGACAACATCTTTGTCGCTACCAAGGACTTGGCTCCTCTCGATGCCCTCGACGAGGTGCTTGTCAATTATGTCAAGACCAACAGCCCTATTACTGCGGAGCTCGACAAGCGCGTTGTCCAGCGTGGCAACAGTACCTCTGAGGCTGGTAGTGGTGGTGGAAAGGATGACAAGAAGGGTGATGGCAAGAGTGGCGCATCTGCTCTCGGTGCTTCAGCTGTTTCATTGGCCGTCGCTGTGCTTTTGGCCATTTCTGTAGTATAAACACTCTTAGTGGACATGAGTAAATGGAAACACGCAATACAATGTCTTCAAGTTTTGATCAAAGTAAAAAGGAGCCGCGAGCAGAGAATTGTTAAATTTCAATCACACTGATTATCGTTGGTAATTAATACAAATTCAAAAAGCGCTATCATAAATCCATATCAAAGTTCGTCTCAAACAGATTGCCTTATTAGTACGTGTATCTGAAGTCGGGAGCAGAGGAGTCCTATTCAAATAGATGGTTAGAACAAGTTACTTTGCGAAGGTAGATTTTCATTGGTTTACATACCTCGTGAGCCTCGAGAATCTTCTCTCCGCGGTCGGCCTTCTTGTTCTGGAAGTAAAAGGCCGTGTCGCAGATGAGGACCAGCAGGACATTGAGCAAGCAGCAGGCAATGCAGGCGTACATGCCAGGCTTGTATCCGGTCTTTGCATCCTCGGTGCGGAAGACGAGCGAGCCGGCAATACCGCCAATACCGCCAAAGCCGACAAGAGTAGCGCTGCAGAAAGCACGCTTCCACTGGCCGCGGACGTTGTTGGCCTGGAAGGACATGACGGTGGGCACGTTGGAGTTGGCTCCCGCTGTGACAAGGAAGACACCAAAGTAGCGGACAGCGGGGTTAGGGTGCCATCCCATGATGGGCAGGCCAATCAGGCAGAGAAGCATGTTGAAGAGGATGATGGGGCCGCGAACGTGGTACTTGTCTCCAAGGTAGCCGCAGATGAACATGATGATGCCGGCGAATGCGTATGGCGGGGCTACGAGGCACTGGGCCTTGTCGACAGAGAAGCCAAGGTTGCCGCGGAGAATGAGGGGCAGGGTGTAAGCCAGGGCGTAGGAGATGGTGGTGGTGTTGAAGAAGATCATGGCGTAGGCCCAGATCTTCCAGTCGGCGCCGCCCTTGAGGAAGCTGGAGAGATGGAACTTGGGGATGACGGTGTCGCCACGGTCACGCTGGATGCGGTCGACGACCCACTGGCGCTCGCGCTGCCCAAGAAAGCTCCATGTCTTGCGCTTGGAGTCGGGGAAGTCCACGAGTAGCCAGTAGGCAGCAATGCCGAGGACGCAGGTGATGAGGCCCTGGACGAGGAAGATCCAGCGCCAGCCAGTGAGACCGGCCTTGCCGTTGAGCTGCATGAGGCCGTACGCAAGAATACCGGAGAAGGCTGAGGCGACGCAGCCAATGATGTAGAAGACGGAGTATCGCTTTCCTACCTCGTCTATATAAGGAAATGTGCGTGTCAGTGAACGGCCTGCTATTGCTTAAAAGGTCCGTGGAACTTACAGCGAGTGTACCAGGTGCTAAGCAGGTAGACACAGCTGGGGAAGAAACCAGCCTCCAGAACACCAAGGAGAGCACGCAGACCAGTCAATGCGTTGTGGTCCTTGACAAAGCCCATGGAGAGTGTGACGGCGCCCCAGAAGAGCGTGATGGCGGAGAGATGTATACGGGGGCCGATGGCTCGAATGAGGACGGTGGAGGGAGGCTGGAAGATGATGTAGGTGATGAAGAAGACGAGGTTGGCGACGTTCTATAAAAAGACGACTGTTAGCAAGTTTGTGGGGTTCTATGAATTGGAAGCAGGAGAAAACGCACGTAGCGGTTACCAGTGAGCATGAGCTCCTTGTCCATGCCGGCAATGACGACGGCGCCCATGTTGGTGCGGTCCATCAGACTGACGCAGTACATGGCGCCAACGGTGATGACAAGACGGATGTCAATGCGGCGGATAATGGCCTTTTGCTCCTCAGGAGTAAAAGCGTTGGCCGAGTCATCGCTCTCCGAGACAGACCGCACATTGTCGAGGTGCTGGCTCTCAACCTTTTCCTCCGACATGGTGAAGCAGAGAGGGGTGGTGGTGGGCGTGGGGTAGAGGGTGAGGGGAGCAGCAACAACGGGTTGAATTGAAAAAGAGGAAGAGAGAAGTATAGAAAGGGGGTTATATCGAGAAGAAGATGAAGGAGAAAAAAAAAAGACAAAGGACAAAGAGGGAACTACAACGAGTCGAGTCGAGTCGAGAGGAGGGGCGGCACCGTGGCCCTTTTCAGTTGATGAGCGTTGACCTGCGTCTCGAACGGCCTGCGCATCCTCACACCACATCTTCACTCATCCCGTTGACCTCACGGGTCCTCGCTTCCCCGCGTGCCAAGCGCTCAGCAACGCCTCGTCTCTGTTACCAGTTAGCGGTAATAGCTTTGGTAGGGCCCACGGACCTTGCCATCTCAGTGGGGGCAAACCCAGCAAGACGCCGACTCCATACTGTACGGGACGGACGCGCTGCCTGCAAAAAAAGGAACCAAGCATGGGGAATGACGGCGGCGCCCCAGCTTTGGGGCTATTAGGGGTGGGAAAGGTGAGGTCTGTCCACTAGCGCTGCTGGGATTGGGTTCTAGATGGAACGTGGCTGAACAAGCTTATCTTGGTGCTGGGCGGGCTAACTGCTGCTGCCTGAGCGGCGTCGGTTATATTGCGGCAGATTAAAAACATGATGCAGACGTTTGCCATGTGTGCTGATTCAGACATTTCATACAAAATAAATCTTCGAAAATGTGCAAGGTCGATATAAGGCGTCAACCTCTCCTGCGCCGTTGCTTAAAACGTGCTATAAACCAAACGCACAGCGTCCCATGTTATTAGTGTCAACTACCTATTTCTATGCAACGGGCCTGCGTACAGTACCACCCTTTTGCCTACTATAGCCCCTCAGCACGGGCCCACCGCTAGCGCCACAAGCCAGCAAAAATCTGGGGTAGACATGACTCCCCACACCCACACAAAGTCGTCCGCCGACAATCCCGCAGGTAAACAGGCTATTGGATTTTGTTTACGCCCCCAGCAAGGCAGAGTACCGCACCGCTTTTGTTGTGTATTCGGTAGATGAATGGTAACTTGTCATGGACGCAGCCATCGAATGCACCCGCATGATCTCAATGCCCCGGAGCTGATTCGCCTACCCATTCCAAATAGCCTCGTTTTAGAGTGGGTGCGCTAGATGCGCATCTGGTCAAGTACGCGTGTACTGACAACGAAACTAGTCCAATAGATGCCTCAATACGACCCATACCTTCTCTTCCTTCTAGTTATTTTTAAGTGGTTCAAGCGATCATAGAAACAGCTGTATCATACTCTGAGTCCGGATTGCCCAAACTCGCGTGGCTATTACACGAGACTTTGCAACATGCGATGGCGCCTGGAGACCCAAGAAGCCCTCGACGCCAACCGTTTGCCACGCCGGGCTTTGTACAAACCTCCGGTCTGCTTTCTCCCAAATATTCCCCATCGCACCAATCATTGCTCGTTCCGCGCCAGAAGATGCCGAGGGCCAGCTACTCCAACTGGAGCCTGCGCTAGCGTGGCGTCCGCATAGCTGCGTCTTGGCTCGCCGTGGCGTTGTCTTGGAGTAGCAACTGCTCATCTCACTGGATCTGTGCTTGCATTTGCCCGTCAAAACGGATGAGATTGTCCCCCAGAACATCCACCGGACATCCCCCGGACAGGCAACATAGCTGTAACATCCAATAGCCGAATAACATTGCGGCGCTCCATGTGGCTTTCTCTACAGTGCATATGTACAACCTGTCAAAGCATGGCTTAACACACATTCATTCATAATGCTATCGACTCGCCACACTTCTCAATAATTGTGTGCGCCTTCCGGCCTTCTATTCCGAATCTAGACAAACTCCCGACCGCTGGTTCGGCTAGTCATCCCATCACATCCCGACTGCACCTACTCATGCGCATGTTATCGTAAATCGGAGCCCTTGATCGCCCGTAACCAAAAATGAATTAAACAAAAAAGCCGCTACGCTCGACGCCGTTCATACGCCAACCATGTTGTTCTAGCCCGTAAACGCCCGAATCACCTTTGCCACGTTGTGCCACATCAATCCAACAATAGCCACGACCACAAAGATTTGTAGCACTTCAAACGGATAACGAGGTCGCACCTCGGTTTCAACATACTCGTCGTGCTTGCTCTCATCTTCGGTAGCCTCGGTCTTGGCAGATGGTAAGGGCGGGAAACGGCCTTTAACCATGTACTCTTCCATTAAGGCGTCCTTCTTGTACCATTCCTCCCTCAGCCACTTGTCAAACGTCTCGGCATCGTCAAGCGGAATGTCTGCAATTCGAAAGCGGCGCCAGTACAAGTTGACCGACTTGGGCGGGAGACCCTCAAAGTACGTGCTGTTGAGACCAAAGATTTGTTCGCCATACTTTCCGCGGCTATTCTCAAAGTGTCAGCGCCACGTTGCCATGTTATATACATATATCAAGCTTAAAGACTTACGGGATGCCCTCATAGGCAACTGTGCAGTCATAAACGTACTCAACTGATCCCTTGAGCTCGTTTAGAATGAAAAATGTGCCAGTGCTACGAGGCAGCAAAACGTGCTCGGCGTCCTTAACGCCGGTCTTTTCTGCCCAGTTAGCCGACTTGCGGCGGCCGTTTCCTGATAGGTTGGTTCCCTCTGGGAAAAGCAGCAACCACATGGGATCCAGATACGTCTGCCCAGTCCTGGGATCCGTCTTGGGGGCCTGGAGTTGTTTCAGGCGGTGGGACAGACGTGGACGGTCAGTACTCATCTTGCGAGACATGAAGATGAATCCGTAGAACATCATGCCTACTCCAAAGACGGGGATATACTTGAGAGACTCCTTTAGGATGATGAAGAGGTGGCCATGCATGCTGGGTCGATTGGCGTACGCGACCCACCAAAGATACAGCCAGTCGGTATAAATCTGGGCCAGTTAGCAAGTCCTTCCACATAGCCGCCAACGTATGACATACTTGATGGTTTGCAATGAGAACAGCACGCTCAGGGAAGTTGAACTCAACACCACCGTTTGCTGTAGCCTTGATTTGCCCCGCGACAGAGGCATCTCCGCTGATTCTAACGAGCGTGTTGGCCCAAACGTGCGTCATGGTCGTGATGGTGATTCCAAAGTAGCGTTTCGTAGTTGCCATGTATGCATAGAACATTTCCTTGTTGATAAAGTAGAGGGGAGCTCCAATAAGCTGCGTGATGACGATGCTATGAGCTACCTGTGAGCGGTCGCTTACCAGTATATAGCATAAGGCGGGAACGAGGACTTACGTGAATGCGCATGTCATGAAGTAAATAGAGAAAGAAAGGGCCCTGAGAATCTGCATTCCCTTTCCATGACTCTCCTTTCCTGAGGGATGCGGCGTCATCTTGAAAGCCGGCTTCTTGCCAGACTTGATGCCCCCGCCGGAGGCATCGGGATTGGAGTCGGCCATGCTGAATATAGCTGTTGTAAGGTCTCAAAGCTGTCGCCCTGAATATCGTTCTGAAAAAGATATATAGATGCTTTGTAGGATATAAATGAGTAGTGGATGAGCCTTGTGCGCAAGTCTGTAGTTAAGTATGCAGCTCAGCCACTCCAGCCGCAGGTCCCGAGATCTTGCAGGCAGACAGCTAGGCAAACGAGCTGTACGTGCTAGGTAAACGGCCTCTGTTGGGGAAGCAGCAGCACCGACACGCCCGCGAGAAGAAGTTGCAAAATGTGATGAGCCTCGCGTGATAGCGTTCCGTAAGTGATCGCTCCGTCAGGTGATTTGGCGTGGTTGGCAGTTGACAGTTGGTGAAGAAGCTGGCGACAGCCGGACTTTTCTTTGCGGTGACCACATGATGGGCCGGGTGGCCGGGTGCGTGGGGCAGCTGTGCAGCTTGGAGCATTGTTTGGGAGGGGACGACGAAAACGGCAGGCATCGCTTCTACGGTGTCTCAGCTGTATCTCGCTGGCAGGAGAAAATAGAAGTGTTTTTTGAGCTTAGCTCAGAAAATCGTCTTATTTATGTTGATATTATTGATATTATTGATATTAATTTTTATTAATTTATTTACTCGAAATATGAATAGAGCGTGCCATTCCATTTAGTGCAATTGCGGCAGACGTCATTGGCTATTCGGTAGCTGTAGCCCACGTGCGTAGCAATTGCTCGATCCGATCGACTACAATATACTTCCTAACACAAAGGAAGGTGAAATGCATTAAAAAAACGTCAAAAGCTGTAAATGTGCATTTTAGATAAAGGAATTATTTTAAATTAGTTTTTAAAGCTTGTGGTGCTGTGAATTTGTAACTCCTATATATGCCGGGTAGCTTTCATCGCCTACTGTAGGCATCCAAACCTCCGCATCGCGACTTTTCTCCTCTCCACTGCAACTCTTCTGCCGCCCATTTCAACCGTGCTCAGCAGCCGCCCAGCAAAATATATGAAAAAGCATGGCACGGTCATTTAAACCGAGCGACATGCGCGTAGCTAGCGTGCTGGCGTCTCGACTGCTAGCGTTCCCCCGGCGGCCACTCGCTGGCCCGACATGTGCTCGTCTGCAACAACCGAGACAGCTTTCGGCATCCCGTTCATTACGCTCTGCTGCTGCGGTCGAATCCCGAAGCATTGTAGAGCTACCCGACCGCATATTCCCCAGATATTTACAAACAACAAAGCCAGGATCGTCCCTACTCTCACTACACTGGCCGCGACCTCCGCGAAACTTGCTGCTTGTCCAGAAGCTCTACGCGCCAGAAGTGACGGAATCGGTTCTGCAGTTTGCTCGCCATATACACGCCGAATACCCTGATGTCAACATTATTATAGAGCCGCGTGTAGCCCATTCGATACAGGAAAAACTCAGCTTCACGCTCTTCGTGGCCGACCGCCGATCCAACATTGTCGATAAAGTCGACGCTATTGCTACTTTTGGCGGCGACGGTACTGTCCTTCGCGCTGCAAGTCTCTTTAAGCTGCACGGATCAGTGCCGCCTATTCTCTCTTTCAGCATGGGTACTCTAGGGTTTCTTGGCGAGTGGAACTTCGCCGAGCATAAGAAAGCCTGGAGGGAGATGTATATGAGCGGCAGCGACGTGGCCGTGGCTCGCCGTGCTGCCTTTCCCCGTGACGATGCAGAGCTTACTGAGCGCGGAGCAGCAGATGGTGACCATTCGGCTTGGCAAAAGCTTGCGGGCAAGAGCCAAGGCCAGCAGCGGGCGTCAAGAATTCTGCTTCGCCATCGTATTAAAGCCGACATCTTTGATCGCGCGGGCACGAACATCAACGACCAAGTCTCGGATACATTAACCTCAACAAAAGATAACAAAACATCCAATATTGCCGAACCCAAAGAGTTTTCCCCATCGCTTCGCGCGATCAATGAGATATCAGTCCACCGTGGTTCCCACCCTCACCTTGCCATTATCGATATCTATCAAAACGGACATTTTCTTACCGAAACCACTGCTGACGGCATCTTGGTCAGCACTCCGACGGGATCAACAGCTTATAGCCTGAGCGCTGGTGGCCCAATTGTACACCCGTTGGTCAAGTCTCTCCTCATCACGCCCATCAGCCCCTGCAGTCTCAGCTTCCGATCGCTGGTTCTTCCGCTGGATACGAAGGTGTGCTTGCGTATGAGCCCGCGAAACCGAGGTCGCGAGCTGGATCTTAGCATTGACGGCAAGCGTTGCTGCGGCGTATCACCCGGAACGGAGATCCGTATCGAAGGCGAGTTTGTTGGCCGTGCTGGCCCCGGCGAAGAATGGCATGGTGGAGTGCCTTGCGTCATCCGCACCGAAGACGACGACCCGTGGGTTGGAGGTTTGAATGGTCTTCTCAAGTTTAACCATCCGTTTGGCAGAGAGCCTGCCATTGATGACATGTAATTAATACCGTGTACTATATATCACGCCATCTCCACCATTTTGGAGCTAGATACCCATATTGCATATGTACAGTAGTTAGTACAGTAGTTAGTACAGAATATTTACAACTCTAATTCTTCTCGAGAGTCTTATAACTTTCTTCATGACCAATGCCTCCACGGTGCCATCCGGCTGTCCCTATGCACTCTGACATCATTACACATTGCGGTCCACGTCTCATCGACCATCATCAATCTGCTACACCGAAATAGATGAATGTTTCAGACGAAGTCCGAATTTCAGACTGAACCCAAAGGTATTTCCACCAAATTATAAATTCCCCAATTACGGCGCTGCTCGTATTCAGCAGCCTCCTGCAGGCCAAGAACGCGCTCATTTCGGATTTCCTTGGCGGGCCATTTTCGCTATGATCCTCTGTAACCTTCGCCGTGATCCGCTGTAAAACGGGCCACTGTAGCGCTGTGAAGTCATCATTCTGAGCGCCCAGCCCACTAAATTAAAACTGCAACCCCCCTTGTCACACACTGTTTGCCAGCGCCCGCATTGCTGCTTTTCCCCCTTCTGCAACCTCTACTTCAACAGACTGCGGCGCGCCAACCAACTCCACGGACCTTCTGCCTCTTTCTCTGCCATCGTCTTCCCGCTCCAATCGCCACGCGCGCCCATCTTATACGCGCTTACCCTGACAAGAACAGGTGCAACCGATAGCACGCCTAATAATTTATTAGCCAGCGGTAACGCAATGAAGCGCCTGCTTCTGCTCGGTGTCGCAGCGGCTCACCTGCTCCCCGGCGGCGTGGCTAGCGATGCAGGTACGTCTAGTTTTCTTGAACCGCATCAACACCGGTGCTATTTGGCTATTCGGCTACTAACATTCGTGCTGTATAGATGCTGTAGGATATACAAATGCCGAATCTTTATACAACGAGGCCCTTCTCTCGCCGCCTGCCGATGCCGACAACCACTTCCACAATGCCGCGCTCTCCCGTCGCGCCATCTCAAATTCCCCAGGTGGCTACGCCCCCAGTGTCGAAGCCTGTCCAGATGCACGGCCTACAATTCGACGCGGTACTGGATTAAGTCGCCAGGAAACAGACTGGCTCTTACGGCGCCGCAATGCAACCATTACGCCGATGCGAACGCTTCTCAAACGACTCACCGTCCCCGAATTCGACATCGATAAATATTTCTCCAAAATAGCCAACGACAGCACAGTACTGCCTAATATCGGAATCGCCATTTCGGGAGGCGGCTACCGCGGCCTGCTCAACGGTGCTGGTGCCGTAGCAGCGTGGGACGACCGCGAAGAGGGAAGCACAACCCAAGGCAACTTGGGCGGCCTGTTGCAGAGCTCAACGTACATATCGGGTTCATCTAGCGGTAGCTGGCTCGTTGGTAGCTTGTACACCAACAATTTTACAACTGTCCACGAGTCGATTGTCTATTCCGGCATCTGGCAGTTTGGCCCTACAGTCTTGACTGGCCCTAACACCGTCAGCTTATCATCGTACTATACCGATATTACGAAACAGGTCCAGGCTAAAGAAAACGCAAACTTCACGACGACGCTTACCGACTACTGGAGCCGTATGCTGGCATTCCAGATGATCAACGATACAAATGGCGGCCCCGGATTCACCTACTCCTCCATCGCCCAGGACCCTGAGTTTGCTGACGCCAAGGTTCCGGTCCCTATTCTACTGGCTACTGGCCGCGCTCCCAACGAAAAGATTTCTTCCATCAACTCCACCATCTACGAAATCAGCCCTTGGGAGCTTGGCTCCCGTGACCCCAAGGTTGCGGGCCATGCGCCTCTGGAATTCGTAGGATCCAAGTTTGATGGTGGTGTGCTGGTCGACAACAGCAGCTGTGTCCAAGGCTTTGATAATGCAGGATTCATCATGGGCACATCAAGTTCCCTATTCACACAGCTTGTCCTCTACTTGCGCGACAAGGACAGCCGCTACGTTCCGTCTGGCACACCATCGGCTATTTTCGACGCTATTTCGCAACTGCTTAGCACTTTTGGTGAATCATGGAATGATATTGCAGACTGGGCACCGAACCCTTTCAAAAACCTGCAATCGAAATCCACTAACGCGACTCTCGCAGACCGTCTGACGCTTGTTGACTCGAGCGAGGACCTGCAAAACATTCCGTTTTATCCCCACCTCCACCCGGATCGCAAAGTCGACGTCGTCTTCTCGGTCGATTCGTCTTCTGACACAGAGTCTGGCTGGCCAGACGGCGCCTCAGCTGCCGCTACTTACGCGCGTTCTGCAGCAGACTCTTACGGCAGCTCGGCCTTCCCAGCAGTCCCAGGAAAGGATACCTTTTTAAACCTAGGCTTGAACCGAGCCCCCGTCTTCTTTGGCTGCGACGCTGCTAACTCGACAGTGAACGGCAACGTTGCTCCACTGGTGGTTTATCTGCCAAATTACCCTTACGTCTACGCCTCCAACATATCGACTTTGCAGCTAAGCGTATCTGATTCAGAGCGTGACGCAATTGTGACCAACGGATGGGCAGTCGCCACACAATACAACTCAACCGTGGATAAGAAATGGCCAACCTGTGTTGCATGTGCCATCTTGTCACGCAGTCTGCATAGAACCAACACACCGGTACCAGATGCCTGCAACGCCTGCTTCAAGCAATATTGCTGGAACGGTACTCTGGCGCCCGCGAAAGCCGGACCCTACTGGCCGCGCTTCATCGGAACTCCCATCACCAATGTTAACCGCAATGGTGCAGACAGGCTACCTGCATTTGCTACCACTACCATGCTGGTGGTTTTGCTCTCAGCCATGCTGAATGTTTTCTGAAGGAACGTGTGACGAAAACATAACATGACCTTGGAAATAGTTAGATTTGCACACCGACTGTGTGCGGCGTTTTCTGTCTGATTTTTTTACATTTGATACCTTCATACTTTCTTTGTCTTGGTACTGGGAAACATTCACTGTTGATATATTTGCGAGACCAACTGTCTTGCACTTTTGCTTTCTGTTTATATAAATCGAAATGACCAGCGTTTCTCTTTTGGGGGGTATTGGCTATTGGATTAATCGTTATGAGGTATACATGATGATGGGCTTGCAGATACAAAATACAAAAGAAAGATGCGTACTACAATATCCTTTAATTATGCCACATACTGGCGTGTGCTCGGCCTCTTTTCCCTCTGCGGCGTCTCTTCCTTGTCGGCCTTTTCTGTGACAGCATGGGTCCAGAGCAACAGCGTAGCTATGATGGTGAAGCAGCCCATGACAAGGAGCGAGTGGTCAAGACGGGTGCCATTGCGGCTCGTGTCTGCGATGCTCAGAGTAATAACGGACGTGATGAATGCCGTCGCGACCCAAACGGCTGGATGTGTTAGCTGACCAGGACATATGTGACTGTCTTTTTGTCAGTCGACGTACTATTGGAGAAACGTGAAGGCCCCGTCTGGAGAGGCCGGATGATGACAGAGCATAGGAACAGTATACCCACGCAAAATAAAACTAGTTGTAGTCGTTAGCGACAGAATTTGATGCTTGACATGTGACAACGGACGTAGTTTGAAGTTGGCCAATGCCGACGTTCTCACTAGGCAGTCTAGGACTGTAGCCTGGGATCGGCTATTCGGCATGATGCTAGGGAAAGAGGTATATAAAGGGAAAGAAATATGTACAAAAACTGGCGGAAACGCAACAACAACCAAATGAAACGTGAGGAAGGATGAGGGACTCGGGAATAAATAATGTGCAGCGAGCGCGAGCGCTGACATGTGGCGCTGTGTAGGAATACGCGGAAAGCGGCCGCTAATAAAAACGGTTGGGGTGGCGTTACAGCGGGCAACTGCGCTGCGTTCTAAGCGCGGAGGCGGCACGTACTAAGAACCGCATAGCATACAAAGCAAGCATATGGGGTATAGTAAGTATAGTTATATCAGAGTTTCAATGCTGAAGTCTACAATAAGAAACGGCATTCGAGCAATTTGACTTGAGAAATGTATATACCATTTTCACATACTATAGACTAAGCACTTCGTATATATCGAATCTATGTACTCTATTGGCCATTTAAAACACGACGGTTCCTTGTCCTAAATCTCCCTTGGGCTGGGGGGTGTTGGAAGAATCGGTGGTGAAGGGCTTTCGCGAGCTGAGGGAGCAAACACGGCCAAGCAGCTTCTCGAGCTGTCTGTAGGCAGCGGTAGGCGCAAACTGGGGAACCATGTGGCCGGAGAGGCCAACAACGGCAAACGTGAGACCACGCTCCTCGTGTGTAGTGCCCATGACACCGGCACCAGCAAGCGTGGCAAGGGCGCCATCTTGGTGGTAGGGGACGAAGAGGGGCTCGACGGGCTTCTTCTGGAAGCCGAGCTTACCGCCCCAGGTCATGTTCTGGATACCGAGGATGGTGTTGAGGGTAGGGACGACGTAATCAAGAGAGCCACTGCCAATGATGACGTTTTTGGTGTGGTCAATCACGTTGGGGAGGACGTGGATGATGGATGGGGGGATTCTACGCTCGTCGCTGCCAACAAAGGGCTTACCACCGCACTCCGACCAGCTCTTGTTGGGTGGTGCGTTGATAGCCTTCTTCACATCGGCACGGTCGAAGTAGACGTTGGCACCATCGGGCGTGTAGGGCAGGCGGCCAGGGTACCCAAGAACATCCCAGAGCATGGGGCATGTAGTAGACACTTCGTACGGGTTGAAGCAAGGGTTGATAGCGACAATGGCGTCATAGAAGTTACTATCAATTTCGTCGCATCCAGGTCCAGGCTTGATGCGGGGAAGGTTGCCTGGAGGAGGGAAGGTCAGGTACTTCTTGCGCAGATCAGCGTAGCCGCATTCCTGGTCCTTGTCGTGCAGATATTTGACGAAAGTCTGGTTAAGAGAGAAGAGGTTGCTGTGCTGGTCGGCAATGGGTGCGGCGACCACGTCACCACTAAGATCTCGACCGGCAATGACGGGGTCATAGATCATCATGCCCTTGATATTGTAGTAGGTTTCGTCCTTGGCGTCGACCATGGCGCTGGAGATGTATGGGCAGTACAGACCACTGTAGAAAACTGGTGTTAGGCTGGGACGGTACAGTGGGTTTGTTTGAGCAATTGGCAACTTACGCGTACGACTCGCCAGTAACGTAGACCTTGTATCCTTGCAGGGCAAACGTGTCGACAAGGTTCTTGTAGAAACCGAGGAACTGCTTGGCGACGTCAAACTCGTCGTGGGCAGTAGCATTGCCCGTAGAGAAGCCGGTGGTGACGGGCTGGTCAACCCAGACCATGTTGGTGAGCTGGCTCCATGCCCAGGGATTGGGGACAGGCTTGTAGGTTCCCCATTGCCAGAGGAAGGGGCCGTTTTCCTGAAGGAAGCCTTCCAAAGAGGAGCATCCGGGCTAGAAAGGGGATTGTGTAGTTTAGCATGAGGTTCTTGTAGCGTGGCGGGGCTTGACTTACGCCTCCGTTCAACCAAATAACGATCTCCTTGTCGGCCTTGGGGTTCGTAGAAGGCTGGAACCAAAAGTAGAGCGACTGGGGGTCGTTGGGGTCGGAAGAGATGGGCAAGTTGCCGGCGTACGCCTCGCCAATGTCGAAGTCGACGTCGGGGATCTTCTTTCCGTCAAGAGCGAACTCTGCATGTAAAAGAAGCAACCGCAGTAGTTAGATATAATTCTCCTCTTGTGGGTTTGCAAGCTTGCATGGCAGCTGTTACTCACTGGTAGAATTGGCATTGAGGAATCTCTTCTCTCCCGAAGCGCGTTCGTGGATGGTGTTGCGGATTGGGTTGGGGCGGACGGTGCGGCCGGTGTGCGAGGAGCCCCAGCGCTGCTCGGGAGTGCCCAAGCCACTGACGCCAAGAACAGCGGCAGACAGTGCCAGGACGTGGTTAAGCGTAACAAGCATGATGGAATTCTGTTTGGTAGGCAATCGTACAAAATTGGAAGCTCGTTGCAACAAACAAAGTGGAGGACAGTCGGACTTTAATAATCAAATTGGACCATGACTCCTCCGGAGACGGGACCTTTGTTGATGCCGATCTTTCCCTCTCTTTGTCTGGGGAAGTAAGTTGAGCACGCCCAATAGGGCAGGTAAATGCAATTTTAGGGGGGCCTGTACTGCGGACGATAACCGGATTTCTTCGCCCGCATGCTGTACTTGGGTAGCGTCCACGCCCGCCAAGGCGCTGGGATGATAGCTAATCTGAATGCGGAGGGACTTTCGGAACCAGGCCCGCCACTGGGAGCCTTGCGCCTCAATGTTTAATTCCCTAATGCACGAACGGCGTGGACAAACGGCGTGCATTCGGGCTGCACTCGTGCCACGCTTCCCCGACTACTGTCGTGGAATTTCTTCTGGCGATGATAAATGCTGTCATCGGCGAATTTGTTTTGTTTTACGAGGCTGCGTCTCTCCCCCAGTCTCTCCGTATCTTTGAACCTTTATGAATGCGGCAGTTGGGCTTTCACTATACTTCCCAATTGGGGAGCACCCACAGGGGGGCAAGCCCCTCTGGGCGTCATCTGTTGTGACGATTTCACAAAACGCAACCATCACTAGCAATGGATTCGTCGCTGATCAAAGTCAATATTACATTAATTATAGAAGCAACATAGTAGAGCTAAAGTCAAAGGGAAACAGAGACGTTACTGTGGAGTGGCTCTGAGAAAAGCGTGATCAATAGCCTCGCAGTAGGCCCAATGGGCATGTACATGCTTGGAAACATATACAGTAGAGATTCATACTATAAGATTTTTGCATAAGGCATGAAAAAGAGCAAAACAAAACAATTTTGAGGTGCGGGGAATCCGCCGCTGTCTTTCCATTTACCAGCTCTTTGTCCAGCACTGGCTTCAGCTACTGTGCTAGAGCTACAGTAGCTCGCTTGCTACCTGTATTAGCTCCTCGAGCGCCACCACCCCAGAAGCAGACAAGACGCCCCCCACTTGCACGTGTCAGACAAAAGCCTCCACACACCACGCCCAAAACGTTCTTCTTCCCTGCCAAAGCGCTACAAGCCCCGTCATCACGCAACGCAACATCGAGGCAGCTCCCCGATTTGAACCGCACTCGCGGCGTCCATCGACTCTCTTCATTTTGGCCATCGCCATTCAGCACCACAATATTCCCCCCCTCTCGTCAGCAAAGTCGCCATCAGCGCAGCCAGCATCGACGACACTCCAGCTTCGTCCGGGCTCTTCCCACCAAACACCAAGAAAATAGCAAGCAGCAAAGCTTCCCACTGGCCAACTGCCCACAATGGAAAAGTACAGCCAGTACCGTGATAGAGGTAATCACAATTACACCCCGTAACGAGCCGGACTAGTCGCTAAAGTCGCTTCTTTTTCTCGCAGCCACCGGCATCTCTCCTTTCCTCCCAGTCACGACTCCTCTGTCCGCCATCACCGCCATCACTCACTGCGTCATCTTCCTCTTCCGACTACCATTCTTCTTCACTCTCGCTCTCAGCTACTTCCTCATCTTCCAATACCTCCCACTCCCCGTTGCCGCGCGAAAGATTGCACTGTGGGCCATGATGGCCATCCCCGGCATCTGGTGGGTGGACTTGCAGCTCGACGGTGTCAAGCGAGGCACACTGGCCGATCAGCCGCCCCAACGATTCCCACACGGAGGCACAGTCATTGCCGCAAACTTTACGAGCCCTATCGACGCCGTGTACCTCGCTGCTGTCTTCGACCCGATCTTTACCATCTCGTATCCCGGAACAAGAAAGGTCCAGCGCATCGGCCTCCTCCAGGCTGTTGTCATGGCTCTTTCGCCTGTTTACACCTCCGCGCCTGACGAATCGCAGCTTGTACATATATCTGACCTGCTCCACGAGTATCCTGACCGCCCTATTGCCATCTTCCCCGAAGGAAGCACGACTAACGGTAAGGGTATCTTGCCTTTCAGCCTTAGCCTGCTTGACACTCCGGCCGATACGCCTATCTTCCCCGTTAGCTTGCGTTACACACCCGGCGATGTTACAACACCTGTCCCTGGCAGATGGGTCTCGTTTCTCTGGAACCTGCTTTCGCGCCCGACCAGCCTTGTTCGAGTCCGTATCGCCGAGGCCACGACCAATACAGCCGCCGCAAAAGCCAACGCTCCCAGTATATCGGAGAACGGATCTAGTGGCTTGCGAAACAGAGCTGGCGGCATGACAAGCGAGGAGCAAAAGGTTCTCGACCGTATAGCAGAGGCATTGGCTCGTCTTGGAAGAGTCAAGCGCGTGGGCTTGACCCTCCAGGACAAGGCTGCGTTTGTCCAAGCCATCAACAGCAAGAAGGCGTAATAGCAGACTCTATTGCTTTCCTTGCTTGTTTTCTTTGCATTATAGGGAGGGATGGCGCATTGGGGAACTGGGATCCAATGGAAAATAGTGACAGAATGACCAGTACTGTAATATGGGAAGGTTAGGGGCGGAGAGTGTAATGCGCGTGTGCGATTGCGAAATACCCTTGCTACTGCTATCGACATCTTTTACTCGAGTTAATATAGCACAACTTATCTTTGTCTTTTACACATACTAGAGAACTTTTGTTTTGAAACAAATTGTATATTTATATTAGTATGACACCATTTCAATCTGCTGTCTTGTGAGCTGATAACCAAACATTTCGCCTTGACCTTTTTCGTCCCCGACTACGTGGTATATACAACCTCCATTCCGTTTAGCTGAAAGCTGAGCGTTCTTCTGGATCCATCCTCCTGTGCCTTCCTCAATTTTATTCTTTTTTTGTATGTGTTTATGCTTATTCTGCTTATTCTCTGATGCCATCAGTGACACAGCCGTGGCTGGCATCGCTGACGAGGCGGGCGTACTTCTTAAGAGTACCCTTAGCGTAACGCAGAGGAGGGGCCTTCCAGGCGGCCTTGCGCTTAGCCAAGACCTCATCAGAGACTTGCAAATCAATCACGCGGGCCTCGGTGTCGATAACAATGGCATCGCCGTCCTCAACAAGGGCAATGGGGCCACCCTCCATGGCTTCGGGGACGATGTGGCCAATGAGGAAACCGTGGGAACCACCAGAGAAACGGCCGTCAGTGAGCAGAGCAACGTCGTTGCCAAGACCAGCACCCATGATTGCAGAGGAGGGCTTGAGCATTTCAGGCATGCCGGGGCCACCCTTGGGTCCTTCGTAGCGGATGATGACGACGGTCTTCTCGCCCTTCTTGATCTCGTTGCGCTCAAGGCTGTTGATGAAGTCGTCCTCACAGTCGTAGACGCGGGCCTTGCCAGTGAAGCTGAGGCCCTCCTTGCCGGTGATCTTACCAACGGAGCCACCGGGGGCGAGGGAGCCGCGAAGGATCTGGATGTGGCCGGTGGGCTTGATGGGGTTGCTGACGGGGCGGATGACGTCTTGGTCGGCGGGGAAGTCTCTGGCGGTCTCAACGTTCTGCTTCATAGTCTTACCGGTGACGGTGATACCCGAGCCGTCAATGAAACCCTCCTTGATGAGGTACTTGAGCAGGGCAGGTGTGCCACCGAGAGCGTGGACATCGGCCATGACGTACTTGCCCGAGGGCTTAAGGTCGGCAAGGAAGGGGACGCGGTCGGAGACGGCCTGGAAATCTTCGATGGTAAGCTTGACACCGACAGCATCGGCAATGGCGAGGAGATGGAGGACGGCGTTGGTGCTGCCGCCGAGGATGGTGGTGACAATCATGGCATTCTCAAAAGCCTGGCGTGTAAGAATGTCACGAGGGCGGATATCCTCCTTGAGCAGGTTTCTAATGGCACTGCCAACGCTCTCGCATTCAGCAACCTTCTCCGGGCTGTCTGCAAGGTTGCTGGAGCTGCCAGGAAGAGTAAGACCCATGGTCTCAATAGCAGTGGCCATGGTGTTGGCAGTGTACATGCCACCACAGGCACCCTTGCCAGGGCAAGCGTGGCGGATAATATCGAAGCGCTGCTCCTCAGTAATGTCACCAGCAATGTACTGGCCGTAAGACTGGAAAGCAGAGACAATGTCAATGACCTCGCCGGTCTTGGTACAGCCGGGCTTGATGCTGCCACCGTAGACCATGATGCTAGGGCGGTTGACACGGCCCATAGCAATGGCAACACCAGGCATGTTCTTGTCGCAGCCGGGCAAGCTGATGTTGGCATCGTACCACTGGCCATTCATAACGGTCTCGATCGAGTCGGCGATGACTTCACGACTTTGCAGAGAGTAGCGCATGCCCGAAGTACCCATGGAGATACCGTCTGAGACACCAATAGTGTTAAAGCGATAGGGGACAAGTCCGGCCTTGTTAACAGAGTCGCGCACAATCTTTGAGAGGTCAAGCAAATGCATGTTGCAAGGGTTGCCTTCAAACCAGACAGACGAGATACCGACTTGGGCCTTGTTCATGTCCTGCTCGGTCAGACCCGTGGCGTAAAGCATGGCCTGTGAGGCACCCTGGGACTTGGGTTGTGTGATCTTGGAGGAGACTTTGTTGAGCTGTTCATCGGCACGGCGGGCGACGGAGGTAGAAAAGAGGCGGCTACAGCAGCTGTGTTAGCTTCGAATTCCGGAGTCAAAGTATGGCTTGCAGGCCAAGGGCAACATACCCATTGGTTCGCGTAGAAGCAATGGTCTTAGACCAGGCAGCAGACTGCTGCTGGCGCAAGCAACGAGACAGCATTGCGATTGTGATTGAAGTCAATTGGGGTCGAGGAGGGGATGGAAAGCAGCAGTGTGTGCTGTTGTGGTGGTGCCTGACAAGCGACGTCTGTTGTAGAGTCGAATGTTTGAGGCAACGAAAGATGAGTCAAGTCTGGCAAAATATAGGATGGGAGAAATTGGGCTGAACTAGCGTGTTCCTGTGACTTTCCCTGTGATCTGTGTCCCTGTGATCTTCCCTGTCACTGGCGTTGAAGTTGGAGAAGACAAGTTCGTGTGTGTGCGTCAGTCCTTTGGCGGCGTTTTTTTCCTCGGCCGGCTGGCACCTGGCAGCTACACTTCTGCTTCCGGGGCGCCGAGTCGCTGCAACCCCACTGGACGGGAGCCCCACCGCCCAGTAATCAGCGCTGTTTTATTGGCTCCCCAGCGGCAGCCCCAGTGGCTCTCCAGTGGATTTTCCAGGCAACCAGTGCATGTGGTTTTGCTGCGAATAGTCAAGCTTTGGACGCTGTGTTCAACATAACAGAGTCAGAGCAGAGCTTCACCAGCTTCTGCTACTGTATAGCTTAAAGCTGTAGTCAGTAAAGCTGTATGCAGTTTAGCATTTCAAGATTTTGCCTTGATTGCCTGCAATGGCGGCTCTAATTTACCAGGAGTCAAACATCATTTGCCGACATCGGCTGCAGCCACCGGGGAGAGTTGTTGGTCTCCGAACCAGTGCTGGGGTGCTGGGCTGGACCCAGATCTCGGCAGGCCAAGGTAGGTAGTGCTCACTCTGCGGGCAATCAAATAAATCGACATTGTGCCGCCAAAAGAAGTTAAAGTCTCTATTATACAGTTCTTTCAATTTCTATGGAAAAAATACACAAACGCCAGGCAACTATGGAATAATTGATGATATGAACAAATCGCGCAACGCAGTCTATGTCTGCTTCGCTGATTGCGGCTTGTCGTCCTTCGCGTCGGGTCGCTTCGTCAATATCTCATCAATTACTCCCAGATCCAATGCCTCTTTTACGGACAGGTATTTGTCTCTTTCCATCATATCATTGACCTCATCCAGTGTGTATCGGTCGTGCCCCTTGGCCTTGTTTAGATGGTAGCGCATGATCTCATTTGATTGCTCGCGGATGCGCTGAATCTGGTTCGCATAGATCAAAATGTCTGAGGCCTGTCCTTGGGTGCCTCCGAGAGGCTGGTGTATCATAATGGAGCTGTGAGGCAGAGCATATCGCTTACCCGCCTCACCACCTGCCAGAAGAATAGCAGCCATGGACGCAGCACCTCCCACGCAAACCGTGGACACTGGGGATTTAATATATGTCATCGTATCGTATATAGCAAGGCCTGATATCTGTTAGAATCCGCATTCTATCCATTCAAACAGGATCGCATCATACCTGATGTGACAGAGCCGCCGGGAGAGTTGATGTACATTGTGATTGGCTTGTCTGGCGTGTCTGACTCTAACCAGAGCAACTGTGATACTATTGAGGCAGACATGTAGTCATTGATTGGCCCGTTTAGACAGATAATTCTTTCCTATAGAGTATTAGACGTCCATTCTTCGTCAAAATCGAGGACTGCGATCACGCACTTGTAGTAGCTTAGAGAAGATGTCCCCTGTTTGCGCTTTCGTTAGCCAACAATATCGACGCTAGAAAACTCGCATAGATGCCTTACAAGTTCTGCGTCCTTCACCCTGCAAATTGTTAGCGATTATTTCTTCTAGAAGCTTGGCTGGTGCGTACCGTTGTCTCCACGATGAAGGGCATGGGAATGTCGGCAGTTGGTGGTGTTGAGGTCGCGGATGAGGTGAACACGAAGGAACGGGTATTTCGTATCGATAGCGACCGTCTAGCAGACGGCCAGAGCAGTCGTGGGCGGCCGATCATGGTTGTTGCGCTGAGAAGATGATGATGATGCAGTGTCGAGATTGCGCACGTTGGAGCAGGTGGGGAGCTTGGGGAACAAGCTCAACGCTACCACTGGTCGGTGGCGTCCACTATTGGCCGAAGCCTACAACCTACCAACATCGAAGCCCTTACCCAACATACGCGCCACGTTGGTCGGCGGATAGTCGCTGGGCTCGGAGTAGCAATGAAATTAATTATAACCAGACAAGCGACACAATTACGATCATTATTACAACCAGTGTGCCAGCGGCGATGGCGCTCTTACGACCGTAGCGAGGTTACCAAGGAGGCTCTCCTAGCAAAAGTCAATTCCAGCTTCGGCGACGACTCCTACGCTGAACCCCTCTCTGTTAATGCCGATTCTAAAACGATATCAACGGTCAATGGCGATCTCCCTATATCTCCCCTCTTCGATCCGACGTGGATGTCGGCGAGGAGACGCCAAACAAAACGGCGACCGGCATCGTCTGGCCGCTTTCGCAAGAAGCTGTTAAATAATCCATATGGTAGGCATATACTCCGGGATAGCATCTTGCTTCAACCTTCGTTAGTATAACCACTACTCACACAGTTCTATTAGCACAAGCTCTTGCCAGTCCCATGCGAACATGTTCCGCAACACACACGAAGCTGCCGCGATATTTCCTCCAAGACTTCGAAATGGTCAGGCATCCAGAGACAGGCAAGCCTTGGTTTGCGCCGGGCCCGTTGAGCTTTGACTCATCGGCAGCACCGTCTAACAATCCGGATGCCATTACACAACCTGGGCCCGAATCAACAGAAACGACGACGCGTCGACACTCACGTGCGCGAGCACCAATTACCGTTTATGCAACATGCCGGAAGAGCCTTTTGGATCTGATGAATTCGTCCCACCGCAAATTTCTAGGATCCATGATTGGCCCCCGTGGCGGCATGGCAATGACGACTGAAACGAGAGAGGCTATTCTGCGCAAAGACATGGGCGATGTCTTGTTATCGATGCTGCGGCGTCAAGCATCAGACCTGTTAGTGGAGCGTGCGAATCAAAGTCCAGACTCTGTTGCCAGATCCTTTCAGCGCTGTGACAACTGGGAAGACATTGGCAAAGTAACGGCGAGAGGTTGCGTACTTTGGATTCCTGGCTCGAAGGATAATGCGACGAACCCATCCTACGCTACCTATGATATTGAAGGGGCGCGCTACGACGGCAAGGTGGCAGTCCACGACCTCGTCTACCTTTTGGGCGATGCACAGGTTTCCTGGCTTCGAAAGGCAGCGCCAGACACCTTTGGTGACGGCGGTATTGTGGTGTTGCGACTGCATCACAGCCGCCGTATGGCCAAGATACACATGCTTCTGTGGAGGCTACAGGGCTACCTGGCCCCTCCTATAGATGAAACTGTGGCTGTTTAACTAGTGATATGTTACTATGTATATTGTACTATTATGTATTATAAACTGGAGGGGTTTGAATCTGAATAACCAGTATAGAGAGCTGTCAGGGCGCTCACCTCACACATACTCTTTTTCTTGTTTTAAAACAGCCTGTGAGGTACTTGATCAGCTTTTTCGACACCTTATCACATCGATAATTATTCTTTTGCAATTTTCCGGCCTCTTCCTGTTCTGGAGGTCCTTTTACCGGCTGACACTATCATCGGGATTATCGCTGTTGCGGGTCTGGCGGCAGTAGCCCAAAAATCAGCCTGCCATCGTCATTTGCTTACTTGGTGCCCAGCGTCAGCGTTTCTGTTCATTGTTGGCTATTGTCCCTCTACATCATCATCAAACGCCCTTTTCGCTGCCGTAAAAAAATAGCACCATGAGTAGCACAGCGGCCGAAGACGGCGAACTTCTCGACAACCCCGAGCTCGTCCAGCCCGAGAACTGGCGCCGAATCAACACCTGGTCTGGACGGACGCCAGTGTTCCTGATCCACGATGGCGGCGGCACAACCTTTGCCTACCACTGCCTCGAACCTATGAGCCGCTTCACATATGGTATCCGTAATCCGCACTTCTTCACGCAGAAGAAGTTTGAGGGCGGAATCTGCGAGATGGCCAAGCTGTACACTGGCTGGATCAAGCAAACGGTAGCCAAGGAGACGTTTACTGCTAAGAAACAGGGCAAGCTCCCTGTCGACATCTTGCTCGGCGGCTGGAGTTTAGGCGGTCTGCTCAGCCTGCAGATTGCGCGCGAGCTTGCAGAAGACAAGGACGTTCGCGTGAGGGGTTTCCTCATGATTGACAGCGTGTGCCCGAACGAGGCGCGCAAGACAGCCATTCATGCCGCAATGGGCAGCGAATCGGAGGAAGGAAAGTCCAAGAACCAGATTCTGTCGTCACGGTCGCTTACTGAGGCACGACGCATGGTTGGCGAATGGACACTGCCGCAGTGGGACGGCGAACTGAAGGGCAAGCGGCCCAAGGCTATCCTACTCAAGTGCAGGGAGACGGTGCCCTTGTCAGACGGTGGTCGCAGTGTTCTAGACTTGGATCGCGCTCATACACAACTGGGATGGGAGTGGTATGACAAGGACATGTTTACAGAAGTTATCCCCGTTGACGGCCACCACTTCAACCTCTTTGAGCAGACATATATTCCAGGCATCACGAGGACGATTCGAACGGCATTGATTAAACTCGATACAGCCCCTAAGGAAGAGGAGGATGAGGAAATGTTTGAATAATGCTACTGAAGTATCCAATTCGAGAAGATTTTCGCAACATATACAACGACAATAGAGAGGCGCTGGTCTACACGAAAACGAAGTTTGCTTAGGGAGAGTGATAGTACCAACTGGGACGAATAATGACGAAGAAACAACTGCATGAGAAAGTAGAGCCACTAGACTATATCTACAAATAAATATTATATATTTTCTTTATTTAAGATACTCCATATCAGCACCTATACACTTTGACAATCTGCCCCTCACTCTGTGCCATGGCTGCCCCTCCATTGTAGCAACAGACCCCTGGCAGCGCCGCCCGCCGCTAGACTGTTCCCACCACCACCAAAAAGCACCGAGAGCCACGCCCTGGAGATGCGCAACTCTCCCCGGCATCGGCCCCAGCTAGACCCGCTGGCATGCCCGAGACCAGCCGCGTCCGTCTGGGGGTGCTACGAAAAAACGCCCCTCTCCCAAGAAAAAGAATCATCGTGATGCAAGCTCTTCTTTACCTTTCATTAAGCTCTATACTTCAGTAACATCATGGCGATTGCGGTAGACGTGCAAGATCCGCAACCGCCTGCGCCAAAGGCAAAGACGACGACATCGCTAGGCCACGACTACAAGGGCTTCGTCGCCGGCGTTGGCAGCGGCGTGGCAAAGCTTACAGGTGCCTACCTTTTTACCCCAGATAATCAACTGCAAGACGCATTATACTTACTCGTCATTCGCAGTTGGTCACCCCTTCGACACAGTTAAAGTCCGCCTCCAGACGACAAATCGCTTCAGCGGGCCGCTGCAATGTGTTCTACAAACGATACGAAACGAAGGCTTCCGAGGACTCTATAAAGGCGCGACACCGCCACTCGTAGGATGGATGTTTATGGACTCTGTCATGTTGGGCTCGTTGTCCGTGTACAGACGTTTGCTAGCAGAGAATGTATTTCACGTTGACAACTGGACGCCAGGCATCGTCACCGCGGCCGCAAAGGACCCGGCACACCCCTCCGCCGTGCTGGCCACATTGCCACCGATAGGGCACGGTTTAGCTGGCATTCTGGCCGGAAGCACAGTCAGTTTCATCGCAGCTCCGGTTGAACACATCAAGGCGCGTCTGCAAATCCAATATGCTGCGCGCAAGGCGGACCGCTTATACTCGGGTCCCCTCGACTGCATTAATAAGATATACAAACACCACGGCGTCCGGGGCATATATCACGGCTTGAGCGCCACGCTTCTGTTCCGCGGTTTCTTCTTCTTCTGGTGGGGAAGTTACGATATGATATCGCGATGGATGCACAAAAATACCAGCCTCAGCAACCCGGCCATCAACTTTTGGGCAGGAGGTCTCAGTGCGCAAGTGTTTTGGCTGACCTGTTACCCAACAGACGTGATAAAGCAGAGAGTGATGACCGATCCTTTAGGTGGCGGCTTAGGAGACGGCCAAAGAAGATACCCCCGATGGAGAGACGCCGCAGTAGGCGTGTATAAGGAGTCTGGATGGAAAGGATACTGGCGTGGCTTCTTACCGTGCTTCCTCAGAGCATTCCCAGCAAATGCGGCAGCACTCCTGGTTTTTGAAAGCGTTATGCGGACGTTGCCCTAAGTGCCGTCAGGCAGAACTACTATGTACATAGAGCATCTCTTGTTTTTTCTTCTCATATGGAGCATTTACGATCAAATTTACACAGCATAGAGGTATTACCAGAACAATATCAGCATATCACAAAAGACAGAGTACCAGCAGTAACAGTGAAGCGTGTAATCGAGAAGGAGAAACATGTCAGATCCATTAGTCTGTAGGGCATCTAAAATCTATATAAACCCAGCGTGCAAGCGAAACTGAATTCCTCGCAAGCCTTCCCGCAGCGTACTGCGGGACATGAACTAATATGCATCAAATAAAAACAAAAGACCTGGTGCCCCTCTCCCTCGAGAAAAAAAAAGCATCCTCCTGATCCCCATTTTTAGTGGTATATTGCAACCGTTCTTCTTCAGACAGAAGAAGAAATTTACTCGTCATCCTCATCAGCATCGTCGTTGACGACGTTGAAGAACTTGAGCTCGTAAACACCGCGGGAGGTGGAAACGACGCGGAGCCAGTCACGGAGCTGCTGCTTCTTGAGGAACTTCTTGGTCAAGTACTTGAGGTAGCGGCCGGAGAGGTCGTTGTGGGCAATGACCTCGATCTTGCCCTCACCCTGCTGCTGGATGATGACGTCGTCGCCGAGGTTGTTGGTGCGGCCCTCAACCTTGATGCGGTCCTGGAGGAACTTCTCGAAGGCAGAGACATCGAAAATCTTGTCGGAGGCGGGCTGAGAAGCGTTGATGATGAACTTCTTGGTCTGCTTCTGGGCCTTGCCAGACTTCTTCTATATGGCGGAAAACAAAACTCTTAGCCTACTGCATAATTCATAAAGCGCGACGGCATGTTCCAGGTGCGTGGAAAGCGGAATAGTGCAAACGTCTTTGCTGGGGATCGCCGACAAGGTTTTCTTTGTTGCTGCTTTGGGTCTTGTGTGCCTCGCCGAGAACCGTGTTACGAGTTCAATTCGTGCCGCTTTGTATTTCAAAAGCAGCACGTAGCAAGTAGTAGACAGCAAAGACCAAAGCAAGAAAACATTAAGTCGTCGGCGTCGTCTCAAGCAAAGAGCGCGAGCACAATTCCGTTCCATGAACCAGCGGCGCACAAGATGAAGAACAGCACAGCGGTTGGTTTATCTTTTTCATATACGTACGGTGACGGGAGCCATTGTATTGACTTGGGGAGGTTTGTTTTTTTAAGATAAAAAAAAGCTGAAGAAAGTTGGAGGTCGTAAAGAACGCAAAGAGGTCTATATCCTGCGTCTTGGTGTTTGTGTGGTTTGCAAAAGGAAGAGAAGTTTTTCCGCGTGTCTCTGCGCCGCTATAGCGAGGCTCACCCCGCCAGGCGAAGCCCAATTTTCTAGTGGGTTTGTCCAAATTGGGCTGAAAATTAGGGCACGCCCGGATTAACCTTGATCCTGGGTTGTTCCAACGAGACAAGGGAAAAGTGGGGGCGGCGGCCTTCGCTACTCGGGTCGGCGCTGGTGGAAGGCGGGGCCGTGATGTTAGCGATCGCGAAGACCGGTTGTGCCGTTGCAATAGCGCGAGACTCCGTTGCATCGTCGCGTTCTAATAGAGGCGAAAGTCAAAATCAAGAAGTTCAAATCGAAAGACGCAGAATTATAAAGTGTCTACTTCAGCTCGTGCTCTGATATATCATCTATCTCAGCCTTTTACAGAAATCACATCAAAGAAACACTACGACTTACACGGTTCCCACTCTTCGTTTACGAGCTCTCTCCAACTCTGTCGTTCATCATGTCTGCTCCATCAGACGTCGCATTTACGACAACAATCCACCATGATACTTACCCAGCCATTGCCAAGGCAAGCCATGCCGGCCACACCGTGTTCATCTCTGGTGCTTCGAAAGGCATTGGGCGGGCCACAGCCTTGTCATTTGCCAAAGCGGGAGTAAAGAATCTTGTCATTGCTGCCCGTTCGAATCTGGACGAGGTTGAGAGAGATATTTTGGCCGTTTCAAACACCAACGTCTTGAAGATCCAGCTGGATGTTACGTCAAAGGAAAGCATACAAGCTGCTGCTGACCGAGTCGCTGCTGAGTTTGGCACCCTCGACGTACTCGTCAATAATGCAGGCATCCTAAATCCATTTCAGCCAGTAGCGGAATCCGACCCGACGAAATGGTGGGATACCTACAATGTCAACCTCCACGGTCTCTACCTCGTGACTCGAGCATTCGTACCCCTCCTGCTTAGAGGTTCTGCCAAAGCCATCGTTAATGTGGCATCTATTGGTGGTATTCGTACTGCACCAGGAGGCTCTGCTTATCAGCTTTCCAAGACCACTGTTATTCGCTTCACCGAATATCTCAATGTCGAATATAAGGACCATGGTCTTTGCTCATATGCCATCCACCCTGGTGCTGTCAAATCCGATCTAGCAAGCAACCTGCCTTCATTTATTCCTCAGAGCTCACTAATTGACACACCTGAGCTTCCGGCGGATACAATCTCATGGCTCACTCAGGAACCTCATTCCTGGCTGTCTGGTCGCTATTTCAGCGTCAACTGGGATATGGAGGAGCTCTTCTCCAAAAAAGACGAAATCGTTTCGCAGGACAAACTAAGGCTAAAACTCGTCGTCTAAAGCTATGTCTCTTTTACCATAATTCATAATTCATTCAAGTCATACATAGTAGTATAATGCATTCTGCATGTTTCAATAATTCGCCGTGATCCTGATATCGCTGAGTCACTGCTTCTCAAGACTTGAATAGTCTTTTAAACACCCCTCGGAGGCCGCGAGGCTTCTCGTTATCATCATTGGTCTGTTGGCGTTCTTGATTCCGGGCTCTTCTAGCTCCATCCTCACTGGAATTGTAATGGTGTGTCGTATGTGAACGATGTTTACGTTCTTTTGGCTTGGATGACGAGGCATCATCTCTTGCTCGTCTTGGAGAGGATGGTTCATCAATTACTCTCTTTCTTGGAGTAGGTAACTCGCCATCAACCACACTACGTGACTTTCGGCGCCTGGTGCGGGCACCCTCCTCCTGCTGAACACTCGACCTGCGACGAGGAGGAGTAGCTTCAGGTGTTAGAGGTGCCTCTTCGTGTGTTGTTCTCCTTCGAGGCGATTTGGTATCAGCATCGGCACTTTGGACCTCACTATTTAATGTTGATCGTCGACTACGATGATGCCCGGAGCTACTGCTGTGATGTCGCGAGGAGCTATGGCGTCCATGTTCTTCATTCGAATGGCTTTTCGTTTCAGTTGACGGCACAGACTCAGGTTTGCGGCTATGAGATTGCCTCCCGCTCCGTGTAGATCTTTCTGATTCGTGTCGCCCGCCTTCAGTTTCCAGTCGCAATCGCTCTGCTTTGCGGCGATCATGGGCCAGTTGCTCTTCAGGTGTCCTATGTCTTCGCCTGGAAGACGTTGAACCATCAGCGGTTGAGCCAGTCTCAGCTCGCTTTGGTGTCTCGGGTGGCGTTAGGAGCGCGGAGCTGCCGCCAACGGATACTCTCCTCTCATGGTGGCGATGCGAGCGACGCTTTTCAGCAGAAGTATCCAGACGACCCTTTGTATCTTGAGTGTCTGTTCTTCCTGAGCCGCTGTGAGCTGAACGTTCATGGCGTCTACTATCGTCAGCATGCCGCCTATGGTGATGAGATGACCGATGGTGGCGACTCTCTCGATTCTTCTTTGGCACTATTGGGTGATCTATACACTGTTAGCGTGTGTTTCTAGAAGTAAAAGCTTCACGTGAAGTCTAAGACTATGTACAAAAGCTGCAAAAGTCTCCACAAGCCAATGATACCCCAAGATAGTCCGGATATAAATAGATCGCCGTGTCCGGGACCGGGGCTAATAATTACTGGGATCGTTGTAATTTAACCAACGCCCAGACCAATCCAAATAAGACAAGGTTTCACCACTGTTTTGATGCTCAAACGCTTCACGTGTGTAGTTCAACAAGCTTGTCATTTGAGCCGGAGACGATGCTGAGTGAGCCGGTGTAACATCCGTCCGCCTCTTACGCCAACAAAGTGCCTCTCTCAATGGCGTCTTATTACATATTTGAGCCAATCGGTTGCTGTTCATGTCTCTGCTCAGCGGTAACAAGCTCAGCCATTCCCAGTAGAGTTGTATAAAGTCACATCCATAAAAGTGAAAAGCCTTGAAAGCAAATATAATTTTCTTCACAATAGCACTCTGGCAAACGATCTTTTCGCAAACATTGGCGCCTTAAACTTGAAGAAATACAATCCCCTTTTTATCTTCTTTATTTGACGATTTGCGAGTATTTTTGGCCTATTCTGTGGCTGGCGTGGCATCAGATGACTTTCGCAAGCTTGAGAAGGGCTTAAAGAGACGGAAGCGGATCCAGGAGAATGGAGCAACAATCCACTGCTTGAGTACAACAAAGATGGTGGCTCGGGGCTGCATCAGGTTAGTCTTTAGGCCATTGAATACGGCATCTAATGCACTAACCTTGGGCTTTTGAGCATTGGGCATGAGTGGTGTGTTCTCATTGGGCACCTCATTGACTTCCGCAGGTTCTTCTTGTGCTGTGTTGGTATTCTCCGGGACAACAGTAGCGTCATTCTGAGGATCAGTCTTGGTAACTGTGGCAGGCTCTTCTGCAGATTCTGCGACAGTCTCCTGGACAGGCTCAGGAGCAGCTTCAACAATAGACTTCCCAACAATGGCGGCTGTAGCGGCTGAGGCCACTACAGCACCAGCAGCAGCACCAGCAGCAGCAACTGTAGGATCAACCTTCTTGTCTGTAGCCTCAACAGCATGGCCGTTTTCAGTAGGTTCTCCAGGTTTGGCTTCTTCCGTAGTAGTTACTGCAGCAGCTTCTTCCACAACTTGTGAAACTGGTGCCTCCGGCTCTTGGCTCTCATGCGTAACCTCCTCTTTCTTATCCTCCACCACAGGGGTATCAATAACTTCGGCAACTTCAACAGGGGTATCCTCCTCTAATGCCACAGTCTCACCTTTCTGTGTTTCCTCCTCTACAACTTGGTCTTTCTGTTCAGGTGCGGGTGTTTCTTCGACGACAGGTTCGTCAACCTTGGATTCCTCTACAGCTGGAGGGGCTTCAACAACTGGTGCTTCTTCCTGAACTTCTGCTGCGCCTCCCATGGGAGTGAGCTCAGCATCAGAGACTGGCACAGCATGCGCCTTGACAGATACATTGTGCAAAGCGCTCTCTTCAGCCTCTTCCACAACATCCTTCTTTTCGTCCTGCGAGGCCACAGCAACAGCTGCAGCGGCACCAGCTGCGGCAACTCCAGCCACGCCAGCACCAATCAAAGCGGGAATGTTATGGGTTTCGTGAGAAACACTGGTCTCGGTGGGTTCTGTGCCAACTGCTTCTGGCACTTCCTCTGCCTCTTTGGCATCCTCGGTCACAACCTCATCAACTGCATCCGCCTTCGCAGTGTCAGCGTCGACTGCAGGCTCAGCTTCAGTGGCCTCAGTCTTAATGGCTTTAGCAGGAACTTCTTCTACTTCTTCTTCCACATCGCCATCCTGGATAGGCGAGTCATCGGTCGGTTCGACGGCTTGCTCCTCAACCGCCTTTTCGGCAGGAGAAGCAGCTCTGTCCTCTTCGACAGGTTCCTCACTCTTTTCAGGAATGACAGTAGCGGCAACAACAGCAGGAGTAGCCAACACGGCGGCGGCAGCGACAGGTGCGAGAGGCTCAGTGGCTTCCTCGGTCGATTCAGTAGGTGCCGAGTCGTCCAATGACTTGTCGGCCGTAGGCTCCTCAGTAGTAGCGGGCTCTTCAGCAACAGTCTCTTCGACAGCAGTCTCTTTGACGGGCTCCTCTACAGTAGGCTCAACAGTAGGCTCTTCAGTAGCAGTCTCTTCGACGGGTTCATCTACAGAAGGCTCCTCGACAGCAGCAGGCTCCTCAGTAGCAGCAGTAGCAGAAGGCTCTTCCACCGTAGTCTCTTCAGCAGCCGATGTCTCAGGAGCTGGTTCTTCGACAGTAGTCTCTTCAGCGGCAGGTTCTTCGACGTTAGCGTCTTCCGCAACAGTCTCTTCAGCAGCGGGCTGTTCGATAATAGCCTCTTCAGCAGCAGTCTCCTCTTCGACGGAAGCGGATTCTTCAGTGGCAGCTGGCTCTTCAACCGCTGTCTCTTCAATGCCGGTCTCCTCGGTAGCGCGCTCTTCAGCGGTAGTCTCTTCGACAGCAGGGGTCTCAGCGGCAGGCTCTTCAACCACAGCGTCATTGGCTGTATGCCCTTCTTCGGGGGCTTCTTCGCCAGTGGTTTCTTCAGCCTTCGCCTCTACGCCAGCTACTTCGGAAACGCGTTCCTCGACAGCAGGTTCCTCGACAGCAGGTTCCTCGACAGCAGGTTCCTCGACAGTCGCCTCAGTGGCCTCTTCAGCGGCTGGTTCGTCAATGTGAGCCGCCTTAGCAACAGGGACAGCAAGGACAGCCTCTTCGGGACCAGCACTTTCGTTAACGGCTGTTTCCTCGACCACAGGCTCCTCAGCAGCAGGCTCCTCTTCGTTGACGACTTCTGGTGCCTGTTCTTCGGCATCGACAGGTGTCTTTTCAGTTACAGCATCGTCAGCTACTGGAGCCTCTTCAACTGGGGCCTCTTCAACTCCGTCGGCCTCCGTAGCTTCGGCTTCAACTGCGGGTTCTTCAACAATCGCATCCTTGCTGACCTCTTCGACGACCTCTTCGGACACAGGCTCTTCAGTAGCAGGCTCTGCCACATCGGTCTCAGCGGCTGCAGGTTCTTCCACAGGCTCCGCGGTGACTTCCTCTGCAACCTGTTCCTCGGTGATAGGAGCTTCGGCTACCGCAACATTGTCCACAGCAGTTTCCTGGGCTGGGGTATGTTCGATAGCAGCCTCTTCAGTTGATTCTTCGACCTTAGCGTCCTCAACTGGTTCGGCTTCGGTTTCCTCGGCTTTGTCGACTGAAGGTTCTTCGGAGACTTCAACAGGTGAGGCTTCGGTAGCATCGGTCTGGGGAACTTCGGTGTCAGCAGCAGCAGCAGCCACTTCCTCCTCCTTAGTTTCCTCCTCGTTAACTTCCGGAGCAATGGGCGTGGCGTCAACCTCCTCAGCTTCAACTGGGGCAGCCTCCTCAGCAATGTCAGCTTCTTCAATTGTGGTCTCCTCTGCAACAGCAACCTCCTCTTCTTTAGGAGCATCGGTAGCAGCTTTGACCTCAGCCTCAGCTGCAGGGCCAACCTCAACATCGTCGACAACATCGCCAGTCTCGTTGGCAACTTCTTTGACGGTTTCAGAAGGCTCAGCAGCAGCGACTGCAGGAGCTTCATCAACTACCTCAGCGGGAGCTACTGAATCGTCTTCTGCGACGGGGGCATCTTCCGTAGATGCTTCCTTAACCTCAGCTTCTTCAGTAACAGCTTCTACAGCAACAGGCACTTCAGTCGCAATTTCCTCCGTCACAGGCTCTTCAGTAGCGGGCTCATCGGCAACAGCTTTCTCGGCAACAGGCTCCTCGGAGACAGCTTCTTCAGCAACAGGCTCCTCAGCAACAGGCTCCTCAGCAACTGGCTCCCCAGCAACTGGCTCCTCAGCAACTTGCTCCTCAGCAACTGGCTCTTCGGCGACAGGCTCTTCGGTGACCGCCGCTACAGCAACGGGCTCTTCAGTTGTAGGTTCTTCAGTAGCAGGCTCTTCAATTGCGGGTTCCTCCGTAGCAATCTTGTCAGCGATGGGCTCCTCAATGACGGGCTCTTCGGTGGCAGCTTCCTCAGGAGCTTCTACAGCAGCAACATCTTCTGTTACAGCCTTAGATTCCTGGCTAACCGCCTCAGTTTCCGTATCGGGTGCATCGGTAGCCTCGACAGCTTCAGTCGCTTCAGTTGTTTCCGTCACAGCTTCGGCAACCGGCTCTTCTGTCTCAGTGGGTGCTTCAACAGCTTCAGGAGCCTCAACAACAGTCTCGGAGACCTTTTCAGATTGAACAGCCTCAGTTTTCTCCTCCTCGACGGCTTCTTCAGTAGAAGCAGCAGGTTCAGCTGTAGGCTCACTGGTTTCAACCTGGTCAACTGTCGTTTCGTCCGCGGTAGGTTGAGTCTCTGCAACATCTGCTGCGACCTCCTCAGTAGCCGTGGCTTCCGTTACTTCAGCTTCAACAGTTTCAGCAGGGCTTGTCTCAGGCTCCTCGATTTGTTCCACAGCGACGGCTTCGGGTTCAGTTGCTTCGACCTCCTCCACAGCCTCTTCAACAGGCTTCTCCTCCACAGCTTCGACCTGTACTTCTTCTTTTTCCTCTACTGGAGCTTCCACCGTCGCTTCCTCAACAGCTTCAGGTGCGGTGGCTACTTCAGCAGCATCTTTGGTGGCCTCAGCAGCCTCTGCAGGAGGCTCTTCCACGGCGGCAGCCTCTTCGACAGCAACGACCTCTTCAACAACAGGTACGGCTGCTACTGGTTCGGCAGCGGCGGTAGTCTCCTCCTCTGCCTTGGCGGGTTCCTCGGTAACCACTTCCGTTGAAAGTTCCTGAGCGTCAGGCTCTTCAGTAGCTTCAACTTCAGCAGTAGGTTCTTCGGAAACAGGCTCCTCCTCGGTCGCAGCCTCAACAGCAACGTCTTGTGTGGACTCCTCAACAACAGGCTCCTCACTAGTTGCGCCTTCGGCAGCAGCCTCACTCTCCTCAACTTCCTCCGCAGCAGCAATTGGCTCGCTGCTCTGCTCGGCGGGCTCCTCCACCTTCTCAATGGGCTCGGACGCCTCCAAGGGTTCCGCAGACTCTGTAACCTGTTCGTCGACAGGCTCGACCTCCTCGGCAACAGCGTCCTTGGTCTCAACTTCTTCTTGTGCGTCGCCTACAGCCTCTTCAGAAGCAGCGGGCTCAGCAGTATCTTTGTTTTGTGACTCTGCAGCCTCAGGCTCGGCAGACTCAGTAGTCTTGGCCACAGCTTCGGTAGCGTCGTCGTTTTGTGTGGGTGTAGGTAGTTCATTATTATCGTTCTTGGAGGGTTCCTCCAAGATATCAGTCGTAGCATTAGTCGTGTCATTATCGGTAGTATCATCTCGTGTAGTCGTATCATGTGTCTGTTGTTCTGCAACATTCTCCTCCTGGGCAGGTACATCTTCGGTAGCAGCAGCAACAGCAGCATCTTCTTCCGGCTTCTCCTCTGATTGAGTTGTAGGCGCCGCCGCTTCTTCGGCCTTTTCAGGTTGCTCCTCCTTGTCAGTCGACTTGTTCTCAGGCTTGGCGTTGTCTGCCTCTGGGATCGCATCTTTCTTGACAGTCGAGGAAGCAGAGCGCTTAGATTTGCTCTTTTTCTTCTTTGAGGATTTCTTTGAGTGGGTGGCCGGAATAGCCTCGGGGCCCGTCTTGCTCGTCACTTCATCCTTGCCAGGAGCTGTGGTATATTCGCCCTGTTCATCGCCGTCTTTGATGGCTGTTAGTACAATGTAGCCTCCGCCTGCGCAGCTCCCATTGATAAACTCACTTAATTGTGCACCCGCCGACTCGTCCGAATCGGCTGGGGGCTCATAGTAGGCAACCTCAGAATATTCCGAAAAGGCAATTGTGTCGGCGTTGATGTTGCTGCGGTGCGGGCAGTAGCTAACGTCTTGTTGTTCAGAGGCCATTGTTTCTGTGTATCTGAGAGCAATGCTTTTGAGATGGAGAGGTGTTGCTAGTGTACAGGGGAGCAACGACGAGCGAAAACGCTAACGTTTTGTGAGAGATATTATGTGAGTTCGTAATAGGTCATGCACGTCCACGAGATTCGTGGAACGGGGGGTATTCGTTAAAGGATTCGTTAAGGAAACAAATGAAAACGCAATGCCAGAGACGCTTTCTCGTTCTGTGCAGCTATGGTTCTCAAAACTTGTATTAAGATGTTAGTTCCAAATACTAACACAGAGACGTAAGAGGAGCGTTTGACAAGGCGATTGGGGTATTAGGAGGGGGGGTGAGGAGGGTTTGGAGTAAGATGCAAGAGAGCAAAAGCAGATTGACAAGATTGGAGCCCAACGACAGCCTCAAATACAATCCTGGATACGCTGCCCAGCGTGCGTCATGCAGTTTGAGGAGGGGTTCGCGGTAAACAAAAGCAAGAGAAGCAAGGGTTACGGATATGTCATGGCAACAGGTTGGAACAAGACCAGGGTCAGATTTTCGCCTCTTCTTTTTTGTTTGGTGCTCTGACTAGGACAGTGTCCTTGTACTCACTGTGTGTACGGCGGGCCATGTTAACTCTACCTGGTAATACTTTGGTGGCCAAGCGTCGTGGACTTGCATGGGTGCGTCTTGGGACCCCTGTGTTCTCGCGTTGGCGGCGGGGTTGGCGCTCGCAGAGACTGTCTGAAAGCTGCTCAAGTGATCAAAGTCGTGCTCGGCCTTCATTGGTTCCAGAGCATCGTCGCTGGATGCCCAAGACAAAGAGAGGCGGGTATGAAAAACTGCTGCAGCAGAATACGACCCCGGACGCGGACGCAAGGGCAGCTGCATTAGCCGTGCTCTATGCAGATGCGCCGTATCTATGGCTGCCCGACGGGCGACAACAGAGGCGGATGGCAGGCCGGCCCGCATAGTTTTAGCGGCATCTGGCTCACAAGCCTGCGCATTATGTGCCGTTGACGGTAGTCTGTCTATAAGCGCATAAGTTTGTGGCGCTGGATGCAGAACAAACTGGAGTCCAAGTGTGCTTTGGGGGCATTATAGTGAATACGCCCATGGTATCAGTGCTCTCTGTTAGTGGAGTCCCAGAGAGTGCTTCGTACCACAAGTATAGTGCTGTATGATTGTGTCTGGCCTCCTCGTTTTCACATTGTCTCGCCATATTTTGCCCGTAATAGCAATAAATAGTAGCCGCCACAGACCACACAAAGACAGCGCCATCTGGGCCTAGCGAAACCTGCGTTTCCCAGAATTGAGCAGATCAGCAAAACCATTGGGCTGCAACCTCTTAAGCCTAGCCTAGCGCCCGCTGCCCTCGGCCCAGTCATGCAGGCAAGGGAAGACCCGGTCCAACGCTATCTCGGTGGATGAGACGCTGCAAGTGAGCCAGCGCCCCCAACCCGAAGCACGCAAACAATGGCAAGTTTTTTTACAGTAGGTTGTCACATCCTGTCGTCACTGTCCCCATTTTCGCTCGCCTAGCATAGCGATGTTTTAGGCGGCGTGGCTGGCGCCTATTGACTTGGTGCCCTCCCTGCATTACGGCTTTCAATTGCACCAGCCCACGCTTTCCGAAATAGGAATTCCCTGCAGACAATGATCTCACGGCCTTAAAACACGGTGGTTGGACTTGGTTCGCAGAAGCACCCGTCTGCCGCCATGTACAGTACGTCACAGTACAACAACAACATCGTCAGGGTGAGTTCAGCATTAATGTCACAGTACACCGTCAAAATAGCGGTCGGAATTCGGTAGTGCAGCGTTGGATGACGGCCGCCCCCAAGTGAATTGGCCCTAATTGCCCAGGGTCCTAGTCAGGGTCCCCCCGGCTTCACAGCGACATGGCTAGATTTGGAGCCACAGCAGCATGGATGGCCAGTAAAGCCATCATTTTGTAGCCTAGCAACGCTCCAATATCGAGACCGAAATCCAGCAAAGTCACTTATCTAGCACGCTTTCCTACCTTGCACTGAACCCATATTCGTCATGTCAGGCAATACGACTCAGGTAATATCCGAGGCCTTCTTCAACGGCTGCGAGGCTTTCGCAGCGGGCTTGGAGCCAAGGCACAGAATATTCTGCGCTACAGGTCGAAGCGACTAACTTGAGCGTCATGTTTCGCCAATGGTACTCTAATAACCCAGTGGCGTTATGTTTCGCTCGCTTCTGGTTGACCGCTCCGGTTTTTGAGTCACGTTGACAAACATTTCACGTAGCATCGTAACCTTTACGGCACAATAAATTTTCACATTTCGTCTACATCTGGAAGTTAATGCTGAATCGTCTCTAGTACTGCATGTCTCTTCTTTTTATGGTATCTCTGCACGCGCCCCAATCATGGACGTCGTCGCGTGCGCTTGCCGGATTCAAGTCCTAGCTGTCTCGCTATCTGCCTTCCTTTTCTCCAATTTATTCAATCAACATGATTTGCTTGGTGTATCCGTCATAGTGTTCTTCGCAATGTTTCTCTTTACCAAATCACTGCCTGGTATAACCGCCATTCTTGACCAGGCTCCTCCTAAACAGCCTTGCCCTGGTTGTCAGTGGCGCTTGGGGCGTAGCTGGCCTGCGCTCTGTTGTGCTTGATAACTTCCTTCACTCTTGCCTCGGCCTCATCCCAGTCGTCCGTCTCCAGCTGAACAAGGTCAATGCCATACATATCAGCAATCTTGCTCAGCGCATCGAAACTCTTCTTGTCGTAGATGAAGCTGATACTGACGCCAACTCGGCCGAATCGTCCAGTTCGTCCGATACGGTGCAGATATGTCTCGGCGTCAGGCTCTTCGTCGTTGCGGCCCTTCATGGGGATATCGTAGTTGATGACCATTGAAACACTGGAAACGTCAATGCCTCGCGCCAAAACGTTGGTGGCGATGAGGACTTTGTTCTCGCCGGTTCGGAACTTAGAAAGAAGGACATCACGCTCGGCTCCCTCCAATGCGGCGTGCAGAGCAGAGACCTTGTGACCGTCTGCAACCATGCGGCGCTGGATCTCGTTCGCGCTCTCACGGGTCTATATCCTTTAGTTAGCATCACTCCGCACTTGCTGATCATCTTCAACCCTTAAACATACCTTGACGAAAATGACGGACTGGCCAATAGTCATCAGACCATAGAGCTTGCACAGGACGTCGTACTTTGTCTTGTCATCAGGGCAGTCGATGAACATTTGCGAGATGCCCTTGACAGTCAACTCGCTGCGCTGGAGCTTGATAGTGTGGGCATTGGGGGCAAACTTTCCGGCGTAGTTGTTAACTTTATCGGGAAACGTGGCGGAGAATAGAAGAGTCTGAATATCCTTAGGCAGCATTCTGTTCGATGCGATCAATTAGCAATTAGCTCACGTCGAGAGCATTTAGCCTTTTGCTCAACTTACCCTTTGACTCGCATGCACTGGTCACCGAGACCCTGTTGATCCAACATGTTGTCTGCTTCGTCGAGAACAAGCACCTTCAAGGTGGAGGAATCAAGCTGTTTGCGTCGAATAATATCCATTACAGTGCCTGGGGTGCCAACAATAATAGCAGACTTGACAGGTTCGTCTCTGGGAAGTGCACCAGGAACGGCTGGGGCTACCTTAAGGTTCTCAATGAATCGGCCGATTGCGTTAATGACGCCTTCGATTTGGCGAGCCAATTCACGACTGGGGGCAAGGGCCAGTGCCTGGGGAACATCGGGTTTCGTGAAGTCGACGCGGGATAAGATGGCAGTAACGAAAGCAGCGGTCTTTCCGGTTCCAGATTGCGACTGAGCCAATATGTTCCTCGGAGGGTCGCTGAGCATGAGTGGCAACGACTTGCCTTGGACCTTCGAAGGCTTCAAGAAGTTGAGAGCCAGGAGACCCTTGAGGATATCCTCGGATCTGACATAGCAATAAATGGTTAGAACTAGGTGAACTTAAATGCACATATCAGCAATTCTACTCACAGGCCAAGGTCCTTCCAGGTTGTGGCAGAGTGGAAAGGCGTAGCTTCGTTGTTCTGCAATTCGCTGAGCGAGACTTCGACATCCCACTCGGGCTCTTGCAGACCAGTCTCGATCGGGGCATCTGCAGGAGCGTCCGCAGCAGTTTCAGGGGCCGCATCTGCGGGCTTGTCCTCGGGTTTTGTGATGCGGCTGGCGAGGTCGGCCATGGTGAAGTTGACCTGGTGAGGTTGCGGTGTGGGTGATGGTTGGTGGGCGTATTTAAATAAAGGCCGAAGCAGGACAAGGGCGACGTGATGTTTTTAAGCAAATGGGGTGTAATTCAGGCCGAGGGACGTAGGAGAAAGGTGGCACGGTCTTGTCAAGCTTTGTGCGCGAAGAAACTGCAGGATGTAGACCTGCTCAAAGGTAGAAAACAAAGACCGGGCAGATTTTGGCGGGGGAGAAGTGCCCCGCCAATTGCCATCCATACCCACCAGGCTGGCGCCTGATCCAAGGCTCTAAGCTTGCTTTTCAGGAGTATCGTAAAATTTATTGTTAAAAGGCTCAAAAGGAAAACTCTACCAAGCCCGCAGCTTCAATCACTATTTTATTAATATTATAAGACTAAACAAGGCGGACAAACACGCAGGCTCTACTGCTGACTAAGTTTTGCTGAGAGGTCTTCGCTAATAGCGACCCGCCGCCTAGTGCATCGCAGTTTCAAGCTACTGTGACCGTCTCGTTAGCAGCATGAAGTCGATCTAACACTCTGTATTTTAATGAAGCTTTTATTGACATATTAGCTCCGAGTCGCCAATCTTCGTCCCAAAATCCATACCAATGGCGGCTCCTCCTCCTCCTCCACCACCACCGCCGCCGCAGGCTTCTAAACCCTTCTCCCTCTACGACAACCTTGTCGACCCAAACGACCCTTCACCTCCAGCAGCCATATCTTCTGCTCCTGTACTCTATAATCAATCAAATTTATCCGATACTGCAGCTCCTACACCGGCGAAGAAGCCTATAGACGCTGCGCTTCGTTTCCAACCTATTCGTCGGCCGCAGACCAAACAAACAAAATCTAAAGCGACATTCCCCAAAGCCAGTCCGAAGGCCACTCCTACATCCACAGCGCAATCAGCAGATCCCAAACTATCGGCGCCGCCAACTACTACAAATCCGCCAGCTTCCCTTCCCAAATCGTCTCTTGCCGACTGGGCTCCAACAGAGGAGGACGAGTGGCGCTATGGAACCGTCGAAAAGCACCAGCGCGGCGGCCGCAAAAAGAGAAATAAGAAGAGAGACCACCAAAATAGCTTTGAAACGGATTGGGACGAAATATACGATCCGTCGCGCGCAACAAACATAGACGAATATATGCGCAGCGACGAAAAAATCGACGAAGTTCGTCAGTGGAAAGCACTGCTCTATAGACACCGTCGCAAATCAGTGCAGAGCGACCTTTCTGACTCTGAAGAGGATCGCAATCACAGACCGCAAAGTATGGGGCCCATATTGATCTCCCAATTGAATTATTACGCTAACCCATCGTTTTATCTAGACCAATTCGCTCCTCCGCCAGCCTATGGCGCTGTGCCGCCACCACCATCGACATCACAACCGCCCCGTCCACCACCATCAACATCTCGAACTCCAATCGTCGACGACGAAACAGGTGACGATGCCTACGCACGTCGCCTCGCCCTATCATCAGCTCACCCTCTTCCATCCCATCCAGAACAAGGTGCCACAACCATATCTGCCGCTCCCGTTCGGTACGAAAACGCTGCTCCCCCTAGCTCACCTAGCCCCCCGCCTGTGCAGCCTTCTGCAAAGTCCACATTCGCCCATCGTGTCATGTCCAAATACGGCTGGAAAGCTGGTACTGGCCTCGGTGCCAATTCGACTGGCATTGTCACTCCTCTTCATGCTCAGGTTGAAAAGCGTCGCAAAAAAGCCGATGCTGACGGAGGAGGTTGGGCTGAACCAGCGGGCAAGGGTAAGATATTGGGTGGACATAGAGCAAAGGAAGAGCATAGTAAATTCGGTCCCATGAGCGATGTTATTGTATTGAAGCATATGCTCGACAACCTGCCCGATCTACAGTCCGAAATATCAGACGGACTAGGTCAAGAGATTGGACAAGAGTGTGGCGAAAAGGTTTGTTTCCCCCAGTTTTCGCATTGTCTTCATCGTAGCACCTGTTAACAAACCTCACAGTATGGTCGCGTGGAGCGTCTTTACATCGATGTGGACAGTCGCCAAGTGTTCATCAAATTCACTTCTTCTGTTTCAGCACTCAGGGTATGTCTCCTCTCTTCGTTGAATGATCACTACTAACGCAACTGGTTAGGCCGTAAACGACCTTGACGGCCGCGTCTTTAACGGCAATACAATATTGCCAGCATTCTATAACGCAGATGCCTTTGAGAGAGGCAGCTATAACTAAGACGACCTTGAGTTGGAAGGATGATCATAGCATATGTACAACTACTACTCTTGGCTAATGATACAGACAAACAAATTCAAGGTTGAGCATATTAGAACGGACGCGTTAAAGTACATTTGATTAATTAGTCCTAACGTATTTGCGGCAAAACACACATGTAGAAGGAGCGGGGCGAAACTCCTCAATCGCCATTGACGAGACCAAAGCTCAGGGACAACATGCCCACCAAATAAGAAACACGAGAAAACTGCAGCATTGCTCCACAGGACATCTAGAGAAGAATCATTTCTACCATCAGAACTTCCCCTGCACGTCAAACAACTTTACAGAAGCTGAAGAGCACCACCCAGGAGCGCCAGGGACATGGCAGCGAAGCTGACCGTGTTCAGGGCACCAGCACTCTTGCCAGTGTTGCCACTGCCACCCTTGCCGTCCTTACCGATGTCGGTACCGTTGCCAGTAGACACGTTGGTAGAGTTGAACTTGCACTGAGAGTTGGCACCCTTGACGTTGAACTTCTTGTACTCGTTGTTGCAGAAAGCGTCGCTGACATCGGCGAAAGAACGGATGTCAGCACTGCCACTAACAGAGGTAAGCTTAGGAAGGTCAACTTCACTGAAGTTGCCACCGAGAACCAGGGAGCCGTAGATGGACTGGAGCTTGGGAAAGCCGGTAATGTTTTGGAAAGCATCGTTGGTAGCAATGGTCAAATCACCGGTGATGTTGGTAATAGCAGGGAAAGAGACGTTCACGAGCTTAGTGTTGTTGGTGAAAGACAAGCTACCAGTGGTCTTGGTGTTCAGACCAACCTCAGTAAGGTTGGGGCCGGCAACGGATTCCATCTGGTTGTTCTTGTCGAAGTAGAGAGACTGGACCTTCTTCAAGACGGGGATCTTGAAAGAAGCGACACCTGAGATTGTGCTGATGCGAGCCTTCTCGAGCTTGGGGAAGGATACGGCCATCTTGTCACCGTTGGAGGCAATTTCCAGGTTCTGGAGGATAGACTGGACATCGGAGGAGTAGCTGGTGAGAAGCTTGTTGTTGGTAAGGTAGAGGCTATCAACCGTGTCGAAAGCGACACCGCTGAGGTCTTTGGCACCGGTGTCGCGAATCTCAACAGTGCTAACGTTGAAGGCGCCGGAGCCAATGCTCAGGGTGCTGAGGGCGCGAATGTTGGCGAGCTTAATGCTCTTGGCGCTCTTGAGGAAACGGAAGTCGATACCGGAAAGCTTGGCGAGGCCAATGAACTGCATGCTGTCGCCAACCTTGGTGAGAGAGCTACTGGAAATCGTCTGGAGAGAAGACGCGTTAAGAACCTTCAAGTTGCCACCAATAGACTCGATCTTCTTAATCTCGAGCTGGCCAGACACAGCAGCGTCAACGATAACATCACCAGAATACTCCTTGCAAGGGATATCTTGGTCAGCAGCAGTGATTTTCAAGTCCTTGCAGTCAGAATCAGCTATTCGAATATTAGTATGACACGGAGTTATGCGTTTTCACCTGGCACGACTAACCAGAAACGATGCTGAGCATGGCCACGAGGGCCGAGACGATCTTTGCGGAGTGCATTTTCAACTAGACTCGGAGAATTAGCATGCAATTGAACCAAGTGCATGAGAAGTTGTGGAGGGGCGTGGTGAAAAGGTAGGCAGGGTTTCTAACTCTCGACGAAGCAAGACAACAGAGAATAGGGTTCAGTGGTTATAACAATACCACGACCAGGCTAGGTTAATATGTCAGGCTGAACGGTGATTGTAAGATACGGTCTGATGCTATTGTGTCGTGTGTGTCTCTATGATGATGTCGCCAGGAACGTTGTCGCGCCAGTGTATCGCTGTCTGATTGTATAAAACTCGGAGAGTATGGTTCGGATAAGAAATATGGTGTATGGAGTTCCTTCTTGCGATCGGTAGAGGAAGGAACGATGGCGCAGATAGTTGACGAAAGGTTGGACGAACGACGATAGAGGTTCAGGCAAGACAACCGAATCAAGATGACGGAAGAGAGCACGAGAGCGAGAGGGGAATCCAAGACTTGAAAAAGGTCGGGAAAAGAACGGAGGAGGGCAGAATAGAGTGGAATGGGCTGGGTAAAATTGGCTGGAATGCAACTGATTGCTAGTGTTGGGGTAGCAACCTCGGAACGACGATGCGCGACCAGAGGGAGAGCAGCGTGTTCTAGAGGCGAAGCGTGGCGTACCTTGCAGGTTTCCCCTTTTTTTAGGCTTTACGTTCCTAAGGGAGAGAAAGAAGGAGCTGCTGGGAGCGGAGAATTGAAGAAAGTAAGTTAACGGTAATGGCAACGGCCAAACGAGAGTCGGGAAGAGAGTATCGAAAGGAAAAGAAAAAAGCGCGAAGAAACAGACTGTAAAGTCGAAGTTGGATGACAGAGGAGAGAAGAAGAGGAAGAAAGAGAGCGAGGAAGAGGCGAGTGAAAAGATGCAGCGCGCCGGCAAAGCAAGGCAAAGCACACTCCCAGGGGGAGCACAGGCACCATTGACGCAACTAGCAGCTTTTTTGGGGGGGCCGGCCCCCCCAGCAAACCTGGAAAAAACAACACAGTGCCGCTGGGTGGAGCAGATGTGGAGGCCAATGCAAAGTCTACGGCAAGGGCCCAAGCTGGTTTAGCGCCCCGATCTGCCCGTGGGTACCACAGTACGGCGTCTTTACAGCAGACCTCATACAGTGCGAGAATACGCAACCAAGACAATTGTTGCACACTGTGCATTTGTGATCCATGACAACAGCCGATCTTGGTTTTTCTGGCGGCCATAGGCTAATTGGGATGTTCTATAGATAAGGGCATGTCTGTAGAGCAAATATCCCACAGACAATTGGAATCTATCTCGTTTGTTTGTTTTAATAGTATTGGAAAAGGGATCAAAAGCCCTTTGTTGAAAGTACCAGATATTGGTCAATAAAGGGCACCCTTGGCCATGTGGACAGCACAGAAGAAAGATTGGCGCTGATGAAACACATGCGCGACAACAGTTTGCTTTGACCGTCCCAGCACCTACAGTGCAGTATCCATGCACCGCTGGCATTGTTTCTGGGCCAGTGGCGACAAGCATCCCAAACCCCGATACAGTCAGGCGAGGCCGCACAGGCCGCATACAAATCGCGATGGTTTTGCAAAAGCGCCGCCCACGGAACTAGAGCTGAGACACTGGTAGACTCGGGAAGAAAAAGAAAACTCTTTGCGTTAGCTTCCATTTGATACGGCAGTGGTGGTGAGGAATGGCACCATGGAAAAATAGTTAGGGCCACATAGTGGCGCAGCGCAGGCCACTACGGTAACTGAGTAGCAAAGCGTCCTCCTAGGCATGGATGGGCACACGCAGGACCACTGAAAACTGTAGTGTAGCGTCTGGCACTGGCAATCCTCTGTACCGCACTGCACATGCTAACCACCGCCGATACGAGGTTTGTTGGAGGGCAAGATGCTCGGCCAACAGCCTGTGGCTTGCAGACGCCGAGAGCCTCTTTTTCTTTGTGCAGTACTGATCAGACCAGACATCAACAGTGAAGCAGTCAACACATGTGCCGGCTAAAAAAGCTAGGTTGTCATGACCAACAGGAAGGAAAACAACAGGTAGCTCCGGGCCAGCATGCTAGGCACAAGACTAAGAAAAAGCGCGCCTCCCAAGCGTCGTTTTCTTCTTTTGCCTATTCCGACACCAGGCCTGTTGCCACTGGTACCTGGACGGTTCGTGTTCCAAGACTTTGCCGCTCATCCACAAACCGGCTACATTGATGCCGGTTTTGCCACACGAGCCCATGGCGAAGCGCCAAGTAACTTTGTACTGTACAGGTGGACAGAGTCCGAACTACTGTGACATTAGGCGACCAAAGGACGAAGAATAGACGATTGCACGGCAAATCTCACAAGCGACTTGGTACAGTACCTGTACGTCCTCATCCTGCCCATGAGAATTATTGGGCCCCAATAGTCCTACTGGTACCCTTTCCCGCGCTGGCGCCGGAGCTAGACAGGGGATCCCCCAGGGGCGATATTAATATGGGCAATTTCGGTCCCAGCATTCCCACCATCACCGTAGACGCATGGGCTAATTAAAACTGAATTTCCTTTTTGCTACCATCTGACTCTGAGTGAATCTGGTGGCCAAAAAGATCATCCCGGAAATAAAATACGGTGTCCAGGGTGCTAAACGGTAATCAAACCAGACACGCCTGGTGAGCGACCTGGTTCCTAGAGACTTCGCTTTTCGCTCGCAGTTGACAATAGGGGAATGCTCTGGTCTCGATTCTGTCTAGAGCAAAAGAAAAAATCGAGATGCAGGAACCGCCGTCGTGGCTGCAGCGCCACCGTTACTGGTGTCGTATAAGCCATGTCCCAGCCGGATATCACGGCCGGGTTAAAAACGCCGCTCGTACAACGCGTCGCTGCCTCTACACAGTGGTAGTTGAATCTGCTCAAACCCGTAACAAGAAAAAAAATATAGCGATAATCGACTGACTGGATGACATAATGACTGAATTCTATTAGAACCTATCAAGGGTTTCATAGAAAGCCCCGGCTGCGTAACGAGTCGTACGTTCGGTGAGTCTGGACCATCGCACCTAGGCCAGAAAGCGACAGCCAACATACAACCTAGGGTTCTCGAAAACTCAACAGAGAATCCGAGACGAATTTTATCATACTTCATCACCATCGTCATCACTCATCGTGTGCATTTCTATTTCAGGTTGCGATAGAGAGGTTACATTGGCTAACTCGGCAAGTGACCATGCTTGTGTGCGTTCTCATTATTAATGTTTTGTCCACCCGTACAGGTAGCTCGGTTTCGATGAATACTGAGACCTTTTTACACGATTCGGACGAAACTTGTATCACTGGCACAGTGCAAAGATAACCTTGGATAACGCCAACTTCAGAGTGTAGATGCTCTACTTTTCCATAGTGCTTATGTCTGTTTCCTCGACGCGCCACATGTACCACATGAACAAGGTACGGTATGGTTTAAATCGATCTGAGATCTCCACCATCTCTTGCTCAGACATATACTTCCATTTGCCTCCTTTTCCCTTTAGCTTAGCGACGTCTCTGCCCATAAAAGCGGCCATGCCGCGCTGCACGCCAAGGTCGCCAGTCGAGAAGACGTCCATGCGCTTGAGCGCAAAGCAAGCAAACATCTCTACAGACCACTTGCCTAATCCTCTAACGGCAATGAGCTTCTCCAAGACTTCTTCGTAGTCAGCATCTTGCAGCATCTGCGCCGTCAATTCGCCACTAACAAACTTCTCTGCAAGACCTTGGATATATTCAGCCTTTCGCTGCGAGAGTCCTGCAGTGCGTAACGTCTCGACTGACATGGGCACTACCTCGGATGGATGCGGAAATCTTTCACCTTCGTTGTTAAAGAGAGCGATAAACTTGGCCTTGATAGACTTGGCCGCTGCTCCAGACACCTGTTGTGAAATGATACCACTGCATAGGCTGTCAAATGGGTCAATCTTTTCTGCTAGCCCTTCTGGCGAAAAGACCCGACACGTATGTTTTGCAATGAGCGGCCGCATCCGTTCATCGACCTTGATCAGATAATCGCAAGCCTCCTGTAGCAAAGTCTGTGTCGTAGTGGTCGATTGGGGCTCTTGTGCTTTTCCCTTTCCAGCAGACTTCTTAGATAGATTTATAGGCGGTAGTGGCTTGACATTGCGAGAAACAATTCGTGAAGTCTCAGGCGATACCAACATTGCATTTGTGTATCGAGGATCAGCTAGTCGCGCAACGGCAGGGTTGGCAGCCACAGGTGCTGCCTCTGAGGCTACGTTCGCAGCGCCTGTTGTCAATTTCTTCTCATCAGGAGTGTGTGCAACGGTAGCCTTAGATTTCTTCTTTGTCGGTGTCGTGGGCACCCCATTCGTGACAGCGGGCGCGTCTACAGCTTTGCGCTTACGAGCGGGCGCTGGTTTTGTAGAAGACGGGGCCGGCGCAGCAGCTTGCTCTGTCTGTGCACCAGCACTAAGTCTTGATGATCTCCTTGTGGACATTTCGGAAGCAGTCGAGGTGGAAGGGCTGTCGGTAGTGGCAACACGCGGTCGGGTCGCAAAGCCGGGGAGGTACTGGGAGAGTGACTGCGCTAGACGCCTCATGCGGTCAATGGATCGCTTGCGCTGTGGGTTGAGTTATTGATCTAGTCAATTGACGAATTTCAGGTCCGGTTGTTTATTCTGGCCTGTTGTTGATGTGTATCTGGCTCGTTTGGGTTCGTCTTTGGGATCAGCAAGTTAAAGAGGTGGTCTAGCGCGAGCGTGAAGTCTCCTAGAGCTCCTACACCTAACACTTCACGCTAAGCGATTTGCGCCATCATATTACAACTTTGGCTTCCTCGGGAAATTTGGTAGAAGTTATCCTCTTGTGCTACACGCTCAACCCCCTCGTCAAATTATTTTGATTATTGGCATTAGTTTCTCGTCGACTATGTTGTGGCAGTGTACTTGTCAGGTTCTTGCTCTACATGACAACTTGAACTATTAAGTACGTGCTTTCTTAAGGATTGTCTATTCTAGGGAGCGATAGATAAATGAAGCGATACTGCCAGAGCTAGAAAACTAAAATAACCAATTTTATTACGTCTTTGACCATTTATAACCATAATGCCCTTCTGTTTATGGACTACCCTGGACGCCAAAACACGCAATATGGCGCATTTTGGGCTTGTTGGTGACGGCAAGGCTTGAATTAAAGGGAAAAAAATCGCTTCAAAAGTAAGTTCTCTGATTCTATAGCACCCTACTTGCTCATATCTACCCTATTAAAGATTTCCATGTAATATCCGGAGGCTGTAAAAAGTCCTCACTGCGCTACGCTTGGTAGCGTCGCAATCTGACCCTTTTTAGTGATCCTCCCGCTGTCCTTTTTCTCGATCCGGCGCCCTACTGGCTGAACCTGGCAGCTAAGCAAGCCTAGCGGGCTCTCGCCCTCCTCGTTTCCTGCGTATTTCCTTCTGCACAGCCTGATTCCTCAATTAAGCACTTAATTCCCTCGTTTCAATCGGAAAATTCTCTGCTGCCCCCCTTGCTGAGACTTTCCGACGTTGAGCCTTGCCGCCCATTGTTATCTGCACACTACTACCTCCAGCCGCTATTTTGGCTCTCCTTTAAGCATTTTTTTTTGGGACCCCCGCCCCCCTAGGCCCGGATTGCGCGACGTCTTCCCCGTTTTCCGCCAGGTTGCAACAACGCAAACCCCTTTGCGATCAGGCCAACACCTTCGTTCACGACAACACGCTCGCTTAGATTCTGTTTTTTTGTTCGCAAAAATAGGCAATTTGTCATCGCCTATCGCCTGAAACGACCTTATACACGTTAATTCCTCACATTCTTTCAGGCCTCTTCCCGTTTGACGTCCGCGACGTCACTCGCCAACTATGCTCCTTTCACCAAAGGGTGGCCTCAACTGGAAGGCTACCAGAGCCCAGGTGCCTCCTTACAGAGCTGTCGTTAACTTTGTAACAAGAAAACGATTTCTCGTTTTCGTTGCCCTCGCTGGCGCCGTTCTCCTGCTATGGCGTGGCCTATCCTCCTCCGCTGCAGAGATGAAAAAGTATGGACGGCTGATGCTGAGAATACCTGGTACTGTTGTGCTAACCTAATTTTCAGCTTCTACTGCTATGGTCCTAGCAAATCGCCAATGGACATGTCGCGAAACGAATGGGATCGATGGCAGGCCCATATGCAATCGCCTGTTATGTACAACTACCACGCACCGGTCGAGCTTAATGCGACTACTATCCAAGAGATCGATCTGAATAAAGTATCGTCCACGACAAAGGCTGTTCAGAACGAAGAGCGTATCCTTATTCTCACGCCGCTTAAAGATGCTTCCCGATACATGCGCGACTACTTTGATCTCCTGACGGCTCTTACGTACCCGCACCACCTCATTGACTTGGCTTTCCTCATTTCGGATTCCAAGGATGACACGCATGCCACTCTCGCTAGCGAGCTCGACCGTATTCAAAGCCGTTCCGATAACACCCCTTTCAACAGCGCCACCATCATCCACAAGGACTTCCATTATACACTGAGCCAAAATGTCGAAGAGAGACACGGCTACGCGGCACAAGCTCCCCGACGCAAGGCAATGGCTAGAGCCAGAAATTACCTCCTTGCTAGTGCCCTCAAGCCCGAACACTCCTGGGTTTACTGGCGTGATGTCGACATCGAAGAAAGTCCGGCCGAAATCCTTGAAGACATGATTTCGCACGACAGGGACATTATCGTTCCAAGTAAGTTTCGGAGTATTGTGACTTACTATTAAAATGCTAACGGAAACCTCAGACATCTGGTTCCATCGCTATGACGACAAGGGTAAAGATATTGAAGGCCGATGTAAGATTTGCAACAACCGATCGAAATACATCGAAACCAACTAACTGTTTATAGTTGACTACAACTCTTGGGTCGACAGTGACAAGGCACGAAAACTCGCAAAGTCCTTGCCTATGGACACTGTCATTGTCGAAGGCTACAAAGAATTCGACACCGGACGAGAGTACATGTGCAGATTGGGTGACCGTGCTGCCAACAAGCACGAAGAAATGGAGCTTGATGGAATTGGCGGTGTCAGCGTTCTTGTGAAGGCTGATGTGCATCGATCTGGTATGATTTGACCTGTATCTCGTTTCTTCCCCTGTGCTAATGACTTGCAGGTATCAACTTTCCCGCTTACGCCTTCGAGAACCAAGCCGAAACCGAAGGATTTGCCAAGATGGCGAAACGTGCTGGCTTTGAAGTCATCGGTCTTCCTAACTACGTCGTATGGCATGTTGATACCGATGAAAAGGGTGGCAACGTATAAAACGTTCCTTGACCTCTCGTCTTTCTCGAAGCGTACGGCGACCGATGACTTGCATAGTCGTCCGCTCCGCTTCATCCTTCCTTCTTTCATCGCACATTACATTTAGGCGCTTTGAATACGTCGACATCAAGACTAATGACACTGCAATCATCAGATTTGCAAACCTTTGACTTTTTACATGATTACTAGAACATCAGCCGGACTCGACAGGCGTCTGTCTACGTGGCCAGGTTACTATGCAACTGGGTCGTTTTGCTCCAATTCATACACCCCGCGAGCGATTTGATGATACCGGTTGCACCAGTACTCGTCAATGTCTTTCTATTTGGCATTTTTAATCTCTTATAACGGCCGAGCTGCGTATTGCCAGAACTTGGGTAGTGGCTGGCCTGCGGAACAACGACAGCGCTCAAAGATGTTGGAAGTAACACCTTGTTTGTTTTGTTATTTTTAGTCCCCGGATAAGCTGCTCTTAGGGGAGAGCGTAGGAGTTGTTATTGGAAGTAAAGCTATTTCTTGTATCCAAAAAATACATCCTTCAGAATAATCGTTTTCGTTTCTATACGTTATTGTGCAAGCGTTTATGTGGGTTTAAAGAAAACAGCAGATTATAAGTGCTGCAGAAATTATTCATTTAGATGACACCCTCAATTCCATGCCTTGAAATAAAAATCAATAAAAGCGGTAGCGCTGTTGTTGTAATAAGATTATAGTTGGTCGCCGGCCTCGCTGTTAGCCATCACATGATCGCTGGCAAAATTTCGGAGCTTGTTTACAGGGCCTCGTGGTGGTGGCGTGTCGCATGCGTAGCCACCGCTCAGGTGCCGTCATCCACGTCAACTCCCTCATTTACAATCACTCTTGGCCGTTATTCACCAGGCTGCAACATTTCTTACTCGATGACACTGCTCTCTTATTAGGGCATAATTCTTGACCTTTTATATACGTCCATCGACGAAGCTATCAGCAACCAAATTTTAGCTTGCCCTCCAGTCAACGGCCGAACGCTGGTCTACCCCACCATCGCCGTCCACCTCCGACATCCAAAAGCCAAGGCAACCAAGCCCTTGACGTTGAGACAACTCATCAGTAGCACTGCTCCTGAATACATAATCACAGAACACTAGCTGTACAAAGTCCAAAATGTGGAGCTGGTTTGGCGGCAGCAACGTCCAGAGCCGCAAGGATGCACCCAAGAATGCTATCCTAGACCTGCGATCGCAGCTGGAGATGCTGCAGAAGCGCCAGCGCCATCTACAAAACCAGATCGATGAGCAGGATGCTGCGGCACGCAAGCATGTCGGTGCCTCGAATATGAATGGTAAGTCCCCGCATGTAACATCCACGCGAACGTGTGAACTGCCATACTAACGCTCCGTTTGCAACATAGCTGCCAAAGCCGCTCTCCGAAGAAAGAAGACACACGAGCACTCCCTCCAACAGACTGAAGACCAAATCGGCACGTTAGACCAACAAATCAATGCTATCGAGTCAGCAAACATCAACTTCTCTACCCTTGCTGCCATGGAGAAGGCCAGCAAGGCTATGCAGCAGATTCACGGCAAATTGACACCCGAGAAGGTCGACGAAACAATGTATGTCGCTTATGAGGCAACAAACCTTTCGACAGTGAGACTAATATATGTGACTCTACAGGGACAAACTGCGCGACCAGAACGCTCTCTCCGAAGAAATCGTCAACGCTATTACTCAGAATCCTCTTGGCAACCAGGTCGACGATACCGAGCTCGAGGACGAGCTTGAGCAAATGCAGCAGGAGTTTGTTGATGAGCAGATGCTCAAGACAGGCGGCGTGCCGGTTGCTGATGCCGTACACCAGATGCCTACGCCGTCAAACGCTGAACGTAAGTGGCAACCAAGTTTTACTGCTTTACCCAGTACATACTAATTGCAAGGTGCAGCTGTATCGAACCGACAAGCGATCGAAGAGGACGACGAAGATGCAGAGATTAGAAGACTGCAGGCTGAAATGGCAATGTAAACCAGGGGAAGTACACTTTGATATTTGGTCCTTTCCGTGTTTATTGGTATGATATCCGTAGGAAGAAGACATTTTACAGTTCACACCATTATTTGTGGTTCCTATATTTCACGTTGAGCATCTTTACGTTTACTATACTTTTCTTAATGCATATATTGTCTGATCATATCTATGTAGTATCATTTGCTCCGCATTTTGTGAGCCTCTTATCGGCTGTAAAATACAGTAATACAATTCAGACAAACGCACAATCAACAAAAATAAACAACATAGCTATACCGCTAGCTAATGCCCTGCCGACAGCCTGCACGGTTCGGCCAAATATATCCCTAAAATTGCAAAACAATAGAGAAGGCAAAGGGAACACCCACTGCCAAGGAGGGCAACATTTGTAAAAGCAGAAAACCCCATAAAGGAAAACAATAGCAAATTGGAAAGAACTCCCATGCATTACCCCTTATTCTCACTCCTCAGTTCATTTTCGTGTGGCATGTGTTAGAGTCGATTCAAAGGCCAGCAAAAGTACGTCTTGCGCCTTAGTCTGAATCAGCATCTTCTGGCTGTGTAGCAGCCTTGCCCTTGCTTTTGCGTCTGGGCTTCTTCGTGGGAGTCGACGGTGCCTTTTCAGATGGTCGTTGAGGGCGGCGACCACCAGGACGCTTGCCCATCGATGTTCGCTTAGCTGGAGTGGCAGCTAGAGCAGTTGCCTCTTCGCTTTCGTCTTCCAGAGCAGGGTCGATCTCCATGGCTGTGGTCTCTGGAACTTCGTCCTTCTCCTCATCTGAGTCTGCTACCTTTTCATCGCTAACGGGTCGAGCAGAAGGACGCACTGAAGATCCCACGTATGCCACCTTCTTGATGAGCTCGTTCTCATCATCATCATCCCACGATGTCCCGACGACATTGGGGAATCGGTGGTTCTCGTTGTAATAATTTCTCAAATAGGACGCGCAGTCACGAGTTGTCTGCTTCCTCCCATCCGTGAAGGGCACGCTCTCTCTGAGCCGTTCCCAGAGAAGGGCCAAAGTTGGGCGATGCCATTTCGAACGGAAGTCTGCGTCGACAAGACGCCCCCAAGGGATCTTGTCGTCACTAGTTACTAGGGTCCCATCAAGGGCGAGTATGAAACGGAACTTCTCCTCATCAGGCATATTCTCAATCTGGCGGCGCGCACTTTCCAGCCGGAAGCTGATGGTAGCATCTGGCTCTGCTGAAACAACCACGTCCGAGGGGTGCGTTCGGAGATGCATTGACTTCCATTTGGTGAGGCATTGAAGTCGGCTGCGTCTCAAACCCATGTGGGCCGAGATCTCTTTCCAGTCGATCAACTCCTCATAAGTCTTGTTACGCCCGAATGATGGGTCCATGCTCCGACAGGCATCAATTGTCTTTTGTGAGGCAATGATGTGTTTTGTCAACTCCGCTTCCTCTTCCTCTGTCCACGCCTGCCTGATCTGATTGTTACCGCAGATCAAGTAGTTACGATAACGGTCTCGGAGGTCTTCAGGGTGTCGATTGACGAGGCTACCGATCAATGACCACTTGGTTCCATGCGTGTTGATGAGCTCACCCAGCTCCATATCTTGCTCTTCTGTCCATGTTCCGCGAGCGACGAAATTGTGGTATCGCTTGCGGGTAATATTGATAATCTTTTGTCGGTGGCGTCCTGGGATAGCTTCAATAACTCTAGCCCACATCGCCTTGTGTTGTTCACCGGCGGACGCACCTCCAGGTGCATGGATCATCTACGCGAGCTTTATGTTAGTGACAGCTGAAATAACATTTTCGTGAATATACGTACAGCGTTTAACTGCTGCTGATCAACATCAATAGACAGTCTGTAAGATTCGAGAGCACGTGCAAGTTGCGCGTACTCAGCTTCGCTAAACTTCCCTTGCTTCCATTTGGTGGTAGTTGCGACAGTCTCGTCGACATCCGAGCCATCACGATATCCCCATTGTGGCTCATTGTCCTCGCCATCGACCGACTCCTGGCGCTTTTGTCGCTGCCTTGCTGGGGCACGCTTTCGAGAAGCAGGCTGGGCCCGACGACGCTTCGGAGTTATGGCAGACGGCGATGGCAGATCGTTTTCTACTTCAGCATCCTCGCCTTCCCCGTTTCCATCTTCCGTGTATGCAGGCCGGGCTTTCTTGCGAGTCGATCGTCTCGAAGTAGTTGCGGCGTCGGCTTGGGTTTCTTCTGTTTGATTTTCGTCGGCTTGGCTCTCCTCTACTTCTTTCTCTGGTGACGCAAGGCGCTCGGCAGCAAGAGCGCTCCGGGCGATAGCTTGCTGTTGATTGAGCTGCTCGTCCGCCTCATCAGGACTTGCGCGTAGTGGGGGCAGCTCGTATTCCTCTGGCTCAGTTTGCTCAGGAGCACTGGTTTCTTTTGAGGTGCGGGAGCGACTGTTCGATGCTTGTGCTGAAGATTCGGGAGTAGTGTTGGAAGCAGATCCGTCGATTGCTTTTCTCTTTTTGCGGACCGCCTCCTCCGGAGACTCGACACTCTTGCGCTTCTTTTTAGAGGAGTCATTCTGTTTCTTGCCATTCGGTTGGGTAGCTTCAGTGATGTCTGCAAGCGCCTTGAACCTGGCGCGCCCGTCGGCCGAGGAGATTTGGCGTTCTACTTTGACCCGTCGTGAGGGAGACACAGTCTCTACCATAGGTACATCCTCATTCTGCTCCGCGGTACGCTCTGCTGCGCCATTCACTTGGCTGCTTGTGAAGACGGGCACGGTACCCCAATCATCTTCAATTTCGGGTTGCGGCGAGCGTCGGCTTTGTTCTGCCCATGCTTCCTTCTTCTTTTCGTTACTGGCTTTCCAATCGTTTTCCATGTTTTCGTACTCTTGGCTGTATGAGGATATATTCTTCTTCCAGGTCTTGAGCATTTTCGTGTCTGAGGTGCCCCTCTATCGCTAGATTATACGCTATTGTCCTGGTTGACCTTTGGACTACAATGGAGAGCTGGGAAGGCCGAGCCCGCGTCGCAAACGCGTTGGAGTCGTGTAAAGAAAGAGCGCGCGAGATGCTTGTGAAGCTGAAGGAGCGGACGGCGTAAACGGAAAAGAAAATGGAAAGAAAAATAGCGTTGCTTGTTTCGCCCTTGACGACAGCGAAAGCTAGTCACAGTAACCAGTGGGTTCGTCGTCGTTGACCGGGTACAGGGTGGCTGGGAATTTCGCGTTGGCATTTTGGGCAGGGGGTGATGAACGTAGGATCGCATGTGTGCCTGGGCGCTCAGGCACCAAAGCCTGATACTCTGCCTCCCTTCGCCCTGCTGTGGTGGTACAGCGCTAAGTTACAGCGGTTGAATTCGCAATTTCACCACTAGAAATATCCACAGCCAGTAGATTTGAATCGTATCAAAGGGGACGACAGGAATGCGGCCCTGGGATCCATTAAGACACAATGCAGCTTCTAATTGCAACACAAAGGCGCAAGCTTGAATCAGGGAAGTGCCAAAGGAGGCAAGTGATGAAGTCAAAAAAACATAAAAAAAACATATTGGTTACAAAATACGCCCTTCATATATCTTACACGCAAGGGAGACCTACTCTTCTACTCGTCGTCCTTGCTTTCGCCTTCTTTGAATCGCACCGTTAGTGCTTGGCCACCACTAGCCTGGATCTGATACTCTCCACCCAACACTAAATCTTTGGCCACCAATTCCCTTGTTCTGCCAAGGCTTTCAATATCGGCAATTCTTTGAATTGTTCGCTCCAGGTGTTTAGCAAACTTGGGGTCGCTGCATATCTCTCTGAATGCTCGGTGCATCGGCACGCTGCTCGCACGTACGTCTGCTTCGCTCGTGATGCTAAAGAGGTTAAGGCTGTCCAGAGGTCGCATAAAATCACAGCGGGTCATGATTTCCTGCGCAATATGGAAGGGGAATGTGGGTAAGACATGGCCGATGACCGGATCGTAGGTCTTATCCATCTCCTTTTCCTTTTCCACTAATGCTTGGGCCAAGACCATGGCGGCAGCCTGGGCAAAGTTAGATATAGGTTGTGAATTGAGGGGTCGAAGCAGAAACTTACTGCCCATTTCTGTTGGTCCATGACATCGTCATCCATTTCAGAACCGAGGATCCAGCACTGGTTTAAAAACCACTTCTTCTCCACCTCTTTGATCTGCTCACAAGTGGCTATCATGTCTGGACTTCTGGCTACGCGATTCAAGAAATTGAGCCGCCCGCCAACTCGCTCATATACTTCTTCTAGCTGGGATGGGTTCAAGCGCTCGCCAAAGTAGCGCAGTCTATACGACTGTAAGGCACTGATTGCCTGAGCTTTGCCTAGGTCTGTAATGGGCAAGACCTCCATACGCGTAGCAAGCTGTTTGAGGCGCTCGTATACCCAGTAGTCATCCGAGTTGAATACCATGGTCACTAAGTTGGTTGCCGCCCATTGCTCTGCTCGCTGCTGTAGAAGCTCGATGAGATCGCGCCCATCCTCATCATCACGCAACAGATGCATCTGGTTCACAATAACAACCAAAGGCTTGTTTCTCTTCTTAAAGAGGCGCATCGCGACTTTTTCTAATTTGTTCAGCGCTCTTTCAATATCCAACAGAGCAGTAGACTCTCTGGGGCCTCGTTCACTGAAGTAGCCACCGATATAGTCTTCATGGTATTCGTAGTTGAGGGCCTTGCCAAGTCGGATGCGCACGATTTCGAGGTCGGAGTGCGCTTCAAACATGGCAATACCATCGGCATCAATCTTGCGCATTGCGTCAAGAAGCATGCTGCTCTTTCCGGTACCCTTCTCGCCAATCATTAGATAATAGTGACCGACGAGCTTCCCGCTTACAATCGCGTCAACGAGCTCTTGTTCAGGACGGTGAACCCAGTGCTCCTCTGAGTTGCCACGGGCATGGGGTACTTCTCTTCCAACAGCGGCCAGGTCCAAGACAGGGTCTCCAGGCTGGAAGGCCGTAGTCATCTTGTGCATGACAAGCCCTTTGTAGCTTTTATGATACAGGTAGCCGGCAGCAGCAAAACCGACGCCGAGGACAACGATTGAAGCAAACGTGGTTGCAGCCGATTCACCCATTTTCGATAGTAGCGATGGCTCATTGCTATTTTGCTTGCCTGCATCATCAGCTCTCTGCGAGCTACTCTGTTGCTCTATTTGGTGGCAGAACTCAGTGACATGCATTTCGATGAGTCGTACGACAGCGTCCCATGTTGGACTGCTGTCCGCGAAGCCGGCTCATTAGATTTGGGGCTCATACCTTGATTTTTGCATCCCTGTGCAGAAAAACAGCGTCTTGATTCAATAATTCGACGACATGGCGTGGTTGTCTGCGGCCAAAGCCGGCGAATCGTGGCTCGAGGAACGCTCATAATGAACAGCGACTGTACGCGACCATGCCCCTATAGCTCCCTTCTGTGTTACTATTGAGGCTCAATTCATATGGTGTAAGGCGTAAGTCTTCTAATTGAGTTGCGCGGGTGATTGTTGGGAGAGAAGGTAAAGAAAGGCAAATTGACCCTTGCTTGGAGATCTGCAGTTTGAAGACGCGAGGCCAAGTGGGCGGCCTCCAGTCGCCAAGGTGCTCCGACAAGTCCACCGAGTTTTAAATAACGCGACGCCACGATACAAAATGACTATTTTAATGCGAATTTTAAAAAGAGACACAATGTTTGAATTCAACGAAAAACTGTGTCGATTATGGGCTTTTACAGGCGTTGGAGATTGAGATGGTCTTGGTGAGAAGAACCTCACTTCCGCTTCACCATGGTACGACGCTCTGGTTAGATTTCTATCCGGTGCTCATAACTTTTGCAAACTTAATCTCGCAATCAAATCTCATCTGCAAGACGTAATGAATCAAAAATCTCCTTCGACGCTAGAATTACACTGGTGGTGGCTCACACGAGGCCAGCCAACTTTGCGTGAGCTTCTGAATAAGAATGTACGAGATTGCGAGTCTTCATCTGCAATTTCCACAAAGCAAATACAGAATATTCTTGATGAATTTGCCTGCAGCTCCGACGTGCGAGATGATCTTCTAGATACACTGCCCGCCATTCGTGAGCGATTTGACTACCCGGATATGTCAACACCATCCGTGAACCTCTCGACTGTCCGCTGCCAAATCTTCCGAAGAGAAGCTCTAGGGGCCATTCAATATAACAGAGTTCCCGAGGGACTGTTTTTGATTGATAAAGTTGAGGAATATCGTGAACAGATGGTTAAATCGGCGCTGGATAATCTTCAGGAGGATGCCTCACTTGCTCCAAGGCTGGCTGTTTTTGAAGAGCTCAACAATGCTTCTCGATTGCATTATCTTCAATGCTATATTGCCTTTAGAATACATGTTGGTTATTGTATACCTTTTTTATATTTGCTCTAATATGAAATAGGACCTTCTTCAACACCTTGACCCGAGCCAGGGACCACAGGCACAAGAACTCGACATACTCTCTCGTTTGTACACTTTCTTCCCGGCAGAAATAATTGATGATGAAGACAAAGAAGCTCAAAGAAGATGCTCAAAGGCCACGAAGAGCACCATTCAATTTAATGTCTATGAGCATTTGGTCTGTGGGAAGCTTGGCAGTGTCGATGCATTTAGTCTTCTTCGCAGCACTCTGCTTAGCTGGTGTTTTCTGCAAGATTATAATCAAACCTGTCAGATTTTCGACAAATATGCTGAGGAGCTCAGAAAACTGGAGGAAATGTGTTTCGAGATTCAGCCCTTCTGTTCAGAATTTATTGGCCAGACTCTTTACCCGAACTCTCTGGCCTACCCACTGGAGCATTCCCCCGATCAATCATCAACCTCGTTTTCATTCACGTCGCCAAGTCCCCCAGAGAAAATACTATCAGCAGTGGAAGATTATCCTATGTTATGCTCGACAATTACAAAAACACCATCACTAGAACCTGTTATTCCCCACCCTCTACTGCGTGGTATGCCTGGGCGTGAGATTTCAGCTTCAAAGACAGACGGTGCTGCATTTGCTGGTGACTTGGATGCGCCACCTATTCTCATTTATCCAAATGATTTATCTGCAACAGAGTACGAGAGCCACCCGTTGTTTGTCTCTCTCAACATGACAATCAGAGAGGGCGCGCAACTCGGCCTTCTAATCCCGAAGCAAATCGCAAGCCGTTCGTTCTAGTATAGCTTCGACAGCGATGATGAATCTGATGCCCCTACAAATTTGGAGAATACGACCTCTCATAGAATCGGCAATAAATTGAGGAGAGTCAGAAAGGGAACCGCTTCAAAGGTTGATATCCCCCCAGTCCCTCCATTGCCATCAATCCCCGAGTCGCTGAGATCCAACATTACACCTAAAATCTTGGACAAAGTTGTGAGGCGTATGAGGTCTAAATCAGATATAAATTCTGATAATCCCGAGGTAGTTCCAATTTCATCCATTCCAAAGGATCTACCGGAAAAGAAGAAACGACGCAAGACCAAAAGTAAGAAGTCTCTCAAAGCAGGGATTTCGCATCCTGAGTTGCAGAGAGACTTACATCAACGAAGTTCATTTGAAACCATCCTTCCACAGACACATTCTTTTCAAGGGTTGGACAAAGGAGAAGGTCGGCCAAGAGCGCTGTCGAAAGCATCCTCGCAAGCCAGCGCTGATCTACAGCCTTTGGTTTATACTATCGCCCCTCCACGGCTCTCTCCGATGGAGTATATGAGACGGTATCTGTTGAGCCAAGCGAAGAAAATCGTTGATGAGCCTACTGAAGACTTGAGTAAACCGGCATATGAATGGTTCTGGACCCCAAATTGGGAAGAATTTTTGATTATCCCAAGAATTGCCCAGATTACCACTCATCACAACTCGCCGGTAACACCAAAGCAACCTCCAGAGCCGGAGAAAGCAATAGTAAGCCCACAATTGGAGCTAGAATCACTCGTTTCTGTAAAGAACATCAATTCATCGACTTCATATCCGCGGTTGTCGTTCAACTTGCCGAGCATGTCAACATTTATCTCGGACGTTCCAATCTTGGCGGCACTTAGTGCCAGCCGAAGGCTCTCAACAGAATCTCCGCGGACAAAAGTTCTACTACAAAATATGCTACATGAAAAAGAGGTTGAAACATGTGAGGGTGTAGACGAGGTATCGGTTCGTCTACCGAGTGGCTCTTTGAGGGGGGATGGAACCTCATCTACCCAGCTTTACTCAGAATTGGCTGATACTATAGATGATGCGCGTTCTGACTTTAATTCACCTGATAGTGTGATTGTCCAGGATACGAATCCAAGATTTATGAAGGAGACGCTTTGCAGGCTTGCTCGTCGATTCTCTTCACCCCGGCCAAGCGCAGTGGGGGATATCAGATCATGGCAAGATAAGCAGCCATCCGACGATGAAGTCACGGCAGATTTCGTTGGTTCTGTCGAATCAGAGACGAAAGGCGATATCACACCCGAAATCTCGTCGAATCAAGCGAATCGAAGTGTCCAGCTGGTCTCTGGACTGCGTCATGGTAGCCTTCAGGCATCATTGTGCCAAACTACATCGCCGACGTGTAGCGCAGTAGAACGATGGCGTACTGAAGGTGATTACTCTGATGGAGGATTACAACCAAGCCCTGCACCAACTAGCCAACAGCCATTTCGCCGAGATAACAACACTGACAGAGATACTACTAATCATCAACATAACGCAAAGCGACTCTCTGGTGTCGTTACAACTCCTCTAAAAAAGCGCTATCCTAATTTACAACCGTCTCCTTCAACACCAAACTTCAAGACGTTCGGTTATACGGGCTTAGGACCATCAGGATTCACGCCGAAGCAGATGGCTCCTAGTACCGGTACCAGGATGGGCTCTGGTGCTAGCTCCCCAACTACATCAGCTTTCATTACACCGCAGAGGGCCAGCGAAGAGCCACAGGAAATCAAACCGAACCGTAGGATAGGTTCCTTATGCGATAGACAGGCAACGCCGTACAGAAGTCGAGGGGGAAGTAAGCAGATCTATCAGCATATTCCACTAGTACCTGATGTCTTCTATTCGGACCGGCAACCATCGCCTGGCAAAACATCATCGAGTAACAACGCCAACGAAACTGGCATTTCCAGCTCGTTCAAATTGCATCAAGCCAAACCCAGCTCCTCAGCTACCATTCTACCAGATCTCCATGTTGCGCCTCTGAAATTGAAGACGGCCAAGATGACACCAAGTAAGCCGTCCCAACTACCAATTTCGAAGAGCAGCAGATCCTTATCCCGATCGGGGAGGACAACTCCGGCCTCAACACTGCAAAACATGTCTGCCTTGCCAGCTACACCAGGAGCAACGTTCAGCACGCTCTTTCGTAAACGCTCACACACAGGATCACGAGTCATGACCCCATCGACCCCGCGAATACCTACTACCCCAACGATGCATTGGAGGCCGTTTGACGAACACCCAGAGCCCCTCTCCCCCTGGCACTACCAGGACAACTCTTACAACGCCAGTCCAACACCCCGAAGACCCAGGAAATCATCCTCTCGTCGCTAAAGATCATGGATAGAGAAGCAAGAAGAGACAGCCACTTGCCTCTTTGCAAAACTTGCGCCCTTGACCGCCTATCGTGGGCGAGTGTTGTAGAAACAGCCGGTTCAAACCGAGCAAGGCTCATGCATGTCTCACATGCCTCGCCATTGAGAATTAAGTGGCGCAGCTATGGAGAAAGCATGAACCGATCAGATTGAAGATTATGACAAGGATATACGGCCGGAGAAGCTCGACGTCCAGTCATCGCCAACGAACTCGCGAAAGACCCTTCGGCGAACTTACATGGGCCGGTGTGTAGTTATCCGGTCCGCGATTCCAGCGGAGAAGGAGTATTTTTTATTTTCCTTAGCGTCGTCTCTATCGAAGTTCTTGGAAAACCATTCCTATTCTAGCCAAACCCGATCGCCTGGGCCTACGTTACATTGGCTCATGCAGGTTTGGCGACTAGCATTGACCCATGCTAACTTGTCGGCACCGGCGCTTGTCACGCTTCCAATAAACTAAGCAGAGTAGTTCGTCTAGAATGCGTTGGAAGGAACAAGAGACGGAGACCCCGGGGATCGCCGGATCCCTGCTTCTTTGTAGCTTCTGTATATTGAGTGCTGGCCTTGGCTATGGCCTTGCATTAGATGGAGCTTAGGTATTTTGCGTGTTTTTGCAACAGATCAGATGCAAATTGAGTCTATGTAGAGTTTGAATTCAGCTTAAGAAATCATTGCATTAAGGCCTCTCTTGTTTAGCTCATGTAAGCCACGAATGGCATTCGGAAACTTCGGCTCGCAACAGTAGGAGCTCGATTGTGCTTTCGCCTGTTCACTGATGGACCCAAGACCCAAGACCGTCAAACGACGAATCATCCTTCAGAATTAGTATTAACTTAGCTATTATAAACTAACACATGTCACACGCTTATCTTGTATTGGAGTGGTACGTACTCATGATAGCACGTGTTGGAACTTGGTCACTAGAAGCCAGTGGTGTGTCTTCCCCAATTAATAGATACACTCTCTACACCGCGTTTTAGAGCAGTGATTGATGAACACGGCATTGGAAGAAAATGCCTGTGCGCAAAACGAGCTGATTTTTAGGTAGACTCTCCGTTCCCGGATCGTGCTCAAACCACTAATGTTCATCTCGCCCTCCTTGCCGAAGGTGGCCTATGATTGCCGGTTTATGCCTATTTCGGGAAAGAACTAGAATTTGAGACAATCAACCAAGCGATTAACTCTAAACGGTAAAGTATACTATGTTGGGAGGGCCAATCAACATCGATTCTCGGATGGTGAGCTGCGACTAACTGTATGTGTCATGTGAATAATGGTCAACCTCTATGATTCTATTTGTAGCCCACAGGCAAGGAACTGAGACATAAGGTCGCAGTGGATCAGATTTTCTTCTTTCGCACAACTGCACGCACTTAAGCCACTTTGGCATCTTGGCCACAATCTTGGCATTCCTACTCTACTAGGATCAGTTAAGGGTTGTATTGGATCGAAAGACAGTGTGACGGCATGCTAGAGCAACCTTTTCCTTTGAATGGCCATTTAATAGGACTGCAAGTCGAGTATTATGTGTTTATAGGAAGCCTGAGGACCAATTGAAAGCTTTACACGCTTCATAACTGCCCTGATCAGACCAGAGCATTGAGCTCCCCTACTCTAGGAATGGCTACGGCAATGTCTGGGGTTTCTAAGAAGAATGACTGGCAGATCTCCGTTGCATGGGGATGGATTTCGTCGTTGAGAGACCGGTGTCGCTGAGAACGATGAGCGACCTAGTCTATACAGGGCAGCCCATAGACATCTTCGATCACTAACACAAGTGAGCATTTCTATGCGACGTAAATGTTTTGCTATAGTAAACAACAGATAGAGGCCGTTAAATAAGCTCTGGTGTCGTCCATGAATAGAGTGAAGTCATTTATTTCTCCCACCGGAGCGATGTTTTGCAAAGACAAGCAGCCGCTTTGAACTCACATGGGGCGAGACCACAACTAGTCCAAAGAGCATGAAGCTCCATTGTTGTGCCATTATATCTAGTTTTCAGGCGGCTTATTGACGTGTTGGTGAATTTACTAGCATTGTACAGTAGATTCTGTTCTAAGGGCCCTAATGCACACACTAATAGCTGGTCAGCTGTTCCACAATGCAGCCATTGCGAATCACTGGAGTGTATTCGTCGTTGGTCATGACGCTTTAAAAGCCCAGTGTAGCGATGAGAGGTTGTTATACGTTACAATAGTAAGAGCACAGAGCCTATTGTCAGCAAATTGTACGGAACATAGAATGGAGGCCAAAAGTTTTGAAGGTTTATTACGGATATGGGGAAACTTGTGGACAGCCTGGGAATTTCTTTCACGAGCAACTTCTGCCAGGTGTACCAACTGGCACAGCTGCGCCAACTGGTACTGTCCAATGTCACACGGCCCTTGCACTTCTGCAGTTGCCAATGAAGCTGTGGCCCGGGCCGTAGCAAGTTGGTGGGGATTTAGCGGACATTGCAGGTCTTTGGTGGGGGGATGGTGCCCTGGCGCTGGAGTCTACCACTGAAGCACCTCGCTGGGGGATTGAGATGCCCTGAATGGAGCGCTGTTTTAGGCGGCCTGGCCAACTTTTTGCCCTTGTTGGTACGCTGTCATCCTTCAGGGTCGGAGTTCCCAGCCATGTAATTTTCGCCTTTACATCAACGCCACCCACCAAGCTCACTTCATCGTAGCGTTACATCATGGCCTGACCATCGTCAATACCACCTACTATCGTTCACGTCTCTCGGTATTCACAGGGACTGAAATAGAAATGAGCCCCATAGCTCTTTTCGCCTGACCATGGCGGGACGCCCAAAACAGGCAGACCAATGGTTGCCACAGCTGCTCTGGCCAGGTTGTATCTGAGATACCTCTTCGGTTGTTGAGTAAGGCATACTAACCTGCGAGATAAAAGATACCACGATTGACGAAATATCTTTCAACGATGAAAATAGATGAGACTCGCCTTGTAAATTGCCCTCATTATGTGTTCTTTTCGCCTGTTCGACATCCGTGTGTGATGGCCACATCATTCTCCCAAAACAAGATTGGCAGTTCCCTAATTTGGACTTACCCTGTCTTCTAATCATATTTTGGTATACCCCCTGGCTTCAGATCCTGCACTGGCTTCCCAGCACCCTGGACAGCCACCGCCGACTCTGGCAAGGCTGCGTTCTTCCAAGTGCGGCTGCAAGCACCCTGCTGCGAGGCGGTATTCGAGCCATTCCTATTCATAACGTCCTGCTCAATGCCAGCTGTGCTTCCAACTCAGGGTGCTCTTCGCGCCAACTGCGCGTTTGTCGTCGTTTGTGAATACATCAGTCTGGCTCGTATACCGTCATATTATAGAAGACTAGGAATCGCGAACCTGACAATCACTTACACTACCTAAGCCTTGAAGAATGCGTAGTTCGCAGTTTACACTCTCGTCTGCAACCAAGTCAGGTTTGGCATTTCGATAGGCTGCCAATGGGTCCCGTCCATCAAGCTATTCTAGGATCATCTGAGAATGTGCGACTGGACACGACATTGGAAATAAAAGACTGTGGCGGACGCTAACCCTCGGCGAGAGAACACCGTCTGAGTGAACACTTTCGTAAGAGCATGGCCCAAATTTAGGACAGTGCCGTCGCCCAAGACTGAGTTCAGTGTACATGCGCACTGTGGGGACCGATCTAGGTCGATACCCGTCAACTGGGATGCGCCGATGGGTGTCAGGCTACGCTGTCGGTTTACAACATACTGGCAAGCTTCGCTTTGGTTGCCTTTGTTGCTGGGATGTTTGTGCAACCCCTGCGGCCAAGAAGTAGTGTCTAATTTGGCAGAGCATCAGTTGCGCGCGCTCCAAGTCGCCGACAACGAGAGTGTCGGTTGGTGGCGGATGCTACGGCGCGTCCACACGACGTCGGCACCTCAACGACAGGCTTCATTGATCTGAAGCTGATTTGGGCGACACTTAGGCTAACAAGTGGGGGGTGTAGGATGGGCCGGCTGGGTGTCTCTATGAGTCCCTGGCGACGGGGATACTGGAGCGAGCTTTTGATGCTACTCTCCCTTCAGACCCTGTCGCCTGATGCTGCAGCTAGAGCTGGATCTCTCTCTATGCCAGGGATGTGGGTGGCCATGGCAAGGACCGTGTTCAAAATCCCTTTGCCCGAAGTTTTCAGAAGCACTGAACATTAATTACGCTTTCCGATCAAAGACAAGTTCAGAAGCGGGAGGGATGGACCAGGCTGAATTTCTTGGAAATGTTAATAGTGTGTTTATTATGATGGTTTAGTGTTCTCACTCGGTACCATTACGTGGGAATGGTAAGGGTACTGTCGCTTGTAAGCGTTACACCCATCTTACCTAAACCTAGCGGTCGACTATTTTTGAAAATTTCAGGGTGGTATGCGGTCGGATGTGATCTTGTCTCGTCCCATTTGAGATGTGGCCAAAGTATTTGTTCATCTATAGCAGCCTCCCGCCCCTCCTCCGCGCCGTTCTCCCGTTTTGAATGACAATTCAATCAACACTCTTGTTTCCACGCCATATATATATATACATATATATCTACCTACAGTTGGATACAAAGTAACAAAATCCCAACCCATCAACAGCATAGTTAGCTGCCCTTCGCGTCTAAGTAGTCATGGGAAGTAGCAGCTCAGCACGCTCCTCAACAATATCAAACGATCGCTGGGACGACGAACTAGAAATGGACGGTGACTGGGAGCACAGCGAGCCTCTCTTCATCGACCCCTCCGATACCAAGATGGAGCCCATGGAAGATGACGTTATGATGGACGATATTCAACCGGCTCAAGAAGATGCGCCCGCCAAGCGACCTCGTGGAAGACCTAGGAAGCATCCCCTCCCTGAACCAACAGCCACTCCTAAAGCCACTAAGGGCCGCTCGAAAACCGGATGTATTACTTGCCGTAAGAGAAAGAAGAAGTGTGACGAAGCCAAACCTCGCTGTATGTATACATGGCTATGATGTTTCATTTCTTTACATGCAGACTGACATGAGTTAGGCATGAACTGTGAAAAGAACGCTGTCGTTTGCGAAGGCTACCATGAGAAGCAAATTTGGAAGAGTGGGAAGGAAAAGGCTGAAGAGGGTAAGCTTTGCAACTTCTTTTTCATTTGAGACGGTGATTTTCTAACAAAACCACAGAACGATGCAAGCATGAGATGTCATCAGTTAACTTACAGCCAATCTTCCACGGTGTTGAGACAACTGAGGACAAGATCTTCTGGCGCCACTACGTGAACCGCCTTAGCACAGTCCTCACTGTTGAGGGCGAGTCCAAGAATGCATTCAAGGATATCCTCCTGAACTTAGCGAACCAGCATCAAGGCCTTATGCATTCTATTTTGGCCTTGAGCAGCAAGCATATTGAATGGAATACTCCTTACGGCGAGAAGATTCTCCGAGATAACCCTTCAACAAACACAGACTTACTCGAAGAGCGAGGCGAATACCATCACGATGAAGCGCTTAACAGACTTTACGAGGACATGTCAAAAACTGTCGAAGAGGACGATGAGCAGTACCAGCTCATCCTTGCTGCTCGTTACGGCCAAATGCTGTGCTTGCTTCTTCAGAACTTGATTGAAGGCAACCCACGAGGAGAGCACCGTGTGCACCTACGCGCTTACCAAAACCTTATCCATACCGCAGCTCCGGCCGATCCTACATTCTACGCTTTCATCACCGAATTCTTCCAGTATCACGTATACGCTGATGACCTTCTGTGGCATCCAGAGTGCATGACTGAACGCCTCTCTTTGGAGGATTGGGAATGGCCAGAAACCATTCACCCACCTCGCCTCTTTGGCGTTGCCGATAGCTTATTCAGTCAGCTTTCTCAAATCACCACTATTAGAAACACTATTCGAGAAAACTTAGCTATGGGAACTGATCCCATGGTAGACGGGGTCAGCCTCTCTCAAGCAGCAGATATCGACGCTTCTATTAGAAGCTGGGCGCCTCAGTGGCCTCCTGGCGACAGCCGAGACAGGGTGGGACTACTCTATAAGCATGTCTTGTGGGTGTATCTCTTCCGATCTATTTACCCACCTTCTGGGCCACCATCTCGTCGATCTACTTATGGCTCGATATCCAGCACCGGCGCCTCGTCTCCAGCTGGCATGTGCATCCCTACACGGCCATCTTCAATCTCTGGCCTACCTGGGAACACGTACATGATGAGCCCTTCAAGTATGGATTCTGACAGCTGCCCTGGTTCTGAAAACACTTCCCGCAACAACTCCGTTGATGAGGACGTCTTCCAGAATGCTAATTTTCGCAATGCGATGAACGCAAGCTTGGCAACGCCTCCATCTTCGACATGCCGCCCTAGCCCCGATGACAAGAGGGTCACAGTTGCAGTCAACGAGGCCCTAGACATTCTCGAATCATTTCAAGCCCATGACCCTGCACAGACTCTCCTGCTCATGCCTTCTCTAATTCTTGGTACTGTGTGCCTGGAGCCCAGCCAACGAAACCGTGTTAGATCGGCTATTGCTGCCATTCGAGGATACAGTGGCATCCGAAGCTGTGATAGAGTATCGGAACTGCTAGAGGAAGTGTGGCGACGCATGGAGGACGGCGACTGGCACGCCGTCTGGGACTGGCAGGGAACTGCCCGGGATATGGGCTTGGACTTCCTGTGCACCTAAGAGGTGTAGTGGAATATAATAACCTTGGGCTACATGGGGATTTGCATACATACAACTGGCGTTAACTTTGTAATTCATTTTGTTTTGGGCGGGCATTGCACGGCATACACGAGGTGGACTTGGCCAGGCGAAGCAAGACTCTGCTGTCAGGGGCTTATCGGCCAATCATCATCTCTTTTCTCAAAATTTCCTTTGTCAACTCCTCTGGATAGGAGAATGGGTTACACAAAATTCGGAGAGGATGTGGGAGTGGAAACAAACGAACCATACCACCCCTTAATGACCAACGGGTGCACTCACGATTACGCCATTTGCCAGGACTATGGTTGGCTGGCTTGCGAAAAGGAGATAGAGGAAAGTCGTATATATCTACGTTTAGTTTTGGAAACGGGCTGTGCAATTATCAAACACGTATTTGGCTTTTTTTACTTCTGCACCTATGACATTTCACATATCAATAGATCTGCTTTATTTCACGTTAACTCCCAGGCGTCGCCTCTTATATGTGCATAAACTTTCGTGCTCTATTTTCGTAATATATACACCTCGATCCGCAAGGAAAGAAGAAGAAAGGACAAATACGTAGCAAGTGATAGATACAAACAGTTGTTCCAGGCAACAAATAAACGCTCTCATACATAAAGGGATATCGATCATAAAGCACAAAAAGCACAAGACAGTAGTGAGGAAGCTCCCGTAATAAAAGACCAAAACTATCCAGAGCAATTGAAGGGCTTGTAACAGCACTCAGCACATACCAAGAGCTATCTAGTTCAAGTCGTCACTGTCGTCAGGCGGGTAAGCTGATCTTTCCGCGGCATGGCGCGTTCCACGAATAGTTGCACCGCCCTCGGCGGCATACGACACATGGTCCGTAGCATCTTCTTGCTCTTGGCGAAGATCGCTCAGTCCAGATACCGTCCGCTCAGGTATCCAAGGAACGGAGTGGGACTGGCCCTGTGAAGACTGGCCGCCTGGGATGGGCCGGCGGTGGTATATAGGGCCAGAGACGGTGCTATTGGCGCCCTCACCGAATCCAACCAGGGATGCTGAACCATCATCGCTCATGCGATCATCGTAGCCGCCGACTGACCTGTTAGCCAAGTCGTCGTCAATGTTGGCATCGCCCTCGCCGCCTGTGCTTGCAATGGAGTCGGCCGTTTCGCGATCGTTTGTGTCGCTGCTGCGCATGTCCTCGTCCGCATCTGCATATGTGGTAGCGTGCCTACTTCCCACATTGGAACTCCCTGTGGCAGAGGCGCTGCCAACTGTGCTCATCTTGGTAACGGCGACGGGCTGGCCATTGCGGTCAAAGTACGATGGTGTCAGGTTGTGCGAGGCGGGGAAGTTGGGCGGGAAGCCGGTCGTGGAGGTCGGGGTCGTTTGCGGGGAGATGGAAGAAGCGCTGTCTTGTCGCTGAGGAGGGGCTCGGAGGGTTGATACTCGTTCGAGACCGGCAAGGCGGGAGATGCGATCGGCACGCTCAGCCTCGAGGCTAGTTGTTGACGGATGGTGCTGGTGGCCACGCCCGCTCGGGCCGGGTGGGAGATGGCCGCGCTGACCGTCTTTGATGGCAGTCGTAGAGAGAGTAGAGAGAGATGTGGTCGTGCTTGTAGGTGTATCACTATATAAAAGCAAGACGTTAGCGACTTGGAGGAGAGTGTGGTTTAGTTGGGGTTTGAACGTACGGGAGTTCGGAGGATTGGTCCTGGCTGGTTGCGGGAGGAGGGATGTTGATGAACATGGGCTGCGGCGCCTGCGCCATAGTAGCTAGTCGTGTTGATAGAGAATAGAGCAGGAGAGAAGGAAGAGGCGGGTTGGTCGAGGTCGATGATGTTGCGTGCTTGGAGTGGGTGACGACGCAGAGCGGGGAGTGGTACTGGGTGGCGGGTGGCTGAGACTCGGTAGCAAATCTGGTTCTAGAAAACTGCGCGCTTGCTGGGTAACAGGAAGAATAGCGTAACTGGTAGCGTGGTGAGAGAAGGAGAAGTGCGGTTTGGTGGATGGACTGGCAAAGATGGGAATTTGCATTAGGATGTCAAAGTCGCGTCTTCATGGGGCGCGCAGTGGGCCGCTGCATAGAAGCTTTTCAGCGCACCTTTTGCTGCCTGGGACGCTTGGTGGCGGGCTGCGTTGGTGGGGCTTGGGGTGCTGAGTGGCCGCGGGGCAAACAGTGATTCAGGTGTCGATGGTTAGGTGACGATGACGTACGAACAGCTATTAGGCCGATGGGAATCACTATTATCATCATACAAGGATTCAGACAAGGATGGAAATATACAGAGCACTATGTTTTCCAGGCGTCTTGAAAATAGGCTTTGAGTCTATATATGTATCCATCTGCGCTTAAATGGGCCATCTTAATGTAGCAGCTAGAGTTTCGTGTGAGTAAACTCTCCAGGATGGTAATCAAAAATGCACGGCTTAATCAGCAGCGGAACAACATCCTTGACATAGGCAGCGTGCACAGGGTCCTCCTTGACGTAGTAATCACGGTCTTCCTTGCTGGCGAACTCGACAACGTAGGCGTGCGTGTATCCTTGCTATAGACGGTGCAATCGGGTTAGTCTGGCTTTTGCGTGAGACGAGGGTGCGTAGTCGCAATTGGTCCCTTACAGTGAGTCCTTCAATGCTCATGTCGGTGCCACCCCTAGAAGAAAGAATGTAGGGCTGCTTGGTGGTGGCGTGGATGCAGTTGGTCTTGAGGCCGAGCATGCGGTCCGACATCTAGTCCATTGGTTAGTTTGCACTTACTGAGAGTAGCTCCATCGGACATTACCTCTTTAATTGTCTCAGTAGAGACATCTTCCTTGAACTGGAACATGACGATGTGTATTACCGGGGCCATTGTGCAGAATTGCTTTTCCTACCCTGTTGTGCCTTGCATTAGATTGCTGCTTGCCATTGGTCCGGAAGACGGGGGGCTTACCGAGAAGAAGAAAGTATGGAATGATGGGGGAAAAGAGGGATTTTCTTTGCTGATGCCCCTGGATTTTAAATTACTCTCAACAAAAGTCGATGCTTTTGCTTTAGTTGGTGTTGTTACTGGCAAAAGGCCGACGTTGCCAGAAGGGTCTCTTTTGATGGCGCACGCGCGGGGTGAGCTAATCGCCCCGCACCGATTTGGTGACAGGAGCATTAGGCTCTGTAGTATCAGTCTTTCCAAATATAATACAGAATAAATTTAATAATTGACTATTTTATATTCCAACAAGCTCCGAATTTTACATGCAATTTTTACGGAACTTGCCGACGTTGATCTGATTTAAACTCTTACCCTTCACCTAAACCAGCTCGGCTGTTTGATGTTCCAGCCAATAGCATTACACAGCGAGCCTCCACACCACCCATACCACATGTGCTGAACGAGAGTCTCACCGGGGAACGATGATGATAACTGACCAGCTTGAATTTAAAGGATAATATCTTTATGATAATAATAAATTGTCTCTAAACGAGTTCATTTCGCTTCTCTATGCTATTTAAAAACCAAGACCGAAATACCTGCTAAACAGGTATCAGGGGGTATCTATGCCGCACACCGCAATAAGCAAAATGTTTCAAGACAATGTCTCATGCCTGCCCATCCCTTTGCGCGTCCAGGCCGCATCCATCAAAAACAACAAAAGGTATCGCCGCAATGCTATGCTCCAAAGGAAGATGAAGTGAAAGAAAAAAAAGAAAGAAATTGGAACGTGTGTTCCACGAGAAGCGGCTCAGATGAGCCCCATGCCAAGTGTGACCATGGCCAGTGCAAAGGAGAGAGCCATAAAGCCGGGCTCTGTAAACAACGCGCTTGATGCTGAGCTGACTATCGGTTTGCCAACAGGGATTTTGGTCATCGTTGGAGCGGCCTGCATCACTGGTGTTTTTGTCGTGACGACAAGACTTCCTGGCGTGCCATCGGCGTCCTGGTCTGGGTCGGCGGCCGGACTATCAGAAGAGCCCTTTTTGCGATCTGTCGATCCCATCACAACGTGGGGATAGGATGCGGACGGCGGTGCGGGAGCAGCAGCTTGCTCTGGTACTTTGATGATTAGGTCATGATCGTTTTCTGGCGATGTTGGGGCTGCAATGCAGAGAGCGGCTATGGAGAGGAAGAGGAGCACCAGAAGCTGGCGTGCTAATGTGCTTGAGCGTCTCATGGTTGTGGTTTTGTTGGTGATTACTTGTGTGTAATTGCCAAAATGGTGATGTGTAGTTGCAGCAATGACGATGCTGTAGAAAAAAGAAGCACACGATGAGATGGTGGGAGACGGTACAGATCAAATACCAAGCGATTTAGAGTTTCTAGCGTCGGTCTGTCGACTACTTAAATGCCTTTGGGTCTACGGGTTGTTGGGCCCCAGCCAAACAAGATTTTGAAATACATGTCTTGCCTTTGGGTCGCCCACCCTGTCTCAGTAGAAAACGGCGCTAGAAAAAGGATAAAATTCCACGCCGCAAACAGCGCGTCTCGCCACTCGCCCAACCACAGCACAGTCTTTGAGACATGAGGCGTCGAAGCCTGGCCCCGGGCAGCGCAGCCTAGCAGGCGGTGCGATTGCGGCGTTGCCCTTTGCAAAGGGAGCACATTCGTGACGTTGACAGGTCCGAGGACAGCTGTACGGATAGGCCTATGAGATGAGACATCGGCTATATCCCGCACACCCACACAAGCAGCAGCTGATGAAGGAGGCCCGGGCCTACAGCCACTGATTGATTCCCATCGGACGCCAAGCAAATTTTTGGAGGAAGCAGCCCATCGGCGCTAGAAAACTAATATATTTCTTCTTTTTATGCATGCAATGTCCGGCATTGTGCTTTTTAAATTGTGTATACAAATCGTGGACTTTCGTCACCAAGCTCTTGTAGCTGCTCCTCCGTCAGCCCGGCGTGCTCCCCAGCCAACGTGTCGGCCTCTCTACGGCGGCGGTTCTCTCTTGCGTACCAGAACCACAGGAATGCAAAGATGCACGTGCTCATGCCCACCAGAGCCAGGGTCAAAGCGTGGCCTTGAGTGTATCGTGGGGCGTCTCCTTTAGGACTACAGAGTAAATGTCTTGGTTAGTTGCGTTTCAAACTGACATCTTTTGAATTGTATGGAGCCGGTAACAGCCTGTATCATGTGGAGGCTTGGTTACCGAGAAACCATATCCTTGCTTCGTTCTTCTCGAATAAGGAAAGAAAGCCCAAGACATGGTGGGTAGAGCGGGACGACACTTACTAGATAAACGATGACAGAATCCCGGCGGAGTTGCCAATGGTCAGTTGCATTCCTGTGGCAGTGGTGCGCTTACCATACCGGGGCGAATTGTTTGGAAGCTGGATTTCATTGTTAGCAATGATCCGCAACTCACGAATCATGTGAGGCATTGGTTGGTGATCTCCTTACCCATGCAAGTGGCAGTCCAACGAGAATGTAAACCCCCGACGCCACTAGGAAGCATGCTACATAGTGAGCAGCTGTCGGAGCGTCAGTTAGTAGAATCACATATCCAACAATGCTGAGCAGGCCAAAGATGATGCAGAACACTCCACGGCGTTGGAACCGGTCAGATGCTGTTGCTACTCCCATGTACATTGCCGCCCCGAGGAAGTAGCAGGGTATCGTAAGCAATTGTACCTGGGACGTAGTCCATGTCCCCAAATCATTGATGATTGTTGGTAAAAAGGTCGAGTACCCTGTGCCTGTCAGCATTGTAACGTCTCGACAACAGCAAAAACATTATATGCTTACCGTAAAGCATAGTGTCAGAGCCAAATTGCCCTACACAAAACGCCCATACTTTCCAATCCGTAAAGGCCTTCATCATGTCGGCCTTGCTGAACTCTTTGCTTGATGCCGTGTTGCCGTAGTCTCGCCCTTCTCTAACCTTCATAACCACCTTTTCCTCATCTGTCAGGAAATACGCCGTCTGTGCATCGTTGGGCAGCCAGAGATACGTGGCGATGCCGAGAAGAACACTTGGCAGACCCTCAACGATGAAAATCCATCGCCAACCGCTCATGTCCCTCACACCGTCCATGTGTCCAATGCCAAAGGCCAGCAGACCGCCCAGGCCACCACCAATGGCGGCACTGACAAACAGGTAACCCACTCGCCGCGCCAACTCGTGCTTCGTATAGAAGAAGGTCAGGTAAACAGCCAATCCAGGGAAGAGACCAGCCTCTAGCACGCCCATAAGGAGACGGCAGGCAATGAGGGCACCGTAGGAGTTGACGAGCCCGGACAGGGTGGCGACGATGCCCCAGCTGAAGGCCAGGAACGAGATCCACAGGCGCGGGGTAAAGTATTTCAGGACGAGGTTGGATGGGACTTCACACAGAATATATGTGACGTAGAAGATGGAAATCGCCGTCTGGAACTGGGTCGAGGAGAGATTCAAGTCGCTTTCGAAATGGTACAGCCTGGCATTACCGATATTGACTCTAGAAAGAAGTCAACAGTCTGTGATATAGTATAGTCATGCGTGTCTTTTGGGATTACCTGTCAATGAAACTGAAAAGATACAAGCCCATCACCAGCGGGACCAAGTGAAGATCGATCTTGCGGACCAGCTTTCTCTCGTCCACAGTTGGTGCCTGTGGCTTCTCCTGCGAAGCACCATGCTCCTCAGCAACGATGTCTATGCTGTCGGAACCCATTATGAGGGATAATTGGTTTATTGGAAGCGTCAAGTTACCTAGAATCTGGGGTGATGTGTGCGGGGGAGGGGGGAGTTAATGTACGTGCGGCTGGGACTCAGAGTGACGGCGGTACGAAGGCCGCCAGTGGAGCGAGCGCAGGCTTAATCAAATGGGTAATTCAATTGAGGATCAATACAGCAGACTTGGCAATAGATACAGCTGGTTAGGCGTCATTATGATGGACAGAAAAGGAAAAGAAAGGCGGTCGGATGTATGGGGAGATAGTAAAACGGCGCGATTCCGCCTCCGCGCTCTCTCGTGGGGGCATCTACCGGCGTTGAAGCCGCGCCCCAACCAGTCTCAATGTACCCCACACGCTAGACAAACCAGGGCTCCGCTTAATACTTTAGTGTAATACTAGGCTTCGGGTAACTTAGTCACTAATGCATCAATTGCTCATAGAGGTACATAAAAATAAGAACCTTGCCATTTTCAAACCAAAGTACTACAAACAAAAAAGTTACAAATGTGACGAGATATCAAACAATCCTCCGCACCGCTAAAATTCGGCTTCCATTACCATCTTGTACTTGCTCCATCACAGATATCCCATGTGCTGCTTTTCCATCTTCTCTCCTTACTGCCTCGTGGTATATTGACGTCCTTCCACCACTCCACCGTCCTTCGAATTCAATATGCAGAAAATCGCTATCATTCAAGTGGCTTCATATGTACAGGACGGGGTGATGGCTCTTCACCCATCCATGTGTCTTCGCTTAGCTGCCCATCTCGTAGACAGGACCACTCTGGTGGCTCATTACGGGCTGACTGTCAATCTCTGCCGCATTATCGGTGTGCCACCTGTTGGCAGGGGCGTTGTCGTTGCTGAGTTCAGCCATGCGAGCTGTAGGGGCTGTTGCAGCTGAGATTGCTCCAGCGGCGCCCATAGCGGCACCAGCACCAGCACCGGGGATGATGGCGGCGGGCACACCAGAGTGAGGAGCAGAAGTCGGAGGCAGGTTGTGGCCAACAAAAGGCGGCGCAGGCGACGGATTTGCTGATGAGAGAGCGGAGACGGGGGCGTAGGAACCCGAGGCGGCAGGGCTGTCCATGTCAGCAGGATGAGCGTGCTCAGGGAGAGAATCAGCGCCGCCGCGAGTAGGAGGATGCGTAGCCGCAGTGTGTGCAGAAGGCGTGCGGCTAGCGGCAGAACCATATACCTGGCCATAACCATCGGGCTTGGCATATCCAGCTCGGCCATCTCCCATAGCGGTTCCGCGGTAGCCTTCGGGGCTAGGCTGTGTCTTGATGGGGTTGCGAGCGGGAGCGAGGTATGTGTTGTTAGCAGCGTGAGTAGCGCCAGCACCAGCACCAGCACCACCCACGGGAACCATAGACGAGCCAGTCATATCATAGGGATCCTCCTTGGGCTCCTTCTTGCGGCGCAAGCACAACCAAAGGAGTCCGGCAATGATAGCAAGACCAGCAACTCCAACACCAGCGCCAATACCGGCCTTGGCTCCGGTAGTAAGACCACCACTGTCAGATCCGTTGTTATCAGATCCATTGTTGTCAGACGGCGAATCAGTGGGGATATTGTATACAGTGGTGGTCTTTGTGGTGACACTGGTGACCGTGGCGCTAGCGCCAGGATTTTCAGTGGACGTTTCCGTTGATGTGATTGTAGTCTCAGAGGAAGTGAAGGTCTTTTTAGTGGTGGTCGTCGTTTCGGTTGTAGTAACGGGATCGCTGCCGTCGGCAGTGACGGTCTTGACGGAGGTGAAAGTTGCACGCCTGAACAAGGCGTGGAGGGCAGCGGGGGCCAAGGTTGGCTCGGGAAGGGATCGCTTGACGTTACTTGTGACGGTTACCCAGTGCGTCTCGATCTTGGTAGCCGTACCTCCGGCTTGGGTGACGGTTGTAGTCGAGACATCCGTCTTCGTGATAAGGAGGACGCTGACTGAAGTCGTGGTTGCTGTTGTCAGCTTTGTGACTGTGCTACCCGCGGGGGTGACGGTGGTGGTCCGGGTAACAGTCACGTCCTTATCATCGGAGGTGGAAGAACCAGACGGTGTCGAGATGATTTGTCTCGGGTTGATGACGTTGGCGCTAGCGGTCGCCAACAAGGCAGCGAGGCTGAAGGAGACGTGGAATCTCATGTCGGATGCTCTTCGGGGCTATCGTCAGCCCGGGGGTTGTTGGAGATGTTCAGAAGAAAAGGCCCAAAGATCGGATAGAGCGACAGCAGTTGGTCGGAGTATCAAAATCAATACAGATTGGTAAGAGAAACCAAGAAGCGGTAATGATTTAGGCGCAAGGTAGCGATGACAAAGTGGAAAATGAGCGCCTCTCGGAGGACTACTGAGCTGCAGGTGATTAGATGCCGGTGCTAAATAAATGGACGAGATAAATAATAGAAAAAAAAAATCGAAAAGAGGGTGAGGCTCGCCGCAAAATCCAAAGGAAAAGGCGAGGTCGGCGTAACGTGGTAGGCAAAAAAGGAAGAAGCAAGAGAGTGGCCAAGAGGTGCTTAGCAGAGCAGAAAGAGGGAGATGACGAGAAATTTGGCTTCTGCACCCGTCAGCATTGCGACGTCAGTGTCAGGCGGGTACCGATAGTATGGGGCCCCCGGCAAAAGAGTACACAAGCTATTCTACCGTTTGGGCCCGTTGGCTGGGAACAGCGTCGGAAGCCCCATTCTGGCTTAGCGGCGACTCACATTGGTTTTTTTTTTTGCTTTGCCACTAAAAATACTCTAATACGAGACGGCGTGTCCACTGAAACACATGCTGCCCGAGGGAGAGGGCCATTGCGTTTTTTCTTACAATAAAGGAGGAATTTAAAAACATGAAAAACTTCAAAAATATATCTAGCGTATCGGGGGACGAAGCAGACAACTAGGAAAATATTGCGATACAAGTGTTTTCCTACCGATTGCAATTAGCTTCAGGAGGCGGCTCTTCGTATTCACCACTCACCGGATCCCCCGGCAGAAACCAATAGCCTGGCGGGGCTACGAACACGCTGGAATCCACTAAAACAAACCCATCTGGGTCCCCAACCATCACTATACGGTTAGCTAACCAGTCCGCCGTCGACGGGCGCCGCCATAACTGCCGGTAAATCTGGCCCGTAGCGCGCCAGGGACACCCTGCACCGTGCCCCTGGCGTAGTAAGATTGTCTCATGTATGGCGTTTCGCGAGATTCAGCATCTTTAGGAAACAAAACAATAAAAGCGAGATTTGTAGATGTCGGCGACTCGGTTCTCGTAGATTCAACAAAGAATTGATCACCTGGTTCTCTTTTCTCTGGGATCCGCCGTATGACATCACACGCTCGTTTTCTTCACAACGGCTGCCTCCCAGAGCCATGACACGTGAAGCAGCCGGTCTCACAGCCACAGTGCAGCCCCCAACAAATTAGATGGATTTGGAAATACAGCCGAGCAAGATCTTCATCGTATGGCATGACGATGCGCTATTCGTCTGTTTTCCGTGAGATGCAAAGGCGAAAGTGATAGTCTGCACGCATCAATTACTAGCGGCGACTCAAAACGTAGTCCTGCTGTTGTTTACCTAGCCCGCGCATTCATGCGGCAAAAGTGCCTGATGTGATATCGTCTCATTCGCATTATGCATATTCGTTTAGTTATTTGCGCTGTATTAATTAGGCCCAACATGGACAGACAGCAGAATATAGCTATAAATACAGGATATGTCGACGAAAGACTAAAATAGGGACAATACGGCCTGCGTATCAAAATAACTATAAACAGAATATAAAATAAAGCATCCACCCGACATAAACACCATCTAAAAGTTTTCTTTACCCCAAACAAAGGAGAATCTAATAGCTCATGTTAGCGAAACTGTTCTTGATCAAATGCTAGTTGTGTAGAGTGGAAACTTACCCAGGTTCACTGTACTTATTACATTGAACATGCAAGGCGCTACCGAGACCCTTGGGGCCACAGAAGAAGACACCTGCCTCGCCAGGGCAATGCAATTTGCGAATGCCCTTGAAGATCATGTCCCAGTTGGGTCTACCGAAATTCGTTGACGACTTGAGCCCGGTGATGGGGCACTTGTCCGCATTGGCAGCGTTGAGGTAGATGTTGGTCATGTCATCGGGCTTGATCTTGGCTGTAAGGTAAGTATGGATCTCAATGCGGTTCTGGAGATCCTGCTGCTCGACAGCCATTAGCAGTGATCTAAACCATTCAAACGAGCCAAAGTCTCGGCACACCCAGAAGAAGTACACCTTGGACAGCCTCGTCTTCTCCTTGGGGTAGTTCATTCGGTACCAGATGGACTTCAAGATCGACGCAAACGGGGTGACTCCGATACCTGCGCCGACGAGGATAGACGTCTCATACTTGAACACATCCTCAGAAGCAGATCCAAAAGGTCCATCCACATATAGTCGTGGCAGAACTCTGCGTAGTCGCGGGTCGACGTTGTCCTTGGTGTCCACCTCAACACCGACCACTTTGCTGGAATCTGATTTCTTGTCCCACTCGCAGCCCAGGGCCTTGGAAAGCGCCATGGTGAAGTCACCTTGGCATCGGATGTGGACGGAAATGTAATCTTCCTCGGGAGCACTGGTGAGCGTAAACGGATGGTACTGCCAAAGAGACACAGCAGGGCAGCAGAGAAAGATGTACTGTCCGGCCTTGGTCTTTGTGTGTTCCTTTTTGATCTGTATCTCGCACACTTGGCTAGGATGTTGAATGACTTTGGATACATAGGTCTTGTGTCGGCCACGGACTTCGCGTGCAATTCGCTCGGCAAGGTACGCTAGGCCACCATACATCCAGTACTGCCAGAAAACACCAATAGCTGAGGTGCCGACACTAACGCAGAATGGTGCCACATCGGGCTGAATCATGCAGAATGCACCGTGCAGGGCCCAGAAGAAAAAGAAGATGATGAACATGTGGTGGGTGTACCAGAAGCGCTCGTAGTTTGCACGTCTTGGCTTCTCAACCGAGGTCATGACCATGCCCATAAGCGCAATGAGCATCACATAGCCGGTCCAGCCTGGGCCAGAAGCAAAGTTGGCGAGTAGCCATCCGTAAAACCCAAGACCATTTTTGGCGGCAATCTTTCCAAAGTTGACCCAATGAGCAATGGTGTGAACCCATGCCCAGAACACAATGGACCACGCCGTCGTGATATGAAAGGTGATGTTCTTGTCGAACTGGATAATTCCGTTTAGGGTCGTCTGGCGCAGAAGCGAGATGAGGGTTCGGCAAACAGGGAATAGAATAATTCCCACGTCGACATGCAGGACCAGTGCCGACGCGCGAGCAATTGTAAACGTGAAGCCGAATGTATCACGAGCACTTTGGAGACTGTCTTTGACAGCGTAGTGTACGCAGGCAAAGCCGAAGATCATGGCATGTGCAATCATGAATATAAATACAAATCTTCAGCGCATCATATTAGCCTCATTTCCTCGTTCATGGTCCACAGGACACTTACAGTCGTCGGTAACCTTCGTTGATCATCCACTTGTCAAACTTTTCCTTATTGGTCAAGGGCTTCGGTTTATCGTTGACAACATCGCCGTCCATCATCACCCGGGTCAGCGCCGAGGCTCGACTCCCATCGTACTCAATCATATTGGAAGCTCGGTAGCTCATTTTGTACCTCTCCCCCACGGCGGCCGTTCCTTGATGGGATCCGATCGGTTTGTTGGTATCGGTACGGTGGTGAATGCGGCTTGCACTTGATTTCGAGGTTTTCTGGTTATAAAGGATTGCTTTTCGGTATCATGAATTCGTAGCTGCTTGATCAGTAAGCAAAAAGATAGCGAAGATCCAAAAGATCTAGTTTACCATACAATGAAGGTGGCTGATGGTGATCTACAAGCAGCAAGTAGTGGGAAGCAACAGACGAAATAAAAGAAACAAACTAGTAGAAATACAAGTAAAAGGAAGAGTTTTCCTTCTCAGGGCAGAAAGGAGAAAACAAAGAGGGGATGGGCCGTGGGAGAATGGCAACCTTGTCAATCCCAAACCACCAAGACTCCAAACACGTTTCGACTCGGCCGCCGCCGCCCCCTAGGTGCGCGCCATTCTCCGCTCGACCCGATCTGCATAGTATTGTCGGTGGGTTATTGTTTTTCTGCTTCTCTTTGTTTCTGTTTAACCGCACGTGGAAACCAGTAAAAAAGAAGGGAAATGACAACGGGTTGCGCACAGAGGCTTGGTGAGCATCTGAGCGCCACCATGCGTCAAAGTACCGGCCGCACAAGCCCATCGCTTAGACGGCTGCCGTTGAACAACTCCAATAATCGGAAATCCATGATGACTAGCTAAAATCTATTTACTAACCAGAAGACACCATGCATTGAATGGCATGTTATTTTCAATTCATCAGCCCATCATTGCGTTTCCCTTCCTTATCACCGCGTATCGCCGTCTCGTAACTTTGAAACCGGCCTGCGACACCAAACCCCTCCACCGCATGGTCCCAGCTCCTATCAGTCCGTAGGTGCATACGGCTCGGCGCTTTGTTGCGACAGCCTCAAAAAAGCCCAAGCCCGACTACCGAGCCTATTTAAACCCTTAGGCACAATCCACCGTTGCCGTATTTCCGTGACTTGGACCCGTCCGTACAACGGTGCCTTATGCGCACATCATTTACATGTCACCTGCGTCACAATACGGGAATATTAAACATGTCTACTGTTAAACGGCCCGTTCCAAAGAGACCCTTGAGTTTGAAATCATCGCTTTCTGCCTAGCTGCATACTATCTCTTTAATATCTGCCAGCCACACGAGAAAAAAATAGCATCCTTCCAATCCTCTGGTAAGCTGTTCTATGCTCACATCTCCCTATGTCACAAGAGTACAGTGATTTTGCGCAAGACAGTCCTTGCCAGTGATCTTCAAAGATATTCCACTTCACTAAACTCGCTGACCAATGCACCCGCAATTTCATCTCACGCTGTTGCAGTTGAAGAGGCCCACCCACGAGTGTTAAAGGTATAAAAATGCATGCCTCTATGAAAGCAAGTCATCCGCTGAACGTACATTCCCGCTCTTCCTACTTAAACAGCATACTTGCGAGTCCACTCACGAGCAGTAGCCTCGTATCGCGCTCTATCGGTCTTGTACACATGAGCAATCTCAGGGACAAGAGGGTCGTCGGGGTTGGGGTCCGTCAACATGGAGCAAATGGACAGCAGGACTGTGTAAAAATATCAAGTTAGCCGCTTATTTCACACCATTCAAACGTCACAGCGCGTAGCTCACCTTTAGAGATGGTCAACGCCGGGCTCCACTGGTCCCTCAAGATATCTAAGCAGATGCTGCCGTTGGAGTTGATGTTGGGGTGGTAGATGCGGGTTGTGAAGTTGACCTTGGGAGGCTTGAAGGGATAATCTGTGGGGAAGTGGATGGCGAGGAAAAAGACACCGCCAGAGTAGGGAGAGTCACCCTAGTAAAGGTTAGTATATGATAATCCATTGTTATCATTAGCCGATGGCGGGGTAAAATCGGCGAATGCACAAAAACATCGCTCCTTCATGTCGTAACTTACAGGTCCCATAATTGTTGCCTGCCAGTGGAACTATAACGTTGTTAGTAGTTGAAACCAAATCAAGATCATGTTTGTCGTATGAGGACGTTTACGCCACCACAGATGTCACCCAAACTTAGTAACACCTGGATGGGCAGCAACACAGATCACAGGACAGGCTGAGGACATACCAAATCTTCGCCGACGGGGCCGGCAGAGCAGGAAGAGGGCGGGTCACTATAAAAAAGACCGTTAGTTAAGGTTCACGATGAAGCCCCTAGGGCAGAATGTCTGGTCGTGCAGCCGTAGCATGGTATGAATCACACTGCAAAACAACGGCCGCTCAGCGTTCATCGGCCAGCGCGGCACCATCTCCGCTGTCTCGATTTCTTTTTTGTAGGTCTTGAATATTTCTTATTCATCATAATTTTGACGGTCCGATCGTGCTGATAGGCGGCCGCTGGCTGAGGAACGTTGTGCACGAGACATGAGGCTAGGCCGGTTGGCCTAAGGAGGGGGAGGTGAGGGGTTGAATTTACCGGCCGAGATCAGTGAGCTCCTTGTTAATGCGCTTAAGAGCCATGGTTTATTATGTTTTTGTGTGAGAGGGAGGTACGAGAAGGTGTCGACGTCAAGCCTAGATGATGAGAAGAGTGGTTGGTCAGCGGGCAAACAAACGGAGGAGGGCGGTGCGTTGCGGTAAGCGCACACCAAACAAGGCGCAGAATAGACATACTCGTGACGACAACAGGCGACGGTTTAGGGTCGGAGAGGAAAAGGACAGAGATCGAGGATCGTGCCGTAGATTGTAAAGAAATATATCCGAGTCGCTGACCGCGGTTATAAGAAAAATGTTTGTTGGTAAAAAAACCAAGAGGCTATGACGAGATGTGCAACGGAGAGGCAGAGTGAGGGGAGGGATGGGCAGAGAAGGCGAAAGAAAAGGTGGGCTTTTTTCGCCTCTGGGGCCCTCTATCTGTGCTTTTGGTGGTCGCCGCGCTGACCTGGGCTGGGCTTTGGGCTGGGCTGGCAGTGAACACACAGCCAGTAACACACCACTGGCGGGGCTCGCTTTCCCGCTGTGGCCGGCGCCCACCCGCCTGGGCTGCCGCAGGTGACGCGCGCGTGAACTTCTGGCTGCTTCTTCGGGGCCAATAGTTTTTCCAGGGAAACAAGGTCCTCTATTGTCCACCGCCCAACCAGCGTGCAGCGGGTGGGGCCCTTCCGGGTGCCTGAGCAATGGCCGCCCACCGCTTTTCTTTGGGCCTTTTCTGCCGATATCGCAGGAGTGGGACTGTCTTGCATGGGATATACTAGTAACATATTGCATCTACTCGTAGACAGCGTTTTGGCGGTATGCCACTCAATCTGAATAGCATAGGGTCTAGAGTGAAAAGACTCTCTTCCACGCTTAAACTTAACATGGGTATGGTGGCAAATGTGGCATCACCAGCCTATCGTTCACGGTTCACGAGATTGTTACCATAACGACTCTGGATATCGTCCCAAAGCTGGCCTCATTAACTTTTAATTCATGGTTATACGCTTTTCTATAAACTTATTACAGCCATTCGCCAGGCTTATTAACTGTTTTGACTTGTGACAAACTGCTTTCCGTGCAAACAGCCTGTAGCATGCCGTGTGACTAGAACACAAGATCCGTTTAGACAAAGGCTTGGACACCAGTGATGGCGCGACCAAGGATCAGGCCTACATGAAAGGTTAGAAATGTATGGAATTTCAAAGTTAATCACGCATACGGAGATGGGGTAATACATACTGTGGATATCGCTCTGGCCTTCGTAGGTCTGGGTGACAAACAGGTTGGCAACGTGACGGCCAATGCCGTACTCATCACTGACGGCGTTGCCGCCAAAGATTTCCTGGAGGATACGGGCGTTCTTCAACGCGGCATCGCAGTTTTGTCTCTTGATCATGCTAATCATCTCGGGGGTGGCCTTGCCCTCATCCTTGAGACGGCCAACCTGTACAGCCGCAAGAGTACCGTAGGCAATATCAGTGGCAGCATCAGCAAGCTTCTTCTGGATGAGCTGGTAGCGGGCGAGAGGGTTGCCCTTGAACTGCTTTCTCTCCAGAGAGTAGGTTCGTGCACGGTCAAGGCAGTCCTCAAGAGCACCCATGACACCGAACGCAATGCCGTATCGGGCGTTGTTCAGGCAGCCAAAGGGACCACGCAGACCCTCAATATCAGGGAACATGTTGGCGACGGGGACAGGGCAGTCATCCAGTTGGATCATACCAGTGATGGAAGCACGGAGACCGTTCTTATCCTTGATGGCAGGGGTCTCAAGCGTACCGGGTGGGCAGTCCTTGCGCTCGACGAGGAAGCCGCGGATCTTGCCCGTCTCTTGAAGCTTAGCCCAAACCAAGAGGACATCAGCGATAGGGCTGTTGGTGATCCATGTCTTGGCTCCGCTCAGGGAGAAGTAACCAGTCTTGGTAGGGTGGGGGCGGGCAACACACTCCATGCTTCCAGGATCGCTGCCGTGGTTGGGCTCAGTCAGGCCAAAGGCACCGAGGAGCTTACCCTTGGCCATCTCGGGGAGGAAGCGTTCTTTTTGTTCTTGGCTACCGAACTCGTTGATGCCTCCCATGACAAGGGATGACTGGACAGACATGCCTGAACGGTAACCACTGTCTACGCGTTCGACGGCGCGGGTGATGAGACCATTGGCAATGCTGGACACGCCGGCGCAGCCATAGCCTTCAATGTTGGCGCCGAGCAGGCCAAGCTCGCCCATCTCTTCGAGGATCTTGGGGTCGTAGTGTTCATCGCGGTAGGCCTCTATATAAGAACAACAATTAGTATTAGGACACAAGACGGCGACATGGCAAGGGAGGAGTTGGTGGCATACGGAGGACGCGGGGCAACATGCGCTCCTGGCAGTAGCGCTCAGCGGTTTCAGAGATGGCCAATTCCTCTTCAGTGTAAAGATGCTTTGCTCCAAGAGGGTCTTCCCAGTTGAAGGTGGGACCCGAGGCGGAGGAGGCGAAAGCCCGGGTTGCGGCGATGGGCCGGGCCGATGCAGCGGTGCGCGCAACGGCTCTAAGAGAGTGACGGAACATGACTGGGATAATTGAGGGAAGGAAGAACAAAAAAAAGGAATTGAATTATATTCAAGCAAAGAATATGTTGTATAGGATATCCCCAAAGAGGAAAAAAGTGGATATTCTCTTTCTTTCCCTTGGTTCTAAGGCCAGAAAGCAGAGAATCAAGAAAAAAGTGATGATGAAGAAGGCAAGTTTAGCCCTCCGGCTACAAGACATGAAATATCGGCTAGCGACATCGCAGAGCCGGAGCGCAGCCCGCCGGGGGCCACTTTCTCCACTAACACCAGCCAGCCAGAGCAGCCCAACCCCATAGTTGGTGGTCGCTAACCCGCAAACTGATCCGATGGAATCCGTAGTGTCCACACCCGGAAGGCCAGTACCTCAATGCGCTATGGGTACCTGGAGAAGCCCTTTGTCTAGACCGAGGGGAGCTAAGCGGCCTTCCATTCCGGGGAATGCTTCGGGACCCGAGGACACCATCTGTCGGTACGGAGGCGTATATACTTTGCGCCGGCGCCATTTTATACTTGGCTCTTGCTTTTACTTATTCTTTCTATTTTCCCTTTTGTTTTATTTTTAGCGTTCAACTTTTGCATATTTGGTATTTTTGGTAAGGCAAAAAGAACATGCCATTGAAAGGCTATCCGCTTCTCTCTGTTGCACTTAATTGGAAAAAGGGGTGCTTGTTGTTCAGCTCGGCTGCCTCCAATACGAAACTCGCTTATTAAACAACAGCATGATTTCTCCAGATAACATCGTTAAAAAGCAATGTATGCTTCCGTGCTACATGTTAGAATACTGGACTGGATCAATTTATAAATCTCAGAAGTTGTCCAGGGCATTACCTTCTACACACCTCATAATATTATTCCATAGCCTTCCCACTAATTGGCTCCAGGTAGCCGACTTAGAGGCCAGTGAGGAAGGCTCGAGTAGCGCAACTGTCTGTAGTAGGCCTCCTAAGTCAAGCTTGGTAGTGGTGCTACAGACAAAATATTAACCGTAGCCATTGCGGAATTATACTCCGCGCAGAAGAAACAGAAGACCTGGGACCCTTCCCGCGGTCATTGGCATTATCCCCCTCAAGATCTAAAGAGATAGCCACCACAAGCTTCCACGACACAGCACTATCTTGAGCGCAAACTGGTACTAACAACACACATCGAGTGCCAAGCAGAAGAACAGTGCGTTTGCTGCCTGCACAGGTACCACAGCCATGTCTGCAACTACCCATGAAATGACTCAATCAGTCAGGGTACTGTCAATCGTGCTTCGTCTCCGGTTGTTGTCTTCTATTTTTGCTTTGCAACGATGATCCGGGTGGGTAAGGCTGTCTGCCCCTTCATATACTTTCCCTTTTTTGGTGCTGTGCCAGCATAGCCGCAACTTGTCGTCATCGTTGGGGAGGCCAATTTCCGACGGTGCCTTGGTCAACGGGTGTAAGCTGGGTGTGAACCCTGGTGCGCAATAAAGAAAAAAAGGGCGCTTCCAATTTCAACAGTGCCCGGAAGACAAACTGTTTACGATCTCGTATTTCCTAACTTCAAGTATTGTTCATTATAATGGCCCCGAATTGAACAGTCAAAACAATTGCGAATGCCGTCGACACCACCGTCGCCAATCGCAGACGCTGCACCAAGAGCGTGTCCTCCTTGCGTAGCGTCGAGGCGCCCGGGAAAGGGCTTTAGTGGCATGCCGGACCCCTGTACCGGTGCAGCCCAGGGTTGTCCAGGCGCGTCGGCCAGTGCGCATCTCGACGCTCTCAGTGGGTGCTATTCGCTGGAGCTGCCCACCGCACCGCCGCAGACGCGCCTGCCAAGGAAACCCGGACACCTGCACAGGCCGTGGGCGCAGAGGCAGCGGGACCCGCTTTCAGTGGCCCTGCCCGCTGTAACTGGTTCCCTGGACCTGGCTGAGTCGCGGTCTGCCCAAAGCAAACACCCAATTGCCCAAAGCGACGCTTTTGCCTGTGTTTTTCCTCTCGCCTCCAGCAACGCCGCCCTCTCTCCTCTCGGCCATCGTCGCCAAAGGATCGTCTAACACCAGACCCTCGACTCGCGGTTGCATTCTTTCCTCCATCTGATCCTTGGGTTGCGTCTATTTTATAATAGCCTGCTTTTCTTTTTAGCTCGTCCCCGTCCAGCCAGGTCGGACGTGCTCAGATTACCAAGGCATTTCCAAAAATACACCTACCTGACCGCACCATAACATCACGCCCTCAGTTGACCCCTTTCGACACCCTCATGCATCGATACGTATAGCGACACCTAGCAGATTCGATCAACGACTGCGTCAATTTGGCTCATTAGTCCGCCTTCACCACCAGGCAACGACAGCAGCTTGATAAGCTTTGGCCGACACCCCCCAAAGTCAAAGAGGTCATCATCACATCAACGCATAACACCGTCTGTTTTGTTCCTTGTACCGCCCTACCAGCTCTGTCCACCCCGTATTATCAAAGGGTTGGCCAGCTTTGATACAGTACAGCTACGCCATGCCATCGTATTTGGCGGACGATGAGATGCCAGACTTCTCGTCGAACCTCGCCCAGCTCCAACTCGACCCGCAGAATCGCTTTGGCCTTACCGCAAACAAAGAAGTTGCCAATGTTGGCGCTGTAAACAGCGAACAAACACATCATATCTCAGAGAGCTTTGACGATCGCTCCACCCTCTCAACAGCACACGAATCCGACGCCTCCGGAGCTACTCCAACGACCATGAACGGTGGATCCCAGTCGACAGGCAAAACGTCAATAAACCGAGCCTCCCATACCTCTTACAGTGATGAAAAGGCTGCTTCAAACGACATTGCGAATGGTACAACAATGATCTTACCAGACAGGACCTCGAAGGCTGATACTGATAAGCTCTCGTTGTCGCCAGATGATATCACTCAGTTCCCGTTAGCACCGACCACCAACGGTCAAGAATATAGCAACGATGGTGGGAATTCAACACCACACGACTCCTTGACACCCTCAAACTCCGACGTACGCACAAACGCCCCCCAATCGGCAACCCTGGCTCCTCCTAAGCCTGGCCCTCATCGGTTCTCTTCTCCCCCAGCCTACCAGTCGGGTAATTCAGTGGTGAAATCATCACCTTCTGGTCACCTACTTCCTCCTGAGCAACTCCAACCGCCGGTTCTCAAACAACGACATACCCTTGAGGTTTCCAAGCCTACAGCTAGTAGAACATCCAAAGATGGCCTAGATTCAGCCCAAAGCACTGGTCGATTTTCGCCAACTACTGCAGCCGGGGGCAATCGACGTACATCGATGAATTTGGGCCGTAGGAGTGCCCGAATGTCAAATGCGGACATGCCTCGAGATGAAGTAGCCCCTGACGAAGACGCTCTTAGATGGGCCGAAGCCTACCGCCAGAAGCGAGCTAGTAAGCGTCGCAAGAAGGAGGAGGAAGACGATGATAGAGTCTTGGTTGGCACAAAGGTCGACGAATCGCATGCAAACTGGGTTACAGCGTACAACATGTTGACTGGCATTCGCGTGTCTGTCTCAAGAACAAACGCCAAACTGGATCGTGAGCTCACTGATGCCGATTTTGAGGCCAAACAAAAGTCTACGTTTGATATGTACGTTGGTTATTGCTCATGTGTCATATTGCGAAAGCTAACACACCTTTTAGCACCGGTAACGAGCTGGTTCCCTCGGCCAAATATGATTTTAAGTTCAAAGACTACGCTCCTTGGGTCTTTCGCCGACTTCGAGCCCTCTTCCGCCTTGATCCTGCCGATTATCTAATGTCCTTGACGGGCAAATATATCCTATCCGAGCTAGGTTCTCCTGGCAAAAGTGGCAGCTTCTTTTACTTTTCCCGAGATTACAAGTACATCATCAAAACGATTCACCATGCCGAGCACAAATTTCTTCGCAAAGTTCTCAAGGATTACTACACCCATGTTCAAGAGAACCCCAACACCCTCCTCTCTCAATTCTACGGCCTTCATCGCGTTAAGATGCCATACGGCAAAAAGATACACTTTGTCGTCATGAACAACCTCTTTCCGCCACATCGTGATATTCACACCACCTTTGACCTCAAGGGTTCTACTGTCGGCCGTAATTACAGGGAAGAAGACCTTGAAAACAATCCTCGTGCGACGCTTAAGGACCTCAACTGGCTACGCCGGCAACGAAACCTTGAGTTGGGTATCCAAAAGAAGCGTCTGTTCCTAGAGCAGCTTCAGAAGGATGTTGCACTCCTCAAGCGTCTCCAGATCATGGATTATTCCCTACTTGTTGGTATCCACGACCTATCTAGAGGAAATGATGAAAATCTTCGTGACAAGACGTTGCGGGTTTTCAATCCAGGCGGTGACAAGTCTGCTGAGGAAGAGCCTCAGCCCAATCTTTATCGCACGCCGTCCAAAATGGAGACCGCTCGAAAAGCCCGCGAGCTTCGACAGATGATTCGACAAGAGCGCCCCATTCCTATTGGACAGGCTATTGATAAGATGCCGGATGAGCTGGGCGAGAGCCACAGCCGCCCTGGCTTTGTCTTTAACCAAGACGACGGCGGATTCCAGGCTACGCACGAAAACAATGCTCCGGCAGATGAGATCTACTATCTTGGTGTTATCGACTGCCTCACACACGTAAGTTCAATGAAGACTAAAAGTCTCCAAACGGTACTAACAAGATGCAGTATGGTGTTATCAAAAAGATTGAACACTTCTGGAAGGGCCTTTCGAACGATAGGACGCAAATATCGGCCTTGCCGCCCGATCAGTACGGCGACCGATTCTACAACTTTGTAGAGGGTGTCACCATGTCTCATGAAGAAGCGCAGCGGGAGGCCCTGCGCAGAGACAGGGAGCTCATGGAAGCCGCAAGGCAGTCGATGGACAAGGCTCACAAACAGAAGGATAAGCAGAAGCTTGCCATTCCGCCGATGCCAACACACCAGCCGCCTGCTCCTCCGGGCCAACCGTCCCGGGAAGCTAGAGAAACGGTAAACCTGGCAAACACGGAAGCCGAGAAGCTCGATACAGAAGCAGTGCAGGCTGGGCAACATGCACCTGACCGTGTTTTGGGTACCATTGGTCCCCTAGAAGGGCGAGATGGGCAGCGAGATTCCATCTTGCCCATTGTGGAAGAAGCTGGCGAAGGCACCCGTGAAGAAGGGTCATCAGATGCGACTCCAGTCAATGCCAGCCCTACCAGGGGCCGCCTGAGCAGAGAAAGTCTCGACAAGAAGCTACCTCCGCTGCCAGGGAGTGAAGAGAGCAGACAGGAGAGTGGAGTTCGCATAGTGGCCTAGATTGCTAGCGCCTGGCAATACTGTCTTACCCCAGCTTGTCCTGATTAACGTCACTCCTTCGACCTTTACTTTTTTCCAGCACTATTATCCAGTCTATTTCTTGTTATATGTTGCATTTTCACAAAGCAAGCGGGCAAAGAGCAAAGAGCGGGTGTCATCAAAGTTAATCAATACTCATATCCTTAATTCGCCTGACAACAGCTTCTTTTCTGATCAACCCATCGGCGCTGTTTCTCGTTGGCGTGAGTTTGGTTTTCCATCATGTCCTTTATTCTCAGCCTTCAGTAGGATTTCTACTTTTGTTTTCTTTCTTGTCTTTTTTTGTTTGCTCCAACACATGGATGATACCACCAGCTGCATTTGCGAGTATTTTCTATTCCTGCTGTTTTATATTTCTTGCCACCTTGTTTGATTGGGCAAGCCTGCATGGGAAGGGACTAGGGTCATTGTTTTTTGTAATGCTAAAGTAGTAACTTAGAATGAAGAAGAATAAGAAGAGTTTTATTTTGTATCCTTGATTGTGCTTCCTTGTGTGCCGTACCGCTGCGTTGTTGGCCAGAAGTCTCATAGCTAATTATACATGCTGCCTTTGAACCAGGCCCTTAAACGTACATGTCCCTCTCCAAAATCGCAGTCGTCGGGCATGAGAGGCTGTGCTCTTGTTCGCCAATGTCCTGTTTTATATACTGTGAAATTCCACTTGTCGCCCATGATGTGAGTCCTATCGTTAATTGCCGCCCTTCTTCTCCCACATGCTCTGCAGGTCATCCTTGGATGTGCCCTTGCCCTCTGGCGCAAAGGCCGTCGACACCGACATTTCCACGGCTCCCTGCTTTCTCAGCTCGTCCAGTCTTCGCTTCTTCTGAATATCGGCAACGCGCCACTGCTTAAAGTACTTGACCCAGGCCACGGCGCAGTCTTTCTCAAACTCGGCGGAAGAGGCGGCGCAGGCCTTTGCGGCAGCGCTGGCACCCGGGTCCTTTGTAGCATCGACAATGTTGTTGGCATCGAGACAGGCAAAGTAGGCGTCACGGGCGGCCCAGCATACAGCTCGCTCGTTACGTGTGGGAATGGCATTGCCGTTGCGGATGGCGTCGCCGCGGGTTTCTGAAGAGAATGGCCACCAGCCCATTGCGTCGGATGAAGGGGGGCGGTTGAGTATGTGGTTCTGTATTCGAGAAGGGTTGTGGCGCAGTTATCGTTGCTTCTGCGATTATTCTGCTTCAGGAAATGAATTGGGCTTGACAGATGCGAATAACTCGACGGTGTTTAAAAATATTAGTTTGATGATTGTACGTACAGCAATAGCTGTGACGATGGCGGCGGACCACCTACGAAAAAGGGCGGCAGAAACCAGCGGGCGGTGAGCCGCCCACAGTTGCCAGACCCGCGCCAGCTGGCTGGTACACTACTCTCCGGTATAAGGCAGCCTAGAGAGCTCTCCTTAACACCGTTGCAGCGACATCGCGGCGCAGCGACTTTCATCCTCGATTTTCTTGGAGACTTTCTTCTCTTTTTTTGCGTCTTGCACTTGAGCTGCAGCGCAACAAGGCAGTACTTTATTTATTGTCCTCTAATCAAGCACCACTGCTGAGGCCATTTACCGATCCTCAGCGCCGACAGCCGGTCTGCGCGACGTTTGCCACCCCTTGCGAATGCGCCTGGAGCTCCGACGTGTCTATCTCTCCAGCGCCGCTCCCGAACAACGGCAACCGCCTGTCCTCTCCTTACATCACTTTCCTTAACGCTCCTTTTTCTCTTTTATCGCTCTCTTTGAATCGACATCTCCGCGCATTCAAGCAGAGTCGCCAGTGTCAGGACGCTCGCTCAAAATATACAACACAGCACTCTAGATGCCGCGAAGACGCAGACCGCCAAGGGCCGGTGCCTTGGCTGAGCTCCAGCCGTTGCGAACCGCCGCGCAGATAGCTACTCTCCAAGCCCTATACTATGTCGTCGCCATCGTCCTCATCGTCTTCACCACGCTTGTGGCCGGCCTGCCCCTCTCGTCGAACCTCCTGCTAGGCTGGGACGCTGTCCGCGGCGATACTACCCAAGGGTGGTTAATGGCGTTTATTTGGATATTCAATGGTGGTTTTTGCATGTAAGAATCTCCCCGGCTAGTCAGCCTTTCCTTTGTCATTTCGTATGCTAACGTTGTACTCTAAAGGGCGGTCGCTATTGTTATACTTATCGCTCGAAGCAAGCTCGTTCCCGACTTCGCCCTGACAATACACTTCCTGCATCTCATCATCACGACGATATTTACAAATTCGATACCGACAAACTCCATGTGGTGGTTCACCATGCTTGCATCATCGATGCTTGCAGTGTCCCTGGGAATGTGGGGATGCCAGTACCGCGAGCTACAGCCAGTCTTCTTTGGCGGCCGCATCCTCAACTCAACCGGTGGCTCGGCCTCAAGGGGCCAGACTAGCGCGGAAGACGACGACCTTGAGGCGGCTGCTGGAGAGGAGGACGGCTTTGTGCGTGGCTCGGGTAAAGGAAAGGGCAAGGATGGCCAAGGGACATACGAAATGGTCGATATGAAAGCCACTTCCTGAGTCCTTTGGCTGCGTGCTATCGACTGGTAGACACAAAACTTTCTTGGGATAGCGAAATTTGCATTACTTGGCGTTAGTTTTGGTTAGGACATGTATTATAATCACACCACGCACGAAATGACTGACGAGTAGATACTGGCTGTCATTCTGGCGCATTTATAGAAAGCTCTACTGTAATACCCCAGCCTGTGAACAAGCGATATTCTTGCTTCATAATAGAACATCTAGATGCTGTTTTTTTTATTGACGTGCTTACTACTCATACATGGTTCTCTCCCTCAAAGCGAACCAACCGCCATTTCCCGCTCAACCAACTCCATATAACCATTGTATATAATGATAAAACTGCAAAATAATTAAAATGTCAAAGTGAATGACGTGTAGATATCATGCCTCCATATTGGGTATGGTTTGTTTATGCACCTGCAACGACGGCCAGGTTGTCGTAAATGGCCCTTCGCACATCATGCAGCGCGTTCTTGCGACCAACACCAGGCAGACCAACGCTCTCGACATCGATTCGGCCGTCGCCCGTCTTGCGGATCGTAACTGCGCCGTCCACAACCAGGATACCCTCGCCGCGGAATTCTGCGGTGTGTCCTGCGGCCTGCATTGCGCGTCGCAGGTCAGGAAGGCGGAGATCGCCAACATGCAGCGGCTGGACTACAGCTCGAGTAGCAGAGGCAAGGTGGCTCGGTACCACATCCAACGTGGGCATGGCGGTAGCCGCAGGGACCAGAGCGTTTTGTAGACTGGTTTGAGCAGTCTTTTGTCGCTTGTTAGGGCTTTGTTCATTGTCATCCTCGTCGGGCTTGACCTGCATGGCGGCTGCGAGGAGCTGGCCTGATATCGTCACAATGCCCAGACCACGGACGTTTTGCCATTTGAGCTTCTTGACCAACGGGTCTGCAAGCTTGACGACCCAGGCGTTGGTGTCGACGCTAGCATCAATTACCACGCCAACAGCTGGTGTGAAGACGTCCGATGCTGCGCGCTCTCCTTCGGTCGCGTTGCTGAGCAATGCACGGCAGTCCTCGGCCAGCGCCATAGTCTCGTCCTCAGTGCCGGACACGAGAATGAGTTTGCGAGGTTGAATCAGACGGATAAGCATGTTCAAACTGCGTGGGTCATGCAGACCGCTAAAGTCCACGAAACCAATCTGCATCTGCGCAGCCACTGTCTCTGTATGGTAGACGAGCTTGCTTGGGCCAACAGGTTCCGGGGCTTCCGAGTCCTCAACCAAATCTAGTTCGTCCGGCTCGGCGCGCGAGAGCTCTTCGCCTTCGGAGGGCTCAGTTGATGCAGCCCAGTTTGGCTGCTGCTTCTTAACGGCGCTGGTGGCTACTTCGTCCCATTTCCGCTTCTTTCCAACGTCGGCATCGTCGCCAACAGCTGTAATTCCTTCTACCGGGTCGTCTTCCTTCTCCTCGGCTCTGAGGAAGTCTTCGGGTCGAATCAGCTCACCAAAATCGTCGGTACGCTTTCGGCGGACTGCCACGGGGAACGATCTCTCACGCCCCTTGCGTCCACGAGAGTCAAAGTCATAGACGCCTTTCTTCTTAATCAAAATGCTCACACCGAGGTCCTCATCCTTGAGCACCACATTCTTACGGGCTTGTCCTAGAGTTGCCGAGACGGTCAACGCTTTTCCTTGTTGTTGTCCATCTTCGTCTTCAGAGTCGGATGACGACTCTGATGAAACATCGTCGACATCGCCTCCTGTCTCTAGCGTTGTTGTACCAGTTTGTTGTGTAGCCTGAAGTTGACGCTGAGTCGCTAACCACTGTTGATACATGTTAAGCTCATCGCCGTCCAAGGGTTTCTTCTCTGCCTCTCGAACAACCAAATCACGGCCACCAGCGCGGACCAGTTCGATAGAATCTCCCGAGGCCGTTTGTTGCGCGACCACGCCGTGTTTCTTTTCTTTCCACCAATCCCAGAGGGTCCTCGCAATAGATGGCGCCTTCTCCTGAGAGACACCTGGACGGTCGGTGAGGATAACGAGGTTCTTCTCATTGGCTGCGAGGTTGCGGATAATATCTTTCGAAAATCCCCATTCAACACTGGTGTCGCTGGCGAGAATGACCCGGCCTCGGCTAGCATCAATATCACCACTTAGCAGCTTTGTAATCTGGGCTTTACGCTCCAGCAAGCGCATAAACTTAAAATCGAATGGTCCTCCGTCCTTCTTATCACTTGTGCCATTTGTCTTGCGCTGGCCTTCTGCGTACGCTTCAAATTCTTGAACAATCGAGTCATCCATCCACTCGAGCATACTTCTGGCATATCGCATTGTGCTAGACATGTTACGTCCAGCGAGATACAGCTTGACCTCGTGCAGAGGCCCGTTGGCAGCTGCGTCGGTTCGCCAGGCATGTTCCAGCATGTACGAAAGCTCAAGCACTCGAGCGCTTGAATCAATAGGGATAAGAACAGTACCTCCCCTTGCGACGCACTGTTTAATCATTTCCAGCATATGCTCGTCACGCTTGACCCTTCCACCCGCCAGAGCATTCCTCTCAGAGCCATGACTGCTACAAATGAGCGCTGTAGGTTTCCGCAGTTGCTCAATGACTTCTGTACCGCTTCCACCAGCGCCTCCTAGCCAAGCCGCACCTGCAAAAACATTCTCTCGAGCCTGGTTCCAATCCACTGCATAAACGATGGATTCCAAGCCGTGTTGGATATGCCAGATCGTACCGCCAAGTGTATGGCCTGAGTTATACGCCGTAACAGTTAAACCATTAAGCGGCGGCGAAAATGGCGAAGGAAGAGGTTGGAGGGGTTGTGAGTATTTAAGCGGTTGTATCAGAGAGAAGTATCGTGCGATATCGTCAGGGCTAGGTGCTTGAAGAAGCAGGTTCTCTGCAGCAACAGCGGCCGGTGAATTAGCGTACGCATATGCGGTTTCGGTTATCGATGCTTCGGAGATTGTGGTAGCCGCAGCAGGAGACGAGGCGTAGAGATCTTGCGTTAACGTCCTGCCAAAGTCGATGACTGGGCGCGTAGCATAGACGGGTATTCTTGTAAAGAGGGGGAAGTTGTGACAGCAGTGTGCGTAGGCTGCCAAGTGTGAGGCGGTCGCATGGGTAAGGAGGATAAACGAAAGGGTCGGTACTTGTCTGATAGTAGCGATTGAAGCGTTAGCGAAGCTGAGTTTTTCAAGGGGTTGTCGCAGTCGTAATTGGAGGTCATGGCATACCTTTCAAGCTCTTCAAGCTTGGATGCATCAAACGACTCGTCCCAGCCGACATCAATTAGCACCTTGATACCTCCATCAAGCTCCAAGAGCGACTGGGAGGCGACAGACCCCGACAGCGCGCCTTGGAGCGAGCAGAAGTTGAACATTGTTAGATCTTGCGCCTAGTGCCGGCAGCCGCGGAAGGTTGGATAAATGTGCGCGATGCGCGTGACTAGCTGATTTGTAGCATCCGCACCTTGCAAAATTAATTTTGCTTGTCGCTGAGTGCTGGTGGTAGCCGATCAACTTTGATGAATCTTGCTGCGATGGTGTTGAACGCGAACATGGTGGAAGCCAATGCTCAGCGTGAAGATGTGGCCCGTGCACGCAGGCAGGCGCCCAGACTTCCACCACAGCCACATGGCTACAACTAAACGTCCCCCGCAAGATTTCGAACCTTGTAGAATGCGATACGTGTTCAAGGGAAAGTCAATTTCATAACTCAAAAATGATATTTACGTTACAGTTTGGTCTAGAGGCCATTCTAAGTTTTCAATCCCACATATTTACATTTATTAAAGGCTTCCCGAAACCATCCTTACGCGTACAAAGTCTCGTCATAGCGATTTGTCACAGAGTTTGATGAGAAGCAGAGTTACACTTAAAACAACTTTACAGGAACAATAGAGTAGTTTGAAAGTATGTCGTTTCATTTCATGTCTATGTAAAGGCCCTCTGCGAGAGCACTTGGTATATATATACGCCAAATAAATTCCCATAAAATGTTGCCGTGCGCCGACGGCTGGCCCTTTATGCCTGTGTATGTGTATGTGTTTCCATAAGTTGAATAAAAAAAATGAATACTGTAATCCCGCTCATTGGTTACAGTATGAAGAAATTCCATGCCCAGATAAATATACATGCCACTCAGTGGCCTGCCTCGCTTAGAGGCAGAACTTGCGGTCCAACATGCCCAACGCTCTAGCATCCTCAGAGACTGCGCCTCTTCCTGAGCTAATGCTGTTCATGCGAGAGTTGCAGTCGTCGCCATTCTCACTACTCGCAGGAGTAGGGTGGAGGAGCGCCGAAAGGCTAGAGCGGTGTCCCGTAGGCATCTCCGAGATGGAGGTGCGGGAGGGGCTGGCACTGGCATAGCGGGTAGGGGGAGTGCCGGCACCAACTTGGGGTGGTTTAGTCATAGTGTTGAGAGCCGGTAGAGGACCGTTTGAGCCCTTGCGAGCAAGGTCAGCGGGCATGTGAGGAAGAGAGTCATGCGAGTGAGGAGGAGAGAGACGGTGGCCAATGCCGTGGTAGCTAGGCACAGTTGCCGTCTTAGGAGTGCTATGCTGCAAAGGGGGAAGCGAGGCACGCTCGTAAGGACGAGCGGCATAGTGAGGGGGCTGTGAGTAGCCGTGATGAGGAGGAGGAAGAGTGTGGGCGGTTGGAGGGTAAGGAGCGGTCGTATAGTGCGAGTATGGGGGAGTTACCGCAGGAGAAGGAGGCCATCCGTAACCCGGTTGGTAGTGAGGAGGGTAGGCCTGTTGAGGAGCGTGCTGAGGAGCAATCATGTAGGGAGCTTGCTGCATGGGTGCGCGAGTGAGAGCAGGAGTCTGGTTTGTCTCGCCCATGCTAGACTCGGGATACATGCCCTTGACGGGGACGATTGCTCGAAGAGCAGCGTCAGTCGTAGGCTGTTGCATCTCAGGCTGTCCAGGTTGAGGGCGAGAGTAGTAAGAGATGAGGTGGAGGTGCTGGCCAGTCGAGGTAGTGATGCTGAAAGACTGCTTCATCAGACCGTCGGCCTTGTAGCGATAGCCCTCGGGCTCGTTGTCGTCGAGATCCTCATCGCTGGTGCGACCATCAGGGCTCTTGTTGGATCGGCGGCTGGTGTTACCAAAGCCACCTCCACGCTTGCCCTCCATCTCACGGTAAGTGAGAAAGCTGCCGGAAACGCGACTGGCGCTCCAGGACTTGCCATCAGTCCAGCGACGCATGCCAGCCTCCCGCTCGTCCCAGACGAAGACAGAGCCAGAGCGGATAGACTGTCTCTCCTTCTCAGAGAGACGGCGCTGCACGCGGGGGAGGAGGCCCAGGCGGCAGGCTTCGAAGAGCTTGATAGCATCCGCCGGGGTACGGACGTAGCCATGGTACGTCTCCATCTTTTCTAAAGGTACGGATTCCGTTGTGAAGGTATTGGGGTGATGTCCGGCTGTCGTGACAGGCTGGACAACTATACGATCGGTGTGTGTTGTTTTGGTTGGAGAATGGGGATTCAATCAGATGATGCTTTTTCTTGCAGCAAGGCAGGGAAAATAGCAACGGTGATTCGACGGAGAGAGAATTCGGTTGGTATATAAAATGGTCAACAAAGCAAGGCCAATGAGAGATCGCGAGTCGTAGTTGTTGGATTTGCGTGCTAAAGCGAAACTAAACGAGCAAAGAGAGTTGGTTTATTTGACTTCCAAAAATTGGAATATCGATGACCCCAACAAGGAAGAGTTGGCGTAGCAAGGTTGTAAGATAGAGTTCGAGATTTGCTGGAATAAAGGGCGAGAGGGGAAGATGCTGGTGTAAAGGTTGAGTCGTGGAGAGTTTGTGGATATATACAGAATGGGAAAGCGCGAGACCGAACGAGCCAAGCAGGGCGTACGTCGAATCTGGCTAAGACGGCATGAGCCCCAGGGCTTACTGTGCTCGCTTTTAGCGGGCCAGGGCGCTGGCAAAAAGATGCCGTGGGAACCGATCCGCCTGCGCTGTGGCAGTCTGATGGGGGGTGTAGGCAGACAGTCCGACAAAAAAGAGGGGGTGTTTTAGCGGGGGTACGCCAGGTGGATCATTGGTGAGACTCCACCGCGCACAACCAGCCCGGGGTGCTCGTATGGCGCTGTCTCGGCCGACAAGTACCTACCGGGACATCTGTGGAATAAAAAAAAGTGAAGGCTTTTTGAGCAAAACGACGAGTACAAGGTGGAACTAGATTGGAATAGTTAGCTGGTGGCAGAATTAATAGCAGTAATCTCGAAAGAAAGCCGTCCGAGGAAGGGCCAGACCGTGGTGTTGCTGGTGGTGGTGGTAAGAACACAGGCAAAATGCCACTGCTATACGCCGTTGTCGCTCCAAAATGCACACACTGAATCGCCTGCACAAAAAAGAGGGTGTTGTCGTTCCCGTACAAACAAGATTCCATGACAGAGAGCACCTTTGGCATAGAAAAACTCGGGTTAGGCTGCCGAGCACTCAACCGTACCACAGATGACGTCCTCTTGCAGGGAGAAGCGTCCAAAAGAATCCCCAACAACGGTGTGCCGTCCTCTGGCTTCCACGATATTCCAATACGCCGCCATGCACCGAAAACTGTAATTTAGCGGTTCCCATGGAAGTCCATGGAGCCGCCACCACCAAATTGCCTCCTAAGGCTCCCTGAAAGTTGCTTCCCGTTACAACCAGAGCCTCGACACGTTGCCGACTTAACCGTTGCACCACTCACGATAAGCGTAATGTGCTGATCCACGCTTTGCGCAACCCCCTCTGCCCCCTTGTTCCCAGTTGGGGCTAAAGCCGTCGCAAGACGGGCCAGGGTACCACAAGGGGAGGGCTTTATTGTGATTATTTTTTAGTAAGGGAATAAGCCTAATTCATTTTAGGCTCCGTTGTCCGAATCGCGCACCCACACCATGCAAATGGCCGAAGCGCGAGCCTGTTTGCACAGAGTTGTTGGTCTTGTGCTCTGAGGAGGAGCCACGGACCAGGCTCGATAGACAATAAAGCACCAGACGGCACGGGTAGGTCGTTTGTTGTGTAATGGCATGAGAGCGTCGGTCAAATCTCTGTGTTATGCGATACTTCCTTCGCCTTCCGTTCAGCCAAAAAGCCAAGAGTCTGGCAGCAAGGCCATCATCACTTTGGAGGGTGGCCAAGCACCGGCTCTGCCAAGGACCAGATGATCGCCGGGAATAAATTTGTATCGACGGGCGGCCACCTTTGTCGCACATCCCACCGCAAGCTGAAATTCCCATGCGACAATCTCAGGTTGCGTTTGTTTCAGTAATGATTCTGCAATTCTTGTTTTCTAGGATCGTCACGAGGAGGAGTTTGCTTTGTTGAATTGGACGTCGCTGCTTTTGTACGCTGCCTGTTACAACAGCATAACTGCGCAAAGCTTTGCCTTTCCACTACAACGAGTGCACCAGCCTGGCGACAGAAGACCGCCCGTACCTCCCCTTCGTAAGGGTAAATAGCAATGGATGAATTGACTAACAGCACTGTCAAAGGAACTCGAGTCTAAGCTTATTTTCCTACTAGTTCAATGGCCGAGACCCTGGTACGGTAGGATTACGTTATGAAGTCAACTAGGTTGAGGGCTCCAAGAGCACCAAAAGTACAGCGGGCACAGGCACCAAAAGAGCCCAGTAGAACATGCCTCCAGTACTGTAACGGGCCGTCAGGGAAGGACGAGCGACGAGCGACGAACCCCGTCAGCCGCTGGATAAGTCGGCAACGCAAGGATGCACACGCCCCGGGTGGTGCCCCACTAGCGTTCCTAGGTGTCTGGGGAAAGGACGACTGAGGTGATGACCGGGGCGCCTTATTTTAAGCATCAACAACTTTATTCTGCACAATTCCTAGCGCCAACACCCCCCTTCCGTCCGTTGAACAATGGAGCACACCGGGCGCCAGGCAAAGCAAAATAGAACGTTCTGTCGAAGACGGTGGGATCACGAGCAACGCGATCACGTTTGTCTTTTATTCTTTCTTTTCTTTCAACTGAAAATAGCCGTAACGGTTGTGAAACTTCTTGTTTCCGCTGTCTTCCTCCCTCTCGTTCCACTCTCCGCCAGAGGACTGCCGTCCTGGATAAAGTGTGCACAATTGCCGTGTCTGCCGTCCACTACGTTTTGGGGGGCGTGCGCTACCAAAGGGTCATCCGCCTCCCTGAAAGCCAAACAAAAGCGTTCCATAGTTATCTTCGACTGCTTGCAGAATGGTTACATCGCCGCTCATCTTTCCCCTCATGCGATAGTGCAGATATGCCAATCTGGCCTTTCAATCGCATTTAGCATCGCCCTCCACCCCTCCACGTACGAGGTACGTGGACCGATAGATTAATAGCAGCCTGGGCTACAGACCTTCTCATCCGCAATCGGCTAGGCACACCGCTGCATAAAAGCACAATTTATGCAGCTCACAGTGAGCTGCCATGCATCTGTAGGAAATCAGGTGAATAACAGCGCCGTCCCTATTGCTACGTAACCGGACCGTTTGCTCGTGGGACAGCAAGCGTGCCACCGTCCGCCAAAGTGGAGTGGAGATTAAGTCTAAACCAAACACTTTTTAGTGTAAAACTAGGAGGCGCTGTGATGACGTCGCTTGCATGCCGTGGTGCCGACTTATCCAGACCCAGGAACTTCCCATGTGGTTTTGCCCAGGGGACTTATGCGGCGCCCTGGCTTGAGGCTCTTTTGAATTACGGGTTACCAAGAAAGATGCCAACAAGCAGAGTCTGAAAAGGGTATTTGGACCAATGTAGCTGGCCGCCACAGCATCGTAACGACACAACGGTGACGATCATGGTGTCTGTTGTCTAACAACGTAAACACTGGTATTAAAGCCCGATTAATTATGATAGTAAGCTGCGGTGACACAATATGCACATTTCTACATCATGCATCGTTTTTTTTTGCTCCTGTGTACCTTTGTTTAATTTCCGGTCATTGGGCATACCTTGGTGTACTCCGTCATCCGGCTTGGGTGAACGGACGGTGGTGGAAATAACCCCCGACAAGTATTGAATATCCGGTTGCAGGGAGAAGGGCCGAGCATACGAGGGTGCAAAAGAAAACTTGAATGACCAAGATCTAGCAAGAAACAGACGAAAGGGCACCACCCACTGACGTTGCCAGCATTGCAAAGAAACGCGGATGGGGGCAAAAGAAAATAGTAGGACCAGTGTAGCCTGAAAAGGGGGGGTGCAGCCAAGACGGATCAGACGGCCGGAGAAACTGGGGCACGCCCCTACAGCAGGTAACGCTCGCACCTTTTAAGCATGAATTTAAACGTTTCCAGCCACTGGGCTTGGCGCGGGTGCTACTGTTATTTCGTGGAGGGGTGCGTAGAAAATAATCACCACATTTTGAGATTTCTATCACACAAATACGCCTAAATTAAGTGATTGAAAATACTGAAAATATGAAAGGAATCGTTATATAGACTCTTATAATTTATTTTGTTTTTTATAACTAGTTCGTCTGCATATAAATCTACAGAACCAAACTCGAGGGTCTTGCGTACAGGGGCCCTGATGCAACAACAGACCCATATGGCTTGCATTAGCGCGAGCTTCAAGATGCCGTTCGAGCCGGCTTGGCCTAGCCATGTCTTATTGTGCACTCTTTAGCAAAGTGGTTTTTTAACCTTGTTTGCTGCACTGTTATTCCCGGCATGCGAGCTAATTAGGTTACGCTTGCACCAGGCGACACATTAGGATTCGGCTGTAGCAGACAATGTCGCTCATAGTCGTCATATAAATATTATCCTGCTAATCATTTAAATATTATCCTGCTAATCATTTAATTTTTGTTTTATTTTAGGGGGTTTATTCGCTTTAATTATGAAGACGCGTGTGTCACATTGCCATGGCAGCGCACGCGAGCAGCTCCAGAGAGGCGGCCGCGTAGGCCCATGAAAGCTTCGGGCTGTCGCTGAGCAAATGCCAGCCCAGCGCAATTTACACAACTACTTTAGTTGCTTCAGCTGCTATATTCAGCGTCAAAGGAGGCTGCTGGGTCACCGTTTAGTGGCGTCCAAGCCCTCTCGCGTTGCAGGCGGAAACGGCTCTACACGCCTGTTCCTCCGCGAGGTATCATTTGACTCAGTCGGAGCGCATTTCTAGTTCCTAGGCTAGTGTCATGTTCGATCTGGATTCGTCTCCGTTCTCGTTGCATTACGGAGACTTCACAATCACGTAAAGGAAATAATAGCTGTTGTGTGGTAGCTGGGTTGGACGTCTAAAACGGCACCATGGCAGAGGTTCTAAATTCATCCCGAAGCATCACCGGCCGTATGAAACGTTACAAATCAGAATGACACATACACTATTTCCGTACTTTCGTCCCGGTCCGTTTTCTTAAAGTCGGTCAATTCACTAGCTACTGGTGTTTCTAGGCGAACAAGGTTTGTGCTGTGCTGACTTGACAAACGTTTTCCTCTATTTAATAGGCATACATCTGCGGGCCGGCTTGTCTGAATCGCTGGTCTATACAGCTACTTCATATTTGAACAATCATTATACAATTTCAATAAAAAAGAAACCATTACGGAGGTTGTAGGCGTCACCACTGGTATTCTATCATAGCCCGCGGAAATAACCTTTACCGCTACAGATCCAAATTGTAATCTCCACTGTACCTGTCAAGCCTAGTGAATAACCTTAACTGCAGGCCGCAGCGCCTATCTTTGCTCGTAGCAGCGCCCGAGCGTAGCATTTGATATTGACTGCTTCATGCAAGCCTACGCCCGCCAGTAATTAATCACTGGCCTGGAGACGGTGTAGTGGTTCGATATTACTCTCGCCGTTTGTTTTAGAATTAGCTCTTTTGCAGACCTGCATCCACCCAGCCCGTCCGACCGTAGGCGCTAGTTTGCCAATAGTCTAACAGATCGACGTCATAGGTTATATTCCTGGCACAGCGGAGTTTTTGGCTCGACTAGACGGGAGAGCCTTGGCGTTGATGTCTAAAGCGCCAAGTATGCCGCTCTCACACGCCCCTTTGGCCTACTTGGCCTGATCTACAGTTGCATTGAAAAAAAAAATTTAGGCTCCGCGACGTCGCTCGGCTTGTCTCGCAGGGTAAAAGAAGATGCGGCGGGTTGTTGGTTACCTTGCAAGAGACCCTTTCCGCGGTCACTCTCCGCCTCTCCGCTGAGTTTCCGGTCGTCAATGGCTTGCGTCCTCCCGGAGAATGGGAGGAACCTGACTGCTTGGCATACGTGGTGAATCAGTTGCTACTCTACATACAGTTTCCTTTTCTTCTTTTTTTGCCTTTGTGGTGCCCGGAGATCGTTATAGCAGGCAAAGGGACTGATCGGCCTTGCTTGTTGAGCCTCACATGCTATGTGAGGCATCGGCACAACTAGATTGCGCCAACCCAGCATTAGCCCCGTTGAATTACTCGACGCGCAGAAGCAAAATAGAAAGCGGCGTGGTAATCCGTGTTTGAAACAGAGCGCTAACTCGGCCATTGCAACCTCATTGTAGTAAGCTGGCATCGTTATCTCGAGCGCGTCTGCCGCTAAGATGGCCACCGCAATTTACTCACCAACTCTAGTTAGCCCACTTTGTGGACGTGCAGCGGGCCTCTCTCCACTTGCCACCTTTCACCCTGCTTAAGCTTATTTCTCACGCGTTGGACAACCCTTCCCGGGCCACCCCCCGGCTACTTGAGCGATCTTCTGCAAGAGCTTTTGAGGGGTGAAGTGAAAATACGCTGCTTTGGAACCGAGGTTATTGATTGTTTTTTTATTGTTTTTTTTTAGGGTTGCGAATCACACTCGGCCATGTTTTTTTAACTAGGTACAGCAGCCCATGATTCCAGCGGGAATTAAAAAAAAATTACATACCTTCTTCTTTCGTTGCCCTCCTCCAAGCAGTCGACAACGCCACCAGCCAGCCTGCTTGCTTCCACCAACTTGCTGCTTCAGTGAATGGCCTAACTGCACCCCCTCTCTGGCGGGAAATCGGTTAAGACGGCACGTTCTCAGCCTTGGCCGTAGCTTTGAAGAAGACCAGGTATGGTAATAAGTGGGCCCAACTCCATGTGTTCCTCATTGGCTCAAATTTGCGAGGTTATCCCTAGTCACGTGTGGTTATGCAACTTCGATCCTACAGCGTCTGTCGTACAGCAAGCAAGCGCCCATAGGATGCGTTTAACGCAATACAACTGTTTAGAAAAACGTACGTGGATAAATACGATTAAAATACAATGATTAAATTCCTACGAATATATTACATATACCACACAAAATCGCGATGAAAAGGAAACAATTGTTTAACAATGTTCTAAAAACAATAGACTGATCCCGGGTAGAATCCGATGTTTGTGGCTCAGGTAAGATCTTCCGCTAATCTATACTCTGTCAGCCAAAAATTACACCATGCAAGCCATCTATGCTTCAGCATAAGCATCTGACACAATGTTCACCTGGCGCCTTTTTTATCAAGTTTGCGTAGTTTACTTTCCTAGTGACGAAAGGGTGGTTATCGGACCAAGCACTTATACCGGAGCAGCACAAACCGAGCACAACAATACCCCGTTACCGAGTATGAACGCTTATTCACCAACTGATATTCCACAGAAAATGGATCAATAATCTAACCCATACCCCAACATAACTGTGCCGAATACGTACACTTGGTCCGTCCTGCAAAACCGAGAAACCCGAGACGCGGCATTGTATCCTATTTGGGCCCTAAATAACGGCTCCTACGGCACGACCAACGCACCATGTAGACAAGTCCCAGCCACCGTAATGCCCTAGGCGGCTTGAACGCCCTACATGGTGTTCGACTCGGGAGGGATACTCATCTCGTTGCGCGTGCATCGCGACCCAGGCTCCACCGAATCTGCGGCCGAAACGAATGCTCTCTGCTCACCGAAAAGCTTAGTATGACAGCCCGCTTTCTACACGTGGGTTCCGTCTTTCATGCAGCCAGCACCAGCACACCAAGCATCCATAGGACCGTTGGTTGTAGGTCAGCTCTGCGTGTGTGCCTGGGGTACGCTCACCCCGCCCCAATAGCACATCCATCGCTGCCGGTTATCCGTCCCCTGGGCAAGCTGCTGGTAAGGGTAATGCAGAGAGGGTGTGCGGGCCCGGGTTGACCACGTCGGTGAAGCACCATTACCTCATTCCGTTCAGACTATTGCTTTTCGAGAATGTGGCAAGCATGCAGCGGGCCGATGGGCAGGGCCTGACAATGCGGCAAGCGTACACACCCCAGAGAGTGCCGTTTTGCCGAAAGGTTCACGAATATGCTTATCCCGGGTACGCAATGGTAATCCCGAACAGATATATTACAGCGGTAATGCCAGTGTTGCCAATCGCCACACACAGATGCCCCTGAACTGTAACTGCCTCAATGGACACAAAGGTGCCTTCTCATTGTGTACGGCTTAAGGAATCGGCATAACTCTTAAACATAACCGTTTTCCCGCGCATAGAGCAGCTAAATTGACAAAAAGGACCTAGCCATGCATCTTAGCATGCTGTCAAATGCAAAAGAACGACTCAATGCAACGCTTACAGTAGAGGGATTACTGTCTGCATCGGCTTGTCTTGCCGTGACTTGCTCTCCACTATCGTGGCCGAAGTTCCGACCGCTGTCACAGACTGGAATAGGCAATTGCTTTCGAATAGCTTGTTTGAGGAAGGGGCGTGGAACCCTGTGTAAAACTCAGCATATGCATGTTTGGGCCGGTGAGCCGAACTGTCAGGGTTACATCCATCTTCGATGGTGCATGAAAAAGAGGATCCCATTGAGGCTGTGCAACAGCTTTCTCGAGAAGGTAGGGTCTTTTGGTAATGACATGGACAAAGATGGGCCAATCAGATACACCTGTGCTTATACTTGTTCATGTGTTGTGAGAATGGATTGGGGGTATTAGTCTATATACAGGTGTTATACATGGGTCACGGCGATCATGATGCCGTGTGAGGTGTGCATCGAAACTCTGTGCCTTCCAAATGCGCCGGTTCCCGCTCAGTACCGGTTGCCACGCGAGTCGAGTCTTACGCCCGTCGTATTCGATAGCCGAATCCCGGGTGCAACGAGTACGTTTGCAGAGACTGGCGGTTTACCAATGCGTGAGGAGAATAGCTCGAATGTGGCCTCTCTGTGTCTAGCTTGCTGCTGTTGTACAGATACAGCCGTTGGCACACAGCTAGCCAACGGTATGTCTCCTGGGAGCTGCTGAGGCTCCATTAACAATCACATCGCTCAAAGTGGCGAGGAAACGGCACCACGTCTCGGACATTCTGTACGCCAGTCATGTAACTGAGCAGCCGATCGAAGCCGAGTCCAAAGCCTCCGTGGGGAGGACATCCCCAGCGTCGGAGGTCTAGGTACCAGCTAAGGGAATTGTCGCCGCTGGCTTTGCGCTTCTTTGGTACCTCTAATCCATGAAGGCGTAAGTTGTCTTCCAGTTCTGCTAGACGATGTTCACGCATAGAACCACCAGCTAGCTCACCTAAACTGGGAACTAAGAGGTCGAAGCAGTCCACCGTCTCGCCTTGAGGCGACGGTGTTGCAGATTGCCGCATGTAGAAGGCTTTAATTTCACGGGGGTACTGCGTGATAAAGATGGGCATGTAGGCATTGTTCGCCTCGTCAAATCCAACCTTCTCAGCAAGATACTTCTCATGTTCAGACTGTAGACCGGCTCCCCAGACAGGTTTATGTTCAAATTGATCAGCAACAGGCTGGAGCATCTCGATTGCTTCCGTGTAAGTCAATCGCGGCCATACTTTGTCTGTCATTAAACCACTCCATCGCCGTTGGAGCTCAGACGATTCCGTCAGGTCTGCAAAGGCTAGCTTTTCGGCTGGATCCCGAGAGTCCAGTCTGTTCCAATGCAGTTCATTGGCGGCGCGGAGACCACAAAGTCCCCGCGTAACTGATCGGAGCATATCTTGCACTAAGTGCATGACATCTTCCATATCGTCAACGAAACTCACTTCTGCCTCCAGCATTTGGAATTCGCTTAAATGGCGAGACGTATCTGACTTTTCAGCTCGAAATGTAGGCGATAGAGTCCATACGTTTCCTAATGCTTGTGCCAACGATTCTAAGTGCAGCTGAGTAGATACAGTCAAATACTTGGTGTCACGGAAGAACTCTTCCTTTCCTGAGGCCTTTACCATGAAAGCCTCACCAGCACCTTCACAGTCCGATGAAGTGATAATTGGTGGATTGGTTTGCTGAAACTGTTGGGTGAAGAAGAATTGCGTCAACATCGCAATTGTGTCAGATCGCAGCCGCAATAAAGTAGAGTTTAGTGGTGTGCGAGACCGTAGGTGTGTAATGGTCCGCAAGCTTTCCGGCGTTTGATACTTGTTTTGTATCGGATACGTCTGTTTTTCATTAGATGGGATGGTATACAAGGAGGACAGAGGGCGCTAGTACATACAGCAGGGTCAGAACTTCCTAGGATTTCGACTGAGCTGACCTGGAGCTCTGACATGGTGGTTGGTTGGCCATCCTCCGACTGGGTTGGCTGTGCAGGTTGTGACTCGTCAACAATGTCAGAGGTTGCTGAAACATGTGCGTCTGATGTATCATTCCCAGGTTTCCAAGTTCCTTTGAAGCGCACAGCTGTGCCAGGGCGGATGCTAAAATCCCAGTCAGTGCTGAATTGAGAACGAGAAAAGAGCCAACAAGGATGCTATGCTAGATCAGGGAATGGTGGAAAGGACGTACTCAGCTGATAGATTCTTGTCCACGACGGCTTGAACGGGGCGCATGGAGGAGCCATCGGTCAAGTCGACAAAGCGAACACCTGAGCTCTTGCGGACGGATCGAACCCAGCCACACACCTCGATATCCGAGACATGCTGGGCAGGGCGGAATTCCTTGATATCGGCCAGTGTTCTGATGGCGCGCTTGTCATCGCCAGGGACTTTGGCTGAATAGCATCGGGGCTTGGGGGAGCGAAGGTGGATGCGTAGGGCGCTCGAATTCAGTCTGTGGAAGGCAGCTCGACGCATCGTGAACAGCCGCAGGGGTAATTGGTTGCGTGTGAGTGAGGTTTGTGGTGTTTGATGGTGGCGAAACGCGTCTTAGGGGGCTATCATGACTGGATAGCTAATTGTTTGGTCAGGAGGGCAAAGGAAGGCAATGTGAAGGGCCAATGGCAGGAAAGGACGCCCCCAAATTTTGATCTCGTCTCCAAGATTTCCTTTTTGCACCAGCCAGGGCGGCAACGACGACTGAGGAGGCAGAAATGAGCAGCTGAAAGGCAGTGACGAGAGAAGAAGAGGAGAGAAGAGTTTTACTGGGGCTGAATGTCTTGCCGCCAGCGATCGCGGGGCGTTAGTGCAGGCGGGACGCGCGCTGGGAGAGCTGAGAAAAGGGCGCTAAAGGCGGGAGTGTGGCCGCTAAAGGCGCCTGTAAATTCCAGGGCATCCGCATCCCAGGGCTCTGGCATCTGGTTCAGCGCAGCAAGGGCGGTTCTCGGTCTTAAAAGGTGTTGAGGCCAGGTGGCTATGGTTAGTGAGGAAGGAAAATACAGTACAGTATCATAGACAACCAGGGCCACCTATGCTAAGCAACCATGCACCTGGCACCTGGCACCGGGACTGTCTGCAGTGCGCAGCAAAGGAACAAGAGACACCAACTACAACTACACCAGTCCTGTGGTCCATCTAGTTTTAAACAAAACATCACCATCGCACCGTGAGCTTGCACCAGCTGGTACATCTCAACTAACATTGTGCATAATTACTTTATTGTACTTGGCACCGCAATTCTTCGGAAACCCATAATCCGAGTTGTGCGAGCAACACCCCGCGGGCGAAAGGTACTTTTCTCGTCACATGAAAGAAACCTAACCAAAGTGCCTTTTTCACCTGTTCCTCTGCATTAATCTGGTGGCACTGTGATTGAAAGGAGGCTGTCTCACTTTCTGCCCAAGAAGTCCCATTCTGCAAGCCAACCTCCTTGCTGCCTCAAGCCATAGGCCGCCACCTGACGCCCCCATAGCTCCAGCTACTCGGTCTACCTTTTGCATGATCAACGCGGAACAAGGGCGGCACAGGCCAACACGATCGCGCTGTCTTTCGATTGCCATTAGCCTGAATGAGAGCACCCGCTTGTTTCTGACGTGGGCCAGCGTAAAGAACGACCGTCTTGTTGAGAATGACTGGGTGCCAGTATGCTTGCTTGAGCTTATCTGACACGGTACTGCAACAACGCCATTTAACAAACCCGTCTCTTCAAGCACAGCTTTCATCTCCGTTGGACTTTTTGCAATCGCCCCCTCGTTTCACAGCCTGCAGCACGTCAACGATGGATAGGTAGAAGAAACAAAAAAAGTAAAAAAAAGAACGGCCAATTAAGCCGGCCCAAAGCCAGCAACCACTGCGTCTTGCATACCCCAACTAGCTTAAACCCACCCTGGAAAAGCTGGAATAACTGGATGCCACAGGCAAATGGATAAGTTTAAAGAGAAAACCCAAGAAAAGCGAGCCCTTGTTCTCTCAATGTCCGCCACGATTTGATTGAGGGCGATGGCCGCCTAATAATCTCGGCAAGGTGTCTCATGCCTTGTCGTCTCAGATCATTGCTTGAATTGGCCAGAGGCCCATACAACATCGCCAGCCTGAGTGCCTCTTCCAAATAACTCACCGAAGCGGCTTGCAGTGGCCTACACACCATGGGCTACGACTTAGGGCTGCACACTGGTTAGAGAGGCGTGGCGAGATGCGACATTGGTGGCAGCATGCCTGGTATGATACAGGAAGCATGACCTGCATTGGCCAAGGCCAGATGATGTACCACACAGATCTTGACCAGGTGCTGGGCCCCTGTCACGGCAAATTCGTTTGCCATTGCCGATGTCGACGCCATGTATAATGCAGCTATGCCTTGTTGTCTCTAAGGGAAGCCGAGGCCTTGAAACGCAGCCTCCCAAGCTAGCATCGGGTAGGTTATTTCGCTAGCTTGCCCTCGTCGCATCGCAAGCCCCCCCCCAGACCAGCCTGCATCTTTGTAGTCACCTTGTTGGCGACACGTCCGCTAATGCCATCGGCGAAGAAAAGCAAACGCACTGAGACCAGGTCCACCCTTTAAGCGGTTCCCGTCTCCTTGGGTGCCGACGAGCTTCGCTCCCCTGTGGGTTTGTCTTGCCGCCTAAAAAAAACGAAAGCTGGAACGTCAAGGGTTGTTGGTGTGCGTAGGAGAGACAGGTGTGTCCACCGGCAATCCAATTGTCCATACTTTGAAGCGATCGATTCTAACAATTACAGATTGCTCGTCCGACGTTAAATTACTTTTGCGATCCCTCGGTTCCTTCATATCTCGCCTTTCTGCCGCTCGCTTGCCCTTTTCAACACAATCTGTGCCAAACATGTAGTTCGCGTCCCGGTAACTTATACGTCACACAAAGCGTGGAAGCCACTCGATAACCTCGCTTCGATCTACCTAAGACCTTTAAGCCCTACATGAAAAGACGCGAATCTGTGTTTTCCTTGACTTGAATATTTCTACCAAATTTCTTCCACTCGGAGCAGACGGACTGCCCACGCAGAATTCGCACATATATAAGTTGAAAACGGTCGCCTGCTTTACAGCCAACTATTTGCGAAGCCTCTCACATTTACTTCTGTATAACATCACCGCAATCCATCCACCGAGAACATACCTTTAGCGATTCTTCATTTTCTTCAACAAGGTGGTCACCTCTCTACATTCATCATGCCTCCCAGTCAAAAGAGCAGCAAACCTCGGCCATCCGAAATAGCGGCGGATACTAAACGCAACTTCATCCCACTAATAAATACCCAATATGCCGACACCTTTCCTCCATACTCAACTTTATATTCCCAGCCCGTCCTCGAACTCTCCATCAAGCGTTATTCCACCAGCACACAACCTCCAATATTTGTAGTGGAAGCCGGCGACCCGGCTATGAAGGCAATCGAATACAGCCATCGTGATACTGAAGATAGCCTCAGCGCTGGCGGCGCACGGATCCGCGTTCCTCTGATTTGCACTGCAAACGAAAGACGCCCTGGCGGCGATTGGGAGACTGGATCCCACACATATGAGGAGAGGTTATGCCGGCGGAGCAATTTAGCTGCTACTCTTAACACCCCCTGGCCAACGAGACGCGCGGAATCCAATTACCCGATCCCGTCAACAGGCGGTATTCTATCCGATGCCGTCGTTTTATGCCGTGCAGCCGATGAGCATTACCAGAAACTCGAACAATGGTACGACCTTCCAGTTATCTCCGTCCCACCTACGCGGTGGCCGAAGCTAAAGGACAATGGCCTGAAGTACTCGTTTGCCGAGGAGCGCGATCTTATCCGTGACAAGATGCGCGGGGCTCTTCGCATATGTCTACATAATGGATATCACTCCGTTGTTATTGGCGACTTTGGTCTCGGAAATGCCTATCGCAATCCCCCGACCGAGCTTGCGGAAATGTGGCGAGAGATATTCCTGTTTGATCCCGATCTGCGCGGTCAGTTTCGCTACGTTGCGTTTGTATTTGAAGATGTTACGCAAAGTACAAGTCAGCTCATCATGGAAGAGACGCTCAAGAAGGAGAAGAAGAATAGCAAGGCGCTGGGAAAGCCGGCACCGCCCGTTCTCAAGCTATTAGAGCAACGGCATGCTCCAGATATGGCGATCTTTGCGCACACTTTCCATGCTGGCGAGATTCAAAGGATCCTCCGCCAACCAGATCCTAGATACAACCTACACATGATTACTTGCTAGAAATAGGTCAAAACGCGCAAGAGCTCTCACGGGCGGTGGCTCGACCAGGAAACGGGGCCTGCATGCTATATACACCTTGTATTAAATAGGACAAGATTATTAATTAGCTAGAGATGGTACTGAAGGCGCCAATATACACTGTTGGTGATGGACTCATAGGGGTACGAAACGGAAAAAAAATATTGTGTATTATCATCATAGAAAAACTCATTCGACTGCTTTTGTTCTAGCGCTACTCCTCATCACACCTGTCGTCACTTTACATGGTCCAGTAGGCAGGGCGAAGGCCCTGCAACGACGTCGTACCAGCATCAATCTCGCGTTTACGCTGACCGCTTAGCTATAGCTAAATGTTAGTAATCTGTGTATATGATTGTCAGCGGAACTTATGCTTACCTCAAGCTGAACGGCCTTGTGGACGTGAACCAGCCAGTCAACGTACGACTGTGCCTCGTTGTTGCGATCCTCAATGAGCATTCTGGCAAAGTCGAACTCGGCTCCATCAATACCTTGACGAGCGAGCTGGATGGTAAGTCCCTTGGAGCCTCGAAGAGCGCGGAGGAACTCGATGATGTTGCGGACCTGGGCGTTAAGATGCGTATCAAGAACGGGGAGTGTGGAGGTGTACGCATCAAGGCCCTTGAGATTATCGTGATCCTTGCCAAACAGATCAGTAATCAGGTTTGGTGAGGTCTGTGCATGGAACCAAAGAAGGAACTGCTGGCCATTGTCAACAATATAGACACCACCAGGCTCAACCATGCTGAATGAGGTACGGATGCAAGGGGGCATCTTGAGATGTCCCGTCTCAGGATCCGCGAAACCATCCTCGGCAGCCAGGTTGTGAACTGGGATCATTCGAGGGTACAGGTACAGACTGAGCTCCAGAGCGCCCATAGACCTCAGCATGCGCATCTCGTAGACTCGTCTATCTGTGTTTTCGATGCCACCCTTGAAAGCACGGCACTTGAGAAGGCCGAGAGAGTACAGGCAGAATTCCTTGAGTCTCTCGGGCATAACAAGTTCGGCTGGCGGGTGCTGGTTGCCCGAATGCTTGCGGTGGCTGGCAAGGATATCAATGGTTCGCTCAGTGAGCCAATTGCGGACATCCTTGAGGTTAGACGACGTTGTGGCCAGCTTTGTGCTGGCTTCTTTGGCGAGCAGCGCAACGACGGCATCTTGGTCAACGTACTTCATGCATGATCGAATGGCTTGCTCACGCGATCCAGCTTCCTTAGCAGTCTCACTAACACTAGCGATGATGTTGGAGCAACGGACGCGGCGTTCGCCAGAAGCAGTTGTATAGAGGAGAGCACTCTGGAAGTGGGCATCAAGCTTAGAATCAAGTCTGCCATCGTGCGAAAAGCTGACTGCGATGGCCTTGTCGGAATCAATGACACCAATCTCCAAATCAGCACCAAAAGTGTGCTGAACAAAGTTGCCGTGATAGCCATTGACTTGCAATCCATTCGAGCAGCGGACTTTCATTAATGCTTGGAAGCCAGTCTCACGAGTAACAGCATGGGTGATCTCGAGCGACATCTTGCTGCTATCTCGTGGGGCGATAAAGTTGGGATAGTAGAAGGTCTCGCCGCCAGTGGTAGCCGCAACATGGCCTGCCACATTGTTAGCTCTGCATCAAACTATTCAGCATAAAATATACGTACCAATAGTGCCAATGTCAAGGTATCCGCCAGAGGGTGCAGCAAGGAAGAAGTCGACACCAACACCTGTGGCTGTCATCTTCTCAGCAGTCTTCTTCCATGCCGGGTGTTCAGTGGTGTATAGCTTCTTGTCCGACTCTCCACCCACATGGTTCCCATCATCGCGCAAAAATAGACGCCCAGGACCCCAAGTAGGAAGAGCCGAGCAGGAGCATACAACCTTTCCGCCAGAGCCTTCGAGCGCAGCCAGAGCGGAGTTCAATGCTGCCAATAGCGCTGGTTCTGGGTTGCGTACTTCGGAGAACATTTCTGGCAGGCGTGTAAGCAGCGATGTAATAACAGTCTTCGATTCGTAGGGATCGACAAATAGTCCGCCGCCAAGAGGCAAGAATGGGTCCTCCAGATCAGGCATGATCATCATATGCGGCTGATCCAGCGATGGCTATAGTCCACAGTTAGCATGTCGATAATATACATAGCACAGGCTATACTCACGCTAATGTTATAAAAGTGAATATCCTTGTCATAAGTGACAAAGCCAACCTTCGCACCTTCAGGGAGCCTGCGCTTCACTTCACCATTTTCGTCCTTCTCAGCATCGACTCCGCCGTAAAGAGCGGCGAGAATACCGTCACAAAAGGCTTCCAAGAAGCCCTTGTTGTAAGATTCTTGAGTGACGTCGATAACAAAGAGCCATCGCAAGCCAACTGGCTCTCGAGTCCAGTATTCTTTCGGCACGATAAACTCAACAGTTCCTCGGTGGAGCTCAGGCCGTTGGTCGCGATCAACACGAACTCCTTGCGGGCTAGTGGCGCAGAAGTATTCAGGGGGGGTCTCGTTGGGATGTGTGCAGAGATTGCAGACGAAACGGTTTCCTCCGGAACGAAACATCATAAAGGGGTTAATGTATGCACGGCATCTTCTGCAACGTGGAGGACCAGTAGGTCCAAAGTCAAGAACGGGAATCTCTGCCTCTCCGCTCTGGAGCGGTGCCAGTGGCTGTAAAAGCAGACCCAAGGGCAGACCCGTGGCTGTCAGGCCATCAGCAGTAGCTGGGATATTGTTTAATGTCAAGCGAGCGAACTTCGGCGACGCGTTACCTTGATCAAAGGCAACGAACGAAATCGAGGCGGGTGGTGGGACATGTCGCTCGAAAGTAGGATACACGTTCTTCAGATAGTACTGCTGGATAGAATCGCGAGCGACCGGGACGCTGGGTAAGTCCTCGGAGCGGACTTGCGAAGCAGGAACAGAGGAATTATATCCTGCTTTGGGACCTGCAGGGTCGATAGGTCCATCAGGGCTCTGAAACGAGTTGGCAGGGCCACCAAACTGGGCTTGGTTGAGCTTCGGGGTGACTGGGTTGCTACCGAACTGACCACCGAAAGCAGGAACATTGCCAGGGTTGTTGATGAATTGATCGGCGGCATTCGCACCGGGCTGCATGCCATTAAAGGCCTGGGATGAGCCGGTAGCTTCAATATTGTGGTGAGCATGGCGATCCTTCTTCTTCTTGCGTATCGTGTTCTGGCCGAGGCTCATGTCTCCCAATTGAGAGGCCAAGTTGGCATCTGGTGCCGCAGGGGGCATCTGCGCATTAGGCTGGGCAGAAGGCATCCCGTACATTTGGCCAGCCATAGGTGGGTTGCTCATCAGAGCAGGTTGTCCACCTTGGTATTGAGGGGCGCCATACTGGGTTTGATGAGGGTTGGGTGCAACGGGAGGGCTGAACTGCTGAGGAACTGGCGCAGTGGTTTTATTAGGGTCGTTCGGATCGATAACTTCACCATGACCAAGGGCATGGTATTGGGTATAGTCAGCCATGTTGTGGAGCCAAATACGTCGATGGTATCAGAGAATGGCTGCTGTTCAGATTCGGCGTTTCTACCAAAGGGGGGTGAAGGAGGGGTCCTTTTTTATGTCGACGCACAATAGGCGAGTGCAAAGGCGGGAAACGGTAGCTATGATTATTGAAACTTTAGACCTGGATCGTGAATTCCATGGTCTCTTCGCAAACCACAAAAAAATCCGCGATTTAAGGAAAAGGGTCGACTAAATGACGAGGTGATGCTCGGCTATGTCAGTCTCGTGCGCTGCTCTTCGTGGAGTTTCTTGAACCGTGTCCTGGTCTCCTGGCAGGCTCCACACTTAATTGGTTGGTGTCTGAGGCGCCTATGATTGGTAGAAAGAGCTATGGCGGTGTTGGCTTGAGCTACGCCACAGCGTTATCAAGTGGCTGAAGCTGTCTACAACAGCGCTGGCAGTCCAAATTATAGTATTCTGCGGATAAGAAACTTAGCCATAAAGTGGACGATATTTTAAACAAAAACATACTTACAGTAGAGAATATTCCAAAAGTTCTCAGTCTATCTTTGCAGATCATCATTGGTCACCGCTAACTGGTCCATTCTAAACAATACAACTCCACGATGGGGTGTCACGTGGCGGAAACGACAACCGAGCTTGCTCGGGCTCATGACATTGATAGGAAAACAAACTAAACTTCATTTTTGTGCACACATGATTCTAATTAAATACTATAATAAATGTTACATATTTTTTTAGATTATTTTAATGGATTTAATTAAATTTTACTTATACCTTTTTGCTATTACCAACAGTGACGTAGATATTATATTCAAGCTCTGCATTGTGATCACTTTCCAAGAGCTGAACGTCTTCGTTTCTTCATGAAGCTTTATCCACGTTCAGCCCTTGTTACTTTATATTATACATTATCAGTAGATATAAAATTTAGCTAAGATCCGATAAACGCCGTTATAAATACGAAAAGAGGTCGTAAAAGTGACGGACGAACCGTTTGGATTAACCATAAGCAAGCCACAGCCGTGACAGCAGAGAGACTTCGACAGCTATGTCAACAAGTAGACCGCCCAGGGATAATTACTACATAAAATACGCTGGAATTATAAATTATAACGTTGTTTTCTGACTTTCTGTCTCTCTGTACTTAAAAGTTTGCACAAAAAATAACTCGCTGTTGCCTACCGTTCGCAATACTAAAAAGACTATTGTACAGCCGGGTGTACCGTCAGGTTGAGAGAGTTCGCGTAAACGCTTGAACTGACCTTTGTACCACAACGGCTTCGATAAAAAATAAAAAGAGAGTTTATAGTTATGTTTGGACATAATATTGGTTTTATTTTACTACTCAAAGCTCCACAACTTTTACTACGTTGATTGTATGAATTTTCATAATACCAACGCGAGCGACCGAGAGCTTCGGAGACGAATTGTCGCGCGTTTTACTAGATGCCCGATACAGCTACTTTAACGGCATAAATCTGATTTTAAAAATATTTAAGAAGATGGAAATTTCAAAAATGAAAAGAATAGATTACATCAATAGTCTGATTTAGGTGACTAAATTGACACAGGCGAGGTATTTATTTTGTTGGGATGATCCTTCACCACTCAGGATCATGAGAATCGGTGATTCTCAGTTAATCGGCCAAAGCTCAACACAGAGGAGACTAATTTAAAATTTAAACTACCTAAAAACACTAGCAGTCATTCTGAAAGCATTGCAAGGTCTATTTTTATAAAATACAACATGCTGGTGGCGTAGTGGGTGATTGAAATGTTCGCTCGATTTTCATCTCGAAAGCTTCAGTTGTGCACAGTTTGGTCGTCGTGCGCGTCCCGATCAAAAAAGTGACTTTGTGCGCCTACGCCATAACATCGACCTTTACCATCGAAAGTATATTTAAAAATTACACCACCTGATAGAAAATATTCTCAACTACAATTAGACGGTTTATTGCAGGGATATTTCTGCGCGAAACGTGAGAAATATTGCATGCGCCCGGGAGCTTGCGAGGGTTTCTGGCAAGGCAAACTGGGCAGGTTGGGGCAGCTTCGAGCAAAGACGCAAAAGTGGGATATCAAAAAGACCCCGACATTTGGGGGGCCCAACCTGGCGCCAAAACCTACGAAAAAAGACGGAGCAAAAAATGACTCATGGAAATTCGTAATGGAGGGTCGGACTATTTGAATTTGGCTTGGAAAAAAGACAGACGAGAGGGCGAGAACGAGCAGCAGAGCAAAGTGGTCGGGGGATGGGGGAGGCCCTGAACGAAGGCAAAGGAGGCGCGAGCCCAGAGGTCTGATCAGAAGCGCATTTGTCGGTACAACGTGGACTCTGTGCGGTTGACGGCTGGCCAATCAGAAAATTGGTCACGGGGCGAATCGAGCGTATTTTGCATTTCATGGGCGAGCGATGCCCCGCTTCACCAGTTGGTAAGTATCTGGCCGGTACCTTTGGGCTGTGGCTAAGTGTGGCGAGCCCGCACAAATGGGTGTCTCTACCACACATCTCACAGCCCCCTCCTTGTCAGCACGGTACCTGCTAGGTACGGCGGTAGCCGAAAGGCAGCTGTGGCTGTTTTCGCGCTAACAACTCTTCTACAGTCCTCTGCGAACGGCAAGTGCTCCACCCGTCGCGCGCAGGTACGTACCGAAACAAGCACTTTCTCTCTAGCACGCCCCACACACACGCCTGCGTTGTGTATACTCGACCGCAAGCTGCCCAACTGTCGCGGCATGGCCTAGGGCCCGGCATGCGACACAAGAGAGCTCCCCTTAGCTCTGTTTTGCGTACTGATTGCAGTCCTCCCCCCCGCTGATATATAAACAGGCCCCCTCCCCGCCACGCGCGCACCTACGTCGTTTCTTCCGATTCTCTCCTCTTGTAGATCTGATCTTTTATCTTCACTTACCTTCCTCGCCATCCAAGCTACTTCGCTTACACACACCTTTCACCAACAACTCAACCCACCCACAACCTTCGCAATGGCTCCCAAGACTGCTACCAAGGCTAAGCCCGCCCACGGCTCTTACCAGGACATGATCACTGATGCCATCATCAACGTAAGAAACACAGCTCTACGCGCTATGCGTCGCCACCTTTTCCGCCTATTGCAAGGCTAGAACGGCGACCGGAGGCTTTGTTTATGAATGCCCATTCGCTAACGCGTGTACCTCTACAGCTTAAGGACCGCAACGGCTCCAGCCGTCAGTCCCTCAAGAAGTATGTCAAGGCCAACAACACTTTGGCTGTTACCGACAAGATGTTCGACTCTCTCTTCAACAAGGCCTTGAAGACTGGTGTTGACAAGGGCGCCTTTGCTCAGCCCAAGGGTCCCTCTGGTGGCACCAAGCTCGCCAAGAAGCCTGCTGCTGCTCCCAAGAAGGCCGCTGCCCCTAAGAAGGCTGCCCCCGCTAAGAAGGCCGCTCCCAAGAAGGCTGCTGTCAAGAAGACCACTGCCACCACTGCTAAGAAGGCCGCTCCCGCCAAGAAGGTTGCTGCTCCCGCTGCTAAGAAGGCCGCCGCTCCCAAGAAGGCTGCTGCTCCTAAGAAGGCCGCTGCCCCCAAGAAGGCTGCCGCTAAGCCCGCTGCTTCCAAGACCAAGACTGGGCGTGTCACCAAGAAGGCCGCTCCCAAGAAGACTGCTTCTCCCAAGAAGGCTGCTGCTAAGAAGGCTTAAGTGTCTCTTTCCAGTAATGTGCTTCTAATGTCTTGGTTTTAACGAAATGGATTGGCGTTTATGGGCTTTTGTGTTAATATTTGTTTTGAATTACCTGATCGGACTCACCCAAGGGCGAGTCTCGGAATTTTGGTTTTGTCGTTTTATGGGGAGGGTAGCGTCGCGGGTGTCTTGTTTTGAAAATGCGCGCTCGCGTCCGTTGTCTACTGCGAAGCGCACTAGACTTGTCGCATACCTTTTGCAATGTATTTGGGGAAATGGAGTTGCCGGTTGGTGCCACGGCTTGCAAATCTCTTTTTTTTTATTTCTTTTGGTTTTGCAAGTCGATGGGCTCTTTTGCTCACCCTGTATGATAACGCATAATGAGCTTGCGGGCGACTAATTTGTCCTTGAGAATAAAACAGAAAGTTTCTTGAATATGTCTTCTTTTTTCGCTTGTGTACTATGTCTATTTTTGTTTGCAACGAGGATATGTTGATTGCAAAGTAGTATAGTTTTAACATTACCATGTACAGTCTGCAATGGCGATGCTACGATGCTTCAAATGTGCAATTACAATGTCAGTTTGAGCAGAAAGTTGCCTGTCTCTAATTACCTCGGGCTGGTAAATTGGAACAACCGGTGAGCAGGCTACGGTACACTTCCCTTCCCTAGTCGTGTGACGCGGTGGTTTGTTTACATTTTGAAATTTTGTCGGTGCGGGTCAGTCAGCTTCACAGCCTTTTGCTCGGTCTGTTTTTGGTTAAATTACCCATTGTATAGGTTATCGGTGTAAACCAGGCCCTAATCTGGCTGTTGGCTACATTTTGATATGATTATGAACAGTGTCTTTTTTGTCGGGTTTTCTTGGACATGCCTCCTTTCCCGCTGATTGTCATATGAACCATGCGTGAGGCACATTGACAAAATAATAGCTATGAATATGCTGCCACAACATTGTGAATATAGCTCCTGTAAGCAAATATTTAACATTATAATTACACCCAGTAGCCAACTATGCCAATTAAATAATTCAAATAAGTGGTGAACGTTGGAAATTTGCAGGTTGTTGCTTTCAAGTTGAGCTTAGGGTAGCTGCAAGCTCCGCGATAGGGAGGTACATGCTTTCCCGCAGTTGTTGGTAGCGACTGATAAGTACCACCATAGCAACCCGCCCTACAGCCAACAGCCAGTACACAGCGCGCCCCACCAGAACCGGCGCAGGCAAAGAACAATAGGCACCAAATCCGGCAGGGCTTCGCCTCGCTGCTAGAGCTTGCCGTGTCTGGGGCGCTCAACGCACTGAGGGGAAGCTCTCCGCCAATTACGCAACGCTTCAGAGTCCAACCGACAATTCCGGACCGCCACAAGACTCCTGAGCAGTGCGGCTCTCAACCCCTCACGCATATTTGCTTCGCTATCCCTCAGCTTGCAGCGTGTCCATTTTAAATCGCTCTATGCTGTAGCTCGTCTTACACCCCGACGAATGCCACAGCAGCCTTTCCCCAACCGTCTCGCCAGGGTACACTGTCTCGGTGCATAGATGCCTGAGCATTGCTCGACGCCGTCTTGAAAACCACTTGGCCAGGCTGGCGCAGCACGCACTATATTATCGCGACCGAATTCTCAATACACCAAACGCCTAAAAGATGACATCGTCATTCAACCCGTTCCGCAACAAGATGGCCTCGTCCACGGCGGAGGACCGATTCCCGCCAATCGAGTCTATTGACACATCGCAGCCTCAACCCCCCACAAGCTTCGCACAAGACGTAGCTGACGACGTGGCTTTCGAACGAAACGATCACGATCCGCAAACAAAAAAGAAGTCGGCTAAAAAGGTCCGCTTGGTTACACCGCCACCTTTATCACCAGACTCGCCCGTATGGCCTACTCAGCAGGATGTATCAACAGCGTTCCCTGCTGTCAACTATGAGTCGGATATATTTGGAGGCACAAACACTGGATATCCGCCTACCGAAGACAATAATCTAGCGAAATTACTGTCAGAGAGAGGACCCCCGGCGAATCCATTTAGTAAGACTTTACAAGACCTAGAAAGTTCGCAAGATGTATCAGAAGATGATGCCGAAGAATCGAAAGTTGGGCAGACAACAAAACAACCCTTAAACGTTGATTCTTTTCGACGACTTTTAATGACAGGAAAAGCTGGCGAAGATGATGCTGCATCTACACAAATATCGACCCAGCCCACCAACGACTTTCATACTGGTGGAGCGTCATCTTCAAAGGAGCGAAAGCTACCACCACCACCGCCGAGCTCTCGCCATGGCAGAACGCTGAAGGCAGATACTAAGAACGATACTGCTGAAGAGCAGCTAAACCATATACAAGAGCCCGCGAAACGCGATGAATTCACGAACGACGAGACCGAAAGTACAGATTCGTCAGATGACGACAGCAGTGAGCCTGAAAGCCACCACCAAAAGGCGATATCGAATGAGACACCACTGGCAATACAGACCACAGGGAAGAAGCCAGTTCCAGCACCACCACCGCGACGCGGCCATGGAAGGACAGACACAAAGACCAATATATCCACTTCAGACAACATCTATGAGCCTTTACCATTAGATACCAGCGAACTGAAGCATGGTTCGAATCCCACCTCGACAGACCCTACTCCCACAAGACCCGAATCTGTAAAATCACCGTCAAATGCACCAGCACCACCGCCACCGAGACGACCACATGCAGCCCCGAAGCAGCCTCTTTCGGCTGGCCCTTCACCTTCCATCTCAAGCAACTCAGTCACCCAAATCACCAGCCCACCTCCATCCGAGCCTACAATGCAAAACACCGAAACGCCAACCAAGCTTAGCAAAGTTGGCGCGCCACCGCCACCCCCAACGCGAAATGCCTCCTCTCGACGACCTACTAGCATGCACGGCACGGATGCCGCTGGTCGACGTTTAACAGCTGAGAGCCGCAACAGAGACGCTGCGATGGCGCCACCACCTCCTCCGCCAAGACAGAGAGGATCAAGCCCTCACGAGCCCACATATGACGAAGCTGCCAGTAGCTCAGACCATGGCAAAGGAGCAGATATCCTAGCTGACTTGGATGCGCTACAGAGAGAGGTGGATGCTTTGCGAGGCAAAGTAGTATGACGAAGAAATGCCTAGCTAGCTGTATATAGATACATATTGCATTATGAAGCGTGATTTGGTGTTTCTTGAACATATAAAATATATATTCCACTTATCCTTGCTCGGCTCGTTAACATGCCACTGATTGTTGTCCAACAGCTTTGCCCCAAACCAGCTCTAGTCTCGACGATATACGTCTATGTCGACATTATATACGTTATTATAAGGTGTAGTTATAAAATACATTTATCAATAGCACTTGACAGGTTCGTTTGCACGCATGTTGGTATATAAAAGCGTGTGAAGGCGTGCTTAGTCATTTTCACACCACACCACACTCCTATATGACTAAAAGCTGCATATCTAGTATTCTCCATTGGAATAAAATAGCATTATAATATCAAATGCACAAAAAGTTAATTAATATTTCGGAAAAGGATTTATATATTAATTCCAATATTTATTTGGTGATGGGTGAGCCTATGCAAACTCACCGTACGGTGGCTATAGTGGGCACCACCAACACGAAAAATAATTTGAACCCTTGTTCTCTTCTCTCCCCAACTAGCGAGCCGCTGAGCTATCCCGCTCGGTCAAGGATCAGGAGACATTTGCGCCTATCCGGTACCGAATTTTATCGCGGCTCATTGATTAATTGTGACCTATGTATACTCGTGCAAACTTGTGAATCATGACGTGCGCGAGCCATCCCCAGGCATCGCGTACGCAATCGGACTATAATTGGGCTGTTTATCTTGTTTCTTCAATGTCACTCGGCTCTCATTCCATCCGAAGTTGAATCTCTTTTGATTGACGCTGCTTCTTTCCCGAGGTTTTTCCTACCGGATGGCTTTGGGAGGGATATACCTCGTTGAAGCTCAACACGGGGTTGTGTGGCGGCTCAAACATATCATATTTCACTACGAGCTGATGCTATACATGGCGTCGAAGTCAGCAGTATAAACACAGGCAACAAAGTGTACGTTTAGTTGGGGTGGGAAATGATGTTTCATTTTGCTAGCTAGTCCGGACAGCTTGCATCTCTCGAGCCGAGAAGCAAGTCCATCTCTTGCCCATTCCCAAAAATTTTTTTTGTGTTTTTTTCTAGTGTGATTGGTATTTTGTCTTCCCGTATTGCTCATGGAGCAATACCTCCGATTTGAGTATGTTCTTCCGCTATTGTATGGCCCGCCGTCGAGCTATACATCTCGCCAAATCCTGGGCAAGCTCGTTGCCCCTGTAGGCCCCTTCATAGTGGCCAGCCGAGTGTATCTTTGACACCCCCCACCTTCATCGCAAGACAATCGCCTTGCTCATCAAAACGTAGAGATATCGTCAAAAGGTATCATGCCCTGAATTCCCAAAAAAAACAAATCAAATGTGCCTTTGCTAATCCTTTGCGCCCCCCATGCCCGACGATCTGCAAACAAAGTTGCAGTGTCCTTCAAGGAAACAAAAGAAACGAGAGCAAAAAGACCTCTCAGCCGACAATACTAGCATCGCCCGTAATATTCTTTTCTTTCCAGCGGCTGCGCTGTACATTATGCCAAGTACTAGTGCTGGAAATTCGACATATAGGTATCATGATTCAAGAGAGTTGAATCAGTTGTCCTTCTGAACCGAGTAGTAGTATTCTAGTGACTGCTGAAAGCAGCTCAAAATTTCGGCTTGGGTCGTTATTGTGGTGCTGATACGGTCTGAGAGTGGCCGTTCAAGTTGAATATGAGTTTCATGGCCTCCTAGGCCATGTCACACCATCCTACTTGTGTTGTCCGTTGATTCGCCCAATATAAAATGTGTGTGCATGATGGTACAATCAAGCTGTCCTATGCCGATTGCCTTTCCGTTCTTCATGTTTGAAGAACCCGCGCTGTTAAAAACAAGAAATCAAAATATGTACTCCGAAAATCAAAACCCGCTTGGACAATATATGCCGCTTAAACGCCGATGACGCCCCCAAACCCATGCCCCCAATCGGTTGATGATTTTAAGCAGAGGGTTGGCCTTCACGAGGAGGGCCACGGCCGCGACCGCCGTTGCTGTAGTTGTTTCCGCCACGGCCACGGTGACCGCCTCTTCCACGTCCACGTCCACGGTAGTTGTTGTTGTACTGGCCGTTTTGGGTTTGCCAGTTGCCCTGTCCAGGCTGCTGCTGCTGCTGCTGCATGGGCTGCATGGGCTGCTGAGCGCTGGGAGGCAGGCTGGAGATGGGGCGAGGAATGCTGTCGGGGTTCTCATAGACGTAGAGGCTCTTGTCGATGCTAGCAGGGATGGGCTGAATTTCGGTTCCAAGGTCTCTTTCAATGTTGTACAAGTTAAATCGGTCTTCCCAGTTGATCAGGTTAATGGCCAGACCAAGATGACCGAAACGGCCAGAACGACCGATTCTGTGCAGATATGTCTCGGCGTTCTTGGGGAAATCAAAGTTGATAACCACGTTAACAGCCTGAATATCAATACCACGGGTGAGAAGATCAGAGCAAACAAGGTTACGGCAGACGCCGTTTCGGAAGTCGTGGAAGACTCGGTTACGAGCCTGCTGCTGCATGCGTGCGTGACTGTAGAAACAAGAGTAGCCAAGCTCAGTAATCTTCTTGGCTAACAATTCGACACGGTTGGTGGAGTTGCAGAAAATAATGGACTGGTTAATCTGCAACTTGGAGAAGAGGGTGTTCAAGCAGTGAACCTTTTGCTTCTCCTCGACAAAGGCATAGTACTGGGTGATACCGCGGAGGGTGAGTTCGTCCATCAGGTTGATTTCGTACGGGCTAGTCATGTTGCGGTCAGAGAAGTCCTTAACGGACAGAGGGAAGGTGGCGGAGAAGAGCATGACCTGACGATCCTTGGGGTGGAATTGCAGCAGCTGCTCAATAGTGGGAGTGAATTCGATAGAAAGTAGCTTATCAGCTTCGTCCATGATGAACATGGGGCATTCGCTCAGATCAGCCACATTCTTGCCAGCTAAATCGAGGATTCTGCCTGGGGTACCGACCACAATATGGACAGGTTCCTGGAGACGGATAATATCATCTCGGAGGCCAGTACCACCAGTGGTTACCATGACGTTGATACCCAGGTGTTTACCGAGAGTTTTGCAGACCTGAGAGGTTTGCATAGCAAGCTCTCGCGTAGGAACAAGGATAAGACATTGGATCTTGGCGATTTTGGGGTTGATGCGTTCAAGGGCAGGGATAACAAAGGCGGCAGTTTTACCAGTACCGTTCTTGGCTCTGGCCAAGATATCACGGCCGGTAAGCGCAACAGGGATAGACTCTTCTTGAATTGGGGATGGCTTTTCGAATCCGGCTTCGAAGATGCCCATAAGGAGGTCGCGCTTCAGCGCAAAGTTTTCAAATTCGAGACCCTTTGTTTTCGTAACATCTTCTGTTTGTTGTCTGTTGTCTTTGGCAGGTAGCTTAAGACTCTTCTTCCAGTCTTCGCCGCCCTCTGAAGCATCGCTTGGGGGTTTGTTAGCAGGTTAGAGCAATGGGACATCTTGCGGTACAGGCGAACCTAATGTGAGCATTTCTCAGCTGATCGGTGAGCTGATCTGTCATCTTTTTTGTTGTATTTCTTTGCTGCCGCACAACGGCGGGTTGTAAATATTATAAGGTGTCGAGGGTGGGAGAGAATGCACACGAGTCCGCAGATGGGGGCTTCGTGTAGCAATCAGGTAATAGTATGCAGTAAGAGGATATCTAGCCTCTTCCCTTCCAATTCAGGGACTTGAGGATCGAGACAATATGGCGTAGAGGGGAGGTGCGGGTAATCCGATGGCCAACTGTTCGAAAAGTGAAGCAGTTGTGATGTTGTGCTAGGCAAAGCTTGGCAGAGCTTCGGTGGCTAGTTGCAAGATTCAGGTTTCGCGTTATCGGCGGAAAAATAGAATAGATTGGCCTATGTTGGTTGGCTCGTTGAGGGCAGAGTGGAGGAAATGTGTGATGAGATTGAGGATGCGATCGCTTCGAGCCGACTACGTAGAAGATTCCACGGTGGTTGGTGGGTGGCCGATCCTTAGTGTATTGGGTTTGGTGAAGTCACGTGAACGCGGGGCTCCTGGGCGCCGCTGAGGGAGACCGCTGACCGTCGAAGTTAAAGTCAGTATGTACAGATTATGCTTCAAAATGGATTGAAATTAATGTCAAATAATTATTTCCATATTCACAGTGCCCATTTTATCTGCTATGCAACGCCAGAATCTTGTTCAATCTCCGAGCTGCGGCCTCTAGTCATGTTCAGAGCTCAGACAAACAACAGACGGGTTGACCATATTGGAACGTTAATGATTTTAAAGTATTTATCAGGTAATTTTGGTATGATAATCTAATATTCTTTTCTGTTTTATTCATACAATGACAACTTTTCTAGAATGCCCAATTTCGTAAATGCTTATGTCCACATGCCCCTTCCTAGCTCAATTTTCTCTGTTTCAATGGTATCTCGTCAAAAACAACTTAAACTTATTACAGCTTCATCCCCATGGCCTTGGCAACTCTCAAACTCTGTCTCATGGAGAGATCCAGCATGATTTCTTCACTGCCGCCAGGAATGGCATAAGCACGGACATCACGGTACAAGCGCTCAACCTTGCCACCTTGTCCGCCGCGAGAGTAGGAGAGACCACCGAAGATCTGGGAAGCCTCACGGGCGCAGAACTCGAAGGTGATGGTAGCCTGAGCCTTGAGAGAGGCGATAGGGCCACCAAGACGAAGCATGGCCTCGGTGTCACCCATCTGCTCGCACTGGTAAACCAGGTTCTCGAGCCAGTTGTAAGAAGCCTCAATTTGGCGGGCCATGTGGGCGAGCTTCATGCGGATAACAGGGTGCTCAATAAGCTTCTTGCCGAATGTGCGGCGCTTGTTGGCGTACTTGACGGACTCTTCGAAGCAGACACGGGCGAAGCGGAGGGACTGGATGATGATACCAATACGCTCGTGGTTGAAGTTGGTCATGATGACACGGAAGCCCTGGTTCTGCTTGCCGAGCAAGTTCTCAACAGGGACCTTGACATCTTCAAAGGTGATGTAGGTGGTACCACTGGACCAGACACCCTGGCAGTCCATGCGGCGGGTGCTGACACCCTCACCACGCTCAATGAGCAGCAAGCTGACACCGTTCATGCCAGGGCCGCCAGTGCGGACAGCGGTGGTGAAGTAGTCGGACCAGATACCGTTGGTGATCCACTTCTTCTCACCGTTGACGATGAAGTGCTTGCCATCCTCGCTAAGCTTGGCCTCGCAAGTCAAGTTGGCGACATCACTACCAGCATCAGGCTCGGTAATGGCCAAGCAGATGCGCTTGTCACCGCTCAGGATACCAGGCATGATGCGGTCCTTGAGAGCCTGGCTACCGAACTTCATGACGGGAGGGCAGCCAATGCCGAAGCCACCGATGAGGTTCCAGACGAAACCACCAGAGCCAGTGCGAGACAGCTCATCAGTGAGAAGCATCTCGTGGAAGAGATCCCACTTGTCAGTAGGAACCGACTTGATACCGGAGGCGTACTCGGTGGGGTACTTGACACCAAGGAGACCAGCCAAGTAACCTCGGCGGCCCATCTCCTTGTAGATCTCCTCAGGAACTCGCTTGGCCTCGTCCCATTCGGTCACGTATGGCTCGATATCGTTCTCAACCCACTCGCGAATCTCGGCACGAAGAGCGGCGTGTGTTTCGTTGTAGTAAGGAGAGTGGTACTATGGGATACTTTGTTAGCTGTGATTCTCGGTGGGCCAGACCAATCGGCATAAAAACGTACGTGCTGGTACCAAGAGGGATCACCAAAGGGGATCTGTTCACCAAAGGCCTCGAGAGGCTCAGACTCCTCGTGAGTGTGGGAAATCTCCTTCTGAGCGGCAGCAACGGTCTTGGGGGAAGGCTCAGCAACAGGCTCAGCCTTGGGAGGAGGCTTAGGCTTTGTGTCGAGAGAGCCGACCTGGAGCTTAGCCTGGTATTTCTTGAGGATGCCCTCGTTGTGGTACTTCCAGAACTGCTTGGAGGCGTCCTTGCCAGCGACACGCTGGAGGATCTTCTTGCCGCCAGGGTGGTCATCCTGGAACTGGGTCAAATCGTAGACATCGCCGTCGACAATGATGTAGAGGTTGTCGGGCTTGTTGTGCGTAGCGACGTCGCTGACAGTAAATGTCTTGGACATGGTGGGCTATGTGATGGGAGGGTTGATGGGATGAGGAGGGAATAGAGGGATTGGGGAGAAGGGGAAAGGAGGCGTTTAAAAAGAGAGTTCAGAACAACAGTGGGTGAGGTGAGCCAAGCGAAGCCTTAAATCCTATGAGGCCCCAGGATTACCGAGATGGGCAGCCGTGGGCGTGGCTCGTGGGATTGCCGCAAGCATTCACATGTGAAGGCGTCTGGCGCGCAGGTGTCTCAGGTGCCAAATCCGGGGCTGTAAGCTGGCTGGCAGGTGGTGGCAGGTGTCAAGCTCCACGCTGAAGACAGCTGTAAGGAGCATTGTCCAAGAGGGAACGGCATAAAATGTGTTTTGAATTTAATTTAATTTACCTGATTTCTTTTTTTAGTTGTCCCTCGTGATACTAACTCTCGTTCGAATATTCTCCCGCTGTTCCATACCATTGTGCTCACGGACAACACCAGCCGGTACCTCCAAACCCCATGACATAGTCCCCCACAACTGGTTTGGTAGCCCGCTCACTGATTACGAAGTCGACGGTCATCGTCCCATCTTTGTGAGGTGGCGGCGCTGTGGTAGAGTTTTGGTTCGGAGACATACACAATGCAACAATGATATCATACATCATAGTCTAATTCCAATGCCAGCTTCTCACTAAAGATCACTAACTAGCTACTCGAGCGGCACGATTTTCTTCCAATTAACCCTCTCGCTTTACCCCAGAACTTACACGCTGCTGTTCATCGAGCCCACCCACTAAACCCACCTGTGTGAGCATGTGAAGACCGCTGTGGGTCGTTGCTGTCAGCGTTCGCACAGGGGACTTGCAGAAGGCTGCCTCGGCACTCAAGCGCCCCAGATTAGGAAGACTGCTCCGGCGATGGACCAGTAGGATTGTAGACATTTCTATTGTGGCAAAACAATGGGCATCTTGTCTAGACGTGTCATCATGATACAGTGGAGGTGAAATCTTGTCATAAGATTAATGTTACTATTGTAAAATACTATCTTTTAATACACAGGCCATCATAGAGGCTGTATTGCGTCACTTTGCCAAGGGTCTAGCCACTGGTGGGATGCGCACTTCAAACAAACGTCATTTTCATTTCCCAGGCCAATTTCCTTTTTTCCATGAGCCGGTCTTTCATCTGAGGTCAAGACTCTTTAGCTCTATTCCTAAAGCCTGTTGGAGCAGATGTATTTCTGCAAAGCGAGTGCAGCATGGTGTATCCCATACATTTCCTTTCCATGTGAATAAACAGGTATTGCACATGCCCGGATTTCTGTCCCGCTCAATGGAACATTCTTATAGAATGCAACGTTGGTTTTGGCAAATCCGGACATTATTTCACGGCTTAAGCACCGCGAGGCTTAGCCTTCGCGGCAGCCTTGTCCTTCTTCTCCTGCTTGAGCTTCTTCTTCTTCTCTTCATTCTTTTCGTCCAGCTTGCGCTTGAGGGCAGCCTTCTCAGAGTCTGATTTAGGCATGGGTTTGAAGAAGCCCTCCAAGCGAGCTTGCTGAGAGCTCTTCATATTCTTCTCCAATCGCGCCGCGCCGCTGCGAACTCGGTCCTCCGAAAAGCCCTTGTCAACTGCCAAAAACTGTACGAGGCCTTCGATATCTGGCTTCTCCCATTTAAAGTCGCAGTCGGGGTGGTCGGCCGCACGTACATCAGGCTCAAAAAACAAGTCGCGTGCATCCTTGTATGGCCAATCCTCAGGCAATGTGTACTTTTTCTTGGAATCATTCTCCATGGCCTCGACAACCTTTTCTAATGTGCCATATTCGCGAATCAGCTTCAATGCTGTTGTAGGGCCGACTTTCGGGACCGGATCGAGGTAATCGCAACCGAGGAGAATGCAAAGGTCGACAAACTATAATACACAGTTAGTACCAGCTCCGCGGGACGGGGTGTGCTCGGGAGCAACAAACCTGTTTGCGCTCCATGTTAAGACCTTCCAACACCTTATCTAGACGGATTTCCTGGATAGGCTCTTTCCTTTGCTCGCTGAAGGTAAGATGGCGTAGGAGGATTGGTGTGTTGAAGCAAAGGGTATCCATATCTTCACTAGCCGCTGCGTAGACCTTGCCAGCTCGCGCAAGTACAGCGCATTGTGCTTCAGCCTCGGTAGGAGCAATGATGTAAGGAATACCCATAAGCTTCAGAAGCTTCTGGCACTCTGCATTGTGTTCTCTCGTTACACGGACTGTACGCCTTGAGAACTTCTCAATGTCTTCAGCTGTGCCAGTTTCTTTGGCCTCTTCAAGGCCGTCTTGTGCGGTTTGCTTTCGCTGAAATCGCTTTGCCAGCTCACCAGACTTGAGCTTAGGCGGGGCGCCATCGAATACGTAAAGAGGCTTGATACCATTGTCAACCATTCGTAGGGTGCGGTAGAACATGCCCATTAGATGAGACGTCGTTTCGCCGGTGTCGTTCATCAGCTGTTGTCCATCAGATCGCACGGCAATCAAGAAACTGTATATGCTCATGGACGCATCCTGGAGAACAATTCAGAGTTAGTCGTGATGCGCTCAGGTTACACTTTATTGGCAATTAGCGTACAATGGCGACCTTGCGGCCAAACTGGTTCTTGATCTCTCCCTCTTTGATGGCGTCGGGAGCCTCATCCTTGATGATGGAAAAAAGCTGTTTAATGCCCATGTCGGCGCTTTGTGTACTCGTCCTTCTCTGTCTTTTATGATTGGGTTTATAATGTTAGGTTGTAATTCGTCGACTTTGGTTGTGGAAAGCTATGCAGCTGGTTATGCTCGTGGCGGTCCAAAAGGTGACTTGGCTCTCGTGAAAAGAGACGCGTAAAGTTGGGGCGCGTCGCGAACGCTAAAGTGGTTCCGCCGTAGCGCCCTTTCACTCAACGAGGCTGACTAGCGAATTGAAGAGCGAATTGAAGACCGATTCGCCGTGGAGCAGAAATCAGAACGTGAAAATAGCAGTAACAAATAAATAAAATTTAAAAGATATAGTATTACAGCCACTATAATATAGATAAAAAGAATGTCTCAGCAGACCACCACCCAGCTAAGGAAGAAGACTACAATCGCCTACAACAATGTCGTCATTAAAGCCGCCATAGTCGCAAGTTTGAATGGTCGTAAGCCTCAAGCAGGGAAAGCAACAATGGTTCTTTGTTATCTAGATCCCACCACACCCGCCTCTTTTTGTTGATGCTGCTGAGAAACCAAGACGACATGCCAGGTGCCTATACTATCAGCATAAGCCTCGAGGCAGTCTACTTGTATTTGATATACCGCTCGGAATACAGAGTCGTCAAGGATTGATCTCGCCTTGCGCTCCACCTTGCCGTGCGGATAGGTCTACATGGAACATTCAGTCACATAGCGCGAACATGTCATAGCTGCGATCATAGTAAACAAGAGCCGCAGTCTCCCAAGCATTCTAGTATTCAGGATTTCGTCTCAGTTCGGGTATCGTACAATCTTCCAAGTCGTGTATTGGACAACTTCCGCCACGCATCTATTGCTCGAAAAAGACCTTTTTTCTTCCACTTCCACGAGTATCCTCCATTGCTTCCAATGCCTGGTCAATGTCCATGATTCCAAGCATTTCAGCTTCAACATCTCTCGAAAGATCGGCCGAAGCATCAGCAGCATCTGCCAGGGTGCTGGCAAAGTCGAAGCCGACGCGTGGCCTGGACAAGCCTGCAGCGCGGGCATCTTCGTCAGCGCTAGCAGCGTCTTGGTTAAACGATTTAAATCTAAGAGAGCCTGCCTTGGCAGTGCTAAGGTTGAATGACATTCGCTGCGACTTGTCCTTCTCGCCATGTACAATAATAGCACTGGGCATTTCCTTGGAAAAGAGTCGGCGCCGTGATCCAACAGTGCCAACTTTGCAAGTTTGTCCGTCGTCACCATCCCTCACAATGACCACTCTCGTTTCACCACGGATAACAACTTCAGCAGGAAGCCCGCCTTCTTGGTTAGCTGCGTCGCTGTTGCCAGGTGAATTCGCGATCAGATCAACTCCACAGCATGGTTCTCCAAGTAGACCAGTGGAAAGGTCTGTCAGCTTGACCATCCGTGTCGGCTGTGCTCCCGAAAATAGGTTGACACCACCACCGCCTCCTTTGCGAAGTTGCGAATCCCAAAATCTTGCCATTCCAGGAATAATGCAGACATGCTCGAGCCCACCGACCCACAAGGCAATACTTTCATCTTGTATATTCTTACCAGCGGTGGGAATTGTAGCCACACTGATGCCACCATGAACAGTCGCTAGACGGTCGAGCGTGGCATTCGAACTAAGAGATGCCGTCGCTTGCTTCCGTGTATGCGGTGTCATTGGCGCGAATTCTCCCGAATTGTTCTCCTTCACGTTGGCAGCAATGTTCCTTAGAGAGCTTGTTCCCTCAACATAGCCAGAGATGCTAAAGGCCGTTAATGAGGCACCCTTCACACCCGACTTGAGCTTTGTGGAAATCGTAGCACCAGAAGATATGGGACTAGCACCATCAACATCCCAAACACCCCACATGCCGTCAGCCAGTAGTGTAAATATGGCTCGCCCATGTGAAATCCATGCCGCATCAAGAATAGGTTTCCTTGTTTGTGAAGGTCGAGCAAATGGCTGATAAAGTGAAAGGAGCCAAGAGCCTTGCGCTGGAAATGGGCCGGTAGCTTCTGAATCTGGCGGAAGTGACGACACAGCGTAGTCATATATCCTAACGGCATTGGGCGACGCAACGGTAAGCAATTGTGTAGTGTGAGTCGGGTTGAATGAAATCTTCTTTAGCGGCGAGGGAAGGAATTCGGTCTGGAAGGGCTCAAGTGGGTGTTCGGGTTTCGATTTCGCATCGAGAGGGACATCCCAGAGTTGCAAGACGCCAGACGCATGCTTCGAGTGGGAGGCCACCACAGCTCTCAGAGGCTTAGCATTTTTGCCAGTTCCAGTAGGCTTGACGAGGCTGATGGCTAGCCCTTCGCTACGCTTACTCTGGCCGGCAAGCAGAATAAGCGACTCGCCCCAAACACCAGAACCAGCCTTGCCCGCCAGTAGGTCGCCCTTTAGAGTAGGTCGAGCTTTGCTGAGAGGCGAAGGGGGTGTCAGCGGAAGTGTTATAACATAAACATCGTTTGTAATGCAAGAGACTGCAAAGACGATGGTTTCGCCCAAAAGGGCTGTTGATGCACCTCCCGCAGTCTTTGTGGCAAGATCCAACGGCATTACTGCGACGTTCAATACCGGTGTGCCAAAAGAAAGATCCAGCGTTTGAACAACTTCTGGGTACGGACCCTGTTCTGTCGTTTCTTCAAACTCTGGCTTATCGACGAACGCATTGCCCGAGGCCTGGTCACCAGCTTCGTCATCCGAGTCGATAACCATAACCGCATCGTCATTATGTTTGGATGCCGCCCCATTTGGTTCAGTAGGATGTTCGTCACCACTGGATTTAAATCTTCGGCCGCCTCGCCAGATTAATGTCACACCGTTTTCGTGACCATAGATTAGAATCGTAGCCCCCTGCGGCGAGAGTATCGGGTATGTTTTGACATCGTAAACGCGTCGCGAAAGATTGTAGCTGTAACTAGAGGTTAGAGAACAACGTTCCATGTGCTACTCTTTGTTAAAAACGAACGTGAATTGCGTGTTTTGCGGCGTGCGACGTATTCTAGGTGTCGTAGTAACAGCCATATTTTCTAGTGCCAAGTAGCGACAGCTACTCGGCGCAACGAAGTTGTCGAGGAGGGTATTTTATCGACTAATAAGCTTATCCAAGCCTTTTATATTCAATAAGCACTCGATTTCAATGAATTGATAATAAGGCTGTCGATTTATAAAGCTGTCAACAGATCATCACTTTGATGGCGCGGGAGCTTTTCGACATCGCGTCTGCACTACAGTTCTGTCACGTGATGCTGATTTTGACAGCCTACGGGCGCTAATAACCAGCTTCGTATTAACAATGCGACTAATGTTGCAATAAATTACCCGGAGCTGCTAACTTGATTTGATGTTCATGTACAAGTCTGTTCAGAATAATTAAAACCAAAAAGACGAATATATAAAGCATCACACAGCATCACCCTCAGAACCCGTACTTCCACTCCTCATACATCCGGCTATCAACCCAAACAGCCTCAGGTTTGATTTGATACTCCCAGCTCTCATGGGCATTGATCTTCTCGCAAATGAGCCCGTAAGGCTCTGCTCTTCCGTAATACTTCTTAAATTTCTTCAGAAATACTTTCCCCGCCACACCTGGTCCGCAATGTTCATCTAAGTAAGCTTCGGCCTCTCTCCATTCGATGATGTTACATGATTTCTCGTTGCCTTCGGAACAGACGTAGGTGACTGCATCATTAACAACAGATGCATAGATGCTATTCGAAGCAACTTCGAAATTCTCGCACCAGCTGCCCATATTTCTTGAGGCTTTGGCAAGATCTGTAGAATTGAGAACTGTATCAAAGCAGTCGTGTCTGGAGACTTCGATTGGCACAGAGTATCGTGTGTTATGCATACCCGCGGGCAAATCTTCGACAACACGATACGGACCGACATTAGTATAATAACCCTGGTATTCCCAAAACTCTTTATAGTTGTTTCGTTTCATTGATGTCCGGTTCAGCGAGGCGGTAGCAAACCCGGCCTCAGTGAGACCGAGCAGACAAGCCAGTAGACGCAGCATTTTTGCTTGCCAAAATTTTGTCATGAAGAGTAGTTGGTGAGAGGGGAAGGGTCGTTAAAGAAGATTATAATGGTAGGTAAAGCGAAATTACCTTTTATTATAGTCACGTTGCAGGGTGAAAATAGGTTTTAACATTTAGTACAGATCAAAGTTTCAAAATAAAATTATCGAGGTTATGGTACTATACGAAATATCTTAAATACATACGACGTGGAATTTCGTCAACCACTCGTAGAGAAGCCGTAACTAAAAGCACTGCTTCCACACTATGCCATATCTCGAGCCATCTATCTGCACGGCTGAAATCAGTGGCAAATCTTTCAAACTAACAAATCCATAACGCCGCGAATGCCGAGACAAAAACAAAGGTTAAAGAGTCATGCCAAGTGGCATTTCAAGTCGTCGTAATAACACAAGTGTGTTTTCAAAGTTTAGGCATTTGTAACTCGCAGAATTCTTCTCGAGTAATCTTCGTTGTCGGCGATGCTGCCATCACTGAGGCGGCGATGTACTGCAACGGGGTCGAGGCGAGCGTCTGTCATCGAAAGACCACCAGAGGTGCTAGGCGGCTTTGATCCACTAATGAAAGCATTGACGGCGGCGTTTCTGCGGTGCTCTTCTTCAAGTTGTGCGTTTCTGCGGCGACGAATAAAGAAGAAAGCACCACCAATGATAGCTGCGATACCAATGACTCCTACAACTACTCCAACGGCAATTGCCACCGTGTTGGGGCCACCGCCAGTAGAGCCGGAGTTGTCTGCTGAAGATGACGCGGGTGCGGTAACTACAATTGTTGAGGCAGCAGTATTAGTACCAGCAGGTTTCGATGAGCTTGTCGAAGAACCACCGACATCACTGCTACCATCACCCTTGGCAAGACTAGCAGGTTTTATAATACCGCGGTTGTAGATTGAATATGTTCCGAAACCGCCGCAAGAGTCCTGCTTCCAATATGGGCATTCGCCGTCACATTTGCTGTCACTGACTTTGTCGCCAGTGGGAGGGTAAGCCCAGCCACAGTAGCATGTCGTTGCGTCCATGCCAAACGCTGGGTATCCCTTTTCTTTACAGGCCGGTTCGCATCCTCCAACAGAAAGTTGCGGTTTTGGTGGTACCATCGTCATATTGCCCTTATTCGAATAGCACCCAGCAAAGGTAATTTGGTTGATCGCATCCGGGACAGACTTGTTGTTGGTAACCTGGCTACGAGCGTGTAGGTGCTTGTGGTTACCATTTGCTGAGGCAGGGATGGCGGCGAACACCAAAGTGGCCAAGACCGAGTGTGGCTGCATGGTGAGAGGATTGAGGTGTCGTGTCGGGAGCTTCGGATATGGCGGATTTATCTTTTTGTTGGGCGGGTTACTGTCGAGAGCTGGCAAGACAGTAAACTTTTTGGTGAGTCCGTCGATGATTGGCAAAGTGGAAGGATCGCGTTTGATGACAAACTGTGACCGGTAGAGATTGAATATTCGAGATTCGAAGAGTCAAGGAAAATAGGAGATGCGACAGAGTGCTGTGCTGTGGATCGTACCACTATCAACAGAGGTAGTACGGCACAGGAAAGCAATACAGTCGATGGTGAAACGAGTGACTTTGATAAATGGTGACAATGAGTGTTGAAAGGAGAAGAGCGTTGAACAAGAAGCGTTTGGAAGACGACAGGGAGGTTGGTCAGAAGAGAAGGAGGGAGAAGGATGGGAAGATTTGGGTCTGTGGGGGGTTATGGCGCCAGACAAGCACATGGCGTGGCTAAGCCTGCGCACAGTGCACGGTGCCTGGGGATTTGGTCGGCAGGGGCAGGGAAATTGGATGGCAGAGGCTGTGCTCACTGGGCAAAGAGTGTGTTTGACAGGCCCACTAGCGGGTGTCGCGCCGTAGCGTGTGGGCACTGTGTTGTACCTTGTGTTAGCGCCTGGCAAAAGCTTGGTTTGGGAATAAACACAGGGCACTACAGCGCGCATAAGCCCACTGAATGAGTTACTTTTTTTCCTTCTTTGACCCCATTACCCGCCTGGTGTGTTCGCGCCCAGTATCAGTGATAAAGTGGTTCCCGCGACTGGAATGCCATCGTTCCATTGGCCAGACGTGTTCGCGCCGTCGCGATACGGGACCCATCAGCGGTCGAGGCCTGAGCCGAATGCAGGAACATTGGGTCTGGCGTCAGGGGTCATTGCTTGTGGTGTGCTGATCTCAGGGCAGAACACGCCAACGGATGTACCTAAGTAGCGGGTACCTGGGCTGCCTGCAACCGCACATCTGTTAGCCACTTGTATGTGCATTCACTACAATTTCTTAGCAGGCGCTACCCTCATTACCTGCAACCTGCATGTGTCACTACTACAACACTTCCGCGACACACCAATTCCGTTTCGCGCTCCACCTCATCAAAGTACAGCTGCCCCAGCATTATGAATTATGCCTCACTTAAATAGCCTCCAGGCGGCCAACGCTGGGCGACTCGAAATGCTTGGCTATGGCCCATGAGTGTGTTCAAGATCGCAACAGCATACAGGCAAACATCACCTCGGCTCATGACGGTAGCGTTAGTCCCTACTGTCAAATAGCACAGCGGCATTGCCGGTATGTTCACTGTACAGTACGAAGGCGCGTGATCGGCGGGCGTGTGCGTTCTTGTTCGACTCCTGCTTGCGTAGCCGACCGGCGCCATTGTTCCTGACGTTTCAGACTTGGTTTATGGCTTTACCTGTCACTGTACATTGCTTTTTCCTACCCGAGTAGTGGCCCGCCTCCATCTTGGCAGAGAGTTGCTTGCTCAACCATGGCTCACAGCCTAAACAATGGCTTGGCTCAGCTCGTACCTGAGACACTCGACAAGTGAAATATGCCATAGATCTCACAAAATTCGCGTTTATCCCGAGGCATAGCCCGTCATAACGAGGTGCATATGGCAATGGCCTCTTTACAACGAACGCTATTGTTGCTTTGCAGAGAGCCCAACTCCAATCGCCATCTAACTTAGAGTCAGCTCGGACTCAGTTGTGACATTGTGTACCAATATTATATTAGTATCTGTCTGGTGCTAGGGAGGTGTCTATTACCCGCTGTAAAATGCTGTACATTCTGATGTCGTTTGTGTCTAAAGGCCATTGTTACCGTCGTCGGCATACGTATGTAGGCCGGTCGCTAACAGCCAATCCATGCCAGTCCATCAAAGGCTTCCATTTTACACCGAGACAGGGTTAAAGACGGTATTCCCCGTAAAATATCAATTCCGGCGCTCCATAGCTTATTATTATAAACTAGTCCAGTTACAGACAGTATCCCTCTCCATATGCGTATACCGGCTCAAGTTGAACTGGATATTACCCTAGAATCACCACCAAGTTGTAACAAACCACAATTACGACACCAAAAGCGCTAGGTGTGGCTAGATGGTGGATCATTAAATATATCCAGGGTAGATAGAATAAAAGGATCGAGGATAGATAGCTAAAGTAGTTAAGTAGACTATCTGCAATTAAAAAAAACGAACCGGTGAGAGTTCTTCTCTATAAGTCTCTCACAATGGTGTTGTTGGTATATGCTAAATCGGGCAAACCTGGCTTGTCATCGTCCTTCCACTGTCATTTAGTCTACCAAGACTACATATTACTTACTATCAAGCCTTCAACTTAGACTAGCCCATAGCCTTTGCAGCTTCTTCCCTTCTTTTACACCTGCTTTATTTATCTTTTTAGGATTCTTTAGAGTAGTCTAACTTAGCTAGAGTAAATAGAGACCTTTACCACCCTACTAGTATCTATAAGGGCACTAGATAGTTCTCAATAAAAAAAATAGTAGTTATGATTGAACACCATCAATAGTAATTGCCATATTGTCGGTAACATAGGCAAGGCCTTGGACATGGTCGTCATGATAACAGCGATCCATAATACCACCCGCAAATTGAGCTACATGCTGGCTATTATTGGAGTTAGTATACTTAGGCTTAGTTATTTTATTTCAGAGAATATATGCTTACCAAGTACTAAAATCGTAGCCGGCGTTTCCAGTAACTCCTACAATTTCCGCGTGTGGGCGTTTACAGAAAAGAGAAAAACCATGCACTTCGCAGAGAGTATTACCTAACCCAGCAAGGTAGTTAATGCACTCTACAGCGTCTGGGCCCTATTATAAGTATTAGTACATCGCCCTTACGATTATGTTTGATAAGGAAGGGCAGATGACATACATAAGCTGGTAAGTTGGGAACATTGCCACACATGTAGGGGTCGTTTCGGGGGGACGACAGCGTGTTGGCTATGTGTCGAGGTCGAATTAGTAAATTATCTGAGGTAAATCGGTCAAGATCATTTTCAAATTACCCCTAGTTGCATTTAATTGAGCAAGCGCCTCCTCGACAGACAGGTGAGGTCCGTCGGGATTCGACGCAATGTCTCTTGCCCATTGACCAAAGGAAAATGGCCTCATGTATCAGCGAAGTGGAAGAACTTGCAGTCTCTCTGGTAGCAATGATGGAGAATGCCCTCAAGACAGCAGGACACAGAGTCTCTGGGACACGTCCCTGCCGCAAGAGTTGGTGGAATGAAGAATGCCAAGAGGCCCATGAAAACCTCCAACCAGTCTGCCTTGCCACTCGAAGCTATACTAGCCTTGACTCATAGATTGCCCGGAAGGATCTTGCAAGAGCCAGACGATGCACGCAACGCCAAGGACTATGTAGTTTTCTGGATAGAGCCCAGGATGGGCTTGGAATTAACCAAATCACTAACTGGACATGGCCGAGAGTCAGGTTTAGTGATACGTATGAGCCAGGTTGGCGTAGTTATACTGTAACGATTAACTTCAAAGTGATTTGGCCATAGCTGGGTTCACACAGCGTAACCCTTGACGCTCTAGAGTTCCGCAACAGGTTATATGACAGCGTTTACATGTGATGTACTGGTGTCGAAGGCACACGACCTACTAAAGCTCTCTAAAAGTATGACGTAACAGTACCAGCACACATGTGGTTGAGGGCTGCCATCAGCACTTGTGCAAAAAGAGCAGAGATCCACGTACGATACATAAGCCCCTCAAATATAAAAATAGTCATATCAATAATATCAACAATATATAAAATATATTCGAGAAGCTCGCAAGTGTGCCCGAAGACGCACAACTCTACAATCATATTGTGTGCCTGATATCGCAGGCAGCTCACCCACCCACCCCTGGCAGCGTCGTAAGCGCGGCGCTGTTGACATGCCCAGGTCTGCTGAGCCAATGGTCCCAGGTTCAGCCCCACATTTCTGGCCGCCGACACCACTCGCCACCACTCTGGCCCAGCTGCTGCGGTACTTCTGAGGCGGCACGAGGACGCAAGCAGGCCTGGAGCTCGAATCGGTGGAGCCCGCCCTCCCCAGCGGCGTCACTCATCCTTCTGTTCCCAGCCTTCATCCATAACAAACCGTTTCTTGAACGGCATCGTCGGATTATTGTCTTGATAACCCTCGATAACCTAACGCAGCTACTTCCTAAATCTATAACGACTATCGATACATCGGCACGATGAAGACCAACGTGATTATCGCTGCCGCCCTTGCCGGCTCCGCCCAGGCTGCCGTGCACAAGATGAAGCTCCAGAAGATCTCGCTCGAGGAGCAACTGGTACGAAAGCCTGCTGATCAGTAGTATGACATGGACAAGTAGCTAACGATTTACTGCTTGCAAAATAGGCCGGCTCGTCTGTTGAAGCCCAAGTTCACCAGCTCGGACAGAAGTACCTCGGTGCTCGCCCCGAAGGCCGCATCGACCTGATGTTTAACGGCAAGCCGCCCAAGGCTGAGGGAGGTCACCCTGTCCCTGTCAGCAACTTCATGAACGCCCAGTGTAAGTACATAAGCTACCTACAAACCCAAATAAACATGCTAATCGCACGATAGACTTCTCCGAGATCACCATTGGAAACCCACCTCAGTCTTTCAAGGTTGTCTTGGACACTGGTAGCTCCAACCTCTGGGTCCCCTCCCAGTCTTGCAGCAGTATTGCGTGCTACCTTCACTCTACATACGACTCCTCGTCATCCTCCACATACAAGAAGAACGGAACGGAGTTCGCTATCCAGTATGGTAGCGGAAGTTTGGAGGGCTTTGTTTCCAAGGACGATGTCAGCATTGGTGATATTACCATCAAGGGACAGGATTTCGCTGAAGCTACCAACGAGCCTGGACTGGCTTTTGCTTTTGGCCGCTTTGACGGTATTCTTGGTCTTGGCTATGACACAATTTCCGTGAACCACATCGTTCCTCCTTTCTACCAGATGGTTCAACAAAAGCTCATTGACGAGCCCGTCTTCGCCTTTTACCTCGGCAGCTCTGAAGAAGGCAGCGAGGCTGTCTTCGGAGGCATTGACGAAAAGCACTACGAAGGCAAGATTGAATACATCCCTCTTCGCCGTAAGGCTTACTGGGAAGTTGACATTGACTCCATTGCCTTCGGCGATGAAGTCGCTGAGCTTGAGAACACTGGTGCTATTCTTGACACTGGTACCTCGCTCACTGTCTTGCCCAGTGACCTTGCTGACCTCCTGAACAAGGAGATGGGTGCTAAGAAGGGTTTCGGCGGCCAGTGGACTATCGACTGTGCCAAGCGTAGCTCTCTCCCTGACATTACTTTCGATTTGGCTGGTTCCAAGTACAGCCTGCCTGCTACAGACTACATCCTTGAGGTCTCCGGCAGCTGTATTTCAACCTTCCAGGGTATGGATATTCCCGCCCCTGCTGGGCCCCTCGTCATTCTCGGAGATGCTTTCCTCCGCCGCTACTACTCTGTTTATGATCTCGGCAAGAATGCTGTTGGTCTTGCCCGTGCTAAGTAAAGAGTGGTAACGAAGGACTTTGCAACATGAATATTTGTGATTCCTTAGTCTCACAAGAGAATCATTGGATCACCAGTTTGTAGTTAAATACAGTTATCGAGTTTTAAGCAGTAACCTTGGTCACCGTTCGTCGTGCTGATTGAAATACCTTGCTTTTATAGTTGGTCGAAACGGAGTTGTAGCTATGTGTCTGATGCGTAGTTGCATGTGTATGGTGTTTCAGATGCCAGTCATGATGTATTGCATATTACAGTTTGGAAATATTAAATTATCATGAACAAAGCCACAAAGACGCTGATTTATGTTTTTATTGAACCTGCTCCATGCCTTGCACTGTAGCGACGCCTAAAATGAGGCCATGAACGAGGTCACGTGGATCTGTGCTAACCTTCCCTTGCCGCCTTAGCGTTGGCCCCAGCTCCGTGCCCAGCCAGTGATGGAGACACATTCTTTCTACCAGTCCGCCCGACCCCTACAACCTGCGATCGGTTTCCATTTCACCAAAAACGTGCAAAAATTGCTTGTTTTCGCGCAAATTAAGCAAGATACTTTTGCAGCTTCGAAAATACTAATTGCGTCTACAAAGTTGGATGCTCGTGCATTGGTTTGGTCTACACGGTTGATGAAAAGATTTGGCGTCGCACCACGCCCTTGTCCTCTACCGCGTATCGCGACTTGTCGCGGCGACCACGGCCACATTTCGACGCCAACCTGGCCGGCATCACAGCCAGCAATATGGCGCAGCCTACACTCGCCGAAATGAACGACTCTGCAGCCTTCAACTCTGCGCCAGACGCGCAGGTACCTGCTATGAAGCGAAAGCGCGACGCAGATGGCGATGACGATATGCAACTCAGCGAAGATCATAGCAAGAACGACCCAGAGACGCTCGCAGCTGTCGCAGATGATGGCAAATCTATCTTGCACTATGTTGGTGCACTGGAGAAGTATGTTTTATTCCCTCCGTTACTGCCTACCTTGGGCTTGTAGAGACTATACTCACCTTGTTTTACTCTAACAGCTTCGACGAATCGGCCTTGCTAACGCGACCATTCACAAATGCCGAGCTAGATCACGCGAATCGAGGCATTAAGCGCCAAAAACCCAACGATGAAACCTTTAGATCCAGCATTTCCGACCGGGTGGCGAGCGGCGAGTACAAGAGTCTTGAAGAAGTCGCTGCCGATATCACTTGTGCGGTTGACGCAATGATTAAAGACCTCAGCAACCAAAAGGTTGAGGAAGAGACGGAAGTACCGGCCACGACAACTTCAACAATAGCACAGCTGAAACGACTACGCACCAAAGCCGCCGATATTCTCGCTCGTGAACGCGCCTATCCCAAGTCAGCACATACAACGGATACCGACTTAAACGCAGACCTTGGGGCTATTGATTCTAATACTGGCGAATATGTCCTGTCCATCCTCGGATATGCACCGCAAGAACGCCGCCTCTTTTCCAGTTTGCCGCTTAGAAAAGGCGATACATCTCTCCAGGACACTGGACTCCCCCCCGGCGTCTCCATTAGCAAAGTTTTGCCCACCAAGGCGCAAGCCAACACGCATACGCTTGGTGACGTCTTTGGTTCTGCTCGACCTATGCCACTGCAGCCACCTAAGCAGCCGAAAACCCAAGCCAAAGGCAACACTCTTGACTTTTACCATCCAGGAATGTCGGATAGCCAACGGTCTCGCGGAAACAACTACTTTGCCACAAAGCTCTCATCGGGCTACTATCTTGACTACAGCCATGCTACACCTTCTTCCCAAACTGTACCGAAGCAGCGGGAACGAGCAGAGAGTCTAGCAGGAAGAAAACCGTCCACAGCAGAGCTGGCCATGTCAGAAGTGGATAGCCTTTTCCGTGGAGCGTTTTCAAGCTTCGCACCTACTAAAGATGATTCTTCCGCTGTGGTACCATCATCGGTAGCTAGCCGCGTATGGTGGCAGAAGGGGGGTCTTAGAAGCTTTCAGCGTATGATTGAGTCTGTTTATGGTGGTGCCAATGAAGAGGCAGATAAGAACCAAAAGGCAACCGAGGTCGATGAGAAGGCTATAAAACAGGCTATTGACGAGTGGGATGACTCTGCGGTTGACCCGTCTCTTCAAGATGCCATGGGATCAAAGCCCGAGCACAAAGACGATGTCGATGGCCTCCTCGATGAAGTTAGCGATTTGATTGAGACCCTGGCCTCTTACCAGCGCATCCGAAATCTCACTCTCCCGAGCACTCAAAATCGCCAATCCGGAGAACCCCCAAGCGCAGATATGCTTACGCATGATGTACCTGAGCCAACTGAGGAGGAATGTGCTACGTATGAGGTCCTCAAAGCCCAACTCAGCCTTATTATCAAGACCCTTCCCCCATATGCTGTTTCTAAGCTTAATGGAGACCAGCTGGACGAGCTCCTCATTAGCACGAAGATGCAGATCCACACCGATGAATACAACGGTGTGATGGAAGAAGATGAAGCTGGAGTTCAAGCACGCCTACGAGCACAGCAAGCGGCAGCGCAAGCTAGTCCTCGTGCCACCCCTCAGAGACCAAATGCTGCTGCGCCGCAACATGTAGCACAGTATCAAGCATCTCAGTATGGAACGCCTGGGCGGACTCCCGCTCACCAGCAGTTCTACCGCCCTCAACAGAATGCTCAATTCCAACAACAGCGCAACTTTACAGCCCCTTCACCACAACGACCCCCGCAACCAAATCAATATACCCGCCCGAACGGGTTCCAAAGCCAGTTTGCTACACAGCTGGCAAAAGCACAAACTCCTTATGGCCATCAGAACATGCAGCAATTTGCGGGCCAGCAGCGTCCAGCGCAACTACAACAGACTCCCCAAGGCACACCCAACGCACGATTCCAGTATCCTCAAGGATATCAGCAGCAGGCTGGTACTCCCACTCCCGCAGGGTACTCTGGGTTCCCTAACGGCGCTGGACCTCAACAGCGAGCAATGTCGTCTCAGATGCATCAACGTCAACCGCAAAGCCCATCACCAAACATGCAGCAGAACCGCTTCAACGCTGCTCCGGGGCCTGGGTTAACTGGTTATCATACTGTCATCTCTGAAGCCCAACAGCAACGCATTCTTGACCAAGCGAAAGCTAGAGTCGCCGCTCAGGATCGGTCGTCGTCGTATGGTGGTGCCATGGGATCACCCGGATTCCCCATGAATGCAATGAGACAAGGCGTTCAAACACCGTCTGGTCAGAGGATGAATGGCGCTCACAATCTTGGAACGCCCCCAATCCCTTCCAAAGTGACGCCGGTTCCCGTGCCTGTGATTCCTGGATCACAGCACCCAGGTCAGCAATGATCAGACCGATTGATGGGGTAGATTTTGATTTATGTGTGCAACGGAGTTTGGTACTATGGTTCAACGGCTAAACGTTTGATTGGCGTTTCGAATAAAACTGATTTCTTGCCAGGGGCAACTAGCGTGGACGCCAGCTTGCCAAGCTAGCTGCTTGATTTAGCGAAGCTGACTTGTGCCCCCGACTGGCTGAGTTTAGATGTTGCTTTATGTATTAAATATGCTTAATTTACATGTATCTGTAACTCTCACACTAGTTTCTATAAATGATATGGTGCCGAACAATGGGAATGCACGTGTAGACGATATTGTATGCCGAGTGCTTGTTATATATATATGTACATGTAAATAAGAGGAGGGGTATCATAAAGTTGAGTTAAAATTACACAAGTGCCCAAAAATCGAGCCCATCGACAATACTCATGCTGACGCCGCTGCTTGATCTTCTCTCCATTCCAGAACAATCCGCCTGACTTCAAAAATTACCTCCACCGCAATCAAGAGAATAATAATGAGTTCTAACCGAGTCCCATGCTGCTCGCTGGACATTTCTCGCAACACAGTCGCGATCTCTTGGGCATAATCCATTTTTTGGTTGAGGGCGCGAATGCGTACGTTGACATCGAGGGCACGTCCGACTTGTTCATAGTAGCCCTCAAGGCCGAGTTCGGATCGGCTATCCCAGAAGATATCAGGGAGCGCATCGGTAAGCTCCGAGTAGTGGTTCAGCCGAGCACGGAGGCTAAGCAGCTCGCCAGTCTTTTTAAGGATGAAGCGGCGTCCAAGAGGGATGCCAGTGCCGCGTGAAAGCTGACCAGGGATATTGCGTGTGCTCTCAAAGTACGACGTCAGAGCCGATTCCAGGACAGCAAGCTTGGTGCTTCTCGCCAATCCTGATGAAAAGGCAATCTTGGCGAGCGTTGTGTCGAGCTTGACACCGTGATCGGATTCGTGCTGCGTGCCAATTACCACCACATCGCCCTTCATGGTGCTGCTATCGCGGGAGTTGTCATTGATAAAGTCAAGGTCTTCGACCTCCCTCTGCTCTGGAGGATAGGCGTCTTGAGCTGCTCTGAGGAGCTGTTTCGTCACGATATCGGCAGGTAACGACCAAGTGACTATGGCACCAGAAGGGAAGACAAATATATCGCCACCGTTCACAGCTCGGGCATGGATGACCTCGTCAGCATCGAAGCCTGTGCTGTCTGGGTCGATCTGGAATCCATGAGAGGACAGGATCTCCAAGACCATGGCCATATCAAAGGCTTCAGCAACGCAAGTGGCGCTTATGACCATGTTGGGATCGGCATCAAGGCTAGCTGGGCCATACTTTCGGTTGCCGTCAGGGCTCCTTTTGGGATGCTGCGCGATGATGGCGACGCGGCGCAGAGAGGTTTGGGCTGTTGTAGCACGTGTTGGCTTTCTCTTTGCGCCCACGTTAGATGCTGATGCAGAGCTTTCAGACTCTGAGGGTTCGGAGCCTGCATTTGAGCTTTTTGTGGCATCAGTCGACTGCATCGCATGAAACCGCATGGGTGCCGCTATAAGACGATCTCTAGAACCTCTAATAGAAGCTCTACAGCACCATCTGGGCGTGGTTACCGCCAATGGTAACCTCCCAAGCCCGGATTTGCTCATGCAATAGATTGGAGCCCTCATTGTGTTTCCCACGATGGCATACACAGGATCGCGTTAGAGCACTCTTTGCGGAAGCTCGCGATTGCACACAGCTTTGCAGGACCGTCCTATCGACAAGGCGACGATCACATGACCTGGCGTCTATTAGGGGCACGTTGGCTCCATGAGACGCAACGCCTCTGCGTTCCTCGTAAAAAAAAAGGAAGGAGACGTAAGTACCAAGCTACGTTTGATTGGGCGACTGCGCCCGTGGCGTCACTGTGCGGTGCTATTTGGTTGGGGGCAGGGGACAGGCATGTATTGGGGGATTCAACCCTGTTCTGCCCCTTCTTGTCGTGTTAGAAGAGATTAGCAACCGGCTTTTATTTCGGATTATTTGGAAAGAGAACAGATGGCTTTCTTGCCTGAAAAAAAAGGGATCAGGGCAGCTAGATTAGATGTAGAGTCTGTTGCTTAGTGTTCATGTTGTTTGAGCATTGCCACGCTCGAATGCCCAAGATCCCAAGCAACGTATGCTGCAAAACGGCCGCTGTAAACAAAACAAATCGGAGCTGCGTTTTAGCGATACGAAGCCGTGCCACAGGGGACCAAGTTACCAAGTATTGCGGCGCTTTGCTGCCAACCCCCACTAGGCAGCGGTGGGCAAGTAGGTGCTGAAGCCGCTAATTTTACCACTGCGCCGCTCCGGCCCAGGCTATGACACCACGCCTGCTAAAGGCTCCGCCTCCAATAATAATCCTCGCGCTTCTGTCTTCTTCCGCCTCTTCCAACAGACCCCGTCTTTCTCCCAACTCTTCCCGCTTTGCTCTTTCCTTTATCACCTAATTCATTTGAAAACAAGCTTCTTGTACTTCTTCTTCAACGCCAACCTAATACTTTTTTCTTTTGCTCCGCCCTCATCTCCCTACCACCACCGCCACAATGGATTTGGATCCCAAGTACGACAACTACGACTTCCCCTACGAGGCCAAGGAGGCTCAGGATGGCCACGCCGGTCATCTGACTGAGGCCCAGATTGCCCAGGTTCACCAGTTCCGCATGATGCTTGAAGCCGAAGGCGTCACTGAGCGATTGGACACCCTCACCCTAGTATGTTAACAGCTTTGGCAGAATGTGGGGGATTCTTCAGAGGGAGGCGAAACTGGCGAAGGCTAACTTTGGGACAAACAGCTGCGCTTCTTGAGAGCCCGCAAGTTCGATGTTGCACTTTCCAAGCAAATGTAAGCAAGAAATCCACACTGACGTATTGATTGCGCCTAACCTGACCATCCGACTAGGTTCATGGACTGTGAGGCCTGGAGAAAGGAGATCGACCTCGACAACCTTGTCCCCACCTGGGAGTACCCCGAGAAAACCGAGATCCAAAAGTACTACAAGCAGTTCTACCACAAGATCGACAAGGTGAGTAATAGATTTCGAAGATCCTACAAAATGAACCAATAATAGCGGCTGACTGGATTTGTTATCATTTTTCTAGGACGGCCGACCAATCTACATTGAGACCCTTGGCGGTATCGACTTGACCGCCATGTACAAGATCACTACTGCTGAGCGCATGTTGAACAACCTTGCCGTCGAGTACGAACTCGTCGCTGACCCCCGCCTGCCCGCCTGCTCCCGCAAAGCTGGCCACCTTCTTGAGACTTGCTGCACCATCATGGATCTCAAGGGCGTCACTCTGACCCGTGTCCCCCAGGTCTACTCCTACGTCCGTCAGGCATCGGCCATCTCGCAGAACTACTACCCTGAGCGTCTCGGCAAGCTCTACCTGATCAATGCCCCCTGGGGTTTTTCCACCGTCTGGAGCGTTGTTAAGGGATGGCTCGACCCCGTTACCGTTAAGAAGATCAACATCCTTGGCGGCAGCTACAAGAGCGAGCTTTTGAAGCAGATTGACGAAGAGAACCTTCCCAAGGACTTTGGTGGCAGCTGCGCTTGCGAGGGAGGCTGTGAGAACAGCGATGCTGGCCCCTGGAAGGACCCCGCCTTCTCCAAGCCCTCCCAGTGGGAGAAGAAGAAGGCTGCCGCTACCAACGGCCTTCAGAACAATGGATCCGAGATTGTTACTCCTGCTAATGGTGAGGCTACACCGGTTGTTGATGCTGCTGCGGAGGACAAGGTCGCTGCTACAGCCTAAATTTGTCGTGACTAATATCGACGTTGAAAAGGCGGGGTGCCGTTTGATGGGAGAGAAGCTTTGTTTGGTGCGATTGATGACCTTTTTTTTTTTTTTTGATATTTGACAGGCACTGAGAGAAGGCGTATCCGGACTAGAAAATGAGTTGAAGCATTGTCTGTTGTTGAGTTGCATAGCCACGGAGTAAGGGGGTGTTGGCTTTGGCAATCGCTACTCAAACTAAAAGAAAGAGAGAAATGGTTATACATGGAGGCCGAACATGGCTGGAAAGCAATGTTTTAATGCTTAGAATGGGTGATACAATATATACACGAGTTAATAATCAGGTCCAACCGTCTTGAGTATACTGCAAACGTCTTTGAATCAAGGTCCTTGGCTTGCTTGCGAGATGAATAGTGATAGAAACGAGTTGGTATAGATTAACCTTCATATGTTATGTACACGCTAAAATTCTGCTAAAGAAAACACTCCTGTACGCCTAACAGACCGCCTCGACGGGTAGCCCAATCCAGTCCAAACTCCAAGAAACCATAACCTATGAGAGTATCGCCGCGTTGTCGCTAGTGGTTCGATAAGGAGCCATTCGTGAAGCTAATTGTTTCCCTTGATTACGTAGTCTCCAGCCATTCTAGCTCGCTCAAGCTTGGCAACGATGGACGGCATGTCTTTCTTAACTCTCTCGAGCCCTTCCACAGCGCCACGGAAACGGCTCTCAACGCCCTCCTGGCGCTCTAGCGGCGACCAAGCAATGTCCCGACTCTCAGCTGTAGCCCGAGGCACTTCTGCGGCAAGTCTGCTCTGTAATGCCTCCTCGTCGCGAAGGACAGCGGCGTCAAAGTGCTCGGCTTGCTCTGCTGCGGCAGTAGAGGGCACAGACCGTTTCAGCGCTGCGACTTCTTCGAGTAATCTTTCCTCCTGTGTGATGAGGTCCGCAACCATGCGGCGCTTGTCAGCATCGTAGGGTTCGTAGAGTGCATCGTCGTCGCCAGAGGCGCCAAGTCGAGAAGAGTCGCGATCGAGGGCGTCGTCGGCCGTTACTGTGTGGCCATTGATGCGGAGATTCGGCGCTGCGAAACCAAATGTGTTGTCAATGTACTAGTACACGAAGATGGTTAGTATACAAGCGAAAGAGGGCACCTTGTGTACTCTAATATGGTTGACGAAATGACATACCTGGTTGACAAGAGCTTCGACTTCAGTGCGTAGTGTATTCTTGCCGCGCTGGCCCTCAACGCGCGGAAAGGCCTGCTCGATGTGCTCGGCGGCCGCGGCTCGCACGTTTGCTATTAAATAGGAGAGGTCGTCATGGCTGGTGAGTTCGATTAGGGGCTGCTCGGGTTCGGCGTCCATGGCGGGCGGCGATGCATTGTCCGGTGGATGTTTGTTGTGTCGGAGGTGTTCGGTGGGAGACGCGATGCTTGGTGGTGGGGTTGCGGCGGGACGCGGCGGCGCTGGTGCAGGTTGTGTGGGTAGTGCAGTGGATGGATGGGGTTGAGGTGGCCGCGCTGTACATAAATTCTCGCAATATTGATGGGTATATTAACAATTGGAAAAAAATATAGATTAATTATATGCATGCAGTGTGACTTGCATGCAGGTATAAAAGAAAAGCAAAAGAGAAACTCCGGTTTCTGCTGCGACTTGGCGTGGTGTGGTCATACAGTGAGGTATATGTATTACACCACGAACAGATATTGATTTTCAGTAGATTGCTCCTATACCAATATTATAATGATTCGCCATGTGATTTTCACGTTTCTTAGTTTTGTTAATCCCAACTACAGGGGTGTAGAGATCAAATATTTTTCTTCTGGTATACAGGGTTCATCGGTGTCGAAACCACATGCAGCCGCATGCAATATGTGCAAGGTTTATGCCCCTGGTTTAGTCGATGCAGGTCGTCAAAGGAGCCACTGGTAGCCTCGTTCTTGTATCCGTGGCTAACGGCGGCTGAACCGTTGAAGAGTCCTTTGTCGTTTGAACGATGATAGTCTTCGCTTCTGAAGCCAGGCAGGTCGGATTGACACTGACAATGACGCTAGCGGGCTGAGCCGCTACAGCCCCGACCCATCTTATTATCACTTCTTAAAGTCTGCCATCTCCACTACAACGCAACCCTGGGCATCGATTCGCTGGACTGGGAGCTGCAGCCTTCCAATTCTGGTCTGATGAAGAACATAACTAAGCGAATGAGTGCATTAAAAGGGTCCTTTCACCGGGGACATTTCGCCAAGTTGTTCAAATAGGAAGTTCATACAGACCATGAATCCAGATGCCAGCAGTTCTCGAGCCATGACTAGCCAGCCCGCTGGGATCCAGCACGGCATATGAAGAGGAAAAAAAAAGCCTCTTCGTTTACCCGTTGACTAGTGGTCTATGAAGGCGGGCAGCGGATCCTTCCAGCGAACATACTTACCCGCTGTCTGTAGCCTGCGCCTAGTCAGTGGCCCTGAAAGCTGACTGCATTGTGCGGCAGTGGGGGGGCGGAAGAGAAATGCGCCACCGTCACCTTCTGTATTGGGGGCTAGACCCGGTTGGCAATATTCCTTTAGGGATGCAGATGGTGTCGTGTCTGCGATGGGGGAAACGACGGCCCAGTGGGGGAGAGGAGACTGAAAAATACAAAAGCATGGACGCGGGATGTGACAGTGGTGAGATTGAGAGTGCTGCTTAGCTGCAACGACGTCGCTTCTAGGGCTGCCTCTACCCCAAAGTCGACTTATATACTGTACTTGTCTGCAAGGATGCGCATGCTCCTCTGTCAGCTCCTGGTCGTGGCCCTTACGGTGCCTGTGGCCATGGCTTCCTATGTCGCAGAGCACAATTTCACGGTAGTCAAGACTACAGTGCTCAAGAACGGGCAGATCATCGACTGGGTTCATCGGGACGATCAAGGGACCATCGCTCAGCCGCCAGACTTCCCTCCCGGTGAGGCCACCGAGGTTGCCACACATTCTCTCAAGGCCTTCAAGGAGAGCAACGCTGGCCCCGATGGCACTGTCCCGATCTTGCGATCGACAGGCAATGTCTCGGCCATGAAGAGCAACCCCAATACCAAGAAGCAGCCAGCATCGCGCATCACAAAGCGTGGCTATGAGGGCAGTCACTGGTATGTCAGCACTGCTGACGTTGGTGACAGCATTGGTACCAGCGGCACCCTCAGCATGTACAAGGCCTATGTTGAAAGCACCAACGACTTCTCTCTCCTCCAGACGGCCGTCATTCGCACCGGTGTCCCCAAGGTCGGCGTACAGTCGGTTGAGGCTGGATGGATCAACTACCCGGACCAGGTTCGTAACCCTCATCTCTTCACTTTCTTCACCACCAATGGATACACTGGGTACGGCGATTATATCTGCGGCTGGAACACCGAGTACCGCGGCTGGGTCCAGTACGACAACTCGTACTATCCCGGTATGGAGATGACTCCGCTGGCAGTCGTCGGTGGCACACAAGCTGAGTTTGCCATTACCGTCCGTCTTGTTAGCGGCAACTGGTGGGTTGGAATCAATGGCAAATGGATCGGATACTATCCCGCCAACCTCTTCACTCGCGACGGAAACGCAGCCAGTGCAACCTTGGAGTCTAAGGCAACCGAAGTCGACTGGTACGGCGAGGTCTTTCAGAACCAGAGCCAACTGACGACTACGGACATGGGCAGTGGCCACTACGCCAGCGAGGGATCTGGCAAGGCTGCATACATTCGCCGAATCACGGTAGTCGATCCCTCTGGTACAGCCTATCAATATGACGGCTCTGGACAAGTTGTTGTTAGCGACTCCAACCGCTACAGCCTCAATGCAAGCTTTGCCTCCGGTACCAATTGGGGCAGCTTCTTCTTCCTTGGCGGTCCTGGCGCCGGCGGCGTTATCAACGGATAACAAATCATTTAAAAAGTATATATGTACACCTAAAAAGTGTATACGAGAATGTATATAGGTCAAAGCATATAGAACATAGGGTATAGAGCATATGGCATGTAGCATAGCGCATGGAGTCATGATTCATCAGCATTATCATTATTTTACCAACTACTACTTTTCCTACACTATTCAGTGCCGTGGTTATATACAAGATGGGACACACGTACACACATCTACAAACGTATGAAAGCTATAGTATTGCAATTTACCGTCTGTAGAGCGTTCTGGACAGGGCGCCAGCGAAGCGCAGGGTTATTTCTTGCTGGCCTGCATCACTTCAATGCGGGCCAGTCTCTCCATGACCATCTTTCTCGCTCTTTCATCGTCACCATCGACACGCGATCTGGCTTCTTCGAGCGTCTTGACGAACTTTTTGTTGGTCTTGTGGAAGGCGTCCAACATACCTGTTGGGCCAAAGTTTTCGTCGAAGGCAAAGTGATGGAAGTCGTGCTGAAGGTTGGATGGTAGGCCGGGCAAGTTGTATCCAGAGTGTGTGCAGAGGGTGCCAAACTCGAGCAGCAAGAACGTAAAGAGCTGCTGAGACCAGTGGTGGGGGACCAAGACGATGCCAAGAGTGTTGGGCACCAAGTTCGAAAAGATGTGCTCAGTAATGGTGCAGTAGGTGCTGGCAATGCTCACAGGCGCGGTAAACTCGTGGTGCTGCTTATGGAAGCGAGCGTACATCGACTTGGAGTGGAAGAAGCGATGGATGTAGTAGAAGCCGACCTCGGTGCACAGGATGTCAAAGATGCTGACAACGACAGTCTCCAAAGGCCCAGGCAGGTGAGCGGGCAGCACGGGTTTCAGGGGGGAAACATAGCTGACTAGGAACACCAATGGGAGTGCGACGAGGAATTGGTTGCGGAGCGAAATGACGGTGATCCAGAGATACTCTCGGCCAGACACACGCACGAATGGTTGCGTCTTGAACTGGAACAGCCATCCCGGCCAGCTGGTCAGGTCACCAATAGCAAAAATGCCACCCAGAACCCAGAAGAAAACAGAGGTGATGATGAATGTGCCCCATACATTGAGGTTCCAGTCGCCGTACGTATTGTGTAGGTCAGTGTACAGCTTGTGCGCGGTGGGTGTAGTGTTGAAGGCTGCGAAGGCGGCAATGGGGAGGATGGTTCCTGCACCAGAGGCGAAGGCGCCGCGAACAACAGCGGGCGTGGAGTAGGCCCATCGTTGGGCGTGCGGAATTGGGTTACCGTCGAGGTCAGTCGGGACGGCCTTCTTGGGGGCTGCTTTGCCAGTCATGTTGGCGATACAAATCGAAGAGGGTTCGACGTAGATGCGTTACTGTGGAGCTGCGAAGGAGACAGCGGTCATCGCTTGGCGGGAGCGGAAGCAGGGTCGTTTATAAGAGGATGAGAGACGAAGAAGATGAGACGACACTAGATGGAGCTGAGCGCTGGCTAAAAAGGAAGAAATGATGCTGTAGAAATAGGATTGGCACGCGACTAGCGACCGGTGCCTCGGCGCCACTACGGCTGGCGTGCACCCCGCAAAACGGACTCGGTGAGTTCCTCCGGCGCGGCCGGCCCCCGGAGATGGCTACCGGAAGAAGCAATTGCGGCGGTTTTAAACGGCGGGGAAGATGGAACTCTGGATAAATATTTATTTACGTTTAAATGAAGAGGCTGGATTCGTTAAGCGAGGGCGTTGAGGTGGACTAGTGGCTACTTTATGTCTGCGTTGCAGATGCGCCAGCTGGCGGCTTGCAGCTGGCAAGTGGCAAAAACAGCTGATTTTTTATAGGAGCCCGCAGAACAGACGCCTCCACGCTCGCGGTCGTCGCGCGGGTTTCTCTTGTTCACATGCTTGGTCTGAAGTCTTGGAACAATGGCCTTCTTCAACGTGGCCTAGTAGAGTCACTTCATCGTCGTCATGAAGCTCTCTGATACTGTCGGTGGTGCGGTATGCTGCAATCGACTCAATCTCGAGAGAAAACGAGCCGTATTGTTTGTCGAAAAAGCTATACCGAAAACGAGAGATTTTATTAGTAAAAGAATTTCAAGAGAATTTCTCGTCTTCTTCGAACAGATAAACATACCTCCGCATCATCAGTCCGATGCGCTTGATACCGGCGATATCGAGCGGCGCCGCATCTGTTTTATCCCGGCCACGGTAGGTTGGCTTGAAGGCTTTCCAAGAAAGGAAAACATGACCGGCGCTACTGGGAACGAATTCTGCCTGCCAGCTAACGGTGCTCTGCTCTCTACCATCATCTCTATTGGGTAAGAGGCAGTCTTTGAGAGTCAGTGCATATCTCTTGCCGTCCGTTGAGCTTTTCACCGCGATCGCTATTCCGTCGTATGCCGACAAGTCTAGGTCAATGATGCCGCGGCTATGTTGCGACGCAAAGCCAGCACCGCCGAGGGTCGTTGTGTCCAGCGTGCCATAGAATCGTACTGTGCCCGAGCCCTCAACTTCAAGATTGGCCTCGCTCGAGCCGCCGCGCACACGGTCCGACGATTCTACCCAGGCTGCGGCATCCCACGGCCTGCTGCTCTGTTAACACACACTCGAAGGACCGTGCGCCGTGGCTACGACATACCTGCTGCCGCCGTAAAGGTAACATAAGCTGTGATGCATGGCGACTTTTGTTTGTGGATGATTATGTCTTGTCAATGCTTCCTCAACGCTCTAGGCTAGGTTGTGTCCAGACTTACAGTTGGCGTCAATTGGGTACGACGCTAAGGGACCCCAATGACGCCCACATCAGCGTGACTTCCACTGTGGGACTTTAACGCTGGTCAGATATCTACAAGGCTGGGAAAATAAAAGAAATAAAGAGGTTGAAAACGAATCAAGAAACAAAAACGCATTGCAAACGCGAGAGAGTCAATGCAGCATGTTCTAAGCGTCACATCAATTCCGGTGAGTGTCCAGATGACCAAAGCGTCACTTTCTACTGGGTGTACTAATTACAGTACGCAGAGGCCCATTTTCTTACAGTGCTAAGCTTTTTTTTAAGCAACGTTTTAGCGGCGCGCGTGGCTTGGCGATGGGCTGTGGCCCGATCATCCTTCTCCGGGGGTTGACAGCAGACAAATATGGGCATGATACACAGTGAGTTCCAGGCACACTTATGCCCCGGGATAGGCTCTTTATTCGCTGTCCCGGAGTGCTTCATCTCTTCTCGCATGGCATTCCGTATTCATGCTGTGCTCGTTTACAAACCGAAGTTGCTTTGTGCGGCATTTTCCTCAGGGTCTGGTCGCGACCCGCGGACGGCTTGCTCCGCCTCACTCAGTATCAGGGACAAGGCCCCTACAAACATTCTCTTTTGGGGGGCCCTGCGCCGCGCTGTGCACCGTTTAGCACCTGAAAGACACCCGATCTGCAAACCATTGGCACTCTGGGCTGTTGTAGTTAAAATTGCGCGACCCCCAATAGCCCATAGGAGCAGGCTACTGACCCGCAAACGAGGCGGTGCACACACAAGAAAACGTTTTTCAAACTTTGTAAAACAAGCAGCTCTGGTCGGTCCGTGAGCCCCTGCGTCTGAATAGCCTCGTTGCTGCCGCAATGGCCCCTGACGTGTGCATCGTTTGGGCATCATTGGCTGGGCCTGTGCTGATTGGCATGAGACCAGCCAGAGCTGTAACATAAGCCCGTGTGTTTGAAGCGTATCGCTAGGCCCTTGCCTGGTGCTGTGACCATCGCCGGGATTGCCTATGGAGTCATGGCTATGCCCAAAACGGCCCGCATCTTACGATAGGACAACCTAAAAGGGGCCCGCGCACCGTTGCTTTGGCTGACCGCAGGAATTTGCTGTACAATATATACATGTGCATTCTCTAGTGTCTACATACCCTTCCTGTTGACAGGAAACCTTCCGGCCACCATTGCTATCGTTGCACCCTGCGGTTTCGTATATAGACCGCCTACATTGCGCGTTTGTCGCCTCGTGCCGACACACACTATAACCCACTATGCCCCTCCGCTCAAATACGTTACCTACACCTCTGCCAGTGTCCCGCAGCAGCAGCCAGAACCCGTTCAAAGAAGAAGCCGTCGAAATGACTAGCAGTGTCAAATCCCTCGATGGCGAGACCCAGCCGCCGTCTGCCCATGATCACCACGGTGAAGTTGACAGCTACTTTGTAAGTACACGCCGCAGAAGAAAAAGAGAGACACACATAGAGCTTGGGCTAACAGTCACTACCCAGACTGGACCCCGCGATCTGTCCCACCACTCAAGATGGCCGACATTCCTTCGCATCCACGGTAGTGTCTTGCCGAGGATGGTTCTTCCCATCGCCTTTGTGGCGGCTTGGTCTACGGCTATTACAGCTGTCGCCGTTCTGGTGCATGATAGTATGTGACTCCTTTGACTCTCTTGATTCCGCCTACATTGTTCAATTTCCCTAACCACCGTCTCTTTTAGTTGGTATCAATCATGTCCTCCTAACCGTCATGGGTTTCGTCGTTGGTCTTTCCCTCTCTTTCCGCAGCTCAACCGCCTATGAACGTTACAACGACGGCCGCAAGTACTGGGCTCAGCTTAACCAGGTTACGCAAAACCTAGCCAGACTTGTCTGGATTCACGCCGACGAGCGAAAGGAGGTCGCAACGGAAGACTTGCTGGCTAAGGTGACGTTTTGCAACATGCTGGCTGCCTTTGCTGTGGCATTGAAGCACCGCCTTCGTTTCGAGCCGTTTACACATTACGAGGATCTTGAGCCTCGTCTGCGCCACTTGCCTATTCTTGCTAAGGATGCCGTACGCCGCGACTGGACAGACCCCTCGCCCTGGAAGATTGCCGGCCTCGTTTTGGGTCTGCCCATGGCCGAATCAAACCCGCGAAAGCTTGTCAAGAACCCACGAAAGCCCTTGGGCAATGTACCACTGGAGATCCTGGCGTCTTGCTCGGCTTACATTAAAACCATTATTGATAATGGTACCTTCAAAGCCCCCTCATATCAGACTCAGTCTATGGCTCTTATTGCGTCGTTGCATGATATTCTCACTGGCACTGACCGTGTTCTTAACACCCCGCTTCCGATTGCGTACTCTATTGCCATCTCCCAGATTACATGGGTGTACATCTTGGTTCTTCCCTTTCAGCTGACCGACTACCTGAGCTGGGCGACTATCCCCGCGACTGTCTTTGCCGCCTACATCATCCTAGGCATTTCTATCATTGGTGCTGAGATCGAGAACCCCTTTGGTGAAGATGTCAATGATCTGCCTTTGGACAGCTTCTGTGAACAGATCAGACAAGATATTGATCTTATCCTTTCCCAGGCTCCCAACGCAGCACAAAAGTTCATCGAGAATGACAGCAACGCGTTGCTGTATCCGCTTAGCAACCTTGGCTTCAATGCTCTTAAGGGTAAAAGCACAGATGAAATTCGCCAGATGCTGCGCTCGAAGCCAGAAATGACTTTCAAAATCGCTGAAGAATGACACAGCAAAGTGTTCATGTAAACTAATTCTAAAATCATTGGCGCGCAGATAGAGATATAGACGAACATAGAGCTTTTTAGACGGTAATATTTATAATTATTATGTACAATTGTTCATGGGTTTCATCAATGGTGATATGTGTATGAATGTGCTGTAGTTCCCGATTGCCTTCTTCACGATTTGCTTAGAATCTCTCGCAAAGGTGTACGCTGACAGAGCGGAACTCGGGAACATCAACGTAGGTAGAGTTGATCATAACGTCGGTAACGGTAACGGGGGCGTCGAAGAGGTCGATGCGCTTGTGTCCGATAGACTTGCCGCCAGAGACGCGAGTCCAGGGGACATCCTTGCTGTGGTTGATGCCATCGGAGTCGATGATCTTGGCATAGACGTTGTAGGAGCGGATGAGCTGACCGTTTGTCTGGTCCTCCATCATGACAATACGGTCAATGGTGGTGGGCTTGTCAAAGGTCATGAGGTACTGGCCGTCAATGCTGCTGTCGACGTACTTGGAGGGCTCCTCATCGTCGTAGCAAGAACGGATGAAGTCGCCAAGCTCCTTGTAGCGGGCAGCAGCGTCAGCGGGGACAAGACCGTTCCTGTCGGGAGCAAGGTCCAGAGCGAGGACGCAGTTGCGGCCAACAGAAGAGTGGTAGACGCCGACCATCTCCTTGAGGGAGCGGAGAGGCTGCTTGACGCCCCAGAACCAGCGGTCCTGGGTCTGGAGAGAGGTATCGCACTCAGCAGGGGCGAAGAAGGGAGATCCGGGGTCACCAGAGTCCTCGCCAACACCAGTGGACCAGTTGTCGTCGCCGGCGTTGCCCATCTCATTGCCGATCCAGCGGATGGGCTTATCGGAAAGGCAGACACCCTTGGTGTCGCAGCCGTTGAAGATGACGGCCTTGGACTGCTTCTCCTCAAGAAGCTTCTCGATGGAGGCCTTCTGGGCTCCGCTGTAGCCACCGTCGAACCAGATCTAGTTAGTGTGTTAGCGGGAGGTCATTCTTTTTATTGTTAGATGGGAGCTTACCTCAGTCAAGTCGCCGTACTGGCCCCAGAGCTCAGTAAGCTGGTCGATGACGACCTTGTTGTAAGTCTCGGTGGTGACGCCAACCTGGCCAGGGGCCAAAGGCTCCTTGCGGGCCTCAGAGCCGTAGACGTTGAGGTAGTTATTGACGACGGAGCTGTAGTAGAAGCCGTGGCCGAGACTGTACTTCTTGGTAGAATCGACGAAGCTGCGGATGACGTCCTTGCCAGAAACAGGGGACTGTGCAACGGTGTAGTTGTAGGTCATGGCGTTTCCGTCGCGGTCGGAGAACTGAACCTTGGAGGGCCAGGTGGTGAAGCCGCAGTTGTGCTTGGCCACGAGAGTTGCGTACTTGGCACCAAGGTCCTTGGCAGACTCCATCCACTGGTCGGTGTTCAGGAGCTCAGGGTCAAAGAGCTTGCGCTCAGGAACAAGAGACTGGTTGCTGTTGCAGCCATCTTCCTGGATGTAGGTAGCAATGTTGAAGTGGATGAGGAAGCCAATCTCGCGGTCCTGGAAAGCAAGCTGCTCCTTGGTGGGAAGGGCGATCTTGGTACCGTCAACAGGAGAGATACGGTATCGGCCGTGGAAAGGCTCATTAGCAGGCTTGGGGGCGGCGGCAGCGGCGCCAAGGGAAGCCAGAGCGGCGACAACGGCAGTCTTCATGATGATTATGCGGGGAGGGATAAGGAAAGATGAAGAATTGGGGCGAGTCGAAGACTTTGCTTAAGCCAATTGCGGGGATTGCGCTTCTTATACTTTTGGTGAAGAAACAATTTAGGGAACATGAGCTGTGGGATGAGTTGGAGACAAGCCAGAAATACCCGACGGGGAGATCACCCACCGACCGGGTCGATCTTGAGGTGTTCTTCGCACTAGGCCATGGTGAGGTTAGCCGAAACAAATACGCGACGGCACGGCCTGGCGCTGTTCCGATGGCCCAGAGCAACCTTTTTGGAGCTAGTTGACCAAGTGCAGCCCACGGGACAGGGAGATTTCAGCCGACCTCCCCCTCCATTATTGCAGCTACAGCAGGTAAGGTACTGTTCCCGGCTATAACCAGTTCTTTTCGTAAGTGTGGGTTGGTCAAGCCACCGATTGTTACTTTCTTGTTTTAGCCTAGTGAGCGGCATTAGCAACGCCACTTGATTTGCAAGGGCGCTGAAGAAAGGGCGCGTCTCCATTGAAGCTGTTGATAACGTTACCTCGACATTGCAATTGGTTTCATGATCAGTAGCTAGCGCTGCCAATTTATATGACTAACGCGAATTCTGGCTGATTCGGTCGACAAACTTGAACGATGATGCTTGGATTAACGCCGCGGGGAATCCCGTACAGCACGTGGGGTGTTAATTAAAACCAGGTCTCTCAGTTATGGAAAATGAAATGAGTGGCTCAAGTCCCTGATCGGCATCAATGCATGTCGCTTTGGCCTTGTTGGCAGGAAAGGTTTGTCCTAACAGATGAGATACAGTTACATTGTCAGAGGGCTATGCAGCAGGATGGCAAGCAACATGTAGCTGAGTTCCTTCTAGAATAAACTGGTTTAGCGCCGTAAGGCGTTCTTGTCGTCTGTTTTCAAGCGCGTTGCTGGGCCCTCAAATTCTTGACCCAGAGGAACCGCGAAAATATGTCCACCTTTGGCGTTGATTTGCCTTCCTGCAGATCTGCCCCCATGATAGCCTTGTACTGGTCCGGCCTGAACTCTGACAGCCACAGCATACCGCTCCGAATGTAATTGGTGCACGCTTTATGCTTCTCGCCGCAGCTACCCTCCACCGTTCCGGCATATTGTCCGCCGCCCAATGACATGACATCAACCAGCACGTTGGCAAAAGGTTCCATTTCTTTTTTTGTGATTCCCCAGCTGCCCTGACTCCATGCGCGGTAAAAGCCTGCTACGTCTAGCGAGGCATGGTTCGAGTCTTCAACGTCGCGGGTATCAGGGGCATACATCCATGTGTAGATTGGGTTACCTCGCTTGCTCTTTTTGGTCACCGAGCCTCCGCCTGAAAAGAACCAGCTAAGGCTGGTCTGCATGATTCCTTTATACTTGTCTGCGAGTTCCGCATCGTCGCCCAGGATTAGATGGGCCTCGACTAGGTTTTGAAAGGCATAGTTAAACATCATTTGCTGGTTCCACGGCACAGCCTGTCCGCCTTTGTATGGAGAATCCGAGGCGAAGTACATTCGGTCCCCATTGGAGATGTTAAGCAAGCGAGGTAGGATGTGGTTGGTCATAGCAAAGTCGCCCTGCTTAAGGTACGTCTTGGCTCTGTCCAAATATGTCGCACCATAACCATGCGCATCACCACCGGTGGTATTTTCGTGGTGGATGTCTTTGGTCTGTAGGATGAGATTGGCACAGCTTGCTAGGTGGCCAACAGGGTCGCCCTGCTCGCCACCAGTAGAGACAGGTTCCGAATCAATATTGTTTGGCCACACTGGGGCAATATCTCCTGTCCAGGCTTTGTGTTGACCGATTGGTGCCGGGGCTAGATCGTTTCTCTGGGATAACACAGCATCGCAGTACACGAGCATATTGTCCAATGTGCGTCGTTGGCGTGCAATCTGATAGACGACTCCCATGGCCTTTGTGCGTTCGCCAGAGTCTCCTTGTGCCCATTGATTGCCAATATTATCCTTTGCAGGACTGAGACTCTCCACATATGAATTGAAAGAATTCAACTCGTCACCTGTGACTGCACCATCGAAGCTGGTCACTGTTGGTCCAGATGCATTGGGGGAGCAAAGAGATGCCGTCGCGGAGACGAACACGGAAAGTATCAGCGTGTGCATTGTGACTAAAGAAATATATTAATACGTTGAGTGTCTAGTTTGAAAGCAAAATGTATCACTCTTGTCGAAAAATTGGTTGTGCAATGGTTTTAAAGACGTTGCTAGGTTCGCAATGGGTGCTGCTGGCAGGTGTAGTACGGGCTTCGGGGTTATGTATTTACGATCAGCTGGCAGCCGGCAGTTGACAGCCGGTAAGCTACATCGATCGGCGTGACACCTATTTTCCCGGCGTCACAAGGATGTAAATTTTCCGTCAATGAATAGCTCTTCCTATAAGATAACATCGCGTCTAATTGAAACAGATGAATTGAATCTAACTGCAAGGCGCGCAATCGGGATGCAAGGTCTAGATCGATCGAAGCGGCCACTAAAAGAAGCTCTCGCCAATGAGTAACCGAACCCAGCTTTGAATCTCTTATATCTTTTCTCCATCGACAAGAATCTCGACTTTCTCATTGTAAAAGCAGACCAAGCCGGCAATTCCAATGCTTTCCTGAATTGGATTTCGGTAATACCACACCAAATTCTCATGCGTCTTACCGCCTACAAAAATATGATAGTATTCCGCCTCCCCCTTGTAAGGACACTTGGTCGTCAAGTCACTCCGACGTAAAACAGAGACGTTGACAGACCCAAGTGGCAGATAGTATCTTGTAGGCAGGCCTGTTTCAAAGAGATGCATTGCAAACGACGATTTGGCTACTGTCTGACCATCAACACGCACTTCGATCTCTCGAGACGACGGCAAAATATCAACCCGCTTGAAGGGGTCCTTTGGATGCACATAGATGGGAATATCCTCTTCAAGCCACTGATCTATAGAAATATTAGCATACGGCGTATCTGTATAAGCGACCAAGTAGGCTTACCCATGGAGCCAAACTCCAACCGGACCAGGCCGGCCAATGGCCCCAGTTTCGCATCGTCTACAAAGCGAAGAACTCGATCAGTTGATGCATGTTTTATACCTTCATCCTCTCTAGCTGCTACTGTCAGCGTCGATAGTGCAGCCAGGTGTGAGCCATTGCCAGTGCCTTCTATTATCTCAGCGTCTCCTAGGGTTGCATTTTTAATCTCAGTCACCGGGAAGTAGTAATGAGGATACCACGGATGTTCCCAAACAAAGATACCCTTTGTCGAATCAACAATGACAGTGTTGTTGTATATTACGCGCACGCGACGCGAAGCCGGCATCGACTTTACGCAACCGTTGGATACCAGATGGTTTGCGAGGTCTCGCAACCTGTCGCGCTGTTAGCTACAGTGGAAGCCGAACTGGAGTAGCGCATACTCTGAGCCATGGGCACCAAGAGGAGGCATTTTAAAATCGATATCGGATGCCAACGGTTGAATAGAATATCACGAAAGTTTGCTTTGCAGCTCGTTATGATCAACTAACGATCGGATGTGACGGATGTTGATAATGAGGGGTCTGCTACCGCTGGTAGATTGCCCGCATGACATCACCCTACTGTGGGCGCTGTCGCAACCACCCATACGACGACTTTGAAGAGAAATTCAAAGGAAAAGAGCTTGCCAATCTCGTCTATACAAATTAGTATCTTGAACATAGTTAAGGGTATTTATTCGTAAAGGAATTCCATTTCAGTCTAATTATTTGCCATATTTTGCAGAGCTGTTACAGATTGAATACATGCGTAACCCGTGAGGGAGAAAATAAATCGTATATATACATGAAGAAAGTAGAACAAAATACAATGGAAATTTTTGAAAAAAAAAAAAGGAAAGGAAAGGAAAAGGGAAAAGAACTACATGGACGCCGACGCAATGTAATTACCAATCCGAAGCTGTCTTGTTCTCGTAGTCCAAGTTCCAAGACTGCCAGAATTGATTGTGCCAGCCTACCTGGCAAAGGGTTTTCTCTGGAGGCGTCGTCTGCCACTCAATCAGATCATCGTTGGGGTCTTTATCGTTAATAAGATCCTCGGTATAACCCCTATCCTTCTTGATTCTGCGTGCGTTCTCGATCTTGTAATCCAAGTTGATTGTCGGAACGACAGCGATTCGTCCATATCCTCGAAGCCATAGGTCCTTGCCAAAGAGCTGGGGCTCTCCTTGAACGCATTCATTGCCGGCAAATTTGCGGAAGCGAACACCCTCCATGAGCGGAAGCGCTGAGAATGCAGTCGCACCATTCCAACAGGAATATACTTGGAAAGGCCGCCATTCAGAGAAGCGCTTTCCAGTGACGGTATCGTTGGGGAACATGTGCCATGCGTCATCCCAGCTGCCATCTTTTGGAATGTGGAAAAACGAATCGCCCTGCATAGTTCGGGTGACCCAAACATCGTAAAATACCGGATGTTTGCCATCATGGTAGTTCCAATCCATGGCACACGTTTGTACAGCGCCCAGCTTGATGCGCTGCCACATGAGTTCCAAAATATCGTTTGGGCATATGGCAACATCGTTGATGAAAACGGCCGTCGAATTAGCAGAGAAGTGTTTGTGATCTTGTAGTAATGGCTTGAGTGCCATGTTGCGCAGCTCTGCGAGAATGTCAATCCGATCGGCTCCTTCGGCATTAGGTGAGAGGTCAGAAGATTCGAAGTAGTATTGCATGTTTTCTGCTTTGAGGCCCTCTCTCATGGCTTCAAGAATCTGCACAGTAGCATCTTTGGAGTTTCCCTCGACGATTGACAGGGCCGAGTTTTCGGTTCCTAGATATCTGGCAGCTCTGACAATACTGCCCATCAGCTGAGGGAGGAGCTCTTGCACCTGGTACAGGTTGAGAGCAAAGTACCATGGTCGACGATCAACCGCATGCTTCCACTCTTTTAATTCCTTGTAGCGGGTCTCGTTGATCGGCCGGCATGCCAGCCGAAGATCTTCAAGCTTCGATTCGGAATTTTTGCGGTCGAAGATAACATCGAGGTAAGTGTCAAGATCCTTCTTTGATAGGATTTCCACTAAAGGCCGGTTAGGAAATTGTTCCGTCGCTGGTTGGGGGCGGGCCGCAACGGCCACGCGGGGATGCAACGTCGCGAGACTGACCTTGTTTCGCGGGTTTCTCAGTGTTTTCGGCAGGCTTTTCCTTCTTGCTTTCGGGTTCGGAACTTTCTACTGTGTGCTTCGCATCGCTCGTCTCAGTAGGGTTTTCCTTCGGCGAAGGGCTGGGGACCGGGGCATTGGCCTTGGGGTGCGAAAAGGAGGGACCAGCAAGGCGTGTGAGCTTCTCGCCCGCCAGGTGATAGGTGGTGGCCAGAAAGAAAAGCGCAACGGCCGAGAAGACCAAGCAGAGCAGTCGTCTATGCATGGTTGCAAAACAGCAGTATGTCTGCGACCAGGGACTCTACTCGTACGATGTTTAGAGAGAATGACAGTTTGGAAAGAAAGGAGAGGGTGGCGTGTCGACAGAAGGCTGCCTTTTTTTCGGGGAAATTTGTGAGCCAGCCGCCTTCGTATTAGCTTAGTGCTAAGAGAAAATAAAAAAGAACACGCTGACCTGGCCTGCTAGCGTGTTGTCAGCCAGCCCCAGCGTGGCCATTTAGTGGGCGCAACGCTGTAAATGATCCCTAATTTGCACGGTTACAGCGGTCGCTTGCTGAAAGCCTTGAACGGGTGACCCACTGTCTTTCGGTTGTGCAAATCCGCCTTTGTTCGAAAGCGTCGCCCTATGCGGCCGTGGCTGGCTCGCTATTGGTCAGGCGCCGGGGCAGCCGGTCCCAGCGTCGCAGCGCCGCCAGCTGTCATTGGGCCGTTCGTTGTCGCCAGCGGCTGAGGCGGACCCGAACCCCTTTTACGGAGCCCGTGGTTATCGCTTTTGTCTCAATTGACTGATTTAGAAATATGGATAGAAGTGCCATGGGTTGCTTGATGTGTGAAAGTGTTAGGTAGTGTTTATTATTAATTGCCCATGATTTTAAAGAAGAATAAAATGGGTTGAAAATAGCCCAAGATAACGTCAAGTATTATTTTCACCCTTTGCATGTGCCTTACCTGCCAAGCATCAATTTCTCTACTCTTTGCAGCCCTCGCTGCTGAAATAATACCAAAAAACAAATTTCATACGTTTCTGTAAACCGCAATATTTACCGAGTATTTGTTAAATGCGAGGTCGTTGCATAATCCACCAAATTTCGTCGAGGAGCACGTAATGACACCTTGGGTATATTAGCCAGCTCCTCCAGCTACATCGCGTCAACCTTTTGCTTGCTTATCGGCGACAGCTATTGCCCAATTAAAAAAAACACGCCATAATTATCTTAAAGGCTAAGGAGCAGGGCACCGCCGCCTAGGCAGAGCCGTATAAACCCGCCCAGAGCCAAGACTGTTAGTCATTGTGTGGGGAAGACTTTTTGCCTCGTCGCGCTGAAAAGTTTTTTTGTATCACGAAGCCAAAATATTTAGCAGGCATGTAATAATATAGCGGGCACAGAGCCTTGGTGACTCAAGCGTCTTCCTCACTGGCTTTACTGGTGGTATGGGTGACCCGGCGGGGGCGGGTGGGCACTGGAGTATTTTGCAATCGCGATCTGCCGGGGAGAGTGGAAGAGCCTCTCGTGTTAGTGCTGCCCGTACACCAGCCTGCCAGCTGGTGCCAGCTGGCAATAGATGCTGTTATCCTGGCAACCAAGACACTACGATCAAGATAAAATAATCTACGCCAATACAACTTCATACCCTGCTGCTTCAGCCAAACCCCCTTTTGCAATTGACGGTCGCGTGCGCCATTTTCTGGCCGCAACGGGCCATTGACTCTAGACCCAGGTCCACAGGGTGGCTTAGACCTTCTCGGCAAGCCAGCCGAGCAACCACCACCGCCCGAACGGGTAGGTTTTTCATTTGCCTTGTATTTCGTCGGTGTAGTATGGGAAGTGGTCTGACACACATAAGTAGTCCTGTACACCCAGTCCCAGCCTGCTCCTACACCCAAAACACCAAACCAAAAGGTTAGATCGCTATTAAGCTCTCGATATCAACGAATCCTCCGCCTTCTGAATGACGAAGAACAACTCCCCCAAGAACAACCAGGCTCCAGCATCTGAGCCTGTAACAGCAACACTGGAAAACACACGAGCATCCGGATACGTCGCTCTGGCGGCAAGCGTACCAAGCAGAATTGCATCTGAGTTTGAACCTGCTTAGGAAGCCTTGATTTGTTAAATCTTTTACAATGGCATACCTGTTTTCTTCTCTCAAGGCCTACTGGTCGGATCCGCGAAAGCTGACCAAGACCGCAAGTGGTAGCGACAAATCTTCTCTGTTGTCCCGCATTGCTTGGATCTCCAATTCAAACACCTCTGGCGTCAGTTCGTGGCTTACACCACCTGAAGGCGCCAACGGTCTTCCACCTGATGAGGTTCTCCAGACTTTTGCCAGACTCCCTGTCAATGCCGCGATCGAACATCTAGATTCTTCTGAGACAGGTCTTTCAACAGCTGAAGCCGAGAAGCGTATTGCGATCAAGGGATCCAATACGATGAAATCTCAGAAGCCGCCATCGCGTATCATTCTACTCCTCAAGGTCATTCCCAATCCGTTCAATCTTCTGCTCATGGTCCTTGCCATCATCAACGCGTCCATTCCCCCACCTGACTGGGTAAGTATTCTAGGTAGCTCCATTCCAAGCACATCATCTGACAAGAGCTATAGAAAGGTTTCACAGTACTGATGGTGATGGTTGTCATCTCCTGTAGTGTTCGCTTCTGGCAAGAATACCGCAGTAGTGTTGCTGTTTTCCGGCTGCAATCTTCGGTGACCACCAATGTTCGAGTTCGACGCCAGGGTGAAATCACTGTGGAGGGACGAACTCTCGTCCCTGGTGATGTCATCCTGTTGTCGCCTGGTGATGTTGTCCCGGCCGACTGTTTGGTGATTGAATCCTCGTTTCTCCGCATCACTCAATCCCAATGGACTGGTGAGAGTGACCCTGTTTCCAAATCACAGATACCCAACGGTGAAAAAGAACTTCTCTCGGTATTTGATTTAGATAACATCGTCCTCATGGGAACTGGAGTTGTGTCTGGGCACAGCGTTGCTCTAGTCTTACGGACCGGAGACGATGTTCTTATTGCTGCCATGTCCAAGGAGCTAGCCCAGAGTCGAGGCCCCAACGCTTTCCAGAAAGGTATCCGCTACGTTACTTGGATGCTGCTCGCTTTCATGAGTGTCATGGTTCCTATTGTTCGTAACCGGTTTCCTTTCGTATGTACCATCTTGCTAATTCTCTTTTAGGTTTTAGTTGTGTCCGCAAAGACTACAGGAAGTTGGGGAGATGCCGCTCTCTTCAGTGTCAGCGTTGCTGTTGGCCTTGTTCCCGAAATGCTCCCTGCTATTGTCAATGCCAACCTTGCTCGAGGTGCCTACCTTCTCTCTAAGAAGCGTGCCATTGTGCGACGTTTGGACTCCGTGCAGAATTTGGGTGCAATGACTGTTCTTTGCAGCGACAAGGTAAGTTTGACCTGCTGAAGACTATAGCCAACATGTATTAACGATTTTAAAAGACCGGTACACTCACCAAAGACGAGATCAGCCTTCACGATTCGCTCGATTGCTTTGGCATCAAGAATACCGAGGTTCTCAAGCTCGCTACAATCGAGGCAACTCTTCAAGGGGCTGCTGGCAATGCTATGGACGAAGCAATCAAGACATACAAACTGCCTAATGGATCATCTGTTCAGACAACCAAGTATGAGCGCTTCACCACAATCCCATTTGATTTCGAACGACGCCGCTCATCTTGCATCGTTTACGGCGTAGCTGGTGGCGCCATGCTTATCTGCAAAGGCGCGTTTGAGGAGGTTTTTGCACGCTGTTCGGCCATACAAATCTCAGACAAGGTTGCTCCCATGGATCACGCTTACAAGAAGCGAATCAAGGATCGCGTTAGGCAGATCAACAACGCCGGCTACCGTGTTTTGCTGGTGGCCACAAAGTCCTTGCCCAAGGCATTTTTCGAGGATGAGGATGCTATTGAGGAAACGGAATCAAACATGATTGCACATGGTTTGTTGGCCTTTATCGATCCTCCCCGACCTGATGCTGCGACGTCTATTGCTCAGCTGAAGCGTCTCGGAGTAGAAGTCAAGGTGCTAACAGGAGATAATCTCGCCGTTGCACTCAATGTCTGCAGATCTCTTGACTTGGTATCTGCCCACGAATCCGTTGAGGATGGCATGCAAGCTCTGACTGGCTATCAGCTTTCACTGATTGCGGAAACCCCAGAATTTGACAGAGTTGTCAGGAACTGCAAGGTTTTTGCAAAAGTCACGCCTAGCCAAAAGAAGTCCGTTATTGCCAGCTTGAGAAAGAATGGAAACTGCGTCGGTATGCTCGGTGATGGTATGAATGATTGCCTTGCGCTCAAGGAAGCAGACGTTGGTATCTCGGTGGATTCTGCCGCAGGAGCTGCCAAGGACTGCGCCGACTTCATCTTGACGGAAAAGGGACTTGGCATCATTGCTGACAGCGTTAATGTCGGACGATACACTCATGCCAACACCATCAAGTACATCAAGATGGTTCTGTCGTCCAACTTTGGCAACGTCTTCTCCATCTTAACTGCTAGCGCATGGCTCCCCTTCACCCCAATGTTGAACCTTCAGATCCTCGCCCAGAACTTGCTCTACGATGTCAGCCAGATCGCTATTCCCTGGGATAATGTTGACAAGGAATATCTGGAAACCCCCAAGTCCTGGCAACCATGGGACCTTCTCCGTTTCGTGGTCGTTTTGGGTCCAACAAGTTCGGTCATCGACATCTGCACATTCTGCCTCGGCTGGTTCTTCTACAACATCAAAACAACGGACGACCCCAACGCCGTCCTCATGTTTCAGACGCACTGGTTCCTTCAAGGTCTTCTTACGCAGACTCTCATTGTGCATATGTTGCGTACATCAAAGATCCCGTTCCTTCAATCCAGGTCCTCTCTTCCCCTTGGTCTCTCAACAGCCCTGATCATGACAATCGGCTTTGTCTTGCCCTGGATCCCAACCTTCCAGAAAGCACTGTCTTTTGTTTCGCCCGCTCCATCATTTGTGGGCTTCTTGGCTGCAGAACTCTTGGTGTACTGCCTTGAAGTACAAGTCGTTAAAATGATTTACATCAGAATTTTCAAGACGTGGTTGTAGAGCCAGCACTCTCTGCCTCTTCTGTCGGTTACAAACAGCGCCGACTTCCAGTTACTTTCTTATGCGTGGCCACTCACAACCACGGCCAAGTCGCAGCAAGCTCTCCAACAGAGCCTTGATATTATTCAAGCGTTTCTTATTGTTATCCCAAGCCAGGTCTTGAGCATAACCAAAAATAGATAGAGTGTAATGTGATAGACAGTTAAAGATAGCAAGACAATTCTATATTTTGTTCTCTAAAAACACTAATTCTTCAAAGGCCTGCTTATCAAATCAAATATGATCTACTATACTCTCTACGCCTTATAGTCAATGGAAAAGTCGACAGTCTTGCTAACATCCCACTGCTCAGTCTTATCCTTGTCGCCGTTAATACGAAGAGCCTTGAAAGTCACACGGTAGTCTCCCTTAGGTGCCCACTTGTCGCCGCCCAAGGCACCATCCCAGTAGAAACCAACTGTACCACGGGTAAGATAGTCGAGAGAGAGGAAATCGGCAACGGTCTTATCATCCTTTGCGGACTCCAGGGTGACCTTCATCATGGGCGATCCCAATGCAAGTCTGGCAAGGAGTGTAGGAATGCCGTCGGCGGGCTTTGCCGTGCCGGGCTTGGGCAACAAGAACTTGCTGCCCTTGGGAAGAGGCTTGAACTCACGGTCTGTCGAGTTGGCAACCCAGCTGCTGCCCTCAGGTAGCGTAGGGATGGTGTTCATCGCAACGCCCATGTACTGGTAAGGCAGGGAGAGTGCTGAGCCGTCTGTACCGTTGACAGTGACCCAGCCGGAGTGGAAAGGCATCCTCCTGGCTTGCAGGCCCATGGCATCTTCTAGAGAAACCTTAATGGGTGCGGCCTTGCCAGGTTCAACCTTGATTGTAAGAAGGTCAAAGTTGAGCGAAATCGAAGACTTGATACGGTCGTTGGGGAACGGCGACGGCCACTTGGCCTCCTTGTCAAGGATGTAAACAGATGCAGCGGGGTTGTGCGAGACAGTGTACTCAACAGCCTCCTCGCCGTTGTTGACAATCTTAAATTCAAGATCCTTGGGCATGTTGGTGGTATCGTTGAAGCTGAGCGATGAAGGTTCCAAGACCGTCTTAGAGTAGGCGGCATCCCAAGCCTGCACCAAACCAGCACCCTGTTGAGCAACTGGAGCCAGCATCTTCTCAAATCCAGTGCCGGGGTTAAACAGTTGAGGGTGAGCAGTTCCGGAGAGCATGTTACGCATGGCAATTGGGTCAACCTTGCCTCCGCGGGCTTCTTGGATGAGCGCAACAACACCGGCAAGCATGGGCGTAGACATGGAAGTACCAGAGGCAACACCGTAGCCGCCAATCTTGAGAGGCAAAGTGGAAAGAATGTTACCCCCGGGTCCGCCGAACTGGGGCTTGACGTTCATCTCGAGCGTAGGACCCCACGATGTGAAACCACTAAGAGCACCGCCAGTAACGAGGTTCTTGTCAACAGAGACGATGCGCTCGGCGGTATCTGGCTGAGCCATTGTGACTGTAATCTTCTTCTTTCCTTCAAGAGACTTGACCCAGGCCTCTCCAACTTCGGGGGTGACCATGGCCGCCGCCTTGATCTCCTTTGCTTCTCTGACGCCAACGCCAAAGGCACCAGGGGCGTTGTTATACAAAATGATGTACTTGGCGCCCTTGGCTGCTGCATTCTTGGCCTTGTCGACAAAGGGGCAGGTACCGCGGCGGATAAGGACGGCATGGCCAGACAGGTCAGGTGTGTTCTCGGGGTATGGTGCACAGCCATCGTCGGGCTTCTTGATATCAAAGTTGCCTGTCCAGAGGGGAAGAGTCATGTTCTTCCAGTCCTTAGGGTCACCAGCAGCATAGCCAAATTTGACTTTGTCGCTGCCCTCAGTGGTATACTCAGAGGCAAATAAAATGCTTGTAGTCTCCGTGCTGTCGTAAGATGCAATAGAGAAGACATTGGCACCGTTGGCAGTGTGAGAGGGATATAGAGCGCCAGCGCCACCACTGTTGCCGGCAGCAACGGCAGAAATTATTCCCTTCTTGGCGAGCCTAGACAGAAGCTCACTCCAACCATCGCGGGTCCAGCCACCAGAGGCACCAAGGGACGCGGTGATGATGTTGGCACCAGACTCAGCAGCCATAGCCGCCGCCTTCATCAGGATGTCGCCACCCGTTCCTCCCTGACAACCAAAGACACGGTAGTGGCCCATGGTGGCCTTGGGCGCAACACCAGTGAATCCAAGAGGATTCTTCTGGGCAGCAATAATACCAGTGACGTGGGTTCCGTGGCCACCACAGTCCATGGGGTCGTCATCGGGCTTGGGAGGCTTGCCGCCACCGTAATCATCGCCAACGAGGTCGTAGCCAAAGGATATGAGGCAGTCTTTACCGAAGCAGCCACCTAGAGCCGGATGCTTGTAATCAACACCACTGTCAATGACAGCAATCTTGACACCCTTACCCATGTGGCCCTTGGCGCGCATCTTGTCAACCTGCATCATGACATGAGGGGCAAATGGCTTATCTTTGTCGTCGCGCTTTGACATAGGGTTCTTTGAATCGGCATCCATAACATCGACATTGAATTCGGGGCGGGGATATTCGTAGACGGGCCACATGTTCTTAATACGCGAGCCGGAGGCAGCTCGAATGGCGATCTCTTCGGGCTTGGTGCCGTTATTTTCCAGTTGGATGGATACACCATTGAAGAAAGGGTAGTCAAAGGACTGTCGAACGTTGACATTGCCTGAGAATGTGGATATAAAGCTATCGGTAGTCTGAATAGCCATGTTAGTAGTGCGTTTAACAGCTTGGCAATGAGGAATGTGTTCATACGTAGCCGTCTTCAAACTCGTAGATGAAGGCTCCCGGAATGGCCTTGGGACCGCCGTCTATCAAGTTTGGTGCAGCATCAAATGCAGCTGCTGCCGAAGCAGCACCCAGCAAAGATAACACGCTGGATTGGGTTTTCATCGTCACGATGCTGAGTGAATGGTGGATTGGGAAAGATGGTTGTGTAGATTGAAGGCGATTGACGTGGAATCTGCAGTGATTTATAATAACTGTCGTATATTCCTTGAAAATGAAGTCTCAAAATCTGGCACGATATATGAAACAAAATCAGTCGTCGACTAAACGTAATCTTCAGCAGAGGTGTGTTCTGACGTGATGACAAGCTGGAGAGTGTAAGACATTATACGCATGGATTTGTGTTGCAATGGGTTATTTTGCTCTCTGCTCTTAATGGTTATTCCAACAAGGCTTGTGCCTTAAATATCTCGGGAGGGCACATACAGCACGGTTGCGTGTTAGCTAACGAGCTTGGGGACAGCGTCGCATCGCGAGCAATAGAGTCGCATCCAGCGCCGCGGCAAGAGAATAACCCTGGCTGGGGCTTCGGATTTAAAAATAAATGCGCAGCAATTACTGCCGCGGGAATAACATCAGGCTAAGAATAGACAAATTGGCATGCTGAGGCCGCATCGATTGGCGCGCAGTGCACCCACATCTTTTTCGTCGAGCTGGTTGCCGCAGATAGAGGCTCAGACGAATCGAGATCATCGGAACATCTGTGATTTTTTCGACCGTAGGCCAATCCTGTTTGGTTCATATGTTTCCGATTCGATCGTTCTTCAAGTGAATACGTATGTTTGTCGGGAGCTGTTTCGTCTCGGGATGTCGAGTGCACCAGCTAGCCAACAAGGAAGGTACGTAACCAGTAGCTTGGCTGTAGGGCCTAGCCGATACTCGGTCAAGGGCATTTACCTCTCTCTCCTACCACTGTGAGACAAGTTTGTTCCGTTTACGGCGGCTGCTGGTTCTGCTGGACACTCTTGCACACATCAAACATGCACAGTAGAAGGTATTCTGTTTGTGAAAGGAGCAGACACTCATAGCTTAGCACATATGGCGCGATTATTGTCAAATTTGTAAACATGACTGATTCTCTCAGTCTTGATGCGGATAGTATTTAAATAAAAGCTCGGAGACTAGATTCGCGGGCGTCTTCGTCGGTCCAACCGATACAGCCCCAGCACTTGAGGAGCTTGTTCGGATCGTACTTTTCCTTAATAGAAACTAGACGGTCATAGTGAACGCCATACCAGACCTCTCTCCAATTGGGTGTCAAGGGATCTGCTTCATTCTTGTATGCAGCGCCACCAAGCGTTACTTTCTGCAACTGTTTGGTTCCTTGTTTGAACCCATCCACGGCCGCCTTGCGCTCTTCAAAGGTGCCGTTCCAGGCAAAGGAAGCGCTGATGCCAACTTCCCACAATGTTGAGTACCATGCTGGGTTGGTGGATGTGGCATCAGCATCTTTGCGTTGGAAAATGTACGGGCTGTCGACGGGGATGTAGGGATAATTTCCTTTAGCGATTTCCGAGTAAAAGAAAGACTTCAAGTCAGCCTTTGCACTTTCGTCTGAAAAGAGCTTTACTGGTGTAAGTTGAGTACCAATCATAGTCAATTTTCCAACACTGTAACTTGTGGAGAGCACATAGTCTTGGAAAAAGGAATAGAATGTCGGCGAGACAGTAATGTTAGAGCTGCCTCCATTGGCTAGAGCAAAGTCTTCGATGTCTTTTATAGACGCTCGGGCATCCTGCTGAGAGGTGAACAGTGGGTTAACATAAATAATCATGTTTCCGTAGATGTGTCCACCCCATCCAGCCTTAGCCAAAGGTACTGCTGTATCGACAAGCTTATCCATAAATTTACCCACAGCCTCGTTGGTTGATGGTACGTGGATTGCAGCAACAGAAATTGGAGCAGCTGGCTCTACTTGGTGCGTCGATTCCATGACGACGCCAAAAGTACCTCCACCTCCACCACGTAGAGCCCAGAAGAGGTCGGTATTTTGGCATTTGTTTGCAATGTAAGTCTTGCCATCTGGTGTGACGACCTTGAATTGCAGGACTCGGTCGACGCCTAAACCATACACGTTGCTCACGATCGAATGGCCACCATTCTGCACCCAGCCACCCGAGATACCAACACTGGGAGAGTAGCCGCAGACAATCATGGCACTGTTTTGCTCTGCAAATTTGTACACTTCGCCGCATGAGACGCCAGCCCCTGTCGTGATGGCTCTCTGTACAGGTTCGTTGCTATCACAACCGTCGAGAACAAAGGAATCATGGTGCTCCATCTTCTTCAGATGCTGAGTCCAAAGAACGAGTGAACTTGGTGACGAAGAATCGCCTTCCATAGTGTGTCCGCTGTTTTTAATGGATAAGGGGAGCTTGTGCTTTTGTGCATGCTGGAATACCAAAGATACATCCTGTTCTGATTGGACATCGAGGTAATACGACGGCAAATTACCAAGTTTACAATCGCGGCCTTGCCAAGCTTGCGAATTGTTAAGGTTGCTGGGATCGAGCAAACACTGATCGGTAGCGGTAGAATCGGAGAGGTTGATAGGGACCCAGTCGTACATGTAGGCACCTGGGAACTGGTGACGGTACAGCGGATCCTGATAATTGGCCTGTCGTTCAGCACATGCATTCTCATCTCGGGCAATAGGCTGGCCTTCGAAGGAGGAGAAGCAAGGTAGAGCAAAGGGTTCGTTACGCTGGATACGGCCGTGGAGCGTCTTGTTTAGCTTGTCAATGGTATCTGGGCATTGGGCAGCGCAGCAAGATGCTGTCATAGAAAGAGTTGTTGCCAGCGTAAGCAAGTGCATTGTTGCATTCAGACGGTGAACACTGGCTGCTGCTAAGTCGGAGGAGAAGTTGTTGTACAAGTTCAAATTGCACAGAGGAGACGATCCACAAGACGGGGATGCGAAAGGTGTGTAAGCGAAGATAGCCTGATGAGTGAGCCTGGTTGGTCTCTTCTCTCCATGTGTCCCACCATTTTTGTCTTCCTTGTGATCGGTGTCCCGTGAACACTAACTTAGCGTAAATAATTAGTCTCGGGCAATATCCGTTATAAACGGTGGCGTAAATACGTAGAGGAGAAGATTGCACTATTGTTCTCCTCTGAGCTCTTGGCACTGTCAAAGTCACGGCGCATGCAAATATGCGATATGCAATAAGCAACAACGCAATACACAGTAGATACACCTTGGTAGCCATTTGCAGTCCCCTCCCCGTCACGGGTGGCCACCTTGACGTCAGTCGGCGCCTGTAAATTTGGGCCCCCAGGCGATCGTTTCCAAGCCACGGCACAAACAGTGGACCGCCCGGCTTACAGTGATTACAGGGTATACAGCGCATAAGAAGTTAGCGGGAGAAATGCATCTAAGAATAGCATCGGGCCATTCATACTCTGAATTATCGAGTTGGTGCATTTCAATAGCGCGTCTTCCTATTATTTTCCTTCTAACCTGATTATGCAGGCAGCATCCCGTAACATCATTCGCGCTGCACATGCTCTGCTTCCTTCCCAGCCATCCCTCCGCTGAGCCACTGCCGCGCCTGCATCCTGGCGCCACCAGGGGTCGAATACGAGATCTCCATCGACCTTTGCCCAAAACAGGCGACGATACCCTCCCCAAAAGCAACGCTGGGTTTATGCCGTCATAGCCCCCCTCAACGCCGAATATTATAAATAAACTCGCCTGCTACCAGTTACAACTGTTGCTCTGCCGGTACATATACCATCGACAAATACATACATACCTCCCAACATCATCAACAACAACAACCACCCAACTAAGCATCTCCTCCAAACATGTTTGTCTCCTCCGCCCTCGCCCTCGCTGCCCTCGCCGCTGCCTCTCCCCTCGGCCAGCGCAGCGACGGGCCGTCTTACCCTCCCACCAGCAGCTCCAAGGGCTTCCGTCTGGTGGCCAACGTCACCGACCTCTCTCGCGACCTGAGCCCCTCTGTCCAGAACCAATACGTCACTTCCATCCACGTTGGTGCAGCCCTCAACCTGGTGGGCGTTGGCTCCAAGGATGTCAGCCGTCTCTTCTACATCAACGGCACCGCTGGTGAATTCATGAGGGGAGAGGCCACCACCGTCACGGACGGAGCTACTCCTCCCGTCCCCTTTGGCTTCACTCTCACACCGGACTCAGCCGACTCGGCGCTGTCCACCGCCAATCTCAACGCTGGCCCTGGCAACAAGGGCGATGTCACAACCCGCATCCCCGTTCCCTACGTCTTCCTAGCTCCCGAGCAGATGGCCATCTGCGACGAATACGTGGCCTACTACCGCAAGAACATGCAGATTGTCAAGCAGCTCAACTTGAACAAGGACAAGACGCTTCCTGCCAACTGTGCCCCCGTCCGCCTCATGGCCGAATGTGCTGAGCTCAACGAACTCCCAGCTGGATCCATCACCAACCACGACAACGTCTACACCGGTGACTGCTACGACGATGTGGCATCTATTGAGTGGTCCAAATACACTGCCTGGGGCAACTAAAAGAATTGGATTCGGACTGTCACATAACTTGCATCTCTGGAGTTTGTTTGCATTTGGCCCTACAGAGAGCTGTTTGCTCTGAGCTTCTCGGTTTACGATAGAATGGATAGAAGAAAAGGCGTTTACCTAATGTTTAATAATAATATTATTTCCGAAGCCGACCGCCTCCAACACTTGCAACGCAGGGTCCTTTTTAGCATTGTAACAATGCTCACCTGTCCACGTTTAGTAACGTAGCAGTGCAGCGTCAGCGCCCAATGACAGACCACTACAGAGCGAGGCAAGTCTCGTGAGCCGACATCACGAGCAACAAAACGTCTAACCAACTTAGAAACTCACGCAAAAGTCGGAGCCGACAAAATTTTAGTTTATGATTTGCCACGGCTAATCGTATGAAAAACCAATGAGACAACCCGACCATTTTCTCCATTACCCCAGATTCCACAGTATCGAGCGACACCTAGGCTCTTCCCTCCACCAAGCCGAGTCGGCCCTATATTTCGTTAACCGCGGCGTCCGCCTTTGATGCAGTCCAGCAAACCCTCCGACATGTCAGCCGGACACTGGTCCCGGATGTTTGGTTGGCCGCACGAACGCAAAAGGACGGATGCACCTGTGCGTTGGCCACAATGTTTCCGATGAAAACAATAGCCATTCGGCATCCGAGGTCGACAACTCAGCCCGCAAGTGTTTGCGGGGGAGGGGAAGCCTATACAGATAAATATGGCAGCAGTTCCAATGGATTCAAGAGCCGGTTGGTTGTTCAAGGCATCCGGTTTGCTATCCCGATATCTATTTTGACGCTTGCCCTTGTTTTCACATCAGTCATCATGAAACCTCTTTCATCACCCTTGAGCGCCTTGCTTCTGCTCGAAGCATCCCAAGTTGCAGCCACTCCAATCCACAAGCAAGCTGCAGATTACTCTGGCGAGGTCATTGTGGGTATACAGGCACTCAATCGCTTCTGGTACCGCAACAACTCGGGACTCTGGGACAACGCTTGGTGGAACAGCGGAAACGCTCTCACTACCATTGCGGATTACACCCTGCTGCAGCCCCAGCGGGCCTCGACCATAGACACTGCAGGCACCATTCGCAACACCTACATCCATGCCCAGCAGAACAACGTTGCCACCTTCAAGTCGCAGAACCACGAGAGCGGTGCAGTGGTCACCCAAGACTGCATCAACGGTGCTGGCAGCAGGTGTTCGCCCGCCAAACGTGCAGCACAAGGGTTCACCAACTTCCTCAACGAATACTACGACGATGAAGGCTGGTGGGCAATGGGTCTTATTCACTCATACGATGCCACAAACAACCGCGACTACCTCAATGCGGCCGTAAACATCTTCAGAGACATGGAGACCGGCCTAGGGGGTCCCTGCCACGGTGGTATCTACTGGAGCAAGGACCGCAACTACGTCAACGCGATTGCCAACGAGCTCTACCTAACGGTAGCTGCGGCTCTTGGCAACCGCATCCCAGACCAGCGCGATCACTACATCGATGTGGCCAAGAACCAATGGGAATGGTTCAAGAACAGCGGCATGATCAACAGTGACAACCTCGTCAACGACGGTCTTACCGACGACTGCCGAAACAACGGGCGCGACACCTGGACTTACAACCAGGGCGTCATTCTCGGCGGCTTGGCCGAGCTGTACAAGGCAACGGGAAACTATGACTACATCAACCGCGCCAATGCCATTGCCACCGCCGCCATGAGCAAGCTGGTCGACGGCAACGGAACCCTCATCGAGGCCAACAAGTGCGACGTGGGCAAGTCGGAGTGCTCGCACGATCTGGAGCAGTTCAAGGGCATCTTCATTCGTAACCTGCGATACTTACACCAGGTGGCTCCCCAGGACGCCTACAAGAACTTTATCCTGAGCAATGCCGACGCCGTCTGGTCCAAGAACCGCAACGGCGACAACAAGTTTGGCGTAGCCTGGGACGGTCCCTACTTTGACGCCAGCATGATGACCGACAGCAGCGCATTGGATGCCCTCGTTGCTGCTGCTGCCGTCGCATAAACGCTGTCGTTGTTATTCAGCAACATTGTTAGCCTGGCTCTTCATTAACGACTTATGACTTGCACACAGCGCTTCAAATTTTGGTTTTTGTATATTTATCCAGACCTTCAATTTTTATCAATATTGCCTATATATTCATATTTTATCAAATGCTACCATTTGTTCTGATATATCGTGCGCTTCACGACCCTTACGTAACCCTTCTTCCAACGCCAGTGACGCAGCGTGTATACGCAAGAACACACACCCTGGCGCACTACATCACCATCACCACTGCATCCTTAATTAACATCACCACTACATGAAATAAACCCCAGCCTGTTAATTATACCGTGACACTAATAGTCATTTCACACTCTTCCCACATCATGAGTGACGACCAAGTACCACGGCTCATTCGGCGCCCGATGCCCAATGCCGTCGCATACGATCTCATGACGCCCGGCAAGGTCATCATCACACTACCCCCCGGATCTACCTGGACAAGCGGTCTTCACTGGCACGAATCCCACACAGAATACCTCACACTCCTCCACGGCAGCATCCGCCTACGTCTCGGGAGCGCAGACGACGAGCGCATTGTCACCGCAGCACCCGGCCACCAGCCGCAAATCAAAATCGAAAGAAACCAATGGCACGAATGGCGCCGGGCATCTCCCGACGGCGACGAGGTCGTTGTTTCAGAGACGACGGATCCGGCAGATGGCCAAAAGGCCATTTTCTTCTGGAATCTCAACGGCGTACTACTCAATGTTCCGCGCATAGCAGGCGACAGCAAGACGTTTATTGGCAAATGCCCTGCGGCGTTCCAGGCTGCCCTTGTCGACTTCTGGATCACGCTGAACCTCTATGTCATTTTTCACTATCTCGACAATATCCCCGTGCTGTTTCAGTTTTCCCCGAGTTTCAACTTGTTGGATTGGGTCGCGTCTCGTCTAATCCTGTTTCTCGCGGCTCAGCTTGGCTGGTTGATGAATGCGCGACCAGTTAGGCTAAAGTATACACCGGCAAAAGAATATGCCGAATGGATGAGAACAACACAAAGTGGAAAGTCAAATAAAACGGAGTAAATGGGTGGCGGAGGGTTCTGCATCTTGAATGCATGAGGACAGTATTACAGGCCAACTCAATGGGGACAATGTAGGCATATGATATTTGACAGGACGAATGCAGTTCAATTAATGTATCATCTACTTAACAACAAGTCTTTTACAAGCATAATTTCCATCAAAAAAGAGTATTTCAAGTAGCTTCAGCCCAATCTATACTAGCCAGGGGAAACCATTTACAGGGCAAAGAGGAAAGCGGCGAGGGCGGCAACAGCAGGGACGGCAAGGGCGCCAGCACCGTTGTCCTTGGTAGGCTTGGAGCCAGGAGCGCTCTGGGTGGCAGAGCCGGAGCCGCTGTTGGTGTTACCGTCGTTGCCGGAGCCAGGGCGGCCACCAGAGCCGCTGGAAGGAGCAGCGACACCAGTAGACTTAGGAGAGCCACCGTTAGTGCTGCTGGCCTGGGGTTTGTCAGGGGTGTCGAACTTGGTAGGGCAGGTGAGGTCGAAAGAAGGCTTGGTGGAGAGGTTCTGGGTGATGGCGAACTTGACATCGTTGTCGGGGTTGGAGTCACGGAGGTTGTACCAGAAGGTGGGGGTCTTGTTGAAGAGCTTGCGGCAGCCAACTTCGTCCCAGTACTTCTTGGCGTTGGCGACGTTGGGTTCAGCCTGATCCCAGGCCTTGCCAGAGACAGGCCATCCGGTCTCCGTGACCCAGACAGGCTTGCCACCAGCAGCGCCAATGGTAGCCTCGTAGGCGCGGTCAAAGAGGACACCAGCGTTGCTAATGTTGTTGCCCTTGCCGCTCTCGTAGAAAGGGTACTCATCGACACCGATCCAGTCGACGGCATCAATTACGGCCTTGTTGGTGCCATTGGTCCAGGAGTCCCAGGTGTCGACGTGGCCGACGGGGACCTTGCTGAGGGCGTTGTCCTTGAAGGTCTTCTTGTAGGTGTTGATGAAGTTGACAATGACATCAGGGTCGGCACCAACGCCAGCCTTGTTCTTTGTTCCAGTGACGGAGTTTCTGTAGAGATCCTCGCTGCCAATGGACATGCCGATGACGAGGTCGGTGAACTTGCTGCCGTACTGGGAGACAGCCTTCTTCAGGGCGTTGAGTTCCTTGTCGATGTTGTCGGTGCCAGAGGTCCAGATACCGAGAAGCAAGTGCGTCTTGGTCTCAATGGCAGCCTCGAAAGCCTGGATGGGGTCATCCTGAGAGTAGGCCTGGATGTTGGTGTAGAGACGGACAGCGTTGAACTTGCCGGGAGCACCCTCAAGGCCCTGGGCAGTCTTGAACTCGGCCTCGAAGTCCTTCTTGAACTTGGCGGAGCGGTCGGCAAAGGTAGAACCAGAGTTGAAGCCGAGCCAGTTGGTGCCGTCGGCGGCAGCGACAACGGCCAGAATGCTGGCGGCGATCGCAGAAGTGAAGTGCATCTTGGGTGTTTGTTGTGAGTCTTGAAAGTCGAAAGAGTGTATTCGGTCGGGGTGGTGTAGTTGGTTGTTGCGCTGTCGAGCGGAAAGAGTGACTGGTCTATAAAGAACGGAAAATGCAAGAAGTCTAGAACAAGTTTAAAGGAAAATAAATAAAAGGGAATGGGATTAGAATAGTGAGGAAGGAAAAAAAGGAGATGGTATAAGGAGAAAGAGAGAATGTCGAAAGAACTGAGCGAACAAGCGATGCCAACTAAAAAGTACCGGCTTAGCAAACAGTGCACAGCCCAGGCACCAGGTACAGCACAGCACGGCACAGGGGACACTAGACGCGCTGGGCGTGCAAGGGATGCTGCAGCTGCAGGTCCAGCGGCACTGTTTCGCCCCTAGCACGTGACTTGCCGATTTGCCTTGGTTTTGTTGTCTTAGCCAAGGGTCGAATGCACTGCCACGACGCTGCCATTGGCCGCTGGCGTGATCCTGGCGTGTGCCCGTGGGGCTATGGCGCGCCATATCTCAGGGGTCTCTACCACTAACTGCGCTGCTGTGCGATCAGAGTTGTTATGTGTGGACAGACACGAGAAATTTTTTGTGGTTTCGACGCAAGGATCGGCACATCTTGTCATTTGCGTGCTTCGTATCAATGCTGGGCTAAAGGTTGGAGTCAGGAGAATTCGGCTCCCTCACGCAGCGCAACTTGTGTAGCTCATTTCTCTGCGAACTCCTTTATTGCCCTGTCCAATGTTCGACAGACATAACGCAGTGATACTTAGTTGGGAGGCGTAATCTGTCAAGCCACTGCACAGTTCGAGAACATGTCTTAACTATTCGCTGCCTAGGCGAGGACACTTTACGGCGAGACAATGTGTTGCTGGGGGGCCGAAACGTCACAGCATGCCTGTGGCCAAGTAACCGTATTACATCAGCTATCTTCACACCGGCTACTTTTTGGTTTTTATAGAAAATAAATGTCAATGACCCATAGCTGTATGATGTGATGTCTATATCATCGTCAAATACTTATATAGTATGATATTCTTTTAGTTCATACTGTGAGAATAAGCGTTATGAGTATCACAGAGTGGCGTCTTGGATAAGGGATATAGACGATGATCGTCAACATGCGCTTTCACAAAAGCTGGAACATAACCGAAGTCTCGCCCAAAAGCCATCTAGTTTGATGAAAATGTGTATAAAAATGTACTTTACCATATAACCCCCCCCCCCCATATACCCCTGCGGTTGTTGTTCAAGGTGTACAGATATATATAGGGTAAGGCACATGTCTCAGGTATTCAACGGCCTAGACGCGGCGCGCACAGCCGAAACAAAAAAGACAGTGCATGCATATGCTTAACAAAGACACAGCGGTATTTCTATACAAGAATATGAAAGAGCACCAAAAAAAGAAGTGACCTACGGTCGCTAAACACTATGCTCCCGGCAGGGCTTGAACCTGCGACCTTCGCATCACCAAGACTGTCTCGTGGAGAAAGTATTAGTACGAAGCTCTAACCAACTGAGCTACGGAAGCTGGACTAGTTGTTGTATGATTAGGTAATCGAACTCGTACCTAATTCCCTATTCAAAGGGTTCGCATAAAAGTAGGCTCTTATCCAATCGACGAAGTGATGGACGAGCTGCTCAACTACTCTGGCGGTGTGATCCATCTCGACGAGCTTTCAATTCGACGAGTAAAATGAAGTCGCATTCTTAACGAAGTATGATTCTAGAGTGTATTTTTACATATTTTTGTAGATAAGCCAGAGGCTCTGCAAGAGCTTGCAACGCTGCAAGGACAAAGCTTAACCACAACTTATTCTGAGATTTGCGATATCCTTCACTAGCCTATAATGTTAGCGCTATTAATATAGCCTACATACGCTAAAGCAAAATGGCTGAAGGTGTGTGCAGCAGGTAATTAGGAACTGCCCACGCAACGTTGCGACGGAAAATCTACTTGCTCCAATGCCGTCAGTTGAGCTTATTCTGGTTTAGCTCCAACCCCCCACCCAAGTCATCATCGGAGCTTGTTAAGGGTGCCGGCAGCAATTCCCAGGTTCTTCTCTTTTCTTCTTCAATGATTTATTGTAAAGTGAATCTGGTCAATTGAAACAATGTTGCGCAGCGGATTGTTTATTCTCGCCGCAGTGGCCAGCCCGGTCGCGGCGATTTGGCCAATGCCAACACATGCTACCTTTGGTAACAAGACACTGTATATCGATCGCTCGATTCAAGTGCTTTACAATGGCGAGCATGTAAGAAATCATGACAATTCATCATTTGGCACACGAATTGATTGCTAATGTACGCTGCTTGATACAGATACCCACCAGCCATTTCGAACCACCAAGCGGCTCCGACTTCACTAGCCAAGATATTGTCCGCGGAGGTGTCTCACGTGCCTTCCAGGCCATTTTCGACCAGAGTCTTGTTCCCTGGATGCTGCATGATCCAGATGCTGACTATGACCCCCCAGTGACAGATAAGCGTATTGTTAGTCTCAACATTGAACAGACCAAGCGCGACGGCAAGGGTATGTTCAAGCCCAAGGATGGCGATGTCGACGAATCGTACAGCTTCGACGTAACGGAAGCCGGTCGTGCATCGATTCGCGCAGCATCGTCTACCGGTGTTTTGCGCGCCCTGGAGACATTCACACAACTATTCTTCAAGCATACCTCCGGCTTCATTTACACGAGCCAGATCCCTCTCGCCATTACTGATGCACCGACGTACCCCCACCGTGGCATTCTCCTCGATGTCAGCCGTCACTGGTATGAGATGGAAGATTTAAAGCGCACAATTGACGGCCTTGCAATGGCCAAGCTGAATACCTTCCACATCCACATCACGGATACCCAGTCCTGGCCTCTTGAGATTCCAGCACTTCCCCGTCTTGCAGAGAAGGGTGCCTACCACTGCAGTCTCACCTACAGCCCTGCTGAGATGGCCCGACTTTTCGAATACGGTGTCCACCGCGGAGTACAGGTCGTTCTTGAGATTGATATGCCTGGACACATGGGCATTGAAAAAGCGTACCCTGGTCTATCTGTCGCCTACAACGAGCGACCATACGGCTACTACTGCGCGCAGCCCCCGTGTGGCTCGTTGCGCTTGAATAACACAAAGGTGGAAAAGTTTCTCGTCAAACTCTTCGATGATCTGCTTCCTCGCGTTTCACCCTACTCTTCGTACTTTCACACTGGCGGAGATGAATACAGGGCCAACAATTCCATTCTGGACCCAGACCTGAAGACGAATGACGTAACAATTCTCCAGCCCATGCTACAGCGCTTCTTGGACCATGCCCACGACAACGTCCGCAAGCATAAGCTGACACCTATTGTTTGGGAAGAGATGATTCTTGAATGGAACGCAACTCTCAGCAAAGATACTCTCGTACAGGCGTGGCAGGGTCGCGATGCTGTCGAGAAGCTGGCCAACAAGGGCTACAAGGTCATCGACTCTACAAAGGACTTTTATGTAAGTGATCATGGAACTATAACGCACGCCACACCCAAACTGACATTTTGACAACACAGTATCTCGACTGCGGCCGCGGTGAATGGATTGTAGATAGGAGCCCGACGGATGGACTTCCATTTGAGGATTGGTGCAGCCCTACGAAGAACTGGAGAGTTGTCTACGCTCACGACCCCCGCGCTGGTCTGTCGGCTGAAGCAGCAAAGAACGTTGTAGGCGGCGAAGTAGCGGTCTGGTCAGAAACGATTGACCACAACAGCGTTCACAGCATCATCTGGCCGCGAGCAGCAGCTGCAGGTGAAAGCTGGTGGTCCGGTCCTCCTGGCCCTGGCCAAGATCGCGACATGTATGATGTGCGCGCCAGATTATCCGAGATGCGCCACCGAATGCAAGCTCGCGGTATCCACGGCGCGGCCATCACTCAGCTCTGGTGTGAGCAGCGACCCTCAGCAGATTGCTCCTCCGCCTAGTCCTACCATATTCAGACTAGATAAAATTAATTCTGAAATTCACTCATAGTTTTGTCGAGTCAGTGCCCATGCAAATCTATTGTTCTTTGCCCCTCAGCCCTCTAAGCGATGCCAAGAAATTACATCGTCGATGCACAGCCCCGCTGGCAGTTACCGATTCTGGGGGCGGCGGCTGACTCGACGCACTGCGACCACAACATACAGCATCAAACTTCTACTGTAGATGTTGACCAAATGTTAGTAGAAGCAAGTCTGAGTCGCAGTATCGGGCCGGGCGAACGGGATACTGAGCTCCGGCACTCTCTGGCAGTGAAATTGCCACGCGCCCGGGTATTCGTTGCCGATTTTTTGCATTGGCTTCTAAGCGGCTTTCGCACTAATGGGTCGCATTTCGACTGCGCCCCCGATGGGGTTCGCGCACAGCCCTGCGCGCAATTCTCGGCTCGCCATGTCTTAGGGGGTCCAGGGCGAGCGGCTAAAAGCTTGGCCCTTTCCTAGCCAACGTGCCTCATTGCAAATCGCTTTTGTCACATTCAACGTTCATCTATCGTCGCTGCCATGAAGACTGTTCTCCCTATGATGGCCCTCGCGGCTACAGCTTCGGCTGGAACAATGTCTCTCGACATTGCCAAGGCTCCCGCCTCATCTGCCTCGACACAGGCTCGTCGCCATGCGCGTTACCTCGCAGCTCGCGACAAAACACAGACGGTCGCGCTTCCAAGCTTGGGCGATGAGTATATTGCTCAAGTCAGCATTGGTACTCCTGCACAGAATGTGCAAGTACAGATTGATACGGGAAGCAGCGACTTCTTTGTCATCGCCGAAGGAACCGAGTTTTGTGAAGACCCAAGTAACAAATGCGGACCTGGCTGTGAGTTTCTGTGATGCCCCATCTGGCTGGCCATGCTAACCAAAGTCATAGATGACATCGACAAAAGCAACACTGCTACCAAAGTGAATAGCACAGACATCAGTGGGATTGTGTTATTTAACACAACCTTCGCTGATAAGACCGGTGTTTCCGGCCCTTTCATCAAAGAGGACATCGTCATCGGCGACATCAAAGTAAAACAGCAAATTATGGGATATGGCACCACAACATCGACCAATTTGGGAATTATGGGCCTGGCCTTTGACGCTCTTGAAAGCACAGACGACGGAGTGTCAAATATCACTTACCCAAGCTTTCTGGACAACCTTGTTACCCAAGGGGTAATCAATAAGCGATTCTTTAGCTTATTCCTCAACTCGCTTCAAGCGAACAAAGGAAGCCTGCTGTTTGGTGGTGTCGATACGGAACGCTACTATGACAGTCTGGTTAAGTTACCTGTCTACCCAGACCCAGATACCGGCATGATTGGTGGGTGGGTTGTCAAGCTGGACGCGGTATCCGCGACAGGTATTGATTTGCCACCTCTTGCAAACAACACTCTTGTTACGCTGGACAGCGGGACAACCGATACCCTTCTCCCTGCTGCCCAAGCAGAGCCCATATTCGACTATCTGGGAGCCATCGGTTTCAAGGGATCAACATCTGCATTCGACGGAAAGTTTGCAGACTGTGTTCATACAAAGGACAATGTGACCTTTACTTTCGAATTGGGTGGCACGAAGTTTTATATGCCGATTTCCAACTTTGTAATTGACCAGTACACCGACAAGGAGCAGGCAGCGCTTAAAGCTGATCTTGGATCTGCCACCAAAAACTGGTCAAGGGTTTGCTCCGTGGGATTTGAAGCAGCTGGTGACGATGGTCTGCTTTTCGGAGACAGCTTTCTTCGTGCTCTGTATGTGGTTCATGACGTTGACAACCAAATGGTTGGCCTTGCCCAGGCAAACCTCCAATCAACAAAAACCAATGTCATTGAGATTTCCAAAACTGACGGAATACCCGACAACAAAGGTTCGCCAGGTAAGATTATTCTCCAATCCTTAGTATCTATACACATATGCTAATTTTGATGTAATACAGTTCCAACGCAAGTTGTTCAGACTGGCCAGGACGGCACGCCGAAACAAAGTGGTGACAAGAGTGGTGCGCAGAGCTCCGTGCATGTTCGCACCACCACGCTCTTTTTGGCTACAATCTTAGCCGTACTGAATGTATTGTAAATAAATAGTCGATAGAAAGAAGATACGTTCTGTTTCGAAGAAATTAGCAATTGACCACATCTGGCACTGCAGTACCGCTACGGGACCTTACATGTAGCATGACTACTCCTTTGCTCTGTACAGCTTGTCCACTGTGGCGTCAGTTCTTTCATTCGTTCAGCCTCCCATTGGGCCACATGCCGTATCTCTAAGAAGCTACGAGCAGGCGGAACATGAATAACGTGCTTTGACCGTGAGTAACACCGACCAGGTTGGAGCGAGGCCACTATTGATTGTGGCGAAAGCAGAGCCTCACGGTATTGCTCGGCACGAACTAGTTGGCCATGCAAGGCTGTTGCGGCGTCAATGTTTTGCTCTCTAGTAGCGAAATGGTGCACACAGGCAGTCTTCGGAGCACGATTCAAGGCCCGCCCAGTTTGCTCCCATCTGTACGCACACGACAAACGGCCCATTGCACCTTTTGGTGGCGTGGCCTCGCAGCGTGCATTTGCAGTAGCAGCTGCAGCCACAAAAGGGTGGATTCTAATGCAGCGAGCCGCCGCCAAGCAACGCAATCCTTTTTGAGTATTTTTGGATTCGCTTTGAGGCATTACTTCGTTCCTCGGAAGACGAGGCAACTGTTCCGCCAAGGGCGTGCCCACAAGAACAGCTGAGCTGGAGAAGAGCTCCGCTTCAGCTAGTGGCGCTATTGAATGACTAGACTGGGGAAAATGGCCTGTGTCAGGATCGCATCCGCCCAGAAGGCGGGGGATGAGCACCGGAGAGGAAATAAGCAAGCCATAGAGAGATGTTGTCCGCCTTTAGGTTTCCACGCCCCACGAGGAGAACGTGCGGGATTGCCAGGAAAGCAGACCCGTGTTGGGTTGACCCATTGGCCGTCGCTTAGCCAATGGCATTGTTTCCAGTGGCAGAGGATGCAGGAAGCACTACACCCTCATGGATAGCAAAGAAAGGAGCAATGGTATTTTTGCTCCGGGTGTACCGCCGAGTCCGGCAACGTGGCTGTTGGGTGTTGGTTAGGCTAACCAATCTCCGTTGGTGGCTGCGAGGCACCACCGCTGCAGGACGCATGGCGTTTCCAGCTCCAAGCCAACGAGCCGTGTTTATTTTGGTGTGGCGCTAATGGGAATACGAAAAGTTAAAAAAAGGAATGAAGCCATGGAATACAGTAAGAGCCCATTTGTGGCGGCGGTATTGTTTGTTTGGCTGTCGGGCGAGCAAGTTGATGTGGCTAGAGAATTGGGGGAGATTAGTGGCGAGATAATGAATTATTAATGCATGCTGTGTTATAGCCCTGGAAAAAGGGGATATTGTATCGAATTGACTAGTTTTCTGGACCGTGTTTTATTGTAGCGAAACCAGGGCCTGGATGCTACCGTATTTCTTTTGTTGTTTCGGTAGGCTAAAAGGAAAAGAAGAAGCGAGTGGAAGAAATACGTGGACGGCAGAAGAGAAGACAGACAATCGGGGCCCTTAGTACCACGCGAGGGATTCGTGGGGTAAGACCAGCACTAACTCTTAGTGCACAACGGGGTCCCAACGGTGGAGATGAACTCCACTATACCTGCTACCAGCGGCGGATTCTAGCTCCCCTTTAGACTCACCTTTCCCCCAAGTGCACATCTTCCGCTGCAATGCATGGCACCAATTCTACAGGACTGCCCCTTGGCGACGCAGAAATACAGCGGAACCATGCGCAGTCAGCAAGCCTCCAGCCCGGCCCAGCACCACCAGCAATGAACGCCACCACTCAACACCTAACCCAATCCGTCTCCCCTGCACCACGGATGCTACCTTCTTGGGCCTTTCCCTCGCGCCACATCCTGCACCAACCAGGCTACAGAACATGTACAAGGCACAATATTGGCGACCACAGTGGCGCCCTCGCTCGCCTTGAACCCTGCATTGTCCAATCGCAGTTGGCCCAGCACGCTGACCTGGGCCGCCTCTTCCCCTCCGCTGCAACAGGCTGCCTCGGTATCCCGTGCAAGTCAGACTGTTAGCCTGCTCTCGAGGCTGTTGGAATGCTTCGTTCAGCATGTATCCTTCTCCACGCCCGCTCGCCCATCCCCGCGTGGAGGTGCCGTGGCGCTACCGATTACTCGCTACGTGTATTCCCGTTGGAGACGAGCGTCCTCGCCTCGCCGCGACTAACAAGAGTATATAAGATGCCAGCCACTCTCCCCCTCACAAGCGCCCAGCCTTGAAAAGCGTCCCAACCAAGCTCTGGCCTATCCCTCGTTGCTGTTGATACACTCGCTACCAAAGCATATATACCTTCGCTACTTGTTGCAATTCACTTTTACACAATGAAGGTCAACTCTCTCGTTCTTGCCATTCTGGCCTCCACCGCCTCGGCCAGCATCACTGTCCGTGATGTCACCGACATCATCGCCATCATCACCCAGAACGTTGATGACATCAACGCCCTCAAGGCTGCTGCCGATGCCTTTAGCGGTGACAAGGCTCCTCTCATCGCCGCTGCTGACAAGATGATCAACGATATCAAGACCGCTGTTCCCAAGGTCAATGCTCACCCTGACTTCGATGAGGCTGATACCCTCGGTGTTGCTGGCTCTGCTGCCAGCATTGAGGACCCTGCCAAGGCTCTCGTTGCCGCGTTCAAGGCCAAGAAGACCGTCGTCCAGGAGTACAGAGAATGCGACACTGTCCGCTCCAAGCTCGAGGAGATCAACGGAGCCGCTCGCTCTCTCATTAATGCCATCACTTCCAAGGTCGTTCTCCCCGCCTATAAGCCCATTGCTGAAGGTCTTGCCAACGAGATCGGAGCCGTCCTCGACCAGGCCAAGGCTGATTACGCCGACTGCACCAATGCTCCCGCCCCCAGCAGCTCTGTCGCACCTAGCTCTACTGTCTCCAGCTCTACGGCTCCTAGCGGCTCCCAGTCTGCCAGCGGCTCTGCCAGCGGCTCTCAGTCTGCTAGCGCCTCCAAGACTGCTAGCGCCTCCAAGACTGCTAGCGGCTCCCAGAGCGCCAGCGGCACTGCCAGCAACACTGGCAAGCCTACCGACACCACTGTGACTGTGTCTTGCAGCACCACCACCCAGACTACCCCTACTGGTGCTCACTGCCCCAAGTGCACCGGCGGCAACGGTGGTAACGGCGGCAACGGTGGAAACGGAGGCAATGGAGGCAATGGAGGCAATGGAGGCAACGGTGGTAACGGCAGCAATGGCAGCAACGGAAGCAATGGCAGCAATGGCAGCAACGGCGGCGGCAGCACTCCCGCTGTTGTCACTGGCGGTGCCAAGTCCATGTTCGCCCCTGCTGCTGGCCTCGCCATGGTTGTCGCTGCTCTTATTCTGTAAAATCATTTCTGTTATTCATGTTTAGCAGAATCCAGGCCGGCGTTGCCTGGCCAAAGTAAATAATGTTAGATACGTCGCTTTTATCAGGAGCAATTGTTAATAATAGTATGCTTAAAAAATCATAATGTTCCATTCTTATGCGGGAATGCTTTGCAAAATATCAATGTGACTTAAAAAGACATCCTCCCACCGTACCCAGGCTGTTGCACAGCCAAACACAACAGTATATATATACAAAATACAAAATGCACTACTCATGACTAGAACAAACTTAAATCTCAACCTCTGCCTCTCGGCGACGCACGCTCAGCTTCATCATGGGGTCTGAGCTCAAGCTAAATCCATACTCGTAGACTCTGGGAGTGACTCCTTCGGGCAGCTTAAAGTCGTACTTGAGAAGAAGGCTGATGAGGGCAATCTTGACCTCGTTGGCAGCAAAGAAGCGTCCCGGGCAGGCATGCTCGCCGTGGCCAAAGGCAAGGTGCTCGGGAGTTGTGCTGACAAGCTGAGCGCGGTGCTGTTTGGCAGGATCGTCTCTCATGCGTGCAAAGCGGTATCCATCCCACTTCTCGGGGTCGGTATGGTGCTGCGTACCCCAGACTCCCTCCATGGCGTCAATGCCGATGACGTTGCCCTTGCCGATGAAAAGACCGTTGGACAGGGTCATGTCTTCCTTGACGATACGGCTCATGGATGCTAGAAAAAAACATCAGAGTTAGCAAAAGTGTACACGAACGCCTGGCTTCGAACTGAGTGCTACGTACTGACGGCAATGGGCTTCATTCTTTGACTCTCCTTAATGACACTGTCGAGCAGTTTCATCTTGTAAAGGGAGGTTTTGGCCCAACCATCTTGCTGCAAGACGGAGATGATTTCCTCGCGCAAGGGTTCCAGCATTTCAGGGTGCAGAGCAAGATCCGTAATAGTTTGAGAGAGCAAGTCACTTGTGGTATGAATAGCAGCAACAGAGAGGATCAGCTGAGGCATGGCTTCGTCAAAGGCCATTCCCTGGTGCATCTGCTCGAACCATTCAATTGCGTCGTTGAACTTGAGGGTTTCGCCGCGCTCGGCAGCTGCAGCCTTATCCTGTGCACGCTTCTGAATAATTGGGCGAATGATGGCGCGCGCCTCTGCTAGAAGCTCGCGGTTCTTGCGGCAAGTTGGCAGGTACATGTTGGCAATGGGGCGGAAGATCCATGGGTAGAGTCGGAGCTCCTGAGCAGCCTGGAACGAGGCAACCGTGTATTCTCTGGTAATGCGGAGCCAGTCCTCGTTGCGGCAGAGTTCGATGCCGATAAAGACACGGGAGGAAATGCGGGCGATGAGGCGCAGGATGGTGTCTTTGAGATGGATATCATGGTATTCTATAGAAAAGGGGGGCAAGTTGCCCGCAGTGTTAGTCAACGAAATAACTGACAGTTAGGATGAATTTAATATACCTTTGCTTTCAGTCAGGAGGTCGCTTATCGCAAGGCTGGCTTCCTCGGCAAGCGGCTCAGTCACCTTGGCTGTGGCGTATGTTAGCATATGGGGATCAGATCAGATCAGGCTGTGAAGAACCAGGGGGGCCACCACTTACACAGCTGTTTGGTAAGGTCTCGCATGACGACAGACTTTACAGCGTCATTGTGTTCACCAGCACGAAAAGCTTCGAAGCCAGAGAGATTTGCGTGGAACATGCGACGGGTGAGCTCCGAGAAATCCAGGCGAGGGTCGTTGCGGATTTCATTAGCCATGTGGTTCGGGAGCACAGTGATGCGACCAAAGTCGGCGTTCAAGGTCACAGCCTCGTCGGGGTGTTCCTTAAACCACTGACGGACATCCTTCTTTCCATTGGCTGCATAATAATCTTTGGCGTTTTTATCCGTCAACTCAAATGTGCCCTTTGGGTTGATAAAGTGTGTCTTGGGGCGGGGGGTGGTTCGCCAGTAAATTGTGGCACCAACAGCCACGGCAGATGCGACGATGAAGGGGATTGGCCTGGAAGTGGCCTGGACGGGAAGCCCCTCGATATACTCAAAGACGTCGTTCAACATGACGGCGACAGGCGGACGAGGTTGGCCGGATCAACCAAGCAGAGGGGATTGTAGAAGAAGAAGAGGGAGAAGAAGAGGGAAAGGGGGACAACGAAAGGCGAATAGCGAGAGATTAGGGCAAAAAAGCCAATGAGACAAGACGAGAGAGGTTAGGATACTGGCTACAGTGGATGCCAAGGTCAGCGTGGGAAACTTTAAAGTTAGCGTGGAGGAGGATTTGATGATATCACAGGGCCTGGAACCAGAGTTGCGATTAGGGCACGTCGTCATCTTTATAGCAAACGAGATGATGTAACATACGACGGGAGCGAAAGCGAAACATGAAGAAGGACGATCCGCGTATTTCAAACGGCATAAACCCGGCCGCGCCCTTTTGTCTGCGCTCCGAAGCGAAAGGAGGCCACTCACCCTTGGCACAGTGACACTGATCTTTTATGGGGCAACCCGAAATTGTGCCAGCACTGTCCACTGACGGCTTTTCTTTTTCGCCATTTTTACTTTGCAACAGGTTAAATCATCCACTAGAACCTGGCATTAGTGCTGTATCGCACTATACTTGCTTCTATTATGTCGCCGTCGTCTTGTAGTCTCCGGTAGGATTAATCACCAGGCGTGCAACGCAGCCTGCTTCTGCAAGCCATCAACGGTGGGTGCATCTGGTGCCGCGTCTGCTGATTGCGCCGTGGTGCGGGTGCGGGCACAAGCTGCGACGGAGACATATAAACTTGAAAATAAAAATGCCACAGCGGCTACCAGCACATCAACTTGCTTGATTGCCATTTCAAACAAACAATAACGCCCGCACACACGCCTCGCGCGGAGTGCAACCTTGATGCACACCAAGCGGCGGATGGATCAGGGGACCGAAAGCGAAAAGGGCCCAGCTGGGCGGTTTGCCTCTTCCCAAAGCAGCCTCAAATGCCATGCGGACCGAATACTCGCTGGGAATTGGAATTTTCTTGCCTGCCTGGGGGATTCAATCTTGCGGGCGTGGGACCCAAAGTTTACTGGGAGGGAGACGAGAGACCCCAAATGCTCTAGGCCCCAAAAGCGTTAACCGCAGTCAAGCTAGCTTACACCAAGCAAGAAGAGATGCGTCATGCCTGCATCGGCAATGGCTTAGCGCGCCACCATCTAACAGCACTCTGCCTGGGGGAGGAGTCGCTGCCCAGACGGCAATGGTCAGCACATCCACTATCAGAGACAAGACATTCGCTGGCTGCTCGCCTTTGTAGCCAAGAGAGCGGAGACTCAAAGAGGGGCACCGCCGCACCCAATTGATTGCCAAGCAAAAAGCATGTCTGAAATGCAGGCCCAGTGAATGGTTTGGCCTTCGGATGAGCTCCGTTGGCCACCACCTCGATGCGACCCTGGCGAAAGGGGGGCGGTATACACAGCTACAAGAGCTGCATACGTACAAGAAAAGACGTTTGGATCATTCTTCGCTCCGATGCAGCCGATAGCGAACATGTGAGACATTGTCGCTTTCTACGCTTCCCATTATCTCTCCATCTCCGGGGCGGGAAAGTGGTGGTTGGCGCCATCAACGGCACATCATCTCTTAACATGACCAAAAGGATCACACAACAGGCAAAGATTCACACCGCCGCCGCTGCGCCTCAGTACAGATCGCACCACTATTAACATGGAACCATCTGTTAAAACACATCTCGTCCAACGGTAATTATATCAAAAGACTATGTATTTAGAAGGAGCGGCCACTTTGTCTGACGATCATGGCGCATACAATACGCGTATTTCCCGGCACTGTACAGCTCCCCCCACACTAGTCGTATTCGCCTCGATACCCGTTTAAGTATGCTGTGTGTCTGATGTAAACGGTTTGAAAATTGCCAGAACCTTGCATTGAGCTGTCACAGCTCTCGCTCGGATAGACTCAATCCGCCCCCAGTCAATTCTTTCGTCCGGCATCCGCGCGTCTGCTGTTGCAAGCATCTCCGTCGGAGGCCATTCCCCATTCCCACGATTGGTGAACAGGTTGAAATAAGCCTCGCTCGAATTTGCCGTTTATGTGGGCCACCGATATCCTTCGCTTGGATTTCCCTCTTGAAAATCCAGTATCCGCATCTGCTGCACAAGGGACAAGCAAACTGGGTTCGCTCGTGCTTGACATTCGCGTTCGCTCTCGTTTGTGCAGCACACCCAGCCCACGGTGCCGATCCCCCTTCTCTAAATCAGCCCACCGCCCGCCCAAGCTACGCCTAGATGACGGCGCGCGCCCCCTCCCGATACCCGCATTGCTGCTGTATTGGCTTACACGGGCGGCGCGCCACGCTGTGATTCACTCCATTTCTACATATGCCGCTGAGGCCGAAATATAGGATCAGATTGCATGAACAGAACTGGTCTATACACGGACCACTTTAGTGTGTGAGATTTTTATTTGTACTGTGTAGGAATGTACCCTTTTGACGGCTAGTTCTTGCTGTAATTCCCTGCCCAGCCAAAGTGGATTTTAACGTGTACTGTTATCACCACATGTTGCCCATTTAGTGTTGTACTTTACTTGCACAATTAAAGGTTTATTCTACGTAACTCTATCGCCGTAAATAAGCATAACGAATAACAGTAGGGTTCCAAATATATTAGACTGAACGAAAAGAATTTAATACGATAATATTTAAACTTCTTTTCTATCAACTGCTCCATTCTCGAGCAGAAGCTGAACTATATCGAGATGATCATATAGTATTGCAGCTTGCAAAGCAGTTTCGTAGCGACCGCCCTGTGCATTTACATCGACTCCACGCTCGATTAGTAGTTGAACTATATCAATATTACCTTTAAATGAGGCAACTTGCAGAATATTACCATAAATGCCGCCCTGTGCATGTACATCTGCCCCGTGCTCGAGTAGTAGATGAACTACATCAATATTACCTTCTAGTAATGCAACTTGTACGGCATTACAATCATCACTGCCAAATACATTTATGTCCGCTCCATACTCGAGTAATAATCGAACTATATCTCGATTGCCTTTTGATGATGCAACTTGTAGAATATTGCCATAGTAGCCGCACGGGGCATTTACATCCGCTCCATACTCGACTAATAATCGAACTATATCGAGGTTATTTGTTAATAATCCAGCCTGTAGAGTATTGCTATAAATGCCACCTGGTGCATTTACATCGGCTCCCTTTTGAAGTAGTAGTCGAACTATCTCGAGATTTCCTTGTGATGATGCAGCTTCTAGAGCATTTCCGTAGTGACCCCCTTGAATATTTACATCTGCGCCATACTCGAGCAATAATTGAACTATATCAACACTGCCGTGGAATGATGCATATTGTAGAATATTGCCATAACTAGTACTTTGCGCCTTTGCATCAGCTCCATTTTGTAGTAGTAGTCGAGCTACCTCGAAATAGCCTCGCGATGACGCAGCCTCGAGAGCATTGTTGTCGTCTTGAGCATCCACCTCCGCTCCATACTCGAGTAGTAGGCGAACTATCTCGAGACTGCCTTGTGATGACGCAGCTATCAGAGAATATTTGTAGTTGCCGCCCCGCGCATTTACATCGGCTCCATTTTCAAGTAGTACTTGAACTGTCTCGTAATGACCTCGTTCAGAAGCCCAGTGCAAAGCAGTGGCTCCGTCTTTATCTGAATTATTGATGGCCGGTCTATTGCGTTGTATAAACCTTTGGACCACCTGGCTATGCCCATTAAAGGCCGCCATTCGGATATTGTTCATAACCCTTCTATAATGATATTTCATTGTTTTGTTCCAAAAGACCTTGTACCATAGCATAAAGCGTTGACTAGTTGTGTCATATAGTTGGTCAATACGCTTCTGACGCAGTAGTTCTGCTTCCAATGGCATCTCTCTTACATGATCTGGCCAGTAGACTGCTGCGTACTGCAGGAAGCCTTGGATATCGCTATCCTCCTCATTCATGTTGCCATTCGTGTCTTCAGACAGTAAGTAACTGATGCAGATCTCGGATAATAAAGTCTCCGTCTCGCTTCGACCAAGTGACCATATATCTCCTTCGCGAAGCAAAAATTCTTTGGCAGTTTGATGGATCAGATAGATTCTCGAGTCTTGAATGAAAACAAAAAGTCCACACAAGTGGCGGATCTTCGCTGCCAAGCCCTCTTTCTTCAACCAAGGCTTTTTTCTAGTCTCTGAGGTTGTTCCTCTAGCAATGCCTAGGGCAATGGCCATTTCGTTAATCGTTAATGGGCGCCGCGCTCCGATGATAATTCTAAGAATTTTTTGAACATCTGCTTTCTTATCTGATGGCACGCGATTCAATATCTCTTTATATGCAGCATCAACCGAGCTCGGAATCAAGTCTATAGATTCTTCTTCGGGTTCAAGGCTATTTTGAAATCGGGTCTCAATATCGTCTATAGCCAGATGAAGCCAGAGGTATGTGCGGTGTTCCATCGAGAGTAGCTGCGCTTCTAGTCGATTCTGAATATCCGAGCTTAGTTGTAGACTCTTGCCTAGCTCAGTTACTCGCAACTTAACGACCAGACTAATTTCATCATGAACCTGAGCATTCTTATCCTCCCCACTGATGTGAATACATGGGAATAATTCTGTCGCTTGATGGAAGTGTCGCTGTATATCATTGTATGGCCGGCTAGTAACAAGGAACTTGAGTGGATTTTGTCTTGCTAATGAATGGCCTTCCACATAGAATGCCTCCAGCTTCTTTATTAGGGAAACTTGATCAGCTACTCGACATTCATCCAGTGCGTCGAAAATGCAGACGGCGCTGGTGAAAGTAGGGTCTGACGTGCAGGCGATTAGAATACGCCAAAGTTCCTCGCTCTCTTGCTGGATCTTTTCTTTGTTTTGTTCCCACGAAGGTAATGCATGACTTAAGAGGTTTGGTTGTTGGCTAAATAATTGATGAAGCACCGCACACAGTGCCGTTGTTAGTTTGTGCTGTTTGTTGTTATCCTTGAAGAAGAAGTAGCAGACTTTGAGCGACGCCGATGTCTTTAAATCTTTATCAATCAATGACTTCGCGAGAACCGACTTTCCACATCCTGGATCAGCGGATATCCATAGAAGGTCGTTATGATTACTTTTTTGCCAGGCAAGATATTGGTCGTTATCAAGTATCCATCGACATGTCCCGTCAGCGCGGTCTCGGTTGATGTTTTTATATTCCTCGTATGTTGAAGTCTTGAACGCTTGGTGGCACGCCTGCTGCTCTTTTGTCAATGCCAATGTAATCTTCTCCTGATGTTGACGTTCTCGCTGGTTGAAAGCTTTTTCCAAGTTCTTATTGGCCTCTTGAAATCCATCAAGAAGCGACGCTATAATATAAAGAATCAGCATTTGAATCGTTAAAGATGTTGAGTGAATTAAAGATTCATATCGAATCTACTTACCGCATAACTCTGTCACTAATATTTCTTGAGATACCTGGCCCGTAGGGATATAGCCAAGTAATTCTTTGGCATAGGATGCAGCCGCAAGAGCGGCATATCCTTGCCACCGTTTGGTTTTATGTGAATCAGCGTAGTCACATATTCCGCGGACTACTACACAAGGGAAGTCCATCATCAGACCAGCAGCCTCCATTTCGAAACAGAGGGCGCCTGTCTCCTTACGAAGCCTTTCCCTAGTAGCTCCATGTTTGATGACTTCATTCCCTGATGCAATAATCCCATAGAATACTTGTGGTTCGGATTCCTGACGAGCCTCTCTGGCTTCTGCCCACTCGGATGGGCATTGGTCGCATGTTACCGCCATCGCAGGATGATCATGGTCGATTTTGAAAAGTTGATCAGTGGATATATCGGGTTTGCCAAAGGTTTGCCGTGTACGTGCGTTTCTTTGAGTTGCTTTTTGAATATATTCTGGATAGCTCGGGTCATCAGCTAATGCGGCAGCTCTCATTTGCCCGACTGCAGCCAATATAGAACGAGGTGGGCTATTTAACGAGCCAGTCCGCTGGAATTTGCCATCTTGTACTACTTTTCCCATATCATATTGAATAACTCCGCCGCAGGTTCCTTCTGGGCGGCTAACAACGATGTCCCCGAGGCGTATATCATGGTCGGAGGAGGGGATGCCTCCTGCAATGCCAACCATTAAGCCAATGCGCACCGAACGAGAAAATGTGCGCATCATATTGATCGCGACAGCTGCGGCTGACGTCGTGCCATATTGTCCGTCTGGGAGGCTAGCAATCACAACATAGTGCCTGCCGACTCGACCCAAGGCATACGAGTTCGTATCTGCCTTTGGCTGCTCATCGAGAGTCCCGAAACTCTCATCGAACATCTCCTTCGCTGCCGCAACTTCAATTGGTAACGCACATATCCAGCCGATCTGGTACGCGTCGAGTGCTGGAGGAGTCATCTTGTTGTAGGTACTCAGGTAGCCAGTATGTAGCCTTATTCTCTAAACATAGCATTGCATTGTGCTGTCATCTATTACTGATGACTACAGTAGGTAGGTAATTTCAGCGTCAAAGTGGAATATAATAGAGTATTCTATAAAGAAGGCTGCTGAAAGTCTCACCCTTGCCTGCATGAGGGCGGGGTTAGAGTAGATGACTGTTGTTTTTCCGCAGTTAATTACAATAAAAAACAGTCGGTTGTAACAGTTACAATATTTCAATTCACTTCAATATATGGCCGAGACTTACTAAAATTATTACAAGTATATTTCACAACGTTAACCAATAACAAACTACAATTGTCATGTATCTAGAGACCAAGTTACTGGAACGGAACAACCAAGTTCCGCAACATGGTAATTATACGCTGTACTTTCTCTAATTGCGTAAAATTGGCCGCTGTAAATAATTTCTAGTCTGCTAGTAAATGGCGACTTGACTCGAACTGTACTATTATCTGTTGTTCTAATGTAAAAAGGAAAAACACTGGCTATTCAACATTGCTTGTCTCTAATTTCTCCCACCAGTAGAGAACAAGAGAGAGAAAAAGTGTAAGTTTTCTATTCAATATTATAATAGATCTATTTCGAAGGAGATGTGTCATAGGATTTGTGAGGATTTCATTCCCGTAAAAGGAAGAACGGTAGCCCTGCTGGGTTAGCATAAATTTGGCTTGACTAGCCTTGACTTCCCGTCTTCTACCATTTGGCGGCTCTAGGTACTTCTTCCCACAGTGCGCTTCCTCCCAGATGGTCTGTGGGTAGAACAATTAGATGGCCGGTTTTTAATCAATAACTTCGGCCCCGGGCTGTACGTGTTGGTCCATCCTTCTCGGGGACTTGAAACTGTCCGCCGTCCCGAAGCTTGCGGTAGCTGTTCGGACCGGGTAAATACCATGAAACCGTGCATACTCTATATTCAGAGTTAATTAATTTGGCGGGCGGTAGCTCATCTTGTGCCCAAAATTAATCATATGCCGACAAACTGAACGCCCCTTCATTTGCATCTTTGTTGAATCGTTGCGGCCCCAGTAGATGCCGGCATGGCTTGAGCCACGAAGACCGCGTCGGACGGGGCCGCTGTTGGAAGGACCCCGACAGTATTTTCACCGCGTTCCGTCCCGTGCGGCTTATATGAAATTGTAGAGTTCAAAGAATATCGTATATTGCTAATTAATGTGATAACTGAAGTTGATTTGTCTGTCAGGTGTGCACCATTGATGAAATTTAATCTCCATACGTATTTGTTTTAGAATTACACGCTGTGGTATATGTAAAACGATGTTCTCATCTATTCAATAGTCGGTCTAGTGCGCATAAAGATGTTGGATGGCAAGGCTCTTTCTTTAAACTTATCATCAACTTGGTAGGTAATCTCGGGCCCTTCTTGAACGAACCCGAGTTTGGAATAAACGTGACGGCCCATAGCTGACGCTTCAGTAATAGCTTCTAGGTTTCCCCTCTTTTTGGCCTCTTCTAAGCCCCAGAGAACAAGGTGTTTTGCAATACCTTGACCTTGGAAACCAGGGCGAACGCAGCAGAGGTCCAAGACAAACACGGCCGGAGTAGCATCCGTAGCCTTAGCTTTGACGACATCGAATCTCTGGCGATGCAGGGAGCGATCCAAATCTGCCAGATACAATTGCTCATCTCTGTTTCCAGGATACAACTGCTCCAAGTCCTGGCCGGCCGATAAATCTTCTATGGGCTTCTCTCCACATCCTGGCACAACGGATGCTTGCACCCAGATGGCGAAACCGACAGGCTCTCCAGTGGATGGTACTGTAGCCTTTAAAAATATGGTGTTTGGGTTGCCGTTCTTGTCCGTTGTAATATCCTTAAACCTTTTTACCAACCGCGCTGCGCATTGTGCCTCTCCGTCCGGGCTATCCCATCCTGGATTTGCGACGGTCCATATGCCATCGTGAATCTGGTGGCCAAAGGTCGTCGTAGCACATTTGAAACCTTGGACAATATCTTCATCTTTGTCTATAACGCTGATTTGAACAGCTACGGGCGACTTGGCCATCTCGTCTGTAGCTGTAAGTGATGTTGTCTAGCTCAAGTTGCTCGCTGAGGCTCCCCACGCTGTACCTGTGTTGTGGACCACTACAAATTAAGGTTACAGCCGCCGTCGGGAGGTTCCGTAGTGGTGGTGCAAAAGGTTTACAGAAACAGCAAGGCTGTGTGGCATTTAGTGTAATGGGATATAGATTACTAAATATTGCTACTAATAAAAATTATTCTCGTAGTCGTCGTAATTGAGCACTTTTAGTTGGCGCCAATGGCCTTGGCAAGAGCAACACCAATGGCGTGGGCAGACGCGGGGTTCTGGCCAGTAATGATTTGGCCGTAAACGACAACCTTCTCGCCCCAAGCCTGGTCGGCCTTGACGAACTTGGCGCCCTTCTCCTTAAGAACAGTCTCCAAAAGGAATGGCATGGCATCAGTGAGACCAGCTTGGTCCTCCTCCTCGTTGGTGAAGCCAGTGACCTCACGTCCCTCCACGAGGGGCTTGCCGCCAACAGTGGCGTTGGCGAAAACGATGGGACCGTGGCAGACAGCAGCGACGGGCTTGCCAGCAGCGTAGAATTCCTCAATGAGGGCAATAGAGTCCTTGTCGGAGACCAAGTCGTACATGGGACCGTGACCACCAGGGTAGAAAAGAGCATCGAATTCGCCCGATCGGCCGACGAAGCTCTTGAGAGGGGTCGTGTTCTCCCAGATCTCCTTCTTCTTCAGGAAGTTCTGAGACGACTCGTCGGCCTTGAAGGCCTCAATGGAGCTGGGATCGAGGGGAGCAACGCCGCCCTTGGGAGAGGCAACGACGATTTCGGCCTTGGGAGCGAGGACATCGTAGGGGTGAGCGAACTCGGGCTTTGGTCACACAAGTTAGCTTAACAGGCTAGAGCTTTCTTCAAGACGTCAGGTTGTGTCTTACCAGGTACCAGCCAGTGGGCTTGTCAAGCTTGATAATCTTATCAGCTGAGGTGAGGACGACGAGAATCTTGGGTGCCATTGTGTCGGGAGTGTACTGTGATATACGGTAGTGTTTAATAGACGTAAAGGATCAAGAAGAAAGCTGTCGGATTGGGCGTGCTGGGATTATAAATATTTTGAAACTAGTCGCAGAATCGCTGGCGTCATTGCTTTCCCCCTCCCCTCAAGGTGCCCACCACCCCGCCAAGCTAGTGTAAAACGTGGAAGCTTGCAGCTTTTTACAGAAACTTACCAATCCTGCCAGCTGGTAGATCCTGAGATTCTTATTGGAGCCACCATGCCACGTTGACTAAACACTTCAGGAGATGAACGATCGAGAGAATCTTTGTTGGAACCAATCGGTCAACATGTAATCGGCGTTGGGATGGCCTCCCTATAATAGATGGGAGAGCCTCGAGGTCTTGGTTTGGAGTGTCTGTCACCACCAAACTCCCACCCTTCTAGAGAATATGTATACGAATAGAGAATGGATGGATATTAAACAATTTATAATTATTTTTTCGTTATTTCCTAAATATTATATTTTGTCTTGACAATGTATTAATCAACTTAGAGAGATCGTGCCAACTACGGTCTCACACGTACCCTACAAATTAATATGGGTCCGGCATCGACCAGCAAGCATCTCTTCGTGCGCCTGCGCCTCTTCATCCCTCCATAATATCGGCCAGATTCAAAAACCCTCACAACACCAACGATAGCACCATGCCGAATCCATCTGGTGCAGCCAATGCGGCTGCCGGAGCAGCTGGAGCAGCGATACCCCCAAATGAAGCCCCGAAACTACTCTGGAATGCCGAGAACATCAAGGACGTTGCCGAATCCGTCGGCATCAACTCTCTCAACGAGGAGGCTGTCAAGTCTCTTGCGCAAGATGTAGAATATAGAATTGGCCAGGTCATTGTCGAGAGTTTGCGGTTGATGCGCGCCGCTCGCCGCACAACGCTTACCGTCAATGATGTCAGTCTTGCGCTGCGAGTGCTAGATGCCGAACCGCTCTACGGTTACGATTCCACGCGACCACTTAGATTTGGTGAAGCCAGTCTTGGACCAGGACAACCGCTTTTCTATATTGAAGATGAGGAAGTGGATTTCGAGAAGCTGATTAATGCTCCGCTCCCTAAGGTGCCTCGCGATACCAACTTCACAGGTGGGTAGCAGCACCACGACGTAACGCGCGACAGTGTTCGCCTCAAGCTAACTATAATATAGCCCATTGGCTCGCAATTGAAGGTGTACAGCCCTCTATCCCACAAAACCCAACGACGGCCGAGTCCCGATCTCAAGACCTGCTACCTAAAGGCACCGGCGCCAACCCGGCTCTCGCTGCTCTTGCTGGCAACGATACCATCTCGTTCAACCCGGCTGTTAAGCATATCGTTAGCAAGGAGCTCATTCTATACTTTGACAAGATTCAAGGAGCTATTCTCGACGATAACCCCGATGAAGAGGTTGTACGATTGCGACAGGCTGCTCTCGGCTCCGTCCGCGACGACCCTGGATTGCACCAACTTGCGCCATACTTTATAAACTTCATCATGGACCGTGTGACGCACCAACTGGATGACACCTTTACCTTACGACAGATGATGGAGCTCACTAATGCTCTCATTGAAAACAAAACACTCTTCCTGGACCCCTATGCCAGCTCGCTGTCTGCTCCTGTCCTGACCTGTCTGATGGCTCGCAAGCTCGGCAGTGATGAAGGAGCCGACTCTTTGAAGGACCAGTACGAACTCAGACAGCTGGCAGCCTCATTAGTTGGCCGTATTGCACAGAAGTACGCCGGCTCCAACACCCTTCTCCGACCAAAACTTACTCGCACCTGTCTCAAGTACTTCCTGGACCCAACGAAGCCACCAGCTGTCCTATTCGGTGCAATTAGTGGCTTAGTAGAGGCTGGCGGCCCGGAGGCTATCCGTGTTCTTGTTCTCCGTAACCTCAAGACGTTTGACTCTGGCATTCTGCAGCCACTCAAGGAGAAGTCTGACGGCTCCATTGAGTACGAGATGCTCGTCCAGGGCATTGTTCACGCCGTAGCGTCGCTGGACTCCAAACAAGCGCTATCTATTTCCAGCAATAGCTCCACAGGATCTGAGTCGTCTGACCTTAAAGACTTCATCGGCCCTATTATCGCAGAGAAGATTCTGCGCGGCGGAAACCCGAGGCTCGTTAAGTCGATCCTGGAAGCCCGTAACATTGAGTAAGCGCTTGGTTGGTGGTGGTGACCAGTCTTGTTTTTAAAGTAATCAGGCGTATGGTGTTGCACGGATATATACACATTTAGCTCTAGCAAATTTGGAACAAAAAAGTGTTCAATGTTTAAGTTGTATTTGTTTTAACAAACGAAATAGTGCCAATTTCGCACAGTCATGGCAGCAGATGCGCCGCCTAATTTTGTGTATAAAACCTCCCCCATCTACTATTATTTGTTGCTACAAGTCGTCAGTGTACCGTTTACATGGCCCATCGCTTCCCAACCAACCGACACATTCCATTTAGATACCGAAAGCAAGGTAACCGGCGAGGACGGCGGCGGTAGCAAAGATGACACGCTCGCCAGTCTGAATGGTCTTCTTGGAGAAGCCCTTAACCAAGTCATACGACAAGTGTCGTACACCGTTGATGGCATGGAAGGCGAAAGGGAAACCGAGGGCGAGCTTGATGCCACCCTTGAGGGCGAGAGGCATGGCGGCGAAAGCGCTGACGAGACTGGCGCTCTCGATGTGAAGGCCGAGGAGAGGAGCAACGAGGTAGGTAGCGAAGTAGACGTAAGCGGCACCAGACAGAGTGCAGCCGGTGATACGGGTCCAGGCAGAGGCACCGAACCAGGTCTGCTCCATCTTGTAGATGCTCAGGTGAGGAGAGACGGGGCGGTTCTTGCGCTGGGCAACGAGGATCTCATGGCCTTCCGAGGTCGACAGCTTGGTAGTGGCGATAGGGCTATACGATAAATCCATCCGTTAGTGACCTATTGTATAGCAATTGAAGAGCAAAGAGTCGGGGACTAACCGTGTCTGTGTCAGGGCCGAAGCAGCAACGGCGCGGCATACAGCCTGGCTGTTGAAGGCATTAGGGCGGACAGCGCCTACAATTCTGTTAGTACATTCTCAATTGGGCCACAGCACCAGCATCTAGTTTCAAGAGTCGACACCGAGGATCGCGGGCCACCATTGGACAAGTTGCTGGAACGGCCTGGGTAGGGTGAGAATTTACCTCTGCGCAGCGCAGCGAGGCCAACACGCTGAGCGATCATTTTTTATAATTATGGAATTCGGTATCGCGGCTAATATACCCCTCTGATATCGTGTTGGCTCTGTCGCTTGGGGTCTCGTCGGTCGGTTGCGGGAGAACTCGAGTAGTAGTTGGAAGCGCGAGATGTTGCCAAATGCTCCAAAGCTGCCCAGGCACACGGACAGACTCGGCTCCTCGGTTCGAATGGCCAATCATGCCCGCGCAATTCATCATCTGTCACGTGACACACAGAATAGCCCATCACGTGCGAATCCGCTCTCTGGTCTGTAGAAAAGTGGGTCGCGAGGAGCACTGAATTTCAACGGATCCTCCGCGTGGCTCGACTACGCTCTCTTCTTTTTTCCTCTTCAGATAGTCACGAACTCCCGCCGGGGCGTCAACTGCTACTGATTGGCGTCATCGATGGCAGGGTCCTTGGACTCGGGGGCTGTTCGGAGAAGAAAGAGATCCGTTCGTTAATCTCGGCGCTTGGTTTTACCTTCTATTCAGATGTCCGTCTGGGTGCCGTTTCATTTTGAGATCTACATACTTTGCTATTTCCTTTTTATTAATTGTGATTATGTATGCCATATTGACCTGAGTAAATTGCTATCCTGCTAGAAGATACGCAAAGCCTGTCTCGTACACTTAACAGCAGCATTTGCTGAAGCGACCCCAATGAAGATCTGAGATGCGGGCATATCGACTTGTACGATGCTTGTATGTGGCACGCCATGGTTCTGCAACGAGATACATGTTTCTCATATTTTTGCACTGTTAAACTGCTAATTAATTGTTGTTCAGCAGCTACGACATCTTCTTTTTTTTTTTTTTAAAATAACGAATTTGTCTTCTGCCAAACAGTACCAGCGAGAGTTCGTTCTAGAGAAAAAGGACACAACACAGAAACGCATTGACAAATATTTTGGGATGGTTTGATCAAAGATTATATTGATACGTTCAGCCGCTAGCTCCCTTCTCTCACTCACATGTGATGGTGAGCACAATTGGCTGAGGTCTCTCTTCGCAGAGGGGGGTTGTCCCTAAAGGCTATCGCACGCAGCGATGTAATATAACTACAGTACAGGTTTGATTCTTGTGGAGATTATACCCAAATGATTCATCGATGTCATCACATGATATTCATATGGGGATTATGTCCATCGTTGGTGCCGCCATTGTATGGACCAAATATTGTCGATGAAAACTGATCGTTTTCATTGACCATCATGTCGCCAAGCATATCCCAATTCATCGAGGAGGTGTCGAGGTAGCCACCTGTATATGCATTCATGTTCATAATACCCGTCTGTGGGTACTGCAGAGCTTGGGTGTAGGGAATATTGGAAGGTGTTGCCGCCTTAGATTGAGCTGGCTCGGAGACCGGCATGGCTGCTGGGGTTGGTTCGGGTGTTGGGACCATATCTCTCAATCGAACGATATATGATGGCGTGTCCAAGGGAAAGCCTTCTTCTCGGTAAACCCGCTCACGAACTCCCCATGCCCTCAGCGACAGTTGAGCCTGACTCAGGTAAGCCTTCTCTGTCATGTCAAACAGTTCGGCATAATCACGGTATGTTCGCTCAATTACTTTCCACGCGCGCTCAACCAGTGATCCCTTCGTTCGGGTAGTAAGTTGAGCTGTGAGAATTGCAAACAGTTCGTCCTGGAAATGCAGGCGAACATACCATAGAAAACCACTCTTCGTCATCTGGTCAAACGCGTTGGCGCGGTTCTCATTAGCCATAAGGATGAACTTGAACATGACATCTTTTGGACCGAATATCTCCGAACCCCACTCTTCTTGCTCATGAATGGGGGTTAAGAGGGCTGTCAGATGATTTGATACGCGCGGTCGTATCGTCAGTGCAGCAATATGGACGTTGCCAGCAGATGGATCGCAATACTTGGATTCGACATCGATGAGGTTATCAATGAGTTCGTCCAGGTAAACCCGCGCTTTTTGTAGCACACAAGCATGCGTTTCCTTCCAATGATCCCCTTCCATTCCTTGGCCGAGAACAGCAGCCTCAAACGCATGCCCACTTTCCGAGGCGTCAATCTTTTGGCCAAACTTGAAACACTCAATGATCATGAGATACCAAATCATCTCTGTCGGTCCATCACGTGCCTTGACCGGTTCGGTAGCGGATGGGAATAGATCCGAATCATTGATATTAAGCGGTTGTTTCGTGTCCCACTGCATTGTAATGAATGCATTGGTGAGCCCTGACAGCTGTGCCAGCTTCCCATCGTACATTATGAGACCCCACCAGATTCGACGCCTCATTTCTGTTTCGAAGGGATTCAGCTTCAGCTCCTCTCCATCACGGTGATAGCCCATCTTGATTGCTATTCGCACTATAATGCCGCTAAGTACCCAGGCAGAATGTCGGTTATATCGACTTTCAATGGAATGCTACGGTTGAAGTTAGTCGACTTGAAATGCATAGAGAGCTAGGAGACTCACAATAAATAGTATCAATGCTTGAAGCGACGGCATACTGAAATTCTTCAAAAAGTTTTGCCGTACAAGGGCGGTTCGCGTAGCAGAGTTGAAATTTTGGATGGCGCGCTCTCTGGTGAGACCAAGAAGCTGTATCGATTCACTTTGTGTAAGCGAGACTGTTGCCATACCCATTATGGCAAATAATAGTGCTTGATAATTCAACGGAACGTTGGATGGATTTGATGTGATTTCAACGACGTATGGTTGAATAGTAGGGACGTGAATCAGTTTAGTCAGGGGGTTAACCCGATCCAGAAAGATCTGCCAGAGTCGAAATACATGGACAGCGTCCGGAATCAAATCATCGATCGATATTCGGCTGACATCGCCTGCTAATAGCAGATCGGACTGGTTTTCTGGTGTTGATTCGTCGGGGCTTCGGATACTGGCGTCTTCTGACTCTTCATCCATGAGCGTCCGCATACCTTGAAGCTATTTTATAGGAGTTAGCAGAATAGCATCGCGATATTATACAGGAATGCTTACCTCTTCTGACAATGTTGCCCAAATCTCACTGTCCATAAACCGCGCTCCGCCTTCTTCTTGAATCATTCTACCAGCTTTCTTCCACGCTAGGCTATTCTCTGATCCGGCGCCAAGAGTACGATCGGTAGACTCGGATTTTGTCGTTGTAGTCAGCGTATCAGGAGATATAGCTGCCATGGGATCAAGTGGGGAGCCACCCGCAGCATACTGCTGTAACAGTTTTTCGCACCGCGCCAGGCGCTCTTGTAAATCCTGGTTTGGTCGGCGGCGCTTTCGCGCAGGTGCTGGTACACTTGGGGTGCATGTGACATTGGCCTATCGAAGGATGAGTATGCTTAAGGATAGAAAGTATGTGGATGCTGTGCAGCCTACCTTTACACAATTGGAGCATGGTGTATTGCGATCACACTTGATCTTGCGATGCTGGCAAAGCACGCAAGCAAGTACTCGAATATGCTTGTGTGCCGCTAAAGGTGTGCCACCTGAAGATGACATGGTAGTTCGAAAATAGTAGAGTGGCGAAAATATACTTCACAAACGTCACTAATCTGTTAGAGAGGGTTCTAGAATGGTGAAGCGAACGTGATGGTGACGTATTCAAGGCTTTTAATGTCAGTGTCTGCCTTGCGGGCGTCGGAGTTGTGTATTATCGCTGAATGGGACTTGTCGCGCTAATAGAATATACAAATGAGATTAGTACCCACTGCAGCTAAGTGTGTTAAACAAGATACAGGCAACCTACAACGACTAGGATCTGGCGCAACCAATACCGGCGGCTGGATCAGTGCGAAAAATGGTGCCTGGCGAGGGGACGGCGCAAGGCAGCAGAATAGAGCCAATTAGATTCCAGGCACCAACGTTGTGAGGAACCAGGCAGCTGTTAATGTCATTCCACGGCACAAAAACAAAAACAGGCAGAAACCCTAAGATGTCAGTTGATATGCAAGAGAAGGATACGTTAGATGTCGGGGAGATTTGTAAAGTGGGTGTTGGCACTGGCGGGGCTATGCTCAGGCGACGAACTGATCCGGAAGATGGCTCATGACAATCGCCAGGGCCTACGCAGCCTGACTCCGCAGGTCTGGTCACAACTTTAATATTTTTCTAGTAGCCCTACCGTTCCGGAAACTTCAGGAGGCTTTGCCCGGTAGTTTCTCCCCTACATAGGATGCCGCCAACTACGTATCTGCGTGTGCTTTCGTCCACACGGTTGTGCCGCAAGTCTCAGCTGTCTAACTCAGTTGGCGCAAACTCCGCAAGTGCCGACAACACGCGGACCGATGATCTTTTGTTCGTAAACTTACTGTAATTACGTGTCCACATAATCCCACAATGACTCCTTTTGTTCAGCAGAAGAAATTCCACGATGGCTTCTTGACGGAAAGTGCTGGAAATGACGGGCGCGGATCGATGAGTCAACGTCATCCCCCACGTATGCTAATGTGTGTCAAACGGCGAGGCTAGCCTGGGCAATAGGTGGCGCCTCGCATCTGTCTTCTATCCATTGACATACAACCCACCGATCGGGATTACCAGGAACTAAACGAGAGGTCATATTTAATCGCGCACGCCCGACAAAAGAGGCAAGTCTGATCATAACGGTCACGTTCACCGGACGGCGACCCCGCGGCTGAGGGTTTGGTGTATGTGATGCTATAAAAATACGGCTTTGTCATTAATCGTTAGCGTCGACCATTATCTTGGCAAACTATGGATCAAACAGCGGTCCTCTATATCTATGGCTGACCAAATAAGTCGCCTATGTCGACCTCAGCAGAATCTGACTGCTGCACACTGTCGTTTGCCGATTCCACTGGGACAAGTGCTAATCTCTTGCTCTTCTTCAGTTGTTTTCTATGACCCGAGCTCTTAATATGCCTTTCCCAAGCTTCTTCAGTGACTAGGACTGTTTTGCAAAGGTCACACGTTCTCTGCTTTGCCGTTTCCTTTACCACAGGCTCCCCAACCTTGAGTAGGACATCCCGCGCTACCTCTGACAAATCTTTCGCACTTGGTAGCGGTGTTCCAGCGAGGAATTGGCCGACTATCGATGTAGCTGGCTCAATGACTCTTTTATTGTATAGCTTCACATCTGTGCTATCCAAAACGTAGAGGCTATTGATGGCGGTCTCTCCGCATCTCTGCAGCCTGGGCAGTTGCTTGAGGCGTATCCAGCGATTTTGATAGTTGGCGTATCGTCTTGTGGCGGTCTTCATGTCATCTAAAGCTGCCTTTTCTGAGGCCTCTCTAGCCTGGCTATCCTTCGGAGGTGAGAGCACATGCGGTACCAGCTGTTTGTATCCAATGGCTTGCCAAATACCTTTAGTCAGGTCAACGTCCACACCTCCAGCTGTCATGCGTTGTTTATGCTCGGCGAGTTCACGAACTTCGTCCAGCAAGCCGTTTTGGAGCATCCCATCTATCCTCTTATCCAACCGTTCGCACAAAGCCTCCCGCTGTGTAAATACCCAAAACAGCAAATTCTCCCAAGGTTGGCTAGGGCTAGCTGGGTCCTCAGCAGGTTTAGATCGTTGTAATTCTTGCTCCTCATAATGCGATGAAGCAGGCTTTCCGGTTTGCAAATAGATTTCTAGTGAGCGCCGGATTTTGCGACGGTCGTTTGGATGCCATCTCTCAGCCATCTCTGGATCAACCTTTCTCAGCTCAGCAAGAAGAACATCCGTAGGTTCATCCAGAATAGGAAACTCTTGTGACTCTGTATCCTGGACATGATCCAAAATGGCGTCGTTGAAAAGGATTGAATCAACGTAGTAGTGAGTACCACCAACAAGGATGGGCAACTTGCCACGGCCTCGGATTTCATCTATTAAAGTAGTTGCTCTCTGTTTGAACTCTGCCACATGCCATGGTATAGAACTCAGTGGTATCTCTCCCAGCAAATGATGCGGAATGCCTTTCTGTTCTTCTAAGGGAATCTTGTTGGTAATAATAGGCAAGCCGTTATACAGCTGCATGGCGTCGGAGTTGACAACCTCGCCATTGAATCGTGTTGCTAGTTCCACAGCGAGCTTAATCAGTTAGCCCATCATTCCTGTGTCCCGGAGAAAATAGACCCACCTCCGATTTACCAGTTCCAGTTGAGCCCAGGACAACGATTAGGGGTAGCTTAGGGATTGTCGAGTAGTGGCTCATTGTAGTTACATGGCGTAGTGCCGCCTTGAACAGAACCATACGCAGCACTAGTCCTACAGCGGCCACAAGCTCAAGTCATAGAGAATATCAATTGCGAGCGTTATTTGATGCAAGATTTTGATATAAATCCAAAAAAAAGTGTTGTCTATTAGACTGATATAAAACACGGGTCTTTTTTCTATCGAACAGTGCACCCGTCCCCCCCACATGCCCCGTCAAGCGCAGAATTTCCATGACCTTCCCCAAATAAATAGTGGGGAGTTGTGCTGGGCTCCCCTAAACCGCCAGCTCTTGCGGTTTCGCCGCGCTGGTCACGTGGTGCACCCCCAATTGGACACGTCTGTCCACTTCCAGGAGGGTTGAAGCCACATCACCCTCCCTTGGTGCTCCTGACCTCCTAAATACTTCTGTATCCATCGCGACTCCTCCCACCTTCTCCGCGACAGAGACAAGTTGCTTCGATATCGTTAAGCAAGCTTCCTCTTTGCTTACGCTCCTTTTTATTGTCTCATTACATCCGGGGGAACTGAATTGATTAGATTGGAAACGACACCCCTCCGCTATCATGAGTTCCTGTACGTCTCCTGCGGCACGACACTCCCACTCCGAAGCTCTATCCGCGGCGGGCACATCCAATCCACATTGTGGTCCTTGTAACTAACCAATTGAATGATATAGTGCGATTCCTTGACCTCGTCAAGCCCTTTGTCCCGTTCCTCCCCGAGGTTCAGCAGCCAGAGACAAAGGTCCCCTTCAACCAGAAGATGATGTGGACTGCCTTGACTCTGCTCATCTTCTTGGTCATGAGCCAGATGCCCCTTTACGGCATTGTCTCCTCCGACAACTCCGATCCTCTATACTGGCTGCGTATGGTCATTGCGAGTAACAGAGGTACTCTCATGGAACTTGGTATTACACCCATCATCTCCTCCGGCATGGTCTTCCAGCTCTTGGCTGGTACTCACATGATTGATGTCAACCTCGACCTCAAGTCCGACCGCGAGCTCTACCAGACTGCCCAGAAGCTTTTCGCCTTCATTCTCTCTGCCGGTACCGCCACTGTCTACGTTTTCACTGGTCTCTACGGTCCCCCCGCCGACCTCGGTGCTGGCATCGTCTTCCTCCTTATTCTCCAGCTCGTCGTCGCTGGCATGATTGTCATTCTTTTGGATGAGTTGCTCCAGAAGGGTTACGGCCTTGGTAGCGGTATCTCTCTCTTCATTGCCACCAACATCTGCGAGTCCATCATGTGGAAGGCTTTCTCTCCCACTACCATCAACACCGGCCGTGGTCCCGAATTCGAAGGTGCTGTCATCGCCCTCTTCCACCTCCTCCTCACCTGGCCCAACAAGTCGCGTGCCCTTCAGGAGGCTTTCTACCGCCAGAACCTTCCCAACATCATGAACCTTCTCGCCACCATCCTTGTCTTCGTCGCCGTCATCTACCTCCAAGGTTTCCGTGTCGAGATCCCCGTCAAGTCCTCGCGCCAGCGTGGTGCCCGTGGTTCATACCCCGTTCGTCTCTTCTATACCTCCAACATGCCCATCATGTTGCAGTCTGCTCTTTCCTCCAACGTCTTCCTCATCAGCCAGATGCTGTACTCTCGCTTCTCTGAGAACCTCCTTGTCCGCCTCTTCGGTGTCTGGGAAGCTAAGGATGGCTCATCCCAGCTTCATGCCATCTCTGGTCTCGTGTACTACATGTCCCCTCCCCTGAACTTCCGTGAGGCCCTTCTCGACCCTATCCACACTGTTGCATACATTGTGTACATGCTTGGTGCCTGCGCTCTGTTCTCCAAGACCTGGATTGAGGTTTCCGGATCCAGCCCCCGCGATGTTGCCAAGCAGCTCAAGGACCAGGGCCTCGTTATGGCTGGCCACAGAGACCAGTCCATGTACAAGGAGCTCAAGCGCATTATCCCTACTGCCGCCGCTTTCGGTGGTGCTTGCATTGGTGCCCTTTCCGTCTTCAGTGACCTTATGGGTGCCCTCGGCTCCGGTACTGGTACGCTTTTGGCTGTCACGTAAGTTGAATTATTCTCACTTTTAACATGCCTCATAACTAACGAACTCCTCTAGTATTATCTACGGATACTTCGAGATTGCTGCCAAGGAAGGTGACCTCTCTGGCATGAAGGGAATGGTCATGGGTTAAACTCTTTGATCTATAAAACCTTTCCAAAACGAAAGATGATTCTCACATCTAAAGAACAACATCTTACTACGAAAAATTCATTGTAACAATAGCATACGAGTGGATGGTGAAATAACAGGCGCAATGGGATCGTTGAACAGAGCCCCTAAAGGCAATCGCCTGGTACGGCTTTGTTGGAACAGAGTGCGGTGTTTAAAGTACGACAGACTGGCCTACCAGCGTTGACGATATTCTCGCCTTGATAAAACAACAAAGGGGTAGTCTAAAACGGTAATTGGCGAAATTTCTGGACGGAATGAGTCAGCTCATAGACAATCCAAATAAGTTCATTCAAATCTGGGGTGCTTCTGGCACTCGTTGTCGATCTTTCTCGTGACGTCAGCTTCAGCCTTGTTAGAGGCTCGCTTCATTCTTTAGCATCGCCCGGATGAGCCATTTTTAGGCCCGAGTATAAATACTGGCATTGATACTTGGGCCTGGAAATTGAATGTGTTAAAATAAACTTTTGCAAGTATCCAAACAATTAGCTGAGAATGACTTCGACTGTTGATGTTGCACGCCTATACGATGGACTCGTTGAGTACGAGGTCCGCCGGCTAGCCGAGCACCCTATGGAGCGGGAGTTAACCTTTTGTTCAATTCAAGATGGTCTTGCTGCGAAATCATCCAATTCGAAGAAACGCATTGCCGATGTTGGAGGCGGTCCCGGCTGCATTGCGTTCAGGCTTGCAGATGCTGGCCATGTTGTTGACTTGCGTGACTTAACCCCAGGGTTGATAGAGGCAGCGAAATCAGAGCAAGCGAAGCGAGTGGAAAAGGGATCGGCGACTCTTGCGAGCCTTGAGATAGGCAACGCACTCGACCAGAGTTCACTCGCATTGAACCCATCGAGCTACGATGCTGTCCTTTTGCTGGGCCCTCTCTATCATATCATGGAGGAGGACGAACGGGTTGTGGCCGTTGATAACGCTCTAAATTTGGCAGCCGACGATGGAGGTCTGGTCTATTGCGCATTTATCAGCGTTGCGGCACATTTGCGCGATGTAGCGGTACGCGACCCGTCTCGCTTGGTTATAGAAAGCGGCTTTTATGCCAGCTATGTAAGCAGCAGGCATTCCGCCTTTAGCATTTACATCAGCTAACAGATGACAGCTCAACACTGGTAAATATGAGAAATACAAGAAAGAAGACGACGTGCATGTTCAGAGCTTCCACACTCACGCGGCCGATGTGCGCGAGTTCTTCAGAAAGCATTTCTCTACTAAAGCAGAGCTCATTGAACTTCGGGCCACGGAGGGCATTCTTGGAGGGGGCTTAGATGCGAAGTTGGAGGCCGCTGGCACAGAGACGGTGAACAAATGGGCAAGGCTGATGTATGAGCAGTTCTCTACCGCAGAGGAGTATCTTGGCTGTGCAGACCATTTACTTGCTGTCATCAAGAAGAAGACAACGAATTGATAGTCAGCTAATACATCTACTAGCCTACTAGCCTGCCAAGAGTATGCCACCAGTTTCAAATACTCACGGCTTATAAGCCACATTACGTTTCTAGAATCGAGTCTGTTATCATGTAACACTCCAAGACAGCAGACAATGGGATATTTTCCGTCTTGGCAACTACTACAGTTGAGCGGTGTCAATGTTTACAGGTGACTTGCTTGTTTAGCCTTTATCCTGTGTTGTAATATATTAGTGGCGCTATGGCAGTAATAAATGCTTTAATATAGGCTACGGTGGGACAAGCATGCACGGTAACTCCGCGTGTTGATGCAACGTGCCAATCCTAGAGAGCATAATTGAACTGCGCCGAACTATGTCATGGAAGATATTATTAGTAACTCCAACCAATTCATCGTCCAAAAGGGCTCATCCAGACCTGTCCGGTACATGTCGGCGCTGGTGGCGGCGCCAATCACCGATATGGGAGTCTGGGGACGAGCTGCCCGCCGTTTGTTATATGATCGGCAGTGAAGAAATAAGCTTAGTGAACCGATGGCACGGGGCGTTTTTATCGGAACATGCGAAGGTGGTGGGAGTATGGGGTGCATGCGTCTGCGTTGGAAGCACACCAACAAGCACGCAGAGCAGACACGTGAACATTTGCCGGTGACGTCTGCTGATATCTCTGCCGTTGCTAAAGAGTCAAGGTAAAAGTGTCAAGTCTAGATTATCGTGGGAAACTCGGCTGTTGCCGCCAAGGAATACGTTGGAGACTCAGCTCTGCCACAGTGTCACATCCGCCCTCCTCCACGAAACGCCTAAATGAAACTTCTTTATCATCAGGCTATCCAATAAACCCAGCCGCACATTTTGCGCCTCTTCCCCCAAACTATGTGCCTTGGTGCTTTTTAAGAGTTTAGTAAGCATGGACGGGCCTTGCCGCTTTCGCTTGATAGATTAGCTGTCTCCGAAGTCCGATATCTAGGCGATAGTCGAGTGGTACAAGCTTCGACTAACAGCCTCGGCTTTATGCCAGCCATTAAATGACTCGTAAATCACTTATAAGCAGCTGAATAATATTGGTTATTCTCTTTTATGCTAATCTCTAACATTGCTTAAGCTGCGTTTCCTGGCGGCGTTGGATACCTAGTTGAGATGCCATCGCCGACTCTGGTAGTGCCATGCGCATGACCATTCGCTAACCGAATCAGACGTTCTGACATGGAACTTTTGGATCGTTCCAATTTTGAGATCGCCGCCACATCAATAATGCCAACCTCGGACATGCCACACTCCTGTTCGCATGATGCTGAACCAAGGTGCAACACAACAAGCTGCACGGCGACACTTACACACGAAGGGTCCTTATCCGAAATATTGATGACGGCAGCTTCCTTTTCAGGCAGGTAAGCCATATTTCTATTGATAATTGTGGCTGCAAGAGCCTAGATGCGTTCTCGCCGATACCGAAGAGCTTGGGAAACGACACCGGTGAAGTATCTAGAGATATGTATATATAGTGCACATTGAGCTCTAGCTTTATCTCAAATCATCAGGCACTCAATTCATTTACAAGATCATTTTAAGACAATCATCTTCATATTCCATTCCATTCCATCACCATGCGTCTGGCTAAGTTCCTTGCTCTACTCCCTCTTGCCGCTGGCGCTCCTAGCCTCGCTAGACGAGAGGAGCCTGCTCCCCTTTTGGAGGCTCGCGGTGCTCAGGCAATTCCTGGAAAATTCATTGTCAAGCTGCGAGAAGGCAGTCCACTTGCTGCTCTACAGCAGGCCATGTCGCTCTTGGGCGGCAAAGCAGACCACGTCTTCCAGAACGTCTTTTCTGGTTTCGCTGCATCCATGAATCCAGCCGTCATTGAGTTGATGCGCAACCATCCTGATGTTTGTAAAACCAACTGCAAAGCAATTTCATATAAATACTAATAATATTTCAGGTCGAGTATATCGAACAGGATGGCAAGGTGAACATCAACGCTTACACCACGCAGACCGGAGCTCCATGGGGACTTGGTCGAATTTCTCACAGGGCAAAGGGTAGCACTTCCTACACCTATGACACTTCAGCTGGCGAGGGAACCTGTGTCTATGTCATCGATACTGGTGTGGAGGACACCCATCCTGTAAGTGCAGCCTGTATCTGGCATACACCTAAACGATACACTGACACGACTTGGTATAGGAATTTGAAGGCCGTGCCAAGCTCATCAAGACCTATTACGGCAACAGGGATGGCCATGGCCATGGCACTCACTGCTCTGGAACCATTGGCTCCAAGACCTATGGCGTTGCCAAAAAGACCAAGATTTACGGTGTCAAGGTGTTGGACGATAATGGATCGGGAACCTTCTCCAACATCATTGCTGGCGTGGACTTTGTTGCCAACGACTACAAGACCCGCGGCTGCCCCAAGGGTGCTGTAGCATCCATGTCTCTTGGTGGTGGTAAGACACAGGCAGTCAACGATGCTGTTGCACGTCTCCAGCGAGCTGGTGTTTTTGTTGCTGTCGCCGCTGGAAACGACAACACCGATGCCGCCAACACGTCTCCAGCCTCGGAGCCATCTGTCTGCACCGTTGGTGCTAGCGACAAGGTGAGTGATGCCTCTATTCGTGACGGAAGAAAGACAACTAAATATGTCTAGGACGATGTGCGATCTACCTTTTCCAACTATGGATCTGTTGTAGACATCTTCGCGCCAGGCACTGCTATCCTGTCTACTTGGATCGGCGGCCGCACTGTAAGTGTTTTGTCCCTTTAGACATGGTGACACAGCTAACACTTGATGCCTCATAGAACACCATCTCCGGTACATCCATGGCCACTCCCCATATTGCTGGTCTGGCTGCCTATCTCATGGGCAAGGACGGAGCTGTTGCCGCTGGTTTGTGTGCCAAGATTGCGCAAACTGCCACTAGAAATGTTCTCCGCAACATCCCCGCAGGCACCATCAATGCCCTTGCATTCAATGGTAACCCTAGCGGGTAATGGATGTTCGGCTACCGCCGCCTTTTACTGCTCTGGCGGAGCAGAGTACATAAGGAAGCATTTGTTTCACGAAACTGGTAGCGATTGGTTGCTCAACCAGCCATCCGCACGCTGAGATAGTAACAGTCTCTAGCCATATGGAGAGACAAGTATTGTTAAGTTAAGCTGCTATCAACTGGAGAGTATATATTGGGCTGTATATATGAAAGGAATTTATACAGTATAGCTTGCATTAAACCATTAAGTTTTGCGTATTGTTTGCTTCATCCTTTCGCTTTTGTACCTTCTTGATAGCATGGCTCGTGAGCTCCTGACGGTCCAGCAGCTTGATGACGTCCTTCTTGCGAGTTTTGCGATCTCCTGCGGTAATCACTAATCCAGCCGTAATGTTGGTGGTGATACTAACGCAAAGAATGGTCGTGGTGATGGCAACAGGTCGATGTTCGTGGGGGATACCCCAGGTGCATGCACCCAGGGATATTTGTAGGCATGAGTGACAGTCGAGAAGAATGATGACGGCAATGAGATAACTCAGAGGGAACGAGTTGTGTGTGAATGTCTCCTCGGGCTTGTAGAAGCTGTGCGACTTGGCAAGCTTATCACGGTGGTGTAGAAACTTCTTTTGCTGTTTAGGAGTTAAAGGATAGAGTTCGGGGTAGTCGATGAGCTCTTCTGATCCATCCTCTTGTCGCTTTCGAGCTTCAGCTTCCGACTCTTGTGGGTTGCTTCCAATGGCGCCAATGTCGGTGGTATCCATTCCTGCCGCTTCTCTCGCTTTCTTCATTTTCCTAGAGTAGTGTACCACAAATATCATGTGGTACGTATCAATCGCGCGAAATGGCGCCAAACCGTCTCCCATGATAGCAAAGAGGGCAACCAGGACGCTGTCAATGACGAAAATTGTGTAGTCTTGCTTACTGCCAACGTAGATCCATCCAATCAAGAACAACACCCAAGCCAAGCCAAACAATGTGATAAGCACCGCGTATAATGTGACAAAGAAACCAAGAGGGCGCCGAACGTATTGCCCAAAACCCTTCATGGTACGCTTGAATTTGGAGCGCCGTGAATGAAGCATATGCCGTACATGGTCGTCAAGTTGTTCCTTTTCTTCATCAGTCCAGCCGTCCAGACTCACTCCATGGGGCAGAGCTGCATAGTGTGAGTCGGTTAGTCGAGATGTGATGGTGTTTGATCTATGAATGCGGGGTTGCGATTCTTCATCATCCACAGGCTCTGTTGGTTCAATATGTTCAACGCTTGGCTGCGCTGCAGACTGTGTCATCGGTCGTTCATGCTGAGTTAAGGTATAAGTAGGTCGTCGATTGATTAAGGGGCCGAGATCAGGGATGAATAGAGAGTTCTGGATATTAGTCAAGGTAGATAGGGTCTGGACTTCGGGATCTGTGGTGGTTTGGGTTAGCTTTCTGAGTTTGTGAGGAGGTGCATTGAATAGACTAACCAACAACGTCCAAGAGGTCAACAAGTTGCTCTTCATATTCAGACTCTTGTGCCTGTGCCGATCCGATGGCGCCGAATCGCTCATCCTCTGAGGCGGTTGCCGGCCAGAATATGCGGCTGAGGGCGCGGCGCCTTCTAGGAGGAGAGCTTGTCGATGCAATATCCATGGAGCTATGCGCCCGTCTACTGTCTGTTTCGGGGACAGAGGGTGTAGGAGAGAGTCGCGAGCCAGAAGCTGCAGCAGCATCAATCTCCTCCATTGTTGGGCGAATACCTTCTTCTGTCAATCGGGGGAGACCCATTTGAGGCGTCCGGCGGTCCGAGTTTGGCAGGTTGCCAGGTTGAGATGTACTGCGCGGCCGGGCATGTCGGAGGTTTGTCAGCGAAGGCGGCTGCTCGTCACCTGCACTATCTTGTAGTGTAGATGTGCTGATTATCGACGCGTTGGAGTTGCGTCGCAAACGGATACTTGGAAGGCGGCTCGATGATGAGTTGCGAAAGCTGGCGCGGTACAAATCGGAAGGGCCCTCTCCTTGAAAGTTGGATGCGGAAATGACGGACGGGCTGTTGGACAGCGTGGGAAATTGGTCGGGACGGATGGCCAATTCGTCGCTGGGAGATATTTGACGCCGGCTAGTTGATGGCGTCAGGCGCGACAGGGCGACATCGTCAGCCGTGCGCGGACGGCCTCTAGTCGGATCCATCTGCTCTTCTCGATGAATAAATGCCGATCAAAAGAGCAGTTGCCGTGCAAAATTCCGTGCAAAGAGCACCAGTAATCGATATCAAATCGCAGCACCGGAGTAGAGGAGATGAATAAGGAGAACAAACTAGTAGCGATGACAGCAGGGAAAAATACTATGGGGCCCGTTAAATTCGTTAGCGTGGTTGCCCGCAGTAGCGCCAGGTGCCGGTGCCACCCAAGACGAGATGTGTTTGCGGGGAGTGGACGCTAGGGTAGCAATCGTCTTTTTAAACCCGACACAGACACACGATAAACGAAAGACGAGCACGTAATATCGAAAAAATTTGCCATATACAGAATATCATTTTCGTTAGTACATCAACTCTATTTACTGAGCCTGAAGCTCCCGATACATCCGGCGTCCAACGCCATCCGTACTCCACCCGACTCGGCTTCGTAGCCTTCATTACGCACACTCCTGCAATGGCCCTCATCGCCCTTCAAAGACATAGCTCAACTCTTCAAAGCCAGATAATTACAGTTTAGCATTGTGCGCTGCTGAGCTTGAAACCACCGGGCATGAGCCTCTGGAAGACTCCTGTTGGGTCATACTTGGTGGCGACCCCTCTTAGGAAAGCCACTGTGTCTGCACCGTAACCACAGAGGGGGTCCTGGCTGGGACCGGCGTAGTTGATGTACACGAATGAGGCGTACGCGTTGTTGCGCTTGGCAATGGCTTTCGCCTTGTTAACAAATCGATTGCGAGCCTGGTCGACCTCGCTATCGAGGCTGACATCGTCCCATCTGGACAGCAGCCAAATGACAATCTCATCCGAGTCGTGGTCCAGTCCGAGCGAGTTTCCTCCGCGGGAAGCAGAATAGGACTCCTGAATCTTGGGCTGAGGAACAAATGATACCATCCAGTCCACCTTATTCTTGTCAGCAAGGCCCAGGTATGTTGCGTCGCTCAAGTCCCAGATTTGTCTGAGCGTGGTGTAGTCGTTCTTAATAGTGACACTTGCTGTGACATATCGGAATCCCTTAGGAACTGCCAGACTGGTCTGATGCGCAATGGTGGCAAGACTGGTGTGACGGGTAGTATCCAGGAACTTGTTGGGGATAGACAGGAACTGGTCGAGGGAAGAGGGCTTGGAGACGTTGGCGACATTGGTTAGCGCCAAGTCAGTTACCTGTGCACCGTTTCTCAAGTAGCTGGTAACGACTTGAAGGCCAGTGTCGAGGTCTTTCTCGTTGTTTGCGATAAAGTCCACTGTCGCATGACTAAGTCTGTCCAGCATGTCGCTGCGGCTAGTTTCCGGGCCTGTGAGGTTCAACAGGACCTCGCCTCCCCACATGACATCAAAGTCGAATGCGGCAATGTCAACATTTGTGACGATACCAAAGTTGGTGTTGCCACCTTTGAGAGCTTTGAAGAGATCGGCATGCGACGACTGGGTTGCGTTGATGGCTGTGCCATCTGCAAGGACGATCTCGTAGCGAAGGATATTGTCTACGACCCAACCCTTGGACGCCTGAAACAGCGACTGACCGCCACCGACTGCCAGACCTCCCACGCCAACATCTTCACAAATGCCTCCAGGAAAAGCAATCTTTTCGGCCTCAAAAGCGTGGTACGCATTTCCCCAAGTGATGCCCGTCTCCAACGTGACGTAAGAGCGGTCAGCCGCTAGCTTGGTAGCGTTGAGACGCTTCAGGTCAATAGATATGCCGCCATCGATGCTATTGGCACCTGGGTTGGCGTTGTGGCCACCAGATTTGACGGCAAATTTGCATTCGCGCTTAGTGAGAATTCTCACCGCACAGGATACATCCTTTGTTGATGCGGGCACGACAACGCAACCAGGGTGCAGAATCGCAGTCTTGGACCAGCGCGATCCTGTCAGCGCATTGTACTGGTCAGAAGACGGTTCGAAATATCCGGACGGAAATTCCTTTTGTAGCTCTTTACACTATAAATGTATTGATTAGCATTTATTACCCAAAGATAGACAAAAGCGGTTGGAACATACACAGGCGTCGTTGGCGCTGGCTGGGGATGCCTCAGCAGTAAGAGAAACCCCAGACCAGAGGAGCGCGAGCAAGTCAGATCTCATTGTAGCGACCTTGTAGCAAACAAGATATTGTAGAAAGAGGCGGGATGTCAAGGGACAAATCTATACAGAGCTGGATAAAACCAACGGCTGAAAGGTGGCTAGGTCAGCCGTTTATATGTACATAAGAGACGGGCCGAGGTCAGAGTGCAACGCTACATGGTTCTTCTTGGCTTCCTTGCCGGGGAGCCTGATATGCAGAGTGGCATCCCTAAGCGCTTTCGTCTAGCATCATGATAGGCGAGACTTAACCGCTGAGCCCGAAGGATGTCACTTTTTCAGGCTACGGTAGGCTGACTCTGCGGTGCTCGGACGTCTGGTGACGAACTCGACCTGGTAATTGGACGCCTTCAACCCGCTCGCCTGAACAGACTAGCCAAAATAGTGCGCGGGTCACCTGCAGCGGTAAGCGAGTCGACGCATAGAGTACAGTACAGCACCAGCCTGATTTGGAACCGCCCCATTTCTCATCACGGCAAAAGACGCTCCTGATGGATGTAGCTGGGGGATCGTCGGGTGCTTCCCTCCCACGATGCCTCGCTTCCAACTGTGTTGGCAGAAGGCCAAGAGGACTGACACCATCATCGGAACATAACTGAAGAAACACCCGTTTCATTCACCACAAGGCAATCGAATCCTCATCGTGGCTTATGGCGGGCAAAAGAGCCCCCACCGGGACGCCACGCTCGTGAGGACGGCCGCGGGCCACTGCAGCCGCCCGCGCCAAAGGCTGACCAAGGCTGTGCGTACGTGGAGCTTTTTCATGCTTAGAGGCATTCCCCTGAAATGCTATTGGCTTTGGGTTCTGTTGGCTCGGGTTTGTGCAGGCAGCCACCGTGGGTGCACCGGGGGAGAAGAGCCTGGCGCCCGTAATCGGGGAACGACCTCTCAGGCTCGGTCTACGTCAGGCCACAATGTAAGGCATCCAATTTGGTTTGTCTAGTCACCAAAGGACCTGTGATATCCGACGAAGCTCCTGAAGATTTTAAATGGTTGCTTAAAAGCGGATCTCACATCAACTCTCGCGAGATCTACCTTATCTGGAAAGCATACCTGCACCGCGCCCCGCCGGCACTCGCGGCGGAATGGTGATCTAAGACATGGCGGTCTTAAAATAACATACGCGCAGTCCCCAGCGCGATTCCTTTTTTTTCGTTCTCGACGTCTTTTCATTATCGTTCTTTGACATTTTTCACTACGTTCTTGTAGAAGAGAGCTACTTTGCACATCATGTTTACTCTCAGCCGCAGCGTGCTAGCGTCGTGCGCTCTTGCGCTATCAGTCCTCGCCAGCGACGAGACCGCCAACATCTCCGTGAAGCCTACCTGCCCAGTCGGCTTCTCCATCACGCTCTTTGAAGACGACTTCTCGCATGGTATCTCTCCTCTCAAATGGACCTACGATCTAGGCACCTCCTACGATGGTGGACCACCTCAGTGGGGAACAGGCGAGATCCAGACCTACACAAAGCATAAATCGAATATCGATACCACACCATACGGAACTCTCAAAATTACACCCCGAGTTAACAATGGATCGTGGACCTCTGCTCGTATTGAAACGACTGCTATTTGGGATTTTAGCTGCCACCGAGGCGAGCGCGTCCGTGCCGAAGCTCGTCTCAAACTTGGAACCAACTCTCCTTCTCAATCGCTGGGTATCTGGCCAGCATTCTGGTCCATTGGCTCTGCACTACGCGGCAACTACCAGAACTGGCCGGCCATTGGCGAGATAGACATTCTTGAATCCATCAATGCTGACCCGAGAACATTCACCACTGTCCACTGTGGTGATGCCCCGGGGGGCCCCTGCAATGAATTTAGTGGCCTTGGCAGTTCCAACACCGCGCTGAAACGCGGCGTTTGGCAGACAATTGCCGTTGAAATTGATAGACGCCATCACTTTTTGTGGCCCGCGAAGAAGAATGAGGAAAGCATCCGCTGGTACGTCAACAATAAGCTCCAGTGGACCCTGAAACAGTCCGAGCTCAACGATACCGATGCTTGGGCAGCTGTCGTTGGAAATCCAAAGATGCTGCTTCTCAATGTGGCAGTGGGAGGCTCGTTCCCAGATGCTATTGCTGGGATGAAGACACCGACAAACGAGACGCTGGGTGGCGACGGTGCTGCCTTGGAGGTCGACTATGTCGGCGTCTATGCTGGCGTCTTGTGAGAAGTTCAAAAGAGAAAATACGGTGATAATTATTTATACACTTCTAGTACAATGTTTTCAATACATAATGGGTTAATATGGGACTTATGGCTTGCTCTGTCCGGGATGCGTTTTATGACACATACCGACCACACCAACTCGTACGAATTGTTACACAATCTCTTCAAATTATTTGTTTATATTAAAAAATTTGGTAGCCTATTCAATTCGCAGATCCTCAGGGCAATCAGGCTGGCGGAACGGGTGAGCCGCCTTAACGGCGGGGTGGTCCTCCAGGCTGGCCGCGATTTTGCAAACAGTGGGAAACTGGGACAAGTCGACCTTGTAACGTTCGGCATTCCAGTATGCAGGCAGCAAGCAAGCATCTGCCATAGTGACAGCGTCACCAACAGAGTACTTGCCAGCTGACTTGCTAGCAACAGCCTCGTATGCGCGAAGGCCGTCGGCCATGAGCTCCTTGTTCCATTCGGCTGGGTCTTGGCCAAAAGCCTTGACACGGCGCATGATGCGCATGTTGGTCACGGGCTGCGTGTCGGCATTGATGATCTGGACAAGGCTTCTGGCAATTGCGCGAGCCTTGGGGTCGGACGGCAGAGTGGCGACCTCGGGGTGGACTTCTTCGAGATACTCGAGAGCAGCAACGGACTGGCCGATGGAGAACCTGTCTGCTGTTGGGCAGACGAGCAGCGGCACAGTTGCCGACGGGTTCAGTGCGCGGTGCGCATCAGAGAGATGTTCGTCCTTGAGCAAGTTGACTGGAACGGTTTCGTATGAGAGGCCCTTGAGGCCCAGGACAATGCGGATGCGGGCGGAGCAGGACGAGCGGAAGTAGCTGTGTAGAGTGTAGTCCGACATGTTGAAATGATGAAAATAGTCTTTTAAGTTGAACGGTCACGTAATCTTAATCGTTGGATTATAATGCTAGTTGTAAGAGCTTCGGTCTGTCGGAGCCAGGTTGCGGAGAGCTTGCCAGGTGCCATGATTAAGCCGAACACAACGCACCCGCACTCATCAACCTTGACGAGCGGCATCATGCCGCCCCGCCCGCAGATAGCCGTCTTGCTAAACAATGAATCCATCCCATGTAGATGCGATCTGGAATATGCGACCAAGATAGTTTTGAGCACCGAAAATTGGTAGTTATCTGCTGTTTTTTTTAGCCCTCCGGTCCTATCCGTCTGACCAGTGCCAGCAATGTCGACGTCATCAACCCCGCAGCCAGCACCAATTAGCTTCCCACCAACAATACATTGAATTTCAGCAACGTCGGGTCTAGATTCACACATGATAACTGTCATCTCTCTTTTCTCAATGCGGCGTCAAGAACAAGTTCAGCTACCGGCAACATTGCCCGCCCTTGAGGGTCCCAGCCGGCCGACGTTCCGTGTCCCCGGCGATATAATGTTTGCAAGCTGAGGACAAGGGGTATAAAGCCCATCACATTCAGCTTTCTGCGTTTTACCCGCCATGATAGCTTGAACGAACTGCCGAACAGCTTCTTTTGAAGCGTGATAGCATTAGGTTGTCTGTGGCTTTGGCCTCCTTTGAAGTTGTGGAAGAGAATTGCTCGGAGAAGGCAGCATGCTCGGTCTACTACATACATCCCAGAGCATGCCTTCCGCACAATCAACAGCTGAGCAATATAAGTGGATGCATAGTCATTCCGTATGATTGGGAGGCTAAATGGACCAAAAGGGGGCGAGCCGCACGAGGGTATGGTAGCCGGAAGCACTTCGTCTTGATCCGCGACCGACCAGCGTCGCCTTGTGACCATAGCGCCATAATGCTCTGTGTCAGTCTGTTCCAAATGACGAGGGAAGCACGTCTTTAGTCGCAAGCCAATAGTTGCTCGCGGCGTCAAGCCAAAAACTTGCATCATACAAGACACCAGCCCACGGTGGTATCGGGCAGAACTCTTGGTGTGGTCAGGCGGCCAATCTTGCTGTTTTTCATCGTACCATGGAAATAAGGCCTTGGCCAGACCTCTTGGCTAGATCCTTCATCCCCTGATTTTTTTATGCCCAGCCTACGGAGATAATTTGGTTGTGCGAGGCAAAAATAACCTTCCGGATCTTGCAGCGGAGCCTCACGCAGCGGGAGTAAGATCAGGTTGCATCGTCGCGACGCTAAAAGCGCTTCTTACGCGCGGACCATATATCGTACATGAGGCAGGGACAATGCGCGTTGCCACGAGAAAGGCAACATCCTTACACTATACGCGCGGGCGGCAGCAGTGTGGTGATGACACACGTCAATTTTGACATACAAACTGTGGGGGTGGCACAATGTGTCGTCTTCCCCATTGAGCCATAGCGTCGTTGACGCCATCTAGATCCATTCTTACTCGTTAGCGCCACGGGCATGGCTCTACTCAGCTTGGCTCGAGGCTTGGGCACCGGCGTCCCAGGGGTCCAGACTGCTGTGCTTCTTTCGTTATCAAAGCACGCCATTATGTGGCTACAATGAACAAGCAGATCCCTGCGGCGGGCTCGGCGACGCTGCAGAGGGCGGATTGTCAGCAAGCTTGGCTGCACTGCGTAAATCGTATAAGGGCGGGCCGTCGCAACTGAATTTAAAGTTTTCTCACAGCATTCGCAAGGCTTGATTAATTATACTTTCTGTTTTATCCCTTTGCTTGTTATTTGGGAAACAGCGTGTGTTTGAAGGCATCAAACTTGCACCACTGTCTTTGGTCAATTATCAGTAGGCCGAGCACGCCGCCGCACTGTACCGCTCGCCATGGCAATCCAAGACAAAATTCGATCCGCTTTGGGTCTTGACGATGACTTGTACGATGAAGATATTCCAGAGCTTACCAATGCCGACCTCTTCATCGAACGCGAACCTACCATTGCCGAATTCTTCCAAGAGCTCACTCCGACGTGGGCTGACGTTTCTGCCTACCTCACCAACTTGCTTCCATTCCTGCAGTGGATTGGAAAGTACAATGTTACATGGCTCATCGGTGACTTGATTGCCGGTACGTCATTAGCTATTCATTACTTGACTGTTGCTTTCCGCTAACATCACCTTCAAGGTATCACTGTCGGCGCTGTTGTGGTTCCTCAAAGTATGGCTTATGCCCAGCTTGCCCAGCTCCCTGTCGAGTACGGTCTCTACTCATCATTTATGGGAGTTCTTCTGTACTGGTTCTTTGCTACATCCAAGGACATTACCATCGGAGTATGTTTTACCCACGTCCGAGTCTCGTCAAAACAAGTTGCTAACAGTTTCATCACAGCCTGTGGCCGTCATGTCCCAAGTCACAGGCAACGTTGTCCTCCATGCTAAGGATGTCCTACCCGAGGTTCCGGGCCACATTATTGCGTCTGCCCTTGCCATCATATCCGGCGCCATCATCCTTTTCCTCGGTCTCGTGCGCCTTGGATGGGTTGTTGAGTTCATCCCACTTCCTGCCATCTGCGCCTTCATGACCGGATCTGCTGTCAACATTTTGGCCGGCCAAGTTCCCAAGCTCATGGGTATCAGCGGCGTCAACACAAGAGATGCCCCATACCAAGTCATCATCCAAAGCTTGAAGAACCTACCGACTACTCAGATTGATGCTGCCCTCGGATTGACGGCCCTGTTCATGCTATACCTGATTCGAGGTGTCTGCAGTCACATGGCCAAGCGTTCTCCCCAGCGCGCAAAGCTATACTTCTTCTTGTCAACACTGCGAACTGCCTTTGTCATTCTCCTCTACACAGCGATCAGTGCTGCTGTTAATGTGAGTCGCAAAAAGAAGCCAATGTTCAGCATCATCAAGGATGTGCCTCGTGGATTCCAGCATGCCTCCGTCCCAAGAGTTGACAGCGAGATTATCGGTGCCTTCGCATCTGAGCTCCCTGCTGCCATCATTGTCATGCTCATTGAACACATTTCCATCTCGAAGTCTTTTGGCCGCATCAACAATTACGTTATTGATCCGTCGCAAGAACTTGTCGCCATTGGCGTCAGCAACCTCCTCGGCCCATTTCTCGGTGCTTATCCCGCCACCGGCTCCTTCTCTCGTACTGCCATCAAAGCAAAGGCTGGCGTCCGCACTCCGTTTGCCGGTGTTATCACTGCCGTTGTCGTTTTACTCGCCCTGTACGCATTGACTGCAGTCTTCTACTACATCCCCAATGCTGCTCTGGCCGCCGTCATTATCCATGCTGTTGGTGATGTCATCACGCCCCCAAAGGTTATTGTCCAATTTTGGCGCGTATCACCTTTCGAAGTCGTCATCTTCCTAGCAGGTGTACTGGTCACAGTCTTCACTACCATTGAGAACGGTATTTACACCACTATCTGTGTATCGTTTGCTATTGTCGTCTGGCGTCTCTTCCTAAGCCAAGGCCGCTTGCTCGGCGTTGCTCGCATCCGAACTGTCCGGGCACATGCAAACGGATCTGTTACTGCTCTCAGCTCATCGGAGGATGTGTCGGTTGAGGAAGCCTCGGTTCGAACTGGTTTCCTTCCTCTCGATCATGCCGATGGCAGCAACCCAAGAGTCAATGTTCGCAGCCCTTATCCCGGAGTCTACATTTACCGTTTTGCGGAGGGATTCAACTACCCCAACGCCGGTAGATATCTCAACCATCTCACTGAGACTATTTTCCGAGAAACTCGTCGTACTGACAGATCTACACTTGGAAAAATTGGCGATCGCGCATGGAATGACCCTGAGCCGAAGAACGCCGATGTTGATGCAGTTGACGACCGTCCCACATTAAAGGCAATCATCCTAGACTTTTCTACTGTGAACAACATTGATGTGACAGCTGCACAGGCTCTGATTGACGTTCGCAACCAGCTTGATCGATACGCAGCGCCAAACACAGTTGATTGGCACTTTGCGCATGTCGAGAACAGATGGACGAAGCGCGCACTTGCCGCAGCAGGGTTTGGATACAGAAGCCCTCGTCCGGGACCCGGTGGCCCCGGTCATTGGAAGACCATTTTCAGCATTGCCGACTTGGGAGGTTCTGACAGTGCCGCCACAGCCGCCGCCCTGGAAGAAAAGGCAGAGAGAACTTTGTCCATGCGGTTCGACACTGAAAGGAAACTGTCTCCAGACTCAGATGGCTCTGATAAGGATGTGCCTCGCAACCCTCAGAGTGCACGATTAGTTGCTATCCAAGGTCTCAACAGACCTTACTTCCACTTCGACCTGCAAGAAGCGGTTGAAGCAGCAGTTGAGAGTGCCGAACGCCGGGAGCCATAAGCTCAGTCTCGAACGTGGTGGTAGTTGGTGAAAAGAAATTTGGAAATTTTATCTACTGCATTATCTCATATATAATATACCCCCAGAATGCCATCTTAAATTAGCGAATTTCGTGACATTAGTTTTCCGGCTTACACACAAATAAGTAGTGCTTTCTTGTAATACTTCCCTTCGACCTGATGGGACATCTGACTGAGGCTGCGTGTATAACAACGGGTGATACAATGTTCGTGACTTGAACATCAGATTTCAACATTAACAGAATATAAACATTTACACGCCAAAATAATTACTGTAGAAACGGATATTCAAGCTTTCTGTTATGAAGGAATCTGTGACGCTGCGCGACTGCCACCCCACTCACATGCCCCGCGATTTGCCAATCTACACCGACATGCGAGAAAAAAATCCCAGATGTCCAGCCTCCAGTAGCGTTTTTCTTGAGGCGGACACAGTATTTTCATCACGATATTCGAAACGTAGTTATGCAAAGCGACGGTCAGCAAGATGCCATTGCCAGCGGCAGGCGAATTTATCTCGGTAAGGCTGCAATCCTATACGCACTCCAGCTACCGCGTACGAGTGGACGCGATACGCACTAGCCAAATCGAAGAAAAACATAGCTTTTATAACAGCCACTAACACTGCGATCATTGAACAGGCAACTTGCTTTACTCGGTCAAGCCCAATGATGTTGAGGAGTTGTTAGCAAACAACGGATTTGGAAACTTCGACAAAGTACACATCTCGATCGATCCTGCCTCTTCCCGCAACCCTGGATACTGCTTCGTGGACTTCTTGGACAAGGAGACGGCCGATCGTGCCCTTGAGACACTCGACGCAAACATTGGCGGTCGTCCCTTGAAGGTTGGTCCCTGCGAGCCGAAGAAGCCACGGGCCATCCGCTGGGGACGCGACGAAAACTCTACATCGTCTCCTTCCTTCCAGCGCTGGGGCGACTGGAACTCCAACAAAGATGCCAATGAGCCCACTGGCACCGATGGGCCCAGAGCTGCTTTGAAGCATTTCGACGAAATCTCCCAGAGCGACGGTCGACGATTATATGTTGGAGGTCTTCCGAAGATGATTGACCAGGAGCAAAACCAGGCAGAGCTCCAGCAAATCTTCGAGGGCTTTAACCCGTAAGTAATTGCTGCGTTCTACAAACCATATATGGCATTTATTAACCTACTGAATTACAGTGCTGTCATCAGCAAGCGCATCACTCCTCACGAGAGCACCAGATCAAAGCCTGGCAACCACCACTACTGCTTCGTTGACTTCAACACCAAGGAGGAAGCTGAGGAAGCCAGATTGAAGCTTCACGGTATCGAATACAACGGGGATCTCCTCAAGGTCCGAACCGCCGGCCCTCCTCCCGATAAGACTCGTAGCAACAGACCTGATAACCGATATGAGCGCCGTGGCCACGATGGCGAATCTCCCCGCCAAAACCGCAACAGCGAGAGGACATCAGAGCCCAGCCGAGGATTCGCCTCGCGAGACTGGCGTAGAAAAGATGAATAAAAAGCACTCTGACCCATTTCTGGTTAGAGCGCAGGCGAGCGTTGCAGTACCTGGCTGCATTCACAATCCACAATCACCACTTAATTGGATAACTCCAAGTGCATAAATATACAAAATTATAACAGGCAGCGTCCATGGCACGGCTGCGCGGCTCTGGTTTCATCTTAAGTGCAAGGTCACACATATGCGTCTTTTTTAAGTGGTCGCTTGCATGTGGCGACGGCAGTTGCATCGAGATCTAATGAAGAGCGAGATGCAGGCTGGAGGGCAGCCTCTGAAACTGCGCAGCGTATAACTTTCCGCCTACGCGTATAACTTTCCACCTACGCGTATAAACGGCCCCATCCGATATTAAAGTGTTCGGTCACACATATGCCGCATTGTTTCCATGGCTCATTTACGAACTTGGCTATCTGTATCCAGTAGCTACATTGTTGATTAGAACAACTGACAGCGTTGCATAAATAGCTGACCAATTCTCATGATCTTTCGCTCTCTCGAGTTCAGGCCACATGTTTAAACTTTTTTTGGCGGTTTCATGTCTCGCGGCATTCTTGTCCACATGGGTCGCCTTTGCGTCAGCGCTAACAGACGATCATATGAAAGACCAATAACCCCAGTCAATGCAGGCACGGGGTGGGCGGTCGCAAAGGGACCAGTATAAGCAGATTATCCCCATGTTTAGCCAGAAAAAAAATGATTCCTTTCCTCAGTACCATTTTTCGACACGATGAAAGGCAACGTTGGATGGATCACTTTTACTAGCCTATTGGTAACTAACACCGTTGTCAATCGTTTCGCATACCGCTGACGCTAAGCTCTTTAAGTCGCAACTTAGCCAGGCGGCGCCGGCACAGGCCCAGGCACAGACTACCGATGGAATATCAAGCTGTGGCTCTGCTTGGATGCCCCGAGACGATGTCACCATTGCTCAAGGCACGGATTCTCGTACTGGCTTCCACACTGCCGTTCAGAAGTTCTGTGCTGCCTCCAACGGCAAAGTTGTCCCGGCAGGTGGCTATCTTTCTATAGTGACCGAGGTCTTCCTGAATGGAGGCAAGGATCCAAAGAACTACGGTGTCCTCGGATTCGTTTACTGTCTGTCTATTTGGTCATCGATAAATATTGCGAGCGAGCACTGACACCCATGGCAGTTGAAATTCACAATAAGCTCAAGACGGACCACAAAGTCTCAAGTAGGTCAGCCGTTGCTGGTAACAAACCCACAACAAAAAGCTAATTCGGTTCCATCTAGGCCAGGACTGCGCAAACTATCTCCTTGCTCTCAGTGCCGATGGCGGCAAGTGTTCCGGAGAAAACAACCACGATACTAAGGGCGGAACGTGGCAGGTTGGCAACAACGGCGTCTCGTACCATGCACTTGGAAACGAAGCGCCACCCAAGCAGGATGCTCTCAACAAGCTCTACATCAACGGCGCGGTCGATGCGCAGAGCCCCAACACAGGATCTGGCCCTCCTCTCAACCCCTGGCCATTCGACTCTCTGGATCAGGTAAAGCCTGTCGCATGCCACAGCCACAACGACTACACGCGCAACATCCCTGTCTTCTCTGCCTTCAGCGCTGGATGTGCTGCCATTGAGGCAGATGTCTTCTATTCTGACGGCGATGTTATCATCGGCCACGTACTTCCCAAGGCCGGGCGCACTCTGCGCGTTCAATACGTCGATCCGCTACGCGCCATCTTGGACCACAACAATGGAGGCAAGCCCGGCAACAATGGCATTTACAAGTCGGAGCCATCCCGAGCAGTTACGCTCTTGGTTGACTTTAAAACCAAGGATGCTAAAACCTTGGATGCGGTGGTGAAGGCTCTCCAACCCCTGCGCGATGGTAACTACTTGAGTCATGTCGCAGACGGCAAGTTTGTAGAGCGTCAGGTCACCGTGGTCGCCAGCGGTGAGTCCGACTTTGATCGCATCAACAAGGGCGACGGCGTTCCCAACCGCGATGTGTTTTATGATGCCAAGGTTGATCACTGGGACGCAAAATATAACAGCCTTAACTCGCAGTATGCGTCCGCCAACTTTAAGGATGCAGTGGGTAACCCGGGAAGTGCGGGTGCCTTCTCCGAGGACCAAAAGAACAAAGTACGCGAGCACGTGAAGAATGCACACGGCGCGGGCCTCAAGGTCCGATACTGTAAGTTTTTTTTTGGATAAAAGTGACAGAACTTTGGACCATGCTGATATATTCGCGCAGACGATCTTCCAGGTGATTACATGTGGGAGCCGTTGGCGGCGCTCGGTGTTGATCGCCTCAACGCTGATGACATGTATGATACCGCCCGGTTGGTTCGTATTTGAGGCCTGGAAGCAAACAAAAATGCTAGGTCACAGACCGGCGGTGGCCGAATACGGTTAGTACATACTAGTAGAGACCCCATTTAGTTAAGTGTCTATGCGTAAATATTGAGCAAACAAATCATAAGAACAGGCTTGTTGGTTGATGCACTTTTTCGCATTGACAAATTTAAATGCACTCGTGTTGGTCCAACAGGAAAAATAGACCATGGCTTGTCAGCCAGTGGCGTTTTTCCACCCCCACACGACCGGCCACTACCTAATTCAATTAATGAGTCGCCGTTGGTGGAGTCGGCGACCTACAAAAGATCCTCTTAGCAAACAAGAAAAAAATATTGGTGGCAAGGAGCGAGTAAGCAACCGTGGGCGCGGGGGACTTTGGTTGGTGATTGTCGGGTAAAGCAAAAGCCAAGTTGCGCCGCACCGCAGCAGAAAGCAGTAGCGGCACTTGCAACAGCGCTGAGCTGGCGCTGGATGCATCCCTACAAAGTCGGGTTTGGCCCCCTATAAGCATTTTGCCGAGACAGCCTCTTGTGTTCAGCTTCTGCTGCAAAGGGACTTGTGGCCGCCCCTAGCGAGCAGCGCATGATCAAAAAAGGCCCAACACTAACTCCAAACAGGGCAGGCCAAACACGCTCCCCCTGGTTACCTAGTGGCCATCACACGAGGCTGTGGACGGGCTGGACCAGGCGCTGACCACCCATGGCCGGGGCTTTTAGCCATTTTCGCAGTGGCCGTCTCCACCCTGGCGGCGTGTTTCAGCGCTCCTATTCGGGCTGCCAGCGTAGCACTGGGGGAAGCCACTGGGGTCACCGCTGGCGCTTGCAGGCCATGCGCTGTTCTCACTGGGTACCGCACCTAACCGCTCCACTAAAACAGATGAGCGATATGGTAATCTTGGTTGGGCGCCGCAGGGTCCGTGAGCAAGATCGTAGGCCGGGCGGCGTTGTGCCACTTTTTGCTGGCCCTCGAGGCCCGCACTCCTATTTCGTCCCCAGCTTTAGCCTCTCCGCAGTATTTCTTCTTTCTTATTCTTCATTGTCTTTCTACTGCATACGAGGCGTTGAAGGCATCCGCATGGTTTCCCATTGATTACAATACAAGGGCCAACGCGGAGGCTGCACGCAATCATGGATATCCTACGCCGCACCTTCGATGGCACGCTTGCGCAGGACTTGGCCTTTGGGCCAGAGTTTGGCAACTTCTTCGACTTCTCTCTTACCTTTGAGAGCACGATCCTTACAATCGCCCCCGTGGCCGTTTGGCTTGCCATTTTCCCGTTCCATTTATGGCATTACAAGAAGAGGCCCGTCGTGGCCACTGCCGGACTACACTTCTGGGCTTTAACAGTACGAATCTTGCCCGCTACACCAGACCGCATGATGTAATATATCGTGCTTGCTGACACTTTTTCAACCTTCTAGATCGTTGCCGTTACACATGCATGCATGGAGATCGCTAAGGCCGCTGTTTGGGGCATAGCTCCCAATGGTGCAGAAGCTACTTTCGCAGCCTCGTCTGCTCTCTCTGCACTCGCCGCTGTCGCCCTCGTCGCCATGACCATCTCGGAATATCGACACTCGCTTAATTCCTCGTCGTTGAATGCTGCTATGCTCTCAATACTCTGTTTTGTCGACATTATCAAGTCACGGTCCTTTTTTATGCGTAATGGCCTGGCTACGGTCGGTGCACTCTCCGCAGCCACCGCTGCCCTCAAAGCGGTCCTGGTCATTCTGCAGGAAGTCCCGAAACCACGAATTGCAGAATTGGCCGACAAGGGTTCCTCCGCCGAGGCGTCAAGCGGCGTGTGGAATCAGGCCTTGTGCCTTTGGGTTAATAAGATTTTCCTGCTTGGAGCTCGCAGGGCACTGACAATGAAAGACCTAGAGTACCTGGGCCCAGACTTTTCTTCTGCTAGACTGGATGCAGCGTTTAGGAGTATCTGGGAAACAGAAGATAAATCCTCCAAATGGGCACTGGCCAAAACTACTGGAAAGTCTTTACGGTGGCTTATACTGGCTAGTATCCTTTCACGCATGGTAAACAGCTGTTGCGAATGGGCAATGATCTTCAGTATCAGAGTCACAGTTGCCTCTCTCGGCCAACCAGTTCCAGACTGGACGCCCAAAGCACTGATTATCGGCAATATCGCAGCCTATGCTCTCAAAATAGTGAGTATATCCATGAATTCGGTCACAAATAACATCAGGAACATTAACAATCCATTTAGACGGTGCTTTCTATGCACACCTTCTTCATCAACAAAGCTTGCAGTCTCGCCCGCGGTCTTCTCACCACGCAAATCATCAGAAAAAACTTTACGCTAAAGAAGACAATCGCGAAAGAATCAAAAGCCATCACATTGATGAGTACTGATGTGGAGCAAATTTGCGACTTGTTGCTGGTGTTCCCCCAATTCTTTGTCGCCATTCCGGAACTTGGCTTTGGTCTCTACTTCATGTACACACTCATCGAGGCGGCATTCGTCCTGCCCCTTGTCACTGCAATAGGTACCTTCTTCCACTCTAGATGTTATCATTGACATGCTAACTATGTATGCAGGCGGTTGCTGTATTGCCATCCTCATGAACGCCCCCATGATGAATGCTCAGAGATATTGGAACGAGTCTATTCAAGACAGAGTTGCCAAAATGAGCACCATCTTGCTTCAAATCAAAGGCATTAAAATGATTGGTCTTGAGACTACCATCTCCAAGTTCATGCAAAAGATTCGTATCAATGAGACTAAAAGATCACTGAGAATGCGATGGCTTAGAGTCTTTGCCCAAGCCAATGGTGAGCTATCTTGATCATGAAACCTCACGACATACATCTGCTAACTGAGTCTAGGCGGAGTCCAGCTGACTATCACTCCAGTCATCGGCATTATTGGTGGACTTTATTGGACCGTCTGGAAAAATGGTGTTGATGCCGCTTCTCTGTTCACCTATCTCTCATTGCTCAGCATGTGTATCGACCCCCTCAACGTGATTATCCTAGAGCTTCCTGGTTTGGGAGGTGCTTTGGCAAACTTCACTCGCATCCAAGAATTTTTGCTCGAGGAGGAGCAACGAGACCCTCGACAAGTTCGCATCAACATCGATCAGGAAGAATCCCTCAGCGACAAACCGCAAACAGAAGCCGACAGTTCTGGTTCTGACCCCGAGAAGTCCCCACTGTTGGAGTCCACAACGCAGGTTGCATTTCGCAATGTTTCAATCCCATCCTTGGCTACTGAAAATAGTTCAAATGTGTTGAACTCGATGAATTTGACCATCCAGACATCCTCTTTGAACATCGTCATTGGACCCGTGGGCTCGGGCAAATCGGTACTGCTCGCTACAATAATTGGCGAAACGTCTCCATCTGAGGGTTCGATTTACATCACAACTAATAATATGGCATTCTGTCACCAAGTTGCGTGGATTCCGAGCTCCACCATACGGCAAGCAATCATTGGCGAGAATGATTTCGACGCGGAATGGTACCAAGCTGTAGTCAAAGCATGTGCCTTGGATTATGATATCGCCAAGATTACCGATCAAGCGATGACTGGTAATGATAGCGGCGGTTTGCTCAGCGGTGGTCAAAAGCAGAGAGTTGCACTGGCTCGTGCTGTATATTCAAAAGCACCGATACTGGTTCTTGATGACATACTGAGTGCCCTTGACCAGCGCACTGCGCGAGCAGTTTTCACCCGGCTTTTTGCGCCAGATGGCCTTCTAAAACAACAGCGCAGAACTGTCATTCTTGCGACTCATTCCGTCGAATGGCTGGATGAGGCTGATCAAGTCATTTCTGTACAGTCCTCGGGTGATGTCTTGACTTACGAAAGCAAGGAAGACATCGCGGTCGCCAAAGCAGCAGTAATGGCCGCCCAGGGCGAGCACCAGTCCGTGGATGCTGAAGAAGAGGATATCACTATGAAACTTGAAGATGATACCGCAGCAAAAGAGGATGAAATTAGCGGAATGTTAACATCGGACGGCAAGCTCTACCGTCTTCTGTTCGGGGCGGTCCCTGTGTGGCTGCTGCTTGCTCTCCTGGCCAACATTATCGCCACTCCCATCGCTGAGTCCACCCCGCAGCTCATTGCACGAATCTGGCTGAGCATAAATCCCATGGCAAATTACTTTGTCTTCATCATGTTAGCTATTGCACTCATATACCCATTCATGAATGGGTTCCTCATCTGGCTTTGGTCGATCGTCACGATACCAAAGATCGCAAACAACCTTCATGAGTTGTTTCTCAGCTCGGTCATGGCCGCAACCCTCCCATTTCTCACAAAGTCGCAGAGCGGTGCATTGCTTAACCGATTCAGTCAAGACATGACGCTCTTCTCGTACAAGATGCCTCATTCTGTCTTTGGATTTGCCATGTATCTGGGATACGCGGTTGTTCAAGGTGTATACCTCGTTGCGGGATCGGCTTATACTGCCATAACCATCCCCTTCCTCGTCCTCGCAGTGTACATTCTGCAAAAGTTCTATCTTCTTACTTCTAAGCAGATGCGAATTTTGGATCTCGAGGCAAAGACACCCCTCTTCTCCAAAATAACTGAAGTTGCCTTAGGTGTGGATCATATCCGCGCCTATGGCTGGCAGGAGCAGACAATGACAAGAATGTACCACGCGTTGGACCAGTCGCAAAAGTCGTTTTATTACATGTACACCGTTCAAAGATGGCTTTTGGTGGCTATTAGCCTGATATCTTTGGTGGTGACTGTGATAATGCTGGCAGTTGCGCTCTTCGTGACCAACAGCAGTTCTCAGGCTGGCTTGGGCTTGTCCATGATGTCCGTCATCAACTTCCAAAATGCTCTAAACAAGACGCTCATACAATGGACTGCGCTTGAGACGTCTCTTGGTGCAGTAGCCCGTCTAAAGAACTTCTTGCGAGACACACCCGTCGAAAAGGATGATGAGCATGCCACTGAGCAACCGCCTTCTTGGCCAAGCAAGGGTGAAATCGAATTCAAGAACGTCTCTGCTGCTTACAACCCAGACCCTGATGCCCGCCTCGTCATTACGGACCTATCAGTTAAGCTTGAGGCTGGTAAATCGACAGCCATTGTCGGTCGCACTGGCAGTGGCAAGAGCAGTGTAGTCCTGACCCTGTTGAACTTTTTACACCACACTGGCTCCGTGACTATCGACGGTGTGGACATTTCTCAAGTACCCCTCGCTCAGCTTCGCCACGTTATCACAACAATACCTCAGGATCACGTCGACATCCCAGGTAGCGTTCGCGACAATGTTTTGCCGCTTGAGATCATGGACGAGCAAGGCGTAAGAAACGAGGGTGATGCGGAGTTGACTGAAGTATTGCAAACAGTAGGACTCTGGGACTACATATCGAGCCATGGAGGCTTGGACGAGCCTATTGACAAAATGGAACTTTCGGCTGGACAACGACAGCTCCTCAGCATGGCGCGGGCGATGTTGCATCACCGCAAGACTGGAAGTAAAATTGTTATCATGGATGAGGCGACCAGCAACATGGACTATCAGACCGATACCAAGATTCACGATATCATGGAGACTACATTTGCCGGCAGTACACGACTCGTGGTGACGCATCGCAACACAGTGCTTAGCCACTGTCACGCGTTGGTAAAGATGGAAGATGGAAGGATGGTTTCTTCTAAAACAAACAGCATAGCGGGTAGCGAGAAGGAAGAGAAGCAGGAATAACGGCACATACAGTATATGCATACGATACCTATTTCATTTCATAATACAATTTGTTCTACTATTTTTTTAATAATACCCGCCCGGCCGTTGTAAAGGAATAATCCGCGAGCAACCCCTTCCAGTCAATGCTAGACCACAAGCGAGAAGAGATCTGGGGAGGCAAGACAGAGCGAAACACGGCACTTCGAGAAATGGTGTAGCAAGACATTGCACAGCGAGACACGGCATCCTAATCTTGAGTTCAACTATACCGTATCCGACTTTCTCTAGCAATATTCCACTATAATAGAGTAGGCCGGATAAGGCAATTGCATTGCTCCTGGCCCGGTATTGCCTATAAAACAAGGTGGACATAGCCGGTTAATTCAGTATCTCGCTATTACCTAGCAGCTGCAAGAATCAGTGGCACGCATTCCAATCCAGTATGGCGTCGATCACCAGGATGCATGTCTCGTCAGCACTTTAGAAACGAAACATGAACATGGTCCAGGCTACGAGCCATATATTCTGTCAGTGAGCTCACCTGAATCCAAATCGCCAGCACCTACTGACATCACGAACTCTACAAAAATGAAAACTTCTGTTTTTTCTATCCGATTTTTTGCTTACAATCCCTATCGAATGCACAGCCTGGTCATTCGAGGGTGTGAACGACTACGTGTATAAAGGGACAGGGGTTCAAGCTTGCAAAGCGTTTCCATCACGCGAACGAATTCCACGCCATAATTAGGTTGAGAGAAAAGTTGAGGAGGGCCTACTATTTGCCTCTATCTGGATGAAAATTGCGAAGATTTTGTACATCTAATGGACCACGAATTGGCCAGTTTTAGCGCACCTGAGCCGTTAGATTCCTACCAGGTTCTCAAAGGCTTTGTAAGTTCAAAAGATGTTTCATTATTGACGCAATATGGTGATTAATTTGCTTTTTAGTTCATCGCTTGTCCCTCACACCCAAGATAGTTGTGCTCAGTCACTGGTTATCTCGCCCGGTTGCTTCTAGCCATGAGAGCTCGCTGTCTGTATACGTATGTATATCTTGGATCGCCTGCATTAATTATTTAGTGTAGAGGGTAAGAGATATGCGTAACACCATGGATGGATGTAGATGGACGAGAAAATTCAAAATGATACTTGAGGTTGAACATAGTACCGGGTCGATCGAAACAGTGTTTGCTCTCTCCACATGGAATGAAATGTTCCGATCTCTTTGCTAAGCGACTCGATATAGTTCCTTACAAGTCTAGTTTATTACATTTGGTTCATAACTCCATGCTTTAGAAGACGCTTAATTACAGAGTGCTGCGCGAGACACAAGTAGCGTCACTATACCCTGTAAGCACTGGGCAAACATCGATTGTTGTGGATTTGCTCGTTACTGTATATATAGTTGTGATTGATATAAACAGTAGTGGTCAGTATATCGCTATTTAGTTCATAACGTTGGCTTGTACTTTTGGGTCGATTATTTGGGTAGGTTGGTTTTGCTAACAGCCTTTGCTGCCCAATAAAATGTACGTACCAGTTGCACCACAGCAGGCACTCATTTTCTGGGGTACCTTGTGCAAAAGTTTATGCCTCAGGCACAATTTCAAAAATGCCCCAGAGCCAACCAAAAACGCGCCAGGCCAACTCGTGCAGCGCACCTTCCGCCCCTCTGGCCACTAGGACGGGCCGCTGTGCGCTACGCTTTGTGGGTCACGCTCTTTGGTGCAAAGACTCTCTCCTCCCTTCCGTCCAAGCACGGCGAAAAAAGTCATACACATTTTTTTCCATCGCGCAAGCCGGAGCTCTATAGGGACCAAATCGCCTTGGATCACCCTATCTACCGTCGCACTCCGGCGTTTAATTTATCAACCAGAGACTTTGATGGAATATGCACCTGCGTCAATAATTGTTTTGACTTTCTAGTCTTGCGCAGACCCCGGACGGCATCGGACGCGACGAAGCTCATCACGCGAGACGCCATCCTCAAGTCGACCATATTCTTCAACCAGACCAGATTTTATCATCACTATTTAAATCATGGTCACGTTTTCTCTTCCCGGCGATGCTGATTCGTCCTCAGCTGCGACAGCCACCCCTCGAGCTCGCGCTCCATTGCCGTTCGCCAACCGCGCGTATGCTGCCTCCCCTTACGGAGCGAGGCCATCGAGACACGCTGGCACACCGACGGCATCATCATCGCGCAAGACATTGACGACACGCGATGATGTACCGGCCAGTAGCATCAATAAATCATCAATGTCTGCTGCCCGCAATATTTTCCGGGCCTCTACCTTACCCGACAGCCCACCATCCAACAACATGCCGTTTTCGCCGGCTCTCCCACAAAGCACTATGAAGCGAGTCTTCGCGCCGGGAGCGACTCCAGAACCGTCACGCGTTTTTCGAGCCTCTACTGCACAGGCGACACCCCGCGGCATGGCTGCCAAGTCGATAGAAAAGGACCTGTTCCCAATGAGAATCGCATCACCGCCGCGCGAGCTCACTGGAGAGCTGCTGGCTCAGAAGGTGCCAAAGGAATGGAACTCGAAAGGCTCGATATATGCAGACCAGTTCTTATCCCATCTCTGCCCGCCTGAACTCGATGAGGAACAGCGCCGACAATTCTTCTGCATTCTTGATCTCCGCAGGTTGAAATATGCCGCCAACGAAATCTTTGCAAAGAAAGACTGGAAACTTAATGTCATCAACTTTGCTAAGGAATTCGAGAAGAGCCGAAGCATCATTTTACTTCGGTATGGTCTTTACGAATTCCAGAATGTTAAGCCCTCTAAAGAGGTACTGAAGCGTTGGCGTCGCGAACATGGCCTTCCTGAACCGGAGGAAGAGTCTGAGACACCAACACCCACAAAGCCAACTGCTTCAAAGAAGCGAAAGGCAGATGGCGAGCTGCCGAAGGAAGCTGAATCTGGAGAAGCTTCTGCCGTTGCAAAGCGCCGCGTCACTGAAAAGCCCACCGAGCCCGCCCCAAGCCTGGCTCCGTCTTCTAATGCGGTTTTGGGCAAGCACAAGAGAGGCCCATCGATGGATGATGGTGATGAGCCCACTGGAAAGTCTTCACGACCTGCTCCATCGGCTGCGAAATCTCTTTTTGAAAAGATTGCCAATAAGACCTCCGAACAGACCAAGGCGTCTGATTCCGAGACCGCCAAACCTGTTCTATTCAACGCAAACAAGCCCACAAGCTCGGGTGGTCTTGTGCGCTCCGTTTTTGATAACCTGAAGTCAGGAGCTTCTAATACCCCAACACCTAGCACCGAAAATATCTTTGGCTATCTTTCAGACACAAACTCTGCGCGTAATAGTGGCGTTGAGGCGGATGCTGAAAGTGACTCTGAGTCTGAGGAAGTAGAGAGCCCTGTTCCTGCAGACACCGCCGCGACACAAGCTCCCTCAGTTGCCAAGCCCGTATCGTCTCTATTCGCCCCCAAACCGGCCGCACCTATTGGTGACGATGATTTGTCAACTGCTCCTGGTACACGCGAAAGCACTCCTGGTCGCAGCCTTTTTGAAAGAGTTACCAAGGGAACCGATGGACAGCCAGTACGCGCATCCAGTGACGTCGAGGGTCCAGCAGAGAAGGCTGGAACTGATCGAACATGGAATCCTACTACAACACCATTAAAGTTCGCTCCTACCGCCCCCGCAGCTTCTACATCTTTGTTTAAGCAACCGGCAGCGACTGCAGCAAAATCTACACCTGCTTCTAGCTTGTTTGGCGCTGCTACCACCACAACAGACGAGTCGGCAACACCATCAGCCACCAACGATTCTGGTAAAGATGGGGATGAATCGGATAAGGAGAACGAATCTCAGCCTGCTAGCAAGAGCCTCTTTGGTGCAAAGCCGTCTGCTCCTACATCTGCGGCCCAGCAACCTCTAGGCTCTCTGTTTCAAAGCAAACCTGCTGAAAAGGAAACACAGCCGGCCGCTACTCCCAGCCTATTTGGAGGAGCCACACCAACCACAACGTCCAACATCTTTGGCAATGGCAATGCTGCAACATCAACACCAGCCACCAGTGCCACGTCTCTCTTTGGGAATGCCGGTTCATCAACAGCAGCAGCAACTAAACCAACATCTTTGTTTGGAAATGCTGCACCAAAAGCTGACCAGCCTACACAGGCTGCTCCAACATTCTCGTTTGGTCAAGCCTCGACTGCCACGCCATCTGCACCAGCAACCACCTCAAGCACCCCAGCTTTTACGGGGCTGTTTGGCAATTCCTCCGCTACATCAAAACCCGCGCCTGAAACAACCACACCGGCTGTTAGCGATGCGCCTGCTCCCTCTCCGGCGCCGACCTTCAGTTTTGGTGCAAACACCACTACTTCAGCCAGCATTACCGCACAGAAGCCCCTTTTCGGTGCTCCTAAGTCTCCTGCAGCCTCAGCACCTACCAATTTGTTTGCCGGAAGTCCTATGAAGCAGGATGAGGCCTCACCAGCGAAGAAGCCCATGAATACCGTCACAACAAGTGCATCACTCTTTAGCTTCGGAAGCAACAATGCCACACCTTCTGCTGCTCCTGTATTTGGTGGCGCTACCAGCAATGGCACCAACAATGCTGGCAACTCATTCGGTAGTGCCACTACAAATGTGAATCCCGGAAATTCCTTTGGCTTCAACTTTGGAGCGGGAGGTAGTGGAGGTAGCTTCAACAACCCATTCGCTTCGGCTAGCGGAGCAAATGCTGAGAACAAAACGGCCGCCCCCTCAACTGGTTTCTCATTTACAGCTGGGTCAAACCCGTCACCTGCACCTAGCACCTCCTTCCAATTCGGCGCCAACACTACACCAGCTGGGGGCTCCATGTTTGGAGCAAATACCACCAACAACGGAGCAGCAAACTCTTTTGGAGGCTTCTCGGCTAATGCTGCGCCGACATTCAACTTTGGTGCGCAATCGGCTCAGTCTTCCATGACAGGCAATGCCTTCGGGTCGAACACAGCCGCACCCACATTTGGTAGCAGCTTGCAGCCGCCAGCTGGTGGCTCCTCAACCACCGGGACAAGTAAGTCCTCCTTTCCGAACCGGAAGATTGCGCCGCTAAAGCGACGGCTGTAGACTCGCCTCTCAACCTTGCCGGAGGATCTAGCTTGGCAACAACGCCAGCTACCGGCACTCCTGAGCCGTCAGCGAAAACCGACGCTGGTAGTGGCGGAGCCGATGAAGAAGATGGAGAGAAGCATGAGCAAATCAACCTCACCGAGGGCGATGAAACGGACGAGGAGACCGTGCATGAAGTACGTGCGAAGGTTCTCAAGTTTAGTCCTGGTGATAAGGAGGATGGGGACGATAAAGCAAAGTCAAAAAGCCCATGGGCTACTATGGGAGTCGGTCCACTCCGTTTACTCAAACACAAAGAGAAGGGAACCGTACGACTGCTGCTACGAGCAGAGCCCAGAGGACACATTGCTATCAATCGATCTCTACTGCCCAACTTGAACTACAAGTCGGACGAAAAGTATGTACGATTAGCAACCTCAAATGAGAACGGCGACGGCATGGAGACATGGATGATCCAGGTAAAGACCAAGGATCTCGCCAAGTCTCTTGCCGAAGCCCTCGAGGATAATAAGGCAAGTAACAAAACAGATTAAAGGGTTAGGCATTTGATTATAATATATTGGCTTCTTTGCAAGTAAAATTTGGATACTCTCTCTGTATAAATGTGTCAAGTAATTGAAATACGGACGCGAAAATTTTGATTGAATTATTGTATTCTTAAAAAACCTGTTCTGTTTAGGTTAAAGGTCCTCTGCGACGCTCTGTTGAGATTCTCACACACTGTTAAGTGCGGGGGTGGGGTTGCGCGAAACTTTGTGCACGCGTCGGCGCGTCCACTGTCCTTTTGCTTGTCAACTATTCACCATCTAAAAGCGAACGTAGATACAACCCCGGCAAGCAAAATGCCGCGGTAAGCTATAGCCGCGAAAGTCCAAATAGTCGTCATTTCTAACTTGCGCCTCAGTGAAATTATCACGGTCCAGGCTGGACAGTGCGGCAACAGCAGTACGTTTGACTAAGGAGCGCAGACCTGCAGAAGCTAACGAACATATGTATAGTTGGAAGTCAATTTTGGCAGCAGCTATGCCAAGAGCATGGTATTAATCAGGATGGAAATCTCGAAGATTTTGCCACTGAAGGTGGCGACCGTAAAGACGTGTTTTACTATCAGAGCGACGACACGCGATATATCCCGAGAGCTATCCTAATAGACTTGGAACCAAGAGTGAGGCGACTACGACATTTGTTCGACTGTCTAATGTTCTATACTAATGGAGCGCTCCGGATAGGTTATCAACGGCATTCAGAACGGCCCATACAAGAATATTTATAACCCCGAAAACTTTTATGTAGGGAAGGACGGCATGGGTGCTGCGAATAACTGGGGAGATGGGTACCAAACTGGCGAGGGCGTATATGAAGATATTATGGAAATGATTGATCGCGAAGCTGACGGAAGTGATTCACTAGAGGTGTGTCCTGTGACAGGCTTGTTAAAGTTATCGCTGACGCTAATACTGTGCAGGGCTTCATGATGCTCCATTCGATTGCCGGCGGCACTGGCTCAGGCCTCGGTTCCTTTATGCTCGAGAGACTGAACGATCGATTTCCGAAGAAAATCATACAAACCTACTCTGTATTCCCGGATACTACCAACGCCGGCGACGTAGTAGTCCACCCATACAACAGCATACTATCCATGCGGCGCCTGACCCAAAATGCCGACTCGGTCGTTGTCCTGGACAACGGTGCGCTATCAAGAATCGCAGCTGACAGACTTCACGTGGAGAAGCCGTCACTGTCGCAGACCAACCAACTGGTGAGACAGGACATACTGTCTGCTTTGGAGGACCTCATCTAACATTTGCTAGGTATCGACTGTCATGAGCGCCAGTACAACGACACTGCGCTACCCAAGTTACATGCACAATGATCTCGTTAGCATATTGGCATCTTTGATCCCGACACCGAGATGCCACTTCCTCACGACAGCATACACACCCTTCACTGGTGACCAGGTGGAAGAAGCGAAAACGGTGCGCAAGACCACTGTTCTTGACGTCATGCGCCGCCTGCTTCAGCCCAAGAACAGCATGGTGTCGATCAACCCGAGCAAAAAGAGCTGTTACATCTCCATCTTGAACGTCATCCAGGGTGATGTTGACCCAACGGACGTACACAAGAGCTTGCTGCGCATTCGCGAGAGACGACTTGCAACATTTATCCCTTGGGGCCCTGCCAGCATCCAGGTCGCGTTGACCAAGAGGAGTCCTTACGTGCCCATGAGCCACAGAGTCAGTGGCCTGATGCTGGCAAACCATACATGCATTGCGACTGTAAGTAAAGTTGAACACTCTGCATCTCGAAAGCCATGTATTAACTGATTATTAGGTTCTCAAGAAGATTGTACGCCAATATGATGGAATGCGCAAGCATAATGCCTTTATTGAGGGTTACAAGAAGACGGCGCCATTTGCTGACAATCTGTTGGAATTCGACGAAGCGCGTGAGGTGGTGACGGATTTGATCTCAGAGTACTTGGCCGCTGAAAATGCTGATTACTTGAATCCAGGCGCAGATGCGCCTACATCGCAAGATGCCGATCGAAGAATGACATGAGAACAACTGGATTGATGACCCCTCGGCGTTTTATTTGGCTTGTCTTTAGGGTGGACATACATACATATCTGACACTATCGTCATGTTTAATGATTTTATTTACTTTTCAACTCCGTAGAGCTATGAAGAATGACAAAAATATCCGTTGTCACTACGCCACCAGTTTCACTGTCCAATGACCGTGTCCCGCTTTCACTTCGGTCAGCGGCGGGCGGTCCACCCGCAACGATCGTAGACACCGTTTGCGCTAGCAAGCTTTTTTCCCCGACCCCTCTATAACCCACGCCTCCCCCCCAAACAACAAACGCCAATGCACTAATTGCTTCTCCAAGCAGTCAATGTTCCGTCGTTTCCTCAGCTCTACCACAAAAAAGATGACCGAATCCGCGCCCAAGCGCCTCAAGACCGAAGCTGCTGGCAGCATCGGCACCCACAATGGCCACTTCCACGCCGACGAAGCTCTCGCCGTGCACATGCTGCGAATGCTGCCGTCCTACCGTGACGCAGCCCTCATCCGAACCCGCGATCCTAAGCAGCTCGAGACCTGCCACACTGTTGTCGATGTCGGCGGCGAGTACGACGCCGAGCGCAACCGATTCGATCACCACCAGCGCGGCTTCACCACAACCTTCCCTGGCCGCGAGACCAAGCTGTCGTCTGCTGGCCTTGTGTTTTTGCACTTTGGCAAGGCGATTATTGCGCAGCGCCTCGGCCTTGAGGACGACGAGACCCCTGTTGTCGGTCTCATTCATAAGAAGATCTACGAGAGCTTCGTCGAGGCGCTCGATGCTCATGACAACGGTGTCTCCGTGTACGATCCCGAGGCTGTCGCCGCAGCTGGCCTTACAAAACGCTTCCATGAGGGAGGCTTCTCACTGGGCTCGGTTGTTGGCCGTCTGAACCCCAACTGGAACGACCCTAAGCCCTCGGATCCTGTTGCTGCCCAGGCCGCCGAGGACGCTCGCTTCGTCCAGGCCAGTGAGCGCATTGGCGAGGAATTCGAGCGCGAACTCGACTACTACACGTCTGCTTGGCTGCCTGCCCGCGATGTTGTGCAGGCTGCGTTCAACCAGAGATCTCAGCACGACTCGGAAGGTAGACTCTTGATCTTTGATAGCCAGAGCGCTCCTTGGAAGGACCACCTCTACACTTTGGAGGATGGCAAGGCGTCCGTTCTTTACGTTCTCTACCCTGAGAGCGCCAGTCCCGATGCCAAGTGGAGGGTCCAGTGTGTTCCTGAGAGCAAGGATTCCTTCGTCAGCCGTAAGCCTTTGCCTGAGGCCTGGAGAGGCTTCCGTGATGCTGAGCTCGATGGCATCTCTGGTATTGAGGGCTGCGTCTTTGTGCACGCTGCTGGCTTCATTGGCGGCAACAAGACCTTTGAGGGTGCCAAGGCCATGGCCATTGCGGCTCTCCAGGTATAGCTTGATATGTAGATACCTAAAATAAAAAAATGACGATATATTTATGACATGTCTCTGAGAATATGAAGATCTGAATTGTATGAAAAGTTGGCGTATTTAATTGCATCAATAAATTGTTAAACAAAGCACCATGGTCCATTCTCGGGTCGCACGAGCAGATAAAAAGCGAAAAATCAAAGCTCGCAGAAAAAAAGATCATCCCTTGCCCCTTGTCCGAACCCAGATCACCTCCTTTGCCGTGTTCCAAACGCCTACAAAGCCCGACCCAAATTCCGTCTTCATGAATCAAAGTACCATAAAACAAGAGATGACCAAAAAGAGTATTTCGTAAACTGTAACAGGCATCACGCTCGCGCTATCTTCGGATGGGAATTCCGGCTCCGCCTGCGAGTGGCTCGTTTGTCGGGGCTGCCCTTGTTTCAGGCGCCTCTACGGCCGCAGCGTCGCCGGTCTCTGGGGTCTGCTGTCCCTCGAGTGTTGTTTCGCGATGAAGGAAGCTGCTCTCCTTGACTGGGCTTCCAGCTTGAATGCCACCGGGAATGGCTCCAAGGTGCTTCGGCACACTGCCAGGTCCGCCGATAGGAGACGAAAGGTGGGGGATGTTTTCTGGTACGGGATGCTGCGAGCCTACGGCGCCTGCATCGACGCCGTCGCCTTTGCCAGCCTTGGACATGGCATAATCTCCAGAGTCGAAGTATTTGCGGTCTTTGAGATGCTTGGCGAAGTGGTCGGAGCGGGATGGTAGCTTGCCGTAGAGGCGGAAAAGGCGCTGCTCCTCGGGGGAGAGTGACTATGGGGAGTGATAGGTGTTAGCGACTGTAGATTGGATTTGGGGAAAGCTAATTGAAATATAAATTCGCAACAAATAGCCCTCCAATGTCTAAAACAGCGAGCCAATTGATTACCTTAACGTCGACCTTGTTCTTCTGGAGGAGGGGGTTCATGATGTCGGTCAAAAAGTGCAAGAGAGCTGGGCCAAAGGATATCCACGAGGGGGATGATACTTCAATGAAGTCGTCTGTTTCTGAGTGCCAAAATAAGAAGATGGTGAAACGCGATAAATCGAATAGTGGTAAAAGACCAATTTTGCAGCAGTACAGTTGACGAGGATGAAAGCGAGGTTAGAAAACTAGAGCGACAGCTTCGACCTGGTCATGGGGAGGAGGAGGTGCTACAGTGCTGGCGCCCCACTACGCTGGCAGTGACGCCTGTGAGCCGGCGCCCAAGTACTTAAACGGGGGCCAGCACTGCTGCTTTAGTGCATATGGCGGGGCAAATTAACTTTTCGGGGTGTATGGTCAGCTGGCCTTTGCTGAGCGGGCAGCTAACTTCGCTGCAAACTTATACCAGTCAAACATGCTATTCTTCCCTTTGCCTATGCGGCTTTAGGGAACGAAACAGGGGTATTTTGTAGTTTCAGAATCCTTGATTTTTTAAGAGCTTGCACCTGACATAATGGACTGGTTGGACGCGACGTATCAGACCAAGCGTCTTAATATCAGCGTTTGCCGAAACACCAATAGTTCATAACCAATTAATCAATGCAAATGCGAACGGCTGCAAAGATGCTCATCTTGCGTATCTACGGAACGTCGGCTTAGAAGGAGCACCGACCGGCCACATCATCCTGCATCCTTGTCATCGTTTATGGTTTCTCGTAACAAGCCGAGCTGCTGGGCGCTAGCTACACACGCAGTCGGGAGAATGGATTTCTAAGCACCAGAAAAAACTCCGCCAAATTTTCGCGGAGTAACGCTACGCAGTCCAAAAAGTATCCACCACGAAGTCCCTCAAAACCCGACCAGCCGTCTTTCTTGGTGTCAGCTCCTCCAAACTGTGCACTTCTTTATATTGCGTCTGTTTGCGAGTGTGATTTTGTCTGCAGAACGCATAACGGCACCCGTTTTCGCCCACTTTGCGCACACAGTGGCCCGTTATTCGACTCTTTGTTGAGCTTGGTGGGGTCGTAGCCGGTGACGACATTTTTCTCCAATCCCACGAAGGCTCCGGTTGACGATTGCCAAACCCTATCGACCGACGAGCCATAGCGACCAATTCGAAATCATGGGCCTCCTGTATGATTTGAGATATATCGCACTGTGATTGGCCAATATCTAACGTGCTTCTAGAGCTCTCGGAACGCCATTGGAGTGGCCGGAAGCCAAGAAACGGGCTGACCAAGTGAGAGAATGGGGAATCAAGGTTAGTTTGGATTCAGTTACTCCCAAGATATCACGGCTAATAATGTTGGCAGCAACTCCTCGAAATTTGGAACAAAGCCAAGGGAAAGGAGCGAGATGCGCTGCTCTGGGGAGACGAGGTAAGAATGGCTGTTCAACTACCCCGCGAGTCGTTGCTTACTTGAAAAGGTTGAATATCTCGTCGTCACATACTCCAAGTCCAATGAAAGAGTCCTACTGTCTCTCCGCCAGGCCGAGATTTTGAAAGCTTTGGCTGCTGACCAAGAGCTTGCAAAGGCCGGCGGTTGTGTCCCTGCATTGCAAGACACGACCAGCTCCGAAAAGTACCACTCCTACACGTTTCAATGCAGAACACTCACTAACTAGTTATAGAAGCCACTCGCTCCCCGTCTTCCACCCCGAGTTTGGTCGATTCATGTTGGAAGCTACCCCCGGCAAACCCTGGGGCATTGGTTTCAGAGAGCTGCTTGACGTCGAGCCCGACATGAAGCTCCGACGAAAGATTGCGAAGGATCACATGCGAGACGACGAATACCCCATCACTTTAACGACATTCCCACAGATTGGTATCCCAGGGCAATTCACAGAGCCTTTCTACCCGGTCTCCGGTCCTAGGCTTCGATCGCAGTTCGTTCCCGACGAAATCGCCAACCCTCATATTCGGTTCCCTACACTCGCCGCCAACATTCGCTCGCGCCGAGGCCGCAAGGTTCAAGTTAATGTCCCCATCTTTAGAGATGTCAAGACACCAAATCCCTGGAAAGATCCTACGGTGAATTATGATCTCCATGATTGGCCTGAAGACGATGATGTTAGAAACGGAGCGGCACCTGACAACTTTATTCACATGGATGCAATGGCCTTTGGCATGGGAAGCTGCTGTCTTCAAATCACATTCCAAGCCAAAAACATCGACGAAGGCCGACAGCTCTACGATCAGCTGAGCCCGCTTGGCCCAATCATGCTCGCCCTTACGGCTGCTACGCCAGTGTATAAGGGATTCCTGGCCGGCACCGATGTACGGTGGAACCAGATTAGCCGTGCTGTTGACTGTCGCACGCGCGAAGAGCTTGGAGAAGAGGTATGCTTGACAAATTGCCGCTAGCATTTCACTACTAACTATCCATAGCCATTGAAGAACAACCGCTGGAGAATTCCCAAGTCACGATACGCTTCAAACTCTACATATATATCAAACGACTCTCGTCTTCGTCAAGAATACATGGATCCAAACCTTGTCTACGATCCTGAGATCAAGACGAAGCTCATGGATGGTGGTATGGATGATCGCCTAGCTACCCACTTCGCGCATCTTTTCATCCGCGACCCGATTGTCATTTTTGAGGAAGATCTCCAGGAGCTTGACTTAACCAAGACTGATCATTTCGAGAACATCCAATCGACCAACTGGCAGCACATGCGCTTCAAGCCACCACCCGCTGAAAACAACATTGGCTGGCGAGTTGAGTTCAGATCTATGGAGATTCAGGTTACGGATTTCGAGAACGCCGCATTCTCGGTTTTCATGGTTCTTGTTACTCGTGCCATCCTCTCCTTCGATTTGAACTTTTACGTACCTATCAAAAAGGTTGACGAGAACATGGAGCGCGCTCACCAGGTCGACGCCACGCTGAATGAGAAGTTCTTCTTCCGTAAGAACCCGTTCCCACTACGACCGTCGCGCGCCAACACCGCTTTCGGCGACGACAGTCGACCGGGCTCGGCTATCCCAAGTCGAGCAGCTTCTCCCGGTGCAGTTGAGGACGAGTACGAGGAGATGACCATCAACGATATCATCAACGGCTCACAAGACGGCACCTTCCCTGGGCTGGTTCCAATTGTTGAAAGCTACTTGGATAGCGTCAACGTGGATGTTGAGACACGATGCGAATTGGCTACATATCTTTCGCTAATCAGCAAGCGAGCAAGTGGTGAGCTTGACACTACTGCGCGCTGGATCCGCAACTTCATCAACGCCCACCCAGCATATGCTCAGGACAGCGTCGTCGGTGACGAAATCACCAAGGACCTCATCGAAGCTGTCGTGACGATTGGTGAGCGTGAGGCCAGCTCTAAGGGCTTTGCCGACACTGGTATCCCTGGCGTAGAAAAGTTTCTCGGCAAGTTTCGAAGTGGCCGAGCGGACGCTGCGGAAGTCCCCCAACAGCCGGCAGCTGCATTGGAAAACGGAGTAACGGAGAGTATCGAGGGTGTGACACGGAAACGAAAAAGCGAATTCATTGAAGATGGGGAGGAGCAGCGATCGTAGGGGTACTGCATGTGTAACATTCACAGAAAGTGGCTTCGGCGACTTCGGGGTTGCGAGTATCAGAGCAAGCTGACCCCGTTGTTGAGCACCAGCCTTCCAAAACACAATTAATGATCCAATATTTGGGAACTTTTTTTCAATCCTCAACTACTCTTGCACATATCAACCGTGACTCTTGCGTTCAAGGAACCGCACCCAGTACTCCGTCCAATACTCGCTCTACGGTGACAACCTCTCATGACAGATCCTAGTACGCCGAATTGATGAAAAACAACGGGCTACCCACGGTCTGTCTACATCCTAGGGCCCCAGCAAGTTTTCAATACGACTCGGGGAGTTGGGCTCTCAGACTGAGACACCCCTGTGCGCCCTGCAAAACGGGCAGATCAGAGGCCGCAGATGAATCATGCGGATGGTTGGGAACACAGGAGGGACAAGCCAAGAATTTATGGAATGGCGGGTCTTGGGCTTATCGGCCCTACGCGTGGCAATAGTACTTGGATATGAATCGCTCAATCGCTCCGCTATGTCTCATATCGCTGTACCGGCCCCTTTGCACCGGCAAACAACTCAGCAGCAATATTGATCGGGGGGTTTTAGGCCAGCAAGCTAAATCGCTACGTACCAGATTTATGACTCTGTACATATCTGCATCTTTCCATCTACCATTTTAGCAAGACATGAGCGGGAGGGGCATTGAAGAAACGAGCATGTACTGAGTACCTACCTACCTTGCGCCAGACAGATCGCCTGTGCATGCAGCAGCCGTCGGCCCGCGATCGATTTCCCGAGGAACAAAGCATCCGTAGCCACCCCTACCTAATATTTCCAAAAGAGCTAGCCAATACAGATCATTTCATTATGCCCCCCTCCTGTCGTGACCTCGGAAAGCTTGCAGTCCGATGTGAGACATAAGGGATGTCACACACCCCAGTACATCTTGTCTTACAAGCTGCGATCAGCCCAGCCAAAAAAGACTGTCTCGTTTCTGGTGCTGAAGGAGATTACCTTTGCCACGGGGTAGAGATACTAGTGGCTGGGGTATGCAACCTGCGAAAAAGCCGTTATTTGTCTTACTTTAGCCCCTCCCTTGCCGTCACAGACACGATCGTCATGGTTGGAGGGAGGTCGGCCGATGTGTTAGGAGGTACAACGGCCAGCACACCCGGCCATCCATGTCGAGAGATGGGCACGAGGCGCGGTACATCTCGATTCCGATGGCCGTTGTGTTGGACCAGCCACCCTACGCCCCCTGCTTAGACCCTAGATATAGCCATGACTAGATGGTTGAATTGTCTAGACATTGGGGCGCAAGCCGGTGTGCTGTACTGCGACCTCAACATGACTCTGCGCAGCCATTATAACCGAGGCCTGTTAGAGAAAAACGCTCTGAGGGTCAGATCTAGTTTGAAACAGACGAGCACAATGCTGCCATGAGATGCCGGCTACTGTCGTTCACACTATGCGGTATTGGCCAATGTAAACTGTTTGTTCTGCGGATCGTATTTTGGGGTTACTGATAATCATCTCAGGTGATACAGGATGATATTCATGCTTCACGGTTAATATTGTAGACAATGGTATTTGGTAAAAAAACTTCTTGTTCAATTATGTATGTACATCCAACCAAGGCAACGGGCTTTGAGCCCAATACATTGTATGTAGGTAGAGGGGACCTTGATCAAGTCGAAAAGAAAAGTGAAATCAGACCAAAAAAACTCCATGAGCGAAATGCCGATTGAACGACACAGCTGTGAAACAGACGGAAACCCGACCCAAGGTATCTGTGGTAAAAAAACAAAACAGTGACAGAAACCCAACCAAAATGCAAAATGCAAAAACAATCAACGCTGTCTATATGCGAGTAGTACTTTCAAGGAAACCATCCCAACACACTTTCGTCATGACATCCTAGTTGCGCTCCTCCGTCTTGGGACGGATGGATCGTGCTTCAAGCTGGCGCTTTCTCTCCAGCTTGGCATAGTGCAGACCACAGGCATTGCACAGCGTGCGAGCTCCGTCAGGGCCACGGCGCCATTCGGGAGTATCGACACGGTTGCAGCTGTGGCATCTGCCAGGAGGGGCGGCACGGCCGCGGCGCTTCTTAACTTCGCCTCCGACGGGGTATTGAGCCTTCATGGGCTCTCCGTACATGGGCACATCGTGACCCTCACCATATGGCTTAGGCTTGGGGCCATCGCGCGCACGATCGGATTGCATAGAAGAGGCGTGGACAACATCGCGAACCTGCTCAAAAGCACGCTTGAGGTAGTCGACATTGGCGAGCATATCGCCAATTTCTCTCTCCGTGGGTAGTCGCTCTGGGCCGTGCTGGGCGTGAGGAGAGCCATATAATTCGGCAAAGTTGAAAATGGTGCGAGAATGCGAGGCAATCTGTAAAACAAAATGTGAGCAAAATTGTTCAGGAAAGATTTTCTTTTGGCTGCGGAATACAACGTACGCGTCCGAATGCCTCCTGGTAGTTCCAGGTCTCGTAGTGTCTGGGCGGGCCATGCTGCTCGTAGCGAGAGCGGGCGTAGTCATGGTGCTCACCGTGTGGTGGCGGGCGGCGAGAGTCATATTCACTGGGAGGGTGGCGAGGAGAAATAGGATAGCCAGGAAGAGGCATCTGGCCAGGAGGAAGGTGGCTGTTCTGGTAAGGATGCGACGAGGGAGCCGACGAAGGATGAGGTCCTTGAGGAGGGTATGTGCCGCTGACTGAACGGGGCTGTTCAGGATGAGTGGGTGTCAGTTGAGAGGGGTGCTCAAGTTTGCCGGGAGGCGTTGAGCGGCGATCTGGATGAGGAAATCCAGGGCGGCCGCTGAAGCCAGGTCGTGGCGACTCTGAGAAGGAAGAAACAGCATCCTGTCGGGGTGTGAATGAGGCCGGGTGAAGCGGCTGAGGCGAAGAGTGCTGCTTATCCGAGTCTGGGTATCCACGGTTGTGAGAAACAAACGGCGAAGGAAGACCGCTTGAGCCAGGCTGTCCAGAGGGATGCGATGATGGCGGGAACTGGCCGGGACGAGGAGCACCTGAGATGACTTCGGAGATGGAAGGAAGAGACTGTCTGGCAGGTGTCTCGCCATCGTCAGCTGCCCGACGAGGCTCTGAAGATGAGATCATGCTGTTTGGCGGACTGTGGCGACCAAGGTGGCGATCCTGGTAGTTGGATGAAGATAGGGCGTTGGGCTGAGGAGAATATTGCAGACTGGTTGGTGGTAGCACAGTTGCTGCGGCCATGACAAGATGGGTAGGAAGCAGCGGCAAGGAAGCGGAGACTCGGATCGATGTCTGGTGCAAAAGCTGTTGTCGGAGTCAAGATAAGGTTGCAGTGGAAAAGACTAAACTTTTCTTTAAGGTGTTGCGATTTGGAGATGAGGGTCAACTTGGGGTGGTAGACGTTTGCCAACAGAACTAAGGCTATGGTCGGGAGGGGGGCGGCCGAAGTGTATATAGATTTTTGGGCAGGCTGGCGGAGCTGCACAGAAGCGGATGGGTACAGAGGAATGTAAGACGGACCTTTGCCGGGCTGTTGGGTCACCCACATCCATAGCGCGTGGCAATGACACCAATGGGCTAGGAGGGATCTTGGTTTCTGTTTAGCTCCGTCGATACATCGAACTTGGCGGAGGGGCTAAAAGCGACATGGGGGGTGTGCCACAAGGAACGAGATTTTCGTTGGTAAAAAAAACGAATGAGAAATAAATGGGGGTGGTGGGCACGAAATGAAGAGGGGGTGCGTCGGAGACAAAGGGGGCCACCCACTCTCCAGTCACGCTCGATGCAATGACTCTGCCGATGCGCCCCCCCCCCTTCTAAGCGACGGGCGCAGGTTACAAGGACAATTTGCTGGCATTACAGCGTCTTTTGAGGCTGTGGGTGTTCTGGAAAGCCTGGAGAATGCACTGGCACTCGGGGCCAATCTCGGGCGAGTCGCGATCAGGGAAAATGCTTCGACAAAAAGGCCTAGCCGGCCCTAGCCTCGCGTCGCCTCGGGCTTTGGCTACTTTTGCGTCCTAGCGGGATGCTAACTAATACAAAAATAAAAAAGACCAAGCAGCCTTCCTCTAGTTGATTTTTTTTTTATCTTTGGAGGCGTGCGCGCTGGTTGGCCGGCCGTCCGTCCATCTCACTTGATCCCATCAGCCAGGCAGATTCTCCCGCAGCTGCGTCGTCGCTTCATCGAGCTGAGATCGAGGGTGGAGGAGCTGGCAAAAGAAGGCAAACGGCCCCCAGGAAGGTGGGAAGTCGCTGCCTTCGTCATGGCGGCCACCTTCCGTCGTTCAGCTGAGGTGGCGTGTCGATAGGTCCGCACCTGACCCGCTCTGACCCGACTGCCTGCCCAAAGGGCAAAAAAGGGGGGCGTTCGCGCACTCCCTGCGACGCCCCTTGACATTCACCCATTTCCACTTGGATTGGATTTGGGTCAATGCTGCGCCCCTCAATGACAAGAGAGGGAGGAGGCTGCTTAGCATGGCTAAACGAGAACAGGCAGATGGGCGTTGGGGATGTCTCGGCGCTCATCTCGCGATGGAAAAAGAAGAACCAACATGGATGGGTGGAGACTATCCATCGGACCAGACCAACTCCTACAGCAAATGGCTGGCACAGCGCTTTGTTTTGTCATTTTGGGCATCGAATCTCGCTCACGCCAGCCGAACACACAAAGCTAATTGTGGGCGGGCTGGCTGGCTGGCGTCCCAAGTATCGGGCATATGTCCGGCGCCCTCCACAGAGCATCTCTCGTCGGACAAAATCTATCGACAAACCGGTGGATAGGCTGTGAACGAGCGACCAGCTGTGTGCGTGCCTTGCAGAACGGTGGCAAGCTTTGAACTAATATCATGCTGACAACAGTGTAATCCACCCCTCTCCAGCTGCCAGTAGCTCTCTCCAATCCTTTAGAAGACGCTTTACATTTATGAAACCTATCAAGTATTACACTTCAACCACCTTGCGACCAGGCTCAGTGCACGGACAAACGGCTCTGGCTAGGCGGGGGTCAATAAACGAAGCCGCTGGCTGGGGAGACGGCCGAGTCGGTGTGACCTGTGACGAAGAAGCCAATTCCGCTTATCATTGGCTGCCACGCAGACGTGATCGGAGTGCATTGTCACGCAGCAGCCAACAAGATTGTTAAAACGATACAAACGCGAAGTTCACCTGCAGCGACACGCCCATCGCGACCATCCATCCCGATCTGCTCCATCTGGCTGCCCTCCCCAACCAACAGTTGTAAGGGCGCGTATAACGGGCACGGATAAGAGATCGCTCGGGATTTTGCGTCTCAAGTCTTTACACATGATTAAAACAAAGAAGAGGGGAACAGACGCCCATAGTTTAACTCTACATCGGCCTGCTATATTAACTCTCGCAACCTCGGTGCAGTTTGGCCCGGCTGAAGACAGACTTGCTGCAACTGGCTGCGCAGCCTGCGGACAGAGGGTGGTGCGTCAATATTCGAAGGGGCATTTTTTGCCAACCAGAGCCTCCTAGGAACAGCTTGGCTCAATCACCAACCGACACATCACTAATGTGGTGGTCACGAGCATCGCACTGCACAAGATCGATAGCCAATCGCCCCGGAGAAGCGCTGTCGTTGGCCCACATACGCAGCAGGCAAGCAAGTGCGCGATAGCATTTGGGCCGCCCCTTAATCTGCAGTGAGTCGATTTCTCGTTAATCGCGCACACCAGCAGACAAATGGCACACCAGAGAAACCAAGGTTCCTACCGCCCACCGCTCGCGTGGGTGTGATCGAGGATCCACAGTAGGTACGTACGTGTAGCCACGCGCCCAACACCAACAGCAGACCGCTAGGCTGCAATTTCACCCAGCACAGCCTGAGTTAGCGCCGATCGGCCTAGCGTTGCACCCAGGCTGCCTTCCAGCAAAGACAAAAATGCCGACGTGTGGCCCTTAAGACCCGTCGACAGGCCGTTTGATAGCCAATAGCTTGCGCGGCGCACAATATCAATAATGTATTGGTTAGCATGCCGTCTGTTGCCTGCTGCTGCAAAGCACGTACAGCTGGATATTTGCCCCGCCGTGTTGTGCGCTGTCGCACATACAGATGTAGCCCCAAGGGAAATCGGGATCTCGCTGGTGCTGCTGCTTCATCTGTGCTACTACTACGGCCCTAAATACGAAGTCTCATTCATGGCGGTGAGAGTTGTTTCGGGGGTCATGATGGCCATTAGCAATCGTACGGCGTGTTCCTGGGCCGATCTAAAATTTGATCGAGCTTGCACAGCATTCAATTTCGTGGTGGTACGTGAAGCTTTGAGCAGCGGGCGCCAAAATGGATAAACCCCTAGTTGGCGGCCGACCGTATGGGTATCGATGCACCCACGTCATAATCCCCCATTCTTGAAAGCCCATCTATTCTGTGTACTACTTCTGTCACATCGTATCTGGAGAACGAGGCACTCTAGTGATTCACACACCGCTTCTGAGGTGCGCTATCGTGGCAGCGTCGTTTGTGCCATGCGTTGCGTCGCGAGCCACCCGGTGGCTCCATTCATCTCATAACGGCTCCTTGGGGGCGCAGAGGTGCGAGAAGGGAAATCGACCCGTGCCAGGGCGTATTGTGGAGCACGCCATCTCAAAGTCGATTGAGCCGCGGTTCTCGCAAGTGAGGGACAGAGATCCATCGCGGAAAAATCTGCGCACCCTCGTGATGGGTCAGGGTCTACCTTAGGGATGTGGGCGAAGGGCCCCGCCTGCGGACTAGAATGCCCACGGAAGCCTTTCGGAACCTTCCAGGCCGCTGTGCTACACAATTAATGCTTCACCAAGACAGAAGGAAAAAATAATAATTAATGTTGCGCTTGCGATCGAGATTCGAACCACCATTTGGGGTCGATGTGCTCCCGCCAAATATATCTTCATACGTCAATATACCACCGATAACGGCCTTCATGACCTTGCCACCAAGGCTTTAAAAAAGTACCAGCCGGGTGCCATCCGCCCATCCGGTCGGTGTTTAAAGTGGTCTCAATAATTAAAAAGAGGTCGACAACACGAAATGGATGGGCTGGCTGTGTTTCCATCATTAATAAGCGGCCCCGGACCGACAGCCAGCAACACTTACTCGTACATAATCTATTGTTCCCCGTTGGCAGCGGCCGGGGCAATGTCCGGCGCGCCGACTTACTCCCCGTCGCTACGGGCTTAGTGGACTTGAGTCAATCTTGAGAATAGAGTTGGTTCCATCACTCCACATTACGCTGCGCAAATGCTGGGCATCAGTTCCTCCTTCTACAAGGAGGCAAAACTGTGGCTCGTTCAGCTTGGCCAATCAAGCCGGAAAAGTGTGGCACTCTATGTCATACCCCCCTCTATTTCTTTATATTTTGACTTGGCTACAAATTTATGCAAATTGTGGCTTGTTCCAGATGCGCCATCTCCATAAGCACGTTGTGTTGCGCACGCGGCATGTCCCGCCAGCTGTAGCCTCGCACATAGGATCCAGCGGAGCGCAGAGTGAGGCAAAAAAAAACAAAATAAGGGCGGGGGCGAGATATGTGTCAGCTCGGACTTTCTTTCACAGCTGCTTTACATGTTGCAACGCTCCGCCCAGTCAAGGCGCATTGTTTCTATTTTGCGTTGTTAGGCTATGCAAGCTACCAAGCAGGCAGAGCGGTGCGCGTGCGCTGTCGCAGGTTGCGCTGAAATAACTGGGCGCCCATGGTGGCAAAGGCCCGTCCGTCCGCCTGTTGCATGGGGGAGGTAGGCAATTCCCCCCTCTGCCGCCCGTCGCTCGACAAACACGCCGAGAGGAAACGAAAAAGAAACAAACAAACCAAGCCTTACACAAATTCCCGCTTACCTACAAATAGCCAGCACGATTAAAATAAGCCGTCGCATATAGAAGCGTGTGACGGGCCTTGCCATTCGGATACGTAAAACATCTAGGCACTGTCTGACGGGCGTTGTGCGTTGGATGTCTTGGCGACTATTCCGATTTGGGGAACCAGCGAGACGCATGCTGGCTAGATTTCACGATACGATGAGCGTTTGCGGAACTATCCCATCTAGGAAGCCGGCTGCCTCGATTGGAACCGAGGCCGATTCCAGCTGCACGCCCCCTCCTCGTCCAGGCGAGTGATGAAAAATATACGGGACTTGCCATTTTGCCTCAACATAGCCCCGCCATCTCCGGATGTACGTCCAGATTGGGCCTAGTGCCGGTGTATATGGCTGCAGCAAGGGGCTACGCGTTTAAAAAATGCTCTCATAGGTGGAAGTTTCGGCCGGCAGCATGTAATACCGCCTCGTTAAGCTCGGGTTTGTCTCGATCAGGTTGGCGAGATGCAGATTAGCTTGGGGGTCGTGGTGTGATGGCTCTTCGGTCGACATTGGAAATTCGGCCGATCGCTGCGCTTCTGGAAAGAATCGGCGAGCTCAAATACAAAGGATTCAACTTGGCTTGAGGCGCAACATGCGAGCACTGGCCTTGAAACAATCGTGGAGAGTGATGCTGCTACTGCTGCCACGGCACCTACTGCAACGTGCTCGTACAGTATTCAACTGACTGCCCACCAATAATGCCGCAAAGACCAGCAATAGCGCAAGCAGGCTGGCTGCTATTTCTACGACTTCTCGGTGCCGTTGCTGCTTGCTGCTTGCTGCTGGCAGGCAGTGGTGCCCAGCGCATTGTTCTCATGAGACCCAGCCCAGCCCGCCGTCAAAACACAACAAGCAACAATGGAGCTGTTAAGGGAAAGCCTTACCTGCACCCCCCCTGTAAGAACTATGATGACCTCTTACTCCACCAGCCATCGTCCACTAAATCGTAAAGAAACCAATCGAGAGTCTCGCAGCAGGTTGCTTCATCCGTAATTTTTGCTAGACCCTTTGAAGAAGCTTTGGGGTTTCAGCTGCATCGTATTCATCTCATGCCAAACGAAACAGCTGGCTCGCAACGGTGGATGGATGCATGGCCGGATGCAATGCGCAGCCGAGCACCTTACTAAAACCCGCACAATGCTTTCCGTGCTGGAGCTTCAAAAGTCCAGTGCTTGTTCCAATAATAATAGCCCGGCTGAGATGCTGTGCCAAGTCAGCGGCTGACATGTCTCGCAAGACGAAGGCTGGAAATGGCTGGCATCATCTCGTCATGCATGCAAGCGGCGCTGGCTGGTGCGCAACGCCTCGCCTTGCCGGCCGAAGAAGCAAAAAAAAAAGAACCACTAAGCAACAAAATAGCATGACCCGCTGTAGAACTTAGCTCCTGCTGTAAAGGGATCGAACTCCGATTCACACTTCTCCACTGCTGGAACTCGGGCTGAGCATCGACTGCCCCAGGTATATCACTAGGGGTAGAAAAGGGTTCGGCTAGCGTCGACTCTGTTCGGCTCTGAAAATACCGAACCATGAAAGAAAAGGAAAAAGATGGCCATCCGTAGTCGTTTCGAGTAGCAAAGGGATCTACAAAACTCGGAACAAAAAGGAGTCGGCAGAGGGCACGTTGGTGGCAAGGCGCCATATCGCGGCGGTGGTCACTTCTACAGTATTCATCCCCTGCCGCGATAGAGGTACTCATCGGGTGCATCTGCCGCTAGTGATGCTTATTACTTTTGGTCCAAAAAGTCTCCAGGATGCGATATTTGCGCCAGCTGACTGAATGCTTATTCTGGCAAAATGGGGGTGACGTGCTCCTAGCTCAGTCCAACCCCCCACATTCCCGTGGCTAGGGTGTTTTTTTGTAAATGGGTGTATGTTAACTGTACTGTTCGGGATATTCCACAGGGGCCAAATCGACCAAATCTGCAGGACATCGAGCGATACGCGGTAACTTAGTAGTAGCAATAGTAATAGCAACAGAAAGCAGAAGCAGTAGCAGAATCCAAAAAAAAAGTATTGCATCCATAGTTGTTAGTTATTACTTCTTCTTCTACATTTTTTTTTTCTAATTTCACCTCATCAGGTTCTTTTTTAGTGTACCCCATGACGTCTACTTCTCCGGAATCCCGAGGTCGTCACCCCTACAGCCGGCGGCTTTTATAGAACAACCCCAAGCCAAGCCCTTTTTTTGTAACTTCTCGCAGACTTATTCTGTCCCGCGTAAGCAGATGATATCTATGTCAGTGACGATGTCATTCCCTCCAGCCACGCCAAGCAACGCGCTGATTCCAGCGCATACTGTCGGCAGTCGCTACCTTCGCATGGGCTGGGGTGGCGGTAATTAGCTTAGGCCCCAAAACAACGCAAAGGCTGAAAAAGTTTAGTTGCCGAGATGACATGGCGCAGGCTACGGCACCCGTTGGCGATGCCTTTTTGGCGTGGCGGGAGATGTAGGGTGCGTCAGCACAACCACCACTTCCCGCGAGTGAGTCCGGGGCATTACCAGTTTACGCAGCGTCGTATCTATCGAGACCGCCAACTCCAAGGGGGCGTGCGATCGCATCATCAACCACCGAAGCCCGGCAAAAAGCATCTCCCCCTTCCAACTACCTCGCGCTTGGCTTCCTTGGTAAGCACCTGACATTTTGGGGGTACAGTATCCTGAACCCCTGAGCGGCCTTGTCAATGGATACGACTAGACGAATCAGCAGCCAGAGAACTCCTACTCCGTGCCCGCCGGGCCCCAGCTATTATCGCACAGGCCAGTCCATGTCCATCGTCGAAATCACCTGAGCGCTTTTATTTTTTTTTTCTTTTGTTCGCTCTCGCAAATGTTCCACCCCGTTGTTCCAGAAGGCAATAAAGTGGCCCATTTCGCGTTCCGTGGCCACTTCGGACGCAACGCAGCGGCCGGAATCTCCGATACCAAGAACCCTCAAAACTGGGCCACGCAAAGTGGGTGAAAGGGCCGTCGTCGCTATAGATGAGACGCTACGATAAGACACTGGTGCATGCATGCACCTTCCCCATACTGTTTCCGCGGAGCGCCATGGCTTGCTTGCGACGGAGGCTAATTTTTCCCTTTTCTTCTCCAGAGTCATGTTGCGTTTGCCCGCTTACAAACAACCGCATCTTTGGCTAATTGCTGTTTTTTGCCTGGCCATCAAGGAATGAGAACCTTGAAGTATCAAACAGCTAGCTAGCTGTCTTGTTTGTCATAGCTGAGCAATACCCCAGCCAGCGAGGTGGGCTCCAGTATCGCGGCAGGCAACGGAACATCTATCCAGCAAACATATACCCTGCGGACAAGCAAACAAACCTCCCATCTAGATGGCCACGCGTTAATATACTAGGGGTCCCTCATCCAATAGCCACGCCCTATGGAATTCCTTTTTCCGTATTTATGCCGCTTGAGTCTGAGAAAAAGAGTGGGAAATGTCGTGATCTTTTTCCCAATTCTCTCCCCGCTCCAAGGTCGTGACAGCCAAGTTGCAGCGAATGACACCTTACTTGTCGCACCCTCGTGGTAGACGTGCTTTTTGGCGCTTGTCTCGGGCCATGTTGATTCCTATCCAATCCGCCCCATTTAGATGCTGCTTGGGCCATTGTGGAATCAAATGCCGAGCGGCAGTTGGCTCGGTTGAGTGCTTGATTCAAGGGCAACTGGTAAGGCTTATCAAGGGACTACACTAAAGTCTAAAAGAAACCAAGTGATTGGAGGGAAAAACAATACTGCGGTCCCCCTCGTGTGTGAAATCTGGATTTGTTTAGCCTGTTCATCTATGTTAAACCCCCATGCTTCGATGGTTTGCTGCGAAACCGATGCGAATCAGTTGCCGTAGCCGTCGCCACAGTCCCATCTTTCTAGAACAATGCCCGAAATGTCGCAGTCGTCTACATGGTGTACCAGTACAGGCGTGTCGTCAGTGAAAGCATGTAACCTAGACTTTAAGAGTCGCTACGCTAGCAGCATCTCTGACCGCTCCGCATGGTTGCTATCTTCAATGCGTTACAGTCGTGGTGGTACGTTTATGTAAAACATAGTTTTCGGTGGATACGTCCTGTAGTAATGCCTTGCGGTCTTTTTCCTTTGATTGTATATTAAGACCGAATCGAATTAATTGCGGCCGTTGGGCGCGCCAAGAAATACTACACCGCCTACGATGGCGACAGTATCGTCGTCAACAATGCTCGGAAATGGCTTCGCCATCTTTTCCGCTAATATACAAATCAAATATGCATTAAGCTTCTGTATTACAGAAACTGAACCCAAAATGCTACTTGAAAATCTCTTATTAGGCGTCCACTATAACAGGTGAAATAAGAATAACGCCGACACGAGTGCTCGGCGCAACTGCCGGTAACCCCATGTTTCTTAATCGCAACGTGCATGGGAATATAGGACCCTACCGTATTATGAATACTAGATACATGGGTGCTATAATACGTGGTTTTTGTATAATTTCCACCTCTAGATTGGCTTATGACGAAGCGCACTGCCGCCGCCGCCGCCGCTGATGCAGAACCCGACGAACTGTCTCGTGGCTTAATATAGGATCCTTGTGAGCTGAACCTTGCAGAGCAATTTGCAAATAAAGTGCGGTCTTAACAAGGCAAATCCCGTTGTATTTATAGGACTGTGGACCACCGCCTATGCCACAAAATTCAAGCTTTTGGCCAAGCGTTGTGCCGTTTGCATTGACACACTGGTCCCCTTTGTCCTTGAAGCATTTCTGTTTTGGCGATGGGCTTTACGTTTCATAAAAGAAATGGCCCTCTGACACGTTTCGATGATCTGATACCATAAAACCACTTAATCTTTCCTGAATATAGAGCCTCAAGAATCATCACTGTGCTGGTCTGTGTCACGCTCCATGCAAACTCACAATCTTGATACATCATTTACTCCAAATTAGACCCATATACGTAACCGATATGCTTTTTAAGCGTTTATGCCTTCAAGCTAAACCCATTATTTCTATCTTCTCAATTGATATCAGATATCCACAATATTCAGGCGCGGACGAGCGCCTTTCGCAAGTGATGTCTACGAAGAATTGGCATCCAATGCAGTGGTACTGTTTGACACAACGGCTAATGACGGAAGAGTCGACGGGATATCGCATTAATGAATGTCATATTAATGAAAAACTTCATATCCATGTTACCAGCAAGCTGGCATGTTAGCTTACTGGGAATACCATTGAGCGAACCGAACATGGCCATGTATATCGGTCGTAGGTCAGCTTGACAAAGTGTAGCATGTCGTTATCAACAGTAATTTACAATTGATCCGAGAACCGTAAAATTGCAAGAACCACGAGCTTCGTACAGGGAGAGGTCGTTCTAATGGAGAAGGTGCACGCCGATCAACAGGGTAGATAGATGAAAAGTAATAGGTATAGTTGAACATAATGTAAGGATATCTTTTGCGTTTCAATTAGGCCAGGTTTCCACCTGATCATAGTATTAACTGTTTTAGGTTGCGTTGTATTATCATGTCTTGCACCGATCCCATCGTAATTTTGAGCAAGTTCGTGTCCGTCGCGTTTGTAAAGTGACCGTATATTTCCTTTTCGGGATTCCTGCTGAGAGCCTTGAACTTGTCAAGGAAGTATTTGCTGGCGGCCTTGTCGTCATCGGCAGGGCCGTGATAATCTGTGAAACCGTAGTTGGTGATTGGGCTGCGCGGCAGCTTTTTTCTGAAAAGGTCCATCTTGTTCAAGAAGAGAATCATTGATGACTTTGTGAACCAATGGGAGTTTGCTATCGATTCCCAGAGCATCAATGCTTCGTTCATTTGGTTCTGTACCATTTGTTAGTGCTGCGGACTGGTTTGCTTCAGAAGGAATCGTTCACTTACACCATCCTTATCTTCGACAAGGCATTGGTCGTAACCACTAATGGCAACCAGGAACATAAGACAGTTGACGTTTTCGAAGCAGTGTATCCATTTCTTGCGCTCCGACCGTTGACCACCAACATCAAACATGCGATATGTCAGTTGTCCCAGGTCAAAAATGGTTTCTGTGATACCGGTCGTACGCAAGCGCGAGCGCAGAAGATCTTGGTCATCGGGAACATAACCGTCTGCCCAAATTCTATCGATTGCCTCCACAAAGCTTTGTATTGGTTAGTGAAACTGCCTGTCAAAGATATCAAATATTACCTACTACGCAAGATTGTCGTGAAGAGCGTATTCGTTGCCTTTGGAAATGGCAGATTTCACACCACTATCTGCCCACAAAGACTTGATCGGCTCCAAGTAATCTCTAGGCAGCTTGTCCTCTGGACTAAGCTCATGTTCAACGAGGATATGTGCCATATGTTTCTGTACCATGTGTTAGTTGAAGAGCAAGCACTCCGCATCATTTTTGGTCAGGTTCGCCTTACTTCGTTCTCTGCATTGTCAAACTCATATTTGAGTTCGCCCATGGCTTCTGAGATGGTACGGAAAGACTGAATAATATTGCTGAAAACAACAGGCTTCCAGTCGAGTCGTTCGCTTTGGCTGAAACCTTTTGAATATATGAGTTTCATCTGCTTCAGAATTGTTGATTTTCCAGATTCACCAGCTCCTAAACATGGGCAAACGCATTAGCTTCAGGGATCACTACAGTGGGTTGCTGCCCCGGCTGTAGCCACAGCGGGAAACCACGTTAAGACTCACCAAGCAGTAGAAGCTTGACCTCTTTTGACATCTTCTTCTCATCTTGTCTGATAACACGATCAAGTTCGCGAGAGCGGGCTTCGCCGCTGTCATCTTTGCGACTACCGAAGCACATAGCGTCGATAACTGGTCAAATAGAGCGTTGGCGCTAGAAATAAATAGATGCCAATTGAACCTTTTATGGCTCTATGTTACAAACAGTTGCGGGACGACCCGTCACAGCGCGGCTGTTTGTGAAGAACACTGGAACGCGGCAGCACAATAACGCTGAGGCCGCTAGCGAAGTATACAGGCACGTTATAATTCGATACTGATGCCTGTATCGGACGAATAATCCACTGGGTCAGCGCTACCTGGTGTTTGCGCGACGTTAACGGTGCTGTAGTGGCCCGATGAACTGGGGGGATGTGTGGTGCACGGTAGATGCGCCGGGTCGCACGAGCAAGTTGAAATTGGATGCGGCTTCTGCCCCGATCGTCACGGGCAGGTATCCGTGATTGTAGAATATCCGTGCAGATAGCAGAGTATCGCGCTCGTAGTAAATTTCGGTCTGCGGCGGCGGAAGGTGTAGATTGGTGCTGGCGCTTGATGGTAGGGTCAGTGGTGTGGATTGCCTGCAAGCAACCGTGAAAAAAAAGAATGACCACAGGCGATAGCCGTACTTTGACGACAGTAGAACACGCAAACAGGCCAAACAAGACGATGAAGGAAAGAAGCAAGTCTGCAACAAAAAGAAGAGGAGTACGTCGCAGAAGGGGGGCTCGATGGCGGGTTGAGGGAGACGAACGTGGGAAGCAAGTGAAAAAGTAAGACCAGCACTGGGGAGCGGAGCTAGCAGGGCGGCATCGCCAAGTTGCCGAGCAAGCGCGAAGCCAAAGTGGTCTTTTTAGTGGGCTCGCTCGTTTTGGCGGGCTGCTGCAATGCTGCACTTTCCCCTCAGCCTGACCAAATTACAGGGGCCTTGCCGCTAAAAGTTCCTACGAGGTACAGCGCCGTGCTGAACCTGGCGGCGGGTGACCTCACCCTCGCTATTTGAGGCCTAGCGTCTGCCTCCACCGGCACCGAAATTAAGCCCAATCGCGCCTCTGAGTTACAGCAGAACCACTGGGGCAGCAGTTCTTTCTGGGCCTTTTTCTTTTGGCTGCTTTTGCATTTCTACAGCGCCGTACAGCAGACAGCAGAAGAAGAGGGGGGAGACACACCACAAGTACAGTACATTGCATCTCTGGTTTAGCGTGGCAAGCGTGGCATCATAGGGGCAACTAAGACCGGCACTTAGCCTTTTGCTCCTACTGCAACCCCCTCAGCAATGACAAAACTCTCGCAGTGCTGTTCCTGGTTTTGGGGGGATGACTGTACTGTACGTACATCCGTACTGGTCCAGCTCGGTGGGCTCAGGCAGTCCACCCCGGTTAGTGCAGCGTGGTTCGTGATGCCACCCTACAAAGGCAAGGGGCACACACTCTTGACTGGGGCGCCGCTCGTTTGGCGTGCTTCCATGATGCCCCAAGCTCAGCGCCATCTACGCCTTTTTCTGCATGCAAGTTCGCCCATAGCGCTACAGCTCGCCACAGCGCCGAGGGTGATGTGATCCAGACGAATGCCATGTGCCAGTGTGCAGCGGCCTTTGTGTGAGACACCTGCAGGCGTTGCGGGGGATGATGGAGGGTATCATTTGAGGAGGAATTGAAATCGTCAATTGTGTCGCGCGCCAAATCTTGGCTTCTCCCCGGACGTTGGATGCAGCACACGGTTTGCCCGTGGCAGCTGCAACGCCATAGAGGGCACATGCTATCCGGCCACTAAAAGACAGCTGTTTCATCGTCAGCCTCTCTCACTTTTCCCTCGCTCCCTGAACACAGTGGACCGTGGACCGATTGCCCTTGTGGGGAAGAAGCCTAGACCAGGTTGTGTCCTGTGCCTACTCCCACTGGCTTTTTGTCGAGCATAATTTGCTAGCACATATGACGCCGGACAGTTGGGGCGGCGGCCGGGCAGAGACTTGAGGGCCCGGCTCTTCAGACGAACAGCCAAGTTGCAGAGCCTGGTCCAAATCATTCGCCGATAAAACGGCTTTTGGACTTGAGCAACCCAAGCTGCAGCTTGTCGTTGAACATAGGTACCCGCATTGGCCGCCATCAGATGGTAGGCGGCTTGGCCAACACTTTGTGGCGTCCTCTTCAGGTCGCATGGTCCCGTCCCTTTTCACGACTTCCGGGATTACGCTGTAGATGCAGGTCGCAAGTTCGTCCGGCCCGAGTCGCCTTGGTGCCATTTGTCTTGGCTACTATACCTTTCCCAACAAATCTAGCAAAGATTCCATAACCGGCATTGTAGATGGTGCCCTTGGCATAGCACTAACGTTTATCTTTATTTGGGTCCTTGTCTTAAATGCTCCGAGGGCTTAGTCGGCACGTACGCTTCGACAAAAAAAAACGCAGATCCTTCTCTTTCCGTCCTGAGCGCTACCATGTCGTGGCGGCATGCGAGTAGATCGACGACCAAGCGCCCGTTTACAGCAAGTGCTGCCCGAACGGCGCTGACGAGACTCGGCGCAAAGCTCCAGTTTGACCCGTCTGCACCTAATGTCTCAAATCCGCCGCGCTGAATTTCCAGCCCTTGGGCTAATCGCCCAGTGGCACTCTAATATCCTTCAGTGGACCAGCGGCGTATTCAGACTGCCATGGCCCACTTGATCAAGCGCTAGATGTCTTTTAACGAGTCCTGGGGACAAAGCGAATGCTACCAATCTCCCGCTTCAACAAGAACCATTGCTTCGCGGGATGCTGTTTGAAAGCACTATGTCGTTATATGCACCGTCGGATGCGATTTGTGATGGTTGGGTGGCCATCAACGGGCTGCAAACCTTACAGCTATACCAACGTTCTGAGCAAGGAGTAGCATTCGACGGTACAGCTAGCCCTTGCTGGAGTTTACAACATTACCAAGGATAAGTTGCCCAAGCTGCCTCTTTTGGCGGTCCATAAACCTACCTCAAACAGCCAGAATTGTATCTTTGAACATGTTCTGCTTTACGTTGCTGCAGATCCATCGGGTGCCTTAATTTTCTACGTGACGATCAACCCCTAAAGTTTTAATCGGGTTAGCCAATGCACCCCAGCTTCATGATTGGGCCACACACGGCCCGGACGACACCCGGGAGCAAATCCAGATTTTGCCGGCACACGTATACAGCGGTGCTAAACACGATCCCTTGACGATATATTGGCCGTTCAACGCCTGGTGCCGTTCATTAGATTACCGTGCCCCTGTGGCTTTGCTTAGCGTGGCTGTACATCTGTACCTTTCAACCGAGACTGGCCTGGTTCACCCTAGGACTCGTAGTAATCCGCCGCCAAATTTACCATTGCCATGGAATATATACGTTTGAAGTGACATTATATATCTGTAAGAAAGACCACTATAGTATTGAAGTTCGGAATTCATTCTGTTTTCTGCCTTGGACGATCATGGAGTGTGGCTTTAAATGATGGTAGGTGGCATCTCTCTGTTTGCCCAGCGAGTTCGAATAGATGAAATTCCAATAGAATCATCTTTTCTAAATCTCTGCAATATTCAAGATTTATTTGTTGTGGTTACTGTATCATTCCTAAGATGCTGCTGCGCCGTCACTGTTTATGGCCGGTTAAGGAACCTCGTTCCGTAGCCCCTCATTTAAGCCATCGCTGGCACAGTTAGCTCAAGAAAAGACCCCGCCAAAGAGCAGTGACGCAGTAGCCAAACGAAAAAAAAAATTCTCGATCCGCATGCTAAAAACTTGTTCACTCCGCTTTTCAAGAGGCATCTTTCCCAGTTCTCCATCACGATTATTCGGATCCGTACGCTTTAACCAGACCCATTACCGATTCCAACATACGAAAATGTCTTCTGACGAGATTGTTCACCCCACCATCGTTGGTAAGTTGACTTGACGATGTCAGAAGTTGCCCCGCGTCTTGCGAGGTTTTCTGACCCAACTAGCAATGGCAACGTCCCAATGCTTGTTGGTCGTTGATAAATTCTAGTCTTGGAGCTGTAGAAATTCTTTCAGAGGTTTAGTTACTAACACTGTTTGTTTGTATAGATGGCTGGTTCCGCGAAATCTCCGGCATGTGGCCTGGTACGTCCCCTCTTCCAAGCGAAAACTTTGCGTCATGATGCTAACTGTTCTAATCAGGCCAGGCCATGACCCTCAAGGTCGACAAGGTCCTTCACCACGAGAAGAGCAAGTACCAGGACGTTCTTGTCTTCAAGTCCACCGACTACGGCACCGTTCTCGTTCTCGACAACGTCATTCAGTGCACCGAGCGCGATGAGTTCTCTTACCAGGAGATGATTACACACCTCGCCATGAACTCCCACCCCAACCCCAAGAAGGTTCTTGTCATTGGTGGCGGTGACGGTGGTGTTCTCCGCGAGGTTGTCAAGCACGACTGCGTTGATGAGGCCATCCTTTGCGACATTGATGAGGCTGTTATCCGTGTCTCCAAGGAGTTCCTCCCCGGCATGGCTGCTGGTCTTACCCACCCCAAGAGCACCGTCCACATTGGTGACGGCTTCAAGTTCCTTGATGATTACAAGAACACCTTCGATGTCATCATCACCGACTCTTCTGACCCTGAGGGCCCTGCCGAGAGCCTCTTCCAGAAGCCCTACTTCCAGCTTCTCCACGATGCCCTCCGCGAGGGTGGCGTCATCACTACCCAAGGTTGTATGTCTCTTTTTCTCAAGGGAAAGCCGCTCGAGTCTTTCTCACACAAGTCGATGGTATAAAATTGGAATACCGCTTTACCGTCTTGTGATAGATGCTCTAGGGCTTTACCCAGCGCAAGTGCCGCTTCCCCCCGCTCTCGCCTCGGTAGTCCGCGGACAGAGCAGAGCCACAGTGGCCGACATTGCACGTTCATAGTGCATGAAGGTATCCACCGCTGTTTGGCCTCTTTCTTTCTTTCTGCGACCCTATACTACATTATATGATATGAAACTGTAGCTAACCATTGTGATGCCTCTTACAGCCGAGAACCAGTGGCTTCACCTCCCTCTTATCACCCAGCTCAAGAAGGACTGCAAGACCATCTTCCCCACTGTCGAGTACGCCTACACCACCATTCCCACCTACCCCTCCGGCCAGATTGGCTTCATGGTCTGCTCCAAGGATGCTACCCGTGACCTGAAGACCCCCGTCCGCAGCTGGACTGCCGCCGAGGAGGAGGAGAAGTGCAAGTACTACAACTCTGAGATCCACAAGGCCAGCTTTGTCCTCCCCAACTTCGCGAAGAAGGCCCTTCAGTAAATTTTGATGACGATCAAATGCAAAGCGTGAATTAAAAGGTGTCTTGGAACGAGTTAGCGGAAGATTTTGGTTTTATTAGGATATATAGAATCTTGAATGGGAAAACTCCATGTTACTAAAGATTTCCTCTGTTTCTTTTGTTTTGTACAATTCACTAGCTCTACTACCCCGATACCATTCCGGTTGAGCTTGAAAGCTGGTTACTGTATAGCATTCTCTTTTCATCCTCAAAGGTTCTCCTCAAAGCTGACGCCACTGGCGCTGACGTCAGGATACACATCGAATCGGCGTTGCGTGTTTAAAGGGATGTTGCTACGCGATTCATCAATGTTGGCGCCAAAGAGCTCAGCTTCCACAATAGTCTCTTTCTCATCAGCCTCCACAAGCACCTTGGCCATAGGATCAACGATCATGCTGTGGCCCCAAGCATGGTATGAAGCAGTCATATCACGCGCAGGACTGCACATGGCGACGTAGATCTGGTTGTCAATAGCACGTCCACGGGCCAGGAGCTTCCAGTGGAGGTCGCCAGTGGTCAGGTTGAACGCACCGGGGTAAACCAAGGCAAAGGCTCCTTTACGGGCAGCAACCATGGCGAGCTCGGGGAAGCGTACATCGTAGCAGATGGCAATAGCGATGGATCCGTACTCGGGAAGGTCAACAAGAGTTACCTTGTTTCCTGGGCTCAGCACATCAGACTCCTTGAACTTGATCTTTCCTGGGATATCAATATCGAACAGATGCACCTTGCGATGAGTACTGATGTGCTTTCCCTGGGGATCAAACACCAAGCAAGTGTTGTAGTACTTCTTGTTTTCGGGGTTCAGCTCCGGGATCGATCCTCCAACAAGGTATACACCATTTGCTCGCGCCATCTCAGCAAGGGCGTGGAATGAGGGAGCCGCCTCTTGTGTTGGGGGCGATGGCTGCAAGACTTCGGCATAGCTTGGGAAAAAGTCACAACCGTACGGCGAGTTGAAGCATTCTGGCAGAACAACAATCTTGGATCCAGACTTGGCTGCCTTGCTGACTTGTTCGGCGGCGCGTGCGAGATTTGCGGCTTTATCAGCACCCGATGCAAGCTGCACGCAGGCAAGCTTGACGGACTGCTTGAGAACAGACGACGACATGGCGCGGCGGAAGATCTGTAGTTGTTGGCGGTTTGCGAAGGCGGTAGTAGGGGTTCGTTTGAACAGAATAGATGCAGGTTTCAAGATGTGTCGCCAGGTGTTCATGCCGAGTAGAAGAGCGAGATGTCAAGTTGTTGGCAATGTTGCGACATCGGTGGTGGTGGGGGAAGACGGAGTTGGTCCACCGATGGAGAGAGAGCCGCTTCGGTGCGTGATGGCGCTGTGGGGAACAAAAGGTTGAACAAGCTACTGTAAAAGTCACGGCCGTTACATGGCAAGCTTTCACAAGCTTTCACAAGCTGATCTTGTTCTAATTAAGTGCGGGGGAGAAATTCCATATTGATACCATTTGTTTAATTATACCGATTCACATCTTGTGTTTAGTAGCCTTTGTCATCTCTCACGTATAACAAGACAAATCCGCAGCATCGGCCGCCGCCGCCACCACCCCAAGTATAGCGGACCCCTCAGTTTGACACGGCGTAGATGCGGCCAGCCCCGCGGCGCACAAGCTCTCCGCAAACAATCCCATCACAAATCCTTCCAGTAACATAAATTGGGTTCGACTTGCACCGCTACAATGTCAGTAGCTCAGCAATCAGGCTTATCGCCTGAACAGATTCAGAAATTCGCCAGTGATGGCTACTTGATCATCCCACAGGCCCTGTGCCCCGAGACAGTGTCTTCTCTCCTTGCAGAAACTCATCGCATGCTCGCGGACTTCTCTATTGAAGAACACCCCCTCACTCGATTTTCGACCGGAGAGAAGGCAGACCACGTTGGTGATGACTACTTCCTCAGCTCTGGCGATAAGATCCGCTTCTTCTTCGAAGAAGATGCCTTTGACGCAGAGGGCAAGCTGACCAAGCCCAAGGAGAAGGCGATTAACAAAATCGGGCACTATCTACATGCTCTCTCACCACCATTCGCACGCATTCTCGCAGCCGATAGCCCCGACAAAGTGGCTAGTCCTGCATCTGTAGCGCGCAGCCTTGGTTTCCAGGACCCGCGATGTCTACAAAGCATGGTCATTTGCAAGCAGCCCGAGATTGGCGGTGCTGTCCCGCCACACCAAGACTCAACCTTCCTGTACACCGATCCCCCCTCTGCTGTAGGCTTTTGGTATGCTCTTGAGGATGCTACTCTTGAGAACGGCTGCCTTAGCTTCTTACCTGGTTCGCATCGTTGGGCACCAGTCTCCAAACGCCTCGTGCGCAAATCCGAAGGCACTGGCACGGAGATGGTCGACAATGATGGACCAGTGTTCCCACCTGGCGATGAGTACGGATCCAAGGCAGGCGATAGTGAAGAGTACGTTCCTGGAGAGGTCAAGGCCGGAGATTTGGTGCTTATTCACGGCAACTTGCTTCACAAGAGCGAACGCAACACCAGCACGAAGGGCCGCATCATTTACACATTTCACATTATTGAAGGCGAGGCAAGGGAATATGATTCAAGAAACTGGCTTCAGCCTCCCGCAGAGGGATTTACAAAGTTATATAACTAGTCATAGTACAATATAATAGCCATTCAATCATTCGTGGCGTCTGTGCCAGGCATCGACGTGAGTCAGTGGGTATCTAGTATCTATATAACGATGGCCACCTGGCAAAAGCAAAAAAGAGATCTAGTTCCTAGTGCATGCTTGACAATAATCCTCCAACATATTCCTAGTTGTCTTCTGGTGTAATACCACTGCGACATGTACTCATGGCAAATGCATCGCTTCCATAACTCCCTTCTGTATGCAAGTAACGTTGGTGCTCTCGTCATCTACAACTTGAGCATTTGGTGTATAAAGCTCATAACGGTCGCAACTGGTCGAAGTAGCTTCTAGTTATCCTTTTCAGACTCAGACTCGTCGGCGCTGCTGTCTTCGTCGTCGGAGTCGCTATCGGAGGATGATGACGATGACGAACTGCTAGAGTCATCGTCGCTTTGGTCCTCTTCGTCTTCCTCTTCATCGTCGTCATCTGATTCGGATTCTGATGAGCTTGACCCACTGCTGCTCGTGTCCGAATCACTGTCAGATTCGGACTCAGAGCTGCTCGAGGTGTCATCATCGCTGAGGTTTGACACTCGGAGCTTTCTTCGGCGCTTTCCAGGCACACCATTGGGTTTGCTGTCGGTAGGTTTTTCGTTGGATGCCTTAGCACGGTCGCTTGTAATGCTCATGGCGCTGTGGTCCGTCTCGTTGCCGGCGTCGAATAGAGCATCAATCACCATTTCAGCTCGCATGCGCTTAATGGCTCGGCGAACAACAACTTCAGGCTCTCCAACTGTCGTAATGAAATGTGCTTCATCAAAGGTTCTCTTTTGACCAATATGTTGCGATGCGAGCCACTCTGAGAGAATGGTTTCATATGTAGCCTGCTTCGCTTCAACATCGGTGGTTTCGGCCGGGAAGACCGCCGCACCCTCGGTGCGGTCCTTGGTCTGAATTTCCATGGCCGTTTTTCGTAATCGTGTTCTAACAAAGCCCTTGAGGTCTTGAATATAGTCATAGAAGATAGGAATATCGGCGGCCGGGATACCGGTCTCGAAGACAGCTTTGATTAGGGTGGATTGATGGTTCTTGTTGAATTTCCAAGCCTCTCGAGAACTCTTCCAGAGTCTGAGGTATTCCAACGCAGGCTTTGTATCGACGGTAGGGGTAGGTTTTGATTTCTTGGCCGGGCCTTTGCTCTTTTTTGCTTCACCTGGCTTTGATGTGGTTTTGGTTGAATTGGCAACGGCGCTGTTCTTGGTCGGTGTGTCTCCAAAGGTAACAGACTTTCGTTTCCTGAGTTCGGACGTCGACGAGGTCCGGGGCTTTTTATTAGCATTTTCCCAACTGTCATTGGCACCAGCATGGGTTGCAAGTTTGCGTTTGCCATTAGGGCCCTCATATGCGCTGCCTCGGTGCCCAACGCTGGGGTCGCCGTGGGCTGACGGCGATGCTTCTGAGTAACGCTTTAGACTGGACTTTGGGCCTGCACCGTTGAACGGCCTGGCCGGACTGTCAAATGAAGGGGCCATTGTTCTAATAATGTCTAAGCAATTACTATTGGACCTGCTTCCAAATAGAATGCTCAACTTTTTTTCTTTTCCAGGGAGAAAAAGGCTGTCGATTTGCAAGGCGTAGAGACGTGCTCCCAGTTGGGCAACTTTTTTTTTTGTTCCTCACCTACCCAAAGGCAAGGGCCCACCGGTGGTTGAAGGCGCTAATCCGAATCGGGCGGGACACCTGGCGCGACGTTGTTCCGATGCCGACGCAGCTCTCCAGGCGCCAGCTGGGGCTTCGTTGCTTCTAGGCAAGCTGTGCTAACGCGTACAGACAACTACGCAATCTCTAGGGCTTCTGATCCGCTGTCAACTTCATTCAACCCATAATCCGAGCCGAGCTTCGGGTCATTATCCAAGAGATTTATACAACAACCACAAGACGAGGAATTGCCCACTAACGGCACTAACGGGCTAATCTCTTCTCACAATGTCGGGTATGATGGCATGGACAGCAGCATCACCACCACCAGCTCCAACTAACCGAATGACCTCTAGGCAACGCATACGATCGTCACATTACCATTTTCTCTGACAATGGTCGCCTATACCAAGTCGGTAAGCTATAATCGAGAGCGCTACTTGGCTCATCGAATCCCAAGCCTCAATGGTCGGATTGGACACCTCTGCTGACAACCTCAAGAATATGCCTTCAAGGCCATCACAGCCGCCAACATCATGTCTGTCGGTGTTCGCGGAAAGGACTGCGCCGTAGTCCTCTCGCAAAAGAAAGTTCCTGTTCGTACACTAAAAGCCACTGTTGCCATCAATATTATCTAACATCAGGATAGGACAAGCTGATCGACCCCTCCTCCGTTACACACATCTTCCAGATCTCCCCCTCAGTCGGTTGCGTTATCACAGGTTCCATCGCAGACGCTAGAGCATTTGCGCAAAGAGCGCAGGGCGAGGCTGCTGAGTTCCAGTACAAGTTTGGCTACGAAATGCCCGCCGATGCTCTTGCTAAGCGCCTGGCGAACATCAGCCAAGTGTACACACAAAGGGTTCGTCCCATACCGACCGCCTCTTTTCATCGCGTACCTTTCTAACATTGAGCAGGCTTACATGCGTCCTTACGGTGTTGCGACGACCATTATCTCCCTCGATTCGGAATACGGACCCCAGCTGTTCCGCTGCGATCCCGCCGGCTACTACATTGGTTACAAGGGCACAGCCGCCGGTCCTAAGCAGCAGGAGGCAATCAACCATCTCGAGAAGAAGCTGAGAAACAAGGACTGTGCTGAAGGTAGCTGGGAAGATGTCGTTGAACTGGCCATCACAACGTTGAGTACGGTGCTGAGCATGGACTTCAAGAAGGGCGAGATTGAGATTGGTATTGTTGGTGGTCCCCGCGCAGATGGCCAGGAAGGCACCGAACCTCGTTTCCGCGTCCTGACTGAGGATGAGATTGACGAGCGACTGCAGGCGATTGCTGAAAAGGATTAAATACAGCCTTGAGGGCGTGTTGCCTGTTTGCAAAACCAAAAACAGTCTCCGCCGTAGAGGCAGAGCAAGCATAAATAGATTTTGCCTGTCGTTGTTGGCAAATAGTGATGCTGCATTCTGCAGCGGCGCTTCTTCCATTTCAAGGAGTCGTCTATGTACGTGTATCAAGAAATCCAACTTTGATGAATATGTATCTTGCAGAGCTGTCACTGAGTGAGATGTATGTGGGCATAAGTACGTGCTTGATTATTGCTGCTTGCTATATACACAGAGGCCGATGCCAAGTAATGATAGGACCATTCCTACACCAGTGTCTGGCGGCAGCATACGTTAATAGATGGACACAATGACGTAGATGGAAGGGAGTTACTTACTCAGGTCAATAATCTTTCCATCAACAAACCATTCGCCCAAGACAGTAAATAGGAATGCCATGGTATTCACAATAGGGACAGTCAAGCTCAGCTCTAGGGCAAACAGAGGTGTTAGCAATCATACAGACAACGCGTATATCCAACTTACCAGCTTGTCCAATGAGGAGGAAGAACCAGACGCTGCCCGTCAGATTCAGGATCAGAGGGAAGGCATATCTGGGGTTTCGCAGCAAATCCACTACGCCAAAGAAGGCACCGTATACCTTGGGCTTCCAAAAGCTCGACTTGATGGCCTGTGACTCTAGAACTGGATGTGGTGCTGGGTTATGTGTTTGCGCGGCCTTGCGGATGAAAGGGGTAGTTCCACCCCATGCAATTCCTACGAGCAAGAAGCTCAGGATATAATTGATGACAGGAGCCGACTCTTCCATTTCTTATATCGGCGATTAATATCTAGATAAAGATGCCGGTGCCGCGTTGGTGGTGATCAATAGAGACGGTTGCGGCGCTTGATACGCGTGCGAGAGCTAACCAGGCAGAGTTACCACTGGAACCTAACGCCAGTGAGGAGTACCCTACAACCAGCAGCAGCGGGAGCAACCACGGCCTACAACACGCGCTGTAAGTTATTTTACATAAAACATACACTATGTACGCTCTACATGTTCTATATTGCGAATTGTTTCCATCAACACTTAATAGTTACCTCGTATGCGTATGGACTGCAGAATAGCCTATCCGTATTAAAGAATCGCTTGATTCTCCACCGGCTGCATGTCACGTTGCAAAGGTAAGTCTTGAATCGCATTAAAGTACGATTCATAAACGAACTACGCTCTGTCTGGTTATTCTTAATTTTTTTCGAAGCGTGCCCAATTCATGACTCAAGTCTTGCTCAATCCCCGATCGTGGCTAACCTTGTTTCCCCGGTACAAGTTTCAGGTTTATCAACAGGAAGAACAGCGACACTGACTCTGCGAAAGGACCCTTATGAATTAAAGTACATACTCGTATTTCGTCTACTCCGGGACAGAGAAGCAAAAACACCTCAACCGACGGCTAATTCTGCATGCCGCCCGCGTGATGTTTTTGCGGAGGCGGGCCCCGCGAGTAACCTTCCTGACTGAGTAAGTCAGGACCACAATCCCGCTTCTTCAAATGCACCTATTCAATATACATCTCGGCACGCTACTCAAATTGCCCCCCCCCCCCTCCGTACACCTGGTTGGTGTCGCTTAGCCTAACTAAGATGTACCTTGAATTGCCGAGTCCTTGATCATGGTCGGCACCCTCCCCAGTAGGCGGCGACTCAGCGCATATAAACTAGACAAGCTCCCCAGTCCTCTCCAACTTCGTAAAGGCGTCCATTATCCCATTTCAAAGTAATCGGCAATATGAAGTTTTCCATTGCTTCCCTGCTTGCGCTGGGCACCACGGCATTGGCCTCCTCGGCCTCCGTCTGCCCTTCAACCAACGCCCACACCAGTGGCAAAGAGCTCCAGAAGATCCTCGACTACAAGAAGAGCAGCCACCAAATTACTGCGGCCTACTTCCGCTCCTGGAGAGACATTGCCAGCAACAAGACCGTCAACAAGAATGCTCTGACCGATCTTCCCGATTGCGTTGACATTGCGTTCGTGTTCGCCGAGGGCGACGAGCCTGCCGCGTACTACACCACGCTCAAGAACACCTACGTCCCTACGCTTAGAGCCCGTGGCACAAAGGTCATCAGAACCCTCGGCATTAAGCTTCTTGCCGACAAGGCTTACACCAACGATGCTAAGGGTTATGCGTCGCTCGCTCAGCACCTTATCGATACCTACGTCACTGCACACGGTCTGGACGGCCTCGATATCGACGTCGAGGGCTACCTCGATGCCTCTCAGCAGAAGCAGGTCATTGGCGTTTTCGGCGAGCTGTCCAAGTCTCTTGGCCCGAAGTCTGGCACCGATAAGATTTTGATCTACGACACCAACCAGGATGGCGACACCGATCTCTTCAGCGCTGTCAACTCTTACGTCAACTACGTCCTTGTCCAGTCCTACGGCAGAAGCGTGAGCTCTCTTCAGGGAACCTGGGATACCTTCAGCCCGTACATCAAGAGCAGCCAGTACCTGATTGGCTTTTCCTTCTACGAGGAGCGCGGTGCCAGATGGGGCGATACCACCACGCCCATGAACAAGAGCAGAGCCTACCAGTACGCTGCTTGGCAGCCCAAGGGAGCCACCAAGGGTGGTATTTTCTCCTATGCCACGGACCGTGACGGTGTAAAAGAGGGTAGCGACGACCTTGTTGCCACTGACTTCTCCTGGACCCGTTCTTTCATCTCCCAGATGAACCCTTAAGTCAATAGTTGCAAGCTCACATCGCCTTGGTACATAGCGGCGGGCAGCTGCGTGGAATTATTGGCATTAAATACCTGGATACAATAAAACAAGTATATAAGAAAAGGTAATCTCCTAACCCCGTCCTGAACAAGCGTAAAAAGTCGAAACCCAAGAACATAATGATATCTATAAAGCAGCAAACTTCACCTGGTTTCTGAATAGTCGTTCAACGCGACACACACGGCTCCTCTATGATGACCGTTGTACTGGCGAATGATCTGTTGGCTGTGGAGCTCCCACAATCTCGCATAGTGATCTGAACACGCTGTAACCAGGTACGCAGAATCTGCACTGAATGCGCAATCCCACACCCAGCGCTGGTGGCCAGTCAAGGTTGCTTCGAGAGGCAGAGCCTTGGCCTCTGCATTACCGGCTTCCAGGACCGAGTCTTGCACTTCCCAAATCTTAGCAGTGTGGTCTGCACTGCAAGTAGCAAGCTTCTTGACATCCGGTGAGAGTAAAATGCGCGTAATATACTCCTTATGAGCGCTAAAGTGCGTGACGGGCACCAGGCGTGTGCCATTGTATTCCGTGTGAAACGCCCAAATAAAGACATTGCCCTGTAAATTCAAAGGTCAGCTAGAACGAAATGAAATGATATAAGGAATATAATGCTTACAGCATTATTTGCTGCACAGAGAAGAGTGCCGTCGCTTCCAACCGTGACGCTAGAGACCGAAACGTCTTCCTCTGGCGTGAGATGGTGCGCGCATGAGTTCTCAGCAAGATCCCAGACCCTGACAAAACCTGAGCGGTCGCAAGAGATAATTTCTCCCTGGTTCGGATGAATGACGACATCGTTCACAGGGCTGTTGTGGTTGTAGCTTCGTTGGATCGTTCCGGTCCTGGTCTCCCAAATCTTTACTGTGCCATCTTCGGAGCTCGTCACCATCCATTTCCCCTCGCAATGGAACGCAACACCAGTGATGTTTCCCGTGTGTCCCTCAAACGTTAACAACGGACTCGGGTTCGTCGACTTGATGTCGTAGAGCTTGATAGTGTGATGGCCGGCGGCCGCGAGAAACCGCTTGTCGGGCGATATGCATAGGCGGTTGACCTGCGAGTCTGGATGCTGTATCGTTCGGGAACAAATACCGGAAAGCGCCTCCCAGAACCTGTCTCCGATGTTAGTTGCCGTCGGCGGCTGAGTCGCTCGGACGTGGCTGAAGCTATGAATCGCAAACGGACCTGATCGTGTGGTCGTAACCGGCTGCCAAAGCGCAACAATGTTAGAAAACTGTCATAAATAATGAAAGAATGCGAGGCGCTTACCTGTGCAAAGAATGACCGACATGTCAACCGATTCTTTCTAGTTGCGCCGTCGGCTGTGTGCACCGTGGAGCAGGGAATTTGCGGGAAGACAGACACAAGCTTGTCGGAAGTGACGCTCTGAGATGTCACGTTGTGGCGGGGAGTAGGTTCAGCAGCTGGGCTGAGTTCTGTGTGGGGTCTCCAGGCAGCTTCACCATCGCCTGGAGCTCGACGCTGGTGGAAGAAAATGATTTAAAAATTATGGAAATAATGTTACGCGCAGTATTGATGAAATTGAGAGTCATTTGAATAATTCATGAATATTATAAATGCTATGGGTATATCTAAAATAGTCGGCCGTCCCCTTGGCCTTTGCGCTGTCTAACCTCGAAGCGCCTTTCGGTTTGTGTATCATGCTCATAATGAAAAAAAAGAAAAGGAAATAATAACGCCAGAAACAATGTCTGCTTAGCCAGAAGTAATGCAAAAAGTGTAGCCGTCATGCCCTCCTTATTGTGTTGGGTTGAAACCGTTCAAAGGTAGACACGACGTCTGTGAGACAGGCCAGTCTACTCTCTTGGGTAGGTGTATAGACCGGGGCCTTCACCGTCGCTTTTTCTTCTCTTTGAAGAAGTCTTTCGTTTCTCTGATTTATCTTCTTGGGTTTCCATATCGCTGCCTTCGCTACCGGAAGACTCCGATTCTATCGATGCAGTCTCTCTTCGCTCACGGGATCGCTTTCTTGAGAAGCTTCCGTTGAGCTGTCGTTCAGTATTGGCGTAGCGCTCGTCGCAAACCATATATCCCTCATCAGGCCGTGTCTCGTCTCCAGGAATAATAATAAGGTCTTGGTATCTCAGAGGAGGCAAATCAACAGCGTCATCCGCCGTCCAGCCAGGGGGCACCATTCTAACCATGGAGCCACCGCAGTATTGGCAGTCGAGAGCGCTGGATTGTGGAAGTTAGCATAAAGTGTATCTCCCATTGTGGCCGGCATTGCACGAACCTTTTAATGTTACACATAACACAGAGAACAGGCGTCATGCCAAAGGCTCTGCCAATGTCGTATCCTTCGTGAAGCAGGACCATTGTGAGAGTGTGTGGTTGGTGCTGGCTGGGTACTGTGGATATTGTTGGTATAGTAGTTCGTGGTTTCAGCGTTGCTGTGTAAAGGCGAAATGAATGAATGTGAACGCAGCAGCAGCAGCACCAACAATTGCGAGCCCAGAGTAATAATAAGAGATAGAAAAGCAAAATAAAAAAATCCTTTCAGAAAAAGAGTCGACGACTCGCGAGACTTTTATAAATAGCGGCGTCTCACCGGAAAGCAGAGACAAGGTAAGAGACAGGACACGACGAAGCGGAGCAGGCCCCCAAGACAGACAGGGATCCGCCGCCTGTCGTGCATACATCGCCTCGCATCCCATCCTCACACTGACGCACGACGCAACACGGGGTCAATCGATCACTATTTGTGCATGACGGCGATTGCTCTTTTGGGTGGGTGCCACCGCCCACTGCTGTAACAAGTTATTATTTTTTGTTGTTATTCTTTCCACCTCCTCCTCTAACGGCTGCCTCATCGCATCTCCTTCAGACCGCCTCGATCCTCTGATTTTCTCCACCAAAGCCCACCCATGTCGTGTTACCTTGTCGTGTCTCTTCGTCGCCCTGTCTCACCATCATCCCAAGGATACGCTAACGGACGTGGACAGGCGCCCAGAAGTCAGCAAACCGGCATACAAGAAGCACAGCCAATAAAAAAAAAAACAGCCAAAGATGAGATAATCCAAACGCATAAGGCAGACATAATCGTATGCGCATGCAGAACCGCATCATAATTGCCCAAATAGGCAAAACAGCACCCTCGGCATGATGTAACTCGCGTCAGCATGGCCACAGCTATCCTCACCACTTCTCATCTTTTCCCACTTGCTTGAAGCAGTTTTTTTTTCTGCTTTCATTTTTGAAGTGGCTCTGAGGCATTGGCTTGCACGTCATGCTTCATCTTGTCGCTGGAATTGCGAGCTGTCCCCTCGTCGCAAGTCCCTCGACTCCTGCGTTTCATGTTCCTCCCAACATGCCCACAGCGACACCAACTTCTAACAATTATAGCATCATAACAATATCGACCCAACAGCGGCTTCTCCTACCCTCTGATCAACGACTTGATATTTTCTCGACGTTTTTATTGGATAAGAAGAGACCTTGATGCGAGATTCGACATTGTTGGCCACAGTCGTGTAATAGCACTAAAGGTAGGTCTTCTCCTTAGCAGAGCCATAATCCTCAAAGGGACTGTAGATTAAATTTGGACTTGAGATGTTTATGTCATGAAATTAATATTTCATCTTGCTCGGTCATTTCGAAGGCGTCTCAAATCGCAGTCTTGATACCGAGTTTGTAGACCGGGGATGCGAGACGCCGGCCAGACGTCTCACGTGGCCCTCGATTCACCTGCAAATCCCTTGATCGCTTATCATGGAATGAGTCTGGTATGCGTGTTGCTATTTCTCTGTGGTAATTTAATTGCTGTGTCAAATTTTAGTGATGCTAGAAACCCAATTAGGTCTCGCAAATGCTATGTGGTTTCGGTGCTCTCTGTAGGATCCCAAGCTTGCATAGCTACTCTCAGGACAATTTGCAAGCACCACAGCACCAAGTAATTGGGGGAGCGTTAACACGTAGTAAAATTATGTCAAATTCATTCTTTCCGTCTCTGTCAGTATAAAGACTGCAGTTGATACTCCTATGTAAATTCCAACTCCCTAAAGCCACCCTGGCTTAAAAACAGCTAAGCAAATACAGTCAAAGATATGTGTCAAACAGTACAAACCGAAAACAAAACAAAACCAGAATATCTCAAGGTAACCCAAATCGACCAACAACATGCCATATGCTTAAAGTGCAGGGGCACTTGCAATCAACGCGGCCACAGTCGCTACACCACCAAGCGTCATGTATCCAAACACCTCCGCGGCCTTGCGAATCCTCTTATACGTACGGTCGTCGGTATCCCCCTCTTCTCCAACATCACGATGTGCTCGCTTAACGGCCTGTGAATCAAGAATGACCTCCGCAACCTGAGTTTCAACAGATTGCTTCACTTTTTCTACCTTTTCCGTGAAGCGACTGGGAAGAGGGGCAATCTTTCGCGTTGCTGGCGGCTCGGCAGGTGAAATCTCGCGAATGTCACTCGTCGCGCATAGGGTTTCTTCAACGGAGGTTGGCGGGGTAGAGTCTGTTACAGCTGTTGAAGTTGTCAGCTTCAGAAGGAGTGCTTCGGGCCACACGACAAACTTACCTTGTGCATCTGTTGGAGTGTCGTCAATCTCCACCAGATCAATTGTTACAGTAGTGTCTTGCACCATGAGCTCATCTCTTGGATCTGGATCTGAATGAGCAACATCCAGCAAAGCATCCTTTGGTGGCACATCAGGATCAATCGAAATGACATTGTCCTGTGAGAACGGCACCGAAATATCGTTTACTTCCAACATTGTCGTTTCTTGAATTTCGTCCCGGTCATCGAATTCGTCCACAATATCATCGAGGTCCAATTCTTCGTCAGAGGACTCAATATCGATGAGCCCATACGTCTTGACTCTGTCGTCTCTGCTACAGAGCAGGTTAGGCTTAGAAAGACTTTGGCTAGAATCAGCATAACTTACCGCTTTTCACCCCTGATGATCTCAATGACCTTCATGATGCATCTTGGGAATTCTTGGCCGTCACGGGTAATGGTTATGCCAAACGCAATCATGTCATCCTTTGCGAGCTCCTGTGCACCATGCATGGCGGTTGCAGAGCCGTTGTAATAGGTTCCGTGTGTCGATCCGTGGTCTTCGATTAGGATGGTCTATCTCGAGTTAGCGTCGTACTAGCAAGCTTCTCGCCCCTATGACATACCTTTGTTTCAGGATCCAAGGAAACTGTAGCGTGCTCTCGGGACATAATGGGTGAGCTGATATAGCCGTTATCGGCCGCTGGCTCCAGGTCATGGTGCTTGGAAGAGCATCGCCCAAAAATCACTTCCGGGTTTGCGGCGCTGAGAAGGATTTCGCGTTTGGGCTCGATAAATCCAGGCACAGGGTTCACGGCCTGGAAGGTTACTTGAACTGTATCCATGTTAGCTGTGACAAACTGAACAAGTATATGACCAAGGCACTTACCCTCGTCTTCAAAGAGAACGTTCATTTTCAGAGGTTTCTGGTGATAAATGAGGGAGAAAAGAACCAAGCGAGAACCAGTTTGGCTCAAATGATTCCTACTCTAAGCGCCGTGAAGCCCCGCACCTCACTGCACGACGTCGGCAATGGGATGCAAGCGATGGGGAGAGACGGCGCTGGGCAAAGGTTTTCCTTGCGTAGATTCCTTAAGCTATTGTGCGAGTTTCAGAGACCTGCAACGTATCTGCTTTTGGAGTTTGAAGAGGGCGGTGGGGTTGTGAGTAGGATATCTTTTTGCTTGTTTCAGAAGTGTCAAGTCTGGAGTGAAGCACTGGTGAGTGAATCGCGCTGAGCTGGGTCGGCGGGGCAGGCAGTGCCGGCTGCGCTTCTGGCATCCACTGGACACTGTATGGCCACTTGACCAGTGACCACTAGGCAGCCACCCGTTATCTAATCAAGAAGGGGAAGCAGCCGATATGGCTCCCTTCGTTGAAAAGAGAGATATATTCCTAGGGGTACCAAACACGGGGTTATTATATAGATGATGTTCTCTAAAGTTGAGGATGCCGTTTGTATAAACGGCCATCGAGCCGTTAGATGGAGGCTTGAAAGAGTTAGAGTGTAGGGCTGCGAGTAATAAACCGAGAATCCATACTAGCTGTAATACGTTGGGATGGTAGTAAAATACGTGCACCAGTCGCTAGCCCATATACAGCCGAAATCATCCAGTGCGATGGATCATCGACGCTTAAGTGATTGGGCTGCAAGCTAGAGGCACCCCTATGCCTGGCCCCAAGTTTGAATGTCATGCACAAGACAGGGCGTAACCTAGCCTGTCGCATTTCCCCCATTCTCGTTCTAATCGATTCTGTCAGCTAATGTCAGACATGTTTCTACCCGTCGGTGTGTTCAGCCCTCTTGGCTACGCAATGCACTATGTTGGCGGTGCATGCGTGGCGCTTGCCACTGCGCTATCTGGCAGCTCACCGCTTCTACTTTATTAATATTTTGCCTTCTGTAATTTGCCCAAGATGGTTTATGACGACTTGTATGAACAGAAGCCATGATAAAGACAAGTTGCGGTCACCAAGATCTGGGGAAGACACCATGAGCTACAGCGACCTTCCAGCAAGCTTAGTATGAAGACCTAGATTTAAACGGCTTCCGCAAAGACAAAGATAGGAGTGCGGAAACTTTAATTTCGAGCCAAGAGCCTCTATAATGCCGAAGGTGACATGCACTGGTTTACGCTAGCGGGCCGCTGGCGATTCCACATGATTAACGATTATGCAGCAGACACCGCTGACCCCGCTGAAAACAGGCCTAACTGAGGGGGGTTCAGCGCCCCACGATGGAGCCCAACCAGAACCCGGAGTTGTTTGTCCTGGGCAAATTTGAAACATTTTGCTGGCCGGCAGATGATGGGGAAAGTTTTTACCATGTATTACCAGCAGTAGATTGTGGTTCTCCTACGTTTACTATTCTTTAAAACCTCTCTGGAAAGTATTCACAACACTAACAACCGCCATCATTTGGTCCAGTGGCGATCTGGAGCAAAGGCGGGACATCACCTCGCCGTCCCGTGCTCCAACGGCCCAGTTTTCTTTCTACATTTAGCGAGTCCACAAGCGGTCGTGACGCCACTGGCATATCACTAGCGTCGAACCCTGGCTACCACAAAATCGCACAAGAATCCCGATTCTCCTCCCTTGTCTTCTGCCCTGACATACAAACTTAGTCCTGCTCACGACAGCATCCCTCCCTCTGTCAAGAACCTAAAAGGCTTCGGCCCTGCAGATTTCAGAAACCTTTCGCTCCATCGGCGGCGTCTCATCCCCAACCCTTTCGCCAACCCGCCTTCAGCGCAAGACGACAGCTTCGCTCCATGGATTTTAGCCCCCGCACAGTTTATACAGCATACAGCACAGATTATCGCATAAGAAGCTCACTGATTTACTCAAATCCAGCTTGAACAGCAGCACATCGCGGCTCTCCAACTACTACTCCCATTACCTTCGCTGCCCTTGTGGCAAAGTCCTGGATACAGATCAACTACGTTGCTCCCTTCACATCCATATTCCACGCTTCTAGCCGTCACAAACGATGGATCACGCCAGAGTCAAGGCCCTAAAGGGCGGCAAGACCACCTCGAGAAAGGCAATCAAGTCCGGCCGAGCTTCGGGAAACATCACGCCCAAGAGTTCTCCCATGGCCTCGCTTCTGACATCACCAACACACTCTACCGCCCACAGCCGTGCAGCATCGGACGACAGTGATGATGGCGACTCTGATCTCGAGGTCGATATGATCTCCAGTGTCCACTCTGCTAGCTCTGTCACTGAGACTACGGACGAGAACGGTTCCGTCACACTCGACACCAACGCTCTACTCGAAAACATTCAGGATCATAAGCGCAACAATAACACAACACGAGAGGAATTCTTGGAAGCATTTATCAAGGTTATTCGAACAAAATATTCACCAGAAACCCACCTATGGCTCGACGACGCCGCTACCGAATTGACCGATGCATTCCTGAGAGGTGCTAACCGCGCCGAGTCTCCCAGGGAGCGTCTATTAAACTTACAGGCCTTCTGTGTCACTGTGGGCTGCGTTGAGGAGCTGGAGATTTACGAGGGTGCCCACACAACACTAAAACAGGTATTGGTAGACGATGACGACGACGAATGCCGAGTTTGGGCCATTTACGGCCTTTCCATGGCGGTCCTTTATGGCGGCGGTGTTGAGGAAGCGGCCCTGGAAATTATGGAATACTTCATCGATATAATCCAAACAGATGGTGACTCTATTGAAGCGCAGGACAACGTAGCAATCGTTGCGGCCGCTTTGGCTGGCTGGAGCTTTGTTGCCAGTCACGTTGATGACTACTCCGAATACGCTGAAGCTGCCATGGATTCATTTGTCGATCAACTCGACAGCAGCAACATTCAAATTCAATCCAACGCCGCACGCTGCATAGCGTTAACGTTTGAGTCCTCTCGATCCCATGAAGAAGATACGGGGAAGCCATTCCAGCTGCCATATGATCCTCAAAAGCTGGCTGGCCGTCTCAACGAGATCGCCAAGATGTCGTCCAAGTCGGTCTCGCGCAAAGATCGCCGCGAACTCCGCGATAACTTGCTGAGCGTCGTTACCTCGCTGGAACGAGGTCTTGGTCCTTTCTATTCCGAGGCCCGCTATGTCCCCGAGCCTGGTCAAACAGTTGCTGCGGATCAAATGACCGCTGATGGCGATTATGAGTATGGATATAGATACCGTTTGCGCCTTGGTGGACGAATGGCACTTGTTGACTCATGGTCACTATACTGCCGTGTCCTCATGATGAAGACACTATTCCGCAATGGGCTTGAAAAGCATGTCCTGGTGAATCCGATTGTGACGGAATGCTTGGACGATGCGGACTGGTCTATTAATTATGGAAATAATTGATGACCCTAATGAAACAATTCTTACGAAGAAGATTGAAATACGATACTCAATGTTTATCTTTCAAAGCACATACCTATGATTGCCCACAAACCGACGGGATTGGAGGTTTACGATACTCCCAGTATACAAACACTACAGTAGTAATGATACATGAATAGATTGTTGATACCACCTTACCTCGTGTACTGTACAAAGCTATAGAACTGTAGCATAATAATACATGTAGAGCTGAACACAACGGTAACCTGGGAGTGTCTTGAAAATATAACATTATTCTTAAAACCATCGCCTGTCTTCTGATTAATGACCTTCACCCAACTTCCTACACAGTCAAGCCAAAACTTCAAAATTTAGTGGCCACGTGCGGCTGCCAAACAATGCGAACCCCGAGAAGTAAAAACGCGCCAATTAACGTAAGCGACGAAGAAAAGGTGAAAACCCCAACCCATCCGGTGGACGTATTGCGAATAGCACCGCTGATGGGTCCTCCTGCCAGGGCACCAAAAGAACAAACGGCCATCATGGCACCGATTCTCAGCCCAATGTGGCCCATGTCTGGCGTCGTCTGAGCAACACATGCCGAACCAAGGGGAACTAGGCCACCGGAAAAGAGTCCGAAGAGGGTAGCAAACGCTATCAAGCTTGGCAGCGATGTCATCCAGATGCAACCAAAAGTTATGAGACTGGTTCCCAGCGAAATTGTGAATAGTACAGTGAATCTGTCCATGTCAGTAGGGATATTGATCACATCGTCTGGAACACATTACCTGCCAAAGAAATCCGCCATCCAACCAGATCCAATCCGGCCTATGAAAGAGCCTGCGTAGCCTATTGCTAGCAAATTGTTTGACATAGTAGCTGGTACTTTCTGCTCCTCGGCGTAGACAGGTATGTAGTAGAAAGGCACCAGCATACCACAATATATAAACAGCAGTGACAGGCAGAGAAATCCGAACCTCTATTCCAGGATTGCTTTGGCATAGCTGCGTTGTGGTAGCTTGCTTTCGTGTCCCGCAGTATCATGCCCAGCCACTCCCTTTCGTTCTTTAACCAAAGCGCACGATACTAGTAAAAACGGTATCGTGATGAGAGCAATGATACGGTGAACCCGCCCGTCATCATTGGCAGAATTGGTAGAGAACAATTTATCGAGCAGTACTGGCCATATAACACCACCTACTGAGCTCCCGGATACAGCAAGGCCGAGGGCAAGCGCACGCTTTTTGTTGAACCATTCTGATATGGCGCTCGTCGATGGATAAAACCTAGAGAGTGTCAGACTTGTTTGGAATATTGAAAACGGCGTCCATACAAAAGTGAGTTACCGATACCAAATAGAATGCCTTGAGATAGCAGAAATTGATAGAATTCCCTAGAGAAGCTTGCGCCAATGAAAGAGATGAGACAGCAAAGGGTTCCGCAAAGCATGAGCGGACGTGCGCCCCATTTGTCGAAAGCCGGGCCAACAATGACACCACCCAGGAATAGAACAAATAGCTATACCATATTAGCAACCATTCATACCAGTAGTTAACGAAATCTTACTTGAACACTCCCGATCCAAGTAATGACGGATGAGTTGAATTCTGGCCAGGCCTTCTCGTACCGTGCCTGAAAGGTTCCGAACGAATTCAAAAGACCTATTCCGATTAGAACAAATTGGTGCATATAGTCAGTTTGAATAGCTACCAAAGGCCAGTGTAAAGTTGAGAAATGCTCCAAAAACAACCAGCCATGCCCGTCGACCGCCGTCAGGAACGCCAATGTGGTCAGGCTGGCGATGTTCGTTGACCGTCGCGTTTTCTTTGTCGGAGTCGTCGTAGATTTGCTGTCCTTCTTCCAAGACTTGCGGCGAACGAATATCGGCTTCGACTTTCGGGTATTCAGAGTTATTTATCTGCGGCAACGTATCTGCATGATGGTATGTTTGTTGTTGCGCTCCGTCTGGTTGCTGCACAGGATGCGGCGACACTGGTTGAAGCTCATTCATTATCTTTGTGCTAGGTTCCAAGGGAGCAAAAGTAATCCAGAGAACCTAAATAATAGTGTTCAATAGAGTTGTATAGTAGCCAATGTAATTAAATGATGAAGAGAGCAAAAGGAGAAGACAGCCTGTTAAGACCAAGAGATCTCGTCTTAAGAGACGGACAGCTTGAGTGAAGTCACGGAATTGACGAACGATGGGAGCATAAAGATTCTATGGGTGAAGGGAAAACAACGCAGAGTTGAGCTGCTGACCTACTTCCTTTTCATTTTCTCTACTAAACGGTGGCACGCAACCAAAAATCTGACGTTTGCCAGCTGCGGCCAGCTGCCAAGGTGAGCCGTTCTTGCCCTCGCTTACACGAGCACATAAAACTGACGTGGTGATGATGCATAGGAATCTGAATCACGAGTGAGGATATTGCTCCTTGTTGAATCTTGAAAACTCTTCCAAAAAAAATTGTATTTTCTAATTCCCCCTTTTAGATAAAAGATTGATTGGTGTTTCTTGCACTCCGTTGTGCAATATTTTATGTGCTAATATCTCATTGCGTAGAACATCTACAGAGGGCGAACAGGACGTTTTAGGTGTTCACATCACTTGGCTTTAGCGCTCCCATGGGTTCCTCAGGCACCAGGCAAGTCGCAGGGCGGCTAAATCGGGGCCAAGTCCCGTGGGGCCTTCAAACGTCGTCACCACATTATCAGAACATTTGGCACCAAAGGAGCAAGGTCACTTATAACACAAAAAGACGTTGTTAACATCATGAAAACATACGTCGCGATCCCTGCAATATTAGCGCTTGTTGCGCGAGCGGTATCGAAGAAGTCGCTCACACCAGGAGGTATCGCCGCCGCCGTTGCAACCGCGACTGCGCATGCGTATCACCCCTGGAATTTACCTTTTGCGTTATTGGTCATCTTCTTTTTAGCTGGTACCAGAGCAACACATGTATGGTTTGATATGTTGAAATAAAATTTTGATGCTAACCGCGTGTTTAGGTCAAAGAGCGCGTGAAGGCGTCGATGACGTTGAAGTCCACCGGTTCATCCGGAGGTGAGGGCCCAAGGAACCATATCCAAGGTTTGGAAGTTCAGTCTACAATTTAAAATCCACTTCTAACCATTTCATAGTGCTTGCAAATTCTCTAGTTGCATCTATTCTGACTGTGCTTCATGCCAGACAGCTCTACGCTCGTAGTGAAAGATTCCTTGAACAAGGCAACTCTTACGCCGGAATCCCTGACCCAAGGAACTCGCTCTGTTACTCGTGGGGTGGGGATGTGCTTGTTGTGGGTATCATCGCCAACTATGCTGCGGTTGCAGCAGACACTTTTAGCTCTGAGTTGGGTATCCTGTCCAAAAGCGAGCCTCGCCTCATCACTTCGCTCGGTTTCCGTAAAGTACCTCGCGGTACAAACGGCGGTGTCAGCTTAATGGGCCTTGCGGCTGGATTGTTTGGATCTATTCTCATCGTCGCATCGGCTATGATGTTCCTGCCAAGCTGTACTGAGGAAACTGCTCAAGTCATGGGTGGTGGCCAAGCGTGGACAATGGAACAACGCCGGATCTTCATGGCATTTTTGGTATTCTGTGGATTCTGTGGAACATTGCTTGATAGCATCCTCGGTGGCCTTTTCCAACGCTCGGTGAAGGATGTACGATCGGGTAAGATTGTTGAAGGCGATGGTGGACGGCGAGCATTGGTATCATCCGACGCTCCTTCTAATACAGCATCGGCGAAAGAGAAGGGTTCAACTGGTGTTAAAACGCAGACAGCTTCAAGAGTTGTTGAAAGTGGTTGGGATTTACTTGACAATAACGACGTCAATTTCTTGACGGCCGTAACTGTTAGTGTTGGGGCAATGGCAGCTGCAAGTTGGTACTGGGGTATCCCTATGCAGGATATTTGGGTTTAAGGCCATGCCTGCAGGGGCAGTAAGGGTCATTGGATGTTGGAAGTCAGTTGAGTCTGGGAACGTTGTTGGTTATGAGGTCATCGAATGTCCCAGCCTTACATGTATGCTGCAAAGGAGGCACCGAGAGGGGTTCCAAAGTTTCACTCGTGCGTTATATGAGCTTGGGGGAATTGCAGCTCTATAAGTACTTGGAATCCAACGCCAGCCTTCTTAGCAACGCTTCCGGCATGTCCTATCTTGGCGAGATATGCGAAGCCACGTGGTCGGCACGCAGGTCGATATCTTCCTATATAGGAAGCCAGCCATGGTATGCTGAGCGTCAGATATAGACGCAGGCGGCGAAAGTTTGGGGGTAACCTTATAGGAACACCCTTGGAACCCCCAAACGGATTGTACCAGGCGCTTCCGTCTTAAACGGCAGGACTCGGATGGGGTGTCTGAAGCAAAGAGATGTCATCTGTGCGTTTCTCTTGAGACACACCCTAATGCCACACTTGATCTTGTTCCTGATCTTGATTCTTTAAAGATATGCTTGCCGCATGTTACGATCCTGGGGAAGCTCTGCGGCTACGAGATCTGAAGGAGAGCGTGGTTCAGATCGTGATTCTCCACACCACGTCTTGTGGTACATGGACAGAGCGTCGGCATCTCGGCCAAACCTTTTTCACGAAGAGCAATAGATTGTATTACAAGTTTATCATGTTCCGGCCTCGGCTGTCCCACGTAGCTTCCGTTGCCGGCGGATTGAGATCCCAGGACCAAGGCGCCAAAGCAACCGGAAGAGAATCGGACGCGACTGTGCGACGCCGGTTGGTCGTCGGACCTGTATCATACTTCCCCACAAATGATAGAGCCAGCACCGAAGATAGGGTGATGATCTGTAATAGGGGACCTATCATTGCTGCCGAGATAAAGGCTTGGCTTGTGAAATCCGGGGAGGTTTCCACGCCTCCCCTGGCAGGCTGGGGTAAAGGAATTGATAGTATTGGGATTGGTGGCTCCGAACTATTTTCGCCTCTAACTTGGGAGCCAATCAAGGGACAGCGATAAGTTTGCGGCTACCCAAGGGGGGTGGCGTTACTGCTTAGCACGTAAACTTCGCTCGCGAGACCAAAGGGACGACTGTGTCAAAGGGCGCATAGTCGGTGAGACAGCATAAAAATTTAATAAGAAAAAAAAGGGCTACATGGAAAGCCGGTTTACCGATAGGACAACATCAGGTTTCGCTTCGTATGAGGCATTAGTTGGCTATGCGCGTTTTTTAAAAATGCCCTGTCATTTTTCTGTTGGCCGCTGTCACGATCGTTTTCGGCTAAGAGTAGCGTTGCAGTCAGTGCCCGCATGGCAGTGGAGAGGCACTTTCGGACGCAAGGAAATGGCGCGTTTGACGATTCGCTGTCGCATCATGGGTGGCTTTAGTGAACAGCATGTGAATGCCCTGCCTGCCCTGATGCGGCCAGCGCCTGAAAATGAAAATGACAGCCGTGCGCGTACAGTGCGATAAATGTTTCAATGTCTCTCAAGGACCTACATTTGCTTCAGCGGTATAAAACAGCGCGATGGTAGAAGACGGACATGTTTGCCATGTATTTTGATAATGCTGTTGATGATGAAGTTGTTGGTTGCATACTTGGCTTGTAACGGGTCTCGTCTATTATTCATTTGTAACAATATCAAATTATTTTTCCTTGTTTTTTGGTTCTTTTTGTTCGATACCAATGTTCCTCACGATCATTTTACTGCCCTGTATCCAGGAGCCAGAAGTGGAGTATACTGGCGATTGCCCAACTACCGCCCCAAGTCTGGGGTAGGCGAGACCCAGTTCTGGGCACTCCAGGGACCAGCCAACCAGGCATTAGGCAATGCGAACTGCTGACGGCGATGCGCTATAGGCTACCCTGTTGGTTGATATCATTTGATCTGGTACATGCGTAGTATAAATCGAACCTGATCTTACAGGATAACCATTCACATTAGCATGTTACCATCAATTACATCATTATACTTCTACTTGTTTGTTCATACCAAGGGCCGGCGTCCAAACACTGCATTGAATTACGTCGGTGGGGAGAGGATCGCCGAAGCCGTAGCCAAAATCATGAGGTTAGTGACGCAATGAGCCGTCATCATCAATGCAACAAAGGTTGGCTACAGGTGGTGAGAACAAAGGCGCAAACGACATTCGATAAAATCTTCTAGAAAAGCATGTAAAAATTCATCTAATTAGCATTCAGCTGAGTTATCCCGCTAGAACGCCGCGGTTACCCGTCACGGCAGCAGTCGGTTGCCGCAGGCATCGGGTCAGGCGAGAGGGCGACTCAGGCGGAGGAGTCTGGATTGGAATTTAGTGGGCTGCGGGTGCAGCTCTGATTTGGGGGGCAAATTTGGGGGGCACCTCCTGCACCGTAAATTCCACTTTACGGAGCACCCGAGTCCACTGTTTTCCCTGTCCGTCACGGATTTTCGTCCCCCCAACCTCACCCCAGCCCCTGGAATGGTCTCGCCGTTTGCTGCTGAGCCACTGCCAAAAATAGGCCCGCACACTCACACGAGCACAGGTACCAGGCTGAAGCCGGTGGTTCCTCAACGCGAGTAGGCAGTGCTACGAAGATCTCGTAAAAAGGGGACGCTTTCTATTTTGGTTGTTGGGGGCACAATAGCGAGATCTAATGCTGTGATATTTTACGAGGTCTAGGAGAAAAGATCATTTTGTTTAACGAGAAACAGGCACCTCTTTAGCACCATCGCCAATATTCGGGAGTCCTGCGGTTATAATCGTACAGTGCGCGCATTATACCTGTGGATTTGCCCGTGGGGTGACAGTGGGCGGGCCCCCAAGAATGGCGCCGGCAGTATTAGGTACTGTACATAAAAAACAGAGCGATTTAGCCCAGCGCTGAATGCTGCATATTCAATAGAGCTGTAGAATGGGCTGGGCTCAGCAGACGCCGCTTGGACAAGGCGGACAAAGGCAGTGCTGACCCCAAAAGGGCTGTATTTTGTTCCGGTATAGGGCAGTTGGCTGGCATGAAGCTGCCCGTGGCTCAGCGATACTGGTGTAAATCTGGGCAGTGTCCGATGGGCCGGGGTCGAGTAAAGGGTTTCGCGTGGCACTAAAATGTCAGTCAGTTACTGTACTGACATGCAGTTACTGTACTGACGCACCTGAGCCCACTACAACTTTCAGGTATACCCCGAAAGTTTGGGGGCGCGCAGGCGGAGCGCTGGAGGGAGCCAGTAGCAGGGCTGGAGGGGCAACTGATAACGAAGTGAGTACGCTACACCCACCCCCCCATTTCCTTATCGGCGCCCTCTGGCGATAAGCACATCGCCCGCGTTTGTGCGGCTCTAGAAACTGGCAGCAGACATGTGCCGCCGACGCAGAGGGTTCTGGACCGACGCGTTCTGCATGTTGGTTTTGCAGAGATTTTGAATCTCCGGCCTAAAGGAAAAAAGTCAAAGACTTGTAGTAACCATGCGAATTCAGCAGTCTGATCCAGATACAATACATGCGTTATTTCTACCGTTGAATTCTGCAAGCATCCATGGCCAGCGTGTCTCGCACAGCCTGTTGCAGCTTTGACAGCGCCGGCGGCGGTTCGTCGCCTCTTTGGCAACCCGTGCACCTTAGTCACACCCCTCCCCACCTACCCACCCCACCCCGCTAAAGTAGTTTTCGGCGCCGTCCCTCATCATTTTCGTTCTCGTGCTGCCAAACGCTGTCATCAACAGAAACATAAAACCCTCTGCCTCCCCAATTTGGTGCCACTTGCTTTCTTCTCCTCCCTTCATTGTTCCATCGTCTCATCTTTTACTTCCATCGCGTGGTTACTTTAGTACTTCGTCTTTGTTCTTCCGTCCTCATTCCCTTTTACACACACACTCCCACCCTCACAAACCCACATACACACAAACCGTCGCAATGGTATGATACCCCTCGCAAACTTTCAAACTTTTGTACAATAAACAATCGCTAACAACCTGACAGTCGGACAGCAGATATGCATTCACCTCCAAAACGGAGACAGTACGACAACCACACCCATCCATCACGAACTACACGCTAACCACTTTCACAGCTCAACAAGTACCTTAAGCTTGATCAGAAGGGTATGATCATGGCTGAGTACGTCTGGGTTGATGCCAACGGCGAGACTCGTTCCAAGTCAAGAACCCTCAAGGAGGCCGAGTACAAAGCTGAGGACCTACCCGTCTGGAACTTCGACGGTTCCTCCACCGAGCAGGCCCCCGGTGACAACTCTGATGTTTACCTCCGCCCCTGCGCCATCTACCCCGATCCCTTCCGTGGCTCCCCCAACATCATCGTTCTTGCCGAGTGCTGGAACGCCGACGGAACCCCCAACAAGTACAACTACCGCCACGAGTGCGAAAAGGTCATGGAGGCCTACGCTGACCATGAGCCCTGGTTCGGTCTCGAGCAGGAATACACCTTCCTTGACCTCGATGACAGACCTTTCGGCTGGCCCGCCGGTGGCTTCCCTGCCCCCCAGGGCCCTTACTACTGCGGTGTTGGTGCTAGCAAGGTTGTCATGCGTGACATCGTTGAGGCTCACTACAAGGCCTGCCTCTTCGCCGGCATCAAGATCTCCGGTACCAACGCTGAGGTCATGCCCGCCCAGTGGGAGTACCAGGTCGGTCCTTGCGACGGCATTGAGATGGGCGATCAGCTTTGGATGGCTCGTTTCTTCCTTGCCCGTGTTGCTGAAGACTTTGGCGTGAAGGTCTCCGTCCACCCCAAGCCCATGAAGGGTCCCTGGAACGGCGCCGGCATGCACACTAACTTCTCCACCAAGGAGATGCGTGCCGAGGGCGGTATGGCCCATATCGAGGCTGCCCTCAAGAACCTCGAGCCTCACCACATGGAGTGCATCAAGGAGTACGGCGAGGACAACGAGCAGCGCCTTACTGGCGGATACGAGACTGGTGCCATCGACCAGTTCACCTGGGGCGTTGCTAACCGTGGCTGCTCTATCCGCATTCCCCGCGAGACTGCTGCTAAGGGCTTCGGCTACTTCGAGGACCGTCGTCCCGCTTCCAACGCCGATCCTTACCGTGTCACCAAGATTCTCATGACTTCCATCTTTGGCAAGTTGTAAACCAAGTATGGCTTGCAAACAAACTTGTACAATGAGACGATGCGCATGAGTAGAAAAGACACATTAATTAAATCCTTTCCTTTTTGTTTTAATGGCGGGTAACTGGGGTCACCCAAAGATCCCATTGGCGGCGTTCCGGACTTGCAGGAGACATTTGTTTCCCCTTTGAACATACATAGATAGCATTGAATGAATTCTACCACGGCAATTAAACTGTGCCTACTCTTACCTATTTGTTACCATTCTATAATCTTTGTGATTCTTAATAGTACAAAATACTCGTTCAGTTTACAAGTGAACCCTATACAAATAGACGATACAACAAAAAACTTAGCCTTTCTCAACCAATGTTTCCCCCCGTAAACTGTAGTTTAATTATATAGACAACTTAACTTAATTTTAAAATTTAAAAAATTTGAAAAGGTCAAAAGGTCAAAAGTTGAAGACTTGATGACTTTGCAATCTTGTAACTTTGTAAACCCGAAAACTCGAAAACGTTAAGACTTTAGAACTTGAAAACTAGGCAATCTTGCAACTTTGTAAACTCGTAAACTCGAAAACTAGGCAATCTTGTAACTTAATAAACTCGTAAACTCGTAAAATAATCTTAATACATTTTAGATTTTGTCTAGATGTTTAGGAATGTCATGGTGTGTGACTAATTACTCTCCTTGCGCTCTACCCGTTATCAATGTTTCCAACTCCCACGGACTTAATGTGCTTCGTCGTCTAGATGCCCGCATGCTAGCCTTCACTTCCCGCTTTCTCTTTTCCGGCTTAGCTACTGGTGAAACTGGCTCTTGCTTCACCGGATCTCCATTCTCAACCTCTGCGTCATCCTGTTTCGCCGGAGGCTTGTCGGCCGAGGCCGGAGCAGCGGCGGCTTGCGGCGGCGTAGTTCTTGATGGCTTGCGGAGCTGCGCGGCCTTGAGCTTGGCTCGAACACGGGCTGCGTCGGCGTCGCGCTCTGATGCCGCCAATTTTGCGGCAATGGTAGTCATTGTAATTGGGCTGCCTTGAGAGAGTGGTTCTTGCGGCTTTAATAGTGGATTTTTTGCTGCACCGGCCCGTAACGAGTCCTTGACCTTGGCAGGCGTCTCTAAGCGAGAGCGTGTTTTCGGCACAGCGATGCTGCCTTCTGTAACTGATCGTTTTGATGCCGTGGGCAATGTCGCTGTATTGGTCGCTTCCGGCCGTGAGGTGGTTCGACGTTCAATAGGGCGAGATAATTGTGTAGGGATTCTGGTTTGACGGGTGACGGCTGTTGCACCTTGAGGTGCTTTTAGCGCGTCTTCAGTGATTAGCTTTGAGGTCGTGAGCTCTTTTTTGCCCTTGATTGCGCCGAATCGATTACCTGCGGATGCAGAGTTCTTGAGCTGCGGCTGTTTTTGGATTGGCGGTGCGTCTTCCTGCACGTCTTGGCCATCATTGTCCTCATCCTCTGGGCCTTTATCCTCCATGGCGACATCGGGACTAGCTTCCCCCACTTCATCGACAGCATCAACAACCTCGTCATATTCATGTTCGTCGTCAAAATGGCTGGAGTCACTGTCGCTTTCGTTAAAGTCCTCGATAACCTCACCATCGACAAAGTCTGTTGCAGAGGCTGGTTGTGAATCGACCAAGCTTCCTTCGCCCTCTTCTTCTCCTTCTTCATCGCCCTCATCTACGCTGGCGAGACCAAACTCGGAGCTTTCTTGGGTTTCTCGCACATTTCGTACTCGAACAGGGCTTAGGCGTAAGCCCATTTGCAAATCTGCCTCACAAATAGGTTGTCCACTTGTCGACATGCGCTTGCGCCAACCGTCAATCAAATGAACAGCATCCTTCCAACGGTTCTCCATTTTCACCCATCCAGTCTTGAGACGGGTTATCTCTTCTTCGCGCATCGTCACTTCTTCTACTGGCACAAAGGATGGGTTCGTAAGGAGGTGTCGCATATGTCCCATAACCATGTCCATCTCGGTTGTCATATTCTCCAGGTTGGAATTTCGTCGAACCTGGGGTTCTGTATCGTCCGGTCGCTGCCAGCCGCTCATTTCCCGTAGTTGTTCCATGGCAGTGTTGAGTATGACTAGGATCGCTTCATTTTCGCGGTTCAAATCGCGAGATAGCTTCGCCATAGAGGATTGAGCTTCTTCTTGAAGCATCCGGTCCTCATCAACTGTTGGCTGCGTTGTTGGCATCTCTCCAGAAACAGTAATTGACGTAATGGCCGGATTCGTTCGTACTCCTCGCGCCCGACCTGCTTCTGCAACTTGCTTCTTCAACGTATCTATTTGTCGATCGCGCCGACGCACCTCGTTTGCACATGACAATCGTGTCTGCCCAACGAGGGTCTTGGTACGGGCTAGTTCGTCTTTCAATCCACGGATTGTCGCTTCAGCCGTCTTCATTTCTCTCTTCAAGCCAGCTTCAGCCGCTGCTGTAATGTCGAACTTCCTCTGAAGCTCAGCTGCTTTTTCAGTTAAGCGCTGATTGTTTGTTGTATGTGCTAGGTTGTCATTTCGCATCGATCGCATCGCTGTTGATAGAGATTCTCGTTGTTGGGCATCGCGCTGTTCGGGTGTTAGGACATAGGCTCGTCATTCCAACAGAACGGCGCTATTGGCTTACATCGCGTCGCAAAATGAGGTCGTTAACGATGCTTATAATCTTCCCCGTCGTTGTCGCGTGATCGTCTTCGCCCTTGCCGGCTCCGGCGAAGTCAATAGTTTGCCCGTCTCTCAGTAAGCCCCGCGATAACAACTGGTTGTTGATGTACAGCGACGCTGTTCGCAGGTTGTCGATATCAATCATGATTGCGGCAGAGCGTATGCTATGGAGATAGTTTACTCTGTCCACAGTTCAGACTGCCTGTACCTAAAAACGATCCGAGGTTGTCGACGCGCCAGGGCTGGGTTTGAAGTCTGCGGGCCGAACGCCTGTTGTTGCGCTGCGGGGAAAGTAAACAATGAATGCTGATACTGCAGCCACCCCACACCCGGGCCCCTACAAACAACCTGTTAAAACTTGGGAGTTGGAAACAATGAATAAATATACATATTTTATTAAGAAATAAAGAGTTCTGTCCAATATATTCCTTAAAGGGTTTATCTGTAAATTTCTTCTGAAATAATGAGTCGCAAGGCTAAGGTTCGAGGCTCTGAACGGCAAAAACCGTTATCGCCACAATGGCCACCCGATGTTTGAGGAAGTCTTGTTGGAGATACCTCAAGTTAGAGGAATATATTATCTATCTATATGTACAGTATTTTGTGGTATGCGTATATACAATTCTGGTTTTCTACAGTCAAGAATCTATATCCAGTTAGTGGAACCTCTCCCGTTTTGAGATTGCGACGAATTTGGAAGATGAGCAATTTCAGACATAGTTGAGAAGATTGTTTGATAACGCGGTTGTTTTCATCAGAAACAATAGTTACAGGACAACGCAAGCGTGCTCCGTAATATCGTTTGAGATGGCCCCGCGGCGTCATCATGCAAGAAGGAGATAACAGGATGGGCATGGAAGGCTTACCAGCAATTGATTCCGAACCTCATGATTGTGGTCTAAACTTGCCACGCTTCTCTTTCATAGCATTCACTCTCTTCTTGTCTTCGTCAAAACGTCTCAGCAGGGCAGCCTGATCCTCCTTGCGCCGTTGTCGTGATTGGAATCGATAGAAGTCCTTTGTTTCCAATTTCCTCTTAGCCTGCTTATCGAGCATCTTCTGTTTAGCTTCCTCAGCCTCGAATCGGGTAGCTGGAGCTGCTCTAGCACCACGCGTCACTGTCACAAATCCATCCTCATCAGGCTCATTGCGGAGCTGGCGAGCCAGCGCGGCCGCTTCCTTTTCTTTGCGGTTGAAGGCGTTGAAGAAGGCGTGAACGGCACTCTGTGTTGCATTTTTATCTCCTCGGCAGAGTTGTAAATGCGAAGCAACCCATGGGGCACCGAGAGATGGCACTGCGTCTGCTAAGCCCTCGCCCCAGATCGGGTACTTCTTCGACTTGCTGGTCTTGGCTATCGCATTCAGAACCAGCTGAACGCTCTTGTCATCTGCCAACAGTACCACCGCCGTTCCACTGCTTCTATGTGTACGTCTGCTCCAGATTTCTGGCAATGTAGCCGTCTCGTTCGCCCTCTGGTCTTCTGCTTCGATATCCTCACGTTTTCGTTTTCTGACCATTTGGTTCATTCGGGAGGCATGTATAGGATCGGCTGAAAATAGCGGCTTAACTTCATCATCAAAGTCCACGCGCTCGAATTTTCCTGCGCCTACCAGCTGCGTAAAGACTGCGCGGAAGTGAGGCTCTGTGCTATCGACAGGGATGTTCTTGAGGAAAAGACTGCGAGAGTCGTTGGCTGTCGGGATCTTGGGAGCATTTCTTCGAACGCGGATTTCGTGCACAGCTGGATGAGGAAATGAAGGCTCAGGAGGGATTTGAAGGCGAAGAATTGCGAATTTATCGCCGTCCATGTCTGTTGTCGTCATGACGGAAGGATTTAATTGTTGCTGTTCTGTTTCCTGTCTGTAACAATTTTTTCTTTCGGACGTGAGAAGCTGGCGCTGGAAAAAAAAGGCTGTCGCGATGTTATCGATAAGAATTGGCAGTAGTACTGTAGGATGACGGCGGATTGGTTTACCACCAAATCATGCGTGCAAAGTAATAAAAAAAATTAAAATAGCATGAAAGGATGAAAAAAGGAAACATTGAATGATTAAATTTTTATAAGTTCTATAAAGTTTATACGAGACGCTAAAGTTCAAATTTCATATCGGAAGCCATCTCGTTGTGACAAACGTTCTTGTGCCTTGCAGCTTCATACCTCTATAACAATCTTACCAATACCGCGACTGACACAAGCCAACATTCCATCGTTCTGATCAGCAGAGCACAAAGCCGTGCCTCTATGCTCAACCCTTCCACTCTTTAGAGTGACTTTGCAAGTGCCGCAATTGCCCACTTCGCAGCTGGAAGCGAGGTCTTCGACCTCTCGCCGCAGAGCTTCTAACAGGCTCTCGTCACCATCAACCTTTAGTACACGACCACCCTTGTTTGCAATCTCAACCTCGAACGGATCTCCTGTATTGTCCGCAGAAAATGCTTCGTAGTGGACTTCATCCTCCGCTAAACCAGCTGCGGTAACCGCAGCTTTTGCAGCCTTCATGAGTCTAGTTGGACCACAAACGTAGACGTGGCTTCCCCAAGGGCGAGTCTCAATGACCTTCGCAATATCCATACGCTCACCCTTCGATTTGTCGTAGATAACAGTCTCATCGAAAGAATGGACTCGGCTTTTGAAGGGAATATCGTCAGCGGAGCGTACTGCATAGTGAAGCTGGACGCTCCAATTGATCCCCGCCATGGCTTCCATCATGGGAAGGAATGCTGTGATACCGATGCCACCAACTATAAAAAGATGATTGCTGGCGGAGAATTTAGGATTAAAGTCAGTGCTGATGTTGCTCACCGGCAGTATGTCCCCAACCTTGACCTTGTCATGGATGTACTGTGAGCCTCCGCGACTGTTCTCATCAAGAGCAATACCAAGTTGAAATTTGTTGCCCATGCCAACACCAGCTTCATCTCCACCTGCAATGGAGTACGTCCTGAGAAGGCCATTTGGAAGTTTGAGACGAGCATGTGCTCCAAGCAGCTCTTTATCTAGTGACGTGTTCAAATCTGTCGTCTCCAGTGTTAACGAAACGATGCGAGGCGTCTCCATCTTCCTCTCCGTAACTTTGAAGTCTCGCCAAGTCGGCTCGACCTTTGGCGCCGCCTTCTTTTTGGCTTTGGCAACTCTCCCTCGGAACATACCCCGGCTCTCTTCACCAAGCGCATCAATGCCAGCGAGCTTCTCATTCATCTCAAGGTTATCCTTCTCCCTGTGCAGATATTGTTGCACGCGCTCAATTGTCCAGTCCGGCCAGCCGCGCTCCACAAGCTTCAATTCATCACCCATTTCAACTGTGCCTTCTTTTAGAACTCGATAATACCATCCTGTTCGGCTGCTGTTATATGTGGTGGGAGCGAAGTCCTTGATTGCGAAGCGGTGGTTCAGCTTGTAGCATGGCTGCCTCGGCAGAGAGACCTGAAGAACAACTTCCTTGCCTACAGAAATTATATCTCCAATGCACACATTGCGTTCATTCATATGCGCCGTGACAAAGTTTTCGCCGAAACCTCCAGGAACAAATTTGCCAGCACTACTCGGGTGTGTCGCTTTCCAATCGGCGTAATGGGCGGAACAATCTGGACAAGAGAGTCAATGAGACGCAATATTTAAAACGAGAAGGAGAATACCATACAGCCCAATATGGCTTTATCAGGGCCACCATGAAAGGTTAGGTCGTGCCAGTCACCCTCCAAACCTAGCTTGCTCACTTTCATTGGCTCACGGCAGATCTTCTTGTCAATGCCGGTCATGACGTTCAAGTGTGGCATCTTTTGCTTGCCAGATGTACGAATCTCCAAAAGAGTATCCGTTGTAAACGGGGAAAAGAAATCAGGATTAGAGACAATCATGCCGAATAGGAAGACACAAATCGGGGAGGGCTCAAAGGTGTGAATAAGGAAAGGCTGTCTAAGTGCTGCGTGCGCCCTTCCTTTATAGTCTCTGACGTGTGCCCGCACAGTGTGTAACAATACTGTGTTTGCAGGCTCAGAAATGCCCCTCCACGTGCGAAATTGTTCCGACTTAAATTTACAAGAGGGCAATGAGACGGTAGATAGTACTAGGTAAAGATTACAGTAGTTGATATTCCATATAATATAATTTTCTCTAGGAGAGGCATTACAGCATGCGCCCACACTTGCTCAATTCTATGCAAAAAGCGAGACAATCCACACAGTATGCGCCGCCATAACGAGTTGTAGTGACAGACCCAGAAGCCTAACTGGATTGACTAATCAGCTGGTAAAAATGACTTATAACAAATCTAATGTGGTCTAGTTTAGTTCCACGTAATTTCCTGAATAACTGTTAGCCTGTACACCGCCACACATTCCCATAGTTGGCACTTACCAGGAAACTGGCCTTGTTTTCCGTTTAGTTTTCCAGTCCACCATTCATTTTCATTTTGTGACCTCTGTACAATTTCAATTACGTCACCAGCAGAGAAACTCAAATCTCCCTCTGCCTGTGCGGCAAAATCGTACAATGCTGTAACCATTTCCGCGGTTTTAGTGCCAGCCAGGCGACTGGGCTTAGGCTTAGGTGGTGGAGGTTTCGACTTCGCCGCAGCAACAAGTGACATATTCGAGGATCCAGCGGAATATGGTGGCGGGGCTGCCGGTTCCGAGCTTGCTGCCGCGGTGAGTGCGGCAGCAGGTTTGCGAGCTGCTGCGTATCGAGACTGGGAACCTGCTGATGCTGTCGAGCCTGGGCCAGCTGTAAGTAGGCCTTGCTGTTTACCGCCTTCAAGTGCTGGACGTGTGTATCGAGGTGGTCGTCGTTGTCCTGTGGTCTTGAAGCGTACGATCGACAGAGCCTCGACTTGTTCCTGAATATCTCCTCGTTTTTCGATGAATGCTTCTTCGATATCGCGAGTGAGGTCGAAGTAGCCGATATCGCATCTCTGCATGCGCTCGTGCAATGTATAGAAGATATTTAACTGCATGTAGTAGAAGGATTGGAAAAGAGGTTGAATAAACTCCTGTTCCAGCTTGAACAACTTCGGTAGTTCGTCCTTCAATAAGTCGTTGAAATATTCAAAATCTTGTGTTGCTTGCTCGACATCGCCCTCAGCTTTCCAGAGTGCCTTTTCATCCTTCGCGGAGCGTTCCTTTTTGTCCTCCAATTTCTTTAATGTAGCTCGGTGTCGGTCGTAGTCGAGCTTCTTGTGCTCACGCTTCACAGCAGTTTTTCGAATTACTTTGATGATATCGAGCAGCTCATTAGCTGGTCTGATGACACGCGTTTCGATCATTTCTAACTCTGGGCGCATGGTTTCCTGAAGCTCCTTGACGACTGCTTCATACTCCTCGCAGGCTTGAATGCCTTCTGGGCTTCCTTCAATTTTCATGGAATCCGGGTCTGACATGCGTCCAGATATAGGCTTGTAGATTTCAGTCATAGCCTGACTGAAGCCGATCTGATGTGAAAGCATGCCGTTGATGGCCTTGAAATACTTGGTCGACTCATCGTGTAACTTCTTGGTTTCCTTCTCCAACTCTTGGAATCGTCGTTCTGCGTCGATATACACGGCATCTTTGGTGTGTTCTCCTATGTTGAACTTGGATTTGAATTGTTGCGGCGCCTGCGAAACCGAACTGTGTTAGCCAGATGCTATGGCGCTTTCGTTTCCGATAGAGGGAGGGGTTGGCCGCATCATTGCGTCACAGGACAAGAGGGGTACCTACGCGCGTCAGACTTTTGGTTAAGCCTTTGAAACTCATTTTGTTTATAAAAGATGAGAATCGAGTTTGGATATGGTGAGCTGCTTTGCAACCTTGGATCAATGCCCGATGGCTGGAAGATGGTGGATGCAGCGGACTGGCAACCTAAGAACTTGCGAGAAATCAAGGCCACGGCTGTTCGCAGCTTTGGCGGAGCTGCCGCTGATGACGACGTAGTTCGTGGCTGTGCCGGACATGTGGCGCACCGTTTTCTTAGTGTTACATATCACAGCCCTAATATTAAAAGGATAAACGTTAAACGGAAAATAAAATTGTTATTAAATTAAGTTTTATTTAATTTATTCAACGGGCATCCTTCTTAACCGTATAAGAACGGTTTGTCGACTTGTACGCCGCCTCAGGCATAAATATTCCGGTGTGCCTTCAATATGCCCCCGGGTGGCCAATCAAATGCCCTCGTTTGGCTATCCATGGAGCCCACTTATCGCCGAGCCACCGAGCCGACTTTGCTGACCTAAACAAATTTCCCAGTGGGAAGCAATAATTTCTCGCAGCGGAGTTTCTGCACAGCTTCTCCCTCTGTCCACTCCGTGCATTTTACCAACTCTGCATCAACTCCATCACAACCATGGCTAGCGTATCATCAAGCGCGTTGCGGTCAGCATGCAGGCTGACTCGATGTTCTGTTTCCAGGCTGCCGGCGCTCAAGAAAGCTACTTTAGCGCCCGTGTTCAGCTCAACAAGGAAATACGTGACAGAGACGAAGCCTGACAATGCTCGTGTTGAGACGGCGGTGAAACTGGATGCGAAGGCTTTCGCTGATATCCCATCCTCGCCGCTAGAATCTCTCTCAGATATGAAAGTCAGTCCCATGGCTGGTATGTTTGCCCCTATCTTGCAATTTGGAAATTTCTTCGCTAACCGCACCCAAACTAGATGTACTTAAGCAAGCTGCCGTTATGGAGGAAGGCCAACGGCCAATCTATCTCGACATGCAATCTACCACACCAGTGGATCCCCGAGTTCTCGATGCTATGATCCCATACTATGTTGGCGTGTATGGCAACCCCCATTCTCGCACACACGCGTATGGCTGGGAAAGCGAGAAAGCTGTCGAAGACGCCCGAGAGGAGGTAGCCAAGCTCATTGGAGCCGACTCAAAGGAAATTATATTTACTAGCGGTGCTACCGAGAGTAACAACATGTCTATCAAAGGCGTCGCTCGCTTCTTTGGCCGATCTGGCAAGAAGAAGCACATCATCACATCTCAAACTGAACATAAGTGTGTGCTTGATAGCTGCCGCCATTTGCAAGATGAAGGCTTCGACGTCACATATTTGCCTGTCGAGAACAATGGCTTAATCAGCATGGACGCATTACGCGAGGCCATTCGACCTGATACTGCCCTTGTCAGCATCATGACGGTCAACAACGAAATCGGTGTCATTCAACCTATTGAGGAGATTGGTAAACTTTGCCGCGAGAACAAGATTTTTTTCCACACTGATGCTGCGCAAGCAGTGGGAAAGATTCCTCTGGATGTCAACGCAATGAACATTGACCTCATGTCCATCTCATCCCACAAAATCTATGGCCCTAAAGGTATCGGAGCCTGCTATGTACGACGCCGCCCTCGTGTCAGACTCGATCCTATCATCACCGGAGGTGGCCAAGAACGAGGTCTGCGAAGTGGCACCCTCGCCCCTGCTCTCGTCGCTGGCTTTGGCGAAGCTTGCCGCATCGCTCGCCAAGAAATGGATGTAAGTATTGCTTGTGATCACTCCCCATTTGCATTACATGATGTTACTTTTTCTTTTACATGCATGGTCTGAATGCCCGTGACAAGGCCTTTTATGTCGACCACAAAAGCCTATCTGATTTCAATAATGCCTCTTCTATTTCACTCATGATGAATCATTTCAAAGAATGAAAGCTAACCGGCAAACTAGTATGATACTAAGCGCATCAAGATGCTCTCTGACCGACTTCTCGGTGGTCTTCTTTCCATGGAACATACTACACAGAACGGTGACGCCAACGCGTTTTATCCTGGCTGTGTGAACGTTTCTTTCGCCTATGTCGAGGGCGAGTCACTGCTGATGGCCCTGAAGGATATTGCTCTTTCCTCAGGTAGCGCTTGTACCTCGGCGTCTCTGGAACCAAGCTACGTTCTGCGGGCACTTGGCAACAGTGACGAAAGTGCCCACAGCAGTATTCGATTTGGCATCGGTCGCTTTACCACCGAAGAAGAAATCGACTACGTCTTGAAGGCTGTCCAGGAGCGCGTCACTTTCTTGCGCGAGCTTAGCCCCCTGTGGGAGCTTGTCCAAGAGGGTATCGATTTGAACACCATCCAGTGGAGCCAACATTAAGAAACGAGGGACGCCTCGGTCAAGATATGACCAGGTAACATGTATTGTAAAAAACCAACTGTATAATATGGAACATGTCACAATATGGAACAACTAGGGGGAATGCGGAGCGAATTATGATTGTATACGTTTATCTGGCGTATATGTTTTTTGGTATTCCATTGATGGTAACCAACACCCGTTCTGGGCTGAATATAATATTTTGAAGACCATTTTCGCCAAGACTTTTACTTTCACTTGAGATCTAGAGCCGAGTGCAGGTGTTGAAGCTAGATACACTGCAATATAATCGTAGAGCAAGTCACCACAGCTAACGAAGCAACCCCGCCGCCATGTGACCATGACATCATTGTAGCTCTTTCCCGGTTTAACATCGTAGCACAACCTATCGTTTAGCCACATGATAAGCTCGAGTTGTAAATGAATACTGGGCCGGGTTTTCTTTAAATATCCTCGCTTGTCCACTACTTTAATAGGCGTTCGTGTTCATTTTAATCCCACTCTTTACATCAAAATGACAGACAAACAGACACCCTCTACCCTTCAATCTTATGTTGACTCTGCTTCTGGTGCAGTACAAAGCGCCATCGGCAGTCTCACCGGTAACACAGGTGACCAAGTAAAGGGTGATGCCAAGCAAGACGCAGCCAAGGCTGAACATTTAGCTTCGCAGGCTCACGCAAAGGTTGGCGGCACAACCATTACTGCTGATGGTGGTATTGCTCAAGACCATGCCGACCGAACTACTGGGTCCTGGAACCAGACACTTGGCTCTGCTAAAGAGGCCCTCGGCGGTCTCATTGGCAGCGAGGTAAGTTATTTAATATAAAAAAGCCTTGGTCCCTGTTTACAGCTACTCACCAAAACCTCTTAGTCTCTCAAATCCTCTGGGCGTGAGCAGAACTTACAAGGCCAACAGCAAGAGGCCAAGGGTCAACTACAGGATCTTGCCAGTGGTATTGGCGGTCGCCTTGAAGGCGCTATTGGTGGTGCTATTGCTGGGCTTACAGGCGATGAGAAGGGCCAGGCCCACTATGATCAAATGAGAGCTGATGGTAAAGCTCAACAGCGGGGTGTTGAAGCTGACCTGCAGAAGAAGGCTGAGGCTGAGGCTGATGCTGCTGCTGCGAAGGAGGAAGCCTCGTGAGCTGAAGACCAGTGGCTAGGTCTAATTCCGACCTATATGTGATGCAGATATGTGTTGGCATCAGGTGCAATTAATGCTTTCCTAATACCCTCATCTGCTTGTCAATGCAATGCATAGATACCAATTACGACCACAATATCACTACTTTTCTTACCCATTTCAAAAGTCGATACTCCATGCCCAACGGAATTGTTGGGTGCCATGTTCATACAGTAGCTACCTAGCTATAGAGACGGTAAAGTCATAAGCGGCAGCACAATAAACGTGATCGCTGCGCAGGATTCCATGAAGCTTGAAAAGATGGCCTTCGAATTGTATGTGCGTGGCGTGAGAATGGGCCTTATGAAACGATGAGAACGCATGACGTTAGAGGGAGGTTTGGTGAAAACGCTTGCAGATGAGCTGCGGCCGAAAGTTGCCGCATCAATTGTGAGCCGGTTCCTTTGATCTGCCTGATCTGAGGTGAGAAACGTTCCGTACTGCACATGGCTTGCTGACGCAAGATCATGCCCATGCTAGCCGCGAAACGTTGCCAGTCTAAGTAGGTGGGTTGCATGGCACAGTAGCAAAGTACACGTTGTGCAGCGGCACTTCCCCTGTCACTACAGCGGGACCGCCTATGGGATTATTGGAGAGTAAACTGCTGTAACTGTTTTTTCCAACCTAGATTGGGGTACTACTTGGGGTGGGCATTGGTGGTACGCTAGTCAGGTACCACATAACCCGTTTTATGTAATTGGCATTCTGACAGGCATCATTTTGGCGGTTTGTTCAATGCCGGCTTCCAGTGCCAAGTTTGGAATCTGAGGCTCTATACTGTTCGGCGTGCATTGCAAGCGGCAGTGGTGGCATGCAGAGACGGCGATCGGTCAGCAGTGCATTGCCATCTCACTAGGGGCCGGCCCTAGACTAAAGGCCACGCTAGTTTGTTCTGCGGCACTACTCCGAGCCCAGCGTAATTCAGCGACCTTGTCCGCCTAAGCGGTCGTCTTACTAGTGGGAGAATGTCTGAGTCGTGGAAGCCGTTTTCGTTAGGATGTCTCTGAAGTGAGACGCGGCTGTCGGACAAGAGTGACCACAAGGGCAGTAAAAAAGCAAAGCAAAAGATATGAAGCTCCGAAGTTGGAGATCGATTACTGTGTTAAGAAGGCAAATAGGAGAAGGTAAAAAAGCAAAACTGAGCGCATGTCTGTATCGCAACGGCACATGCAGAGCAAAAGCAAATACCAAATGCAGCCGGACTGGCTGTGAGCCGCTAGGGGCTACACCTGACAGGTGTACTGCTTGGCCAGTCCCCACGGCCAGGTACATTGGACCAGGGCGGGCAGACAAGCCTCAGCGCCGCTTCCATAGTGGTGCTGTGGAAGTCAACGGGCAGTGGCCAGGTGAGCAGAGTTACAGGGGCCGGTCGTACCTGGTACAGTGCAGTAGGCCATGCGCTGTACACCTGCGTAGAGGTGCATGCCCCGACATCTGAAGGCTGCCGCAGAGGATCAGCGGCGACGCAGCGTGGGATTCTAGCGTCGTGCTAGCGCCCCAGTGGAGAAGGTCTTACCACGGGTTTGCTGGTTTGTTCAGGGGGGAAGAAAGCAAGCAGCGAATTGGGGGTGGTACTGCGCTACTAAGAGGAAACCCTTCCCCCCCGCTGCCGGACGGGGCAGGCTGTTGTCTCGCTACTTGGGAAAACACTACCAGCCAGCAGCACCCGGCGTCCTTAAATCGCAACTCAGACAAGGTCTTGGTCGTCTCTCGCCGCATTCAACCGCACCGACCGAGGGGCAACAGAAAGAAGAAAAGAAGAAACATTGCCCGGACAGGCCATTTCCTACCTTGCGACAACAATGCTTGCTCCCTAAAACAAACTTGTGCCCCCCCTCCACGATCGCCTCTTCGAAGCAAGCCCAAGTCACGCCCGGTACAAAAGCCGCAAGTTGTGCTGTTTCCAACGCTACATCTCCTGCAGTTTGATCATCGAAAACGAACTCTTTCTCAATAATACCAGGGTCCCCGCCGCCCACTTCGCCTGCTCCCCGGCGTTGTTCTCCTTTTAAAAATATCTTCCGGGTGGCTCTCGCTGCAACCCTTGTCCACACGCCACGCAGGCAAAGCGTCAATATTTCTACAGACTAGTAAAAGGGAAATGACCTCGGCGTCTTGATTTATTACTTTCTCCGACCGCCCTCTCCGCTCTGCACGGGGTTATCTTCACTTTTGCTTTCATCTTTTTCCTCGCCAGCGCGCCTCTCATCCTAACCACCTGCACCCGTCACGCAAACGATTCGTTTTCGGGGTCCTCGCTGCTGGCTGCCGCCGCACCGATTCGCTACCGAACAGCCTTCTCCTTTACGCTGTGGAGAAATCTGAGCTCGACATATCGCCGCCACTGGATTATGAGATTTTGGACGAACTCGGCCTGCACTATATTTGTACTATAACACCCCTGGCAATTAACGACTCGCCTCGCAGCTGTGCCGCTCGCACATCGGCATATTACACTACTATACTCCTTTCGTGGGCCCCCGACTGCTTTCAACGTCGCGGAAACAGCCCCCAGCGTCTTGCTTTGGTCTTTCAATTCTAGCTGATATAATATCATAATAATGTCCAGACCATCATCAGGACAACCCATCTCGCCGCGATCGAGCCGATCGCGCGCGCACAGCATTTCCAGCGACAGGCCTTCTACCGTCACCCACACGAATTTAAGCACGCCACCAATCGTTGTTTCCCCCGAAGCCTCCTTCATTGCCGGATCTGCGGCCTCACAAATTGTTACAAACGACCATGACAGCCATGCTGCAGCTTGGTACGATCAAAACGGCCTCGAGCCGTCTCAGGAGTCCGCATTGGTCTCCCCTGCGTCTATGCAGCTAGTGAATGGGTTCTTAGACCAGCTTCTCTTCAACATTCTTCAAGTCTCCAGATCCGTAAACCTTTCGGCTCTTCGACCTGCCGTTTCCGAAGTTTTGAAGCCTAAGCTTGCCAAAGATGCCATTGCCAATGCTGACGAAGAGCTACGAGAGTACTTCGGAGGATTAGACGAGGATGAATATGCCGACTCTCAAACTCAACAACCTCACGAGTGGGATTTAGAACTTGCGTGGAAGCGGATGCGCCTGCGTTGTATGGTCTACTCCTCAGTAGGAGATCTGGAAGAGGAGGACGAGGACACGTACATTGAACAGGAGCACCTCCAAGTTGGCGCAGGGCAGCACATGGACGACATTATTTCACCCGCTGTAGCCATCTTTTTGACCTCAGTCATTGAATACATGGGCGAGCTTACATTGACTGTCGCTGGTCAAGCTGCCTATCAGCGCATTCGTTCCAAGTCCGACAAAGAGCTCCGGGACGGCACTCTTCGACCCGGCGACCAAGCTGACCAGATCATTGTGGAGGAAATGGATATGGAACGAGTTGCTCTGGACCGTACTCTCGGCAGACTATGGCGAGGATGGAAAAAGCGCCTCCGTGCACCTGCGGATGTGGCCCAGCGGCCGTACTCGCGTCAATCTGGTCACGATGTCTCCTCACCGAGAATTGGCACGACCGAGGAGAGCGATGCGCGCCTTACTCAAGAGCACGCAGGAGACACTATAATCGAAGATGTCCAACCGGCGGACATCCCCCTCCCAATTTCCGACAGAGATGTGGATGAAATTGAAGTACCAGGCCTTGTGAGCTATAGTGATGATGACGACGACATCGATATTGATGAGGACGATACCTTCGTCACTAGACCGAAAAGCATGCTCTCTCCAGTGCTATTCCAGAATGGATTGCCTACGCCCCATCACACCTCACCTAACACACCAATTCTCTCTCGCAAACGCTCAAATTCGATGCCTACAGCTACTAAAGGTCCTTTCTTTTCGAACCAATTCAAGACGGAGGCGAATGGCGCCGCTGCGGAGGACGAAGAGGACGAAGCTACCGCGGAAGCCTCCGAGTCACAAGCGATCGTACGAAATTCAGCCAAGGCTGTGCAACAAGCAGAGGGCGTCGACGACAGCCACTGGGATTCAGATCTCGATGAAGACGTGGTTTATGAACAAGCTGAGGTAGTCATGTCCTCGCGCATCTCTGTCAGCAGCTCCTCGTCACCGTCACGATCCGAGGCCGGCCATATGCGCAGCCACACACGAGACATTAGTGTTCAATCTGCGCGCATAATAGACGTTGGCCCTCGTACACCGTCATTCGGCAGTGGATCTCCACCCAGATCATCTGTTGATGATCAAAGCAAGGCAAAGCGAACAAGCGCCACACAAGATGCCGCTGCTATGTCGTCGGCATGGGCGCCTGTTGAGCGACTCCGCAGCGTAGAAGCTGAGGAGAAACACCAGCCAGAGTTCGATGCCCTCGCAGAAGAGCGCGCAAAGCAAATCACAAGAGTAGCAGAGCTCACCAAACAGTTTCAAGCCGCTGGGGCTCTTCCGGCTGATGCTGATGAAGAAGCAGCTTTGGCTGCTAGAACCTCATCTCCTGCACAGGATAGACAAAGTCCCATAATGCGAGCGTCACCTAATGTTAGATCAGTCAGTGACGCCATTGAGCCGGCACCTCGACCGGCGCCTACAAGTGAACCTCGAGAGGTTAATGCTGCTGGAGCGAGATCCCCTATGACTTTGGAGAAGCTGAAGACCCAAGAACTAGATGAGGGCTTTCGACCTCCACAAAAGCTTCATTCTGCTTCTCCATCAGTATCTTCATTCACTGGTCGTTTCAAGCCTATGCGCACATCTGAGGATAACTCATCAGCTAGTCGCTCAGAAAGTGTGGCACGAAATTTCGAGGAGCTGATTCAAAGCAACCAGACCATCACATACACCCTCACTCCAGAGACGATGCGCAACTTGGACAGTCCAATTGTGGCCCAATTCCCAACTATGGGTGGAGATGCAAAATCCCCAGGTCTACGCCAGTCGCCTCTTACTGCCGAGTCTCCATCCTTGCTTAAGAATAGAGACCTGAGCAGCTCACCTGTTCCAGAGGAAGAACCAGCTCCTCTTACGGGTCCGATTCCCCGTGCTCCAACAGGGCTCGCAATCAGCACTGGCCGTTTCACTGGACCCCAAGCCCGCGAGGCGCGCGCTGTTAAGGATACTTCTACAGCGGACTTTGCTGAATTCATTCGATCTACTGGCCCTGCCAACAGTGACTACCGACCTGGCCCATCTGCCAATGATTACCGTCCTTTCCCATCCACTCGCAACGTCACCAGCCCCGTTCGCAGCCCCGTTCGCAGCCCTATTCGAAGCCCCACGAGCCCTGGTAACCGTTCCGCCAGTGATAACATCCCGAGTCCAGTCCCTTCCACTGCCAGTCGCTTCCAAGCCCGTGGTGCTGCTGCCGAAGGCCGAAATGACAACCGTGATCTCATCGACTTCATCCGCCAAGGTCCCCCAATCGCAACATCGAACCACCGAATTCCGCGTCATGTTGCGCCGTTCCGTACTACAATGGATTCTGAAGAGATGTCTGGAGTTGCAGGTGGTAAGGCTATCGATGCAACAATCCCTGATATTCGATACAGCCAATCCTCTACCAACGCCACTGAACAATCAGCGCAGTCGTCGATGCACTCCAACGCTGCCCTCTTAAGCAGATCCAGCAAACTCAACAAGATGTTTGAAGACGAAAACAAGCCTCCCCAGCGCACTAGACGCCGGGTTCCCGACCCATATGCTATTGACTGGAGCGATGAGGAAGAGGAGGAGCTAATGAATGAGTATGGAGTACCAAACCCCGAGGTTCAACAGCCAGCTCGCAGCGGTGGTCCCGTCATTCGTAAAGAGGAGAGCTTAGCTGAATTCCTCCAAAATTACGATCCTCCAAGCGCCCCAACTCCGGCCACAAACAAGGTGCCTAAGAAGAAGGCCAGCGCTCCTAGCTTAATGGGCCGCTTTGTGCGCAACCAAGTCAAGGAGCCCCCTCTGCCTATCCCCTCGATCCCAGCTGATAGAGACAGCCGATCACTTCACACCAGTGGAGGTGCCAGCACTAAGAGCGGCCGCGGATACATCCCTATCCAGGTCAATATGCCAGCGGGCTATGGCAAGTACGGTCCTATTGACGACGCACCCCTGCGCCCCGTGACAACGTCGCGCTCATCCGTCCCCATGAAGAAGTTTGAGCCCCGCGAGCCGGCTGGCGCTGGCCGAGCGAGTGAAACCGCCGAACTGGCTGCTTTCCTCCGGAACTCACGCCCTCCCCCATCTTCTAGCCCGGCGCCGCTAATGGTTGCGCCGAGAGAAGAGGAAGGCCGCGGTCTGTCCAAGATGTTTGGCCGCAAGAAGAAGCAATTTGCTTAATCTTGTGCAAATCAACGACACGATGATTATATCATGATACCACCACTATTAACTATCCCCCCTTTACATCAAACCCACGGACTCGCTATTGAGTCCGCTTGTCACTTATACTTTTGCCTTTTTCGCGCCTTTTCTTTACTTTTGGAAATTGACTGCTTTATTGTTAATTTTATTCCTCGGAGTACATAGTCACGCGGGATTTATACCCATGCTTTGGATACCAATACACTGTTTCGCGATTGCAAATTAAAAAAACCAGTCTTATTATGTGTTTTCCCGAGCATTAGGTTAATAATAATGGTAATGTATGCTCCACACTGTTAAAATGGCATAAAGCTATAAAACTATACAAAAATAAGAAACAACTGGAACCAGAAACGTAGAAGAAAAAAGGAATCTAGCCAAGTAGAAAATCGTCAAAGAGTCCGAACGCCACGCTTGTCCAAGGCAAAGGATAACAAACCCCCAAAAATCAGAAAAGAGATAGAAAAATCCAAACGGAACGAAACAGGCGGTCATAGCCAGTATGGCCCTGCTCTGTGGCCTAAATCTCCATCTGGCCAGCGATATCCTCACTCATAAATCTATCTCTCGGTGTATCGAGCATGTCGTCATGATCAAAATCATCCTCTTCCATATCATCGTCCTCGTCATCATCAACAAACTCTTCATCTGAAAACGACACAATGTCACCATCTTCTCCGCGGTTCCAGTACATGCCGTCATCCAAGGCGTCCATGTCTTCTTCTTGTGAGAGGAGGACTTGCGCATCGCGATCACCGAGCCAGTAACTGGCACGCTTCTCGGCCCCGCCGTCGTTAAGGTCTGAAAATGTCCTTGCTCCGCCGACACGGACTGGTCTCAAGCTGGGAGAGACGGACGAGACGACTGGTACGACCCGGACATACAGATAGGCCACGCGCTTGAGTGCTCGGTTGAAGAAGAAGTAATGAGCTGCCCAGATGGCGCTTTCACCTTCTTCAAAGGGATCCGTCTCTGGGTGGTAACTGAAGATTGTGCATTCGTTGAGATGCATTTCCTTATCAATGCGCGACCAGCACTGAGGCCCCCAGACGGCGTCGGAAGCATTCCCTAACAACGAGTCGACGGATGATGCCTCAAAGTTGGGGCGCACATTTTGCAGGATAGAATCCAAGTTGATCATTACGCGACGAAGGGTTCGTTCTCGCTTGAAGTCGCCGGGTCTCAGGACATTTGAGAAGTCGTAATGGGGGTGACTTGCATTGAGAGTTGCAATCATGTACGCAAAGGTTTTGCGGCTGTTGATGTCGGATAGCGGGCCAAAAGCACTTGATGTTGAGAATATTTGTGCACTGGGTGATGTTGCGAGCATGTGTGCGCGCTCGGGAGGGGACAGGCTGGCACCTAGCTTGAGCAGAGCAGCATGTTGTGTGTCGAGATCCTTGTCGATATTCTTGTACAGCTTCTTGTCGGACCCTGTGGATTTTGTCGTGTATAAATCGCAACCGCCGGTGACATTACAGTCTGGAGTATTGAAGTTCAGAGCGCCGGTGACGGCCTCGAAGTCTTGCACAGGTAAGTACTGAGAGAGGCGGTGTCAGAAAACAGATCCTTCCGATTGCGAATGGACAGGGTAACGACGCTTCATAAGGCATACCTTCATTATTTGGGTCGCTATCAATACAGAGCTGTGATTTTAATGACCAACCAGTACGTAGATTGGACAAGATGATGAGGGGAGATTGGTGATGGCCCAGTCTGTTGGACAAGCCGGGGTTAGTCGTGATGATGGAGCGCCTGGCGTTGCAAGGGCGGGGAACGTTGGGGCAGGCAATCCAGCGATTGGCACGGTCGTGGACTGAGGCGCGACGAAACTGCGAGGAGATCACGACGCGATATAGTGATAGATTCAAGCGACGAAGGATGTCAAGTTGATGGCGAGACGATGTTGGCGCGTCGAGGGGACAGCGATGTCGCAAGCAGGCGGTTGCAGCGCGATCGGGTGAGATTGGGCCCAGCAGCGTGGGGTTCTGAAACCGGGGGTTGCGTGAGATGGTAGCGGAGACGGAGGTGTTGGAGAGCGCAGTGTCGCTGGGATAAAAGGAAAAATGGTCTAAGTGATGGAAGATGGCGCTAGAGAGCAGCGGTTGACAGCTGTGTTGAAGAAAAGTGCAAAGAAACAATCACCACTGCCGGAAAGGATTAGGTGCGCGTTAGCTCCTTAGCGTGGAAGAACCCGGGTGATACGGGCTGCCATGGCGTGCGGATGGGCGCTGGTTGGGTGCGGTACAGCACTGCACACGGAGCGGCCTGAAAGGGGAAAGCGCGTGCGAATGGGCGAACGAGAAGCGGCGGCGGGCAAAACGTGGTCGCATGGCGCGCCCAGAGTCGGCTTCAGTTGGCACCCCGCTAGCGCTGACGTACAGGGCGCCCAGTGCCAGAGCCTGAACAACAGTGCTGGAATGACCTGGCCAGTGTAGTATGGTACCACCCGGAGCACCACCACCAGCACCTCTGCAACACAAATAAACCTTTTCTGTTAGCGCAGAGACCAGGCGAATGAGGGTTACCCGTCGTAGCACGCACCGTGCTCTCATCCAAACATTCGTTTCCTGTCGCTCAATCAGATCGTGACGTCCCTAACAGTCACGGGACGTCTCGTCAGCGCTGTCTTGTCAGTGATTGCATTCGCAAGGTTCTGTAGCTTTTCGTTAAAACAACAGGTACACAGAGAGGCAGCCTGCAAGATGCTTCTCAGTGAGCCGCAAGTTTGTCAAGGTTTCCGTCCAAGTAAAATGGGAAATAAAAAGAGTATTCATTATGGTCGGCCCTCGCCCAGCATGGGGATGCAGCACGCAGAGCCGTTGCCTGTCACTGACGAAGCCAGTGACGCAAGCAGGTTTCTTCTGATATATACGAGGTCGGTTTTCCGACCCCCAAAGAATCTAATACACAAGAGCCCGAATCACGCCGCCACAGATATGAATCCACCAGTCTGTAGTTTACTACAGATGTTTCTGTTGCTCCGACGTGTCTCGTTCTTCATTTGCGTCTTCTCTTCATCGAAGAGATACTCAATAGCCTGCAACGTAATGTGTTCATGTTACAAGGTCCGGCGACCCAATCCGCTTCGTAAGTGTTGAAAAAGGAAATTGTTAGATGACACCTGCTTCTTTCAGGCCTTTGACGATTTGGTCGTCGTCCTAGGTAGGGGTAAATTTCGTCAGCTCCTAAACTGCAAGTATCGGTTCAAGACAGCTAGTAGTTTCGATGTGGAAGCCGTGAGTGATGTGTTTCGAACAAGTCGGCGATTAGGATGCATTATATCGTCACTAAACAAACGCAGCCGTTTCCCAAGTATGAACATTTTACATAAGCTTGGTTACTTCATCTTCGACCTTGTGATGGGTATTGGTGTCAGCTGCAATGGCCATGGATGGGAGTGAAAATTGGCACAGATCGTACCGAAGTGCCTCAAAACAGCCCAGTGCTCACGAGCGACCGACTGGTAGCGAAGGGAATCAAGAAATCGCACTCACCTCCATATCTTCTAATGAGTCTTGTTGACCTATACATCTTAAGACGTTTTTCTTGCTACTCTCTTGCAGCTCGCCAGCGAGCAGCAATTCGTCGAGAATGTAGTATGCTTTCGTAAAGGAAAAAATAATATCAAGTTCGCAAACATTGCCGTAATATTTGTCCATCTGTTCGACGTAGCGGTGGATGATTTCAAGTGTAATAAGTTCGTTGTCTTCGGAGGCGCTGCCAGCAATGAAGAAGAGGGACGCGTATCGGCGGTACACGATTTTTGTATCTCAACCTTAGTTAGAATTTTGTCATAGCGTAAAATAGTTTCTTTTCAAACCTTTGTATTCAATGAAATTGCACATTCGTGTCCGTCTTGCCAGAACCAGTTGTGATACGTCCTTGACAATCTTTGCCTTGTCTTTGGGGGACAAGGTTGTGAACCATTTCGCCAGACGCTGCTTAAGTTAGGTAATCTGTTATTCCAAAGGGTATTGCAGGATTTCATAAATAACATACGACCTTGCCCTGGCGAGACAGCAGAATTAGGTATCTGAAGTCAAGGTTAGTAGCAACTTCGCGCTTATCTGAAGGGGGGAAACAAACTGAATAGCCATCCTTGCGAATAGAATGGACTCTAATAGCGTGCCAATATAACGATAGTGGAACAAACAGACAAGAGCAGCTTGGGTCGTATCTAATTCAACGGCAATCGCTGGTGTTGTTGTGTAGCAGCGTCGTAGAACGGTCAATCAACGTGTTGGCCCGTGGCGGAGAGCTGTGCTGTCTGTCCCCTTCGACCCCTCCATCCAGAAAATACCGGTCAGGTGACTTGAGTCGGGGCCGTCGCCGCGCAGACCGCCGGCGTTCATCCCCCACCATAGAATAGAGAGGGGAAGTGCCAACGAGCAATACCATATAAAATGAGCGGAAAATTATAACCACATATGATTATTCACTATTGGACAGATATAACCTATATTGTGCCTTTTTGGTCCATTTTTTTTTACAAAGGCGTCTGAGAGTAAGGGTCCTTCAGAAGGCAACCACACCAATACAGAGGCAGGCAGGCGGGGTGGGGTGACGAGATTGCGTGACAGGTGCAGCAAAATGGAAAGCGCATTAGATAGAGCCACTCTCTCTACGTTAGTGTCTGGGCTGCCCTACGCGCCGGCAGTGGGCGCTCAAGGTCACCAATGATTTATCAATCCCTTGCCATTTCGCCTTCCCCGCCAGTCGCTGCCCAAGTGCCTGTTTAAAAGTTTGGCCGTGCCCAACATCGTTTGCTTTTTCGGTTCTCTATTTGCTCACAAACCTTTACCTCGCAATATTAAACCGGCGGCTCACTCGGGTCATCCCAGTGGCATTACTAATACAAAGGGCGGCGGAGGAATTACAGGCTGCGGGCCGCTAAGAGAGAGTACCGACAAGGCGTGGTTCCCGGGGCTCTATCGGACCATCGGCTTCTGCAAATTTCGCTCCGCCGGGTCAAAACTGAGCTGGCGCCGTTGCGGATTTGCGATTTGAATTAAACTCTGACCTTTACACAACCTCCCTCAATACCTTCGGCTTCCTTCGCACGCTCTTTTTTGTTTTCCTTGTCGACATCGGAAATCCCAAGAGCGCACTCGGTCAGCTTGCCGCCCTGTGCTGCATACCCTGCCCACGATGACAAAGCTGGTTCTCTCCACGGGGTATGTCGCTGCGCAGTCATTCGTGGCAGCCAAAGTCCGCCTAGGCTTGAACACTGTGCTAACTACAGTTTTAATGCAGCAATGTCATGTCCGTCGGACCGACCGTGATCCGCAAATCGAACGGCAACTCTCGATCCAACCTCGAACTCGTCAACGCTCTCCGCGAGAACTTCCACACTGCACAGCATGATTATGCAACCTACACAAACGGCAATGGCAATGTAAACGGAAACGGCTCACACAGCTCAGTTCCTGTTGAACAATGGACCGAAACCGTCGACGATATTCTCTTTGTCCCCAAGATAGAGTGGCAAGGCGCTGGTCTTCGCGACGCTGCACAGCAGTACGAGATTACCGTCAAATTATTCTTCTTGCCAAACACACCAGCCTCGCAGCATGAGACTTATATTCGCGAGGCGTTAGCCTTAGTCCGCAAAGAGCTACGCATTGAAACTATTGACCTTCTTGTCGTCTCATTTGCTGGCATGTCGTTCGAAGGTACCTGCGAATGGGAGGCCGACAAGATCAACGCTGAACAAGGAAACTTGGATGAACAAGTCACTACCTGGCAAGCTCTTGAAAAGCTACATCTTTCTGGGGCAGTAAAGAACCTTGGCGTTGCAGAGTTCGGAAGCGAGAAGCTCCTCGCCTTCATGAAGCGTACCACCGTCCGCCCTGCCGTCGACCAAATCAATCTCAAAGACTGCTGTTCAGTCCCCCCGCCATTGAAGAAACTGGCCCTCGAAACCGGAATGGAGCTCAACGTCCACACCGACTGCACTGATATTATGCCCTCTGGAACCATGCGAGAGTTGCTTAATGGTGGCCAGCTTGGTGCCGGAGTAGTTGCCGACATTAATGGCAATGGTCCTGGTCTGAAAGGCGAGCTTGTGCCCGAATGGGTTGTGCGTTACACAGCATTTGTAGCGGACAGAGGCGTGGTTGAGAACAAGGGATACTTCGCGGGTGCCGAAATTATCCCCAATTAGGTTGGGCTTTTTGGATGGTGAATAGTGGTTATATCCGTTTGATCTGAGAACAGATACATGCATACCTGTTTATTGAGCGATGTTACGTCTCGCTCTTCATCATTATTTTTTTTGCTTCATTTTATGTTTATAGCGAGCGTTTGAACTAAGTGGCTACAAGGGTTGCCTTCAGTTCAGTATTTATCGACAACCCAGTCTGCCAAGAAAATTGAATGAATGAATTCTTCTTTTTACCATTTTATGACGCTATAGCATCACTATTTACCCAAGCATGCTACGCTTCCGGCCACGCATTCGCACGTCTTCTAGTCGCTTTAATACGGCCGGTGCTTGCTTGAAACTCTTCCCATATTCCTCCAGCACCTCGTTAAATATGCACTCTGCTCGAGGATGAGTGCTGGCAAATGCCCTCTCAAGAACATAGAGATCAACTGCGCGTTCCTCCTCCTGCACAGCACCGCTTGCTAAACCCATATCAATAATAACAATCTCGCCCTCCAAAGATTCGTGTTGATCTACTTCCGATAGCTCCTTGCTCAACATCATATTACTCGTTGTCAAATCTCCATGAACAATACCCATGTTGTGCATTTTGCCTACAGCAGCTCCGATTTTTCTCAAGAAGGCTTTGAGTTCCTCGTCTTGGGCGATGCCTTCTGTTCTCTTGCCTAGCTTGGCATTTATATTTACTCTGACAGGAGTTCCATTAATCCATTCCAACATTATCCAGCCGGCGGCTTCATCTATTCCGTATACAGCCGGGACTCGAACGCCATCGCGGCGGCATTTGACAAGGACTCGGGCTTCGGAGAGGATGCGATGCTTTGTAAGTCGTTGGTCAAGAAGGCTATGGCGCCATGGCTTAGGTGGCCTGTATTTTAATGCGCAAGGGATATCTGAATGCAGATATGTTGTCTTATAGAGGCGGCCTTCGGCACCTTGTGTAATGAGAGTTGGAGGGGTCGATGCGGGGTGTTGGAGGATAGCCGGAAGCGGGAATGGTTGGTCGTTCGACGCCGAGGTGATCGCCATGTTGAAGTTTTCGGAATTGTCTACACTCGCAAATATCGACGTCTAGGTTTTGTTCGGCTGCGGAGTTGCAAGACAGGCTTTACAAACAAATGTGTCCTGCTCTGTTTGGTCACACATAAGAAAAGTTGAAGTCGCTCTTCGCCCCACTATTGGCAGCCCAGCGTCTTTGCACCAAGACGAACCGGACCTACAGTCTCCTGCCCCACTGGACTCGCAGAAGCCCATCGCCAGTAACGCAACGCAGGTCAACTTATGAGCTGCATTATCGATTATCAGTAGTATTAACGACCGTCATTCGCGGGGCCTGTATTTTGCCGGGCCTCATATTTAATATCAGGATAATGCAAGCAATGGATAGCCTCTTTGTACACCTGTACAGCTTGCGGCCCGACCAACCATCACCTGACACCGCAGCCGTCTGGCCCACGTCAGTGCTTAGTGACGCACCACTATTGTACTGTAATGGCATGAGTAGCTGTCTGAGACAGCGGCTGCCACTGGCTTGGTTAGCCATGTGATGTACCTGACACGGGGGATACTTGGTGCGCTGGACGCAGGGGCACAGCGGTACAACGAGGCTGGGCGGTAGCCACACAAGCTTTGGGATTGCACATGTTGCACTGCATTAGCGCTGGGCCTGACAACGGAGCCCAACAAAAAACCTAAGAGAATGAGCGCTGGTGCTGTAGGCGCAAATGACAGTGGCTGGGAAGAATGCTAAAAAGGTGCTTGAAGAAAGCGGGACGGGTCGTTAGCCTCTTGACCCGCCCGCCATTTCGCCCACATCCGTTTAAGTCCTTCGATAAGACTGAGCACAAGCAAAAAGGCCCAGAAACGCCGTGACGCTGCCGAGTAATGGTTGTCGCCGCCGACCTGCAGCAGCCCAATCGGATCGGGCAGTGGCAAAAGGCCGTCTGCGCTTCTGCGAATCCCCTCCTCCTCTGGCCTGCTTCCCCTGACATCTCCTTTTCATCTGCACAGAACTTAAAGCATACTACCACCTCCAGGCCGTCGCCTTTGGATCATGTCGCCCGGCTTCCACCCAACTCAACCCAACCAGCACTACACCGACTCTTTCACTTCGCCCTCGGCCCTAACTCTACGCCCATTATGGCCGACACAGGCTGGTTTCTGCAGTGGACAATCATACTAATGCTAACGGCCCTGACGCTGTCGCTCCTAGTCGTTGCCCAAATCGCCCACATGCACTGGTCCGCCTACGTCGCTGCTCCAAAGGAGGTCGCCACCTTTATAGACACTGTCGATTTCTCCATTCAAGAGAACGAAAGCTATGATAGGGACGTCGCAAAGGTGCAACGACTAGAAGATAAGATCCGCCTCGGGCTGTTGCTCAGAGAGATCCAGAAGCATGGTGATGACCTGCACGAGGAGCTGAATGGGCTGTTGCTCTCTGACGAAACCACAGCTATGCGCACTTCAGCACGGCTGTTCTGGGCTAGCAAGCGCACGCAACTAGACGATCGCGTGCGTAGACTCGATCTTCTACGAATGCGATTCCTGGTCGTCTACCTAGGCATCATATCCTCCATAGCTGACAAGCAACCCCCGCCCCCTCCGCCTCTTCCGCGAGATACCGAAAAATCAGCTGCTTTTCAAACCCCATCTCGAGCCAGTTTTACGAAATCATTACAAAGTAGTGTGCCGAAGCGTCCTCCTGTCCGCCGGCTAACGACTCAAGCCATCGGGCACCAGGAGAACGTCACGGGCACTGGGCGGAGGGGCTGGGCTGGGGTTGTGGAAGAACTGCAAACCTCGCCGCGAATGCACCAACGACACGCCTCGATAGAACGCGCCATGTCAATGAGCCCTACGGAACTAGAAGACCGCAAGTTTAGCTTTTCATGACGAATTTACGACGGGTGGCCGACTTCCTTGGTCACCAGCAATGTACAACGATAAAAACGACTCTCATATTTAGCGACAATTAATTTCTCGACTCTTCCCATATTCGACAGTTCGCGGCAAAACATACAGTACATATTTTTATTTCAGACCAATTGCATCAGTTGATGCCGGTCTGGGTGTTGAGGAGTATGCGATTGTCAACTCATCCTTGATCTCTACAGTTGGCGGTTCCGGTCGATTTCGTGCAGCAGACCCTAGATCGGATATAGACATAATAGCCTAATGTTCAAGCGCAAAAAGAATTTTGCTTTCTATATTTTTGATAATTTATTCCAAGTTTAACTTCACTGCGTGGCTAAACGAGTGACTGGGTTTCTCTCATAACATTGCTAGTATTTGCTATTTATAACCCTATATATCATGTCCATAACCTCAGTATACTGAGAGGTTTTCGGGGCCTGTGCCATTCTTTTCTCCGACTAAGATTCGCTTCAAGGTTAACCATCGCAACTGGTAGTAGGCTGGGCGCTGTCCAAAGTAGAGGAATATAACTTACCATCAAGAGCAACCAAAAAGCGGCTCACGCAGTTATAGGCCGCAACCTATTATAGCATTAGCACAAAAAGTAGGTTACCAACAGGTGGTCTATTATTCAAACGAACAGTAGCAGTGATCTCGACGACCTCTCTGTCAGTAAACAGCTTCTTTAGTTGACCAAAGATGTCCTCTGCAACTTGCACATTTCTGGTCATCTCATCCGCATAGACCAGGGTTGCCCACTGCTTCTCATTCAATAGCTCAGAAGGTTGTCTATTATCGAGCTTGTCAAGCTTCAGAACATCGAGGGCGGCTTCGCTCACGCCACCATCGACGGCCAATGGGGCATGATGCGCCCACTCATACCACGCTTGATTGCATACTGCAACACGGCAAATTGCAATCTCGCGGATGTCATCTGGAAGGCTTGTCTTGGTTCGGATTGCTCCTAGAAACGAGTTCCAGCCGTCGGCAACGGGAGGTGAATGCAGCAGGGTCAAATCGAGGGCCTGGAGGGGTCGGGGATGGCGACGAGCCCGGACACGGTCCACGATGGCTTGTTCTTCCTCAGTGGAAGTAGGAGGAGGGTCGGCGATATAAGGGAGCTTCATATTAACTGCCAAGTAAAGTAACTACTAAGTTATAAATTACAAAGTTGGGTTGCGAGATTTAAGTTGTCTCAATTCAACAAATACCTTGATGTGATACTAGACGGATGGAGTCACTTGTTAGTGGGGTGTGCCGGCTACTGCTGTCGGCTTTCCGTCCGCAGACGCCGATCTCGCTGTCGCTTTCGTCTACTGTTCAGGCATGAGTATCGTACCTATCCGCATTTCGTTAAAGTTAGGACGAAGCCAGAGCTCTATGATTATGGAACGATTTGGGTTTTTACATGCAATGCGCAATTTTGTAACGGATTAACGGTGTAAGTCGCCGGCAATGATAGCGCGGCCGATACTTGCGACTGACGGTTCAGACGCCTATCCAAAGTCATTAGAGTACGTAATCAAGAAATGGCAGCAGTCTCAATGGAAATTTTAACAGACAATAATTGAATATTTTTATTCCAGCATTGCCTATTATTTTTAGACCTGCTGCCGTATCACAGCATTAGTAGCACCTACACCCACACTGCGCTGCCTGAGCCGAGACGGAACGCGTCAAGCCTTCTCACGTGACCGAGCAGTTGCAGGGGCGACTGTCGCCCATTAACGCGACGGCGCTTTTCGCGTGAACTCCAAGCTCCAGGTCCATCAGCGCCAACTGCTTCCTCCCTCAACATCGTCGCGCTGCCCCAACCTCTTTGTCGCAACGATGGCGGAGATCAAGATCGATAGCAAGCTCTTCCAAGAGCGCATCTCGCATTTTGTCACTTCTTGGAAGAATGACCTTCGATCCAACGATGGCCTTTTTGGCGGCGCCAACTCCCTCGTCGTCATGATGGGCAAGGTCAACGAGGTCCCCGAATTCCACAAAAACAACGCCGTTCACGTAAGCTCATCAATCAATTATCAAATGGAAGTCTTGCGTTTATAATCGGCTACTAATTGCGACAATAGTTTTGGCTGTTGGGCTACGAATTCCCTACCACTTTGATGCTTTTCACACTGGATAAGCTCTACGTGCTCACAACCCCCAAGAAAGGTTTGTCATCGCTGATAACATCCGTGGCATTGAAAGGATGCTAATTAAAACATAGCCAAGCATCTCGAACAGCTCCAAGGCGGTCGATTCCCAATTGAAATTCTTTCTCGAGGCAAAGATGCTGATGAAAATGAAAAGCTCTGGGAAACCCTTACCAGCAAGATTAAGGCTGCAGGAGTAGGTTCACAACGATGTCTAGCTTGCATACATAACTCTGACCTTCTCGCAGAACAAAATCGGAACGATCGCTAAGGATACATCACGCGGTCCATTTGTGGACGAGTGGAAGAAGGTCTTCGCTGAAAGTTGCAAGGATGTTGAAGAAGTTGACGTGTCGCTGGCTCTCTCTACCTACGCATTTGCTGTCAAGGATGAGAACGAGCTACGCGCTATGCGCGCTGCTTCCAAGGCATGTGTTGCTCTCATGACACCATACTTCCTCGACGAAATGTCCAATATCCTTGATGCTGAAAAGAAGGTGAAGCACTCTTCTCTTGCTGACAAGGTTGACAAGAAGATCGACGACGACAAATTTTGGAAAACAGTTCAACTCCCAGGAAAGAGCAAACTGCCCTCTGACTTGGACCCCCAACAGCTTGATTGGATCATGGGCCCTGCTATTCAGAGTGGTGGTAAATTCGATCTACGATTTGCAGCCGAAGCCAATGACGACATCCTCCATCCCGGAATTATCATTGCCGCCATGGGCCTGCGTTACAAGTCGTACTGCTCGTCGATTGCCCGTACATACCTCGTCGATCCCAACCAGGCGCAAGAGAACAACTACAAGTTACTCGTGCAGATTCACAACACCGTTATCAAGAATCTCGTTGACGGTGCCGCTGTCAACAGTGTTTACAACTCTGCCATGGCTATTATCAAGAGCAAGGCTCCCAACATGGAGAAGCATTTCCTCAAAAATGTGGGTTGGGGTGTTGGTCTAGAGAACCGCGATGCCACATTGGTTCTCAACGGCAAGAACACACGCACACTGAAAGATGGCATGACATTCATCATCCACACTGGCTTCCAGGATATCGACAATTCCCAACCGCAAGACAAGCTCAGCAAGACATACTCTCTCGTTCTCAACGACACGGTTAGAGTCACCACCACTGCCCCTGTTGTCTTCACTGCCGAGGCACCAACCAGCGCCGATGCCAATTCTTTCTTCTTTAAGGATGATGAGGAAGAGCAGCCCGCACCCAAGAAGGAGAAGAAGGATCCTCGCGTTGGAGCTGTGGCCACCACAAATATCACGAGCACCAGACTCCGCTCAGAGCGTTCCACCCAGGTCGATGAAGATGCCGAGCAAAAGCGTCGTCAGCATCAGAAAGAACTGGCTGCTAAGAAGCAGAAGGAAGGCCTTGCTCGCTTCGCAGAGTCTACCAGCGGACAAAACGGGAATGAGGTCAAGAAGTTCAAGCGCTTTGAATCCTATAAGCGTGAAGATCAACTTCCTCCGCGAATCAAGAACATGGAAATCGTTGTGGATTCAAAGAATGCCACCGTGGTTCTGCCTATCCTTGGTCGACCAGTGCCTTTCCATATCAATACCATCAAGAACGCCAGCAAGAGTGACGAAGGCGACTATGCATTCCTTCGTATTAACTTTTTGTCGCCGGGTCAAGGTATTGGTCGTAAAGATGACCAGCCTTTCGAAGATGCTACAGCACACTTTGTGCGTAGTTTGACATTCCGTTCGTCTGATGGTGACAGATACAATGAGATAGCTACTCAGATTTCCAACCTAAAGCGCGACCTCAACAAGAAGGAGCAGGAGAAGAAGGACATGGAAGACGTGGTGGAACAAGACAAGCTTGTCGAAATTCGAAACCGACGTCCCGCGGTCCTCGACAACGTATACATCCGACCAGCTATGGAAGGCAAGCGAGTGCCCGGCAAACTGGAAATTCATCAGAACGGTATCCGCTACCAATCGCCGCTTAATGCGCAGCACAGAGTGGATATCCTCTTCTCCAACGTCAAGCATCTCTTCTTCCAGCCTTGCCAGCACGAACTTATTGTCATTATCCACATCCACCTTAAGGACCCCATCATTGTGGGCAACAAGAAGAAGACCAAGGACGTCCAATTCTACCGCGAAGCCACGGACATCCAGTTCGATGAAACTGGTAACCGTAAGCGCAAGTACAGATATGGCGATGAGGACGAATTCGAGGCTGAGCAGGAGGAGCGTCGTCGCCGTGTGGAACTGGACAGACTGTTCCAAGGCTTTGCGCAGAAGATTGCCGAAGCCGGCCGTAGCGAGGGTATTGAAGTCGACATGCCCATTCGCGACCTTGGCTTCAACGGTGTTCCTTACCGCAGCAACGTTTTTGTCCAGCCTACTACCGATTGTTTGATCCAGGTTGTCGAGCCTCCTTTCATGGTTATTACCATTGAAGATATCGAGGTTGCCCATCTGGAACGTGTGCAGTATGGTCTGAAGAACTTTGATATGGTTTATGTCTTCAAGGACTTCACACGCGCACCGTTCCAGGTCAGCAATATTCCCGTCGAGTTCCTTGAACAGGTCAAGGACTTCCTTGACTCGTCTGATATTGCCTATTCCGAGGGTCCACTGAACCTGAACTGGCCTACTATTATGAAGACGGTCACGGCCGATACGCATCAGTTCTTCGCCGATGGTGGTTGGTCATTCCTCCAAGCCGAATCGGACGACGAAGGCTCTGAGGATGACGAGGGCGATGGCTCTGCCTTTGAAATGGACGATGATGAAGTTGACGCAGCCTCCGAATCGAGTGAAGAAGAGTCCGACTATGGTAGCGCCAGTGACGACGACGATGAGGATGGCGAGGCAGAACTTGACAGCGATGAGCAGGGCGAGGACTGGGATGAGCTGGAAAGAAAAGCAAGCAAAAGGGACCGCGAAAGCGGACTGGATGACGACGAGGGCAGCAAGAAGAAGCGCAAAAGGTAAAAAGCTTCAGTGGGGAATGGATTCATTTGCTCATTCAACAGAAGATTGTGTACAACATATATGCGAGTTGGGGATGGCCTTTTTTGATACTTTAGGAATAATAAAAGACGTTGTTACATTACACACGAAATCTACGCCGAGCCTCTCTGTATCTACAACAACTCAGTTGTAATGATGTAGCCTTATCTGCGTATCAGAACGAAATTCTAGCCAGTTAAGTTATAGCGACTGTTGTTGTCACATTGGAATGAGAGTATTGGCAGTAATGTAGCAAGTTAATTTTATAAATGAAAAGATGTATCGCATCAAGCCAGCAGGAAAATACAAAATCAAAACAAGCAAAACGACTCCTCTTTAAACAAAACCTTCCACCGCATCTACCTTACGCCTCACCGGGACGTACATCTCTACCCGTAGCCATGCCTCTTGTGGGTTGCGGGGTCTTGCCAGCAGGAGCGTTGTTCCACGACAAGTAGGTATGGTCGCCGAGTTTGCTGGTACACGTTAGTGAATGAATGGGTGAATGAGCATAGGTTGGGGGTAACATACCGAGGCTTGATGAGGTGGGTAGCTGTGAAGACACCACCGAGGATGATGCAAAGGCCGCCAACAACGAGATATACGATGCCGAGGAAGGGGTTGCGTCCGCCCATAACGGTACGGGTGGTGATGAGAATGGACTTCTTGCCCTGGTAGTCGTTGACAGGGAAGTCTATAAGCGGCAGCGTTAGTGTATGAGGGGTACAATCTGACAACCTAAACCTTACAGTCGTTAATCATAACCTCGTAGGTTCCGGGTTGAAGGACATCGTTATCGTTGCGCTGATACAGCTTGCTGAACGAGGGGAGACCGGCGGTTCGCATCCAGACCTGGAAAGCCTCCCAGTCCTTCAGTGGTGGCGGTGGGTGGTCGTTGGTGTAGCCGTCAGGGAATCGTTCTCTCCAGTTGGGCGGAGGCAGCATCTCTCCAATCTTGTACTTGGTGTCGCCGTAGAGGTCTTTGTCGCTGGCCCAGGCAATGTTGGTCTTGTTGTTCATCTGATAGACCTTGGTGTAGTTCTGGGGGAGGTCATCGCGAACAGTGTTCTTTCGGGGGTTCAGCAAGACGGGGCTGTTAAATGTATCGTTGAACATGGAGTTTGCAATCAAGCCGCATGGGTAGTAGGGCAGGTTGTTCTCTCCGTATAGCGGCGTGCACTTAGTGCTCTTGATATCGTCGTACGACTTGGCGTTGCCCTTGAGCTGGTCGGCGTCCTGGGAGTCCACGTAGCGTCTATGGTTCTGGTGGAAGTTGACAAGGTGGTAGTAAAATAAGACGGGGGGCTTCATCTCGTCGGGGATTCGGAACTGCAAATGGCAGACGTTGGTCGAAACAGCAACGCCGTAGTCGCCCTGAACCATCTTCTTCTTCTCCACAGCCCACATGGCCTGGATAGGCTCTTTGGACTTGAACGCAGATTCGACATATTTAGCATCCATGGGGCGGAAGCTGTTGCTGTCCTTGTATTCGGGTGCAAGATTGCTGCATTGTGAATATTCGATTTGGAGCTCCTGAACGGTGGAGCTCACCCAGAGCAGCAGACCTCCAATCGGGGCGAAGATGATGCCAATCACGAAGAAGAGAGGCAGGACTGTTTTGGGTGTGAGAATCGGTCTAGAGAGACGACATTGTCAGTTTTGCGTTCGCTGAGTTGCCTCCGGTTACTCCGCATGGGTGTCCGTTGATATTGGGAAGCTAGGAGTCGCGCAACTTACTGCCAGGCTTTTAATCTTTGTTGTCTAAAGGCCGTGTCTGAATAGCGATGGTTAGCATTTGGCCTGTGACTTGTCGTGTTTGTATTTCGCGTCTGCAAAGCCAAAACTTTGGCGCAATGATGGGCGGCGACTCACTGGCAGGGCGTCTGTTCTTTTTCTTGTCCGGCTGCGTCGGGCTGGAGTCGTGAGAATCCATGGTGTCGGCGTGGCCAACCCCTGGGATATTGTCGGACATTTCGACCGTGGTGTATGTGGCGTCGCAAATTGCCTATTCGATGCCTTGTGTAGAGTTGGATGATACAGGTGGTGAGGGATGGTGATGGGACTATGAAAAGAGAGGCCAGCGACTCTCAGCCTGGCGCTTTGTTGGTCGGACGTGGTGGTCTGGCCAGACACAGACTCGTGTTCCAAGGGGGGCTTAGCTGTCAAGGTCCGAGTTATTTCTGGCCAAGGGGGCGAGCGACCATGTGGCTGAGACGACGTTGATATGTGGCGGTGCATCGGAGCCTCCAGGGTAGGATGGCATGGCGTATGCTCTTGTCGTTGTAGGCGGTTTATTTAAACCAGTATCAATAATATATTGTAAAATATATATATATATATTAATTAATCAAACTATATAGTGTTAATTTAAATTGAACTTTACCGAATCTTTGAAATCGCGCTTTTGTTAGCTGGTTTTGCGGTTTTCGATAACGCCACTGCTAGTGAATCTGCCGAAAGTAGCTGGGTAAGATCCGTTGCAACAAAGTTGAAATGTAAGGACTGCTATGCCTCCTAGCAAAACGTGATGATTATTTGATACCGATACCTTGCATTACCAATAACAGTACTACTAAAAAAATGGCAATCAACAGAAGCAGCTCAGCGATAAAACCAGACGAACATGAGAGGTTCACGCTGCGCTGTATGCGTGATTCATATAAGTCAGGCAATGTACAGGACTACCTACTGAACCTGATCACATATGATAAACTAGTCGGGTCCAACTCTCGTAGTCTGAGTTCCTGCTGCTGGCTTCTAATTACACCAAGTTTAGTGTTCAAGGTCTCTCTTTTTTTTTTTACTGCCGAGATGATCGTCACGCGGCGTCAGCGTCATCTGTCGGGACCAAACCCGGGCGGCCAAGTGGACCGATTGGTGGCCAGTCTACAGAGTGCTACGCTGTGAGCGTCGCAGGTGGTGCTTCCAAGATTTTTGAATGGATGAGAGGTAGTGGGCTGACTTTTTGCTTGCATAGAGACCACAGTGAACGAGCCGCTTTCTGTCCGTTCATTGTCTTAGCGCCGAGCCTGAAGGCGAAGGGGGCAGTGAGCACGGTGCAGCAATCAACTCTCGGAGAAGAAGAAGAAGCACAGGCACCCTTAATTGGACATTTCGTGCTAGCGAGCCAACCCTCTCTTGACGCAGCCTCTTCACCTTTATTTGGAGACCGTTGCGTTGTTTCCCCCACAATGGAGGCGCAGCATTTGCAGCATTAGCAGCACCAGTGCCGGGCCGTACGTGTCTCATGCCGAAGGCCTGTTGCGCTGGGTGTCAGTGGTGTGTGTGTGCCGCCCCAACAAAATAACGTCGAGAGAACACCAAAGTTGCATTTCCCAGCTACCAGGTTTCGCGCGAGTGATGGTGGCATATGGAGCATCCAGGGCCCATGGTCGAGCAGTGACACGCATCTCGCAACGTTCAGGTCGACCCACGGGGGCGTCCTGGTGGTGCCGTTCAAGCCACCACGAGATTGGTCTTCTTTGTCGTCCTAGGCGCCGCCGTTGTTCATTCTCGGCTGTTCGGCATCATCGCTGATGAAACAAACTCTCCGTCATTTTTGGTTTGGCCGCCAGCTGTACTGGCCCCAGCGAATGCTAAGCTGGTGGCCCACGCCATGCGCCAAGCAAGTAGGGCAGGCGGCTACCACAGCTGCTACAGCGCTGTCGTTGCTTGTGGTGTCATGCTGTACTGCCAGAAGCCAGCGTGCTTGTGTTGCTTTTTGGAGCTGATAGTAATATTATATTAATAACCCTTTCCATCCCCTCGTTAGGGAAGAAGCCTGGCATCCAGAGAATAAAACGTACCAAATTGCACAGTACCAAACCCCTGCCATCGCCCCCTACCAAAGCTTGATTATCGTCTCAGGACGTCATTTCTTTCATCTGGCCGCCTTCGGTTGTCCCTGTCACTCTCCTTGCTACCCGGATTTGCTGCTTGTCGGATACCGCCTCCGACCACGCAATCCGTTCGATTGTAACGGACCCCGGCTTTTGTTTTTCAACATTTTGTTACCCAGCACCCCCAGCCCTGCCGCCGCCCTCTCTGAATAGTAGCCTTTCTGTGCACAACACACTTTCCACCTTTCATTGTTTTTTTTTTGGGTTAAACTTTTGGTCTAGCCGAACACCGAGTACTTTGAAATTCCCTCGCAGACATCGAAACCAAGATTCTTGAAAGCCACAGCCAGGCCTTTCCTCACACGTCAGACGCATCGTCAGCCTTCCGCCAGCATCGCCACCTCCCCGTGCATGGTCCAACCACACCCGAGCCAAAGCACGCAGAAAAAGCACTTCAGATATATCTTTGTCTATACAACAACCTCAGATTTGCACACCTAATATCTCGATTACACAATGTCTCGGATGAGCATCGATATGGCTTCGCCGCGAAGCAGCACTAGCACGATGCGACGACCCAAGCGAGACACTGGCTTCCCCGAGTCTCTTGATTCTTGTACGTGTTTATTCCGAAGTACAACAACAACTATAACCACTTAGACTAACATATTCCAGGCGGTACCAGTCGTCCTCATCCTGACGCCGACCTCTCCCCCAACGCCACCATTTCGCAAGATGATTTGGTGTCCATGTCAGACAACCGAAAACGATCACGACTACCATTTCTTCATCGCCACAAACGGAATGCGACACATGGCTTTCTGAGCCCCCAAATGGCAGCATTGCATAGCGTTCTCTCTGTTACCAGCATTGACACATCTACTTTTGAAGAGCCTCGACGGCTAAGCAACGACACCGAGTCCAAGACGAGCGACCATTCAGACAACAAGGAAAATCAAAGCAAGCGTCATGATGACGATGATAGAGGAGACTCGCCACCAACATCACCTGATGATAATGATCCGAATCATGACAAAGCCAATGGAATCACGAAATGGTTCCGTGGATAAACGACCTGCATTTTGGACATATGACACTCGAGCGTTCTCAACAAAAGCCACGTGTGTGTTTTCTCATCTCCAGCATTAGAAATTGTTTCGGGAATTTGAATTTAGAGCGGGAGTTTTTGAAATTGTTCTCTATCGTATGAAACGGTAAATAGTCATAGCGCGCCAAAGAAAGCGGTGCAGCATACTCAGAATTTATGAAATCCAACGCCATTATTTGGCCCTGAAAAATGCATCTAGCTTCCACGATATGTGGTGTAAGTGAAAGGGCTCAATAGCAATGGCACATGGTATGTTTGGCCTTGCTCGACTCGAAAAACTATTGTTGCTTCGGGGAAAAACGTGTTGCCTTCGCCAAAGTATCCCTCGGTATCAAAGTGCAGAGTCCATCGTGAGGCACCTTGTACACCAGCTAGGACCCCGGAAAGTTCCGAAGACATTCCCAAAGGCTTCCAAAGTTTGATGCGACCATCTGCATCCGTAGTAGCACTATATGAATGCTCCGCTTGTGAATCGGACGGCTCTGTTTCTGATGAAAATGTCTGGCTGGTAGATGGACCAACGAGACGGACGGCGATGCCCTTGGCAGGACGTCCAGCTGTTGTGTCGAGGACGTGGCAAGTGATGCGATCTTTCTCCATGGCCATTGTTTTGTGGACTTCTGCGAGTAACTATAACCAATATCGTGTAAAAAAGGAATGTAAAAGTCGAATACCACGACAAAGACGGCGAGTACAAGCGATGAAGGAACATATATGCCAGTTAACTGTGGTGTCCCCGCCCTGTAAAGACTGTCATTCCGGCGGGTACCGGCCGCTAATAGCGGGGCTTACCACCTGAATGCGAACGGCGATACTCTCCCAGATTCGAGTTAGATGGCGATGAACATAAAATTATGTTTAAGGCTGGAAGCGGGGATTATTTAAAAGAGATGAGATAAGCTGGGCAAGAAGAATGACGTCCTGAAATATACCATCTTGTTAACTGGCGCCTACCTTGGCTATACAAACCCCTCTTTATCAACGTCTTTAACGTCGGGTTACCAATATTACTATGCCTCGAGACCTCTCATATAATAAATGACTATTGAAAGACTTTTATTATAAAATTTTAATAATTATTTTGTTTCACTTCCAGGACTACACTGTTCTATGGCGTCACACCGAGGACTCCAGCTGCCCCTCCAAAACCGAGCATCGCAGCGGGGCACTAGGCTTTCTACCAACGTCACCTTTCTTCTACCACCATCTAGCTCCCCTACCGCATCAGTGTTTTTTTCCTTTCAGCGCAATCACATAACCACAATAATGTCTACCGCTATCATCGCCGAGGACGCCCTCGAGCCCACTCTCCAGTCCCTCCTTGATCAGCACTCGCTTCGCTGGATCTTTGTCGGCGGTAAGGGTGGTGTCGGAAAGACCACTACCTCATGCTCTCTCGCCATCCAGCTTGCCAAGGTCCGCCGTTCGGTATTGTTGATAAGTACTGACCCGGCACACAATCTATCCGATGCCTTCTCGCAAAAATTTGGCAAGGAGGCCCGCCTGGTGAACGGCTTCGACAACCTCTCCGCTATGGAAATCGACCCCAACGGCAGCATGCAGGATTTGCTCGCAGGTCAGGGCGAGCAGGACGACATGAACAACATGGCCGGTGGCATGGGCGGAATGATGCAGGACCTTGCATTTGCTGTTCGTATACCATGCTATAGCTTTACCACGTCCCTGGCGCTAACAATCGCAGATCCCTGGTATTGACGAAGCCATGTCCTTTGCCGAAGTTCTCAAACAAGTAAAGTCTCTTTCCTACGAAACGATTGTTTTTGATACTGCCCCCACGGGACACACTCTCCGATTCCTTCAATTCCCTTCGGTCCTCGAAAAGGCCTTGGCCAAGGTCTCGCAACTCTCGTCTCAATACGGCCCTCTCCTCAACGGCTTCCTCGGCTCCGGTGGCAACCTCCCTAACGGACAGAACCTGAACGACATGATGGAAAAGCTTGAGTCGCTGCGCGAGACCATTTCCGAAGTAAACACACAGTTCAAGGACGAAGCGTTGACGACGTTTGTTTGCGTCTGCATTGCAGAGTTCCTCTCATTGTATGAGACTGAGCGCATGATCCAAGAGCTGACTGGCTACGGCATTGATACACACTCTATTGTTGTCAACCAGCTGCTCTTCCCGAAGAACGGATCTGACTGCGAACAATGCACTGCGCGTCGTAAGATGCAGACCAAGTACCTCGACCAGTATGAGGAGCTCTATGCTGAGGACTTCAATGTTGTTAAGATGCCCCTACTAGTGGAAGAGGTGCGCGGTAAGGAGAAGTTGGAGAAATTCAGCGACATGCTGATCCACCCTTACGTTCCTCCCCAGTAAGTGGCAGTGAAGGGGGTGATATACAGACAGTTATGAGACGATGAAGAAAAGTTGTGAAAAATACGGCGTAAATGGTGTGGATAGAAGAGTACGAATAGATTTACCATGAAACATAAATACATCTCAGATGATACGGATATATACTTGGATCAAGACCTTCGAAACCTGGGGCAGCTGTCTCAATCTGTCTCTTCATAGTAGAGCGAGCGTGTTTCGACAGTGCCGCGCGACTCTTGGTTTCTCAGCCTCGACCAGTGGAATAGATATCGACGACTGTACTAGCTGAGAAAGTTGGCATTTCGTTTTTGGTAGCACAGCAGTCGTTTCCAGAGGTAAAGATAGACATTTTGTACGCTACAGAAAAGGCAACAGCTACGTATATATTAAAAGAAGCATACAGCGCCGTCTAGCAGTGTTTGTACTAGGTAATTCTTTGTAGCAATAGTGGAAACACTAGTTGGATGAGCTCATGCTAGACACTGATGTTGCACCGACGTTACAGTATCATCTTTCCTTTATGCCTTTCTATTTGACTTACGGTTAACTAATGCGAGACAGGTTTAAAAAAGAAAGATCATGTACGAAACTGAACTCTTTTAAAATGCCAGACTTGTCCTGTTTTTCTAAACCTTAATTTTCCGCACCATAAATCATGTTGCCATATATTGTCGCGTTTCTGGGCTTAGCCAGTGCCTCAGTGCTGTCTGTCAATATCGAACCTGTGCAGCGTTGTAACGAGCAGGAGCCTAGCGCCGAGTACTTGGAATTTGCTAGTCAGCTTCGCAGCGGAAACTATACGGTCCCTGAGTCCCAAGATGGCGAGTTGATTCAAGTCGACACCTATTTCCATGTCCTTGCCAACTCATCATCAGAAGCTGATGGCTATTTATCAGTAAGATCAGAGACAATGCGCTTTATAAGACAGTGGAGTTAATTTTGGCCTTAGAATAAAACAGTTGAGGCTCAAATGACGGCTCTTAATGAACACTGGAAGGCATCTGGCTTTCAGTTTAATCTTATAAACACAACCTGGACGATTGACGGGAAATGGTCGATGGATACGGACCAATTGGCGATGAAAAAGACGCTGCGCAGGGGAGACTACAAGGCGCTCAATTTGTATTTCCTAAGGAAGATGAAAGCGCTGGGATATTGCTACTTACCTGGGCATGTCACTGAGGGCTCTGATGCCTTTTATCGCGACGGCTGCACCAACTTGGCTGCCACAGTCCCAGGAGGTGGTGCCGGCAAAGGGCGCTTTGAAGAAGGCAAAACTGCTACACATGAAGTTGGACATTGGCTAGGACTACTGCACACCTTCCAAGGAGGATGTAGCGGTGATGGCGATGAAGTTGATGACACGCCGCTCCAAGGAAAGGCTACTAGTGGCTGTCCGAAGGATAAAGACACTTGCCCTGATCACCCTGGAAAGGACCCGGTGCATAACTATATGGATTACAGTGACGAGTAAGTATTCATGAAGTCTTATACTGAACGTACGACTAACACAGTATTTAGTCCATGCCTGTCGGAGTTTACTCCAGGACAGGCAAAGCGGGCCAAAGCAATGTGGGAGAAGTTCCGGGCAAAGTAAGGTTCAGCACATGTACGATTTTAGCTATATACTACAACAAATTATGTACGCGAGAAATGGATTATATACATTCGCTCACTCTGGCTTAGCCAAGAATTGGCGAGAGATGTGAACCTCCGACTTCGGCTGGATTACCCGCGGAACTTTACTATCCCGGACCTTCGTTTTCTGTTCATACGAGTAGGCGAGACCAATCAATTTGGACTCATCCCATTTTCGCCCTAGGAAGCTGAGACCTACAGGAACGTTAGGACCGTAGAGCACAAGCTCACCTGACATGTCCCATGCTTCCGGCGTTGATTCGTGATAGTGACCCATTGGCACGCTGATGACAGGCGAGCCAAGATAGGCCGGGAAGGACGAAGAAACAGCAGACGGTAAGACCACTGCATCGAGATTGAATCTATCCAAGGCACCGAAGAGGCCCTCTTCACCGGCTAGACGCAAAACCTCCTGTCTCGCTGGCCAGAAGGCGCTGTGAGTCGTGTTAATACCCTGCTCCGAAGCGATATCAAAGATGAGGGTATTGTGGCGAGGGTAGCGGGTCATGGGATGCTGCTTAGTCTGTTGCGAGATGTCTTCAAGGGTCTTGATACCATTTGGATTGTGCGTGAGCTCAGCCAAGTATCGACTCAGGCCGGTGTTGATGCTTGCTAGGATAGCAACGCGGAGGGCATCAGCGTTGAAGACGTCCAATCCGGAGGTGAAGTTTGCATCGACAATAGTAGCGCCCTCATTCTCCATGTCTTTTAATGCAAGCCTGAACATGTCCATTTCCTCATCTAACGGACGCTGGTTGTCAACCAATACATTCCACGGGACACCGATTCGGGCACCGCGAAGTGCGCCTTTCTTGCAAGCCGCAAGGTAATCGGGGATTTCGGGAATGGCAGATGTATAGTTATCGCGTGTGTCGTGGCCGGCAATAATCTGCAGAATTATAGCAGCGTCTTGTACGGTTCTTGTCATGGGTCCAACTGTATCTTGGTATTCGTTTAGAGGTACTACCATGTGTCGTGATGTAAGTCCAACCGTCGGTTTGATTCCCACAATACCGTTCTTGTGAGAAGGAAATATGATAGAGCCGGCCGTCTCAGTTCCCAAGGCTGCAAAAGAGAGCCCAAGGTCAACTGCTACGCCGCTTCCACTGGAGCTTCCTCCAGGACTCTGTTTTTGGCAATAGGCGGCGTACGTTTGGCCACCATGCGAGGACCATCCACTTGTTGCGTTTGATGAGCGACCTTCTGCCCACTCTCCCATATTTGTTTTACCGAGGATAATGGCACCGGCATCGCGTAACTTTGCTACGGCTGTAGCATCTCGAGGAACCTGTGCGCCACGAAGCAATATGGAGCCAGCTGTTGTTGGTTAGCACTGACTACCAGTAATGAGTTACCGAACATACCGGTGTTGTTCATTTTGTCCTTGGTACCAATGTTATCCTTAATGAGAATTGGAATCCCGTGTAACGGACTGCGCTTGAGTTAGCTTTTGTATTATGCAGTATAATGATAGAAATGTACCCGCGAATATGCCCGTGCCCACGCTCATTATCCAAAGCAGCCGCAATTTCTAAAGCATCGGGATTTACTTCTGTAACGACATTTAGGTCCGCGTTGACTTCTTCTATTCGAGTAATATATGCCTAGTTACAGTGTTAGCTTTAGGAATAGAACAAGAGTATTCGTATCGTACCTTGGTTAAATCAACACTATTGAAGAGCTGCTTTTGCATGCCGCGTGATAGATCAGTCAATGTAGCGTCTATCAGCTCTGGAAATGCTGGCGACTGTGTGGAAATTGGTGATGGCCATTCTAGCTGGAGCGACGCTTTTGCGAAGCTTAACAAAGCCAATGGTAATAGTATATTATAAATAATGAAATACATTGTACTTTGACGTCCCTTGTAGGTAATTTTGGTGCACTGGTCCCTGTTGGTATATAAAGGATGCTAAGGAATGTACATGGTTGTCAAGTCAATTTTTGCCGCCAATGGCTTACGCGCGTCTGATTCTCATCCCGTGTTATGTCTTGCTCTATAATTTGCTAGCGCAGAATCTCGTCGATCTATCCTATTAAATAGCAATAACATATCCCCGCGTCAGTGCTAATCTTAGGCTTGAAACATCTAATCGTAGGCGTCATCTGTCGCAAGGCCACAGACAGGCTTACATAGCCGCAGGAGTATAAGTTGTAGCACATTTGAATTGTTCACATCTGCAAGTTCAGAATTTAAATCGAATTTAATACATTGAGGCTTTGATATTTAAACTAAGCTATGAAGCCAGCCGCTCATAGCTTCTACAAAACAAATAGAGAAAAACGCCAATAGATGCATGATGATGCCCTTCAATGCCCAGCACAGTACCACAAACGTGAACCCCCTTCTCCCAAAGCTAACATTTACCCTGCCTTTAATAATCTACAGCTCGGTGTAATCGCTTGGGCGCACACGGCGCTGCTTGCTTTGGAAACGCTGAGGATTCACAGGGTTGCGGAAATAGGCACCGCCGTCGTCCTCTTCGCCTTGCTGTTGAGACTGTTGGGGTGGCCGTTGGTTACCCCCGTAATTGTTATAATTGCCATTGCCGTTGTTGCCGTTATTATTATTATTGTTGAAGTTGTTGCCACCATTGTTCATATTCATGTTCATATTAGGCATACCCATGCCCATCCCATTCATGTTGTTCATGCCCCAATTGTTCATAGCATTACCAAAACCGCCATTCATATTTCCAAACCCAGGCATGCCCATCATCGGCATACCCATCATATTCATATTAGGCATACCCATCATGTTCATACCCATGTTCATATTGGGCATACCCATCATATTGGGCATCATTGGCATACCATTAAACATCATGTTGTTCATGCCCATACCATTCATGGGCATACCATTCATCATGTTCATCTGATTTTGACCGGTTTGGTTCTGCATTGCTCGAGGCCCTTTGGGTATCTTCGGATTTTCCAGAGCATCATCAGCCGCTCGTTTCTTTGAAATCGCCTGAGGCGCCTCTGGTGCAGCTTTGGCTTGTGACGTGTCGTCGGACTTGGGAGATGGTGATGTTACAGGTGCGGTAGCCGCCTCTACTGGCTGTCCTTCTGCTTTTTCAGACTTTTCCACAGCATCTGTGGTGGTTTCTTCGGTAGAATGTTTGTTTTGGCTGTCTTCTACGACAGCTGGTTTGTCGACTAATTCAGTGGCTGTTGTAGGGTCGGTGGTATCAGACTTGTCTTCTGGTTTGGGGGAAACAATTGAGCTTTCCTGAGCAGCCTCCTTTGCGGCATCAGCAGCAGCCTCCTTCTCGAGCTCCTTCTCCTTGATGAATTCTTGGATCTTCTTGGCTGACTCCAAGTCGGGTTCTAAGTCGTCAAGTAAGACTCCTTCGGTTTGGCAGATCGGGCAAACAAAATCACTCTCCATCAATGCATTTGTGATGCAATCATTGCAGAATGTTTTCTGGCAGCAAGGAGCTTTCGTTGGTTCGATCAACATCTTCTTATCTATGGGGCATTCTAAGCCACGATCCTGAATTTCTTTAGTCGCCATGTCATCTTTCGCATTTGAAGAAGATTTTGTTTTCGCCTGGAAGCGCTCCCACGAAGCTTTGTCTGGCTCAGCAATTACAAAATCGCCCTCAGCATTAACCATGATGCCGGCAGGCCGTTTGGATTCATCGCCTTCAGTTTGTGCCATCACTACTGATTTATCAACTGTTTTCAAAAAGGATCGCGGGATACCCGTAGTCCTCTTGACACGTGGACGATTATCAAAGTCTGGGTCGTCATTTGTTGGACAAAGCTGGATCCAGTGGCCCTTTTGCCCACATCGATAGCAAATATAACCATTTGGCGGCTCATGATCTGGGACATTGGCAGGCCGTTTCGCCCCTGGCTTGAAGACTGGCGCTTGACTATGCCGGTTAGTAAAGGATCGGACCAAATCTGGGGGTATTTAACTTACTGAGAGAGTTCCTCCTGCTGTACTGACCACTGTTCAGTTTGGGCAGCAAACATGGCAGCCATTTTATCCTCTTCAGTCATGGCTGAGGACATCTGATTCAGTGCGGTAGTACCCGTCTTGCCCAATCCGGCCTTCGCCGCTTGCTCTTTTCTGCCAGCATTCTTTGCTGCTACAGGCATTTTACCAGACATATATCGTGCTGCACGGCCAGCACCTGGTTTCATAGCTGGCTGGCGCCGGGCCAAGACAGTCGTCGATCGGGGGATGATAGTGGTGTCATCGTCGTACTCTAGTTGAGCATTAGCATACTGTTGATATATATGACCTCGGTCATTCTTACCTTCACTATTGTCGTCGGTATAGATAAAGAGATCAAAGTCTGTCCCGTCACCTAGGCCACTCTTGATAATAATTTCACGCTTCAGCTCGAAGACTGAGATACCAGTTCCGTCAAATTCTACTCTTGTTGGCTCTCGCTGCGATTTGAACTTGAAAAACACTGAGGATGCCATGGTCGCAACTTGCACAGCAGAGCTGAGGGCAATGCAGATAGAGATGCCTTGTCGAGAAGGGCGCGGCGATGTGATTGCCTATCAAGATGCGTATGATGTTGCTGTCCGCTACTGCGGATGTCAAAGTGTTCAGGATGGGAGCTGTAGTAAAAAGTGATATTTGTTCTTCTTTTTTTCTTCCTTGCTCTTTGCAACTTGCTTGCACTTTTTGTCAGGCAAATAAAAAACGTATTAAATTTCTTCTTGTACCTCAAAAAGATCAAATCAACGCAAACCGTTCAAACAACTCAACGGGCTAAATCAGTAAGGAGTACACTCGGCAGCAGCCCGTAGAATAGAATGCTCAATTCCACCTCCTATGCCCAGCCTTAAAAATATCCTCGAAATTCCTCGAACCTGCGAAATCACCGTTCGCTAGCCTTTCCCAGTCCCTATTGTCTATCTCAACGCTATCGTCGCTAGCACCAGGTGGCAACAATCTGTCGCACACAACAATGAGGCACAGCGGGCGCACTGGCACAGGTAGTTTCTAGAGAAAGTCAAAGATCGGCCGGAAACAACAACACCGAGATGCCAAACGCGATGGACGCCTTGCAGGTCAATGCACGTTACTACTGGGCGATGGCGGATGGATGGCGACTGTCGATGAAGATGAAAACGTTCGCTCGTCGAAGCAGGGGCGCGGAGGCGAACAACTATTGGACGTGGCACAGTAGCGTTAGTCAGCAGATTCAGGTGGGTGTGCGCTGCGAACAGGTACTGTACGAGTCGTGGTTCGGCGTCGGATCGGAAGAATGTATAGCCGAGGACCTTTGTAGCTCCAAGGCAAACGTTACTGACCAATGCGCGTTGTCGTCATTGGCTGCCGTTGGTAACCGTATAATGCCCCGCGGTGGGTAATAGAAACTCGTCCTGCATCCTCTGTCGTTGTGTGTGTAGTTAAACCGCAGCAGCCAACTGGCAGGTAGGGCGAGATGCCCCGCACTCTCTTTCTTCTGAATAACTTGCGTTGTTCTCGCATCGTGCAGTCCAGACCTTTACATCCCTTTCCTTCTCTTCTCCTTTCTTCACATTTGAAAAATAATTCACCCCAACAACCCTTCACTTCCGGTCGATTCTATCTCACAGAAGCTGTTCGAAAGCATCAAGCAAAGAAGATGGCTCCCCAACTCGACGGATTCTTCGCCCAAGTCGACACCTTGGCAGACTCGTTCATTGAGCGTCTCCGCAAGGCTGTTGCTATCCCCTCTATCTCAGCTGAGGATGCCCGCCGACCTGATGTTGTCCGCATGGGCCACTGGCTCGCTGACGAGCTCAAGGGTCTTGGTGCTGAGGTTGAGCTCCGTCCCCTAGGCAAGCAGCCTCACAAGGAACATCTTGATCTCCCCCCCGTCGTTGTTGCCCGCTATGGTAACGACAAGGCCAAGCGTACCATTCTTGTCTACGGTCACTACGACGTCCAGCCCGCTGAGAAGAGCGATGGCTGGGCTACCGAGCCATTCGACTTGACTGTTGACGAGAAGGGCCGCATGTTCGGCCGTGGTGCTACTGACGACAAGGGCCCTGTTCTTGGCTGGTTGAACGCCATTGAAGCCCACCAGAAGGCTGGCATTGACTTCCCTGTTAACCTGCTCATGTGCTTTGAGGGTATGGAAGAGTACGGTTCCGAGGGTCTCGATGATTTCATCATTTCCGAAAAGGACAAGTACTTCAAGGATGCTGACGCTGTCTGCATCTCCGACAACTACTGGCTCGGCACCGAGAAGCCTTGCCTCACCTACGGTCTCCGCGGCTGCAACTACTACTCCATCGAGGTGTCCGGTCCTGGTGCCGATCTCCACAGTGGTGTCTTTGGTGGCCAGACACACGAGCCTATGACTGATCTCGTCCAGGTCATGAGCACTCTTGTTGATGCTAAGGGCAACATCCAGATCCCTGGCATTATGGAACAGGTTGCCCCCGTCACTGAGGACGAGGATAAGCTCTACGACACCATTGCTTTCACCATGGACAACATCCACGAATCTCTTGGTAGCACCACCACCATCCACGACTCTACTAAGCCCACACTGATGGCCCGCTGGCGTTACCCTTCTCTGTCTCTTCACGGTATTGAGGGTGCTTTCTCCGCCCCCGGTGCCAAGACAGTTATCCCTGCCAAGGTCACTGGCAAGTTCTCTATCCGCACCGTCCCCAACATGGATATCGAAACTACCAACGCCGTTGTTATCAAGCACATCGAGTCCGAATTTGCTAAGATCAACACCAAGAACACTCTGAAGGTTTGGCCCCAGCACTGTGGTAAGTGGTGGGTTGCCTCTCCTAAGCACTGGAACTTCTCTGCTGCTGCTAAGGCTGTCCAGCGCGTCTGGAACGTTGAGCCCGACTTCACTCGTGAGGGTGGCAGGTACGTTGAATTTTTGAGTGATATTGATGAAGAGTTGAACGCTGACAGAAACCCAATAGTATCCCCGTTACTCTTACTTTCGAAGAAGCTACTGGCAAGAATGTGTTGCTTCTCCCTATGGGAAGCTCGACCGACGGAGCCCACTCCATCAACGAGAAGCTTGATAAGCGCAACTACATTGAGGGCATTAAGCTGCTCGGTGCCTACCTGCATTATGCCGCGGAGGAGCCCCAAGAGTAAACAGCGTGTAAACGATGTACATATAGTAGTAAAAATTAAAGCATGGACTAATGTAAAACAAAAATTATTACCGTGTAAACCGTGTCTATCTTTTGATCGTTGTGGCGGGGCTCCTCCGTCAAGAAAGGGTCCGATTTAAGGCGGGGTCGTGGCGATCGTTGGCGGTGGCCAAAGTGCCGAGTGACCACCGACCACGAGACCCTGCGTGCATAGTTCTTACGACTGTCATCATCCTCCCATCCTCTTGTTCTGTCAAAAGAGTGTCATCATGGCCAGTCACCCATCTTGAACCGACACGAGACACCGAACATTATTGTCGTATAATATCAAATCTCACCTAAGCTCGAAATACCCCCGCGAGGCGGGTGCCACCAAATCGCAACTCATTAACACATGGGTCGAGATAGCCGCATTTCGGCAACGAAGCCGATTTTCGCAACATTTCTTTTATCCAGCCTGCATTTTCCGTTTTGGAAGCGATACTCATCTACATCTACGCCTTTGCATGGACCAGAACTCTTAACACCATCATCGACGTCTACTGCAGCGCCCGTCAAAGGTGCGACGGAAAGCAGCGTCGTTCGGCTAGGGCCAGATACTCTGCGCTGTACACAATGCTCAACCGATCTGGCACTAAAGAGCCAGATTGTTTCCAAAGGCTTCACAGGCCGCCACGGCAGAGCACTGCTTGTTGCCCCCCCACCAGATGTTCCCGACGGAGGGCTGGCTAACATTCGCATCGGACGTTCTGAGGACAGACAGCTAGTAACCGGCTGGCACGTTGTCGCTGATATTTCGTGTGTTATTTGCTGTCGAAAGCTTGGATGGAAATATGTTGATGCGACAGAAAAATCGCAGCACTACAAAGTCGGCAAATATATATTGGAGACCGAGAGGGTTACCTTATACCGATCGTGGGGGGATGCCCCCAAAGGCTGTGATGGCGCCTTGAATAACTTCGACCATGCGCTACAGAACGAAACCGATGTTAGCTTTGATTCGGAAGACGAAGACGAATGTGATGATATATTTGCAGGGGTTTGGAACGCAGATGAGGTTGCAAAACGGAGGGGCATTTCTTCCACATGGCGCAATTCTGCTGCACCCACCGCCGAGGAATAATTATTCGACAATTATTTATGAAGCCATTCCAAGTCTAGGAAACCCACCCAGCGAAACTCGCGTTCAGCTCTGCGTGGGTTGGCATCCACATTTTCCTGGAGGATTCGAGCGCGTTCTTGACTCCGACAAAATGGGCTTTAGTCCGATAAAATGGGCAAGACGTGGCGCGCGCCCTTCGTCGTTGCAGAGACCCATCTTTGACAACTGCACTTCGCCCATAACCCGAAATTGGAAATACGCTTGTCTATAAGACCTATCGATCTCCCTAGAATCTCTGGGTATTAAAACTGCCGAAAATTTTATTTACGACACAGAGAAGAAGCCACGCACTCCAAGCTTACAATACACTTTCGGCGAAAATGACGAGTGATTCCGTTGGAGCTGATCAATGTATTATCACCCATGAGAGCGACAAATACATTGTCCGAACACATCGACCAGGTGATGTGGGGTATGTCGTTTACAGGCATGCAGCTGTTTATACTGAGGACTTTGGTATTAACACTCGATTCGAATCATTGACGGCTCGAATTGGAGCCGACTTTCTTGACAACTTTGATGCTTCCAAGGAGCGGCTTTGGATTGCCGAAAAAGACGGCAAGTTTTTAGGCTGCATCATGGTTGTCAATTCTACCAAGTTTGAAGATACGGCTCAAGTACGTCTTCTGTTGGTGGAAAAAGAAGCTAGAGGATTGGGCCTCGGCAAGCTACTTGCTAAAGCGGCTGTCGACTTTGCCAAAGATTCTGGATATAAAGCCGTTGTTCTCTGGACACAACGTGGGCTTGTCAGCGCACGAGATATCTACCAAAAGCTGGGTTTTGAGATGACAGACTCGCAGCCACACGACATGTTCGGCCTAGAATGGGTTGGGGAGAATTGGAGGTTAGAGTTTCACGAGAAGTAAACATGCAATGATATTCAATGTAAAGGAGTTATGAATAATAAACTGGCTGTTTTAAATACAATCTAACATTCATATGCAAGACTTGACTCTCATGCGTAATATGGCATAATGGTCTTCACAGCTGACTTCTCTCGTATCTTATGTCCGATATCGCAGCACACAGGTGATTCCACAGAAGGATAATAAGAGCGCAATATAATCGAAGTCAAAGAGATTTCTAGTACCTTCCCCATGTAAGGGACCAAAAAGCTATCCCTCTAAATGATATTTTTATGTTTTCTCTACGAACACGTGATTCATAGCGACAACACTAGAAGTTGCCGTCAGTTGTCGGAGCTTTGGCGGGGCAGATTTTCGAAACCATGACGGAAGAGCAACTAGGCGATCGTCATCCCACCATGACGCACTCTCTGCAACAACCTAATTCAACAACGCAGTCGTAAGCCGCTGCATCTGTTTCTTGAAAAGTTCCATTGAACACCGATTCCAACCAATTATATCTTCGATTTTACACCGCACTCTTTAGGCAACTGATCGCCAGTCGCTCAGGTATTACCTTCGAACTTATCAGGCTACACCGAGCTAGCCCCGCGCGGAACCGTCAGATTTTCTTCAGAAGCCATTTACCTTGCAGGGAAGAACCAAAGCGATATCCCACCCGCCTACATCTTAATCTTTATCGCCCAATCGACCAATTTTCTTTGGTCAGACAGACTACCGGGGCGCACAGCAGGGCGGGGTCAGTAGCAACCTTCACCGCCGACATTCGCCTTTGGACCACCTCTTTGGAACCTACCTTGCAAATCCAAACTTGGTTTTCTGCCTCATCAAAAACTCTGAATTTGGGTCAGCGGACGGACAGGAAAGCTTAAAGATAGCATAAAAGTCCATTGTTTCGCGATCGTTTGACGAAATTCTCACCTCGCAAATCTCATTGTTTAGCAAATTGTTGGAATCTGCAACCATGTCCGCTCAGAAGCCCAGAGAGAAACGCGGCTCCGAGGACCTAGGTGTCTTCGACGATGCCAAGACATATTACACTTCAGAGGAACGCCATAATAGACCAGGCGGCCGACAGCGGACGTATTCTCAGGTGAGCTAGACACCGCTGATGATTTAAGGAAATGAGCTAACAACTGCTAGAATGGACTGATGAAACAACTCGAAAGACTTGGTATCCGTGAGCCATTCCGACGCGGCAGTCTTGGTGTGTACTATGTTTTTGCATTTTAAAATTCCCTTCTAACAACGTCCCAGACGAGGCCAACTTGGAGAAGGGCCGACGATTTCTTGTGCAAGTTGAGCCCACGCTCGAGAGCTTGAAGGCACAAGAAGACACTGATGGCAATATGCAAATCACCATTGAAGATACTGGACCCAAGGTTATGTCCCTTCGAACGGCGGCGTCTGCCGGCTATAATCGATACGAAGTTCGAGGAACATACATGCTGTCAAACCTTCTCCAAGAATTGACACTTGCCAAGGAGTATGGACGTAAGCAAATTATTTTAGACGAAGCGCGCTTGAACGAGAACCCGGTAGATCGACTCTCACGCCTCATTAAGGATCACTTTTGGGAAGGCTTGACTCGAAGAATCGACGCATCTAGCATTGAAATTGCGGCTAGAGACCCGAAAGACTGGACGGATGACCCTCGCCCGCGTATTTATGTGCCGCCCGGTGCGCCAGAGCAGTACGCTTACTATCAACAAGTAGCAAAGGACCGACCAGAGATTCGCTTAGATGTGCGACTTCTTCCTGAAAAGATCACGCCTGAGATTATTCGAGACATGAACCAGCTGCCCGGATTGCTTGCTGTTGCTGTTGAGGAGGTCGAGGAAGATGATGGCGAAGGCGGCAAGAAGAAGACTCTCAAGGGTCTTCCATTTGTCGTCCCTGGTGGCCGATTCAACGAGCTTTACGGTTGGGATAGCTACATGGAGTCACTTGGTCTCCTTGTCAATGACCGAGTTGACCTTGCAAAATCCATGGTCATCAACTTCTGCTTCTGCATCGAGCACTATGGCAAGATTCTAAATGCCACTCGCTCCTACTACCTGGGTCGTTCTCAACCACCTTTCTTGACCGATATGGCTCTACGAGTCTACGAGAAGATTAAGCATGAGCCGAACTCTCAAGAATTCCTTCGCCGGTCCATCTTGGCTGCGATTAAGGAATACCACAGTGTTTGGACCAGCGAACCTCGCCTTGACCATGCGACAGGCCTGTCCAGGTACTGCCCCGAAGGATTGGGCGTACCGCCAGAGACCGAAGCAAGCCACTTTGTGCATATTCTCAAACCATACTGTGAGAAGCACAACCTGAAGTTTGAGGACTTCGTTCACGCCTACAACTACGGCGAAATCAAGGAGCCTGAATTGGATGAATACTTTATGCACGACCGTGCCGTTCGTGAATCTGGACACGACACTACTTACCGATTTGAAGGAGTCTGTGCCGATCTCGTCACCATTGACCTGAACTCTCTGCTCTTCAAGTATGAGACCGATATTGCTCGCACTATTCGTAATATGTTTGGTGACCGTCTGGAAATGCCAGTCGAGTTTTGCAAAGGCACTCCGTACAAGCCCGGAGAGATTCTATCATCTGCTGCTTGGGATCGTCGAGCCAAGCGCCGCAAGCTCACCATGGACAAACTCATGTGGAACGAGCAGGAGGGCATGTTCTTTGACTACAACATTGCAACAAAGGAACGCTGCACGTATGAAAGCTGTACTACCCTCTGGGCTCTGTGGGCGGGTATCGCCTCGCCCCAACAGGCAGCGGCCATTGTCAGCAAAGGCCTACCCAAGTTCGAAGCTTATGGTGGTATTTTAGCTGGCACTGAGAAGTCTCGTGGTGCTGTCGGCCTTGAACGCCCTAACCGCCAGTGGGATTACCCTTACGGCTGGGCACCACAGCAAATGCTTGCTTGGACGGGTCTGTTGCGATACAGCTTCAACGACGAGGCCGAGCGTTTGGCATACAAGTGGCTGTTTATGATTACCAAGGCGTTTGTCGATTTCAACGGTGTTGTGGTGGAAAAGTACGACGTGACCAGAGCTGTTGACCCTCACCGAGTAGATGCCGAGTATGGCAACCAAGGTCTAAACTTTAAGGGTGTTGCCAAGGAAGGGTACGTATTGTCGACGTTTTTGAACACGCATTGTGGATTTGGCTAACATTGATGTTATAGGTTCGGCTGGGTGAATGCCAGTTATGTGTATGGTCTTCAGATTGTTAATGCGCACATGCGTCGTGCTCTCGGTACACTGACGCCGTACCCAACGTTTATCAAGGCTGTTGAGCAGAGTGACGAGAGGGCGATGGCGGAGTTTTCGTAGGCTCTGATGTTTCGTTGATAAAATATTATAATTGATGTCCTGTTTTGCTTAAGAGATGCTGAACTGTCCTCTGGGTAGAGAAGATTTGCGCTGTAAGACGAAGTTGCGACTGGTTGGCTTGGATACTACGTCACTATGCGTTTAACCCTAGTTGATCTGTTTGCGCCTTGATGATGTAGTCAGACAGCGGGCCACGATGGTGATAAGCTCATAAGCATGAAGGGTTTATTCTGCGGCTACGACCAGGGGAGTGGGTATTTTTCTCTTGTTATTATTTCCCCAACGCCCAAACAGTGCCCAACGAGGGATTAGCCCAGCAAGGTCCACGCGCAATTGAGGGCCTTGTCAGCAGTAGTGCTAGTGTTGGAGACTGCCAAGTGCGGGTGTAGTAAGCCAGAGTGCGTGGGAAGGGACCGGGTATGGATTAGCTTAGCACATCCGATCCACGTCTTGTAGTAATCCGACAGGAGCTAGGGGCATGCGAAGGGCGTGTAGGAAAGGACGTAAATGCAAAGGCACAAAAAGACTTGGGAGTCGAATATACCGTTTTAACAAGCATTGCAAATAATCATTCCTCCGTTGGAGCGGGCAGTTATAGCGAAGTGAACGGAGTTACGAGGCTTGTGACTCGGAAGTACGGCAAAGATCGGAATCGGTGTTTGGGTTCACATGCTTTTTGAGCCGCAAGGCTGGACGACTGCCAGAACGCTTCCAGGGGGGTACAGGTACGCTGCATGCACTCTTGGTGGAGGGGTACCCCGCTGTAAGTAAGTGCGGCTAGGCGCTAGCTACGGGAGATTAGAGGAATTAGTTGATGGGCTAAGCCGGTGAGCAGCAGAGCACCAGACTCCGCATGCTTGGAAACCAAACACGAGACAAATCATTGTGCTAAGCTTAGCATTCTGGAATGAATGCAGGTAAATAATACAATGTCTACGTATGCAGATATGAAGCACGCAGCACAATCATCGCATCACGAGGAAAATCATACCACCCGCTGTTTGGGGAAAGTTGCGGGGAGGCTCTGCGCTGCGCAACAGGCGTTTTCGAGGGGCGCGGGGCCTAGTTCTGTAGGCGGCTCTTGGGGCGGACAGTCCGCATGCCGCTTTAGCAGGACGGGCAGATCTCACGTAATATGGGATGACAGTTTGGTGGGATGGGCATTGGGGTGGTGTTAAAGCGGCGTCGACTGCCAGAGCCGGCGAGGGCCTCGGTCACCCGGGACTCCACTGACCGGAAGCCCGTGTGCAGGTAGCGAGAGGGACGGTTTGCGGCAGCAGAGATGCTGTGGGAGGGAGAGTGCTGGTTTATAAAATAGAAAATAATCTTTTGTAGTTATGAATTGTTGGTGAATGGTTTTTTTTCTTCTATAGAGAACGTCCCTGCAAGAAATGGCTGAGCAATGGAGGCAGCCCGTTGAGCCGATGCGTGGTCCGTCTTTCAGATGCCAAACCGACTACCCGTGTCCCAGCGGCTCAGTTGGCGGCCCAATGCACTCACTGCGCGATTAGTGTGTGCTGCTAGGCAGTGTTTCGACCTATTATTCCTCTTTAATCCCTTTATTTTTTTCTAATGGCCCGCTAATACCTGCTGCTACTAAGGAAAAGTCCGGAGACATGGGGCCTGGGGTGTGTGGCGTGTGTGGTGAGACGCAGGCCACCATGACAAGACCCGGGACCCGCTTTACGCTTTCCCGAGGTGCGTCTACCTGCTGGCTGGGCGATTCCGGAGCTTGTGCGTGGTTTCGTTTATAATATCGTCAATGACTCCTTCGACCTCTTTTTCTCCTTCTGATTCTTCTCTTCTTCTTCTTCTTTCATCTTCTCCAATCCCCAACTTCCCCTCTTCGTCTTCTTCATTCCCCCGCCATCTCTCCTCCTCCAATAAACCCCCACTACCCCTCCAAGTGACATCACTGTGACCCTTTTGCGCATTGAATTCACAATAACCTCAGAAATCCAACAAGATGGCGTTCAACAACATGATCAACGTCGCCGTCAACCCTGACACCGAGGACGAGCTCTTCGCCAAAGAGGTTGCTGAGGTCAAGGCCTGGTGGAGTGACTCCCGCTGGCGCCACACCAAGCGTCCCTTTACCGCTGAGCAGATTGTCTCCAAGCGTGGTAACTTGAAGATTCAGTACCCTGGTAACGCCCAGTCCAAGAAGCTGTGGCAGATTATCGAGAACCGGTTCGCCGTAAGTCTTTGCGCCTCTGCACGCGACAGTGCTCCCAATTGGGCAACTGGTGCCATTTCCACGCGCAAACAGGCACATACTGACCATCTTACTTTGACAGACCAAGGATGCTTCTTACACTTACGGCTGCCTTGAGCCCACCATGGTCACCCAGATGGCCAAGTACCTTGACACCGTCTACGTTTCTGGATGGCAGTCATCTTCTACTGCCTCGTCTTCTGATGAGCCCGGCCCTGATTTGGCTGATTACCCCTACGTGAGTCCAGAGGAGTGTAAGACAAAAGCCGTCGTCTAGTTTCTAACCATGCTTCTTGTAGACCACTGTCCCCAACAAGGTTGGCCACCTCTTCATGGCCCAGCTCTTCCACGACCGCAAGCAGCGCCAGGAGCGTCTGACTACTCCCAAGGAGAAGCGCGGCGAGGTTGCCAACATTGACTACCTCCGCCCCATTGTTGCCGACGCCGACACTGGTCACGGTGGTCTCACTGCCGTCATGAAGCTCACCAAGCTCTTCGTTGAGAAGGGTGCTGCTGGTATTCACATTGAGGACCAGGCTCCTGGTACCAAGAAGTGTGGCCACATGGCCGGCAAGGTTCTTGTCCCCATCAGCGAGCACATCAACCGTCTCGTTGCCATCCGTTCGCAGGCCGACATCATGGGTAAGCACAAACAACCGTATTTGCCTCTAAACGTTCAGTGATACTTACCCATCCCATAGGCTCTGACCTCGTTGCTATTGCCAGAACCGATGCTGAAGCTGCCACCCTCATCACCTCCACCATCGACCCCCGCGACCACGCCTTCATCATGGGTAGCACCAACCCTGACATCCAGCCCCTCAACGACCTCATGGTCGCTGCTGAACAGGAGGGCAAGTTCGGTGCCGAGCTCCAGGCTATCGAGGACAACTGGCTGACCCAGGCTAACCTCCAGCGCTTCGACGATGCTGTCGTCGCTGCCATCGAGAAGTCTGCTATTGCAGACAAGGTCCAGGCTGCTGCCGACTACAGAGCTCAGGCCAAGGGCAAGAGCAACAACCAGGCCCGCGCCATCGCCAAGGGCCTTGGTGTCGAGGTCTTCTTCGACTGGGACGCTCCTCGTACCCGTGAGGGTTACTTCCGCCTCAAGGGTGGCTGCGACTGCGCCATCAACCGTGCCGTCGCCTACGGTCCTTACTGTGATGCTGTCTGGATGGAGAGCAAGCTCCCCGACTTCGCCCAGGCTAAGCAGTTCGCTGACGGTGTCCACGCCGTTCTCCCCGAGCAAAAGTGAGTCCAACAAGCCTCGTCTTGCACTTTCTGTATAGCAAACTAACATGTTCCCTAGGCTCGCCTACAACCTCTCTCCCTCTTTCAACTGGAAGACCGCCATGTCCCAGGAGGACCAGGGCACCTACATCCGCCGCCTCGGTGAGCTCGGTTACTGCTGGCAGTTCATCACCCTCGCTGGTCTGCACACCACCGCGCTCATCTCGGACCGCTTCGCCAGCGCCTACGCTTCTCAGGGTATGCGCGCCTACGGTGAGCTCGTCCAGGAGCCCGAGATGGAGCAGGGTGTCGATGTCGTCAAGCACCAGAAGTGGAGTGGTGCCAACTACGCTGATGAGCTTCTTAAGATGGTTACCGGCGGTGTCAGCTCAACAGCTGCCATGGGTGCCGGTGTGACTGAGGACCAGTTCCATTAAAAGGTGTTTGATGATATGGATAATGGGATATTGTTGTCGGGTTTATAATGCGTATTTTCTTTGTCAGTCAAGATGTAAACGACACCTAGTATATGAATCGAAATAAACAAAAATAGACGAAACTTCGTATTCAATGGGGAATCCCTACATGCTTGAAGTGAAATTGTGTTTTGTTGTATAATGACATTGTACTGTACACGTGTGTGGGTGCAGCAGACGCCTTCACGAAGATAGTGCGTCTACTCCTTCGCTGTCTCCTGCTCTAGCCTAGCCAACAACTTTGCGTGTAGAAATGGGCTAAGACCCAGGCTGTGTCATTGTTAGTATTTGATAACTTAGCTAATATGGATCAGTAGCAGATATTTCGACTTACATTCCCTCATTTGTCACGATTCGGTAGGTACCGCTGGGTTGAAGGGTACCGACGACATCGCCCAATTCGTTGACCTCTACGCTCCCCAGGATATCTTCGGGCCATGCAATTCGACCAAAGTCGGGAGGGTTCCGGCGATCGCTTAGATGAACCCAACCGCCTCTACCACCACCTCCTGCACCACCCTGCGCGCTCGCGCCTCCAGCACCTGATCCGCCAGCGCCGCCGCCAGCGCCTTCTTTAGCCGAAGAGCCACGACGCTGGTTCTGCTTGAGGAAGAATGCGCCTCCTGACCCCAAATTGAAGCCGCCTGGGCTTGCTAGTGCACGTGCCTGCGACGTGACATCCTCATCTTTGTGGCCATGTTCGACAAGTACTTCGTTCAGGATCGCTTTGAATGTCGGGTTCTCGGTAAAGGACTGCGGCGTCGGCGGGAGCGTCGTCGAGGTTCCGATGGCTAGGCGTTTCAATTTTGAAGAGGACGAATTGAGGAGCGTGAGGATGTGGGAAGTTGGTGATGATTCATCTTGGAAAACTTTCTGATATGTGCGTGAGTGTTTCGGTCGTGCAGAAGAGCTCTGGAGGCAGACGTACAATGTGGGTATTATTGGAAAGGGTCGAGAGGCATCTGGTGAATTGCACCGAGGCACGTTTCAGAGCAAAGCGGCTCTTTGTTAAAAACATTATGTGTAATCTGGTGATGATGATATATTCTACGAATTGCAAGGGGGACGATTTCGGCGACACCTCGCGTAGCTGCCAAGTGAACATTTTAGTGGGCCTATTACAGCATCGAAGGCCCTGTAGCGAGCTGCCCACGGCGGCGCCCCCAAGCCGAAGTCGCCCATGCCCACACAGTAGCTTTACCCCTCCATTCTGCTGACCAGCCCACTTAACTTTCCAACGAGTCAACCATCACCGCCCTCTGCTAGCCATCGCCTCTCCTTCCTGTCCCAACAACTCACGCGCTATCCATCGCTTATCTACTCTTCCTGGATGGGGTAGATTAGGTGCTACAGAGATAAACACCTCCCGTAGCCATCTACGATCCTCTACAATCTCGATAGCCCTTGACACCACCGCCCTCACACGCAAGGAACCCGACCGCTCACGATGGCTAACCGAGGCTTTGACGACGAGGAGTTGACCATTTCTCTTTCTTCAACACAAGTTCGACGACAGCCACAACCTCAACATCCCTCTCACAGCAACCGCCATGGCAGAGACAGAGCCGATCATTCATCGTCTCACCCGGTCGGTGCTCCGCCAAAGGAAAAGTCCAAGGCGGAGCAGCGTATCGGCGCCTACAAAGTAATCCGGACTCTCGGCGAAGGCTCGTTTGGTAAGGTCAGACTAGCCACGCACGTCGGAACTGGCCAGCAGGTTGCTTTGAAGATTATCGCAAGAAAGAAGCTTATCAGTCGCGACATGGCTGGTCGAGTCGAGCGTGAGATTGAATATCTTCAGCTTCTTCGACACCCACACATCATCAAGCTGTAAGCACCTTCCACACATCCCGAATCGAGGTGAAATCCAAAGAAGCGATGAAATACTAATAGTCAATAGCTACACCGTAATCAAGACCCCCGCTGAAATCATCATGGTTCTCGAATATGCTGGAGGCGAACTCTTCGACTACATCGTTCAGAACGGCCGCATGAAGGAGGACGAAGCTCGACGATTCTTCCAACAGATGCTCTGTGCTGTAGAATACTGCCATCGCCACAAAATTGTTCATCGAGACTTGAAGCCAGAGAACTTGCTGCTGGATGAGAATCTCAATGTCAAGATTGCCGATTTCGGTCTTAGCAACATTATGACGGACGGCAACTTCCTCAAGACTAGCTGTGGAAGTCCAAACTACGCGGCCCCAGAAGTTATTGGTGGTAAGCTGTATGCGGGTCCAGAAGTCGACGTCTGGAGCTGTGGTGTCATCCTCTACGTTCTTCTTGTCGGACGTCTACCCTTTGACGACGAGCATATTCCAAGCTTGTTTGCCAAGATTGCTCGCGGTACATACAGCATACCACCATGGATGCCAAGCGGGGCGGCGAATCTCATCAAGAAGATGCTGGTTGTTAACCCCGTTCAGCGTGCTACGATTGAGGATATTCGACAAGATCCTTGGTTCATGGTTGACCTTCCCCAGTACCTCCAACCTGCTGTGGAAGAGTTTTACAACACTGGTGTCGACCCTAACAAGGCCATTGAAAAGAGTGACATTGCACCCAATGCACCCGTGAAGGTCCAAGAAAGACTACATAACGAGGTCACAGAAAAGATTAGTAAAACCATGGGTTATGGCAAAAGCGATGTCGAGGAGGCTTTGCAGTCAGAGGAGCCATCCGCGATTAAGGACGCTTATATGATTGTCAGAGAGAACAAGCTGATGGAAGCAAACCGTGAGTATAATTTTATCCCATCTACTGCCTTGGACAGACTTGAAGCTAACTAAGATAGAAAACCCGACTCTTGTAGAGCCCGAGGCATCGAGCCCTCTGGTGAGCATGTCCTCAGCCAGATCAGGTGGCTCGGGTCAAGTTACGATCCCGCGGCCGTATGTTAGCAAGGTTGGTATTTTGCCCAGCAGTATTCCGACCTATCACAAAGAATATATCCTGCGTGCCCAGTCAGGGTCAGACGAAGAGGCGGGTGGCGCTGCTGCGATTACAGAGGAACCGCAACCTTCACGGACAGACGCTGAGAAAGAGGAAGCTGCAAGACGCCTCAAGCCTCACTCAAGATCACAGCGTAGTCTGGAAGAAGGAAGCAAGCGTCCTCAGGGTATGACACCAGTAAAGGAGACGAAACGTTCAAAGCCTGTTCGTTGGCAATTTGGTATTCGATCCAGGAACGCCCCATGGGAGGCTCTTCTCTGCATTCACAAGGCTCTCCACAAACTTGGAGCAGGTTACGTCCCTGATGAGGACTATCAACGCTCCCACAAGCGTGGTGATAGTGAGACCACAGGTTCGCACAGCGGCTTACACAGGAGCGCATCTCAGCGCAGCCAAGATCCAACCAAGAGATATAAGCTGCCCGCAGATCCATGGCATATCCGAGTCCGCTGGGAATCTCAAGGTACGATTTGGAGACAGATCTCTACACTACTCCATATAGCTAACTAATTTTACTAGTGCTACGCAAGACAACCGGAGATATAGCAGCAGCAGAGGGTGACGGGGCTGTGCCCTCAAATTTCCAGGTACAATCCAAGGACGGTTCCAAGCAGAAATTCATTGCACTGCATTTGGGTATTCAGATTTATGAGATGGAACAAGGAGTTTACTTGGTCGACTTCAAGTGCTCAGGATACGAAACAGCGGATGGGCGGCTGTTGGAGGAGAAAGAGGTGATGAGCCCGTTCCCTTTTCTGGACATGGCTGCCAAACTTATTATGCAGCTTGCGGAAGCTGATTGATCGGAAGAGCTTGGCTTGGGAACAATTCGCATTCCTTTTTCGTTCCTGAGGATGATGTGCTACAATGAGGAGAAGTGATTTTCTTTTTGCTTTACTGCTTGGCGAATAGGGCAATTACAGATAGAACTTGTATATATGGCCATAATAAATGCTATAGATTCGGGCATATTTAGCAAATAGGAAGAAGTTGCGTCGAAATTATTAGTGATCTGCACGCGTTTGGGCCCAGCCTGGCGGCCGCCATGTCAAGCGGGGCGGACACCTAGAAATCAATTAACACGCACGCGTCGACGCGCCTGGCACCGCTCATCCCACTTTACTACCAAGGGCAACAAACCGCCTGAAAACGCCTGTCCTTCCATTTCAATTTGGCATTCAAGTCCATAATTGGAGGATAAACACATCAAAATACCTACACCATGGACAAAACACCAGCGCCTCTATTTCGAAAGCGGAATATAATACCGTCGTCCCAGCTGCCCTCGTCCTCGCCATCCTTTGCGACACCGATTCACCCCGTCAAGCCGTTCAATGTCAACGCACCCAAAGCTGGCATTTTGCCTATTATTTTACCACCTGCAACTCTTCGTCCACTCGCATTTCGAACATTTACAAAGAAGCATTCATTGACGCTAACGTCAAGCGCTTTGCAAGAGCTCGCAACCTTCATTGGGCGTCACTGTGGCTCAGGCTGGCGCGAGGATGGCCTTGCGGAAAGAGTGCTTGAGGAGGCGGCGCGCAGTTGGAAAAATAGAAATGGCGGTGCCATTGTCGATGGAAGCAGCAAAGAGCTGCATGACATCCTCAAGACTCTTGAGGGCAACATGAGCGGTGGTAAGGTTGTTAGCCAAGGCCGCGGTCTTCCTCGAGGGGACAGCATGCTCGAGGGACAAGTAGACGACATGTTTACCACCAGAATGGGAATACGACCGGCGGCACTTTCGAGACAGGATAGCTCAGCAAGCTTTGGTATGTCAGGGCTTGGTGTGCAAGAAGAGGAGGACGACGAGTCGGAAACCAGTGACGCTCGATCATGGGTCCGAGTTATTGATGCCTACGATCAGCCTCGCATGTACTACAATGTGGATAAGAAACACTTTGAACGGTAAGAGGACAAGGTTAAACTGTCTCCGACAGGTATAACTAACTCCCAGCAGAGATACATCGAAACCGGCAATATTAGCCTCCGCGTCACATAAAACCATGCTCTTCCGCAACCGATATAACGTCATTCACCAACGACTCCTCCGAAACGAATCCTTCCAATCCTCAGCTATTGCCAACTCCCGAAGCAGTGCACTAAAGAACCGCTCTAACGCCAACACCGGCGCGCAAACGCTCAAGATCACCCCAATTGCAAACTTGCTGGGTCGACACGGTAGCAATCATATGCTTCTCGGCCAGCTAACAATATTACCAACTGGAGAGCTTGCCATTAGCGACCTTACCGGCACAATTGCTCTAGATCTCAAACGTGCTATATGTGTTCCCCACGACTCATCCTGGTTCTGCCCGGGCATGATTGTCGTTGTCGACGGTGTATACGAGGAAGAGGATGAATCTGTGGGCAAGGGTCTAGGCGGAAGCAGTGGTGTTGGAGGTGTATTAGGAGGCAAGTTCCAGGGATTCTTCATTGGTCAACCGCCATGTGAGACACGAAAGACAACCCTTGGTGTTAGTGGCCCCGACGGCGGCGTCGACCAAACAATAGGCGGTGGATTCGGCTGGATCGATTTCCTCGGCGTAGGAAGTGAGCGAGCTGTGGGATCCAAGATGCGAAGACTAGAGAACCGCCTTCTGGCGCCTCCAAAGGATGACATGCCAGGCCGCAACCGCGTGGTCGTCATTGGAGAAGTCAACTTTGACCAGCCGCGCGCTCTGCAAGCACTGCGCAAGATCCTCGGTGTATACGCCAAAGAAGCAGCCGGTGTATCCCCCGTTGCGTTTGTGCTGACAGGCAACTTTATCGAGCACGCCGTCATGGGTCTCGGCGGATCGTGCAGCAGTATCGAGTACAAAGAATACTTCGACTCGCTTGCCTCGATCCTCTCCGACTTCCCCACACTCCTCCAGACCTGCACGTTCGTCTTTGTCCCCGGCGACAACGACGGGTGGATATCGTCCTTTACAGCCGGAGCTGCGGCACCGCTACCGCGCAAGGGCATCCCCGAGCTCTTCACATCACGAATCCGCAAGGCCTTTGCGGCAGCCAATGCCGAAGAGCCCTTTGGCGTACCTGGTGAGGCCATCTGGACGAGCAATCCTTCGCGACTATCTCTGTTTGGACCGAACCACGAGCTCGTCATCTTCCGTGATGATATATCAGCGCGCCTACGTCGATCGTCGGTCCATTTGACAGCCAAAGCACTAGATATGGAAAACCAAGAAAACGTCCCGCCTACAGCGTCGCAAGACGAATCTATGGATGTCGACGAGCAGCCAGCGGTCAATGAGACCAACACTCCCTGTGAAGACTCTACGCTTGGCGAAACTGTGAATCGCCATGCTGCGCAGAAGCTCGTCAAGACTATCCTTGACCAGGGCTTCCTGTCGCCCTTCCGATCCGCTATTCGCCCGGTGCATTGGGACTACGGCTCCCCGCTGCACTTGTATCCGCTTCCAACGGCAATGGTATTAGTCGATGCAACGGCGCCTCCTTTTACTACTACATACGAGGGTTGCCACGTCATGAACCCCGGCACGGTGTTGGTGCCTGGACGCAAGGGCGTGGGACGATGGATCGAGTATGAAGTCGGTGGAAAGGGTCGACTTAGAGAAATTACTTTTTAAAAGATCTGTCAAGATGGGAATAAAAGTAAATAAAACAGGATTCACAATGAATGTTAATACACGCTTGATATGAACTATTATAACGGGATATCCTAAATGCATCGCTGTTCGTTGAGGTAGAGTATGTTACTCAAGTAGCAAATCGTGTGTGTTCAAGACGCCAAATAGCCCTTCTATTTCCTCTCTGACAATCTTCAACTCCGCTGCGACCTGCGCCGTGACGAGAATATACGCATATAGCAATGCGTAGTCGCTCTCTTCGGCAACACTTGATATCTCGGTTGAGCTACCTTCTCCGCGGCCCATATTATCACGCCGGAATTGGTAAATCTTGCCCAGGAGACGGTCCTTGTTCCCTTCAATGGTGGGGATTGCATCCGTAAGAGGGTACTCTAACATGAAACAGGATGCCAGTACTTGGAAGACATGCGAAATGCGCTGGCACAGTTGAAGACGCTCTTCTGCTGTAATTTCGAAAAGGGAGCGCTCGCCAGCAGACAGAGATACTCTACGCTGCGTGATCAGCCTCATGGCATAGAATCCATCCAGTATATGTTTGGTGGAGTGCATAATACGGCCATATGCTTCAAACGGGAATGGGCCCCTTAGCTCAAACTCGGAGGCGGCAGCATCTCGCAGCATTTCAAGCTTGAATGCGTAGCGCTGGAGAGCAGCCTGCTCGCCTTCCTGAAGATAATCCAAAGTGTTATTTGTTTGCATGAGAACTGTTAGGGGCCCGCGCTTCCAGATCAATCCCAGCTGAAGGTAGAGCACAGCCAGACCCTCGCGGAACTTGGTTCTGCCTGAGATCGGCCACAGCAGCCTGCAAATAATCATACCCCAGGCGATGCCGAGTGTGACAGCCACGACTCTATGATATGTAATTTCAAAGATGAGAGGGTTGCGGCCACCTTCATCGTCGTCATCGTCATCCACATCCTGGGAGATACTATAGGCGTATAGTACAATAACGTTGTATGTGAGTAAGGAGATTCGTCCCAGGGGTGCGTTTTTGAGGACGAGAATCAAGTAGAAGTTGGCCAGTGCAACAAACCAACCAAACAAGGCTAAAATATAGGCATTTCCAGCGCTTATCGTCCACGACAGACAAGCAAGGGTCGCACCAACCAGGGTACCTATGAATCGCGCGGTGCCAGTAGTGTTGGATGCGCCAGTAGTCATGCCCACGACAATCATGTACGACAAAAGACCCCATTCTCCTCGCCACGACTGGTAAATGGGCCGCGTATCTGGAATGAATGCAAACATGCCCCAAATAACCGCACCAATGCCGACCTTTACGCCAAACATGACATCTTCGCGAGAGAAGAAGCGCATTATACCGAGGGCGACTTGCGCAAGTGTACGCTTTACGCTAACGGCTTGAGGAGAGGCATCCCAGCTAAATGTGTCTCGTCGTTTAATCATCGACTGCGGGATACCCTTTGGGAGGGCTGATCTGCTGATCCCCTTGGACGTCTTTTTCTGAATTAGTGTGTCGCATTCGACGTCATCAATGGCGGATTCTTGGTTTCTTCTGCTCTCCGCCCGTCGTTTCCAAAACATGAGCCAGCGCCAGGTACGATTGTGAGCTCCTATCCAATGTTTCAAATCTTCCATCGCGTCCAAGTAGACATCCATTTCTTCTGCAACAGCCTGTAAACTGAACGAGAAGTGACCACATGCTGCTGCAACCTCTTCAATGTCGGCCTGAATCTTCTCCGATCTCGTCCTGCCCAACTCGATGCTCTTGTAAAGCTCCGTGAGGGCATTCCGCCTCGCTTCATAGTAAAGGCCGAGGGCTTCTTGTAGAGACTCGCGCAGTTGCTCAGTATCGTTGATCTGCGTCTGAACATCGCCACCAAAGGGCGACGCTCGGAGAATCTCTGAGAGTGTATATGCTAGAGATTTCATAGACGGGCCTAGAAGTTGCATAAACATGGCGAAGATGTCTGATGGTGCCCGAAACAAAGGCACTTGCGCTGGAGATGGCGAACCACTGCGTGATTCACCAGCTACTTCACGAATGACCGGTAACACTGTATGTGCGTCTTCCGAAAGTAATGATTGTCGACGCGCAGTAAGAGATGAAACCGGGCCGGAGCTACCGACAATGAGCTCCTCGGCAGCTTGCGATTCAGCAGACACACCCTCTCGTAGCAGAGTAAATTGTGTGTTGAGGGCACTGCGGAGACCACCAATGGCCTGCTGCACGGCATCAACTGATTTGACAAGGCGTTTGTCCAGTGCGTATATGCGTTCGTGGCCCAAAAAGTAGTGTTCTAATTTTGCTTCGCGCAAGGTCTTCGACATTGTCCCGTATGCCATGCTGTACTGCTTAGAGACGGCCGCATATTCGGGAGAATTGACTTCGTCTTCCGATCCATTCAAGAAGCCCCTGGTAACAAAGGATAATCGGTCACTAAGTGCTGTGGTTGCTCGAACAACAGCCTTGCGCAAGACGACTCGTGCTGATACTCTCCATATGAGGAGATTGACGGCGGTACTGAAGGAGATGCCAACCAGCAACATCTTGACCATTTGAATAATCTTCTCGCCAGAGAAGTAGCCATCCTGAACTGACTCCTCCTTAGTAACGACAGAAATGATGGCTATAGAGGCGAGCGTAGAAGCGACGTTGACCAATGGCTGGTTGAGCTTCTGTTTTACCCAACCAATAAAGCCGAGCCCTCCGCCTATAAACAGGACGAGGACAAGGAAATGGGCAGGTACCGGCGAGCCAAGCTTACTTCGCGATGCAATCGAGACGGCCATGCTCAGCACACAGACAATATCGGCGTAAATGACGGCTACTATAGCAATCAAGACTGCCTCGATCATGGATCCGGCTGATCGCGCAGGATGAAAGTAAACAGTCAATGTCGCAACAATATGTTTTCCATCACGATGACCCAAGAAGTCAGATAGAGGGCTCCAAAACGTGGCGATGCTACCAAGAACATAGGCCAGAGTGCACTTGAGCACACCATGGCCTTCGTCCGATTGCAACCATTGCCACAGTGCATGCGAATATCGCTTCACAGCTTGGGCAGTGTGATCTATTCGTTCTCTTGCAGATTGGGGGAAATTCGTTGTCGTGCTTGGCGCATCTGTTGGAGATAGGCCTGTGGATGTTCGAAGTGTAAACTGTCGTCTCGATCGCTCGCCGGTATTGGGAACAATAAAGGTACCGTTGCGCATCTTCTGCAGATGTTTGTGAGCATTTCAGGAAGTAAAACGGCAGTCGAAGTATACGGGAGTGAAGCCTTACATGTCGCTTTGGCAGTTTGCTTGGTGGCCATGGCAGCGTGGTCGAGCTATCAGATGGGCTACTCATGGTGAAGGGAAGGCGCCGCGTCCAGCGCGAGAGACGTAGCTATTGATGCAGATGACAGAGTGTAGCATCATCTCTTGGGGTCGCAGGCTGTATCACGGAAGAGCAACTTGGTATATAGAGAATCTGTCGCTGGCAGAGATGGTGACAATGCGATAACAAGAGACGAAAAAAGTTGGCAACCAAAGAAGGAGTCCAGACGCGATGGCGGCACCCTGGCAAGGCTTGGGTTCAGGTGGGCACCGTTTTGGGCGGGCATCCATGACAAAGGGTTGTATGTGCCAAGGGCGGGTGGTTCGACAGGCACCTGGATTAGAGTATTGGTTAACAAATTTGGTAAGCGCAGTTGATTCTTCAGCTGATAATGTATTATTATTTTTTATTTTCTACCGTTGCACTTTCGTTTCTTCCACTCGTAAATCTAGACGTTTCGGCGCGCGCCCTGTAGCTTAAGCGCCCACCAACGTCATCAGCGTAGCGGGCCGAGCTGCCCACGTTGGAGCTAACTTAGCCTTAGCCAACATTTAGCGCTACGAGAAACCTTCATTCACTAAGACATCACGGCTACAACACTGCGCGAGAGGCTTGCACTGCACATCCAACGCACAGCCTCATGAGACGGTTCGCCAGCACAATGGCGACCAAAACCTCTAGAAAGTTTGCTCCTCTACGAGCAGGCGCAAATTCAGACGCACCCAAGCTCCGAGGCATCGTCTTCGACATGGACGGCACACTCTGGTAAGCGGGACAAGCGCCGTACTGTAATACCTCACCATTCTGACAAGACCAACCTAGCCTGCCGCAAAATTACATGTTCCCACTCATGCGAGATGCACTTGGGATTTCGAAATCGGTAGATATTCTCGACCACATCAAGTCCTTGCCTACGGCAGAGCAGGAAGCCGCCCATGAAAAGATCCAGAACATCGAGCGTGAAGCTATGGTAAAGCAAGCTCCTCAGCCTGGCTTGGATGCTCTGATGAGCTATCTTGATTCAAAGGCCGTTCCAAAGGCTATTTGTACCCGCAACTTCCCACTCCCTGTCGAGCACCTGGTCGGTAAATTTCTGACCAACCATAAACCGTTCGCGCCGGTGGTTACTCGAGAATTTGAACCGCCTAAACCGCACCCTGCCGGTATTTTGCACATTGCCAAGGCATGGGGACTCTTGTCCGAGGATTGTCAAGGGGATGCAACTGGGCTTATCATGGTTGGGGATTCTATCGATGATATGGCGGCTGGTAGAGCTGCCGGTGCTGCGACGGTATTACTCACCAATGCTGCGAACGCCCATCTCAAGGAACACGATTGCACTGATTTAGCCATCACTCAACTAGATGAGCTTGTAGATATCTTAGAGCGTGGCTTCGTTGCCAGCATAGAGTAAACATTCGCCATCATTACTACAGTATAACTAACATTGGATATTCGTTAAACTTCAAATATATTGAACATTATCAAATGCATCATGTGCGCTAAAAGAAATCCTCAATGAAAGTTCCTACCATCCTCTTCGCTGAACAAAAATATACATCCGGCGATACTTCTGATTCAATGTTCCATATCGTCAATTTCTCAATGGACCGACTGAGAAGCTTCTCTCAGCCCAACAGTAACAAAAAAAAGGAAAAGAAAAGAAGCGCTAAAGATCGGCGTAGTTGCTTACAATTCGACAGACGTATTTGTTTGTTTATTTGTTTTTAAAAGGTTGAGATAGTGAGCTTCCGCTGCGCCCTCAGTACCTGCTGCTAGGACTAGGGTTGGCAGGAATGCCGTATTGCATGTGTCTGACTGCAGGCCGCTCAGTCCGATCAGATCTTTCCGATCTCTCGGATCTATTGGATCTATCAGCTTGTCTTGGTCGTTCTGCTCGCTCCGTCCTTTCGCTTCTAGAACTTCTGTCGCTGCGCATATCATCAGAGACAGGGTAGGCAGGAGGTGTAGGTAGAGGTCCGCCAGGAGGACCTGATCGAACAGGTAGACTAAATGTAGCCGCAGTGGCTGTAGACGGCCCTGACGAGGAATCGCTGTAGCTTGGCGACGGTTGTGGGCTAACAATTTGCCGTGCGGATGGGGGTGGATGGGCCGCCACAGGTGTCTTCACGGAACTTGTATCAGCCACAGCCGCCGGTCTTGGAGCGGGTCGGCGTGTAGACATCTTAGTCAGGAGTCTTTGGATTTCCGCTCTTGGTTGCCTTCTCGCTATAATCTGAGCAGGGCCCATCCTGTTGCGTTCAGCTTGCTCAGCTTCATACAGTTCTCTCAATGATGGAGCACCAGAGTGCAGCAGGTGCGATTTGCGGTTATCCCGATTCATCATACTGATGGCCCAGGCTGCAACATCCACAGGTGTTCGCTTCGCAGCTTGGATAAAGGAATCGCGTTCCTATTTTAATATTAGCATATAGACACTGAGGTCAGCTTCGACAGAGGAAACATACCAAGAGAGCTTGAGGTGTTGGTCGATGTTCAGGCTGTTTGGCCATACATAGCGAAATCATGTTAGTCAAAATGCTTGGGAAAGCATCTGATTCTGGCAGCGTTGGGGGAGGTTCATGAACAATCCGTTGAAGCAAGTCCAATATACCGAGGGGTCGTGGTCCCTTTCCGTCTTCCTCCTCTTCCTCATCTTCTGGCTCTCCAGGCTCTCCAGGCTCTCCAGGCTCGTTGGCCTCGTTAGCCTTTGCAGCAGGGACGAATGGGAAAGATCCAATGGCAAGTTCCATGATGGTGAGACCAAAACTCCACACGTCCGACTTGACAGTGTATTTGTCACCTTGGATTCTTTCAGGCGCCATGTATGTGGAGGTGCCTACAAAGGTATCGGCGATGGAGTTGATGAGTTCTCCAGACACGCCAAAGTCGCAGAGTCTAATATCTCCCTTCGAGTTGATTAGAATGTTTGAGGGCTTGATATCACGGTGCATAATGTGATGGTTTTGGTATAGGTATGTCAGTCCGCCAAGTGTGGCAACGGCGATTTTGCCAAGCACATCAATGCGAACTGGGCCGAAGACTTTGGTTACTCGATCAAGCGAACTACATTGGTCGCGGTTAAAATCATTTGGTCAAGATATAGTCAGTAAAGAATGGAAGACTTACCCAAAGTCCATGTATTCCATACACATTATAACGTCGTTGTTGCTATTAAGAAAGGCACCGTAGAACATGACGATGTATTCAGAGCTGCATCCGTGCATGATCTGAAGTTCTCGTACAATTCTTTTACGCATCTCGCGCTTAGCTTCAACATGGATGACCTGCGATTAAAGGTATTAGATTTACTACTTCTCGCGTGTTTGGATGTCAAAAGAAGCGATGTTGGGTAGCGTACCTTTCTGGCCATGAGGAGGCCTGATTCCTTGTGTCTGACCTTGCTAACGGTTCCTCCATTACCAGAGCCGAGCTCTTTGACGACCTCTAAGTCCTCTTGTTTCAAATCCAATCTGTATTCGATACCAATCTCCAATCGTCCATCATCTTCTGGGACTTGTTGGCCGCTGAATGATCTTGGCGGGGCATTTGAGTTCAAGGCAAGGCCTTTCACGTTCTTGCGCTTCATAGTGCGCGGAGCAAAAGGATCCGCCATGTTGACTTTTGGTAGTGGGTGATGACTGCTGTGAATTTTTGTCGAGGATACTGGCTGTCGGGTGGGAGTCGAGAGTTACTGCTCACAGGGGAGCGGAGGGTTTTTCGTCGTGCAGCGATGACGACGCTCTAGCAGGTAAACTGTCGCCCGCAGAAAAAATCGTAGAAACGGGACGGCGGGCCAAAATTGATGGCAGGAGGTGATGACGCTGGAAAATGCGGCACGCTGCTTGTTGAACAGGACACGGCGGTAGGACGGTTGGTTGGCGCAAGCCAGGCTGAGAGGGCGAAGGAGGGCAGGCGTATTAAAAGGAGCGTTGGTGCACCACCGCTTTTGCCGCCTGGGCTTTTCACTCAAGAGGGGGCGTTTCGCCGTGGGTGCTTTTAGGGAGAGGGGGGGATCAGCCCCAGGACCAAGAGTGGCTACTAGTTGATTGAGGCTGGCCAATGAGAGCAGTGGTGTGGGCAACGGCGCCGAGCCAAAAGTATACTTGATACAAAACACCTTAGCGCTGCAATGTTGTAAGAGCTGGTTAAGCCGAGATGAGGCGAATAAAATCACGGAAAGAAAGCAAACAAAAAAACCACCGCTTTTATTTCCTTGCTCGGGCAGCAGGCTGCATGGGCTTGTGGAGACAATGTGCAGCAAACAGTAGAACCTGTTGGGTGTTAGCGCCTACAGCCTCCAGTACCAACCCGTCCATGAGGCTTCTGGCCGCCCCGAGGAGTCAGCGGGCGAGTCGTGAAACTCTAAACTCAACTGGGCGGTCCCTCGTGCACGACCGTCATTCGTCACAAAATCTTGTAAAGTATGTATCTACGCAACAAGAGAGAAAAAGACTCTCGCTAATTTCACAACCTCTGCCTGCTGCTCCTCCTGCGTTGGCGCCTTGCATCGCCGGACTCCTCGCGCCGCCTGTGGAGATGTGCAGCAGCACAAAGTAAGGCGAGCAGACGCACGCGCCGGGGACCTGCTTCTCAGAGGGGCTGACACCACACAGACCACAAACTCAGCAAAGCGTTGGTGGGGTTGGCTCCTGGAATAATGCATTCTGACCCATAAATAGCTACTTGGTAGTGGTCACGGCGCTGCAGCCCACTCTCTAGCGTGCCATGGAGCCCCTGGATTATCAGTGCCACGCCGCCGCGGAGAGCCAACGTATCACAGAATCTGCACGCTCCAGCGCATTCTCTAGCACGGCACTAGGGTGCTGTGTGCCCCCCCGAACCCACTGTAATGAAGTTTCTACCAATAGTTCTAGCGATGGAAAATCGATGGACCAGGTGTGCTCTGGAAATTTGAGGAGAAGCATTACGCCCCAAACAATTGAACGCCACAGTGAATCAGAGTTGGTTGGCCCGAGCTATTGGCGTTGCGTCACCCAGTTCTTCCCTGTCCTCAAAGTCCTACCGCCATTTTCAGTCCTAGTCGCATTAATTGGGCTGTAGCAAACAGTCTTTCATCGCTTGTGATATCTTTCTCGTCTCAACTGTACCTGAAAGTCGGCTGCGACGGAAGGCGCCGGGCAGGGTTATCCATTCATTACCCGCAACTGCTCAGCCTGATCGGAGCAAATTCCTTTTCGTTTTAGCGTTCAAATTTACAGGAAACTGTATCCTATCCTCTAGCATTTATGGTATACGTCGAGTGAACTTGATTTATAGTAGATAATTCCAGATGTTACTACATCTCGAATAGAGACAAGTGAACGACCTGCTGGGTAGGCTCAGCCTTCAACTGGACGACCAGTTCATTATTGGTAGAAAGTCCTCAATTATGCACCACCACCAACACTTACGGAGGATTCCATCAACGAGGCAGGTAAATGATCATGAATATTTCCCCCGAATATTCTTTTATATTTTTAGTGAATATTATCACCGCCGTTTCTTACAAAAGCAGTTCTCACGCATACTCTTTCCGTGTGAAACCCGGCCCACTCCAGAAATTGCTGACATAATCATCGGAACAGCAGTAATTCCTGATTCGCCTACACGCGCGACACGGGCGCAGAGCTGTGTGCTAAACCCTTGACAGAGCAACCAAGACCACGAAGCTTGACATCGGTGTCATCGCAAAACAGAGGCGAGTGCGATTCGTCTCTATCAATATCCGCATACTTGTGCCGACTGAGGACTATAAACTGCTGCTTGTGCAAGCATTGGTCGCCCTAGACCAACGCAAGTTTGCGACGACGGCCGTCAGGTGTCGAGTTTTCTGTACATCGCCCGACGTACACCCCCTCAGACAACGCCTTTGCCCAACAATTAAGGCATCCAATCCGGCATCATGAGCAATACTATGCGCGATCTCGTCATTGGCGAGGCCGACCTCGATAGTGATGAGGAGGACGAGTCCTTTGACGAGGAGACTGGCGAAGGCCGCCGTGAGAAGAAGCCGTCGGGCCGCTTCGAAGATTCCAGCGACGAGGAAGAGGATGACGATGATGAAGAAGAGGCTGCTAAGGTGTGTAATTTCTGTTATAGCTGGTTATTCTGGCATGCTTACAAGCAATTATAGATCCGCGAAGGCTTCATTGTCGATGAAGAGGAGGAGGGTGATGACGAGGAGGATGCTGAAGCGCGTCGCAAACGCAAGCGTGAGCGTCGAGATCGTGAACAAGAAGAACAACTCGATGAAGATGATTACGATCTTGTTGGCGAACAGTTTGCAGGACCAAAACAGGATACAGAGGTACAGTCATCTCCGTCTGCCACATCACGGTCACAACACAAGCTAATCCAAATCATAGCCAAAATTCAAAAGACTAAAGCGAGGACACCGAGATGACGACGATGGCCCCCCTGAGCGCCGTGGCCTAGCTGAAATCTTTTCCGACGATGACGAAGAGGAAGTTACTACAGATGCCCGATACGGCCGAAACAACCGTCCCGCTGACGAGTTCGAGGGTTTCATCGAAGAGGATTATCCCGATGACGATGAGGACCGTCAAAAAGAGCAGGATGACGCTGAGGTGGCCCGACCTCGCAACCGAGCCATTGGGGCAATTGTCGACACTACAGGCCTTGACAAAGAGGCGCTTGACGACATGGAAGCTATCTTTGGCAACGGTGAGGACTACGACTGGGCTCTCGAGAATGAAGATGAAGAGGAGGAGCGTGAAAGAAACGAACAAGGCATCGAGCTTAAGGATGTCTTCGAGCCATCGCAGCTCAAAGAGAAATTGCTTACCGATGAGGACAACGAAATTCGATTCACGGACGAGCCCGAACGCTTCCAACTAGAGCGCAAGAACTTCAAGAACCTAGTCTTAACGGCTGAACAATTTAGAGAAGAGGCGCGCTGGATCAGCAATCAAATTTGGCCAAAGAAGGGTCTCGCGTCCGAGCTCCAAGCTCCCTTTAGCAAGGCCGTCGGCAAGATTCTCGAATTCTTCATTGTCGATGAAGTGGAAGTCCCATACGTATTCCAGCACCGCAAAGATTATCTCCTTCACTCCAAGAAGATCCGAAAGTCGACTCGCGAGGATGAAGATGGTCCAGATTACACCATTCAGTCTGAAAAGCTATTGAACCAAGATGATCTTTGGCGCATCCTAGAGCTTGACATCAAGTTCCGCTCTTTCGTCGAGAAGCGAACCTCACTGGAGAAGACCTACGACAATCTCAAGTCAATCAACGTGGACGATCCGATGGTTGAAGAAATGATTCCAGAAGCGACAACAATGGAAGAACTGCAGGATTTGCAGGACTATCTTCAATTCCAATATGGCCCCAAACTCAAAGATCTGGCGGTTATGGCCGGCAACCTTTCATTGGCGAAACGCCCTGGCTCGAAGACGGCTCTGCTTGACCGTGTACGAAATGGCAAAGCTTACCTCTATGTAAAGGCATATGGCATCACCCCCGACCAGCTAGCCAAGAATGGACTCCGCCAAGGGAAAAAGATTACTCCTGATGACGATGCGCAATACCCCATGGATCTAGCTGATAGCCTCATCGATGACAACTTTAACACCGGTGATCAAGTCGTCAATGCTGCAAGGCAAATGTACGCCGAAGAGTTGGTTGCCAGTCCTCGCATGCGCAAGTACTTCCGAAGCGTGTACTACCAAGCTGGACTGAGCTGTAAGCGAACTGAAAAGGGCTTACGCAAGATTGATGACACACATCCTTACTATGATATCAAATATCTGCAAAACCAAGCCATTACAGAACTAGTCCACCAACCGGATATCTTTCTGAAGATGATGCGGGCCGAAGAAGAGGGTCTGGTGGAGATTAAGTTGGAAATGCCTGCGCATTACGACTTCCAAAAGCAGCTGCATCAAGCATTTGAGTCGGAAAACTTTAGTGATCGCGCTGAACAGTGGCGTGAGGAGCGAAAGAAGGTCTTGGATGTGGCCTTCCCCAAACTGGAGAAGCTCACCAGCAAAAATGTCAAGGAAGTCATCCGAACTTTCTGCCAGGACGAGGTTCTCAAGATGGTCAGACAAGAATACTACCGCAAACTGGACCAGGCCCCTTACAAGCCAAAAGGCATGGTACTTGGTACAACACCTCGTGTTTTGGCCATATCCAACGGCATGGGTGATCCTGCGCGCGACCCCGTCTGCTGGGCATGGGTTCCCGAGGATGGTCGCTTGATGGAGCAGGGCAAGTTTGGAAACCTTGGTCGTGATGAGGCGCAACGGGAGGCATTTGCTACGCTTGTCAATCGCCGTCAGCCGGACGTCATTGCTGTCAGCGGCTGGTGCACTGACACAAACAAGCTAGTGAGAGATCTCGAGTCTGTTATTAGCGACAAGGGCCTGATGGGCCCCGAGTTTGAGGACCCAGAGACAAGTGAGCTTCGTACTGAGCCCTTGGAAGTTGTCATTGTTGATGACGAAGTCGCCCGTCTTTACAAGGACAGTCCCCGAGCGCTTGCGGAGCATCCATCACTCAACCCTGTTACACGATACTGTGTTGCCCTGGCGCGTTTCATGCAAAACCCCATGAAAGAGTATGCTGCTCTTGGTAAAGACGTGTCGTCACTGGCATTTCACCCTTGCCAGCATATGCTGCCACAAGACAAGGTCAACAAGTATCTTGAATCTGCCATGGTTGACACAGTCAACATGGTTGGTCTCAACATCAACGAGGCCATGACTGATCAGTACACGGCTAACCTCTTGCCCTTCATTGCTGGTCTTGGTCCCCGTAAAGCAACCAGTGTCATCAAGGCCATCAATGCTAATGGCGGATCTGTTAACACCAGAGACGAGCTGGTCGGTGACCCAGACAGCGGCAAGCTTCCCGTCGTTGGACCCCGCGTCTGGAATAACTGTGCCAGTTTCCTCTTTATCGAATACGAGCCGACGAGCTCTTCCTCTGACCCTCTTGACAACACTCGTGTTCACCCTGAGGACTACGAACTTGGCCGCAAAATGGCTGCCGATGCCCTTGAGCTCGATGAAGAAGATGTCAAGGCCGAAATTGACGATAATGGCCCTGGCGCAATCGTTCGCAAGCTCTTCAAGCAAGACGAGCAGGAGAGAGTCAATGAACTGGTTCTCGACGAGTATGCGGATCAATTGCTACGCAACTTCAACCAACGGAAGAGAGCTACGCTTGAAGCCATTAGTGCAGAATTGCAAGCGCCATATGAAGAACTGCGCCGCAGCTTTGTATCGCTTACAACTTCTGAAATTTTTACAATGTTTACGGGTGAAACCAAGGCGTCTCTCTGCGAGGGCATGATTATTCCAGTCAATGTCCGAGTGGCTCGAGATGACTTTGCTATCCTCAAACTAGACTGTGGCATTGAGGGTCGCGCAGAATTGCATGAGGTGACTAACAGACCCTCCATCAAGGATGTGCTTCACGTCGGTCAGACAGCTCGTGCGAAGATTCTTGAAATGAACTACAAAGACTTCAGCGCCAAGCTTTCCCTGCGGGAAGAATCCCTACGCATTCCTTACAAGCGACCTATCGACTTTGGCCGCGATGGCTGGGACTACACGCAAGAAGCTGCCGACAAGGAGGAATTGAAGGAAAAGGACAAGACCACTGGACGAGCGCAGAGAGTCGTCAAGCATCCCAACTTCAAGCCATTCAATTCCACCCAAGCGGAAGAATATCTTGGTTCACAACCTCCGGGCGAGGTCATCATCAGACCGTCCTCCAAGGGCAACGACCATCTCGCCATTACGTGGAAGGTTGCAGACAACGTGTACCAGCATATTGACGTTCTAGAGATGCAAAAAGAAAACGAGTTCTCTGTCGGCAAGTTGCTGCGTATCGGTGGCAAGTACACCTACAGCGATCTGGATGAGTTGATTGTCGACCACGTCAAGGCAATGGCCCGCAAGGTGGAAGAGATGATGCGACACGACAAGTACCAGAACAGAGCGAGAACAGAGACGGGTAAGCTTGATTTTGAGATGATATTTGTATTATGTATAACTAACAAGGACTCTAGAAAAATGGCTTACGACATATATCGACGCTAACCCTAACCGCTCGGCATATGCTTTCTGCATTGATCCCCGCCACCCGGGCTACTTCTGGTTGTGCTTCAAGGCTAGCCGTGATGCTCGTGTTATTGGTCTTTCCGTTCGTGCAATCCCGCAGGGCTTTGAGCTCAAGGGCTCGCAATACCCAGATATGCGAGCGCTTTGCAATGGCTTTAAGTTGCGATACCAGAACGAGTTCTCCAAAATGGGGACTAGATAAATCTGGTTGCTGGTGATTGTTCGTTTTCCAAAAGCAGAGGCGATTTAGATGGTTGCAGACGGTGGTTGTATTATCAAGGACTTTCGTTGGCGATGGCCCTTTCTTTGTTTTCAGTTTTCATTAAGTTGTCTTTATTTTAACATTCGGGTGAACGATACAGCGGGCAAAAATCTTAAAACGGAACGTTGTTGAAAAGCGCTAGATAGGGCGGTGGCCTGCCTTTTATCATATCTGAAAAGAGTCGTCGTCTTCATCATTGTATTTGGCAGATAATCTTTTTTATAGCAAATTTATTTGGTTTCGGAGCTCGACAGCATGTTAAGACGGAGATCGTGATCGAGTCGGTCGAAGCTGGCTCGGAGGTAGGTTATGGGGGGGAGGCATTCCATTCAACCCAAGGCCAATCTGGCCTCAATGTTGAGATGGAGCAATGCCTGTGCCCATTGAGTCACGATGTAATTTAGGTGGGTTTACCTAGTTTAACATGTTGAGAGCTGGCGATATCGGCCATGGCAACTCACGTCAGAACGAGGTCCGGTGAGGCCGAGTCAAGCTGCCCCGCCGCCGAGCTGGCTTCGCCCCAGCGGCCGGGAGCAGTCTCGACCGTCGTTGGGCGAAGGTTTAGCCTTGCCACCGACAGAGGGGTTCATTGCACAATCCAGTGTGGCTTAGAATTGAATTGCTCGTCGATATAGCCTCGCAAAGCAATCAATATGTTGGTATTGGGGGCGTCTCTACTGCAGCCTACGTTCATACAGCTGTTGTTGGGCGTGGGGGGCAGGCTGCCGTCATGCCAATCTTGATAAGCTAGCCGCATCACTCGCTCACCTTGCGCCTTTGACGGTGATCATGTGTTTTCCTAGGGAACATGCTGGAATCTGTAGTGCAATTTGCTTGGTGGTGTTTTTGCCCCTGGGCCCAACAAGACAGATCGCCGACGCGTCCGCTTGGAACGGAGCGAGCATCGGCATAGGGGCCTAAGCTTGGATGACGTACTAAATGCCCATCTCCGTTGATCGCAATGAGGAGGCCATTGAGGTGCATCATCACGCTGCTTTCAAACTATCCATTAGAGGAGGACCAGACCGGTTAGCGCGGTAATGCCCGCTACGAAGGTTTTCCGTCAGCATCAAAGCGCAGAAGAAGGATTTGCAGTGGTACGACATGCGTTTGTTATCATACACCTGAGTTTAAACTTTGTGATATTATTGCAATCGCAGCACGTAGGAAATTCCACCATTGCGGTCAGCTATTACAGCAGTTCTCACACATTGTCTACCTGCCTCGTTGGCATTCCGACTGCCGCATCAGCAGGGTGACATGACTGACCCTTTGGGTGCAATACTGGCAATAAGCTTCTGGACGGTCGTTGCTGTAGCCTTGGACCAAAGTGGGGGAGGGGGTGAGGAGCGATTTGCACTGTATGCCGTCACCGGGCTGTCCACACAGTGCTGGCGTAGTGGGCGAGGTGTGCTGAGAACCCCTGGTCACCGGGGAAGCTTGCTGTGCAGCGAGGTAGCCTGTACCCCAGATTCTATTTACGGCGAGGGGGGCCAAGCACAGTGCTCAGGCGGGTCAACGTCACAGCGTCTCGTCTTGTTGGGGCAGAAAGACGCCTGGCTGCCAGGTGCCAACCCCGCAACCAAGCCGAAAGCAGCACTGCCTGGAATGGAGCGACGGCCAAGCAGGGACGGAGACAATTAGAGACACGCAAGGAGAATTAAAATAAATAGATAAATACATTGCATCATCGATACTCACGAAAACAACGTGAAAGAATGCTGTGAATGCAGTCGCCGTAGATCAGCGTAACCGCTACAGCCAGAGCTGTCTTGACTGAAGCCAGCAACTGGCGCTAGCGACATGTAGTGTAGAAGGGGGCGGCGGAGAAAGGACCAGCCTGCTGGGACTGCTAGCTGCACCGTACAGTACGCAACGTGATCAATTTCATTTCGATGGTTATTACACTGCATACAGTACAGTGTCTGCGACGGTTTGGTTGCGTGAGTGTTTGAGGATGGCGTGATGGACCCTTGCGCAATATACACTGGTTGCTTGGCGAGTGCAGCAAACGTCGTCTTCAGGGCCAAGTCGTCAAGCGCACGCATCAATTGGCCATGGCCATCCAACCATTCGTCCCATCAATTGCGAAATCACTTGCTGTTCTCACGCCCCTTCCTACGTGCGACTCATTGTTTGCTGCGTTATCGGCGCTTGCTGGGCCCTGCCTACGTCGTCCCTCCACTGGTCACGCGATGTCTCTCGGGACTCAGCGCCCAGAGCTCCACTACGCGCCGATTTGGGTTGCGGGGCGCTGCTGCAAGACAGGCGCACAGTGGCGATTGCGGTTACCCGCTTGCGAGCAGGCAGACAGGTATCCTGCTAACGTCCCCCACACTCTGCGTTTGCCTGGGTTGCACCACAAGGTTCGCTAGATTGGTACTTCTGCTCGGACGACACGGAGAGGTCTCTTCTCGCGTGACAACATGCTCCGGCCATCGCTCTTCACACAGTGATGGGCGACGCCCCCCCAAGAAAGAGGGGCTCAGCACAGTACGCCTCGATAGCTCATCGCTTTTGGCGTGCGCAATAGCTTTGGGGGGTTGTCACTGCCCCTACCCGCCAGCAGTCTTCATTTAAACGCAGGCCTGTCTCATCCCCTCCCCCTCCTCTCGCTTCCTTCTCTTTCATCATTCATCGTTTTCATCCATCAATCAATCCATTCCACCGTCACCGTTCCATCTCCATCTCCCTTCCACGCTTACTCCTCCTTCCATTTCTACCACTGCATCTTTGCGTCTGCTTCATTGAGTCACTTCTCACGCTATAACACTGCACCCTCTCTCTCTCTCAACACTCATTGAGAGAATCAGCTATATCATCACAATTGTACCGTCTCTATAATTGAGAGGGTTATCTGAAAGTCACCGACACCGTCTATTGTCCAATTCTTCACCACAAGCTTCCTCAACCCAAAAGTAAGTTTATTGGTGCATTCCTTGCAGTTCAGTCAACGGTTATGTTTCCGCACTGTATAGCTGCGACCAGTGACGCAACCCAACCATCAACAGTTTCGCTAACAGATATCGTATAGTGACTCGCTCCCACAAGGCCAACGACCGTGACCACAAGGGCATCGCTGAAGGCACTGCCGCTCCTCAGGAATATCTTCCCCGCTTCTTTGCAAAGAGCGGCTACGTCGACGCAGACCCCAAGAAAATCAAGAAGGACGGTGGTGGCCGTGGCAACTGGTAAGTCAAACATCATCTCCTCTACTACAACAAAGATTGCCTCGTATTAGTCGGAGCCATCAGTGTTGTCGTTTAAATGAAGAATCTCTGTGTTACTCATACTAACGATTTATACAGGGGAAGCATGGAAGATGACATCATGGATGAAGATTTTACCTTCACCAATCCTCGTCGCCGCTCCAACAGCAGCAGCTTTTCTCACAATGCCAGAACTTTCAAGACCAAATGGGAGATCAATGATCCTGAACCAGTCTTTGATGAGTCCGTTCACGGACCCTTGGCAGAAGAGGATGAGGAGAATGGTGATGACCTCACCAAGACTGACTCCTCTGAGAGTGGCCGATCCACCTCCTAGATGAGGTTGCCACGCCGCCTTGACTCCCTGCTTCCTTGCCACATCCTTGAGTTATATTTATACTACACTCGCTATCACCGCCATGGTGATTATCACTAAACCGTAGGTGTCTACGCTGGCGCTGTGGACATCTACTATGAAAAACTACACACTATTTACCTCGAGGTTAAGCTTATGATTATGATTTCTACCATGTAGCTTCCTCGATTGGTTGCAACAACAACTACACAACTCAAGGGCTTGGGACAGCAGTCAATAAAGGCCAGGAATCTGCACCTCGGTGGGCATGGGTTGAGCGGCCAGGGGCCGACTCAACAGTGGCTAGCTGGGCTGCCAGATGTACTATTGTATCACCAGTTTCATGTTTTTATTATGAAGTGAGCTCCATGCTCAGAATACAACCAACAAATTTGATGACCAATGAAGCGTACTAAGTTGGTGTTGTGATGCTTGCGAGATTGTACACTGCTACCCTGGATCGACTATCTGGAATGGCGCTCACTCTAGATCGATCCACGTTGACCACGTTCACGTTATAATTAGCTATAAAAAGTAGATTTCATGCAAAGGCGAAATGATATTCCTGTTCCGTTGTTTTAGGCGACTAAATGGTTGACAATATGGCGGGGAAGTGCTGCGGCTGAACAACACTTGTCAGCACTACCCAAAAGGTGAGGCTGAAGCACAGCCATCGCCAACACAATGAGTCGCTCCCATAAGCACTTGTGCATTGCGACAGATTCTAGCAGAAGAAGCGTAATTTAGAGCCAGAGACTTGTCCAGCGCATGTCTCTTGGTAGCGACGATAAAATCGTTAATTTAACTCTCTCAGAGCAGGCCTCATTGGCAATACGGTGTCATTATTTTCTAGGCGTTTGACCAGACGTCCATCAGTACGATGCGACCGCCGCCACCTCGTGGGACAGACGCAGGCACAACGGCAGAGGTGGTTGCGCCTGCAGATTGCCCAAGGAGTGGATCGCGCCAGGAGCAGCGAATGAGATGGTGATGGGCCACAACGTGTCTTTAGGCATGGCGGTAGACACTAACGTGGGAAATAACGCAAACTGTGGTTGTGATGCATAGGCATTACTGTCCAAGTGCAGAGCAGAAAATGAAAGAAAATAGCAACTTGGGCACTCTCAGCTACCCATCATCTCCCAAAGTGTCTTGACATGTCTTGCCGAGGGCTGTAAAGGGATTAGATAACCAAGGGAGCCAGCAACGGCTACTGAGTGCTTACAGGAGGCACACTTCCCCAGAAAATGCGCCTACGGATGCAGCCGGCTTACAATAAACAAAGCTAAATCCAAACTATATGGCGGAGCTGAACTCCGCAACAAGCTTGCATAATAGGCTTCTTTTGGCGAAGGAGGTTCCCGGCTTGTTGCACAGCCTTCACTAAAAATGGACAATAACCAATAGGGGATGTGCTACAGACGAGAAAGCCTCGGCGATATTGCTCCGCGCTGACAAGAACTGGAGGCACAAACCCCATCACAAGGCGTTGTTGACTATTCACAAAGGCAAACAAAACGGCTAGCACCATCGCCGACGCGGGTAAAACGCCGAGTAGAGATGCGGCAGCTGCATCCAAGCCGCCCCATCTTCATTAAAGGCCCATGCTTCGGACATGCCCGATGAGCTAGAACTACAGGCGCGCACATCGCAGGCTGAAAAGTTGGGATACCAACACCACTCACTCATTGCCAACTATAACGACGCAGCCACTGACGTTCTTTTTTCTATTCAGCTGTGCAAAACGGGTGTCAGCCAGTTGTTCCTCCGTATTTCGATCGTCGCGCGCAAGGGAGAGCGAGAGGCAGTGAGTCGGGTCTAATTTACAACAGCGCTGAGCCTTGTCGATCCAGGCCTGGGTAGCGCCGCAAAGCTGAACCGACGCCCCGTTTCACCACTAAAAGCTTGTCGATCCAGCGGCTCCACAAGGTATCCAGATCGAGTCCAGCGCTGACCACCGGTCCAATATAATTTGCCCACGGGACAGGGAAGTGCCGGCAGTCGGCCTGGCGAGCGAGCGCCTTTTTTACATTCTTTCCAAAAGGGTAGGAGGCTGCGCAGTACGGCCGGCATGCTTCGTTACGAAAGGCGCCGGAGCCGAGATTGGAATGCGCTGCGAACCTCTTGAGTAGCGGCATGTGCCGGGGCGCCCTCTGTACTTCTGGAACATACAGAGGGTACATAATGCATTCAACCGTGCGACAAGGGCTAAAGTGCCGTGTCTCGTTGCTTGCCCAACGGGGACGTATGAGTTCATTTTGGCATACTCGTTTCTTGTGACTGTTAAAAAAAAAATGCAGCAGTTAGCGTAGCGTGCCTGGCCTTTTAGCCCGCGTGCCTGATTTAATGCCCACGAGGGGCGCAATTGTGGTTAGCGGCAGCCACGCCTGCGCCCAGCCGGGGGGGGCCACCCCCACTGCGCTACCGAGCTGGGCTGCGTGTAAGATGAATTGGGGAACATCGGCACCTGGGCTGAAGATGTGAATCAGGGCTGACTGACGTTTCGACCCAGAGTTGGTCGTCTCCGTTCCGTCTGCGGCTGAGATGGTGCTTATTACGGTCCTTTCAAAACGGAGACTGACCTTGAAGGGACGGACCCAACAACCCTGGGTGAACCAAAAACTATATAAGACGAGTTTGTTCGGCCTCTCGCTCTAGTGTCTCTCCTCTTAGATCATCATCACAATTCCATAAACCAGTCTCTTTGTCAAACAAACACACTTCCTTCCTTTTTCACAATGAAGTTCTCTACTGTCCTCGCCTCCATCGCCCTCGGCGCCTCTTCCGTCCTCGCTGCCCCCGCCGAGGAGGTCAACCACCTTGAGGCCCGCAACCTCCCCGGCCTCAACGCCGTCCAGACCAAGTACGCCAACGCCATTATCGCCGAGGCCAAGAAGGTCGGTGTCGGTGCCCACGGCTGCCAGGCTGCCATTGCCACTGGTCTCGTCGAAGTAAGACACACCAATCAAACTACTCATTAAGCTGTGCTAACCATCCCCCGACACAGTCCAGCATCATCATGTACGCCAACAAGGGTGTCCCTGCCTCGCTCAACTACCCCCACGACCGCGTTGGCTCTGACCACGATTCCATTGGCATCTTCCAGCAGCGCGCCTCCATCTACAAGAACATCAAGTGCGACATGGACGCCGCCTGCTCTGCTGGCCAGTTCTTCACTGAGATGAAGAAGGTCAAGGGCTGGCAGACAATGGCTGTTGGTACCCTCTGCCAGAAGGTCCAGCGCTCTGCCTACCCCGACCGCTACGCTAAGCAGGTTGGCCTTGCAACCAAGGTCTGCAAAGCCGGTGGCTTGTAAAATCATCAAAACTCTTGGATAGATCTGTTCGCGTATATATTTGTTGTATAATGAAACTAAATTGTCTACTACAATCTCCTTGCCCAACAATACCACAATGTGATTGAACCGCCGCCAAATATCATTGGGTGCTGTTCAATAAATAGATAAGCTAAAAACCAACCTAGTTTCTAATTGAATTGCTTTTGAAAGTTAATTTTCACTTCTTTTGGCTCTGTGTAACGTGTTTTGGAACTTAAAGTTCTGGCTCGGCTGCAGCAGCGTGTGCTTCCAGAAGGTGGTCCGTGCACGACCATTATCCAAAAATCCAATCGTCGACATCACCAGTGTCAACCTCCACCATTCTCACGTACCATTTCTTCTCTGCGCCAACACCGCTCACACATGCCCATTTACTCAGCGGAAACCACTCAATTCAATACAAAATCTACAGCACTACCGCGCTACATATATTCAAACATGGCTCCGGCGCCAGCGTACCACGAGTCACTCCCTTGTATGCTCTGCTTTGCCCCCCACCGCGAAGACCGCAACTCGACTAACCGCAGCCTCCCTAGACATCGACCAAGAGCCTACTGCTGCCGAACTAGCTGCCGCATCAGCTCTCATCGCTGCCGAGCAGTCGACCTTCGAGGCACCCGCTGCCCCTGCCGCTCCAGAGCCGTCCTTCTCCCCCGCGATAGCAGCCGAGCTGGCCCGCGTCGAAGCAAAGCAAGCCCTCCCCGCCCTCCCAACATCACACTACGAATCCCAGACACCATCTCCCGAAAACCCGCTACCCGCGCTCCAAAATACCGCCGTCTCGTCGACATATCTGACCATCCGCAATGCCAACCTGGCAGCCCTCAATGCCGCGGGCAAGAATGCGTGGCTGCTATCCAACTACCACACAGAGGGTCAGCTGCGGGATCTAGAGGCCGAGCTGGCCGCTACGAAGCGAGAAATCGACATTATCAATGCAAGCAGAGCTGCTAAGCAGAACGAGGTCAAGGGCGAGATGCAGGGCTTGGAGGAGAACTGGAAGAGGGGTGTTGGCAAGGTTCTGGAAACAGAGATTGCTGTCGAGGAGCTACGAGCGCAGATCAGAGACGAGTTGAAGAAGAGAAGCGCCGAGTAGCTGCTTTTCTGTTTACACAACAAGGAAAGAAAAAGTATATAGCCTTGAACGGCGTGGGTTGGTTATCAGCTGGAGTTTTTGGCGTTAGGTTTCTTTTTGGTATAGTTAGTTATAGAACAATGCACAATGTAGTGCTTCTTGTTCATCACTACTTCAATCTCGGACCGTTTTGTTTTATGAATAAGGTATCTGCATTGTAGTCATATTTTCAGGACTCTTGACAAACAAAAACTGTTTGCGCGCAACTGTGTGTGTGGGGGATTTGTGTAGTCTAGCCCGGACTGGCCGGCAAAAGTATACTAGAATCAAAACAGCAAAAAATAACGCCTGCCTCCCAAACGAACCCACTGCTTCCCTTGTTCAATCGCTTCGCGTATGTGTTGCTCGCTACGCTAAGCGTCTCCTCTTGCTTCAATTAGAATGAAGCGGATCCATCTCCTCCACGCCAGACTTGACAGCCTCGTACTTTGTGCGTCGCATGATGCCTTCGACAGGGCCCAGGAGGCGTTGGAAGGCATTCTTGCCTAGCGTTGCTACCTTGACGTCTGTGCCGGCCACAACGCTAGCAGCGCGCGGCTCATCGTTGAGCAGTGCCAGCTCGCCAAAGTAATCGCCCTTAGTGTAGTGCTTGACCTTGTTGCCAGGCTCGCCAATGTAAGCGTCAGCCTCGCCACTCTCAAGGAGGTAGAAAGAGTAGCCAGGGTCTCCCTCCTTGATGATAAGCTCGCCGGCGGGGAACTTTTGTGTCTCGAGTGCATCGGCAATCTTGGATCTTTCGTATGCGGTGATGGTGGACAAGATTGGCACCTCCTCCAGGAAGCTCTCATACAGGCGTCTGCGCGCAAAGGTCGATTCCATCAGAATGCGGCGGAAGGTGAGACGGTCGAGTGCCCATAATGTGCATCCGCCTTCAGCGGAAACAACGGTAGCAGCACGAGGGGCATTGTACATGAGAGCAAGCTCACCAAAGGAACCGCCGGCCTCAATTGTGCTAACCTTTGTACCCATGCCGTCCGGGCCAGGCTGGATTTGACCAGTGGGGTTGACATAAACTTCAAAGGTACCCTTTTCGACCACGTAAAAGTAGTCTCCAGCGTCGCCTTGGCTGATAACCTACAAAACGGTGTGTCAGTGGTAGTGCATTGGGAGTATTGAGCTGTCTAGTTCTTACCTTGATACCCTTGGCAGGAATGGGCTTCTCGACTAGAGCGCCGACGACTTGAGCGCTCTGATCATCATCCAGATGACTGAACAGGAAGTTGCCTTCAATGGCGTGCTTAAGGCGGTTAAGCTGCTCGACCGACTTTTCGTGTACAGGAGGGGACCAATTATCGTATGTGTCGGCACTAGGCTTTAGAGATTCGGCCGAAACCGAAGTTCGGCGGTTGAAGTTGTACTGGGCTGGATAACTGTCGGGGTTTGGAGGTGCGCGAACGGTGGGAGGTCCGTCAACAGAAGCGTCGCCGCCAAAGACAGCGCCGAATCCCGGAGTAGTGGTAAATGCACCAGCAGGGAAGCTTCCTGTTCTGGGAGAGCCAATTGTATCATGCTCTTCCTCTTCAACGAGGCTGCCCATGGTGTTTTGAGCATCGGGTTGCGATCGATCAGTGCCAAAAGGGTTGGCATTTGCCCCGAACGGGCTCGAGAAGGAACCGGACATTTTATCGATGTGTTTCTGTTTATTCTGGTAAGCAGCTGATTGGAAAGTATGCAGCAGTCGCAAGGCAATATTCAAGCCAAGATGGCGACATAGCCAACGATTCCGAGGGGGCTGCCCGGGATAGGCGACTTACTATTTGCAGCTTGAAAAGAGCTCAAGCGAGGAGGGGTAGGGCGAGCCACGAAACCGTCAAGGATAAGACTCTGAGGGTTATAATTTGTTGGCGGCCAGGACTCAATTCGCCTGATGCAGTTCTCGATTGAACAGTGGCAGGCGGACGCAGAGCAAGCTGGGTGAAGCTTGGGAAGAGGGGTATGCTAGGATGCTCCAAACTCGGACCAGGATAGCTCAGCGTGTGCAGGGTTCTTGGTCGGCGTGATTTGGTGCCCAAAAGGGTGCGGCGAGACGATAAAAAAAGCTATAGAAGAAGAGGAAAAGAGGGCGTAGTAAAGGTGATGAGCAAGATTAACGTCGGCTGTAGTTTTTATCTTTCGGGGGAAAGTCGCAAAGGTTAAGTGATGGGGATGAAGCGAGAGGAAGAGAGAGAGGAGGAGAGATTTAGCAGTAGAAATGACGGAGATGGGGATTTGCCTGGTAGCGCCGGGGGGGGGAGGGGCCAGAGATACGTGGTCCGTGCAGGGGACCAGCAGCAGTCTTAGGTTGTGGTTTAGGGAGAAGAGGCGCCTGGAGAAGGGGAGCCCAGAAGCCTGGGGCGGGGTAGCAGCAGCAGCTGAGAAGGCAGTTGCGGAAGGGGCGGTGCACCAGCAGTGCTTTAGCCCGTTGGTTGCGAAGGGTTGCAAGATGTAAAAACAGAAAAAGAGTACAGTGATAATGATACGGTAGCAAAATGAAGTTTTTTTTTTTCTCTTCTTCGTGCTTAAAATAAAAAAAAGCTTGACAAAACACGCAGCCCCGAGCAGCATCCCCAAAAGCATCGGCCACAAACAGCGAAGCTTTCTAGAAGCGGTGCACGGGCCACTCTGCGATCATTCCGCTTTCCGATGCCGTGCTGCCACCACCGCCTGCCGCAAAAGAGGGGTGCAGATGCGCTGCTTTGGGATTTAAAACGGCAAAAAGAAGCTTCTCCCGCCGGGCTGCGCGCGGCCTTCTGCTGCAAGGTTTGCGTGGCGTCACACACGCAGTGTACAATAGAGACGACGATGCTCAGGCATGTTCGTATTGGAGTTGCGGCCCGTGAAATCAAGCTACGCGTAATCTCAGACGACGGCGCCTTTAGCAGAGAGCGCAAGCACGATGGATTGAGCTGGGGGAAATTACACGACCGGGGGAACACCCTGCATTGTTGGAACGGTCAATCCACAAATATAATGAACGGGAGACCAAGACGCTACACAGTTATAAAATAAGAAAAAGGAACAATTGTCTAACGGATTCAATGAACGGGCTCTAGTAAATCATCCTATTGGCGGTGCTGACTGCCAGTCTATTCAACTGGGCCATCCCCCGCTCTACATCCACGTATATATATAAGTACACGCCTTGCCTGCTTCCTTTTCTTTCTCTAAAGAGCAGGAAGGCATCTTCTCCTCCCAAAATCCAAAATCAGAAAAATAAAATAAAAAATAAAACAAGCTCGCAGGTGACAGAGATAAGTACAGGCAGGAAAGGAAACGAAACGCCAACCATAAATGACAAACTCCGCGCGTCATACAAGCGTTGCCACGAGCTCGAAAACAAAGGAAATGCGTAGCAACGCAGCGCTTGCTGTAAACAAGAAATAAGAATCAATCGATCGCTTGTTGGGGGAGAGTATACAATAGAGTCTGCTGGTACGCAGCTCGCCCCAAGGACCGTTTTGTAGGCGCTGTAACGACAGGGAAATGGAAATTGGTCATCATGCAACGGCGAGACATGAATCCAGCATGCCGTCGAGCATGTCCATGTCGCCAGTTTCTGCTCCCTCCCAAACCATTTCGGTATCAACGTCCATTTCGTCACTCTTCACATTAGGAAGAGTATTCTGGGCGATCCCGTTGGTGATGAGTGGCTCGCCATCGCTCTTCGGTTCTTCGTTATCCAGCCACGTGTAGTCGTTCCAGTGCTCGAGCTCGCCATCTCGGAAACCTGACAAGACTTGCGTTGTCACAATGGGGAACTGGGACATGCCAGTATCTGCCATCTCCAAAGCAATCCGCATATCGGCCATCCCAAGCGGCCCACGTTCGCTGGCAGCCTTCGCCTCGATGGGGAGCAACCCGGCCTTATCGCGGCTGATCTCTCCTCTATGCGCGGCCTCTTCTTCTTCATGTAATTGCTTCTTATACTTGTGTGTTTGTATCCAGTTTGTGCCAACCCCGTAGCCGGCACTGCCGCTGTCACCAGGCCCATTGCTCCTTGTTCTGGCAAAGATTTGGGTCAAGACTTCTTTGATAAAGGTATCGGCAGCAACAGACACAAGCACAGCAGCGTCTGGGGTGTGACCGCTTGTCAGACCTGCTTCATAGCAGAATGGCAGGGTACGGCTGGTAATGGTATTTACGTCTGGGAACTCGCCAGATTCCACACTCAGCGACAAGGCAAATCGCTTGCGGATTTCCAAATCCAAGTCTGGTTATTTGTTAGCAATAGATACAGGTCATGGTATTCGGATGGAAGTTTCGTACTCATGTTATTGATTGCTCCTGCGCTGGATGGCGGAACGTCTTGGGTCGATCCAGTGCGTCGTCTGAGATCGGTAAACGCGTTCACTATGCCTTCGTGAGGGTCAATCTAAGCTTGATTAGTGATGAGCACGCCAGCGACATTCCTTTAAAACGTACATCGTTTTGTACAAGGTCCTTGATTCGCCTTCTGTCTTTGGATGGCAGCTGCATGACTTCACCCTTAAGTCTGCGCTCTGCAGCATCACCAGAAATAGGCTTGCTGGCACCAGATGCGGAGGGTTTATCATTAGTGCTAACCCAGGTCGCGAGACCTTGATCTGGCATCTCTCGTGTGACATTCCCATAGATGGCAGCAATAAGTTGATTATGTAGATGGTCCTTTTCAGCGTTTGGGCCGCCCAAGATGGGGTCTATACGGTTATAATATTCGACTTGGTTAAGGCGGCCTGTGTATCAAAAGGCATTAGCATAACGATTTGGTGATTTTGGGATAGACAGATACTAACCAACGAGGAATTCGGTCGTTGCCTCCTTGTATATCAGCCATTGTTCTAATCCAACGGCTGCTTTGAGTTCTGTATATAAGGGTTCGAGGTCGATACGCGCCGGGATCTGGCTTGACTTGACTGGCTTGGTGGCGCTTGAAAACGATCCGGAGAGGGTTTTAGATGATAACACCGGCGTCGAGACGCCGACAGCCGGGCGGCTGAGGGCCGCCGGGTCGATGTCGGGCATTGGGGTGGATGCTGGTTGATGGTGAGATGAGGGCGGACGGGGGCTGGTGGGCGTGCTTAGCAACGGCGTCGCGTGCGGCGAATCTGGGGTGCACGACGCAGATGCAGGATCGCAAAGTACATAAAATGAAAGAGGACAATAATGCGATTTCGATTATGCGGTTAACTTGATGATGCGGACATTATGTGGCGGTGGAATCCGATGATCAAATCGCGATACTTGAGGCGGCCAGGCTGTGGAAACAGTGTCAGCGCAGGCACAGGCCGGATGGAGTGAGGTTTGGAAATTTTGCCGAGAGATGGGTGGCCGATTTTTGGTGGAGGGCGGTGCATGTACTGAGAACTTTGTCGTTGGTGGGCGTACCTGCTGGATCTGATGTGCCTAGTACAACATCCCACCTTTCCCCTCAAAGCGCGTCCCACGCGTTGATCAAGCAAACACCAGGAACTGTTCCGTTTACAAAGCCGTCAAGTTCTTGACAACCACTAGAAAAACAACAAAATCCATAGCAGCAGTGCACAGATCGTACCCTAATAGACACTACTCAACACCTTCGAATTCGGGCTTCGGCCAGGCTATGTTTCAGCCATGGCGACAGACCGTACTGCGTATATCTTGGATAGCTTAGTCTCCCATATGATTCCTGCATATGAGGATGAAGACAAGCAGACAATCCAGGAACGCCACAACAGATGCTTCCAGATCGCAAAGTCTATAATAGAAGAGTACGTTTGGAGGTTTGGTCTATCGCATGTACCCTAGCTAATCGGTTCTCGCAGCACAGGACGATCTTCGATAACACCTGATGTTAGCCATTCTGCCGACTTGATTAAACGAAAACTATACGAAAGCAACCCTAACCAAGCCCTGCGCTTCTCGAATCTATACAACCGCCTCCTATCCCTACCTGTTCTTGAACAAAAATGGGCTATCCTCCACTTGCTCAACGAGCTCTCAGACTCTCCCGAAGAAAGCGAGCCTCTTCCGCTAAGCCCTGTCCGACCTTCTGATACAAACCATAGAGAAACAGCGAACCTTGAAGCACTCAGCAGATCAACAAGAGATCCTGTACGGAGTTCACCTTCTTCGAAAACACATGCTCAACAGTTTAGAGACGCCTTCCAGCCAGATGGGCTTCGTGTCTTCCCCGCAAAAGACTCGAAGCCGGACGAGTCGTTGGACAGAGACGTAGTCATGAAGATACCCGGTCAACTCTCTAGTTATGACGACATGGAACCATCTGAGCCTGTATTACTGCGGGATCTACCCTTCATCCTTCAAGGCCTATCATCCACCAACCTCTCCTTCCAAGAGCGCGACACTCTCAGGTTACCAGTTACCCTCCCGCTACCTCTCATCTCGATTTTGCATACCCTTGCAGAGCCTTCACTACTTTATCGTGGTCTCGAGGAATTCTGCAAGACGCCTGGCAAAGGCCTGCTAGCGCAGAGCCTCCGATCAGGCATTAGTGGTGAACTGCGAGCGTATCTCAACCTTATCGCAACTTTAGAAGGCCAGATCCGACGCGCATTGGCAGATCTTGATGAAAGCTCCCCTCGTGGAGGTATCGGTAAGGCGGGTGTAACGCTTAAGCGATGTGTGGTCTGGACTAGAGAGGCGACGATGGGTCTACGACTGATGAGCCTACTTGCTGAAGAATCACAAAATAAGCGCGGTGGGCAACTTATTACCTTGGTTCATAGCTTTGCCTCTAGCCATGGTGATCCTGTGGTAGCTGCTTTTGCGGAACGCCTACTTGGGACCTGCACACGACCATTCTATGATATCTTGCGCCGTTGGATTTATGATGGAGAGTTATCCGATCCATACCAGGAATTCTTTGTACAGGAGCAACCACCGAATCGAGAACCAAGGTCAAGAGGTGGCGCTAACGTTTGGGAAGATAAATATGAAATTGCTGAAGACATGGTCCCAAGTATTATTACACAAGACTTTGCCCAAAAGGTTTTCCTGATTGGAAAGTCTCTCAACTTTATTCGGCACAGCTGTGGCGATTCTCTATGGGTTGAAGACTATTCCAAAGGAGCTTCAAAAGAGCTTCGCTATGGTGATACAGCTACGCTGGAGGCCTGGATCGACGAGGCGTATAAGACGACAATGAAGCGATTGATGGAATTGATGTCGAATAAATTCCATCTTTTCGACCATCTAGAGGCTCTGAAGCGATACATTCTACTTGGTCAAGGTGATTTTATTGCCTTGCTAATGAAGTCACTGGCAGCAAACTTGGATCGCCCAGCAGGTGCACAGTATCGACACACACTTACAGCCCAGCTTGAACATGCGATCCGTGGCTCCAACGCCCAATATGACTCGCAAGAAGTTCTGCGAAGACTTGATGCACGAATGCTGCAACTTTCTCATGGCGATATCGGATGGGACTGCTTCACCTTAGAATACAAGATCGACGCACCTGTGGATGTTGTTGTCACAGAATGGGGCAACCGCCAATACTTGAAAGTCTTTAACTTCCTTTGGCGAATCAAGCGGGTTGAATTCACACTACTCAGTAGCTGGAGAAGCTGTACAACCGGTGCACGTGGTGTCCTCCAAACATCTGAGCCAGAAGTCGCCCAGACTTGGAAATCCACGCGGGGTACACTGGCAGAAATGATACATTTTGTCGGCCAACTCCAGTACTATATATTGTTCGAAGTGATTGAGTCTTCATGGAACGAGCTGCAATCCCGCATTCGTAAGGAGGACTGTACATTGGATGATCTTATTAAAGCTCATGAGTCCTATCTGAACGATATCACCCACAAGGGGCTATTGGGTGCGAAACGCCGGCACCCCAACGGCCCAGCCGACAGTGATGATCGAGCCACGTATCTTGTTCAGCTGAGCGAAATCCTACGCTTGATGCTGAACTACAGAGATTGCGTGCAGGGCCTCTACAGCTGGAGCGTCTCTGACTATACCAGGCGTCAAGAAGCTGGCGTACGGAGTGGCCTTGCATCGCGAAACACAGACCTAGACGATGACGAGGATATGCTTGGAACGACACACAACGAGGCAGATTCTGAATTCCCTCTGCTTCAGGAACGCTTAGCTCACCTAGGATCCTCGTTCCGCATGCGCTTACGTGTGCTCTTGGGCGACCTGGCCTACCAACCAGATGTTGACATGCGCTTCCTAGGCGTGGCAATGAACTTCAATAATGCTTACCAGCCTGTGGGTCGTCGAAGTAAAACGGCCTCTACAACGGCTACTGGAAACACTTCAATGGCAGCCTCGAGGGCAGAAGGGCGATGATGACGGTATATGATTTTGAAATTGTACGACTCGCTACACACCATAGAGCCTCCTTTTAGCAAACGAAATGAATTATATGATAGCATATATATATGGGCTATATTTCCTTTACGTGTTCGTGAAATATGCTCCATGTGCTTGAAAAAAGTGATTTACTGCTTAATCACCCAGGGTGTCCGATATACGCAGTGATTACTATTTGGCACTTGCGAACACGAGATCGAAATCCGTATCAGACGTAAGGGTGATAATATCGTTACCAAAGCACACTAGCCTCTAGAGCGACAGGGCAAGTATTGGGATAAGACTAGCACAGCCATTATGCTTGGTCCAGCCAGAACACGGCGGGTTTACAGGACAAGGCAGCTGGGGAGGATGTGTTTGCTTGCTGCAGCATGTTGGGCTCCCTAGAAAGATGGCCTAATAAATTACAACCGCCAGGGACCGCTGCCAGGGGCGCTAGGTGCCACAGGTGCGTCGTTGTGGGGAATACGGCGCCTTTCCCCGGATTGTTACTCTTGCATTGACGTAACGAAATTGAAAGGGCTGAGTTGACACCGCGGAAGTAAGCCAAAAATGAATGGTTGCTTACCAGTAAGGAACAGTCATAGAACCGAAGAGAAAAACAAAATTACTTCTAAACAGGAGTAATGGCTACACTGCACGCTTCGGCTGCCCACAAAGGCCACGTTTGTATCGGGATACTCAAGCTGGGGGTGCCCCAACAATTACCTGGTGCACCTTCTTCCCCACGCTGTCGCTGCCGCCCGCCGCCTTTGCTCCTTCCGCATCGGTCTGTAGCACAACCAACCCGTAGTAGCCAAGCAGCCGACGGCAGCCACGTAGAATGCAAGCCATGGAAAATGGGAGCAATCCGGCTCAGAGCGGTGTACAAGAAGAGCTGAAATGATTGAAAAGGGACATGATTCGCATTCACATTGCAGCAAACTCCCTTGCCCCCCGGTACTGCTGGCTGCCTGAAACGAGGAAACAAAACGGTAAAGCCAGTGACATTCCGCTTAAAAGCCACCATCAAAAGGATTGCATCTCCCTTGCCAACCACTATTGCATCGTACAGTACAAAAACAAAGCCAACGCCCTTCCACTGCGTTCGTTCATTCTTCTATTGTACACCACAATAAAGTAAGCAAACAAGCATCAGCTCTCTAGGCACCTGCGCAGCTACCCCCGTTGAGCCGACCAGACCACGCATCGTCTCGCCGACGCCCGTCCGGAAAATCACAAGCGGCCTTTGCGCTGAGTCCATTGTTCCGACGACCACACCACCCCCCAAACACAATCAAGCACTGTCCGGTTACGTGTCCAGCACACACACGCCCCAGCAAAAGCCAAAAATAAAGTAACCAAGGCCAAGCTCTGGTACCCGCCTTGGCCTCCCCCAAAGCAACACTTCCGTCGTACCACACTGTGACGGTACACCAACAAAGACCTCGGGACCTGTCTCCGATCCTAGCACTCGGTACCTTGCACCACAAGGGTACCTCGTTTCCCCCAAACAAAAAAAGTTATTTACATACCGTCCGCCCTTACCCCAGGCACACGACCTTTTCTTCTTTTTACTCATTCATACGAAACGAATACCCTCATCACAACTGCGTTACTCCTATTCAACTGATAAAGGCTTGTTACATCCATACAGCCACCTACTTAACAGTCACGCCCATCAGCACCTGTTAAACATGTCCATTGTTATTCAACCTTCACCTACCCGACCCTACGATTTGACCATGCAGATCAACCAGTGCACATATCTCTCGAGGACACCGTCATCCCAGGACCTCATGTCTGGGCTGAGCGCTTCCTTCACACCACAGCAGACAGAGCGACCTGCTACCCCGGTGCATGGCATCTTCGAAGATGATTACATTGTGCCAGCACCACCTCCACCTACTCCAGTCAGCTTTAGAAACGAAGGCTGGCCCAAGCCTACCAGCCGCACCTGATCATCGAAGCATCGATGATTACGGTCGTGAATCGGACCGAGACATGCTGCATGTCGTGTATTTTAGTTTTAGAGCACTGGGAACTTCTACCGGGGACATAATGAACAGAAACAAAAGCAAAAACTAGCAACGGAGAATACTTTGATACAGGAAAGGTCAATGACTGGCTCATTTTCTTTGGTTATATAATATGGTTAGGCAATGGATTAGAGCAATTTGTCGCTAATCAGGGTCGCCCAAAATGCATCCCGTCAAGTAATAAATTAATTTGCATTAGCATGATGATTTCTTACGTTTCTGTGTACGTCGTATGGCGAATAATTCGCCATTATGACTCTCATCGTACTAGCCCAAGTAGTGGCATGTCCCCTTTCACGCCGCAGCAGATTGGGAGGCAAGGTTACAGCAGACAATCACAAGCATCGGCCCATTCACATGTGTTATCGCAATCGAGGCACCGAAAGAGGTAATGTTGCAGACCCCCGATTTCCCCCCACGTCATCGAGCGCTTATCGATGTTTTACCGCGATGTCGGGAAATGCCGGAGTTAAAGTTCATGGCGACGCTGTGCTTTGCTGGCTTATAGTACAAGAGTTGCCCTCCTCCACTCGCCCGAACGATGCGTGTAGCATCCAGAAGGCTACATAGGCCATCATGTGATTTGATATTCCCTTTTTATAGCTTTCATAACTTCCAGCATGTGTCACTAAGTCATACTGGAGAACAGCACTACTTTGAAATGGGGAGAGGAGCCTCGGTAATGTGGGGATGACATAACAGGCACACCGAGGACTCGCCCGATTTGGTGTTATCCAGTATCAACCAACATGAGTCTGACCACGCCGGTTCGTAGAATATCAATGGGTGCAAATCGTTAGTATATCCAACAACTAATTGATGTATTATCACTGTTCCGTGAATTGCATACATACTTGGAGAGGAGACAGTGGTACGGCTAGTGATTGAGTCTCGCTAAAAAGAGGTTGAACTTGGTTACGCCGCCATCCTCTGATCTTCAAATTACTAAATTTAGTCAAGCTGATAGGATTTTATTTTCCTTTCATAATCATTGTGTCAGTGTATGCTTGTTACCACTATGACCCATCTAAGGCCACTGGCTGGCGCCTTGATCGCGGAGTGGATCGCCAAAGTGACACCACTTAACGCGTCCTGCTTCACGCAAAACGCGTCTAGGCGCCCTGGCATGCAGCCCACGCGTGCCCTTGTAAAACACCCATGCAATTTTATCTACCCAGCAACTCGCATACGTGAGACACTCGCAACCTTTCACCTCATATTCCCCTCTATTTCATCATCGGTGATTTTTCGCTCTGTCATCTTTACATTCTCTATTTCATCTGCTACCTTTTCCAAATTTTCGGGAAACTACCTCCCTTTACCCCCTGCCACAACGCCATTACTCCTCCTCAGCAGCAACCATGCCCCGACCGACGAGAGCAAGGGCCGTCGAGGCTCCTTCCATGTCTATTAGCAACTTCACGAGAGTTTCAAAGACGCACAATTTCGTGGATACAGCTAAGAAGGCAATTGTAACCACCGACATCACAAACACAACCTCCTTGAGAAAGAGGAAAGCCTCCACGACTCTCTCGCGAGACGATGAATCCAACAGAGCAAACTTCCTCAAGAGAAATATCTCTTTCTCACCCAGCGACGAAGAAGGCGATGACAACACAAAAAGAATGTGCCGACGAGAAGAGCCGGTACCCATCAAAAGGCCAATTCTCCCTGTCAAGGGCAAGCGACTCGCTCCGAAGAAAGAGGAGAGATCACATCGACCAGCTAAGGAAACGGTGCTTGCAGCATCGAGACGAGACGTCAGATCTACCCAACTCAAGATTGATGCCATGTATCAAAAGAGACAAGCGGCAGCGAAAGAGGCCATCGATTCGGAAGTTCAAGGTCTACCAACCGACCTGGCCGACATGGTTAGACTGCATCGTGCGTTTATTAAGACGCTCATGATCCAGATGGCCCACGGTCGCAACGACGTCCCCCTTGATATCCGAGAAATGGCACCCAACGTCTCGCGAGCCTGGGGAAAGAGATCCGTGACTGTTGAGGATGTCAGACGGTGCATTGCCATCGAAGGCGCTGGTGAAACACCATCGCCTTTCCACATTACCGACTATGGCAATGGCAAAGTCTGCATTGAATTACGCACCGGTTACAGATCAACAGATGTTCGAGAGAAAGATATCTGTGCTTTATTTAACGAGAATCTGCGCAGAATCTGGTCCGAGAAGTCCACCGATCAAATGCAAGATGTCGAAGTACCGCTGGATGGTCTCTCTCTTGCCGATCTCCCACAGGCTGAAGTAAAGACTATGAGCATTACCAGTGCTAACCCTATGTTTGCCAAGGGTCAAAAGACATTGGATGTTTTCAAGAATGACTTGGTGGCCAAGCAGCTGGATAAGCAAGCGAAGCAGGCATCCAGCTCCAACATGCTGAACGCTGATGGTAGCAAGATGAGTCTGCTGGATCGCCTCCGCCATAAGGAAATCGCCATGGCATCTGCTGCGGCAGGGCCTACAGCTGCCGATACCCAGCGCATTGCAGCCCTGAACCGTGTTCCCGACGTTGCTGCTACTATTTCTATGCTGAGCTTAACAAACCCCATCTCGTTACCGCGATGCGCGTTTACCATGGCAATGATCACGGAGAAGCTCCGTGATTCTCTACGAGTCCCCATGTCAAAGGAGGAGGGTATCGCCTGTGTAAGATTGATTGCAAAGGAAATTGCGCCGGAGTGGCTTAAGGTTGTAACGATTGGAGGAAGAGAAAATGTTGTGATTCAACGTGGAGGCGAGCCTGTCCGCAAAACATTGGAGGATAGAGCTAAAAAGCTGCTTGGATGCTAGATTTGGGGTGGTTTCAGAGCAAGGGAGTTGTATTGAGGGCTATATCCTACGGCGTTGGGTTTTTTTCTTTCACATAGCATGGAGTTCAGGTACATGGTGTTGTAACACTTACTGGTGTTTGGTATACTATTAGTTAGAAGCACGCTTGAAGCGAGTCAATCGTATGGGATTTACCAAGTAATCACGTTCATCTGTCACAGTCACAATTTTGGTGTAAATGTAGTCTGTAGTGTTTGAGCTTACGATGCTTGTTGCCGTCGGTAGAGCAGGCATGATCAGTGTGGATAGACAAGTCAAAGGACATGGAGTTTTTGGCATTTTTGTATTTATTTCCATGGTTGCATTTGGATCATTTGCGCATTTGCCGTGCTCGTAAAGCAACAGAGACAATTGGACGGTTGGCATAATGCCCCGGAAAAATTATGCAAGTCTGATGATACCTCAATGGGCGTGGGCTTTGCTCAGATAGGCAGCTAGGGATGTCTTTGCTGTCCGGTCTTCGGGCGATCAGCGTCCAATAGTGCTGGCGGTAGCAGTTCTAGGCACCGCCACCACTGGAGCGTTTGGCCGCTAAACAGTGACCAGTTTGCCCGCAACTCGAGTATAAAACCAGCGGTAAATTCATGGGTTAACGCAATACCCAGAAACTATCATATTGATCACAAAAAGATAAAAAAGTATAAAAAACGAAATGCAAAAAGAAGCCAAGCTACTCTATAGACGGACATCGTGCCGCGGGGCACTTGCCGGGTATGTCGCTCGGCGCTGGGACGGCGCCGGATCGGACATGGCTTGCAGGAGTGGTGGTGGGGGTTCGAGCGCCAAATACAAGTTTTCCTCTTATTAATGCTGAACGTTGCCCATTGTTTACAGGTTAGTTGCTGATGAGGAAAAAAAGTAGCCTAGTCAATGGAACCGAATCCTTTCTCTCTCTGCCTACATACTTCATTCGCCAGTGACGACAGTTGATATTCTTTCCTATGTTGCCTTTCATGTTGATCTGCAGTCAGAAAGGATCTTATCTCCCCAAGGTCCTATGAATTCCAAGCGGACCACAGTGAAAAGCAACGCCTGATCCTTCTTGCCCTGCGTCATGTCGAACCATACATCTGATGCAGATTCGGTTACCGACATTGAGTCGCAACAGTCGCCGCAGCTCTTCCGTTCTGTGTCTAGAGCGTCTGGTGCGGACATCTTTTCCGAGCCTGAACATGGCCATGGAGCAGCAGTCCTTGAAGCCAAAGATGGCACGGTAATGCGGCAGACCAGTGCGCCTGGGACCCAGGATGTTGAAGAGGACATGTACAACCGGTTTACTGGTAGACAAAAGTTTGCCATTGTCTTCATTCTCTCCTTCTGTGCTTTCCTGTCCCCAATTTCTAGCACAAGCGTTCTGGCGGCTACCCCAGAGGTAGCAAAGGAGTTTCATACCACGGGTGCCATTATCAATACCAGTAATGCTGCATACATGGTGTTTATGGGCTTCTCCCCTATTGTCTGGGGCCCAATGAGCCAAGTGTTTGGACGGCGACCTGTTCGTTTAAGCGCATTGATCATGTCAGCTGCCGATATACTAACATCTGTTGCAGATTATTCTAAACACTGCCATTGTGTTCTTCCTTATGAGTTTGGGAACCGCACTGGCTCCCAACTTGGCTGCATTCTTTGCATTTCGTGCGCTCTCCGCGTTTGAAGGCACTTCTTTCATCCTCCTGGGAGCTGCTTGCATCGGGTACGTCATCATCACGAATCTTTTCAGCCTGTTACTAAGTTGATAGTGATATCTATCGACCAACAGAGCGAGGAACTGCTCTTGGATGGTTTCTTTCTGGTACTGTTAGCGGGCCTGCATTTGGCCCCTTCCTCGGTGGTATCATCGTGACTTACTCTTCATGGCGTACGATTTTCTGGCTTCAAATGGCGCTTGCTGGAGCTGCGGGCATCGGGGTTTACTTCTTTGTGCCAGAGACTATTCACCGCAAGCAGATAACAGCGCTTGCGGGATACTCCCGTACAAAGAAGGCAAAGGCTGTGATAAGCCTGATCAACCCCATTCGCGTTATAACTTTGTTTAAGCATCCGAACCAACTCCTTGTCGCCGCTGCCGCGGCAGCTCTCGTCTGGAACATGTACAGCTTGTTGACTCCTATCCGATATGTCATCAACCCCCGCTTCCATCTGGATTCGCCTCTCTTGTCTGGTCTGTTTTATCTTGCTCCTGGGTTTGGCTACATTGTAGGCACTTTTGGAGGAGGCAGATGGGCGGACTACACTGTCAAGAAATGGATAAAGAAGCGCAATGGAGTCCGCATTCCAGAAGACAGATTACGATCTGGGCTTCCCTTTCTGGGAGTGGTGATACCAGCAACCATCTTGATATATGGTTGGTCAGTGGACAAGGCTGTTGGCGGTATACCAGTTCCAGTTATTGCGATGTTTGTTCAAGGCGTCGCCCAGCTCTTCGCATTCCCGTCGGTCAACGCTTACTGCCTAGATGTGATGCCTGGCCGCAGCGCTGACGTGACCGCGGCCAATTATTTCCTTCGATACATGGCAGGCTGTTTGGTGACGGGTATCGTCTTACCAGCCATTGACAGCATTGGACTTGGTTGGTTTTCCACCATCAGTGCTGTCATTTTGATTATTTCTGCGGTTGGCATCTGGGTAACGATTCAAATGGGATGTGCCAAGGCAAAAGGAATCAAAGCTCCATGCAATGCAAATGAAGAAAGTACTCGATGAGGGTTACCTATGGGAAGAAAGCACACTCTCACAGGACTGTCCTGAGCAATTGTGCATTGTTGAGGCTTGGCGCGGCTGTTACATATTGTCAACCATAAACCAAGATCAATCAAATTCGTGGTAGGCCATGTTAAATGCTGAATGTCTATCTTGGAGAAGCATCTTCCATGCCTGAACATTAGTTAGCGAAGGGTGAAACGCGTCTCTTCAACATCGCGCGACGAGCACATTCCAGCGGCACCCCTCAGGTTCACGACCGTAATAGAAACCAACAATGATATAAATTAAATCGGTGAAAATCTATCGGGTCATACTGATAGAAGGAATCTATTGTGGATCGGTCGAATAAATGCAAATTGAAAATCGAAACGAGTATGGCCCCTTGCGTTAGCAATAAAGACAGGGAAGCGACCGATGGTGGTGATTAGCACGGAAAACACAAACGCAAAGAGGGACTATCACGGCCACTGTACGGATTGGCTTTTTTTAATAGCTAAATTTTCATAAATAATAAATGCCCATGTCATGACTTTTGGTCGAGTGATGTGCGAGAATATCATGGCTTTAATCTCAGCACGCAGATGCGTTGTGCTGTAATCTCGAACAATGCGCAACAACTGAGTTCTTGAACATGAAAGTCGTAGGCTAATTTGATGAAATTGATGGGATTTGGCTCCCACCTTCCTATCAGTTTCATACCTTCCCTTTTGCCCTGAAATCCATTTGCCTGGCCAGCTGCCAGGTGCTGGCAGCTGGCCACCATAGGCTGTCGGCTGTCTCACTCCAGTGCTCACCAAAATCCTTCACATCATCATGTTACGGCCCGCGTCCACGTCCTGAGAATCTTTGTTGAATCAAATCCTCATCCTTTTGTTTCAAGTTACTCTACTCACTTCTTTGTCGAAAACCCTTGTTCAAATCATCTTCTTTCCTGTTCCCTTTAACAATATACTCCCAATCGATGGCTATCTCCCTTGACAAATGACCTGTCTAACAGCCACCCTTACTTCAACGCAACTAGTACCGGGCTCCTCCCAAGACCAAACATTCCTTAGGATTAAATCGGATTATTTTAACTAATCCGTTTGGTCGCCACCCGCTATTCACTAACCTGTCTTGGGCATATTTGTTTTTACCAGCACGCTGGGCTAACTACCCTGCCTGCCTCGCGACTCTGAATCCTCCGGTCTAGGAGTGCGCACGCGAAGGCCCCTCCATAGTTTGTTATCACTCATAATCGCGTCAGTCGCGGTGATTGCAACTCTTACTCTACAAGCCACGCTTCGACAATATCCTGTCAACTTGAGCTGAGAGACAGTCAGCGCAGCAGGTTCTCGCAATGGAACCTAGCCTGAGTGGAAGCAGCCGATCCAGCTCGTCATCCTCAGTCACCCGCAAGGCCGAGTTTTCGAATCCGACACTTTTACCGTATGGTAATACCAAATATTCGAGAAAGATGCGCTACGCTACTCGAAATCCGTTAGCCAACTCGCTCTACAGGCGAGTGATTGTCTGGGCTATTGCTGCTGCAATTACGTATCTCGTCTTTTTTTCCGGTGAAAGAGATGTACAAACTGTCACAGTTGTTAAAAATCCAACAACTCCGGTTGATCAGATGATGGAAGCGGCTGCTGCTGTGGCAGAAGCCGGAGTTGCACCACAAAAGGCTGCCATGGTTCACGAGATGGCAGCTCCTGCACAGCCAGCAAAGCCAGCACCAAATATGAACAAGAAGAAGAGGCCACCACCTAAAAAGAAGCCAAATTCCCTTGCTGAACTCGCTAAAAGCAATGCAAAGCTTGAGGTGGAGCGCCTGCTACGGGAAAAAGAGAAGGCAGACAAGAAAGTCAGCAACAAAATCAACGACGATAACGACGACGAAGACGGTGATGATGAGGACGAAGTAGAGGAGAAATCCGCCGATGTTCCTATTCCAGCCGAGCAAATCGATGGCCTTCCTTCAGTACAAAACTCTGACACTGACATACCTGAGGAGGAATACCGCCCACAATACTCAGACGAAGAAGACTTGTATGATGAAAGGCTTGCCGATGGTGACCTCGACCATCTTGTCGGCATTCGACCAGAACTTATTGCCAAGGCAGTTTCCAACTTCAAGTTAATGCCTTGGCTGCAATTTCCGCAGTAAGAAGAAGTGTGCACTTTTACTTTTGACTGCCATGCTAACAGTCGGCAGCTTGAACGGATACTTTCACGGTCTGAAAACACTGGTCGATAAAGCGCGCCATAATCCAGAATACCCGAACGAAAAAGTTCGCGCACCTTTCAAAGGTGGTGTGAATTTGAGGAGAAAGGTACCCAAGCCTGTCCCGTACAACCCTTATGCCAAAGACCCGAAAAGGAAAGAATGTTTTCTTGACGCAGGCGGGAAGATCCCCGCTCCGAATCTGTATGCCTATGAGGGTGTACCTGAACATATGCCCGATCCTGCTATAGGAGCATATGATATTCTTGGCATTCGTGATGATGTCTGTTTTGATCGTTTCGGCCGATACGGTCCGTATGGTCTGGGATACTCTTTGGCGGAAGGTGGTACTGGCATAGGCGTCGACACTGAGAACGCTGGAAGTGACGAAGTGTGGAGAGAAAGTGGTCAAATTAATTACTCCAAAGTCGACTGGGGGGAGGCCCAGAAACGATGTGTTGAATCGAATTCCGAGCGATTGCGCCAACTCGACCCTAAAACAGGTGAACTCGAACGAATGGTGAAAGGGAAGACGGACAGGATGGCTATTGTTATCCGTCTTTACACTGGCTTCCGATGGACACATCACTCCGTGTTGAACTTTCGCGCCTTGATCAGCGAGCTCAACCTCAAAGCTGGAGGCGAGTACGATCTTCACTTCTTGTTACATGTACAAGACGACAATATTCCCATCTGGGCGGATAAAATCACCGTTCAGCGTGTGTTGGATGCCAATGTCCCCAAAGAATTTCATGGGCTAGTCACAGTATGGAGCGAATCTCAGATGAGATTGTGGTACCCTGGCGACTTCATGGAACCGTTGCAAAATCCCAGTGGCCGAGACATCCACGGTGTCTACCGCAGCGCGCATCTGCCTCTTCAAGTGTTTGCTGTCGAGCATCCCGAATACAACCATATCTGGAATTGGGAGATGGATATGCGATTTCTTGGAAGTTACTATGAATTTTTTGATAGGTTGGGTATATGGGGCAAGAAACAGCCCAGAACTAACATGTGGGAGCGTAGTGCACGATACTATATCCCCTCATATCACGGGAACTGGGACAACTTTAGCGCAACAGCAGCTAGAGATGCAATGGAGGCCGACCAACCTCCTGTCTTTGGCCCAGCATGGTTTCCCGGAAAGCTTCTCTTAAGAGAGGAGCAGTCAAACCGACCAGTGATGCCTCCAGGATGTTCCCCTCGCGACGACCGGTCCTCCTGCGGTGTAGGCGAGGACGCAGATTTGATCACCCTGAACCCTATTTTTGATACAGACGATTCTGGCTGGGTATTTTCGTTAGATGTCACCGGATACGAAGCCTCGCCACCTCGGAGATGTGCGATTATCACGGCCTCTCGTCTCAGTCGTCGTTTGCTCCTCGCCATGCACGAGGAGGTTTGGCGCTACCATCGCAGTATGTTTTCGGAAATGTTTCCCACAACTGTAGCCCTGCATCATGGATTTAAGGCTGTCTACGCCCCGCATCCAGTATACCTCGACCGCGCGTGGGATCCAGTGGGCTCCTCGATTGACGCTGCCTTCAATGGTGGAGCTGGACACTCGACCTCTGGTTCTGGAAGCCCGTTCGATGTTCAGAATGAGCATAACCACAAAGGCACATCCTGGTATTTTAACAGTGAATTTGCAGGGCTACTCTGGCGAAGATGGCTAGGGTATGCTCAAATGGACGGTCGTGGTCCATTTGGTGGACAGATTTCTAAGGGAAAACAGCGTGGTGGGCGGGAGGAGGAGCAGGCCGCAGGATCGACAGGTCGCATGTGTCTCCGAAGCATGCTCTTTCATCCTATCAAGCACGAGGAACCCACTGATTAAAGGTAAAGGGGAAGACCAATGCAACGGTAAACAAAGATGGAGTAGGTCGGGTCCTTTGCTGTTGAGGCTGGTGTGACTAGAGCTCACCATCCCGGTATGGCCATTTAACAATCGCACACCTTGTAAAATACAGACTACAATTATATTTATAAAGCTTGAAATATTGTTTAGACACCCAGTTACCATATTGTTCTTAGTAGAGTTGCATCCGTGACTTCGCACATGTCAGCCACGCAGATAAGCCCTTAGCTAGGACGAGGAGCAAAGAGATTTTTCGGGAACTTGATCGTATATAATATCGGGTTCATGGTGCTTTCAATATAATTCCCTACACTACAAATAATGCAGTTGTAGACCATTAATCGTGATGATAAGCTTTACGCTAAAGGCGCCAAGACGGGATCTAGCAGAGCAATCAACACTGGAGTCTTCGGTGACTATTAGACTCAAGCCAGATTTCCCAATGATTCCAAGTCGATCTTTTGGCTTGATATATGACATCAATCTGGCAAGCCTCATTGTGCGGGCGAGCTTGGCGTCTCAGCCGAGAACATTGGAGTCGCAAGTCGTCAGTAACAATGGCATGGGCGGGTTCTGCAACTGACCCGGCGCAAGGAGAGATGTTCTGTGGGTGGCATTGATATTCATTGGCGTCTAACAAGCCTCGCTAAATGTATGCGGGGAACTTCCGGTGTTGCAATACAATATACAAAGCTACTTTAGCTGGGATTGGCTACAGTACGAGCCTGAGATGGCATGCCCCATACTACGCCCCGCGTTTATTAGCCCTTTGAGATGGACGATGCCTGCCTATATCCACCTTCTTCAACATGCGATTGCATTGAATTTAGTGTTCTTCTTGCATGAGCATAGTTGATTCATTCCTTCTTGATAATCATAAACATAAGCTGGCTATTTGGCGATAAAATATACTATGTGTGGGCTCCTTCTACCTCAGAAGAGTCTTCTTCGACAATCTTATGCCGTCATATCTCATTAACAGCCTGGCAAGACAGCCTCGACTTTTGTCCCGTTGATCCACGTCTTAATTTGATGGGCTGTACGCCATGTTTCCGCAAAACTCGGCCGAGTTTCTAAGCGAGGCAGCAATGGGCATGCACCAGCACGAAGAACACGGATAGGACGGATCCCATCTAGGTCCAGACAAGGTAGCTTGACGGCCGAGTTCGAACCTGATCCGCGATATGCAAGCTGTCAAAGCTGTCACTATGCATCTGCCGAAGGCTGCAACCCTCAGATTGCATTGCCCAATACTCACTCTGCAGTGACAGTGATCGACCGTTGGCAGTATCTGCAGCCGACCTGCACCGGAGACATTGCTGTATCACCCGAGCTCCGATGAGGAAGAGATACCTCAATTAACCCGTGTTGATACCCAACCGTCGCCCGTGTTTCACGTGGTACAGTCCAACCTGGCCCAACCTTGGAAACTGGCCACGCTCTGGCTTCAAACTCGTCCGATATTCGACCCGTCTCCTCTGCTCGACTTGGCTTCTCAATGTACGATGCAATTTTTCAAGGCCTGTTTCCATCAACTGTTATGACCTAGTTGATGGTTCTACATTGTCATAACGGTACACCCTCTTTGTCGACATCACCGCATCCTCATCCTTCGATCGATCCCCCGACATCGACAGCACCAGCGACGACACTAGCCCATTTCTTCCGGAAATGCTTTCGAGAACCATTCGCTTAGCTGCGCAGGATCTTGTGTTAGCAAGTCAAAGTCGAATGATGCGATTGGATCTTGTGCCGGGGCAGGAGTTGGGACCGTGGGATGCGGCGGTTGCGGCGGTTGCATCATGTCCTGGTTTGGAGAGCCGCTAGCGTCCGATGTTGCTTCTCGGTTCGTGAGTGAGAAGAGTTGGAATAGAAGGCGTTCTTCTTGCATTATACCCTCCGCATCTCCTACCCCCTCGGCACCACCCTGGCCACGCATGGCTCGCAAAACGACATTTTCTTCCGAAGCGATAAAAAGGTCGATCAGTCTCGCAGCCTTCGCGGCCGGGACATCAGCTCGGCGACGCCGGAAGATCGCGGCGACGCTACTCAGCAGCTTGCGAAGGAAGTTGGCCTGTTCATCTGAATGCGAATCACGATACAACAGTTCGAGGCCAAGAATGACGACGGCGCAGATGGTCGCGGCTACGGTGGTCCATATGGCTATTCCTCCACCACCTTCGTCCCAGATTCGTATGAATTCTGTTGCTGCCAAGGTAGCCGCGGCGACACAGGTCTTTCTGTTGTCCAGAAACTTGTCGGTCTGGAAAGCGTGAGGCAGCAGCGGCCTGTTTATATAAACGCGTTTGTCTGCACCCGCAATCATTGTGGTTCGATGAGCTATCGGCTTCCATGGGTACAACCGCTCTCCGGGTTTACTAGTACGCAGCATGTCAATGGGGAACTTCGCCTGCACCGCCTGCAATAGTTCAGTGATGAGAGCGATTTGCTTCACAAGATCGGCATGAGACTTCCGAGTTCGCATGGAGCCGAGTCGATCTAGCCAAGGCGGGACTGTGGTCGAAAATCGTAACATTTGTCGAATATACCATGTCTCGGTGAACTGATCGTCTGGCTTGCTTATCATATCTACGTCGTCGCAGTTCATCGGAGGAGCAGTTGAGAACTGGCGGAGGTTTACGGCTAAAATTTCACCTGCTGTTAGCGTCTAGACCAAAGGCAAACTGACGTAAGGACCTACTATATATCTCCTTGTACGGATACGCAAGATAGTCTTGGATTAAAAGCTGCGCCCATGTGCGTTTTCCCACCTCGCGTTCAACTGTTTCGAACCAAACAAGCTCTGGGGCGAGGGCTCCATGTCGCGGATCGAATGCTTCAGGTTCACGGATGCGGTGCAGGTCCATACTTTGTGCTATGCCAATCGCGGTCGACAGCAGGTTACCTGCCAAAGTGGTTTGACCAATACTGTGTGCAAATCGTTGCGACACGATGATAGCCTGGATGCTAAACACTGCGAGTAGTCAGTATCCAAAATTCGCAAGGATGATGTAGGTTACGTTGACATACTGGATGGATGTTCCAGAAAGTTTTCTTGAGATAGGATCCGGACCATTTCGCGATACTGTCTCTCAACAGAACTTTCATCCAATACTAGCCTCGTCAGCATTCAAATGCTTGCCTTGCAATCGTCCCAAAGCACCTACCGAGTCCAAGCTTTTCTGCTTCCTTGGGAGCGTTAAGCAGCGTCCATACTGATGCCTAGAACGATGTCAATTAGCGCCCACGTGCAGCGCGTGCAACGAAACGCACCGTGATAACAGAGAGATAGAAAGCAGTCCAAAGTGGGTGCACCACCATACCCGAGGTCCAAAATGCTTCGCACTGTTGCCAGAACGTCGGAGCATGGGCTACATGGTGATGCCACCATAGGGACGAGATGTGGAAGTTGACTAGCTTTTGAGCGTCTGCAACCGATGGAAATACACCGATATTCGTGGAAGCAAACGACCAGATTACGGCTGGGCTATTTATATCGGAGTTAATGGATGCCACCTCAGCGTAATCGCGGATTTGCTGACACTGGCAACCTCGACGATGAGGGAAGCAATAGCTTGACGGCCTAGACCAAATCTGTGCTTCGAGTTCCATCATACCCGTTGTATTATCAAATGATGATGCCAGCTGGGGAGTCGTGTGGTCCGCGGACGAGGGAGGTGGTCCTTCAACACGAAAATCCGGCTTAAAGTCGCCCTGTACTGGAGCTTCCGGTGATGCATCCGGAACGGGCTGCTCGGGAGATTCTGCGTTGGAAAATTCGTTGCGGATACCGAGCACGTCAATGGCATCAACTCGGTGGGTGATGGCTTCTTTTATAAGCTTCAAGCCGTCGGGTATGTCAAGCATGTCGGTGAGCCCTAGAAGAAATCGGACTTCATCGCCTCTCTCGGCCCCTCGCGCAACCGCTTTGCTGGTGAAGACAAGCTCGCGGGCGCAATGTCGGTTGAGGCGCGCACATCGCGAACAGGGAATCTTTTTGTCGCATTTAACTTTGCGAATAGTGCATTCTTTGAGCCGGAAAGCACGGCTACTGGTTAGCAAACTGTACACGTAGGAATGACGTATAACGATTGTAAATAATGCTCTTTGATGTTGACTTACCCTGACAAGCTTGGGGTTGGCGTTGCGAAACCCGGGGTTTGCCTTTGCCAGTGCCACCCTTGATAGTCGTAGATGTAGTGGGATTTATGTGGCCCGCCAGTGATTGAGGCGACTGAGAATCTTCCATGGTGGTGGTGATGATGTTTGCTTCCGCGGCTGTGTCTCTGTCGAGGTCTGCAGCCGGAACGCTGGAGAACAAAGAGCTTGAGGTGCAGGCGGAGACGAATATGGCGACGGATGAGGAGTTGGCGATAGCTAGGTCAGCGTCAGAAGGGCTTTGTAGGCTGAGGTAGTGAAATTTAGCGGACTTTAGACTGTCACGCCCCCGCACCGGCCACTTGGGCAGCCGAGGATTCCCAGAACAGGCGCATTTAGGACGCCATTCTGGAGGAATGGCATGCGATTCGCACTAACGCGCCGCATCCTACGAAAACCGTGCTCTTGATGAATCCGATTGGCTATCCATCTGGCCACCAGGTAGAAGATGCGTCTGCGACCTAGCACCAGCTGGCACTGTACAAACGCTACGGATAATTGATTTGATAGCAGAATGGGTGGCAAAATAAAACAACCGCAAGAATAATATTTTACATGCCACTTATCCGGTAGTAATACTACGTTGTTGCAGATCTCTTGTTGTCGCACCAGTTAAGCGTTAGAGGTAGACTCCGTTCAACTTTGAGAGGCAACAGTGAGTAGAACAATACATAGACGCAAATGCCACCAAAAAAACAAGACAGGTCCAACACCGACTCCAAAGATGAGGCTCGCTCACACACTGAACTTTGGGCTGTGACGCCACCACGGCTCACACCGTTCTCAATTCTAACAGCAATGCTTTGAATCATGCTGGTACATCACATCCCAGCGGTACGATACCTCCACAACCGCCTGTCATGTGTATCGATGGATGTAGTCGGCAAAGAGACGCCCCCTCGCTTGCATATCAGTCTCGGCGCTACAATATCGGGGGACTTCATAATGATCAGAAAACTCAGATACAACGCTACTGCCGGCGGCTGTGTAACAGGTCTCAAATAAGCGAGCTGGTCGTTATTCGCATGCCGTGTTGGATTTGAGAACCAGGATTGGTCAACAACACTGCCTCTAGTTAATCTAAGAATAGACGACCAAAGCCGTATTATGGGATGCACATCTTTGCCGAGTCACGGGCAAGCCACCATACAGACCACCTCCCGATGGTCCGGAGGGAGACTTTGCCAAGCTGAGTTTACTGTGGAATACCACAAAAACTAAGGTGATTCTAGGAGAATTCTTTATCACTGGGGCTTTTACAGTGATTTAACCAAGGTTCTCGAGAGCTGTGTTCCCGTGATCTGATTGCAGAGTGCGCTGGTACAGATCTACTCCTGGCAAGCATTCCCACAAGTCCAACTGGTCCAAGTCGGGATAAACGATATTTAATCAGCGTCACTCAAAGCCGAGTTTATGCTATGAGCCTTGGTCAACAATATCAATCGAACAGCTTATTCAAGTATATAGAACAATATATTTATATAACATGGAGTGTACTATTTCTATACATTGGAATAGCCCTCCTTGAAACTACTATTTATACAGACTACAGCTTCCTAAAGAAGAGCTATAGCTGCAGCTGCAGCAATGACAAAGGAGCCTGCGACAGCCTTGCCAGCACCAGCGGTAGATGTGCTTTGGGAGGCGCTCTGAGTCTTAACTCCAGTGCTGTTGGTCTTGCTGTTGTCGCTGGATTGGCTGGGGGCAGCGGTAGTTGAAATGGGAAGCGTTACGGCGCTGGCGGTGCCGCTGAAGAAGCTTGACGCGGCCACAACGTCTTTGCTGGTCTCGGCTGGTTTGGGAGCGGCTGTGGTGGTCACAGGCTTGCTGCTGGGCGCGGCAACAGTGGGAGTAGGCGACACGACAGGAGCAGTGGCTTGACCAGCTTTCTTGAAGCAAGAGAGATATGAAGCACTGGTGGCACGAGTAAGAGTGCCCTTGTAAGCAGCACATCCGGGGACGTCGGTCTTGACGGGTGCACGGCCGCCGCCGCAGTCGAGGGGATCGCAGATCATGCCATCATCAGGGTCAAACCAGTGGACAATTCTGTCTTCGCAGGTAGTGAAGGAGTGGAACTCGCACGAGACGGCGGCGACGGGAGACGCCGCCATTAGCAGAGGAATGGCGGCACAGAGGAAGTCAGAGGTGCGCATTTTGAACAATGGTTGAAATACAAAGATGAGGAATGATCATGAAGCTGTACAATGCGAGTCAGAGGCAGAATGGTCTTTTCATCTCCTGATGCTCTACTGGGTCTCTCGCCCCTTGTGTCTCCCTGACTAGCCAAACGAGGCTGTGGTAATTCTACTGGACGAACGGGGCGCTTATGGAGTTAAAATTGGACATCTCAACCTGTCCACAGCTTCGCCCCTATAAACGCCCGAGGTCCAAGCTTCTAGGCTCACTGGACTGGCCCAGACAACTGTGGCGCGCTGGAGCTTCCCATCGCAGCGGGTCTGACGCGCCTTGAATTCTGCTGGGATATAATGTTTGGGGAAAGAAGTTGTTCAGCCAAATATAAAGTAAGTTTGCGCCATGCCCCGCCCCTGCTGCTAAGCGTTGTAGGTTGCGAGACGAACGCTCAGTTGAGTTAGCTCCTCGCGCTAGGCTATAGAGAGGCTAGAGCGGCGTCCAGCACAGTGCAGGATGATCGCCGTTACAAAAGGTGGCAACCCGTCAATTTGTCGCTAGTCTGCCCCTTTAACGGCAATTGTAAGTAGATGAGTTATAAACCACTAGGCAACAGTACGAGGAATTGAATCGGTGCCTGTCGGGAATTAAATGCTGCAATTTGGGGCGCAGGGAAACCACCAGGGGCAGACGATCGTTGCCCTACCACAGCTGCGGCTGGTGCACTGTGCTGCGGCCTATCAGACTGTAATTGAAACGGAAAGCCCAGGAGCTAGACCTCCGCTGTCCAGGCGTGTTTCTGGGGCATTGTAAAAGTTCCAGCGCCATGCTGAAAGGGGCAAAAAAGCTGCAAAGTAGCGTCCGAGCCCTCCGCAGCAAAAAGTCCGTTTGAAACAAAATCAGTGTTGTCCCTTTTTGTAGCCTCGGTGGTCTCCATAGCATAGTTACGACTGTGTTGGGCAACTACTGTGAAATGGCATCACATCACATGGAATTATGGGATGCTAATGGTCGATAATTCACTCTCTTCTTGGACCAATACGTGCTCGTATAATTGCCAGCTCAACAATTTACAGCGCCTCTACGCGTAGCGGCGGTAGGGCAGCCCCGCAGCAGCCAGACAGTGTAACGGATATGTCGGCACACAGTGCGCTGCTAGCATGTGAGGTGCCCGCTATGCCGTCAATCAAAAGTGCAGCTGTGCTTCGATGCCGCCTCATCTCCCCAACTGGCCGTCCGACCAACCTTGTCTTCGTCCCGTCACTCGTCTTTTCTTCTCAGCTGAAATCCCGTATTCTTCTCTTCTATTTTTCTTCTCCTTTCTTATTTTTACTTCTTACCGTCACCATTGACCGCAAATCTCCGTCATCCATTACACTCTAGCTCCAGCTAACCCCTCCAAGCTGTTGTTGGGAGGCGCCCCCAGACCGCCTAACACTCCAAACATATTTCGCCTCACGCGACCACCAAGACATCATGAAGTCCAAGTCGGGCAACTCGTCCCCCCCTGGGGAATCTAACTTGGGACTGGCACTAAAAGTCGTCATCATGAAGGTATGTTGGCCTTTTACAAGACACCCGCGCACCCGCGAAGCTAACTGCTCGCCCAGGCTCGAGATCTCGCTGCCAAGGATCGATCCGGAACATCAGATCCTGTAAGTAGACCATTAATCTTTATTGCAGACTTGTCCAACTTCCTGAGTAACGGTTTAAGACTAATCTCACTTTTTTTTCCTCCTTTAGTATCTCGTAGTCACGCTCGGTGACGCTCGCATCGTTACACATTCTGTTGCCAAAACTCTCGACCCAGAATGGAACGTCATCCAAGAACTCCCGGTCAATTCAATCAACAGCCTCGTGCTCGATGTTATATGCTGGGATAAAGATCGGTTTGGAAAGGATTACATGGGCGAATTCGACTTGGCACTGGAAGAGATTTTCCAAAACGACCGACCAGAACAAGAGCCACGATGGTACCCGCTCAAGAGCAAACGCTCTGGCAAGAAGAGCAGCGTTGTTTCCGGAGAGGTCATGCTGCAGTTCACTCTGCTTGACAACTCTGACCGCTCTGCTTCTTCAGAACAGATTATGGAAAAATTGCGCAACCTTGCCGGCTCCGTGCCAGTAGCAGGCGTGCGATTGAGCCCTTCATCTACCCCGCCAATGACGTCGGACCCAATTACAAAGGTCAAGTCTGCCTCTGCTGACGGAACAGCCGACGAGGAAGATGAGGATGATCTGTCCGACGATGAAGACCTACAAGATGGCGACGATCCTTCAAAGCCAGAAACGGCTGAGAAGCGTCGACGTCGCCTCAGAATTAGAGGTCTGAAGCGAAAGAATCGTAAGAACCCATACGCCTTCACCAACGGAGGGTCTGACGTTGTCGGAATCATCTACTTGGAAGTTTGCAAAATCACTGATCTGCCACCGGAGACCAACCTCACCCGCACCGGCTTCGACATGGATCCCTTTGTGGTGACATCACTTGGCAAGAAGACTTACCGCACTAGACACATCCGCCATAACCTCAACCCAGTCTTTAACGAGAAGATGATCTTCCAGGTCCAAACCCATGAAAAGGCATACAGCTTTGCTTTCACTGTTATTGATCATGACAAATATTCTGGGAATGATTTTATTGCATCCTGCGACTTGCCTATCCAGGATCTGGTCAAAAAGGCACCACAGGCGAACAGCGAGACAGGCCTATACGACCTCCGAGAGCCTGTTGAGCCTGCACCTGTTGCTGCAAAGACAAGACTGCAACGCATGGGACTCTCACGTACCCCCTCGTCACAGAGCCTCTCGAAGCTACGTCCCACCGTTTCCAAAGGCTCGTCGTCTGGTACGGGAACTCCAGCACAACAGATTTCTATCGACCCTGCCACGCTGCACGCCTCGTCAGTCAATCAGGCTCTCCTCATCCCCGCAGATGCTCTTGCACACACCGCGGTTCCATCTGCCGATCCTATCGTAGATGTCGAGGATCCTGATTTCCATGAGTTCTCCATTCCTTTGAAGATGAAGAATGTCGAAAAGTGGGAGGCAAAGCACAATCCAGTCATATATCTCAAGGCCAAGTATATGCCTTACCGCGCATTGCGACAACAGTTCTGGCGAGCCATGTTGAAGCAATACGACACGGATGAAAGCGGTCGTATCAGCCGCATCGAGCTCACGACGATGCTTGATACACTTGGTTCTACTTTGAAGGACTCCACCATTGATAGCTTCTTCCAACGATTCCCGCATAAGGCTGGCGATAATGAGGAAACATGGGATCTTACATTCGATGAGGTTGTCATCTGTCTTGAGGACCAGCTTGAAAAGAGGAGCCAGCCAAAGTCTGTTGTAGAGAAGGCTAAGAGCCTTCTCCCAGACCTTAAGAACCTTGGCATCAGCAATGAGCCTTCTGGGAACCCCACGGACGTCTCTGGCACATCTACACCTCAGATTGGCGACTCGCCTTCCGTAACTCTTGCAGAAGACGGAAGTGACGGCGATAGAGACGATGAGGAACATGTGATTGAAATTCGCGAATGTCCTATTTGCCACCAGCCTCGCCTCAACAAGCGCACCGATACTGACATCATAACCCACATCGCCACATGCGCCAGTCAGGATTGGAAACAAGTCAAGAACGTCCTAATGGGCGGCTTTGTGACAGCCAGCCAGGCCCAGAGGAAGTGGTACTCCAAGGTCATTACCAAGATTAGCTATGGCGGCTACAAGCTCGGCGCCAACTCAGCCAACATCCTCGTCCAGGATCGTCTGACTGGCCAAATCAACGAGGAAAAGATGAGCGTCTACGTTAGACTTGGTATCAGACTGCTCTACAAAGGCCTGAAGTCGCGAGACATGGAAAACAAGCGAATTCGCAAGATGCTCAAGAACCTGAGCATTAAGCAGGGCAAGAAGTTTGACGACCCTGCCTCCAAGGATGAGATTGAAAAGTTCATCGACTTCCACCGCCTGGACATGTCAGAGGTGCTCCTCTCGCTCGATGAGTTCCAGAATTTCAACGAATTCTTCTACCGTGCTCTGAAGCCTGCCGCTCGCCCTTGCTCTGCCCCTGATAGGCCTTCCATCATCGTCTCACCCGCAGACTGCCGAAGTGTCGTCTTCAACCAACTCACACAGGCCACAAGCATATGGGTGAAGGGCCGCGAATTCAGCATGAAGAGACTGCTCGGCGATGCGTACCCCGAGGACGTTGATCGCTTTGATGGAGGTGCCCTTGGTATTTTCCGTCTAGCACCCCAAGATTACCACCGCTTCCACATCCCCGTTGACGGTGTCATGGGCAAACCCAAGACCATTGCTGGTGAATACTACACGGTCAACCCCATGGCTATCCGCTCAGCTCTTGATGTCTACGGCGAAAACGTCCGCGTCGTTGTCCCCATTGATAGCGAGGTCCACGGCCGCGTGATGGTCATTTGTGTAGGAGCCATGATGGTCGGCAGCACCGTCATCACGCGCAAAGAAGGTGAAAAGGTGAAGCGTGCCGAAGAGTTGGGCTACTTCAAGTTTGGTGGCAGTACTATTCTGCTCCTCTTTGAGCCTGGCAAGATGCGCTTCGACGACGATTTGGTGGATAACTCGAGCGGTGCGCTCGAAACACTGGTAAGAGAGAACACGCACAGATCTGTAAATAGCACTACTAACATTTCCTCCTAGATCCGCGTCGGTATGTCTGTCGGCCACTTGCCCACCGAGAAGCAATGGGAGGGTGACATGCCTAAGAGTGAGCACGAAATCACCGAGGAAGAGAAGAGAGAGGCGAAGCGCCGTATTCAGGGCAGCGTCCTCATGTCTGAATCTCCGGATGACAGCAACGGCGAGGAGGGTGTCAACAGACGCAAGTCCATGCCACCCACCATGAGCACCATGGCTGCGTCGACAATGTAGACGGTGCTCCCATTTAGCTGCGTTGTATCTTTCTGTTTATTTGCATAGCATAGTGGTGTAGGTTGGAAAGCCGTCGCGAAGATTTATTCCACGGTCATTTAATGTCAGGTGCATCTTTGAGCGAGGGGACGAGCGATGTCTTTTTTGCATTCTTCTTTTTTGGCTTGAGGCCCTGGTAGCTCTAATTAGTTAGTCAGTCGGTCAGTCAAATACAGCATTCTTTTTATTCAAACATGTCACTAGACTGTGTGTAGATGATCACTGTTCAATGGTTGGTCGGCAAGGTAGTACTAGAGCGGAAGAAGTTACATCGGATATATTAACTGTATGATATGGGAATTGGAACATCAACGCTCGCTGTATCAAACGCCGTGCAGGAATATAATAATAAGGGTAAATAGGGTCTGTAATAAAAGGAAATGTGTAGTACAATGCCATGCTGGGGTGTTTGGCAGTTATTTTGGAGACTTGAGGATTTAGTCAACAATGGCGCTTTCATCCTCCAGAGCAATGACGGGAGCCTTGCGTTCTTCCAAATTGATGTTTTGGCGGGCCTTCTTCTGTGCCTCGACAAATGTGTGCCAGTGGTCAGAGTCGGAGTCTTTCATGCTGCGGACAAAGACATCGTGGTCCTCACGGTAGGCCTGCAAGGCACCCTTCTCTCGGACCTTTTGCAGGAACTCGCCGCCAATATCCTCTGCTAGATCAGTGAGAACACGGGCGTGCTTGGGGTCGGAGCCAATGTCTTCAACTGAAGCAACAATATCGATGGGCTCTTGCTGCTGTTCCGGAACAATGGTGGTGCGGAAACGGTGGCCAGCACGAAGCACGCGAGCCTCTTCTTCTGCCAGCGTCTTGGACAGCATGGAGTTGGATCGCGAGAGGGGCCGTGGGCCCAGTTCACCGTCATCTTCAGCATCAGACAGAATGGCAGCCGAGTCTTCGTGTGTGAGAGTGCGGGTGATGGGGCTGGTACTGAGGACTTCGTGCTTGGGCTGCTCGGTAACAGGGGCAGCCGCTTCTTCACGGGTGTCTGGGAATTCGTCTTCGAAGCGCTTGATGATGCCTTGAAGCGTCTCGTCGAGGAAGGTGAGTTTTCGCAGGTTCATCTCGTCATCAGAGTGGGCGCGCGCCTTGATCAAAGCTGGCTGCAGTCGTTGACGAATCTTTCGGGCACCGGCAAGGAGATGCTTCGACATATCTTTGGCCTTGCCGCCAGTCGCCAGACTTGCCTTAGGGGTAGCGCTGCCGCTGTCTGTTTCTCGCACGAATTCGCCAGATTGGCGGCGAGATTCGTCACCTCCTCTGTTCTCAAGCACGCATTTGAGAGCCTTGACAACGCCAGTGCCTCCAATGACGTAGTCTTCGTCAGGAGCAGAGTCGTTTTCATCGGGACCCTCCTGGGAATCCATGACATCGTGGCCGACCAAATGCACGAGGACGTCGGGGTATGAAGCTGGCTTCGACTCTTGGGCTTCGGCTTGTGAATCTGAAAGCGCAGCTGCAACGGCTGCGCCGATACCAGTATCAGGCATTTGCTCCATATTTCGCAAGCAGTAGGCTACAACTTGTTTAGCCATGGCCTTGACAATCTCTCCAGCCTCGTCACCAGGTACTTCAATATCGATACAGATAATGCTCTTTGACACTCGTGAGGCAGCCATGAGTGACGCAAACAATGCACAAGCTTCTTCTTGAGCTTCTTCAGTCTTAGCATGCGCCAACTTCATAAGCTCTGCATTTTCGAGCAAGTTGATATGGGCCAGCTGGCCGGCTTCGGGTAGGATTTCCACCAAAGCGATAGCTTGTTCAGAAGTCATGTTGACATCTTGCAGGTGGATGCGCTTTAAACTTGTCAATTTGGGTATGTATCTTCGTAGCAGCCCAACCGCACTCGGTTTCGACTGGAAGAGATCATGGTTGTGAGAGAGGTCGATAAACCGCAACATGTTCATCTTGGCCACAACTGGCATTATCTTGCTCAGTGCAGAGGGGTTCAAGTTGCAGCCAGCAAGGCTAAGAGCCCAAAGAGGCTCGGAGTCTGGAAGAGCTGACGCAATTTTGTCCATGTGATCCTTAAGATCATTACCGCCCAAATCAAGTCCTTCACAAAATCCAGCTGCAAGATATCGGCCGAGATGTTCCACTCCCTTCTCGTCTAGATTGTTGTGTGCAAGCCCGAGGCGGGGAATCTTGCACGTTATGATTCCATCCATGATCACGCCGAGCTGATCCATGCTGGGTTCGGTTTCGCCTAAATTAATGATTTCCAAAGTTGATCCGCCCAGTCGATCACTAAGCGCGGTGGCAAATATGTCGGCAATGCTACGTGGAACGTGAACATTGCTGGCCGTCTTGGTCTGTACCGGGGCTTGTCGCGGGAATATGATGTGGGATACGTCCAGTGATTTCAGAGATCGGCACATGTATAAGAATAAAGACAAGTGCTTCCAGCCGTCAGGTCCCAGCTTGTTATTCTTAAGTACCAGTCTCTCCACGACGCCGCCTTGTGGCTGCAGCTCATGCTTTGGCTTGCGCCGTTGGTTGTCAGACTTCTTCGCAGCCAAAAGACCGGCAAGAATAACTCGAAGACCCTCGTCAGTCAGCCCAATATTCTCCAGAAGAACCTCTCGCACAGGTACAACAGCCAGGTAATCTCCCAATGTGATGAGATCAGCCAGCTGCATCCAGTAACCTGTCAAATCGAGCTTGTTTACAACACCAGCTAAGGAAGTGTTCGCAGGGTCCATAAGCTGTTCCGTGATTTTCTTGAGGATCGGCGTTTCACGAAGTTGGCAGCATCGTCTATAAATTCGAACTGGGTTCGTCGTGGGGATCGTAGTGATTCGTGGCGTACCGGCGCTTTCGGGTGTATTCGAGGACGAATCGCTGCTGTCAAAGTGAATCTCCATGGGAATGGAACCGCTATCCTCAGCCAGCCTGCGACGCTTTTCTTTTCTAGCTTTACGTTCTTCTTCACTTCGTTTCTTCTTCTCTTTCTTCTTCGAGCCGTCTTTGTCAGCCGTCTTTTCTTCATCGTTGGGGCTATTGATCTCAGGCGAAGACGGCGGTAATGCTTCCGAAGAACCTGCTGTAGCAACTGGGATGGGATCGACAGTCTTCAGCTCTGCTGGTGGTTCGGTAGACTTGCCCTCCGCTTCCTTTTCTACCTGCTCCTCAACGGCTTTTGGATGTTTCAGCGCCTCGCCTTCGCCTTTCTCTGTGAGTCTTTTCTTTTGCGACTTGTCAATGGGCTTCGGCTGCACTTCGCCGTCAGAATATTTTGGCATTGGCGCAATCTCGACATCAACACAGAAAGAAACTCTCCGCAGCTTGGCCTGTTTCAACTCCGAAATGTTGCATCGTTCACGGTTGCCGTCGACGTTGAGAGTTTTGCGCTCAACGAGGCCATGGTTGAGTCTATTGACGGCCTGGTTGGATGTGCTCGAGGAAGATAGTCTACGGAAGACACCAAGGAGCCCAGCTTGGCCAGACTTGGGAGGAGCAGGAGTGTATGGCGCGTTGCCGTCAGGCTTATTGCCATGCTGGAGCACAGCATTGCGGGAGGGCGAGATCTTGGGCACGGCTGGCTCCTCGGCTATGGTAGGTGAGGCTGGGTGACTTTCGGAGTCAAGAGCTTCGGGTATAGGCGTCGTATCAATTGATTGGGCTGGGCTAGGAGGTATATTTGACTGAGATGGCGGTTGCTGGTTTGGCGGCGATATTCCAGAGCTGGTGGAGGAGAATTTGGCTGAGATGTTGGAGAACCATGAATTGCGACGACCTGGGGGGGTACCCGCGTGTCCATTTTGCTGTTTATCTGTAGAATTAGACCGTGAAAGCCGACGAGACGCAGAGTTTGTATTTGCTGGTGACGTGGGCGATGCGCCTGCCTTGGCGTCTGCTTTTTGTTGAGCTTCGCTGGGTGAGGCTGCTGGTATGACTCTAGGCTGCGTCGCATTTGGGGATTTCGGTGTTGAGTTTACTTTGTTTAGCTTATCTAGAAATAAGAGTTGGCCAGTTAGCAATTCGAACGCTCTGATTGCAGCTCGACAGAGGCCAGGCAAGCAGCGCCATTAAGGAGAAGCGGCATGGCCCTTGAGAAGCCGGGCGAGCGGCGCAAAGTAAGTACCTTTAGGAGCACCTTGTGTCATCCAGCTGACATCGACGCCGTGAACTTGCTCCATGATGGTCAACCGCAGAGGGCGACACAAGCGCGGTCCTCAGGATATTTGGTAAATGGCAGCGCGACGGATGCAAGATGGGCGGATAGATGCTGGCGGCAAGTGGTGGGATGTCTATCTCTTGCTCTATTTTGCGGGGGTGGGCTAGGGTGTCCGTAACGGCGCCAGCGACGGCAAAAGCAGGACGGCTGCTATACGTAAGGGGGAGCAGGGCACGGCAATGCTGCTATTGAGGAAAGAAGATGATCGGTGCAAGTCGAAATAAAAACACAAGTAAGCACCGGGCGAAGACGGGGTGTTGCAAATGATGACGACAAAAAGCAACTACAGCACTCACGCTACCCAAACCTGCAGCGATCAGCTGCTCGCTCGTGTCGTTGGGGGCGAACGTTCTGGTCTCTGTTTTCTGTGCGCCTTGCCTGGGCGGCCGCACGCAGCCAGCCAAAGTCTACGCTGTGGCCCAGGGTTCTACAGCGGCCTTCAGCGGGGGATGGACGCCCCATCCAGGGCTGGACTCTGGGCCTGGGCCGCCTCCCCGTGGGTCCCGCTGCAGGCTGGTCAGCCCAGTGCCAGCGGAACCTCCGGGGGTTCAAGACAGGCTGCCACTGTGGCAAAGTGCGCTATAGCACACCAGCACAAGTAGCAAGACCAATTACCAAATAGCTCGTCAGCAGGCACAGGGTGCTATAGAAGGTGTGTGGGAACAGACATTGGGAGGGTGACGCCTTTCCTTATCCAAACGTGGTAATTTCGAGCCTCTGGCTTTAATTTCTTAGCCACCGTTTGGTCTCTGGTCGCCTTGCGGCGGCATAGGTACTTGTAGCGAGCGGCATTAGATGTAGGGGCCAGGCACATAATGGCTCAAGCTATTAATTTCACCATGACAAATATAAATGTGCTGTAAAGAGCCGTTATATATGAGCAAGCTTGCCTTAGTTAACTTAGTTTATTTCCTTTCATTCGCCTACTGAATCCCGATGCAAGAATCACACTTCAATTGGCGTTGGTTAGTTACCGAACAAGTCGTTATCTGTGGTTAGTGGCCAGCCGCAGCGACGCTGTCGAACGACGTTATGCTTATCTTAATGATCGACCACTGGTCGGCATACATCACAGTGCTGTAGGAAAGCATTCATTGGGAAGGTATCAAAAAGTGCGTGTTTTTATTCGTCTCAACATGAGTATGGACCGTTGCCTTCCTTTCAAACTCCAGACCCAAGTGGGAATCAATGCATCTGCAACCCCATTTTATCATCGAAATACAACCCCTTACTCGTCCTGAGCAGCAAGGAGAGTCTTGATCTTCTCCTGGACGCGCTCCTCCTTCTGGGCCTTGGTGAGCTTGGTGGCTCTGTACTTCTTGGAGATAGCCTTCCACTCCTCCTTGGACTTCTTGGGCTCAGAAGACTCAACCTTCTTGAAGGGGTCCTCGCGGATGGCAGCGTGGGCCTCAGTGTAGAGCTCCTCAAGGGACTCAGCCTCGACATCATCCTCGATGTACATCTTGAACTGGCCCTGGTAGCGCTCCTCATCGTCGTCGGCGAGGGTCTCCATGTACTCAGCGACGTGACCGCCGTAGATGTAGTTGCGGAGGACATCAGCGTCGAGCTCCTTGGTCTCCATGTCGTAACCGGGGAAGCGCTTCTCGGAGTGGGGGACGAGAATGCCACCGTCGGAGGCACCCTTGAGGGCACCGAAGACACGGGCACCGGTGGAAGTGCGGGCAAGACCGACATCCAGGAAGGCCTTGAAGGGGCGGCGCTCCTCGCCATCGTGCTCAGCAGCCTCGGTGAGGGTGAACTCACCATCAGCCTCCTCGACACCAGTGAAGGACTCGTCGAGGCCGAGCTTCTTGAGGGCACGGCGGGCGATCAGGAGACCGGTAGCGTAGGCAGCGGCCCAGTTGGTAAGACCGTGGTTGATGCCGTAGGCGCGGAGCTCGTGGGCGTAAGCAGCGCAGAAGATCTTGTCGCCAGTGATCTCAGAGGTGACGAGCTGCATGATGATGTCCTTGTTGGTGAAACGGACAACGAGTCTGTACTTGGGAGCATTGTACTTGTTCTTGGCCTGGGTGATGAGGCGCTTGCGGGCGTAGTAGTCGGTCTTGCCTTGTCTGCGGCGCTTGAACTTGGTCTGGAAGCGGCTGTGTGCGGAAACCCTGTTAGCAACAAAACTTCATGGATGGGATGGGATGGGATCGAAACATACCTGTAGTAAGCGTTGCTCTTCACCAACTTGTGGAAAGCCTATTTCATAAATTCCCCGAGTCAGCAATTTGCGCTTCAGAGTGCTCGTCATATAGTCCGAAGCAACTTGCGTTGACCCTCATATCACGAGCATAGTAGAAGGACATCTTGCGTTTTGGTAGTCATGGCCACAAATGTTGACGGCGACAGCGACCGGTATTGGGAACCCGAGACGGAAACAAAACAGCAGAGATGAAGGACTCCATTTCTGGAATATCCTTAGATTGATAGGCCTCAACTCACCATTTTGACGGTATTTTCAACGAACGACTGTTGAATTGACCTCTAAAAAGTTGCGGATGTCGAGAGAAGAGAAGTCTTTAAAATTTTGGTGGGGGATAAATTCAAGCCCTAAGCGACACCCTTTCCTAATTGGGACGAATCCACACGACCAAGAGCATGGTTGGGGACGACTTGACCACCCAATTTTTCCATCCAGTCACGTGATTCGAGTCCAGTTTATCTAATCGACCCAGTGTCTCCTCCAAAACCTGGAGACGGGAATTTTGTGGGGCGCTACCGAGGCAGGCCGGGCTGTTGTGCTTTGCGTAGCCGGCGTCTCTATAACTCCGGGAGCTCCTCTTCTTGTGTTTTCTGCGGTTTAGCTCAGTAGTCATCATCGTTGAAGCCATGGCTGGAATAAATATTGAAGATCCTCCCTTGGACCTCATCCTGGAGGTTGTGGATTCTGAGATGGGCCCCAAGCAACCCAAGGTCCTCCTCTTCGACATTGGCGGCGTCTGTGTAAGTTGCAACGAGTTATCGCAGGGTCCTGTCAGAAAAGGGCGATATCGATCGTGCTAACACACAATTCGTCTACTACAGGTTGTGTCTCCCTTCCAGGCAATTCTAGACTACGAACTGAGTCTTGGTGTTCCGCCAGGATGGGTGAACTACTCCATCTCCAAATCCGCACCAAACGGCGCCTGGCATAAGCTGGAACGAGGCGAGGTCGCAATTGGCAAAGGCTTTTACGAGGAATTCAACCGCAATCTCCACATTCAGTCCAACTGGGAGCAGTTCTATAAGCGAGAGCACGCCAAAAACCCCAAGCTGGACGATACCCTCCCCACGTTGCCAAAGCTGGATGGCGAGTGGCTCTTCAACGAAATGATGACCTCATCCAACAGAATCGATCCCTGGATGGGACCAGCTCTTGAAAAGCTCAAGGCCTCTGGTCGATACATTCTTGGTGCGCTTAGCAACACCATCATCTTCCCCGAAGACCACCCGCTTCATCGTAAAAATAGCTGGCAGAGCTCCTTGATGGACATCTTCGACGTCTTTGTATCCTCCGCGCACATTGGTCTACGCAAACCGGATCCTAAAATCTATCAGTATGCCGTGGACGAACTCACCAAGTTTGCCCGCCAAAACTGCAATACCAAACGTAACCGCGACTACGGGTGGGAGGATGGCGTCAAGCCCAGCGAGATTGTCTTCCTGGACGATATCGGTGAGAATCTCAAGGCCGCCAAAGCCAGCGGCTTCGGTACCATTAAAGTTCACCTCGGTCGCACCTACGAGGCGGTAGATGCTTTGGAGAAGCTGACTGGCCTGGAGCTGGAAGGCGATCACCCGAAGATCGCCATCAAACCACGATTTACTGCCAAGCCCAAGTCGAAGATTTAGCCCGCTTCGCCCCTGTACATAAAATTTATTATAGCATTCATGTATGAAATATGAACCAAGCGCTGCCCGGCGATTGTCTTAGTTGTGTCAACATATATGGCCAATAGCAGGATGCACGGCCAATGTTATAGCTGCAGCCACGGCATTGGTTCATCGGCCCAATATTCCACTTCGAGTTGAAGACATGCAGGGCGCCCGGGTCATCAGGCTGCGTCTGCAACAACGGAACGCCTTTTTCTGCACGAGCGACAGCACTGTTTACCTGTCTTTTTTGGTTCCCCTTGAGGTAGCATTGCACCTCTCCCTCTGACAACGGGTCTCTAAACCTGGGGCCTGTTCGGACCGTCCCATCCTCCCTGGCTACCTAATTTGATCTAAATGAAGAGGGCTAGCATGCCATTGCCATCCGAAAGAATTCTGTGGAGCAGCGCTGCCAGCGAGCTCTCTTTAGCGCCTGGATCAGTGGCCTATATCTGATTTGTTATCAATGCCGCCGGGAAAACGTGCTGACGCTTACTGGCCCTGGTAAGCCGAACGCCTAAGCTGGCACTCAATGTATGATATCCAAGCGGGAAATCGCCCCAGCGCGACAGACGCGCATCGGAGGCTTAACCAAATGGGGTATATGATTTCATGCGGCTTTAGAGGTCAACTTGGGTAATTTCCAAGGTGAAGCCCGCGTCATAAAGGCTGCGACGGGTTTCGCAGCAAGCATGTGTTGGCCGAAACGTAACGTAGCTTACTGTCCTGTCCATCCGAGACGAGTTTGACCTACCTTTCTCTCCTCCTCTTCCTTCTTTCACATCCTCATCGATTTTACTTTTATCTTAATTGTACGACCATTACGAAAACGAAAATAGTGAACGAATACAGCCTCTGGAAGGTGTCTACCTGCGAAGCGCGCACTGACGGCTATCCCCATAAACAAGGCCCCGCGACGCCCTACTATCGATTTCACTGCCGCAGCATTCTAAGACCGTGTTTGCGAAAATATCGAATCTAAACACCATTTCTAGCGGCTGGAATATACTTGGCCTCTTTCACGAAAAAAAAGAAAATAACTCGCAATTTATTCACTGGTCCTGGCTCATCGTCGTACCACGAAATCGCTACAGACTGCGCAGCGAGCAGGGATAATGGTTCTATCACCATTATTTACAGAAAATTATTTGGAAAATCGGGTTATCGAACTATGGACTTTATTTGCAATTGCTTCCTCTTCAACCATCTTCCGCACGTATGCGCGCGTACGTAGTGTAAGATGGGATGGCCTCAAGATGGATGACGCTTCGGCGTGGATAGGAACCGTATGTCTCCCGCCCTGGTAGCCCAAAGAATTGTGTTTTGTGATGCTGACATAGTCTTCCACTAGGTAATGCATGGTATTCAAGCCGGCCTTGGGTACATATTTTTCCACTATGCCAAAGGGTTGACAAATGGAGGGTTGGCAGGCCAAGCTGGAGACGCGCTGGACGCTGACAGTCTTGAGTATGATCAGCGGTAGGTTTACCAGTGCTTTGATACCGTACTTTAAGTCCTAACTTTTGGCAGTTTGTTGGGATCAAAACTCCAGGTTGCAGATTGGGCGATATATACGGTCCTTCTATGGTCCTATAAAATATCGATCTTGCTCTTCTATACACGACTGCCGGTTCGTTCTTTAACATTCAAAGGAAAAAGAAGCTTACTGACCACATATAGAAACCATCAAGTAACCACCACCGATGCCAGATTTACATGGCTACCATTTTTGTTATTATTACTTTCGTGGCCAACATTATTGTGGTCTTCTTGGGCTGTCAGCCATTTGACCACTATTGGCAGATTAGTCCCAACCCAGGCTGTATGTCTCACGAGCCTTCATTCAGTAGATATAACTAACGCCTTTTCTAGTAACTTGTCAGATAAGCGCGTCCGGAAGTGTTATTTGGGTTTCATACGCTACAAATCTCGTCACTGATCTTTGCATTGTGGCGATCCCTCTACCAACCTTATGGAGGTCATCGTTTCCTCTACAAAACAAGATCGTCATTACCTCAATATTCAGTGCGAGACTACTTGTATCGGTATTCACAACTGCAAAGAGCGCGTTAGCCACCTCTGTGAGTACAACTTGGCCCAGTCAGAACGCTTGAACTAATGCGATGCTAGAATCCTACTACTGCCGGGGCGACTGTTGCAGCTTGGAACTCGCGAGAGGCTTTTGTTGCTGCTCTAGTCACCAATCTACCAGTAGCACTACCTGTTCTTAAGACATACTATCGATATATACGAAACAGCATCGTCCCGATGGTTGGTAAACCAGATGCATCACGACTTCGCACCCTCAAAACTCGAAGCGAAGTTATCAAGCAGATTTCGCTTCCATCCGCCATTCCATTTTCTTCATATTTCGGAGAGAATGAGAGCGACGGCAATACGTTAACGAACGGTGAAATCATCGATATGGATTTGAAGCCGGCTGGTGATCAAATTGTAGTTTCGAAGATGGTCAAGACAGTCTTAGAGGACGGTGATCGTTCAGCTGTTTGAGCGGCGTTCCAGCGTATTACTTGAATTATAAAGAACAATATATGTACATAAAATCAGCCAAGGACGGCTAAAAATAAATACATGGCGCTGTAAGCAAATCGCTGATACAAATTCTCATCCCTCCCATCAATTATTCATTGGGGCATATCCATATCGTCAAAATTCCACAAGTTATTTTCCAAAAGTCCACCAAACCATACTGGAGGTTTACCCTCTGTGCCCATTTCCTCTGAGCCAACGCTGTTCCAGTCAAAGGAAGGGTTCGCTGCGCCTACCGAGTTGGGGCCGACCGACTTCTCTGCGATCTTCCCTATGTACCAATTCTTAATCCATCCCGTCTTCATTGCAGTATCCAAAAACTTGCTGGCCACCCCAGAATCATCCTCTGGTACCAGTGGTAGTCCGGCATTGCGAGCAAAATCGTCCAAAACGCGCAACCGGTCCTTTTCAACAGTTCTCAAGCGTACAATGAGGTCATCCAGGGTGTTTTCAAAGTTGAGAAGTTTGCGGGCTGCTAGAATGTCATAATTTGGACCGCCATCTATCAGAAGAAGACGAGTGCTAATCACAAGAACGAGCGTCACTTGCGCAATCTGCGTTACTGGCATACAGCGAAGAAAGGGACCAGATAGACGCTCGATAATATTGTAGTAGTCTTTGATAGCATTGAGGCAGTTTTGTAAGCCTTGAACCCGGTAAGATGGGGGATTCGACGGCTCGTCAGCACTCGGCTTGAGATATGTCGCAGGCTCGTAAAGCCGCACCAAAAGATACTGGTAGTGCAGCGCGTAAGTGATGTGAAATTCGTAAACGTCTTGTTGGGATAAGCTTGGCATATTCTCTTTGATGTTCTTTTCTGATAATGATGCCATGATGGTGTCAAGCTCCGTGCGCATTGCACTAACATGATCTCCAAGTAGAAACAAAAACGGTCGTCCGCGGGTATTGTCTACCGCTGCGCCGAAAGATTCAGCAATACGTTCGCCGACATGGATCATTCGGACCATTTGCGTCATGATGAAGTCGGTTTCAAATTCGCGGTTTCGTTCCAGCGTCTCACAACAAAGTTCAACATATTGACCGCTTAAACTATTGAGGCGACCAAACTGTGTTGAGTTTCTGTTCAAGAATTAGCAGGGGCATAAGACACTACGCAGAAGAATTTCTTACACTGAAGCTAAGCAGTAACATCCTAAAAATGTTCGTTGTTCCTCCGGTGAATGCACCTTACTCATCATTTCGGCAGTTTTTGAACTCTTTAGATCCTCGGGGATATCGTCTATGCCCATTTTTCGGAGCATAGCCCGTGGGATTTTAGTAATACCGAGATTGTGTGCGTATCCTACCGCCATAAAAGTCAGATTTGTGATTTGCTGGTCGTACAGTCCGCCTAGATCAGCCCTGTGATACATGTTAGCCGCCACGACTTTGATGTTGTGGTACTTCAGCTACTTACCAGGCAAGAACAATCAAAAGCGCCTGCAATAGTTCTATATCACGATCATCCTCCACAATGATGTGCTGACTGAGATAGGCCAGCGCGTTTCTCTTCATCTTTTCGAGTTTGGCTGTCGGAAGAGGAGCGCAGGCAAGCATTATCGCCCTGAAAACTGCTGGCTTGGACTTCAACAGCTCCTTTGCACTTACGCTTTCGCTAATGATAACGAAGGGGAAGTTCTTGCAGAATTCTGTGCGATATATCTGTAAGATAGTGTCTGCCTGGTACCAGGTGAGCCCAAAAGGCGGCGTTGATGAATTAGGAACTATGGTCCGAGGTCTCGCTGGACGCTCACGGATATCCGGAGAGCATAGTTTGTGTACTGTCGATACAGCAGGTTTAGGCTTTTGCGCGTCTGCAACGCTCTCAGCATTCGTCTGAGACGTAAGGAGTCTGGTGATGTCGCTCTCTCGCGAGTGGAGAGCTCTGGTGAGTTCATCGAGCTTTTGTTCCAGTGACGATACACGGCTGGGTAGGTCAGCAGTTGTCGCGATATGGATTTATAGTGCTGGTCAAGAAGCTTTAACGTACTTGTTAAGTGGTTTAATTTGTCGCGGTTTCCTCAAACTCTTTGAGGACTTGGCAACACATCTGATACCAATGCGCTCACATCTATCTATCGTTAGTTGACGGAGACTAATTTACTGGTTTTATATCACACGAACCTCTCACAGGCGGAAGAAGAGTTTTCCGTGTCTTCCGGAAAGTGACATCTTGCTTTGGCCTTGGTACAGGCCAGACAGGCCCGTTGCCGGCGAGGCGGGCTCATTGGGCGCTCAGGCGGAGTGATCATCTCCATATTGAAGGTTAATACAGGGGCCTAACGGGTCGTATTTTGATAAGCTTGATTCAGAATGCATATACAATAATAAATACAGCAGTTTGAAAATTGTATGAAAAAGTAAAAAGATGCGACAAGATGATTACGACAAGGATTTGCGCATGTTGAGCTGCGCCGCTGAAGCACCGGGCTCTGATGGGGCGGGTTAAATTTTCCGCCGTCGGAGTATGGCAGGGTTATTAAATACTTTTGTTAAGACTATTATTTGGTTAAAATACATGTACTGAACATCTCCACTCTCCTGCCATGCCTCCCACCCGAACCTTTGGCGTCGCGTAAAATGACGAGGCTGCTTGACGTAAAATAGTCATGTACCGGCGTTTAATTTCCTATCAATGACGTATGCATTGTTTTGTTGAATCCTTTTTAAAGAATAATTCTTGACATTTCCACTGATAGCCGAAGCATCATCGCAGGTTAGAGGGACACAATGACGTGGTGACACGTTGGTGGATGAAAGTGAACCTCGACGCTGCCCTATAGGGGCACAGTTCGTCGGCGGTCTCAATATATTTTTATAATATTTTAAAAGTGTATTTCTTTATAGCGCCACGAACTACTGTAATGAATCACACTAATGAATAAGCTACTTGTTGTTCAGCGTTGCGTCGTCCATCAACGGGTTCTTATAGTACCCCAAAAAATCCTTGTAGATAAGTGATTTCTATTGAAGAAGAGGGTAATTGATTTGATAACTTCTAGGGCAATGGTACCCTCAGTCGAATTTTATTTGATACTGAAAACCATAGTCCATAGAACCGGGATATGGTAAACGTGTTCGGTATCAAGCAAAAGGTCCTAATGTCATGCGCATAACCTGCAAAAGGACCTGCACAATTTATGCGACAGCGCAACGCACATTTTAACTTCTAAAGACAGTTGGAAGAGAGAATTCGATGAGCCTATAATCGAAATATGCACAAGCCGGATATTTTCAGCGACGTCCCTCACCTAACCCAAGAACGACAGGCAAAAGCGTTGGCGTGGCCAGTGATACCCTAGAAGATACAGTGCGATGGGTGAGGAATGGCGCACTTTATTTTGGATTCATAAAAAGGGCGAAATTGGAGGGCGGCGCTGGGACAGCCTCTGAATCACAGCGCGCCTGGCAGCCAAAGCCCCACAGTGCGCAAAGGTCCTCCGTCATCTCGCTGCCCCCGCCTCGCTTGCCCGCCACCTGGTACCAGCCCCGGCCACCAGAAGCCAGAAGCGGGAGAAGGTGGTGGCTTGGCTGCTACCACAACCACACCACCAACGTAACCACTGGCGATTCCTCTCCATTCAAACACCTCACCCGTTACCAGCACAACTCCCGCCATTGCGCGCAGCTCCCCCCTGGCGCTCGCCATATTTTGCTTGCGGTGTTTATTCTTTGATTTCGCCCATACCGCATACCTATTGAGGGTCCAGATAGCGTATGGTAGCCGAAGGCGACGTCTTGATCAAAGAGTCTGCCGATCGGAATACCCCAGCAGCATTGTGAGCGCACCTCCCCGGCGCGTTTCAGCTCTGTCTGCTTGCGTCCCACGGATAGACGAGAGCCTTCTCGTTTAAAGGAGTTGCTCTAGACTGCGCTTCAACGACCATTCCCCTCGCTGCCCAACCCATATACCCAAGATGGCTACCGAAGGGCCACACAGGCCGTCGGTTGGCGACACGCTGATTGTTATCCGTACGTTTCTCTGGACTGTTCTTGCGACCGCCTAATATAATTATGAATACATGACACTAACTTGAGCCTCCCAACCACAGACGACTTTCAGGCGCGCAGCTCCGACGAACTCAGCTTAGGCAAGGGTGATCGTGTTGAGCTTGTCGAACGAGACGATGAATTTGGCGATGGCTGGTTCCTTGGCCGACACCTTGCCAACGGCAACACAGGATTGTTCCCAGAAGGTTCGAATCTACTTCCAAAACACTACATGACTACCCTCATGCTAACAGCGCAAATACAGTCTACACAAGAGTCGCCCCTAGACATGTCCCCGCCCCGATCTTGACGAACACGGGCTCTGGTTCCGCACCCGTTTCCTTGGCCGAATCGCTCATTACTGGACAGGCGCCTACTCCTACATCCGAAAAAGCTCCAACTCTTGATGTCCCTGTCGCAGTCGAATCACCAGTTCTAGAAACGACCCAATCTCCACCACCAGCCTCAACATCGGTTTCGGTTCATTCCAAACCCGAAACGGAAACACCGAGCGTGACCAGCGCATCTTCCTCCCTCAACCGCCTAAATAGTACCAGCCAATCACACGACAGCCAAGTTCTTCATGATACTCTGAACGTTATTAATGAGCACATTACGGACTTGCGCATGCCATCCAATGGTGCGTCCGGTTTAAGAGGCCACGCGAACGACTCCGGTAGCGAGTACAGTATACCACTAGAACAGCGAATGTCCTACATTCAAGGTGAAGAGACCGATGAGGAAGAAGATGGGAGTCGAAGCCGTGCTGAAGTGGAGGCTTGGACTGCTGATGACGTCGCCGAGAATCTCTTTGCAGCAGGTGTTGAACAACAACACTGTGAGGTATTCAGAGACCAAGACATTACTGGCGAGGTCCTACTAGGCATGGACCAAAGTTCTCTTTTCATCAAGGCCTTTGACCTTGGATCAGTCGGCCGCCGTCTGAAGACTTGGCACAAAATCAAGGCACTCCAAGATGAAGTGGACCAGCACGATGACCGCCGAACGACGCAAACCTATAGCGAGGTTGGCTCTGAGAAACACAGAAGCCGACATAATACCTTGACGAACCGCCCCGGATCGACCCAGAATCGCCAGGCCTCTGGGCAAGCAACCAAACCTCCCGGAAGCCGTGAGAGCCAAGAGTACAGACCGGGCCACGTCAAACGCCCATCAGCAGCCTCCGTTCGAGATTTGCACCACTCGCGCCGCTATTCTGCGACGGATTTCCGCCCAGCACCACCAACACCAGGATCTGCCTCCTCGGCAACTCCTCAAAGCCCCAGTGGTGATGGACATATCAAGCAGCCTTCTTTCGACCGCGGCTGGACACTCGGTACAGCCTTTTCGCCACCAGGCGGCCAATCGCCCCGTCTTGGCCGGCCATTATCGTCTGCGGGACTTCAAGACATGGTTGAATCAGAGCAGGACCTCCAAGATTCGGCAGTAGATCTCGACCGGGGTTACTTCTCGGGAACTGAAGCCGATGGCCGCAAACGCAATGTTCTGCGCAAGCGGGACAGTGGCCCTGGCCAAGTAGCGAGCTACACTGACGAGCAGCGTGTTCGAAGTGCCACCGCGCTCTCAAGGCATTCTCGCTTTGGCAGTGTTGACTCCTATAGGGATGGACCATCCACTGCGGCGCAAAAGTATTATGGTATTCAGTCGTCATCTCATCGCCGAAATGCATCCACCAACACCGTCGAGTCTGTTCGCCCGCTACCGCCCTTGAAGGATAATGCCCCTCCTACGGTGACGAGGCTTGACACAGGCTCTGGCCGATCGCCAATGGCCGGGTCATCAAAGAGCTTCCACTCGGATTGGCTGTCATCAGTGGCAAACCGAGTCAGCCACAAAGACCTGCGCAGCCCTGGAAACCGCATCTCTGATAGAACAGGCACTCGAACACAGATTACCTCTGGCGAGCCATCACCAAAGCCGTATCTGTCTGGGTCTCCTGCTCCCAGCAGCAACTCTGCCGGCCCTAGCTTTGAGTTTGGCTCTAACGATGGAACTCCAAGCCCAAGCACTTCCACCGCACCGAGCAAGACCAGCAGACGCAAGGGCAAGAAGGATACAAGTGCCTACCAGAGAGGCCTGCTTAAAATCACACCTCAAGAGGCCAAGCAGGACGCTGATTACTGCGGCTGGATGAAGAAGAAGAGCTCGCACCTAATGACTACCTGGAAGCCGCGCTTTTTCGTTCTCAAGGGCCGACGACTTTCTTACTACTACTCGGAAACCGACACCGAGGAAAAGGGTCTCATTGACATTTCATTCCACCGCGTTTTGCCTGCCGACAACGAAAAGTTGACCGGCCTCCACGCTACAATTACCAGCGCTGTTGGCGGTCCGTCCATTCCTAATTCGTCGCTCTCCCCCACCAACGAAGACGGAAGCAAGGAATCTGTCTTTATTTTCAAACTGATGCCTCCTCGCGCTGGTCTCTCCCGAGCCGTCACCTTTACCAAGCCCATGGTACACTACTTTGCCGTGCCTAATGTGACCCAAGGTCGCCTTTGGATGGCCGCCCTGATGAAGGCCACGATTGACCGCGATGACACACAACCCATTTCAACAACGTACCAGCAAAAGACGATTTCCCTGTCCAAGGCTAAGCAGATGCGCCACCGCCCCCCAGCACTGATGGGTCTCGATGAGGCCATTGCTGAGCATCCCCAGCCTGCTGCTGCCGCTGCGGCTGCTGCCGACGGCGACGCCAATCCACACGTCAAGTCCAATAGTCTCGGTATATTTGGTGAAGGCCAAAACGGAGCATCGGCACTGGACAAAGCGACCGCAGCGCATTCAGAGGCCGCCGTCATCAGTCCACCTGGCGTAGGGCCTTCTCATTTCGGCGTCTAGGAGACCCTGTGCAAACCCGACAAGGTCAGGAAGCTGAGCCGCGGCGCGCTAGCAGCCATCTTTACATAGAAAGAAAGGCGACGGCATAGCCTAGTATTCAACCTCTTGACGCCAGTTTACATGTCATGACGCTTTTTTAATATCACTACGCTTTAACACGGTATATCTTGGGGGGATTTTTCTCAGTCATATCTTCATTCCATCTACCTATCGTCCAAATCTTGTTTCTCGTCATTATTACTTTTGTTTTTTCAAACGCAACATACCCCGAAAGTCGCACCCTTACACACAGACACTATTAGTTCTCTTGATAACGGCTGAATAAACAAACATGTATTATTTTCCCTCATAAAGTTTAACCTTTTGACATGGACACATGCTAAAACAATGTAGAAAAATAAGAAGTTTAAAGAATCATAATCAAGTCAATTGAGGGCTCGGCTTCGAAAAGGCGGCCTTGAAACTCCTGGCTAAAAGGCTGGCTATCTGAAGTAATTAATCAGAGAAACAACAGAGTAAGTCGTTCAAAAGTGACGACAAGAGAAGATTGAAAATAAAAAGGACAAGGAAAAAAGTACGTCACTTTCCCTATCGAATAAACCCGAGACAAAAAGACGAACAGTAAATCAGTGTGTATCATAATGCCCCGTTCTCGTTAAAAGTAAAAAGCGCATCAATATAGGACATGTAAATAAAGGAGCGAGATAGGGACAGAAAGAGAGCCAAAGTGTACGCCACGATTATGCTCCGGAGACTTTTTGGTTCATGCCCTGCAGCAGCTGTCGGATAGACTTCATTAGATGCTGCTCAACACCTTCAAAATTGCCTGGTGTTTCGCCCTCCACAGGAGGAGGCATGATGCTAGCGTCAACGAAACCCAAGACACGATCGATGGCAGACAAGGTAACTGCCTCGGCCTTTGCCTCACCCAGACGCGCTTTGAGGGCTTTGATCGAGACCTCCTTGAAGCCGTTGATCGACGCGAGCACCTTGGCCTCGAAGATGGGAGGGGCGTCGTTGGGACCAGGGGTAGTGGCGCCAGGTGTTGGGCTCTTGTTCTTGGTGAAACCGTCAATGACTTGTCGGATACCCTTGATACAAATGGCCTCCATCTTGTCGTTCTCAGTGGCATCCTTCTTCAGGCCAATGCATCTGTTCAGCGCAGACATTACTATAGCCTCAGCCTTGGGGTTGCGGGCCTTCTTCAGATTCTCCACTAAACCATTCTTCAGGCCAACGACGGCCTGTAAGAGGCGAGGGTCAATGACGGGTCGGAGAGTAGCAGCAACAGAAGCAGCAGCAGCAGCAGCAGGAGCTGGGGGAGTAGCTGCTGGTCGGGCGGAAATTGGTTGAGGGGTAGCAGCATGAGCTCCGATGGGCTTGTGGCCAGCCGGGGGAGCCATCGGTACAGCTTGGTGTCCTGCAGCAACAGCAGCAGCAGCAACAGGAACGGCGGGACCTGGCGCTGCACCGTCTTCTGCCTTGACAGGCAAGTTTGTAGGCGGTGGTCGAGAGGCGTATGGCGAACTGTAGGCACTCTGCTGTGATGCGCCAACTTGTGGTCTAGCAGGTGCTGGCGGCGGTCCATAACCAGGAACCTGGGCAGCCGTGGTTGGCTGAGCGGCAACGGCTGCTGCAGGTTGTCCAAGTTGTCCTTGCGGTGCCTGCTGTCCAGGTGTGGCTTGTGCAGGAACTGTTTGGGGAGCATATTGCTGCACGGGACGGGGTGCGCCTTGTACAGGTTGACCAGCATAACCTTGCATCTGATATCCTTGAGGGACTTGTCCAGGAGGGTAGCCAGGCGCAGCTTGAGCCATGTGCTGGGCGTTGTACGCATAGCCATACGCACCATAACCTTGGGCGGCGAGGTTTCGGTCCGGCGATGAAGCCTTGCGTTTCTTTCCGGCATCGAGCTCGACACCAGGAACACGCGACCAAAGATTTGTCGTCTCGTCCTTCTTGAACGCCTCGTTCCCAATAAGGTTATGACGAACACTACTCTCCCAGCCCTTGGTTTCGGTATGGAAGTAAAACCATGGATAACGCTGGCAGATTCGCTTATAGATTTGCTTCAGCGTTAAGCCATCGGGGCCAGCAGCAGTGAGTGTCTCGTCGATAAGCACACCATAATTCTTGTTTGGCTTCTGCAACTGCTCCTCGGTGTAATCCTCAATTTTGAGCTCAAGGGGAGGAGACTTGGGACGCGCCTTCTTCTCCTTCTTCTCCTTGGCTCTGCGTTCAGCATCGGATCCTTCGGCACCATCCTCCTTGGGCTTGCGAGGCTTGTATTTGCGCTTCTCTGGGTTGGCGTTTTCTGGTAGAGGGTGCTTCCTGGGTCGACCAACCTTGCGCTTAATGGGAGGCTCGACTGGCGGAGCCTGAGGCAAAGTCTTCTTTGCCATTTCTTGTTGCTGCTTCTTAAGAAGCCTCTGTTCTCTCTTAGACATGATGCCGTTCTTCGGCGGCCGTCCGGGGCCCCTCTTCTTGGGTATTTGTGGCATATTCGGATCGATCTCTGTCTGACCTTCAGCTTTGATTTCGGATTCACCTTCGTCGTCCTCGCCTTCGCCGAGGTCGGATAACTCGGGGGCACTCCCTTCCAATTCAGACAATTCGTCGCTAGTATCTTGAAGCTGGCCGTTTCCATGAGCTTGCTCAAATTCAAAGCTCATTTCCTTACCGCCATGGGTTTGCTTCTTCTTGGGCTTCTTGTCTGCTTCTGTCGGTTCTTCGGCACCAGTACGACCACGCTCTACACCATTGATCATGAACCGGAAGTCAATATCCTTGATCTGAAGTCTATCGCCGCATCGTAGGACGACTTTGTCACTTTTATAATGTACATCTTCGCAGAAAAAGCCATTCTTGTGCAGCGGAATAGCTTCGAATACGCCTTCCTCTTGGTTATATGCAATCTTGAGATGTTCTCTTGAGATTGCCTTTGTCTTGCTGGCGATATTTGGGCCTGGAGAGTGGATGCCGATAAATGGCACATGCCAGGGAGAAGGGCGGAGCGATGCAAGGTCGACGGCTGCGGCTCCTGGCGTGTGAGAAACGTACTGGCGATTGGAGATGATGTTTTCTTGCGACTCGTCGACTTCCTGCTGCTCCGAACCATTGGTACTGGTCTTGCGGCGCTTGTTGGGACGTCCGCTTTCCTCGCTATCCGATTCTGGTCCAAGCATACCACCCTCCTCACTGACATAGGATTTGCTAAACTTGCTACGGTCGTTGAGCATTGGCGAGGGTGGCGGTAGACCTTTGCTGGCGTTTTCTTCGACTCTGCGTTTGTGCTGCTCCTCGCGTTTTTCGTCTCGGCGGGCCTGCTCTAGGGCACGTTGATCGCGGCCAATGATGACGGCATATGTGGTCATCTGGAAGACGGAATCAGCAAACTCTACGCGCGCAAAGGACTCTAGGCCCTTGTCGGCGCCAGGTTGTCGGAGGGTGTTGGAAGGAGGAAGGCCGTTGAAAGAGCTCTCCATAGGATTCGGTAATGTGACTTGTGAGGGGGTGACTGTTGGTGGAGGAGACATGGCGTTGCCGGCGGCTCCCGACATGGCAAGAGCCATCATCATGTAGGCTTGCTGGTCTAATGTGGGTGCGGCGACGGGTGTAAAAGGCGTAGAGGGCATGAATTGCTCGGTATTGGCCATGACGGTGTCTTGAGCAACGGCCTGTGGCGGTTGCATCTGGGCCGAGGCGTTGTTGTCTGTGGCGGAAGAAGCAGCACCAGGCTTTGTTGGTGTTGCAAAGGCAGCGTCGACCATGGTTCCGTCGACTTGGTTTGTGGTGGTGGTGGCGGTGGTGTTGGGGTTGGTAGGTGTCTGGAAGGAAGCAGATTGCGTCGCGCCTGGCTCAGCACCGTTGACTTGGGGTGTGGTTGGGCGAGCATTGTCGGCATGGGAGGCGGTCACGGCTTGAAGAGATTCGGGCGCATCCGCCGGCGGGGGATGAGAGGACGCCGATTGCGCGTCTGTCACGGCAGGATTGGCTGAAGAAGACGGATGCGCTGTAGCGACGGCAGCGGGCTGGTGGCCGGGGCCGTCGTTGGTGGTGGACGAAGTCATCGCTGCAGCCTCGTTACAGCTCCTTCGGCCGGGAGATGGCAGGCGGGATGATGCGATGCTGCTCGATGCGCGTCGCAAGGAAAAAGAATTACCGCCGGCCGGAGGGGGAATCGGGGAAGATGCAGCCGAGAGCGAGCGAGATGAAGCTCTGGTCTGCGGTGGCGGGCGGGATGCGTTTGTTGGGGCGGCGAGGGCGAAGAGGAAGAGGAAGAAAGGAAGAAAGCGGAGGAGAGGATTGCCTGGATGAGCGATGAAGCCGCCGCGAGAATGATTTTTTTTCTTCGGCCGCTGGCTGCTGCGCTGCACAGCGACACACGCCCTGGAGAAGCGCTACTCGGTAGGAGGAGGAGGCCCCTACAGCGGGTGCCCGCTGCCTGTAAATTGAGACGAGCGCTGTAACCATGCACAGGAGCCCACTGAAAGGTGCCTACAGTTACAGCGCATCGGACAGCGGGATGCTGAAAAAAGAGTCACCTTGTTCCCAGAGGACGCGTTATGATTGGCCGATGCCAGCGTGAATGGCAAGACTGCCCCACTTGTTGCCGAATCTGGATGGATCCAGTAACGCGCTGTTGTTTGCAGCGAATCAAAAAAAAGAAGCAAGAAAAAAGGAAAAAAATAAAAAGGCGAAAAGTGGGGACACGCCAGTCGCGAGGTTGTCGCTTGCTGCTTGGCACCTTGATGGAAGGATCTTGAGCCGAGAGATGACAGTAACCAGATGGCATTAAAAATAATGAAGAAAAAATAATTATAAATAGAAAGAGTAGATCTTAATACTATAGAAGAGAAAACATGACTTTTATGCTGAAGTCTTGTCACAGATGCACCCCCAATGCACACTACATTCTGACACCCTCTATAACGCCATGTAAGCCGTCACAACGGGACAGAACGACAAGACAAAGAAAAGCCCCGAAAATAGTATTAAAATATTGATAATTAATTATATAGAATAATATCGAGCAACATATCCTCATATGCATATAAATTTCATTGTAACACTCTCTAACACCCTTGCTCACCTCCCCACCCCCCCATGCTCCAAGACGGCCCCATTGTTCAAGTCACAACCATCACCACTGCCTTTACAATACAATAACCCAATTATATACTGGAGATGGAACCATAATCCTAAACGTCCCCGGTCTTGTTTGGGTCTCACCAATGGTGAGGCACCCGTGCATCCTGCAACGCTGACACACACGTCCGTGCCCTCCTCGATACGCTTGATGTCGCCAAAGATTGGACGGTTGCCGGAATAGGAAGCAGAGCCTCGATATATAATCACAGACCCCTCACAAAAAAAGGCCACAGACACCTTATAGTACGTCTCATGTTGGACTATCCACCTGTCTCAAGCTACACCTTTGGCGATGCGGCTGAGACGTGCTAGCCGCCAAAGAGGCTCGCTGAACTCCATCGCGCTTAAAAGTAGAAATCGTAAAAAGTTGTATATCCGTATATATAGTATAACTGCTGCTGTAATGGAATTGCTACCATGCTGAAAAGCCACATTCATTTCACACCCCCTACCATTCATCATGCGTCTCCTCAACGGCATCTCTTTGCTCTTGACAAGCGGTAACCTGCTCTGCATGGCAGTCGACCCGCCCCCTCCTCCTGATAATGCCATTGATTTGGGCGATAGAAAAATCAACCGAGATAATTGCACGCGCGGAATAGATCTCAAACCCCAGACTGGTGACTTGTGCCAATTTACCTGTGCCCTTGGTGTCTGTGAGGCAACCAAGTGCGAGTGCATCGAGCATAGCAGCGAAGTCAAACCACTACCTGCAGGGGACAAGACCAAATCCAACATCAAATCCTACAATTCTGACGATTCTGCACTCAATAACCTGTGCGGCGTCGCCTGCAGATATGGCCACTGCCCCGCTGACATTTGTGATACCGACCCGACACCACTGAACAAGATACATGCTGAGTATTTCGTCTGTGGTCTCGACAGCGATGGTGACTGTGTTTCAAAACCCGTGGATCAGTATGCCCTGCGTGAGAAGGACAGGGCCTTGACTTGCGCAATCTCAGTGAATCCAGCGAAGACTGACGTAGCGAAATGTGAGAGGCTCTGTAAGCCCGAGCTGGATAAGGCCAAGGCAGACGGCGCACTCATCACAAACTACGGATGCATCCCCAAAACAGAGACGGGTATGTGGCCGATAAATGGACCAGATCCGTTTATCAACGGCATCGCGCCTGGTAGATGCGTCTGCAACAGTGGCCTTGTCAATGAGCTGGCCGGGTTTGTCTTTGAGAATCTGGCCGCCCTTGCCGAGGTAAGAACAACGATTGTCTACTACCTCATTAACCATGAAAATTTTACTTACAAGTGTAATAGATTGGATGCTTCATTTTCATGCGAGCTTTCGAATCGCTCGTAAAAATTGGTCTAAAACTATTCCCCGAGATTGGCGAGCCCATCGAGCTTGGCCTTGGTACGTTATGTCACATAAAACTGCCACCGCTACCAGTAAAAATCTAATGGATAATACAAGACGCCATCACAACCACCATCCAGACCTTTCAGTACCTCTATCCAGACTCCGAAGGACCCAAAGAGGCTTTCGACTGGTGGCTTTCTCCCTGTGGCGACACATCGCTGGTTCCCGATGACCTGAAAAAGGCATTTGACATTGTGGACGAGGTATCTGGCCACCTTAAGCCTTTCAAGGCCCCTAAAGGCGTTGCGAAGCACAGCGGGAAACTAGGCGATAAAACCAACCCGTTCAAAAAGGCTCGTCTGGCCAAGGCTGAGGTCCCAGGCCCCCCCGAGGGCAGAGAGGCCTTGAAAAAGGTTCCCCAATTATTGGAAAAATGCGAGATCCCCAAGGAGAAGCAGTTCCGCAAGATTGGCGTCCACACAGTCCGCGAGCTAGCCTGTGCAGATGACCACAAGACGACCACGACGAACTGGGTCGTAACCAGCATCAACTATCCTACTGCCACATCTGTTCCTACCGTCATGGCCACAGCTACATGCTCCAAAGAATACGGCCAAGCGTGCCATCACTACAGCTCCGCCATTCGACAGAACAGCAAGTTCGCAACAGTTACCTGTCCCCCAGATGCTGGCACAACAGCCGTCCACCGTGACCCAGCTCCCGCTACAGTCGCCTGGCAGAAGGAACACTCTGGCCAAGGATGGCTAGACCTCCCTCCCAATCTCAAGGATAACAAGGAACAGGCCCAGAACTTGTCAGCTCTCTGCGACAAGGCCGTGTGGCCGCCGTCAGAGCTTCTCGACGCCAAGTCCCCTGACTTCCTGGAAGGTGGTAAGCGAAAGGATGCACAATTGGTCCGGTTTATACCAAGAAAGGACAGCAGACTATCGAGCAAGATGTGGAGCAACGTGTGCTTCACCGCGCCGCTTCAGGATATCGATGGACCGACCCTCAAGGCTCTCTGCGAAAAGGACAAGGCTGGCAAGACCGTGTTTTGGCCTCACGGGACGGAAAAACGCTGCAAGATTGACGTAGACAAGATACCTGTCTTTACCATTACCGAGTTCCAGCATGACAAGGACGAGTTTGACGGTCTAACTACCAACTCGCCCTGCTGGCCGTCTGCTAAGGTGGAGGCCGATCCCGGCTTCGCTCTTCTCGGCAAAGATGCCTTCTATGACCAGTATTCACCTCAATTCGACTACAGCGTCAACGTCGGTGGTGCAAGTCCGAACGATACCACTGAGCAGCCAGACGGTCCGATAAAGCCGATATTTAGGCCGAATCGACTTGGGATTCCCATGTCACTGAAGTAGCCCACAGGAACGCCATGAAGCGTGGTGATGTAGTTGTGGTAGTAATGTTTTCCTTTTGTAGCGTTTAATTGAACTTAATATTTGATCAAAGTTGCGTGTAAGCCGTTGTGTGCATTGTAGCAAAACCAAGACCCTGCCTTTAAGCCAAGTCAAAAATACATTGCCATTCCCAATCATTGCTACCGGTAATATGACATTAATGCATAATCGAAACCGCCATGTTTGCTACTGCGCCAGCCGGGCCGTTTGCTGCGGCCGGCGCCATCTCCACCACGGCGCTTAAGCGGCGGCGCTGTCTCGTCCACTCATCTGCCCGTTAGCCGCCCGTCAGATTTCTTTTGGTGCACCCGCCTCTGCAAACGCCCACCGTTGTTCCTGTTTCATGATGCTTCGTGGCAGCTAAACAGCTGGGTACCGGGGTGTGATTGGCTGTCAGCTGTTCTCTTTGTTTCTATTCTTGTTCTGGTGCCTGGCGTAGCGCGGCCGTATAAGACGGACACCCCCAACTTTTTTGCTTCGCTAAACATATCTTTCTTTCGTTAATCTGGATTGCTGGCAATCTTCCAAACTTCATTTAAAACAACATCATGTACGCTCTGCAAACAAAAACAAAGGCTGCGCTGGGTATCAAGACCACAGCAGCACCGCACAACCCGCCGCCATGGGAATTTCCTCCGGCGCACCACGCTCCGCAGCGCAACCCGTCTGCCGATAGCGAATTCGACTTTCAACCAAAGCCTCTTCCAAGAGTCAGCACTATGCACTCGCGCTACGTGCAAATGCTGCTAGAGGTTGATACCATCCCGAAGCTACACACAGTGCTGGCCTCTTTCTTCGTCTGGCTCTTGCTGGCGGGCTTCCTGGTGTTTCCTGGTACCTTTACGACTATTTCAAAAAGCATCGAAGCCAACCATGGCAAGGATGACTGGGCCGACAAAACTGCCGAGTCGATTTATAAGAGCGTCAAGAATATTCCGCTCTTGGTCATTGGCGCCTTGATTTGTGCCGCGTCACTTCTGGGCATGACCTTCCTGGCCTTCTTGCATATGAAGAACTATGTCTGGCTTCTGAACAAGCTTCTGGTCCCCGGCATGGCCAACTGCCTTGCAGGTTTAATCTCGACACTTGTCGGCGTGTACTCTCAACAGAACGGTGTCTGGAGCGCCACGGCCAAGGTGACTGCTATTGTCGAGGGTGTCTGCTTGGCCATTTGCGGCGGCATTTGGTTCTTTGTCGACCACTATCTTCTCGAAAAAGTCAAGGAGATCCATAGCTCGCACTACAATAATTGGTCAAAGGACACAAGCGAAGAGCTGGGTATGCCGAAGCATTTTTGAATTTTTGACCTGGTTAGCACAGCACAGGCGAATCGCGCAACACGGCACAAAAATATAGACTAGCATTTTAACGGCGTTGGTACACGTAATTGAACATAATTCTATCCAAGTAAAGGCGTGCGCTCAGTTGACAGACGAGAAAATAGACCCCCGCGGTCGGAGATCTTGTGTGATAGTTGAAAGGCCCAGTGGCAAAGCATGCCAGCTAGGAAGCCTACTGCGTCATTCTTAAAGGCCAAGATACCGGCTGTTGTCATGAGCATAATTGTCCATCGCTCTCCACGTTCTTCGTCTGAGAGTGTGCGGTGTAAACGAGATGTAGCCGACTCCTGCCACAAGTCACGGGCTCCCTGGTTGAGGCTTTGGCCAACCTTGGCAAGCTCCAAGCCCGCAGCGAGAACCATGATGCCCAGTATACTCTTGGGATACCATTTCAAGAGATCAATCAGCGTCTCGCCAAAGATCAAGCCTAGAACGAGTTTGAAAATTCCAAGAATGATGACGCTTGCGCCACTGCGAGCCCCAAATCTATGTTGGGCCGCCAAGCCGCCTGCGCCATGACACACAGGCATTGCCCCAAACCAAGTGCCGGTCAAGTTCATAATCGCAACGCTCATACCAACTGAAGTCACAGATGGCGTAGGTCGGTCTGGAAGCAAGTCGCTAGCGAGGGCACAGACCGCAATGATGGAGTTGAGTGTCGTCAGCGGCAGCTGTCCAATGGCCATCCAAAGGGCTGCCCAGTGGTTTGTATAAAACCACGCAGGCAGTGCAAAGCGTGGCGACCAGATGGAGAACCAGGGAAGGCCATGGTGATGATCCACGGTGCGAATCGCCGCGATGAATAACGCCAAAAGGAAAAAGTATAGAGCGTACGCAAAACGAGGCATTCGCTGCGTGGCAATTAGAACAAGAAAGGCTAGCAGCGCCCACAATCGGTTGTCCAAGATTGGTAAGACCCAGTGTAGAGGCTGTAGTAAAGATGAGCCCGCTCCAATTATAAGAGACAATCCCGCTCCAAGCTGGATGCCTTTGACGACGGGCGTGGGCACGACGGCGACAGCCCAGCGCAGCAGGCCGGTAACACTAAGGAGGAGGACCGCCGCACCAACATACTGGCCGGCAGCCATGACAACTGGAAGGGGTTTATCATCGGGGGTCGAGATTGCTGCCGAGGCAATAGCCTACAGGTAACGTTAGCAAAACCAGGTATCAACTGACGAGGGCGAAGGGGAGGTGCTAGCTTACCTTCATGGGCTGCACGGGGAGTGGGATGCCAAAGATCAGGCCCGTGACGATGTTGAATATTCCCGAAAACACCAATGTTGAGCCCAAATTGACTGAACCCTGCGCGGCCAATGCAATCATGAGGGGCAGCAGCGTGCCAAGGTCGCCCAGTGAGCCAGATATCTCGGCCCATGGTGAGCTTCGTAGTGTGGAGAGGTTGTGGCTGTTATGCCGCTTGAGTAAAGAAAACAGCGACATTATGCCCTCATAAACGAAAATGAATATTTACACGCCCGTTTTCTATGCTCCTGTTGAGTATGGCCTGTGCTGAAGACAAGGCGTGTTGCATGTCACTGTCTACGTAAGTCGAGCGGAGAGGCTCTGGCGGTTTTGGGCGAAACCCCACGTGAGGGTTGGGGAGCATCGAGCTGTGGAGGAGGGCGGGCGCCGGCCGACAGACACCGCTGGTCCAAGGACGGGGTTTCACAGGCGATTGAGCCCATCAACTATGGAAAGCTGTATTCTGAAGTAACGCGTGATACATCAGCAGCAGCAGTGATGTATACAGAAGAGCTGTATTTGATATAGCGCAGCGCAAGTCTCATTGTCTGGACTAATTCAAGCTCGGGCTTAGCCTGCCACGGCACGCACCAACCGCATCGGAGCCGCCGCTAGTTGATGGAGCCCCCAGGCTGTCTATATGAGGTCATATCTGGGAAGGGCACAAAGAGGCGTTTTCTCCTGCCGGCGGTCAACCTTCAGAACGGAGAGAGGCATTTCCATATACGGTGGCGGCAGCGACGGCAGCAGAGGCACACTGTGGCGGGCTGTATCGGTAAACACGGCAGCTTGCAGGTGGCTTTTTTTCTCTTCTTTTTTTCTTCTACTTGCCTTTCTTTGCCCGGGCCTTGCTGCCCATTGTTTATACGAATTGGATTGACGGCCGTCTTTGAATTGCGTCTCCGTCCGATCCATGCTGCCTGCCAGCCGCCTGCTTTGTGTGTTATTACGCAGGGCAATCCAATCCAATCCAATCCGCGAGTTCGCTTTGACTGAGACAGTCCTCAAACCACTACGAACAAAAAGAACGACAGGGCAAGGAATGCCCAGTAAAACGCCTCTTCTTTCAGGGCATTTAAAGTTATGTGGCTATTGTTTTTGTCTTGCTCGTCAGCAAATGTCTCAGCAGCGGATAAGCCAGCAGGTAGTAGCAGGTTGGATTTATGCAGTGTCTAATACTGTAGCGGTAACCCCAGCGGAACGGGGAATAATACTAGCAGCAGAGCACAGTACCGTACGTGCAGCACTACGCATCGTGCAATCGCCCGTTGTGCAGACGCCCGACACAGCCCTGCATATGTCAGTCCCCGGCCCAAGTCCAGGCTAAGAACGCGCCCAGGTATTACGGCGGCCAAGAAAGCGGCGCTAATACAGGCTGCGCGATAAAATCGCTTCTTTGCTCTTCGCCATGGCTAATCCCACATTAGCCAGTGGTGTGATCCTTGTTTTCCCCAGCGGGCCCCCAACAGGCGAAATTATTCGCGCAAAAAAGATGCACTGTCCGCGGGCGATAACGCATCCATCCTCTGGCGTCCCACACTTTTCTTGTATTAGCAGCAGCTGCACCAACAGCAAGCACAACTGGGGAATCGCCTTGTAGTGGGGGACGACAAAGGCCATGCATCATTTCAGGTTCCGACATTCCCGCCGGTCCAAAAGACGCCGCTATCAGTTAATTTTTTTTTCAGCATCCCACAGCCTAATGCAGTAATGAATAGTGGGCTATTGGTGGTGCTCCTTGCACAAAGTATGGGCAAATTTTATGGTACGGACAGACAAGAGGCGCCTGCAGCCCATCGTCATTTCACTGTGTTGAGTGTTTTTTTTTTCGCGCTCTGCAGCCGGATCGGGCGGCGGACCACCATTTTTTGTCTGCTGGGTGCAGGCGCTGAACGAAACACCTAGGGGCACTGGTTTTCAGGTGACCGTCCATTGGGCACGCCATGTTTCGGAATAAATCCAAGTATCGCGATATCTGGTACATGAAGCCTCCTGCGCAGCTTCCCATGGTATTCTTTATGCCATTATCTTGTGTTTTCCCCGTAGACGGCGTGCTCCGGTTGATACTCTACGCTGTAATTACAGCCTAGCTCCGGTTGCAGCACCGGCAGCACCAACAGGCCGCTTAAAAAACAACAAATAAAAAAAAAGGAGCCAATAGCAGCACTTGGAAAGGTACGTACCCATACTGGCCATCATAGCGGGCGGCGAGTGGCCCGTGACGTCCTCGGGCTCCACAATTTAGCTTTCCGACGCTTCACCTGGGCGGGCGTTCCAGTGGTTCCTGCCGCTAATACCGCCCCGGAAGCCCACTGTAAATTTGCTGCTAGGCTCTTAGTACAGTCCCCTGCAAGAGCTGGGCCGGCTTACGCTCTTGTCTTTCGCGCCCCGAGTCTCCGGCCAAGCTTTTGCTGCTCTTTCCCTCGCCTTCTCCGTCGCCATTTTTTCTCTCACCTTTTCCACTTCTTACTTCCTGCATCCTCGTTTTCCATCTTCCAAACGTCGTCGTGATTCCCGCCCTTCTCCTTCTTACAACCGCCAATTTCTAAAGGTAATTATTATTTTGCTCTGGTTTTTTTCTACTCGTGATCGCGTCGGCAATGGCTTTGCAACGGGCGTCGGTGTTGTTGTAGTTCTACTGCGGTTGTTGCTTCGCGCGCCCGGTATGGCCGCATTTGGGCGTCCTGCGTTTCTCGACATGGCCAATCGCCAATTCCTCCCGCAACCTGCCTGCGACAATTCACAATTCGCATTGGTACTGCTAAGAAAACAACACTGGTATACCGCCGCTGCCTAGCATTTCCGTTGCCGACCGACAACAATACTCTCGTCACTGCCAACTACGCGCTGCCGAAAGATAACCGCCCAAGGCGTCATCCCTACCACAAAACACATTGCTAACATTATCGTGTCTGTCTAGCGCAGTCTTTACCTCCACTCAATCCAAAATGGCCGCCATTATTACTTTCGAGAAGGACGCTGTCATGTCCCAGCTTCTGAAGCGTGATGACGACAGGAACTGGGCCGCTAAGAACGTGGGCCCCATGGTTGTCTTCTGCATTGTCTTTGTTGGTTCGTATTAACCTTTTAACCTCCCCCCCCCCTGTGCCATGCTAACTTTTCATCCACAGTCGCTCTCCTTGTTATCGGTGTCTACACCAACAAGTGGCTGACCGCCCGCAGAGAGCGCAGAGAGCGCAAGGCTGTTGCTTAAATAACCTTTGCGCCGGAGAGGAGGATCTGGGGACGAGGGGATTGTCAGAGGAAGAATGGGGATCTGGAGTCTGTGTCACCTTTTTGAATTGGGATGAAGCCAAAGGAAGTAGCACATGCCACCGGGCCTGCATAGGCAGGCATTGGATACCACCTCATCCTCCACAAATCGCCTCACCAGCAACGAAACGCGTTGCAGCCACCATCACGATCCGTCAAACGATCACCCACCAACCCGGTGGGGAAGACATACTACTTCCCCAACATACCCTACTTCGCCCTTTTTCTTTTTATTCAGCTACCGCCTCGGCATGCGCTCAATTTCTCGCATATTTTGAGTTGCGGGTGTACAGGCTCCAATACACCATTGTCGAAGCAAATTCATCAATGCTGTACTGGAACTGGTAGACTGGACCTGCATGGTGGTGGCCTGGTGGTGTATATATGTGTTTGTGGGAAGATGCTGGATGGTTTCCTTTGTTGGCATTGCTTGTATTCTACTATTCTAATTGATACCTCCTTTTGCATTAATTTGCAAATGTAAATAGCTTCAATGCTCCCTTAACGCCTACCAATGTCTGCTAAAAGTAAAAAAAATGTACGTCCCCCAAGAACAAAACGCCTACGTCATTCGCCAACACAACCTCTCCAATCCCATTATAACCCTTCTTTTGCCAACATATCCGCAATGCCCATGTAAAACGCCACAGCATTAAACGTCTTTGCCATGCCCATCCAGCCACGGACTGCCCAGCGCAGCCTATTCTGCCAATTAATCAGATCCAAGTGATTCATCCCCATCAGCGTCCCCTGGTACTCTCCCCAGCGGCTGCTCTCGACGCTCACCAGCCCGTCATTCGGCCCCTCCACCTTGTTAATCACCCCAAACGAGTAGCGGAACGTATTAAACAGGCCCGGCGGGCCCATCATGTCCGCGCCGTACGAAAAGTACCGCACGTCCGCCGCATCAGGCGTCTGCGGATTGAACTGCTCCCGCATATACCGTGTCGTCAACTGCTCAAACGCTTCCGTGCCCAGCCCGAGCCGCGACAGCACGCCGTACAGCCTAGGCAGATGGATCGGCCCTGCGGCATCCGGCTCCACGAGCAAGTCTGCCACCGGACTCCCCCGGTGCGGCGTCGCAATGGTCGTCAGCGAGGCAATCTTGACATTGTGCCCTTTGAGCCGCGAGATGAGGTAGCGCGAGTCGAGCCCGCCCATGCTGTGTGCGAGGATGTTGACGGGTGTTCCGGGGGGTACGGAGCGCTGGATGTGTGCGGCGAGATGCTCGGCGCGGTGGGAGATGGCGCTGGATGGCGGGACAGAGGGCGTTATGACGGTTGCTTTGTTGGCGAGAAGGGCTTCGCGGATGCCGTGCCAGTAGTAGATGGTGGGGAGGACGGGGAGCCGTAGCTCGGCGAAGCCAAAGAGGCCATGGGCGAGGACGAGGGGGTGTTTGGGAGTAGCTGGTTAAACCGGGTGTTAGCGGCTTGCGGGAGGTGAAGAAGGTAGAGGGTGCGTACCGTATGTGTCGCGGAGGTGGGCAAAGTCGTTGACGATCTGCCCGGTGCGCGGGTCCTTGAGGCGTGCGCAGGACGAGGATATACTGCGTATAGTAGGTTGAGAGGGGATTGCTAGAGCAGCGTACGCGCTGCGGCGGAGTAGTCGGCGCATTGAGGCCTATGCATGGAGGTTACGGCTGGGAGAGAGGATGTTCGAAGGTCGGAGCTGGGTAGTGGTTGGAGGTTAGGGCGGTGGGGCTGACGTCACTGTTTCTACGATGCACGAGAGCTCAAGGGCTGGGGAAACAGAGATACAACGGAGCTAATGGGACAATAAAGAGATAAGAATGTTTTTTTAATGTTAAAATATAGGGGATTCGTAGCAACGATGTTCTATTAATATTCATTATTCGTCAATTTTCAGCCGAAGCGGATGTCTACTAGAAAAGAAATGCGCCGGCAGTGCTCGTCCCGAGGTACATGTATGTCACCACAGCGATCTCCAAATCAAATCAGTTCTTCTCAGGGGGCATAGGCCCAGATGTATTCGAAGGAGGGGGCCCGCTATACGGAGGTCTCTGTTCTTCACTAGCGAATGGTGACGACGCTCCCGCAGCCATGGCCTCGCTGTAGCTCGGAGGCGCATCAAGAAACTCGCCAGGACTATCGCTCACTGTCGGTTGCTGGTAGACTTGGTTCGTTTGATGTGGCCTCAGTGGCAATGGAGGCCCATTACTAGGACCAGCAGTGCTTGCGCCGGAAACTGATGTTCTTGGAGGCAGTGGCGGCTGTGCATTTACAGCAGCATTGGCAAGCTCTCGCGGCGGAGGCACGCCAGAGTAAACGTCGACGTTGCTAAAGTTCAATGGTAGAGTAATAATCTCTCCCGTTCCTTTGCCATTTTTGCCTCCGTTACCTAGCCTCAGTGATACTTGTATTTGTAGCGAGTACTTTTGCGTGATGTTACAGCAAATAAAGGAAGGTGGCACGGTATTTGGAAGCGGCTTTTGCTTCCACAGTTCGTCTGGGATGACATACTCGGTGCCAATCGCGACATTATTCTGTGTAAGAACGGGTACGTTCAAATCCGCCGCAGAAAATACAACCCATCGGTTGGACTTTTCGTTGACAGCGTTTTGTGCTCTCACAGTTGTCGAACCAATTAAGAAAATCTGCAGCGATGTCATGTATACCATGTCACTATTTGACACGAGTCGTTTTGTGATTAATCGAAGAGGTAGGGGCTTATTGCAAGTAAGGATTGACGGATGTGGCAGTCGGGCAGACAGTTCGATAGACTGGGGCATCGTATTTTCATCGCTCGATGCCGAACCTCCCTTGTCGGATTTGCTATTTGGAAGTAGAGAGCCTCGTCTTTTGGCGTCGGATAGCAAGGTCGGTTTAAAAGTGAACGGCCGGCGAGCATAGGCTTCTTGTCCGCTGCGTGGCTGACGAGGCGGCTCAATAGGCATAAACCGGAAGTTGACCAGGTATCTCCAATTCTCCTTCAGAAACCCAGGCCGCTGTACAGTTACTTTGATATAATATCGGATTTCGCATTCGTCATTGAGATTTCGAAATGTCGGGGGTAGCGTCTGCGTGACATGGCGTAGGTATAGCTGTCTTGTTCCGTCCATCACCCTCGCTCCGCGGGAACCAAACAAGCCCGTATTGCCAATGTTGCCCACGCTAGCAATACCTAGCGACATCATGGCATCCTGATCACTGCACAAGTTGTTGATTGGGATCTTAAAGTTGAACGGGAACGTGTGCTGGCCGGGTTGGAGGGGATACGACCCATACGGGCTGTTGTCGCTCGAATGGTACTCGTCAGGAAATACTTGTTGAATCTTGTACAGAATCTTATGGGTTTCAGTAGCCATTGTCGACGTCGTCAGCGACTCGTCCTTTTGCGTCCCGTCTGGTCCCCATATGTCGCGGACCTGGGGTCGTGTGACCGCCTCTCCCTCGAGCTTCACAACAATGCTTCCGACCTGCTCTGCCCTGTTCAGATGTAATGTCAACTGCCCTTTTATTGTATCGAGATTTGTATAAAACGGAGGTTGGTTCTCCAGATCGACTCGGATGGACATTTTGTCGTGGGGTAGCTCCGACGACGCCGGTGGACGTGACGCGGCGGGGAGAAGATCGGGAGTAGATTATTGATGATTAATAGTGTAACAAGTTATCTTTCATAATCTCTACCAACCCGTTTCTCTTGCTATTGTATTGTAAATCTGCGGTGGTGTTGATGCGAGGTTGCTTGCAAAGGAAGGAAAAAGAGAAGTGTGACGTCGTCGCTGTCAAACCCCACAAGCAAGCGACACCTCATCTTCGTGGCGGAGCGCTGGATTCCTTCAGCTTCTCGCTATTAAGCCGCCGCGTTGGCTCCGAAATCAACTGCGCACGGCGCAAACCAGCTCTAATCAGAAACAACCCGCACATAAATAGACCAGCGCCGTACTGTCAGCACTCGATGCATATTTTCAATGGACCCGACCTGTCAAACTCGCATACTTGTGTAGAGGGCTGGCCAATTGCCAATCACTAAGTTCCAGCATTACCTTAGCTGCTAGCTTGCAGAAGCAAGCAGGCTGCCCGCCACGTGCAGAACCCATTAAAAAGGCGCCATAGCAGCAAAAAACAGGCCATACTGACAGACATATCTACGACGCAGAAGCTCCATAAGCTGCGGCAGCTGATCGGCAGTTGGCCCTGGCCTGAACAATGCCAGAGGGCCTTCTGTTCTGTTGCTACTTGGCCCAGTGCACAACGCCACAAAACGCAGACAACCCACACCCACCATCTCCAGAAGCCCACCAAGCACCAGCTCTTTGACGCGAATCAGAACAAGCGATCAACCAGCTTTTCTAGCGTCATAAGGTACAGGATTCTATGATTTCGGTGTCTTGAGGTGACAGGCTCGCCATTAGAATGCCTCATCTGCCAAACCCGGGCCATGACTAGGGCACCGTTGCAACCGGCGCAGACAAACTTCCCACACGGCGCTTGGGGGCTAGGGGTCGATCGAAGAGGCGGCGGCTGGCTTTCCCAAAAGCGCGCTATTCCAGTGGCTCCATCGCTAGCAGCCAGGGCTCCTCTGCTCTGCGTAGCCGCCTTTCTCATGCGGTATAGGTCCACCGCTGAGGGTGTTGTGCGCTGCTCCAATCATCGTCGCATCGCCCACGGTTCCCACACCTCTACTCATGCACGCCGTCTTCTCTCGTCACACGCGTTTCCTGACCAGGAAAAGCGTCCTTTAGCACGACCCTAGGCCCTGTGGGTTTTACTGGCTGCCCCGTTTTCTAGCGGGCGGACCAGACTGTCGGGTGCAGTGTCTCTCCCCTCTCCTCACTCACTCGTCGGCAAGTCAGGCCCTTGTTCGGCTTGCACTACAAAAGAGCCAAATGGACAGGGATGTTCGGCCTCGCTCGCTGCTCTCAAAGCGTTTTGGTAGATCCCTACGCCGAGTGTGTTGGCTTTGACAAATGGTGGTGTGCTAGGAAGCCTAGTGTCAGTGAGTGTTGTTGGTTGGGTCGCTCGGTGGGTGCTCTCGTTGGGTCTGTTGGCTCGCAAGGCGTCGGCGATATTATCAGCCCCCGGGCATGCATGCATTGCAGAGAGTTGCATCGCTTCGACAAGTCTCGTCTATGGCCCACAGCCCTCCGCTCGACGGATAACAAGCGCGCCGCACGCAAAATGGCCGAGCTATTGTTCCCGTGAGGCGGACACTCAGCTCTTTAGAGTATATAGGCGCCTCCCCCAGCCCCCAAGCGCGATGCATGCTGTTGGTTCCTCGGCAAGCTCGTCGTCAATATTTTCATTCCGTGGCCAAGATGGCGAACGACTGCGGTTCTACATGTCCTGTTGACAACGGCTTCCTGTCTTATAAGCCAAACCTCCCTGCCAATGTCGTCCTCCTCGTCCTCTTCACCATCCTTATACCCGGCGTTGCGTTTCTTGGCTACCGCCACCAGACTCTGGCCTTCTCTGCTACCTTGTTGTTGGCCCTGGTGTTAAACTCCATTTGCTTCGTCGGCAGGATCTTGCTTCATGTTTCAGCGAGGGATGAGAGATACTTTTTCATCTTCTTCTTTGGAAGTATCCTGGGGCCAACCGTGGCCGCAAGTGCCATTTTCTTTGTTCTGCCCCATGTCTTGACAGTCTACGGGGAACACTTTTCCCCTTGCCGACCTACCACTGTTAGTTTCATACTTCATGGTGTACTGGGAGCTGCAGCATTAGTCGAGATTGCCGGCGCTGTCTTCTTTACTTATTCCTACGCAAACGTTGATGTGAGTTTCTCTGACCTAACTGGCATCTGATATTCGCTAATTTTAACACTACACAGAGATCACAGAGCGTTCGCATTATAGCTGCTGGGCTTGCTCTCCAGATTATAGCTCTAGTTGGGTCGGCTATTCTCTACGGACTCTTTACTCGAAACCTCCAGTCCAATCGTTCGTCATTGGACTTGAAACACTTCACAACCTACGGTAACAAGTCGTTTACCAGATTCAGACACAGTATGGCACCTATGAATCATCGTTACGTCCCTTCCACTAACCGATCACAGGCCTGGAAGCATCTGCCCTTCTGCTATTTATATATTCGGTTTATCGTGTTGCTGAGATGGCAGACGGTATCCGTGGAACCCTCTTCCAAAGCGAAACTGCGTTTATGGTTGCCGACGGTGCTTTGCCATTGCTATCATGCATCCTGTTGGCATTCTTTCCCCCAGGAGTAGTGTTTGGCTCAGCATGGAACGCAACATCTCTGCGTCGAGGCAAGCGTAGGGCGCCGCCTCCACCACTGCGACATGCGCAGGGCTACGATGCCCACCATCGATACGATCCTGATATACGCAAACAATTTTCGCTCGATTCGCAGAAGAGCCCAAAGAGCGCTCGTAGTAACCCACCCGAGGTACCCGAAGGATCTCCTGGGCTCCCTGCCAGCCCAAGACCTGCGCACAAGCTTCACAGCCCTACCATGATACCTTCACCAAGATCAGTCATGACTGGCAGCACGCAGCGCAACAGCAATCCCATAGAGAACAGAAGACAGAGCGCTTTCGACATGGTCGACAGTGATGCTATCTGGTAGTTTAATGGTAGCTAATGAATTATGAATCACATTAATCTACAAAATGGACAAACAAAGTGATCGTTCAAAACAATTAACAGGGATTCAGCGGCACGGGCATCTCACTGCCTCCCCGCCACGAGGTTTCATTTACGGCGATTAGCGGCTAGAATGAGCGTGATTTTCCCGTCAGCAGCAGCAGGTGGTATGATCAGACTCCAACGATACGTAGTATTATCGTCCTCGGAGAACCTTGTTGCGGATAAAACCGCCTCACTTGCGTGCTGCTGAAGGTGCCGACTCGGAGGTGGTGTCCTCTAGCACACTCGTCCCCACAAGGTATCCATCTGGATCACATCCGAGCGACGCCCATTCGTCCGCTAGGCGCTCAACGTCTCGCTTTGGGATAAGCTTGTATGCAGACCCCAGTCCTAGTGCATGCAACCCAAGTCAACTCGTCCCCCTAACAGCTCAGCGTTGAGACCATGTGCCTGCCTAGCAGAGAAACAATGTAACTGTGATCCTAGCGGCAAAGCGGGGTTGAGAGGAAACAGCAAGCGACAGGTTCCTTTGTAAGTTGGCTGTATCCAAAAGGATTGATTGTACGGGGCTGTACGCTTTTGCCGATCCATAGCAAATGGGAGGATTTGTGTGTAACCATGGTGTTGTCTACTGGCCTAGACTTCCCGCCGCCAGCCGCATTCAACGTGGTGCTTATGAAATACATACACTGCAGCTGTTGGGGTTGTGTCAAAGAGTTCATATAGGTTTCGGAAGGTGTATCGATGACATATTGGTGATCCGTCAAGATTGTCGTACCATAATGTGCAACGCAAGTGTGTTTTCAGCACAGTCGGTCTAGGTTTGCGGACAAGAAGGTGGCGGGCCTGCTTCTGCATTTTGCTTTGTTGTTGAATAATTCTACGTTGTCTAGTAGCCTTTGCAAATAAAAACCACCAAACCTTGGCTTGCCACCTGTCACAGCTGGCAATAGAGCTGCAACTGTCGTGAAAGGCGCACACGGCGCTAGATTCTGTGCCACTAGCTTTACCGGATTTTCTTTTCTGTTTTTCAAAGTCAAAGAAGTTTCGCCACAAGTACATTATTCATTTTCCATGTAATTTGTTTCTATTGTTGACCGAACTACTCGCCCAATTGCGTGACTTGCTCGATTTTATTCAATGCAACCCAACAAATGACAACACCATGTGGCGGCCCATAACTTCAGAAACGCAGGCCTATGCCGTCGAATCTACTAGACTTGATATAAAGTTTTCTGAATAAAGAAATATCATCCGCGTCAGTAATGAGAGTGTATTGGTAATGGTCTGCGGCATAAAAACCATCATGGCAAATATGCGCGCAACACTTGCAGATGTACTAGACCGAAATGGGCTTGGAATTGTGGTGCATTGCGAGCAGTTTTTCCTTTAAAATATTACAAGAGCCATTTATATCAAGTATAAAGTGTATTAATTGCTACAAAAAAGCAAATAGCAATTAAAACGGCGATCGCAGATGCGTGTTAAATCTCGTGAGTCTGTTTTTTAACATTAGCAATGATACCCGTAGACCTACCCCGCTCACCACTCACTTCCACTATCAACATCTAATGGCTTCCTCTGACAGCACGCAGAAAATCTTGGGTATATGCCCCAGGCTTAGCTTTTATCCTCCATTGTTGAATTCGGCTTCACCATGGGCTACAAACATTGATGATTTGACTGTGTTGGCCAAGTCTCCCTTCACTGGCGCCGTGACGACGCGAACTTCCGTTCTAGCGGAGAGCGGCTTTGACCATCAACAAGAACGCCACAGATATGTGTTTTTTGACCCAGTAAATGGTGTTACGCATTCGAATGGATCTCGAGATGGCCCAAGCCCCTCATCAGAATGGGCAATTGCTGGCGAGGATGGAAAAGTAGCCACGTTGAATTCACTTGGCTATAGCCCGCTCTGTCTGCAAAAATATATAGACATCATCTCCAAATTATCCACTGACGAAGCAATCAGCCCCAAAACATTCATCATCAGCGTCACAGGCTCCCCGGAAGATGTCAAGGGTTGCTATGATACCATTGCTTCTGCTCAAAACATTCGCTTCCCACTCGCCATGGAAGTGAATCTTAGTTGCCCCAACATCCCTGGGGTTCCACCACCAGCTTACAACCGAGACGAACTCGTTCGCTACTTGAATCTTCTTCCGGCACACCCAACTATCCCTGTAGGGTTGAAGACACCGCCCTATACGCATGATGGCCAGTTTAGGGAGCTCATGTCCGCACTCAAGGAGCACGCTGGGAAGGTCAGTTTCCTGACGGCTACAAACACGCTGGGATCCTGTTTGGTTTTCAATGGAGATATGGCCGAAGCTTTACCAAGTCAAGACGGGCTTGGCGGCATGGCCGGGCCAGCATTGCATCCTCTTGCCTTGGGTAATGTACGGTCGCTGCGAAGAATGCTGGACGATGCGGGTCTGTCAGAGGTAGACATCATCGGCGTTGGAGGAGTTAGTGACGGAAGTGGTTATCTGAGAATGAGAAAGGCTGGAGCGTCAATGGTTGCGTTGGCTAGCGGTTTGGGCAGATTTGGAGTCGACGTATTCAAAGGCATTAGTAAAGATTTGAACGGGCAGTGGCAGGCGCTGGGTTGAAGTTAATTAATATATTTGATAAAAGTTTATCGAAGCTATGGACTCATTACAGAGTGCATCTCGGCAAAACTAGTGCCAATACCGGCATAATAGGGTATATATATAACCAATCCAGAACACCAAAAATTGCTAAACAAGGGATCTTGCGACTAAAATATATCGGTTCCCAGCAACGCTTGCTAAGCTAAATAGAGCCGGTGTTCTCATGGTCATCATCAAAAAACGTGTAGATCAAAAGACTTGCGTATAATGTTACCCGAGAACTTGCTTCTCAGTGCCGTTAAGTGTGAGCTGTGGATTCTCCGTATCTGTTGGCTGTTTGCGAGGCACTCCCTTGGGATCAACCAGGAGTCTTGCGTCGCCAACGGAATCCAGGAATGCTGGGTATAAAAGCATAGCGATTTGAATAGCCACAATGACAAAGAATGCTGTTTGAATGGTACTGCCGTTGCGAGTGATACCATACATGACAAACGGGAAGAAAGCGGCGCCTGATCCGCCCATTGTGATGAAGGCTGCCGCGCGCTTAGCCCGGCGGCCTTGTCCACGGAGGCCGATGGCGAATATAAGAGGCCACATGGGGCCTTCCGCAAAGAAGAATAGCGCCATGGGGATGAACATGAGATTCGGATTCGAGGTGCGGAGGGTGGCGAGGAGGATGGAGAAGATGAGGCAGAGAACCACGCTGATTGTTAGGAGGGTGCGTGGGCGTGGGAGGAAGCGATGTTTGATGGATAGGTAGCTGACAATTGCAGCTAAGAAGCGCGATACAGCAAAGGTTGTATGAGCGAGGAGGAGGTAGTCGGGTGTAGAGAGGGCTTGGCCGAGAGGCTGATTGGGATCCACAGGAGGTGTTGGGCCCGTTGTCGCATTTGCAGTATTGGTTGGTGTACTGGCCTTTGCAAAGAACTTTAGCATGCTGCCAAAGAAGATGCTAGTGCTTTCCTGCGCAGCAACGTAGAGATACTGCGAGGCAACAGCCAGAATAAGGTTCACTGTCCGCAGTTGCAAGCCAAAGAAGCTCTTCTTTTGAGTGTCAATAGGGACATGCTTAGCAGAATCTTCTAGTTCTTTGTCGCTGACTTCTGGTAGAGGCATGTAGTAGAAAAAGAGGCCGAGGATTACACATAACAGTGTAACGCCCAAGTATGTCCACTGGACGTTGATAAGAGTCAATCCATTGCTTGGCTCGTCGACATCGATATTGGCAAAAAACACTTTTTGTGCCAGTAAACCGCTGATGACGCTGCCTATGGCTTGCAAGGTCTGAGCCAATAGTAAACGTGTTTCGCCATGTTCTCGCGGGCCGCAAAGAATCATGAAAGAGTTGGCTCCGACTTCCAGGACGGAGAGCCCAAATCCAACGATAAAGTTACTCAGCATGAAGCCTCCATATGAATTGGTTACAGCCGACGGCCAGAAAATAATAGTTCCAATACCGTAAATGCAGAGGCCAAGGATAAATGTGGCTTTGTAACCGCCAACATTCTCCGTCTCGTGCTTTCGAAGTTTTCTTGTGCGATGGTGCTCATCTCGGCGTAGGATCCATTCTCCAACTAATAGAGGACCAAAGAAGTAGCCACCGCCGAAGTAGGCACTTGTTAAGCCTAGAGTCTCAGCTCTGGTCATGTGGTTGACAGTAGCAACGACATTGTTGAGAGTGTTTAGCAATCCGTACGACAGTCCCCATAACAGGAAGAGCACAGAGACTATAGTACAGTATTTGAACGACTCCTTGGCGTTGCATTTGAGCATACTCTTAGGCCGGGCCATATTGACAAAGCCAAAGTAAATCGCGTTGCCCTGTACTGTGCTTGCGGAGCTCAACACATTCGTATTGTTGGAGCGGGCTTTCGCAATCATGGCTGCCTCGGAATTCGTATTTGTATTGTCGCTGACTGAACTCATATCTGGCGTCGTTAGAAACTCCATCGCTGAAACTGGCTCTACTGCGTCAGCGGTCGAGTTGCGGCCCTGGATCGGAGCAAGGCTAGGTGCTGGTGGTGCAACTGGGCTATTGTCAGCCGCAGCAGAGTGCGAATCTGTTACGCCTTTGCCGGAGCTGTGAGTTCGAGAACCGTCGGGGTCGTACAGCATGGCAGGAAGAAGTCGTACTACCAGCGGCTTCAAGGTTGGGATGCAGGCACAGGTCATACCAACGTTGACTTCGACGGCGCTCCACATGAGAGACAGAGACGCGTTCCAAGCAAAGTCGCCTTGTCCGCCAAAGCGAACTCCATCCTCCGAACCAGTTGTAATTGGTACCTGACCAATGGCTTGTTGAAGGTAGTAGATACGGACTACGTCGACAATAGTAACGAAGATACCGAGAGCAAATGTAAACACAAGAATAGTCTTTTGCCGCGACGGCAAACGCATCCCTGTGAGTACGGGAATTGGCAATGCAAGAATAGCCAGGTCCGTTACAATATTGACGGGTGCGGCGCATATGAATTCGGTAAGAAGAGGGATGCACTTGGTCCCAGCATCGACTGTAGCACTCCAAGCTGCGTGAATCGGCATGCATTGAAAGATATTGAGAAGCGTGAGGACGAGTCCTGCGAGATTGACCACAATGAGGGTGGTCCATGACGCAAATCGCAGGACGTTTTGCGTATTTTTCGCAAGTCTGAGGTAGAAAATAAGGATACTTGTTTTCGTTGCCATCAAGGCAGGGTTCTGCGACAGTGGTTAGCTTGCGCACTCTATTTGGAGCTTGCTGTACATACGTATAATATAGAGAAGACATATTCGGTATGGCGAAGTGTTTGCCAGCTGCTCTTGGGAACATCGGCATCATGCATGCCCAGGCCATTGGCGGCGCCGAGATCAATGGTAAAGGACAAGAAAAAGGCGAGGAGCCAGGCCAGGACCATGACCTTGTCGTCCCAAGTTACATTGCGCACGATGAAGATGCGACAGACCAGGCGAGCTGCGACAAATATTGACGCGAGCACCAGCGTCGCAGTGGTAACGGCGAACACAGCCGGTCCTCTATTAGGGACATACCCGGGAGACGATGTTATGCTGGGGTCCGACATGTTGAGGTCATCGAAGACTGGTCAATAGCGCACGCCAGGCACGACGGCACAGAGGGAGAGATGTATATTCGACAGGCGCGAGAAGGCGGGATATATTATTGAAATTCCATGGCGATGAAAATGAGATGCTTTGTTTGCAATGGGCGAATTTTAAGAGATGGTAAGGCGAAGTTATGACTTCGCCCAGACGATCAGTTTGCCGCCGAATACGAGTGGCTCTCTCAGAGGGCGCGAATGGGTTCGGTTTAAAATTCCGGGTCGAGCATACAGTACGTCACGGGCGGATTCCACACGATGGCACCGGGGCTTGCGCTGGAAGCGGATAGTTAGTTAGGTTTGTGTGGCTGAGACGCGCAAAAGCCAGCAACGAAGGAAAAGCAAATCGCAGAGACAGCAGCAAACGATGATTTGTTTGTGAAAAAGTTGAACTCTATCTCAAAAGAAAGAGCAAGAATATTCTGCTGCCGGACGGTGATGGAGAAGAGAAAGAAGGCGGAAAGAGGGGAGTCAAGAAGACGTTGGGATGTCGATTCTCAGCCAACCGCCAGCCGGCTGCGGCGGTCCGTTGCCTCGCGCCAGCTGTCCGCCGGCCGGCAAAAAAGAGCCATCGGCTCCAAAGAGAAAAAAAATTATAGGCGATAAAAAGGCGCTGTGGAGGTCTCCCCACCACCCCCCTCAGGCTTGTAGTGAACCCAGCACACTGTTAGCGAACCCGGTCCATCCGCACATTAGCCGTTGTTTGAATGAGCGCAGAAAAGCGCCAGTTTGTTTGCTATTGCTAGCAAGCATCGCCAAGATTGGCAAAGTTGCGGGAGACAGCATACGCCTCTTGTCCCGTGATCTTGAGTATTCTGAGACACTCTTTTCTCTCTTTTTGCTGTCGGTTATTTATCCAGCTGCTACTACGTCAGGCCAGGCATCGCCGCACACAAAAAAGAGGCTTTCAAAGCCAAGGCTTTGGTTTGCTATGTGTCTCTACCCAGCCGATCGTCCACCGCCACTAAGTTAGTCCGCACTAGGAGCCACTAATCGGCCAGCATTTATGGCGGTGCCGAGTCGCGTTGGTTACGAGCCATGGGAAGTGTGCACGATGGATGACGGCGAGGCGCATAGGTACCTTGTCTTGATTCCTCAACGCAAATCGCGATGCTGTCATGATTCCTTCTGATTAGATGTACAAGAGATCGTACCATTCAAAAACTTTAAGGGTCTGTTCCAGAACAGACTTCTTCTTTTTTTCGTTGGCTGGATCCCACCATCCATCGCCAATGCAACCTTGGAGAATATCGGAAATCCACCCACAGTGTTATTAAGTTCATCGGCGACTGTGACGGCGCAAGGGTTGTTTGCGCAGGAGCGGCTGGTTGTCCGACGATGGGTGCGCGCACCGTGTTTATTACTGCTCATGTCATAACAGTCAAAGCCTGCAGGTAGTAGAATTTATCACAAACCCCGCGGGTCTAGGATGCTGCAATAGCCGATTATTTCCCTTCACGGTATACACCGCCCTGCCAGCACTTCCACTGTAAACTTGCCACTCATCTGTACGATTTGATATTACTGTCAAGTGTCAAAATATTGAGATTAGCGGTCCTGCAGTAGTAGTATTACATGTACCATCAGCTATGAGACACAGCATAGACGCTCGAGGCGCAATGCGGTCAAGTGAACTATCCGATACTCAACATGCACGCGGTTTCATCCCCAGCCGCAAGTGAGCCATTCCAAGGGGCCTACAAGGGTTCCTTGTTTGACTGCATAAAAGTCGGAGAAAAATAAGCATCTTGTCTTATGCCCACTCGCCAAATGGGTAACGGTGCATCTGTTGCTGACAGGGGGATTGCTGCCCGTTTGTCCTCTAGTGGCTGCGCTGAGGGGGTCCAAAGGGCCGATTAACATATGCTGTCTCGCGCACCATCGCCGGGCTCTTCTCCGGCCCCGACGTACAGCGTAGAGCTTTTATTACGCTGTTTTATATGTGTCATTTTTAATATCATGTGTAGACTGCATAGGGCAACGTTGAAAAAAAAGACATGTATTAAAATTGGTATCAATGAGTATGCAGTGGCAAACGTGATTGCGGGCTCTCCCCAGACGTACTCCTTTCACCCAAAGCGCCGGGCCCCCTAGTCGTAATGTACATCGTTAATAGATTCCTGCTAAATTCAGGCTCCTTGATAATCCTCCATCTGATATATACAAGCGGTGGCGGCCATTAATGGGCCTGCGGCACCGTCCCCGCTCCGGCGAGGAAGAAATCCAGTTCACTCCCAGATCCATTGCTGAATCTCTGCTCATTTTCTGCAAGCTGTTCTAATAGCGTGAGGAAGGGGTCCTTTTCCTCGCTCTGTGTTCCAGTGCTTCCGCTATTGCTCTTATTGCTAGGGCTATGCACCGACCCAGACCCAGTTTGGCTGGCTGTAGTGTGATGCTGGTCATTCTGAGTTTGCCAGGCCGCAGGACTGCTGTAGGCGTTTGTGGGGAGGCTGCTAAACATAGGATCGAAATTGCTTGTTTCGTTTGGCAAACCAGAATTAAGGGCATACGTAAATGACGGGCTGAATGGAACGTTGCCTAGTGGCGTAAGGCCGGACGCGGACATCGATGCGGGGGAATAGGCAAAACCGCCCATGCCGGTAGCGCTGCTCGACGATGTAGGTGGGGGTCCTTGTTCGACGGTGCTTCGAATTGCGCTAATGTGTCGGTCTCCAGTTTCAACAGAGGGAATAGGTGCTGAAGACGTAGAGCTCTCGGGAGTTGGGCCGGCATGCATTGATACAGATCGATTGTGGTATGTTGACGCAGGAGTAATCGGTCCGTTCGCCATCATGGCTTGCATATCGGGACGGCTGCGGCCCGAGGGAGCGGTGTTCTTTCGCTTGATACCTTGCTGTGGCTTGTCGCTACGTTGCGGCGGCTGCAGCGCCTGGGCAGCTTGAACATCAGCCATATATTCCGTTGGGATGTCAGAAAGTGTAAGACTAGCGGATTCGAAGCGAAGGGCTGAGCCCCCGGCACCACCAACGTTGGCATATCTGTCGAAAAAGTCTTCTAGCTGAAAGCCAGGTGTGTACCGGATCTCATTGTTTGCTAGACCTTTGAGAAGATCAGCATGCGCATTGCGAATATTCTGTAGCATCACCCTTTGGTATTCAATGCTTGACCATCTATATCTCAACTCGTTCAGGTGCTGCAACTCGCGAGCAAGGTAGTCGGCAGAAGGCGTAAAAACGTTTAATTCGCCACCCTGTCCAGAATTGTAGTGTGCGCCATGTACATGGACTGTGCCAGCAGTACTAATACAATAACCGATAAACGCTGGCCATTCGGTTTTGCCCATTTGAAATCCCAAATCTACAAGTTCCGCAATGGCATTGGCATGAAGGAAGCACATATTGGTAGCTTCAATTTGCCATGATTGATGTTGCCCATTGCCCGCGAGCTCGGAGAGGTCGATTGGGAGGAAGGGTCGGTAGATGAGGCAGTGGATGAGATGGTAAATAAGCTTGCTGAGCACCAAGACTGTCGAATCCGATTGTCCGAAGAGGGTTGCGGTAGTCGAGAAGATGTTATTGGTGCTAGTCGCCCAAACATCCAGATCTTGGCGGATCTTTGATAGATTGGAGAGCGAATGCCACGGGAAGTGGGAATCGCCCTTCACTCCACCAGCAGCGAGGTAGCGATTGGTGATACCGAGCACCCTGGTAATGTCAATAAGCAAACCAGTGCTTCCCTGGCTCTTCTTTCCATTCCCTTGAAGATACTGGAGATTGGAACCGCAGTGAAAGAATTCGCCATCAACTGGCATCGAGGATGGCTTTGCAGACCAAGATGGTAGTCGAAGGACAATCGATTCATCGCTAATGAGTGAGGGTCGCTTTGATCCACAGGCGAGATACCGGTCAAGAAGATAGGCGGACCAAAACAGATTTCGTCGGTTCTCGCGCTCGACCGGTGTAATTTGGGCTTGTAAATCAGCTTCGCGGTGTAGCTCTAGTGCCATAGCCATACCAACAGCGTTGGACATCGCCATGAACGCTTTCTTGCCCTTTCCGGCGGCAGTAAAGGCTATCACAAGAAGTAGTAGTGCTTGCAAGCTATCCACTGAAGGCTCGTCGATGGTGACGGCGTTGCGTGACTTGAACGCGTATTGCTCACTTAGTTTCACCGCAGCCATGTGTCCATGTGGGTGTGGAGTGAAGCGCGCAGCGATGGCACCGATAGCGTCGCAAAGCACATCCGGAAGCTGGTTCAGCTGCAGTCGTTGTCTTACGGAGGACTCGTCAAGAATCTGGTAAGGCTTTCCATGGAAACGACTAAAGTAGGTGTTTACCAAGGCGTCCATACCAATAGTGATGACGGGAGGTTCCCTTTAAAAGAAAGAGCGTTAGTTAGCTGTATTATACCCGGTGTATCTATGCTACTCACATTGTTGATGTTTTCGGGGCAATTATAGGTAGGTTTTGTTCTGGGGACTTGTTGATCTCGCCAGCATGGCGCTTGGCTGGAGGCTCCTGTGGTTCATTGGCGTCGGGTTCTTCAACCTTGTAGGATGGTAGGTCGCCGCCAGCAGCACCTTCTGATGAACTGCCAGCTTCGTCGGCATTCTTCTCCTTCAACTTGGCTTCGAGGCCATCGACTCGCTTCAGCAGCGCCTCAAGCACGTCCGTCTTAGGACCGCGCTTCTTCGGTACTGCGTCGTAAATGCAAGGGCATTGGAAGAGCTGGCAAGCTTCGCATGACGGTCGCATGCGGTTGCATTTGATCTTTCTCTTTCGGCACGACTTGCAGTTCATGGACTCACGGGGCTCATTGTTCTGGTTGCGGGCAGGCAATCGCTCGATTCCAACAACCTGGGGTCGAGGAATAGCCACGCGATTGGGCCCTGGGAACTGCGAGTCCGACATTGCTTCTTGCACAGAAAGCATCCGTACGTCGCTGTGCTCTGGCTGGGTGTTGGAAGAGCGTACAAGCTCGATGTGAGCAAAGCCAACGCCCGACAGCAGCGGTGGCGTGTGCGTGTAGAGAGAGCGACAGCAGAGACTGTGACCCGAGTGTAATAATACGGCTCGTCGTTCGATTCGCAACGGGTTCGTGGAATGGTGATGGAGGAAGCAGGGGATGAAGTGAGCAGGTGCTCGCAAACAGACTTTTGTCGGAATGAATGGGCAGTGTCGTAGTCAAGCGTCAAGGTGCGGAGAGACTAGTCAAGTAGCGTAGTGGCACCGCTGCAATCGTGAAGCGCCAGAGTCAAAGTTAGTTGGGGGTGGACTGAGTCGGAGAAACTAATCATCAAGTAGGAGGGAAAATAAGACGGAAGACGATGAAGAGAAAGAGGAAGACGAATAAAATATAAAAACAGAGCAAGAAATCGTGAAGAGCGGAAACAATGAACGCTTTAGACTTGGGTGGGAGAGGAAGAGACAGGGTGACATGGATCAGATTGGCCTTTATTCAACTCGCCCCCGGACAATCCTCAGGTGGTGGTTGCAGCGCTACTCCTTCTGTAACGAGTGGAAAGTACAGTGGCTCAGAGGCGTCACCGTGCCGGGGGGTGCTGTCCAGGAAGAGCTGGCGGGACCCTAGGCGCTGGGGAGGGTGGTGGGGACTCGATTTGTGAGGAGCAAACCTTAGTGGGAAGCATGTACCTCGGGCAGCGCGATGCTAAGGGGGGTACATGGAACAGATGGCATCTGCCTTCACTAGCATACGGCCTAGGGAAAATCGTGGCCACGAGGCGTGTTTGTTTGCCAGACACGATGGGGCCAGAGGGGCCTGCTTCAGTGGATTTGTTCCCGCTCTCTAGCGGCTGCTTCAGTGGGGGACTCAGTGGGTTAGCGCGGATAAGTACCAGCAAAGTACCTCTGCCAGACGGCATTTCCCTTGTCCCCTCTCTCCAGGTTGTTCGTTTATTCTTTACTGCTTTCCCTTTTGAGGTTCCTCTGATTCGCCTTTCTATCAGGGATGTCAGCCCTGTCTGTTATTTTTTTTCCGGGTTTTCTTTTTTTAATCCCAAACAGTAGAGTGGACTCAAAAGCTTCCATTCGATGCTACAGAAGGCCAGGTTCCGTCCAAAGGTTTGAATTGATCCGCCGATTGCTACGAGACAATAGAATGATGCACCCAGCGTCGTAATAACTCTTCCCGACTCCCTCTAGCCTACTGCGGCAGACATTGTAATGTCCACTAGGCTAATCCATCGAGCGTACAAAGGTACACCATTGTACTTGTTCAGACTACGGCTGCCGAGCATAGCGCTACCAACCCTCCCCAGTTGTCTTAGTAAGAGTGGTATCGCAACTTTTAGCATCGACTTTTCAATTTTCCGCATATCCCAAGGCAGACGGGGGCCAAAAATAAAGTACAGCTCAGCCGATTAACAATGTCTACCAAGTGTAATCGATGATGGTCTAGAAGGTTGGGCGCCTTAAGAGGACAAGGCGCGTGTACTGGAGAGCAAGCCACTGAAAACAATAGTTTGGTTTTATTATTTGTTTTAGGCGAGCAGCGACCTTCCACGGCAAAAGAAACCTAGCCAAAGTATGCTAACCCCACGTAGCTACCGACAGAGAATAGCTCCAAGACGAAAACGAGATGACGACTCAGCCCAACAACAACGTGAGGGCTCGACTATCCGCTCAATAGCCCCAACAAGGTCATCCTATACTCTGTGATGCAGCCGATGGTTACGATTGGGCTACTGGGGCATGGCCCAGCACTGATCTCTACCAATGACACGGTCGCCACGCTGTCGATGGTTTACGTGAATCGAGGCTAAGAAAGCCCGCTACAGCCCACGCTAGAGGCCTTTGGGTGGGCTGCTAGCTCAGGCGTCCCCGTGAACACATTAGCTCTCCGATAAGGGGGGCACAGATGTCAACGCGAGCAAGCCAATCTTCTTGCCCTGAGAATGAGATTGCCGGCACTTGCCTGGCTCGTGGCGGCAGCCTCTTGCCACGCAACAGCTAGAAGGTACCTGGAACATGCAACGAACAGTGGACTCTGCAGTGCAGCGTCGATGTAGAAGAGCTTAGCTCGTCCCAGCCCAAAGTCGGGCTCCCCGGGTACCACACCACCATTTCAGAGACTTGTCGCACCACTCAGCCTTTTGCATCCCAAGACGGTGATGCACAAGCTCAACCAGAAGGTGGCAATACGCGTCAAGTCTGCAGCATCATGGGTCAATACTATGGTGTCTTATCCTTCCAGGTCTTCCACTCTGATCGACGAACCGCAAGGGTGGCTTGTCTTCTTTCGGCCAACCTTCGGCGCGATGCCATAGCCCACGCTCTAATACAAGGCATTGCTGGCTCGCGTGGCAGTCCCAATCCGGTTACTCGAACGTATATTACAATGCACAAGAGAAACAGGGTGTGAAGCTTCTCACGCATCAGCCCCATCCTTCTCTAGGCAACATCTAACTAGGCGAAACTACATGTCGCCGTATCTGAAACCGTCTAGCGGTGCCAGGGCAGCCTCAACAAGGCTGTTCTGTCTTCAATCTTCCGTCTACGTTTGCCTCGCAACTGCGTACTATTCATCTGGTGTTTTCCCAAGTTGAACTTGGTGCAACTTTAGCGTGTTGAAGCCGGGTGGTTGTATTGGACAGGACGTTGCAACCATGTCGTTTGCAAGATAATTCAGACAAAACGGCTTGCAACTTTGGGCTGAGCACTGGAATCACTCTGCAGCCACCCATCAGCTCAGTTTGTGGCACAAATGTCATCTTAGCAAGAGACAAAGGGCGACAACAATTTGTAAGCCTGCCGGCAGAGGCACCGGCCATTTCTCCGTAATTTGGGCCCAAGCTTTTTGAGCCTCCCAACTCCCCACCGCCCACCCACTCTTGAGGTCAAGTAGCCCCGAAGAAGCGCAGAGCTGCCGCTGAAACATCGCCTAGGGTTCCCCGATTCAGGGCCACGCGACGCCTTGCTTACGGTGTACGGTTCCCGAGGGCTCGTATTAGTGCCAAAGTTCCAATACGCCCTGTGGAATAGCGCACTGGCAACCCGCTCGATGCTATCAGGCATGGTTAGCGAAGCGTGCCACGATGACACAAAATATTTGAAAATAGGAATCAAGATAACAGTTGCAACGATTGCATTGGCTCGGTATGGGCTAGATTCCTCATTTAGATACAAAACAAGCACGTAATAACGGGCAGCGCACCTGCAGGACGGGCTCTCCGGTTGTGGGAACTCAATCGACAGGCGGAAAAATAGAAGAACATTGGCTGTGACTAGGCTGGAATGCGAAGGATCTCTCCGCAGCGAGCGCCACATGAATTCATTGGACGCTACGCACCAAGAGGAAAAAGGGCCTAAAGCACGTTGATAGTACACGATCTGTCAATCTCTAGAATTATGTTGCATTGCGCTACGGTAAATATCCGAAGAAAAGGAGGCCAGCGCAGGTGCGTGTCGAGAGCTCAGGCCCTGGGCGTGCGTGATGCACACATCGGCTGGCTCTGCTGTAATGCCTGGTCTGCGTCATCCCTGCTCGATGCGACGACCAGCATTGGGGGAAATGATGAATCGACACCGCAATGTGTGCAATTGGAAAGCTCGCGATGGGCACCAGAGACCGCCTGAGCCTCGCTTGGAGGACAGTGGGTTGATTAGGAACTCGTGGGCTCCGCTTGAGGCAATTGTGCTGCTAGACAGCATTGCTTGGCCAGAACAATGTCACCAAATCTGCGGCGAAACAGTCCTCTACAATGGACAACGGCAATGACATGTCAACAGTCGTAGCGGAAGAAAAGGTGGCTTGGTAGTCGATGCGACAGGGCACTTAAGACCAACATCCAATCAGTACACCGTGTAGTGAAGAAGATTTCAAGAGCAGGGTCGAACAACTCGCGAGGCAGCGAATAGAAGGGCGCGAACATTACGATCTTTGCTGGCCCGGAAGTCGCTGAATCTGCTTCTGGCCCCAAGTACCGAGCTGGTACCTCGACGTTCCCACAGTGGACTAGAAAACGGACCACAGAACGCAGTGTCTGTGAGGTAATGGCGCTGCTTGGCTAACCCACCTCTCTCCCGGTGGAAGATATTCATGTTCAAACAGTGGGCAAGGCTGATGAAACATGTGTGCGCGCTCATCACGTCCTGCGATTGGCAACTTCGTCGTGATAATTTCCAGACCCCCACTCAAGGAGGCACGACCCGGCTGGCAAAGGGAAGCTTTGGTTGCATTCTAAAGATGAGGATACACTTGCAACACGACCCGGATCGCAAGCTTTTACGATGGGAGCCAACAGCCTGTAAGCGCTACCCTGGTGCCCCGACGGGGCCGTGGATCACCCAGCAAGGCTCAAGCTGCGTACAAGAACACGGCTAAATAGTCGGCATTGACTGGGGACTTTTTGTTCTATTGGAGTTCCACCAAGCTGCCAAATCGCTGCCGGTGCCCTCCCCGGCTTAGGCTTTCCTGTTTGAATATGCAATGGCAGGGCGCTGGGACCTTCACCGCACAAGGACGGGGCGGCGTTTACAGCGCGAAGCTTTCAAGACTTACAAATCATGCAGCGTGCCCAGAACTCCAAAATTTTGTTTAGGAAGGTCAGCATGAGACCACCGCACTATTTGAGAGAAATGGAATTATCGTAATGCGACAACTCGTTCCAAGAGCAACGTGCTTCTCCCTACGCCAGCCAACTAACGGTTCATTGGAAGCTGGTAGGAGACACCCCGGAGATGTCATAATTCCAGAATTTTCGTCAGTGACACGTTAACGGCAAGAAACACAGAAACGGTTATATCAAAAAGTGACTGCCGCATTATCCTATAATGGTACTTTGAGCAGAAGAGACTAAATAAAGGAAAAAAACAGCAAACTCCAAAAGGGCATGAAGCAACGAGCCCTGGTCCCAAAAATGAACGCTCAAGAACCTGCACCGGCGTCCCCAAGTCGTTGCTTTCCTCCAACCTTGGTTCATAATGGATCCCTGTTCTTCTAGAACTGCTTTGCCCCATAGCTATCAGGGCCACCTGCATGCTTGAGAAGCGCCCGCGGCGTGCGGCGCAATAGATGCACCATCTCCATTGCCGTTTTTCGTATAGCTTTCCCAGCACCCTCTCCTAACATACCTAGTTCCTCCGATGCCCAGAAATGACACCAAGCCATGAGGCTCACAGATCGCCACTGTGGAAACGAACGCCATATACCTGTAAACCAACCCCCTCTCCAAAAAGCACCAATGCGAAAATTTAGTTATGGATGTGAAATATTGTCCGAGATCATGCCAGGAAATGTTCAGCCTCGCATTTACTGGTATAGACTGTTCCCGCTGGCCAGTCTAACAAAGCTGTAGGGCACGTTTTGTCCGACGAGGAGACGCATGCTCTCTACCGTTATGAACGCGGCAACATCTGCAGCGCCATACGCAGAGAAGCCGTGCTTTTCCGCGATAGCGCCGGGGTCGCTGGCTTGTCTGTCAGCTCCACTTGCGAGGTCGAGGAATACTCGGCGGCGAGCTGGTGTCTGCGGATCAGTTTGTTGCTGGCCAGGCCCGCTGAAGACACGCAGCAGCATGCCAACCAGGTTGCTCTTGTCGGGACCGAGAGCGGATACAATGAGAAAAGGCGCGCTCTCGTCGGTAACGGAACGGGCCTTCTGGAGGCTTTCCATGCTGATGAACTGCTCGATTGGTGGTGCATTACGGGCCAGGTTGGATGGTGTGCGGAAGCCCACTGTGAAGATCTTGGCAACTTTGAGCGCCTTCATGGCGAAGAAGACTGGCGCAGCATCATCAGATGAGGAAGCGACCACGACTGCAGAGCGGCCCGCGTATGCCGAGGGGGCAAGATCGCGTGTCAAGGTGCGGAGGATTCCCTTCCAGCTCACATTATCAAACACAAGAGTTGGGCTTTGGCCTTGGCCAGTAAGAGGAGGCGGCGCTAGAGTTTGTGCTTCGCCAATCTTATGCTGCGGGCTTGATGGCATAGACGGCGGTCTTGAACCTGCACCAGAAGCTGGGGCCGGCTTCACGACGATAGTGTCGACGATGCCAATTACACGAGCAGCCTCGGTCAGCACTGGACCATCGCCGTTGTTGATCGTGGCGAGGAAGCGATTATGCTTCGTGAGTGAGCTATGGGATAGCCCTGGGTCCAAGTAGGCACCACCAAAGAAGCGCTGGTTAAAGAGGGCCTCGAGCCCGGCAGGGTTGCTGCTCGGACGTTCAATCACGGCAAACTGATGAGGAAGACCTAGCTCGTTGAAGCACTTTTCATAGAAGGGGGCACGGTGGCCCTTCATTCTTGTGACACTGTTGCTGATGCCATAGTAGCTCTTCCTGGCGATCTGGCCCAGCTGGGCGAGAGCAATGTTGATTTCAGCAGCGCTGAGTTGACCGGGGGCAGCGATGATCGGGAGGAGCGGGTGAGTGATGGGCGTGAATGTCTTGTTGAGAGTTCGGGAGAATTGGCCGACTTCGCCCATGTTGACGGCAGAGAATGGCGGCGCATCAGGGAACTCAGCACATACTTTTGAGCGAAAGTACTCAAGCTCGAAGTTCTCGTTGGGCTCGTTAATGATGGCAATCATCTTGATGATATCAGCGTACTTCATGGAACGCTCAAATACATCAAGCGCGTGCTGCGATGGCCACTTGAAGGTCCCTGAGAAGTCGTGGAAGGCTGACATGATGCGAGAATTGCCCTTTTCCTCCCAGAGCTTATGGCGGATTTCTTCTGGCAGCCAGAGCTCAACATCGATATACTCAATGCCCCATTGAATGGCTCGGTAGAGATACTGGTAGTAAAGTTCGGGTCTGTCCATGGGGAAACGGCCATTTTCTTTGGTACATCTGGTTGTGAAGATGATGGGCAGCTCGGTTCGCTGGCGGAGCAGCATGACCTGTTCACCGACGTATTTTAAACTGGGTATATCGGAGAACTTGCCATCTCCAATAGGTTCCTGGAGCAAATCTACACGAAGTTCAACGGCATCGGATCCCACAGTTAGGATGTCGAGATTTGGGAGGGCTGTTCGGACGTCGGGAAAAGTTGTTGAGATGAAGAGGGTCCGAGGCTTGGCCATCAGCTCTGTGTGGTGGCATATTTGACCAAGAACAAATGATATAAAGCGCGACAGGTCTTGTCGGAGGAAAGGTTGTTGGGTATAGAGGAACTCGTAGTCGCACTGCGCTGAGAGGTGCAGATCCGGTGGCATACCGAGCTCGACGCAATGCGCGTTGATGGCCACGACGAGGTTCTTGTTCCGTCGGTCAATATCAGCCTTGGATTCCGAAGCAGCGAGGCCTATAACAACATCGCGATCTTGTTCGGATACCTGGGAGAAGGTTTGGCGCATGCGGCAGGGTTTGCCGAGGACATCGGCTACCTCGTATACAATCCTCTCCTGCCCGGTGCCGTAGATGACGGTGACTATGCGTTGGTCGCCCTTTTGCAGAGCATCGCCGAAGAAGGCAGCATCACTCATGAGCGGGCTTTCACTGCTTCGGTCGACGTCCATGTCTATGTCGTGTCGTCCGTTGTATCCGTTGGCGGGTGCTGCTGCTGGGCTCGCTGCTGGGCTCGCCAGCAGTTGTTGTACGGCGGCCATGGTTGTGGGTATGGCTTATAATGTCTATATGTGTCTAAAAGATGGATGGTTATTCGCAAAGCGATTCTTTGTCGCTAGGAGACGGCGTGTTTGCCCTGATGGCGAACAAATCAATGTCCCGACAATAGCAGATCTCCCCCAGTTTTGACGAAACGTGTGATCATTCCCGAGTGTTGATGGATGCTACTGAGCGCGGCCTATACGGTGTGATGTTGATTTCAGACTAGATCACAAGAGTTCCGGATGTCTCGGTGTCGGTCGGTTTCGTTGAGTAGAGCTTCGCAGTTGGGTAAAGCGGGGATGACGCTGCAGGCGACGAGCCACGATAGCAGATCCGAGATAAGGCCAACAAGAAGCAGATGGCTAAGCAGCAAGAGCAGGCAGCTAAAACAAAAGCGTGGTTGGGAAAGCGTTAGACGATCTCAAGCCAAGGGATTCCTGTTTTTTGTTTGTGGGCGCCTCGTGATTCGACGGTAGGTGGGTGGGTGGTATCGGCGAGCGGCGGTGATGTCGGTGCAAGTCTAGTTCGAGTCAAGCAGTCGATTGGTGCGAAGGCGTTGATCTTTAGAAGCTGAATTGACGCGGAAAATTGCAAGTAAGGGGTATAGATGGCGAGACGGGTGGGCAAGAGTAAGAGCAACAAAAACAAGAGAGAAAAGAGGAGGCGAGCGCAAGAGTTTTGTGTAAAGGCAAATCGCAGCAAAACCTGGGGATTTAGTGTGTCAAGAGCCCACTGTCGTAGCACCTGGTGGGGGGATTGCCTGCGCTGAGGAGGAGCGAAACCCGCCGCTTAGGACGTCCTGCTCGGCGTAGCTCCACTTTCTCAGCGCTGTATTTTAGCGGGCGAGCGCTGTACTGTAGGGGTTCAACGGATTGCCCCCCCTCATTTGGGGTTAGCTGAAGCGAGATGGAAATTCTCCGCCAATCGTCGGCTTTTGAATTGGCAACGCGATTGCTGGGGGGGGGGGTTCTTTCAGCGCTGAGTAGCCGATTCTGGGGCTTCTGCCGGGCGCTGTCGTTTTTTTACCCTTTTCCTCTTCTATATGAATCGTGAGTCAGGGCAGTTCGCCGATTCTACAGTGAATGAAGTCCCTCTGTTCCTCGTTATTCAGTCCAGGTTATAGCAGGCTGTGCTGTATAGGTTCAGTTCAACAGAAAGAAACCAGTACCGAAGTAACATCTGTCTATCCCCTGCGTTATATCTCTCCCCCTAATTGCTAGGTACCAACCAGAACTTCCATCTCCGTCAGTACAGACAGCATCTTGTTCGCCTATGGAAGGTGGCCCACGAAAAGTGGCCCAGCTGATCACTTGCGGGCTCTTGTTTGCTGCTGTGCTGTTGCTCCCCTTCTAATTCGCGAGTGTTGCTGATATCAATCAAACCAAAAGGCCAAGTGCTTACTGTTTCTCACATGTTTCCGTTTTCCTCCTTCCTAGCTCATTCGGTAGCCATGGTTTCCGAAGCCAGCCTGCTTCACATAGCTAGGCGCCTCATCTTGCTGCTTCTCGGCTCCCTTTTGCCCGGGGCACCCAAGCTTCTGCGTTTGAAAAGCTGCGCGCAATCCATGGGAAGCGCAAGCCGCATGTGGGGATGCTGTAGTTTGATGGCGTGTTGGCCCAAACGTGCTGCATTTTCCACGAATAGAGACGCCCCAATTGCGGCCCCAGGCGCAGCCTGATTAGGCAATTCCACCACCCTGGCCGCGTTGACTTGCGGCGCATCGCATCACCATTTACATAATGGTAGTGCTAGTAATAAGTCCGTCCAATGGCTGGCAGCCTTTTGTGTTTAGCCTGTTGCTGTTAGGCGAGATAGCCATAGTGAGGGAGCTGCTTGCTGTTCATACTGCTGCAGCGCCAGATCAGTCAGTAGGCGCGATTGCGATCCCGGCCCGACCAGCGGCAAATGATGGGCCATACACTAAGACGAAGCGGGCGGAAAATGATCTTCCGCCGCTCGGTGACGCTTCCTACCAAGCGCTTGCACCAATGGTTGGGCTGCCGGGATGGGTCGCCGTTGCATTGGTGATGATATCAGGAGTATGTCATGATATCAATAGTCTGGCTGTCGGCTGTCGCATGGTTGCAGGGCACGCTGCAGGGCACGGCGATTGGAAAATGGTCTCCTCCCCCTTGTAGGCGATTTTCCGCCAATGGAAGATGAGATGTACTGGTGATGTGATGGCCAGGTATCATGATGCGTTATCAAGAGTACGTCTGGCTGTACTACGGATATATAGCGCTGGCAAGACCGGCTTCGTCTCTACAGCCCAGGCTATCCAGCTTGGGATGGTCACCATCACCGCCGTGACACCACCAGTCGTATGCCTTTGTATAAGTCTCTATATACTACACTACGTATACGCACCGATGTGTAGATATTTGCATACCTACTACTACTACTACTACTACTACTACTACTACTACTACTACTACTACAAGTGAAATCGACATCTCCATGCATACATAGGAGCCACCCGGAACTATTAGGCCCCTAGGCAAGGGGAACCGGCCCTTTTTCATGCACATCATACTTCACCAACGATGCACGTAATAAGCACAAGGCAGTCAGTCAGTCACCCACAACCCTTCAACCACTCACTCAGTCGACCGCAGAGACATGAACCACACTACGCAGCCCATACATCGACCCAATCTGGTTTCTGAGGCACGGGGAATGCGGGCCACCAACGGCACATCTGCACCATCCCGGCCCAAACTGGGAGTCGAGCTTCCCTTGAGTCCCTGGAATAGGCACGAAGCAGTGAGACATAGCCGCTTCAATTTCCCATGGTGGAGATGGCTCGTCCCTTTGTTAACTACAAAGTGTATTTGGTACTAAGTATGCAACAAAAATAAGGGAAGCCCACCCAGGCTTTGTTTTCTTTTGTGGTTCAGATTCCTTAGCGGGCTCACTCACCCTGCAGCCAGAACGTCTCCCCTCGCAACGCGCAGCATATGGCAGATGGGGGCCACCACCACCCACTCGCTAGCCTTTGCTACTGTAGCCACCTTAGCCCTCACACACCTAACATACTGCGCTACAGCACAGCGCCCCTCGCCCAACGCACGCTAGCATCGGAAGCGTGTGCCCTGTTGCCCGTTTGCATCTGCCCAAAGAGGCAAGGTCCCCACTTACGCCAAATCCGGCCAATCGAACGCGCCCCTCGTTACTCGTCGCGTTCTCCCCAGTCAATTAAAGTGGTTGCTAACCGCCGCCTTGCATTGTTTGCATGTCTTTGAACCTCCATAAATACAATACCATCTCCGTTGCGCCCACTGCCGCAGGTCTGATTGTATCCCTTGTTGTTGCTCTCGCTTGCCCTTTCGATTCCCCATCCTTCGTCTTCTTCTCTTCTTTTCCCATCTACGACTTGTTCGCCAATCCCCCTCCCCTCTTCTTCGCGACAAGCAGCGCAGCGCAATCGTTTCTTTTCTTTGCCGTCACACACACACACATTCACATCTAGCCAACATGTCTGGTTCTGCCCAACAAGAGCAGGCCGCTGTCGAGGTCAACAAGCAGGTTCCTGCCGCCAACGACGCTGCCGCCGCTGATGCTGCCCCTGCGATCGATGAGTCCGCTGCTCAGGCAAACGGCGCCGAGGAGCCCGAGCTCGATGATGCTGCCAAGAAGGCGCTCGTTACCGAATTGACCGCCAAGGGCGCGTCGCTCTACTCCCAGAAGAACTTTGAAGAGGCCGCCGAAATCTTCTCCAAGGCTACCGCCCTGCAGGCGGAGCTCAATGGCGAGACTGCGCCCGAGAACGCAGAGGTCCTCTTCTACTACGGCCGAAGCTTGTTCAAGGTCGGCCAGAGCAAGAGCGATGTTCTTGGTGGCCAGGCTGCTGGCGAGAAGAAGCCCAATGGCAAGCCTGCTGCCGCTGAGGAGCCCAAGGAGGCAGCTCCCCACGCTGCTGCTGCTCCCAAGGAGGAAGCTCCCAAGGAAGAGGTCCCCGATGCCAAGAAGCCTCTGTTCCAGTTCACTGGTGATGAAAACTTTGACGGTTCTGATGATGAAGAGGTTCGTACTTGTATCCAAACGTAATCCGCGTGCTGGCTAACCATGTGTATCAATAGGGCGAAGGCGAAGCCGAGGAAGAGGAAGACGACCTTGCCACATCGTTTGAGATTCTCGACCTCGCACGCGTTTGTTACATCAAGCAACTCGAAAAGGTCCAGGGCGAGGGCAAGGGCAAGGAGACTGGTCTCTCCGCTGAGGAGCGCTTGATCAAGGAGCGCCTCGCCGACACCCACGACGCGCTTGCTGAAATCTCTCTTGAGAACGAGAGATACCCCAACGCCATTGAGGACGGCCGCGTGTCGCTCAAGTACAAGATGGAGCTCTACCCTGAGGAGTCTGAGATCATCGCCGAGGCTCACTACAAGCTCTCGCTTGCTCTTGAATTCGCCTCCATTACCGTATCAGAGGGCGAGGGCGAGGACAGCAAGCCCCAGGAGATGGACCAGGCCATGCGCGACGAGGCCGTCAAGGAGATGGAGCTCGCCATTAAGAGCTTCAAGCTCAAGCTTGCCGCTAAGCAGTCTGAGATTACGGCTGCCGGCGACAACAGCACTGACATTGACCGCAAGGCTGTCGTTGAGATGAAGGAAGTCATCATGGATATGGAGCAGAGAGTAAGTGGCCATCAATTTTCCACCTTGATCATGTCATATACTAACATTTCATCTCAGCTTGTCGACTTGCGCAAGGACCCCATTGACACCAAGGACTTCCTGAGCGGCCCTGACAACCTCCTCGGAGGGCTTTTCGGCGCCATCTCTCGCGAGACTGCCGAGCAGACCAAGGCCCGTGTCGAAGAGGCTACTAAGAACGCCAACGACCTGACCTCCCTGGTCCGCAAGAAGCCCAAGGCTGCCCCCGCTGCCCCTGCTCCCATCTCGATCCCTGCTCCTTCCAAGAATAAGAGAAAGGCCGAAGACGATCTCGAGGAGCCCACTGGCAGCGAGTCGCCCAAGAAGGCCAAGGTCGACGAGTAAGCCTCATCGCATCTGTCTTGTCGGCACTTTGTGGCGAAACCCAAAAAGCCTACGTACTACTACTACTATGTGTTTTTAACAACCTTACTTTTTGTATTTTTTATACCGGAATTTAAATCGGCGTCTAGGGTGGCTTGGACGGGATGGCGGTGCAAAAGGATATTTTGAATGACAGAGCCTTGAGTTTTTGATATGTACAACGGCACAAGGCCTATTCGCGAATACATTCCGTCTTTTGAACTACTACAATAACTGTAACTAAACTGCCTGCGTGTGCCAATTGACATGGTAACTCTTACATCGTTAACTTCCGCACATGTCACTAGAGGATATACTATCAAGCATGGTGAATGTGAAATTTGTATATATGCCATGCTACATAAACAGCAAAACAAAGGCAGCGGTCCCAAGCCCAAGTAATCCCCAACAAACCAAAAACTATATACATTACAATACGTAGCAGCGCCCGTGATTTACAGCTTAAAGTTACTGCTCGAAGCAGCCTTGGCCGCCTTGACCTTGTTGCCATCGACATCCGTTATCTCGCCTCTGCGGTTGATAACCTTGACACCGCCCTTCTTGAGGTCCGCAATCGTCTGGGCCTTCTTGCTAAGTCCAGCGCGCGAACCACCCGCCGTGACAGCTCCCGCCTTGCGCACGCGCTCCTTGTGTCTACGGCGCTGGCGCGACTTGTCCTCGCGCGACATCTCCTGTCTCGCAACCGGCAGACCACCCTTAGCCACGACTTCACCGGCTGCAGCGGTCTTGGAGCCCGCCTTGTAGACTTCCTGGGGCGCCATGCGCGACGACTCGCCCGCAATAGCCTGTGCCGTGGCTGGCTGTGCGTCTTCCATGGTGATTGTCGCCACGTCCGCCACGACAGAGAGCGTCGCGGCCACGGGCTTAGGCTTGTAGTGCCAGCTGCTGAGGGCGTCGAGGCGCGACGAGAGATCCTTCCACATGTTCTCGATCTCGCGCTCCTCCTTGGCCAGCTTCTCGTCGGACTGGCTGACATATGTGTCGGGGTTGCTGTTCTTGACGTGGTCTTCCTCGTAGAGTTCGCCAAGGCCCTTGCTTGACTTGGTGTCGTCGACCTCGACGAGGCCGCGGCGTGTGTTGTTGGATGCTTCGGCTTCGGGGCGGCGGCGGAGCACCTCGTCAAACTCCTGCGCGAGGATGCGGCGCTTGATCAGGTCCTCGATGCTCTCGCTGACCTCGGGCGTGATGACGGGGACGGGCTTGCCCACATACTCGAAGTCGAGGTCTTGCTCGAGCAGAGAGTTGGTTGGGCGCTCCACGGCAGTTGCTTCACCGGACAGAGTCCACTCGCGCTTGGCTACCGAGGCGGCTTCGAGCTTGCGGATCTCGTCGGCGAGCTTGGCCTGGCGGCGTTCGTGGGCGGATCGGCGAGACTTGGGGTCGCCTGCTGATGTTTCGGAGAGTGCGTCGTCAGAGTTCTCGACCTCGGATTCGTCGTCAAACAGGTCGCGTTTTACGTCGGCCATGGCTCGTTCGAGATCTTCGGCCGTCGGCTTCTCCAACTTCGCTGGTCGGTCCTTTCTCGGCTTGCGGTCGCCCTTTTTGCGCGCTGGGGGAGCGAAGAAGTCCTTGTAGAAGACACCGTTGGCGTTGTTTTCCTCTTCGTCCTCGGGGTTGATGTCAAAGTCTTCATCCTCGCTCTCACCTTCGGGGGCGTCAAGAGCCATGTCGCCAAATGTAGGTCCGTCATCCTCGTCAGATTCTTCATCGTCGTCGTTTTCTCCTTCTTCGTCGTCCATATCTTTTGAAGGCTTCTTTGCCTTGCCAGGCTTGGCGGGGGCATTAGGATCCGCATCCCAATCGATCTGCTCGTCATCACTGCCCTGGTCTGTGTACGGGTTGCCTTTGGCGTCTTGCTCTTCAAACCATTGGGATTGTTTGTTGAAGTCTGCCAACGAGAAGAACCCATCGTTCAAACCGTCTGGGTCCTCCTCATAGGATGCTTGTGAGATATCGTCGTCGTCGTCGTCTTCTTCTTCTTCACCCTCCTCGCCATCATCTTCGGGGGCGTCGCCAAATTCCTCCTCATCGAGATCTCCTTCCATATCAAGATCCTCACCATCCTCATCTTCTAATTGTGCCTCGATATCTCCCTCCTCGTCTTCTTCGTCGTCGTCGTCGTCCGAACCGACTTCGAAGCCGTTGGCGTCGAATTCTAATGGCTCGTTCTCGGTCACGATCTCATCGTTTGCTTCCATTTCCATCAGGAGATCTTCTGAGTACTCTAGAACACTGTTGATGATGCGTTCAGCCTGCTTCCAGACCTGATTTGTCTGGAATCCATCAATGTAGACCTTGCGAAGCTTGAGAACATCCTGCTTCGAGCCGTCGCCGCCACGTTTGCGTTTTCTGCTTTCTTTGAGTCTCTCTAACTGCTGATCGCTCACTTTTCCAGCAAATGCTTCCAGTGTTTCTTTGGCGATATTTAAGGATTCGGTCGGGAGGCTCGCTGAAGGTTGAAGAAAGGCATGGCGGTTGGCTTTGTCGAGGGTCGCAAGCAGAGCGGCAATGCTGCCAGAAGCAGTAATTGGCGTAGAAGCCATAGCCGAACCAACAGACAATGTGTGTGATGACGATGTGTTGGACGACAAGGTGTCTGTGGCCATTCTCTTCTTTTGTCGCGTGGATGGATTGCAATGCTAAACTTTTTTTTTTCTTGACGCCGACTTTTCTGCACAAATTTTTTTGGAGACTCGATGCCGGGACCCCACCCGCCCGCTTGGGAGAAGAGCTGCCAGTAAAGTGGTACTAGCGCTAGCACAGAGACGACCACTGTACCTTGGCTGTATTAATTGTAGATTGTCACTTGGATAAGGTATGCCCAAAGAGTAAAAATATATAAATTGGATTGTTATGTATACCGATAAATAGATTGTGCAACGAGATATGTAACCGGTTTCTATGCAAAGTAAACTAATAAAACGCTGGTGAAGGATGCAGCCATTAGCAGAAGAAAAGAAGACATGTTGGGAAGTAAGCCGGGCCTCAGAGCCTTTTAAATGCTAATCCCCTAATAGTGAGATCAAATAACGGTACAAAATACAATGGCGCCCTTCCAAAACGCCGCTCAAAGTGATTCGAATGATATGATACGCACTCTACAAACCTCTGCGCCCTCCAGTGCTCATGAGAGTAATCTTTTGCTTCTTCTTTTTCTTGTTGCCTGTGTTGGGTACAATTCGCGCTGCGCTCGATGAGCTTTCGCTGGCATCGATAATGGCATCGAGCTGTAGAGCGAGCTCTGATGTTTCAAGGAACTCGTTATCCTTCAGCCATCCATCATCACGATTATTCCCGTCGGCTGCGCTCAAGTCTGGAGATGCCGGAACAGCCTGCGTACCCCAAACCGTCTTGTAGTTTGAAGGGCTCGTCGACATGGAAGCCAGCGTATTAAACCCTGTCCGATTTTCTGGAGGTGTAGAATTGAGTGGTTGGAATTCAGAGAGGTCTAGGCCGGGTGGTGTATCGTCCTGCACGAATTCGGCTGATGGGCGAATCGTCATTGCACCGCACAGTGCGGCGGCCTCAACACGCTCTGCATCTACCTTCTCCCGTTCTTCTTGTGCAGCCTTGTCGCGGTTTCGCTTGCGTCGCTTGGCAATCTCTTCCGAAAACGACTCGAGAACTTCAGCGGGTACAATGTCGGTCCAGTCGCACTCTAAAAAGCTAATGAGGCATCCATGGGGTAGGTGGCCAAGGTATTTAGCTCTCTTGCGAACATTGTCATCTACAGCATGACCTGTAGAGATGTGCTCGACACGAGGCAACAGAGTAGATGGGAAGGAAGAAAATGAGCCGTATTTTGTTTTGAGAATGCGGATGTCGAGTGGGGAGAGATAAAGGTGAGGCGGTGCGCTGTAAAAATAAAAGTCGTTCTCAGAAGGCTCCTTGTTGGAACCACGCTGGGAGGAAGTCGCTGCTTGAGCCATGGCCTGTAGGTCGGCGATTTTTTCTCGATTGGCCATAATTGCTCGGACAGCCTTTTGAGACCATTCTGAATCCAGTCCGTACAGGACTTCGTCTTCTTTCTCTTGCTTGAGCAACTCCTCCACTTCACCATCAAATTGCTCTTCCATATATTCGCGGCTGCCTTTCATGATACGGGCATAATCCAGAACGTTGGCAGCAAAGTGCCAAGGGACATCCCCATCTGTACCAGCAGTGTCACCAGATGATTCCTTGGGCAAGGCAAGCGTTGAATCGGCTCTTCGTGACATCAATCGCAGTACGACATCATCGCCAACTCGAGGCAGGCGAGTTTCTTGTCCAGCATAGAAGCGGAGCGGGCGGACTTCATGCAGATAGACGACGTCCTCACAAATGGGGCATTTCTTCCATCGTGCTCCTTTGCCAGATTTGGCTTCATCCTCGCTCGCAGTGGAGTTCATAAATCTGATAATACATGGCAGGCAAAAGATGTGGCCGCAACGAGCCATCCGAGGCGCCACGGGGTCCGAAAGACAAATGGGGCAAGAGGCAGCCTGTGATTCCGTCGATGCTATGACTTGCATGACGTCGGTCCAATTGAGATACAGATCTGAATCAGCTCCTTGCTTGGCATACGAGCCTTCGGGAGACACAACGAAGCGGTAGTTGGCATGCACAAATCGTGCCTTGTCCACAACATACTGGCCACTTCCACTGCTGCCTGTATTTCCGTTTGGAGGTCGTCTATATGACCTTGAGACGTGTGTATGTTCATAATGAGGTCTTGGGGTCGAAAAGTTTAGCAAATGGGTGATGGATGTCTGGCCCCGTCGGCTGTTGGGATTTCGGATAGCGCGCAGCTCCGCGAGTGAATCTTCGTTGTCAAGCATTGGGAATGATCTATCACCATCGCCAGCTCTTCTCTGATTTCTATGTTGCTTTCGTGAGCCTTGGTTCTTCCTGGGGATGGCCTGAGCTTGCGTCTGGCCCGTGGCGACGGGACCGGCTCGTCTAGAAAAGTCGCTGTTTTGGGACGCAGGGCCCTGAGAAATAGGCTGCGAGTAACTAGGTGCTGCAGATAGGGACTTGCCCGTGTTGATATTCAATGGATTCATTATACGAGCGATGCCGGGTGTATTGATAAAATAGATTCGAGCACCGCAAGTGCGATTGTCAATGCCGAAGACGCTGTGGATTCAAGTGGACTGCTGAGAAAAAAGGTTTTGCGAGGCGTTTTATCGTTCCGGACAACAGTTGCAGCCCAGAGGACGGTGCTGGGGCGCGCGATGCACAGCGAGAGCACGCATATAATAAAACGACGCGTTTTAGACGATGAGAATAATAGATTCGATGGCCGCCTTGGTCCCGGACGAGAGCCCAAAGAGGTGGATGGAGAACGGGGAACGGGTTGAGTCAACAGCGGGGCAAATCAAGAGTGCTGTTGCTCTCACGCACGTCACTGATTGGTTAGTCAGCAGCTCGGCACGTGCCGGGTGTGTGGCTGTCAGGCGATGTCGACGCGCCAACTGGGAATGTAATTCAGAGCTGTAGCGTCACCGGGCTTGCTTAGGTGCTGCTTCTGGACGCGACCCCGCGTTTTGGACCATCTCAACGTGCTCAGATGAACCAATCATGATCCTTGGCTCATCCGTAAACATCCGCGATACAACATTTCACAGTGGGAGCGGGCATGGGTAGATTACGAGTGACTGCGCGCATAAAACTTCCTGTACGATTACTAGGTAAGGTATATGACAAAAAATATCTGGGAGCTGCTGTACATTTGGGGGAATCTCTTGTTCCGTCTCGGAGGATCCATATTGACAGAAATATTAAGTAAAAGGTCAAAGTAACTCAAAACAAATAGTGCTCCAAAACTACCCGTCTGTGTCGCGTTACGCGCTTTATTTCTTGCTGCCAAACTTGGCCTTGATCTTGCTAAACATGGCGCCGAAGCCCTTCTTGTTCTTCTCGCTCAATTGAGGGACAGCAGCGGCGGCAGGCTTGTCGGCAACGGGTGTAGTGGTGATAGTCTCAGCAGGGGCAGCAGCGGCCTCAGCAACAGCAGGCTTGTCAGCAGCAGGTGTAGCAGTAGTAGGCTCAACAGCGGCAGTCTCAACAGCAGTAGGTTCAGCGGCGGCAGGCTCAGCAGCAACAGCGGGCTCAGTAACAGCAGGGGCGGCAGCGACGGGGGGCACAATGGTGTGCTCCTCAATCTGCGGCTTCTCGACCTTGACAGTAGTAACAGGCGCAGCAGCAGCCTCCGTAGCAGCGGGAGCAGCCTTAACTTCCTTGAGAAGTTCCGACTCGACGGCGGCCTTCTCAGCGACAGCCTCGGCGTTGGCGGCGGCCTCGGGGGCAACACCAGCTTCCTGGATAGACTCCTTGACTTCCTCGGGGACGGCGGGAGCAGGATTAGCAGCCTTGTCGTTAAGAACGTCCTTGGCGGCCTGGGGGAGCTTATCCTTTACTGACTCGGGAATATGCTCATTGACAGCCTTGGTAGCAGCCTCCTTAGTGGAGTCGACAATGGGAGCAGCCTTGTCATTTGAAGCAGCAACGGCAGCAGCAACGGCGGCGCCTCCAGCAGCAGTGATGCCGGCAGCAGTGGCAGCAATTGTACCCTTGTTGTCAGTAGACTTGGACTCCTCAGGCTTAGCTTCCTCGACCTTAGGGGCTTCGACCTTGGGCTCTTCGACCTTGGGCTCTTCGACCTTGGGGGCTTCAACCTTGGGAGCTTCGACCTTGGGCTCTTCAGTCTTGGGTGCTTCAACCTTTGGCTCCTCGGTCTTTGGTGCCTCAATAGCAGCGGCGACAGGGGCCTCTTCCTCGGCCTCGTCATCGTCATCCTTGTCGTCGTTGCCGTTAGCGGCAGCATCCTTGTTGGCAGCGTTCTTCTTCTTCTTGTTCTTCTTCTTGTTCTTCTTCTTCTTTTTCTCATCTCCAGATGTAGCATCAGGCGTGCCCTTGGAGGCGTCCTGAGGCTCAGCGGGGACGGGGATGCCGCCGGGGAGAGCGTCACTCTTCTCGTACGACTCCTTGTCTAGCTTAACATTGCTGTTGACATCCTGGGCAGTAACAGTCTCAGGAATCTTGTCGCCAGGAGTAAGCTTGATGGGGTTAATAGCACCGTCAGTGGCAGGCAGCGGGTTGACGCTGACAGTCTTGTTGGCGCTGCCGTTCTTCTTGTTCTTTCCGGCCATGTCGAGGGTTGTAGCACCTGGGGCAATACCGCTAATAGCAGGGAGAGTGGCTGTGAGATCGCTGGTCGTGAGGAAGTTGTTGATGTTTCCTTCGTGATCAGCTTCCTTGGGCGACGACTCGTTGGTAGTCCAGTTGTTGTCTACAACGAACTAAGGGCGCGCGCATTAGCTTTGAACTCAAACAGATGTGGTTTATGCGCTTTTGATGACTGGATGCTTGATTCTTGCTCTGACGACGCATAATTGGGTGCATTGACGCAAGAGGGCGCTCGCGTGACGCCTTAAATGGAAGTTTGTGTAGCATACGCGACCGTGTTGCGACCAATTAAACCCGTTTAGAGCAAATCGTGAAGGGCGCAACACCAAGGACAGCATATTTAAACAAATAGGCGATGCGCCTAGCTTTCTGACCAGTCGGCAGTGGCGAGGTTGCGCGGCGAGGCCAAGGACCAGGGCATCATGGAGCAGCAGATTTCAATGGCAACGTACCTTGTAGTAGATCTTGTCGGAGTTGGTTCCGAGCTCAACGGTCTTTTGGAAAACAGGACCTTCCTTGTCGAGCTTGACGCTTTTGGTCCAGTTGTCAAAAGTGCCAGTAACGTAGACTTCTTCGGCGGGATGCTCCCTGCGATGCGAATTGGGGCGTCAGCAAAAGAAGCTCTGCAGCGGGACGTGCAGAAGCTAGTAGATGGGTATAATAGAAGGAAAAGGATCGGTAGGCGATGTTGTGTAATGGAAGGTAAAGGAGGGGATGAGCGCGTGCCGATTGTCTCGAATTGTTTTGTTTGGGCTTGTGGAAGAGGAGAAATACGAGCGAGGGCAACGGAAGGGCAGGATTGGAGGGAGATTGGGGGGGTGGGTAGACTAAGGTTGGTGGGAGGAGGGCACGACGGCCAAAGCGGAGGGAGGGACTTACCACTTGAAAGTGTAGGCGCCCATGATTGGAATTACGACGATTAATTTTTTCCCGTCCTTAAGATTGGAGCAGTGATGGAGACGAGGGAAGAGAAGGGGAAAGAAAGCTGTGGAGTGGAGGAAGAAAGAGAGGGCTTGTGTGCTGTGTGGGAGGGGGAGGAGGAGGCTAGAAGCTGTAGCTCAGCTGTACGGCTGCAGCGTACAGGGCTTCGTTGGGGGGGCGTTCAGTGACTTTTGGTGGGGATCAGTGGGAAATTGGCGTGGCTGACGTACCTTGGTTCGGGGCGGAAGCTGCGGCAATCGAGCTCAGCAGGGTTGCCAGCATATAGTGCATACAGCTGTCTGGCGGCAGCTATAATTCATCTTTTATATTTGCTATGTCTTTGGAAAGCTCTTTTACTTCTACTTGTTTTTTTCTTCTCTTTTTTCCCGTGGTCTTTCGTACATTTCATACAGCAGCTGCGAAATTTTCATAAGCTTTCAGAGTTCAAAAGCTCTGACGCATGACATCAGATTCGCCTAGCCGAAAAAAAAAACTGCTAGTAGCTTCGATAGAGCACTGCAGCTGCGAAATTTAGTGACCCCATGTTGCCCCACAGCTGTCGCAACAAGTTGCCACATGAAGACAGCAGAGGTGGCACAGCATGCAGCGAATAAGTAGAGAAAAAGACACAAGCGACAAAGACTGTTAATGTATGTAGTGGCTATTAGAGAGTGTAGTAACTGGTTATTCTCAGAGCGTACACTTGTGCGCGGTATGTCTCCCCTTGCCAGAGAGGCTGGCTCTACGTGGCGTGAGGAAACGGACGAATGCGGCCACAACCCTCTCCCAGATGTAGCAAAAAGCTTACAGTGGCGTCTGCTGGCTCAACCTTTTTCTTGTGGCTGCCGTCCCGAATAGGCTCACCAGGCACTGCCTAGAATGTGGTTGTGCTTGGCTTCGCTCTAGGCTAGCGATGTTTCTTGCCCCGACGTTGGCGTCCACGGCTAAGTGCATAGAGGCGCAGGCGATCATCCCATAAGCCTGGTTTTGTCCAGATATAGCTGCTAGAATTATTGGTTGGGCCACTATCTTATCAGGTCGTTGTCAATTCAACAGACCGGAATGTTCTTTGTTGCACGGAGCAGTAGAGCTGGGACCTACCCGGTACACAGTACGTGGATGGGTATGTTGCCCATTTGAACAAGGGCAGTTCGATTAATGGTATTATAATTGGTTTATTTATCAATGCTAATACACCGTTAATCCTGTCCGGGGAAATGCAGGTCAAAATTAGAAGCTTTAGTGCTTCTGCTGTGAATAAAAACAATGAAAAAGAGTGTACACATGCTATAGCTGCCAACTCCTCATTCTGCGATAATGGGCAGGACGACAGAAAGGAAAAATAAAAATAAAAATAACAACCGAAACCCAGAAATAACAGGATATATGAAGTGCACTATATAATTACCTCAATATTTATCTAGCAACTGTTGACCCATTGGTAAGGCTCGGCGCTGGGTGGCAATGGCAAGCTATCACGAATGCCTACAGCCTAGCAAAAGCCATGAGCATCCCAACGCCTAAGCCCACTGAATGGCACACGACTGGCCTCCTTGACAGCCGAATCGTGGGGAAAGTCCAGTGCATGGCAGGGGCATCCATGGTGGTAGAGACAGGGGTGCACATGTTGGAGCAAGCAAGGGTTGTGATGCAAGGAAATCATCTCCTTACCAAACAGGCCGGACAATGTAGACAATCCCAAGGTAGGTTACTCGCCAAGTTAGCACATACTGCTATATGTCTGAAATATATGTATTCAATTTAATTAACGCTGAAACGTATTCAGCTAGTGGCCCTGCATAAATATCAACATCGGTCTCGAGTTTGCTATTATAGACCAAGGAGCAAGGACAGCAGCATTCACGACCTAATACAACACTTCTTCCAGGCCGTACATATGATGGCTAGATAAATTCTAGACCTCTTTATTGTGTGCTAAAAAATAAAAATAACCTTCCAAGCCTTTTCCCTTTATTCTCTTACTTCACCCACGCAACACCGCCTGTCACTGTAACCCGTAATGCGCCTTTGGCGTGGCTGCCCCCGCCATTTTCCTGATTGGGCGCTCGCAGGCGTTGAGCCCAGCGGCATGCCCACTGTAACCGCTGCCGTCTCCGCTTGTGCCTGAAGCGCCGGATCGCCCTAGTGGCGCCTCCAATTGCAGGTACCAGAAGATCAAGAGCGGGCACCTGGCACGACTACCAGCTGGCACAGATTTCCTACAAACATATGCACAATAAGAACGCACTTAACCCAATGCACATACTATCCTGGCCCGCATTGTTCGACTTGACTCGTGCCCCATCATGTCTCGCCTTCGATTTCTGTGGACTCATCGGTCCTACTTTGTTCTCCAGGACATGTATCATTCCATACCACCCATTCCAGAGTCGTTTCCTTGGCCTTTAACGGCAAATAATGGTCTGTCAGCTCAGTAGAGGGAAGAAATCGACTGACAAGGTAAGAAAAACAGATGGCAGGAAAACATCCCTTCTTAAAATACTTCTGTGATGTGTTCAACCTAACGTGCACTGCAACGCGGATCTGAAATAACATAACCACGCAAACGCCAGACGGCCTTACCCAACAGCAAACAGTCCAACTACGAATAAATGGGCTAGTTTTATCTCTCAGAAATCATCACATTACATGGTTGGTGGATGCAATCCATTTTAAACCTAGGGGAAAGTGTTCTCCGTGGGGCGTTCGTGCCAATAATGCTGCACGTTCTTCGCTCTGTTCCGCCCAAAGACAGAATCGTCGCCTCGTGCTAGGCGATGCCGATTACTTCAGACAAACGTTTCTCGCCTAAATTTGGTTTTCTTTACTGGTAATTTACGTCCCCAGTTACCAACAGGCGCACTGGTCGCTGATTGCTTGGCTGTGTCAACGCCGCTCCCTTGTCTAGAAATAGGGTCGGTATGGTAGTATCGTATCACAACACCACCATACTACCTTACAGCACACCAGAGTCTTGTCATGCGTCAGAATTCTCTTATAGTCCACTTCTCGCTCCTGGCTATTCAACTCTTGACTTTTGTGGAAGATCTTTGCATTACCTCTCAAACCTCCTATACAAGTATTATTTTGAACTCTTTACGTCGGAAACGTTCTTCGACAACGACAAATCTCGCTATTTGCCTAGCATAATACAAGAAGGCAATATGGGAAAGTCGTCGACAAGGTCTACTTGGAAGACGCTGGCTGTGGCTGGCGTCTCCCTTGCCACTGTTCTCGATGTTGCTGGTGCTCGAGTAATCGACATCAACGCTCAAGGCGCCAACGGCATGCGAGAACAGGTACAAAACCAGGTCAAGAACATGCTTGTTCCAATTCCTTCACAGAAGCTCCCAGATGCTAGCCAAGCTGTCCCGCAAACCATCGAACCCAAAGTTGGAGACATGCTTAACGGTGGCGATGTTGGCGAAGTCCAGTTTCTGACCCCAGAAACATCTGAGTCAAAGGGAACCGATATGGAATCGGACCTTAATTCGAAGGCTGATGTTGATATGAGAACACGACCTCTTCAACTTCAGGATAACGATATGGAGGACAGCATGAGAAACAACACGAGACCGAGCGACGTGGACGGCAAGGACTTCATGAGAGGCGACTCAGTCGACAACAAGATGGATACCGGTATGTCCCACGGTGACGGAAGAGATGGAAATATGATGGACGAAAAGATGATGGACAACAAAATGAATGATGTCAACATGAACGATGTCAACATGAACGATGTCAACATGAACGATGTCAACATGAACGATGTCAACATGAAGCAGGTCAATGAGAAGGAGAGAAACGGAAATGATGTCGATTTCAACCGCCCTGGAACCGGCACAAAGGGGATGGACATGCAGGACTCCAACCGCACTAACATGGACACGAAGGCGCCAGAAATGAAGGAATCCGAAATGGGACGACCAGACATGATGGACACAAAACGACCTGTAACGGAAGATTCTCCTATGCGCAAGCCAGATGTGCAGATCCCTGACGCCAAAGATTCTAACATGACGGACATGAAAATAAATGATACTATGAAGGATACGAAAATGAAGGACACAAACATGAAAGACACCAACATGAAGGACTCCAACATGAACGATTCCAACATGAACGATTCCAACATGAGAGATTCTGACATGAAAGACTCCAACATGAAAGACTCCAAAATAAACGATTCAAACATGAAGGATACCAACATGAATGATAGTATGAAGGATTCTAACATGAGGGATTCTGACATGCGTAAGCCCGATATGAAGGATTCAGATATGAACCAGCCCGGTATGAAAGACAGCAACATGAGAGATTCTGATGTGCGCAAGCCCGATATGAAAGATTCGGACATGCGCCAGCCGGCTAAAGATTCTAGCATGGAAGATGGCCAAATGAATAACAAGAACGCCAAGGACAGGAACTCCAATGATAAGAATACCAAGGACAAGAACACGAATGACAAAGAGACAAAGGGCAAGACCACAAAGGACAAGAATGTGGACGATAAGAGCACGAAGGATAAGAACGCAGACGACAAGAACACAAAGGACTCTGGTATGGATAAGACCAAGCCTGATGTGAAGCGTCCGTTCATTCCTGATCCGAAAAAGCCCACCATGCCCGATGTTAAGCGTCCTGAAATGCCAGACGTCAAGCGACCTCAGATGCCTGATGTCAAGCGCCCCGAAATGCCCGATGTCAAGCGCCCCAATGTCCCCGGTGATGACAAGACATCTACTGATGAGGAACGTGGTAGAATTGGCAGAAAGAGTCTCTGGTTGCCTAGAGTTGGAGCTACATGGCAGATTGTCTTGCGCGGTGCTATCGATATCAGAAAGATGACTTCCCCCAATGTCGAGGTCTGGGATATTGACGCCTACGAGAACAGCGCTGCTACAATTAAGCAGCTGCAGGCTCAGGGGAAGAAGGTCATCTGCTACTTCAGCGCTGGTACCTACGAAAACTACCGTGAAGATAGAAACCTCTTCAAGCAGAGTGATTTGGGTGAGGTCCTTGAGGGCTGGCCCGATGAGCGCTGGATCAAGCTTTCAAGCCCCACCGTGCGATCTATTATGGCAAAGCGCATTAAGACTGCTGCTGCCAAGGGCTGTGATGCCATTGACCCTGACAACGTTGACGGTTATGTAAGTGAACACCCTGACAAATAATCACCGACTCGTGCTAACAGCCCCCATAGTCCAACAAGAACGGTCTTGGTCTCACCAAGAACGACACCATTGACTTTATGAAGTTCCTTACCAAGGAAGCCCGTTCTTACAACATGTCTACTGGTCTGAAGAACGCCGGTGATGTTATTGACCCTCTTCTCACTACTGTTGACTTTGCTGTCAACGAGCAGTGTGTTGAGTTCTCTGAGTGTGCCACCTTCTCCAAGTTCATCAAGGCAAACAAGCCCGTCTTCCACATTGAGTACCCTGCTGGAGCTCCTTGGATTGGAAGCGCTGTTGCCAAGGGCATCTTCTCTCGCAGAGGCAAGGCTAACGGCTCTGAGGGCTTCAGCACCGTCGTCAAGAAGTTGAACTTGGACGGTTGGGTTAGATACTTTGATGGCTCTGTAGCCAACACAATAATGGGCTAGTGTACGCTAGCTCTGGGGATTCGCCCATTCTTTTTCTTTTCTTTTCTTTTTCTCTTTTCCCTTTCTTTTGTTTAGTAGCTTAGCCTGCGTTGATTTTACTTTGTTTATTTGCAAGTTGGTGGCACGCTCCATTGGGTCGACATCAGCTTGCACTGCTTTTGACTGTTTAGCCCCAGCGTATTTTAGCGTTCAAGTTTTGATTTTGAATATAAAAGATAACAGGTCTGTTTTGAGCATTGACCTGATATTATCTGGAATTCTCTGAAAAAAGTTTACAATTCTTATATACACTTGTACATGGTGATGGGTAGCCACGCTCTCACGGTAAATCAGCCCTGTGCTATAAACTCGCCCTCCTGCTTGAATAACCAATCGCTATTCGCATCCATCATAAAATTGGTAATGTTAAACTCGTTTGGCATGCCTTGCTGCGGACCTGCAGGGTGCATATTCGGGTCGCCCATCTGATTCCCGCCATTCGTGCCGAGAGGTGCCTCCACGCCGACGGGAAGTCGAGGAACGTTGAAAAAGTCAAAGACGTCGAGATATTCGAGCTCATTCGGCCCTGGTGTTCGTGTCGGGGTAATAGTATTAAATTTGGCGTTCGGCTGTGAGCCATGTCGTGGTTGTCGCGAGATCAAAAAGTCCAAATCAAAGGCTGTGCGACGCATATCTGCTAGAATAGTGACAGAGCTGGGAGTGACACCATCTCCTTGCTGATCGCTTTCACGCTGCTCATCTAAGACGCGCTGTAACAGACCACAGTATCTTGCTGCCACGGGCCAATATCGACCCATCTCTCGAAGCTTGTCGACAAAGAAGTGTATCTTGGGCGAAAGCTTGCGCTCGACTGTTGATCCATGGACGAGGAGCAGACGCGCTGACACCCAAACTGTGAATGCGAATGGGGGGCCAAGTTTAGGGAGAAGACCATTTGTGGTTACGAAGCCAGCAATGGCCGCGATGTTTTCAACGGCGGACAAGCATCGCTGAGAAGCGCTGTAGGATGGTGTGAAAATGTTGGAGCGAGTTGTGGGATAAGCTGCGGAGGAGTGTAGACGGATGATGGCAGTGTTGAAGGTGGCGTGGAGCATCACAAGGATAGGCCTATCCTTGCTCTTGGAGGATTGAAGTAGTTTTGAAAGATCTCCATAGTCAGGCGGAAGACTGTACTTGAAGCCGGTGAGGATATTGTCGAGCTCCTTGTATCGTTGCTGCCATTGTTCGACATCGTGGGGATTGGCAATGTTGATGGGCTTTTTAAGGAACTTGTGTATCCGTGACAGCAGGCCTAGGATTTCAATGTAGTATGCAAGAGCGCCGAGATTTTGCGGTTGATCGAATTCGTGCTCGTGAACAACATTATCAACGTCGTTTGGCTTGAACCATCGCGTCTCTACCTTTTGATTCGCATTTAGGAAGTCGTCATGGCACGGCAGCGTCCTGTCGATTTCCTTATCATCCAGGGCAAATTCGAATGCAGTGGCAATTGTCGCATATCGATCCAAAAGGTAAATCATCCAAAACAGACGGCGTCGTGATTCATCTTCAACAAAATCTCGCGGCTCGGGAAGAACCATGGCTCTTAATGTGTAGATTGATGTATAGTTTGGGGCGACCATGAAGGAATTTGTCTCCACGGCTAATCCAAGCTGAACCACAGATCGAGTAATCAACGCCATGATATTCCACCCGGGAGGACCGTTGCTGCTTCCGCATAGATCCAACGCCAAGATGACGAGGGATTGTAAAGACGTGACGGATGAGTTTTCCATGCCATAAAGCAAGACCTTTTGCTTTGAGATGCGATGGTAGTGTTCTCGTCTCTGTTCTGTCAGTCGAGGGTCCGTTGAATAGCGCATACTTGTAGCCACAATGGCATGCATAAGTATTCTATCCGTCTCGGTTAACGGATTTGGGCCAAAGAGTCTGTCTAGCGTCGGCTTCCAGACGAGGATGGGGCACCATGTGTTGATGTGTTTGAAATAAATATCTACCAGCGAATACAGCAAGTCGTATGGCGGTAGATCTTGACTTGCCGAGTTGGTTGTGTCTGGAGACGTGATATTGGCAAGCTGTGACGACGTTGACGGATGCGACACTATCGAATGCGTTTGCATTGCATCCCCCAATTGAGGCGTTTGCGGCAATCCAAATTGCGCTGTGCCGGGGCTTGAATTCTCAGGTCCTGCGTTCTTGGGAAAATGTGACGACTCAGTAGGCAGGGGTGCAGGTCGTTTCGAATCATTCATTCTGAACATGCGCATGACGTCCTTGGGCGTACCCTGGTCGCTGGCTAGACTTGGATTGCTCCTCTGGCTGCTTCCAGGCGGCGCCGGGACATCAGGACCAAACGATGACTGCAGAATTTCGGCATGCGCCCGTAGGATATCCTCCAGCTTATCCAGTCGCGATTCCAGCTCGCGACCGTAACCAGCTCGTAGGCCTGGCTTCTTGCGCTCCTTGTATTCGCAGATGGCGCCGTTGCGACTGCACCATCCACACGAGGGCTGCTGGCGGTCGCATTTTACCTATTCCCACCGTTAGCCAAGGTTTCATGGAGCAATTGCTGGGCATTGCATACCTTTCTTGACTTGCATAGCTCACACCTAGGCGTCTCTGTGTTAGCCGAGTTTGACTCTGTGATGTCTGGGGCCGGCGACCCAGCCGCGGCAGTTGGCGACGACATGCAGAATGGGACGGGATACGTGATCTTGATAATCAAGTTTCACGATAAGAAATGAAGAGGATAACGTACGAAACTGAGACAGGGCGCTTGCGCTTGCCTCCAGGGAGGACGTCCTGATCGTCATCACTGTGACAGTCGCTGTCACCGTCGGGCGCATGGCTGGCGAGGGCCGAAGGCGACGTCGCTCGGCCGTTAGCTACTCCGTACATGTCTTGGTATTGGTTGAGTATTCGGTATCAATTAACGCATGGCCAAAGTGGACGGCTTGCGGTTCGGGACAATTGAATGCGGGCTGGCGAGGGGGGAAAGTGTTTGATTTGATGGCATGTATTTTGCCGCTTACGGGTTGCAGAAACCTAATGCCGTTGAAGGCGAGTGGTGGAGGGCCTGTGCTTCTTTGGCGTGCCATGCGCTATTGTGTTTGTTACCCCCGCAAATGCCACCAAAACCTGAGGTGAGTTTATGGTGAGGCGGCCCGAATATGATGATGGAAGAGAAAGCCGCTTAAATAATCGCCGTGTTTAACGCGTCTGGTTAAATTCTTGCCAGTTTGCCATCTGCGACATGTGCCAGCCAGCTGGCCGCCAGATGGTGATATGGTGCAGTTGAGCGACGGACAAGCTAGCATTTTCATTTCTCTTCCATTCATCATCAACACGTTTACCAACGCAGACTACTATTCATGATTCCAGCGTACATGTACAAGGTACCGTTAGCTCTGGGTCGGGGCTTGATCGACCCATCGTCACTGGCGCCTTTCACCCTAAAACCCAGGCCAACTCGGCCAACAACGGCCTCTCGTCGCCGTTAATCGCCATAATTAACCCCAAATATTCCGCCTACCCGATCCCACGGCCACGTCCCATCTGTAAATAGTCGCCTGCATCTTATCTCACCTTCTATAGCTTCCATGCAGACGTGGGGTTCTGGCTCGGGTCATCTGCGACCGAATCATGAACTCGCCTCGTCGGCACAGCCAAGGACGACCCCACCAAACCCGTAGTTGCACCGTCGGGTGTTCTGATTTCAGCGTCGGGTCGATCCGACAAAGGGAAGAAAACCACACCCAGTAGGTATCCTACTTATGCAATCGTTCGCTCGTGATAGCGTTCACATCTTTTAAACCCCCTCAAACCCCCATTCACTACCGGAGCCTACCATCACACACACACATCAACCCCCACCATCATGGCTTCCACGGTACGGGACTTCCCCACGATCAAAGCAATCCGATCGTTCGTCATTGGCGGCGTCGGTTCAGGTATATTCCCACCACATCTATAACACTCACTACACTATCTAACGCAGTATTTGAACCTTCCAGGCGGCGATTACCACAACGTCAAAGGCGGCCACTGGCTCATCGACTCCGACATCTCCACACCATGCTCAACCTGGGAACAGTACCGCAAGTCCAGAACCAGCTGGGGCATCAATGTTCTCGGCTCATTCCTCGTCGAAATTGAAGCCACTGATGGAACCGTCGGCTTCGCCACAGGCTTCGGTGGTAAGCATTTACAGCCAGCCAACCTACGTCTCATGTCGCAGCCCGCTAATGTCGTACAACAGGCCCTCCCGCATGCTGGCTCGTCCACCAGCACTTCGAGCGATTCCTAATCGGCGCCGATCCCCGAAACACAAACCTCCTCTTTGAGCAAATGTACCGCGCATCCATGTTCTACGGCCGCAAGGGCCTCCCTGTGGCCATCATCTCCGTCATCGACCTTGCCCTCTGGGATCTCCTCGGCAAGCTCCGAAACGAGCCAGTATACCGCCTCATCGGCGGCGCAACAAAAGAACGCATCGACTTCTACTGCACCGGCCCTGAGCCCACTGCTGCGCGCGAGATGGGCTTCTGGGGTGCTAAGGTCCCGCTGCCCTTCAGTCCGGCCGAGGGCCACGCTGGTCTTCGCAAGAACGTCGAGTTCCTGCGCAAGCACCGTGAATCTGTAGGCCCCGACTTCCCCATCATGGTAGATTGCTACATGAGCCTCAATGTCAGCTACACAATTGAGCTCGTCAAGGCTTGCGCGGAGTTCAACATCAACTGGTGGGAGGAGTGCCTATCGCCCGATGACACGGACGGCTTTGAGCAGATCAAGCGCGCACATCCTACTGTCAAGTTCACCACTGGCGAGCACGAGTACTCGAGGTACGGCTTCCGCAAGTTGATTGAAGGCCGGAATCTAGATATCGTTCAGCCGGATGTGATGTGGCTCGGTGGTATGACGGAGCTGCTCAAGGTCAGCGCCATGGCGGCCGCATACGATATCCCCGTCGTCCCCCACGCCAGCGGACCCTACAGCTACCACTTTGTTATTTCGCAGCCAAACACGCCTTTCCAAGAATACCTTGCCAACTCGCCGGACGGGAAGAGCGTCTTGCCCGTCTTTGGCGACTTGTTCATTGATGAGCCTATCCCAGTCAAGGGCTACTTGACGAGCAAGGACCTCGACAAGCCTGGCTTTGGATTGACGATTAACCCGGTTGCAAAAGCTAAGCTTATTTCTTCAGATTATCTTTTGAGCCCGCCTCCTGCGGCGCCTCTCAAAACCGTTGAAGAGACCAAGGTTAATGGACAAGTTAACGGAGTTTGAATATGAGTAAAACGATCATGAAGCATACGACATCACACATATTTAGGGTCTTGTAAAGTTGGAGCTGTCAATAATAAATAGAAATCATATTTCGCCAATTTTTATACATATTCATAATATCCCCTCCACACGCTATCGAAGCAATCTTCAATTTGTTGATATGTTTTGTCATTCATTACCCATGATTTCATCCTGTCCGAAGAAAAAAGACGTAGATGCACAAAATATTATAAATACAAAGGCACTGACGCGGTGCCATTTTGTGCTGTAAAGAAAGAAAGAAGAAAAGAGAAAGAAAAGAAAAAGAAAAGAAAAAGAAAAGAAAGGGATATAGAATGGAATGCTAGACAGGTACTGTGTCTGCATTTACTCTGGGCGCAGCGTCTCGTCGGCCTCGTCGTCGCCGCTGACTTGTGCCTCTTCATCTTCGTCCAAGTCGCCTCGGGCAGCGCGGTGGGCCAGGTTTCGCTCCTTGTAGACGTTTTGCTTGTGTGTTTCGGCTTGGCCAAGACAGTCGACATAGGTGCGGAACTTGACAATCTCTCGTAGCAAGTACGAGCTCTTCTTCTCCCAGTTAGCCATGGCCTTGGTGGCGTTTTGACCGCGGGGCGTAAAGGCTAGAAGCATCGGGCTGCGAAGAACGTTGTGTGCTTGCAGATCCTGCTCAATAGACTTGACATAGGTTGTCAGGGCTTGGAACTGGTCTGCCTCGGAGAGGTTACTTGCGCGGAGGCTCTGCGTCGGCGCTGTCCACGGCGAAATGTTGACACGGTCACCGGGGAGCTTTCCGCGGCTAACAGAGTTGGTAAAGGCGCCAGCGACATGGTCAAAGCTAGACGAGCGGATACTGCCACTAGCAGCGCTCGACTTGCGGTGATGGGCGGCGCTGCTTGAAGGTCGCGAGACCTTGGCGCCTGGGGGCGGTGCCTCGGCGCTCTCGTTGACTGCATCCACCAATGCATTGTTCACAATGGCCTCGCTCCATCCGTATTCAATGTTGCTTATACCACCAACCAGCGGATGAGTGCTGAGACGCGCGCTCCAGTAGTTTGCTGTGTTGACAAACTCTTTGATGATCTCAGGTGTGCCGACCTGGAACAAGTGAACCGCACCATTGGGCAGGCTCAGGGCCCAGACGTAAGGTCTTGTTCTGGAATAACCAGGAGAAGGAAGGGCAGAGGCGAGGGTTAAGCGCAAGTTAAAGGTGCCGACATTGACGGCGTTATCTTGCCAATTGCCTCCTCCAACTGCTACTGCTCCCGCCGTGCGAGGCCGGTTTTTGCTGCGGGCCTTATTGGCATTGAATGAGAAGAGGCTCATCTGTCCCTTTTGAACGACGGCAAACACTTCAGTCCAGCTGCGCTCCTTGGCACGCTTGCCATGGCCATCCAGATGATGTTTGTGGATAATCATGCCCTCCTTCATCCATGGCGCTCCAGCAAGCTCAAGAGACTCGTCTTCTAGTAGAGACGCCGACGGGGGCTCGCTGCTCATAATCGACTGTGCAGTATCGTCCATGTTAGCATCCTCATCTCTGAACATGGCCTGGCTGAGGGCAGTAGCAAATCCAATAGACTGCTGATAGTACCCGCGGGGCATGGCAGAAGCAAAGGAATCCTGGGACATGGAGCCCTGTGTGCGGCCCAGCGAGTAGCGGCTCCAGGTGGCAGACGACATGGCAGGGCTCCAGATGGAGTTATCATCATCGAAGCTTGTCCTGCTCGATGTCATGCCATTGCGGCTCAGCCCAGGTCTTGAGCGGCTCTTTGAAGTCCATCGAGAGCCGGTGCTCTTGCCATCAGAGATACGGCCGCGGGACGAGAGGCCACCCTCAGATGGAGCTCTGCTAATGATACTTGGGCTGCGGCGAATCTTGCCAGTCATGACGGAGAGGTTACTCTGCGACGGGCCAACACCAAGGTTCTCTGCACCACCGCCAAAAAGAGGAAGCCTATCATCGCGGATCGAGGCATAGATAGTCTTCAGGACCGTCTCAATTTGTTCCTCCCATACCCTCACAGTCGAAGGGTAAGCATTCTTGATCAAAGGACCAATTTCAGCCTCATCTGTCCCTCCCTGGGTGCCGGTACGCGGTGGCGGGCGGAATGAGTGTCTAAAGGACGCCTTTTCTTGTTCCGGAGCAGGGCTCGACGTCGAATCAGCTCCTAGCAGACCATTCTTCTCAGGTAGGACAGTTGGCCGTTGGAAGGCATCGGGCGTGGACTCCGCAACTGCCTGTCGAATGGTTCCGAGGGTATTCTTGACAAACTGGCTTCGGGTCATCTTTTGTTCGATATCGGCCAAATGGAGATCGGTATTGAGAAGCATAATCGAGTAGCATATTGTGTGAATGACATCTAAAGCAAATAGTTAGTAACCTATGGCCCATAGGCTGGGGAACAAATACATACCGTTCGACTTGAAGCCGTGCGTAGGGTTACAGTCACACCATCTCTTGGAGAATGCCACCAAGATTCGGTCAACTTGCTGGGTCTCTGCCTTGAGAATCAAGCGACCACAGATGCTCCGTAGAGCAGTAAGGATGCTCTGATCCTTGAAATCGTAAAGCTCCATGTAGGCCTGCAACGTTCGTTTGCGGACAGGGCCTTCTTCACCCATCCACGCAGCAGCCTTTTCCTTTGAAATAAACTCTTCCAATCCGTCGTAAATGTTTTGTGCCTTCTGGCGTTCGTCTTCGGTTGGATCGCCGACTACAAAAGCTGGCTCGTCTAGGCCCTTGGTCTGCATGTATTTCAGCGTGCCCAAAACCTTGCTATCAGGTTCGTCAGTGGTGTCCACGCGCACGCTGGGAACTGCTTCAGTTGCTGCACGAGAGCCAGCATCGGAAGATGGCGAAGCTGGTGTCTTGGGAGCTCTACCACCATCATTAGAGCGCTTAGGAGAGGTAGCTGTCTTATCAAGTGCTGCATGAGACTTGCTTGATGATCCTGATCTCTTGCGGCTTTGAGAAGCATCTTTCGACGTAGCATCTGGTACGAGGGTTTCTTCCAAGTCGCTACCACCGTCCAAGTTGAGAAACGAGTTGTCGGCAACTCCCAAAGCTGTCTGTTTCTGTGGCGCATCAAAAAAGACTTCTCTATCCGATGAATCGGCACCAGTAACAGCACGAATCTTGGCCTTGGGGCTTGGTTCATAATCCGGTGAAAACTCTCTCTTGAACTCGCCTCGTCGATCGTCATCGTCGTCATCGTCCTTGTCGAATGGTGCACTTGTAAGGTTAGCGAGCGGCGCTGTAGCAGACTTGGGAATGCCAATAGCACGGCCACCCGAACCGCTAGCCTTGTGGAGATATGGGTTCATGACTTGTCGCAGGCTGCTAGCAGGGCTGACAGGAGCGGATAACTCTGCTCTGCTGGCTGGTCGCTTGTCAAGAATCGGCACTGGCGGGATGTCCTCTGGCATCGGGGGGACATCGTTTGCATTGGACTTCTTCCTCCTTCGGAAGAAGGACGATTTCTTATGCAGGGCCGGGTGATTCGAATGTGAGGATGTAGCATCGCGAGACGGGGGCGCTGTTGACGAATTGGATGTCTGGTGTTGGATCTGGTTGCTCGGCGGTCGATCTGAGATGGGGTGCTTGAGAACCGGTGGCTGATCCGACACCAAGTTCATTGTGGAATTGCTCTTGGAGGAGCCAAAGACACGTCTAAAGAAGCCCTGCTTTTCCTTGGGCGCCTCATCCTTTTTGTTGTAGCCGACATTTGGCGCAGGGGCGGCGTCGAAGTCGTCAGCGCCAGGAAGAGGTGGCACAGCAGGCATATCGTCTGGTACGACTGGTCTGCTTCTGCCAGACGAACTTTTTACCGAGCGACTGGTGCTCGCTTTTCTATGCAGCTTGGAAGGGGTGACAGGCCCGTCTGCGTTTGGCCGCGACGAAGTCTTACGACCTGCCGAGGGCGAGTCTCTGGCGCCTCGGCCAATTGTTGGCACAGGGGCAGCAGCAGCAGCTTCGTCGTCATCCGACGCATCGAAGCCCTGACCAGAAGTCATATTGTTTCCGTAGGCCAGGCTATGTGAGCGGGGCAAGCTGTCTGTACGGCTAGGCACTCTTGCGTCCTTGAGGTCGAAGCTGTCCTTTTCGGCCTTGCTTCCGTGGCGCGAGGTATGTTTGGTCGAGGGCCGCCGGGGGCTATGCCTTGGCGACGCGGAGGAAGAAGCAGCGGCAACGGAAGCCTGGCCGCGGGCGCTTGTGCTCCAATGGCCACGGGAAGGAGGCGGCGTAGCCCTTTCGTCGTCTGCGGCGCCGATGGTATCGAGATCGGAGTCGTAGGAGTACTGCTTCGAATGCAGCGGGTGCTGGGAGACGGGCGATTGGGTCGAGGCAGCGTCGTGCCACGACTCCTCGAGAATATGGGGGGAGTCGAGGTCGAGGTAAGTGAAGCCCGAGGCAGGCTTTGTGCGCGAAGGATCAACGTCTAATTGGCCCAGGGAAAGGAGCATATTATCGACGAGGGAGTCCCGGGTGACGTCTCTGGGCAGCAGGGACAAATCATGCGAGTCCCGCTGGTGCTGCTCGTGTGGCGGCGTCGTTGAGCCGCGACCGCGTCTGTCCGCCATTGTGGCGGGTGATGAGATTACTTCTTTTTTGGCCTGTTCCTTGCTTGCTTCCTTATCGGCTTGGTGATGTTGCAGGAAGAGGAAGGTGAAGAAGAGAACGAAAAAAGAAAGAAGCCGCGCAGGAAAAATAATACAACCCAAAAAAAAAAAAAAAAAAGAGAGCCGACCACACCAAAAAAAGAAACGAGCGAAGCGTGATAGCGCTTCTGCGTCGCAGGACTAGCACTAACGGCAATGCAACCGAGAGAGAGTGGAAGGGGAGCAGACATAAAGGCAGGGGATTTTGTTAGCGGCCACGGTTTGGGAGGGGCCCCCCTTGGGGCTGGCTGCACGAGAGAGGAGCTGGGGGTGGGTGTGCAGCGCTGTGATTGGCCTGTTGGGGGGATGGTGCCCTGAGTTGGCGCTGGACGGGTAGGCTTTTAGTGGGCTTGGGGCCCTGCTGAAGCTGTGGCTGCTGGACGAGGTGCCTGCAGCACAAACGCAGGGGGCGGCTCCAGGGGCAGTTGGGCTCCACTGCTGGTGCTGGCGGTGTGTGTGTGTGTGCTGTACGTACAGTACTGTACTCTGCAGTGTACAGTACAAAACAGGTACACCAAACATAAAAGTACAGATACAAGGTAATCGACGTGCTATATTGTAAACCAACTGGCGGAGGTTAGCCGCTGAGAAGTAAGCGAGCAATCTATTTAAAAGAGGCAGCATAAGGAGACTAGCGCCACTAATTACTACCATCGCAAATGGAGACCGTCAACACAACTCTGGGTTTAAGCTCAACCTGTCTCCGTGAGCCGTTGTTGCAGCGCTTTGGTACTCTACTGTAACATTGGCTGCCAGTTGGATGACAGCGAGTGGACGATCCAGCCAGCACACCAGACCAATTGACCTCGCTATTCTTGCTTGACCAGTATGACTGTTAGTTTCTCTTGGACTTCTACCCCATTTTAGAACCTGCATGGCAAACTTGCACAAAGATAGTTTCTCTGGCTGCCCGCTTTTGATATCAACTGACTTATGTTGCCCCTCCGCTAAGGCTCGCTAAAAACCACTAATCGCACTGCTAGCTCCCCCTAATACGGTGGATGGTGCTTACAACCTGGTACACCACGTGTGCCATTCTCCGCGGTCCCGAATCTTTTCGATCGAAATCCTAGTAATATTTCCTAATTGCAATTGTTCAACAAATAATTCATCCTTTCTCTGCGCTGGCCCCCCCAAAGACACAGTCACTAGATTGGCGCTCATCCAACGTGCAGCGACATCAGCCCACTCTGCCCCGCCAAATCTAACGTGTGCCCCTCGCCAGCTGCCATCTGCCGCCCCCCTTTAAAGTGAAAACACCAACAATATTCCATCCCAATATACGCCACATGGCTCCAGCCCAGTCAGCCTCATTTCTAAATATTGTTGCTCGCAAAGAAGAAAAGTTTTCACAGGATTCTTAGAACCAAGCCCAGAACGAACACAAGTTAGCTGACTGCAGAGGTTAGCGCCTTTACGTTGCATCGTCCCCGCGTTCCTGCATAGTGCTGCACTGGCCTTTAAACTATTCACCGGCTGCCCCGAACACTGTTGCCTCTCTATAGCGGGCGCCAATTAAGAAAATCCAAAAAGGAAATCCAACGCCACGTGTCGTACAAGAAAGGACTTGATTCGGAATGAGCATCAGCCACACACACCAGTCTCGGCAGTGTGACCAAGCATGAACTAACAAAGCCGTTACCCGTCTCCGTCAACGTAACCCCGTTACTGATAATACAATGGCACCGCCCCCCATAACTCCAGGAAATGCCCCGAAACAGTCATGACATGGCACCAACGGTAACACGCATGTTACATGGTAATTGTTCGCACTACGCCTTCCACAACCGCCGTCATCTCTGCTGGGCTCCGTCCGTTGCGATACAGCCAAAGCCGACTGACGTCCTTGACCCGAATATCCTTCTTACGATCACGACGACTTCCACCTGCACCGTGGACTTCAACGGGCGTAGTTACGGCGCCAGTGCCAAACCCATGCGTGCCAGCATATGTAATATCAAAGGCTTCTCGTGCGTTATCCATGGCAGCGCCTTCGGTACCGAACTTGATGATTTCTTCCATGAACGGATTGTTATCATCTGCGCCAATAAATTCTCCTGTTTCAGGGTCCTTTTTGAGGGGGAACATGCCGTCCATGTAATGCTGGTTCATTTGGTGCCCTCCTCTTCTAGTAGACCGGTTGAACAGGCGCCCAAGAAAGCGAGGCAGTTGCGGCGACTGCATTCTGTTTGTAGAAAAGTGTAAAACGCCCCAGATGGCGACAAAGTCGGTATTATGCGCGTAATGCTCGATATGTCCGATAGCGCGGTCTTTTGCGGCCGATAATGTTCGGGTTGAGGCATGAGATGACTGCGATGTCAGTGTCAGGGGTCCTGGGTTTCGACTCTCGACAGGGCTGCTGTTTGGAGTGGTATAGCTCGTTTCTGTCATGAGCGTGGCAATCGCTTCGACCGGACTTCTTGACGTCAACCGCTGGGATTCGAGACGGCGATGGGGATTGTTGAAATGGTTCGCTGCGTTTCCAAATGTGTAAACCTCCAGTTTGGCCAACAGATCCTGTGGCATCTCTTGCAAGAGCCAATCCAATACCAACCCGCCCTCAATGCCTCCCTGAGAATGTAGAATAAAGATTACCTTTGTCTTTTCAGTATCATACAGCGCCTCCTTGACAATTCGGTAGGCAAGGCGGACATCGTCAGTGGCATACGAGCAGTTGCGCTGAATTAGACATTCAATAACATCAAAGATGATTCCGCTGGTTCGATTGTGTACACCCAGGATCGGTCGACCAAATGTCAGAGCAAGTCGGTTAAGATTGTTCTTCATCCAATGCTCGCTGCACCACTTATTAGCATCATCAAGATAGCCAGTAACGAAAACACAACTCACCCGACAGCCACGCCGTTTAAAAAGATCCACTGCTCATGTGCATGCTCAGGTTTAGCCTTGGCATATTTCTCGTCTGAAGTATACGTAATTTGGCGTCCGTTGAGCATGCGGCTGAGCATCCAATTCAGCAGCGCAAAGCCAGCCACGTACAGCACACTCATCCACATGGGAAAAATAAACATGAGCACACCTCCACAGAGAAACGCAAGCTGTAGGATGATCAAAATGACGTGTATAAAGATACAAAATATGTTCTTCGCGCTCGGATACAGCTCAGCCAGTGGCCCCGACGAGCACGGCGACAGTGGCCACACAATCCATGGCAGCGCCCAACAGTACTTGAAGAAGTAGTAGATATCCTTGAGGAGCAGCTTCCCCGGGTCGTCGGTATAGCCGTAGCTGATGACGGAGCCGCCTCCGATTTGCGATCGATAGAATTCTGTAGCGATATCCATAGGTGCGGTTGCAAGCTTGAATGAAATGTGACAAACAAGAAGCAACAGCCAGCGTGGCACATGGTGTCGTATTTAACATGGTTCCATCTGCCTAGCTGCGCCTACCTATTGTACCACCATTTCTCGACTCAACTTCAGCTCGAGCCTCACAGCCTGGGCGGCGGGCAAGAACGAGGCCGTCACTGGCTGTGGCCACCTCGCGTGACAGGTCTTATTTTAGCCTGGCAAGGCTTTACGCATGTGAGACGTGGAAAGCAGGCACGTCTCCGCGCTAGACTGGGTCTGGTGGCTTGGGATTCCAACCAACTGCAGCCTCTGATGCTACCCTGTGGGAGAGGGCTGATCTCTGGGGGTGGCTGACCTGGGGGAGGAAACTTGAATTTGTCCGAAACCTTGGTGTGTGGCGACAGCAGTCTGCTCTTGGGCGGAGTTTGTGATGGCGAGAATTTTTAATCAAACAAACCAACACCAATAACCAGAGTACGCTATTAACAGGCAGCGACTACAATAGTAGAATCTCGCGTGGCTTTTGCAACGGCGGGTGGAATGCGGGACGAGGAGGGAGAGGGACGGCCCGTACGCTATCGAGCCTCGCGGGGGCTGTGTCGCTCGCAGCCGTGTCCTGCTCGGCAGCCAGCCTCGAAGCATATGACGATAGCTTTTTCATCTTGTTTTAAATTATATGAATTTTTCAAAGATTTAAACTGTGTATAAATCCTTTTAGTTCCTTATGGAAGTTAATGTACAATTCCGTCTCGCTTATACAAACTTAATCTTCAGAATGCAGCGACAGTCTTAACGAGGCTCGCCCGCAACGCTCAGAATTGTAGGGCAACAAAAAGTTCAAAACTTACTTTGAGGCAAGTTATTTGTATATAAAACTTCAAAAGAAAAGTTTTGTAGGATCTAGAAAAGTCAAGCTACAGAAATATATAAAAGACTGGTCATGGCTCTCTTGTTCTCGTCTTCCGTCAACACATACTCGCCCTCTTTCAGCTACGAATACAGTAACCGCATCCAGTACGATTCAGCAGCCATGGCATCAGTAAACCCAAACACACCAGACAAAGTTAAGACCAAAATCTTAATCATTTCAGACACCCATGGCTTAACATTCCCAACAGCTCTACATCCAGACGAAGCAGTCGATGTAGCTATCCACTGTGGTGACTTGACGCATCACTCCACACTCGCGGAATTCAAGAACACATTATCTCTCATGGAGTCACTCAATGCTGACTTGAAGCTATTCATTGCTGGAAACCACGATTTTTTACTTGACCATGCCGCGTTCCAAGACAAGATCGCAGAGACCAAGTCGCTTTCTCGCGGTGTTATCCTTGACACGCTCTTCGGCCGTGACTTTGGTGCTAGAGGTGAAGCGCTCAATATGCTACGCCATACTACCGCGCCGAACCTCTTCTTTCTTGAAGAAGGAAACTATAAGTTTCGCTTAAAGAATGGGGCATTATTAAAAGTCTATGCAACTCCATATACACCTGGTACTGATGCTGGGTGGGGTTTCCAGTATCATGGTGACCACGACTTCTCTATTAACGGGCGACCTGATGTAGTGATATCACATGGACCGCCACTTGGAATTCTCGATAGAGACAGAGATACCCCAAAGAGGCTCGGTTGCCCACTTCTATTTGAAGCTGTAGCAAAGGCTCAGCCAAAGATCCACTGCTTCGGACATATCCACAACTCGTGGGGAGCAAAATTTGTAACATGGAAACCAACAATATCTGAGTGGCCATCCCACTTTACAGATATTGAGCATAGCAAGTCACATACGCTAGCAACCTTAGCGACGGAGCAAAATGGGGTTCATGCTAGTAGCCACTGCGCAGAGAATGACTACCCTGTTGGCGATGGATCAACGCTATTTGTGAATGCTGCTAATACGGATGATGAACGACTTTCACAGATGGCGCAAATTATAGACATTGAATTGGACATGGTTCGCCAGGATAGTCGCTAATATTGTAGAATATCAATGTGTTTTTCTTCTTATTTAAATAGATTGATTTACATAAATGAAATAGACATGTACATGTATTGAACCGTTCTAACTCGCTTACTCGAACTGGGCCTCGAGGTTGAAGCGAGCGTCCCAGAGAGGGTCCTCGACAACGGGGTTGTGCTTGGTGTCAACGGTCTCGGAAAGGCGAGCAGGGGCAGGTCCAGGCTCGGCCTGGGATCCAGGAGTCTCGCCAAAGGCCGCGTTGGCCTGGACGTGCTCGAGGCCACCCCAGTTGCACTTGGCGCCGTAAAAGGCGGAACGGGCAGCGGTCTTCCAGGTCTCGCGAACATCCTTGATCATGGGCAGAGTCCAGTAGTGGCGGCAGTCGGCAGGCTCGTAGATGAACTGAGCAGGAACGCCATCGTTGAGGTTATCGTGGAGGATCTGGTCACGGGTGTTGACAGAGGCCTCGAAGCGGAGAAGTGTCACGTTCTTGTAACGGTTGAAGTCCTGCTGGGCAGCAGCATCCTTGTTGAGGCCCTTACCAAACTGAGCGTACGAGTAAATGGAGCCGAAACCGAGAACCTGTGAGCCCTTGATGGCGCCAATGGTTTGCATAGGACCAGCCTTGGGGCGGCCACCAAAGGCAACAGACTTGACACCGCCGTTGATGCGGAACATTTCGGAGGTCAAGGTGCAAGTGGAAGCACAGTTGCCGTCGTACAGAAGAATGATGTCCTCAGCGTTGAAGGGCTGTGTGGCGTTCTTGAGATCGCCATAGCCGGTGATCCAGATGCCGTGACCAAAGGTCTCGTTCTTGGTCAGGAGGGTGTTGTTCAAGTCCCAGGCCATGAGGTTGGTGTAGGGAGTGTTCTCGTAGACGTGGGGGTGGAACTTGTCGTCGAAGGAGGTGAAAGGCTGGTGAGTGGTGTTGAGGTCGAAGCGCCAGTTGAACCAACTGTTGTACATGTCGATCTTCTCGCCGTCATCGCTAGTGTAAGGGTTGAAACTGTCGGCATACGATTCGATAGCCTTGGAGAGACCGAGGAAAGTCTTGGTATCCTTCCAGCGGGAGAAGCCGTCCTCTTGGACGTGGGGGAAGAACTGGCGGTACAGCTCGTATCCGAGCAAGATGTAACCACCGCCGTTGCCCTGAAGATCAATGACAATCTTCTTCTTGTTAGCATGCTTAGCAGCAGCAATGAAGTCCTGGATGACAGCCTGGAACTCGGGGATACTGTTGGGCTTGAAGCTGCGAAGAGCGAGGACAGCGACGTCCTTGACATCATCGCCCTCCAGGAAGTAACCAGTGACAATACCGTCCTTGGTGCTCACAATAGGCTCAGGGTATCCTTCGACTCTTGCAGAGGCAGCGCGCTTGTCAGCGGCGATCTTCTCAACCTTACGAGCAGTGACACTGCTGGCGGCTCCTGCGGTCAAGGGTGCAGCAAACTTGGCGTAGAAGGATGCGCCATCGACGACACCAGTCATATCTAGGACAACGCGGGCAGGGTTGGCGGCGGTGAAGACGGTACCATTGGCGAATGCAAAGGTGGTGTTATCTCCGCGGTAGATGGCACTGTAACGACCTCCAGTACCGAACTGACCGTGACGGCCGCCAATCAAGTTGGAGGTGTAGAGCATGCCGTTGAAGGCAGCATCGGGGTCATGGCTGTAAGACGTGGTATCAGCAAGATCGGCCACATACTTGGCAGCATCGACACCATTAATGGTCTTGAGGACCGAGGCAGTGTTGGGGGAGGTCATGACATCCTCTGCTAATTGTTAACATGTGTTCTTTCCCGATTCCAATGCAATGAAAACATACCATAGAGCTTCATGACGGGGACAGACTTGCCGTCCTCGCTGAAAGAGACAACACCACGAGGGTGACGGAAGTTGAAGACGCTCATGAAATCGGCGACCATCCAGAAGTGACCGTCGTGGCCAGGGAAGAAGATTTTCTCTTGGATATCCTTGTGGAAATCATAATGGCTGCTGTACTTGCCAGCCTCAGTGTTGGCGCGGACTTCCTTGTACTTGGCGTACATGTCATAAGGTGGGTAAAGGTAGCCCTTGGGAGGGTTCTTGAGGTATGCGCTGTCACTCTGCCACTCGAGATAGGGTTCCATGGCGTCGATAATCGCAACAGCATCCTTCTTGTTGAACGGCACGGATTGCAAGCACTTGTGCGCAACGGAAGCAGCGACGGTAGGGATAGCTGTAGCGGTTAGTTTGCTGAAGTTTGTCACTGTAGAGGTGAGCGAGGTGTATAAATAACTTACCCTTTTGGGCAACCTGGCTAGCCCACGAAGAGCTCACTTCGGCGCAAGGTTCCGCAGTCTTGGAGGGTACGGCGGAGCTAGTAGTAGAGGCAGCAGGCAGACAGGCGCAAGCGCTGGAGAGGCGCGCCTTCATGTCGCCGTTTTGGTTGTCCTTGCAGCCATCTTGGGCATAGGTAGGGATGGGGACATTGGCAGCCGAGGTGGCAGTGAAGGAAGCGCAGAAAGCTCTGGCCGATTCGACACGGTCAGGAATCTGAGTAGCTCTCAAGGCACGCAGACAGTTGTCGGCGTTGCACTTGGTGGGTGTGACAGCGGCGCTGCCAGAGGTGGCAAGCAATGCCGTAGCGACAATGGGAGCGTTGAAGCGCATAATGGAAGAGTCCCTCGAGACAGTAGCTGCAGTACTGTACTAACTAGGTAGATGGGCAAGAAGCTATCTTGTGCAAGTCACGGCCCATGCAATCAATTGGCGCCATGGTGCAATTTATACCAGTCGCGCCGCGGGCTCGAGACTGTAACCCCAATAGTTGACCCGCGGGGTAAGCGACCCTGTGTCCCGTACCATTTGGCATCTCCATCCCCATTGGGGAAGGAAGCCTGCATATGCCAAGCCCTGAATGTCCGAAGCTCGAGCAGTCTAGTCTCGAGGTGTAGTGTGCTTTCGTGGTAGTTGGGGGGAGTCTGGGGTCCCGCCGTAGTCCCGATGTGGCAGGCGTCAAGAAGTTGTGTCCCGCTAAGCATGCACCCGAAGGTCTGCATTGCTGGGCCGCTGCAGAAAGCTAGACCTTTTGTAAATTAGACTTATTCCAGCCCCAGTAGCACCGCCTCGCTTACGACAAGGCCAGTTGAGAGATACGGGATGTTACTCGTCGCCTCGTTTGAGCAAGGCCGTGATAAACACCACAGCCACAAGTCTGCAGACAACTATCGAGAAGCGAATATGGGGGTCCGGCTAGATTGTACGGGCTCTATCTCTATCGCTAGCGAATTCCCCGCTGTCTTCGGCACTTGGCCGTTCCATGACAGGGTCTTTGTCGTTCGAGAATGGGCTGATCCCCGCAGACTAGGGATCAATATTTGGGGAGCAGCGAGCAACACCTCCGCAAGCAGGTAGACCTAGAGCTTGTCCGTTTGTACGTAAATACCGTCCAGGTACTGCATCTGTTGTGTGTGTGCGTGCTTCACTGCAGCCACCATCCAGCTCGGGGCATTGCGCGATTCATGGCTCATGGTGGCTTGAAGAGAGACCGGGCAGCACGCCCAGGAAGGCAAGTGGGCGTGTTGTTTGACCCGCCGCCATTGTCCGCTAGCTATAATGGGCTTTGTTGCGTGTTGCAGAAAAGTAATAGCTGAGGCATTACAGTGTAAAATGGTGGAGGGAACTTTTTTTGTGGCGCGCGGGGCCCCTGGCCTACCCTTTTAGAGTTAAATGGCCCAGGGCGGGCCAGACGCGTCGTGGCTGTCAGTGCCTGTTAGCGGGGAAGGGCTTCCCCCACTGCAGCACCAAACATAAATGATGGGTAGGAATACGGACAGCGGCCGACTCAGTGATAGTGAAAGTGCTAATTCTATTACCAATGGAAAACAAAAAAACTAGAAGCAGCAGAAATAAGGGCTGACAAACACAGATTTCATAGCACTAGCACCGCCACCACTACCGATGCCAGTACTTACACCTCTACAGGCTCTGCCTTCGCTTTCGACATTGCCAATTCCTCCCTCTTCTGATCGAACTCTTTCATGCCACCCTTGAATTCGCCCACAGCATTCTTAATGTATGCACCTCCAGCACGTTTAGCACTCCCGAATTTGTCTTTAACCTGACCAAACCCGTATCCTAGCTGGCGGAACCCCCTTCTCCTTCTGGGAGACGGCACATCTTCTAGACTACCTACAACAGTCGACCCCATATCGTCATACGTTGTTGGCATCTGGCGTGGGCAGTCACCGCTCGCGCAGTCCTCATTAGCTGAGTCAAAGATGTAAGATGATGTGTCTTGTTCGTCCAGTGTAGCTTCGGTGTCGTCGCTTGCAACTACTGATTCTTCAACTTCATGATCGTCATTAGTATTGGGCTGGGGAGCCAAACCCAAAGGCACAACAATCGGCGCACAGGCCATCTCAGTAACGGTCTCTGGTTCGACTGTCTCGTCTGATGATGCATTGATCTCGACGACTTCCTGGTTTGGGACTAAAGCAGGTGACCCAGCGCAAAGTTCAACTGTGCTTGTTTGTACTTGCTCTCCGTGATCGACTACCGCTGTAAGTGTTGCAACAACAGGCTCCTCGACGCCGAGTGCCTCATAATCAGCGGTTTGCGCAGCCTTATCGTCTATAGCTTCTGTAACGTCACCCTCCTGGACGTTGGTAGCCTTATCTTCTGAGGCTCTTATAGCCTTGTCCTTCACCGCGTCTATAGCCTCGTCTTCTACTGCTTTGGTGGTCTCATCTTCCACGGTTTCGGTGGTCTTGTCCCCTTCTACTAACTCAACCACATTCTCACTGTTCTCTGCCGCCTCCACATGGAAGCTATGTTCAGATTCACCTAATGATGGTGAATCCTTAACTGTGGAAACTGTAACTGGAGGCTCTTGGAAAATATCATTCTCGGCCAAAGTGGAATCAGGGGTGGTGGCATCGCACTCCAAAACAGATTCGTCAAAGACTTCGGAAACGTGCTCACTCACAGTTGACTGGCAGTCATCCAACTCAGATTCATCTATCTCCGACTCAGATTCCAGAGGTAGCGATTTCGAAACTTGCGCTTTTTTAGACTCGCTCGACAGCGCAGTCTTCGCCTTCTGTTTGGCAATCTGTTTCGTTTTCCACTCTTGGAAGAGCTCACTGATTGGCGACCGAGTAGGTGACCCGTTCCGGTGCCATGGTAGACAATGTGATGTGAGAGCAAATTCCTCTAGTTCGCTGTAGAACTTTTCTGTAGTAAAGTCGGACTGCTTGGCTAGCCACTCCCACTTGTTGCGCCGAATGTCCGCATGAGAATGTTTTGGGTACCGCTCGCATTGTTTGCCCGTGCGCCTGGCAACAGCACGGCACTGGAGTACGGAGCCAGGTGGTGACTCCCCAAACAAATCAACGCAATTGAGGTAGTCATTTAGATCCTTAAAGAGCGGATCGCTAAAATCGTGAGTGGTCATGGTGACAGTTGCCTGGACAGAGCCAACGGCTGTACCCGACAGACTGGTTCTGAAAGGGGGGTTATGCAACGCTTTATAATAGCCTCTCGGTGTGTGCACTGCCGCCATGAGATATGCGGCCGCTAAGACAGCATATGCAGAAGCTTCATGAGGTGGACGAATCAGAGTCTCTTGTCTCTTGCAGCAGGCTGAGTGGGCTGGTTGCTGCAGGAAGCCATGCTCTAGCGGCAAGCATCGCACAGAACACTACCAACAGTAGACACGGTGGTACAAAAGATCAATAATGTAATTCTCACTTAAACTCGGTCAAAGGATTACACTTGCAACTATTACTCCTCTAGTTCCTCGTCGGCGGATTCCGGTCGAGGGCGATCGCTGACTGTCGGGAGCATTCTCGGCCGAAAGCAGTTGGAGGTGTGGAATAGGTGTGCTCACCTGCTGCCGCCTCCAGTAGCGGCTGGGGTGGCAGTGCGGAGAGAAGGTAACCTGTCTTATCTCCTTTCGCTGACAGGCGAGTTGCGAGTGGCTGGAGCCTCCTGTGGTGTCCTGAGCGCGTACCATTTGCGTGATCAGATTACTACTACTCGTTCCTCCAGCCGGCCCCCATCACGATATACCTAAGCGCCACAGGACCAGTCGTTACTCTGAGAATCCCATTACGGATCGTCCACTTGTCTGCACTGATCATTTGCCGGTGTTTAATCAATTCGCATAAACCAACCCACCCACCAGGACGATCATGCGCCGAACCAATCTCCGGCCCCAGCTGCGAACACCGTCTTGCGTATTTTGACTTTGTCCCCTGATCGCCGATCTGGCGTCTTGGCCCTTTCTGGTACACAAGACCGCTAAAGTTTACGCTTGTCTGTCCTTTCCACGGGATTAAGCTTTCCTTGTTATCCTGTCTGTAACAACCACGAGACTCAAACTCCGTCCCATCCTGACCTGACCTTCCCATCTCTCGTTTCGTTCTTTCACAAGCTGCGGTGATCTGCATTCTGCGCTGAGTGTCGAAAACCCAGCCGCACGTGTTCACGGCACCCACGACGCATGAAAATAGTCGGCCCACCACGGACGCTAACAGCACCCAAACCGCCCATGGGATTCGGTGTTTGTATTGGGCAGCAGATTCAGTTTTCGGTGCTGAATCTGGAGAATTGTGCCGGTCCACCAATCGCGTGCTCTCGAGACCGCCTCTGCCGGCCACATGCATGCTCAGATCCCTTCCGCTAATAGGCTGGCACCGAGTGCCGCAAGGTGGGATTTGCTTACACTCAGCCGCGGCAGGTTAAAACTAACGAGAAAAAAAATAAATGAAAATAAAATAATATTGTAGGTGCAACTAAGTATTATAAAAGTCCCCGCGACCGCTCCTCGTCTCGTGTGTTCCGTAGCTTCTACCTTTCTATTCTCACCATCACCATCAAGATGAAGACCTCCGTCTCTGTTGTCCTCGCCCTTGCCGCTGGCGCCATTTCCGCCCCCGTTGCTGTAAATGCCGTCCGTCTAGTCCATTGGTTTGATCGCTCACTGACTCTGTCTTAGCCTGGTGTTCCCACCGCCGCCGCTGCCCGCTCCGAGCTTGCCCAGCTCACTGTCGCCGACCAGGTCGACGATGGCAACTACTCCCGCAGCCAGTTCAAGACCTGGGACATTATCCACGACAAGTGCAACACCCGGTACGACGCAGCCAGTACACTAGAATCGACCTACGGAGACTTGTGCTAACTGAACTACTAGCGATGTCGTCTTGATCCGTGATGGCACCGACGTCCAGACCAACGACCGTTGCACTGTTGGCGATGGCAACTGGGTCAGCCCCTACGACGGCGCTGTCTTCACCGCAGGCCACGACCTCGACATTGACCACATGGTCCCTCTTAAGAACGCTTGGGTCGTACGTATTTCCTAACCATACAATACAACAAGTAGTCAGCTAACACGAGTTCCTCTCTAGTCCGGTGCTTCCGCCTGGACCGCCAAGCAGCGCGAGGCTTTCGCTAACGACCTCAAGCACCCCCAGCTCTGGGCTGTTTCTGCCCACGCCAACCGCTCCAAGGGCGACAAGGGCCCCGAGGAGTATCTCCCTCCCTCTGCCGACTTCAAGTGCACCTACGCCGAATCTTGGGTTCAGGTCAAGAGCTACTACAAGCTCACCGTCACCCAGAACGAGAAGGATGCCCTTGCTGGTGTTCTCGCCAACTGCTAAGCATGAATAATGTGAAGCAAAATTGTTAAATAAGAAAAGCAAAGCGGAAATAGGCGCCTCGGAGACGAGACGATCAAGCCTTGATGGTGACTTTCCATGTATGTATTCTTGATATATATTAAAAAAAGAACTGTAAATATTATGGCATATAAGATGCTCTGGTAAATCTTGCGGGTCTGAAGTCTAGTAAAAAGCAGAAGTGCGGATATATGTGTGTATGCAGCTGTTAAATGACATGTACAAGAACAAGATGTTGAAGTTTGTACTGAGATGACGATGAGGAACGGCGTTTACAGGACTGCGCATACAGACCACCAGGGGCGGGACGGACGGCAAACTCGCCAGCACCCACGGCGACGCTCTTACCCAAGGTCACACCACCGGAAGGAAAGCTCTTCAAACCGCTTTGCTCGCGTCTGGTCTTCTTCTTAGCCGAGGCTGAGTTGCTCTCATAGGTATCAGGGCGGTCGTAGGCAGAGCTCTCGTACTTGGTGTAAGCCAAGTTCTGAGAGGAAACGTCACTCGAAAACAAGTCATACTGCGGCTTGTATCCAGGCGTTTCCATACGGTCAGCCATGCGAGCTCCCATCTTCCAGCTCTGTGTAGCACCGCCAGTGCGCCCAACAGAGCCATCGTAGTATGTAACGGTCGAGCTCTGGCTCTGCTTCGTGGTGGTTGTATCGGAACCGATCATGCCGCCAAGCTTACGTAGGAAAGGTTCCAGACCATTGGATAAGACCGACTGGCCATTGATGACTTTTTGTATAGTCTGCGTCAAGCTAGAGTCCGTTTTAGCCCTGTGGTTGCCCCCATTGGTAGTTGAGATCTCCCTGCTGATAGGATAGTTGTAATTGAAAAAAGTAATCCGTTTGACCGTTGTTGGAGATCTTGTCTGTGCCGGTGTACTGGCGAGATATGCTGTTGCCAGCATTGGCACCGTTGTTGGCCATAGCGAAGCGCTGGGTTCAAACAGAAGTGATGTTCTTGCCAGAACGACTGAGCTGCCCAGTCAATTGGAAGTAACGGCTAGCCGTCTGTTTCCAGCTCACAGCGCCGTTTCCGGAGCGCGAAAAGTTGGGTTTGTAGTTGTTGTTAGGGTGAACGAGGGTTGGTTTGGGACCAGTGGTAATAGCTGTTGCATCGTCGTATAGCCACAGGAAAAAGCTTTCCGGAGAGCAGCCAGAAGTTATTGACCTGATCGCCCTGTCCCACGACATCCATCCTGAAAGTATGGGGCTTGCCATCGCAGAGCACACCGAGCCAGGGAGTCACGTCGATTTCATGCTCCGCCATATCAAATGCCTGGGGACCAGAAATGGGTCGGTGAAATTGAGGGCTGACACCACCAGTGAAGACGACTGGGAACGGGTGGTGGTGACCTTATTGGTCGCGTAGCAGCGAGTCAGTCCCCGACCCTTTCTGAAATAACTTGCCCAAGTTAAGTAATCGAGCATCAACGCAAATTTTATTGATTAGGCTTGCCAAGCCGGTACTCGCAAGCTACCCTTTTGGCGGCTAGCTTGTGCGATGACGATGACTAGCGAGCATTTGTTGGTATTCAAGTCCGTCGGCCTAGATTTTATCAGGCGCTGCCAGTGTGATCCAGAACATTAGGCAAGGATAGATCAGACGAGAAATTTGTTGGTAAAAAATCACTAGCGCTTGATTTCCTTAGCAATTAGTTCCAGAGCCTTGTGGCAGCTATTAGTTTGAACATGGGTGCTCTGCTTGGCTGCCGGTGTAGGAGATTATACGGGGTGGCAGCAATTTTAGAGACGACAGCTGGGCTGGCGGTGGGTTGCAATACGAGAGCGACGAGAATCATTCACTTAGATAGGTGATAGCCCAGTACTTGGTAAAGAGTTCGAAAAGTCTCCAGAGAGAGAGTAGCGAAAGTGGATGGCGTCTAGTCAACGAAAATCTTCAGAGGATGCAGTTGGAGAGAGGGTAAGACGCCGGTGAATATGCAGGTGGCAACTGTCAGTACAAGTGACAGTGTTACATTGCGTTCGCCTCTGCCCACTACTGCAATCTCTCCAACTGTGGAGCAAGCCTTGTCCCTGTAACGCGACATTGGCACTGCCAATAAATCGGGCACATGCTGATTTGCCGTCAGTAGAAGTCACCATGCCACAAAATACCATGAAAGTATTGAACTACTACTTGTGAGGCTATGGGGCTCGGATTTATGTTTCACGCCTTCTATTGGACTGAGGTCCGTAGGGAAGCGTGCTCTAATGCCCCCCACGGTTTGCAGGGTGTTTAGCATTGGACGAACTCTCATTCGTTACTCTGTCATAGTCCTAATTACATCTATATTCCGCAATAGCTTTAGTTACCAGCTTTCATCGCACTAGGGAGAAGCTTAAAGTCTGAATAGAAAGCTGCATGATCCGTTGTCCACTCATTGTTTCCTTCATTGGGCGACGGCTTGGGGACACCAACCACGATGGGCTGCGAGGCAGTCACCTTAGCGCCACCGGCATAGTAGATAAAATCGATGCGGTCCTGAGGCTCTTCGGGAGCAGGGTGGATAGGAGACCAAGTGAAGGCGGGATCCTGCACAGGATCGGGATGGAGCTCACGGAACGAGTCGATCATGCCTGCATCAACGGGGATCTTGGAGGTTGGCCACGCGACGTATCCGATTCCGCAGTGATCGGCCTTGGAGGCCTCGGTCCAATCAAGATGAGATGGGGCGTTGAAATCGCCAGCAAGTAGAATAGGGACACGATCAGCATTGGGCATCAGCTTCTTAATGTCGTTGCTGATTTCCGTGATTTGCGGTGTACGGCCTGATTCAGCCTCACGCTTCATGACCTGCTCGAGAGTCATGTTGTACTTGCAAAAGTCGTAGGGTCCGTAGGGATCGTAGCCGAGATGGGCACTGTAGACGATGACCTTGCTATCCTCGCCATCAAAAGCGACAGTCGCCTGTGTGCTGGAATCAGTGCCAGCAAGCTGTGTGATGGGGTAACGGCTGATGATGGCAGTATCGCCAGAGTGAGCCTCATACCAGCCAAGAGCCTTGGAAAGACGCTGACCGGCAGTTTGTACCGTTTCCTGGAAGACAATAACATCGGGATTCAAATCTGCAAAGAAGCGGATTTGCTTTCTGTAGCTGTCGGACACGTAGGCGCCGCCAATCCAAAGATTCATAGTAAGGAAGCGGAAGTTCGTGACCAGAGGCTGTCCTTTGGGAATGCAAGGAATGGTCACGGTGAGACGGTCGGTAGTACCATCTGCAATGGAGGCCTCGACAACGACAGTAGCATTGCCTGTAGCGCACGAGGGGGTGCCAGTAATTGTGCCATCAGCATCAATCTTGGCCCAGCGAGCCTTGGTCTGGCTGACAATCTTGAAGACGGGCTTCTCAGCGCGAGGGTTGATAAGACCTGCAATGTTGGCACGGAAGGCATCTCCTTGTCTGGCATTCTGGGTGGTGAACTTCGGTGTGATGAAGGACACAGGTCCATTGTCGCCCTGGTAAACGAAGCTTATCTTGTCGGCAAGCTGCGTGTAGCCATCTTTTGCGAGGAAGTAAGCATCGTAAGGTCCAGGGGTGATGTTTGTTGTAGAAACTACAACTGTGCCGCTGGACTCTGTCGCATAGCTCCAGGCGAGATAGCCTGACTTGACAGGACTGGTGCTGTTCGCAGGGTACACTGCAATCCAGTTCTTCTTGTCCGGGGCCTGAGTCTTGTACTCAAAGGTCATGGGCTTGTCCTTGGGGCGATAGGCAAAGGAAGAAGCGGAGGGCTGGCTAGCCGCGCGAGCCTTGATGGGCCCAGCAAGCACAGTGTAGCCATTCTTGGCCAGCAGATAGACGTCATAGTCGCCCGCCGCTACAGAAGCAGAGTCAATGAAAACACTGCCCGAAGCATCAGGCGCATATGCCCAGGTAGAGTATGATCTCTTGGTTCCATCATTAGGGTTGTTGCCACCAGTGTACAAGGCCACCCAGTTGGTCGAGTCGACGGTAGAAACGGTGTAGTCAAAGGTAAACGCAGGCTTGTTGGCGTTGAGGTTCAAGGAGTCGCCAGCGCGGGGAGCCACAGCAGCAGCGCTAACGCTAGCCGCTAAAGCGACAAGCATTGACCAGGCCTTCATCTTGGTCAATTGATTCGAACAAGTTGAAATTAGAAAGAACTGACTGTAGAAGATTCATCATCTGTGGTGGGGGACGCTGGAGGTTTATAGTTTGGCGGCTGTCAACGTCATCTCCGCCCCAGTAGCATCGGTTATGATTGACAGTCGGAACATTATTACTTGTTTTAGTCTAGTTTCCACTATTCGCGTTCGATTTTAGGTCGCCGGCAAGGAGACATCGGAAAAGACTGCTAAAGAATTAAGCGATGATGCAAGGTTTGTCGAGGCACAGGTTCAGTTCCCCCACTAGTTCCGGGCAGTGGACACTTCTTAGCGCTCTTGGCACCTGTCATTGGCTGCGGCAGAGCCTCTACAGCGGGCTGGTGGACGCTTGTTAGGTAACTGGGGGCGGCCCCGTGGGCAAGATGATAGGCGGCCGTGCTTCCAAGGAACAGAGTGGATGATGGAAAAGAAGAAGCTTAAAAAGAGACGGTGGATTGAGGCGGAACAGTATTGCGATATTTTCTAATGTCGAAAATTTTCTCGGTCTGCGTTTGGGAAACCTGTGCGCGTGTGTAAACTTGTTGTGTGAGGCAGTTTGTTGAGCTTGCAGCAGGGTGCAGCACGTCAAGGTGTGGTTACAGTGGGGTGGTGAAGGTTACGGTACGTTACCTGGACGCGTGCTTGCCCACAGCTTGTCACTATTCAGAGACGATTCGCTTCTTGTAATTCAGCTGGGTACGATTTCGGAGATGATTAGTTGAAGCTGGTTACGATATACCCTCGTTCTTTTTACCACTGATGCCAGCTGGTCACGGCGGGCTGCCAGTTGTCGCAGCGGGCGACACCTGGCTACAGCGAACTGCGAGCAATTGCATCTCCGTACAGTAATTAGCAGCCGGGTACAAACATGCTGTCGATCACCAAATACCGACTCGAGCATCGAACACTTGCATTCAGACGGAACCAACTTCTTCACGTATACTAACAAATCACGCAAAGAAATGACGGAAATGAAGAATATGTTTCTTTCTGTTGACTCTAGGTAGCGCATTGTGTACGGCGAATCTTTTTTCCAGCAGACACTCACCATACAGAGGGACGCACCCATTCCCAACTCCACCCCGATAGATTCGCTCTGGCAAGTTATCATGGGGAACCTATCGTGCCCCGGACTGTCATGTCACGCAAAGGGTGCATCGCTTCAACAAGCGAGACAAGCCGCAATTGGTGGTGAGGATATATGCCAGATGCAGGTCTCCGCGCTGACGAATGGTGTTTATTACGCCAAACCACAAGGCTAACCTCGGGTTAGCCAAAGACCCAGCCTTCCTGCCCTACCAAGAAGGTGTGTGCTTCATCTCGGTCGCACGCCGTGCGCCACGCGCTGTGTGGTGCGCCAGCAGCCAGGGAATCAACAGGCCCGGCCCTCAGAGATGCCGAAGATGCATGGCCGGGCCGTCGCCAGCAAAAGAGCCAAGAAGGAGACCAGGCCGTGTTTTCCGGGCGCTCCACCATCTTCAGGCCAAGTGATTTCCTCTAGCGCCGCTGCTGGGGCTGCTGGTCTTCATTGTTTTGGCCCTCTTGTTTCGGGCTCCAGTAATCTCGTCCTTCCTCTCGCGTGGTGTTCTAGAAACAGCGAGTCCGCCAGATTGGATCTATTGGCAGGCCATGCCTTATTCAGAGACTTCACAGCGTCGCACTAAGTGTTCTCGCCTATGCTGCAGCCGCTCTCCCATAATGCGACGTTGTATTGCAGAATTTTGGAATCAAGACAATAGTTCGAACCACAGCGGGTTGTCGTAGTCAACTAGCTACAGGCCTGGGGTCTGCAGGTCCTCGCGTGGTGCCTCGAGCGCCGATGCCCGAATAGGCAGGTCTGCGTCCTCTCTGCTCAGTCTGGATTCGCTTTTCAGCAGGATAATTTCTCCGATTACGGGGATTTCTGGTCTGCAAAACTGGCAATTTCACTCAATTTGCCTTTTCCTGCAGTGGCTGTCGCCGGCGTATCCAACAGCTGGGTTATGGAGGCACGCAACGCCGCCACAACTAGTACGGGCGTTCACCTTCCTGAAGCACGGTAAATCAGATACCTGGGGCTTTACGAAAGAGTAATATTATCCATTACCCCATTGTGATAGCGCGCGACCCCGATAACCCCGCAAAAGTTCCCCAACTCCACTAGCACCACCACCCCCAGCTTCCTATTCCAGTCCGCGCTCTCGGAGATGACCCTCAGTTTTCTTGGGGCAACCCTAGATTCTGAGTCGTTGCGCATGCAGTCGACCGACTAGGTGGTGCAGGATGAGGGGAATTGGGGGGTGCCCGACGCACTAGTGTAGACTCCTGGGTGAATTAGCCCTGTCCAAGCTGTTCTATTTGAAGGCATCACCACCCGCACCAGGTCAGCGGAGGCTCCAGCAACCAAGTTTCCTGCCTAAAGACGCTTTCTCGTGCTAGGCTCCAGTCTCAAGATGGTCCGTTCCATCATTTCTACTATTGCGGCCGCCTGCGCCTTTGCAGGTGTTGCCCAGGCCATCGGCTTTGGCCCTGCCAACACAGGCATGGGCATCCCGTCCATGCCAGAGGAGGCTTTGGCTAAGGGCGATCCCGCTGCTGCCGAGGCCAGCTACTGCTACAACCTCTACCCTCCCTCAGTACCTTGCCCCATTGTTGCCGGTACCTTTGATCAGTACATCGACCACGACAAGCCCGAGCTTGGTACGTTCAAGCAGAGATACTGGTACAACGCCGAGTTCTATGCTGGACCCGGGTCTCCCATTATCCTCAACGCCCCCGGCGAGGAGGCTGCCGACTACTATGTCTGGTACACAACCAACTACACTCTCCCTGGTGTCTTTGCTCAAGACAACAAGGGTGCTGCCATCTTCTTGGAGCACCGCTTCTGGGGTGAAAGCTCTCCTTACAAGACTCTGACCGCCAAGACCCTCCAGCTCCTCACCCTCGACCAGGCCATGCGCGACATCATCAACTTTGCCAAGAAGGTCGACCTTCCATTTACCAAGGGCACCGGCAGCCCCGACAAGTCTCCTTGGATCCTGACTGGCGGTTCATACCCCGGTGCCGTTGTCGCCTGGGTCAACAAACTCTTCCCCGGCACCTTCTGGGCTTACCACTCATCCAGCGGTGTTGTTCAGCCCATTGCCGACTACTGGCAGTACTTCCAGCCCATCGAGGCTGCCATGCCCCGCAACTGCAGCAAGGATCTCAAGCTTGCCATTAAGCAGCTTGACAGCATGATGGACTCCCGCGATGCCGCTGGCAGAACCGCCCTCAAGAGCAAGTTTGGCCTTGGCGACTTGGCCGATGACGACTTTGCCAGTTCCCTCATTGATCCTCTCTGGAGCTGGCAGGGAACCCTCTTCTACAGCCACTCATCCAAGCTTTACGACATGTGTGACTACATCGAGGGTGTTGGTAACCACAACATCAACAAGACCGAGGTTCCTGGTGAGGAGGGTGTAGGCGGCTGCAAGGCCCTCCACGGCCTTGCCAAGTACTACCGCGAGTATAACAGCAAGCACCTCTGCGACAGCTTCAGCTACTGGCCCACTGGTAGCGATGCCTGCTCTGTCACTCACAATGTGAGCAGCCCCATCTACACAGACCGCACCGTCCGCAACGAGATCAACCTCCAGTGGCAATGGATGTGCTGCAACGAGCCCTTCCAGCAATGGCAGGCTTACGTCCCCGGCGACACCGGTCTCATTTCCAAATACATTCCCACACAAGCCCAGCGTGCCCAGTGTGACCTCTTCTTCCCTACTGATGATGGCTTCACCTACGGCCTCAAGGCTGGTCGCACCACACAGCAGATTGTCGAGAAGACTGGCGGCTGGGATAACATCCACACCACGCGCCTTGTCTACGTCAACGGCGAGTTTGACCCTTGGAGACAGGAGACGGTTTCCTCTACGATCCGCCCCGGCGGTCCTCTGGAGTCAACTCCCGAGGTTCCCGTCTTCCTCATCAAGGGTGGTTCTCACTGCTCTGACCTCATTATGAAGGACGCCGAGGTCAACACTGACGCTGCCCGTGTGATCCAGGGCGTCCGCGACGTTATCAACAAGTGGACCGCTGAGTTCTACACTGAGAAGGGCATCAAGCGCCCTGGCTTCTAAAAAGTGCCAGCTGTGGATGAATAATGAAAATATTAAGCATGGTTGTATATAGAGTGCAGTCAATACAGTAAAATACCCAACTTGTACACATATATACTCCTTGTCCCGTAATTACTAAACAAATCATAGTACCGTTTTAAACGGGAACTGACTCCGTGCTTACAACGAACTACACTTAGACATGGTCATAAGCAGTTGGCCGATATCTGATCAATCTGAGACATTGCCGTTCCTCAGGTCTGCCCTGCGTCTGGCGGCGCGCAAGACAATTGTATTCCGCGATACGTCCCGGCTTTATTTCCGTATTGCGCTAGGACTAGCATAGATCAGACGAAAATACAACTCATGCTACGCGTACGGCTAGCATCACGGGGCAAAATACATCCGGAGTGAACGAATTCAACCTGCTATTGTTGCGCCAAAATGCCGTCCGTTTTATTAGTATGATTTTCAAGGAAAATATTCACCGTTCACCAACTTATGACAAGTCAAAGCTATACAAGACATTTTACATATGTTTTAAGGCCCAGAAAGATGTCCCAAAAGGGTATAATTTGCGTGCCCCAGGCGTTCGCAGATGCGTATGTGAGATGGAATTGTAGGAATGGCTTTCTGCTATTCGACAAACACCACGGCCCAAAGGGGTCGCACGTGTTCTTTTGCTCCACGGGCCAGTCGGAGCAACCCGTCCGTCATGTCTTGCATCATCCAAGCAAGCAGTACTGTGGTTTTCGTCCCATCCGTTGACTATACAGGCTAGTTCACCCCCATCTGGTACTATGCACGGCCCGCAAATAGGATCATAGGAGACGTGCCTAGCGTCGCCATAGGGTTCTTCCTTCCAGCAGAAATATATGTCAAGACTGCCTGCCGAGCCCTGGAAAAGGGACCGTCACTCTCGTTTTGATTCAACCCCATTCTAAGGTCTCCACGAACATGGCACTAGCCTTGATTTGAAACCCAGGTTCTCTAATAAGCATAGAAGGGTGTTGACTCGAGTGGAATGCGGTGGGCATGTGAACCGACCTCTCGAGACGAACTGCTACCTTACCAGCGGAATGCTTTTACCACCAAGGTTTACCGTCGCCTATCCAACTTGCACGAGATCCAACTTAGCGGGGCCCGACTCAAATCTAGATGTAAAGGAAATACACTAGCATCCTACCGCCCCAGCAACTCTCCCTCTGACAATAACACTCCGCTCCATATCGTTGAAACCTATCTATCCTGGTATGAACTATACTTTGAAGCCCTGCTACTAGCCTTGGGACATGAATCTAACTTACCTTTTTCAGAAAACACACTCCTTAACATACACAATGTTCAAGCTTTCTGTTCTCCTCTTTGCCCTCGGCGTTGCCGCCACCACTGCTGAAATGTAGTTTGGCGACAGCCAGAGCGCCGCCAACCAATATGACGACTTTTTCCCCAATACTGGTCGCTGTGACGGCAAATGCGCCCAGTGCGCCACCGACTGCAACACAGAGTCGTTTGCGTGCTTCACCAAGTGCCGCACGACCCCCGAGAGCCTGTCAACGTATGTCATACAAAGAAGAAGGACAACGACACTGTTGAGGCCGTCTGCGACCTCTTCACCCTTGGTACTGACCCTTTCAAGGCCTGTGTTTCCTGTGGAGAGTGCCTAGTTCAGTGTGTTATTGATCGCAAGACCTGCAAGGACAAGTGTGGCGGCAGCGCTGATAGCTCTAGCTCTAGCTCAGCCGCTCCCGCCGCCACTAGCTCGTAGATTGACGTGTTCATATAATGAAAGCAGAATAAATATGCATTTTCATAACATGGCACTGTTGTCCAAGAGTGACGTAATCAACAAACTGTTCCATATATATGCGTGTTTACCAACATATGGCCATGTTTCAAGTGTCCTACCATTACTGCAAAACTAAATACCACTACCATACTATTAAGATTTGTGAATCACCAAGACAGTCAAGTCTGGCCACTGAGTGAAGCTCTTCCACAGCGGATCATCACGATTGATTTTCAACATCCGTGTCCATTCGCTCTCCAAGAATTCGGCCATCCTCCATTCCAGTTTGCCCTTCATGCCTCCAGCTCGGGCGGCTCTTTCGTAGATACTTTTCCTGAGGTGGTAGTTTTGAAACTTGACGACGCTCGCCTCGGGCTCAGTTGCTGGTGGAGTGATGGTGATCTCCATGCGGTATCCAATCTCGTCTGGCAGAGGATACAAATAATTGAACTTAACGCCCGTGGCAAGATCCCATCTGCAATTGACAATAGATGCAAAACTCTCGGTATCTTCCACGCCGTGCGGGCAGATTGCCACCAAAACGCCATCGTCCTTGAGGTTCATAGCGATATTCTCGAACGCCCTCGTCAACTCCTCTTCATCCTTGGCATAGTTCAAAAACCAGACTCCAGCTGCAACATCGAATCCCGCCGACCCTTCAGGGACATACTTCTTAGGTTCGAATCCATTAGCCACATGAAATGTCGCCTTGGCTGCGTTTGGAGTTGCATCCAGACGTTGACGAGCAACATCCACCATGGCGGGAGAGAGCTCAACGCCAACAACCGAAGCGGCGCCCCATTCTAAAAAGTGCTTCGAGTAGAAGCCGGTACCGCTGGCAAAATCAAGCACTGAGACGTCGGGCTTATTCAGTAGCGGGATGATCCTCTTGCGCAGGTTATGCTGCTCGATGCGGTTGAAGAAGACACGCTTAACAACGTCATAGTTGGCGCCTATAGCGTCGTATTGAGAAGCCATTCAGGTGATTTCAAACGGATGCGAATATGAATACTTGCAGCGTGTGAATAGGGTTACCTGCATTTTTTGTGCGTAGACCCTTGTGTTAATATATTGGCGGCACTGGGCCCGTACGGGAGCGAGGGCCACATCATTACCCGTCATCAGCCCCTCGTAGCCGTCACTAAGAGAAGCTGACGATGCAAATACGGCTGAGAATACTACTCCAGATACTAATCCGAGCGCAAAATAGATGCCGGCTATCGGTTAAAACCCAGCCCTTGTGGCGGTCTGGTGATTAACAACCAATCGGAGGTGGCGCTAGCGGGACCAGCTAGGTTAATTGGCGAAGGAAAAACGGCCGAGACCCTGTGCCGCACACTAATGAACTCCCGATTAGGTATACTTGTCTCACTAGCACAAACTTGCCCAAGATGGGGGTCTCCCGCTCCGCTAGTGGGTTACGAGAAGGAGGACCAAGCAAGCTGAGGAGTGCGAAGCAAAGGAATGGCTCGGTAAGGATAGAGTTTGGTGGGTTCAATACGAAGGTTGCGAGGAGTCTGTTGGAGAAACTCGCACCAAAGAGATGGTTGTGTCGTTGTTCAGGGTGGTAGAGATAGCCTTAGCCACGATGAGCAACTTGCAGTATTTGTTACCGAGAATACGGTTCACGCAACAACAGCGAACTACTTCAATAGTAGTATGCGTAGGTTTCATTATTAGTGTGCGTATAACTTTTTTTGAAATTTTCAATGATTATTTTTGAGCGATTTTGCTTTGTGCAGAAATAGCAATGTCTCATGCAGGGTAGCCCTATCGAAAACGCCTCATTCCGAAACATTGTCTCCATGCATCACACAGTCAAGGCAGAAAAAAAGAGGAGTCGGTGAAAATGGGTTCAAGTAGTTAATTTCAAAGGCTAATCTAATGCAAGTAAAATAGTAGTCCGTCTCTTTTTAAGAGGACAAAATCCCCAAACGCCGTCTCCTTGGGTCTATCGCAAGAAATCTTGCAGTCTATAAGCGGAGGAGAAAATAAAGGGCTCAAGTATGGCCCAGGGCGTCAACGGCTCTGCCGGCGCCAAAGAATCCAATTTAACAAAGGAAATGGTCGTTAAAAAGCCACAGCGAGCAATTTAGTCCCGGGACTTGTGCATGGAACCAGTAACGTAGTTCTCCTCAAGAGCGTTGATGGTCTGCACATCCTCCTCGGCAAGCTTAAAGTCAAAGCTTTCCAAGTTGGACTCGATGCGAGAGGGAGTCAAGGACTTGGGGAGGACAACGTTGCCACGAGCAGCAGACCAGTTGAGGAGGATCTGTGCGGGGGTCTTGTTGTACTTCTCAGCAATGGCAACAATGGTAGGGTCCTCGAGCTTGTTGCCACGAGCTAGGGGAGAGTAAGCCTCAATCTTGATGCCATGCTTCTCGCAAAGGTCAACAAGGGCCTGACGCTGGCAGAAGGGGTGGACCTCGACCTGGTTGACGGCAGGGACGACGGTAGTTTCCTCGATGAGCTTCTCGATGTGGGCGGCGCCAAAGTTGGACACGCCAATCGACTTGACCTTGCCCAGACGTTGAGCAGTCTCAAGAGCACGCCACGACTCATGGCGCTTGTCAGCATCGTCGGCGGGAGAGTGGATCAAGTACAGGTCGAGGTAGTCGAGGCCAAACTTGTCGAGTGAGGTGCAGAGGGCGTTGAAGGTAGCCTCGTAGCCGTGGTCAGAGTCCCAGAGCTTGGAGCAGACAAAGACCTCCTCACGAGGAGTGCCAGTCTTCTCGAGCCAGCGGCGGATAGCGCGGCCACAAGCCTCTTCGTTGGCATAGCGGGCAGCAGAGTCGATGTGTCGATAGCCAGCATCGAGAGCAGCAGTGACGGCATCCTCGGTCTCCTGACCGTTGGGAGCCTTGTATACGCCAAGGGCGACCTGGGGAATGGTGTTACCATCGTTCAGCATGACAGAACCGACGGAGTGTGTGGAGGAGACAGAGGAGCTCTTGGAGCGGTTGCCAGATACGACGGCCTTCTTGACCTGGATCTCGCGCTCGGGAGAGGCCTCGGGGGTAATAGCGACGGGAGACATGATGAAAGAAAAGAAGAAGGAAGAAAGTTTCAGAGTTAATGGGTGAATGAGGCTGTAGAAGTAAACACCAAATAAGTTTGTAATGGGAAGATGTGTATAAGTTGTTTCGTAGGCGTCCAGCGGCTTGTAGAAGATGAGAATGAAGAGAATGAATAGGTGGAAATGAACAGAAGGAACAAGAGTCTTATATATCCTGTATCTCTGAGATATCGGGCACGACCGAGCACGACTTTCACAGGACAAAACAGTTTTGTTTGGCTTCTAGGTTGTTCCGTTTGGTACACACACGCCCCTTGCCGTCGTTATCCGCCGAGGCCCATCACCAAAAACCGCACTACGCCTTGCGTAGGGTACCAGAGTCTGCTGCTTGTCGTCATCACTACGGCTGAGGTGGGACTAGCAACAGTATCTTTTGCTGGCGGTGACGGCGATTCGGATACACCAAAACTCTGTTGGAGCCTCCGGCCGTAATCTACTGTGGCTCCTGGTCCCCTCTGTTCCGTTTCGCGGGCCCCGTTATCCCAACCCCCCTGGTCAGTCCATATACGTACCTCGAGGAACGTCCAAAACTGTGAGGTTTTACTGGAGAAAGAGTGGGCATCGCGGTGGAGATTGGTGGTTGCGCGTACGCCTTTGGCGGCGGCGTGGTTGGTTGGTGTTTTCGCAACGGTAACCGCTGGCCTGGGAGGAGACATGCCTGGCCCGCAGTGTAGTATTCAAGCGGACTCGGTATCTGTAAAACGGGCCAAAGCGGAGGGCAACAGTAAAAACTTGAAGCACAATGACGCAGCACGGTGGGGAGCATGCGGTTGCGAGATGCTGCTCTAGTCCGTAGTGAGCTGAGCAGTCATTTGCCGGCACATGTTGAAAGTGACTTGTAGTGATAGTGTATATGGTTGTTTTCTAGGTGTTGTTCATGGTGTTCTTGTTGGCAAATATGAGATCTCTATACCCTTGATTTTGGCTTTTTGAGTCGCTACAACGGGCAGTCCGGTGTTGGTTAGTAAGACCATTGTTTCCATACAACAGTAATCCGAGCGAGTATCCATGTATCCGACTACACGTAGCACTGTACTCTATTGTATCCTTTTTCTTTTTCAGAGTTTTTAATATGGGCGGTGGAGCCGTCAGAGAGCGAGTGATGCGTTCGCAATCCAGCTGCTCTCCACGTTGCTCTAGCTTGTCATTGGATGGAGACTGCCATTGATAGAGGGTTGAGTTTTTCGCAGAGATCTTCGAAAATACTTCCAAGCCCCCCCTTATCTGCTAATTGGTCCGCTTCGATTTCCCGATGGTGTGCCCTGACGCGTTTTCGGGAGAGGCTTGCCGGGCTGCACATTGCCCAGGCACAACAGCCGCTTTTCGTGAATTGGTTGTAACTTTGGCGACTCTAGCTGGAAGATTCGAACGAATTCTCTCCCAATACTGAATTATGCAAAGAATAATCCCAGTGACATGTTCACGCAACCACGCTGCATCACCCCGGCGGAAATAACTTTGCACGGCAATGACGTCGTAAGTGGATTGCCCGATCCGCACAGTTTCCAGCCGCACCCACACTGTGTTACCGTACAGCACAACACTGCCTTCTACAGTGCATATTCTTTATCAACCACACGGCATGGACATTTCCTCGACAACCACCCACCGCAACCTAGCAGCGCAAAGCACCAGTCTCTATGCACTGGGAAGAAAGGCCAAGACGCTACGACTGTAACCCACCATCTTTGAATCCACTCTCCAATGTACCTCTCTCTCTAGATGCCCTGGGCTATCCTTAGCTATGCGGCTGACTGGCATTGAGACTCAAACACTCCCGCTCCTGTAACGTATTGCAAGGGGGTGATGATTTAGGCCGCCAGGGTGAAGATACCCCATCTGCCCCATAGACTGGAGCTTTCTGACGTCAAGATGCTTTGGATGTTACAATGTGTGAAATCTCTTTTCTTTGGCCGCCGATGCGTAGTGTCGCGCAGAGATCCAGAAGCAAGAGCGCCAAAGAAGCACCATCGAGATAGTTTACGGCAAATAGCATACACTGAGGGCTTATAGAAGGTATATGACATATGTCACAAATCTTTCTATCACCTTGAACACCTTTTTGCTGTTATCGTGGATCTGTAGCTCCAAAGCATCGTCACAGACGCAATCGTGGACATTAGCTTCCCCGCTCCTCTGCTAGAACAACACACAAAATGGACTCCCTGCGAGGCTCATTCTGTCCCCGTTATTGTCAATCATCATCCTCGCATTCATCTTATGTAACCCTGCAAAGGCTGTCACAGAACACGTCGTCTCACTCTGCCAACACCCTGCATGGATCGACTTGTCTGTTGGAATGCGATTCGTCCCTCACAATCCAGACGTTGTACCGAATTGGCTATCAGAGGGGATCTGCCTCCATGTCCGGGTTTTATTCGTGGGAATGGTAACGGACAACTTCCTAAATCGCCTCACTCGCTGAGCAAGTATAGCCTGATAACACTAGAGCCAGCTTCGGCACGACTCGGCGCTGGGTACCTCTGCAAGCAGCATGTGGATTCACAAGCAGATCATTATTTGCTTCCCTCACGTTAGAATTCTCCGATTGTCTGTACGTTATTGGCGTCCATTCCCACACACAGGCTGACATGGAAGATTCGCTCACAGGACAGCTTGTCTGCACAGCTAAATTTGAGAGCGCCTTACTCGCCACCAAGTAAGTTATGGTTTATAGATACGGTTAATTTGGAGATAGCCGTTAACTTCTTTGGTATCAAGCACTTACAGCAATAAAAGTGCCTAGGAAAGTGAAGCGCATCAACGAAAGCCACACACTCCACTAGCGGCCGCCTTTTCGACTCGCAGAATTCAAACGCGCGACCTACGTCGAATTCGGGAAGAAGATGGAGGGCCAATATAAACTGTGACACAAGGCAGCGCTTCCTGGCCATCCTTGGGGGCGGATATGCCACGCGGCTGGCAATGAAGCGCTGCTCCAATGTCGAGCCGGTCAAGTATGCCAGCAGACCAAACGCGTATAATTTGACCGGTGCTTGAGCGTCCGGTTGCGACAGGCGAACGTTTTATTCATTAATTTGCAATTTATAGTCCAAACGTCGGTCAAGGATGCGTTGCAGCATGTGCCAGGTGCGCTGTGCTTGACACAGTGTTCTTACAAACAAGCATGCCAACTCCATTGCTGAGAGGAACAATCTCTAGTTTTCAAATTGCAAAAACTGGCATTTTGAGCGATAGCCGGTTTTTGCCACGGATTTGTCTCAGAGTGAAGCCTCTGGCGCTGCCATGTTTCTGGTTATCGTCACTCTACTGTAAGTGGCGCCTCATGATCTACCAGCATGATTGGTTACGGTGGATGCCGATGATGGAACGCCTGCCCAAGCATTGCAAAACTCTCTACTCCACGGCAGAAACGGCGCACCTCAGCTCGACCGAATATTTAAATTTGCCGATTTATAATACTTTTTCCACTTTAAGTCTGACCGGTCGAGGGGCGAGTTGGGGGTTGCCTGGGGTGCATGCTGCACCACCGCTGCCTGTTGTGGTTCGCGTCGCTAAGCTATGACTTCATGCATACTTAGCATGTAGGGCTGTGGTTATGTACCATTAACTCCGCGTACTGCGTGGTGGCATGGCACCCACCAAACTCGCGCCTCAGAAGCAACAACAACACACTGCCGTCTCGCATAAAAGGATCGGAAAGAAATTGGTCGCCTCGCCTCATCCGCGGCTTTAATATACCAAGCAGCGCCTCGGTCAAGTCTCGCTACACAAGGCACGTTGATACTTGAGCGGAGGAGGATAGCCGGAGCGCCACCGAGGGAATGAGGCGAGAAAATGAGGCGACGATCCTCCGCACCAGTCATTGGCCGGCGCTGACAAGCTGGAACCTCTTATTCGTCTTTGCTTCCCAGTGTAATACTTGTTTGCGAAGGCCTATAGCGGACGCCGAGCGGAGCGTGAGGGGGAACCAAGTTCCTTTTTGTAGTTCTTTTTGCGTGCCTACGAGCTGAAGTAGTGACGGATGTGCGACGGGTGGCTTCTGCAAGTGAGCAAGACATATGATGATCGTGGGCTGGTTCCCTGACGGAGCGTAACATGTAAAAGAGTCGCCTTTTTCCTTTTTCCTTCCTCAGCCGCCCTTCATTCTTCTTCTCCTTCACTCTCGCCCCTCTTGACCAATCTGCCCATCTTGCCATACTCCTCGTTTCGAGCCGACAGTTTTGCAGCGACTCGGTCCAATCTAAAATTTCTTTTTGCGTTTCAGCCGCTTCGTGCTGCGCCTACCTTACTCTCTGGTGCAGTTTTTGTTAAGTGCATCGCCACGATTGCCCCCCCTCCTAACCTCTGCGCCTTTCTGCGGCCAGGAAGCGGCCCGTCGTGCTTTAGTGCAGCTGGCGCAGCTGTCCCCCTGCAAGTGTACCAGCTGGCACAACCGTTTGCCAACCGGCAGCCAGCCAGGACAGTTCAGCCAGGACAGTTCAGCCAGGTGTCAGCAGGCTGCCTACAAGGGCGCCTAGCAGCCCTCTGCCCCTCTTCGTGTTTCTCTTATGCTTCTTTTGTTCTAATTATTAAGAATCACGAGACCGGGCGTCATCACGCCAGGGCACGCTAGAAAATCAACACATCGACACATCGCCAAATACAAACCGACCGACAGCCAGCAACATACTCTGCAACGCTTCCTGTTTTATCGCTGTTGGCTGCTGTTGGGCGCTTAGATAGGCCGTGTCCCATCGAATACTACAATACGAACAAGCTTTTGCCCCGCGCACGTTCCATCCTACCAAAAATAGACAAACTTCTCGCTGCAGCGACCTGAGTCATCCGCTGAACGGCCAGCCCGCTGCTCCCGTTAGCACCAAACACGGGTGTCGCCGCTGCCAAGTCGCCGCCGCGTCGTATCAACCCTCGAGGCCCGTGTCGTCATTGAGACTTGTGCCTAGTTGGTCACGCCCTTATCCTCCTTTGTTGTCAGTTGCGATAAGAATTTTTTTGTGCCCTCTACTTGATTTGGTTATATTTTTTGTCAACCATATCTTTCCTACGGACTGCACGCACACTCTGTTGTTCCCTACTTCTCTCTTGGCGCATTCGCCTGCAACTGCTTCGCCCTGCTGCACCAACAGTCGCAGAGCCGCCCTCAGCCCAACATGAGCGGCGGGCCAACAACCGTCGAACACATCGACGCGGTCGATGCCTTTGCAAGAACGCTGTTTATACGCGCCAAACAGATCTCTGGCCCTTCATTTACAGACGCCGCGACCGCTGTCAGACAACTGCATCTTTCCTTACGCCATCTCCGCATTGAAGCCGCCGACCAGGACTCCCTGCTTAACAACCCTGACGCTGCCGGCTATGCGCACCAACTGCCCCGCCTAATCGAGAACTGTAACTTTGCGCTCGAGCAACTCAGCGCCATCCTCGATAAGCATGGAAATGGCGTGTCCACGGCTGAATGCAGCGCTGTCAAAGACAAGGTCGCTTCAGTAGCTGCCCGGCTTACACAAGAACACACCAACGTGGCGAGATTCTTGGACACGATACAGCTTCACAACCCCGCAAACCCCCCACAGGATGCCAACTGGGACGAATCAGTTGACTTGGAAGATATTAAGAACAAAGTTGATAAGGTTGCCAAGCGTGTATTCAAGCGCCAAGGCAGCGAGTTATCGGAGGACTCCGACCGCACTTGGCGGGAATTCAAGACGGAACTGGAGAAGGAAGGCTTTGCTCCAAACGTATTGAGACAACACAAGGTACGAATTTCCCCAAGCCGGAATTGTTTTCGCTTTGATTTATACTAACCGGATTTAGGATGTACTGCGTGCTTATATCCGTGAGCTGGAATCAGCAAGCTGCGAAGGCAACGGATCGCCACCAACATTTCAAGGCATGCTTGAGTACGAGGCAAACACAGCACCACAACCTGTCCAACCGCCTACAGTCCCTCCTAAAATTCCTCTTACGGACGGCGACATCGGTAGCCGCTCTGATAAATTCCAGCCCACTATGCGATCCGAACGACGCCACCCCGATGAGGCTCCCGCTGAGACTCATGCCCTTGCTCGCCGACCTAGCTCTCCCGAGGACATGGCCATCATTTCAACCCGCGAGCTGATTTCATTGGATGCCCTAAACCATAGTATGGCCATGATGCATATTGAGCCAGTTTATAATCAGCGCCCCAACCCCCCTGAGAGGCGCTATCTCACAGCTGGGGCTCATGATGACGTCCCTCCCCCAAGCGCAAACTTCAGTACATCACCCAGCTTTTATTCTTATACGCCAAACCAGTCATCTAGGCAGAGATCACCCCCACGTCCTGCCTCCCCTGGGTTGGCACCTGATCGTTACGGAAATAAGATTCCTATCGATGCTCAGTGGACTAAGATTCGCCGCACTCTAGTGAGCCCAGAAGCCCTTGCGCGCGCCGGCGTGCGATATGAAGCTCGACCCGAGTATGTTGCGGTGCTAGGCCGTCTCACCAAAGAAGAGGTGATGGAATTTGCTCGCCAGAGTGCTGAATGTAGAGCTTCCCGCGCAGGATCTCATTTCACTCCAAGACGTACATCACCACCTCGCCGCGAATATTCTTGGAAAACCCGCCACGACGACGGCGACGATCATCTCTACGACTCTACTGATGACGATGAGAAGCTGTCTAATAAAGGAACCAAGAGCTATCCTTATATTGTCAGCCCTCCCGAGAAGACTAGAACATCGCCTAACGGTAGCACTGTCAAGCCAAAGCCCATTTTGAAGAACAAGAATGAAAACCACGTACACTTTGGACCAGATCCATACGAGGTTGACCCAAGAGGAAGCCCTCCACGCAAAGATAAAGACGGTCGCAGAATCTACGCTGCCTCTTCTTCATCTTCCTCTTCTCATCGTCGTCGACGAGATGACGACAGAGACAACCGTCGCGATGATGATCGATACCGCCGGTCCGATAACGACAGGCGTAGCCGCGATGAGCGTAATATAAGAAAGAAGAGCATTGGTGAGACTATCGGCGCAGTTAGCATTGGTGGTGCCGCTGTCAGCTTGCTCACTGTTTTGGCACATGCTGCTGTCGGTGTATAAGTTGCGCGACCTATACCTTTTCCTTTGTGTTTTTTGTACTTGTGCGTCATTTGAGACCTGTACTTTACTGCATTTCTTTTTGGAACCACAGAACCCGGATTAGCACGAATAGCTTGCTGATGGAGGAACGAATACCCAGGCTGATTATGTATTTATGAGCATGAATACTTTTATGAGATATGAGAATGACGATTTCTAATGCTTCTTATTTATTTCTCTTGATACTTTTTCGCTTGTACATCTATGACTCTGTATATACTGTAAAATGCTCTTGTATACAAGTAAACACACTAAAAAGCATCGCTAATTTGTCTATGCAAATGATTCATCTTCTATAGCCTGCCACCAGTTGGGGCTTTGACCTGGCTTTGTGAGTCTACCAAGTCGTCGTCTAGGTACTGGCACCCACTCCTGGATATTCATGCTTCGCACCTCTGGGTACTCAAAGTCTGGTTGATCGGATCCTTCGACATTCCTGGCATAGATACCTGCTAGCTTCTGCGGCAATGTGGTGCGAGTCTGCTTTCGCCAGTGCAGAATTTTGCCCTCTTCAGCTCCAGGTCGTTCTAAGACCACAGATCCCTGGGCTGTGCGGTAGCGCACCTTTTCTGGGAGAAACTCTGCAAATTCAGCAACTAGGTTGGGTAATTCAGCCGTGGTTACAGCCGACTCGCGGTATGTGCGTGAGCCGGAAGTGGCCTGTAGCAGCTGCACCAGAGCAGATGCAATCTCGTGGTGCGCTGCGTCTTTGAGAACGGCAGCACGAGCACGGCGCCGCGAAACGTCAGCAGATATGGGAGTCGGCGAAGCATCGGTTTGTAAAACTTCATCGGCTAGCGCTGCATCGTGGTTGTCCGAAAGTAGGCGGTAGTGTGGGATGATATTGTCGCGGAGAACGCTGAGAGCTTTGAAGAAGGATCGCTGGGCAATGAGGGTCTTGAGGTAGATGCGGTAGTCGTCAATAGAGGGGATGATATTGTTCGGGGCGGATGTCATGGCGTCCCAGGTGGCGCGGACATCGGCGGCCGTGATTGTGGTAGAAGGGTAGTTGCCGCTCGCTGCACGCATCGAAGCAAAGGGTTTAGACGCATTGAGGTAAGTCCAGTTGAGGAGGTTGGACCATACTGTATGAGGGACGGGGAGATCGTAGGTGACTGAGAAGTGGTATAGGAGTTGCGTAGCGAGCGAGATCTGCGCCATGGATCCGAGCGAATCGGTGAGTGCGTTAAGCAGCTCCGTGGTTGGCCGGAGAGGGTGGTTGGCGCTGAATTTGCGGCCGCCTGTGATGTTGTATGTACCAGGGATATCGCCGTCTTCAATCATAATGTTGTAGTACGGCTTGAGAATGAGCTCTTTGATGGCTGTCAGAGAGCTGGAGCGTGAAAACGCCTTGAGCGATGTGCAGAGCAAGTCTTGGTTCATTTCGTGACCGTAGTACTGCGCGCGGATCCAGTGGCTGCTGTAGCCGCGATAGTCTTGTCTGTGGCGGAGCAGTCGTCTGATGTCCTCGCCCGGTTCGTCGCGGCGGCGGTTAAACGGGAGCTGTGTGTTTGCGTTGATGGCGAAACGCATTCTATCCAGCCTCTTGAGAGTCGCCATGGGCATGGGTGCTTGGTTGCGATACAAGTCGCGCGCGAGCACGGCAACGCGGGACCGGTCAAACTGGTAGTACGCAGGCTCGGTCATGAACCGGGATTTTATAAATTCGTTCCAAGTCTGGGCGGTTCGCGCATCTCGCAGGCCGTCGCCCACCATGGCTGTCCAAAATTCCTTGGCAGCCTGCCTGTCAACAGCGGTGCCGGCGATGCGGATTAGGATTTCGTAGTCGGCGGTAGTCAGGGCCTGCTCGGACAGGCGGCGAATGGAGAGGAGAAGCTGGACGCCTCGGAGGACGTCGCGGTGATGCCGTCGCACGCCAAACTCGTCCACAAGTTTACCTGCGTCTGAAAATCTGGCCAGGCCTTGCGAAATAGCGATTCCTTGCGCGGAATCCAGCTCATGGTTATTCGCGGGGTCCAAGTTTCGCAGAACCTCGGAAAACGTGGCACTGGCCATGCCCTGGACCTCTCTCATGGCATCGCCGTGATGTTTGGCCTCTGGGTTGGCGAGTGTCTGAATCCATTTGAGAAACCGGTTGCGCAATTGACCATAGTCTCGCGAATATATAGCGGCAAGAACCTTGCTGAGCAGCGAATCGTCGTATTGACGGATTGGCTCTGACGGCGAATGTGTCGTGTGCGCTGTGGATGCGGAGTGGGTAGCGAGTAATCTCCAGCACGACAGAGTTGGGGCGATTGACGAGCGGTGATCTTGCAACGGCGTCGAGCGGGCAGCCACGGAATTGAGACGAACTCTGGCCAATGGCGCTCGTCTGAATGCCATGGTCAAATCTCTGCCACACGGTCTCTGCAGGCTTTTGGCGACAAAGGCGAGCGTAAGGTTTGCCGCGTTCCTGACCGGCGCTCACTAGTGAATCTGGGGTTTGGTGGAGCGGTCCCGCGGTGGGCGAGAGGGGGCAAACGGGGCCTGATGGGCGCGCTCGTCTTGATGCATAAGCCCCCGATACAACGATGCGCAGCGACCAGACGAGCGCTGGCCTGCCAAAGTGGGGGTGTTTGTCGGCCGCCGAAGATTTTCCAGGGCGAAAGCAGCCAGAGGCGCCAAGCTGCTGTGGTTTTTGATAGTGCAATCATTGCGACAATTCGATTGATTCCACCACAACTGCCGTGCCAATTTTTGGAAGTAAACTTGAAGCGAGACAAGCATTGCACGACTGCGAATAATTACACATCTACATCATGGCCGACGCTGCAGAGGGAAACAGCCTCGTTGCTGAGCCTCTCGACCTGGTTCGCCTCTTGCTCAACGAGGTTGTCTTTGTCAAGCTCCGTGGCGACCGCGAGCTCAAGGGAAAGCTTCACGTAAGTGGAAGATTGGTGGAAGAATGTGTTAGTGGTAGGAGCTAACGTGATGGACAGGCCTACGACAGCCATTGCAACTTGGTGCTTGGTGAGGTGGAGGAGACCATCTATGCCATTGACGAGGACGACGAGGATGAAGAAGTCAAGGTACGGAATGACAACAGAAATGGACGAATGGAACACGTTCTGACTCATGTAATGCAGACTATTAGCAGAAAATCAGAAATGCTGTTTGTTCGAGGTAAGCATTAAGGTACAAGGGTTGCCTAGCAGCTGATACTAACAACTCTTACAGGTGATAGCGTCGTTTTAATATCGCCGCAAGTTCCCTTTTAATCAAATTATGATATCATGACAAAGACGACAAAAATGTTGAAACAATTAGACTGGGTTTTATGGCGAATGGGTAGCTTTTATGCCACGAATGCAAGAGGCTACGGACCGCTGACGGACTGGCTCATTGGACCCGATTTAAACAAAAACAAACGAAGAAAAAAAAATACCAAAATTATTTCCAAACACTTCTATAACCCTGCTACCATGCGCGCCCTTGTTTGACATGTCTACACGTCCTTTTCTGGAAGCTTCGCGCGCGGATGCACGTCTAACGCGCGGAAGTGGACGCCCATCCCGGCGGCAGCCCAATCAGCGGGGGTCCGGTCGCAGCAACAGCGCAAACCCCACGCTGTCCAGCGGCGTGGCGGTGACCAGACAGCCTATTCGTTCTGCGGGGACAGACGCCCAGTATGACTCTGACAAGGCAGAATAGCACAGTCACACCGCGCTTCATCGGACCGCGACTGTCCATTTTATTCTCTTTATAAAGTTTGCAGCCTGCTCGAAGCTTTCTGACTTTAGCTTCTGCATACTTCCCATTTACTATCTTCATACCGCCGATTTAATCCATCTCTAATGATCACTCGAATAGCGACGTAGCGTAGTGACATCACTGCAACAAACCACACCACCATGACAACGAAAGCAATCAAAGCACTTCCGCACGAGAAGCGCAAGGGCGAGTCTGTAAGCGGCAGCATCCTACACCGCTGCGCATCATGTAAATACTAACTCTGGGCAGGCCCTGAGTGAGTTCGCCGAATATGTCGAGCAGCAGCAGAGCCTCCGCTTCCCAGCGTCCAAGGCCGCCCAGGCCAAGGCAAACGAGGATGGCAATGCTGGTGCTGACGCCGACGCTCATCACGAGGAGCTTGATGAGCTGTTCGGCAATCTAGAGCTTGACGAGATTGCACCTAGGATAGACCTCAAGTCGCTGCTGCTCGCCAACGACGACGAGTCGCTTAAGCAGCTGCAGGACATCCTGGTCGACCGAATCGACGAGGGTATGGGCGAGGATGTCTTTGATCTCGGATACGAGAACAATGGCGACAGCATGCACTTTACACTAGACCAGTGGAACACTGCGTATGCGCGACTACTAAAGGCTGCTGATAGTGTGCCGGCCAAGTGCCAGCTCCTACTAACACACAACGTGGGAGGTGATGTCGAGGCAGCGAGCACAACAACAACTAGCAAAGATACTAGCTCTACTGGAAAAGTGTTGGTACGGCGGATGCCGGCAACAGTGGAGGAGGCCATTGAGACTCGAATCGCAGTCGTCGGAAACGGTGAGTCATCCCATATTTCTGTCTATACCGGGCAACCCCATATTCTGACTTGAGACAGTCGACGCTGGTAAAAGTTCGCTACTCGGTGTCCTCGTGAAAGGCGACCTTGACGATGGCCGCGGCCGAGCACGAGTAAATCTCTTCCGCCATAAGCACGAGATTGAGACTGGCAGGACCAGTTCAGTAGGCATGGAGATTCTGGGCTTCAGCGGCACAGGCGAGGTTATCACCTCTGACACTCCCGGACGTGAGTATTTGTTTTGTTGTATGCCTTGCATCTTTGCTAACTTTTGCAGGTAAACTATCCTGGGAGGAGATTGGCAAGCGCAGTGCCAAAGTCATCACCTTTACTGACTTGGCTGGCCATGAGAAATATCTGCGCACCACTGTGTTTGGCATGCTATCCAGCAGCCCGAATTATTGCCTGCTAATGGTTGCTGCCAACAACGGTCTCGTGGGCATGTCTAAAGAGCATCTTGGTATCGCACTTGCGCTGAATGTCCCCGTAATGGTGGTGATTACCAAAATTGATATTTGCCCGGCTCACATCCTCGAGGAGACAATCTCGCAAATCACCAAAATCATGAAAAGTCCGGGTGCTCGAAAAATCCCGACCTTTATCAAGAACCGCGAGGAGTGCATTAACACGGCAACGCAGTTTGTCAGTCAGCGCATCTGCCCCATCTTCCAGGTGTCCAACGTCACCGGCGAGAACCTGGACCTTGTGCGCCTGTTCCTGAACATCCTGCCGCATCACGGCCGATATAACGCCGAGGGTGCTTTCGAGTTCCATGTTAACGACATCTTCTCGGTCCCCTTCACTGGTACCGTTGTTTCAGGCATCATCAAGTCCGGTGTTATCCACGAGGGCGACAACGTGCTCATTGGACCTGACTCGCTGGGCCAGTTCACGCCGACTGCTGTTCGCTCCATTGAGCGTAAGCGACTACGCGTGCCCGCCGCATCCGCAGGACAGTCTGTGTCTTTTGCGCTTAAGAAAGTTAAGCGTAAAGATGTACGAAAAGGAATGGTGGTGCTTACAAAGGCGGAGGGCGAGCCTACTCCGGTAGTGCATCGCGACTTTGTTGCCGAGGTTCTGATTCTGTCACACGCCACTACCATTAAGACACGGTATCAGGCAATGCTGCACGTCGGTCCTGTTTCACAGACCTGCGCAGTCATTGATATTGACCGTGAGCTGATACGAACTGGTGACCGAGCGACGGTAGCTTTCCGATTTGTGCAGCGACCTGAGTATCTTGTGCCGGGCGACCGACTTCTGTTCCGGGAGGGTAAGACCAAAGGCCTGGGCATTGTCAAAGCTGTTGGCTATGATCCCAAGGTTGGACTGCGAGGCGGGCCCTCGGTTGAGAGCCGTGCAATGAAGGAGGAGGTTGATAAGGACGAGCCTGCGCAGGAGGTGCAGGTTGGGGCGTAATGTATGATTATTCTACGATCTGACGACGCTTTATTGTTGTATTTTGCCTGTTGTTTTATTGTATTCATGTTTGTACAGATCATGAATATTAGTCCGAGATTGACAATCAATCATTTGAATTCTTTTTTCACATCTCTTTCCGTACTTCTGCTTATGCTGTCGATATGCCAGTTACATTAAGGGTCAGCAACTAACAGTGCCACGTTGCAAGACGGTCTGCGCGTATACTGCCTGCCAATGGCAACCTCCACTATCCAATTCCAACTTTAATTACCTCTTTCAAATTTCGTCTGATATTAGTCAATTTAAACATGATATTCACAGGGCTGCGGCCCGTCTCCCCCACCAAAATCTAGCGCCACAATGACTTACACGAGGACGACTCTCCATATATAAGAGTCTACCCATAAAAAGTATTTGATAGAAATGAAATTCAACAAATGAAATCGAATAAATGAGGTGTTCTGCAGAAGAAACTATCCTATATTCCTTATCCTATGCACGTCTACCACCACCTGCCCTTCCAGCAAACCCGCCAACAAAAGAAACCAAATGCTAATCCAAACATGCCAACTGACAAAAGAAAAAACAAGCGCTCGCCAGTTGTAGAACAAACAAACGAAGTCGATCGGATCCTTTTATACACGTCGCCCCTCTTACAAGGCACCAGCAACAGCAAGGGCAGCCGCAACACCCGCAACTGCCCAGCCAGCGCGGTTCGCATCAGCGCCAGACAGGAAAGTGTCGTCGTTCATGCGGCCATCGCCACGGCTGTCGCCGCGGTTAGTGCCAGTGCGGGGAGGAGGGTTGACAGGGCCGCCGTGGACGCCGCCGCCGTTGTTGACGCTGCCGTCGTGCTCCAGACGGACGTCCATAGTGTATCCGGCGGGCGCGCAGATCATGCCCTTGGCAGTAGGCTGTTCGCGGGACCAGAGGCCCGAGGCGCAGCGCTGGAAGGAGCGCGTCATGCAGTTCCACTGGCCTTCCTGGGAGCAGGGGACGCCGGCCTGTTCGGCGCGGACGGCGAGGCCAGAGGCAGAGGCAGAGGCAGAGGCAGCGAGAGCGAGAAGAGCGATGAACTGCATTGTGGCTGAAGGAACTAAAGTGTCTAAAGTAGAGTGGATAAGACTAGAGAAAAAGAGTCGAAAGAAGAAGAAGATGTAGAGTGTTTGAGTTGTTGATGTCTAAGACAGATCGAGAAGAGAGAAGCAGGTGCCGTCGATTGTCTTTATACCTATGTTTCCATGGCCTGCGCGAAATACCTTGCGCTTGTCGAGCAATAGGATTATCTCCCTATTGTGTAAAAGCCAAGCAAAATGCGCCGTCTGGGCAGCGGTGCGCCAGGTACGTGCTACGCTGAGACGGTGGCATCGCCGGCAGGCCGTTGCGCTAAGACGATAGGGCAAAGCGTACCTGAGAGAATAGTAAGCAGATATAAACCTAGAGCTTTTGCTAAATCGGAGCACGTAGTGTAGACGTTGCGTTGTGAGATGGGGGGTTGGTACGTCGTGGAGTGTAAGTGCCAGCGGCACACATGGCCCGGTGTAGTATTCGTTGCCTACCAGCGTCGTGCTCATTATTCCCGGTACCTCGCCTGTGGACGTGCCTGTGGGGGGCTACGGTGGGAAAAGTAGAGGGCCTATCACTAAAAAAAGAAGGCGCGGTTAATTATAGCAGGATATCTAGTTGTCGGAAAGCCGTGGAGATGACGTTTGCCGAACTGTCGATTTTGCGAGCAACAAGAGTCTTGCAGCCGCCTCGCTTAGTTTTTGTCAGTGGCTATAGCTATTTTTACACATTGACAGCTTTTTTTTTAATTTAAATTCAAGCATGGGTGCGCCGCAATAACATGTCGGTGTTTGATGAGTCGAACAAGCCCTGGTCTTCATGAGAGCAGGGATACAAGGGACATGCTTTCGGGGAAACAGTTGGTGTTATTCAAATAATTTCATTTCTATTAAATAAGTAATGCCGTTGTCCATATATCCAAAACCTAACAACTTCATATGCATAGTGGTATCATTGGTACAAATTCTCTTCTAGGGAAAGAAATACGTCGTAGTGTGCTGTGCATGCATCGCCTTCAAAAAGTCCAATGTCAAGACAGAAAAAAAAAGCCGCTACCAAGAATGACGTCTTGTAGGCGGCAACTAGGCTCGCGTGGGCAAGGCGCCCATCTGGAGCTCAAAGGTTCCCCGGTTGATCTCAAAGCTGCGGCTCGGCATGCGACCACCAGGTGTGCGAGGGTGCGCTACGTTTACACGTCCAGATCTCTCCAATAGACGCGGTGGCGTTTCGTCGGAATCGGAGCTGTCGTCGCCGTCTTGGCCGTGATAATTGGCTAGTCGCGTAAAATAGTCAGCCAGACCGTCGACGCTCGGTGTGCCAACAATGTGATCATAAAGAGGCGGAGGCGTCGGCATGGGGTCTTGTGGCGTTTCGTCCACGAGCATCGGTGGCGGTGGTGAAGTATCTTCATCCCAGCTTGGAGGGTTGTAGCTAGGAACGCGAATCAGGTGCATCGGTCGCACAGTATGCTCATGAATATGCGCTTCTCCTCCAGCCTCATCCGAATCCACAAGCGTCTCTCCGCTAGAGTTGTTGGGAGCAGGGTCGGCCGGGATGCTGTCTGCATCTGGGCATCCGCAAGCATACTGGTTGGTAGATGACATGCTAGGCGAGCCGCAGTAAGCGGGCAGGTACGTGTTAGCTCGCGAGGCGCGGCAGCTGAGGATGGTAAAGGGCGAGTCGATGGAGATTTCAAAGTGGCGGCGCTTCTTGCCAGAAGGATCCTCAGGATCAGGACGGCTGATGCGCATCACAACCTTAATCCAGTGATAGACGTTAACGTTCTTCCAGCTGCAGTCAGGGCTGAGGCGGAGATCCTTGTTGCGTGCCATCATCTCACACGTCGGGATTTGTACGTTGGCTTCAATCTCTGTAGATCCCCACATGGATTCAAGACCAAGGTCGATATCACCCAGCAAGTTCTCTGAGGGCTGAGGAAGAGGATCGGCTGCACTGTTTCGCTTAGATGCTTCAGCAGAGCGTCTCAGCTGCGCAGAGTATCTCGCATCCCGTCTTTGATCCGCCGAGAGCTCACCACCGCGAACGGTCCGTAAACTGGAAGAGTTCCATGCCGAGTCGAGCGGCTTGCCAGCGACCTTTTCCAGAAGCAAAATCTTACGTCCCGGGTCTTTGCGCGTTACACGGTGGTCATTTGTCCAGTATTCCGTAGATTCTGTCACATACACCTTAAGTTTGTGAAGCTGCACCTTGGCAAGAGGCGTTAGCTTGAATGCAATGGGAATCTTGGCACCGATCGGGAAGCTTTTGCCAGAGATGGCAATGTCGTAATGTAGCTGATCGTCCCATGTACGGTTGATGGAAATGGGTTCTGTCATCTCGAGGGACATGGGGTCAGGCAATCGAGCAATGCACACCTCCTTGTTTCCGTGAAGATTGGGCTTGAAGGCGCCAGCGCGATCAATGGTAGCATGGAGCTCCCACTTAACTGAACCATAGGGCAGTTTGGTGGTTTCCAGTTGGTGGTGGTCGATGGGTAGTTCGAAGGTGTACTCGTAAGTACCGGGGTAGAAGACTTTGTATCCCTTGGCTTGCGTGGCCGATGCCACACCAGTGTCGCCTTTGCCGAAACTTCGGGACTGGTTGCTTTGTAGTGACAGGCGTTTCAAGTCCTTGGCAGTGAGTCCGCCTCTGGCTGATATGGGTGACGGGATGCCTGTTACGCTAGCGCGAGGGTTCAGGTTGATGCTACTAGCACTCGGTGAAATACGTTCTTTGAGCTGATGGTTGCACTGGTTGCCGTACTCGGATTCCCAGCCTTCATTCATGGCGTTGAAAAACGTCAGCACTTGCGTGCGCAGGCCCTCCTCCTCGAAAAGGTCTTGCTTCAGTGGTGGTATACCCTCGGGCCATTCTGTTCTTGCTTTGCCTTGTAGTTTTAGTTGTACAGCCTTGATTTTGACATTTTTGGTAATCTTTAGCTGCAGCTTGCCACGCAGTAAAGCACTACCCGGTCTGCTCTCTTGTCTCGCAGGACGTTCGTGGTCAAATCCATATAAAAATACAGTAGGTTCGGCAAGGACAATCGAGCAGATAACGCCGCTACCAGAGGCGACGGGTTTCTGAATTTCTTTAATGCTTGTTGTCGGGGAGGACTTGTGCCTCGTGTTTAAATAAGAATGTGGTTGTAGGACATGCTCTGCTGATGCAGCTACGAACGCCGCTTGTGAAGCCATAGTTTCGTCGACAACTTCTTCTGCTGAAAATTGCGTTTGAGGAATATCCGAGGTCTCATGGGTTGGACCGGTTTCGGTTTGGGTAATTGCACCGTCGTCCTGCTCTTCACGAACGGTGTCGATAGTGAGTGGCTCGGGTGAGGCGTCGGTTGCCGTCTGTCCCGAGAAGGATGCCAACAACTTTGTGAGAACTGGTCGAATATTCACTCCAGAGCGTTTCTTATTCTTCTTGGTTGACTTGGAGAGCGCTAATCTGGCTTGTTCACGCTGCTCACGTCGAGTAGGACGAACTAGATGGCTATATTCAGGCTCACGCTGTTCGGGCGGCACGTAGCCGGCAGGAAAGGTGACGATATGGATCGAGTGAGGGCGTGTGCGTCGATAGGATATTAAAGGTGTAGGAAGAGTGGACGGTTCGTCTTCTGATCTTCGTCGTGGTTCACGGTAGAAGATGTTGGCAGCTTCGTCTGCTACAAGCCAAGGCTGGCGGTTTTGCCTGTGCCTACGCCGTCTGGTTTCTGCTTCCATTGTGTTAGGATTATCGGCTTTGAATCATGTGTATTTTTGTGTGAATAATGCGAGACTGCTGATCGAAGCAGTATGAAAGGAAAATAAATCAAAAAAAGCAGACTTGGTGCAAAGAGCAGTGGTGGGTTGCGGGCGCAGCCGAAGTGACAGTGCTGACTGACAGCGTGCCCGAAGCCTGACGGAGGCGCAAACGCGGTGAGCGGGAAGGATACGATGGGCCGTGGGCTTATGACGACATGGCAGCCAAAAAGGGAATACAGCGGATGCACGGTGTGGGTTAGGGAGCAAGCGAGCGCTGTGGTTGGTGCGGTGAGGTGCAGCAAGGTAGGTAAAGCAGGAAAGGTGAATGTCGTGAATGCAAAAAACAAAAGTCGAGTTGTAAAAAAAGGAAACGTGGATGGTTCAGAGGGTATGAGTAAGAAATGAGGCAAAAAGGGCAAATGACCAGTGAAATGAGGAATGATCAAGGGAGCTAAAGTGGCGGGCTGCTGGGGAGACTGCGACGCTGGGCTGTGGTGGTGTGGTCCTGCTGCGATGGGGGCGGCTGCAAAGTGCGCTGACACCTAAAGGTCCCTTACGCTCGCGTTAAAAGATGAGTAAGACGGCACCACAGCAAAAGCTTCCGATGTGTGCGAGCTGAGTACCGGGCCAGACAAAAGGCAAATGACGCGAGGCGAAAAGAAACAAAAAAAATAGTCATAGCCCTATGACTAGACCAGTGCGTTTCAAAGCAGCGGGAAAGCGAGATGATGGATGAGTTTCGCCAGGGCTATGGTGGTATTGCAGCGGGGATGACCACCAATCGGCGGCCTGAGATGAGATTTGGGCTGCGGGACGCACGCAGGGATGCCTCCAAGGAAATAAAGCCCAAACTGCAAGGGAACTTGGTGCTTGTGGAAAAAGGAAACAGGGCCACTAGGCCGTGCCGGCATCACCATGCTCAGCTAGCGCACGTAGGATCGGCGCCAGCAAAACAAGCACTCAAAGCCAAGGCAAGCCCCCCCCCCCCGGGCCAATGCCGCCACACGTCAAGTCTGAGGTGCTGAAGGAGCGTGCCTTCTGGGTCATAGAAAGCGCCCATGTCGGTGCACACCAGGTTTCTGTGGTGTTGTGGCTGATGGGCCAAAGTTTGCGTGTGCAGACGTGGGGAAGCGAGTGCGTGGGAACGAGGACCACCAGTTTGCAACGGTTCATCCAGTGCAAAGGAGGGAACCAATGCCACCAATGTGTAGAAAACTTGGGAATAGAGAAAAATGCAAAAGAGGATAAAGAGATGCAATATGCTTACAATTAGTAGCGTCGAGGTAAATCGAGGCTCAAGTGTCTCCAGACGTCAGAAGCAACGATCGACACAAGTTTCGTCTCTCAGCGATGAGAGACCTGTTGAATTATATGCAACTCTGGCTGAGTATAGGTTGTAATTGTAGTCAAACGAAATACAAATTCCGCTTATTTCGTATTGAATGGAATATCGAATAATAAAATCGTAGGATAGCCGAGTCGGACACACAAAATCGAAAGAAAGTGGTTCAAGCGCAGATGACGTCGTAGCCGGACAGCGTGAAAGACGAGAACAATAGAGCTAGGTTGCGCGGCTGAAGGAGAGTAAAAGAATGACAGAAAAAATAGGATATCCTAGGTCGTTCAGTAAAGATGACTGGAGAGGAAATCAAATTGAGGTGTAGGAGCAGGAGTCATAGGAGCAAGTGAGTCGACAAAGGCCAAAAAAAAAATAATGCAAGCTGCTGCCGCCGCTGTCTATTCCGTCACTGCCGGACTCGGCAGCCACGCACGGTGGACGACGAAAATAAATGGTTTCAGGTACCTGCACCAGCACAAAGGTGGGGTGGTGGTACTTGGTGTTTGGTGTGGCTGATGCTTGCGGCGCAAGTACACAGGGCCGTGCTAGCGTATGCCCGATTACCGCTACTGTCCGCTGACAGCACTAAAACTTGTGCTCGCTATAGGACCCCGCTCTGCAAACAGCCAGGCGCCACAATACTGCTTCGGCCGCGGCCAGCACTGCCTGCAGCCACTGTCAGGCCATGACGACAAGACTTTTTATTTTCCCAGCGTCTCTTGTGCGCAGCCCTTCATCGAGATCGCCCGCAGTGCTAGGCTCTTGGCAAATCGACGCGACAACAGGAAACAACAAAAGGGCAGACCCGGCTCGCGTGATAATTTAAAATATAGCTTGAATGTATAGACATACGCAAACACACATAAACAAATACGAGTTCTATTCCATGCAGCCTGATTTTCTAGTCCGCGGCCGTTTCCTTCACCATACCATGCACTACAACCGGCCCGGCTGCTTCGGATGCCGCCCAACTATTGAAAACTAAGGGCTCACGAATTAACCACGGTGCGCGCTTTCATGGGACCCTGCGGTCTCACATTTTCATGCAAGCTTCGGCTATATTGCCGTCTGTTTTTCGTTTTGGTCCCCTTTTTTTGTTTACCGCCTACTCGGGGCATGCTTGTGCCGTAAGCCGGCCTCGACAAGCTAATAGCAATCCACCACTGCTCACACGAGAGGGCCGCATATCCTTGTCCCAGTGCGTGTAAAACATGAAGTTAGCACTAGTGACCCCGCTATAGCCGACAACCCTTCCCTGCGTTTTTGTCCGATTGTCTTACCTCCGCCGAGACCTGGGGTCGAACCACAATGGAACAAACCTAAAAATCAAGCAACGCACGACTGCGGATAATTGTGTATGTTTTTGGATGAACTTGATCTTGCTGGCTAATTTCCTTGCTCGCCGTCCCTTTCGTACTCGTAGAACCTGCTGTGTTTCCTGTAGCTGTAGCAAGGCAGCCACACTTGCATTGTTCCTTGAATGGCTTTCTCATCTGAGACGCCACTAAGCGGCCAGCCACAAGCACTCATAAACATGAGGTCATCAACGCTCCCATGTGCATCAGTCCCCCCGCATCGCATCTCGCTCGATGCCTTGGCAAATTGGCGCCTCTAGAGTCATTTGCAACACACTAAAACGTGGCACAGCCACAAATACATCTTGGATTGTTGAGGGAGGCCTACAATGTAAAGCTGGATTGTTCGTGCTGAACGTCAGAAGCCGTAGTCGCCAGCCACAGCGATTGTTAGGCTGGTTGGAGAGGTTAAACCCCAAAGGAACCTGTATCGCTTACTTAGTAGCCTTGTCGTTTGAATTATTACGGCAATAAACTTCTAGATAAGCAGCCTATTCTTTGATCGCCTTCGAATGCGATGGCGGCTGGCTACATGTAGTACGCAAAGGCGCAGTCGCTGGCCACTCCTCTTAGCCAGGAAACAAACATATGCGTTTGATTATTGTTAAATTTCATATATTCATATTCATATATTCATATTCAATCATCACACTATGTCTCCTCCAAACGTTTTCACATTAGATGCATACACTATGCATAACTCTCCAATCGGCTCCGTCCTTCAAAAGCAATCGTAGGAGCCATTCTACTCAGATGCGGACACATACACATGGCAAGGGGTATCTAGTAAAAATTGCCAAGTGATGCACCGACATGCAACAGCCATAACTGATACTTGGCTGAGCTGTAGAGTGTTTGCTCCTCATACCTCTCCGGCAGGTTTTGTCTCAGTCGTACCATGTACTGGAGACTCTGATCTCGGAGGGTACCACTCCTTGGGCGTCAAATCCTTCTTCGTCAGCTGCTCTTGGCTGGGGCTTGTATGAATTTGCCAGATATCTACCTGGCGTCGAATTCCACCACTCGACGTATGATCGCTCTCCATCCTCTCAAGCTCTGTTGAATCGGTTTGGCCACTGTCTTTTGGAGTAGCTTCGCTATTTGGCCCATATTCTTGCAACACTCTGCGATAGAGTCGTCGGTACAAATGCCGCGTTGTAGGAAGAATACTCGCAATCATGTATATGGACGGCTCGACGAGCGCATAAATCATAGGACCCCCTGATGCGTACCAGGTTGGGTCTGAAAAGAGCGGTGTTGTGAAAAAGACGGAGAAGCGGAGTGCACAGGTAATAATACCGCTAGATTATGTTAGCACTGGGTAGTCAGACCAACGCGAGTGTCGTTACTTACAGCGAACCGGCCAGAAAGGTGAAGAAGAGTCCAATTTTTTCCGACGTGGGCATCTGTAGACGCAGCAAAATAGGCCAAGGAACAACGAGCATAGCCAGATCGGTGACTAGACTGGGAATGCTATAGCTCTTATAAAACAGCATAACATCACCGCAAGACCCATCGTTGATGTCCACCGCTTGGGTCCAGAAGTAGCGGAAGGGTCGGCATATGGAGAATGCCAAAATGAAAGATATAATACCCTGTAAAACGACGACGATGCCAATGGCCAGGAACACAAAACGGTACCCAGAGTGGACAGCAAAGACTTGGTGATAGAGGAACAAGGCCGCCAGCTTAGCGAACATGACGGCTGGGGTATATGTGAACTCGAGCACTTTGGACAACTTGAGCCATGTCTGGAAGGTTTCGACAGGAACAGCTTGTACATGGTGTCCGACACCACCTATCTGCGTCATTACTGCATATACGGGTCAGTACAAGCAAGGTGCAGTCTCCCGACACCAACTTACAGATTCCTGCGACTGCGCTTCCAAGGCAAAACAGATAACATAGTGTATTGCACACTAGCATAGGCATGCCGACCGCCTTGGGGTTATAGTAGCGGCTCACATAGAAGATTATGAGGAAAAGTGTATCGATAATAATAAAGGCGATGCTGACTCGCTGGTCGAGCCCAGGGTCATTGGTCTCTGCCAGGAACTCTGGCGAGGGAGCAACTGAGCCTGCCATTGTAAAGCGACAATGATGTTGAAGGAGTTGAGTTTTCACCACGACGGCGATCCTCCGTGAGAGCAACAAGACGAAGACGCCATTGTCGCAAAAAACAGCTTGTAGAAATTGAGCGACGCCGTAAGCACAAGCCAGTTGATGTGTGGGGGCCATAGCTTGGCCAAAGTACGAGTACCGGAGAATTAGCACCTTGGCTAGCGCATTTGCGCGGATGAGCGTGGCGTATTGCGGTACCAGGAACATCCGCTGGAAAGGGTCTCGCAGGCAGAGAGAAGCAGCCAACCACCACGTGGCGCTAGTCTGCGGCTGAGAGAGACGATGCGACTTGTTTGCAGTATCGCGGGGTTGCAATGCTTACTTCCCAGTGCGGATCATTCTCACATTTTCTGCAGAAAGCGAGACCGAAAGGAAACGATGTTTAATGGACTGTGCATGAGGGCGTAAGCCTCCATCGGGCCCTTTCAATGGGGCGAATTTTGCTTAGTGGGGGGACGGCGCTATTCTACCAAAATTACAGTGGGCCAATCCGCCTGGACGAAACACGCTAAACCGTCGCATCACCCAAGTGCCGGCGGTGCCCACTTACCCTGTCGTGCGCCTCCAGAAACGCCTCCTCCTTTACTGCAAGCTGTACTGCAGTGCTGTAACATAACCACACCAAAAAAAGAGACGTCATGGTCAACTTTAGTGCCATCACGTCCTTGACGTACTGGACGCAGGTTGCGTTCCTCAGCGGCTATGCGCAGCCAAGCACATGCGATTTGAAGAATATTGTTCCACGCCGCAATGTCTTTTATGCTGGTGGACAATACACCACACTGACGGCACGTCTTCCCCGCTCGCTAAACGGGACGCGAAGCTAACGACTCACGACAGAATCATGACACAAATACGACAACCACGGCCATGATCGGCCAGATTTATGTCGAAAAGCTATCACTTCCCCCAAGCCATCATCAGCATGGCCATGACCATCAGACGAAACGCCTGCCCATAATCTTCATTGCCGGTGCGGCGCAAACAGGCACAAATTTCCTCGATACGCCCGATGGACGGCCAGGATGGGCGTCATACTTTCTCTCGAAAGGTCATACAGTATATCTCTCCGATCAGCCAGCGAGGGGCAGGTCTGCGTGGCAGCCGGGGTCGAGCAAGATGGGCTCAATTGGGTCTCCGGATTCCGTATCCAACATCTTTACCAACACAGCGAATAACGGGGGCCAATGGCCACAAGCGAAGTTACAAACACAGTGGCCAGGCACGGGACGAATGGGAGACCCTACGTTTGACGCATTTTATAGAAGTCAGGTGCAGCTGCAGACGGACCGATTTATAGGCGAGGAGCAGAATGCGCAGGCTTATGCGGCACTTGTTGATATAGTTGGCGAATGTTATATCATTAGCCACTCTCAGGCTGGAGCATACGGTATGTTTTCAAAATATTTGTAGTAAATTTGACGATTGTCTAATACAGATTCTAGGATGGCGCGTTGGAGATATGCGTCCCAAGCTTGTCAAGGGCATAGTGCAGCTGGAACCATCAGGACCACCTTTTACACTGCGCCCACCATTCGGCAACGACCCAGCCTTTGCATTCGGCTTAACTGATCTTCCTATCGGATACGAGCCTCCAGCAGGTGACAAGGCTGAGAATATTGAGACCGTCATTGAGCCTGCTATAGACGCGGACCACAACGACTGTATCATGCAGCGCAGCCCCGCGAAACAGCTGACGAATCTGGGTGGTATCCCAGAACTAGTTGTGACGGGCGAGGCATCGTTCCATGCACCGTACGACTACTGCACAGTCAAATTTCTGGAGCAAGCTGGCGTCGACGTGGAGCATCTCGATCTCGGACGAGAAGGCATCCATGGCAACGGACACATGTTCTTCATGGAGAAGAACAACCTCGAGATTGCAGAGCGCGTCTACGATTGGCTAGAAGAGCACTAAGTGCTGGCGTGCAAACGCCATTGTATATAACGACATCATCATCGGCATACTAAAACATTGATGGTGGCATGATTGTCACTATCTATCTGCATTAAGCGCGCGGCACATATTTGAAATTCTGAAGATTTATGTATTCATAACCAATAGAAATGACTACGTACTACCTATGGTTAAAAAGCTATATACGGGATATAGATGACATCTAAGATCGCCACTCACCACTCAACCAGCGAGTGAAAAAGTTGAGCGCAGCCACGGGCTGGTTCTGAGGCACAAAGTGGCCAGCCTCGTACACGCGCAAAAAGGTCAACTTGTCTGCATGCTTAACCTGGCCGTACTCCTTGCCGTCGACGTTAACGCCAGAAATCTTGGCAGCAGCAAAGGCAGCTTTGCCGGGCCATTCAAGCGCATTGGTCCAAGCCTGGTTGCCAAGCCAGTTGCAGATGAAGTCGGCATCACCAGCGTAGATGAGAACCGGGATCTTCTGCATGATGGTCGTGACGAAGCGCTGAATAGGCTGCATCCAGTCACCATTCTCAACAAACGCGAGGTTGAGGTTGAGATTGCACATTTCCCACTTGCGGCTCACCTCGACGCCCAACGCCTGCTTGGTAGAGTCTTGGTTGAGGAAGTCGGCCACATAGTTGGGGACATCATCGCCATCCTTTTGGCGAACGTCGTATACCGACTTGCCACTCTGTCTGTAGACGCTGAAGATGAGCTGGTTGCATTCAAGTGTAGCAGCAACACAGTCGGCCTTGAGGTTGGTGAGGTAGCAGGTCTCGATGAGGGGCAGGCAAGTCTGCGCAGCGGCCTCCATGGCAGCGCACTGCTCAGGCGTGTTGACAGCCGGCTTGCCACCTTCGCCGCAGGCCATGGGGCGGTAGTACTTGTACTGCGTCAAGGGGTCCGTAAGACCGTTACCGATAAGAAGACTCTTGAGGTTGATGTTGGTGTGGTTATTGGTGAGGATCTCATTGCCAGTGGAAGGGATGTAGTGACCGGCGTAGGATTCACCAGCAATGTGGAAATCCTGTTTGCTGTACTGGGGGAACTGAGTGAAGAAGAGGCTGAGCAGCGAGGACAAGTCTTGCGCAGCGGCGTGGCTGTCATGGACCTCTTTGCTGCTGTAGGAGAAACCAGTGTTAATGGGCTGGTCGATGAAGATGACCGACGCGTTGTTATTCCAAGCATAGGGGTTTTGGACGGGTTTAAGGTCTTTGTTGGGGATGGAAGCTGGACCAAGCTCCGTGAAGAGGCCGATCAGGGACGAACAGCCTGGGCCGCCATTGAGCCAGAGAACGACGGGATCATTGACAGGATCGTTTCTAGATTCAAAGAACCCTGTGATGGTTAGTGAGCTGCGGTATTGTATTTTGGAGGTTGAGCGCTTACAGTAAAACAAATGCTTGTCATTCTTCAGATCATCCAAGTAGCCGCTGATTTGCTTGACTGAATCAACGCCAAGAGACAAGGGATCAACCTTTCTTGAGCGAAGGTTGTAATTGGCAATGTAGTCCGGGGCAATGGGTTCAGTATCACGCGGGAGAATGAAGTTGGCAATATCGGCACCCTTGAGGATATGGTCCCATTCATGATCCGCTCGACGGTGAATGTGCTCGGGGTGAGTGATGGACGCCGAGACTGACGAAGCCAAGACAAGAGACAAGATGGAGAAGCGCATGGTAATAGCACACTGAAAGAAGATCTAGACGACTGGGAGAGAACAGGTCATGGCGCACAAGCTGGGCTTGGCTTTCCTATTTATCATGACCATTTCATAACAAGTCATTGTGCTTAACGGAGAGTGCCGTGCACTACTCACACGACCATGCGCCAGTATCTCATAAATTGGGCAACATGGTCGAGCAATAAAAGACTGCGAGGAGCTAGAAGCGACCCTAACAAGGCAATACTGCGACCTCAACCCCACATCGGTTGCGCGATGCAGCCCACCAGCGGCTTGTTCCAGGCACTCACAGCGCGTGGACAAGCTCCAATCATGCAGGGTACAGTATACTCACCCACATGTCGCAGATGTAAGTGTGGGAAGTCGCTTGTCGGATGTCTTACGGCTGATGGCGAAGGTTTTGGGTAGCCAGTAGTATGTGATGCTCCAGGTCACCATTTTTAGTACCAGCGGTTGATTTTATTAGTATAAATACTGAGAATATTCCAGGTCCAAAGTTAAGCGATGGCAAAGAGACAATTGCCCATGATGGCGCACGCAACCTTCATTGTGCACTAGTAGATGCGTTAGTCTATTGCTAGCGCCGTCGGGGTTGTGGACCTGGACCGTTCTTATTTGGCCCAAGAGGGCAGCTGCAATTGTCTAACTAAACTTTTGAATTTTATAGCCCATGCCAACTATCTCGCTTGGCGCGTGCGACGCTACGCTACTGTTCCCACTAGACTACCATATTTCAGCGAATTCAGCGTCGACGCATAATGCACTTTTGTAGGCGAGACCGTGACAACCATGTTGGAGTTGCGGCCTTTAGTGTCTCTGAATGTCTCCCGTAGCACCATGGTCAATGGCGAGGAACGATACGGCACGCGAGCTTGTCGAGTTGACCAGGCACGCATCACTTCTTTGAGAGCGAGCAGGTCCGTGTTGATCCGTCTCGATTCGACTCTTTCTGCGGCCGTCTGTCGATTTTTGCTGCTGGCGCTGTCTTGCTGATACTCGGAACCGGCGAGATCAACAAACACCATTCGGCCCCCAAGACTCGTGCTGTACTTTGCATAGACAGCACTAACAGCTGCCTCTGCTTCCTTTACTCGGTCCTCAAAAAGAGCCTTTTCTGCCTCGGCCGCGTTGATTCGCGCCATATCCATCTTGAAGCCTGGACGCGGCTTGTAGATGCCATTTGCGTCTTTGAACACGCTCTTGGTTTGCTCTTCGACGGTTATATCGATAGCCCGTTTGCCAACGGGAACAAGTTCCGATTCACGATTTATGAGTTCCGCACGCGCGTCAATGAGCGACTGGTTAATAATCTCCAGCTCCAGTACAAGGTGCGTGCGTGACGATTCGTCATGGACGGATGAGCTGCCGACTGCGCGATTGGCCACTGCTTCAAGAAGAACGGTGCAGAACTCCTCGTAGGTCCAACAGGGTCGCTTTACAATGGGCTGCACCCGCACTTGGCCGCCGGGTAGGCATTCCGTCTCTCCGCGAATATGGACTTTTTCATCCGATCCTTCGCGGATGTGGCATTTCTTGCCATTGTTCAACAGATCAAAAGCGGCTTTTTGTCGGAGTTCAAACGCGGCAAGCCCAACAGCCAATGGTTCATGCTGTTGAGTGATTTGGTCAAACATCTCTCTTGCACTCGCCATGCAAAGACCGAGATCAGACTTTAATTCCTGCCGACTCCCAATAACAGTATGCGTTTTGCCGCTGCCTGAATGGCCATAGGCAAAGAAACTGCAGCAGCCACCTGCCATGACACCAGATATTAGCGGCTGAACAATCGTACCGTACGCGGCCTCGTTTGTATCACTTTCGTTGAGAATGGTATGAAATGCGAAAGGAGACTTCCATGGTTTGTCTTGCGGGGTAGATTTTCGGTTGAGGACAACAGCATGACGAGGTATGGACGAAGTTTGCTCTGCCGGGACAATATGATGGTCAATGCAGTCGTCTTTGGTTTCGGCTCGGATGCGGGAGCGCCAGCGAACAAACACATTCATGGTAGTCAAAGAGGAAATAAAATAAACAAATGTGAGTTTCTTAAGATGATGGATGGGCGAATGATGCACATTGACTGATGTTTTCAATTCCGGACGAGGCAATTTATATGTTTGTGTATGGTTGCTAAACCGCTGCCTGCTCTAACAACTAGGCAGCCAGCAATAGTCGGAAGGCACCCGCTTTCCAGGTATAAAAATTATTGAAAGAAATCAAATGAGCAAATTTATCTTCATTTATTTTAGCGCCCAATAATTTTGATTATTAATGCAGTTGCTAGCTATTATGTCTGGTGTACAATAAATGCTATGTCTGATGGCTGAAGAGGGAGAAGTAGTAGGCATCTTCAGATTTGTTTATACTTCTAAGCGTTTAATGTAACCAATATGCCTTGGATAGATGTATTTCGCCTTAATTGACTTTTCTTGCGTCTCCCTCACTTCAATTGAACCTGTGGAATGAAAGTGAGCCAACTTTTCTACTCTTTTCTAATTATAGAAGCAAGGAAAACAAACTTAAGCCTACAGCAGGCCAATATCTGGATCTCAATTGTTTCGCAGCGTTCTTTTTGCTTGCCGTCGTCTGTGCCCCGGAGCCACCTGATCCATCCTTCGCAACGAATGGAGCCGCGGTAATCGTGTACGCTACCTTGTCGCCGCCATTTGTGTAAGTGAAAACAGAGCCGCTCGCTGGGGTTGTTACTGAACCTGGTTTATTGGTAGGACTAGCAGTACCACTTGCTGGGAACTGATTCGGGGCGTAATATGTGCTGACACCAGCCAGTGAGAAGCCGAGATCAGAGGCGCAGTTGATTTTCGTCATAGGCGAGCACTCGCTAAATTGGATGTCCAGGTTTGTCTCGAATCTTGAAACATATTGCATCCCAGCCAGTGATGGGTCAACATCCGGGCAAGTCTCCCAGATGCTTTGGTCAATATTTAGTCAGTTACTGAGCAAGCGAAACGGAATCAAAGAGAAATCATACCTTGATTGCATGCCACTTATCTCGCAGCACCCGCAAGCCGCCAACTTAAGCGGATTGAGTCCTTGCGAGTTGACATTCTTCATGCAAGTCGCGCCTTGGTTCACACTATCCGTGATGGCTTGATATATCTTGCCAAAGTTGCAGGAGCATGCGTCCTGCGCACCGTCGGGTATCGGAAAATACGGGACTGGAAGTTTCGCTGTCGGGCAGTAGAGAAGGTAGGAAATAATATAGGACTGGTACTCGCATTCCCAGACACGGTTCCAGCAGGATGTTGCGTAGCAATTGTAGTTCATGATGTACGTTTCGCAAGCGCATCCTTGTTGGGCTTCGACACTGCCGCCAGCTTTCGAAAAGCAAGCATTACTCTTCTCAATAGCATTGTTTTGGCACTGCTGGAAAGCAGAAACATCGGCGCAATTGGTGCTGGTGAGATTGCCTACTAGCAGCGACGACGCGGCTACATGGGCTGCGAAAAAGCTGAATCCCAGGTGCATGTCGTTTATCAATCCCGTGCAAATTTCTAGTTCTTTACTATCCGTTGAAATCTTGGAGAGACATTTGGGGTCATAAGCAGTATTTATTTACTATTTTCTCTCTCATCGGGTAAATTGGACAGAGCCTCATTTATTCCATGGCGCTGGAGACGGCAAAGTCGGCTGGCGGGGATAGCCGTTTATGTATTGCATAGACGCAGATCTCTGGCGTCTTTGTAGTGGGCAAATAAGCTGGATGCTGCAAGCGAGCCGACTTTTCCGTGCTGGTTCGCAAATTCTCCCAAGAAGGAAATTCCCAATCTCATCTTACGCCACAACCGGACGGGCCAGTCTGAAACCAGACTCGGCAATCTGCATGCTTGGACATGCAATTTGATTTAAACCCAAACGTTAGTATAAATATTATAACGAGTAGGGTTCATGATACTATAGTACTATACTCTGCAGTTTCTTTACGGCGTTATTTAGACTCGTGGTATCAATCGATATATGGGCATCGGGCTCGCACTACCCTACAAGTCAGCAACAACTATAATAAATGACAATTACGCTGTCAGAATAGCTAGGTATGAGTGTAAATAAATAAGGAAGATGGTTTAAATAGAAAAATTAAACTAAATAAATAAATATCTAGAGTTATTAACCTGATATGCTGCACCATGTTTTGAAAATTACTACGGTAGCGGTATATCATAAGCCACAGCCGACGTTTCAGCGCCACTATGTACGGGTTACTCCAGCCATTTTCCATTCATAAGAGTCTCTGCCCACGATTTTTCGCCGTCCCTTTGATAAGATTCAATAGCTACAATGTCGCTAGCTGTAACCTCGCCATAAAGCGAGACACACCCAGTTGGGCCCCATTCGATTCTATGAAGCGGCACTAACCTCTCGACTTGTATTTTCACAAACCAGAGGTGAGGGGCCTCCGCAAAGAACAAGTCAGCGGTTCTTGGGACCTATAATATACACAAAGTCCTAGTCAGTTATGGTTGTTTGCTTCGATGGCGGGCCATAAAGGTACCTGTGCGGCTGTGCTGAGATGGATAAAGCCATCCTTTTCATCCAACTCCGAGGGAGGATAGATTGCTGGTACAGGCTCAGGCGGTGGAGTCGGTGATATTTTGTAAATATAATTTGGCTGGTCTGGTGATGCCATGGCTTGAATTTGCGCTGTGATGTAAGTCGTCATGTTGAAAGGAGCGCTCGGTGTAGCAATTTCAGCTCATCACAATCACATGACCTACAATAATGAGTGCCTAACATCGTCTTGAAACCAATCAACATTTATATACAAGTGCATAAATTTTGTTTTTAGAATACAATGAGGTTATCGCTGGCATGTGTCCTGCAACGGATCGCTCACTCACATATTACCTACGTGATATCTCTACGTTACACCTTTTAGCTGTCACGCAAGTACATCCCAAAAGATATAAATGGCATTGCAAACAAAGCCACCGCAAACATCTCCAAGTGAGCGGCAACTTTAAGGCTGGCAGTAAGATTACAGCGGGAAGAAGGCCGCGAACTTTGCGTCGTGTGATCCATCTCATCGATGCGAAAACGGTCATGCTGCACTCACACCGCCGATAGCCGTAATGACATGTCCCAAACGGTTTCTGTATAAGCGATTTCTCTCTAGTGGCATCTTGTAAGAGTATGGACTACTTATCAGCAACCTTCTTAATTATACAAAGTTTGCATCGTCAACTATGTAAAAACGTACCGGCAGCCAAAACGAAAGGCACAAGCATAACAGCATAACAGCATGCATACATTTCTATATTTAACCTCTTGCGCGATGCATACCAGCATATACGAATACTACTCTTACTTCATGCCCGCCTACCTTGGGTGACTGTCTCGGGGAAGTCTATCCGTCATCCACACCCCGAAGAAAAAACAAGGCTCGGCGCTAAGGATGTAAGCTCAAAGCAAACGGTTAATTTGCTGAGGCCGCGTGCTCTTAACAACGTGTCGACTGGATTCAAGTAACTCGTACTGTTGAATTTCGCTGGGCGCAAGAGGGAGGAAGCGGGAACAGCGCGATATTATCCAAGCCGTCCTTCAGCCGCGGGCTGGGTTTCAAGCCACATCGATGCACATTCTTGCCTCTTCTGGGCGATCACCTGTGACGAGTAAGTTTTGTGCCATTTTTTTTTTCGGTCACCGGCAGATCGCCGTTGACAAGGGTTCGGTTTTGGGCAGTGCTGGCCTTCTTCCCGTACCTCCTCTTGTCACATTCTGGTCACATTCTGTATTCTCCGCGGCGGCCAAGTGTGACTGTTTGGTATTACAGGGCTGGCGAAGTTGGGCTTGCCTCTGTTTCAACGTCCCGCGCTCGCTAGCTTCGACGCTATCCAACGGCTATCGTCGGATCGCTTCCAACGGTCGCCCGTTTTGGAAGAGTTAGCTCCGTCTAATTTCATGCTCTTAGATTGTCTAGCACTGTGATGTCATTGCAGGAGACAGATGCGTGCCATTCATGTCTTGGTTTATCCATGCACTACGCGCGTACCGCTATCCGCTATCGGCTGCACACCGAGTGCTGGGCTGTGGCCGGGTTCGGCGCCCCTATTGCTTCTGTAGCCCTGCCGGATGATTTGAGCTGAGAGCCTTGATCTTCATCGTGCAGTATAATGTATAACATGTCCTGGCACACTGAGGTCGCAGCGATGTTAGACAGTTGGGAGCCCAACCCCTCTCCCAGGTCCTACAAAAGGCGTCGGCAAACAACAGCTATTGGATTTGAAGTCGACATACACAACTTGCCATTATAACAATGAATCATACAGATTCAATAGTCTTCGCGAGCGCTGCTATGCTATCCGTGACGGCAATCGTCTTTGCCATGCGCCTTCTCATACGGTGGCGTGTGAGCGGTCCTTTTGGCTGGGACGATGTGTCTTGCGGAGTTGCAACGGTATGGCTGTCATCTGCAGAGGCTTTCTGGGTACGCATGGAGACTAATTTACTTGGTTATCTAGGTTGTCGGTATTGCACAGAGTTCCATCACCATCTTCATGGCTCTGCGCGGGCTTGGCCGACCGCACCATTTATCTACAGCGGAACAGAACTTGGCTTTGCAGGTTAGTGATTTAACGTTGCACATTTCTCTTATAAGAAGTCAGACATACTTATACGACAGATAGGCCAACTATACAGCCAATATCTTATACATATCTAGCATGTGCTGCGCGAGATGCTCTGTCATGCTCCTCCTCTTTCGCGTCTGTCGCCAAACTAGGCACGCATTTATTTGCTGGGGCCTGATGGCGACCACAGCGCTATGGGCCACTGCATCGATAGCTGCTATTATCTTTCAGTGTAATTTACCTGAACCATGGAATGTTCTCGATAGCCAAGGGTGTACCAACATAGTAAGCACGGCTAAGATACCACCTCGGTAGCTGATTCGTTACTAATATTCTTCTGCTAGGCCATCCGATGGATCATTGTAGAGACTGTCGGGCTCTCTATAGATCTCCTTGCCTGTATTTTTGCTCTTATTATGGTTTGGAGTCTAGAGCTACGACGCTGCGCTAAGACAGCTGTGGTTACTGCCTTTTTGATTCGTCTTCTTGTCGTGGTGCCAGTTGTACTTCGGCTATACTATATCCAGTCTGCCCCCTACGACAAGCTGACGAATAGTCTGACAAGAATCGCGATTGCTACACAAGTCGCCTTGCACTTCTCGATTGCAGGCACAACATTCCCTTTTATCCGCCAAGTCATCAGCTGCTTCGATGCCGAGACCCCTAACGCTAGTCTTCAGCAAATACATTCTGAGGATTCAACCAGAAGTACTATTGAACTAGCTTCCTTGCCACCTTGTTTCATTAGTTTTAATACGGGAGCACGGTACTTTTAGTAACCTTTTACATAGAATATAAGTTTATCACACGGCCCCTAAATGATTTCCTAGGTAACTAGCATGGACATGAGCAGCCTCACCTTTATACAAAAAACTAGGAGAGATGTTCTGTATTCATCCTCACGCAGTCCTTTAACCCAGTCCACCCATCCCGTCCCATCATTTGGAGATAGCCTTCAGCAACTTCTCGTTGAACAATCACGCTCTCATCCAGCGACGCCTCGGGCACCTCCACAAAGTCTCGCTCCGGATAGAGCTCCCTCAAGATATCCTGCATTCCACGCCATGTATACGGTGCTGCGTAGGCAAAAATGCGCTCATCTCGGATAGACGGATGTAGCAGTGCAGCCACATGGAGTCGCGCAGTGTCTTCCACATCCACATAGAAATCTTTCCTAGTCAGCCTTTTCTTCTTCTCATTTAACTTGCACACACGGGATAACTTACATTGCGGGCCATTAGACGCTGTAGCAGTGTCATTCATGAATAAAGCTTGCACCAGTCCAGAAGTCGATGGGTGGCCTTGGCGGGGATCGAGCGCGCGGCCAAAGTTTCCCGCGGGAAGAACTGCGTCTTGTTTTAGTAATTATTTATATTGAATAATGTGACGGGGCGAGTAATGGTGAGTGTACCAGTGTTGAATATGAGATCGCCCGGTGTCTCCTTGTACGCATCCCAGAGTGCCTTCTCCGTCTGCGCCTTACTGGCTGCGTATACTGCGAACCCGCGACTGGATTCATAAGGCGCAGGGGCCCAAGCTTGGCGGATAGCCTCTTCATTCCATGTGTTGCCTGTTATGGTTGGATATGGTGCAGAGCCTGGCATGGCTGCAGCTGCGCAAGACGATGTAAAGACGAATCGCTCAACGGAGGGCGTACTAACGGCGGCTTTAAAGATTTGGAGAGCGATAGCAATAGTTGGTGTTATGACAGCATTAGGATCAGCATCATAGCTCATGTCGCTTGCGCAGTGGATGACACCGGAGACATCTTAATTGTTGATGTTAATTAGCCTATTGATCAGCTCAACATTAAGACGTTGTATACCTTTGAGTAAAGCATCCAATGGCTCTGTTAGATCTGCAGTGATGAGCGTAAACTTGTCGCCGTATTTTGCCTGGAATACCTCGGCTATCCAGGCGTTCTTGTCAGCGTCGCGTGTAAGTCCGCGGACCCGGTAGCCAGCTTCGAGAAGTTTGTCGCTGATATGGCTGCCAATGAATCCAGTAGTCCCCGTCACGAGGATAAGAGAGCCGGGCTCGAGCACGTGTTCTGCGTTGGTGAACATTATAAATGTATGTATGGTTCGTTCTTGATAAGGATAATAGTAGTAGAGAGACTGTGTGTGTATTTTGTTATTTTGCGGCAACGACAACGGCATTATATATTGCATAGTTGAGCGTAGCCTAGGACAAAAGGTATTAGAAAGCTGACATATCCGAATGCTCATTATCAAACTAAGATTCCGCCTGCTTATAAATTACCACCAATTGCTCCCGATGTTGCGCTCGAAGTTGATGGTGTTGCTTTCAATGTCAACTGCTTTAGGCACCCACTATTCAGCTTGCCCAGTTAACGTGCGGCACTCATTCCGCATCTATTTTCGTAATTGTTGTCAGGGTAATCTAAATAGTGTAATTAATTTCTCAGCGCGCTGCAAGCTCACTCTATTCCAATCTAATTCTATAGAAAACCACCCATAATCTCTAATATTTCCAGGCACCCTATTCCCGCCGTTATCATCATCAGCTATCCCTCATCAGATGATCCTCTATTATATATTCTACCTGTTGGTGAAGTCTCTGGCGACGTCTAAGCACACTCTCTTTCCTCTCATTTGATAGGTCCTCGTCATACTTGCGACCCAAGTTATCAGTAATCATGTGAAGATAGCCGTACTGTATTCCGCTCCTGACGGCTGCTTGAGCCATCATCCCAATCTCTGGATCTACAAAATCCACCTCGTCAACCAGTTCAGAGTGCCAACTGCGTGTTTCGTGCAAAACACTACCCAGCGTTATGTGCATACCGACAATTACTGAATCCTTTCCACAATGCTCAACAGACGGCGCTAGCACATTCTTCCACTTTACCATGCGATTATTGACCAGTGACTGACTGCCGGTTGCTAGCCACTCGTTGGGCACGACTTCTGGCTTGAGGCCCCCAAGCTTACCGAGGTAGATGACTTGCTTGATTTGGAAACTGGCGGCAAGCTTGTAGATAACCTCTCCTGAAATGTCACCCCAGAACGCAGGCCTAAATCCCAGGAAGGCGACTAGGCGACCGTTGAACGGCTTCAAAATCCACTGCCATGGGCCATTACCGCTCCACTCCGTGGATCCTGTGAGTCGTGGCAGATGCCAAACCAGCCCGAGGATAACTGTGTCCACCTTGTTTCCAGGGAACTGATCAATATTAGTGGCGTGAAGGGCCGTCTGTATGTCTGAGCAAGAGACCGGTATATACGAGACTCTCGAAGACGGAGTCAGGCTATCACCTTGTTTTTCTCTGAGTTTGAGGTAGTTGGCTATAATCTCTGCATAGTGCTCTATGTGGTCGTAGCCGGGGAAACATTCGATATAGAGCGTGTCGCCCTCAACACGGGCAGTCGGTCGTTCCCAGTTGAATGGTTTATCTCTCTTCTCCCCGTCGAATGGGATAGATTCCGAAGAGTAGCGACAATAGACTCCGTGAACTATAATCTCTCTATAAGCTCGCTCTAGAACCGCTTGGTGGACCTTGATTTCAAGATATTCCAGCAGTGAGATGCCCATCGTATGATTGTCTACATCCGCAGTGTTTCGAGGTCGCATCTGCCTACTCCGAGCATTATAATGCCTCCCATAGAACTTAGCCAAAAGAGGTGTAGGTGGATCACAAGGGACGGAAACATACCGGACTGAGCTGAATTCATTGTTCCGAGGAGGAGACGGTGGCCGGGAAGGCGTCTTTGGGACGTTGACCGGATTTTCTCTGCTGATAGCGGATCCCATCTTGATAGATATAGAAAGATGATGTTTCATACTTTCAATAGTCTTTATAGATAGAAAACTATAAGGTTTTGTTTGCCCTATCTTATCTCGGAGTATAGCCATGCAGCCATAGAGCCCAACTAAGCGGCCCAACTGATCAGCCTGACCAAGCAGCGTCATTCGAGTTACACAAATAGTAAGACTTCCCCGTAAAAGTTCCGAGCTGAGAGCCCTACAGAATTGTGTGTCGGTGACCTCTTGCCTGGCCCTCTTCGGAACTTGTGGCCACCAAGTATATCATTGGGCCCCAATCGTTTCTTATCTGAATGAGGGCGAGGGGTTCTAGAGCTCCGTTTGTTTAAGACATGGCATGCAGCGGATTACACCCACGCGTGGGCATTTTTTCAATCATCAACGATGAACAAGGCCGTGTACTTATCGGCCGCCGGCTTAGCACCCTAGGAAAAGGTACATTGGTTGCTCCCGATGGGATATGCTATTCATCACTGACCATTTTATAGGGCATTGGGGATTCCCAGGAGGCCACCTTGAGCAGGGCGAGGACTTCTTTCACTGCGTAGAGCGTGAAACGCTGGAGGAGACAGGCCTACGGATTCGAGCGACTAAAGTTGTCGGGTTGACCAACGACATATTTCCTGAGTTGAACAAGCACTATGTCACCGTCTTTACAACGTGCGAACGAGTAGACCCGTGCCAGCAGCCACAGGTGAGTTACATGTATTACTTGTTATAAAGAGAATACATGTCTAATTACGCTACTGCTTCTACAGAGGTTAGAAATAGAGAAATGTGAGGGGTGGGTTTGGAAGACCTGGCAGGAGATTGAGAGTATGGCGAAGGGAGAGTGTGGGAATGAAGAGCTGTTTTTGCCCGTAAGAAATCTAGTGCGAGAGAACCCGCAGCTCAGAGCAAGTCTGGATTCGTGATTCCCGATTTATAATTTGAATTTTTTGTTACTGTGCAATCCGAACTTCCGGCAAGGCGGGCCGCTCTCCTATACCTGAGCCGTAACCCGCCGGTGCTCAGGGCTCTACAAAGTCTGAGGATTGTTAAAAATGGGCAAGTTGATCAGTGGTACGACGGTGTTAACGCCACTCGGGCACCCAAGTCTCAGCATGCATATGCCAAGCTGTAGATGTAGGCATCTGCCGGTTCGTGTAGTCAAGTCCACGTAGGGTACTTTCGGCTTTCTCGCCCAATGTCGTCAACTTCGAGCAGATCCACTGTGTGGGCGATTATATAACTCGTGTTCTGCCGAGTAAGCGTAGTAAGGGAGAGTGTACGTTTAGGAGTTGGAGCCAAGATTGTCTTTTACGATGGATCAAATTATGTGACCATGCTATTAAACGCCGCCTAAGACTAACTATTAGTATTCATAGACCTACTACCATTCGTAATTAACAGCTGAACGTCCCCCGAATTTAGCACCCAAACCCCCAAGAGAGGAGGAAGGGACCGACCAGCAAATCTGGAGGATGGCCAACCGTGGACAAGAAATGGGCGGGGTGTCTCTTGGTCGTATGTACTAGAGTCGGCACAAATTTAGGGTTTATCGGCGTCAGCGCTGGAGGCTTAAAATGTGGGCGGCATCCCTCAAACAGGCGCGATGCTACACAATGGATAGAATTGAGTTTCGATCGGGTTACAGTGTACATGTAAAGGTTGTAAACTGGTGTGTTATTAGAATCTTGTATGCATAGGAGCCATTTATTGTGTGCATGGTCTTACAAAAAGTGCCCTAGCCACAGTAGAGGAGCCGCGTCGCAACTATCGCCTTTTGGCCAAATAAACTGGAATGGGGCCCAATTTGCCAGGCAACAGTTGAGTAGGCTAGTCCCAAGATGACCGTGATTTCAGCCATCGTGTGTTGGTTGTATCCTGTGGCTTGAATTTGGGTTTGAAAGGGCAGCCTTTTCCCAAATGCTAGCCTGCTTTTGATTCAGCTGGCTGGATCGAGATTAAAGATGTAGATAGACTTGGAATTGTAAGATTAAAATCATCAAAATAAATAAACTACCACTTGCATGTAGGTGGGCTTGCTCGTTTGCTGGTTATATCTTGGCGACAAAGTCAGCCACCTCTAGTCTCAACGCCTCTTAGTTGCACGATCGACTAGTAGACCCCCAATATCCCAACGATTTCTTGATCTCGTAGCCTGTAAATTAGTTTCATGCGGTCTGGGACTATGAATACCAGCTCCCATGTCCAGTAACCGTCGTACAGTCTCCAAGTAACCATCCCTGATGGCAGCAATTAGCGCCACGTTGTCGTCCGCCCCACGTCTATTGATGTCAGATCTAGCATTCATCAGCTGCCGCACGATATCCAGGTGGCCTGCGGATGCAGCAGCGTACAACGCTGTGTTGCCGTCGTTCGTACGTATATCGACGTCAGATCCAGCATTAATCAGCTGCTGCACGATGTCCGGGTGGCCTGCGGATGCAGCAATGTGCAGTGCCGTCGTCCCGTCCGCCATGCGCATATTGACGTTGGGTCCAGCACGGATTAGCTGCCGCACGATGTCCAGATTGCCTACGGATGCAGCAATGTGTAGCGCCGTCTTCTCGTCCGTCATACGTATATTGATGTCAGCTCCAGCATAGATCAGCTGCTGTACGATGTCCAAATGGCCTGCGGATGCAGCAGCGTGCAGCGCTGTCTTACGGTCCTTTGCTTGCAGATTGATGTCGCATCCCGCCTCGATCAGCTGCCGCACAATCTCTAGGTGGCCTGCGGATGCAGCAGATATCAAAGGCGTCGCTTTCTTTTCCTGCTTATCAATAGGTACCATGAGATCCAAAAGCAGCTTTACGACATGGCTCTGGCCCAGCCTCGCTGCGGACTCAAGCGCGTATTTCCGACTCCTGTTCGGAGTCCCAGCCTCCGCCCCCAGAGCAACGAGAATTTCCATCGCTTTGGCCTTTCCCTTAGCCGCAGCCATCACCACAGCGGCTTGGAGACAATGTCTCGAAGCCTGCTCAGACCTTAGGTCATTTGTTAGCCTCCAGCGGGATGATACGTATAAGGATGATCCAGCCCACTTAGTGAGTAGTAGTGAAGCGAAACAACTTGGCTGCTTGCCAAGTACTGCAGCAAGCTCCTCAAACTTATCCAAGATACTCCCCTCCCGATTATTTCTATGAAGGTGGCCAATATGTGTTGTCAAGTATCTGAGGCAGTAGTTGAGCAGCTCTCGCTCCTCAAGGTATGCTACCAGCTGTTCTAGTTGTTGATCCTCTTCGCTAGCCTCAAGCTGAGTACTAGGAGCGGTAAAAGTATGATGAAGATAGTAACAGCATGTTGCCGCAATTTCTTCATCTCCTGACACATGGTTGAGTTGATATGGAGACGCTATTTGCGATGTATCCATCAGAAACTCCCTGGCGGTCTGATGGATAAGCTGCACTAGGTCTCCTTGATGTAGAACCTAATTTAAAATCAGCATGAATTAATGCTTGTGACAGTGACAAACATCCGAATACATACTTCGACTAGGCCACCACAATAAAAGAGAATTCCTTCTTGTAGATTCTGGACTGCCCCATCGTCGCCTGGCTGGTCAGAGTCTACTCGTATCGCCAGTACTGTTGCCAGTTCTGGAATAGTAATTGGGTGTTCTGAAAAGGTTACCCAAGTAAGTATTCTACGAGTCATTCGTAGATTCGCTTCCCTTTCTTCATCGTCTTGGTTTTCGTCCTGTTGACGTCTAATCATCGAATCTATTATCAGGCGATAGAACCCATCCTTCCCTAGCAGATCTTTGGGAAGACTGCGAGCTCGCTTCAGCAAATCTTTCATGGTGTAGATGCCCTTCATAGTTCGCTCTAAATCCCTTAAAACTAGACAGACCCACAGGAAAACCCCTGCGGCATTCTCCGTGATGTGCTCGTGGATATCAGAGAAGCCTGCATCATTATCGTGGGGCCGTTTCTGTAAAGACTTGAGGTGCTTAATGCCGTTATCAATGACACGCCCTATATCCTCTTTATTGACATCCTGGAGCACAATGTGGTGGCCTCGTAGCAACGCATGATTAAGGGAAGTCTCTGGTCGACTGGCAACCAAGAGCTTGATAATGCACTTGCTTGAGCTTGAGGGAGCCGACAGCGATGGTAAAAATGCTACGACACCGCTCCTCAGATCATTATCTGACTCATCCATCCCGTCAACAACAATGAATACATGAAGAGGGAAGTCAACCTGATGCAAACATAGCAAGGCGTCTTTTAGCTCGGCATATGTCCAAAGCGAATCCGTTGCTGCCGTAGTGTCCTCGTTCTGCTTCTTGACCATCTTCTTCAGTCGACGATATTGGTCCTGCAAAAGGGGAAACAGTCTGGTGTTTTGCGACCAAATTTGATAGACGAGGGAACGCAGCATGAGTACATGACTGGTTTGTTTGACACCTCCGCGGAAACTGTAATAAAATTCCGCAACAATGTCCCTCTGATCGCCAGCACTACTTGGATATTCACCCCCTTCTGCGTTTACCGAGAAAGGTGGATCGGAGTTTGGACGCCTCTCCTTCATGTTTCTAGCGATTCGCTTCGCTAAAGTTGACTTGCCACTGCCTGGCTTGCCTTCTATCCACAAGAAGTCGGATGCCGCACTGTCACAGAATTGGGTATACTCGGGGTGAGTCGCGAGCCACGTTCCTCCTTGGCTGTCTTGGATACCCATTTCTCTTGCATTCCATTCTTTAAAGTAGAGCGTCTTGAGGAACTCTAGCGGCCTCTGTTAGTGATTTTGGCGTTTATTTACAGTACAATGATAATCTCGCCTCTCCTTTCCCTATCTGGCTCTATACTTGGATAACCCGCCAGCTTGTCCGCGATGTCTGGGAAAGGTCGCGAAGAAATCAGAATTCGGAGTGTTGTGCTTGACTTGACCTGACCCTCCAGCAGTAAAAGGTGACTTAAAAGGGAGCCTCTTACATCAGCACTGAGTTCATGAACACCGCCGATGAGAATGATCGTTTCACGTGTCTGCGCCCCCTCAACGGCGCATCTCAGCAAAACCCGGAGTTGATTTGTGAGGTCCGACTCGTTGGATGGTGCTGATTGCGATGTTGCCCCCTTCCATACGAGTCGGGCTCGTGGACCACCTTTGACAAGCTGGAATATAAGCGATGCTAGTAATGAACTTTCAGAGGTGGTTAGGGAGCAGTTGAAAAAGGATGCAGTGTCCCAGTCTTTGGATAATTCGATGTAGTGTACAAGCTGCTTTGGAAGGCAACCCATTAGGACGGTTTTCCCAGAGCCTGGCGGTCCATGGAGCCAGAGTAACGCGAATCCTTGACCGTTTAACCAAGCTCGAAACTCAGGGCTCTTGGTAAACCACTCAGTAGACTCTTCGAGCTGAGTGCTGTTGAGGTTGCTTGGCAGATTGGTAGGGGTGGATGCTTTAAGCATGTCATTATGGTCCAGATGCATTATTTCAAGGCACGTGTTTAGGCTAGTAAGAATGCTCTCTCCTATCCATCTCATTTGTTAACCCTCATTCGTCCTTTACAACATATTCCCTAGCACTAGCACTAACCTTCGGCTTGCGTTTGGCCGACCTTACTTATCCATCTCTGCAATTCGCCAACCGCTTGTTGAAATCCTTGCACATTTGCATTGGCAAACTTTACCATATCCTAGGAGTTGTGAGTAATATTTCAGCCAGCGCAAAGATTTTAGCATACCATGTGATTGGCCCGGATTTTTTCTTGTGCGAAGCGACCAATCTTTGAAGATTCAGCGGTGACTATCAAACCCAGCCCAAGAACCTCCATGGCTTCTACAAAGCAAACAATGAATTCGTCATCTTTCCATTTTGCTGTCCAGCTTTCAAAACTCTGTTCTAGATCGGCCAAGAGCTGCGAGTCCCGTTTCAAAGGCTCCAGAATCTCCGGGTTTACTCTCGATCCCGAGAGCCGGATGAGCTCAGCGAATAGTTTCGCAAAGGGTGCTAAATTGGAACCTCGATGGGGGGTTCCGAAAAAAGCAATACCAACGGTATCCTGTGATACCTGAAGCAGGTACTGTTGCGCAGATGACGCGGATATGCCCATTGCCCTCTTCACGACTAGGCCGCCAAGACTGTGAGCAACAAAAATAGTTTTTTTAGGTCCCTAAACATGAAATATTAGAATATAGAAAGTCTTTGTAGTAAATACATGGTGGCTTACAGAAGGGGTCTCACGTTTCAGCCTGGCCAGAGCACCCGCTAACATATTGCCATGGTCTGCTATTGTGAATTGGCCGGTCGGAGCCAGAAAACGACCAACGTCTGCATCGTACCCAAAAGTAAGAATACGTGCGTTGGGAATCTTCTGGGGAAGGAGGTGAACTGGCCAGTATACCTCCGTCCCCTTGTCTTTATAGAGAAATGTCTTGTCAGGACTGCCCATCAATCCATGGACGAAAACGATATCCACGATGAAAGAACTGGGCTCATGAAGGGTTCGAAGACCATAAGTACTGTCTTTGTCTGGGAACAATTGCTTCATGGTTCGAGGTGCTGTTTTGGGGTCGCTGGCGGTGGGAGCAGTAGGGTCAACTCCGGCTGGGACCAAGGGCGGCTCGGTCCCTGCCGCATCGTCGGGCTTCACCTCCTCCACCTTCTTCTTCTTCTTCTTCTTCTTAAAAGGCCAAACCATATTGTTTAGACGTAGATCAAAGATAAATGTACGAAAAGTGACTACCAACACGGCGGATGGTGATGGTGGGAAGGCTGCTAACAAGGAACTAAGTAAGTCCATCCCAGGACATAACCTCTATTAGTATTGCCTCGACACCAACCCACCTAAGACAACCGCTAAGGACTGCATGCAGATGCTGCTATTCTTGCATCGTGGCTGCAGACTGTGTGACCTCCAAACTATCTGCCGACAGACGCAATAGACGAGGGCTGGTGACAGCCTGGCCGGTTCCTACTCAATGATGGGGTATGTCTGCAGCTAGCCACTACAAATGGAAGTCTTGTTTGACCTCTTTCCCCCAGAAACGTACGTCATGCTGATTGGCTGGATGCATCTCACTGCCGGGCGGCTATGCATGAAACTCCAGCCGCAGTACGGAGGCTGTCCAATTAATCTCAGCCGCCCTACCAGGCTCGTTTATGACGGTGAGCCAATAGAGAGAGAGTGAGCACGAGTTCTGGCTTGCCTGTCTGGGGGTTTGCCTGAAAGCTAGGAAACAGCACCCATGGATACTTGTTTCCTATCCTATATAAACTGGTTAGCTATCTTTGCAAGATCACAATGCTTTTGTGCTTGACTCTTTACTATTTTCTTAAAATGAACTCTCCAAGTACCGAGTTTGTTTTTTATGACGACTGTTAAAAATTGAGCTTTGAGCTCAATACTCTCTATACAAGTTGGGCTTATTGAGCAAATCGGCGATTTGTTCAATACAAACGTGTTGGATTTGGGCTCAACGGTCAATTACGTCGTCGCATAAGCCACGTTAATCTGGATCAGTGTAGAGAGAACGCCACACGAGCCACATCTTATCTCTACATCACAATGACAACGCTGTATTATCATCGTCGCTTATCTTGTTTTAACGATGCTGATAATTTGTTGGTGCACTTTAAAATATATATGGGAGACATCCAGAAACAAAATATAACCAGTTATCGTGCGACTTGATGATAATTTTTTGTGCTTGAGTTTTCGTCACCAGATCCAGCGCGGCGAACGACTATCATTTCAACTATCACGAGGGCGACGTTGCGCTCTGCAATTGTCATGTCATCATAGATACATGCTATGTACTTGTATGAGTATGCGCATGAATATATTTGACACATGTACTCGCTGTGAACCTGTGTGGCCGCACAAGTACTGGTATTTCGTCTACATCATCATGCGCGATAACGCATATCCAAGGAAACATCCAAGAATAGCTCAGCGTAATACCGACAATCAAAATGCTACATAAAACTTAATAGTGCAGACAGTATCTGAACAACGCATCACTAGACAGCCCAATCACTGCCATCTGACAGCACAGTCAGGACCTTGAACACGCGGATGGACGTTGCTCCGTGTCATGACCAGCGCAACGACGAGCCCATGATAACTAAACTGAGCATTAGAATGTTATATTTGCCCCTGAATATTTCTCGGCAGTCATCTTTGACCGGAGACATATCTTCTTTGAGCTAGTCAAGGCACCGTCTCGCAAAAGAAACAAAGCCTTTGGAGATCTACGATGGAACCCTGCAGGTTCTCAAACACCAACGTATAGACCTACTGACTCGAACACCAGACGACCGGCGACAAGTTGATGGGTAGTATTTCCGGAGAATGCATGCAAAATTCTGCGCGCGTGCATGGCCCAGCCGGACGGACCGAGTAGTGCCTGCGTGCTCGCGTAGCATGAGACTTGTCGATGCGACGCTGCAAGGGCCAGCCAGAAATCTCTAGGCGTTCTTCTTTCTCCGCCTTTTGTCTCAAGCCCTCCCATTGTTTCTTTATGCCCAGCGGAGATGCGGCATGATCGTCAGCAAAAAAACTGGCGCGGGCGACGGTGTTGGGCCTATGCAGGAGGAGGGCCCCAGTGACCCACGGTGCCATCTCTACAACGGGGACCACAACGCTGTAACGCTGGTATACCAATTAGCAGGCTAAGCCTTCGAGGCTGGGTTTTCCATGTCTCACTTTGCTAGGAACTATCTACAACGGCAATTGGCGGAGTTGCGGGTTCGGCGTCGCCTTTGGCTCACCACCCTGGCTCCATGTGGGCGAGGACCCTCGCGATGTCTCACCTCCGCCTCCTACAACATACCCAATCAACGCAGCGCAACGCATTGTTTTGATTCGTCGAAACGTTACGTGACAAACGTTCGATAACACGCTTGTCCGGTTTAAGGTTCAGAGGGAGGGCTCGGATCCTGTAGCGGGGGCTCCAGCTCCATCGATTAGAGTTTACACTACAAGCCGTCGAAGAGCTTCCTCCCAGCAAACCTTGCAAAGGATTGTCTTTCTCCAGGAGGGCATCCTCCTCCTTTTTGTCAGTTCTCGAGAATTCCCATCCTCGAGAGCCTTATTTAAGATTCATATCCCACCCACTGTCTCTCGTGTTGCTCCTCAGCATCACCCAACAAACAAGCTCTTCAGGCTCTTCTCACTTTTCTTTCCTTCCATATATTCCTGCTGCGCGGGTTACATTTTCTGTACACTTATCCATATCACTTCTTTTGGCAATTACGCCAATCACTTTATTCACAAGCAGCTTCATTTTAAAGCTCCTCTGCATACTACGCACCACCAGCTCCATCTCCCCGCTACGTCACTACGCACACCACAATGCTTCCCATTACCACCTCGGCCATCCTAGCCAGCCTGCTTGCCGGGCTTGCACACGGATCACCTGTTTCCGCCGCTAGCTCAAACCTTGACGCCATCAACAATGGTGTTTCAGTCGGCGCTAGCCTTATCGCTCGCAGCCCCAGTGCGTGGGACGACTTAAACACCATCCTCGGCGGTGGTCACCACAAGCACGATGATGATAATGACGACGATGATGACAACAACGATCATCAAGACCATCACAATGAGAACAACAACAACGGTCATGGTAGACCCAAGCCCACCCATACCAAGCCTGCCTCTACCAAGCCCGCTACTCCCACTACCACTTCAACCTCCATCAGTGGCAGCAAGCCAGGCAGTCTCTGGAAGCCCCAGGTTGGCACCCCATGGCAAATCATCCTCCGCAACACTGTTAATGCCAATGTTGAGTCATTGACTCCTGATGTCAGCGTCTGGGACATTGACGTCAATGAGCACCCCGATGCCATGATTGAGCTTCTTCACAGCCAGGGCAAGAAGGTCATCTGCTACTTCAGCGCCGGCTCTTGGGAGGACTGGCGCGCTGACAAGGACAAGTTCAAGCCTGAAGATCTTGGCAACGTTCTCGATGGCTGGCCCAACGAGAAGTGGCTCAAGACTGACAGCCCCAATGTCCGCGCCATTATGAGCCAGCGCATTGCCACTGCCGCTGCTAAGAAGTGCGACGCCATTGACCCCGACAACGTTGACGGATTTGTAAGTCACTCTCCTATGCCATATCTAAACAATGATTCTAACCGCTTTGACATAGCAAAACAACAACGGTCTTGGTCTGACCAAGGAAGGCGCTGTTGACTACATGAAGTTCCTCTCTGCCGAGGCCCGCAAGTACAACATGGCCATTGGTCTCAAGAACGCCGGTGACATTATTGACGATGTCCTTGACTATGTGGACTTTTCTGTTAATGAGCAGTGTGCTCAGTACAGCGAGTGCGGTCTCTTTGCCAAGTTCATCAAGGCCGGCAAGCCCGTCTTCCAGATTGAGTACCCCAACGAGAAGAAGCGCGGCGTCGCTCCTCGCGACATGACACCTGCTGCCGAGAAGGCCTGCCGCAGCATGGAGGCTGCCAGTCTCTGGGGCTTCAGCACTGTCATCAAGAACCTTGACCTCGGCGGCTGGGTCCAGTACTGCGACGGCAAGACCTACGATACTCCCACTGTTTAAACTGGTAATTGGTTTCAACATACAATCACTCTCCTTTATGATCCTTATGATCTCTCACGCTCTTTACGATGCATTTTGACGACTTGGGTGGATACTTGACTTTTTTCTTGTCTGAAGCCTGGCGCTTTCTTCTCATTGCTAGCATTTAATATCAATTTGAACCATGTTCCCAATCACATTGACTTTGTCCCAATGTAATCCGTCTTTGCTTCACCGCCAATGACATCAACATCCAATAAGGGCCGAATAAAACACCAAGTTGCTCTCCTTTCTGCCCGAATTATCCGGAGCCGACCGTCTCACTATTTCTCCCCAGGCACAAAACCCGGCAATGCAACGCTGTGGCGAGCCACCATCTTTCAGCTCGCCCACTTATAGCTCCGCCCTCAACAACGTAGGACGGCCGCTACCGACGCTCAACTCGTCCACGCTGCCTTGGAACTTGGTCTAAATTGGAAAGTTGTAGCTGAAGCATAAGCATCGAAATCAGCGATCAACCCCAAGTAGAATGCCGATTTAAGCGGGCACGACGATCCCCAACGCCGTTCCCGGTACATAAGAAACCACCCACCCCATGCCCTAACGGACAAACAGAAGTAATAATAAACAAATATTCTCTGATTGAGTAATAATAAACAAATATTTTTTGATTGTTCAAAATGCTCACATCATCCATCGCGGCATTCCTTTTGCCTCTCACCTTGGCCGCCTGCACCACGCCGCCCACAGACCTTGACATCCTCGCCGGCCAACATGTCATCTACTCATGGCCAACGACCACAGTGCCCCCTGCGCAGCTCATCTCGCTGACCAAGGCCGGTCTAGTCGGTGGCGTGATCCTCTTTGGCGAGAACATTGATTCCAATACCTCGGCTGCCATGGACACCCTGCGCTCTGCCTACGCTGCGTCCCCGGCGCCGGCGCTTCTGCGCAAGCTCACGGGTAAGGACGCCAAGTTCTTCATCTCAACGGACCAAGAGGGCGGTCAAGTCAGGCGTATGCGCGGCGCTGAGCCCAAACTCTCTGCTAAGCAAATGGGTGCTGCTGCTGATCCTGCAGCTGCTGGTACACAGGGCGGCGCAGGCGCAGCAGCTACCCTTCGCCAGTTTGGACACAATGCGAACCTTGCGCCTGTACTGGGTGTGTATCGCGAGGCGGGTGACTTTCTCGACTACTACCAGCGGTCGTTTGGCAATACCTCTGCGCAGGTTATTGCAGCTGCAGTGCCCTTTATCAAGGCCCAGCAGGCGCAGAATGTCGCTGCCACAGCGAAGCACTTCCCTGGTTTAGGCGCTGCCTCGCACGATGCGAATACTGATGAGGAGCCAGTGACGCTGGAGCAGCCGCTAAGTGAGATCCGCGCGATTGACGAGGCTCCATATGTAGAGGCCATTGCCGCGGGCGTGGAGCTCGTGATGGCGTCGTGGGCAGTGTATCCGGCTCTTGATGGCCGTCCGGCAGGTCTTAGCAACAAGTGGATTCAGGATGAGCTTCGCGGTCGTCTGGGCTTCAAAGGCGTCACGATTACAGATGCCATGGAGGCTGGGTCGCTCAAGGGCTTCGGCACGACCGAGGAGAAGGCGAAGCTTGCGGCGGCGGCGGGCATGGACTTGCTGCTTGCTAGCGGGCGTAATGTAACCCAGGGTGACGCAATTCGCAAGGCGCTGGTCGATGGGATTAACAGCGGTAGACTGAACCGGGCTGCGTTTGATGCGGCTACGGGACGTATTGCAGACATGCGCGGCCGCTTGTGGAAGTAAGTCTGTACATGAAAGTTACACAGACTACCAATCTTGAAAATATGTTTAGATATAACTTCGTACATAGCGCTCAATAGTATATATAGAAAGTTACATTACATCATTTCTAATTACATATTTGTGCCTACGCACTCCCCGCCTCATCTCTCAACCGGAACCCTTCCACAACCAACCGTCTCACATACGGCGTCGCCAACGGAATCCTCAGCTCCCCAACCGCCTGCTTCTCAACCTCATCCTTTGTAGCAAACACCCAGCTCTGATGCTCCACCGGATCGAGCACCACATCCGCGCCCTCCTCAACATCCACCTCAAACGTAAACTTGACAAAGAAGCGCTTGCCCGTACGATTCGTAAACACCGTCCACTCCGGTCCGTCCGCGCCCTCGGTGACCAGCCGCCGGATATGCTTGACCCGGAGCCCCGTCTCTTCAAAGACCTCGCGCACGCAGCCGGCCAGGATCGATGCGTCTTCGGGGTCGACGGCGCCGCCGGGGATTTCCCAGAGATTCGGCATGCTGTCGTCGGGGGCGCGCTGGACAAGTAGGACGCGGTCTTCTTGGAAGATGATGGCGCCGGAGGCGATGCCGTTCCAGGTCTTGTCTTTGGTGGCGAGCCATTGCTTGTATGGGACGTTGAATTCCTCGAGGCAGGCGTCGTAGGTGAAGCTTGGCGGTGATGTCATTTTGATGCTGTGATGTGTTAATTGGATGAGAATTGATGAATGGACATAGAAAGTGGGAGTAACTTACAATTATGTGTATAATTTGTAGAGTATAGAGAATGATGTACAGAGCTGAGGTAGCCGATGGCGGGGTTATTTAAACGGTAGGTAGTCTGGAGGAGTAGTGGTGGTGGTGGAGCTTGAGCTGATGGCTGATCGCAGGCTGCCTCATAAGGCGTTCTTTGACTCACACATCTTCTCACAGGCAGCAAAATTACGGTTATGATAATTACAATGCCTACAGAGGAGATGCAGGCTAAAGTACATAGGCAGCAGTATAATTACAGGCGAAGAAGAACCCGTCTCTTTGTTGTTTGACAACATGTTTGTTTTAATTTTCTGTAAAATAAAATAAAAAAGATTTCCCAACCCAATACATGATATGAAATACAGTAGTAGAATGAATCGCTTGCCAAGTTAAGCATGTTCAAATACATAGCAAGAATCATACTAGCCCCGGGCTGCTACTGATCGCTCGGCTCGCGCGGTACACGCCGAAACCTGGGCCAGCGCACACTGCGACATGAGGTTGTATACTTGCCACACGCCGGCCTTATCAAACATCATTCCCACTAGCTGAAGCAGCTTCGAGCAGAACCCGCCAGAATTGTCCAGCACAAAGTCCTGGTCGCTGCCGTCCATGGTCAGCTGCAGCTTAATCTTGGACTCTGCTGCTGCAATCATGTTCTGCACCTTCTCCAGCAACTTCACGTCGTCATCCTCCAAGACCATGATGGCTGGCATGGAGCCGAAATCAATCTCGTCTCGGCCCATGATACCAATGTATGCTCCCACACGGTCCTGCACAGTTGCTACCCACTCAATTAGCACCTGCGCACATTCAAAAATGCACAATGCCGCAGGGAGAGCCAATTCTGGACCGTGAGTTGTGGACATGGCAAATCCAAGACTTTCAGACATGGCCAGCGAGTCGGCTGCAAAGAATGAAGCCTTGCGCAGATGCTTCTCACGGCGGCTGGCGAGTTTCTCACTCTCCGTCAAAGCGCCGCTCAGTGGTGCCTTGTTCATCGAACCGTCAGTTGTGGTGCTCTGATTCGCAGGAGATGCGGAGAAGACCGATCCGTGAACCGAGGTGTCGGTGCCGTCTGTATTTTCGGTGCCATCGTTGGAGCCCGGAGATCGGCCAGCAACCGGCACGAGCTGGCTGCCCTTTGCAATCTCAGCCGCCATGCCTTCCCAGTCGCGGTCCCAGAACCTTTCCTTGGCTCCGGCCAGTTCAATAAACAGGCGTACATAAGCTAAATCTAGAAGAGGAATTGCGTCGGATGAAGCCGGTCCCAGCCCAATCCCAATGGGCTGCGCTACCGAGTGTTGTGGATTGTTTGCCCACAGAATCTGCCAGGCTCGTAGTGCGGGTTCGATGTGTCGATGCATTTTTTCGGTCTCTTCGGTAGTCCAAACTTCGTTTTGATGACGTTGACGCGTCTCCCAAATATAATTATGTAATGCATAAATGAGTAGCAGGCAACCAACTGAACTGGTCTTGAGATTGCTTGCTTGTGCGTTTTGAGAGTCACCTTGCTGCTGCTTTTGGCGCTCGCCTGCGTGAAGAAGTTCCGCCAACGCCTCTGAGAAAGGTACTGTATTGTGCGCAGCAGCCTCAATGCCGCCCTTGGCAAAGAATGCGGTGCTCGATTCGGCAGAGAAGAACTCTTCGTCGCATGGCAGATCCAGGCTAATCTCTGAGTTGGTAAGGGGAGGCGCGTGGTTGTAAGCCGTAACCAGCAAGCTAGATAGGATAAAGACGGCATACATGGTCCGCTTGCGCTCCTCCATCCTCGACCACTCTATCCACTGTTGGTGTTCAAGCAGTTCTGCATGCTTGGACCAATTCACATTCGGGTCATCAGACATGACAATATCGGCAGGCGGAGTGGAAAGCGGTGTTTGCTTGCCCAAGCCGGCCGCCTGCGCAAGACTAACCAGTGCAATACAGTGAGTCGAAGCGATGGAGGTAGCAATCTTGTCGATGACGTTGTGGCCGTAGGAGACGTTGAGAAGCATGGCTTGTACGAGCCATACTGGTGTATCAGCACCATCGTCACTAGGCATCGAGGAGTGGTCGGCCCCGGCAGAAGCGCTCCTGCGGGCTTTGGCGTCAGCGTGGCGATCCATTTCGGCCTTGCGGCGTTCTTCAAGAAACAGGAATATCATCTTCTTGGACATTTCAAACAAATCCTTTGACTGGGCAGCATCACCGGCGTACAGGGCGCCAATCATGGAAATGGCGAGAAGAAGGCAGCCGCGGCCACCAATGGCACCGTCTTCATCAGTGGGAGCAGTGCTCATGTCAAACGAGAGTGTGGGAAGGTGGAGGAATGGAAAATGAGGGTGGAAGTAAGAGAGATAGGATGCCACATATCGTTGGAGGTCCTGAATGCTAGGCAGATTAAAACCTGCTCCCATTCCGACTTGACCTTGGGCGGATGGAGAGGTGGCTAGGGTACGCTTACGGCCGCCAAAGTTTTGACGGTGGGAGAGTGTATTCACGATTGCGGTCCTTGTGGCTTCTGTGATGGTGGTTACGGGAGAGGCGCCGTTGTTACCTGGAGGGAGGGTTGGTTGGACGTCCGGAACGGCGTGGAGGCCTAATGGATGGAGCGCTCCTCTGGTCTTGACTGCGGATGGGCTTAGCGATCGCATTGAATTGTGAGAGGCGGAGAGGTACGGGTCATTAATCTTTTGAGAAGCTGGCTGAGGTGATACAGGTGCTCCATTGAGGAGGTCCGGAAAGACTGACCCATTGAGATCCATCGCGAACGGGTTCGTCAGCTGTGGCGGTCCCATCACGGACGGCTGCCACATGCTGCTTGTCGACGCCGGGAGCGGCTGGTTCGATCCATCTACCATAACGTCGCTCATTCCACTCTGGCTCGTCGTGCTAATTGCCGACGGGCTAGATCCATCAATCACGTTTTCATTGGACCGGATGTTAATCTGGTTCTCAAAGCCAGTGACCCAGTCAAAGTTGTCTTCAAATGTCTGTGTCGACGAAATATCGTTTAGTGTTCCAGGAAAAGGTGAGCGTTGATCCAGACCAACCGAGTGCGCTGAATCACTGTAATGTAACGCATTGGGGTTAATCGTAGAACCAGACCCAAAGACAAAATTTTCAAAGTCAAAGTCTGGTGTAAAGGCAGACAGCGCCGGCGCCGTTCTCAAGCCAGCGTCGAATTCGCCGTTGGCGAGGGTCGCCGTGTCAAGCTTACCCAGCGTCTGCGAGAGCCCTCTCTGGTTCATAAGAGAGAGGCCAAGACCGTGCATGGCGTTGGCGGGGAGGCCGGACAGGCTAGGGTGCCTGTTATGGCCGCCTGGGCCTCGCGCTGCGCTTGCTGTCGCAGAGGCAATCATTTGCATGGCGTTGATATCGACATGGCTGATGGTGTTGGCTCGCGGACGCATCGAGGCGTTACCGCTGGCATTGGCTCCTACCACGGGGCTAGCACCGACGATGCTGCTCTTGCGTCTAGCCTGGGCAGGTGTAACGCCGCTGGCAGACTCCCGACGGTTGCGCGGGCGTGACGATGGCGTAGACGTCTGGTGCAACTTCTGCTGGTGTCTAAGCAGCAAGTCTCGTCGAGCAAAGCATCGTGCACACTCGGGGCATTCAAACGGCTTTTCTTTTGTGTGGGATCGCTCGTGACGTTTCAAATGCTCGAGACGAGCAAAGGATCGCTGGCAAGTCGTACAGACGTGAGGGCGTGGTTTATCGGTCTTTGGCGGGGGAAAGTTGTTGGCCGGCTTAGCATTGGCGGTAGCTAGTACGACGGGGAAAAGAGGCAATGTCAGCAAGCTTGTTCCCAAAGGGGGGAAGCGGAATGCAAGGAACGGTCGGAAACCAGGCAAAGCAAAGCAAAACGATGAAAAATAGGCCAGGGTCAAGGAGGCTCACCAGCATCAGTAGTTTTGGCGTCGGCGTTGGCAGCCGCCGAGTTGGCAGCGGCCACGGTAGCGTTGGACATGTTGAGAGCTCTGGATGACCGAGGCGCAGAGTCGTTGATTACCATGTCCCGCAGAAGCAGTTTTAAAGAAGAAAAATATTGGTCGTCAGGCTCGGAAATAAAATAAAACCCCGGGGAATAAACGAAGAAAAGGAAAGAAAGGATAACAAAATTCGTCAGCTCGTTAAATGCAGCACCGTCACACGCCAGGAAATTGGTGGTGTTGGTGGGCTGGGAAGAGTTCTGGCGGCGACCGAGGGGCAGTCGAAGAAAATGGCGGGGAGCACCGAGAGCTCTCTAGCGATTAGGGAGGGGCGATAAGAGTCGGGAGGGCCACGGCGCAGTGGAGGGACACCAGCTGCATGTCACCTTTGCGCGGCGGGAAAAGGAATGTCGTCGTCCACAGAAGGGGCCCCAAAAAATACGGCGAGGCGTGGTAGATTCCGGGACAGATGAAAAGTAATTGCAAGAAAACTGCTGCGAGCCTTGGCGAAGAGAAGGGTGCGACAGCAGGTTACTTGGTGTTCTTTTGCCTTGCCTCTACTCTTGGGGGGAAGAAGAAAGAGGACGAGGGAGGAGGGAGGAGGAGCGGTGATCTGAAGCGCCTTGCGATGCCTAGAGAGAAAAGAAGAAGAAAAGGAGAAGAAAGAGGAAGAAGGCAAGGTTGCAAGAGAAGAGGAAGAGAAAAGGGAAAAAGCAGGCAAAGGATTGAGACGAGAAAGGAATAGTACCAGCAACAGCAGCAGCGACAGTCCCGGACAAGCACCAGCACCTGTTTCGCATTGGCTTTATTGGCGCCCGTCGGCTTGGGGGGCTTGCTGGGGGTGGGCAGGCAGGTAGGCAACTGGAAAAAATACAGTGTCCACGCGTACTGTGCCGTCCCGGCCGACAGCACCAGCACCAGCTTAAGCAGTGCTAGTGCGTTTTGGTGGCTGCATGGGGAACCCACCCCCCGTAGCCACAGCGAGCGACCGGCGGGCAAGGGGTCTCCACGCCGCAGGTTTGGTGTGGTATGTGGTATGGGTCCAGTGAGTTTGCCGTGCTGCGATTGGCCGGTGTGCTGTGGCAGTCGACCAGAGCCTAGCCTGAAAGAGGCAACAGATGGTGCGGTCTCGTTGGTGGCTAACTTGGTCTTCCAGGCAGTACAGTGCCACTAAGAGGTTCTATTACAGAAAAGAGGCAGTGAAGGAAGCAGGCCCGCTGGCGCATCATGCCAGGGATTTTGCCTCAGGATGCGACGGAAGCTTCAAGAAACTGGAAAAACACAAAACAGCGGTTGTGGCAGGAAGGGTGGAAAAACACTAAAAGAAAAAGATGATTCATGACGTGAACAACTCTCAAACCCAAACCATTTTAAAGCCCGCTGCTGGCTGGCGTCGCCACGTACGCTACGCTGGCAAGTAGGCTAATCACTGTAACTATCAGACCACGACCTGCTGCTGGTGCTTGTCCTGCGGCATAAGACAACCCTTTGCATCGGAATCCCAATTGAGCAGCGCTGCGCACATTAGATGTCACACGCCACTATATCTCTTATAAATAGTATTAATATCGACGATATTGTGCGTTTAATATCGGGGCCGCCCTGGCCCGTCTCTGCATTCGTTGGACAGGTAGAGACGGCACAGGAGGCGCGTGTGTCAGGTTGACGTGCAGTTATGCCGGAGTCTTTTTTAATTCAAGATAATACCGTCTTTGAGCTTTCACTTGCGTCGCGATTCTTCTTCCGTTTCCTTTTCTCGCATTCTCTTATGCCCTTTTGCCGAGATCATTGGCATTGTTAACCCTACGACAGCCGAAACGTGCTGCCGTGCAGCTTGCGAAGCCGTAAGACGACGCTTCAAGGCCCGATCGTCCCCGAGACAGGCCCGCTGTGCTGCTAGTGTTGAACTGTAGCCGAGTCGGTGCGTGCGTGAAATCGCCAGACGCTACTGTACCTACGTCATGAGAAACAATCAGCGACAACGATCAGCAAAATAGAAGAAAAGATTTGCAGTTTACGCAATGCCTAGTAGTCTAAAATGCGATAACGTCCATCATCGACTTGTTCCAATCACACATCATACCCCAGACCAGCCTCTCTATTGCTTATAGCGGTTTCGGCGTCGTCATCGGAGTCCGAAGCCGTGCTGCGCTGTGCTCTCTCAGGGCCGCCCACCAGTTAGCTCCAGCGCCCTGAGACCCCCCCTGGAAAGATAGCTCCATCGTGCTTCTGGCGTGCAGTTACAGCACTAGCAGCACCTACAGTAGCAGAGGCTAATTACCCGAAGGCGCACAGTGCGGATCCAACCCAGCCTCGCACTCCATAATGTCGCACCCGCCCAAAACCCACGCCAAGACAGGCCCTGTCCAGGCTCTGGTCTCCTGTCTCTCTGCTTGCCACGTTTCTAGCATGTCGACGCCATGCCTCGCGGTCTCTTCTGTCTCAACTAAAAACTTGTCTGCTACCTTTTACCACCAGTAGCAGCCCACGGCCGGCCAGCTATCTGCCGATATTAATACGAACCCAGCCAGCATAAGCAGCAGCAGCAGCAACACAAGGGAGAGAATGGGAAAAAGTCAATCGCATCATGGGATCCAACGCGGTGCGGATACCGTCCGCGACCTTACCCACCGTTCAAACCCTCCAACCCGCTGAGATTGCCTCGCGATTTCGCCTGCCACCGAGCCATGCCGTCTTGTCACTTTGGCTCAATTGGTTAGCGCCTAGACCATCCTCAGCACACCAGAAGCGATCGTCCTCTGCCAGCCTAAGCACAGGGGCCCCATAATACCAAGGGGGCGTTGAACTGACTCTGGCGCTGATTTGATCAGCTTCGTAGCCTGATTCTGCTCGATGGCTGTTTAGCGCAAAGTGCTAACGCCCCATTGACTCCATTTGCTGCTGCTAAAAACGAACACACGCTCCAAGGTGACTCGTTTGGTTCGCAAGCCTGCTGGAGAAACGATGAGAAGCTGCACTGTGCCTAGACCCGTCACGCAAGCCACAATAATGCCCAGTCTGCGCCCGAGAGCCAGCCATCCGCATCCCAAACGGTTCCTGCACGCACGCAAGCACGCACGGCTGGATTCTTGTGCAAGAGACAAATAAGCAAAACACCAATCGTCAATGCATTGGAACGAAATGCTTCATCTTTCCCATCTTGCAAGTGGCGTTGCAAGCGGCTGACGACGAGTAACCACGGCTCAGAACGGCACGGTACGGTGATACATGATCTCTAACCATGTATCACCCACTGCTACCCACGGCGCGTCAACGTGCCTTGTCTTAGTTGGCACCCTGCTGCTGCAAATTTTCTCAACCGTTGACACGACATGAAGCGGCTGGCAAAAGAAAGTTTTTTCTTTTCGTCGGACCACTATTTAGTTTCCATGCTGTCAAATCGAATACTAACTGCGGAAGCTTAGACCGCTCGCAACTCCCAGCCGGAACTCTATTTCATCGAAATAGCGCATTGGCCAACGTTCGTGGTCATCAGATTCCAACAACCAAACATGAAAAGTTTGCTGACGCAGCGGCTGTGGTAAACCCAAACCCACGGCCAAGTATCGCTTAAGGCGCCCTAGCTTGGACGAAACCTGGCTGCTCATGCAGGCCAATGGAGCAATAGTGAGTATAGGTATGGTCCAGATGGGACGTCCCACGAATCACAGCCAAGCAGTCTCAGACTTGGGTGCCCAGTTTGCATGCACAGCGCCGGAAGCAGCCTATCACCGATACACGAGACCTATGTTGGGCCTTTGAACTTTTCGATTCTTCTCTATCCCCTGTACTTTGTATCGGCAACAATTTTTTCTAAATTGTATAGCGCAAAGCGCGTACAGGTTTCATGTCACCCGCCCAGAGGCGTGGTCAGAAGCCGAGCCGTGGCGCGGCAAACTACTACACGGTATGCCAGCCAGAACAAAGAGGTAGCAAATTTGCGTTCCAGGATAATAAACAAAAAGTGTGCGCATAGCGAATCGCAATATATAGGATCGATGTTCCTATTCTTGCTGTTACTATTGTCAAAGATGACGCAAAGCTATGTCCGATGGTACGCATGGCGATGCTGCAAGCCGCTGGACCCTTCGTTTGTTCGGGTTTACCAGGGCCCACGCTGTTGCAAGTAAATTTTCTCGAAAAAGGCCACTCGCAGCGCCGTATGCAGCACCAGTTACTTCATGCTGACATTAGAAGGCGCATGTGGGAACGGGTATTGGGCATGATGGAAAGAAATTTTCTTCGACAGCTTTCTTAGCGTGGAAAATCAGCATCTTGGACCTACACCGCAACATGAAGGGTATATCGCGTGGAGTCAATCCATCAGTGTGGAATTTGGTACGTGAGACGCAGGGCATTAAGTGGCGAATAGCGACAACTCTCAGACGAGGACCGGTAGTTGGCAAGCATCGTGAGACACAGGCTGTGTTTAATTTCCCAGGCTGAGCAGATGCTTCGATTTGTTCTGGACTGATCATGCACCAACCAGCATACGGATTTGGCTGCAAGGATGCTTCCGCCAACACAAAGGAGATCAGCGTCGCTCATTGGGGCCAGAGATACCCCGAACCTCCGGCAGCCCACCCTCCAGCTGCACCAAGGGGAGCACAAGCACGGACTCCCAATATGCGCAAAATAGAACAGCCACTGCCTAGTATCCGAGATCTTAGTACTCGTGCTCTTATGCTGTTTGTGTTTTGTTGGTACCGGTTCTTTATCTCGCCGTTGTGCGGCAGTTGAAGCATAGCATATGCTTCCTCGGCACCGAACTAGACGCCCGTTTATACTTGCAATACTCCCTAATCTGAGCTTTTGTAGCGCTCATGAAACCAGTTTCTGGTTCGAGACGATCGAAGGAAACCTGTCGGCTAACAGTGTAGGCTCATAAGATCAGAGCCGGTCTGCTAATCTCCCCCAGACTGTCAGACCCCTGTCCCTTACCCAGGGCCAGCGCTCGTGCTGTGCAACACACTATGAAGAGCCATTAGCATCCAAGTAACCAGTTACATTATTGGAATTGGCTCTTCGGTTGCTATCAACGCTAATAGCATGTGATGAAGACTTTCCATCTCAGGATGCATCTAGAAGGGCGGCATCCGCCGCTAGTTTACCACTATTGGACCAGGCGCCGTGCCGAGTCGCTTTTTGTTGGGACCCTTACTTGGGTTGAAACGGCGCGGACAGCAAGCCACAGCAGCCTATGTCATAAAGGAGTCCTTTTAACAGAATCACCTAGTGTGAGTGCGAGTTGGCTCAGCAGGTATTTTGCCACTGTGCAGCTAGCAAGCCCGCTAGCCTTGCGTCCTTCTAGGGGGCTTGCCATGACCAATGGTTGACGCCACGATTGGATACCCCAGACTCGCTACGAAGCCTATTTTCCCGCGAGCGAGCGTTTGCTCCTTGGTGAAAATTGCCACTCGTGCGATTCTATTCCCAGGCTTGGGCGACGGCGTGCTAGTTTACCTCGCTCGTCATTTCTCAGCAGCCGTCTTACCACCACGGCCTTTGTCTACTTGGCCATCTGACGGATTATCCGGCAATGGGTGTAGAAACACGTCCCGGGGTAAAACAGCGACAGCGGCGACTACGGCCCCACAGGCCTCCATCCTTCGGTGCTCATTGAACGGAATGAACCAATCCCCGGATACCCAATCTATTTGGCAGCGGTCTGCTTGCCGTGGGTGGTGGCGACTTGCTGGACAGAAAAGCGTGGTATGATGTTATCTCGGCGTGAGCCCACTGGCGTATTTCATACTGTGCTGTGCTGTGATGGACTGGTGCAGAGTGTGCGCCACGAGGAAATATCCATTCGCGGATCTAATGAATTGGACATGGCTTAGCGGGCTCGTGACACTCTCCTGTGGCGGCGTGCGCCAGAGTTCATCCTTCATCCTATAGCCGTTTAACGGCTACTCATACGTGGGGGTTGCGCTCGTCTTTATTGATCAAGGCTAATATACGGCTTCATAACCTGTGCGCGATGCTGTATCGGACATGACAATATTTGGACTGCTTGTATTCAATTTAGCCGCTTACAAAGAGTCTATTCGCTGCTCCACGATCTCTACTGATTGATCTTGGTGCTTGCTGTTTCGCCGGCGCAGCCCATCTTACGATGCGATTAGTCCTGTGATATTTCTCGCCACAGTCCACTCTTGGAGCGATACCTAAGTCAAACATGGCTTCTAGAAATTAATTATTGCCACCGCTAGCCAAACAAAACAATTCTCTGCTCCCAAACGGCCAAACACCTTTTTACGCGCCGTGGTGGATGCCGGCGCTATCTGAAACCGATCCATGTAGGGTATCCGCCAATCCATCCAAGGTCGTTGCGCCAGCCCGAAACGCCAGGCTAATTCTTTTAGAAAAGAGTCCCAGAAGTCTTTACCATATACTCAAACACGTCATGATTATGAAAAGGGCGAGCTGAAGCCACTTCGCGTGGCCGCTCCCGTGCCGTGTCTGCGCCGCAAGCAGTTTGACGCTTTGGGTTCGTCTGCACGCTTGGTTCCCCTGTCCATCCTTCCTGTTCCAAGAACCTGTTTTCTATCGCCCTAAAAAGAAGACCTCAAAGAATGAAGAAGTAGAAGTGGCAGCTTACCAAAAGAGCTTTCTCCTACTCTCAGCTCGGGCAACGACAATGTGAATATCGTCTCTGACATCCAATACCGGCCAGACTATCCGACTAAGACAACCACCGCTACCATGTTGCTACGAACCATTACTCAACTAGGCTTGATATTGATGATCGCCCTCAGGGTCCAATGTACCCCAGCAAACCCAAACCCAGAAGTCGTCACAGTCACCGTCGAAGCGCCCATTCCCACCGGGGAACCTTCATACAGCAACATCCCGCTCTTCACGGCTGCCATTCTCAACAGCACCAACACCTACCGCTCACAGCACAACGCATCATCCGTAATATGGAACAATACCCTTGCTCTCTACGCGTCAGAGTACCTCACCAAGGTCCAGTGCGTGTTTGAGCACTCTGGCGGACCATACGGCGAGAACATTGCCATCGGGTACGGGACAGCCACGCGGGCCGTGGAAGCATGGGGCGACGAGCGTGTTGATTATGATTTTGATAAGGGTGAATTTACAGAAAAGACGGGCCATTTTACGCAGTTGGTGTGGAAGGATACGACGGATGTTGGGTGCGGAAGGGCTCTGTGTGGTCATAAAGGGTGGTTTTTGGCCTGTGAGTATTGGCCGAGAGGGAATGTGATAGGGTATTTTATAGGGGAGGTTGACAAGTATACTGGGAAGGGATATGATCCGTCAGATGGACCGTCTGATGGAGGTGATGAAAGGAGAGGACAGATTGGTGGTGGTGGTCAAGGAGAGGTTTTGGGACCGACGGCAAGTGCGGTGAATAAGCCTGGGTTGATATTTCTGGGGGTTGTTATTGTATGTATAGCAGGTTTGGGGACAATTTCGTGATATTGTATTGGATGAATATATAGTGTATAAAAGATGATGCAGACGGAAATATTTCACTCGATCTAGGTTCCCGTGGTATAACTGTCTCTACCAAACTCGTCATTGGGAGCTCGATAGCTGCATTTGCAATTTCAGCTAGTATTTATTCAATCATGTGTTGCCTTGTGGATCGAGATTGTCTTAGCTTGATCAACTCCGGCACTGCTGGCCCTTCTGATGTATCGTCCTCAGCATGTTTCTGTTCGTTATTGGAGCTTACCCCTATCTGCGGCCTTCTGGATCGTCCCTGAGTCATTTCTATAATAAGATCTCGAGTATTATTCGAGTGGGGATCAGAGTGATAGAAAGGAGAATGGCCGAGACCATAACTCGAAACGGGGATCTTCGGCATCAGGGAGAATAACCTAAGCACTTCATCGGCTTCGGAGGCTGTGAGTGCGCCAGGAAGGCTTGAGTAGTCTGAGTCGCTTTCTGAAACGGCGTTCTGGGTGTCATCGTATTGTTTCTGATAATCCAGTAGTTTGCTGGGGTCGATTTGTTTTGGTATAGACATGACAAAAATCTTGTCGTTTTCCAATTTCAACAAACGAACTTGGGACCAGAATCTGCCATTTTCCACGAATGCGACAAGCATAGCAGCCATCTCTGCATGTTTAAAGCTCGGATATGTTGCAGCTAAACAATATTTGCCTTCGTTCTGGGAAATGGTGTTCATTTTCAAGAAACCGTCTACTCGCTCTAGACACGCTCCGAGACGGTTGACGAGCGACGGCTTCTCTATACTTTCAATGGTGACGTAGTATTGCTCAGAATGATCATCTGTCTCCTCTTGAATAGTATTCGTTAATGGAGATAGGACCTTTTGAGGCTGTGGCGATGGTGCTGACATAGCCTTATTCTTTTGAGACTCTCCAACAAGAGCAATATTTTCTGCTCTTCTTTCTTCCTCCAGTCTTTTTTCCTCCAGTCTTTTTTCCTCCAGTCTTTTTTCTTCCAGTCTTTCTTCCTCCAGTCTTTCTTCCGCCTTTCTTCTTCTTTTCTCCCTGATTTCGTGAGCTATGCCTTGGGTGACGTCTGAAATACTTCTGATTTCGCAATCTTCACCCGTTGGAAGTGATACATCTCTGGCTCCTAGACATTGTATAATGTCATCAAAGATATCAGAGGCTCGCAGAATATACGCTGCGCCCAAGCAATCTGTCGCGACGACGTATCCTAGCAGTTCGTTCGTAAGCAACGAGATCACCCAAGCTCCAGAATCACCATCTACGAAGTCTAAGATTAAAATTAGTTTAATAACTGCGAAAATATATCTATACAGAGAGACGACTCTTACCTCGGTTACTATCGAGCGTTAACATATACGCATCGACAAAGTTTGTACTGGGGTAAACAAGAATCCTTGATGGGTCCGATCGAAGGGTTCCATTTTGAATGCCACGGGAAGCAGTAATAACTATGACCGGTTCCTTTGGGATTGCATTTTCCTGCCCATGTGGGATTCTGCGATACTGTGTGATTGAAAGAGGATTAGAGAGAGGACCACCACCAGGTAGCTCATTTGGCAACTCCAGTTGCACAGGAATAAGTGCCCAGTCTAGGAACTGTCCCTTGGATCCCCCAGTGGCGCCATGTTCCTCGTTTGAAGTGGAATCGAATACTATTGCACGCCCGTATTGAGTCATATGCTGGAAAGCCCAAGCATCTACGTCCTCTGCGTCTGGTGCGCCAGACGTATGTGAGCCTATCTTGCTCATATCCAAAGAAGTTTTAGGCGCATTGCTTGACTCGCTCCCATCTGATTCTGAATCTGTATCCGAAAAGTCACTGTCAACACTGACTAGAGTTGCAGTGCTTGCCGGCTCAGAAAACACACTGTCGTCTAGAATACAGTCCCTCGCTACATGACCAGCTGTAAGACCAAGCAAGTCCCATTCCCCGCCAGGGCCGGTGATTTTGATAATACCACCAAGCGTGGCCTCTCTTTCCTTCCCATTTCCGTATAATACGATCGGTGTACCACAATATGTATTGGGAAAGAGGCTGTTGTTCTTGATGATACCTGTTCCCTCTGGCTCGTCGGTGTCCCAGCACACAACTGCAAAAGCGTCCTGCCCGCGTAGCCGAGGCGGATGAGCGCATACTACCACCCGAAACTTTGGCTCACCTGCTTCTTCCGGTGCGTAGAAGGCTTTGATAAGATCATGTGTATCAAAAAAGTTCTGAATCTTTTTCCGCATCTCAGGTATGCAAAACACCACAATCGCGGGCTTTGCATTGGAGATGGAGTCTCCTAACATTAACAATCGAATTGACATGGGATTTCGGCGACTGCCGTGCTTTAAAAATCTCTTCTTGTTTGTGTAGTTCCAAAGGAGCGACTCAACTGTCGGCCGAATTCCATTAAAACGCGCTATGGATAAGGCATCAATCTTTAGGCTAAAAGCACGTGTAGAATTGTGTTCAGAAATGTAGAGCTCTTTTCCACAGTCTTCTTCCTCAATACTTCTAAGAATATGGGCCGATGTTTGAGACCTGTTCTGTGACGAGTAGCCAGAATCGATAGGGCAGTCCTCGTTAATAGGCGGAAGTCCCTTGGTGTCTTGTTGGGTTCTTGTCGGCGCTATAAAAACTCTTTGCTCTGTTGTTTTAGGGCTAGGCGCCAGGTTTGCTTCTGCCAACATATTTGTCAATTGAACTAAAGATGATGATGGAGCTGCCATCTCATATATTGGGTATAAAGTGTGAGATGCGATCGGGGGGAGAGCTGCAGAGAAAGATTCTTCGGCGGACAACATGAGAAATGAGTGTCCCAACTGATATTCAAAGGAGAATTAGTTAGGCATCAAGGTACATTACTTGTAGAGACACAGCCTCGCTACATACACGCGTGTAACATATAGCATGCGCGGGAACAAAGGGAAACGAGAAATGAGGCGCAGTGAGGGGTAGAGCTTCAGCCGGAGAGAATCCACCGAGTACCGATTATTCTGGCATTTGTGAGGCGAAGTCTAGCACTATGTGTACTAGTCATGCGGGGGATGCATGCAAGGATCAGCCATAGCCTCGCTGCGCTGTCAACATGACCACCACACCTTTACTAGAATTCATTTCAACATGGCCCTGGGAATAACTGGATTCAATCGTGCGAGATTTTCTGGCAACCGCAAGAGCAATGGCCTCATTCAGCAAGTCTATTTTCCCACTTGGTGATACATCAGAGAATGACTTGCGTAGTTTATGCAAGACACTATGGCAGTGGAAGCTGTGTGACGGCTGCGAGACTCAGACAGGGTGTCGCCTTTCAAAGTGTCCTTGGCAGCAGTCTGACAGGCTGGAGACCTTCTTCCAATATTATCGCGACTCAACAGCGGTGTTTGTGCCTGACTGCATCGGTGGTATGCCCACGCTGCAATCACATAGTGACCTTCTAGCGATTATCCGAGATATTAAGCAACGACCACAGTTACAAAGACAGACAATAACCCAGTTACACTTCATCCAAAAAGCATCCTCGCGCGGAAATAACACTCTGCCATCACAAAATGAACAGAATCAAGCCTTCAATCTTGCTGTGCGGATCATGGCAATGGTCAACTCGTCTACCGAGGATCAGGTCGAAGGAGCTTTGCTTGAATCTGGTTCGATGCCTGTAACATGGCATGGCGATACGTCTTTTGCAGAGTTCATGGAACAGGCATTCCATACGCAAGATACAACTTTACAAGTCACAGGTAGCGGAGACTTGTTCAACCAGAGCACCAAGCTGGCAAAACTAACGGCTAAGCGCCTCAAAAGAGTAGCCGGGTTGCAGCTTACGCCGACTGATAACTTGTAAAATCATCTACGATTAGATGTGAGACGCAATGCTGTCGAGATATATCACCATGTGGCGGTTCTCAAAGAGCACCTCCTGGCAGGGATGAATTCTGATTCTCACGAAATGACAGCACAAAGCATCGCACAGTAAGTCATCTCTGGTGACAAGTATTTTCACCAACAAAAAGCCCACTAACACTAAACAGAGGAAACATTCCGCGAGACCTAGCCCTCGAAACACTTGTGACGCTGCAAGAAATCCTCTTCCCACTCGACTCAGACTCTCAATCTCTCTTGCGCGCGCTTGTTAGCAAACAAGGATATGACCCTGAATGCTTGCGTGTAGATATCCGAGAATACCGCCGAGCGGAGGAAAAGACGGTGCAGCTGCGGTACTGGAGCACAAGGCTAGAGGATTTGTACGAGTATATGCAGAATCCTACGCCGAGCGGCTATATAGAAAAATGGATGGAACGCAGAAGCGGCGCAAGGTACGTGATGATGGCGACGCTTGGAGGTGTCATCTTTGCTGTGATTCTAGGTATATTAAGTCTGGCTGTGAGTATCTTCCAGGCATGGGTAGGGTATCAGCAGTGGCAGCATCCTATAAATCCCAGTTGAGTTTAGTTTGATATTGTATGTACCAAAATAGAACTGTGCCAAAATATTCGAAGGTCTGGTCAGCTAAAGCCCGCAGATGCGGGCCGTTTGCTGCGCGGCTAATCGCCAACCAACGAGAGCCAATGAATTCGGGTGAAGCGCCGGCGTCCACCACAGCACCCTGTTTCGAAATAACCCATACAGCAGCCAATCGATTTCGCATTATAATTTAAAATGTGCGTCATAAGGGGTTCCCCTTGCCCTGTTCTGTCGGAAATCTACCAACGTAGCGTATAAGCGCCGTTGCGGGCTGCGCGCGACAGGGACGAAACAGATGCGGGCTGCGTTTTGGGTCAACATGGTCAAAAGTCACTGGATACGAGCGGTTTGCGCTGATAAGTCTAAGAATAGGTCACTGCGAATGGTTAGTAACTTCCTTGTATGGGCGCCTCATATACCTTATCTGCGTGGCCCTTCTTTCCCTCTTTCATATTCCACCTGTAGTCGCACTCGTGCCGTTTGTTTGCTGATTGCATCACCCTCTTTTTGCTTCGGATCGCTCTGGAACAACGGAGCTGATACAACAAACCCTTTCTTTTTTGGAATACGACACTAGATATACATCACGGAACGACGACTGGCCGAGAACGTTACGCTGTGGCTGGTGGCATTTCTAGTTGAGACGGCTTGCGTTTCGGTTGCGACAATACATCAGTGATCCTGATCGCCGCTAGATTTGGTCACGGCTTACACGTTTTCCAACGACAAGATGCTCAGAAATTTTGGATTTCGAATGGCTTTGGCCATGATGCTGATGCAACAGTCAACAGCTATGATGATGACGCTTTCTTCGGTCGAGCTCATCACGACAGTGACGGCATCTCTTCAATGCATCATGGCGTATAACACACCCATTTTTGGATGCCAGATTGGATCGTTTACTCACAGAAGCGCGTGTTCGGAGCAGTGCAAGCGAGCGCTTGAGACGGCACAAAGCAACATTCGCCTGGCATGTGCTAGCTTGTCGACACCGAGCGGGAGCTTGATTAATCAAGCGCAAAACGGAAATCTGCTGGAAGCGCTCTGTGGTGACAGCAATGTGAAGCCATCTCCAGTTCCTTCTGACCCGACTGTTAGTCACACGACGATACGGGTGCCAAGCAGCAGCTGCTCAACGAGTTCCTCGAAATCTCCAAGCTTTACTCGCATCACGACGACGCCAGTCGAATCTACTCCAGAGCTCTCTGAAACAACACAGACACAAACAAGTGAAGAGGAATCCACATTAACGTCGTCTTCATCATCAACACAAACACCATCGTCAGGCCGAGAGACGCAAATCACACTGAAGCCACCAACGGCCTTGCCATCCAGCTCGGCCGCAGCGGCGACAAGCTCTCAAGTTGCTGGCGGATTTGTGGCGCCACCAGTAGGAGGAGGAGATCCTTTTGCAACACCTCCTATATTTTCGAGCGCAAGACAGATCGAGTGCTCGGTGGTGTTGTGCGCAGCGATTATTGTGATGGCATTTTTGGTGTAATAGCGTCAGTGGCGATGGTGGTTATGAAGGTGTACGATATGTGAAGACTCGCAAGACAAAGGGTTGATTTGAATTACTGGTTTTAATAATGGCGTAATTTCTTTATTAAGAGTACCATTTGAATATAATATGCATGTCTCGCAATTGACCGTTTTTCATTGTCTTTGGTTGTTGGGGTGTGTAAGTGGCGGTGGGGGAGGTGACGTCGAGATGCATGCATATGAGTGACAGGTCAGTGGGAACAACGAGCGTAGTTTAAATGCATTGTGTATCGAGGACGATCTTTAACTTGGATTGTGTATATTTACAAATGAGAATACTGCCGACAAATGAAATTCCAAGCGGTAAAAAGTGGTGGAATGGTGCAGCCAGCCGCCGGCAGCCAGCCGGCACAGCTGTCTGTGGGCAGTGCTTGGCACCTGGCCATAAACGGTCGAGGGGCGAATGAACGGGCGGGGGATGAAGTGAGACTCTGCAGGGATGGTAGGTTTGCTTTAACCGCTGCAATTACAGGGAATAGTGCCACTGCTGAATAGGCTGTTTTCTATATTCTGTATTGGAATTGGGCATCTATAGGTATAGCTGGACTCTTTTTGGCTTACTTTTGGAGCCGGTCAGATTAAGTTGGCAGCCGGTCAAATCTACTAGCGTGCTGCAATCGCTGCAAGCGCAGTGGGTCGGGCGCTGTGGGATGGATTGGACCTCCGAAGTGCCCCGAACTCGCTGCGGTGGTGGGGCGGGTTTACTGTACTGTACTGTGTTATCAGGAGTAATGGAAACACGGTGGTTGTTGATTATTTGCTGCGGCGCATCATTGTTCTTGGAAAATATACTGGGCAAATATCTTGTATACAGGCCATTATTGTATTCTTAAATAATATATACTGCTGTGCCCTCAACTGCCATCTCAATTCCTCTGTTTCCAGCGTCTCCCCCACGATGGATACGCCGGAGATCTGCACGCGCGTTCTGCACAGCACCTTGTTGCGGACGACCCGCACGTCATCAACCACTAATTTTTTTTTTTTTTCGCCGCTGCTCGCTCATCCACTCTTCCGCATCGACGCGCGCCGAGAACCGCCCAACCAAACGCCCAAATAGAGTCAGCAACTGGGCTTGCCAAGACTTTGGGGGGGCCTCGTCTCGTGTCTGGATTTTCCTCGCCTCTTTTTCTTTCTCTTTCGTTTTATCCTTTTGGTAAACAACAGACTCAACACTGCTGCTGTTTTTCAAACACACCTTGGGAGAGCGAGCACCGAAGCTACCTACCAAGACATCCTCTCTACTATCTTGCATGTATCGAACCACCACATCCAACGGCTCGACTTCGATTGATTGGGGTGCTGCTACCCGACTCTCGCCTTGAGCTGCTTCTCACCGATCTTTCCGACTCTCTACAATATCCCCGAATAGCCTCGTCGCAAGCGACGCCCGTTGCCGGCCATGGCGTGGGAACATCTCGACGTCACCAAGCCGCACTTGGTCTACATCATCCTCGGCGGCTTCACCACCCTTTTTATGCTCTGCTCCTCCTTCATCAAGGAGCGCATGTATATCGGTGAGGCTACCGTCGCTACTCTCTGCGGTGTCATATTTGGCCCGCATGCCGCCAACCTTATCGATCCCAACTCTTGGGGCAGCGTCGACATTGTCACTCTCGAATTCTCGCGCATCGTCCTTGTCGTCCAATGCTTTGCCGTCGGTGTCGAATTGCCAAAGTTTTACATGGAGCGCCACTGGAGATCGGTTGTTTTCCTATTGCTTCCCGTCATGATGGCTGGCTGGCTCCTCACATCGCTCTTTGTCTGGTGGCTCATCCCACCACTGAGTTGGCTGGAAAGCTTGGTTGTCGCCGCCTGCGTAACAGCCACCGATCCCGTCTTGGCTTCGTCCGTTGTTGGTAAGGGTAAATTTGCCAAGCGTGTGCCCAAGCATTTGCGTGACTTGCTCTCGGCCGAGTCTGGCTGCAACGACGGCATGGCTTTCCCCTTCATATACCTCTCCCTCTACCTGATCCAGTACCATCGCGACGCTTCCGAAGTATCCTTCCACTTTGTCGTCTACGTCATCCTCTACGAATGTATCTTTGGCGCTGTCTACGGTTTCATCATTGGCTACATTGCGCGTCATGGTATCCGATTCGCCGAAAAGCACGACCTGATCGACCGAGAGAGTTTTCTTGTCTTTTACTTTGTCGTCGCCCTCTTCTGCGCCGGCTCCGGAAGTATCCTTGGTATGGACGACTTGCTAGTGGGCTTTGCGGCAGGTGTAGGTTTCTCCAACGACGGTTGGTTCTTGGAAAAGACGGAAGAATCGTCCGTATCCAACGTTATTGATTTGTTGCTCAACTTGGCCTACTTTGTGTACTTTGGTACCATTATTCCCTGGGAACAGTACAACAACGGCGTCGAGGGACTCACTGTCTGGCGTCTTGTCGTTGTGGCTATCCTTGTTCTTCTCTTCCGTCGTATCCCAATCATGATGGCGCTGAAACCGCTTATACCGGACGTCCGAAATTGGCGCGAGGCTCTTTTCGCTGGCCATTTCGGACCCATAGGCGTCGGCGCCATCTTTGTCGCCATCTTGGCGCGAGCAGAGTTGGAACACGAAGAGTCCGTTCCACTTGCTGAACTTCCACCACCAGGCTCCGAGCACTACACGCTGTTGTATCTTGTGTGGCCCATTGTCACGTTCCTCGTTATTTCGTCTATTCTAATCCACGGCTCGTCTGTTGCAGTCTTTACTCTAGGAAAGCGCATCAACACCCTGACACTGACCATGTCTTACACCATGGCCAACGAAGATGGACCTACCTGGATGAACAGACTACCTAGAATCTCGTCCATATCCAGGTCGCAAGCAAAGACCATGTCAGAGGCATCATTCGATCTCAAGGACCCCCAGTTTCCTAGCAACACTCTTGCACCTCCCTCCGGCTTCCTACGGCGCCAACGAGACGATGATCGACCTACTTCTGGTGGCCGAGCCTCTTCCCTTGTGTCTAGACGACGCAAACACAAAAAGTGGGATGATGGTATCGGTCCCGGAGGCCCCGTCAGCCAGTCCGCCATTTTCCCCAACCGCACATTCCCTGTCAACTCGGAAAAAGATCAAGATGCCTCGTCTGGACAAGACGAAAGCACCACTGTTGACGAGAGTCTTAAAGCGACTCAGAACACTGATGACTCTCCGTCGCCCGACGAGACCTCACCCCACATCGAGGTCTACGAAGAAGGCAACCATCTCGTGTTTGAGAATGAGGATGGCGAAGTGGTTGGCGAAGAAGAACTCGATGATAACACTGAATTGGAGGCTCCAGCTCCAGAGCCACTTACCAGGAAGCGATCGAAATCCGACGTTGACTGGAACAACTGGACTTTTGGCGGCATCAAGCGTCGTGTCGGCGAGATCTACACATCAGAGATGGAGAAGCGCAAGACCAGTGACAAGCCTAGAAGCAACAAGCCTGCGCGTGCCTATCAGTTCGGCAACCAAATCATCGTCGAAGATGAGGACGGTGAAGTCGTCAAGACCTACGAACTGCCCTCCAACAAGGACGGCCAAGAAAGCTCCGTCTTGGAATCTAGTCTCAAGTATCTCGGTCTCGGCGCCTTTGCTCGTCAAGACCAAGACAAGCCCACCGAATCCACCGCCGAAGAAGGCAAGGTTGGCGAGCCATCTGAGCCAGTGTCCCGCTTGGCTCGCCGCTGGACCGGCGCTACTGACGCCCGTCGCAAGAGCGAAGCTCCTGTCGAAGAAGACCCTGACGACAAGAACATTCGCTTCACAATTGGTGGCAAGGGCAGGCGCATGACCAAGGCCGACTTTATCAAGGAAATCCAGAAGCTCAACGACGACGACCGCTCCACCGTCCTCGAAGCCTCCAACGCCTCTGACGCTACCAAGGCAGCCGCGCGCCAGCCTAAGGCCCGCCGCGGCACGCAAACAAATATCCCCCGCATCGTGGAGACTGCTGCGGTGGACAACACAGAGCGCCGCAAGGCATCTCCCTCGCCAGCTCGCTCACCTGGTCGCGGTCGTCCTGGCAAGAGTCCAGCCGCGTTAGCCCCTGCTGCCCCAGCAGATGACCTTGAAGAGACACCTGTTGAGCGTAAGCGCCGTCTTGCGGTGCTTGCTAGCCAGACCTCTGAAGAAGAAGCCAAGCCTGCTGGCAAGGCTAGCGCGGTTGTTGAGACGCCTGCGGAACGACGCCGCCGCGAAGCTGCTCTTGGAGCCGCACCAGTGGAAGAAAGTGATAGTGAAGATGAGGGTGGCGAGAGAGTGCCGCCAGCAAGAAGGGGAATTCGGTTTGCGGAGCCAAGCAGACGTTGACGTTAGCATTTAATCTAGCATATAGCACACAGTTGATCCTATAGATTTGTACATTTTGTTTATTCCACTTGTCTTATAGCCAGACAGAATCATACACGTTGTTTTCCAGCATCATAGCCATTTTCACTCGTGTGTCCAGTCATTTGTCTGCTTACATGAAGCGTCTAATGAGCGCACCTTCATGGGTATTACTACGCTGCTCATCCTCTAAGAACCGCGACAGCGTCGGTCTAAGTGTTCTTCTCCTCCTCGTAGACCTCGTCTCCGGTGTCATTAGCTGCATCTGCCTCGCTCGTGCCCTAGTCAACGGTACTTGTCTATCAATCGGCACAGCGTACTTATTCTTGGGCGTTTTGGGAAGTCCACTTGTACTGTTGTCGCCTTCCTTCTTGACTAGTGTTGGGTCCTCGTCGTCGTTCGCTGATGCACCGGGTGTAGTCCATTTCTCGATGAGACTCAGCATACGTTCAGGTGTATGTGGCTGAGTGGGTATACGTTTGAGATTAGGACTGGGAGATCGTGGGGTGAGTATCTGGTTCGGAATAAGGCTGATCGGGGCGTTGAGGCATCCTGAACGGATGGGGAGTGAGTAGGAAACTGGTGGGGGGTTGGCTATGAGGTGAGCGCGGAGTTCTCCGAGGAGTTGCGCGGACGGTGTTGGAGAAGGCGATTCTCTGGATACTGGGGATGGGCATCGTGTGGATGGCATAGAATCAGTTTGTGTTAGACGGGAGTTTTCTTTTCTAAGTCCAGAGGCGGGTGGTGTCGGTTCCATTTGGCGGTCAGTAGAGGGTCAGTCAGAGATGTGCAAGTTGTTAATTTGGTAAAAGAAGTTGTTTTGGGAGATGTGAGCGAGAAATTTGACTGTAACGGAACATTATGACTGGTAAAGTCGTTATATTTATGCTTGTTTGGCTAAGTTTGTCACTGTGAAAAGCTTGATACCGAACAGAACACTTCAAAGTTCCCACCGCACAGTCACCAGAACTCTACCTCTAGCTTTGAATAATCAAAGAATTAAATTCACCGCTTCTATCACTTTCGTTGCACAACCGGACATGAAAAAATTGTGTCGTCATTATGTATGTAGTCGGATCTTATCCATCACGTGCAAGGCTGACTTGACATATTGCCCCTTTCAGCAAGGAGCTTCACGACCTGTCAACCTCACCTCTTTGCGCTCAGCACCTCAAAAGCAAAATGCAATAAAAATATGGGAGACAGCGATGGCGACTCGCCATTTTCCATTACAGCCAATGTTGCGGGCGTTTTGACCTTTGTTGTCGCCATCGCCGCAGCCGTTTACGCCCGCCTGACGTACTTGCGGAACAGCGATGACGAGTACATGCGCGTCAAGCAGAGTCTGGCATGGTACAAGACAGAGTCTACGTGGCTGGGTGACCTGCTGCAGGCACAAAAGACGGCAGCAGACACGTCGCCCTACTACATCAAGGGCCGGCGCGAAGACCAAATGTTTGCGTTTGTCATGGATGACGTTCTCAACCTCGAGCGACGCCTCTTGGAGATTATATCTGATATCGAAGTCAAGGCTGCAACAGCCATGCAATCGAATAATTGGACGGTCCTGCCGCGGACAAAAGCAGGCCGGCCAAGTGTGGCACTAGAATGGCTTAGTGTGCGAGGCAAAGCCATGGAGCTGGTGCGGCAGCGGGAGGCGCTGACCACGCGGGTGCAGTTTTTACATTTGAGCATGATATCGTCGCGGATGGGCGCCGTGGAGCACAGGCTGCGCAGGGCAGAGACGTCGGGGTTGTCGGAGGCACAGACGAGGGTGAATAGCTTCAATTAATCCTAACTTTTGGTCCATCACATGTACTCGTAGCCGTTGATGTATAGAAACAATCCAGCAAGGGCACAGCTGCTGGCTGCCCAGGGAAGATCAAGCTCCAGCACAGCCCAGAGCCAGAGACAGCCGAGGGGTGGTGCTCGCTTCATGTTGGCTAGGTATCCTTTCATGTTGGTTACGTAGATTAGGTAGCAGCCGCTGCATACGCTGATAGCGAAGAAGATGATTTGGGAAGCGGCAGCCTGGTAGCGGAGCGGGATAAAGGGAAGCGGTGTCGGATTGGCCTTGTGCGGGTGTAGAACGTAGAAGATGAAGACGAAGACTAGCTATTGTTAGCAGGGATAGCAGTGAGAGAGGGTCGGTGTATACTACTAACCACACCAAGCTTGGATGGCGCGCCAAATAATGCTGGGCCAGAGGATGGTCTCGCCGTATTGATGTTGAACGAGCACGTCAAACGTAAAGTGCAGCATGGCGAGGGAGACCGTCCAGAGAGCGGCTTCGATGACGCGCTCGGCTTCTGGTGAGAGCATGTCATCAGGATCTGGCTGGGGAGGACGAGGAATTCGTGTTGCTTTTGAAGGCAGAGAGCCATTGTTGGCTTTGCCTTTGTTGGCAGCCATCTTTTCGTCGGCTTGCTGCATCAACTGGCGCTCCTCGGCGAGCTCGATGAATGTTTTGCCGCCAATCTTTGTGCCATCGCGGTCTGGGTGGGCAAGCTTGATTGTGGGTCCGTCTTTGGCCTTGGCCTGCGTTTTTCGTTGTCTAGCCATGATGTGTTTGCCGATGCTGTGCTGGGAATGTGTAAATGTAGTGGTGTCGTCGAGCAATGGAAGGAAAACGTTGTGGGTTGACAGCAGTGACGTCGGGCCAGCGCGTCGACCAATCACCAAGCTCCCCCTAACCTTGGCACTCACTACCAGAGTACATTGCGAACTTGTAAACTTAACTACGTATAAGCTTCATACATGATTGCCTCTTTCCAATTACATAGACAAACTAGTCCATAGTTCTACAATTATATAAACTGATTTTGTTCGTATTAATATAAGTAGCAAGTCTATAAGTCGGATGTGTGCCCACCGTGGCACCGGCAGCTAGTGAACCGCGCTAAAATTTCTGGGGAAGACCGCTGTAAGTGTGTAATTACAACGCGACAGTGACCTACAGGCGCGTTTGGCTGCACTATTACACACAAGTTCCACCAGTAAGAGGAGCCCCCCAAAGCCAAAACAGCCAGACAGGGGACGGACTTGTTCTGTATTCGTTTACTAAGTACACTTGGTAAGTTAGTCAAGTGACCCTTTTTCCCGCTAATTTAGGGGCCGCTTACAGCAGCCAACAGCGCTGCTTTGGGGGCAGATGACGGGGGGCTAATCACGATTAGATTAGGATTGCCAGGGGCTGTTGCTGCTGTGGGCGAACTCGCCAGGTGGCCTTATCTGGGTGCCAGCGGGATGGTTTTCCTTTCTTCTTCCAATTGACGGGTCGCGTGTCTCTGTTCTATTTGCTGTGGAATAGATCTCGGTGGTGTTTTTAATTTATTTCCTTTTTTATTTTTATTTTCGGATCGCCCATCCCTTGCTGTCGAACTTTAGCTGCAGTGCGCCCAGTTTTTTTTCGGGGTAGAGAAGCACGAAGGGGTGCATTGGTGGCATGCAAGAGTAGCCCCTCCGAACATCCCATCACGAAACAACCTTGCCGACAGGGCGACAGCCGCCGCGCGAGTGACGAATACGGCACGATAGACGGTCAATTGACGTCCGAAATCGAATCTATATACCCCTCCGAGTGTCTGCAGCGAGCGACGAGACGACTTCTCTTCTCCCCCCGCAACAGACCGTCACGATGGATCCCACGACTACGGGCGTTCTCTGCTTTCTAGCATTGATGCCGGTGCTGTACATGTACACTGTTGGTGTTGTTGCTACGCGCTTCCCGGCTCTTCGCAACAAGAGAATATGCCTGTTGATTGCCCACCCGGACGACGAGGCCATGTTCTTTGCCCCTACCATGTTGGCTCTCACGCGACCTGAGACTGGTAACCACGTCAAGATTCTCTGTCTTAGCACTGGTAAGCACTTGATAGGCTACTGTGACAATATATGTACACGCGTGCTAACTTGATTGTAGGAAATGCAGCTGGTTTGGGCGAGACGCGGCGCAAGGAGCTCATCAAGAGCGGCATGACGCTCGGGCTGCGCGACGAAGAGGACGTCTTTGTTTTGGATAGGCCGTATGTTTCTGCGCATCTGTGTTCTTACAGTCAATTAGCTAACAGCATATACAGCAACGACTTCCCCGATTCCATGACCGAAACGTGGGAAGAGGCTAAAATCTCCAAGCTCCTCACGGAGGCCTTTGCCCCTCAGCTAGAACGCCAACGCGCCAGCGACAGCGCGAAGCCTACCGCCAACATTGACGTTATCATTACCTTTGACGAAACCGGCGTCTCCTCTCACCCGAACCACATCTCTCTCTACCACGGCGCACGCGCCTTTGTCGGCTCGCTCGTCAAGGGCAAGCCCGGCTGGACCAACCCCGTCGACCTCTACACCCTGTCTAGCGTCAACATGCTGCGCAAATACACCTTCTTCTATGACATGTTTGCCACGCTGGCCACGTTTGCCATGAGCGTGGGCAAGGCGAACAAGGACCACCCCCCGACACTTGTCTTTATGAACCAGCTGGCGGGCGAGGGTGCCTTGGGTACGGCATGGAGCGCCATGACGACGGCACACAAAAGCCAGATGGTCTGGTTCCGGTACCTGTGGATTGGCTTCAGCCGATACATGCTCATGAACGATCTGAAGCGCGAAAAGGTCTAGAGATGGGGGTAGTGAGGGTAGCTGCGGCAGCAGCTCGTGTATAAGATGTACAAATAAGAGGGGAGCGTGTACGTTATGATAATAAAGAATAAAGACTAAAGAATAATAGGATAGAGCGCTTGCTCTCCTTTTATAATCAAATGGGAGTGGAAGCCATAATAACCTCTGACGATCAGCACTGACAACAAAAATCTTGTGTACACGTTAAATAAAATGTGCTGTGTTCTTTAGAGCACTAAGAATGTCAGCCAGAATAAATACATATTTTTCCTACTACTAAATCGGGCTCTTCTACATAAGACTCAAGCTAGCAGTGGAAGACCTGTCGTTAAGAGCCCTGCTGATAAGAGCTATGATAAGATACCGTTAGTCATCCAGCAAGCAGCACTAGCTTGTAGCACCACTGACGACACGCACCGTGATTTACACCACCCGTTTTGGCAAGTGATCGGGTTAATCGTGTTGCCTCAAATCGCTTCCTGTGTCAGTAATGCCCGTCTGATTTGGGTCCTATCTTATTCTCCTGCTTCATCTCCATATTCCACCCTACCAGACATCTCAACCCATCCTTCTCACAGTGTACTGTTGTCTTCTTTCTACAAACACCAGCATATTCTCAGCATCTCGGCCAGTTTCCAGCTCGGCCGGACATGGCAAACTACCTATTCACAGCCCTTGTCCCCAAAGCCCAACGCCCCAATGAAAAATTTCCATGCCAAATAACACCTTTGACCAGTACGTATCTTTTTTTCTTTGCCCATGTAAAATCCTCTAACACGCGGCCGTCTTTAGTGGAGTCCGTAAAGCCGCCTGTGAATTTTTCACGGGCTCCACCAAACGGAGGCAGCCCACAATAACGTGGATGGCCAGAGTCTTGAAGCTTCTCCGATGCAACGCACTCCTTTTTGACGTGTCGGAATCGGCAGTCGACGGCAGTCGTACAGTAGCTTAACCGCCTGTCCAACATCAGACCAGGACCAATGCCTGCATGTCAACACCGCTCAGGAGATGTTTCACCCGGGAGGCATGTAAGTTGGGTTGCAATGCAGCCAGCTAGCGATGGGATATCCGGTAGAGCGCAAAGGCTTGCTTACACGTGAAATGCATGTAAACAAGCCGCCGATTCCAATACAATGCGACTGTACATTCTATTGTCATCCATCGGATGGGACATGGATGGGCAAGTATTACTGTCTCTTACGGTGTAGAACGATGGAAGTTCGGAACATGTCGCTTCACTCGGATGACATGACAGAGCACGCGGCTGGGCGCCAACCACAGCGGTTCGCAAGTAACGGTCAAGAACCGAACAACAAACGAATAATTCCATACTGACTGACAAAGCCATGCTTGCAAGGCTGGACTGAGCAGCCACCACCATCGTGCATCATCAGCCGTCGCTTCCCGCCCATCCAAGCTCGTCAGTCAGTCATATGGATGAAGTCACGCACGCACGCCACAATGACGAGAAGCATCGCGAGCCGTCTGGACTGACAGGTACGGTACACACACACACACCCGGCGAATCATCGTGGATACACTGCAACGCGACCATGCGAGTCCCTTGTCGTGACGCCTTCATTGGGCGTCGATAAACCCGTCGTCTTCCGCAATGAATCACCGGTCATATCCATATACACCTTTGCGTCAGTTTCATCTAATAATCCCAGTCACTTTCACAATGGATGTACAGAGTACGTACAACAGTACGTACCTCTTGTGTTTGTAATTAACACGAGAACAGCATTCATCCACGCCATATGACTCCCAAAAACTTTCACCCATTCCACATTAATCATCCCGCCCGTCATTAATAATTAAAGAAAAATGGAATTTCTTCGGCCCTTGTCTCTTTCCAGCCCTGGTATTCCCGATCGAGGCATATCGAGCTAAAAGCTTGGCCGTGCATCGAAACGTGGGAGCCACTTTTTTGTCTGGACGAACCGAAAAAAAAAAAAAAACCTTTTATTCCCTGGGCCATCATTTTTTTGCTCTTTGTCTAGCCTCCCGTGCAGTGTGTGTGCCTCCCGATTGGCCCTGCGTTGTTCGGGCCGCCACCGCCGGTGGATCGAGGCACACACATGCGCGACGGGCTCAGCGGCCCAGTGCGCTGCAGGGCAGGGAAGAGTTTTCGTAGGCGGCTCTGCGGCCCAGCAACAGACCAAGCCCAGCGCAGGTACTAACGTACGGCCTACGCTAGAGGATCCTACCACTCCCGCCGGGTGGAGCCTGGGCGCTGGCACAGCCCATTGTTTGAAATTTTTCAGCGGCCACGCAGCGCTGTGGCCAGGTTTTTTACAGGCTCTGCGCTCGGCTGGCGGCGGGCATTGGCGGCACCGCTTTGGATTCGCGACCAGGATGGCGGTGGCACGTCCACCTAGCGCCGGGTATGCTAAAAATAAAAGAAAAAAAAAGATTTTTTTTATTTTTTTTCTTGACCCGTCGTAAGGTACAGGTAGGCCTGACATTGAACGATCCACGATCAGGACATGGAAAAGTCTTTGCCTTTGCAAATGTATATATAGGCCCCGTCATCACCACGTACACCTCTCTTTTTCCTATCATCAAACCGAACAAACACACTCTTCCCACTCTTCCTTATTCCTCAATCACACTTACAAGCATTTCCCGCTTACAACCCCCACAAACCAACCTTCAAAATGTTCGCCTCCGAAGCCGTCTTCATCGCTGCTTACAAAAAGCCCACTCTCTACACCCCTTCCACCTCTGCTACCAACTCGGCTGCTAACTCTCGCCGCCCTTCTGCCTCTGCTGCCACCACTGAGGCTGCCCAGAAGAAGAAGAACGACCATGTTCTTGCCTCTGCCGCCAAGATCCTCGCTGGCCGCCCCGGCATCGACCGCAACGGCTCTTTCCTCCGCGCCATGTAAAGCGGCTCTCTCCTGATACCCCTTTGACAGGAGTATCACGACTGCAATAAGCTTTTAGGCTTTACTTCTCTGCATTTGAAAACAACAATCATTCATAGCGACAACAACATGGGACAACGGATACAAAAAAGTTTTTTGGAATTTGAAACACACACTCTCCTCTCTTCTTGAAAGAAGACGATTTGGCAGGGATTTTGGAATGACTTAATGAATACACATCTTTAATACACTCTTAATACAAAACCCATTTTTACTAGCTTTACGATGCTCTGCATCTGCGGCTAGACAACACCCTACCAAACAAAAGTTCCTCTTTCTGCAAGTGATGGCTGCCTCCCTACCTAGCCCTGACAGCTCCCGATCGATTTGACTTACACCGGCGAAGAAAAAAAGGCACCGGCGCCACCATGCGGCCTTGTCTTCGGGCAACTTCCGCCACCAAAAAAAAATACGACAAGCAGACACGAAGTCGGCCGATACAAAAAAGGTGATAGTAAAGAAATGATTAGGAAAAAAGTTTCATTAATTCATGTATACAGAATTCCAGGTTGGTTTTACATTTCAAAAGCTTCTCTTCTTCTGTACCTTGTGGTCCTTGCCGTCGCTGCGGCCCATGAGTTGGCCGAGAGCATGCCCAAGCTTGTTCATACTTCCTCCTTGACCCGGGCCAACACTGCTAGGCCTAGGCGGTGTTGCGGGAGTAGGAGGAGCAAGGCCGTGTCCAGTTGGGCCGGTGTACCATCCGCCATTGGAGGGCGGAGGTGCGCCGGAAAATGCTGGTCGTGGAGGTAGAGCAGGGCCTGCATCGTTGAAGCCGTATTGTTTGCGCAAGCGTTCCGTTTCCTTGTCCACCTCAGCTTGTCGCCGTTGTCTTTCCTTCTCCTCTTTGTCCAACATCTTGCGAATGCGTTTTGCTTCTTCTTCGTCGCGGCGGTCCCTGTTCTGCGCTAGACGCTCCTCCTCTGCCACGAGAGCTTTTAATCTTTGCGTCTCGGCATCAATCTCAGCCTGCTGGCGGGAGTCTCTAGGGGGCATGTGAGAAGGTAGCGGGCCTGGTGGTGGTGGTGCAGAGAATCCAAGAGCACCTGATGCATATACTTCGGTCGGTTGAGCAGGAGGAGGGCGACTCGTTTGCGGTATGTTGGGTCGCCTACTGTCGACTGGAGGAGGGCCACCCGAGGAATTAAAGAGATCTTGTTTGGGAAGCAGATAAAGATCCTTGATCACTTCTGCTGTCAGCAGAAGAATAAGATCCAGGCCCTTGCGATCCTCTACCTCGACTCGCGCCATGTTCGGCTCGTAGATGGTGACCGCCGTTGTGTGCCTGCTCGCCCGGAACATGGCGACTGTGATATCCGGTTCCTTGCTTTTTTGCCCTCCCACACTTCGGCCAGTCATGTAGCACGTCATGTCCTTGTTCAGCTTGCTATCGCGCTTCCAGCGGAACAAGACCTTCGGCGTAAGCTCTGATATTCTGTTGTTTCCGCTCTCTTGATCCAGCTGGCTTCCGCTCGGCGTCTTGAATGTATGTTCGGGAACTTCAAACTCCCAAGAGTCAGACTTTGTCCATTTGCTCTGCAGGCACTTGACGTCAATTGTCTGATCGGGGTTGTAAAGCAAGATCGAGAACGCCTCGGGGATGATTGGGATGACGGTGCTGGCCCCATTCTGCGCACGAAGCTCGGCAGCAGATAACGTAGGAGCAGTCCACTCTGGTTGAACGAGGACCTCGCCGTATATTACAGACGAGTAGTGAGGGTCAACCAGCCCAACCGCGTATACATTTTTAGAGGTCGCAGGATCGGGGTGCTTGATGACGTAGTCGATGACCGGGTCGGAGCCGTTGTGCGAGAAATAGAGGAGTGTGTGAAGTGGATTGTCGTCGGATGCTTTGTATTGGTAGGTCGGAAGGCTATCTTCAAGCATGGCGGGCAAGTTAGCGAGCTATCTGCCGTTTGTAGCCAAAAGCTATTTCACAGAGCAGCAGGGGTCGGCGCGGGGACTGTGCGTTCTTGTGCTGATAGTGCCAGTGGTAAATTTGCAAACGCTAGGAAGTAATAAATACAAAAGTAGAAGTAGAATGCCAAAGGGGATATCAATAAAGGGGGAAATTTGCCAAAATAGAATGCCGTAGTGTAGCTGGAGGAGGGGAGAAGTTGGAGCTTGCGCGGCTGCGGCTATGCGACACGACGACGTCAGATGCGAGGCGGGACAAAGCGTTTGCTGCGCCACGCTGGCTTTCTGCGGGCACCTGCCTGCCAGCTGCAAGCCAGGTGTAAGCCAAGGCGTACCAGCTGGCAGCAGACCGTGCCACAGCAGAACATCTGTGAAGCGATAATAATTTTGCCGGCAAATTTCCAACTTCTCTGCCAAAATAGAAGCTTCATCACAATCATCAACCAACCAAAGTGTTTTTTTTTTCGCTGCTTGGTCCTGCACGGAACCGCTTCACCGCGCGGTGTACCGTGTCCCAGCCGCCCCAACACCCATGAAACCCGGCCAGGTCACATCTTGTAACCTGCTGGTCGAGAACAAGTATTTGGCGGCGAACATTCGTTGTCATATGGTTGTTGAAGCCATTTCTGGAGCTGTACCGCGGTGCGTCCCGTATCCAATTCCATTTCCATGACCATATGGGTGATTCTGTTCGTACATTTGGCTGCGCCGGTGTATTATCCTTGATACTGGCTCTTCTTCTTCTCGTTGTCGCTCACGGATACCCAACCGCTGTCGAATTCTAGTGCCGTAGGGAAGATATTCCCATTTCATGCGTTTGACACATGGATACCAGCAACAGAAAATAATACCAAAAGGAAGCCCGAGAATGACCCCAATAAAGAAGCCGCGAATAATCCGTTGTCCCTCGTTGCCGTCAGTGAAGATGTGGTTGATGACACTCTGAAGAGCTTCTTGCGTTGGTGGAGAGCTCGCCATAGTGATTTGCTATTTCCTCAAGATGTTCAAATTTTGACAAGAAGAGGACTAGGAAGAAGCAAGTAGATATGCCACAAAATTTAAAAAAATCCCCGCCAGCTGTTCGTCTTTCGTGGCCTCTTACTAGCTCCGACGTTGTGCTGCATGTCCCAAGCAATGCATCTAGCACCTGGTGCTGCCAGTGTTACGTCCAATGCAGCCCAAGACGATATAGATTTCGTTGCACACGTGTGTCCACCCGACCTTTGGTGGGAGAATCTGCACAAGTCAGCCTAGTGCCTTTACATCGCCAGTGCGTAGTGTCGCAACGGGGGGTTGGGCTGATACCGACCGTTGCAGCCATGACTGATGGGATGGTACAGTGCACGAGCATCATACGGGATTCTTTGCATGGTAGATCTGAGTCTTTTTGAATTCGTTATATCTAAGGAGTCTAAGCATTCTACTTTTATCAATCATCTTCGTTTCCACCATTATAGCCCCATTTTGCAGCCACATATTTGTAAACCACCCTCAACAAATACACAAAGGAAAGTATCTAGCATAGAGTCGTATACAGCATGTCGTACATCATTTTTTCATCGTCTACTTTTGCATAACCGTAAAGTCAAATACCTCTACTGGTACTTGGCCCACATGTCAGGCCAAACCAGAATGGTACTGACAAGCATGCCATAACCAATGGTAAGGTCGCTCACAGCCACCCAGCCAATGAAGCTTGCGGGAAGCGCCAAGTCGATGACATCCGCACTAAGTTTTCTCAAAAGTTGGCTGGCAGAGGGTCCAGTGGAAGCGGGCTGCGCTTCGGGGCGCTTCTTCTTTCCTTGGCCGCCAGTGGTAGCCTTGGTCTTACTGGGGCTAAACAACAGTAGCGCCAGCGTTCGAATGATAGAGGCAGCAATAGCGTAGAACCAGAACTTATTGGCCTCAACAAGTACAGGGTTGTACCAAGATACCTGCCAAATTTGCAGATCATGGAGCTTGAAAAATCAGGTTAGCTGCTCATGGAGGGGGTCAGGGAAAGGCACAAGTAGCTTACCATGGTAGAGTTTTCAATGACGAGGTACAATCCCAGACAAGTAGCCTCGACAAGATCCATTAATGCCGCAATAGTACCCAAGGCTTTGCCCTGGGTAGTGAAGATTTGGTACGCGCTGTGAAAGCAATCGAGGAAGCAGAAGAAACGGAGATAGCGGCGACCTAGCGGTGTTAGTTTGGTAACTGGCTACACTATTTCCGATGGATTAAATACATACCAAGGTTGATTTGCATGTTAGCCATGCTGTTCATAGCAATAGTCTGCTTGTCGGTGCTAATTTCAGCACCAATGATGACCAGCGAATGCAGCAGCCTCAAGGTCAGGTCAAGACCGGCGGTTGAGTTGGTAAAGTTTGCCAGCTGCTTTGGCCATGAAGCCTTTTGTTTTCTGACTTCTGCCATTTTGTGAATTGGTTATATTACCGCAGGAAATACAATGTGACTGATTTGTATGTGTTGGATGAAGATGGGTGGTTGAGGTACTTTACGGTGAAAGGCGGCAACGCTAGTGTTGGGCTCCCAGCCACTTGGACACTGGTTGAATGTCAGACTCCAACACAACAATACCGCGAACGATCTCGCACTCAGGAAGAGACAATGCATATTCAATTGCGGTATAAGTGTGTTTCGAACTAATTCCCAACAATGTATATTTACATATAGGTGCAGATGCAGCTGCAAATAGAAACCACCTTTGGCAAGTACACAAATCAGTTCTTTTTAGCTGCCACAATTTTTTTTTTTAAAAAATTTAAAAAATTATGCAAACCATATTGATACTCGTCTAGACCTGTCAAAGCACTAACTTATTTAGTAATAATATCTAACATTCTTCCACCCTGCTGCGGTACGCGTTCGCCTGCACATTGAAATAAAAAGCGGGGCGTTCCACGATAGGAAATCCTTATCGGCTGCCAAACCAAACCTTTCCACGCCTCGCAACGTCAGTCCAGCGCATCACGAGTCTCTTTTCTTCATCCATCTCGCACCACCAATTCATCACCAACAACATTCAACCACCCCTTTAACCTTCTTCAAAACCACCCTACACACAACCTTCAAAATGGACATGTAAGGCATCTCCTGCCACTCGCCTGTCGCCGCACCACCGCACTCCCCGTCAACCAAGGGGGGCAAAGCGAACAGAACGAAACACAACCAAAAGCACAACAGCTAACCCAGCACAGGTTGACACAAGCCGAGCAGCGCACCCTTGAGCAGCGCATGCAGAAGCGCCAGGTCAAGGAATTCATGGGCGTACGTCTACACCAGCTCCGTCTTGGCGGTCCCGCGCCAAAAGGGGCACCAACATGCTAACCCATCTCCGTTTCTAGGCCTTTGGCGGTCTCGTCGAGCACTGCTTCACATCCTGCGTCGACGACTTCACCTCCAAGTCCCTGTCTACCCGCGAAAACGGCTGCATCAACCGCTGCGTCCTCAAGTGGATGGCTACCCAGCAGCGCGTCAGCGATCGCTTCCAGGAGCACAATGCCCAGCTCACCCAGCAGATGGCCAACAAATAAACAAACCACGAATTGAAATAAATACATGGAGGACGAGGCTGTTTGAATATCGGAAGACCTGCTGTATGATATAAAGACAAAAATAGGGTTCGGGGCTTTGGCGGCGGGATATTACTACTGTACTACTAGACAAGAAAATATGTCAGATCTGGCCTCGCGAAGAAGAGCTAGATTCTGGAACAATATATGCATTTCCACTTTACGATATTACATGTTGCTCGACAAAAGGTCAACGTAGAAAACATATCATTGCTGTCTACCGTGAATGCATGTGACTAAAATAATACAAAAAAAACTCCCAAAATAAGATTTCGTTCCCAAACAAGATCCGTTCATCCTCCCGTCTATCAACTTGCTTGTTGTGGTCAGTTTTGACCAAATCAGGATGCAAACTCTTCGCTGAGTACGTCGCGCACGACTTCAAGCTGCGCAACAATCTTTTGCTCGAGCAGGTTGTCACAGCCGTCTTCAGTAACCTTGGTTCCTCTCCACTCCATCTCTCGTTGTCCAAGAGGGAGGAGACGTTCCTTTAGCAGACGTCTGCTAGAGAGCCAATACTCCACATTCTCTAGAAGGCCAGGAGCATCCCATTCCACAGCAGGAATGTCGCGGTTGTTGTTTGCTCGCAGAGCAGTCAGGACTCTTGTCAAGAGGGCCAGTGAGTGTGCTTCCGATGTCGCAAGGAGGGTTAAGTAGCGTTCGGTTCCTCTGGTGCTTGTTCGGCTGGCACCCGGCGCCTCGAAACGATCGATGCTAGCCTTTAAGAGGTGGGAGAACTGGTTCAAGATGTATGCAATCTCGGGGGCAACAGCTGCGCCAAGAGACGTCAAGAAGTTGAGCATCAGAGGTAGCAGACCCTTGACCCAGATTGCGTAGCTACGTTGCGATACAGGAGCGTCCGAGTTGGGGGACACGTTTGTCTTAAGCATGAACTTGGTGATGTTGGCAGACATCAAATTGCTCAGAATACCGTCACAAGCAAGCTGTTCGGCGATGGAAGACATAGTGGAAAGCTCGAGGAGAAACAAAACACTAAGTTCACCGTATACTGGATCGCCGTTGATGGCAAGCTGGTCGGCCCACGAGAACAGTGACGTGGCAGCGTTGACGACGTCGTGAGACGCCATAATATTGAGGATTTGCGTTTGTGCTTGCTCGATGTTTGGCAGACAGAGGCAAGCCTGTGTAATAGCTGTCAGGAGGCCAAAGTCTTCGGGATAAATGCCACTGTCACCGTCGTGTACCAGGCTGACCAAGGCTCTAAACCCTCGGCCAACAACACTATCCAACAGGTTGAGGACAATTTGTGTCACTGTAACTGTCGAGCTTGCCAGGTTGCTTTGGCCTTCGCCATCGCTCTTGTTGTCGTGAATCTGATAAGCTCTCAGCGTAACGAAGAGTGCCTTGAGCAGCGTGCGGTAGTATGAGATGGAGCCGCTAGCAAAGGGCTCATCAACACCATTCAGTGTACCAGCAAGGGTAGACAGGAGTTGGTTGATGTCTTTGATAGGTAACTTGGATCGAGCTAATCTTTGAATCAGCACAAGAGCTAGGTTGGCTCGCGATTCAACCAGCTTAAGGAAGATGCTCTCTGGGCCAGGTACACCTTGGTTGGCATTCAAGCACTGTTGGGCCACTTGAAGCATTTGCTTAGCAACTGTGGCATCGCCAGGAAGAGCAGCGCTCAGCTCAACTAGCAAGAACTCCCAAGAATGGAATAGAGCAATTTGAGCATCTACAAGCGCGAGGTTCGCATTGGCCAGTTCCATTTCATTCTTGAATCCGTTCGCCTTCTTTCCAAGCCAGTTGGCATCAAAGCTCAGCATCTTGTCGGCGCGAGCAAGGTCGTAATAGTATGAAGTGCCCAGTTCACGGGGTTCAAGAAGACTCTTCTTGAAGTTGTCAACACTGCATCCGTAGTACTTCTTCGCAAAGTTCTTTGCAAAGTTGGCATGCAACGATTTGTTATATCCGGCAACCTCAACACCATCTCGCAGGAAGTAGTCCAGGTCACCAAGGAGACTCTTGGCCAGTGACTCGGCATTGCCCAAGTGACGCACATGGTAAAGTTGCATAGCAAATGTTTCGGCAACGTAAGCAGCAATTCTCGCTTCCCGGCTAGCTTTGATGGCATCAGAGCGTGCCGTGACGCTCGATGGTCGAAGATCGTGCATATATCTTCGCAGGCCCTCTACGTATGATGTGTCCTTTTGCAACGTAAACACTGTCCACGGCCAGTAATTCTGTGCTGATGCAACAAAGTCACATACGGATAGCGCCTCTGTAGTTTCCACAAAGCCGAGAACCTTGAGCTTACTCAAAGCTGTGGCAAAGACAGCATGGTCCGCGACTTCTTTAGTCTTCGCATCCTTCTTCATAGCCTCACGAGGCGTTTGGCCAGTGAGTAGACAGTTTGACATCCATTGTTGGCGATTTCTCAGAATAGACGAGAAGAACTTCCAAACAGTTTTCACATCCTCAGGCAATACAAAAGGCTGCGCAAGTGTTGCTAGGATACTCAGGAATGACTTGGAGACTTGCGGTCCAAGATATCCGAGAAGAGAGGGGGGCTCATTGGAGGATTTGCCAGCGTTTATGACTAGGGCTTGGAGTAGGTGTAGTGTTGGGGTGCGAAAGATATCGGATGTGGCGCAAAGGCGAGCGAGCAACGTTGAGCTCTTGAAAAGATAGGACTCGAGCATCGTAGAGGACTTGTCCATAAAGTTGGCGACGCGCAATAAAGTCGTACAGAAGCTCAGCACCGAGGTCAGCTGCTGGCGGTCAATGTTGAGCATCGCTTGTGACAATGAAGATTCCGTATTGAGGAAGGCAGTGACGAAGGAGGATAAGATAGGTTGGAAGCGAAGAGTGCCGGAGGACGGCGAGATGAAGCAGTCAATAATGTACGATGCCGCTGGACGGAGACTTTTAGTCAAAGTTTCGGAGGTGGCAGAGTCACCCATGCTATACGCATAGATAATGAGCTTATCCAAAATCGGTGCAACACTGCCAAGCAATAGGGTCCTGTTCGCTTCGGACTCAAAGCGCCAGGTTGTAGTATTCTCAAAAACATCAACAGATACATGGGCAATGGACTTGCTGACATTAGAGAGAACCTTATCAGCAGTTCCAAGCCAGGCATTGTGTTCTTGCTGTCGGCTTGACGAGTTGTTGCCAGCCTTACGTTGGACACCAGAAGCAAGAGCAGTATCAATCAAGTCGCCAAAGAATTTCAGTGACGAATTGAGTAATTCGAATCTTTCTGATACAAGATCGAGACTACCAGTGATTTTGGTCAACTTTCCAGCACGAGATTCGGTGCCCAGGAGTTCACATCGTGCCAAGTACGACCACACTCGGCTCGGTTGAGCGGGGAGAACAGCATCGAGGAATTCGATACAAGCAGTGATGACGTTGATGGCCGAATCTTCGTTCATGGCCAATTCATCTTGCATGTAATAATCCATGGTGTCGCAAACAACAGTAACAATGTCTTTTCCACCACTGATGTGTCTGCTAGCCTCTGCGAGAAGATCATCATCCTGGCTAATGAGGGTGCCAGCGTTGCCCTCCGAGTTAAGACTTTCCATGCGGAAGATGATGGCAAATAGGGAAATAACTTCTGCTACGTCTTCCTGTTGAAGACTGCCGACAAGGCTTTGGTAACCCTCCTTCATAAGGCTAATTTCCAGAAGACGGCCGAGGAGCGAGATTGCAGAATGGGGGTATTCCATTAAAGCGACCTTGCCAGAATCAGTAATGAAGCGACCATAAGTTCCAACTGGTAAACGGTAAGCTTCGTCATCAATGTAGCGTCTCTTCCACGAGGAAGACAGTGTGATGAGAGGAAGTTCTTCGATCAGGGCAAATGAGTTGGTGTTCTCATCCTCTTGGACTAGCTCAAATCCTTGGAAGTCATCTGGAAGTGTGAAGGTTATGCTTGGAGTGCTACGAAGTAGGTCAAGAACAACTCCAGCTCGCTCGTCACCAGCTCCGTTGGCTGCAGTGCAAATCGATCGACAGAAGCCAACAAATGGCAAGAATTCGTATGGGAATCGATCCAGCGCTTGGCGGAAATAAAAGTCCATGATATGATCGTCATTAAGCATGGATTGAATGGTGTCCTGAGAGGCATCGAGCGATTCCTTCGATGTCAAATCCCAAAACTTTCGGCCAGGCGAGAGCAGAGATAGCAAGCTGCCGACTGTATCAGACTGGTAGCCAACGAAAGGATAAGACACTTTGAGCAGTTCCAGAAAGACTATTCGTACTCTACTGCCAACAAAGGCAGTCAAGCAGCCGCTGTTGTTAGGGCCAAGGCTCGCGGACATGTCCGAAATAATATCGAAAACTCTACCATTGACAGTAACGCTTGCTGCAAGTTGTTCAACAACTTGCATATCTCTCGGGGTGGTAGCATTCTCTAGGAAACCATCAAATTTTGAGGACTCAATGGAGTACATGGATCCTGCGGAGTTGCGACGACCGAGAGTCGGACGAATGACAGCACCGGTTTCAAACGTTTCTCGAGCATTCTGGTGTAGCAAGTTGTCGCGCTTCTCGGTTCTGTTGTGGTACGACGCATTCATTCTATGCAAAATCAGAGTCCATGCGAGGATGGCAGGGCTAGCGCTTTCCAGATCCAGGCTTGCAGCATTAATAATGCTCTTATGAACTTGTTCGAGGACGTCTGAAGACAAGAGGTATGAGTCGTATGAATCGTCCGCTTGGGTCGCATCTTCTTCTCGTTCGGCAAAGTATGTTGAAGCGCGTGCAGGTTGGAGGAGAATGATCGATATTGCTGAGCATAGAGTCTTTAGCGGTGCAATCGCGCCAGCAATGGACGGGTGGATAGCTTGTACCGAGTCGAAGAATCGGTACATTTCCATCAAAGAGAACCATTGGTTGACGATATTTGACTGTGGGAAATGTGCGCCAAGCGAATCGACAAGCTGGTAGATGACGGAGAAAGCGTGAACTGTCTCTGTTAGGAGGGTATGCAGAAAGTCGATCTCTGTTTGCTCGGACACGACAGTGCTGTCATCAGTGATGGAGGCCAGCCCCGATTCTATAACACTGGTGCTATTTGTGACAACCTTGAAGTAGGCAGGAAGTAGTTGGTCGATGTCGTCTCGGAGGTTGGAGCTGATCTGAAATCTGTACTTTTCGCCGAGCTTGTCGGCGCCGTCAAAGTGAAAGGGGAATCGATTGTACAGCTTCAATGTGTTGGCATAATCCATCGCCATCATAAAGCTTCGTCGTTCTTCTAGGAATATGCTAAAGAGACGTCGGCGTCGTGATTCGGGCTTTTCGAATTCCGCAGCGATTTCATCGGCGTCTTGGGCAGCAGAAGCACCCAGGTTGGACAGGAAGACAGTGCCCTGTCCTTCACTAAGACCTGCAGCCTCTTGGAGATTCGTTGCATCCTGGGCAGATAGAGGGCCTAACAAGTGTCTAGTCGATCGAGACTGGCGTTCGACAACAACCACGCGCAGAGCAGCTGTCAGGTTGACCTTGCCGTTCTTGCTCAGCCATTCTGCGTCCTCCTTGAGTTGTTTGATATCGACATGCTCGGCGGTGGCTGATGTTGTGTTTATTGGGGCTGTTTTCGTCTCGAAATCTTTTCTCGTGCCTTCGTCCGGGGCGCAAAATGCACGCGCTGGGTTTTTCAGCAGGGACTGCACAAAGTCGTCGGCGAAGAAGTTGCACATGGGGGTGCTTGATTGTCGTTGGCCGGAGGCATCAGAGAGAGCTGTGGCAACAAGCTTCCATGAGCTGTGTATTGTCACAACAAGTTAGCAAGCAGCGGGGATTAGGAAGCTGGAGAAGTGCGCATTGTTTAGCTTACAGAAGAACCGCCTCTCCAGCCAGGCAGTCCTGGAGGGAGGGGAAATAATTGCGATCAGATACCGGTGCCATTGCCACGGATTCGTTATTCAAGTGGCAGTGGCACGCGCAGCATCACCATGGAAAATATAAAAGGGGGTGGTGAAGAGGCGCTGGTGATGGTTTGGCGGAAGTGGTGTATGCTGGACGCGCCAATCGCGAACCTTTACACAGCCAAAGCTCTTGGTGGTTTTTGCTGCTAGCAAACTTAGGCCCGCCATTTTTTTGGGCGACGCCGGAAGAACCGAAGTTCCGCCGACTATAGCATGGCCCAGAGCATAGCAAGCCATGTTCTTTTTACAACATAAAAATATAATAGAAAATGATTCTGTATTTTTAATTCATATGTGTGTGGTTTCCTACTAGTATTTATTATTCTAGTCTGCACTTATAGTATATCTGTCATTGCAGTACCCAGAGACGGTTCACCGGTGTGGAAGTGATGCATACCTGTTTGGACAACAGCCCTTGTGTTACCAACATATTTTTCGTGTGTGAAAAATGCAATTGGACAATAAACTACAAAAATATTACATAAACGGCTAAGTGAAATACTCTTGAAATAAGATATAATAAGCTACTGTTCATAATCCACGCCCTTCTACATACACTTCACCACACCACGCCCTATTGCACTAAGACCCGGTTGGGGTAGCCCGCTACCGGCATTGAAGACTCCGTGCGCAGATCCACAAATCACACTGTTTAAATATCATACTATCTCACACCAATATACAGTGTCAGATTAACCATACACGGCTACTTCAACAATTGTGCACCATCGGTGCTTGACTCACTTGACCCGCAGCGCCACTTTGTTCAACTCCAAAAACATCCCACGCTACTTCAACTGCTGTTCGACGCCTTTTTTTTTCTTGGAGAAGCGAACAGACTTGACATTTCTTTATTCCGTCAACGCAATCCGTCTTCAAGATGCCGTCTGCAGATCTAATTGATCACTCGGCCCAGCAGGTCGAGCCCTGCGCTCCAGTGGCCACTGCTTCTAACCTTATCATGATTGACAACTATGATTCTTTTACCTGGAACATCTACCAGTACCTCGTCCTGGAGGGCGCTACCGTTCACGTCTTCAGAAACGACAAGATCACATTGGAGGAGCTCATCGCCAAGAACCCTACCCAACTGATCATTAGCCCCGGTCCCGGTCACCCAACCACCGATTCCGGTATTAGCAGAGATGCTATTAAGCACTTTGCTGGCAAGATTCCCATCATGGGTGTCTGCATGGGATTGTAAGCTTCTTTATTACAAACATTCTCATCAAGTCTTCTAACACGTGAAATAGGCAGTGCATTTTCGACGTCTACGGTGGCGATGTTAGCTCTGCAGGCGAGTGGCTGCACGGCAAGACTTCACCTCTCACTCACGATGCCAAGGGTGTATTTGCCGGCTTGGAACAGGAAATCCCAATCACTAGATACCACTCGCTTGCTGGTACACAGATGACGATGCCTGACTGCCTACAGATGACTTCCTGGGTTGCCAAGCCTGACGGTACTCCTGGTGTTATCCAGGGTGTCCGCCACAAGGAATACACTATGGAGGCTGTTCAGTTCCACCCCGAGAGTATTTTGACCGCTAACGGTAGAATCATGATCCGCAACTTCCTTCACATGCAAGGCGGTACCTGGGAGGAGAACAAGAAGCTCCAGAGTGCTGCTCCTGTGGCTTTGCCCGTTGGTAGCGACAAGCCCAAGTCAAACAACATTCTCCAGCAAATCTACGCAAACCGCCGCGCTGCCGTCGAAGCTCAGAAGCAGATTCCCTCTCAAAGAATGTCAGACTTGCAGGCAGCATACGATCTCAACGCCGCTCCTCCACAGATTCCTCTTATCTCCCGCTTGCGCCAAACACCCTTTGATGTTTCGCTGATGGCTGAAATCAAGCGTGCCTCTCCTTCCAAGGGCATCTTCGATCTCTCTATCAGTGCTCCTACCCAGGCACGCAAATATGCCTTGGCTGGCGCTAGTGTCATCTCCGTCCTCACCGAGCCTGAGTGGTTCAAGGGCAACATCGAGGACCTCCGACAAGTCCGCCAGGCTCTCGATGGCATGCCCAACAGACCTGCCATTTTGCGCAAGGAGTTCATCTTTGACGAGTACCAGATCCTGGAGGCCCGTCTCGCCGGTGCTGACACCGTTCTCCTCATTGTCAAGATGCTCGATGTCGAAACCTTGGAGCGTCTGTACAAATATTCGCTTTCTTTGGGAATGGAGCCTTTGGTAGAGGTTCAAACCGCTGAGGAGATGACTATTGCCGTCAAGCTCGGATCCAAGGCTATCGGTGTGAACAACAGAAACTTGGAAAGCTTCGAAGTAGACATTAACACAACCAGCCGTCTGCGCAGCATGGTTCCCGAGAACACCATCATCTGCGCCCTGAGCGGTATCAACAGCTATGCGGATGTCACCATGTGTAAGAACGACGGTGTCAACGCCGTTCTTGTCGGTGAGGCCATCATGCGTGCTCCCGATGCCAGCGTCTTCATCAGCGAGCTTTGCTCAGGAGCTCCTCCTGCCGAGAAGAAGCAGGCCGTTCCGTCTCTCTTTGCCAAGATCTGTGGCACACGAAGCGCCGAAGCTGCCCAGCGCGCAATCGACTCCAAGGCCAACATGGTAGGCATGTGCCTCGTCCCTGGTGCTAAGCGCTGCATCTCCCATGAAACCGCCCTCGCCATCTCCCAGACCATCCACTCCAACACCTCTTCTCTCGACATCAAAGCCACTCCTTCCGTGTCTGCTACCGGTGCTACCGACTTCTTTGCGTCTGCATACGAACGCCTGTCCAGCTCGCGCACTCTTCTTGCCGGTATCTTCCAGAACCAGCCTCTTAGCGAAGTTTTGGAGAAGCAAAAGCTCTACAACCTCGATATTGTCCAGCTTCACGGTGACGAGCCTATCGAATGGGCAAGCCTAATTCCCGTCCCAGTTATTCGCGCTTTCAAGCCTGAGCACATTGGCATTGGCCTTCGCGGCTACCACACCATCCCTCTGCTTGACTCAGGTGCTGGATCTGGCAAGCTAATTGATGTTTCCAAGGTCAAGACTGTGCTTGAGAACGACCCTGAACTGCGCGTCATTCTTGCCGGTGGTCTTAACCCCGATAATGTTGTCGAGGCTGTTAAGGCTCTAGGTCCTCTTGCGGACCGTGTCATTGGTGTCGATGTCAGCAGCGGTGTCGAAGAAGATGGAAAGCAGAGTCTCGCCAAGATTGATGCATTCGTCAAGGCGGCCAAGTCATTTCGATAGATTATAATCATCAAAAGTACAAAATAGAATATTTTAATTTTAAATATCCAACATTACTCTGCCACAGCTTCAATCTTCATCGTGTCGTGTAATTGTCCACAAACCATCCACGGTGAGGCAAGACAGCGTGCTCGACTGCCAGTTAACCGGTGATTTAACTCCCACACACCAACAAGTTGCGTTAGACACTATTTACAGAGATCGTTAGCCTTCCTCTAAAGAATCATCTCCCTCTTCCCAAAATCTCTTCCTCCTACACCATGCATTACCATCATGTCATTTCTAAGAAACCTCGTCATCACGACGGCCGGTACCCTCCCCGACCAATATACTCCTGAAAACTTGAGTAAATGGACGAAACTCTACAAAGGTCAGTTTACGGCAGCCTTTAATGCCAAAGTGACCCATATTCTTTGTACACGCGAACAGTTTAACAAGCGTCTTGGTCCAAGTAAGCATTCCATCACCATGCTCCTCCACCCGAACTGACATTTGGGAGTTAAAATAGCACTAAAGAATAAAAAGATCCAGATTTTGCATTATGACTGGTACATTGAGACTTTATTCTACAAGAAGCGGAGACCACCAGCCGAGTTCTGCATGCGGAGCGTTCTGGCGCTTAAACGAGAGAAGCGGAAGAAAGAAGAGCTCCGGCAAAAGGGTGCCCTGGATTATCAAAGAGGTGCCATAAACAAAAGTATACTTCACAGATCTCTACTAAATGGTAAAACGACTAAGCTATTTTAGCCATGTACCATGTCTACACGGATCAACACTTCTTCCCGTATCAAATAGACCTAACACGCGACTCGACAACCGGTGAAAAAGGTCAACGATATACTCTTACAGTAAGTCACTTCTCCTTCCTAACCGTTGGTTATGTAACTTGAACAGCCTCTAGCTCTGGGAATCCAATGCGCAGCCTCACTTATACTGGTTCCTCGCCAAATTTCTGCGCAAAAGCGGCGACTCGCAACCCGGTTTCCATCGTCCGAGTGACTGTTCCGGCCAATTCGATATTGAACTGGACCATTTCAAGGCGTTCTTCAAAGCCAAAACAGGTGTAGATTGGAAAGATCGGGTTGTAAAAGAAGGCACAACGCCAGATACCTTCTTCCAATACGCCTGTCCAGTAAGTATGGTATTTATCTTCGCATAGCATCCATCTAATGTATATCAGAAAGGAGGTAAGCCAGTTGGTATGGGCCTAAGATTCAGCTACGATTACTGCCTAGAACTGAATGCGCAATTACTTGGAAATAATAGCACAATGGTCGAGACGGAGAAGCATGAAGACACACATGCGTCAGATTCTAAGGAAACTCACGCTCGAGATACATCTATTTAATAGGCTTCTATTGAATACAGTGTTCCTTTTCCATCATCCATCCGTTTGTACATTAAGCGTTCATTATAGCATTACCTAAAACCGGAGTTTCGGGAAGACAAACACAAGCAGGACCAGAGATAGCATGAGTCCATAGACCCAAGCATACAATACAACTCTTCCCCACCATCCCTTTCCTTCCGTCATCTTCCTCAGTGTGCCCATTCTCCCTCTTGCACTCTCCATGCTTCGTTCTGTCTTTTCAACTGAGCTGCCAGCCTTGCTGACCAGCTCCTTGTCCTCTTCCAGCGTGGTAGAGAACTTCTTGGAGCTTGCTTTGAGCGCACTGGCCATTTTCAGAATCGAGTCCGACAGCGCATCCTGTTCCTGTCGCTGCTGGTCTAGGATCGCCTCGGCCGTTGCAGTCGATGTCTGGGGCTCAGATGGCTTGGAGCGGCCAGCAAAGAGAGCTGCGCGGGCTGTGGTATATGAAGCTGAATTTGCAGCTGTTGATGGAGTTTCGTGTCGATTTCGGAGCGTCTGTGTTGTGTGTACGTATGGCTGTTGCGGTTGGACAACTGGGGTCGCAGAATATGCTGGCTCTGAGGGCGGTGACGGGATCTCCATTTCGGGTTCGGGTTCTGGCTCCGATGGCATCGTTTCGGATGTCGGTGTTTCTATCACCCTGGATTCTATTGTGTCTGTTGTTGACCCTACGCTTTGGCTTGGTGTGTGAGTGACGCCGGCAAGCAAGTCTTCTCCTTCAGAATCGTCGTCATCGTCTTCGATCGCAATCTAGTGAACCTGTTAGCTGGTATGCTTGAGGTCAGGACCTTAACAAAGACCTACCTCCTTAATGTCCTCTAATCTATCAACTAGCAAGTCGAGCATCTCTCGCTGTGCGCTCAACACTCCCCTCGCAGAGATGGCGGTTGCCGACGTTCTGGACGATTGCGCCCGTTGTTCTAGGTTGTCCAATGCTTTGCGGGCGTAGTTGAGATTCTGTGGTAACTTGGGTTAGCTCTTATTCTCATTTTATCCACTACGGGCATCATATTACAGTTTCTAGCCTCGCCCGCTCGTATTCATTCGTTCGCAAAGTATGCTCGCGCTCCGGGGTGGTATGAAGCAAGGCGTCTTGCAGGCGTATAAGCATCGCTGTGACTTCGGAGGATGCAAAATCGACGTTTGCATCCACTCCCGGCATGGAGCCCGTGCCAGACACTATTCGAGCCATTGTGATGGTCGCAGATCGGTTTGCGCTGGTGGTTGATGAAGTTGGCGGGAGGTGACGTCGAGGCGCCCACACCATCTCATTCGTGCCACGATAGCTTAATCAGCTACCCTAAGGTCAGTATGTTCGTGACCATTATGCAGCTACAATTCCAGTCTACTAAATAATTTCCAAATGAAGAAACAAAGCCGTCTTGTTTTATATATATTCGTTTAATGAATATATTTTTATTATTAACTCCGGCATATAATGTATAAAATTCGTCTTGATACGTCTAGCACAATGCCCCAAGCAAGTCACCATCTACAGCTATAACAGTAATGGATTGCTATCAAATTAGGTACGCCAAACGCCGCCCATGTAAACAAAATTCGCTGTCCTCAGTGGCTTTTAGACAGAAGTTCTTGCCTGATCAGTCTCTGTTACCATCTTCGTCAGATTCTACAATCTCGCCCTCCTCCTCTGGGGTATCGCGTGGAGCAGTCCGCCTTGGGCGAGCCTCACGTTCGTCATCTGAGCTACCTCGTTCGCGGTCATCCTCTCGTCTGCGGTCCGAATTATGACGTCTATCGTCATAATCATCTTGTCGCCTTCTATGTTGTTCTCTTTTAGGTGATGGTTCATCTCTTGGTGCTGCTGCTTCTCGTTGCTTCTCTTCCTGTCTCTTCCAATGCGATCCTTCTTCATAGTCGGCTCGGACGCCCAAGGCACGGCGCAGCCTCTCAGTCTCTTTCATTTTAGCGTCGGCCATTTCATGGACTTGATGTTGCTTGAATGCCTTCTTTGCGCCGCTGACATTCTTTCCTGCTGCCAGTTCCGCGAGGAGCTTCTTTCGCAGAGCATCGCAACGGTCGTCAATTTCGTCCTCATCGACTCTACAGTGCTGTTAGCAATAGCACCGGTGCGCCAGGCACGTGTAAGATACATACTCTTCCTCTTCCAATTTATCTCTCAATTCAAAAACCTTGAGCTCAACCTCTCTCTTCCGTTCATGTTCGAGGATACCTTGGTCAGGCTGTCTTGGCCTATGACGGAAGCTATCATCTTTGTCCTTGTTGTATGGTGCGCCGCGGTCGCGATGGCGGATATGCGCCAAGCTGCGTTGGACATGGCCAGAGGTACCGCTACCTCTGGGTGTTGACAATCCGACGTTCTCCGACATCTTGTGATAATTATTCCTAATCGCGTGTGTATAGACAAGGCACCGAGGACGTTGTTGAAGAGGCAGTGGGGATGTCATTTTTCTCGAAGTGGTAAGGCGGTGACCACCAAAACGCTGGCGATCTTGCGGCAGAACCATGAAGTTTCGCGTGCATGGTGGGGGTGGTTGTGCCTGGCACTGACCAGAAAATTTATGAGTCAACTCGTATCTTAGTATTTATACAACATTCGCCGCCACTATATCACATTGTCGTTTCCTCCTCTCTCCTATCTACGCCATATTTAAAACGTATTATTTGGAATTTTCAAGATGCCTCATCTACCCTCTGGTGAGGGTGAGGGCGATGTGCCCCGCGACTTGGTCTTTCCACCAGTTACCAAGGACCACATCCAGAATTGCTCATATGACTCCTGGTTTCCTAAATACAGAACATCCTGCCTAAAGTCTCGCATCATTCCTTTACCTCCAGATGTTGTCGCCTATCTTCAAGAAGATGGCATTGTCTTAGCTGATGAGGACGATACTCTTGGAGGCGAGGACGAGGAGGGTGAATGGCAGAGCTCTGGCGCTACAACAAACCACAATCAAGAAGTATCAGACGATGAAGAGGATAAAGATGAGGAGCCTAGACTGCCCCCGAACAAGCGTTTCCCCGAGATTCACCAAAAAATCAAAGACACAATTGCTGAGCTTGGTGGCGCCGTTGCGCCTAAGCTGAATTGGTCCTCGCCAAAGGATGCCAAATGGATCTCGCCGCATCAGAACACACTGAAGTGCACAACACCGAATGATATTTACCTCATACTCAAGTCGTCCTCATTTGTATCGCATGACTTGGTCCATGCCTTTGATGGTTGCACAGATGCACCTGCAAACCGTCCGTTTGTTCCGGTGTTAGTCCTCCGCCCATTCTTCGTTCCACATGTCGCCCTCGAATTCAGATGTTTTGTCAAGCACCGAACACTTATCGGTATTTCGCAAAGAGACTTGAACCGTTATGACTTTTTGGAGGATCTGCGACCGAATCTGTGGAGAAAGATTACTACATTTTACAAGGAGACCTTGCGCCACACCTTCCCTGACGGCACGTTCACCTTTGATGTCTACGTACCCGAAAATTCTATGGCAGATGACGGCCTAGGAAAAGTCAGACTGATGGATATTAACCCTTGGGCGCCCCGTACCGATGCCTTGCTTTTTGTATGGGAGGAGCTTCTGGAGAAGGAGGTCCCCAAACCTCTGTATGGCTCTGCTACAGTCGCTGAGGGCGAGGAAGTCAGTGGCGATGACACAACTGCAGACGAAATGGAGGATGATATCATTTCATACCGTCCAGATCGTTTACCTGAGCTGAGGATTGTCGAGAAGGATGACCCCGCCGCGTATAATTTTAGCACACCCCAGTACTCTGCTCACAAGCTCCCCAAGGAAGTTGTCGATGCCAGTTTGGCTGGCGAAGGTGGCCTGAGAGAATTTGCGCAACAGTGGAAAGATATTACGGAGGGTAGAGGTCAGGGCATGTGGGATCAGACCTCAGGCGTATAAGTTTATCGGATAATAACATGCTATGATACTAATTTTGTGCTTCACTGAGGCGTGATCATGAACAACGATCGTTAAACGTCTAAGGCTGCTTCACCGTCAAATTGAAATAATCTGAGCCGTATCACAACTCCGATGCTTCTCTCTAAATCTATCGCACCCTGTGTCCCGTCTCTTCGCTATCTCCCCAACCCCCATTGTCGAATACATGTATTGCCAGATGCCCGCCAGCTGGCAGAAGTGCCAACTCCAAAACACGGTCACCTGGCCGTCACTTTCACAACACAAAAACAAAAACCGAATTAGGGCTTTCAATTCTTTCCAATTCCATCAGTCACCTGCTCCCAGGCACTGCGTCTCCTGCTGCTCTCGCACCTCTCTCCAGCTGCCAGCTTTCTGCCAACCTTTACAGGTGCGAGCCGCGTTACCAAAGCCTGCCAGTTGCAAGCTGCGTACCACCTGCAAACCAGCTGTCAGTCGGCTCTTGCCACCTTTTCTTTATTCAATTGCTTCCTCTCGCAGCTTCATCATGATGTCGCATGTGAAAAAGACGGGATCAACCAGCAGATACCCTCCCCTTGGTGGTTCACGCAGTCCTTCCCCTACCCTTGGATCAAACCATGTCACCCCATACGATCCCCCAGAGCTTCCTAATTTTAATCGGAGTCTGCCAACACCTCGAATGGCTTTGTTCGATGGCAATAACCCCTTCATGAACCGTGGGCAGCTGCCTACTACCATACGACCCTCGTCGACCATGTACAGTGCCCGCCAGTCCTTCGGTGCCGCTAGGTCTACCTTCATCGGCCCGTCATCACCTGCAAATGAAAGCAATGATGGTGATGTCAATGGCAATGTCAGCTCCAATCGAGCAATCGGGATGGCTCGCCCTGTCCATCCGGACCGTAACCTCAAGTCTTTGCCCAACGCGGTAGAGGTCGCTATTGAATCCTATGGGCCGCATATCAACCTTGATAGTGCTCTCTGCCGCAAGGTCCTCGATGGCCCGGCTCATCGGATTCCCATTCAACGGCGGAAAGATCGACACCTAAACACCGCTAGGCGCAGCAACGGCGAGGCCCTTTTGGCTTACATCACGGGCACACCAGCGCCTCGTCCATGCAAAAGCTGTTCAAAGGGTTATGGTCCGTGGAAGGAATGTATCATCTTTGAGGGTCAACTTTACGGAAGCTGCGCCAACTGTTGGTTCAATGCCAGTGGTGCGCGTTGTACATTTCACGGTATGCACCGCCCACCTCTTCAGACTTGTTCCTCTACTAACACAGTGCAGACAGTCGCACCCACCGACCTACGCGTGATTATGAGTATGATCCTGAGTTGTTAGCAGCTGCCAATACTCCCGGACTGTCATTCAATAGTGCAACAACTCTAAGCTCGCCAAACCTCTCCAACCTCGGCCTCCCTAGCGGCCAGGAACCACTGCCGTCCATGGCTAATGCTCACGCGCAGTCCGGTGAGCTTCAGAGCAATACCGCTATCAAAGACCGCAACATTTGTCTTCTTGAATATACAAGTCAGGCGCTTTCCAACTCTATCGACAATGTCACTTGTCTCCCTACCGAGGAGCGGTACGTTGCTCGCGTCGAAGTGGCCCTTGAAGAGCTCAACGAGAGGCTGAAGGAATGGGCAGACTTTGTCGGTCTTCGCAACACGATGATCCGTTCCAAGAACCCAAATTTCCCTTCCTACGAAATGACCCACGCCCATCCTGGAGCCATGCAGCCCCGACAGAGAGTACGGGTGACCAGGGTGAGAGATGCAGAGAACGCCGTGGATCCCCAGATTCTACAGACTGCTACGGTTTATAAACCAGAGCCTTCGCCTGTAGCCTCTTCCACTAACTCGCCTGATTCTTCCATGGCATCTGTGGAATCCTCTGCTGCGCAAGACCACGACGCTGAGAATGATGGTGATGAAGACGGGGACGCACCAATGGCTTGATGCGCTTCCGTGGCGAATATGCAAGCCAAAGCTATTACGTCTAGCTTTAGCAAGTCGAATGAATGATTTCGAGTCGCTTATGAGGAATGATTAACGGTGTGCCATGAGATATGAAATGTAACACTAGAGAGTATAACGGATTTGCTGATTTTCAAATGGTAGCATAGTAATGCAACATGCACTTGGCTTTAATGCAGAGCGAGAGACAGAGAGCAGACATGTTTAAACAAAAGTAAATGATTTCTACCTTTCTTTTATCGACATCTTCCGTAATATCCACCTTCCTTCTACACCTAACACTACACTTCAATATAGAGGAAGTGGCGGTTCCAAAAGCTCCCACTGGTGAATTTGACTCTGATCCATCCAGGATCTTCACTTCCGTGCCACCCTTAAAAAAAGAAAATAAAAACAACCATGAAAAGGACAGTGACATATTTTGCTGCTAATTTGGCAATACAAGAAAAAGAAAACGGATTTTGCAAGGGAAAAAAAGAGTTGCTGAATAGACGCGCATTGTTCTCCTAACCTGGTCCAGTTGGAACCCCTCCAGCGCTGGAAACAACGAAATCGAGGATGAAACAGCCGTAAAAATAAAGAAAAATGAAATACCACGAGAAGGGGGGTTAGAGGGGTGTGTGAGGAATCGAGCGTGGAGTGGCGTCCTAGGACTGAGAGGCTGCTATTTCAAGACTGCAGATAGCAGTTGGCTCCGAACCGTTGAACGTGGATATAGTCGTGTTCATAGTCGAGAGGCGCAGACCGGGGTATTCAGTTGCACAGCGAACACCTCAGGGGCGCCCAGTTCCAGTAGCTCGTTCGGTGGGTTCGTCATGAGCTTTGAGGGTATTTCATGCACAGAGCAAAAATAACAGTAGCAAGAAAAGAAGATTCGCAAAAAAAGAGGAGCGTGCGCCGTTTAAATAAGACCGCAAAGGCGGAGGTTTTCCTGGATGATGATATCGTTGACCGCGGCCATGACGAAGCGAATCTGTGTGGTGTCGGTAGCGCAGGTGAAGTGAGTGTAGATTTGCTTGGCCTCGTGCTGGTTGAGGCTGACGAAGCGGTTGAGGATGTAGTCGCAGGCGGCAGAGTAGTCGACGCCGCCCTCGTAGTCGGGGAAGTAGTGGTTCATGGGGCTGACGGGCAGCTTCTCCTTGAAGCGATCAATCTTGTTGAGGAAGAGAATGATCGATGTCTTTGTGAACCACCTCGAGTTGCAGATGGAGTCGAACAGGGTCAGGGCTTCCTGCATACGGTTGACGGTCTCGTCTTCGAAGAGCAGCTGATCGTACTCGGAGATTGCGACCAGGAAGAGAATGGTAGTGACGTTCTCGAAGCAGTGAATCCACTTCTTACGTTCGGAACGCTGACCACCAACATCGAACATACGGTACGTCAAGTCACCAATAATGAATGTCGTTTCCGTGATACCAGTGGTCTTGACACGAGAGCGCAGCACATCCTGGTCGTTGGGCATGTAGTCAGGAGTGGCGATACGGGCGATGTTATCGAAGTAGCTATCAGCTGTTAGCGTGCTGTTTTTGGTCTCCCCGTTCTGGAGGGAAAATACTCACTATCGTGCGGAATCATTGAGCTGGTACTCGCGCGAGCGCTTGAAGCAGTCTTGCACACCACGGTCCTTCCAGAGAGCCTCAATGGCGCCACCAACCTCAGGGGGAAGGATTTCACCCTCGATCTGGGCAGGCTGCATGAAGATGGTCTGAACATGGTACTCCATGCGCTGGTCCTCAAGGGGAAGCTCAAGAGACTCCATGGCCTCAAGGATGACGCGCATCGACTGGACGGTGTTGCTGAAGATGATTTCCTTGAAGGATTCACGCTCATCTCTGGAGTAGCCGCCCTCATGGATAAGTTTCATCTGCTTTAGAATGGTAGACTTGCCGGATTCACCAGCACCTAATTAAGGTGTTAGCAGAGATTCATGCACCCAGACGGGTCCTCGAGGCGGCAATGTGGTTATCAATCGCCTGCGCCGAAAGCACAGTGATCCCAACTTACCCAAAAGAAGCATCTTGATTTCGTTACGCTGCATCATGCGGTCGCGTCTGAGCTGGTTCTCAATCTCCTCGTTGCGGGCCTTGCCCTCCTTGTCCTCAGCACTCATTCCGCAACCCATTTTAGCGGTTTATCGGCGAGTTGCAATTGGTGTGTTTTAAAAATATGTTGTAGATAGTCGTACAAGAAGGAAATTCTCACTATCGCGCTTCGCAAGTCGCAGTAGCAAATCTAAGGGGGGGATTGCGGGTTAGCTGATGGCTTGGGTAGGTGGCGGGTTGAATGTAAGGCACAGGCGGCTGAATGAGCAGCGCTACGATGGTGCTTGGGCTGTGCCGAGACAATTCGCAATCGAAAACGCTTTTTTCTACCAAGGGCGCTGTCCGTTCCAACAACTCTCGACGGATGAGCAGGTCGGATTGCTGTCGAAAACCGGTAGGCTAGTTGATCGAAGGGCGGCTGGGCGAAAAGTGCGTCGTGCGGGCCGAGGGAAATAAGGGGAATAGGGGCGGTCGGGCGATTTGAAGACTCACGTTAATAAGCACTGATACAACAACTGGACGTGACTTGCAAAAGCTCAACCGAAGAGAGAGCAGGCGTATGATACAAGAAAGACACGAAGGCCAACACGAGAGGTTGAAGAAGGAGAAGTAGGGAAGAGGGAAAAAGGCGTTTGAAGATGCCCGTTTGGCTTTGGGGGTACAGGTGGTAGTGTTGCTTTGGGCTTGGGGGGGAGAAACCAAGTGGAGGCGGGAGGTGGAAAAGGGTTAAGGCTGGCGGCGGTCCTTAGGGGGGACGGTTAACTCTTGGGAAATGAGACTGTGACTGGGGTGGTGCGATTTGCGTGTGTAGAGAGGATGAAGGCGTAGCGGGCGGCAGAGCAAAGAGTTGGCCGCAAGCGCTGACAGGATGCTGGAGGAGGAGGAGGTACAGTACAGGAGGTACAGGAGCTGGCACCTCGCGGGCAGTTGGCTGCCAGCTGGCAGTGGGCTTGGAGGTGGCCGGGGGTGGGCAGAGGGCGGACCGGGGTCTAGGTACAGTAGCGGCAGTAGCTTTCTTTAGTGGTTGGCTTTTGGTGGACTTTTAGTGGGTGTGGGTGACGGTGCGACGATGCCGAGATGCACTGTTGCGCCGGCACTGTGCAAGTCTGAGCAGGACAGTTGCACCAAATGGATAACTTTTGATAGCTAGCTTTGTTTACGCTCGGTGGTGCCGTTGTAGTGGTAGTGGTAGTAGTTGCGGTGTCTATCGCTGGTTACGATTTCACGCCCGTGAATAAAATTTTAACATCTTAAATGGAATACAACGGCATTTTCAATTCATCCGTGTGCGTGTGTGCGTGTCAATTGCATCGGGGCCAAAAATAAGCAACTGAGACAAAACCTGGACGGCGACTCGCGAACGGCACTGCGGGCTGTTCGTTGGCCAAACCCAGCAGCCGCTCGCGGATGTGCCGTGCTACACCAATGCAGGCAGCTACTGCACAGTGCCCGCCCAAGGTACAAGCTCCGAGTGGGGCGCCCGCCGTCGCTACCAACACGCTGTAACCTGAGACGACAGCGAGCCAGGAAGTACTGCTACAGTGGGCAGGCACGCTAAGGGTAGTCAACCACAGTGGCATATTTGGCAGCTGTTTGACATAGAGCGTCCAGACCTGTGGATTTTGCCTCTTTTATCCTATTTTTTCTTGGTTATTGGCTCTGTTTTCCGTCCGGTGCCCGGCTCTTTTACCAGTTTGGGACTCTTGTCTGTTTCGTAAATGCCATTAGGGGTCAAACGGCGTGTTTTGCATAGTGTTTGTTTTTCATTTCTTTTTTACTTCTTTTTCTCGGTGTGCTCTCTTTTTTTCCTTTTGCAGCCTCAAGGGGGGGACGACTCAAAATCTCCGCTACCCAAGAGCCGCCAAAGAAAGAAGAATTATGGGGTGAGGTCTCTGAGACAGACCAAGCGATTGTATCTCTATTCTAATTCTGCCTGTTCCTTTGTACCCTGTCCGGAACATCGACGATGTACCTCGCTTCAGCTACACCACCCAGATGGGAACAATGGTCATGCCAGAAGTTAGCTGTTTGCAGCGCCAGATCAGCGCCAAACATGCACCTAGCAAGCTAGCGTCCAACGACAGCTCCTTATTTGTCTACTTTGGCCCAGCGATCGACAGAGACGCCATGTGCTGACCATAGGTTTCGACGGCCAAGACCGATTACAATGCCTCTGATGGTCCTGTTGCGTGTCAGCAAAAGCAGCCTTCGCGGGCTGTGATACGGGAACAACAATGTTGCCTCTATTTGGACCTTGTTTAGGTAGTGTTCGGTGGTAGCATCGGGGTTCTCTAATGTGCTGTCACCTTTGGATGGTCGCCAAGCAGCATTCAGATCCATTCGCTGCACTTGCTCGCGAAGTGCCCGCTCGCCTCGCCTCCCTCCCAGCTAATCGAACTAAATTTACTACGCTTTGGGTGCTGGGACATGCTTTGTGAGGGACCCGTCCCAATATTGCTTTTTCACCTGCCATCCAGCCAATTGCCCACAGCAGTCGACAAGAAATACTCGTTTCTCCAAGATTGGTGGCGCTACTCAGGGCGCCATCCAACCCCTTCCTCCCACGTTCTACCGTCGGCCCCGAGGCCAAAGAGCAGACTATTCATCAAGCCTCAGCGGACTTCATTGGCGGACCGGACCTGGCCCAGTCAGTAGACGGCATTCTGCAAGACCCAGTCCCCTAGGTTCAATTTTGGCGCTATCGGATCCATTCGCCCCTCTCTTCTGGGGCATCCACCTCTCCAGGAACGGGCACAAGAACGAAGCCCCAGTGCACCTGCAGAAGGAAGGAAGATCAACAGGAGTGCATCCATATCCAGCTAACAAAGCTGAAATGCAAAGACACGCAGGTGGCAGTGACTGCAAGCTCAGAATACCGCCCGCATCTTGCATAACATCAGCCGAGCCTCCGAGCGCTGCTAACAGCATACTAGACCAGGTCAGCCCGGGCTTCTGGAAACTGCGTGGAAGGAAGCCCAAGCCGTTTCACAATCTGCACTGATCTAGCCTGGGCAGCGTCCCCGTTCTGTATGGGCCGGGACTCCTTTTCTGGCCCACTACATTGCAGGTGGTCGGCGTCAGCATCCAGCAAATAGTTTCAACGGGGAGCAAAATATTTGCACGCGGGCCTGCTACCGTAGTACAGGGATTTAATCGCCGTCTTCTGACCTGTGGTGTGGACACACCACGGCCTGCATACGATCGGCTTGGGCGCAGAGGACATCTATACCCAGCAAGCATCTAGGTTCATTGCCGGAACAGCAAATTATGGAACGCCAATGTGCCATGTGTTTGACACCAGCGCTCCCATGTTGCATTCCGCTTTCGTAGGCTGCCGCTTTGGGCTTGGTCGGTAGGGAATCGTGTCCTAGTTGGCTCCGGTGGATGCCTAGATAGGCAGCATTGCACGACATTTCTTTCGTAAATAGAGCAGCATACGGACGTATTTGGCAGCGCTGCAACATGGAATTGCTCATGGACAATGGCTAATAAGTCGTATCATACCACGGCCCTAGACGCCCTAGACGCCCTGCTCATTCGAGAGCGACTTACAACTTGGCAGCAGCTCTGCTGCAATCCCCGCCGTTTCGTGGCTACTTGGCTATATTCGTTGGTTTCTTGCCAAACAGTCTCAAAATCCAAAGATGGTATCTCCGTTGTCTGCGTATCTGATACGCATGGGTCCAAGCCGTCATTGCCAATGGGCGATATCCTCGTCCACGCTGGCGACCTGACAAAATCCGGGACCGTTTCTGAGCTACAGGAGGCGGCAGACTGGATAGCATCCCAACAACACAAGATCAAGATAGTAGTTGCCGGTAACCATGACATTGCACTAGATCCGAGCTACAAACGAACAAAAGGCAGACACGGGCCGGAATTGGCTACATCCGCCATACAATGGGGCGATATCATCTACCTAGAAAACACGTCTGCGTCAATACAGTGTCCGAATGGGAGGCAGCTCGTGGTTTATGGTAGCCCGCTGTCTCCTATACACGGGAACTGGGCGTTTCAATATCCTCGTCTACAAGATCCATGGACCGATATCCCACCCGTCTGCGACATTCTCGTTACACATGCGCCGCCATTCGGGCATGGCGATCTCGGCTACGGCTGCCGTCACCTGCTATCTCGCCTTTGGCACATCCGGCCCAAGCTGCACGTCTTTGGCCATGTCCACGAGGGCGCAGGGTCCTACGCCTTGGCATATGACGCATTTCAAGCCGCCTATGAAGCTGTGATATCTCATCCAAGCATGTGGAGTCTTGCTCGCTTAGCTTGGCAGTTTGTCACTCGCGTCATGTGGACGTCAGAAGAACCACAGTCGCAGCTAGTAAACGCAGCCCTGACTGGTGGTCTGCGTAACAAGATAGTCCGTCAACCTATCAAGGTCTGGATATGATATTGTTGTTACACGCAAGGGACACAAGAGCGTGCCCGTGTAGCAGATACTGGCATTACCCCTGTGCCCTGAGGTCTCTAGTATCGGAAAATTGAAGGCGCACGGAGCCGCTTCCGGTCCCATGCCCACAACGTGGTCGCTTTCCAACCAGGGTAGCGATTCATAATAGTTGGAGCTTCTCCGGTCCCAACGGGCGGGAACAAACGGGTCTTGGAGTTCGTGTTTCGCTTGACAGAGTTCATTTACACTCTACGCGACGGAGCCGCGGTGCGAGTTTGATTGCGGTGTGGATCGACAATGCAGGGATGGCAACTGTGCATACAATCTATTTTTTGCTTTTGCGACAACTTCTGGGGGAGAGAGGGGACAAGAGACGCCACAGACCAAATTGGAATATAAGGTGCACATATATTACATGAAGCATGGGATGGTGGGTTGTTGCTCGTGTCCTTCGATAGTGCTTCTAGAAGGGTTGGGTTCCTCAGCTAAGCTATGACAGTCTACCCGTCCTTGGATACTGGCTTATAACTTTGTATCTCATTATGTATAATGCATTCAGCTGCGCGTTTACTCCATGTAGTGGAAACTACTGCCACCTGATCAGTTTAGGCGCTGTTAGACGGCTCCCTATGAAATGGATTGACTGGCGAACCACATACCTCTCTCCTGCGTAGCTACAACTTTCCTTTTCAATAAATAGTAGATCCGACCATTTTTCTCCAATAAATACAGAATATTTACTAGCATTCTTAGTAAATACACTAAAGAGCGAAACTATCACAGTGATGATGCTATTCAGCCGGCGTCTGCATGCGCCATAGCTCCACACCACAAGCCACGCCCGCCCGCCGCCCTCAAACTTGGTTTTGCCGGCGATCGACAACATCCTGCTTCGCCAAACCCATCGGCCTGTCTTGTGAAAACCCCTCAATTCTTTCCAAATCGTAACTAAACAGCTCCAACACATCTACAAAAGACGCACCACGCAGCAGCCCCGACACAATGGCCATCCCTATGAACCGCCTCGGCGGCCGAGGTACGCGTGGATGTCACTGCAAAGAAACCGATACAGCAAGCTAACGCAAGCACCACGCAGCCTTCCACGCCGGCGACGACGACTCAACTGAGCGCGAATACGACAGACTCCGCGATCTCGCACACGCCGAGGGCAACAAGCGCCATGCGCTGTCCGAAAAGGTAACGCCGTTACTCGTCTACACCCACCACCCACTAGTTAGCTAACCAAGGTCTAGTCGCAACAAGCCTTCAAGTCTGGCGACGGCGCCGCGGCCAAGAAGTTCTCCAACGAGGCCAAGGAGCACGAGCGCAAGATGGACGAGTATAACCAGCAGGCGGCCGACTACATCTTCCGCGCCAACAACAGCCCCGGGCGCGTCGACGCCGACTGCATCGACCTGCACGGCTTGTATGTCGAGGAGGCCGAACGCATCATCGAGCAGCGTATTCGATCGGACCAGGCGCGCGGGCAGGACCATCTACATGCTATTGTGGGCAAGGGGAACCACTCGGCAGGCCATGTGCAGAAGATTAAGCCCAAGGTGGAGGAGATTTGCCGCGAGTTGGGGCTCAAGTACCGCACAGAGGAGAATGCGGGACGTATATATATTAATTTGCAGGGCGGTGAGCCGCTGGGGCCGGGCGATGTGTCGTCGAGCTATGGTGGTGGTTATGGACAGCAGCAGCAGCAGCACCATGGTCGTCCTCCTCAGCAGCAGAATTACGGACAACAGCACCAGCAGCAGCAACAAGGCGGACAGCAGGACGATATTGCGGCCATGGTGGAGAAGCAGCTGCCGAGACTGCTGCGCAAGCTGGAGAAGGCTTGCTGTACGGTCATGTAAGATGTTGGAGTGTTTTTGGATACCATGATTTTAGATCGTTTAATGAATCTTTAATGAAGTCTCTTCTGGTTAAATGAAATTTCAGCGCTAGATACTTTTGATTTACTCCCAAGTATGGTATCGATGTCAGGCGCTCCACTATATAGCGGAATGATATCCCAGAATCAATGCGCATGTGCATAAAGCCCTAGGGTATACAGGAACAGATGAGGTGAAGGCGAGTTAGATGTTGACAAAGGTCAGTGCTACTTCTCAATCTAGCCTACGATTCTATATCCTCGTCCGTATCATCCGGAAACATTGGCTGCTGGTATATCTCAGTGCCACCAAATCTTACATGTTTGTCTTCGACGACTTCCCCGTACTCGCGAATATGCTTCGGAAACGAGATTGTACTAAATCTTTGACGAGCAAAAGTTGTGAACCAGGGGAGGATCCCAGAACAGCCACGACAATATCGCCCGACTTCTGCCCTCCTTGTAGCTCTATTCAGCCACGGCAGACTAGCAATAGCTAGGAAACACAATGCCTCGTCACTGTCGTCATTCTCAGGACCATCTGTTGGGTGTCGATAACGATACGCCCGATTTATCCATCCTACTTGGCGGCGATACATGTACTCGGCCTTAAATGTAGTGATGAAGCGTTCCAAACCATTCGGTGATCCATGAAGAGCAAGAGAAGCTGCCTTGGCCCCATCAAAGTCGATCAGTAGCTGTCTTTTTACAGCTTCCATTCGATGTGTGTACCGCCCAGGCCAACTAGTCATCTGCGGTAAGGATTTAAGATTCTCCGGGCTCAAGCCAAACATTTTGCGAGCCGCTGGTGGTTCGAGGGGCGAGAGTGATGCATCTAGAGTAAAGCAGAAATAGCAAACCCGTTTGCATGTGAGCAGGTAGACATAAGGCCCGAAGTTGTCACAAGTTGAACAGGTGTGGGAGCACATGGTGTTGTATAGCGTCCCACAAGAGATTGTTTGTGCTGTTCCAATCAAAAAGGCTGCTCGTAAGGCGGTACGAGCATGTAATTCAATAGCTTTATATTCCGGTACCGATTCAACGACACTCAGGCTGCGACTGTTTACGCAACGGAATGAGTTTATGGTGTGTAAATCCAGGTGCGGGATGATTTCTTGTAAGACTTCCAACGGCAGAACTTGAAGATCTCCAAGGGTAGAGTTGACTTCTCGAGGGCGTCTTGCGGTTTCACATTGCTTATATTCAGGCAGGTTATCGTCCAAGATGTTGTCCTGGATTTGAGGAGGACAGTAAGTCTGGCGTATGAAGTCAATATCCATGGCTTCTCTGTAAAGGATGAACCAGCTTTAAACAGGATAGTAATCACAGACAACAAGCAATGATTGGAGAAGATGAAGAGCGATGAAGACTGAATTTATAAAGGTTTAACAAGCTCTATATATTCTACATTCTAGCAGGATGGGCACAGAAAAAAAAGGTCAAACCATATGATGGTATCCGTAATAAGGTTGTAAAATGTCTAAATTGTCTCTTTTTTTAAAATAAGAAACTATGAATTCAATCATAGTTTTCAAGTCAACGTTATATGCAACATATACCCAGAACTTTAACAAGCGATCATTCTGTACCTTTAATGTTATTCACCAAGAGTAATAAACAAGAAAATGAGCATAGAATAAAGATCTTGTCTGGTATTATCTAATATTCTAATATCTAATACAACCTCATGTATATTTTAAAGGTATAGTTCGCGAATTATTCTATCCTAGAGCTACAGTAAGTAAACAAAAGTTACGACTGTAGCTTGTGATATAGGAATGTTTGTTCTAGTGGACATTTTACCTAAAACTCGAATGATAGAGCGAAAAACATATAATTAAAATAATAAATATAGAATATCGGTTTAAAATACAACGTGGAAGAAATTGAATTAAATAACTCAACTCCATTTTCTTCAGTCATCGCAAATATCCGTAGCCACCAGTATGGTAACCCCTGCACTGTTCGGCGCTTACAATTTATTCAGCACCCAACCAACCCCGCCAGCCTCGTTCCTTCACAATCCAACTAACAGTAACTAACAATTACATTTCATCATGGAAACTTCCGATAGAGCGACTGTCCAACTGCTTCAAACCTGTGCGGATGATGAAGATGAAAGCTATCTACGAATCGCAGTAAACGGAAAATGTGTTAAGTATCTTACTGTCGACCCAGGCATATACGACACGATGGATCTCTGCTGCGGCCCTCTTCTTATTCCTCTACTTCCACCTCTTCCTCCTGGGAACTGGAACGAGGCGAGAATCCGCAAGGATCCCCAGACAGGACAAGGTTACTGTACAGAGATGGTTAAGCTCGACTTGCCCGGTATCACAGAGACTTGGCACCCAGCTGTCATCGAATATCTGGAGCTTCAATATGAAGAGAATATTCGAGGCAACAATATAATCAAAGCGACGCGTCCAAAATTCCCGCATCCAATCGTCGCAAAATTCGCTAGGTTCGCATACGAGATCGGGTGGTTGGAAGATGAGACTAGAGCGTACCGTTGGATCGACGGCCACAACATCGGCCCCAAATTCTTAGGCCACCTGAGCGAGGACGGCCGTATCATAGGGTTCCTCATAGAATACATCGAAAAGTTTGAGCACTCGGAAATTGGCGATTTACCTCTTTGCCAAGAAGCCCTGGGCAGGTTACATCAGTTGGGCATCAAACACGGTGACAACAACAAGTTCAATATGCTGGTCCACGACGGCAGAGTCACCCTGGTTGATTTTGATTTTGCACGAAAGACGGACGATCCAGACGAGCTAAAGGAAGAAATGGACTCACTCTCAGAAAGGCTACTGGATACGTCCTTCAAGGGCGGAGTGGTTCCGTGGGACGACTGTCACCCTGGCAAGAATCCTTGCTACCCTCAGGTACACCAACACATACCATCCTGTCGGTGATGCCTTTGTAGACCGTGGCGCAGTCCGAGTTGGCAATCGTCGGTATCTTCACGTACATGAGAGTGGACGCCGGGCTGCCGCCTTCCTTGGTGTTGCCCCAGCCGGAGACGACAGACTCCTTGGGCGTGGGTTCGGTCTTGTTGGTCACAGAGATCAGCTTGGCTGTCGGGCCAAACTCAATATCGGAACCGAACTCGAGAAGAGAAACGTCGTAGTCCATGGCGCGCTCGTAGAACTTGGGGTGGTTGTGGATGGCCGTGACCTGGTATTTCTGGCCGCTGCGGTGCTCTGCGCTGCCAACCCATATGGAGTACTGCGATGGTGATCCTCTCATTGTGCAGTGGGCAGCGGTGACGACGAACCGCGGCGATATAATAGAGCCGCCGCAGAAGTGGCCGCTGGTGTAGAGACTCACAATGTACGGGAAGTCTTCCATCTTGCCGGGCTGGCCGCCCACGATTTGCATCGAGCCGGGGTCGCTGGGCATGCTGGCGGCTTCGAGCGCCAGAGCACCGAGGAGGAGGATGGTATTCGCTGGATGCATTCTTCTAGGGATAGTTTACTATGGCAGGTTGTAGTTGCTGGTATGGCTGTTATACAATATATACATAGACTCAAGAGTTATACGAGGCAGACAGAAGCGTACATGGGGTGAGACAGCAGCGGGGGCTGGACTATGGTCTTTTTCCAGGGCGTGTCTGAGATGGACGTATATTTAAGCTGGTGTTTAGCTGGTCTTGTTTGCAAGTTTATAATTGTGTGTCTAGCGCATAGGGATCTAACGTAGCGCTGTGTCAAACAGGCACATGGGCATCGCTGCGATTGGGTTCGTTTCATACGATGTCTCAATCGAGGCGTCGCTGAACCTAGATAGTTATGTCTCGAATATTTCTAGTATACTTAGTTTTATCTATTGTCTTTTGTGACAGTATACTCCAGAATGACATCCGTTTAGGGGTCCAGTGCCGTATAAATCAATGTGCTGAACAAGGATACCCGGGCTAACTTGACAGAGGCTCACTCTCGCGTTTCAACCAACAGAGTCCAAAAAAAGATCTTACACGCCTAATAAAACAAGGAAATTTGAATACACATCCCGAACATTTACATATCTCAGGCTTCTGGTTGGGCAGAAACCATGGCCTCAACTGTAGCAGTGCTATTGTCGGCGTGACTCAACGCCACGGCCGCTGAAATAGACCTGCAACACCAACTCACCAGTCTGCACCCGCATCCTTCACCCCCTTCTTCATTAACATCATGTCGCCGCCCGAGTTTCGACCGGCACTAGAATTATGCGGCGACTTTTTCCGCCAAGTCGTCAAGCCTATCTTGGACAATGAGCTGCCTGCGCTAAAGTATGGCGCTGCGCTGATCGGCCCTGGCAGCGAGGTGTATGGGTTTGACACCGAAATGTCCATGGATCACGACTGGGGCCTTCGCGTATTCTTATTTCTTACAGATGAGGATGCTTCGCAGGGTGATGCCATTACAGAGCTACTTGGTAACAAGCTACCAACCACATGGGAGGGCTTCCCTGGGGCCATTGAGACGCTCACAACGACCTCGACCGTCCGCCAGATGGAAGACGACAAGGCCACAAGGCCGTTGAAGCATCATGTCACGCCGATAACACTTGGCAAATTCTGTCTAGCGCAGCTTGCGTACGATTTTACCGCGAGACCTCCGACAGCAGCCGAGTGGCTCTCGATACCGTCGCATGCGCTGCGGGAAATGGTCTGCGGCGCAGTGTATCACGATGCGACGGGTCAGATTGCACTGCTGAGGCGTACTTTGGCATGGTATCCGCGCGATGTATACCTGTACATGCTGGCAGCTGGGTGTCAGCGAATAGGACAGGAGTCGCATCTGATGCCCCGCGCGGGGTACGCGGGAAGCGAGCTGGGCTCGGCCATCATCGCGTCGAGACTGGTCCGCGATATCATGAACTTGTGTTTTCTCCTCGAGAAGCAATATGCGCCGTATGCCAAATGGTTCGGTGCTGGGTTTAGTCGCCTTGAATGTGGCAGCGAGCTCGAGCCGCTGTTGTTGACAGCGCAGACAGCTGCTACTTGGCAAGCTCGACAGGATGCATTGGTACAATGCTATGATGTTGTAACGAAAATATTGGTGAAGGAACTCGGTCTAGAGGGCAAAGTACCAGCTACATCTGTTCCCTTTCACGATCGGCCGTGGCTCATCATGCCTTCCGAACAGCTGGTAGAGGCCATCGTGCAGCTTATACAAGACCCCGACGTTTTGAGAATAGCAGAGCGCACAATGGTAGGCTCTATAATCCAGTGGACCGACAATACCGACATGGAAAATATGGCAAAGGACGGCATTTTACGCTTATACGAGGCGTAGCTTTGGTAGATGTCCAGGTTATGTCACAGCAAAACGATACTAGTATGAAGTGTTTTCATAAAATTTCCATTAATTCGTGGGTGTTATAGGGAATCTATATGCGCGCTATTAAAATACAGTAAGACCCGACCGCCGTCGTTCGTCCTCCCTTGGGGTATACATTTTCATGTTGTATGTGTTGGTTATGTTTATTCCGTCATCGGGAGACGGGGGTGATCTAGTAACGATCATCGCGATGTTGGCGCTTGGAGCGGTGGTGGTGGCGGCGGCGGTGGCTGCGTCCGCTCTCGTACTTTTCGGTGTCGGTGGGAGCAGCAGGGACAACATCCAAGGTGAAGCCAAGGACTTCGCAGAGAAGGGTAACAATCATCTCCATAATGGTGGACATGCCGAGCTGCAGCCAGACGGTGCCCTGGACCTCGCCCAAGACCTTGATGGCAGAGTAGGCAGTGCGGACCACAATGAAGGGGAAGCAAATGGCTGCGACAACAATGATACGGCGCTCGCCCTGGGACACGTAGCGCTGGTTGCGAGCCGCAGCCAAGATGGTGAGACCAACAAGGGCAACGACGACAATCATGATGGCAGAACCGGCCTTGCTGATGGCGGGATACGAAACCTTGAACGACAGGCTCTCAGTGGCCTGGTAGTCCGCCTGAGTGCCGCCGACAATGATGAGAATGAGGCCGACGACCATGAGCAGCTCAATGCCTCTCTTCCACTTGGGCTTGACGACATCATGGCCCGCGCGGCTCATGGACTCGAAAGCGCGGCTAAGAAGACCGAGGATCATGAGCACAAGGGGACCGAGACCAAGACTCTCGCAAATGACCCAGCCGACGTAGAGGCCAATGTTGGTGGGATCGTTGAGGGTGGCAAGCAGCAGGCCACTGCCGACAATGCGGGCGAGCGAGAGAATGATGAGGAAGCGCCATCCAGAGGACTTTGTGAAGCCGTGGCGGCGGCAGAGGATGATGCCGCCGATGAGGAAGATGGAGTAGATGGCGATTTCGGCGGCAGCGACGCTGTCGTAGGTCATGAAGGGTCTGGAGCCCATGGTTGCGAGTGCGGATGGCCGGACGATGTGTGTAGAGAGAGAGATGTGTGAGTGTCGAGGAGGAGGAGAGAAGATGGAGCCGTTTTTTGTATTTGGTTCCACGCAAGGGGGTGATGGATGATGGAGAGTAAGCAACAAGAGGGGCAGCAGCAGCGGCAGCGGCAGATGGGGACGATTATATATGAATCTGACAATGTGAGGGAGCCGTTTTGGTCAGATTAACGCACCGACACACGTCATGGGCACAACGCGGACGCTGACGCGGGCGGCATCTTGTTGCCGGCGAGGCTGACGGTCGCTATGGTGCGCAGATGCGAGGAATTTCCTTTTTGGGCCTGTCGAATCGCCTACCCAAAACGGATTAGCGCCTAAAGAGCGCGGCGGGTGGCTTGTCTCCCAGCGCTGGCGGCGTCCGCTGTAAAAAAAAAATATCGCCGGAAAATACAATTACTACAAAATAAAAACATGGAAAAATAATAATCGACATTCTAGTGTACTCTTCATTTTTCCCTTTCTTACAGACCACTTACTTAGCCTCATGCACAGATGAACCCCTCCGTCATCACTCTCTTGTTTCCGCCCGTAAGCAAAAAAAGACAGGGGACCAATTCCCCACTAGAACCCGTCGCTGTGGCGCTGTCGTCGCAAGCTCGAATCGGAGTCGGCGTCGCGGCGTCGCCAGAAAAAAAAAGTTAGTTGCAGCACAGCACAGCCTCCGCGAGTAATTAATTCGATGCATGCAGAATAGCGGCGATAGGGCTGCGAAGAAAGAAAGACGTAACACAAGGCATCACGAGGGGAGGGGCACAGCCGGCAAAATCGGCTCGCTCTCGTTCTTCTGAGTTGCGCCGCTGTGTTCGGGGGGAGGTTCGGATGGGAGTATAGTAGATAGATAGATAACGCAAGCTGTGGAGGAGAGGAGGGAGCACGGCGATCCTTGCAGCGTGTGCGTGGTGATGGCAGGGCGCCTGCGAGTGTAAGACGGGCGGCCGCTGCTGGAAGAAGGGAAAGTAAGCGAAGTGGCTTTTGGGGGCTTGTAAAAGCTTTCTTCGGTTTTTCGTGCGGGAAACGCGGTGATTGGTGTTTGTCTGTAAATTGTATTATTTTCAGAGTTGGAAAATTATGGGCGGGTTTTTAGTGTTAATTCATTCATTTTATACCAGGTTGTTGGACAATGTAAGTTCAAGTGCCGTAGATCATTTACACATCTACTTAGCATATGGTGCGACCTGTTCTTCAGACCATTGCCAGAACTTGGTCGCTATGCCAGTACTACCCTCGGCGACGGAAACTGCCCCTTCAAGTATATCTTTACGCATCGGTAAGAACCGTCCCCAGGGTACAACTGAAAATAGTAGTTAGCTAGTAAACCCTCATGAAACAGCTACCCAAGTTTCTTACTCCAGGCTGTTGGCATCGTCGTAGTAACTTCGTCTGAAAATGCAGCAAAAAGCTCTGTATACGCGCCAAATACAGGCGGGTAACACTTTAGTCTGCGGATCCCGACAACCCACCAAGGAGCTGTGCGATCCAGCTCCGTGGAAAGCTCGCCAGGATTGAGTGACTACTTTTGTTTCAGTTGATAAGTAATATAGCGGCAACCACCGACTCACAATACTAATAATGCCAGATCCTTCCACTCTGTGTGCAAATTCGGTGGCATAAAAGTAGCAGCCGGCCTTGCTTATGCCATACTTTGCGTATACGCTTCTCTCCTGCGTGTACTCGATATTGTCCATATCCACGCCACCATGCGGTGCAAGACCTTCGACTGCGGAACTGGACACCCAGATTACTCTTACCGATCCAGACCGCGCCGACTTGGCTGTGTCCAGTAGTATTGGGTTCAATACCTTGGTGAATAGGAAATGGCCTAAACAATTCACGCCCATTTGTAACTCGTATCCCTGCTTTGTTGCAGAACCAGGCGATGGTATCATCACTCCGGCATTGTTGAACAAGGCATCTAGTCGTGTCTCTTGCCTGAGGAAGGTCTGTGCTGAGGTCGGTATAGTGGAAAGGTCACTCAAGTCCAGATGGAGATATTTCAAGGTTCCCTTGGACTCTGCATGGTCGTTGCGAATGTCATCAATGGCTTGCGTAGCTCTTTGGTCATCTCGGGCAGCAATCCAGACTGTTGCATTTCTGCTGTATAATATCTTGGCTACCTCTTTCCCTATTCCCGTGTTGGAGCCTGTGACAATGTACACCTTGCCAGTGAGGTCAGGAATGCTGGCCTCAGTGAAATGGGCCTTTGGTGGAAAGTGTTGACTGTAGATATTCATCATATTTACAACGGTATAGAGTGGAAATATCTTTGAAAAAATGGTTGCGTATATTACATACTTTCCGGTACCGGCAGTTGGCGGCTAGATATGTTGTTTTATGTTGCCGGGAAAGCCCAGTACATTTCCTACCTAGACGAGGAAACGCAGCTCAAGAGCGGCAACTCATATTATGAGTCATAAGATTGCTGTATAGCTTGAACCCATCGCAGTTCATATATCTGGGCGACCTACAGTGTCTAGAAAAATGGCGGCGCGGCAAAAACCCATCTGTCCAAACGTTAAGTTGAGAGGGCATGGAAAGGGAATGGGTTGCGTGCCTCTGACTCAGAGGTCTGCGAGGTGCATCTCCAATGTAGTCTACCCGCATCCTCTTCATGTGGTTGAATTCATTTTAGCATAGATGAAAAAAGGATTTTAATTAATTTGCATTGGTATAGTGTTGGATTAATTTTCCAACCTGGATAATTGTAGAATAGCATGGTTATATATTCGTTGGAATCAAAGGGATGTCGTGGTACAAGTCCCTGTAAGTGTACACCTTGCAGACGAGGCTGAGGTGATCTCATCCATAATTACTGAGATGCTCGATCTAGCCGTCTTGGCGGTCGCCATCAAGGCTGGAAAAATCATCAGACTATATGTTCACACGTATTTATGTACAAATTATCTTCCTAATAATTTCCATTGCCAAAATAGTGCCAGGTGCGAATTTTGGACCACATGATGGCGGTCCATAGGGTAGCTACACTAGACCGCGGCGGCTTGGGGCGGGCCCGTGTTAGTGGTTGTCGTGTATCGTGCCAACAACACAGAAGCCAATAGTGAATTGCCCTTTGATAGTAGGCTATTTCCCTTGTAAACCACACATACCACTAGTGAGATCCCCTTTGTTTTTATTCACCTCGCCCACATACAGAAACACATACAATCCTCTTCCTCCTCTCTGCTGCTGCCCCAGAACGGCAAACGCGCCAAAAGAGGACCCCGCGCGTGCCTCACTCAGAGCCCTGCAGGCCACCAGCGCCCGACAAGGTTAGGCATGTCGCAGGCTTCGACAGGACGTTCCGTTGTTTGCATACTCTTGGTTGCCTGAACAAGACAGCTGAGAAATTCCTTCTTAATTATTCCATTTTTTTCTTTCTTTATTTTTATTATTTTTATTTTTATTATTTTTTTTGGGTTTGTTTGTGTATACAAAGCCAGCCGGATATCGCGTCCGCCTCCCGAAAAGCCAAGTCTACACCTTATTGGGCGAACTCCTTTGGTTAGTTACATGGTTCTCCTATTCGTCTCCTCTCCGCCCCTCCCAAAATGCGGGCGGCTTTCCATTGCTATGGAGCCCCGTCGCCGTGTAATTCCGGTGTAGGTTCGCGCTAACACTGCAGCTCCTACTGCAACAGTGCGCTGAATGCAACACTGCCACCCGCCAACGTTGGCTTCCCCCTCTCGAATTGAATTTTTGTCTGACTTCGAGAAAGAAAGACAGAAAATATTTAGTTTTTGAGTATGTGTTGAAAAGGCTAAAAACATGACATCAACAATAAAAGACAAAAATAAAAAAATACTACTTTGGGCCAATTACACAAACCAAAAAGAGAGACTCAGATACGTGTCCCCTTTTTCTGGCATGCCTTCATTGCCCTGTAGGGAAAGCGTCATCAGCCGCAGACTGGCCTAGGCTCTACGCTACTCTCTGGGCTACTGTTCGCCTCTTCTTGACGCTCTGCAAATCACCACTAACAAAGATGGCCGCCCGCCAAAGACGGCCGAGGAAGAGCAGCGCTAGGCTACGCTAATCTTTCTCGGCCCAAAAGCTGGGGGGCGGACGCCGCCGCCGCCAAAAAAAGGAAAAAAAAAAAAAAAAGACAGAAAAGCTGGTTTGTGCCGGCCCACTCACAGCGGCCAAGGACCAACCAAAGCCGTGTGAATGTGGTGGGAGGCACAGTAGAAACACGTCGAGTCCATTCTCGGCCACCGTGTCTCCTCTTACCGTATTGTCTGCTGGCAGCCCACGTATCCGCACCAAAAAACACGCACACGTCTGTTAGTGCCCCCGTTCCAACCCACAGTGTGTTTGTTGCCCGATACCACTGTACAAACTCTCCTTCTTTTGCTTCTCCTCCCCGCGGCGCGTCCCCGGTTTTCCCTCCTTTCGCCCTCTTTTACTGTGACTGCCTGTTGTCTTTCCCCCCTCCCCCCGTGCTCTTGGCCACTGGCGCAGCCAACACGCATTTTTTTCTCCTCTACAGGACTTGGTTAGGCCATTTTACAGCCCGCTCACAGTGGACAAGCCCAGAAAAATAGTGCCCACTTCCGCCCCCCAGCGTAGAGCCATCCGCCAAAACTTGCAAATTTTTTGCAGTGACGGCCTCTTCACCCCCCCCAAAACCCAAAAAACGACGGCACCACGACCATCACGACGACACAAATCGTCGCCAAAACCACCCGCGCCACGCCTTTTCATCGCCATCGAGACGGGTTTTCATCTCGGAATCGTGCTCTCGTAATTCCTGCAACGTCCGTTTCTCCCGAAAACGGATGTTGCCCCTGTCGATGCTATGACTGAGGTCGGGCACGCCGAAATCACGCGGCTCCTTCAATCAAAGCGCAATGAGTGCAGGTCAGTTTATTTTCATCAAATGCGCCGCATTTTTCTCTTCAAAATGATGTATTATTCGACGTGCTAATATCGTGTAGTGCAATTCTAACGTCGCGCAAGCGTAAGCTGCGTGAACTCTTCGCGGTCGCGACCCAGATCGAGCCGCTGCCCCAGGATGCTCTCGACAAACCATCCGTCACCGCCGCCGAGTGGCAGTTTCTACAGGCGAACGATATCCAACAGTATGTTAAATATCCCAGCATACGGATTTTGATTTTATTTGGTTATTTGGAGCGCGTTGGCGACTGATGCACGATGTCGACGTCCGCGTTTTCCGGGTCGCAGGACCCGTCGTTGGTCTTGCGTCCCCAATGCGCAACAGCACAAATGGCATCAGACACACTAACATTTATCGATTTAGGGGCCGAATACTCAACGAACAGCTCATACCTACCCGGCCGGCACTCTCCGTTCAAGGCTTGAAGCGCTCGCTGGCTGCTGCGACCGGTGCTGCTGGCCCTTCGTCTGCGTCTGCTCCTCCCGCCAAGAAGCCCCATCTTCAACCTACGCCCGCGCATCTCGCCACAGGCCCTTCTTCCGTCTCCTCTTCCGCCTCTACTCCTGGCTCAGGCTCGACGACACCCATCACCCGTCGACCTGGACCTGCTACGCCGACGCTCCTCCCGCAAACCAACACTCAAACCGCTGCTGCTGCCGCCAGCCCGAAGCCACTCTCTCCTCAAGTCTCGCTACCTCCAGGCTCGTCTAAGCCATCGCCGACAGACACTACACGACCGCCCCTTCATGTCAAGAACGCCAACGCGCGCCCTGGTGAGGAGTCGCTGACTGTCAAGCTACCCCAAGATGGCGCTAGACAAACCGACGCTGCGTCGTCTCCAGGTTCAACTGCGCCCAGCGCAACCACGCCTGCCGTGCACGAAGTCTCGGCCAACACGAGCCCCGATCACGAAGGATCGCAGTTTGTAGTTGACACTAGCGACAAGCCGGCTCTGAAAGCAGCCCAAGATGCGGCAGACGTCAAGGAAACCGAGGCCTCTGCGTCAGCAGAAGACCAACTACTCCAAGAGTCTATACGATCAGAGAATGAATCCAAGGTTGTTGCAGGCAGCGGTGCTAACAAGTCTAGTCCAAGTGTGTCTACGGCAAACAAGGTTGAAGTAGCTGACAGCCAGGACGAGATGGATGTAGATTCCGTCGCGCCAACCACAACCAACAACACCACCACTACCACCACTAATAACACCACCTCCTCATCCGACCGAAACACATCCTCAAAGCCTCCTATACCTACATCACACACAACTACGTTGTCGACGAGCAAGGATTCTGCCGCCGTACCCGAGCGCGCGGTGACGAGAGTCTCTTCGGGTGCCATGAGACTGAAATCTGTCAATGAGATTGTCGGAGGTACTTCCCGCCATCCCAAGACTACTGACAAGACCAATGGCACTAAGCGTCCTAAAGATCAGCTTACCCCGTCCGCATCGACTCCCCAGTCCCCGGCGTCGAAAGCGAATCCCAAGGACAAGAGCCGAAGCAACCAAATGCCTACCGTTCTCTTTGGCAAGCAGCCCAAGCGCGTCGACGACAAGTCCGTTGTCCCTGGTGGTCAGTCAAAGGACTCGTACCATCCCTTTGATGACTACTACACTCCCCTCTTTATCCAAAACTTTACTGGTGCCACAAACTGGATGCAGCCTATTGAGAAAGTCTTGTTCCATGCTAACAAGACGCTTGCTACTACTGACGCTAATCTAGCGATCCAGGACCACCAAGCATGCAAAGTGCTCAGACGGGTCTACCATCTGCAGCAGCATGATAAGTGGTCTCTTCGCCAGCCAAAGAGATGCCCGGAACCTACCAGACCAACCTCGCAATGGGACGTGCTTATCCAAGAGATGAAGTGGATGCGCACTGATTTCCGCGAGGAGCGCAAGTGGAAGATGACAGTAGCCAGAAACCTTGCGTACTCGTGCGCTGAATGGCATGCATCAACGCCTGAAGAACGCAAACTTATGCAAGTCGCCGCCGTCATTCCTCCCATTGGTAAAGCCGAGGCTTCCCAAGAAGATGTCAAGATGGCTGGAACTGAGGATGAGACCGCTGATGATCACCCCACACCCGATCTCATGTCATCTGGAGATGGTGAGTCACTCCCCAACGAGGACGAGATTGCCGAGACGTTTGTCGAGACAGTCGCGCCCTCGGCCATCTTCTCTCTTCACGACGACGACGTCGTGTTTGGCCTCAGAAAGACACAGGCGTCCGAGGAGCTGTTGGAGGAGCTGCCGCTATTCGGAGCACCCCTCAAGATTCCTCACTCAGACCCTACAGACCTGGAGTTTGACCCCGATGCGCACTGGCGACGACCTGCACTCCCCATCAGCAAGTATGTTGAGGGCGAGATGAAGATTACCTCGCGCGGACCTCCTCGTCGACGTGGCCGCTTCGACCACCAGAACGAGGAGTCTGATGATGAGGGCGACAGCACCTTTGCTGCTGATCACGTCTCCATGCGCGCTGTCTTGCCAGCCAGCGACAATGATGTTGCGCTCTTCAACCCCGAGTCTAAAGCCATCCGTGATAGACTTCACGCCGGACACCAGTTCCGTCCCCCATCTGAATATCCCATGCCCACCCAAGGATTTTATGAGTGGCGTAGCTCCTCTCAATGGACCGTCACAGAAGACGACGAGCTTCGCAGTCTCGTCCGAGAGTACTCGTACAACTGGTCTCTCATTTCCAACATGCTATGCACAAAGTCCCTGTTCCAGTCAGGCCCCGAACGCAGAACCCCGTGGGAGTGCTTTGAGCGATGGATCAATTTAGAAGGGTTGCCTGCTGATATGCAGCGCACGCAGTACTTCAAGACATATAATGGTAGAATCGAAGCTGCTCAGCGAGTCATTGCGCACCAGAACCAGGTTGCCGCCCAACAAGCGCAACAAGCAAGCACCGCAGGCAACGTTGTTACGCCTCTTCGACGCAGACCTTCCACGCCGGTACGAGTAGAACGCCGCAAGAACCAAAAGCACTTGACGCTCATTGACGCCATGCGACGTCTTGCCAAGAAGCGCGAAGCCAACGCACAGAAGGCACAGCACAACGCGCAGCAAAACGCTGCCAAGAAGGTCAATGAGGCGATCCCTCAACGGCCCACCAAGACACCAAGAGACTACAGTTTGCTCCGATGGGAGCGCGATCAGGCCCTCGCCGAGAAGATGGCCCAGTATGCCCAACGACAAGAGGCACAGCGCCGCGCTGCTCTTCAAGCGAGAGCTGCGCAAAACGGCCAGCTTGCCGCTGCCGCTGCTGCTGCCGGAGGTAACTCCAACGGCCTTCCTCAAGCCAACGCCGCCATGCAAGCTGGTAACGCAGCCGCAGTGGCAGCCGCCGCCGCTGCCGCAGGCCGACCTGTTGCGAACCAACTCGCAGCCGCAGCAGCAGTTGCCGCAGCTGCAGGACAGGTCCGACCTCGTGTGCCGATGCAAAACGGTGCTAACGGTGCTATTGTCGCTGGAGCAGCCGGCCAAGTTAACGGCGCCATGCTACCTCCAGGCCAACAGATTAAGGGTATCCCTCAGGCACAACTGCAAGCCGCCATGGCCAGCCAGCAGCAGCGTTTGGCAGCAATGGCCGCGCAGTCAGCAGCTAACGGCCAGACCGACCCCAACCTGATGCTGCGAGCACAACGCATGGCTGAGCAGCAGCGCGCGGCCGTGATGCAGCAACATGCTCAGGCAATGGCCCAACAGCAACAACAGCAACAACAACAAGGCGGAGCCAGCAGCCCCGGTCAACAACCACAGTCGTCACCTCCTCTGCGCAATGGTGTCGTCGCCAACGGCGTCGCCCAGCAAAACTTTGCCGGCAATGCCAACATGATGGCGGCCAACTTTGCTAGCATGCAAGCACAGCAGCAGGCGCAACAACAAGCAGCACAGCAACAGCAAGCCAACGGTGCACACATGGCTAACGGCGCATCGCCCGCGCCGCGCATGGCAACCCAGGTACCGCCCGGCATCCTGCTCCAGCTTAACCAGCTCGACGCCCAGATCCGCGCTAAGCACCCCAACATGACGCCCGAGCAGTCGCGCGCTCTTGCCGCAGAGCAGCTCACGCGAGTGATGCAGCAGCAGCGCGCCATGAACAGCGCCGCCGGAAGCACGGGCATCGCCAACAGCATCGCGGCGACTAGCAGCCCACAGCAGTATGCGGCGCTTCTCCGTCAGCAGCAGCAGCAACAGGCAGCCGCGCAGCAACAAGCCCAGCAGAACCAGCAGATGCAGCGTGTTGCGTCGGCCCAGGCCCAGCAACAAGCTGCTGCCCAAGCTGCCGCCGCTGCTCGCCAGGCAAGCAGTACGCCAGCATCCGACAAGTAAAAAGAAGAGCTTGTGTCTGTTGTTTCTTTTCTCTTGTACCCCCCCTTTGATGTTGATGCTTTGAAGCAGTGGCTGGTTCATGGTGCTTTTTTATATTCTCTTGTTGATGGTTCTTTGTGCTTTTTTTGTTTGGCCGGACGGTTTTTATTGAGCGGTGTTTGTTACATACCATACCCCCTTTCATTTTTTGACACACCCTCTTCTCTCTCTCCGCTTGGGGGCTTGCCTCCTCCTCCTTTACTATCTTACTAACCCGCTGTATATACACCCGTTAATTATTACCTTTTATTACCTCTTTCGAAACTGTTGTCTTTTAAATGTGTATGTATGTAGACATTGATGTAGTTACGGACATCTAAAATGTTTAAAGTGGACTAGATGATGGTATAACCATAAGAACGGTTTGAGAGTTCAGTCATGGGAGACAAGCACGAGATTGGTACATAGTAACATATATATTTCTAAATAATATATCGAAAAAAGAGTCCAGAAAACGCCGAAAATGTGCCGCCAAGCAGAGTGACAGACAAGGACGCCCTCGTCCAATCACCATCACCAGTCTCTATCAACTAACTGACTGATACCTTGGCTATTTTGTAGGAACAAAGACAATAAAGATAAAACAAGCCCTAATCAATATTTAAACACGCATCAATCATCTCATACGGCGCTCCCGCCGTTCCCTCCGTGCCCGGTCCCGTCGCGGCCAAGCAGCAAATGAGGCTTGATAAAGTCCTCGTCGAGCTGGCGGAACAGACTACTCGGGTCCTCGGCCGACAGGAACTGGCGGATAGCGCCGCGGGCAGTAATAGGCTCGTGCGGCGACGAGGGCACATTCGACCCAGGCGTAGGAGACGAGACATTGTTGCTCGAGGAGCCCGTGGCGGGACGGGGGCTTCGGCGCGCAGGAGGAGGCAGGTCAGAGACGTCGACGTCGCTGCCAAACTCGGAGTCTTGGTCGTCGGACAAAAGGCCCGTCTGCGCCGAGTTCTTGCGGCTGAGGGAGCGGGCGCGGCCGTCATTGTTGCTGGGCGAGGCGTGGCCCGAGACAAACTGGGAGCGGTGGCCGCGGTTCTGGCCGAGATTGTCCATGGCCAAGTTGCCGTTGCGGCGGGGGACGTAGCCGATGCCGGTGCCGGAGCGCTTAGATTGCAGGCCACCGGTGATGACTTCGGTGTCGAACTCGTCGTCGCTGTCGATTTCCTCGACGACGCCTGTGCGGATGCCGAGGATCTCGAGCATGCGTGCGGTCGTGCCGCCAAAGATGATGACGGTCAGCACGACGACGACAAGGACGGTGGCGCGGAGGGCGCGGACGTGTGTGCCTTCAATGAGGGCGGCTAGGGCGACACCGACGGCTCCGCGAAGACCGGCCCAGAAGAGCATCGCTTGGTAGTTGTAGGGCAGCTCGTCGGGGACTTCGCCGGCGCCGCGGCGGCGGGCGCGGTACCGGATGAAGCCGTTGATGGCGCGGGAGAGCGGGAACACGGCGACCCAGCGGGCGGCGCAGACGGCGAGGGCGGTGATGATGATGAGGGGCGGCTGGAATTCGAGGTTGGTGTCGGAGAAGAGGGTTAATCCAAGATAGATGAAGATGAAGTTTTCGGAGAGCTGCGACATGGTCTGGAAGACGTATTTGGTGGTGAGCTGCGTGCGGCGCGACATGTTGAAGTAGGCGTAGTGCTTGAGCGTGATGCCGCAGAAGAGCAGCGACACGATACCGGAAAGATGCACGGCGTGGCTGAAGAAGTAGGTCGCGTAGGCGATGAGGAAGATGAGACAGCTTTCAATCTTGGAGAAGCGGCGGACGTAGGTGAACTTGAGCAGCAGCGCTGCGCCGATGCCGACGACGACGCCGATTAACATGGACAAGAAGAAGACGAACAAGAAGATGCCGGTACCTTCGAAGAAGGTGAGGACGCCCAGGTTGCGCTTAATGTCCTCGCCGTCGTCGTTGACCTTTTGGACGTACTTTTGCGCCGTCTCGAAAATGACAATGGCAATGGCGTCGTTGAGGATGGACTCGCCAAAGATGATGGTGTAGAGCTTCGGGTCGACCTTGTACGAGTTGAAAATGGCGAGAATCGTGACGGGATCCGTGGCAGACAGTGTGGCGCCGACTGAAATGGCCTCGACAAAGTCCAGGTCAATCATGCCGGGGAGGCGTGTGAAGAGCCACAGGATCAGGCCAATGACGACGGCCGACAGGAAGGTTCCGGCAAACGCAAATGTTAGGATGGTGCCAATGTTGCGGAAGAAGTTGGCTTGGTGTAGCTCGTAGCCGGACGACAGGATAATGGGCGGCAGCAGCAGGTTGAAGAAGATCTTGTAGTTAAAGCCCATGTTTTCGGTAAGTGGCGCGGCGGAGGTGATGCGCAGGATCATGCCGACAGTCATACCTAGAGCTTTTGTTAGACCACGGCAAGCTTTGGGACGAGCAGATGATACGCACCGGCAAAGATGGAAATAACGGTTTCGTGGACAGCCGTCACCTTTTTAATCTGGAGCATGTAACTGGTAAAGAAGGCCGCAATGAGCAACATAATGAAGATGAAGATGGCCCATGCCGCAATGATTTCGGACTGGGCGCCGTCTCCGGGATCTAAGGGCCCTTGTTAGTATTCGGTCGATGTTGGTCGGGGCGCTGCGCAAACGTACTCTCTTCGTCATCTCGGCCTTTGGAGGAAGGAAAAAGCGTTAGCTGTCAAGGTTGCTTGCCGGGGCGAGGACCACCATGTGATCGCCACAAAGAACGTACGAAGCAGCTGGTAGCCGAGACCAGCGAGGCCTGCGGTTACAGACATGATGCGGGAAATATTGATAGAGTGTGTTGTTGTAGTCGGGAGCTCTTGTTGGAGAGCCTTACGGCATGCGCAGGGGGATCATGAGCTGACGGGGTGGTTGGTAGGTAGGGCGGACTGGGGCCTGTGCTTGTGGGCGCAAAGCGAATTGGGCGGCCGCGGGCGAATTGCAAAATGGACGATGCGCTGGATTGCGTGGTTGCGGCGGACAAGATGCGGGTGTTGATGTGGTTGGAGTTGCGGATGCAGGAAACGCGCGGCTGCTCCAAAGTTGCCAGCTTGGTCGTTGTGTTCCAGGAGGCTTTGCCTGGTGGCGTTGCTGACTTGCCTGGCCGCCGCCTGTGGAGTGTCAGTGTGGCGGGCGGATGCAGTTTAGCGGCGTTTTCTGGTTTTAGGCTGGTGCCTTGCGACTGCAGGTAGACGGGTGCCCGCTGTAGGATGACGAAATGCACTGTAATAGGGTGGAGCGGGTCACCTTTTGATCCCGGGGCAAGAGAAGAGAGACAGGGCTTATATCCGGTGAGCAAGTTGGATGGAGTTGAAATTGTATATACTGGGAAATAGAGGGAATAAATTTGTTTCAGAAAAAAAGACAAAGAAGACAAGTGGTATGGATGGGGAGTACTGCTGCGTATAAGCGACACTGTTGTTAAAAAGGGCCGCACTAACGAATAACAGAATTCTGGAATAGACTAAAAGAGAAAGTGGTAGAATTTGAAGTTAGATTCTAATAATCTTCGTAATTTATTCATATTTATTTTCCGCTGCCTGACAACGTCCATCCACTCCGACCACTAAACACCCTCAGCCTTGCCTAAGTACTTGCGCCCCCACTACAGCTACTCTACACTACGGGGCATCGCCAACGTCGCCAGTCCGTCTTCAACCTGTCCCAACTTTCCGCCCGCTGCCTCCCTTGCCCACCATCGATCACCAACAACTTCATAGCAGACATAGGACTAATTACACGATCTTTAAAGTACACACAACGTAGCGCGCCATACACCTGCGCAGCCCGCCATGTACCACCTCGCAAAGGGCCTCTATCTCTACGCCACAAGCAAAGAAGGTGTGCACCAAGCTCACCGTCTCCCAGTCCCATGCCCCAACTAACCGCCTTCTCCTCTGCGCAGAATACTCTGTTATCCTCCTAGGCCTCGACAATGCCGGCAAGACAACCTTCCACGAGCAAATAAAGTCCCTCTTCCTCCCCAACGCCCCCGAACCGAAGCTCAAGACTGTCCCTACCGTCGGCCAGAATGTCTCGACGCTGCCTCTCCCCGACATGTACCTCAAGGTCTGGGATGTTGGTGGCCAGCTTACCCTCCGCAATCTCTGGCAGTCATATTACGCCAGCTGCCACGCTATAGTCTTCATCATCGACAGCACCGACGTCGGCGACGGCTCCCTTGAACACGATAACAGCGGCCGCTTGGAAGAGTGTCGCCTAGTGCTGGAGGATGTACTGCAGCACTCTGAAGCCGAAGGTGTGCCGCTGTTAATATTGGCCAATAAGCAGGATCGAGAGGACTGCGTAGAGACGATCCGCATCAAGGAGGGGCTTGTCAAGAAGGTCATGGAGGGCGACAAGGCCGCCAGCATTCGCGACTCAAGAGTCTTGGCCATGAGCGCGCTGACGGGCGAGGGTGTCAGAGAAGCGGTAGACTGGTTGAGAACACGAGTCCAGTGGAACAAAGAGTCACGGCCTCCAGTGATGCGGTGAGCGTGGTTGCAGAGAGCCCACACATACATATATAGATACAGGCGTTGATAGGCATTTCTTGGGGTTAGGGCGCATCATGATTTACGACTGGGCGATAATCTCTGTCGCAGCTGTGAGGGCTGTCTTGTAATATGGTGATATATATTTTTTACAATACAAAAAGATGAGCTTTTTGCCTCTAACTATGAGGGTATCATGACGTCGTTCAGTTTCTATCCCCTTTCGTGCCCCATCACCTGTCATTTTCGGCCGTTAGCTCGGCCAGCAGACCGCCCTTGTTTCTTCTCTTAGAGTCCTCTGCCAATTTCCTATCCACCATGTCTGTAAACTCCTTTGTCTTCTGCAGCGCGGTTTGCGCGCACTGCACAAACAGCGGCGCATCAATCGCTAGCCCACCAAGCTTGGATACCTGGCAAATCTCGCCGTGTCTGTTTAAGCTGAACGTACAATTGCTGGCTCTAAGCTGCTCTTCTAATAACGAAGCATCTAGAACCACAATATCGCCCTCGTCGCCGAAGAAGCTAAACGTGACGCAGAACGGAGAGTGCAGCCAGCTCAGTGGCACGGGCTCTCGCTCCGCAGGTGTGAATATCGTCAGTGTTTCGCCCTCCATGGTAGTCTCAGGCTTGCGGAAGTGGCGAAGGGCGGCGACAATCGCAAAGCATGCGGCATCGATTAAATTGCCATCGTGTGTGAGAACGTGGAGGTCCACGCGGACAGACCAGCACTTTTGCCCAGCGACCAGACATAGCGACTCCGTGTCCAAGGCACCAGAGCGGCGGATGGTCTTTTCGAGCAGACGAGAAAGAACGACTTCGGTCTCGGTAGGGCGGTTTGCTTCGATTGATGGCGCAACCATGGGGCTGAGCTCCGAGGCGATTATGAAGATGCCGTCAAACGGACGGTCTGCGAAGGGAACTGTGACTTCTGCGGAAACTTTGGCGAGAACTCTGCAGACGCAGTTAGCAACTATTACAAAAGGTAGACAAATAATGGAGTAACGAACCTAGTTTTGCCGAATTGCACCTCTGTTGAGCCGTACTCGTCGCCAAACTGAAGGCTCATGGATCGCCATTGGTCGAGCTTGCGGCCATCAAGACGCAGCCCTTCTCCCAGAGCTTGTAATGTAAATGTTCTCTCGCTAAGCGAGGGTTCTGCTTCTCTCGGCATGGCGAATCTGCGTCGTGACAATATTCACGAAATTTATTTGACAATTATTGGAGGTATAAGAAGAGGTCGACTACGTGGGGCAGACAAGCTACGTTTTTCGGTCGTCGCCGTTTGCTTGCAGACAGAATAATTCTGCCGGGCGGTGGGCCCGTCGATTTGGATCTCGTCGCCACGCCTGTCACCATCCATCTTTCGACAACTTCATTGCACTATCCCCCCATCATCACCCAAAAAATAACAGGGAATTAGTAGCCCACGATGACTACGGCCCACAGACCTACATTTGATCCCGTACGTCCCACCGCACACTCTCCCGCCTGACATCGCGCTAACAATCTCTAGGCACGAGGCAAGGAAGCCCTCCGCGGCCCAGCCTACCACCAGCGCCTCCTCCCCGCCCATACACAGCTCAAATACCGCCAATCCGGCCAAGGCGGTGATGCCGACGACGACGGTTCCACGCGCGACCTTGCTGCCGAGCTTCTCGCTGCTGAGTCTGCCCACTTCTCCAAGAAGAAGGGCATCAGCGCCCCCGGCGATGACGACGATGAAGATGAGGACGAGACTGCCGCCTCCCTGCACGGCGAGAAGCGAGCGCTACCCCCCCAAGATAATGAAGAAGAAGAAAGCTTAGAAGCAAAGAGACGGCGGATATTAGCGGAAACAAGAGACATCGATGCGGATGACAGCGATGAAGACAACGACGATGATGATGATGATAGCGACGACGACAGTGACGATGAAGATGCAGAGCTGCAACGAGAGCTGGAGCGTGTGCGTCGCGAGCGAGAGGAGAAGAAGAAGCGCGAGGAGGCGGAGCGGGCGGCCGAAGAGGAAGATGCGCGAACGCGCAATATCGCCCTGGGTAACCCGTTGCTCAATAAACAGGATTTCACAATGAAGAGGCGCTGGGACGACGATGTCGTGTTCAAGAACCAGGCCAGAGGCACAGAGGACCGAAACAAGAAGAAGGAGTTTGTCAACGTAAGTACCATACACATCTCATCACATGTCTTTTCTCGGGTTACTAACACGCTCTTTTAGGATATGCTACGATCGGACTTCCACAAGAGATTTATGAATAAATATGTTAGATAATTTTGTATTAGATTATGTATATACCACCCAACCAAGCGATTTACTCTTTTTCTTCTACTTTTCCTCCTCAAGCAGTCTATGCTCCATCTCTTCAAACGCGCTAAGCACGCTTCCGTACTGCTCGTATACGCCTTGTCTGTAGCCAATGTCTACCTTTTCCACGGATCCCTCCTCCTTCCATCTAGCGCCGATAAGATCATCAAAGGTCTCGCCGTCCTTGCGCTCAAGTCCCCAGAGAGCCTTGTACGCACCGCCCATGGCGCATGCGTTGCCGCCAACATCCAACTTATACACGCCCTCAGCGCCGCCAAGGACAGAGCCAATCACGGATGCAATGGCAGGGTTCAGCGAACCTCCACCAACAAGGTAGATGCGGCGCGGCTGAGCGGGGAGTAAGTCGTCCGGCTTGTGAACGAGCGCCTGGGAGCGAAGTCGCATAGACAGGGCCTGGGACTCGACAATGGCGCGGGCGTCCACGGCAGGCGACCATTTAGACTCGGACGGGTGCAGGTTAGAGCCGTCGGCGGCACATTCGTAGCGGTATGTGCCTGCGCGGATGTTGGGCACGGTTTCGCGCAAGTCAAAGTAGAGGCCAATCTTGGCGTTGTCCGTCTCTTCGTTGGTGACGTCGAGCGGCTTTGTGTCGAAGATGGCCTTGTTGAAGTTCTCCCAGCCAGTCGGGCCGTTTTCTGGCTTTGGTAGCGCATCGCGGACCTTTTCTCGCGAGAGGCCACCGTTCTTGTAGCACAGCATGAACATGTAGTGGCCTGCAGTTGTGGGGTGGTTGAAGAAGTGGTATGCGCCGTCGGGCTTGTAGGCAGGTGTGTTCATGAGGAAGGTTGTCGAAGTGCCTAACGACACAATGGCATCAAGAGGGCGCAGTGGCAGCGCGAGGATAGTCGCAGGGTTGTCGCCGGTAAACGGGATGATCTGGCAGCCCTTGTTGAAGCCGTAGCGAGAGACAAAGTAGTTGGAAATGGAGCCGAGGGACTTGCCACCGTCCATGGCCGGGGCACCCAGCTTGGCGCGCAGGTCCTCAACGCCGTCTGCGCCGCCGGCAAGGGCAAGGAGCTCGTCGTTGTAGCGCTGGTTCGGGATGTCCCAGAGGTTCATGCCGCAGACGTCGCCGACGTCCATGGGGGCGATGGATCCGAGGAGCACGGAGGCGAGCCACGAAGAAACGAGGGCGATTCGGTGTGTGTTGGCGTACATGTCGGGGAGAACACGGCGGAGGCGCATGATTTGTGTGCCGGTGAAGCGCTGCCCTTGTTAACTATGACCTTCTAATTGGGCTTGTCTTGAGACACTTACATGGTGAGCACCGCTACCAGTGGCTTGAGCGAGGTTCTCTCTGCCTCCAAGCTTGGCGTCAAAAGCATCGCATTCCTTTTGTGTGCTCTGGTCCTGCCAGTTGGGAGACCACGGATGCGCCAGTGCGGGCTTGAGCTGGTCGACAATGGCCTTGTCGGGGTTGAGCGAGGCGAGGAGAGTCTCGGCATCCTTGTTCCAGAAGACGCTGCCGTGTTGCTGGCAGGAACCGCTGATGCCGCGGATTCTATCCATGGGCACGGGCATGGCCTTTTGCAGACGGTCGAGGACGAGGTCAAGCGCCTCCATCCAGAGGGCGACGGGGGCGTACACCTCGCCAGTTTCTTCGCGGACATGGACACCCTTTTTGATGCCGTATGTAGCGGCAAAGTCGCCATCAAAGTCGACCTTGGCCTCGCCTACTGTCTTGAGATCGGAGCTGACGACAATGGCTAAAGTAGGAGGGTTAGTAGATGACAGAGGGGCTGTGGCCCGGGGTGGCGGGAGGCACCTTTGAGCTGCTGAGTGGAAAGATCAAAGCCCAGGTAGAGCGGTTGTTCGGCAGCCATTATGTGATGCTTGTACCCTGCAATTGGCGAGATCTTGGGGGAATTGAGGTGAAGATGGAAAAAAGTTTCGGTGAGGGGAAATTTCTTGGCGACGCCGTCATTGGCGCTAAGACGGCTCCGATCGCCGGGGGAAAATGTGGAGTAGCGAAAGATAAACAGGCAGCAGTATAAGCCTTTGGTTGGGCGGGATGATTGCCGCTGTGGTTGAGATGCGGTGGATTACGTAGCAGCTCAATATTTGTCACTGGTTAAAATGTGCAATATCATATCGCGTTTTATTTTATGCTGTATTATGGGCAGCTGTGCCAGCTGTCAACTGCCAGCTCCATGTACGCCACCATCGGGGGCTCATCGCCATGCAACGCACAAACCACCTTTCTTCTGACATATTCAAAAAAAAATTCCTATTCCAACATTTCAGGGTAATCATCACCATCCACTTTTTCCATTGAGGACGCCTCTCAAATACAGATGAGTGATATTTAAGCTGGACCTTTGTACTGGAAGGTAACCTTTTCGTTGTCCGAAAAGCTACTGCAAAGAGTCCTTCCGTTACCAACGATAATGGTGCTGCTCTCGGAGTTGGTAGCGTTGAATGTCTTGTTCATGTTGTTCTTTGCGTAAGAGCCTGTCATGGTAAATTGGTTAAACCTCGCAAAGGGCTCTTCCTTGTCGGTTCCGCCATTGCTCGGCTCCTCGTGGATCCATTCGACCGTTCCTTGGCAGAGCTTTAGGCCAGAAGGGGCCGATACACTGTGAGTCATGTTCGTGCCCTTGCTCTGATTCTCAATGTAGCTTCAAGTAGTTAGCAATTGCGATGGAAATCCATAAGAAAACCAGTCCCTCGTTACTTACATGCGGCCCGCGGTCTTGCTGGTGGCAATCACGTTGACATACACACGGTCACCAGCAGCGACTATGAACCAAGTTAGCTTTCACTGCGCAATGGGACAAAAAAAACGGAAGTCTTACCAGGAAGCTTGCTCTTGAACATGGGGTCAGGGTAGAACTCATACCAAGCATAGTATGTTGGCGCCTCGCCTCGTGTCACCTGGTACCAAGTTAGCTATTGCCAGCGTTCATCACTCTCGACCGTTTATTGGACTTACAGAACCCGCAGTGCCTGCTTGCAACAGCGCACCGCAACCGGTACCATGGTCGTCAATTCCGACCCAAGTCGCACCCGAATATGTCGAATTCCCAGATCCTGCTTCGCCCTCGCCGTCGGTGTTGGGATCACACGGCTTGGGCTTGTTGGCAGCCAGGCACTGCGTTCCTGGAGGGCAATGGCCTTGCTTCGGTGGGGGGCCGCTATTGCCGCTATTACCGCCCTTGGGGATGCATTGGCCGTTGGTCGGGCACTTTCCATCTGGGTATTGCTCTACAATGACACAATACGAGTTTGGAGGACACATGCCGTTACTAGGGAACGTGGGTGGTTGGTTGGGGTTGTTGAACTGACACTGGCCATCTGGACACTGGCGGGGGTCCGAGGTTGGGCATGTTGCTCGCTTCGACTGCTTGGGAGGAGCAGGCGCACTCAATGCATGGACATTCCAGGTTCCTTCGACGCTGGTAGCGTTGGTGAGCTTGAGAACGACGCCGCACCAATTGTTTGTTCATTCAGTTCGGGTGCTGAGAGGGCCGGCCAAGGCAGCCGTAGCCATGGACAGCGCGAGAATGGGAGCGTGCATTGTCAAGAATCAATGGCAAATGGGAATTGAGAAAAACTCAGGGCGAATCCGCAAAGATAAATCGAGAGTCATTGGCATCCTTTATAAACCCTTTTTCTTATTTAGCCCAATACGGATGGTACCTATATATTCCCCAAAGAGGCAGGTAGGCGTGTGGAGTATGCGAATCTACTGTAGGAACATGGGACGAATCTGAAATTTCAGCTTCTCAATGCCGAGACTGGGGGCATCGGTTTTCTAACGAGTTACCTGACTCGGTCGTGGATTGTTCTATGACCTTTTCCTGATCGACAGCAGCCATTGCTACCGTAGCACGCGATGCGCTTCTGTAGCATTAAGGTTAATTGTGCTGTGTTCCTTGCATGACTAGCGCCAATCCATTTTGCAACTCCAATTAAGTCGACTAAGATATGGAGCCAAGAAAATGGCTGCACAAATAAGATATACTTCTTGAACAGGCAACTGGGCCTGAATCGTGTGGTTGGATCGCCTCGTGTGAATTTGGCTTTGGTTCAAGGCACGTTACGTCGACAAAGCCTACGTCGCGGTGTCATCCGGCGGACAAACACCCTCCTATGCGACATGGAAATGTTACCGTGGGTTTGAGATTGCTGCGCTACAAATGATGACAGACGAAAAACCAGTATTGATATTCAAATGTATATTTAACAATTGATATATGGCAGCAGGTAGGAGGAGTGCCTATCAATGAAATCTATCCATGAAATGGTACCGCGAAATATCTAGTGCTTATGCGAGTGGCCGTTGGCCTCCGTCTCGCTCTCATCCTCTGGGTCAGCGTCGACGTTGCCAGCAACAAATTCATCAAACTTTTCGTTAACAGGGCCGTCCTTGGAGACGAAGCGGACACGAACGCGCTTCACACCGCGGACCTTGGCGCCCAGCTGTGCCCGCACAGCATCCTCGAGCTCCCGGAAGCCATCAACAGTCCACTTGCCCGGGACGCCAACCTCCAAATCGACCAGGTAGTTTTGGCCAGACTTGATACCACTCACATCGCGGAGCTCAGCCTCGTGGCCTTGTGGGACATTGGCAAAGGCACGCTGCGTCTGCTTGCGCACGCTTCCCTTGACCTCATCCTCGATGCTGATGTCGGCAAGCTCGTAGAGGGCCGACTTTGTGTTGTCGACGCCCGCCTTGACCACCATGAGCGAAATCAAGAGTCCACCGACAGGATCCAGCCAGGCGGCGTTTTCAACAAGGTTGGCGCCAATGATCGCCGCCAGGGTGACAATGCCCGTTAAGCTATCGACGCGGTGGTGGACGGCGTTGGAGGCGAGGACGGAGGACTTGCGTTCGCGGGCGACCTTCATGGCTGCGCAAAAATATGTTAGCATGTAACTACACTCTCAGTATCAAAAAATCGTAACGTACTAGCTTGGTAGAGCCATTCCTTGACCAGAATGGTGGCGCCCGCCAACCAAGCGGCATGCAGACTAGGGATGCCCAGGTCGGTATGGCTGTGGGAGTGGCTGTGGCCGTGACCATGGCTGCCGCCAAGCATGTCACCGATTGTATGTGCAAGTTCTGGGCTAAAGTAGCCAAACAGACTAATTGCGCTCTCCCAGCCCATATAGAAGCCTCCCACAACAAGCATGCCCGACACGCCTAGCGAGCCCAAGCTCTCGACCTTGCCAAAGCCAAGCGGGAAGCGATCGGAGGGAGGCTTGATACTCCACGAGACAGTAGCGAGAGTGAGGATATCGGATGCGAGGTCGGTAATGCTGTGCCATGCGTCGGCCACCATGGCCTTGGAGCCAAAGGTCCAGCCGCCAATGAACTTGGCAATGGCCATGAGCAGGTTGGAGAGCAGGCCGATCCGGGTGATGCGGACGCCGGGGTCGCTGGTGTTGGCGGAGATGAGGAAGGAGTTGTCGTGATGGGCATGGCTATGGCTGTGGCCGTGATGACCGCCATGGTCGCGTGTTTGGTGCGCTGAGCCCATGACGAGGACGAGCTTCTGGAGGCGGCTTCGTAGAGGGGGGAGGTGGAATGCGTGGGTGTCGTCTCTGTTGGTGTTTGTAAAGTAGGATTTGGCGGAGAAGTGTGTGATGGAGGGGTGTTTTGGGGTGGACGGAAAAGGAAATGCGCAATGAGGGACTAGAGTGGGAGAAGTAGAAGATGCTGAGGCCAAAGAGGTTGTGGTGGTGGTGGTGGTGGTGAGTGTCTGCACGAGTCGCCTGTGCATGTGCAGCTTGGGTCCAACAAGTGTCCTCCCAGAGCCCTGTCGAGGAGCGCGATGCACCGCGTGGGGCCCGAGTCGCACCACAGGCGCTAGAAGCGCGCCGTAGCCACTGCTGGGGCAGGGCGCTGGAATTAACGGCGCCACGCAGCAGCGGCCGGCGAGACGAGCAGCATGCCGCCTTGTTTGGGGTGACATTTTTTCTCTTCTTCTTTTATTTTTTCCGTCGTGTTGGGATTATAAACTCGGGCGAGCGAGGGGTTCGTACCGCAGTTTACTCGAATCGGGAAATCGTCCGTCCGCCACTAATCCAGGTGGGCTGCCTGCTGTTTGGTGGTGGTGCTGCTCGCTGTGGGTTGCTGCTTACGGGTACAGCGGTACAGGACAATTCCTCGGCGGCGGCCCTGCCCATACGAGCTGCGCTGGGGAACGCTGGACAGTTCAATCGGACGAGGAATGGGCGGAGAAGCTGCGAGGACACGCGGCGGATCAAGTGCTGGTGACTATACTCAGGTTCACAAAGTAAGAAATGTCGTTGTTTTTGTAGAGTTTGGGTGCAGACGGAGAAAAGCGGACGAAGCTGCCCCATGACGTGACAGCCCGAGCTGCAGGCCCGAAGCTCCGAAGTGGGCTTCCTGGCAGCGAACGGCCGCCGTCTTTGGCGATGTAGTGCTGCCCTTGCTTGCCTGTGGTACAAGCCTACAGTAGTGTACTGTAGCTAGCCGTTAGCGGGTTTTACAGTGGGCGGGGTGCTGTGTAAGTGGCGTACTGTAGAGCCCCTTCGGCGCTAAGTTTGCCAATGAATGTGGGGAAAGCTCCATCGCTGCAGATGTGCAAAACAGCTGATTTTCCCAAAGCCCGGCCCATTTAACAACCATGCAACTATAAGCAACAGCACCATCAGCAGAATCAGCCGTTATATTCCCCTGGTTCTACTTTTACTTAGGTGACCAATCGGAGCATCGCATTTTGCGATCCTGTCCGTTCCCGCTCCCGGGTCGTAATCGTATCACAATGGCCGCCCCAATGCGAAAGCCGGTGATGCGCATCCCGTATACCGACCTTCTCGCTCCGCCAACCCTGACACCAGCCTCTGCAGAATCACTGCCTGGTGCTGTTGCCGCTCTCCAGAAGTTCTTCACCACACCAGCCCCGCGGAATCTTCCGCCGTCAACCGTTGTCCTGACCGGCGCAGGTCTCTCCGTTGCATCTGGCCTCGCCGACTATAGAGGCGCCAAGGGCACATACCGCGTCAACAAGAGCTACCGCCCAATTTATTATCATGAGTTTATCCACAATCACGAGGCTCGCAAACGATACTGGGCCCGAAGTTTCCTCGGCCTCTCGACGCTGGACAGAGCGGCCCCGAACCCGGGCCACTATGCCATTCGAGATCTCGCTCGTCTTGGCCTGGTCCGAAGCGTGATTACGCAAAATGTCGACTCGTTTCACCAGCAAGCGCATTCAGATGTTCCCATTATCGAATTGCACGGGTACCTACGGTCCACTGTGTGCGTGAGCTGCCATTCTGAGTTCCCTCGCCAAGACTTCCAGAAAGAGCTGTCGAGGCTCAACCCGCGCTGGGACGAGCTGTTGCAAGAGGTCCTTGCCTCGGGCGCCTTAAATACCGAAGATCCTACGGCTCGCAACAAGCTAGGCATGCGGAGCAATCCTGATGGCGATGTCGATCTACCAGACGCCCCATACACCACGTTTAGGTATCCGCCGTGCCCCAAGTGCTTGGAGAACCCTAAGAAACTAGAGGACAAGACGAGTGAGATTGTCCAGACAGATAGCGAAGGTGCCTGGGCGCTTCCTAGCAACGGCGGCATTCTCAAGCCAGCAGTCGTCATGTTTGGCGAGAGCATACGGGATTCTGTCAAACATGCAGCAGAGGACGCCATTGATGCCGCCGGTAAGCTTCTGGTACTTGGAACGTCACTGGCCACTTACTCGGCCTGGCGACTAGCCAAGCGGGCCAAGGACAGAGGCATGCCGATTGCCATTGTCAACATTGGCGGTGTCCGAGGCGAAGAATTACTGTTTAAAGATCTCGATCCCGATCAGCTTGGCAACGAGGGCGTCCGGACCGAAGTCTCCATTGACCCGCTCCTACCAACCCTCGTAACTGAGCTCGGCCACGACTTTGAGAAGCACCCTGAGCATCGACCACAAAACAACAGCACGTTTAACCATATGATGTCATAAAAATAGCGTTTGTATTATACAGGATATATTGGTGTTGGTGTTGTACATATATAGACACATAGAGAGGAATAATAAATCCTTCTTAGAAGAAGTTTCCAAAGTTGGCCGGTTTCTTAGGCTGCGCCGGTTCCGCCGTCTCCGGCTCTGGCGTAGCCGCCTTTTTCGATGCCGCTGGTTTTGACTTTTGTTCTGTGTTCTTTTGCGGCGTAGCTTCGTCTCGTTCAATTGCTCGTAAAACTGCCAAGCACGTCAGCCTTCGTTGTCCATCCGTCCACGTCCATGATACATACCTTCTTCCCAGTCCGTCTCTCGCTGCGGCTCGCCCGTACCAAGGAGCTTTTCCACATCGACATCCTCGCCATTCTGAATGCGTTCCACAATCTCCTTGAGCTGCGCAATGCGTACCGTCGCCTGTCGCTTGTACCGGTCCGTCGAGTTGCGCAGCGCAATCATCTGAATCGACATGGACCCAATGAACAGAAACATGATAATGTAAAACGTCACAGGGTTCCACTCGCCCTTCTTCTTGTTCTTCTTTGCCCTTGCTTGTCGGTTCTCCTTGCGCAGCGGCTTCGGGACCAGCGACTTCCAGAAGCCAGCGTCCATGATTGTCTGGGGATGCGGCGCATCGCTCGCAAATCGGGCCTGCATGTGCAAGCACATTGTGTGTCGGAGAATAGCTGGTCGTGATTTCGTGCTCGCCTGCAGCAGCGACCGCATGGCTGCCCGTTGCAGCAACATATTTGCCGCCATGGTTGTCGGTTGTGATATCGAATTATGCTCCTCTTAGAAAAAAAGAGGCCTGTTGTCGGCCACTGACGTTGAAGATGCCCCACGTTGCCCTTGACAACATCCGGTGTTTAACCCGCCGCCAGCGCCTGTAATTCCAGCGGACCTGGCTCACTAAACGCGCTAAACAGGGCGCTGGGGCTAGTGGGGGCCACTCTAGCTTTCGTCTGGCATTATTTACTACGATGGATTTGTGAACAAAGACAGAAACGCCGCATTGTTTTTTCTTCTCTTACTGCATTAGACGCATTTCTGGGGTCCTTCGAATTTTGCATTGCAGAAATGTTATGATTTTTACTCTTGCGTCTTGTTTGTTTTCCCCCCTCACATAATAATAATAATAGCACCAGCCCGCGATGGCTTCGCTGCAGGCAACGGCCGACGCGGTCAAGCTAGCCACGAGCTCGATATCGACATGCACGCCCGCGACAATTGTCTCGTTACGAGAGCTTCTTACCGGTGATTCCGAAGCTGCGACTTCGTCGGCTACAGCATCCAAAACGAAAGCTGCAACTGCTACAAAGACACCAAAGACGCCTGCGCGCGGCAGCAAGGCGCAACCAGCGGCAAGGGAGCAGCTTGCTTCACGAGACCGGTTGATTCTGGCAACACACGTCATCAATGTCACGCTCAAGTCGTTATCTGAAGCCGCAAAGCCGCAAAAGGCAGCACCGTCATCACAAGCGACCGAGTCCGAACCAGAACAAAGCGATGCGAAGAGGACCCTGCGCAGGTCCAGCTCCGCGCCGCTCTCACCTGTACAACCGCGATCGCTGAATCGCGTAACAACGTCGCCTACAACACCAGCAAAGCCTAGCAAATCTGCAGCTTCTACTGCTTCGAGTCAATCGACAGGATGCGTCTCGACTGTAGAGTGTGCGCGTCTAGCGTTTGCCTGTCTGAGAAGCATCAAAGGGCCGCTGAAGCAGGACCAGACGGACTATCAGATCGAAAATGGCATGTCTGCTTTAGTTGGCAAGATGCTGGCCTTGGGCATGCACGACCAAGCTCTCAAGGAGCTTCGCATTCTCCGACGACGCTTCGACATCACTACACCCAAGACGAAAGCTGCGGCAGCCGAGCCCACGACACAGACAATGGCCGAACTCATGGCGTTTCCCATACCTACGTCGCCGCAAGGCCTGGCTACAGTTACGGGATGCCAGCTCCAGATATTAAAGCTCATTGCTGCAACAAAGAAGCCGGCGCATATACAATCCATTCTCCCAATCCTCGACGAATCAAACCCTTCCTCACCAATCAACCTCCTCGTTTCCCTCGCCAAAGCCAGTGGGAAAGACGCCACCAAGACGGTGCGACAAATCGCCGCTCTCTCACAAACAATACTCTCCCTCGCACCGAGCGTGTCTACCGCCGAAGATGCCAATGCCATGGAACCTCGATTATCGCCATCGCCACTGGCTGCCTTTCAGCTCCAGTGTCTCGCGTTCCGATGCCAGCTTACATGGTGGAAGCTTGCTGGCCACAAAGCCAAGATTGACGATGAACTCGTCTCGCCGCTCTCCAGGTGCATGCGCGCGTTTGCTAGACGAATGGCCAGTGACGAAGCGACAATGTATAAAACTATGACTGACTCCTACGAACGACTCTGCGACCTCATCCAGGCCGGTGGATACGTCCCCGACCAGACGGCCAACTCACCCACCTTGGCCATTTATCAAATCTTCGCAACAGCCGCTCATAGCGCCAAACGATACGACGATGCGTCTGAGTGGCTGATCAAGACGAAGGAGCAGCTTGAAGCAACAGCAGCCGGTTCCATGCGCTACGCTTCGACGCTTGCCAGACTTCTCGCTTCAACACTTAAACAAGGTAGCCTGCCTTCGAACGTGTCAGACTTGGCTCGTTCAGTCATTGAGGGTCTGGATGGTAGTTTAAGCGGTACTTCAACTGAACTGAATGAACTGATAGACGGGTTATCGTTGGCGCGACGATCTGTTGTCGGACGGCTCATGACGATACTAAACCCAACCTCCACAACAAAGCAGGAGACCACCGAGCTTGATGAGTTACTCAAGTCGTTCGTACTGCGATACCCCCGATTTGTCCGCCGCTGGATGGGCGGCACTCCAGCCAAGGATGCTTCGCCAAAGCAAGTTCTCCAGTTTGACCAGCGCCGCCAACTCGTGATGAAGTCGATCAACCAAACACTCGATGCGTCTCTGATGGTTCTCAAGTGCGACATTCAAGCCTCGGCTGTTGAGTGGGCGCAGATTGATGAGGTCCTACAGCATTGTTCTAGTCTTCTCAACACCTTGGACGATCCTTCGCTGTCTATCCCCAGAGCCGAGCAGCTGGGCGGCTACTACGTGAAAATCTCTAGTCTCTACTTTCTCTTCTTCTCGCAGCTGCGCAAGGAACCCAACAGACCCAAGGAACTTAACAAGCAGATGCTTCAGTCGCTCAGCCGCTCTATTGAAATCGTCAAGGACCGCGCGCCAGCCGAGCGTGAAAAGGCACAGTTGGCTACTAAACTTGAAATCTTCTCCGACATGTGCAAGGGCGCAGGCCGCGCAGACGATGCCGTGCGCACATTAAAGTCTATCTGCACAGACATGGCCGAAGACGGTGTTTTGAAGGACGTTGCTGCAGCACTAGCATCAGAGTCACCGGATGTTGCCTGGGCTATGAGCAGCAAGTCCAGCACGCTATCGCGAACGCTGCGATCCATTTCTAAACTCGACAAGTCGTGGAATGACTGGACCTTCTTCCTCCCCGAGACAGAGCGCGCTGCTGTCCTAGAACACCTCCTTCGCCTAAGTACAGCAGCCAGCGCTACTTGCGCACCGCCTAAACTCAACGACCCGAGCATGAGCGCGCTTCTTCGTATCTACTCTCTTGAAAAGTACCCGGTTCGCCGTCTGCGGGTACTGCTGCATCTAATGGCACAGGCTCTTGGCGATGAGGCTGAAGTGGATGAACTTGTTGTTCTTGTTGACCAAGGTCTTCGTCAAGTATCGGGTCAGGATCTGGGCGACGATGCTGCGCTGGAGAGATTTATTGCTCATCTACAGTCCTACCATGCGTGCGTTCGTGCGCTTGCTGTGCCGGACGCTGATGCTATGCCAGCGCTGGACGACGCTATTTCGACTTGGGAGAAGCTTGTGGGCAGCTGCGAGTCCAAGGCCGACATTGATAACGCCATTGATAACCCAGAAAGCTGGATATGCCATTTACAGTCCCTAGGACGGCTGGCAGAGCTCAAGGGAGATGCACAGCTACAACTGCGCATTTCCAAACTAGTCGTGGCTGCATCGAAAACGGTGCCGTCAACCTCGGAAGTCCCTGGCGATGGCCATGTTGCTGCTCACTGTGAATTGATTATGCAGTACATCAACACGGGCTCATTTGCAAAGGCGTACCAGATGACTGAACTAACAAACACACTGGTGGAGAGCTACAAGGATATTTCTCCAAGAGTTCTTGCATCGTTCCATCTGGCTCAGGCCGAGTACTACGCTGGCCTGGGAAACTCTGAAGAATCGTAAGTGAATAATCCTAATCTTTATAATGAATATTGCTAACGGCTATAGAATGGACTACTTGTCCAAAGTAAACAGCGTCTGCACGGAATCCTACAGCTCCTGGGCGACGTCCAAGTCTCAGGCTACCTTGATGATCTCCATGGCGTCGCTGGTTCAGTCCATGGTGTCACTACAGCTAGGCGATCTCGAGGATGCTCTGGTCAGCAGCAAGAATAGTGTCCGGCTGCTCTCGCACGATTGGTCAAAGTTGGAAGCCTCTCTTACAAATGCTTCTTCGAGTGATACAAGCAGCGTTTCTGATGCCAGCATCGACTCTGTACAGCTCAAGGGCCGCACGACTGGCCCCAAGTTTTGGATGCTGGCATCGCCTCTGCTCCGCAGTTTGCTTCACATGTCGTCGGTATATGCACATGTTGGCATGTTCCAGGAGACGGTGTACTACGGAGAGGCTGCTTTGAAAGTCGCCGAGAGCGCCGAGTCACGGCTCTACACTACTCAAGTCAACGGGTGGTTGGCGTCAGTGTACCTGCGAGCCGGGAAGCTCGATAAAGCTGGCCTCCTGTTTGGCGATATCCGAGCTCAGATTCCCGATGCTCCTTCATCTGCCAAGGTGAAGCTTGCGCATCATCTTGCTGACTATTACTCCGGGGCGGGAGACAACGCTGCTGCTCTAGAGTACTTCAAGCTGGCCGAGGTGACAGCAGCGCGTCTAAACCAAGATGAAGCCGCTGCTGTGGTCGAGACGAAACCCAAAACGATATCTAGAGCTCGTTCGACAAAGGCGCGAGCCCCGGCTGCTCGAGCAGCCGTCAAACGCACTGGGACGACAGCGAAGACTGCAGCACCTCAAGGGGCTTCATCGTCACCACCACAAGATGCCCACCAGGCGTCTCTGCTTGCTGCCATCATTCTATCTCAAGCAGCAGCCTGTATTCGCGACAAGGACTACTCGACTGCGCTCTCCATCCTTGAGCGTGCCAAAAGCCTGCCCAAGATGGCGGGCTCGGCGTACCAGGAACAAGTCATCACCGCCATGTCTCTCATCGGACACAGCATGGAGCAGATAATCTCTGACCCTGTGTTCTCCGTCATGCAAGACTCGACAATCTCGTTCCCTGCTGTTGCGAAAGCCATCGAAAAGGCCTCTCCTGACAAGGACGCAGCTACCAAGTCGCCGGTAAAGCGCGGCCGAGCAGCCACAACAAGTCGCAAAGCCAAAGACAGCTCCTCGCCAGCTTTCACAGAAGCTCTTCTCCAGGCTCAGGACTTACTGGTTCAGGCCCATGCTACTGCAATGACCACCTCAGACAGCAGCATGGTGCGCCGCATCTCAGCGCTTCTCCAAAACACCATCATCCTCCTCTCCGCAACGTCGGCCGGCAAGCCTAAGAGCGCCGTGTCGTCTGCGCTGGGCACGGTGGCCGTCGACCTCGCACACAACATCACCTGGCGCCGCGAGCAAAAGGCTCTCTGCGCTGCAAGCCCTCGCCACGACGACCCCCAGGAACAAGCGATGCACACGAACCGCCGCATGACAGTTGCTCTGACGTCTGATATCGCCAGCTTCCAGACAAGTTATGTCGAGAACATACCCGCCAAATGGAGCGTCATGTCTATCTCACTCAGTGAGAACCAGCATGACCTATGCATCACCAAGTTCCAGGCTGGCCACTCGCCGTTTATCCTGCGCCTTCCCTTGGAGCGCGCCAACTCGCGCGATGCCGATGCCGAAATCTTTAACTTTGAGCATGGCAAGGAGGAGCTCCTTGAGATTATCAAGCTGGCTAATGAGAGCAGTCACTCGGCGCGCGACTTTAGCATCCGCGGCGAGCGCAATGCCTGGTGGGCGGAGCGTGAGGCCCTCGACACACGTCTCAAAGACCTGCTTGTCACGATTGAAAGCACCTGGCTCGGCGGCTTCAAGGGCATCTTTTCACAGCATGAGCGCCGGCCAGACCTACTTGCGCGCTTCCAGAAGAACTTCCAGAAGATGCTGGACAGTAGCCTGCCGTCACGATCTGGACGAGGCAAGAAGGCTGCCACCGCTGCACCAGTAACGCTGGACCCGCGCATCCTGGACCTGTTTATTGGTCTTGGGGACGCAACGGACCTCGACTGCGACTTTGACGAGGCACTCAACGACCTGCTCTACTTTGTCGTGGATATCCTCCAGTTCCATGGCGAACGCAACGCTTACGATGAGATTGACTTTGACGCCATGGTTGTTGAGACATATGATGCTCTACGCGGGTACCATGCGGCGTCCAAGAATAGTGCCGAGCGCGAAGACGGCTCCCATACCATTTTAGTTCTTGATAAAGCACTACACGCATTCCCCTGGGAATCGCTGCCTTGCATGCAAGATCTAGCCGTGTCGCGCGTGCCGTCGCTCGCCGCGCTGCGCCAGCTCCTCGCCGAGACGAACAAGGCCAAGTCGCCAGCCTCACCGCCGGGCCACTACGTGTCTGCCCAGGGAGGCACGTACATGCTGAACCCGTCGGCGGACCTGAAGACGACGCAGGCGTTTTTCCAGCCAGCCTTCCGCGCGGGCCTGCCGTCCTGGACGTCTATTGTGGGTAGCGAGCCGTCGGAAGAGGCCTTTGAGGCTGCGCTCAGCGGCTCATCGGAGATTCTGCTCTACTTTGGCCACGGTAGTGGCGCCCAATACATCCGCGGCAAGACGATCCGCAAGATGGCAAAATGTCGCCCGGCCACGTTCCTCATGGGCTGCAGCTCTGCAGCGCTCTCGGAGGCTGGCGACTTTGAGTGCTATGGGCCCGTCTGGAACTACATGATGGCCGGGTGCCCAGCAGTCGTTGGCACACTGTGGGATGTCACAGACAAGGACATTGATAGATTTGCTGGACGCGCGTTTGAAGAATGGGGCTTATTTGCACGGGGTACCTTTTCGCAGGGTGCAGGAGTCAAACAGGAAGGCGAGAACATGCATGGCAATGCGTCGCTTGTTGAGGCTGTCATGAGGGCGAGGGGGGCGTGCAAGTTTCGCTACTTGAATGCGGCGGCTGTGGTTGTATATGGTATTCCCGTGTATGTTGATGCATAATGTGGTGTTTTGCTTATTTGCCTGGTTGCTATTTTTAAATGGGCCATTTCACCTTCTTCTTTTGGCCGTTTTGTATAGAGTATTATAGAATTGGGATAATTTATGACATGTTACAACACTTGGTCCCTATACAGACGAGGTCCTTGTGTTTGCGCAGGCAAGCAAGGGAGCGATGTGTGTGCTGTCTTTGATGGGATGCGACGTCGTAGTGTAAGTGAGGCCAGGCGCATTTGCAAAAATATAGCTACATGTTTGCCATCCAATGTACACTGGCGCGTACCAACAGTTCACAACAGTATCGCTGCTCTCCATCGCACAACGACTGCTAAACAGATCCAAAACGCTGTTGTTGAAACTCGCTTAGGATGGAGGCGCTGCGCCCCTCGGCCGCACTTGTCACCGACCATGACGCTGTGTGTAATGCGTCCCAGCTTTCTTGCTCCGGTCATCCGCCTCCCAACAAAATAACTTTGGATGCAATCGTATGATGGCCAAGCGTCATGCACACACAAGACAGCATCTCATTTGGTCTACAGCGGACGAAAAAGGTAGTCAAGTGGCACCCAACCGCGCCCCCCGTGTTTCGAATATAGATTGACAACCACACCTTTTCTCGGGGCGCAAATTACGATCCCGGCGCCGCACAGCCCCGGTCTGGCCTTAAGACTACGCCTTATATGGATGGTGTTGCGGCCCGCACGCCGTCGAGCCTCGCCTTCGACACGTGCTGCGGCCGACCAAAGCGTCGCATCTTTTGCGTACAAAGTGTCACTCCACGGTGGATAGCCCACTCCTGGGCTATGGGAATAGCAGCAGCCCACTCGCTATGCAAGCTAGCCCATCTGCAGGCGGGTGTGCAGGTCACTGCCAGCGAGCACCTACTTCTGCTGCTCCCCGTCGAGAAAACGCTCCCTGAACACAATCAAGAGGCGGTGGCGATGGTTAGGCCGCGGTTCGTTGTGCATAAGAGCACACACTACAGGGGTCATGGTTGGTCGCCGTCGTCACTTACTGGGCTTTGTGCAGGATGGCGCGGTAGGGCGCGGGTACCGAGTGGCGGGCAGGCACAAACAACTGTTTGCTCTGCGTTCCCACCCCCAGTCACGATCGCCCTGCCAGCAGGTGGGTTCTCGTTCTTTGGCGGCCGTTGGCACACTCCGTGACAACGGGGAGAAGCCCGGTGTCAGCAGCGACCAACAGCACTGCTGCTGCTGCTGCTACAGTACTACAGAGTATGACTGTGCGCCGCAGATTGGCGGCGCGCACTGGGTCCATCGCCGGACTAAGACGCAAGAAGCCCAAAAAGTGAGGGCCGCCGTTTGCTCGATTCATGCGTGCTGGGGTCCATCGACAAGAGCGGCTTGGTGTGCGATACGCTAACCTTAGTGCTCGCTAGCTAGCGCTAGCCAGTGTGCTGGAAGCACAGCACGTCTTTGTGTTGCAAGGAAGGTCAGTTGAATGAGACACCGCTGAGCAGCCCTGCCGATCTTGGGAGCGTTCTCGCCTCTTCCATTCCCTCCCTCACCCACGCTGCTTCCTGTTGCGCTTCGCCGGTGTGGTGGTCGAGACATGCAATCTGCAACCTAAACCACGCCCCAGACGGCCCCAAGAAGAACGCTCCCAGCCCATCGCTGCTCCACACACACCCTTTATGCCGGTAGTCACCAGCTAGCGCCATCGTGCTTCTACCTAATCACAGGCCAGCGCTGCCCACAGTTGCAGCGCCCCCTTTTGCTAGGGCTCCTAATTAGTCAAGAAATGGACCCGTGTCTCCCTACCCCGGGCGCCGCCGTTTCCCAGTTGCTTAGGGGGGAGGGAGCCTGCTCTACTGGAGGACCAGGCTTTCCGGTGGAGGACACTGGCAGCAGCGTGGGGCGGCCAGCCCTCCCCTCTGGCTGCAGGTGACAAGAGGAGAGCGATCTGCTGCTGCCAGACAAGGATGCAAAGGTCTGAGGATAGATTGCAGGCGGCGCTTTACGCCTTTGGCTTTCTCTTTGGACGGAAGAAGCCACCCCAGCATGAGAAGAGAGAGGGGATGGAACGGGGGGGAAAGCCAGGATCGGGCATAACGCTGGCCCATCTTATGGCAGCCATCTTGCAACGCGCTCAACATTACACACTCGTTCTTTAGCTTTCCCTCGAACAGGAAGGTGCTGTCAACAAAACCAACAGTCGTAAATGGCTGCCTTGAAACTCAATTTTTAGCATGGACACCTTTTTGACATCAGTGTTCCCAGGTGCGTGGTCAGAAATCGGCGTTGAGTGGCTCATGTTTCGCCGCCAGCGGTGTCTGACTTGTCAGGGTCATAGACTGACCCAGCCCGGTGTCTCGGGTTATTGGTCGTGTTGGCGGACCTCACCACGAGCCGCCTTTCCTGTCTCTCAATGGAAGCTTTAGTGGAGTTAGTTACGTTCCTACTGGGCGGGCGTCCCTGGCTCTTGGGCTCGTTGGTGACAAGGAAGGTCTCTGAGCCAAACCAGCGTTGGGGTGTACCGGTTGCAACGTGGGCGCCACGTCCATTCTCTTAGCCTGCATACAGGGAGCCATTATACCCCCAATCTTACATCATTTGAAGCCGGTTCTCTCCTACTTTACTTGATTGCGGCTCCTTCAAACAGACGAATGCAGGGGTGTCGTTGTGTCTCTCTATAGATTTCGTAGCAAGGGCCAATAACAAGGAGGAGTGAGATTTCGCTCGCGAGAACTAGCAGCTGGCATCTAATAGTCCGAGAACTGAAGAGTTGCATTCACATGAATGCAGGGTCGACTTGGCGGAGCAGCTTGCATCCGCGAATCTAGTCGAGATATAATTCGACTGAAGAAATCGCCGTAACTGTAAAAGAAAAAAAGGTACATGTGTCTAAAGTACCCTCGATCGCCGTCCTTTTTTGGCGTTGTGGTCCTCCTATTCGATGTAGCATGTCAGATAGGGTGCGGAGACTACGCCGCAGTTCGCCGATGACTCGTGTAAGTTGGGCCATGAAGGCTAAATCACGAACCAATGCCAAAGTTTGATAGGCCGCGGGCGGCGTGGTATATAATATTCCACGAAAGTTAAAATACAAACTAGGCAAAGACGGGTTCTATATTGTCAGGTTCGTTTTGGCCACGAGGCTGTCGATCCGCCGTGTTTGCCCTGTTAGTGCCTGTTGCTCAACCAGCGTGTTGGTACCGTCCCGTAAAGAGTCGGCCTAGCGCCAACGTAGGAGATTTCGCCATTTTAGCAAAGCACAGCATCGGCTTAGAGCCAATAAGATGGTAGCGTCAGGCATCCTAACCTGTCCAGTAGCATAGATCTCAGGGTCAAAGATCGGCCAAGTCCCGGCCGGAGATGCCAATCCATCTTGAAGAGTAATCAGTCGGATTTGCAAGGCCGAGAATTACCTCGAGCGGAAACATTGCTCTAGAATCCGTGGCAAATCTTATAGGTTTCCGAGCATAGGCGGGCACGGCAGCGAATCTAGGGGCGAACGGGCGCCGAATCTTGGTTTTGAGTTTAGGTGCAACAAACTTGATAGAGCCGATCCTGAAATTGTCATTCTACGGCAAGTAAGGAGCATCCAAATTCACAAGACTGGTATGAATTTGATGCCAGAACCAAATGGTCTGTGTAAAGAATGCAGAACCTGGTTCGTTGCTCAGGCATGGGCCTGTCGGTGACGGTTTCCGTTTTTCCGTCAGCGCCAGCTCCAGCTTGGACGGGGCAAATGAGCACAGGGGCTCTCGCATCACACACTCTTTTCATCTTGTTGTTAGATATCCCTGTGCATCTGATGTAAGTACTGCTGTAGGGCGAGCCATGGACAACAATGAGCTGCTGGTGCTGCTGTTTGCCATGGCACCATGTCGTGAAAGCCGAGGTCCGTAGGAACAAGAATAGACGGATGTTCGGTATAATTTGTGTAATTGGTTTACAACTTGGCAGTGTTGCGTGCTTTTACTTGGCATTAGAAGTCTGTCGCTAGTTTTCCTTGGTTAGAGTTTGCCATTCGAGAGTGTTCCCGCTGCCAAAAGAGGAACATGATCATCAGGAAGACGAGACTCCGAGACTGTGGTCCGCGGTTGGCCGTGCTACGCTTGTCGCGGCGAGCCTATGAATTACACCAGGGTGGCGCGTGCCCGCCCGTCAAAAGACCGTTGGTATGTCTCTGCTCTCCGCCCGTCCCAGCGGAAACAAGCCAGACATGTCTCAGTCACCACAGTCGTTCTCCGTTCCGCACGAGAGAGGAGAGAAAGAGGGCATGTGGATCAGCATTCAATCACCCGCCTACACTACCTGAGCTAGAATCGGCAAGGGAGGGAGAACGGGGGCCTGCAAGGCTGCAGCGCCATGGCCACTGGGCTTGTGCACTGCACTGTGAATCCATCCCAGCAACAGCAGAGCAAAAGAGAGAAGGAAAGGCGCGGATCACCGGCCGACCGCAGTGTGAAACGCACAGGGTTATCCCGAGAGCGCGGGACGAAGCGGCGCATGCATGGAGGAGGCTTGCTTGACTTGTCTGACGGGTGAGGGTTTCTTTTTTGGGTAAGGGCTGCTCGAGACGAATGTAGTAGCGTTGTTCTTTGGGGTGCGTTGCTTTTCCTGGGTGTGAACTTTTTTCTCGCTCTACCATGATTTGTCTTTTGTAACTTTGTGCCAGGTGCGTTGCGTGTTGCCAAGTGCCAGTGTACACACAACCAGGTGGCAGCAGCTGTGCCAGCCGTCAAAGTGTGTTCCCCCTCCTCAACCTCTGTTCTGCCTCCACTCTGGGCCAGCCGCCGGGGGCGACTGCAGAGACACCACTGGGTAACGCTAAGACAGGTGCTGGAAAGGGCGTAGCGTTGTACCAGCGGTCACCTATCGGCCCGGTGGGGGGTGTACACACCAAAAGCTGCGCCTGCGCCCTGGGTTCAACCACTAATAACGGGCATGCTCGATCGAAAGGGGGACAAGACAAAAAGTCGTTTAGATTACAACGAACTATGACCCTGTCAATTTTTTGGTGGGGAGCAAGTGCTTCATTTGTTTATGTTTGTTTTATTGTATTCTCACGACGCAGCAGTAGTGAGTGAGAGTTCCTCCCCCAGCGGGTAAAAGGCAACGAAAGACCAAGACCAAGACCAAGAACAAAACTTACCCAGCAAAGTACCCTACGTTAACAGGCACTTTACCTTGCTTGTTCATGGGAAGGTTCCGGCAGGCACAGGTGCGCCATGGACCAGCCTGGACGCAGGCGATTGACGCCACCAAAAAAGGCGCCCACCACGTTTGCGGGGGCTTTCTTGTTTCCTGCGGTCTAATTATTTACAGCTACGATAGTGTGATAGCCCATCCGTGTAATTTGCGGCGTCCCGCTTAGTACGCTTAACAGGAAGAAGAAAACGTGCACGTTTACTACACCAATTGGGGGGCGGCTCTTTTAGGCAATCGCAGCCTCGCCCCCTTGACCGAAGGCGTGCTTGTCAGTAGTAAGCGCGTATTCGGCGTGGAATCGCTTCCACTGGGGGAGGACAGAATACCGTTTTCCAAGTGACCCTCTGTGTCGGGTCGGGGGTGTCCTCTTTGCATAGAGCGAGGGGTGTTTCTCTGCAATGCGTGCTTGCTGCATGCACTTCTACGTGCGTTGAGTGCAAACAGCCTTTTCATATTGCTCCCCACGATCTATTGTTGTATACAGCAGGGTCTGACTACTTTCCAAAAAAAAAATTATTATTTTTTTTTCAATTTCTTATTATTGTATTAGAACCAATCCGTTTTATTTACTACTGTAAAATAGACTTGGTACTACCATCTTGTCTTTGCAGCAGCCATCCATTTGTGACAAAAGCTACTCCTACAATTCCTGTTGCTTGCTGTATGCTCCACCACCACAGGTAACGCATTCATTCATCCCTTCGTCCCTTGTCCAGCGTCCCGCAAATATCCTTGCGCGCGCAGGTCTCCGTTGCATATTGCCAGATTCCCCCCGGGATAACGCACGTTGGACGTTTGCCCCCAGTCCTCGCCGCATTCCTCCGCCCAGTCATAGATGCCCTTGTCTGTACATCCATCTTATCAACCACCAAGCAGGTCGTGGACAAGCCGCCTGCAGTCTGCTAGTTTCAACTCGCCGCAAGTCGAGACTCTCTACTAAGAATACGTGGAAACTGAACATAGCGGCCTGGCACTGTCGATGCCACCCTTCATCGTCGGCTTAACCCCCACGATAGCCCATCAGACAGTACGTCAGTACAACACCACCCAACCAGGGCACACGCTAAACGGCGACCTCTTTAAGCCGAGGGAAAAGTGGACAGTGTCTTCCTTGTTAGGTCCTTTGGCGCCATCTTTAGCGCGTTTCAGTACCGATGGCGGGCCCGATTTACTGTTGCCTATGGCTCCTTTCTCCGTGGCCCCTCCTTCTTCTTTCTGTTACTCTTAACTGCTTTCCTGATCCTGCTTAGCTTTGGCGTAGTTTGTGTTTTTTTTGGATGATGCGTGCTACCGCTGGCGCTGCTACCCTACCCAGGAGTACCCTATTTTGGCGTGTGGCGCTCAACTATTATTCCCGCGCATGCAAGAAGGAAAAACAACAGAAATATATATAGAATATTTAATCTAAACTAGGTGGCGTGTTTCTGGGCTCTTTAGCGAGGGCCAATCCTTATTTTTGTTAATAATTTCTCTCATGTTGATTACCTCTTTCGCTTTGTGCACAAACACGCACGCACACCCTCCAGCCTGTCTTTGATTCTGTGGTGTCTTCGTCCACCGGCTAACCCACTTGCAATGACACCCGCATCGGCCACGGTAGGCTGCTATTCCCATTTTTTCTTCCTTTGATTTCTCTTGTTTTTCATTGGAGACTATGCTCGGCTTAGCGGTGCACGCAGACGACAATGCTAGAGAAAAAGGAGAGACATCAAGACATGCGCATAGTATAGTAGCAGTGGCTGGCACTGGCTGCAAGCGAGGCACACCATGACAGGGCACAATCGTAGATGAGAGTCAATTCATGCGACGGCAATGCTGGGCAATGCTTCCAGAGGTTGTTTTACTTTACAAGCGTGTTCCTGGGCCGCCACCGCCCACCGGATGCAATGGTGCATTCCACGTTGGCATTGTGTGTTAGCCCCTGCGCTTGTACATCTTTTCTTTGTAGTTGTGGTTTTGTGCAATATGTAATGTGTCCACGAAAGCCAGAAGCTGCTACAAATATACACATGCGTTGGTGTTTGTTTTGTTCTTCAAATCGATCAGCACTTGTTTTGTTCATCTATACTATATGGATGTTCACTCCCAGCCCTAGCTGCACCACCACCACCATCGATCCCTACTATACAGAAAAGAAGGCTGAGGTCGACAATCCTCACGTTCCTTGTCCGGCGATTTCTCCTTTTCCCCCTCTCGTCCGACGCACACCCGCATGCTGTGGGCACAGAACATCGGCCCTGCATGTGCATATGCTGGTGGGCAGTCATTACATATCGACGTGCATAACGAGTGCCGAGGGATGCTGCAAGCCACCTTTTGCGGTGTTTAACCCATAGACGTTGAGAACTAAAAAAATAAGAACACGAGGGAAACGACGAATATACGATAACTGGAGCAGCAGTAAACAGCTGAGACAAAAGAAAACACAAGGAAAACGAAAAAAAATAAAGTGTGCACATCAAGGCCCCCAAATCGAGGTGCACAAAATAACGGATCGTCCGACAGCCGCAGCGTCAGGACAGCAAACGCGGTATAGGTCCGCGCTTCCCACGCCGCGCTCGCTCTGATTGCTGCTGGTACTGAGAGGCAATGAGTAGTAGCCTGGTCTGTGTACACGCTGTACGGTCTAGACAGTATACTGCAAGATTATATTGACGGGCAGTGCAGTATCACTGTTTGTTTGTGGTAAGTCTGCCTATCTCTCTTTTTTATATCTTCAGCATCGTCTATTCTTTTCTTTTGCTTTCTTTTTTTATTCCTCTCCTCCCTCCCTCTGCATCATCGCCATCGTCCTTCTTTTCTTTTTTTTTCTTCTGTTTTTCTAGCCTCTGCCGCCGCACACGCCAGGCCTGGCCCCCCCATTACACGCTAAGCCCAAGAAAGAAGATTTAAGCCCCCCCTTCTCGAGGGACTACCCACCCCACTGAGCCACGCCCCCCGGTCCCCAGTTTCCAGTTGGCCATAGCGCCCAATCTGCTCGCTGCAGTCGCTGCGTTGGCCCCCGCTTTCACTTTTCGTTGGCCCCCGCCCCTCTTGTGGTTGTTTTTTCGAAAATCCCCTAGAGGAGCAGCCGCCGCCGCACAGTGGTGAAAGAGAGAAGAGTACTTGTGGCTCAGGTATTTGGGAACTACGGGCATAAGGGACAGGCGTGTGTTGTATTTCTTGTGCACCTCGTCCTTCTCTGTTTTTCTTTTCTTTTTTGTTCTTTTTTTATCTTTGTCGTTTCCTTTTCTATTTATTGACGTTTCCTTTTCTTTATATTTTTTCTTCTTTCTTTTCTTTTTTTTTATAGCTAATCGAAACAGAGATATGCCACCACAACCACCACCTCCACTGTACAACCAACACCACAACCACCCGTCAACAAGCTTCCAGACGCCCCAGCGCTTCTACCACAGCACCTCCACCACCGCCACAACAACCACTGACAGGTCCAGCGGCGTCTCACTGGCCCCCCAGCGAATCCACCACCTCCACACCAACCCGCTTGAGTGCCGGCGCCACGCTCAGTTCCAGTCCCAGGCCCCGTCCCAAGCCCTGCTGCACCGGCGGATTCCAGTGGAGGCCCAGCAGACAAGGTCCACTGCTGCGAGCACCGCCGCCGTTGTCGCCAACAGCGCCTTTACTGCTGCTACCACCACTACTTGCACCAGTGCTTCTTCTTCTTTTCCTACTTTTGCTTCTACTGCTACCATTACGAAAGGTATTTCCAGTGTTGGAGGAACAACATCAGGGCTTACTGCTGCTGCCGTCACTGCTGCATTTCCATCGGCTGTCGATTGGGACAATTCCATCTCCTCCTCTTCTTCCTCTACTACTTCGTCTTCTTCTAGCGCCTGGAACCCGTCTTCTTCCTTCTTCTCCCGCTCTTCCTCTTCCGTCTCCTCCTCCTCCTCTTCTTCAGCCACGACCAGCGCTAAAGCTGCTGCTGCCGCTAACGCCAACGCTAACGCTCCAGTTGATACTGCGTTCACTGTGACTGGTGCTTCTGCGCTTGCTGCTACTACTGTTCCAGACCTCTGTGACTGGCTCAACCTCTCCGCCTCCGCCTCTACTTCTCTCTTTTCCTCCTCTTCTTCTCCCACCACCGCCACAACCACTTCTCCCAACTTCACAACCACAACCACACGACCTGCGTCGTCTTCTACTCCTCCCTCCTCTTCTCATCTCTCTTCCCAACGAGTAGACGCTTGCGCCTTCTCCTCGCTTGGCTCCATCATGGATCCGTCGCAATTTGGCGACTTTTCCTTTCAATACGACTCGCTACCTATGCACGATCCGCACGTCTTCACCTCAGACCAATCTACCCTCCTCTCCGCCGCCACAAAACCTTCCTCCATTGCTCCATTTGATGATCTCCATGGCGCCGACCTTTCTTCTCTTCAATCATCTGCACAAACTCCTAGTTTAACTACAAGCACCGCGCCCACCACACACCACTCCGCATCGTCCTTCGCCATGGACCCGGCTGAACTCTCCGCCAATGTCGACGACATCTTTGGCATCCCCGATGACCTCTCCCCCGACGCCTCCTCCATCCTCCATCCCGACAATGCCCTCGACGACTTTGCCTCTACTTCTCAGGACCGCGCAGACGGCACCGATCTGGGCGGCAGAGGAGCTGGCGCAAAGGACGACAAAGGCGACGGCGCCCCCGCATGGAGCGAGCTAAAGACAAAAGCCGGCAAAGACCGCAAGCGCCTTCCCCTCGCGTGCATCGCCTGCAGAAGAAAAAAGATTCGCTGCTCCGGCGAGAAGCCCGCCTGCAAACACTGCTTGCGCTCCCGTATACCGTGCGTCTACAAGGTCACCAGCCGCAAGGCCGCCCCGCGCACCGACTACATGGCAATGCTCGACAAGCGCCTCAAGCGAATGGAAGAACGCATCATCAAAATCGTCCCCAAGGCTGAACAGGATCCCAATGCAACCACGCCCACTGTTACACGCGCCGTCGTAAAGCCCGCTATCCCGGGAACCGCCGCCTCAAAAGGCGCAAAGAAGCGGAGAGCCGATGAGGCCTTTGACCAAGGCCTCGATACATGGATTAATGGCCCAGCCAACGGAAAAGATGCTTCCGCCAAGCCGTCATCAGAAGAGCGCAACAGTGACGATGACAGCTTAGCCAAAGAGGGTGCCGAAGCCTTACCACCTCGAGACATTCAAGAACATCTCTCCGAGGTCTTCTTCGACAACATATACGGGCAGCCATACTACCTCTTGCACAAGCCCAGCTATATGCGCAAGTTAAAGTGAGTCATGCCATTAGATTTTGATTATTTGTTGCGCACGTGTGTACTTCTCCGTTCGTTTCTCTTTGTGCGGGGAAACTCCTTCACGTCACTCGCGCGCAGCCTTTTACCAGCGATTCTCAGTCTCAAACGTGTTCGTTATCCGTGCTAACCATCAACAGAAATAATACCCTCCCGCCCGTCCTTGTCTTATCCGTCTGCGCCGTAGCGGCTCGATTCTCCACAAGTCCAAAGTTAGCCACCAACGCACGTCCGTTTTTGCGGGGAGAAGAATGGGCGTCGCATGCCCGCGAGATCTGCACAAAACGATATGAATGGCCCAATCTCACCGTTCTCACCTGTCTCATCCTCCTCGCCGTCAACGAATTTGGAACATGCCACGGCGGACGTAGCTGGGCCCTCGGTGGCCAGGCTATCCGCATGGCCTATGCTCTGCAGCTGCACAAAAACCTAGAATATGATCCGCTTGCGTCTGGAGACCAAAAAGTCAAGCTTAGCTTTATCGATCGTGAGATCCGCCGCCGGACCATGTGGGCTTGCTTCTTACTCGACCGCTTCACTTCCAGCACCATTGAGCGACCTGCATTTATCAATGAAGAATCCATCGAGGTTCCCCTACCCGTCAACGAACGCTTCTTCGAGTTTGACATGCCCATCCACTCAGAATACCTCGACGGCAGACCGGCACCCGAACCTACTGCTACAGGATCGGCCAACGCTGGTGACACGGCCAGCAATCTCGGCATTGCTGCCTACATGGTCCGCGCTGTTGCTGGCTGGGGCCGCGCTCTAGCATACGTCAACGGCGGCGGCCGCGCATCCGATCCCGAACCTGCATGGAGCGAGAAGTCGCGATTTTCAGCGCTCATTCGTGAGAACGAGGAGATGGTTCAGCGACTGCCAGCTCAGTACCAATGGTCCAAGGACAACCTCGATGTACATGTGACGGAAAAGACAGCTCCTCAGTATCTGCTGCTCCATACCACCATCCCCCTCATCACTGTCTTTCTCAACCAAGGCTGCGCCTCTGCTCTGCAAGCAAGCGGCGTTCAAGATGCACCCAAGGAATTCCTAGCCAAAACTAGTGCGCGAACATTTGCTGCGGCTAGCCGCATATCCCAGGTGCTACGAGAAGGTGATGAGGGTCAGATCCCCGTCAACGCCGCATTTGCCGGATACAGCGCCTTCACATCGACATCAGTGCAACTTCTAGCAATGGCATCTGCTAGCCCACAACTCAAGACAACGGCCGAGGCCAACTGCTCCATTAACGTCAAGTACATGCGTCGCCTGATGCGCCACTGGGGCATGTTCCACTGGATGGTCGAGGATATTCGCCGCCAGTACAAGACGAGCCATGACGTGGCGCGCAAAGGATCAGCCGGCGCCGCAGGCCCTATCCCACCACTTCTGCAGTACGGCGACTGGTTCCAGCAGTACCCTTACGGTATAGCCGACTCTGACATGATGGACCCCAGTGTAGGACGCAAGCACAACAAGGGCGAAGATGGTGTTCTCGAACTCAAGTCCGAGCTGCAGTCAGTCGAGGACTTTTTCAGCACCCTGTCACCTGTGGCTCCCAACTCCAGCGAAATTGCCAACAAGCCAGCCCCCAAGCGCAAGGCCTCAACCGCTACTAAGAAACAAGCATCTGCTCAGCAAAACGATGTCAAGGCGAGCGCCGACCAGCAGCAGCAGCAGCAACTTCAGCTCAAGCGCCGCGCCTCGGAACAAGTTGTAACGACCCAGAATCAGCCTTCTGCTCTCAACGCCGCCGCTGCAGCTCGCCGCTTCTCGTCGCCTCAAGGCCCGCAGAAGCTGTCGACACCGCAAAACTCGCAGCTGTTCAACAACCCGACCATGGGCCCGCAGACAAACTCGTTCATGGCTATGTCGCCGACAATCCCGCAGTACCAGACGCAAGTGACTCCCAACCTCAACTACTTCACCGATGTGATCCCGCTGCCGATGAACAACCAGGATGCGGCGTCCATTGCCGCGCAACAACAGGCCATGTATACCATGGCGGCCACCGGCAGCATGACTCCCAACATGGACTCGAGCCCTACGTGGGCACGCCAGCCCAACTCGGTCATGACGCCCGGCGCCAACGGCCAGCAGCAGCAAGTCGTCAATCCAAACATGTACAACACAGGTGCCGCTGGCGCCGGCGCCGGCGACGCCTCGACCTGGTTCATTCCGTACGACGTCGAGGCCGGCGACATGGGCAGCCAGGACATGATGATGAGTAGCGCAAGCAACATGGATCCCTTTGACTCCATGTTTATGAATGCCCAGCCGTCCACGCAGGGCCAGAACATGACTGTCCCTGCCCGCTTCCCCAACATGTAGTAGACGAAATTCGTCATTTTACATTCCTCTCATCTAGAAAATCCGGGTCTTCTAGAGCTTTCTTCTTCTTCTACTTGTACATCCTCTTTTTGTTTTTCCAAGATCTTTTTGTTGCGTTATACTCTCTCCGTTTCGGCATGGCCTGGCCATTGCCCCCCATTGTGTGGTGTTTGTTTTATTCCTTGGTTCGATGGTGGGAGCACCGGTGTTCTTTTTGGAGATTTGTTTCTTTTGGCGGACCAGCAGCTCTGTGTTTTTACCTTTTTATCTCTATGACCGCGCCTGACGACCTAGGCAGTTGGGAGTAGCTCTAGCGTGTATACCCTTCTACTTTTATATATATATTCTACATTTTATCACATCCTGAATCTCCTCACTCGTGTATACTTGCAATAGTAACAACACAAAAGCCAATATAAGAAAGTTTCGTGATTGTACAGCAAACTACAAAAAAAACAATGCTCCTCATCTATATACACATACGCCTTTAGTAAGTAGTAACTTTTTCTTTTCATGCCGCAGCAGCACTCTTCTTCTTCGACCGTCTGCGCTTTTTCTTGCCTCCTTCAACGATATTGCCCTCCTCGTCCACCGCAGGCTTCGGGGCCTCCTCATCAACGCCCCTCTCCGCGCCGGCAAACTTCTCAAACCCGTACGTCGGCCCATCATGCTCGTACTCCTCGCCAAACACGCCGCGGCGCCACTCTCGCAATCGCGCCTTCTTGCCCAGACGCTTCTTGTCCTTGCGCTTCTTCTCCTCGTCGCGGAACGTCGCGAACTTCTTGAGGCCCGCAAACTCATTGAGGACCTGGTCCGAAGGGGCCAGCAAGATATCGCGCGCCGTCATGCCGAATGACTGTGGTGATGTCTCGCGGTATCGGAAGACTTGGTGGCCCGAGGGCACGTCGACGTCCATGTTCATCTTGGAGTCGACGAGGGCCTCGAGCTGTGCGCGCTCCTTGCGGGCCTGTTTTTGCGAGTCGAGGCGTGCGCGCTTACGGTCGGCTGGCTTGATCTTCTTGGCGGATGGGCCGGCCTCTTCATCATCATCAGCGTTGTCCTCGGCAGGCTCGGCGTCGTCCTCGTCGTCGCTCAGGCTAAACTTCTCCTTGGCGTCGGCTTCAAAGTCGGGCACGAGGTCGTTGATGTCAATGTCGTCGTCCCACTTGGGCTTCTTGACCTTGCTCTTCTTCTTGCTGTCCATGTCGACGTCCTCGTCAGAGTTGGCGGCGGCGTCGTCGTCGTCCATGGCGTAGTATTCCTCGCCGAAGCGCTTCTGCATCTCCTCCTCCCAGGCGTCGTCCTCCCATGCATCGTCTAGGAACTTGAGCCAGTCCTGGTTGGTCAGCTCCTTGCCCACAGCACCGGCGGCCTGCTTGATCTTTTGCAGGCGCTTTTCTGTCTCCTCGAGCTTGAGCTTGCGGAGGCGGGCCTTCTCTTCTTGGCGCTCGCGGCGCTCTTCGTCCTTGCGCTCTCGCTCTTCCTCTCTCTTGCGCTTACGGCCGCTCTTTTCGTCGCGACGCACGGATTTCGAGTTGGCCAGGTCACGGGCATATGAGCGGAGGACTTCGTTGCTCTTTTCGGGGTCTTCGAAGCGCAGGTTGTATGCTTGCTCCCACTCCTCAGCACGTTCTGCCTCGTCCTCGTCTTCCGAGTCAAAGGCCTTCCATTTGGACTCGCCTTCCTCAACCCACGCTCTCGAGGCCATGAAGTTGGACAGATAGGTCTCTGGGTCACGGTCCGCGTTTTCAACATCAAGCTCGGAGACCTTGAGGCCGGCAGCTCTTGAAGGGTGGACAGCGTGTGCACCAGTCTCCTTGGAGACCTTTGCTCGGACGGCCTCCTTTGGCTTCAAGAAGTCGTCTTCGGAACCGGAGTCTTCGTCCTCACCAGCCTTGTTGATCTCGGACATGATGGACTTTTTCAAATCTTCTTGCTCTTGGGCATATGTTTGGGGGGTTTCTTCCTCTTCGTCGTCGGAAGCGCCAATATCACCCTTCATGAAGCGGTCTCTGTGGTAGTCCTTGAGAAAGATTGGCTTTTCCGCCTTTTCTCCCTTTTCGGCCGGTGCTGCTTCGTCATCGGGCTTGTAAAAGGTGGTGTTTTCGTCGTATACTCGCGGGTCCTTGCTTCGAATAGCCTGCAGAGTGGCAGAGATTTGTGCATCGAGGTCTTCTGTAGCTAGGAAACCGTTCTCGTCTTCCTCTTCGTCGGAGGAAGAGTCTTCGTCATCGTCGCCCTCCCTCTTAAACTTTTCCTCCACTAATACTTAATTAGTATACATCACATTTATTATTGTGTCCAAAGTTATTCGTACGTCTTTGTCTCTCTTCGCGCTTCTTATTGTGTTCGAATCGCTGTGCAAACTCTTGGTTCACCTTGAAGCCAACCTCGGCGCCGCCATTGTCGGAGTCGGAGTCGCTGTCGTCAAGCAGATTCTGCTTCTTTGCCAATTTGGCAGACCCAGACGCTGCCGGAGCCATGATGATGGACAATCTGCACTGTAATCGGGTTGACTGTTGCAGAATTGTAGATGTTAAAGTTGTCTTCGTTGGGCGGTGGACAGTCTCGAGACTCTTTTTTTTTCTGCCGCTTTTTGCAGTCTGTCTAATATTTTTTTTCGTTTGGCGGGGCGTCACTTACAGCGCAGCACCGGTACCAGCACAATGGCTGCAGGCGGCAGCCGTGCACCAGCGTCCACTGTAAATTAGCGCTACGCTCAGTGGACAGGCCCACCCACCCGCTGTCTGTCCGCTATGGGCCGCTGGAGCGCACATGTACCTTTTGCTCCCAATCCCACCGCCTGCCCCGCCTTTTCCAAGCAGGAGTGACCTGTCTCAATGTGGCTGGGCGCTGGAAACGGTTGCAGGCCGTCGTCATCGCCTCAGCCATTTTTCTTCTGCCACCAGCCGCAGATCACCAACTTGCCTTCTTCCCTCACATCCACCCGCCGTCACTGCTCATCCTCGAACCGCCCACCTCGACCATTGCATGCTGCGGACAAGCTGCTAATAAATCACACACGCTTTGCTTCACCCTCCTCTACATTCACACACCGCTCTCACCGACACGCGCCGGCGTCCCGACAGTCCCAGAAAAATGGCGGATCAAAACGGCCCCAAGCCCAGCAGCAGCGTCAAGCTGGTCCTCCTCGGCGAAGCTGCCGTCGGAAAGGTACTTTTCTGCTGCTCCAGTTACTAATGAAACTAATACTCACACCAAAAACAGTCTTCCCTCGTCTTGCGATTCGTCAACAACGACTTCCAGGAGAACAAGGAGCCCACAATCGGCGGTAAGTCTCGCCTCGTCCTGTAGGCAGCCACGCAAGCTCTTCTAACATGTCTCTACTAGCTGCCTTCTTGACACAAAAATGCAACCTGCCTACCCGAACAATCAAGTTTGAAATCTGGGACACCGCCGGCCAAGAACGCTTCGCCTCCCTTGCGCCCATGTATTACCGCAACGCTCAGGCCGCCCTCGTCGTCTACGATCTCACGAAAGCCACGTCTCTCATCAAGGCTAAGCACTGGGTTGCTGAGCTGCAACGCCAAGCATCTCCCGGTATCGTCATCGCCCTCGTCGGCAACAAGCTCGATTTGGCCGGTGAGCCAGTAGAAGCAGAGAGCGAAGGCCAGGACGGCGAGGAAGCTGGCAGCGCCCGCCAAGTCTCTACCGAAGAGGCCCAGGCCTACGCTGAAGAAGAGGGCCTTCTTTTCTTCGAGACCAGTGCCAAGACTGGCGCCAACGTGTCCGACGTCTTCACTGCGATTGCTAACGCCATTCCCGAGACATCGCTCAAGAGTGCCCGCGGAACCGGAGCTGCTGCAGGTACTGCCAGAGCCGGCGAGGAGCAAAGAGTAAACCTTGGTGGTGGTACCAGAGATGGCGCAGCCAAGGACAGCTGTGCTTGCTAAACGATGAAACGAAATTATATATGGGAGAGAATGCACTGGGTATAGCAGGCGCACACCAGGCTTGGTTGCGGCGGCCGCCGCCCCGATTCGGAATCATTTTAACACTGTTTGGGAGCCATCCGTCTTCAAGTTTTCTTGTTCTTCTTTTTTTGTCGTTTAGCTGTTTTCTTCACCTGCTGCTTGGGCGTTCTTCACAACATGACTGTTGGCTGTACTTGGGGAGAGATAGAGGTAAATATGCATTCCAATTAATCACACATGTCACATCAGCGCCTGTCATGCACAGTAGACAAGAGTGAATTGTTCAAAATATACCACTTCTATTTAACACGAAGCAACACCCCCTATTATTTTTCGTTCTCTCTTTTCGCAAAACGCTGCTGTCTCAACCCTCTGCATCGCTCTTGAACCTTGTGCACGTGACTGTCTCACTTGGACCGGCCAGGCGCAACTTGTTCGATCCGTTGACCCACTTTTGCTGAGAGCGCGTCAAAACTCCTCTCTGTTGGACGACCTAATCGCAAGTCCCCGTCTATTGTTTGCTCGGGTACGTGCTGCTGGTTATTCCGTTTTATTCCTTCTTGTATTATTAGCGGCTTCCAATACGTTTCACAACCAGTCTATATAATCAACACACATTGCCACCCGCCGCCAGCGCCTGTTTGAGTTTCATGGTTCTCATCGCCTAACTCCAACATCTACGCCAACGGCATGGCGCTGGTCATCACAGAGGCGCAGGCCGAGCTCATTAGGTTAGTCAAATGGTGTCTATCTGTTCATCTTTACAACTTGCTGACCCCTTCATTTACAGCTCTCTGTCGCCCGACGATATCCCCCACAAGCTGCGATGCGCCAACTGCAGCAAGCTTGCCGTCAACGCATTCCGTTTGCCATGCTGTGAACAAGCTATCTGCGAAAATTGTAACCAATTGCTCTCTCAAACACCCCTTATAAACATCTTGCTAACCAAGCATAGGCCACTCGAATCTTCCAACGTCCTGCCCCGTCTGCGAGCACTCGCCACTCTCTGCCGACGACTGTACTCCTCACAAATCTTTGCGCACGACAATCAAAGTATTCCTACGAACGGCCGAGAAGAAGCGAGAGGCGAACCGACCAAAAGAGGTTCAGCCAGCACCAGAACCTGCTTCGGAAGAAACACCACAAGTTGCCGCTCCGCCAGCCAACGAGGCTGGTACTGATGATGCACCTGTGCCACCAACAGAGGAGGATGAAGCCAGCGAATTACAGCAGCCTACCAACACGGTATGTTTACGTAATTGCATACATCGATTCCAATATGCTAACAATACTAGGAGGCTTCTCAATCAGAAGTAGCGACCAACGAGCCGACACAGGACGCTGACACCACCGATCCGTCGCAAAGCATGCAACTCACTAAACCCGAGGGCGGCGATGGCGAACAAACACAAGGCGACAATGAAAACGGCAAGGAACAGAACAACGGTGATGTCGAAGGCGAAGGCGAAGGCGATGACGGCAATAACGAGTCGCAAGATGGCGCTTCGAACAACGGGTTTTCTGGCGGCGATATGAACCAGATGCAGATGATGATGGCCATGCAGAACGGCATGGGAGGATCGTTTCCCAATTTCCCCATGATGGGTAAGCATAAATGCACATACCACGTCATACAAAAGTCTAACAAGTCAATAGGTATGCCTGGAATGGGCATGGATCCAATGGCGATGCAAAACATGTTTATCAATGGCGGCTTCCCAGGCATGGGCATGAATGGCATGGGAGGGTTTGGAGGCTTTCAAGGAAATGATAACAACTGGAACGGTTCGCAGTCGTGGAACTTTGACCAGAATAATTTCAATCAAGGCATGGGATCCAGTGATTTTGGCGGCTTTAATTCAGGCTTCAATCAAAGTAACTACGGTCAGTTCAATAACTACCGCGGCCGAGGCCGTGGTCGTGGTCGTGGCTACCACAACGGATACGGAGGCCGTGGAGGCTACCAGAACAACTACTATAACCAGCAAAACTACCAACAGCAGCAAAACCAGCAGCAGGGACAAGCTGGCGACAACAACCAAGACGACTCTAACGAACATGCTAATACTAGTGACACTGGTGTAAACGGATCACGCGAGCAGGCGTCCGCACCCGTAAATGCCCCAACCGGGCCCAAGGCTATGCTCCAAGGGCTCCCTAACACAGGAGCGTACTCGTATCGAACCAGGCCTCAGCAGCACCAGCAGCAGTCTAACAGCCGCACGCCTGACCAAGGATCGCAAACTGGCGCCCAAAGCCAGGACGCAGGTAGCCGCCACGGTGATGCCACTGAGACGAATACCTCTCAGTACCGTAGCAATGACTACGACGATGCCCACAGCCGCGGTAGAGATGACGACTACTCACGAGGCAACTCCCGCAGCCGTAGCCGCAGCCGCAGTCGCAGCCGCAGTCGCAGCCGCAGTCGCAGCAGAGAGCATAAGAGCTCTCGCCGACACAGACGGCACCGTTCCACTTCGCGCGACGACCACCGGCGGCATAGAAGCAGCCGCAAGCACCGCGACGAAGACGAGGGCGACGAAAAGACGGGCGAGAGTACCCGCGATGCCTCGCCCAGTGGCGAGAAGAAGTCTAGCCGCCGAGACCGCGGTCGAGACCGAGACCACGACCGGAGGGACAAGCACCGCGACGAAGACCGCAAACGCTCCAGCCGATCCCACCGTGACCGTGACCGCGACCGCGACCGAGATAGAGACCACGAGTCGTCGTCTAAGCGGCGAGATCGGGACCGCGATAGAGACCGCGACCGCCATCGGGACCGTGACAGAGACAGGGATCGCAAAGACCGTCACCGCGACAGAGACAGAGACCGGGATCGTGACCGTGATAGGGACCGCCCGCACCGGGACAGCAAAAAGGACTCTAGTGTCCCCGATGACACTACCACCAACAACGATAAGGACACGCCCAAGGACCCTCACACGCTCGAGCGCGAGGCCCGCAACCGCGAACGCATCCTCAAAGAAGCCCAGCGCATGGCTGGTCTCGCAAGCGTAGCAGGCGTCAAGCGCGGCCGCGAGGATACCGGGAGCGACGAGCGGCGCCGCAAGAGTCGGCGCAGCGAGGATGATGACGGAGGCGGTGACCAAGACCACGATGCGCGGGGCTAGAGGCGCCGACACCTTGCGTTTACGGTGCGCAGGAAGAAGAAGAGGGGACGGCGGGGGGTGTAAAAGCATGGACGGCGTATCAAATCATTTTTATCATCCGCAAAAGAAGGATGTAGCATTACCATCATCATAATCAAAAAAGACATGTACATGTCACATTTAACACTGTGAGGACGTTTTCGTTGTGCATGTATGAGAAGAGCGTTTTATATATAAAACAAAGGCTGCATCAAGCAATGGTTTGGCTAAAACAATTGCTCTATATCGTCGGGTGTAAGTATCCCCCATGCGTAAAAGCAAAAAACAAAAAAACAAAAAAAAAAAAGTATAAAAATTCCCTTCCTTTTTCTTCAAAGTAGAGTCTTTCTTCTGAGTAATGCAATTCGACACATCACGTCTGCTGACCACGTAATGTCCAAGGGTCGTCGACGATGATCTCTTCTCTTTTTTGGTCTTCTTTTAGTATATACCTTGCGTGCGGTACTGGAATGTATCATAACTGCAGTGGTTGTTAATAACCTAAAAAGGAAGAGCGGAAGAGAAGTGGAAGAGGGAAAAGGAAGAGAGGTGTAAGAAGGTTACGTACAGTCGTGTGTAGTAACTGCCAAAGGACTTGGCAATCAGATCGTTCTCAACAAACGCCTCGGCCTCGTCGGCACTCAGGTGCAGCTGGAACCGCTGGCGGAGGGCGCTCGTGGCCTGTGCCACGCCCGAGTTGTAGCAGGGCATCTTGGACTCGCGGCCCATCATGGCCACCAGATCGATGATGTTGTCTGCTGAGCGGCGGAGAGCTAGAGAGTTGTGTGTTAGTAGAGTACACTAGATAAGAGGATAGTAGAAGAACGTACCTTGGAAAGCCTGCTTGCAGAGCTTCTTGTAGTCTTCGTAGTCTTGCGAGCCGACGCCGCCAAGCACGTCGACGTACTCGTGAGTGAGCTTGAACGGGGCGGCTTCGAAGCCAACAGAGCCGGGAGAGTTGGACAGCATAAAGCCAAAGTCAATGTGGATGATGTGGCCTTCGCTGTCGATGAGGACGTTGCCGTTGTGGCGATCCTTGAGCTGCAGAACATACGAGATCATGCTGTATGCAGCTAGGGATCGCTTAAAGGCGTCCACACCAGCTCGGTAGGGCGGGCTATCTGCAGCGCCAAAGGCCTTGGCAAAGTGATCCTTGAGCGTAGCAATACGACCTCGAGGGTTCTGTCCTGACTCAATAGACGCAAGTGTCAGACTGCGCTTAAGTGAGTGCAGAGATACACCATTTGTGATGGTCTCAATCAGGCCAGACGACTCGCCCGTCACCAGAATGCGCATCAGCTTCACCCAAACATTAATACCTGCGTCGACCCAAATCTTATGGCATACACTAATCAACTGGCAAGCAAAGGCTTCTTGGCGCAAATCGGCACCAGTCTTGACAATAACACTGACAAGATCCCAGTTCTTCATCCAGCCGTACGGCGACGACTTACGGACACGCTCCTTCTTAGCCTCCCAGGCTTCACCAAAGACAGCGGCGCTAGGGTCATCTCGGTCACCACGGCGCTGCACACCACCAGTCTTGAAGTCGTTTTCCATTCTTTCGCGGCCGGCGCTGGCATTGATGTTAGGGTCAATCGCTGCACCCTCTTCCAAGTCTGGGTTGTTTGGGCCTGGGCTGGCCGCGGTGCTAGCCTTGGCCATGATCGTGTCAAATGTTGGCTCCTCCATGTCGAAGCTCTGCTCTTCAAGGCTCTGCATGCTGGCGATAATCTTGGCTCGGATAGCTGCCACCTCTTGGCGGGGTCGCTTGCCGCTTGTGGCATCGAGCTGCGCCAGCATAGACGAGGCCGTTCTCATATGCGTAGCCAATGCTTGGAAGTCGGGGTCAGCCGTCGCATTGCGCTGTGGTTGCAGGGCGTTGTTCGTCCTCGGGCTATTGGGTATCGATTGGGAGGCTTCTGATGTTCGAGGTGTCACGCCATCCAGTGTAGTTGACGATGTTGTAGCTCCGCTGGACTGACGTTGCGATGCATACTGATGAAGCTGTTTCGACGTCGGTCGAGACTGCGGTTCATCATCGAATGATTTAATTAATGGCGAACTTCCCAAGTCTCCAGACGTCGGCTCAAAAACGCTATCCACGGCTGGTTCCTGCGTTGGTGTTGCAGTTGCAGTCCTGGGGGTATCGGCGGATGAGAGTTCAAAGAGTCTACGGTTGGAGCCTGAGCTTCCTCCAGTCAAAGTTGCGAGCAGCCGTTGGTTGTCCGCGCTAGTGGGGTCAAAAGTAAAGTCGTCACGAAGCACCTCCACCATCATGAGATATGGCACCTTTTCGGCACTATTTAGAACTGTCGATTCGGCGGGGTTCAATCGCACAATACGGTGATGGCGGCTCTTGCTGGGCACACCGTCGGTCAGTGTAGGCGGGCAAATTACAGGTATATCGACTTCAGCTGGCAAATCCCTGGAAATAAGAGCAAGCTCTGCACGTAGGGCGCTCATGCGGGCCTGTTTGGGAACAATGACGAGCCTGTTAGAGATGCCCTCCAGCGCGGTCAAGAATTGCGTCTGAGATCGGAAATAATGTTGGCGAAGGAGGCGTGTCTTTTGGGTCGGTGTCATATCAGCAACAGCCTTGGTGCCTTTGGCATGATGTGAGTGTCGTCTATAAATACTATCGCTGCGGTTACGGTTCGAGTTCGAGTCGCTAGAGACGTCAGATGCCGATTTTGTTGCTGGAAGTTTCGTCGAGGGCAATGGTAGCGACGACGAGCTCAGCCTAGCCTCAATGGACTTGAGCTCAAGCTCAGTCGGTCTCCTTGTGTCTGTAGGCAATGGCTTGGGCTTCGCCATGGAGGCTGCCGGCGGCGGCGTAACAGCGCTGGTATCTCTAATTGCAGAAACCTGTTCCTTTTCTGGCGCGCTCGATACTCTCTTCTCTTTAGAGAGCTTGGTCGGGGCGCTGGGAAGCACAATGGGCGGAGGCCTCGCCGACTTGGGGACGTCGTTTCTTTCATGGGCCATTTCCGCAATCATCTGTGGTTTGCGAGCCTGGGCAACAGCCAGAGGGCCAGCCCATTTCGGAAGCATAGGCAGGGCTATGCTAGCCAAGACAAAGCTCGACAAGACAGTAACTGGGAGGACATTCTGCCGGATCTTCTCATGTCGACCACCCTCGGAGAGATGAAATACTATATGTTGGACCTTGTTGTACACTCGTCGGCAGACTTGGAAGGCGGCTGATTGCGGATTCGAAGACAGATCGTGGAGGTATGTTTGAAACAGCCAAAAGGTCTATTGTCAGGGGTGAAGAGAGACGAAACGATTAGCCAAACGCGATGACAAATAAGCAAAAGGGCCATATCGAGTATGTGTCCTTACCAGTAAAGCAGCAGTGACGGATTCCTCGCACAAGTCAAGCAGGAACTCTTCAAGAGCCATGGACTCATTGTTGATGCTAACAATGAGATGGCAGAGCTGCGGCAGGAAGAATTCTATATCTTCATAGGGAAACTGCCGCAGCTTGTTGCAGAGGACATAATGGATACCGATATGGTCTGCATATCGTCTACGCAGAGTCAGCAAATACACACTTTACCAGACCTTGACCGCGACGGGGGTGCATGCGGCAGCATCGAGACTAAGCGATCCGAGGAGACGGGGGTGGGCAACCCTGAACACTTACTCTAAGTAGGAGACGGAGAGGAAGGGGTTTGAATTGAAGACGTCGGATTCAATGAACCGTTGGAGCAGATCCCACGACATTTGTGGCGATGCTTGCCGGAAGCCGGACTATCGAATTGCGAGGGGAGGGTCTTGGTGATGTCTCCGTGACGGGCGGGGGGAGGGAAAGGAGAGCGGCTAGATCAAGGTGCTATGGGCTGGTGCATGGCGGGGATGGGCGGTGACGTTGTAAGCTGCGAATGGGCGAACGGGGGAGCAGCAGCAGGTACGGACAGCGGCTGGCGATGGCGTTGAAAGGAGCCGGGTTGTAGCGGTCGAACGCGGTGCGTGATCGGAGTCGTGATGGACGTTGGTTGTTTGCTGGCCAGTGGTGGTCAAGCTGGCGATGTTGTTGCGTCGGGGAGCGGAGAGCGCAAGCTGTCCACACACGGTATTATTTTTTAGCGGTGGGCACTCTGGACACTGGGACTGGACAGGTGGTGGGGAAGAGGGGAGATGAGAGGGGGCCGAGGAAATAACGTGGGAAAAAGTAAAAAGGGCAGCCAAGCAAAGTGACGACAAAAAAATAATAAAAAGAGAAAAAAAGAAAAAAGAAATTGGAAGTAATAGTGAAAAGAAGAGGAAGATATCACAAGAGAGGAAGTAGGAAAATAATGGAATAAATTAGTTGCACGCCGCGGCTCTCGTCTGCGTTTTGACGTCACAGACACGTTTGGGGCTACGAGTGTTGAAACGGGCCCGGGCGCTTGCTGGGCTGGTAGGGCCGAGGCCAGATCAGATGCAAACAAAACAAGCCATACTGGTGATTGGTGTCCTGTCTCCAGGGGCGGAGGGGCAGTATAGTAAGCAATCAAGCTAAAACATCCCATCAGAGATCAGACATGCAGTTAAACAAATTCACGTACGTCCTGGAGAGATTGGGAGGACCCTTGTGGTAGGTATACCACCCGTCTACACCATCCAGTCTCTCACTCAGCACACGGGTAGTCGATTTGTAGAGGCGAAGCAAAAGTAAATGATAATAAATATAAAGAATAAATAACAAGGCTAGGTCATCTCTATACTCGTCACGTCAGAGCGTTCCATAAAAAAAATAAACGTCCGGTTTCCAATTCCCGTATCGTCTCCTCCTCCTCTTCTTTCACGTCGTGTCCGTTTCTCACCACCCGTCATAAGATACAAAAAAACGCCATATAAAGTGCAAGTAAATGCCAACGCCGGCCGCAATACGATTCACCTTCTATGTCATCTCCTCCTCACCAGGGTACTTTTTCCTGCGTACAATCTTCTTCTTCTTAGACTCGCTGCTATCCTCATCCGAGTCGCTCTCCGTCTTGGGTCTCGACTTGCCTGCCTTTTCCGGCTCCAGACGGCTGACAATATCGTGCAGGAAATCCCAGTGTTCATCCGTCTCGACAACACTCTTGAGCATGTGTGCCGTGACTCTCCTCGAGCCCCTTTCCTTGGCGACAGCGGCGCTCTTCTCGACAAGCTGAATCATGAACAACTCGAGGGCCTTGCCGACAGCAATCGGCGTTTGCTGGGCCACTTTGCCCACTTCCTCGTCTGCCTGCATGATACGCTTGATTCTAGCTGTAGGGAACTTGGTCTTGACGGGTGAGGGTTCGATGACAGGGGGAGGCGGCACGGGAGGCTTAGGCTTGGGGATTCTGCCTCTTCTCTTCTTTGGTGGCGGAGCGGGCTCTGCTTCTTCCTGCTTCACTTGATCATCCTCAGGTTTATATTCCTCATCTTCAGGTCGGTACTCGTTGTCCATGATGCCGGGCGGGTACGCGTCTCCAAACGCCACGGGTTCTTTGATGTCGTCAGCCGTAATGTCGCCAGGCAGCTGGTAAGCACCGCCGGGAGGGTTGTAGCTCTGGATGCCGCCGGGAGGCACGTATGCCGATGTATAATTATTAGCAGGCGGCAGCGCGCCAAACTGATTGGAGTTGAAGCTGGGGGGGTCGTAAGGAGACGCGGGGGGAGGGTTTGCGTCTTCGGCAGGGTAAAAGGAGGAGAGGTCGGGAGACTTTGGAGCGTATGAGGTGTCTTCGGCCGACATTTTGGGCAAAGGCAAGGCGGTGGACCTCGTTTTTTACACCGTACAGTAGAGTCGTGTTAGTCAGCGCGCGTGGTTTCCTTGGAACCCGCGTCTAAGGCTATGCCGAGGATTGGAAGAAATAATAAAAAATGATAGTATTTCTCTTTTTTGGTTGCCTTTTTTTTCTCTACAGTGCTGCTTGCTGCGTAACCAGTTAGATTATTTACAGCAGCAGCGTGTAGTAGTGGCAGGGATGTTTGCTTCGCTATGAGCAAGCTTGGCCAACTAAGCTAGCTTTTAGGGCGCGGGAGCTAGCCGTAGGCGTGGTAGTGGCTGCGGTGCCGGGTGCTGCACGCAGCGGAAGAGGGCCTAATGTCTTAGACGCTGGGGGCCGAAAATGGGCACGCGCAATTGTGCTGTGGAATGCCGGGCGTTGGTGTTTGCGGCGGCAGAGCAACAATAAGCGAGGTTATTTGTCGGAACGAGAAAAGGCTTAGACACTGTGCTGTCTAGTAATCCAGTAGTCGTTTAAATGGGTGATGTTGATATTGTTGTGTTGTTGCTCTTCAAGATGGGCGGAATGCTGAGCTGTGTGCTGGGCTGGAAGCTAGAAGATGCATGGATATGTTGAAAGGCGGCGGTGGTTTATTGTATCAAGAGCGTGCCGTGATGGTAGCTAGCGGCAGCTGCTTCTGCGTCTTGTATGCGCCAACGTGGTGTTGGTGGTCGCGATGGTGTGGATGGCGCTGGTGAATGATGATGGAGGGGTTGCGGTTTGCGAACAGGAACGCGCAACAACAGCGACAGGCGGTTAAAAAGTAGAGGAAATATTAGAAATATCGCGTCGTTGCTGCGATACTCTGAAATATAAAAAAACAAAAATTGTATGTAGAATCCAGGTAGATTCCGGTGTAAACAACATGCGCTCGGCAGAGGGGCAACTGTTATTTTTTCCGTTGGCTGCTGCACAATGACGCCGCAGTGGGAATTTCTGGCTGGATTTTTGGCAAGAATTAATTTTCGTCAAGATGGTCCAGGGGGGCATGCATTTAGGGAGGGGTCGGGACCCGCGTTATTATATGCGCGTTGGCTGCAGCACTGAAAGAGCTAAGGAAGGCTGCGCTCCTCCCAGCAGAAAGCTAACTAGCAGTGGCACCCGCCTAGCAAGGGGGGAGGGGGGGTGCTAAAACTGTGGGCGCCGCGCTCAGCAGACAAGAAAAAGCACGGCAGAGGCAGCGCTGAGCCCACCACTGGAGCCGCTAAGCTGATCGCAGTGGGCCAATCAGAAACAGGAGAAGCTTGCTTGCGGTTTATCCCATCCCCTTCGGAACACAGACAACGTTTGGGACCTTAACTTTAAAGCAAGGGCAGCAAAGACAAGCTAAAATTTTATCCCGGAGCACGCACGGCCTGCTAAAAACGTGCCTCTTGTACGGATAGGCGGTCTCAATCTGTGAATCACTGCCGCATACAGGACACACACCTGCCGCTTCGCGCGTGCAGTCAATGATCGCATTGTCAGCCTCAGCCTAGGCATCCAGTCCAATCCAATGGTACGCTCATTTTCATAGTCACGTCACCTGCACACATCAGGCCGCTGCCGGTGCCACCGCCGCCGCCGCCGCTCCCCTGAATGATGATACAAATTGTTTGAGCTTTATAAACACAATCATGAGCCAGGCCAGGTGGGCGACGAAGCCGAGCCGGCGCACTGGTGCCGATCGCTCAGGTTCCAGACCCCAACCGCTGAACCTGGTGTTGAATGCCTACTTGATCTAATCTGATACATACTTATCCCCCATCACTGCCTACCACAGAACATCACTTGTGTGCAAAGTTGGCGCTAATCTCCTTGACAATAGCATCCACCCCTTCCAACCGGCGCTCAGGCGACGACAGAATGAACCGCACCATCGGCCAAGCGTGAATGCCGCTCGCGTCCTCTAGTGTATTCACTCGGACTCCATACCCCTTTTGCCGCGCGACAAAGTCGTCAATATCGCCCGATAGCATCTCGCCTTTGCCCAGCATCACGTAGTACCCTTTGGTAGGACTTGCGGCTTTCCACATGGCCTCGTCGCGGCACGAACCCGGCGACGCGGGTGACAGCGACAACATCGCCTCTTGGCCTGCATACTGCCGTCCATATGCCCAGAGTCGTTCACGCTCAAGGTAGTCCACCGGTGACTTCCCGTGCAGCTTCGACTGCAGTGTAACCCACGGTGATATCAATATCGCCATGCCTGGCGCTGCAAGGCGACCCCGCGGATCCGTGCCCGCTTCCGATGCCTTGTTGTTACGCCGGCGAAGCTTGTCCATGCCTGCCTGTGCGCCGATCTCGAGCAGCAAGCTCAGCAACAGGGCGCCTCCGGCAGAGTCACCTGCCAAGCATATCTTGGACGCATCGCCAGCCGTCTCAAGCGCAACTCTGTAGCCTTGTAGAACTTCCAGTATCTGTGTTGGGTAGACTTTTTCCGGTGCCAGTGTGTAGTCCAGGGCCAGAATGGCCGGGTTCTTAAATCCAGCCTTTACAAGCAGGTCATGCCATGCCAGTAGATATTCCAGATAAAACGCTACCGATCCAACCCCGAATCCTCCACCTGTATCTTGTGAGTTGGGTGAAGCTGTGTGAGGCGGTTTTATGCGGCTTACCGTGCACGTAGTAGACAACTACATCTGGTGTTTCTGTCGGGTTTTGTTTAATCCAGGTCGCCTTGCACGATACACCCAACTACTGCATGTTAGCTCAATGCTCTACATGTTGCCGTCATCAACATACGTTACGAATGTCAACGCGCTCCGCGTGGACTGGGAGCTTGAAGAAGCCGCGTGATAGCAAGCGCCATCGCAGCACAATAGTCCATAGCTCAGTGGAAAGTGTAGTCTTGAAGACTTCGCGTGGTATGAGTGGGAAGAATACCCTGATACCTCGAATCATGAACCCCTCGAATATCGTGGTGTCGCGGATTGCTGGATGTTGATCGCGTCTGCGCGTCAAGAATCGCGCGTAAATATACTCCAAGGGTACTCGGGCTGACACCATTAGTTACAATTGCTGATATATAGGCATATAATTCAATTACCTCCATGAAAGCAAAGCTGGATTGCTGCGAGTATGGCGTTGACGACGCCTGCATGTAGCACAATCAATGGTAAAGCCAGCGCCGTAACCACCGCCATGTCCAGTGGCGATAATTGTGGCAAAATCATGATCTCTGTTTACTATGGCTTTCTTTTTTGGTGGTATTTCTTTTGGATGGCATATATGATTTGTATCTGTGTCAATTGATGCGGCTTGAGGGAGGATGTTATTGAGGCGCCTATCAAGAAGGCGGGGCAGCCTCGGGAGTTAGATCTGAGAGTGACTTTGGATGAGTAGCCATCTCAAGGTAGAAAGGACAAGTCAATATGAAGCTAAAAATAGACCACAAGATAATTACAATACTGAATATATGATAAATTATTTTTATATAATTAATAATGGCATACCTGGGTGTAAATTGGGACGCAGCGTGAGCTTCCGGGTAGCTTAGCCAACTTACCTAATGCCTCGTATCGGAACGCTATCTGCGTGGCGCTTTGTTCACTCACAACCATCATGTCCCCCACCAAGAACGCAAGAAAGGCTAGCTGCAGACTTTTCTCCTTTTCTTTGTTAATAAATAGAATTAGGTGTTGGAAAAAGTCAATATAGAAGCACAAGACCCTAGAAGACACGCATAAACCACAGGAACCATGGGAACCGTTAATGATGTCAAGATTGAGGACTCACCCTTCCCGTTGACAGACGTGGACAAGTGGATTTTGTCGCAAACCGATGAGGAGTTTAAGCTTCACGACTGGCAGGATCTCAAGACCATTATTGGTATGCTTATATGAACAGACTTGTCATATAATCTACTAACCACTACACAGACACCAACAACCTCTCCGTCCTGAAGCGAAAGCCCTCTGACCTCAGACGATACATGAAGTGGACTGCTGAAACCAAGATTGAGTATGGGAGCATGACAAATTATATTCTTGCCAACCGACTACCAAAGGCCTGGGGTCTCCCGCCATTCACCCCCGAGTCCACTGTTCCCTTTGAGGTCGCCAGTGACTACAAAGTCCTACTTAACGACTGGCCGTACGGACTCGAGTCCAATATCACCCACATTGTGGTCTGGACTCGCACCCTTATCCCTACAGACAACCAAAAGGGCGATCTGACCCCAGACAGCAAGAAGCTTCTCGAGGACTTTGTCCAGCGCTACTTCATCGACCCTCTCGGCCCCGGCGGCGAAGACAAGATCCTCTGGTTCAAGAACTGGGTAGCTCTGCAGAGTGTCCGAAGTCTGGAACACTTCCATGTTCTGGTCCGCGATGTTGACGACGATATGTTGGAGAAATGGACTGGTGAGAGACCCAAGCGTAGCGCATAATCGAGGGAGTATGATAATCTGGGATGAGCACTTGATGACGGCATGAAACCATTTGATAGAGACTTTTCTTCTTTCATATACACATTAAAAATAGATGAATTTTTTATGATAACCATATGCTCTTATGCAGCAGCTCTACGCTGTCTTCTGTTTCCTTGTGGCTGCTCTACAGCGTCACCACCAAGACCCTGCATCTGGGCCATCTTCTTTCGCCCCATGCCGAACAAGCCAGCAGCAAGATACAAGCCGTATGCGGGCACAATGGTCATCAAGAACCATCCGTAGTTTCCAATCAACATGGTAAGAATAGCAGACGCCCATGTGATCCAGATGAGATCAAACATATACTCAGTCAACCCCTGAGCAGCCATGTCCTCGCCAGAGGTCTTAAGCGCCTTGGTGGCGGGGTCGTAGCTAGGGCGGCCCGACGACTCGAGGACATACTCGCAGACAAAGCTGGGGGCGGAGACAATGGCATATGTCCACAGGGAGCGGCTGCGGATGAGGAAGTGAAAGGCAAGGAAGATGCCATTGACAGCAAGAGATCCGATATGCAGGTTGTTGAGCGTGGCCGTGTTGGCCTTTGCGCGATCCTTCTTTGCCTTTTGGGCCATGATAATGGGTTATGCGTGTGAGTCAAACGGTTGGCCTGCAGGATCTGGCAGGAGGACGTTGGCGATGTTTCGATACGCGCCGGGGTATCCGGAATAGGGCGATTGGACAATGGGGAGCGAGGGGCGGTGGTGTTGAGATGGGCGGCTAAAAAACAGCGTGGTTGGTTGTCGGTGGTTGGTTTTTTTTTTTACTTGTTTTGGCTGCAACCAGCTACTGCACTGTAATATAGTGGGCTGGTAGGCACTGCTACAGCCGCTGTTACAGTGGTCTTAGCGCCTCCTATTTAGCGAACCCGCCCCCTGTGGCGTTGGCAGCAGCGGCCGCAAACAGAAGAGAAAAAGCAGGCTGGCTGCTGCTTGCTGCACCACGTTGCTTGGCCAAATTCGCGCCACGCCACGCCCGCACCAACAAACACACGCGCAGCATCATCGACCGACTTTCCTCACCACCTGGCCTGCTTCAACTTCCCGCGTGGCGGCTTCCCGTTGTCTTGTCTTGTCTCCCAAAAAATTCCGCGGAAATTATCACAGCATCCAAGAATCTCCTTTTTGCGGCAAGACACCTTCACGAAGACAATGATACGCATTGCCTGACGACCTGGATTTTCTATTTTATTTATTTTATCGCTCGCCGCCCTCCCTTGCTGGCGTTGACCGTGAACGGCGGCAAGACAACCTTTCACCCTTACCACGCCACATCTCCTCCTATCCCCCCCCTAAACCAGCGTCTACACCATCGGCACGGCTTGCTGCGACGACTGCCTTTTCTTCCCAAGCCATCGACATCGACACAGGCTCTTTAGACGGCCAGATTGCCTTTGTTTATTCGCCCCGCTTCAACCACCACAACGGCCATTGTCAGCGTCACGGCTACGACGACCCCAGCCTCTTGTGCAAGCACCGTTGCGTTTCCATAACTGACTGTGCAACTTTGTCGAGAGTCGATTTATTTCGCTACTAGACACGACTTCTCTGCTGTTTTTTTTTTGATACCCCCCTTCTCTCGCTGTGTGCACGTCGTACGTCCCATGGCCCAAGAACGGCGATAACTATTACCTCGCAACCACGCACCACGGAGCAGCGCTCAATACATAGACGCTTCTACAGCCGGTGATACACATAATTCAGCCATGGCGCCGAATCCACCGCACCCGGCAACGTCTGCCGGGCTCTTCCGCCAATTAATACACTACCACCTCGACAACTCTGCTTACGACAACGCCCTCTTCTTTGCCGAACGATATGCCACGCAAGACCCGCGGTCAGGCGACGCTCGACATCTCTACGCCCTCAGCCATTTACGATTAGGTGACAGCCGCTCTGCATATGACGTGAGCAAGCCGATGGGATACCGCGGCATCCATCTGGGATGCGCATGGGTATTCGCACAGGCCTGCTACGCGTTGGAGCGCTACAAGGATGGCATCACAGCGCTTGAAAACGCCAAGAACCATTGGAGCTCGAAAAAGAATATTGGAAAGCACAGCTCGACAACGAGAGCAGCCTTGCCAGATGCACCGGCTGTTTTATGTTTGCTTGGTAAGCTGCATCGCGCCAACGACGACAAGAAGAACGCCATCAGCTGCTTCGAGGAAGCCCTCAAGCTAAGCCCTTTCCAATGGAGCGCGTTCACAGCCTTGTGTGATATGGGCGCCTCTGTTCGCGTGCCAAATACATTTCGCTGCAATGAAGCTGTTCTGCAATGCTTTGACCCTGATTCCATGGTGGAACCAAAGAGCACCACGTCGGCGACTGCTGGCGAAAGCATCCTCAAGAAGAACTCATCATTTCGAAATATCACATCAGAACTGGGCCATGACCCGTTTAACATTAGCTTCCCCACCGATAGTGCCATCACAGATGTCATCCTAGACGCACCCGAAAACGACTTCATGACCAAGATTCAAAACGCCCGTCTTCGAAACGGAACTAATACTAATCAGCCGCTGTTTGACGGCATGGAGACACCACCTGGCCCTTCGACTGCGGAGTCGTTTAATCGACCAGCTGTGCATGGACAAGAGGCACCTCAAGCACCGCCTAGAAGGATACGAACCCTCCACAGCATGGAGAGTGAAACAGATGCGCCGCCGCGAATGAACTATAGGCTGGGTACCAAGAAATCGACAAGGACTCTGGATAAAGACCATGATCAGGCGATTGAACCCATGCAGGACGCACCTGGCGTTAGTGGTGCTGGTGCTGCAGCAGGTACCGCACGAACCAACCCGGCTGTCGCACCGGATAGAAAACGGACGCTATCTGGCCACCCCGTTGCCCGCTCTACTAATGCGGACGAACCGATGACAAGACGCAGCGCTAGACTCGGCATGTTTAAGCCATCGGCAAGAGCGAACTCGGGAGCAGCAACAATTGGAGCATCGGCGGGCAGAGAACTCAAGAAGGCGAGACCGCCCATCTCCCGCATTATTCGCCCCGGATCTAGTGGATCTAGCGTTGGACGTGTCGTAAGTGGCAACAGGAAGCCGCTGGAGCACAATGCCGACGTAGACCACGGTGAGACCGCTCGCGTTCGTGGACCATCGTCTCAGACATCGCAATCATCGCAAGTGACGACAACCAAGGTGACGGTCGAGAATGAAGCAGCAAGGTTGGAGGACTCCCTTAAGTGGATTCTCGACATTATGAAGAAGCTCGGTAACGGCTACTACGCATTGTCCAAGTTCCAATGCCAAGAGGCCTTGCAGTACTTCCAAGCGGTACCCCTCACTCACCAGGGATCACCATGGGTTCTGGCTCAGATTGGCCACGCGCATTACGAGCAGGGCTCTTATGCCGAAGCCGAAAAGTCGTTCCGAAAGATGCGTGTGCAAGCACCATCTCGCCTGGAGGATATGGAGGTGTACTCGACGATTCTTTGGCACCTCAAACGCGAGACTGATCTCTCGTTTTTGGCCCACGAACTTGTCGACTCTGCATGGGATTCACCCCAAGCATGGTGTGCTCTCGGCAACGCCTGGTCGCTAACCCGAGACACAGAGCAAGCCCTCAAGTGCTTCAAGCGCGCGACGCAGCTTGATCCCAAGTTTGCGTACGCCTTTACATTGCAGGGCCACGAACACGTCACAAACGAAGAGTATGAGAAGGCGCTGACTGCCTACCGCCAGGCCATTTCGGCTGACAAGCGCCATTACAATGCATACTATGGCATTGGCCGTGTACAGGAACGCCTCGGTGTCTACGACAAGGCATACCTGCACTTCCAAGCTGCGCAGACAATCAACCCTAACAATGCGGTTCTTATCTCATGCATCGGTACCATCCTGGAGAAACAGAAGCAAGTGCCACTTGCGCTCCGCGCCTACACTCGAGCTGTAGAGCTAGCACCCAAGGCTGCATCAACACGATACAGCAAGGCGAGAGCTCTCCTGGCACTTGGCCAGTTTGAGGAGGCACAAAAGGAGTTGATGATTCTCAAGGATCTTGCGCCAGACGAGGCGAGGGTACACTTCTTGCTGGGCACTCTCTATCGTAACATGAACGAGAAGCAGCTTTCTGTGCACCACTTTACGGTGGCTCTGTCGTTGGATGCCAAGAATGCGCAGAAGATCAAGGAGGCTATCGAAAGCTTTGAAGACGAAGTTGTCATGGACGACTCGATTATGACGTGATGCAACTACGAGTGACGAGTTTAATAGTTTGTTTGACGTGATGAGAAGCAGAGCGTCGAATCAACAGAGCCCTATGCATTGGCTTAGCGACAACTACAGATCAAGCAACGAGCGGCTTTAGGGTGGACCACCACCATTATTTTTTATTACCGGAGGGGAGTAGAGCAAGTGTATTTCTACAACGATACCACGGGAGTTGAAGGGAAGTAGAACAAAGCAGTAGAGGCGGACGACAAGGTGTAACTGGCATAGTTGCATGGACATCGGCGTTACTTGGACATTTTTGAATTTTCTTGGGCATCATCATGTGTGTTGGAAAGCAGCATTGGACGATTCAACGGCGTTTGGTCTTTGTTATTTTGACTTTAACGACGTTGAATGAGTACGACGAGTGGCATAGAAACAAAGTATAAGCCTCCAACCAAACGTGTATAATACAATGGTTTGCTGCATAACCCTTTTCTGTCGTGCATAAAATTGTGAAACACCGTAGTCTGTTATGCACACACTACTTTTCCCACGGAGACGAGGTACTTGCGTCGAGGAGCCTGGACAAGTACTGATCTCGAACCGTTTGATACGGAGGAGGGGTGCTTACAAGCCAATAAGTAAGAGGGATGGCCAGCCAATGAGAAAACAAGGCGTGGCCCACATTGTTAGCCCGGGTTATTTAAGCATGTCAAACATTTAAAAAAAAAAGAGAAAAAAAAAAGAGGAGGCAGCATGACAATGGGAGGCTGTTGCGCGCGCAGGGACCACGCTCGGGGCATTCCAGCGCGCTGTCTGGCGCAGGCACAGGCACCCACAGGCACCAGGGGCGGGGGCCTCCTTCAGCGCTCAAGCTCAGCGGGGCATGTTTGCGCGTTTGCCTAATTGGGAATAGGCATGTTTTTTTATTATTATTCGCGTGCACCCATTTTAATTGTGCAGCGCTCTTTTTATGGCATTTGGCTACTGATCGCGTCCGCGCGCCAGCTGATTGCGCACACGTATTTATTGCTTCGAGCGCCCGCACCCCCGCATTCTGCGTTCTTTTTGCATATTACCCGCGTGTTTACATTTATTTACTTGCCTCTTTGTATCGTCACCGATACATCTACAACAACAACACACACTTTTCCTTTCACACACTTCATCATGTCTGGACGTAAGTACTATTTTAAATTATTTTATTGTTTGGATGGATCGCGATGAAATGGATCGGAGATCATGGAACGATTATGCAAGGTGGTTCCGGAACATCTTGCATCATCAACAACCAGGGTCATCGCGTCTTATCCATCAAGGAATCTTCTATTATACAATGAAGTACAATGTACTGACTATTTACAATAGGCGGCAAGGGCGGCAAGGGCCTCGGCAAGGGCGGTGCTAAGCGTCACCGCAAGATTCTTCGTGACAACATTCAGGGTATCACCAAGCCCGCTATCCGCCGTCTCGCTCGTCGTGGTGGTGTCAAGCGTATTTCTGCCATGATCTACGAGGAGACCCGCACTGTTCTCCGTTCTTTCCTTGAGGGCGTCATCCGTGATGCCGTCACCTACACTGAGCACGCCAAGCGCAAGACCGTCACCTCGCTCGACGTTGTCTACGCTCTCAAGCGCCAGGGCCGTACCCTCTACGGTTTCGGTGGTTAAATGTCTCTTTTCTTCTACGGGTATAAGGCGACTGTGGTGGATTCCACGTGTATTTTGACAAGAAACTTTTTACTGTGCTTTTGGCGTTCTCTGGGGTTATGAAAGACTATAGTAGGCGTCGCGGTAGACGACCTCTCTTATTTGAAATGAAACAAACAACATGATCAACCTAAACATTTATGTCCTGTCAATGTGAATAATGCCTTGAGAATGTTGTCTATTTTTGATTGATTAAAAATGGTAATTTGCCCCTTTGCGCCTGTACACCGTAGAACCAAAGAAAAATCACAGGTATTTGCGTCCGGCCGCCGCGACTCTAGCTTGAAACACGGGACTCTTGACTTCCATGTTGGTCTTGTAAAAGGGGCTCATGATGGCTTTGACCCAGTTCTCGTAGACTTCTGTAAAGAACATCTTGATGGCCTCCTCGGTGGCCGCGCTCGTCGGGTTGGCGCCGATGGCTGTGGATGTTCGGCTCGGGTTCGCTGCGGTCGGGACGATGGGCTGGTGTAGGAGGAGGAACTTGACGCCTGCCCCGGTGACGAAACACGATATGTAGTTGTTGAAGAACTTGTCGATGCACTTGAGGTACCTGTTTGACGTTGCAAGGCGGTTAGCAAGGCTCTCTACCGCTGCTGGCCCCTCGGAACGCTGCGCTGCGGCAGAGGGAGGAAAGTGGCTGCTGCTTACATTTGTCCGTGGGACCACTGCACTTCCTCGGCGATATCTAGGCTCGAGTGCATCACAATCTGGTTCAGGTGGCGCACCGAGTCGGTGAACTTGGACTGGCCATCGCCGCCCTGTTTGGAGGTGCCGAACTCGTACTCGAACAGCGGGTTGTCCTGGGTGCCGACAATGGCAAAGTAGTAGCTCATGGTGAAGCGCTGGTCATTGGCGAGCCGCGACGACAGCTGAATTTGGAGGTGGCGCGGGTGGACGAGGAGCAGAAGGGCGGGTAGCTTGCGATGTTGACGGATCGTGGTTAGGCGAGGCGTAGCTTAGGTGGACGGCCAACCCCACCTGACTGACTTGGCTGGCCTCCACTACAACGAGCTTTAGCTGTAGCTGTCACAGGCGAATACAGGCAACTAGGATTCAAGGTGAGTGTTTATTTATATATATATAAAAGCATGCTACTATATGCGGAATTATATGCTAGCGTTTGTCATAATCATGATTTCATGCAGTATTATGCAATTTCATCCATGCGCCGACACCACCACCTCAGTAGCTCCCATCCGCAGCCACGATATCATGCACGACCTTCTTAAGAACCTCTGGGTTTCTGGGAACAAAGAGAGATTTGTACCGCGGCGGCAGGGCCACCAGACTCGTTGGGTCAGTGTTGCCTGTGATGGGATGGCAGTCTGCGTCGTCATACTTTTCAATGCGGAAGCTGTTCAGCAGACGCATCGTGGTTAAGTAGAGCTCACGATTCGCTAGCAAGTAGCCCGTGCACATGCGGTATCCAACACCATACGTAAACAGAGGAGCGTCTGGCTGCTCCAGCCATCTCTCAGGACGGAACACATCTGGATCAGTCCACAAGGCATCATCTGTAGTACAAGTTAGTGACAGACGGTAAGAAAAGGTGACAAAATGACAACATACCCATGTTACAGGCCCACGCGTTAAGGAAAAACATGGTTCCTTTGGGAATCAGGTGGCCCTCATACTGAACATCACGAATCGAGGTGCGGGGCAGCGCAAGACGAAGCACAGTGTAGTATCGAAGAGCCTCCTTGACCAGCGCAACAATGTACTGGCACTGCTGGTCGTCTTGCTCATCACACATTGGCTCGTCCTCACCGTAAAACTTGCGAATCTCTTCTACAGCTTTATCCTGCACCTCGGGGTGCTGCGACAAGAGCAAAACGAACCACGCGACCAGCGTAGTAACGGTGTCAAGGCCGCCAGAAAGCATAGTCAAGCTGATGGATGTCAGTTCCTCCTTGTTAAGCTTGGCTTCCTCATCCATGATGACATTGGCCTGAATACATGGCTTGTGTGTACCGTTGGCGATGCGCTCGTCTAGCCCGTCGTTGAGCATCTTGAGGTACACGTCTCGGCGGTTGCGCACCTCCCGCGCTTTCTGCGAGTGGCTGTTGAACGGGTTCAGGCGCAGGATCGGGATATAGTCCTGCAGGTTGCCTGTTGTGGAGCGGAACTTTGAGATTTCCTCCTCCACTTCCGTAATCTCGCCAAACATGTCGTCCTTTTGACTCTTGAGCCGTGTGCCCCAGTTAAGGGTCAGTGCTAGGGACAGAGACAAGCGCTGGATCATAGGCATGGGGTCAACTGGCGTCTTACCAGCATCACCGTACTCATAGAGCTCGCGCACAAAGTCCTTGGTTTCGACATCGAGATGAGACACGTACGTTGCGACAGACGGTCTGTTGAGAGCCGACGCAGCACCTTTTCTCCGTCTCTTGAGCGAGTCACTGTACGGAGATGTGCCAATAGTGGTTCCAGCAGTGTCAGACAAGACCTGTCTCACGGAGTTAGCAGCTGTTTTCGAACATCGTTATCAAACCGCCAACGCACCTTGTGGAATGTGTAAAGCTCTGGTCGCGAGCTAAGAGCCTGGGCGTTTTGTCCAAAGATTGCCTTCGCAGCAGCAGCCGAGTTGATAACAACCACGGGGATATTGCCCAGCATAATCTGGTATACGCTTCCGTACTGTTTGGCCCATTTCCTGTACTTTTCAGCCGCGTTGACGCGGATATCCCAGATGTTGCCAACCACCGGCCAGCCGCCAGGGCCTTTTAGCGTAGGCAGCCGGGCATTAAAACGAACAAACTCATTGCCTAGGAAGTATGCAATGGCGCTCGTGACCAGTATACACGCCGGGCCCGAGACGGGATTCTCACGAAGCGCGCGGATAATGGTGAGGATGATGTTGGCCATTGCGACGGCCCGGATTAGCTGCTACAGCTACACGGATAGCAGAATAGGTTCTGGAGGATTTAAAAAATGGGCGGTGCAGAGAGTCATATATAAAGGACGGTGTCCGCTTAAGCGTCGCAAAAGTTACTCATTTCATCTTTTCTCGTCCAGGCGAGTCGGAAAGCAAGGTAGCGCGTTGCGTTCAAGGTGGATGCTGGTTGTTAGTGACTTTTCGGAAATGCGTGGAAGTTTTCCGAAGGCGCATCGCATCGGCTCCACGGGCTACAGTGGTCCACGGGCCGCGGTCCTGTAAACCGCCAATACATTGGTTTTTGATTGATTACGAGATGTACAAAAAAGCCGATTTTATTGGATGAGGCTTTTGCGGGGTATGATTGGGATGCTCGTGATACCAAGGTTCGGCAATTGTACACGGCGTTCAGTGGACAGAAGGCGGATTTAAGAATGTAGAAATACCGATCCATATATTGGACTAGGAATGACATTACAGCGGTCTGTAAAACTTCAAATCCGATCGAATTTGGTACTAGGCGTATGCCTGTGGACACATATGTGCTTAGTTGAGTCTGAACCCTGTTTAGAAGTCTACTTGGAAGGCCAATTTACAGTAGAGAGGATATAGGAATGAATGTATATGTATATGTATTCGTAATTTACAAAATATGACCATTTGCCGATGGCCCGTTACAATTCATCGCGGGTCTCATCAGCCTGTGGTGTAGACTCTGTCGCTTCAACCTCGACGCTGCTAGAAGAGGCCGTCCTCTTTCTAATCTCCCTGTCGCGTTCCTCGAGAACCGGATTTTCGAGGCAGTATCCGCGGTTCATGCTCCTACGGATCCAGTCCGCAGTGCCAAGAGCGGGAGCATACACATCCAGGATCTTGACTTGTCCAACATTGCGCTTGCTGGTACCGATGACCTCGTCGATCGCTTGTGTCACTGCACTGAGGAACTCGGGATGTGTAGCAGCCTCGCCAGCAACGACTACAGCATAGCTGGTATCGGGGTTGGTGGACTTGGTTGCCTCAATGTCCTTGTTAAACTCAGCCACCAAGTGGTCCTTGACACCCTTGAAGAAGACTGCGCCGCTCTCTGAAAGCTTAGCCTGGTCGTGGCCTAGCGATGACTCGACAATGTTGCGTCGTTTAGTAGGGCGCTGTTCAAAGAAGCATTCGTTGTCTTGGAAGAGGGTATAGAGAGAGGAAAAGGTGTAGCTAGTATCTGTTAGTCCCTGCACATCGCAACATTGCCACAAACGTACCTAATGTAGAACACCGAATCATATGGTAAATCTTCCTTTTCGTCTGGAACCATGCGACAATGGGTCAACAGACACTCGCGCAAGCCATGGCCCTTGAGAGCGGCGTTTGCTTCGTGGAGATAGGTCGGCGCATTGATTCCCATGTGTCTAGCCTCTAAGCCCGCACCGGCTAGCGCATCATTTATAACGCTCTGAAACGGTAAATGGCCCTGCCAGGATCTAATATAGGGCACAGAAATAGCCACGTTATCCACCAATCTCTGCTGAAGGACCTGTTCCGTCTCCGTTCTGAGATGCCAGATCATGCGTGCCAATTGCGTGGTGCGTTCGTCTCTGCGAATGGGCAGAAAGACGGCCGACTTGGCAGCGCGGATGAGTGTAGAATCATGGTCGGGATGGTAGAAGAAGTGCCACCATTGGCCGGGGACAGGCACGCCGGCGACAAGATCGTGGATGACAGCTCTGTAGTCCTCATCACCTTCAATGTTGACGATGCTGCGCCGTGTGCCGTTGCTAAAGTGCACGGCGGCGAAACTTTAACTTTGTTAGAGACAATTTCACAAACGTATGACTGCGGCACATGGCCAGCGTACCCGTATGAAGACCCCAAGTGAAATCCAACAGCGGGGTGAGGGCTGATGGATGGTTCTGGCGTTTCAAATTCCTGACCGGCTACAAGGTTGGCTGTCAAAAGGCTCGATGCCAAAACAATGTTGGAAGCTACGCCTCGAACTGTTGGAAACATTATTGCAATCAATTCCCGCGCTGACAAAACTCTTGGGCGGTGGGAGAAGAGGAGGAGCTGCGAGTTGGAGTTGTCGTTTGTAAAAAGGCCCACGCCGTTCCCAGCCTCGTGGCAGTGGCGCCAGCGCTGAAGACCCCTACAGAACAATGCATGTTAACGTGGCGTATGCAGGGAGAGAAGGTTAAAAGCGCGGTAGAAAATAATAATAATGAAGAAATAGAAAACAAAAGAATTAGTGGCAAATGGTAGCATTATGGGACAAAATAAATTGAATAAGAAACAAGACAGAAAATACTATTAATCGTACGAAGAGGATATCAAATTGTAAACGTGCTAAACCAACCAACCACACCCATTTCATTCCGTTTACATGAAAACGACATAAAGAGCAGCCATTGCAAGAGCAATGGTCTTGGCTCCAGGAATCTGGACAGAGGCAGCAGCATTGCCACCTCCTCCAGAGCTACCGCCAGAGTTGCCTCCAGAGTTGCCGCCTCCACCAGTAGCGCTGCGCTGAGCAGACGAGGAGCTGCTGGGATTCGAGTTTCCAGTGAAGGTAGGGGTTGGCTCAGAAGTATCGTTTGTCTCGCTGGGGAAACCGAGATCAGTAGGCTCGGTACTCACGCCCTGAGTAGATCGAGGCGAAGTAGTGGTAGGAGATGTGGTGCGGGCAGTAGTCCTGGGAGGGCTGCTAACGGTGTTTCCGCCGCCACCACCACCGCCAGCAATGCAGCTACTTGTGCCGCAGGAGTATCCAGCATCGCAGTATTTGCCGCCGCCGCAGCAGACAGCGCCGTTGGGAGCACAGGTCTTGTCGCCGCACTCCTTGTAGCCTGTTGAGCAGCCGTTGACAACGTTGTCGCAGCCGTAGATGGCGCTGATGGGGCAGCATCCGTCACCCTGGCATGTTGTAAGAGCTGCGCATGCAGTGCCATCGGGGCAGCAGACTTCAAGGAATCGAATGCAGCCGTCGCCGCAGACCTTGCCGCCGATTCCGCACGAGTTTTGGCGGGCCTTGAGAGAGTTGGTCAAGCTCTGGGCTTGGGGGAGCAGCATGTGCAAGCCCGACTGGAAGGGGATGGCGCCCAAGTCGCGAGCCTCAAGCATGTTGTCCATGTTGTTTTGTGATATGGTGTCGAAGTGGTAGTATGATGTAAGTGTTCACAGTGTGGGGGAACGAGCGATCGGGTGCATAGGAACGAGGCAGCGCACAGCTCTACTTTATAGACAGCTTCACTTGGCGCAAGCTTAGCCCGAAACGATCATACTCCTCACCGACAAGGGTGTAAAAGTTCCTGTTTACGGAGCTTGGCCGCCATTTGAAGACCAGCAGGGCGACAGCCGCAACAGGCAGAGGCGTTGCTGGTCAAGCCGCTCCGAGGGGCTGAAAGAGGGTCGCCGTTTGACATGTTGATTCATAGCAAAAGTCCGGCCTGTGTGGACTTCATTTAAGGTTAAAAGAGTCAGGACTTTCAGCTTAGGCTCCAGTGTGGAAATAATCCAGGAACCAGTGGGTACTTGGTGACCCGACTTCAGTCACTTCAACGTCCTCATTGAGTCAATGCCTCTCGTCTAAACAGAAAATGAACGTATGGAGAGTCTTGGTGTAAGTATCTGTGTACCTTTGACCTTGACCTCGAAAAAGAAAACAACGTAATGAAGCTGTCTTGTTTGTCCGCAGCTCCGTGCACGCTGGTTGTCGGCGTTCATGACAAGCCATAGCTCGGATATGCTCGTATTGTTTGGGATGGTCTTAATTCAGTTCAGCCACTGGCCGCCTTGCTGGCGGTCGCCGTTGTCTTAGCGAGAAGGCGCCGCTTGCATCGTGAAGCTTCGCTTCAACCGCCAAGGCAGACTTTTGCCAATAGCTCAATCGTTGCATGCACTAGACACGCCAGCGCCTCACAATTCCAAGCCGTTACCGGTATTCGATTACTCAACTCAACAGTATTTTGTACTGGCGGTGTATTTTCTGCTCATTTCGAGCCCCATAGAAAGGAACACATGGCTTTCCTCTGGCTGTCAGCAGCTGAATGTAGATCCCCAGAGTGAGGCTGAACTGCCTACCACCGCCAAGAGTCAAAGGGCTGTCATTTGCACCGCAACGGGACTAACCATGCACTAAAAAAAGACGAGATTCTCAAGTCATCGTCCTTGTGAACCAATTCGGCGAACAGATGAGGCGGTGCTGGATATAATTGCTCCCGGCCGGATATTAGCCTCTTTGTGGCGATGTCGATGCTCTTGGTGAAAGCCAGCCGTCTGACAGCTGGTGCCGCATCGCGCTTCAACCTCTGGTGGGGCGCTGCACCTTAACAACCGCCACCTCTGATTGGCCAGTCCAGCGCTGCATCATATTTTCGTCAACCCCCGAAAAGTCGCTTTTTGGCTGCTGGAACCGCGATTTGCATCACCAAAAACGACAACCACACGATGTTTGGCCCCTTCCGAATCACAAACCCGCTATCCGGTGGTCTTCTCTGGAAGATCCCGTGGCGCCTGTCCAAGTTCCAGAAGCGCCGCCACAGAATGCGCCTGCAGGCCGTCGACAACGTCGTGGCCACCCTCGACGCTGCTCTCGCAAAGAAGGGCCAGACACTCGAGGCCCTTGAGAGATGGAAGGAGGAGATGCCTACCGAGGCTGAGATGCTGCCTAGAGACAAGTACACCGTCTTTGACCGCAACGCCAAGCGCTACAGAAAGGGAATTCACAGTAAGTTTGCGCGCAGACCTCAACCCCCCGGACTCCTGTATCGGACGACAAAGAGCCATTGCTAACAGGCATTGCCATCTACAGAGGTACCAAAGTGGACGAGAGTATCGCAACGCATCAACCCTCCTGGTTTCTAAGCAGATTCGACATCAATTGGGCGAGGGGAAGGACGACCGACGCAGCGAAGGGGGGGAACGAAGGTCACACGACACATTGTACAAAAAACACAACTGCATCATCTGGTTCAATCATTTATTTATTTTCACGGGTTGGGGGACGACAAAAAGAAAGCTTACACTGCATTTTCTTTCTTGGAATGGACGAAGCAGGTGCACATGCTTCACGCAACGCAATCAACACTTGTAACAATAGAACACATAATACTTTTCACAATCTCTCACATAGCGCTCGCCTTTTGATATGGTGGTATTCGTATTGAACAGTAAAAGTACAAAAGAAGCAAAACGCCATAGCCCTATTTAATCTGGAATTTACCTGTAACGGTCATCTTCATCGTAGTCGCCGTCGCCTCGGACGGCGCGCCCAACACCACCACGGCCCTCGTCAAAGTCCTCGCGGTACTCGTCACGGACCTGACCGCCCGACTTGCCGCGGCCGTACTGGCGGCCCTCTTCGAATCCAGGGTCCAGATCTGTGCGGATGATACGCTCGTCCAGCTTGGTGCCACCAATGTACTTCATGCAGTCGAGGGCGTCGGCGTGTGTGTAGTATTCGACAAAGCAGAAGCCACAGGGCGTCTTGCTGAAGCGGTCGAGGCCCATGACGAGGCGCTTGATTTCGCCGCACTTGGAGAAGAGCTCGTGTACTTGTTCCTCGGTTGTGTAGAAGGAGCTGTGGCTGATTGTTAGCGATACGATGTGATAGGTCGGTTGCGGCAAGACGTACAGGTTGCCGACGTAGAGGGTGGTTGCGTTGGCTAGAGGATCAACCTGGGGCTCGGCGGGCTCTTCACGGTCATCGTCGCGATCTCTTCTTCTCTTGTTCTGCTCCAAAGGTTAGCGAATGGACAGTCTGGCATGGTGAGCGAGCGGCGACGAACCTTGCCGTGGTAGTAGGCGCTCGGTCTGTCGAGCCTGTCGACAGTGCTGCGGACGCCGGGTCGCATTGTGAGATTCGATGTGTGAGGCAGTACGGGTCTTCGATAGGTAAAAGAGTTGTCTTGGGACGAATTGGTGTATGATGGGCGTGATGTCGTGGAGTTGGTTGCTGGGTCTGCTGGTTGCGAAAGAGCTTGGATGTCTGGCTGGCTTCTGCCAGCGCTGGAAAAGTGCCTTAGTCATAGGTGAAGGGAGCTTGCTGGTGAAGTTGAACCGTCCATATGCATAGGCTATTCATATTTTAAAAATATAAATAAATTATATTAAGGTTTTAAATTAAATCTGAAGTCTCTTTATTGTGAAAATTGTTATTTATACCGAATTCGCAGAGTGCAATGGCAGCTATACTGCTTTGCAATGAAAATGGGCGGGTTAGGCTCAAGTGAATTTACTGTATACATCGTACAATGATAAAATTACAGCAAAATAATAAATCAGTAAAATACCTTTATTAACAAACCAAAATTATTTAAAGTATTTTTCTTTCGATTAATACTGTAGCATAGGCAGCTATTGTCGTCTTCTGCCTGGCGGGCGCCTAGTCACCCAGCAGCAGCCTACACGCGCTAATCTGTACGTTTTGCTCTGGTCGCGCTTTTCCAGCCTTTTTTCCGCCTTCAACAAGCAGCCGAAGCTTCGAATTCAACGCCGCCAGCACCCCGACGTCGCGTGTTTTTGCTCGGCTGCATCCAGGAAATACATTCATAAGCTTCAAACACCTGCTGAACTGCTGCCACTGCGGTCGCTGAAGCTCGCCAAGATGCCCAAAGTCAAGCACTACTCGGCCGCTTGGCTCTCCAACAATGCCCCCGGCCACCAGCTCTTCGAAGCTTCCCAAGATACCCTTCGCTCTCGAGCCATGTCTCCGGCATACTCTGCAAAGAAGAAGCAGCCCATAGGCCCCAAGAGAACGATTGCGCGGCGAGGCACTGAGGTCTTTGTCGCGGTTGGCAAGGAGATTCGCTGGGCCGACTTGGCCTATCTCAAGGATGAATGGAGTGCCAACCAGTCCCGGGGCCGACGTGGCTCAAGTACGAGAATCAAGAGAGAAGATTCTGTTGCTCTCGAAGAGACTGTAGAATTAAGCGGTGCCCAAGGATTCAGAGTAAGTCGTTTGCAACTGTCCCCAAAGCCGATTTTGCGAGCTAACCATATCTCTAGACTATCAAGACTCCCGTTGCCGACGACATTCGACAACTTGTCATTTCTCCCAGCGCCAATCTTCTTGCGATCCTAACAACCCACACGATTCATGTCTTTGCTATTCCCGATTCCGCACACCTGACAAGTGAGGACACGACGCCCCTCCGTCCCAAGATGTTTACTCTCGGTCCTACGACACATGTCACGTCTCGGTCGCCCATTGTCTCTGCATTGTGGCATCCTCTGGGTGTCAATGGCTCTTGTATCGTTACAGTTACGGCTGATGCTATTGTCAGACTGTGGGAATTGTCGACACAGGATCGCTGGTCGTTTGACTCGCCTACCACGTCGATCGATTTGAAGAAGCTAGCTGACGGCATGACCTTGGACCAAGACTTTTCTGCCTCTACAAATGCCACCAATAAGGCATTCTCTCCGGACTCGTTTGAAATGGAGGTTGCTTCTGCTTGCTTTGCGGGAAGAAACAGCGGCGGCTGGAACCCCATGACTCTCTGGGTGGCCATGCGCGAGGGTGACGTTTATGCCCTGTGCCCATTGTTGCCGCTCAAGTGGTCACCGCCTCCCACGCTTATTCCTTCGCTGTCAGTTTCTATTGTCACGACTGTTGGTAGTACTGAAGACGACCCCTCCATCGACGAAGCCGAAAAGCTGTTATCTCAACAGCAGCTACAGTGGATGGGAGAGCTGGATGCGCAGGAGCCCCAGATTGTGGACAACAGCGTCATGGGCGAACCTCCATTGGAGGTCTACGCCCGACCAGCGAGACCCGGTGTCATCCCTCGACTACAAGGACCTTTTGAACTGGTTTCTGATGCTGAGACTGGTGACGACCTCGACACAACCATTACCGATATTCTGGCGATTGGAAAGAAGACAGAGACTGACGCTTTGATGCTTGGTGAAGACGACGTATTGGAGATTGATAACGACGACGAACAAGGCCTTTCATTAGCCGTCATTTGCCTGCTGTCTGCTAGTGGTCAGACGAGGGTCTACTTGGATCTGGAAGGTGTGCAGGCGCAGTGGTTGCCACCAAAGAACAAGTCCAAATCCTCCAAGCTGCTTGCTGAGCCTGCTATCCCATCATTGCTCGCATTCCAGGCCATCGATACCATGAGCCCCGTCGAGGTCAACGAGGACAGCTGGCCCGTGTTCAGTACCGACGTCATGTCTCGCTACAACTTCTTTGTTACCCACCACGCCGGTGTCACCTTTATTTCGCTAACGTCCTGGGTTTTCCGCATGGAGGGTGAACTCCAAGGCGAGTTTGAGGCCGGCACCGATTTTAGACTCGGCTTGTTGGTCAATTCACAATCTACTAGAGAGAGAGTCTATGCCCAACCCACGGCTGATGTCGCCATGCCACTAGCTGCCTGCGTTGCATTCCGAGACCCTGATCTCGGCTACTTCCTTCTGTCTTCTACCGCATACGACCCTGTTGCCATTACCTTTGAGTCCCCCGAGGCCGACATTGTCCCCATTCGTGTCGAAAGCCCCGTCCCCAAGCGCGAAGTCAGCATGGCGCCTCTCGACTTTTACGAACCACGACCTGTCTACCGGCCTGCTCACGCCTTTGACGAAGGATCTGCCCTGCCGGCACTCTTGGAGCGCCTCAAGACATCGCGCCACAAGACTGTTGTCAACCAGGAGATCAAGCTCAGCCCCCTCACTCTGCAAATCTTTACCGACGCACACAAGGTTCTTAGTGAGGAGACTTACCGCATGGGTGTAGCTGCAGCTGAGCTGTTCCGTCGCTGTGATCTTCTCCAGTCCGAGCTTCGACAGCAGGTCCAAAAGGCCAACGAAGTCCGAGGCAAGATTGAAACCATCAATGGAGCAGACCGCGATGGTGAGTCGGATAACGCTGCCTACGAGCGCCGCATTGTGGAAGCCAGAGAGCGTCAGGCACGCATTGTCAAGCGCGTGGAAGATCTACGAAAGATTGTGGGCAAGGCTACCACCCGAGATCTCAGCAGCAAGGAGAAGGCGTTTGTGGAGGAAGTGCGCGCCATCGATGCCAGTGTTACTCGGCCAGAGGATTCTGCTACTCCTTCCAAGGCCGTTGCACCCAAGCAGGAGCTCTGGAAACGACTAGAGGAGGTCAGCAGGCTACAGGTCGAGCTGACTGGGGAGGTTGATGCGCTCAAGAAGGGCGGCGAGCTGGATGCACCGCCAACACCGACAGCATCTGACTTGCGCATCCCTCAGGACGTGCGACGATCCAAGCTGCAGCAGGTCCAAGGATTACTGTCGAGAGAAACGGCATTGGTGGAGGCTGTTACGGCTAGATTGGAGAAGCTGCAAACTTCCGTATGAGATATTCTAGACTGTATGTAAGATGAAAATTAGGTAGAGGCAAACGCACGCCCATAATTGTATCATGAACTATATCCCATCACCGCCTTGCAGTGTTTTATTTCTTTTTCTTCTCTTCTTCCTGTTTCTTCTCTAGTTCCTTTTTCTTCGCTAGTTCCTGTTTCTTCTCCAGCTCCTGTTGCTCCTCTAGTTCCTGTTTTTTCAGGGCCTTAAAACCAGCAGCCACGCTCGACCAGCTTTGGACAAGGAGGACTGTTTACAGTTAGCACCGCTCCATAAATTCAACTGCGTGGCATCACCTACTGAGGGGGACCACTACCCAGGGCATGTTAAAGCCAACATAGTATACCCAGTAGTATAGGGTTTCCGGCCTGCTATACGAGATGCCATTCATGGAAAAGTCGACCCAGTTTGTAAAGTAATACAGCGCAACGCCGTACAAGTGCGCCGTACACACGATGACTTGGTAAAAGTGCCGGCTGGGAGACCTAGACAGAATGGAGGACGCTGTTATAAGGCACAGCGGGCCCCAGCAAAACTAGTCTAGTTAGATATCGGCTGTCGAAGAGTGGCACAAGGTAACTTACCACCGTGATGGTCTCGACGGATATTGTAAACACATCCTGCGTGAGGTATCGCGAATCCGAGAGCGCGTATTCTTTCCAGAGCTGACCAAAGAGGCCCTGTTTGGATGCGATGGTTTCTTTGTATAAGATGAAGAATCCTAGATTGTAACGGTGAGTTAACTGTGCGATACGCGACTGGGAAGTACGGTACGGACCTTCAAAGGTCAGATGGAGGACGCCGCCTGCAGCATTGGTTAGCTTTTTTTAATCGAGCGTATAAGACTAGTTATGCTTACATAGAGCGAACCAGGCTGTTGCAAACTGGTCAAAGGACGGTATGGGCGGCTTGATTACCGAACAACACACGTATGTGAAGAAGATTATAGTGGAAACAAGGTTGCCAAAGATGCAGAGCAGTTCGATGAGAGGGGTTTTATTGGCGACGAAGCCCGGTATGACCGCATCTTGGGGATAGTACGGGTGGCTCTGCATTTTGATTGGCGTGTGGTTGTGGGCGATGATGTGTTTGTTGGTTGTAGAGTGCATTGTTGGTTGGGCAAGGAGAGCGAGAGAGAAGTAGTCTAGGTAGCTGACTTGACTCCACCCGGGCGCTAAGCTTGCGACTACGAAAATAAGTCCAGAACAAATTGATCAAAATAAATGAAAAACATGAAAATTAAGAAAAAAGAATAATAAGTACTGTTGCGAGGTAGTTATGGCTGCAACTCCTAATCTGCCAATTGTATGCGTGTCTTTTGGGAGAGCGGACAAGGCCTCACGTTCAGCTTTATAAGTAGCAATACAAATCAAGAGATTAAACTCGTACGGCTGTTATTGTAGATCTAAGTAACTCATAGTAGCTAGTATGAACGAGAAATATAATAAATAGTACTAAAAAGATCTTTCTAGTCTAACGTATTATAGCTTGCTCTTAACAAAAGCCAGGAGGAATATACCCTATAAGCGCCGTTTCCTACGCAAGGCTACGCACAACCCCGCTCTACCCCAATCTTACGACTTTACAGACCTAACAGCTATATCAGCGATTATGGGCTTTTGCTGCTGCTGGTCTGGCCATTCACTCGCCAGGACACCCATGAGAATCTTATCCCAGTACCGCCCGCGGAGGAATATACTCTCGCGACGGCGCCCCTCTTCCTGAAACCCTACCTTTACGTATGCTCCAATTGCAGCCTCATTCCACTCGTAGACCTCGAGCCCGACACGGTGCATGTTAGCATAGTCAAAGGCCCATCCAAGCGCCCAACTGATCGCCTCACTACCGTAGCCTCTTCGGCGAAAGTCCTTGTGGATGCCAATGCTGAGCGTGCAGTCACGGTGCTGCGCCATGGTCTTTGGGTCGTCTGCGTCGAGGACGACTTGTCCGATTGGCGTCAGGGTGTTGTCATCCGCCGCAATGTTGATGATGGCAAAGAGTAGCTGGTTTGAGCGCCAGCTTAGAATACCGTTGTGAAGCTTGCGGTCCATTGGTCGCTGGATCTGCGCGCACGCGTTGGTCCATGAGACGACGTCGTTGTGCATTGTCCACTGTAGCTCCTCATGTAGAGCAGCGTCGTATGCTGTGTATACGAGACGTTCAGAGCGGAGGGGGTCCATGCTGACGACCTGACGGAATAGAAGGTTATATATATTTTTCTGTTGCAAGAATTATATAGTTTAGTAGGCTTATTTAGAGAAATCGATATCGCTGGTGTTAAAATAGTACTGGAGCCAAAGGGATCAGGGCGAGGCTCTGCCACGTCATTTTGTGTTGGTGGCTGACTGGGGCGTGGCCGCGAGGCTGCAAAGTCCATATGGTGATTAATTCTGTCAAGTAATAATATTATAATATTGCCATCACTGCCTGATTTGTACGGGATCATGAATAAGAGGCAGTAGACGCACCTATATATAATATGAGGCTAGATCTGTGGTTGGCAATCGCATCTGCAACGGGTACTGGGTTGTGCCAGAGTTGGTATTGATGCTAGTCCGATACAATTTAGATATGATATAACAACGCAAAATTCTTTAAAAACATTCTTATACAAGTTAATTTAATATATATTTTATGTATTTGAAACTAAATCTCATCAATTCTTGATTTGGGAATGTATGATTATTACGTGAGATATAGTATTGGATCTCTTACAAGCTATATTAGAACTAGTTCCAGATGAGACCATTCTTTTTTTTTTTTCCCCTTCACATTGTCATCTTCCACTCTCCTCAACATTAAATACCTGTAGTAACCACTTAACTAACTTATCAAGAAGCTCATCAGAAACTGTTCCATAGAAATAACGAGCACAAAGGTCAGTATACACAAAGGTCAGTATAACTGTCAGACTATTGGAAGTCTTGCAAACTCACTGAATCTTACGAACCCACCTCACCCACCCACCAGTGCTCCGACTTACAAGGGAAGTTGTAATTTCGGTTACCGTTACATTCTCTCTTTTCAGCCCCGATGGGTTCGCTGGGGTTACCTGCAAAAAAGCTGACATGGGTCTAATATGCTTCTAGAACTAGTGTAATTCTCTAGCTGGCTAAGCCAATGCCCGATATATATCACATGGCCTCCTCTACGCACCTCCCATATTATCCTTGAGCAACGTTTTAGTGTTACAAAACCTACGGCCATGAAGCTCCATCTCTTATCGCTCCTCATAATTTTAGTATCTGGGGTGTCGGCTGCCGTCTGGCCCCCCTACGACTTCCACGTCAAATACTACGACGCACTCAGCCACGAACTGACCGTTACCTGGAGGCAAGGCGAGACGCCATACTACACGACGCTGGCCCGAATCCATACCGACGGCTACGAAGACAGTCAGTTTGACGTGCACGATGGGAAAACAGAATTCACGTTTACCAACATTATCCCCGGCAACATCTACAGGCTCAGTGTCAAGGGCGGCGTCTACAAGACAAGGTACTCACCCTGGACCGAGATCTTCTGGGTGGCTCCCTATGATACCGCTCCACCTGATCCATGGACAACACGCAAACTAACCAGCAGCGATGCAGCCACGTCTTCTTCGGCCATGGCGTCAGTAGCCCGCGTGGAAGGGCTGGTGGACATGTGGTATATCCGTGATGACGGTTCCGTGCAGGGCGAGTCGTGGGACGGTAAAGTGTGGAAGGCGTATCAGCTAGTCCCCCCCGGGTCAGCCTACCCCACGAGTGGCATTGCCGCTCTATCCCGCGTGCCTAACCAGATGGAGGTGTGGTTCGTCTCACCCAAGGGCGAGCTCATTGACTGCTGGTGGGTAGAAGACCGCGGGTGGGTGTTTGGCGTGCGAGCTGGGCCCGGCAGCGCTACTGTCAATTCGCGCATCGCAGCCGTGTCGCGATACAACGACACAATGGAGCTGTGGTATGTTACCCCCAAAGGCGGCGTTGTTGATTGGTACTACTACGAAGGTCAAGGCTGGAAGGCATGGCAGATTATCCCTGATGATACCGTCTACGCGGGAGCCGGGCTGGCGGCTGTTTCGCGCGCAAAGAACACCATGGAGCTGTTTGTCGTGCGCAAAGATGGAAGCGTTCATAACCATTACTTCTACGACGGCAGCGGCTGGGGAGACCAGGAAATCGCAGCAACGGGCTATGCCGATCCCGTCAGTCCCATTGCCGTTGTGTCGCGATGGCCAAACACCATGGAACTATGGTTTATAGGCTGGGACGGAAGCGTCAATGACTATTTCTGGTATGAGGGAGACCATTGGAAGGGCTTTCAACTAGCACCTCCCCGCAGCGCGTCCCCGGCTGGCGGCATCGCAGCCGTCACCCGTAGGTACGGTTTGCTTGATGTCTGGTGGATTACTCCTGATGGCTCTGTTCGCGGCTGTGCTTGGATCGAGGGTTCCAAGAAGGGCTGGCAATGCTATCCTCTGGCGGCAGCTTCGACTGCGTCCAAAGTAAGCGGGCTTAATGCTCTCAAGCGCGATAGTAGGACTATGGATGTCTTTTACATTGATCAGGATCATGCTGTTGTTACTAATTCTTACCATGTATACTGGTATTAGATGGTATATAGATTAAGTTTGGTTTGTTTGAATTTTCTAGGTTAAAAGAGTCTTTCATTTTGTATTGATATACGTAAAACCCAAGACTAATTATACTATAAACATAGCATCACTTGATGCCAGCACCTTGATACTGATACGAGGGCAGGGTAATTCCCTCCACAGACACAGATAAATAACAAGAATGGGAGGATGACTCGTGCCGGGAACCACTGCCTGCGCAATATTAAAGTATGCACCAAGTATAGTTACTAGAATTTATGACTACTTCTCTATATGTTGCAGAGTGCAACCCTGTCTTGAACCCACTGGTAAGCCCGAAGCGGGCCAATTTTAAAATTCCTTACAAGGCGCTCCTTTCCGAGGTACCTAAATCGGGATAGCCTTATTTATCTTTCTTCTCTTCTGTAGTACGGCAAATTTCCAGCTAACACCATATAGTATCAGAGGCAAATGACGGGCTGGCTTTGCTCCCAGTGACTTGGACTTGCCATTCCATGCTACTTCGGGTTATGAGTATGGCCCGACTAATTTAAACCGCTCTTATCATAAAAAGGAGAAAAGAAAAGACAAAATATCTCTTATCTTATTGGTCTCTCGGTCATATCATATCCAATAGAACACCCATCACAAAACAACTGTTGCGCGTTGTTTCAGCGCCGGTGGGTTCACCTATAACGGCCCGAGAGTCAGCGTATAAAGCCGAACCATTATTCCTTTTTCTTTTTTCTTTTAGTTTATATCATGTACGACAACCGTACGATGGAAGCTCTTTTGTTTCTTCAGCTCTGCCTCTGGGGCATCGCCTTGGCTGTAAAGCCACCGTCAAACTTCCGTGTCGACACATACGACGAGAACCGTAATCTAGTGACTCTAGCCTGGAACAATGAAGAGGGTTACGACAAATTCATCTTTCGAATCCACTGCGACGGCTACGATGACATTCAGAACGACAGAAGGGGCGGCCCGGAAACATACCAATGGGGCGGAATCATCGGTGGGCTCGCGTACAAGTTCAGCATGGAGGCTGGCATGCAGAACCCGAACCATATAGAGCATGGCCACTACTCGCCCTGGGTCGACTTGTACTGGGTCGCGCCGCATCCGCAATGGAGCCTTAGCACTATCAGCGACGGCGGCAAGGCAGCGCCCACGACAGGTATGGCTTCCGTGTCCCGCCTGCCCGAGACCATGGAATACTGGTATATCCGACCAGATGGTGGTGTCGAGGGCGTGTGGTACGGTGGCCGTGAGCAAGCCTGGCATGCCTATGAGCTTGCACCGGCCGGGTCCGCGTCGACTAAGAGCGGCATGGCAGCCATCTCTCGAGTATACAACCAGATGGAGGTCTGGTTTGTGTCGCCCGACGGCACTCTTGTCGACTGTCTCTGGGTGCAAGGCCAGCAGTGGAAGTGTGAGAACCGATCGGGTCCCGGCGCTCTCTCGACCGAAACGCAGATTGCCGCTGTTTCACGCGACAAGGACCATATTGAGCTGTTCGCATATACACAAGATGGCGGAGTGCTCGACTTTTTCTATAAAGAAGGAGCGGGCTGGGGAATATGGCAGTTTATCCCACCCAAGGTCACATCTTACACCGGCGGCATCTCTGCCGTGGCTCGCGACGCCAACAACGTCGATGTCTTTGTCACTCGCAATGACGGCAGCGTCCGTCACCACTGGTGGACTGAGGGCCACAACTGGAACGATGAAGAGCTGGCGCCGCGCGAGTCCGCAAGTCTGGTGGGCAGTATCAAGGCCATCTCAAGGCAGTCCAACACCATCGAGCTATGGTACATTGGCCCCTGGGGCAACGTCATGGATCATTACTGGTACGAAGGCGACCGCTGGAAGTCCTTCCAGATGGCCCCCAACGGATCGGCGGATGGATATGGCAGTCTGACGGCGGTATCTCGCTACCTTGACGCCATGGAGATGTGGTACACTACAGCCGACGATTCCCTCGTCGGGTGCAAATGGTTTGCTGATGCGCGTTGGAAATGTTACCCGATTATCACACCTAGCCCGGTCTCTCATGCTGCCAAGTTGACTGCTGTTTCACGGGTAGCCAACCAAATCGAGCTATTTTATGTTGATCAGCACGGCGACGTCACTGACCGATCATATGCTCCATAGATTGTTTATACTTGGCGGAGTTGGCTTTTTACTGGAACACATGTAGACAATGATTCTTCAGAAGTTGAGCCGTTGTTGTATATACAATTGTATTTTCACTCAGTATGTACCGCTAATACTATATATTCATAAACGTCATTTTGTTTTTTGCCTCGCCGTACATTTACATGTGCGAGGTGATAAAGTCGTGCAGGGTAGGCAGAGCAACGTTGGCGTAGACGCCAGGAGCATCAGCACGGGCACAGCCCTCACCCCAAGAGACAACACCAGCAAGCTTGTTGTTGATGACAAAAGGACCTCCAGAGTCGCCGCTGCAAGAGTCCTTTCCGCCGTCGGGGTAGGCGGCGCAGATCATACGATCAGTAATGGTGTCGTTGTACTTCTCGTACAAGGTAGCGCAGTCGTCGCGCGAGATGACGGGGATCTCGACAGACTGGAGCTGCGAGGGAGGAGGACGGACGTTCTCCTGCTTGAGGCCCCAGCCAGAGGCGAGACCAATGGAGCCGACTGCGGGCTCCTTGTCGACAAGGCCGCCGATAGCCTTGACGTTGGTGCCAAACTTCAGGGGCGTGGAGAGCTTGAGAATGGCGACGTCGTAGTCGAGGACACCGGAATCGGTGAACTGGGGGTGCGAGTAGACCTTGGACACCTTGTAGGCGGTGCCTGAGTTGAGGGTGCTGCTGCCAGCTCTGACGGACATGTCCGAAGTCTTGACGCCCTCGACACAGTGGCCAGCAGTGAGGATGGTGTTCTCGTTGAGAATGGTTCCACCACAGAGGTATTCGCCAGGGAAGAATTGGACCTGGTAGGGGACAGACTTGATGTCAGTGTCCTGGCCACCGACAATATCGGAGCCACGCTGGCCGATAGTGAAGGCAGTAGCCTGGGCCGCAAGGGCAGTGATGAGGGCAGCCTTAACCATGATGATGATAATGGATGTGTATTGGAGAGAGGGGTGAGTAAAAGGGATGGTGGAAGAGCGAATCGGTATGAGAGTATCATGACAACAAACATACTGGGACAATCACAGCCTTTAAATAATTGAGGGAAACCAGCCATTTGCTTGTCCAGCCAGCTTATCGCCACTTGGAGCACTCATCACAACCCCGCGTTTTTTTGCTTTCATGGCTTGCCCGAAGAGGCAAGTGATTTCCCCCAGAATCCATCCTAATCATAGCAACGGTGGTAAGATCGCGTGGGCAGACGGCTGACAGAAAGTATAAGCGAACCTAAAATGATAAGGTGGTATTGCCGGAGCCACTGTAACTCTGTCACGAGTGCAGATCTTTACTACTGAGTTTCCCTTCCGGGCCCTGGCGCTAGTTCACTTGAGAAGGTAGCATTGCTTCCCGCCACAATAGCCTCGTTAGTACGAGAAAAATGCTATCGCGCCGGTAGCTGAGAAATGGTGAAACACTTGGCTCAGTGGAGTTGGGGCACAAATTTCCGCGGACACTGGCGGTCTGCCTCGGCTTCGATATAAATCAAGAAGGAGAAAAGAATAGGCCACTCTCACCGCCGAGATTTGTCCGGTTTGTTATTTGGATGGCTGGCTGGCCGGCAAATGTGCTCTGTACTATGTGCTTTCTTCGCCTGGTATAGATATTTACATACCCTAGCCGGAATATAGTATAGCATGATTTTCGGTAATATTAATAGCACCGCTATTGCCCCCTCGACGGTATTGGTGAAGTGTACTGATCGGAGTCGAAGAATTCCGCTCCTCGAGCAGGGTAAGACATAAAACCTGCCATGATCCGATTATTCACCCTTTCGTGCAATTCTTTGGTCTCAACAGAAAAAGTGTCACCCCATTCGAGTAATCCAGCGGAAACATGTGCGCGCCTTGATTTGCTTGGCTACGGGCCAAGGAAAGCCGCCCGTCCGCCCACAGCCTTGTTTAGACGGGCGCCTCTAAACGCGGGGTTACACTAACCCGTTCCAAAAGCCGGCACCTCCCAACAGACATCTACTGTAAATATACTCAACAAATCGTATGATGAATTGCTGTCCGTATGCTGTGTGCCGCGTGGCTGTTGAGTCAAGCTGGAATATAAGAATGCTCTTACTGCGGTGTATTTCTGTAATGGCCAACACAAACTCTCTCGGAGTACTCCAAACCTCATGAACACGTGCCACAAACGAGAGCCTGATAGTCATGTCCGTTGAAAAGTCTAATACCAGCCATGAGCAACGATCCAAGCCTGACCGTCGAGAGAGACGGCCTCATATTTCGGAAATGCCCATCACGCTGAGCAATTGGCATCAACACGTCAACTGGCTTAGCGCATTCTTCATCATCATCGTGCCTCTGACGGGCTTTGTCGCTGCATACTTCTACCGGCCTTACACGTATACAGCCATCTTCTCTGTTGTATACTATTTCAACACTGGGCTGGGCATTACAGCAGGTACGTATACTTCTCTTTCACAAAGGATGCTCCAAAGTCGATATTAATCCCATACTTGTCGTCTAGGATACCACCGTCTCTGGGCACATTCGTCATATAAGGCTTCCACCCCTCTTAAGATATACCTTGCCGCCGTAGGAGTCGGGGCGGTGCAAGGCTCGATTAGATGGTGGGCAAGAGACCACCGCGCCCATCACCGCTACACCGACACGGAAAAGGATCCTTACTCCGTTCGAAAGGGCCTGCTGTATTCCCACATTGGCTGGATGGTGATGAAGCAAAACCCCAAGCACTACGGGAGAGCGGACATCACCGACCTCAACGAAGATCCCATCGTGGTCTGGCAGCACCGACACTACATCAAGGCGGTTCTCTTCATGGGCCTCGTGTTTCCTACGCTGGTATGCGGCTTGGGCTGGGGAGACTGGGTCGGCGGCTTCATTTATGCAGGCATCTTGCGTTCAACCTTTGTGCAGCAGGCCACGTTCTGCGTCAACTCTTTGGCACATTGGCTAGGAGATCAGCCATTTGACGACAGGCACTCGCCGCGTGATCACGTCATTACCGCGCTGATGACCCTGGGCGAGGGCTACCACAACTTCCATCACGAGTTTCCTTCGGACTATCGCAACGCCATTGAATGGTGGCAGTATGACCCTACAAAATGGGCCATCTGGACGTGGAAGAAAATCGGTCTGGCATCTGATCTCAAGGAGTTTAAGCAGAATGAGATTGAAAAGGGCCGCGTGCAGCAGCTTCAGAAGAAACTGGACGTCAAGCGAGCGCAGCTGGATTGGGGCACGCCAATCGCGCAGTTGCCTGTTATAACCTGGGACAACTTTAAACGGGAGTCATCCAAAAGCGACGGACGAGCGCTGACGGTCATTGCAGGTGTTGTTCATGACGTAGCAGGCTTTATTCAGGAACATCCTGGCGGCAAAGCTCTTATCTCTTCCGCGATTGGTAAGGATGTCACGTCCTGGTTCAACGGCGGTGTCTACGAGCACAGCAATGCCGCTCATAACCTGCTCTCCACCATGCGTGTCGGAGTTATATACGGAGGCTGTGAGGTAGAGATTTGGAAGCGAGAGTTTATCGGAAAGCCTGATGCTATGAAGCAAGGCATTGCCTCTCAGGAGATTGTGAGAGCAGGGGAGCAGATAACGAAGAAGACTCTGTAGTAACCAGAAAAAAATGGTGCTGTTAATCTAAGAGTGGGCAGTAATCAGATTGTTCCATTACCGTTGCAACAACGCGTCAAACTTTAACTGTAATAGCAATTGAGTTTATCGGGATTGCATATGCAGTTTCTAAGCTTAACTTAATTCTTCCGAAAATTCCACTCTGGAAATTATCCTGTGCTTGCCAGCTGGCTGCCACTTCTGCCAGCTGCGAGGGTTCTTTTGTAATAGCAAAGTACCCCCCACGTGCTCGTCGCCACCACTTAGCATCATCACCAACATTCAACGCAGCGCAAGTAAACCCGTTGTAATAACAATGCTTACATCAACTACTAAAGCAGCAGCAGCGGACTCATCTTCCTCATTTGTTCACCGGACCGCTAGTGGATTCAGCCTTCGACCGACAAAAAACGTGGTGCCGCTGTCAACTTAGTGACAATGGCAGGCTGCTGAAAAAACGCACCAACTTAGCTAGCGCCCAAGCCTCGTTATGCGCTATATCCACTGAAAGTGTGCTGAAGAATCCTCTCTCCACGACCACATGGCGTCTGGAAGCCCGCTGAGAGGTCGCATCGGAGCCGGGAAGTCGTGCGCCGTGTGGGGGAACAAAGCCTGCGACAGCGCCACCAGGGACCCTCTAAAGCCCGAAAGAGGTGCTAACCCGAAAGACTTTTGGCTGTGCTGGGCGATCCCTGGCTGGTGGCGTGGGGACCTTTGGATGGGGTTGTCACTGCAAGGATTTTTTGCCTGGCAGCGGCGGAGATCACCGTCGGTCTTTGGTTGGCGCGCCCACCAAGTTATTCAGGCGAGCATTTAGGTCAAGTCATTTAAATACGCCATTGGCCCGCCGCCCTCCTTGGCTCGAGTGTCTTGGCGATTAGACAAGAGATCTCCTCTCGCGCAGCCATCATCATTATCCATTGCTTGCTAGCGAACATGAAGTCTGTCGGTATCATTGGCGCCGTCGCGGCTCTGCTACCCGCTGCGGTTGTTGGATGCGGCTCCGATGATAGCTGCTACGGCCCTACCAACTCGGTCGAATATGTCCGTCAGGTGAAGCGCATGCAGCCTGGTGTGCCCAATGCTTCGTACACACCTAGCCGACCTCTTGAATGGGGTCAGATCAACTTCCTTCACACTGTAAGTAGTCCCAACACCGCGTGTTGTCGAGAGGCGCGACAAAGGGGAGAAGATCGCTAACCCGCTGTTCGTGCGCCTAGACCGACACCCACGGCTGGCTCGCTGGCCACTTGAAGGAGCCCAACTATGGCGCCGACTGGGGAGACTTTGTCACCTTTTCGCGCCGCATGAAGCAGACTGCGGGCAACATGGGCGCCGACCTGCTCATTGTCGACACTGGCGATCTCCACGATGGCGCCGGCCTGTCGGACGCCACCAAGATTGACGGCACCAGCTCCATGCCCGTCTTTACCGAGATTGACTACGACCTGTTGACCATTGGTATGGCTCGCCCCCCGATTGGGCGTCTCTTCTAAGTCCCCTGCTAACAATGACCGTCAGGTAACCACGAACTGTACGTCTCCGACGTTGCGTACCAAATGTTCAACGACTACGCCACCAAATGGGGCGACAAGTACGTCAACTCCAACGTCAAGATCCGCAACCCCAAGACAAACGCCTTTGAAACCCCCGGCGTCACCCACCGCTACTTCACGACCCCCAAGGGCATCCGCATCATGGCCTTTGGCGTGCTCTTCGACTTCACCGGCAACTCCAACGCCTCCCAGGTCACCCCCGCCAAGAACATGGTCAAGGAGCAGTGGTTCAAGGACGCCATTACCTCCAAGGACCCCGTCGACCTGTACCTCATCTTTGGCCACAACCCCGTCAACCCCGCTGTCCGCGGTGCCACCATGAAGCCCGTCTTTGACGCCATCCGCGCCGTGCACCCAACCACACCTGTCTCCATCTTTGGCGGCCACACCCACATCCGCGACTTTGCCGTCTACGACGAGCACTCTGTCGGCATCGAGTCCGGCCGGTACTGCGAGACTCTTGGTTGGATGTCCCTGAGCGGCTTCGACTCCTCCAACTCGGGCTACCACGGCATCAAGAACCCTCACGGCGTGCCCAACCCCTCGCGCACCGCCGTCAACGGCTCCAGCAGCCCGTGGAAGTGGTCCCGTCGCTACCTCGACTGGAACCGCAATACCTTCATCTTCCACTCGCGCCAGCACGAGGAGACATACGACTACCACTCTGGCCAGCGCGTCACCACCGGCATCACCGACACCCGCAACCAGCTCCGTCTTGGCGAAGTCTACGGCTGCGCGCCCCAGACCTGGTGCATGGACTGCGTGCCCTTTGACGACCCCAACAACATCTTCCCTGGTGTCATGCGCCCTGCTATTTCCGCCGTAGTCATCAACCAGACCCGCGCCGACAAGGCGCGCATGGTGCTGGCCAACACGGGTGCCGTCCGCTTCGACCTGCTCAAGGGCCCCTTTACGTATGACGACAACTTTGTCGTGTCGCCCTTCCGCGATGTCTTCCGCTACATCAAGGATGTTCCCTTTGCCAAGGCCAAGGTCCTTCTTGACCAGTATGTTTTTTTTCTTGTCCCTCTTAAACCCATCATCACCTTCTTCTTCTTCATCCGTTACTAACCGTTCTGTGTAGACTCAATAAGGGCCCCATCGCCAAGCGCAACGACCTCGCATCCATGCGCTTCCCCGAAGACGACTGCACCAACCCTGCCGCCGGCCTCCTCACTCGCCGCGAGATGCGCCAGCCCCGCGGCGCCGTGCTCCGCCAGGAAATCGTCACCCCCGGCTACACCACTACTGACGCCTGGGGCACCGACGGCGACGACTCCAAGCACCTGGGTATCCCCCACTACCCTATCCCTGGCAACTACGAGACGCGCGCCAACTTTCCCAAGGACGGCAGTGACCCTGCCACCGTCGACCTCATCTTCTTTGACTTGTACGTGCTTCCTCCACCATTATACTGAAGGCAAAAGACTAACAAACATAAACTTTCAGCATTGAGAAGGATGTCGTCAAGCTTCTTGGAGCTCCTTACACTCAGGCCGATGTCGAGTGCTACATTGACTGCCACTTTAGCTCGCAGGGTACGTTCACTTTCCCGTTTAATCTGATGCCCCAACTAACACTGTATAGACTACATGATTCCGTACGCCAAGCTTGCGTGGTCTGCTAACAAGGACAACTGCCCTGTTGGCTAAGTCCCATCTTTGTTGTTGAAACTTGTAGAAAGATTTGTTGAACATATGTTATGATGATGTGCATGATGAAAAGAAAGGTGTATACAAAAGTTTGGGGGCTGAGACGGTGTTGATTGAGTGAGGCGTTGAGAGGTGAGGTTTTGAACCAGTGAGCGTTGTAGACTATGAAATGAATGAATGTATACTCTGACAAGGATCATGTCAATATTGTCCAATATTGATAAGCTGTTTATACTATAAAGGTATCCGAGCCCGTCTCGTTGCTTAGGCAGCCAAGCCTTTGCCTCCTCAACGCCTCCATTACTATGGTCAAATTACCAACACTGGCAGAACCGTTTTTACAGTTCAACCACTGGCGATCAGGCTCCGGGTTCTTGCAGCAGAGCGTAGCAGGATCAACCTTTGCAAGATGAGACAGGTGCATATGACTTCCACGTCTAGTAGGCTGCATCTGCCCTACGACGCCGGATGAGACAAGTGCATGTACTCGGTTACACGTTGAGCGCACGTGCAAGGCATATTCGTCTTTTTCGTGTGCACATTACAATAGTACTCCTGTTTGCCAGAGATAAACACGTCAGGTAAACACACCATAGGGGTACATCTAGGGCTTGCAGGGACAAATAGCGTAGCCTGATTGATAAGGGCACGGGGTTGGGATACATATTCGTTGTTAAGGCTGAGATATTATTGTACTAACTTGACTGATCACTTGCGACGTCGCAATAATGGTCAGGGTGTATGCATAATAGATAGTGTGGCTATGCTGGCGTGGAACGCACAGTTGTGTGCTAACTCCACCGTTTGCTAGCGTGCTTGACGCCCATCGCCTCACCTCAGCGTCGAAAAGCAGACGACAACCTAGACGAAGAGCACATTGGTGGTGGAGAGCTAAAAATAAAAAAAATGACAAATTACATATTGACAGCTGAATAGTATATAGATGTCAGGAAATCATTAAAGGGGATAATGACTTGCGTTAAACTCTATAAAAACACGACAAAAATCCAACACAACACGATTCACCCCTTTCTGGTTCGGAAATGAAGCTACTGCAGATCCAGACGTCTCGTATTATTGAGATACTCCCTCCAAATATCCCGAAATATGCTATATTATCACATACATGGGATGTCGTCACAAAACTACCCCCTCCCGCTGCCATACAATGGGCGGTGGACGTGCAGTCGAAGAAATACCTCGCACTACTCCCCAAGATCATAGAGGCTAGTCGACTAGCTTTGGAACAGGGCATAGATTACCTCTGGACCGATTGGTTGTGTATTGACTCCTCGTCATCGGCATCCTTAGAAAAGGCAGTCAACGGTGCGCTGTCCTTATTGCAGCAATGCGCCCTGTGCATAGTCCATTTGGATGATCTGGAGAAGGATAGCTTTGACGAGGAAGGGCTTGCGCAATGCCGATATTGGACCCGTTCTTGGACACTACAGGAGCTTATTATCCCGCAAAATGTGCAATTCTATGATGCCTCATGGAAGCTTTGTGGCGAAAAGCACGATGCAGATGTATCGACCATTGTGAGCACCGTGACCGGGATACCCGTTCCTGTTCTGGTTGAACCCGATGCGCTCTGGGATACAGCACTAGCTGTTCGAATGTCATGGGCTGCGCGCCGAACTTGCCGCCGCGAAGAAGACATTGCATATTCTCTTCTGGCACTCGCTGGTGTGACGCTGCAAGTTCGTTACGGCGAAGGCTCCGAAGCGACCTTTCTGAGGTTTCAGGAAGAGGTCTTGCGCAATACACGGGACACCTCTCTTCTAGCTTGGAGAAGCTCTGTTGGCGATCTCCCACGTGGTCTGCTTGCCCGATCCCCTTTGGAATTCCAACACTTTCAAAGCACGCCAGCGAACGATTCCCGTCCGTGGGAGTTTGATGGCGCCATGTGTTTCAATAGTCGCGGAATTCAAATCCAGTCCAATGTCCAGACTCAGGACACAGTTATGACTCTGGATATTGGACGGGATGCCTCGGGAAAACGGATTGGGGTCTACCTCGCCTGCTGGAATGGCGTCTACGTAAGGATCTTTTCTGAAAGGGACACGGTTCTTTCCACGCGGGTTCATAAAAAGATATTTTACGGAGCTCGTCATCTTCGTCCCGCAGCTTCCATCAAATTAAGCCATCTCTTTACGAATCTCAAGTTGCCCCATTATTCAAATGCAGCCAGTCCAGCAGAATCAGACGCCCAAGCCGTCGCTTATATACTACCTACCCGATGCATCGATAAGGGCGATTCTGCAAATCAAGAGACTATCCCATTGTCTCTAGAAAAAACTGGAACCAAGAGAAATTCGCTTGGCTTGCCGAAACAGCCGGGCCACCAGCCGCTAGGTGTTGGGCAAACTGATACTCTTGGCTTTGTCTTTGACGATGACGATGTGGAGGTCGTGAATGTGAAACAAGAAGAATCTGATACAAATGCGGATCCCGATGCAAATTCAGATTCCGATATCAAAGGCGAATGGGAGTCCATCACCGACGACCAAAAAAGGCTGCGATCGGATGGTGATGCGTTGGCCACAGACCAGCACGCACGACGAGTGACGGCTAGCCCGTTATAATTGCGGTGGAATTTGAAGGGCATGTTCGAATATAGAATGGTATCGAGTGTACATAAAAATCATGGGTGGGATATGTATCTGATTTGTCACAGGCTAATCCATGTAGTAAATGACTTGCAATTTTGTTTACTGTCTTATTAAAACGACTGGCCTCAAATAAATACCTTGAGTAGTATATAATAAGCCACTATTTAAACCGGCGTTCAAACTAGTATTCAAAACCAGTATATATATTTAAAATAAATGGTTATAAAATGGCTATATACAAAGAAAGAAAAACAGTCGGTAGAGTATTATCCAAAAACTCCTGCAATGCATGGGACGAATAAGTCATGTTGAAGTAACTACAATTCGCTGACCCCAGGCGTCCCAGATCTCGAAGCTCAATTGTTGTTACTTTGAGGCGCATAGTTCTGCGACATGCTGCCATCTTGGCCTATCTCATATACAACCGCACTCGATGATGCAATACCTCCCTCCTGATTAACGCCGGCTTGAGCTGCATTAACCATATTACCGCCACTACCCCAATTACAAATACTATTAAAACAAGCTTGGTGCATAGGAACGCACTGATGGTTACGCATAAAACCACCAAGATGTGCTTGTGCGTTAAAAAGATCCCAGGCTTGGAGTAGCTCGTTCACATTGGAGCTATTGCCAACGATAGAGGCGACAGCCCTGCTCAACCAGCAGATGGGAGGATTTTGCGGATTTTGCGGATTTTGCGCATAGTGACCGTTACCATTGTGGAACATCTGTCCTCCGTGGACCACTAAGCCGTTCAAATATGCAGACGCAGACTGCTGTGTTGAGGCAGTCTGCGGCGGCAATCCGCTGTACATTGATTGAAACGCTCCCACGGGTTGCCCAGAGGGTGCGTGACTGGGACCCGAAGGAGGTTCATTCGTGGGCATAGGCATGGTCAAGCAGTCGGTATCGATGATCATGCCGTTAGATCCCGTTAGCTGCTTCCCCATCGGCGGCTCCATAGCCCCGCGTTCAAGATCCATGCCTTCCATCATGTTCCCAAACTCCGACTGCGAGGGAACATAGCGCGGCATAGAATATCCATTAGACCCGTTATTTAGTTCCCCGCCGCCAGGCATCTCGGACACGAAATCTTGTGGCAGCTCAATAGGCATACCATGATTGAACGGCAATTCGTAGAAGCGGTTTGTAAGCTGGTTAAGCTCGTTTGGCGCGACGGGTACACCCGAGAACGGCGGCGCCACGGTATCATTCAGATCTACCGACGGCAACGGCGCCGGACTATGGCCCGTTAGGTCCAAGGGTGGAGCGCTATCCGAGAACAACTCATGTCGTCTGGGCAGCAAGCCCAGTTCATGGTGCAGCGATTCGTGCACCAAGCGGACAATCTCGGGTACCTGTGCAGCATTATAGCCGCGGACCGCCAAAGCATCAACATACTTCTTGATCCGCGCCTCATACTCGACCATGGTAGGACGCTCCGTCCACGCAGCATCCAACCTGCCTGACTTGGGTGGAGGCTCATTGGTGCCTCTATACGCCATAGTACACAGCCTATCGTAGTACTCTTTGCCAGTGTAGCGGCTACCATCAGGCTTTCTGAGGTAGTCTTTCAACTCTTTAAACTCTTCATTTGTCATGGGTTCCCGTAAACCCGTGGGCACCTGGCAGTTATGTGTGGCGCGCTGTGCTTCTGCCTTCGCCACAGTCTGCCATTGGGTTCTGCAGAGTGCACAAGATTTGCCCTCTTTGAGTACATGGCGGGAGCTTAGGTGCTGCATGATGCTTCCCGCACTTTTGTGGTGGGCTCTTTTGCAGGAGGCATATGTCACTGGATCGAGTTTGAAATATGGGCATCCCCACCACACACCCTTGAGGCTCTTATCAGCGTCGTTGTAATCGTAATCGTCGTCATTCTTATTATTCTCATCGCGTCCATTGTATTCATTGTTGTTTCTGTCGTTATAGTTGTTGCCGCCGGGGTTATTGTTTTCTTGTGGTTGGCGCCAGGAACCGCCGCCGTCCGGGAGGCGCTGGCTTTCATTCTGAACGCCGTTTCCGCGGCTATTGCCTGTTGTGTTGGCTGGAGCCCGCTGTCCATTGGTTGCACTTGTATTACCGCGGTTGCTCTTGGATCTGCGGCAGAAAGCGCGGTTGGCATTTCGTCCAATCCGCTGTCTGAATTTGCGGAAGGACGCCGAATCCCAACTTAGAGATCGCCTCTTGGCGGCTGTAACGTTGGGCTCAGCAGCCACCGGCCCACGGGTTCGTGCATGGCGGCGGCTTCTCCAACCTGACACAATCGAAGACCATATGGCATGTGGCTTGTCAAACTTTCGTCTAAGCCTCTGACGCGAGAACCGACTTTGGTGATTGTCTTCGTCGACGTCGGGTTCATTGTTGTACAGGTCGTCGAGGTCCTTCTTGTCTAACGGCCATTGCGGTACATCGATGCCAGACAGTGCCTCCATAAGTCAACTTGGTAAAGCAGGACGGAAAAGGAAGAAAGAAAAAAAGAAAGTAAAAGTAAAAGTAAAAGTAAAAGTAAAAGTAAAAGTAAAAGAGGGTTATTGAGGCCCCAGTGGCAGGCCAAGGGGTGCGTGCTATCTGTGAATGAGTGTGGTCGACGACTCTGCTTGTGTGGGAGTCCGAGTGCGGCCAAGGCAAACGGCCATTGAGAATCGGGGGGGAGGGAGGTGTCTATTTAATTTGGTATAGATAGATCACCCCCAGCTTGGTGTATTCTGCCATGAGAATATGAAGAGTCGTGGAAGAGTGGCTAACTTCTGGTGTTTTAAAGAATGGGCCACCGATTCTCTATCTTGGCGCTGGGTGTACTTGACAGCGACAGTTGGGGTGCGCTAAACCGAAGGTATAACGACGTATGCCTCGCTGACAATGTAACCCTCGACCCCTGGGAGGCAGTGTTCGAGCCCACGGTGACCAGGGCCTTATGGACAGGCATACGATGAACAGGCTTGGTCAGGGCACAGCCATATTCGGCAAATATACTTAATCAAGTTGGCATAGCGGGGCTAATACCACGATAGCCTATTGTTATCGATGGTTAAAAGACGAAATTCATGCAGGGCGGGCTGGCGAACTTTACAGATTCTTCTCCAACGCGTGGCTTCCTTCCGAAGCACGGCGCAAGCCAAGGCACTGCAACCCACCACCATCAACTGTAAGACGAGATGGCAGAGCGTGGCGGCGTTGCTGGGGCTGAGCTAGTGACGCCGTTTCATGTTGCGTTGTCTCTTGGCTCATGACAGAGAATTTCTTACTCGGTGTAGCAAGCACGCCTCAACAAAAAAAAAGAAAGCCTTGTCTCTATAGGAATCTACAGGTAGCAGCTCTCACTAGAAATCGAACTGATAGTGCCTTGTCATCCGCTTCATTCACTACTGGGCGACAATGGTAGCATCAACAGATATATGCATGAGCATTACGTGCATCACATCGGCTGACTCGCTGCCCCTGCTTTCTCGCAAAGTAATCTGTTCTGGCAAAAGATCGACCTCGGCAACGATTGAGTTGGAGATCCGAAAATACGCGCTTCCAGATAGTATGTCAAGTCAGTTGCTTGAAGAAACATTAGTTTATAATGTTAATCAGCGTTGAAATTATATGCTTGCCAGCGGCATTGGGCTTAAACATAGGTTGATGCGCATGGATGATGGCGCAGTTAATAGTACCGCTGCCAGTCGGCGTAGTTGCGGAGTTACTTTGCATGGCGCTTTCGTTTCTAAATCCCAGTATAAGAGTCAAGTCATCGTTTAGTTTACCAGTTGCTTCCAAGTGGTCGAAGCCCGATATGAATCAATTGGCTCCAGGCGTGTTGATAATAAATGTAACAACAATGGAAATATAAATGTTAGCCAACGTCGCGACGTAATTGAATGTCGACATATCCGTGATGATGGTTGAAGAGGGAAACGTCGACTATTCCGTCGTTCAAAGCTCGACTTTGTCTTGAGAAGGGATATTTAAGAAGAAGAAGTCCGTTTAGTTTTGATGCGTTTAATATTTTAGAATCAACAGATTCAAAAGCATCTTACTTTGAGGATCTAGTCTTGTTCTCCCTATTCGATTGATCAGTATTGTTCGACATCTCCAAGCATAGAGTACTAGTATGCCACCTTCTGATTCAGCGTACGTTATAATTATGGTGTATTTTTCTCCCGCAAAAATAAATCCCAAAAAAGAAACAGACAAAAAGGAACTGCATCAAGGATAAAGGAAAGCACTCTTTTAAATATATATCATTCACTAACACCACATATCAGGCAACGTCGGCAAGAGCGGGAAGGCCGCATTGAATCCTTCCTGCAAGACAAGGGCCCCTATACTGTTCCAGGGAGTCTTGGTGGTTCCAGCGTATCACCACCAAGCGCACAGCAGCCACTACCTGCGCCCAAACCGCAGCCTACGCCCAAACCCAGCACCAATGGCGTATAGGGCACTACCTACCGGCAGTCGGATGCCCAACACAGCACTGTAACGTGTGGTACACGGTATACTGTACGGGGCAGGCGGCCACGTCATGTGTCTCGAGCCTGTGGAGGCTGATGGCTCGGGATCGACATGTGTCGTCGTTTGCTTGACGACTTTAACGGCGCTAGTCAGGGGTATCCATCGGGTAAACGCCCAGTCGTCCCGAAAAAGACGAGTTTAACCAGCGCTTAATGCATGCATTACGACTGGATAATCCCTAGTCTATTTTATGCACTGCTTGTTTGTTCGTCTTTTCGGCAGACAATTTCCCGCTGTTGGATTAGTTTATGGTCTTTCAAATCGGTCGTCTTGCTTTTATCTGCTGTAAGGCAGGTTTTGAGTCTAGGGCAGATTTTGAGTAGAGTTAATATGAAATAATATGAAATATTTCAAAATTTCAGGATAATATAGTTTATTGAATAAAAAACACTAAACCGTATAACATATGTTGTTAACCTTGGCAGAGGCTGTGGTCCACACGCAGCCACTCCTCCATAGATAGCGCACCGCTTACGCCACACTGCGCGATAGAAAGTTGAAACGGTGCAAGGCACGCAACGCTGTGCTCTGTTACCCGACGTACAAGGGAGGTAAGGCCATATATACTCTGTTAAACGATGCAGCTACTTAAAACGTCACGGTTCCCCAACTACCCTCTACTCTGTCCCAGAGGTCTAGTCATTCCTTTTATCTACGTCATCTATTACCTTCAAATTATTTTCACAACAGCCTTATTCACCACATAGTTCTTTTCACTAGAGCCATCTCCCCATCGCAACTTCAGATGTGCAAGACTGCGATCTCACATCTCTCCAAAGCCTCAAACAGTCGAAACCCGCACTTTTCTTTGCGAATAGTACTGAAGCTACAATCTCCACTTCCTCCGATATAAGTTCAACGACACTCTCGAACTCCACTCTGCTCTCACGTACCCTTCAGTACCAGTAGGCGGATACCATAAACACTCCTGCAAGAAGAATGACAATCACCTATGATAATAGCCCAGTTCCCAAGGACGAGTTTGACGAGGTCCTTCACCACGAATCACAAGATGAAGAAACGAAAGACGCCTATGACGATCCTCAGGAGGAAGCCAGCAGGTTGTTTGCCTGCCCATTTTATAAGCTCGACCCTTGTGCGCACGCAGAGTGTTTACATCTGAAGCTGAAACGAATCAGCTATGTCAAACAACACCTCAACAGAAGACATGTTAAGAAGGGGGACTTTTCCTGTCCAAGATGCCAATCCAGTTTCCCAACATCGGAACAGCAGAGAGAGCACCAGTCGAAAAAGTGTCATAGCAAAAGGAGAAGTTGGGATGAGTTGGGACCACAGGCAACAGAGCGTCTCAAATTTCGGTCCAACAGAACTCTATCGGTTGACGGCCAATGGTATGACATATGGGACGCATTATTCCCCGACACTCCTCAGCCAAAGAGCCCTTACTTGGATACTATGTGGAAAGAGACATTGGGCATTATTCAGCACCGCGTGACACGGCAAGACTCTCATATTATTTCGGATTTTCTGCAAAGCAGGGACAAAATATGGAACAACGACAGTGCCATGTATAGACTTCTCGTCGACTTTGTCAAGCACATGTCGACCTTGAAGGGCGGGCGGCGGCAGCGACCAGACGACTCGCCGAAGATGCTGTCGACGAGAACAAGTACTGGTTCGGATTACTCTGAGGCCGACTTCTGCGTCCCGTTGAATTATATGGAGGAAGAATCATCTGCGTGCTTGGATATGTCGCCACTACCCGAGAGCCTGCCTTACCCCACTGACTGCTTGTGGAACAACGGGCCGGCGGTATTCGGTGATGGTTTTCCACTCTCTGCTTCGCCTGGCTGGGATATGGATATAGTGGTCCCTATTGACACCAACATTGAGATGTCGGACTATTCTGATTGGATGATCGTCGGTCCCCCGCCTACATTTACAGATCTTGATGAATGGTTAAGAATGAGGTAGTGCAATAGGAGCAGGGCGACCTTACGTCATTATTCACTACCGGAGACGTTTGTACTTTTATTTTATGCATATGGTCTAAAATTGAATAGACCATGTCATTGATTGGTATTTTTATGATTATATTGACTGATAATTAGTTCGACTAGAAATTGAGTCGGGTCGGTGACGACCGGCGAATACCGGCTGTTGTATGCTTTTTTTTTTCATTTGGGCTTTTTGTGTCTCTAAACTAGAGACCAATTGCGACTTATAGAATACTGGTCACAGTGTTGTACCATTTATGAGTCCACCGAAAGCGCCACAGCTGTACCTTACAGGTGTCAAAACACTAGAGAACGAGACCATTTCTTCATCATGTACGTGGTTTTTATATTGATTATATACAAGTCACCTATTTGAAATCGTTCCTTTCTTCATCAGATTTCTTCTTCCTATACTCTTGCTGCCTTAGACATAGTCCTCCCAGCGGGCACGGTGGATAACACGGCCCTTGGAGTTCATGGTGAACTGCTTGGGTGAGTAGGGACCCTCGTACTCCAAGAGGTAACCAGCAGCACAATCAGAGAAGGAGACGCGGGGCTGGTTGTAGAAGAAGTCGTCATAATCGGCATTCATAGCGTCGCTGAGCGAGTTGACCTTTTGCTTGCTCGAGCTGGGGAAGACGAAGCTCCAGGGCTTGCGGCAAGTGGCGCCCTTGCAGTTCTTAAGAGTAAGCAGCAGAGTGTCGAGACGGTCGGTGAGTTCGGGAATGGGAAATCCTGCGGCGTCGCCGTTTGTGTCATAAAGATTGTTAAGCTGGTGAGGGTCGGCCTTCATGTCGTAGAGGGTGTGCTCGTTGGTGCACCAGACGGCGTACATGAAGTCGTAGTCCTCAGCGACAATGCGTAGCGTCTTGTACGTGTTTTGCTGAGTGGGCGTACGGTAGTCTGCAAAGATGGTGCCCTCGATGTAGGCATGGCCCCAGTACTCAATGTTGACGTGCTCGCTCTTGACAGTCTGCGCATCTTGCTGGGCACGGGTCAAAGGAATGGGAAGACCATCAAAATCGTCATGCAGCGGGATACCAGCAATCTGGAAGAACGTAGGGGCGAGATCGGTGTGCGAGGTCGGGAAGTTGACAGTGGCGCCCTTGGCAATGCCGGGGCCGCGGACGTACATGGGCACATTGATATCCTCTTCAATGTTGCACGACTTGCCGGGAGGGAGACGGTGGTGGCCCAGATGGTAGCCGTTGTCGGCTGTGTAGAAGATGTACGTGTTGGCAAGGAGGGTGGAGTTGGCCTCGATCTTCTTGACGACGGCCTCGACAAGCTCGTCAACAGACTGCAAAGCGCGGAGACGGTTGCGGTAGTAGCTGTCCAGGTAGTCTACCTGGTCATCGTCCAACTGAGGGATTGTCTTGAGGTAGTGGACATCGCCGTTCTGAGAGAAACATGTTAGCGTGCGTCACCATGTTTGCTCGTCTACAGGCCACGTTCTTACCTTGTCAGGGTTGAAGTTGGGTTTGCGAGGAATCTTGACATCCTTAAACAGGTTCTTGTGACGTTCGGCAGGGATTGGATCAGCAAAACCATCGGGGCTGGATTCGCCGTGTGGGCCAATTGGAGCAATGCCGAGGAAGAAAGGCTTGTCGCCATGGATGCCGTTATCAAGGAATTCAAGAGCGCGCTTGTGGATGTTGTCGGTGGAGTAAGAGCCCTGCATAGAACGGTATGGCTGGTAGTCCAGCGTCATGATGGAGTTGAGGTATTTATACGTTCCAGGATCAATGAGGACTATGAGTGAGTTAGAAACAATTGCACTCGAGGGCCCAATACAGGGCAAGAGAGGTACGAACAGTCGGAACGGCTCCAGCCCGCAGCATATGGGCTGTTGTAAGTCTTGATACCGTGCTGGTTCATCAGTTTGCCAGTGTAGTAAGTGTCGTAGCCAGCTTTCTGGAGCCAGATGGGCAGGTAGTTTTTGTTGTGGCCCTCGGCAACAAACTTGGGGTAGCCACCTAAAAGTTCAGTTAGAAATAACGCTACAATCTTGGGTAGGACTGTGGTATCATACCGTAAGGCTATGAGAAACATTGTGTTAGCTTGCGCTTGGGTCAATTGGGTACGTGGGAACTTACGCCTTGGACGTCGGTAACATTAGTGTTGTGAGCAGCCTTGCCAGTCAGGAGGGAGACGCGCGAAGGGCAGCACAGTGAGACGGTGCAGTAGTGCTTGTCGAAGGTGGTGCCCTTGTCGGCGATGTATTTTTGGAGAAGAGGCTGGTATTTGGTCGAGTCCATCAGCTTGTCCTGGTCATCGGTGAGGATGAAGATGATGTTGGGCTTGGTTGTCGTAGTCTTCTTGGGGTTCGTCGCGCCCGAGGACGCAACGGCCTGAAGGGCGAGCAAACCCACGGAGAGGAGGATAGTAGGGACAGTCATCTTGCGAAGCAGGCGTTGCAGCGGCGACTGAGAAGGCGGAGGGAAATCTTCACGACAATCGTCACCCTTGCGGTCCCGAGGGTAGTCGGCGCCCGACTTATTATAATCCGGACTGGCCATGGTTGCGACAGGCACGCTAGTGATGCTCGACGCAAAAGGAAGGCCAAGTGTCAGTAGAACCCGCCAATGTCAGCATGAACACTGGGGGTGGTAGCGGCCAGCGTCGTGGTCAGGACCTGGCTAGTCAATTGGTTGCCAGGCTTGGTTGCGTGCCCAGACTGCAAAGTCGCGAATCCGCTGTCGTCATTCCGGGCGCAGGGACTTTACCGACAAAAAGGCCATTGTGGTGCCCTGTGTTAATGAAAAATTGGCGAGTGAGTTGCCTAATACGGCTTGGTTCGGGCTGGGGCTCCGTAGCTGAGTCGAGCCGCGGAGCCTGCTGCGGACGGCGAATGGGTCAGCGTAGTAATTCGGATAATAGGGCATGTTAGCGCAACGAGTCGCTGCACCACACGAGTGGAATTTGACATTGACAGCGTTGATGGTCGATAGGAGTCGAGCCTGCATCGTGGGCGAGAGAATGGCTTGTATGTTCCTGTCCAATTCTAGACTGCGGTTTCCGGTATTGGCGTGCTCCGGATGAATATACAGTCACAAGTCCCGTCAACATACATTTTTAGGTGCTGTAATAGCAAGTTCGATTATTGTTCCTTCAGCAGAGTAGCTGCAGGTTTAGCGGCGATCGTCTGGACTGTGCGTCAATTGTTTAGCGCAAAGCATGGGTGAGTGAGTTCGCCGTGATCGTCGGCGTAATTTTGGTTGCCCGTAATCTGCAGCTGAGGCGCTTCGGAATCTAGTGCAGATGCAGAGTTGTACTCAGGTGGCTCTCTTAGCTTGTTGGTACCTCTGTAGAGACATGGCTTGTCAGCCCTAGTAATACACATCCCCCTTCATCATAACTCTAGCAGTCCGCAGTAGCTGTGCTGCTTCAATCTTGTCGCCGTTTCGCGTCGTGCTCACATCCACTTCGCCGCTTGGATGGCCAATTCTAACAACGCCCCGTCCCTTGCTGTCATCAGACATCATACTTGCCGCAAGTGTCCCCTCAGTCTGTGCGGCCGCCCCCAGACACAATGCCAGAGTCAGTGGCACCGCTTTGTGGGCCTGACCCATCGACATGGCCAAACACTGAAGATCGACGTCCTGTCTACTGCCAGCAGGATATACCATGACGACTTTGGGGACACTGCCCATCTCGGGGTTCATGCCCATAGCGACTGCACCTGCTCGTCGAATCATTTCCAACTTTTGTTTTAACGCGGTATCTGTTTCAACGGCCGCAGGAGTCAGCCCTTCGCCCGATGCAGGAAAGCCCATGCTTGTAGCCTTGATAAAGACACCTGGGTTGCCAACATCTACCAGTGATGCCTCCACTTCGCTTCCATCATCTAGCTTCAATGTATCGATCTTGTTACCCGTCGGCAGCTGTTTGCCTGTCTTGGCTCCAGCTGGGTCAATGAAGCTCATGGTGATGGGCGAATGCGAGCCAGCCACACCGGCGATGGAATAGTCACCCTCTGGACAGTACGTCGGCGGCGAGCCCGCCACGCGGAATCTCAAGTCAATTGTTTTCGACGTGTTTGTGTTGAATGTCCGTAATGTTGCCCATTGCTTGCCGCCCTGTTGCTCGAGGACGCTCTGTTTGCGCTCCTCTGACACATAGCCCATATCCCATGCCGCAGGGCCAATGATGGCCGTCATGTTGCCGCAGTTGCCCGCTTGATCCAGAACATTATCTCGCACACCAGCCTGCACAACCGTATACTCTACGTCGTGACCATTTTTGCCGGGAGCCAAGACGACAATCTTGGCTGTGGAGCTCGTACCTGAGCCCATACCGTCAAGCTGTCGTGCGTGAAGAGCATCACCAGATCCCATGGCCTGAGGAAGAATATTGTACCATTCAGATTCCTTAGCGGGCAAATGCTCCCGCCTGATTACGAGTCCATTGGAGGTGCCGCCGCGGACGAACCAAGCTGGGAATGTGCGTGTGCCTGTGTGATTGCGACGTCGACATGATTGCTGGAACAACGCCGATGGTGGTGATGGCCGCTTCTTCTGCAATGCAACCGATCGGAGTATTGAAACCCGCCGCATGGTGCGTGATTGTGGTTGCAATGGATGAGGTTGGATGCGTTGTGAGTTTGCAGGTGGCAGGTTGAAGTTGCCAGCTGTAACAGCTGCCCACCGAGCCGAGCCGAGCGGACCCAGCACATGCTGCTGCATTCACGCCGTATACCAAGAGATGAATTGCTTAACAACGACTTGAAAAGAAAAAAGAATTTTTTTTTAAAATGTTTAGTAGAGTGAGGCAAGAATAAACTGAGCAGAGAAATTCACCAAACAAGACGCCGCCATACCGAAAAACGCCAAGGGATGCAATCCGTAGCCCGCGTCTACGCCCAAAACCTCCTCAACTCGGCTGCATATGCACGATCAAGGCCCCAATTCTCAACGGCATCCTCAATGGCCGTTTCCATTCGCTGAATGTATTCCTCCAACGGCGCAGCCGGCACCGTTCGCTCCTCGTCCATATATACCAACGCCCTGACGACCTGCCCGTTGCCACCGCCAATGGCCTTCTTCTCACCGTCCAGCTGCCACGTAACCTCCACCTTGCTTTTCTCATAGTAATATCCGACGCCCTCAAAAATATCAAGGGCATCTTCATCCCGTGGCGGTAGCAGATACAGCAGACCATACACCCCGCCGCCAGTCTGGCTATCCTGCTGCACAATATTGGCGTACCCTCGCTCGTTGATGATCCAGCGCCAGCCAGGCAGAAAGCCGAGGCCGATGGGCGTGGAGTAAGGGCATCGCTGCCTCATTTGCGCGGTGGACATGTTGCTGCCATAGGCAAAATAGAGGATCTCGTGGCGGTCCTCATCGATAATGGTCATCTGCGAGTCCTGAGATATCTGCGAGTCTTCGTGGACCAGGGACATGGCTGCCTGCGATCTCGGGACAAATACGGCGTGTTGCGGCTCGATTTAGCACTATTGCGCCAGTGGCGGTCGATGAGTCCGCTTAGTACGCGCAGTGCAGATGGACGAAACGCGGTACAATGCAAAACGAGCGTATGCTTCTTCTCCAAGTGATTGTTTCTGTTCTCTTCGTCGTCCCAGTCCCGGATTTTGTTTCGTGCAAGATTGCCACTGCTCACGCTGCGGTTTGCAATGTTGCCTAATAGCTGCAGGCACAAGGTTTTCTGCCCAGGTTGACTGACTGGCCAGTTAATGCGACCTGCTGCTGTGGTGCGTGGGCCCATCTGATCGACTGCTACCTTATCCACCCGATCAAATAACTACGTTAATTGTAAAATAAAACCAGAAAAATACACGGAATTACTGGACGTTGCGTGTACTCCTTGGATTACTGCACCAGTACGACTAGCTCAATATTGGTTTCTCCACTGCCAAGATCCTTGCTAAAGCTCCTCCCAGGATCTCTAGTCTGGTGTTTGGATTAGTCTTGGAATAAGGATTACATTACAAAAGGTTAAAAAACGTGAAACGGATGGTGCAAACTAAGTTCTAGCTGCATGTCTGCCTGGCGCCACTCATTAAAGTCGGGCGTGAATGTTAGGCCTGCTTCATAGGCCGTGGTATCACGGGGCGTAGAACACTGGTAGTGAAATGCCTTATGGATTCGACGGCATTTTCTTCAAGTGCTTGCATTGTTTAATTGTCGATTTATCAATGTTATGCATACACATGCATTTCTAGCTTTCCTCTCTAAATTCGTAATAATATTCTTAAGCACATGCTCCATGCCGGCTAGCCAACGAAAGTATTTAGCCATAGCACATACATGGTTGGTATTACTGTCTCGGACAAGATTAAAATATACTTTGAACTGTATCAATTCAAGCCATTAAAACGATTATTGCAATATATATATATAACTTAGACCTAATCCTTATTTACGGACTTCAGCTTTCGTTCGAGACGTATAAAATAAAGTTTGGCGGGTTGCGGCGGACAAGCAATAAGCGGTCTCGTGGCCAAATGGCAAGGCGTCTGACTACGAATCAGAAGATTGTGGGTTCGATCCCCACCGAGACCTGTTTTTTTTTCTTTGGCTTGTTCAAAGTTGAAACTCCTGCAGCATTTTAACGGTGTAGGGAGTGCTTTCATATACAGGTTAGAGCTAACATAGAACCTCGCCAACACTTCAAACATGTCTCCCTTTTTGGGCAATTACTCTAGGATGTCACTAACAGAATTTATATTAACGGACAAAGCTCCCAGATGTGTTGTTGTGGTTGCCCCCTTCCATATTTGCCGCTAGTTTTAATTTACAGCGGGGGTTCAGCGCATCACCACCTCAAACTTACAGCAGGCGCCATATCCGCTGGCCCTCCGGCACCCACTTTTGGCGCCCGGGGACGCAACGTCATAGAGCCGCAATCCTACCTTTCGCCCTCAACACGCCTCGCTTGGCCACCGGAGGTATTTTAGCAACCGGAAACTGCGTACGGCGTCCATTTCACCGTTTACATCGTTCGTTCAATATATCTGTAGCCGACGTCGGCACTCTGCGAACGTATATATCTTCACAACGGCGCGCCTCCACCACCACAAAGCCCAGAGCAAACCATTCATCAATTACGTTGCTATGGCTTCCACCATGAACTCCCTCCGACCATCACATAGAGCCATGTTGCTCCTTAGAGTTACCACAGGCCGCACTTCCATGCTGGCTAGCCGACCTCGACGCGGCTTCTCAACAACCGCCGTCTTCTTCAGCGCCACAACATCACGACCCAAGTCCAAAGTATACAGCTCGGCCGACGAAGCCATCACAGATATCAAGAGCGGTTCAACGCTGCTGAGCTCAGGGTTCGGACTATGTGGTGTCGCAGAGACGTTAATCGAGGCTCTTGTCAATCGCGGCAAAGGCTCAATTAATTCACTGACGGCCGTGTCAAACAATGCTGGTATCGAGGGCAAGGGCGGATTATCCCTGCTTGTCGAGGCCGGACAAGTCGACCGACTGGTCCTCTCGTTTCTTGGCAACAACAAATTTCTCGAAAAGAAGTATCTCACAGGCTCATTGGCTGTCGAGCTCTGCCCGCAGGGTTCGCTTGCTGAGCGACTCCGCGCTGCTGGTGCAGGCATCCCCGCATTCTTTACTCCCACTGGTGTTCGTACACTGGTTCAGGATGGCGAGATTCCTATCCGCTTGGACTCCTCGGGTGCTGTAGTAGAAAAGGGCCGAAAGCGAGAGGTCCGCGAATTCGACGGCAAGCAGTATCTCATGGAGACGTCACTCCCCGGAGACGTGGCTATTCTCCGCGTGTGGAAGGCCGACAAGGCCGGTAACTGCGTTTTCAGGTACGAAAAGCAGATCTAAAGTTTTCAGATGCGTAGTGCTAATCCAGAGATACAGATATACAACAAAGGCATACGGCCCCCTCATGGCCAAAGCCGCCAAGCTCACCATTGTCGAGGCAGAAAACATTGTCGAAATTGGCGAAATTCATCCCGACGAAGTCGACCTTCCTGGTATCTACGTTGACCGCGTGGTCCCTGCAACGGCCGAGAAGAAGATTGAAGTCTTGCAGCTCCGAGACCCCGAGGCGGAAAGCAAAGGCGGCAAGGCCAAGTCGGCCGATCAGCTGCGTCGCGAGCGTATCGGCAAGAGAGCATCCCACGAGCTCCAGGAGGGATACTATGTCAACCTCGGCGTTGGAATCCCTACTCTTGCCGCAACCTACGTTCCCGAAGGAAGAACTGTCTGGCTCCAGAGCGAGAACGGCATGCTTGGAATGGGACCCTTCCCTACCAAGGACCAAGTCGATGCGTAGGTATACCCCAGTCCTAAATTCTATGGACCGCGCTAATAATCATACAGCGATATTGTCAATGCTGGAAAAGCTACAGTGACTGTTCTCCCGGGTGGCTCATGCTTTGACTCTTCAGAGTCGTTTGGCATGATTCGCGGTGGACACGTCGATGTCTCTATTCTCGGTGTACGTGCTGGATGACAAGTCGACGTATTTTCTCAGCTAACATAATACAGGCCCTGCAAGTTGCTGCCAATGGTGACCTTGCCAACTACATGATTCCTGGCAAGGTTTTCAAGGGTATGGGCGGCGCCATGGATCTCGTTGCCAACCCTGAAAACACCAAGATTGTTGTTGCCACGGAGCATGTTGCCAAGGACGGATCGTCCAAGATTGTTCAAGACTGCAACCTTCCATTGACTGGCGCCCGTGTCGTCAGCACCATCATCACCGACCTTGTAAGTCCCTTTCGTCCAATTGAGCAATGATGCATACTAACAAAAAGCAGTGCGTCTTCCAGGTCGATCGCAAGAACGGTGGCCTCACGCTGACTGAACTCGCTGAGGGAGTCACTGTTGACGAAGTCAAGAGCAAGACGGATGCCAAGTTTGAGGTATCCAAGGACTTGAAGGAGATGCTACAGTAAAGAAACCTTTGTATAAATTCCTATAGACAGCCGTAAACCATGTACCTAATTATTCACAACCTGCACTAAAGTCCTCAAGTGATTATCTTTAAGTACAGATCTGCACGAAAGTGTCCTCATATAAATATCTCGACGCAAATGGCTTCAATAGAATATCCTCAAAGTGAGAGGCTTCAAGTAAGCATGAAATCGTTGCCTTGTATGTATATCTATGCAATGCTATGTATTTTTACAATTTAGTCTCTCTCTGTGCAAAATTGCTACCAATCGCCTCTGCAATCTTATCCACCGACGCCAAAATCCATTCACTGCCCTCATCGCTCGCCAACCATCTTGCAGCCTCCTCCTCCTCAGGCGTCATATTATCCATCTTGTACGTGCCATCCTCAATACCCTTACGCAGGCCAAACACATGCGACAGCACCTGAGGTCCCACACCCGTCTGTGCACGCAAGCACGAAATCGCAAGCACACTCGTCATGATTCTTCCAATCACAGCAAGCTGCCCACGCTCCTCTGGATTCGAAAGCAGGCCCGCATAATGGCTGTTCAAGATATGCACAGGCAAATCAGGATGCGACGTAGCCAGCTTATCATACAGCTTATTCTCAAACGGCTTGTACACGGAATCCCACATGCCGCGGCCGCGAGTCGTCATAGCGGCAAGCTTATTTGTCGTCGGTGCTCGCGTGGGCTTTGTCTCGAGCCTATCCGCTACATTCTTGGGCAGCGATGCATAAAAGGCATTCAGACAGTTGATGGACCGCGGTATACCGTTGAAGCTGATGCATTTAAGGCCGACTTCACGAATTAGCTCGGCGCTCTGGACGGCGTTCTTGGTGTTGTCGGTCGCGACTTCCTGCAGAACGGCCAGCGAGTCGGGAGAGTTGAGCGTGAATGTCGTAGCGGCGGAAATGGTAACCCATGGTTTGGGGCCGAGGTTTCGCTGCGCAGCGTCCTTTGCTATGGATGCGTAGACGGCGCGGATCTGCGACGGTGCTTGTGTCGGGCCACCGCGTGCAAAGGGTGCGTTGATGAGGGCCTTGAGGCCGGGGGCGAGCTTGGACATGTCGGCAGGCTCTTTGTTCTTGGTGGACATGAAGAAAGTGAGACGGAGAAGAAGAAGAGGTGCCAAGATAGAAAATAAAAGGAAACGGAACGCTGCAGTCCTGCTGGGGTGCAATTCTGAGTTCCGGGATGCAGCTGCAGTTGATGTAATGACGATGTTGTGGTGGACCGTCGAGCCGAGGACGGATTCGGCGGTTCGGGCGGCTCGCGGGGCCAAAAAGTAGATCCCGAAGAGCGTCCTACCCGACAGGCTGTGCCACGACGGTGGTTACATCATGGCCGAGAAAACGGCGGGCGATAAAATAGATGCCGGTGAGTATGGGGAAGAGTAGGCGATAATAAAGAAATCATAATTAATTTGGACAGCCAATTGCCAATGTTGAAGCTGCATGTGTCGGGTACACTTTTGCGCCCGGTTACCGACGCCGTACTGAGTGGCTAAAAGTATGTTGCGATGAACGAAGCAAAGAAATTATTGGACTTGATAGCAGGCATTTAAAATACTTCAAGCACGTTGTCGTCTATTTTCAGACGGACTGTATTTCTGCGCGTTGCTCTCATACAACATCCACATCAATCCCCCTACAACAACACTTTACACAGACAATGTCGAAGCCGAAACAAAAGGAGCCATTCTGGCTTGGGTAAGTTTAATTCATCCATAAAAACGTATAATTATGTTTATGCAGAGCATTCTAATATCAGCAGCGGCGCCGCGGCCTGCATGGCTGTATGCTTTAGTATGTCCAGTTCCTTGACCAATCCCCCTCCACATGCTAACTGGCGCAGCACACCCTCTTGACCAAACAAAATAGTATGCGAAATTCCTACACGCCTAGTGAACGTCCTACAGCTAACAGTTACAGTCGAATGCAGGTTCTCAAGTCAAAATCATCCATGGTCAGCACCATGTACCGCTTTGCTTCACGCGACGGCATCGCCTCGCTCTGGGCTGGTCTCTCCGCGTCCCTCCTTCGCCAAAGCACATATTCCACCGCCCGCTTCGGCTTCCACAATTATCTATCAAGTCTGGCACTCCGAAAATCTGGCAAAGAGAAACTCCCAGCGTCGTGGAACGTTGCTTGCGCCGGTGTCTCTGGAGGCGTTGCTGGTCTGATAGGCAATCCAACAGAGGTTGCCCTGGTACGAATGTGTGCAGACGGCGCCAAGAAACCTAGCGAGCGATTCAATTACAGTAATTCCATACAAGCGCTCTTCCGAGTCTGCAAAGAGGAGGGCTTCAGCGCATTCACAAAGGGCTTGATGCCGAATGTCGTGCGGAGCGTCTTGATGAGTGAGTATTGTTCTGGCCTCGACATGCGACCACCGGCTGACATTTTCTAGATATATCACAAATAGCAACATACGCGTCGGCTAAACAATGGGTCTTAGCATCAGTGCGCTCGAATGACGACATTACTACACACTCGATTGCATCATTTATTGCCGGCACAGTTGCAACAACATTATGCGCACCAGCAGATATCATCAAGAGCCGAATGCAAGCTACGGCTGGAAAAGAGGTACGTCTCCTACGACATAAGCAAAAGACCAGGCTAACAACTATAGGGCATTGTACAAGTTGTCCGCCAAGGTATTCAGCACGAAGGCCCTCTTTTCTTAATGAAAGGCTGGACGCCTGCATTTATACGTATAACGTGAGTCTTGCCTTCCCTTCAAACACTTTCAGTCACCGCTAACGGCATAGACCACACACGATTTTGACATTTGTATTCATGGAGCAATTAAAAAAAGTAGTACAGTTCTCCGTAACACCCACGGTTCCAGCCACCGTAAAGCTATAATACAAAAAGCAGACATAAAAGTCTTTTACCATAAAACACCTGCTCATGTTCCAAATTCTGGCCAGGCCAACCAGTCAAAGTTATTCAAATCCTGCCACGAAAGACCGCCAAATGAAGGCGCAAACTCATTACCAGGCTGATTGAGCACCTGCGCAATCTGGTCGTGCGACATGGACGAGAACTGCAGCGTCTCGGGCCACAGTATCTGCTGGTCGACGCCGCCAGGCTGCGGCTGATTGTTGGCAGGATACTGCTGGGGCGTGAGTGCCTGCACGGATACCGGCGTGCGCATAGATGCCGGAGAAATCGAATTCGTCGGCTGCGTCTGTGAGCGCTGATGAGAAGAGCGCGCGTGATGGTGGCGCCTATTGGGGCTGCCACTGGCTGCCTTTTTGACAATTTGTCGGAGATACTTGCCATAGAGCACAGAGAGGCCATTGCGGTGCTTGGTGACGGTGCCAATTCTCTCTAAAACGCCGGCTGCTTCCACAATCAGCTTCCTAACGCCGGGAACCAGCGCAGATCCGTCTGTGGCGTAGGCACTAAGCGTCAGGGCGAAGCAGGCCGCAAAGGAGATCATAATGGCAGTGTTGTTGGGCATGGATTGCAGCTGTGCCTCATCCTGGATGGCAACGCGCATGACGTTGAGCGCAGACGATAGACCGGCGGTGCGGAAGAAGCGCTTGACTTCAATGGCTGCGGTGGGGTGGTTGATGACACCGCCGTAGATGGAGAGGCGGGTATGTGTGACGAGGATTTCGACGTATGGCGGTAAACGGCGTGCTGTAGCTGTGGTTAGTGAAGGAGGAGGAGCAGGAAGATGGACTACATACATGGTCCAGACCCGATGGACGCGCCCCATTCAGTCTGCCATTGGTCAAAGAATTGCTCGATTGAGGATTGGATACTAGATGAGGTTAGCTTGGATAATAATAAGAAAAGAAGAGACATACGATTGTGCAGCGAAAGAACCATCGCTGGTAACAGCTTGTGAACCGTCGCAACAAGCTCTGACTGTTGCAAAGAGGGTATCTAGATCTCGGCGGAGCACTGCCATGGACACAATGTGGCCGTCGTGTGGATGCGCATGAGCTGAGCGGTGCCAGTTATCACATTCTTTGATGAAGCGCGTGCTCGGAACGATAAATGGGCGACCTCGTGCAAGACACATTCTACCAACAGTTAGCAGGCTACCGAGTTTCTTAGGGGCTGCAGACTTACCCTCTCTCGACAACCCAGAGGGAGATCCAGCATCGTTCTCTACTTCGTAAGAGCATAGCGCCGCGTTCTGACCAGGGATCGATATCGGGATACCCGTCGATATCAAGAGCTGTCCTCATGTCGAGACACTCGCCACGAGCCAAGCCGGACCCGGACTCCAGGGCTTCCTTGGACACGAGAGCCTTGTGCATGAGCAAGTCAATCGCGACGGTTGTCGCCATGGATATATACGCGCACGTCTCGTCGTCTGTCGACCGCTGACCAGGGAACATCCATGGGATATTGACGACAAAGGCCAGCACAATCTCCACAGACCGATGGCGCTTTACAATGACACGCTGCGCTAACGCCTTGACATGGTTCGACAGACGTTTCGATAGCGGACCACTCGTTGCTAGGAATAGTGCCGATGCTGCCATGATGGAGGTAGTAAGAAAGGCTGACCGCGAGCGTGTAAAGTGCACATTGTACATGCGCGGATCCATGCCCCAGCGTGTGTGTGCCAAATTCGTATGAAAACTGTGATCTGTTAGCCACCAATGCATCCCAGGACGACAACTTCCAAACGTACAAGGTAAACAGGTTTTCAGCCTCCTCTTCCGAGACAAGCCCCAGGCTAATCGGATCGATATCGTCGCCCACATCAAGATCCGACATCGGGGACGCAAAAAAGTCATGGATATCGTCCTCCCTCTCCTCCTGTCTCGGCTTCTGCGGCGACGCCTGCGGCTTCGGTTCCGTCGACGGTCTGAAATACGACGCCCTCGCCAGCAACTGCAACGGGTTCTCCGCGCCATCCACATCCTGCGTCTCGTCGCCCTGGTGCGGGAAATTCGGCGTCGACGTCGAACCGTCCCCTCCCCCATCATCGCCCTCCTCGTCATCGCTCATGTCATTCTCACCCGCATACTTGCTCTCAGTATCCGGCGACCCATTCCCATCCAGCTCCTGAATGATGTTGCGGATCCGGGCAATAGCCTCTGTATCCTCCTTTGTCGGGTTCTGCGTCGTGCGCGCACGCTTCACGGCCTGCTGGACCTGGAAGAATGCCTTGTCGATACCAACTCGTTTACTTTACAACAGTTAGCTTTTGTATTGCACACACCAAGGGAAGCCGTTGAGTGCAAACGCGGGGTCGTGGTGGTGCGCCGGGGGGCAGAAATGGCCGCCGCTTACTTTTTGATGCCGCGCTGGCGACCTGCATGGAAATCGGGGCGGATGCATTCACAATCGAGCTGGACGCAGCGTCTACATCTACTCTGCTGCGGCAGATAGTCGCATTTAATCTTGCCTCTTCGGCAGACGAGGCACGCTGCCTGCTTGGACGGCCGCGGGGAGGCGTCCATTTGCGAAGCGTCGTCGGGCGCAAGCAAGCGTGCTGAAGGCTGGCGGAGGGCGCTGCCAATCGGCGGGTTGAGTCTTTGCGTGAACGGGATCGAGATGCTGCTGTTATGTGCGTTGCATAGCCGGCCGTGGTTTTGGCGTCGGCGAGAAATTGTATGCGGTTTCTTTGGGAAGAAAAAGCTGCCAGCTGGTGGCGGACAAACGACAGCTGGCGAACCTGGCGGGCTGTGAGCGGCCGTGCCGGCTGAGCAGGCGAGGGGGCGATCGGCGGCGATTTTTGCTACACTGGATCGAGCGCTGTAGACGCTGGGGAGGGGCTGCCGGTGGATTTCGATCTTGACAGAACACGAGACTGACAGCCTTGTAGGGCAAAGTACGGCTGGACGGTGCCTGAGTTGACGACGAAAAAAAAATGGTGATGTTGAAAGTCGAATAGACAATAGGTTCAATTTTATTTTATACTACGAGCTGACGTTATTCCCACAAATCCCCAGCGTTGCTTGCTCCAGCACGACCTCTTTTTTCCTGGGGCACTGGTCACTAAGCAACAACTCCGACTCCAGCCCTACGTCAGACTACATTGCTATACAGGTACGCCTTTGGCACAAGATACAGCGGCGGGCTTAGGAATCAAGATTAAAATAAGTATGCCTATCGAGCCTTTGACACGTCTTCAGTAGCCACTACCTACGCACTAAGCCGCGCGATGGACAACCGGCTCGCCATCGTCCTTCTTCGCTCTACACACTAGAGATGACCCCGAACACTCATGACATCGCAAGGCCACCCGCATTAGAAAACATAACGACAACATGTATCCTGCCAGAAATATCCGGAAACAACGCTTGCGGCAATACCAGCGGCCATTGCGCCGCGCTGTCTCGGCGGTATGCTACGGTCCCTCAGCACACGTGGTTCTCTTAGCATAGCAACCACTGCCGCAGCAGCAACACTCCCGTAAGATACTGTAGCGCAACATGACAAAGATTCCTAATACACTGCGTGGGGAGAGACTCGCGGACTTGTGCGCGAATGCTACGCTCATCCATCTACGCTACAACGGAGGCGTGCACAAAGAGATCCTCGCTAACTGCATGAGGCCAGAAAAGCACAACGGAACTATCGAGATCCTACGTACTGTGAGGAAATTCGGATTGGGACGGCGACCTCCGAAAGGGCAGCTGAGCCCCAAACTCTAAATGCTCCTCCCTTTGGGTACTCCGCGATCCATTGGCAGGTGCCATCTGGGCATGTCAAAGACGGGAGCGGAAGCTCGGGCCTACCAACCCGCAAACTTTCACTGACTCGACAAAGTCTGGAGCCGCCAAGCTGCACATCGAACGATTGCTGCGTGAGCAGCTGACTCGAAAGAGAGGCGAAAAAAAACATCAAGTAGTTCAATAGTGCAACAAGGGAAACCGTGATGGTTAGCGGGAGGCGATTAATTAGGGCCTCGACTTGGCTATGGCGGCGGTGAACTTGCCGCCACCACGTAGTGTAGCTTAGTGCATCGCCCTAGTGTAGGGAACGATTTACAGCGTGCCGTTGACTGCCGGCCTCTGGAAGTAGACTCTACTCTGTTCAAGTAGCGCCAATCCTTCCATCCTTTTGCTTGTCATGTCCCGAGGTAACTTAGTTGTCTGCATTATCAGAACATGGCTGTAAGGATTCCATGTTTGTACACTGTGCGTGTTATGCTGACGCTGCCGGATGCCCGGGAATGCTGGTTGATATCGCCAATATATTCTGCCGGCCCGAGTTGGATGAAATTTAACCCTTGGGACAAAAAATCCCGATTCACCCGATGCTGCTTGCCTAAGCACAATCAACTAGCAGATTTGAATTTGGACTGGCACAAGCTTCGCCGTTCCAACCGTTGTGCTTGCACCCCCCCATTTTGGCACCCAAGTTCTAGACCAGTCGCTGCGATGCGCCACGCTTAGAAGGCCATTTCTCACACGGTGCACTTTTTTGCCTACGCTACAGTGCGCACTGTCCGACCTAGGAGATTTTCCCAGAAAAGGGACATGAACAAGCAAGCAAACAGGCAGATAGACAAGATCGCCTGCCGTCCGCCACGCTAGTGGTCTGGGCCTGCGAAATGAGAAGCACGTTCGATATCACAGCAGAACGAGGTGAAACGCAGGCGGCGGGCTGGACCACGGGTCTCAGCAGGGGGTTTATGGCTCGGCGCCGGAACACGGAATCAACGTTACCTGTAGCTCGTTTTCAGTCACACGGGCGCCGCCTCGTCTCGATCTGGACCGCGCAGGCTGTAGTTGAAGCGAGCCTAGTTAGCAAGCGAGACTAACGGCGAGGGTGACAAGTCGTGCCGACGAAGCCAGCAACAACAATAACAGCAGTAGCGAGCGCACTGTAGGAGACCGTCGTACGTTTTGCTGGCGTGCACTGTATAGAGGCGTGGCTGGGCGTTTTTCCAGCTGGACTCTTTACTGGGCTGGCCAAGCCTGGATAAGGGCTGTTGACAGCTACCAAGTGCCGGACGCCCCGGAGACAGAGAGGCGCTGTGGCTGGGAATAAGCATTATTTCCGGTGGGCACTCACTGCATGCGGCCTCTGTAGGCGGAGTGTCAGCGCCTCTTCAGGCAGCACGTGTAGGGCTACAGCAGTGCCGATGACTACTCTTGTAGTAGACTAGCACACGCCTACAGAATGGGAAAAGGCACAGAGGCGGGAGTCAAAGGCTCATAGATAACGGTAACAGGAGTACATGCCAATCGGGGATTTTGCAGCGGCATCTCTCCCAAAAGCGTTGCCTTCTCAGACGAGATGGTGTGTGTGTGGTGGTGGGTGGCTTTTTGCCGTTCAACGGTGGTACATATGGACAAGGCACAGCGGCCTCCATCTGTTGGTGGTGTCCGGCTTGTATCGTGCATCTGCAATATGATGTAGCCCTCTCTTGCGCAGACAGTCCCCCCCAAAAATTAAATAAAAATATGCGTTGCAATGGCTAGTCACTGCTACCGCTTGCAACGGATCAAGATAAAAAACGATGACCCGTTGATTCGTTAGTCCTATCGTCTACAAATTGAGTTTCGGGCTAAGGAGCGAAGGTTCAGCACTGGGCTGATAGCAGATCCTCTCGCTCGCCTCCCTTCCCTCGCGGGGGGCGCTCCACGACACCTCTTTGGGCATCTTACAGTGCACAACACCCACTGTAATAGCGAGCCATGTTGGGCGTTGTAGGCCCACGCCCCTAGCTGCTCCCTCGGTACGGCTTAGATGCATATCGAGCTGCAAGTGTCCATACCCAGTTTGGGAAGGGTCTGCGATGTACTCTGCGTTAGTTGCATGTCGTGCCGCTCCATTGGGTGCCAGCCAATGTCAAAGTAACGCCTTGCTGCATGTCAACGTTTTTTTTTTAATTTGCTTGTTGAACTTTGGGCCGCCTTTCCCCGACCGTTTTTTTTCTCCCTTGTCCAAGACAAAATGGGATTTCAGCTTGGCGGCACATTTCTCTTGAAGCGAAATTAGATTCCAGTCAACTCGCAACGGATCCCTCGATTTGGCAGTACTATACTAGAGAGGTTTAGGGGTTCAACGGACATGCCGCCCAAGAGCCTCTTTCTAGCGCTGCCGATCGCTGGGGATGGATTGCCACGATGTACTTGGTGTGAGCATCCTTTGTTGGATTTCAGCTGCTGCCTGCAGCGATCAACATGTTGAGAATGAATGCGCCAAAAACGCCCGTGTATCAAGTACAGTAAAATTGACTTTGTTGCGAAGAGTGTGGCATAATTGTCTGTTAAGCTTTCTGCGCATGGCAAGCTGAAGGAGTGGAGTTTACGCGGGGCTCTGATCAGACCATATCATGCGATTTTCCCGCCCTAGTTGCTGTTGGCATCACGACGGCGCAAGATAGTTGCTCTTGGCTAGGTAATTCGCTTGGAAAATTTTTGGTGATAATTTGTCTACTGGCTTTGCGTAGGTATCCTTCACATGTGAAAAACGCGGTATTTTACAGAGTGGTAAGACAGGCACGTTGCTTGTCGTCGAGACATGATCGAACCGTCCGATCATCAGAACGAAAATACATGCCGCGAGACAGCAGACTAGACAGACCGGTTTCCTTGATTTGCCAATAATGTAAAGCGACTGGGAATTCAACACGCTTGCTTAGCGCGAAAGAAAATACAGCGAAAGAGATTTGCAGGGTCAAACCAACTTGGTTTGCTGATCTCCCTCACTTTCCCATACTCCAATTCCCATGTTTCTCAAAAAAGGACCCCACTGTAACCCCTTTGGCGGCGGCGCCAGAGTTCCAAGGCCATGGGAAATTGCAGGGAGAGACGCCGCTGTAGCAGAAGTAATTTAGCGGGTGTCTTGTGCTGTAACTGCCCCCTATTTTGCCACCATTGTAGCGCAGAGGGCCCGTAATAAACGGAGGGCTGCATTCCACTTTGAGTGGGCTTGGGGAGAGAGCCGCCTGGGGAGCCGTAAAAATAAGCGTGTTGGTTTGGCTGCTGCGTGGCAGTAGCTTACAGACCGACCTGGGGAACACAACCACAGTCAAGGCAACAGGCTACTAATATTCTGCCTAATATTCGCCAATATAGCCAGGCAAACTTACATCTTCTTGGAAGGATCTCGCCATGGCAATAAACTTTCACAGCCTCACACTCTACTCGCGTTAGCCTTCCTTCTTGAACCCTTACTAAGGGTCCCCGTCCCAGTTACTGGGTACATATCCAGACGGCGTCCCCGTTTAATATGGAGCCTCCCCCGCCGTCCCCTTTTGGGCAACTGGCATTTCCTTTTTCGCGCCCAGTTTTGGGTCCCCTCCGTTTTGCCCTGCAGGGGTGTGTAAGTCCTTCAAACTGGGTCACCTCTCACTGGCGGGCTCGGCCTCTTGCATGTATCGGGGCACCAGCCCAAGCCCAAAGCCTCGTATGCTATTTTTTGCTCAGCGCTCCGCGGCGGTCAGACGGGATAGCATGCTATTCTGGGGACTTGCCCATGCTGATGCGCCACGAAGACGCACTTTGCGATTATTAAGAACCCCCGACACCGATGGTGAGAAATAATGGCGGGCGCCGCCTTGCAGAATGCAGTGAGGCTCGGAGGATGACGAGCGTCGTATTGGAGGAATATGCTTCTCTGGAGCTTCTGAGGCTGCTGACGCTGTAAGATTCGGCGAGGTGACTAATTCTTCCCTGCCGTACGTGCCCAGTGATATTAATTTACACTGGCTTTGCTGCTGCGCCATGTATGGATAGGCCAGCCAGGCCCTCTTTGGTCTGGCCCTCGGCCCAAGGGTCCGAAACCGCCAGGTGAAAATCTAGTCGGCATGGCACTATCCCTATTATAATTTGGTTGGACCATGGACAGGCCACGCGAACCACTGACGATGGGGTTATTACTGTATGTGAGTCGGCGCACTGGGCTGGTAATTTACCACGGTGCCAGTCGCATAGTTGTAATTATACATGGCACATGTTGCGTTGCTATTTTGGTACCTCCTCGGCATCGCATCGGCGTCTGGGATGCATAAGGCATATTAGATGTCTTCTTCGGACGATAACGGCACAGCGCATAATTTGCGTGGAAACAGACGAAACGGGCTTGTTTCAACAAATTGCGCGCTGTAACAAACATTCCCAAATGAAGCAGCGAGAGCCGAGAAACTTCTGAGCCACGAGACCCCAAAACGAGGGCTACTTGCGCATGTCTGTCCAAGCGCATCGTTAGCGAAACCAGCTAACCGCTACGCTTGTTCGCATCGGGCCAACACACACGCGGCCCTATGTCGATGCTGACCTTGCGCAGGCACTTGGATGTTGGTAGTCTTGGCTCATGGAAGCGGCCACTCTAACCCCAGTTCGGCACGATTCCCATTTTGGGCATTGTGTTTCAAAGAGCCAACGTCTGCTCTTGTTGGGCTGCGCCGAGCAGGCAATAGTAGCCCAACAACCAACAGGAACAGTCATTCATGATTCAAGCCAAGCCAGCACCAAGAAAGCAAAACAAGATGACTATTACTGGTAGGCAACCAGCCAGTAAATCCGCGACTACTCTTCTGGCATGTTTGTTTGTAAGGCAAGACGCCACAACCCACGCGTGGCTCCCGACGGGTCCAGCGGCGTGGTTCTGTAAAACCCCACTGGAAGCGCCATCTCCCTGGAACAACGGAGCGAAATACCCCCAAAGTCGTGCCGAGAGCGGCTCGAATCCGATGTGCCAACTGAGCAGGCAGCTTGACGAAACTCTCTAGTACGGGCTGTGTTCGTAGCCGCCGCGGGCGTTTTGTATACAGTATAGTACTACACACTCTTCGCTACGTGGCTGTCACTAGACCATTTTGGCGCTGTTTGATGACTCCGAGTAGCAAACCCCGTCTTCATGCAGCTTCGGATCCGATAAAATGAGCGGCATTAAACAGTAGCCCAGGTGGCAGCCCGTCCCGTGGGGTAGGATTACGCATGTATTTTTTTTTCTTGTTGAGCATTGCACTTAACCGGGTTGGATCACGGAACATGCAGGGCACTAAGATCAAAGGCGGCGTCTGCAGGTGTGTGTTGTGCTGCTATGCTGCGGCAGGCAGAGAGAGATCCTGGCACGAATATAGTGCAGACGCAAGTAAAAGAAAAAAAATTTTCTTCTCGCTGATCGCCTCGTTTCATACAAAAAGGAAGCAATTTAAAAAATGCAGCCAATGGAAGAGAGAAAAACAAAGAAGCTTGAAGAAAGGGCCGAGAACATGCGTGTGCCTGACTGGGCAGTCAAGAAGGGCCTGGACGCGACGGGTGGGGAGACAGAGACTTTGACAACCAACGACGTCGTCGGTAGCGCGGCGTTAACAGAGTTTACAGTGGATCTTTGGGCGAGCCTGGACAGCAAAGCGCAGCACCTAATTCGTGCAAGGATTTTAGACGAGGTAGTGTCCCGTCGATATGGCCACGGTGCCCAGTTAGCCAGACTAGCCTGCTGTTGTACCTTTTTTTTTCTTTTTGGGCAGCGCATACCAGCGCCGAAGCTGCGCAGGGCAGCTAAAAGGGTTGTGTCCTGTATGTGTCCGTCTGTATGTGTGTACATACCGACATACCTACATGCAAAGGTTTTCACCTGCCGTGCTGCTGCTGCTGATGTGCCGTGCAGCGTTATGTGCATATTTTTTTTCAAGAGCGTAACCATGCACACAAATTGGATTATTCCCAGACACTGAATCTAGCTAAACGAGTCAATTGCGGCCGCTCTGCAAGAAAAAAGACACCAGTCTGTATAGCGCTTGCGCTGTGCTGCTATAGCACCTGTACAGTACGGACGCTACAGCACCCCGTCTGTCCGTCCGTCTGGTCGGCCGCCGTGGGACACCACTAAGCACACGCCGCGTGCCAGCGCAGCAGCAGAATTTATGACTTTAAACGGTACAGCACGCCCCCCTTTCGCCCAGTGTCTGGAAAAGGGGGGGGGACGCGCAATGCTCAGCGCCCGGCAGTAGTAAGAGTCACACCAAAACCACAAAGTCTTTTTTTTTGTTCTTGCTGGCACCCCCCTCCCATTTAGGTCCTTGGCATGGAGGGACACAGCGCCCAACACGCACCACTTTTGGCCCGCCGCGCAACTTTTTATTATGATTCCCAGCAAGGCAGCAGGCGGGTACCGTTAAAAATAAAGCAAAAAAAAAAAGCACTGGCACGCTGCCTGCCTGCTACAAGGGGGGGTGTGCGTACGTCCAACGCCCAAGTCCAGTACAACTTGAAACCTGGGCCAGCAGCCAAACTTATTTACTGCCACCTCTCCCGTCCATCCCGTCTGCCTTATCTCTCTTCACATCCCTCCTCTCAACTTGTTACAAAGAACAAACGTCCTTTATTCGAAGTAACAACCAAAAGAACCTTGCCAGGAATAAACGCATATTTCTTGCTTGGAGACAGACAGCAGCCTGTTTCGCACACACGCACCCCTGCTACTCCCCTGCACGAGGCACCCTATTAATATCTTGCCTGGACGCCAACAAAGCCCTTGCTCGCGCCCCCAACTCGAACCAAGGAAACCCAAACACGAGGTTTATATATAACATATAAACCCGTAGAATCGCGCCACACCTTTGTCGTTACATACATCACCACACATACACACGCAGCAAAGGACGGCACGGCCTTGTCCATATGCCATCCTCCGCCCATCCTCGCCTTAGTCTAACCATGCCCGCTACGGACGCATCTTCAGACTCCGACTCTTCCTCTCCTGGCTACCGCTACAGCATGGACTCGACCGCCCAAGGGCCCATTGCCTCGGTGCAGATCTTGCGCTGCATGCGCTGTGCTCGCTCGGTCGAAACGACATCGACCGACGACGCAAGCACCGCCGGCATGGTGCGCGTCTCTCACGGCCTTTACTACTGCGATCGCTGCGCCAAGATGGTTGGCTACGGAGCGACATGAAGAAAGACACCGTCTTGTCTAGCTTCTCTTACGAACTACTTTACCATCACCACTGGGTGCTACGCTTACATGCAGCGCACGCAATGCGAATAACACGCACATGACCCCCCGGATCTTGCCTGGCCTAAAAGAATGCGGCAACGGCGGGCCATCATGCACGTAGCCAGCAGGCGTGCATATACGGCACCACGCATGGGTTGGTTAGACTGTATGCCAACAACGCTGCTTGGTTGGTCCATGCACGCGGTACTACAGTACCTATTACACGCAACTACGTATGATGCAGAGCAGCAGCAGGCCGTCAGCGCACGATCCGACATCGTTGTTTTTTATTTTCTCATCACGTCGGCGACGAAAATACCGGAAATAGGCCATTCAGGAAATTTTATCGAAACTTGCTACGCGAGGGACGGATCGAGCGTTCTAGAGCAGAGTGGATGCGCCAACAGAAATGTCCGTTTTCCCTGGCAATCCAAACTCACTTGACCGTGACACATTTGTTCCCTGGCAATTTTGCTCGTTATTTTATTTCCACCAGCTGACGGAACTATTCACTTTTTTCTTCTGATTTTATACACCACGTGGGGAGACACAAGACGCCGGTCGTCTTGCGGTTCTTCTATGACGACTGCATCTTTTTAACGAACATGAAAGACATACTGGGCGATGTTATCATTTTTTCCTGTATTTATTTTAGCGGTTCATGATACCACCCCTCCAGGCATAAAATGCCGGAGAAGAATAGCAATCACACTTTTTTCCCTTCAATCTTAAAAACCTTATTCTGCTTCATTCCTGCTTGCTCTGCCGCCCTTTGCAATGCGCTAAAGTTTAGTGCTGCTGGCGCTGCCAACTAGCGTTGCGGCGCCCGGGCCAAACGCTCCTGGAACCAGGCTGCGATTGGCTCTTGGCGTTCGGAGTCGCGGCTCATGGAAGTGCGCTTGGCATGGACGAAATGTATGTGCCATCGGTGTTTGGTGGTCTGCTCTGGCCTTGATTCTGGCTCTATTTCCTGCTTACTGCCATCCAAGGATGGGAACCCTTACCTTTTTTCTTGCTTTTTGCTCGGATGGCACGGTGGCGTGCTCATGGAAATTGAATTATTGAATTATTAATTTTTCAACTTGGTGAGGCACGGCTGTTTCGATTCGAAACGCTGCAAGATGCGCTCGCGCAATGTCTAAGCGTAGATAACCAGCTATTCAGACAGAATATGTTTTGGGATATTTTTGGGACGAACAGCCAATCTGCGATGCACCTGTTTCAAACGCGAGGCGAAGATGTAACCGCGACATTAGACGCACTCAGTCTGGCTTAGACCGTCGTTATTGTTAGTTATACACGCTCAATATGTCGTATAACCTAGAACAGCACCACAGAGTGCATCAATCAATAAAAGCAAATTATAGACGGCGTTTACATTTGTCCGCGCCATTCCCAATAGCTCACTTCCTTATATCCCGGATGGATCCAAGCCAGCGGAACCGCCGGCGCCGTCAGCAACGCCCCGATGAGGTGGCATTTACGGTGGTGCTCAGAACGCCGCCGAGCAGCAGCACCACGACCGTGTTTCAGGGCCAGGCTCCTTTTCTTCTCTACAAAGCAAGTGCCCTGAGATGAACGGCCGCTTCCTCAAACGTTAATGAGCCGCCGCGTTGCAGTAGTTGTAGACGCAGGTAGCATCGCATCGTGTCGGGGGACCGAGCATCAGGCTATGCTCGGCGTGTACCTGAGCATCGTCTCCAGCCTGCTCATTCACTCCCACGCCGATATTCCAAGGCTTCCGGATTACAAGGAGAAGGCAGGCTCGCACATCATAGCCGTGTTGAGCAGCCTTCTCGTCTATTTTTGGGCAGCCCCGTGGGGCGGGCACGTTTTTTTTTCTTCTAGTCATGGACCCCACGGCGTTCTTGGAAAGCCGTGGATATTGGCTTCTCGGAGATGGTCCATGCTGAGCAGTGCGGTATGGATGCCGTCAATGGCTTGTGCCCAGACTTTCGCTGCTCGTTTATGTATCATAGTGGTCTTGTGTATGGTAAACTGGTTTCTTTATGGTATGTCATCACGTGAAGTTGACAACGAATAGAGACGGCTCTGCAGCGGTGATCAGCTTATGAAGGCGGTGACGACTTGCGGAGAAACACAGCCTCGTTTGCGCAATATGCCAACAATCAATGTTTGTACATTATATTAACGATTAACATTTATATAATACATCACGAATCGAAGTTTTCGCAGTTTACTGACAATTAAAGTTTACGCAATATACCAACGATCAATGTTTGTGTAATATACGAACAAACGACGACGCTAAAATGCGGAAAGTGTTTCGCGGGTTGATTGGGCGGGGAGATTAAAGGAAACCTGCAGAGACTTCGCTATCTCAAGAATTGGTCGTGCCTTCTACAAGGGATAACCTAGACCCTACTAATGGAGTGACCGAAACCGTCCAACAAGACCCCGGGCCAGATAAGTATGTTTCGGTGGACGCTATTTCCGATGATCCAGCGGCGACTGTATCCAATGATTCAATCGACCTATGGGCACAAGCCTATACAATTCTGACGGAAAGAGAACCTGATCTTGTGAAAGACTACGAGAAACATATACAAGGCCGGGAAGAAGAGGCTTCATCTACTCAACACGCTGCCCTCTCCAATCCAGAGTCGGTGAAAGAGATGTTACAGCATCTCCAAGAGGAAAGAAAAACCAAACAGTGGAAATTTACTATCAGAAGCAAAGATCACAAAATTAAAGATCAGTTGGAGAAGCTAGTAAAGTTTATGTCTCTTGCAGATGGTATAATCAAGCAAGCTGTCAGCGCACAGCCGTACGCGGCGTTGGCTTGGTCTGCCGTTTCCATCTTCTTACCGGTAGGGTCTAAATGTAGCCTTTTAACTGCATTTGGTTGTTATTTGTACTAACAATAATTGTGTCTAGCTTATTGCTTCAAGTTTTAAGAAACATATAGCGATGATGAAAGGTTTCATCACTATTACGGATCTTCAGTTCTATTGGAAGAACTGTGAAGATGCCTACCTAAACTCGCCACCACATTACAAGAAGCTTATCGAACCGTTGTCCAGCCTTAACTCTTTCATGCTCGAATATCAAATGTGGGCGATCTGTCACCTTTCTAAAAAGCAACTTACCCGCGGTTGGGAGAAGATATCTAGCCAAGACTCTGGACAAGATAGCTGGAAAATTAAAGAAACAGAGCTTGTGGAGATGAGTAATCGGTGCAAGGAACACAGCATTCCACTGCAAAGAGGCGAAATTCAAGAACAGTTTGATTTGGAAATGGAGAAGCTGGACCGTATAGGCGATATCGGCGCCAATATTGTCGACACTATCAGAAGTGCACAACAATCAAAGGATGAACAGGAGTTCTTCCAAGCTCTCAAGATGGCGGCTGGCTGGTAGCTACCTTCAAGGAATGAAGAATAACGAGGACCCAGTGCCTGACACCTGCGAATGGTTTTTTACAATGACGAGAAGCTCCATCACTGGCTTACTTCGGGGGCTATTGGAAAGGGATCCGGCATCTGCTTCGTTGCTGCCCAGGCTCATGGTTTCGTGTGGATGAGGAATTGATCTTAAGCTTTCTAAGCAACGAAGCTAGACCCATGGAAGACGAACTTGCTCTACTTCTTAACAAAGTTGGCGATCAGATTGTCGTATCAGACAAGGTTGTAGCTGCTGCTATTACAAACAAGCGAAGAGAGTTCATATTTGACATTTTCAAGATCTGGAAACCTAATGCATGTGCAATTACGCCGTGGATTGTTCAAAAGGTTGCAGCAGGCACTGGCCGGGACGGCCTTGAATACTTAATGAAGCATTCTGACCAAATGCTGAGAATTGATGAGGAGCTGTGGGCTTTGGCAAAGTTTCGTGATGCCGTGGATGAGTACAGCTATGAGCATTCCGTAGCAGTTTTGCAAACGATGTGGTCTGAAGGCCCAGTTGCTGATGAGCCAGACGTCCATGGGAGAACTGCCTTACATTCGGCAATGAATAGCAACATAGTCTGTGTACAGTTTCTATTGAATGTTGCGGGTGCAGACGTCCATGCGGCTGACCGTACAGGCTTGACACCTCTTCATATCGCCATTTCTCGTGACACATTGGGGATCGTGCTTGTACTGCTTGCGCATGGTGCAAATCCTCATGCCCCTGATCTGGATGGCCGGACACCAATATCTGCTATTGAAGCAATACAGGATTAACGGAGACTGGTAGTAGACATTTACACACTACTTCTTGTGCTTAAAGACGAATGGTTCGCACGGTTCTGTGCGCTGGGAGTGGATATACAAAGCGAGAACTTGCCTGCGCAAGAGAGTAATAGAAGTCGGGTTGCGCTGCACCGGGCGATTCCGCACTGGCAACAATGAACAATTACAAATGCGATGAGTATTCCCTCATATGAAGGAGCGTGTAACTATACCATAGTTTTTATACCAACTTAAACCCACGGAGAGGTTCGGTAGCTCTCAACCAAGGTCCCTTGAAAGCTATGGAAGAGGTTGTACTAGGTTGCTCGTACAAGGCTGCTTTCGTAACTTGGTCCGGCATCACCAGACATCAAGGCCGACCTCGTTTTGACGACGATTTAATTAAATATGGTATTGCAGGAACAGACTAACTATTTAACTTCCATTCTTCATTATTATTCATCTAGTTTTTTTATTGACTCTTCATAATCTAAGGCTTCCCAAAGAGGATACTTATTCAATCCGTATAACTAACTATACGGGTCCGCTCTACTACAGTCCACGTAACGGTGGCTCAGGACTAGGGTAAGGCTCGGCACTGATGCAATGGAAGGAATAACTGGAGACGAGGTGTGGAACAAAGAGAAGAGAACTCCATGAACACGAATAACTAATACAATTCACAGAGACCGTCGCCAGCGTGGGGATCCTGCGGAGATGCGGCCCCAGCTTATAGAGTCAATGACGGCGTGGCGCTAGCTCGACAGGGGACTATTCAGGGACTATTGGATGGATCGGAAAGCGGCGCCCAAGGGTTTTTTCTGGCAGCGCTGAATAGATTACACCCGATGGGTTTCGGCCGTTATAACACCGTCGGAGATGTTCTATAATAAACCCTGCATGTTTCTGCACCTGTACGCCTCTGACGTGGTTGTGCATCGCGAGGGGCGTGTAGTTTAGGACGAGACGAAACGTATGCAAATAAACGAGCACAGCTACAGATTCAAACGATGAAAGGAAAAGGGATATTCATATCTGCGTAAAAATACCAACGCCATGCGCCATGGATCCAATATACAAAAACAATTACCTAGTATGCCAGTCCAAAGCGCCTACGAGGCTTCCATCTTGACGTCCGCTGTTTCCTGGCTGAGGTTCTTGAGCAGATAGCTGCGCTTAAAGTATTCGTTGGGGTGGACAATGGTTTCCAGCTGGTTGGCTGTGAGAACGCCCTCATCCTTGGCCCTTTTGATCTCTGCCTTGTTCAAGTGCTCGAATACTCTGTAAAAATATTGTTAGTAATACTTTCAAAGAAGAACGGGCCGTAGTGACTGACCTGTTGCAAGCCATGTGGTACTTCTGGCTCTCCTTATCCTCCTTGATGCCCTGCATAACAGCGCGGTCGTTGACGCCCATAGCCTGTACCAGCACTGACAGGTTCTCCATGTTAAAGTGGCGGTACGGGCAGCCGTGCGCCTCGCCGGGGCCAGGCGGGTGCTCGGTAAGGATCTTTTGGCACGAGTAAGGCGAGTAGCCGCCACCGCGACGGTTTGAGTCGCCGCCCACGTCGCCGTAGACGTGGCGCACATTGTAGCGGTACTCCTTGTTGAACTGGTCGTCGGTGACCTTGTGGAAAGCGCCGCGCCAGAACATGAGCGCCTCTTCCAGATTCAGCCCGATGCCTTTGAGGAACAGCGAGTACTGCAGACGGCCGTAGTGCTTGAGATGGGCGTCGCGGCGTAGTGAGCGGTGCAAGTGCGACATGCAGGCAGGGAAGTGCTGTGACAGGCTGTCGATGCTGCCGGCTGTGACGCTGGCGTTGGTCGTTGTCGACTCTGACATGTATGACGAGTCAGGTGTGATGAAGTTCTTGGACAAGTGGTTGAGGATCGGTGTGAGACGGTCGTCCTCATCCAGGCGGGGCAGAGCCTTGGATGTCATATCCAGTGCCTTTTCCAAACGCGTAGTGAACTCAGCAACGACCATCGTAGCCTGTTCGCGGCCGGGCACAAAAGCCTTGCCGCCGCGCAGAAAGACACGGCGAGGCTCAACCAGCTCGGGGACGCGCATCCAGTCCACCTTGAACCAGTTCTTGTCTTCAGGGCTAGCCTTGCGACCAGATGTCATGGCATTCAGCTCAGCGGCAAAGTCGGACTTTTCCTGCTCAGTCACAGGCTCCCACCAGTCAAGATCCAGTCCAGAGACAAAGTGTGTGCGGTCGGCAAGGTCGTCGGCGTTGAAGCGCATGCGGAAGAGCATCGTCTCGACACGCGTGAAGCGGCGGCGCAGGTCCTCGGTCTGGGCAAAGGCAAGGCGCAGAATAAAGTGGCTGTAGTGGTCCTTGCGGCGCTGGGCCTGGAGCTTGGAGGAGCCAGAGCTGTTCGAGTCCATGGGCAGATACTTGTCGAGGATTGGCTTCATGTGCGTGGCGGCTTCGGCGGGCGTCTTGTTGCGGAACGAGCATGCCTCGAGTTCGGCGAGGACTGCATTCATAAGATTAGAAACAGTGTGTGGGTAGAAGCATCAGTCTAGTCAAACCTCTTAGTCTGTCAATGGCCCATTGCTCAAACTGCTCGAGCGTGATATCGGCCGTAGGAGGCTCCGAGTAAAAGTTGAGGCGTGACGAGTAGTCGGCATCCTTGAACTGGGCAGTAGCAAACTGCTTCTTTCGGTGATCAACGACATTGCGTCGCTTGGGATCGATTCGATTGTAGTCCTGTCGCAACATGGCGGGCAAACGTTGTTTGGTTGGCGATGTTGGGTGTGCACGCTTACAGACAAGACGACGACAATGTAATTGTGCTTTTTGGCGGCGGCGTGACCTTTGGGCGGGAGACGCGACAAGACGCGTTGATGGGTTTCTAGAGGTGGGGCTGGGTGCTGGCCAATCACAGCGGGGCGGTCACTTTTCAGTGACGAGACTTCCGCAGTGAATCTTGGTCAAGTTAAAAATTGGTAGACAGGTTGTGAATTTTTTAGTGTAAAATATTCTATAAAATATAAAACGTATTTAAGTGATTTTATCTACCACTAGAAGGAATTACACGTTTTTGCAAAATGGTCATGCGGGCTCTAACCAGCGTAACGGCCTTCGCGCCTCGATGACGAGGCCTCAGCCTGACACGATCCCCGCTTCCCCAGCTTTCTCTCACCTCCAAACCACTCCTCAATTACATCAACTAGATAACGATCGAACCAATTCATTAATGATATTGTCATGATACCGATTACAACGGCCGTATTGGCGTGGCTTGCTGGTGTAGCCTCTGCATCACAGCCTAAGCCCCACGACGCTGGTGAATTTAACTGGAAATCCATCTCTCCATCACGAGACTTGCACTTTTCTAGCTGCTATGATGAATTCCAATGCGCCCGTCTTATTGTACCCGTCGACTGGCTGGACGAGGATGAAGCTGTCCGCCACAAAACCATGGCCATTGCCATCATCAAACTAGCTGCCAACATCACCAGCCCAGAACAAACACACGGCGGCACCATGATAATTAACCCTGGTGGACCAAGCGATTCCGGTATTGTCGAGCTTCTGCGTAACGGACACTATCTCCAAGATATGATTGACAGCGATCATAAGCGCTTCGAGGTCATGTCCTTTGACCCGCGTGGTATGGCCTTTAGCACGCCTCGGGGAGATTGCTTCCAGTCCGAAGCCGCCCGCGCTCTGTACGACTCACAGATGCTAGGTACAGACTATGGAGGTGTCAAGGATCTTTCAGACAAGGCACTCACCAAAGAATTCGCTTTGGAGCGTGCTCTTGGCCTTCAGTGCTCCCTTCCAGGAGCCCACGGCTACGTGGTGCAAGCCTACATGTCTACCGCATCCGTGGCAAGAGACATATTACACATGGTAGACAAGCTTGACGAGCTCGAAAAGAAGACTACTACAACAGCTACGGCCCCTAAAGGTGCTCAAGAGCCTCTTGGGACTGGCAGCAGCATGCCTCGCCTCCAATATCTTGGCACTTCGTACGGCACCTTTCTTGGAAACACGTTTGCGTCCATGTTCCCTGGACGTGTCAAGCGCATGATTCTGGACGGAAACATTGTGCCAGAGGATTGGCTTGTCAATGTAAGTATCACCACTGCTCTTAAACCATTAACAATCTGCTAACTAACTGGTCTAGGATTGGTCATACAACATCCCAGATGCCGGCACTGTCATCGACTATTTTTACCAGTCGTGCTTCAACGCAAAGTCAAAGTGCGCTATTTGGAGCAAGGACGACAAATCATGGCGCGATATCAAGGTCAAAATCACAGACCTTCGAAATCGCCTTGACGCCGAGCCCCTCCCAATCTATGGCAAATACACTACACCAACGATCCTGGTGGGCAACCACGTCGCCGCAGCTCTGATGGATCCTATATATGTGCCACTTGGTCGTCATGAAAAGATTGCGGGGGTTTTGGCCGAAGCCTTACAAGGAAATTACACGGCGTTGGCCACGACATTAGGACTGGGCTTGGACGTCTCGGACGCTTGTGAGCCAGTGCCCGACGCAGCGTATCCGTGGATGGGGCTCACCAACCGCGCCGTCAACTGTGGTGACAAGAATGACCAGCGTAATATGACATTTGATGAGTGGCGCGTGCTTTGGCAACGTGTCCATGATACCAACGAAGACTTGGGAAACATGTCACCCGAGTGCATAGTATGGCCTATCCGCCCGCCGTTCCGCTTCACTGGGCCGTTTGGAACACCGGAGGCAGACGCCAATGATGTTGAGGGCAGACCGTCTGCGCCGGTTCTCTTTCTGACTAATAGATATGACCCTGTCACACCTATGAGAAGTGCCATCAGCGCATCCAAAGCGCATGCTGGTTCTCAGGTGGTCGTCCAAAACTCAGTTGGGCACTGTGCCACACTAGCATCACCCAGTAGATGCACCGCCAAGATTGTCAGACGATACATGGATACCGGCGAGATGCCTGCCGAAGGAACCGTTTGTGACGGCGACTGTATTCCCTTTGAAGACTGTCCTTATCCCAAGGCAGACCTCCCACGCTAAATCAGCACAGTGACAATGTATATGTTCTACGCCATTCACGAATTACGCCGTTCGGGGATGAGGCCTTCACTGAATAGCGTACGCCGTTCACTGAATGGCGTACGCCATCCAAGGAAGGCGGTGTAGAAGAGGGGCTTCCGAGCCGTTAAAGGGTGGATGACTCGGAAGATGGGTGTAATACGCTTGCTTGCTCGTACTCTCTACATAGCTACTGTAATTCAAATACAATGGAAGAAGATTACGATAGTACTATATTCAACCCATTGCCAAATGATGTTCGTAAAGCATTTGACGAATTCATCCATGGATCTGAATTTAATAACCGAGAACGCATTGAATACTCGAAATGGGTTCGCTTACACGTACATCTTGACAAATCTAATCTAGTTCCAGAACCCGGTAAGGATTCACGATTACGGTATCGTGCATATGAGGATTTTGAGTTTATTAGCAAGAGGCTTTATCGCCAACCTGATCAACGATTTCCAAATCCAAGATATGTTGTTCCAGAGAGCGAAGTCTTTGATATCATTGTGAAAGAACACCTCCGGCTTCTTCATACTGGCCAAGATAAGACTTGGGATGCAATCAAGCTTCGATACTACGGTATTAAGCGTGAAGACGTTATCTTCGTGGTTAAGCGATGCAAGAACTGTGCATTGAACAGACCATCCGCAATTAAAGCTCCATTAGTGCCAATTATATCTGAGAGAGCTTGGGAACGAATACAGGCTGATCTAATCGATATGCGGCACGAACCATCAGGCCAATTCAAATGGATCTTACATATCAAAGATCACTTTACGAAATATTCGCAATTATACGCACTTACAAGCAAACAAGCCGAGCCTATTGCCAAAGCCTTCCTTCAATTCATCGGTGCGTTCTTACCACCAAAGATCGTACAGGTTGATAACGGTAGAGAGTTCCAAGGAGCTTTCTTAATTCTACTTCGAAAGTATGGTATCCAGATTATCAATGGATCCCCAAGATCGCCCCAAACCCAAGGTTTAGTTGAACAGGCGAATAGAGTTGTATCAAGTAAGATAACTGCATGGAAAGCAGATCATCAATCAACTCAATGGGAAGAAAGCCTTACTGAGATCATGCTGGCGATGAATACACAGATACACTCATCAATTAAGCACGCACCAGCCGAACTACTCTTTCGAGATCGCTCATCTTACAAGGACTGGCTGAATAATCAAATGAGAAGGGATCCATGAATTGCAATTGAACAAGAAGATCCGAATTACCTACCAATATACAACTCAACGCCAGAAAGCCCACATAGAAGCTATACGCTCGAGTCAAACAGCCGAATAGACCGGGCGCAGGTCTCCCATAGTACAGAGATCACTATACACATCTCATCAAGCTCATCAAGCTCTGGTGTTGATATACGAGTAACACCACCTTTACCAGCAGCGATTCCGGCAGTAGCAGAAGCTGATCCTGTTATTGAAGTTGATGCTATCCTTAAAGCTGCTCAAATTGCTACGAAGGAATCGAGAGTACGAATGATGCGGAAGTATACGAAGCATCACACTATTCAACACTTCAAAATCGGCGATATCATCTCTATCAAGATCCCAAGAGAAGATCGAACCTCTACAGATAACAAGAGACTCTTTGGGAGAGTCTTATCAGAGCCATACAGCCATCGATACCAAATCCTTACCCAATCTGGAATTATCAAGCGGCTTATTCCAACCAAATCACTCTGTATAGTAGATAGGACTCTCTGGTCCGATATACAGATCCTATCTACAACAAAAGAGATTACACTACGAGAAGCAGCTCGAGATGCATCAACAAGCATACGAGTTACTGTATCTTGCCAATGTAAAGCTGCATGTAGCACACGGCGCTGTAGATGCTTTCGAGAGAAGCAGAAGTGCAGTGTTCATTGACATAATGACGAACATGATTGTGGGAATCTATCTACATTACCGATCCGTACAGAGATAGCCTTGATTGAGAAGCCAGAACAAAGAAAAACACGGTCAAGGACACGGCAAGAGGGCTAGAAGGCTCTATGTTGCGAGTGATTAAGCTCAAATTACTCGTAATGGTTCTTTATAGCACATATAGTGGTAGAACATAGTAAAATCAATGAATTCAGCCAGTTTACGTACGTATTCAGAGCCATTGGGCCCAAATCGCCCGCAGCTTCCCTGGATGGCGTACGCTATTCAGTGAGGGCCTCATCCACGAACGGCGTAATTCGTGAATGGCGTAGAACATATATATCACGGCTAAAATATACAAAAGGATGTAATTAAATTTCACTTCATTATTCAAGCAAGTATTTTGTATGTGCTGTATGTACAAGTTTCCTTTACGCTTTCTCTCTTAGTAAGAGCACTCGGAAGCATCATGCTGGGTGCAGTGAGGCATCTGCACAGGGCCCATCTGGAAGTTGTGCAGCAACATGCGCTCACGGATCTCAGCGAGGCGGCCGACAACATCGAACTGGTCTCTGGGCTGGCCCTTGGCGTCGTGGCGACCAGACCACATAACCTCAGCAGCAGCGCTGGTACGGGGCCAGAGCATATCATCCACGCTGAAGCCGTCAGTCTGCTCAGACCACATGTGCACCTCAGCACCATAGAGCAAGTGCTGCTGCTCAGCAGGGATACCGGCCCAAGGATCATAGTAGTAGACCTTGCGCCAGTTCTTGACGGGCGAGCAGTAGTCGTTGAAGGGGAAAGCGCCGGCGGCGTGCTCGTTGGGGTAGTTGATCCAGCCTCCGTGGCCGCAGTCAAGGTACCAGTAGTCGCTAGAGCCAGCAATTGCGCGGTATCCCTGAGCAACAGCCTTGGCGGCATAGCCCTCGTGCCAGGCGCCGATGATGACATCCTTGCCGAGCGTGATGTTCCAGTCGAAGAGCATCTCTTCCCAGACCATGGGGATCATACCGGCCTTGCGGACGTGGGCGTGGGTACGGTCGACGAGCTTCTGGATACCCTTGCCAATGACGGCAGGGTCAGAAGACTTGGTGGTGGGGTCGAGAGTGTAGGAGTTGGCGTTGACCTCATCACCACCGGTGTGGAAGATGTCGCTGTACTTGGCAAGACGGGGCATCAAGTCGTTGAAGAGCTTGTCAATGAAGGTGTCGACCTCGGGGTTGTTGAGCTGAAGGGTACCGCAGGGGGGCTCGGCGCAGTACGATCCCCAGGGCTTGGCGAAGGCAGCGGCAATCAGGTCGGGGTAAGCAAGGGCGATGGCGGTAGTGTGGCCGGGCATATCGATTTCGACGTTGAGGCGGACACCGCGGCGGAGAGCGAACTTCTGGATGCGCTCAATGTCGCGGGGGCTGTAGCTCAGACCGGGAGCGTAGGCGCCCTTCTGGGCAAGCTCGGGGAGAGCAGGAATCTCAAGAGGCCAGGACTGCGAGTCGGTGACGTGCAGGTGGAGGTGGTTTAGCTTGTTCTGGGCGAGACCCTCGATGGTGCGGAGGATGTCGTCGACCTCGTACCACGAACGGGCAACGTCGAGGTTGACACCACGGTACACGAGCTTGGGCTCGTCGGAGATGGAGACGGGGGCGAGCTTGGTGTACGAGCCAGAGCGGTCGTCAGAGTGCTTGTAGAAGAGCTGGACAAATGATTGGAGACCGTAGAGAACACCAGAGGTAGAGGCGGCGGAGAGCGAGGCAGTGCCGTCGGCGGAGACGGTCAGCTTGTACGCCTCATCGGCTGTGCTGGCAGACGAGTTGGAGTTGGCCGTCTTGTTCTTGAAGGTGGCGCCGGTGGTGGTGATGGAGAGCTGCTTGATGAAGGCGCGCACGTCGGGGCTGGGCTCGTAGGTGTCGAGAGCGCCGCGGGGCATCAACTTCCAGGGAACGAGACCCTTCTTGAGAATGGCGTCCATGGCGCGCTGAGCGCCGCCCTGGACAATGCCGATCTCGGTGATGTCATTCTCGTTGCCCTTGCCATTGTGGTCAATCTAGTTAGGTATGATTAGCTCAAATGCACTCAATTACAAAAAGTTCTGTAGTAGAGGGGAACGTACAGCCTTGCCGTTGTAGGTAATGGCAATGTCCTTGTTGACCCAAAGGGTAGAGTTGCCGGTCGAGATGGACACGGGCTGGGGGATGACGGCGAAGGCCTGGCTGGCGAGAGCCAAGACAACGCAAATCTTGGACCACATGATGAACGAAACAAACAGATTTGCAGGTCTCTGGGTTTACAGATTGTCACTGGCAGGGGCGGGCACCATTGAACTTAAATACCGCTTCAGGGAACATCAAGCTTCCGACCGGATATGATTCCAAGCGCGCCCGCATACTCCAGTCCCCTCCGCGTCCCAGAGGGAAAATTGCAGCTCCTACGACGTTACATGGGGCGAGTCCCTGTCGAAGCAGCCCGGATGAGGAAACAGGCAGGGCGAGATGTGCGCTATTCGTGGGCCGATGTAACTCTAGAGAACCAAACTTCTACACGTTCCCCCCATTTTGTGTCGCGGCTTTATCCTTTTTTTGGTCATTCCACTTTGTAGCTAAACTCTGCGCCAATTCCCCACTGGCTCCGCATAGACTCGGGGAATCGCGTAAGAGTTTGGCTGGTGCTATAAGGTTAGCGTTCTTCGTTGTGTGTGCCGTCGGCCAATTCGCCTCCCGATAGGCTTGGGGATCTTCAGCCCAAAAAGGAAGGTCAACGATGGAGCTCGCCTGCAAGACGTGTGTCCCGACGGCCCAGGACGCTTGCCCGAATACCCGACGCGGGTCTTTAAATGAGCTGCTGAATGCAATGTGATAGTAGTGGCGCTTGGTACAAAGTAATACGACGGCCTGCATCTGACGATATCAATAAAATAGTAGCTGTAATTGTAGTTCTGTGCATTATGATGTGTCGACAACCCGAAAATGGGCAACAAGAGCGCATGGTTCAACAATGGTCCTGTCTCCACGCTTCCTGATCCGCAGCGCCCCCTTTCCGTCCGCTGTAGAGTCCCCAGCAATTCTCCAGTTTATTCACCCCTTTAGCGAGGCCCGCTGCTGCTTCTGTACTGTAAGTAGATGACGGACCTTCGCGGTGCAGGATGTACAAAGTATACACTTAAGGCGTGCCGATGCAGCCCCCTTCCAATCGTCTCGGCCGAGCCACCACACGTGTGGCAAGCGACATCCCGTTCTTCTCACCGAAGAAATTGATTAACCTGCACCTTGAAATCGCTTAGAGTCCATCTTGCACTTGGCGGGCAGAGTGTTGGTTTGCTTGCATAGCCTCGCTGTACCGGCATCCTTCAGCCACGGCTGCCGATGCGGCTTAATTCGGCACTCGATCTAGCAGCTCAAGCTCGACAATGTAACGCCCAATCTTGTATTCTTGACTTGGATCTGGCGCGTGGATATACTTCCAGCCAATTTTTTGATTGCAAGATTCGCAGAATAAGTCCCGGATTGTATGCCGGCCAGTAGTCATATTCCTTTGGTATTCTTCGCCGAGCTTGGTGTTTGCAACTCGCTCGCAGAGGGCAGCTTTGCCTTGCTCGCCCCGAAAGTTCTACAGTAGTTCACGAATTCGTTAGCAGCAGCATTCAAATCGCCAACACGCAATTGTACACACACGAGACGTAATGTAGGCTTCATTAGCAATAGGCATCGCGCATCGCCTACAAGCCCAAATCTGTAGTCGGTCGGCTTTGGTATCGCCTGATTTTATTTCTACCATTTTCAGTAAGATATATGTATATTACTCTCACGATGTTGAAATGGGAGGCATCTGTCTTGCACTGCGTCGTGTCTAGGCTGCTCTTATACGAGAAATGGCGAGCGGGGTTGGTGATTCACGCTGGGCTGATTTGTCCTCGTGCATGGCGCAGCCAGGCGTCGTCATACCAAAGGTCGCAATGCCTGTGTATCTCTTACACATCGTTTGCTGCGAACCAGTAGAAGTAATCCATTTCGTAAGGCTGGCTGCAGCCGCGGCACGCCACGGCTTGGATGACAGTTGATAGGCCACAAAGTCGAGTAATCGGCAAAAATGACAAATTCCTACGGAAGAGGGGGTTCATTGTTAGTGCGTACGGCAGTTTGTAGTGCTTACCCATTGTTGCTTGGCCTGCCAATGATGCTGTTGGAGATGTTGACAATGCTGTAGGTTACCTCTCCTCTTTAGTGTTGCGATTATGAGCTGTGCTTCCTGGGCTAGATTATGGAACTGAATTTTTCTAGATTGAGACAAGTAAAGTAAAATTGGCTTCTAATTGTACCAAATGATGGCTAATCGATCGTTTGAATCTTTCTAATCTTTTTTTTTTTTTTTTTACGTAGATTGGTTTCCTCTGTAATGGCTGCCACTGTCGTAGAACATTTGCACGCGACAGCTGCGAGGCAGCCACCAGGTGGGCCAGCTGGTGCCTAGCATTCACCAGCTGAAAAGCAATCTCGCTCCTCGCATCACAAACAAACCTTCACCATCACAACCTCAGGGGATTTTCTTTTCAGAAACACACAACAAAATATTTACAACGCCTTATGGGACTCCTTCCATTCACGTTAATTCCTCAAGGGCAGCTGCTCAATACCGCTTGAGTCCCATATAGTGGGATGGCGTGCCAAACAGCGCCAGATGCCTTCGCGCAACTACCACATGAAGTGCTCTGCATGATTGTCGATCACCTCAACAGCGCATCACTCAATGCACTCATACAAACCTGCCGCTACCAATTTGAGTCGTTCCACGCCACACTCTACAGAAACAGCATTGATCGCAAAGGCTTCTCCCCTAGTTTGCTTTATGCAGTGCTCACAGGCGCGCCGACAACTGCCCAGCATGCTCTTGATGCCGGTGTTAACCCCGGCATTGTTTATACCTCTCTGCAGATCAATAGGAGTTGGAAGAGGCTTTTGAAGGACCAAAGACAACTACTATGCCGACTACAGACTCCTCTAATAATCGCTACCACTCTCGGGTACCGCGAGGTTGTGGATGTCTTATTGCAAAAGTCAGAGTCCTACATGCCAGGGGTATCTTTAGTTGAACTTGGTGGATGCTCGCCAGCATATTACACCATGCTACAGGCCGTTCGCTATGGCCGCTTGACAATATTGAAAGATCTGATTCGGTTACCAGTCTTCAATCTTGACGAAACAGACGAGGGTGGAACTAATTTACTCAACGCCATCTGCTGTCCATTTGACGGTATACGTGAAATGGACAACAAAGATATTGTCGAATTCTTATTAGAAAATCTTACAGAACCAGATAGAGTGGGAGCGCAAGATCAGACAGCCCTTGACGCGGCTGTAATCACGGGACTAATACCGACTGTACGGTTGCTTGTCGACTCTGGCAAGTTTAAACTGAATCGTCAGAACGTCCGCGGCAGAACTGCATTTTATCTCGCAGTAGAGTTTGGCAATGAAGAATGTATAACGCTGCTCCTCAACAGACCTGATATTGACCCCAATATCCCAGATAGGGATGGACATTCTCCTATCGTACAGGCACTCCAGCACAATCGGACAGCCGTTGCAGAGCTTCTTATGGCGTCGGCAAAGGTACAGTTCCAGGCTGCTGAACTGTTTGCTATAGCATGCATGAATCGACAGGACAAAATTGCGCGCCGTCTGCTTTCGTCATCTGAGATTAGTAAGGCACCTGATGAGACTGGCAAGACGTGGCTTCACATTGCAGCGGAGAAGAACAGTCCCACAGGCATGACGGACTTGTTAAAGCGAAAAGATATGCCTCTCAATGCCCGTTGCGCCGATGGGATGACTGCCATTGCATACTCCGTCTCTACGAGAAGTGTAGCAGCCACAAATAGGCTACTGAAAAATAAGCCTCCTGCAGACGTCACTATTGCCAACAACATGGGCTGGACACCGCTGCATTTTGCTTGTCGCGAGACGCAAGCCCCCCCACTGATTGAAAAGCTTCTCTCTTGCTCTGCCAGTGTCAATGCTGCAACAGTAGATGGATTGACACCCTTGCATGTTGCCTGCGAAAAAGGTTCACTGAAAGTTGTTCAAGTGCTTCTTGAAGCAGGAGCAGATGCTGTTGCCGAAGCAAAGGACGGCAGAACTCCATTGCATGTCGCATGCGCCTTCAGGTTCGAACAAATTGTGAACCTTCTCTGCAAATATGTGCCAAAGAATCACCGGAGCCTCCGGCAGGGACGAACACCGCTTCATGTTGCATGCGAAGTAGGACATACTGAAATCTCCAAGCATCTCTTGCAATTGGGTGCAGACGCTTGCCTGCGTGACCCTACTACAGGCAAGACACCTCTCACTACAGCCTGCAAAGGCGGGTATCCAATAATTGTCGATGAGCTGATTAAGCGAAAAGCCAATCCAAACGAGATTGACGACAGCGGCTTGTCACTGTTGCACAAGTCATGCACACGCTCCCATCCTATGACTGCAACGAAATTGATCAAGCGTGGGGCAGATCTCCATGCAAAAACACCAGATGGTCTGTCGCCATTACACCTTGCTTGTATGGTTGGTGCACCCATGATACTACGCTCGATGCTTAAGCACGGCGCGGACGTTAATGTCATTGGCCCGGATGGTCTTACACCCCTACTTGTCGCAGCAGGACCTGTCCAGGCTGAGTACCCAGAAATGAACATCGAAATATTGGTAAAAGCTGGTGCGGAACTTGAGGTGGTAGGGCCTGACGGCAAACGTCCTCTTCAGCTAGCTAGTGAAGAGGGTAGGGTCGCTAAGATTAAAGCTCTCGTCTTGGCCGGGGCTGATCCGTTGGCGACAGTCCAAGACAAGCCATGTCAACGTAACACGCCGCTGCAAGCCATGTGCTACTTTACTGCATTTCCAGAGACATTTGAAGAGATGCTTGAGCATTGCAAGCGCCCTGTAAAGGAAGCTTTCCCATCAGGGTGGTCCGCTCTTCATGACGCTGCGGCTGCGTGCAATAGCCACGCCGTAAAGCTACTCCTCGAACATGGCCTCGAACCCCAGGCTCTCACAGAGGTTGGCGAGTCACCACTACACTTGGCCGTCCAAAGCACTAACCGTCACCATAAGGTTGAAGTTGTCAAGCTGCTGATTAAATATAATGCAAATGTCAATCACAAAGCAGACACAGGACGCACGGTGTTATGGGAGGCAATCTGTAACAATGCTGACCAAGAAGTACAACAAGTACTGCGGAACCACGGGGCTATCTCATAACATCATATTACCAACATGTACATACTATCTACCCGTATAATATAAACTTTACTTTACTTAGAGGTTGATAGTGAACGGCCCGTTGAGGTCTTGTTGAACAGTGGTTGCGGACTTGGCAGCTCTTTGTCCCCCACCAAGAAGAATTACCTGGACAATCTTGCTGTCTGTCTTGTAGTTGAACTTTCCAGTCGCTGTGAGCTTGTTGCCATCGTACTCAAAGTTGAACACCGTGCTCTGTGCATTCAAACTCTCACCATCATCCAGGTACAAGGAACCAGAGGCCTTGTTGTTCTCATCTGGGGCAATCACGATCTCAAAGTTCTCCTTGGCCAAGTCAGTCGTCGTCATGGCCGACTTGACACGCTGAGGAACAACGGTGCCGCCACGGATGAACAATGGGATATCTGAGGTGGTCTGGTCCTTCATAGTGATAGTCTGGCCCTTGGACACGATGCGCTCTTTGGTGTGGTAGTCATAGAATGTGCCAGCAGGCAGGTAAACATCCACAGATGTTGCGCCCTCAGCCGTCACAGGGGCGACCAGAATCGCAGGACCAAAGAAGTACTGGTAATCAAGGCCGTACGTCTTGGGATCGGTGGGGTACAGGTAGAACATGGGGTTAATGGCAGGTGTGCCATCGGTGCTCTGCCGCATCATGGCCGTGTAGAAGTAGTCCAGCAGCCTGTAGCGGATATCAATGGCCTTCTTGGCAGCCTTAGTGACGCTCTCCCAGCGGTAAAACTCTTGCGAGATCTGGCCCTCGGCGTTGTGGTTTCGGTAGAAGGGCTGGAAAGCACCGAGCATGGCCCAGCGAGCGCAGAGCTCCTCGGTCGTGTCTGAGCCGAAGCCGCACACGTCCGAGCCAACCATGGGCACCTGGAAGACGGAAGCAAAGGCTAGCATGCCGCGGATAGACCACAGGTAGTGTGGCCAGTCGGAGTTGTTGTCACCCAGCCAGTGCGAGACGTGGGAGCCAGCACCGGCAAAGGTTGCGCGGGTGATGACGAGGGGACGCTTTCCGGGGCGGCGGGCAAGCATGGCCTCGCGCGAAAAGGACGACATCATGGTGCCGTAGAGGTTGTGAGTATCGAGCTGCGTGAGGCCGTTGTGGTGGATCAGATCCGTGCGGATCGTCTTGGCCGACAGAATGCCCTGCACGTTCTTAATGGCGTAGGGAGGGTTGAGGAGATCGCGGCCAGGGTATCCCTTCCAGCGGGTGTCATCTGCATTGCGGGCATGGATGTTCTCAATCTCCTTGGCTTCAGGCGCGGGTGCAGGAGATCGAAGCTCGACAGTGCTGCGCTTGCAGTCGGTGCCAGGAGGCTGGAAGTCGCAAGACCATCCGGGGAGAGGACGAGGGGGCGTTCTCGTAGGAGGGGGAACAGGAGGCAGGCCCTTTGCAGCGGAGACGGGGTCGTCACAGGGGAATGCGCAGAAGTTGGCAGGCTCATTCATGTCAATCCAGAGGAAATCAATATCCACACCGTTCTCCTTGGAGAAGAAGTTGGCAAACTCGTTGTTCCAGAACTTGGTGGCATTGGGGGCAAACCAATCGGGGAACGCAGTCACACCGGGCCACACAACAGCGTGGAAAGTCTCCCCATTGCGACGGATAAAGGCATCATCATCCAGACCGCGGTGGTAGGGAGGGTAATCAGCCGCCGCGGTAGCAGGGTCAACCATGAGGGTGAAGTGCTGGTTATTGGCGTGGAGGTGGTCGGCAATCTCGCGCATCATCTTCATGGGGAAGCGGTCAGGGTCGACAGAGAAGATCTTACGGCCATCCATGTAGTCGATATCCGCCCACATGGTCTCGAGAGGAATACCAGCAGCGCTGTAGTTGGAGATGACCTCGGCAAGGTTATACGCATCCTGGTATCCCCAGCGGCAGTTGTGGAAACCCAGACTAGCATACGGAATGGTCACAGCAAGGCCCGTAACATCAGAGTACTGTCTGCTGACGTCAATGGGCGACGGGCCAGCAAAGAAGTAAAAGTCAAGAACACCGCCAAGCACATTGTACTCGAGGTACTGCTTTGCAGCGTCGTCCTTGTCAATGAAGACGTCCATGCCACCCGAGTTGAGCAAGAAGACGCCATGGGACCCAGTAGGTCGGTGCTCAATGTAGATGGGGTGGCTGCCATAGAGGTTCTGGCCCTGGGGTAGACCGGGAGCATCGGCATTGAAGATTGTGCGGTGGTAGTTGTCCGTCTTGAGGCGGAAGTCGTCGGTGTGCTCGCCGAGGCCGTAGAGGTTAGTGTCTGTGGGCAGGCTGGTGCGCAGACGGAGATACTGGTCTTCAAAGACAAGTCCTGCAGCAGAGGAGTCGAAGATGGTTTCGTTGCCGTCCTTGCGGAAGATGCGAAAGGAGAAGGGCTCCTCGGTGATGTCGAATTGCAGGTTGGCCTTTTTGCGTGAGACGGGCTTGCGCTTGGGCCGGGGGAAGACGGACTCGGGAACCTGGTAGGCGATTTGGGCGGCGTCTTCAATCTTGACGTGGATGCGGTTTTCTGTGTCTCTTATTAGCTGACATTTTCTCAATTGGCTCATTGACACTTACCGTCTTCGACCTTGATCAACAGCGTCAGGTTGGCAATATCCTTGCCGTACGCGTCGCAAGCCGGACCAGCAAGCACAAGGTCAGCATACAATCCCGCACAAGTCGTTCGGACATTAGCGGCCTTGTAGCCAGGACATTTAGCGAGCTTAGGATCGGCTGGTCGGCCCGCAATGGCGCCGCCAGTGGCTGCGATGAGCAGCAGCGAAGCAGCAGCCTTGAAGTGCATATCGAAACAACAAAATGGCACACTCAAAGGCCAATGGATAGGATGGAGAATACCCCGGACATATTGGGGAGCAGTCACTGGCCATCTATTTATTTTCCGACAATTTTGTTCGGAGCCGTGGTGGAAGCTCCAACGCGGGGGAAACAAGATTTGTTCCCCGCTAGCTTGTTGAGCTTCGGCCCGAATGAGGTGTGCGATGTAACCCTCGCCTGCGGATGCCGGACCGACAAGAGACGAGTTTGTCTCGCATTACATACAACGGCTTACAAGGGTATAACTGCCAATGCAGCCATCCCCACGGCATCACTATGAGCGGTTTATCGTGGTGGAGAAGCCGGTGGCATACGATTCTTACTTTTCTGCGGAGGCGGAGCTCAAGGCTGAACTTTTATTTGGCCGAGTCTCAAGGTTCGTGCAGATCGTGATGTTGCTGCTCGCGGGATACTTGCCGCACTGCTCTGTAAGCATCAAGACCAGACGGCTCGGTCTCTGTCCGATTTTATACATTTTATGCAAATAATGCCCTAGGCACTCACTACCAATTGCTATGCACGCTGGTCTCATGCGATCTGATTTGATCAGCCTTGCCGGGCTTAAGCGCCCTGCTTGACTCGGGCTACACCCAAATATAGCGCCGCGCACGGACAGCCTGACCAAGGACGAACGGCCAACAACGAACACAATGTGAAAAACAATGCAAACTACACATCATCATCAACAATGGCCGGTGATTCATTTTCTCTCAAAGTAAAGCGCATCTTTAGGCGCAGTGCGCCAAAGACAACAGCGCCACCATCGCCGGCGCCGGCGCCAGCCTTTCTTCGTATCGTCCGCACCGCAACGCTGGTCGAGAAGCTGCGCCAGATGCGCATCGAAAAGGCGGCAAACAAGTCTTGTCTGTTTGAGACGCTGCCAGAACAGCTCCACCGGCGTATTCTGAGCTACGTACCCATGGACAGCCTCTTCAATGTGGTGCTCAGCTCGTCGCTCTTCTATGACCATTTCGCGAGTGACACGCTGCATGTCATGGCTGATTCTCTGCAAAATATGCTGCGATGCTCCTCGCTCGACGCATTCACATCGTACAAATGTGGCTTTGAGTCATTTCGTGACGCTCGTGAGCAGTACTGTGTCAAGATGTTTCTGGAGATCTACCGCAACCGCCAAGGCGTCGAGACATTCGCACTGCGAGACCGGAAAATCACGGAAAAGGACTTGATTGAAATGTACAAGTTTCATGTCAAGGTCATTGAGCCGCTTGTGGATCAGTATGCTGCGTGGGCACTGCGCCATCTCGAGTATGAAGCAGATAGCACCGACATTGGCGGCGCCATCAGTGAGACGGAACGGGTGCGCATTATCCGCGCGCTCTACCGCTTCGAGATTGGCTGCAACGTGTGCGCAGATACATCTGGGTACTGGGTATCGCCGCCGCTGACGCCAGACGAGTTTACTGTCCAGTTCTTCTTCAACTATGAGGCGTGGGAGGTGGAGGAGATGCTGTGCGTGGCGGACTTTGTGTTTGAAAAGATGAGCAAGGTGTTTGACGAGGTGGAAAACGATCTTGCGCCTGGATGTGAGAGAATCGGTGGCAGTGATGGGTCAGAAACGCCTGTGGAAGCGTTTGATCTGCACAACGGTAAGTGTAAAGACGCGATGAGAGCTGAAAAACCCTTGGCTAATGGTTTTTTAGACCGACTCTTCCTGTTGCCTGGCACGATATCAAGAGGTCTCGCGTTTGTCAAGTCTACTGACAACAAGAAACACGATGACCTGGTCCGTTTGATGCAGGCAAAGCTGGTGTCGGGAGAAAACTTCTTCTTCGCGGAAGGCGGTGTGTATCACGAGCGCATGTTTCGAACCGTTCGCGAAATAACTGGTGACTTGGATCGGTACAAGAAGCAACAGGACCGCGAAGCTCTTCCGTTTAAGGGCGACCGCAATGTGTTTACGACAGGGCCCGATGTGCCGTATGCATGGACGTCGATATGGAAGGAGACATACAGCAGCGTGTTTGGATGCAAGATACCACGAGACCTGCGGCCATGGGGGTACGTCATGTGGGATGCGGAGCGAATTAAGAGAAGTAGGGTCAAGGATTTGCTGGAGAAGCAATGGGAGTTGGTCTACTGGAGCCATGATCCGCGGGATCTCTTTTGTTAGCCGTTTGTTGCAGTGTTAATGATTAGCTATGTGTCACGCTCCACCTGTCGTTGAGAAATCATTGCTGTCGTTATTCATGTTGGGTGATATGTAGAAGATGTTTACGTATAGACTCTTATAATCATTATAGGCTATTTTTGCTGTCAAATAAAGCAGCTTGATTTGCCACTATTCAACTTCCGACACGTGGTAGGCTAACAGTGTTAAAAAGTCATTGTATCTCTTTCCACCCGGAGCGAGTCCTTCTTCAAAATTAATCCAGTCGGAGACTCGAATGGCAATGGTCAACTCATTAAAGTCGACCGTACCTTGAAGCACAGAAACCTTGCGATCAAATATCGATATAACAGTGACCTATGTGTGCGGTTAGCGCCTAGAGATACTTAGTCGAATACTAGTAGATGCTGCTTACTGAAAAGGTCGGTAGACGACTGAACTCGGGTTTTCGATGATAGGCTAGTGCAAGCCAACAAAGAGCCTTAAGTTCACTTCCTTGTAGCATCTTCTCTTCCACTGGAGTATCGTCAACAACATGGCACAAGATATGCGGTTGGTTGGAATCAAGCTCTCGGTCAGAGCCGGGTGCGAATGGACAGTATATATTGCGGATATACTACCGGTTTGGGTCCGACTTTTTGTTTTCGAGAAACTTGTAAAGGCTTGGAATCGGTCTAGGAAAGTCGTGGTTAGTGTGACTGGCAACAATACAAGTAGTAAGTATCACAAGCCAATTTACTTCCAAGTATCCCAAGTGCTTATATCTTGGACTATACTGGGGTTCGTTATACTTTCAGTCCACTTACACCGCAACTGTTCTACTACATAGGACAGAACCCCTACGTAGTGCAAGTCACTTCGTTACATTCAACTCCAATAGTTAATAACTAGTAACTATACTACTAGTAATCTCAGACACGCTGCTTCTGCCTCCGAGCCCTTGCACCATCTTCTGAAGTGAATGGCCACTTGAATGTACCTCTACGACGCTTATCTTCCCCTACCCTCACCACCTCGGTCATCCCAATGCCAAGGCATAGAGATGAGGTAAACTCCTGTCGGCATTCACCGAGTAGATCCAGTGCCAAGATAGCTAAGCAGGATCATGGGCAAACAGAGGCCGCCAGTGAGCCACTATCGAATCATGGTGACAATCATGAACCGGTTAGCACTGCCAAGCTGCCACGACGGGCTCAGCCACATGAAAGTGCCAGTAAAAACGACTCAGCCTCTATTGACGGCGACGGCAAGACTGCTGAGGATGGCGACAGGAGCAGCTGCAGCAACAGCAGCGACGACAGCGACGTCAGAAATGACGGCGATGACGAGGACTATAACGATGACGGGAGCTCCAGCGATAGCGAAGGCGAGAATGGCGGCTACAGAAATAAAAGGAAAACAGACCGCTCGCCTTCCGCAAGCAATTTTGACAGCCCTCCGGATAACAACATTGAGGAGAGAGCGACTAGGTTATACAAGCATCGGAAAGTAGCTCTCGACGGAGCAAACATGCCCTAGCCCGAACTATATGCCTCGCTCTGCAGGGCGCCTTTCGCGATTGCCTCAGTCTGCCCAGCCCACCAGTCTCCAACGGTCTGTCTGAAATGGAGAACGACAAGGGCTCGGATCGCAGTACTGCCTCAAGAGCATCCTTTGGGGAGTGGCAGTTCAAAACACTGCATTAAAATGCGTGACAATTGATGGGGTCGACACGTATCAACTGCAGTTCCAGCGAGCGCCGACGCATTCTTGCAGCCAACGGCGAGAGAGACGATCACATACATTGGTCAAGAAGAGTAAAGGAGGTCGAAAACCAAGGGATGAGACGAAAGGCCGGCGATGCGGGCTGTGTAAGCAGGCTGGCCATAATGCACGAAGTTGTCAGGGTGGTATGGAAACCTCTAATGAAGAGAGTAACAATTAGCATCAATCAATTGCCTTATTCATGATACCTTTCTTCCATCACGTAGGCATTCTTCATTCTAGTTCCAGATACTGCTATGTGCTGTTGATGGGCAGTGAATGCACCATGGGAGCGGCGTGCTGTGGAAGGTTTCCACAGGTAACTGCCAGAGGTACATTGAAACGATATGGTACGACCTTGCAGTTTTACAATCACCCATCATTAGCTGCTCAGAGGCTTGCGTTGCTTGTGCATACCGTTATCCAGTACGAGAGAAGGCTTGAAAGGTGCCTTCACCATCCCCTCTGCCATACTCATTCCCGTCAGGCGCCAAAATATTAATAACACTTGAACAGAGAGCGGTTGAGCTGTGAGCGCCTCGCCATTGCGTTAAAACGATGCGGCAAAGCTTGTCGAGAATTTAAACAAGAGATTGAAAAGGATTCTTCCAGATCTGTTTCTGGAAGCTGAACAAGCTTCCGTGATTGAACACAGCTGAGATACATGGGTGAGGACGTCGATGGTTTCGGGCGCCTTCTCTCCGGTTACAGGATGACCATCTACATTGCTCTTACAAATACGAGTTTGTATGTAATGCCTCTACATAATATCTCGATTAGATCATCTACTTATAAATGGTTCCCAAACAGAAGCTATATGAAGACTTTTTTCCACTTCACTTCGCCTATGTGCCTCAACTACTGAAAAGCTGTCGTCAGGGGTAGGTTCAACGAGCTCTGGTTCATTAAACAAAGCTCGTTTCTTCTTCTTTTTCTTATCCCTCTTGCTCTTAGATGAAAAGTTTGCGAATACACCCTGCACCATTTCAGGAGGCGACTCTGTACGATGTTGTTCAACTGCCTCCTCCACCTCATAGACCAGATCATCAGTCAATACAGCCTCAGCAGCATGGCTATCGATCAAGTCAACATCGCTCCCCGCTGTTGCTACCGAAACTGTCGTAAGCTTTTACAAGTTGATTGCGCCGACTTAGGCAAATGTCTTTCTTTCTGCCCTATGTCCAGGAGCCACGTTCAACGGTAAATTTTGTAAACAAATGTAGAATAGAACCAAAGACACCAAAGTAGCTTATTATAAATCTAAATTGAGGAAATGTGACCAGGACATTAGACCTAATGCCTAGGCTGATGAGATCAATGGGCAATGACGCTAGATAATATCTCCAACACTTTAACCAAGTAAAGGTCGGCTATTAAACCGTAAGGACGAAGGTGCTAGATGCAACCACTTGACTACTTGCGACTTAAAAAGATCACGCAATGACCAGCCATCGGCCTGTCATCGCTAGTATCTAATATATACCCTCTAGGATCCTGACATATACTTTCTTTTTCCCGGCCCAACAAAACCGCAGTCGGGAAATGTTCACCTACTTTTCTACTTGACTAAACAGCCTTATTATTTCCTTATACTTTTCTTTTTGCGCCGTGTCCTTATCCCTTTCCATTTCTAGGACCTGAAGCGGCGTCCGGCCCTCGTTGTCCTTTACGTCGGTGTCAGCACCGTTCTCAAGCAGTAACCGCACTATTGGCAGCTCCCCTTCGGAGGCAGCTAAATGAAGCGGTGTTCGGCCCTTGTTGTCCTCTACGTTGGTGTCAGCACCATTCTCAAGTAGTAACCGTACTATTGGCAGCTCCCATTTGGAGGCAGCTAAGTGAAGCGACGTCTCGCCATTGTGATTTTTTGCATTAACGTCAGCACCATTCTCAAGTAGTAGCCTTACTACCGCCCTGCGCTCCCGCTCGGTGGCAAGGAGAAGGGGTGTCTGTCTGACTCCTGTCAGAGACTCAATGTCAGCGCCCTTTGCGAGAAGCATTGCTACTGCTGCCTCATTCCCTCGCTGAGCGGCAAAGTGAAGCGCCGTCTTTCTTTTGCGCCCCTTTGCTTCGACATTGGCGCCATTCTCAAGCAGTAGCCTCACGGCCACCTCATGTCCGTTCGTGGCAGCGTAGTGGAGTGGAAAACGTTCTTCCTCATATTTTCCGTTACTCTCCTTGTGAACATGTGCTCCATTTTCAAGCAGTTCCCTCGTCACCGCCTCATCCCCGTTCTTAGCAGCCCAGTGTAGCGGCGTTAGGCCGTCCATGTCCGTATCGTGTATGTTGCCTCCCATCTCTATGATGGACAATGCTACCTCGGTCCACCCATTCCGAGTAGCTAAACGTAGTACAGGCTGCATTAGTTGAGCGCGGCAGTCCTTGATCAGACATAGATAATATAGTGTCTTACAGCGGTTGTCACCATCCGCTCCCTTGCAGTCCCTCCCTTCCTTCAACGCCTTGAGTAGCTCATTAGCAATGACTGTGTCATCTAAGACTGATTCGGTTTCCATCATTGTCTTCACGTATTGGTAGTTGCGCAAAATTCGTTCTATCGTTTGGTGAGAAGACGTCATTTTCTTCGCCATCCACTCGATGCCATCCATTCCAAACCCTTTCCCCTTCATGATGCCAGTGGACGCCTCTTCTCTCAAGGACCAACGGTATAGCTCTCCTGTAGCATACACGGCCTTTTCTAATAGTACGTTACCACTAGCTATTGCACTTGTACTCTTTCCACCGTCGGGCGTTGAGTAACGCTCACACATCCACCGTAGCAACCGTTCGGCCCGTGTCCACGCCTTTTGCCGACGGTAGGCTCCAGCCTTCGCAATGCATGTAGAAAGCAGTTTATCCTCGGCTGCAGAGCCAAGATCCACTGGCAGTTCTGGTATAATGCTGAGCAGTGTCGGGATAATGCTTAGCAGTGCCTCCGCATGGGTTCCCAGCCCGTTTGCCGTGAACGCCCTAGTGAGAATGGTGACAGTCTCGCTCTTTAGTAGAACCTCGCCACCATTCTCCATAGCATCGATTCTTGGTGCAGCAACGTCGACAATTTTGGTGAGTGATGCAGCCAGACTAACGAAGAGCTCTCGAGCACAGTTATCCAACAGTGAGCCAGTGGCCGGAAACGTCTGAATCCGACACTTGAATGAAATTTCATTCTCACCCGCGTTTGATTTCTCCTTTTGTTTGTCGTCTGGTTTTGCTTCGGCCACCTTAGCTCGGTCCGCCTTCGCTTCGTGGACGGGATTCCAGCCACAAAGCCGAACCTTTGAATTTCCAGTTCCCTCTTTTGGATCCTGGAGAATTTTATCTTCTTTCCCATACTCCAAATGACTAATAAGGCCGTAACTTTGTTGTCGAAGTTCGCAGTTGATTTCTTTGAGCAACACGCTCTGGGAACCAAGCCAAAGGTCCATCTCCGGCTGTCTATCAGAGCCAGCTGAAACAACACCCTCAATAGGGATTTTCAGATTGCCGACCGGGACGTCCTTAACTTCTTCCCCGTCAGATATCATCGACCACATCCAAAGTCCCAAAATAGCTTCCACGCGTGCGGAGTCGATTCGCCACCCGACGAGCGTTTCCTCAGGCGGTGGCGTTAGGATAATGCCGAGTGTCTGTTCACAGGGTTCAACACCAGCTGCTTGGTTGTTGGCGTTGACAGAAGTAGTTCCAATGACTCGAAGCACGATGTCTTTTTGGCCATCAACTTTAGGCCGCAGCTCTGCTACCGCTTGACAAATAGCAGAAGATATCTGCTTGGCTTTGCTACGAACTTGGACAAAGTCATTCTTCCATTGCTTCTCACCCTCTGTTATCTCGCCAAAGGAAGTGTGTCCTGTCAAATTTGCGAGTCGACTCCGGATGCAAAGCAATTCCCCGCATGTAATTCGACATGTATCGGTGCGCGGCGATGGTGCAGGCGCTTCATTGTACGGCGCATGCTCTTTTAAATCCATCAAGGACGAGGACTTTGGATTTTCTGTACACTCTGCTTGGTCCGATACAGGAGTATACTGTAGGTCTGTTTTCAAATCCAAAGGTGACGATGGTTTGGGTCCCTTAGCACCTCCATCAGGTGACCCGTTTGGATTGGCAGATTGTATCTCAGCTAGGCTGTCAGTTTGGCCCTCCTTTCGACTTGTGAATGTTGGAACTCCATGATGTCCATCTACCGTCAAAGGCGGAGTGATCACAGCTCCGGGTTTGTCTGAAGCCGATGAAAATTTCGAACCATTGTCAGTGGTCTGAGGCAGTTGGGTCGAGGAATTAACTTCGACCACAGCGTGGCCGCTATCATCCTCTATGGCTACCATATGCATGGATGACGGCTTGCTGATCAAAGAAGACCTCACCAAAGCACGGTCTACCTCCAGAGCCTTTTCATACTGTCCAGTAATGTGCCAAAGTATCTTTGTTGTCACTGCTGGCCTTTTAGCCTGTTCATATTTGCCGGCAATGTACAAACGTGTTTTTCCTAACGTTGGTGTTTTTTCTTCTTTGGGTGGCGGCTTCAAAATCTTAAAGGCCATCCAGTCCAGCTCGTGGCCGGCGACAGCATCAGGCGCTCTGGGATTTTCCGTCAGGCGATTTGCATCATGGCCAAGTCGCTGCGCACGAAGCGCTCCGCGCAGCATGCTCATCACGATTGTAGCAGCTAGTTGTGCAAGAGAAAGCCAGGCTGTCATTCCGCGTAGACCGATGAACTGCATAATATAGCCGAAAAAGGTCGCTGCAACAGCAAGAGTACTGAGAACCCCAAAATTTGCGTTGAAATTCTTGGTTGATGACGTCCACACTGCCAGCGGCTCTTCTCTTTTGTCTGTGTATGCAAATGGATCGAAACATTGGTCACCAATAAATTGGGGGCCGGGTTGAAGCCAGAACAGGCGCGTTCCTCGAGTCTTTGGGTCATTTGGTCGCCGCATATACTTCACTTCATCTGTGGTCTGCCCGATAACAGTTGCGCAACCCCACATGCCAATAGACATGAGAACAGTCCCGATGATATACATGATCGGCGCATAGTTCTTAGACGAGGGACTTCCCTCTTGGGTCTTGGTCCAGCCAAGCTTCCATGCTCCAACGCCGGCCAGAACAATAAGACCGGCCTGGAGGATGAAGCCTGTCACAGCCACCGCTATGAAGAACCACTTTGAGCGCTTAATAATGCCAACATTGAGTGAGATATTTGGGGGGTGCGAACTAAGGTTCGTAACAAAGTCCGAGTCGGATCCAGAGACAGGCTTATTATGACGCTTGGTCTTCGGTTCAACTTTTTTCCACCAAATATTGCCGGCAGCGCTTTCAACCCAGTCTCGAAAAGAAAATAAGCCGAATGTATTTGGCTGTTGCTTGTCGGTGGGGACATAGACGAGTTCGAGAATGCTTGGACGACCGAGGACACGTGTGATGCCGCCCCGGTTGAACAGCTCGCAAACGTCGCGGCTCGTGGATGTGCACAGCTCCGCCTCAACAGCACCTTGGCCCTCCTGTGACCTGCCAATGAAAGCTCGGAGTGCCGAATGCCCGCAGACGCGGATGGCGGAGGACATAGCTGTGAGGACGCCGATCGGAGCCATGGCAAAGATGAAATAGTCAAGAAAGGATGTGCACTCGCTCAAATACTGTCTCGTCATTGCTTCGCCAAAAAGGACAATGAGAGGGCCTAAGTCCGTGGCCAAGTTGTTGGAAAAGTCGTCTAAGCCATCAGCGCGCACACCGAGAGGCGCGATAGTGGGAAGTACGATAAGCCAGTACATGGCCATGGTTACAATTTCGATATCGCGGGCACGAAAGTAGTGATGGCTTTGCGCTGTAACGATGCCGTAATGCGTAGCCCCTTCGCGGAACTGCGAGTCGGAGCTGCGATTATTGCGTTTGCGATTCAAATCCACTGCAAGACTTTTAGACGAGAAACCAAGGTTTTAGCCTTGCCAAGAAGAGAGGGCGATGCTCTCAAGCAAGTATTATGAGAGCAAGCAGTGATCAATCGGACAAGGACAAGAAAAGGAAATTCCAGTAAAGTAGAAGATCGCTAAGAACTTGATGCAAGTGTAGCGCAGACAGGATTTGAAATGAAACGCTGAAAAAGGGCCCGTATAGGTCTTATCACAACAATAAATGCCCTCTGTGGAAGCTGGGGAATACAGCTGTACACGCGAGTGGTCACCTGCGGAGAAGGATATATATTTAGAACATCTTTATTTCCAGACGTACATATATTGTTGCTCTGAATCATCGTTTATAATTGGATGGATGGCGACTGTTGAACGTGACTCGAATTCAACAGACCCATGCAGTTGAAATTGCGTCACGGCGCCTCTCTGTATTGTCCGCGGGGCAAGTCTTTCGTGATCCGGCTGGAACTTTAAAATGTGCTAAACATGGGCTCTCCCGTACTCCCGCGACGTATTTAGTTAGGTCAATAGTTGGAGTAAATTATCGGGCCGGCCTGCAGCCCTGTCGTGATACACCAGCCACGTCAGAGTCTGCCAACCGAATGCTCCGCGTGACACGTATGTAGTCTTATTTTTGTGGAAGAACAGTATCAAAAATAACAAAGCAGGCTCTTTCACTCTGCCCTGCCTACTGGCAAGATTGTTCAGGTCAGTAGCAGTGTGATCCCAAGCCTAGATGCCCCTATCTCAGCTTACGGTCTGGTAAGGGAATCATGGAGGATCAAAAGATGGGCTCCGCAAGATCGATCGGCGTAGAGAAGCTAGAACACGAGCTCATTGCCTTACTAGACGCTCTCCCTAGCACTTCATTCTTCTCTTTTCCTGTCCTCTCTTATTCCCTTCCTGTCCCAGTATTTTTCGGGGCGCACTTTACAGGGTACCTCATTCACTATCCTTCCTCCTTCACCGGGTTGGAGTAAAGCTCCAGGGTCCGAAACACTGCTGGCATTCAGCGCATGCAGGTCTCAGCTTCCCGCCAAAGCTGCAACTGGTAACTGAGGAAACCCTCAGTACATGTGAACACACACACATCATGTAGTGGCTAGTTTAACTAACTTATAAGTTATATATATATATATAAATTATAACGTAAATCAAGCACTTTATTATACTACTATAATTTAATCTCTGATAAATGGTAACCTAATGGTGTTAAAAGGTTATTATATCTCTCTCCACCGGGAGCGAGGCCCTCCTCAAAATCAATCCAATCGGAGACGCGAGGAGCAACAGTTAGCTTTACAAAATCGACTATGCCTTGTATTATGGAGATCTGGCGATCATATATTGATATGAGAGTGGTCTAGATATACGATTATTAACTATAGCTATGCTAAGAAAAAAGAATACTTACTGAAAAGGTTGGTAGGTCGATGAATTCAGGCACATAATATTGGGCGACTGCCATCCAGCAGATAGCTTTAAGTTCGCTGGCTCTAAGCATGTTCTTCTCCACTGGTATGTTATCAACCATGTGGCATATAATGTGAGGTTTATCCTGGTCAAGACTCCATCACCGCCGGGCAGGTATGGGCTGTATGCTCGACGAACATGCCACCGAGCAGAATCCGTCGGTTTGTGTCGCAAATATTTAACAAATTCCGGAGTTATTCTGATCGTCAAGTAAGTATGCAGCCCAAGAGGCAATCAAGCAAGCAAACGTACATCCGTTTGCCCCAAGCAGTCTCCCCCTGGACAGTCCTAGGGTCCTTGTCACTTATTGGTGACTGAAGATAGTTGTTAATTATATTCGATAGCTGAATACAATCGTCGTAGTACGCCTCCGGAGTGTCTTTGTATATTGTCGCGCACACATCTTGAGGCTCGATTTCACCTGGTCGATAGCGATGCTCTAGATCTTGAGGCTTCGGCATGCTGTCGTATTGCCACGGGCGTACACGATGAATAGCTTGGTCTGTAGTTGAATTCTCTTGTAATTCTAACAAAGCCAGCTGATATTCGTCTTTACCTGTTTTAAAGTGGAGATGTTGCTGCGTAACATTGGATCGTTCCAAGTCGGTAACAGACAAGTGAGGCGATGGAAAGTCATGAATGGGATGAAGCTTCGTAAAAAGAAAGTCACTAGCAGGAATTTCTCTTGTTTCTGTTCCTTGGGGAATATGGCTTGATGTATTGGATGCATCGGATATATTGGATGTACTGGATGCGACTGATGTGCGCTGCGGATGGCGTGTTGAGTAATAGTGGCCCGCGTTGGAGCAGACTGGAGGCATCGTGTAACGAAAGTGACAAGTTATGTATCCAACACTATTCTTTTTTTGTTCATTAAGCTATTAATCGTTGCGAATTTTCCAAAGGTAGCCAAAATAGAATGGCGCCCGCAATGGTGATTTGGTGTAAGGTTGTCGGGCGCCTAAATGATTCACGGGCGTGTGACTAAAAATGGCCACCGTTTGTTTGTAAAAGCAATCATATCCATCTTTCTCTACCTTCACCTCCTGCCCGTCCTGTTTACCGGCAGCACCAAAGAAATAGATCAAAAATTTAGAGACCTCACAGCTATGAAGAACGACCTTTATTATTACGCGGATTTCAATCTCGAAGCGCTTCTTTCACTTGCCAAACAAAGTCGAGGCCGACCATGCACTTGCGACGTGACCCAATTCCCAAAGCCTAAATTGGGTTATTTTTATATGTTTCGATGATGGGATAGAGTGGGTTTTTCGCTCTCCAACAAGTACTATCCATGACTTCTGTACACATGAAACCACTTCTAAGCTCGTCGTGAGCGAGGCATGCACATCGATATATCTCAAACTCACACCTCCATCCCAGTTCCTGAGGTCTACTCGTACGAGTAAGTATCATTACTCTTTTAAAAATTATGTATGTACTAACTTATATGAGTGGATCCAGCGACGACGACATTGGCATGCCGTATATCCTTCAGAGTAGAGCTGCTGGTCGCTCGTTGGGGTCCTACGAGTGGTCCCAACCTGAGCAGCGGGTAAAGGGATATCAACATCGTGAACCACGCTTGCCACTGACTAAGAAAGACCGAGATAAAGTCATGAACCAGCTTGTTGCCATTTTATCCGAATTATGTGATCATCCCTTTGACGAGATTGGCTCGCTTTTTCGGGATGCAAGCGGGAAGTACTTTATTGGTGAATGTCTTTCGCCATCATTCACTTGGCAAAAGAGAGACTCGCTCCAGCTTGATCGAGGTCGATACCATGAAGAACACGACTACTTGAAAACTCTCATTTTGGCATTTACATCTCATGCACAGGAGCTTTCACTTTCACCGCACACGTTCTTCGCCCCAGTTCCCGATATGGTAGAATACAAGAGTATTGATAGCTATAGGGCAGCAGGAAAACGGTGGAATGAATTTGTGGCAATTGGCCAAAAGGTCGACCATAGCAAGAATGTGCTTTTCTACTGCATTGCAGGGCGGTTTTTGCTCGAGATGATCCCTCACCTCTGCTTAGGTACCAACAAGAGGTTCACTCTTTCTCATCCAGATCTCCATGTTGGCAATATTTTTGTTGATGACGATTTCAATATTACGTGTATTATTGACTGGAGTTCGACGTCATCCGGCCCTATCACTGAGGTACTTGGAACCCCATCACTAGGGGGCTCAGCTGCACCTCCATCAGCATCTCTCGTTGCTGCCTTTCGGTCGGGATTTATCAAACGAGCTGTTCAAGTCATCTCAGAGCTCTCTCGCTCCAACCTCTGGGAGAAATCGAATAAAATGTGGTACTTCTCTCGGCTAGTTCGACTGCTTTCTAAAAACGATTATCAGCACCTTCGAAAATTGTTCGAGGTCGTTTACAAGGCGAGTGATAAGGAGACTGAAGAGTAAGTGGATATTCTTTCACTCTTTCATGAGCGAGCTAACACAGTCGAGAACAAAAAGCTTCTTGTCGAGCTACAGCAAGAGGATAGAACAACAGAAGAAGTGCAGGAGATGGAGCGGGCTTGTTTTCCTCCCAGCAAAGCTGCAAACCCAGACGTCGTCGCTGTGGTGAGGAAGTCGACTTTGATGTCAGAGATGAATCCATGTTTTCTTGCTGACCACAGATTGTGAGAATGGGTAGAGGCCTGCACGCAAGGTGGTTGTCAAGGAAATGGAAAATAACATCTATCATTTCAAAACAATCTATACAAATTACAAGTATGCTAATTAAACTCAACCAACTCTTCCAAACCATTAGCACTTGTGCTGGCGAGCTTGGATATCAGGATAAACCATGCCCGCCAAATCGGCAACGTACTCCAACGACTCCTGAGTACCGAGTCCGTGCGCTGTGCTGCCATGCGAGCCAACAAGAGTGGCAGTCTTGGGAATACCATCGGCAATAGCGCTCAACAAGAATTCTCTAGCATGAGCAATATCTGTTCGGAGTGCAGCCCCAGGACCAGGGTTCACCACGTCGACATTGTACACAACAAAGTCCTTATCACCCTGGCACTTGGGATACGCTGTCGCATAGGTCCAATCACGTGCATGCGAGCTGTCCTCATGCCAGAACGACTCGAAGCGCGTGTGCTTGTCTTCCAGAACAAAGGGCTTGTCCTTACTGTACGTGTGGGCCTTGAAGTGCCCGCCGTTGATGTTCTCATAGAAGTGCTTCGCGACTTCAGGAATGACCAGAGTAGCGCCAGCAGCCAAGTAATCGTTGACACCGCCAGCATGGTCGCGGTGATGATGCGAAGGTACGACGTGGGTGACCTTCTTGCCCTTCATGTTCTGCGCAATCCATTCAATGACGATGTTACTGCGGTGGGCCGGCGCATCAGTGATGATGAGAGCATCGTCAAGCTCTACCAGAAGCTGCACGTAGTCAGGGTATCCCACAAAGAGGGCCTGGATCTTGGTAGAGCCGTTTTGGAAGACGGGCTGGGCAACGACATGGGAAACGTTGAAGCGCTGCTCAAAAACACCGCCCCAAAGACCGGCCTCGTAGAACTCGTGAATGTCCGATGAGACAGTCTCGTCCTTGGACTCTGTGGCAGGGCCCATGTACATGGGGCTCTCGGCGTCCGCAGGGGGGGCGGCAGCAAAGAAGTTCGCTTCAACCGTGGGATTGAGCGTGTACTTGTCCACGGTAAAGTCTTCGAGAACAAAGGCTTCGTTATAGACGGTTTGCATACGGTGAGGGAGCTGGATGGACGAGTTGCCCCGGAACGGCACCTGGGTGAAATTGCTAAAGACAATGTCGCTGTTAGACGGGCCAAAGATCTTGTGCGTCTCTTTGGCGCGAACAGCATAGGGCAGGGAAGTGGCATCGTTGATGAGCAGCGACAGGTCAAGCTCTGGGTCGTAAAGGGTGGAAAACTTCATACCAAGGATCTTGTCGGTAGTCGATCCGGCGACGAGTTTGGAAGTGCGCTTGCTGAACTGCTGGAGCAAATATGGGAGAGCAAGTTGTTCGGCCGAGTGGACCAGATAGTTGGTCAAGAGAGGATCAGCATAGCCCAGAGCCTTCACTGTGCCAAAGGCGTAGAATGAGTTGCGGCCCTTGTTGAAACATGCGGTGGAGTTGGCGCCAGAGTGGACGACAACAGAAAAGTCCATGTCGGGGTTGAGTTCGGGGAAGGCCCAGATCCAGTATGCACCAAATTGGTAGGTTCTGTCTATGCGCTGCTGCAACATGTTGTTGGCAAAGCTGAAGGAGACATTTTGTGAGCCGGCCTCGGCGACGCTCTGGTCCGAATGGGCAAGTTCATAGTTTTGAGTGAGTGTTGTGCTACGGAATGAGCTGCAGTAGCTTTTTTAGTGTCCATAAAAGGAGAAAGAATCACATCACAACTTACGGAGCGTGGAATGAGTAGCCGGTCAAAGCATCGAGAGTGGACTGTCCACCAATAACACCGACGACTTTATCGTAGAGGGCCTTGGCAGAAGGGGCGCCAGCTTTGTCGGCAGCGGGCAAAGCAGAGCCCAATGAAAGGAGAGAAGAGAAGAAGAAAACCTCTGAGATTGTGTGGAGACGCATTTTGTAAGAGAGACAAAGGAAGTAGTAGATGCTGAAAAGGAAAAGAAGCGAGAGTGAAGTGTTGATGGAATGACAAACGATGAAGTGAAGAAGATCACAGCCAACTATTATACTTTTTTGTCCCTGTCGTCTTCCCTGTCCTATTTCCGTCACCTCTTGATAATCTCTACAAAACGTCAACAATAACCCCGATATCCCCGATGCAAACGATATCCCCTACGCAATCGTCTCCTCAACGATGATGGCTTGCTCTACGCATGCACCGGGGCTCAGCCACGGAGCCATCAATCATGCCCAGCCCACGACAAGGGCCCCCCGATCCGCCCGATACGCTTCCACGAATCAGAAGCCATGCGCAGTTTTGTCCTCCGTAATGCCGCGTGCGCGTCCGTCTTTATTTTCTCCTCTTTTTAGTTCGCCTAGCGGCGCCACTTAGACGTTGTGGATCGGGGTCGGTGGCCGATCTGCCGACCAGCGGAAAGAACTGATCCCGACATGCGGATGACCGTGTTTGGACTTTGGCACGTATAACCAAACACCCGATGTCACACTTTTCGATCGCCCAAGTTCGCCAAGCGCGACAGTCCCGAGGCTAGCTTTCGCTGTATTGGAGTAAATAAGCAGCATGGTTGTGACAATGTTAGCGTATCTAGCTAAGGTGGCCCGCTAGGCAACAAAGGAATGCTTCTAGTGAGCAACGTGAATAACGCCGAGCCATGGAGGGCCCAACCTGTGCTGACTACGTGGACAAAGTTGGCACGTAATTCATCTTGACCCAGAAGATCACTTGTAATTGAGCTAGCTAGCTCGGCCCTAGCTTATGCTGGCAACATCAAAGCACAAGGACTCAAAATAAATATTGGCTTATATTGAATTTCTGGCTTAATGTGTAGATGTATGGCTGGCTTCAGATATAAATCAAACTTTAACCTTTGTTGTACTAAAGTTATAAAGGCAAGCTCTGTAATTATTTATCGACCAATCCAGCTTGTTAAATGCCACAATATCCGATAGGTCAACAAGAATGCTGTCACGCCAGTTTTGCTCAAGATAACGCCCATCGAAGAGGAATCCGAGGCGTAAATAAAGGCTCTGTTGCCGAGTGATCTGCTCAAAATCATTTTCCCCTTTCTCAACATAGTCGTAGACGATGCCATAGTAGTCCCCCGAGTTAAGGAGATGACGCTGTAGCTTTCGACACTTGGTATATCCTGGAATTGATCCCATACGCTTGCATTTTTCGACAAGTTCTTGTGCATCTATTTTCAGCCAGCCATAACTCTGCTGTAATTTTTCAATATGTCCAAAAGGAACTATGCTTGATTCAGGTGGAATTGAACCCTGTTGTTCTTTGGGAAAGAATGCATGCAGGTTTTCTTCGACTTGAGCCTCATTACATGGACTGTCGTAGAGAAAAATATTCCGTCCATCTGCTTCAGCTGTTCTAGCTTGAGCTTTGATGATGGATATAATGGCGGCATTTTGATATTCGCGTTGGAAAGCCCAGTAGGTGAGATCTTTTGGATGGTCCTGCTCCCAATACTACAGTACATTAGCTTAACTAGCGAATGCTATGTTTTTTCTTTAAAAAAGATACATACCACTTTTACTACACGTTTTTCACCTCCGTATAGCTCAATGATAGAAACAAAACCATCTACTCCGGCTCCTACTATTTGTTTCCATTTCAGTATAGTATCGATAGGGAACTCCTGAAGTACAGGGTTTTCGATGCTTCGCCAAGATAAAGAGCCCCGGTCGTGTTTTTTAAGGTCTTGTTGTTCAAGAGTTGATATTGGGAACATCAAACGACGTTTGTTGAGTTGTCTTGCAAAATAGGCGTTCATCTCGTTGGCGGTGTATTTGCAGATGGTGAAGTAGATGGCAGTTGTGGTACCTTGAGCGACAAGATGTAACAGTAGGGCACGTGCTTTGCCTATGACATTTGGGCTTGGGCATGGCGTTCACGCTTTGCCTATAGTACTCCTTGCGCCTTGAGCTGGCAGAGTGCGAGCGGACCAATCAGAGTACAGCACCATTTCCCAATTTGGAGGTTCCAGGTTCTGACGCAGCAATTTTCTGGGGCACGGCGCAATTTCCAAAAATTCAGTTTGACAGGCCTTGGCTAGTATTCTAGAAAGTTGCCTTGTCGAGCGGTCAGTCGGTGGTCGGCTTGCGGGGGCTGAGCCTCCGTGATGAAGATTGCCATGATGCTCTCAGCGCTGCAAAACATCTTAACGCCGGCTTAACTGCGATGGTCTCCGTTGTCTGAACAGTTCCCTGATTATAAGACTCTGGGGCCCCAGTATACCCTCTTTTCGAGCGCCCAGACACAAACACCCACTAGATACATCCTATCTTCTATACAAATCAACACGTTCAAGAAAGAAACGAAGATGGCCGTCACTTCACAAACTACATACCCCGGCGACGACGTCGTTCCCGACGCTGCCATGGTCTACAACAGACGGCGCATCATCCGCGCCTCCAAGGAAGACATCTTCCCCTGGCTCGTGCAGCTAGGCAAAGGCCGCGGCGGGTGGTACATGAGCAAGTCATGCGAACGTTTCGTGTCAAAGTCGTCTCGCGCAACGCGCCAAATCCACCCTGAGTGGCAGAATCTGCAACCCGGCATGGTGGTCGAGGACTACGGCTTTGGCAAGGAGGAATTTGTCACTGTCTCGTCCCTCTCTGCGCCGGATTCGCTTGTCTATGTGGCAGACAGATACGGCACACGGTTCACATGGGCCCTTTTGCTCAAAAGTATTTCAGAGGAGGAAACGGAGGTGCATTTGAGATTCCGGGGACAGATGGAAAAAACGGGGCTCGCAAAGAAGATGATTGTACGTGGTGGCGATGTGATTGATTGGGCGTTTACAGAACCATTGTTGACCGGGTTGGCGGAGAGAGTGGAAAAGGGGTGTTAAACGATAGCTTGGGTTAAGACTATGTTTCGTTTGTATTTTTAGTTGATGTTTTTCTACACTTGATACCAATATTTTGCTTTGTTCATAGAAATTCCATCATTGTTTTGATAACTGTTGACGCGTGGGATATGCTACCCGGGACATGAAACACGACAGCTGCGAAACTTTTATTCACCACAATTTTAATGGGCAGTATAGTTATTAATTGTAAAATAACAAAACAACTTTTATTCAAATTCAATCTATGTAAATAATTACTTTTTCTCTTTCTGGCTGCGGTAGAGTGATCCAAATGAGGAACCCTCCTTGGTTAACAGTTCCTTGGGGTTACCCATCTCCACCACCTGCCCATGATCAAGCACGACAACGCGGTCAAAGTCCATGATTGTGTCTAATTTGTGTGCAATCGACACAATAGTGTGCTTGGAGAACTTTTCACGTAAAACAGTCTGCATCAGCTCATCAGTGGCCGCGTCAACGCTGCTACCAGCTTCATCCATGATGAGAATGCTCGAGTGCTTGAGAATGGCACGCGACAGACAAAACAGCTGACGCTGGCCATGCGAGAGCGTCTCGTCCGCCATGTCTTCGTCCAATCCACCGCGCTGCTGAATCGTCTCCCAGAGACCGACTGCCTTGAGCGCCTCCTCGATCTGCTCGTCGGTAGCAGCCTCAGCGGGATCAATGTTGTCACGCACTGAGCCGTGGAGGAAGAAGGGCTCTTGGGGGAGCGTGTTGAGACGATCACGAACGCATTGGTTGGGGATACTGGTCACGTCGGTGCCGTTGACGGAAATGGTGCCCGATTGGATATCCAACATACGGAGAAGAGCGGACACGAGCGTTGATTTTCCACTAGAAAAATGTTAGAAAAATGGTGCCAAATAGTGTGAGGGCGGAATGAGAACTTACCTTCCGGTTCGGCCGCAGATTGCTACCTTTTCACCATGCTTGACGGAGAGGGAAATGTTCTTGAGGACAGGTTCTGTGGACGATTCATAGGATGCGACGACATCCTTCCACTCAATCACGCCTTGTTCGGGCCACGCCTCGCCGACATCGCCAGACTCGTTGGATGTGTCTTCGCGCTTGGTGCCAGCAACAAACGTGCGGATACGGCTGACTGCTCCGATGGCCGTCTCCGTCAACGTCCACTCAGTTACGAGCGTTTGCAGGGTTGTGCTGAACGTGACGACCTGGAACAGAGCAACACCGAGATATCCCGTGGAGCCGTTGCGGACTGTGGTAGCGAGTGCGACTAAGAGAATCGCCAGGCCAGCAACAAACAAGTCGAGAACCAAGGTCAGCCATCGCTGGATGCACCAGAGCAAGTAGTACGGCTTCTGGGAGACATTGAGGACCTCGACATTCTTAGCCTTGTATGCGTCTGTCCATCCGAACGCGCGGATGCACGACACGCCGCCAAGTGTCTCTAGGAACTGCGAGAAGACAGGTGCTTTGGCCTCAATATCCAAGAGTCGCAGCTGGCGCGAGGTACGCAGGTAGTATGCCTGAATAAGGCCGAGAAGAACAATACACGCGGGAATGGACAAGGCGACCCAGCCAGATCCGACAAATACAAGGATAGCAGACGCAATGGCGGAGAAGAACTGGAAGAATGTCTGATCAATAGACTTGGGCAAGTCGTTGTCAATCAGCTGCAAGTCCTGGCTGAAGCGGTTGAGCGTATTACCAGCATCTGTGGATGTCAGGAAAGCAGTGGTAGCCTCCATGGTAGTATCGAGGAGCAGGCCGTGAAACGCTGTACCTGTCTTGGGAACGACAATCATGCGGAAGACGGTATCTGCCAGACTGCATCCAAGGAGGGTTGTCGCTGCCAGAGCACCATATACACCAAGCCAGTAGCCAATGTCCTGGTTAGGGTGGTCGGCATTAAAGTCGGTCCATTTCTGTAGCCAGACAGAGGGGAAAACGACACCAAAGACAAACGTGGCACAGGCAAATAGGTACAAGGCAATCTTTCCGTAGCCTGCAATCTTGGCGTAGTAGCCGTAGACCTTGAGATCGCCAGCGTGGCGGTCCAGCGTCTCGGGCTCGTCATCAGGGCTCCAGCCAATCTCGGCGAGGGAATCCTCGCTGAGTTCGAGCGTAGCACGGGTTGTCACGGGGGCTTCAGTGAGGCCATAAAGACCAGCATCCTTGAGATTGATCTCCGAGAGGGCGCCTTGCTGCGCGACGCGGCCGTCGGCATCGAGCAAGATAATGTGGTTGGCGTACTGGAGATGCTTGGACGAGTTGGTGGCCATGATGACAGTCGTCTTCATTCGGTCGACGAGGCCGCCCTTGGTGAAGACTTGGTCGAGGATGCCTTGCTCCGTGGTGCGGTCGAGTCCAGTCAAGACATCGTCCAGAATGAGCACCGGTTCACGGCAGTAGAGGGAGCGGGCAAAGGCCAGTCTCATCTGCTGACCACCGCTGAGGCGAGAGCCACGGGTGCCAGTGTTGCTCTGGTCGCCGTCAGGCAGCTGCTGGAAGTCGGTAGACAGGCCACAGGCTTGAACGACGGTATTGTACCATTCCTTGTCCATGGGGGAGATGCCCAGGATGTTGCTCTGGACAGAGCCCCAGCAGATCCAAGGCGCCTGAGGACAGTACGCGGCGCTTTGGAAGGTTGTTGCGACGGCTCCAGTCAAGTTCTGGATCTCGCCAAGAAGAACCTTAAGCAGCGTAGACTTGCCAGAGCCAACGGGACCGTAGACCATAGTGATTTTGCCAGCGGGGACAGTGACATTGAGGTCTTTGAGGATATTGTCCTCGTCGTCCTCGTTGTATTTGGCTGAGAGATCAGTCAGACGAGCCACGTTTCCTTCAGCCTTGAGATCGACAGTAGGGGCAGCAGTCTTCTCCTTTTCGCCGAGGCTGGTACTGGACGACGAGGGGCTCTCCTCTTCAGCGCCTTGGATCAGACGAGGGTCTTCGCGCTCTTCTTCCATGAGGTACTCCTGGATACGGCGGAACGAGTTGACCACGGTCTGCATGTGCTCAACACCATCGACAATGTAAATGAGCGGCTGGTTGAGGAGCTCAAAGAGGGAGAGCGAAGCGAAAGCAACACCCTCAGTGAGCGTGTAGGTGCCGTCGCGGCGGGCCAGCAGAATGTACACGCCAAACGCCCAAACGGGAGCCAGGGCAGAAGAGGCGTAGTAGGAGATGGTGACAAAGATTTCGAGAATGCGGTAGCGCAGCGAGGCGCGGATCTCGCCTTGACGAAGATCGGCAATCTTGGCAGAAACAGTCTCAGCCAGACCCGTCATCTTGATGGCTTTCATGCTGCCGAGGGCCTTAGCAGTGACGGCAAGACGGTCTTCAATGGCCTCGAGCCACGGGGTCTGGGCGTCACCTGCCGCAGTAGCAAGAGGAATGCCAATGATGAGGCAGACGACAATCCAGACAATAGGGGCGACCATGGCGATGCCGAGAAGACGGTACAAGAGACCGAGAGAGAGGGCAATGTCGATCAGACTGGCGTAGACCTCGTGGATGAGCGGCAGACTGGCACCGATGCGGTCGATATCGGCACTCATGAGGGTCAAGGCCTCGGCGTCGGTGATGGAGGCCGAGTTGATGACGATGGTCTTGTCGTAGATGAGTGTGATGAGACTGCCACGGAAGAGTGTCAAGAGACGGTACGTCTTGTGCTGGTAGATGGCATATGTGATCTAATAGGGTTAGAGGAAGAATGTAAAAGGGTACGGATGCGACAACTTACACCAATGCCAATGTAGACGATGGCGTACGAGGCAATCAGGCCGTATGCGTAGTTTTGCTGGTCGAGGTGAAGCGGATCCGCGATAAAGTCGAGAGTTGTCTCAACCAAGAAGGGCTGCGAGAAGAGGAAGCCGGAGTAGAGAAGACGCGGGATGACGGCGACGATGAGGTTCCATTTGTAGTGGCAGAGGAAGACCCAAAAGAGCGAGTAGTCGTTGGATTTAGCGGCTGTCATGATCGACGTTAGTATGCAAAATTCAAGAGGTCAAGGTTATGTACTTACACTCTTCCCAACGGCGAACAATACCCTCGGGTTTCGCAGCGGCAAGCAGCTCGCCATCGATCTCGGTCATGGTGTCGACAGTCAAGACTGTCTTGAAGCCCTTGAAGAAGAGGCGGTTGAGCCAGACAAACATGGACCGGTTCCAGAAGCCAGCGGTTTCTTCGACGGAGGCATCTTGACTTTGCTTGACGAGGAACGCGCGCTTCTCGTACACTTCGGAAACGAATAGAAGCACCTTGACGAATAGGCTGGCGACGAGGAGGCTGGCAACAACATGGGCATCCTCAAAAAAGAAGACGGTGCGTGTGCGCGGGAGGTCGAGAAGAATGGACAGCCCAAGGAAGACCTCGAGAAGCGTAGATGTGCGCACGCGCTTGACGTGTTCGAGAAACGAGACGGCGAGGAAGACGACAAAGGCGACGAGGGAGACGGCGTTGGTAGCAGTCGTGAGGCGAGTCTTTGTAATATTCTTGGAAGCCCAAAGACCGAGGATAGCGGCTTGGATGCCAATGTAGGCAAAGTAGAGAATCTGTCACCGTCTGTTAGCTTTTGTCGATAGTATAGGACGGATCAATAGTTACCGCTTTGCTAATAAACAGCCATGACGGGCGAGCTTTGACAGTGCCCGTCGATAGCTGGAACAGACGTAGAAACGACCATAGTACTATTTCAGTATTAGCCTCAACACAATCACAACTTGACATGCTCGGTTCGTACCAGCAACACCAACGGGCAGCAGCGTCAAGATGGCCTCTTCAAACAGCAGCGTAAAGTCAAAGCCACCCGCGCAGTGGGCATCCACCACAGGCCCCCAAGTATCTTGGACAGCCGCAGACGAGCACGCCAGCGACTCCATGGCGAGCACTTGATTTACAGACAAATTTTCTGTAATTGTTTTCTGCAAGTATGAAGATAGAGAAGCTCTACATGCAAACACAAATGACAAAGTGACAATACAGCAGTCTTGCCTACCCACAAAAAAAAGAGACGGAGCTTTCTACTCTACCCAGAGAGAATCATCTTACAAGACTATCCCTAAAAAAAAACTACAAATCGCCAGGGGTGGGTTTTGGCCATGCGTCCGTGTAAGCAGCGACATGTCTGTGGCTTGTGCTTAGCCCACATCAGCATTCATTCTGAGCGAGTGTTCCACAGGGATTCCACCGAAGCCGCCGCCCCCCCCGATCGAGCTTGATTTGCAATTGCCAATGACGATGTCTGCCGGCTAAATGGGACGGTTTACGGCACTGGCTGGCCCCCTGGGGAACCACGACAATGCAACACTGCGAGCTGCTGGAAAAGGCACCGAAGGCAAGGTTCCAGCGTTGCATTTCCCGCGCGCTAAAGCTTGTAACAGCAAAGCACACACCCCCAAATCTTAGTTGCAGTGTAACTTAGTTAGTGTCTTGCTCGGGTTCGTAGCGAGCAGGAACTAATTAGGAAGGGAAACGCTAACGGAGGCTAATGCAAGCCCAGAACTAGCCAATAGACATGGCGGTAGGCTGGAAAACGTGGGAAAGAGAGTTGGCTAGCGAAATGAGGCGTTTGCGTGCTTCTGTCAGCTTCTGAGAACACGAGGCACAGTGAAGCCAAGCGAATAATTCCAAAGCGAGCCCGGATCTCGACAATACTTCGCCTCGTCCTCGCTCGGAGACTTTTCTGGTTCGAGGGAAAACAAAACGAGGATTTTTTTTTAGATTAAGCCGTTGGGACAGGGCTGCGTGGCTCGAAGAAAGATGCTTGTCCTGTCGTACTAACGTACCTCTTATTCGCTGATGCTAAAATGGAGATGGGCAAATGCATGTCAGAACTATTTGCGGGGAGGAGAGGCAAGTTTGTTTCTTTTTGAGTTTTGTCTATTGTATTGGCCAGCGAGCAAGCAAGCAAGCAAGCAAGCAAAGCTTACGGTGCGTCATGCCACATCCCGAAACTGGGCAAAATTAAACAAGGACGAAAGCTATGCATTCCATATTGTTGTTCCTGGCGTAGAGGAATACGAAAAATGCTTGTTTTATTACGAGCTTACCTTACTTACAGTACTTGTTCTATAGTGGCACCCGCCATCATCACTCACCACACTTCCGCGCAAGATGGCGTCTTGGCATGGATCGGGCACACCACGTAAAACGGCAGTGGCAAAGCAGTAGGGCAGAGAGTCTCTTCTTCTTCTTTTTTGGCCCCCTTCGTTATTGTGGTGGCTGCGCTAGCCCAGATCCAGCTAGCCAAGGAGAGAGACCCTGGGGAGGGGCATTTGGCTGGGTGTAAGCCAAATCTTGTACGGGGCTTTTCCTCCTGCTGACCAGACAAATGAAAGTGAATTGGAAGAAAACGCCAGAAACAAAAAAAGGTAGATGGAGGGGAATATGGCGGATTCAGCAACCGCATGTCACAGACAGACCACCACCAGGTTCCCCGGAAGAAATGCCCCATTGAGCCACGGATATCGACATGTATGGCTGGCCTAGACTTCGCCAGGCGTTACTCTGGCCCAATATGAAACGTAAAGAATGGTCACTTGCTGCAGTCATTCAGTTGGTTGAGCTGTACTGTACTGCAATACGTGTGTACGCTGGCTGAGCGATTATATTAGCCGGTTGGCCGCGACTACTGTATGGCGTATTTAGGCTTCGCCCGGCAGGCAAAACGCCAAGATGCCAAAAGGCGATCACGCCGAGATTTCGGCAGCGATTTGGCTGAATGGTGTTTCTTTGCCTTTTGCCGGCGCACGTCGACACACATACACCGTGCAGCGCGTAGAGACGGCAGCGGCGTCGCCGTAAATGAAAAGGATCGTCGTGAAAAGGCGCCTAAGCCGAAGGTGCCGATATTCTTTAGTTGTGTAATTACAAAGTTGACGTAGCGTACAGTAATGATGATTCCACCACATGCACTCTCCTGCTTCCACGAGGCTTCCCTTTTTGTTGCCCTATAAAATACGCACATAATTAGCCGTTTATTATAATCGTCCACCCACTTTTCTCCCTATTAGCACAGTGTCTTGTACTTCGTGACATTGCCCCCCGGCACAGTCATCCGCCGCGTATTAGCGCTAGGGCCTGTCAGCATTGAAAAAAAAAGCTTTGGGCTCAACCGACAGCCGGATTTCCATAGAACGGTTCGAAAGGAGACTTTTTCAGGCCTCCACAGCTACCGTCTGCCAAGTTCCTGTTGCACCAATAACGTTGTTCTGTATTGCTGCTGAGTAGAGCAGAGCCTCGACCACACCCTCGGCGCTATAAGCAATAGAGTATGTGCCTTCGAAACGCCTCATTTAGGCGGGGCCGTTCCTTTGGCTTATGCTGCAATGAAAAAAAAAATACGCCATCTCGATGTCGCTACGCCGGCGCCACACAGAGTTCGATGGTATACGTAGTGGCGGATCCGGAACAAACGGCACCGCTACTGGCGTGCTAAATTTGTAAAAGAAACAAAGCACTTGCTTGATTCTTTCTAGCTCCGGACCCAGGCAGCGTTACAAGGAGTCCCGGGAGTGTAGGTAGATTAGCCGGGCACGATCGAGAATCACGTTTGCTTGCTTGGGACACGCCCACGGACAGGACAATGCAATGCATTGGTTCGAGAAACCCACTCTGTTCAGACGGAGCAGAACAACGGCATGGAATAAAGCGACTTCCAATGTCGTTGTGTTTGCCCACAAGCGGTCGCTGCTGCCGCCGCATATAGGGCCCTGTCATACAGGGCGTATTGCCCGTCAGCAATAGCCAATTTGGGCACATCTTACGCAAAAAGGTCAGCCCTGTAGGTAACCATGGCCGAAAAAAGAAAGATCAGAAAGAAAAAAAACTCGCCGGCGCGTGAGAAAAGCGTGGTCGGTCGGTGGACGGGCCACTTACACCCGACTACGTACATCCCACCCCCTTGCTAAGCTTGTTTTGCTAGTGACGGACGGCAAGCAAAGCAAGCTTAATGCATGAGACCTTGACTTTCCTATTGGTCTAAACACGGCATTTTGCCGACTACCGGAGCAGCAGCACGCCCCCCTTGCCTAGTTACTGTACCATCTGCTCTACGGAAGAGATGGGGTGATTCTGCCGGTAGAACTCACAATACTGGATAGACTGCCTTGTTTCAAACTGCTCCAGGGATTAGTACGCGTGTGGATTCACACGGGAAGACGGGCTGCTGTGGAACCAATCTAACCTAGGGCGATGATACTGGTTGGTTGCTTGTGCTGATGATGATGTGGACTGTGTGGCTCACGGAGACGGAGACGGCGTGAGATTGATTTCCAATGAAGAAGAAGCTGTGGCAGATGGAGGTAGGTAGACTAGGGTGCTGGTTGGTGGAGTTGAGCTTGTCTTTTGTCCGCCGTTCCCCAGATTGTTCTTTTCTTTCGTTATTCCCAACGACGCCTCAAGTCAGAATTCTTAATCTCAACGACATTTGGTCAGATTATTTATACAAACAGCGCTTATAGACTACAATCTGCTCTAAAACGATACGACTTATCTTGCTGATACAAACTACTAACAATAACACTACTAACTGTCCATATACTGTGACAATACGCAGCATCGCCACTACTCACTCACCCACTTATACAGGTAGCAGCCTCACATTCAAATAGAACAACCACAACAACTGCACGAAATCATTCGCAATGCAGCTCGCAGACACACAACAGCAGCAGCAATACCAAAAGGTCGTCTACGGCTACGACCTCTCCGACCACGAAGACGTCGACTACCCCTCCAGTGACACCGCCGAGACCACCGCCGGCTCAGACCTCTCCCACGCCGCCCTCACCCCGGGACAAGCCAACCTAGAGCGTATTTGGGCATGGAACGCCACTGTCCCCTCCAAAACAAACACATGTGTTCACACTCTCTTCTCACAAACCGCGGCCCGCCAGCCCTCCGCACAGGCCATTGATGCCTGGGACGGCTCCTTGAGCTACGAGCAACTGGATGCTCTAACGGACCGCATCGCCAAGCACCTTGTTCTTCTTGGTGTCAACCAATCTACCCTCGTCCCGCTGTGCTTTGAAAAGTCTAAATGGACACCTGTTGCCGCTCTGTCGGTGATGAAGGCCGGCGGTGCCTGCGTGGGCATGGACGTCTCGCAGCCACCGGAGCGTCTCCGATCTATTGTCAGCCAGCTTAATGCCCAACTTATCCTCACATCCTCTTCGACGCACGACCTTGCGGGCAAGATCGGCTCCGAAACGACGCAACGACTTACACTTGATGATGAAACTATTGATACGCTCTTCAGCGATCCTCTTGATGCACTGACCTTACCTGCTATCAACCCCAACAGTCTGGTCTATATTGTCTTCACATCCGGCAGTACAGGCACGCCCAAAGGTGTCATGGTCACGCATGCCAACATGGCGAGTGCTATTACCCACCAACAAGCCGCACATCACTTTCATCCCCAATCGCGCGTATACGATTTCGCTTCGTACGCTTTCGACGTGGCGTGGTCCAACGTTATTCACACTTTGACCGTTGGCGGTGTCTTGTGTATCCCTTCAGAACAAGAACGCAAAAACGACCTAGCGGCATCTCTTGCCCGCTACCACATTACTTATCTCGATATTACCCCGTCTCTGGCCCGTGTTCTGCCCGCATCGGCCTTTAAGCAGCTTGAGACAGTCACACTGGGTGGTGAGGCCCTCCCAGCACAACACGCTCAAGTCTGGGCCTCCATGGTAGACAACTTGAACAATCCCTACGGTCCATCTGAATGCACACCCACAGCCACAATTACACGGATTGCCGCTGACGAACCCTTCAAGGGCAGCATTGGTCGAGGTCTCGGCCTCAACACGTGGGTCGTTGACCCTGTATCTGGCGATACCCTCATGCCTGTTGGCCAAACCGGCGAACTGTGGCTCGAAGGCCCTCTCGTGGGAGCCGGCTACTTTAATGACAAAGAAAAGACACAAAAAGCATTTATACTCGATCCGCCCTGGTTGCGAGCCGGATGTGGCGATGAGCATCCCGGCAGATCGGGCCGTCTGTTCCGGACGGGCGACTTGGTGCGGTACAACCAAGACGGCAGTCTAGGATTCGTGGGACGAAAAGACGCTCAAGTCAAAATCAACGGTCAGCGAGTTGAACTCGGCGAGATTGAGCACCAGATTTCCCTGGCACTCCCGCAGAACGTTGTGGCCGATGTGGTGGCCGAGATGGTTGAGCCTCAGCAGGGAGCCAGCCAGAGCAAGATGCTCGTTGCCTTTCTCGAGTGCAAGTCGTTTGCATCTCAAGACGAAGAAATGTTCTTGGAGACTGCACACAAGACAGTCGATGGACTGAGTGACAAGCTGCGCGACAAGTTGCCTGCGTACATGGTCCCCTCGTCATATGTCCCTGTGCGGACGTTTCCCATGACAGGCACGGGCAAGACAGATCGCCGTGCCCTTCGACAAATGGCAGAGGCCATGTCTCGACAAGATCTGGCGAGATTCAATGCCGCGCAGCAATCGGAACTGCGTGCACCAACGACAGACACGGAGGTGTTGATGCATGCGCTGTGGGCGGCGGTTCTCGCCATTGACGAGGATACCTTTGGCCTGGACGACCACTTTTTGCATCTTGGTGGCGACTCGATTGCCGCCATGAAACTTGTTGCTGCGGCGCGCGAGTTTGGAATTGTCATGACGGTGGCGCAAATCTTTGGTAACCCGCGTCTTGAGAGTCTTTGTTCCATTGTGACGCTTGTAGGCGATGCGGGTGTCGAGTGTCCGCCATTTAGCCTCTTGAGCCGCACCGATGCTGAGCAAGTGAAACTAGATGTAGCTAGGACACTTGGTGTATCGCCTGGTCTTGTAGAGGACGTGTTTCCGTGCACACCACTACAAGAAGGCCTCCTGTCCATGACCGAGCAGGCTGGCGAAGGCGGTGACTATGTCGTCTCCTACCCGCTGCAGCTGCACTCAAGCATTGATATTGGCAGATTGACTGTTGCTTGGGACAAGGTCGTTGCCAACAATCCCATTCTGCGCACTCGCGTTGTCGATCTTACCGGCGAGGGTCTCGTGCAGGTTGTTGTCGATGAGGTGCCCGAGCTGGTAATGACTACAGGCTCCGTCACCAGCATCCGCAAGAGCACCAAGATTGGTCTAGGGTCACCACTGGCACACTTTACACTTGTTCGCAACCGCTCCGAAGATCCTGTCACGTTTCTCTGGACAATGCACCATGCCGTGTACGATGGATGGACAGTACGCCTACTCGTGGACCAAGTATACCGCGCCTACATGGGCCATGAGCTACCTGCGGTGCCCGCTTTCCAGAACTTCCTTGGCCATATTGGCGGTATTAACCCCGAAGAGGCAAAGGACTTTTGGACGCAGCAATTCCAAGATCTCGATGCGCCCGTGTTCCCGCGCCTCCCTACCGCCACTTACACGCCCAAGCAGGACACACTGTATGAACACACCATCAACGATATCCAGTGGCCCAAGAACGGTGTCACTGCGTCGACTACGATCAGAGCGGCACTGGCTCTGCTGCTGGCCGACTACAGTGCCTCTGACGATGTCTTGTTCGGTGTCACTGTTAGTGGCCGACAAGCTGCCGTCGCAGGCGTGGACCAGATGACTGGACCAACCATTGCCACTATCCCTGTGAGAGTTGCTCTTGGTACTCATCGCAACAGCAGTGTGGCAGACTTCTTAGCAGCAGTGCAAGACCAGGCCATTGCTGCAACCGACTATGAACAGCTTGGTCTGCAGACCATCCGCAAGATGAGCGCCGCCGCAGACCGAGCGTGTCAATTCCAGACACTCCTCGTGGTCCAGCCCAAGGAAGAAGATGATATGCTTGAAGAGAGCGTCTTTTACCGCGCCGGCGAAATCATGGACTTAACGGACAAGGAAAGCTTTGCGGAGTTGAGCAGCAATGCGTTGGTAATGGAGTGCCACTTTACATCAAACAGCCTCAAGATGCAGCTGAGCCACGACTCCAAGGCTATTTCTGCACCACAGGTTGTTCGCTTGGCAGAACAGCTGCAAAGTGTGCTTCAGCAGCTGTGTCTACTCCAAGACGCCACTGTATCTGATATCGAGACACTCTCAGCGCAAGATCTCCAGGCCATCTGGGGATGGAATGCACAGGTTCCCCAGACTCACAATGTCTGCGTTCACGACATCTTTACCCAGACTGCCTTGAAGTATTCGTCCAAGACGGCAATTGAGGCATGGGACGGCAACCTGACCTACAAGCAACTTGACACGCTCTCTACACAACTTGCCCACCAACTCTCCGCCTACAACATTGCAGGATCCGTTGTCCCGCTATGCTTTACCAAGTCCAAGTGGACACCCGTGGCTGTCTGGGCCGTGATGAAGGCTGGTGCAGCTTCTGTGACGCTCGATACAAGCCAGCCCGAGGAGCGTCTTCAGACAATTGTTCAGCAGGTTGAGCCCGTCTTGATGCTCGCTTCGTCCATCACATCCTCTCTTGCGAAGAGCGTCTCGCCTGTCCCTGTTCACATCATCGACACTCAGACTTACACTGCTAAGGATTTACCTCCTCTACCTGCTGTAGATCCTTCATCTCGCCTCTACATCGTCTTCACCTCAGGCAGTACCGGTACACCCAAAGGCGTCACCATCACCCACGCCAACTTTAGCAGCGCCATTCTGCACCAGCAATCTCAGCACCGCTTTAAGCCAACGTCGCGCGTCTACGACTTTGCTTCATACGCCTTTGACGTCAGCTGGTCCAACATCCTGCACACGCTAACTATTGGTGCCTGTCTCTGCATTCCCGCCGATGAAGCCCGCAAGGACGACCTCGCCGGGTCCATCCTATCCTTCCAGTCAACTCATGCCGACTTGACGCCATCGGCTGCCGCCATTCTACCTGAGCACGTCATGAAGACACTCGACACCATTGTCCTTGGTGGTGAAAAGGTTCCCGAAGCCGCTACATCATGGGCCAAGCTCGTTGATGTCATCAACCCATACGGGCCTAGTGAATGCACACCCACAGCTACTCTCACTGCTATTCAGCCAGGTGGTGACTTTACCGGTAGTATTGGCCGCGGTCTCGGTCTTAATACATGGGTCGTCAGCACACAAAAAGACGCTCTGGTTCCTGTCGGTGCTGTGGGTGAGCTCTGGCTCGAAGGTCCGCTTGTAGGCGCCGGATACATTGGCGACGCAGCCAAGACGGCTGCTGCATTTGTCGAGAACCCCAAATGGCTTGCGTCTCGCCGTACTGGCCGCCTCTACAAAACTGGTGACTTGGTGCGCTACAGTGATGATGGCGAGCTCATCTTCCTGGGTCGCAAGGATGCTCAGGTTAAGATTAACGGCCAGCGCGTGGAGTTGAGCGAGATTGAAAGCCACATGGAACGACATGAGAGTGTGCGCCGCGCTGCTTGTGTGATTCCTAAGAGCGGTCCTTGTGCTGGTCGATTGACTGCCGTTGTGAGCTTCAATGACCAATCTTCAGCGGCAGCTTTTGAGTTTATCACTCCAAGCGCGGAGACTACGAAGCAGGTAGAGGCTGTTGAGGCGGCTGTTGAAGCTACATTGCCTGCGTACATGGTACCCGCTGTTTGGATCCCAGCCACTACCATTCCGCTTAATGTCTCCGGTAAACTCAACTACCGAGAGTTGCTCGAGCGCTTAGAGACTATCGACAAGTCCTATGTCTCTCGCCATGTCGTGGACGTCTCGGGCCCAGCTCGCCAGCCAACAAGTGAAGCTGAAGCACTGCTGCGTCAAGTCTGCAGCGCTGTTCTCAACATTGCTGAGGATGCCGTCCACCTGGACCAGTCCTTTATTGCCAATGGTGGTGATTCCATCTCGGCCATGCGCCTAGCCTCTCAGTGCCGTGCGGCGGGCGGCGTCACGGTGTCTGTTGGCCAGCTTCTCAAGAGCAAGTCGCTTGCGGCATTTGCGTTGACTTTGAAAAAGGCCGATGAGGCCGAGTCCCGCGATGTTGTGTTGTTCAATGTGCCGTTCAACTTGTCGCCCATCCAGCACTGGTACTTTGAGCAGATGCGCGGCGTCACTGCTGACAAGAAGGACATCTACTGCAACCAGGGCTGCTACTTGAAGCTCAACAAGCCGTACAGCGTGGAAGAACTGCAGAATGCCATTTACGCAGTAGTCGAAGCCCACCCTATGCTTCGCGCTACCTTTTCACAGATGGATGCTACTTGGATGCAGACTATCCCGCCATTTGACAAGAATGATGTCCAAGTGGCTGTCTCTACTGCATCATCACAGGATGAAGTTGCTCTTCTTGCTACCCAGCGCCATCAGTCCCTTGATGCCTTCAATGGCTCCGTCTTTGCTGCTGATATCGTCACCCTTGCCTCTGGTGAAGTCCAGCTCGTCATGGTCGCGCACCATCTTGTCATGGATCTCGTCTCGTGGCGCATCATCAGTGACGATCTGGAGGCGGCTCTCTCCAAAACACCGCTCCAGACTGGCCTTTCCTTCCAGACATGGACCAAGAAGCAGACCGAGCACGCTGCCACATTGTCTCCCGCCAGAGTGCTTTCTTCTACCCGCACTGCTGTATCCAACAATCTCGAGTTTTGGAGATTCACAGAGGCTAATTCCAATGCTGTAGTTGATCAGCACCGCCGCGTCATCCATGTTGGCGCCGAGACCACCGCGCTTGTTCTAGGCGATGCCAATGCTCGCTTTAACACGGAGCCAGTTGATATTCTCATTGCTGCCGTCTGGGATGCCTTCTTCCGCACTTTTGCTGAGCGCACTGACCTCACCATCTTCAGTGAAGGTCATGGTCGTGAAGCATGGAACGATTCCATTGATCTGGCCAAGACGGTGGGCTGGTTCACCACCATCAGTCCCCTACACATGGCTGCCGCTTCCAAACCAGCTGAACTTATTCGCGCTGTCAAGGATGCTCGCCGCTTCCTCCCCGCCAACGGTTTCTCTTACTTTGCTTCGCGATATCTGAGCGATGCCGGTAAGAAGGCATTCCAGGAGGACACTGACGCAGCCGCCATGGAAGTTGTCTTCAACTACCACGGCCAGTTCCAGCAGTTTGAAAACCAAGATGCCGTCTTCCTTCCTGTCGATCTGGGCATTGCAGAAGTCGGCCCCCAATTGCCCGCGTCTTCCCTCTTTGGCATCGAAGTCTCCATTGAGGCGGGTATCACCAAGTTTGAGTTCTCGGCCAACAAGCACATTGCGCACCAGGACCGCATTGAGCAGTGGGCATTGACCATTAAGACTTCGCTAGAGGGTATCTGCGCAGAGCTTGCCTCTAACCAGAAGCCATCTCGCACTCTTCATGACCACCTCTATCTTGGTCTTGACTACACTACCCTCGATACCCTCGAGACAAGCATCCTCCCATCTATTGAGGCCCTCAACAAGACTACTGTCGAGGCTGTCCTCCCACCCAACCCTACCGTCGATGGCATCCTCATCAGTCAATTGAAAGAGCCTGAGTCTTACAAGACTGTCCAGTACTACGAGCTCTCTGCCCCCAAAATTGACATCTCGCAGCTTGTATCTGCCTGGGAAGCTGTTGTTGCTGCCCAGCCTGCCCTCCGCAGTGTCTTCACGCCCAGTCTCGACACCAACACGTCCTTCTACCAAGTCGTCCTTGCTTCTCACAAGCCCGAGGTCGTCATTGTCCATGCATCTTCGCCTGATGAAACACAAACGATCAAAGCTCTCCCCAGCGTCAGCTACTCGGAAGCCACGCCTCCTCACCGAGTAGCCCTCTGCCAAATCGACGACTCCCGCGTCCTCTGCTGCATCGACATGAGCCACGCCATCACGGACGGTACATCCAACGGCATCATCGCCCAGAACTGGATCGACGCCTACAACGGCTCGCCCATCACGAGCATCAACCTGCTCGACACCATGACCAGCTTTGCTGCGCACTTACACGCCAACCCGGCTGCCCAGAAACTGTCTTATTGGTCGTCCAAGCTCGCGGATGCAAAGCCCTGCGCGTTCCCCGAACTCAACAACCAAGGCCAAGCAAAGTCGTATTCTGTTGTCGAAGCCACTGTCCAGGGAGCTGCCCTCTCTTCCATCCAGGTTGCTTCCGCCAAGTTGTCCGTCACGCCTGCTAGCATTGTACAGAGCGCATGGGCTCTTACCCTCGCAACATACCTGGGAACATCCAGTGTCTCGTTTGGATATCTTGCATCTGGTCGCGATCTCGACATTGTTGGCCTAGACGACTCTATTGGCGCCTACACCAACATGCTTGTCTGCCATGCCGACATTGACTACCAGCAACCTGGATCCCAGCTGGCCCAGAGCATGTACAACCAGATTCTTGAGGACCTCAAGTACCAGCACTCGTCTCTTGCTGCCATCCAGAATGCTCTTGGCCTCACCAACGGCCAGAGCCTCTTCAACACCATCATGTCTTTCCAGATGCAGGATGGCGTCGTGGGCGATTCCAAGGGCCTTGTGATGAAGACACTCGAGGGCGACGATCCCACTGAATACGATGTCGTGGTGAATGTAGGCTACAGCACTGAGAGCATCCATCTCTTGATCGACTACTCTACTCTGACTCTGTCCAAGGAGCAGGCAGAGCGCATGGCGTCCCTGTTTAGCTCGCTTATGACGGCGATGCTCGCACCGACAGCTCTCTCTCGTGCCCAAGCCGTCAGTGACGGCGACATGAAGCAGATTCAAGTATGGAACGCTACTGTTCCTGTCACTAAGAATGTCCCTGTCCACGAACTCATCCAAGAGAGAGTCCATAGACAGCCTAACGCCCTAGCTATTGACGCCTGGGACGGACAATGGACATATGCTGAGCTCGATGCCATCACGACCAAGCTTGCCGCACATCTTGTAAGCCTGGGTGCGCAAAACACTATTATTCCCGCCGTCTTTGAGAAGAGCAAGTGGACGCCTGTTGTCATGATTTCCGTGATGAAGGCTGGCGCTGCTACTGTTCTCGTCGACCCCAACCAGCCACTTGACAGGCTCCGCGCTATTGTTCAGCAGGTTGATCCTGTGATTGTGCTTTCGTCTGCTTCCAACCATGGCATTGCAGCACAACTTGGCATCGCCAATGTCCTTGCTGTGAACAGTACCCTCTTTGAGAGCGCCCTTGCCAATGCCACTCTGCCTTCTGTGAACCCGTCCAGTCCCATCTATCTTGTTTTCACCTCGGGCAGCACTGGTCTTCCCAAGGGTGTCGTGGTGACGCACTCCAACATCTCAAGTGCCATTAAACACCAGCGCTCTGCTCTTGCGGTAGACGCCTCGTCTCGCGTCTACGACTATTCGTCTTACATGTTTGACGTCGTCTGGTGCAACTTGCTCCAGGGCCTCACTGCCGGATCTTGCATCTGCATTCCCACCGACGAAGACCGCAAGACCAACCTGGTCGACAGTATCACCTCGTTTGCCGCCGACACGGTCATTATGACTCCGTCTGCTGTTCGAGGATTGGACATTGCCAAACTCACAACCCTCAAGAACTTGCACTTTATTGGTGAGGCTCTCCGCACCGAAATCTTCAACGACTTACCCGCGACCGTCACCGTCACCAACCTCTACGGTCCTACCGAGTGTACCACGTACAGCACTTGTCAGCGTGTTGCCCCTGGAGCATCAGGATCTGTTAGCATTGGTCTTGGATCCGGTACGACAGCTTGGATTGTGCATCCTGACCATGGCGATGCGCTTGTTCCCGTGGGTGCCATTGGTGAGCTTTGCATTGAAGGACCCCTTGTGGCTACAGGTTACCTTGGCGATGCGGAAAAGACAAATGCAGTATTTGTCGAGAACCCAACCTGGTTGCCTCGGTCTGGAAGAATCTACAAGACGGGTGACTTGGTCAGCTACAATGCTGATGGCAGCTTGACCTTTATGGGACGCAAGGATGCCCAAGTCAAACTCAATGGTCAACGTGTTGAGCTGGGTGAGATTGAGTATCACGTTCAAGAAGCACTCAGTGACGAGGATCATAGCTTCCAAGTCATTGCCGAAGTGATTACTCCCGACGGCGGCAGCCCCATGCTTGTGGCGTTTGTCTCTCCCCCAGACGACAAGGTCTCGTCAAGAACAGAAGATGACCTCAACACACTTGTCCAGAGCAAGTCCAGCAAGCTTGATGGCCAGCTTGCCTCCATCCTCCCGCCTCACATGATTCCCGCGGCCTATGTGGCCGTCATGGGCATTCCCAAGACACCCTCGGGCAAGACGGACCGCAAGGTTCTCCGTGCTCAAGGCAAGACTATGTCCTTCTCTCCTGCGGCTTCATCTGAAAAGAAACAGCCAACCACGTCCTCTCAGCGTGTGATGCAAGCTCTCTGGGCTGCTGTTCTCTCTCAGCCGGTAGAGAACCTTGGTCTTGACGATAGTTTCCTGCGTGTAGGCGGCGACTCTATTACTGCCATGAAGCTCGTCGGAAAGGCACGCGAGCAGGGCATCAGTCTGTCTGTGGCCGATGTGTTTGCCAACCCGCGCCTTGAAGATATGGCTCTCAAGGCTGGCGATGTCGAGATTGAAGTAGAAGAGGATATTGCACAGTTTTCCATGGTTTCGTCTGGTAACCTAGATCAGGCGATTGAGTCTGCCGCTTCCCAGTGCAGCGTAGACAAGAACCAAATTGTCGACATGTACCCATGCACTGCTCTGCAAGAAGGCATGATGGCACTTACTATCAAACGCCCTGGCGACTATGTGCTGCGCTGCGTCTTTGAACTCAAGGATTCCGTCGACATCACTACGCTTCGCCAGTCGTGGAATGCTCTCGTCGCAGCCTCCCCTGTTCTACGCACTCGCATTGTCGATCTCGCTGGCCATCTTTCTCAAGTTGTCGTCGATGAATCTTCCCACTGGCTCCAAGACCGTCTCATCGCCAACCTTGACGAGATTCACGAACCAGAATCCCCTGTTATCATGGAACTCGGCACGCCTCTTCTCATCTCTCAGATGGTCACCAACACGGCCGACAACAAACACTTCCTCGTGGCCACTCTCCACCACGCTATCTACGACGGATGGTCCCTCAACCTCGTCTTTGACCATCTCGAGAAGATGTATCTCGGTCAGACATCATTCACATGGCCTGCCGACTTCCGCCAACTCGTCAAGCACACCGCCAGTATTGACAAGAGCGAAGCCAAGTCCTTCTGGTCGAAGCAGTTTGCCGGCTCCGAAGCTGCTGCTTTCCCAGCCCTCCCTACTCCCATGTACGAACCTGTGCCTCGTGATATCCTCACACACTCCATCGACAGCATCTCGTGGCCATCCAATGGCATCACTCCTTCTACACTTGTCCGCGGCGCCATTTCCATCCTAGTCTCCAAGTACACCGACACAAGAGACGTCATCTACGGTGTAACCTCTTCTGGCCGTCAAGCCGCTATCCCAGGTATCGAGAACATGGTCGGTCCCGCCATTGCCACCGTTCCGTTCCGCGCTGCTTTCCAAGCCGACGACAATCTACAGCAGTTCTTGTCCTCTGTTCAGCAGAATACCATGGAAATGACACGCTATGAGCAAACCGGTCTCCAGCACATCCGCAAGGCAAGCTCTGATGCCGACAAGGCGTGCCAGTTCCAGCTTCTCGTCATTGTCCAGCCTGCCGATGAGGCCAGCGACTGGAACAGCGCCATAATCGAGCGAGATGTTGTGGGCGCAGGTGTCCAAGAGCTGGATACGTATGCCCTTACACTCGAGTGCCAGCTTGGCGCCGACAATCTCAAGATCAAGGCCAGCTTTGACTCCTCCGTCATTAGCACGCACCAGACACAGCGCTTTGCTCATCAGCTGGAGCACATTCTTCTTCAACTCTGCCAGCCAGCCTCGCAAGATCTCAAAATGGACCAAGTCAGCGCTACAAGCACCCAAGACCTTGACGACATGTGGGCATGGAACGAGACTGTTCCCGAAGCCGTCGACGCCGCCGTTCACGATCTTATCCACCAAAGAGCCCTCGAACAACCAGATGCTCCAGCCGTATGTGCCTGGGACGGCGACTTCACTTACAAGGAAATGGACACGCTTTCTACGCAGCTTGCCCACCGTCTTATCGCTGCCGGCATCACATCCAACAGCACCATTCCGCTCTTCTTTGAAAAGTCCAAGTGGACACCAATTGCCATGATTGCCGCCAACAAGGCTGGTGCCTCTGCTGTCGCCGTCGACTGTGGCCAGCCCGACGACAGACTCTTGTCCATCATCAGCCAGGTCGAAGCTCCCCTGATCCTGTGCTCTTCGTCCAAGCAGCCTATCGCCCAGCGCCTCGTCTCTCTCCCTACCATTGTCGTCGACGAGTCTGCATTTACATCTGCAATTACACCCACGCAGCCTCTCCCCAAGGTCGACCCATCCAGCAAGCTCTACATCGTCTTCACTTCTGGCAGCACAGGCACACCCAAGGGCGTCATGATTACACACCGTAACATGGCCAGCGCTATCAAACACCAAAAGATCATCCAGTGCATGCACAACAAGTCTCGTGTCTTTGATTTTGCCTCGTACGCCTTTGACGTGGCGTGGGCAAACACCATGTGCTCGTTTGAAGTCGGTGCCTGTCTGTGTATCCCGTCTGATGCTGACCGCAAGGACGATCTCTCTGGCGCTGTTCTCCGACTTAGAGCTACGCACGCTGACTTGACGCCTTCTGCAGCGCTGGTTCTCTCCACAGAGGCCTTGAAGCAACTCGACACTCTGACTCTTGGTGGTGAGCGTCTTACCCTTGACAATGCTGCCAAATGGGCTGAACACACTATTGTCAAGAACTCGTACGGCCCTAGCGAGTGTACGCCTAGTGCTACCTTTTCCGATGAGATTCGCTGCGCCGACGACTTTAATGGAACTATAGGCAAGGGTTCGGGTATGCTTACATGGATTGTCGATGCCGAGACGGGTTCTTCACTTGTTCCTATTGGTGCTATTGGTGAACTCTGGCTCGAAGGTCCCTGTGTGGGCAATGGCTACCTCAACGATCCTGTCAAGACAGCAAAGGCCTTTGTCACGGATCCAGCATGGCTTGCAAAGGGTCACAAGGGTGTCTCTGGCCGTCAGGGCCGTCTTTACAAGACTGGTGATCTCGTCCGCTACAACATGGACGGCAGTATCGACTTTATTGGCCGCAAAGACGCACAAGTCAAGATCAACGGACAGAGAGTTGAGCTTACCGAGATTGAAACACACATTACTTCGCATCCCGATGTTTTCCAGGCCGCCTGCTTCTGGGTGACCAGTGGCCCATGTGCCCGCCGTCTTGTGTGTGCACTGAGTATCCGCTCTCTACGCCGTGGCGATGTCATCGGAACAGCAATCACACTGCCCTCTGAAGAGGAAACACCCCAATTTGACAGTTTCCTTGAAGATATTAAGGCTCAGCTTAAGATTGCTGTCCCGTCCTATATGGTCCCAGCCATCTGGATCCCCATGTTTGATCTCCCACAAACTGCATCTGGTAAGATGAACGGCAAAGCTCTCAAAGATTGGCTGGTAAGCATGGATGAAGCTACACATGCCCGTATCAAGAGCGATGCGCAGACGGGAACAGCCCGTGCCGCAGAGACAGAGACGGAAGAAGTTCTCTGTGAGGCTTGCAGCACCATTCTCAACATCCCAGCGGCCCAAGTCAACCTGGAAGCCTCGTTTATTGCCAACGGCGGTGACTCCATCACGGCCATGCAGATTGCTTCTGCTTGTCGAGCAAAGGGCCTCGCTGTTTCCGTGGCACAGCTTCTGCGCGCAAAGACGCTCGCCGAGTTTGCTGAAACTTCCTCTCAGGCAGCAGCACCAGCGATGAGCTACACTGAAGAATACAACAAGCTGTTTAGCCTGTCGCCCATTCAGCAGTGGTACTTTGGCCTGGATCTTGACAAGAATGCCACGGACCAGCAGTACAACCAGGGCTTCTATCTGAAGCTGAGCAAGCCTCAATCAACAAGCAAGGTACAAGCTGCTCTGAACAAGATTGTCGATGCTCACTCCATGCTTCGTGCACGATTCGAGCAAACGACAGATGGATGGATGCAAAAGGTTCTTCCTCCTAGCGACAAGGACAAGTCCAGCCCTCTCTACCACTTTGAGGCTGCCACTCTCCAAGATGTCGCCCAAGTTGAGAAGCTCGCCAAGGAGCGCCAACACTCGCTCGACATCACCAATGGGCCTCTCTTCTCAGCAGACCTATGCACGACCTCATCTGACGAGCAGTACTTGATTCTCATGGCCCACCATATCATCATTGATCTTGTCTCATGGCGTATCATCATGGATGATCTCGAGACACTCCTCACCACAGATAACAAGCTCATCGGCAGCTTGCCCTTCCAGCTCTGGGCAAAGATGCAGGTCGACCGTGCCTCTACTCTCCACCCAGACCGTGTCCTGTCAACTACCAACACGGCCACCAACACCTCCTTCTGGGGCTTTGTACCTGGGACCACGCCCAATAAGCGCGGCGATCACGAATGCCTCACCGTCACAGCCGACGAGAAGACCACTCTTCTCCTTCTCAACGAGGCCAATCGTGTACTCAACACGGAACCTCTTGAGCTGCTTCTCGCTGCTGCATGGCACGCTTTCCTCGCTGCTTTCCCCATGCGCAGTGACGGCCTCACCATCTTCAACGAAGCACACGGCCGCGAACCGTGGTCTGATGACTTGGATATTTCCAAGACGGTCGGCTGGTTCACTACTATGGCTCCTATCCACATTGGCCAATCTGCTGCGGAGAGTGTCCTCGATCTTGTGCGCCATGTCAAGGACGCTCGTCGCCAGATGCCAGCCAACGGTTGGAACTACTTTGCCTCGCGATACTTGCATCCCGAGGGCATCGAGGCGTTCAAGGCCCACGATGTCATGGAAGTCCTGTTCAACTACCATGGCCAGTTCCACCAGCTGGACAAGGAGGACGCCTTCTTCCAAGACATGTCGTTTGACTCTGTTGTCGAGCAGGGACTTGGCATGCCTGAATCGTCACTATTCGGCTTTGAAGTGTCGATTGAGAACAACAAGACCGAGTTTGCCATCTCTTACAACAAGCATCTCTCTCACCAGGATGAAATCCGCACCTGGATGACGCAGATTGGTACTTCTCTCCAGACAATCTGCAACGAACTCGTCGCCATGCCCAAGACAAACACGCTCGTAGACTACGAGTTCCTGCGACTAGACTACGCTGGCCTTGACAAGCTTGAGCAGCAAATATTGCCTTCTCTCCCCAGCGGTATTGATGATGTCTACCCTTGCAAGCCTACCGTGGACGGTATCCTGCTCAGTCAGATTAAGGACCCGGAAGCCTACAAGACGATGCAAATCTACAACACCACACACACTTCCACTCTGGACATCGCCAGACTCTCGGAAGCATGGAACCAGGTTGTGGCCAGACAGCCTGCTCTCCGCACCGTCTTCATCGCCGGCCTCGACGACCAAGCTGCCTTCAACCAGGTGATTCTGACTTCTCACACTGCCGACATCATCACCCTCGAAGCCAGCGATGAAGTGTCTGCTCTCGCCAAGATGGATGCCGTCCCAGCTACAAACTACCAGGACCAGCGCCCTCCTCACCGCATCACCATCTGCTCTACATCGCCCACCTCAGCCATCTGCAAGCTTGAAATGAGCCACGCCATCACCGACGGCTTCTCCTCGTCTCTTGTCATTGACGAATGGATCGCCGCCTACTCGTCTTCCCTCAGCACCACCAACCTCCTCGAGTCTACTCGCGACTTCAACCGTGTCTGGGCAGACAAGCCTACCGCTGAGCGCCTCAGTTTCTGGACCACCAAGCTCAGCGGCATGGAGCCCAGCCACTTCCCTCGCCTTACTGAGTCTCCTACCAAGGAGACTGGCAACATGGTGCTCAATATCCAAGGCGACCTCCTAGCAGCCTTTAATGCCCGCTGTGCCGAACTCTCTGTGACGGCATCTAGTGTCGTCATGGCGGCATGGGCACTTACACTCTCTGCATACGCTGGCCTCAACTCCGTTGCCTTTGGATACCTTGCTTCTGGCCGTGATCTTCCCATTACTGGCCTGGATGAGTGTGTTGGCGCTTTTGCCAACATGATGATTCTTAGAGCCGATGCTGTCCGCGAGCAATCCGACAATGTGGCCTTCCTCCACGACATCCACAGCCAAGTCATGCAGGATCTTTCCTACCAGCACTGCTCTCTCGCCAGTATCCAGCATGAGCTTGGCCTCGGCCCGAACCAGACGCTCTTCAACTCCATCATGTCGTTCCAGCGTGTATCTGACGACGATGACGAAGATGAGTCTGCCACCGAACTCACCTTTAAGAACATGGACGGTCTTGACCCTACTGAAGTAAGCCAATCCTCCCTTCCCACTCTCTTTACCTCTATATAATACTAACAACCACTCTTAGTACGATATTGTCCTTGGTGTCTCTGCTGGCTTCAAGCTTCTCGAGATTGAACTCGACTACTCCACCCAGCATCTCACTGATGACCAAGCCACCCGTGTTCTCTCCCTCCTCGAGGCCTCGATTACCCGCCTCATCAGCACAGCCAACACGCCTGCTAGCTTCGTCAGTCCCGAAGATGCTTCCACCATTTGGTCCTGGAACGCTTTTGTGCCCGAGACCATCCACCGCGCCGTCCACGACATGATATCCGACACTGTCGCCAAGCAGCCCTCTGCCACGGCTATCTGTGCATGGGACGGCAACTGGACATACCAGGAACTCGAAGACAAGTCCACGCTTCTCGCGCACAAACTCCTTGATCTCGGTATCTCCAGTAACTCCATTGTGCCATTGTGCTTTGAAAAGTCTCGCTGGACGCCCCTCGCCACGCTTGCTGTCATGAAAGCTGGTGCTTGCGCAGTCACTCTCGACTCAAGCCAACCAGTAGATCGTCTACGCACCATTGTGGAGCAAGTCAGCGCCCCTATCATCCTTACATCACCCACCAACGAGTCACTAGCCAACTCCATCTCGTCGTCTGTCCTCGTCGTCAACGACATCATCTTCACCATCCCTCGCACTGCAAAGCCCCTTCCTCCCGTCGACCCTGCCAGCAAGCTCTATCTCAACTTCACCTCTGGCACGACCGGTACACCCAAGGGCGTCATTGTTACGCACGCCAACTATGCCAGCGCCATTGTCCACCAGCAAGCCCAGCATCTCTTTAAGCACCACTCGCGAGTCTTTGACTTTGCATCCTACGCGTTTGATGTCAGCTGGTCCAACTTGCTTCACACCCTCACCATTGGCGCTGTCCTCTGTATCCCATCCGACGCTGACCGTAAAGACGACCTCGCCGGCTCTATCGAACGTCTCGGAGCCACTCATGCTGATCTGACTCCCTCCGCAGCAAGCACGCTTCCTCTCGAGACCTTCTCCAAGCTCGAAACCGTCGTTCTCGGCGGCGAGAAGCTCTCTCCAGACTTCGCCAAGTCGTGGTCTACACTAGTCAACCTGATCAACCCTTACGGTCCTAGTGAATGCACACCCACAGCCACCCTCGTCAAGGTCGATCCCAATGCGCCCTTCTCTGGCTCCATTGGTCACGGCATCGGTCTCAACACCTGGATCGTCGATGCTATTACCGGTGAATCCCTTGTTCCCGTCGGCACCGTCGGCGAACTGCTCCTTGAAGGTCCCCTTGTTGGCGACGGGTACTTGAACAATCCCGACAAGACGTCCGCTGCCTTTATCGAGGACCCAGCCTGGCTTACACGCGGTGGTCCGTCGCACGCAGGCCGATCTGGCCGTCTCTACAAGACCGGCGATCTCGTCAAGTACGCACCAGACGGTTCGCTTATCTTCATCGGCCGCAAAGACAACCAGGTCAAGATTAACGGCCAGCGTGTGGAAATGGGTGACATTGAGCACCACGTCCAGAGCTGTCTCAGTGTGGACAGCATGCAGACTATCGTGGAGCTCATCCAGCCCGAAAACGTCGCCCAAAAGGTCCTTGTTGCCTTTATTTCCACCACAACTAGCCTGTCCAGCTCCGATCTCACCATCGACAACCACCTGAGTGAAACAGTCAAGACGGCCACCGCTGGTATCCGTGACCGCCTTGCTGCCGTCATCCCATCCTACATGATCCCCTCGGCCTACATTGCGCTCAAGGCCCTGCCCATTGCCACCACCGGCAAGACGGACCGCAAGCGTCTCCGCGAATTCGGATCTTCACTTACATGGGACCAGCTCGGCGATTCTTCGTCTCAGAGCGAGTTTGTGGAGCCTCAAACCCCAAATGAGCGCACTCTCCGCGATCTCTGGGCCTCGGTCCTCCACGGTATCAAGGAAGAGCGCATCGGTGCCAACGACAGCTTCCTCAAGATTGGCGGCGACTCCATTGGCGCCATGAGACTCGTCACAGCAGCCCGTGGTGCCGGCTTCCAACTTTCCGTTGCCGATATCCTCCGCTCACCGAAACTCAGCGACATGGCAACCTTCCTACACACCCTCGACCGCGATGTCTCTGCCAAACCTTACGAGCCATTCTCGCTCGTCTCCTCTTCAGCCGACATGCTCCGCGCCGCTGAAGCCTACAACATCGACCCCTCCACCATCACCGACATCATGCCCGTCACAGGCCACCAATCCCGCCTCATCTCCATGACTTACACGTCAGCACGTACCCTCCTCATCTACCACACTCTCGACGGCACCGGCGCCCCCAACATGGACCGCATGCGCCTTGCCGTCCGCACCCTCGTCGCGCGCTACGACATGCTCCGCACCGTCTTCTTCGGCCACGGTGATGCCTTCTACCAAGCCGTCCTTTCTACCGACGACATCACCGTCCCTCTCTACTCCTCTGCCGACTCTCTCGACATCATCACCGAGAAGATCCGCCTCGGCGACAACACCCAGCCGCTCCGCTACGGCGCGCTTCTTACCGCCTTCTCCGTCATCCACAGCACCAAGTCCAACACATGGCGCATCGTCGCGCGCCTCTCGCACGCCCAGCACGATGGCATGTCCATGGCCAAGATGTGGTCTGCCTTTGAAGACGTATACAACAGCACCTCAACCTCCCCCATCAGCATAGTCCGCGGCCCCGGCAGCTTCTCCAACTACATGCACTCGCTCTCGCAGACCGACAAGCCCGCCGCCCGCGCATACTGGCGCTCTCTGCTCGCCGGGTCCTCAATGACAACTCTAAAGCCGCGCGCCTCACTCACCGTCAGCTACGGCGAAGGCCCATTCCTCGTCCGAGAGATCCCGCACGCCCAGCTGCCCGCCTCCGACACCACCTTCTCGACAATCCTCCGCGCCGCATGGGCCTATGTGCTCTCTCAACAGACACAAACCTCCGACGTTGTCTTTAGCTGCCTCACCCACGGCCGCAGTATCCCCAACGCCCAAGACGTCTTTGGCGCCTGCGTCAACGTGGTGCCCACCCGCATGCAAATCCAACCAGGCTGGGCCCCCAAGGATCTCATCTCCGCCATCAAGGCCCAGAATTTGTCTAGTATGGACCACGAGCACCTCGGGTCGCGCGACATTATCCGCGAGTGCACAAGCTGGCCCAAGTGGACATATGCCGGCTCAGTCGTCTACTACCATAACCTCGACGACGGGGAAGAAAAGGCCGAGCGCAGCATGCACGACGACGACGACGGCTCTTCCCAGCCCGATGTCGACAACACAGATCTCCACATCACAGCCAAACCCTCCAAGAGTGGTATCCGTATTGAATTCGGCTTCGCTGCCGACGTCATGTCCGACGCTGCAGCCGAGCATCTCGCCGACACACTTGTCCGCACCATCCTCGCCTTCTACAGCAACCCCGAAGAATCGCTTCTTGCTGTTTCCCCCACCCAGCCCAAACCTCACGCCGCTGATGCCGTTCACACAAAGGTCGTCAGCCACGATCCTGCCATGAAGGCCGCCGTCACAGCCGCATGGCAGGCCGTCTTCCCCGGCACCGCGTTCCACTCATACCAGACCATCTTTGATCTGGGCGCCGACATCTCGTCGGTTGCGCTCCTCTGCGCACACTTGCAAACGCTTGGCCATGAAATCTCGATCGAGCAGGTCCTCGAGAATCCCACGCGAGAAGGCCAAGCTGCTGCGCTGCTTTCACTTACACGGGCCACCACGCCGGGCTCATTGCCTAATTGGGAAAAGCAGCAAGGCACACCCAAAAATAGAGGTTGTTTTCCTTTGGCGTTTATTTTGGAAAAGTTAAATTTGGTCTAGCGTGTTTTCCTTTTATTTTCATATTTTAGCGAGTTTTATTTTTTATTTTTCCGTCTTTTATGAATAGATTTCCTTGACTACTTTATCACCATCTTCTCCACGTGACTTGAACCTCCAACCATTGATGTATTCTGTATAAACAACTCATAGAAAATCCAGAAAAATAGTGTAGTAAATAAAATGCTGTCATTTTCGTCTTTAGAGCCTCCAATTGGCAATATGCACTATAATCTGACTAATCCACACTTGTGAAAAACACCGCATTCGCTTCTCCCCTCACCACTTTCTTCCCCTCCTCATCATCACCACCAAAATGGATTACTTCCACTCGCCCGAGTTTTCCGCGCTCGTCACGACTCTCATTGAGATAAACCATGTGCCAGGCCTCTCTATCGCCATCACGCAAGACAACAAAACCGCCTCTTTGTCCTTTGGCCTCGCTTCCGTGCCCGATCAGACACCATGCACCAACGACACCATCTTCGACATTGCCTCGTCGGCCAAGTCGCTCACTGCTGGCGCCGTCGCACTCATGGTAGACGACAAGGCCTTTAAAGACGTCTCCTGGGAGGCCACCATGTCGAGCATGCTCCCCGACGACTTTGTCGGCCCCAACGACGACTTCACCAACAACGTCACTCTTGAAGATGTCGTCTCGCACCGCACCGGCATGGCAGGGTATGTTCCTCTCCTCTCCCTTCCTCCCCTCTCCTCTCATTCCTTTATATCTTCTTACCTCTACTCTATAGCCACGACAACTCCTACCTCGGCCAAACCTCCAAGACCCCCGACACCGCCAAATCCATCACCCGCAACCTGCGCAACCTCGCCATCGCAGCACCCCTCCGCAGCCGCTACCTCTACAACAACATGCTCTTCACCGCCCTCACGCACCTCATCGAGACCAAATCCAACACCTCCTTCGCCAGCTTCCTCCACGACCGCATCTTCACCCCTCTCGCCATGACATCTACTTACCTGCAGCCCCAAGCAGCCCGCGACGCCGGCCGCGCAGCCTCCATCGCCGCCGGCCACACGTGGGACAAGTCCTCCAGCAGCTACACGACCTTCCAAACCCCCGACTGCCCTGAAGGCCAAGGCGCCGGGTCCATCATGACCACGGCCTCCGACTTCATCCTCTGGGTCAAGGCGCTGCTGCGCAAAGAAGCGCCGCTCAACGACCGCACCGTCGGCGCCCTCACCAAGATGCGTTCGTTTGTCAACCCGTCTGCGCGGCGCACCAAGCCCTTCTCTTCGCCGCCGTTCTACATGGCCGGCATGGAGGTCACATACTACCGCGGCGCCGCGCAGGTCGGGCACGACGGTAACATTCCCGGTTTCGCATCCCGCTTTGCATTCATGCCGGACCACGATTTTGGCGTGGTGGTCATGGCCAACGCCAACTCTGCTGCGCCTGTAGCCTCCGCGTTGATTCGCGAACTTGTCGATCAGATCCTCAATGTACCTATCTCAGAGCGCCCGCGACCGCAGGTGCCCAAGGCAAAGGCGAACAAAAAGCAGCCCAAGAAGGACGTGCCTATCCGTGTAAAACCCGACGCTGCTACCGCGACTGCTACGACGCCAGAGAAGAAGAAGCGAACACCAAAGAACCCACAGGAGCGCGCACTACAAGACTATGTCGGTGTATTCAACAACAGAGGATACCACAACATGACGGTCGAGATCAAAGACGACGAACTGTTTACTGATGCGACGGATCGCGGCATGGGCTTCACGCTCACATTTGAGCACGTCAAGAATCAGACAGAGTACAAGGCGCATCTGTGGGATGCTCTTGAAGGAGGCGATGACCTCGTTGATGCCGAATTCGTAGTAGAAGACGGCAAGATTGTCAAAATGGGCTTGGACTTGGAACCAGCCGTGCGAGACTTGATATGGTTTGATAGAGTGGAAGGGCAGTAAGGCATACACACGGTTTTAGACAAAAGAAATGAACAAGATTCGGAACAGTCACGGGTTAAGAAAAGGACATTTGTTTATATAGAAAAGAATACTCATTCAATTTGATTCGTAACCAGTACTTAAACTATTAATGAAAAAAAGACATAGGAAAAGTGGTATGGTGAAGCAGCCCTCAAGACTGGTTCCGACAGAAACAACAAAACAGAACCCCTTTTATGTAATTATCCTGAGCGGCTTATGCACTCATCGTCGTATTAAACAGGGAAAGAAGCAAAATGAAAAACCGACAAAGCAATGGTATCTCCAAGCAAAGCTACCGCGCCTCAAGCTCGCATGTCATGGGTATAATCGTTTTCGTTCGCGTCAAAATGGTACAAAGCCTCAGATTGCTTTACTGGCTGTTCTGGAAGGCAGCGTTGGCGGCAATAGCAGCAATGCGGGCATCGCTGGCTAGGTCGGTGTTCTCGGCAGCAGCGGGAGCCTTGCCGTTGGCATGACCGTTGGTGTGACCGTTGCCATTGGCGAGACCATTGCCGTTGGCATGGCCGTTACCGTTGGCAGTGGCGGCACCGTTGCTGACGGCGGCAGTGGTGGCAGCAGCAGTGGTACCGACCTTGGGAGTAGAGGGGATCACCTGCTTGCGCTCAACCTGAGGGGCAGAGGGAATGTCGGTGCTCTTGTCGGCCTTCCCAATGGAGAAGACGGGGCTCTCCCACTTTTCGCCCTTGCCAGCAAGCTGTTTGTACTCAGTGGCCTTGGTGCTAACACCACCAGGGAGGTCGAGAGCGGGGAAGAGGCTGTCTTCCTTGGTCATGGCAATGTTAACCTTGCGACCGTCGGCCTCAGCCTTAGCCTTGGCCTCCTCCTTCTTGGCCTTGGCCTTCTCCTTGTTCTCAAGGACGCGCTTCTGAGAAGCGTTGTAGAAGCGCTTGGCGAAGCCCTGCTTCTTCTCGCCCGCAGCAACGTTCTCGCCAGCGGCCTCGGCCTCGTTCTTGATCTCCCAGAGGGTAGCATCAAACTCGTTGCACTTGTCCTTGATGGCCTTCTCAACAGCCTTCTGGAGAGCAGGGCGGAGAGCTTTGAGGAGGATAGGCTTGGCAATCTTGAAGAGGAACTTGTGCTTGGACTTCTTCAGGTTGATGTTGAGGGACTTGAAGTCGACGTCAACCTTCTCAACCTTGAAGAGATTCTGGGAGTCGTGCTTGCGGGCAGTGGCAACCTTCATGCGGAAAGAGAAGCCGTCGCCAGGCAGCAAGATGTCCATGACACCGGTGTCGGAAACACGGGGGAAACCGGTCTTGCGCTTGACGTGGAAGCTGACATCAAGGAGATCCATCTGAATACCAGAGACCTTGACGTCCATGGTGTTGAAGTTGGAGTTGGCAATCTTCTTACGACCCCACTTGAACTGGTTCTCGCTGGCAATCTCGAGGACGTTGGGCATGAAGTTGTCGCTCTCGAGGACAAGGTTCTCGATGACGGCATCGACCTGGTTGTCGGTGTACTCGATGCGGGGAATGGGGATGTAAGAGGTGGTCTCGAGGACGGAGGGGAGGATGACATTGAAGACATCCTTGAGAAGGTGAGGCTTGAAGGTAGACTTGCCGTTCTCGTCGTTGCCGAGATCTTGGAAGAGTCTCTGAACAGCCTCGCCAAAGGCCTTGTTGTGGGGGTCCTGCTCGAACTGGTCGGCAAGGGCCTTGGTCTCGTCGAGGACACGGTCAGTGTGGCCTCTGTACTTTTCGCGAAGCAAAACGCGGCCCTGGTCGTAGAGACGGTCCCAGTCCTTAGTGGAGACCTCGTCCAGGACGTAGCCCTGCTCAAGGAGGCAGCGGCGGATGTAAGCGTCAACAGACTTGAACCAGCCCTTGAGTTCGGCGTCCTTATCGGCGTCCTTATAGATCTGGCCAATGGATTCCCAGAGACCAGAAGTAGAAGTGCCGTTGGCAAAGCGCTCAATCAGGAGGCGGAGGTCAGCCTCGGCGGCAGCGAAGCCGGTGCGAACCTGCTTAGCAGAGCCGGTGGAGCTTTGACCAAGAGACTGGCCGTGCTTGCCGTACTCCTCAGCGAGGCGGAGGAGAGTCTGGATGGCCTCGGAGTAGTCAGCGTGAGACTGGCACTCGAGAACCATCTTCTTCAGGCGCCAGATGATCTGGTCGCGGCGCTCCTGGGGCATTTTCTTGTTGAGGTACTCCTTGGCCTTGGCCTTGTACTCGGCGTTGCGCTTCTTGAGCTTCTCCTTGGCCTCGGGGTCGACATGAGCATCGAGCTTCTTCTTGAGGGCAGAAGCACCGGCGTTAACGCCAGCCTTGGCATCCTCAGTGGTGAGGTCCTTGCCCTGGCCAGTGGGGGTAGCGGCCTCCTGAGCAGCGTTGAGAACCTCCTGGGCGTCCTTCTTGGCATTGCCCTTGTAGAGATCCTGGGCCTGCTTCTTGAGCTCCGCCTTAGAGAACTTGGGGGCCTCGTGCCAGGTGTTGTCCTCGGCGGCCTGATCAATCTGACCAAGCTGCTCCTCAGAGGGGCGGATGTAGGAACCCGCGCCACCAGCGGCATCGCTCACCATATCGCGGATCAGAATGGAAGCATCCTTAAGGAGCTTGCGGAACTGGCCGTTAGTGATGAGCAAGGTACCAAGAGTGCGGAGGCCGTGGAGAGCGTCCTCGCCGTCGCGCTTAGCAGCATCCTTCTCGAGGGGAGACTTGACGGAGTCGATGCTCTTGGGGTCGAACTGGGTGGTCTGCCAGATGAAGTCCTGGATCAGGTTGCCCTCGTTCTTGGAGAGCAGGAGGACCTTGGCCAGGCGGATAACCTCGCGGGTGTCCTCGACAAGCTTCTTACCTTCAGCAGAGAGCTTGTCAGAAGGGGCAGAGAGGGCCTTGGACTCGAGGAAGCTGTTAAGAGCGACGTCAATCTGATCGTTGGAAGGGACCTTGCCGGCCTTGAAGGCGCTGAAGATGCCGTAGACCTGGAGCTTGCGGTTGATGTCGGCCTCCTTGAGGGCCTTGTCGGTAGGCTTGTTAACGTTGGCGGAAAGAACAGCCATGATTGTGGTCGTAAAGGTTGATGAGGTGAAGTTGAGTAGATGAAGCTAAAAGCTGTAGCAATAATGAGTCTTCGTACTTAGTTAAAAGCTAGAAGACGTGTCGAAGTGGTCGCGTGCTTGTTCGTTAAGAATGGAGGCAGGGAATTAAGAGAGTCTGGATCGTGTGATGAAGCTAGACTTGTGGTGTGTTTGTGGGAGCGGGGTATCAAATTCGTAGTTTTTGTACTGGTATTGGAGTTTCAATGGGTATAATGGTATTATGATGAAGACTCCAAGAAAAGAAGAAAGGTTTGAATGAGTTTGAGGAGGGAAGGGCCAAGAGAAGGAGAGGAGTGTGGCCGAGGGGGGTTTATAGGATCGCGATGGAGGGGCGGGCCAGGGGACACGGCAGGCGTACAACCGGGTTCTGCCAAAAAGGTTTCATGACGTTGGAGAAGCGACGAGCAACCCAAAGACGTCATCAATGGTGTGCATCGACGGCATCCACTGTGCAAAAGCTTAGGTTACCCTGGCAGAGGAGAGCTACGGGCCTAGGGGTGTGTGGAGTCGCGCTAGGTGTACAGGGGGGCGCGTGCCGCCGGTTTCACGCAGCTGGTGCAGCTGTGCCAACTGCTGCAGTGCAGTGCTTCAATCGCTGACTTGATGGCACCTGGCAGCAGCTGGCAGAGAAGAACGCAGCTGGTGCAGCTGGCGGGCAGATGGTAAAATATAGCCATCCTCAGCAATTCTCACCACTTCAACATCAAAAACATGAAAAAAAATCTTTACGCACGCACGCTACGCTTGCTCCTGTTCGTTGCCAGTCCAAATTTCCGAAATGCAACTCGAGCCGCTCCACACTTCGCTTGCGATCGCCCATGGAGGTGCGCCACACAAAGAAAACCAGTGGAGACGGCCGCTGTAAAAGCTTCGCCATGATCGTGCGAGCGACCCAGCTCTCAGGCGACACGTCTCGCAGGCCGCCGGGTTAATTGCGCCGGAGACGAGAGAAAAAATGGATTGTGCGCTGGCCGGCAGAAGCAATTCAATGCACGATGGCTCCCCTACCGCACGAACACGCGCATCAACGGTCCACGTAAACGGCGCATGGCGTCTCCAATTGCCTTGGCTGGCTGCCCTGCTAAGCTGATATGGCGCCCCCATGGTTCGGTCTAGACCATGCGTGCTGCACGATCTTTCAGCAGGTTTTGCTCGCCTGCTTGCCATCTTGCCATGCACTGGGTGATGTGGCTTACTGGCGAGCACATTTCGAGATTTTCTTTTTTACGGAATGAGACTCATCAACCCATCGACGAATATGGCTGTCCATGTCTCTTTGCATAGATGGCCAATTGAAACAGCAATTCAGAAAGCAACCTAACCCAGCATTGTTCAACCGTCTCTACCCATACCACTCTAACATATTGCCCTTGGCGACGAATCTCCATCCCATTGGAATGGATACAGCAGCCTTTTGCAAGTGCGGGCCCCCTGGAACCATCCCGAAGCCCAAGACAGCGGCACGCAGAAGCGGGCCACCCACCTCATATGCGGCTTTCATTGATAGTTGCTATCAGGGTCTCGAGGTCCGCCTCTGCGGCGGTGCAGATTGGGAAAGGAAAAAAATGAAGAGATGGCTTAGTGCAATTGCAGCCTTAGATGGCAACCAGATGAATCTACATTACAATTTAATATTCATCTGTCTGCGCCCATGCAGTAAACCAGTGCCTGCGTCTGCGACTTCACATGAAAACAGTGTTGCTCCAAAGACAGCATGACGTCAACGATGTGTCCCTGGTAAGGTACCAGCCACTATCGGCACGCCTCTCCCCAGTCGCGCTACCATTGCGCAAGCCATCTGTGGCGGTGCATCGTTAGCGAGTTGGGGCTCTTTAGCGCTAACCTCTGGCGCTTCCTTGGTTCTGTTTAATTGATGCCACCAACCAGTTTCCACATGGTGCAGGCCTCATCCATCCTGCGTGTACCCCTGAAGCATCAATTCTTACGTTTTGGGCCGCAGTTTGGCTCTTTTGGGGTTACCGTAATTATATTCCCGAATTTGGTACAGATGGCATTAGGCCATCTAGGGAGATGCTACTCCGGGGTCTGAGAGGTAGCCGTGGAATAGAATTCAGACATATTGAAACGCCACATCAAGGGCGACTTTGGCCACGCAAACTTTGATCCGCTTCAAATGTGGTCTAGGGGCATGTCACAAAATTCTAAATCACCTTACTCATCGTTCGTTCGGTAAAAGACAAAAACCTCAGCGGTCCCGACTATATCGGGCCATAGAACCTGCTCTTGGACATATGTGGCGCATGCGCACTAGCCACAAACTTGGAACAGATCGACGCCATGATGCTTGGTTTCATCATGGCCTGCCATTGACAAGTCCATGACGTCGAAAGTGCATATTAAAGTTTAGCAACGTCTTTTTTATAACCGTGGCTCAACAAGAATTCAGCTACCCCTAGACGGTGGGCTTGATAGACGGTGTAGACCTTTTCCCTTCTTGGTCATCCTGACGCACCGACGACGAGCTGTCTGTTCTAGACCACCACCACCCTGGTGACCCCAGCGGTTGATCTCTATCGATTAACAACTTTGGAAATACCTGGTTTTTACTGTAGTATATTTTCGGAAGCTTATTATCCACTCTACAAAAGCTGCTCCATAACTTTGGACAAGCTTTTACTGACGTTCCGCGCCAAGCGCTGAGCTGCTACCCTACATGATGTATTTGCAGTTCCGGCAGCCCCTAATACAGCCCCCAATAGGCCTCAGTCGCTAATAAAAATCGTTAATGTATGCATATTAAATTGATTTCAACTCCGCAGGGCCAATTGCGGAGTTTGGTCTGATCCGCAGCCTACAATTCAAGCATATTGGAAGAAACGGGGATCCGGAGAGTGACACTGCCCCCGAGCTGATTAATGTCGATTATACGATGCAGGTCTCAACGGCGATTGGCGAGCCTTTTGTAATAACCATTAAAAAGAAAAATTACGATGCGACCAATTACAATTCCTAGCCCCCAAATGGATTTTTAAAACTGCTTACCCAAGCCAAATAGGGCGATTCTATTCTTTGCCATGGCCGACCACACGGAGAAATCGGACGGCACTATTGGTGGGTCGAAATCTCCGATGGCCGCCACCCAACTACCCTTTTAGACAAACAAAAAAGCTTAGCTTTCTTTGCTGTGACAACGAGACAATAAAAACCCAACTGATCCTCCGCGCGCCTTTTCATCCAACTCCTTTCCATTGCATCTCTCTAACAAACCATATACACACAACTACAGCCCTTCTCTCGAAACTCGCAACAATGTCCGAAGTCAAGGCCGTCACAGTCGACGCCTACGGCGAGCCCTCGACCTACAAGCTCACCAACATCACCAAGCCCGCGCTGGCTGACCCCACGGACGTGCTGATCAAGGTACACGGCGCCAGCATCAACCCGATCGATGTCAAAAAGGCCAGCGGCATCATGAAGGCCCTCAAGAAGGACTCCTTCCCCTACATCATTGGCTACGACCTGTCCGGCGTCATCGAGGAGGTCGGCGCTGAAGTCAAGAACCTCAAGGTTGGCGACGAGGTCTACTGCCGCCTGCCCGAGATGGACCGCGGCTCGTGGGCCGAGTACGCCAAGACCATGGAGAAGTTTGTCGCCGTCAAGCCCAAGAACATTGCGCTCGCCGATGCCGCCGCCATCCCTCTTGCTGCCATGACTGCGCTCCAGTCGCTCAAGAAGTACCGCGGCTCGCTCGAGGGCAAGACCGTCTTCATCCCTGGCGGTCTGAGCGGCACCGGCGCCGCAGCCTGCCAGTTGGCCAAGAACGTCTTCAAGGCCGGTAAGGTCATCACCACCGTCTCTACGGCCAAGGTCGCCAAGGTCCCTGAGCTTCTGGGTGAAGGCGTCGTCGACGAGATCATCGACTACACCAAGCAGGACCCCAAGGTGGCTATCCCTGCCAAGTCTATCGACTTTTACTTTGACAGCATGGGCAACGCGTTTGAGCACCTCGCCCTCATGAACAAGGACTCGTCCATCATCAGTGTCAACTCGATGCCCTCGGGCACCACCATGCAGGCTGCCTTTGCCCGCCAGACCCGCGACGGCGAGGCGATCCCCAAGGTTCCTTTCCCCATTAAGCTGATGCTTGACGGTGGCGATGCTCTCAAGCGCTTCCGTGCCAAGCGCGCCGGTGCTGAGTACATGTTTGTCTTCCTTGCTGAGAACGCCGTGGACCTTGAGGAGCTCCGTGGTTACTACGAGGAGGGCAAGCTCAAGCTTATCATTGGCGAGCGCGTCGACTTCCACGACATTGAGCAGGTCAAGAAGGCCTCTGAGCAGACCTTCAACGGTAAGGGTGGTGTTGGCAAGACCATCTTTGAGGTTATCAAGGGCGATGCTGCTGCTGTCTCTGTTACTGCTCCTGTTGATGCTCCCGCTCTCGCTGCCGCCCCCGTTGCCGAGGATGCTGCCACTACTGCTGCTGCTGCTCCCGCCAAAGAACAAGCTGTTGCCGCAGCCCCCGTTGCTTAAATGCAACTGTGTATGGAAAGAAGAATGTAATGTTTATGTGCGATAGATCTTAATACCCCGTCAACTTTAATCCTAATAATTCACTTTGTCACTTTTAAACCCCGCAGCCTTCCACGTTAATTGTGATAAAGTTCAAATTGAATTCCGTAGCAAAGACACCGTGGTCATCGCAATGCATCGTTAAAATAACAAGCCAAACGCCTCTAGTGTGATTCCTCGTCTCTTTTTATTCCGCCTTACCAAGCCCATTGAACAGCTTAGCCTTGACCTCGCCCGAAATCAGACCCATGCGCTCTTTGCTCGCAATCGTCTCGGCCTCACGAACAACCTTGGCAATCGCATTCTCGCCCTGCTTGCCTCCCGGAACAACCGACTGTCCACCAGCACCACCCAGGCCGCCGCCACCTCGTCTGCCCAGCATACCCGACGCCTCATTCACCTTGAGTCCCAGATCGCGCAGCTGCTTGGTGCTATACTCGCGACCCGTAAGCAAGGGGCTCTGACTCAGCGTCTGTACCCAGTACTTGTGCCAGAGCTGCTCCAGCAGATGCGTATCAAGCGTCGACTTGAAATGTGACACTTCGACGCTATAGTACCTGTTTGCATGAGCGCCAAACTCGGCCGCCTTGTCGAGAGGGACCGCCTGGAACCCATCGTCGGCAGTGCCGGCACCGTCGGCGTTGTAATCAGCAGGATATGTTCGGAACGCGCCAATGTCGACCTTGCCAGCAGAGATCGTCCTGTCAGGGTCCACCACAACGGCCAGGAAAGGGTCCTGGAATTGCTGTTGCATGGCCTGCGTGTCGACATCGATGCCAGAAAGCCAGCATCCGTAGCCGGGATGGCTGTGGTACCAACCGACGACGTTTTCCTGGCGGCCCTGTGCGCGGCAGAGGTCGAGGTACTCGATGAGGTATTCGTTTGCATCGTTTTGGGCGTTGACGCGGGTCTCTGTGCCCTCGACGGGGAGGCGGAAAGCATCCGTCACAACAAAGGTATCGCCGTCGGTGTAGCCCTGCATGAGGCCCATGACTTCGAGGATGCCGCCCGAGCGTGCGTGCATGGTCATCTTGATGAGGGCGACGGCGGAGATGCGGACGTGCTTGAAGTAGTTGGGGTCGCGGGCCCAGGGGCGGGCAGCCATGCTTGCGTTGCGGGCTTCGACATCGTAGCTGTAGAGGGCGTCTCGTTTCGGGTCGACAAGCTCGACGTTATTGTCCAATTCTAGAGAGGCGGTTGCGTTAGCATCAGGATGGTGATGCGGGGTAGAGATTGTAGTGTGGCATGCTGTAACGCTATTCTGTACAATGACGGAAGTGACTTTTGCTTACCCCATGATTTTAATGCCGTCTCCATCTTGTTCGTTTGCCCTCCTGCGGCGATGGATGGGCAGAAGTGGTGATGGTGAAGACGGATGCGAGGTTGGTGCGAGGCTTGCTTGTCACCTTGGTTCACCCCCCACATTACTGCCTTCTGCCTGCCTGGGGTGGGGGAGCGGGCGTGATAGAGAAGACGGCTGCATCCTACTAGACTGTTCCGCGTTTCTTCATAGCCAACTGTCTTCAGCACCAATTAATTTAAATATCCTATAATATAGCTGTATCACATGCTGATATATCAATACCGTAGCAAATTTCTTTCTACTAGTTCTCTAGTGGAGACGATGAGCTTTCTTAAGCGCTGCACATCGCGGGCGATGAACACCTGTATCAAGTAACAGCTAGCACTTGAAAATAAATCGTACTTTTATTATTAGGTCTACCTAGTCTCACTAAGGCCGCTGAATAACATCGGGGAAAACTCGCTGCCATCGCCTCATAAATCGCAGCAAAGTATCCAAACGTCCGTCCTTGGGAACGGCTATCATGCCCAACGGCTGACCATTCTTTTTCCATTGCCCAGTTGGAACAGCTGCATGTGCCCAATCTGCAAGAGCAAGATGGCGAATAATTGTGCTTTCGGATGTGAGAAGGATATCCAGTCCGCCAGCTGTCGTCATAGCTCCAGAAATCGCCTCCACGGCCATCCGACGCAGTTCAGCTAGCGCATCGTCTCTCTTTTTGGGATCAAGAGTTGTCTTGGACGAATTTATGAGCTCAGTTTGTGTGGAATATGCTAAAGAGAATTTGTCAGCTTATGGGGATATGACGCAGGGAAAACATGTTCCATACGTTCCGGCATGGCTCGGGACGCGTTCGCCTCGTTCCACTTGATGAGGTCGTTGAGATTGTGGATTTCAGTTCGTTTACTGAAATAGCTAGCAAACTTTTCGAACTGATGTGGGAATTCTTGGTCTGCACCGTATCAGTACAAAGGTCAGCTCCTAGACAACGACACTTACAGGATATGCTAAACATGCCCTCGCCATTGTATTTGAATGTCTCTTCTCCGGGCAAGCTTAACGAGCGTGCGACTTTGGCGCCATTTGCTTCAATATTCTCAAGCGATTCGTTGTATATGGCAAGCTAAGTTTGTTAGATTATTCTTGAGGCAGCTAGCCATGGGCGGATACTCACTACGTCAGGCTGATCCCACTTGCCCTTGAGCATGGACTCATGGACGCCCCATTCCGGTGACGTTGCCCCAATATTCCAGCCCTCAAATGGCTTCTCGGTAATGATATCAGCGTTTTTATTCACAGTTTGCGTGCCAGTCATGACGTCAGCGAGGGCGATCAAATCGTCGACATCGCGTGCAATAGGACCCATGGCATCAAAGCTGTCAGTCATACGAAAGAGACCATCCTCGGGTACCGAATCCATATGTAACTTGACCGAATAAACGCCATTTGCCATTCCAGGGAAGATGATGGACCCGGATGTGTCTGAACCGATTGCCACAGGAGTGAATCCAGCAGCGACACATACACACGATCCAGATGACGAACCAGATGCCTCCTATAGGGTGTTAGTATAGAGCAATGAACGTAGATAATTAAATACACACTGGCTGATCTTTTTCATCGAGCCCTTCACGTCGGTACGGAGATAGCGTTTGCCCTTGGACACCAGACCAGCCAATTGGCGTATTGTCCGATCTGCTCAATTAGCTACTGATGGCATCTTATAACACTCTCTTAACTTACTTGAGACCACAAAGCTCTGTCAAGTTGGTTTTCGCAACGACAATCATGCCAGCATCTAAGAGCTGTCATCCCAGTAAGCGCGTTGTCCGATGGCAACTGCATGTTTAACTTACCCGTTGGAGCAGGACAGAATTCTTGGTCGCGGTCATGGTATCCATGACACCAGAAGCTCCTGCAGAGGTGCCCATTCCCATAGAGGCATCATTAATCACAACATCCTGGTCATGTTAGTACAACGCATATCTACCCGTCGGGAGTACAGCATACCTTGACAACGATGGGAATCCCATGCAGCTTGCTTCGCACCTTACCCGCCGCCCTCTCTGCATCCAGGTCTTTGGCCTGTTTTATAATACTATCCCTTGGTGCGTGGATGACTATAGCGTTGCACTTGTTTACAATGTCGATCCGAGTGTCCAACAGACTTGCGGTTAAGTCTGCGCTGGTTAGCTCGCCAGACTCCAACTTGGCCCGCAGCTCGTGAGCGGATAGATAATGGATTGGCTTCGCCATTGCGACTAATATTTGAAGTTTTGATTATCTGAATATTTTTTCTTTCAAGCCTCTCTAATGGGGAGAGAGACCCCGGCGACTTTATAATATCTGACGCGGGGTCCCTTTTCCTGTAGCCTGGCGCAGTGGCGCAAACCAGGCTGCGCAGATCGACGAAAACACCAGGCAGACGAATAACAACGTTGATGCAACAAACTTTTCGTCACCACAATAGGCAATATCCGAAACCACACTGAGTTTAATCATCGCCTTCGACTTTGGCCGCGAAAGGACTTTGGCGTCGAAGTGCGCCTCCAAATGTCCAGAGCAATGCAACACCAGGCAATCCAATTCCCAATCCACAGAGGCCAAGCACGGTACCTGTCCATCCATACCCCAGCGCATTGAACCTATACGCATATTAGTAGTCTTCGATGGACGCTTTCATATGAATTCTCTTACACATATGGCGCAAAAAGCGGAAAAGAAAAGCCCGCCAAAGATCGCAGGGTAGCTACCGCGGCTATAGCACTCGCCGCCGAATCACCATAAGTGTCAATAATGTAGGCATTAATGCATATACTGCAAAGAACACCACCAGCCATAAAACAAGCAGCTCCAATATCAGGCATTATCCAAGGTAACTTATGCTCTGCGCTCCAGCCGTACCAGAACAACCCCACCGATAGCAAAACGGTTGCCGGAGCCATCATGGGCACGCGGAATTCAGGCAAGGTTTTCCCTTGGTGCTTCTTCTTGAGTGAAGCAAATATGCGATCATTGATAAGCGTGCAAACTTCACTGGCAAATGCCGTGCCCAGAGCCAAAGTTATGTAGTGTAAGCCAGAGATGGCCACATTCTGGTGGTAGACTTGCTGCCAGAGGGTTGGAAACGTCGCATAGAGAATGGCGACATTTCCAAAAAGGAATGCATTGTACACTGTCAAGACTTGAATAATCGGCTGGGTGAGTAATAGACGAGCTGCACGCCCCAGACGGGAAGAAAGACGATGGCGAATGCGCGTCAGCGCCTCGCGAGTCGTTACTGGAGGCGATTTGTTAAGACGGGCCTGTTTCCAACGCAGGAGAACCGGTGTATGTGTCTCCTCCAACAAGAAAAGTCCTAGAAATTGAACGACTGCATCCAGTATAGATGCTGCCCAAAATGACCAGCGCCATGAGACATGCTGCGCGATCAATCCTCCCATAATAGGTCCAATGACTGGGCCAAGAAGCGGAGCGACGCTGTAAATAGCCACTGCCTTGCCGCGTTCATCCGCTGTAAATAGGTCGCTCAAGGTTCCACCGCCTATCTAAAGTATTATGTAAGTATCCTTAAGCAAACATTGCATTGAGAGAAACGTACACCAAGGGTGGCACTTCCAAATAAGCCCGAGAGAAATCGCAGGATCAAGAGCATCGTCTTGGATGAGGCAGCACCACAAGCCGTATTGAAGACGAGGTAGATGAGATTCCAGCTTTGGACGACTCGGGTGCGGCCATATATCTCTGACATTGGGCTGGCTATCAGCGGGCCAAAAGCGAAGCCCAACATGAAGATGGACACAAGCATTGTCTGTTCCGCGGGTACATCGATGGCAAGGTCGTGGGATATAAGTGATAGCGCCGGCGCGACAATGGTGGAAGAGAGCGGACTCATGAGCACAAAGGACGACATGGCAAATACAGCCTTCCATTTCCGCATCATGGGCCACTTCTTTGGGTTCTCATGATCATCAAGAGTGATAGTGGTGGGCTAGGCAGCTAGTTAGTTTCACTTTGCAATAGCCGTGTGGATGCTGGTGACTATACAGATTCGTTGGCCACATCAGAGGTGGTAGATTTCGCTGTTTGATCTATGTCGCTTATAGATTGGCGTTCTTCATCGCTCACTACTGGACTCTGCGTTGTAGAAGCCATGTCTAAGTGAATCCACGGTGGGGTTATTGGGTCGGATGGTCAAGTATGCTATGTGGGAAACTCACCAGTGTATATGGAAAGAGAAATGCTTGATTTACTGGGACAGTCTTGCGTTTATACCGAAATCCCCACGGAGGATCAGATCATCTAACCCCATGTTACCAATCAAAAGTCCCTTGACAGGCTCGTTCTGTTATTCACAGGAGCCGACATCGCAGCAGCAACCCCACTACGGTGTGCTTCATACGCGGTGTGCGGACACAAAAAGAGTCAGTATTTTAATCTCTAATATGAGAGAATCGGTTAGAATTAAAATTTCTTTATTTTCTCTGCGCATGTTACCAGGGTGCAACATCGGAGCTGGCTGTCGGACTAGCGACCGGATCGGAGTGGATTCTCGGACTAAAGGTTCGGACTAGACCACGACGACGCAGAACTTGAACATTGGGCGGAGTTTTTGGGGAAATTATTTCATAAATTAGATATCAGACATTATAACTTTTCAATACGTGAGAGTTCCATTTATCCTTCGTTTATGAACTAATATAGACTGATTGGCCGTTACAGAGTGAAGAAGATATGAGCTCGTTTGTACACCTTTACTGTGACTTCAGTAGATTGCTAGAGTAATTAGCCAGCCTAGAATGTTCTGTATTAACAACATTTGAAAGGATCCTATGTTTAGCTACCTTCTCTTTCCCATTTCTGTTTAGCCCTCTCGAATGTTGTAATAGCGTGGCGAAGCGATTTTGCGTCTGCTCCGACGTCAATCTCCTCTCCCCTTTCCAAAAGATCCATATAGTAAATAGCTACGCCATATGCAGTACAATTTGCGTTATCGACCTGTGTCAAGGCATTCTTTAGCACAATATCAGGCTCACGTGCGGCCTCGTACATGAGCAAGTCGAGCGAACGAGAGCGTCCCTCTTCCACAGCACCATGAAAGACCGTGTTGCCTGTATCTGTTTGCGCGGAGAACAACGCCTCGATACGGGACCTATCTTCACCACAGTGCTTTAGCATTGCGTTGACAACATGTGAGTTATCATGAAGGACAACAGCAGCATACATAGGAAACAAGCAGGGTTGATCTTCGTGCCACTGGAGGGGATCAGCGTCGCGGCGCATGAGAAAGTCCACAGTGTCAATGCAGCCCGATACACATGCTTTATACAGGGGAGAGCTATCCTCGGGGTGTGCTGTGTCGACGGCCAAATCTGCATTCGCAGCTACGGGGTGCTCTAGAATTGCCTTGGCTGTGGCCCAGTAGTTTCCGTGCAAAGCCACGAGAACGGCTCGCTGCAGACTGTGCTCGCCCTTGGGCGATTGGCATTGGCGACATTTGGAAAGGTGCCGGGTCACGAGCTTGGTGCACCCCGAATATGCTAGAAAGACAAGCATACTTGTCTCGCCGTACATCATCCATGAATGAGGGGTGTCGTTGGGTTTGAAAGCTCTGTAATCGCGATGGGAATCGTGGCTCTCAAAGAGTTGTAAGAGTCTTTCGCTATCCCAACCGCAACTTTCAAGCAACTGAGGGCATTTCCATTCTTCATCAATGCTTGCTTCACCTTTTCGGATATGCATAGCCCAAAACAAGACCGCATACGGCAAGAAGAGGATACTCTTGTCGTCGCATTCGGTGTCAAGTTTATAGGTAACGGCACGCATGCAAAGCTGAAAAGCAGCCAGATGAAGTTGTGCCTCGGCATCGCCAGTTCCAAACCGACTGTCAAGGACACGGAGACCGGCATCTTCGATCAAGAAATCGCCAACAGACTTGTGCATGAGTTTGACAGCATTCATTCTGTCCCCAGAATAGTAGTCGAGCTCATAATCCTCGGCGAGTCCACCAGTGCGGTTCTTGATAAGCTTTTTCATGTCGTCCGGAGACCCCAAGGTTACGGGCACCCCTGAAGAACATTCTAACATAGATCGGATATGGGCTGGAGAAAGGGGACGCAGAGAGACCTGGATGATAAGTAGGAGGTCGCAGGTCTGTTTTCGGTCTGCTGGGAGAACCTGGCGCAGGAGATGTCCATACAAGCCGGACAGGTCATTAGGGAGCTTGTCAATGTACCTAATGAACTCTTCATCAGATCGATCGCTGCTGAACCCCATGTCTGCGATATGTTTAACCGCCTTATGAGCCCACATAAACACATTGGAAGCTCGTCTAGATAACGTCTTGACCATTTGGTCAAAGAGAACTGGCCGAGTCTGATCGAGTCGGCGGAAGCGCAGCATTGCGCTCAGCATCTTCTCGATGTCAGATTGATTGTAGGCTGCGATATCAATTTTTTGGACGTTAGGGCAACGGTCCGCAACATCAAAGGATCGTGCCGTTCGCGCTGAGAGACAAAGACGAATGCATCTCCCTTCCAGTGTCTCGTAGAAGAAAGTAGGCAGGCTCGGCATATTTGGATCCATGCACTCGTCAGCAGCATCAATAAAGATGAAAAGATCGCGACAGGAAAGATGATTGAGAACAGATATGATAGCCTTCCATATGCCATCCTGTGACCATGATTTGCCATCCTCGCAGCGGTATGTCAGAGATGTCTTCTTCACATCTGCTAGTTCTGGGTAGGATACCCTTTCTAGAAGTTGAAAGAGGAATGATTTGTACATGCTGATCTCCGATTGAATACTGACGTTGCCATCCGAACGTCCATCAAAGAAAAAGCATAGTAGCGGGAGGCCATGCTCTTTACAATCGTCAACCGCGGCTTTCATGACGTATGACTTTCCAGATCCTGGTTTTCCTTCTATAAGGAGGATTTTCGATCTTTGAGGAGTTTGATCCTCTTTCCAATGGATATAATCCGAATTTCGTAGTATCCACTCACAAGTGCCTGCATCAGGTTCTGAAAATCGACAACCAAGACTGTCTTGCATATTGCCCTGACCTAGCGTGATTCGACATTCTGTCCTATCATCAGCGTCACAAATATTGAGAGTGGACAAGATAATTACCCTCTAGCATATTTCTATGTTTTAATTTCATTTCTTATACGGTAGCAACAATAAGTATAACTGTGTAATAGAGAGGTCAGGGGGACGGTATCACTTCTGCTTACCCTGTTGCTCGGTTGTCCACACATCTCTGACTAGGCCAACGAGAAGACGGCCAACCTGCTTCCACTCGCTTTCGTTTCGGCTTCGGAACTTGACCATATCTGAATGACCACGCATAATTGCAGCCTCTTCATCACGAGAACGAGGCGGCGCAGCCGAGGTCGCCGTTACAAACAACTCTTTTGTCTGACCCTCTATTAGCTTTCCAGATTTGCCCTATATACAGATTAAATAGTTAGTGCTGCTATAAAACATTGGTTAACGTGGGACAAATACCTTCTCTAGCTGTGCAGACCCTTCTGTCTCATAAATATCACGGCGGTGTAACTTGTATTTAACATTGGCCAGCAGCGTCGCCAAATCCAAATCCATTTGTCGAAGGAACTGTGAGTTTCGATGACTCAGAGAGTCCAAGAGTACGTCATTAAATCCAGGGCCAAGTTCAGCTTTCAGACGATCCATGTTCATGCCGTTGTGCGGAACTCCAAAGTAGGCGACTCCGCGACAGGCGTGGAAGAGCTGTACAGCCTCTGCGTTCGAGCTTGTTCCTAAGAAGACAAGAGCCTATCTTGTTAGATATCCATTTCTTTTTCAAAGAAAGACACCGTCAACATACCTTCTTAATAACCAGTCCACCCATGCTGTGACCAATAAAAATGATTGGCCTGGGCGCTGCGCCGTGTTTTCCGCGCAGTTCGGCCAGGCTCTGACTCAATGTGAGAGAGATTGTACTGATGTCTTGGGTACTGTCCTTGTCCAGCAATGACGAAGGATAGCCATACAAGATAATTCGAGCCACACCAAGGCCATTATATTTTAACTCTTGTGGCAACGCATCTCGTGGCCACATATGGTCGCTGCCTTTCCCTTTGAATGACCCGAAGGCGTGACCACCGAGTCCGGGTACAATGACAATACTATTTTATATTAGTTTTAGAGCAATTCAGAACTTAAAACTGATACATGGAGATCGGACTTACTCGATTTGATGTGACTCCTCTGGCGGCGTATATAAAACCGTCAGGTCAAAAAAGTCGCTGTCCAGGCTCAACGAATGTCTTTCAGTAGTATATGTGATACCTCTATTAAGGTTTTGTAACTTCAAAGGCGTCTGATCAAAGGTGACCAAAGCATCGTTCGTTTCTCCTCGAATGTCTTTGACGATGGAGTGAACAGAGACTGCATTGAGCTCGGTATCGAAGTCGGCAGCTAGCTCCTCTTGTAGCGTCTTCTTATTCCAGTCGCCAGGGACAGTTTGGACACGAAAAGTGATGGTCTTGTGGGAGGAGAGCTGACCAGAAGATGGCTGACGACGGTGTTGGAAAAGATAGAAGAAAACTACCACAGTTAAGGTAGCTATTGTACCATAAAGGATGATCTGGTATGTTGTTGACTGCATGGTTGATATTATTGTATTCTTGAGGTTTACTGGATTAGTGTGTAGTAAGAAATGTAGCTGCAGCATCTGCAGAAGAGGGAGGGTGGGTGTCCAGCATATTTATGCGGGCGTAACAGCCTGGTTTGGTTTTCTCCCACAGACGAAATTGGGCTGACATGGCCCCTGAGTGTCGTAAATAGTCTACTACCCCCCTGTGACACATTATGCATTCTCTACAAGCCACTTGAGCCAAATATTACATGGTCTTAGCTGTCTAGTACAGGAACCCATTCTCTTCTGACCGTCCCGTGGCTCACAGACAGAGGATGTGGTCCCGTGGTCTCCCATGTACATATTGCTGACATGGTAGGGAAGAAAGAAAATACCATTGATACACTACATATAAAGAAACTAACTATTGCTACCATGTTTGATCCCATCTCCAACTTACAGTAGCATTATATCATAATACCGGTAATCTCGTGTTCATCAACGCTATATCATGCCCAGTCCGGTCAACACAAGTACATCCCTACTAGAAGACTCAAAAAGATGGTACCAACAACCCTGGACCCCGAGCCAGAAGAGTAAGTGGAGAATTTGGTAGCGGTGCTCGCTACCGTAGCATCGGTAGGTGCATATGTACGGAGAGCCGACGGTATACCGGTCGGTATGGCAGTTGCTGTCTCGACAGTCATATCGACAGAGGAAGGGAGTACCGATCGGACAGTGCCATCATCGTAGACGGGATATTGGCTATAATCGCCTGAAAGATAGTCCGCTCCGTCAAACTGGCAACCCGTGGTGCCACGAAAGTATCCATCCTCGTAAATAAAGTAGCAACCTTTATCATGTCGTTTGCTGTGCGACGACTTGAATCTGGCGGGTATCTTAGCTCTGCAGCTGTAAGGTGGCATATTATCAAGGCTGGTTTCATTGACAAAAGCCGGCGTATAGCGGTCTGCGCGATGAGGAAGATAGCCGAGAACACAGTTTTGAAAGGCCACCACGAAGGCTGGGCTTAGGTTCTTGGCACATACGCAACCCTGAAAGTTTGATGTTTTGGTATGATGCCCACAGTCGCGGATATTGGAGATGAAGCGTGTATTCTTGTTACCAGAACACATCTCTGCTGCCATTAGCAGGACATCGCGGACTCGAACTTCCGTTTTGCCATCATTTTTGCTCGGCAAATAAGGAAGATCGTGCTCGTCATGGGCAACGTTGACGATGCTGAGCTGATCTTGGTAGCTATTTTGTATAGCCTTATCGGACAATACATTCTGCATTGGATTGTCCAGCAGTAGATGAGCAACGGAATTCCTTTGAATCAGACAGATAGCAAAGTATTGGTTGCGGAGAACCGGAGAGAGTGTTGTTTCTCCAGCGAGTTGAGTACAAGTGTATTTGTATCGAAAGTTGTGAAAGTCTGTTTTTCCAAATGAGAACTCAGAGCCCTGGCAAACAGGCAATAGTTGAAGCCAACCAGCAAGCAATGCAAGTGTTGAGGTCTTCATTTTTGAGATGGAACAAAAAAGATGTAGGAAATGATGGTATGGGGACGGGACGGTTGATGTGTCGGTCGTTGTCAATGGACGCCCTAGTCTAAAGCGCGTGTGCCCTAAAGCTCTTTAAATAATTCCCAACACTTGTGTCCCTGTCATGTTCTCAGAAGAGATGCATCACATAGACTGAACCCAATAGACTTACAAGGTTCCGTTTAGTCAACACGTCCTTACCCATGCCGTGTGGGGTGTTGGCTGATACGGCAGTACCAAGCCACCGGTGCAGGGCAACGGGCGCTAGCCTGGCCTGCTCCTAGTTCCCGCGTGGCATGCGGGAACTAGGAAAGTAGCCGACACAGCGATCCTCATCGCGAGAAATACGCTGGACCGAATCTGTGCGGGAGGGGATGCCCTCATTTCCACCCCGGGTATGCCGTCAGCCAATCCCAGGCACTGAGGAGCGAAACCCAGGGGCCCTGGTCCGCAAAAGGCTTCCAGAAGGCCTACGGCTCTGTATAAACAAGGCTGTAGACCGTGTTTCAGTCCCTCTCAGCCGCAGCCGCCTCCTGCAAAATGGAGCACAATTCTGCGCCCAAGGTCACTCAACCATGGCTGCTATAAGGAGACATCACCCATGACCATGGGGCAATATTGGTTTCTGCATGGAGAGAAAAGGGGGAGGCTAGTAAACGAGAGGCGGGATCTTGATCATAGTGTGCGAGGCTACGCGCCTAGACGATTTGCGGGCAACATGGTGGTCAGCAGGAACAGGGACTTCACCACCACCACGCTCGGCACTTGCAACTATGCCAGAGTCCGAAGTGGTTTTCCAGAAATTTGGATCTCCGAGGTGTGGCCTATCAAATCTGTCTATCCTGAGCGAGGTAACCATTGCGACCGGCAATGGTGCTTCATCGGGATGTGGTGCAATGCAGCAGAGACGACCAGTGAGCCTTGTGGCAGAAAATAGACGAGCAGGTGCGCCTAATCCTAGCACCGCCACTGTGAGTATCGCCCTGCTTTGCTGAGGTCTAAGCCATCGCCAGCCTACACCATTCGCCACATGATGGTTGATTTCTAGGCAGACAAACAAGAGTTGCTAAAGACGAAAACTTTGCAGTGGGCGAAGCAATATGTGATGAATTCAAAACAACATTGTTTCGCAACAAGATATCTTTGTACGTGCGCACACAACACCTCATCGCTTTCTGTTACTAAAATATCCCGTCTTGCACCTATGACAGCCGGTAACCCCGTGTCTATCAAGACCCTCAGTGTCCCTGTAAGCTCTTCTCTCTTCAGTGGAGTGTCAGAAAACCAGTCTAATGAACGAGCAACCAGACGGCACCCCTTGCTCCCCCATTTTCCGTCCGTCCCCTTGCTCAAAATAGCCAACCAAGAGGACCGGCTGACTTACACGCGCTACTTCCCGCGTCGTATCGCGGAGAAGATGACAATGTTATTGCCTCCAGCCATGGTATTATGGCTTGCATAGCTCAGGAGCTTGATTTGAAGCGTCTGAGCAACATTCAGCAATACCTATGGCGTGCTGGCGTGCCTCGGCCGCCACGACCCCTGCACCGCCAGCTCCTTCTTGGCCGGCAGATTGTCATTACAGAACAGATGGATATGCATCTTGTCTGGACGAAAGGAAAGATATTTCTAAAGCCAGTCCTACGGTTCTTGCTTGAGCCTACCTTTTGGTCAGCATATCTCAACTGTCAAACTTGCTGTGTACCGAACAGAAATCCCTTCCACCCCAGCCAAATATCTTGCAAACGTCGGTGTGCACTAGGCTTTTTATACTCTTACACAGCGTTGATAACCCATGAGAGTGATTTCCGCGTTGCGCAAGAGAAGGGTCTTCTTCCACTAGAGATGGAGTGGTCGGCATGGAGGACCCTCGTCTACCAACTCAATGTCGAGCACATCCACCAGCGCATCGACTACCGTTTTATCCATGGAGAGCTTCGTCTGAGCCGCCTAAACGAGATTTACTACTTTTACAAGACCCCTCTGCGTGGGTATATGCCTAGTTGGGATCGGTACAGTGCCTTTTTCCAGTACCACTTTACTTGGCTTGCTAGTACCATTGCCTATATTGCTATTGTGCTAACCGCCATGCAAGTTGGACTGGCTACTGAGGTACTAGCTCATAACGATGCGTTCCAGTCTGCTTCCTATGGGTTTACAATCTTTTCCATCCTGGGTCCACTGGTTGCGGTGGCGTTGATTGTGATATACTTCTGTGCGTTTGTTATATTCAACTGGATAAAAGCTGCCACCCGAATGAAGAAGAGATTCTCGAAATTGGATTGCAATCAAAGATAAATATTATTGAATTTGACACTTGAGAGCCTGGATATTTTGACTCTGGAGATGAAATTCCAAGTGGATATACACAAGTTCCTGTCAGGGTCACGTAATGCAACAGCCGCAATGTCGTTAGCAAGGAAATATATGACAAGTTTTGACATTATTAAAATCAGAGTAGGAGCTGAAAGTAAATACCGTTTAGGTGCTATACTTGCACTGCCTCCCAGCATTGACCTGGCCGACAGTCACTTGCTTGAAGGACTCTTGGAGCATACAGACGTAGCTGCGGATGACGTATTAGCTTGAAATAAATGCAATAACCCGCAATTCCTTGCGGTGCAGCAATGTAGCAGTGCATAAATCCATTGCGATCGTAGGCTACCGGTTCTTCAGGTGTAACAAGCCACTGCTGCCCTCCTCGACACAGGGATCTAAGGGGACACTTTTGTCTCCAAGTTGCAGAGTAAACCCCAGGAAATCCTTGCATATATCCGTGAATAACCGTGCTTGCGAACATTTGGTCGCTAAGCCTGCTGTTGGGACAGGTGACCACGTCATGCAACGTCACAATTCGAAGCTGTGTAGCTCGACTAAGTGAGTAAGCTACCCTCGCCTATGAAATAGCGGGTTAATATCGCGCAGAACTTTCAGACCTTTGAGTTTACAACTTACTAGATCCGTTGAATGGCAATGAAAAGACACTTCTTTGAGCAAAGGCAGGCCAGCAACAAACATGTCCACTGCCCTGGTTGATATCAGCGCCGTTGGATCTCGCGATAACTCGCCGATGAATCGGGCGAAGCCCAAGACCTCCAAAGCCGTATGCTGTAAGATACCAGAAATCATATCTGAAGATATGTCTCTACCGGCGTGACCTGGGCCGTAACCTGGTGTTATGATCAACTCTTTGAGCGTGTCAAAGGATAAAAGAAGACGCCCCAGTGTTGTCGAAGAATGCAACGAGCCATCTTGTTGGGCATCTTGAAGATCATTCCCATGTGGAGGTAGAGGAAAGCTGAGGTGTTCAAGTTGCAACTGGCTGCCTAGCCGAGTAAGGCATTCCAGGAGCGGCAATGTAATGTCAACATCGTCATTACTCTGATGGAAAAGGCTAGGAACAGGACTGGGTAAGAAACGAAGCCTGACTAGCTGCCTAACGTCAATCATATGTAGAAATCTTCTGAGAGTGGAGAGGTCAGTTCTACAATTGTTAATGCATAGATGCGTGAGGGCCGGAAAAGGTGCCATGCTTGAGCAGATTTTGGGCCAGCCCAACTGAACATAATGCAGTGAGAGTCTCTGCAATGTCGAGTAAGAATTGAAAATGAGGCCATTAACAAATCGATTATGGCCGAGTACCATCTGGGTTTGAAGGCCCAGGTGCGTTAAATTTGAGATGGTTGAAGCCGCAAATTCGTCATCCCACCAGTCGATATTTACCCAAAGCGAGGTCAGGCTTGTTCGAGAGGCTAGAGCCGTCACAATGGAGCTATAGATATTAATATGGACACCTTATATCAAAAAGATAGGAGAAACATACTCGGTTAAAAAGTAAGCCACGACGCTTTGAATAGCATCCATGGCGAGGATCGCTTCTTCAAGGTACTGTTCTATACCATGCTGGTCCAGAGGCTCACAGGACACCGCTCCTATCCGCAGTGTTCGAACCATAGACGAAAGATTCTGTGGAAGACGCTGGATAACAGGGGGACGCTCGTCTATCCACTGTGCTACATCCCGCATTCTGCGCCTGAGCCTCTGGCGCTGTTCCATACTGAGGAGGGGCTGCAAATTTCTAATAGTGTAGAACAAGGCTTGGGAATAGTTCGGCTTGATAATGAGGTGACGATAGAGCCGTCGAATAGCCACATGATATAGTATGCGACATGTTTCCGCGAGGCATTTCAGCGTAAACATGCATCTTGTATCAGCCAAGACGGCACAGATATAGTCAAGAACTTCATTTGGAAGCCTCATCAGGAGAGATGCTCTAGGGGGAGGGGGGATTTCGGTGTGCATTTTCGTGCGATTGGAGACGGTAACTTGAAAAAGATGTCTTTTACTTTGGGCTCACAGCTACATGGGGTGTGTATTTATTTGCCTAGTCTTACGAAACCTAATGAATATTAACTCTAATAGTAGTTTATTAAAATGTTCTAGGAAATAAAAACAATTGTAAGCTATGACAATGCGAGTAACTAGAGTTCAAGAACTAACTCCAGTGCAAAGTTAGCACGAAGCGCGTCAGCAGCAGAATATGTCGCGAAGCTTACACCATGAAAACTTTATGTGAGAACACTGGTTCCTGACACAAAAACTATTAGCACCGTCGCATACCTAGAAATATTAACGGTTTATCCAAGTGACTCTGGCAAGTGACTTACGTAGCCCCCGCCAGTATCAGGTCCTTTGTCTTTACCCTGACCAACCAGGAGAGTAGTAGAAGATAAATGACAGTAAAGATCATAACAATGACCAGTCGAGCGGATATGTTGCTGAATAAGTTGCAGATCATGATTGGCAGAAGAAGAATCAGGCAGACGGTCGAAAGAAGAAGCACGTAGGCGGTGCGTTTGACCAGAGTGCCGGGATATATGTAAATATTGCTGTCATTAGATCGGAGCTGAAATTGATGCTGTCGACAAGTTAGCTTCTATTTTTCTCACATACTGGCGTACATAACCGTGATAAGAATGTGAATACTACCTTTAGAGAGTCGCTAGAAATTCGCATGAGGCCAGATTCCACCCAATTACCGAGCTGTATCATAGCATCGTCATCCTCGGCAGCAAGTGACATGAGCTCTTCATGGTGCGAGAGATAGGCCGTCTCTTCTCTAGAGATACAACCAGTACCCTGCAGCCAGTTTTGTAAACTATTCACATCCCTGGTATGTGCAGGGGGTATGGTTAGTATCTGTTTTGTTTGCGTCGCAAATTTGTCTATAGCATTGTCATAGTTTTAATTTCTGCTTTTATCGTAATACCATGAAAGGTTGACATCGGGTGGGCTTCTGTTGACTTACCATAATCGTTAATACAAGACTCTATATCTGTCAATATTGCCGCTCGTTCCTCGTTCGCATCATGGCGACTCTGTCCTAGAAATAATACTCTCCGTTCATGGCTGTCGATCTCGTTCAGCTTCTGCTCTAAATCAGTGAGTCTGTCCTGCTTAAGCAGCAAGAGTCGCGCCCGAAGTTGTGTAAATCTTCGCAATATGAGAAACGGATTGTGCGCCGATATGAGAGCAGTGAAACGAGGATATCCTGGTCGAAAATCTTCGATGGCTTGGATATTCAGCCTTGATCGCTCGCGTTCGAGGTCCGCATCAGGCTGAGAGGAACCGTCCGGTCGGACAGTTGGGAGTTCGTCGTCTTTAATGCTTGATGGCACACGTATCAAGCCCCAAAGCTGTGTAAATGAAGGTAAAGGCATAATGAGATACGCGAGTTACGTTATACGGTAGCACGGCTGAATTTACAAACATCATGTTTCTGATCAAGTCTGAATGCAGAGTACGTCAACTGAACCCAGAACAGCGCAGATCTGGTAAGCCGCTGGGGCAACTGTTGTAGTGCAGACAGCACATAACATGAGCCCGCAGCCTGCATTATTAGCACATTACAGCCCAACTTGGAGTCAAATAGCCTGCAGTCAATATGCAGCACAGCCACTGACGAGGCGCGCAGCGGCCTTGGGTTGAGAAAGGCGATCATGCGGGGTTGGGTGCCTCGCTTGGTGACTTGCTAAGCACTCAGTATATATTTATTAGCGTACTGCGTCATTTAATATTATTTTCTTTTGCAGTTACTTTTGGATTTTCATACGTATAGATAAACAAAAATGCAATACCCAGAACAGTTAGTTGCCTACCTTAGAACTGCATCGCAGCTTGATGCTGCTGCCGAGCGTGGCTGACAGAAACAAAACAGCAGTAACCAGGAGTACGGGAATAACAGTTACATCACCGATGCTGGTGGCAGACCATCAATCCTGAAATATCCTACTGTAAGTGCTGCGAGATTTGGTCCAGCTTGTGCGTGATTTCTTTTGCTAACCAAGCAACATTGCAACAGAAACCGGAATATATTGTCGGAGACGATGTTTATTTAATTAACGATAGCGGGTTCCGTGAAGGGCCCTATACGATCTCTTCAGTCATATCGGCTTCAAAGTATACTCTTAGTCAAGTTAATGGCACACCCATCCGGAATGGTGATGCGATAGACGCCGAGTCCATTGAAAAGAAATGAAGCTAGCGTCTTTCTTTAATATAATGTAATCATAAACTTAGTAGTTACTTTCTTTTCACGACCTAATCGACGATTGTTTATCATGTTTTAGTGAGGCTATCTCCCTATGCATGAAGCAATGCAAGCACAGCCTCTCCTCTTCACCTCACTTTCCACCGCCTCTTCTCACGTCGAAGCCTGTTCGACTTCTCCCCATTTATACCCTCAACAAATCTACAGCAAATAATTACTACAAATATTGACTTTAAATCTTCATTATTCACTCTTTGCTAGTAGCCATGGGAAACTATGCCATTCTTATTGGTATTGACCAATACACTTTTGAACCTCTCCGGGGAAGCGTCCGCGATGTGCGCAGATTTCATCGCGGGCTTCAGCAGATAGATCCTACTATGGATATACAGCTTCTTACAACGGCAACTGGGAGTGATACACCCGTGGCGGACACTGCTATGGCAAAATCTCCCACATACAACAATGTTGTTACTGCTCTTGAGTCTGTCATGAGATCAGCTGGACAGGGTGACTTTGTCTATATTCATTTTTCTGGCCATGGTACCTGTCTGAAGCCCACTGCCAAGTTCTCAAACACAGCCACCGGTGACCTTGCTCTGGTGTTACTTGAAAGTGAAACAGACTTTCAAGGGAGATGTCTGGGAGGACCGCGGCTGGCGACTATGCTAAACACTCTCGTCCACAGCGGTGTCGTGTTGACCATCACTCTCGATTGTTGCTATGCAGGAGCTGTCTACCGTCATGATGACGATGAGGATGACCTGGGAACACGCTGTTTGCCCTTCACGCCGGCTATGTATGCGCAATATTTAGAAGACAACTACGCTGCTGACGTGTATTTGGACAATACCAACCGTGCTGGCGAGATGCGAAACGGTTCCTTGCGCTCGAATTGGCTCCTTGATCCGGCGGGATACGTCATAATTTCCGCAAGTGGTATGCTAGAGAAGGCACGTGAAATTCAACTCAACGGCGAAATCCACGGGTCTCTCTCTTTCTTTTTGGGCGAGGCACTCTTCCAACTCAACGGATTAAAGCTGGAGCTGGGGCATGTCTTCAATCACGTTCGTGCCAGATTCAGTGAACATTCACTCCTTCAGAATCCGACGTTGTATGGCAACAGGCATGGAAGACTACTGCAACTCAGCTCACATACTCTGGATATACCGACCACAGCTATATCGGTTATCGTCCGTAGAGACGGCTCGCTTGAACTCCAGGCCGGTCGTGCGCACGGTGTTGGTGATGGCGATACGTTCTCACTCCACAAGTTTGGCCACCAATTGTCGCCCTCCTCTGGTACATCAACCCAGGCAATCGTTCGAGAGGCAAAAGCTTTAACAAGTCTACTCGACTACATTGTTGACACTGAGTCGGCGTGCAATGAAAGCTCCGCCAAGACAAACTTGATTGCCATCCCCATCAAAACAACAGGCCTCAGCGAATACCCCGTTCGAATCTATCCCAAACCAAGTAATTCTGAGCATAGAGTGATATGGCAAGATGAGCTACAAAATCGATGTCTCAGTTCTGTTGAAGACCAATCGCTCCCTACTACATTTCATGTTTCTTTACAATACCAGCAGCAAATACAAGAACAGCTACACATCGAATTTCTCATTTCTACACCCAACTTCCCAGCACTCCAACCAGTTTCCGACACAATCATATGTCAAGATTACAAATCAGGAGTTGCACAGATCTGTGACACTCTAGTACATATGGCTCAATTTATGATGGTCAGAGATTTACACAACCCTCAAATGATCCCCGGAACTAGCCCCTTTCTGAATCTGTTTTCGGTTTATATCGAAAACAACGGTCAGCATAAACCAGGAAATTTAATAAGGGTACAACATGAAAACGAGATTCAACTTCTTTTGGGAAATAGGACTAACCACAGTCTTTATTTCTACGTTTTTATTCTAACCCCAGGCTGGGGAGTGAAAAACCTATGTGCTGGAAGAAACACTGAGGTGACTCGTTACCGCACAAAGACACTCTCGCTTAAAATGAGTGTGCCGGTGGAGCTTCAGAATGCACCAGTTTCGCGTTGTCAAGACAATATTAAAGTGTTTGTCACGAAACAATCAACATCGTTTGAATCGTTACAGCTTCCTGATTGGCACCGACTCCCTGCTACCAACGAGCCTGACAACAGCCGCTCTGGCGGAGGAGATGCAGAATCAAAAGACTGGGCTGCTGTTTCGTTTCCTATTGAGACAGTCTATGGATCATCCGCATAGTCTGCATGGCTCAAGTACGCGAAGCAGAAAATCATCGATAGTTACACAAGCCATACAGTAGTAAAGAATGCACTGATCTCAATTTGTAAACGCTAGTCGGTTTTCGTAATTTATATACCAAAGTGGACATAAGGAGCCCAATGCGCACGTGGAAGATTATCGTCACCATTTTCATCCTTGACCGCTACCAAAGTGACATCTCGGTCATGTTTGCATTCTCCAGTGTCGACACCCTTACCTTTTCCATGGTCAAGCCTACCGCCTTCTGGCTGCTTGTTTCTGATTGCGTCTCCCACTACCGTAGCCCTGGTAGACCCTGCCGTAGCACATTGGCTTACCCATTCATCGCGCAATTCCCGCGTAGCAGTATGAAGCCCCAAACAGACAGACTCATCGCTCATTTCGTGGTCATTCATCGTTTGATATGTCAACCCGGCCATGGCAACACAGGTAAAGTCTTCTACCTCCCACAAGGTACCAATAACATGTTGGAATCCTGCAAGCTGGAACGCACTAATCAAGTGTATACTCTCGTCAAAGTACTTGTGGTCTTTCACAAGCCCAGTTCCGCACGCAGAGAGATACGCTAGGAAAGGCGAATTCTTCCATAAGCTCATACCCAGCAAATATTCCACAGAAAAGGGCGTATCTAGATAGTCTTGGAGTGCTAGATAACTTTGCGATGGATCTTGAGGATTGGTACACCCGTGGCCGGCAAAATGAAAAATGTCGCAGTTTGGGAGTAGATTACTCACTCCTTGCTTATCCGCAGCCGGCCGAAACGTTTTGATATCCATAGTGTCACAGAGGGATTCTACGACCGCCGCCTCCTCCGCAGCGAATTGAAGTGGCTTGAGTGCACCTGGTGTATTCTCCATGGCGATGAGTACGGCAGATTTGTCTGCGCGGGATTGTTGTGGTTTCGCCCGATCGCGGCTTCGAATAAGCGCCGTAATCGAAGGACTGTAGGATGACATGACCCTATCTATAACGGTAGCTGAAGACCCGTTGAGATGATAGCCCGCAGCATGCAGCGAGAATCTTGTCAAGGGTCCTGTTGGAATCCACCAAACACGAGGCCAGCCTTCACCAGCCGCTGGAGATTCCGTAAATCCGAGGAACTCCAATACAGGACTCACTACAGCATCCCACAGCCATTCTAGAATGATAGGACTCCCTAATTGAAATTCTTCCTCGTATGTCTTAAGCATACACATGTGAAGAAATGGCAGCTCCAGTGCGTCAATCTTATCGTCACGCACAATTATAGCATGGCCGCCAAGCAAACTGACGTTGATGATGACAATGGTTCCTAAACCTGTGAGAGCCAACTTTGTAGGACGCAAACCAAAATTTTCAAATCCCGGCTGCTGACGAATCTCCTCTAAAACAGCATCCAAGCTCTGCTCTGACTCTGCACGAATCGCTCTTTTTTCGTGGGAAGCCACAATAAACTCAGCAGTGTTGTGCGGTCGATGCATTTCCTGAACGGCAGTAATTTGATGCACCAAGTCACGATTTTCAACATATCGTTGGGCAAGATATGGGTGTTTTTGTTCCAACTTCTGTACATCTACATGCATGCCCTCCAGATAACTGGCCAGAATCCCACGGCCATCTTCAAGAAACGTCACCGCCTCAAAAGGGTCGTTTTGCTGGTTGAGAACTGCGGCGGCTGCCATAGAGGCTATCCCGAACATGTGCCCAAGGATATACTGCTTATCATCTCTTGAAAGTGTTCTCGTCATCAACCCACGACAAAGCGAAATAACAGTCCTTCCAGCCTCGCATACACAGTCCCAGGATTCTGCTACACCACAAAGCTTCATGTATCGTTGACCAAAGTTTATATGTACAATCGGCAATAAATTAAGAGAGCCTAAGCATTCTTTATAGTGCGCAATGGCCTCCCGGAGGCTCTCGGCATCGGCGACGTGTCCAGGATGAGGGTGGCAGGAAGCTTTCAACGATAGGGCTTCTGCAAGCGATCCAAGATGAACCATATGATTCAAATCTTGTCCGACGGTTTTCTGTAAGCCATGGCGTCCTATTGCTATGCATGTCTCGAGATCTTCAGGGGCTTTTGTCTGCCGAAATTTGGTCATAGAGATATGCATGAGGTCTAGGTAGAGAGCCTCAAAGACCGGGTCATCGAGCGACATTTCTTTCATCAAGTCTCTGAGGATTTGAGCTCCGTTCTCTAAGTCGTCTAACTGCTCAAGTTTTCCAAACTTTTCAAGATGATCGCCTTGTGTCGCTAGAAATCGTATAGCATAGTGACTGACAAGCTCTTTCGCGCAGACTGATCTTTTTGGGGCATCTTTCGGATACGATTTTAAAGCTTGTGTCCCGAGCTGAATAGATTCATCAATATCTTTCATATCCATGGTTCGTGTAAACCGTCTGGCTAGAAACCCACTCAGCCGAGTCATGAATCCAGCTTCAAGAACACGGTCATCTGGCGAGTCCCTGAGAACTTGACGCTGCAGTTCAATAGCCTGATTTATATCATCAATTAACCCAGTTCTTTCAAACCGGAATTGCAAACAATCTGCAAGCTGCTCAACTACACGATAGTACGCCATAGTATCCCTCGCCGTCAGTGGCACAGCGTCTTCCAGCAGTTGCATTGCCTCACTAAGATCATTCGTATTCCCTCTCAAGGCGTACCGTAAGACAAGCTGAAGCGATGTCATATGCATAAGGTTTGACAACTTTATGTTACCGTCGCTTGGGTTGGAGCGGATATTTGCCAAGACCTCCTGGGACATCGCTAGAGCCGTATCCAGATCACTATATATCTTCTTGGATCTGTATCTTTGAATGTGAGCCACAGCGAGATCTCTTAAGCTCTCATTGTAATCTTGATCACCTTTTGATGACTCGGCAAGTTTGCAGGTCATGTAGCTGATGGCGTGATCAAGAACAATAGGATTATCTCCCTTCTCTACTGAATTGACCAACAATTCATGGGTTCGTACAAGGAGGCGGTGCTGCTGCGCCTGCGTTTTGAAGGGGCCTGGTATGGACTCTGCCGCTATTGCCGTAATTTTTGCAAGCTCAGTCTTAGGAGTTCGCACCGTTTCTGTTGTCTCATTTGTACTTCTCCCAGTTTCGTTGAATAGACTGGTCAATTGGCCTCTGGCTAGTGAGGCCCACGCATGACCTAGCTCACTATTGTCGGCAAATTTGATCATTCGTATATGCCTTGCATAACCTTTGATCTTTTTGCCATCTCCATCTTCATTAGAGCTCCAAAAGTCGGACGGGTTCGAATAGAAGGCTGCATCGTGGCCGCCGTAATGCACTTCTACCTCCATTCTCAACACGTAGTTTACCCATCCTGGGAAGTGGGCTATAGGGAAAATTCCTATTTCAATGCTATTGCCATCCTTAAGCGATTCCACCCACCCACAAACAACGTCTGCATCATCGTGAAACTCATCAGCATCGGCTTCTAATTCTTCTGATTCTTCATCTTCTCTGTTATCGATACTAATCTTCCATCTATTCGTATGACAAGCTACAAAGCGACCTGCTCTAACATTCTTTTGAAATATGATAAGATCGTCTTCATCAAATTCTTGCTCGTGCGATGAACGTGAAGATTCAACCACACCGAAAGCAAAGAACGTATGTGAGTTGTCATATGGGCTTGGTCTCTGGTTTTCTGGATTACAAGTTCCTAGCGTCTAAGATTAATACGAGAACATGTATTATAGGTAAGGGTTGCCAGTAGCGACCACTGTTGGTAAGATTCAATGAGAAGTGGTCCTCTTACCTTGATCTTTGGACCATATTTTCACCACCAATTGTGTAGCTTTCGAGGCTTCCATGGTGAAAGTAATATATGGCTGAAGAGAAGAGTTGCGGTCAAATGTCTGCGTGCTACGCTTGGAGAACCGGGCAATAGTGGCAGAAGGCTTGTTCGGAGCTGAAGCGCCTTGCGCCGAACTTTCTCCAGCCTTCTGGTACATCGTGTAAGGCCCTGTGGTGTTCGAATATATATATATATATATAGAAAAGCTTTAAGATGATTATTTGTAACAATAGTTGAGAACATAGATTAGTTGAATGCTGGACAGTCTGCATAAATATGCGGGGTATAAAGAGTGAGGCGGTAAAGACGAAGTTGGTTGCCTTGCATGCGATCAACATGTGTACTAAATTGCATTGACTATATACCGCATAGTAAATCTATTTACTATTTGAACCAGTAGCGTTATATATATTTGCTTCAAGACGTGATATTAAGACTATCCTGGAGGAACTTCTGAACAGAAGGCTCCGAAACATCCGTATAAACTCCAGGATAGTTGGGTCGGGCGCATCCTTGGCCGAACGCGACAACACCAACCAGCGTATTGTTCACAACGAGGGGACCGCCACTATCACCGGTGCAAGAATCCTTTCCACCTTCTGCATATCCGGCACAGATCATAGCTGGGGTGATTTTCCCAGCATTGTCCCTCAGGTAGTCCTTCTTGCATTCGTCATGGTCAAAGATCGGGACATTGACATACATAAGGTCATGTGTACCACCATCATTGCCCTCATCTTCGCTGAGGATGCCATGGCCCGAGACAACCGCCATAGTTCCCACCGCAGGAGCCGTCTTGGCAATAGTAGCGGCCTTGATGGTGGGACCAAACTTAATGTCCTCGCTGAGCACCAGAACCGCAATGTCGTGATCATCGCTCGCAACGTCCCAGTTAGGGTCTTTGATAATCTTGGTGACGTTGTACTTGGTGCCTCCATCCCACTTCACACTACCAAGGAGAACATAGTATTCCGCAGGGTCGGTATAAGGTGCGCAGTGTGCCGCGGTGACGATATGGCGCTTGCTAACAATCGTGCCGCCGCAACCGCCGCCGCCGCCACGGAAGAGATGCGCCTGGTACGTAAAGTCTTCGATTTTGGCAGGCTGACCACCGACAATCTCGGTGTTTCTGGGAGCAACCGAGGGTACAGACAGCGCTACTGCCGAGTGCAGCAGGCTGAGGAAGATAGCATCGCTCTTCATGGTCGCTGGGCGCGGTTTCTTGAAGCTGCGCGAGGTGAGGCAGAAAAGTGTACAACGAAAAGAAAGAATGCCGTGGTAGATTGGCAAACTTATTCTCTCTTTAATTACAACTGAGGGCGGGAAGTGGGCTCAGTTTATATCCCCAGTGCGCTCAAATCTCATCCGCCTTGCAACTCGTATCATAGCCGCTCAACTCTTTACTCAAAGAGGAATGTGCGGAATCGCAATGCATGTCCAAAGACGTGCAATGGTACTTATACGAACCGGTTTTTCTAGCTCTATACAGCAGGTAGCAGTAATAGTAACCTGTTTGCCTCGTGCCATCCAATCACGGCACCAAGTGAATTCCCCACCAATCCAATGAGATCCTCCCACGCTAAGCTGTATCGTCGCAAAATGTAACGGTATTCATCACATTCCCCTCTGGGCTTAGCCTACCTTGGAACCATGAATCAGGTTGTTGTATGCACCTTGGCATTCTTTTATAAAGTCTATTTTGGTTCTATTCAGACTGCTTGCCTAAATTAGCAGGCCTCGTTACGCTACCGTATAGCCAATGCCACGCAACACTAGCTTTATCTGTGCCTTTTTATATTCGTACAGTCGATTCGCTTCGTGCCGCATATCTGCACCTGCTTCGAGTAACAACTTCATAGCCTCAGATTTGTTGCATGCGCGGTCTGGGAATCGAGCTACAATCAAGAGTGGTGAGATTGGCGCCGACCCCCCTGAAATCCAAGTCATTGACGAAGCATTCGGATTGGCGCCAGCCTCGAGCAAAAGTCGAATTCTGTTGATATCGCGGCTGTACTGGCACACATGCATAAGCGGCGTCCAGCCATTATAGTCACGCTTGTTAGGGTCCGCGCCGGCTGCTAAAAGTAACTGCATAGCGTCAGGTTGTGCAGCGGTAGCAGCAAACCTTAGTGGTGTCTTGCCGTCCTCCGCCAAAGCGTCTACATCGGCTCCCAGCTTGAGAAGAAATTCAATGAAATGCCTCTCTTTGTCGCCGAATGGATTGGAAAAGGCTAATGTATGCAATTGTGTCACTTTGCTCTTATTTGAATAATAGTTAACGTCCGCCCCATGCGCCATGAGAAGCCTCATCATTGGTTCCGTCCGAGCAAAGCATAAAAACTTGACACCAGCCTTGTTACGCACCTGGACATCTGCACCAAGTGCTAATAGTGTTTCTGCCATATGCATATCTCCCACGGATGAGGCACGATGCAGAGCAGACCATCGCCAATTCCAATCCAACGCGTTGATGTCAAGTCCTCGCGCCAGCACGGCTTTGAGGACGTCCACCATGCCATTGCTAGCAGCGGAGTGTACAAGAGTGAAACCGCCTTGGTTCTGTATATGCAGATTCGCACCTTGCTCTACCAGAAACATGGCGACCTCACTGAACCCACACTCGCAAGCCCTCATCAACGGTGTCACCTCGACAGCTGGCAGACCACGGTAGGAACGGGCATATCGAATAGCCTCCATCGATACCCCAGCCTGTAGTGCAAGCTTTGCAACCTCTACCGTTTTGGCTAGGTGCAAGGCATTGCTGCCTTTATCAGTCCGGAAATGCCAATCGGCTCCACGCTCTATCAGAAACTAAATCATCTTTATAGAACCGACCAGCGTAGCTATAGCTAGGGGTGTATACCCTCCATTAGCTTTGAAGTGGACGTCGGCACCATGCTCAAGGAGAAGGTTAGCAGTGTATTCGTCTTCAGCGGCACCGGCAAGGTGGAACGGATGTAAATTCGTGCTGGCCCTCCTCCAAGCTGGTCATACTGTGGACAATGGCAGATCTGGCGGGGTAAATCCCGAGAAACGAGTCACTGCACTTGTAGATCATGCGCTCGCTTGTCATTGGGTTTGTATAAGTCCCGGGCGTCCTGCACATCTTTGTCACTAGCGCAGGCTGCCACGAGCGGGCTGTAATCGGCGTAGTCCAAAACAGTCTCGAAAGAAGATTCCATGTCCAAAAGACGACGCACAGTCTCCAAGTTGTTTCTGAGACTTGCTTCCACAAGGAAAACCCGGCCTGCGGAACGACGCGCCTGCCATATATTGGTAAACATCGAACTGTCCAGCATTGCCCTTTATTAGCTTGGTTCGCCCGTGTACAATCGCAAACTGTAGGTCCTCTAGCTGCGATAGATAGCCCAGCGTCTGCTGTATGCGTGCCTCATGGCGAGGCGCTCCTGTTTGGAATCGAGCAAGTAGAGAGCGCGAACGGCTGGCTCATACCATGCGTGGCATACTTGCGCACAGGAATATAGCTGATTGACGTTGCCAAGGTAATGAAAAATATCGGCCCGCGCCACGCAATTCAAGCTTATTATGAAATTAGCACCCACTATTTCCTCCAGCCCGCTGCGATCTCCGCCACTGGTCGGGCGAGTCGGTGGGTGCGACGCCGCTGGGTTATCCCGACTTACTCGATTAGGGTCTCTACTGTAAGCTCACCTTAAGCCGTCTATATAAAACATATAAAATGTCCAAATAATCCCCATGAATTATTCACAGCTCACTGACTACCAAACAAAAAATAGAACAGCAAAGCAAGATGCAGTTGCTTTCTCTTCTTCTCTTGTCCCTCGTGGGCATCGTTGCTGCCGTCAAGCGTCCCTACGACCTCCGTGTTACAGGATACACCGAGAAGAACGCCTCCGTCTCCATTGAGTGGAAAGACAGAGAGGGCCACTGGAAGGCACTAGCCCGAATTCACACCGACGGCTACGAAGACAGACAGGAGGAGGTGCTTGTTGCGCCCAATCTCTATGAATGGCAGGCATTATACCTGGCGCCACATACAAGTTCAGCGTCGAAGGCGAGAACAGCAATGGCTACTCTGGATGTACTGACCTCAATTGGATGGCTCCGCCACCCGCTGTCCCTCCTCTTGACTGGACAAGAACCAATGTCACTGGCCCTGGAGCTGCTGCTTCGCCCCCCGCCGGTGTCGCCTTTGCGAGCAGACTGCCTACAACCATGGAGTTTTGGTATATCGCGACGATGGCTCGGTCCAGGTTCAATGGTGGGGAGACAACCAGTGGCATCCGTATCAGCTTGCTCCCCCGGCTCGGCATCCCCTACTAGTGATATTACTGCGCTGTCAGGCTACTGGGACCAAATGGAAGTTTGGTTCGTCGCACCCAATGGCGCCCTGGTGGACTACTCGTGGACGCAGGGCCAGCCTTGGCAATCGGCATATCGTGCCCCGGCTGGTAGTGCCTCGACATCTACCCAGATTGCTGCGGTGTCTTTGAACTACAAGCATATCGAGATTTGGTTCGTGACACCCAACGGCGGCGTGATGGACTACTATTTCTCGGAGGAGAAGGGCCGGAACTCGTGGCAGTTCATCCCCGATGGTGTTGTGTCTCAGGACGCTGGTCTTTCTGCTGTCTCGCGCGCCGACTATACCATGGAAGTCTATGTGACTCGCAAGGACGGTAGCATTCATGGACACTACTGGTACAGCGGCCAAGGCTGGAAAGACAATGAGCTTTCACCACCTGGAACTGCTGCGCTGGCAGGCAGAATGAAGATTATTTCTCGCGCGTCGAACACCATGGAGCTGTGGTTCATTGGGAGTGATGGCTCCATCAAGGACTTTTGGTGGCAGGAGGAGCATCCTTAGTCGACGTTCCAGATGGCTGGTCCCAACCGATCCTTCATTGCCGGCACTGTCACTGCCGTCTCGCGCATCCCGGATGCAATGGAGATGTGATACGTTGGCGCAGACGAGTCTCTCCAAGGCTGTAAGTGGCATGCCGGTGATACTTGGAGATGCTATACTATGCAGCTACCCGGTACGGTTTGTCGCTCCTGTGGTATGGTGGCCCTTTCACGTAAGGATACCAACCAGATTGACTACGTTTTTGTGTTCGAGGATCTGTCTCTGGTGCACATGTCTTACAGCGATTAGACGTAAATGACGGGTGAAAATGGTACATGTATATACTATCAAAATTACAAAGCTACACTCTTCTATATATATGAATACTCTATGTTACTTCTCTTCTTTCTCCGCACTGCTAATTTGGAACTGAGGTGTGTCGACTACCACAATCTCTGGGGGAGCAGGGCCCTTCAGGGTAGCAGAACCAGTAGAAGCAGTAGCCTCAATATCATCTAGACCGTTGTCGTCTCCCGAGGTTGGCTTCTTGTCCTTTCTGAAAGGGTTGGCAAATTTCACGCAAAACTTGCTCAAGACACGGTAGACGATAACAACCGGGAAGGACACAGTTCTAGCAATCTTGGCGTACCACTCATCTGGGACGAGTCTCACAACAACAGCCCAGGGTAGACAGGCAATGGCTGCAACAATGGAAATGGCCCAATTTGTGCCAGAAAGACCTCCTGGCATAATACCAAAGGCTCGCGAGCCGACGTAGATAATGGCAACCTGGAGGCCAACCATAAGACAGTTGATAAAGATGAAGAAATGGTTACGATGGATGCCTTCAAAGATGTTAAACTTGTTATCCAGGCGACGATTGTTAAACTCGTTGAAGATTTGCATCCAAACAAACGTGTTGAAAATAATAGTGTCGAGTTCCAGCATCTTGTCTGTGTCGTTGCGGTCAAAGCTGAAGATCTCGGGGCCGACAAAATAGAGAACCAGAGTAACAAGCAGCTGGTAAATTGCCTGGCCGATAATCATTTTCCACATCTACTCTGTGTTAGTCAAATATAGAAATCAAAGATTAGAATATACGTGCGTTAGTGGTAATTAGCGGAGCCTTCTTGCCCTGAGGCTGGCGATCAAGAATCTTTTCCGTGGGAGGATCCGTGGCGAGAGCAAGCGCAGCAAATGTGTCCATAATAAGGTTAACCCAAAGGAGCTGTACAGCGCGAAGGACAGGCTTCATCTCGGGACTGTAAACAGCGGTAATAAAGGCAAGAAGAACGGCTGTGATATTGACGGTGATCTGAAATTGTAGGAACTTCTGAACAGCGTCGTTGACGGCACGGCCCCATTTCAAGGCGGTGATGATGGAAGCAAAGTTGTCATCCATAAGAACAATAGACGAAGCCTCCTTTGCGACTTCGGTACCTGAAATGCCCATGGAAAAGCCAACATCTGCTGCTTTGAGCGCAGGAGCATCATTGGTACCGTCACCAGTAACGGCGACCGTCTCACCGACAGCCTTGAGTCTTGCCACCAGAATACGCTTATCCTCGGGGGATGAACGGGCAAGAACTCGAAGATTGGGCAAGATTCTGTCCATTTCAGCCTCAGAAAGCTTTCGGAATCGGGGTCCCTCCATGACAATGCCGCCTTCAGTGTGAATGCCACACTCTATAGCAATGGCTTCAGCAGTAATCTTATTATCACCAGTGACCATTCGGACAACCACACCAGCATGTTGGGCCTTGCGGACAGCCTCAGGGACGCCAGGGCGAACAGGGTCCTGAATACCAATAACACCGACAAACACAAGGTTCTTGAGCAGAGAAGAAATGACAGCCTCACCGTCAGCGATCTCAGCTTCCACAGGTGGCCATTCAGGATAGTCTCTGTACGCAAGACCGATGGTGCGGAGTGACTTTCTGGCGTATTTATCAATAGTATCGCTAACCAATCGCTGGTCTTCGGATGTAAGACGGCTAAGCTGCATTGAAGAGGGCTCTATGAGCTCTGAGCAGTATTGCAGCACGATTTCAGATGCACCCTTGACCACGAGACGGTAACCGGAGCCATCCTGAAGCTTGATAACAGCAGCCATGCACTTCTTGGCCGAGTCAAACGGCATCATCTGGGCGACTTGCTCATTGGCACGAGTGGAAGCGAGAGACTGGAGGCCTAGGTGATCCTTGGTAAGCTGAAGAAGGGCAGTTTCTGTTTTGGAGCCAATGAAAACAGTCTTGCCGTCCTCTTCCGCTTCAAACGCAGTCGAGTTGATGGAAATGGACTGAATAAGCATGTCTTTGAAGCGCTGTGGTAAAGACGCAGCCCACTGGCTGGCAGTCTGTGCCGAAGTATTTGAAGACTCGGAATTGATAAAGTTTGTTGATCCAAAGGTGCCGGCAACTACTGTCATTTTGTTGGTTGTAAGAGTACCCGTCTTATCAGAGCAAATGGTGGTTGCATTGCCCATGGTTTCGCAAGCACGAAGAACACGCACAAGATTGTTCTCTTTGAACATCCTGGTTGTTGCAAATGCCAATGCAAGCGTAACGGCAAGAGGGAGACCTTCTGGAACGGCGACAACAATAATGGTGATGGCCACAATAAGAATGTCCATAAATGACGATGCCTTGGCGGCAGCAGTGCGCTCGTCGCCGGCTAAGCCAGCAAGGAAACGAATGAGAAGAACAAAGAAGAGAAGACCGGCTGCAGCACTGCCAAGTTTGGCAATGGCCATGGCGAGGCCTTCCAGCTTCTTCTGAAGTGGTGTAGCCTCAGACTCCGTTCTGACTGACATCATAATCTTGCCAAAGCTGCTGTTGACACCAACAGAGGTGCAGACAAAGGTACCCATGCCTATGACCCATGATTAGTTTTCGTTGTTTTCAGTGGATTAAAGAGTATTCACTTACCTTCCAAAACTTTTGCGCCAGAAATAATAAAAGGATCGAGTTTCTTCTTTGTATGCCCAGCTTCCAGTGCCCGCATCACCTCTTCACCACCTGTCTTCTTAAGGGCATCAGATTCTCCAGTAGCCGAGGACTCGTCACACTTGACGTTGTGGCCATTGATAAAGATACCGTCGACAGGAACAAGGTCACCAGGCTCAAGATGAAGCACATCACCTACAACAATGTCGTGAATGTTGATCATGAAGGACTTGCCCGAGCGGATGACCTTGATTTCGCGGTCGTCCTTCTTGGCATTAAGCTTGACAAAGGCCTTTTCTTTTTGCCAATCATTGAACGAGCCGACAACAGTGACAATAATAATAGCAGCGCAGATAGCAACGCCTTCGACCCAATCCACAGGAGTAGGCTCGCCAGGCGGATGGTACACGCCAAGGGTCTCATAGAGACCGAGGGCAAGAGAGATAATGGCAGCAAAGGTAAGCAGAATAAGAACCTTGTCGTTGTAGGCATTCCACATGAGCTTCCACAACGGCGTAGCCTTCTTTGAAGGAAGGACGTTGCGGCTGTACACGCGGATGCGATCACCAAATGGTTCCGAAGAAGCCGGCGATCGAGAAGGTGCCTCAGACGAAGACACTGGGGACAATCCGCCGCCAATGGCTTCCTGGAAGGAGATTGGCGAAGCAATGTTGGTCTCGTCAATGCTCAAACCTGACTTGATATCGGTACGGAGCCCAGCGGTAATACCGGAAAGACCACCAAGTGCATGAAAGGCAGCGAGGGACTTTGGGTTGAGAAGCTTGTTCAGCTGTCCTGGGGAGAATGCAAACGGATTATTCTGGACCTGGAAGTCGGCCTCGGTGCCGGGATCCGGACGAAGTGCATCCTTAGCATCCCCAAACACGCTCGAGTCACAGCTAGTCGCCGTGGCTATAGAGAACGGGTTGGAAACGCTCGAGTTCACACTCGGTGAGCGCGCTCTGCGTTCACCGGCGTCGGGAGAGAGAAGATCAGTCGACCCCATGATGCTGGAGGCGAAGATTACTCAGTATAGAGAGAAGTAGATGGTTTCATCCACAAAAGATTAACAATGATAGTGAAGATGTTGGAGAAAATCGAAACGACCGTGAACGACGATGGCGACTATATGTCTGTCTGCAACGAGGTTGCGATTTTCCCTGCTTCGACTCGAGAGAGGGGCCAAAGGAGGCTGAGCAAGCACCAGAGTCTTGGAGAAGTGGCACAAAATGTAGAATGTAGCAGGTGGACGGTGAGGTTGACCGATGATCTCGGCTAGCAAGTGCGGGTTGATTAGCTAGATGCTTGCTTGCTCTTGGGCAATAGCCATTACCAATGAGACAACTCGCCTGCGTCTCAGTCCATCCAGTGTACATAGATAGCCACTTACAACCACAAAAGCAGCATTTTGTCTAGCCGGCCGTTGGAGGAGAGAAAACTCGAAAAGCACAGCCTTCCTTGGCGGCTATCTCTCAGACTCAAAGTTGGCCAAATATACAGAGCGGGTTCTGGATAAACTCGCCCGCCGGAGCCCGCGTTGCCTTGCTCCGTTCAAGCTTGCACTGCCCCAGATCGACTGCTCCAGGCTTCCTTGGCAACAACTATTAGCCATTCCGTCGTCTGAACGCCCTGATAATCTCCAAATTCAACATATTGATCACAGAGATTTACATGTTCCGTCGTGATGTCAAGCGAGGACAGGAGGTTAGGTCCAGCCATGGGGGAGACGGACAAAGACGGAACCCCGGGTGAGGGTGAAGGAGGCTGTGCATGTTTCTATTGCAAACCGAAACGGCACGGTCCGGATAAATTCCACTGGCGTTAATTTCGATTGGCTACTCTTCTGTTTGTCATCGCTTGTGGCGGCTACGTCCTACCCCCAAAAACGTGTTTCAGACTATTCTTATAGACGATGTAACGCTTCAGCGTGTAGTACCACAGTATTACCAGACGGAGCAGTCATCCTGCCTCTTTCTTCTTTCAAATCTTTCTTGTATTTTAAACATTCCCAATAATATACCCGCAGGTTGAAATTATCCAACAAATGCAAATCTATAGTTTAAATGCAAGTATAGCCAGCCAGCGCATGCCTATCACTTTGCTGCCAAGCATGCAATTCCAACGGCGACGCTCACAACGACTAGTGAAGGAGGCTGTGCTGCGGGATTTTCGATATTTATCCGTCTCTCATATATCGCTGCCGTTAAGATATATGTAACAAAATACCTTTGGCTCGCGTGTGATTGGTGTGGAACGAAGCCTTAAGTATCCGGCGCTAGCAACCCCTACCCAAAGAAAAACGTTCTTATTTTGCAGGGAGGCAGCCCGTGTCGGGTGGCGTTCGCTTAACCTTATAATGTGGACTTGCTCCCAATATCCCCGCCATACTAGGAAGTAGTTGCGCCTGTAGCCTGCATAAGTCGCGTGGCTGGATTGGCCGAAGGTGTAGAAAGTACGGTCTGTCCCTGTACTGGGCATCGCTTGGAGTATGCCTTAAGCCAGCCATTTGTTGCTTGGCGAGAACACTCTGCTCCTTCTGAAAACTATGTCTAGATGGCAGTGATTTTTTCCTTCCGACTTTTTGTGCGGCGCGCTAAGTGTGGCAGTGCAAATGCAATTCCTCGACATCACCGTCTTGGCGCGTCTGCCACCAGAGCCGCTATCGAGTCAAGCCTTCCTTTTAATCGGGCCTTCCTAATTCAGTAATGCTCGCTATGTAAACCTCTGGGCCAGCCATCTCCCAGACACAGCAACTCATCTCCGCACTTTGTCCTCCAGTGGTATCACGGTGCGGCATGGCGTAGGATGTCCACCACCATCAGTATTTTCTGCGAAACGCCACTGCTTTCCTGTGGCTTTCTGTGGTGAGCAGAGACAATAGCCGCGTCGGCTCTCCATATTGGGGCTCTCTGTAGCACTGTAGTAGAAATATCGGCAAATGGAGTCGGTTCAGTCCGGGACCAAGATCAGCCACTCAAGACTTGTTATCTTTGCCTCCCTTCTTACTTGTCGGTAAACAATGCAGCGAGTAGAAATCTCCTCGTGCGGAGTAGAACAAGCCATCGGAGTCGCTTCCCCCACTTCCCCGCAAACTGCAGTGCGTCTGGGGTAATTAGCAACGCTACCCGAACCACACTCTTCACCTCCGGCAACGGCAACGACCGTAGAAAATGATCAAGTTTATCCAACGCAGAGAAGCTGTAGATAAAACACTCTCAAGTCCCCCGTAAACAAACCCCGTGTTGCATTGTATCCACCGATAACACTTGCCCTCATCACAACTTAATCCACTTCATTTCTATCAAGGACCAACCTCACAATCTTACCCTATCTTCTCCACTGCGCGATCCTCTGTGGTCAGTCTCACGATGGGTCTACACGCAGATGGAACCAAAGATCCTGCTGAGGTGCGCAACTGGCGTATCCATTTGATTGCCACTATTGCTTCCATGTCCGCCATCGCAAGTAAGATGTCCTCTGCCCTCCCTAGTGCACATCCAAACACTGTATATACACCCTTATTAACGTTGAATCTGTCGTAAAGTGGGATATGACACCTCCGTCATTGGCGGTACAATGGCTCTTGATTCCTTCAAGCGAGACTTTGGCCTCGCCGATGCATCAGGAAGCGCTCGTGACACGCTTCAAGGCAACATTGTTTCTACTTTTCAAGCTGGTTGTTTCTTCGGTTCTCTCCTCACTTTCCCTCTTGCTGAGCGGTATGGACGCAAGAACACCGTCTTTCTCGCTGCCATCATCTTCATCATTGGTGGAACACTCATGACTGCTTCCCATGGCATGCTAGGTCTACTTATCACTGGCCGCGCCGTCGCTGGTCTGGGCATCGGTGCTGCTTCTCTCATTGTCCCCGTATACATTGCTGAAGTGTCTCCTCCATCCATCAGAGGACGGCTGATTGGTATATTTGAGGTAAGCTCAAACTTCACACACCATAAACCTTGATAAACTAACAGCGCATTTCAGGTTGCATCCCAAGGTGGTGGCATGCTTGGTTTTTGGGTAATTGGCGCTATTTCAAGTTGTCCCGCATAGCATTTTGCTTACTGACATGATATAGATCAATTATACATCTGATCGTACTATTTCAAAGTCGCTACCAGCACAGTGGATCATGCCCCTTGGACTCCAACTAGTCCCTGGTGCTCTCCTGTGCTTCGGTATGCTCTTTTGCCCCGAGTCTCCACGTTGGCTTGCCCGTCAAGATCGCTGGGAAGAAGCAAAGAAGGTCCTAATTGATCTCCGCCGACTTCCTGGCGACAGTGAGTACATCCTTGACGAGCTTTCCGAGATCCGCCAACAGGTCGAAGAACGTGCTGCCAACAGGATGAAGTTTAGCGACATGTTCAAGCGCCTCTTCCAGCGCGGTGTGCGTAACCGTATCAGTATCGGCTTATTGCTCATGGCATGCCAGAACCTGACAGGCGTCAACATTATTACTTACTGTGAGTTATGTTTTGATCAGAGAACTACAAAATGCATACATTCTAACCCATGCTGCCTACCCAGACTCCCCCCGCATCTTTGAAACTCTTGGCATTACCGGCACCACCACTAAACTGTTTGCTACTGGCTTCTACGGCATCGCCAAAACCTTGGGCATGATTGTCTTCTCTGTCTGGTTGGTCGAAAAAGTCGGTCGCCGCAATGGCTTGATCTGGGGTGCCTTTATCGGATCTCTTCCTATGTGGTACATTGGCGGATACGTCATGAAGGCCGATCCAACTCGCAATGCAGCAGCAGGAAATATTGACCAGAACGGCTGGGGATACCTTGCAATGGGTATGTTTTATCGCTTCACTCCGTATTCTAGCACCAGCTAACAGACCCAGTGTGCGTCTACCTCTACGGATTCATTTACTGCGCCACCTGGCAAGGTATCACTTGGGTGTACTGCTCCGAAATCTTTCCCATTGGTAAGAGTCCTAATTTAAAGCCCTCTTCAGTCGCCAAATCTAACAGCTATTTCCAGATATTCGTATGCTATGCACAGCAATTACCACTGCCGATCAATGGTTCTGGAGCTTCCTCGTTTCCCGCACCACTCCATACATGATTACTTCCCTGGGCTACGGAACATACATGTTCTTTGGTGCGCTTATGGTGATCATGGGCTTCTGGGCTCTCTTCTTCATTCCCGAAACCAAGGGTCTTTCGCTTGAAGATATGGATAGACTCTTTAGTACCAGCACTTGCTCGACCGTCTGGCAATCACTTGTCCAGCGCCGTAGCGTGGAGGAGGTGCTTGCAGAGCGTACTCGGGATAGACCTCTATATGATGATATCAAGAAGGAAGACCTTGCGAGCCATGTCGAGTATACCCGTGCTTCTGGTAAGGTATGAAAGCTTTTATATCTGGTACAGAAATTTTCATTAGTTCGTTTAATTAGCTACAAGATCATGCTCAATTCTATGTTACGACTTGACCCTTATCAGCCCATAGAATACGATACAGCAAAGTTGTGAGGTAGCAGCTAGTCATCAAGCTTGCCCTTCTTAAGACCATTTTTCTCGTTCTGGGCCTGCCGGTGTGCATTGCGTCATACTTGCCACACTGACCATGAAGAGCTCACACGCAGCGCTGCATCACGCCTCGTTTCAGCATCACAGCCTCGCCAGGTAGAGGACCCATGACTGCTGATGTGTATCACTCCGCCCCAAAAGGTCATGGTACCCGTATTAAAAGCCGCTAGAGTTGAACGAATCATGCACCCGCATCAAGCCGTGCAGCGCATTTCCAATTGCCAAGCAGAAGTCGGAAACATTCCGACCATAGTATGGCCCGGCTTCATTGGCTGCCGTATAAACGTCATATTGCAAACAAGGCTCTGGGATTCAAAGGATTGAGGCGCATTGCACTAATGCTAGCCCAAAGCACTATTGTATTGTTTAAGACCAGGGTATTACCCTCCTTTTACCAAACTCTGTAGTGTACGTTTAAAGCACAATCGCGCAACGGTTACAGAAAGTCTCCATCTATACTCACTGATGGTCTATTATTAAATATGGAATATTTTCGATCAAATACTAGCAATAGAAGCACAACTCTTGATATTCACACATTCTCGAGCTCTGCATGGTACAAGGCGCCAGTCTACGTCATCATCGGGACAGCGCCGTATCTCACAAGACTCAACATTCAAGTCGCTGTTTGTCTAGCAGCACTCTGTGCTGTTTTCGTAGACATTACAATAAGACGAGTAATATCTCGGTCAGCCAGGAGCACCAGCCAGCAGCCGAAATATGTATCCGTGTGGCCATATACCATACCGTTTGCTGGCTCGGTTGTCGCCATGGCCTCGTATCTAAGCACCAACAACCCAGCTGCGTGGCTCCGTTCATCAAGGTCCGCATTTCAAACGTTTACTTGTATTTTTCATGATATTGACATCAACTTAGGCTCTTCAACCAGACTACTCCAGTACAGATCAAAGCATTCGATAATAAGGACTACGTTGTCATCCAAGGACCCGAAAACATCAAGGATATCTTCAAGAATTCTGGGGTATGCTCACCATCCATCCTACATGAATTTGTGCTCGGTCGAGTATTCGGCATGCGAGAGAATGCACTGAAACTATACGAAAATGATACTTCTGGATATCGTCGGACTCCACGAGCGGGTACAAACATTGCACCACGCAACAGGGTGGACTTCCTCACGTTTCAGCCGCTCACCGAATTTCTATCTGGGAAAGGCATGGACAGGTTTTGGTATCGATATGAAACAAATCTGATACAAAGAGTACACAATCGGCAATATGGTCAGGATCGTTGGACGCACGTGCGCAATTTAACCAGCCTTTTTGAAGGTGATGTATCTGCGGCTATCGTGGATGCTCTGTGTGGCCCGTATTTGCTGTCCCGACACCCTTCATTTCTGAAGAACCTTTGGATGGTAGATCAATCAGTAGATGTTCTGTTCCGAGCAACACCCCGAATCTTTGCCCCGAAGCTGTACGCACAGCGAGATAGTCTGATTGAAGCTGTCCGAAACTGGCATCAATACGCCCGCAGTACCTTTCAGATAGCCTCTATTGATGAAGAAGGCGATGATCCGTTTTGGGGTAGCGAAATCTTTCGAAATCGAAATTATGTTTTATCTCAGATGGATGGGATGGACTCTTACGCGAGGGCCTCAGCAGACTTTGGTCTCATATGGTCGTGAGTTTATAAACGATGTACTTCAAGTACCCATTTCCGTTGCTAACCCGCGTATAGGTCGACAAGAAATTCTGTAGTGGCCAGCCTGTGGGCGGTAATAGAAATCTTCAAAGATCCAGTTCTTCTAGGAAGAGTCAGGCAAGAGGCCGAGAAGTGCCTGACAAAAGAAGAGCCAGAGCAGCTTGATATCCACCTTCTGTCCAAAAATCCTCTGATGCAGTCTATATACGCCGAGGTTCTGCGCATGCGGGCTCACATGTTCATTGTCCGAGTCCCGCAGTATAACAACATGAAAGTCGGGGAGTGGACGGTGGGGAAGGGCAAAACGGTGATTTCAAGTTCTACCGTGGCCCATATAGATGAGACTGTCTGGAACCAAGGAAAAAACAATCAGCATCCGCTTGATACGTTTTGGGCAGATCGATTTATCAAAGTTGAGGGTGACCCAGAGAGTGGTCCGCGAAAGTCAAACAACAGCCAATTTCCAGCCATGAAAGCATCGAGACATCGCGATGGTACCGAGACAGATACATCCAGGAATCAACCATGCCCTCGAACACACGTCGAGTTTGCTATCAAAGACGTGGAAGGATCCTGGATACCATATGGCGGTGGTTCCAGAATGTGCCCCGGGCGCCATTTTGCAAAAAGAGACATTATCTTCACGGCTGCCTTGTTCGCAACCCACTTCGACATGGAGATAATAGGTGATACAGAGAACATAGTAGAACATTTGCGCGGCTTTGGCCTTGGAACTGCCGCCATAGCTGGTGAGGTGCCGGTTAGAATACGGGCCCGCAAGCCATTCAACATCACGAACAAGATTGTATAATGTCACCAAATTAGTTCGAGTGAAACAAAATTCAAATTATTGCATAAAAGATTTCTTCAATCGGTGGAGATACTACGTTGAGCCATATGATTCACGGCTACAAAGGCGAATGTAAGGGCAGGGCCAAGCGTCGCTCCAGTAGCAATATAGGATCTGCCCATTACACTCGCAGCAGTATTACCTGCAGCGTAGAGCCCAGAAATAACTGATGCATCTTTACGCAGAACACGTCCATCTTCATCCGTTTGTAGACCACCAATCGTCCCCAGATCACCAGGAACTAGAGTGACTGCATAGTATGGAGGAGTAGTGAGCCCACCAAGGCTTGGATTAGGGGAGACTTTGACATCACCAAAATATCTCTCAAAGAGAGATTCACCGCGATGAAAATCCAAGTCTGTCCCTTTTTGAGCCATGCTGTTAAACCTCGTGACAGTCTCCTGCAGTGCAGGGGGCGGCAAGCTGAGTTTCACAGCCAACTCGTCCAGTGAATCTGCTTTATGAATATGGCCAGCCTCCAGCCCGATTTTCGGCTCTTGTCGTGGCATTAACGAACCCAGGAAATATCGCTTTCGATGATTTGAATCGATAATTAGCCAAGCCGGAATAGACTTGGCAACCTGATTCCGGCGATATTGGTTATTGCCAGCTTCAACATAGGGTGCTGCTTCATTCATGAATCGCGAGCCTGTCTGGTCTACGATAATCGAGTGAGGGCGTGATCGCTCTTGCAATGCAAAGATATAGGTTCCTGTATTCGGATCCTTAATAGCCGGCCCCCACCATGCGTTGTCCATCAACGTAGTCGCCGCTCCGGCTTTGACGCCAGCAACAATGGCGTCTCCAGTATCGCCTTCGGCCACATTTGTCCACTCAATGCTGCTCGGACTCGGACCATGTGTTTGTCGCATCTGCTTGTTACGCGCATAGCCTCCCGCGCATAACAACACGCCTTTTCTTGCCCGAATGTTACAAAGCTTGTCTCCTTGTTGCACTTGAGCACCGAGAACGGATCCATCATTCGCTTGGATCAATCCAACCAGAGAAGTTTCTCGCCACATCTTGTTACCAAGTCCCAAGTTCAAATACAGTAGCTGACCGACCAGCGATTGACCCATTGTGACAGGCTGCTCGCCGAGTGTCTTTTTCCACCATCCACGGCTCACTACCAAAAGCCCTGTTGCCGTATCTCCAATGGATGATCCAGCCTTGGTCAAGCTAAAGGATTCATAGGCAAACAAGGGTGGGATAGCTCTTGGCTTGACACGCATGTATTGTTTCCATGCCCCTAGCTTCTCCAGATCAAATACTGCAGGCTCCATTGTCCGCCCCCAGGAGTGCATGGCACCAGGGGCGCTAGGATAGTAGTCTGGACATCCCTTACTAACGACCCAGTTGAATCCCAATTGATGCAAAAAATTAACCATCTGAGGTCCCTGCTGCAGATATGCTAGTTTACGCGCTGGGGAGGACGCAGCGCCAACATCACCCACCACCGCGTTCATGTAGCCTAGCGCATCAGCTGGGCTGTCCGATATGCCAGCAGCTATACTTGCGAAATTCTGGGGGATCCAGAGACAACCGCCCGAATATGCCGACGTCCCTCCTAGATGACTGGTCTTTTCGACGACGAGAGGTTTGAGACCTAGGAAGCGCGCCCGGAGGGCAGCAGTGAGGCCCGCAGCACCAGAGCCAACAATCAACACGTCGACTTCAGAGTCGTACTTCATCGCAGGAATAAGTATACCTTTGAACGAGTTACAAGGACTATTTTAGGCACTAAGGGTACAAATGTACTGTGAGGACAAAGGATACAGCACTTAATATCACTATGGCTGCATAAATAGAAGGGGTCTTAGTAACGTTGATGCATGCAGGGTAACGTGGCTCCTCACGGGATATGAACGCCACCACACAGACAAGACCTCTCTATGAATATGTGAAAAGAAGAAATCGTGGTGTTATAAAAGTCTCGTAGAAGTTTCTAATTACTGATCACATTATAGATAATATGTAATCTTGCACATCATTTGGAACAAGCTGTTCACGTAGTAGTTTCCATTGTTACTCACCCCCCAAAAGCTTTATATACTAACATGAATATTAAACGGCAAATAGTAGATATAGAGAGATTATTTATTTATTATATTTTGTACGATATTAAGGGAGCATAACCGAAGAGCCACTTCTGAAGGTGCCTTGTGTGTGGCGTCAGTAGCGCACGTGAGGATAGAGGAGTTTACCTTTGCACCTATGACATATGCGTCATAATTTTTAACGGTGATCTACGGCGGAATACAGAGAGCCTCTCAATACGAGTCATCTTAATACCTATTCATATCGGGGTCACATATATTTTGAAATACTTTGATTTGATTTGATTTGATGTATTTTCCGTCTATAATAGCCTGCAGCGGCATGGAGACGTGCTGGTCAACAGTGCCTTTACTAAGTAGAATTTCCTCCTAATTTTCTCGTGAAAGAGTTCACTATCGAAGCTTCGATCGGAACTTCGATGGTCGCTCCCGGGTAGGTATAATTTGTTGTGGTCGCGATGTTGTGGGGTCTTTCCTTCACGCGTTATCAGGAGTACTCTTCTCTCCACCACCAGCAAGTTGCAGCGTCCGCTATCTACGTTCGGCCCTATTTTGAAATACTCTAGAATCTGTTAGCGCCTGTAGGGTAATATGGCCTGTTCATCGATGGAAGATCCGGTTTGAGTTCTGATTAATGCCCCCCTGCCACCAATAATGATATATCATGTAGGTACAACAAGCACTATCTGGCCAATCTACACTCATTGTCGGCTCAACATTCCCAAGTGTAGAAAACAATAGAAGAATTCATTGGGCGAAGCGTCGATACCCAGGGAGATGTAAGATAATCATTGCAGGGAACACTTGAATACGAGGACTTGGAACAAGACGGAAACTCGATTATTTACGCAGGAAATAAGGTAGATGTATTTGAAATGGAAGTCTATTTTACTTCGAAGGATAAAATATACGTTCAACTAGAGACTGACCTCTATACCTGCTGCCAATACACTACGGGCACGATAAGCCACTGTCACCTAGCGCTGTTTAACTAGTAGGCCACAAGGCAAGTAAAACGCTCGCTCATGGTGTTAACTAGGAGTCAGCAGGAATATTATGGATGCCTACAGGATCTCAAGTCTCCTTTTAGGCAAATTAGCCTACTTTTCTTTTCGGCCAGATAGGCCAGGATGGCGCTGTCAGCTTCACATGAGGCGAAGAATGCAACTCCGCGGAACTGTGGCTGCAAAGCCGATCCCCATACAGCCTTATCAGGCAGCAGATAGACTTTACCAAGCCCTAAGCTTAGGCATTGATAGTCTAGTACTAGTGGCTGAAGACGGCTACATGTCAGCTATTTTCCCGGTGAGCGGCGGTTGCGGGGCTGCCAGATGCTCAGCTGGTGGTCCATCCTCAAACTGGTAAGGCCTCTACGCCGATTGGAGGATTTGAACTTCCGCGCCACTTTCTCCATAACCACGCCGGTTCGTAGATTAATTTGTTTTGGCACTAAGGCTGATGCGGGGCCTATACTCTTCGATATCAAGCCATAGGCTACATACACTATTTTACACACCACTTAGATCGACTATAACGTTCGTGTTAGAATTCTCATGATGATTAAAAGCAATCTGAGAACCGCACTATCTACTCAAGGAGTTAGGTTTAATTGGCCTGTGCTCGTAGGCTAGGTGCTCTTATCATAAGGCATTGTTTCAAAGTATATTTAATTTAACATAGTATCCGATATATATGGTATGGAGTGATGATGCCCAGTTTTGTATAAAATGGAATGCATTGTTGTATCTAAATCCGCCCATCCTCCACATTTGTGCTTGAATGCTGGAAAAACCCCGTGGGAAAACCAGTAATAAGAATGCCAGGGACTTCCATTCCAATGCAGTTGCTAAAGAATCCCTTTATCCACAAGCCAGAGTGCTAGGTTTACACAGGCCTGCCTATGGATACCAATTCATAGGCTAGATCTACGTTATTTGTTGCAAATATCTTGGCCACGGGCCCATGCAGCGGGCGAGAAGTTCCAGTTTTCTATGCATTATTAGCTTTGCTATTTTCTCCAGTAAAGCTAACATAGACTCACCAGGAATAGTGTTGACGTGCTGAAGGTTCTGGTTGGACCAGAAGTAGAAGTCATTGGTGCGGTAGTCGGCCTCGGACCTGATCGGGCAGGTGTTCTTAAACTGCGTGTACCGATCGTCTAACATCGGGTGATGGAACTTCCCGACGAAGATACGAGCGTGGTTCTGGAACTTTTGTCCGAGGCTGAGCTGGTCGCTTTGGTTGCTAAAATTGTACTGTTAGCCTGTTTTCTTTGTCTAATTGTCTAGGTCTGAACGAACTCAAAAGTGTTTTGGATATCTCCCCACTGCTTAGATGGGCGACTGCCGTCCTGTTCAAAAATCATTCTGTTTCTGTAGAAGGTCTTGCCACCGTCGTTGGATCCCCAGACAACAATAACCCATTCGATATCATGTCTGTGGCCAGTGTCCTTGGTGAAGTACACGTTGAAGGCGGTACGGAACTCAGTCGTGCTGCAGCGCTGATGATCGTAATACGTGGGGAAGGACCAGAGGGGAGTGTCAGGGCCATTGTATTTAGGCTCGGCAGGGCAGTGGTTGTTTAGCTTGAGAATGTTGCAGTTGTCCGGCGCATTTCCGCCGTTCTGCACACCATTGACGGAGGCCGGGCTGGGAAGACAGGTACCAGAAGGGAAGTTCCATTGACTGCCATGTAGCTTTGTTAGTGATAGATATTAGGGGAGGTAGAGATAGATACTTACGGGGCAGACCATAGCGCAGGCTGAAAGGGGTCGCCTGTCATGAAACTGATATCGTGGTTGGTGTTGGCACTGACAACCGCTGCAAGAGTGGCAATGGAGAGGGTTTGGAAGCGCATGATGGATTAAGGTGGCCTGTACCGAGACGCGGGCGAAGTTGATGATACTTTTTTCCAACTCGTCTCAACAGAGGGGATTCACTAGTTTTTATTCTCGAACAACGTCGACATGAAAGTCAAATACTATAATATTTGGAAAGGAGCCTGATATGCCATGCTCTGATTGGTAATTTCTCCGGACTGGTGAGAAAGTAGCCGACGGACCTCGTGTAGCACTATCAAGCGAGGCGACGGACCGACAAACTTCATAAAATCAAGTTGATCTTGCAACTTATCAGCGATTTGTCCTGTTTCAAAGGTCCTGTAACTTTACCCGGCGGAATCAATGTGGCGCTCCGTCTCCAACCTAACGGCTTACCGTTTTGCACCCCACATGTCCATGACTCGGTCAGCGTTTTGTTTCTATTTGTAGCAAGGTATACTGTAGAACCCACGGCAAAGACCAAATACCAAGGAGACTCCTAGGCATCATTTTTGCTACCGCTATCTCTGGTGTGAACGCCATCTTACCTACCTGCTGTTTCCCCCTGAGGCGTTCCCATATAATCTCATTTGGACGCCAATTAGTACCGCGGACATGTTAAATCGAGGCGCCCAACCTTCTAAATCAGGCTAGTCAATAAGCAGGTTAGCGCCCGTTCTAAGTTCCACAGCCCTACTGCTACTGCTCACCGGCGCCACCACTATCACTCGCCGAACTGGCCGACCCTACAATACGGCTGCCTAATGGCTTTCTTTGGGTCTGTGAGGCGTAAAATTTCCCTCCAATTACAACCCAGAACTATCTAAGTCTTTGTTAGTTGTATGATTCGGCTCGCTGTACTTTCTCAGTTAGGTATAACCACCGGTGAAGAGAAAAATGGGCTGGCCGAGGCGGATGTTGGAAGTGGCCTAGATACCAAGCGCCACAGACAGATGCCAAGCACGCAACGCAGATATGCCAAGATAATCATGCATACAATCTGCCGCCCACGGCATCGGAGAGTTACTTCGCAGAACGACAGTATGTCTCTCAACCTTACTCGTAACCCGACGTCTTTCTCTGCAGCCCCTAGCTCAGCGACCCCGAATCGCCGTGAATCGACTGCATGATACGGGGCTACATGCTGTGAAGGGTCGCCCAGACTAACTAAAATATCGAGATATTTATTTGAATGGCATATGTTTCTCTTTGAAACAATTCTTATATCAATAGAAGCTCTATCGTAAACATGCGTAAACAGACTATCAAGTGTTTACTATAATTGCACACCGTGGAAGACTGTATCTCGCACATGTTTCCTCATCTGGCCAAATACAAAATCATACGCCAATAATCATCTATTGTAAACGAGTTCACTGATGTTCGATGTTCGAATTAGGATCACGTTCATACTGCACCGGCCTAATCAGTTATGCCGAAGCTCGATTCCAAGATTACAGCCACCAAAAAACACTGGTGAGGCAGTGTCATTTCAATACAGAGTTGGTACCTACTCCGGAACCTACCTATCGGGCCGTTCGGGTTTATTACGTAGTAGCATAACAGTTTTTGCACAGCTGAAACTGGCAACATTGCCATCTAAGGAGTCTTGTAGGGCTATGCAAGGCTGGTGAGCCGTCTATGTTTAGCCGCGGTTCCTTTACCAGTTGCTTGCACACGACAAAAGAAGTAGTGAGCTCCGAGCGGCGCTAATGGTGGCGTATAATCGCTCGATCCACTAGAGAAAAGTCTCCAGGTGCTTGTCTATCTTCGTGAGGAACCTTTGTGTTTGGTTGGTAAGCACAATCTACTACAGCAATTCCTGGGCAAAAGACCCTGGGCAAAAGACCCTGGGCAAAAGACCTCAGCCGCTAGGATCAACAGGGGAACAATATGCGTGGGGCTGTGATAGGGATTTGTCATTTTCAACTGATTAAGCCCCAGAATGCCAGGCGCCATTTCTAGCAGACACCGATTGTACCTTGTCCGTATTTTAGAAATAAGTTTAGCGGATATACTCTCAAACAAGAATAGATTATCCGGGTGGTACCTTCACAAGAAGGATATTTTATTGACTCAAACGACTAACTTACACACGGAGCTGTTGTAGGAAGAGAACATAGGCTGACGTATAAAAAGTCGTCACCCTGGCATTTGTACAGTTATGGGTATCAGACTTTCTCTCATCTAGACACTTCTATTCTTCTTAGCAATTATGCATACTGCCAACATTCTCATCCTCACCACAGCTATTGTAGCTGAGACATGTACCGCTCTGGGAATCAACTGCCGTGGCAGTGGTCTTTGCCTTGGAAATAATGGTATCCTGGGCAATGCACAAAACAATCTTCGTGCCATGGATCCCAACCAGCGCTTCACCGATGGCCAGCACATTACCTGTGTCAGGGCCTCCAGTCCCACTCATCCATTTCTCTGCATCTTCTACCAGAATACTGGCCGCAGCTGGACGGTCAGCCAGACTATTGACCATGTTCAAAACCTCATTGATCATGAATGCTTCGCTTGTGGTTCGGATCCTACTGACCCCGGCAACGATGTAAAGCATGGCCAGTTGACGGCTAACATGGTTGTTAACGCTCGCCGTGGCATGGATCAGGTGTTACAGGTCCGCACGGTTGATACTCGCGACGTTACGGATGAAAAGGCTTAGATTATAGGAGAAGGTTATTTTAGTGTCTCCAGTACAGACTAGACGCGGATATCAACACACAATATGTAGTGAATTTGTGTACTGATGTCAAGTACTGGATAGGATGTCGAATTATTTTGTATCTATTGTCATATGGACAAGAGTTTTAGCTATTTCAGGCTATAGCACTTATATATAACATAAGTTACTACTAAGCGGGCATGGACACGGGAATAGCCTACGCACACTTACACCCTACGACCAGTGAAGGATACCTATTTAGAAACGTCAATGACAAAAGGCAACTCAGTTGATAACTAACGACTAGTTAATATATGAGCAGCGTTATTTGAGCTCCCCTAATCAGACCCTGAAATCCATTTTACCGGCGTAATTACTCTTTCTTTGGCAACTAACCCATTACTGGGCACATCAATATGACAATGGTGAGAGCATGTGGACAAATGTTAGTTTCATTGACTACAATCTCAATATTTATACAGGCAACAGGCTAGTGTGATATAAGCGCCAGTTTATAGAGACTACTAGAGTCGCGCGGCTCTAAGGAGCCTGCGTAGCAATACATTGGCCCCCCTGCGGCTGTCCAGGTGTAGAAGCCATAGTAGGCGTGCAAGTGCTTCCCACTGGGCAAGTCGGCGACGGCGAGCCCATTGTGCACGGCTCTACCGACGGCTGTGCAGTCGGTGTTGCAATACACTGGCCGCCCCAAGGCTGTCCCGGGGTAGAAATCATAGTCGGTGTGCAAGTGCTTCCAGTCGGGCAAGGCGTGTAATGCGGTCCAGGAGGCCCAACGGTGCAAGGGACCACAGGCGGAGTGGTTGCGATGCATTGTCCGAGGCAGGGCACACCGCGGGTACAGCGCGAAGTCGGCGTGCAAGTGCCAATAGGCTTGCAGGGCTTATTGTGTCCGATGATGCACGGCGTAGGGCAGGGAGCAGGCGAGGCCGTGATGCTCATGCTGGTGGCCATGGCCAGAGGCAGGATGGCGGCAAGCCCAACAAGTGTCGTTTTGTACATGGTTGCAGTTAAGGAAGGTTGATAATGATATTTAGCACAGGCATTGAGTGAAAGTTGCGTACGTGACTTATATACAGGTTTTGGCCCTCGTATAGCGCCAAGCTGGAATGAAGGTTGTTGTCCGAGCTGAATGAATACGCCGCGTGCGAGGCGCCATCCAGCCACGAGCACAAGTGCCGCTTTCCGACCACCACTAAGATTGCCTATGAGCAGGCGTGTAAAATACGCTGCTACCTAGCTGCCTGGGAGAATTAGATTTGGTTCTCGTATTCCGGCAAAAGCGTGCCGGGGGCTATCGTCTGGAGGGAGGCGGTTAGGCAGCTCATAAGACATCCTGCCTGGGCTCTCGCACATGTCACGATTGTAGTCGAGCTGGTGGTTAGTACATTGGGCGTTGCGCATATTCTTTGAAGCTTTCTTTCTTATAGGTAATTTTACAAGAAACTCATACATATATAGATATTTATGTGTGTGTGTGTATGTGTATTTACTATATGGAGTTTCGCTCTATGTCCCGTTTATATAGATGCGCGAAAGAATACCACAAGATCTAGATGAAAGATGTACGCCCCACATATATCCAAGACGCTCATTTCAAACACTCTTCTCTCCCCGTGCATCGTGAAGCTTTAAAATATCATTGCGCCCTTCATCGGACAGCGACCAGAGCGGATCCCAGTACTCAATCTGCGTTGGCTCACCCTTGAGGCCAGGGACCGTCATGGTAGACCTGCCAAGATGTCGGTCATACTTTTCTACATGCGACACGAGTCTCTTTCCACCTTGCGCAGAATCTAGAATGAAGCTCGGAACCATAAACCCCGAAATCTGGCCACGGATAAGACGCTCCAGCTCTAGACTATCGCTCATGGGTGTACGCAAGTCTTCGGCGCCGGGGACCGGGTCGCCTTGATACACATAGTACTACAATTTGTGAGCAATATAGTCTTCTGCAGCCGCATTTTTCACTTACAGGTTGAATATTCATATCCGCAAGGGCATGTACAAGAGCCAGCAGCTTATCAAAGGTGTTGTTGACACCATTTAACAAAACAGTCTGGTTGCGCACAGTCACACCGGCTTCATACAAGCGTTGTGCTCCAAGCTTGGATATCCAGCTAATCTCGTTGACTGTATTAAAGTGCGTATGGATGCAGACATGCTTACCCATTCGTCGAGCCTTCTTTTCCAGGTCGATGACGGTATTAATCCAATCATCTTCAGGGTCCAACATGCGGCTTGGGGATACGGAGAGACCCTTGCTCGCGAAACGGAAGCGGCGGATGTGTGGTATGCTGAGCAGCCGCTCTCCTATATATCGGAGCTGTTGCGGTTCCAAGATATATGTGTCTCCTCCAGACACAATAACATCTTTAATGGTGGGTGTAGCCTCGATGTACTGGAAGCGCGTCTTCCACTTTTTAATAATGGGAAGAAATCGCTGTTTCTTCACAGTGTCTGTCTCATTGCCGACGCTGTACGAGCGAACGCAGAAGCGGCAATACACGGGACAGATGGAGGTCGCTGCATAATAATTAGCGCTGTAAATTAACATCAAATCACTGCTAGCTTACACAAAAATAGTACCCGTTCTGGGTAGCGGTGGACAAGACCTGGCACGGGCGATAGTGAGGTCTCTTGTAACGGGTCCAATCCTAGCTTAGGATGGTCGACGTTGAGCGGCGACGACAGTGGTATAAACTGGCGGCGAATAGGATCGTTGAGAGGATCCTGCCAGTTAATTGAGCTCAGAATATGAGGAGACAACCTCACAGACATGGGCGCCTTTCGAATACCTTCCAAGACGCGCGATACAAACTGATCCCGTGTCTGGATATCAGCAATGCGAAGGTGCGGTGCCATGTCTCGCTGGGGCAATATGGCATCTGGCAAGGCTGTATTAAGAAACGCCACCAGTGCCTTTTCTGACTGGACAGTGTGGCTCATTTGCCACTTATGGCTGAGAAATTGGTCTGTAGATACCTCGTGCCAGGCGGGTATTTTTGTCCAGTACCGTTCCTGGTCATATATGTTAGGTGCATGGAAGACGGGAATATCCACTACCGGGATACCCGGGTGCTGAATAGCAGTTTGTGACACTACTGTAGACAGTCGTCTGGCACCGCCGGCCAAAAGCTTCATTGTAGACATGGTACTATAGTGATGTAAAACGGTACCGATGCCTGGTGATAGTAGAGAAGAGTGCATGGGGGGATTTAAACTGTACAACTTTACAGAAATCCCACTACCTCAGGTTACACATAAATTAATAATCGCTGGCTCCTGATGGACTGCGTCATTTCTGCAATGTCATTTAAAAGGATGCACTATCTTGTCTGAGACTTGGTACAGCTGCATGCATGCGTGCATATCGCGGCAAGCAAGCTGAGATGATCTCTCCCGCCCGGCCGCTCGTCTATCCGCTCTCTTCCCGCATCTTCATGCTCAAGCAAAACCAAACGCCGCCTTGAGATACTTGCTGCTACCGCCAAAAAATGACTCTTTCCAAAAAGCTCGTCGTCGCTGTTGTCTACGAGAACCAGGATGACTACCTTCAGCAGGGATATACCAAGGCGCAGGTTATGGATCTAGCACATCCATGCGAAGTTGATCCTGTGGTAGATGCATTGGTTAAACTGGGACACACTGTCGAGCGCGTTCCCGGCATCCAGCATTTGGTTCGTGCGCTGGCCAAGCACGAGGGCCGCAAATGGGATCTCGTCTTCAACATGTCCGAGGGCTTCTTTGGATCTAGCCGCGAGGCACAAGTACCGGGTTTACTAGAAGCGTACCAAATTCTGTTTACGTTTGGCAGCGCTGCCACCATGGCTACCTGTTTGAACAAGGTGGACACTAAGGTCTGTATCTTCACGGAGGAGCAATGCACCAACGCTAACTAGATGTGCGGCTTTAGATCATCCTGCAACACCACAACATACCAACAGCGCCATTTGTGCGCATCCAAGGCCATGAGTCTACTGATTCACTAGATTTGAATCACATTCGGTCTCAATTACCGACATATCCCGTCTTTGTGAAGCCCTCAATGGAAGGCACATGTATGGGCATTGACAGCGCCAGCCGAGCATCCAACGAGGACGAGCTGCGGCGCAAGATTGAAACTCTGCAGACGCAGCACCCCGGACAAGATATTCTTGTAGAATCATTTCTGGCCGGCCGCGACATTACTGTTAGTCTGGTCGGCACCGGCGCCAACACGCGGGTTCTGGGGGCGCTCGAATGGCTATGGGAGAAGAAGGGCGACGGCTTTGAGTTCCACACAGGCTATACTAAAGGGTGCTTCATATTATCAGAATTTGAGAAGCAACCAGACAATCTACAAGGCAGCGCTGTATACCGGGTCATTAGCGAGGAAGGGATGAAAGATCCACAGGTGCAAGCGGCGTGCAAGACGGCTGTGGCGACATGGAAGCTCTTCAACTGCCGCGACGCAGGACGAGTTGATTTACGTTTCGACAAGAATGGGCCAGACGGCGTGCCCAACGTTTTAGAGGTAAATCCTATTGCTGGGTTGGAAAAGGACGAGTCGCTATTACCAATGACGGCTAAGCTGGGAGGCCTGGAGTTTACGGGCCTTATTGATGAGATTGTCCGTAGCGCTCTGCTACGACGAAAGGCATAAGACATGTCTACAAAATTACATGGATAAAAGAATAAGTATAGTTTAAGATATAAAACTTATATTATTTAATTCGTTTAATAAAATGCTTTTGTACCAAGGGCTGGGCACTCTGGAGGGTAGGTGTATGGTTTATGGTGCCACCTCTTTCCTATCCGTCTTGCTATACTCGCGCACGACCTCTATGATGGAGGTCGAGGAACATGAAGCTATCGATTCCGAGTCCGCCAAGAGGCTTGCTGCCTCTCTAGATTTCAACCCAACTATATGAACAAATACGTCATCTGACGCGTATGTTACAAATTCCGTAACACCGTGCCCAATATCGGCACCCAGATCCACTGCCTTTAAAGGCGTAACTATCGTTTTCGGCTGTTCGAGCAATACTAGAATACGTTCCGGAATCTTCGCCTCAGGACTCTGCGCTTTGCTGGGGACAATGACATTTCCCGCTCGGATTCTATAATGAGAATAGACCTTTTCTCGCGAAGCCTTTTGAATTCTCAAGTGCGTCGGGTCATTGCGCCATCGAACCGCCGCCTCCTCGTTTTCGAAGCGAGCAATCGTCACACCGCTATTAGGGTCCTCGGGCGAGCTGAAGGATAGCTCTTGGATAAATCCCGAATACGTCTTGAGGATTGGTTCCAGTTTTGCATAGTAGGTTTCGGCGATGGTTGACACCTCGGCCGGGGCGGTTGATTCAAAGACGACGACGAACATTGTGAATATCTGTTGACTGGGTGAGGTGTTATAGTAGTTGAAAGAAATGTAAATTCACGACGCGACAGCGGGAATATATAGCAAATGGTGCAAAATTCGTCATTTTTTTCGCTTGTATATTATTCAGCTGGGTGGACATGGCAGCTGAAGCTGAAGCCTGGAATCACGGATTCCATATCGCTTGGAGTCACCAGCAAGAAACGTTAAGTTAGTGGGGAGAGCGCACGCCGGTATAGTGGGCTGAGTGATGTGGAATCAAGACGGACTATATTAACTTAGCGTACGATTTCACCAGATAGAGGTACATGAGGTCGGGAATATCTGTAAAACAGACAGAGGAGAATATAAACCAAAGGTTATCCACTTTGTTTTATGGCTTGCCAGAATGCGCCAATCAGACATACAGCATAACCAACTGTTGGTCATCACTACAATATCACCAGTTACCACTGTACAACGGCAGATAGATTAGTCCGTAAGTATGACGCCCCCTCCATCAAGTAACAAATTCTGCACTGCACTGCATTCATTCATCGGACATCTTCAAAGGCCGAGATACTGTGCTTTGCTTGCTTAGCAATCGCATCACTAATACCACCCAGATGCGTACATCGGCGCTCGTGATGTCACTGGCATCGGTGCTCGGCGCCAAAAACCCCCCACAAGGCCGAGCCCATCGGCGCTAGCAACACCACCGCACTTATACGACGCGGCCATGACGACGTCGTATTGCATCGTGAAGCCGAGCTGCGTGCTTCCCCTCCAACGACGTCTATAAAAGCACCGTGAATTCTAAGCATCTCAACCTTTCCCTACCTCCCCCTTCTCCACATCAATACAGCCATCATAGCTCTCTCACGCAGGATTATCAACAACTGGCGTACTTGGCGCATCATCACCATGGCCACCGCATTCAAAGTCCACCTCACCCCGTCGGTCAGCGACATCCCATCGCTCCCTCAAACACAAGAAGCCGCACAAACAGCAACTCAGCTCCTCCAGAAAGATCTTGAAGTACACTCTACCCATCTCTACTCCGCCTCTTCACTCCGCTAACAACCCCCTCCAGCAACACCACATCTTCTTCAATGACCACCACTTCCACAACCACGCAAGTCTTTCTTCGTCTCCTACTGCCCCATCCATCATCTAACATCTGCGCTGTAGATCCCCCATCTCTTGTTCTCGTTCTTCGCCACGGGCGCTTCTCCCGCCGTAATGCAGCGCGAATACGCCCGCGACGCATCCTACCAGCGCCCCCTCGGCGCCGTCGACAAGACCGTCGTGCAAGCCCTACATGCCGACTACGATGCCGCAATTCTCCGGTCTATCGGTGTCGCTGAGCACTATGCCAGTCTCATCCAGTTCTACCAGGAGAAAATCGACGAGCTAGGATGGAAGCAAGTCGTCCTGCAATACGTCTTTAACGAAACACCATCGGCCATCAAGCTGATGCACTGTCTCTTTAGCGGTACATTGTCCCAATTACACTTTACAAAACACTACTGACAAACTCAGGTCTTGTGCACCCACTCATTGAACTCATGTATGGACTCGAGTTTGCGCAGCCCGCCATCATTGGCCAAGCACTCGCCCAGGCAGTCGTGCAAGGCGACGACTTTAGCAGCCTCTTTGCCAAAGTCGATGCCCAGAAGCCTTCACTCCCCCTTCAGTCTGTCGTTGACTTGCTCGAGACGATTCACACCGACCAACCTGGTCTCATGGCAGCAGCTACACCACCAGACCGATACGACATCTTCAGCATCACATCCAAAGCACCCGACGCGCTCGCAGCATATCTCGCGCGCATTGAAGTCAATGAGGACCTCGAAGAAGCTCTTGACGAGATGATCCATATCCATGCATACACTGCGCTCGCTGCTGCGTTCAAAGCAGACCGTAAACCCAAACTCGACTTCTTCCTCGTGTAAGTGCCACCATCCTCACTTTTGCACTACTAACAAATTTTGGCAGCCACCATCACAACTGTGCGCCTCTTCTACAATACCTCAAAGAAAACAAGAACTGGATCCCCCGCGCATCCCTCATCCGGCTCATCCAGTTCGCCCAGCGCCTCCATGTCATCGACTACATTTCGCAGTGCGCGCCCCCTCTCGCCCTCGCCACACTAAGAGGATATACACCACGCGACGCTGCGTCTGGAAATGTGGCATCCACCCCAAAGGACCTTATTCCACGCTTCCATGAAGCCGTGGATGATGCACACATTATTAAAGTCGTGCGAGGGCTGTTTATTGCCGAGAAGGCCGCAGCCAAGTACACGGAGCGCGCGGAGCAGCCCGCGTGGCTGCGCATCAAGGACAAGCAGACTTGGCTGAATATGCATTATGTTGTTTTGGATTCTATTGAGAATAGGGCGGCTGGTGAGCGTGCGTTTGTATTTCACGCGGGTTATGATGAGTCGTGGGCTGCGTTTCCCAAGTTGGAGGATGCCTCGAAGCTTTAGGTCTACAGATTGAACCCTAACTATCCAAGTAAAAGTACCATCTCTTCTCAATTTTACATATGTAATTTGACAAACTTTATAATTTTATATATATAATTTGACATTTAACAATTTCATCAAACCCTACTGTCTACCGCGTCAACTATCCTAAAAAGACGCAGTATATTGATGTATAGAGCGATCTGAGCAGTAGCAAACTACATATCAGACCGGCTGCATCTATGACAACACCGCCAATAGCACCGCTTCAATTTGCATACATCAGTACAAGCCATAAACGGCACATCCCTCGCTTCCTCGCTCACTCAATTACCGCCTCGTCGCTGCGGCACTTGTACGCCCCGATCCGCCCGTTGGGCAGCGACGCATCTACCCACCTACACCTACAGGGGCCAAGCAAGACGCATGACAAAAAAAAAAAAAGATTTCACACACAAAGAGCCGTGTATTTGTTTTCAATAAAGTGTAATAAAGTAGATATCCTAACCTAACAAATAATAATTAAACTTGCTTGACCGCTTGTCCTGTAAAACCCGCGCAGTAGTAACCAACAGAGAAAAAAAATGCGCCGTTCCCAATGCTTTCCTTCCCAATGTATGCTAATATCCCTTGACGGGAGAAAAAAAAGAAGTCTTGACTTTACTTCTTACCCATTCTATGTAAAATGTCCAACGTAATGAAAAAAAAATATATACTATGCGGTGTGGTGTGTGTGTGTTGGTGGGAGAGCACGCCATCGCGCAGCGGCATCCACGGCATCGCTGCCATTGGCGCAAGCCTCAAAGCTTGGTAAAATGAGTGCCTTCCCGATTAGGCATGCGCAGAAGGATGCAGAACTTTTTTTTTTCTGCTTGTCCTTTTTGCTGTGATCCTGGTGGAGTCGAGCATAGCTATGCCGAAACCAAAAAGGGTCCTCCTTTCCCAACAAGGTGCTTTCGCAGGAGCCAAGAGGCAATAAAAGACAAATTGGCTCTCTTTTCTTTCATGCTGATAACCAGACCCCTGGCTCAATGACAACCCGATAGTCGCCTGACACAGGGGCCATTGTCATCATCATATCGTCTTATGACTTGCCGCTAGGACCCCCGTCTGATTGTAAGCTCGAGCCGTTGGGGGTTTCCGCGACGCTTCCAAAACTTTTCCAGTGGCCCAAGCGCCGTCCAGGGTCTTGCTGTAACGTGTGCTTTTGTGCTTGTTAGGGACGCGGACCCGTATACGATTGGCCCGCTTGGTCCGGAAAGCCCCGTTGGCCACAAGGCGAATCGCGTAGTTCCCAAAGGAGTGGATGCTGTGCCGAGGGCTGGCTGGCGCCGCAAACACGATGGCGAAAAATGACGTTGTGTGAAATCGTGATGGGCCGAAAAAAAACAGCGCCCCCTTTTTCTGTGTGTTATGAATCCTTTCTTCAAGCATTCGTTGCAGGGATCCACCGCGCAGGAACGCCGTCGTCGCCAACCTGATACTCGCGGGCGGCCGCCTTGCGAGGCGGAAGGGCCCAGCGAGCACGGCCAGGGCGCTTGTCGTCGAGCTTGCCGTTGCGGCGCATCGCCATCTCCATGACGGCAATGCGGATAAAGTCGGGGTTCTCGCGCATCTCACGCTGACGCATACCAGGTACAGCAAGCTCGCTGGTAGCGCGGCTAGGCGGGGGAGGCGTAGCTTGAGGCGCCGTGTTGGGCAGGCTGCGAGACGTGGGCTTATTGAAGCGATGGATCTTGTAGGTTTGCATCTGGATAGAGGGCGGCGCCGCAGGACGCGGCTGCTGGACCGTAGTAGAAGCCATGGCAGCGGGCGAGGCCTCTTCCACCTTGTTTCGCATGGTGGGGTTGAGATATCTTCGCAGCTCAGCCGACGGGATATCCTCCATGACAGGCGGGCGGCGCTCATCCGCATAAGGAACCTTGGGGTCCATGGTCAGAATAGAACGTGTGATTAAGTCGTCGGGGGCGACGGCAAAGTTGATGCTCGAAAACGACTTGGCAGCTGAGCGGAGTGCCCGCAGCGACGCCGTCAGGTTCGACTTGAAGACGGCCTTGAGCGGGCGAAACTGCTCGCTGAGGAGCGACATGGCTGTCTCCTCCATCAAGTCCGAGGTGACCGAGCTCTCGTAGTCGTCCATGTCGGCATCGTCCACGGCCAGAGGATGCTGCTCCTCGGCCGAGTCGGGAGGCGAGCGGATGGGCTCGAGCGACTTGCGTACAGGACTAAGAGCGCGACGGGCACGCTGTGGCGGTGTGTCGAGGGATGGAATGCCCTCTGTAGCGAAGCTATCGGCCAGCGACGGCGTTGAGTCAATGGAGATGGTCTCGGTGAGGGCCGAGCCAATGTTGCTCTCCGAGGCGCTGAGGTAGTCATCACCGTGAAGATCTTCGGGAGGCGTCAAGAGTACGTCCAGCGGGCTCTTGTTCATGTTCCAGCTCAGTTCCTTTTCCGAGACCTGCTGGTCAATGATATCGTTGACCGTCAGGGCCGCCTGGCGGGACCGCTTGCTAGCCTGCCTCGGGCGAGGAATGTCAGTGACAGCCAGCAGGGCCGCCACGGATGGAGAGATGGCATGCTGGCGATGGGACTTTTTCGACGGCTTGCGGTGGTGTGTTGAGGAGTGGCGGCTCAGCGAGTGGCTGCCATCACGGCCCTGTTGGCGAGGGATCTGGACAGGGCTGCTGGTGGGCGTGGAGGATCGGGTGAGGACGGTAGTAGAGGAGGGAGGACTGGAGGGAGCGAGGCGTCGACTGCCACTTCTTCCTTTGCTCATGCTGGCGGCGTCGTCGGAGTCGTCGGAAGACGTGCTGAAGCTAGTGCGGGAGGTCGAGGGCGGTTTGACGGGCGAGACAGTAACGGTAAACGTAGCGTCTGGAGCGTCGTCTGCTGCATACTTGAAGGCTGTCTTTTGGCGAGGAAGAGCAGCAGCAACAGCAGCAGTGGAAGCAGGACTAGGTGTAGTAGTAGTTGTCGGTTTTTGCAGGGCAGAGGTAAGTAGTGATTTGGCGGATTTCGGTTTCAAAGAGGATGAAGAGGAAGAAGAGGCGGAGGACCGGGAGGCGTGTCGGGACGAAGTGGTAGTCCACCAGGAAGAGGAACCTTGGGCCATCATGGCGTCTGAGTCAATGGGAGAATCGTTTGGTTGGGTGGGGACATGGCCGTGCAGCAGGGCAGGACAGGGGACTCGGGTGCTGAGTGGGTGAGTGAGGCAGCGGCGCTGTGGTGCAACACACGCTGGGGCGGATTGCGTAAGGCGGGCTCTGGCTTTCTTCAGCGGCCGTTGGTTGGGCTGGGCTGGCTGGCCGGGGTGGTTTGCTTAGCGTGCCAATAAAATAAAGCGCCTTGCTTTTCGTGTACGTAAAGGGGAACCTTTGATTTCCCTTTTGGCGCTCTCTTTTTTCGTGGAAATATTTCTTTTGTATTTCCAGCGACAGGAGGGGGCGTGTGCCTTGTTCGATGGAATTTGGCTGCTGTCGGCAGTTTTGGCGTGCGGCTGCCGCTGCTGCTACGTCCACTGCTGGAAACAGAGCGTCGGGTTGGAGGGGGGGCCTTTGGTGCCTTGCAGCGGGCTGTTACAGTGCACTTGTCGCGCTGTGGCAACTCGCTGAGTCACTGCGTCGCGGCGTCGTAGGGGGGCCGATCGCCTGTAAATCGCCCGGGAACAGCGTCGTGCGTCTGGTGGTAAAGCCCGGCGCGGAAGCGTCGGAGTAGCGTTGCGTTGACGGTCCGGAAGCGAAAACGTTAAAAAAAAAGAAGAGACGGACTTTCTGTCGTCTATTTGTTCAAATTCCCACGGGGCCTAAGCAGAAAGAAGAGGGGGAGCGAGCGCTGGTTGGTGTTGGGTCGGACAGCCCGAGCGAGGATGAAGACAGTGTCTAGAGTTGAGTTGAGTCGCAGCATGCAAGGGCACACACGCTGCTTCGGTAGTCGTGTCGTCAAGATGAGGCGAAACTTGAGGCCGACGATGCGAAAAAACGATGAAGAAAGAGACAAAGACAAAGAAGGCGGGCCACCGGCAGCATTAAAAGAAAGATACGAAAAGGAAACTAGAAACCCCGGAAAACAGATCGCGTGATAACACAACGACCAGAGCAGCCCCCCGCCCAAACACACGACAGACTCAGCGCCAAGGCGAACTCGAGGAAGCCCTGGAAATCGCTGGATGATGCCCCCAAGCAGTGCCTACAGGTGGTTGACATGCGCTGTAGGCACGTCGGGAGTCGTGTTTCTTTGGGGGGTGACTGGCCCTGTGGGGGGCAACCCCCAGAAGTTGCTGAAGCGCCTTCTCGAAGAGAGATAGCGCCCCAAGTACCAGTACAACTGCCTGCCCAATTCGGCTGCCTAGCAGGGGGTCCAGACTGCGCTAAAGGCCCATTACCCCAGACCCGCTTGGTTCTCGGTGCTTGTACCCGCTACTTTGGAGTCCTCTCGCCCCTCCTCCCATCTTGGGCTTTGGTCGGGTTGACAGAGTCAGCTTCAGGTCAGCCTGTCCTCTTGTCTCGCCCGCAAAAAAGCACGTTACGCAGACAGACACCAGCTGGGCCAGCTGGGCTTGCTGGGCTGGGCTGGCAGTGCTGCCAAATGCCACACCTGGCCCCCAGCCAGCTGCGTCAGGGTCATTTTTGCAGCTGGCGCACCTGTCGCTTGCACACAGATGCATGTAGCAAAAAAAAGTCATGATGCCAACCATTCTCTCTCACTGCCATTCTCGCACTAAACTATAAACACAACGTCCTCCGGCAAGCCCTGGCCACCGCCCATCTTACGCTGCCCAATCCCGTCGGATTTCTGCTGTGAGGCCCCCCGATACCGCTGACAGCCTGCCGCTTCGCCATTGGTGGCTTCTCTCTTGCAGCCCGCTACTCACTGGTTGCTTATCTAAAAGAAGTCGTGACGACTAAACGTTACAGTGTGCGCCCGGGGCAAGTCTTGGCTTCTTATCACTAGAAACATACAGTATTACTAGCATGGCGCTAACGCATCGTCCGCCGCTGGCGTCATATGCATCTGATTGATCCTCCAACAATAATAATAAAAAATCAATGCGCTGGTGCGTCTGCTCCCTGCAGAACAGAAATGCACATGATAGCGACAGCCTGGCGGCAATAATGACTGTTTCTTTGGCCTGTCCGTCCCCGCCTGAGGTTACATGCTGCCGCAACTTAGTACGAACTCTGTCTGATGAATTAGGTTTCTGTGAGAAGCCGGGGGAGACTGTTACAGCAGCATCCATCCACAGATCCCCTGCGGTCGGTCTGGCGAAAGTCATTGCCATTCCAGGACTCGCTGATCGACCGCCCAAAAGGACCCTGAGAAATGCACAACAACTAAAGAAGCCCCGCGATAGTCGCTGCACTGCAGACGTTCGCAATTTCCTAAGGCTCGGGGTTACTGCGCACGCCCGCCGAGTCATCCGAAACAACACAGCAGGGACGAGAACCACTTCCGTCGACTCCCGTCCTATGCAGCAAGCAGCAGCCGCTTCCTTCAACGCACAACTTTTGTACACGCAGTGCAACCCCATCTGGTGAGATTGGGTTGCGGTGCGTTGTCCACCACCGGCAGGCACTCCGACCACGACCACCACGGCGCCGGAGGAGCGGGCACCACCCTCGGGGTCTAGGCCTCCTCCTCCAACGGATGCAACGCATTGCGACGGAGATGCCGCAGCAAGCAGCGTCGTCGGGACAGTATCTACTGGCTCTTGCTTTGCATGAGCTTTGCAATTGCTTGGCCGCTGGTTGGTTATGCTGCTTGCTGGATTGAATCTGCCGGCGCGCGGATCACCCACCAGCCCTGGCCGGTGTTCTGTAAGACATTGGCAGTGCTACCAAACGATGCAGCGAGATCCAGTTCTAGACCTCCCGACCACCCGTCTGCTGCTGCACCTCCTACTTCAGGTGCGAAAACTCTCTCTCTACGTGACGATTACAATCCATCATCCCAGTGCAAAATACAACCACAGCGTTGTCGTCGCCCACCAAAAATGTCGTCATACACGAACGCACGGGACCAGCCACAAACGTGGGGTATTTCAAACTAGCCATTTTGATGGGCGACAACTAACAATGTCACGCGCAGGCGGAAAAAGCGGGTTGCGCCGCACACTACGCACATCCCATTACACACGCAAACGTCCAGACAACGAACCACTACAAAGCTAAGCGAGGAAGGGCAAGGCAAGTTTTCATTGTTTCGGTGAGTTCAAGGGTAAGCAGGCTACTCATAGCCTTGCCGCCGGCCAACCAATCACCACTTCAACGCCCTTCCCGTGGCCATGTAACAATCCGACTTATACATCCATTATGTGTGACTCACTCACTCACAATATGTCCTGATATATCCCAAACAACTGATCCTCACTTTCAACATTCCCATTGCCAACACAAACGCTTGCCATGACCACCGCCATCCAATCACCCACCTGGACCTCCTCCACGCCATCCTCCCACGGCCGATCGCTCACGCAGATCTCGCTCCCTCTTCTCCACGCCCTCACATCCACCGACCTCTCGGCCGCCGCCCGCCTCGCCCATCCCATCACTCTGTCTCCGTACCTCTCATCCCCAAGCTGCCTATCCGTATGGACTCGCCGTATTCGCCAAATCGAAGCGGCGCCCGCCGACGCGCCATGGGTTACTAGGCTCCTCGTATACGCTGGGGAAGCTGTAGGCCGCGCGGGCTTCCATGGGCCGCCGGACGAGCGAGGCATGGTCGAGGTCGGGTATGAAGTGTGCGTTGATCATCGTAGACAAGGGCATGCCCGTGCTGCAATGCTCATTATGATGGGTGTTGCTGTAGAGGAGCCTGCTGTAAAAGTTATACGGGCGACGTTTACGCCGGATAATGCTGCCTCGCGGGCCTTGATTGAGAGTTTTGGGTTCGTGCATACGGGGGAGCAGATGGATGATGAGGATGGATTGGAGCTTATTTATGAAACGAGCAAAGAGGATATGAGGAGACAGTTGAGAAAGTGGTCATTACAAGAATCGGAGGTTGTTACTTTTACTAGCTGATAGCTGGTAACAGCGACACGTATACATGTAGTTTTATTGGTAAAGAAGATTTAGTTTGTTTGCCAAGAACATTTAGTGTATTTCTGCAGAGTATTCAGTTTGTTTATGATTTTCCAAACATTCAAAGATAAAACAACGTTTAATTGTATAGACGAAAACACGTTCAAAGATAAAACAACGTTTGTTATATAGATGAAAATATTGTTATATTTTACAACGTTTGAGATAATCACACATACTCTACAAGATTACACGTTTTTGGGGGGTAGCACAGAACGTTTTGCGAGCGTGTTTGGGCTGTCGTTGGAGCGTCGGGGAAATCAGACACTTTCCGCTAAGGCAAACAGATACATTAACAATATAATTGACGTTAGCACCTTATCTAGCTATGCTTCTCTCCCTCTTATCACTGCCAAAAACAAATGGCAACCTTCCTCTCACGCGTCCTCATTATAATGGGGCTGATTTGCAGGCCACCCGGGCATATATGCCTCTCTGTTCACCCCCAGATGAAAGCCGACACTCAATTCAATCCCCCTCTTCACCAGCTCCCGGCTCATAGTCAAGTACAACGCCGCAAGAAATTCCGCCGGCAGCCGCTTCAACTCATCCAGTGTCACAGTGAATCTCCTACTACACCAGTGGGCCCAAATGTCCATGTAGAGCTGGGTCAAGCCCTTGGCCGTCCGCCCTTCTGTCCACAGATAGGTCATCACCTCGTGCCCAGGATAGTCCCCAGGCGGCAACCCGCCCCTATACTTGTAAATGATACTGTCAATAATCGCCGTCTGAAACAGGTCATCTTCCAGCCTGCGGCCCAAGACCGACAACCTCGCCCACAGCATCCAGTGTGTTTGTGCGCTACTCAGATTAGACACATTTACAGTGCGGTGTTTCAACCAGTGGACGTAGAGATCAAAGTCGCGAGGTGAATCCTGATACCGCAGCAACCGCGTAGTACGAGGATTTTCTAGGTCTGCTGCAAGGCGCCTCGAGCTGTTGCAGAGCAAATGTCGAGCAACATAGATGGGCCTGTGCTGGGTGCCGACAACGACTTCGACGAGATGTATGGAGGATTGAGTGTTTGCCATCGCCATAGCGTAGCTAGAAAATTGAGCATTTGTCATCGCTGCACCGTATCCAGTGGCTTGAGCAGTTGATATCCCTGTAGCGTGCCCAAAGAATTGAGCATCTGACATCGACACAGCGTGTCCAGAGAATTGAGTATTTGAATTCGACGCAGCGTATCCAGAGCCTTGAGCGTAGAATTGAGTATTTGACATCCCCGCAGCATATCCAGGGCCTTGGGCGTTTTGCATCCCTTGCGACCAGTGAGGAGGGGCCAGAGCGGGAGCAACAGCGGCAGTGGGAGCAACAGGAGCAGCCATATGATGCGGCGCAGGTGCTTGTCGGCGAGGTCGGCCTCGTCGGGGCGGAGCAGGAACAGGGACAAGGACAGGTTCCGGAACAAAACCAGTAAGGCCGATTTCCTCCATCGAGCTCTCACGCTTAATGGGGTCGTGGGTGGCGATGAGGGCTAGTGCTACTGCTTCTACCTGTGAACTCGCCGCGTTGAGATGCGGAAGAGTGTCATCCAGAGGAACAGAATCGATGATAGGATGCTCGGAGGTATCGTCAACTTCGGTTTCGTTAGTATCGACGACTTCGGTTTCGTTAGCATCGACATCGTCGACATTGCCCGTTTGTGACATCTCGGATTCCGTCTCCTCACCCCCGCTATCGCTGCTATACTTGCGCTTGATAGGCATACTATGAATAATGATTTCGAAGTTGGCCTTGTGTTGCGGTGCGCGGTTGGGCTCCATTTGTAGTGCGAGTAAAGGAAGGCGCAAGAGCCCTCGACATCCACACAAAGTGAATATAAGTATATTTACTGCGGCCTTCTTGTCCTGAACGAGGTAAATTGAAGGTGAATGTGTGTGTCCTTCACTTACGTACCTCTCTGGACAAAGGCAAACGGAAAAAGGTAGTGATGGTGAAGGTGAAGGTGAACTGACATGACCAGGCCGATCACGGTAAGGCTCATTTGAACGCCTGGCGCAGGTGATGAAACTTTGCAAGAAATCGGAGCGGTCAATCAAACGCACAAGGTTTGTTTGTTTGTTGCTTTTGCCATTCAGTCACTTTGAAGCGAAATCTCTGCGAGCCCCGGCAGCACCAGATCATGCTTATCCTGTATGCCATGCCACTCAATTCGGCGCATGTTGCCCTTGGACCAGTACCCCTGCCCGCCCTTGTCGAAAATCTCTTTTCGGTCTTCAAACGAGCGGCTCTCTTCCATCTCCAGCTGCATCTGGAGCTGCATCTTTGGTCGTCTCAGGTGGTTCAGCTGGTCAATGGTGTCGTAAAAGTCGCCAAATCTATCAGGCGAGTGATCCCACAGTACATAGCCCGCGTTCCTCAGCAGCGCGTTGTCCTTGTGAAAAACAGCTTCCGACATGTACAATTCATTCGTTACTCGTGTCCATATCCAGCATGGAAAGTGGTCCACTCCATCCACGGGCGGATGTCGATCTTCGTCCCAGTCGTCTAGGCGCTGTCTGTATCTGTCCCTTGACCAGTGCCCCACGGTGGCATTGCGCATGTGTTCGTCGTTTTTGATTACGACAACCTCGGACAGGTGAGATGCCAGCATGTTGGTTGTATATGGAAAGTTTTTTGAGTTGAGGAGCGCCCGCTGCGCATCGTATCCCTTGGTGAGGTCTAGTCTGCACAGGAAGCGAAGACCATACGATAGCTGACATCTATAGTTAGCACTTCCTCGGATTGATCTTCTTATTATCTTACCATTCCTTGTTTCCATGGGTTCTCTTTGGCACAGCGAACCCAGCCGACTTTCCGTGCGCCCCATTCAACATCGTGGGCAGCCACTGTATCAAACGCTGTATAAAATGTTAGCCCAACGACTTCAGTTTGCGCACCATTGCAACCTTACATTCTGATAGAAACTGTTCCAAAAAGTCGTATATACTGCCGAGCTGCTCATTGACCCACGGCGGCGAATAACTTAAAAAGGTGACCCTCGCAAGATTCTTTGTCAAGTTCTGTCGTTTTGTGTCGGCATCCAGCCCCCCACCATCGCCATAGAAGAGTCCGCAGTATATTTCAAAGCGATAGAGCGCCCTCTTTATTATAAACCGTTCCTTGGACGTCAAGCGCTGTCTCTTGGCAAACGTGGGTGTTCCAAACCGCGGATTTGTTGCAGAGGCGATTTCGTTTTCTATGCGGCGTGTGTAGTAGCGAATAACATGGTACATCTCGCTCATATCAATAGCTTTCGGCAGTGTTAGTGGCCCCAGCGCCTTTGAGACGAGCGGGTTATAGCCTGGATCCTGGTCTCCAAAGTAGAGTTCGCGCAGCGTCTCGACGACATGGGCGGTGCCAAACGGTTTGCATCTGGCGCTATGGGCAGCCTGGGCAAAGGGCAGCATCTTGGCGGGGATCTGGTTGGAGATGATTGCCTCGAGGATGGTGCGGGTGTGTTCTTTGAAGGCATAGTGCAGTGCGGAATGGGTAATCTTGGCGGCGGCGAGGGCTCTTGTGTCGGGGAGGAGTTTGAGGATGTCGACGATGAGATGCGAGGGGAGGTCGACGAGTGACATGGCGGGCGGTGATGTCTACTCGGGCGATGATAATATATTCTATAGAAAAGAAATAAAGACGAGAGAGTTGTTGTCAAGACATTTGCTGTATGTTATGCGTGGTTTATTTTTTGTAGTTGTTCATTTCCATGTCCTCAGGTACATCGTGGGGATGATGAAACATGAAACATGGGAACTTGTGCTGCAGCGGGGGCGATATGCAAGACGGTGCCCCCTGTATTTGTTTGCGATTGGTTCGCACCAAAAGGTCCCCCAAACATGGCCTTGTGCCGCCCATTTAGTTAGTCAACGTTAACGTTGCTTCTATGGCCCGTGATGACAACAAATAAAACTGACGAGTAACTTGCGCACACAACACTTGCATTGGTTATGGTACTCGTGATGTATACAGTATAGGGGTTTTACTACGGGTACAGTACAAACACGGGGTAAGGTAAAATCGTTTCGTATTTCTTTTGCGCAAACCTTAAAAAAAACGAGTTCCATCCTAGTCCTTTTTTGTTTTAACTAGCCGGTCGGGTCTCTAATTAATTTCAACAGCATCTCATTGTTAGCCCATCGCGCCATTAAACGTACCATGTCAGATTCAAATGTCACCACCAAAATACAACACAAACACAAACACAACAGCCCGTCTTACACTGAAACAACCACCAATTCCAACTATCCCGCCCGCCCACAGCAAACACAAATACATCCATCAGCTTATTTAGCGACGACCACAACCCCGGAGGGCGGCCCCGCCCGCTGACACCCTATCGGCCAATACCCCCCCTCACCACGATCAAACATCCTCCGCCTCTCCTGTCGCGAATGCCGAATCCGATCTTTTTCTTCCGTCGAAAGTACCGTATACAACTGCCTCTGTTCCATTCTATTCAACTCCGCCAACCTCCCCTTCACATCCTGCACACTCTCCACGGGGAAATCCCACATGACGTAGCCGCATTTCCTCAGTATTCCCGCCCGCTCTCTATACACCGAACCACTAATCCTATATTCCTGATTCCCTTCTTTCCACATGTGAAACGGCAATCTATCCAGCGCGTCCACAGACCGTATCGCCGCACTGTCGTCGCTACTAACCACACCTCAGAACCTGCGGCGCAAACTGCTCGGCAAACTGCTCCTCTGACCACTGCGACAGGAAGAGCCCAAACGCCGGCAGGAAATCGTTTGGTAGGCTCGCACCTGCAGCCAAGTACTTGGACAGCATGCGACTTGTATGCGGCACGATCTTGGCTGTAAGGATGGCCTGCTGCGCATCGTAGCCGTCTGCCAAGTCGAGCTTATACATGAACTCTAGGCCGTACGATAACTAAAACGATCAGCAAACTTCCACCTTCTAACAACAACACCCATAATAATGACAACAGCAGTAGCCACCTCATATATGTTCTGTAGACTTACCAAACCCTGTAACCAACAATTATTCCGCCCCTGCAACTCCCAATCGACCCGTTGCGCTCCCCATCCCACATCATGCTCGGCCACCTCCCGAAATGCTACAACATCAATCAATTAGCCAAGTATTCAAAAACTGCAACCCTCACTCAAAATACATACGTTCGGAGAGAATCTGCTCCAGACAATCATACACACTCGCCAGCTGCTCATTCACCCACGGCGCGAAATGCCCCAGAAACGACACCCTCGTAATCATCTTGGTCTGATCGCGCCGCTGCGAGATAGCACCCACGCCTTTCCCATCGCCAAAGAAGAGACCAACGAATACTTCATACCTATACAGTGCCCTCTGTATCACAAATCGTTCGGTAGCAGACAAACTCTCTGCGCCGCCAGGGCGAGGGAGCAGCCCTAGCTCGACTGCCGAATCGAGCATCATATCGGCAATACGGTCCGTAAAGTACGAAACAACGTTGTGCATCTTGCCCATGGCAATGAGCTTGGGCATACTAAGGGCCCCGAATTCTCGTGAATGTAGCGTCGGCGGCGCAGTCGGGAGATTATGAAAGTAGAGGTCGTCAAGGGTAGCTGTGGCGTGTAAGAAGCTGTACGGTTTGCAGCGGGCATCGTGGGCAGCCTGTGCGAACGGTAAAAGCTCTTGAGGGATCTGATTTCTTATGACGGATTCCATGATATCCTGCGTATGTTCGTTGAATGCGTAGTGTAGAGCCGGATGGGCTGCCCGGGCTGCGGTGAGAGAGTGTGCATCGGGGAGATGCTTGAGAATATCTGTGCGCAAGTGCGCGGGTAGACTGACGAGTGACATATTGATGATATTTTAAACAGGGACTCTCAGATATTCCCAAGATGGTCAAGAATGGTGTTTATAATTCTTTTGATTTCTTATCGCGTGTCGTTGCTTGTCGAGATGTGACATTGACTCACGATGGGTGTGACTGTCGTGCAGCTAGTAAGCATCTAGGCAGTGTAGTTGCCTGCTATTGGCCGCGAACCACCACCCTTGTGAATATTGTCTTGCACTTGAAAATGAAAAAAGGCATCAGTAAGAAAACTTTTTAAACAACATTGCTAGTGATAGTATATACAAATGCATCCTCTACAAACATGTACGCCACCCAATAACCTAATTCAAATATACGTCTGGGCCGTCTGTTTTGTAGACAAGCCGTCTCTAATCTGCTTCGTCTGCTTTCTTCTGCTCTTCTTTTATTCTTTAGAGCCCACCAGACTCTCACCAGGCTCTCAGACTCAGCTCGTCTTCGTCCGTCCCTGCGACCAACTCAACTTCTTCACCCTCGGGCTCTGCTCCTCCTCGTCCCCCCCCTCCTCACTCTCATCCCCATCATCATTCTGCTGCTGACTGCTCTCTCGATGGCTCATCCGATGCGTAAAGGCGCTAATCTTATCCCGCAGCCCATACCCAACACTCTTCCGCCTCTCCTCCCCGCCACTCGTCGACGGCCTTCTATCCAGATTCTTCAAGACCCTTCTATGCGACGACGACTCCGGCGACTCCGCCTCGGCAAATTCGATACCCAGACCACTGTTGCTATGCGTCGTCTCGACCGGCGTCGGCGGCGTCATGGTAAACTTGGCCGGCACGTCCTGGCCCCTTGTATTGCTCGACATCATAAGGAACGAGCCCCGGCTGACAATGCTGCTACCCCGGCTTCCTGGGCGCGGCGGGAACGGCTGGGTGCTGCCTCGCGACTGAGGCGGCGAGCGGGAGTAGTCAATTGGCGACACACCGTAGAGACTTGACGAGTCGTCACTATCGTTAATACTGTTGGCGTAGCTCTGGGTGCCCGTGGACGGCGCAATCAGCACGTTGCTGCTGGCCAGCTCACGGAGCTTGCTGCGCTGCTCGGCGTTGGGTCGGTGCTTGGAGAATTTGTTGCCGATAATAGCACCCGTGTGCGAAATGAGGGCCTTTATGACGGCTTTTTTCAGTGCCAGTGCAAGATCTAGGTTCGACCATGTCTTGTTGCGCCATTCTATTGTCGGCAGACGGAAGACAAAGTTGTGCACGTCCTCAAAGTTGCGCTGGTCCTTGCCGCGGTAGCTGACGCACAACACCACAGACGGCATCTTGATGTACGCAAACGTCATGTAGTTGCTGGCACGGTTAATCATCTTGGTCAGGTCGTCAGACTGCTGCTTGCTGTCTGGCGCGCTCTTGCGGCGGCTGAAGCGCGATGACTTCTTGTCTGTGCTGGCGGCAGAGTCCTTGGTCGAGAAGCCCGTAGACGATCTGCCGAGCGGGCCAGGTCGTCCAGAGCGCAGCGAGTCGTGGGATGTCTTTTTGGCCAGCGACTTGGAGCTGTTGCTGCTGCGGAATAGGCGGAAGCCCGATCCTTCTCCCGTATTTACTGTCAGATTCTTGGAATTCTTTTCAGGAGTGCGGTGCGAAGAAAGTGTGGGCTGTAGGCGCAGCTCCAGCGATCCAGGACGAGTAGAGAATGTACTGTCTCTGTCCATGGCCGGTGTGCCCAGTCTGCTCGCGGAGCTTACAGATTCAGAGTCGTCCTCATCAGCACCCGCTTCCGACTTGGTGCCGTCGTGCTTGCTTCCCTTTTCGCCGTCCATACCGGGGAAGATGTATTCAAACAGGCGCTTGCCAGCATCGCGCTCCAACTGAACCTTCATGGGGAACAGATTCACCTCGAAGCGATCCATGACAGGAATACCAGCAATCGCCTCCAACATATGCCAGTACACGCGAATCATGTCCGTATTCTCGTCGTCGGCTGATATGGTATTGTCGCCCTCGTAGTAAGGTGCAATAATCTCCGGGTACGTAGCATCCTTGAGCAGATTCAGGCCCAGAATCTTTCCCACGCGAATCAGATTAATATGTGATCCGTCCGAGTTATCCGTTCTGTCGTACTCCATGTCCTTGAGTTGCAGCTCCACCAGCGGCTCAGCCGAGTCCTGGATCAAATGCCAGACAATATCACGAATCGAGATGCTCCATTTCAGCAGGGCATTGGTGTCCGCATTCTGCGCATGCTTGCGCTGCGACGTCGTAATAGCCTTCATGATAAAGAAGAGCTCATCTTCACAGGCTGCCAAGTCTCGCTCCAGCAGGAGACGCTCCTCCCAACCCCGTCTATCGAGATACTTGGAGTATACGTGGAAATGCAGCTTAATCTCTTCCAAGTGGCGGATGCGCTCCTGCAGTGTCTGCACCATCTCTGGTGCACCACTGAGATCGCTAAAGTCGGACGCAAGCATAATCTTCTCCAGTCTTTCACTGCGCGTCTTCTCCAGCGGTTCGCTATACATCAGTAAGTCAAGCACAATGACATAGAGAGCGTAGTATTGCGAGGAGTTGCACAGAGCACGCGCCTGAGGGAATTCCACGCGCAGCGAGTCGGATCTGCTCTCGATGGCATCCTCCGAGTTGGCGTCTGAGTCTTCTTCGTTGACCTCGTCATTATACTTGAGACGCAGGTTATTGTACTTGTCGTAACGCAGCATCGCCGACGTCTTTTGCACAACACGCTTGAATCCAAAGGGATCGTTTTGGAAGTCAAACATGATTTCCATGGGCACCCATGGTGGCCATGCAGATCCAGACGGTGTACCGTATCGGCTTCCTGCGTACATGGAAACCAGATTCGTCAGGAACCACTTCTGGTGGGTAACAAAGAATTGGGTGCTGTCCATGTTGAGCAATAGACGGCGCTGGACGAGGCCACTGACAGTATCAGAAATGCGCTCCTTGTCCATGACCTCCACAACCTTCAGCTCCATGCCCTTGGATGTCACCAACACAACGTGCTTCTTATTCTTGTCACTCTGAAGCTGAATCTGGGGCGCAATCAGGCGAACATGGTAGGTGTTCTGAGGCGAGAATTCCTTGGCAATACCGCCCTCCAAATCTCCTAGAGCACCAGGACCGGTGCAGTCTGCATGACTAGTAAAAGTCGCGTTGGTGTGTCGGCGACCTTCTCCAATCATACTTCGGATACGGGCTTCCAAGTCCTCAGCGGCATCCTTTTCCTTAGGGTTTGGATCAGGCGATGTGCTGACGCCAGCAGAATCGTCCTTCTTCTTGCTCTGCTCATCCACAATATCCAGGATAAACTTGACGGCAGGGCGGGATAGATAGTACACAAAACCTCGGCGCTGACTGACTTGGTGAAAGTAACGCAGCACAATGTTTCGGAGCAAGTTGTTCCACTTGAGTTGCATGTTATGAACAACGAATCGGTTGTTATACTCGCTCTCAAACTGCGCCGCCTCTGGCAGATCCATGGGCGGGCTCTCGATGCCAGTATCCAGAGACCCCTGTCGGCTGTGGTTGTGACGTTGTCTCTTGGTCTGGCTGAAGTTTGCTTCCATCTGTTCCAGCATAGACTGTAGGAAAGTTTCCTTGTCTTTCAGCACATGGGTGTGCTTTCGCAGCGCTTCAAAATCTTCAACCATATCAGGCTCCTTCGTTACGGACTTGACAAGCTTGAGCTCAGCTTCCCCAACGTTGCGCTTATGACTTGACATTTGGACACTTAGTTGGTTCAAGCGCTCTTGGATAAGCTGTGCCTGCACTTCCTTGGGATCATCGCTCGTGCTCATGGTACAGAAATGCGTGGGCTCGTTGCCAAAGGGACTGGTGCGGGTTGGATCACCAGAAATAACACCCCCGATATCGGTTTGACGGAAGTAGGTAATTCGCGGGGCATACGCCAGGGGAAGAATCTTGGTATCAGGGTGTGCCTCCGTAGGTAGCGTCCAGTCAAGCTCAACAAAATCGTCCATATCGATCCAGCTAAAATCGTCGTCTGGGATTGTAAATCGAGACAAGTCAGGTTTGTCATCTTGGTCCGTAATCAATGACGACAGCGAGCCCTTCTTCAGAGCCTCAACCGTGGTGCCCTTGAGACTAGCAGACACGGCGCGGAGATCGGCGCAGGCGAGGTCTAAATGGCCAGCATGGATCTTGATACCAGAGGTGCGGCTGGGGGAGTTTTTGGTCTTTGCCAACGTGTTGAACTCTTCTCGTCGTGAATGCAAGTCAAGCATAAAGCTGTCGAAGCGGACCTTGACACCCGTGGCGGCAACAGAGTCCTCCATGTAGTCTTCTGCATCCTTGTGTTTGTAAATGTGGCTCAAAAAGAGCGGTGCTAGAAGCAGACTGTACTTGATGGTTGCCAAGTGTCGCCCAAACTTCTTGCTGCTCTTCTCATGGCCAGGGAAAAGATTACCTTGCCGGATAGGAAGCGACATGGGCTGGCTAAAGAGCGCCCACCAAGTAAAGAAGTGTGTGAAGAACCTAGGAGTAAGATGCACGGTGTTGTAACTTCGAGATGGGCCAGGATTATCCGCGAGCCACTCTCGGTCAGCCGGTGCACGAACAGCAATAGACAGATGAATATGTCTACTGCGGAACCCGCGATACGCATCGTACGGCAAATCGCCATCCGACGTTGCAAAGTGAGGGTTCTTGAGAACGACGTCGTAGTGAGGAATGAACTCAAAGTTGCGTTTGCCGCCCACAATCTCACTCTCAAATGTAAGGCCAGCAATCCATTCCACTTTGCCAGACAATTTCATGACGACCTTCTTGAACGTGGTTCCCGACTTGGTGTCCTCAATCAAGCGGCCTTCGTCATCGCCCCGACGACGGGCTGCTTCGCGGACATGGTGCCCAAAGTCAGGCACTGCCCAAACGTATTCGCCACTTTGCACAACAAAGAGCCTCTTGGGATCGTCAGCAGCGTTGATGTTCCATCTGACATCATTGCGCCAACACATCAGGAAACCAGCGCCGTGGCCAGTAACCTGGTACGGGTCGCGGGTTCCCTTGAGGCACAGATGAACATCGCCGTCGCCCTTCCAAGCGACGCGAATGCGTGAATGAAAATTGAGACGCAGCTTATCCCAAAAGCCGACCCTATCGGACGGATCAACCGGCGCCTTTGTAAAGGATTCCACCACCATCATCATATCCTGTATGGCTGGTTGGTAGCAAGGTCCCCATGTAAAGCGTGTGGGCAGACCCGTGTTGATATCCATTTGGACATCAGTGAAGGACTTGACTGGACCAATCGAGCGTCTAACTTCGATAGCGAAGCCGCCTTCGTTGGAGTCACCCGGATCTGAGCTTCTCGGGGGCACAATGTTGACTCGGATTCTGCGTGTTGATTCCACGCCGCGGAACTCTTCTGCCAATACAAAGTTTGTCTTGAGCGATACTGAGAACAGACGTGAGGACTGGCCAGATTTGAGGCCAGGAATATGCAGCAAAGGCAGCGGGTAGTCTCTGAGCGATAGCCTTGTTTCGTTCATATTGATTGATACGTGCATTGGTACCAAAAGACCATACTCCATGTCCTTGGGCATACCCTTTCCTATCTTGTGCAAAAAGTCTGGCAGTTCCTTTAGAGGGAAGGTTGGCTTATCAATCAGGATGTGCAAGTCAGAGACGACAGCAGAGAAAAGAGCCGGTCGAGGTGGGACTTCCAAGATGTGTTCCGTTTCTTCCACATCATCAGGAAGATGGTTGGAGCCCCAAAACATGCCGCGAAGCTCCTTGACACTGTCTTGGGACATTTGGTAAGCACGGTCGATGCGTTTTCTCCAAGACTGGGCATTGAACAAGTCAAGATGTGTTCGTGCATCTGTTTCGGAAACCTTGGCGTTGCCGTTGATTGCAATGTTGCCGCCGTCCGGATCGTATGTCGGGATTGCTGCAGATCTGGGGGCACGGTCGCGGTTTTGATACATATCTGCGCTTCTGCTTCGGAACCAGGAAGACGTGGCAGTCTCTTGGCGGCCACGGGCAAAGGTGGATCGAGATCGAATCTTGCTGCTGCCGCGCTTGAGCTCTTCTTCACGGACACGCCTCATCTTGACCTCGAACGCTTCGTCTCTGGCCATGCGCTGTCGTTGTTCCAGACGACCAGCACGGTAAATCATGCCCAGCTTCCATTCAAAGGCACCATCCTCGAATTCCAGCATAAAATTTCGCGTTCGAATAGATATTTTAGGAACCTTCTTGGGTCCTTCAGGCTTTTTCTCCAAAATATATTCGTTTGTTCCCGTCTTGAACCGGTGGTGGAGTTGCTGAACTGACTTGATAATATTGATGACATTGTCGTTGATGCGAGCTACAGTGACTTCGTGTGGCACGGCAATGCGAATAGCTTCCGCGGATACATCAATCAAGTTGTCGTCCACTAACGTGCCGTTGGCCAATCGTTGGCGCGACTCACGCAGGTCGACTCTTGCTGACTTTATACCGACCATCTTGGCCCAGACGTGCCTCATTCTTGGCGGCTGGACATACATGCGGATCAGCTTGGCAGCCAAGAATGGCGTTGCCCAGCGATGGCGACCAGCCTCGATTCCGTAGACGTGGAACATGACCAAAGGATCATGCGGCATCTCAGCCTTGAGCTGTACCAAGGAAGCCTTGAAATCAATGACCACAAGCTCAGAGTCGATGGTTCCTGGAGAATCCATGCCGGACGATGGAGGAGCCAGGCGGTTCGCGCGAGCATAGCTTCCTTGCTCTGGTTGCCTTGGGGCATCCCCGCCCGTTCTCACAAACGCCTTTCTCAGTGTCATTCCGGCGACACCCAGGGCGTAATGACGGTAAAGCGAGTACTGCATCATAACGGTGCGAACAGACGACTGAATGTGGAACATGGCGCCGTGGCTGTCACTCGAGGCAGAAAAGGCGAGCTCCAAGCGCGGGATGCTTAAGAAGGGCTCGACTTCGAGTCTGTCGGCAGCTTCAATAATTTGGGCTTCAATGCCCTTGGCGTGGAGGCTTAGCCTGCGGCCATCGCCGGGTATTTGTGCCTTGCGCCTAAATCTAGGAGACGACGACGGCGTCATATCCGAGTCCGACTGGGTGATGGATCGGCTGTGAGTGCGTCTTCGTTGAGTCCGGCGCTGCAATCCGTCCAATCTATGGGCGCGGTATTCGGCAGCAAAATTATCTAAATGCAGCGATACGCCGCGAGTATCGTCGGAAATGTCCTCATCAACGCCAGCAACTTCGACATTGAAGTCTTTGGCTTCGATGTGGTAGCGCAGAAGCCAATCCGGGGCCGAGCGAAGAAAGTTTCGTTGTCTCTTGACTTTGGGAGCGGCTCTCTTTTCAGGCTCGACGTCGATGCGTAGCTGCCGTACAATCTGTCGGAGACCATCTGTGATTTCCGGTCGAACCATGCTAACAGCAAAGGACTGGATGGTACCAGTCAAATCGACAGACACTTCTGGGTCGGCAACAACATGCACCTTCATGTCAAATGATTCGGTTGTTATCAGGTTGAATCGCTCACCAGCATTAGTCTGGTAGTATAAATCGTGAGTCTGGAGGCGCATGGAGCCGTCGAGCGAATAATGGAGGTCTTCAATGGGCGAATGCGACGACTCGACGTCCATGGATACAGACGAGATGGAAGAAATAATAAGGTCGAAATCGTCCGCATCGCCGGTTTTTTCCAACGGCTTGAGCTTAATTCGCATAACGGGTTCGTGCATTGAAAACTTAATGTTGGCCTTGGGTAAGAATCTAGACAAGATACTGCCGCGAGATTGTTTTCGAAACGTCGGTGGTTTAGGTTTTGGCTGGAGCAGCGCTATAATCAGAGGGAGGTGAGCTGGGTCGAGATCTACTGAGGGCGACGTGACGACCGAGTTTGCGTATAAAATATTCGTATTCTTTTCATCAACACCTCCATCTTCGGTTAATTGTACTGTTTTAGAAGGCAGTGTAGTTCGAACTGTTGTCGTAACCATGGGAATATAGAGTAGTCGTTCTGTGCGGCCCTGGCCATCGTCGAGGCCAAGGGATATAGAGAGGGCGGCAGCGAGGCCTTCGTGGGCGATGTCTTTGGTGGGAAAGTACATGCGATGTGCTGCAGAATTGGGGTCGAGTCTGTGTAAATCGATACCAATTTCCTTCATGGAAGCGTGAAACTGAATAGGCACCGCGTTTGGCTTGACAGCGTCAATACCCATAGTCAGGCCGATATGGCTGACCGCAAACTGGATTTCCTTGATGCCACGCAATATAGAGTTGAAAAAGTCTCTAGAATTATGCGTATTTTTAGTAGTAGAAGCCTCTTCTGTTTCTGACTTCCTCGTCTTCAAGCTCGGGGCATGGAGAGATATGTCGCCGCTGTCCTTTTCGCGAAATGTGGACGCTCGCTTGTGTTTCTTAAGCTGCGTGGCGCAGATATTAAAGTCGTCGTAGGGGATATGCACTCGTCCAAACTTGACGCTAATTGTCGTGTCGCGGAGGCCATCTCTCGTGGGATCAATGAAGCCATGAATATTAACCAAGACATTGTCGAGGATCTCCAACGACTCTCTGCCGTCGGCTGTAAAGAGGACGCTGCGGACGGAAATAATCCATTCGGCTTGCGGCTTGCGCTTCTTGGCGCCAGGTCGAAGAGAAAAGAAACGTGTACGGTCGACTGTCTTGTTGCGCGTATCAACAGCAACAGTGAAGCTTCCAACCTGCAGGCTGCCCACGTCGACGATATTGATGGTCGTATTTGTGGCCATGATATCCACCATGCGCATCCAGCGGACATTTTTATGCAGCTTCTTGAGTTTATCCTTCAAATCAAAGAGCGATCTCCAGGTTGAATTTTCGGCAGCTTCGTCGTCGCTCTTGGGCGTACTGCTCTGTGGCTTCTCGCCCGAAGTCGGGCTGGTGGGCGCATCTTGCTCGGAGTCGCTGGCGAGCGAAGCATCGACGGATTTGCTTCCATTCAGCTCGCGGAGATCGACAGTGACTACAAGCTCGTTTAATGCAATACTGACCCAGGTCGGCTGGGCAAAAGTCGGTCTATGGATGTTGAGGCCGAGCCCGCGGATCTCGACTCGGCAGCCATCGCGGGGCGTATATGCTAATCGTCGGAGGGATAGATAACCAATTCTCTGGATGGAAACGCCCGTAAGGATTCGGATAATGGCAAAGAAGACAAACGAGGAGAGATAGAGAACGACAACGACTCCCAGCAGAAAAGTCGGGCTGAGGAGCGCCATTGTCGGCGGGAGGCGGGCGCGCGTCGAGCTAAGAGTCTAGCGATAGAGCGTTAGCACAGGAAATGCGAAGGCAAACACGTCGGAGGAGCTGTAGGAGCATACATTCTAGCTTGTCCCGGGCCCTGTTGGAGTGACGGTCTAGTGCGCCGTGGCCATGATCAATGACAGTCGTGGCTGGTTGGGAGTGTTTGATGACGGAGCGCACTACGTCTGGCAGGTGAGGAGAAGAAGGCCCGAGCTGCGGCGCTAAGGTTGGGGAAAAGAAAGCGAGACTTGTCGTCTGTTTAAACAAAGGAAAAGAGAATGAATGACGTGAGAAAATTAAAAAGAAAAAATTAAGGGCAGCTTCTTCTACTCTCGGACTATGTCTTGTATATTTTCCTACTTTCTTTTCCTCGTTTTCCCGGTTGTGGAAAGGTGGGAGAGGCAGCCTGGTCTTGTCGCGGCACTCGCGGTCTATCTCCGGGATTTCCTTCTGGGGCTACAGAGGGCATGCAAGCACTAAACGCGCCGGAAGAGGGCCCTATTCCCAACACCCACACTACGTGTTCTACACCGATTCTAGGGGGAAGGGAGCGACGGCAGCCAGCTTAGAAAGGCGGAGGCGGGGACAACGGCAACAGAAAAAAGGGATGATGCGGCTGGACTCCATATTCAATTTCACAGCAAAGGCAGTGGAATTAAGCTGGTGCTGGCTGCTGGGGGGACGTGGAAATTAACCTGCCCAACAAAAAAATATCCGGAGCAGCATCAGCTGGGTTGTGGTTCATTTTTTTCTTGTTTTTTCTTTCTTATCATTGAACTCATCTCCCAGCAGAGACAATGCACCGGACACATAAAAAGAACCCTTTCCCACGAGAAAAAAAGTCAATGGCCCAGCGCGCAGCATCAGTAGTCTTTTAGTCGTCGGATACAGCGGCCCCAGATGCAAACAGACCAAAAAAAGTAAATGCTACGCTCCACCGTGGATCCCCAGTGACGATTACACTTGCACTCACAAGTGGCCTCTCTATTCCCGGTAACATCATGGCAACGCATACTCTTCGTGCAGCGCAGCATCGAGGGCGCAAGATAAAGAAAAGCGCCTGTTTCGCGTAAAGCGCGGCTGGGTGCTGTCAACCTTATCTATCCCACATTGATCCGAGACATGCCAGCCTATCGTGAGGTCGTGTTCCGGTTCAAGGGAGGGAAGAGAGAGTGAGGCGGCTGGGGCGCAGCAGTAGGAATCGCGTATGCAGGCTGCCAATTCGCATTGCCTCGCATTCAATAAAGACGCCCGTATCCTTATCCAATACTTGTAATAGTTGCCGCTCTGCTCAGCCTGGCGTTGTGGCGTGTATCTTTGGCTCGCATTCATCCCCATTTCGCTAGTCTCTGAGCCATACTACTAGCTCCGGGTAGCTGCAGCAGCCAACGGTGCGACTCGCGTGGCAGTTTGGCAGCATCCGAAGGATCCGTGGCGATTTGTAGACTTTTCGGCACTGTTCCGAATCGATGAGTTTTGTGACGTGTAATTTTGTATTGGTTTGTGTATAGTTGGTCATTGTTTAGATGTGAGCTGTATGAATGAGGTGTTGTGAAAACAAGGGTCTATGCATCTAAGCAGTATGAAAAGAATAGGCAGAGAGATATTGTCTACACGGACCAATAGATTACCAACAACCCGCTGATTTGAAAAATCAAATCCAGTAGACTAGTCATAAAATAATGAAACCGAGTACAATTGATACACAAATTATTGAAATGGCAGATTTGCGCGTCCTTTGACCTCTGATTCCAACCTCTAGGGTAAAGGTCCCCCAGCGCTCAGTTTCAGCGATCGCTGGCACCCAACCTCCGTTCAAAACGGCGGCTCAAACTGGCCTGCCCACCCATTAAGCGAACCCCACGTCCTGTAATGGGCATTTTCGCGTCTGAGACACAACGCGAACGAGCTCTTAAGGTATTTCTAGAATCCATTAAACCTCTAAATTAAGCGAACCAACCTCTGCTGAACAAGAGAGGACTATAATTAGATAATTGGCAACTTCCCTCAAATGGGAAAGACTTCTATCATGGCATAAATACATCCCATATAGTCACCCTCACGACGTCTGTAGCCTACACTGGCACCCTGCGATAGTTGCTTCCCAAAGGATTCCATGCAACATCCTATTCGAGGTTGAATCAGCTACCAATTTCTCAATCCAGGCATACACTAGCTTCATTAACTGGGCAAGCATAATTACCTCAGAACATGGGCCGCTTGCGAACGGCCACCTGCTATCATACCGTGACATCGCCTCTCCCAGGCACGCACTCGTGGCCAACGAGGCACACTCGCTCGGCTTTTTCAATTAAACCATCCTTTTCGGTAGCGGATAATAGTGATACAACCTCAACTCTGAACCATGCGTGCGTCCAACAAGCTACACACCCAGTCTTCTCAGTTGCCACATAAAACAGCGCCGACTAGGGTTGGAAAGGGTTCTTCTGGCTAGCCAGGTACAACTACACCACCACACAGATCGTCTTTCAGCCGCACATCCTAGACGCACAGTAGAGTAAATACACGAACCATTACGACACCCACTCGCCACCCTGTGACGCACATCCCATCCATCCCATCTTTTGGCGGACCCTGGAGAGTCCTTGCAGAACTACGTACAGTAGACCCTTGGTCTTGGGATAGAAGTAGAAAGGGTAGCCAACCACCCACTAGCTCATAGTGGAGGAAGCGGGACTGGAGGTCCTCTGATTATCCTAGAAACAGGTTTCTACAAGGTCTAAAGGGACTGAATACAACCCAAGTTAGAAGGCAGCTTAGACAGAAACCGGGGAGTGTGTGTTGCGGCGGCGGTCACGTCAGTTGCAGGATGGGCAAAGCCAAATCCCCCATCCCAAAAGCCTGTGCCCAAATAAAACAAGCCAGAAAAAAGAAAATTCACCATGTTTGTTATCCATAACCTGTGACAACAACACCTGCATTCCCATCCTGTATGCGAGTGTGCCACCAACACAGCGGCATGGGATTCTGCACAACTGCCGCCGTTGAAAGAAAATGCCGTTCCTGATGAGCCACCACAAAAAAAGGAAAACGGCTCGGGCAAGAAATGCTGCTGCAGCACAGTACCCAGCCAAGCCACGCCCTCTGGCTAGTTTTGGTGTGCATCCAACCTGTGCGGCTAGTCGAGTGTGTGGTGGTGTCGACGACGCACATTGGGAAAAAAAGGCGGCAGCACGGCGGGGTACGTACCTCTACAAGGTGCGGGCGGTGGGATGGGAAAGTCGGCTTTGCGTCATGGGAAATTGGGACCAAATCCCATGTTGGAGAGGGGGCGGAGATTCCACCACAACCTCTGACGTACCAATCATGGAGTAGACAGGGACACTGTGCCCGCTGAAAAACCTTGTAAAATTACCCAGAACACATGCTACAAAAAAAGATGATCATAAAAAAGAGTGGAATAACCTTTGGAAGCTGTAGCAAAGAAATTGGCCTAGCTTCGTGTCGCAGTAGTAAAACCGTGTGTAGAACAGTGCAATTCCGTTCGTCTGCTAGTTTGGAGCTAGTCTACGATGAGGGGAAGCTCGGCACTCCAAATTTTTACAAAAGTCGATGATCCTACGAAAGAAGGCGAGGAAAAAGAAAGCAGGCAAGCGAGGTACAGACAATACAATTCGCTTGTTCGTCCGTCGTCTATACAGCTGTCTGTCACTGCTTCTAAGCACAGCCATGTAGTGCTTTTGCAGAAGCAATCAGCAGTAAGTTAGTCCACGTCTTCGTAGACAGCACACAAGTAATTGCCCAAGTAGCATGTTCCTCGATCCGTCTGATCATTGGCCGATGCAAAGAATCCTCTTGCGCGCCCATAAATAACAACCGAGCGAGAGACAGCCACAAGCCAGTAACGAGGACGTGGGTGTGTGTGCTGCTAAAAACAGATGACGCAGCTCGTGGCACGTCCCAAAATAACGAAGCGAAACAGAAGATGAAGAACCTACGAAGCGAAAGCGTATGCCGCGCCTGTCTAATGAAGCAGCCTCGCGCGCCTTACGCACCAAACAGGTCTCAGTAGCCCAATTTATTTTTACCGGAGCAAGTCCAAGTCAAACGCCCTCGCCTAGCCTTTTTTATTCCCCGAGAGGTGAATCGCAAATCGAAGACACTTGTAGGAACGCGGGTGTGGAATTGGACTCCAAAAATGGGCACATGAGCTTCCTGACACAGCAAGGTGAAACCTTGGGTTCGCATGGCCAAGTAGCAGTTCGTTGAGGGCTGCAACCCGCCCAGAATGTTTCATGGGAGCGGTTTAGGCGAGAACAAAAAAAGCCAGCGCCATCATTTCAGCGGTTCGTCGTGGGTGGTGCGCATGCCAGTTTGGGCTCTTGGTGGTGTGGTGCCTGTGGTCAGGTTGACGGTGCTGGTGATCACAGCCTTTGCGTGGGCATCGACGATCCGCAGCACATTGGTGTCGCACGGCGTGAGGATCAAATTCTTCCTCTTTGATACATGGTTTTATTTCCCTCTACATCGTCGATGCTAGCTTAGACTGTCTTCTCTTGGACTTTTGTTGTGTTTCTCTGACCCAAAAAATCACCACCAAACTGGCTGCACTGCACACCGTCGTGTTTTGTTATGTTTTATCTCTGCCGTCTCTTCTTATTTGCATCGTTTAAGCGGAAGCTTCGGAGGGACAGACAGGGGAACCATCATCACGGTCCCCCCGGAACGAAGCGCGCACACGTTGCTGTAAGTAAGTCCCGCCGTTGGTGTCCAATGGTGCAAGCTTGCCATACCAGCCTGCCTTTAGCGAGTGTAATATTGGGCTGGGGCAAATTAGCCACAAGAGTGAGTTACATCATAGGCTCTTTCCTTGGTGTCTATTTAGCTAGACGGCTTTCCTAAATTTGCGGCCAGCCAGTGACTAGGTACAGTAAGTTAGGTGCGTAAGCAAGGACAAAGGACCTCTATTGTGGCTGGGCAGCCAGCTTGTAATACTGTGCCCGTGTAAAAGCACCGCAGGCTTCCTTAGCGCACTCAAGAAACCGAAGTTACAGTGAGCTTCAGCCACGTAGAGGCGGCATCCTGCAAGCAAAGCGCCTAATTTGGTAGTTGGCCGTGGGTTAATAGTTTTTACAGCGACGGTCTTTGCGTAGATGGTGTGGCTTGGGCGAACTGCTACCAGCCTGCAGCGTGTGCAGCAGCGCCAGGTCTCACAGTGCCCAGCACTGTCCGCCCCACAGTAGAGGGGCGTACGACCGACCGCTCCCAGCGCCGGTAGCTGCGTGTGGGACGGGCGCATAGATCGAGGATTTGGTGGGCAATCAGTGATTCCCATGCAAACCTACGCATGCAAAGGGTCTCCCAGCCCGCCGAAGCGTTCCAACCAAAAAGAAAAACAGGCACCCTTGCCAGGCAGTAGCGCCTGCCTGCCCCAGCCCGTAATACGCTATTTTCTCCGTTTCTTCCTTTTTCTAGCGGGTTAGGATTTGACAAGCAAAAAACAAAACACAGTCATGACGTTGGCTGGAACAAGTTTGCTGCGTTCCTTATACATAGACATACGTGCAGCCATAGACATGCTCCTTCATGTCTTTTACTAACTAACAACCTTTTTCTCTATGCTTCTTGCGCGTAGTTGCAAACGGTCGTCATTCATTGAATTTTATATAAGTGGCGCTTGCTATTTTACATTGCGGAGGAGAGGCTCCGGGTGCTGACCCGTATAAAGTCCATGACGACATTGAAGAGCCGTCAGGCGGGGCGAGCATGCTTTTCAAGGGGTCCCCGAAGCGCATGGCGTACAAAGTATGAGAAAAAAAAAAAACCTGTTAGCGGACGGGCGGGCGACCAGGGGCAGTTGCATGCGGTGTTTGGCAGCAACCAAGGCGAGCATTTCTCGATGCGCCGCGGGTGCGATGTTTGACTCGGCGCAGCGATCGAAGGTTTGGCAGACGCATCGCCGGTTCTGGGGCTCAGGGTCCCCCTTTCTGTGGAGAACAAGGGACTTGTGGAGCCGGCGGGATCCACGGTAGTCCTGCACTTAGGGCGTGCACGTTGCCCAAAAAAGAAAACCATGTAAATCTTGCTCTGGGGGTTTATGGGTTAAAATGATATCTTTTGTGATTGACACGAACACAAGATCACGATGAACCTCGTATAAAATAATTTTAGCGAAAAATTTCTAGCTCCTGGGGCTGTTGCACGTGTCCACCGCACCGCCACACGGTGTTAGTCGGGCGCCCAAACCGTCGGTGCTTGCTGGGCTGCTGTTGCTTGCTAACACAGTACGGTCCCAAGTCATGGCGACCGCTGGTCAGCCACAATCCTGAGTCGGGAGGGCCAGCCAGCGGCTAGGGGATTCTAGGTCCCAATAGCGAGCTTACGCCAAAAAAAGAATCCCACTACTAAGGCGCAAAGGGTCCTCCTACGGTAACGACCATGCAGCACTAGCTTCTCCATGCGGGCGTATGCTCGTCTGATGGTGCTGCTGCTGCGTGTAACTGCCAAAGCAAGGAAGATGCCGTCATATGATGGATAGATGGTCTGTTCTTTCGGCTGCGATCAATATATTGGATATTCCCAGACTGGCTCCTCATGGCAGCCCCTTCCTTCACCGGCGCTACCGAGTATTCTTTTGTACATTGCAACAGCAGCTAGAACGGACCCTGTGTGATCTACAGGGCAAAGGTTCATCATTTACTAGTAAAGGCACCTCGAAAGTAAGCAGAGAAGGGCTGAACGGATCAAGTAGTAAGAAATTGGATAATGGCATAATTAGCCACATTTAGGGGATCTCAATGAGAGCTCGCTGCTGCAAGCAGAACCACGAGTGACCCAAGATCGGCAACCAAACTATGCACGCTGGCGTGCGCCGCGGCGTGAAATGATTAGTAGGTGTGGTCGTGGCGTGCAGCGCTAAGCAGCCAGCGTTTAGGCTAGGAGGGGCGTGGTGGTGGAGGTGGCCGGTGGAGAGGCGTGGCTGTCTGTCGCAACGTCGCCAGGTACCGGGCCACACACGCTGGGCGGCTTTGCCAGTATGTGTGCTTCCTCCAAGTTGCTTTTTAAGCCTCTGGGCGGTTTGGGCGATACTACGAGCAAAAATGTGTAAGATTTGGAGGATTTTGGGCGTCTTTCATGTATAGACGGGACGCCAAGCGAGTATGAGAACTGGCAGACATCGTCCACTTTGCTCGTATATACTTGGTTTTTATCTGCCTACGAGCTCTCGTATGCAGGGTCGAAACGGGGAAACCCCATGGTGGTGCCAAGCAGTAACAACAGTAGACGCAGCATCAACGATGGTGGTAGCGTCTCTCTCTCTCTCGCGCGTCCATGTCAGTCCGCCACGGGCATGTGAATTGACCGGAAAATTGGTGTTATTGCAGCTGCTGCCGATTCCTTGTTTACACCGATAGACAGACATACAGAAATGGGGGACCTCGACACACCGCCGGCATGCATCAGACATGATGATGACCCAGGGCTGAATGATGCAGGCAGCTTGCAACCTGAACCACCCGGCACCCTAGGGCCAAGCGAGAAATGTTGCCCTACGGGAGGGAATATCTCAAGACTGAGATGGTGTTTTGGGACAATCTTGCGTCTTCCGACTATCCACTCCCCAAGATGTTTACAAAATTCCCCTGTCGTGATGGGCTGATACCACTACCCTTTCTGTTTAGCCCGGTAGGGTGAACCAGTGTTCAGGCATCGCATGTCTCTAAGACGGGCGATGGAACAGACGCACCTGTCTGGAACAGGAGCAGCAGCCGTGGTGGTCGGCGGGAGAGGCGCGACAGAGTGCACCCCGAGTACGTAGCTGGCTACCCTGCGGCTAAAGTACAGTTAGGAAAAAACACTAAATACATTTGTCTACAGGTTGTGCAGCAGTATAAAAAATTGCATGTTAGTATTTGGCGGTGTTGTTACTGAAGAGAATGGCTCTCGTACTGTAGTCAACCACGGCCTGGCCACTGTGTGACGGTACTGTGGCTGTACGCAACGGCTCTCTACGTAAACGTCTTGTCAGTTGACATACAGCAACCCATGACGATGAGTGACAACAAACTCATGTTGTTTATTTTTATTTGATAATTTGCCCTACGAATGCTCCCAGTTCCCTTGCCCCTTGTTTTTCTCACTCTTCGTAGGGTTATCATGATTTTTTTCTGGCATATGGCTGATTCGCAACCATATTGCTTCTGGAAGTAAATTCCGCTGGACCAGAGTGGAGGGAGGGCGTGTGCCACTGTAGCAAGCAAGGCAGGGCTTACAGTGTGCTGGTCCACCGCCTTGGGCGGGCAGACATACGTACGTAGACACACACCACCAGCCAACAGCAGCCCGTTTGTCTGGTGTGGCGTGTGTGTGTGTGTGTGTGTGTGTAGAGTAGTCTGTACAGTGTGGAAATGTTGTGGAGCCCACAGGGGGCGTGTAAGGTGTGCCGCTGAGAAACACAACGCCCCTTCCATCCCCACTGCTGGGCCACTGGCCACTCGCTGAGCGCAGTGGATCGCTCGATCCCAGCGCTGCACTGATCGAGAAGTGCTCACCCAAAAGACGGCCAAAAGTGAAATCCCCATGTCCCCTACTTAGGACACTGGCTCGCCCTCCACCTCTTTTCCCTTTTTTGCCCACCACCCGCGTCTGTCTTTTCCTCTTCTCTCTTCCTACATTAACATCTTCTTCCTCCCTCACTCACCCAGGACCCTTTCCCGTTCTATTTTTACGCTACGGATTTATTTATTTATTTCCATCCCCCTTGTCCATCTCTCCTCTCCTCTCCTCCAAGGAACCCTTCTTCTACTTCCCCCCTCTGCGCCCTTTGGCCCATAAACAGAGCTTCAGCTCCCCCGTTTTCTCGCACCCACTGCGCCCCAAAAGCCCAGCCAGAACAACCAAAGAGGCCCAGGCACCGGTACGTCACACCCCCCATTACCCTTGCGACCGCCCAGGGCAAGCTCCGTTTTCTCTTCCAGCTCGACGTTTCTCTTTTCTTCTTTTCTTCTGCATGCTGCTGGAAATCAAAAAAGAAGAAGAGAAAAGCAGGCACGGAGCCATACACTTTTATTCTCGGCCACAGACTAACACAATACACAGCATCCATTGCACCCTTTTGCATCCATCACCACTACTAGCTGCAACTTTGCCCAAAATGGAGGCCAGAAACGCCGCAGGCCGAACCATCTCGCTCTTAAACGACGCACCCTCACCACAGCTGCTTCACCCTGCCCAGCCCATCTACCGCAGAGAATATGTCAACCACTATCCCACACCCAGATCAGGAGCCTCGTCGCCAGACACCCCCGAGCTGCTCCGTTCCGACTCATACGACTCGCACCTTAGTACAGAAGCCGCCATCTCGCCCTTGACACCGTCCATCGACTACCCTCGTGCCAGCGAGTACTACCAGCAAGACAAGGCCTCATCCATGATGCAGCGCCCATCTATCCACGAGTCGAGCCGTGCCACCTCGTACGAGGAGGACCGCTCCGTGGCCGAGCGCCCAGCTAAGCGCTACCCGTGCCGGTACCGCGACACACATGGCTGCGACAAGACATTTACCACGTCTGGCCATGCCTCGCGCCACTCCAAGATTCACACCGCCGAAAAGGCCGTCCAGTGCACCTTTGCCGGGTGCCAGAAGAAGTTTACCCGCGCCGACAACATGAAGCAGCACCTTGAGACGCATTACAAGGACAAGCCCCGCGGCAGCCAGCGCAAGGCCGCCGCCATGAACGACGCTCGCCGCAACTCCAACAGCTCCGTTGGCTGCCACCGCTCGTCCACCATGAGCAGCAGCACCGACTACATGGCCCACGAGCCCGTCACGCAGTACGAGCTGCCCACGCCTCCCGTAGCCTCTCCTCGCGGCTACTCTGGCTCCTGGGAAGTTCGCAAGGTCGATTTGCCTCTGCACGGCGGCCCAGCACGCACCGGCCTCGATGCCCTCGCCATGGCCATCGCCTGCCAGGAGACTGCCCACTAAAGAGTCCGTCATGTCTGCTACAGCGCCCTTTGTTCCCCAGCTGCTCCAGTCTCCGTGCTATTTTTCGCACATTACCCGCAACAAAACGTTTGATCACCATGACTCAAGGCGATATTTTCATCCCAGCAGAGCCCGCCACCCCTCTGTCTCATTTCCTTACAACCATGGATTTTATTAGAAATACGCATGCATTGGTCGACGCTCACGCTCACGTCAAGCGTCGTCATACGACCTTTTTTTCCTTCTTCTTTCATATTTTACATGACAATTCTTCATTATTAATCGTCCCCCCGAGGACCGGTGTTCTTTTTTTGACGGCATCCTTTGAGCATTTACGAAAAAGAAGGACATGCCTTTTGGCCAGTTTTGGTATACCCATACTTTTTATTTTTGGATAGGGGACTAGTTTTGATTTAACGACGACATGTACACGAAAAATGGCGTCTCTGGTTTACTCTTCATTGTTACTATATCCCATTTGATGGCTTCCATACACGGAAAGCCTATTTGGATTCTTTTTTAGCAGACAAAAACACATAGATGTTGCACATGTATATATATCTATGGAAAAACACTGCACTTTTCTTCAAACGTGCCTCGTACCTACGGTTTTGACTGTGCGCGCACTTGACACTGTATAGGGGACACCGAAAACCGCATGTTTTTCCAGCATGGGATTTCCGGGATGGAAGATGTCATTTTGGTTTTTTTTTCTGCAACGGGACGGACGGTGGCGACACCACGGGACGGTTGTGCGGATCCTAATTGAGCCCCCTGAAGGAGGCCAGTGTTCAAAACGGACGGCGAAACGGTGGTTGATGTGGCGGCGCGGACTAGAATTAGTGTGGCTAGTGGCGAGCGCCTCGCGAACACAGTGTAACACAACCAACCAACTACCGAGAATTTGGGCGGCAACAGGCTAAATTTAACTTTTACATTGGTCGATTTATCTATACTGTGAGGGGTCAAGATACTTTACAGTATAAATGGATATAAGGGTACTTTGATTGAAATGCTGCAATGGAAGGATATCGTGAGGCTCATACGTGAGAGTGTAGTTTCAAAAAAGGAGACTTGAATGATGTGAAAAAATCATGAATCATTATTCATTTCTAGGTAATTACACTGTTTTTCTTTTTGCGCGTGCCATTCTTGGGTATCATCGCTTCTGCAGCACAGTCTAGATCAGCCGCCCAGCCCAGCCCAGTCAAACGCCTGTTTTTACTATATGTTTCTTCATTTTTGGCCTCTCGCATGCTTCCTATTCCGTGCCGCGATGGCGAGACGCCGGATGCTCTATTTCTGGAGACGACGCATACGAGCCGTGCGACGTGTTGTATGAGGTATGCGATGTGTATGATGCGGACGAGGCCTGCGTAAAGCCAGACGATGCTTGCGTGTTGGGGGAGATTTGGTAGGAGGAGGATGCTTGGGTAAAGGGTGAAATGTGGGAGGATGGTCGACGGGTCGATGTTGATGGCGGTGAGAGTTCAGGCGTCGCAAGCTGATATGACTGAGGCTGGAAGGGGATGGCGGCGTGGGCGGTTTCTGCGTGGAGCGTGCTCCATGATTGTGTAAAGGCTCGATAACCTGGTCCAGTTAGCAGTGTGCGCGCAGAGTGTTATCAAAAGAGAGAAAAAGACGAACCTTCTCGGCGGGAAAAGCGGAAAAAGAGATGGCGAATCTCGCGTTCTCGTTTCGATGTGGTGGATGAGGACGATTCGGCAGAGCTGCCGGACCCCGTGCGCTGGCGCCGCGAGAATGAAAAGCGGCGTCCGGTGTTTTCTGAGCCCGAGTCGCGGCGTTTCCGCGTGGATATTTGCACCTGCTTCTTATGCTCCTTCTTGTCGCGAATGTCACGCTCAAACACGGGCACGTCGTACTCAATATATGGCCGCCCAGGGAGCTTGTTGGCGAGAATGGTGATGGAATAGTAGCTTGTGATGGGGTCTCGCCACAGCTTTACGCGCTGGCCTACAGCAATGCCTCTTACTTGGCCGAATGTGTCGGTCCGGTCGTGCACGTCGGTCCAGGCTACGTCGACATCGTAAAAGGTGACGAGCTCCTTGGCGCGAAGGTCGCTCTGGAACTGCCGTGAAGCGTCTACGCTTGTGAATTCATATCGTGCTGTAATGGGCTGGTCGTGGATAATTTCGCCTTCGTCGTTGGTATAGCGGATATGATGTGAGTCGGTAAAGGTTACTGATCGTTCCATGTCGGATGGCTCATGATACGGGCGGTGGTGCGCATGGCTTGTGTGAGGATAGATATCGGCTTGTGACTCCACAGAAACTGAGCGGTTAGCTTGCGAAATACTACAAAAAAGAATAGGCCTAAGAGACGTACTATAATGCTCAAGAACTTCGCCGGCATAGCTGCATTGCCATACAATGCAGACGCCTTCTGGAGATACGGTCACCGTCCACGGGCCGAGGTACACGGTTCGCTCATCCTTTGTCTCGGGATATAATACTCTGTTACCAATTAGCAAATTGCCTACCCTTCCACTCAAAAAACATACATTGTTGCTTCATATCCGGGAGGGCCAAGGTCCAACGCCGGAGGTTCTTGGCTTCCCGTTGCGGCGGTGGGCGACGTCGCCGAGGGCGCCCAGGCGGAGCTTGGCCCGGCGCTCGAGTGTGTGTATGTCGGAGGGCGGCTGAGAGAAGAGGACGTGAAGGATGAGCCCGACGAGTATGAAGAGACCATGCTGAAGCGCACAGCTCTTTATCTGTGGCTCGTTGGGATGGCGGTGCTGGTCGGCGTCGAGCGGCTTTGTTGGGCGGGAAGCGGGGTGACGCTCGCCGTGAGGTGCCGGCGCTGCTGACCGGCACGGGATAAGGAATCGGAGCGTGTGAGGAGGTCGGATGCGATATAGAATAGCGACTTCATGAATGAGCTTGTGTGAAGGCAGATGAAGACGGTGAAAGGAATAAAAGATCCAAGGCGCACAGCAAAAGTGCCGGAAAGTGAGATTTCAGGTTGGGTTGCTGGCTTGTGGCGTTTGGCCAGCTAGGGTCGCTGCTGCTGGGCCAGCGCAAGAAGCACGACGCCAGAAGGGCCGCGAGGATTGGAGAAGCAACGGCGACGCCTGCAGGCCGATGCTCGCTCGATTGCTTTTTGGGGGAGGGGGTGGACGCGGATGTGCAATATCAAGCCCGATGAAGCCGGAACCGCCCAAATGCAGATGCGCAGGCAAGCCAACTTGGGAAAAAAAGGAAACAAAGAAGGGTGCAGCAAGGCAGTAGGAGGACCAGGCAGGGCCAACGCCAGAGAGTTTCAGCCGTGGGCTGGTGTGCTGTGGGCAAGTAGTGGATCAGCAGGACGATTGATTCAACTACGTAGTTTGCTTTCTCTCAGTCTGCCTGGTTGCTTTGCCCCCTCCAGCTGAGTTGTCGCCCGTTGAGCACGGCTAGTCAGGGTATGCACGTAACCCGGGCAGAGCAGGGCTAGAGGTAATTGGGAATGTAGCAACAACAGGTGAGGCTAGGCGCTCATGGACCACCCGTGGACCCGTGGGTGACATCGCCAACGGCTGCACCCGGGCTCGGAGAGCTAGCCAGCGCTGGCCTGCAGCACATAGGCGAACGAGGGCCCATGGGGCGGGCTGCTGGGGACCCTGCTGTGCGACTCCTCACTTTTTTGTGCGGCGGCCGCGTAGTGGTTTGTCGTCATGGAGGAGGAGCACCAGCAGCTACAGCACAGCGACCCTGGGAGCGGTCGGCAGCCAAGCGAAAAACGAGGCGTCAAATGGTTGAGAAGATGGAGTCGCCAGGCATAGATGGATCTGCCACTAAAATCCATGGATCATGGCCACGAGGCTGCTACGGGTGCTGTGATGGGCTGGGCTTGGTTGCAGAGGTGGACCAAGCCTCATAAACCCACAGCACTGCGACCCCCGCTGCGTTCGCCGCCTGCCTGTCTGCCAGTTGCCCGCCAGCTGGCCGCCAGTTGGTAAAGTGCAAAAACGTGCGTGGAGGCGTCTGAATATTCGCAGCCCTCCCAGGTGGCAGAATACTATGCCACCTGGCGGGCACTTGGCAATATAATAATCACGCATCAATGGGCATGTTATGCCCATTGAGTGCTTCTTTCTTTCTTCCCGCTTCCCTTGAACGACGCCGCATAATGCTGTTTCACAGCCAACCCTCTACCCCGGGAGGGCATTAGAACCCAGCAGCCACCACTTGGTGGTGCTATCAGCCTGATTGCCCAGTTCTAGCCATACAAACATGCGACTTGATTCACGTTGAATGTCCGGACAGTCTCGGCCGTCCATTGCTCTCTCTTCCTTGCACTTGTGCCTTCTGCTCCTTTGACCGCGTCAAAGATACATGCAACCCCCCAAAATGGCGCCTTATCGAAAAACGCCGTCACATCGTCTATTGCCAAACTCCACCTGCGCAGGGGCTTTGCGTGGTCATTCGCCCGCCAAAGGCAAACAGAAGACTGCAGCGCGGCAGCATCCTCGCCAGTAGCTCGAGACATGCATATCGTTGACCCAGAGCGCCACGCTTGTCATGTACCTTGCAGTGCGTTTGGTTTGCTTGTTCTTCTAACCGACAGAAAACCAAGATGTCGGGTTATACTGATGACATCCCTGGCCATAGTAGTAGATGTCCAGGTTCTGGTCGCCATATTTCGATCATCATACGGCTTGCTACTGCAGCCCTTGGAGATCGCTGGCGTCAAAGCACACTCAGCACGCTAAACCATGCACTGCGCCGGGCTAGGTGCAACGCTGACGGGTCGCTCCAAATGAAGCTAACTCGCCAAGCTTGGGCGGGCTGACGGGGTTCTGTGACGGGACCAACGAACGCCGCCGCCTCATTTCCAGCTCCTGCGAGGACCCCGTGCTTTCCCACTCATTTTGTCAATAAGAAACAAAAAAATCTGCCAGTCACCGTAGGGCAATTAATATCGGCCTTTTACATAACACATCCGCAAACAAGAACTGCCGAATCAAGAGCGTACGCTATTCTGCAGCCTTGCATCACCATGGCCTAGCGCACCTCTTGCCCCAAACTCTACAGTACCCCCCGTTTCGATTGCGCGCACTCTGAGAGCCGCCATAGTCCCAAGCTAGCTGGTAGCCGCCGATTTGCGCTCATCGCAAGACGTGCCCCAAACTCCGGCGCCGAAGCTTCCAACATCAGGCATCGTCGCCTGCGAGCCGCCGCAGCATGTCTCTCGATCCGTCGGTCGTGCGGAAAAAGAACCGCGGCTTTCTCGGCGCCGACAGCTCTGCCCTCACACAGCGGGATGCAGAGGTATGTGGACTGCGGGCAACCGCCGCCGCGCATGCCCCTCGTCCGACGTTTACTGACCATGCTATAGGATCGGCATCAGTTACGATATGAACTGGATCTCAACTCGTGGAACCTTCGAATTTGGGGCGTTGCTGCCTCTGGCTTTCTCACAGACTCGTACGCATGACGCTGCTTGGAGCGAGCGCTGAATGCTTTGCTGACGACGATTTAGATACAACCTCTTCTCGACAAACGTAATCCTCGCCTCTGTCGCCTTTGTATACTGGCCAAACGGTAAAGAATGGCCCGGACTTATTATTAATCTCTTCACCCTCTTCGGTTCTGTCGTCGGCCAGCTCTCCTTTGGCTTTCTCGCCGACTACTACGGACGGACCCGACTCTACGGCATTGAGCTTGTTCTCGTTATTGTCTCTACGATAGGTGTTGCTACGAGCAGCCACGGATATAATGATTTATCGTTTCTTGCCCTATTTACGTGGTGGCGCTTTGTCATGGGAGTCGGCATCGGCGCCGAGTACCCGTTAAGCGCCGTCATTACGTCGGAATGGTCCAGCACACAGTCTCGTGGCAGGATGCTTTCGAGCGTCTTTCTCATGCAGCCTATAGGTCAGGCCTTGGCCCAGCTTGTCGGCCTCTGGGTCTTGCTGGGGTTTGAAGATATGAAGAAGCTGCAGGCGATGCGATGCGGTCTCGACACGAAATACGAAGAAGAATGCCGTCAGGCCGTGGACGGAATATGGCGAATTGTCATCGGTTCGGGCGCCATTCCAGCTTTACTTGCCATTATTTTCCGATTCTTTCTATTCGACTGCGGTTTATACTCTCTCGAAGTTCGAAACAAGCCGGCCGTTGCCCTCTTGAACACCAGAGGCGTCTACGGTGACCCGACGGCCCCGGTACACGGCAACGCATATCCATTACAACCCAACAACTCTGGGCGTCGAGGATATACACCCGATGGCCCTCCACCGAGTGCCCCTGTGCAGTTTTCCAAACAAGATCTGCACAACTATTTCATTCGGGACGGCAACTGGGTATACCTGCTTGGTACCGCCGCGACCTGGTTCTTTCTCGATGTATCTTTCTACGGAATGTCTCTTGATAACCGTGGCACATTATCCGACATGTGGGCAACGACTGGCCCAACACCGATCAACTCGGATCTCGAGTGCTGGAATTCCGCTCTACCAGGCGGCAACTCAACCGTTCCATTATGGAAGATCAATGGGCTTCCAACGTGGCAGACCGACGCCACACACCCTTGTAACACTATATACGATGTTCTCATTGAACAAACTAAACAGTATCTACTGACCGTGTCCCTTGCGTCGATAGCGGGCAGCGCATGTTTCATCGTCTTTTCCAACCGCATCCCACGCCGCAAATGGCTGACGATATCCTTTTTAACATTGGCATTTGTGTTTATGATTACGGGCGGCGTCTACTACGGAGTGCATCGAAAGGCCGGGGCGCCTGCCATTGTGGTGCTCGTTGCCATTTGTCACTTTTTATTTAATTCTGGTATATAATGCCCCCTCTTCCCTTTTCCTTTCCTCTGGCTAACAAGACACAGGAGCGAATACTCTCACTTTTATTATACCCGCGGAGATTTTCCCCACCGCATATCGATGCACATGCCACGGCATCTCCGCTGCAGCCGGAAAGCTGGGCTCGATTGTAGCGGTGCTGGTGGTGTTTGGCATCAACAAGGCATACAAGAATGCAAACCGTCAGGGCCTCATCTTTCTTTTGTTTGGGTCCGTTGCTATTGTAGGGGCCTTCTTTAGTTGGGCATATCTACCAGACCCCCAGCGTACCAAGGTGAAGGAGGATGTGGATTCAGACGGCCACCGAACGGCGCAGACGTACCTGGAAGCCAAGAGCCTGGAAGAGCTGGGCGAAGGACGCATGAAGGCACGGCTAATGGGCGAGGGGGTCACATTTAAGGAGCGTATGGGTGAGCTGCGAGAGCGCCGGAGTCGCCGCGCCGATGCGGAGCGAGTGTAGCATTATCATTGGGCGTAATGGGTTATTTTGTCATGTATATAATACGGTCCTTGACGAGTTGTATGGGCAGATGTAGGCATAATACCAGCATAATTTGTATATTTCATCCTCTCGCGCTGTGTTGTTGTTACTATCTACTTTAATGACGTGATGTAGCTACCCGAGACTCAGGCATCGCAACCACCATAACATCCATCACGACAGGTGTATTTGTAATTTCTATCGAATGCGTTTCCTTTAATCAACATGTATTCCAAGGAAGCGCTGCATTGCCCCGAAATTATTTTGAGTTCTCGTCATGTCATCTGCGCCCTACGTCCAAAGCCTTGTTATTCCCATTCGTGATCGCCCAGCCTTGCCCAATGCGGTAATCCCGGATGGCGCGATCTACACTAGCCGCGCCCTTTCCTTCAAACATATTGGTAAGCATGAAATACAAGCCCAAGTATCTTATGATGGCTCTGTAATACATTCGAATAACAATACTTTTGAATAATACAGTATATAATACCCCCCAACCCAACCCACCGTCTTGCCGTGGTGACAACCACACACAATGGCTTCTACACATCCACCATCCTCAAAGCCTCCTGCTGGCCTCTCCAAACACACCTCATCTGATGTAGAAAAGCTCATAACTACTGATACGCCTCCTCCAGACGGCGGCACCACCGCATGGCTCCAAGTCGTCGCCACACTCCTCATCTCCTCCATCGCATGGGGCACGCCCTCCGCCATTGGCGTCTACCAGCTCTACTACAGCGACACCCTACACCTCGCACAGTCGTCCATCTCCTGGATCGGATCAGTCCAGTTCTTCCTTACATACAGCACATGCACCGTCTCCGGCCGCCTCGCAGATGCAGGCTACATCCGGTCGACTGTCATCCTCGGCGCATTCCTCGTCGTCTTTGGCACCTTCATGACCAGCCTTGGCTCCGAGTACTGGCACTTTTTGCTCTCACAGGGCGTCTGTGTCGGTATGGGCCTTGGTATCATGTTCATGCCGCCGCTTGCCGTGGCCAGCTCGTACTTTGACAAGAAGCGGACGCTGGCGCTGACAGTGGGCGCCACGGGCACGGGCATTGGCGGCGTAGTGTTTCCCGCGATTATTCAATATCTTGTCCCGCGGGTCGGGTTTGGCTGGGCGGTGCGTGTATCGGCGTTTGTAGCGCTCGTGGCGACTGGTACGGCGGTGCTGTTGCTGCGACCGAGGCTGGCGCCGCGTAGGACAGGGCCGCTAGTCGAATGGAGTGCGTTTAAGGAGCCGGCGTATGCGCTGTATGCCGTCGGTGCCTTTTTGTTGTACTGGGCGCTATTCTTTGCCGCATTCTATGTAAGTAGTGAGACGGCTGTGGGAAGATGGATGAATGCTAACATGGGAGAAACAGATTAATAGCTTTGCGAGGAACGTGATTGGCTTCTCGACGACAGACTCGGTGCAGCTGCTTCTTATATCCAACGGGATGAGCATCCCTGCGCGGCCGCTTATTGGATTCGTGGCGAATAGACATGTCGGTGCTATGAATACGTATATAGTAGTGACTGTTGCGTTTGGTATTCTGACACTAGCGTGGATGGGAGTCAGGGACCGCGTGGGCATGTATGTGTTTACAGTGTTCTTTGGGCTAGCCAATGGGCTTTGCCAGGGCATGTTTTTGGGGTCACTGGCGAGTTTGACACAGGATCTGAGCAAGATGGGCACGCGGATGGGCATGGTGCATACGATTGTTGCTTTTGCTACATTGGCAGGGCCGCCGGTAAGTCCTGTGCTAATGAATATGAGGTAATGAGATGTTTGCTGACAGGTGATAGACGGCGGGTGCGATTATCGATGCGTCGGGTGGCAAGTATCAGAATGCACAGATTTGGGCAGGACTGCTGATTTTGGTGGCGGCCTGCTTTTTTATTGCGTCGAGAATCTCCAAGACGGGTATGAAGCTAATCTGTGTCGTTTGATATAGTGGGTGATCTGTGTGATGTGACAAGGCCGGCTGAGAATAGAGGCTTCATACCACATAGTACATAGACATGGTGATACACTATAGCGTTAAAAAGTTTAGGCGATATTAAGTATACATGGCATTGCAATTTTCGAATAAAAATTTGCTCTACTTGAAGTTTGTAGCTATTTATCTATTGTACTTGTGCCGTTACTGGCCGTTGGCGATGGTACGTTGCAGATATCTGGGCTTCACCTGCCATTCTCTCGCCTCGTTCGGTAAACTGTCAGCCTACATACAACCTCAATACCACCAAACACACAAATTCCTTTTCACGCTTTAATAATCTCACCCTTTGCCATATTTCATGATTTCACAAACGAGGCTGGTCAGCCGGTTAGTCGGCCGAGCGGGTCGGTCCCGGCCCCGTTATACAACGGGGACCCCCTTACAAACTCTGTATTGTTAATTTCCCAGCCTTACAGTCGCGTCCAAGAGGCGAATCCTACCTTTTTGTCTTTCCCACACAACCTTTGAGCACTCAAGGACAGTCACTGCAACTGTACCACGTACTCACCATGCACACCGGCTTCGAAGATACACCCGGGCCTGGCACCCATACGGGGCTGCCGACGCTGCCGCCGCTGCCAACTCCCTCCGGCTTTAGCAGAACCTCTGTCTTCTGCGCTGATCTCAACTACGACAGGCCGTTCTTTGCCTCAGTTATTCGGGCCAATCCCACAGCTACCGAATATGCCATTGAATGCGGAGGTGGGAACGGTATGTGCGCTGTCTACAACACCAGCATGCACGTCCTGACCGTCGGGCCATCCACCATGGTTGCCACAGCCATGGATACCTACGTGTACGTCGGCTCCCGTTATCGTTTCTTATGGCTTGATGCAATGTCCACTGACCAGCTTAGAACTCGCGGCTTTGACTGCAAGCTGCACGGCACCACGGCTGCGGACTGCGAATTCTTTGTGCACGGCGAAGCACCGTATGTTAGCGGTACATTCCCCATGCCGATTCCCGATAAGGATGAGATCGATCCCAGGTATAATGCGTTTTCCGATTACGTGGTGCCCATGTATATTACGGCGGGCTTGGAGAAGCTTGCGCCTGGATATTCTGAGTCAAGTGCGACGTCTACGTCGGCCCCAAAGTCGACTGGCGATGCGAGCGTAGTGCAGACAACGTCGCAAACACCACCGGCCAGTTCGACACAGGCCAAGTCTGCAGCTGCGAAGGGTTCTGTGAAATCTGTGCTTGTAGCGCTGGGTGTGGTGGCCAGTCTGGCAGTGCTCTGAGCGCCAGCTGCAGTCACAAAACTGGGTGGAACGGAACAAGTAGAATATAGACCGTGTAGATGGAGAGTATATACCCCATAGTTGCAGTCAGTCAGGCTGATTTAGTTACACAGGAGCAGCAGCCCATGCTGCAGAACATGAACATATAAAATGGTCGCCTGTATAGACAAGTCTTGAAACAACTGTAGAGTGTCAGAATCTTAGAGTAATACATGTACAATTCATATTGATCTCCTACTGACATTCAGTCAGCTTATAGCATCGGAAGCTAAAGCCCATACAAAGAGTCAAGTTAGGCCACTGGCGTCTTCAACAGCAGGCTCGCCGTCTCTGCATACACCTCATCGCCACTCGTCGTCGCCCTGACGGCCTCACTTGCCTCCATCGCTGCCACCCACCGGGCCCAGCGCTCTCCTACCCGACTACTAGCGAGAGGTCCAGCACTTGTGACGCCATCAACCATTGGGTATCCCTTTTTGGGGTGTAGTACAGTCCGCAGGCGCTGAGCAAATGGCGCAATGTGAATATCCACCAGCGACATTTGCGCGCCCAAGAAGAACGGTCCCTATACTCTGTGTGTTAGCCTAACATCCCATCCCTATCCCTCTACCGTGCACTTGACGCTCTCTTACGCAGCTGACACCGAAAATAGGACATACCTGATCGTGGGCAACCAGCACAATAGCGCCAATGGCATTCTGCAGATTATCCACCAGTCGAGCATGCTGCGCGCCGTCCTGATTCGCAAGAAGCGCATAGAATGCCGGCACGATTTGCGTGTTAATCTACAACTCATTAGTCAGTGTGGCAATCAAGATAACATCTCCAACAAGAGACTTCTCGTTCGCGTCACATACATGATCAATCCACAGCCGGCATGTAGCCGTCATCTTTGCATCAGCAGGCAGCAACGGCACCCTCGGATCCAGCTCGTCCAACTAACTCGTTAGCCTACATCCTCTCTCACTCAAGATGTACTCACGTATTCGAGAATCACCCAGCTCTCCGCACACGTCCAGTCGCCCTGTTTCACCGAGGGCACTTTGCCGCGCGGATTGCCCTTGAGTACACCGGCCTTTTGGCGCAGCGGATCCGTCTCGACATACTGATACGCAAGGCCCTTGGCCTGCAGCGCAATCCAAACACGCTGCGAAAAGGGGCTGCACGTCCTCCGCGTTAGCCTTTTGTTAATCATATTCTTCTTCGTCAGTGTCAACATACCAGTAACATGCGGCGTGAAACTTGATATCCGCGTCTTTAGCATGCCTCTTTATCGTCGCCAACGCCGCACCACTCGCCCTCCGCCCCCCAGCACCCTTCACCTCTCTATCCTGCGCGGCCATCCACCGCTGCACACTATTCTTCTTAATCTCATCGCTTCTCTCTAGCGTATGCTTATGCGGCCCGGCCACGCCGTCGCCCTTGCCATTCCCGCCGTTGCCATTGACGCGCTGAATCGTCCAGAACTTCTGGCCCTCAAGCGGTACGCTGCTAGCGCCGCCATTCTCCGCCTGGTAGTACGCCTCAGAGCCCGGGAAGTACTCGGTAATCTTAATCTTGACGTCGCACAGGTCACGCTCTCGCGCGCTACGACGGCGGCGCTTCTTGGACGGGTCGTCGGTCTTGGGGGTGCCTGGCGGGCGGCCTTTCATGCGGCAGTCCCAGTAGTGCGAGATGAAGGGCTTGCGTTTGTACTTTTGCGTGGAGCGGTGAGAGTAGACATTGTCTACGTGTGGAAAGTATGTCTCGAATCTATTTCCCTTCGTTAGCCTCGGCTTCCTCTGTAACCAGCCAACCAGATGCCCAGCTGTTGCTTATAGACATTCCCACATAACAAGCAAATATATAAAATCGCCCACACTTACTCTTCCTGCGTCAGAACAATCACATCATCCACATGAAACAACTTCTCCCGCCACGCCTGCAAATCCGGCGGTGCAACCACCATCCGCACTGGCAACTTCCCACCCGTCTGCACAATCGGCCCTGCGCCAGCACTTCCACTCGCATCCATACCATCATCCGGCGCCAATATCCCAAACTGGCCCGTCGCCGCAGTCCCATCAAACGGTCTCGCCTCATCCTGCTGTCCCGCAAAGTGCCGCTGCTGCTGCTCTAGCGCCGCCGCCCGCTCAGCAAACTGCTGCTGATGACTCTGCACTGGAATCGGGACCGGCACCGGCACCGGCGTGATTCTCGGGTTTCCACGCTGCTGTCGGGCCTGCTGCTGCTGCTGTTGCTGAGGATGATACTCTAATCGGCCAAAGATGCCTTCACGCGCAGACTGCGACGCGAGGTAGGCATCCCCGAGGGCGCGGAGACCCGGGTACGCTTCGTCTGGCGGCGGGATATACTGATTGGGCATGTCTCCGTCCCTTTATTTATGGCTCGTTGTAATATCTGGATTGAAGTATTGAGGACTTACACGGGCGGGCGGTAGATTTTACAGCGCTGCTTTTACGTGATGATGGGGAACGGCGCATGTTTTGTGTTGGCGCGGGGCTGGCTTCTTCAAGGGCGGCAACGTGCACGGGCCACCACCTCGGCAGATGGCAACTCGGACTAACAAAGGACGACTACAACACTACAACTACATTACATACAGTTACCAGTATTATCATATAATTCAACTATTCTATCTGCACTAATATAATCTCTAATACATTACAGCAAAACATCATTGTTAGGGTTCGACTCTCTAAGAGAAAAAACGGATAAAATACATTGTTGATTTGCTTAATTACTACTGCCTCAGCATTATTATAGACAACTCATGATAAAATAACAAAGCGAACATGGATCCGAAAAAATACAAAAAAGCATAGAATTAAGACCAACACTTCAGCCAGCGGCCTGGGGGAGAGACTGACGGAGACTTTTCGGTCTAAACCTTCGTTCATGCCAATTTGGTATCATGATTAGCAAGCGCAGCCGCGCGTCATGAGGGCTTGGAGAGCCTTATTTAGCTCGTTCAATCTCGTTCAATAACATGTTCATAGTAAAGCACAGGACTGGTACCGTCAGAGCGTCGTGCTTGACGTTGCCTAATTAGGCAGATATTAACGACAAGGCTGCGCCCTTGCCAACCAAGTTCCAAGTTCGCCCTACAACAGACAGCCGCCGATGTCAGTATGCTCGATACGAAGACGTTGATGGCAAATCAATGTCACTCCACGGATTAAGTTTCCGAGAGAGAGACAGAAAGCAAGCGGACAGATATAAAGCTGCCAAGTGTACATATATAAAGTGACGCTGGGTTTCTGTATTCTGGCCAAAACACATCTACACACTATCACTTACAATTTTCACACCAACTTCGTTTCTTTTCTCTCAACATGGCCCCCGGACTCATTCAACAAACCACTATCAATACTCGCCCTCTGCCAGGCGGTGGCAGCAACGATGATGGCAAGATGGATAGCGTCATGTGGGAAGGCAACCCTTACAAGATGGCCGTCCGCCGCGTGCCCAAGCCCACCATTATCGATCCTACCGACGCCATTGTGCACGTCACATCAGCCGCCGTCTGCGGATCCGATCTACACATCTTCCACGGCATTGCAGGCAGCGCCGAAGTTCCGTATGGCGTGGGCCACGAGGCCGTCGGCTATGTGGCGGCCATCGGGGACGGTGTCAAGTTCCTCAAGGTCGGCCAGCGTGTGCTCATCTCGGACACGGTGCCGTCGACCCTCACACCGACACAGCTGCCGATCGCGAGTGCCTTTGGCCTCGGCAAGGATTTCGGTGACCTGCCCGGCTGCCAGGCCGAGTGGGTGCGGTGCCCGTTTGCTGACGGGACACTGGTTCCTGTCGACGACGACGACATCGACGACCGCGACCTGCTGACGCTGACCGACATCTTCGCCACAGCGTGGACTGGCGTCACGGCGTCCGGGTTCCAGCCAGGCGACACAGTCGTTGTCTTTGGTGCCGGCCCCGTGGGCTTGCTGTGCGCTTACAGCGCGCTGCTGCGTGGCGCCAGCAAGGTTGTCTCCGTCGACCACGTCCACGCGCGCCTGGAAAAGGCCAAAGAGTTGGGCGCGATCCCTGTGAACCTAGCCAAAGGCGACGTCGCGGGAGCTATTCGTAAGATCTTCCCCGACGGCGCCAAACGCGTCGTCGACTGCGTGGGCGAGGAGTGTGTCAACGAGAGCCTCAAGCCCGACCAGTCCTACATCATCAACACAGCTATCCGCATCGCCGCTATTCGCGGGGGCATCGCCGTCATTGGGGTCTACAACGCGCAGCCCGACAGCAAGGGCGTGCCGCGCGGCCACACCGTCAGCCCGTCCATGAGCATCAATTTCCCCGAGGCGTGGATCAAGACGCTTCGCATCGAGAGCGTGCTCGTCGACCCAGAGCCGCTCGAGGCGAATCTGCTGCGCCTGGTGACGAGTCGGCGTGCTAAGCCAGGATTTGTGTTTTCTGGCGAGTACCGTATCCAGGACGCGCAACTTGCGTATGAGCGCTTCGACAAGAAGCAGGAGACCAAGGTGCTGTTCCGGTTTCCGTGGATCGATGAACAGAAAGAGAAACGGCCATGCTCGCACTGCGGAAGGGATTAAAGCTCATTTGTACTATTGCGGGAGAATGGACCGTAATTCTTGTATGATGAACTAACGACGACTGGCTAGGAGGGGCCGTGGGAAGAGGATCGTACTTATAAGCTATGTGTGGGTGGCCCCTTCTCTAACATGTAATGTTATGCTTATAGAAGGTATTGGAAGGTGGTACATAGATTGGGTGAATATCAACTTGAATTATAGTGTCTTGAATACAAAAACATGTAACTGAATTCGTTCGTTGCACTGTTATAAGCTCATGGTAAAAAGTCTATTAAGACGAGCATGTCTAACTTTGGCTGAAGAATAAAGCGATGTGGTACGTCATTACCAAGGCAAGCCTTAAAGATATATCAAACGAGCAACGGAATGCATGTGTTCCTAGTAAGAGAGGCTTCTTGCCCGTCTTCACTGATAAACGAAAAGTACAGAGTACATGCCTAAATAGAGTCCAAAAGTCCAAAAGAAAACGAAACAGGGAACCTGCGACATAAACATATATTCGCACGCTAATCCATTGCATCGCACATCATTAGTAGTAAGTAAAGTAAAGTATCCCAGATTATACACATCCTCCACCCTCTGGTCTGGTCTGGTTTGGTTCTGCCCATCCTCAATAAACGCCATATGCTTTCCCTTTCAAAAATACAACATTAAAACGCCCCCCTCCCACCTTCTCTCCAATATCAAATAAATACCCAAAAAGCAAAAAGCGAAAAGTTCAAAAAAGTAGAGTTGGTTCTGGTAACATTTTTCATGTCTGCTCACCACCCATGGCGCCAGTATTTCCCCACGACGACAAGTCCATGGCGGCCATCGGGCCCATGTTCAGAATCGCCTTGAGCATGTCCTCGCCGCCCGGCGACGTCTCAATAGCATCCTGCATCCCCATGTGCGAGTACGAGCCAGTCACTTGGAACTGGCCGTACGTCTGTGGCGCCGCGCCAGTCGGCATCACGCTGGCACCGGGCATCGGGAAGAAGCCGCCTTGCACAGGCATCTGGCCTGGCGGTGCCGCGGGCGCCGATGCATCCGGGAATCCGTCAGTGCGGTAGTGTACGTTTTGGCGGCCGGCCGGGCTGTCCATCATGGGGCCGCGGTCGCCGCCGCTGGAACTCGAGTTGGGCGTCGGTCCTTCGGGTGATGAAATGACTCGGCCTGCTTGCATGCGGTCGTACATGCCGTTCGAGTTGGGTGTCAGCACCTTGTTTTCGGCGGACATCCAGTGTGATGTGTAGGTGCCATTCTTGTCTGGCTCCGCTGCTGCTGCTTGGCCGTCCATGGCGTCGGCGCTGCTCGACTTGCTGTCGTCAAACTCGGTCTCGTGGTGCTGGAAGATGCCCTTGTCATTTCCCGTGGTGCATGAGGGACCAGCAGCTGCATCGCCCTGCAGATTGGGCTGTTCCATCTCAGTTAGCGTGTTGTTATTTTCAAAGAAGAAAAAAGAAAGAAAGAAGGACTTACGCTCTCGGGGCGGAAAAAGACATGGCGGAAGTGCGGGACCTTCTCACCAAGAGCCTCAAAGTCTACGTCTAGCTGGACAAGGAACGACTCTGTTAGAGGATTGCGGCGTTTCAGTGCAGTCATGGCAGACAAAAGGAAGCGCAGCGAGTCCACAGTTTGGTCATCGTCTGGGCGGCTCTTAAGGTACTGAATGAATACTCGTGCCGCAACATAGAGACAAAACGAAATGTACGGGTTCATCTGTAGACGTCAGTTAGTAAAGAGATGCAAAAAAACAAAGAAGGATGAACGTACGGCTGAGAGATCCATGTGGGATATTGTTCTCATGATACCGGCAATCTCTTTGGCAGCAGTGATGCAGCGCGTCTTGCTCTGCACGCTATAAGACATGGCCAGCTTGTTCTTCTCCGCCTTGAAGATGGCAGCCTGGTGCAGGCAGATTGTGGATGTGTGGATGCTCATGTTGGTAAAGATGACGTTGGGGTTCGGTAAGCCGGCCGGCAGCTTTAGGTGCGGCGGCAGGTTCAATGAGAGCGTGTCGGTCAGGATTCTGTCCATGTCGCGATGGCGTTTCCAGAATGGGCCATTTGTGTCGTGATCCCGGTCGTCCGAATCAGGGCGGTGCAAATGTGTCAAGTTGCGTCCAAACAGAGCAGCCAGCAGGACGATACCACCGAAAGATGTGAGCTTGGCGGCACCAGCCGGCGTTGTGGCTTCTTCAAGGGACAGCGTCGGCTCCGGTCGGCTCATTTCAAAAGCCTCTTCTGAAGCGGGCAGCTTGGTTGTAATATCGCGCTCATCAATCGTCATGGGCCAGCCAGTGCCAATGCTGGCATATCTGTCTTCGCAAAAGGCCATCCAGAATGTTCGTCGGCGCTCTTCGCGTTCGGTCCAGTCGTTGGCGGGCGGGAGGCACTGCTTTACGTCGAGCGAAGTGCCGTCTTGTCGGTGCAGTCCGATCCTACCATCACGTTAAAAATGACTCTAGACAAAAATCACGAAGGGTTACTTACATTTGCGCCAATCGAACGGCGGAACCCGTGTTGATCCAGGCGCGGGGAAAGTACATCATCTTAATCTCGTAGCAGGCCAACAGCACATGCGTCTGGCAGTGAGCGACGGAAATCATGTGCTCGCCATAGCCCTTGACGTAGTCGCCCTCGACGTACTTGCGGGCGCGCTGGTAAAACAGGTCCTTGAGGTCGGCGTACTTGTCCGTAATCGAACAAGCCATTGTCCACATAGCGTATCGGAGACAAACTGGGGGACGCTGGTGAGGGGCCCTGTCAAAAATTAGTTGTTGTCTTGATGAACTGGCGGGGGAAAATGTCTTACAAATTCATGGCGGAGAGGTAGCGAGCGCGGTGAATCATGGGCATGGACGCATGCACCTTTTCAAAGTAAATCTGGTGCAGCTCGTCAATGGTATCTTGTGGAGGCAGCGGCTCTTCCAAGCCAAGGCCAATCATCTCCCATGTAAACGTATTACCAGTAGCCATGTTTCCGTTCATATTGGCGGCGCCCATGGCATTGCCCATGTTGCCCATCTGCACGTCGGGGACGCCCATGCTAAAGCTGTTGAAGCCGTCGACATTGCCAATGGCAGGCGACTCGTTTGCAAATTTCCAGGCCTCGTGATCGCCATTCATGGCCCCGTTGGGCATATTCAGCGGCGCGCTCTGTGGTACCGCTGCTGCTGTCGGCATGCCATTCATGGCTGTCGATGTCGATGCGGACGGGGGATCTTGTGTTTTGAGAAGCGTCTCGACGTGTTCTATTCTACTGTTAGCACACCCATCTCCCACCACCGCTACGCTCTCTATACTCACTGAGTCGCTCTTCGAGGGCCTTGACGTAGCCTCGCTTGGGGCCCGACTTGCGGCGCTGCTCGTCGTAGGCGCAGGCATGGCCGAGTCGCGAGCAAGTGCTGCAGCTGGGCCGCACACCGTCGCACTTGAGCTTGCGCTTTCGGCAAATCATGCACGCAAGACGCTTCGGCTTAGGGACGCTCGAGTTATCAGGGACGGTGTCTCTGGCCTCGGCGGCCTCGTCGCTCGTCGGGCTGAGCGAGCTGCGATTGGGATCTGACGTTCCAGCCATGGTTGTGTGATTCTGTTTGAAGGAGGATGCGGCTTAGTCGGTAATAAAGACAAAGTGTTTGTATGCGAGCAGCAGCAACAGCAACACACCGAATCGTGGCGCAGTAGCAGATGCAGGCGCAAAAAGCGAAGTTGTCTCGATGGGGTCGTCCGTCCGGCTGGGGGGCAGCTGAACAAGAAAACGAATAAGAATTGTTATGCGAGCCAGCAGAGGCGGGACGAGCAGGAGTTTGGTCTAGTGCATGCCTCGCGGGGCTCAAGCATGCAAAAGGAATTCGAGAGGATGTTGGTAAAGGCGCGCGGTTGTGGTTGAGAAAAAATACGTCTGTGGTGGTGATGATGATGGGGAGGAGGAGTCGGATGAGGGAAGACGACAGGAAGGGGAATGGAACAAACACAGTGTCGCTGGGTGCGTTATGCTGGTAGCTGGCAGTTGCAGCCGCTAACTTATGCCCGCTACACGTTTTAGCGGACAGCGGGCGGCACCTGAATGAACTGCCAATAGTACTTACTACTGGTAGGCTGGGCTGGGTGTGTGAGGGGCGCGGCCAGCAGCAGCCCAGGTTTACGGTGGAGGCTTACGCCGGTACAGCGGCTCAGGGACCTTTCTTCCTCTCTGCCTGCGGCTGTTCACTGTCTGTCGCCCACTGAACGAAGACGATTGAGTCGTGCACCACGGAATCAATCAAGTGGCGGTGCTAAAATTGCCAACTGGGATCTGACAAATAATATCTCATCTCCGATGCATCTCTTTTGCCTCGTTTTGTTTTCCCTCTTTTTTTTTCTTCCCCTTTTTTTACTTGTAAATTCTTCCGCCTTGTCCGGTGCGTTTGCTGCTGAATCCGTTCCAGCCCCATCGTGATTGGCGCTCTTTTCCCCAGCTTCGTCTCCAGTGGGTTCGGTGTCGCATAACAGGCCGCACACCCGCCCCGTACTAGCCGTAGCGGAGTTTTGCAGGGCCCCAGTCACGGCGGACCGACTCTGGAGAAACAGCCCCAGGATTGAGTGTGTGCCTTGCCGGGCTTCGTTCCGCTGGTGCTGCTGTTGCTTATGTTTTGTTAGAGTCACTTATTATGTAGTATTATTTTTTTATCTGCCTTTAACAATTGGCTGCGTTGCTGTTGCTGCTGCTGTTGTGGTGTACTGTCAATCACGGCGGACTTTTTCTGACAGGTGCGTGTGCCCGGCCCCATCTACTGTACTGTATCTTCATCCCCCACGACCGGCGGCCGCTGCTTGTCTTGTCTCTGTCCACCCAATTTATCTCTAGGCAGATGACACCTCTACGCAATGGCACTACGCAACGCAACGGAAGTGCAGCACTTTGGGGTGGCAGGTAGTAGGGCGATCACTGCCGAGCCAATATCAGCTCGTCCATTATGCATTTCCCTACTCTATGTTCGCACAGTAAAGTGGCCCCCTCCGTTAGTGCTACGGCGGGCTACTTGGGCTGTTGCTGCACTGTGAGAAAACGCCAAGTTATGTTAGTTAGTGAACGAGTTATAGTGGGCTCCCCTTCCCCCCCACGGCACATGCGATATGGGGAGCGCAGACCAACAGTCATAGACCCTGTAATGGGGTTTTGCCGAGCCAGCCCACGGCGTATGTCTTTCTGTCAAAACGGCCAGCAGACAAGATCCGCGTACTCGGGTCAGCGCTGCGCATGCACTTGCATCGAGGCAAGGGAAAACACGGCCCGTCTTGCCACGCGACTTGGTGTGGTGGTTGTGGTGGTGCAGCAGGGCAAGACTATTCGCAAAAAGCTTCTTTCTTCGTCTCCGTCTTGCAAACAATTCCTTGATACGTCATTGGATTCATCGTCGATTCTATTTGTTGAGAGTGCCCTTGTCGTGTCTTTTTTGGCATGTGAAGACTCTCTTCCCCAACGCCTTTTTGCCTTAGCGTGCGTTGCGCTAGCGGTTCTTTAGCGCAGTGGTACGATGTCTCCAAGACACAGTGACGACACACACTGTGTTTTTCTCGAAAAGCATACTAGAAACATACAGACGGTATACGCAATGCACGAACAGAAGCAGCCTCCTGATCGGATTATTTGTGTTTCTGCATGCAGGGTAGCTTATTGCATATGCAGAGTATAGTTGCGTATTCCCTCCAATGATGATCAGATAACCACACGAAAAGATAAAGCACAGACACAGTGCTGTCTGTAGTAGGATGGCCTGTTGCTTCAGCTACTGTACTAACTTACAGGGCAAGCCTCACCTTGTGTTGTGCTCCCCGCTGCACCCACGCAGGCACTAATGTAGCGCTTCTGTAGTATTACTTTTTCCCGTTTTCACAAGCTTTCGGCCGCCTCACTCGCCCACTCACCCACTGTACAGACTTTTTTGGCTGCTCCCTCCTGCAGGACTCCCTGTTAGCGAGTACGAAACCCACGCTCGGCACTGCCACGCGGGCATCTCCACCGGTATGTCCGATACTGGCTGCTAGCTGGGGCTTATGCTTCTTTTTTGCTGTTGCATCCCAATGCACAAAGTCCGCCGCTTTTGTTCCAGATAGATAAACAGACCGCTTGTCACATTTCATCTCTTTGTGACAGACGAAAAAAAAAATGCAATTCTTTCAGTGAGATCGGCCATAAGCACTGCAGTGCTACAGCGGACACAATTCCTCCGCGCTTACCGTGAGCCCATCGCGACCACGCACACAGCCTTACCATGGCCAGCCTCAAAAAGGAAGCTCCGCTGCAACAGGCACAGGCCACCAATAGGAAGAATTCAATCCAGTCGTATCGACGGTTCATCTCATCTCAATTCTGATTATTCTACAACCGGCCAACGAGCAATCGACCTTCCCTGGCTCGTAAATCCTCCCGGCCGCGGCTGCGCGTAATTTCATTCGAATTCGCTATATATAGATTTCTCTCCATGCAATCCCATCCATCGTCTTACATTCACTAGTGCTCACTTGCGGTCGACATCGACGCCTACTATCCGCAACACTCCTAAGTCGCTGTACGCAAGGCAGTATCTTGTTGGCGCCCACGCTACCACGGGGCATGCGCCCACCGTCTTGAATGTGTGGATGTGCTCGCCAGTCTCTACATGGGACACTTCGAGTCCGGTGCCTGTCCACGTTAGCTCAAGTCTGCATCACAATAGTGGTCAACTTACCTTCATCACTGCCACCCACGACATAGCTCCCATCAAACGTAAAGCCTATAGATGTCATTTGTCAGCACCAGGTTTCCCATTTTCCACCCAATCCCCAGGCACGTAACCAAAGAAAAGGAAAGAAAGACATACTTAGACTCTTGACCGGCCCAACCATCTTGGTCAGCGTCCGCTGGCAGATCCAATCCGTCGTATCCCACAACGAGATAATACTATCCGAACCCCCCGTAGCCAAATACCTGCCCGACGGCTGCATCTGCGCCGTCAAGCACGACGACGTGTGCCCATTCAGCACAAACTCCTCCTTCTCGCCCAGCATCAGCAGCGGCTCAAACGACGGGTACGCCAGAATGCGCGCCGACCCGCTCGCCGTCGTCACAAACACCTTGCTCCCACTCCAGCAGAACGCAATCTGGTTCGTAGGCACCGTCTGCTGATGAGACGAGACGGGCGTCGTCTGTGTCGGCGACAGCACAAACAGCATGTCCGACTACCGTGTGTTAGCAAGCAATATCCAGCGCAAAATTCCCCTTCAGAGACGAAACGAGGTCACCTTCAAAAAAAGAAGAAAAGGCACGTACCTTGTTTCCTACAATCAGCGTCTTGCCATCCGGCGCCCACACCAGCGTAAAAGCGTCCCCCAGCCCCGTCACCTCATTAAAGCACGCCTTTGTCCTCACGTCCCAAAACTTGACGACGCCGTCGCTGCTCACACTCGCCAGCTCCGCATCCTTGGTTGGGTTAAAGGCGACCTTTTCAATCGGCGCCGCGTGGCCTTTGAGTTCCGTCGAGAACTTGACGTGCGGCTTGTCCGGGTTCCCTACACATAATATAGTTAGAAAATACGCTCCATGACAAAAGAGAGGCGGCTTTTGCGTGAAAGTGACGTACACACACGCAGAGTCTTGTCGATGGATCCTGTCGCGATGAGCGAGCCAAGCGGGTTCCACGCTATCGAACGCAAGTTGCTACATTGCCCGCGTTAGCTGTCTGTCCAAAGTAAACGTGTTAGGTTGATTGTATGTACGTACTTTGCACCGGCGCCAGCGCCGCGCGCAGCGCTAGGGTCCGAGTATGGCTGGCTGCGCAGGCTGCCAAAGTACGACGGGAAGCGCTCTTTGGAGAGGGACTGCCTCGCCCTCAAGACGGGAGCCATGAGGTCAATGGGCTGTGTGAGGAAAGGGCCGTCGATGTATGGTGGATAGCGCTTTGTGAAAATTGGATGCGCTGCGTGGAGGAGAGGGCGATATATGGCGAATGCGAATGATGTGTGGTGGTGACGATGAGATGAGATGCGGCTCACCTTGGCTTGCGACTGCGCGTGTGGGGCGCGGCGCCAACTTACAAACCCTCGACCTGGTGTAACAAGGCCAATTGGCTGCCGAAAAATATATAATAAAACATGGAATAAAAAGAGGGGACAGAGTGGAATTCATATTTATAGTTCTGCATACATGTTGGTCCAGTCCATCATGTTCGCCCAGTCCGCGTCCCCAAACCAGTCCCATCCGTCCATCGTAGCCGTGTTGACTCGATCTGGGCCGCCCAGCATTGCCGCCCCGATGTTTTGTGGTGCTGTTGTTTTTGGTGCTATTGTAGCATGAACTTCGAGCTGAGGACCGCTCAAGAGTTCGTCTAGTGCCCCAGAAATGGAGGCGCGTGCTCGCTCGCATACTTCGTAGGTTGGCTCGCCTGGTTCACTGATGCCCTCGAGATCCGATACAAAGACGGACAGTAACCGAATAATGCGCGCGCGGTCAACATCTGGGGGTAATATCACATCTTCTTTTTCTTCTCTTGCCATCTTCTGTACGGCTTTTGAAAGAGTGATGGCTGGCGACAGGCCGTCCCAGACCAGCTTCTGCAGGTTAGCTTCGTAGCCAACAATGAGCGGATATAAGAGACATACCAGGTAAGCGAATCTCATGTGAAATACGGGATTACGGCGACGAAACGAGCCAATTTCTTGGATAAGCGACAAGATCTGAGCAGACACTGTAAGCGCTCGCTGACGCCCTAGCTCGTCGTGCTGCTCAATCATTTTGCATATCAAGTAGTCGCAATGGAGATACGTAATGTAGATGCTAGCCTTCATAAATGATACCTGCGGGTCTGAATCAATCAACCAGCAGTTGGAATAATATCGTAATTGAGTTGGGAGGGTCTCCCAAGCATCCCAGTGACACTTGGACGCGTTCCTGTACGTGTTAGCTGTGTCACCAACAAGTCCCAGTCTACCTGCATACCTCAACTTGGTGATATTTTCACTGGTGGCTGGCCGCAGTTTATACTTGAGCGCCTTTTCCAGAAATTCTGCTGTGAAGCTCCTCATTCGAAACCAGCTTGTAGCGCTGATGGTCTGTTGGTTATTCCAGTCGTCGGCAGTGACCATGGACAGAGCAGACGCTTCGGTGCTGTTGAGCATGACACTCTCGGGAAGATCCAATGGTAACTGAACGTTGGAATACTTTTTCAGTAAACGGGGTGGCCGCTCACACAGAGTTGCGACAAATTTGTCTTTGGAGCTTTGGAGTATATATCATAAAAGAAGCGTCGGCGCCATTACGTTAGAAAAAAGGGTGTGTTTAGTGTTGTGTACGAGTTTTTGTACATGCCAAACTTGGTAATGTCTGCAAGAACGTCACCCAGGCAGCTCCACGTTTCTTCACCTATATCATAGTTAATAAATACTCCTTTAGAAATCATCACTTATTTATACCTACATGAATGGCCTTGCTCGGTGGCAATGAGAATATAGTGGTGATGGTTGAGCCACATGTACATGTCGTTCATGGGAGCCAAGCGGCGGGTAATGTGCAGGCACGCAGAACTGCAGCGGAGCAGATGGCTAATGAATTCTTGCTGTTTCTTGCCGTGTCCAATTTCTGTTAGTGAGGCCCAGCATGCAATTGCAAAGATAATCCCCAAATACTCAAGGCGAATGGCATTGCCAGCGAAAAGGTTCATACACGATTCCGGTGTCGTGGTTGTATCAATTGTGACTGGCTTCACAGTCTCGGTGAGAATAATCGTTCCTAGTTCTACCATGCGTTCCGAATCCACAGTCGATTGGAGGCGAGCTATGGTTCTCTCCAGACATGGCAAGGCATACGGCACAATCAAATTCCTCGGAGTCATGGTTGCGATGTTCTGGTCATAGTAGTCCTCCACCAGCGTTGCAAGCTGCTGTCTCTTGTCTGGATCGAGTACATGGTGTAAGATGGGCTCCATGGCAGCAGCATGTTTTCTATATGCATCGTGCATATTCGGTGTGCATCACCGTACGGCAGGATGCGAGTTGGCTGGTCAATCATACCTGGCGACTCGTGCCCTTGGCTCGAGCTGCCATTTGTCAAGGGCATCTCACTGGGCGATGTACTCTTGGGAATAATAAACTGGTCTAGAGACGCCGCATCCCTCTTGTGAGGCGTGTGGTGAGACTTTGATGGACGTTTCCTGTGACCCCTGCTCATCGGAGCCGGATGATAGACACAGTGAAACGGGAGGCCGCGTTTGGAGCAGCTGCCACAGACGGGCTGGGCATGATCGCAGCGAGTCTTGCGGCGACGACAGGGTTCGCATGAAGCAAGCTTTCCGTTCGCCTGGTTGCCGACATTTTGTTTGTTTGTAGGGGCAAGTCGACGAGGCTGGCACTTGGCAGCTGGCAGTTTGCACATGGCGGTTGCGCAATACACGCACCGTGAGTTCGTCGATCTACGCCATAGAATCTTCTCCTACACTACACTACACTACACTACACTACACATTCTCGTCATTCCACACAAACAAACACGTCCATAGCAGACTCGTATATCGACAACAGACCCCTTGGCGTAAAATGCATCGGCGCATAACCCACAAACGGCAACCGTTACATCTCTCGCCCCCCCTGCGCCAATGGCTGTCGTACCTGTCTGTATGCGAAGCACAACCAACCAGGCCCGGAGCATATTACAGCGCCCGTCCACCCCCAGACTCGCCTATAGGAGCTCAGTCCTCGGACAGACAACAAAGCAATCTCCATACCATTCTCCACCAACACGCAGCGCCAGCTTCGGCGCTAGGCGACAACAAAACAGGACCGAGATGGGCACAGGCCTCAAGATGGGGCCCGCTGTCGCATCGCCGCTTTAATCGCATCGTGCCGGTGAGCCGTGGTGGCTTAGCCTGGTCAGTTCACCAAGCCCAGCCCAGTCCACCCACTGCTGAGCCCTCTCTACAGTACCCAAAAATTACGTCGTCGCTAGGCGATCCCCATACAGCGCACGTCAAGTGAAGCATGAAAGAAATACCCGCTTGTTACTGGTACAGTACTGCTGCTTGCGCGTCCCACAACCAGGCGCGTCAGCAGCAGCGTCGCAGTCATGTATATCAGGCACAAACCTATAGTGCTGCTGCTGCGCTGGCTGGCTAGCTAGCTAAGTGAGACAGCGGTGAAAACTGTTGAGGGACAGACGGCGCGCAGAGACAGGCTATGCTCGTTGTTGTGGCAGGCAAGTAATAGCGCATAGTACCTTGTCAGCAAGCAACAAAAGCCGTTTCAGCTGCCCACGCACCCCCCTTGTCTCCCGAAATAATAAAAAATTAAAGAAATTAAAGGAATCATTAAGTCTAAATGGGCCACGCATAACGAGAATATTGACACAAACGCCACTCTCACTCAAGGGGTCTCGTCTCGTCGTGCGGGCTGTGTGCGTGCACAGCCGAGCCTTTAAAGCGGCACCATCCCGTGACGCCGCGGGAGGGGCCCCAAGACGGGCCACCCCCACTGGGCCAAGGAAAGGAAAAGGGAAACCAAGCCCCAAGCTAAAGCTCCCCTTCCCATCTTTTCTTCCTTTCATCATCAATCCATCAACCTACAAAATAAAACCTACTCCAACACAAGATGTCTAACCAGGACTACTACCAGCAGGGCGGCTACCCTCAGCAACACCCGCAGGGCGGTTACCCCCAGCAGGGTGGCTACCCCCAGCAGCCCCAGCCCGTATGTTCTCACCAACCAACAAAAGAAGAGCGGCAGCGCGCGTCATATAACCAAACTAACACTCTGTATTTGTAGTCTTACGGCGCTCCCCAGGGCCACTACCAGCAGCCTCCTCCCATGCAGTACCAGCAGGCCCCTCCTCCCCAGCAGGAGCGCGGCTCGCGCGGCGGCTCCAACAACTGCCTCATGGCCTGCTTGGCCACGCTGTGCTGTTGCTGCGTTGTCGAGGAGTCTTGCGAGTGCTGGTAAGTTTCTGACTCGCGATCGATTCGCTCATCGTAAATACGCCAAACTAACACCTGCCAATAGCCTCGAGTGCTGCGAATGCCTCTGCTAAACAACCAAACCAACAACAAATCCCCGAACGCCACTACACCCTTCCACCCTATTTAATCCATGCGCCTGAATATACTGCCACTTTTCGCTTCTAGACGGCCTTTTCTTCTTTCTCGAATAGACTCGACGCGCAGAACAAATATACGACGGCGCTGCACTGCACTACACTACACCCACACGTATGACGGGCGAAATCGGGACTGCTTCAAGGAACACAAAATAAACTCTCGTTTTTGATAAAGCATCTTCCCGAGACCTCTGGGTTTTAGGACTTGCTTTCTTTTTGCACCTTGGTCTTGTTTCACCTCTTGTATATACCAGCTCTTACGCATAATTTCATTACTTGTCCAAAAAAATTGAGTCGTTAACCGTGCTTTTGTGAATCTCACCACCAACTTTGTAGAATAGCACCGACAAACGAATGCGCCTCAATTCCCGTCGCACAAAACACAAAAGTAAATTTTAAAAACATGTGCATGACGCAGGTACAAAAGCCGAGGCCAGTGAATTACGTCACACGGAATCTTGATCTCTACGCGACGCCATCGATTGCCCACTCATCACACCAGAAAGTCGCGCCACATCGGGGTCATTGTAAATGAATACCATTGTCTATCAAACTTGAAACAGAAATCGTGTCCATGCGCATTCTACCTCGTCATGAAAACCACCGCCACAACATAGAAAAAGTATATATGCCATCGTCAATCAATCACCTTAGTTTTTCTCAACATAGTTGGAGGGGAACAGGCCCGACTGTCCGTTGTAGTGGCCAAACCACCAGTCGTCATCGGGGAATTCAAGGTCTGTAATCGTGGCACCCTCGCCAAAGCTCAGTTCTAGAATTACTGGTTAGCACACTGAAATAGTCAAAACGGTTACAGGCGACATACCATTGTCCTCGGCAGCTTCGTAGTCGTACAAAGCAGTGGCGGTAGGGCCGGCAGCCTCAACAGGCTCGGGGGCAGCAGGAACAGGAGCATGCATGGGCGCTCTAGCAGGAACTGGCGCAGGAGCAGCCTCTTCCTCTTCTTCCACAAGAGAGACGTAGGCACTGGGGAAGAGACCGCTCTCACCGTGTACGTTGGTGCCCATCCACCAGTCGGGATCAACCTGCTCAATATTGGTGACCATCTGGCCCTCGGTAAGATCAATCTCGTTGTCCTCGTCCTTGGTGTAGTCATAGATGATTACAGCTGACTGGCCGCCAGCGGCAGCAGCGTGCTCATGTTCCACCTCGGGCTCAGGCTCAGGCTCCGGTTCCGGCTCGGGCTCTCTCTGCACAGGGGCCGGGGGAGGAAGGGATCGAATGGGGACGGGAACGGGCGCGGGCTCAGGTTCGGCTTCAGGCTCAGGCTCGGGCTCCGGTTCGGGCGCACGCGCTCGGCTGACGGGCTGGGCGACACGGATTGGAGAATCTTCGCGCTCGTGAGACTCTTCTTCCTCTTCCTCTTCGTCAGCGGGAGCAGGCCGCGAGGGAAGACCAGGCAAAGCAAAGCCACCACTGGGGCGGGAGCCTCCTGGTACAGGAAGGGGAGGAGCCTCTTGTTCGTGGTGCGTCTCGGCGGCGCGGGGAATAGAAGGGGCAGATCCTGCAGAGATGGGGGCAGTGCCCTTGAAGCGATCGCGCAAAGCAGACACGCCACCAGCTCCAGAAGCCTCTTCCTCTTCTTGAGGTTCGTCACCCTCGGCGCGGTCATTCTCCTTGACTACATCAACACCACCACGTCCAAAGGCGGGAGTCTGGACAGTAGCCCACGACTTGCCTGCATATCCGCTCTTCCACTCACCCTGTGCCGGGTTAGGAGATGTGCTAGATGTAGTAGTAGGGACCGAAGGCGTAGCTGCAGGAGCTCCGCCCTGAGCGGCCTTCTTCTCAGCCCAGAGCTGAGCGGGAGTCTTGCCGCCCTCGTTGGCAAAAGTTCGGCTAGTGGTTGTGACAGGAGCGGCGGCAGGGCCAGAAGGACCAAGAAGACCTCCGGAGTTGCCGGGCGCAGGTGGTTTGGTGCCAGTGAAGCTGGCGGCTCCGCCAAACTTGTTGGCAACCTTGGGCTTGGGTAGTGAGGTCAAGCGCTCAGACTGGGCGGGTTGGCTAAAGGCAGCGGCGCGATCAGCAAGAGGTCTGTTGGGCTCTTCCTCCTCCTGTGCGGCAGGTGCTGAAGATTCGGGCTTTTGGGCCTTGGCACGAATAGCGGCAATATCGACCTTGCCGACAGGCTCGTAGGCGCCCTTGACAATGGTTGGTCTATCGTCCTGAGTATTCTTTGCCTGGGCGCGGATGGCAGCGATATCCACCTTGCCAACAGGCTGGTAACCACCACCGACTACATCGCTGCGAGTATCATTTCGGGGGGCGGGGGTGAATCGCGATGGCTCGGATTGCTTGGTGAGGTTGCCCATGTCCACCTTGGTGGGTTGGTAAGCAGTCTGCACCTTTTCGAGCTCGGTTCTCGTAACAGGAGGGGCGTCGGCACCCCAGCCATCGGCGTCGACATTTTCGTCTCTTCTGTTTCGGGCAGCGACAAGAGGGTTGATGCGACCGGCGCTAGAAGCTGTGGGAGTAAACACTGGCTTGGATTTGACAGGAGGGGGTGGGCCAGAGGAGCTGACGGGGGCATCGCCAGCAGAGTATTTGGCACCCGAAGCATCGGCCACCTTTTGCATAATCGTAGCAGGCTCCAGATCGGTATCAGAGCGAGCAGTAATCTGGACATGGTAGCCGTGCAAGACCTTGGAGACGGCATTGAGATGGCTAGTGAAGTAGCCCTTGGTGCGCTCAGGGACACCGCCGCCGCACCAGGCAATGAGGACATGCTTGGGCAGGCCAGTGTTGGGGTCCTTTACCTTGACAAACGCAAATTGAATGCGGCCTTCGCTAAAGTCTTCGGTGAGTTCGGTCAAGTCGCCCTCTACAAATCAAGACACTATGGTTAGTCAAACGCTCACTATGCATTGGTGGCGGGGTACATACCGCCAGTTGACTGAACCTTGAGAACACTCTCCTTGTTGCCGCTGTCTTGGAAGGCATTGGCTAGGGGAGCTTGAACTGAGAAGAGAGCCCATCTTGCGGATGTTGCTTCCGCAGCTGGGACCTGGCCGTTGACGACACCGGCGTAGGAGCTCTTGATGGCGGGGCCATTGATGGAGAGGTTGAGAGAGGACATGATGGGCGAATTGTCAGGGAGAGGTGAGAAACAATTCGCTCAGAGGTTAATAAAGGGTAGAAAGATGAGAAAGCGGATGCCTGCTCAGAGTCGAAACGTTGGCGGCCTAGCTAGGAGCTCGCAGGCAAGCTTCGGAAGGCGTGGAAAGGAGGGGAAGCTGGGGGAAAGAAAAGGGATGCGCCGTATTTTGGTAATGTCCCGCGGCGAAAGCGTCGATGTTGAAGACGATGAAAATCTGCAACAAAAGAGAAGATGAGGGAACCACGTGCGTCCAGGTTCGGGCGGATAGACGGGAGAGGGGAGAAGAAGAAGAAGAAGCAAAGCAAGAAAAGCTGGTGGAGAGCAGAAGCAGGGCAAAGCAGGACATACGTTGTCAGTGACGACAGTGCAAGCGGGGTGAGAGGCTGGAGCATGAGGCGGCAGCACAGCCACGCTTTCTTACAGTACAGCACAACACAGCACAGCGCAGCGCAACACACTGTTTCTTCAGCGGAGCGCCCAAACCCACGCACAACCCGAGACGCTCCATCTCCGCACTTTTGTTTCAAGCAAGCCACCACCCACAAATTGCCCGCCTTCTAGCGCCAGCCAGCAACACTAAGCTTAAGCTCCAGTAAGCTAACACTGGCAATTGGATCTATTTTCATTACATACCAGATTAGGCCAGCGGCAGACCAGGGGCAGCCACGCATTCAACAAAAGGCATGACGGCGTCATTCTCCTCTCCCAGCCTGTACAGTACGTAACTGCACTCAGCCAGGATACATTAATTAGTAGACGCTGTCCAGGGCAAAGAAGGAAAAGAGACCCAAGTTACAATGGTAAGCAAAAGTTACAAGTAGTCCATATTTCAACAAACACATTCCAAATATATAATTAAACAACCTTTATATGAAATAGTCCTCTAAAAACTCGATAAATGTAGAGTATTTACACCACACTTAATACTCTAAATAGATTGGTACAAAATATAATTTTATAATTTTATTAAAGAATATTTGAAAGTTTGACGGTAAACGAGTTTGTAACTTTTGCTTACTTACTGTAGCCGCCATGGGTTAATCCGCCTACCTAGGAAGGTTGAACCACAGAGCCTGCGACCCCCGATGCAACCCTGCTCGGTGAATTCATCCCATCTGATGTAGCAGTCGTCTACAGACCTTCCTGAATCTGTTAGATTGTCCCTAGGCGCCATGAACCATGAACACTCAACCCCCGCGACTGTACGCATACAAATAAAGAGAGCGCCAGTCCAAATCCGTCATCAACATGTCACTCGTCGGCGACCCATCCGACACGTTTGATGACGCCATTGAGGAAGCCTTCAAGCAAGGCATCTTGACCGTCGTGGCGTCTGGCAACGACAACAAGGATTGCTCTAATCTGTCCCCTGCGCGCGCCGCCATCCGTTACAACCGCGATCGGTGGTACTGGGGTACTAGTTCAAACAGCACCATTGGCTCCAACTACGGAGCACCTGTTGATATCCACGCTTCCGGTGCTGAGATTGTGTCTACCTTTATTGGTGACCCTGATGCCGCCGAAACATTTGATGGCACCTCTGGCGCAGCGCCTCTTGTCTCTGGCCTTGCCTTGTATCTCATGGTGTTGGAGAACATTACTACGCCCGCGGCCGTGACCAATCGCATCAAGGATTTGGGCACGAAAAACGTCGTCAACGAGAGCCCCGCCGGCACGGTCAACCTCCTCGCCTTTAATGGTATCGACTCCGCTACCAAACCAAAGCCATATTCGCACTAGATCGCTACGATGTTACTGTTCTAACAAGATCAAACTGAAATAGTATAGTAATTGTCTGATTTTAGATAAGAAACGAGTTGTATATCACGGATTGATATATGTACGTGAATAATATGTTGTTCAATTTTCTTCAAGAGTCACAGGCTTGGCCAGCCCATTACCTCAAACACGCTCTCCACTGGCCAGGAGGATATAGCCGTGATGAGGACCGATTTATTCAGATGGTTTGTCAAACTCGTATCAGCGCCACTAGTGAGAAGAAGTTGAGCTGGCGCCATAGACCAGGGTTTCTGGGGGCCGCGAAATAGCACATGTAGGCATGTATTGCCTTCAGCATCCTGTGCATTAACATCAGCGCCGCGCGCAATCAAAAGGCGACAAAGAGGCATGATTTTGGACTCTGTCATCCTGGACAGATGATGTAACGGAGACTCCCCGGTATTTGATTGTTGGTTCACATCAGCGCCAAAGTCAAGCAGGCAGGAGACATCATCGTAAAGAAGCAATGCCACAGCAATATGTAGTGCCGATATACCTTTGGGCGAGACTAAGCCAGCGCTAAATGCCGCGTAAATGACGGCTCTTGCGGGTTCAGGCCCGTAGTAGTCAATGCTTTCGCGAATAGTGGGCGCGCGTTCCATGATGGCGTCCAAATCCAGTGCTGCGTGTATCAGCTCGTTGGTGCCGAGGAGATGGTGCAGTAGAGTGGTGTTGTTCTGGATCAAACCATTCTCCAGTACGATGCTCCGTGCAAGTTCAGACGATACGATTCGGCAGCGAAAAAGAAAGGCAAACTGGTCCAGAACGCCGTCCTGCAGCAGCGACATGGCAAGGTCATGAAGCTTCGTTTGTGCCGTTTCAAGTAGTTGTGTATCACACATTGAGTAATGATCCACGTGGAGCGCATCCAGTACTAAATGCCGGAAAATATTGGCATTGACGTATTTTGATGCAATTTCAAGACAGGCGATGAAATGGACTGAATCAATGGATGCGTCGCATATGCTGCGAAGGCTGCGAATATTCACATCACCACTGTTGCTGAAGGGCAGGTGGGGCTGTTCATCGAAAATGTTGTAGTGAAGTGCTGGTTCTTCGATGTTTGTGATGCGAAACGAGGCGCTCAAGTCCTCCTCTGCAAATACGGGGAAATAAGGTTGAAGACCTTGATAGTTTGGTTCTTGGTACTGCCACTGCTCGGGTTGTGTGAGGGCATGTAAACTTGTCATGTCGTCGTTGTTGAGGTACAGCAGAGTCTTTGACAGTACCTCGGGGCGAGGTGAAGTGCCCTTCTCATTCGACGGGCTCGCAGCTTCGTCTGTGCTTACAGGGGCTGTAGTGTTGGAAGCGCTAGGAAGGGGTTCTGACGGTTCTGGTGTAGAGAGCATTATATAACTAGGTATAGGAGCTGGTTTAAAAATCGTTGCGTGTAAGTGGTATGTAGAGGTGGACTGTGGATGGGCAAAGGTAACTTACACGCAGGGCTGTCGGGTAGTACCACCGTCTTCTTTCGCTTGATGTATCAATTATTCTTGTTTTCCATTGAAGGAAGAATGGATTTTCGTTGTGATAGATAAAGTATCACAGTCGCAGCCGTCTGAGGAGCGTTGTACCTCTGAGTAGTGCGGATGGTGGGATACACAAATGCATACGCTGAAAGCGTAGTGTTGTATGGATTCAACATTGGGAAGGCTCAACTAAGAAGGATTTGGATGAGTGGCATCTATTTAACATGCTTGGTATATTAAAAAAAACCCCAGCGGCTTAGACGACTTTGGTATTGGGAGACCAAACCGTGCTAGTCGTGATTTTCAAGAGAGACTGAAAGGCGCTAGCCGCGACAGATGATTCGACGAGCCAGAGCATTTTTAATGGAGACCAAACCGCGCTAGTCGTGGGCTTCAATGGCGTTTTTAATGGAGACTAAACCAAGCCTCCAAGCCTTAGCTCCAGGGTCAGTCGAGACGGCGTGGTCACTACGAGCTTTGGACAGAGTGCTACAGAATACGGCATGGATCGGTCACAGAGTCAGATGCATCATGTAGTTGCGTAGTCGGGTACCTATGGGGAGGGACCTTTCAGGTGGTTGTCCATCGATAGCGGTGGTGGTGCGCGGACCGCCACACCACCAGCCAGGGAGATGAGCCACGCCCAAAACTCTACAAAATCTCTATCGCCCTTAAGAAAGGCTTCGCTATCAACTAATATATATATATATAAAAGAAAGCGCCGAAGAGGAATGAGATAAACCAACGAAATTTTCTCCAATTGTCACCAAAGGCGACTTCACAAATCATCGCCTACATCTACTATTTGACAACCAATCGTACACCTCGCCGGATTGGTTAGAGTGCCCCTTTAAATCTTAGATTTTTCAAAAATCTAAGAATTAAAGGGTACCCGCCCCATTTTTTACAACCAATTGTACGTACACGTCACCCGACCGATTTGAGTGCCACTGCACACCCCTGTAAATTCTTAGATTTTTGAAAAATCTAAGATTTATGCAGAAGTGAAGCGACCTGACAGCTCAACGTGTTCCCCCACTGTTTAACAACCACCTGTACACCTCACCAGATTGGTCAGAATGCCATTGCGTTGTAAAAATGCCGAGCGCGGTATCTCCGTTGCCACTCCGAGCATTAATGTCGAGGCCGTTTTCCTTAAGCAACTGAGCGAATGCCTTTGTCCATTGCTTCTGTCGGTGGCGGAGGAGCGTATGTAGGCAATTGTCCCCAATCGAATCCCGCAAACCTAGCCGAGCATCACCTGAGATAAGCAGCGTGGCGACCTGCATGATGTCGCACTCTGCCATCTCGGCTAACAGCTGGAGTGGCGATTGCTCCGTAAAAAGCGTTTGATTGACATCTACTCCGTAGGTGAGAAAATAAGATGTCTCCTCATAAAGAAGCAAAGAAACAGAAAGGTGGATAGCAGAGGCACCGCCGCTAGAGAGCAAGCCAGCATCATGCGCCGCATGCACAACCATGCTAGCAGTTGTGGACCCATGAATACCCATGCTATAACGAATGGCATTTGCATTTTGTATCATGGCGTCGAGATCGAGAAGGTTGTAAAGCTGGTGATGTTGGCTGAGAAATTGTTCGAGAAGAGCTACGGCTCCACCAAGTAGACCCTGATACAAGATCATATGGCGAGCGGCCTCGGGAAGAATGATGCCCAACCGAAACGAAAACCCAAATACCCAGGAATCTTGGTCGCCACCACATCTTGGCTGGGCATCTGGGGTCGAGCAGCGGATGTGCGCTGGAAGTGGGCCTACGGGAGCAACCGTTAGCGTGCTACCAGATCTCGACCACAAGAACAAAGAAACGTAAATAAAAGAAAAAGATGATGATACTTACCAACTGGGCTGTCAGGTAGACGTCGGATTTTATTTTCTCTCAAGTATCGGGCCATCTTTTCGTCTGGGACAACTGTTTGATGCGCCACCACCTCGGTTCGTTTTCCCAGTCTCCATCTATATTCGACAGCTTTGATAATAATGGGCATGTCATGCTGCCAATCGACTTGTTTTTTTATGCCCCATTTTCGAAGCTTCGTGGCATATTGCTTTCGACTATTTGACTCTTAGCCACGCTGCAAAATTATTTGCTATGTCAAGGGCAGGGTAACCGGCAATACATACGTAGCGGAAAAGGTGTAGTCTCGCAAGAGTTTATCCCTGGTATCCTCTAGTGTTCAGTCCATGTCTCTGTAGTAGTGGATGATGGTCCATTTGTGCTTGTCCCATGGCAGGACCGGCGCTCGCGAGGCGGGTGAATTTAAAGGCCGGCTTCTTGACATGTTTCTCGACGTTTTCATCTATAGCTTTCCTAATTTTAGCGCTTTGCTGACGTTGAGTATATGCCACCGTTGAGATGCCGGGAAGCTTGTTGACAGTACAGAGTTTGGGGTTGCACACACTGGCGGAGGTGGGAAGCTGCCAGTAATATGAGACAAGCAGACGTTCACGTCAAAGTCGCTTGTGTAGCAAAGTTTCTGGAGCTTGCAGTAGCCAAAAGAGAATTTTGCTGAATTTTTATTGATGAAAAAGGCAACTTGGGATAGGAAGTAAGGAGGAGTGAACTGCTAGGTGATGGGGAGCATTCACCAACAGATAAAACAGAAAACGGAGCGGAATTTGTTAAATTAGAGAAGAAAACTGGGGCGATGGGTTACACAAGCTACACAGGGTGCACGGGCAACACCAGCAAAACTAGCTACAACGGGCACACACCATTGATTTACGTTAGTGTACCTATACTAAAGTCAATGGCACCATCATGGAGCCTAAACGGCTCAAAGCACGCTAAAGACTTCTAATGTAAAATCCGATTTTCACTTTCATCGCTGTAGCCTCCGGTCCACTTCCGTCAAGGGCCACCACCAGCACGATGAAAGACAAGAGTTACTATAGCAAGGATTCTAGGGATTTAATAGGACGTTTTAGCTAGCGAGCATCGACTTAGAAGTGGAGAAGAGGTACCTGGAAAACACAGCAAAAGAAAGTCACTTCTGTAAGCTATTCACAGAAGTGACTTTCTTTTGCTGTGTTTTCCAGGTACCTCTTCTCCACTTTTTTCCTAACGCCTAACTCGGAATCGCGGGCATAAGTAGTACTCAACTACAATACCACCTCGCGTAGTAGTACTCTTCTCAATACCCCGTAGCTATATATAAAACTCTATTAGTGGCTATAATCTTCTTGTCTTTAGCTCTCTATTTTTGTTGCCACTCGACGATCGATTCATTATATCAGTATTCCCTAACGGGTGTGCCGTCCAATGAGCTCGCCCGATTAGGCTGTCTATTGTGGTTGCCTTCTCGAAACGGACGGACCATCGCCTCTGCCGTTTAGGCTACAACTTGGTGTAGAGAGGCAGCCCACTTAGACGCTTTCTCTCCAACATTAGAAAGTCAGCATCACCACTGCATTATATTGCTATACCTCTGAGAAAAATGCCAACCGTATAAGATGACCCGTCAGATCGATACATCTCTAATCATCTGCCCATAAAAGAACTAGCCGAATCACCCAGCGTGTTGTTTCTGGCGACCTGTGGGGGCAGCGCCTATGTAAAATTTCAGGCCAAAAACAGATGAAGTTGGCGAATGCAAGAATCTGCAATTGGCCTGATGGGCGGATTTCGTGGGGGGGTGGCGGGTTTAGCCTACAGGGGTGGGCCTAGCTAGACGACAAAACGAGAAACGGAGAGGAAGTTGTAGTGTTATACTGTGTTGCCCCCGCATGGACACGGGACTTTGCGGTAAGCTGGTGTGGCTGTCGTTCAGCTTGCCGAGCCACGATCATCCCAGTCACTCGTCACGGACAGTTGATGCCTCAGCACAAACATTGAGGGTTGGATCGCGGGCGAACCAAAAGTGGGTAGGGAGCCTATGAGTCGATCACGTACGAATGCTGGCCGCTTCGGCGCGAACGATGTAGATTGATGAGACTAAGGCTTGCCCGTCATATGCGGACGTATGCTCCGTGGCAGTTTGTGTATGAACACCTACGGTGGGTTCCATCTCGCCCAGGCGTCTAAAATCGAACCAAATGTATTCATCATCAAATATGAACCCATCCAGTGGCGGGCGTACCCAACCCGGGCAAAATTCTAACCCGTTCGTTTTAGGCACAGCAAAAGTATGACAAGAAAAGAACGACGTCAAAAGAAATATGAGTAGTCGCTCAATATATTGCCCCATTGTTCAACAACCAATCGTACACCTCACCAACTTGATCAGAGTGCCATTGCGTAGAAAAATTGCCCAGCGCAGTATCCCCGCTGCCATTTCGAGTATTAATGTCAAGACCGTTTTCTACAAGCAATTGAGCAAATGCCCTGGTCCATTGCTTCTGTGGTTGGCGGAGGACGGTATGAAGGCAATTATCCCCAATCGCATCGCGCAAATCTAGCTGAGCGCCACCGGAAACTAGCAGCGTGGCGACCTGCATGATGTCGCACTCTGCCATCTCGGCTAACAGTTGGAGTGGTGATTGGCCTGTAAACAGCTTCTGATTGATATCGGCTCCGTGAGCAAGGAAGTAGGATGTTTCGTCATAAAGAAGCAAAGAAACAGAAAGATGGATAGCAGATACGCCTCCGCTAGAGAGCAAGCCAGCATCGTGCGCCGCATGCACGACCATGCTAGCAGCCGTGGACCCATGGATGCTCATGCTGTAGCGAATGGCAGTTGCATTTTGCATCATGGTATCAAGATCGAGAATGGTGTAAAGTTGGTGATGCTGGTTGAGAAATTGTTTGAGGAGAGCCACGTCTCCGTTAAGTAGCCCATGATATAAGATCATATGGCGGGCGGCTTCAGCAGAGATGATTCCCGACCGAAACAAGAACCCAAATACTTGGGTGGCACGATTTTTCAAGAGGGATGCAATGAGAGGTTTGAGGGCAAGTTGGGCGCTGGTGATGAGGTGTCTGGGGCATGTTCCTGCTTCATCCATAAAGAGCGCTGCTAGGATCAGGACCTTGAACATGCTCTCGTCCAGATTCTTCGACGCCAGAAGCAGGCAATCGGAAAAGGCTTCTGACTCGAGGATAGAGCTGCGCAAATTGTAAAGGATGCCAATGGCCCCAGGTCTATCGTTTTTCTCGACGCAACAGCGGATGCTTTTAAGTACATCATCGTTGTAGACGTCTGGGCAATGCAGTCTGGGAGGAGAGCTGGTGGAAGAAGAGGGAGCAGACAACAAAGATGTTATTGGCTGAATGGGCGATGTTTGTGGGCAGGCCGCTCCTCTGCTGCGGTTCTCTGACCGACGAAGCTCTCGCACAAGCCTCAAATCGTCGTAGCTTAGGGAGACGGCGATTCTTTCTTGTGGCTCTTCTTCCACTGGGCTAGGCATACCCTGATCAACGCCATATGTGTTCCGGAGGACATGCTCCACCCAAGAATCTGGGTCGCCGTCATGTTGTGGCTGGGTATCTGGGGTAGAACAGCGGATGTGCGCTGGAAGTGGACCTGCGGGAACAACCGTTAGCGTGCTACAGATCTCGACACCAGACAACAGGTACGAAGAAAGGCAAATAATGCAAAAGAAAATGTCACTTACCAGCTGGGCTGTCAGGTAGACGTCGGATTTTATTTTGTCTCAAGTAGCGAGCCATCTTTTCATCTCGGACAACAGTTTGATGCGACACCACCTCGGTTCGTTTTCCCAGTCTCCATCTGGCTTCGACAGCTTTCACAATGATTGGCATGTCATGCTGCCAATCGACCTGTTTTTTAATTCCCCATTGTCGAAGTTTCGTGGCATATTGCTTTCTACTGTTTGACTGTTAGCCACGCCGTAAAATTATTTGCTTTTTTCAGGGCAGGGTAATCAGCAATCCATACGTAGCGGAGAATTTGCACTCACGCAAGAGCAAAGCCATGGTCTCCTCTAGTGTCCAATCCATATCTCTGTAACGGTGGATGATGGTCCATTTGTGCTTTTCCCATGGTAGGGCTGGTGATCGCAAGTATCGTCCTCTTGACATATTTTTCGACATTTTAATCTACATACTTTGTAATGTTAACCGTCTGTGAGCTTTAGATAGTCCAGTGCTGGTTGGCTCTCTGTTCAATCTAGAGTTTGAGGCAGTACGTACCAGTAGAGATGGGCAGATAATCTGGGTCAAGTAGGTATTCTTGTTAAGCAAACACGTATAGCAAAGTCTCTTGGATGGGTCGCGCCCAGGAAGGACTTCTGGATGGTTTTTATAAGGATATGAGGGACGGTCTGTCATGAATCTCTACATTGCCTGGTATTCTCCTATAAACACGCCTAGTTTGGCCGTATTTTCGCCAGAACACGCCCTCTGGTTGGGAGATGATTATCGACACGCCTACCAAGTACCCCTTCTCCACCAGGAGAATTACCAGCAGCTTTTGTGCTGTGGCGTCTGGGCGTGTGGTCTCAGCCTGTGGGCGTGTCTCCTTCGGGACGATTCACACAACTTTACAGCACAACTTCACAGCACAACTTTACACCATCGATTCAGTCCTCTACCAGAACAGGAAAGGTCAATCAGCGCACGGTTGCAGTCCTGGAATTATGTCGGTGGAGCCACATCAGAGAGATAGAATAGATAGAGCCAGAAAATGACGCCGTTGTGTGTTCTCTGCGAACCAACCACAGAGTTGATTGGTGTTCAGCTTACGCAGAAGAAGGCAAACTTTGAGCGCGACAGCGCAGTACACGCAGCACTATTTGGAGCTGAGGTACAGATGGTGCCGTGTAGTAAATAACGGTGATAATTTAAGGTTCTCTAAAAAAAAAAGGTGTCCGAACTAAGTCTAATGTCCCTGAACGGCGTTGGGAGCTGCTAGCACTCAAATTTCGAATGTAGACTGCTATCCTAGAAAATAGGGCAATATGAGAGAACATCGATCATTTGGAACGCTTGAAATGGAACACGATGGAATCCCTGCTTGGGGAAACGTTGGGTCGAGGGGATCGACGGTCACTAGCGCCACATATGGTGGCTGGAAGGTTTGCAGGGTTTAGGACGGTTACCAGCGCCGCATATTGTGGCTGAATGGTTTGCAGGGTTTAGGACGGTTACCAGCGCCGCATATGGTGGCTGAATGGTTTGCAGGGTTTTGATGGTTAAATTTACTGCATACGCAGGGTTCACTAGCGTTGGTCACTCGCGTTCACTAGCGCCGCACATGGTGGAGCTGCATGTGGTACGGTCAAGAGCACTGCATATGGTGGCGCAAGGTCCGCTGCTCCCTCAAATGGCGTATGGCAAGTAGCATCAGCCACAGACATGTCGGCGGCGCGGAAGCAAAAATCCGACGTGGGAACAACCACCTTTCCAGCTTTCCCGATTAGGCACCCATTGCGGCAGCCTACTCCAGCTTTGTAGCCCTGACCACGACTTGGTGCAAAAGAGAGCCAGCCAGCCCACTTAGAAGCCGTGCCTCCAACAGTGGAAAGTAAACTTCATCACTGTATTATATTGCTATAACCTCTGAAAAAAGATGCCAACCATACAAGATGACCCGTCAAATCGATACATCTCTAATCATCTGCCTGTGAAAGAACTAGCCGAATCACCCAGCGTGTTGCTTCTGGCAGCCTTGAACAAACTTGTCGCCGACACCCCGCCTCTGACGCGCGTCTCTGAACAAGATCAGTTTGGGCTCTTTGGAGGATACATTGGCATTTCAGGGCTTCTTTTACAACTGTCCTCTAAATACCCCGACTTGAAAATTCAAGACCAGTCCCTCAAACAGTGGGCAGCGCTCTATCTCGGTGGCGAGCGCGATGCAACGCAGGCAGTCCCGTATCCGCTCATTGGGTTAGTCAGCGAAACGGTCTGCTTAATTGCGCTGAAAGCGTGTCTATCAGACGACGAAACAGACTGTGACAAGTTCTTGTTGTCTTTTGACGCAGCTTGCCAGCCAATACCCGAGGGCGAGGAAGACAGATGGGACCCAGAACTACTGCAGGGCCGCGCAGGCGCCTTGTATCTGCTACGGCTCGTTCGCAAATGGGTTCCCGCCAGAAAAGAAAAGATTGGTGATTGCATCAGCGACATTGCAGAGCGGCTGATGCAAACCAACGACTACGGTGCCAGGAGTTGGCGATGGAAGGGCCGCATGTATACTGGCGCAGTACACGGCGATATTGGCAACATAACCCAGCTCGTTCTGAGCAAACCTAATTTGGCGCCACGAGTGGAGGCACATTTGAAGCGACTCCTGGAAATGCAGTTTGAAGATGGCGGCTGGCCGCTGCATAGCAATCGAGACGAAGAGGCCACGACCATGGTCCAGCTCTGTCATGGGGCGACGGGTTTTGTATACAGTCTCCAAGCGCTGCGCCCGTATTTTCCAAATTTGAAAGACGAAATTGATACCGCCATCAAAAAGGGCCAATCTTGCATTTGGGAAAAAGGACTACTAAAGAAGGAGCCGAGTCTGTGTCACGGCACATTCGGCAACGGTCTGTAAGTACTCCACTGGGCGGCCGCCCCCGCGTAAAACCCAGCTACCCCAGACCACAACCACGGCTAACCACATATCGTTATAGCGCTTTGCCGCGCGGTCCGAAGCGAAATCATTTTCTAGCATGGTCGACACCCAATGCAGTGGCACAGGCTAAAGCATTAGATGGCGAAATGTTTGCCGATGCGCACTACGACTGGACGTACAGTGTGCCGATGGTGTATGATCTCAGCTCGATCTGGACGTGGGCTGTGTGCGAGGAAGACGAGCCAACAATGCTCTTTTACACAGACGTTTAAAATAAATGTTCATGTCGCAATGCACATTAAATAAACTAATCGCACCAATCGTATTTTCCATCAAATTTGTTATCTGATGTACATCTTTGTCCAATGTGTCTCTCTGTCCACTCAGCGCCGACGCCGGCATAATCAGATGGCCTTCGATTGGGCGAAATGACGCAAGGCTGGCATCTGCTCTCGCCATTGGCTGGCTTCCCCTTCCACAGGCTTCTGCAGCGCTATAACCCAGGCGCTATAAGGACCCCTCCGATTCCAAGACCGGCCCGCCACCAAGGCAGAGGGGAAAGAAAAACCTTTGCCCCGCCAAAAACCCAACGCCGCCGCCGTTTTTGTCAGCAAACTCGCGCAGCCAGAAAAAAAGAGACAACGACAACCCCTCCATCCGTGACACACGACCACAAACTTGCATCCCGTCGTCACCACATCATCTCAATCCGGCGCGACACTATCCACAGAGAGTTCCGAATCACAAAATGTCCACAATAACCGAAGTCACATCGCCCGAGCAGTGGCAGCAGCTGCTCGGCTCCGTGCCCGCCTCAACCCTCGTCGTCACCTCCTTCCACGCCCCCTGGGCCGCACCCTGCGCACAAATGGCCACTATCCTGTCGACCCTGGCGGCCGAGTACCCCGTCTCCGAACCCCTCGCGACCAAGTGGGCGTCCATCAACGCCGAGGAGCTCAGCGACATTAGCGAAGAATACGACGTCACGGCCGTGCCGTTCCTGGTGCTACTGCGCGGCGGCAAGGTTGTCGAGACGGTCAGCGGTAGCAACGCTGTCAAGGTCCGCGCGGCGATTGAGAAGCATGCGGCTGGCGATGCGGCGGCGGCGCCTAAGGCGGCAGAGGCCGAGGCGGAAAAGGCCGACGTGGACCCCGCCGTGGCCAAGGAGGAGCTCTTTAAGAGATTGGGCGATCTCGTCAAGGCGGCGCCTGTCATGCTGTTTATGAAGGGTACCCCGAGCTCCCCTCAGTGCGGCTTCTCTAGGCAACTGGTCGCTATATTGCGCGAGAACTCGGTCAAGTATGGCTTCTTCAACATCTTGGCGGACGATGAGGTCCGTCAGGGCTTGAAGGAGTATGCGGAGTGGCCGACGTTCCCGCAGCTCTGGGTGGATGGCGAGCTAGTTGGTGGACTCGATATTGTAAGTTTCTTTTGGCGTTTGGTGTGGTCGAGGAGTATGCTAACGATGTTGGGGTACAGGTCAAGGAGGAGCTTGGCAACGATGCCGACTTCTTGAAGGCGTATAGCGTTAGCGCTGCGGCCGATGCTGCTGCTTGAAAGAACGAATATGGAGAGGTTGTTGCCCCGTGATGGATCGATAGATACCCTGACGTTCGATAGTGGTCATGTTGCGGGGCAGGATCGAAAACAAAGAAGAAACGAAAGGCACATTGTCTGCAAAGGAATACGGTGTCCGGGGCCTGGTTGGCCTTGAGACAAGCAGACGGAAACCTGGGAGCGCTTTGGTAGCATGGCAAGCCAGTTGATCAGGTTTGGTGCCTGTGTTGGCGCTGCTGTTACCGACGTTTACTACGGATATCTTGGGCGGAGGAGACGAATTATGGCATTGCTTTTATTTACACGGTGTACATGGGACTGAAGGAAGGGCAGATTGCAACGGGCCTAATGAATAGAGCACAGTAGCAATTATATGAAATTTACGATCAATACACACGGCAGCCAGGCTCCCAGTGTCGCTTTCTACGTCAGCCGCTAACGTCGTCACTAGGGCATGCCACTACCAAAGGCGTACAGCCTTGCTAGTATTTAAGGTGACTGGGAAGTTCTTTCATCTTGACACTTTCATCATCGTTTTCATTGCCATCATCAAAGGCCGTCGGAACCATGGGTTCACAAACACGCGTCTGAAGAGCCGACCCAGCAAAGCCGCAGAAGTACCCCAACATGCTAGCCATGGACAACCAAGACGTATACCACCCTGTGACGGGCGAGCTTCTTCCGAAAGGGGCATACCTCGCTGTGCAAGTCAACTGTATGCGATACAAGGACGGCGATGGCGTCGTACGTGAGATTCACATGCCCAACGGAACACAAGAGGCGGCGAACAAGTACCTCGAAGATGGAAATTGGGCAGAGCTAGCCAAGTTCGACGAGTATAGTAAGTCGCTCGCTGTTGATGTGTACCTGTTGTATACTAACCAGGTCTAGATGGACAAGAGTATAAGCCAGAAGACTATGAGATTTGCTACACGCGGCCACTGGACGACGACGGCAATCCGATCGAGGAAACTGAGAAGGAGAAAGAGAAGGCTAGTACACCAGATGAAGAGTAGATGGTAGTGGCAACCATTGGTAACGCAAAAGGTCGTCCACGATATATAGCAACATTGAGTGGCGCTAGTAGCAGCAGATGGCAAGACAGATTGTTGAGACTTGAATGAATACTGTTGACCCGCCAGCAATCGAGCACCGCTTGCTTCTCCAACAGGGCCGCGCAACGTGGGCTGTTTTAATAGCCAACCGGCAGTCGAGGCCGTTAACCCGGCCCTTCCGATGAGGTGCGGCTCTACACGCCGGTCTGTGCATCACATCCTGTGGTGGCTGACTGCGCCGTGCCCTGGCGATTGGCCCATTCTTCCATCTTGGGTTCGATGTGAGTCACCACCTCAGACAGAGAGGGGGATGGATCGACACAGTGAGGGCCCTGGGCCCATGGACCGTTTATGGGAGCCTGGACGGTGGTGGCTTGCAAGGCTTCCAGCACGTTGCGTGTGCAGTTTGTATGGAGGATGCCGTGGATATGGAGGCTGACGATGACGACGAGGGGGTGATGGGCTTGCGGTGTTTGTGTCGCAGCGTCACAAAATATATATTTTGAAAATATCCCCCATCTTCTTCCATACATAAAAAATTTTCTAATACCATATAATACTATTTAATCGTGAGAGAGTGAATGTAAAGAAGCATCCTGACTGTCTCGGATTTACAAGCACCATTAACCCCGAGACGTGCCAGTGCCGGTACGTACTCTTTTTTTTTCACCGGGGCGCGCCGCCGCTGCCACTAAACTTCCCCCCACCATCGTGCTGTGGCCCGCTGTCTTTTTTACTTTTTGGCTCCAGACGATCACTGACGTCGCTGCTGACGGTGGGAAAAACACAGGCGCCCATTTTCCCTTTCTTTCGTGCCGAATTCTTCATTTCTCTTCTTTCTTCATTCACGATCTTACTTGTGTTTCTCTCTGCTTCTGCTTTTTGCTCACCACGTTAAAGCAGATACCGCAAGCTTCGTCATCTTCACTACTACGACTGCGTAGCGACACCGCCGCCCGCCCACGTTTCCGCATTCAGCTACACCACACAATACACTGTGGGGGATATCTTTGGCTGTGAACGCTGGGAATTGTTCAACACCACCACCGCACTGTTCGCGATACTTCGTCGTCTATTTAATCGCAAGCACCAGAAATATCCATCGCACATTTTTGGTGTATAATCTGGCCTCACCAGACTGCTGCCAGCCCGCTTGTTACTCTCCACCGCGAGCTGCCGCTGCTTTTCTTCACGTGGCGTTTGACTCCTACCGGCGAAGAGATAAGACTCGCAGCCCAGAGCAATAATTTTCTTTTCGTATTGTTCAATACCCTAGAAGGGTCGTCTCAATTTACTGCTTACTCAGAATCAATTGCCGATAGCCTCGTGCCTGGCACCTTCGACTAAGCGACTTCTTCTACCACGAACCTCCCCCGCACCACCAAGCAAACATTTCTCCAGCATCATGACTCCCACACCACCATCCACAAACTCCTCAGGGGGCCGCTCTCCCGAGGAGAGCTTTCGCGTTGTGCGAAAGAGAAATAGAGTCCCACTGAGCTGCTACCCATGCAGAACTAGAAAGTATGTACATTGCCGTCCCCATTGCTTGTCTTGCGCTAACCATCACAGATTGTAAGCTTTTCACGCCGACCGACCGACTGCCCGCGACAGTAGCTAACAGTACACAGGAAATGCGATCGCCAACATCCTTGCAGCAACTGCACAAAACGAGAAGGAGACGGTACGTCAGCATGTACATATGCCGCACCAGTCTCCTCCAAGAGAAGTCAGAATGTCGCCGACATGAGCCCCGACGACATGCAGAACAGGATAGACAGATTAGAAGGGCTTGTTTTGTCGCTCATGCATAATGGCAGCAGCAGCTCAGAAGGCCCCTCGACGGGCGACACAAGGCATCAGTCCATGTCGCAGTCTGCTAGTGGCTCATCTGTCAAGATGGAGCAGGATGAGGATCTGCAGGCAGTAGAAGAGAGCGACGACGAAGAAAGTCTGTCGAAATCGCTGGGCTTCCTCAAGGTCGACCCCGCAAAGGGCAAGTCCATGTACATTGGCGCAGAGCACTGGCATACCATTCTCGCAGACATTGCCGACGTCAAGAATTACTTTAGCACGCACAAGGAGGAGATGGAGTCGAGTTACGAAAAGGTCAAGTCGTCAAAAACAATGTCGGCCCGCGAAGGCCCAACGCTGCTCTTTGGTGCTATCCCAGCATCAGAAATCGAGCTTCGCAACGGCCTGCCCCTCAAGCACACCGTTCTCGCGCTCTGCAGTCGCTACTTCAACTCCATGGACAACGCGGTGAGCGTCATCCACGGCCCGACGTTCATTGAGCAGCTCAAGACACATTGGAAAGACCCGTCGAAAACACCCATGATGTGGCTTGGCCTCCTCTATTCCGTCTTGTGTCTCGCTATGCTCAGTTACGGCAAGGTTGGCGACGAGCCAGGCGAGTACAGAGGCAAGACGACCGAAATGGCCGAAGAGTTCCGCCTGCGCACTGTCCAGTGCCTCATGAAGGCCGACTACACCCGTCCCGTCGACTACACCGTCGAAACCATGCTTCTCTATCTCCTAGGCGAGTATACATCACGCTGGGACGCCGACCTGGGTCTCTGGATGATTCACTCCATGGTCATCCGCGTCGCCTACCGCATGGGCTACCACCGAGACGCCAAATCCTTTCCCAACATCTCGCCCTTCCAAGCCGTAAGTTTCTCTATGTCTTTAGACACCTCTTCTTTTCTAACACGCTACCAGGAAATGCGCCGCCGCACATGGTGCCTCATGCGCATGACAGACAGCATGTTCTCGCACCAAGTGTCACTCCCCTCCATGATCAACCCCGAAGAATGCGACACCCTCCCACCAAGCAACCTCAACGACGACGACCTCAGCTTCGACATGCTGCAGCCCCCCACGCCGCGCCCGCTCTCCGAACCAACCCCCATCTCCTACATGATCTGCAAGGCCCAGCTCGTCTCTGAAGTCGGCAACATCCTCTCCTCCACGCACAAGATCAAGCAGGCCATGCCGTACGACGACATCCTGCGCTTCGACGCCAAGCTCCTCCAAGTCATGCAGGAGATGCCGCCGCACCTCAAGCTCACGGGCAACGAGTCCCTCAGCGACCCCGTCACCCTCGTCGTCGCGCGCTACAACGTCAGCGTGCTCTACCAGAAGATCCTGTGCATGCTGCACCGGCACTACGTCAAGCGCGCGCGCACCAACCCGCGCTACGCCCACTCCCGCCGCCGCGCCATCGACGCCTCCATGCAGGCCATGGAGCACCTGGCCACGCTGTACCGCGAGTCGTCCCAGCCCAACGGCAAGCTGCGCTCCATCAACTGGTACATCAAGTCCATTGCCACCAAGGACTTTACGCTGCCCGCCATGCTCATCATCCTCGACCTGCACTACGACAACCTCGCCATCCAGAGTAACTCGCCGCAGGACCACGACGGCGCGTTCCTCTGGGACACGGAGCAGCGCGCCAAGATGATTGCCGTGCTCGAAAACGCCCGCGGCATCTGGAAGAGCCTGGCCACCTCGTCCATGGAGGCGTTTAAGGCGTCCAAGGTTGTCGAGCTCATGATTGACAAGATTCGCACACCGCCTACTAGTACTGAGGCGTCACCTGCTGCGCCGTTTGATATGGGTATCGATGGCAACTTGGACTTTGCCATAAACACAACGGCACCGGGCATGATGGAAGCGCCGGCGGGTATGCAGGGCTTTGGCACGGCGAATCCGTTTGCTAATGCGTCGGTGGATGCGTTTGCGGGGATGGGTATGGACTTTGGCCTGCCGCCGATGAATTATCAGGATATTCAGATGAATGGGGCGGGGGGCGCCATGTCGCCGCTGTCCATGTTTACGACGCTTGATCAGGGCATCGAGACGGCGTCGACGGCGGAGCTGAATGCCAACTTTGACTGGTCGGCGTTTGAGAATTATGCGCAAATGTCGAATTGGGCTACGGACCAGAGTTTCCAGATTTATGCAAATCAGATGACGGAGGATGCGTCGCCTGGCTCGGGGGCCGGGTCGACGGGGCAGCAGTAAAGTGTGCGATCGTGGAATGATATAGTGAAGAGTGATTGTTGGAGGATGTGGGATTTTGTATAATAGTATAATGAGGGCGTAGATGGAAAATAGGGCATACGAGACAATCTTCAATCTGTCAGGCGTTTTATATACTTTTGAAATGATTATTTATTTGCATTATTTATTAAATCCTCTTCTGTCTAGAGAGATCTCCTGTCCAAAAAGCGGTCATCCGTCTAAAATGCGTGCCAATCCGACATAACAAGAGTTGGCAATGTTCGAAACTGCCTCACCTTTCCGTCCTGGAAGCGACCTACCCAGGGCATTCCATTGACGGCTGCAGTGTAGTGCGCCATGTTGATGACGACACTATTGCCCGTGCCAAAGATTTCACTCATGATAGATCTCATGCGAGCCAAGCTTGCGTCGTCAACGTGGTTCGTAGCCCCGTCAATCAGCACATATGGAGTGGGTGTGATGAAATACGACATGAGCCCCTGCGCGACAGAAAATCGCTGTAGCTGTTCATAGGACAGATTGAGCGTCGCGAAGCTTGGCTGAGTTCCACCGTTTCGGGCAACAATTTGCTTCAAACCAACGCCATGGAGAATACGGTCCATTACATGGTCATACTGAGCCTCCGTGGCTTCATCAGCCCGTAGAATTCCGTCAGGAAGGAGATTCTGGCGAATTGTTTTTGTATGAAACACAACTGGCTCCTGGGGTATGACTGTGAAAAGACGCGGCATCATGGATCGGGATATATATTCGACCTCGAGACCGTTAAGTTTGATGGAACCCGTATAAGGGAGACGGCCGAGGAGAGCTAGACAGAGAGTTGTTTTGCCCCTGATAAAGAATGTTAACGATTGGTTCGATGGCACCAGAAATTATGAACAAACTTACGTTCCTAGTTGTCCGAAAAATCCATACTCATGATGTTCTGTGAGCTTGAGATTTATGTTCTTCAAGACGGCTTTGTTCTGACCTTCCCTATAGAGGAGTTAGATTAGCCGCATTTAGTGGAAATCGTGCATAAAACTTACTCGTAACCAATAGAGACATTCTCAAATTCGATGGTAGGTCGAAGATGACAGTGGTACTCCACGTCATAAACTATCGGCGGCTCTTCTTCGGGTGCGTCTTCTATGAATTTGTCCAGTTGATGGACTGCAATCATAGACTCATCTATAGTACTAAGACTTTCTAGAAGATTGTCAAATGAATCTTGTACGGCCATAAACATAGACAGACCAATGCTCACAGCGCATGGTGATGAAGCAGAGAGTGCGGCAAGTAAGACATAAGCTGCCGCCAGGACTGAACAAAAAACATCGATCGCCAGCCGTCTCCATTGTCGGAGAGCTGAAAGGTGATACTTTATCGCCTGCAAATCGCGAAGGACATTTTGGATGCGCATATAGCAAAGGTCCTCCGTCCGAAAAGCAACGATATAGGAAAGGCCAACTCTTGTTTGATCGAAGTTCGCATAGTTGGCCTCAGACGTAACAACATTCATTTGACGCAGTTGGACACAACATCCATAATGAATCCAACGAATACCTGCCATGGCGATGACAGTAAGCGGAAGTAGCAATATCGTTGCCCATGATACACCGTAGATAATCCCAAACATCACGAGGCAACCGGATATCACTAAAAGCAAAATAACCGTCAATGATATTGCAACGGTAGTAAACGGTACTTTGTGAGAACTTACGGTATATTGTTCGAAACATGTGGGTTGCTAAAATTCCTGTTATATTTCCAATACCTTCGCTGAAACTGTATCTTATTAGTCGCAAGTTAAAACAACTCATCAGCTTAGCTAACTTACAGGTTAATAGCCTGCTCAATCTTGTCGGCCGTTAGGAAACTAATCGAGTTGCTACGAAAGAGTCCGTTAGACGATATAACTGTAACGAGAAAGTATTCACGGACCCTAATGTGACGCTAAGCAGGTTCTGATGAAAAACATCTCCGCTCTGTTTCGAAATGTATTCTTGAAATACACTACTTGAATTAGCGGCAATGCTTGCTTGCATACAACAGATTGCACTCACATGCTTGAAAGGGCAAACATGGGCCCGCTTAGAATCGTCGCTGCCATGCCAGCTTTGTAAAACTGATGTGACACTATAATTTGCTCAAAGCACACAAGTATCGCTAGCTTCATGTTAAAAATGGCTCTCGATCGCAGAATTTACATACCAGGCAAGTTTTCTAGTATAGTGGTACATGCTATAGCCATGATTGATAGAATAATCATAGTATAGCTTGAATGTTGAAAATACGTGGATAATCGTGCTTGACCCTGTGTCTTCTGAAGTAGCGGCCGGGGTCGGTTGGCGTGGGCAATGTCATCTGATCTTTCTTGCACATTCCCTGGGCTTTGTTCAACTGCTGATTCATCCAATGGTAGCGTCATATCCGGGTTTATCGGTAGCGGAAATAAAGGTAGAGGAATAAGTAGATCTACATCAATATTCTCGACACTACCATCTCCATTGATTGTAAGCATATTATCGCAGACTCGATAAAGCACCTCTTTTATCGTTTTGTTAGTATGATTCTATATCAAAAATTGACACAGCACTAACCAGGTTGAGAAGCAATGATAATAATCGTCGTGGATGGCCGTAATAGCCCGTGGCCTGAAAATAGTCTTGCAACTAGCTTTCGAGCAGTTGCTTGGCTTTGGCAGCTGAGGACATCATCCAGAAGCATAATTGACGCTTGGGAATAAATAGCGCGTGCGAGAGCCTTAACATGTGTTAATAACAGGGTATGTTATCAGAAGCAGTATATAGGTTTGGAAAAACTCACGATTCTCTGTCGTTGGGACCTGTTTAGCTTCGCTCCATTTGGGCCGACAAGAAAGTGCTCGCCGAGACCCTTAGCTTCGTCTTCGAGCACACACGCCGCTATTACAACGTTGTACCAGGGCCTATGAAATCGATAAGATCCCACAATATTCTCTCGAATCGATTTGTCCTCAAGCCAAAACTCTTGGCCGCAGAAGCCAATATCGTCGTCGGCAACGGTAACAACACCTTCAGCAATGAATGATCGCCCTGTAATACTGCGCAGGAGAGATGACTTTCCTGACCCGGATTCGCCTGTTATAACCGAAAGACTTCCTCGGGCATATGACATGTTGACATCTCGAACGACTACCGGCAGATCAGAGTCTGGTGCAATGTTTGCAGACTCCATATGGACCATTACCGCAGCATTCTCTCCTTGTCGTAGATTATCATCGACACTGATGCCGGCAGTAACTGGAAGACGTAGGATAGTCTCTATCCTGGAAAAGGCAGAGACTGTCATCGCCCAGTAATTCGCCACTTGCATCGCAAGTCTGAAGTCGTCAACAAAGGCGTAAGAGAGAGCTAGACATGTTACAATCGAAGTGCCGTTTTCCGAGAAGACAACCGCCTGGTGATCAATAATAAATATGGGCTGAATAGCTTGTATAATGATGGCTAGGAAGGAATGTTAGTGACAAAAGACATATGGAAAACTGGCACAATGATACATACCAACTCCAAAATGTAGAGCATTTTTCTGATATAATACCCGGCGGCTTTTCATTTCAGCATCCTGGAGACCCATGATAGTCGCAAAGATAGACCTGATCTTATTTGTCATGTTTGCGCCTTTTGCATTGCGCAGTAACCTGGCGGTCTCAGCCTTGCGTTTAACTGAGTGCACAACTCGATCTCCCTGTGCTTTAGCCATCATAGGACCTAAAACGCTGCAAAGGAAAGCACCACCTAAATAAATTGTTAGCTTGAAAACAGAAAGGGTCGTTGAAAGAAAGCCGTACACAAAGTGGTTATCACTATCCACGCAACTCGATGACCTAGATAATGCCAAAACAAATACAAAGCAATGATGCTATCCATCAGATTGGCAGTTTTATCGTGAAAGCCTTTCACCATATTTTCGACTACATCTAGATCGTCGGTCATTAATGATGACGGTAGATACTGCGAGGCGTGGCGATCCGAAATGCTGAATATCTTGTTGTAGAGTGCTGACATCGTTATTCCTCGTAGAGCAAGACCAGCATTACTAGTAATCCCTGTCGAAAGCGAATTTAAAATCTAGTGGATAGTTAATAAATCATGTTTCAACAAAGCAAGGTAAATTTCCTTACCGATAAACTGAGGAAGAGTCCTAAAGTCTGTATGGCAAAGATGAAAGCTTGTGGGTTGATGCTTGAGTTCGTGTGCCCATACTTCTGCTGAGACTCCAGAGCACAAGCCAGGCTTTCAACAAGAAACGGAATGGTGGATTTGGCGATACTCTTAAAGATTACGACTACAGTTGCTTGTAGGAGAGCAGGTCTGCTGCAAGCAATCGTTGTTCTGATCAGAGCGTAGGTGCCATTAGAATCTAAAATACGAAGTCAGCAGTTGCGCCGTTTGTGAGCAAAAGCAAGCTTACATTTGGCCCATTGAACTTGGAATCTGCTGTTCAAATTCTCATCGAAGGTTTCGAAAGGCATGTTGTTAAGACTCTCCTGGCTTAGACTCTCATTGCGAGCCCTCAGAAGCGTTGGGAAAACCCACAGCCCCAAGCGCGCTGTCCAAAAGCCAACTTCCTCACTCGGACACAGCCGGCGAGCTGTTGCAGATAGCACAGAGCGCTTCGGTTGTTCATTCAGAAAGATCAATAAAGGCTTCAATACTAACGCAACGGCTGCAAATAGTCTCCAAAGGTTGAAAGGGTTAGCATCTTCATATTGCCATAGAAAGAGAGATTTGAAAACGAAGTCGGCAGCAAGGTAAATGCTTAGTGCTGTAGATGGTTGATGCTCGTATCGATGATACATGTCAAACCATATAGCTAAACATCCAGCTGAGCATATATCCAATGTTTGCTTGGTAATCAGTGACTGAAATGGGTGTTCAGGAGCCGCCACTCGATGGTGAGTAGAAAGAATCTCCAATGACAGATGCGCAACAGTAGCAAACTATGAAGACTTAGTGTTTGTCCGATTTCTATTTCGCAATTTATTTGACTTACCAGTTTTAACTTTCGAGTCTTATCCAAACCGTTTATGGTACAGCTTTGCTTGCCGCGTTGATCATAGATCATCCAAGGTATCGTCGCAACAAGCCACCCCGTTGGTAGCATACTGAGCGTCTGGCACGCATTTGAGACATTGCCTTGGATGGCAGCCGAGCGATATTCAAGTGACATTATTTCGACTTTCACGCATGCCCCTTTACGATTTCGGATGTTGACTGAAGGAAATACGCAGGGCGATGGTGGAGATATAAATGACAACAACAGCCAACATTGGACCAACAACGGGTGAGCGGCGAGGCTGCGAATTTTAGTCAATCTCACTGGGGAGCTAAGCCAGTTTTAGTGGGATTCGTTAGCGCCGCAGAAAATCTATAGGCGAGTGTTTCAGGCGCTAAACACAAACGCCACAGGCTCCATGGTGGAACTTTCGAACCAGGCAGAGCGATGCATGGCAAAGTTTCTATTGGAGATAAAATATGTGTTCTATATACTAATAAATAGGGTATGAAACATAACATGCTATGTAAATAATAGGCACTCGTCAATAAAGCAAAGTTCCAATCGCCTCCAACCAATATTGGTACCAGTACCGTCAATAATACTCGTAAGATCCATTACCAGCTGTTAGAGCCGCCCAAGTTATCAGTGTGCTCTCCGGATCTGCTAACAAAAGCTCTATTGCTATTACCACCGCCCAAGTTATCAGTCTGTTCTTGTGAGCGCACGTTGATGCCATCTGATCTGGCAACAGCCTGGTTTGTGACTGCTACAGGGGCTGCGCGACGAGTTTGTTAGTGCAAGGTTTGAACCCAACCGCCACGGGGAAACCTACCAGCCGTAACGCCACCAATGGCGCTGGCAAGAAAAGCCAACGATGTGACGGAAACCCACTTCATGTTGGCTCTAGAGTATTTTTGGTATATTTCAAGTGAGGGGTATTAGACTTTGCAACGAGGCTATTGGTTGTTTGATCCCGACGGCTTGGGACTGTTGGGTCTTGTTGGTTGCAAGTTTGGTGTTGTGGGGGGGGACGAAGTTAAAAACGGCCGAGCGCAGGTGAAGAAACCTTTGATCACCCAACAAAGCGCCCGCTTAGGGCGGATTGCCACATCGTTCAGGCGCTCTCCACAGCCGGCGCCACTATGGGTGCAACTGGAATGAATCGTATCGAACGCGAACATGTTTCCGATAGATTTCCGGGGCACGAGCCATTCTACAACGGCGTTATCCAAAAGTAGGGTTTCACTACTCGTAACGTAACCCATCCAAGTGGGCTTGTTTAGTTTGTTTGCTTGGGGATGCACGTTGGTTGGATACTAACTGGGCCGCCAACATCAGGCTCGCTCGCTCCGTCATTTCCCTGGAAGCATGGCCCCCGCCCATGTGATGACCGCTATGGAGTAACATTGGATCCTTTGTCTGTTGTGATGAGCTGCTAGAGGGGGGATCTAAGCCTGCAATGGGCTGTTCTAGAGACCACCTTCCCTGAAGGGGGTGCCCAACCGGGCCGAGACGCAGCCACTGACTCGGCGTTGGTCCACACCACCTATTTTCTTCTCGTCACGTAATGTTATGCTTTTCAATACACCGAAGGCGCCTCGGGGAACAGCGGAGCGTGGGCAAGCACTGGGTCAGTCGCTCCTCTGATGGGAGAACGTCGGATGGGTGTACGAGTGGACAGAGGACGAGCGAGGAGGACATTGTGCCCTTGGTAGTCGTTTGCACTGTATGTGAATAAAATAATAATACATATATTTAACAAAAATTGCCAACCTGTAAAATGACATAAACCTTAAGCTCCCACAGGCGGAGGCAACTGTGGTGGTGTCACTGTTCCTTCAGCGACTCGACCAATCCAGCTTGCTCCCGACACCATCTCCTGGTAATGCACCATGCTGATGATGGCGCAACCTCCTGGGCCAAACACTTCCCTCATAATCGTTCTCATCCGAACCAGGCTCTCGCCACTGACGTTATTGGTGGCGCCTTCGACCAGCGCTAATGGCGTTCGCATAAAGTAGTAAAGCATTAGGCCTTGGGCGATGGAGAAACGTGCAAGTTGCTCATACGAAAGCTTGAGCTTGGAGAATTTGGACTGCAGCCCGCCGTTCTTCTGGACTATCTTAAGCAGACCAACACCATACAGGACACGGTACATAATCGACTCGTACCCCTCGTAGTTTCCAGGGTTTACGATTTCGTTGGGTATCAGATTTTGTCGAATGGTTGCTGTACGGAAAACGATGGGCTCTTGTGGGATGACGGTAAAGAGGGACGGGAACTGGTCCCGGGGGATATCCCGAACCTCAATGCCGTCAACTGTTATAGAACCAGTATATGAGATGAGAGATAGTAAAGACAGCGATAATGTCGTTTTCCACTAATATTATAGGTTAGACGCCGGTTTGTTTGTTGGGATATACGCTGATAGATCTTACCTTCCTAGAGCGCCCACAAAGCCGATATGTGAAGCACCTGAAATCTGAAGGTTTACTCCGCGTAGTGTCGGGTTTACGACTCGGGGCCTGGCAATTGATTATATTAGCATCATCCTTGTTTTGCTTCGCGATCAACTTGAGACTTACCCATAGCCAATAGAAACATCCGTAAACCGAATCGCTGGATATGGCGACCATTCATGGGTACTGGGCAGAATCATCCTCACTTCATCTTGCGGCGTATACTTTATGAACCGCTCGATCTGGTGAACAGCGTCCATAAAATAGTCTGCGCTACCAAGGTTTGCTATGATACGCCGCACCATTAATGTAACAGAGTTCAATGTCGAGATTGCAGTACCGATCGCGGAAGGAGATAGATTCGTGGCCATAGCTATGAGCACAAACAGTGCTATTATCAAGGCAAATAAAAGGTCGATCATTGTTGTAAGCCAAAGCTCAAGTAGCCTACAATAGTATTTCACTCGTTGTGAGTCTTAACCATTTCATCCATTTGTTCCACATCGTCGGTGTAGGGTGGCATCATGCCTTCAGTTGTCACAAGTTGTTGGGCAGTATCAACAGTTTCGACATTACCGTCGCCTTCAATGGAAAACATATTATCGCAGATGCCACGGAACAGTTCTACCATGAGTGTTAGTATACGAATTCACGGCAACTTCGTATTACAAACCAGGTTGTAATATTGTTAGCACCACCGTGGTGCCTATCCTCAACATCCCAACAATGTTATCTCGCATAGATTTGTTCTCTAACCAAGGATCTTGGCCACCGAATGCAATCTTCTCATCGACTATAGTCAAAGAGCCATCCTCGATTGGTGCTCGCAGCCCGCTAGTCGCTCTTAGTTTTGTCACAACCGTCTAGCGCTACGATTGTTCCACTTTGTCTGCGTTGACAGCGCCACGAACGTGTACCTAGTCTATCGTTTTCACATAGACTATGCTCAAACGTGTGATCGATCTGGCCGTAAATGTGTATCATGTACAACTATTTTTTCGGTGTAATAAGTAGTAAATACAAGCACGTTCGATCATGCTACGGCCCAAAAAAAATATTACTTTTTTCGTTGGTCAATTTTAACGTCGCGCCTCATACTAGCCATCTCCTAACAGGCAATTGACACCATCAGGCGGCAACATGCATCTGCGGGAGGCCAACCAGCTGAATAACAGGCGCATAGTTGTCTTTCAACGCGCCGCGTAGCCCGAATTAATATCAATATAATATGTGCAGTAGATCCCAAATTCCTAGAATGTTTAAAGATAAAAACGATATAACCGAAAAATAACCAGATACCCATCTCGTCGTACAGCCGCGCGTCTATATGCCACCAGATCTTAACCAAGAAGCCGCACTCGCCGAGGCTATCTCTCTGCTACACCTCCTCCACCGAATCCCCGCGACGCCCTTTAGTAACCCAGAAATACCGGACTATCGCGTACCAGAAACTGAATATTCGCTTCCGTTTGCCAAAGAGCAAACACTCGTCCACGCCTTGTCATTCCTCGTTGGAAATGACGACCCAAACTATGTACCCGCCCTCTGTGTTCAAGAAGAGCCCAATGCCAACGGCCCCAGACTGAATATACTGCTCGCCGTGAATCAAAGGAATAGCAACGATACGGATGCCTTTGCAACCCTCAAGGAAATCAAAGACAAATTTGATCCACTACTTGCGTCTCTACAAGACGCGCCTCAGCGTCAGCTTTACCATGATTCTTATTCCATGTTCAGTTTGACTGACGTTGTAGCAGGTACTGAGCAAGAATTATTTACACACATTGTCAGTATGTGTACCCAGCGGATCCTCGTGCGCATACGCTACGCCAAAAGCAAATCGAACAAGCAGAAACAGACCATCAAACACCTATTAACCACGACAACCAGCCTCCTAGGAGCGGCATACTTCAAATACAAACAAGCTGCCCGTGTCGTTGTCAAAAATATCGATAACTGGCTCAAGTATCAAACTACAGATGCTCTATGCATTGCTGTAGAGAGTATACACACACTTTCTCGCGTTCCTCAGTTGCGCCCGGCGCTGGACTCCATCGCCAACATTGTACTCGGACCCAGCGAAAGAAAGAACTTGCTTCGCATGATCCTTCGCGTAGCCCGATACCGCGAAACGGCTAGAGTCCTCTACCGACTGGCGAAAAAGTATCCAATCACACGGAACATGTGCCTCGTTCTCGTCACACTGCCTACATCTGCATTCCGTGGATCGTCACCAAGCTATAAGCCAAGTCTTGAGCGGACATCTGAACGGCTCTCTATAGCAAAAGTTGTCAAATCAAACACACGTTTATTATCACGCCTTCTTATAAAGAATGGCAATACGATAGACACTGAATTTGACTGGCAGGCTCTGCGGATTATGAGGGAGGGCAAAATACATGCCGAGGTCCAGTTAGTGTACCATCTCGAGACACATGAGCAAGGTCTACCACCTCGAGTTATTGCATCTAGTAAGATGGCATGTTATCTGTGCAATGTATTCCTCTGTAGTGTGGCCAAGATCTACACCCGCAGGTGCCATGGGCGGTTATATCCTGGTTGGAAATTACCCTTTTTTCCTAGCTCTTGTGATATGGAACGGCGGTTTACTCGGACTCTGGAGACAAAGATTCAACAAGAGCTGCCTCGGCTGGTCAAATCGCAGAAAAGAACAGTGTTTCCGGATCCCAGCGAGAGTGCGTTATGGACGATGAATGAATCTGCAACCACTATTGCACAGCCGGAAACTAGTGTCGATATCGTTGAGGAGGTCAAGACGGACGACATTACTCCAGAAATCAAGGTGGATGAGGTGATTGTTGTCACAGAATGTCCGCCCGAGGTTGCCGATGTCATCGCAACGACGTCGAGCGAGGATACACTGGGGCCGCCAGCACTGTCAGAAGTACGGATGAAGCTACGTCAAGGAACTCCATTAGACTTGAAACTACCAGTCAACTCTTTGTCTACACTGCACCTCGGTCCCGCTATCTTCCAGATAGAGTATACCGTCGGGCCAAATTCAACAAGAAGTGAGCTCCAGTGCTGTGCAGAGTGGCTTAAGAAGGACAGTGCAGCAGCAGTAAAGGTTAGCTCAGTTGATCTTCTCCATTCTAGGGACCTTGAATTGGGGATCGAGACAGAAGTGGCGAACGACGGGCCGGTACATGTAGATATCGGCGGAAAAGTCTTGCGACTTGTGTTATCGTAGGCAGCACCAGGCCACGGAGGAAGATGGCATTGGAGCTCACTGCGGTAGAGCAAGATAAATATCATAACATAAAGGTAATTAGTCTTTTCCGTTTCTCTTAATTTATATCATCTCATGTTAGCGCGCTTCTTCCAATGCAAAGTACTATCCCATGCTTAAATGAGCTGTCACCAGCTATTGTTCACCACATACCTGCGGCTCGCTCACCCAAAGCACACAAGACTATTCAGTTAAGGATTACAATAACAACCAAGCCAACACAAGACGCCATATACCATCTACTAGTTTTCTACGTTTCTACGGAAATACTTTTCTCCCAAATATTTATCTCATTACGCACGGCACGGCCTGCTCAGTAAGAAACCTGCGTGGAGCTTCGCTCCTGGAGCCGCTTTTGAAAGCCTTATAGTACCCCGTATGACACAACATACACACATCTCCGCTCCAAATCCGCCTTTAGCAGAGCCTGATATCCTTCTCCACACAATATCCTCAACTACCGATGTGCATATTTATCCAAATACTCTATCCCCCCGTATCGCTGCTTCTCCGACGGACATGCAGCCTCGTCCGTCCCAAACACGAGCCATCAGCCCGCCATGAGAACTCAAACGCATCACAATGTCTCCGCGCAGGACCAAGGACTCTCTACCTCGGGAATTACGTACATATCCAGACCTTGGACCAAACGCAAGAAAATTATAAAGCCGGCCAGGTCTGCCCATTCAAAACAAGAGATTCTTCATCCTCAACACTCAGTCTTTCACAATGGCCATTATCCAATCTTCTCTCATTCTCGCCCTTGCCGGCGCCGCTGCCGCTGCTGCTACGGCCAAGTACCCTGAAGTCAAGCCCGGTCCTGGTCTTCCCAGCCTGGCTGAGCTAGGCATCACTTCTGCTGAGCTGTACCAGATGGGCAAGCCCGCGTTCCGTAAGTCGTCCTTCCCTCATAATGATGCAAGACTAATGATTCCAGACTCTAATGCCATTAACGGAGCGTTCAGCGCCAACTTGGACCCCGGCTGTGGACCAAGCGACGCCTACACCTACGACATCAACGGTGTTATTGTCTGCTACAACTACCTCGCCAAGCTGGGTGACACGGCTTGCGTGGTTCCCGCTGAGGGATACTCGGCCTTTTGCACGAGCGGTGATGCTGCCATTACTGGCAAGTCTCAACTTAGCGGAAGCGGCACCTCCTCCGCTTGGTATGTGAACTCTTGACCTTGCATTCGAAACGCGTAGCTAATACTGGTCCAGCCGTGATGTTGCCAACGGCGTCCTCTGGGTCCTTGACCACTGCACCCGCAATGAAGAGGGCAATGTTGCCGGTAAGTATTACACTTCACAAAATAGTATACATTGTACTAACTCCTGAATAGGTTTCCAGGCTGCCTACGGCAACGGCGACCTCAAAGTTTCCGTCTCCAACGTTGAGTTCGCTTCTCGCACTTAGAGCGGTCTTCAGCGGACACTACCCTCTCACATTCTAGTAGATAGTTTATGCTTTTGATCACTATATAGTCACCGGTTCAATGTTAAAGCTTTAACACAAAACTTTTTAAGTCTACATTATCACATAATCCGCTAGGGATCACTAGTGCACGAACCTGGCGGTATTCCTGTCCGGCGGGGAGTGAATCATCTAGCTTGTGCGCCACCATGATCGATCACGGCACTTCACACCACGCCACATCCTCATCATTGTAAAATATACACCATACAATAATAGACCCAGCATCATAAATATTAATAGTATGGTCTCTCCCGCACTAACCATCCACCCACACCATGCAAGGACAGGCATATCCCCCACACGTACAAATGGCATATCTACCACAGTTATCCTCTTCGCTGAACGGCGACCTTGAAGAAGCGTTACCCGTCATGCTCTCCGACACATCATCTTCTGGGCGACGCCGCAAACGCCGCCGCTTATCCAACGACAACGACGAAGACTCCATGGGCGAGCTGGTCGGCAGCGACGTAGAAACAGAAGACGAGGAGGACGAAGTCAGCACAGCGAGCGAGGGCTCAACTGGCCCAGGGGTCCTCGTAAACGAAGAGGATGAGAGCTCTTCAGACAGCTCGTCGTCAGACAGTTCGTCGTCTGATTCAGACAGTGATGATGAGGCAGACACCGACGACGAGACGTCCAGTGATGATAGCTCGTCGTCTGACTCCTCTTCCGACAGCGACAGCGACAGCGACTAATATGGGTTTACGCAGTCTTGCCGTATTCTTTGATGGTTTTATCTACGTATGCTGTCGCATTGTAAATGAAAACACTGTCGAAAAGGACTGTACTCAGCAGTGTGTCTGCAATACCACCATCATGTGAGCAGATTACTGAGCAAGTATTTGCATGAGCCACCGCCCGCTCGCTCAACACCATAGATTTCATAGAATATCTTGAATCCGTAGTCTACATTTACATCTCATTCTTGCGTTTTTGTCGCTTTCATAGTGGTTAATTACACCGTGTATTACAGCTACCGTGGCATTCTTCGGTTGTGTGCTAAGTCCACTTACACGATGCCATCGCCAGTCAACCCGCAGCTGCAATCGCCATTATTCAGCCTACCCTATGAAATCCGCCTACATATATACACGCACCTCTACACAATATCTTCTTCGCCCATAAGTCTGCGCTGCTCACCACCCAGTACGCCTTCTAGCCTTTCTCTACTAGCAACATGTCGCCGGGCCGCCGAGGCCGAGCACCATCTATACGAGCTCAACACATTCGAGGCTCCGTTTGACGATCCCTCACATCTAGCAAAGTTTATCGCAACTACGCCACTTACCCGTCGACGCTGGATACACAGTGTATATATTCAGGTTCCGTCTGGGGGTATGATGCTCGGGCTGCTCGCCAGTCTGCGAGAGGGACTGCCAGGGCTGCGGCAGCTCACTGTGCGGCGTCGGAAGAATATTCACTATGTCAACCTGTCAGACTGGACACTGTTAATGGCCAATATGGTAGACGAGCTGCGCGGGATGAAGAATCTTGTGCAATTCGAAATAGCCATGCCACGACCGGTTATGCCGCTCACAGACTGGGAGAAGCTACGCAAAAGTAAGCTGCAAGTTATTGACGATACATTGAGAGCCGCAGCACGCCATAATCAAACAGTGTAATATGAAATAGGAGGAATATACGTATAAAAACACAAAAATCAATCGAGTCGGGTTTCCATTCATCGTGACACTCTCTTTCATACAAGTCTCCCGATAGCCACGCCCAAGAGGGGGCAAAATGAGGTGAGCGCATCATCTCTATACCACTTCTCCTTCTTCTCCTTCCTTTTTTCCTTTTGTACATTCTTTGTCTTGTGTTGTGTTCTTTGTTGCTGTATACATATTTATACATTCCACCACTTCATACACGACAAGAGTCCGAGAAACGCCGCAAATCGTACCATACCAAAATAAAAAATCTGAAACCAAATACCAAGACGAGAGAGAAGCATATCATTAACACACACAGAGACGTCGTGCCTTTCTCTCTACAGCACCTCGCCGATAATCTTGGCGGCCTCGCGGTACGTTTGCAGCAGCTGCTCGCACTTCTCGCGCTCCTTCTTGACGCCGTCGTCTTCGTACAACAGCTCTTCAAAGAGCGATTCCTTGTAGAGCTCGCTGACAAGACGGTTCTGCACAACATCCTTGCAGTGGTTGACGAGAAGGTGCATGACGGCCTTGGGGACCTGGTCGGCAATCGACTCGCGGACAATGTTGAAGTAGGACGAGATGAGGGCGCGGATGAGCTCGGTTTCCATGGCTTCGCGGTCGGTAAGGGCAGGCTCGTTGGATTCGCCCTAGATATTGTTAGCATGGAGGTGCAAAAGGATGGTATATCAACAAAGAAACTTACGAGGTGGGAGGCAAGTCCGTAGCTGCGGCTTGTGGGGTCGTAGTCGTCGGTGTGAAGGCTGCGGACGGGGAGCTGCTTCTCCTCGCGGCGGAAGCTAGTCGAAAAGCTCGGCTCGAGGTGGTTGTTGACGTTGTGGCGGCTCGGCGAAGCGGGCAAGGGAGCACCAGGGGGCTGGAGACCATCCTTTCCAAAGAAGTAGTTGAGGAAGGTATCCTTGGCGCCGCCGAGACCCTGTCCGTTGACACCAGAGGGAGACATGGCGCGGCCATTGACGGCAGCGGCGATACTGCCAACGTGCTCGCTAAGGCCAGCGGGAGAGAGGCTGCGGGCGTGCTTAGAGTGGTGACCCTTGGCATCAGCCTTTTCAACAGCAGTGCTGCCATCCTCACCCTCTTCAACCTCGCCGTTGGCTCCGAGTTCCTTGAGGCGCTTGCGCTCGCGACGTTCACGCTCTTCTTGGATCAGACGCTTGCGCTCACGCTCCTGCTTGGCGCTGACAACGTTGCTCATGGCGGCAGCAGCACCGAGGAAGTTGGGGTGGTTGGTGTTGATGTAGGCGCGCTGGATAGAAATGAGCGACTCAACGTATGACGAGGCAGGGCCAAGACGTTCGCGGAGCAGATCGGACACAGTCTCAATGAGCTTGGCCTGGAGTCTGGGGTAGCGAGACAGTTCAGTAGAGCCGCAAGTGTGGCAGATCTTGATGAGCTCTTCGTAGACAAGCTCAACACAGCGGTGGCTGGGAATCTCAAGAAGCTTAATCTGAGGCTTGACAAGCAAGTCAAAGGCCATCTCGGGAACAAACAAGCTAGGGCGAGGTCCAGTAGAATTGCGGATAGCTGTGCGGATATCGAGGGCCGTCAGGTTCGATGTGGGGTCGATAGACTCAAGCGAGCTGCCGAAAACAGAGTTGAAGATGTAGTAGATGCGAGCACCACCGCAGAGCTCCTTGGTCGAGATTTCGGTCGAGGTACCGTCAATGGACGAAATAAAGGCCGTGGCGAATCGAGTCATTTGCTGCAAAATAAGAGATCCACGGTGCTCCTTGCCGCTAAAGGCAGTATCACCGTAGCTGGCAAGCTCCTGCTGGGTCTGGCCCATGAGGGTGTTGAGGCGAGCCTTGATGTCAGGCAGTCTCTCGCGGATGTGACCCATGAGGGTTGTGTTGAGTGTCTTGGCGAGGAACTGGGTACCGCAGCGGTTAGCAATGTTGCGGTAGGCAGGGTGGTGCTTGAAGAAGTCATTTTCGGCCTGTAGCGCCTCGTCCATGGGCTTGTTGCCCTGGATGTCCTGCTGAGATCGGTTGACTACACCAATGAAGCCCAGCTTCAAGGGGTAGACTCTGCCAGAGAGAATGTCGAGGGCGTTGGTGCCGTGGTCCATGAGATCGAGCTTGGTCAAGACACCAATGGTGCGGCGGCCGAGGGCATCGACATGACGGGCCAGCTTGAGCGCCTCCGAGTTGACAATGTCGACATTGGCGGGAGAGACGGCGAGAATGATACTGTTGGGCTTGGCAATGTACTCGGAGATCAGATTTCGGGTCTGCTTCTCGATATCGGTGGGCTGGTCGCCAATGGGAACCTTGGTCAAACCGGGAAGATCAACTAGTGTCAGATTAAGAACGTGGGGAGAGTAGATCTTCAGGTTGATGGGCTGGCGGTTGATGCCCTTGTTGGTACCGGCAACACGGGCCGTCTCGTTCTCAATCTCGCGCTTGACGTCGGAGAAGTCTGTGAAGCGTCTGTTGGGAATGTGGTGGAATTCGGCCCATTCGGAGCGGCGGGCGGCTGTGGGCGAGCCGTAGGGCAGCGCCGCCGGGTCGGGCATAGCATCGTCATCGGGGACGTTGATCAGCTGGAGGATGAGGGGACGACGGGTGACAATGCCGGAGCCACGAGGCAGAAAGTCTCTGCCGACAATGTTTTCGAGAACGGAAGATTTACCGGCCGACTGGGAACCGACGACAACCTGTGCGATGATGTGTGTTAGTAGCGAAGTCCTAGCTTAGGAGGCGGCGGCGCATGCTGAGACATATTTGACGGTACGTACAATTTGAGGAAGATCAAGCGAATCGCTGCCAATGGTGTTGAAGACCAAGTCTTGCAGCTTGTTGACAGTGGACAACAAGTCCTCTCCGAGGGCAGCCATGACGACAATGATTTGTATGGGAACAAGATTAGGGGCAGGCCAAGACCATCTGCAAAAGCGCAATGGGTGCAATGGGAAGGAGGCCGGATGCGCAGCAAGCAAGACGATGCCGACAACAGCTGATGCAGAGAGAAAATGCAAAACCCGAGATCCGATGCAGCGAGAAATGCAAAGACGATGAACCGTGGGATGCGCGTCGCCAGAATCAAGCTTTTGGGGGGGGAGGGCCGTAACGTAGGACTGAGTTCACGTGTTGGCCTGGCCCGGCCCCTGCAGGAAACCGCACACGGCACTCAGGCGGGTGGGCACTCACTACCTGTGCGGTACAAGTGGCGGCGCTCCAAAGCGGTTTAGTGGTGCTGCTGCTTTAGGGCTTTTGTCGTGGATTGGGCAGCTTCATTCGCTGCATACCCACCAAAAAGCTTAAGCTTGCTCTTAAAGCAGCGGCCCCATCTGCCAAGTTCCTTTCCGGTTCCCTCTCTTGCTCCAGCACTACAGCGGGTCAATCAGGCCAAAAGGAAAAAAAAACAAGGCGACAAGCGAAGTAACAGGGCGCACCACAGCAGTCGTACCAGCACCAGCAGCCGCCAGAAAGAGCCTGTAGACGAGGTGGCTCCATAAGGCAGACAGACAGCAGACAGACTCTCTCGCAAACGACACCACAGCGGACGTCCAACATCGCCCAGCATGAGTACATTCGGAGCTCCCGGCACATTACCGTCAACGCGGCCTACTCCGTAAGTGAATTCAGAGAGCATGTGCAGCGGTATATGCTAATTGATGGTGCGCTACAGGCCGCAAAGGGGAAGCTTTCCTCTCGACCACGATGGTAAGGACAGCGCCTCAATGTCGCCATCCATGGTCTGCTGTGTGCTAATATTCAAATAGGCGAGTGCAAGACCGTCATGACATCGTATCTAGCGTGCATGAAAAAGGTCAGAGGCGTCAACAAGGACGAGTGCCGTGACCTGGCCAAGGCATATCTCTCGTGCCGCATGGACAAGTACGTTTTTTTATATTCGCTACTTTTCACACTTGCGCTAACAGGCAGCAGCAATCTCATGGCAAGAGATGAATTCAAAAACCTGGGCTTCGCAGATCCTTCTAAGGAAACAACAACGCCAGCGGCAGGCAATAACGCGGAAAAGGGCGTCAAAGGCGAGCTGCACTGGTGATGCCGAACACGCCAACTTTTGCACGCTATAAAACCCCCCAAAAAGGTGCACACGACCATTGTATTCTACTAGCCCTCCTTTTTCCTTATTTCTATTCCTGTAACAATAGCCACCAACCTAACGAGAAATGCAAATACCAATTTAAAAACATATAAAAATAACCCCAAACAATGGCCGCCCTGCAACCGTCGCCCTCCGTTTTGCGCCGTGTTGCCCCGTCAACCCCCGCCCTCCATCGCCCGCCCACCCGCGTCTCCAAAAAAACGACAGCCACTGGGGCGCCGGAATATGCACAACATCCCGGCGGCCCCCTCAGCTGCAACACGTCAAAGATCACCACCCATTGTTATTTTCGTTTCGTGACATATTTTCTGCTCTCGCCTTTGCTGCGTCGAAAGTAAGCTTCTGCGCTTTACTCTTCTTCCGTATTCCCGTCGCAATGAGGGCCTACAGAGAGCACCGGAACCGAAAGGTCTCCCCGCCCACCGCGGCATACATGTCCAACGACCAGATGGGTACGTATCCTGCACGATTGAGTTGCCACGTGCATATCGCCCTGCAGAACAGAACAACCTTGGACTTCTTTTCTTGTTTATGCTCGCTAACCGTCAACAGCAAACTACCTGTCCGACCTTCGAACGAATAGAACTCCTCGACCAGGCGGCATCAAACCTACGCCGTCGCCCGCTCCCTCTGCAACCTACTCTGTTGAACCTCCCCGAAGCCTTGCTGGCAGGTATAGCATCGACCAGTTGCCTCGCCAGGCTATCCCTGAACCTCGCAGAGAGCCTTCGTTTGCACCCAGCTACGCTGCCAGCAGTGTGGCCTCTCGCTACTCTACCGCCGGCAGCATGCGTGGCCGTGACTACTACCAAGCTGCACCCAGTGCACCCACTGGCTCCATGAACCCTAACGAGGTGGTCCCAACAGCGACGTACATGGAGCGTGGCCAGCGCTGGATGGAGAAGGAAGAGGTTGTGTCACTGCGAGACGCCATGGACCAGATGCACATCCGCTCTCGTCCGTCCCCCGCGCCCTCACCCGCCATTGACGAGGAGCAGCGTGTCTACAACGCCGCCCTCGACGAGGCCGCCGAGCTTGTCTGGCAGCACCAAAACGGCCGCATGGAGCCTGAGCGGCCAGACGGGGCGTACCGATACCGGCCGCACCTCCGCAAGAACAGCTACGCGTATGCCCGGGCCGCTAGTATCGGTGACCACGGGGAGGACATCATCCCTACCGGCATGAACCGCGATATTGGGTACCGCTCCGTGTCCAATGGTTCCCAGGGCAGCGATGGATACCGCCGCGACAGCAGCAGCACCCGCCCGTCAGGCGAGTATTACAGCGTCCCCAACGACACAGTGGGGAGCCGCCGCAAGACGTATGGCGGTGTGGCCAACCAGAGTTATGGCCGCCGCAGCAGCAGGAGAAACATCAGCGGTGAGGTTGTCGACGTGCCCTTTTCCGGAGACCAAATCTGGAACGAGCCCGGGTCTCCTGGCAGCCAAGTCGCTCCTGTTCCTGCCATTGCCACGCATCTCGTCGACAGACACTCTGTTGTCAACCAGCCCGCTATGCATCCTCCTCCATCCAAGCCTCTGAACCGTGTGGAAATCCACCGCAACCCGCCCAGCCGCTCCCGCAATGCGCAGTACACGACAAACGCGGCCTCTGGCCCGCCAGCCCCGGATCCGCGGGTCGAAACGCGCAACGGCATCGAGAAGCGCAGCCAGGACATCCGCGATGCCACCAGCATGAGGAAAAGCGACCGCAGCGCACGCCTCCCCGAGCCCACTGCCGTCAGTGACAGGCCCGGTCGCCCTATTGTAAGCTTCGACGCAAACTGGAGAGCTCCCGAGGAGACCACTGATTACCCACCAGTCGCCCCGACGGCGCCGCTCCATTTCCGTCGACCCCAGCAGCAGCAACACCAAGCACCACCGCCGGTCGGGCGTGTTCAAGTCCCTACCATCGCTGTATCAGAGGATGTTCAGCCGCAGCAGCAGCAAGAAAGACGACAGCGCCAAGCACCGCCTCAGCCAAGCATCCCTACCATTGCCATAGGAAACGACGACGATGACGCTGCTGCACCTGGTATCCCTGCCATCAATATTCCTTCTATTGCTGTGGACGAGCCGTCCTCTACAGCTCCTGAGGTACCGTCTATTTCCGTCTCTGTCGATGAGCCCAAAGAGAAAGTCTCGGGCTCGAGGCCGCTTCCTGCCGCTGGCCGTCAGCGAAGCAAGCCCCGTGCACCATTCCAACCTCGGGGTCATATTTCTCTAGGCCCTGCTATACCTGGCCGTGCTCGCACGCTGTGCCATGAATGCGGGTTTCCCATTGACGGCCGGTTCGTGTCGCTGGCCGGCATCTCGGAGCGGTTCCATCCCGCATGCTTCTCCTGCTACTGCTGCGGCACGAGTCTCGAGGCCATGGAGATCAGCCCCGAGCCGGACACGGTGCGCCTCGCCCGCGTGGAGCGTATCCGCCGCCGCGAAGCTGGCGAGGATGTCCCTGATGAGCCTGGTGCCACGGAGGCAGACGATGGTGATGAGCGCCTCCGCTTCTACTGCCATCTTGACTGGCATGAGTCGTTTGCTCCCCGCTGCAAGCACTGCAAGACGCCGATCCTGGGCGAGCATGTCGTTGCGCTGGGCGAGCACTGGCACAACGGGCATTTCTTCTGCGCCGAGTGTGGTGATCCCTTCTCGCACGGCATGACGCACATTGAAAAGGACGGCTACGCGTGGTGCATCAACTGCCAGACCAAGCGGACCGAGAGGCGCGCGCCCAAGTGCCGCGCATGCAAGACGGCCGTGATTGGGCAGTACATTGAGGCTCTTGGAGCCGAGTGGCACGACCACTGCTTCCGCTGTGCGGATTGTAGTGGTGGTTTTGCGGATGGCCAGATCTTTGTCCGCGAGGGAGGCTCGGGTGTCGTGGTCTGCACGGCGTGCCGAGCCAAGGAGTTGAAGCTGTAATTGGCTGACATACTTCCTGACGTGACATATTTTTATGAGTTTACATTTATGTATGATTATGATGTATTGGATTGAACGCCGATATGGACATTGTTTTTCAAGGGGATGGGTAATATGGTGGCGGTTGCATTGTTTATTACTAGGGACATTCACTCAATAACATTTTTTCATTTCTGTCTTTACATTTGATTAACGCTTGCGGTGATTTTTAATCGGTGTCCAGGTACTAGACACTCGTCAAGACAACATTCACTCACTAGGCGGCGACATCACTGGTGATCAAGAGGTCAGGAAACGAAAGTGAATGAATCTTTGTGGGTGCGTCCATCATGTACAGTCTACATGTGAGGTAACAAGCAACTAGAAAAGAAAAGAAAGAAGACAACAACGACAACCATGCAGAAGTAATCCTGGAGACGTCTAAAGGGCCACGAGCCGTAGCCTGTCCCGGTATGTGTGTCTGTCCGTCATAAACCCCGCCACCCGGAAATCAAAAAAAGGAATGGATGGACCAGATGGTATCAACCATGTTTCTCCCCTGGACAGTGTGTGTGCCTCTGTCACTTCAAATAAAAGGATCCCAAATATCCTAGCCAAACGCCGTCCGTCGTGAATAATGTTTCGTTCGTCTACGGCTTAGCTTAGAAAGCACCGCCGACCTGCTCCTGGTGGACTTCTAGGGAGTCGCCGTCGGCCATGTCGAGCTGTGAGCGTAAGTCTTTTGTTAGTAAACCCATATTTGCAATCACACGTTGGTAGAAGAAGAAGGCTGTAGTCAGCGGGACGTACCGTGTCGGGAGTGTCGGTGGGCTGGACGCGCGTGCCGTCAAACAGGAAGCGGACCGAGGTGATGGACTTGCCCTGGCGCTCGCAAAAGGCCGTCATGAGCTTCTCGAGCTTGGTGGAGCGCTTGATCTTGAAGAAGACCTCGTTGTTGTTGTCGGTGACCTTGATGTTGAGGTGCTCGGTGGGGGCGTCGCCGCCCTGGTGGTCTCCGTTATCAGCCATTGTAGGGGAAGATGTGTGGTTTTGAAGAGTGTAGAGTGCAAAAGCAGCGAGGTTATATGTGCTGGTGAGTGGGTTAAGTTGGTCAGCGCAAAGAGAGGTGGTGATGGGATTGAAGAAGACGATGGAAGTTGGAGTGGCGGCCTTTTTTAGGTGGGGAGGCGGGCTCCTGATTCGTGGGCCGCTGCCAGGCAGAGAGAGGCGCTGTAACGGGTGGCGTGAATGGGCGGGTGGGCGGACACAGTGTGTTTTTCAGCGCCTGGTGAATGAACTGGGCAACGCCACTACAAGCAACCAAACAACCAGAAGAATGGTAAGGCGATGATGCGCGAAAACAAAGAGACAATCGAGATGCATTATACTGATTACAGCATTCACTAGCCTTCTCCCAAAGACGATGTAAACGCTACACCGCCCTGCCACCCACGCGCGGTACGTTTGATGAGTGTCCTCCAAACCGTCGTGATGGTTGTTTGCTAACGTGTGATGATGTTTCTGCAGTGCGCAATTCAAGGTGAGATTGGATGATACAATTGATGTCTATCTGTAAAAGACATGATTTTTAACACTTGTGCAGATTGTCTTACGCGCAACAATTACAACGAGGCTCGGTGCCAAGGGGCCATCAAGGCTCTCTACGAGTGCTGTGCTGCGTTTTACGAAAAGCATGGCGACGCAGCGACATCGCCGAGTTGTCCGAAACCAGACTTGCTGCGACTGAAAATGAAGCAGCTCAATATGTCGTCGTCGTCGTCATGACAGCAAGAGGTTTATAGATGATAAGACAAAAAGTACCATCGTGGGTGTAGATGTGTACCGCTCAACATATGCCGTGTCCACCAGGATTGAATTCGAGGCAACGAGTTAGCGAAGAGCGCCTGGCAAATATTTTCTAGGCGATCATTGAGCACGCAGGAGGTCCTCATGGGACCTGAACAAGCATTGAAGAGATAATCCTGTTCCGAGACTCTAATATGAATGCCGATGACATTATGGAGAAAAGGAAAAAGAAAGAAAGAGAAGAGGAAATTTTGGCGGGTGGATAATATGGAGGGCTCGGTGGGAGGCGCTCGGATAGAGGAATATCGCTGTAGGGGGGTTGTTTGCGCCAGGACAGGTACCCGGGAGGTCTGGCTGTCTTAATCTGGACCACCGATTCAGTAGGGTTGGCAATATTAGAGGATATAAATTGATAAATTCATTTAATATCGACTTTAATTATTGATAGTAACTTTTAAACGCAGAATAACAGACAATGGTGAACTAATTAGTGTGGTAATTGTGTAGTTCAACGTATAGATCTAGCTGTCGCCCAAGGTCAAAAATACCTGTAAAACACCCAACAGTCAATTAGGGTAATATCAAGACAATAAATATCGTAATAAGCAATAAAGGTGTCAAAATATGCACACAATATTTAATACATATTTATTTTAGTTGTGTGGCACCAATTAATTGGAGCGCCCGCCTGCGTACTGATGCTGCCGCGCGCTTCGGCGCAGGCGCCCAGGCAGGCTGTCAAGCAAAAAAGCAACAAACCACCAAAGCTCTAGCAGCAGAGCAGTCTGCACACCTTCAACACCACCCCTTGCAACCGCGAATCCATCCTCACCACGCCGCCAGACCCAGCTCCTCCACGTTCTGGGCTGCGGCCATTGGCCTGATTTACACTACGAATCACCAATCGACCGCGTTTTCACCATCATCCTTTCGCTCAGCGGGAGCTCCGAAAAGGCTTCATCCAGCTCCGGCCTCTCGACGGCCCAGCTGACGGTCGACTCACCCTGTTTCCCTTTGTTTTTTTTAACAATCAACACCTCATCATTATATTGAATAGCCCGACGAAACATATCCACAATGAACTCGACAACGCCGTTATTTGGCACCGCCGACTTGCCACCAGCCACCTTCCGCCCCGAAGTCGAAGACTTTGCCAACGCTCTCGACGAGTGCCTGTCGCCGTTCCTCTCCCCGGCCGACCGCAGAGAACGCCTGCTCGACCTGCCCAGACGATATCACGAAAATGCGCTGCGCAGATTGGCCAAGGCGCGCCCCCGACGCGCTCGCGAATCCCAGGTCGACATCATGGACATGGACATGGACGACGGCACGTCTCTCCGCTCGTCGCTGCCCCTCGATGCCGATGAGATGCGCAGCCTTGAGGAGGAGATCCAGACATGGGACCTTGTCCGTCGCCTGTTTCCTCTGCGCCATGCCGACAGTGCAGCCATGAGCTTCGACCGCGATACCATTGTCAACGGTAGCCACCGCAACAACGACGCGGTGCACGAGTTTCTGCTCACCGACTCGCTGGCACAAGAGCGCCGTGCTGTTCTCCAATGGCTCCAGAACAATGCCGCCTCTGGGCCCGACATCGACACGCTTGTGGAAGATTTGCAGAAAAACGCCGACCGAGGAGACATCATTGCCCACGGCTGGCTACACACACGGTCCGCCATTAAGCTGCGTAAGAGCATGACGGGCTGGCCACATCTCTTGGATAAGCAGTCGCCCAGCATTGCTCAATCACACGTTAGCTCTGCTGGTGCGCCGCTTGTGACACAGCTCGATCCCGATGCCATCACGCGACAGGGCCGCAAGCTCGAGCCGCAGGACGAGTTCTTTGAGAGGGCCATCTGGCTCGGCTGCTTTGAGCACCTGCGTAGAGGCAGCGATCCAGAAGTGATTCGAGAGTGGTGTCAGGACAGGACAGAGCTGTGGAGGTCCATCTCCATGTCGGCCATGCTTCTGCCCACCAACGACTTTGACCGCTCCATTGACGCTTCACCAGAGTCGCTTGCCCTCTGGCGCCGCATGTGCTACGGCCTAGCGAAACACGGTGGCTCTGACGACTATGAGCGTGCCGTCTACGGTATCCTGTCAGGCGACATTTCATCGGTGGAAAAGGTCTCGGAAAGCTGGGACGACTTCTTGTTTGCCAACTACAACGCCCTTCTTCGCACGCAAATAGACAACTACCTGCTCTCACAATGCCCGGCCGACGCAGTATCAACATTGACACAGTCATTCTCGGTGTTCGACGCCCTCCAGTTCCACGGCGGCAAGGACAATGTTGAAAAGAAGCTGATTAGCACGCTGGAGTCGCGCAAGAGCATCCAGGCCGAGGCTATGCAGCCCACCAAAGCCCTGCAGGCGTCATTCCTCTCGCAAGAGATGAGCCGCCACCTGTACGAGCAAGGTCTAGCTGTGACGGAAGACGCCCGCAAGGCCCGCCTGTCACTCCTCCTGCGCCGCAGCGACAATGACGAGCTCAAGGTTGCCAAGCAAAAGTTCTTTGGCCTGAACCAGGCCGACGGCATGCGCATCGTCGCCCACATCTACATCCTCAACACGCTGATAGAACAGCTCGACGCCAACGAGGGCAAATCGGTACAAGACACACCCGCACACTGGCGCTACACGCAAGAAAACATCCTCGCCGCATACACCGACTACCTGCGCCGCGCCAACCTCCCCGAGCTCATCCCCATGTACTGCTCGATCCTTGAGGCCCCGCGCCGCTACGAAGTGCTGAGCTGGAACCTGATCCATGAGACTGAGGCCAAGCAGCGCCTCGTCCAGCTCAAGCTGATCAAGAACGCCGGCGTCGATGTTGTCCGCTTCGTCGAGACACAGGCTGCCATGCTCTTTGACGAGCTCAGCAAGACTCCCGAGCGCCTTGCCGCATCAAACCAATTCTCCATCCTTGCACCGGGATCCAAGGCGTCGAAGCAGGCCCGCGGCATCCAGGCCGACTTCTTCGGCGACGACGAGGGCGAGATTGAGACTCGCCACGAGCACATGATCCGCGCGCTTGAGTGGCTCATGCTTGTGCACGAGACATGGCCCAAGGTATTCTCTATCGGTACCCGCGTGTACACGCACTTCCTTAAGCACATGAACCTGAATGCGGCGCGCCAGCTGATGCAGCGTGTGCCGTTTGACGCCATTGTGCGCGAACTCATTGAGGAGGATGACAGCGAGCCGGACATTGGATCGCTGCAGTTCTGGGCCCTGCATCTTGGCCAGAGCAATATTACCGATGTCTCGGCCGTCGAGGCCCTCTCCGACGCTAGAAACTTTAGAGAATTAGAGTCGCTGGTGAAGGCGCTTGATAATCTCGAGACGATTGCCTCGCTGGTTGTGATATCCCCAGAGTACGTGAAACCAACTTCCAATTCCCATCTTCTATTTTATATGCTAACCGCGCCGTTTCTACAGAATGCCTGCCAAGAACAAGGATTTTTGGGACAAGACGGCCGAAGAGACCCGCGCCGTCAAGGAGAACATGCAGCCGCTCCTCTCCGGATGGCTCCTCGCAGGCATCGCCGACGGCGACAAGGACCTCAAGACGCTGCGCGACAAGTTCCTGCCCGAGACCATCCTGGCCTTTATTTCTGCGCTGCACTTTGCTGGTACCAATCTGTCGCGGGACAACCTGCTCGAGTGTATGGAGCTTTCGGCCACGATTGCCGAGCGCGGGTCCGATCTGGCGGATGCCTTTGTCGAGGCTAAGCGCATGAAGGAGCTCGTCGAGGCGTTTGCCGCGTGTAGTCGCGCCTTGGCTGTCAGTGGCGCCGACAAGAGAGGCGTTGCGCCGGGGAGTAGCAAGAAGGTGAAGGATATGGGATGGTCGCGGGATCTCTGGAGCATCACGACGTCGCAGTAAAGTAAAGTGTGACAGATTGGAGAATAAAGAACGAAAGTCGGAGTGGGTTTCATGTATGTGTACGCTTATTTTCGTTTTTACTTTTTGGAGGGAGTAAACAAGTTTGTAAAGAAATTAACAAAATTCACTTTCGTATCCTTGGTATCAAAATGCTATGTCGACATGCTATGCTATATATGTACAGTGTATATGATGTGTAGATGAGTCACTCTGGCCTTTGTCCTCTGCCAAATGCTATATGTTGTTATACAATAGACCAGTTATACAGAACTAGGGCTGGTGGTATGTTAACCTTCCAGCTCAGCAATCTGCTGGCCGTCGGTTTCGTGCCGCTGCTCCGACCCTTCAAGCTCGTGCTTGGCCGCCTCCTCGGCATCTATTTCGGTTTTTTCGTCTATTTTCTTCAGCGATACGGAGTCTGCCTCTTGCACCGTTGACGCAGACTCGCTTCCTTGCGACTCGAGCTCTTCACTAGCACGCGCCTTTCGCTTGTGCCGCCATACAGCAAACGCTGCTGCACAGGCCATCGCAACAGCTGCGATGACACCGACGACGATTCCCGCAATGGCGCCAGCAGCAAGACTCCCCGGACGACCGTCGTCCTCTGTTGGAGCTACAAAGTCCAGCGGTAGCGGCGACCAGTGACCAGACCACGACTTTACAAAAGACGACGAAGAGTCTGTCTCCAACTTCTTGCCTGGTGCGGGTAGGTTGAATGTAGAATCTCCTACAACATTCGGTCCAGGGCCTTGCGCAACGTAGGTTTTATTCTGGGTGTAATCTACGGCAAGCATGGCGCTCTGTAGAAATGCTCTCCCAAGAATCGTCCTGTCGCCTGACTTGCACGGAAAGTATGGCGTCTGCTGGCTGACAATCGGTGCATCGAGAACTTGATTTAGGAGTGGGAACGGTACTTTGATGGTGGTATCTTTTGTACCGTCGTTCAGGACAAAACCCAAATACGCTGGCGAAGCAATGAGGTCCGTGTATCGGGGGGACGACGTCTTCCAGACGTAGAATTGGATATCAGAACGCCATTCCACAGGCAAATGCTGTGCTATCGTGTCGCAGTTGTCGTCAGATAGAGTAATAAAGGCCGTGTTTGCCGTAAGATCGGCCAGCTTTGTTCCCGAAGGGGCATCTACATCGGATACGTGAGGCGTGCCACTGCGCCAGACACTTTTGGGTCCGTCGGATATCTTGAGGCTAGGATCGAATGGTGAACCACCCATCTCAACACCGAGCACGATGTCGACAAGCAAGGCCTGCGGCTTCGGTGCGCGCGGAGTAATATTGAAAACTGCTGCTTCACCGACAACTCGTTTTTGGTCGTACCCGTTGAATATGAAGGACCCGTTGGACCCCAGCACGCTGCTGCCCACATGCATGCTGAACGAGGACAGATATGGCGAGGACGGCGCCAGCGCGTTGAGGGGCTGTGAGGGAGCAACACCGATTTTGAAGGCTTGTTGGCCAAGCCCGAGACTGCCGCTGCGGCGGGGATAGCTGTGCGATTTGGATGTCGAGATGGTCCACGCAGTTGCTATTTTCAGGTCGTCAATGGTGAGGCCAAGCCTCTGGGTGGGATCGTAGAAGAGCATACCACTGCCTTGAAGGCAGTCAATCGCATTGTCTAGCCGCGGGTACGGCGTGGCTGGCCTTAGTTGCGACACATCCGTGTCGTCTTTGTCGGGGCGTCTTGGATCTGCGTATACAATGACTTCCTTTTCAAAATCGGGATACAGAGGCACGGGGTTGTCGTACCACCAGAGGTATGGTGCTAGCCATCGGCCGTCGACGTCTGTCGTATTCATCCATGGCAAATGGATGGGAGGGGCCCATGGAGTAGGCGGCGAAGGAGGAGAGGAGGAAGAGGAGGAGGAGGAGGAAGGACTAGCAATAGAGGTTACTGTTGCTGTTGTGAGGCCCAACAGTAGAAACAGCGTGAAGCCGTGGGCTGTCTCCATCATGTATGGTGGGTGCTTACACATCGCTACCAACGAGGATCATGAAGATGGGAGAGCTCCAATGGCTCAGTAAAGAACCGAATCGCGCTCCCCACTCTGCAGAATTTTGTGACGACAAGGAAAACACACACAAACTGGCCCCCTTTCATAAGTAGCCGAACCCCTGTTGTAAATCGCCAGACGAGGCTGCGGGACCCTCATTGGCCTCCATTGTTGGGTTTAGCGGACAATGAGCTTGAAGACTCCACGTTCAGCTTGTTGGACTAGTGCCTAATCCAGCAGTCCAGTCTCACTCAGCGCCCTAGCACGTTCTTCTCTGCCCCCCTCTGTCCCTGGCCGGTGACAGATAAGGGCAAGTGGCTTGTCGCCCCAACGTGGTGCGCAAGGCTGCTGTGCGGACATTCAAGCTTCCGACAAGCAATAAGCGATTAATTGCTAAGCGTGCCACAACTCGTCCAAGTGTTGAACCGTGGGTTGCGTGAAGACAAGCTCTGTGTGTGTTTGTGTTGTCTAGCGAAACGGTTACGGCGTTAAGACGGATGTTATTATACAAGTGCTGCTTTTCTATAAAAAAGAGTTAAAAAATCAGGCTTTTTTTTTTTGCAAAATCTTTATGCTCTTAAGTATATGCTCGACGACTTGTTGTTAAAATTGAATAGTCCATCCATGGTGTAGATTATGCAACGACCCATCACTCTGTTTTTTATATTTAGATGGCAGGTTTAGATAACACAGATTCAGTGCTTTGCGACTCAAAAATGTACTGTATAGCCGATATTGGTCGTTTTGCAAGTATGCTAATGCACAATAAAACAAAGTAGATAAAGTTTGTTCAGAGAGTAGGTAAGCAAAAGTTATCAGCTATTTCTATTCTAACAGTAAAATTGTATAACCTTAAATGCACATTTTTACACGAACTTTGCACTTATAATGTACTCTCTCCATTTTACAAGGTTTTACAACTGATAGTTGCCCATATATAATAACTACCATCTTCAGAAACGTATAATACAATTACAACTCATCGACATACATCATCATGCATTACACTCCAAGCCCTCCTCCCGCGCCTACACCAGCGCAGCGACCTCGCCCTTATCACTGGAAAAAGGACGTCACAAACTACTACGACGCAGTGCTAGATGATAAGGACTTCCATATTCGAAAAACCTGGTGCCACGTCCTCGGCCAATATCTGGACGACAAGGACGTCAGGGCTACCCACATTGTACCGTGGTTCCTGAACATGCCCAAGATATCACAGGTCCTCTTTGGGAATAAATGGGAGCCTCTGCTAGGACCTTCGAATTCTCTTCTCATGGGTGGCAACATCAAGCTCTGGTTTGACAAGTTCCAGCTGGTCATTGTGCCAGTGCGTCTCGGACAACTACCCATACAATGGCGGGCCGAACTTCTTGACAGCGCCATCCTTCGAAAGTTCGTTTTCCCGTTGAAGCAACAGAGCGCACTAGACTTCAATTCAGTCAATGACCGGATTCTCAGCTTTTGCGGCGATAGTCGCCCGGATCCCAGATACCTCTACCTTCACTTTCTAATCGCACTGATTCGGCTTAAGGCGATGAATAAACCGGGATGGCAGCAGCGGTGGGCTCGGTTCCGAGCAATAAAGCCCTTTAATGACGTTGGTGCATTTATAGACACGAATGTCTTGGCTATCCTCGTGGCTCAGTTTGGCAATGGACGAGCCAGTCTTCCAACCGATTTAAGGCTTGTGACGGACTTCCTGAGGACCAATAGCGTGGCAAGACCGATTTCCATGGATGCCCGTGCGTTTTGTATATTTGGACAAGAAGCCAGACTAGCCATTGAAGAAAAGGCGGCGTCCAATATTGTCTTGGAAGATGAGGAAGCGGAGGATAGGAAGTCGGCGCCGGGTTGGATCGAGAATGTATGATTTCGTAGCAGCATCGTTTTGGTATCGTCATAAAATCAAGTAATGTAACATATATTCAAGCCTCAAGCTCTGTGATCGCTTGGCCTCCCATCTCTTGTTGTATATTTGGTCCAGCCAGCTCATGTACGGCAGTATCTCCGCGTCCACTTCGTTTTTTTCGTCTTTCTTGTCTATGGAGTTGGAATCGGCTTCTTGCAGAGCGGATGAATTTTCTGACTCAGTAGCAGCAGCTAACGCTGCGCGCTTCTTCTTGCGTTGATACCAAGCGTACCATGCCCCCAACACACCTGTCACCACAGCAAGGACCACACCAACGACAATTCCAGCAATCTGACCACCTGATAGAGTAGTGGATGAAGAAGACGTTTCTTGCTTTTCGGCGGGATCAGGAATGGGGGTCCAGAAACCTGACCAAGTCTTTGAGAATGAATCAGCTGGGTTCGTCGAAAGTGCGCTGCCATCAGTCAGGAAGGCTTTGACAATGGTCTGGTCCACGTTTGGGCCAGGCGCAAGGGCCTGGCCCTTGTCCTATGTATGTCAAGTTTGTGGCGCCATTGACCGCGTAAAAGGCGCCTTGCAGGAATGTTCTACCAAGAGTTGCGAGCGGCGGGGAGTCCGGTAGTTTGGCCGGCATGGAAAGTAAACTAGCGATTGATCCGGAAATGGTGTGAAGGTCAGGTTCAGTAGACGAAATGGAAGTTTGACTGTGATATTTTGGAGAGAGTATCCTCTAATACCAATCTAGATAGGCGGGTGAAGTGGTGAGCTGTTGGTAAAGTTTGCTCGACGTATCCCAGATATAGTATTGAAAGTGTTCGTTCCATGAGACAGGCAAGTGAGCAGCAATTGCTTTAAAGTTTTCAGTTGGAAAATGTAGGGCTGGAAACGCTCCATCAATCTCGACCGGAAGAGATCCATGGGAACCAGCGTTGGTCCTAACTGTCTGATTATTTGGTACCCAAACACTCCTCGGTCGGTCTTTGGTAATGTTCAAATCCGGGCAAATGGAGATCCACCGGTCTCAACTCCAAGTGCCACGTCAATGAGGTTTATTAAGGGCGATCTGACCAAGTCTAGATTCGAGGATCTTGTTTGGAAGACACCCACCTCACCAATAGCTCGATTCTGCTCGTACCCGCCCATCACGAAACTGGGGCCTGGGCCGAGGTTGGCAGCCCCTAGGTGCATGGAACAGGAAGGAGAGTCGATAACCCCATTCGCTTTAAAAAGTTCCGCCATAGTAGGCGAGCTATTCTTGGCGGATAGAAGGCTAAGGCTACCATTGTATACAGTGTCTTCTTGACCGTTGAGTGGCTGCATTGACCACTGATCTGCTACCCCTGTTGCCATCTTTATTTTGGGAGCTTCTGGACTCTGTGTCCCAGATACAATTAATGTAACTTCTGTATAATTACACCACTGTTTCTCAGGATAGGCTTGTTGGTGTTCCTTGAATCCGCTCTCACTAGGAAGTGTTGTGCCTCCGTGTACGCTTAGAAACGATTTTCTATTAATGATTATGGACCACCTCGACGTTGGATACATCAATATGATGTCAAATGATTCAAATACGACACCGGGTAGCTGCCAATCGCCTGCATAATCCGTGATGAGAGAAGAGGATAGCGGAATAACACGAGGTGTGGCAGCTAAAGTAGCTGAGCTATGCAGTAGCAACAGCAGTAGTGAGAATATGTCGAAGTTTGTTGTGACGATGGCATGTAGCGGACGTAGAAGATAAGAGTATTGATGAATGGAAGAACGGGATTTATTGTTCTTGAAAGCTAGATACAAACTCCGATATAGTTTAGTGCATATGCGAGGTAGGGTCTTACTCATATCCTGTAGCGCCTGACTAACGAGACCCTGCGCGAGGCATTACAGTACATGACTAGGCGGTTTGCAGAAGAGCTGCATGGCCGCGATAGAAATGGAAACACAAGTCGGAAATTGGACTGCTTTGCAAGAGGATCAGTTTGACCAAAGTCATACATAAATGCCCTTTTCAAATGGAAAAATTAAACTTGACGGCTGCCAGCTGCGGGCACGTGGCTGCTGTGGTACGAGACTACCTACGTATTTAAACACTGACAAGGCTGCAGCAACATACGCTAGGGTAGTGGGCCAGCCACCTACCCGCTGTCGCCTTCGGCGCCCCCACCAAACCAGCAAACAACCAAGCCGGCACCATCCTCTTGCATCACCACCAATCATCACCACACGCAAGCATGTCCGCGCCAACACCGCCGCTCCTGCCGCCCAAACCCGGCTCCCACGAAACAAGCGGCATCTCTACTCCATCGACGGTCCCTCCCGCGCCGCCTCCGCACCCAGCCGGCCTCGAGGTCTACAACCCGCACGAAGGTGACGTCGCGCCTCTTCCTCCACGGCCAGACATCCCCGACCCCGGCGACAACTGGCTACCACAATACCTCGCCGACAAACCGTACGTACAACATCACACATATCCACAGATCTATTTACTCACCCGCCACAGGATCCAAGACTTGGCAGCCATCCTCGCCTCGCCCGAACTCCTCGCCAGCCTCACCCACTCATCCTCCACCATCCACCCATCTCTCAAAGCATCCCACGACTCTCTCACCGCATCATTAACATCCAACGCCGAGCTCGCTGCCCGCCTCCAGCACCTCGAACACTCCCTCTCGCAGCAGCGCGCGAGCACACAGGCCCAGTTACTCTCGACACATGCCCTCGAGCGCGCATGGAAAGCCAAGCAAGGCGCCATGGACGACGCCCTGCGGCCATTCTCCCCGGCAGCCATGTACCAACTCCTAGCGGCGTCGACAAACGAGCAGGCGCAGGTCTGTGCAGCTATGGAAGAGAGCTTCTTAGCTGAGGGAGGCGAAGATGAGAGCGAAGTCGGCGAGTGGGTGAAGAAGTACCGCGAAGCGAGGGTACTATTCTACCAGCGCCAGGAGCGAAAAGAACGATGGGACGAAGGACGAGTAGGCGGATGGCGATAACTCTCATTGTACAAAGTAGGGGGGTATGACTTTATGATTATTAACTCCGCGACCATATATCTATCTACCACCGCGATTACGAGGCCGTGGAGAAACAAAAGTGTATATAACGAATATTTTTTGGGTAGAAACAAAGCGCAGCATCAGAACCGGCAGCGTAAAACTAACTGCCAGGTAATAAAAAGGGAATATCCATCAAACGTTGTTATGCTAGTCACATCTTAAGGGGACAAAAACAGGGGAAAAGTACTTCGCTCATGCCGCTGGGTGTAAATGCGTTGTCTGTAAAGGTCATGCATCCCGTGAAGGTTGTTAGAGCGCGCTAAACGGGCTGCGAATCATGTCTGGGCTGCGCGGGCTCATGGGCAGAGCAAAGAGGCCGTCGTCGTCCGTGTCGATGCCTGGAGCACCACCGCCAGCAGCTGCATCGACTTTGCCCGTCGCAGCCACGGCATTGAGAGACATGGGAGCCGCCGCTGAGCCGCGGGACATGGCAGCAAATGAGGACACGGCCATATCTGTGCCCGTAGGCGAGAGTGTTCTTGACGGAGCATTTACCGTGAATGTATTGGCTAAGTGTTCCACAGTCAGTACATACATCAGGTCACACGACATAAAACATACCTGTAGGGCTAGGGATAAGATCAGCCGGCGAAGTCCCCAGCTTCAAACCCTTGAGCTTCTCGCCCAGACGTCCTCCAATAGGCGACCTCGGCGTCATCGGCACACGCTGGAAAATAGCCGACGCCGCCGGCTTCAGGAAGTTCTCGACGATCCAATCTCTCTCCGCAATGGCCATCTGCAGCCCAACGCCCTCTGAGTTAGCTCTCAGTTCAGCTTCCATCTCCGCCTCGAGCTCTGACGCCCGCTTCTTCGCCCACAGCGTATGCAGGACGCCCCGACTACCTGGCTCCACGTCAAAGCCCTCGGGAAAGATGGCAGGCAGCGGCTTCAGCGTCACCGAGGGGTATCCCGCGCGCGAGATGGTCACGGTAGGCGGGATCTGGGCGTCCGGCGACAAGAGGAAGTAGATGCGGCGCTTGGGCGGCTCGGCGGGCGACGTGGACGACGAGTCGCGGGCCGGCAGCACCGTCGACTTGCCGGGCCACGAGACCTCCCAGCCCGAAGCGTCCTTGGACGAGTTGAGAGGTAGGTCAGGGATATCGGTGGGCGATTTAGGCGTGGGCGTCTTGCTGCCAACGGTGCTGGAGGCAGATGACGGCGGCTCGGCGTCTGGTTCTGTAGTGGTTGTTGCTGCTGTGCCGTTGCGTTGCGGGAGATGGTCAGGGCTCCATTCGACCATGAGGATCTTTGTGCCCTGCTCGCTGAATTCGAAGCGTGCCAGGTGCTCGGTCTCGAAGTCGGCGGCGGCTGCCCCTTGGACAGTCACGTCGGCGGTAGCAGGACGCGGGGGGTCGGAATCGGCGGCCATGGTGTGGTGTTTGATGCTGCTAGTAAGGTGACTGATATAACGTGTGGTGATGTCGTAAGCGTCGTTATTTATAGGAATTAGGAGTTGGTAAACAGTGTCAATCTAGCATGATGAGCCGTATTCCAGGCAAAGGGGGCGCTTGTGATGGCGTTTGTTACTGATGCTGGGGGGAGATTATTATGGCGAGGGAGATGTTGACGCCCCCCCCTTGTGTGTGTAGTGTAGGTGACTCGTGCGGCTGTATAAGCAGGCAAGAAGGGCCACAGGACCGAAAAAAAAATGGGCTTACAGAAAGGACACGAGGATTGTGAAGAAAGAGATCAGAGGGACAAAATGAGGAAATAAAAAAAAAGAGGCGAGGATGGCGTTTTTTCTGCTGCTGGTGCTGGTTGCTTACTGCTTGCCCCGCGGGAACAGTTAGGTTGGGGAAAAAGGCGGGGTGGCTTTGTAGTAAAGTTGTATTGGCATTGGAATCAAAACTGCGCTGCGCTGTACCGTACCTGGGCTGGGGGCGGCCGCACGGCACTGTAACTGCTAAAACCAGCGCACTTATTACCTACGGGGTACATACAATAAGAAAACTACGCCAACATCTACAAGACGAGAACGCCCGCGTTGTGCATACCATCGGCACAATTTACAGGTACTGCTCCCCGCCACAAAAGAAAAAGCCCGCTGATTAGCGGCTACTCTTGGCAGCCTGAATTTCACCCATGGCGTGCATGCCACCGGCTTAAAATAGAAACTCGGCGCCCCCTGGCTGCTTGGTGATCCCTTCTTCTAGCTCGCTCACGTTGCCTGACGAAGCAAACGCGGCCCGTTTCGGGTGTTTTCGCTTTCACAGATACATGTGTCCTATCACTGGGAATAAGTAGCAACAGAGAAAAAAAACTTTCACTACGTATGCACGCATTTGCCGCTACCCGCCTGTCATCGCCAGCCCCCACGCGATATTAGGTAACAGACGTAGCATCGCGTTGCAATATGACACGATCGGCAGTGTTTCTGGCGCCGCCAGCAAAGAAAAAGTTAGATGGATAGGGCTTGGTTTGGGCTTGCTATACATGTCTACATAATATCAGCCCAACCATGGCCCTCGCTTAGACGGGTTTTAAAAAAATGGCCCCATGCAAAAAAAGATGCTTAGCTCGTCTTGGTGGTGATGTCTAAGCCGAAACCTTGATATAGGACCACAGCAGGTTCCCGTGACAGGGCTAAGTTGCCCAAGAAACACCAAAGGTTAAAGGTTAATAAAATAACATGTAAAAATAAAAATAAACATAAACATAAAAATAAGAAGGATGTTGAGTCACTTCTCTTCGTACGCAATACGCCTACACACAACCACCAGGGATTTGTGATTCAAAATGGGCAACTGGAACCCCGGAACAATCAACCCAAACACCTCCCACCACGGGACTGGGCCAGACAAACACATCATATTCACCAATGTCGACACCGTCTTGGCCACAATTGAGGCCGTCGCCGCTGCACGCCAAGACACACTCACTGTGGTCGGCGTAACGCCTCTCCAATTTGCCAAGCTAGAAAAGGCACGCCACGAGATGGGCGGCACTTTTCGAATGTTCTACGTTGCCAATGAGGGCGAGCTGGTTGTTACTGTACCTACTAAGCTGCACGAGGCCACCAGCGTCGCCATCCACCGCGCCGTCGAGGACCGCATGGAGGCCCTTGATCTGACCAAGTATTGGAAGTTCATTGGTACCATGACCCTGCGATCTAACAGACAGGATTCATCTTCCCGTCAGGCAGATGGTGGCGGCCATCCGCTGCCCCGAAGCGTCAATTGGCCCACGCTGGCTATTACTATTGGGACGACCCAGGCGCTGCCGGATTTGCAGAAGCAGGTTGGTTGGTGGTTCACGCACTCGGATCATCTGGTGGAGATGGTTCTTCTCGTTAAAGTGTATGAGTCGCTGCGTCAGATTCGTGTTGAGAAGTGGATGGAGGACAAGTATGGCCCGACGCTGTGCCAGACGTCTACCATTGATATGACTATGAAGGCGTATCTGGCAGGGCCGGAGGATGAGATTCGCAAGAACCCGGATTCTTATATTGTTAATGGCGATATTGTGCTCGAGTATGCCAAGTTGTTCCCGGGGAGAGTTAAGGAGGGCGAGATGGATGTCTTGTTGACTAAGAATGTGCTTCGTCAGGTTGGTGTTGAGATTTGGAGTCTGTAATGGGTGGAAGGTGTTTTGTTTGGTGGAAATAACTGTAGCGGTACATTAATACACTGAGGAATAGCTTCATATTGTAGTGCAATTGTTTATGTTTCTTCATACTATAATGTCAGTCCACCTGCTACTTTGTGTTACCGATAGTCCAATACCAGTGTCCGTAAATTTCCAACCTTCCACTATAATCCATGCTTTGGATTCGAACAAAAAGAAATCGACTAGGCCTTCCGGACGTACAACTTTTATCAGTCTCGATAAAGGTCTATTGTATTCACAATATCTGCAAATGTCATGGTCATCATCTGGCACAATGCCGGCTGCGAAATTAGGAAGAAAATCTTATAGAGGACCCTGAATCTACCCAGATACTTTGTTAGATCAGCCCGATCAAGGACTCTCTTCAAGCTCATGAGCGTATTGGAATACCCCATATTGCCTCCAGTCTCTTGTATCCAACATTTGTTTAATTCAAAAACCTGGGGGCATTGCATCTTGTTCTTATCCATTTCCCTTTCGCCCACGACCGCCATCTCCAGCGTTCACGTCCCTGGAACCACCATCGCTGCTTGCCTCGTAGAGCGCCCCTCTGCATCCCAGTTCTTGTCCGATCTCGAAATGTAAATTCCAACCTGTTCTCAGCTATGAGACAGGATTTGCTGTCGCAGAATCGAAAACACACCTTGGGCTGCAAGACTGGTAGCAATTCTCGTTTGCTGATGACCCACGGGTGTGTATCGTCCGGCTGTATGCGGTATAGATTCCATTTTATTTGATAAATCAGAATCCCAGAATGGGAACGCACCTTGTGGCGTATTTGGCAGGGTAAGTCAAAGTGCCAAGAGCATCCGATCATGCCATTTGGCAGTCATACTCTCTATGGTGTCCAATGACTATCCTATTTTCATGAACAAATCCCCAAAACGTCATTTTAGGACTTTCTTTTTAGTTCCTCTTGGTATCGTCGGATACCAAAAGTCATAGTACTTCAGTAGACCTTCAATATCCGAGACACTGACTAGTTGACATGGTTCCTCACCCAATCGACCGAATAAACCAGATAAAGCAGCTTGTTGTTGGGTGACATGAATGGTTAAAATTCTTGTCACCATAGCTATGGTCATTTTACTTGTTATAAGAGCGAACTCGGCCATGAATGCAGCCTGAACATTGTTTTCAGGTACGTTCCAGCCGCCACTAAACCGCCACTCGTCCATACGATTCCATTCTAGACAAAGTTCCAAGTTGCTAGTTCTTGTCAGGTAGATAACATCGTGTAGCCACATGGGGAATTCAAGGTGGCCATCATTCTCTACGTCTAGGACTTCGCCCAACGTCAAGATGAGGGCCCAGAAAATGACAGCGGTACTCCAACGGGTTAGTCGCAGTGAATAGCTGACGAGACCATTGAATACCTCGAGGCCAATGAAATTGATTCGTCCCTGGCCCAGAGCAAATATTCGAGATTGTCTGCAAACCGCAGTAATCACCGGATACTTAGGGCTTGTAATCTTCTGGCAAAGATACAGACATTGATACGCCTTTGGCATGTTGCGCAGACCGCATTGGGTAAAAGATGATGCAATGACGCTGTTTTTATTATTGTCACCGATATGCCGTGGTACGCAAAGTGCCGGCCTATGCTGCCAGCTGCACATACGATGGCTACTTTCGATATAATGGCCAATTAAGGCTCGCCACAATAGTAGCCTTCTATTCCACCCTGAGAAAAAGAACTTTAATCCTCATATAACTGGAACAGTTTGTTACTGTCCATGATCTCTTGTATATCTCGATCGCGTAGAGGAGGCATACTTCAATACCGAACTCTCTCCAGCTAAGGCGTAATCTGGGAATGTAGAGAGGGTTCCTACTCTGACCGTAGAAACAAGAAGAGTAACTATCATAGTGAGAATATCTTGTTGAGACATACCCCAAGCATGCGTCGAGATGCTCAGCACCGCGTATCTACTTGGACCAAGACTTCCTACGGAGACGTCAACACTCACCTCTCTACACAGCTCCAACGACAACCGTACATCCATACGCCCGACAGCCGAAGACCAATTATGAGGCGTGCAAAATCACGTGCACTGTCAGAAGTGATCCCGTCGGAAATGCACCAACATCCAACGGCTGAATGATGACGGCGTCGGGGACTGACGAAGCTCTCAATCGCCGTTTGGATAAAACGAGCTGACAGTGCATGGGCCGTGTCTACAATTACCATCCCGTCTATCCAGAGCCAACAAAGAAAAAACTATCACGCACGAGGCTAGGGGTTCTCGGTGAAATTTAGGATGAACCCGATCGGAAGAGCGGGACACGAGGAGCAAGAAGGGCCGGTGTTAGAAGCACCGAGAATACGGCCGCGCTGATTGTCGTGATTGTTACGGTGGAACAACTGAATCATGCGAGGCGGAACACAATGGCATATTGCAATCTGATAGGAACCCTGCAGTAGGAAGAGTTTTTCGTCACGGTAGCAGTCGTCCAGATAGCGATTTCGATACATGCCTATTTTTGGGGGGCTGCGGGCGGCGTGTGATGATTGTCAAAGATAGCAAGAGGGTCCAAACGAGATAGCAAGCAAGCCACGATGCCCAGGGTCCATCAGCTGTGGAAGCATGTGAGCGAGCAAGCAAACGATGAACGAACTGTTATCAGAAACAAGGCTCTGTATAATTTTAGAGAACGAGAGTAGTTGCAAACAATATTTCCGGGAATTTTGAAAGGGAAAAAACAGGAAGTTTCAGTTCAATTATGCCCTTCTGCATGGAACATGTTTCACTGGTAATGCCTTGCAGAACGCCAAGTAACCTACAGTGATGGGCACTGGGCTAAAGGTCACTGCTGTTGTATGTAGTGTGTAGAACTACCGGGCGCAGAATCGAGGTCTCGCTCTGGAAGCTAAAAACAGAACACGAGGCAACGCAACGATGTGTGGTTGCGTGCGACGCTGGCTGGTGCTGCGATGAAGATCGCGGACACTGTACGATACTGTGCCGAAGGTACTTGAATGATTGCACCGCAGTGCTGTGAGGTGCATTCCGAGGTGTCAACCAGATCTGGTGGCTCGATTATTCGTTGCATATAGACCGAAATGAAGTCCGCTATCTCTACTATAATGTGGAAATATAGAGTCTGCGCTGTTTTCAACTATTGGTTCAAATTGGCAATGCCCAGCTCACAACGGGCCGAAAGGCTGCTCCATTGCAGGCCGGTAAGAAAGCGGCCGATGCAAGAGTGCTGATTATCTGGTCTATACTATGACCGCTCCGACGCTGGTATATTTGCCACATGAATTGTACCATATCGCTTACAGGCAGATATGTCGGTTGTCCTTTTCCCGTCCTTTACCAATAGTGCAAGCTGCAGGTAGCCACTGTTAGATAGATAGATGATGATGCACTAGGGTGACAGGCGGGGCAGTCTTGTCGGCCCGGCTTGCTTTGGTCGCATCGCAAGAGAGAACGGGTGGTGGGAGGGAAAGCTGAGCGAGTGCACACTACTACCACAGCGCAGTTGGCTGTAAGCTCACAGGATCGCCATGCGCACAGATGAAGGGAAAAAGCCTGCGATGAAATAGAATCAAATATGCACGCACAGGGATTAGATCCTGGAATAGGGAAGCGTTCCGGGCAATTCACCGGGCGCGCGCTTGGCTTGAAGCGGTGCAGACCGACCGCCAGACATACAGGCGCGGTTGGCGGAGCTCGTGCTTGCTGCTACTGCTGCCTGCACCTGTGGTTAAAGGAAATAATTTTTCCGTGTTTCGAGAATGCCTGCTAACGAAAGAAGGAAACGAACAACGTGGGATGAGCACAGAGCTGGTTCATGCACCGATGGCGCTATTGCGACAGCCTAGCCAGGATTAGGAAAAAAGGGCCGTGAGGCCGACAACCAACGAAGCACCTGGGCCAGCAGCACAGCACAAGAGTCGCCTATAATGGGAAGGGAGGGCGAGCCAGGGTGCTGATCAGCAGGAAAAAGCAGCAGTGCTGACGGGTATAATACTACACGGGGGCTTTTTATACGGGCGACGAAGCGTCATGGGGGAAGTGCAGCAAGCAACAGCAGCAGCACCTAGCTTCGGAGGACACGCGGCGAGTAGAATGGTTCATGGTGTGGTTGCGCAGGTCGATGACAGCATAGATCGCGAACGAACCTGTTTTACATTTAGAGCGCAAAGTAGTAAACTAACAAGACGAGTGGGTGTGATGTGCATGTTGCTTGTCGCAGGCCTGGAAGAAGGGGTGGAGGAGGGTGGTGGGGGCCAAACGACGTGACGATGGCCATGTTACTTTGGGCGCAGGCTCCTGTGCTCAGTGCTGAGAGGGCACTGTAGGTGTACTGTACTGGGCCGCTTCCTCGGGCTGCTTCGGGCGTTTTCCCGGAGGCTGCCATGCGTTGGTTTGGTTGGGCCAGCCATTAATACAATGTGGTTGGCGTTGCTGTTGTTGTATGCGAGCGAATCACAGCACCTCGCTTGCACATTGGTCAGAACACGAGGTAGCTCACCTGTGATGCGTCCATTTTCTTTTCCTGCTGCTTGGAAGTATGTCTGTAATTTTCCTCGGATTTTACAGTTACACTGTCGCCCCCTCTTGAATTAACTTTGCTGCTACTGTTGTTCCTTGGGCCCTTCTTCCCGCCCTTCCATCTGGCAGCGTGTGGTGGAGAGTGCCACACTCGCAGCTTTGCCAGGCCCCAGCCCAGGCTGTCGGCGAATTTTAGCGCTAATTCCAGGGCTGCGTACCGTGCGGACGGGCACCCCCAGCACTGGGGCGGTCGCCTGGTTTCATGCGCAGGTTATGCCCGTCTTGGATACTCCGTCGGCCGATGCCCAACGCTACGCCGCACTGTGCCCACACGACAAAGACTCCACCATTACGCCGGCGAAACGGCCGCATCGACCAATAAGCACCGCCCTAAGTGGTGGCAGCCCCGGGATGCCCGTTCCAATTGACCTTTTTCCACCTGCTTTTCCGTGTATTTCGCTGCGGTGGCTGTCTTTGATCCTGTATCCCGTTCGTTTTTTAGCAGCTGTCTGAGAGGGAATGTCTCGTCTCTTGTTTCTTATTTTTTTTCCTAGTGGTAAGCTACAGCCAGCACTAAACGTTGGTTCGTTCGCCTAGTTAGTGCACAGGGCTCTCGCTCCCCCCTCTCCGCCCCATGCAAAGTGCCCTGTAGCCAACCCACTGTGGGTTCCCACCAACCCAGAATAGACCCACTGTAACTTCACCTACACCTTCTCCTTTCAGCGCCTTGTCTCTCTCTTCCCCCGGAAATCCCCAGAGTCTCGCCTCGCCTTGCTTTTCCCCTTCCATTCTTTCCAACTTCAACCTCGCACACGCAACCACCTCCTCACGCCCAACGAACTCGATATTCACGACTCCTTTGAAAACTTGCGCCTGTTTTTGTCGTTAAATTACAGTCGCTTCATTTGGTCCGATTTTTAATTTCGTCTTCACCGGCCGCTAAAAGAAATACGATTCGCTCGTTCGCCTCGGTCCGCCCGTAGACATCAGTTCCCAACCCGACCGACCAGCACATCCGCGCCCCTCGACTGCATCGTACCGTCTTTCGCAGAGTAACCATGTCGGAGGCTTTCTTACGGCTACAATAATCAAAAATAGAATCGACAACGAAGACGCCCATCGCAGCTCTTCGACCGATCAACCGGGCTGGCCACACGGCCTCACGCCCACAGTCACTTCTTCCCCTTTGATTCTCGTAATCTAGTCGCTCGCTCTTCTTCTTCTCACACGACCTACCAGCCATGGCCACACAACACCCGCGGCCGGTCGTTATGGACCCGCCGCATATTACCGAGTTCGCCTCGCAGCGATACTTTGAGAAGCTCAACCAGCTGAATGCTTCCCAGCAACAGCAAACGCAACATGCTCACCCCTCTACACAACAGGCCGGGCCTGCACCGACGATAGACCACCTCGATCACCACATTCCACAGTCGTCAGACTTCATTCTGCCGCTGCGAGAGTCCAAGGTTCTCGAGACAAAGCCTGTCCCAGCCCCAGAGCCCAGGCAAAAGAGCCGCTTCTTCAATATCCGGCAAAAGGTTTCACTACTCCACAAGCCTGTAGTAGCAGCCCCCGAACCCGAAGTTATACCTCCTGCGCCTCGTGTATCTATCGAATCCATCCCATCTAGGTATGCTCTCTCGGCACCGGGCCCAGTCTCCCATCATCCTAACAGTCGCAGCAGCGTCCCCCTCGACCAACTCATCCTCGCCCTCCCCAACGAACTCCAACTACAAATCATCTCCTCGCTCCCGCTCACTGATCTCCTCAACCTCCGCTTAACATCAAAATCGTGGCACACACTCATCACCCTTAACGAGGCACCGATTGTCCGATACCACCTCGACCAGCATATCCCCGCCTACGCTCTGCGCCTCTACCCCGTCAGAGACAAGTCAGATCTCAACTTCCACCACCTGTGCAGCCTGTGGCATCGTCTACATGTCGCTGCCAAGCTGGCCTTCCTCATGTGCGAATGGATTACAAAAGACATCTTCTTGTGGCGAACCGATGCCCAGCGCCTAGCCTTTTCCAACCAAACAGAACGCATGCGCCGCCGTCTTATTCCTCTCCTCTTTACAGTATTCCACTTCTTCGAGACATACCGCCGCCTACATCTCGACTACCTGGTTGAGAACGACGGCATCGGCCTACAACAGCGTCCATACACCATGAACCCCATCGAGCGCAAGATCATGGACATGTACGACGACCAAACCCTCCTCCGCGTCCACGAGGTGTTCCCCCTCGTCATCTCCTCCTTCTGCCGTCGTCTGCGTCCCCCCACGTACGTCGGTCGTGTCGAGCGATCTCTTCGTGGTTACCTGCGCGAGAAGCCCGCCGACGAAGTGCACGTTGCCATCCTCTGCCTTGGTGGTGTCCGCCAGGTCGAGCGCCTCTGGGAAATCAAGGGCTACAACTCACGCCGCGCCGCCGTCGACACCTGGTACAGCAACCTGACAAAGGACAAGGACGTGGTCATGGAGACAGTCTCGCCAATTACATCACACACAGCACAGCCTCCACAGCGCCAAAACAGCACCAAGTCACGCTTTATGCCCTTTTCTCGCAAGCGGTCCATGTCGAGCGACCACCGCCCACACCGCGGCTCCTTTAGCGAGTCGTTCCGCGTGCGTTCGCCCTTTGGATCCATGGACGCCACCAACTACTTTGAGCACGACCTCATCTTCAACACCTCCCTCGCAGCCGATGCCCCCATGGCCCCGCTAGACTCGGACGCTGCCGCCTCGCTACTCAAGGACCTTCCTGTGCTACAGCAGATTTGGCTGACCACAGCCGAAGCCCTCGTGCTGGAGCGTGGCGTCGTGTCTCGCAGCAAAGACATCAAGCGCAACCAAGAGGTGCTGCTGAGTCTTATCCAAGAGGACGGCATCCGCGAGGAAGACGAGTGGTGGTACGGCCGCGGTATCCCCGACAGCGTGAGACCTGTTGTTGGCGAGGACTGCGATGAGATGTAAACACACATCAGCAACATTACCTCCATGCATATGCATATTCTTTCTTACTTCATATTTTTGGACCATTTTCGGCGAGGTTGTAGATATTTGACTGGCCTACGTTTTTATTTGTTACTGTTCATTACCCACCCGAGGTTTTCTTATGTCCAATGTTGGAATTTTTTATCTGGTTAGCGTCCAGGGCGGACAGGATTAGCATTAACGGCGTTTAATACATTATTACCCCTTGTTCTTTCTCACTTATTCGCCTTTTTTTCCTATAACGTGATGTAGCTATATAAGTGAATTAAACAGTGTCACTATTATCAAAGTAGAATGTATGATTTTGCGTGTACTTTGGTCACTATCGTCAAGTAAAATGTATAATCATGCGTGTGCTTTGTTGTAACAAGTAAAAAAGTGTAATTCTTTGGATATATGTCATTCGTCAGTTTCAGATAGCCCATAAAAATAATAAAAAATTCAATCAGGTTCCCAACACCCTCCTCTTCCAGTAGTACACGCCATATTTAATTGTCCCCGTCATTCGTATAAAACCCATGTGTGCCGGTATAGTAAAGAAATAAAAAAAAGAGGATATGGAAGACATTTCAGTCCAAACGCCGTACTAACAGGAAATAAAAAGAAAAATAATCAACGTATTTGTAGTGTCCATGGTTCACTTCGGAGGATTAGTCCCGTGAATCAGAATCTACACTACCGCATGGGGCGGTACATGCCGCCTTGGGCGCCAGAGGAGTAGTCAACCGCAAGATAATTTTGGTCTGTATAGTTGAACTGCTGCTGCTGCTGCTGCTGCTGAGGCTGCTGTTGCTGCTGTTGCGGTGGTTGGCTGCTAGCGCTGGGTCGAAAGCCAGGTGCTGGGCCAGCGCGCTGATGATCTCTACCATCGTTGGACGTCTGGCGTGCCATACCAGGCTGCTGGGAGCCGGGCTTGAAGGTTTGCCCGGGGCGTCCACCAAAGTACTCTTGTGGGTTGAGCGCCATGGTCTGGTTGTAGCCAGCGGCAGAGGTGTTGGGAGATGAGATGCGGCCGGCTGGGTGGTTCATCATGGCGCTGCCCGAGAGATGCGGCGACTGCTGCATTGGCCGCTTAAAGCTTGCTGGCGAGTTAAGCTGTGGCGAGGCCCCAAAAGGTGAGTTAGGCAGCTGCACAGCAGGCATCCCAGGGCGGTTGAACGTAGGCTGCGGGGGAGCTTCCTTGGACATGCGACGGCGCTTGTTTAGCGGGTCCATATTGGCAGTACCGTATGGCGATTGTTGCTGCTGGTGTTGCTGCTGCTGTGGTTGGTGTGACTGTTGTTGTTGGTGGTGTTGATGTTGTTGAGACAGCTGGAGAGGTTGCGGGGGGTGCACAGGTGTGAAGCTTGTGGTGGCGGAGGTGGTGTTAGATGTGCTGGCGCTGGCGGCGCCGTCGTTTGTTTTTTCGTTTTTACGCTTGCGTGATGCAGGGATTTTGGGGTCTGGCGCGGCCTTTGGACTACCAGGAACACCAAATTCAGACCAACTTTGCGGCCGAGGGATACCATGGCCCATGTTGGGTGTCGGGATCGGGATCGGGCTCTTGCCTGGAGGGTTGGGCATCCCGCCGTACTGCGGCTCGTTTGTTGGCTGCGAGTCGGAGATAATGGACGTATCTGCTGCAACGTCGCCCTCTGCGGCCGGCTTGGGCTTGTTTTTAGACCCCTTGGGGCGGCCGCGCTTCTTTCCAGACGGCGTTGTTGTTACGCTAGCGTCGCCGCCAGTTGGCGTCTGTGTAAGAGATTGTGAACTCCACGATGGGGGCATACCGGGCATCGGGGTAGCCAACGAGCCGCCTGGAACGCCGCCAGCAGCAGCAGCAGCCTCGGCCTCAAGCTTCTTCTTACCCTTGCTACCCTTCGGTCTGCCTCTGGCTCGCTTGACTGGTGTACCATCAGGGTTCAGGGCGGGCGGTGCCGACTCTTTCGCCGCTGGGGTAGGGGTAGGGGTAGGTTCGACCTTTGCTTGCGTTGGAGGAAGAACTGCAGTAGTCTCTGCAGCTGGTGTAGCTGTTGGTGCCGCCAAGGCGGGGATTGGTGGCAGCGTTGGAAGGCCAGCAGAATTGGCGATGCCCATCGCAGCTGAGATGGATGCCATGGATCCTGGCAGTTTCGGGTCGATATTGGGAAAGATTTCTGAGATCCAGCTGACAAATGCCGATCCAGGACCGTTGACGCCAGCGCTTGGCGGGAAGTCTCGAGGGTCCGTGGGGGCAGGAGCACCAGGGATACCACCAAAATACGCCAGTGCTTTACATAACTGGTCGACGATGACGATCGGGTGGACGGTGCGGAGCAGAGTAAGAAGACGCGCTTGTTCAGCCTTTGTCTCCTGTGCTGTCAGACCAATACCATCTTGTGGGTTCCATGCAAGCTTGTTTCGCTTCACAGATTGGTAACCGGCCTTGTTAGCGAGCTTAGCCGCAGCCTCGGTGTTTTCGCTAGTTCGTTTCGCGGCAGCATTGCGCTCTGCTCTCTCGTTTGCACCGAGCTCAATATGCATGACGGCAAAGTTGCCGTTCTTATCGTCGGCCATGCCCTGCAGCTTGTTGGGGACAGGATTTCTGATGCGGCCGTCGGTGGTTGCAAAGAGTCCTTGGCCGCTGAAATCGGCTACATCCGTACCAGCCATCTCCAACCAGACGCCGTGGGAGTCAGGCGGTCGGCACGGGCAGCGCTAGCGAGGGTTTGGATTCAAGGCGAAGCAAAGGGATGCCGGCGTCGATTCGGATATTTCTTCTAGGCGCAAACAGCTGTATCGTGGTGCGGGCGGTGGAAGCCCTAGTTCATTGTTGACGCGGTCAGGAGGGTGCGAGAGGGGGAAGCACGGCAGATGTGAAGCCACGGGCTTGCCGAGAGAGAATTGACTAGCCAGGCGGTCGCTGGACAGAAAGGAAACGAGAAAACCAAAAGTTGGGATTCGTTTATTCGATGGATTTCAAAAGTCGATGGAAGCTGATGAGGTTGAGCACCGGGCAGAAAAAAAAATAGAAAATGGAAAATAAAAATTATTAAAAAAAAAGGCGCTTTAATTTTTTTATTTTAATTCGGGGGCAGCGGCGGCTCTCAGACTCTGGTGTGTACCAATCCCAAGACGGTTTAGCGCCTGCCCAAATCCGGGAAATAATCTGAGGAAAAGCGGCCGAGGCCAATGAGAGCGCAGCTAGAAGGGGCGTCTAGAAGCAAGAGCTGAAGTGAGATCTAAGTCCAAGAGGCGATGGGCACGATGATGTTGTTGATGGAGTTAAATTGACGGTAGAATTAAAATCATGGCAAAAGACGAGAGTTTTGTCGCCGGGCGCGGCCTGCCTTTGGGTTGGTCAGACGTGTGTGCTGCCAGCTGCGCCGCACCTGTGCCACCCGCGACAGCTGGCAACTGGCAGCGACTGGTCGGCGTCCTCAGCCGCGTGTGTTTTGTTTTGGCAGACCGCCCTGATGGTGAGATGCGTGGGGTTTACGCCCGCAAAATACGAAGACGAATGATTCGGTGTCAGGTCGTTGTGCCTGGGCGGTACTGCATGCATAACACGCTTACATGGCGGTCGACATTTTTCTCCACGCCTAGACAGGCACAGAACAGTCTTCCAAAGTAGCCTTAATACTCTATGCCCCGAAACAGGAGTTCGGTTTTGCGCTATACTGTTCTTGTAACTTAATAGGCCGAGATATGGCTTGTTTGGCTGAAAGAAGACACGCCTTCCTCATACATTTCTAGAACAAAGTGATATATGCTGAGCGCCGTAATTGAAGGAGGATACAATATATTCCAGTAGAAACTCAAATAAGAACAATAATGTTATTGCTTAAAAATCTCCCTCAAATTCAACATTTCTGACAGACCGTCTCTGGGCAATAGCCATATTGGCAAGCAAAACCGCACAGCTTCTTGTAGCTGGCATCCTCATTTGGAAGCGGACATCCATCGTAGCCGGATTGATGTGGAAGCTTTCTTGGTTCGGATTTGGTTCTTGTGCAGACGCAAAGATCCCGTGGGCAGTAGCCATAGCTACACGCAAATTGGCAGAGCCCAAGATAGTTTCCCGATAGGCCCGGCGCGACGGTGCCTTCTCTGCAGAAATCACAGGTTACTTGGCCACCAGGCGCAGGGCAGTGCACTTCTCCATTGCAACATTTTCATGGGTACGTAAGAGTGGCATTGCATGGTTCTCCGGGCCAGTATGCTGCCGATGCCATGCCAAAGCACGTGAGGGCGGCAGTAAGGGCGATAGAGGCGTGCATATTTTGCTGGCAATTGGTGTTGAAGAATAGGTAAGAGGATAGCGATGAAAGTCGCCGGTATAAAGTATATCTTAGAATAAATAAAACGAAAGGTGAAAAGATGTTTGTAGAAGCAGCAGAGAAGCGTGGGTACAACGGGGCCATTGCTTATACTTATATTTCTCAAATAGTCTGTTGATACCTAGCTGAAATCGCCAATTTTCTACATTCGATTGTTTTTCAGCAATAAAGTCCAGAATTTCGGCTTCATAGCCAAAATAAGGCTCTATATGCATAGCGTAGCGTGCATGCGTACTTCGCAATACTACTAGAAACGGAAAGTCCCTGACCATTAGTGCGAGTAATCACAGCCAATATGATCAGCTGCGTAAATTATTCTAGCACGAGGATACCCGTTTTGATTTTCTCACTCTTTTCTAAATATGTCATATTTGCTAAATTTTGCATCTCCGGCAGCGGACATGCTCGGTGCAGCGCCGGCTACGACTTGGACCATTTGAGACGCATCCTTCCCCCTGTCGCAACCCCAGAACCACAGCTGTATACAAACTTTACAATACTCAGAAATATCTTGAATATTTATCATGAGGTTAATTAAAGGACAAATTTATCTTTACATCGTTCGTCAGGTTGTTGTGACGATTTTCTCGGCGGTAACAAAGACTTCATCTGCAGTTCCGTTGCCGTCAATCTAGGGTATTGGTCAGTAGAATGAATATTGCACCAGATGCTAAAAGACGTACTGTTGATAACTTGTTCCGCACAAGATGATCCAAAATGGCGTCTTTCGTTTGCAAGAACGTAGTAATTCGTTTTCTTAGAACGGAAGTTTCGTCATCACTTCGTGCTAAAGTCGTTGATCGCTGTCGAACTCGATCCATTAGTTTGTCAGTTTCGCAGTCTAAGAATAACGTCGAATAGTCGGATGATATCTTTTAATTTAGGTTAGCCACAGAAAACAGTTGTCTACTAATACGGACCTCCTGTTCAAATGCTATGATTTGACTCAGACTGCGTGGAAACCCGTCAATGAGAATGCCCTGTCCGTTGTCTGCAGCGTGTTGAACTTTTTGCTTGAGAAGTAGCATAGTAAGAGATGCCGGCACAACAACGGAATTAGCAAGGCTCTTAGAGATGAAATCTCCAAATACAGATCCGTGCCTGTTTTGCTCCTCGCGAAGCAGCTCGCCAACTGAGACGTGACAATAGTTGAATTTCTGCACCAGACGAGCACATAGCGTACCCTTTCCAGCCCCGGGGCCACCTAGCATGCGTTAGATTGAACAAGAATTGAAGAAAGAAGTCGTATGCGCACCAATAACGAATATTATAGGGATTGATAATCGTTTGTCATTCATCGTCCCCAATTCGGCCAATATAGCGTCTGCTTGATTTGCAACCCATTCGTCAGATATCTGCGAACGATGCACTTTCAACTGTTCAATATCGTAGCGTCCTTTACGCTTTGCATGAACCAGTGTCTGGTAAAGAGTGTCAAGTTTGCCAAGTTGACAAACTAGTTCGGCGGTCTGTGAGTTACCACTTGTAAACTCCTGCCGTAGTTCCAGTACTTCGGCAGCCAGCTGAGGACAGGACTGGGCCAATAAACAGGAAAGATATTGAATTCGAAGGTCTTTCTCCGTCTTTCTTTGTTCTGCTACATAGTAAGCGACGAATGGAAAACAACAAGAGCTGGGTCGTACCAGGCTCAACTCGCGTGTTATTGCCTGCCGTCTCGCTTACACACAAGAGGATACACATCAAGGTTGTTTTGTATCTATCCTCAATCCGAATATGTATAACGATAAGTTATCAATACCTACTGTTTGCGCCAACGGGGACTTACTTCGGGGTGTAAGTAGCAGTACCAAATCATCTGATACGTACGATCTGCAACAGTCGAGGGCAGTGGTGTGCTTTCGCCGCACCAAGAAGGATTTGGCAAGCTTTTGACATCGTCTAACACCTCCAAAAATGGTAAAATTAATTCCAGTCGCTCCATTGCTGAATATCTATAACCGTAGTGATTTACTGAAGGTGAGTGAGTGGGTGTGAATTTTGGAGGCAGACCCCGCGGTAGAAGTGCACGAAGGCGGCTGGCGGCGGCAGAAGGTGCTGTGCTGGAGTTGGCTCACAAGTCACGCCTCACATTAAGCTTACTCTAATCAAACAGCAAAATGCATTCCGATTTTAACGATTATAACGACAATGACAAAATGAATAATGAAAAAGTGACCCCTTACCGTTCAGAGTGCCGGAAGATGGTTTAGCTCATGAAACGTTCCTGTGCGGACCTCTCTGCGGAACAGAATACCAAAGGTAAAGACATTGCCGATTTTGGCAAGTGATGACCTTCCATCGGTGTCCGATCCAGCGATGACCTCTCGGCCATCTTCGGTTATGTGAACAGCATAGCTCTTCGGTAGGTAGCGAGCAGCGTTCCAAATATTCCATAACACAGAGTTGAGCAGCATGAGGGTAGCCTCGAAAACATAGAAATACCACTCGTACCGTAAGACTGGAGTAAGACTCTTCAACTTCTCTTCACTGCGAAGATCGATGCTCGTAGGCCCCAAATGTTCGACGAGTCGATAGATGCAACGGATAAAGATGAGCGTCATGCTGGTGTAGAGCGTGAGCACCGGTGTCTTCACCGTCTTGACTAGCATATTAGCAGCTTTGCATCTCCAATGAAAAACTCCTGCCATGATAAGAAAGGCGACAATGACACCAATTTGGATAGAGATGGCCGCGATAGTAAGATCGCTGCCCAGTTTCTGTTGGCTTCCTGCCGAAGATGGGTTCGCCTGCAACGCGACGCCGATGGCATTCAGGGCTTCGACAAGAGCCATGAGAGCACCAAAGATGGCAAGGACGCGGCTTGGTGGCAAGGGCGCCTTGTGAGGAATATAATAGAATATCCGACCGAGGATGTGGTAGTTGGCAAGCTCAAGGAGAGGTCTAGTGATTCACCAGGAAACAACTGTTAGTGGTCTCACATAGTTGCATACTAAAGAAAAGAAGATACAGGAAACCACCTGATATACTTACGGACAAATAAAAATCAGGACTTGGCTCAGAACAAACAGAATTAGGCTTGGCGTGTTTGGATCGTAGATGTAGTTGTAGGCCCCGTATTCTCGAAGAGCATACCCAGCCGTGAATAACACAGCACACAGAGGGTGTAGTCCAATTAACTTGAAGGCCTTATATCGGCTGTTTGTGAGAGAAATTATTAGGAAAGAAACAGCCATTCAATAATGCTGAGTATAACTTACAAACATTGCCAAATATGGAATACGGCAGACATACCAAAGGCCACGGCAAAGAAGATCGGAGCTCCTTTATTGGGAGCATACACGTAGAGGCTACCTAAGACTAGGATATAGTTAGTTTATAATCCCCTGGATACATATCCAGGTAAGCTGTGACTACTTACTGGGTTTTCCGTCAGCCATTGCGACGCGAAAAATGTCTACGAAGGCAGTTGGTCAAAGGTCCTTTAATCTGGTTGACTCCTTGTCTCTCTTCTACAACTTGGTTGCGGTTAATGCGACGATTTAATACTTCAATAGCAATCGTGCTGACTACCACCATCCAACATTCTCTACCCAGTCAAAAACAGGTTGTTAATTGGTTTGGCGAAAACGAAACCTACTCGTATTTCGTAACAAAGATGGACGCCACACTTCTGGTAACTACTATATCCTTGAAAGAAGGCTATGGAGGTACGTCAGCCTTATTTACTACTAGTGGCTGCGAGATTACGACGCACACACCAACTTGGAGATTTCTTCTCTATGCAAATTAAACTCATCTACCGCTTTGGGAAATCGGCCGGGACCCAAGCCACGTCTACTAGTGTTGAGGCAAGTTGCCACTCGGCTCGGCCGGGAATTGTTCCACTTCTGTAGGTGATTTCAACGAAGCAGACGATTGATCTAGCTACTATTCCTTCAGGTCGTACCAAACTGTCTGTTTCCCATCTCACTTGGAGTTTGCCCAGCCAATGCGTGGACCACCAGGGCCATCCTCAAACACGACATAGGCGCCAAGCATATCAGGAATGCCGAAGTGGGCGACCTCACTACCACTACCAAGAGCAAGTCCATAGCTGCCATCCGAGTACTTTACTCTGAGATGGTCACCGGGCACCTTGATTCTACCATCGCCTATGCCAAAGTACAAGTCAGGCAAGAAAGATGTGCAGCTCGCTGGTTCCTTCAGGGCATCCTGTACGCTTCCAACATCCAGTACGGCCCTTCGAATTCCGGACTACCGATGTCGATCACTGATGTGAAAGCTCTGCCGTTCCAGTCTCCATCACCAATGGATAATCCAGATGAAAATCATACCCACTCGCCTGATTCGTTGTCAACGCCGGCGTAGCTGATGTTGCCGGTTCATGAAGACCGTACGATAGCCATTGCTTTAGCGCAAAGATCAGATATTCTTTTAATATGAACCATCAAAGCTAGGCGGTAATAAATGACAGTCCTCGTAGCATAAGCGAAACATGATTTGCGGCCGTATCTTCCACATGTCTGCGCGCGCCTTTTTTACCCACGGGTGCGATTCGACAAGACTCTGCTCATTGGCGCGTATATAAGGTTGAGGGGGACTGTATAGAGGCTCCCATGCTTGATATAGGTCTTGCAAGTCTCCAGGGCGAGAGCCGTTTGCGGTATTTTGTCTATCCAGCTCCCAAGTGTATGTTAGAATAGTCCAGTCAATGCCCGCTTTCCATTCTTGTACTCGTGGCAGAAACGACGGGTCTAACAGCTTTTCACACGCTCCAACTACATCTGGCCTGGTGTCTGTACTTTTGTCTTCGTTCTTGACTAGCGTTGCGAATGCTCTCAAGCGGTCTGTATCATCCACGTCAACGGTTTGCACCATCTCATCGCCCAACAAGCCAAAAAGCCCTGATGCTCTTGCTGCAGCTGGCGGTACATGGATGCAGATGATGCATAGCTGCACATAAAGCAGCTTGCCAACCCAATCCTCCCAGGTATTCAAGATGGAAGCATAAATGCTCATCTGCTCATCATCCCTTGCCCCTACCCCAATAGAGAAACGCGCGTCAAGGCGGTCAAGCTGAATAGGCGGAAGGTCGAATTGATATAGATAGTCAGACACTATCGATATTTCCACAGGTACCCTTTCTGCCTCGGTAAAGATCTGATAACTGATTAGGTACTCTAAAGGAATTTCACGTAAAAGATCATGATAGTGGTTGATATTGAACGCCCTGTCGAGAGTCGGCTGCACCCAAGTCCGAGTCTTTTCGTACCATCCAAACTTTTCCATATAGCCCATTTCTCTTGCGACCTGGGCTGCTTCTCGGCAAACGCTGAGGATTCGTGGCGGCGACCCGTTGCGTTCGCCTTTTGCCCGTCTTGGTTCGCACCTCCCATAGTAGCCGCCGTCACCTCGAACAACACCAGCGATGTCGATAACCCGGCGCGGTAAACATAGCTTCCAAATCATCCGCCGAATTTCCAGGGGCAATAGGGGGAAGAGCGTAAATTCAGCCATGGCTTGTTTGAATAGCCAAAGCAATAATTGTTGTGGGTGAGGCTGGGCAAAACGCGGGGGCTGTCTGAATGGGGAGAGTGCAGCGGTGTTGAGATGTAAAAAGAAAAGCTAAGAACAACGGCTTTTACTAATTGAGCCACGCTGATCCCGTATGTCTCCACAAACGGCGTGTTTAAATTTAGAGAGAAGAGATTATTGGGTAAACCAGATTTACGTCCACCAGTAACGGTCAAGTGAGCTGAGCCAAGTCAGTAAATGTTGAAATAAATTACAAAATATATCATTAGCTTATATTTATGTCTAAATAGCTCCTGCATATAGTTATTAATGTATGAAAAATAACTGGTTCAATCACAGATCTTTGTCTCGAGGCCGAGGATCTGCACAGGTCATCTATAGCCTCAGACAGATCCGCGGATTGCAAGGCTGCCAAGCTGGAAACTATCACAACACCAAATGCATCACATAAATAATATGTATAAATTTAGTGAAAATTAAACATAGGTGTTTATACTGGAGAATACATTACCTATTTCTTGCAATGGATATTGAACTTGGAATCGGGGAGCTGTGTTGGCTGTGAATTCGAGCAGTATGGGCACCAAAGGGATAGGTTGGATTTATTGGGAGTCCTGATTTCTGGTAGCTCATTGTGCGTTCGGGGCCACCGGCTTCGAACTTAAATTTGGCCGAGTAGAGACTGTGAATCCAGAAACTGGTCTCTCCTACATTGTTGAAGGGCCATTTTTAAAGTATTTCAAGACTATGTCGCAGGACGTAGCCGTCCATGTATAGTGCAAGAATGATATCCAGTACGCGAAACGGTCGAATTGAAAAATTGACCGTTGGCGTCGTTGAAAATGGTTTTGCCAGGGGCGATGTTTGGGCAAGCAGTTCATCTATCTCGTCAAGGATGGGATATATACGCCGCTGCTCCTCGACAAACGATTCTCTCGTTTCTTTAGTCAGAAGCTCTTCTTTGATTCCGTAGACTTTCAGTATCAGTCGTATTGTTTTTAAAGATTATTGTTGTGACTATTGTGACATTGGACGTGTGTTACTTTACCAGAGAAGTGAAGGAACAGTTAAGTCACTGGAAGTGGCCAAGGAAGGAAGGAAAAAAAGGTGGAAGATACAGGAAAAGGAAGTGAATACAGGATGTATTCGGTGTATTTAGCTAGAGCAGTTCCGACCATGGAACTTGAAGAAAAACAACGGATTTTACCAGAACCTTTTACCTTTTAATAACACGTGTTATTAATCCTTGAACCAACAATTATAGATCGTGAGTCGTCATGTATTTCGTCGAGCGCTCATAGTGATCCAATTTAGCAACATACAAGGCCAATTGACGGCGACGAGCGGCAAACCTTCCAGGTCCATCAAATCCAGGCTCTATGGACCGGTCTTCATCGTGAAGTCGATAATACAAGATGTACAAAAGCCCCATGCACGCTTGAGTAGTGGACATGAAGCTAGCATGAGTGGGGAGTCGAAAGGCCCATGGCCGCTCCTGTCGGTGAGGGAGCTCTGCACATGGATCCAGATTTCCATCAATCACCAAAACGATGGAGAGCAAATCGTCGTATGCCAGGACGCAGCGGCGAGAAACCGGATCCTCGTCGCCGAATCGCCAGTGTTCCAATAGCCTTATCAAATTGATACGATGCTTAGTAGTCTGCTTCGTATCCTCCAGAATGCTGCTGATGTCGATATACATTATATTAGTTATGATCATCATTTCTTTCTGCATGTACGACGTGTCGTCTCGATATTGCGCGACAGCCTCAGCAAGATACTGTAGTGATTTATTCAAATGCACAAGGGCCGTAATGTACTGGTGATTGCGAGCAATATGCGGCACTGGCTGACCAGGTGCCGAATACCGAATTCGTCCCTTATCCGTCTTTGTGTAATGGTGTATAGCAGTCAGAGCAATGGCAGCATGCCATATAGAAGGCTACATTTGCGCCGCCCGTGGTATATCAACAAGCCAAAAGGATTGATTGAAGTTACCACCAACCATGTCGACAATGGAGCTGCGGAATGCGCCAAACAAGTCCACTTCCTGGCCATTGGGCTCAACGTCAATGGGACACAGCATAGTAGACGGCTGGGGGAGCAAGGGAATATATGATTTCATGTGTTTTTTGTCCTGAGGATAGACACACTCAACGCCAGACTTCACGCAGCGATACCATCCATGCAAGGTACGGACCGGCAGGCGGCGCAGCCTGCAGTGCTTTTGTGAGTAAATCGTATTTGTCGTGTAGGTCGAAAAGGTACAGCGACAACGCTAATTTCACCACCCAAGGGGAGGATATATGCCATTTTGTCGATGGAGATGACAACGTTGTAGTGCTGGAGATCTGTGGGGTGGGCGAGGCTAGCGTTTGGCAGTGTGGTGTTTTAGTTGCGACCGCTAGAGGGGGAAGAGGCTCGTCGGCAGGTACCCACTGATTATTGGAGTGGTCTAACCATATTCGCTTACATCTTGACGCTAGTCTAAGACATATGAAGCCAAATCTGTAATATTCCTACAGTTACAAAGCAGATCTACGTTCGCACAACTCATTTCTTCCATCTCAAACCCAACGAATATCTAGATACATATTATTATAAACGAGCGCCTTTGCTTATTTAACCGCGCACTTGTGATTGGCCAAGCCACAGCCCCCTCGTGACTTGATATAAGCGAGACGCCTGAAGCTGTGGTTCCCCTCTCTTCCAACCCAGATGATGTTACGTGAAGCTGTCTCCAGCAATTTTCAGTGGCAACTATACAAGCCTTCTATACATTTAATACGCTGTCTAGTATCAGTCCATTAGGTTAGTAAAAGCTTGGCTAGACGCCGGTACTTTAACCTGAAGTGACTAGTAATGCTGACTCGTGTAACAGATACAATACACCAATGTACGGCAGACGGAACGATGAATATGATTACTCTTATGACCGAGGCCGTGAGCAAAGCAGACATGAGAATCTCGGCGGCGCAGATAGGCTAGACCGGCTGGACAGACTGGATAGGCTGGATCGCCTAGATCGACGGGACCGACTGGACCGACTAGATCGCCTAGATCGACAGGATCGACTGGACCGACTAGATCGCCTAGATCAACTGAACAGGATCAATATTGTTGATGTGTCCGATCAGCTTGACAGGCCTGGTCCGTCCAAACCCACCCCGCAGGACGATTATCGCTATGAATATGCAGTGCCTTTAAGGCAGCCTCCACATCCGGCTTACCAGCACCAGTCAAGAAGCAGGTCGGCATCAGTTGATTCAATTCCACGCGTTCGTAATACATACAATCCTTATACCACACACAATACCTATACCACGCGAGATCCTTTTACTACGCGGGATCCTTACGCTACGCGGGATCCTTATACTACACGCAATGCTTATGCCACCACGTACGCTGCTCACCCTACCTCAGCCGAAACCCGTAATGCACCGCAACTAGTGACGCAGATTGAGAGCATTATAAACTCGCACATGTCCCGTATTGGACAAAGACTGTCTCGCCTAGAGGATGGCATCAATAATTTGCCTTTACCACAGACAACACAGCAGACAACACAGCCAACAAGTCAGCAGGTACATCAACCAACAGAACCCCAAACCAAATTTGCTACATTGCCAATTTCGAAAATTTCAATGGGACCAGGCAGTGAATATCCTTCAACTCTCCCTGGTATATACCATGCGCTGGTACAGAACCTTACCTATAACACGATGGACGTCTCGGTAGAATGGGACATACCACGGATCTTCACCGAATTGAATGCAGAAAAAGCAGGCACAACTCTGGAATGGCTTGACGGCATGCTTACCCTAACCGGGTCTGTTGAGTATTGCGAAGCCGCGACTTGTGGCGACTACGTTCGGGAGAGATGGCCAGATGTGGCATCGCCCCTGCTAACGGTAGTAGCTGCAGCTATTGATCAAGCGATCCATAAGCGTGACCCAGTGCCATCCCAAGAGCATGTCTGGGCTAATAAAGAGCGTGAGTGGCTGATAATTGAAACTTTTGAATCGCCGGTTTCTGACTGATCTATGTAGTGTGGGGTTGCAAGATTCAGATTTGGGGATATAGATCCAAAGCGTACTTGAGGGGGCGCGGTAACTCTCAGTTTCTTATTGGGACCCTGGAAGCGCTTTCGTGGCTCTGCGCTGCCATTAGGAAGCCTAACAAGGAAATCTTGCAGCTTTCCTCTGCTGAAATGGCTGATGACAGCCTTGTTACGCTTCGGGTACATGAAGCCGATCTAAACGTCCAACATGCTTGCTGGCACAAGCTCTTCAAAGCAGGCTCTATTGTTCAGTCTGATCTTCCACTGGAGAATCGGGGGAAAGGTCTCGGCATGTCATTCGACGACATGGCGAGCCTTGCTGCGTCAGTCCTAGAGGTGAAAATTAATGGTGTACCACTTCTTTTGGGACAGTCGACATTGCTAATACCAGTGGAACGGTTGAAAACAGGCATCCAGTGGCACCTGGAAACCTGGGAATCTGGCTTGCTGGATCCTACAAAGGGCGAAAGTTTGCTGGCTATTCTCAAACACCATCCGCAAACACTAAAGGAAGATTTTACGGCTTTGCAGGCAGAAAAGGCATTCTTGGGCTGGAGCAGCTCCGAAACCCCGATCCAAGTGGTTGTGGGCACGGAGCAGGCGAGGGCATCGTGCAACCTGCTGAAGGGTTCCGGGGCAGACCGAGCTCGGCCAAACGTGGCCGAGGGTGAAGATGATGACATGAGTTGCGAGCTGAAATTCAAGTTTCTAGTGCTCAAGAAGGGCCGCAGAATACGCTGGGGCCAATTCAGTGTGCAAACGCTATCTTTCACGGTAGGCAACGCCTTTGAAATGGTCCTCGACTCACCGGGAGACAAGAGCGTGGCCATCTACGATACAGCAACGAAGCGTGGGTGGTTGCTGCGACGCCTTGATGTTCTCCTTTACATGATCCATGTTCGGCTTCGGGAACAGCAGAACAATCCAATAGGCTGCTCGACCGCGCAGCAATCAGCAAAAGACATTCTCGAGCTGCACCGAGATTCCAACATACGTGGTCTAACATTGCAGGAGTATGTTTTGGGCCTGTCGACCGGTCTTGACGCTCTGACAAATTCACTACGGCAACACGTACGTCGCGATGCGTCAACACTTATCGGCGTGGAGTTATTTGACCTGGCCTTTTCTCAACAAGGCGGGCCGCTCGAGCTTAAACGCATCACACTAGGAAAGTCTTCGGGCCACTGGGGCAGGCTTGTAGACTACTCCTGGGTTCTCTTCTGCGCCGGTATGGGTGAGGCTATGCGCCCCGCCAACGAAGGAAACGCTGCTACGTGCATCGACAAATCTGTCCGAATAGGGCATGATTACCTTGCAGCAGTGATCCCATGTCTTAAATATCTCGCGACATCTACAGGCGGAGATTGGGACATGGGTAGCCTGGGCAATGGCACTTTTGTTACGCGGGCTGCCAAGGTAAATGACTGCGGCAGCGATCACTGCTGCTGCTTTCAATTGCGACAGTTGACAAAGAAAGAAGAGCCACATGATATATATAACGACAACTGCGCAACAGTGTTTGGTGTAATCCCATAGGTGTATACGAAACAGAATGCGAGAAGTTCTTTCGGATACGGACTTGGAAATCATTGGTATGTGCAATTGTATGACTTTGTAGTTATAAAACACTTCACAATACTCGAGACCGGCTACAAACATGTCCCAAGAGCTAAACGAGTCAACTTTGCTAAATTTTCCTGTATGGATCTTAAAGTATTTCTATGTCCTCGACCCTTTTTCCCTTTACTATTCGTTATATTCTATCTAATTTTCAAATATCTATATCATTTGTTTTTGTACAGTTCCATCGTGGCAACGTCTTTCAATATGGCAACATCTGGTGATGAATCAATATAGATTAACCATTGACGCGTTGCACAAGCATCTATTTCGACCCACTTATAACCCTTGTAATATTTTTTTTTATAACAAATTGAATCGTTGTGATACCGAGCTTATTTACGAAACTCGGAATGGTTTGCATGGGTGAATTAGAACCTGTCTTGTGCACAGCCCCTGTTGCCCCAGCCATTTTGTTCTAGATGCAACCGTGATTCATCTGGCGCCAACACCATCAGAAGCGGAACTAGAAACCAAAAGGAAGGCAAAAGGTTTTCACCAAAAACAACGCGTTACTAAACAGAAGTGCAATGTCTTCCCACGCTGTCCCGGAAGTGCTGATGAAGAAAGTCGACGAGTATGTTGACTCGCTTGCGCCACAGATTCAACCCCGCATCGCGTCAGAGCTCGAAATCTTCCAGCAAAAAACCATTGATAGCCTCGAAACACAAGTGATTGAGGCATTTCGATCTCTTTTCAAGAGCAATGAGAACACATCGAGAGATCTCGGTGAAGGTGCACCGGATGCCTATGGCGGTCAATCCCTGCCATTTGCGGAGGAGCTCGTCAAGCTAACTCGTGGCCTGAGCAAGACTACCGATGGAGTGAGTGACGATCTTCGCGACATCTTCAAAATTATCGACGGCGATCGTCGCTCCGATGGATCTGACGGTACGCGGTCTCGTGGTCCAAGAGACGGAGCCTCGCTTCCTCGAGGTTTCCTCTCCGCAGCCATCAACGCCGTTCAGGATCATCTAGACAACAACACATCAGGACAACACGGGAAGTTCGAGGTTGATGGATTACTTGGTGTGCTTGGCAATGCAATCAAAGAAGCAGCCAGCAATCCCGAAGAAAAGGCGCGTGTTATTAGCCCAGAGATCCGGGAGAAAGTCGGTGCCAAGTTACGCGAGCAGCATGCGCCTATTGCTGAAAACTTCACTCGCATTGCCCTGGATCATATCAAGCGCTGGCTCCGTGGCAACACGACGTCACGAGATCTTGGTGATGGTGTGAAAGGAGAGATTGAAGGCCAAGTAAAAGATCTAGTCAAGGGTCTTGGTGGCCTGTTCAGTCACAAGAAGGGTTCAGATGGGGGTTCCAGTGAGGGCTTCCGAGCTATGAATCGAGATGGGGATGCTGGCAATGAAGAGCCCAAAAGTGGCTTTTCCAAGATTATTAGTGATAAGCTCAGCAACGGCCTCGCTAGGGTTCACAGAGATGTGCGTCTCGAATTCCGCAAAGTGCTGGGCTTGATTGAGAAACAGTTGTTCGAGATCCTACCAGATGTATTCCAACGTCCTATCGAGAAGATTCTCGGTGGAAATCCCTTTGACTCGCAACTTCAGAGCGGCGATGGCCAGCGAGGTTGGCAAACTGGAGAGCGTGATTTTGGAGATGATGTCATGGCGAAACTAGCAGACAGAATTCGTGGCTTTGTACGTAAAGTTCAAGAGACTCTACGTGTCAGTATTTTAGGTGTGGTGAATGGTGGACATCGCAAGTTTGAGCAGGAAAGTTGGGTGTTTGTTCAGAGTATGGTTGAGCAAAAGGTGCAAAAGTATCTACCAAAGGTCAAGATCTCCGTTCCGGATGATATCGGCAATGAGGGCGTCAGTGTCGGGGATCCAAACTCCAAAGTCGGACTCGTCGGAGCTAGCCAGCAGGCAAAAAATCCTTTGCAAGCTCAATCGTCTGTTTCATACGAGAACCAGCAGCACAATGGTTCGTATCAGAACCAACAATCCAACTATCCGACCCAGAACCAGCAGCCCAATTGTCCGACCCAGAACCAACAACACAACTATCCATACCACAACCAGCAGCCCAATTGTCCAAACCAGAACCAGCAATACAATGATCCATATCAGAACCAGCAATACAATGATCCGTATCAGAACCAGCAACACAATTATTCTTATCAGAACCCGCAGCCCAACTATCCATACCAGAACCAGCAATAGAAAGCAAGATGCGGCGTCTTAAACTCATTTCGATTATTATATACTAGGCATAAGTTGGCCAATGAAGAAAGCCAACATTGACTATGCATTGGGCATAGTCAAGATAAAGGTACTATAAAAAGAAATACATATCTGCCAATATTATAACAGTACTTATCACTGTCAATTGCCTTCATACATCACAAGCGTTACATTCAGCTCTCGGGAACATGGCGGGGGGGTTCTACTGAAAAAGAGTCGCTTCGCTCTAACGCGGACACAGGGTGGCGTGATGCTGAGTCTAGTTGGCTGGTTGCATCTATATTTTATATAGTATTTGGTGAATATGTCTGTTATTTTAGGGTTCACAGCTGTTTATTCCAACCGGAATGCGGCAGAGCACAATAGCCCAAGCCTGACTGCAGCTTCGAACAACACTGTCTATCACGGGTGCGTACGACCTGAGTTGGGAGTAATGTCCGTGATAGATGAGGGGCACGGGAAGTGGATGTACCCACACGTGGTGTGCGGGTGGCGTCCACCACTGTCACCAACGGCGCCGGGACGATCGCTCAGCTACTATTTGTGAACTCACCTCCAGCCACGTTTAGAATAACTCTATATTACCATGGGTGACTATAGCCGTTGATGCGGTTTATTGGTAATAATTAAATCAAGAGCTGGAATAGGGCATATTACAATCAACAATACTAGAGTACCAGCTCCGCTAAACCAAGCAATCAGGCTGCACACCGCAGTGCCTTGTTTGCCACGTTATTTTGCGTTTTTGCTAGATTAGGCAATCGCCGAGATCAAGTAATCTCCAGGAGCAACTCAGTGGCTTTTCATTTGCTGTATAGATGGCAGCGTTGTTCTCGAGTATATAGCTCACGCCGTTGCGAGGACGCCGTGTACTTAAAGGAGGCCTTCCCCATGATGTAAACAGCCTGGGATTGCTTCGCATCCATCTCTTTTATCCCAACTGATTGCCCGTGGTAGGCTTGGCTCTGCCATCAGCAAGATAAACAGAACTAATACCTTTATAGAACTTCCCGTTCCTGACGCCCACCATGCAGGGACCAACGCTTTTTTCTCTCCTCTTGACCACCCTTGTGGGCTTTGGCAATGCTGCACCTTCCGTTGCCAACACCAATGACTACCCAGACAATTACTTTGATTACAAGAGCGATAAAATTTGTATTGCGGCTGGTCCAAATGTTGCATGCCCTTTCCGAGGCTCCGACGGCTGTGTCTGGAGACTTTTGCAAGGCGATAGGCAGGTGGACTGGATTTCTTGCCGCCCAAAGGGTTGTAGGGCAGATTGTGATGGTCACGACTGTGTTGCTACTTTCTATACATAAAGCCGCTATTGTTCTTACACTATTGCAGTTGTATATAACCCTAATTCTGTATAAAATTTGCGATTTTGGCCGCCTCTCATTATGGAAAATGTCCTGGTGGGATTTGGCATCAGACCCAAGACTCATGAATGCAAGTATTGTCTATAGTAATTAATGCCTGTATTAACCAATGTTACATTGACTGAGTTTATCTGTTCCGCCAATCGAAACTGAAGATTCATCTATTCTAATAATCTTCTTTTTGGAGACACTAGCTGTTTAGTGCACAGCTGCTTCGTTGTGTCAACTGATTGACTATGAACGCTGCTATATTATTTGGCATTGTTTTATTTTTCTGTTGTGACTATTGTGACATTGGACGTGTGTTACTTTGCTAGAGAAGTGAAGGAATAGTTAGGTCACTGGAAGTGGCCAAGGAAGGAAAAAGAGGTGGAAGACACAGGAAAAGGAAGTGAATACAGGATGTATTCGGTGTATTTAACTAGAGCAGTTCCGACCATGGAACTTGAAGAAAACAACGAATTTACTATAACCTCTTACCTTTTAATAACACGTGTTATTGATCCTTGAACCAACATTTTCCTTTGCGGCAATGTTTAACCCAAAAAGTATCAGCTTCTTTTAAGAAAGAAAAAAGAAACGGCATACATATTCATGTCAGCTGTATGTGGCGCTAATGGTATATGAACTGTGCCGCCTCTGGTGTCAAGTAAGTGAATAAAGCCTTGATCTGTGTCGACGGGGTCCGATTTCTTTCTACAATTAATGCTATGTAGCAAACGTTGTTTGGATAATAGAAGCAACTTGAGTTAGGGAAGAAGAGGTAAAGTGATAATAGAATGGATATTGAATGGGGATTGTAGTAACTACTCTCTTGTGCACAATTGTATTATTTTCGTCTCTATTGTCTTTCATCTCGACACCCCTTAGACCCCTGACCACCAGTATCCCGTTGTCAACGGCGTCTCATTGCCGTTTTCTGCCTCTTGTTCAGTCGTCTCCATTACAACACCCTCTCTTTCGAGACGATTTAGCCTATGAAACCAAATACCAGCAATCCGTGAGGTCTCGAGCTTCATCCACGAGCCGTGGCGACTCGCTTCGAGCGCGTCCGCATCACGAGACAGCCCGCGTGTTCTCCTGGCATCAAAGAACCAGAAAAAGAATACCTCAGAGCATAATTCCAGTTTCTCTTCCTTCGTCGCAAACGGCTGGACAAGTGCTGGCGGCTGCAGAGGAAGCTCCAGCAGCGATGCCAGCGACGCAGCGTCCACGGCAAGAAAATCGTGAAATCATGCGCAGCGAGCATCCCCAGTAGGATCTTCGCCAACGCTGGCTACCCACTCGTCAAATACTGTGGAAAGAATCTGCGCGTCTGGTGCGGTGATAACGTTAAGATCCGGAAAGTCGACCTGGGATGCGTCCTCGACAACCTCGATGCGGAACCGTTGGCCAAGTTCTTCGTTAATAGCTCCGTTGGATTTGAATCTTTCTATGCCCCTGTATCCCCAGAGAGCAGTTCTGTTCTGGTGAATATAGAATTGACTAACCCAGCGCTCTAAATTCTGCATGGCCTGTGCAAACTGAGAATCTGATTCCGCAAAGTAGGTAGTCCGCAGCACTACAAGAATTATTACCCTGTGAGTCTCCATCACATGTGATTTCTTTTTTAAGCGTACCTCACCTGTGAATCCCCAGCTGCCTCGTCCGTAGACTGTCGCATTTCTGGTCTGGCCAAGATGATCAAACAGATCCTGCGCCCATTTCGTAGCCTGTGTCAATGTCCTTGGTTAGGTGTGGATGAACAAAGTCATATGAGAGTTCTTCGAAAGTCTCCATTTCTAGTGTCATGGTAAGAAAATATAAGACACAGAGAAGCAGCAACTCTCTGCTCTCCTGGTTGATTATTGGGTAGTTGAAAGAGTGTCGAGATGTGGTTGAAACTCATCCATATAGATGTGCACGTGACACTTGGCAAATACGAAAAAGAAGTCGACAGAGTGCCAATGACGTATTTAATTATATCATACGACCGTTCTGAATAATATTAATGATTTCTTTCTCCATCGTAGTACATATTCGTGTTTTGACATTGGCAAACCGCTAACATTACCACCTTCTATAACCCTAACTTTTCACCATATATTACAAATCAGATCTAATAATAAAATTGGCCTGTTATTGTAGTTCGCAGGGTCCGATGTTGTTTATTGATCAACCATCCAACTGGCAGTGGTTCCCTGCGTCACACCTGCCATTCACGTCGCTTACTTCCATGGACTTGCAGCTGTCTTGTCCGCATGGTACACAAGCGCGCGTCCATTCGAAGTCACTGTAAGACCGTTCAATGCCATTTATACGAAAGTAGTTTCGACACATGCCCTCGATAACGGCAAAACTCTGTAGCTGCCAAAGTCTCATGGCCCCGAAGCCATCCCAGTTGGTAGTTGCCTTCAGGGAGGTGGTCGTCGTTTTGCTATATGTGAAGCCGGCATCGAAGTTTGTTGAAAGCGCTTCGGCGAGCTTCCATGATATTGCAGTTCCTATAGGTACAGACCATCCTATAGTCTTTTGTTGGCCAGCAGCAATTGCACAATGTTTCCCAGCTTGACATCCAACAGCAGCCCCGACTCCATACCACCACTTGCCCCAGCGACTAGTGATATTAACGCACTCCGGCAGGGCTCCGAAATCAGTAACATCAGGAGGGTTCTCAACAGGTGGTAGATTATTCGGAAAGTCATCGAATATAAGAACGCCATTCTCCTATCTACCTGTGATAGCCCCACCAACTTGGAAGAGCAGTACGGTGCACGCTGCTGCTAAGCTTGGTGTTGGAAACATTGTATATAAGTGACCGGTTTGTTATTATTCAGAACTAGTATCGAAATACAAGATTTGGGAAGATGTGTTTTTCTTGAGCGTTGGTGGTCTGTTGTGTGTTGTGGGAGGTAGTGTGCAAGGGGAAGTTCTTATACGCAAAAACAACAACAGCAGGCTGACAAGGCAGGCACAGCCTGTTCTGAAAATGTACAAAGGCCGAATCATATGATGCACCAGGCTGATATTGGTGAACTTAATGACTACAATAAAACTTGGCATAATGCCTTAGGCTGAGCGGAGGTTCGCGCATCCGCTAGGACGCTTGTGACATGCTGCAAGGCCGACAAGCAAATATAGATAGGTCGTGCAAAACATCCAATGATAAAATTTAAAAAACAATAAGTAAATAGACAAGAATATGATTTATTAAGCAGCATAAAGCAAGCATAAATATAAAGCAAGCACGTAATATTGCCAAATTATCAGCATGAGCGACCAGATATCGTGACAAGGTTACAACTAATAATCAGAATAGCAGCGAGTGAGTGCACCAAACATGTACATTTTGAATAAACATATTAGTAGAAATCCTAATCCACAGACTCTTACCGCAAGCGATATACTTAACACTTTTTTGTAAGAGGCTAGTATTGTTAAGATGTAAAGTAGATTACACTAGACGAGAGATTGCAACGGTCGCAACAATCGGGTATACTCTAGGTTATTGTCTTAAATGTAACAAAAGCCCTATTAAACAATTATTATGTATTTTCAATCGCGAATTACATGAAGGCTATATCGGATATGCCAGCACCTAAATATATCGTATATACTTTATGCTTGTATTTCTTTAATTGTTATCGCGTCTTGTCGACCACACCACCACGCGCCAACGATGGCATTCTGGCCTGCCATGGCGTCATACTCAGCGGCTGATGCAATTGGACAACACCACCCCAAACCTCCCAATCGCATCACTTTGCATTTGTCATTTGTCCAAAACCCGAATGATGCAATTCTCCGTTTCAAACTGCGACTGGAATGTCCGATCATACGGCCCGCGCCGTTTATTTGCACCAACGGCAATGGACATCATTCTGGGCGCCCCTACATATGTAGCATCCAGATTGCTGTCGTGCTCTCATATTCACCAACTGCTTTGTTTTAGCCATGATAATTTAATAAAGGGTTTCTTTTGAAGCTGAATTCATGCAAGATGTCTAGCAAAATCCCTGATGACCGGGTGTCTCTGCTAGCAGACGCATCTAGCGACCTCTCATACTCAACAATAAACGACGATGCCGTCACCCCCAATGACGCCCCCAAACGATCCATCGAAGACGATGTTCTACCAGAGACTTCACCACTTGGCCGAACTCTCGGCTGGAACAGCGCCTATATTCTCGTCATCTCTAGAATTATCGGAAGCGGCATCTTTGCCACACCAGGCACCATCCTCCAAGCAGTCGGCAGCCCTGGGCTTTCCCTACTCCTCTGGGTAGCAGGCGCCTTGATTGCCGCCGCAGGACTAGCTATATTCTTGGAGTATGGATCTATGCTGCCTCGATCCGGCGGACACAAGGTCTATCTAGAGTACACGTTCCGCCGGCCACGCTTTCTCGCGTCGACAGTCGTGGCCATCAACGCTGTATTCCTCGGCTTCACAGCCAGCAACTGTGTCATATTCAGCCAGTACTCTCTTTTTGCCCTGGGATATACAGGCAAAGGGGATGCCGTGGAGAAGTGGGTTGCAGTCGCCTTGCTTACGCTAGTGACTGCTATCCACGCCGTAACGCCAAAGTTCGGCATCAGGCTCCAGAATTTCCTGGGCTGGGTGAAAATCGGCATCGTGGTTTTAATGATTCTCTGCGGCCTTTATGTTGTCATCTTTCGACCTGATACGGGTAGCGGCGCGCCGGCGGATGTACAGGACCTATTTACTTGGGATCGACTGTGGCAGGATAGTAACTGGAACTGGGGCATTGTGACAACAGCGCTGTTCAAGGTATTTTATTCATATGCTGGGCTCGAAAATATCAACAACGTTCTGGACGAAGTCAAGGATCCGGTACGGACTCTACGCTCAGTGACTATGACGGCGCTGGTGACGACATGCGTCATGTACACTCTCGTCAATGTGGCCTACTTTCTCGTTGTTCCGCTAGATGAGCTTCGCGGTAGTGGCGAGTTAATCGCAGCTTTATTTTTCAAGCGCATATTTGGTCCAGGCTTAGGTGGCCGAGTACTGCCGCTGGCTGTTGCACTCTCAGCTTTTGGTAATGTCATGGTTGTTGTTTTTGCAATGGTAAGCAGCTAAAACCATTCATTTAGAGATTCATCTTCCTAACAGCTGACTAGGCACGCTTAAAACACGAAATTGCACGACAAGGGTTTCTCCCTTTCTCTGACCTACTCTCCTCTACTAAGCCATTCAACTCGCCGCTGGGTGGGCTCCTTGTCAACTATGTCCCGTCTTTTCTTATCATCGTGTTGCCGCCTTCGAGCAAGACATATTCCTTCATCCTCGATGTTGAAGGCTACACGGGGCAAATTACCGGCCTTGCCATTGCCTTGGGCCTAATTTGGCTCCGATATAAGCGGCCAGACCTGAAGCGTCCCTATAAAGCCTGGTTATCCGCAGTGATAGTCAAGATCGCACTGAGCCTTGCGCTGTTAGTCGCGCCTTTCGTGCCGCCGAAAGAAAAGTATACCGACGGGCTATTTTATGCTACATATGCCATAGTTGGTGCCTCTACGTAAGTTTATTCATTTAAACAAACGACACTATGATGCTAACCACCTTGGTCAGTATTGCGCTCAGTGTACTTTACTGGTCTATATGGACGGTAGCGATTCCGAAATGGGGGCGATATAGTCTGGAAGAGGACGAGACAGTATTGCCTGATGGGACTACCATAACAAAGCTCATTCACACGCCACTAAAATAAAGTAGATTTAGAACATCTATAGATTGAAAATGGTTCTTCATAATTGGTATTAGAAGTGCCTGCTCCGTAAACTCAGTGCCGCGTCTATGTCACGCTGGAGGCTGGAGACAGCCAAGGCGTGAACTTGCACAAGATGACAAATGGAAAGTGCCGAGTGGCGATAAAAGTCCTAGGCTACGCTTAGCGTCACTAACAAGTAGCCGTTATTTCCCCGCGAATCGAAAAAAGATCCCCGGCTCCGTGCCCGCCGAGTGGGATGGATGGCGCGATCGGGCTGCGAGAATGACGAACGCCGCAGCAAAGTCCGCACGGATTTTAAATCAATCCCACGAAGGGCGTAGCCTTGTAGAACGGATAGCTTTAGACTATCGGTAGATCACTTTTCAGTAGTCAAATCAGAGCGGCGTTTACTCTGTGTTGTGCTGTGGTCTGCATGCATGATTATCAATCCACCCTTACAATCGTTGACAGCTTAAATGACGTGCTATCGCGAAACGACTACATGTGTTACAGCTTAGAATTAAAACTAGTATATATACTACCGGTCCCTTTCCTTGGTTCATCGACCTGGAGAATTTGAGATAAATAAAGAGAAACACATCGAGCTCTACTTATATAACATTACACTCAACAGATCATATTCTCGGCAAGCCACTTACAAAGATCAGCACAATGGCCGCTGCTGCTGTCCAAGTTACTCCCAATCTACATGCCCATATCGGCAACCCTCAGTTGGCTACGCAGACCGAGAATCGCGTTCCCAAGCACGATGTTACCACATCCCTGAACTACTTCAAGCCCAACGCTGACGGCTCTCCCCCAGAGCCCAGCTACGTTGACAAGCCCGCGAGCTACTATCTTGAACCTGATACGCAGGAGGTCGTTATCAAAGATATTGCAGGTGACGAGGCCAACTTCAGCCTAGACCGCAATGGTTTCCAAGTCCATTACCAGCCCGCAAAGGAGCGAGACTTCCTCGACGACGAGCAGATTAAAGCAGGATACTACGCCGAGACAGAAAATCTATTGAAGCAAGTGTAAGTTACTTGTGGCACACGCCATAACCAGCAGGGAGCTAATCCAAGTACAGCACCGGAGCAGACCGCATCTTCATCTTTGACCACACCATTCGCCGCCGGCCTATCGGAACAGCTGATCAGCCCGCTCTTCGCGGCCCAGTCCAGCAAGTTCACATTGACCAGACTTACAAGGCTTCCCTTTCGCGTGTACCACACCATCTGCCCGAGGAGGCTGACGAGCTTCTCAAGGGCCGCGTGCAAATCATCAACGTCTGGCGACCCATCAAGACCATTGAGCGCGATCCCCTCGCCATCGCTGATGCCGGCTCGGTATCCGAATCGGATCTTGTGACCCGTGGACTCATCTACCCAAATCGCAAGGGTGAGACGTTCAGCGTCAAGTATAACAAGGGCCACAAGTGGTACTACCGATCAGGTCTTTCTCCTGAGCAAGTCCTTTTGATCAAGTGCTTCGACAGCAAGACGGATGGGCGCGCGCGCAGAGTGCCGCACACGGCATTTGTAGATCCGTCTTCGCCAAGCGAGGCTCCTACTAGGGAGAGTATTGAGGTGCGAGCCCTCGTCTTTCACACTACGGATAGAGAATGATTGCGCTCTAGGGGCACTCTTGCTGAATTTATGCAGGTTGGGTGGTTGTAAGCTACTGAATGTTATGTATCTTGAAATATGATTGATGATCTTTAATGAGCTGCTCTTGTTTCTATAATCGTTACCGTACTTCCCTACTTGGCTCCTGGATTGTCATTGAAGAGTAAATCCTTAGTTGTACCGCTAGGAATCCCTTGAATAATATCTTTCAAGGCCATCTTCTTCATTTTATCGCATGCGTCGGCACCTTTCGCTTCGTCAGCGGAAATCAACAGGGCTGCTACACCAACGACGTGAGGACAAGCCATAGATGTTCCCGACCAAGCCTTCTGTTTTACACGGTTAGCATCGTTTAACATAAATCAGGAAACTTTTCGGCACGTACGCTCTCTCCATTAGGGATTGCGGAAAGAATTTGCGATCCCGGCGGCTGGATGTCAACTATAGATCCCCAGTTGGAGTAGCTCGCCTTCTGGTTGTCGCTCTCTGCGGCACCAACGGTGCAGGCAGATGGCTCTCTTGCCGGCGAATAGTTTGCGGCATCCTTATTGTCGTTTGCTCCGCCGGCTCCCGCAAAGAAGCCTTGCTTAACAATCCTGGCAATTGCATCGTTGAGGCTCTGGATTTCTGGGTGGCGAGGGAGAAATCACCACAACCTATCTATATCTACTCAGTCCAACATACTTTTCTTATTTCGCTTCCAATTCTATTAGCCAGTATCTGTCGAGTAATTTACCACATGGGCTCTCGGTATAATAGACACCGGGAGCTATCCTTTGACTACCGAGCGCAAGTATGCGCTAGTCGATTTAGAATGCTGCGCCTTGGAAAGCCTGGGCTCCTAGGGCTGACATCAGGTGCGATTGAGTTCGGCTTGTGGGATCCTCGATGGGGTGCCGGCATAAAATCCCCCCACAATCTCATGTTATAATGGTTGCCTTGATACATATATGGCTTTATGAGAGCGAGCCATGTAGTGTAATTTCAGATCGCATGCTCGATCGAAGTCGGTTTCCCTGACTCGACGAAAACGATGAAAACGACCGGAACGACATGTCTTATACGTCTATAAAGGGCCGTGACTGTCTTGCCCAAGTTAAATCCAACAGTAGCTAAATCACTTCTATTCTGAATTTACAACTCGCACTTTATACAACATGGTTCAAATCATCGCTTCCGTTATTGTGGCCTTGGCTGCTGCCGCTCAAGTTCAAGCTGCGGCTCTCGGCGCACCAGACATCTGCAAGCCTGCTTCCAAGACAGACAGAGCCAACACGTACAACTATGCCGACGAGACTAGCCTTTGCCAGTCGAACCACCACTGTGACAACGCCTGTGTCTCGTTTGTGGAGCCTGGGCCAACCGGATGCAGCCCCGATTGGGACCAGACCAGCCATGATGATCTGAAGCGCGCCGTCTTCTACCAAGTCGCCAAGGACGGCCAGTTTCATAGCACACATGAAGGAAGGTGGACTGTTGCTTTCTATGTATTTACTTCCGCTTTCCCCAACCACGACGTCGCCGGCGAATTCGGCAACGGCATCGACCGTCTTGCCAACGGCAAGATCCCTCATACTGCCTACTTCAACTCGATCATCACTGGCCAGTTCTATGGTATCAGTGCCGCCTACGGGTGCTAATTAATCGGCGCTAACTTATGTATATATATGATACAACTGAATATATTATTATGTTTATGAAAAAAAAAAACTACAATCAGTACCGTGGCTCATAAGAGAGCGGTGGCGCACTGGTTCAGCAAGTTAATCGCCATTCTCTCCAGCTGCCCACTTAAGGTATCTCATACTAGGCTCAAACTTGTATTAGTAGCCAATCTTGTGCAGCCGCTGCCTCATACCCATTCCTATAGCCCCTTCTTCGTCTTGTTGCCATTTTGCTCGACCCCATTCTTTGTCAGACTCATCAGCTCGACGCACTCGGCACTGGCCCAAGTCGATCATAAAGACGTGGTATTTGTCATTTACCGCTGGCACGACCATGAAATTATCAGGGCGGACGTCTGAGTTGAGGACATTACAATCGCCTAGCGTATGAGCAATGCGGACTGCTTCGTCAATCAGATCTTGCCATGCTGGCTGAGGCACATGTTGGTCCAATGCTGACAAGGTAGATCCGGGTAGATATTGAAGCAGAATGCCTTTAATCTGCATGTGCTCTAATATGTCGCTGTGCACTTGAGCACTCGACGGCTCCAGATCTAATGTGACTTTAGCCAATAGACGTGGTAAGATTTTACCCTGGTGTTTTTGCAAAGTGTCGTAAGCGGTAGTCTCCGCGGTGTACAAAGACTTGAGCTCTTGTGACAGAAATACTTCATTTTCAGCAGCATTCCAGTTGTCCTGGGTATCTTTAAAGCCGGCGTCATGGTTTAGCTTGTCCACGAAGCTCACGATACAGCCAGACTGTACAAAGTTTGCGTAAGACTCTTCAATCTCCGGCGTACAACAACAAAGCACCGTCTTAAGCTCCAGTCTATAATTCTCGATAATCTCGTCATTCTTCCAAATCTTGCAGATGTAACTAAGGCTTTGGATCTATCGATTCTGGAAGTCATGGATATTGGCGGCGGCACCATCGGGTAGGTGCTTAGCTCTAATTGAGCCAGCTATAGAAGGTTACTGATTTTTAAAGACCCGAAGGTATGCCTTGGGATCTTGTGCTCCCAGATGTTACACCACGCCTGAAGTGACTCACGGTGCACAATTTCCATCTGGATGTCATACCCACTGTTGAAGCAGAGGGTATATTTGGCGACGACGACCAGCGTAGAATCCAAATCAGCCTTGGCTCACAGTGTATTGCAAATGATCCGGAGAAAGAAATGTCTGTCTTTACGAAACTCGCTTCGCCCTGTATTGTAGGATTCGAAGCTGCAAAACATGGTTTTGGTCTGGATCCAGTCATTCTCCAGCTAACATAGATGCCATCGCTGAACTATGTGTGTGTGCCCATAAACATTGAGGGTTTTCTATGTGCTCCTGGCGTATTTGGGCAAATCATTGACTAGACTACAACAATAATAATGCAGTTGATTGAAGGAATGCCATGGATACAGGCCTTGCGGATTGGAACCACCTCGGGTCGATATACCGACGAACACGATACACTGGGCGCAGAGAGACACCAACGATTGGAGAATATCTTAAACCAGATCATTGGTACTAATTCTAGTTTGCGATACATCAAGGTCGGGTACATGGGATGGACTGTTTTACCTCGGAGCGTCGCAAACGGCGGCTCTAGACTGCTGACGTTGGATCGTTGGGAGGATGAACTTGAAGAGCGGGGATGGATATCGAAATCACATCGAGCTAGAAGCTTCGCATCCTTTCAGTATAGTCCATTTATTATATACTAGAGATCTACCAATAGCCTATTATTCATTGCGTCCGACCGGGCTGTCTGATTTAAATGAACTTGGCAGCCGCAGCCACGTTTCCGTCCGCCCAACCATCTTCCACTGCCTTACCCATTGCTTCAGCGAGTACTTCCAGACCCGAAGCATTGACATTGGCATCCTTTGCAGCCTGAATAATGTTAGCTACACCTGCCACCTGCATGAGCAGAGGGTTGCCGCCATTGGAAGCCCAGTCCTCCGAGTCAATCACATCCGCAAGTAGGCCCAAGTATTCTGTCAGGGCCGCCATAACGGGTATGGTGATTTGTTTAGTTCCTGGAGCAACTTTAACATCTTGGCCTTGGCCGGATCGCTTCAAGATGCCGAAGCCGACAAAGGCGCCATAGAACATGCCATACATGGTTGCCAGCATCGCAAGGTCCTGCGCTGCTGCCGCGTCAACCTGTGGCCCGTAGTATAGAGGAGTTCCTAGAGGCTGTAGGATTGTCTTGATGTTGTCAAAGGTCTCCTGGGATTCGCCACTGTAGACCAGAAGGGATTGTGGCGTCGCAACCATCTGGGGCGTAACCAGCACTGCGCCGTCAAAGTAGCGTGCTGCACCGCGAGCTTTGATCCAGTCTCTCATTTCAAGCGCTTGTTGAGGTGTACCATTGGTAACATTGACGATTGTTTTGCCGGCAAGGCCATCGCTAGTTCCCTTGATGGGCTCAAGTGTCTTGTACATGGCATCATAGTCGATAAGACAGAAGAGTAGGATATCGCTGCTTCCGGAAATGGCAGCCTTGACATCCGCCTCGAGAGTTGCACCAGCCTTCAATACGGACTGGACTTGTGGTCGGTCAACAGTCCGGTTCCAGATTGTGACTTTGGTGTCGGCTTTGAGCAGGGCGTGAGCTAAGGCGGCTCCCATGTTGCCGACGCCAAAGGCGGTCACGTTGCGAGATGTTGTCATGTTCATTTGATTTGTTAACTTGAATTAGAGGTGAGTATTGTTGAGAAACTGGAGATTGAGATCGGAACTGTTGTTCTGTGTTTGTATCCGTACAGATTGATTTCGGTAGAGGACAACCAGGCCATTTTATATTCAATGTGAAGCATTTCCAGCTCAATTGAATATTTTCTGTATTCCAAGAGTTATCAGCTGCCGAATTCTTTTTTCACATATTTTCTCTGGAATTTGTAAGCTCAACTCAACATCATCTATATGGTTCTGGTCGATGACATCGCGACATTACCAAGCCGTGCAGTCCTATGTGACAGCGCCTAAGAATAATTCACAGTCAAATAATGACTCATACCGAGTTTGATTGCCTCCTTCATTCAGCTTTATATCCAGTTTATCAGATTACACGCGAATAAAACGGCCTTTCCCCGCTGTCTATTACAAATGGCAAAGTCCGCCGTGCGGAGCTTGGCGGCGGGTTATATTGCGGCCTGGTATTGAACAACTTTATAAAGCGGGGAGGCTTGAAACCGAAAAAAACGAGATGCAGTATCTATTTTGAGCGATAATATGTTTAAAATGACGTAGAATATCTCTGGGTTATTCGTATTGCTTCTTGCCCGCCCATTTGTAAGCCAGTCATCCCCAAGGATATTGCTGCTACTCGAGCAGAGCATTGACTGTCACATAATGTAAAGCAATACGCATTGGTATATTCGGATTATTTTACGTAACAAAACTACATCGAAATTTTGGTTCGTACGTCGTTTGCATCTATGCAATCTCTCTGAGCCGCATATGGAGAACCACCGTGGTTGTTGTAGGGCCGTCCACCCGCCAATAGATTAGCTAGTAAATATAACACATGGAAAATTGTGTAAAGTTTCTTCAATGTAAATGAAAAGCCCAGAGCTCCGGATGGTAATTGGATAGATTCTTAAGCATCTTAAGTTGCCATGCTCCAGGGTCCATCAGGGCAACATTCTCTGCGTCAGGCACATCCCCAAAAGCTTCCAATGGGAAATTCCAAAGGCCAGCGACCTGCGGTAGAGATGTCCTCTGATTCATATACTCTTTCTCAGTCATTCGGTCACCCCAAATATTTTTATTGGATATGCCTGTCCACTTCTCCCACGCCTCGTCGTCCGCTTGCAGGTAGTCAACAAAGGCTTTCCGACTGACAATCGCCTGTTCATCCATAGAGGGCATAATGGATAGAAGATATCTCACAGGAATATTCCTCTTCTCCCCAAAATTAGCTTTGAACTTGTTCCATGAAAACATGTTTCGTCGCGGATCGCTGTATACGCCAACATGCTCCAAGTCCATGTGGATATCTCTCGGGTCGCGTTCTAGCCGCGTATATGATTTTGCACTAGAAAACAACGGCACTGACCGATTATGATGAAATTGGGCCTGTCTAAAGGTGAATATCCCTAAAGTGGCGCGCGCACCACAGTCGGGTGAAATGACAGAGTAGAAAGCCTCCAAACTGGAGGAGAGGAGCTTAGCTAGAGACTGTTGTAGAGGCGGTGGGAGCTCGTCAGGATGCAAATCGCCCAGTTTGTAGGAATTCAGGTGTCTCATGTCCCCAAGAGCTAACTGAGTGATGCCAATACCACGAGGGTCATAGGCCATCATGTCGTGAAGCAAAGACGGAAGTGTGAGTCGGTCAGCATCCTGCATATCATGGGCAATCCAAATAATCGTATTTTCAGGGCAGATTTGCAGGAATCTTGTTTTTGGATTGTTTCCCATGACCGGAACGGGCATTCGTATACGATGGAGGCGACGGAATATGTCTCGAGCCTCACGGTTCACTCTGCTCAAAGCAGTCGGTGACCATCCTTCAGATGGGGCAATTTTTATACCATAGGGATATGTGCTGATTATATTGCCCAATTTATTTTTCACGGTATATAGCTTTCGAGGTATTTTGGATACTGAGGGATTCTCCTGCCTGTTGGTATTGTTGTCAACTGAACGATCGTGCAAGTGAATATGGAGAAACCGTGGTTGAGAGACGGATTCGGTCCAAATCCGGGCTCTGAGCTCCGGGGGTAAGAGCGGGAATTGCGGAAATGTAGCAATTGATATGGTATAGGCATCATTAAAAATTAGATACGGCGGTTTATCTGAGGTCATACTGATGTTGAAGTTGTTGTATAGCGAAGAGGGTGGCTGCGGGGAAGGACAGCCGGAGCGAGAGCAAACTACTCATCCAAGACAAGCAATGATAGACTCAACAGTAGTTTCAATGAGCGACTTTGTTTTGCAACTGCAATTCCTACACAAAATTTGATTTCGCTTCACCGCTGGATCGCGTAATTATCTTTTGAGCAAGGATATTTGTCTAGGCTGAGCATCAAGGACTTTCAGGCTGGGAGGTAGCTCACGGGCGGTTCTCAGCGTTGTACCCAGCCTTGCTTTGGAAACACGGCTACAGCCAGCTCGGTCTATCTCCTTTTTTAGAAGAATATAATTAGGGATTATTCAGAGAAAGGGCTATCCGATATATGCATGCTTATGGCGCTAAACCTGCATGGTAATCAACGCTCCCGACTTTTATACCGTTCAGTGAGGTCTAGACCATGTCATTCAGATATTTACGGGGGACCAGGATTACGAGGCGCGAATAATCATATCAGCGAGTTGAAAATAAGGCTCTGAGCATCTGAGAGCTTAGTCTTTTAACAATGATAGAGAACCATAAACAAACCAACATAAATAGCAACGCTTTCTTCGAGCCTCTAGATCCGACGCTCTGCACAGCAACATCAAAAACGACTTCGTACTTTACGCTGACAGAACTATACAAAGATGTTATTTAAAAGCATCGTCTCTATTGCTGTACTAGCGCTCCAGGCTAGCATCGGCGCTGCAAGAGTTGCACCAGTGTACGCATGAGCCCTTCTTGATCGTTAATCAGAGCAATTGTTGATAATAAAGCTAAAGCTATGATGATACAGTGTTGAGCGCTGAAAACAACCTGCCAAGGGAATTGCTACCGCGAGCAGACAAGTCTACCGAAGGCCCGCCAATTACTGGTACGGCTGCCGACTCTCTCCGAACATATGGACTTGCTACTTGTCCCGGCATGGCCTCCATTGGAACTGCTGCGAAGGCCAATGGCATTAACAAAGGTGAATAATAAGACGTGGTTTTTCTTCAATTTTTCCAAATTATCACGCTCCCCACGGTATACAAAGAAAACTGACCAACTAACAATTATTCTCCCAGCCTTGGTACACATTTTGTGCGGCAACAACACTGACGGACAAGCCAAAGCCTACGCCAAGGTAGTTAGAGATTCGAAAATGAAGAACGTGAAGACTGTCGTGTACATGCTGGACCCCAGAAAGGCTGGAAACCAACAGCAAGGACAGACTGACATTAACAATCATGCCATCAATGCTGCTGCCAGCGTAGGAGAAGTCATCAAAGTCTACCGTTTTGACCCGAACGCTCCATCGCCGCAAGACAGATTGAGAATCAACAACAAGAACCAGGTGTTTACCGCTGAGAAGCAAGTCACTCCTTAGGAGGCAACCGAATTTTCTTGTCTCTTGCAGTCTGTCATCTTCACTAGAGATATGATGAAAACGTGGGGTTTCAAGTTTGATGGGAAGCCGCCAAAGTGGTTTATCATGCCAGTCAAAGCCAAGACAGTTAATGTTTAGTTATTATATCATTCAGCAAGCTCTTTTATATTACAAGGATGTCGACAGAATTTATCCCATAATTCTTTACCAATCATCACAGCGTATTAGGCGCAGTCCGTTTCGAAATAGACGCTCTAGAGCACAGGAGGTTCCTGTCTAAGACGAACTAAAACACCCATTCGGTTAAGAGTTATAGATTCCAGAACGCCAACAGCTCAAAATTAGATCTACTGGTCAATAAATTTATCCTAGACTTGAATTTTATCTAGGTTCAACTATTTAATCATTTTTACCCTTTCATCGCTTTGTTTGAATAAAAAAAGCTTGAACATCCATCTGCCAAGAGGTTAGGCGTACCGCAATAGCAGGGCTTATGCAACTAGCGGAACCGCCTTTCGCGGGGAGTTTGGCCAATGATGGCTGCTCGACGACGACCACAGCGGCGCCCCACCTCGACCTTGGCCAGCAGAGCTCCAACTGAACCGACCGATCATCACCACCTTTTGTCATCAGACATCCCCTCCGCAGCTAGACGGGATACGTGCTCGGTCGAGAATTCTCACGGTGAAACCCGCCTGCAGCTTCGAACAGACGACAAATATCTACTTCCCACCGAGCAGGCTCTCACATAGACGCCGGACGCCGCCATGACGACGAAATACGCTCTTGTGTCGCTGCCCATAACGGCGTTCGACACTGGCGACAAGGAGGAGGCCCTCAACATTGTCAAGGGAAACCTTAGCGATTGCGGTGCCGTGGTGCCCTTCAAGATCCCCGACTTCAAGATTGGCACTCTGGACGGTCTGGTTCAGCAGGCCGACGACCTCGCCAAGCTCGAGGCGAACTGCCATGCGGTCGTGGCCAAGGTCAGCGAGTCGTTACGCACAGTGCTTGAAGATAATGGCGATAGACTGGCATCCTACAAGATGGTTAACGATAGTAAGAGGAATGGATGACCTGTTGTGGAGAAAACAGCGCTAACAACAGCAGAGCCTACGGACCATTACCTCGCCAACTTTAACTGGAATAAGATTCGATACCGATCCGACAAGCCCATTGCTGAGCTGATTGATACTCTGCAAAAAGTAACGTTCCCATACAAATATATATAAAGATCGCCTGTTGTTTCACTGGATAATTGCTAACCAGGCTCAGGAATTGGTCACGGTCGACAACGACGTCAAGACCAAGTTTAATCAGTACAACACGGTCCGCACCAACCTCGCTGGCCTCCACCGCAAGCAAATGTAAGTCTGAAGATGAATTTCTCTCTGGATATTCTATTGACTGTGTCAGGGGCAACCTTTCTACCAAATCCCTGGCTCCCATTGTGGACCCAAAGCTCCTCGTCTCCGACTCCGAATACCTCGAAACACATCTTGTTGCCGTCCCCAAAAACTCTAAGAAAGATTTTGTTTCCAAATACGAAACGCTCTCGCAAATGGTTGTGCCTCGCTCATGTGTTGAGGTGGACCAAGATGACGAATTCACTCTGTTTGCCGTCACCACTTTCAAGAAGTTTAGCGCCGAGTTTCTGCAAAAGTGCCGCGACCAGAAGTGGACGCCACGTCAATACAAGCATGTTGAGGGCGGACGTGAAGAGGAGAAGAAGGAGTTGGAGCGTGTCACAGCTGAGGAGCGCAAGGTCTGCGGCGAAGCGCTGCGCATGGGCCGCACAGGATGGAGCGAGAGTGTCATGGTCTGGATGCACGTCTTGACTCTGCGTGTCTTTGTCGAGGCTGTACTGCGCTACGGTCTGCCTCTAGACTACGTATCCATGCTCGTCAAGGTATGTTTCCGCCTCTCTGTCCACTCTACCAAGGACGTAAACAAGAGACAAATTACTAACAAACCTCATATAGACAAGTACCAAGGCTGTTGAAAAGGTCAAGACGACACTTGACACAAAATTCTCCTTCCTGGGCGGCAACGCCTTTGGTCGCGACAAGCGCGGACGAGTCACCAAGGATGATGCGGCCTTTAGCTCCGAGATGGCGGCTGCCGGGCTCTCAACGGGCGAGGGTAATGAGTACACAGCATACGTCTACTACACATTTGAGTTCCCGTAAACAGCCCTCTTCCTCCATCTATTTTTGTACCTACCTCTACACAACGCACCCTACGAGCGGCAGCGGACGAAACGACATAGACTTGAAGAAGGACCGGGGAGGCATTGAAATGATTATTCCTTTACGCTTTCCATTTGTTGTAGTAGTATCATTAAAAAATTCAACCTAGAAGAACCAACCATGACATGTAAACTTTTTTTCTAATTTCTCGTCATATCATTTACGCAGTCTTGATGTAGCCCTTGTCGTTGAGGTACTTGACAATCTGGACAACACACTCCTCGACCGAGTTCTCGTGCGTCTTGATAGTGATCTCCGGGTTCTCAGGAGCCTCGTAGGGCGCCGAGATGCCAGTAAACTCCTTGATCTCACCGGCTCTCGCCTTCTTGTAGAGACCCTTGGGGTCGCGCTGCTCAGCAACCTCGAGGGGCACATCGACGTAGACCTCGATGAAGGGCAGGGTCTGGTCCTCGCCCTGGGGGTTGGCGGCGTGCAGGGCACGGGCGGCGTCTCTGTCGGCGCGGTAGGGGGAGATAAAGGAGGTGATGGCAATGGTGGCCGAGTCGGCAAAGAGCTTGGCGACCTCGGCGATACGGCGGATGTTTTCGTTGCGGTCCGCCTCGGAAAAGCCAAGGTCCTTGTTGAGGCCGAAGCGCACGTTGTCGCCGTCCAGGCGGTACGCCGACAGGCCGAGGTGCAGGAGGTGCTGCTCGAGGGCCGTGGCGACGGTGGACTTGCCAGAGGCAGAGAGGCCGGTCAGCCAGAGCGTGAGGCCGGGCTGCTTGCGCAGGGTGGTGCGCTCGGCGCGGGAGAGGGATGGGTGCCAGGTGATGTTGCTGTGATTGGGTGTTAGTTGGGAAGTCTGAATTGGATTAGGAGGTGATACGTACGTGGCCATTGTGAAGAGGAGTTTGTGTGTTGTGGTGGTGGTGACGAGGATGAGGGATGGAGGGGTTGGAGGGGCAGAGGGAAGGTTATAGATAGCTACGCTGCTGCTCCAAGGACCTTAGTCAGAGGGAAAGTAGACAGTCTTCAGCTAGCCAACTAGAGAGAGCCTATATTACAATTTTTTTCCTGGTTTGTCTTTCCCCACTGAATTGCAATTGCTGGCGTCTTTGCGATTCGAGGGCCCGATGGCGACATTCCGACGGCCCCGGAATTCAGGCCCGCCCCGCCTTGGTTGTTGCATCATCCGCAGTCAGCGGACAGGCACCACGTTAGCGCTGGGGCTGGAGCGCCGATACTCGCTGTGAAAAAGACGCAACAGCAACGAAGTATATACACAGCGTAAAAGCAATTAAAAGAGACAAAATTCTATTCTAAAATAAAAACAATAAAAGACAAAGTCTATGCTACTCTGCGCAAATACAAAATACAAATATACACAGACGCCATAATGCGACGTCACAAGTCACCCACCACGCTTCTTTTTTTTTTTGCATGCCGCATAGCCGTCCTATGGCCGCCGACGGTCCGGAACGTGGTATCTCGGCATCACACTGCATGAGAAGAAATTCCCCAAAAATATACAGATACTCGGAACATGTATGTCTATTCGTGCGGTCCGTCAGGTATTGTTGGTCGAGCCGTAATAGCCGGTACTTGACACTTAGGCAATCCTGGGCATCATCTGTACAAACCAATGGTTAGCTTTAGCCGCCTTATGCGTGAACCGGTCGTAGACACTTACAGCAGCGTATTTCGGGGAGACAAACAGGCCCGTAGCCTCGGCCAGAATCACCGGCTTCTCGCCCTCCTTAGCCAGCAGCTCAATATGGCCCTTGACCCACGCCTTGCGGCCGTCCACCTTTGTTGTAGTCGCCTTGAGCACAAGGTAGCTGTTGGCTGGTGTTGGCTTGCGGTAGTCAATGTTCAAGTTGGCCGTCACGCCAATCTTGTGTGGTAGGGCAGGGAAGCAGCACCGCGCAAGGCCCTCGTCCAGCATCGTGGCCAGGAAGCCGCCGTGCACAATACCCGGGTGGCCACACAAGCTGTCACTGACATACGAGATGGCCACCAGCGATTCACCATCCTTCTGAGACCACACAAATGGTGGCACGGAAACCTTGCCGGGGCCGCTGAGGACGCCGCCGGTCAGGGTCTTCTCGCGGTACGATGTGGGCATCTTCATGTGCGGCCGCGACTCGACCATGTTGGGGTCGGCGCGTAGCTCGGCCACAATTGGCAGCGAGTTGATTGTTTCTTCGGCTCGGATCGATTCTTCTTCAGTTGGCTTGAAGCGTGTCAGGGACTCCTTGTCCGAGTAGAAGCCCATACCGGTGCTCGAGAGCAGCTGCCATGATCCGACGGCACCCAGCGAGGTAAAAGCCACGGCATATACGGAGAGCTTGGCGGCAGAGATGCTGGATTTCTTGGATGCTATCAAGAGAAATTGGTTAGAGGTGATTGCACCTGTAGTGCGTGAAAGGGAGCAAGCTTACCTTCACGGGCAGTGTCGGCGTAGGTGCGGCGCAGGGCAGGTTGTTGCTGAGCAGCGAAGCGGGCGCCAGCACGGACAATTCGCCGGCAAAACATGTTGGAGGATGCGCGGGGTGCGGTCGCAGGGAGAATTGGGCGGGAGCGGGCGTGGGTGGTGCGCTGTCGTGGTGGTGATGTGAAGATGGAGAGTTTTAAAAGTGTTACCCGAGGCTGACCGGCGGTTCCGTGGCCGGACCGGCGGCTGACGTGACAGCCGTGGAGACAAAGGGGCGGGTTAGGCGAAAACGAGGCAATGTCATTTTATTATGGTTTAAGAGGTTAGACTGATTTGAAGGAGAGGTTTAGGAGTGGTAAATATTTTATTTGTATTATTTTCGGTTCGGATTTGAAGTGTTGGTGTAGAAAGGGAAAAGACCGGGTGCTCCTAGGGTTAGGGTTGGATGCCGTGTAAGCGCTTGTATCTCCAACGTCGGAAAAGCGCCGGCAGTAGAGGAGCGGTGTACTTTGTGACAGGTACACCATCAAATAAAGTAAGACAAAATATGAATTATGTCGGTGAGGAAGACTTGTAGTCGACAATATGCAGATATCCGCGCTCGTAGAACCTTCGACGTCGCATCTGGTGAGGTTTGTATGTTGGACAACATCGGTTGCGATATTATCAACCCGTCGTCACGTGGGCTGATTGAAGGATATAAGAGGGATGAATCACCTCTAGTGGACTGCATCTGAATCATGAACATGGGTCATGGTGGGCCACCAGCTTGCAACTACTTCGTCGAAATTGAATGCCAAATCCAAGTCGAGTAGCGCGGAAGGTAGTCGAGGAATTGGCAAAACAGGGACTTATTCGACTACTACACAAACTTCTCACAAGAGTGGCTTGACTTTATGGACATGAACCTACGGATAACTGAATCGTGTCTCGATTGGCTTATAATCTTTCCAGGCAGTATCAGAACGCAGTTGAGCAGCTAACAAGCGTGTCCCACGACCGCCAGCACAACAAGACAAATGCCAAACCTCTGCCCCGTACAGACGGTAGAGAGACCTCTTTCTACATCTAAGAGAGCTATTCGTGTCTAGAATTATGAAATGGCTGTTGCCGGCCATCCCAAACTCCGCGAGGCGGATCCAGTCCACCGTGCAGCCAGCCTGGACCATGAAATCCATGGTGGCTTTGTCGTACGTGGCATGGAAACTGCTGTGGCCAGTCGCAATTAAGTGCTTGGTCTTTTTCAGTTTATTGAGGATTTTAAGCTTCCGAAAGAACTCCAAAATCGAAGCATTCGATTACAATTACTACAGGTCCCGTTAATGCCCGCGTTGTTATGACTTTTAGGAACGCCCATTTAAACGCGATAGGAATTTACAAGTGTCCTGGGACAAATATAACGATTATTAGTCGAGTCGAATATTTTCTTCAACTATAACTCAGTTGGACAGTCTAACTCAATGTTATTACTTACTGAATACAGGCATATTCGCACCTAAACATCTACCAGCTTTTAACGTTAATCTGAGAGACTGAGAATAAGCGACTTGTAACGGTCTCAACTGAGTATATTGACAACTAGCTGAGCGACTACTACGAGTATCCGAAGATGAAGAAGAAGAGATAGAAAAGGGGCTATTCCAGCTAGTTGGAATAGTCTTTTATATGACTTACATGGGTCCCTTGCCTAGATGGTGTCACGACTTGCTGGATCGCTCTATAGTCTATCGGTCACAACACTTATGACAGTTACAATGTCGAAATAGTTGCTACGCAACGTGTTCGCTTGCTAGCTGGCCAATAGAGAAGTTTCAACAACAAGTGTTTGCCAGCTGGCAAAGGTAAGCCGCCAGCTGGCAGAACCACAACAACATTGTATATAAATAGAGAAGTGAACTGTGGAAGGAGGAAAAGGATTTGTCCTCCTTCAAGTTTGTTGTCTTTTTTCTATCTCACATATAGAACAGTCAACAATAGCATTACGTTTGGCGAACTTTTCTCGTACTACCTAGACAGCTACGTGACAGATGGTCGAGGGCTACCCGAGACCTCCACGGGCCTAGCCCGTTACACGACGCTCTATATCAAACGATGTTTAGAGGCGATGATGGCTTTTATCCATAAGCTAACTTACGTAGTAAAAACTCATAGAAGCACCTAACAACTCGAATAGATGCAGACGACACTAAACGAGCGTTCAGAATGCACCGCTTCAAAAAGACGATGCTAGAGACTAATAGCTCTGACATCTTAAACCTGATCCATTCTTAGTTGGCCCATACTCATACCATGCTTTCCATTCTCGACGATTTGCGATACGACAAGATTGCAACTTCTGCGATGCGCCACGACAGCAACTTCCACACACAGCTGACTAGAGTCCGTGGTTACGAATTCAAAAAGACATAAATACTTGGATTATAGAACTCTCGCGTGGTAACTAAATAACAATTCTTCTCGTATCACCTCTTACAACTTTATTTAGGCTCACAGACTCCTTAATACTAATATAGCGAAACTGTTGGCTCAAGGATCAATAACACGTGTTATCAAAAGGTAAAAGGTTGTAGTAAAATTCGTTGTTTTCTTCAAGTTCCATGGTCGGAACTGCTCTAGTTAAATACACCGAATACATCCTGTATTCACTTCCTTTTCCTGTGTCTTCCACCTCTTTTTCCTTCCTTGGCCACTTCCAGTGACCTAATTATTCCTTCACTTCTCTGGTAAAGTAACACACGTCCAATGTCACAACAGTCACAACAGAAACAAACCTACATACCATTATATACTTCTTACTGACGATATAAAGCCTTCTAACCAAGATAGAGCTAAAAACTTCCAAGTCTTAATTGGATAAGAATTAACCAAGTCTAGCTTTGTAAAATTCTCTTCGTAGAATTATATTCTATATCAGGTTGTCAGAAACAAGACATAGCAGAACCCGATGCATTCTACTAACTGCCTTTCTCCACACGATCCGACTTCCTCAAGCATGACAAATAGCCAAGCTGAGTGGGCAGAATAGTCGCAGCACTATACAGATACGAGACGTCGTCTAGTAATTTCTTTAAACCCATAGTAACTCGGCGGTGAAAGCGATGGTGCAAGAATTACTGTCCGAGCATCTCTCCATGGCCTTGATATATTCATTGTAAAGGCCAACATGTACAATTACAGATAAACACACACTACAGATCTTTATATAAATGTAAACTTGACATTATATTCATTATGCACGCTATTTTTATGTTCCCCATGTACTTTACATATCGTCCTCCTCGTTGGCCAGCATCTCCGCGTAGTCGTCCACTGACGCAAACGTAGGCAGGCCCTTGAGCATCTTGCGGCGCGCCTTGGCCTTGCTGGACTTGTCTTCCTTTTCACCCTCCTCCTCGTCATCGACAAACGGAACCATTTCTTCATCGTCGTCATCGTCGTCTTCGAGATCTTCCATTTCGTCATCGGTGCCTTCAATGTCGACGCCGCCGTCAGAGTCGTCTTCGAGTGACAGAGCTGGCGAGGAGCCGTTGAGGGATGCCATCTCCTCGTCATCAAAGTCGTCAAAGCCTTCGTCGTCAGAATCGTCGCCTTCAATCTCGGGTTGTGTCGAGACAAGAGCCTTCCAGACCTCGTCTTCCTCGGCATCCGACTCAGCATCGTCCTTGGTAGCAGTCTCCTTCTTGGTGCGGACCTTGGGCTCCTTGGCCACAGTCGAGAAGTACTCGTGGAAGAAGACGTCTTCGGCAGCAACATCTTCGACCTTCTTGTTCCAGAAGGCGGCGTTGTTGACTTGCGTGGTCGTAGTGCCAGCACCACGGCTGCCCAGCCAGATGTCGCCGAGATCCTTGGCCGCACGGAGGGGTTGCATGATGGATGCACCCTTGGCTCCGTCAGTGGCCTTGGGGTTACGGTAGACAAACTTGTCGAGGAAGCGGATCAGGGAGTGGCTGTCCAGATCGGGCTTCTCAATCTTCTTACCCTTGTTGAGGAGAGCCTCAGCAAACACGCTTACTGAGGGGTGGAAGTGTGCTTGGTAGGGGATCATTTCCCAAAGACAGCTCTGCTGGGCATTGCTGTGCTCGGGGTTTCTCTTGCGGCCGTCGTATACAGGTCTGTTCTTCTTTTCCTCCTCGTCTTCGTCATCGTCAAAGATGGACTCCTCAGGCTCGTCAATCAGTGTTGACAGGTCAGGGAAGGACTGGCGAAGCTGTGTGATGACGTAGAGAAGACCACAGACAAACGCCGGTTGGTGGATACCGGCAATCTGAAGCATACGCTTGACGAAGGCTTTGACGCGACGAACGTCGACATCGTTCTTAAGCGAGCGGAGGAGAAGGTTGAGGTAGAGCGACTGTTTGGAAGAGGTGATGAGGCGGGGGTCGAGGAGGGATTCGTAGAGGGTGCGGTAGAAGCGATCCGTGGCAAGAGCACGGGCTGTGGAGAGACGTTCAATGAGAACGAGGGCCTGGACACTGGTGTTGAAGTTGGTCGAGTGAGCAATCTTAAACAGAGTATCCAAGTGAGTCTCTAGGACGGTATCGTTGGAGCCGACGAAGGGAGCGGCACGGTTGACACCAGTCAGGAGGGCAGAAACTAGCTTGTCTGCGGCCTCAGTTTCAGGAACCGTAGGGGCAGGTCGTCCAGTTGCTCCTCTTTGTCTTCTCTTCTTGCCAGTGGGCTTAGGTGCAGTCTCTTCGGCGGCAGGCTCGTCCTCAGCTGCTGCAGCGGGCTCTGCTTCAGTACCGAAAGCGATTCCTAGACTACCAGTCCTAAGAAGGGCAACAAATAGCTCAAAATAAATGGCAATGAGAGCCTCGGCAACAGCGGGCTCCTTACTGCTAAGAATGGTCTGGTTGAGGGTGTTGATGGCGTAGTACTTGGAGCGGGAGTCTTGTGAGGGGTGGAGCAGGACTTCTTTTTCAACAGTGCGGACAATGATAGGCTTCATGCCAGGGTGGGAGTTTTGGATCTGGAGCAAGAGATAGGATGTGCGGGAGGCAATCTTGCGATCGCGGTCGCCCAGTTTGTTGACAAGCAGGGTCAGCAAGTTGGCTTCCTGCTCGGGCTTAGCGCTCAACAGGGTGTAGACAAAGTTGACAGCACGCATACGCGAGTACTCAATCTCATCAGAGCACCACACTTCAAGAAGCTGGATGACCTTGAAGTATGCCGTCTTCAGCCAGTCCTCGAAAACCCATGAAATCAAGTGCTCCTGTGTAATCTTGCCAGGCAACGGCTGGCCGTGTGTCCAAACCTTGGTGCCGGTCTTTTGTAGAGTGCCCAGCAATCCGGGTTGGTTCTGGAATGTGCGGAGACGTCTTTCGCTGGGGAGCATGACACCACGGCCGAGCAAATCGACCAGGGCGTCAACAGCGCCAACAGCCTGGGCACGACTCTTCTTGGAGGCGAGACCCATGAGGGCATCGTAGGCACGAATGTTGTGGACTGGTGACTGCTGCACAGCCAAAGTCAAGGCGGAAACCTTATCGTTGAGGGTACCAGTAGACATAATGGTGGTCAAGAACTTGTTGGAGTCGGCGGCGAACATGCTGGTTCGGTAGCGGTTGGCGTCCTCCTCGAGGAGTGTTTGGCCATATTGCTTGAGAGCGTCGATAGGTCTCATAAATGGGGATAGGTCGTCGGTAATGGGCGAGGGAAGCTTGGCGAGCTTGTATTCGTGCCAGTCGGCGCGGGGTTCAAAGGTCTAGAAGTGGCTGTTAGCTGTCAGAGCCTGGTGTTGCTAGCTTCGGCACCTATGCATACCATGTTTCCCATCTTGCGACTCTCAGGGATTTTTTCATCCTCTCTGTCGTCTTCGGATTCGTCAGACTCGTCGTCATCGTCGTCCTCTTCCTCATCATCCTCCTGTTCGTCGGCCTCTGGCTCTTCTTCATCCGCTTCGGGCTGCACTTCAGCGAAGCCAAGCTCCTTTGACAGAGCGGCTAATTCTGCCTTGAGCTTCTTGTCAACAGGCTCACTAGCACCCTGGTCATATTCATCTTCAGAATCGTCAACGCCGCCAATCAGGTCCATGTCCTGCTCATCACCACCAAGAGCCTTAACTTCGGCCAGCAGCATCTCGTAGTCCTCCTTGCTGAGGGCCTTTCCAAGAGCGGCCTTTTGTTTCTTGCTGCTGCTCTGAGCAGATGAGTCCTCGGTCGGCGGGTTCTTGCGCTTGTTGTCCTTTGCAGCCAAGTTGTAATCGATTCTCGATGTGAGCTGGGCGAGGGTATCTTCACTGAGACTGTTGGCGGGCTGGGCCGGCTTCTTGCCCTTTCCTTTTGATTTGTTTTTCGACATTGTCGAGATCCAGCTGGTGACTCTGTCTGCTTTTTATTGAGATTTATTAATACTTTTCAATCTCAGCAAACAAATTCCTGCTGGGCGTGTTTGGAGATCTTTTTGGGGAAGAGAAGAGTCCTGCACTTTTTTTTTACAACTTTTTTAGAGGGTCCCGGCTCCACAGTCCATGCGCCCCACTTTTCCACTCGACGTTCAACAACCCGTCTCCTCGACATCGCGACTTTTGACCTTTTTTTATTTTATGTAGAGAAACGGCCAATCGCATCAAGAATTGTTTTTTTTTATTTCATAGTTTTCCATGTATTAATAGTCAGCATTTGCAACATTATAATTCCGCCATGATACCACGTCAGCACATGGCTGCAAGACTGCGGCCACTCGTCTTCATCACCCCTACACGATGCTTCTCTCACGCGAGCACCTGTTATGCAGCACAAGCACGTGCTTCACTTTCCAAATTCTGGGTACCGACAGGCGGAATATCAGAGACTGATCATGAATCAGGCCATGCAAAACTCATTCGTGCTGGATTTCTAAGGCAGACTCAGTCTGGTATCTTCCATCTGCTCCCGCTCGGTGTCAGAGTCCAGGACAAGATTGCCAAGATGATTGACAAGCACATGGAATATATCGGCGCCTCGCGGCTTGCCATGTCTTCATTAACGACAGAGGATCTTTGGAGAAAGAGTGGACGCTTTGAAAACATTGCATCCGAGCTCTTTCAGCTCCAAGATCGCAAGGAAATGAAGTTCATGCTCGGGCCAACACACGAAGAAGAGATTACAACACTGGTTGCAAGCACACTAAAGTCATACAAGGACCTTCCTATCCGTCTTTATCAAACGAGTATGTCCCATTTTTCGTCTTCTTGAAACGCCCACTAACAGCAGCAGCCCGCAAGTACAGAGATGAGGCACGTCCCCGACAAGGACTCTTGCGGTCCCGCGAATTCATTATGAAGGACATGTATTCGTTTGATACCACGTACGAAGGAGCCATAGAGGCATACAAAGATGTATCGTCCGCTTACCGAGCCATCTTTGCTGAACTCAAGGTTCCTATTCTGATTGCCGAAGCCAGTTCTGGAGACATGGGTGGCGATCACAGCCACGAATACCACCTCACAAACGACATTGGTGAGGATACCGTTGCCCACTGCAAGAGCTGTGGCTACACTGCCAACGATGAAGTGGCCGCTACCCGTGCTCTGACAGACACTATCAACCCCCCAACCTCTGCCGATGAATTCCTTGTCTGGCGTGGCATCACAAAAGATCGCAAGACGCTTATCAATGCTTGGTATCCGCTCAAGAACGGAGAGAACAAGGGCACGAACACACATGCACTCAAGGCAGCTGTCTCCGACCTCGACACCAGCATCACTGACCCAGTTTCAGCCTGGGCAGAGGCACTGGCATCCCACCCCGACGCCAAACTCGTCAATGTCCTCGATTACCGCCTCGCACTATCATTTGACACGTTTAAAGCTCAACTCCCTATCCTCCCCGCCAACATGACACACTCTACTCCTCCTACAACCTCAGTTACCGTCTCCAAGGATCAGCCTATTGATCTCCTTCCCATCACTGCTAACGACCCATGCCCGCGCTGCGCTGACGGCACCCTCAGCATCCACCGCGCCCTTGAGCTCGGTCACACATTTTACCTCGGAACGCGCTACTCTATTCCTCTAGAAGCATATACCACTCTCCCCGAAAACCCATCCGAGCCCGTTCCTCTACAAATGGGATGCTACGGTATCGGTGTATCGCGAATCCTAGCCGCCGTAGCTGAACACAAGGCCGATGACAAGGGTCTCAATTGGCCACGCTCCATCGCACCGTATGAGGTGATTATGATTCCTACTTCTACTACAACAGAAGAGATTGATCAATTACAAGACTCGCTATCGGAGACTGCAGATGTGGTGATTGATGACCGCAAAAAGGCCTTTGGCTGGAAGATGCAGGATGCCGATTTGACAGGCTACCCTGTTATAGTGGTTATTGGCAAGGCCTGGAAGACAAATAAGGAATGCGAAGTGCAGTGTCGAGCGCTGGGAATCAAAGAGAGCGTTGCGGCGGCAGCCTTGCCAGAGTTTGTTCGAAAACTGCTAGACCAATTGTAGAATATATCGACATGTAATATAGTGTATTGATCTTAGTCGCTTTCACAATGAGATGGTATTGATGGTGTGTAAAACAGGTCAAAATATAGGATGACTGATTAAATATAGTCAAATATGATACTCCCACAAAGGAATGGGTCCACCAAACTCCATCTAAGAGTCGCAGCTACCACCACACTTCCAAGATGATCGGCAATCAGACGTCTGAGTACAATTCACCCACTTCTTATCAAGAACTTCGCCCTGCGTACTATAGCACCAGCCAGTAATGTCAAAGTCCGTAACACAAGAGGTCCAGCAATAGCCCTTGTGGCAGCCAGCATCGCCTTCGCTAACCTGTTCAGTAGGGTTCTGGCTCTGTGTAGAAGTTGGTTGTATTCCGTTTGGACCATGTGTGTAACAGAATAGAACTCACATCTTAGAGTGGGTCTTCTTGATGCTCGCTTAGCTGTTCCTTGTTGAGTTTATGGAGCTCATCCTCTCGCAAGTCGGGGATAGTCTTTTCCTGTGCGTAGGTGGTAGCTACGAGGGTGTAGAAGAAAGTCAAAGCAAGACCGGACCGCATAGATGTTAGTTTGCTGAAATTTTATGAAGATTTACTAGTTTCTAGGACCAAACTGCATATATTTCTACGGGTAGGCTGTATTTATACTTGTCGGGAAATCGTGCAGCAGCTCTACAGCAAGACTGCAGTGGAATGAAACACAACTCCATAGAAGCATCCAACAACAGTAACTGAGGCACCTGATGAGATATGGATACATTTAGCGTGGTCTATCTTCTTTGTTAGCTCCAGTATAGTCCAATGGTATGAATTTGAAGGACCGTGTGGGCATTTTCCGAGAGAAGTAGACCCCATCACGTAGGATGTAGCAAGAGACCCAATTGCTCTGAAAGAGGAATGGTGTGTCGCGCAGTAGTTCTCAGTTTTTCTTATATCGCTACCTTCGCCAAAATAGGGCATTGTCTCACTCTTCGGCTCGGTTGAAATGGGTCTATGATTGGTGGGTTGGCGCCGGTAGCCATTCCCCATGAGATCTTCTAGCAGTTCCTAAAGTGGACGCTAGGAATGTTGGCCAATGTTCTTCGCACAGGAGTGACGAGTTATATTCAATAGTCGCTGAGATGCCAAAAGCGCACTTAAAGGTGAAGGTTCATTCCATAATTATATCTGGTAACAGGAAAGGTACGGCTGTCGAAATGACCTGTCACTGGGGTTGCTGTATTGTGGGAATCTGTCGTCGGAGAGATCTAAAGGTCATGTCGAACTATCCAGGGTATTTACAATCACAATATGAATCGGTGTGATGACTTATAGGTAGAACGCCTCATTTGTAATAATAATATGAATTCACGGACAATGGCCGAGCGACACGGCTCTTGGAGGCCGCGTGGCGCGGATGCGGCGGGGCGCCTCACGCCATCCTCCAACTGTATTGTCACTGACTCTTAACCCCGACAAACAACACCACGCGACCATCCTACCGTCATCTATCAGCGCTCTATAAATATCAGTAAAAATGGTGCAAACGAGCATCCTTCTTTTCCTCGCCTCTCCGCTCGTTAGTGCGGCCCATGGCAGCAGAGGCAGCTCTGCCCAGGCTCCTCTCGTAGCGCCTGATGGTCAGCATCACCATGTTGATCCAGCGATTCTCAGCGCGCTCAAGCATTTCTCCGACCCCGTCGATGCGCTTACCTTCCTGAACCCTGAAATGGCAGAGAAACTCGCTGAGCCGCGTCTGCTCCGAATTGCAGGCGAGAGAGAACCGCGCATGCTCACCGAGGGCGACAAGATGCGTCTACGCCGTAACCACACCAAGTTTGCAGACATTACCGACTTCCAAGATCTGTATCAAGACAATGTCTCTGCTATGTCTGGAAAGGCCCATCTGCCCAACTTTACCCACCAGAGCCTCATAAAGCCGCTGTTCCCGCAAATCTCAACGACTGAGATGCACGACTCTCTCAAGACGCTCTCGTCCTTCTACACACGCTACTCGCACAGCACCACTGGCGAGCAGAGCGCCGTATGGCTGCACGACCAAATCGCAGAGATCATTAAAAATGCGCCTTTCCATACACGCATTTCTCTCAGCTACTTTACGCATGACTTTGCGCAGCCATCCATCATCGCCCGCTTCGAGACAAAGGTGGCAGATGCCTCTCTCCCACTTACCATCCTGGGTGCGCACCAGGACTCAATGAATTACCTGTTCCCGCTGCTCCCAGCTCCAGGTGCTGATGATGATGGTTCTGGAACCATTACTATCCTCGAGGCGTTCAAGGTTCTCGCCAACAGTGGATATATTCCCGAGCGCGGACCGGTCGAGTTCCACTGGTACGCTGCTGAGGAGGATGGTCTACTTGGAAGCCAGGCCGTCGCCAAGTTTAAAAAGGAAACGAACTCGACAATTGGTGCCATGATGGAGTTTGTAAGTTGTTGTAATCTACTATGCGCAGGGGGTAATGGCTAACCGTGGACAGGATATGACGGCGTTTGTGGCCCGCAACGCAACAGAGGAGATTGGATTCATTGAATCGGAAGCTGACCCTGCGTTAACCAAGTGGGCGGCCAATTTAGCGAAAGAGTACTCGACCATTCCCGCCAACATCCACGTGCTGCCTCCGTAGGTTTTTCCTATCCAGTCCTGCGAAGCCTCGTCGACTAACTGAAGTAGTGGTGCCGGCTCCGACTACATGTCCTTTTCAAAGGCAGGTTTTCCTAGTACATTTGCGAGCGAAGGGAACCCGTCATCTGGTAACGGCAAATATACCGGAGACTACGATCCGTACGTCCATTCCACCCGCGACACAATGTACATTGACGACGAAACGGGTGTATTTTCTGTCGAAGTAAGCTATCCCATTCTATTCCTTTTTGTATCATAAAATGTACTCACCAAAATACAGCACATGGCTCGCTTTGCTGAGCTTGCTATTGCCTTTGTCGTGGAACAGGCCGGCTGGAACAACGTCTGGAGGTAGACAGCGAATATATATCCACCGCAACAGCTTGCCGTAGATAAATTTATTATGTATACAATTTTAATGTAAATTTAAAATAAATATCTACGTAAAGACTCTACCCCATTGCACATAAACACCCTCCAGTCCCATGGTGTACGCCCAGCAATCTGTGGGTCACCACCAAAAAAGTATTCGCTGCCCCTCCACAGCTTGCTGCTACTGCCCCTCCGACCCCCATACCGCATCCCAGCCGCCAGCATCACCACCGCCCTCTCGTCAAATCTCCCAACACATATACCACAGCAATGTCAGCCCCGAAAGAAACATGTCCGTACACTACTACCAATCGCCACCATCTGTCTCTGCGAAACTAACCCGCTCCTTTGTCCGCCAGTAAACCTCGACACCCTCGAGCCGCAACAGCTCGCCCAAGTAAAGAAGCAGCTCGATGAGGAAATCGAACACCTTACGCAGTCCTTTTCGCAGCTCCACGGTGCGCAAAATAAGTTCAAAGAATGCTTGCGCTGCGTAAAAGCTAGATCCGACGCCTCACCCGGTACGAAACGAGCCGCCCCTTGACCGTTCTCTTCGCGACGGAGTTTGCAAAGCTAACAGACGACGTATTCACAGATGCCAATTCCGTCCTTGTCCCTCTTACAAATTCTCTCTACGTCCGCGGCGAACTTACAAGCAAAGACAGCGTACTGGTCGACGTCGGCACCGGCTTCATGATTGAAAAGGTGCGGGAGCGAAAATGCCAAACTTGCGACCAAGCGAATACTAAATACCTTTATAGAAATTACCGGCCGCTACTCAATTCTACGAAGACAAAGTCAAGGAGCTTAGCAACAGCTTAAAGGAGCTCGAAGCCATTGTTTCTCAAAAGCAAATGAATTTGAGAACGATCGAGGAGGGTAAAGCTACGTCGCAACCTATCTGACAAGACCAACGTACTGACTGGCTCGATCTAGTTTTACGACACAAGATGATGCAGGCGCAGGCACAAGCGCAGGCACAGCAGGGGGAACAAGCGGAAGAATAATGCATAACTTCAATACCAAAAGCTATTTTGTTTATACTGCTGCGTCTAACTGGCACTGTTCTCTGTACACTGATTAACAAAGCAAGACAGTTTCTTCTGTACACGAACCACGCAGCCCACAAACTCAAACAATCGACTATGTAGGGTCCCAGATCCAGGCCAAACCTCCTTCAGGTCGTTATCAAACTTTCGGCAGCTCTGACCAGGAGGGATATGATTCAGCGCCTCCTCCCAGTGACCAGCATAGACTCTAACGTTCATCCAAATTCCTTTTGGAGGTTGAGATAGCAACACTCCGTTCCAAATGCGAGTAAGCTGTATCTCCAGCATAAACCGAGTCCCTGCAATTGGAATCACACAACTCGTTATCATCTCAACTTCATTCACAGTCTTGAGAGTCTGTAGAGCAGGCTTGGAGATAGCAATGCAAACTGGAAGGCAGCCAAAAATGGTGTGTGGTCCACCATCATGATCTGATGTCCACTGCAAGCTGCGCAAAAGCGACTCAACTTCTCGAGGTCCGGGGTCGTGGCTTCGCTGGGAGGACAGCTGCAGCGCCCAGTCAATAGATCTGTGAATCATCAGTGCCTGTCTCACACTCACCTTTCAAATACCTACAACTCTGGAGCAACAAATTTCCAATCGAAGTGACAGGTCTCATCGACAGACACCCATCGCCCGGTGGAAAAACAGAGAGCGCCATCTGCAACAGTATATGCAGAGGCGGTCAACGATACATCGTGGAGTCGGTATGATACTTGATGAGACCAAGTAACAGCATCTAGGTTATCGCAAATAGTAGTAGCTGGGTCGGTGACGAATCTAACCAACGCAGATGGCGTACAAATTTCCTCGTCACTAAATATGTCAGTATCCTGCTCCCGAATAGAAATGCATAATCTTACATTGGCGAAATATGGTCCGCAAATGTCAACATATCATGTTTCATAGCTAACTTGATCGTCTCAAATACTAGCTCCGATTGTATTTGGAAACTCTTCCCTTTGAGAAGCATAGTACCATAGCTAGTAGAAAGGGCCACTTGGCCATTCAAGGTTTCAATGCTAGCAAAGGATGGGCCAAGCTTATCCTGTATCTTTTGTATATTTTGGGTGATACAGTATCGATCACTTACGAAGTTTGTAGCCGCTTCTAGCAAATGTAGTCGTTGCCCAACAATAATTCGAATAGGAATGGCGGCGCTGTCGAGCACTTGCTCTTGAAGCCAGTGGCACCGGGCCGTTCCCTCCGATTTAGCCATGCGAGTGGTTGATAGAATAGTGTTGATAGATTTCACACCATTCTGTAATGCAATAGTTGTCCTAGAACTGAGAAGCAATATGCCATTGTTCTGCACCTCCACCCAAACGCATTGCTGTCGGCGAACACTGTCAAAGACATGTTGAATGTCTTTGTAGTTCGGATCATTCGCCGGAAGAATGATGTAAGCCTACGACTCAATTAGCATGCTTGCAAGTAATGCATATAATGACCTACCTGAATAAGATCAACAGTGGTTGGAGGGCTGCCGAGAAACTCATTGCTCATCTGTGACTCATCATGTTGACGCGAGGAATCCGCCTGAGCTCGTAGGGTTCCCATTTTTGGGATCTTGACAAAGCCCCCTCGTTTGCTCTCATTGATCCCTATCATTCTGGCATTCGCCCTTGGCGATGGCCTACCTCTTGAGGGAAACGTCGTCTGCCCAAAACGGCTAGGGCTCGACCCCGGAGAAGGAGCATGGCCTCGAGTTGGCCGCCTACCTCGATATGTAGGAGCCCGTCCCCTGCCACGGGGACCTCGAGGTAAGTTTTCGGGCCTCATTATGCTTTCTTTGTAAGACTGGCTTGTAACAACTTCGGGGTTAAAAAGAACCAACAAGCGGGCACCCAGACATGTTGCTCTGTGTTGTTGGCCAGACAGCTGTTCGTTGCTCTGTTGCCACCAGCGACTGCCAGCTGGCAACCGACACAGGAAGGAACGTTCGACACCATCTCCTGCAGATTGTATGTTTCATTTCATTCATCGGTAGCATTGAGGTAAAAGTGAATTGGCTACTGGTCGTTGGCTTAAACCCACTTACACCAATCTGTTACGCCACGACAGAACAGATAGTGGAAAATAGAAGCTCAATAAATAAAATAAACTTAAGTAAACAAATAAAAATAAACAAACAAACAGTCACAAAACATATCTATTGACGTGCCTGCCCAAAAAAGAAAAAATGTGCCAGAGGCAAAAAGAAGAACCTCCATCGCGGGGAATCGAACCCCGACCTTTACGGGCCCTCACACAGAAGATGAAAGCGTAAAATCCTAGCCGTTAGACCACGATGGATGATGGATATACAAGGGGCCAGCTTATTTTAGTTTATACATGTTACTGAATCCACTTGCCCACTTTACATAGGCTATGTCCTATTAAAATCTTTACGATTCAATTAAAACAAATCAACTGTATTCATTCGCTTGGATAAATTATAATTTCTTTAAACTTAGTCCAAACTACCTCCTTTTACATCCCTTGCCGTCACATATTGGCTCGTTGCACCATGCAACGCCCTGGTCCCACCGACGCGTCCCCCAGAGCGCTCACGCGTAAAGTGGCTAAGACCAAGCGCGGCAGGAGCACAACGACCATTTGCTGTAGCAAGCCAACGACATCCCAACGACAGTCGGTCCTCACAACGCAGCAATGACTGCATCATACAGTAACTCGACAGCGGATGCGAATCGCGATGTTACCTGGGAATGGATTTACAGCAGCGGGGCGTCACCGCGCGACTCGGACGACTCTGACGACGGCGAAGGCGGCCGCAAACGCCGTAAGGTCGATACCACAAGCATCATTGGCGCCAGACTCGGCTCCTTTGAGTGTAAGATTGGTGACTGTGTACTCCTCAAGGCAGACGGGTCGAATGATTCTTGGGTTGCTATGATTTGCGAGTTTGTGGAGGATGACGACGAAAGCAACGGCGAGATGGCTGCCAATTTCATGTGGTTTTCTAGCGAAAAGGAGATTCGAAGTAAAGAGAAGAAGCGCAATGACTTTTACTGGGTACGCAATTTCCACTATTTTGACCTTGGCCAACAGCTAACCAGCGTAGAACGAGCTCTACCTCTCCCCGTCATGGGACATTAACCCGTTGGCGTCCATTAACGGCAAGGCCAGAGTCATGTCGCTGGACCGGTTCCTAGTCCGCCACCCTTCTGGCAAAATATCGAAAAACGCGCCTGAATTCGGTAAAAGTTTCGTCTGTCGCCGCGGCTGTAACACAAGAACAGCAACCTATTCGAACGAATTTGTTTGGGAAGAGGTATACAACAACGGCGAGGACATCTTCGCACTGATGGACTTTATCGAGCAAGGAACGAAACCAGCAGCCCGAACAACAACACGCTCTACGCGAGCATCATCCCCAGCACCAAAAGATACAGCTTACGTCCCACCTGTCACACCCACCAAAGCGGCGCGAACATCTGCCATCACACCACGCAGCAAAGTCCCACGTTCAGCCTCGAAGCGACTCGAGTTCACACCGCTCGCAACCCGCAAACTTGACGACAGCAACGTTAATGCGTCACCCTTTCAAATTGCCCGATCACGCCTACATGTATCGTCTGTGCCGTTGAGTCTGCCGTGCCGCGAGGGCGAGTTCTCGCTCGTCTACTCGCATCTCGAGGCCGCCATCTCTGATGGCACAGGAAACTGTATCTACATCTCAGGAACACCGGGAACCGGTAAGACAGCCACAGTTCGCGAGGTCGTGTCCCGTCTGGAAGACGCTGTAGGCCAAGATGAGCTTGACGACTTCATTTTTGTCGAAATCAACGGCATGAAGATTACGGATCCGCACCAGTCTTACAGTCTTCTCTGGGAGGCCCTGAAAGGCGAGCGTGCCAGTCCGTCACAAGCTCTTGAGAATCTTGAGAGCGAGTTCAAGAACCCAAGTCCGCGCCGTACACCATGTGTCGTGCTCATGGACGAGCTCGACCAGCTGGTGACCAAGAACCAGACTGTCATGTACAACTTCTTCAACTGGCCGACGCTTCGACATTCACGTCTCATTGTCTTGGCTGTGGCCAACACCATGGATCTTCCCGAACGTACGCTTAGCAACAAGATTAGCTCCCGTCTGGGTCTCACTCGTATTACTTTTCCGGGATACACGCACGAGCAGCTCATGCAGATTATTCAGTCCCGTCTAGAGGGTGTCCCTGGCAACATTGTAGACCCGGATGCCATACAGTTTGCATCGCGAAAAGTCGCAGCGGTTAGTGGTGATGCCCGACGTGCCCTCGACATCTGTCGGCGAGCCGTGGAGCTCGCAGAGGCAGACGCCCCGGGTGACTTCGCATCTCCTACCAAGGGAGCATCAGGGAAGGGCCGCGTGACGATTTCCACCATCAAGCGTGCAATCAATGAGGCCACGACAAATCCTATTCAGCAGCACCTGCGCAACCTCCCTCTCACATCCAAGCTCCTCATGGCTGCACTGCTCGTACGTGTCCGCCGCAGCGGTCTTGTTGAGACCACCTTTGGCGAGACAATGGACGAGCTTCAGCGTGTCTCGGCATACGTATCCCGCGCGCCGAGAGGCATGGCGCAAGTCCTCGACAATGGAACCAACAGTGCGACAGGTGGGGGTGGAAGCCATCAGAGGCACTTTACACGGCCGAGCTACATCCACACAGCCGCCATGGAGCTCGTTGCTGCCGGCCTTATCAATCTCGAATCACATCGTGCTGACCGCTCAAGTAAACTGCGTCTCGCAGTCGCTGATGACGAAGTCAAGATGGCGTTGCGAGACGATGCCGATCTGAAAGCCATGGGAGTAGGCGTTTAAATGGGGGATACAAAAGTCACGGTCCAACTCAATATCACGAATTAGGAATATCATATCATTTTAGCAAGCAAAAGCAACTGTAATAATACCAAGCCCATTTTGTACAAAAACTTCATGACCAAGACAGATAAGCAACAGGATATATTCTATACATGCCAGCCCATTTTTGTTTAAAACTTGCGCCTTAACAGCGACGGCGTCCACTGTAGAGGATGCGTCTCTTCGGATGCGTTTTCATCCTGCTTCCAGATTTTAACTACATGACTGTTAGCATCAATCACTTACTCATGATCCACAGGCAAACTTACTAGTCTTGTCAGCTTCGCCGCAAATGAGACGCAGACCAGATCGATCAAACGTCGAGCTCATGATACCCGCCTCGGCATCCAGCGAGCCCGGCTGCGCCGTCGTGTCCAGCGCTTGGAATCGATGGCCGGTCTTCCAGTCCCAGAAGCTCATCGAGCCGTTATCGCCACCAGAGAAGAGCACATTGTTCTGATTCACACTCAATGTGTTGATGATGGCGTTCTGTCCCTCAAAGTTCTGCATAAACGCGCCTTCGGGGCACTTCCACTGCTTAATGCTGCCAGTGCTGCCACTGGCGAATGTAAACTCGGTAGGGTGGACAGTGAGCGCACGTACGCCCTTCTTGTGATGCGTGAGGACGCCCATGGTCTTGCCTGCCGCTAGATCCCACAGTCGCACCGTCGAGTCTAGCGAGCCCGTGATGACCTGCGGATCGGCCTCCTGGCACTGCACGTCCGTCACTGTCTGTGTGTGGCCAGACAAGACGTGGATGTTGCTTCGTGTTCGCATGTCCCAGACACGCGCTACACCGTCTCTACCACCCGTCACAAGCACATCCAGCGTAGGATGAAGCGCCAATGTGTACACACCGCTCAGGTGGCCGTGGTAGTGGCGAATCACCTTGTTTGTCTCGAGATCCCAACACTTGACCATCTTATCCTCGCCGCACGAGAACAGATACGGGTGGCGAGGGGATACAGCCAGTCCACGAACTGTGCTGATGTGACCAGTCAGCGTGAGTCGCAGTGAACCCGTTGCCAGATCCCAGATTTTAATTGTGCGGTCGCCTGCGCCCGACGCAAACCACTTGTTGCCCGGCTCAACGGCCAGCGCGCGCACCCAACCCAGGTGGCCCGAGATGACGCGCATCAGCTTCCATGGCGGGTGCCACTCGGGCTTGGGCTGTGATATCGTGTTTGTTCGAGTGGCGAGGCTTGTCTGCGGTGACGCAGTGCCGTTGGACGTCTTGGATCCAGGGCCTGCTTCGAGCAGCTTAGGGCCGCGGGTCTGGGGCGCACCAGGCTTTGGTCGCTTGGCTACAGCCTTGCTGCTAGGCTGTTTGGCAGCGAGAGAAGGAGGGAGGATATCGAGGCCAGCGTATTCGGTTCGCATGCGGCGCTTGAGGAGAGGGTCGTCGTGGGAGTCGTCAGTGGCGCGCTTGCCATTGGGGAGGATGGAGGAGGAGGAGGATGCGGCGTATAATTGTCGGGATGCTGTCGAATTCTGTGCGACTAGCTTGCTTAATTGCAGCGCGTCCTGCGGCACCTGCGGCGTTTCCATTGTCGCGAGATGTGGTTTTTGGCAGTGAGTCGTGGTTTGGAGATGATGAAAAGTTGCGAGGCGGCGTTGCACGCTAAAAAGTTTAGGCGCCACCCGCCCACGCACTGCTGCCAGCTGGTAGCTGCTGCGCGCGGCCAACCTTAAATGACTGACTACCCGGCAGCGGCGCAAAAGCATCACCAACAGACATAAATTCGCCAGGAAAATAAATAGTTATTTCGGAGAAGCTTGAATAATGGATAAAGAGAGTGACAAGTTCCCTCTGCACACTGCAGCCCGCGAAGGCAAAGGTACGTCCATGTCAACTCCTCACTGAGCTTTATTAACAGTCCGCAGCATCCATCGCCGAAGCCCTCATCAAGGTAAACCAGTCTTATTAATCCATAAAGCGAGTATCAAAAGACTAACAGACTCGTAGATGGACCCTAAACTCTCCAAAACTAAAGACGACGATGGTCGCTACGCCATCCACTGGGCTACATCCGCTAACAACCTCGACATTGTCAACCTGCTCGCCAACCAGTCCAGCTTCGACCCCGATGTCCAAGTATACCCTCTCTGTTCCCATTGCCGCTAAACAATACTAACAGTCCTAGGATGGAAGCGGCTGGACACCGGTCATGATTGCTGCAAGCGTGCCCAACAGCGACGAAGTCCTCGCCACGCTTCTCAAAGCCGGCGCAGATGTGAATGAAAAGAGTGCGTATTGTCTTTCCCTCCCTTCCTTGTATCAACTTTGCTAACACAGCTTAGATAACAGCGGCCAGGTACACCCACCATCCATAGTTCTCACTGTATAGCTTAAACTAACACAACATAGACTGCCCTCCACTTTGTAGCTTCCAAGCAGTACCTCGACGTCGCCACTGCCCTTATAGCAGCCAAAGCATCCACACGCGTGCGCGACAAGCGCGGCCAGTATCCCATCCACCGCGCTGCGGCAGTTGGGTCTGTGCCCATGGTGAAGCTACTTCTTAAGAACATGAGTCCGCTCAACGCGGCCGACAATGAAGGCTGGACGCCGCTCCACCACGCTGTTGCTGAAGGCCACGGTACGTTCTACGACTTCATGCGCTACTATTACGACATACCTAACAAGAAACCAGGTGATACGGCAGTGGCGCTGCTTAAAGAAGGCGCTGATTTCACTTTGAAAACGGCCGCGGAAGAGACGGCGTTTGATCTTGCGCCAGGCAAAGAGGTCATTAGATTCATTGAACAGGGCGCAGAGAGAGAAGGACTCGATCTGACCACATCGTGATGGATGCCATAAAGGCAAGGAAAAATAAATTATAAAATACATGAATATATAAAGCCCAGCCTGCTATGGTATTTATTTGACAGTGCGCTCCACCAGCTCGCGATACATGGCCTTGACGTCCTGAACATCGGCGCGCAGCTCTTCTACCAGCTCGCTCTTCTCGCCCAGCATCTCCAGCGTGGTTTGGTACCGCTGGTCAAGATCCTTTAATTGTCCTTCCAGCTCCGGTACCCGGTTGCTCGCCACTCTAGCTTCCTCAAGATCCTTCATCAGACCAACGAGATCGGAGCGAGCTTCGTCGCGCTGGCTGCATACTCTCGCCATTTCCTCCCGAGAGGCAACCTTTTCAGCCTCGAGGCGGCGGATTGCGGAACTCATACGCTCTACGAGCTGTACGCTGGGTCCGGCAGCAACCGTCGACATGGAAATCATGTCCTGTGCTGCTTGTGTTGGTGACGCTGGCCTCACAATCTCGTCCTCCTCGATAGGTGGTGGTGACATCAACTCTGTTGACGATTCAAACGGCGAGAAAGGCGCTGGTGCGGTCCCAGTGGGCGAAAAGGGGATCGAGTTGAGTCGTGAAGGCGCGGCCGACGGTCGACGAGATGCAAAATCAGAGCCGTCGCCGTGGCTGGCGGCGCCTCCACGACGACCAGATAATGGCAGACCCATAAAGTCAGAGCTTAGGGTGCGCTGGACCGATAGTAGGGGTGAATCGGGCCTGCTGTTGGGCTTGTTGGCCGCGACATCCTCAATCCATTTACGCTGGTCAGCGCTATCCGTAAATTCGCGACTGGCCTTTCTGCTAATGTTGGCGCTGGCACTGGCAGTTCGCTTCTCCTTCTCCAGGTCTGCGCGCACCTGCTCCAAAGACTCCTCAGCGGCCTTGGCAGCGATTCGTAGCGATGCAACTTCGTCGTTTAGTCGCGAGAGATCCTGCTCTGACTTGGCCAGTGTTGGGCGGATATCCTCGAGCTCTTCCTCCATGGTTCTGGCACGCGTCGTGGCCTCTCTAGCCTTCTTGCGCATCTCAGATTCGCGTCTCTGCGCCTCGTCGCGCTCGGCTTCGAGGCTGGCCGTCTTTGCGAGTAGAGACGCTTCAATTCCTTGCCAGTTGTTACTTGCTGAGGCGTATTGCGACTGTAGCGTCTCAATCTGACGCAGGAGCTTGACCTGTGCCTCACCACCAGAGCCAGAAGATACTTCCTCAGCCTGTGTGCGCATAGTCTCCAGCTTAGCATCCATGCCAAGGAGTTCTACACGTAGTTCTGCCTCGACTTTGTTGCCTCGTTCGACTGCCCGCTCGACCTTTTCTTTCCACTCAATACCCTCTTGGCGAAGTTTTTCTGTGAGTATCTCATTGTCGCTCTTGAGAGCCGCCGAATTTTCCTCTTCCGTCTTGAGTTTGCTCTTTTCTGAAGCGAGCTGCTTGGCAAGAAGGTCTGCCTTGTCAGCCTGTTCTGTCTTGGTCTTCAGATCTCTCTCAAGCTTGCGGGTAGCTTCCTCTCTGGTTGCCTTTTCCTTTTTAAGCGCAGCAATCTCCTTTTGAAAACCCTCAGTAGCCTTTTTGGCTTCTGCTTGAGCCCTTTCCTGCGCAGCGTTACCGCTAGCTTGGCTGCGCAACAACTCGGCATCAGCAAGAGCTTTGCTATGTGTCTTTTGTAGTTCCTCGGCTTGCTTTTCGTTTTCGGCAACTTGAAGTCGAAGTTTCTTAATGATGGCGCGATACTTGGCCTCACCACCAGCCAACTTCTGTCCTTCTTCCATGAGCAAAGCAATCTTCTCGTCCTTTTCAGCTAGCTTGCGGTCCGCACTACCAGAGGGTAGCGAAGCTGCCGTCTTCTTCGCCGATTCCGCTGCTGTTTTCGAAAGATAGAGAAGCTTGGCCTCGAGGGAGTCTATTCGTTCAATGTATTCTGCGACATCTTGGTTGGTGGGTTGTGGCTCAGTTGGTGCTCCGTTGGGCGTAACTTGTGTGTTTGCGCTTGTCTCATTCGATGCAGGTGTAGAATTCTGTGCTTCCTCATGCTTCGTTGTAGCAGCAGTGTTCTCGTCAGGGACTACTGGCGTCTCCGTCGTGCTTGTCGTCTCTTGTGTGTCGGCCGTGGCACTTTCAACGTTCTCTGTCGGTTTGACTTGGTCGGCGCTACTTTCTATCTGTATCTCTCCACTCGTCTTTTTATCAGTATTATCTTGTTTCTCATCACTCTTTCCGTCGTTCGCAGTCTCGTCGTTTTTTACACTCTCGACATCCATCGACCGCTTCATGTCCCCTGAACTTCGAGGCGAATCCCCCGCCTTACCCGCAACAGCTTTAGCAAGCCTTGCTTGTAATCTATCATTCGTACTCGATCTTGTAGCGCTCGATGACCTAGAGTCTACTCCTGTCACTAGTCAGACATAACTCTTCTCTCACAGCCTCTCGCTGTATTGCACGTACCTGTCTTCAACGCTGCTGTCTGTGGCGCTGTCTTCGCAGCCGGCTTAACTGCAGGTCGCCCAGGTTCATCACCTAACATATTGTCCAATCTCGACTCGACGCCCGCCACGGCCTGCGAGAGGAAGGATCCCCATCCCGGCTTCTGCGCCATGACGATGAGCGTCGCGTCAGCGCTGCTTGTCCTCGCTGCTTGCTTGGCTATTCCAGTAGTGTTGTTTTCTATTCAGCGGAAAGTTACACCAGTCGTAGTGTCGTCTCTACACCGCCGTACCGGAGGGAGTGGTGTTGGTGTTGCGAAAGTCCAAGCTGTAAAGCCTCGTGGAGCTTGCGTGCGTTCGGATACGAGCTTGCTTGGCAGTAGCTTGGGCTGAGGCAGCGCCCCAGCAAAAAACCTTATCTAATCGCAACGGCCCCAATCAGGCTGAACCAGCAAAACGACCGCGTAAATACAAGAAGTTTGACGAGACGACGACACAATGGCGAGAGAACAACGGCGCGGGGTTGAAGAGAATAGCCTGACCCATGTTTTGGGTGCCGTTGAAGCGCGAGTGTTGCGGACGCGTGCGACAAACTGAGACATCACTTAAAGCTTGCGCTACCACTACTACGACCATTACAGCGACATTTGGATAAAACAAACTATGACACAAGCGGCAACAAACGTATTAAATGAAGAAAAAAAGAGTATCTGTTCAAATTCATAAATCAATCTACGCTATTCATAATCCCGTAATTAAAAACCAATTCATCCAAGCAGCACGTAACAGAGATACATAAACGAGGAATATAAACACAGGGTATATATCATCTCCGTGTCCTCCGTGGCAGCTATCCCAAATAAAAGTAAGAATAATCCAAAAAATAAATATACCAAAGCAACATATTATGTGATGCAATACCAGAGCGCCAGGCCCAGGAAATGGAAAATCGGACCAAAACTCCGTAAATATAACAACTGTTGCTTGATGCGGCAGCTTAGCCGGCAAACTTGCGCCACCACGACGTTCGCGGTTGCACCGGCTCAATCAGTGCCGAGTTTCGTCTGCTCATGATGTGATCACTGCCCTCACTGGCTGGCGCAGACGGTGCTGTTGCTGCTGCTGCTGCTTTGCGCTCTTCGCGTCTTCGTCTGCGGCGCGCATCATCCTCGTCACCATCTCTCTTGGACCTGCGAGCCTTGCGGCGCTCATCCTCTGTTGCAGTAGCACCATCATAGGGTGGTGGGGGAGCGTCAGAGTGTTCCTTGACCCAGGAGCTTGTGCCTGAATGTGGCCATGCTGAGCTGCCTTTGCGGCTGTCTCGGCGGCGGTCCTTGTGCGGGTAGACCTGTTCCTCATCACTCCGGCGGCTGCTCTTGCGGCGCTGACCGTCAACCTCGTCTAGAGCACGCGATGCCCGGCGCTCACGGCGGCGGCGGCGATCCTCGTCTTCCGAGGCGTCGACTTGGCGAGAACGACGACGTTCCTTGCGAGCTTCGCGGTCGGCGTCATCATTCTCTTTCTCGGCAGCAATGGCGGCGGCCTCCTTCTCTTTGCGCATGCGTCGTCGCTCAGCGCGGCGAGCTTCACGGTCGTCAACCTCACGACGCTCGTCTTCTTGTTGGCGTGCCGCACGCCTTGCGGCGCGTCTGGCCTCTTTGTCTTCAGCTCGGCGAGCATCAGCGTCTTCTTCACGGCGACGGCGGCGCTCTTGGCGAGCTTCTTCTTTGGATCGGTGAGAACCATTGCTGCCCTTTTCGGCCGCTCCATCGCGTTCAGCACGGCGCGCCTTGCGGCGGGCATCGCGGTCCGTCTCCATGGCGGAGTCTGGATCTTCAACTGCCTCGGATTTCTTGGAGAGCAGACCGCCAAACAAGCCAGAGAAGCCGGACTTCTTGACCGAAGCGCCTCGCTTTAGAGGTGTCTCAGCATCGGCCATGACGTAGTCTTCATCGTCTAGGCGCCGACTGCGTCGCTTCTCAGCCTTTGCAGCTGCGGCAGCTTCCAGGTCGGCGTCGGGACGAGCTGACCTGCTCTTGCTGGCAGATTTGCTGACACCGAGGATCTTGGCGGCTTTGGAGCCAAGCTCGGGGCCATCTTCTGGGGGTGGTGAAGCGAGGCCGTGTGCGTCAACCGAATAGCGGCGCGATGATTTGCCACTGGCGCTTACTTTACGCTCGCGGGTGGACATTGATCGTGAAAGAGGCGGGGTGTTGAAGGCAGCTGAACTGCTGCGCACCTTGCCCGGGGTCTTTGACGACTTCTCGGGCCGCTCATTCTTGTCGGATGATGAGCCTTTCGAGGAGCTCTTGTCGCCAGAGTGTCTTGACTTGTCCTTGGACTTGGAAGACTTGCGCTCTTCCTTGGAGGACCGCTCCTTCTTCTCATCTTCCTTCTTGGCGGAGGCGGTCCACATGCCCCAAGATGTACCGGCGTCGCGGTTAATCTTGGGACGGTCCTTTTTAGCCTTCTCAGGTGGTGGTGTAAGAGGTGCTTCAGGTGGCGGGGGAGGAGGAGGAGGACCGTCCTTGGACTTGCTGCTCTTCTTCTTCTTCTTGTCCTTTTCGACAACAGCGGTCATGTGGTCATCATCCTCGTCGGGGAAGCTGCCGGGAAGCTCGGCCGACTTCTTGCTCTTCCGGGAGGAGGAGCTGTCGTCGGGGGCGTCGGCCTTGCTCTTCTTTTTAGACTTCTTGTCGTCCTTGGGAGGGGCCGGAGGTGAGGGTGGCGGAGGTGGTGCGAGGTCGTCGTCTTCGTCCTTGGTTTCAAAGTTTTTGAGCTTGTCTGCAATCTTGCCTCCAACAGGCTTGCGCTTCATGGAGGCGGCTTCATTGGTTTTAGACGATGTATACGCGTCCTTATCGGCGTATGTGTCTTCAACTGTAGCGATTCAAGCGAAACGCGATGAGTCAGCAATCTTGTAATTTCCCCTTTGGCATAGAGTAGAATCGTAAAGAAGAAAACGTGAGACCAAACAGGAAAACTGTTGGGAGGGGGGAAATTTGGCATAATCTGGGGTAATCTCCAATGGAATAGGGGTGGGGAGGCAGGGGTAGTTGCGCGCGCAACGACGCCATGACTAGCGCCAGGCTGCGCTGTTGCGCCATGGTGGATAGGTGCAGACGGGAGCTGAAATGAACAGAGACATACCTTTTTTGCCCTTTTTGGCGCTTGCAACGCCCCAGAAGCTAAACGCGTCCGAGGTCGACTTGTCCTTTGGCGACAGAAGCTCCTCAATGTCGTCGTCGCCCAGATCTGCCGCCGCCTTTGCGTCAGAATCAGAGTCCTTGCCCTTGTCCTTGGATTTCTTGTCCTTTTCTTTTTCCTTTTCCTTTTCCTTCTTCTTTCTCTCCTTTTCCTTTTCCTTTTCTTTGCGCTTTTCCTCTTCTTCCCTTTCGAGCTCCTTTAGTCTCTCCTTCTCTTTCTTCTTCTCTTCTTTTTCCTTTTTGCGCTTCTCTTCCTCTTCAAGCTCCTTTAAGCGCTCCTTTTCACGCTTCTTCTCTTCCTTTTCTTTGCGTTTCTCCTCCTCTTCTCTCTCGAGCTCTTTCAATCTCTCCTTCTCTTTTTTCTTCTCTTCCTTCTCTTTCTTGCGCTTTTCTTCTTCTTCCAGCTCTTTCAGTCTTTCTTTCTCCTTCTCTTTCTCTCGTTCCTTCTCCTTCTCCTTCTCCTTCTCTTTATCCTTGGACTTGGAACTCTTTTTGGACTTCTTCTCTTCTTCGGCTAGGCGTGCGGCTTCCTCTTCGGCTTCCTGTGCTTCTTGGGCTTCGCGGGCGATGCGCTCCTCTTCCTCCTTGGCATCACGCTCGGCATCGCGTTCAGCTTTGCGGCCTTCGAGAACTTCTAAACGCTCGCGGTCCTTCTTCAACAACTTACCACCGCGCTTGTCCTTCTTGGCTAAGAGAGTCTCAATTTCCTCCTCTTCGGCCGTAATCTCCTCCTCTAAACGTTTCTTTTCTTCGTCTTCAGCTTGAGCCTTTTCCTCGGCTTCGCGAGCGGCGGCTTCTTCAGCTTCCTTAGCTTCTTGCTCAAGTCGCTCTTTTTCAGCCTTTTTCTTTTCCTTTTCGAGCTTCTTAAGCTCTTTCTCGCTTAGCTTCGGCTCCTTTTCCTTCTCCTTTTTGGACTTCTTGTCTTCATTGTCGGAGTCCTTGGAGGATTTGGTCTTGGATTTGGCATCATCATCAAAGTCGTCGTCAACTAAGTATCATGTTAGCCATTGGCCTAGCGCAAGTAACAGCGTAGCAGTATTTGTAAAAAGTAAATGTAGACAAACTTACCAACTTCGTCAAGCTTCTCGTCGCCCTTGGACTTCTCTTTCTTCTTCTTATCCTTCTTGGTAACGGTTCCCCAGAAATCGTCCTCGGGTTCGGCAGCTTTCTCCTCAACAGGCTCTTCCTTCTTTTTCTTATCCTTCTTAGAAGTAGAGCCCCAGGAGAAGATGTCGTCGTCCGCTGGCGTTTCTTCTACAGGGGGGTCCTTTTTCTTGTCGGATTCGTCAAGATCGATCAAGTCACTACCCTTCTTCTTTTTCTTGTCCTTCTTGGAGGTGGGAACGCCCCAGCCACCCCAGAGATCATCCTCTTTGGACTCCTCTTCTTTGGGCTCCTCTTTGACTGGCTCTTCAACACCCTTCTTCTTTTTCTTGTCTTTCTTAGAAGTGGGAGCGGTCCAGTCAAACTCGTCGGCTGGTTTCTCTTCCTCCGGCTCAGGTGCTGGAGGTTCCTCGACTACCTCCACGGCACCCTTCTTCTTTTTCTTCTTGTCTTTCGAGCTAGTTCCAAAGCTAGACCAGAAGTCATCGCCACCGTCGTCCTTGGCAGGTTCGGGTTCGGGTTCGGGTTCGGGCTCAGGTTCCTTAACTGGCTCTTCCTCTTTACCCTTCTTTTTCTTCTTGTCCTTTTTAGTGCCGAAGGATCCCCAGAAGTCATCGTCTTCTTTGGCGGGCTCAGGTTCAGGTTCGGGAGTGGGCTCCTTAACAGGCTCCTCCTCCTTACCCTTCTTCTTTTTCTTCTCCTTCTTGGTACTAATAGAACCCCAGAAGTCATCCTCTTCCTTCTTCTCCTCCTCCTCCTTCTTCTCTTCTACTGGAGGTTCGGGAGCTGGTTCGGGTTCAGGATCGTCCCAAAGCGCGGCTTTCTTCTTCTTCTTCTTATCTTTCTTTGAAGTGGTAGTGAAGCCCCAAGCATCGTCTTCTTTCTTTGCCTCGGGCTCGGGCTCGGGCTCAGGCTCTGGTTCTGGTTCCTTGACTGGTTCTGGTTCCGGCTCTGGTTCCGCACCCTTCTTCTTCTTACCTTTCTTGGTGGAAACCGTCCCCCAAAAATCGTCAACGGGCTCTGGGGCTGGCTCAGGAGGAGGGGGGTCGACTTCCTCAACCATACCCTTCTTCTTTTTCTTATCCTTTTTGCTCGTGCCCCAGGTGTCCCAGGCGTCGTCCTCTTTCTTCTCCGGCTCGGGTTCGGGCTCGGGCTCCTTTGGCTCTTCGACTTCAAGAATGGCCCCCTTCTTTTTCTTACCCTTTTTCGTCGTAGCCGGTGTTAACCAGTCGTCTGCTGCTGCTTCGGGTTCGGGCTCGGACTTCTTGTCCTTCTTCTTGGTTGCCGTTCCCCAACCCCAGGGGTCCTCGTTAGAGGTCTCCTTCTCCTTCGTCTCTTCCTCAGCGTCTATTCCCCACATATTAGTCGTCGTCTTCTTCTTCTTATCCTTTTTAGATGTCGAAAAGAAGTCAAAGTCATCTTCATTGGCTTCTTGGGCCTCTTGACTTTTCTCTTCTTCTTTATCTTCCTGATCCTCATCTCCCTCATCGTCTAGTGAACCAAATGAAAAAGTAGTCTTGCCTTTCTTCTTGGGCTTGCCCCGGTTGATACTCCACGGATTCGAGTCGATGTCGTCTTTCTTCTCTGCTGTGTCATTGGAAGCATCCTTGTTGCCAGTGCCAGACCAATCCCAAGTCGAACCTCCTCCTGTCCCACCAGTATTCCATTTCGTCCCCCAACTACCGAAGCTGTTCTTATTGTCGTTTGAATTTGAGCCGAATCCTAGGTCGAATTTGCCGCCAGAATCGTCTCCTAACTTGATTTCGTCGAAGGCGTCGCCGCCAAAGTCAGTACCAATCTGAGGGGCAGCTTCAGCTTCGGCGTCGCCGCCCTTCTTCTTCTTCTTCTTAGACTTGGCTGTGGTAAAAGCACCCCAGTCGTCCTCGGGCTCCTGGTCACCACCGTCTTTACCCTTGTCACCATCGCCACCATCACCACCACCGTCGCCAGCGTCACCGCCACCAGAATCGCCGCCGCCGTTGTTGTTGCCGTCGCCATTGCCCTCAGGAGTTTCCTCCTTCTTCTCGTCATCATCGAACCACTTGTTAGCCGGCGCGGCATTACCACCGCCCTTTTTCTTCTTCTTAGCTGCCTCGACGATGCCGTGAACCGAGCTCCAGTCTACTTCCACAGCTAATGCTGGGTCCGCAAAGGGGTCGTCTGAAGCCCGGGGGGATCGCTGGTAGGCAGAGGGATTAGGAGGAGGGCACACAGTAGGTGCAGAGTCTGGTAGTCGGCTACAAGCTAATGATGTTGTATCGGTGGCATTAGGCGTGGGTTCCTGGGGGGTATCGTCGTCATGGTCATGATAGTGCTGAAAGATTCGCTGCCACTTCGGGCTAAGCTGAGGTAGAATTAGAGGTTTGACAATGTCAGATGGTGGTGAACAAATTGTGGAGTTGCGTTTCTGCGTTCCCGTATTAGTCGTGTGCTTGCCAAAGTCTATTCTTCGGCTCCATGAAGCTCCCGCGAGCTTATCGTAATCTTGCCCAGGCAAAGAGCTTACACCTTCGACATGGCAGATCGAGATAGCCAACGTCAGGCGAGAGAACGGGGTGAGCTGTATGAGCAAGCTTACCTTTGCGCCAGTGCGGCGCTGGATCCATTTGCTGGATATCGAGTATAGCTCGGAGCGGAGCAGGAGGGCCTCATCCAACCCAGCCGTCGTCAGGTGCAGAATGCTCGATGTTGAAAAGGAGCAGGCGCTTTCTCTCCAGCTCTCGTGGAATGCCAAAACCTCGGCCGCAGCCATTGTGGAAGTTGACGCTCGTAGTGCTGCAGGTCGGTGTCAAAATCATGGACGCTATCGGGTCTGCAGGAGCAGCGTTTCGTTGCGCGCGTGAGGGATGGGCGTTGTCGCGTGGAGGAGAAAGTGGTGAGAGCTGAGATCCTCGCGTCGACACAATCGTCCAGCGTTGTCGATGTCGTCGAGGATGTTTGTAAACGGGGACAAACACACTTTCGCCTGCTTGACGAAGAATATGTCAATTCTGGCGAAATCCAAAATCGTAAAAAGGAGTTTTTCAAGATGCTTGCTACTATGCAGAAAGCAAAAACAAAAAAAATATGCAAATAAAAAAAAACCTGGACAACAAGCTGGGCGGTTTGATTGTTGCAGGGGTGGGAATGGGGTGGTGGACATGGGGGACATAGCAGACAGGCGGTGACCTTTTTTTTTTACCGACAGCTTTGGCGAAAGGTACCTTGGCATGTGCGGTGGTTAGGCGTCGTCAGCATGTACATCCAGTGCCCAAAGCAAGGGGATTTAAGATGACATTTTGGCGGGGGAGACCCGACGGAGGGCGAATACCAGCCACCAGGAAAAAGAGGGTGCGCTAGAAAAACGCTAAGAGGGAACGAGGGGGCACGCTTAGGCCCGCACCTTTGCCGCTAAACAAGGGTGTCCATTAGCGGTTTAACCCGCCTGTAGGTAAGCCCTGCCGATATGTACTGGGTCGAACGACAATAAGAAATATATCACAACGTGTACTAACCAGAGAGAAATGGGTGCTGTTTGACGATAGCGATGGCCGAGTCTGATCGCACGGTCAGCCTGTAGTTATCTGCCGACTAGTCAATATAAACGAGATCGTCGCCGTCCGCTTGGGCTTTATCCCTTGCACCAACACACCCTCTTGGCCGATTCGAGGTATGCAAGCCCGCCTAGTATGTCTCGCAGAATTCGCAGTCCCGAGAGACGCGAATTCCATGCAAGAGATAAAGAGGCGAAAACTAGGTACAGGGATAAAAGAAAGTGAAAAGAAATGCGACTAAGCGCTAGGGGAAAAGAAAAAAGAAAGCAAAGCCGCAAAGGGTGTTGTAGGAGGAGAAGATCACAAGCGGCGCAAATGAACAACATCACAGAAACACCGATATGTAATGCACCTACTGTAGGCAGATAGCTAGCTAGCATTACACGGCAACGGGCGACCATTGGAATCACGGGTTTTTTCCTTGTCCTCTCTTTTTGCTTGTCTGTCCCCCCAGTGCACCAGCGCATCTGCACAGGCATATTGCATTTCATGCAGGATCGCAAAACAAGGGACCACTCTACTATGACTGCCAAAGTAGTACTTGCCACAGAGCACACACCCAGGACATGGGGGAGGGTGCCGTTGTAGTGACACCCAAGCCCCAAAGAACAAGAAAATGACTTTTGCATCGCGTGCCTATGAGCTTTGGAACCAGATCATGCGGAGGGTTTGTGCAAAACATTTGTTGAGCTTGGCAATTGCAGGGCCGACCCATGTACTAGCTACAACCTGGATGAGGATCCCTTCACCCTCGAACCAAAGGGGCATTCCAATATCCCGTCTCGAAGAGGAAGGATGCTTTGCGATAGGGGGGAAAGGGACAAGAACATGCCGATGCGAGAAGAAGGGAAAAAAGAACTCTAAACATGTACAGTTCAGCGCCCAAATTGAGGCTTGTGTCCAATGGCTGGGGGTGGACTGAATATGGATCACTATTGGATGCAGCGCCGTCGGCTCATCATCACCAGACCAGGCCACAAGCCGACCCAGACCAACCGATGGGGGTTTTATCAGAGCGGTTTCTTGCGCTGACTGCTGCACAATGACGGTAAGTTGCATTTCTTACTGGCCCAGGGTTTCATATGCTTCTCGCAAACGCGTCTACCGCTAGAACATCTGCAGCTGGCTCCCCAAAGCGTCCCGGTACCAGGCCGTGAAGCCTGAATATTATTTCTTTATTATTATTTTTTTGTAGACACATCGGCCTTGCTGCACGACACCCTGCCCCCGATGGAACATGACTGTTGCTCTGGGTCGACGTTTCATTGTGCGAGCCATTGACGTAAGGTCTGTGACGTAAAATGTGCCACTGTGTGTTTATTTTATTCGCTTGCCACTGGAATTTTGTGTATCGAGCACACCCTGGTCGCAGATAAGGGCATCGGACCTTGTAGACAAAATGAAAGAGTAGCCAGAAACATACTGTTTAGCGCAAGCGGCAAATCCAAACCACCTCTCACCAACCTCGCGCTTTTTCCTACATCGTGGAGAAGAGCCATATAATTCTGGGCACACCCTCGGGAAGAAAGCTGGACACGCAGCCCGATGCTTCCCGCGGTGGAGGGGCCCGGTTTTGCGGATCTATAGCGGGCGTCTGGCTTCTTTGCTGCATCTCAACCTAAAAGAACGCGTGGGGTGTCTTGTTAGTGGTTTGGCTTTCTATGTTTGCTCTTGACGGGCCGCAGTGATGCTGTGTGCTAATAATACGGCGTCCTACACCAAGCGCGGCAAAACGGTGGGAGTACCTGCATCGCTGCCCAGTCCGCCGTCGACATGCAGCAATCAACGTGGCCAGCGATGCGCGATGCCACCTTCGATATGCCTTCCACGACAAGGCCAGCCATCCAGCGTCCCAAAGTGGGTGCTTAGGCAAAAAAGCCTGCTTGCATCCGAGTCCCTTCACCGCCAAGTGGGCGTGCAGAGCGACATATGCCGCTCAATATCAGGTTTCGACGCCGGGGCTAAAATAAATCCATAAGAAAAGACGCATGCCCGATGGGCGGGGAATGGAGTCGCCAAGGAAGAACTTGCAACGAATAGTAATGCATGGAATATCAGCTTTACAAGTTCCACGGCCTTCTTCAGAGCTTCTCTTGTAAGCGGTCAACTACCGGCCGGTCACGGCTAATACCAACCTACGTAAGATAATCTGATGGGTAGTATTTAGGCCGGATGAATCGCTGGCCACTTTAGGAAGGACGTCGCGCGCGCGTATAAGCAGTGAAGATATCTCTCTACACAAGGTGTCGTCATTGCAGGGGTCTTGTTATTGTCAGTCTCACCGTCAGGCTCACACTACATATGATAATAAGCACCGCCAACTCCATCAGGTAAGAAAGAATAAAACGTCTCTTGGTTTTTATGGTATAAAAAAGTAAGTCAGATATAACCACCCAGCTCCGCCCAAAGAAAATTACCCAGTTGTGTGCTATATATATGTACGGTAAGTAAGTGATGAAGAAGAAAATATGATATATATAATACAGCCAACCCGCACCAGCTAGGCCCCGCAAAGCCAGCTTACTGCTGTCATTCATTGGCGTCTCATCTTTAGATTTGCTCCTTGGAGGGCGATTCGGGAATTACTGGCACTGTTGGCAGCGCCTTGTTGGCCCACGAACTGGGCACCACGGCCGGGAGTTCAACGGGGATGTCGTGTCCAGGCACTTCAACGTGACCCGATATGTCGATGGGCTTGCCGTATAGCGGCCAGTCCTTCTTGGAGTTGTTGTCCTTGAGAGACGCTTCTTTGGAATGGAGCGCTACCCATTCCTCCTCGGTGTATCGTCGTCCGCTGGCCTTCGATACAGCGCCAGACTGGTCGCCTGTCCGCAGAAATACAGATTCTTCGCGAATGCTGTATTCCTTTCTCTTGCGCTTGACACAGCGTCGGCTGATGAGCCATCCTGCTGCAACAAGCAACAACACGCCCACGGCAACTCCGATACCGATGGCCGCCTTGGTTCCGGCTGATAATCCATCGTCCGATGACGCCGTGGCCGACGGCTTAGCAACTGTTGTTGGATTCGATGGCGCCGGCGTTGCTGTATCCGCTAGCAGCGGCCCAGTCTGCCGGATATAAATAAGCTGCATGGCGTACGCTGTGGCAGCCAGCGTCGGGTCGACGGTAAATGTTTGCGTTTGTGTTATCGACGAACTAAACACATTGGTTCCTACGACAACTTGGCCCAGCGTAGCCGTCGACACGCACAGATATCGGTGTGCAACGTCCTTGTCACATATAAAGCCACTATTATTTTCTTGTTAGCCAATCTTTTCTTTTGCTTGTCTCTTTTCTTTTTTTCCTATGCCATTTGTGGAAGAAGGAAAAACACCTACGGTTGGCAGCACCCGATTGCCGTTTCGCCCGGCTTCAGAGCATCCCACTCGGACAGATTACTCATGTCCAAACCATTGCTTGCAACCATGGTACACGCGGCCTGAAAACCGGTTGGGCAAGCCTGTCCCAATGAAAATACCGGCGCGGAGCCTTTGCTGTAAACTTCTGCGTAGGACGTAGGCATACAAGCCGGTGCGTTGGAAACATCGAGCTGGTACACTTGCGACGTCTTGTCGCTGTCCTTGTTCTCCCCTTTGAAATTACCATCCATATGCCAATTAGAGCATGAGCTCGGCGCCACGAAATCGATGGGCAATGACCCAAGATTTACTGTATTTGTGACTGGCGCGAGGGATAAGAGATTGTGATTTTCTGCTGGTGCTCGTCGCTCGTTGCCTGCCGTAGGCGTCGGCGTCGGTGTCGGTGTCGGCATCGGCATCTTCATCGTGTATGAATGTGGTTCCAGCGCATGTCCCAGCCGTAGTATCAACGATTCGAAAAAGAAGAAGACCCCCAAACACAAAGTACAGAAGCAGTAGCAGTAGCAGTAGCAAAAGGAAAATAAAGATTGAGATTACTAAAAAAGCCACCAAAGATGGATGAAAAAGGAATCAAGATTGGGACGAACAGGAACCAACGAGAAAAATGGGAGACGACGCCGTAGTCGCTCGTTGCATACGAGGACTGTGCGCAACCAAAGCCAGCGAGCGCCATGGCAGCGGTGCTTGTTCGCGCCACCCGTACACAACTGAAGTGACCAGCGAGGTACTACGGCCCGCACGCACATACAGGCTACTGTACCAAGTACAGTAGCTTGGTATCTTTTTTTCTCCTCTGCAGAGGGTCTCGATTGAGCGAAGCGGCGCCACCTAGCAGGGCCTCCCCGCTCGCCAGATGGGCTATTTTGGGCCAAGAGGACACAGATTGGGCAGTGTGCTGGCTGTCTTGGTGCGAAGTTTTCTGTAAGCCACAGCCTCGAAGTGGACGGACCGTGCGCGGCGGCTTGAGCGGATCACCACCAACAAAGGAGGGTCCCTTGCGAAACAAATCGGTCGCTCTACGATGAAGGAAAAACAAGATGAAAGTGTAAAAAAAAATAGGCTTAGATGCTAAATTGTGCTATATCAAATTTGGACGACGCGCAAACCTGGGTATGTAAAAACGAGGACAAAAAAAGACTGCGAATGAAAGACGCCAACATCCTCCCCCCTCTCGGTCGCAAGGCTATCGAGTAATATACAGGCGCTAAAGAAGACGAGAAAAAAAAACAGACCCTCCCCCCCGTTCGCTTGCTGGCACAGACCAACCGTGCGCGCACGCAGCGTGCTCATTCATCCGCTGCTGCTGCTCACCTGCGCTGTGTGAGTGAGCACATTCAGCTGAACCACGCACCTTTCAGGTAAGGCTCTACGATCCAACCTCATAAACCTCGTCATCCTTGGGCTGCTCGTCATCCTGGTCCTCATCTGGCCGTTTTGGTAGCGGCTTTTCCGCGTCTAGCTCAACCGAGTATACGCTGCGCAGCCACGAAGTGCGATTTGTCTCGGCTGGCAGCTCGGAGATACGGCCGCTAGTGACGCCGTCGATTCCGTCGAGCTCAGATATTTCATTATCCAATGATCCTTCTTCTTCCTTTTTCTCGTTTGAATAAACCACAGCAGAATCCTCGGGGATCATGGGGTATTTTTCATTCGGGTACACTACTGCTGCGGCGGCGGCTGCTGCTGTTGCATGGTGGGCTGTAAATGCTGGTGGTGGTTCGTTGTGCACGGCGTGGTCTTGCCCAGCGTACGGCTCGCCGTGGTATGGTTGGGCCTCGCCATCGCGGGGCATTGTTGATTTCTTGGATCCTTTGCGGTAGCGCAAAATCATAAATATGGCCATGGATAAAAGAAGAAAAGCTGCTGCGGAGCCGATTCCGATGCCGGCTTTGGCACCAATCGATAGGCCTGAGTCGCTGGAAGAAGATGTGTCTGAAGAGGAGGATGAGTCGCGGGATGGAGAGGCGGTTTTCGTGGGCAGCGAGCTGTGACCAGACTGCTGCGAGACATAGATGACACCAAGGGCTGTGGCGCCACCTCTTGTTGTAGAATCAATAGTGATGGTAACTGGGGATCCATTCGTGCCGATGGGGGTGGCTTTGGTGGTGCCAGCGTCCATCTGTAGTGTGCATCCGTACGGTAATGGACCGCAAGAGTAGCCGCTGCAATGACATTTGTTAGCTTAGGTGCGCTGTGTAAATTGGTGAACATGCAAACGTACAATGGGCAACATCCAACTGCAATCTCAAAAGGCTCCAGAGCGTCCCACGGAGCAGCTGTTTGGTTCGACGACGCAAAAGTGACGCTCGCTCCAGTATATGTGCAAGCAGCGAGGTAGTCGTACGGGCATGAGTTACCCGGGCTCATAACAGGATTAAGCTGTTTTGCGTACGCAGATGCATATCCGCTGGGCTTGCAATCTGACTGCACGTATCCCGAGAAGAGCACTTTTGTCGTATCGTATGACTGCGCGACGTAGAGCTCCGTGATGCACTCATCAGGCGGCCTGTATGGTGTCGTCAGCGGCCCGATATTCGTGGTGCTCGTGACGCGAATATTTGCCCTCGACATGGCTGCTCTTTTTTATGTGATGTATGCAAAGCAAAACAAGAGAAGATGGTAAACAAAAGAGTAAAGAGAAAGAAAAAAAACTGAGAGAAGTACCTCTCTCGCGATCAGACCTGTTGGCCGAAAAGGCGGCTTGTTGGTATCCCACGACTCGCTGGTCGCGCTAGTCCCAAGCTGGGCAAGGCTCAGCCTTGTCTGCGCCAATTAGGGGGGAAAGCTCATCACACTTGTCCCAACTGGGGCAGGGGCACGAGAATCCCCGAATCTAGGAATCGCAGGCGAATAGTTGGCCGTCTTTGAGTCAGGGTTGTACACCAAGCACGCAGCCCGAATCAGAACCGCCTTCTCGAGAGAGTCGCGCTGTCATTCGCACCAGATGTCATTTTGAAAAAAAAAAAAAATTCGGGATACACAATAATAAATAGGATTATATTCAATTAAAGGGGATATGTGAAAACAAATTGTAAACCCGGAAATGCTTAACGCTGTTGCTGTCGTTGCATGTGGTCGCCCCCCCCCCCCCCCCAAAAAAGGGTGAAGCGCCAGGCGGTTAAAAATAACGGCCTGCTTGGTTGGCCCTGTCTGGGCCGGCCTGCAGCAGGCCTGCATGCATGCAAGGTGGAAATTGCTTGCAATCACGCATCATTCACAGGCTTGCGGGTTATCTTAGCCTGCTGCGTGCTTGTCGTCTCGACAGCACTGGATGCAGGCACCTCACCTGGTAGTTCTGCTGCCTCAAAGCCTGCCTCCATTTCAGCAAAGAAGCTTGACCGGCGCCCCTGGCCGTCGGATGGCAGAGCCTGATGCACGTCAATGGTATCCTTTTCCTTATAGTCTGGCGCAGCAGCAGCAGCAGCCGCCTTTGCGGAGATTGGCTCGCTGTCCAGCTCTGCCTTACGGAACGCTCCGTCCCCTGCGACTGCTGCTGCTGCCTCATTGTCACCGCCAGCCGCGGCCACTGCGCGCTTCTTTGTGAGATGGCGGTAGAGGAGAAAGGCACTGAGGCACATCGCTATCACAAGGAGCGAAACACCGACTCCGAGTCCGGCCTTTGCACCGGTCGACAGCCCACCAGATTGTACATCGCCTTGCGTGCTGGCGGCGCCGGCACTTGTTTGTCTCGCGCTTGGTGTGGTATTGCTGGATCCAGGAGCGGCCTTTGAAGCATCCATGGAGGCCAAATCCGTCGGGTTGGCCACGTAGATAACCTTTTGCGCGGTTACCAAGACGGTGTCGTAGCCAAAGATCGTGCGAACCTCACTGTGTTGAGGCACGCCAAGGTCTACTGCCGTGCGGTTAACCTCCGTGACAGTAATAACAGCATCTTTCGTAGGTTGCGAGAGACAGTAGTAGAATTGATCGAGATTGGTTGCACACGCGTAGCCCCTACGTAGCAATAATCGGTTAGCTGTTGCAGATATTCAACCAGACAATATGAAGTGTCCAATATCCCAAAGCGAGATATTCGACTCTACATCCACAAGGCAAGGAGGACAACTCACGTAGGGCAACATCCCACAGCAGTCTCATCTGTGCTGATCTTGCTCCAATATTGCATACGTGTTTCGTTGGCTCGCCGCGTGCCGACATAGGTGCAATCAATAGTCATGCCTTGGGGGCATTGGTTGCCAGGTGAGAAGATAGGCGTGCTGTGGTTGTATAGAATGTCGTTGTAATCACCGGGCTCACATAGGTTATCGGCCCAACCTAAATAAGAGAAAGTCGAGATGTAATAAAGATCTGACGTGCAATTGGCCGGCGGGCTGTACGCCGTCGTCAACGGGCCTAGGTTGAGGGTGCCTCGGTTGACGTTGTATGGGTCTGTCGCCGAGATGACGGCTGCGAGTGTTATAGATGTCATTGCTGCCGCTGTTGTGAATGGGGAGATGGCGATGCCGATGAGATCAACGGTCCAAGCAGATATGTCTGTGCGGCGGAAAGAAGAAAGCGCTCTGCTCTCGATTTTTTGTTGCTGGTGTCGCGAGGGGGTAAAGGTTGGGCGGTGGCTGGCCCCTGTTAGGTCTGGCAGCCTTGTTTGCTTTCCCAGAACGGTAATCGCCGAGGTGCCACTGGCAGTGGCGACGGGCTTACGGCACGCTAACGCCTGCCAATGGCGGGCTAAACGCAATCAAAAAAAAAATTGAGGGCCTTCTGGTGCTCTTAGGAGCGCCGTTGACTGGTAAAACGCAAAAGTGTCGTGATTTTCTTTTGAACGGCTATGCTTCTTGGTGAAGACGGCGCTTTGAGGTGGGCACAGTTGGCACGGAAATGGCACGCATAATTTACATCCTGCATGTAGTGTGTCAAGGCTCGTGAGGAGGCGTCAGCCACGAGCCGCGTAGAACAGGACCCTTTCTTTTTCCCCAGGTGGCGGCTGCACTTGATGTTCCACCTGTGTCGTGTAAAGAGTTGCTGGGAGCAAGAATGGGTTTTCTCTTTTTTTTCTTGTTTTTATGTACGCACTGCTATTCATTATTCATATCCAGGATGATCCTACTGGGACGTATATCCACCGAGTGCAAAATGAACGGTAAATCAGCAGACGCTGCCAACGCTCCCAAAGAGGATTCTGGGTTCCAGATAGCCGACGGTCACTATCCAGTCCAATCCAGACTAAACAGATGCTCCAATCTGGTAAAAAGAATGTCTGTACAAGCAGTGGTTTCATCATTAAACAGATCCTATGTTATGTTATCCTGGCCAGTGACATGGTTGACTATCGACCCAACCCTTATGTACATTCCCGAGCTCATCAACCACCAATCCAACGTTATATAAAGAGAAATACGCTCACTAGACATATTAACATCTCTTCATCACGTCTTCTTCTCTTCCTCATCGTCCTTCCTAGAATCCTCCAGTACATCCTTCAAATCCTTTTCTGCCTCCTTCTTTTCGGCTGGCTGAACCTCCCATCCCTCACCTGTAGGCAACTCAACCGCACCCCCATCTCCATTATCTGCATCATACCCATCCCAACGCTTTATAGCGGCAGCCAAATACTCTCCGTCTCCCTCCAACTCTGCCTGGTTGCGACCCCTTGTGACCTTATCTCCCTGTAGCTCTGCCCTGCCCTTATCAAGTAAGACTTCGTTGGTGGGATCCAGCTCTGCTCCAGGATCCTTTTTAATCGGAACACCGCCAGCCAACTCTGCCTTTTCAAACTCCTCTTGTTGTTCCGTAGTCTTTTTCTTGTCCTTCTGCCGTCTCCGTCGTGCGACAAACCAGCCCGCTAGTAGCGCCAGGATCATGACGGCGATGCCAACGCCTATGCCTGCCTGCGCACCCGTTGAGAGCCCGTTGGACGGACCATCAATAGCTTTAGGTGATTGTGCATTGGTATTCGAGGTTTGATTGGGATCTGTGCCCGGTGATACCGTGCTGCTGCTGGTCGTCTGGAGTGTCGAGTCTGCCCTATCGCTCGGTCTACTGACAGTAGTAAGCCGCGTCGGCGCTGGCGGCTGAAAGTTTACATATGAGCCCGTCGATGCAGGTCGTGAGAATTCCATTATATCACTGGTTTTAGGGAGTCGTCGGCCATGAACAATCAATTTTTGTGTCGTAGAGGGGAAGCGTCGGGGGTCACTGGCCAAAGCTGCAGCCTTGATTGATTGCGCGGTGGAGACGGCACCAGTTCGGCGACGGTCGGTGGCAAGTGAAACAACCAAGAGGTGAGCAAGGCGTAGGTAGATGACGGAGCAGCAAGGCTACAAAATAAATAACTATAATCTTATTAGAAACATGCGTGGGGAATAAAATATATTTCATTACAGTGCCAATCGTACATAAGATGCAAATTGGTATCGAATCTATGTATCCCAAGCACGTCTTGCGCTTAACGCCAACGCCAAACAAACAAACCCTAACAATGCTTGCTTCGCTCAACTATCTCTCCATACTCCTTATTATATGCTCCCATTCATACTTCCTGTTACAATCAGGTCTTCATATTCCTAAAACCCCACCTCACCAAATTGCCCGATTCCCGAACCGCTGGCACTTACATAGCCATCTTCTAATTCGTCGTAATCGCTCGCATCAAACGACGAGCGGCCACTCAACTCGTCCTCTAAACCACTGTTGTTGCCGCCCATATCTGCGCCCCAGTTCATCTGCGCCAAGGCAGGGTACTGAGCCAGCAGCGCTGCTGGGAAAACCATATTGCCGCTGGCGTCCATGGGGTATCCTGCATCCATCTGCGGCTGCTGTTGTGTTGCCAGGTTCTGCTGAACATTCTGTTCCTGCCACGTGCGTTGCCTCTCAATCATTTCTTCGTCGAGCAGTGGCTTGATGCATATACGGCCGGCTTCGGAGCGGAAATGACGGCCGAGAGCATCAGCTCGCGCAAAGCGGCGCCCACAACCCCATTGGCCACCAGCCTTGAGATCACCTTTACATACAAATTTCTTCTCTCCGGAGTGCAGACTTTCATGGCGCTTGCGGTCATGTTGGCGTGCAAAAGCTTTGCCACAAACGGTACAAACAAATGGTCTCTCATCCGTGTGTGTGCGGAGATGGGAGCGCAGATTGTACGCACGGGTAAAGCGCTTGGGGCACAGCGTGCACTGGAAGGTAGCTGGGTGTTTCTGTACGCGCTTCGCGGAGCCAGCTTCCTGACCTTGGTATTCGGGGTCGGCGAGGCGCAGAGCAATAACGTTGTTGGGAACGGCTGATGTCGACTGTCGTCTGTTCCGTGACGATGCAGACGCTGATCGACGGTCGAGGGGCGACAGCGAGCGAGAGGTATCTTGCCGCGCGCCCAAGTCAGCGCCCAACGTCTGGGCCCCGCTACCGGAGCTGTGAGAACGGGCAACAGAAGCACCCTGCTGAAAAGGATCGGTAACGGAGCGAGGGCGAGATTTGACACGGCCTAAATGGTTAGAATGGTGTCATCAGGGGAAATAGTGTACATACCTCTATCGGGGGGTGCAAGTGAGTCCTGGTTCATGGGTGACTTGTTTGACTCGAAAGGACCTTGCCTCGCGTTTGTAGGAGCATAGTCAATGTTGATAGAAGGTGCCATCTGGGCTTGCATAGAGTAGTCATCCAGAGGCCCCTGTACGGTAGGGTATGCTGGAGTCGTCATATAACCCGACGCGAGGCCAAACTGCTGGTTGACTTCGGGCATATTCGCAGGTGGTATACGTGGGCTGATCGCAGGGCTGTGGGATGGGGAGCGGCCGTGGGCTATGTTAGCTTGCGCATCTGCAATGGTAAAGTTGCTGATGCCAATGACTTCTTGGTATAAACTTCCGTCAGAAGGTCGCTGTAGCGGCGAGTGGCCCGAAATATCGGCGTCGAAGTTGTCTGAGCTTATGAGGTTTGGCGAAGGTGCTGCTGACGATACATCTGAGAACTCCGACGGGCTACGACGGTGAATCTGGAACTGCGGCAACGACCAGTCGTGCTGACCAGGAAGAAGAGCGGCTTCCGGACCGAGCGAAACGTTTCGGGAATGTTGGCCGACGTTGTGTGGAAACTGCTGCTGGTTGAATGACGGAGAATGTTGCGCAGAGCCGATGCTGCCGTCAGGCTGCAAAAGACCCGGGGGGCTAGCTGTATGATGTGACGATGGAGATGCCATTGCATTCATGTCACCAGGGCTAAGCGCGTTGTTCTCAAACAGAGGGGTGTTAAAGTCTGTTTGATTTGCACCAGCAGGGAAGAGGGAAAAGTCAGCGTCGCCCGAGAGGAACTGCTGTTGCGACTGTTGCGCGTTGAAAGCAAGTGATGGTTCTACAACGCCGCCTGCTTGTTGGGAGAAGGAGTTTGAAGGGTCAAATGAACCGAAGTCGGTTGCGCCAAACGAGGTAGAGTCAAAGGTAGCGTCGCCGAACTGAGAATCAGCCTGGTCGAGGGAAATAGAGAGGTGATTGGGGTCTGTGGTCGCAAAGGAGTCTGAGGTCGATGACGGAGGAGCGGTAGAGCTGTTTATATTAGGGTCGGCCGAGAGCGGGCGACCGTTTGGTTGTGCCATGATGTTATGTAGAACCGGAAGGATATGGAGCCGCTGGCAACAGGAAGGTTCCGGGGGCTTAGAAACGAGCGGCGCAAGCAGTCGCAAGAGTCGCAAGTATCCAAGTAGGGCTACTCCACAAAGAGAAATGCCGGTAGGTCGAAAAGAAGGAGAAAAAAGAAGGGGGGGTGTATTGCAAGCACCCACGGGAATGACAAGACGAGGGGTGTGTGTTGGTCGTGATGGGTGCGCCGAGCAAACAGCGAGGCAGATTTGGGCTGCGGCGCTGGGGGGGGCAACGGCAGGGTGGTCGATGCACGTAAGAAGAAAGCGAATCTATTCCAAAGAGGGAAAAATAGAGGAAGTTTCGGTAGGGCGAGCAGTATCGGCGGAATTGGGGGCTGTGCAGGCGTATGTATCGACGAAGGTGGGATGATGACGCGTTATTTGGTCGGCACGCCGGAAAGGGGTGGGTCAAATAGGCGAGAAGAACAGACTCTTAGCAAGAAGAGTTAGAGGGAGGAGAGGAGAGAGTATCGCTTGCTGCCGCAGAAGAAGGCGTGGTTGGTGATGGTTGCAGAGGCGGGTTGCAGCGTGCCAATTGTACAGCGGGAGCACAGAAAAAACGGCGAAGAGAACGAAGAATGAGGGGAAGGGAAAGCGGGAAAACGCATAGTGCCGACAGTATGAATGCGCAAGTTGGCACAGTGGGGACTGGTGAAATACAGCGCATGTTGGCGGGGGGCTGCAGCGGGCCCCGGTGGGTAGCCAGCGGACAGTTTCCCTAAACGGTCTGGTTGAACGATAGCCTTGCGCCAGTAGCCTCAGAGGCATAGAATTTGCTGTTGATACTGAAGTAAGCAATAAAATACATGGTATCATATAACACTCTATCTTGTAATTATTCCAGTTCTTTACAACTGAGCGATTTTATTCTGCTTGGCAGATCGTGAGCTCTCTCCGCGCATTCGTTACACAGTGTGCATTGCTAGCAGAAGCCACTTGCCGCAAACATCCTCTCCATATCTCTCATTCGCTGCTCTCTGGAAATTGCTATTCAGAAAGGAACACTGCTGCCTAAAAGCCCCCATGTGAATCATAGTGGCTGTTTCCTAGAAAGGATTATAAGATAATACACGAAATCAACTCCGGCCAAGAGAAACCCGCATCTAAACGCGTGGGCCCCCTGTCAAAGGAACCCCATACCACCAAAGTCTCCATTTACATCCTCCACCTTTGTACATACTCCGTTCAGTACTTCGGTGAAAAAGTATTTGTGGCAGATCGAGTCAGGTACAATAAAGTCTCCATATCTTTCAAATATTTCCATAAAATTGCGATTACAATCTCGCCAAAAGTTCCCCTCTCCACAAGGTACAGATGCCAAAGGGGAAAACGGGGCTTAGATGGCAAACAAACTGCCGCCGAGCCCAGGAACGGAATGCATGCCGAACCAAAAACGGAGATTCAATCTTTTTACTCAATTAGTACGATGGGATTATTCTACTACAAAGAGCCAATGAGAGCATCGATGGATCGAGCGGACAGCTTGCAAGGCTGCAGCCCCTAAGGCAAGGGATGCCGGCGACATGTCTTGATAGGGCAGACGATCCCCGAGCTGCGCCTCTGCTAGTGAATCATTTCCTTTGGACTATTACTCTTTGGGCAGAAACAGTCTTGCGCTCCATTACACCCGTTCAGGACGGCCCGTTCTTTCAGGAACACCGGCTAGGCTGTGGTCGTTTGGGCCGAAAATGCTAATTGGTATGGCGTTTCATGCAACTGCACACCAGGGCGAATTACATGCTGGCGCCAGTGTTCTTGGGCATACTTCTGTAATACGGCAATTACAGTCTGCAGCTTCACATGTAGTAGACTTCTATAAAAAGCCGTTTGCTATCAATGCATGCGGATTGAAACCCCCTCGTATCATGCAGCACAGCATGCATGGTTGGGCTAGAGATCACTGGCGGCCTCCCAGATCCCCCCGTTTCCTCAGATTCCATGCATACCTCCCTCTGGTAGCCCTGCGCAAACTCTAAGTGTATCGGCAAATTACATTACGCTCCTCAGCCCATCCTTGCCCGGCCAAAAGTTTAAAAAAACTGTGTGCACTTAATTTACTAGAACCAACTGACACGCGGCAGACACGTCTAAGCCTCAACTGTGGAGTAAAACTGGCACCGGCGTGCCGGCCACCGGGGCCCGGGACGTGTGGGGCAAGGCGCTTTGCAAGGCGGACTGCGAGAAACTGCCCGATCGTGAAATTAAAGTATCCTTGTATTGTCTGTGTACAGTACGGGCCGACTTGTTTGGACTTCTCCGGGAATAGAACCCGAAACCAAGCGAGTCTGCTTCAACGTGTTTCACCCCCCAATTCCTCTTTTGGACGAGAAGGGGGATTCGTCGGCATGTTTGCTGTCTTTGGCTATGACTCTTCGACTACCCCATACCCTACAACACCAACCATTGCTTGAACGGTCTATCATGATATTCTGTTGTTGTTTTACTTTCTACCGTAGAAATCCCAACAATTCCAAACAGGCGAAGCGGTTCATCGCCAAGTATCGACGTTGCATCTGCCGCGCGTCTGTATCTATTAATAGCGGTTTCTGCCCTGTGGTCCGCTTACACGCCCCCAGCGTCTGCTTCACACTACGCCACTCTCAAATTACCCGTCTTGGAAACAACATCACGCCAATGATTGTCCACCACGTCGGGGGTAGTCATCATCCCACGGGCATGCATGCATCCCGTATCAAGTAGTGTCATGCGATACAAACCTGCATTGGCTGTTGTGATTTCAGCGCTTACCAATCAATTGCAACCCAAAAGCTGTGGACAGAAAGCTAGTGTATATTTCTAATTCTATTCAAGTAGAGAGGACCAAACGCCACGCTAAAAATAACAATTGACCATGTTATATCTAAATCACCTCATCCCTTTCGAAGCCAGTCGCCTTTAGAGCAGGCTTGGGCACGTGGCCATCCTTGAAGGTGCTCACGAACGGGTTGGGGTCTTCCTTTTGGTTCAGGTTGCCAAGCGTGTGATTGACACCGCGATGTCCAGCTTCGTCCGCGCGGATGTAGTAGATGAGATGCTTCATTGTGCGGTGACCCTCTGGCATGTTCCAGTACTTTGATGTGTTAGCTAATGGAGGGGAAGTCCCAAAGGAAAGAACTCAGCTTACTTGGATAGCAATATCGGGAATCTGGAATTCCTCGCTCGTCCACTTTGGCAAATGACCATCTTCAATTTCTTTGATGGCGCGTGTGTAGGTGTGAACAGCCTCCTCTTCTAGATATCCTACAAATCTGTGTACGATTCGAGGAGAAATCAGGTAGAGAATAAATAAGGCGTTGAAAAAGACGCCCTGTGCACCGAGAATCATGAGCTTCATGAACCGACCAGGCTCACACATCTTCATAAATGTGAGAAGGTGCATGCGTTCATTGTACGACTCTTCCAACAACGTCTCGATCCAGCCATTATCGCGCTTCATGCGACGTAAGCTGTGCAAATGGCGAAGCATGCCGCCAACCATGCCTGGCACGCCGGCGACGCTTTCGAGGAAAACAAAGCGGATGAGCTGCGCTTGTTAGCATTGTTCTTCAGACAGTTCCTGGTGGTGTTCTTACCCATTGGGCCTCTGTGAGGGGCTTTTCTGCGTCGACAGCAGTAGTCGGATTTTTCTTGTCAACTTGCTGGTCGCGGTCCATGCCCGTAGCCTTGTCCATCCAGTAACGGGCGAAGCGGACTGTCTTCCAGGCAAGCCAATCGGTCGTATTGCGTGGCTCACGGTGACCGGGGACCACTGCCTTCATCTCCTCCATGGTGTAGCCATGATGCGGCCAAGCAGCTGGAGTAGTTTTGATGAGCGGTGTGTCTTTGGCCGGAAAGATATCTTTCAGGTGTGTTGGGCGAGTGGTGCTAAATGCGCGGCCGTTGTGGACTGCTGTGACAAGGACGGTTGTGGTGGCCAGTGCCTTAAAGGCATGGCATGCGGTGGCAGGTTTTGCGCAAATGGAGGTTGAGAGCATATTTGGCTCAATTAGTTGTTAGATTGATGAAGATGAAGATGAAGAGTTGGTGTTGTGTGTGACACTGCGTGGCAGTTGTAGTTGGGAGGGGGCACCGGATGCGGCGGTTGTATAATGGAACAGTGTAAATGTCTTGAATGAGATGTTTGCTTGGAGAGTAAAATCCCAGAATTGCTGCCTGAGAAGGTGAACGATGGATTTATATATGACTCTTCCGAAAATAATTTTAATACGAAAAATATACAGGCCGCGGGAATAATAAAACACGCGCACGTCGCCTGATCGAAAAACGAAGACAGCTCGGATCGCAAAAGTCAATTGCAAGTGCTGCGATTGGTGGATGCGGGCCTACTGGCGGCGATTTCCAGTGGGTTTCCGGCGCGACAGGCGGATATCCTGAAGGTTACAGCGGGTCTCTCAGTGGTAGTAAGCGGGCTCCAGCGGGTTCGCCAGAGGGAATCCGACAAGTTACAGGGCATGTGGTCGGGTGCCTTCGGAGAAGCCCACCAATGTAGGGCACTGGCAGCCAAAAACTCCCGTGTTATTTTCGCGCTTCAGCGTATTTCTTTTCCCAACTCACTTCAGTTGACTCATTGTCGGGCATGGCGAGGCTTGGAAGCCAACCTTGACAACATCAGCTGATTTGAGCAAGTTTTAACTATTGGATTCTCCGGTAAATTGTAAATTGTGATAACTTTAATAACAAATATACGGAATTCCGAATTGGCCTCAACTTCAGAGACATCTATTCTTACATTCCTAATTCATTCATTAGATCAACCACCTTCTTCACAATCACCTGTCTCTTTTGCGTCGTCTCATCATCACTGTCAGATGGCCCTGCTGTTGCTGCCGGATCGCCGGTCTCGAAAGCTGCTAGCGCATCGCTCAACTGCTCAAGCTTTTTCAACTGCCCAATGCCGTCGATATCTCCGGGGACAAATACACCCTTCTCTCGTGCAATTGAATTCCACTGTGCCGCTCGCTTCCAAAGGGTCATATCCTCCTCCTTCAATCCTGCCGGTGGCGAACTGAAGTCATTTGCCACAATGCTCGGCCATATATCGCTTGGGTGGTCCAGCATCGAGTGTCCCATATCATAGAGTCCCATCTGATATTCCTCCACAGGATGAGAAACCCTCGAGAAATCAAAATCCAAGAGCGCAGTAATCCTACCGTCGTTTACATCGTAGAGCATATTGTTCATCGCTGCGCTTGTTAGAGCCATTTATCAACAACACTGGTCTACCAACTTACTAAAGTCTCCGTGAATGAGACAGCGCGATGCACCAAGCCCAGATAGTAGCTTCTGAATGCCTCCATGTGAAATGAAAGCATCGATCCGCTGGAAGATTTGATTATCTGCCGGTGCAGCCTTGGAGGCATCATCGGTTACGGCGACGAGCCGCTTGCGTAGCTTGGATATCCAAATATCCACAAAGTCAGACCACGGGCCGTCTTCCGTAAGTGATGATTGTCCAGAAACCATAGTTCCTGTTTCATCAAAGGTGATGCCACCCACTTGCGTAACTGACAAGGGAAGGGTAGCGTTCTGCAACGCGTAGAGAATCGCAGCCATTTGAGCCACGGCCTCTGTCTGTTTCTCGTTGGAGAGAGTCGGGAAGCATTTGTCTAAATCCGATCCATTTTTATACTCGGAAATTATCCATCCGAAGTGTTTTTCTTCTGTCGACTCTAGAGAAGTTGGTGGTGCCCATGCGTAAATGTCCGGAACCAGTCGCTCTAGCCCTGCGGCTACCAATGCCTGGCGCGCTAGCATAGAGCTTGCAACTTCATTTTGGATGCGGTTCTCATTGTTCAAACCATCAGCCTTTAGACTGCTAAGGCGCAAAATAAAAGTATCTGCATCTGTTGGCGCAGCAGTAGTTCCGCACTGCACACCAGCTAAAGATGCACCAATTGGGTTGCGCAGCGTTACTTTGTATAAATAATTGTTGAACGGAAACGGGAACTTTTCGTTGTATGCAACAGGAACAATTTTAAGTATCTAAACCGGTCAGAATAAATGTTAAACATGTAAATTAACTTACATTTGCTTCAAGTCCGCCAAAGATGTCTCGGACGCGGTCGAGCCGACGACTGTAACCGTCGTGATTAACATTCATATTTATTGAGTATGTATAGTACAGTATTGGGTTCAATCTCTGATTTGACCGTAATTAGAATTATCTTCTAAGAGGGGTTTGAGGGGATCCCTTTATACTAGTTGGGATGATCTGCCAGCTACAGCCTTTCACAGCCTTGTTCAAAAATAGGCGCAGAACTAGTGTTTTTGTTATTGAACCATGTGAAAGGTGGGTTCCTGCCGTTTTTGGGACAATTAATAATAGAAACTACATATTGAATCAATATCTGTACTGGTAAAAAACACATATGTATTCTACATGATATACTTTTAGATCACGCGATACAGATCATCACCCGTATGGTAACGTTTATGTTTGTCCTCGATGTGCTGAATCGATCCAACAAAGTCGCCTGTCGATTCAAGATATACATACTTTCCCAGTACTTCAGACTGTAGCTTCCAATGACTAAACGAGCCCTCTCTGCCTCTCGCAAATGCTTCAGCTTTGAATTCTAGCCGGTATAGCTTTTTAAGAGCGTAGGTCCAAACTCTCAAAGAGCTGGGTAGTTCGGATGCCGCGTTTAGCTCGTCGTCCATCGACGCTACAACCCAATTTCCGCTCCATGAGTAAGGATCAACAGTATCCGGAAGATCATTAAAAAGGTAGCAGGTCCAATATTTTACTGGACTGAATGTAGAGAGGCTCGGTAAGTTCAAGCCTTGTCTCGGAAATGGTATGCTGACCTGCTCGAGTCTGAGGTTGCTCAAGCTGATTAGTCTGCTGTTGGTAGGCGCACGTCCTGATGTTGCTCCTGCCTCGTAGTATTCGCTGGTTGGTGAGGAGTCCATGTAAGGAAAACTTCCTGATAATATCTCGGTTGCTGATAACATTGTCATAAGCTCCCACCGAACGAAGTCCCCAGCGCTGTCATAGCCATCTATGGCGGGTGGCGTATCCATCTCAAGTATATCCGTACAGTACTCCTAGTAATCACGGGTTGCGTACCAAGACACAAAGTTTAGACGCTTAGCTCTTGCTCTAGAGTCTTCAGAGAGCCAGTCTAGTAGGAAAATCGTGGAGCGCCTGGCGGACGAATTCGCGAGTCTGGGGTGCTGCCCACCTAAGCCGAACGTTTTCTTGGCAAATTCTAAGCCAAATAGGATGATTATGTGCTTTACAGAGCACAGATCCTGCCAGGAACACGCGAAAGATGACACGATGAAATCTGTCTGCCCACGTGAATTCTGATTCGCCGTGTTGTTCCTCAATAAAACGGGTGTATTTCCCTCCATCTAGGGCAAAGAAGATAGCTTGGAAATGATGGACAAGATAATGCAGGTCTTTACACTGTCTAAGCTCGGCAACTGTAGGCGGTCGAGCTTTGGCAGTCATGTCACATATCGGGCCAATGTCGGGAACTTCTACACCAGTTTCGATGGCATGTCGTATAGTGTCAGTTGCACGGCACTGTTTCGTACAGCTCATTAGAATAGGCACTCATAGAGCATACTAGCACAAGTTGCTTACTGCTAGCAGAGCATCTTCAAAAGCAGGGATGGTACGGATCCCCACCACTAAGCCAACCGGGCCAGAGCAGACCTTCCATATTCCATAGAAAGACATGCAAGTAGACGCTAGCGCTAGTAGTTGTTCGAAGCCATCGCATTCCTCAAAGATGCGGCATATAACTTCAACGGGGCATGATTCAAAAGGCCCTATTGCCCCAAGTAAAGAGTCAAGGCTGGTTCGGGAGTGAGCCGGCTCGGATTTCTCTTCGACTATTACCAGATGGGTGAGTGGCCATCCTCGCTTCGCTTTGGAGTACAGGTACCAGCCTTCGAAAGAGAGGCTTCCTGTGGTAGCTACTATGGAGTGGTACGAATTCTGTCGCCGTGAATTTGTTGTGGTAGCCTTGTTTGCAAGCAAACCTCTGTGTTGTCACTGTGCGGCGGCTGACGTCACTACCCCTGGCAACGACCTCCTGTAACTCTGACACACTCCTGAAGTGACTCCTTGCAAAGGCCAGTCGTCTCTATGGAGGATAGTTAGGCTAGCTGCATTCAAGAATCGAATAGCCAGCCTAATGTAGGACTGCATGCGGGCTTGGTAATAAAACCAGGCATTAAACCAGTTTAGCCCTTCGGAGTTGGCGAATGAGACATTCGCGGGAGCCCCGCGCTATAATGAGACAGTGCCAATGGGCACCCCACTAGCATACGCACTGTAAGCCACACTGCCTATCCCCACCAAATGCACACCAACCTAGCACGCGCATACAGTGTGAGTCACCACGCGTGCCACAGCCCCTCCTTCAGGCTTCAGGTGCCGAGGGGCCAAAAAATACAGCGTCAGCAGCGGCAGCCCAGCGGCCGAGGCGCCCTAAACTAACAGCCCGCACCTCACTAAGCCCGCTACAGAACGCATGTGTGGGCACCGCCGAGCGAAAAATAAAAAAATTATTCGCAAACCGTGATCCTCTCTCCCTTTGCCACGACACACACACGCACACACGCCTCTCCCCCCTACGCTCTCCCTACGCCTCCGTTGCTTCGACATCTCCAACTTTGCGATCCCGTCTCATCGACCTTCGACCGAATAACCACCAAAGAGTTACATACTTGCAAGTCACCATGCCACCTGCGAGACAGTGGGGTAAGCTTTTGCGCGCACCGAACCCCTCTACCCCTCCATGCGGCCGAATGAAGTCCATCACGGGCGACCTCTGACGATGGACGCCGGGCACAAACAAAAATAATATTATGCTGCCCGCGCGCTTTGGAGCCTATGGTCTACACATACTGCATAAGGAATATTAGGAACGGGATATCGGTATTATACGCAGCACTAACGCTTTTGTTTTACAGACGAAGAGGACAGCGACTCTAGCTCTGGCGAGTCCTCCACTGTTGCCCAGAACACCACCCGCCGCCGACAGTTTGACGACGAGGAAGACGATGACGATGTAAGACCTGCCCCAAGATATTTCCTCTTGCAACCTACACTAACGAAAAATACCAGGTTCTCGACTCCTGGGATGCCGCCGAAGACTCTGAAGTAGAACGCGAAAAGGCCAAGAAGGCTGCCGAGGTCAAGGCTAAGGTTGAAGCCGAAGCTGCCGCCAACAAAAAGTCCAAGAAGGAGCGCATTCTCGAGCACCAGATGGAGCGCGCTCGCATTGCTGATGAGGAGGATGAGAGTGAGGAGGAAGAGGATGAGGCTGATCGCCGCGCCCGCCTCCGCCGCACCGAGAAGGAGTCTGATCTCCTCCACGCCGAAGATTTGCTCGGCGACGTTGGTGGCGTTCCCAACGGCCGTACCTCCACTACCTCTGGTGCTGCTGTCATTATTGACTCCAAGGACCCCACCAAGACCGTCAACTTCAACACTATCCCTCTCTTCAACCCTCAGACAAAGACTCAGTTTGCCACGTTGCGCACAACTCTTGGTCCCGTCCTCGCCGCCAACGTCAAGAAGGGTCACTACACCCTCTTCCTTGAGGAGTTTGCCAAGGACCTTGCCCGCGAGCTGCCCTCTGACCAGATCAAGAAGATTGCCAGCTCCCTCACCCGTCTCTCCAACGAGAAGATGAAGGATGAGAAGGCTGCTGAGAAGGGTGGCAAGAAGACCAAGGCTGCCAAGACCAAGACCTCTCTCAACACCACGCGAGCCAACGCCCCCGACGTCGACACCTTTGAGGACGACGCCTTTGGTGATGACGACTTCATGTGAGAGGCGTAAGCAGGAAACGTGAAAAAACAAATGCGACGCCGCAATGGAGGTAGAGGGGAGCCGGCAGCAATGCCATACAAAAATTGCCTTCGCCTCAGTTGCGCAAGACACGCTCGCGCTAGCCTCGTTTTCGTCTTTACACTGCATGTGTTGCCCCAAGGCACACGCAGGTAGTGAAGGATACTCAGCAGGCCACTCATTAGAAAGGCGCATGGTACTTGACATTTTACAGAGCATGTCCGAAAAGGAGCGATGGAAAGAGGAATGATGCTTTCCTTGAGAGTTGTTATTTGTTTGGTCCTTTATGTTTTGTCCTTTTTATTTCTGGTTTTGCTTCCTCTCCCATACTTAGATATTTGATTGCATGGTACAGCTACGTGGAGGTAATTACGGTCGAAATACATTCTTCATTGATTATTCGTCTGTGCTAAGGGTGACAGAGCTAAGCTGCAAGCCAGTACAATTAGATGTTGCCAAGGGAACAAAGTGGTGGGTGAAAAAGGTCGTAATAGTATTAAAAAGCCCATAGAGGCAAGGGTATCGTATCAAATCCTACATATAGTACAGTGTGTCTAGCTAGACAACATTTCCTGCCATACCCATGAATAAGGCGTGGACGGCCAGGCTCAGCGTCCAGAAGCCAACTTTCTTAAACCGTCGTACGCGGCTTTGCTGGTCTTCGACGTCCTGCGCAAATGCTTCATACGTCTCAGCTGAAGTATCGCTCATTAAGCCGCAATCATAAAGTGTCCATGAACCGTCAAAGTCTGACATACGCTTAACAATACGGCATGATATCGGAATATATGTCTTTTTGGCGTTGATATATGCGACAATAGGGCGGACAAGGGCCTGGTTCACGTAGGACATGTCTTTCGTGAAGAGGGGTACAGCAGCCTTCACGTCGTTCAAATTGATACGCAGATCCATTATGAGAATGCGACGGTCGTCAGGTTCTTCAGAAGGCACATCATGGGACGGAGACAGGTCGTTGAAAGGGTGAGCAGCTTCGTAAATATGACCTTGCTGGGGCAGTTCGGGGTTTTGGAGGAGGGGGGTTTCGTCGGGAGAGGTATTAAGGAGGCGATAGCGGTTGGAAGTGACCATCTCCTCGAGTTGTTCGTAGAAATCGGCAATAACTTTTGAGAGACCTTCGTCGTTATCTTTGGGGAACATGACATCAGCTACAATATCAACATTGCCCTCGTAGATCCAGCCAAATGGACCTTCAACACCGCGGTTCAAGTGATCAATTTTGAGATCGTCAATTCGCAGTCGGCTGAGCTTCTTCCATGCATCAGACTCAATGATTCCAGCTGCCTGCCCATGCTGTGGACTAATGCCGTGCACTTGACGCGGGTGGATGGTGAATAGCGAGCCATCGAAGGAGCCTGAGACATGATTGGCTGATAAGAAGTCGTAAAATAGCCATTGTTTTCGCAACTGCGGCAGCTCGCACGAGTATATGCTGACAGAGAACGGCCGGAAGCCGTTAGGTTGGTGTACCGTAAGTAAAAGGTCTTCCAGCTTGAACGACTCAATCTCAAAATCACCCGGCTGGTGCTCGTGGCGATAGGAGTATGGATCGATAGGTATCAACGGCCACTTGACAGACGTTCGGTCTATAACGCCTCGTACACCGTTGACTTCGACGTCCTTTAATAAGCCCTTACTATTCCACCAATTAATAAAAGACAAAGTGACATAGACATTTGCAATCGTCACGTCAAACTGGGTATAGTTTCCATCATCGTGATCACTGACGTTGCCCATCTGAGCATGCCTTCCGGCAGCTGCAACAGCGGCAGCATCTGATGAACCTTTGCTCACAGACGACTTAACCTGGCCAGGGCGGCGCGAGACGAAGACGTTTCTAAAAGCAATCACGCCATCACCCCACTTAGGAACAATGGCAGATTCAAACACCACAGTAATGCCCGCAGACTGTGTCAAGTAATCACCAATCCATCTGGCAAGAGTTTCTAGGCTAGTTAGTACACATAAACTTGATGGTAAACTTCAACATACCTTGTGCGAAGACGGTGTTTATAGAGAAAATTAGTAATGAGAAAAAGGTCGTCGTTCCAACTAGAATCCAAACAATATGTCCCAGCATGAACCATGAGACAAAGGCGCCCCATTCATCGGCATTCCACGGCCGCATACTGCGGATAGACGCCCATTTGAATCGGACTTTCAGCCTTTGCCAAAAGCCTGTCGCCGCAGCTAGCAGTTCTTCTTTGGTAGGCCTATGAGGCAAGTGTGGCAAATGTAAATATTTCGACACTGACGTTGCGAGCGACTCGTGTTCGCCTTCAGGCGGTTGTTGTGTTGCGTTTGTCGTTGTCTTTGGCGGCTGTCCAGATGACGCTTGATCTGTCTTCGGCCTAACCTCTTTTGGTATCGGTTTATCATCCTTGGTGCTATATAATCGTTTATGACAAGCCCATTGTATAGGGCTAAGGCGGAAAGATGCGCGCTGATTCAATGCAAATTTTGGTACCGTTGTCACTCCGACGGCAGGACGTTGGCTGTTGGTCACGTGTCGCAAAGAGGAAGAAGAGTATGGTCGATATGAGGGCAGAGCAACTTTATAGAATGTTCGGAGAGCTGGAGATGATTGTATAGGGGATGGTGACGGAGTTGCTAGGCGAAGGTGCTCGTAGATTGCCGGGCAAGGTAAATTTGCTGTCGTTCGGAGGCCGCGAACGGGCCAAAGGGGTATTCTTTTGGACATTTTCTACCGCGGCATCGTGGCTGAATAACTGCGCGGGAAAATAGAACAACTATCGCCGAGTGTGATGATACAGACGATGAATCCCCCCTTTGAATCCGGAAGTTGCAAAAGCGTCACGGCGGCGATGTCCTGGAAGTGGAGGTTGGAAAGTCGACGGACCATTAAACTTGCTAGTTGGAGCCCCGTTTGCCAATGACGCGCTGTTAGGATAGCATGGTTTGGCGCCCGGAGCCAATCGATAAGCCACGATAAGGTGCGATAAAACCCACCACAAATTTTCAGTAGCGCAGCGAGCAGCGACGCTTTTTTTGCCTTTTCTCGGGCTCTCCACTAAAATTTCAGCAACTTTTTTATTGTCGAGAGATCAAGCGACAAACCACTAGCATATACGTCGAGTGCATCAACTAAAGATTTGTTGCCATAGTACGGGATCAACTTTCCACCGCCGATATTACCCAATTTATATACACAAATATACAAAATGCCTGCCCCTACTGCTCTCAAGCAGGCCGAGGACACTCCGCTGCCCGAGGCCACTGCCCCTCAGGGTCCGTTGGTACAACTCTTTTATTCGGTGACAAAATACTGACAAAATTCATAGACGCCGCCGGTGATGAATTTCTTCTCGACACTGCCGAACCCATGTCTGATGCGATCGAGTTCATCTCTCCCGAAGATCCTGAAGGCGATGAGTCCATGGCTGTTGACGAGGAAGGTCGTCCTCGCTTCGCCCCCGCCAAGGACATTGTATGTTTCTCTATTTTTAATATCTATGACTATAAACATGCTCTAACACTCGATAGGATCCTGTCACTCGCGTCGAAACCCGCAAAGTTCCTATCCCTCCTCACCGTATGACCCCGCTTAAGCAGGCATGGCCCCAAATCTACCCTCCCCTGGTCGAACATCTCAAGCTGCAGTGCCGTATGAATATTAAGCGCAAGAGCGTTGAGTTGCGTACCTCGAAGCATACCAATGACACTGGGGCTCTTCAAAAGGGCGAGGACTTCGTTAAGGCATTTACACTCGGCTTTGACGTTGATGATGCTATTGCGCTGCTACGTTTGGACGACCTTTATATCGAAACCTTTGAGATTAAGGACGTGCGAACAATGCATGGTGACAGTCAGGCCCGCGCTATTGGACGTATTGCAGGCAAGGATGGCAAGACCAAGTTTGCTATTGAAAACGCCAGCAGAACGAGAGTTGTCCTCGCTGACTCTAAGATTCACATTCTTGGTGGCTTCAAGAATATCCATATGGCTCGCGAGTCCATTGTCAGCTTGATTTTGGGTAAGCCTCCTGGCAAGGTCTATGGTAACCTGCGCACAGTTGCTGCCAGAATGAAGGAGCGCTTCTAAGCGGATTGATGAGTACATATAAAAATTACAGGTGGCATGGATGGCATGGACGGAGTTCTCTGGCGTTGAGCATTAACAATTTCCCTGGGCCTGCTCTCGATTTCCTCTTTTTTTGGTTTATAAAGATTAGCATAAATGAAATCCATTACGACTCATTTGGAACTTCGTCGACACGGCGTGACTACAAACTGCTGCTCCGGTTTAGGAGACTAGGTTGCCAAGGGCGTGACGGTAATTTACTACGAAAGGCGCATGTTACATCCGTCTAAGATACAATCGGCGTAATAGCCACCATATCATACCTAGTAAGCATGCTCACCGTAGCAAGGCTTATCGTTATCTGTCGCATTGAAAGATTGGCTGATTGGCCAGGGAGTCCATATATGACACCCTCCAGAATGTATTGTGTCTGTACCAGCGTCATATCTTTCTAGATAAACATGGTAACGATAATTGCCGCTCATACTCAGTTAAGATATATAGATTGCCCACGGGGTTGAGCTGGGTAGTTCTTATAGGCTGTGGTGAGAAGAAGACGCTGGTGGAGTCGAGGGGAAAGGGTATTCTGCTACTGTTGTTTCTGCCAGTTCGCCCAGTAACATACAAGACTGTTGGGGAAGGAGTAAGCAGTGGCCTAATCGTTATCGGACAACCTTCTAGCGTTGCCTGGTTGGCTAGGACAACCCGGAGGGGCTAAGCTTTAGCTGTCGCAAGCCAAAGAGGGGCAGAGGTTTTTTTGGGGAGCGAAAAAGGATGGCCCCACCACGTAGCCCCTCCATAAACCACTGCAAACAGAGCCCAGTGGTTGGCTACAGGGGATGATGCGCGCTAAAAATTGGTGTGCGAGGGGAGCTTGCGATAACCCTCCGTTACCGTTCTTTATCTAGCCCGCCTTCTGCTGCTGTCTATTTCTTTCCACCTCTTGCTTCTCTTCCTTCTCTTCTTTCTTTCTTTCTTCATCACCTGGAATCTTTTCTTCCGTCTAAAAGGTACGTCTTACATGAATTATACCCTCTGTGTTCCCAGTCCGTCGTCAATCACTGCCTCTTCATCCTCTCAACCTTTTTTCTTTGCCAATTGCTACCCCACGAGCTAGGGCCTCGCTCAACGAGAGCGAGTCCTGGTTGAGGCATATTGGTGACAAGACGGTGCATGTCGACGAAACCAAGCAATGGCTCTTTCACAAGCAAGCAATGGTTTTCTGCCATGAACACGCTGCCGCCGGATTATTTTCTTGCTCTTCAGTCAAACACACGACGTCACAATGGCGTTGCTCTGTTGCCCCTCCTTGCCCCTCCCGCTACCCCTGCAACAGCGCCCAACCATAGCAACCCAGCATCTCACAATTGCGAATCTATTTGCTGACCATCCTCACCAGTTTTCTTATTATCACGATTCTTCAAAATGGCCATCACCAAGGTTCACGCCCGCTCTGTCTACGACTCCCGTGGTAACCCCACTGTCGAAGTTGACCTCGTCACGGAGACTGGCCTCCACCGCGCCATTGTCCCCTCCGGTGCCTCTACCGGTTCGTCCCGATCCCACCCCATTTCCCATTTTCGTGCCGAAACAAAGCGTAACCGATTTTAAAACAGGTCAGCACGAGGCTGTTGAGCTCCGTGATGGTGACAAGTCCAAGTGGGCTGGTAAGGGTGTCACCAAGGCTGTTGAGAACGTCAACACCATTATCGGCCCTGCCCTCATCAAGGAGAACCTTGATGTCAAGGACCAGGCCAAGGTCGATGCCTTCCTCAACGAGCTCGACGGTACCCCCAACAAGGGTAAGCTCGGTGCCAACGCCATCCTCGGTGTTTCCCTGGCTATTGCTAAGGCTGGTGCCGCTGAGAAGGTGAGATTCGTCCGAACAAGTTGAACGAGAATTTGCTAGATTGCTAACTGTCGCCAAGGGTGTCCCCCTGTACGCTCACATCTCCGATCTCGCCGGAACCAAGAAGCCCTATGTCCTCCCCGTTCCTTTCATGAACGTCCTTAACGGCGGGTAAGAACAAATTGGGAATGATACGTCTTGTCGCATTACTAACAACTCCTAGTTCCCACGCCGGTGGTCGTCTCGCTTTCCAGGAGTTCATGATCGTTCCTACGTACGTACAATGCTATTTATAACCTATAGTAAGAGTCCTGCTAACTGCATATAGCGATGCCCCCACCTTCTCCGAGGCTATGCGCGAGGGTGCTGAGGTTTACCAGAAGCTCAAGTCTCTTGCCAAGCAGCGCTACGGCCAGTCCGCGGGCAACGTCGGTGACGAGGGCGGTGTCGCTCCCGATATCCAGACTGCTGCTGAGGCCCTTGACCTCATCACTGATGCCATTGAGCAGGCCGGTTACACTGGCAGAATCAAGATTGCCATGGACGTTGCCTCCAGCGAATTTTACAAGGTTGAGGAGAAGAAGTACGATCTTGACTTCAAGAACCCCGACTCTGATCCCACTAAGTGGCTCACCTACGAGGAGCTTGCTGCTCAGTACAGCGAGCTCTGCAAGAAGTACCCCATTGTCTCCATTGAGGACCCCTTCGCTGAGGATGACTGGGAGGCTTGGAGCTACTTCTACAAGACCCAGGACTGCCAGATTGTTGGTGATGACTTGACCGTTACCAACCCTATCCGCATCAAGAAGGCTATTGAGCTCAAGGCTTGCAACGCCCTTCTCCTCAAGGTCAACCAGATCGGTACCCTCACCGAGTCTATCCAGGCTGCTAAGGACTCCTACGCTGATGGCTGGGGTGTCATGGTCTCTCACCGCTCTGGTGAGACTGAGGATGTCACCATTGCTGACATTGTTGTTGGTATCCGTGCCGGTGAGATCAAGACTGGTGCTCCTGCCCGTTCTGAGCGTCTTGCCAAGCTCAACCAGATCCTCCGCATTGAGGAGGAGCTCGGTGACCAGGCCATCTACGCCGGTGCCAACTTCCGCACTGCTGTCAACCTGTAAATTCGTGACAGCGAATCAAAGGCAAACGCTGCTCAGCTAATTTGGGATTGTCCGCGCCGCGGATATAAAATAGGCGCATGATGAAATGAAGTACAGATGGTTTACGCGAGGCTAGCAGATTTGATGAATATAATAATAATAAACTCCCAAAAAAAAAAGTCAATGTTTCACGTAGGAAGACGTTCTTTCTTGCACAGTAAGGCTGAATAAACGCTGTTATCCTTCTGATTCACTAATTTCGGTGCTGTTAGTAGTCTAACTTCACGCTGCACCAAAGACCAAGGTGGGGGGACCCTGGCCCGCAACTCACATCACCACAGCAACAACGACGCGGTCACAACAAATACTATTAACGGCATTCGTGAATGTTTGGCGTCACGTACTCTTTTTTTAATCTTCAACTAACCAGCAGCACGCAACAATATTCTCTCGACCATCGACACGTCGTGATTTTTCAGCTACTTTTTGTTATCGCGCCAATAACAGAGTTAGTTCTGCGCAACATGGCTGCTTCAGACGATCTGGTCGATTTCGACCTGATCGAGGGGCAAAAGGAAAATATCCAGTCTCTACCTGGCGGGCGCTCTGCCAGGAAGCTCGCAGAGTTGTACTCACCCTCACCTCTACACAAGCTCTCGACACCTACGCCCACAGATACAAAAAATGTTAACGACTGTATTCGCGCCGAATACGAAGCGGAGGTGCAAGCGCTGAGCGAGTCGGACGATCCTCTCGATGTGTACGACCGGTATGTGCGCTGGACTCTGGATGCGTACCCTTCGGCACAAGCCACTCCTCAGTCACAGCTCCATACGCTGCTTGAGCGTGCTACCAAGACGTTCATCACATCGGCTCAATACAAGAACGACCCACGCTACCTAAAGTTATGGCTACACTACATTCAATTTTTCTCAGACTCTCCCCGTGAAACGTACGTGTTCCTATCAAGACATGCCATTGGCGAAGGCCTGGCTTTGTTTTATGAAGAATTCGCCGCGTGGTTGGAGAGCGCTCAGCGCTGGGGTCAAGCTGAAGAAGTCTACAAGCTGGGTATTGAGCGCGAAGCTCGGCCTGTTCAACGCCTCTTGAGAAAATTCAAGGAGTTTGAAGAGCGAGTATCTCAGAACCCAGATGCTGACTTAGACCGGCCATCTTCTCCTGCATTGCCGCTTGCTCGCCCTGCCCTCGCCGCAAAACTTGATCCGTTTGGTGGCGCAAGTCCTGTAGAGAATGATCCTCAAGCTCCTGCACCACGTGGTGGAGTAGCTGCTGGTTCTTCAAAGCCAGCAAAGTCCAAACTTGCCATATTTTCCGACTCTGACGCTAAAACCCCTGCTCTTGGTTCGCGAGGTGAGGACTCCAAGGGATGGGACTCCATCGGCTCGCTTGCCGATCGCAAGAAGGAAAATACCATAGAGCCAAAGCCATGGGCTGGCGAGACGCTCAAGGCTGGTGGCAAGAAGGCTGACGGCCCCAAGATGATGGTTTTTAGGGATACCGTAAGTTCCAATACCTTCTCTCCCCCAGAATCTCTTCCCGTGTTGATTGGCAATAGGACTAATATATGACTTATGTATTGTTTAATGCAGTCTCTTTCCAAGATTAAGAATGTCGTTGTTGTAGTGCCATCAAAACACCAAGTGACTGTTCACCCGCAAACTGGTAAAAAAGAGTGTATAGTTGTCGATCTCGCTGCTATATACCCCACGCCCGACGAACAAGGAACCGAACGGGGATTCGAAGAGATAATGGCAGAGAAGAGGGGCTGGTTGGATTGTTCATGGGAGGATGATACCATCGAGGAGACCCGCGTGCCCGAGCCGGACTTGAGAATGGACGAGATTGAGCAAATCAGCAGCAAGCTCGTAACCAAGTTGACGGTTCACCGCGACGAGAATGCCTACGATGAGAATGGTGCGGTAAAGCAGACCATCCAAGACCCCCGCCCAACAAAAAAAAAGAAGGTTATGGACGTGAACGAAACCCAAATCAGTAAGTCGAACGTCTGCACTAGATAGAGACGTTGCTAACATTATGTAGTCAAAGCAAAATTGGATTCTCCTTCGGGACCAAAGATGCGTAAAAAGAACGCCTCGGAGCCAACGATGACGATCCATACCAAAGCCGCTACAGATGATATCTACGACATTTTCAATGCGCCTCTGAAGCCAACTGCCGAGGAGGAGATTGAGAATGGTTACGAGAGCGATGACTATACCACGGATGCTGAGAGTGTTGATGCCACGCGGCAGATTGAAAGCGAAAATGGTGATGAGGAGGACAACGATGTTGAAGGTGATGATGATGCCAAAAGTGCCAGCGAATGGTCCGAGTTTTCGATGCACAGACAAGACCATGATTTTGTTGAGCCTGCAGCTAGGCTGCAAGATTCCATCATGTCAGACCCAGACCACGAGGCAGACATTACACCAACCATTCATGATCATCTCACTGGTCATAACGAAAACATTCATACGCCTGATTCGCCGCCCAAAAGCAGAACCACCTTTGTTCCTATCCCACCGGAAGACTACGATCCGCCCACTCGTCCGTATAGGGATCCGGTCGAGATGGCTAACAATCGGCTGCCATTCATGACACCAATTACAGAGCGAACCGAGACAGGATTAGATGTTGAGGCACGCGCATATCATTACAAAACACCATGCAAGCGAGATGCTAATCAGCTTGTCAGTGAGTATGATGAGGACCTCGAGCCTCTTAGCAGTCCTCTGAGAGAGATTGTTGAAGAAGAGGAGGAAGTGGACGAGGCACCAATGCCCAAAGTACCTACAACACTTCAGTCTAAGCCCGCGGCACATGCTGCTCCTAGAAACGTACTAGGAAATAAGAACGTCTTGGGAAACAAAGTCTTGGGCAATAAGGCAGCTCTCGGAGCGAAGGTAGTCCCAAAGAAGGGACCAACCATCATGGACAAACTCTGCAATCCGTTGGATAACAATGTTCGTGCCGAGATTATGGCGAGTACACAGCCACCCATGAGCTCATACCGCGGCTTCTATGATCACCGCAAGGAAAACTACGAACGCGGTGCTGAAATCCGCAAGTTTGTCAAGGCTCTCCAGGCCAAGGGACCCAAAGCCGAACGCAATGGGTCATTACCAGCGCCTGTAAACATTGAGCTACCGGATGTCGATACGACGTACGGAGTAAGAAGAATGCTTGGTGAGGGAGCGTTTGCGCCTGTGTATCTTGTCGAGAACACAAATCCCGAAGGTGGTGAGAATGACGAAAATGCTGCAGTCATGGGACGTGGTGCATTTTCTGTCAACCAGCGAAGTCACTACGAGGCGCTCAAGATGGAGGCTCCTCCTACAGCATGGGAATTCTACATGATGAGGCTAGCGCATTCGCGTCTCGGGCAGCACCGTGCGGCAGAGTCGTTGACCTATGCCCATGAGATGCACCTGTACAAGGATGAAGCGTTTTTGTTTTTACCATACCATCCAAACGGAACGCTTCTAGATGTTATCAACCACTACCATGCCGAACCGTCAGGTGTCATGGACGAGCAGCTTGCCATGTTCTTTGCTATTGAGCTGCTGCGCACAATCGAAACACTGCACTCCAAGGGCGTGATCCATGGCGACATTAAGGCAGATAACTGTCTGCTGCGTCTTGATCCGCTAGCGGATGGCGAGATCCTGTCAAGTCAGTGGAAAGCCAATGGCCGCAATGGTTGGTCAGCGCGTGGCCTGACTTTGATTGACATTGGGCGCGGTATCGACATGAAGGCGTTTATCCCCGACGTCGAGTTCTTTGCCGACTGGAAGACATCGGAGCAGGATTGTGCAGAGATGCGCGAGGCGCGCCCCTGGACGTGGCAGATTGACTACTTTGGCCTGGCCGGCACCATCCACTGCCTTTTGTTTGGCAAATACATTGAAACAATGCGTGTGGACCAGGGTGGCATTGGCAAAAGCGGCAGGCGCTACAAGATTCGCGAGAGTCTAAAACGGTACTGGCAAACGGAGATTTGGGGACAGTGCTTCGAGGTGTTGTTGAATCCTGCGGCGCACTGCGAGGCCGAGGATGGCGGCAAGATGCCAGTGCTCAAGGGCATGCGAAGCGTCAGAGAAAGCATGGAGGCTTGGTTGGAGAATAACAGCGAACGTGGAGTGGGATTAAAAGGAGTAATGAACAAGTTGGAGAATTGGGCCAAAATGCGCAAGTAGAAAGGGTTTGGAGTGGTGGATAAGTGACTGGTGTGGTGTACCTTTAGACTATAGACTGGGCCGATGGGCGTACCTTTGTGTTCGTGGGCATATATGATTTACCTTGTGTACATAATTTATACATATGAAAGTTTGATATCATTCTGTTTTCTTCGTCATTCTTATACAATCTGGTGATGATACATTGATGCTACGCCCCTCATCAAATACAATGCTTTTCTTTTTCGGACAACTCAACTCCTCGCTTCCCAAATATGCTCGCCACACAACTCCTCCTCTATGCACTCTTCTTCTTAACAAAGCCAGCTAGTGACCCTTGCTTCTTGCCGTCCTTGCTCGCCTTCTTATCAACCTGGCTCTGGATCTTGGCCCGCTCACCTTCGCCTCTGGCGTACAACTCTGCTTCAAGCTTCTTGAACTCGTCGCCTTCGGCATCCATGCCCACCAGGCTCTCGAGGAGCTTGATCTCGTCTGCCCATACCTGCTTATCCTCAATTGTCTTTCCGTTGGCATCCTTTCTATCGATCGGTGTCTCTAGAACCATCGGAAGCCCTGCAAAGGATGGCGTGTTCATGAGAGAGTGGAATGCTCGAAGACCAAGGAAACCGGTACCAATGTTGGCGTGTAAGTCTCTGTTGGATCCAAACGGTGCCTTGCTGTCGTTGACTGCGCGCGGCTGTGTTAGTGGGGGGTTGTGTAAATTGGGTGCTGCTTGCCAAACTTACGATGGAACGCCTTGAGGTACTTTTCGCCAACAATTTCGTTAAACTTGTCCATGGTTTCTTTAAATGCTGCTGGTGTGCGGAGATCGTGGCCGGCAGCAAAGGCATGGCATGTATCAATGCAGACACCCACGCGCGTCTTGTCGTCTACCAGCGCAATAATGTCTCGCAGGTCCTCCCAGGTTGAGCCTACGACGTTTCCTGCGCCTGCCATGTTCTCGAGCACTGTTATGACGCTCTCTGTGTCCTTGTGAGACTTGTTGAGTTGCGCGGCGATTCTGGCGAGGGCTGCTGGTCGGGGTTCTCCGCCTGTGGATCCGGGGTGGAAGTTGTACAGCTTGATACCAAGCTCGTCGCAGCGCTTGAGATCATCTACAAAGGCTTTGTATGCTTGTGTCGCCTTGGCTTCGTCTGCTTGCGCCAGGTTCACGAGATATGAGCCGTGAGGGAGGGCGTGCTCGGCGGCGGAGTATGAGTGTGCTTTGCACCCGGCAATGAAGGCATCGCGAGCATCTGGGGCAAGGGGTGGGTTATCCCATTTGCGCTGAGACTTGAGAAACAGAGCGAATGCGTTGGCACCGATATGGACAGCATTGGGGAGGGAGTTGGCAACCCCGCCAGCCGCTGAGACGTGCGCGCCGATGCGCATTGCGTGTTTGAGGCTGGAGACATCTGTCCGGGCTGCAAGAGGCATCTCGGGCTCGTCTTTGGCTTTCGTCTTGCGTTGTTTCTTTGCGGCAGGTGCCTTGGTGGTAGGCTGCTCGTCCAGGGATGGCGAAGCCTTGCGCTTAGTAGCAGTTTTAGCTTCGGTTTTCGCCTTGGGTGCTGCTTTAGTTGGATATGACTCGTTTGAAGAGTCGTCTTCAGCGTAATTGATTGATGCGCGCTTTCGGGAAGTTTCGCGGGCCATTTTAGGTGGTTGGTAGTGATTTGGAAGCTCGAGGGCAAGAATTGGCGTTGCTCTAGATGTTGGATAACGTGACGGGTTAAAGGGCGGACGCGCAGTCATGTGATCTACCCGACACCTTTATCACACATGGTAGCGCGCATCGTGTATGCCGTACTGGTAACATTGTAATGTTTTTGTTTTCTATATATACCTTTATTGTTCATTCATACGGTACTATGTAGTTATACGTTGCAAAGTTGTGCAAATTTTCATTATAAAGTGGTCACAGAGCCGATGTGTAATGTACAATATCCAAATGGGGCGAATGACATCATGGTATTAAAGTAGGCACCAGAGGTTGGGAAGAAATACAATCAGCTCAATCTGAATTCATACAACTCCATGCTTATAGCGCTAAATCATACATGCATTATGTCCATTACTCCTCCTTAAACTCCAACTCGCTTACGCGGCCCGCGGCAAACACATCCTTGTAGCTGTTCCAGAGCTTCTCGAGCTCCTGTACGTATGCCTCGTGGTAGCGGTCGATTTCTTGCTGAGTAGGCTGGTGGCCAGGTTGGGTATGTACACGGATAGGGCGGCCAATAACCACGTTAACCGGTCGGCGGTAGGGCATCAGACCAACGTCGTAGTTCAGCAGGCCACGGCCGTGCATAGCAGGAAGCGTAAACTTGAATACCTTGAGGCAGAACATCTGGAAGCGATGGACGCCGGGGTGAGTTCTGGCACTGAGCTGGTCGTAAATATCATTCTCGCCAAAGCCCATAACGGGGACAAGGTCCGCGCCGCTGCGCAGGGCCATCTTGACGAAACCCTTGCGGTTCTTGAGAATTAGTCGCAGGTGACCGGGCTCGGCCTCGAGAGACTCGCGAGCACCGCCAATGACAATGGTGACGGCACGGCCCTTACCATCGTTATCGGGGCCGCCGCGGCTTAGAAGATTGCGAATAGATTCCTTAGAGACAGAGCTAATGCCCATCGAGAGAATCCAGTCGCGGAAAAAGGGAAGGCGGAAGTTGGAGTCGAGAGTCAACAGGGAGTTTGTGATGCCGGGGAACTTCTCGCTGAAGCCAAGCGCATTGGTGGCAAAAGATGCCCAAGCGCCATGGGAAATGATACCGTGCGGGTGATATCCCATAATGTAGCGGCGGCTGGGATCGAGGTCGGCCGTCTTATGCAAGTGAAGAGGGAAGTATCCGGCAAAGAGCTTCCAGAGGCGCAGGTTGCGAATGCGCTCTGAGCGACGAGCCAGCTTGCCATCGGTAGGAGCAGAAGAAAAAGTCAAGTAAATGAGGTAAGGAATGAGGAATGGCCACGAGAGCGGATTGGCGCAGGTAAACCAGAAAATAGAGAGAAAGACAACGATGCCCATGCAGTGGAATAGCACAGCCGCAGTTTGTAGGCGGCGCTTGAGTGGGATCTTGAACGGCGCAAAGCGAACGCCGACAGCTCGCCAGCCCGAATTTTCGTGATCATCGGCAGTATAGTCGAGCTCTAGCGGAGGGTACGGTTCGGAAGAAACAAGGTCATCGTAGGTGCCGTTGGTGGTGACGCCGGCGCCATTCACCTTTTCACTGTGCGGCTTGCGTGCTGTGGCCTTTGTCTTGGGCGTGAGGAAGCCTGTAGAGGTGGCTGGCGTGTCCTCTACACCCGACGAGAGGTTTGTATCTGTCGAGACACTGTGCTTGAGAGTGGGAGTAGCAGCAGCCATTTTCGTCGGTTGTTGTGATTCCGAATCTGAAGCTGGGTGAGCCCAATCTGTGCAAATAAAAAAGAGGTTAGCAGTGGTGCGAAAACAGGCAAGGTCGGCGGCGCCGTGTCTCTTTTTGTTACAGCGAGACAACGACGCCTAAGGTCCGACGGAAACAGGGAAGCGGCGTACGATGCGGCAGCCTCGGTCGTGGGCGGGGACTGCTGTGGGAGCCTGTTACTCTGGCGCCAGGATGCGAGTGTGCGCGTGAAGGACAGCCGTTGAGGATGCGGTGCAGGCGGTTTCTGTTTTTGAAGTCGGCCAGAGGTTGCGGTGGTTGGCAGTAGAACTCGGAAGCTCCTGAGGATTGCATTTCACAGCTTTCCTTTTACCTTCAGGGCTTTCTTTGTTCGCCTTCAGTCGCGGCGGGTGGCAGCAGAGTTCGTGGGTTAGGGGAGGCAACCAGAGCTGTAGCTGTGGTGGTAGGGAGCCAAAGGGCGCTGGAATGAGGGCGCAAGGTTAATCGTAGAACATTGGAAAAGGAATAAAAAAAAGAAGGTATAGCGATATGGAAGCAAAACAAATAAAAAAAAAGATGGAAGAAGAATACAATAAAGAGAAAAACAAATAAAGGAAAGAATAGACACGACAGTGGTGGTGTGGTGTATGCGCGATCGCGTCTCCTCTGCAGGTCGAGGAGGAGGAGCAGGCGTGGGATGGGTTAAAAGAATGACGTCCCTGAACCCATCACACGGCTGTTAAGCTATGAGGCAAAGCTACGGCACTATAATACGCTATGCTACTCGCAAATGAAACCCACTAATACAGCCTGCTGGTCTCCCCATGATCTGCTTTGCTTCTGCTGCAATAACATACAGTCTGGCAGCTTAGCGCCTCAACAAGTGCTGTCCGTTGAAATTGCACTGCTGAGCCAGCGACTTGCTCTGTGGCCTGTCCTTTTAGGCGGGTGGTACGCTGTGGCGGCCAATCCCAGCACAGAAACCCCCTCTCCGGCTTTTCAGCTGCCAGCACCCACCCCCCACCACCACTAGAATCTGGCCGGCACGGGCCAGACCGAACACGAGCTAACCAAGCAGTCTTTTTCACGTGAAAGACATCAGTGACCTTGCTTTTTCTTCAGCACCTATGTTGCAAGCCTGGTGCCGCTTGTTTATTGACACTCTTGCTAGTTTTTCAGTGGGCTTTAGTGGACTTTGGCTCTCCATACGGAATCGCCGGTAAATTAAACCAGCCTAATCTGGGGAAGTGCCCCGAACTGCAGCAACGGGCACCGGAGGAAAAAAAGCATATGATAGCCAGCCCTGGGCAAGCCGCCGTTGAGTAACCCCTGCCCCTAGCTGGGTAGGCTTTGCTAGCTGGTGAAGAGATCGTGCCTAGTTCGATATAACGCGATAGTTGTAGTTGATGCTGGTTTGCAGAGAGTCACAGACAGTGGCTGATGGTCCATTATGATTTGACAGTGGTCACGGTTCTAGTAATGGCCGTAGGGGTTATTGTATATTATCTCGGTGTGCTAACAGCAGCTACAGTGTAAGGCGTTACGGACAGGCAGACCGATGAGATCCGAACAACAATAGGACCCCGTGTTATATGAGAACCGCAAATAAGCAAAGGTCCCAAAGTCAAAACCACGCTAACCTTGTGAAGTGTGTCTTACGTCTATACATCAGTTAGCCCGCCTTCGTCTTTGGCAAGATCTTCTACAATGTGTTTTCGTTTTCTGCCTGATTTGTAGCACTTGCCGCCAGGCGCGTGCTCGTGAAAAGCGCAAGGAGGCACCGTTCCCTTACTGTTAGGCTTTCTTCGGTATAGCTCGGCCATAAGGTCAGCGACAAATACAGGCGGAAACTTGTCCCAAGCAGGTGCAGGATTCCATTGCTTGACACTCGCAAATATATGAACTAGGCAGCTCCTACCGTTGGACCCAACGGAAGAATGGCTCTATATGTGCTCGATAGCCGTTGTACCTGGGCAAGACTGAGATCCACCACTGTATTTGATTCGTGATTGCTCCATTGCAGCATCCATTACAGCACCCTGAAATTGTGTCTTCCATCCTGGTCCCCAAGGCAAACGCTCGGGCCAGTCTCAGGTGCTCAGAAGCAGCCTGCGCAACAGAGAATACTTTTGTATCGTCGAGAAATGTCGAGAAATAAAGCCAATGCAAGTAAATTTCAAAGATTTCCGGCTCTTCCATTGGTAGCAGTACTATTCTATCCCGAGATGATCGTATCTTTTGTCGGATTATGCTCTGATGAACGTCGAACGTGAATGGCGTAGATGTGCCGACAACCACTTGGATACATTTAGATCGTAGTCTGTTTAAAGAGTATTAGAGTTGTAGAGTCTGTGTCTTAATACAATCACGTACGAAGAGGTTTCTGATATGCGGACTGTGACCTCTGGTTCAGACATATTTCATTGGCAGCCAGGACCATATTCTGCAGAATAATGGGCGCGGTAAACGAGAAAAACAGAATCGTGTTCTCCATAGGAAAGGTAGTAACAGTAGCAGAGATATAGTGAAAGTGAATGCGCTGTTAGCCTGTATCCTTTAGCTGCAAAACTTGATGCAGCAGTGAAGTGATCCTTTCTCGAATTGTAGATAAAAGGTTAATATAACAGTTGTATATGCACAGTCACGCCGTCAAAGGGATAAGTTGGATCAAAATATTATACAACTAAATAAGGCGTCCCCTTCCCCGTGCAAAATATTGACGCCAATCGCCTTGCCGTCGCGTAGACGCAGTCCACCTGTTGGAACTGCATTCAAACCACCGACACCAAAATAGAGAACATTGCAAAATATAAATCCCGTAAAACGCCACCATCCCAATCAAATCAAATCAATTTCTCCAGCAGGGCGAATCCCCCGCTCTTTCAAGTCTATTTGTTTTGGCCCACCCTACGACGTAGTGTCTTGTATTGATAGTAGTTAAACGGTGGGAGCAGAAACAGCCGCTGCAGCTACTGCCACGGCATCGCGCGTGTCAAGCTGCCTTTTGAGACCGACAACCTCCTGGTCTAGAGATGTTACCTTTTCAGATAACATCTTAATCTTGTCCTCGAGGCCCTGGATGTAAGCCCACACGCTGGGATCACTCTGAGCAAACATGTTGCCGCTTTCGCCGCCAGGCGAGCGTCCGTGGCCGTAATTATTTGTGGAAGGAGGAGGAAAGCCTGATTGGGCCAGTCCGGGCAGTTTCGGGCGGGAGGCACTGTGTGGTGAGGTGATGTCGGTTGGCCGGCGGCCATTGGCAGGTGAGCGTGGTCGAGGAGGCTCGTGGCTTGCAAGTACAGGGCTCAACGCCTTGGGACTTTCGGTCATGCCACTCTGCGAGTACACATTGGCAGAACTGTTGGCGGCTCCAGTGGATGAAATGCTGGTACCCGTTGCATGACTGGTGAGACTGTTGGGAATCGATGAGCCCGCGCTGGTGCTGCCTTGCGAAGGCGCTTGAGGCGCGTACATGCCCGTCGTTGTTGGTCGCGGGCCCGCTGGCGGATATGTCCTGGACTGTACAGAGTATTGGTCGTGTGAGCCGTGGCCGCCGCCAGGGACACTCTGGCGACGGGCTGCGTCGTCATCGCCGGCGCCATAACCAACGGCTGAGATGGTCGACTCATCAGCGTCCATCATGGAACCGTCAAGGTCGGCTTCATCGGCAAAGCTTCCCATGCTCGATCGGCGGCCAGCGCAGCCACCGGCGCCTTTGGCGTGACGGGCTAGGGCATCGCCTCTGGCAAACTTGCGATCGCACTTGGGGCAAATGTGTGGCTTCTCGCCGCTGTGCAGTTTGCCGTGGCGCTTCAAGTCGTGAAGACGACGGAAACGCATCTGACATTCCGTGCACACGTAAGGCTTTTCTTGGCTATGGGTAAGGAGATGGCTTTTAAGGTTATGATGGCGAGTAAACTCGGTCTGACAGAATGGGCACTTGTGCTTCTTGGACCCCGTAGGCGTAGGTGAGCCCTGCATTTGAGGGTCCGGATAGCTCATATGGCGAGCTGCTGGTTCCGGCATGTGTGCGCTCGCGTGGAGGGAGCCTGGATAGGACGTGGCGCTGAGAGCAGGACGGCTTTCTTGTCCAGCAATCTGGTCCGCATGTTCGCCCTTGTCGACCTCCATTGGCGTTGGGCTCTCCGTGATTTCAGGTCCGGTGCTTTCTGGACTGGCAACAATATGATCATCAATACGTGCTGCAGCATTGGCAGCCGCCGTTAGGGCGCTGACGGCCTTGGGCGAGGGATCCATGATTGCTGGTGCAAGTATAGGGGCGTCGCTTGGTCGGCTTATGGCGTCAATGGACATAAGAGACGTAATGGCAGCGTGGCTAGGATTCTGACTGGTAGGGGGAGGGCTATGCTGTCGCTCTGCGTCTCGCCGGCGTTGATCTTCGAGCGCTGCAGCACCAGTCAGTGGAGGGAGTAACGGGAACGTTGCTAGAGCGAGTCGCGCAGCCTTGGTTGGAGAGGAGAGGGGCTCGATGGTGGCGTCGTCTTGTAAGGGCCGTTTATTAGAAGGTTTCGTAGAGTCGTGTCCTGGCGCCAAAGTAGCGGCAGCAGTTTGCACAGATGGAGCGGCAGATGGAGTAGTAGTTGGCACGTTATCCGACGAGGCCATGGGCAACAGGGCGGCGGATGGACGATGCGCGCAGGGGAACAGCTTAGGGTGACAATGATCTAATTGCCATCAATGTTAGAGGCGAGGTGCCCGGAGCATGTCTTGACTGTCGCAATGATGGAATCTGATGAAACAGGATGTTGCTTCCAGGTGTGGCTGAGGCAGCGTGGCGAGAGCTGGGTTTGATGCTTTAATTTTTTGTGCTGGCGCTAGGTGAAAGGCAAAAAGGTGCTGGGCGCGTCGGCTATAGCTGCCGATTGAAAGATGAAGGGAAAAAGAATTTCCTGTCAGTCGGATCACTGGGGATTGCGGGTGGAATTAGGGGTTGTGTCGAGAGGTGAAAGAATGGCGTTGCGTCATGGATTTGTAGACGCTGCGTCGACACGGACAGGTTGGAAGGGAAGACAAGTTGCCGCAAAGCGAGGCTTGTGCGGGAAGAAAAGGACGGACTCGCTGTCTGGGTTTTGGGTCCCAGGCGCAGCAGCACAGCGCAGACCCCCCAAAGTGGGCTCCGCCTGTCGGGGCTAGGCTATTTTACTAGCGGCGCTGGGACAGCTGGGGAGGGGCTGTGGCTGTACCGCGCCTCTGGCTGGCGACAGAGCGGCGCAATGGGAACTGGGGCGCTAAGTTGGGCATCCCAAACGGGATGAAACTGAACAGGAAAGCAGGGAACTAGCAGTAGTTTGTTATCCAGTGTTGCCGCTCGTTCTTGTCTCTTCTGTCTAGTTTGCTGTTCAACGTGACTGCAACAAAAAAGGCTTTCAGGTTTGGTGGAACCTTGTTGCCGACGATCAATAAACTTGTTTGTGGCTGACAAAAAAAAGAGACGTTGCGCTCTGTCAGTGCACCAGTTAGGCTAGACTAGGTTATCAGTTGAAAGTTGCCGCTCCTTTGGATAACTACTGCTTGTATGTGTAGATCACGAAAGACACAAAAAAAAAAAAAAAAATATGCATGGTAATACCCGTCCCCAGCCATTGTGCTTGTCTGTTTGTTCACTTCCCTGTTGCGTCTGACCTTGTCGTGTCCCCTTCTATGCCGTGTAAGAAGACACGACGTGCAGCCTCCATGTCCTCGTCCCCTGTATCGCGATCTCGCGGAGGGTGGCGCAGCAACAGCAAAAAACGACGCAACGGCTATTGTCCACACTTGGACAAGCCTTGCTTACTACCTTCACTTTGTCATTCCATCCAGGCCTCGCCGGCGAATTGCAGTAGAAAGTCTTCTTCGTCTAATATCGGCTACTTAATTCTGTTCCTTTGGCTTTGCACATCCACCAACTAAAGTGACGTTGTGGTCGCGTTCAAAAACAAGATATGTGGTGGATCTGACAGTGGCTGGAGACTGAATTTATTGGCTCCTCGGTGCCGGGCGAGGCTGCATCCGACTGCACCTGCAAAGCTACCCTTGCTGTAGCAACTGTTCTCTCCGCAGCCACCTCCGGTGCAACAGGCAGGCAAAAGTTACGGTAGGATAGGTTCTAGTAAATCTTCCCAAGTCTTCTTTATTGTAACAATCCTAAAAGTAGATAGATATATTACATACATCAAGTTTTAATATGTATGCTACGCAGAAATTCAATTTGTCTAAAATAGACATCTCAAGTAGCAACAGTACTTTGCTGCTGGGATAGGAAGTATTGTCTACCGGCTGTAGGAGCCACCCAAAGGTCGCCGATAACTGCAGGCGCAGATCGACCAGCTGCTGAGCTGAGCGCCATACTTCGTTTCGTCTTATTCCCACAATGTCAAGAAAGGTGAGGTTGTGGTGCGAGAGGACTCTAATACCACTTAATTTGTCATTAGGTACATGTACCACCCGTGTCTTGCCCGTATTAACCTTATCCCCTGGCACCACCACTCAGTGCTCGGCTCTCTCTGTGTCAGCACTACCCAGAGCGCCCGGGTTAGGGAGCTGTCGCCACACCCCGCGGCACTCGCAGGAGATGCCAAATCGAATCCCGCAATCCCCGCTTGACAAAATAAATGCGGCAAGCTTTACCCAGTGGCGTGTATCCGCTTGGTCGATACGAGCATCAGCCACCGACGTCTTCTACCGGAGGATTTAAAACGGTGGCCCAATCTGCGCGCTTTGTTTATACAGCAACGGACTGTGGTTCTGTGAGACACGCAGGCTTGGTGCATGTCTCGCAATGTTTGCGCCCAATGGTGGGTGGCATATTGTGTATCGCTCCCATGTATTATTATTATTTTATTTCTCTTTCAGCTTCCCTTTGCACACTTTGCAGGGCCTGGCCTCCCAAAAATGATCGCAGACAGTGCCGCAACGCACGTGTTGTGTTGTCGATGATGACATTACGCCTTTGCAGACTGAAGCACACCAGCAACCTAGAGAAGGGTGTGTTAGGCAGTACTTAACGTTGTAGCGGACCGACTGGTCCTGAGCGAAAAGCCCAAATGCAAACAGCCATGACTAGCTTGTAAATGTTTTTTTCTAGCACTTCTGTAGCAGCGCAATCTGGTACTAGGACAACTTCATCAGCGTCATCAATTTGGTCTGCTAGCGTGCAGCGACCAATTTAGCAGTCGCTTTGCCGCTACGAAACCCACCTGGCCCCACCGCGCCTCGCACGTTCCAAGGCCAAGATAGCAAAACGGCCATGTCAATCGTATGTGCAACCTATGTTTTTTTTTTTTGGGCTGCGCATTTCCCGTACTGTGGTCATCGCGATCCAGCTGTGTCGTGCTTCTGCCACCCCTGTCCTGAAAGCTTCCCCCCCTCCTTTCTTTCTGCCATGTAGAAAACTTGGTTGCTCTCCTTTTCGAAGTTAATAACTCTCGTTTTTGTTCCTTTTACGCTTCTTTTCTTTTCTTGTCCTTTTTCACCTTTTGCGTCCTTTGCTTTGCAAAAATAGCGACTCCGAGCCGCGCCTTCCCGGTTGACTTTCACCCAATACGTAAAGATCGCCTGCCACTGTTACTCTACGATTACCATCACCAATCACGAAGAAATTGGCCGTCGCGCAGGTCATTCTCAGGCTTATAACTGATCTCCTTATACAAAACCACGCTCATTCTCCGCGATCGAACCCCACAAAGTCCTATTATCGCAGTCCTGCGCAGTGTCTACATCATCACCACCTCCTATCTTGCCACGCGCCGGGCCACCCCCATCACACTGGGTTTCGCGATACCCCTCGATATCGGCCTTGCGTATTCTTCCAATAACATCGGCGCAGGACAACTTCTTCCTGGTGCGAAGAATCCAGGTCTATTGTCACTGCTAGCCCTCCAACATGGCTCCCAGCTTCCTCGGCAGCCTCCGTCGCCGCTCGCGGGCGAGCTTTAAAACGGACCGTTCTGTCGACAACCTGAGTGATGATGCCCCCAGTAATGCAACACCATCTAGTGGATCTTTAACGCCTCCATCTATCTCTCGAAACTCGGATCCGGCCTTACATCTCCACGTAAAGGATCAAAGCAACAGGCGATCCCTCTTGCTGTCTTCTAGTGCCAATTCTAGCAGAAACAGCATCAACGGCATGCCAGGGCTCATCTCCTCCTCCTCATCTGGGAAAATCAGTGCGCCACCACTGTCTAAATATGCACCCCGCATATTCAATGCAAATGAAAACTCTTGGGTACGTTGTTGTTAACGAGATGCCTCTCCAACTATTTGCCCCTAGTGACCACTTTTATACTAACGGTTTGCAGGTCTATCAAAGGGTCATTCTTCTATACGGTAAAATTGGTGATAACCTCCCTTGCCCTATTGACGGCACCATAACCGTCAGCCGCTTTGACGACAGTGTTCCTCCCACGACGTGGCCAGTATGTGAATCCAACTTCAAAGTACTAGTCTACTTACAACCCGGACCGAATAAGATACGTTTCGACTTTTCGAACCCTAAACTTGCCAACGCCTCTACAACCCATGTACACTCTTCATATCTCACCCTACATATGGTACCTCAGCTCAGTGCCCCTCCACTAGATTTGGCGATTCTAATAGGCAAAGACTCGCCTGGCCTATATGATTCCACGCCTACAAGAGCAGAGCGTGAGGGAAACGGGTTACAAACAGCTGTGAGAAAGTTCCGAATGGCTGCCTACCTCTGGCAGGCATTCACAGCAGAACAAATGTGGCGCAACAACCTTGGCAGGAGAGCCTTCAGATTTGAAGAAGAGTGGACTCAGGGAACGACTAGCTTAAGGGATCTGGAGAACGCAACTCAGCGATCTGAAGCACGGGTGCACATTATTCGAAGCAACTATACGGTGGAGGAATTGAGACAGATGCAAACGTCTCAACAACACGGGGAAGATGCGTCTCAAGATACCCTGTTTGCTGCCGCAGCAGAAGATGTCAAGGCCCATTTCAGCCCCCTCCAAGGCCAAAAACGCTACGTCTCAGTGATGTTGCTTGATTCTCAATGGGACCCTATCAATAAGGTTGTCCGGGGGCACACGGCGCAAGCAGGCACAATCGGAGACTTGCACCTGGCGACGTTTGGATCGCATTGCCTTCACAGTTATCCTAGCACGCTGGAAGAGGTGGTTTCTTCATTCACAGATTGTACGCCTACGGACGTAAAATACGTATCGAATATGAATAATGAAAGCGGAAGCTCATGGGAGGCTGCCAACGTTGGTATTGGCGCCCATTTACACGAAATTGGCCACCTCTTTGGTTGCTCCAACCAAGAGGAAGGTATTATGCTGAAGGACTACGTGGTATTAAACCGCTCTTTTGTTCCACGCGAGGCCTACTCTACCAGAACAAAGTCGAAAGGCGGTCTTGCATTGCAGGCGGATGAGTGCGCTTGGCACAGGCTTGATTGTCTACGATTCCGGTCACATCCAGCTTTTGTTCTACCATGCGATGCTCCATTTGCAGGTGACAACGGGGTACAAGCTTTTGCTTTGGAAAATGGCGATATCACAGTAACGGCAGCGACTGGCATCTCATACATCGAGATTTACGCCGAATCTGACCAACATTGTCGCGCTTGGATAGAATTTCCGCCACGGGGCTCCCAGGTTAAGCGCGAGGTGACATTGACTGAAGAGGACCTCCGGTCTCGACTTGGTGCCCCAAAAAGCAAGGCCCCTATCCGAATCTCCGTCAAGTCGCACGCTGGTGCCTCGCTCGATATCGTTGATATAAAACAGTTTACCAGCAAGCAGAATACAATTAAGCTTGATAATGGTAAGCGGGCTACGCGGAGTCTCCCCGTTGGGAAACCCGCTCTCGGTGCCAAACATGAAACGCTTGCATTGAAGAACGCTTCCAGACCAGATATGGCTCTCACTCGCATTGTGGTGTTCAGCGGCGCAACCATCATGGGCATGGAGTTCACATTCGATGACAACACTACGCAAATATTTGGCACAAAAGGCGAGGACGCCAATGAGGATGCATTAGATTTCGGTATGTTTCCGGCGACGATTCCTGCCTAAATTATCACACTAACACAGTATAGATGTGCGCCGCGGTGAATGTCTAGCGGGATTTGTCGTTCGTTTAGGCGCAAGGGGGATTGAGGGAATCCAAATCATGACCAGTGTGGGGAGAACATCTAACGTAATTGGCAACAAAGCCATTCGAAAAGTGTAAGTTCAGTGTTCGATATACATTGTGATCAAGACTGACAAACATAGGCACACAATTATGCCGCCTCTCGGGTTCCGAGTTTGCGGTCTTGCCGGCAGCAATGGCGCCTCTCTAACAGAGCTGTCGATTCTTATGCAACGATAGAAGAAACTAAGCATTTGTTCATTATTAAACCATTATAAAACGTTGAACAGCAGCGCTTTAACAGAATCAGTGGATCGCCGAATTGTTTAGTTGTTTGGGACTGGTATTATATTGACAAAGTCCAGTTGAGATATCAAATACGGCTCAACCGTTTTATTTCTTTGAGCACACGTCTTAGTCTTATGTATATAGTATGTTATATATATAAATATTTCTTGCACTTTACGACCAAATTTTGGAGGCAGTAGAAGGTCGAGACACCGATCGATGCGTCCATGAGCTTTTTGAGTGCTCTCATCCGGCTCGTGCATAGAGGATCAAAACTTTAGTTCCATGAAAGTAGCACGTCTTCTAGTAACTCACTTCGTCTGTTGTGATACGCGCAAGAAGAGAGGGATTACATACCTTAGCCCTTCCCATAAACACCCAATTACGAGTAGTCAAGAACGAAGCGATTGCTCATTGTCACCAGGGTTATGGTTTCCTAGCCCCAGAAACAGATGTTCAGATTTAAGCAAGAGTCGTTTGTTGTTCCGCCGATAACACAAATGAAATATTGCATTAATTCCAACTAAAATTACTATAATAACGGTACACGTCTACGACATCGACTGTTCTATGTCTGCGTGGGGAGAGCTTGTCTCGATAGGACTCAAGGACAGTCAGTATACTGCCAATTCATCGCTGGATCTATAATTATACAAGAAACACATTAAACGCATCTCTCCCGCCTGGCCGTCATGGGGCTTAGAGGAGCATGCGGCGGGGGTCCTCAATGAACTCCTTCACCTTCACAAGGAACTGGACAGCTTCTCTACCGTCCAAGAGACGGTGGTCGTAGGTAAGAGCCAGGTACATCATAGGGCGGATTTCAACCTTGCCATTGATGGCAACAGGTCTCTGCTGAATGCTGTGCATGCCCAAGACTGCAGATTGGGGGTGGTTGATGATAGGGGTACCCATGAGGGAGCCAAAGACACCACCGTTGCTGATGGTGAAGGTGCCACCAGCCATATCCTCGATGGTGAGCTTGCCATCTCTAGCCTATAATTTGGAGACAAATATTAGTATGACATGGACAGCTGTGTATACACATGATTAGCTAACTGACCTTCTTGCCCATGTCGGCAATAGACTTCTCGACGGTAATCATATCCATGGACTCAACGTTACGGACAACAGGTGTCACGAGGCCCTTCTCAGTGGCCACCGCAACGCTGATATCAACGTAGTCGCGGTAGACAATAGTGTCACCGCCGTTGGGGCCTTCAATGGAAGCATTGACGGCAGGAATGTCTCTCATGGCGAGAGCGGTGGCGCGGGCGAAAGCACTCATGAAGCCAAGCTTAACGCCAGTCTTCTTCAGAATAGACTCCTTGTAGAGGCTTCTGAATTCCATGATGTTGGTCATGTCAACCTCGTTGAAGGTGGTCAGAGACGCGGTAGTGTTCTGTGACTGCTTAAGGCGCTCGGCAATTCTCAGACGCATGCGGTTCATTTTAACCTGGTTGAGTATTAGCATGATATCCCTTTCCCAGAAAAAAAAACATGAGGGTTTATTAACTTACTCTGCGCTCATCTCTGTTTCCGACACCAGGGGTTTGCGATGCGGAGGACTCCGCAGGGGCCTGGGCAGGCTTGTTCTCCTGCTTCTTCTCAACTGGCTGAGGAGCGGCAGTCTCGGTTTTCTTGGGCGCAGGCTCGGGAGTACTTGTCGGCTGGCTTGCTTCGGGTTTCGATTCGGGCTGCTTAGCCTCCTCGCTCTTCTTGGCTTCAGTCTCCTTGGGAGCGGGCTCTCCACCAAGCTCCATGCGAATCAAGTCCTGGCCAACAGTAACGGTGTCTTCCTCGCTAACGAGGAATTCCTTGATGGTACCGGCTTCAGGGGCGTTGACGGCGACATCAATCTATTGTTTGTTAGCAGGAATGCATGGTGATGGCATCCCCAACGGAGAGCAATCGCTTACTGACCTTGTCGGTTTCGATAGTCGCGATTTCTTCGTCTTGCTCGACGTAGTCGCCAATGCTCTTGGTGAATTGTTTCAGGGTACCTTCCGAGATCGATTCGGCCATCTGGGGCACCTGGACAACCTTTTCGGCGTAGTTGCGGACAGTCTGCATCATCGATGGGAGCATAACCATGGGGTGGCCGGCGCGAGGACGCAGCTGGCACATAGGTGCCATGCGCACGGCAGTAGCAAGGCGTCTTGACAACATGGTGACAGGTGGAATGGTCTACTTGATAATCCGTGCAACCCGGATTCACAATGGCTCAATGGTGGCGATGTGGTAGATAACGGTGGTGGCGTGAGGGAGAAAATGTTAGGAGAAGAAAGGAGAGACGTGTGTGTTCTGGTGTTGGAGAACTTCCTCACTGTGGGGACACTTCACTGGCAAATTTGGTCAAGCCCAAACATCCGCTGTGGCCGCCATCGGAGTCTGTGGGTGGTGGCAATTTGCAGCATATAAGCCACCTCTTATCATCGCACGAATTCTGTTATTTTATTGTAGAAAAAAAAACCTCCATTGTTGTAGGATTGTCTGCTATCATGCCTCAGAGTACCTCATGGCCTCCGCGGGTTCTCCCGGAGTGGCGCCGACTGTAGGCGAAGTTGCGCATGTTATGTTCCGATATGTTAAAATCTGAATTTACTGATTATTCATATACGTGATCCCCTTTCTTTGTATATGGTATTTTGTTTATTCGTAAGCGCAAGTCGAACCTCATCTACGTATTATTGCCAGTGCCATCTAGTTAGCAGCTCAATTCGCGCACGTACTATTGGACACAGCCCACTAAGGCTACCTAACCGATCTATATGCAATGTGGCACAGGGCATTACGCTAATGACGGGCTATTTTAAAAAATAAAACAAAAACACCGAAGCACACTAAAAACAACTAATTTAATAGATTCAGACAACCATAGATTCAGACAACCGTAGCTCCAATTGGGCTAGTTTGGGATGTGGCCAACCAGCGCACGGGTGTTGGGGAAATGGTGTAGGGTAGGGCTGATCAAAGAGTGCCCGTCATAGCCCCCAAGCCATGTCTCCAAAAGCTTCACATGACAGCTGCATGCTGCCTTTTTTTTTCTTACACGTGTTTTTCGCCCGCGTCGAACAAAGTATCATCTACCATAGCCGACACGCTACGGTAAAGACAATATCTTAATTTTATTTTTAAGATACCCCTCGTCCGCTAGCACCGTGCTTCACTGCGTCTGCCAACCCCCTTGACCGCCCCCAACAAAAACATAAAAGAGCTTAGCTCGCGAGTCGACGACGTCAGACGAAAAGCCATACACTGCACAACACGATCGCGATCCGAACAGCATGTCGAAGCGAGCCGGAAAGAGTACCATCGGAGGTCTTGACAAAGACACCAAGATGCCGAGTAAGAATCGCCGTAATTTGTTGGCTGGAGCCACGACTGAGATTTGAGAGTAGCTTCGGAAAAGCAGAAGACGCTGCTTGCTGCCGACGTGGGACATTTCTCACTTGTAAGAGCACTGCATATGGCTGATTTTATCACGCTGATGAACGGTGAGTTAGACGAATTAGTACGCTACAGAATGTATGAAAGCTAATGGATATCAGGATTCTGCGGAGTCATGTCTGTCTTCTCGTCGCTGCGACACTGTCTCGATAAGCCAGGCAATGTTGGCAACGCGTGGCTTGCGCTATACTTCTTGCCCTTTGGCCTGTTCTTTGACTTCTTCGATGGAAAGGTCGCTAGATGGAGAAAGAAGAGCAGCTTGATGGGCCAGGAACTTGACTCGCTTGCCGACTTGGTATGTTTAGTGCGACACAGACAAAACAACGAAAAGCTAATGTAACCCGCAGATTTCATTCGGTGTCGCCCCTGCAATGGTTGCCTTTGCAATTGGGTTGCGATCGACTGCGGATACCGTTGGATTGACATTCTTTGTTCTGTGCGGCTTGACCCGTCTAGCCCGATTCAACGTCACCGTTGCCGTGCTGCCAAAGGATGAGACTGGCAAGAGCAAGTACTTTGAAGGTACACCGATCCCGACGTCGCTTGTTCTGGATGGTGTCATGGCATATTGGTTGCACAATGATTGGATCTTGGAAAACATCCCCTACGGTCTCTGGGCCCAAGGAACGTCGTTTGAGTTCCACCCTGTTGTATTGGCATTTGTGCTGCACGGCTGCTTAATGACCAGCAAGACCATCCGTATCCCCAAGCCTTAAGCTGGGGTATAAGCTCGAACGTGGTTCAGTAATCTTGCTAAACCACAGTGAACTACAGAAGCAACTGCAAATAGACGCAGGTTAAACTGCTGTATTTGCTTTACAGCACCTGCCCCCTCCCCAAAACAGAATATGATACCTTGAATACGATGATGCATATTTGCGTTCTGCTTTATACAGAAGTTTGTCTTCTTTTCACACGCGATGACTAATTGCCTTGTTCAAATGATTTACTTTCTTAAGTTATATGTAACGTAGATCTAAGGTCCTGTGATTCGATATTGGCACATGTACTGGCGAACACCCATGACAAGAAATAGACGTTATGCAAAAGGGAAAAACTCCCTAGACCAGATCAAAATAACACGTAATAAGCAAGAAGCAACCGTAAACGCCGTTTGTTATACCTCCACCCCACGATTCCCTTCTGGCTGAGTATCGTCTCTCAACGAGTCATAGAACCAACCATTGAAACAAAATCGCAACGAATTACCCGCCTGGTTAGACTTATCGACCACCGCGGAAGCCACCACCACCACGACCGCCTCTGCTGAAGCCGCCGCCACCGCGAGAGAAGCCGCCGCTACCACCGCGACCTCCACGGCCACCGGCACCACCGCGACCACCACCGAAACCACCACGACCACCACCGCGACCACCGAAGCCGCCACGAGGAGCACCACGGCCACCACGACCACCAAAACCACCGCGGGCGCCGCTGCGAGCTCCACCAGCACGCTTTGGCTTGGGAGCGCCAGGGGCAGGCTTAGGCTTCGGCAGGAAGCGGTCGAGAGGAAGTGTCTTTGCATTATCGATGTAAAACTTGTCACCCTCCTTGAAAGAAGTGGCTTGGATGCCTTCGGTAGGCTTGATGGTGAAGTAGACGTTGTTGATGGGGCCGAGGATCTCATCGACACGGCCGACAGATGTCTTGTTCTCGAGGAAGATCTGGGCATTGAACTGGGGCACACGAGGATTCGTTGACTCGCAAACCATTTCGCCCTCGGTGGCGTGCATGAATGTACCCATTTCTATTTGATGGTTAGACAGAGACAAGTTTCAAGAACGTAGTGATGCAACATACCCTCGACAGCGGCGGGAGGTCCAAAGTCTCTCTGCTGGAAACCACCACGGCCTATACGAAAGCAAGTTAGTTATAAATTTCAGTCTGAAGGCCCAATTGGAAGACCAAGTTTGGATATAAGCTGAACGTACCACCACCACGGGGACCGCCGCGTCCTCCTCGCGAACCACCACGGAAAGACATAGCTATTATGTGGTGTATGGGATGTCGTCAATGGACGATGTAATTCCGCCGATATAACAGACGGGGTGTTGTAAAAAGGGAATAAAACGTTTGGATGGGCCTGACAGGTGCCAATTGAAAAGGCTCTGTCGCTGAAAGGCTACGTAGGATTTGGGGTTGCCGGTACAGTTGTCGATGTTCGGCTTCTTGGTAGTCGAACTTTTTGTGTGATGAAATTTTCGGCCGGCCTCTTTTTTTTTTAACGTCGGAAGAGGAGCTTTGGTCGGCTGGGGACTATGATTGGCTGGCGCGGAAAAATATTACGGCGGGTGGGACCGTCAACGCTACGAAGTCCTCTACTACCTACAGTCCTGTCGCTTTTGTAAGTCGCTTGTTATACTTCGTAGGCGATTTTTCTATTACGTTCAATATGAGTGTGACATGCGCGCTGAACATGAAAGGAGAACCACTAGTCACCAAAATATGTGCAATTTGAATATAGATTGAGATATCGGGTTTGCTGTGTTGCCCAAATAATTTCAACACCAGCTGCCTAACTAAACCACAACGAAATATAGATGACAAAAAAATTCTAAGAAATAGGATAGAGATAGTGTGCCAGTCCAGGCCAACAGGCAAGGATAATGGCGGGTAAATAAGGAAACAAATAGTGTCGACAGGTTAAAAATATTCATAGTAATAAGGAAAGCTCATATCATCTTCAATCACTGATCAACGTTGGTAGTACTTTTGGGAAACTTGCCCGGAATATCCAGATTGGTGACGCTCTGGATGCTGTCCGTTCGGTTGTCGGGTCGGTTTGAGCGAATTGGCAAGTCATTGGTCATTGGCGCTTCCAGAGGCGTGGCATGATCAACCACCTCTGCCTCTGGCACTGACTGAAGCCCCAGTTCGACTGGAACTCCCGCCTCTGCCTCAGTTCCGATGTACTCGTCACCGTTGGCTACTGCGTCTGAGTCATCTGTATGAGTATTGTCGGGAATCGAATGGCCACTCGAAATGGCGGTCTCGTGTTGATTATCGTGGTGCGGCACCAGGCCTTCACCGTTCTCCGCATTAACAGGCTCGCTCGTATACGGGTTCACACCGTCGTACCGCGCTACCTGTTGTGCGATCGCTGCCTGGGAAGATACCTCTCCCATGGGCTTGTGGCTGGTTCCTCCGTAACCATTGTAGCTGCGGTCCTCACCAGTATACCTATCCTGATCTGAGAGGCCACTGCCGGATGCCGCTGCTACATTGGTATCTGAGGGGTATCCTTGGTTGCCGGAACTGCCTAGACTAGAGGGAGATTGAGGCGCATGTAAGCCTCGCTGCGTCGTAACTTGAATATCGGAGGGAAAGCGCCCACCTGGTTGAGGACGTCGGAGTGCCGCGTCTTGTTTAATCATCATGTTGGTATCGACCTCATTCGCTGAGAAGGGTTCCTCGTCCTCGTCGTCGAGCCCGTCGCTGCTCGCAGACCGTGCTGAGCGCCTTGACGATCTACTCATACTGCGGGAATGGGTACGGACAAAGTGGCTGCGTTCTTCCGGCGATTTTTCCGTAAGAGCCTTAATATCTTCGTACCAAGCTAGCATGGTATCATGGCTTTCCGCGCGGAAGACCCAGTTATGTCCACGGTGCATACCTCCTGTTTGGCGTCCCTTGAGGATAAACTTGTTGGATGAGCTTCCTTCCTCTGAGTGGGATCCTAGCTTTTGCTCGTGAAGGTACAAAGACATGACGGGGGCCTGACCCTTGTCTGCAGATTTGAACTCATGGAGATGAGTCGTGGAAAGAACGTACCTAGGGAACATATGGTTAGCAGATGACAGCGGAGGACAGGCGGGACGACTTCATACCAGCCAGCTGTATAGCTCTTAAGATATTTGCTCTTGCGTTCTAAAAGACCGGCACGGATTTCTTGCGCAGAGAAGTGATCTTGCCCAGGGTAATGAATCTGATCGGGGCTGCGCAAGGGCATAGTGGGATCAACGACTCGGTCTTCGTGCGTGACAAAGTGAATCCATTCCTGGTCTTTCGGCATAGCAATAGGACCATCGCGCAAGTCACCGACAACATTAAGCGCATTGTCGGCCTCTCGCTTAAGAATTCCTGCATATGCATTGTATGCCTTTTGAATTTCGCCGACAACGATTGACTCGAGTTCGCGACCAGAGCTTTCAAGGTTTAGGTACGCCTGGTGGAGATAATTTTCCTCCTCCAATTGACGATCGACCTGACGATCGACAGCTAGGCGGAGTAAGAATGGATCCTGTTTGCCAGTTGTGGCAGAAGAATCCATTTCACTCTTGTCGAGAATATCGGCTAGTGCGTTCACAGCCTTGGCGGTGTTGTCCATCTCCTTCTCCACAGAGTTCTTGAAGTCGCTAGATAGGTGTTTGATCTCCTTAATCTTTTGCTGGAGATCGCTACGTAGGCCTGTTAATGCGAGAATAACGTCCTCTTCAATCTCTCTAGCCTTGCTAGCTTCCATGATAGCGGTCTTATTGTAACCACGCAACAATTGCAAAGCATCGTCAATTCCAGCTGTTTTCAAGAAGCTGGAGGGTGTAACAATGCTGTTGGTAACGTTGGAAAGTTTGCCAAGAGCTTTAGCTCGTTGCTCGTAATGCGACTGGATCTCGCGAAAGTAGGCAATTAGGTCCTTGAGGATCTTGCGCCAGGCTGGTTTACATGGTCAGCGTGCAGGGACTTGCATGGGGATTTGCGCGTATGGAAGGCTTACTTTGGAAGCGCTCAGCAAGGACATCTGTAGGAGTGCCGTTGGTAGGGACTGGGCAATAGAAGACACTATGCGCCTCGTCGGGGTCAGACGCGGACTGCAGCGCAAGGCTTTTGACACTGCCAGCTCGGGTGCTGCGCCGACTGCTAGACCTGCGCAAGCTTCCGGTGCGACGGATAGAAGCTTTCTTCTTGAGCGTATTGCCGCGCACAGGCAACATGTGGTCATCACCGACAGCGTAGCTGTTGACGGATTGTGATCGCTGCATCCTGTCGCCGGGAGGATTCAAGTTGTGGTTTCCTTCTATTATTGAACTGCCTCTCTGACTGGCGTCCCACTCTTCAGTAAAGCGGCCTTGTTGATTGTTGTCTAATCCAAGAGCGTGTTGGTCTTCTGCGACCTCTGCGTCGTAGGGGTTTGGTTGGCGAGAGTAGTGGTCTTGATAAGACTGATGAGATTGCGAGGTGTGTTGGAAAGTAGAAGAATCTTCGTGACCGTCGTGAAAGTGTTGGCTGCGAGACGACTCTGGCATGTCCATGGCGAGAGGGGAGGGGGAGCTGGTGGCAGCTGGCCGGTAATTATGGCCTCGTTCTTCTCGTTAGGTTTTGGGGGCGTGCGCGCAGCGACAGAGGAAAGCTAGTTTGAAAGACGAGATACAAGACTCGAGGCCCAACTTCTCAACACCACGCTAGGAATTGAGTAGTTTTATTGGGTACCAAGGTTGGCTAAGGACGAAGCCGGCTAAGCCAAAGGTTAATATTAGGGCCAAGGGCGAGAGAGTGAGCGAGGGAATTAAAAAAAAGCACCAGAGAAAGGCAATGGGGAAGGAAAAGAGACACAAGAGCTGGAAGAAGTTTAGTTTGCTTTGCCTGACCAAGGAAGCAGCCAAAAGATGTGGAGCTGGCAAGCTTGGAGCGGGAAATTTGGAGGGGAAGGGGTGCGTGCAGGTGGTGACGCAATGGCACGGCAACAGCGAAAAGCAGACGAGGACAATGACGAGGAGAGGCGATTGAAAACGCAGCAGAGAAACTGATAAGCAGAGGAAGCTAAAAGTTGCGAAACAGTATATTTGCTTGATTTGACAAATATAGTGAACAAGTTTAACTGTCGTAATTGGACTCTCTGCTCTGAGATACTTTTGGTTCGGCAAAATGCATCCCGTCATCGTCTTTTCCGGCGCTTGGCTTGCGCCCTGGCGCCGCTTAGTGCAGTCAATAGTAGCTGTCCAGTTTCGGCACCTATCCACACACACTAAATTCATGATGGAGATCGCCCGTAATTGCGCCCTGTCAACTTGGACCTACTGCACAGTAATTAGCGTAGAATGTAGCAAGCAGCGCTTTGCTTCTCTAAGGCGCAGCTACTATGCACGATTCTCCAGAGATCAACCCAGCTGTACGACAATCCTTTTATAGCCCGCCCGCTTTGTACGGGAATAATCACTGCCGGCCCCGTCATTGCCTCAGTGAGTGCTTATTTCACTCCTTCCTCTGAACCGAGCCTGCATTGTTTATAAATGCATTTTTACCCCTTCGAGCTACCACGTTGTTGCTGCACTGCGTGCCTGCTGCGCCGCGTCAACCCTTGTAGTGAGACACACTGCCCCACTGGAGTTATCGAACGCAAGCAAGGCAGAGGAAATACTGGATATCTCGCACATGCCGCTGCCATAGTTTGTTATGTGTTTCCTGACAGAACAGTGTATTGTGCATTCAAGTGCCACTTGTACGGCTGGCCGATAACTTAAAATAAAGGAGATCAGATCATGTCGGAAACCATATCAGCGCATGCTACGGATAAAGAGTACAAGTTCTGCGTGTGCTAATCTATGTCTACACAAAGTGCGCCGCGCTGAGTCGCATCACCAATGACGTAATTGTACGTGCTCCGGCGCATAGCTCGGGCCTTGTACAACAGCAACTGTGCCCGACATCTCTCGACGTTGACGATCAATACGCTGGATAATAGGAGCAGAAAATAAATTCGTATGATGTAAATTTAGGCTATACAGGTCTCAAGCGGAGAAACTGGCAGTGCTAGCCTGTTAGGTTGGTTCACTTTGCCCCCCGCTTGTTGCTGGCTTGCGCAGCGGCCTTGCCCACTCGCCTTGGTGGTGGTGCTTTCGGTGGGATACGCTTGGGATCACTATTCATATCGCCATTCGGCTTAGAAAATGGTATCCCATGACGGTGTTTTGGGACCGCAGGTAGAGGTTTCTTTAGCCTCTCTTTCGTTCCTGCCTCTGAATCTGTCGAGTCTGCCGCGATATCCTTCTTTGCGCCATGTCGACTTGGTGTTTGAACGCCCGGCTTCTCCGTAACATTGGCGACATCTCCCACACTGATGCTACTAGCATATTGGTCTTTTGAAAGGCTAATTCCTAATATCTTTTGGGCAGCTACGGCAGACCCGGATAATTCATTGCCTTCGTGTGTTTGTACCCATGGAATGGCGGCAACTCTTTCCGTCAGTCGCACGGTAGTTTCGTCGGCCGGCGCAAAGTGCGCGTTTTGTGATCCTCGAAGAAGCTTAATCAATCGTAAAATCTCATCTTCTTTGTAATGTGGCGGCTCTGACAATTGCGTATGAGCAAGAAGCGGATGTAGGACTCTCAAATACGTATGTCGCAAGGACATGCGCTCGTCCGGGAGGTCCATCAGATTCCGAATTATAACGTCTAACAAGACTCGAAGGTCATTAGTGTAAAAATATTCATATGTCGCTTTTGTCGTAAACAAGAGATATAAGAGCTTCAGGATAAGTAATTGCAGCGATGTTTCTGTCTCCCTGTTTAGGAGCAGAATGATATTCTCGCCAAACGTCATAAAATGGGATCCATGCAGGCTGATACATTTGACGATGCGGTTTGTTAATGATTGTGTTATTCCGTCCTCAGCTGGAGCATCAGTAGAGGCTAGCATATATTGCTCATTCATGACGAGCTTGGAAGTGTCAGCAGCTCCAACTGAATGGTTTGATATTCAATGAGGATACTTACCAGTACTCTAATAGTGGGATAATGATATGGGTCGTTTGCGTCGTCAGAAACTCCTTCAATTATGCGGAATAGACTATGAATAAATTCATCGTCGACTAGAGCCAACTCCTCTCGCTTGAGTCGTTCAATTCGGGACATTTCATAAGCTAACTGCAGTAATAACCTATGCAGTCGCGTGTCAGGATCGGATTCATGGGTTCGAATTAATTCTAGAAGTCGTGGGAAACAAGATTCTCTTATCATGCGAGAAAACAAGCTCTCATCAAAATGGCCATCGAGCAACAGAAGCATCGAGATTGCGTAGAGAGTATCGGTGCTATCCTCTTGTAGCAGGCTATGAATCAGTTGTGTTTGGACGTAGTCTGCATTATGTTGAAATATTGTGCTCGCCCGTAAGATTCGTGCGCACCGCAGGACGTCGTCTTGGCCAGATCGGCAGCATTCTTGTAGCTGTGTGGTGATGTCTAACCATTCTCGCAACGCATCGTCGATGGATTCGTGGGTCGCGCAGGGCCGAAGCATGCAGGTTTCAAGTTCTGAAGAAATACGAGTTAATAATACTAGATAAGAAGCCTCCAAATAATTGGCTAAGTAAGAACCTTTCCAGAGGTGCTCCTTTTGCGCAGACGAATCGTCTTCATGGTGCGACATCTTGACCCCTCATCTGCTGACGCTTCTTCGGGGCCCGCAAAGTCTGGGGCTTATGACGTATAGCATACGATTCCATACAAGTAGGCGGATATAATGCAGAGGTACAGCGTTTCTTGAGATGGGCTTCGTACGGGGTGGTTGTAGATGATTGTGCAAGAAGATGCGAATGTGGGGATACAGTGTTGGCAAGTGACTTCATAAATGGCAAGCTTGTGGCGCACCATCTTTGGGGTTGGCCCCGCCGACGTAGGCGCATTAATGGAAACCAGGCGCCGGTAGTGAGAGCAGCTACAAACGAGTATATACTAACATTTTATATTTTAAACGCCTAAATAAACCACCAACATAGTCGCTACTTATATGCAGTTGAAATCGCAACTTGAGCGTCATTATTCGTCATCGGTGATCTTGACGTTCTTCGCATACTCTTTAATATTGCTGGCAATGAAATCGTTGATAGTAGAGCCCTTGCCCGCCGCAACGCGGAGTATCAGTTCGTTCAAGTTTTGTCGTCCGAGGATGTCTACATGGTCAGCAGTATTAGGACCCCCCCTCGGGTTGAATCTCTCCGGCTCATGAGGCATCTCCACGACGGTGATCTTGGAGCCACCAGGGTTGTATCTCTTCATTTGCCATCCACGATTGCACATGTATCCTGTACTGAGAAGGTTGACAGTCCCATCACCTTCACCCATTATGACACCGTGATCGACCTCGCCATTAGTATGGTCTGTATCAATGGTGATGTTCAGCTTGCTGATGGAGCCTTGGTCAGGTGCGCGATAGTAATACGCTCGCTCCGTGGATTTGCCTACGCCATAAAAGCAGTATATTTTCAGGTTTGGAGCATTTGGTAGGCGAGTCTCCAGTGGATTCACCCATTTCCGTGGATCGCCCTCATTAGCCTCGACCTCTGCTTTTGTGTGAGCGACGCCTTGTGAATAACTCTTTTTGACGCTTTCAGTAAACCAATCGTCCGCGGTATTGAATAGATACTCGATAGAATCATCAAGAGTCATGTTGCTATCACCACCACTACCAGCAGTCGGGTGATCAACACGGAAATTCAGGAGAGATCCGTAGGTGAAGTTTTGATCGGGAAGGTCGTCAGGTGCGCCATTCATGTCACCCCAAATTGCATTACCTCCAATAGGTAGCATAGATGCGATGCCAGGCATTGAGCGGAAGATTTCAGCTCGCTCCTCTCGACTCAAAAACTTTTCAAGTCCATACATTGCAATAGCATTGAGTTGTGCAGTGTCTCTCATCTCCCCAGAGAGCGCCACTGTGAGATCTTTGACAGCCCCTAACATGCAACCGCTGATATTGATCCACGAGTCGACGTGATCCTCAACCCACTGTTCACCACCTTGACCGCCCTTGTCGGATTGCACCCAGTGGAAGAAGTAGAACATAACCTGACTCCCCATACTGTGTGATGCAAGCACGACTTTCTTGCCCTCTAGCTCTACCGCACCCTCGATGTATGCCTTGAGGCGGGAGAAATAGTGATCACGCACTTCGAGGTTAGGGTAAGAGAGTCTCCAGTCATATGCGGCGGTGTAGGAGTTGGTAGGATCGTATCCAATCGTGGCCAAGTTTTCAAAGATTTTGCCCCAAATCCAGTACCCTGTGATGAAAAAATCCGTGGCATCGAATCCTTGTGCAGCTCTAAGCTTCACTCCCGGGGGATCAAGGCCGGTCTTCTTGTCAAGCATAATATGCTTCTTCCATGTTTCCTTGTCCAAGACCAGAGCACGCAGCATGCTCCAACTGCCCCAGAGTCTCTTGCGGAAGTATGGTCGCGAGATGTTAGATGTGCCCCATGACTCAAGGCCAGTGGAAATAACACCTGGTACCATTATAACGGGATGATGGGCACTGAGACCTTCAGCTCGAGCCTTCATCCCAACTGCGAACGAATCATACGACTCAGTCACTTCCCTTTCACCTTGCACAAGATCGCGAACATCTCGAACCAGGCCAGCAGGTAAAACATCGATAATAGTATCCAATCCCAAACCTCCGAGCTCGGGAAACTCAATTAGATTGTTTGTGGAAGCAAAGAAGCCAGCAGCAACCAGACCACAAAGACCACCGAGGAGGAAAATAAAGGTATTTCGTCGCTTGCGCGTCTTCGTGACGACTTCCACCTGGCGAGTAGCAATTGGCTCTGGGCCGTCACTGGTCTTGACCGACTCAATTTTTTCGTCGTCGCCTTCGTGGATACGCCGCCGCAGGGTTGAAGCCATTGTGTAGCGTAGATCTGGTGTACAACTAGGCTGCCCCCAAGACACAATGCGAATGAACCAGCACTATGTATACGGTGACAGTGCAAGGTGAAGATGAGTGTATAGTCGGGTTTCTCTTGTATGGGTGCGGCAAAGAAAAAAAAAGATCACTCTCCCATGGGTAGGGGAAGATGCCGGGAGCTACGGTTGCGAAAAGATCGTGGCGGGGACCTCGCTGCTGGGAGCGCTGGTAGCGCGTCACCACCAATCACAAGTCTTACCGCTAATACGTGGAACGCATCGAGATGACTGAAGGCTTTAAATAGCCAAAAACGCTCGGATCGATCATAATCTACTACAGTAAGGGCATTTATATATTATGCAGGGATTGTTACAGCTTCTCCGTGATTTCATTCTACTTAGCTGACTGTAGAAAGTCTGTAACACTGGGCCGTATGACGCAGCGGCGCAGATAAGCATCGAGCATGTGAGCAGGGCTGCCCCACCTCTGCGATGCACCGTAGCTGTCCGTCTTCGGACGCACCTGCAGTAAGCACCAGCTTGACTCTTGCGGCCAGAAATCGACTAAGAACACAGCCTCGACCACCCCTCCTACAAATACAAGAAACTGCCAACTCTCATACTCCTCTTTCTCTGTCGGACTGATACCATTCCTACGCCCCTCGAATCTACCTCTCTCTGAACTCGCGAAGCAATCCTACGACGACACCAGCACCAGGGCTGCCTGTTGCTTACATCGGACGCTCCAGCCATGGCGGCGTCAGTGTGTGCACGCCCGACTATAACGTCAAGCTCAGATGACTTGGCGGCTGCAAATCTCGAATATATCCAATATGAACACAGCCTAGAAAATACATATCTCCCAGCTATCCGCTCCCTTATCGCGAAAGATCTTAGTGAGCCTTACAGCATCTACGTCTACCGCTACTTCTTATACCAATGGGCTCATCTTTGTTTCATGGTAAGCTCGGTTTTGTTCTATATATATATATATATATAGTTTATCATATTGACATAGTAGTAGGCTTTGAATCCGAAAGATTCGTCCCTAATTGGCGTTGTTATTTGCAAACTCGAAGTCCATTCCTGCCGATCGACACCAACACGGCGTGGCTACATAGCAATGCTCGCAGTGGCAGAAGAATTCCGTGGACAAGGGATTGCTACGGCTCTTGTTAAGAAAGCGATGGATGCTATGATTGAACGCAATGCCGACGAAATAGTACTAGAGACGGAAGAGACCAACAAGACTGCCATGCGGCTATACGAACGACTTGGCTTCTTCCGATCCAAAAAGCTACATCGCTACTATCTCAACGGAAGCAGTGCCTATCGGCTTGTGCTTCCTCTGAAACCTGTGGATACGGATACCAGTCTTTCCCTGTCCGAGGATGATGTCCTATGAGCGTATGTCTATCCTCATAGCTTCTTCTCCTGCATTGCTCATGGCGAATGGTTTAGCATCAGTGTGATTATTTAGGACGCATTATTTACTGGTTTGTATTTTGTATTTTACTGGCGAGCATTTTGAAGCGCTTTTACAGTATATTATTCTTACTTCCCATGTCAATGTACGATTGAAGTTCCAAAAGAAGTTGGTACATGAGTGTGTTTCACAACTTGGTATCTGTAGGTTGTTTGATAGACATTACCTCACCAAGGAGTACTACTATCGCTTGGCACAAACGCCGGCTCTCGGTCCCATACAATCCGGGTGTACCTACGTCTTTAGGATACTCCTGACCTTCTCTCCCTCCAGAGTCTAAACAGTTAGTTAATCTTGCATGATATGGACTTATCGGTAACCTGAGGCGACGTACATATTTGAATTACTTGCGGTAATCAAACAACCAAAGCCGCTTTTGATCTGCTTTTTGGGCCAATGGGAGATAATTGCCATTCCTAGCTCGTAGAAGATTCGCGATGAGACCTCATACTAATTTCCTCCAACAACCAGTTCTGCCACCCGATATCCTTGATAATATAACGAACACGAGCGGACAGCCATTCAGTATTTCCCCAAAATCCCCATGACGCCTGGAAGCGACACCAGTCTACTAATGCCGTCTCCCACTGTCTTGAGAATTCGTCCCATTGAGCGTCCAGAGACATACCATCCTGAGAGCATCGTACTTCTAAATATTCGTGCAACAAGGACTTCTCGCCTGGTAGCATGGGTATGGACTGATCCGGGGCGTTCTCTAGTCCAAGCTGTTCAGCTGGTACAGAGCAGGTAAATAGCTTCGCTAGATCGCACACTCCATATCCAAGGCCGACATATTGGAAGTCGAAGAATGCAACATCAGAGGCATCTTCTGTCGCAAAAAGATTTTCTGATTTGACATCTCCATGTATAAGACTCTCAGACGGTCTGCCACAAGGCGTAAGATATTCTGCTGCCAGCTCTGCAATCGAATACTTCGTTCCCAGCGCATCCTGACACAGGGCCTCGGACCATTCTGACTTGCAATCACTAACTAGTTGAGCATATTCGCTTCGTCTAGTCGCAAGATAGGTATAACCTCCATTCAACCAGAGCCTATTACCACAATGGAATAGGTCAAAATTGGGCTTCTGGGCTTCTTCAAGCGGCGCTAGAAGTAACTGTGTGCGATCTAGGTTGGTTATGAGTTGTTGAGAGTAGTGATGAAATTTTGCAAGCCATCGAATGGCGGCAGATGATTGTAGCTTGTTGAGATTTCCACGTCGAGCGACTGAATCCCGGAATCTCTCTCTCAGATCCTCCAATACCAATGCTATGGCCGGAGGTTGAGAGTGTGTTAATTCGGAGCCTTTGGTCTCTGGGCCTGATGATATCACACAAGCTGCCAACGATACGTGTAGAGCAAGCTTAGGCGCGAGTTTATCGTAAAAGTATCTTTCAACCTGATAGCTAATGATCTTCCGCATGTATCCCTCGTCATCTTGACGAGCACCTGCAGGCGGCTGGATGAGTTTCAATATTAACGGACGGGATCGATTGGCTGTTGAAGGCGGTGCTGAGAGCTGCTCAACGTCCAATGAGCATATTTCGCCATAGTTCGACCATAAGCTTTGCAGTTGTACGCATGATACCACCTTAAGGTGTTGTGGTGATAATAGTTGTTCGGCAACAACCGCTGCTGAATCGCTCACAGACATGCCACGATTAAGAGAGCAAGTTGGAAACGACGAAACAGACTCTGACGCGTTGAATATGCCTTTCACAAAGTCAAGCTTGCGTTCTTAGGGTCGCTGGAGGTGTCGGAAATTTCGGGAGCTCGATGTCACAGAAATAGAATATGTTCGAAATATTTCTTTTTTCGCGCGATGTGGTTGTCAGGATATATGGTTTTATTTAATTTATATTTCTTGCGCGTGAACGAAAGTGATTTGGCTAGGAAATAAATAATGAAAAATAAATGATGAATGTACTAGCATGCGCAGGGTAAAGATTAATTTTATTATTAAAGCCAATAAAATGGCCCTCTTTCAAATAAATCGCGATTAAATGATTTTATTTTTCGCTTTTCTGCGCTCCAGGCGTACAAAACAATTATTCCCCCACTTTTCGGTGGTATTTTCAGGTTTGGTATTGAAAAATAAAATCAAAAACTCCAAAAAACCATTCTCAAACCCGGCCCAGATGCCACCAACAAAAAGAATAGCAGTGGCCGATTTTAGGCTATCGCATACTCCCAATTCCAAAGTCAGGGTTATTCATTTCACAGGACCGATATGGCTAGTAGCCTGAATGACGTTGAGTCTGATTTTGCAGTGACTTTGGACTTGCCGCCGAGTTGTGTACAACTCTGTCCTGCATACCCGGACTACTTCGTTGTGGGAACATACAGCTTGGAGCAGAGTGACGCAGTGCAAGGCGAAGGTCAAATTTCTCAGAGCAGAAATGGTAGTCTCGTTGTCTTCAAACTAAATGGCAAGGACATGTAAGAAGGCTGCCTTCTGACTAGCAACTAGACATGCATTCATGTACTGATCACAGCTTCATAGAGAACATATACAAACGGTCTCACAACCTGCCGCCATTCTTGACCTGCGATTCCACGATTCAGACAAAGAATGCGCCAATATTCTAGCAACAGTGTCCAGTGAAGGCGATTTGGCAATATTCAAGCTGGACCCAGGTCGCGATTCTCGTGCACCACTTCAAGCTCTGGCCTCAAGTCGATGTGATGATTTGGAGAGTGATGTACTGTTTCTCCAATGCAATTGGTATCCTGGCCGCACTAATGTCATTGGTGTCACAACATCTACCAGTCTCGCTCGACTACTCTTCCTTGATAATACATGGAATATTATTCGCCATGTTGACATCGATATTGGAAATACGCTGGAGGCATGGAGTGTGGCCTTTGCCCCGGTCGACGTCGTGACTAGCCAACCACCTGGAGCTGTTTCGATGTATTGTGGAGGCGACGACTCCCAGATGCGATACACTTCGGTAACTTTGGAGGGCGAGAGTGATGCTAATATAAGCCCATTTCCACCAGCGACCTTAAGAGGGAAACATGGTGCGGGCGTGACAGCCATTCTTCCTCTTCAATACATGCATTCAGACGGTGGCCGGCTAGTTGTGACTGGCAGCTATGATGATAATCTGCGGCTGTTCTCAATCAAAGATTTACACGAAACGTATGGAATTCCACAGGTTACCGAAATACTCACACAAAACTTGGAGGGTGGCGTTTGGAGACTCGAGGTGATTGAGTCGGTGAGTGATGGGACAACGGCCTCGATTGTGCTTCTCGCCTCGTGCATGCATGCAGGGTGCAGAATCTTGCGCTTAGCTACCCAAGACAACACAGAGTGGACAAGCGAAGTATTGGTGAAATTCACAGAGCATAAAAGCATGAATTATGGAAGTGCGTGCTTCCAATTAGGCGGCTCGAAGCTTAGATGCCTATCCACCAGCTTTTACGACAAACTGCTCTGCCTTTGGGACTGCGACTTTAGTTGAACCATATACTCCTCAAATAAACACCGTAAAGCATACCACGTGTGCATTCATATATAATTTAAAAGTTTGCTTTTATTAAATGGCCTGTTGGGCAAAAGTTGACCACCTTGGCAACTAAGCTACACCTTTTGTTGCTTACAGCGGTTACCTGGCTGCCACCTGTGCCTCCACTTCGCAACCCCACCATCAGCTTCACGTTGGGATGAAGGTGAAGCCGCCACACCGTCACAACTGCTTCACCAAATACCGACATCATCACACAAATTCCACGACTTAGCCCCTGCTCGCCGAGTTCAGGTATAACTTTTGTACACTTGGGGCATCGTCCTCTTGCAGACTTCTCCCAATAACGACGCGCCCGCTTCATGGGCTGCAGCTGTCCCGCCGCCTAAGTCGCTTGGAATTTGTTGTTGAACGGAGCCGCGCCCGTCACGACATTGCTTTGTAGCAACCCAATAACGACGCGATATTTTTTCATAGCCGCCAATACAGCCTATCCACAGAGCACTTTTCTAGATCATTTCGAAGCCGAGCGGCACGATGGCTGCAAATGGCGGAGATTCGTCTGGTGGTGCGCTTTCTGAGACGCTCACCAAAATCAGAGAAGCACTCGAAGTAGTACATAGCCCATACTCGACAAACGATGCTCGAAGACAGGCCCAAGACTTTCTCGAACAAATCAAAGACTATGCTGAAGCTCCTCTACAAGGCTTTAGTCTCGCGACCGACAAGTCACAGCCCCCCGTTGTCCGCCACTATGCACTCTCTTTGCTGGAACACGCGATTCGATACCGATGGAGCTCATATAACGAGGAACAAATTGTTGCTTTACGAAACTGGGTAATAGAGCTTGGCCAGGCCATCTCGCTAAGCGATCCGGCTTATATTCGCAACAAAACCGCGCAGCTCTGGGTTGACGTAGCTAAGCGCTGCTGGGGTGCCGAATGGCTCGATATGGATACCATGCTGGTTCAGCTTTGGCAGGTGCCTGATTCGCCCGCCCACAAGGAACTGGTCATGTTTATTCTGGAGACGCTGTCGGACGAAGTATTTGTAGGCGATGATCCGGTGGTAGCAATGCGCGAAGGTGTCCTTAGCAAGGCTTGCGTCGAAGTGTTCACCCCGACAGCTGTGCTTGTCGAAGCTTTTCCTAACCGTCAAGCTGGTCCTACTGTGAGAGAAGGCCATGATGGATGGATCACTCGGATTTCGCAATTTCTCGAGCTTTGCCTCTCATCTAACCCCAACAACAATGATGAGGTCAAATCCTGCACAATCAAAGGCTTTTCTGCACTGCTCTCCCTTATGCCATGGGCAATCCCCAAAGCAGTCGCAGCAGCATCTTGCGTTCGTGTCATGTGCACAGGATTGGCCTGTACTGTTCCAGAAATTCAAAAGGTGTGTTATTATGGTTTCTTATATCCCACCCAGTAGCTAACAGCATAAATAGAGTGCACTAGATGCACTCCATTCTCTATATTGCCGAGTCAATTTTACGGACGAGGAATTCCGCGACCTTGTTGCTCCAATGTATACTGCGGAGTCTATTCGACTTTTCTCGAACCTGCTTGATTGGGCAGCTGTCGACCCAAATGACATCGATGACGACAAATACCAGGTGCTAAAGAAGCTCTCTGAGGTATGAAATGAGATAGGGATACCTGCAGGTCCTGGCTTCCACATATTAACTCTATAACAGATGCTCTCCAGTATTGGCGATTATTTTGAACGGAAGTACTCTCAGCTACCAGATAATGCGTCCAAGGGGGATTTTCTACACCTCCTTGTTCGCGTAGTTCAAAACCAGAGTTTGATGGTCTCTATTCCTGTGCTCCTTTCTTGGACCAAAATTCTTAACCACAGAGAAATTGGGAACTCGGAGCTCGTTTCCTCTGTCATTGGCCCGTTGCTTGAGGTTTGCAGCTCCCGCATGGTTCGCTATGAGCATTTGCCAGAGGATAACGAGGACCCAACTTTTCTGTTTTTACAGGACGACACGGACACCGTGCCTGAAAGACATGCGTTTCTTGGAAACTACCGACGATACAGCTCCCAGATCATTGAGGCAATTGTTCAACTTAAACTTGTTGAAGCCGTATCTCACGTTCTCGGGCAAACGGAAACCATGTTGCAGCACCTCTATGACAATTCCCCTGCATTCAACCGTAAGTAACAGTAAATTGCGATTCTATTCTACTAAGCTAATTGGCTTACAGGTCAAACATATGCCAAACATTCTATGCCTTCTCTCCAAGTCGATTCCCATTTTACAGTAATTGAGGCGACGCTTAAAGGATATGTGAAATGGAAAAAGTACAGTCAACAAGGCACTGTAAGTCATACCCGATGTTTCTAATCCCGCTGATACTAACTATCCATAGTCTCAAAAAGCGATCGAACTCGATGGCAATCTAGAAGAATGGTGCAAGAAGCTTCTTGACATGAAATTCGAGGATCCGCTCATCAGAAAGAGGATATTGCAACTTGCTGTTTACTTCTCTACCACAGCGCTAAAGCGCAATGCAGGATTTATGCTCAAGGTCTTAGAACACATTCTCATGACTTGGCCAGCCCTGGACCCAGACAACCGCGCTTTCAACGACGCTATTAAGGATTTACAGAGCGAAAGCATGGTAGAACTACAGCGCCTGGCTTCTGAAATGCCAGACCATCTTCTGGTAAGTCCAACCACTCACCCAGTTCATGGAATTTCGGGTTACTAACGTTGAACAGGGTGTCTTTGATCAAATTGAGGGTAGAGTCAGCGAAATGCTCTCTTCAGGTGACTTGGACGAAAAAAGGTCTCTTGCATACAAAAGCTTCCTCTTCCTCATCATGTATGGCATACCTTCGCTTCCCAAATTAACAACTACTAACACTGTTTAGCCACCGAGCCAGCACGATCGATACGGAAACAAAAGTTAATAAGCTACAGGGCTTCATTAACCCAGTCAAAGAACAGTGGAAGAGTGACAGCAACAGAGCGCTTCTCCGTTCATATGACGGATTCTGCGAGCAGCTTGCGCTAGATAAAGCTCAGAACTACTTGGTGACACGCCGCGCCAACAATGTTAAAGATTGGGGCTCCCATGAACTTGATGCTGAAGGACTAGCGCTACAAAATGAGTTAGAAGAGCGCTTGAAGGTATGCTATTCAACCACAACCCATTTCTTGCGGAACGACAACTAACCATATTTCCTTACTCTCATCAGTTGCTGCCTCTGAGAGCGACGAAGTCGTTCTTGGCATTTTCCGTTGAGCGTCTCGACCGAAGCTCGGCTCCTTTCCAAGCATCACATGCTCTTTGGCGTGATGGCTTTTCAGAGATCTTGGCTGATTTGCTGCAGCTTTTGAGGTAAGTTTAATCTAGATGTTTGCATCAGAATTGCTAATCATGATGCAGCTTTGCCCATGCTTCATACAATCCCGTAAACTGGTCACACATCCCGGAGGATATGCGGCCAATTGTTGGAAGAGTATTAGCCGACCGATTTTGGCAGGCAGGTATCTCAGACGGCAGCAAAGACGACTTTTATGCTCGTGTTGTCGACAAGAAGAACACACTTGAAGGCCTTGCTTCGTCTATTCGTGGCTCAGTTCGGTTTGTCCGAGAGACGGCCTACGCGATCATATACTGCATGAGCCGCCTTGACTTGCAGTTTTATGGCTTTGACGGCCTATCCCAACCTCTCGCAAATGCATTATTCACGGATTCGACTTGGCTGTCCACCCACCAACAGACGAACCTGCTCAACCTTGTGCGCTATTTAGTCGATGATTGCCCTGTTGATTACCGAGAGCAGTTCCTACCCCAGCTCTTAGCTGCTTGCTTCCGTCAGATGGATGCCAAAATTAATGGCGAATGGGAACAAATGGCAGCCCAGCAAGCTATTGCAGCAGATGGTGAAGCAGGCTTAAAGGAAGAAATGAAAGCAGAGAGTGTCCTACGACAAGTTACTTACACGGGCGTTGTCATGGTCGCTGACTTCCTGGACCCTACCAAAGCTAGTATGTGATTTTCAATATTTCAAACCGCCATGGCGCGCTAACATAGAAATATAGATCCGCCTACGCTGCAGGCACGTATGCGCAATGACTCAGCCGACGCTCCAGACCCTAAAGGGTTCCTATCGCTACGCAAGTTCTGCTTGAGCAAGCAGGAGATTGTGGAGCCATTGCTGGTCTTTTGTCAGCACGGCATTCGCATGCGTGATACGCGATGCTCTGGGATGATTCTGCGTCTCTTCATCTCGTTGGTTCCTGAATTCTCACATGGCAATGAGGCGAAAAAGGTTGAAGGCGGGCATGATTCTTCTCGACAAGCAGGCGCAGCAGTCTCACCCGAGGCTGCGTCGGCGATTCGCGAGTACATTTCGAGCGATGTGCTCAAAGCTTGTCTCACATCCTTCCACGAGCCGTATTTTGTGGAGGTCCAGAAAGAATTGGCTTCGCTTATAGCGTCCATTCTAGTGCACTACACGCCGTTCACTGAGACCCCTAAGAATGTATTACTTTCACTACCCAACATCAACCCAGCTGAACTAGAACGACTTTCGCCCTACATTGAGAAACCGGGATCTCACCTACGCCAACAACGAGCAATCGTACTGGAGATACTCAAGGACTTGAAAGGTGTCAGCGTCTCCGAGATGGGTAAGCTAAATAAAAATTCTACAAATGGGTCGTCGTCTAGCAAGCGGCCCGTGCGAAGCAAGATGGCCCAAGGTTTCATGAATGCACCAGAGACCAAGGATGGCGGCTTGACAAGACTGGAGAATGCAGGTGGCCAACGACAAACAACACCAGACGGACTGGATGGCGTAGCTAATCTTTTTGATGCGTAATAAGGGAAGTGCGGTAGCCTACTAGACACATTTAGGGAATGTAGCAAGCGAATTGCTTTTGGAACTTGTGGCGCCTCTCAGGGCGGGCTTTGCATGCAACGTAACGTGATTAAGGAGGGTTTAGTCGTAGCAGATCGGGGTGATGCTGTTCGGGTGCTTGCGCCGGATCTATGCAGCCTGGAGAGCGCTTGGTGGCTGCCTGTTTGTGGGAGGTGGTTGCAATTGCAACGCGGGCGGGCCCGAATTATCGAACTTGTGCCAGTACGACAATGGATGGGATGCTGGTTGGCATTCTTACTCTGGTCGACGTCGCCCAACGAGAAGAAGAGGTTGCGGTCGTTGTCCACGCTGATGCCGATCCTCAAAGGCACAGTCTTGCAAGTGACTTGACTCCCCCGCGTCTTCTGGCCGCGTTTGAAATTCACCGCCCTGAAATAGACCCCTGCAGGCGTTAAATTATTCCTAGTGACCTGGAGACGATCCCTTCAGCCTTTCCAGCAGGACGGATTGGCGCCCACGGCACAGGGCTTGAGGATTATGGGACGGGCCGGTGCAGCAGCTGGCAAGTAAAAGCCATTTCATTCCCCATGCTGGTGAGCGTTAGGGGCCCCCTCCCTAGTCCGAAATAGGCGAAGCTTGCGAAGGCCAACGGCTGCTATTGGTTGGCCCCAGTAGCCAGCACCCTCCAGCGAGAGTCAGGCATGCTAGACGACATTACGTAGGTGCTAGAGTAGTCTACGGGACATACAACTCCGGTGCGCCTCCACAACCAGGCCTAACCATAACGAAGTAAAATACTGCTAGCCCCTACGCGACACGGAAGTAGATCCGATGGCTCCTCCTCACCTTATCCCTATAGAGTAGTAATTTTTTTATGCTTTTCCATTAAATTCACCTTGTCTGCTGAGGCCGAGCAGATTATCTTGGCCTTTTCTTTCTACAAGTTGCTGAGGGGGGAAAAAAACTTACACTTTTCCATCCTTCTTTTCCGCCATTGACTCTGTTGTGTCTGTTGCCTCGCTGCAGGTTGCCTTAACCGGTGCTTCCCAACGCTCTATCAACCATCTGCAACTTTCGGAGATGTGCTGAGCACTTGTGGGCAAAATTAATAATCGCTGCCGCTGCCCAAACCTTCGCTGTCCTCGGCTTGGGTTCCACCACACAATCATCCCATCTCCCTCTCCTTCTCCTCTTTTCACCCTTTTTGTTCAAATCAGACAAAAGCATTCTCTTCTTCTTTTGCCTGCAACACGATTGTAGTTGCTCAGATACATCTAGGCTGTTGTGGTGTTGCGTTGCATATAGCAAGCAACCCTTCATCCGCTCAGAACAACCGTCGCCAACTCGCCTTCATTTCAAGACACACAACCATAGTGTCAGATTCCAACTACGAAATCGCAACGCAGGGCTTTTGCAATCCCTTATTACGCTTGAAATACTTTCAAAATATTTACCTTCCATATTCTATCTCCGAGGACGCTCAGAATTACATCTACCTGCAATATATCCGTCTACTGCAGTTTGAAAGCGACAGTTACCCTATCAAACTCACTGAACCTCCAGCTTACCTAATAGCTCTGGGTTCAGAATTACAGAAATCATCTGTGGCTTTTTGTATAGTCAGGTTTCCACCAAAAAAATCACAGGGAATTATTATAGCTTCTGGCTATAGGAGTCACTGTTGCGCCGGAGGAGCAGATCTAGTTGAAATATAGACTGCGCATCGACGATAGGCTGCCAATGCTTGAAGTCTGAACCGGTGGATCTTGAACAACAGAGCTTCACAATACTCAGAGTTTATTACTCAAAACAAGACATGGTTTACTGTGGAAAGCCTTCCAAGGGCTGTCAGATGTGCAAGACGCGCAGAATAAAGGTAAGAATCTTATCGCTATATCAGCATATCTGGTTCTATATACTTACTGGAAATACCAGTGTGATGAAGCTCGACCATTCTGCAATCAATGCACAAAATCTCGCCGAGAGTGCCCGGGTTACAAGGACCCCTTTGATTTAGTCTTTCGCAACGAAACACAGGCCACAGAACGGAGAGCACGAAAGGCCACAGCAAAAGCAGCATCACTCAAAACGGGTGGTAAAGATAATGAGTTTCAAATCATCACAGGAGCACCCTCTTCTTCTCACTCCTCCCAGACAACTCCTACAAGTAGCATCGCTACTTCACCAACACAGACAGTTGCAGAGCGTGCCAGGTGCCACTTCATCTCTAACTTTATTCTGATTCCTCCACAGGGCACTGAACGTGGTTATTTTGAATTTGTGGTGCCAATTCTTAACAATGATCCACCTGTGCCCTTCAAGCTGGCGTTCGAAGCCTGCTCCCTAGCGTCCCTGGGCCTACGTGTAGGCCACGGTCGAGAGTTTGAAAAGCAAGCATTGTCAAAGTATACTGCAGCATTAGCCGCCGTTTCTGGGGCTATCAGAGACCCTATTGAATCTAAATGGGATGCGACGGTAGCAGCAGTCTTACTTTTGGGGTTATTTGAAAATATCACAGCCCGACAGGTTGGCATGCTTGCTTGGGGCACTCATACTGAAGGTGCTATTCAGCTAGTCAAGGGGCGCGGAAGAGAGCAGTTCCAGACAAAGATTGGTCGTGATCTATTTACGTGTGTAAGAACACAAATGGTAAGTTTAACTTCGCTAACAGGCACATAAAACATATCTAACTGGGTGATAGTTGATTTTTGCTTTCAGCTCTGGTAAGCCTTTACCTCTAGGCGCAGAATTTTGGATCCGTGGCGCTGCCAAAGACAAGTTTGCAACCGTCTGCTACCATATCACGATGCGTACGAGCGAGTTAAAGACAGAGGCAAACCGTCTACTGATGACGCTCGACCGAAAACCGGAGAATATTGGTATTATTATGGATATTATCAAAAAGTGCCAGATGCGTGATCACGAATTTGTTCAGTGGTCTAAAAATCTCCCCGAGTATTTTGAGGCCAAGACAACTATCTGGGAAGATAATGTGCCAAACGGGGACTTCCGCAAAGCTGAAGTCTATCCGGGCCGTGTCGATGCGTTTGTTGATATGTGGGTGGCCACCATTTGGAACTCGATGCGATGTGGTAGAATTGTTCTTGCTTCCATTATTGTTCGATGCGCTGCTTGGGTGTGCTACCCAGTTGATTATCGAACGACACCCGAATATGCCACATATTCGCGAATTAGTGCTGAGCTTATCACGGATATTATTGCGTCCATTCCATTCTGCCTGGGTTGGTTTGCTAGCAGAAAGCATCTTTTGGACAAGAACGACTTGACAGGCTACGCCTGTGGTGAAGATGACGCACCAAAGGGATTGGCGGGTTATCTTGTTACTTGGCCATTGAGCTGCGTCTTGACACAAGATTATTCAACAGACAACCAAAGAGCCTGGGTCCAAGGTCGACTTGAAGCTATTTCTTCGCAGCTTGGCATGAGATGTGCCAAGATGTTGACACATGTAAGAGGCTACATATATGTTCTAAAGTCCGAAACCGGAAACCATTAAACTAACTGATATAAATAGATGCATTTGAGAGTGCCTTCTATGTTAATTCATAGGGATATGATGTCAGAGACTGGGATGACAAGCTCAACAGTTGATTTGGATAAGATTCTGGCCTCTCGTGCCGTTCCACCCTCTGGTCTCTCGGTGTCTCCAAGCGCACAGAGGGCTATAGTGCCGGTAGTAAAACAGGAAACTTTTCACTAAATCGAGAGCAGGCGCCAAGTATATAATAAAGGAGTTAGGAAACACTATAGAAAGCTGTAACGGGCTAGGCCCATGGAGGTCTCGGGTAGCCCTCGACCATCTAGGCAAGGGACCCATGTAAGTCATATAAAAGGCTATTCCAGCTAGCTGGAATAGCCCCTTTTCGATCCCTTCTTCTTCATCTTCGGATACTCGTAGTGGTCGCTCAGCTAGTTGTCAATATACTCAGTTGAGACCGTTACAAAAGCGTCCAATCCTTCAATATCATACCCATGGGCTCATAATGCATGATGTATAATATTTTTATTAAATTGTAGCGTAAAACAGGCGAAAAATCATGCAGGAATGATGGTATTGGTATTCATTATGCGTGTAGTGCTGCCTGCTAGAAACTCCCAAAGTCATTTTGCTTTATCCTGTAAGACTGGCAAAGCCCTTGACTGATAAAGGGCTGGTATCAAAAGATGCTAAACCATTGTGCCTATAATGTTATCGTTTGTGTGCTTAGTTCATAACTGTTTTATTTCCGCTTTGCTCTGCACCGCTAGTTAGCAATGGGGCTGTTGTGGCAAGTAACCGCAACCTTTGGAACTCCGGTAGCTTTGGATCAAGTCAATCACTTACGCCGCATTGTTTTCTTGAACGCCAAGATTCCACGCCTTGACAACATAGCTTTGAGTCTTATCAACGTACTTCTCATTCTGAATATCCTTCACGCCAACCTTCATGCCGTCCTTCGTAAAGACGACGTTTTTCTTGCCCATGCGCTCCGTGGCATGTTCTGACATCTTGGTTACAGACAGGTAGATATGATAGATGACAAACGCAATGCCACCTAGAATGACGAGGGTAATGAAAAGTGGGAGAAGTTGCCTACAAGTAAAATAGATGTTAGCGTGTTGTCTTCGGTCACCTCGTTGCAACCTCCCAACAGAGCCGGGTCAGGGAAATCAGTGTATTTCAATCGTACCAAATAGGGGAACTGCGCGCCATGATTTCTATATGATTGGGAGGCGCAAGGCAGGTTTGAGTCTCTGCGTGATGCACTGGTGGGGTGGCTGGCTGGCAGGCGGAAACGACGCGCGCGAAAGGATAGGCTTGGGCAGATGGCGGTAAAAATAAACGTTATTCGGCGTAGAGTGTTGTGCGAAGGTAGTCAGATTAGGAAGAGTCAGAATAAGAGGAATCGCGTACGAATTTGGGGAGATGTAGTTTGCAAGTTTGGAAATATTAGCCGGACGTTAGAAAAAGTACAAGGGAGCCCGCAGGGGACCCTGGGGCATGGGCCGCCAGTGGACGCGCCGTTTCAGCTTGGGTCCGCATGTGAGAGGCCGTCGCAGTCCAGCAGTCTCGCTGTGATGGTGCGTGGGCAATAGTAACACCGGTGCCGAAGCTTGTGTGGCAGAACACGCGTTATAGCGGCGCAAATGCAAGCCTGGCCGAGAAATTACATATATCTTTCGCAAAAAAATATTTTATTAAATATATATTGTAATGAATTAATTCAAAGATATTCATTTCTTCTCCCATTTAATATACTATTTCTTGAATATATTGGCACTTAGCGCATTATGCTCCTCTGGCTGCCTCCGCGAGGCAACCCAACCCCTCCTTACCCCCAGAGCCTCTCAAAGGCGGTGTCCCACCAAAGCTGCCCACTTCGAAGAGGACACGCCACGACTAGCTCCGACTTCATCCCACTTTACACCATTCACAAGTGTCTCCTTAAGCATCCAATTCGTCTGTACGGGCCTGTCAGTAACAACACGACTCGCAGTACAGAGTTTTGCGCTCTTTATTCGGCCTCCATTATCCGCCACAGTAGCGCGGCGACGATAATAACTCCGGTCTCTTTAACGAAGCGTTTCCTTAAGCTACTGGATAACGCCTATAACCAGCGCCGCCGTTTCGATACTTGTTCGACTCCCTCTATCTACGAAAACGTCTTTTAGCTGCTTGCCACCATGTCTGCTCCTCCGAATGACGGCTACGGCCAGAGCCAGCAGCCTGAACAGGTTTACCAAGATCAGCCCGGGCAAGTTCCAGAGACCGCCGCCGGTGGGAAGAAGAAGAAGCGCGCATACGCCGCTGGTGCCTTCGATGTTGGTTCTGGAGCAAATGCAACTGTTGGTGGCCAGCCTGTTGGTGCCCAGTACGGTATGCCAGCGCCCGCCGGCCCTGCCTACGGATCCTATGCCGAACCTCAACAACCCATGTACGGAGCTCAGCCAGGCATGCCACAACAGCCTGCGTACGGCCAGCCTCAGGCTTACCCCGATCAGACTCAACCTCCGCAGGGCGTAGCTCCCAATGTTGGTGATATCACGCATGGAATGGCCAATATGAACACTGGCGGAGCTCCTATGCAGCCTGCCCAGATGCCTCAGCAGCCCAGCAGGCCTTCCATGCTCAACACATTGTATCCCACAGACTTGCTTAGCAATGCTTTCAACGTTGCTGAATTGGATTTACCTCCTCCTCCTATTGTCTTGCCGTCTAATGTAAGCGCTCACGAGACGACTCGAACAAGATATGAGTTAGCTAACAATATGAACAGGTTAGCGTTACCCCGTCCGAAACTGCCAACTGCTCATCGAAATACATCCGCTCGACCCTTAATGCCGTCCCTACCACTAGCTCACTTCTCAAAAAGTCGAAACTTCCTTTCTCACTCGTTATCCAGCCTTACGGCGCTCTCCACGACGATGAAGATCAGATCCCCGTCATTCAGGATCAGGTCATCTCTCGTTGCAGACGATGCAGAACTTATATCAACCCATATGTCAGCTTCCTCGACCACGGTCACCGCTGGCGCTGCAACATGTGTAACTTGAGCAACGATGTTCCCCAGGCCTTTGACTGGGACGCCGCTGCGCAGCGAAGTGTTGACAGATGGCAGCGTCCCGAGCTCAACCACGCTGTTGTTGAGTTTGTCGCGCCTCAGGAGTACATGGTTAGACCTCCTCAGCCTCTTGTATACCTGTTCCTCTTTGACGTAAGCTATGGCGCTGTCGCGAACGGTCTTATCGCCACTGCTGCTCGCACAATTCTCGACAGCTTGAACCGCATTCCTAATGCCGACCGCCGCACCAAGCTTGCTTTCATGGCTGTTGATTCGAGCCTTCACTATTTTTCTATTCCCAAAGACGAAGATGAGAATGCCGAGACCAACATGCTTGTCGTGAGCGACTTGGATGAGCCTTTCCTGCCCGTGCCTACCGACCTCCTTGCTCCTTTGGCGGAGTCTCGCCAAAACATCGAGAAGCTGTTGCAAAAGCTTCCCGAAATGTTCCAAAACAACCAAAACAACGGATCATGCATGGGATCGGCCCTTCGTGCTGGTCACAAGCTCATCTCTGCCCTTGGTGGTAAGATGGTTGTCCTAACTTCGTCACTGCCCAACCTTGGCCCTGGTAAGCTTGAGATGCGAGAGGACAAGAAGCTTTTGGGTACTTCCAAGGAGGGCGCCCTGCTCCAGACCTCCAACAGCTTCTACAAGAGCTTTGCCGTTGAATGCTCCAAGAATCAGGTGTCCGTTGACATGTTCCTCTTCTCCTCGCAGTACCAAGACGTTGCCTCGCTTAGCAACCTGCCCAGATACACTGGTGGTCAAACCTGGTTTTACCCTGGCTGGCATGCGTCTCGCCCTGAGGATGCTCTCAAGTTCGCTTCCGAATTTAGTGATTACTTGTCGTCTGAGATCGGATTGGAGGCGGTCCTCCGTGTGCGTGCTACGACCGGCCTCCGCATGGCCAACTTCTACGGCAACTTCTTCAACCGCAGCTCCGACCTCTGCGCTTTCCCCGCATTCCCCCGCGATCAGTGCTACGTTGTTGAGGTGGCTATTGACGAGAACCTTACGAAGAATGTTGTCTGCATGCAGGCCGCCGTTCTTCATACCACTTGCAATGGCGAGCGCAGAATCCGCGTCATGACATTGGCCTTGCCCACAACTACCAACCTGTCCGACGTCTACGCCTCTGCCGACCAGTGTGCAATTACCACATACTTCAGCCACAAGGCAGTCGAGCGAACTCTCGATTCCGGCCTCGACGCGGCCAGAGATGCCCTGCAGGCCAAGCTCACAGAGTTGCTCCAGACTTTCCGCAAGGAGCTGGCTGGTGGCAGTATGGGTGGTGGTCTTCAGTTCCCGGCCAACCTCCGCGGTCTTCCCCTGCTGTTCTTGGGTCTCATCAAGCATGTTGCCCTGCGCAAGTCTGCCCAGATTCCTTCTGACATCCGCTCCGCTGCTCTATGTCTGCTCTCTACACTTCCTGTGCCTCTTTTGATGCGATACATTTGCCCCAGACTCTACTCGCTGCATGATATGCCTGATGAGGCGGGTACACCCGACAAGGAGACCGGTCAAATCATCCTCCCTCCTCCGATGAACTTGTCTTCGGAACGCATTGTACCCTATGGCCTGTACCTTTTGGACGATGGCCAAACTCAGTTCCTTTGGGTTGGTCGCGATGTGGTCAGCCAGCTTGTTGCTGATGTCTTTGGTGTTGAAGACAAGACCCAGATCCAGGTAGGCAAGGGTCGGGTTCCTGAGCTTGACGGAGACTTCAACGAGCGTGTCCGGGCTGTGATCCAGAAGAGCCGCGACCACCGCTCTTTGGGTGTTGGAAGCATCACTGTGCCGCATCTTTACATTGTCCGTGAGGACGGCGAGCCTAGCCTAAAGCTGTGGGCTCAAACCCTCTTGATTGAAGATAGAGCAGACCAGAGCCTCAGCGCTGCTCAGTGGTTGGGTACACTGAGAGAGAAGGTATGTAACCATGTCACTTAACATTATCAACGCAACCGCTAACCACCGTCAACGTAGGTCGTACAGTAGAAGGAACCAGAAAAAGTTGAACGACGTCAGAGATGTTAGCGGCTCCCATGAGAGGAGCAATAGAAAGAATATTAGGCTTGAACAGGTTTTTTTGAGCAATCGATTTACAACTTCCACCGGATGAGAGTACTAGAGACAACTGCAAAAATAGTGTACGCACGCCGACCTAACAGTCTCATTATTCACATTGACGCATCATGTCCATGCATACTTGGGTGTTGGTTGTTCGCATGGATACTTTGGGGTTGAGGTGCAGGGGGTGTGACGAATTTTCTCAACAGATTTTCTTTTTACCTTGTCGTACCAGTGAAGCGTATATTTTTTTTTTAAAAAAAAAATGAAATCAAGTATTACATTTCTCGTCATTTATCTCAAGCGGAGGCGTTCCTTGCGGATGAGCATGTGTGTGCTGTGATTGGGCCGCAGAATCGTCGCAGTTGCTTCGGATGGATGGGGGCCAATTCGCCCCTTGAGCTATATTTGGGTGGATGTGGCCTCAAGGTTTGGAGCTATAGTGTGGCCAGGCGGCAAACCGTTCACGCTGAGTGGCTACAGAGAGCGGAGCAACCGCATGTCACGGTTGGACGACTCCACTGGGTGCAACCCTCTGGGAGTGGTGCCCGGCGGTTATTTTGTTCAGAAAGCCAGAATTTGGACAGTGAAAAGGAAGAAGAAAAACAGGTGTGAAACATGTTGGTCTGGTGGTATTGCTTTGGAAGGACGGGGACACACGGACCGGGCTTGACGTACAGGAGGCAAATGCACGATGTGTGATGGGTTATGCATGTCTGCCAGCCTTTCACACCAGCCAGGCCTGTTGTATAAGCGACACATCGGTTTTAAAACGCCCTGGCCTGGCCGCAGCCTGACTTGACTGGATTGGACTAGCACGTAGAGGGATGGGTGCAGTATTCGGAGCTTTTCCGTTTTCGTTCTAGGCAGCATCAGACTTTTCTTTGAAACAAGTGTCTCGTTGAGCTTTGCACAGAATTGGTACCGGAGAAAGAGTGAACAGACGCTGAGTGTGTGGCGCACACTATCAAAGTATCATGGCGGCCTAGATGGAAGCCCTGGAAGGAGGTGTATTAGTGGTCCGCCGTGCTGGACAAATAAGAACTACGTACATCTGTAATTAGTAGGAAAAGGAGCTATTTGTATTGTCCATCAATTATATATCCGCTCGACGGATGCAAGGTCATTCACGCCACGTAAAGTATTGAATGGGGCGGGACCTAGCGGGAAATTACAGGGCGTTTGTTGGAAACATCAAACGACCAAGCGCTGGCTGCGGCGTACATCCGAAGCACTAGCAGCTGCTTTTTTTGGATTGCAGGATTGCTTGGCTGTTCTTCATCCGGGTGCAAGCCATTGTATCATAAGCCACGGCTGGTATTATTGTGCTAGAGGTGGCAGCATGCCCTTGTCACTTTCATGTCACCAGACAGGGCGCTGGGATGAGTGTTTCGTAGCGGTATCTAACCGCCGCCGAGCCGCGCTGTTTTTCCAGGGCCAGCCAGCAAGCACCACAGACGGACTTCAGTGGGAGGCGCAGCAGGCATGTCTGGCAAAACGGAAGAGAAAAAGCCGGTAAGCACACTTAAAGGGAAAACGAATTCGTTTCAGTTCTCTTATATATCACATTGCGGTTTCCATAATACAACCCTGCCTTGTTTTATTTTTGCCTTTGCCTTTGCAGCTCTGCCCGTTTTTTTTTATGTACATTGCAACACACGAGGCCTGAGCGGGGCAGTTAGCTGGTTTCTAGAGAAAGCCTCCCCCCCCCTCTTCTTCGGTGCAATCCTCACCCTGGGGCCCTGCAGCCATTCCACCCCTCGTCAGCCCCGGCTTTCTTCCCCTTGCCGCTGCCAACACCGTTTCTCGCCTTGTTTTCCTCTCGATCCATCCTTCGCAAGCTCTTTCAGCCTCTTGTGAAAGAGTAATAAAGGGCAATCCCGCTTGCATCATCGCCATCAAAAGCTTCTGCTGCTTTGCTTGGCCTACCCCTCGTCTTGCGCGCATAGCTCGAAACCAACCCCGCGAACCTCTCAGCTTCTCGCACCCCCGCATACGCCATGTCCCGCACCACCGCCAACCCGCCGAACGATGCGGCCTCGCGCAAAATCTCGTTCAACGTCAGCGAGCAATATGATATTCAGGATGTTGTTGGTGAAGGCGCCTACGGTGTCGTTTGGTAAGTTTGCGTCATGCGCCGACTACTGCGCCGACAAACAGCTCACGGTTGGACAGCTCCGCCATTCACAAGCCCTCTGGCCAAAAGGTTGCCATCAAGAAAATCACGCCTTTCGACCATTCCATGTTCTGCTTGAGAACATTGAGAGAAATGAAGCTCCTTCGCTACTTCAACCACGAAAATATCATCTCTATTCTCGATATCCAGAAGCCTCGTGGCTTTGATTCATTCAATGAAGTCTATCTGATTCAGGTACGTTTAGCACGTCCTCTGTAGCAACTGCTGCAGCAAAGACTGCTTTTTTCGGGTACATGATAACTGACGGTATATGCGTCGCCGCAGGAATTAATGGAAACCGATATGCACCGTGTTATCCGAACACAGAATCTTTCCGACGATCACTGCCAGTACTTCATCTATCAAACCCTTCGCGCTCTCAAGGCCATGCACTCAGCCAATGTGCTTCACCGTGATCTTAAGCCGTCCAACCTGCTTCTCAACGCCAACTGTGACCTGAAGGTTTGCGATTTCGGTCTTGCCCGTTCTGCTGCCTCCCAGGAAGACAACTCAGGCTTCATGACGGAATACGTCGCAACAAGATGGTACCGAGCCCCCGAAATTATGCTTACCTTCAAAGAGTACACAAAGGCCATCGATGTCTGGTCTGTCGGTTGTATTCTTGCTGAGATGCTTAGTGGCAAGCCTCTCTTCCCGGGAAAAGATTGTAAGTAGATGACTCTCTTGTTCCAGGTTTTGAACGATGCTAATACCTAGTCGTGCAGATCATCACCAGCTTACCCTCATTCTCGATGTTTTGGGCACGCCCACTATGGAGGATTACTACGGTATCAAGTCTAGACGCGCGAGAGAATACATCCGCTCGCTTCCCTTTAAGAAGAAGGTTCCGTTCCGCACCCTCTTCCCCAACTCCTCGGAATGGGCTCTCGATCTTCTTGAGAAACTGCTGGCCTTCAACCCTGTTAAGCGCATTACTGTCGAAGAGGCTCTCAAGCACCCTTACCTGGAGCCTTATCACGACCCTGAGGACGAGCCTACCGCACCCCCAATCCCGGACGAATTCTTCGACTTTGATAAGCATAAGGACACCTTGACCAAGGAGCAGCTCAAGCAGCTAATTTACGAGGAGATTATGCGATGAGCGGCATGCCAGAGCCCCTCAAGATGACACATTGTTTACGCCACAAGGCGCGTCTCAACTACGAAAGTCTAGTCAAGCTCTTTCTATTCCGTGCGCCGCTGCGCGGCCAATGATGACTTGCTTCTCTTTTATGCATGCTGCGACATCCGACGAGCAAAGGTTTTTTTTTAAAAAAAAAAAAAAAAGCATAGCCTACCAAGTTTGTATAGGCAATCATGAGAGTGTGGAAAGGTGCAGCAGAGCCAGTCAATCTCTGGGTCAGAGGCACTACTAGGAAGGCGGTTTTCGGAAGTTGTTAGATGACGCTGGTTCTTTTCCTTTTTTTCTATCTTTTTTTGTCTTGGTTTCGATGGTACGCCACCGAAATGGTGTTGACTCTCTTCTTCTAAACATTACATAGTCAAAAATGAGGTTTTTTTTTATGAATCAATGTCTATGGGGTATATGTGATGTTCTTTGTTTCGTTAAGTAGCGTCGATACAAGGTTACGGTGCTAGTTCATCCCGGTTTGAAACAAGTTCACGGCCTAGCGCGAGCTGTGCGGGTGGCGAGCGGAGCTCAAGCTCACCCCACGTCACCAGCCAACTCTGTTCTTAGACATCACACTTGGCCACGCCGGATCCTTGGCCTCGTCGCCCCCATTAACTCACATCTTTATCAGAAAATTACACAATAATGTTTACAGGTCTTATACGGCGCTTTTCATCAGAGGACACTGATCTTGGCGTTCCGTCGCAAGACAACCCCACGATGCATGGCAAGGATGGCATCAACGAGGTCTTCATACCATCCAACATGCGAAGAGCTAGCCCCTTTCGCCCGCCGCCTCTAGAGCCTGTCTGCCTTCACGGATATAAAGATAGCACCGGCGAGGACTCGCGGCTGCTCAACGAAGCCGTCGCGGAGGAGATTAGGACCATGGTGCCCGAACGCCTGAAGCTGGCAGAGGAGTGGAAGCTTGTGTATAGCTTGGAGCAAGACGGATCCAGTCTGAGCACTCTGTTCCAAAAGTGCAAAGTTCATGAAGGAGAGCGCGTTGGCTTTGTGCTTGTAGTGCGAGACGAGGATGATTGTGTAAGTACTCTGTCCAAGCTGTGACATTCCTCAGCCGGAACTATATTATCCTAACGCCCGTTTGTAACGGTAGACCTTTGGCGCGTACTTGTCTGAGTATCCGCACCCAGCACCATCATATTTTGGCAACGGCGAGTGTTTCCTATGGCGGGTTTCAACATTACCATCGCTGCCACCCCCGCCGTCGGCAGACACCACCAACTTGTTCCGCAGCACGACGCTGGCATCGCCCACGCGAGATAGCCACGGCCACGGCGATATGATCCGCTTCAAGGCGTTTCCATACAGTGGCCTCAACGACTGCTATATCAACTGCGAAGCCGGGTTTCTCAGCGTCGGCTCCGGGGGCGGCAAGTATGGCTTGTGGCTGGACGACACGCTAGATGTAGGACACAGCTCGACATGCGACACCTTTGGCAATGAGCCTCTCAGTGACGTAGGAGAAAAGTTTAACGTCGTGGGAGTCGAGGTCTGGGTATTAGGCGCATGAACTCACAGAGCTTAAAGCGACAAGGAAAAGAAATATTGAAAATGTACAGTCTCAAAATGCGATGATGTAGGACATTGGAGTGCTTAAATCAAATTCAAAATCGTTTAGGTGGATATACACATTAGCAAGTAGTAGTTTTTCTTCTTCAGTTGTCTTTTTTTGTTTCAGTATTTCTTGCTATGAATGAGATGCTTTCGAATTCTATAATCCCTTCAATGATACCTTCAGGACTAGGTGTTTTCGCGCATATGTCTGGCTCAAAATCAAACGAGTCTAGAAGATGCTGGCGTGTCGTCGGTCCTATGGTGGCAATGTACGTTCCTGGCTCTCGTTTACCAGGAATTACCTTCCCTGAGGCGGCATCTAGCATACCAAGACCACGAAGCACGGTGTCGCATCCTGTAGGTGAGAACACGACAATCCAGCGGGAAATGGCTTTCTTGTATGCATCTAAGTCGCGTTCCTTGGCAAAATCTTCTGCAAAAGTAGGCATCTCTGTAGTCTCGTATACGACTTGCTCTGTCACTTCTATCCTCAACAGAGAGTCGAGACTGGGATCCATGAGGGTCTTAGGGATGATATCCCGGCGCTGCTCTCCTACTAGAAATAGCAATGGGCGCTTGAGCTCTGGTTTCGTCTCAAACCACGCATTATAGTGCTGGAGCATGAATGCCGCAAGGTCTTTACCATTTCCAGTGTGTTCGCCAAATATCTGTATATTTGGTATCTGGGGAATGGCTGCAAGCGCCTTTGTTGTTGCAGGTCCGACGCTGTAAAATGGTATATTCTGGAAAGCAGATACCTCTTTTAGGTCTATTCACTTCGCTCAGCATTTATTTCCGTACATCATGATCTGTGGGAACCCAGGTCCTTACCTTGCATTTCGCTTAAGGCAGCCGCAAATGCTTCGACGGCTCTCTGTGATGTAAAGATCATTCCCCCATACTTTGACTTTACCTCATTGCCAATCATTTGATTAGTTATGAGGTCTCCTAGCACCGACATTCCCTTGTCGTTGAATTTGTGCAGCAAAACAGGCACAAATTGGGGAACTATATTGACACCATTGTTGAGCTGTGAGGAGCGGCATATATTTTCATAACCATCGGTTGGCGTAGATTTCGTTTTAAGCAGCGCAATGTAGGAGTGGCGATTCATCATTGTGTCTTCTACGCCTTCCTGAGTAATATAAATCGTGGTATGTGTGGTGGTTCAACATTCTGTCGAGCCACTCGCGACGTCACTGTGCTTATCGATTACAGGTCGCATAGTGCGATCGCTGACAAATTTATAATTTCGCCCCTTCACATTCGCCCTGCTCCTGAACACGGCATTAAACATCGATTATTTTGGTGAGCATGGAATCAAATAATACAGAGAAAAATACAGAGTCGGGGCAGACTGCTTCCCCGGCGGTGCCCGCTGCTGGTGCCGTACCAAAGAAGTTCCCTAAGGGTGTTGTTCTGGACAAGGATGGGAAACCGTATGTTGCCCGCGTCAACCGCTCCCGGTGTTCCCAGCTAATCATCATATCAGGTGTCGATCGTGTACATCATTTGCGACCTGGGCTGCGGCTACGAAAGAATCGACAAAGAAGCCCAAGGCCTTACCGAAAAACTGTCCTCCCGACGTAGAGGCCCTCGGCCGCAGCTCGTGGACACTACTGCATTCAATCGCCGCGACATACCCTGAAACACCCTCTCGAACACAGCAATCTGATTTACTCAGTTTTGTCGATCTCTTCTCGAAGCTATATCCGTGCTGGGTATGCGCAGATGACTTCCAGTCCTACATCAAGCGCGAGGCCCCTTCGGTGTCCAGTCGGGATGATTTTGGCAAATGGCTCTGTGGTGCCCATAATGACGTTAATGTGAAGCTTGGAAAACCTATATTTGATTGTTCCAAGTGGCAGGAGAGATGGCGTACTGGTTGGAGGGATGGCAGCTGCGATTAACTGGATGAGTAGACTAGACGGCACAGCAACGATATAATGTACAACAGATAGACAAAATCTCCAATAGATGTATAATATGACTCCACACCATTCGGATTTTATTCAAATATTATTTAAGTCTCACTATTCAACACATGGTCGGCAGATGGTGACCGCAAGTTTCATGAAGGAGTATGTAGGGTACCAAAAGATGGTTGTCTCCACATGGCGAGTTTTGCGACACCAAAGTCAACGACGCCTCACCAACGACAATCCCAAAAGCACCAGCACCCTGGCAAGAGCACATAATACGATTCAAAGCAGGACCAAAAAATGGGAGATTCGACTGGAAAGCGCAAGCAAGACACGGCCTCCAATGGGTCCGGGTTCAAAAAGCAAAAGGTATGATAAGATAGCAATGTGCATCAGCATAATAAGGCTCGCTGACAATGCCAACAGAAGGGACACGGGGGCAAATGGAAGACAACCCACCAGCAAACCAAGGATGCTACACAGATTAAAATGGGAAAATCTATTGACATTGGAGACCAAGGGTTGTGGGTAACCTACGCCCGAGGTATGAAAGTCAAGGCTGTGAAGGAATTTACAAAATTGTGCTTCCAGGTAACTATACGGAGCCCAGAGAGCACAACATGCTAGCTAACACACCAAAAGTACGGAGAAACCATGTACGGTATCGCACAGGAAGAAGAAAATACCAACACGGACGCTAAGGAGGAGGATGAGGTAGAAGATATCGAGGCATCCATTCAAAAGGAGCTGGATGATATGAAAGCGTCGCAAAAGCCACAGCCTGGGGTGAGACTGTTCACACCAATCACCACCAACATAGATTGCGTTTTCTTCATGAAGGCACTATCGCCAATTGAACCAGAGAAATTGGCCCTACAGATATGCGAGGATGCGAGGGACTGTGCCGACATTAGGAAGCGAAGATGCCGGTACATTAATCGACTGACACCTGTTGTGGCTAGCGATAAAGCCACTGATAACGGCATTATCAGGATTGCAAGAAAGGTGCTGGCCCCATACTTTGAACTGAACCCGGCACCGGATGCAGGCGAAGAGGCGTCGGAACAAGTCGACAAAGGTGCTTCCACAGGCGGTGATGCACCACACACGGTAAGACAGCTCGCGCGACTAAAGCGGTGAAACAAGCTGACGATAATAGTACGCAATTCGATACAACATACGGAGCCATGATACATTCACATCCGAGGATGTCATCAAAAAGATTGCCAGCGTGGTAAACCCTAAACACAAGGTGAACCTCGGCAAGCCTGACAAGGTTATTCTTGTCGAGATTTTCCAGGTAAGATTTCTGTGCCAATGTGTGATAAGTTGCATGTCATTTGCTAACCATTGACTAGCTGCACTGCGGGCTGTCCGTAGTTGATGGAAACGCATGGGAGGCTTTGAAAAAGTACAACGTCAACGCCCTGTACGAACTAAAACCGCCCACGTCAGAGGATGATGCTACAAAAGCTCAACAGGTAGAGGACAAGTCATGATTCAATTAGGCAGAAATTCATCTGCGCTAGACGCTGTCGCATTGGACGTGCATAACCGTGCTCGATTGCATGTAACCCATGTAGTATAATTTGCCGTTGCACAGAGGTAAAATGTCGGGATGTGAACGGGACTGAACGCTAACGCGAAGTGGTGACATGGCTCAGGTGGAGAGGCTCCGTACCAGCGTTCGGCTTGCCTTGTTATTGGGCGGTGCTAGCATGGCCACGTTCGATCCGCCTTGTGGCTGGTCCCAGCGCGGAAATGTACCAGCCTGATCTCGCTTCTGGTAACCAATCACATCGCCCCAGATTCGCTAAATTGACCCGTCACCACGCAGCTTGACTCTGTGCCTGGAGCGCTTTCGGTAATTTTAGGCTGGTAATACAAGAAACCTGCAGAAAAACCAACGGTGGATCAATCAGCAAAATGAAGACATGGGATGAGCACCATTGAGAAGCTGAACCCGCCGCTTTGCTTACAGACCCATCCTACACCGACGTCCTAGCACGGAACTAGCAGGACGAAAACTGCAAGCAAGGTTTTCTTCTCCTTTTCGTCTTGGGGGAGGATTTTGCGTTGGATAAGAGTGTTCCCCACATAAGGAGGGAGGATCACAGCATGGCGTCGCTTAAAGCCGGCCAATGACAGTGCGCAGGCCAACGCGAAGGAAGGCTGCTGCCCAATGTATCTATGGAGTTGCCAGCTAGATACGGTTGAACTGCAGGCGACTTTTGAGACTGGCTGGTCTGGTGCCGCAATGCATTAGTGTCAAATTATTCCGAACGGAATAAGCATGACATTCATGTTAAAATACGCTCGTTCCACCCGATTCTGTGACAAGCAAACCCCATTGACTCTGGCCCTAACATCATGACTGCCCATCCGAGACTCTAAATGATGCAACCGAGCTCCATCAATTAGACCTTTAACATACCTCTGTATACATGACACATGTTATGCTTTGAGTATTGTTACCAACGCTTTCAGACACTGTTGGTCGATATTTGCCATACGATCTCTCAATCACGACGCCGTGATAAGCCCTTGAGCCAACCTTGAATCATTCATCCTCGGTATCTATTTGAAAGCCATCAAGCAACCTTTATAAATCGATAAACCTAACTTTGCTGGCGCAAAGAAGGTAGATATTGCCGGAAAGTTTCAGATTTTACGGACAAGGCGCTTTCCACGCCACCCGCAAAGTCAATGAAGGTTACTTCAGCGCAAAGACAACTACCAAAGCCTCGAGTTAAGAAGTCGAAAAGCTCGAGATTATTTTATAAATTCAGCCGGTTCCAGACATAGCAAAGGCCCTATATTCGCTCTCTCACTCCAATCACCAGAAGATCCTCATTTATCAACGAACATTCAATTACCGACGCAGATAGTCGACCAAGATGAATGCAGTTAACCCCAATACGGTTGAGGACTATATTAGAAAGATAATATCTTCCTATATTTCCGAAGCTAGAGTTCAAGATATTACCCGGGTACCTTCAGCGGGATATCTCGACACATACGTTGCCACAATGACCAACAATGCGCAGGTTGCGTTTTCTCTTTCCAGAAGAATTCGTCATATCAGGTCTGAACAAGGGCCTTTGAGAGCCGAAGCCGCATTTTTACAGTGGCTAGAGTTTCTTTACAATGAAACGATATCGGAGGATGTTAACAATATTGAAGACCACGCCGTACATGCCGACACTGACGGCCTACCAGATGTACGACATCAAGTGAGGTGCATTTGGAAATATGTACCAAAGCTTTTGGAACATAACCTTGAATTCATGCCTGATCCAACCCCGTATACAATTACAACCGCCCAGATTGGACAGACTATTGTGACGTTGGAGCCTGGGTTGACGTTCACGGAGCGAAAATCTGTCGACTTTCAAATTGGCCAATTGTTGAGGAGAATCTCTCTTCTTCCATCGCCCACCAACAGATTCGGATTTGGCGAATCTATTGTACCACCTATTCAGACAAGATCTATTCCCCGACGACAAGAAGCTGTGGTTGAAATGACAAGAACAAGCTACCCACGGTGGTCCGAATTCTTTACACATCTGCTACAAAATGCGACGCGGGACGCTGAAGCTTTGGGAATAAACATCCCAATAACATCCATTGAACGATGTATGAAACGATTTTCGAAAATATTAGACATAGGTGTCGAACCAAGTTTGGTTATTTTTGATGCTGGACTTGACAAAAACGTTCTTGTCCGAAGGGTACCAGCCACAACCGAGAAAAGTTCCCGGAAACGTCGAATAATTCAGCCTCAATTACCTGGTAAGGGATCAAGATCAAAAAATGACCCGACGTCGGATATAACAAAAACATCCGAGTTCACTATTGAAGTGACGGGATTGAGAGAATGGAGCAACGTCATATTTGGAGATCCTCTTTTTGCGTATGCCTTTTCCAACGAACCATCGCCTGAATTGGTAAATGGCTTTAACGCTCAAATCAGAGATCTGGAGCCCGGAGTTTTAGACTGCATCGGAAGTCCTGTCAAAGACACTACATACGCTGCGACTCGGCTAGTGTTGTACCAGATGTACCACGCCGCGGCTGGCGTTGTGCGAGAGTTCATATCTAGAGAACCCAAAGCCTATGAGAGGGAACTTGAGAATCGCAAGAAGCTCATGATTGCAGTTAGGCATATGGATACTTTGAAGGATATAGTGTTACCGACTAGAGAGCGTATGTTTACGGCGCAATCGTCAGCGAAGAGAGCCAGAATGGACACTGGTTATAGTCGCGGCCGATAGCAATGGGCATCTAAATATAGCCATATAAAGAAAGATATCATCTAGTCGTTTTTATCATATAAACTCATGCTTCATGCTTCATTCCTCTTCCCCTTCATCTCGTGGAATTTGGAATCCCATTAAGCCAAAAAGATTTCCTGCCGGCCCTGAGGCACCGCCTTGGCTCTTGAAGCTTTCCAAAAGATTTCGAACCAGGTTTACATCCAAATTGACGTCACCATCGTCACCATCGTCGCTCGTATCATCATTATCAACATTAGGAGCTGCGACAGCCATGGGCTGTTTGCCCTTGTGATCGTTTTTGGTAGGTTGCTTTGGTTGGTTAATTTGCAGCGCTCCATGACTCTTGAGCTCTGCTTCCAGTTGCGATGTCAGCTCTTGAATCTTATTTCCTTCCGAGTTCTCTTGGTTTTGTGTCGTTGTTGCCACTATCTTGGTGATTGTACCAGCAGGCGACATCAACGACTGCAACGTTTCGGAGAATTCCGCTTGATTGAAGTTGATATCGACGTCTCCATCACTTTCTTCATCACTACTTGTTTCATATCCATCGTCAGAACCAGCATCAAGCTGAACACCATCAATTCCGGCTGTTTTATTGCTCAGAAAGGATTCAAAACGGGAAACCATCTTTTGAAGATCCTCCTGTGTTTTGATGTCTCCAAATCCAGACTCTGTTGAATTGGTATCGCGTTGTTTTGATTTCCCATCGAGTTCTTTTGCCAGGTCCTCAAAGTTTATATCCATCCAGTGCTCATCATCATGCCGATCAACACTGGGCCACTGCCGCATATCGTAGTCGGACGGGAGGATATCATCCACTGAGCTATTTGCAAGGGAATCTAATGCTTCTCGAACAGCGTGATTCTGTGAAGAGGCATTGTTATGAGTATTTAAAGTCAAGATTTCGTATCCACAGGTCAGCTTCATCCCAGTTTCGAGGATTGGGAATGGTGGGGTCTGCTGATCTGGCAGCGCAAGCCAAGCTTTCGCCCATCTTGACGGTGTCTGGAACTGTTGGGATTGAAGTTGAGCAAAGAGAGTTCTACTAAAGACCACACTGACGGTTACCAGATCCTCGGGCAGAAAGGTTAATGGACTGGAGTCGCTAAGGATGGGTTTGAGGCTCGTCGCATCGCGCAGATAGAAAGACTCCACCGCTGTGGAAATTGACTTTGGGGCTGTGTGAAGGATATATGCCAGTTTTCGAGGAATAGTGACTTTTGAGTGATGCGTTGATTGTTCGATTTGCTGAGGGTAATTCCGCAGCCTAAAGAAAGCTTCTCTTTGAACGTCGGCTGAATAGAACAGGCCCGTCTTCTTGTGTCGAATGAACGCCAGAGCCTCAGGAAGACTGAGGCGCCCGGAAGCACTGGAAGATCCCAATGGTAATATAAATAACTTCCCACCGTGCAACCATACACGGTTCTCGTCTATATCGGGATTGAGCCAGTCTGGCAACACGCTGGCTGCCTCAATGAGGAGGAATTCCCCGTCTGCATCAGCAACCCGTACCCAAAGGTCTGGATACTTTTTGGTGATTTCTTTTAGGAGATATACTATAAGCCATTCATCGTCGACGGCATCACCAAAATCTGTTGTGCCATATAAATACGCTGTGTCTGCAATATGAGTTAGTGCTACTGTTTCCATTCCTCATTCTGGTGGTCGCGTACCGCCGTCTGATCTGATTTCTAAGTTAAAGTTTTCTCTTTGCCATATATAATTTTTTGTTAAATCTTGAATGTAATTTTGTGCCTCGTTTTTAATGATTTGTAGCCGAGAAGCTGTCTGATGATTATCCTGATCATCGTCAAGGAATATTGAATATGCTACCGAATTTTCTGGAAGCCGCCGCTGTAGGGATTCGAAGTTGAAATCCTCTGCTGAATCCATTATTGCATATAGTACCAATTGAGTCTATAGAGCAACCTTGATTTATGGAAGTCGTAAGAAAGATTTTCTAATAACAAGTGGAAAATAATCAAGGTCACGCTAGTTAACTTTTGGTCTCCAAGAGAAGATGTAGTGTCAAGGTGGGGCAGTGACCGTTGTCGCGGTACGGTACTGCTTCAATTAACACAGCGCGTCGCAGTCACGTCTCCCACGAACAAGCGCAACGAAGTCCATGCGTCAGCGCAGCCGCCATGCCTCGCTCTAAAAGAGGATACGAGACAATAGACCGGCAGGATGATATTGAAGATGAGTCAAATTCTCAATATTCGCAGTCGTCCCAGGCGCAAACACCACAGGCCGTGAGTTTGTTCGCCCGCCCACCAGGGCACCATGTGAAGGCTGACCGTGATTTCTTCTGGACAGAGCAAAAAAGCTAGAGTTTCGGCAGTTTCAAGCGATATACGACATACGACCGCTGTGGACGATGCCTCAAGCTTAGATGAAGCGCTAGATGACGACGACGGTGGGCTTGACTTCCCTCCACAGACGCAGTACGAGATAATGCGTGACAATGGATTCAAGCATCTTGAGAATCTTCAAGAGGACGATGAACGAGCAACAAGACATATAGCACGTGAACGATCGAATTATGGCGAAAACATGATTGCGGAGAGTGGAATCATCCAAAGCATCACATGTTACAATTTTATGTGCCATGAGCGGCTCCATGTTGAGCTTGGGCCATTGATTAACTTTATCGTTGGTGAGAATGGCAGCGGAAAGAGTGCAGTATTGACTGCCTTAACGCTTTGCTTGGGCGGTAAAGCTAGTGATACCAATCGTGGAGGCAGCTTGAAGTCGTTCGTCAAAGAGGGCCGCGAACAAGGGAGTCTTGTTGTGAGAATCAAGAATGGTGGCCCTGGTGCGTACCAGCCACACCTCTACGGAAACTTGATTACGGTTGAACGACATTTCTCCAAATCTGGTGCTAGTGGCTTCAAAGTAAAGAACGAACAGGACAAAATTGTGTCGACGAAGAAGCATGAGATTGACGAGATTTCAGAATGGTTTGCGTTACAAATGGGAAATCCTTTGACAGTATTATCTCAGGATAACGCTCGTCAATTCTTGAACTCGGCATCACCAGCTCAGAAATACAAGTACTTTGTATCTGGCGTTCAACTAGAGCAATTGGACAACGACTATAAGATGTCTCAGGATACGCTAGAGAGAACGCTTATTCTGCATAGCGAACTCGACGGAAAAGTTGCTCATGTGAAAAAACAGATGGAAGATGCCCAGAGACTTGCAGAAACAGCACAGAAAAACACGAACCTTAGGGAAAAGCTGCGACACCTACGCAATCAGCTTGCTTGGTACCAAGTCGCGGAACAAGAGCGCGCACTTGAAGCTCGAAATGTTGATTTGGTGAGGCGAGACGGAGAAATAACGAGACGAGAAGCTGAATGTGACGATATGACCAAAGCGCTTCAGGAAACAGAAGAAAAGCTAGAGCGTGTGAAAAGCGTGCGCGATGCTCTTAGTTCAGAGCGTTCAATCCTCAAAGAAAAGACTTCTGAGGTTGAGGAAGCATACAACACTGTTAAAAAAGAGCTTGTTGAGCTTCATCGAGAAGAACGCGATGCACACGCACGACTGAAGACGATGATTGCAGAAATTCGATCATGTGAAACCAAGATAAAAGAGGAAGAGCAGCGCCTTGGAGAGTCTACCGGAGCAGCCAGAGCTGAAAAGGAGCAAGAGCTCGCTGAAGCCCGCGACCGGGAGGCACAGCTGCGAGCCGAAATTGATGAGGCTGCTGAACAGGTTCCTGTGTTGAGAGGAAAGGTGACGGAAGCAGATCTGGAGCTTAAAAATCAACAGAGGGTGAAGGAACTGAAACGAAAAGATATTATTGCTGGCGAAGCACTGCTCAAACAGATGGAACAAAGCACTGGATCTGCTCATGATGGCTACGACAAGGACATGCTTGAGCTTGTGAAAGCTGTCGGTAAAAGCAAAGACTTTGAACACCAACCCATCGGACCTATTGGTGCCCACATCCGGCTTCTTGAACCAGACTGGTCTGGAATATTAGAAAAGACATTTGGTGAGACATTGAACGCCTTTGTGGTTAGAAGCAAGAAGGACCAGACAGCATTATCGGGCTTAATCAGAAGGATTGGTATGAAAAAGCCACCTCCTATTAATATCGCCTATGGTGGGAGTCTTGATACCAGTAGTCAGGAGCCAGACTCGAGCTTTCAGACTGTGCTTCGAGTCCTCCAGTTTGATGATGAAATAGTCAGGTCTCAGCTGATCATAAACAGCCAAATTGAGAAGATTATCTTGGTTAGTGATCGTGTCGAGGCGGAAGGAATTATGATTGATAATGCTGGACCTCCTCGAAATGTTACGGCCTGCCTTTGCTTTCATGACGGTAAGAGCAAACGCGGCCAAGGTCTGCGCATCACCAACAGAAATGGTACGACAAGCACGGCACCAGTCGTACCAACAATGCAGCGCCCCCGAATGCAGTCCGACTCCGGCCAGCAGCTGAGCATTCAGAAAGAAAATCTAAATCAGCTCGGACGGGAAATGTTGGACCTCACAAAAACAGAACGACTTGCGAAACAAAATCTCGAGAAATGCAAGCGTCAGCTTGAGACACATGGCGATGAGAACAAGAAGCTGACTGTGAAGCTTCGCCACGCTCAGGCAGACATGGAGCGTGCTGCGGAAGAGCTTGACGCTTTTGAAGGCGCCGATGACAGACTTGTGCTGCTCCGATCTGATCTTGAAAACAAACGCGTGGAGGAGGACCAGCTTGGAAGCCAATATGGTGATCTGACACTAGCGAAAACTGATTTGAACACGAAGGTGGAGAATGCTAAAAAGGTTCTTGAAGCATGCCGGGCAGATGACGAGGCGTTTGAGGAGAGAGTTTCTAAGGCAAATCTCAAAGTAAACAACTGCGAGACTCTACGGCAAATTGCTGTCTCGAATAAGAATGCTGCGTTTGAAGGGTTGGACATTGAACGATCAGAACGACGCCGAGCAGAGGCAAAACGAGATCAAAAGGTTCAGGAAGTGGAAGAGTTCACGGAACAAGCCACTGAGGTTGCTCCTGACCGTGTTCATATTCCCGAGAGCGAGACATACGAAAGTATCGAGCAGAAGTATTCACGGATCAATGAACAGCTCAAGCAGAGAGAGAGGCGAATCGGAGCCACAGACGAACAGATCTTCCAGCGTGCGGAACAGGCGCGTGTCAAGTATGAAGAGGTGGTCCAGGAAACCAAAGATGTCGATGAGACAATCATGGCGCTGAAGAAGGCAATTTCCTACCGCCTACACCGCTGGAGAGAATTCCAAAAGCAAATCAGTGCACGAATTCGGATCCAGTTCAACTACTTGCTCAGCGAGCGTGGCTTCCGTGGCAAGATCAACTTCGACCATCGACAAAAGCAAGTTCTACTTCAAATTGAGCCTGACGAAACGCGGAAGAGTAATGTTGGACGGGATACCAAGACATTGTCTGGAGGTGAAAAGTCATTTTCGTCCATCTGTATGCTGCTTTCAGTGTGGGAAGCCATTGGCTCGCCAATCAGATGTCTTGACGAGTTCGACGTTTTCATGGACAATGTCAACCGAGCCATTAGCACAGACATGCTTGTGGACACTGCACGTCGTTCAGTTTCACGACAATATATTCTCATCACGCCTAATGCCATTGAAGGCCGTGCTAAGGTTGATAAAGATGTCAAGGTTATTCGGTAAGTTGTGATTACTGCTCCGCCATGGAAGTAGGGAACTAATTAAACTCAGATTGACCGACCCTCGTCAACGGACGTTGATATAATATATAAACAAGGACAGAAAGAATAGTGGCGCTGGCAAAGAAAATGGTTACATGGCACAGGTTAACATTAACGAATTGAATCTATTGGGTGTTTTTTTTTAAAAACTGGGATCTACTCCAGATATTGTACACAGGTTTCCAGCTACTATTTGATGTCAAATATGCTGTCTATTATTACACATGCCTCTCACGAAGCAAACTTTTCGTCTTGATCTGATTGGATGTCGTTTATATGCGGACGCCTTTGCTTCGAAGAACATTGACACCAGCGCTGAGTGTGAAGCCGACCCATTGGGAAGCAGAGCCGACAGCTCCACCGATGGAGTTACTCTCCTTAATTCTGCGTGCGAGGAACTGCTTTGTTTCGATAAACTCGGGCGATTTGTCGTTTGTCATGAAGAGCTCGGTTGTGCTGTAGAGGACGGAGAGCGCCGTACGTTTTGTGTACCAAGTGTAGTCGACAGCCTTGTCTCCCGCCAAGAATAAAATGTCGTCAGAGAGCTGCGCGAGCTCCTTTAATGAATGAGGCAGATTTGTCGGCTGCGCCATGATGGCCAATGCCTACATTGGGTTGTAATTTAGCATGGGGAATCCGAGGTTACAACATCCTACACATACCTCTTGCCACTGATTAATAATCTGAGTGTTGCCGACAAGACGCTCCCATGCCAGCATCTCTACTTTGGCATCTGTCGAAGTCGGCGCTGATTCCTGGCTGAATAGTTGCTCGCTACGGGCAGCCAGCTCCTTGCGCTGGCGAACGAGGTGATGGTTGATCAGGCTGAAGGCGCCATTGGGCATTACGCTGGCGCTGATGTCGAGGTAGCCGGCATCCCGGGCACCCATACCGAGGGATTGCTGCGAGAAGCCATGCTCTGGGACGTGCTTATACGCAGCGGAGAGGATGGCCTCCTCGACGTTGTTTGCTCTGGCAGACTGAGGGTGATCGTAGGAGTGGAATTGTCGAGGACGGAGGACGCATTGGCGAGGAGCAGCACATTTACGTCGAAGCGCAGACTGGCAAGTAGATCGGGCGGCCATTTTGGGCAGGTTGGAAGCAATTGGTTGGTATGTATAGCTCGCTGCTTAACGAAATACGTCACAAAACCTGTCAATGCAAGAAAGCCCAGGCGCACACATGCACGTTAGTTCCACTGTCACGCGTTTTTTTCCCGTCGTCGCCGGCCGCCTTGGGGGTCGCAAAGGAGAGGGCCACGTGTGGGGCCGATTCGCAGAAAGGGAGCGGAGCTACGCTGGTGCGTTTCGCCTGCAGCAGAGCAGCTACAGTGCAGAAGAGATGTGTTTTGGTGCTGAGCGCTGTGAAAGCGTCGTTTTTATTTCGTTTCCGTCATGGTTGCAAAGGCAGCGAAATGGACAGAGGAAATCGTGTGTGTGTGGTGCGTAGGGAACTGTGCCCAGCAACAGCACCCGCCGCGATGGAAAATGAGGGGGGATGTTGGGTCGTTGGAGCTGCTTATAGCTACAAAAACTATGAACGACCTTGGCCAGTTGGCGAGCTTCTCAAGGGACACGCCCCTCAATTTGTGGCGACCCTTTGCAGGGCATATGATACAGTGTAGTTAACCGTCTACTGGGGGGGGGGGGGGGGGGGCAAAACAGTTCAATCGCAATACTTGTAGAAAGCAATAGCCTGTGATGATCAATTTATAGCTCGACCTCTCAGGGTTCTCGGTGGGTGGTGGTGCACTGTCCCAGGTCCACCGCTAAGCCGTACGCAGAGGGCGCTATTGTACGCGGCGTTGTGGGGAGAACATGGTGCGGCTGCTACTGTAAATTCCCTGCGCAATGGACATTGAAACGCCGGCACACACACTCAAGCAACGCGAGCAACCTTTTTGGCGCGGGTTGACAGGTTTGACTGCATCCCATTGCGCTTGTCACTTGGCTTTTACCAATCCGTTTTGGGTAAAGTTGTGTTGGAAAAGGGAGATCTGGATCGGGAGAACGGTGCAAGGCAGGCCACGCCGCCTGGAACCCAACGCCGCTGGAGCTTGGGAGCTTCTGGCTGTATGCAAACCACGCTTGGCGCTACCGTTACTACCTACCCCGTTTGGCTTCGTTAGGCTGAGAAGAAGGCCTATCCGTACAGTGTGTGTTTGCAGAGACGAGTTTCTAGACACAGAGAGTACTATACTGGAGCCACTACTGGTACTGGTTCTTTGTATGGGTATGCTTGGAAGACGACGGCGAAAAAAGACTGTGTGGTGGGCAGACTGAACTACGTAGACTGTTCATATATTCAAGTTGTAAGCTTTCGCTCCTTTTATAGATGACAAGCACATTGATACACATTGTATTTGAGCATTCTTTTGTGCTTTTTCCTCTTCTTTCTTCGTTCCTCTTCCCCGCTGTCGGTCGTCCCAGTATCGCCAATCCGCGCACTGTGCCTGCCCCCAATCCTTGCTAGCACCAGAGGCAACGCCCGCACGCACACGCATATCCACGCCGCTCTCCACACAGCCCGCGCGCCGCCGCCATGCAAGATCCTCCTTGTCGCCAATGTGGCTTGTTTGCCTTCTGGCTCTCCAGCGTCCCCTCCCACCCAAAATTTCTCGAGTCATCGCCACAGCACCACGCACCACACACGCACGCACGCGCACCGCACCACACACCAGCTAGGCTCGCAAAAGCTCGTTGAGACAAGACGCCCACTCACTCCAACCTTTCCCTCCCACACTCCAAACTGCTGCTACAAGGCACGGCAACACAACTTGCTTTGCAGATTCTTTGCTGTCATGGGTACGTTGGGCTTTTTCCCTTTCCGCCGCTCCATCTCCAAATCCCATCCATCTTCTCCCCCTTCGCACATCCCGTCGCCCATTTAGTGCTGCTGCTGCACTTGCTTCCTCTTTCTCTTTTTACCCCTCGTATTCCCTTCCTTCCTCCGGTTACCCGTCTTTTCCCACCATCTCCATCTCGGTGGCTTGACTGCTCTCAACACTTCTGAGCCGGTTTGTTCTCCATTGCCTTCGTCGTACCACCATCGCCATCGTCGCACCCTGCCTCCCTCTCACCCGGATCCCTCCATCAACCTTTGACGTTGTCGCCTGGCTACCTCTGCCTCTTGTCATCGTCGCCGTCCTCGCCTTCTCCCCCGCGTTGGCAACTACTGTTCCGATCCTGAGCGATTTAATTGAGAACGCGCCGTTGGTTTGCGATAGGGAACAGTCCGTCCCTTCTTCTTCACACACCACTACACTGATTGCGACTCTTTGCGTCATCGCTGCCCCTCTCATCTCTCACCCTCCTTGCCGACGTTGCTGCCCGTCTATCGTGCTTCCTGTATGAGTCCCTCTAACATCGTCACAGCTGATTCGGGTGACAACTATAGACCCGTAAGTTTTGTTTCACAAGACGCCGGCGCGGCGCATCGCAAGATGCTGAGCGACACGCGCAAACCGGCGTTGCGCGACAACATGCCCGTTGTCGCAGAAGCTGCTCGCTTGCTGCTAGCTATCTATGCATAGGCACCGACCCGGCTTCTGCATTCAAACTTGCTAACCGGCTCCATAGCGCGAGAGATCTCGTTCCCCCCGTCGCCGCTCAAGAAGCCCTGGTAGGCAAGCAAGACGCCGCTCATACTCTCCTCGCAGCCGTTCGGGCAGTCGCGACGATTATCGCCGAGGACGTGACAGATCCCCCATGTCTGGAAATAACAACACAGGTAACGCCCCCGCGTCGGGCTACGGTGGCGGCCAGGGCCAGCAGCGCTCTTTCGAAGACCGCTCCGCTGCTCGCGAACAAATGATGAGCAACATCCGCGAGACTTCTCAACAGGATCGCCGTGTTTACGTCGGAAACCTTGCGTACGATGTCAAGTGGCACCATCTCAAGGACTTCATGAGACAGGGTGAGGATTTACAGTTTGAGGAGGGATGTATTGGGGGCTGACTTGGGAACAACAGCTGGAGAGGTACTCTTCGCGGACGTCTTATTACTTCCGAATGGAATGTCGAAGGTGGGCTTCATTGCATAGTCTTTTTTCCCCTTTACCCTTGGTTGATTACGGAACCTTCCCTATGACCTTTTCCCCAACTCCCCCTCGTGTCACTCGTCGGTTTTTGAACATTGTTGGATTGACTGGTTGGGACATTGTCCTGGGATTATTGTAGGGATGCGGGTAAGTGTTTTCTGCTATATGCCCCCCCTTTCAGAATACGCGACTAACAAGCGCTCTAGAATTGTGGAATATGCTACAAGAGATCAAGCGCAGCAAGCTGTTGCTCAGCTGAGCAACCAGACCCTGATGGGCCGCCTTGTCTACGTCCGCGAGGTTAGTTTACTCGACTACCCCTACCACTTTCCCTCAGTATAATCTAACTCGTTCTCTTAATAACAATAGGACCGCGAGGCTGAGCCACGCTTTGTTGGCTCCAACGGCCCCAACCGTGGCGGCTTCCAGGGCGGTGCCCCTGGTGGTGGTAACTTCAACCCCAACTTTGGTCACGGTGGCGGCCACGGCGGCCATGGCGGCTTCAATGCTGGTGGTGGTGCCCCTGGTCGCCAGATTTACGTTGCCAACGTAGGTATCTTTGCTAATAGCTTCCTTGAATTCCCACTAACCTTAGCGTCAGCTTCCTTTCAATGTTGGATGGCAAGATCTTAAGGATCTTTTCCGCCAGGCTGGTAAGAAAACTGCTCTGTGATGGCTTATACAATCCGAACACTAAACAAATCTTAGCTCGCAATGGTGGTGTCATCCGTGCCGATGTCCACATGGGCCCCGATGGCCGCCCCAAGGGTTCCGGTATTGTTGTGTTTGAGAACCCCGACGATGCCCGCAGCGCTATCCAGCAGTTCAACGGCTACGACTGGCAGGGTCGCATGATCGAGGTCCGTGAGGACCGCTATGCCGGCGGTGGTATGGGCTACGGTGGCCGTGGCGGCTACGGTGGCATGCGCGGTGGTATGGGTGGCGGCTTCGGCGGCCGTGGAGGTTTCGGCGGTGGCCGAGGTGGTTTCGGATACGGTGGTCGTGGTGGCTTCAACGCCGGCGGCCCTGGCGGAGCTTCCTTTGACCCCAACGCTCCTCCCCCAGCTCCCAACCCGTTCACTGACCACGCCACCTCCGGAACTGAGAAGGGTGACATCATCTATGTCCGAAACGTAAGTTATGATCAAACTGAATGAAGTGTAACGGATTCCAGCTAACCACTTTCTAGCTGCCCTGGTCCACTAGCAACGAAGATCTCATCGAGCTCTTTACCACGATTGGTAAGGTCGAGCAAGCCGAGATTCAGTATGAGCCCAGTGGTCGCTCCAGAGGTTCTGGTGTTGTCCGATTTGATTCCGAAGACAACGCTGAGACCGCCATTTCCAAATTCCAAGGTTACCAGTATGGTGGCCGCCCTCTCAACTTGAGCTTTGTCAAGTACATGAACCAGCAGCAGCCCCAGCAGCCTGGTCCTGAGAGTATGGAGACTGACGCTCATGCCGGCCTCACCCAAGACCAAATCATGTAAGCCAGAATTGAAATGGAAACCTATGTCTGGAGGAATTCGCACGACACCCTATGTTTACAGCGCGAAAGCAATGTAAATAGCTTGTGGTATTCGGTGGAGTTTGATGGCCACTATACTTGATGTAACTCAGTTTTTGATGGTATGGAGCCTTGTTATTTCGGATGCTTTGATATTTTTTGTACGAAAAAGAAATTGGGCTATGTACTCAGATTTTCATGCAATCTTTTTCATATTTCATTCATTCACTCTTGTGTCCGCATATAACGTGAAGGCCGTAGAGTCCGCATATTTCAGAGCGACTCACCTTTCGACTTCTCTAAGCGTATTCCTAGACATATATCGCATATGAAGAATGAGATTTTGAAATTTTTGAACAATTGGATATATTTTGGACAACGCTATAAGTATGCTCATGCTGCTGCCGTCTTCTTTTTTTTGGCCTTGGCCTTCTTCTTGCTTCGGTCTCGAGGCTTCAGCGCTGTCATGCCTGTCTTGCAGACTTCACCGTATCGCACGTAGAATCCCTCCAAATCTCCGGGCTCTACAACCGTCGATATCTTTATTTTTTCGGCTCTGTTTCGTTTCGACTTGCCATTCGTGGCCCGCACGATGACTGGTGACTGCGTAAGTTGCTCCTCTGTCTGACCCTCCTTTGCGTCGCTCATTTCGGCGTCCTGGCCGTACGACACTATCATTGAGTTAGAACACAGCCCATATAGTACCAAGAATTTTCGCTTCTACCACATACATCGCTTCTGGACCAGGTAAATGGCGCCATGCTGGCTTGACTGGCGAGAGCTTAAGAGCGCTCCGAGTTTCGAGAAGAACTGTGGGAGAGTCGTGTGAGCTTCCTGTGCGGATAGTAGACGGCCTAAAAGCCATAGATATACAAACCTCGTCATGACTTAATGATTTTGAGGCCATCGTGCTCTGTGTAGGATCCTGTTCGATGCAGCGATAGCAACGAATAGGTTGAGTTGTTGGCTAGAAAGCGTGGAAAACCATGCCCCGCCATGTCGCAGGCCACGAAGGTGGTGGGCGGACCCCACAGAGGCCGGTCGTCCTCGAGCCTGATCTACACTTAAACCTTTTTTTTCTGCCATTCTTGATTGCCACATGAAAATTATTGCTGCTCTGCGTTTACGCCCACCAAACCAGTTTTGTTCGATATCTGCGATCGAAAATACAATTTATATCAATACGAATCTATAATTCAATAAAAGGACGCATTTAACAACAATCCCTTTACAAATCTTCACACCAGAGCTGGTGCAGCAGACGTCGCGATGCGGACCAAATTCGCCAGTGACCTCCAGCGCCAGGTTCTGGACCACATGGGAAGAGACAGCCTAGATCTACCCAAAGGAACAAAGAGTACCAAATCGAAACCTGGAAAAACACAAACGGGCTCGAGAAAAACGGAGCGCAAAGCAGAGCGAGAGCGCAAGCGTGGAAACATCTACGGCCGTAACCCGACAAACCCGCTTGGCCCATTCCACAGCAATGGCATTGCAAAGCCCTCTCAAAAACGGAAATTAAATAATTCAAATGTCTCTGGCAAGAAAATTGTACAGCCGACTAGCAAAAACTCAAGTACAATTCCCAAACGAAAAGCTCCCGCAATCGGCGAAAGAGACATCTTTGACGAGTCTGACCAGAGTGACGCAATCGACCTGGACGGTGACGACGACGACGACGACGATAATGAGGACGATGATCTGATGGACCTTGATGAGCCAGACGAGGACGACCTTGGGTCGGGGAGCGACATCTTCGACGACGACGACGACGACGACGACGACGACAATGCCAGTGAAAACGGTGCCAGTCAAGGCAAATCGGGTGGAAAGCTCTCAAAAGCATTCCAAGACAGATTTGCAGCGGATGATGCCGAGATTGAAGAATATGAAAGAAAACTCGGAATTAAAAAGGGTCGTAAGTCGTTGCCCAAAGCCTTCCAAGAGGACGGCTTGGGAGACTTGCTGGGCGAAGAAGCAGATGGGGCAGATTCAGATGATGACGAGGACGAAGAGGAGCAAAAGCGAGAATACGATCAATGGCTGGCATCGAAAAGAAAGGCAGCGAATGCGACCCAAACAAATGGGGACGATAACGGGGAGTCGGACGGTGAATTCGACGGCATTGATGGAGATGATGACGACGAGTTTGGCGGGTTTGACGAAGATGATGAAGATGGCGAGCCAGCAGCTCCCAAGAAGCGCGAAAATCCATACGAAGCGCCCAAGGAGAACCGTGTCGTTGCAAAATACGTTCCACCATCTCTACGAAACAAAGCCAACGGTGTGTCAGAAGAGCGCGAACGCTTACAGCGAAACATCCAAGGTCTTATTAACCGTCTTACTGAAACAAACATCCTATCTATTGTCCAGTCGATGGAAGACTTATACCAGAAGAACGCGCGTGGTGACGTTACCGAAATTATTACAGACGTTCTCATGGCCCAAATCTGCAAGGGAGAAATCCTGCCCGACCAATTCTTCGTTTTGAACGGAGGTTTTACTGCAGCTATTTACAAGATTGTTGGTGCTAGCTTTGGATCGCACGTTCTGCACCGCCTGGAATCTGAGATTTCACGATTATGCAAGGATGCTGAGCAAGCGCCGGACGAGGCATTCCACATTCGAAAAGAGGTTTCCAACCTGGTCAGCTTTCTTACACAGCTTTATGTCTTTGAAGCATTGAACTGCAAGCTCATCTTCGACTACATGGAGTTCTTTTTGAGCGACCTGACCGAGTTGAATGTTGAAATGCTGCTCAAGATTTGCCGAATGGCAGGGAGAATGCTGCGACGAGACGATCCTCGTGCCCTTAAACACATCACGAGTGTTTTAAATGCCAACTTGTTAAAGTACGAGCTAGGAGCTGTATCTGTCCGTACCAAATTTATGGTTGAGACGATCAACGACCTTAAGGACAACAAGACAAAGGCCAAGGGTGTAGACTCTGTCATGGTTTCAGAGCATGTGTTAACAATGAAGAAGCGCATTGGCGAGCTCAAGGCTCAGTCGCGACGTCTAGACGGTCTCGCGCCCATGGGTGTCAGTCTTGAAGATTTGCAAAACACTGACACGTTAGGCAAGTGGTGGCTCGTCGGTGCCAGTGTGCCTGTTAAACCTTCGGCAAATGGCAAGTCTGGCTCGTCGGCTAACGCAAAGACCGATCTTTCGGATGATGAAGATATGGATTTTGTGTTGCCAGATTATTCGCAAAAGGCTCGCGCGCAGGGTTTCAGCTCGCTGGCACAGGTTGCCATCTTTACAGCACTCATGTCAGCATCAAACTATGAACAAGGATATAGACAATTCGTGGATTTGAAGCTGAAGAAGGACGACCAGCTCGAGATAGCTCGCGTGATTGTCCAGTGCGTCGGCAGCGAGACACAGTACAATGACTACTACGCGCTGGTGGCCAAACAAGCCTGCACCAACAGCAGACTACGGTTCACCTTCCAAGACAGATTGTGGAAGATGTTCCGCAGTCTGGGCGAATCGTTATTTGGAGACGAAGCTGAATTCGAAGAGACAGCAGATACAGAGAGAATGAGGGATAAGCGCCGACTGGAGCAGGTTGCCCAATTCTACGCAACACTTGTCGCGGACAACTCGCTCACACTGGCGATTCTGAAGCCGCTTGAACTGCGTGACCTCTCTGATTTGGCATCCAGATTTGTCGAGGCATTCCTTGTGAGTCTACTTCGGTCCATCAAGGGCAAAGGCGATGACGAGGATGCCCGCATTGAAGCCGTCTTCGGAGCTGCACGGGATGTGCCGGCCGTTGCCGCTGGTGTGCATTGGTTCCTTAGGAAAAAGGTTCGCGGAACCGACCTGGTTTCAGGGGTTGTTGCGAAAAAAGTAGACAGAAGGAGACGCAAGGCTCAGGCGGTTGTGCAGCTGGCGGCCGACGTGTAAAATTATTTCCATATTTTGATAGTATATACATGCATTCTTGCATAGCAAGCAGGTCTAAAAATATCATCCCTTCTAAGCGGACTCTCCACGCACACGCTGGGTTGGGTGAAGACGGAAGCTGGTGGCGGCTCTGAACGGAACCGCACGGCTGTAGGCCAGTTCTCTTGCCGTCTACGGCGCAGGGGACCCACGCCCAGAAACGCAGGTACCTCTACTGCCAAAAATGTATGATGGGGTACCTCCCGTGTGGAGCACCATCGTCACTTGCCTAATACCTAAGCAGGTCCTTTTTTTCTCCCTCCTTGTTTATTTGGCCTCACCACTCAACATCTGTTTTTGGTGCTAATCATCACCACATCCTCTCACCACAGACGCAAAAATGCTCATCAGCCGTCAATTGCAACGAGCTGCAGCTCGCCCGGCTGTCTGGCAGTCTGCCACGTACGTCTTTGTTTCCTACCGGCCTCCCGCAGGCGCCGTGATCCTGCGGACTGGTCCCCCAACAAACAAAAAATCTCTCGCAAGCTAACCATGATGGCCTCACAGTCTGCCCGCTGCCACCGTTTCCCCCTTCGCTCGCTTCAGCCGTGGCATGGCTACCAGCTCTGGTGCGTTTTGCCAATTCCTCGCGCAATACCCGCGGTCGCCCATCTGTCCACTGCAGCAGCTGACATATCTACAGAAGAGAAGGACCTCATCATCATCGGAGGTGGCGTTGCTGGCTACGTCGCCGCCATCAAGGCCGGCCAGGAGGGCCTCAAGGTATGGAAGCATCGCTGATTCCCCTGACAGCCTGCTTTGCTTGAATTGATCGTCTAACAACCCCCTAGGTCGCCTGTATCGAGAAGCGCGGAACCCTCGGCGGAACCTGCCTCAACGTCGGCTGCATTCCCTCGAAATCTCTCCTTAACAACTCCCATCTGTACCACCAGATCCTCCACGACACCAAGAACAGAGGTATTGAGGTTGGCGATGTCAAGCTCAACCTTGCCAACTTCATGAAGGCCAAGGACACCGCCGTCGCCGGCCTCACCAAGGGTGTCGAGTTCCTCCTCAAGAAGAACGGCGCCGAGTACATCAAGGGTACTGGCTCTTTCGTCAACGAGCACGAGATCAAGGTTGCTCTCAACGACGGTGGCGAGACCACTCTCCGCGGCAAGAACATCCTCATCGCCACCGGCTCCGAAGCCACCCCTTTCCCCGGCCTCAACATCGATGAGAAGCGCGTCGTCACCAGCACTGGCGCCCTCTCCCTCGAGAAGATCCCCGAGTCTATGATTGTCATTGGTGGTGGTATCATTGGTCTCGAGATGGCCTCTGTCTGGTCCCGTCTTGGTGCCAAGGTCACCGTCGTCGAGTTCCTCGGCCAGATTGGTGGCCCTGGTATGGATACTGAGATTGCCAAGACTACCCAGAAGCTCCTCAAGAAGCAGGGCATTGAGTTCAAGCTCAACACCAAGGTTGTCAGCGGTGACGACTCTGGCGCCAACATCAACCTTCAGGTTGACTCTGCCAAGGGTGGCAAGCCCGAGTCTGTAAGTACAACATATTCTACAGCAACACAAATTGTAGAAATGCTAACTGGTTAATAGCTTGATGCCGAGGTTGTCCTTGTTGCTATCGGCCGCCGCCCCTACACCGAGGGTCTCGGCCTTGAGAACATTGGCATGCAGCTCGACGAGCGCGGCCGTGTCATCATCGACTCCGAGTACCGTACCAAGATCCCCCACATTCGCTGTGTCGGTGACGCCACTCTCGGCCCTATGCTCGCCCACAAGGCTGAGGAGGAGGCTGTTGCCGTTGTCGAGTACATCAAGAAGGGTTACGGCCACGTCAACTACGGCTGCATTCCCTCCGTCATGTACACCTACCCCGAGGTCGCCTGGGTCGGTCAGACTGAGCAGGACCTCAAGGCCCAGAAGATCCCCTACCGCGTTGGTACTTTCCCCTTCAGCGCCAACTCTCGCGCCAAGACCAACATGGACTCGGAAGGTATTGTTAAGATGATCGCTGACCCTGAGACTGACCGTCTCTTGGGTGTCCACATTGTTGGCCCCAACGCCGGTGAAATGATTGCTGAGGGTACCCTTGCTCTCGAGTACGGTGCTTCCAGTGAGGACATTGCCAGAACCTGCCACGCTCACCCCACGTTGGCGGAGGCTTTCAAGGAGGCTGCCATGGCCACGCATGGAAAGGCCATTCACTTTTAAGCAAGTGCAGCTCGCACCAGTCTTTTGTATCCCCTTGAGATCGGAACTCGGTAGAGTCATCTTGTAAACTAGTAATATACAATGCCAAATATTGGGTTATAATGAACTATACCATGCCACCATTTCTTCACAATTGCAAACCCTGTGACGTTCTACTCCAGCTTAAATAACGAAGACGCAGATATTTGACTCGACAAAACGTCGATTATCGAGGTGAATCGACCCGATCGGCAGTCGGAGACGGACAAAACTTTGGGTCGCCCCACCCGTTGAGGGGTGCGGTGAGGGTTCCTGATATTTTTGGCGCGGCTCTGCAACAGCGTTACAGCTTCGCCAAATCATAGTATTGCCCCCTATCCTCTCCCAAGAAGCTGAATTTTTGACCTAATTGTTCAGAGGTGAACGAATTCCACCCCTATCAGCCAGGATTCCACACAATTATGGGAGCTCCGAAGCAGGCTGAGGCTTTAAGCTTCCCGCGCACCGCTAGCCCCAAAGTCTATCCACGCCTTTCCAGGAACGACATAGAAGCTCTAATTGCTGCGGGAAGCCATGTTATAATCTACAACGGCTATGCACTCAAGGTCAATGCGTGGATCCCGTATCATCCGGGAGGCGACAAGGCCATTATGCACATGGTTGGCCGCGATGCCACTGACGAGATCAATGCGTACGTACCAAGGTCTTCTTTGATAGAACATATACATCAAGCTGAACAACGGCTAACAATATATACAGTCTTCACTCACCTGATGCCACCAAGCGAATGATTAAGTTTCGTATAGGCAAAGTTGAGGAGGGCCCTTGGCTCAACTTTACACCTCCGATACAGGGTGGAACGTTCCGTTCTGGCGACGAAGTTCAGGGCACCACCACCATCCCTTCAGCGGATCAAAAGGAAATATCTCAGGCGGATAATACATTAAAGCAGAGATCTGCCCCTGAGGCAACCAGCCCCAAATCAGAATCTACGAGCAACCCAGAGGTCGATAGTGACGGCATGTCATACCTGGATGCTGTCTCCCGTGAGTATATTACGCTCGATCTTGAGAAGTATCCCAACCCAGATCTATCCACCCAGGCCAGCGTTGTTGAGAAGTATCGCAAATTGTATGAAAGAATGGAGGATGAGGGCCTCATGAACCCAAACTGGCAGGCATATGCTGCTGATTGCTGCCGATACGTCCTCTTGTTTAGTCTCTCAATGGTCTTCTTGCGATTTGGCCAATGGGCTCTCTCAGGCTTCTTTCTGGGACTGTTGTGGCATCAACTTGTCTTTACTGCCCATGATGCCGGTCATATTGGAATCACTCATAACTACCACTTCGATTCCATCCTGGGTATTATCATTGCTGACTACATTGGTGGTCTCTCGCTGGGCTGGTGGAAGAGTAACCACAACGTCCACCATATCGTTACCAACGCACCAGAGCATGATCCCGATATCGAGCACATGCCTCTCTTTGCCATTTCTCATCGCTTCCTTGGCAACTTGTATTCGACCTACTACGACCGTGCCATGACGTACGATATATTCGCAAAGTTTCTACTACGCTTTCAGACATGGACCTACTATCCACTCTTATCCCTAGGCCGTTTCAATCTCTACGCTCTTTCTTGGCAATATCTATTTGGAGGCAAAGCCCCGAAGAAGGGTATTTCAGCCTGGCATCGCTGGGTCGAGATTGGAGGCCAGTTTTTCTTCTGGTTTTGGTTTGGTTATCTGATTGTCTACCGGACTATTCCGGACGGGTGGTCTCGATTTACGTTTGTAATGGTCAGCCACATTACTTCGTCTCCTCTACATGTCCAGATCGTCCTGTCGCATTTTGCCATGAGCACAGCCGATCTTGGCCCGCAAGAGTCCTTCCCACAGCGTATGCTTAGGACCACCATGGACGTGGACTGCCCGCCATGGCTCGACTTCATCCACGGAGGGTTACAGTTCCAAGCTATCCATCATCTCTTTCCTCGCATGCCGCGTCACAACTTGAGACAGGCCCAGAAGCTGGTCCTCGAGTTTTGCGATGATGTAGGTATACCTTATGCTTACTATGGCTTTGCGCACGGTAACCAGCAAGTCCTTGGCCGTCTGGGAGAGGTTTCGCGCCAGGCTGCGATTTTAGCAAAATGTCAGAAATCTATTGCGAAATCAGGAAGACTAGATGGCCATCACCATTAGGATCAGAGCTATGCTATTTAGCGTGCATTTACTGGTGGGACGACCTGATTTAATAACTACATATTTAAGGATTGAAGGCAATAATACTACTAGCTTTTCAATATATCCCCTTTTTTTGTCATGCAGATTACCAGCTTCACTGTAAAATAAAATAAAGTATGGCGCGTTGTGTTGACCATGTGAGTGTAGGTCAGTTGACTTGGCGTTGGCCAGCGTCACGTTGCGACTCGCTCGCTCCACTGACCTGCGATGCTTGGAGGGAGCTATAGCTTAGCCAGCTCCGTCGGCGGTGACCTCCACTCCACCATCATCAACCCTGCCCTACGCCGGTATCAACGCGTCATCATGGAAACCAGCATACAGAGGGCATTGAATGACAAGCTTTACGATAAGCGTAAAGTAGGAGCTCTCGAGTACGTACATGGGACTGTCTTTGGCGTCGCATTACCGCGATCACGCTAACGTGAAGTTACTAGGCTAGAAAGAGTTATCCGAGATCTGGCACTGCGCAAGCAGCATCAAAAGGTTACTGATATTCTAGATCAATTGTGCAATGACTACGCATACGCCGTGCACCAGCCCCATGCTCGAAATGGCGGTTTAATCGGTTTGGCCGCCGCGGCTATTGCCCTCGGATCGGTAAGTTGATGAGTGGCGCTATCGCTTCTGGGTCTTGCTTCCTCCGTTTATGGAGCTTGAGTTCATTGGCTTTAGGTATTCAGAGGGCGAAGAAACATGTCTAATTCTCTATTAGGAATTGCCTAGATATCTGGCCAAGATTGTACCGCCAGTGCTAGCTTGCTTTACTGACCAAGATGCGCGAGTCCGATATTACGCCTGTGAAGCAATGTACAACATTGCCAAAGTTGCAAAGGGTGAAATTCTTGTCTACTTCAATAATATTTTCGATCAGCTTTGCAAGGTAAGTGGCAGAACTGCTAGCGGGCTGATTTTTATCCATGCTAATCCCTCCCATAGCTCGGTGCGGATTCAGAGCTGTCGGTAAAGAACGGCGCCGAACTGCTAGATCGCCTTATTAAAGATATCGTCTCGGAATCCGCAGCCTCGTATGTGTCTATTCTAGACGAGAAAACAGAAGAGCAGCATGATGCTGTTGAAGACGACGAAGCACTTCATCTACCCACAGCGTTTTCACTCGCTCGATTCATCCCGCTTTTGAAAGAACGCATCTGGGTTATAAATCCATTTACACGGCAGTTTCTAGTCGGCTGGATCACCCTTTTGGACTCAATTCCAGACCTCGAGCTCGTGACCTATCTTCCTGCGTTTCTTGGTGGCGTTCTCAAGTTTCTCGGAGACCAGAATTTGGATGTGCGCGCAGCAACACAAACATGTCTTGACAAGTTTTTGAACGAAATTAAGCGGATATCTAGAGTGAAGAAGGGACTTACCGAGACAAGAAAGTCCCGTGAGGGCACAAAAAGAAAGCGACAAGATTCTCTAGACAGCAGCAGTATTCATATGGAGGCTGAAGAGGGTGATGAAATCGACTCAAACGCCCTTGATGACGATGACGAAAGTGACGAGGAAGACTGGATTCCCGGTCAGGATGTTGACATTAATTACGGTGACATTCTTGAAATTTTAACTGCGACACTGGATTCTCATTTAGGTTTGTACTCATTTGAACGTGACCGGTGGTGCCTGTGCTAACGGCCACTACAGAAGAGGATTGTTTGTTAGAGGCACTCCGATGGATTGTCGAGTTTCTCGACATTTGCCCCGAGGAAGTGCTTCCTTTCACACCAAAGATTCTCGCACAGATGTTGCCAGCCATGGCTAGTCCGAAAGAAACGATCCATCTGGCAGCTACAAGAGTCAACAACTCGCTCATGGATTATGTGGTTTCCTTGGCGTCAGATGCTGGTAAGCTACCGTGATATCTTTGTTTCCAAGTCGTCCACGACTAATTGCCTTACGATGTATAGAAAAGAACGACTACTTGCCTCCAACGTCGATAACCTCGACACCATCGAAAGAGCTAGAGCAGGCTGCAGCTGCAATGCACACGCGGTCGTCGTCTGTGGCTCCTAGTTTGGCCCAGACTGCGACGCAGGCGGACCTCGACTATGCAGCAGCCGTCAATTCCCTAACTCTTCTATTCCTAAACGACCATGAGGCGACGCGTGTTGCCGCGCTTACATGGCTCATCATGCTTCATAGAAAGGCCCCCAGAAAGCTTCTCGCTTTCAATGACGGCACTTTCCCTGCTCTGCTCAAAACACTGTCCGATCCATCCGATGCAGTGGTAACCAAAGATCTTCAGCTTCTGTCTCAAATATCGAGATATGGCGAGGACGGTTACTTTGCAAACTTCATGGTCAACCTGCTACAGCTATTCTCGACGGATCGTAAATTGCTCGAGACACGAGGCAATCTGATTATCCGACAGCTTTGTATTAGTTTGAGTCCCGAACGCATCTACCGAACACTGGCTGATTGTATTGAGAAGGAGGAAGATGTCGAGTTTGCCAGTATCATGGTGCAGAACCTGAACAATAACCTAATCACAGCGCCTCAGCTAGCAGAAGTGCGCAAGAGACTAAGAAACTTAGAAACCAAGGTATTTTAGTGTTTTGGGATGATTGAAAGGCGGACGCTTTGTGCTGACTTGTCTGCAGGATGGACAAACACTATTTGTCACATTGTTCCGATGCTGGTGCTACAACGCTGTGGCCACATTTTCTCTGTGCCTATTGGCCCAGGCGTATGAACAAGCGTACAACTTGCTACAAATCTTGTAAGAGACACATAATCTCCTGCCAGAGTGTGCAAATTTAGACTAACTGGCTCTTGTAGCGGCGAATTGGATATGACGGTCAACATTCTGATCCAAGTAGACAAGCTTGTCCAGCTTATCGAGTCACCTGTATTTACGTGTAAGTGCATGAACAGAACATGAACAGCACATGATGGCGTCTCATTATGCTGACATGATGATGTTGCAGATCTTCGATTACAGCTCCTTGAACCCGACAAGTACCCTTACCTTTACAAATGCATGTACGGCATCCTCATGCTGCTGCCCCAGTCGTCAGCATTCGCCGCCTTGAAAAACCGCTTGAACAGTGTGAGCTCCATTGGATATCTACATGTCGCACCGCGAACGTAAGCCTTATGCCGCCCAACTTAATATTTGACTGAAAGCTAACGTGATCTAGATCCTCCACTGCTGCGGCCAATGCCAACTATGACCGCCCCAACAGGCTCAAGGGCAGAGAAGACGGCTCTATTCGATGGGTTGAGTTGCTGGAAAAGTTTCGCAGTGTACAGGAACGATCGAGGCGTGCCCAACGCCAGAGCATGGACGGATCAGACGGGATGTCACTGGGCGTGAGCGAACTGCGGATCGGAGATGGTTTACCGGATAGATCTGCGAAAGATGCCAGAAGCGGCGTCCCTATCCCGACTATAGTTGCGAAAGACAGTGCTGCATCAGCGCCGGCCAAGAAAGGCGGCTTGGGTAGACAGTTTGGAAGACTTGGGGGCGCCGTCTCTGGCAAGAGTCGCCGTAACCCGTGAGATGGCTTACAGAGCAGCATTTTGTAGATTATACCGTTATTGGAGTAGCAATGGATATACTGGAGTTAATTGCAGCGAAAGACTAATTTTGGGGTATCTCTAAAGCAACAGCAAATCCTCTCTTTCTCTTTCCCTCTCTGTCACTATTTTTCTATCCGTTGACCATAAGACGGCTCATTTTCTCTTTCCAGGACTTTCTCGCTGAACCAAGCCTTCAAAGGCGGCATCGCGCTGCGAAATCATGTCTTGCAGCTGGCTTCTGAGGGATCGCAGCTCTGTTTCTGCCTTGACAGGGTCTGGAGGGAGTCCCTGGAAAGCTGCTATATAGGAATCCAGCTGCTTCTTGCGGTCAAGCAGGGCTAGGTATTCCTGCTCTTCACGAACAATATCATCCACAGTGACGCGCGCAGTTCTAGAAAGTTTCCCAGCTCCTCTCTCGGCTGTGGAAACTTGGGCAATAAGCTTATTGACAGACTCACGCACATTGGCATTTGCAGCCTTGAGGTGGGCGATGTGGCTGTCCTCGAGCGACTGGATAAGCTCGTGGACGTGGCGAGCTTCTCTTTCGAGCTGCGACTCCATGGCTTCTGTCCGTTCCGCCATGGTCCTGTTAGCGAAATTCGCAGCCTGTATATCCAACGATAGATAGCCCAGTGTTGTACGGGCATCCGTCAGTATAGCATCAGGACAGAGGTGGGCAGAGGCTAGGGAACGCAGCGCCGTCCGGCCCTCAGCACTAAGAGCCTGCTCAATGATGGTAAGAAGCGTCTGTCTCAGAGCTTCGCCTGTTGCTGCCGTCGGCGTAGCTTTTGCTGCGAGCTCCGTAGCAGCTTCATGTTCGACCTTTTGCACGACGCGCTGCTGCTCAGTAGCTGCTTCGGTGTGCGTGGCCAGCGCCATCAGGGTGCGGAGGGTGTCTGCATTGCGCTCAAATGAAGGAGTTTTGCCATGAAAGTACTGCTCCAACCACGAATCAACATAGGCCCATTCTCTCGCCGTGGGTGCGGCAATGCGAGTTGCGGATGGCGTAAACATGGTTGCAGCACCCGCCCGTGTTAGAGCAGCTCCAAGCAGGCTCGAAAAGGTACATGACGGCTAAAAAAAAGGTACCGTGGACAGTGCCCAACGCAGACACTGCTGACACTGTGAAGAGGAAATTGTGGGGCCCCCAACACCGGTTTCCGTTCTTGGCGGCAGCCGTGATTAAAGGACAGCGTGGGCATAATCCAGATATGGTTTGTTGCTAACTTTGGGCCAGCCCAGCACGTAACTTGAACCTTAACATTACGTTTTGTTCAGCTGCAGTGGCATTGCTTCCTGTCCCCCGTTCCGCCGACGCACGCTTCTCTTCCTTCTGCCATTTTGTACTCTGCACGCTGCAAACACTTACATTTTTGCTGCTGTTGGTGTAGATAGTGGCGTCACCAAGAATCTTCGAATCCGCCGCAGAGCCGCGATCGGCCATATAGACGACTCCCCGTGCAGCTCTCGACCATGCGTTTCCCGCTCTCGAACCTCGCCGTGACGGCAGGCATATTCGCCTCGACTGCTGCCGGCCTGACAGCACAGGACATCCCCAGCGACACGCCCGTCTCTGTTCTGCTGACGTCGGCGCAAACCCACCTGGCCCAGGGCCAGACCAGCGATGCCCTCGTCTACTACGATGCTGCCATTGCTAAGGACCCGAACAACTACCTGACCCTCTTTAAGCGTGCCACAGCATACCTCTCCATCGGCAGATCGAGCCAGGCGACCGACGACTTCAACAAGGTGTTGGCTCTGAAGCCTGGTTTTGAGGGAGCCCACGTGCAGCTTGCCAAGATCAAGTTGAAGACTGCCGACTGGAAGGGTGCGAGAGAGCAGTATGTTGCTGCCAACAAGGCCGAGGACTCGGAAGAGCTCGTCCAGTTGGCAGAGGCTGAAGCAGGAGCCGCGGCGGCGCGTGAGGCCGTTGAGGCCCAGCAGTGGGAAGAGTGTGTGACCAAAGCCGGCGTGGCCATTCTGGCTGCACCGAGAGCCGTGGAATTGAGAGAGCTGAGATCACGCTGCCGATTCGAGCGCGGCGAGATTGAGGAAGGCATGGGTGATCTCCAGCATGTCTTACATCTCAAGCCCGGCGACACAACTCCCCACGTGGTCATCTCAGCGACGAGCTTCTATGCGCTCGGCGATTTTGAGAACGGCCTAGCCCAGATTCGAAAGTGCCTGCACTCCGACCCCGACTCGAAGGTCTGCAAGGCGCTACACAAGCAAGAAAAGGCCTTCCACAAGAAGTTTGGCCGCGCAGAGGGCCAGCTCAAGAAGGGCCAGTCGACAACCGCTGGCCGCACAATCGTCGGCACCAGCGAAGAGGCTGGCCTGCTGGCGATTGCCAAGGAGCAGTTCGATGCACTGGTCAAGGACGGCATGATGCCCACCCATGCCTCGTCCCGTCTACACAGCATCCTGACCGAGATGGCGTGTCAAGCATACACCGAGTCAAGTCACAAGAACACGGCGCAGTACTGCGACGAAACCCTCACACTCAACCCCAACTCGTTCTGGGGCCTCTTGCACAAGGGCAAGGCGCTGCTGAAGCAAGACGAGTTCGAAGCGGCTATCCAGACACTCAACCAGGCCGCCGAAGCACGCCCCGACAAGCGCGACAAGGTCAACCCCGTGCTGCAAAAGGCCCAGATTGCCCTCAAGCGCAGCAAGACAAAGGACTACTACAAGGTGCTCGGCGTGGCGTCGGACGCCGACGAGCGCCAGATCAAGTCTGCATACCGCAAGGCGTCCAAGATCCACCACCCAGACAAGGCTGCCAAGCAGGGCATCTCCAAGGAGGACGCCGAGAAGAAGATGGCGTCCATCAACGAGGCCTACGAGGTGCTGAGCAACCCGGAGCTGCGCGCGCGCTTCGACAATGGCGACGACCCCAACTCACAGGAACAGGGAAGCCCGTTCCAGGGAAGCCCGTTTGGCGGCGGCGGTCATCCGTTCATGTTCCAGCAAGGCGGCGGCGGTGGTGGTCAGCAGTTCAAGTTCCATTTCGGCGGAGGCGGTGGTGGTGGTGGCCATCCCTTTGGATTCTAGACGTGAAGAAGTTAAACTAGACGAACGACTTTTCTGTACATTTTTTATTATTAGAGCAGTCATGTATATCATAATCATATTTGATTCCAACGATAAACGCTTTCATTTTTGAGTAAATCCTCCTCTAAACATGTCATTTCTTAAACAAAATCAATACTGATTTCAGTGATACAAGTGAGAAGAGAGAGAAAGATGCAAGATTGGTTTTTTGCCCATTGGCAACGATAGTATTGCAGAAAATATCTAACCCTAAGTCCTGTATGCTGCCCTTTTGCTTTTTGAATGAAACAAGAAAAATGTACATGAACTACATCGTATCAGAACACAAAATCCGAACATGGTTCGATCCGGCCGTCCTCAACCTGCCCGCTCAGATTCAAGCATTACACTCCAACCCAAACACATTAGCCTCTCCCGTGTCTCTCGCGGTTCATGAAATGACACGCGCCCTACTACTCAGTCACTTCGCTTCCTTCGTACTCTGTCTCTCCTATTTAGGAGAGGTCGTTTCGTCGAATAAAGTATGCCCTAAAGAAAGAGAAGACCTGGTTAGTGAAAAATACTATAAGAAAGGAGGAAGAAGTAATTCATACTTGGAGAATTCGTAGGCAGACCAGCAAATAGCCGTGCTGGGCATGGTGGTGACAATTCTAGGGCGGACGCCCTTGAAGAAGCCACGGAAGCCCTCACGCTGGTACAGCAGGCGGCAGCCGCCCATGAAGCTGTTGATGCTGCGGATCTCGGGATCCGACGAAGTGCCCTTTGTCTGCAGGATGGTCTTGATGACATCCATGGGGGTGGTGAGACCGGCGGCAAAACCACCAGCAACGGCACCGGCCATGCAGTGAGTAAAAGGGTCGTACTTTTTGTTGGGGTTCATTGCGGTCGACATGGACTCGTACGCCAGGAACTGGAGAGCAGTAAAAGGTACTGTCATCGAAAGCGTCGTGGGGTACGAGAGGTAGAATGCGCCGAGACCCTCGTTCTTGTAGATATATCTTGCGCAGTCCGTCATCGACTTGTACATTCGGCTCGAGTCTTGAATCTGCATGCGCTGCTTGATGACTATTCCCAACGCCCGTTAGATCAATCGTCACTCATACTGTTTTTTCAGCATATACATACCATCAAAGGGGTTCATGAAGGCATCGCTGGCAATAGTAGCAGCGGCACCACTCGTAGCTACAAGACAGTGTTAGCAGTCTAGCAAGAATTACAGTTTTCAAGTCACGATTTTTCATACCAGCAGCTAACGGGTGGTGAACACCAGCCTGGTTTCCACCCATGGCATGCTTGACAGCCTCGTACGTCGCAAAGTAGACGGCGTGTGCCGGTCCTAGTGAGCTTTGTCAGTAAGTGAGCTCGTGCGCAAACAAGTCCCGGACATACCAGCTCCGACGATAACACTCGACATTCCTCTCCAGAGACTGAAGAAGCCTTCGGTAGAGGCGATCTGGTAAGTATTGCGCAAGACACCGCTGTAAGCCACCGTGGTGTTGGGGTTTAACAGCTGCATTCTGGTCTAAAAGGTGTGTGAGCGAGTGACATGTGCCAAATCGGCCGTGGACAAAGGCATACCTTAATAGCATCAATTGGGTACATGACAGTGTGTTCCTGCAGCGCAAGTCAGTCTCCAATGCTCTATTCCGCGGCAACTCGCTCCCCGAAAAAAAGGGCGGCTGGGCATCGAGGGGGGCCACCTACTGCAATACCGGCGAAAGCGCCAGCAGCCATGTTTTGGAGCAGAGAAAAGTTGGGAGGAAGACCTTCGTAGCTAGAGCGCAGAATATCCGTCAGTACATGATTCCTCGACATCACAGAAGAGACAGAAACGAATGGCTCGCTCTACTCACTCATATTCCTCGTCCTCGACGAGATCGACCTTGGGTTGCGCCATGTTGGACACAGCGTCGGAGGCCGCGCCAAAAACGTTTGTGTTTGCGGTAGCCAGCTTGTTGAATGTCAGAAACGGTAAGAGAACCGCTTCCACGTCAGACCCGTGCGGCGAAAAAGAAGAGGTGTAGGCGTCGAGTGTGTCCTTGCGTGGTGGTGGGCAAGGGGACAAAAGGCGCGAAAGGTGAAATTCGGTTCGGCAATCGCGGGACTAGGCGTTTAGAAGTCGAGTGAAAATGCGACTCGGAAAATCAATCCAGGTGCAAAATAGAGGGCGGTAATAATACAACGTGTCGTGGCAACCAAAATGCAGGAAACAGGAGGATGGTTTTGAAAGAAGAAATTCCCAAAAACAGCCCGTGATGTGGTTTGTGAGAGGAAAGCTATCGGCGGTACACAAGCTGCTTGGGGGGAAAATCCCTTCTCCGGTTCACGGATGCGAGGCAGGCCGACCGACCGCCCCCCAGTAAAGCCAGCACCGCGCCTTCCCTTCCCTGTGGACAGGGCCTGGGCTTGGGTACTGGGGCAGGGCTAAGCTAAGCAATGTGGGCTAACTTACTGTCCTTCAGGCCCCGAACAGCGCTTGCACGGTACCACTGCAACAGCACTAGCACCCCCGTGCAGGGCATGCCAAAGTGGCAGCTGCTGTTGCATATGCGCTAAAATTAAAGCCTATCTTGCATGCCCACGCCCTGATTCATGGGCTCCATTGCTCCACTGCAAAGCACATGCCGCGGCGCCCTCCACTGTAACACAGGGTTTTGCAGGGCTGCTTTGCAGTGCTTGTTTGCTACAGAACAGCCAGCGCATGCACGGAGCGGCGCTAACGGATTTCATAATTCCAAATCGGCTATATCGCTTTTTTTTACTCTTATCTCAACTAGTTTGGTGTAGATTGACAGCACATTTTAAAGGTCGAAGCATAAAACACCAGCAAGAAAAGGGGGCTGAGGGAAAAACACCAAGACAAGGAAAAAAAAAAGAGGCCACTTTGCGCAGTAAGCCGCGGTGATTGGGGAAAACGGATCTGATAAGATTACGCAGACACTCCAGGTCGCCGCCGCCGCCACGTCGACAGGCCGACCCGGGGGGGCCGATATCGCCGAGGTAGCCAAACTCCGAGAGCCACGGGCCGCGCAACGAGGCGTTGGGCGGATGCGAGTGGAAATACGAGGACAAAAGTACAAATGCACTCATATGGGGTGAAGAAATGCATCACAAGGTGACTAGAAATAATTCAAAAGGAAAATGTTGGTTCTCATGACAGATGCCGTATGTACACACAAAGCCTACAGAACGGACGGGTTGCCCTCGGGTACCTCCCCGAAAGGCATTACACTATTGACCCCGTCCGGCGTCCGCCATACTGCGCTTGGCGGAATTGGTGAATCATGCCCAGTACGCCCCCGTCATGTCCGTCTGCATTACTTGCACTCTGCTCCCTACTCAGTCCCTGTCCTGGTGATGTTTGCCATGTCGACTCGCCCAGCCCAGCATCGACTTCTCGCAAATCCTCGTCTACGTCCGCTCCCATCCCCGAGTATCCGCCTGACTCTTCCCTAGCCTCTTCAATGCCAGGAGGAGCAAACTTGCCACCCACGCGGGATAGGTGAGACCGATGCAGAGCCCGCCGGCTTGGTCCAGTGATGCTGGCTTGTGCATCTAGAAGAACTGACGACGACTGCATGAGGCCCGGAGGATTGGCCGGATATCCGCGTAAGCCGACGTCCCGGCGTCCATCCATGCGTTGCGACGACGGCCCGGGCATATCAGCTGCCAGTGTTGGCGAGTTGAGGCTCGGAAAAGCCGGCGGATGGTGGAAGCTTTGCTTCATGCCAGGAGGCATATGACCAGGTATTCCCGTCTTGGGATTGATGACGTAGTTGTCCAAGAATCCGTAGTACGAGGCTGCCATCTTCCCGTGCTTGGTTGAATAGTATTCCTCCCGCACATCAGGATTGGCATCCTTTTGTCGAGCATTGCCGACGCCGCGACTGAAATCAAAGAGGGCAAACGAGCAAACATAGCCAAGCCCATCCACATGGACAGTGAATTCGCGGAAAAAGTCGACAATCTGGTCGCTGCAGTTGGGGAGTGAGAACAAGAGTAACATGGGAGTGGTGATGATGCCCATCACTTCCTCCAAGAAGATTATGGCCTTCATCTTGTAAAGTTCAGAAAATTCTTGCTTCACCTCAAAGCTGTGAAGACGGCCCTCCCAGTGATCCGGCATGTAATGCGTGTACTCAATCACATTACGTAGCGCATACTCTGGGTTGAAGACCATTGTCTCCTCAGATATCATGCCTCGGGTCATTGCCCAGATGGCACCAAATACACCCAAGTAGAACAGGACAGTTCGGTCCTTGGTAATCTCAAAACCCAAAAACAGTTCAGAGTCGAGCACGGTGCAGACAGCCAGCACTGCCGTTATCGCACCAGACATGAATGCGATACTGCGAGCAACATCCTCGGTGAGCCGCTTGGGAAACTGGTCCAAGTATCTGGTCGCAAAGGGATACGACATGTGTAGTCTTTCGTAGAATATATGCGGGAGCTCGTTGAATTCGCGAAACTTCCATTCTGCCAGCGCAGTATACTTTCGCGCTGTGGCAAGTTTGGGGTCTTTTTGATACTCCTGTAATGATGGTTAGCTAGCTCATTAGACATTCATCGGTATGGTTGGTACAAACATTGTAGTATGTGAAAAAATATACAATAATAACATAGGCGAGCACAACCGGTGCGAAAATCAAGTTGAGGATTCCGGCAAAGATAAGTCTCTGTCGAAGCTTCTGGCTCAATATGCGTCGTCGATCTGCTCGCAAAAAGTCTTGCTGAATTTCGCCCCTCTCGGTAAAGGCCATATCGAGGATGCTGTAATGGAGATACCATTCCATGGTTTTCGAAAAGAGCTGGCGGTTCCTGAGGAATGGTATAGGTAGCGAAAGGTTCAAGACGTCCTTGTTGATCATCGCAATGAGGTAGTTTTCCTTTCGCATTAGTCGATTGGCAATATCGTGAGCATCAAGCCTCTCCTTCGACTGGCTTCCGAGGAACTTGCGCAGTCGAGCTGGAGTATTGGTGGCCGTCTTTGGGTTCTGGTCGCGGAGCAGCATAACCCTTCCAACAATGTCTTGCCATGAAACCGTCTGCATATCTTGCTCTGGAATCTCGAGTAGGAATCTATAAAAGTCGCGGATATGGGAAAGTCGACGTATTTCCAGAAAGTATTGTACGGCTTTCCAGAAAAAGAAGAATGAGTACATCCAGATACCCAGACTCCATAAGACGGACATCTTTCGCGTACACTGGCTGATAATGACCTGGTCCAGCGACTTGCTCTTTGGAATCTTGTCGTAGTCGACACATTGTGTCAGAAACGTGAGTAGAACTGCCACAAACAGAGTTTCCCTAATCAAAGACGGTTAGCTTGCGGAACATGATGGACTTTTGGGATCACATCTTACAGCAGCCACAGCGCGTTAGCGGACAGTATACACCAAATCCCACCTCCTTCATAATAGTCGTAGACATCGCGCATGAAATTGTCCAAGCTCGAGACGTTTACCCATCTCCAGAGAGCTGCCTCGCGCTTGGTAACGTGAATCCCTGTTGATGCCTTGTTTTTCGGTTGAATCCTGAATGGCAGAGGAGAGTGGGACGTCGTTGCATGCTCAGCACGTCTCTCGTCGAGATTCTCCCACTGGATATGAGACTTCGGGCCTCGGTCAGGGCCAGGCCGCTGGCGAGAAGGGGGTATCAACGGTTGTGCAGCTTCAGCTTCCATCACCGACGCCGAATTACTCTCCAGCAAAAGGGATTCCGGTACATCGTTATCGTCTGTATCGAGTTGGTTAGCAGAGGTTAGCACGCTGGCGATGTGCACGTGCACGCACCCGGTTCCATATGTAGCTGAGATTGAGGATGAGCCTGATGCCCACCCCCAGCTATCGGTGAGTGGCCCATATCTGCATCCTGATGATATCCTTCACCATCTCTTCTGTTATACGATCGTATGGTTGGCTCTGCTAGCGGTGACAGCCCTTGTGATGACGTCGGGTCCATTGTGGCCAGACGCACTGTGGAAGCGCGCAAGCTGTGTGAGGATGAAGCCGAGGTCGCTGAGCCAGTTGCCCAGAAGAAAAGGATGTATGTCCAAATTAACAAATGCACATATTCCGCTGCAAAATATATAAAGAGGTTTTGAAAAGCAAATTATCAGCGCCTAGTTGGAGATGAAGAGTGCAAGTATTACGTTTCGAGGTCACCAGCGGCGTCCGCGTGGGCTTAAGCAGTGCGAGCGAGTCAACTGACACGTCTGGGCTGGAAGATGAACGCGGAAGCTGCCTAGCCAAGCGCCGCCCGCCTGCATTGTACCAACGTAGGCGCAGGGCCAGGCGTGACGCCATTGGCTGCAGCTGGACGACATGGTTTATCTAGGTGGCGGAATGAAGGACAAAAAATAGTTGTAAAATAAAAAAGCTTGTAAAATGGAATAGATTTTAATAAAAATAATTTTATAAACACTCAAAGACTAATTGGTATAGTCCTAGTCTCCCATCCATCTCTTCGACTCTGCCAGCTAGTGGCGGCCGCTGCTTCGCGCTGCGCTGCGCTGCGTTGTGGTGGTCGTTGGTGGGTCAGGCTTTAACTGGTCCCCTCACCACCAGCACGCTACCTAGGATAGACATCGACACACACATAAAACGCCAGGTGGGGGAACAGGGTTTCAATTCGTTGCCATTGCCGTCATGGCTTCAACTTCACAGTCCCCATCGCTCCCCGGAGTGCGTGCCGACAACATGAGCACATCATCACAGAAAGATGCAGGCAGCTCGACGCTTCCCATCCGATCCTCTAATCCCTTGTCTGCCAAAGTGGCCTCATTGCTATCAGCCTCGTATTCCGATGCTGGCTTCAAAGAGACACTCGAGTTAATTGATGAGCGCAGCATACCAATTGACGCCAAGGGCAGGCGGACGTTCCAGTTGGACCTCCATAAAGAGATTATAGACCAGAACGGCCAAGTCTTGGATGAGTTTCGGAACGTGACAGAGGTATGCAGTCCTTGCTTTCGCTACTAATCACATCTGTCTAACACTTGTTGAACAGCAAATGCGTCATATTCAGACTGCTCTCACGGCGCTGAATACAAAATATCAGCAAATGAAGACTCACTCAACCGCAGCTCACAAAGAAACTCGTGGTACACTAGAGGAATCGTCGACATTATTACAAAACCACAAAGATAGCAAGGCTAAGCAAGCCACCCTCGACGCTCTCCGGGCACACTTTATTCTATCAGATGCCGACATACAAACCCTCACTTCTATAGCCGAAGACATTGACGAACAGTTCTTTGCTGCCTTTGCCAAAGCCAAGAAGATTAGCAAAGATTGTGAGAGATGGCTGGGATTTGAAGCTCAAACGCTAGGGCTAGAGCTCATGGCCCAACTGTCGAAAACAATAAACCTGGCGTACCAGAAGCTGTACCGGTGGACACAAAAAGAAATGGGAACGATTAACGTTGAGAACCCGCAAATGCGCACAGAAATGCGACTGGCGCTGCGGACACTATCGGAACGACCGTCGTTGTTTCAAAGCTGCCTCAGTTCATTTGCAGATGCGAGACAACGGATTCTGGGCGACGCCTTTCACGAAGCTCTAACAGGCTCATTACCCAACGGCAAGGAGAGCACTGGCGTGAAGCCCATCGACATGACCGCACACGACCCGCTACGTTACGCCGGTGACATGCTGGCATGGATACACTCTGCCACCGTGGGAGAACGAGAGATTCTAGATGCGTTCTTCACGGTTGATGGCGATGCTGTCGACGCTGAGGCCAAGGGTGCCAGCTACATGCAAGTTTGGAACTTTACAAACGACGAATCACCAGACGGGGATATCCCAAGCCCAGCTCAGCTGCTGAACAACTTGGTAGACAGGGCCATTTCCAGCGCAGCTCGTCTCCTCAGACAACGCGTTGAGCAGGTGATCCAAGGCAACGAAGATGTCATTGTTTCGTACAATATTTGCAGCTTAGTCGGGTTCTACCGGGACACCTTTGAGAATCTTGTAGGCCGAGCTGGCGCACTGTTCGAATGCATGGACAACTTATCAACAGAAGCTACGAGACAATTCCGAGGACTGCTCCGTGACCGAGTTACAAGCCTACGGTCAGAGGTACCCCAGACACCTACTGATTTGCGACCACCCCCGTTCCTTCTAGATTCGCTGAAGTATCTAGAAGCCATCGCCAAGACACACGAGAGCTCTCTCAGCACAGCTCCAGCCGCATCCTCCGAGTTTGACGAAATCCTAGCCGAGGCCTTTGAGCCATTCTTAAATGGATGCAAAGACATGACCAAGATACTGGAGATGCCAGATCGCTTGATATTCCTCATCAACTGCCAGCGTGCGTGCCTGACCTGTCTTGGCTCCTTTGCCGTCGCCAAAAGCATGACCGAGTCGGTTTCGGCAGAAATGAATGAGAAAACGGCTGAGCTAGCGACGGAGCAACATCAATTCCTGATCGGTGCATCTGGACTAGGAGACGTATTAAACATTATTCAAAACCAAGCCACAGATTCTGGGCGCCGCCTCGACTTGAATGTCCTAGAGGCTGCCAGCCATGCTCTGGACCAGTTCCTGCCTTCGGCCAATATTGATGCTATGGAACGGTTGTCTCTTTTGGAGGATTCGACACTGGCTAGAAAGATTACGGGAACTGCAGTGGCGCAATTCTGCTCCGATTTCGATGACTTGGAGGCTAGACTGCTGCAGTTGGAGGAGTCTAGAGGGGATCTTGATTTACGGACCGTGTTTCCGAGAACGGGAGCCGAGATCCGGGTGCTGCTTTCATGATAAAACAAAAGTAACAATTTTACATTACAATAGACATATACATGCACTAGTGAACACAGTTTTGTATACTATTATATTCCCATCCGCATCAGGCCATTGGCTGCGAGGGGGCAGTGCTCTCTCGTCAGCGTCCCGCACAGGCCCTTGTACTCGCTGTTGTCGGGCGGCATGGACGCTAGCGTAGCGTCGCAACCTCTGCCTTGGTGCGGTGCCCCGCCAATTCCTTACGCAGCACACTTAGTGGCTCCCCACCTTACGTCACCGGAGGGCACAACAAGTTTGTTGGCAATGCTGCCCAGTTACGGCTCCCAAGGTCAATCCGCACGTGTTTCGACATTGACCCCAAAACAACACCACACAACCGCTGTCCGCCATCTTACTGCCCATGTACTCGGCGGCTTTACTGCCTATAATTCCCTGCAGATAACAGATAGCAATTCGGGTCCCTCGAAATCTAGCCATTTGACAACAGGGCGGCTTGCTACGAGCCGCTGGCCGATGCAATGCTGCAGAACAAGGTTTTCACGAACCTCCAAAAGACATATGATGATAGCTATCTCAGCTGCTCAACGGCCGTCTACTATGAGAGCCAGGTATGTACTGTGACAAATATTTCGTCTGCCAAAATAAAATAAAATAAAATGGGCAGGCCCGCCCTCTAACATGAACTCCTTCCACCACTTTAGGGCGATGAAGTCGAAGCAATGAGGCACTGGCGCAGTGCGCTTCAACAGATATACGATCATCACGCAAACAAGGTTATTCCCGGCTATGGCCCTCAATCCGATACGGAAAAGGCCCTCTTCGATGCCATAAAGCAACTGGAGCTGCAATGCAAGGAACGCATCGATCTGCTAGAAGCCTTGCGGGCATCTCGCCAGGAGGAAGGCACGCCGGATCCAACGCCGAAGCTTACAAAACCAAGCCCATCACCTTATGAATCTAGCTCCTCCAAAGGAAAGGGAACCATAGGACTCGGCACCATCCCGGCCGTGACCTACTCTGAGCTATCTCGTCCTACACCGTCACCAAGACCGCTACCGCCCCGCCCCCCACCTGAACCACCATACACTCATTATACTTCCTCGCCAGAGCGCCTATCAACCCCAAACTTTGTTTCTAGATCCCGTTCGCCAAGCGCTTCATCGAAAAAGGACAAATCGCTCAGAGCCGCTAGTCCAGAGAAACATACGATGAGAACGACGCTGCGCTCCAAAAACGGCGAAAAGACATCGAGTAGCAGTAGCAGCCGCAAACCCGCCAAGCCAGCCGCTGAAGGCCCAAGCAAAGCAGCTACTCTTGCATGGAGTGCACTGGGTATTCGCGATAGACATAGCCGGGCTACTTCGTCGGATGCCGCAGCTAACTCAGTACCGCTGTCAAAGCCAGCATCAGACTCATTTATAAAGCCCCCGCGGGCTCACAACCAATGGGATAGCAGCTCCAGGAGACTTATAACAGGACGACCCTCGGAGCCTCCAACTGCTGTTAGTCCTAGAGCTGACGTCCGACGCTCATCCGAGGGTAGACGCGACGAACGATCATCTTCGCTCTCAGTCAGTGCGGCCTCCAGCGCCATCCATTTTAACACAACTTATGGCTCTCCCCCAAGTGACAACCAGAATCGCAATTCGGACTTCTACATGGCATCTCGGGCTGCACAGGCTCCTGGACGCTGGCAAAAGGGCGACTCGTCACCAAGTTCAGGTACCGCTGATGAGCAGGGCCCCAGAACGGACAAGGTTGCCTCAGAAGCTGTTATGCGACGAAAAGCGCTTGCACGCCGAGCTGCTGTCACTTCGGTTTCTAATCAAGCTGAACCAAGTCTACCTTCTAGACCAAAGCAGCGACCTCCCGTCGCACGAGCCCGATCGATATCTAGCACCTCAGGAGATGAGCGGGCCGGTAATAGTTCACAATCTAAACCAGCGATAGCGAAAAAGAGCGCTGCCGCCACCAGTAAAGCTAGCAAGACAAAGAAGAATGGGGTACAACACAAGGACCAATCTACGGACGGAGCAGACCAATCATCAAGCGAGGCTAGCGAGGAGGAATCTTCAGAAGACAAGGCGTGGAAAAAGAAAAAGGCGGCCATCTTGAAATCTCTTCCTCCAGGTGTGGACGAGGGCGCCGCCAAACAGATTCTCAACGACATTGTGGTCCAAGGTGACGAGGTTCGATGGGACGATATCGCTGGTCTCGAAATCGCCAAGAACGCTCTGCGAGAGACTGTTGTTTATCCTTTTCTTCGACCCGACTTGTTCATGGGACTTCGAGAGCCGGCGCGAGGCATGCTGCTCTTTGGGCCTCCAGGAACAGGTAAAACCATGTTGGCCCGTGCTGTAGCTACCGAGTCTAGGTCGACGTTCTTTTCGATATCCGCCAGCAGTCTCACCAGCAAGTACTTGGGTGAATCAGAGAAGCTTGTGCGAGCTCTATTTGGACTCGCACGATGTCTCGCCCCCAGCATTATCTTTGTTGACGAAATCGACTCTCTGCTCTCACAGCGATCTGGATCAGGCGAGCATGAGGCTACCCGTCGTATCAAGACGGAATTCCTTATCCAATGGAGCGATCTGCAAAGGGCAGCAGCTGGTCGTGAAACTACAGAGCGAGACAAGGAGCGCGGTGACGCTAACAGAGTGCTCGTCTTGGCTGCGACAAACTTGCCGTGGGCCATTGATGAGGCAGCCCGAAGACGATTTGTCCGCCGACAGTATATCCCACTTCCAGAGCCCTCGACGCGAGAGACTCAATTTAGAACGTTATTGGGGCAGCAGAAGCACAGCTTGTCCAACGGCGATATTACCAGACTTGTCGAATTGACTGACGGTATGTAACTACCAAGCGTTCAAACGAGTATGAAAACGTTTGTACGAAAACTAACACCAAAAATAGGATTCTCCGGCTCCGATATCACCGCTCTAGCAAAGGATGCCGCCATGGGTCCGCTGCGATCTCTAGGCGAAGCCCTGCTGCACATGACCATGGACGAGATCAGGCCAATTGCATTGGTTGACTTTGAAGCCAGTCTGCGTACCATTCGACCTAGTGTCAGCAAGTCTGGTTTGAAGGAATACGAAGACTGGGCGATAGAATTTGGTGAACGCGGCGGATAATGATGCTCAGTCGGCGAGCTGGAGCAGCAAAACAAAGCAATACTGCATATACGTCATATTTCACACGGTAGAACATATAAAATACAGAATTCGTACAAACATGCCGCAACAAGAGATTCTTGAAATATGTGTTGTATTTCACAGGGGGTAAATGGAATCAAAATAACAAAAAGTAGTACAAACTCTGCCGCAACAGAGCCATCGCATGCTTGTGCAAAAGTAAATTTTGTCGGGCCATCTCCAATCTCCCGTCCAGTCCTAGCTCTCCTTCCCAGCCAAGATTATATCTTTTTATTTCTTCCTCTCGTATCGTACAGCCATGTATGTATGCAGTAGTTTATCGTGGGCACGCTAGTGCCCTAACAATTTCTTTTTTTTAAGATGATTCCTCTATGCCTCTGGCGCAGCGCTTCGAGCGCTTCGACGCTGCTCCTTGGCTGCTCGCTTCTCGACCTGTTCAGCGATTCTCTCTTCTGCCGTCGGGACGGCCGGGCGCTTGTCTATCGGTTCGGCGTACGGGGCAATAATGTGCTTGACGACGTGTCGCTTGTGGCGCGATGTTCTCCAGCCCGGCGCAATGGCGACGATATCGCCGGTGCGTAGTGATGACTTGGGGTCGTGAACGAGGTAGTTTTTGGGATTCGAAAAGGTCTGTCCTCCATGTTAGTCCAGCCGTTCCCATCAATTGCCAGCAATTGGGTCGCTGCTATGATGGCTTACCTTGTTGACGACCTTGTTCCATTTCTGGCCCCCTACGCGGACCTTGACAGTCTTGTCCATGAGGCCTGACGATACCACGATTCCCTGGAGCTCGTGGGTGACGCGCTTGGCGGCCTTGACGAATTGAGCCGACATCTTGTCTTTTTTTTTAATCTGGTGTCGTAAATAATTAGAAAAGCAGTATCTCCAAGATATCGCCCAGGAGGATGGGACCAGACAAGGTTCCCAAAAAATCCTAGGGTTATGTAAGAAGTGGGGCTGCTGGTTGGAGCCCATCACGAGACTCCAAACTAAAAGTTTTGAGGGTAGCTTTTCGAGATTTTGATCTTGGGCTCAATGCTCTCGCACGTGCTTCTCCACTAAACAAAAGTTGCTGAAGGAACATCCCATCTTTTCCTAGTACAACGACCGAACAAGCCCGCCGGTCGCCGCCATTTCAATTTAATTGTACAAACAGCAGGATGTCGTCTCCCGAGCAGCGTGCCGCTGGTGTTAAACGCCCGAGTAAGTCCAAGCCCGGACACCACTGTTCACGCAGCCGATGGCCCGAAAAGATCAACTCTAGCTAACGATTTTGCTGGTAGGGACGCAATCGCTTCCTCCTCCTGAGCTGCCACAGCTTGTTGCCGAGCAGAGCACGCCAATTCCGCCCACAGACAAAGACTCGCAGCGCCTGATTGTGGTGCTGTCCAATGCCAGCCTGGAGACATATAAGGCGTCGCATGGCGGCAGCAGCCGCAGCGGCGTGCACCGCGAGGAGAAGTACTCGCTACTGAACAGTGATGAGCATATCGGCGTCATGCGCAAGATGAACAGAGATATTAGTGACGCTCGCCCGGACATTACACATCAGGTACATCTACCCGTGCAACACCAACCCCCCAGACTTGACCTTTGTTGTGTCTTATACTAACTGCTCGTCTAACAGTGCCTCCTCACCCTCCTAGACTCTCCCATCAACAAAGCCGGCAAGCTCCAAATATACATCCACACAGCAAAGGGCGTCCTGATCGAGGTGTCCCCGTCCGTCCGTATCCCGCGAACCTTTAAGCGTTTCGCCGGTCTCATGGTGCAGCTGCTGCACCGCCTGTCGATCCGGTCCACAAACTCCAACGAGAAGCTGCTGCGTGTCATCCAGAACCCCATCACAGACCATCTGCCGGCCAACTGCCGCAAGGTGACGCTGAGTTTCGACTCGGAGCTCGTCCGCGTGCGCGAGTACGTCGAGTCGGTCGGCAAGGAGAGCATCTGCGTCTTTGTTGGCGCCATGGCCAAGGGCGAGGACAACTTTGCCGACTCCATGGTCGACGAGAAGATTTCTATCAGCAACTATTCCTTGTCCGCTAGTGTGGCCTGCAGCAAGTTCTGCCACGCCGCCGAGGACGTGTGGGATATTCTATGAGGTTCATGTACATTCAAATCCATCCATTTATGAAAGAAGAACAAAAAAGACAACAAGCATAAAAAATACCAACAAAACAATCCCAAAAAGATTTCCATGCCTCGCCTAGCAGCACCAGCAGCTCACTTCCGACGCCTCCCCGCATTCAGCACGTGTACTCACACGCAACTACCGGAGCATCGCATTTCCCCCCCAACGGTCCGAGGAGGATGGGTGCCCTTACGGGAAACCCATATTGGATATAAAACAAATTTCTTGCTAGGGAACAATACAGGCTACGACTGAGGTCGCATTTCGAGAAGGGAAAAGGGTTACAAAGGAGCATTTCATGGTTCATATACAGCCAGAGCAGCGTCGCTACGTCCATGACCATTTGGGTCCAATGCAATGTTTTGTGCTGCCATTTTGTAGATTCCTAGAAAGCACCCTCCAGAAATTCCATACCTAATGTATACCGCTGTACTCTATTAATCCCTGTGTCGTCATTTTTCCTTATGCCGACAAATGCCTTGTATGTACTTGAGCCGAGTCAGTCATCGCACGCGAGCACCAGATCCACTTTGCCGCCGATGGTCGGCGTTTTGGGGAATTTGTCCCGCCGGCACTTCAACATTCACTCCAACATCGTTCATCATCTCAACCACCAAAAAACTTCCTTTTTATATCTAATTAAGTCATTGTTTTTATTAAGAAGCTTCAGCCGCGATGCCCTCCTTCGAAGTGGGCGAGTCCATCCCGCCCAACACAGCCCACGTACGTTCAACGTCACTTTCACCCCGCCATTTTTACCCCTCCATACCAGTTCGCAATAGCTAATTGACACTTATTCATAATTACAGGCTGTCAGCGTGTCGCTACCAACATGGAAATCCAACATTGCCTACGAAGAGGGCGAAGACTGGGTAGTTAGCCGCATGGCGGCCGGATATCCTAGGTCAGTAACATGCCCCCTCCATAGCCGTACAACACCATACTGACAATCCCCGGATATACAGATTCTTTATCCACAAGAGCATCAAGCAGCTTGAATCCCTCATTGTCGAGAAGCACGCCACAGCCAACCAAAGCGCCATGCTCTTCCCCTGCTCCAACGCCGCCCGCCGCTGCCAGGACTTCATCCTCGCCCCCAACGCCGGCGCCAACGTCCGTGTTCTCGATTTCCGCCTCCACCAAGAAAAGAACACATCCGCGCTTCTGTCCCGCCTCATGCCGACTCTTTCTGCCGTCCTATTCCCGACAGACCTGTTCCCCCTCGCCAAGCAGTACTGGCAGCACACCGGCGACGGCATCTCCAGCCGCCACGCCGAATTCTGCACCGAGCTGCTCAGCAACGATCTCCTAACCTGCGCCCAACAAAAGCAACAATCCACAGACACTGCCGTCAAACCATTCCGCGGCCCTCGCAGATACCAAACAGAGTCGACTACCACCGTGCCCTCACCACCCAAATCGAAGCCCTCTCCACCACCTGAAAGCCAAGAATCAACACAGTTCCTCGAAGAGCGATTCGGCCGAAACCTCAACGTCACGCTCGTCGGGCAAGCCAAGACAGCCATCTGCCGCCGCATCGTGGGCTCCATTACCGACCCTACACCCCAAGAGGACGGAACGACAAGCCCCTGCACCGCATGCGACAATGTATATCTCTTCTCAGGCGGCATGAACGCCATTTTCCACACGCACCGCGCACTCCTCGACTGCCGTGGTGCCAAAAAGAGCGTAAGCTTCGGCTTCCCCTACGTCGACACACTCAAGGTTCTGCAAAAGTTCGGCCCTGGCTGCTTCTTCTTCGGCTTCGCGTCGGACTCAGACCTCGACAAGCTCGAGGCCCTTCTACGCGGAGGCGAGAAGATCCTCGCTCTATTCTGCGAGTTCCCCGGAAATCCCCTCCTCGTGAGCCCGAACTTGCGCAAGATCCGCGCGCTCGCCGACGAATTCGACTTTGCCGTTGTAGTCGACGAGACAATCGGCACCTTTGCCAACGTCGACGTGCTGCAGTTCTCCGACGTCGTCGTGAGCAGTCTGACCAAGATCTTCTCGGGCGAGTCCAACGTCATGGGCGGCTGCGCGATCCTCAACCCGAAGAGCAGGTACTTTGAGGCCCTTAAGGCGTCGTATGGCCGCGTATACGAGGACACGTACTGGGCCGAGGACATCATCTTCATGGAGCGCAACAGCCGCGACTACCGTGACCGCGTGGACCGAGTAAACGCCAACGCCGAGCTGATTTGCTCAGTGCTCCAAGGGAACAAGCACGTCAAGGACCTGTTTTACCCCAAGTTTAGCGCCTCCAAGGCCAACTACGATGCCTGCCGGCGTCCCAATGGCGGCTACGGCGGTCTCTTGTCGGTTGTGTTTGAGAATGCGCAGCAGGCCGAGAAGTTTTATGATAGCATGGCGATTGCAAAGGGACCTAGCTTGGGCACCAACTTTACGCTTTGCTCGCCGTATGCCATCCTGGCCCATTACACGGAGCTGGGCTGGGCGGCTGAGTATGGTGTCGATGCGAACTTGGTGCGCATCAGCGTCGGTCTAGAGGACAAGGACGAGTTGCGCGAGACTTTCCAGTCTGCCTTGAACGCCATTGACTCGTCGTCGTAGAGCACATATGATTTTTGTTACACGGTGTGGTAGAACACGAAAAGTATATCAGAATAGTCTATGAATTCGATTTCCAAAAAATTATGCAAAAGATTATGGGGTATATTGTTTCGTAATTACATGATTATGCATTCCTGATGCTTGTATGATGGTCCGTAGTCTTCTATGCCGCGTTCAATCTCGTTTGCTCGCTGCTTCTCCTTGACTTCGTTGGGGAAGTACTTTCGCAGGTACTTTTCTAATGGTCGGTCCAGGTTATCTAAAACACAAATGATATTAGCAAGAGTAAAATAAAAGCCTTGGGGAAAACTTACCAGCTGAAGCCTTCATTACAACGTCTGCGCGGCAAAGCGGGCAGTGGTGCTCGCCTCGGCGCTGAATCTTGATGATACAACGGATGCAAAACACATGCTGGCAGTCCAGCCGCACCGGTCTATATGCTAGCGAGAAGCACACGGGGCACAAATAGTCGTTTATCTGGGGCAGAAGCGTCATGAGCTCCTGCGACATGGTCGAGCAGACGTCTTTCGCAATGCTTCCAGAGAGCAGCTTTCCCTTATGAATCGTGTTGGGAAACGTCTTGGAGACTCCGAGCGCGGTTCTCTTGTCGAATTCTAGATACAGTTAGCGACAAATACACACCTATAAGTCACAGACAGAATACCCACTCTTTAGGATCTTCGACACTGCCAGGCTGTTGAGTTCTTGGAATTGTAGATTCTTCAGTAGACTCGCGTTAATCTCCAGAAATCGAGAGAATGCCTGCCGGCTTTCTGCAAGCTTAAAGGCTTTTGCGAGGCTTCGCTTGTCAACCTGTTCTTGGAACCACTGGAGTTGCTTCAGAGCCTTGGCGCTTGTTCGAGCACCATGGTCCTGCTCAAGGTTTGCGAAAAAGATGCCCGCATCCAAGTATAGTTCAAAAATCTCTCGCCAGCGTACCAGGTCGTTTTTAGAAAACCGGCTCGGCTTTGACGCCTGGGCGACTTCGTCCTTGAGACTTATAACGTCCTTTGTGAGATTGGTGAGCTCCTGCTTCTGCAGGGCTTCGATATTCTGAACATCGCTTTGCAGCAGATCAAAGAATTCGCTGTCAAATACAAGCGGCACCTCGATGACTTCGCGCTGGCTGCCGTTGGTGGGGGTCAGCTTTAATTCTAGGTCTTCATCGCCGTTGGCATGCTTTTCGTCGGCAGCAGCTCCGTTTGTGCTTTCATGTTCGATTTCGACAGCGGAGGCTGCACTTGGGCGGCGGATATCAGTCGCTAGCTTTTTTAAGAAGAGTTTGGAGGCATCGCTCAGAGATGCGTCGACCAGAACACCCTCTTCCACATGTAACATTACAGTGAGCTTGGGGTGTACTATAGCAGAGTCGGAATCGGCTGCAAGACAGTTAGACAGCGCAACAGAGACACTCATAAACAACACATACCATCGAGGCTATACTGCATCGCAATTGGCGACGTGCTATCCTTTTCAAGGAGCGTGCGCAGCGTTGCGACATCCAGCCCAAGCCCCTCCAGCTCGCGCTGCACTCTTTTCAGGCATTTCTTAAGCTGGCTGTAGGGGATCGCGCGCTGAATCCATTCCTCTGGGAAATCTGCATCGAGACGTTAGCAACACAAACTATAAAACACGTCGCGGCTGCTAAAGTTTTACCTTGTGTCGCCAACGCCGCCTTGAAATCGTGGGCAAACTTCATGATGGCGGGGGCGGCTAATGAACGGTCCTGTTTTCGCAGTGTAGTCGAAAGGTCGTCTGGCCCGTCGTCATAAACGCCGTAATTCTCACTCCGTGTATTCGTTGGAAGCCCATGTGAAGAAGTAAACCAGCACCGCGATATGAAAAGAACAAAGAAAGAAAAAAACGACGCGAAGGAAGCATCATCCGGAAAGTTTCTTCCTGATCACGCTCCGGTGGCGCAGCTCTAGCTTTGGAATTGTGGGCCTAGTGCCTGACAGGCGTTACGCTACCACCGAAGAAAAAAAAAAGAGTCACGATGACTTCATTGCCTGGCCGGGAACAAATAAAACGGGGAGCCGGATTGATTATTCCCTTTTCTGTGGAGAGAGCTGTGGTTTGCTTGTTTTTTCATACAGTAACATTTATTTACACCGGGAATAGAGAGCGGTATCGACCACCATGGGACAGTCCCAGTCTGCTAATAGCGGCGCGGGGTCGTCTGATGAGCCGCAAAAAATATGTTACTATGAGCTTCTCGGCGTAGCAGAGGATGCAACAGATGTCGAGTGAGTACTACTGCTACAGTGATAGTGGCCATAAGCCTGTATGAGACACACACGTTCGTGGGCTAAGACGAGACATGATTTCAGAATTAAAAAGGCATATCGCAAAAAGGCCCTAGAACTGCATCCCGATCGAAACTTTGGCGACGTAGAAGAAGCAACAAAAAAGTTTGCAGATCTCCAGTCTGCGTACGAAATATTATCCGACCCCCAAGAACGATCATGGTATGATTCGCACAAAGATGTCATCCTCCGCGGAGACGACGAACCGAGCCAGGCGCCGACAACGTACCGCAACGTTCGACTCACATCGGCCGAGGAGATTATGAACCTGGTCGGCCGGTTCAACGCAAATGTCAAATTCAACGACGAGCCCACGGGCTTCTACGGTATCCTCCGGGAAATGTTTGAGCACCTAGCTCTGGAGGAAGAAGCGGCCGCCGAAGCTGAAGGCACCGATTTACCCGACTATCCCACCTTTGGACAATCTGACGACGATTTCGAGACAGTGGTCAAGCTCTTTTACAAGTCCTGGGCCGCATTCGCCACACGGAAGCGGTTTACATGGAAAGACAAGTACCGACTTGGCGATGCGCCGGACCGCCGAACCCGCCGCTACATGGAAAAGGAAAACAGCAAGTTCCGGGAGGAGGGCATCCAGGAGTTCAACCAGACAGTCCGCTTCCTAGTATCCTTTGTCAGGAAGCGCGATCCACGATACACGGCCAACTCGCAGACCGAGTCCGAGAGACAAGCCGCCAGTCGCAACGCGGCCGCCGCACAAGCCGCCCGATCACGCGCAGCGAACCAGCAACAAGCTGAAAACTACGAGCTACCCAGCTGGATGCAGCCCGAGACTAGGGATAGAGATAGCGCCGAGTACCATTATGACGAGTCGGATGCCGAGTCTGTCGTGGAGATTCTCGAGTGCGTCTTTTGCGACAAGACATTCAAGAGTGAGAAGCAGCTCGAGGCACATGAGCGGAGCAAGAAGCATATCAAGGCTGTGCAGGATATCCAGCGCCAGATGAGAAAGGAGGGCATTGACTTGGATTTGCCGGAGAATGGTGCTGGCAAGGATGATACCCCAGCGACAGGATCGCCGCATTTCGAGATTATAGACGATGAAGCTGATACACGAGTGGAGGGGAGTGTCGCGGTAGATGAGCTCAACGATATGAGCTCCATGACACTACAGGATGACGCGGACGAGTATATCCAAATAGATGAGCCTGTGAAATCGGCAGTAGACACGCCAACGTCCGACGGCGACGCTGTGTCTGACAGAGATGCCACGGCATCTGACGCCGCAAACCAGCAGCCCGACAGCGCGCCAGTCAAGAAGATTGGCAAAGCCAAGGCCAAGAGAGAGAGAAAGGCTGCGGCGGCGGCCATACCGGACGGGGTACGGTGAAATTACCGTTTGTTCCCTTATCATCAACTAACTGTCTTCAGCATCCCTGCACGGTATGCAAGGCCATGTTCCCTTCGCGGACAAAGCTCTTTGTCCATATCAAGGAGGAGGGCCATGCAGCTCTAGTCTCCTCGGAGCGAGGGTCGTCCAAAAAGGGCAAAAAGGGACGGTAGACCTGAGTACTGCACACCATGCTCAGGCAGTGGTGCAAATGGATGATCCACATGGGTTGGTTTGACGCGCCGGGTCGCGATGTGGGCGCGTGGGCACTACAGCTAACCTATACGAATGATGACAAAAAGCAAAAGTATAGAATTTAAATGTGAATATGAAAATTTAATATTCTGAATAATCTTCTTCTATTAACCCATTCTGATGTCATGATAATGTATGGTGTTGTTCAATTCTACCCCAAGTGTGCACCAAACGCTGTTTTTCAACTACCAGGCTCATTCAGCAACCCGTACAACTTGCACCTGGATCAACATCTTCACCAACTGTGGATATGAACCACCAATTTAATGCCGAAATTTCTATTCATTTCGCCTCGAGCCACGTGACACTAGCGAGCGACACATTTACGAATGCACATTGTTTTTTCTCTACGAATGCTCTGGCGCCGCAGCAGCAACGGCAACACCATCTGGCTCTTCCTCCTCGCTCATGGTCTCGACCTCGTCCAAGAGACTATCATCGCGCCACAGGTCATGCGGCAACGGCTCGCGGTCCGCTACATGAATAATAGCCTTCCCCTGGACATGCTTGACCGCGCGCCGCCAGTCCTCCCAATCCGTCTGGTCCTGTATTAAAAAGCCGACCAGCATGCTGGGGTCGACCTCGCGGATATGAATCCTGCGCAGCCGCGACGTGTGCGCCGAGTCCACCTCGTCGGCAGAGTACGCCGCCGTGTCTGCGTGGTATGGCAGCGCGGGCCGAGTATGGTGTGGGTCGAGGTAAAACATAAAGGACCCTTGCGTGCCTACAAAGTAGTGTGAAGAGGATGGCCGGCCACTATGATATGACGAACGTGTGTTAGTAAGTTCACTCAACACCAGGGAAAAGGCGAACATACCCAGCAATGCCTACCGACTGTGGCATTTGCAGCGCGGCCGCTACGGCCTCCCAGTACACCGGCGTAATCTTGTCGATGCCCAGGCGCGTTCCAACAAGGATTAGCGTCGGGTGGAACTGGCCGTCATCATTTCCCTTGGCTACCTTCATAAACGCGTCCTCGTAGACGTCGGGCCCGTCGCCTGTCGAATAGACGCGTAGGCCCTGCTGTTGGCCATTTACCAATGCGCTATTGTCAAGATTAGCCTTTTGCCCCTTCCCTGCACGCGTAATTTGCTTGCAAGCATGCTCCTGAAAAAAGACATGACTTACTGGATACAACTTGCGGTGGCGGATGGGCCAAACCATTCGCCGGGTTGTGTGCCGCACGCCTTTGCACCATGCTGCACAAAGTTATGTATAGAGTATGGCGCGGCCGGGTCGTCTGCAAAAAGGGATATAATCTGTTTTTCTGTGGATGCTTGCTCGCCTCGTCTCCAGTCTGCCGTAATCACCCGCCCATATTAGTGTTATCCCCACGGGAGTTTGGCGGAAGGAAAACTTACCTCTGCCTAGGCGCACCATGGCGGTGGCGTTTGCCAGCAAGCTCTGGCCGGACCGGATCATGCATCCCCAGCCTGCGTCCGACGTTAAATGTGTAGGGTCGCTGAGATGCTGTCGTATTCGTAGAGTTATCGGTTGGTTTTTAGCGTTGGGCGAGTCTTTTGTTCGAGGAATAGGTGGGAAGTCGCTTCGGTATGTCATCCAGAAGCGTGATTCGAAGTCGTGGATGAATCTGGGTGGCCAGTTGTTCTCCGCCACCGCTGTTGACGGTACGGTATCATGTTCGATATTCTCCGTCTGTCCGTTTTTATTCTCTTCTGTCTTTTCCTCGTCCTTGTGCCGTTGTTGCTGCTGCTCCTCGTCTTCGGCTTCCGCCTCCGCTAGCTGGTACTGCCGCCCGAGACACCATACTGGGACGTCTGCCTGGGCGTCGTTGACCGGTGAGGGGTCCCAGAATGTCTGAATAATCTTCCTATATCGTCCGAGTTCTATATTTGCAAATGCCGCTTCCATTATCGAGTATTTGTTTGTCTATTTAATCGCTGTTGTGGTGGAAGCTGCTGCAGCTGCAAAAGTGAGGTGTTGAGCTAATGCGTCACTCCTCGTGACAGGTCATCGACCGTTTATTCGTCATAGGACCACCTAAGAGATGTATCAGAGAAGACCGTCACTAGAAGTAGACAACACCACTTAACAAATAAAGAGGCCAAAAATACTTAATTTAATATGCATTCATATAAGAATTAAAAATAACACGTAGATAATATATTAGAATAAAAATCAACACGCTTTTACGCCAGATCGCATTACACCCAACCCTCCCGGGTAGCACGCCACTATCGATAGGAAATTATCTGCCCCGCCAACAAAAGTGACTCTTCGGCGACAACAGATCGACACTTTGCGTCTGCATGTGCAACAGAACCAGCAATGCCGCGCAAGAAGGGGAGGGCAAAAGGCCAACCGGCCGGCGCCGAGAAAAAGGACAACAAATACAAAGGCGCACACAGGAAACCATTAGCAAACAGTCTAAATAGTAGGAGACAGAAAACTTCTATGCAATGACCCGTCACTGACCGCAGGCAGCAACGTACACGCTCGCAGAAGAAGCCCGCAATACGTCGCATCACGGTACAGAATTCTGGGGAATTTCCACCAAACTGAGAAATAAGCCTGTCGCGTTCCACAGCGCTGGATATGTCGAGCCTTCAAAGTGGACGGAGAAGGAGGCTGCTGGCATCGAGAGCACAGACGACGAGTCAGACAACCAGACAAAACCGAAGGAACAAGACTCGGAAGAATCAAGCAACAGCGAAACAAAGCAAGTCAAAGAAGCGCCATTATTCTTCTTTGACACAGAGAAAACCGGTACTGCAAAGGTCAATGTCCCGTTGCCCGCTGGCCCATTAGTTGTGGAACGACCATCGGAGCCTGAAGACAGCTCCAGCGACGACGATGTGATTCTATTCAAAGGTCGCAACAACAGAAACACTAGCACTGAAAACACCTCGATAAGAAACACGCCAGTGGAATTATCCGCGCAGGCTACGGAAGTCGACGAAGAGGACAGCGATGTGGACGAAGAGAACCAAGGCATGCTGGTGACCAAACCACGCACTCGCGGCCGTCGCGGCGGCATCAGAACCACCAAATACAGAAACACACAGCAAGATGACGACGACATGCTTTCAGACTACATCAAAAACATGGAAGAAAATGGACAGTTGCAAGAACTCAAGGACTACATTGGCCAGATGGTGGTAACCGACAACGTCCCCAGCGACATGTCAAGCGACGACGAGAATATCCAAAGGACGGAGGCCGATGTTTCATCCGACACTGAGGCAGAGCATACCCCGTCTGACGACTCTGATATGGAGATTAGCGAGCCCGATAGCAACGGCAACAATGATCTTAGAGCGCTCATCAAGGCTAAGTTCCTGGATCCCAATGAATCTGCATTTGACCACATGGACTGGGAAATGCCCGTGCCAAACCGCCGACGCAAGAAGAACGCCAAAGACAAGCTGCTGACCGGGTTGGATGACATTGACTCGGACATGGAGAGGCAGATCCAGAGCGCATGGAAGAATGACCGCATGAAGAAGGCGAATCGTAAGAAGCAGCGCCAGGAGCTGCGTGAGCTTGGGCTGCTAGGCAAGAATGCCAACCCCGACGATGTCCGTCTCAAGTATCCCAACGGGATGAATATCGACCAGGTGCTGGATGAGCTGCGAGTATTCTTAACAAGCCAAGCAGACATGCTGAGTCTACCGCCGATGGACAAGCACTCGCGCAAGCTGATCCACCAGCTAGCCAACAAGTTCAACGTCAAGTCCAAGAGCATGGGCAACGGAGAGCAGCGACGCCCCGCGCTGTACCGCACCAAGCGCACGCTGGCATTCTCGGAGCGCATCTTCAACCAGGCAGCGTCGCGCATCAGCAGACAGCACTTCCCGCGCCTAGACAAGGGCCCAGGGTTCCTCAAGAGCGCGAAGCCGTCGAGCTTTGCCGAGACGAGTTACCGCGACGGCGACATTGTGGGCGCGTCTGCACCAGAGCTTGGTACGGGTAATCGCGGGCGAGCGATGCTGGAGAAGTTGGGCTGGAGCCGGGGTACGGCATTGGGTACGGAGGAGAACCAGGGTATTCTGCAGCCGGTGCTGCAGACGATGAAGCGGTCCAAGGCGGGGTTGGGCTAAGGATGGTTGGTGGTTGTTTACTGTTTATGGCTGTACATTTCTCTATAAAAAGCGATTCCAAGCATATTTTTAGCAAACAAGTCCACATACGCGACTGGGTCATGTTCTATCAAGTTTTCAAGTTGCAAGATGACAAAAATGTAAATAGCTTAATACGCGATGCCAAATGCAATATCAAACGAGCGAAGTTGTCAAATCAAAAGATCAAAACATAACCAAGAGTTTCGTGATCCAAAAGCCACGATTTTTGAAAAAGGTGTACGATTTTTAAACAGACACATCTCACATGAGCAAAAGAAACAAATTGTAAGGAGCTAGAAGCATGTGCACGAATTCATTGCCTCGAGACCCTATTCTCGATGTTTATTGTACAACCGCGAAACCCCGTTGACCGTGAAGACATTGCCCCCAAATAAGCAAACCATCCGTAACGCATTAAGAAACCCCAAAAGGCAAGGCTGTTTTCAAGCCCGCAGGATCTCAATCATGATACCCTGATGCCGCGCAAATAACGATTGAAAAATGACACCATAAAACAAACAAAGCAAGACGTCAAGTAACTTATTTCGTGGAGGAAATGTACTTGGTGACGGCCTTGGTGCCCTCAGAGACGGCGTGCTTGGCAAGTTCACCGGGGAGGATCAGGCGAACAGCCGTTTGGATTTCGCGGGAAGAGATGGTGGACTTGTGGTTGTAAGAGGCCAGCTTGGAGGCATCTGTGGCAACGCGCTCGAAGATGTCTTTGTATCCCAGTTAGTACATGAAAGCTGCAAAAGAGCGCGATTGCGTGCAAACATACCGTTGACGAAAGAGTTGAGGATAGACATGGCGCTCTTGGTGATACCAGTGTCAGGGTGAACCTGCTTGAGGACCTTGTAGATGTAAGAGCTGTAGGTCTCACGGCGAGTGTTGGAGCGCTTCTTCTTGCCACCGGCAGCGGCGGTCTTCTTGCCAGCGTCCTTCTTCTCGGGAGCCTTGGAGGCGGTAGCAGGGGCCTTGGAGGCGGGCTTCTTGTCAGCAGCCTTGGGAGCCATTATTTCTGATTTGTTTAGAAAAAGTGGTGAATTAAAAAAAAGAGGAAAGGTTTGCGGAAGAAGAAAACAAGTTTCGTTGAGCGTGGGTGTTGGACGAGAGAATAGGAAGGCGGCGGGTTTGGGGGGTGGGCTGGGTTTTTGTAGCTGGGCGCGACGAGACGATGGCGGGTTACTGATTCGATGCGCGTCGCCGTAGCACTGATCTCTTGTGCGCGACAGCCTGCACCAGCCAGCTAAGCTAGCGCAGGGTGGGCCCCCCAGCCAGCCAGCACGCACTGCACTGGTGTGGTGGCTGATTTTCGCTGCGTGTCCCCACAGCGCAACTGCAACGAACGCGCTAGGCCAGTTTTACAGGGCACCGCTGGGGAATGTTTTGTTTTGGCGGCTGCGATTTCTGATTGGCTGTCCGGCCGCCCTTCCACGCCGCTAACATTGCACATTCCCCAGTATGATGATACTCCTTCTAATAGAGCCAAAGGGAAATTATTCGCTATTCAGGTACGAGAACGCGGCCCAATCTATCCCTTGCTCGCTCGCTCCCACACACCCTTGCCCTTTTGGCGAATGTCTCTTGCGGGTGGTTGGTGGATGCGTGGCTGTCGATTGTTCGCATCGGAGCACAATGTCGCGTTGCCCTTGATCGATAGCGTTGGTTCTCCTCTCAAGCAACGTAGATTTCATGTCTCTATTGGCCTTAATTGCCAGTAAAGAGGGGGTTACGATCGATCTGGCTATTGCCGATACGTTTTTACAGATAATTCCGGGACATTTTCCAACGCCCTAGATAGATTTTACATGCATTTTACAAGCTATTTTTCGTCCATATATCCAATATAAATTTGACATTAAATTTTTTCAAAAATTTTTGAAGAAAAAAATTTCAAAAAATATTCAAAGTACAAATTAAAAAAGGTACTTTAAAAAAACAAAACAAAAAAACAAACCAAAAGTCCTAATCAGTAACCGGGTGACGGGGGTTGCTGGTCAGAGTTACTGATCTGGCAGCGCAGTGCAGTGCTGCTGGTGCGTGTAAGCCGTGCCCCGGCTGTTGCGTGCTGCCGCGCCAAAAATGCCAATGCGTGGTCAAGAAGGGCGCACGCGCGGGGGAGAGAGGGGGCCCTGTATTAAATATTAAAAAAAAGAAGGCCCACTAACTGCTGCGCTATGTTGTTACCAGTCTGCGACATATGCATGTCTGTCTGGGGCGGCCGCCTTTTTTTTTTTTATTTTCTGCGTGCCACCCATTTTCGCGCCCGACACGCTTATTTTCCTAAACGGGCCTAGCGCGCATTTTGGCCAACCAACAACGCCCCAGCCCGCCTTGTTGTGTTAGGTGATCCCGGATCACGTCTCGCACGCGCCGAAAACTACTTAACCACAACACCCCCGCCAGAGCTCAGTGACCACGAAACTTCTCAATTCTTCCGCAACCCATCTTACTTGACAACTCTTCCGACACTTCGCTTCGGCACTTTTAAAACTCTTAACTCCCTTTTTTCTCCCAACTTCACAAACCTTCAAAATGACTGGTGGCAAATCTGGTGGCAAGGCCTCTGGCGCCAAGAACGCTCAGTCGTAAGTCTTCTCCAACTTGTGTACTTCAATTGAAATCATTGTACTAACTTGGATTATTTTAGCCGTTCTTCTAAGGCTGGTCTCGCCTTCCCCGTTGGTCGTGTCCACCGTCTTCTCCGCAAGGGCAACTACGCTCAGCGCATTGGTGCCGGTGCTCCCGTCTACCTCGCTGCCGTCCTTGAGTACCTCGCTGCCGAAATTCTCGAGCTTGCTGGTAACGCTGCCCGTGACAACAAGAAGACCCGTATCATTCCCCGTCACCTTCAGCTTGCCATCCGCAACGATGAGGAACTGAACAAGCTGTTGGGCGATGTCACGATCGCCCAGGGTGGTGTTCTCCCCAACATCCACCAAAATCTTCTGCCCAAGAAGACTGGCGGCAAGGGTGGCAAGAACGCTAGCCAGGAGCTGTAAATGCATAGTTTTGGTTTTGCTTTCTCGCAATGGTTTGGGTGCAATGTCAGGGGTCACGGTCCAGGGTTCACGGTTGCTTTGTTTTAATGCGGTCAGGGTTGTACAATAATCCCCACGGCTACGGTCATGAATGAAATCGAACTTTCAAAAACAATTTAATATTAGTTGTCCTATCCGTGAAGCATTTTGTGATATTTCCAAGTCCTTGCATATCCAATACTATTTGATACTCTTTTCCATTATCAAATCTAGTTGAAGATGTAAGATATCGTCGTTTTCGTCAACTTTGTAAATCCAATCGTCGTCGAATTGACATGTATGAACCAATTCACCTTCTACGTGAAATGCCGCAGTCCAAGAAATGGCCAATACCAAAATCACGCTCATAAGCCAAGTCACGTCACTTTGCCATGTACACACAAAGACACATACGTCCATAGAACACATTGTAAAACGGTCGTCAGATAAAGTTAGAAAATTAACAGCGGCCGCACGCAATGCACGCCGGACCGACTCTATTCGAGAGCTATAACTACATATTTTTTAATGACGGTTGGCGGGATGAGGTGGCGCTACACATCAAACGTTAGTCACAAGAAATCTCTCCGTCTGCCAGCATAACAAAAACTCACGGTCAAGGAAAGGCGAAGCCAAGTTTCTTTCGTATTTCGAGCCTGCAATCGTCTTCGTTAGTCCCCAATTGTCGCCTCTGACTCTCTCTTTCACTCACCTCCGGGGGCAGTCGGGGGAATATAAGGATCGGGGTGCTTCCAGCTGTCCAGCAGCTTCTCGGTCTCGGCAAGAATGGCCTAATATTCGTCCGTGTTAGCACTCTCTACCCTCCCATTTATTTCGGAGCAATCATACGCGTTGTTGGCGAGGGTCTTCGATGCCGCGGTTCGCCTCAAACAGCGATCTAATGTATGCGGCCTGACCGCGCCAGATGTGTCTCTGCACTGCCCAGTCGAGGGACAGCTTGAGCGACCGGCGGTATAGCGACCTTCTAAGTGTTAGTTTTAGTCTATGACCGATCGAGGGAAACTGACAGAGCGGCTCGTCGCGAAGACATGGCTTGGTGTGATGCGGAAGAAAGAAACCTTCTTCCAGACAGAGAGAAAGGGGCCTTGTGAAATGGAGTGGCGCGCGGGCGGCTGCTACAGAGGCGGAATTGGGCGATTGAACAGGTGCTCGGGGCGTCGAGATACGTTGCTTGGGCGCCGGGATGCTGCTGCTGCTGGTCGTGGTGGTCCAAAGTTTCTGGTGAGCTTGAGTTGGAGGTTGCTGGTGGGTGCCTTGGTGCCTCAAAAGCGGGTGCTTACATAATGGGTTTGGTGGTGTTGATTCCGTCAACATAGGGTGCCAGAGCCAAAAGTAGATAGAGAACAATAGTTAAAATTTAAAGAGCGGATAGATAATCCCTCAAAGTACGACCTAGGCTAATAAAAACAAGTAAAAAAGTTAAGTGGTGTAGAAGAATCGCCGCATCCAGCTACAACCAGTAGACATACACACCAAGACCACCATTCCCCCTCCCAAAACGCGTCAATTGATTATAAAAACCCCAACTTACCTTCAAAAGTACACCAAATTATATTTGGCACTCTTCTTTTACCCCAATTCCCCCAATTGTCGCCTCCAGCGGCCTATCAACACCCCTTCACCCAACTCACATCACGTGACCCAACCAAACTTGAAGCTCTGCGCCGCATCAATCCTCAAAGTGAACCTCATCACAACCACACCCACCACCACCAATCAACCAGCCGCTCGCAACGATGAGTTTCGTCCCCGTCAACCCGCGGCCCATGCTGCAAGAGCTCGTCAGCAAGCCCGTCTTTGTGCGCTTGAAATGGGGCGAGGTCGAGTACAAGGGCACGCTTGTGTCTGTCGACAGCTATATGAACCTGCAGCTGTCTGGCGCGGAGGAGTACATTGACGACAAGCCCACGGGGTCTCTTGGCCAGGTGCTGATCCGGTGCGTTGAATTTCGCCTTGTGAAGTGGTTCTTTTATGCTAACTGGAGTGATGGTAGCTGTAACAATGTTCTTTGGGTGAGAGGTGCAGAGGGCGGTGACGCCTCCATGACGGGTTAGAGAGGTGGGATGGCTGTTTGCTCAAATCAATTTGCACGAAAAGGGCATGTATCAGTATTTTGATGGATGGGAAATCTCTGTTTCTTTTCGCCAAAGAGGCGTGCTTTACCTGGATTCGGTCAAACACTCACTGATGGATGGGTGTATCTGCGCCAGCGCCGCGCGCAAAGTGAAGGCGCGTACAAAAGCAAAACATTACGGGGCGTACGGGACTTGTTCTTTTTTCTTTTTCTTTTTTCTTTTTGGAGAGATCATTGGGTGCGAAAAAGTGTCACGAGGGGAAGCGAGGCACTCGCGAGAACGAGGCTGTCATGGGGGACGACAGAGACGTGAACTTTTTCACGCCGACTGAAGACGATGAGGCGGTCTATGTCTACGCCTCGGGCTTGGTGCTCTTGCCATAGGATTGGCAAGATGGCCGCTACAATAGCCAAATATATACCACGATTTACGCCACGACCCTGTCCTTGTTATGTGCTATGGTCTGCGATATCTGAAGGTTGTGAGGAGATGTGACAATGTTTAAGATTCATTATACGTCGTGAATGGCCTCGTAGTGGTGTTGTACCACTGCCAAATGCCGCTCATCCACTGTATAGTAGACTGCGTCTATAGTTTGAGATTGTGACGACATGAAATATAACGGATTCACGCCTTTATAAGCGTATGCCTTTAAAGTCTCATATGCACAGTTTATAATTGCCAGTCTGTTAAGATCGTAACTTTCAATGCAAATTCATTTACGCCATGACTGATATTCTATTCTACCCCCCCACGCCTACGCCCCCGCATCCTGCTTCTCCGTATCAAACTCCAACACGCCCGCCCCTCCATCCTGCGGCACCACCTCCTCCAGACTCACCAGCGGCTGCTGCTGCTGCTCCGGCTGGTCTTTCGCGCCAGCCTCTGCATCCGCACCATCCAGCAGATCCCGATCCGAGCTTCGCACCGACCTTCCCTCTCCACGTATCGATGCGCCACTGCTCGATGGCATATGGATGCCCAAATCGTCATCTTCCTCATCGTCCTCGTCACGGGCACCAGGTACCGCATTCTTCTCGAGCTCCTTCTGTGCCTCCTCCATGCGTCTGCGGACCTCTGTCGCCACACGCATGCCGTCCGTGACAATGTTGTCCAGAACGCCGCGGAGACCACGGCCTGCTGCGGGACCACCGGCGGGCGAGAACCTAGCAGGACCGCTGTTGTTGCTGGCGCGCGACGGCAGGCCGAGACTGGAAAAGGTCGTCAGGGTCGGGCCAGCGCTCTGAGGTGCCTCAAAGATGCCGTTGATGACGTGGAAGGATGTCGGGAGAGACGAGTCAAAGAACTGCTCTAGTAGCTCGTCTGCCAACACCACCATGCGGAACGTGGGCAGTGTAATGTGCAGCGGGTGCGCAGGGTCCAGTGCAGCATTGGCCGTCTCGGATTTCGAGGTGGGTGCATCTGATTGGGGTTTGTCCTTGTCTTCATCACCTTCTTCTAACGAGATCAAATCACCACCGCCAGCCTTAGCTGCTTGGGCCTGGGAGGGATGGTCGGGGTCGGCATACTCGAAGCAGCGGCGGATAAAGGCGCTTACGCTGCCGAGGAAGCGTTCATTGACGGAACCACCAGCTGTCTGTGCTGGCGACGACGCATCGCCGTCGGGCGTGCTTGCAGTCGGACTTAATGTGCCTTCTAAACCACGTCGAGATAGGAAGAGCAGCGCCTCAGACATGCCGAGGATACCCTCGCGGTCCACTCTGCCGTCGCCATCATCATCGTAGAGGTCAAAAAAGTAGTTAATCGTGCCCATAATGTCCTTTTTGCCCTTGACGCCGGCCAGACCAGCGACTACGTTTTGTAGCGTCAGCGCCGACGTCTTGTCGGAATCCCACTTTGCAAACGTGCGCCTTAAAAAGTCGTGATCGACAGGCTCAGGCCCAAAGCCCCATGGCGACATGGCACCGAGCCCTGACCTGGCACCGGCCGTCTTGGACAGCCGTTCCGTCTCCGCGCCGGAGCCATTGTGTGAATGACTAGGCGTGTCTGCAATGGCCCATTTCGACATGCCCGCCAGGAACTCTCTAAACGCATCATAGTCCATCATGCTTGTGCTGGGACCGAGGCCGACGCGGCCCTTTTCCACTTGGTCTTGGGAGGGTGTCGATGTAGTGAAGATTTCTGATGCGCGCACTCTGCTGGCACGCATCCTGCGCTGGTTCTGCTCCTGGATGATGGAGTCTCGCTGCTGTCTTTCGTAGAGGACGTTGTAGAAGCGGTCATAGATGGAGCTGAGCTCCTCGTTGCTCAGCAGTTTGCTCTCGGGGCCAAGATTGCGAATGGCGGTGCGCTTGGCAAAGTTTTCAATATTGTTGAGCACGGCATCCTTGTTCTTGAGACGCAGCTCCGTGATGCTGCTGTGTGTGATGCCCGCAAATTCTTTGAAAGCAACCACCATGAGCTCCTGGAACCGCGTGACGGCGCGCAGCTTGGGGTTGTCTGACTTGGGGTGGGCAGACTGGTCAAGACGCGAAAAGTACGTCTTGAGCACCGAAATAAAAGCGCCGTCATCGGCAGCATCCAGCAGCTCCTCACCATTGATGCGCAGAATGGCCAGGCCGACTTGGAACAGGACCTTGGGACCTTCGACGAAGAAGACGTCGAGCACTCTAAAGGCAAACACCAGCGGCATGGAGTTAATGTAGAGCGAGAGGAACCACGGCAACGACACCACAGACAGCTGGACGTCGCTCTTGACGAGGTGATCCCACAGAATGGGCATGGTTCGTTCTACTAGCGACTCAAACACCTTTTGGTCGAGTAGCGTGCCGTACATGGTGGTTGAGTAGTATCCAGGTACAAGCCTGTCGCAGAGCGCAGATAGAAGGAAAAAGGCCTGCGACTCGGACATGTAAATGAGCAGTGCCGCCACGACAATGTTCATGGCCTGGCAGTATCCCACGTCGGGATTGACCCAACTGTAGGCGGTAAGCACGCGGCGCAGACGGCCAATGCCTTCCTCGCTCTGGAAGCCAGGATACTCTGGCAGACTTCTGTTGAGATCCTTTTCAATTTCGTCAATGGCGAGCGATTCTTGGCCTTCAAACTTGGCAAGGGTCTCTGCATAGTGCGTTGGGTGCTCTAGACGCAAGTACAGCGAGCCAGACGTCAACTCCCACATTTCGCCTCTGAGTCTATTTGGCAGACCGACACGGATGAGCTTGTGAAAGGTAGGCTGTCTAATGAGAGTGGCATTGCGGCCATTATCACGCAGGTACTCGCCCCAGAGACGCATCTTGGCTCTGTCGCGGAGCTTCTTGGGGTCGCCAGGATATCGAAAGAGCATACCGAGACCGGCATCTGGTGGTGTGCTGCCCTTTTTGTCCTCGGACCGCAGCAGGTGCTCCGAGTAGCACTCAGCAACGACCTTTCGCAACTTGTTGACGTTTCCTACGCCGGCGCGGAGGCCCTTCTTGAGCCCGTCGCAGAAGCGCTCGCATGCTTGCCTGGATCCAGCCAGGTGGATGGTTACGCGCTGTTCCGTCGGCTCGTTGGCAGTGTCTCTGTTTTTGGCATTTTCGAAGAGTAGACCGTTCCATGTTGTGATGGCCAGGGCAAACTATTCTCTGTTAACACATAACATAGTTTTCGATGGTGCGAGGTGGGACGGACCTGAAAGTTTTGGCTATTGAGTCTCTCTACGCGACGGACGGAGCACAGCGGAAAAGTAAAGCCGTTGCCGCTGGGCCCGCCGCCGTGGGTCTGTCCCGTGAAGAGGGCTGACGAGGATGTGCTGGCGGACTGGATGAAGCTGGAGGGCGTGGTCGAGAAGCAGAGAAAGGCCTCGGAGAGATGCAGCTTGCCGGCATAGTGCCAGCCTTGGTCCTGGTACTTTTGGTCCTTGGACGCATTGATGGGCGGGATGGTGAGCTCTGCGCTGATTTCAAAGAGGGGTGTTTGGGACGCGGGCAGGCGGAATTGGTTCTGGAAGAGGGACGCCTTGGACGGGTTTCGATCGCTGCCGGAGAGGTTGAGGCCCTGGAGGGGGTCGATGAGCTGCTGGGCCTTTTGGACGAGGTTGGAGATGTTGGAGAACATGGCGGGCTTTGGGGGTGAGCCTAGGCTATCATTGCAGGGCCAGCTGCCGCCTGAGGAGAGTGAGAAGAACGCGTGCGATGCTTGACAGCACAGGCACGGTGCGTGGTTCCTTGCGTAAGCTTCGACGCGGAGAGCTTCAGCCTGAGCTACGGGGGTAGCTTCGCGAGCTGTCGATGGGCTTGCTTCACGTGTTTGGGGGCGTGTGTCTGTCGGAGATGTTTTGTTTGTGATTGGATGTCGTCGAGACGCGACACAGTTGATGCGGCGAGGGTCGATGTTGGAGCTGCAGCCGATGTGTGGTGTTTCGAGGGGGTGTTGGCTGGCTGCAGCGCCCACGGAACGGTGTTCCCCGCCAATGCACACGTGCGTCATAGCCCAGGTTGGCGTTGCGTTGTGCATGGCGTGGGGTGTCTGGCGGGAATAAATGTGAAAAAATAGTGAAAATTAAATTAAATGGTTTAATTAGAGCTTAAATAATTAAATGTAAAAAAATGGTATTATTACGTGGGACAGGATGGCTAGAGATTGGTGGTATATACGATGGGCGGATGTTGAGCTGACGCGAATATAAATCTAGGAAAATAACAAGAGAATAGAATACTGTTCTCCGTATGATGTAGATACAGGGTTGGAAACCATGAGTTGAAAGTAAACGCGTTGTGAAGTATATACCCTATATGCCCTCTCCGACAGTAGCTCTATATGGAGCCTGCCGCAAGCATAAACACACATTTTTTGTAAACCAATAGAAATCAGAAGACTTATTTGTATGCATTTTTTTCAATCAAATATATTCATCAATTCCTTGGTCAATTGAAACCTCTTAAGAAGGGCTCTGTGATACACCCAGCACAGCCATCAGATCCAACGCCTCACTTCACCCCAGAGCTACATTCCATACTCGACCACTCAAAGAAATCATTAAAATCTCCATTGCAAAACATCAAAATACTTTCTATTATATCATTCTCAATCTAACATGATACCTTCAATCTAGATCACTAACATTTGCCCTCTACTATCAACCAAGCTGTAACCACGAGCCATCAGTCGCACTTACACCCCCTCCAACTCTGCGTTAGATATCATACCCAGAAGCCCTCATATCATCCAACACCTTGGCCACCACCCTCGCATCATGCTCATGGCTCATCCTCCCACTCGCCTCCCTCGCATCCACCCACTCCATACTCAACCCCTGCTCCCACGGCTCAAGCCCCCCCACGACCGGCACCTGCAAACTATCCCCCTGCGCCGCATACCAAAAGACAATCTTAAACGCCCCCGTCCCGCTACACGTATAACTGCACACCGACGACGGCTCGCAATTCATCAAGTCGCGCGTCACATCCTCCGGCGTCGTCCCGTCGCCCAGCGTGCCCGTCACCGGCGTCGAGCGCGTATTCACAAGCAGCGGCAGCGGTGTCACCTTGATGCCCGTCTCCTCGTACGTCTCGCGCAGCGCCGTCGCGTAGATGTCCTCGCCAATGTTCTTGCGGCCCTTGGGCAGCTGCGTGGTGCCGCTGTCGGCGTCGTACAGGATGGCAATCTTGCGCAGGGTCGGGTCGACGAGCACGCAGCCACATGAGATCATGAGCTCGGCGGAGGGCGAGAAGCGTGGAGGCGCAATGTCCGACATGATCAGGTCGCCGTAGGTATACCGTAGGTGTCCTTTAGGAAGCTGGCAAAACAAAAGATCAATCAATTAAGGTGTCTTTTAGTATGCGGTTACAGGAAGCAGAAACACAAGTGCAGTAATTAATTGTGTCTGAAAGTGGTAAACTTTGCCAGTAGGCAACCAGTGAGTGTAGTCGGGCTATATACTATACAAGATCGTCGATCGTTCGCGCCGCCCCGCATCCACAACCAACGGCGTGAGTCACTGTAAAATTCACGGTTCACGTTTCAACACCAAAGGATAATACCCACCGTCTGTATTTGTTGGGAGAAAAGACATTCTACGCCCGGAAAAAGAACCAATATGCTCCCATCGTCGCCATCAAAAACGTGCCCACCACCACCGCGCCCTCCCTCGTACTCCAAAGCAACGTGCTCCAGCCAAGCATCACCTCCTTGCGCTTCGCGGCCTCGCGCCGCTCCCACGCCCCCGAGTCAATCTCAACAGGCATCCTCAGGCGCGGATCGTCTTTACCCTCGGCGACCCCTTCTGGCGCGCGCATCTCAGCCGCACCCACAAGCGGCACATCCACTCGTAAATACACGGGTCTGTGATCGCTCGTCCGCAGCACCGGCAGGGAATCATACGCACGCACATGCATCTTCTTGCCCGCCGCCTTGACCCACGGCGGCAAGTCCAGATACAAAATCCTGTCTGTCCAGCTCGGGTATCTATGCGCCGCAAACTTCCACTTCACCGGCTCCGACCCGTCGTCCTCCACATCGTACTTGTACGTCGGCGCAAACGTGACTTTCTCCTCTGTAAGCCCATGCATCGTCCTGCCCGCCCTTCTCTCCTGCGTAAGCTGGTCCCGCTCAAAGAACTTGGGATAGTAGTCCTCCGAATCGGCGTCCATGCTGGGGAACGCGGCCCCCGGCGCCGGCGACTCTGCTGAAATACGGTAGTTCAAGTCGCCGCCTACAAAGAGATGCGACGCCGGGTTGAAAATAGATATATCCTGTAGTGTCGTCTCGTCTGCCAACAATAAGCCCTGCTCATCCCCATCTGACTCTCCCGTCTTAATCTGAGCAGGATCCCCAAACGTCATGCAGCGCATAATCGACGCCCAATTGTCATTCCGCTTGGACAAGTTCCACTCCATGGCGGCCAGATGCGTCGCCACAAATGTGAGGGTCGTCTCGCCCCCTTCGCCGTGATACTCTAGCCGCAGGCCCACGGCGCCCTTGTTGCCCATCTCGGCGGCGCCAAAGCCAACCTCTGCCTCGCGGACGTGGTGCACGCGGCCCGACTCGCGCGCAAACAGCGCAATGGCCGTGTACCCGACATTCTTGAACCGGATGCGTGAGTATGTCTGCTTTTGTTGTGATTGTTGGTCGTTAGCTGACGAGGACGATTGTGAGGGTGAAGAAAACTGCTCGGCGGCTAGGTTCAAGGCGCTCTCAAATCGGTGAATGTACGAGTTGAGAAAGCTGCCACCAATGAATGCGTAGCTCAAGGGTGCGATTTCCTGCAGAGAGCTGTACACAGAAACGAGTTAGCTAGGGATCGACATCAACATGTCTACATGCAATACAGTAAATGCAGGCGTAGCAAAGCAGTAAACGCAGCCGCAACAAAGAATTCCAATGCAATAGCAATGAAAGCAGCAGCAACCGTAAAACAGTAGACCAAAGAACTCACAAGACAACAATCTCGGGCAACTCCGTCGCCCTCGTATGAAAGACATTCTCAACATGGCCCGCAAACACGGGCACGTCAATCAGTGCCTTTGCGCAGTTAAATGAGAGAAATAACACGTCGACCGCCGCAGAGACACTCATCATTGACAAACACGGTGCCCAGCGGATATTCTTCTGGTGTTTGTTTTTTGGTGTTTGATGCTGGCAAGCTGAAAAAGCTACCCTTGGCGGCTGGCTGGTACCAGCTCAGCAACCTTGGAAGCTCTTCATCACGCGGCGGGGCGCAAGAGGCAGCTGTGCGGCCATGTGACGCGTAAACGACAAATCTGGCTGGTAGGCGAACTTCACGGCAGTGGCAAAAGTAATGAATTACGAAGCCTGCTTAAAGTGCAAAAAAATTAATGACTGTATTTTTGAAGGTATTTACATGCTCTACAAGAATTGTCGTCACAGTGCATCGCCTTGCTTACTGCACAATGACAGACGAGGCTGCATGGCACATATATATCGCATCGGGAAACTAGTCACATGTGTGTATTTATATAGTGTATTGGCTATCTAGCTACTGATTTCTTTGTCCTCTTCGCACCACATCGACACACAGACAACAGTCTTGTGACCAGAGTCCGGGCGAGACGCAGCGCCCTGCCCAGTATGCCCTCTACAATGCAAACATCGCTAATTCACATCATCGTCGGGCGTAGGTACTGGCGGGCGCACCTCCGTTACCAAAAGCCCAGGCGGGCGTCTGGCGTGCAACCGTCGGGAGCAAGCAAGACAAAGAAAGAAAAAAAGGAAACAAAACGCAAACGTCGCGGCACACGACTTGATACCCTCGTGGCCAGTTAGTCATAGTAGTGATGAGACTGGGGAACATCCCGCAGAACATTTGTCGGTACCGTAGCAAGAACTGTTCTTCAAAAGTGACACCAAGTGCCCTTCGAAAAAAACGCATGCTGTTGTTGATATCGGCGGTTCGTCAAAGTTCGGGTAGCGTTTCGAGACGCCCCCGGGCGTGCCGTCCAGATCCGTTCCTCTCTACAAGCGTCCCATATTCCACCTGCCTAGCAGGGCTGCTGGCAAGAGTAGAATATTGGTCGGCTAGAGGGGAATGATCCGGGCCATGGTGAAGATGTTCAAATTGCGCAATGAGTCAAAGCAATGACATATTGAAAGATAGGAAGGGGCGGCAAAAAACACGCGGAATAACAAAGGACAGGGTGCCCAGCCAAAAAAAAAAAAAAGAAAATAAGACAAACAGTAAAAGAAACTTGGCATCATAGACGCAGTTTGCTGATTGCTGCTGCTGCTGCTGCTGCTGCTGCTGGCGTTTCGGGGGTTGTAGTCGTATGCAAAGGCGGAAACAAAGAAAAGCATGCAAGCAGGCAGACAAAAAAAAAGCAAACTGCGAGGGGGCAACACCCAGTCCTCCATGTTAGACTGTGTAGGCCGGGGTTAAAGGAGCAGCAACGAGCCGCAAAAGATTCCATAGACTCTTCAACATAACGATGCAAACTCATAAAACTTTCTCTCCAAATGTAGGTGTGTAATCATGGTGATGGTGGTGGTGTTCGTCATGGTAACCCTCTTTATCGTCCACTGTAGCAAAATCGCATTCTTGTCAGTTTTTTTCTTCTTCTTCAGATTCAATAAATGGGAACGGGTAGGCAGTTAGAGTAGGTATGCCTCCACCAGGTTTTCAAGAAGAAAAAAGGGTGACGGGATATGCGAGAACGCCAAACTCCGGACATGTCGACTTGGGGGATTATGTTTTATTGACGCACTCACATCCTATCGCTACCACCAATAGCACGGTTGGTGTCGGGGCTGTCGACGCCAGCGCCAGAGCCACGCTCAATCATCTTGCGGCGAGAGCTGGGAATGGCGTTGGGCTTGGGGGCACCAGAGGCGGCGCCAGCAGCGGCCGCAGCAGCGCGAGAGGCGCGGGCCTTCTCCTCCTCTTCGGGGCTAGTCTGGCCGGCGGCCTGGGCAATGGCCTGGGCGTTCTTCTGGTACTTGTAGACAGTCCAGTCAAAGACGTAGTCGTACTGGAAGCCCTCGCGGACAAAGAGATCGCGGAAGATCTTACGGAGATAGCTGTAGTCGGGCTTGTCGTCGAAGCGGAGCGAGCGGGTGTAGTTGAGGTAGATGGCGAACTCGTTGGGGAAGCCGCGGCAGAGAACCTCGGTGGGAGTGGTCATCTTCTTCTCCATGATGCGGTCGTACTTTTGCTTCTTGGTAGCCGCCTTGAGACCCTGCCAGGGGAGGGAGCCACGGCAAAAGTAGAGCATGACGTAGCCAAGAGACTCCATGTCGTCACGGCGGGACTGCTCGACACCCAAGTGGGTGTTGATGGAGGCATAGCGGGCGGTACCAGTAAGGTTCTTGTTCTCACGGTAAGGGATGTGGAAGTGCGTCTTGGGGTCTCTGTACTTCTTGGCGAGACCGAAATCAATGACATTGACCTGGTTGCCACGCTTGCCAATGCCCATCAAGAAGTTGTCGGGCTTGATATCTCTGTGGATGAAGCTCTTTGCGTGGATGTACTCGATTCGGGAGATGAGCTGGTCGGCGAGGAGGAGGACGGTCTTGAGGGAGAACTTGCGGTTGCAAAAGTTGAACAAGTCTTCCAAGGAGGGGCCGAGAAGGTCAATGACCATGGCATTGTAGTCGCACTCGGTTCCGAACCAGCGGACAAAGGGGATGCCGACGCCGCCGGCGAGGGACTTGTAGACGCGGGCCTCGTATTCGAGCTGAGGGTGCTTGGCCTTGACCGACTCTAGCTTGATGGCAATCTCCTCGCCCGAGATGATGTTAGTACCGAGGTAAATATCACCAAAGGAGCCGGAGCCAATCTTGCGGCCGATGCGGTACTTGTTACCGACGCGAAGATCCTGTGTCGAGTGTTAGCTTGTGGTTTTTGGAGGTTGGCGGGCTGCCTCAGCGGTGAGTCCGTCCCCAGCCTCACTTTGGTCTGAGTGAGGCTACCACGGATCTCCCATCTCGCCAGCCATCATCTTTAAAAGAGAAAAAAAGAATCCATCAAAGACGATGACAAAAGCAGATATCCCTCGAGGTTTTCTTCTGTCACATACCATGGTCGTCATCGTGGCGGTCGTTTAGATGTGTATCAACTGCCAAAACCGAGTTAGTCCATCATCAACATCATCAATCCATCAACGAAAACCATCTCCGACGATGTATTTCTGTCAAACGGCTCTTCTCCCTCACAGGCCACAACTTATATAGGTAGTGTTGTGCCATGAGAAACCGGTCGGGCATCGTCGTTCTAGGTCACGTTTTCCCACAGGTCTGTTCCCATGTGTTGGGATGTAGCTCAAACTCACCAGTACGGAAAAAAGGAAAACAAAAGGCCGTCGAAAAAAAAGACGGACAGTCTTTTCTTCTTGCAAGCAGGTGAATGCTCGGTAGCGGACAACGGGGAGTCTTTTTTTAGTTGGAGGATCGAAATCGGCCGAGATGCGTTTTTTGGAGGTTGGTGGTTGGTGAAGGGAGGGAGAGAAGAGAAGGAGGAGGAATTTGGAGCGGGGAGGGGGTGGGAAGCACGTAGGCGCCCTGGTGACCGTCTTTTTTGTACTGTGCGCACCGGCCAGTCTGTACTGTTTGGTCTGCCCACCACCGCTAGCCAACCACCAGTCAGGGCGTCCAGCCTGGACAGTGTACGAATCGCCGCTAAATTACTAACGTAGTGTTGCCACCCACTGCAAACGCAACGTACGCACCGCACTGCACACACTACACCGCAGCCCACGCCCGCGCCCTATTGGCGCCAGGCGCGCCTTGCCGACTCGCGTTACGCAGCCCGCAGTTTAACCTGAATCGATTTTTGTCAATGTCAATTTTAATTTTTTTTAATTTTTCTTTCCCCAAAAAGGGGTGCCGGTTGATTGATGTCCCCCTAAGGTGGACTGAACTCGGCGAGGCCGCCCTTGGCTGTCTTGGTCAGGGCTCAATCGGCGGAGGGTTTAGCGGCCCGCGGGCGTAGACAGATGTCAAGTCAGCGAGTTTGTCAGGTCAGTCACCAAGGGCGCGCGCGCATTTCTTTGTCCGGCGACACGAGTAAGTCAGGAGAGTGAAAGAGATTTGTGTGGCTATTGTGGCAAAAGGGTTACGATTACGAGGTGATTTTTCTAATAATGTTTTCTCTTTGTTGTTGCGGTAATAGAACGAAACGCCGTAGTCTACATACAGTGAGAAGTAGACTGTATGTAGGCTAAACTACTCACTACGCTAGGTGTATACTTTCTTTTTGCTGATTAATGGGCGTGTGCCGAGGCTGGTGTTTATAAGCGAGATAAACTACAATTCAGCCTTGATTCAGAGAGTAAAAATTGAAATTGTAAAGCCGCATATTTGTGTTTAAATGAAAACTGCTGCATTGTCAATGGGACATGGACGCGGACTTGGCTGGTTATGGGCCAGGGTCCCAAATTCATGCCCTGCGTATATCAACCAGTTGTATAGACTGATATACACAAGCGAAAAAGGAGGATAAATTAATATTTTTTTACTTTTACGGAGCAACTAGATGTGTATACCAATATTAACAAAGGTAATATTTTCCCCGTTGAATGGGCTGAGACAGCTGAGCCTGTTCGTACCTGATAGAGTTGCCTCATGCACGATTTAACGGTTTAGGACGATGCAGCTGCATCCAACTTTCAACAGTTATCCTTTCGTTTCCATAGACCGCTTCCACATGTCATAACTGAAATGGCAGACATACCACGAGACCAAATAGAGCACCACATAGTCAGCATTCACGAGGATGATAACGACGCGAGCTTCATGGTGCGTCGGAACGGCAAGGTCTTTTACATACAAATTTCACCTTCCCAGTTCGTCAATTCGCCGCTTACAACAACACAATACCTCACCTACCTCAATCTTCTTCGCTCTGGGGAAGAGGTCCTTGGCGATGTCTATGATACGGACGTTTGCGAATGGGTCATGGCCCCGTTTAAGCAATTGCTCATCGACCTCGCCCCAACACCGCCCAGTGACACGCAACTCACTCTACAGCAGCACCTTTTCCCCGAATTCTTTGTCGTTGATCTTACTTTTACCAATGAGCAACCCATCCCGCACCGCATATTTCGGACAACGCCGCCTTGTCGGCCGTCCTTTGTCCGATTTGACGACGCCTTTCTAGACGAGCTGGAGGAGTGGACACTATTCTACGATCCTACCAACATCACTTTACGCTTTACAAACCCCGAGGATGCGCTTTTCAAGCCCCCGAGAACGATTCTTCTCCCAAAATGGCGAGACATGCTTCTTCAAACCCTGCCACTCAAGCGTTGAGACAACTCGGGAGCTCAAGATGTACAGGGCGATTGAAGCGGCTGGATTAGCCGGCAATTTGAACGTATGTCGCCTTTACGGCATTGTTATGGACGACCATGGCTTTATCCTTGGCATCTTGCTGTCGCATATTGACCGTGCAGATCGCCCGTTATCAGCACGAGTCCAGCCTGATGTTCCAAATGATCCACCGCCTACCATAAGACGGAAATGGATGGAACAGCTGGAGTCTATACTTGGAGCTCTACATGATGGAGGGTTAGTCTGGGGAGATGCCAAGGCGGAAAACGTCTTGATTGACCGGGACAACAACGCATGGATCACAGATTTTGGGGGAGGCTACACGGAAGGCTGGGTAGATAAGGAACTGGCCGAGACTGTGGACGGCGATTTGATGGGCATGGCCAAGATAAAGCGGCTCCTATTCGCGTCTGGCTAACAGTGAGAGCACTATGTTAACGGATCAAGCATGAAATTTATGATATCTCGGAAGCGATATGGGAGTGCCCGAGAAGGTCTTGTTAGCTGGCCCAGGTTAATTTGTAATAAAGAGGACCAAGTGCTTTATTCACCCTTTTTTGTACACCAATTAGCTATCTCGACTAAGATTACAATAGAAAAAAAAAGTGAAGTGCCAGGTTACTACCCTCCCTATATATTTGATAGACATATAAAGCAATATCACCAAGAGCAACAGAGGACGAAATGCCTTCATACCCTTATTACATATCAAGTAGACATATAGACGCGTACAGACGCCTCCAGGATGATATGCCAACTTTATATCCTATAGATATCAAATCTATATATAAGTTGTTATCTACAAGGCAAATGCCTCCAATTACAACACTCAATAAATTAGCCGAGTCTAGAGACCTAACCCTCAGTCACGTCTCCTCGTGGACACGCTGCACACGTTTGATATTCTCCATTCTTTAGGACTGCTGAACTGACTTGACGGATTTTTATTAATTACTGTACGGGGATATTCGATATAAAGACAAAAGACACTCAAAAAGTCAGGCCACACTGCTGCTGTTTCTACCACCACCTCGTCAACACTTCCGCCAACTTTCCTTTCCAAGATAATGCCATGCGGTGGTAATGTACACGATTAAATAACTCGTCTCCAATGCTCCTCCCCCCCTTCCCATCACGGGTTGGTATCTCTTTCAACAAAAACAAGACAAATGCAAACAGACAAAAAACGACGGCCTCTCCAAGACTCGGAAACTCAACCGCGTACTCCCTCCGCTGCGCCTGGGTTTGATGTATAGACCTTGACGGTATGAAGGCGGTGCTCCTCTGTGCGATGTGTAGATCTTGATAGCAGTGAATCTGGTGGTCTTCCATCATATGTATTCTAGAGCAGGGCTCCTCCGTACCATGCGTAGATCTCGACAGAAGGGGATGCCGTAGATCTTGACAGAAAGATACCAGGGCTCCTCTATACCATGTATAAATCTCAACAAAAGACAAAAAGGCAGTATTTCGGTCCAATGACGCAGGGGACGCAGGGGTAATAACAACAGTCGAGTTATGAGTAGTAGTAGTATATGTAGTAAAGTAGTAAGTAGTTGTAGTAGTAGTGAGACTTTGAATGTATGTCAACAAATTTGGTCGCGCAAAGGAAAAGGAACAAAAAATGAGAGAGTTTGCAAGTCCGGTTATTTCCAACAAATGAGAACAAATAGACAGAATTTCAGCAAAATAAAAAGCATCGAGAACAACAAATCAACGACACATCCACCAAATAAAAAACAAAAGCAGCGCATTAAAAAAAAGGACGAAATCGATCGAATTGCTCGAAATTCTGCTCGTGGATATAAATAAACGAACGGGCAAAACTTTTTATTTCCTGCAGAGCAGAGCTGCAAAAATGGTCCCTTGCGTCTCAAGACTGACAGGCTGATATCTGTAGACAGAGAAGAAGAAAGGGTGGCCATTTTTGCTGGTCTGGTTGGTCGGAATTGGTATATCATATAAATGGTATGGTATGGTCAAGTTGTTTTCTTTTAGAGGGGTATTATAGACACTCTTTTTTTTTACATGTGGTGGAAGAGGTCGACTTCGCCGCCGGCAGAGTGGCCGGCACCGGGGTGTCCCGTGGCATGGTGGTGCATGGGCTGGCCCATGGGGTTCATGATCTTGGTGTCGAGAGGCGTAATGGGGCCGCCGAGCGAGCCGGGGACGCTGGCGAGAGAGGCCGGGCTCGGGTGGCCGGGCATGTGAGGAGAGGCGGAGTGGGAGTTGGGCTGGCCGTGCTTGCGGGTTGTCATCTTGGCCATGCGGCGGACGCGGCGACTGCGCAGACGCACGTCCTGGTTGCTGTTGCGCCAGGAGTCGACGGCGCGCTGGATAAGGCCTCGCTTACCGCGGAGCGAGCCGTTGAGCTGTGCAAGGGCCCAGCCGACACGGTTGCACTCCGTCTCATATGTCAGGCGGTTTCCACGGTACTGCTCCTTGGGGCAGCATGCACGGGGGTACACGCAGTTCTCCTGCTTGAAGTCGGCAGCCAGCTCGTCCGTGTTGACCGACTCGACGTCACAGCGGATCGTGTACTCCATCTTGACTCGGTCTCGCGAGTACTCAAAGGCAATCCACTGCACGCCGTTGCCGTCCTGGCGCACCACGAGGGGCGTCGTGGCGGGAATCGGGCCGGGGGCAGCATTGGGGTGAATGCCGCCGGGGTGGCCGGCACCACCAGGGCTCTGCATCTGTTGCTGCTGCTGCTGCTGTTGGTGTTGCTGCGGGTGGCCGCCGTTGAGAGAAGCCTGGGGCTGCTTGGAGAGCTGGAGAGGCAGCTGGTTCTCCATCTTTGGTCGCGGGCTGTTGTTCATGCCGCCCTGGGCGTGAGCCTGGGCATGCTGAGGATGCTGAGGGTGGTGTTGTTGGTGTTGTTGAGGAGCATGCTGCTGCTGCTGTTGGTGGTGAGCGGCGTGGTGGCCCTGGTGCTGCTGCTGCTGCTGGGCCATGTGGTTCTGGGGCGTAGAGTGGGAGAGCATCATATTCGGCTGGGATGTCATAGGTTGTTGAGGGTGGTGGGCGTGCTGAGCGTAGGGAGAAGCGGATGGGTGCGGGTGAATGGGTTGGTATTGGTGGTGAGGTTGATAATACATGGAGGGCGCCATGTGCTGCGAGGCCTGTTGGCCGTAGATGCTCCTGTGCTGGTCATGCTGGGACGGCGAGGCCACGGAGGCGGGCGAGTTGGACTGAGGAGTATGGTAGGACATGGGAGGGTAAGGAGCCCTTGGCATTTGCGTAGCCGCCATCATGTCTGCTGTATCTGCGCCTATACGCGAGCAACACACGTCAGTATCTTGGTCAAGCACAAGTTTGGGTTCCATCTGTGATGGGCTGATGAAATCAAGGTGAGGCACAGCAGAGCTTCAAGCTGTCCGGGAAGGTGTTTGTAGCAGGCACGTCGAGACACATGTCTGTTTTCTTTCCGTCGTCCCCTGACGACAAATCAAGAACTTGCCACCCTCCCTCTCGGCATCAAAAGAGGCGAAAAAAGAAGACAAAGAAACTTACCGGCGGACGTGTAGCCGCCCGTCGCACCTGGTGTACTGTAAGGACTTGGGTGGCTGTAGTAGTTGTTCAAGGAGTCCTGCGGATTCGGGGTCTGCGAGGCGCTCTGGTAGGCTTGTGTGATGGAGTGGTTGTTGGAAGTGTTGGACTGATAGGGGCTATGGGAAGCCTGTGTCGTCTGAGCCTGGGACTGGGACTGGGACTGGGACTGGGTTTGTGTTTGGCTTGAGTGTTGCTGCTGGTGAACAACGCTGGACGGGCGAGAGGTGTGAAGCTGCTGGGGAGGTGGCGGGCCCTGTTGGTGATGGGGATGATGCTGCATAGAGAGAAGACTCATGGGTGATGATGAGCCGGCATGGAGGAGGAGGAGGAGAGACAGGCTACTTGGTAGTAGTAGTAGGTAGTACTTTTTTTTCGGAAAAGGGGGGGTGTGGGATATTGATTAAGGTGCTGCTGCTGGCTGTACGTCGTCCTAAGCAAAAGAATATAAGGGAAGGAAAATCAGCCCAGCAATCGAGAGTGAGGGAAGAAAGAAAAACGAGACGAGTAGAAAAGGAAGTAGTAGAAAGGGTCGCGTTTTTTGGGGCGGGAGATTTTTAACCTGGCGTCGTGAACGTTCTGTCAGGCCAGGCTTGCTTAGGCTCCTTTTTGAATGAAGTGGAGAGTGGACCACCACAGCTAACCAACCAACCCGCCTTTTGTTTCTACGCGCGGCACTGCGGGCTGTTGTCTCCTGAGTAGGAGTAATAAAAGAAAAATGGTGACGGCAATAAGAAGAGATTCAGTTGTTGCTGTATTTCCGTTTACAACTGTTTCTTATAAACTACGGTTTCTATTTGCTGAAAGCTCAGTAGTGCTGCTGCTGCAGACTACACTACAGTACAGTTGACTGGCTGGCTTGGGGGTGAAGCGGCGCCGCGGGCAGACAATCCAGTGACTGGATGGAACGGGCCACTCACTCACTCACTGCCTAAACCGCTGCGACAGACTAAAGCTACGGCGTGTGTAAAATAAGGGGGGAGTGCTGGAAATCACGGAAGAGAAAAAAAAAATGGGGGTCTCTCCGAAGTACTACGACTGTCTAGACCAAGAAGGAAAGCAGACGGAAGAGCAGCCCAGCCCAGCCCAGCAGAGCACGCCAAATTCAATGCGTCCAGTATTACAAAGGGACGACACGACTACGGACAATGAATTGGGACACTGCCAGCTGGGCTTAGCTGGGCTTAGCGCATTACAGCACTAAGAGGGGGGGGGCCGCTTAATTCCACAGGTGGTACCCTCTTTCATTCTGCTACAGGGGGCGTGTGTGTGTGTGCCTGTGCATGTGTGGGTGGAGGATCTCTCAACGTGGGGAAATGGTGCTAAAGCTTACAGGGGTTGCAGGGGGGGGGACAAGAAGACAAGACAAAGGCCCGGGCCAGCCAGCCGACAGCCAGGGCCCCAGGAGCGAGGATTACAGGCGGCTGCAGCAGAAGCAAGCAAGGGAAAATCTACAGTGCTTGCTTGCTGCTGCCTCCCTTGAAAGTCGACAGTAGAGCCGTTGCAAAATCCGTAGTACTTGTATATAGCGCGTCTTTTTTCTTTTCTTTGTCAAAGGCATGAAATACTTGCGCAAGCACAGCCATGTTTGCTTACTGATGCACGTGCATGACTCTTTTCTTTTCTTTCCTCATCTCGCCGCCCAACAACGACCAGCGAGAGAGACACCACGTTGGGGAGGAGAGAATAGCCACCACCACCACTAAAGAGACGGGGTAAACTTGTGTCACAGCGCAGAGCAGAGAAGGGGGGTACAAAGTACAGTCACTGCAGTGCACTGAATCTGCGCACAGCACACTTCTGTTAGTCTACGGACAGACGTCCCGTAAACAATCAAAGACACCAGCCTGAAAAAAAAGGGGATGGGTAAAACGGGCCGCTTTGGGGGGGGCGGCGACAACGACGCGCGCTAAAAGGGGGCTACGCTACGCAAGTACTTTGTAGGCAGAGATACGAAGAGAACAAGGTAAATGAGCTGATCAAACAACAACAGAAATAGAACGGTTGGCACACGCCCACACGCCGTGGCACAGCACGCGCAAAGGACGCTCGTACAAGATAGAAAATCAAAATAAAAAGAGGGGGGGAGGGGAAATTTCAGAAAAAGAGGACGCTTCAGGAGGTGATTGGCAATCCGGAAGTGTGCCGCGGGCCTGAAAAGGCGCCGGCGCAGTGGGTTGGAAAAGAAGGTGACGCTGTGGTCGTGCTGACATGTTGGCGTAGCGCTGTTGTGTGCGTGCTGTGACTGCTAAGGAATTGTCCGAGACACCGGCGATGTGTTTTACAGAAGGAGAAGCACCAACAGCAGCAGCAGCATGTACTTTGGTACTGTACAGTGTACATTATCACGGAGGTGGCGAGGTTAACTGACTGTGCTTGTAGAAAAAAAGGGCAAACATCACAAAACACATAATGGAGCCCATTACTCGGTATCAAAGTTAGACATGAGGCTATTGTCAGCCCAGCGCGTCAGAAGCTGAAGCAGATGCTCGTCACAGCCCAGTCCGCTGAGACGGCTATTTCCTACAAAGTATATATGTACTTACAGTACTACTTTCATGTACACACTGACCCGCGCCTGTTTTCGGTCCGTCCGCCTGGTTTCCCCCCCGGACAGCCCAGCCCATCCGCGCCAAAGATACTTGGTAAGAAAGCCATCCGTCCCGTCGCGGTTGGGTTGGTGTCATCTTGTGTGATTTATGCGCCTCGGACGACAACAAAAAAGATGGTGTGAATGTGTTTTATTTGAGCCGTCTCTTTGTTATTGTTTCCTTTTTCTCTTTTTTTTTAATTAGCGGAAATGACATCTTTTTATCAGCGGCATTTTATTTTTTGGTATAAAATTGCCAGTACCAAATTTGGCGTATCATAACGCCAGCAAACTAACTGCCGTCCTGTTTCTGTTCCTACGGCACTGCACTGCGCTGCACTTTACCTGTTATTTTGCGGTAGGCAGGCTGTTATCGGAGATGCACTGAACACAGAAAAGGAGTGACAGAGGCTGAATAAAGCAAAACGCAGTAGAAGCAGCGCAGTAGCAGCAGCCGTTGTACACACCGGATACACCCGTCCGTCCACCCGCCAGCCAGCCAGGCAGCCCCCTTTGTCCTGCTGTCTCTGTCTCTGTCTCTGTCTCTACACAATGATGATCAATAATGATGTGTGAAGATATATACACAAACGGCAACTTTTGATATCCAAGTTAAGTTACAATACAGACTAAGCCAGTTATATGATAAACAAGGGCGGCTAATTCTTCCTTCGCCTCTGCCCTGCTGTTGGTGCTACTGCTGCAGGCTTGCTCTGTTCTCTTTTCTGGGGAGCTTGCTAGCTAAGCTTAGCCTGTCCTTGTCCGGCCTGGGCTCTCCACCCCCTGACTTGACGGCCCGTTTAAGGAAAATTAGGGTGTGGGCGTGCAGCGGGACAGCCAGCAGGGGCCAGGCTCCACGGGCTCATATTAAACGGCCAATGGCAGCGGGCGGCGCGTGCCAAAGGTGGTTCCACTCCGTGCAAGGTAATTGTCGTCCCCCCTCCTCCCCGGCACAAGCATGCAGCACCAAGCAGCCCAGCCCAGCCCAGCGAGTGTACCAAAAGAAGAAACCAAGGCGAAAAATATATACAAGTACAAAAAAAACAGGATATTATAGACAAAATATACGTCATCAGTGCTAGAGACAAGAATATGGTTGGCAATTAAAAAAAGAAAGATGAAGATCAAGTGGCAAAAAGAAGAGAGAATAAAGTAGACAAACAATGGGATGGATGGATGGGAGCTGCCGATGCCGCCGCTACACGCTGCTGTTTAGCACACCTTAGTGGGCAGCTCTAGCTCTGCCCACTGGGAAACGCGTGCTAATAGTGGACGCTGGGTGGCTGCCCAAAGGAGACGCTGCGAAAAGCGGACTAGGAATCACCCGGGCGTGGCGTGGCGTGGCGTGCTGCTGGGGTGGGTGGCCCTGTTCCTCTTTGGGAAGAAGCGTGTGCCTGCAGCTATCCATTTTGGGCGTGTCGTCCCCCCCTAGGTCGTCTTCTTTTTCTTCGTCTTCTTGCTGCTATCAGTGGCACTCACTAACTCACTCACGATGAATACAGCACTTTACACAGCCATCTCCCGCTGAAATTGATACTATAACCAGCTACTACTGATAGCTACCTGCTACTGCTATTAACGCTCACTCGTATAGCCTGGCTGCTTGCTGCTGCTATCCGCTCCTGAAATTAGCACACTCCATCTCATCAATGCACAACGGTGACACGCCCATCTCTTCCTTCGTGTACTCTATTTTATTTTTATCTCTTTTTAATATCAGGGCGGCCGGTTGACCTGTAGATCTCCACCTATACTCCAAGAACCAACCCGAGGTAGACAGGCCGACCAGAAATGCACAATTTCACCGCGTTGCATCATTTAACAAGTCCCCCAAAGAGAAAAAAAGGCGCCAACAGCCCCCACAACCCGCGGATGCACAAGTCTCTTGCCGGTTCACTAGCACACCAAAGCAACCACGAATTACTCTCTTCAGAAAACGAAAAGAGTACGTACTTTTTTTTTTCTCTGTTTGCAAATCAGCCCGTCAGCGTTGGGGTTTTGCTCGGTTAACGCAACCCCCTTTTTTTTTGCCTCGGGTTTTCCTTTCTCGTGACGCGTCGAACAGACTACAAGTGCCGCTTCACTGGTACGGCACACCGGCAGCTAGCTAGCTAACTCAACGTAGCTTCAGTACAACAGCTAGCTAGCTTGCGAACGTTTGTGTTGCCTGCTGTGGAGAGACAGACAGCCAACCAGGAAAAGAAAAAGAGATCCTGGTGGGTTTTCCCTGTGAACATCCCGCTTGTCATTCCCAGATCCCCCGATATCCTTCACCTTTTTCTGCCCTTGTAAACATGGCGGCGGGACATGGTGCTAGCTAACTACTAGAAACGCCGCTGATGCTTCTCGTGTCCTTTTTCTGCTTTCTGCGGGGTTTTCCACGTATCTACTATCCGTTATTCTCCACCAACTGAAACTAGCTCGTCGCTGCTGAATCGCGCTGTGTGGCAACAACGGTCACCGCCCGCCCGCGCAGACAAAAAGAGAAAGGAAAAAAATCGTCAGAAGAAAAAGATTCCGAAAATAGAAGCCGCGCCACATTCACCGGTCTTTTACTGCGTTGTCACGCGTTTAGCGGTGTAGATGTACGTTTTAGTTCTCGCTGCTCACAAGCTACCCGGTACAGTATTCACAAAAAGGGCTGCTGGCTGGCCCTTGTCTAGCCTGGGCCCTGCAGAAAAGAAGAAAAAGAGGCCCAGCTTTTCCCAGATTTCATGCGAGATCGAAAAAGCTTCCCGGCGCCATGGTTTAGGGAGGGGAAGGCCTGGCCCCTCTAGCACGTACGGTTAGCAGGGATGGATTCCGGCTTGCATCGTAGCCACCTTGGTCTGTGAGCAAGGGTACCCTTTTCGGTGGTGGTGGAGGATGTGCTATACGTACAGTATGGGATGCAGGACGAAAGAATAAGCTAGGGTGGTTGCTTGCAGTGCGCCAGCCAAGCGAACATGGGCGATGCTGCACACATGCTTGTATGCACGCACGCACGTACGCACGCAGATAGAATAAATAGTACAGTAGGGCTGCCTGGGTCTGGGGGGAACAAACAAGCTAGGATTCAACGCCGTGAACCGACATGCGTACGTAGCGGCGTGACTTGAGAGTAGAAAATATGGCTTTTATGTCCGTCCATACGTCTTACTTGGTATTCTAACCGAGTTCTGGCGGAGGAAGGGTAAGCATGCACACGAGCAAACACAGAAGCACACGGCCAAACAAACACAGAAGCACAACCTCTGAAGGAATACTTGGACAGAATATTCCGCAAAATCCAACCGAATAGATGGCATTGGCACCCGTGTCTGGGCATATATACACTGCTATACAGAGTTCTGTAATGACGGGTATATCCAAACCAACTTTGCTAAGTCCGACTTTTGTACGGCACACGACAAACGAACATCACGATATCTCAACTACTTTTTGTCTTTTTTGTCCTTTTCTTCTTCTTCGTCATCATCATCATCATCATCCTCGTCATCCTCTTCGTCATCGTGCCTCTCTGGCGGCTCATACGGATCACCAGCCCGTCGTCTCTCTACAACAAAACAGTTAGTTATGATAAGGAAAAATCACATCAAAGGGACAACATACCTCGAAGGACCTGCGTCGCCGCCGCATACGCCTGAATCTCCTCCTTATCCAGCACCCGCAGCACAATCACAAAGTCGTCCCGCACCTCGAACCGCTCCTTGCCAATCGTCAGGGCCTCTGGATTCACAATTTTGCGGTTAATCTTGGTCCACCGTGCACCCGGCGGCACATCCTTGATCTTCTTGTCTTCCTTGTGTGGGGCTACGCCTTCGCGGATCGGATTGCTCTCCTCGGGGAAGCGCACTTTTGGTTGCTTGAGGATGCCTCGCAGTGGTCGTGCGTCACGCTTGTCCCGCGCAGGGGACACAACGCGGTCGTCTGCCGCCGAAATAATGGCCAGTTCACGCCCGCGGCTGTCTCCATTCTCTGGCGAGTGCGGACGGCGCGTGTCTTCGTCAACAGGGTAGTGGCGGGAAGACGGGGGCACTTGAGAATAGCGGACGTCGTCAATGGAGTAGTGGCGCGAGCTTCGGACGTCGCCCTCCTGTGGCGAGTACCGGCGTCGCGGTTCCTCGTCTTCAGAGTAGCGGCGTGACGAAGAGTAGTGTCCATCTGGAGAGCGGCGACGTGGGCGAGGCTCTTCGTCTACGCGATCTGGGGGATACTCGGGGCTATGTCGTTTGCTGGTATCCTCATAGCTGAGTCTCTTGGATGCCCCGTCAAGACTCTCCCGTTTGATGTCGTCTCGCGTAGTTCGGGGAGGCCCGTCCTCGCGTGTAGTTCTAGTGGGGCCGTTCTCTCTTGTAGCCATCGGAAGTTCCTCTTCTCTTCTGGTTCGAGGCGGGCTGTCCTCTCTTCTGGTTCTTGGAGGACTGTCGTCTCGTGTAACCCTTGAAGGTCCATCCTCTCTTGTAGTCCTAGGAGGGCTGTCCTCTCTTCTTGTTCTTGGAGGTCCATCCTCGCGTGTAGTTCTTGGAGGCGTATCGTCTTTTACAACTCGTACGGGTGCCTCCCTCTCCGGGGCATCGTCCCTCGCACGCATAGCGGCCAAGTCTCGTCGGAGAGCCGCCAGGTCATCCGTATCTGTAGGATTAAACGACGCACGCTTCTTCTGTGCCGTCCGTGGCGAATCGAGCATGTCGTGTTTGCTAGACGACTCCAAAATGTCCCGCTTGGGGCTGGGCACCGGTGCATCCACCACATCGCGCGGCCTAGGCTCCTCTTGGTAACTATCTCTCTTGTCCTGTCGTGGAGCCTCTGTCTTAGCGGGACGGCTCTCCGACTTGGCGAGGCCGCCGGTAATGATACCCAAGCCTGTAAGTGCTGCTTGGGCTACGTAGTCGTCTGACTTGGAGCTGGAGCTGGCCTTTGTCTCGCGAGTGCTCGCAGTGTCTCTGGTGCTCGCCGTCGCCGAACCGGATTCTCTGAAACTCGATGTCGCCGAGCTGGGCTCCCTGTAGCTTGTTGTTGCTGAGCTGGGCTTCTCGCGCATACTGACAAAGGCTGCGTGGGCTGCACCTTTAGTTGCAGCTGACGTTGGCTCCCTAAAGCTACCCGTCGTTGCAGCCATTGGCTCCCGAAAACTACCTGTGGTTGCTGAACTCGGTTCCCTAAAGCTGGGACCTGCAGAACTGGGTTCTCTATAGCTAGTCGCAGTCGCTGAACTTGGCTCTCTAAAGCTGGGGCCTGCAGAGCTCGGCTCTCGATAGCTACCCAAACCTGGCTCCCTTGGCCCTGTAGTAGTCACGGTTATCGGATCCCTAGGATGGGTAGCCGAGTATCCTGGCATCGGCACATCTAGCCGCCTTGCCGGGCCATCTCTCACCGGACTCCTCTGTCTATGGTCCCCATGTGAATGTGAATGTGAATGCGAATGTATATGGGCATGTCCATGCGGCGGCATGCGAATGCCAAATCCTCGATCAGCCACCTGCTCGTCCCGAAAGCGTTGCTCGGCCTCGTACCGCCTCCGATCCTCGCTCTCCGCGCGGTCTGAGTGTGAATGATGCCCAACCGGGCGCTGCGACACAGATGCCGGCCGCGGTCTCAAGCCCGCTCTGGGCCCATCTTCATCTATATACGGGACATAATAGTGCTCCCGCTCCGGCATCCGCTGCTCACGCCGTTGGTGCAGGCGCTCATGGTCATCAAACGACGGCTCATATCTGTGCACGGGAACCGCACTTGGTGCCCTCATGCGGCCGTCTCGTGAGCTAACATTATGGGAAACACGCTGATGTGGATGGTCCAAATCGTACTTGACCAGCTCGCCCACCGTGGTGTACTTGTACCCAGCGTCGCCATAGTCAATCGAGGCAGCGCTATGCTGCGGACTACTCGGGTACACAACAGGCGGCCTGTCATAGTGGTCGTGCTGCACCCGCGGAGCCCGCGGCGTATATCTCGACGACCGGCTCTCCCCCGGCCGGCGGGACTTGGACGACGACGACGCAGGAATAGAGTAGTACTCGGACTCGCGGACGGGGCTTCTGGTGTCTCGGGGCTGGCGGTCGCGCTTCCGCGTGGTGACAATCACAGGCGGGCGACCCGTCGAGTCAAACGTCGACCGTCGTGTCCTGCTATCTTCTCGGGGTCTTCCGTCCGGTGCGTCGAGGAAGTATTTGCGTGTTGTTGAGGGGTCTTTGCTTGAGGCAGTGGTGACGTAGGCGGCCGGCCTGGAATAGTAGTGTGATGCTGCAGCCGAGTCTGCCTCTCCTGCAGCAGCCGCATTAGAGGAATGGGACCTGTGGTGCCGAGAGCCGTGATGGCGACCGCTGCTGCCGCCATGCGAGTAGACGATGCGTTCGCGGTCCGCCATTTTTATTTGGTGGTGGTGATGATGAAGCAGAGAGAAGCTTGGAATTACTTGGAACCCAGCGTCCGCCGACTGCCGTTGCCTCCCCGCCTTTTTTTGACGGGCCGCGCCCGCTTTAGCTCTACTTTTTTTTTTTATGTGGCGTGGCATGAGTCAAGGCAAGCTTCACATTTATAAAGCAGCCAATGACAATGCCGATGGTTAAATTGGAGGCATTGAAGAACAAAGAAGACAATTGGCAGGGATATTGACAAACAACGAAGGGGAGCAAAGGGCAAAGAAAAGAAATATTTCTGGATAAACAAGAATAGAAGAAAAAGGATATAAAAATTTATAAAATACGGGTTCAGCCCTATGCTTTAATATAAGCGTTGATAAATAAAAGAGCTGATAAGACCATCTAGAGCACCAGCTATGTGCCCGTTAGTGGCGACGTTATAGCTAAAGATGATATCGGAAGCTGGATATGTGACATGTTTCATTTGCACATTGGTATATACGTACAACTATTTCACGCGGATATTGCCATCTCAATCTCCCCATTGATATACTCCAACTTTTGCCCAAACAAGTTATGCTTCTGCAGACTCAGCTGGACATAGCAATAGTCATCCCGCTGTCTATCATTGCGGTTATGTGCTCGCATAGCGACCCTCTGCAGGAGTGCCTCCATCTTGTCTCGCCGCTTCAGGCTTCTTGCCACTTTTGCCGAACAATGAATGCGCGCATACTGCAGCAGAAAAGCAGCAATGCCAACCATAATGGGTGTGGCGTACGATGTGCCTGATCGAGAGGCGATTCCATCTGGAGCGCTTGGCCATGCCGACTGTACCGACTCACCAACAGTCGCCAGGTTGACGGCGTTACGCTCTGCTGTTGGGCTAAAGTCTGACGCACAGCCATATGTATTCGTCGAGTGCACGCAGATGACATGCGGACTGCTGGCTGGATACGCTCGGCCAGTTTTGCCGCCGCTGTTAGAGCCAGCAGCAAACATTAGCACTTTATTGCTATAGGTCGTGTCGATTGCCTCTTCTACCAGCTCGAATCCATCAAAATCCTCTGATGGCCATCCGAACGACATGGATATAATGTCGACGTCCCATTCGTCTACAGCATATTGGATAGCCTGGGTAAAAAAGTCAGATGAGTCCGCAACCCTCTTTGGCTAATTCGAGATTTTCTTACCTGAGCAACAACATTCCCGTCTGGGCTAGCATTCGCTTTACCGGTGATCTTGATAATGTAAAGCTCGGCATCCGGGGCGTAATCCAGAATCAAGCTCGTAATGAAAGTTCCGTGTCCGTTCTCGTCTTTTACGGTTTTCCGGGGCGGGTCATAAAGATTGTATTTACCTCTGATGTTTTCTTCTCGGCCATCGATGAGGTCATGGTTTCGATCAATACCAGTATCCAGAATAGCGACTTTAATAGCACCTGTGAGATGGCTGTCAAGCCCCTTTGAGATGAACTTTTCGTAAACCTTCACGTACTCATCTTTCCACGACAAGTATTTAGTTGTGCTGAACCAAAAAATTAGTACCTTGTAGATTGCACGCTGGACCTGCTTGCTCACTCTGCTGTAGATGCACCGGCGATTTGGTCGTCAAAGAACTGCGACTCTCTATAATCATACTCCGGTATGGGCAGTGACCCGGGATTCGAGATTGCGTATTGGGTCGGGTTTGGGGCGCCTTGATAAAAATACGCTGTATTCCAAAGCGTTTGTGCGGTCGAGTTAGCTGCAGCTGCAGCTACGCTTAGCGAATAGTGTGCCGGGAGAGGCAAGTTGGGAACCGGCGTCGCTTGCACTAAAGACTGCCTGCTTTCGTTGGCATTCTCCCGACCTGCCACATTCAGGCCCCATTTTCCAAAGTCCAGGTCCCTTGCGCATTGGTCAATGCTGTCAAGGGGAATCTGACTGAACCCTTTCGTCAAGTGAAGTTCTAGCAACGACACGATCTCCTGGTAGATCCTTGATCGGAGGGTTGTATTATCGAGCGGCTGACGATCTTCATCCTCCCACAGTGAGTCATCCAAGCAATTTTCTATTGCTTTGACCAAAGCAGAATCCTCGGGAATCTCGGATTTTGCGCCAAGTTGGCCCTCCTCTTCATCGCCGTTGAATACTTGGTGCAAATCGAGCGGCGAGATTGGGGCACCAGGCAAACTTGTAAGCTCCACGTTGTACTTTTTCGCCAACTCTGTAAACGGCCTAGCAAAATGTATCTCCAATAACATGACAGCTAGAGAAATCACCACTGGGCAGCAATGGCGCATGTCTAGTTCGCACCATATCTCCGATAGACTTGTGTTGGTATCGCAAATGTGGATTTCGATGTCGGATGTAGGGTTATTGGTGGGCAGTTTAGTTTGGATAAAGGGTCGTAGTGGTGTTTTAGAAGATGTGGTTTGGAAGAACTTGACGCTAGTCGAATCCCATCCCGGTGCCAGCCATGGTGTGCCATGTAAGTGAAGCACAGTATAACCCAGGATTAAAGAGAGTATCCGCCTCGTCTTTTCAGTAAAGTATTCGCGGTGTTGTGTTAGGCATTGTGCCAGAGATATTGGTTCCACGCTGGAGTCGACTTGAAAATTGCTCTTCTCAAAGCCCTTCTCAAAGAGCTCCTCCTTATTCATCTTAAGCACCAGGCGTTGCCACAGCTTGTCCTTCTTCTTATGGATAGGCATACAGAGTGTATCAATCTTCCCTGAGCTGTCGCTGCTACTGCTGTGCTCATGTGGGGGCATCGTTGAGTCTGCATTTCCTACAGGGGCGAATGAAACTGCCTTACTCTTGACAGCTTGGATGCGAATTTCATGCCAGTCTTGGTCCGTGGAAAGGAACATGTCGAAATCCACATCGGCGCTTTCGTCTTCCGCTGCGTTGGATTTCGGGCGAGTTCTGAATGGTGTTCGCTTTTTAGGCGTATTGTTGGGCTTCCTGTAAGTTCCAAGTTCAAGCTTGGCGTCGAAACTGTGCTGACAGGAGCAAGCACATCTGTTGCAGCTACGCAGCGCGTTGAATATAGAGTGCGCTGCCTTGTGCACTGTATACGAAGGCTCGTTGTGGGTGGAAGGTTTGAATAGCGACAAGGGGAGCGATGACTTTGGTTCGGTTTGGTGCTTTTCGAACTCGTCTGCACAAGACTCTAAAGCTAGCTCGAGCGCAAGTCGTTGGGGTGTAGGCATTGCGGACCGTAGCCACTGTTGGATGAACCCATGCCTGGCGTGCTCGTTATGCTTGTAGATTTCGTTCCAGGATTTATTTATGGATGTCAAGTGGGCTTGAACAAACGACATGAAACCAACAGTTGATGTTCCAAAAAGACAAACTTCAGGAAATAACGTCCCTAAGTGACCCAATGTCTGTGAGATCAGCCCGCCATGAGGATCCGCGGCCATTTCCGTCCAGGAAGTAGCGTGACATTTTATTCGCATGCAGTACGAGGCTAGATGACTGTAGAATATCTTATCTTCCGGTTTTGTATCCTGGCTTCGAGCGATGCGTGCCATCTGCAGGATGGTGTCGGTCGTCTCCAGCAGGAGCGCTCTGTGCGATGGGTTCATTTTGGTGATGTTTCAACTCAGCCGCGACGGGGTTTTCATTTTCAAATAATCGAAACACATGGAATCTTGGCGTTGTCTGAGATCGTGCTGCTAGAAGTGTTGTTGGCGATGCTGCGTTGTTGCCAGCCAAAGCTGTGGCCGCGAGGGTTACGCAGTTTCCCATAGCCGCCAGCCTCGAGGCTGAACCTGAAGCTGAACCCCGCCAACGGCCCGACCTGTGAGACTAGTCCCGGCAACGATGATGCATCAACTCGCCCATTCAGCAGATGCTCCATGAGCAGTGTTTCCAAATACCTACGGTCGAGCACATCTCCGTACAGCGACCATGGCTGACGCTGGCACCCCAGCGGCCAGCGTTGCCATCCGCGCCAACCAAAGCTTGAGCGCCTTTCAGCAATGTCTCGTCGCGGCATCAGCTGTCCACCCAAGGGAACTCTCCATGGTAGAAGATCAACTTGCTAGATTCTCTACGTGGGCTTCCAGCATTGGTGTCTTCGCACCGGGACGAGCCTCCATGGACCATCGCTTGCGCCACACCTTAGACGTGCAAGGCGTGGTGATGGATTTGTTGGAGTCACTCACATATCGCATTGAAGCATGTGAGTATATCGCATGCTTTTCTCTTTTTCTGCTTGTCATGTGCTAACTAGAGCTAGGCACGAGTATTCTTCAGTCGATATCTGACGACTCTGAGATCCCGCAAACACAACAACTGGTCGACTCTTTTGGCAATATCGCCAACGAGATTAGCCACCTCAACAAAATCTCCAATACCATCCGCAAAGCAAGCAAAGAAACACAGCATCTACGAGCCAGCAATTTTCAAATCCAGGACAATGAAGGCAACGAGATTGAGTCGCTCCTTCTCTCGCACTTTAAACACTACATCAACGACTTATTCCCCTCATGCAGCGAGACTCTCAAAGGCAGACTTTCCAATACCATGCTTCTACGGAGAAAGCGAATCTTATATCGCCGGCATCGACAAGGAACCACCTCTATCCGGCTACAGGAGATGATGGTGCAAGCTGTTGTTGCCTTACCATCTGCTCAAACGGAAGATACTCCAACCTTACGCAAGCATAGCCACCATGGCGGTGCTACCCCATCCCAAGTCATGACGGCAACTACACTAGCTTCTAAACAGTTCAAAATGGTCTCGTCCACTCCATCGGTCATTTCGGCAAGTAAGACGGTAGCACTTGTCAATCACCAGGCCCTTACATTCCCGACTGCTCCTGGCTACATTTTGAAGCAAAAGTTTGAAGCATTGCGAGAAAAAAGCTTGCAAGAATTTCACACATCGATTGTGGGTGGCCTAAGAAGACCATTGGCGGAGGCCCAATTGAATATGGAATTAGAGATCATATTGCAAAATATAGGCGAGATAGCATGTCCTTACTGTCTTTATGCGATACCAGCTCAAGAGGCGTTTGATGAGCGAAAATGGCAGTAAGTTTCCAAATATGCTTCTCAGACGATTCACTCACAATTCTTTAGGCAGCATGTCAAGAATGACCTCGATCCATATATTTGCCTGTTTGAACATTGCAACAGCGAAAACGTACTGTATAGTCACAGCCAGGAATGGCTTAACCACCTGCGCGACCATGCCAAGATCTGGCATTGCTTTTCGCATCCTACGCTCGACCCATTCACTAGTCGCGATGATTATATCGAACACATTCGGAACGTGCACGGAAGCACCTTGAACGATTCGCAACTGCGCGCTTTGGCCAATAAGAATAGTCGAAAGAGAGTTGACTTGTTTCCATCGTGTCCTCTCTGCGGCGCGACCGCGACGGATGTTACGGGACGCATGGAGGACCACATTACTGGACATTTGCGATCAATTGCTCTCAAATCACTCCCGGCTTATGAAGAGGACGTTCCAGATGACTTTCAAAGTACAGAAAATAGCGAACAGATCTCGGATATGTCGAGCAGAAGCACAATCAGACATGGAAGCTTCAGCGGAGGTGACAATGACGACGAAGACGCTATGGATATGGGTAGTCCAGTCACATACGGTAACCACGGAGAATCGACAACGGAAACGTCTCAAAGTCTATCTGGTCTTGAGACTATACATCAATATCTAGAGGGGCACGGAGGGGTATTCGAGCAGCAATCAAATTATAAGGAGGACGAGATGTCGATTACGTCTGATGATGTAGTTACCACAATGGTATCGGAAAAGCCCGAGAAGCAACTCGAAGAGCAAACAGAGAAGCTATGGACCAGGTCACGCAACGCATGTCTGGCTTGCCGGTAAGCAAACCGATTTTTATGTAGAGGGACATTTCTATGTTGGTACTAAGCTAACTCTACAATTCATTAGCATACGTAAACAGAAATGCGACGGATTGCGTCCATGCTCACCGTGTGTTCGTTTAGGTTTGGGCTGTAACGGTGCTAGCAAGCCGCCAGTTGCGTCTGAAGACATAGATACCGAAGTCATCCCTGGCAAGCCCGAGGAGAAATTTGAGGAGCAATCGGATTCCAAGGGGAATGCTGACCAAATAGATCCGGAGACGGCATTGAATTATGGCATAAGCCCACCAGAGCCCAGGCTAAGAAAGAATTCAACGACCAGATCACGCACCGCATGTCTAGCTTGCCGGTAAGCAAACCGATTTCTATGTAGAGGGACATTTCTATGTTGGTACTAAGCTAACACTACCATTCATTAGTACCCGTCGACTAAGATGCGACGAAATCCATCCTACATGTGGACAGTGTGCCGCTGCAAAACTGGACTGTTATTACTCAATACTACATTCCGACGCTGACAAGGCGCCGAGTACGTCTGAAGAACCACATATTACAATTATCCAGGAAGCACCCAAACCAAATCTCGACGGGGTTATGGATTCAGATGCTGCCCCCATCCAATTTACGGACTGTATTGGACGCAAATTCAATTTGCCGTTTGACCGTTGTGCCACACGGCCCGATATGGACGAGCTTATCAAGCAGGTGTTTATCTATCAGGATCTCCACGGACGCCAGGTTCATGAAGGATTCTATGATCTGCTAGGCCCTGATGGCACCATCATTCCACCGTCAGCATGGGACCAGGTGATTCAACCAGGATTGCCCATTACCATGTCGCTATGGTCCCTGAGCAGACTGCCACCTAACTTTTTCGGGGCACCGCAAGGTCTTGCACCAGAAGATGAGAGAGAGACCTCGCCCATACAAGTGGAATCCCCCTATCTAGATGAGGACAGCGATGTGGCGATGCCTTATGACGGAAATGACCAAATTTATCCTACTGTGACTACAGAAGCACAGTTTTCAGGCTATATGGAAAGGCTCGAGCGTGAAATGCAAGCTGCTGAGTCTAGTAATCCAGCCATGGAGGAATTAAAGCGCGGAGCTTATCTATCAGGCCGCCAATCTGATCCATATCCTACAACTACGCGGGTCCTCCGGAAACATGTATCTCTAACGGCACTTTGGGAAAGGGATATAGAATTTGAAATCCTTTCGGTAAGTATATGTCTCTAAATGGACCCATGCGCAAGTCAATGATCAACGCTAATCCGTTTGTAGGAGGATGAGGTAGTCATTAAGCGAATAGTTCCGGAATGGGAACTTGAACAGCTACAGGAGCACACAAGTAAGATCCGACGGGGTCGTCCGCATGGTTCGAATCCTTCGATTGTAGATCGTCTCAGGCAGACCAAGCAAAAAATCAGCGAAATTCGCGAGCTTCTTCCGAAGACATCGTTGGCTTCTGAGACTGTCAATCAGTCCACAGAACAGGTCCCGCCACATGAGAGCCCCCAGCAACCTATACAAATGAATACCTCGCAGATGAATCCAGGAGACGTGTCAAATAATGAAACCAACGAATTTCAACAGATGGACCTTGACATGGGTGATGGAATACCACCGAAGGGGGAACAGGCTGCCAATACGTCAAATGCTGGTGCACGGGAACAGGAGATGCGCGAAGCTGGTTCCTCACCCCAAACTTCCCAGACTTCGGCCCCGTCGGACTCTCTGGAGCTTGATCATGCCATGATTCAGCAGATAATCCCTCAATTGCCCCTCGACATCAAGACCTGGCAAGATCTAAGCATTTGGCGTAGCCATAATCCGATATCACCAGATACTCACATGCAGCTCATGTTGCTTGAACAGCAACAGCGTAAAGCCGGTTTGATGCGTCGCGAACTAGAAGAACTTGACGAGATCGAGCAGCTAGAGCAGAAAGCTAGAAGCAGAGTTCATCCACGCGATGACTCGCAGGAAAGAAAACGCCCTCGGATAGAGGAATTGGACCGTAGCGGTATGAAAGTCTTTTCCAGTCGTCTTTATGCATTTACTAATCGTTTCTTAACCAGATTTAGACCTAGCATCGGACTCACTTGAGCGCACCTCCCCGATGGGCGAAGCTGGTTCCTCATCCCAAAATCCCGAGCAGGAGCGTCTCGCGCCTACTAAGCCTGTCAGAAAAGAGAAAATAAAAACGCGGGGGCGCGGGAAGCTGAAGAGACTTAGCCCAGCTAGCAACGAGTCTACCATCAGCTCCTCTCCATGGCCCCAGCCCTTACCAGCCCAGTTCTCCAGATCATTCGAAGCTCTCGATAGCCTTCACCATCAGTTCCTTGGGAAATGGCGACCATTATGCGAAGAATTCTTGGCGGCACCGCCAACAGACCCGGACAAGCGAGAAGAGGAGCACCGCAGACTGTCGGAATCCATTATGGCGCAAATTATTATAAAGCTAGATGCTGTTGATACTGGGGGCCACGAAGAGATTCGCAACAAGAGAAGAGCCATTGTACAAGAGGTTGAGGATACACTACGACAACTGGCTTTCGCAAATAAATTGGGCTATAGAAGTATGGAAGTCTTTTTGCAGTCGTCTTTATCCATTTACTAATCGTTCTTTCTTCATCAGATTTGGACCCAGCATTGGGGTCGCTTGAGAACTACTCGCCGCTGCCCTCCGCAGGCGCTTCCTTTGGAAGTCCTAGCAACCCTCCGCAGCCATACATTGACCCCTCTGAGACAGAGGAGCCGATTAGCTCCTCAGAGACAGCTGCAGTCTTCGCATGCTCAGAGCCAGGCTGTACTCAGTCCTTTGATCAGCCACACAAGCTAGAGTGAGTCTTTGTCAGTCTCAAATTCATTTGCTACCAATTTAACAAATCTTCAGGCATCACCAGCGATATCATACCAAAGAACATCATTGCACACTTCCTGGTTGTAATAAGGTGTTTGGCACAGCTCGTGATCTCCAACGTCACGTCAACGAGCGCCATTCGATGGCGACACAAGAGTTTCACTGCTCCGAGCCAGGATGTGAGCAGGTGTTTTATCGTAGGGTTGACTGGAAGCGGCATATGAGCAAGCATCCATAAACTTGAATAACACCAACCTCCTGAGCTCGTGGAAATCGACATGTCTGTTGATATTTGAGAATATTTGGGGTGAATATAGTTGTATTAATTGGTATTGTTCGATTTTTGTACTACAGTGGGTAAACAAAAGTTACAAGTAGTCTATATTTCAACAAACGCATTCCACATATATATTTACACAAACTTCATATGTAACAATCATCTAAAAACTCGATACATACAACGTATTTATACCATACATAATATTCAACAAAGATTGAAAAAATGGGAATTTTATAATATATATCAAAGAATCAGTAAAAGATTGACCAAAACCGAGTTTACCTGTAACTTTTGCTTACCCACTGTATTAGCATGCAGCGGCGGAACCCGGCTCAAACAAAAAGCGATTGAGAAGAAAGCCGTGCCATTGGTGATGTCGGCCACTAGAATCCCAATGATGATGCTAATGGTTAAATCAGAGGAAGTTATCGAAAAGGGGACAATGGCAGAGACATTCACGAATAAAAAGAGAAGGAAGGGAAAGTAAAATCTAAAATACGGTTTCATTCCAAGGACTACATATTCTATCCTAATCCTAATGGTTGGTAAGAACCCATATCTCCAGCCAAACTCAGCCGTCAAATAAATGTACTATTGTTTCAAAAGTTTACAGATTCAAAGAAAAAAGTACTACTACTCTTCTTCTCCCCCAATGGGAAAGGGGGGGTTTGTGGGTGGTCATGCATCTCGTTCTTTTATATTTGTTGTAAAAGGAAGACCGACGTCTTTCTTTACAGGCGAGAGCCGTGAATGACCTTCATGTCGACAGCGAGCTCGCGGCCGTTATCGCTAAGGACAAGGGCGCGAACGGAGCCGCGGCCAGACTCAAAGGCGTTGCGCAGACGAGCCCAGAGGTTGGACTGGTCCACGACAGGCAGACGCTGCTTGACGTCGCCCGACTCAGTCATGGCAACGACATGGCCGTCCTGCATGTCCAAAACGCGGTACTGCTTGAAGACGGGACCGAGCATGGTCTGGACAACGACGCTAGGGGCGGGGTTGGAGACAAACGACGACTCCTCGTGCAGCTGGCGGGTGAAGAGGTCGACACCGAGGTAGCGGTACTGACCCGTAGCAGCCGAGGTGGAGATGCGGATGACCTGGCAGGCACGGCCTTGGAGCATGACAAAGTCGCCAATGCGGATGTGGTGGCAGGGGATGCTGACGGTGTTAGGGAGGCGGCGCTCGCCATTGCTCTCGCGGCGGGGAGCTGGGGCAGGGCCGTGGCTCTCGCGGATCTCGACGTCAATGTGCTCCCGGTGAGGGTGGACAATGCGGTCCGCCAGGTTGTGGAGGCCCTGGCGGAAGGAGTGGTAGTGGCCGTCGTCGTCGTAGTAACCCATCTTCTTGGAAGGCTGCTCAACGGTCTCGGAGACGCGGATGTTGTGCTGGGTGGAGGTGTAGGGGGCGCGGTGGTCCTCGGTGGTGAACTGCTCGACGCAGACGCTGTCCTGGGGCTGGTTGTAGCGGGGCTCGGCGTAGTCCTGCTGGTTGGCGGACTGGAAACGCTGACGGTACTCGCGCTCGGCGATGTCGATGGCGTTGTCGTAGGGGTACTGACGGGCGTCAACCTCTACACGAGTGTCTCTGAAGTCGTTGCGACCGGGGCTGCGTGGTTCTGTTAGTACAAATTGTGTCTTATCATCAGAGGTCAATTGCCTGAGCGAGTTCATCTGGAGAACAGACGGGAGACTCAGGAGAGAGAAGATAAAAACTTACTAGCAGTCTTGCTCGACGTAGGTAGTCTCGGTGTGCTGGAAACCGGGACGGCGGCGGGAGTCTTCTTCGCGAGTAATGCGGATCTGCTCCTCGGAAGAGTAAGTGTTGTGCTGGCCTTCCCGTCCGGCGTGTTGCTGCTGAGGAGGAAGGTTGATGTCAACCTGCTGGTGAGTCTCGGTCTGTGTCTGGGACTCGCCGTTCTTGTACGTCGACGGGAAGATGCTAAAGGGCACGGGGACGCGGGCTTCAAAGTCCAGATTGACGACTGTTCCAAGCGCAAGAGAATCTTCTCATACAACCTTTCGTGGAAAGGAAGGATAAGAAGGGATCTCTAGCTTTTGTCTTTGTGAAAGAAACAAAAGTCAAAGATGGATAGACGAGACAAGAGAAATGTCAAGTCTAGAAAAGTAGGTGATGATGTAGAGTAGAAAGAGTAAATTGGGTTTGGAAAGGAGAAGAAGAGAAGGAAACCTGGGGGCGAGAGGGCGAGGCAGGCCGTGCTGCTTTTGAGCATTTCGAGCCTTGGGGCCCCATGGCATGACCTTGGCGTGGTGTTATTACGTGGAGGCCTGCGTTGCTGAGCATTGCGTCGTCCTGCATTTGTTTACTTGGGCCTGATTTGGTTTAGTTTGCGCGATGGCCCCTGGAAAAAGGCGTCAAGCATCAGAGCACAGCACAGCAAAAGCACAGCACATGGGGGGGCGGCTGCTTGGATGCAGGGTGCCGTTGCGTTGCACGAGGTGTCAATTGGCTGCGGCCAGGGCCCTGCGTGTTCCGGTTGCCACGGTGATGTGGTTGTCCCCTGGTGAAACTAGCTGCAGCATGCATCGATGCCCGAGGTTATTTTTCTGAGGAGAAAGAGAGAAGAGCCGAATTTGCCGTCAATTCTTTTTTGAACAGTCAATTGAATACACCAGATACTAGAGATTCCGGCTATTATTTTTTTTTAAACTTCTATTGTTTGCTGGAATGCGGATAACCACCGCGTGGCAGTCCCTGTCTTACAGCTCCCCTTCCAGGCTAGCCCCCTATAATCCTCCGTAGCGTCACCGACAAACAATGGGCTTTGTTTACACCATGCATTGGCTCAAGCAAGAAAGCATCTATCTTGTTTTCTCCGACACCGCCGCGTCCCCACAATTCATATTCCTCTTGGTGGTCCACCTTGGTTAGATTTTAATTCTGCTCCTGCGGCGGGCTTGCATGCATGGAACCAGCTAAAGTTAGCTGGGGGGCTGGCTATTATTATCCGAGTCTTGTCACTCTTGTGTTGGCTGAAAAGGGAAGACGGTCACTCGCTCAGCGCCTTCACCAATTTTTATATGCACATCTAAAGGGGGATTTGCAACCTTGATCACCCAATTGATATGCCAGACACATCAATTTCCTCCTCTGATTTTTTCGTGGCGTCGTGCACCGACGGCCAACGGATGAGCTCTTGTCCGTTGGCCGTCGGTGGTTGTTACAGGTCGTACGTGTTTGCCGCAAAGTTATAAGCGTTGCCTGGACAACCGCCACGCGCCCAAAACACTACCCGATACGCCATCGTATCATTCAGCTTGCATCCTGCTTCACGTGCATGTGATCGCTGAATCGTATCTGGCAAAAATACGGACCGGGTCCCGGGCTATTCTTGATTACCGAATACGGCTCAAAAGAGTGTTGTCGTTGTCAATTGAATGTCGTTCTACACTGATACGCTCCTGGTTTTTTTTAGTGACACTATCAAGGAAAGCCCTCTAATTGGGTAAAAGAGACCACAAACTTTGCTACCCCACCAGAAATGACCGCTCTAGAGCCAAATTGATAAAGAAATGAATTTACAAGTACAACACCATTTTACTATATATTTTTCTTCCCATGTATACTCGCACAGCGTCAGTCGCATCTCGCACCGCGTAGCCCGCCAGCACACGTGATGTCTGCCGTACCAATGTGGGGGAACAGCTTCTCCTGCCCCGCGGACGTCATCGCGTGAGCCAGCATTCCTCCGCGCTAGCATTTTGCGCTGCCATATAATTTTCTATATATAATTATTTATACAGCATGAAGCAGCGGTTCTCGTCCCTCGACGTCAAGGTGAGTCTGGAATCCCCCCTAAAATTATTGATAGTGTCTAACACCACCACCAGGCCATAGCTCACGAGCTTCAGCAGACACTCGTCTCGCTGCGAGTCGCCAACATCTACGACCTCTCGACCAAAATCTTCCTCTTCAAGTTTGCCAAGCCAGACACCAAGAAGCAGCTCGTCATCGACGTCGGCTTCCGCTGCCATGTCACCGAATTCACACGAGCCACGGCCGGCACACAGTCCGTCTTTGTGACGAGGCTGCGCAAGATTTTAAAGACGAAGCGTCTCACGGCCGTCCGACAAATTGGAACCGACCGAATTATTGAGTTTACATTTAGCGATGGCCAGTATCGTTTGTTTCTCGAGTTTTTTGCCGTAAGCTAGATGTTGTCTGTGTTGGTCAGTCCGTAGGAAGAAACTAACTTGTGACTCAGAGCGGCAACATTGTGGTCACAGACAAAGACCTCAAAATCCTCGCCATTAACCGTGTCGTCTCTGAAGGTGAGGGTGGCGAAGCCCAGCAGATTGGCCTCCAGTACTCTCTCGAAAACCGACAAAACTTCCACGGGATCCCGCCCATCAATACCGACCGAGTAAAAGAGGCCCTCGCGAAATATACTGCTCCTGTTGCTGGCGCTGCTGGTGCTCCTACTGGGGCCAAGGCCAAAAAGTCGGACCTACGAAAACTTCTGGCGACGTCCATTACTGAAGTGCCGCCGATTTTGATTGAGCACTCGCTCGATGTCCATGGCATTGATATACAGACAAAGCCAGATGCTATTGCGGAGTCGCCGGACCAGCTGGATTTGCTTGTCAAGGCACTAGCTGATGCAGCGTCGACAGCAGAGACGATTTTCACGGGATCTCAATGTAAAGGATATATATTTGCCCGCCGGCGAGAAACAAAGACAGACACAGAAGAGGCGGATCCTGAAAAGGGCCTACTTTATGACGACTTTCAGCCGTTTGTGCCGAAAAAGATCAAGGACGACTCTTCAATAACAGTAGTCGAGTTTGACAATTACAACAAGACGGTGGACCAGTTTTTCTCGTCGCTCGAAGGCCAGAAGCTAGAGTCGAGGCTGATTGAGCGCGAGAATGCCGCGGCCAACCGCCTCAATACGGCCAAGAGGGACCAAGCCAAGCGTATTGAAGACTTGCAAGAAGCGCAGACACTCAATATGCGCAAGGCTGCCGCCATTGAAGCCAACGTGGAGCGAGTCCAAGAGGCTATGGACGCTGTCAGCAGTCTTGTCGACCAGGGTATGGACTGGGTCGACATTGGCAGGCTGATTGAGCGTGAAAAGACCAAGCAGAACCCCGTCGCTCAGATGGTTCACCTCCCTCTTAAGCTTGAGGAAAACACCATTACTCTGCTCCTCAACGAGGCAGACGAGGAAGAAGAGGAAGACGACGACGAGGACAGCTATTCCACCGACGAGAGCGATCTCGAAGAAGAAGAAACCCCAACACCAAAGAATGACAAGCCAACCAAGGCGCTCAAGGTAGACATTGTACTTTCACTCAGCCCGTGGAGCAATGCTCGCGAATACTACGACCAGCGACGCACCGCCGCCTCCAAGGAGGAAAAGACACACATTCAAAACGAAAAGGCTCTCAAGAGCGCGGAGCAAAAGATCCAGACGGACCTGAAAAAGGTGCTCAAGACCGAAAAGGCGCTCCTCCAGCCCATCAGACAGCCCATGTGGTTTGAAAAGTTCTTTTGGTTCGTCTCGTCCGACGGATATCTGGTGTTAGCAGGCAAAGACCCGGCCCAGCACGAGCTTCTGTATAAACGCCATCTGGGCAAGGGCGACGTCTTTTGTCACGCCGACACAAAAGATGCCTGTGCTGTGATTATCAAGAATAACCCACTTGCACCAGACAGCCCTATCCCGCCTACTACGCTGTCGCAGGCTGGCAACTTTTGCATCTGCTCGTCGGCGGCGTGGGACTCCAAGGCAGGCATGGGCGCGTGGTGGGCAAACGCCTCACAGGTGTCTAAACTGAATGCTGCCGGCGAGGTACTGCCCAATGGAGAGTTTTATGTTCAGGGTGAAAAGAACCATTTACCCCCGGGCCAGCTGATTATGGGTCTTGGACTGATGTTTAAGATTTCGGATGCAAGCACGGCGAATCACCTGAAGAATAGGCCGGGAATCTACACTGGCTATGTGCCCAAGACGGACCCAGCGGCTGAGGTGCCTACTGACCAGGCTGCTGCGGACGCTCAGTCTGAGACGGAGTCTGTTGCCGATTTGACTGACGATGAGGATGCCAAGAACGAGGCCGCAGCTCAAGAGAAGGACAAGAAGGCAGATGCTCCAGCAGAAGCAGCAGAGTCTCTAAAGAAGCTAGAAATTGAAGAGACGGCCGCCCCAGACGCTGAAGCAGCTCCCGCAGATGAAGCCGAGGGTGACGATGACGATAAGGATTCAGCTCGAGACTCACCGGCGCCCAGCTCCAAAGGCGCACCTAAGCGCGGCCAGCGCAGAAAGGCCAAAAAGGTAGCAGCCAAGTACAAAGACCAAGACGAAGAGGACCGACTTGCCGCAGAAGCTTTGCTGGGTTCTGCCCTCGGCGCGCAGCGGGCCGAAGCCCGCGCTAAAGAACGAGAAGACCGCACCGCATGGCTCGAGGCAGAACGCGCGCGTAAGCAGGCCGTCAAGTCGCGGCATGATAAGCAGACCAAGGAATTCGAGAAGCAGCGCCGCGCCAACACCCAGGCTGAAGCAGACGGGTACGTCGAGCAGCCGCTCGCGCTGCTAGATGGACTTGTGGGCACACCGTCCGCCGGCGACGAGATTGTCGATGTGGTTGTCGTGTGTGCGCCCATCTCGGCGACCACGAAGCTCAAGTACAAGATCAAGATGCAGCCTGGCCCGCAGAAGAAGGGCAAGCTTGTGCGGGAGGTGCTGGAGCGGTGGAAGATTGATTCGGCGCGCAAGGGGGTCGTGGATGAGCAGGCGACGGATAGTGGGCGGATGTGGCCGCGGGAGGTGGAGTTGATGAAGGGGCTGAAGGCGGAGGAGGTTGTGAATGTGGTGCCTGTGGCGAAGGCGCGGGTGATGTTGTCGGGGGGTGCGTCTGGTGGGAAGGGGAGTGGAAGTGGTGGTGGAGGTAAGGGGAGTGGCGGTAGAGGGAATGGAGGCAAGTCGAAGAAGTAAAGTCAAAGAGCGTCTGGTTGAGGAGTTTGTAGACTGTGAATATATGAAGATGGTTTACATAGATGGGATGATGTTCATGAATACATGGTTACTGAATATGAAGATGCATGGGAGTCATGTCAGTCTTTGACTTATATATGCATGTCATGGCATACAGTTGACTTGTAGTTGACTTGCAGTTTACAAAAGCATATATATTATATAAAACAAACATTTACAAATTATATGAATCGTTTAAATTAACTTAGATCAAGGCTGCCACAGCGAGGAAAACAGCTGTGGTATACTTGGCTACCGCACATGCACGGCGCCTACGGAAGGGGCTGTATGCACTGCTGTAGATGCCTTACATGGTGATACTGATACTAAAGGATGACTTTTTCCTACAAAATAGTATGAGATTTCCTGACTTTGCTAAAACGCGTGCTTCATGCGAGTTAGCCGCGCTTGCTGGCGCTTAGCCTGGTTGGGTAGCTCGCATCAACCACCCCAAGTACATACGATCGACCACGCTTACGAGTAAGTGAATTACATTCTCAGGCTATTTCTTTTTCTTGTGAGAATAAGACAAAGCCAAGACAGGGGATTGAGCATTCTCAAGAGCAGCCCTATGGCGCCTTCGTATCTTCCAGGCAGAAATACGTATAAATCCCAACATAGCTCCGCATACTCTCCTCGCACTCAAACCTGTAGCTTATTTTCCGCCCATAGACCATCACCGTCTGATGCGCCTCCTTGCACTGATTCAGCGACACCACGGCCGTCGTGTAGTCGTGCCCACAGTCACCAACTTCTGCAACGAGCCTGTTTATGTAAACGAGAAGGAAGAGGCTGGCGGCACGGTCTTGAAGACTGGCGAGGTCTTTGTGACGAAAATCAAGTCCAGAAAAGGCGATAATTGGTCGTATTTGTGTCTGACAGCCAGCAAAGAATCTCCCTATGGCGAAGATCCTATTACCTTTCGCTATTCGCACGCATCATGCCCCAAGTTTATCAATGGACAGAGTGTGCTCTATACCAAAACCAAACAAATTGGAAAGCGCTGGGACATTGGGCATAGCGGCCGGTCCCAAGTCGACTGCGCAAAGCCCGCACCCTACTATGAAGATCTCACAATGTCCGCGAATAATCCGGAGAGAGACCGCATGCTCACCGGCTTCGGGTTCGGCTCTGTTTGCGAGTCGGATTATAAGATTGGGGAACGTATACGCATGACGCTCAGGATGTGCAGCGAAAACGCGCCGTCCAAGGCATAACCACGGCGGCTATTACTAGATTCTTGGCGCTATACAGATGAAAGGAACCATTTTTCATCGGAAAGACCTGCAGGTCCAGGTGGACATCTAATTACCTGTGATATCATCCACTCTAGATTGGCTAAGACGATGGTGATATAATGGAGGGAACTGGCGTGTTGCGGGTGTACGTTTGCGGTAAGTCGGTTGTTTGTCTAATACATGAATAGAACAATACTCGCTTTATACCATGTCTTGAGTTCTGAATTGCCTTATCAGTAACTAAACATGTGCGCTTATATACTTTGATCAAGGTATATACTAGGACGAATACTGAGATAGGGTAGCAGACAGCGCGTTGTCGACGGCTGTTGTAACCTTGTGGGCATCTGCCTCGCACTCCGGCACCACCCGAACAATTTGTAGAGATGTGGTTTCAAAGACCCCTTCCATATTTCGAAGTGCTGTCTGGATAGGCCCAGCAAAGCCAACACCTTTGAGCGTGTCATGCTTTCCTTGAAGGGTTGCCAAAAGGCGCTGTAGGTCGTCACCCACCTACATAAAAGATTAGTAAATTATCCTGAAAGCAAGCAGCTGGACTTTGTAAAGCAATTACTACAATTTTAAACTCGGTACATATCTGCGATTGCTTTTCCTTTGGGACAGTCGACTCGTTCGGAACCTGATGGCTGGCGTATGCTAGATCTCCTGTCACTGTGTTCAAGGACGGAGGAACTTCCTAGAAAGGATTAGTGTTATACGAATAGAGGTAGATACTAACTCACAGGAGCTTTAATAGGAGCATTTGCAAAGGTTACACTTGCCACAAGGGCTCGTGCATCTGAAGCGTCCTTTGCAACAAGCTTCAGGCCGTCAATGTGCTTTTGTGGAGAAGCTTGTGCCGTGTGCGGCGTTTTTCCCACAAAGTATCCGCAGGATAAACTTTGGGGATATTCCTGAGGACGAACTTGGCCAAGTGAAGGGGTTTGCCGCGGTATCTCATACACTGCCGAACCTGGAAACAGTTGTTGTTAGAAGCCGTTTTGCGGATGATAATGTTAAATATAACGAGCTCAAGGGCGCGTTTGCCGCGGTCAAAATCCCAGTTGTAGTAGAGAGGATCGATTATTGAATAACAATCTGATGGCCGTAGCCTGCTGTACAGACCCATACACTGTAGATCCCATAGAACATGTAATACGGCAAGATCCAATTCTTGTACGCGGGAAGCTTATGCCGAAATACCGTTTCTTGATGATTTTATCTGTTTCCTTATTGTAATTTAACTTTATTTACAATGTACTCTTTGTAGTGTAAGAGCTTAGCTTATGTTTTCCTACGTATCTCCAGATACATTGGCGCTAGAGTGCGGCTGACAAGGCAGACTGCACTCAGCTTGCCCGCAAAAAAGCCACCACCGCCAAACAAGGCTAGACTATAGTGAGAAGATTAAGTAACGTTCTGTAATTATAGTTGCCGGAATTTATTTACACACTCTACCCTCCAAGGCTACCTAATCGCCCATTCATTCGATCATCATGGCCCATCTCATGTCTCTCCCAGTGGAGTTGCTGGAGAGAATCACACACTTTATTGCAAATGATGCCACCCCCGAGAACGAGCTGGCCTTTAAGGACGGCTTCGACTGGCGTCCCCTTCACAATCTATCGTTAACATGCAAAAGATTCCACGATCTCGCCTATCCACTGGTCCACACAATGGTACAGACACCTGAAAACCCCCTCATCTTTCTCAAACGACCACAATTGGCTGCGTTGGTGAAGAATCTCATGGTCGAATGTGCAGGGGAGCTCGAGTACCCGTCAGAAGACGAGGGGCTCTTCGAAGAAGTATCAGCACAATACGAGCCTCTCGAAGTCGACCCAGAAACTGGCGACCCCGTAGACGAAGACCTAGACGGTGATAAGGACTTTACGCTTAGCATGGCATGCCTGCTACCCTGTCAAAACGTCGAGCGTCTCTTTCTAGACATACGAGATTACTCTGATTACGGGCCTAGAGTTGTACCCCAAGCGCTACATAAGCTGACCTTTGTCCATTTACAAGAACTCTTTGTGAGTTTTGAGGGGGAACCCGGCTACGCCCCTATGAACAACGCCATGGCTGCCGTTATCCGCCAAGCGCCAAATCTCCAAAAGTGTTATTTTGACAGCGTGGACACCACCTACGCCTTGGATACCACTTACACTCAAGACACCTATGGAAGCAACAGCGTAAAGGAGCTCATCTTTCATTATTCCATGATTACCGAAGAATTCTGCGAGGTCATCTTTGCCAATTTCCCGCGCCTCGAACGCTTCAGCTACCAACCTTATGTCAAAGATTACGCCAGAGTGAGCGTTACAGCAGGCGAGATTCAACGCCAGATTGTGCGCCACGGGCAAAAGCTTCGGTATCTAGGCCTCGACTTCCACTTGGAGCCAGAGAGGCGAGATCCGGTTGTGAATTTCGTAGACTGGCCGTCTCTGGAAGAGGTTCTCATCTGCAAAAAAGCCTTGATATTGCAGCCAGATATGTCGGCGGATTCATATGTTGCTTGTTTGCCACAGAGTATTCGGAAGATATACGTTGGGGAAAGTTATGAGGGAGATTTTGATGTGCTGAAGAAGCTTGCAAAGGCAGCTGGGTGGCTGCCAAAGCTGGAAGCGGTCCTTGTTGGAGAGTTGTTTGCAAAGGATGCAAATAAATTCACCGAACTGAAGGATGCGTTTTCTGCTGCTAATGTCGAGCTTGTAGTGGAAAAGAAGGATTGAATGATAATCTAGTTGGCAAAGGAAGGATATGGGGTAGACACCAAACACAGCTAGTACATAAAACATATAGAAAAATCAAGATGCAATTCTCGTACGCGCGAAACCTATGCAGAAAAGGCTTTCCATTTCGATAACTTTATTTCCTAGTGGCTTGGTTGAGGCGCCGCCAATATGGGAGATCGTGCATGCGTGCGTGCAAAAGCCACTACGGCCAAACAAGGCTGGACTGCACATTTATTAATTATTCTTCCAACGCGATAGCTGGATTGCTGTCGCTCCCAGACGAGCTGCTAGAGAGCATCGCACTCTTGACAGCAGACTATAACACCACCAAGGACCACCTCATCTACGAGGACTTCTACGGCCTGACTGGGACCAACGGCCTCGGCGGCCTGTCCCTGACATGCAGGCGCTTGCATGATATTCTTCATCCGTTTCTGTACAGGATCATGGACTCACTGCCTAGCCTTCTCTCGTTCATTAAACGACCGTGCCTAGCTGCACGAGTCAAAGACCTTCGCGTCGACCTCGTCACCGAGCTAAACTACGCACCGGCAGATCGGGCGCTTCTCGACGAGCTATCGGCCCAATACTTTCCTCCAGCAGTAGACGGAGACACCACAAAAGAATACCCAGAATCATTTGACTGGGAATTCATCCTCGGCATGGCATGTGTTGTGCCCTGTCGCAACCTCGAGCGGCTCTTTATTGAAGTCAGTGACTCCCTGTATGCGGACGTTAGAATTGAGTCGCATAGGCTGCGCCAACTCACATTCCCTCATCTACAGCAACTTTCCCTCAGATTTCCTTTGTTTAAGAGCCATACACCTATGACTGATTGCTTGGCTGCCATTGTTCGGCAGGCGCCCAATCTCCAAAAGTGTCACTTTGATACTGTGTATACTGACGATGCTAATACCGATGTCTTCCGAAGTGATAGTGTTAAGGAGCTCATCTTTGACCTTGCGTCATTACACGGGAGTTTTGTAAGGCCATCTTTGCCAACTTCCCTTGCCTTGAACGGTTCAGCTACCGACTATACACCCAAGACTATACCGGAGAGAGCGTCACTGCACGCAATATTAAACGCAATATACTGCTTCACGGGATAAAAATTCGACAGCTATATCTCGACTCTGGCTTTGAGAAAGCTCACCACGATCGGATTAGGAGCCTAGCAGACCTTACGCTCTTGGAAGAAGTTGTGGTCTGCGGATATGCGCTGGCACTTCCGTCCGCGGATAAGTACGCAGCCTTTTTCCCACAGAGTATTCGAACAATTGCCTTTGTGGAACCTCGTGCTGAAGACTTTGACCAATTGAACAAGTTTGCAGCAGTAGCCCATCAACTGCCCAACCTGGAACAGTCCTTGTTGGAAACAGCAGTGCGTGGAGTACGGCCAGATTCGAGGAACTAAAGAATGCGTTTGCAGGCGCTAATATCACAGTTGCCATGTATAAGGAGGAATGAATAATACCCTGTTGCTTATTGTAATTTATTTTTATTTAAGATGCATTTTTACAGTGCAAGGTCGGCCGTTGCTCATGTTGGCGTTATATATGCTTTTCTATGTATATACAGATACATTGCCGTCGGTCCACCTCATGACAGAAGTTTTTATTTCCCTCCCAAAAAGTATGCAATAAATATGTGACTCGAAGAAGACAATGCTTTAGTTAGCGTTCCAGTTGAGGGTGAAGGCGACGTCCTGGCTGGAAGTGTAGACAGTGACCTGGTCAGTGCCGCTAGGGACATCGGTAGCGTAAAAGGTCGAGGCGCCGTTGTACGTGACAAGGCCGCCCTGGATGGCAAAGGTGCTAGGCGAGACAGAGCTGCCGCAGAACAAAGAAGAATCGCTCTGGATGGCGCAGTTGCCCTTGCTGGTCTTCAAGGTGACGGAGGAGCCGGAGCCGGTGGCCGTGTAAGTAGCCGGGGTGCCGCCGGAGCTGTACCACTTGCCACTGCTAATCAGAAAGCCCTGGGCGCCGGAGCCGTCCGAGGGAGTAACGGAAATCGTACCCTTGCCGGAAGCGCCGCCGGTAGGAGCAGGGCCAGACGAAGTGGTAGTGGGAGAGGTCGAGCCGCCAGACTTGGGGAGGTACTTGATGCCGGTGGAGGGGCAGGTCGAGCCGGAGCCGACGGGGTCAGCAGCGACAAACTTGCCGGACTGGATGGAACCCTGGACGTTGAACTGGTACCAGAGCTCGTTGAGGGCGCCGCTCTTGCAGTTGATGACGACGTTGTGGCCGTGGTGGCTCTTGAGGGCGGCCTGGATAGCCGAGAGGGTGTATGTCTTGGTGGTGGAGGGCACAATGCCGGCCTGGGCGAGCCAGGTGTACGAGGGGAGAGTCTTGAAGACGCTGACGGCCGTGTTGAAGAAGTCGACAACCTCCTGGCCAGACTGGTAGTTGGAGTAGCAGGACGGGTCAAGGGTGCTCATGCAGGTGGCGTGCTTGCCAAACTCATGCTCCCAGAAGGTCTCGTCGTGGCCCTGGTAGTCCTTCCAGTACTTTTGCATGTAGCTGAGGGTGTCGGGGGCGCCGGCGCTCAGGATATCGCTAATGTTGGTGTACTGGCGGTTCTGGTCGCAGTACTGGTCAAAGGTGCCGTCACAGTTGTCGGGCCTGAAACCTCAGGTTAGTTGACTTGTCACATAGCATGTGTACTTGGATGGAGTCAGGAAAAAAACATACCAGAGACCGTGGACGGTCCAAGAGTCAGAAGGACCAGTAGACGGGTTGGTGTCCCAGAATTGCGTCTGGACAATTTGGCCGCCAGGGAACTCGAAGCAGCACGTGTTGGCAGTAGCAGTCGAGTTGTGGCAGCTCAGAGGGCCATCGACAGGGCACGAAGGGCCAGAAGCCAGCGCGACGGCGGCCGAGGCGACGAGAGACAGGTACTTGGACATGATGTTTGACGGGTGGTCGTGGTGATGTGTGTAGGGACGAACAGACAATGAACAAGAGTGGGAAGCTCGGTTTCTTTTTATTCTGCTCTTCCAATACAATGTCCCCGTGCCATAAAAAAAGTTCCAGTTCTCGGTCCTGGATTTGGGGTCATTCAGCTCGCCACCTAACCGCCTTGGTACTAGTGCTGACCGGGCCACGCCAATCAGATAGCTTAATGGCCCGATTACCAGCGATTCAGCACCTTCATGTGCCTGGCACCGCCCTTTTTATTGGCTGCCTGCCGAATATCCGCTCCGAGACAAACAGCCTAATTCTGGCTCGTCGGTATAGAGAAGAATCAGGAAGGTCGGGGTTGATTGGTTGTCGAAATATATTAAAAACGTGGATAGCGTGGCGTTCTGGGGTATAGAACAGGTCGCATCTTTCATAACAAGCACGTGTAAAATTATGCAAGACTATCGTGTCTCTAGAGCCCGGGCAGCAAAAGAGCTTATCGAGCCACGTGGGGGTGAGCCGGAGGTAGAGTAGCAACGTAACTCAACTGACATCGGCATGGCCCGAATGATGGACCAGGTAGGCTTGCCCCAAAATGGGTTCAGAGGGCTCCGTAAGCATCTTATCCAAGAGTCCAGTACCGGTACTTAGTGCCTGCGGGTGCCTGTCTCTGCCCACGGCGCCGAGTTGATGTGGCGTTTCAGCCTCTCAGATACAAAGCCCATTCGATGCGGGGTGGAAGTAGCAAATTAAGACTCCCCAGGACAATACAATGCCTCCCACCGACTTTAACACGCTCCCTTCTGAGATCCGGCAGGCCATCTGGCAGTTCACCATACAAGATGACGAGCCCGAGGTCTGCCTCTGCTGGCCCACGATGCCAAGTGGATTTTTAGACTCCCTCGCCGACTCTGTTCCGCAGCTGCCGCTGACAGTCGACACGGCGTTCCCCGTCGCCATGCACATCTGCCGGGAGTCTCGCGCCGTGATGCAGAGCCCACGGAGCGGGATTCGCTTCCGGGCCTCCGAGGTGGCCGGGTGTCGCGTGCCGTTTCGACTCTACCGTGCCGACCTGGACGCGCTCTACCTGAGTGCGCAGTGGATGCATCTGTTTCTCCTTGACATGCACCTAGCACACATTTGGACGGCTGGTCGTACAGATCCTGACGTTGAAGCGCTCAAGACCTGGTACGCCGTTCTTCTGAGCGCCGGATGGATTGCCATTGACGGCCGGCATGGCGTGTACTATACGGACGATATCCTTCGTTTACGCCGGGCATCACGAAGGCCACCGAAAGACGGTGACATGTACCCAGACGTCACTCGCCGCAAAAAGAGGCTGTCGTATGTGGTCCCCAGCTCAAGATATAACGAGGACGATTTGGACCATGAGTTAAAATTCAAAGAACCAGGGCGGCGATGTAAATTGGTTACGCTGTCACAGGAAGCTCAGAACGCGGTCCGTGTTTACACGCAACAGTCTGAGAGTTGCAATTTGCCTTCGCCACTCTCTCACGCAATTAAGCTCTTGGCCAACGGCATTCTTGGCTGGGATCAAGACTTCGAAAGCCCGATATTTACGGGTGACTCTAAGATTCTCCCGCAGACGTTTGTCGAGTATCAACCGGACGGCACGTGGAGTGAGGTCTGTCAGGACCGACTATTCAAAGAACGGCCAGACACACCAGTATCTGTGCAGGATCGGCCGGACCCGGAGACGGTCCGCGTGATGGATGCAGAGATTGATTTTCCACAGCGGCGTATGCTAGACTTGAGATTGCCAAGACGCTCGTAACAAGGTAGGGGGGCCGACTATCAGATTAGGGCAAACTACATGCAACGTGTATTCCTGGCCATGGCCGGTGAGATGGTGGTGAATGATTAGTCGTAACAAGGTATCGTCTATGTCGTCATATACATATATACGGTCTCCTAGTAATCGTCTCGTCTTATACGACTCGTGCTCCATCGCCACAAGCCAACCTAACGGAGAAGGCACTCCAGATCATGGCCCTCAAACGCCTTGCGGTCCTTGCGGAAGGCATTGACCAAGAGATCCTTACCGGTTCTGGCTACCTGCTCGCCCTGCTCTGGTGTTCCCCATCCGGGCGTAGTCGATCCCATGGCGACGAGATGAGCTCCGGTGTGTACAAGCGCGCGGAACATAAAGTCATTCTCTACGGTGCCGTAGCCCTGGCCAAAGCCCTCGATGATCCAGAGACCAGCGTCAATGTCCTTGTACAGCTTGAGCTCCCACAGCTCGGCAATCACTTGACCGAGATCTTCGGGGCGGACGCCAAGCTGGGCCATTTCCCAGTCGACAATTCTCACGGGGATTTGCTTGTCGTTGTCGATGGACTCGTCCGGCAGAAGGATGCTAAACACCAACACGGTTAGCAATTGATCGAGATGGTCACAATTGACGAGGAGAAACTTACTTTCCGGTCCAAAAGTCGCCGTGGATAACGTGCAGCTTGCTCTCATCTTCCAGCTCGTCGGCAGCCATCTTGACCACTTCCTGGAAGACGCCCTCGGACTCCTTGAGAAACGAGGGCCACTTGTTTACCATACGGAGCAGCTGGTCGTAGTTGACCATCTTCTTGATGGCTTGCATCTCCTTGTTCTTGGAGAAGAGCTCGCGCACTTGGCTGTTGGCCGACTGCTCGCTCCAGTCGTGGAAGCTGCGCAGCCACTGGCCAAGGCTACGTCCAAGCTCAATGCAGCGCGGCTTGACAGACACCGGCGAAGGGGCAGGCCAGTGCTTGCGCGCATAGTCTTTAAGACTAAGTGCATGGGGGAGATATTCCTGGACCTGGGTGCAGTTGTCGGGGTTGAAGAAGAGCATGCGTGGGGTGCGGACCTCACAGTGTGATGTGATGAGCGGGGGGAGCTGCTCGACAAGATGGAGGCTCTCCTTTTCGATTTCCTATCGTTCCAATATACACAATTAGTAAACGAATGTCATCAATGTTGGCGAAGGTGAGGGGAACACACGCAGCGGAACTTGCCCAGCTTCCAGTCGGGGCTGGAGGCGACGAAGCCCTCGCCGTGCTTCACCACCACATCGGCAGTGCCGTCTGGCAGCGGTGTTTGTAATGTAGCGTGATAGATAAAGTTGGCATTGCCGCCACTCAATGGCCGCAGATTCGAGGCGGCGTAGGGCGTGCTGCGGAGGGTTTCCTCGATGCTGGTGTGGATGGCTGCCGTCTGTGATGTAGCGTCGGTGGCCATGTTGTGTGAAGATGTCGGGAGGAGGATTAGATTAAGGATTGATTGATTGATTGGTAAAAAGAAGTGAATGAAGGAAGAGAAAAAGATGTTGAATTATATAAGAGCCATGACGTAGGAGTTGTTTGTTTGTTGAAGGTTGCAGGAGGATCGCCAGGGACCCCGCTGCGGGGCACCAGCACGGCGTGACTCAACTCCTGCAAACGCATCTTCAGCTTTGCCATTTCCAGTCATTGTTGCTTTTCTCAAAGATTTTTTCTTGTTTCGCAAATTGTTCCTTTAACGTGTGTAGTGCGGCCATCTGATAATAAATCTAGTTAGTCACAGAGGCTGCAGGAACGTCGTGCTCATTTACAAAGGGCCTCTCGTGACTCACCATCCAGGTCCAACTCTCCACCTCTACATCAAGACAAATCTCTACGTACAGTGCATCGAACTTTCGAAATGATGTCGTAATGAAAAAACGAATTCGAAGCGGTAAAGCTTTCTGCAGTTTCAATGTCTCGCTATATTCTACCTTCTTCCGAATCGCAGCGCTGTCTGGACCGCTTCTCCCTCCTCGACGAAGCCGAAGAAGATGCCGATGGTCTTTGTTCGCTATGGAGACTTATAGAAAACGTCCTCGACCAGCCAGTCCACTCTTCATCCGATCTCAGTGATGTATTGAGTACAATCTCCCATCTTGTTCGAGGTTCAGACGGCGCGGCCGGCGACTATGGCACGCTGAAAGGTGTAGTCGAGAGCATTGGTGAAAGCTTTTACACGCAAACATGGCCGCAAATACGACGGTGTGCGCTGGATATGCCAAAAGTATTTGCAAACAGCTCTCTGGACATCCTGGAACCGGGAAAGAGACTGCGTCTGTCAAGGGAGCAAGCTGCGAGTCTCGTTGCGCACCAATTTCTCTGTACCCTGGCTGCACCGTCCTGGAGAGCTGAATACTATGACTTTAGCATCTGGTATGACTCGAACCAGAGGCATCCTGTCGCTGCAGAAATCTACATCACCACTGTTTTGACATACTTTCGTGACATGTCCCAGCTAGATGGTGCTGTAGTGTTAGAATACTCTCTACACGCTTTACCGGTCGACTTTTCGTCAGAACAATTCCTAGATGCACCGCTATCACCACTCACAGTGACTTCAGTGCCTCAATTCACCACCGAATTAGAAGAACTGGCCTTCCAACAATCAAGTGGTGCTGTCGTTGTCTCCGCAAACAAGGACATTGGATTCGGCCAATCCGCCACACAAGAGGAATTGTTTGTCGGAAACTGCCCTGAAGCATGTCCTGCTGTTCTCGTGACGCCAACCTTAAAGCCTGATCAGGTCCTCGTGGTAGAGGGAGCGGCACCTATGCTTCGCATTACCGGCCAGCGGCGGGACATTTCGTGGACTCCCTTACCACCGGAAGACAGGCGCGGCGGACGACTCTTGTTCATGGACGCGCTGGAGATTGACGAGTTGGATGCTGACGACGGTATTTTGGTGGATCTGAAGCCTTTTTCTGTAGATCGGGAGCTGCAGAAAGCCTACACGGCATTTTCATCGTGGCTGCAACAGTCGAACTCAACAGTTTGGACTGGTCTCTGGGGCTGTGGTGCCTTCAACGGCGACCCAACAGTCAAAATGATCATCCTATGGATGGCAGCGTCCATGGCCGGACGAAATCTGTGTATCGTGTGTGATGCATCACAGGAAGACTTTGCTCAGCAGTTTGACGAGTTTGCAAAGAGTACAAAGGGAGGCACTGTTTCCGACTTGCAGAGCATCCTGAACAGTATACCGAAAACCACAGAGAGACTTCACACTCTGGAGCATATTCTCAGCTCGCAACAAGCGAGTGAATAGGCCGCACGGTCTACACATGCGCCCAGCCATTCTCAACAAGAACCTGCATTTCATTAATCAAGCAAAACACCCCCGGCTCTGCATTTGCAGCATCCTCTTCCATCCACTGCTTCACGCGATGATGGATAACCTGCCGCTCAAATGTGACTGTCGTCCATCGGCTTATACGATTCGCCCAAATGCCATATGAAATCTTCCATGGTGACGCCCACGACGTGACAGGATGTGTTGCCTTGTATGCTGCGTAGTTGTAGCCAACGCGAACGCGTGGGTTAAGATATACGCCGAGGGTCTTGGAGAGCGGATTGTCTGCGTGGATGAGGCAGCACTCTGAACCTTCGACGTGGTACTTTGCCAGTGAGTCAGGGACCCCGCGGAACCGCAACTTTACGGACGAAGTAAACGGCTTGGCTTTCATGACGACTACATACAATTAATAATTGCCCTTGGAAGCAGCAGTTGGTTTCACGTACCTATTCCGTTCCAGCAGCTAGCAACAGAAACCGCGTCTTCATAATGCATTAAGGCGTTGCGCGAGCCTCTCGACTTGAAGTAAGGCCATGTCGGCATAATGTGGCTTTGCCCTTTGGAGTCGCGCAGTGCAAATGTATCATAGTATAATGGAGGCTTTGAAAAGTCGAGGGAGCAAGTCGCGGCATACCGGCCGCCATTGGTGGCCATGAGCGTCAGAACATCGTCGACCTGAATTCGACTGGGTTAGCCAGATGCAAATTGTATATCATATGAAGACAGGCATACCGTGAAGACTACGTCACCAAGAAACAAGACCTTGTCAAAGTGTACCCCTTCTTCTGCCAGTTTAGCCAGGTCCTGGAGCGTCTTGTTGCGCAGCCTAGAAAGATAGGGTATGCGCCGAAGTTCTTTCTCTTTGCTTCTCTTTGTATGTATCCAGCCATCTGCCTTGATTGGATTTTCAATCTCATCGAGGTGCGTAGTGTTAGACACTTCCACGCGCCTTTCGATACCCCTGTGCTCCAGGAGAGCGTCCAATTCTGCCAATGCACCTTTGGTGTCGTCCCAACTACCGCTCTCATATATATTGACAAAGACATTCTTTTCGCCGAGAGCAGCTACTAGCTCCAGAAGTGCCCGATTCCAGTGGTTACGCAGCAGTTCTTCATTGTTGAAGTGCATGCTCGCAATATATATGCGCTCAGTCTTGCTGTATGTGTGTACCATTGGCGAAGATTTGTCAATCTGCGCTATTCTATTATATATAGAGAAAGTTTCGAGGAAATTGACAATCATGGCGAGGAGAACAACAATCCGTACACCACGACTGCGGGCCATTCGGCGGAGAAACAGCCTGATCCCCGTGCTCACGATCATGTTACTCTATCTGGCAGACGTTTTATCGGTTTGCATTTATTCTTGAAAGCCCTACATGGGAAAAAGAAGGAATATAGAATGTATACCGTGACACTCGGTGCAACAGACAATACAGATGTTGGATATTGGATATACAAAAAAACGCGCGTTGGACGCCATCGACAAGCCTCAGGCATACACACGGACAGCGTCATAGCGACAAACGATGCCTGTCTGCACAGCCTCATATTGGCGTCGATGCTAAATTATGACAGGCTTCCGGCTAAGCCCAGTTTGTTGCCGATCTTTAAAACTGCGACAGCACAGACATACAGGAGGCTCTTGGCGCCAGCTCCACCCATAATTCAGCCATCAATCAGATGGCGCTAAATCTACAGTCCTTATTCATCCGAAAGCCTAGCGGCACTCCGCCTTCAAAGCAATACGACGAGAAGAACTACTTTGAAGAGATGTGACAGAAATAGGAGACAGATATACAACCAGCATTTATAAAGTGTTGAATTGGAAACTCTAGTCTTTATGTTGGAAGCGTGGGTCTGCCATAGACATAGCCGCAGGCAAGTAGAAAGGTTCCGAAGGGCTAATCAAACATAGCAAAGATCATCAGTTGTGCCGTGTCAAGCTCTATACTATATTGGAAAATACCTGCGACTATGCCAGGAAGCGAGGTTACAAGATAACAATTTTATTTCAATTTCATTTCAATTTCATCTCGAAAAAGAAGTCGATTGTATTTGACATGTATATACGTTCCATCGTCGGCGGTGTCGAGTTTCTCAATCTCAGAGTCTGTGAAGTGCTGTTCAATCACCCTCACACCGCGTTCGCAGAACTTCCTGGCAGCCTTAGGTGTAGTACCCTGCTCGATGTCTACCTCGATGCATTGCGATAGATAGGCTTGCGTTGTACCAGGAGGAAAGTGGCCACGTTGATCCAGGGTTGCTCGTCCCTGTCGATTGCCAACCGTGGTTGCGAGAGCAGTGTTGCTTATAACAGCGAGCAAAATAATTGGCAGTCTTCTGTTGGCTCAAGGAACTATATGTGGCTTGGTGGATTGGATATCTTGCACAAGGGTTGCGAGGTAGTGTTTGCAGGACTTCTAATTCCCCATTTGGAGGACATTCTCCCACTTATAATAATTTGCTATAGATGCGACTTTAGCAACCGACAGTTCTTCTTTACTCGGCAGCCAATAAATCCTGCATGTCTCACTCATGTACGACCAATAAAGGCAAAGATGGACGAAAAAGGACAGATATAGTACCAATTAGAGAGGCCAAAGCCGAATGTATGTCTCGGATGCTGTTTTCTTTGGTACAATAAGACGGCTGCTGGTTTCGACAGCTGCTTTTTGGCTCTTCTCATATGCAGCCACAGCGGCAACTCGATGCAGGACGGCTCAGAACTGGGCAGTCGTCAACCCTCTATTCTGCATAGCATGCGTCCATCTCATCCTTGTACAAGGTATACAAAACAGGTCGTTTTATGCCGCCCTTGATGTTCAAAGGAATCGGCTTGTCCTGCTTGGCGAGGATGATGTTTGATCGCTCCAAGACGTCGTATCCGGCCCTACCCTTGAACGCCTCCTCTATTACCGGCCATATAGTATCAATCTGAGCATCCATGCCGTCGTAACTATAAAGCTCTAAAATTAAGCATGGTCGCGGGCGTCCGGTTCCAAGCATGGTGGCAGATTTGACGAGTGGGTGCTTCGTAATGGCCACCTCAAACGCCTCGGGATTGATGTTCTGGCCGACTGAGAGGATAATATTATTGTCACACCGGCCAACAAATTTCCAGTGGTGCTTTTTGGTAGGATGAGGTGTGAAAAGATCCTTGACGTGATGCTCCGTCCACGTCGGAAATGACTTGAACGTAGATTGCGGCGGTTTTGTGAGCGAATCGTCTCGAACTACTACAAGCTCGTACCTGTCAGTGTCGAAATGCTGAAATTTAAATCCTGACGCTACTTCATGAAAACACAAGTATTCCCAATCCTCGTGGTCGGTTTCAAAGGTTGGGGGGAACATGACCTCTGTGGCTCCCCAGCCGTTTAGTAATTTGACCTGCTGGCCCATGAACAACGTGCCAAACTCTGGCGATATTGGTGCTAGCTCAAAGTGTTAGTTTGCAGTTTATATGTATACATAGGTAAGGCTTACCTCCGCCAAACATGATGTATTTGACCTTTCTTAGCTCGTTGGCATAGTCGGGGTCCTGGAGGGCGCCCTCTACCCGTGCTGGAAAGGTTACCAGCGATTGGAATTGGGCGTGTTGGAGAAATTGAGTCATTCGCTTCGGAGTGTATTCATGGAGCGGGAGATGCATGGGTGGAATAACGAGAAGCTTGTGCATGTAGACACCGGCAAGCAGTCCCAAGGCCATGGATGAATGGAATGCACTCATCGAAAATAAAATTCGACAACGGGGTTCCGTAAGTGGCACTTGCATATAGTGAGGATGGAGTGGTCGCCCTTCTAAATCGGGTGTGTAGACAAAGCTGAGATATGGGAGACACAGCGTCGTGTTTGTCCAGCACACTGGCTTTGGAAAGCCTGTCGTGCCTGAAGTATGGTAGTACTTGGATCGATAGTCAGCTTCCGTGAGGGTTATGGAGTGGATGAAGAGTAATATAGAAGTATGTGACTTACGACAACAGGGTCATTGGCGACTTCATCGTAGGATTTATCGTAGGGAAAATGAGGAACGCGAGTGGTGTCCACCAAGCTTGCAGTATCTGGGATAGCAATGCATGGCACATTGCAACTACCTCTCAACCCAGAATCTTTAGCCTCTTCAGAGTAAAAGTAGGCCTTGCAGTTGGTAGCCTGCATAAGAGAGAGATGCGCAGTGGTGTCATTGACTGGCGCAGAGAAAAGAATCTATGCGTGCGTAGTGTAAGCAGACTATCCCAGCATTGACGGTACTGGCAAAGTTTCAGTGGAATAACGTACAACTACATGAGTTTTAATGGCAGCGATGAGCATTAAGGAATAGCGCAAGTCTGGAGAGCCAATGTAGAGAATGGTGTCAAACTTGGCCAAGCCATGCTGCGCGATCTGGTCTTTCAGCCACCACGCTAGACGATCGATGGCGTTTTTGAAATCGGCATATGTTAGACTAAGCACATCCCCTTCTTCAAGATGCGGAGGGCTGAGGAACTCGGCAAATGTAAGCTCTGGGTGCTGCGCTGCGAGATGGTCGACCTGTGTGGCAAGGACTCTAACAGGGTGAGACATGATGAAAGACGTGTATAGACGAGCAGTATGAATAAAAAGTCAACAATTAAAAAGAGCAGATAATCTCGAGACAACCGGCGAAGATTAGACAAAAAACGGCTGCGGGGTAGCGTCACATGGGTGATGTGTACGTACATCGAGATGCAGGTCAAGGGACGGAATTAGCCGGCTGGCTAGCTCATGCAGACAATGCAGGGTCGTCCACACACGAAATATGCATAAGGTTGTAGCCGCCCGCGATGGACGGTTTATATCGAGCCAATGACCATCATCCACGTACATGAGATATCAAGTCGGGCCGTAATAGGTATGACGGCTCATTCACCGACAACCGAACCTACAACGGTGGTACTGTGTTCGTACCGGGCTAGGAAACCTGGGCTCGGGCAGGCTGCACGCACATATGCATGCAGGACAATACGTTGAACGTTGAAGGAGGGGAGCCCAAGCGGTGATGCTGCTGATCTGAGATATAAACACGTGAAATCAAGGGAAGAGGGCAACTATGTCACCCATACTACCATTAGACACCCATCAGTCTAGCACAGATACATCTAGAAAGTGTGACTATGATTGAGGAACCGACACAGTTACAAATAATGATGACAGAGGATCTGTATCTTCTCGGTGGTCAATTTGCCATCCTCTGCCAATTTGCCCATCCGGATTTAGCCAAAAGCAGCTATAACCATTCCAGATTCGCCACATGCGTGGCTATTCGGCTCCGTAACACAGTTCGCTTTCTCAATGCCGCCGTATATGGAACACCAGGGGAGAAAACGGCGGTCTTCTCCATCATCCACAAATACCATTCGCGTGTCAAGGGAAATGACTATGACGCCAACAACCCTGAACTCCATAAATGGACAGTGGCGACCTCATTTGCTGGTCTGCTTGTAATCTACGAGACGTTTATTGGGAAGCTCGCGCCACAAGATATGAAGGCACTGTACCACCAGTCCGTCGTGTTTGGGACCTCTTTACAAATGACCCCGGAAATGTAGCCCGCTACGTTGGACGAATTTTGGAAATATTGGCATTATAATCTCGCCACGCTGCCTGTGACAGATGAAGCACGCAAGTTGAGCCAAGATCTGTTGTATCCGATCAATCTTCCACTCTGGATGCAACCACAAGCTCCGATTGCTCGCTTACTACCAGTGCATTTGTTACCGGAGCGCTTGGCGTCGGAGTATAATCTACAACGGACAGTATGGAGCTGGTTACGATTTCGTGTCGTTGTATTGACTATACGGGTTACCTATCTACAGCTTTCTCCGTGGTTTCGCCAATTGATGCACCGGTATTATATGGATGACTTGAAACGGGCCACAACTGAACCTTAGGCCTATATAAGTTACTTAGAGGCCTGGTTCTTGTTTACCCTATTGTATACCTCAACACGCACAATCCAACCACAGTCGCACCCGGGAGTCTTTATATTCATGATAAAAAAATAAAATAAAATAAACGCTCACACAGATCTGCCAATCTCTTTCCATTACCTCTTTTTTCGCCGCAAGTTCGTGTCAAGCATTCTAACTTGCAAAGTTGGTCCACGTGACTGGCAGTTCCGCCAACTGTAAATGTGACTCTTAGCGCTATGGGTGCTCTGTAAATCTCAAATCTCAGCATCACTCACTTGGCGGCGTCAACCTCTCTACAGCACGTTGAGCGCTCCAGATCTCGCCATTAAAGAATGCAACTGGCATAAGACTACTCCAAATAAAATTGAAACATCGGATTAGCAACCACTTAGGTTGATCTAGCGCTGATACAGTAAGGACTATGGTGGAAAGACATGCGGCGAACGCAAGAGCACTGCGCTCTAAAAAAGGATGGTGAGTATTGTAAATAGTACAAAATGATAGAGTTCTAACACGTCTTGAAACAGCCCTGAGTGCAGAGCAAGGAAGATCAAGTGCGATGAAAAGGTTCCGCGATGCACGCCGTGCGTCAAGACACAGCGAGTCTGCCATCTGCAAGATTCAGTCTTTAAACAACACAAATCAACAGGTGATAGCCCGCTGTCCAGTGGCGAAAGCCCAGCATCACAAGGTATTACCGGGAGAAAAGCCGGGTCGTCAGGTTGTATACAGGGAGCTAACTAGTCCTTCAGTGTCAACGCACCAGGCGCAACATACCTCTCCCACCAGGTGGCAGTCCTCTGCTCATCAGTATCCAAAGCTACACGCTGTACCACTACCAACTAGCCAAAATAGTGCGTTTACCCTAACAGTATCTAATGTTATCTGTGCTCACAGCCCGATAGATCCAAGATTAGCGCCCGTGGAGTTGACGGGAAAGGACCTTCGATGCACCCAAGAAGAGCTTTTTCTGCTTCGCCATTACTGCTCCTATTTGGCCCGATGGTAAGCCTACTGCTCCCTTGTTGACAGTCCCTGTAACTGTTTACTAACTTTCTGTAGGATGGACCATCTGTATCGCTTTGAGGTGTTCAGTCGGTCTGTGCTGGTGCTGGCCCGCGAGCACAATATGCTGAGATTTGCCGCTTGCTCCGTTGCCGCGAAGCAACTCAGTCAGGTGAATGGTGAACTTCCCAAAGCTGCATACAGCGACACACAAGAGCGCATTGCTGCCTCAATCAAAAGCGGCCCATATGGCTTCGCTTGGTATAGTGCAAAGTACTACGAGCTGGCCATCCAGACCCTCACACGGTCCATCTCCCGGAGTGATGACCACATCGTCAACCTATCTGATGGCGAGCTCATGATCCATGCAGATCAAGAGGACCCAATTGTGCGATTACTGGGGACCTGCATGTTGATTCAATACGAACATCTGGATGCAAACAGACACGCATGGTCGGGCCATCTCACAGGGTTTTCTAAGTTGCTGGAGCTCATTGACGGTGGAAGAATTCTTCAATCGCACCCTGATTTTGAGCAGGTCTACCCATGGACACGAGACATTATGAGTGTCAAGGCGTGTTTCTGGAACTTTATCGTCAACGACCTCGAAGAGACCTGTAAGTGTACATCAAGCCTCATATTTTAGCAATTTACTAACACAAGTCTAGTCATTTCACGTCGGAGACCGCGCATCGATACAAAGAACCTAGCCCTCTGGCGCAACATGGGCCTCTTTGTCGAAGACGACGGTGCAATCAGCTTGTTATCTGCCCGCCAGGCTCTGATCACCTCAGCCGAGCACGCACAAGAGAAAGTCTTGACGTACACGCTGATATGGTATCTATACAAGCTAATAGACTTGATTGCCGTGCCCGAGACAGCAACCTCTGCCATGACACCGCCGACGACAAACGCGCACGATAGCGAGTTTACTTGGCTAGAGCAGCGATTTGACGAATGGTTTACCCTCCTTACACCGGCCTTTCACCCCGACGGCAAATTCAAGGCAGCCGCCAGCGACGACTCGACGTCCAAGCAACGCGTCTACGAAATGTGGTACTGCCAGGACCTCTCGGCCACGACGATGCTCTACTACAACATGGCGCGGATCCTGCTACTCATCCACCAGCCGCCCAACCGCCTTTTACAATCATCCTCTGACTTGTTGAATGCCTTTCGCGAGGTGGAAAACAAGCTGTACGAGCACGGGTCGGATATCCTCGCCATTGCGCGCGGCACGCTCTGCGATGACGTCAAGTTGCGTGCCATCCAACCCCTCTATGTCGCTGGCCGCTGTTTAAATGATGACTGTGATCGAGGCGCAGTGATTGACTTGCTGGCGAGTATTCAGGCTCGTCTTGGCGTGGCTACAAAGTATAGAGCAGACGATTTGGCGCGTGAATGGGGGACGTCGAGTCAAAACGGCACGCCGCAGAGTTGAGGCTGTTCGAGTATATAGATGTAAAGTAGATATGAAATGCACCTTCTTGTGGATCGATCCGTCTTGCCTGAAAAGGTAGAGTGTAGTAATTGTTTATAGTATAGGCTGACTATACTACAATATATACTAAATTAGCGCTTTGGCCAGTACATACGACCATAGATACAGGAGAATTCGGGATCCCGTCCGCTCTCCCATAGACAAGCCTGTAATCGGCAGATTAGTAGTTGGGTCGGTGACGACCAGCGAACACCGGCTGTTGTATGTATGTTTATTTTTTTGCTCGTAATATTGTGATGTTTGGATAGAGTAGAGTTCATGAGGTTATCAAGGTGGTGGCCCAACAGCGGTTTGGTGTTTAGTTCTAACTCAGCCGCTCAGACGCGCTAAATTACTCTTTGTTTGGTAGGCTTATTTAGCCACCCATTTCCTGCCAATTCCCGACCGTTTACGCAAATTGAGTAAATCGATCAGATACGTTCGGTCGAAAAGTCTATAGTAGTGAAACTATAGAAGATATGCCACAGCACGTGCCACTTGCGCACTCATGAATAATGAGACGAATGGTGCTTGGATAGCCCACAATGAAAATTCTATTTGCGACAAAAAAAATAATTGAAAAGAGAAAATTATTGACAAGTAACTTCCCACTTAGCCAGCAACCATTTTTTAATCACAGTTCGGTATTATCCTGCGCAAATGTAGCTTCCGGTCCCGCGGGTTATTCACTAATTAGTGCATTCCGGAGCGGGAGGCGTTTGAGAGACCAAAAGGGGCTCCTAGACACCACTTGTATGTCTGTGCGGATGGAACGAGAGAGGTGAAGAAGCATGTTGCGTTTCGGGATGCCCTGCGAGGCAACGATACGCTGAGGGACGAGTATGCTGCGCTGAAGAAGAGGCTTGCAGAACAGTATAAGACAGATGTAGATGCGTATTGCGATGCCAAGACGGATTTTATAGAAGTTGTGTTACGATCTGCCAACTAATTCGAGCTGTCTGAAGCGTATGGGCTGAGACGGGCTTATAAAGTGCGAGATCTCAAGATTGATGCGGCGCTGTCGGCCCTTGCCCACGATAATTACTTTATGTTTCACCGCGTGCGGAAGAGCGTGGACGGCCATCGCGCACGGCTGATGGAGTGGGCGGAAAAGGACCTGCGTATTCACACACTGAAGTGCTTGGGCGGTCGTATATGTCTGTTGATTTGGGGTACTTGGAGCAGTCGACGAATGCGCCGTGGGCACAGCTAGCAAGTGATGGTGTGGGATGGGAGTTGAATGATGAAAAGGTGACGATACGGCGGGTGAGGGCCAAATAGACATGGTATTATGATGACTATGATAATTCACGTGTATATATATTTATCAGCCATATTGATTTAGTATCGTTTAGATATCCATCTATTACATTTGCTTTTGTTAGCGTCTTCAGAGGGATTGTTCGCTGTGGCTGGGCAGTGCTGCTGCCTGCCTCGACCACCACCCATACAATATCAGGACCAATCAGGTTGCTAGGATACTCAGATAAAAGCCTTATAATAGAAAAATAATGACTCCTCGGTCAGCAGAGTAGTTACGACAAGGCACCAGGCCTCCTGGTGTCTTGGTAGACATTTCTTCCAAAAAATGGATTTGCAGCCATGCTGCCTCTGCTTTTTCACTTTTGCCAGTTCGAGCCCCGGTCTGTCTTTTCTCTTTTTGTGCACTGCATATATAATTAACCTGTATTTCCCACGTTACTGTCCTTTTCGTGGTATGCAGCACAGGCTTGGCGTATACAGAAGTCACAAAGCATGCATGTCTGGCCTTGTTGTTTTTAAGTTTGCCAGCTCTTCCACAAAGTATAGTCACAATCAAGCAATTAGACTTCCATAATAACACTTCAAGTAGGTTATAATGTGTAATAAATGATATGTCTTTCAGCAGAGTAGCTACATTCAATGATGCAAGTCTTTTGAAGACTTTTCAACCCCCGCAGCTTCGGCTGCGCTCTGCTTCTTCTTTTTTTACCAGTTCGATTCCCTTGGCTTCTTTCCTTTCTTTTTGTTGCTGAAAGACGTACCTAAGTCACATTTCCAATATGTTCTCTTTTCGATTGTAGGAGGCAGCGCTCACTACATAGCCTGGTTTACCAGGATACCACGACCCATTATATCTGCAAGATCAGTCTAATACTTGTAATTAAATATGATGATGTTTTCTACTGCATTCAGTTTAATCTTTATGAATCTGTAGTGTACTGACTTTGTTGTGCTGCTCTGGTGTTGAGTCACTGTTGCCTAGCCTAGCCGTTTTAGGCTCACCGGCACCCCCACAAACTACATCCCACGACACAACCAATCAGGCTCCCAAGTTCCCTCACCGAACAGGTTTTAATGCATAATAAATCGTGCATTTTTCAGCAGAGTAGCTAAGTTTATCTGTTTACTTTGGGTGTAACTCGCAGTTTCGGCTGCCTCTGCTTTTGCCATTCGATCCCCCGAGTCGTCGCTCCTCGTCCTTTTTTTTTGCTGCTCCTCAAGTGATACGTTAATAACTTCATCTCAATACTCCGTTACACTGTAATATCTACAGTGTTCGTATTGGCATGAATAGCTATGAAATATCTACGTCATCCAGCTATTTCTATGCGCGACATGTTGGCTATCTGCTCAACGACAGTGCACCGGCTTCTGCGTGCGTCTCTTTTTGTTATGTATAAGCCAAATACAATGGAGAAAATACTTGATACTGCTAGTATTGCTTAATGTTATGTATATTCGTTTGACTGTTGCTATTCAGTGTCATCCTTTTGAGACCAACGTGTAGACACATCCCGGCCTCAGCCTCACCATCGGGCCTTGAGGCTGCCTAGCGCCGTGAGCAACACAGGACAGCGAATCACATCTTCCATTCCTAGGACTTCTACCCATTATAAGGAATAATAACTCAAGTCTTTACCAGTAGAGTAGCTACAAACAGCTTTTGCGATAGCAGATAGGAGACCCTCCCTGGCTATGTATAAACTGCAGCTCCGGCTGCCTCTACTTTTGTCGTTCGATTCCCCGAGTCGTCACCCTCACCTGTTCTTCTTTTTTATTGTTCGCCGGGTGAGGCTGCTATCATTTCTTTTTATCCTTGTATCATGTGTTTAAATCCACCCTTGAGCATGCTTCATACGGTGACGTGCGTAGAGCCTCAGCCAATGGTCTCTCATGGCCACGCCCTGTCAACCCAGTCGGGGGCATCTTCTATACACCACGGTTTAAACGGTATATCAGCATCCAAGACTCTAACAAGCTCAGGGTCTGGTCTATCTTCAAATAACACCGGCGCCGAAGACACTTGAGTAAGGCTGCCTGACCCAAAATCGTATATCCGATCCTGACAGACCTCTTTCCACGTCCCATCAGGCTGATATTCAACAAATATCTGCGGAATAATTTTCAAATGGCTGTCATCAGGGGTATATCCGTCGCTTTCGTCCCAATACAGTATTTCTTTGCGCGTCTTGTCGATGGCTCCGGGCAGCAGCACCGGGTCGTTGTCGTCATTCTCAAATGCCGAGTCTGTGTAGACGTATACCTTTTTCAGCGCCTCATCGGAGAGATCCACAAGCTTGCATCGTCTTCCAGGCGGCTTGAATCGGTCATAGAATTCTACACCGTGTTCATCGTACGTTGAGCTGGCCACAACAAAAGACAGCTGCTTCTGGCCGGAGTGGACGTCGCGACCATCCGGCCCAGGCACGCGAGATGCCCGCAGCAGCCTATTAAATGCGACATAATAAAAAAAGAAGAATCGTCCTTCAAAAGCAATGAACTTTGCTTTCTTTATGATGTCACACCAGGCGTCCTGCAGCTGTTGGTCCGCGTCTGACTGAGGCCGTATTGAAGGGTTATCTTCATGTTTGTGATGGAGCTTGAGTAGTGGTGCCGACTCGTAACTAATGTAGATCGTGTCATAGTCTGGTATATACAGTCTGAATGGCACGGGGCAGCCTGCAGCCTCTGAGGCTCGAAAGCGAATACCACTGTCTCCATGCTGCACCACGGCGCGTGATTCCTGGCAGATATGCATAGCCATGGGAAATGCAGTGTCTACAGTCAGTGGAAGCTGCGGGTAGCCATTGCGAAATTCGTCTGTATGATAGCCTAGGCTGGTGTTCATCGGCCAGCACAGGCAGACCTCGGGTTCATACTGGACGGTGAGCTTCCAGATGGCGAGCCGGATCTCGCGAGGGAGACTGCTAAATGCGTGGAAGGTTGTGGGCAACATGAATCAATTGAGTGTCTCTTTCTTTACAGGTTCTGAGACGGTCGTGTTTGGTTGAGCATGTGGTGATGGCGTCATGTTAACGAGGTAGACTGGTCCAGAGGAGAGAAGAGGCCGTTGAAAGGGGCCAAAGCCAGCGTAGGGTAGTGTTAGGGTTAGGGTTGATAAACTGCGGCGATACAATGTTGGAAGGTTTGAATTGACGAACCCAAGAGTAGCATCACTTTATGTGAACGTGGCACGCAGGGCCACAAACTGCGAAGCGCCTCTAATTTACTTACCGTAATATAGTGCTGTACGTCCTGTACTGTAGCGGGCGCTGTGTACGCTGTGACCAGCACTTCGATCCGCTGCATCCGCCATTCCCTGGAAGCTGTTTGTTCTGCCCCACCTTTGGCAGTCGTTTGCAGTAGCAAGCACGCCACGCGCCTCACCATCCCATTCCTTCGGTACACGCCACATCCCTTTTGAGCAAGCAGCATGATCATCTTGGTCAAAATATCACTGCAGACACCACTTTGCCCTATTCTTTTGATATAGTATCATGTCATCTCGCCGTACGCAGTTTTCAAGCTGTGATGAGTGCCGCCGTCTACGCGTCCGCTGCGACGCTATGCGCCTAAATCGAACAGCCGGCCTAAGGCATGTCGACGGAGAAATTGGTGGACAGGCGGCTGCACAAAAAGCGTGCACTCGATGCGCTAAGCGCAAGCATGAGTGCTCATTCAATGTATGCCACTACTCTTATCCTTGCCTCATCCATGCGTGTCTTGTCATTGTCTGAGAATTATGCTGCGCTTGATCCTCAGGGCTAATGCTTGCTTCGAGTTTTCAGTGGATGAGAGACGTTACAAGACCCGGAGCACAGAAACAACGACAACGACAGGTAAACCCCAATGCTTCTACAGGTGTAGCAGCAACATGGACACAGCCTGTTCTACCAGTAAGCCCGCTTTCCAGCGTGCCAATCGCCTTGAGACACTATCCAACCGAGACTGTCGTTGTTGAAACCGTTGATGACAACACCTATGGCGATAGCCAACCAGGATCTGCCGAGTCATCAGCCCTCTCTAGTCGCTACCCTCCGCACACGCTATTCGATAGTATCAACTCAGATGTTGTCTCCTGGATCGACGCTCTATTTGCAAACTGTTTTAATAGCCTTTTTGGGTTTTGGATGAGCGTCGATGCTTGCCCTCTTCTGTAAGTTCTGGCAAGTGCCGCCAGGTATCGCCTACGATTTGGCAATGGTCTACCTTTGACAGTGCCAGGTGCTGACTTTTATGTTCTAGATGGAACAGCGATCCAAAAAGCAATGCCAAGAACCATGCTTTGGAACAAACGCAGCTCGATAGGGATATTGACATTGTTCTCATGTTCAGTACGCTGGATCGCTGCGTCGCGCTCGTCACAAATGAAGAACAGAGTGTGTGCTCTTCTCCATACACTTATACATCCCCGGAATCCAATCAGATCATTGATCAGTCCCTCCATGCTGCTATCGCGGCATTCACAGCAAGCTGGTTTCCCGTCATTCTTGACCACGGCCTCGACGTGGACAATACCATCCGCGAGCTATGGCGATTTACTCGTCGTGATACACTGCGCATCATAAATCGCCCATGCTATCGATCCGTGCTCTCCCTCTTTCTCTTTTATCTAACACCAATTCCAGCGAATGTTGGGGAAGATGAGGAAAGGGACGGTATGAGCGGCTCCTGCTGCGCGCTTGCCGCCATCCGCCATCTTGAAAGCCTGCGCTCACTCTGTGGTGGCTTGCAGTTTAGCGGCTCCAAGGTGTTGCATATGCGGCGCTCGATAAGGCAGATTGCTTCCGAACTTGGAATCAGCGACCTTGGTTTTGACTTCATTGGAGCCGAGAGCTCTGCTTACTGGCTTGGCCTTACCATCGACGTGTCCATGTCTCTCACACTGAACTGCCGCTCTGTGCTAACAGACGGCCCTTCTGGGTATAATTCTGAGATGATGTGGCTGCTGATTCAGGGACGTGCCACGGTCTTCCGGCAGACGACCAAATCATGGCTCTCGGACGGGCTCGAACTTTTCGATTTTGATCGAGCTAGGTTTACTCTCTCGACAGCGGTCGCCTGGAAGGGTTTGCTGTGGAAGCTAGTCGCTAACGTGTTAGAAGCCCTACGAACTGCACTTAAAGAGGAAGATATTCTCCAGGTCTTAGAGAGCGCGTTGGACGCCATTCAGCAATACTATGTCACATTCGGCCCTTTGCTAAAGATGTGTCAGGATCGACTACTCTTCCTCCACCAGGAAGTCAAGTTGCAATGGTGTACGTAATGACAAACACGACTATGTCTGGCATTTTAATCGTTATTTAGTTCTGCACTAACTCAGTCTCCGATTAGTCTCCCTGACACTTCACTGCGGTCTTATTGTGCTCAAACTTGCAGATGCCCTGGAATCCAATTCTCGCATCCACATGCTTGATCATTGTAAGTCTATACTCGTCGATGCTGAAAGCTCAACCATGAATGCGCTTGAATTTGGATGCCACACGCACTATACAATTGTTCAAGCTGCACAGCCCGATGCCAGTGACAAGGACGGCGACTCTTCCGAGACATGCCCCAGTATCAACCCTTTTTTAATGAATGTGTACCCGCTCCCACACCATGTTCTTGCTAGCATAGGGCTCATGAAGCGAGCCATCGAAAGAGACATATCGCATGGCACCTTGACGCCAGTAGCTGGCGCCAACTTAAAGTCTGTGCTATGGCAGGCATTGGATCTACTACCTCAGTGCTCAAAGCCAGTAACAGCAAAGCGCAAAGGATGACTTGTGCAGAGAAAATTAGAGCCATAAAGAAAAGCAAAATTCTATCAATACATTATTATGCTACATTTCTATGACGCAGTTCACGGGCTGGCGGCGCAGATATGGATTTCTGACAAGTTGAAAATCAATGTGACTTGCACTAGTGTAAAACAAGCTCTCTCCCATTTAGATAGTCCATCAACCAAGCAAAGCACAGAAAGAATTTGCGCCTCCAAGATCTGACCCAGATGAAGTTACCAGCTCTCCATCCGAGCCACGCTGTGTAGCCTGTATAATTGCGTTCCCCCTGCACGATGCCGTCCTTGCTGCCAGTATATGTCACCATTACACGCCGCTTATAAGAAAAAGATGAGCAGAGATCAGGGTCGGATTTTGCGTCATTGAACATTTGTATAAGATAATCCGCTTTCTGCACAGCTACTTGCGCCGTGGTCGGGAGCGTTCCTCCTTCAATATCAGCGGCATCGCCAAGAGCAAAAGCGTTGGGAATAACGCTGCCTTGTTCGTCGAGCACGCCGAGATGATTGCTTGTTAGTATTCGAACCATGCCCTGCGCCGTCTTTTTGACTCGGAGAGTATCCACAAGCGGCACGGACGTATTTCCCGTTGCCCAGATAAGCATACCGTATCGGATACTTCCATGCTCGCGCGTCTCGATGGCATCTTGGCTCACAGAAGTGATGTGCGAGTTGACCTTGACATCCACCTTGCCCTTGGCGAGAGCCTCGGTGGCATATTTGGCCAGCTGCTTGTCGAAAGGGGCCAGAATTTGCGGCGCGACATCGTGCACGGATATGGACGCTTTACCCGCAAGCTGAGGGTACAAGTTAAGCATTTCACCTGCAAAGATATCGGTGAGTTCAGCAGCCACCTCGATGCCGGTGGGACCGCCGCCCACCACAACAACATGTAGCAGCTGTTGCTGACGAGCGGCAGATGTGCCGGGGAGAGATGCCATCTCAAGCACAGCATTGAGCCTGGAGCGCACAGCATTGGCCCCAGCGACATTCTTGACGAAAAGCGCATATTTAGAAACGCCAGGAATACCAAAGGTATTGATGCGACATCCAGGAGCCAAAACCACGCGATCATATGACACTTCCAACCTTGTTTGCTTGAGCTCCTCAAAGTTTGGCCGACAGATGATCTGGTTTTTCACAAAGTCCACATCTAGCACCTCCGCTTGAATGTATTCTCCGTGAAAGCCTCTGCTTCTGATGGGCTCATGTGCCAGCCGGGGATCAAAGAGGCCACAGGCAGCGCTGGCTAGGAGAGGTGTCAGCGCCAATGTGCTTTCGGGGGAGATGACTATGACTTGAAACTTGGACGTGTCTAGGCCGTATGCCAAACGGTATCCTGCCCAGCCGCTGCCTATAATGACAACTCTCTCTTTGGCAACCATAATGGGGGTTCAAGGTGTCCAAGTACTTGATTTTATTTTTTTCGTTTTTGGACAAGTGGGAAGGAATCACGATAGTCGTTTGGTTGCTTTGAAAGAAAGAACGACATTGGTTTAAAATAAATGGTGGTGATGTGATTACTATGAAAATGCTTATGATCAATTCAGAGCCACGGGAGCAGTTCCTTTATCCGGACATACGGCTAGCGCCGGGCCGGCGGAACCGGTGCGCGGGGCCGATCTGATGCCCGGCTTCCTAACCGACAAGACCGGATCCGTTAAAGCCATCGGAACCGTGGTGGGGTTGCTGGTAGTATTTTGCTGTTGAGCATGCTAGCGTTTCGTTTGCTGCGCCCATATCCTATCTTGGCCAGGACAGACAGGAGAAAGCATGTGAAGACGCCCTTCTTCTTTGTCTTCTTCCTTTTCGTCTTTTTCTTTTAATAAGTAAGCTACGCGGATGCTCTGCCACTACTCTCAACTAAATTACAACCTATCTCATCCCATTCCATCCGTCCCAGCAGAAGCAACACTCAATAAAAAAATGCCAAGCTTAACCGCATTTCTGTTCAAGCAAGGCCTACGCCGAACCGCCCACCCAAACTTTGCGTCATCTGACAGCTTTGATGCAGCTGTCAAGGAAAATCGGGCTACCTGTAGCCACGAGCCGCCGCCTGATGTCAGGAGCAGCGTTAATATCGAGCAGGCACATGTAGGCACCTCCATCGTCTACACTGTGAAGCCCGCCACGGACAATGCAGCTCCCTTTCAGATGCGAATCATGTACATTCATGGTGGGGCGTTTGTCTTTGAGATTGACGAGCTGCATTGGCGGCTGATAGCGACGCTTTGCCAGCGACTTAACGCCTCCATCACTGTGCCCATCTATCCTCTGGCCCCTGAGCACCACGTCACCGACATGTACGGTATGCTGGAGCCAATCTACAGCGATATGGCGTCTTCTTATTCTTCTTTCCCTTCTTCTGCCTCTGATTCTTCCTCGCCGCCAACGCCGTTCTACGTGGCGGGCGACTCAGCTGGAGGCGGCCTAGCGCTGGGGCTAACGCAGCAGGCGCTATTGGAACAAAGGCCCGTGGCCAAGGGCATGGTGCTCATTTGTCCCTCAGTCGACACGACGCTTGCCAACCCAGACGTGCACGTTAAGACCAAGACGGACCCGTACCTCGACATGCCCGGGTTAGCGCACGCTCTCAACATGGCCATGGGCACCATGGACCGGCGTAACCACTTGGTCAGCCCTACATTCGGGCCCATCTTCGGCCTACCGCCAATGCTAGTCTTCATTGCCGAGGAGGACATCTTGGGCCCGGATGATGAAATTTTTGTCCAAAAGGCAATCGACGAGGGCTGCCAAGTGGAACTGTTTCGTGGGCCGGGTATGTGGCACGTCTGGGTGGCCATGCCGATTCCAGAGGCAAAACCCGCGATGGACAAGATTGTGTCGTGGCTCCAATGCAACAGTCAGGTGCATTTGACAGAATGGAAATAGATGACCACTTTTGTTTGCAATATCGAGCAAGTGGAGTAGCTAGGAGTGCCGTATCGTACATAGACGAGGAACTGAAGTAGAAAGCCAGAGATAGTGGTCAAGAGTCGAGCCGATTACGAGTCGGACGCTTTAACTAGTGGAATAGAACAAAATATACGCTTCGGGATGCATATTCTCCGGTACGGAAGCAAAACATGCCTGTTCATCAGTATATTCATCGGATCCGACAGTGCAAGAAAACGTTGTCTAAAAAGTCACGCAACATTCAAATGACATCGTTGAATGATAACAATACAGACGCATTAGGAAGTGTTTGTGCCCTTTTATACAAGGTGTTCACGGGCTCACTAATTTTACTATAAGATGGTGGGCACGCCGCGGATAAGTCTCTGTGCGTTTTCTTTTGTTTACTCGTAATCAGTCTCCTTTCGCTTGGCTCTAACACGATTCATCAGCCCAAGTAATACTATCTCTCAACGTTCTTTTTACTGTTGCTCCAGCATCCGATTTCACAAGACACCATGACGTTTCAGCTTCCCGCCACCACCAACAGAACGGTAGCAGTGCTCGGCGGTGGCGTGCTGGGAAGGCGAATCGCCTGCTCATGGGCAGCGAGCGGCTTCGACGTTGCCGTGTTTGACCCTGACTCAGAGCAGAGGATTGCAACTGTTCACTACTGCCAAGCCAACGCGGTGCAGTTTTCCGACGTGAAGCAGCGCGGGTCCGTGGAAGCGTTCCAAGATGTCCAAGACGCAGTGAGCAGGGCGTGGCTCGTCATTGAGGCCATCCCTGAGCGGTTGGCCCTTAAGATTAGCACGTTCCAACAGCTCGAGGTTATGGCGCCAAAGGATGCCATTCTCGCGACCAACTCGTCCTCTTTCAAGTCGCGAGAGATGGTCTCTGACCTGCAGCCAAGCACCAAACAGCGGGTGCTCAACATGCACTACTATATGCCGCCGCGCAATCGTGTTGTTGAGCTCATGACGGACGGCAACACGGACAAGACCATTTTCCCCTTTCTTCAGCGGAAGCTGGGTGAAACAGGCATGCGCGCGTACGTGGCTCGCAAAGAGTCGACGGGTCTCATCTTCAACCGGCTGTGGGCTGCCATTAAAAGAGAGATCCTGACCATTTTGGCTGAGGGCGTGTCGGTTCCTGAAGAGATTGACGAGCTGTGGCAGCAAATATGGGTCGAAAACGTATCTGGGCCCGTGGCCATGATGGATGCCGTCGGGCTCGACACTGTGTCCTTCATTGAGCAGCACTACATTGCTGAGCGTCAGCTGTCCGATCTCCCCGTGCGGTACCTGCAACAGTACATTGATGAGGGTAAGCTGGGCGCCAAGTCCAGCAAGGGCGGGCTGCTACCTGCTGGCAAGACGACCAAGACCAGCGCCAAGTTGCGCGGCGATCACGACAACCTCCACGCGCCGTTGCTATACTTTTTGGACATTGGGCTCCGCGCACCAGACATCCAAGACGCCTTTTCATCAGGCCGCATCCTGACAGGTGCGTCGGACGGCAGAGCCATGCGGGTACTCGTCGACCACCAGAGGACGCCTGATGGCCTTGCGGTATCGCTAGCCGTAGGTAAGCTCTTCTGGACGAGCATGGGAGTGCCTGCGGAAAACGACGGCGCCGTGCTCAGTGCCAACCTAGACGGCTCCGATGTGCAGGAGATTGTTCCCCGCGGGCATGTGCATACGCCCAAGCAAATTTGCATCGATCATGAGAGCAAGACGCTCTACTTTTGTGACCGCGAAGGCCTGCGTGTGATGCGCTGCGGCTTTGACGGGTCTGGGCTGGAGACCATCATCCGTACTGGCCGTTGGAAGGAGGACGTCGACGCCGTAGAGGACCAGACCAACTGGTGCGTGGGAATTGCTGTCGACCTGGCCCAGCGTAACTTTTACTGGACGCAAAAAGGCCCTTCTAAGGGCAACATGGGTCGTATTCTGCGCGCTAGCCTGGACATGCCTGCCGGTCAGACGTGCGACAGCCGGTCCGATATCGAGGTCCTGTTCCGCGGCCTGCCTGAGCCCGTAGACTTGGAGCTGGACCCTGCTGAGAGAGTGCTCTACTGGACCGACCGAGGAGAGCATCCAGTGGGAAACAGCATCAACAGCGCCAGCCTGTCGGGCATCCAGCCTGTCAGAGCAGAGAACAGTGTGCCGGGAGTACATTACAAGATCTTGGCGCGAAACTTCCACGAGGCTATCGGCATAAAGCTCGATACGCGAAACAGGCACATTTATGCGACTGACCTGGGTGGCTCCGTCTACCGCTTCGACCTCAACGGTGGCGATCGCCAGCGTTTCTATGAAGAGCAGGGTGCATTTACCGGCCTCACTCTGGCGTTTGTCTAGCCTCTTCGGTGATACAATCACGGCCAAAAAAGAAGAAAAATCATGACAATGGTGGAGGTCGAGGTGAAGCAAAGGCCAGCAATAGAAGCATGAGGCAGCAGTAGAATTTATAGTGTGATGGTGCTACACCTTGGCTCTTTACTTGCCAAGAACTCCAATCTAACATATTCACTTAGAATATAAATATTTTTTTGTCTGCTTAGACTATACCCTTTTGTCTGCTTAGACATTATTGGTAAAAACAGAACGAGCCGTACATGTAACTATACCCATGCTCTCTCCGTTAAATTACAGAGTTGACAACATGTATATAGAATATGGATAGTGTAGCGTTGTTCAAGACCTCCGCATTCCTTCCTACTTGCTCACATTGAGCCTTGCGTCGACATAAGAATAGTAACGGCTACAGTAGATGGGTATCGTCTTTTGCGCTTATCGCAAGTGGAACAGATGCTTTTGCTGCTGCTGCTAGCGAAGGAAGGAGTTAGGCTGAGGCGCTTCAAGCATAGCAGGTCTTTCCAGGGAGAATTGGAAGCAGGGGATTCATGATGTACCTCATCGATAGTAGTAAAGCGCAGGAAGATAAAAAAAGATACGATTGGTTCCGAGGTGGTAACTTGGTGTCGTGGTCCGCGGAAGTAGTCGCACGCAGCGCCGGTTCCCGACAGTAGATAAGGTACACAGCCCAGTCCCCGCGGGCGGCAGTGCATTCCGTAGGCAAATTAATATCAATAACCAGGGAGGGAGCTTGTGCTGCGCTGTAATGGAGAGGCGCTACCGTATGCTAGGTAGCTTACCGATCGGTTCCGATCAACCAACGGATCCGTGATGGCAACAAGAGCGGCGCTAGTAAACCTAATCGGTTCGATTCAGCCTCCAATGGGGGCGAAGTGACGAAATGATGCAACGCGTGGCAGTGCCAAATTTGGTCGGCAATTATTGTCGTCCGATGGCAATGACGGCAGCGGCGTGTTCTGGTAAGCTTTCTAACTTCCGGCGCTGGTTGCAGGTGGTACGCTTGACAGGGTAACAAACAGGTCTATTCTATATTTGTGATTCAACATGTGAGTACCCTTGGCATGAGACTACAGCCATAAGTCACTGGTACTGTCTATATAAGCGTGCTTTCCCTCTTTCTTTTCCACGAGTACTATAGATGTTGACAACACTAGTGAAACGCGACAGATTTTCTATCCATCTACCTGCAATCAAAACTCTTCTTGTCGAAATGAAAACAGTGCAGATGCGGAAACTACTGGCTGTATTGTTGGCTGCTTTGCCAGCATGCATAACTGCATCTCAAGCTCGTCACAACACTGACCTGCCTATCGTTGACTTGGGTTATGAGCTTCATCAGGCGTTGTCATTCAACGATACAGGCGACTTCTATACCTTTGCTGACGTTCGATTTGCCGCACCGCCACTTGGAAACCTTCGTTTCGCAAAACCCGAACTGCCAGCCATCAGCCGCTCTCACGTGCAACAGGGTGGTCAACGTTATAGCTGCCCGCAAGCGAGCCCTAAATGGGGCGACGACGCCCTTGGTGTCATCCAGCGCATACCCCATGGTGCAGAGCTCATCAAGGCCTTCTCGACATACGATGGCTTCTCGACCAATGCTACATATACTGAAGACTGTCTCTTTCTGGACGTTATGGTGCCCCGAGCAGTGCTTGAGCGTGCCGGGCAAGGCTACGGTGCTCCCGTTATGGTGTGGATTTTCGGTGGTGGTATGTTTTTCCTTTAACACTTTGTGAATCCATCAAGCTCATGCAAATGCTCCAGGATACGTAATGGGTTCTAAAACGCAGTGGGGAAGCCCGGCAGGGCTGTTAAAGTCAAGTCAAGCTCAAGGCTCTGACGGCATGATTGTAAGTTATCCACGGCACGGACCACCTGCCTCGCTCTCTCTCTCTCTATTTCTTTCTTTCTTCTTTTCTTTTCGTTTTCTCTTAAACACAGCTAATAATGGCGCTGCGTATAGTTTGTTGCTATCAACTATCGGCTGGGAGCATTTGGCTGGCTTAGCGGCCCTTCTCTCCAAGAGAATGGAACCGCCAACGCCGGCCTGTATGACCAGCGCCTGGCGCTCGAATGGGTGCAGACTCACATTAGCAAGTTTGGAGGCGACCCAAACCGCGTTACAGTCACGGGCGAGTCTGCTGGAGGTGCCTCTACCATGTATCAGATGGCAGCGTTTGGCGGCGCGAGAGGTCCTGCTCCGTTCGCCCAGGCCGTCCCGCAGTCCCCCGGCGTCATTCCCAATGTATCTCCCCACGCGCAGGAGGTCGCAGCGCGTAGTTTTCTCGACCGACTCAATGTCTCTACCATTCAAGAAGCCCGGGGCCTCTCCACTGACATGCTCCAGTTAGCCAACAAGAATGTGGTGGGCGAGCATTCAGCCTATGGCACTTTTACGTTTGGTCCTGTCATCGATGGCGAGTTTGCTCCAGGCCTGCTGCCCCAGCTGTTCCGCAACGGACAGTTTGACAAGACGGTTGTCGTAATGGCTGGCCAAAACTCAAACGAAGGAATCTACTTTACGCCGTCATCTGCGGCACAGGTCTCGGGCTTTCAAAACTATGCGCTTGACCTGTTCCCTGTAATGCGAGCTTCCAACGATACAGTAGAGCACGTCTTCCGCCAGCTGTACCCACCAGAGCTGGCCACTACTGTCTCCAATAAGGCGTTGGCCAACTTGGAAGCCGTCGATGGCAACTTCAGCACCTCCATTGCCCCGGCCGCGTGGCTCGCAAGTGATGCCTTTATCGGCGTCAACAGGCTATCCATTCACAGGGCCCTCAACAACACCTATGCCTATCTCTTCGCCATGGGCCTGGGAATACACGGCCAAGATGTTCCCTATACTTTCTTCAACGGCGAGTCACCGGTAACCGACGCTACTACTGCCTTGACCTTGCAACGATACATTACCAATTTTGTCATATCGGGTTCACCAAACGGGCCAGATGTGCCCCATCTTGCCTCGTATGGAAGCAACCACTCGATGCTGTCCTTTACCGACGTTGGTATTCATACCATCACAGATCCTTTCGCCAACGATCGTACCGAGTGGTGGTTGCGTGGTGTCTTCTATTAAAGTTAGACCAAAGGGATATGGTGCAACTATAATACTATCGAAATACGGCTACCAAAAAGAAAACAGGGCAATCTAGCTTTAAGCATATGGGCAAGACGGCGAGGATGTATAAAGGTGTTGCCAAGTGAATCTTAATACCTTAGATAGATAATTAACTACTAACTTTCTATTCTTTAGTGATACTTATATATTATTGTTAAATTTAGTTATAGCGAATTTTATTACACTATAATCTATCAAAATTACATAGCTAGACAGTGTTACCGACTAGCCCTGGCCAGTTGGCGGGAGGGCGTCTCAAGATATTGACTGATTCTCTTAAAGAGTATTTTGGGGACTTTCCGTTTCCAGGAAGGTTTATATAGGGCCCCTGAATAGAGCTAATAGGTATTCTGTTTGTTTATAGATGATATACTGCACACACCTTGATTCGCGAATAGCGTGGATTCGTGGATGGCGTGGAACATATATTAACGTCTATATAGCGCTACAGAGTGGCACCTTTGTACGTACCACATTCATAACACTACTGAACCTACTATAACAAGAACACTAAGTCCACTATAAAGTAAAAAAAGCACTCAAGAAATTTACCGCAAAAATATACAACGTGGTTCACGGGCGAGTGGGCCACCTTACTCGACCTTCGTGTGTAAAACCATATACAACATGACTAAATAATACGTAGAATAAAAACTCTAATCTGAACTATCTGAAGAAATGGCTTCCACTTCATTTTCACATGTTCTGGAATTATGTCATATTTCGCCGCATTTTCCACAGCGTCTGCGCCGTGTTTCCACCCGCTTCCGTCGACCTGTACTTTCAACTTCATCGCGTTCTCTTTTTACCCTAGAAAGGGTTTGAGAGAATAGATTTTTGCCAAAGTCTACTATAAGTGTTCCTCCACTTTGTAGTTGTCTTTTTGTGATGCGTTTTCGGCGTGAAAGTCGGTTATTAGCCTCTCGTAGCATGCGGTTTTCATCTTCTAAGAGAGCATTCTTCCGCATCATACTAGTCGTACATTTCGCAATTTGATTCAAATGTTCGATAATTTCAGTTGATGAGCTACTTCTATGGCTTCGGATTCTGTTTTCAATATATTCTGTTTGCGATAGAGCTTCGGTTGCGTTGCTAGGTGTTTTAGGAAGCCAGGGTAGCTCGAGCCCATCCGATGACCTAGGAGGTGAAGGTGTCGAGAACTTCACATCCAGTTGTGAAATGACATATTCTGGATTGAATGGAGCAAGCCCAGCTCCTTTAAAATCTCCACGAATATTTGATTCAGTCATGACAGTCTTGTGTGCTGTGTAAAGTGCTGGGAAGAAATCTTCCTTGGTAATATGGGTGACGTGCGCGCGTGTAAGATCGCTAATAGCATCACCGTATACTCGCTTGAGTCGTCGAAAACAGGCAACATCTAGCGGCTGAAGTTTATGACATGAATGAGCTGGCATGCATAATGTAATAATGTTGTTTTGCGTGCAGTATGCTTGGAAATCGAAGGATTGGTGGCTTTTGTGTCCGTCGAGTATTAGAAGTCGGTTTCTCGATTTTTTTCTAATACATGTATGTTTGTTGAAATGTTACAGCCATTCTAAGCTCTCCTAATTTGTAGTCCAACCGTTTTCAGTAATACTAATCGCCCAATTGTTGGGTAATAGGCTGTTTTCGTACCGGGATGAGAGGTAGGTTTTGCCAGCAATAATCACAAAAGGTGGAATCACGTAGCCATCTGCGCTGATGCATTCAATCAAAGTCGCCCATTGTTTATTCCCCTGCTGTGCTTTGCGCCCCTTTTGAGACCTTTCTGAGCTTGTTATAACTATTTCTGATGAAATCACGCTTATTGCAAAGCCGGTCTCGTCAAAGTTATAAATATCCGCTTCGTGTATACCATGTTTCGCGATTGTGTTCTTCACAGGCTCAAAACAGGCTCGATATTTATCTGGATCTTCGTATTGGACTCTTTGATAGTCGATTTGACGTGATAAACGCGTGACGACTTCGGGGTGTCGTTTGATGAAGCTTGCAACCTAGTTCCGTCCAACTGGAATGTCGTGACGTAGCTCCAATAAGCGATTCGCCATAGCTTCAACGTCACGCAAGCGAGGAGGCTGAGCTCGAGAATCTAGATCAAGAATATATTCAATTATAGTATTTTCTTCTTCATCTGACAAATTTCGGCAATTTGGAGTCGTATCGGCTCGACTAGGAAATTTGTTGCGTCGGCGGCGGATTGTACGATTGGAGACGTAGATTCGAGCAGCTTCTCGAATAGATAATTTTGGATCTTGCTCTAATGCTTGTAGAGCTGAAATAGCATCGGCTTTATTTAAGGCCTTTCCCATTATTGCTGGTTGTGGAATTACGGGTTGAAGTTGATCAATTAAAGAATGACGCGAAGTGCAGCGCTCGCCCGTGAACCACGTTAAGTTATACATTTTTGTAATAAAGTTCGTGAGTGCTTTTTTACTTTATAGTGAGCGTACTTAGTGGATTTAGCGGTCTTGCTATAGTAGCTTTAGTAGTACTATGGTTGAATTTGAAATTTATTTGCATGATTTTTCAGCGTGGTACTAAGGTGCCACCGTATAGCCCGCCCACTTTATCAACTATGCCTTTCTCTCACCTACATCAACACCACCATCCGGAAATTTGCTATTGCAAATCCTTAGAGCGAAAAAAATGGCAGCCACTGGGATCACATTCGAGTCCCTTCCTCGCGAAATTCACGCTCTGGTTCAGTCAAGCCTACCGCCTGTCGATGTAAAGAGTACGCGCCTCGCATCGACTGCTTGCAGCCGTGCGTATCGACTACACTGTCAAAGGGTCTATCTGTCGGCCAGCTCGCGCGATATTACTGTGCTGCGTGCCATTGCTGACAGCCCGTCGTATCGCAACGATGTTGAGGAGCTCGTGTGGGATGACGCTCGCCTTGTGACGAAGCCGCGGCGATTCGACCCATATTCCAACGATGATGACGACGATGACTCTGACGATGAAGCTGCTGACGGCACTTGCCCTGGATGGTTTCGAAGAGGCTGCGAGCGCAGCATCCAGGACCTCAAAGATACGCCTTGCCGGGACGGCCCTTTACCGCAACATGTGCGCAAGCGCACCCTTCTACGCGCCGCGTGGGATTTGGACCAGTGTTGGGAATTTTATAAAGCATTGCTTGTGGATCAGGAGCAAGTGCTCCAGTCTGGCTCCGACATTGAGGCACTTCGATACGCACTGCAGCATTTTCCATCCCTGCGAACAATCACCATTACCCCGACGGCGCATGGTAAGCTCTTCATGCCTGCATACCAGACACCAAAGATACGCAGCTTCCCAGAGAATCTCATCTACCCCATCCCATACGCATGGCCGTACTGCGATCCTGGCAACAATCAACCAGAGGTCCAGCCTTGGAATGGCAACGACGGCATCTGGAGTGGCTATAGCAAAATACTCCAGACGTTAGAGGATTGCAAAAATAACATTACCGATTTCATCGTGGATACACACGGATTTGATACCGGCATCAACTGCTATGCGGTCTGCGACGAGAGCTCTGTGCAGGCCAATTTAGCCAAGTTGTGCGCCAGACAGGGCTTCCGTCGCCTTGACCTAGCCCTATTTGTCAACGGCCTTGAACATGACGGCTTTATGCCGCTTCGCTCAGGAAAATTATATTCTACTCTATCGGCTGCTAAAGATATTGAGCACTTCCACTTCTCTACGAGTCTTGAGATGGATATGTCTGGCGAGGCAGCCCAGCTAGACGAGGATGACGAGGACATGGACGAGCACCATTTACCCCTGAGATCGCTCTTCCCGGTGGACACGTGGTCAAATCTGCGTTTCTTCGGGATTACCAAGTTCCTAGTCCTTACGTCTGACCTGGTGGACTTGCTTGGCGTGCTGCCGCAGTCCGTAGCACGGGTCGAGCTCAACTTTCTCATGTTTTTACAGAGAGGCACATACGGAGACCTCCTCGAGCAGATGCGCCAGCGTCTCGACTGGGCCAACCGTGCGCTTGACGCACGACCTCGTGTCGTCATCTCGGTGCCGCCAGACGCAAACGACAGGCCAACGCTAGTAGTCACTGTAGACAACCAGGTCAACGCCTTCCTCTACCAGAATGGGCCCAACCCGTTCTTCAGCAGCGACATGGGGGTCATGGCAAACTATGCCGAGCACGGCGTGGGTGCAGTTGAATGGGACTGGCTCGACCCGGAGCATCGTAGGCCATATGCAGACGACGAAACGCAGCAAGAGCAGGGATATTACGGCTATATGGATTGGGACGAATAGCAATAGCTAATATGGATTGTCTTACTAATTATGTTCATCTTTGCCCTGGTGAGACGCTTGTTCTCGTAAGAGTCTTATCATATCTAGATTCGAGTCGCATCGAGGTTGTTGCAAGTGAGAGGAAGCTTTAGCTGGCGCCTGTTTATAATGAGCGCCAGCCACTTGGGGGCCCAGTTGATATTGAAAGGCGACCTATGGCCAGGGGTAATAGTTGTTAGCAAAGGATAAATGTTGACAAAGAGTACAGTAAATGTGATTGCATACCTTCTTCGACTGTAGAGCACGTCAAAATGTGCCTGCGTTCGCAGTGAGGCGGAATCAAGTACTATACGAATGTATTCCTTCCATTCAGCCTGAAGCGGCGGCACCGTAAGTCCCTGGCCGTTGGCAAGATACCAGGCGTCAAACTTGCCAAAGAGATCATACAGCGCCTCATAGGTATCGCAGAACTTTTCCCAGACGGTGGGATCATTCATGTAGTTGAAAACAACACCTATGATAGGATCAGCGTATTAGCATCACGAAAAGAATACAGGTGCCGGTGGAACTAACCAATTTCCTTAAGATTCTGGAGCTGCTGGTCATCGTTCATCTTTTCAAACTTGTCAGGGTCGATAATTTGGGTGCCAGTGAAGATCTAAGTTCCTTGTTAGCTACATGGTTACTGGTGGAGGGATAATGTATCTTGGCTCAACTTACTCGACCCTTCTTGCCGTTTGGCCTGGATTGCATTATAGTCAGACGATCTTGGTGCTTGATGTTGCCGAGCTCATCGAGGAGCATGTACATGAAGTTGCTGGGCCTACCATTAATCACCCAAGGTGAAGCCTTCGGCACGGCCTCAATGTATTGCTTGGTCCACAAGCAAGGAATTTTGGGACCAGTAACTCCAGCAGGCACAGGAAGCTGGTTTCGAATACGGCCTTTGTCAAGCCACTCGTCAAAGAAATCACCAATCAGCTGTCCCTCGAAAACATGCTCCGTTTGGTAGTCGGCGCGTACCCAACCGCCAGACGTAAAGCCGGTGCGGGGAATGTACGTCTTGTCATGACTAGGAAGGCCACTTGCACCCCAATTGGTGCAGGAAGCAGAGGAATTGCCCCAATACTTGGAGATGGTGTCCCATCTACCATTTTCAATGCCGTCCCAAGGCCAACCAGGGTTCTTGGGGAATGCTGGATAACGAGCGTTCTTCTTGGGTCTGTATGTCGCGCCACAGACTTTAACTACTTTGGGGGATAGCGTTGCCTCTCCTATGCCGCGCCTGTCAAATTCATTCTCGTCGAGCGCGTCATTGTCATCGTCCACATCTTCACCTCCGCCAATCGAATCGCGGCGACTGTGCGCTCCTGTGGCGATGAAGCTGCGCCATTCGGCAACTCCCATGTAAGAGCACAAGGGACAGTCGGCCATATCGGATTCGGCATATGTCCAGGCCAGGTTGGCGCAACCACAGCACGGCGGTCTGTTCTCAATATCTATTTCGACACCAAGACAGCCAGAGTCACCATAGCCCATGTTGGTTGGCCGATGTTTGAGGAATACTTGTCTGTCAATGTCTTCCTTAATAAAGAAGCCAAAGTCAGGTGTCGCGTCATCCGGAAGTCCCCAACCAGGGAGGAGACTGACATGCTGTCGCTCCATCAGGGTGTGAAGCTGCTCAGGCACAACGTCCAAAGCAGTATCTGGCTCAGGAATGCGAGAATCCGTAGAGATGTTTCCTTGAAAGTCGGCCGGCGTCATCGGCTCGGCGCGTCTGAGAGGCATACTAGCCCAGCACTTCTGTGCCGCCGTAGGTGCTTGCTACGAAAGCGAGTTAGTTTTATGCTAGCATTAAAATCATTGATCACCTACACTGGCCGCTGCGAATTCGTGCATTGTGAAATCATCATCGCTGGTGTGCCAGCCAATTCTGTTTCTGTACAGTGCAAGTGTCAAATTAGCGTTATAGGTACGAAGATATTAGTGTATCATAGGATAAGACTAGCTTACCCGTGAATTTGGTGTTGTTGGACAAAGGTACTAGTGACATTTTGTTAGAATACGTCACAAGCATGTTGCGCAATGTAGGGGTACACATACGTTGTCCAATAGTTAGCACATGATGATGTGCCTCCCTTCTTCTCTGGGCCGAAGGCTAGCACGGTTCCGACGTCATATTGGAGTTCCATCTAATAATGTTAGTATATATGTTAGCGCTATATTTTGTATGCGCAGTGAAAGAATACGTACCCTAGGACTGTTCTTTTCAATGTGTACGCGGTCATCGAAGAGGCTGTAGTCCACTTGAAGGCCGAACGTGAGAGCGGTATCGATGGAAATAATACCACCGCTTCCAGGAGTGTCATAGAGAATGTCGTCCTTGCCTGGCTCAAACTGTGACTTGGGGAATGTGTCTTGCTGGTCATCGAATTTGAGCTTCTCGTCAATGGGGAAGTTGGCGCGGACGCCGCTAAAGTCAACGACGTTACGCGCCGACATTCTGCCATTAAAATCAACAGTACCACTGTAGTATACGTCGGGATCGTTGGGCTTGGTGACGATGGACGTCTTGGTGGAGTAGTACGGCTGGAAGGAGACAAAGCCCACCACGCCCTGCGCAGTGAGGAGATGACCATCCTGATGGATGACATTGCCTTCTGAGAAGGGCGTCACAAGATTAAGCTCGCCTATTCCGGCTACATTTGCTGTAATGTCCGCCGTTCCCCTGACTTTGACAAATCCGTGGGACTGCTTGACATCAAAGTGGCCGCGCGAGTCTACGACAGCCTATAGAGAAGTTAACAACCTGCAACCGTGTCGAATATAAAGAGAGAGCCGTAGTGCATGGAGACTTACAATCATACTAAACCCGTAGAAGAAATTGACATCCATGTCACCGCGTACCCAAGCGGCGATACCTTCGGTGAATTCAGAACCAGCCACGGGGCAATTGTCAGCAGTTTTGAAAAAGAGCGGCTCGGATAGGCTCTTCTTAACCTTTGAGGAGTCGTCTCTCTCAAACGTGACTCCAGAACCGTGTTCTTTTTGGTATAGCTCATCCCAGTTTATATTTTCAGGCGAGAAGAATCTGTTCTTGAGATTGTGGTTGCCAATGTCGCGCGCCTGGATTCCAGGGGAATCAACTGCTTCCTTCCAGTAGCCTCGAACGTTGGAATAATCCATGCGAACACTGGTGTTGTTGGAATCACGACGCATCAAGCCCATGTTGAAATCAAATGTAAAGTCCAGTATCTCCGAGTAGAGTGATTTCTCACCAAGTTCAGCAGGCAATGTTTGGTCTATCACATCTATTAGTGTTTGTTGACATTTTGGGTGATAGATATGGTTGGCAACGATGTGCTAGATACGTACCCTTGGATGTCTTCAGAGAGATGGCACGAGCAATTTTGTTTGCTCCACACTGGAATCACAGTTAGATATGAAAAAGCAGTTTAGTCCCCAAGTCTTATACTCACATTGTCGGGCATCTCAACGAGGGTGCCCTCAACACCACGTTCCATCAAGGCAAAGCAACCCTCGAGGTCATCAGTGAGACAGGCTACACGAGCCGTATACTGTTGCTCGCGATCATCAGGGAACATTTGGGTTGGACAATTAATAAAAGCAAATGGTTCTGGCTCCCCAGTGCGCTTTCGCAAAGAAGTGATGACATGAGAGTCGCCCGCAACAAGGACGAAGCCAAAGGAGGACGATGCTGGGTCCATGATGCTACCGCCAAACGTTGACAGGCCATAGTTTGTCTTGGCGCCCTTTGGTGGCAGGATTTCTGCTGGGAAGAGTTTGTCCAGGTCAACAAGCGTGAACGGGGCGTTGATTCCTCCGACCAAGGACGGATCGGACACGGCGCGCATAGCACTTAGCTGGGAATCGTCCAAATCCACAGCCCAAATCATCAGACCGGAAAGCCCGCGCTTGTTCGCAAAGTCGATCTTGGCTTTGATGGTAACCTGATCGTCAAATGATATCCAGCTACCATTGCCATAGACCAGGTACCTAGCCGCTGCCTGCTCGTCCAGGTAGGACTCGGCACCTGTCTGCTCCAAGATGGTACGGATTTCACGAAATGATAGAATACCTGGTGTGCCAGTGCAGGGACCGGCATCACCGGGTCCATCGAACAAGCATCCCGGCTTCCAGCAAGATGGCGAAGTAAGGTGAAACGAACGGCCGTAAAAGCCCAAACCAAGCACGATGTCCTGGGGTTTGATATCTACTCGCCAAAACAAGTCCAGAGCCAGGTCGATTTCGGTTAAGTTTGTATGTGCCAAAACATGGTTTCCGATAGGGTTGCTGCTGTCCCAAAGACCGTGCAAGTCGTAGGACATGAGGTTGATCCAGTCAACATGAGGCACCATGCCGGGCAGGTCGAAATGGCGTAGGTACCAGTACGATGTAGGCGCAGTAAAGGTGACGAGAAAGTCACGACCGCTAGCCTTGATAGCTGCACGGAGCTCCTCGAGTAGTAAGCTGTAGTTTTTGGCATCATCTTTGGAGCCACCACGGTCGTCAGCGCCAGGATACTCCCAGTCAAAGTCCACGCCATCGTAGCCAAACTCTACAAGAAAGCTCAGCAGATTGTTGATAAAAGTAGCACGGTTCTCTTTGGAAGAAACCATAGTAGGGAAGACACTTTGCCAGGGTCCAGGGTCACTAAATGTCCAGCCACCAAGCGCAATCATAATCTTCAACGCAGGGTTACGAGCCTTGATCTCGCCAACAACACGGTAGACATCCGTGGAAAGCCCATCCATGTTGGTAATATGGAAGCCATGGTCAATATAACCAAAGGCAATGTTGAGATGCGTGAGGTAGTTGACGGGGATTTCGCCAGGAGACATGGTACCACATGGATGCTGCGAGTTCCATGCTTCCCAGTAACCAACGACACGCTTCTGAACATTCGAAGGCGAAACGGATGGCTTTGGCTGTGGGCAGTTGGACTGGCACCCGCCGCTGCAGAAATCTTGTGTTGTGCCACAAAAGCCAAATTCAGAGCAGCAAACGTTGAGCGGACAAGTTGATCCAGGGACAGCGGCATACTGACCACACTCTGCCTTGGCGTCGCAGTTTGACTGGCAGCCGGTGCCGCAATACTTGGGGCTGTAGCCGCACCATCCGCTCTCGCCACAGCAGGCACCGTTCCTGCAAGGACGGTTCGGGCCGCACGAGTGGTCGTCAATGTCGTTGCCTAGAGCTTTGGGTGGCTCTGCCTCGTTGGCAGCGCGAGGAGCTACTAAAGGCAGAAAGGCGTCTGATATGGAGATCTGGGGCGACGGTAGCACGGAGGATGCATGTGCCAGTACTGTGAAAGGGAAGGGACTCAGGAGCGATAGTAAGAGAAGCGCAGCCCGAGGTCGTGCCGACAAAGACTGATAATGTTTGGCCATTGTCGGTGGACGAATACAAGTGAGTGTAAGCCAAATGATGGCAAGGAATGTAAATGAAAGACACCAAGTGAAGAAAGGTAGAGAAGGAAATTGTTAAAGAGAGTGTGGTAGCGCAAAGGCATTGGCCAAATTTGCGAGCATAGAAGAGGAGTCGGCATTGGCACGCTCATATGGATGTGCAGCACATCAGAGTCTTATTGAGACTCCAACAACGTTTAATATCATGCCTCGCGCGCGGGACCATCACTAGTTCGTTGCAAGCTGTACCAATGCCCACCACAAGTATATACTTGTACACGAAATGTATCTAATTTTGCCACTACGCCCACTTATCACAACTCCCCGAAGCACTACGCTGCTTTGTTTGTGAAAATCTTTACTCCCTGGTAGTTGGGTGCTTGCCGCGGCTAGAAAGCGGAGCGACGGCTAACGATATGGCAGGGGGACGAACTCTAGCTGATCAATCGCCTCACGCGGTAAGCCCGGCCTATGTAGACAGGCAGGGGGTCCAGACGCTATCGGACATTACATTGTGGTACCTGAATCCTAAAAGGGCATATGCAGAGCAAGAAGACTCTTCACGAGGCTACGAGTGGAGTTTTCTGCAGTATGTAAGCAGGGGTTTTCTATCATAGACTGAGTGGCAGAACTAAACGAGATGAAATGAGATATGGGCTCGCTCCACAGTCCGGCCGGTCCAGTATATCTAAGTTGGGTTAACGCCGGTAGCCCGAAATCGGCTACCCCTGGAAGCTAAGTCTTGCTACTACGAGGGTTTTGGTACTAGTTGACATACCCGCACTTCATGTTGTGGATACTTACTTGTCTATAAAGTTGTTAATACCGCCCAATGCAAAAACGTAAAAGTTGGAAAAGTTGGAACAAGGCTGTGAGAGCGGAGCAACGATGTCCACCCTGCGGAGCTTCCAGTTTAATGAAGGTCCATGTAGCAGTCAGGTACCGGCTTGTATTAGGCGAGAGGGATTTGACGGTTTATGTTGAAGTTAAGTTGAAAATCAACCAGTAAATAATCAAAATGTCCACGCAGTCCATGCCGACGGGCAACGACAACGCTGCTTGTAGACACCGAGAGTTTGCACCTGTCATCATCGCGTTCTACGCAACGTCATAGTCACTCTTTTTACATTCTCTATCAACTATCAACTACATTCTTTCCCTTTGCCTTGCCACTCTTTCTTTATTTTGCCCCTATGGCGCCCATCCAGCGAATGCTGGCCTTTGGCGTCCTCTTGGCTGGCGCTGCTCATGCCGCGGTACACGGAAACACAACGTTACCGGGCAGCAAAAATGCTACTGCTGCTGCGGCGGCGGCGGCATCTTCGTGCAAGCAGCTCTCAGTCAAGGACGGCGATACGTGCTTCAGCATCGGCCGTCAAAACAATGTCACCTACGCGCAGCTTCTATCGTGGAATACCAGTTTGGACCCTATTTGTTCGTACGTGCATATAGGCTTCATGCTTTTCTTATGACCAAATGAAAAGAAATATGTGCAGATGGCTGACTGAATTACAATAGAAACCTGAACAACCAGACGGATTCCAAGATCTGCATCAGCAACCCGCTTGGAAGCTACACGATGCCCAACAACAACGTTGGCGCTACTACCGGAACGTAGGTACATGGTCTCTTGCCCGTGTTTCAGCTATGTACTAAAATTGCATCAGTGCTGTTCCTACTCCGCTAGCCAGCGGGACCACCAATCGTTGCAACCACTACTACAAGTATAAGACTGGAGATGAATGTACAACCTTGCTCCAGACTTTTGCCATTTCGCGAGATGACTTGTAAGTCATATAGCAGCACATAGGCTGCATAGATTTAGCAAACTTACACTAAACTCTAACTAGTGTTTTCCTAAACCCCGAGCTTGGTCCTAGCTGCAGCGGTTTCGTCGAAGGCGCATACTATTGCGTCGAAGCCGTCGGCAACATCCATACGTATCCTGGCTACGGCGAGGCGACCACCACGGTACCCTTCAACCCAGTCAGCATGACCAGTATTCCTCTTACTAAGCTGCCCCGGCAAACTGGACTTCCCTATGCCAACGGCACTCGTCTTGACTGCGCCAGGTTAGTATAGTACTGTCATCGTATTGCCCGTAAGGCTAACCGCATCACCTCTATTGTCTAGGTACACTGTTCTAAATGAGACGGTCAACAACCCTCTAAGCAACTGCTGGGTGCTTGCTATTGCTCTCGATGTGTCGCGCGAGGTGCGTTGTATAATTTATTATATCCAATCCCAATTCACTACGATGGTACTAATAGTATTATAGGATATGGTTCTATGGAATCCGTCGCTAAGCGAGTCACCAGGCAAACCTAAGAGTATCGACGTTGGCGCAACCACGACCATGCCTGCCCAGTACAACTATCCGTGCACACTTGCCGCCAACAGCTCCTACTGCGTTGAACTGATGGAGCCAACTCCTGGTATGTTTGCTCCATGCCCTACTCCCCATCCCGCGCGTCGCCATTCCTTGATTTACATGAGCTAACCATTCGACCCGTTGGCAGTACCTATTCCTAGCGCTGCACCTCCAAGCCCCCGTGCCGCGGGCGAGATTGAGGGCTGCACCGCATGGTACCAGGTTACCGAATTTGGTAGCTGTGAGACCGTAGAGGCCATGGGCGGTCTCACCTTGGAACAGCTGTTCAAGTTCAACCCGTCCATCAAGGCGGACTGCACTGCGCTCGCCATCGGCACATATTACTGCATCTCCATCTGGCCAAACGGTGACGGTCCTCCCGATGACGGTGACGGCGGCAGCAACCCAACAACGACAGGCATCCACACACCCTCTCCAATCCAGACGGGCATGGTGACCAACTGCGACAAGTTCTACAAGGTCCAGCCCGGCGACCCGTGCCCTGATATTGCCAAGAACAACTCCATCGCCCTCAGTGACTTTTATGCCTGGAACCCTGCTGTCGGTGCTGACTGTCGTGGCCTTCAAGCTGACGTCTACGTCTGCGTGCACACTTCTGGTTCGTCGACGCCCACGACGACTGGCGGCACTGGTATTGCTACGCCCTCACCAACGCAGCCCGGCATGGTCTCGGGCTGCAACCGATTCTACAAGGTCCAGTCTGGCGACGGGTGCGACAAAATTGCGCAGGATAACCATATCAGCCGTAGCGACTTTAACTCGTGGAACCCGTCCGTTAAGAGTGACTGCACTGGTCTTCTCGCCGATGTGTACGTGTGCGTCGCTCGTGATAGCTCAGCAGTCCCTACGACTACGAAGCCTGGTAACGGCGTTGCGACACCAACGCCGACGCAACCAGGCATGGTATCTGGTTGTAGCAACTTCTACAAGGTCAAGTCTGGTGACGGTTGCGATAAGATTGCGCAGGATAACCATATCAGTCGCAACGACTTCAACTTGTGGAACCCTTCCGTCAAGAACGATTGCACTGGTCTACTAGCTGATGTATATGTATGCGTCGCTCGCGACGGCTCGGCCACCCCAACGACCACGAATTCTGGTAACGGCGTTGCGACGCCTACGCCCACACAGTCTGGCATGACCGGTCGTTGCAACAGATTCTACAAGGTCAAATCGGGTGACGGGTGCTGGCAGATTGCCCATGACGCCAACATCAACTTGGATGACTTTTATTCTTGGAACCCTGCGGTTCGTAACGACTGCACTGGTCTCCAAGCAGAGGTCTATGTATGCACCGGCGTATTTTAGTTCATCAACCATAAAGCACGTACGTTGGATGATCTATAGTTGAATGGATATACTGTGTTTCCGCATTGCATTTACCTTTTTGTGTATGCTTGCGCCTACAGTGATTCCAGTATTGTATTAGGTATAGACAATTTACCACAGCATGCTATTGATAACCATAAAATATACTAAGCTTAAGAATTTATCTAGAATCTTTGCAGTGGTGTGACGGAAAGGGGCTCTGTGCAAGACCTGCTAGAGACTCAATTCCAGGGTTGAGTGCACATGATAGCTTGAGATGCAGCTTTTCCCGGGCTATCTAAACTACTAACTAGCCTGCGCATGGGTCCCATTGGATACTGTCAAAGTCCTGGCTAACCAATGCTGGAATTGCCACCAACCCTCCATTTAACAAGAATAGCTTTTTATCTACAGCGTGATTATCACGCACATGTCTTGACATGGATCTTTATTGCATCCTCAGGCCCCTCGTCCAATTCGCTAAAGGTTATAAGGTTTTCTCTAAAGCTCCGGCCAAGTCTCCGAAAAGTCCCACAACACCCGCGGCAAACTATTGTATAGAACCTGCTCCTCCTGCAACAGCCCAAGCACATCAATGGAGAACAACCAAAAGCCAAAGGCAGGCTTCACAGCAGTCTCCAGATCCTCGTTCTTGTACCTCTCGCTCTCTGCTCCAATGGGAAACTTGTGGCCCGCGTCCAAAAGTCTTTGAACTATGGGGTGTTACAGGGTCCTCCCCGTGCCAGGCGATCTCTTCTCTCAGCATAAACTCATTTGCCGATTTGCGATCAAGGATCAACTCTGTCTCTGGTGGCGTGAATGCAATATGCCATTTGTATTCGATTTCAGGGGTGGGGATGATGTCCCATTCCTTCCGCAGTCGATGCCAGAGGTGGATGTGATCACGATTGTCACCCATCCCGATATAAACCTGCTTCAAGTCTTCACTAATGGTGCGCGGATCGCGGGATAGACGATCAAATATTGGTGCTTTGGCTTTGATTTGGAAAGAGCGGTTGTAAATTATATCTCGCGTCAATACTCCGCTATGAGGGCCTAGGATTAGGCGGCCTGCTCGAATGGTAGAGTAGAAGATAATCTTGCGAATATTCTTCATAATCTGTTTGAAAGCCATTATTCCTCTCCCCTTAAGTTCTGGAACTGATGGGTTTGTGAGAAGCAAGACATTTCCTGTTATGTCGTTTGTCGTAACTACCAGATTGAGGAGACCGATTCCACGGCGATCGTAAGTGTTCTTTAGGTGGTACATGAAATTGAATAGCGTGTGCTTTACTGACCAATTAGATGTAATACGAAGGAAATCATTTTCAGGATTGAAGTAGATGATGCCGCATTTTACAAATCCCCCAATTGTCCTAAGCTTACACAGAAAACGGATGTGGTAAAATGTCAAGGCCGCTTCTCTGGAGTCGCTGTTGACACGAAATAATTTGCTTATAGTTTGATGCCCATCCGCAATTGCCCAGAAAGACTCGCGATTCTTGGGAAATTCCGTGGTTCCTTCTGCATTGTTACCTGTTGAAGGCGGGTAATCCGGGTCATAGAGCGTAAGATGAATAATACGCGGGTGTTGTAGCGCATGCATCCATATCTTCTCGCGTAGTTCCTTTGCAAGCTGGGGGAAGAGATGGAATTTGTAATACTCTTTTTTCGGAGCTTGGTCCGGTGTGAAGATCTGCAGATGAGCCTGTGACTGGGATGCCATTTTTGAGGCCGACGATCCCACTGGATGCCGATGTGGTGCCTGGTGTGGAGGAGGAAAATCGATATGAATATAGGATGTGTCAATAGGCTGGTAGGATAAGTGCAATAGTGAGGAGAGGCAATTTAGACCGTTTTTTGAAAATGGTACCTGGATAGTAGAACAAGTCTGGAGCCTGGTGAGGTTAAAGAGAACACGAGGCTCGGGAGCTAGCTAATTTTAGAGGCAAAAGGGTCCGTGACCCAGGGAGAGGCGCCTACTATAGCCACTGTACGCACGGTGAAGTAAGCTAACAGTATAGGAGCTAGTATAGTACTTTGTAGAGGCACCTTTAAAAGCGAAGCTCATCTTGCGCTCAAAGACTAATATTTGCCCGCCCATTCCCAGGTCTGCTCGGTTATATACAATCGGCCGCTATTGTGAGAAAACGTATCATTATGCGCCATCTCCTCCTCCGGCAATTTTACATCTGTGGCCCCAAGCGAGACCAATAGCTTGGTCCTGATAGGGCAGCCGTGTCTCTTGGCATAGGACATCGCGGATTCTTTATCTGCACCATACACCTTGTCCAAGGATATCCCTGCTTCCACGAGTATCTGGATCATTGGACGATTGAGGCCGCGTATGGTGCTCAACAGAGCCGCGCTGCCCGCAGGACTGTCGACGTGCGGACTGTGCGGCAGCCAGACTATGTTCCCATCTGTTTTGCATAACCAAGCAACCACATGTGTTTGACCGCTGCCAGCAGCCTCTAGCAGCGCCGACACAGCTGGGGCACCGTGCCTAAGCAAGAGCTGTACAGCGTCGAGGTGTCCATGGCGAGCGGCTAGCTCTATCGGATCGCTGGGATTGTAGTTGCCAAAGATGTGGTGAAAGCCAGCGTAGGCGCCGCGGCTGAGCAAGAGACGCGCAAGAGGCAAGTTGCCCTGCCCGCAAGCAGAGCTCAGCGCATACGGTATCTGATAGAATCTTATGGAATGTACTGGTGTGAGGTTTGTGCTACGATCTAGCAGCCACCCCGCGAATGGCGTCTGCTGATAGTACGCAGCCCGTCGTAGTAAATCCTCCCCTAGCTATGGAATGTCGGTTAGAAGATCTCTGCCCGTGGCCTCGACGAGACGCTGTAGAATGTCCACGCGGCCATGGCTACTAACAGAGAGCAGGGTAGCAAGATATTCGTCGGTTTCAGTCGAGATACAGTATTCGGGCTCGAGAAGCAGGCTGACAATGTCATCGTGGCCGCCCAAGACTGCCACCCTTAGCGCGCTGCCAATTCTGCACCGGTCGATCTGATGGCGGGAGGGAAGCTCCACGTATTCGTAGTGACCCCATCTATCCGGCCTCCTCCAAGGAAAGTCCTCGCATACGGTATGGTATCCCGCCCTAGCAAATGGGGATTGGCGCCGCACCGGAGGAGATGCCGAACAATGTCAACGTCCCCCCAAGCAGCAGCGAGCGGGAGGGGAAGTCCAAAGAAGGGGGATTTGGTATTTAATAGTTTGGCGCTGGGCAACGGCGCCTGGTCCAGAAGAGACGTGACCAGCGCCAAGTTGCCCAAGACTATGGCGCCGCTGAGGATGTTTTGAGCGCGAGCGGAGGGGCTGTTGATTGTAGGCTGTACGTGAGGAGCGTAGTGGTAGGAGACGGCTTTGGCAAGGTCGAAATCCCTTGCGGCGGCAGTCGCAGAAGCCGGAGCTGATGATTGCGAAGTCGTATCTAGCAAGCTGCTGAGAGCACGACTGACTTGGAGGATGATGGCTATGGACTGGTGAATTGGCACATCGCCATCAGGGCCAGAGTCGCATGCTCCGGCTTTGTTGAGCGGAACGCGAGCCTTGAGCGCCGTTGGGACGTGATGCATCATCATTGGCGTAGCTACATCGTCTAGATGGACGACTTGGGCGTCGCAAATTGCGTACAGAATTGCTCTGTCAAACTCTTCTGCTAGGAAGTGAGCTCTGTGCCGATGCGATACCGATGCGGGAGAGGTACTTACTGCTAACTAGTCAGAATTGAACCGATTTGTAAATACCAATGGTTAATAGGAGATGCTCAACGACAAGGTCCACCAGCTCGCGCGGTAGGTCAAGCAGCTGCATAGCGTTTTTACAGTGCTGCTGGGTGTTGCTGATGCACAAGCCTTAGGATATACAGCCCAGCCAAGAGGAATAAGGAAGAAAAGCTTTGCATCAAATTATTCAGCGCTAGAAGATGATTTGGAAAGCAGAAGAGGTGAAGACGCAGCATGTCACTGACTGGCGCTATGATGCTATACAGGTCGCGAACTGGCGAGGCTGGAGGCGTTTGAACGACGCACGTCCAAGCACAACAACGGCAAGCTTAGCGCCTTGGCCTCCTGTACGCTAGCAGGGGAGTACTTGGGTATACAAGACTAAGTTACACATTCGCCTCGAGTCAATACATGCTTTAATTAATACTTTATATAAGTTAGTATAAACTACTTTGTTATACTCGAGCTAGTTAGTAGAAAGGATATTTTAAGATAGCAATTAATTCTCTTGAAGAATATTTCTAAGACGTCTTCCAAGTATAAGAAGTTTTACATAGAGGCTCTAAATAAAAGGAACAAGTGTCGGCACGTCCCATTCAGAAGAAGAATTCAGACAGAGTATACTGCGCAAACACTAGCATCCAGTCCAGATGTTGCAGTCTACATTGATGGCTATACTGGCCGCATATGCCTTGTTGTCGTGGTAGCAATACGGACTGCCCTTTGCGCTGGTGACGCTCTGGCCCTTGACCGCGCACTGCTTGTCGTTGTAAACCAGAATAAGCTGCTTGTTGGCTCCAGGGTCCAGCCAGTAGCTGAAGATGGCCGGCTTTGCAGGGACATCGCGACAGTGGGTTGAATCGGTGTCTCCCTCTTTCCACAGAAACACAGCCGGCCCAGAGCAATCCCGGCTCTCGTGCGCTACGACGTAGGCACCTGGATAGTCCCGGGGCACCAATTGGTCCCTCGTAACTGCTGCGGATGTGCTAGCAACAAGTCCGAAGACGAGCATGGCAGAACTTGTAACCTGCATTTTTAGCTAAAGTGTCGTATAGGGGACTTGGTGCGTTGCTGATTCAGAATGAGGGTATATAAAAGTCCAGCATATGATGAAATTGCTGGGTGAAAATGCTGTCTTGAGATTGTAAATATGACAAGCACAACTGAATTCTGCTCTTCTTATATGTGAACCCTACGGAACACGGCAAAACCCGAGCCTTGTGGTTATACTTTAGCTGAAGTGCATCTGAAGTGTCCAAGCCCCGGATCGGCAAGGATCAGCCTCGCATGGTGGTTTTTCTATATGAGCCGGGTTAACTGTGCGAGGTGGATTCAAAAAAAAAATACTTAGATTTGCCTCGATTTGGTTAAGACGGCGGGCCAGCTGTCGCTACAAACAAGATGCACCCCCAGTAGTGAACAGAGCCGCATATACGAAGCGGAATAATTCTCATAAGATATAATGACAGCTGGCCATTCAAAATTTACCACATGCACTGTAGTATGTCTTTTTGCGGAATTTTTAAGATTTTGTTTTTGGTTAGTATTGTTGTGATTCTAGATTAGGAACTACGCTCTCCTAAAGACTCTGCTGTACGGTGCATATTATACTTCTTTTGACAAGGCCTTCTCACACTACTCAGCTTGTTAGTCTAAGTGTCATGAAAAAGTATTAGGAGCGTAAATCTCTCCTAGAACGTACCTCTTGGACTACATCATAGTCTCTCACCCACTTGAGAAACTGCGGCAAGTGTTGCTCGGCATGCATATCCATCTCGACGATGCTTAAATCTGGAGGAGACTTGTTGCGAAACCTCGACAGTTTCTCATCGCGTGCTTCTTGCTGCGGACCATCTGGCAAGCTCCACGATGCCGCATTTTCCGTCGACTGTTGCATGAAGAGCTCGCATCTCGGCTTACGCAGGTTGACCCACGCCCTTGTCACTGCGGGTACATTGGTGCTCAGGCCTAGCATATGTGCAAGACTCACGGCATCTTCAATGCCCTGACTCAACCCCTGTGCTCCATGGGGCAGCATAGCATGTGCTGCGTCTCCCACAAGTACAATACGTCCGCTTTCGCTGCTCCAAGTAGGCAAAGTACGGCCTATTGCCATCTGCCACTGCTCGGCGTGGTCAACATGTTCCAAGTACGCACGCGTGATAGTTTGAAAGTCTGCGAATCGGGCTCGGAGTGCGTCGACATCTGCTGGTGTGTTCCATTGAGCATCCACAGGTCGGGGGTCCGCGTGGTTGACATCAGCAAACTGTACGTTAAGAATGTCACCGTATATGTGTCGGCTCAGTACGAATCGGTCAGGGCCAAGAACACCATGTTTGGTTCCAGGCTCTAGCCATGCCGCCAGTCGCTTGTCCTTGGCGAGGTCAGCGATACGTACGCTGGTGAGAATAATGGATTCGCGTAGGGGAATAGGTTCGACATCTCGGCCTGGGAAAAGCTGTTTCCGTGTCATGGACTTGATTCCTGTTGACTACATATGAGCTATCCATTGAAAAAAATAAAGAAATCACAGTCGAGCATTCACATACCATCAGCGGCGATAACGAGGTCTGCCGTATAAGTTTCTCCGTCTGAAGTGCGAAGGAGGACCGAATCCTGGCTATCCTCAAACTGATCAACCGTCTTATTAAAGACAATATCAACGCCATTTCGTATAGCCAGCTCATGGAAAACTCTCTGCACGGACGGACGGTCCGTCTGAAAGCGCCTCTCGTAAACGGGCACGTCTTGCTGTCGCGATACAGGCTGCGACGCCATGAACGGTTTGTCGCTCTTATACGACCAGAGGCAAAGAGGCCCCGATTCAATAGAGACTCGCTTGAATGTCTCATGGGCGCCTTTGAGATGTCCCAAGGCGCGCACAGCGGCTGGCTGGATCATCAAGGCATGGCCGCGAGGTTCCGTGTCCGGCCTTCGCTCAAAGATGGTGACGCTGTGGCCCTGCTGTCTCAGTGCTGTAGCTGTGCAGAGGCCAATTGGCCCAGACCCTATTACGGCTACTTTGAGACTTGAAGAAACGCGACTTGTAGCCATAACTTGTAAGAATGGAATGACAATTATGAAGGGTTCAAGCCATCACGCGCGATTTGGCCGTTTATGACGTTGGCGGGGCTGTGTTGCCGCCGATTATTCCCGGCGCAGCCCCGGACTCGCCCGCCGGCATGCTCCGGAAGTGGTGGCTGTGTCTTATATATGAAGCGCCGCGATACTCAATTTAGTTTCCATGGTATCGTAAATTCTCAATTGGCATGAGAATAAGTGGTATGTGTGGAGTAGAGTATCGCGTCAAACTTGATGCTGCTGTACAGCACGAGCAGGGACTTGGCGCTTGATGCTAGAGACATTATCAGATATAGTTTTATCTAATAGCCTTCCACGAATTTTAGTAGAATTAAGGTCATAGTATAACGTATTCAAGTATATTGGTATGGTGTGTGGCGCCGTGTCTGGATCAATGTGCTGGTTCGCGGGTAGCTGTCCGGGTCGTCGCCAACGAGACGGCCCTTTCTGGCTGCATATGGAAAATAAGGAAACGACGACTAAATCCGAATTCTCCTGTATTAATAAGAAGGATCCATTTAAATCCACAATCCAATTGTGGCCATCGCGGTATTTGGGGAATTGCCGATGATATTGAAAATCTTTTGTTGGTGCCTGTCGCCAAAATTACCGCTTTCGGCAATTTTGCCGGCACCGCGATGCCCGACGCAAGCGAGATACTAGACGAATTGGGAAATTTAGCCGGCCACCCTGCAACTATCGCATCACCGCCCTGTTTTAATGCAGCTAAAATCGAGATAAAAACGGCATCGGACAAGTTTCGAATTTTCCAACTAGAACCTTTAATGACTCACTGACGCTATTGTCTATCTATAGCTATCGCGATTGTCGTGTGGAACAAACGGACCCAACCACCAGCTATAAAGCCCACCACATCCGCTCCCCCTCCTCCGTCTTTCGCTATACACCACACCATACCTTTTACAAAATAAAACATTGATCCCTTCACATCAGAAGACTCTTCTCACAATGGCTTCCAAGACCTTCAACGTCGGCGTCGTCGGATACGGGTAAGTCGTGATCTATCGCCCGCCTACTTGAACTCCTGCTAACCACCCACACGTAGCCTCTCCGCCAAAGTGTTCCATATCCCCTTCATCGCCCTGACCCCCCAGTTCAAGCTGGCCGCTATTGTCCAGAGAACCCCCAAGCCCGGCCACTCTTCCCTCGAGGACCACCCCAACGCCAAGCACTACACCGACTACCAGCAGCTTCTTGCCGACGCCGAGATCGACGTCATCGTCATCACCACGCCCACCAACGGCCACTTTGAATTCACAAAGGCCGCTCTTGAGGCCGGCAAGCACGTCCTGACCGAGAAGCCCTTCGTCCCTACGTCCGCCGAGGCCGACAAGCTCGCCGAGATTGCGCGTGCCAACAACCGCCTCATCTGCGTGTACCAGAACCGCCGCTGGGACTCGGACTTTTTGACCGTCAAGCACCTCATTGCAAACAACACTCTCGGTGAAATTCTCGAGTTCAACACACACTTTGATCGCCCCGCGCCGTTCGGCAAGGACACATGGCGCGGTGACGTCGGTGTGTCTGGCGGTGGCAGCGTCCTCTACGACCTCGGCACGCATCTGATTGACCAGGCCTACGTGCTGTTTGGCATGCCCTCGTCTGTCTTTGGTCGCATTTACTCGGTAAAGGCTGGCAACACGGACCTCGAGTTCCCTGACACCGTGGTTGGCGAGCTCGTCTACCCTGACGGTAAGCTGGTTAACATTCGCGTCTGCTTCCAGAGCGTGGAGACCACACAGCGCCGCTACTGGGTCCGTGGATCCAACGGCAGCTTCACCAAGGATGGTGTCGATCCCCAGGAAGACCAGATTATCGCCGGCATGGCCCCGACAGCGGTTGGCTTCGGCGAGGACGAGCCTTCGAGCATGCACTTGGTTGTGAGAGACGAGAACGGTCTGCCGAAGAAGGCTGATGTTCCTGATTTGGAGCCTGCGACGTACATGGCGTTTTACAAGGCCTTTGGCGATGCCATTGAGTCGGGTAAGGAGGAGGGTATCCCCGTTAAGGCGAACGAGGCGAGCGATGTCTTGCGCGTCATTGAGGCTATGATTGAGAGTGCCAAGACTGGTAAGATCGTCAACATTTAAATGTAGTAGATGTAATATGTAAATAGCTTCTTGATGATTTATAATGAAAATAGAGATTTAGACACGATTGGTTGCTTATGAGTGACGAAACATGTGGAGCTCAGCTGCTTGAGAGTTTGCTCAGAATCTCCTCGCGGATTAAAGCTGGATTTCGGGTAGAATCGACCTTGATTATACGGCTCGTGTCTTCTGGTCGGCACGGATTACCCATCCATCTAGTAAATAGAGCGCGCGCATTCTCCATGGTGTGAATGCCGCCAGCTTGAGCAGCAGCAGGCGGACAGTCCACAGCAGAGCGCTGGCTTATCATTGGCGTGCGAGCACGCAGGCGCTGATCGAGTAGATCCAAATCGTTAACGCTGCACTCTATATACCAGTAATTATAGCCGTACTGGTCCGCAAGGGAAGTGCCCTGCTCAATCACCTGCGGGTAGTTGCATGTGCCGTCGATGATGACGCTGTTGTGGCCCTGCTTAATGAGGTCTTCGGCAATCTTCCACTGTAGCATGTAGGCTTGCTTGGCAGCTTTATCGAAAGGCAAAAGATCAGATTCAAGAAGAGAGGATCGCAGGACGTCGTGGTCAACAATGACGCCGCCGAGGGCCTCGCGGAGGAGTCGTGCTATTGTGCTTTTGCCAGAGCCCGGCGTACCCGACATCTGGATAAAAGTTTTGTTTGGCGGCATTTCGTTTTGAACGGTAGACATTGTTAACGTTTATTATTTAGAAAACAATGTTTATAATGACAAGTGTCTTTTGCACTTGACGGCTGTATAAGAAGCCAGGGCAGTGCTGCGCCTTGCTGCCACGTGACTGAGAGCCAACACGCCAGACAGACTTATACCACATACGAAAGAATATCGCCAATTGACACTTCAATGTATAATAAAGTATATTATTATTGTATAGAAACGAAGATAATAGAGCAAAAGTTCTCTTCCGGGGTGTGCTCGACCCAGTATGACATCGTGTGATCCATCCAGCCTTGTTTCCATGGTTTTTCATCTCGTAGAAGTACTAGGTCGGACCTTGTCCATGTGCTTGCTGCAGATCGAAATTCACGAGTTGCAGGAACTGAAGACGCCATGCTTGCATCAGTGAAAGAACTGGTTTGAGGCGTCATTGTAAGAGAGAGGTGACGTGCTAGACTTGGGAAATGATTTTAAATAAGAAAAAACAAAGAGAGGATAAAAGAAGACAAGAAAAAGAGCAAGGAAGGAGGGGTAGGGGAGAGTGTCTGTCTGCTCAGCGCCGGAGTTCGCTAAGCGCCGGCATGGTCCAGCCACGAAACGCTTTCTATAGCCTGGGCCAAGCATTTTTCCAATAACACATTATATTAAAATAATAAAAGCAGGATTAATAAAATAATATCCCCTTGTAGCCCTGTGTGATAGGATGTTGGTGATGTTAACGCTCAGTTGCCCCCAGGCACGAGTCTCGAACGCGTAGTCACTTGCAATTGGCTGTCGCTATTCACGGTCTGTCACGGCTCACAACTCTAACTTCTCTCAACCTACACAACTACTCTAGGTAAAAGTAAAACGCCTAAGCTAGTATGTAAACAATCTTTCACTAGTAAAAGCAAATGGAGAAATATAAAGCTAACAAGTCAGCGGCGTGATTGCTCAAGCTAGGCGGTAGCCAGCTATTATCAACTAGTGCCATTTGGCCACCTTCGTTCAGCAATCTACATGCGCGAAATGAGAGACTGCTTTCTGCACGCTGCAGAAGCGAGTAAAATACGGAAACGAAAAGCGAAATTACGGCACAAGCGCCGAGAAGCGCCCACGCCACTTTGCTGCTCAGACGAGCGACTACGCGCGTTTGGTTTCCGCTTCCAACAGAATGCGGCGCCAGTACCACAAGATACAGAGATAATGTCTCTGCCGAGGACATTACAAGCGCAGAGCTTTTAAGTTCGTTTAACGAGATTTCCATGCGTCATATGTCGTATCTGCTGTGCGACTGACGAATTTACACGTAACCCCCTCCCAAGGTGTCCTTGTTGCATCGCTTACTGGCCAAGCTGTTGCCATAGCTGACGCGTGGTACCTTAACAAACGGAGACGATTTTATACCTACAGAGATAGTCTCCATCCCTCACTCAAGTCCAGGGAGTCGGCAATCCTAAAGCCAGCAAATGAGGAACAAGATCCTCAGGTAGCAGGAATCCTCGCAGCTCTGGCACAACGGATGTGGCGATATGGCGCAGGAGCGAACGAAGCAGTCCCGGGTATACGGGCGCATGTGATTTGGAGGAATGCGGAGACCCAGCTCAATGTGTACACCGCGTGGTTCTCGAGAGCGGTGATCAATGCGCTCTATACGGGATATTCGGCTACTCGATGTGGCGAGACCGTGGTGATTGAATACCAGACTATTCCTATGGGCGATCCGGAGACGATTGTTCGACAGCTGAGTGGTTGGCTGCATGAGAAAGGGTTTTACTGAGTGGATGACAGCTCCAGGTTGTACTTTGCATGTGTGGTGTATTATAGGATGGATGGACTTGGCGTTCATGTTTATGTTGAGTCGCAAGATGAGCTAGCTCCGGACGGGCGACTCGACTCTGGAAAATCGGCGTTATATTATACCAATTTGTTTTTTCGTTTGTTTTATGAGCTGGCATATTTCCTCAGCAAATAATAGAGACATCCTAATGGCACCAAACTATTATCACTTGATCTCAAAGTGAAAGAAAATCCAGAAAATATCATAATTATAGAAACAAGAACCCTATGGTATCCCTATATGTTTCAAACCGCCCTATCATGACTGTTGCACTTCTTTCATATGGAACAGAGGCCACATGGAGCGAAGTCGCTGGCTCTTACGACCCTTCTTCGTCGGCAGTGCCTCTTCGTAGCTAGGAAGACGATGCTCGCCGTCCCTGGACCCAACGGGACCGTCACTACTATATCCCATTTCCTTATTGGCTGCCTCGAGAATGTCCATTTTCTTGCTCTCGTGCGACTTGTAGCTCTTGTATGCGTGGTGAGCAAGGGCAACGCCGCCGACAATGACAATACTAGCCATGATGAGGGTGGGTGGTTTTCGGAAGGGGTTTATAGTAGTGGTAAGAAATGTACTGGGGGGTATAGAAGTGTTGAATTGAGTGGATTAAGGAGTTAATAGAGGTGTTTATGTAAGGGAAGATGTTGTGGTGTGCTGAGTTGACTTCGTTGTCGATATCCTGGCAGAATCGAGCAGCTATATATAGCCAGATATCCAATACCAATCCAACACAGCCACTGCGAATACAAATACATGATAAACTCAAATAATTTGGTGTTTTTGAGTCTTGTAGTCAAGATATTCAAAATTCAATTTTCGGTGGTGGTGGCAGTACACCAATCCAGTGGGGGCTGTTGTTGCTGTCGTATAAGTTACCGGCGTATTCACAGGGCTAGCGCAACTTAACACAGCCATGTCGGGCGTATTGGCGTATTGGAGGCACCATCGCCGGGGGTAGGCATCGTCCCACAATATAAGATCAGACGTTATTTGAGTTGTTTATATTTCCGATGGACAGTTTATTTGGAATTATTCTGATTGGCTATAGACTCTTGACATTTATAAAAACGGACGGCCAACCAGACATCTTTCCGTCATGCCAGACTCTCACTCCATCACAACCCTGTCTTTGTTTTGTCTTACTAAACACTTATACTCTTCTATCAATTACTCATTATGAAGCTCAACTACAATCTCTTCTACGCTTTGGCTTCCACCAGTGTCGCTGCCGCTTTTCTCGACCCCATACAGCGCTCATTTCATCCCCCAGGACCACTCGACAGTATGTTATCGTGCCTAGATCAACCATGACTTCCCTCCAACTAACATGTCTACAGGCCGCTCTCCTTGCCCCGGCCTCAATGCTCTCGCCAACCATGGCTTCCTCCCCCGCGACGGCAAGAACCTCGACTTCAAGATGATTGACGAGGCTGCGCATGACGCATACAATTTTGTTCACGGATTTCTCAAAGACCCCGTCGACATGGTTTTCAAGTTCAACATTTCCACTTCGGACCGCCCGTCTGAAACTTTCCACCTTGTCGACCTAGCCAGGCACAACACCATCGAAGTAGACGGCTCCCTCACCCGCAACGACATTTACTTTGGTGATGATTTGCACTTTGACGCCACAGTCTGGAACCCTGTCGCCAAGGATCTCGGTCTGGACAATGCCCATTACTTTGATCGATACTTGACGGTAGAAACGGCTGCCCAAGCTACCAAGAATCGTCTGGCATTGGCTAAGCGCGTCAATCCCGAGTTCACTGCCTCACAGCAGCAACATTTGACCGAGTATGGTACTACTGCCTTGTATCTCCTTACTCTGCAGGAGGAGAAGAAGGGTGCCGCACCAAAGTCGTGGGTTAAGGCTCTTCTATGTAAGTTATCTCCTGAAAAATGCAAAATAATCATTGGGCTAACATGACAATTTACAGCTGAGGATCGCATCCCGTATCGCGAGGGCTACAACAAGGGCAAAACGGAGAAGGATGGTATGCAGATTGGCAAGCTGTTGACGGGACTTCGTGACGCTGCTGGATGGAAAGCGTAAGATGATTCTAGAGGCAGTAAATTAGCAACCTTCGTAAATAGCTTCATTTCTTTAGCCATTCGTATTTATTTATGTTTTTTTACTGTGCTTATTCCAAATGTTAGGTGTTCTACAGGAGACGCTACATGTACACAAAACCTATCAACGATGGAATCTGTAACTTCTTCGACTTACAAACAAGTTGATTATCCTGTTCATTAGAACGCCAGAGAGCATTCATTGGAATCAAAAGCCTTCACTATCTCACCAGCTACGTTTCTGGTTGGCACCGCATAAAGCCTTTGTGACGCCTTCATGTATATCTTACGGGTCATGCCCGGGCTCTAATTTCCATAAACTTTTTAAACTTCCATCTAAAAATACAGCTATATCTTGGTAGATGATACAGGAGAGAATATTCTTTGCACCCTATCGACATGCCTCTGCCGACGGGACCTTGTTACCTTGGGCGCGTCCGAGCTCGCGTCTGCTAGGTGTGAGGCAATGTCAAAGGCTAGTAAATCCCTTTGATACACAGAATCTCCCCAATTAAACGAACATGGCCCATCCCAGTTAGCATCGGCGAGCTTGGACAGCTCCTCGTCGCGCATCTTTTGTTGGCAGCCGTCCGGAAGATGGTAGTAGTGCCGCGTGTCCGTTGCACCCGCAACGATAATCTCAGCACGCGATTTTCTTGACCTTTCGTAGAATTTCAAAAGCTCTGCAATTTCCTGATTTCTCTCGCGCTGGTCGTTTACCACTCCCTTACTGCTGTACGCGTTCAGCAGCATGCCCAGCGTGGCGGCGTCTTCAACGGCCATGGCCGCACCTTGGCCTAGGTAGGGTAGAGACGGGTGCGATGCGTCGCCTAGAAGAGCAAGTGTACCCTATAATATCATTGTCAACAAAACAACTCATGATACTAAAAAGGGGTTCGCTTACTCTGGTCCATTGTGGTAGCTCTTTGACGTGGAGGAGTTTCCACTTGAGAGGTAGCTGCTGTTTATCCGCCGCAGACATGATGAGTTTTAATCTGGAAAATATTAGTAAATATCCATGATTAATAACCTAATAGTTTCGAGACAATTTACCTGGGATCCCAGCCTTCAAAGTTAGACATCATCTCCTCGACAGTCGCGTCGGCGGTGCGGACACCAGTCGGCAGGTCATCCGCAACTCTGCAACCAAATTAATTAGAAAAGAAAATATCAAAATGAAGAGAAGAGTGTGTCAAACTTACAGAAGAACCAAATTGTACTCAGTATGATTTCGGAGGGGATAAAAAACCACGTGTCTACCTGGGCCAAGCCAAACTTGGATGTCACTTCGCTCGACTAACGCGTCCACCTCCTTGCTTGCTAAACCTCGAAGCTGATCACGAGAAAATGTGACTCGATATGCTAAATCACCCGTCTCTTCTGGAATGAGCGACCGTCCCAAGACGATATTTCGCGTATGTGACCACAGACCTGGCTCCGAATTAGCAAGTCCAGGTGTAGGGTAGGGGCCAAGATTTGTACTCACCATCTGCCCCAATCACCACATCGGCTAGCAATTGACGCCCATCTGCCGTATGAACAATACTCTGCCCATCTAAATTTTTCTGTTGGACATCAACAGCATCTGTGTTTGTCAGGATTTTTGCGCCGAGTCGAACGCCTTCGTTTAGCAACACACTCTGGTAGTCTCCGCGATGAATGGCACTGCGACGCGTCAGTAAGAAAAATCGAGTAAAGATCGCCGTGATTTTTGAGCTTACATCCACTCGGAACCATATTCTTTTTGTACTCGTTCGCGTAAGGGTTTGGAAGCGAGGGTGCGGCCGTCCTCGTAGCGGCTCAGCACGAAGCGGTCTACTTCGTATCCGCCAGCTTGCTTCAGCTTGTCTAAGAGCCCAAACTCGGACAGGATGCGGCATGCATTGGGCGGAATATGAATACCAGCGCCGATGGTCAGTATTTTAGGGCACTTCTCGAGCACTGTGACGTCCAGCGGCGGATCAGCGTGGCGACAGGCAATTGCTGCTGTGAGGCCACCAATACCGGCGCCAATGATGATGACATTGAGAGGTTTGTGTATGGATGACATTTGTGAGGTCTGTATCGTAACTTGAGTAGAGTTGACGAACCATTAGGGTATGTCTAGAAAATGCGATGTTTATGTAGAATTTCATACACTGCTGAGAGTCATGGCTTGAGAAGCGATGAAGCCAATATGGGCCGCCCTCAGTCATACGTATTCTGAACAACAGTACAGCCAGTCAGTTTACGGCGCATTTCCTGTGGGCTTCGTTGATGGCGTACTGCGCACCAGAAAACAATACGCCACCGAACACGCTAGCAGGGAACAAGCCACGCCTACTTGGCCGGCCCACAAAGTATTTGTGTTTTCCTCCAGTTACCTGATTAGGCAAGTCTATACGCCCGAGCGTATTCAAGTCAATGAGTCGTATACGCCAGCAAGGCGCAGCGCCGACACCCGGAACCCCGTTCAGTATTCTAAAGAGAAGATCTGACTAGTTAGTGCTGATACAGAGGGGTATTTTTGTCGACAATGATGATGAATTTTGCGATATTCGACTTTCGCGAGGAAATGCAAAAATAACTGTCCGAGATTATTACAAAATCCCTCAACATTTGGAATTCCAAGGACACGATGTTTCTCTACCCCGAAAACAGGATGTATATAAATACGAACTGGAGCGTTCCAAATAGATACGATGTAGTCCTATAGTTCTTGGATAATTTATCATTGCTGCCAACACATGCCAAGATGTCCTCCTTCTCCTACTGGCCGTGTATTCTTCTTGCTACTGCTTGCTGGCTTCTCAAGTACTACAATGAGATCAAAACCTGGCTCCGTCGCGCGGAGAAGAGCACGAAAAACTCTACATCGTACTATGTCATTGATGACATCGACAAATTGGCTAAATCGCACGAGCTAGCTACTGCCCTCTCCAACTTGATTCACAACGATGGTGCCTCGTCTTGGCCCCCAGCAGCCAACCACCACGTTGACGAATGGCCAGCAGCGCTGAGAGGCTATAAGGCTATTTATTTCGCCCTGTCAGACTCATTGTCGACAGCCAACCCGTCTCTGGACCAGGATGTAAACAGGGTGACTATTGACCACTTTCGAACCCGTTTTGACAATCTCCTCCAGCAGCACGTGGACCTTGCTGACGTTTTGGATGTATTCGATGAAGTGAAAAGCGAGAAGCAGGACAACTTGTCTCCTGCAATTCGCAACGCATTCTACTCTTGCATTGCGTGGTGTCGCCATGCCTACAGGTGAGTCCTGTCATATCCTCGCATTTTCTTCATTCCAATTTTAACGATTATTTAGATGGGGAGTTGTACCCGTTGTCAAGACTGCACAGGAAGAGACTGTCGTTGACTTGCCAAGGGAGCTTATTGAGCCGTGGAATCATCTGCAGCGATATTACGGGTGTTCTTCGCAGAGCGGCAATGTGATGAGCGGATTGATTCTCAACTTTGATGATGAAGGGCGCCATATCTTCAAAGCCAACTGCGGGCTGTCCGAGACCATTGTGTCCGCTGAGGAGCAGTTTGCACGCATCTTTCGTGATATTGAACAATCCGTAAGTACATTATTCACGATTCTGGCAGGTCAATCGTTGCTAATGCTTTTGATATTCTAGGCCTTACCAATTTATCATGACATGGTCTCTGCCATCATCTGGTCTGCTAGCAATCGACACGCGTGCATTCACCACCTGTCTCGGATTCAAGAGCAGCTGCGACCATTAATAAGCATTTACTTTGACAGAATGCACGACCAGAAAATCGCCCGCTCGGCGTGGCTTTCTCACGTACAGGGCTTTCTGGCATGGGGAGCTGGCTATCGAGACGAGAAGACCGGCAAGTTGATCAAATTTGACGGACTGAGCGGAAACCAGATTCTCTTGTTTCAGGCGATGGATGCCTTCCTCGGGATGGAATCCTATCTGTCTATCGAGAACTTGGAGCAGAATGTGCCGTTTCGACAGCGTGAGCTCTGCAGGCTGCTTCGCAAGCATAGTATTCGCGATAGGCTCGCCGATGAGCTGGATCCACATAACGACATCTTACAGGGCTTTGACCAAATTGTCAAGCGATTGAAGGCATGTGATCAGTAAAGAAATATTTTGAATGTGATTCTAACGGTTCATTTAGCTATTTCGGTCGGCGCATAGGACGCGATCACTGGACTATCTCAGGCAACCAGCTCCTGAACGCCACCCAATGACTGCGGGCAAGTCGATGCTGAGTTCTGATCTTGAAGAGAGTTTGTCTGTGTTGGATGGGCTCATGGTGAATAGATTAAAGGAAACTGTGTAGATAGATTTTGGTATTATCAGCAATTTAGGGTTTTTATCATACCATGTCTTATCTATGATTTTTCATCATTACATTACACCAGAAATCTGCTATAGCAGTAGGATAGACTCTAAGAGAATGCAATCATAATACAATGCTCATTCCAAATACTGGTATCTGACTCAAATCTATGCGAGTATAGGCTATTTTATGTGTCTTGCCCATCTGCAAGGCTGAGTAGGGCCTAGTTGTCGAGGGCGTATTGGCTGGCGTATTCGTCCCCACGCTGGCGTATTACGCCTCCGCTGCGACGGTCCGTAATAAGCTTACTTCAAAGCGGGCTTTTATTTACCGATACCGAGATCTATAGATATTTCAAATCGCCTGTATTTGAAATATATTTCCGATTATTTGGGTTGCAGCTACTTATTCTTCCTATATAAAGAGAAACCTCAGTTGTCCATCACGACGCAATGAGCAACAACACAACACACCAAGCTTCGTCCACAATGACCGACACAATTCAATTCAACGAATTCTACAATGTAAGTTCAAAGTCTTCTCAAGAAGAACAAGATCGCTAATTGAACTAGATCATCTCCAATGAGAAGCGCTCTGCTGAGCAAGTGCATCACGGCATCGATCCCGCCACCGAAGAGACTCTCTGGCCCGTCCCAGTAGCCAGTCAACAGGATCTAGACGAGGCTGTAGCTAGCGCTAGACTTGCTTTTACAGAGTGGTCTGCGCGAGATCATGCCGCGCGAGTCCAATGTCTTGGTGCACTGGCTGATAAATTGGAAGCGCATGCAAGCGAGCTGACTACGCTCCTCCACAGAGAAACTGGAAAGCCAGTACGTGCAAATTGAACCGGTTATCGTGTATCTAGCTAACACTGCTCAAGTTGGAATTTGCCAAGGGAGAAATTTTGGGAGGAATTGCTACCCTCCGAAGTCACTGTAAGTGTTCCGAATTCTCATTGAACTCAGTTTCTAACAGGTCGGCGCGATGCAGTAGCATGGTCAGTTCCGGACGAAGTACAAAAGGACGACCACGAGGTTAAGGTTGTTATTCAACATGCACCACTCGGAGCCGTGGCTGGAATTGTACCTTGGAACTTTCCCTTTCAGCTCTCCATTATCAAGATTGCTCCAGCCCTCGCTGTCGGCTGTACCCTGATCTTGAAGCCTTCGTGAGTAGCCATCCATCAAGCCAAATGGAGCGAACTGACACGGTATCGCAGTCCTTTCACACCGTATACAGCTCTTAAGATTGGCGAGATTGCTGCCCAGGTTCTCCCTCCTGGCGTGCTGCAGATTCTTGGAGGCGATGACAACCTCGGTCCTTGGATGACGCAGCACCCAGGCATCGACAAGGTTTCCTTTACTGGTTCCATCGCCACAGGTAAACGGGTAGTAGCAGCCACTTCTGAAACACTGAAGAAGGTCAATCTTGAACTGTACGTCTTCGTTTCGATCCGGATCGCACCTAGCTAACAAGATACAGTGGAGGAAACGATGCGGCGATCGTGACGGCCGACTTTGACCCGGCTGAGGCGGCAGCCATGGTCGCTCGAAGCACCTTTGCGCATTCCGGACAAATCTGCATTGCGACCAAGCGCATTTATGTTCATGAATCGGTGCTGGACGAGTTTATGGGGCACTTTACAGCGATTGTGCGAGGCTACAAGCAAGGTGAAGGTTTCTGTAGCCCGATCCAAAACAGGATGCAGTATGAAAAAGTCAAGTCTCTCTACCAATACTGCAAAGAAAACGGCTACCAAGTAGCCGTGGGATCCTGCGACAGGGCATGGAACGACTCAGAGCCTGGTTTCTACATGGAACCAGCGGTCATTCTGAACCCGCCCGACAACTCACGTGTTGTTCAGGAGGAGGCCTTTGGACCCATTGTGCCCGTCATGAGTTGGAAGGACGAGGAAGACGTGGTACGCCGTGCCAATGATACTCTTACTGGTCTTGGCGGCACCGTCTTCTGCCGGGACCAGCAGCGTGCGTGGAAACTCGCCAGTAGTCTCACGACTGGCAATGTCTGGGTCAACAGCGGGCTAAAGATGGATCCAGTTGCGCTGTTTGGCGCCCAGAAGCAGAGTGGTATTGGTTGTGCACTGGGGCCGCTTGGGCTCAAGGCGTTTACCACTACGAGAACCATCACGTACTGGAAAGACGTTGCGCCAATTGAGAAGGGGCAGACCAAGGCTGGTGGTCTGTTTGGCTGAGAAATGGGAGTTGAGAGGAACCAGGGTAACATGCTTGTTGGATTTTGAGTAGTATTATACAGCATATAAAGTGTATTATGGTGACCATCCTTGTCCCACCAAAGTCGTGTATGTAGACTGTCGTCGAGACACCTCATATCGTAGAAGTAACCGTTGCTTTGAGCGCATACATGGTTTCTGGCCACCATGAGCCACTACCGGCAGACAGTTCCGTCAACCAGCCGCGAGAGCGCGCCGCCGCCACGATTCTGCCCAGCTCCCAATGCCCAACATTGCCAATCCACCACACGCCGTCGATGAGCATCACCAGGACTAGCCAATGGGCAAAGATATCCATGGCTGGCTTGTGCATAGCGGCAACAACATCATCTTCTGAGATCATCTGTTCTTGCAGATGCGGTGACTGTGCCTCATTGACGTCTGTTGGCATAACATCGAGAAACGACTGAACAACTTGTAGAAACTCTGTAGGCACACGATTGAGGAAGGACATTGTCATGCGCCGTGAGAGCTTTGACGGCGACGCAGACGTAACTCTTGACAGATATCTCGCAAGCCAAGGATATGCATAATTCGAGACACCCGTGCTTTGTGATGCTACTGTGTCTTGGTTGGGCGTAGCATCGCCAAGAATATTTTCAAAAATATCCTCCAGCAGCGCAAGTGCGGGCATAAGACAGGTTTCGAAGGCGCTTTCACCGTGTCCTGCGCTCCGTCTATCAGGCTGACATCTCGAGCGTAGTTTATGCAGAGCTGCCTGATAGCTAGCGGAAACAATAGGCAGGAGTAGTCGTTCCGTCTCCTTGGACGGACCATCCTCAGGGCTATTATTGTATGTAGATTCCGATGCTCGTTGCCATACGGATGGCGCCAATAACTCAGACTCTCCTTTCTCTGTTAACAACGCGTTCGGCGACGGGGCAGCAGCCGGTGATCCAAAACTGCTACTATGCAAGCCTATATAGGCAGCATATGCCGCGCGGATGGATGTTATCCACTGCGACTGAGTGGGAAGTAAGTCCTTTAGTAATGCTGTTCCTTGGCGCTTCGCGTCCGTAGCAAGCTGGACTCGGACCTGGTGGCTAGAGAGTGCGTAAAGAACCATCAGCGCACCATTGGCGAGGACGGCGTTGAAGTTGCTTCTGCTAATGGCCTCTTGCAGCTGGCCGAGTGATGACCGATGATGTTTATCAGCCAGTAAGAGGAGCCCGCGTAGTTCCTCGAGACGGGTTGCTGTTGGCGGGGTTTTGAGAAGATCGTGGCATTTGCATGCGGCAGACAGCGCGAGGACTGATCCCATGACAGTCGGTGTGGTGAGGGCAAGATTTGGAATTCCGACATGAAGCGCAAAGAGATCGTCTTCATCAGAGGGTATGACACGACTAGTGTGCGTGATGAAGTGGCTGAAGAGTTCCAGCTCTTGGGAGCTGAGAAGTGGTGATGTGGTAGTGGCGATGCTCTCACATGACGGCGGCGGTAGTGCTGCATCTGATTGCGGATGATAGTTTTGATGTCCATGATGTTCTGATACTGGACTAGAGCGGTCTGCATTTTGTTGATGCTGCCGTCTGAGGTGGCGATGCGGTACTGTAATGGATACAATGTCCTCCTCTTCATACGGACCAGGCGCGTAGCTGCAGCGAATCTTTTGCTTGACACAGCGTGAGCAGCCTGGCTTCAGTTCATCGCACTAATGGACATGGTCAGTATTTTATAAGGCAACCGGAGAGCGTGATCTCACCTTTTTCCTTAGCGTCTTGCATCGTAGACAGCCACCTCTTGACTTTGCATGCGCTCGACGCTGTCTGGAGCTATTGGCACCGCCGGCGCTCCGTGTAGACATGATTATATTCTACAGGATTTTATATGGGAATATTGATGCGTCATGACGGTTGGGCTGCGTGGCCTTACTTGGTGTTGTAGACTTGGTGTTGTAGATGGAAGACGAAGAAGGTATTGCTGTTCTTGGAGATCTGCGCCTGGGAAAGCAAGGCGGCGGGTCCATGCAGCATAACCCTAACACTGATGTCATGCTACAAGTCTAGCATCCGCAATCTATCGGTCCATCACATTTGCAATTGACAAAGTAAACTGCCCATAAATACTGAATTAAACTATAGACTAATATGTACTGAGTTTATCACTACTATTTGGGAGTAATTACAACTGAAACAGTAGTTGGGCTCGTCAAGCTGCCAGATGTAAACAATGCCAGCGTGCGCTCATCGCGAGTAAAAGACAGCAAGCTACCCGCAGGCGTCACTTGGACATGGTATCCGCGTGGAAAAGAGCTTACTGGCAAGATGATTTCCGTTGGCGCGCTAATAGTTGGGTCCGTCACGAATTGCAGCTTGAATGTCGCAGAACTCTCATCGTATCCGAAGCTCTTTGGTTCACCAGCGACAGCAGAAGGGTATGCGCGGCTGTAATGGACAGCAAGTTCTGGATGCGGCTTTCCAGTAGATCCATCGTAGAGGTTCTCGTATGCCCATCCCATCCACGAGACCATGTTGGCGTCAGCAGCGGTGACTGCGTCGGTTATGCTCTGCATCTGCTTCGCATCTCCCATCCAAAACGTGAATTCCGTCATCACAGCAGCCGTTTTGAGTCGGATGCTGTCCTTGCGACGGTTATACAGAGTGTCGGAGATGGAGCCAAGTTGCGGGGGATGGTAGTAGTGGAAGGATTGCACGGTTTTGGACCCGTCGCCCAGAGGCACGTTGTTGAAACCAGACAGCACGTCGGTAGTAACGCCTTCAAACCAAATGAGTGTGTCGTTGTCAACTGTGCGAATTTGAGCAGAGGCGCGATTCCACAAACCCTCCAAATTTTTGTGGTCAGCAACACCAGGTACAAGCAAGCTAGGACTTGCCCAGCTATCGCCGACCCAGGGCTCATTAAGCAGATTGTATCCTGCGATATTCACTGACTGGCTGTACCCCGAGGCCAGCTTTTTCCAGTACGCAGCAAAAGCGTCACCCAGCCCGTCATAGTTGTTGTAAAGGCGTCCGAATGCGTTGGCAACTGCGACGGTCGTGTAGCTCAGCGCAAAGTTCCAGCTCTCTGAGCCACAGGCAGATGCTGGAGATGGGAACCCGTTTTGATCGACTGTGTTGGGCTTTGCCAGGGGGAAGGGATACCTTTCCCATCCTGGTACCCAATCTGGTTGAATAAACCACTAGAATATCCAAATTAGCAGCGGAGCGTTGTCTTCATCATACCAGCTTACATCAGGCACACCATTGCCGCAAAACTTTCGTCCGAGGACATCTTGGTGTACATCCACGAGCACGTACATGCCATGCTTCTCGGCCAGTTCGGTCTGCGACTTCATGATTTGCAGAAACGTCTCGTTATACTGGCCTCGAACAGGCTCTGCTCCCGTCCAGCTATGACCGAGACGCACAATATTGATCCCCAGATCATGTAAGTTCTGTGCATCTTTCTCGCCAAACGAGGATGTGCCCGGCACCCATTCTGATGGGCGGTACCACGGGGCCTCTTTCATGACGACGTTGGTTCCATGAAAGAAGCGAGTGCGACCGAATTCGTCAAGTATTTGGTACGTAGCCTGGTTTACGCGTTTGATTCGCGCGGTTCCTGGGTGGGCATCGTACCAGCCGTGAACATCCTGCGCTGCAACGCCGGTGAGGCAGAGTACCTGGGCAGCATACACAATGTAACTGCGCATCGTTAAATATCCCAATAAATATAGAATTAAGATGAGCGCAAACGATATCCCGAAATCTCCACAAAATACTGGTAAATTTGAACAGAATGGAAGAACAGTGCTGGACAAATACAGGTTCTATATAAGCGATTCTGGGTAAGGGCTATAGTTGCCCACCACTTATGCTACATCGCTTATGCGGTGCAATATATTTCTTGATTGTAGCCGCGGTAGCTGAGAGCGGGGTACAGGCGATCCAACCCGGTGCAGTTCGTGAGCGGTACAGGGTTACATTGCATCCGCTATACCGTCAGGGCCATTAAGAGGGGAGTCTCCGCTGTAGAGCATCCCCCGGCTACGCCAGACATGTGACGAACCATACTATACAGCTCATACTTCGGAACACGCCTCGTAGCGTCCACCTTGGAACGGATGGTTGCGCAACTAAGAGATCCGTTGCGGGGAGAGACGCCGATGATCCTGAAACTACCGACATACCCCGGATTCTCCACTGGAGGAGCGGGATTATATATACGCGTACTGAGAAACCACTAATAGTCTTGAAATAAAGCCTTTGAAATGTCATCGGTAGTTACTGTTGGTAAAAGCCACTAGAGGAATCCAACCTTAGAACAGTTCCTTAGAACAGTTCGAGTTGAAGTTCTGTTCCTATGTGGCTGACTTCTCGGTGGTCGGCGGTTGCCGCACAGCCAAAGCCTCGATCGCCTTACCAGTGGTTATCGATGCACGGCGTCTATTCGCTTCCTTATTCGAAACCATGTCTTATATATAAGCTTGTCTGCAGAATCCAGATAGTGTAAATGACATTGATTGGAAATTTTCGGTGCTATTCGAACTATTTACCCAATCTAACCAACTGTACTAATTTTCTAGTTAAGAATGGCAAAATATCTTGGATTGCGAGCATCATCCCTTAATAGGGCAATTGCCTTGCTGGTAGTCTTTCCAGCGTTTGGCTGCTATGCTTACAATTTGGCAGTCATGGGCGGTTTATTGACACTCGACTCGTTTATCAGGACCTTTCCCTCGCTGGACACTATAACCACAACCGGTGCTCAGCAAGAGTACAACGCCAAAATACAAGGTAACTGTCATCTGTCCAACACCCGATAACTGCGTCCTAATATTCTGTCATAGGAACTGTCATTGGACTATACAACATTGGTGGCATTTTCGGCTCCCTGCTGTGCATCTATTTTGGCGATCGTTTAGGGCGTCGAAGTGTCATTGCCATTGCTTCCTTGGTGGCCATGGCTGGCGCTATCCTCATGGCGACGTCTTTTCAATTGGCACAACTCATCGTTGCGAGACTGATTCTCGGCTTAGGAACTGGTGGCTATCTTGCGACAGTTCCCGTTTGGCAGTCTGAACTCTCGCGCGCCACTAAGCGAGGTGCTAGTCTGGTTTTCAATACCGCTTACATCGGCTCTGGCATCAGCCTCGCGCTGTTCCTCGATCTTGGTGTATACTTTGTGGGAGACAATTCCGTTTCTTGGAGGTTTCCATTTGCTTTTCAAGTCGTCCTTCTGGCTATGGTGGCATTCTTCGTGTCCGTCCTACCAGAATCTCCACGATGGCTGGTGAAAAAGGGACGCCGGGATGAAGCACGCGAAATTCTTTCTATTCTGCTAGGTACTGAGCCTGGGTCACCTGCAGTACGCCTTGACATCCAAGAAATGGAAAATTCACTCGCTATATCAGCATCTGGAGCGCGATGGGGCGTGTTTAAGATGGGAAAACAGCGAACTATGCATCGAACATTGCTTGCGTCGGCTGGCCAGTTCTTCCAGCAACTTTGTGGCATCAATGCCATCACTCTTTATACCACGACACTCTTCGAAGGTTTTCTTGGATTGGGTCCCGTCCAAGCACGTGTTCTTTCCGCTTGCATCGGCCTTGCTGATATTGCTGGGGGCGTAGTCGCCTACTATACAATTGAGCGCCTGGGACGCCGAATTCTCATGATGTCAAGCTCAGCAATGCTGTGCATCTGCATGGCCATTCTTGCAGGTACCACTTCTGATCCTACTAACGACAGTGCGCTTATAACGGCCGTGGTGTTTGTCTACATGTTTGAAGGTGTCTTCTCCGTCGGATTTTCCGGTCTACCGTATCTCTATGCTGCTGAGGTGGCCCCTCTCGAACACCGAGCAGCAACGAATGCGATTTCAACAGCGACTGTATGGGCATTTGCATTTATGGTTGCTGAAGTGACACCTGTTGGCTTAAACGGCATCAAGAATCGATACTTCATCATCTACGCAGCCCTCAATGCTGCCATCACGCTGCTGGTCTACTTTTGTTTTCCGGAAACCAAGGGCCGGACACTGGAGGAAATCGATGAAATCTTTGTGCAGTCCAAGAACATTTTTGACCCGCCTCGTATCGCGCGTATATTGCCTCGGCTTGAAAGCAGCCATGTTTTGTCCGATTTGAAACTGGATACAAATGAAGAGCAATTGCCCGAGGCACACAAATAGCCGCAAGAAAAGGCTTGCAAAGCCTCTGCTACACAGCAGGCTGGGTTAATCCAATAGCGATGGTAAGCATAACAAGTGAAAGGGTTGGGTTCTTTTAAATCACATTATAGTTTAATTTATAAAACAATTCATAACTATACAACAGATATTCCCCCCACCCATCCCAATATCCGTTTCGACGAGCACGATGACGTCTGGTCTTGGGACGACCCTTGCCCTTCGAAGATGAACCTGTGCTGCTGCTTGCAGTTCCTGTAGTTGACTTGTCAGCACCGGTGCTTTTACCCGTACCAGTAGTTTTTCCAGTTCCAGTCGTTGTCGTTCCGGTGCCAGTAGTAGTTTTTCCAGCTCCAGTAGTAGTTTTGCAAGTGCCTCCTGAGATTGTCTTACCAGTTCCAGTAGTCTTATCAGTTCCAATAGTGGTCTTTCCGGTACCAGTGGTAGTCTTGCCGGTTCCCGTATTCGAGTTGTCGGTTCCCGTGGCGGTCTTACCAGTGCCAGTGGTGGCCTTTCCAGGACCCCCCGAAGTCCCTGTAGAGCTCGATCCAGGTCCACCGATTCCACCAGTTCCACCTGTAGTAGTTCCCCCAGCACCTCCAGTACCTGCTGCCTTAGGTTTCCATTGCCCTCTGGCGTTCTTTTCTAGCTCTATCCACCTTCCGCCAATCTTTTCAAGAACCTGAGTAACAGCAGTCCATGGAATTAAACGTTTGACTGCGAATTCCAACTCCTCTGGGTGAGGACTTGTCTTGCCAATAGTCCGGAACTCCTCATTGACATTAAAGATTAAATCTGTGATCCTAGATAAGTCAATGGTATATTGGAAGGTTCTTCCACTCTTCTGGAACTCTCTAGCTTTGTCCTGGCTACTGCTTGTTGACACAAAAGGATCAAACGCACGAGACTATGGAGGCGTGTACACTTTTCCGATATGAGTGAACATGGTTATTCCATTGACAATCGGCGCCCATCGCTCATTTGCAAGTCTGATCTTTTTAGTATTGCCTGAAGTTCTGGCAAGGCTCAGCTTCGAGATACCCATACTCTATAGAGCCGATAACTTCCATCTCCTCTGGCGTACGGTCATCGCCTCGATAGACAATGGCAGTTGTAACGGTGCCAGGGATTGGAGTAAGGCCGTCTCCAGCAGTGATGAGGGAAATGAGGAAACCGAATAAGCACAGGAGAGTGTATTTGAACATGTTGACTCCGTCGAAAGTATTGTAAGTTGTTAGTTCTTCTCTTCTGATAGAGAAGGAGCAGTTAGGCGTTTTATTGTAGCTCAATTAATTGATGTAATTTGAAAATTATCACAACATGTAATTTGTCGAAGATCACTCTTTGTCAGAGGCTTGTACTAGCTTCGAACCCTAGTTGTAACATAAATAAGTCTTGTCAGCCCATGATATTATCACATGAGATGGTAGAGGAAGACACTATCAAGACTGAAAATAGTTAGGAAATAGCTCTAGAAGGCATATCTCGAGACGAATATGCGACTTGCAAGACCTCTTTTTTCAATTCAAGCCGACTCGGTATTTTATGTGGCAGGGCTTTCATTGATCTGAATCCTACTTGAAATCAGATCACTGATACATAGTTCGACATGCGTCTCAACATGGGTCCGTGTGGTCGCACTGGTCGCCTAGCTAGCCTTCGAACATCTTAGGCAGACCGTTGCCACATACAACTTGCTTCTTACAATCGCATAGTGCAACCTCAACATTTGTTCTAGAATTTGACCATCATGGTCGGTGTGAGTACCGGTTTCGATAATAAAGCATTGATTAACTCACCTCATATCTTCAGACAGATACAAGGGCAACGGAGCGTCGAACAAGCCGGGCTAGCACAGCCAGCACAATAGATAAAGCCAGCAGAGCAAGCATGGAAACCACAGAAACCATGGATACTACACAAAGCATAGTGCCGACAGAAATTGAAGAAGAACCGGAGCCGACTGCAGAAATTTCATGGCCCGTATGGCAGCTGCCATACAAAAACTCTGCCATGGCCCCTTGGAATATCACCATCAGCAGAGACGATTTTGAGTGTATGTTGGAAAGTTTTGAAGCTTGGCATTACAACGATATATGGTCCGTCAAACCTATGCCTCAAGAGGAATCCTCCAACACAACACTTGTGCACTTCGCCCGCTACATGGCCGAGACGCCTGACTACTCCATCGTAATACACGCAGGTCTGGATAGCAGCGGTGAGGAGAAGATAACTATTTTATCTATCATATGGGAAACAATAGAGACCTTATGGAGTGCGACAGGCGAACAGATTTCAGAGGACTACGCCAAACGAGAAGTTGTCCTCTTGTCGCGGCAACATTTGGTATGCGAGTTGCCCGGCCTCGAAGAGTTGCAGTACGACGAGTGGTGGCCTAAATGGGCAGCCTGGAAGAGCCGTATACTTGCCAGTATACCAGATCGTACTAATACGCAATCAAATAATGTTGATCCTGAATGAACTCTGTCTGTGAGCTATATTGGAAGTATACGAAGGTTAATCTTACTATTCGCATATACAGAGGTGGACAGCTATAGTCTGGTAGACTCGATGCATTGGGTTGAATTTAACTAGAGCTACAGTAACTACTCTTGTCTCACATCGACGCCTTATATTTATCACGGTTGCCACGAGGTCAACCCGTTCATATACCAGCTTATCGGTAGCAGACACAGACAAACGGGTTGGTGTAATATCCGCAGTAGGGGTAGGGGTCACAGCAGTAGTAGCCTCGGCAGGGCGGACCGCAGTTGTAGCAAGCTAATGTAATATGTTAGAAAGCTCCCGTGGTTGCTAATCAAATCATGGTGTTAAAACGTACCAGCGGGGGCGGCGGAGTTATCGCTGACAGCAGCAGCGAGCACAAGCTCCTTACCCTCAGGGATGGCGGTGAAGGCTAAGATATCATTAATAACGGAAACCAATTGAAATTAGTCTTTATGGTATAGTACCAGTGACGTCTTGTTTGTTGGCTTCGGGAGAAGGGGCACCAAGAGCAAGAGCTCCGAGGGCAAGGATAGCAAGTTGGAATTGCATAGTGAAAGATGAAGATTGTTTGGACTCAGTTGGGCTGTTGTCTGATTTCAAGTTTTAAAAATGGGTAAATTGAAGGGATAGGATGCGATTATATAGCTGTGCGGTCTTTGCACACGCAGTGTCTAGAGTAACTGCCCCGGAGAGCTGAACTAGAGCTGAACTCTTACATGGTGCATGCTGCCAAGATCAATAGAAAGCATGTATGTACATAAAGTTTGAGAACCGGTGTAAAATGGCTCCGATATTACGTTGAATAAGGCTCTGAGATGTGCGCTGGTTTCGGGAGGTTGCATATCGCGTTGATGCAAGATTCAGCTCTTGGGTCATGCCACTTTGTCTCGGTCAACACCATGTACCGCAATGTCACTTTGCTTGATCGACATTTTGGGAAGCCATGTTCAAACTTCTTCCTACGAGCACACGACATAGAGTTGAGTAGTGAAGGACTTCCATGATACATGCAGCAAAGGCTCCTTTTGGCAACATTAGCCTTGTCCAAAGTGCCAATGGAACCTAGCGGTCCCTTCTATTGGTTTGTTTCCAGGCTAGCCAATAGCTCGTAAAGGCCAGTCGTGACTGTGTAACAGACTCCCCTCATGGAATACATGTCTGCATGCAGGTGGCTAACATCCTGATCGTCAGTGACAAGAACCTTTTCGCGTTCTGGAATCCTTGTCGCCTATGCGAACTCCATGTGGACTGCTTGCCTCTCGTGGTGTTTGTGTCTCTGCAAAACTACCTCAACTTGAGATTGATACCACTAACATTTCCTAAATCTTTGTAGTAGCTATATGTAGCTGGAATGTCTTATTGGGTTGATTAGTCGAGCTTCGGGGAACGTCACCGTTACTTGTCGGAGGTTGTGATCCCCCGCAGTAAGGCTACTCTCCTCTCCTCACAAAGTTCTCGTCCATGCATGTGTGACAACCCCAAGCATTCAGCTCTTGGAGCATTCAGCTTCTCTCAGCCGTCGTATACTTTCGGCAACACTTGCGAGAGCCTGGTAAACTACTGGTTCGGGTGAATTTGTGCATCTACTCTTGGCTAAACTCAAAAAAAGTAGGTAAATCTACTTACTCGACATTCTCTACTCTATCTTTGCTCTTCCGTGTAACTACAGGTGACATTAACTTCACTCTACTTTTGTTAGAATACTATAGATACAGATTAATTGCTCTGGGCAGTCGATCTTTTTTCTGGGGTCTTTTCTATGCTTAAAATGATGATCAGGCTGCAGGGTCTGGCTCATAGTCGATCGACGGTGGGGAAGTGAGACACGGCAATAAAGGTTGCCAAGCAGTAATACGGGCGAATAACGCTGGAAGTACTATTTCAATTGCCGGGTCACCGGCCTTAACTAATACTATTATCCTCAGTTACAGAAATAACCAGAGGCGATGCCTCTGCACTTCATTCCCATTCGAGCCGACGCAACTGTTGTTAAGCATCCTCTCAATTTATTTGAAGATTGCTAAAGCCACAAGTGTTTCCACTGCCGATGTCCCGAAGCCCGATGGGCGGGGAACAATTCCTGACAGCTACGAAGCGCCATCACTCCGGACATCTCTGCGAATGATTGGTGGCGAAATCCGCCGCCTGCATCATAGCTGAGCTAGCTGAAGCAACGCCTAGACAATTCCCAGTGACAGTTATTGTGGGCCTTGCACGAAGTATTGTTCTATTGCAGATGGATGCATCTTTCATCTAATTTTAATATATTAATACAAGTATACTTTAACTACTATTATAGCTTGCTTGACGGGGAGAGGATGGTGGTGGCAAGCTTGAGCTGCTGTGTCGCCTCCTCCACCATCTCAGCTACAATTTCAGCAGCAGGCTGGATTTTTGTAATGGAGCCGGCAACCTGGCCCATGATGTGAGGAAAGTCAAAGTCCTCGCCAGTGTCAAGATCGTGCTCGAGCGGAACGATGCCCTTGTCGCAGAGCTCCTTGATCCTCTGTGGCTGGTCGTGCCACTTTTGAATGTACTCGTTCACCTTCAGGCGTAGAGGGCGTCCGCTAATAACCAGCGTCTTCTCCGTCTGGTCATAGTCGCAAGTCACAACGCCCTCCTTATGCTGGTCCGAGGTGCCGCCCTCGGCCGAGGCGACGAACCGCGTGCCGACCCAGACGCCCGCGGCGCCCTGCATCAGCGATGCTGCCAAACCGCGACCATTCGAAATGCCACCGGCGGCAACAACGATAGCGCTGTGGCCCTTGAGCATGGGCGGCTTGTAGTTCTTCGCAATGTCGACGACGGCCGGGATCAAGATGGACGTGGCGACGTTGCCCGTGTGGCCGCCGCCCTCGCTGCCCTGGGCGCAGACCATGTCGATGCCCATATCGAGGGCCTTTTTGGCGTGCTTCGGGTGCCCGACCATGTTCATGACGAGGATGTTGTGCTTGTGCAGCTTGTCGATAACCCACTTGGGCGGCGTGCCGACGGCCGAGACGAAGATGTGCGTCTTGAACTCGATGGCAAGGTCAATCAGCTGGTCGAGCTTGCCGTTGGTGTAGTCGTGGTTGGTCTTGCGTGCGCCGCCGCCGACCTTGGGCAGGGCTAGATCGAGGCCCCAGGGAAGATCGGGGTGCTTGAGTAGCGACTTGAGCTCGGCAATGATCTCGCGGAGCTGCGCAGGCGAGTACATGATGCCACCGACAACACCGATGCCTCCGGCGTTGGATACGGCGGCGGCTAGCGGCGCATTGGCAACATGTGCCATGCCGGCGAGCATGATGGGATGCTGGATGCCCAGTACCTGGGTCAGCGGTGTCGTGAGGGGGCCGGTGGGAGCCATTGTGTTGCGTTGGTGATGGGAACCGAAGGGTGAATGGGACAAAAGCACAAGATGTCGCTTCTCTAGCCAATCTCAACGAACTATGAACCGCAAGGCCCCAAGCTATATATAAATGGGGGTTTGCGACGCTCATTCGGCGTCTCCAGCGCTTGACGACGCTAAGCGAGTCGGCTATACTACATCATCGTCATGCCGAGGCACCAACCCCGCAAAATGGCTTAGCGGCGCCGTTGCAAAGCGGCGACAAAAAAAATAGTGTAGATCGGACTCGGACTGTCTTTAATGATTTGGGGCCGCTTTGGGACATTTTCTCGGCGTGCGTGGGGTGCGCTTGAGGCGCTTTTACTGCCATAGGGCCACATCGTAACACTTTTACCTCAAACAACCAGTTTATATATTGGTTTACTCTTAGATAGCCTTTGCTGATGCCCTTTTAATCACTATAGTATGAGGCCATAGTAGGGCTGATCTAACCTGCTTGGGATACAATCGCCAGGCCAAGATTTCCGCGTTGCATGTTCGGCGCCATTCCATGAATGACGTCGACGGCAAAGGTATCTAGATCCAGGACGCGATTCAACCGCACAATCTTCATCATGGTTTCGTCGCAATGTTGGCTCGGGCTGAGTGTAGTGATGCAGCCTCTTTCACCACCAGGCGCGTTTTCTCCTGGGCCTAGCCCGGCAAGACACCCGCTTTCAATCTTTTCAATGACGCTGGTGCAGAACTCGATGGACTGGGAAACATCTGTTGCGCTTAGCTTACCGCCCGCGTCGATGGTGCCTTGGATAACTAGTAAAACGGTCGGTTAGAATATACACTGAAAAGAGAAAACGAAAGAAGCTGGGCATACTCGGCTTGAAATGCTCAAATGCAGTGTCGAAGCCAGGCTCATCGACCTCGTTTAATATTGGTACCTCCCGCGCATATACCTGCTCTAGCGAGCCTGACACCACCATCAGGAAGCGAGTATACGCCTCGGCTACCTTGCGCGAGTGCCACGCCACGGCGTCGTCCTCGCTGCAATGGCCTCGCAGCGACGCGCAAATCGTGGTGGCTGCCGAAAGAGCACTGTTCATGGCGAGGTGGACGCCGGACGAGAAGAAGGGATCGATGAAACAGCCTGCATCCCCCGCAATGCGCAGGTAGGGGCTTGCGTAATCGGATGCTCTGTATGACCAGTCCGAGGCAGTCTTGATGTCGTCCGATCGCATGTGAGCCGTCTCCAGAAGCTTGCAGATGACTGATGTCTGTTTGAGAGTGTTGAGATAGAACTCCCTCGAGTTGGCTGTGCCACTGGCTTGCTTCTTCTGGGCTAGCAATTCCTGTTTAATAATGATACCAACGGAAACGCTGCCGTCGTGCAGGGGAATGAACCACGCCCAGCCACTTCCATCTAAGTGTATCGAGTTAGCAGTGCATAATAGACTAATATAGCTTGCAGATTATGACTGTACAACCACAAAGTGCTTTTCGTACCTTGAATTGCCTCGGAAATTGGATCACCTGGAGTAGGCCCGTAGCTTCCAGCAGACTCCCAGTATCCCCAGCTTGCCACGCTTTTGAGGCCCTGGTTGTACTTGCGATTCTTCAAATACTTCGTGCTGATCATGCCGGATCTTCCAGACGCATCGATGAGATATTTATATCGTACTGTTCCGCACTCGCCGTCCACGTTTCGCTTCCAAGACGCAGATACGGGGCGGCCGAGATCGCCAGCGTTGGCCGCCGGTTCAAAGCCCACCGCGGTGACCTTGACCCCATCAAAGACTTTGGCACCGCTCTTGCCAGCGTGCTCGAATAGGAGTTGGTCAGCTTCGGAGCGAATCACGTTCCATGAATAGTTTCCGGCGCCGCCAGCAGCGACAAAGTTGGTATCTACCAAGGTCAGTCACGTACTTTCAACTAGTGTGTCGCAGCCATAGACAAAGAAGGGAATTTGAGAACAGGCCGGACTTACATCCTGGCGGCAAAGAATTGAATTTAAACGAAGCGCCATGCTGCGTAAAGAGTGTATGTCAGTATACTTGCGGATAGAGTGACAAGCTCGCCAAGTTACCTTTTGCAAAAAGCCGTGCTGGTCAAACTTCTCGTCGAGATCGATGAATTTAAGAAAATATCGGAATGACGGCAAGAGACTCTCTCCAATATGGTACCTGGGAAACGTCTCTGCCTCAAGCACAACGGTATCAACGCCCTCTCGCGCCAACACAGAAGCTGCGTATGAGCCTGCTGGTCCGCCGCCTATCACCAAGACGGTGCATTCCTCTGGGATAGACATTTTTTTGTTAAATCAATAAAATCGAGACAGTAGACAGTATGCAGCGTGTAGGTTATTAGTGTAGTATTCCTTCTTGAAACCTATGAAAAAAGGAAACTGTGCACCCCAACTTTTTATTTACTCTACACTTGGCCTTAGCCATAGAAGAACTGCACATGCAATGCTAGCATTCATGCGGGGCGGCTGATATGCAACTACCGTAGATCAAGAAACTCTGTGCCGTGTCTGATCAGACCTTGAATTGATGCGGAGCCATAAAAGCCACATTTATATGCCGGAATGTGACTATGAGAGGACGATATGCTGCCTAGCAAAAGCGCCACTAAAACTGCCGCTTGATTGCATCAGTATTTAAGCTTTTCTGTGCAATTATACTCTCTGGGGGTGTGTTGTGGTCTGGTTTGCCCCCTTACATAGGTCCTCGCGATCGTTATGAGGCATAAGAGAAATATTGATTACCATAAATATCGGTGAAGTAAAGTATAACACCAGAGCCGATATTCAGCCTAAAGATATAGTTAGTGTTGGTTCATGTCCGTTCCGTGATTCCGAGATCGACAAGCCACCTGTGACACTTTACGGGCCGGCGCGGATCAGCCGCTCCCGACAGATCGTCCATAGTCAATTACCGACCGCTGGACCTACAGCTGCATTGAGTAACTTTGCTGTCAGTGAGTCGACCTGGGTCACGGAAAGGCCCGAGGTTGACACTCTCTAAGGACATTAAAATGTCATCGTAACTGAGGGAAACATGTAATAGCATACGGAGTAGAAGTTAAAACTTGTATTAAGCACAAGATCAAGGCCATATGGTTCAAGAATAAAAAGGTAAACATCAACAATCTGTTCGGTCAACAAGCTACGCTTAGTCCCAGTTGCCTTCACAACAGTCTTCCACGTTGTCGTGCTGCGTGTAGGTGACGTCGTCCATCAATAAACCAGTGACTGCCTCACCCTCGCCAGTCGGGAGACCTACCAGTTTAGCGCTGACCTTTATCACCTTGGCAGGTGGGAGATGAATTTCAGCAACATTCATATCGCTTGCTAGGCCGTTCGGTGTGAAGTTCGCCGACTGTGTACCCAACAGCGTGCCGGCAGCATCGTACGCAGAGAGGTCCATCTGGCATGGCAATGGAACATTGAACTCCGCTTCATTACTCAGAGGCGTGCAGCCAAAGTAGAGCTTCTTAAGTGTAAAACACTTGCCCATGGCGACAAAGCTGCCTTTGGCAGGCTTTCGAACGATGGCAAGATTCGGATACGAGTGTGCCTCGATGCCGGTCAATGAGTTGGTGCCTTCGCCTTTGGAAAAGTACTCAAAGTTGTCGTAGTTTATGCCGCCGTCAGTCGTGAACCTCGGGGGATCACCGACAAGGTGGCCACCAGTATCGGGAAGGTCGTCAAACTAAGAAAACGATTTCGTTGTCAGTGTTATGTTGTGTGCTGCAAGCTTCAAGGTATTTTTCCTTACAGTGTCAGTTTTGTCTTGAGAGACAACAGCCCGAGCTTGGACAAGGCCAAAAGCCGCGCAAGCAAGTACCATAGAAGGACGCATGTTCACTTGATTAGTTTTTGTTTACTTGATGGTTTGAATGATGGAGTTCATGGCTAAACCTACGGATGACTGTGCCAAACGAGGCCGATTTAGATATTTATTTTCTTATCTAGGACGGGTGGATTCGCTAAAACAATTACTTCATTAGGAGGATCATGGCAAAGACATGCTGATCTTAATTCATCAGCCGTGAGGTTGCTATGACACGCTCATACTGGTAGCGTTAGCCAATTGTGCCTACACAGGACAGCCTGTAAGGAAGAGAGGCTACAGTAGCTCTAAACTAAAGTAGTAGCGCAGAGTAGATCATTCTCGTTGCTGGTTACCCTTCGAATACAAGTTTTTCTCCAGATAAATTAGCTGTCAAGTAGCATCAAATTAAAAGAGTGAGATTGATCTACTCAACTTCTCGCTTGCAGCCACTCATATCACAAATGTGTTTCAATCGCCGGGCCGATCGCTGCGGAGGAGAAACATGGGCTGCATCAGCCGTACCGTGTTATATTAGCCGTGCCGTGTTTTCCCACTCTTTTGAGCGTCCGATAGGCCCCCAATCACCCGAAAAGAAAATCATAGGCGAGCTGGGATGTCGTTGCCAACACGGGTGGTTTCAGCCACTTTTTGCCAACGCGGTATGATAACGGTCTAAAACCCTAGTCGCCGAAGCTATCCATACCGCCGTCTTACGGAGCTTGCTGGAGAGAGCACTACGCTGTGAATCTCGTTGTAGGCAATGGTTTCCTATTATGATATATCCAATCCTTTTTAAACAATAGTTCTTATTTTCGGGACAAGTTGTGAATAATTACATAGGTTTTAGAAGTCACCAATGGTCCAGCATGAGTGCGCCTATCGGATCCCTGCAGCTGTTTGCGTTGTCCATTTCCCCCCAAATCAATATATGTTGGCTGATCTGCATGAAAAATTCTACCACGGTCGCTCTTCGTTCGTGTTCTATTGCATTCCCCTAAATAATCGTCATGTCCGAGTCCTATGACATTGTCGTCGTAGGCGCTGGTAAGCTGTCCATTTGCTACCATACAAGAAATCAGTCCCCAGTCTAATGGAGTATAGGGTGGTATGGCCTCGCCGCTGCGAGAGCTTGCGCGCATCTCATCTCCAACTGTAAAATCGCCATTTTGGAGCGTGGAGAATCATGCGGCGGAACGTGGTCCAAAAATCGACTCTATCCTGGCCTTCGATCGAATAATATGTTTAACACTTTCGAATACCCAGACTTTCCCATGTTGGGAGCAAAATACAATGTTGGCAGCGATGAGCACATTCCTGGGCCGGCCATTCACGACTACTTGACTGATTTTGCCAAGCATTTTGATTTGCTTGGCAAGATCCAATTTAACGTAAACGTTGACTCGGCGGAAAATCTTGGTGATAACGGGTGGGAGCTTGCAGTGACTGGACTAGAAGGCGCCAAAAGAGTGGTTACAGCGCGGAAGCTCATTGTCGCAACGGGTCTAACGTCGGTTCCTAATATGCCACACTATAAAAACGCAGAGTCTTTTGAAGCTCCTATTTTCCACGTCAAGGATTTTGGAAAGCGGTCCAGAAACGGTGATCTTGAGGGAAACAAGAACACCGTTGTGGTAGGGGGTGCCAAGTCAGCCTTTGACATTGCCTACTCCATGGTCGAAGCAGGCTCAACCGTTGATATCGTCATTCGCGACAGTGGAAATGGTCCTGCCTGGATGGCTCCATCGTTTGTGACGCCTCTCAAGAAACGGCTTGACTTTCTTCTGTCCACTCGGTTGCTGACGTGGTTCAGTCCATGCCCATGGGGTCCAGAGGATGGATATTCTCGCATACGACGATTTCTCCACGGCACCGCAGTGGGAAGATTCATCGTCGACTCATTTTGGAAGATTCTGGAAGGCGACGTTACGACGAGCAACGGGTATGACGACCAACCTGAGACACGGATGCTGAAGCCTTGGAACGCGGCCTTTTGGTTCGGCGGCGGTTTGGGCATTTTGAACCACGGCAAGAATTGGTTTGATCTTGTAAAGAGTGGCAAGATTCGGGTACATATTGGGCAAGTTGATCACCTAGAAAAAAGAGCAGTCTTGCTAGCGGACGGTACGACGCTTAGCGCCGATGCCATCATCTGCGCCACGGGTTGGAAAAAGGTACCGTCTATCCAGCTTCTTGGTGGCACTACCAAGACTAGTGGTATCTTGGAGCTCGATCGCTCGCCGGAAGATCTGAAGCTACTGAAAACAAGAGCGGACAACGAAATTCTTGCCTCTTTCCCTCGACTCAAAGATCAGCCAAAATCTCTCTCGAAGGAGCCAGCATCTGCGCCTCCGCGTCTCTATCGTTTCATGGTGCCGCCTGCTAAACTCTTCCAGCACACAATTGCATTCGTAGGGTTCATGTCGACTGCAACTACCGGCCCTTGTGCTTACGCGCAAGCTCTTTGGGTAGCTGCGTATTTTCGTGAAAATGTTGACAGGATGCCTCGGAGCGAAGACGAAGCCATTAGAGATACCATGCTGCATACGCAATGGGGCAAATGGCGACATCCAACCGGATACGGAGCTTCGATACCAGATTTTGTGTTTGATGGTGTCCCGTACATGGACATGTTGTATCGCGATCTAGGGCTGAACAGTCACCGCAAAAAGGGCTGGATGAGCGAGCTGGTCAGTCCGTATTTACCAGCTGACTATGCTGGTTTACTGGATGAGTGGGAGGCAAAGAATCTATAGACAAGACAAGCCTAGCATACTCACGATTTTATTTTACAATTGTTGAAGTGAAAATTCGCATCCAAGTTTCCCAATCATCGGTGATGAGCTAACTTGTACGGCGGGGTTATAGACGAATCACCTAAAAGGTTACTGATCATATAGAAATCACATTTGTATAAATAGATTCAGTCTATTTCTAATGATTGAAAGTTGTTTTAGGTGCTATCGGCCAACTATAAGGAACATTGGTGGACTTGTTTCTTGTTTTGTGTATTTTTAGCCCTGCATGGATTCTCGGGCAAAAAAGAGGCGTTGGGGGCCGTTCGTGGTGGCCGCGCACATGGGCCGACACGTTTTTCAGCTGGAAATACATGATGATGGACTATGAAAGCAGACCTGTTCTCAAATTCAACGATACAAAATTCGGACAAAAATATAAAAATACATACAACAGCCGGTGTTCGCTGGTCGTCACCGACCCAACTACTAATCTGCCGATTACAGGCTTATCTATGGGAGAGCGGACGGGATCCCGAGTTCTCCTGTATCTATGGTCGTATGTACCAATGTGTTTAATAGTATTGCCTATATATTTAACTGAATCAGTAAAGGTATGATACTAAATATTTTATAAAGTGGTTCACGGGCGAGCGCCGCAGTCAAAAACACATACAAATGAATACAAAATTTATTCCACCAACAACTCCAATTTAAATACAAAAATACTACTAAAGAATTCTAGAGTAAAGAATAATTAGACTTTTTAGTTAATTTTAAATCTTAGAGATTTTTAATATCTAGAATATAGCTAGATAGAAAAAGTGTGCCCAAAACTCCTCAGTTTTAATAACTAACTATATTCTAAATTAACTATATTTTTTGAGATTAAAATTGATTAAGAAAGTTTATTTTTCTTTACTATAGAATATTTTAGTAGTATTTATATATTTAAATTGGAATTGTTGGTGGAATTAAATTTGTATTATTGATTGTGGTTTTGACTGCGGCGCTCGCCCGTGAACCACGTTACGTTAATTCATTGTAAAGATGAATGCATTGGAAGAATCCTCGCAGATGAATCGCAATATATTGAAAACTAAGCGGATAGTAGTAGTAACCAGTGCCAATCTAGTAAAATGGTCTATCCTCTACAAAGCGTGCTCAGCGCTAGCGGCTTCTTCGACCATAGCAGAGACCTAAAGATCAATTAGGATATGGATACATAGAATATTGTATCAATATATTAAAAAAATTATAAGATAGCTCTGGGTGGAAAGAATAGCGTCAGCAGTTGCAATATTATATTTTATATGTGCTGGTGAAGTACTGGTGAGTGTGTTGTGTGAGGTCAGGCGCTGCTTATATCTCGGGCATCGAAAAGACAACGGCCTCGTAACATAAATTTAAACGGATGCATTAATTTGATAGTAAATTCTGCTTAAAATGAAAGGCATCCTATAGTATTCTATTCTAGTAAATTATTCTTGAACCGTCAATTTCTCCCTATACTGCTCAAGCCACCACTTCGTCAGGCAGCGTAACCTTAGTTCTCGGAATGGCTCTCAACCGATTTTTCGAATCGAGGAAATTCAAAAATACCTTGACAAAGGACGGCACCCATCGGAGCATTGTAGACATGAATCCTGCCGAATCAATCGCGTGCTTCTGGCCATCTCGCGAAATTTGAACGGCCGCATGACCGCGCTGGAGCATCTCAGCATTATAGGCATCGATTGTCGCTCGGATCGCTGCAATGTCGCCATCCTTGTTTTGATCGTGTAGCTCAATAAGATGCTTCGAAATAGCGAATGCATCTACAAAAGCATTGTAACCACCTAGTCCTCGGAATGGCGTCATTACATGGGCGGCATCACCAACTAGAATGGCGCGCTCGGCTGGCACGTTTTCGAGCTTGACATCTCTGAACAAGTGGAATCTATCTTTGATACCATCCACCGGTGTTAGTTCGAAGGCCTCCCGTAATCGCGGTGGGAGACCAGCCCTGACCCTCTCCATGACATAGTCGTGCTTTTGCTTTGGGGTAGCCGTCCTCATCCAGTGGTTGGGGTCGTCTACTGTTTCATCTTCTTCCATAAAATTCCAGTAGAAGCGGCCTGAACGTCCATCTGGATGCACATAATGAAGACCGTTCAGAGTAACAAAGCGAGGATTTGTGCTCACGGCATTGTAAGCGCTATGAGCCAGCTCCAATTGATGTCTGAACGCATCACCAGACAGTTCAAGCTCTCCAATGACTGTGCAAATAGGAATTGTCTTTAGCATTTCACTATTAGGACACTTCATCAGACATTCGCGAACTATACAAGGCAAGGATTAGCACAACAAAAGTCATGAGAGGTTTCTTGGGTTTTGTACGTACCTTTACTGTTTGCTCCATCCGCGCCGATTAAAAAGTCACCCTTGACGGATGACCCATCCTCAAAATGGACAGCAACACCGTCATCGTCGTATTCAAATTGGGTAGCATGTTTGGACCATTGAACTTTGAGATGTGAAAGAAGCCAACGACGCAAACGGAGCCGTTCACAGCGAATGAATCTATCATGAGGTTCGTCCTAGCAATTGTATACAGTAAGCGAATGCCTTCCATTATATGATAAATTCTTGATAGAACGAATATACCTGAGTACCAAAGCGATTTTTGGTCGATTTATAGTGGACATTTAACTGTGACGGAAGCGTCAATGGTGCCAAATGACTTGCAGACGCTTCCAAGTCAGGCATATCATCGGGAAAGCTTGTCGTAAATTGATCCACAATTCTATCTTCCATTATGAATTCCAAGTCTTCAATCCAGTCTGGAGATGATTTCTTACTTACGTATGGAGAGTCAATGCATAGCCCTGAAATCGCGAGTCATCGCATGTATCACGGTCAAAGATCTCAAACGAGATGCCCTGTTTTCGAAGACATTGGGCAATGGTCAGCCCAGCAAGACCCGCGCCGATAATGAGCACGTGCATAATTCCAAAGAAAACTCTGAATAAAAAGTCGAACACAGGTTTGGCTGCTTAATTTGCCTCTGACAATAATTCTAAAATAAATATAACACCAATGCGCACGTTAGGCTGTTCAGGCCGTCATTGACTTATAGTCTGGGCCGGTCGGTTGTAAGACGAGCCAGAGCCGAGGAATCTGCACTTAGCTCCTCGGATCTTCTGGTCCTAACATTCATCTCATCGACGCTGTCAGGCTAGTAAAGCTTATGCGGGGTTCTAGAATCTCATTTCGAGAGGACGTCAGCCTAATGATGACAGGCGGTTATTATTTCAAGCGTTCATTTTGCCACCATGGACCTGGTTGCGCACGGAGTGCCACATCAGATGGGAAGGGTTGGTAAGTGTGCTCCCTATAAATACTAACTAAATCGTAGCGAAGAAGTGAGAGGTCGCTACGACATCAACTCTTCAACCAGAGTACTTTATCGACATCAATTTCGTAAACTGTCTTATATGTAGATGTTGCAGGAGTTTGGTATACTGTCGAATGAACTTGGCATTAATAGGGCTAGCCTGTACTAAAATTCCTATTCTACCGTGAGGCCTCTCTATCTAATTGCTGCCCAAGCACCATCTGGTAATAAAAGCCCTTCATATCGACAAGATCGTTATGCTTACCTTGTTCCACTATTTTGCCACTGTTGAATACGATGATCATGTCGGCATCCCGAATTGTACTTAGCCTGTGTGCCACGGCAATAGTGGTTCTTTCAAGTGCCGCACGATCCAATGCTTCCTTGACTGCTTTCTCAGATTCAGTGTCCAACGCACTTGTCGCCTCATCCAGTAGGAGCAAGCAAGGTTTGCGTATTAGCGCCCGTGCAATGGCGAGACGCTGGCGCTGTCCACCAGACAATGAAAATCCCTGGTTACCACACGGAGTAGCAAGGCCATCAGGCAGCGAAGAAATAAAGTCCCATATGTTTGCTTCTTTGCAAGCGGTGATAATCTCCGACTCAGATGGCTCCTGTTCGTACATACCCAAGGTGATGTTATCCCAGATGGACCCCTGGTAGAGCACTGGCTCTTGCTGCACGAGGGCAACATCTTTGCGATAAATGCATCGGTCAAGGGTCTTTATGTCCACATTGTCGGCTTTTATATGTCCAGATGTAGGATCATAAAAGCGCTCGAGCAATGCAACCATTGTGGACTTCCCACTGCCCGATGCGCCCACCAAGGCAACCATTGATCCTGGCTGGATGTCAAGGCTGACATTATCAAGAGCCTTCACATTGGGCCGCTGTGTATAGGCAAACTCAACATCTTCATATGAAACCTTTGTGCCACTTGCCTTACTTTCGCATGCCACCTCGGCCGGCTGGGTGCCCACTTGATCAAACATTGTACGGTTCAGGCGAAGGGTAAAGATGTAATTCATCGCCGTACGAGCTTTGCTGATGCTGGTTGTGTACTGGAAGAAAATGGCAGCGGCTTGCCCTGAGAAAATGGTAGCAATGAACACAATGTAGAACTGCTCTACAGAGTATTCGCGAAAGGAGACAAGTCGACCGCCGTACCTATCAAGTGTTAGAACGTATCCGTAAAAGTAACCCATAAGAATTCTGACCAAAATCCAAGACCCATTATCAGAAAAGACAAAGATTGGCTGAGTGCGTAGAAAAACATATTCCAAACCAGGCTAAGGATCGCATCTTTTGCAATGCTTTGCAAAGAATCCGCGTAGCGCTGGATCACAGCCGGCTCCAAGGCTAGGGAGGAAACTGTCCGGATTCCCTTACACCTTTCCGCTGCCATAGCACTGCTTGTTGCGAATCTGTCTGCAGTATCGGTTTCCAGCTTATATTCGAGTCGTATGCGGACATATCCGGAGCCAACAAGCAACGGCAATCCACCAAGCCCGAGAACTAAGCCAAGTTTCCAACCGACAGCGATAGCCAAAATAAAGCTTGATACTAAATTAACCAACGTCACGGTCATTAAGATGAGATTGAGGGAGAGGAGCTCTTGAAGGCTGTCTGGTTCTGAGGCAAGTCGTGAGACAAGTGCGCCAGTGCCGTTATCGGGTTTGTCGAAGAATGTCATGTCTTGTCGGAGCGTATTGTCAAAAATTTCAGCTTTATACTCCATCAAGATGTGCTAAATCTGTAAGTATGGCTTCAAAAAAACTCATCATTTGTATGATGGCCGATACATACCTGGGCGAGGACGTTCGCGAGCCAACCAGCAAACGCATAAGCGATGACGTTTCCTAGAGCAACAACGAAAAACATGAGCGCAAAGAAATTCACGCTAGATTGATCCATCTTCTGGAAAGCAGCCATGGTTTTAGCAAAGAGAATGGCGAGAACAGGAAAGGTTACACCTAGATACAGTCAGTGAATCGGAGGGGGTATAATTCGTGATATCGGCCTCTTACCGCCGGCTAAACACGCAATAGCAATGCCAGCAACTGGCCACCAGAGGGGTTTTTGTTCCTTGATGATGAGAAAGAGGCCTTTAAGAACGCCATAGGATGCGCTCCTCTCCTTGATTCCAGCATTTAAATCAGAGGGTAGCGATTCTTGTTCCGAATCAAACGGTTTCTCCTTCTCTACCAACTTGCTGTTGATTGGCTGAGCGTCATTAGACCCGCGACTGCTCAAATGTTGAGAAGCCACAAGTTGGGCATATCTCCCGTTGGCATTGATGAGTGTTTGATGAGAACCCTGCTCAACAACGTGGCCCTGTGAAATAACAGCGATGTTGTCCGCATCTTGAATGGTGGAAAGCCTGTGGGCAATCACAATCATTGTTCGTCCCTTGGCGACATTGTTTAAAGCTTTTTGTACAATCTTCTCGGCGGTCGGATCTAATGCGCTTGTCGCCTCATCTAGCAGTAGGACCTTCGGATTGGAAATGATGCTTCGAGCAATTGCAAGTCGTTGCTTTTGTCCACCGCTAAGTGATGCACCACGCTCGCCAACGTACGTGTCATAGCCCTAGTGTCAAAGTAAGCCAAAGCCGGATCCGATATTGGATATCAGGTTACGAACCTGTGGTAACGCTTGGATGAATTCATCTGCATATGCTGCTCGACAGGCGTCCTCCACGAGCCGTTTCTTCTCTGCTTCTGGAAGTGAATCCATGCTTGTCCCAGTTATGCCATCCACCACGTTTTGGTATACCGACCCACTGAAGAGAGTTGGCTCCTAAATTTTGTTAGATCCCTATAACGTGTCACATAACGTCATGGTTGGAACCTACCTGTTGAACAAGTCGGATATTCGTCCTCAGCCATCGGAGATTCAAGGTATCAAGGGATTGTCCGTCAATCGTGATCGAGCCCTGGTAATCAGTGTACCATCTCTCCAAAAGTCCAAAAATCGTACTTTTACCCGAGCCACTAGAACCGACTAGAGCCGTCGTTTTATTTGCAGGAATATTAAGACTAAGGTCTCGAAATATTGGTACCTCAGGTCGCGAAGGGTAGGCAAAGTTCAGATTTTTAAGTTGGATATGGCCTTTACAGCCTTCGATCATTATTCCCTTGTCAGATAGTGAGTCAACCGCTGATTTTCGATCAATAATTGCAAACAAATCTGATGCCGCCGCAGTAGCCTTTGATATGGCCACAGTTTGGGGAGCAATCTGAGTGAGAGCTTGGGCAGCAACTAGAACTGCAAAAATAACGCTACCAAAAAAGTTAATTTTCCACATCTTGCGCATTAAAATTGGTGACTTACGTGACGATCGCTCCAGGGTTGCGGACTTCCCCGGAAACATAGAGGCGAATGCCTTGCCAGAAGGCCAGGCCATAGCCGGAGAAAATACAGAAAAATTCGACCGGGAAAAGCACCATGTATATGGCAGTCTTCTTGTTTCCAACGCTTCGCGCTTCTTCCAAGTGACGTGCGTAGCGGCGAGAGAGTTTGGGAAATACCCAAAAGGCGTGTGACGTTCGAATGGATGCGAAAGCCTCCTCAGCAATCAGGCCCGCCTTGCCGTATATATCGAGCATTTGATGTTCATACGTACTGTCGTATGCCACACAAATCACGGTGACGACAATATTGACGGGAACGACAGCCAGAACGATCAAGGTCAGCTTCCACTGCACAACAAATGCCACGACAAATCCGGCGACAAAGGTCGAAAGGCCCTGGACGATAAGACCCAGCTTCTCTGAAATACCAGTACTTATGACATTCCCGTTAGTCACGATTTGACTAGCAATGGAGGACGTAGGATTGTCAAAGTATGGAATCTCTTGGCGCAAAACGTGAGTAAGAAAGTCGACGCGTAGGCGTTTGATAGCCCGAATAGAGGTAAATCCAATGAGCACTGTCCAAATATACATCAAGACAAATTTTGCCAGGAATAAATATACAAAGTAGAGACTAGATGATCATTTAGAATAGACTGAAAAAGGATTGGATATCGGAAGTAACATACGCATATTTATTGATTTCCACGCGGTAATCCTCTGGTGTGTCCTTACCAGTGAGGAAATTGTTGAAAACCGTAACAAATTGTCCAAAAACGAGATTCATCAACGGAAGAGTGGCGCCTGCTGCGATCATGCAAACAAAGGATATGGAGTTAAGAATCCATGCCATGCTATCATGGTATGTGAACACTCGCTATTGCCGTATTAGCACGAACTTCAACTTCTTCCGTAGGTATACTTGCCAGATAATTGCTGAAGGCAGGACCTTCAATCCTGTTGACACTTCCATCCTCAGCGTCATCAGTTTTTCCACGCGGGATTGGCTTTTCTTCCGATGGCATATTTTCTTGTGTTTTATTTCTGCGGTCGTGACTTCTTTCAAATTAGTGGATTGCAATGAGGCTATTTCGGTAGTACTAATAAAGATCCAGATGCTTTGATATAACTATTATATAAACCAACTACGTTTGACAAGCAAGAGCACCATCGTCGACATAAGCAGTCGTCGGGCCTCGGAAGCACCAGCACCTAGCGAGGCTCGTAGCCGTAGAGTCCGCAATAGCGATTACATACGGCATGGTGAGATTGTCAGACTTGGACAATTACATGCGGCATGGTGAGATTGTCAGATTTAGATGGAGCGCATATGCGTCGAAGCGGGTCATTTCCACAATTGGAAACCAATATATCGCCCAGCTTAGCTTTGGAACCTGCGGAGCTCGGTAAGGATTAGAAGGTGCCAGATTTAGTAGTATTACTCCTACATTTTACTGGTACTCAATTCTCGGCTTACAGTGCTTGCCTCGGTCGATGGTGTAGCTTCCTCGGCCGAGGGAAGACTACTTACAAGGCTACGGAGAATGACGTGAGCGCAGGTGGACGAGATTACCTGTGGGCTGGAACCCAAGTCCGTTGTTAATGATTTTACTCGAGAGTAATGTCTCTCTAAAGGTGATTTGCTAATATATACGTTCCATGCCATCCACAATCCACGCCGTTTGCGAATCCACGAGTGTGGATCCACGACATCGCGAACGGCATTAGTACTCCACGATCACGTGACCAGGGGGATCACGAAGAGATGGACTAGGCTACCCGAGAATTCGTCGTTGGCCACTCGCTCTTCCTGCAGGAGTCTTTCTGGATACACCGACAGCCGGAGAATAGAAAAATATTTTAAATTCAAATTTTCTAGTAACATCATGTCTCGTGACCTCATCCCACGTCGCTGTGTAGAACCAAGTTTTACTCATGAAGCTAACACACCAACAGACCGTTTTTAAGCGCCAAACCCGTTAGGTGAAGAGGACAATATGCTTAAGTCGGCGCTAGCTCATCTGTTATAACGAGTCCCTGTCCCTCCGAACATCCGACCAGGCTGAGCAGCCACACTGATCGAGGCCTAGACCCCGTCTGTATTGAGGTAGACCTTTTGTATCGAGCTGGACATAGCTGGTCTGGTTCGCTATTCGCTGTGATAAGAAGCCAGGATACCCCTGAGCTTTCCAAAAAGAAAATTTATCGACATACACCTAGTTTTCATTTTGACAAAACTTCCAATACTTAATCCAGCCTTTTTGCTAGTGTTAGTGCAATAGAACAGAGACCATTACACGCAGAGGGGAAGGTGACCGCCCAATATCTAATCTCCAAACCTAGATATCTCCACTACACACTAGAGTCAAAGCATTTTAACCGATATCGGTATTGTCCCTGGAGCATCAGTCCTCTGTTATAAACGGCCCCCTAATTAGTACATACCACGTGATAAAGGTCACCACTTCGAATTCTTGGTAGAACTCTTAAAATTAACGGTGCTAGTTCCTCCACAAATGGCGGCAAAGTCTACGAGTATAACACTGCCTCCAGAATATGAGGACCCCGCACCGACGACAAGAGCTGGACGGGATCCCGAGTTCTCCTGTATCTATGGTCGTATGTACTTGAGGATGTACTAAATTAATATATAAATACAATAGCTCCACCCACGCATAATGAGTTAGGTTAATAATTGTACCCTTTGAAACACTACCTTATATCCTTGTATATATGTCTTTTTGCGGGGCTTGCAGTAGTGTTGTAACGGAGCGGCCTGCGCTAGAAACTCTGGCGCTACTCTCGGGAAGGGCGTCCAAAATCACAGCTTCATATGCTGCACCCATTTTGAATCTAATCATTGAAATGCACTTTTGATTAAACTCTATCTGCCGTTCTACAATGTTCTAACGTTTCCAAAGTGCCTCTCCACTTCACACGACTCGTTTCAGCACAATCCAATTAAGGTGGCCCTGTCAGTAATATAAGTTTATTTTTTGAGTTTAGCGCCAGACGAGTGACAAATGATCTGCATCGTAATACGGGGCATGCATGGCGCTATCGGCAATGGGGAAGGGAGCGCGGGGGAAAAATGACCGGTAAAAAGATAAGGACATGCACGAACTGAGCAAAGAGAGCAGCGTCGTACTTGTTCAGACTCTCCCACCAATTGGCGGGCGCAATTCGACACTGGACATCGCCATTCTCAGAGACTACGAGCCTATATCAACCATGAACCTATAATGTGACTTGCCTCTCTGAGTGTTGTTGAACGCGTATTCGTCGGCAGTGTCGCATCACGGGCCTATCCTAACTTACACTTCAGCGATCCCCGTGGGTCGACGGCGACGTCAATAACTGCCGCAACTTGGGGCCTGCCTAAAGAGGCAGGTCTGGCCGTTTCATGACTACCAACCTCATCATCATCATTGTCAGGTGGAAAGACCGCAATAAGGAAGATGCGCATAATAGGAGAGGCGGGCTTGATTCGTGTCCAGCCGCTCTCCACAGGCGGATGGTTCGATGTAACATCAGAGTTACGGGGTGCAACAGCACGGACTACTATACTACGTAATGGTTCATTGCTTCTTTGGTCCTTTTGTATTTTGGAGGATGTTAATGTTGTATTAATAACACTTTCCTTATTTGGCAAGTCTCTGTGTTAGTCGGTATCGCGCCATGGTCACGGTGAGTATAGGAATAATAGAAAATGAACATAAAATGCGTCGTCCCAACCCTCTTCTTCCAGTACCATTCTTTCATGCCAAACCACTCTCTCATTCTATCCTCTTAATCCTCCTTCCCTTTCACATAAATCACAATGAAGGCCGGCGCCATCCTCGGCCTCACTACCTCCGCCCTCGCGGCCTCCATCCCCCGTGCCGCTGATGTATGGGGCGGAAAGGACACTGCCATCACCGAGGTTCCCTACCAAATCGAGTATGATGTCAACGGCCAATTCGACTGCGGTGGTTCCATCATCGCCAAGCGCTTCATTTTGACCGCCGGCCACTGCGTCCGCGGCCAGACGGCCAGCCGTTTGTCCATCCGCGCCGGCAGCAACCAGATTGGCGGTGGCACCAGCTACAAGGTCAAGAAGATCAACGCCCACCCCAAGTTCACCATTCAGGGCAACTTCATCGACTACGATGTCGCCATCCTCGAGCTGACCTCCGACATTGCGCTCAGCAACTCGGCCAAGATCATCGAGGTCACAAACACCAGCCCCAACGCCGGTGACGATGCTCTCCTCTCTGGCTGGGGTGAGACCAACGCCCAGCACAACTACCCTCGCACTCTCCAGAGCGTCCACTACCCCATCATCTCCAAGCAGGAGTGCCAGGACCTCAACAACAAGTACGGCGCCGAGACCACCGACCGCTTCATCTGCGCCCTCTACCAGGGTGGTGGCAAGGGCTCCTGCTACGGTGACTCTGGAGGTCCCCTCGTCGTCGGCGGCAAGCTCGTCGGCTCCGTCTCCGGCGGCCAGGAGTGCGCTGGTGCTGATGCCCCCGGCAGCTACGCCGATCTCGCTCACCCCGAGATCCGTCCCTGGATCAAGCAGATTGCTGGCGTCTAAGAGGGCAGCACCATCAATATAAAAGAAACAGTATATATAGTCTGTAGATGAATGTACATTTGTCAATAAATATAATTTACAAAACATCCTCGCACATGCGTGTACTTGACACTTCGAATGCTGTAGTTGCCAGGGTCAATCCATTCTCGAAACCCAATTCTTGACCAACCATGACGACTCTCTATAGAAATAACATAGTCACAATGGAAGCGGCGGTGGTTAGAATGCCAACATTGGCCTTCAAGTTTGATGCGCTGCTCGTCTTGGCTGTGGTGTTCGAGGGAGCTGCGCTCGAAGTTGTTACAGTACTCGGGGCTGTCGTAGTGCCAGAGCTAGGCTTATCGTATCCAGGACAATCCTCGGATGAAACGGTGACGCTAGTGTAAGGGGCAACCAGCTCATAGATGAGATCAAAATGCGAGCCTAGGATAACGTTTCAGCTAACTTTCGCGACATTGTTGTAACACAAAAACGGATCTCACCTGGATACTTGGGGGCATGCTTCGCACCAATGGCCTCTGCAACAGCGGGCAAGTGCTCGTGCTCCCAGGCGATCAGGACATTGCCTGGCCCGGAATACCGCAGAGCAGCCTTGCCAGCGCACGTGGTATCAGTAAAGTTGCAGGGGTGGTCAATTGTGATGCTCAGCGACTGAGCAAGAGGAAGAGTAGTGTTGAATGGTCGTTGGGTTTCATGGTCAAACTGGGAATCTAGCAAGAGAAGAGTGTTAGTTGGCGATGGCCCATACTATGTTGGCCCTTTTATGCTGAGTTACCTCCCGGGTATGGTGTCTGGGTCATGATGCGCGTAATGTTGTACTTGCTACTTTCGCCAAAGACTGTAATCAAGCACTGTTCTCGCTTCAACCCTGCGGCCGATATAGTACCATCTGGGTTCTTTTCAGCGTGGCGAATGAGGTAGAAGTTAGGCCCGTCCGCCTTTGCTGTATTCGCAGCAGCAGTTGAAGCAATGATGCTAGAAGCTGTGATGATGAGGGTTGACAGTTGCATCTTGTTGGCGTTTGTTTTGAATGCCTAGGTTTTGGCGACGTCGCTTGCTCGCGCTCGCAATGAACTGCAACAATTTGGAATAAATAACTCGAAAATATTACGGATGAGAGGATAAAAATAATATTCAGATCACCAATTCTGTAACGGCGCAACCGTAAATCGTTTATCTAAATCTGTGTGTGCGGTTTGTTTTGAGATGATGGGAAAGCGACCGTACTAGAGTAGCAGACAGCGGCCTATACTAATAGCGTCAGCCGCAATCACGCTAAATAAGCCTCCTGTAGCAGCAACGCAGGGCTCTAGTGAAATGAAGGGTACCAAGGCGATTTGCCGCTAGATCCGAGAAGGTGGCGCAGCGCCCGCTAGGCTAGCTAGGCGGCTCAGATGTTCAGTCTTAACAATAGCTCGCGTGCCCCTTTGCCTTATTCTGCTGATCTCGGCAGATGTATGATCGGACCAGTGCTTGTGTCATTCTTCATCTTCTTCAGCCTGAAGCCGTCCAACCTCAAACCGGAGTCTCACCGTAGAACTTTTGATGCGTTCAGGGCATAAGAAATATCGGCGGTCTCGAACCGAAGAGACTCCAGCGTAACTGAGACGTCGGCGCGAGCGCTGCTTACGGAACCCTTGTACTAGCCATCAGCTATTCGCTAAGCCAAGTCTTCGTCCCTCTTTCTTGCCATCTCTTCTGTGAAAGTCACCATCTAAGGGCCGGCGCTATGCGCCCAGTTCAACATCGCCACAACTTGGACACACCCAGGTAAAATAGTGGCGGATGCCAGCTCAGCTAAAAGATGCGCAATGAAATATGTATTATAATTTTAATTTATTTTTTATCAAGTTGTTGAAACCAGCTCACCCGGCCACCATAACTCAACGTCACCACCGCTGCAGGTGAGCTTCTGATACTTCTTCTCAAATTTGTATACTTTCAAGGTATTATCAAAGTAGACGTAGTTTGGGTCATCTGCCCATGAATTGTTAAAGGTACCGTCATCAGTGTCGAAGATTACAGAAGCGAATTTCTGCGCCTTTCTAGGATGACATCCACCGTACGAATCTTCGTAGCGATATGTATAGGCTCCTTTTTGGTGAACAACATCGAAGCCGAAGTCGCCGAAGTCGCCATCAGGGCAATCGCCTTGGTCGCAACCTGACAAGGCCGCCCTAGCTTCGAGAGGTCCTGGCAAATGCGGTGCAGGCGATGCATTGACTCCCAAAATTGTAGTCACGGATAGTGCCATTGCAATTACGCGAATTGCGACACCTTTCATTGTGAAGATCATGGCCACTGTATTCTTGAGTGCTCGAAGTGATGTGGTAGGGGCGGTTAAGAAAAAGAAGGCAGAGTGATTTTTCGACTGCAAGGTAGGAGTGTTCACAGTCCTGTCCGGTAGGGAATACCAGTGAGAGAAGATCAGACGAAATATTTAAAACATTTGCCCTCTAAGGTTTACATTTTAGCATCGTCCATGTGGGGACTAGTACATGGCGGATAGATGCCAAAAGCGTCGGCACCAGTAAGAGCTAAGCGGGAATCTAGAGTTTTCCTGCATCTGCGATTGTATGCGATTGTATGCGAAAGGAGCGGGGGTAACTTTAATCTTGCAAGCAAACGTCCAAGTTAGCGGGTATAGCCCATAAAACACGTAGTGTAACTTAGTAATATAGCCTAATAATTCAAAAGTAATTGGGTTAAAGAGGAATCTCAGAGTCGCCGCTTCCGTTCCGCCTCTAGTTGAGCAGCCATCCCGATCAAGCATAGCACCCTCGCTACTTTATGATGATCCCTGGTTGGGGGCGTTGTGCGTGCCGAGATCGGTGTAAGTGCGGGAGATCTACACTCAACGGAATAATTCAATGGTAACTTCATAACTTAAGTCTATAAAAATTCTATTGATCCTCAATCATTCTCCGTTTTATTACGTCACTCTAAACATTGTGAGCCTAATGATGATGATGTAGTCATCAAATCTCTCCGGGTGAGGCCGATGTATTAGGCGACAATGGCGATGGGAAGCTTCTCGTCAAAAGGTTGGATAGGTGCCGACGTCTAGAAAGGAAAAGAATAGTTAGCTTCAGTTATTACAAAGAGAAGGGTTTGAAGAATTGACGTACCGCCATGGCAAAAGGTTCGGGCTGTGCCGCCTTGGGCTGGCCGTTGATCTCCGGCTGAGCTTGAGCCTGAACTAGGGGCTGGGGCGGCTGGAGCTTTCCGTAAAGCTGCAACGAGCGCATGGCCTCCCACTCATCACGGTTTCTAACGACACGAGGGTTTTGCGCGACGATGGCGCAAGGCAGGAAACGCCTGTGATCCACGTTGTAGACCACAGTGCCGCCGACGCCGTTGAGCGAAGCAGCAATGGCGGCGCCGCACATGGTGTGGCAAGCACTTCCCCAGCGGCCAGCAATGGCCTCGCGCACCCATCTCTGCTCGAGGGTCTGCTTGAGCTCGAGGGTGTCGGAGTCGAGCGTAGCAATCTCGAGGTGGCGCAGGGCGTCCATGATAATGGCGGCAGCAGGCGCCTCGCGGACCTCGAGCACTTTGTCGTCGGTGCTGAGGGGCTCCAGGCCGACGAAGCGGCCGTGGCCGTACTTGCCGACTTCCTTGTTGAGCAGGGCCACGGCATCTATGAGGGCCATCTTGGTACCGTTGACGGTGGTCAAAGTGCCGTTGTCAAAGGCCAGGGTGATGGTGGTGGGCTTCTCGTCGCGGACGTGGCGCGTCCACTCAAAGGCATCTTCGGGGATATCAAAGTCCTCCGGGTCGTTGACGGGGCCATCCTCGAACTCGCGAACCCAGAGGTTCTCGTCGCCGCTGAGCTTGCGGTCCGACATGATGGTCAGGCCGACGGCGGCGAGCTCCTCGGCCTTGCGCTCGCGGGAGATGGCGGACTGCACGTACGGGCTGCCAAAGTCACCAGGGAAGCCGAAGCGCGCGATGCTGTTGTTGAGGCGCGGCAGGCTGTTCTGGGACAGGTTGGCGGTGTGAAGAAGCAGGCTGGCATTGAGCCCGTTGGCATAGTCTGTGACCAGGCGTGCGATGATGGGCCGCGTCAGAGAGCTGCTGATGGGGTACATGCCCATGTAGGAAGCGTGGGCTTGGATGGCGGGCACCACGCCGTTGGTCACAAAGAGGTCGCGGCCGTCAAGGCACTCGAACTTGGCGCCGAAGCGCGCGGCGCATGAGGAGAGGCTAGCCTCATCGATAGGGGCGCCAACGTTGACGGCAACAGCGTGGATGTTGGTGAAGCCCAGCTGCTGCAGGCGGAAAAGAAGGTATGTGCTGTCAAGGCCGCCGCTGAACATGGTGACGACGGGAGCGTGCCTCTTGCCAACGCGGGCAATGTGGTCGAAGCTTTCAATGGACGGGCTCTGCAATTGTAGGTTAGTATCATATCATGGCGAGACAGACGGTTATAGGTACGACAACAGCCCAAAGACGTACCATTGTGACGGATTTTGTTGCCGTACAGGAAAAGATGGAAGCAAGAAAGTAAGCAAGGGCCTTGGATAGGGTTTACTTTCTGCGATGGAGCTTTTCTGCGGAATGATACTGATGTACTAGTACTACGAGAAGACGCTGCGCCATAATGTTATATACCAAAATAACCAGATTCTTCTGCAATCGCTGTCACGACAGCTACCACGCAGGCTTATTCACTTATACGGTATAACATACAAGGCTCGAGCCTCAGGCCTTGAACCCTGTCGAAATGTCACCGTCCATCCACAATACGATATGCCGAAAGCCCGTAGAGCAAAGCAAAGCAAAGGATCAAGAGAGGATACAAATGATATGGGGCTTTGGAAAACGCCTCCCGACAGCTGATGGACCCCGGTAGAAACCGCGCCACAGACTCATTATTATTATTATTATTATTATTATTATTATTATTCATTCTTTTCCAGAGCCGAGGGCCAGCAGGGCGTTGATGGCTTGGTGCCACGATTTAGCTATGGTGTTAGTGATGTTGGTGGTGTAGATGGGACGCCACGGCAGATGTCGATATGGGCTTGCGCCAACGCACAGTGTAGATAGATGTGCAAGATCTTGTTGGCAAGCGCGATAGATTACAAGGTAATACAGCATGAACATGCAATGAAGATGTGGAAATGCAGCGAAAATAACACTTGTAGTATACAAGACTGTCTCTGTTACATGTTTAGGTCTACCGTGAAGCTGGCTGCGGGCCCAGCGCTCAGACTCCACTAGACTCTACCTCGAAGATAGTGCCTCTTTGCTCTTACATTTCAAACTACTTGTCTATCGTTTTTTTGTTGATAAATGGAGTATACGTGTGTACTGTCAGGCAGACGCCGTGTCTTCGTGGCACACGTCAGGCAAGGCTAGCTAGCGGGTAGGTAGTCCAATCAGGCAAAAGAAAACAAATGACATGGCCACTGCAGTGTAAAGCTCCACCGGGCGGGCCAGTAGATCCGTAGGGCACTGCACTAAACAGGAAGGTAAGTGTGCTTGGCGGCGCAGGGCCTGTTTGCAAATGAGAATCATCTTAGTGGCTAGTCTCCCCGCTGTAGTCTCTCCTAGCGGCGCTTCGGAGCCGGCTTGTAGCGGCGCTGGCTGGCTGTAAGTTTGTGACTAGTCTCGGTCCGGTGCTCCGGGGCCGACCGGAATGCACTGATTGTTGGACCCTGTTTAAAAGGGAGCCGCCACGGTCTCGGCCTTGCAACCCTTGTGATGGGATCCAGTTCAGCCAGCCTGATCCCGATTCGTGTCTTTTTTTTTCTTCGAGAGCCTCTCCGTGATTCCGTCGGCTTGCCTCTCTCGGTTTACGGCGTTATTGTCTATTCCTCTTCTCTACGTCTCCATACTCTGTAGTACACGAACCGAGCGGCTTCAGCTTCAGCCTAAGCAAACCGTGCATGTTATAAAGTGGAATCGTGAATACCAGGAACGAGCCTCAAAGAGTGAATAAGTGGACACGGCGAGATTTGCTAGAGCTCGCTTGAGGAGTGCACAGAGCGCGATAGGCCTGTGGATACGCAACGGGTAGAACCGCAGACTATGGATTTCGCTTGTGGTGCTGCTGAATGGGGATTGAACGGGGAAGAGGACGAGGAGGAGTCATACACTGTCTCTCTGTCTCTTCCCTTGTTTTTTTTTCTTCATCCCTCTTCCACATCATCACTGTTTGTGACAAGGCATTGCGAGGTACTGCAGGCTGCGGCGGCTCTAGTTTGTGGGCGTTCTTTAGTATAGACATTGTTGTTTTTTGATTGGACGTTTTAGAACCACTGGTCAGGCGACAGAGCGGCGTCTTCATCCCCGGAAGCATCCCATCATGGCCGAAAAGACAGACGTCGAGACGCACCCTCAGCTCGTCAGTGACGCCTCCTCCACCGAACAGAATGCCGCCATCGCCGCTGTCCCAGCACAAAAGGAATCACGTCGCTTCAGGATAGCCTGGAGGGCTCCTGACTGCGAAGATCCGGGGCCTCCTCCGGACGGCGGAGCGATCGCCTGGGCGCAGGTCGTGGCGGGCCATCTGATTGTCATGAACACCTGGTACGTTGAACGCTCTGCCAACAAGGAAAGAAAAAAAAAAGAATCAAAAATGCTGACGTTATGGCAGGGGCTTCATGAACTCGTTTGGTGTCTTCCAGACCTTTTACGTTGAGTTTGTTGGCCGCAACCCTTCAGACGTGTCCTGGATCGGCAGCATCCAGGTCTTCCTGACCTTCTTCCTCGGCACCTTTACCGGCCGTCTTACTGACGCGGGCTACTTCCGTCCTGTATTCTGTGAGTTTGCTCAAACCTACTTGCTCTGTCCAAGGACAATGCCAGCTTACTCACTCTTCTCGTCTAGTCTTCGGCACCGTCATCAGCCTGCTGGGCATGTTCATGGCGTCGCTGTCCACTGAGTACTGGCAGCTGTTCCTCGCTCAGGGTGTCTGCTGCGGCATCGGTAACGGCTTTCTCTTCTGCCCCATGGTGGCCGTCGTGTCTACGTACTTTGCCAAGAAGAAGCCCATCGCCGTGGGCATCTGCGCCTGCGGTGGTTCAACCGGTGGCCTCATCTTCCCCGCCATGGTACAGCAGCTGCTGCCGCTGATTGGCTTCCCCTGGACCATGCGCGTCATTGGCCTCGTGACGCTGGCTCTCCTGTCGCTGTGTAACTTGCTCGCGCGGCCGAGGCTGCCGCCGCGCCAGGCCGGTCCTATCCTGGAGCTGGCCGCTTTCAAGGAGCTGCCGTATACGCTGTTTGCGGCGTCCATGTTCTTTGTGTTTTGGGGCGTCTACTTTGCATCGTTCTACCTGGGCTCATTTGGCGTCGACGTCATTGGCTTTACCGAGAAGCAGTCCATTAATCTGCTGCTGGTGCTCAACGGCGTGGGTGTCATCGGCCGCACCATCCCGGCGTATGTGGCCAACAACTACGCTGGCCCCATCAATGTGCTCCTCATCTCGACGATTGCTTCCGTTGCCTGCTCGTATGCCATGGTTGGCGTGACTAACCAGGCTGGCTTCTACGCCTGGACTGTCGTGTATGGTATTGCAGGAAACGCCGTCCAGGGCATGTTCCCCGTCGCGCTGAGTGCCTTGTCCTCGACAGACCTGAAAAAGGTGGGCGTCAGGATGGGCATGATCTTTGTAAGTATATTCCCCATCTCTTTTCTATTTTCAACCCTAGCCTAAATGACCACTAACGAATGCGTTTGGTAGACAATTGTGGGCTTTGCTGTGCTGACTGGTCCTCCCATCACGGGCGTCTTAATCACAGCTGCCAATGGCAAGTACATGTCCGCGCAGATCTTTGCAGCCTCTTCCATGTTGCTAGGCTTCTTTCTGCTACTTTGGGGACGATACTTAACGAGTGGAAAAACCTTGATGGTCAGGGTGTAGACGTACAAAAGCATTACATGTATTTACTAGTTTAAACTTTTACTTGAGTTTTCATTTTCGATATCTGGACATTTCGCGATAGCGGGTTCTGACGGAGTGCTTCTTGAACCAGTAGCCCGGTCAGCCTTACACGCACTTGGATTATTTATTTTTCAACCTCCATAAGCCGCACCATCTCGTATATGCAGGGACAACTTTTCAGACCTCGTCTACCTCATCTATCCACTTCGCATACCGTGTTCTCTTACTGCTTACAAGACATGATCCAGCACGAGTCATCCTCCCGAGCCTTGTTTTTAGCCTCTTCTTCAGCTACCATTTACTTCGTCTTTTGAGTAGTGTAGACCGAGTTCGCTTAGCCGACGTCGTTCAGCTTCAAGCCACAGACGGAGACACGACAAATCAGGAAAGACACACGAGCATGAGATGAGGCTGCGCCGCCGCGGCAAGGGAACGTCGAGCCCGCTGTGGCGTTAAGCCAGGCAGCGCCCCAGGAGTCTACAGGGGTCCCTTTTACCTGTTTTTTGCTCCAACCCAGTCTTTTACTAATACCTTCCGTTTTGATCGTGCGGCCCGCCGCCGTATAGTGGCGCGTTCCGGCATCTGCAAGAGTGGGTTGCACGGTGACTGATTACTTTCTCCTAACGCGTTGGTCGAGGCTCCGACTCTGAGCCTGGCCGGCTGTTGATACTGAAAAAAAGAGTTAACAAGTACTGATTATACGATTTTTATATATACGATTCTTGTAATTATCCAAAACATTCACCTAACGGGTTTCTGCTACTCGTCGTGTGTGGGAATTGTAACTGTGCACGTATATATAGCAGAATACGCTTAGACGGACAACCTTTTCAGTGAAAGTAATTGAAAGCCAAGCAAGTCTGCATAACTACATAATCAATCTTTCTTTTTAACCCAAGCTTCACAATTGCGAAAATGGCTGACAACGAACCCATTGTTGTGTCCACCTCGCTGCCGACCATCCATCTTGACCTTCTCCGATCTGGCGATGCTTCCGAGAGCCAGAAGCTGCTAGGCGCCTGCCAGAACCAGGGCTTCTTCTACCTTGACCTGTCGAGTGATCCCGAGCTATGCGATTTGTGGAAGGGCATGCTGGCGCGGATGAAGGACTACTTCGACCAGCCGCTGGACGTCAAGATGCAGGATGACCGCAGCAGCGACAACTACGGGTAGGCAGAAGCATTGACTGCAGCAGGGCTTGTACAGACTGACTGTCTCGTTTCTTCATTTTAGGTATATTCCTGTCGGTACAGAAGTCGGCTCCAAGCCCGAGACCAAAGATGGCTACGAGACCCTCAAGGTGCGTCGTCATATTATTCCTTGCGTCGTCGTCGTTGTCTTCTAACCAACTTACTAACTCGGCTCTTTTTTTCAGTTTTCCCGCCGCGAGTACCTCAAGGGCTCAGCCGACCTGACCACCAGCGTCCGATCACAAGCCGACTACTTCTTCTCATACATCAAGGAGGTCCACGCCATTACGCTACTCGTACTGACGCGCCTTTCGACCGAGCTCGGCCTCACTGGCCCTAAGCGCTTCGAGGCCGACCACCAAGATACTGCCCCCTCGCTATCGACGCTCGTCCTGCTGCACTATCCCAAGCATGCAGAAGACCCCAACGCATCGCCCAAGAACGTCGGCCACCTCAAGCACACCGACGTCAGCTCGCTGACCATGGTGCTCGCCGAGCAGTGGGGGCTGCAGCTCATGTCGCCCGAGACCAAGCAATGGGAGTTTCTCGAGCCGCGGCCGCAGCACGCCATTGTCAACGTCGGCGACTTCCTTCGGTTCCTGTCGGGCGGCAAGCTGGCCAGCATCGTGCACCGCGTGATTCCGCTCAGGGAGAGGCAGGTCGAGGACCGCTACAGTATTGCGTACTTTTTGCGCATGAATGACGATGCCACGTTTGAGGACCTCAACGGCAAGACGTGGACGACCAAGGAGTGGCATGATTTCAAGTTTGATGTCTTCAAGAGCCACGTCAAGATGGACACAAAGGCGCAATTCTTGACGGCCATGATGGAGGACGGCGAAAAGGCTGCCGCGTAGGGGAGACAGAAATAAATAGTGATTGGGTTTAAAAAGATGATTGTAGGAAAGTTGTGAAGGATGCATGATTTAATTTGATAATGTAAAGCGTGAGCGGTCGTCTTTGCTGCTTTGGTCTATTGCCATGCTTGTGAACTACCCTGTAGCCTGTCAACCCAGTGTGATGAGTTACAAAGTATAGGTCTAAATACGCTGTACATTAACTGCTCAAAGTAGAAGTTATGTTTAAGAGGTGGATGAGATGACTGCAGACTTGCAGTGCCTAGGAAGTACATAGTAACTCGTAGGGGCCTGCTAGCCCTCCGAGTGACGGGGCGGGCTTGAGCCCTTTCTTGTTTGTCAAAGTTGAGTTCCCGTTTTGTTTTGTTAACTTTTCAATGCAAAGGGCAACGTGAGATATCAATAGAATAAAGGGATAATATTAATTGCAGTCTGTCTATCACTATAATGGCACCGATACTTTCACAACGGGCTGCGGCAAAAACGAAGGTCGATGACATTATATGGCGCATTATCTTGTTTAAACTTAAGTTTAGAGGATATTACAAGTCTACAGTAAGTCGGAATAGGAGTCGAATTTGTTGGAGATATACTAAACATCAATCCCTAGGGACACTTTTGCTGAAGAGGCTCTCATTTGTGAGATCTTGCCACAAAAGACAAAGTGGCACAAAATAAAGAGGTGTATTTGGTCAACAGCAACAAACATCCCAGGAAAAGTCAGTCGGCGATCATTGCCAACTATGCTCGACGAGCATGGCATTTTAGATATAGACTTGGAGGATGACGTTAAGGAGATAGTACCGCTTCTGCGCGGTACGCTGACGGCGCAAGCATCACCACCCAGTTCTGGGGAGTCGGTCGATACCCCTCAAAGCACCGATGGTGCAGACGTTGTTGATTTGGGAGGAGACACTTACTTATCTCCAAATATAGATCGAGATCTCTCACGGTCTGTCAGTAGGCGGCGTCGATCTTCACAGGCGTCATCGGTGTCAGCTGTCGATCGCCGCATCGCGCCTTTTGAGCCGGCTGTGGGTGTATCTAGCACAATGGCAAATGCTTACCGACGACTATTAGTACGGGTTGTTGAGAATAGTCGCCACGCGAGGCTACCCTTGTTTAATTCTACCACAGATGAAGAGCCATCGACTTACAACGATCCATTTAATCTGCGACTCTATCAGAAGGTAGAGCAAGACCAACGCGTTGGTGCTGCTGGTGAGCTCTGGGTAAGTACATGCTTCTGCGTCTAGTAGAATTTACTGACCGTTGCTGCAGGTCTATGAGCTGCTCAGCAGACTCGACCCAAGTCTGCCAGGCTTTTTCTTGTCGAATTGGTGCAGTACAATCCGTGGATATGTTAGTAGCCATCCTGACTATAGCGATCTTGAGTCCTGTGACGGGCCAGAGCCGAGTGATATTGTTTGCAAAGATGACAGTGGTGTCTTTACAAACATGCTAGTTGAGCACGGCTATATGGAAGCATCAGTGCTTGACGAACCACCTATCCAGTACTACATCGAGGTTAAAACAACTACCACCAAGTGCAACACAGCTTTTTATATGAGTAATTCACAGTATAACAAGGTATGGATCCTTTTCAAGGTCTATTCCATCACATTCTAACAAGACTTCATCGCAAGATGGCAAGATATTCTAGGAGAGATCTGATGTTTCCGATAAAGCGCAGATTATACGTCATTTTCAGAGTGTATAATTTATTGGAAGATACAATCGGATTGAAGATTATTGTTGATCCCAAGGTAATGGAGGCTGAAGGCTCGCTGGTGTTTACGGCAGATAACTGGTCTGTGGTAATCAATAACACTGACGAGGAATGAGCAATCCAGATACATCCTTTGTAGTACTGTTAACCAGAATAAACAATTTGAATTTAAGCAAATTCTAGTAATTCAAAACTTGTCTAAAAAGGAACAAAGGTATTATAATCGAATCGCCTTTTGTCGATCTAGAGATTCAATTTGTCCTCCACGGCGCTGGATCAGCCACTGGCATACCCTAGAGCAACTACTACCGCGAAAAATGCGGTCCATGCCTTGAAACCCCAGATTTTTGGCCTCTTGATAACACAAATAAAGGGTTGAGAATAAAGACTAATGTTGCTATTTTGGAATTTAAAAAATTAGTATATAATTATAAAAATATGTAGGGCGAGATATGGGCTAAGCTACTGTGTGTTCTCTTGGCCGCTCCATGATGGATTGCTAGCCCCTTACAATTGCATTGACGGTTATGCTGCTATCTAATATCCACCAAGAGGCATGGGATACACAGCAAGGGCCAATGGAAGAATAGGATTACCAATTTGCATCATTTGGGATAAATGCAGGCCGAGTAAGCAGCCTCAGCCTACAATGCATCTAGTACTATCACGTGTTGAAGCTGGCTCTAGACAGTTGAGCAGATCGGCCCCCGCCGCATGCACTCGACGTCCCAACATTTACTATTGAGTATCCCTGAACCGCATAGGATAAATGTCGTTGCTTAACCCGGAACAGGATCCTGGTGTCTGGGGGACAAAGGTCTATCGAGTGCGAGGTCTGCCATTGACGACCACAACAGAGGTTGACGTCGCTAGCCTGCTGTCCTCGAAGCTCGGCGATACACCGGTTCACTGTATTCGCGTCTTCTCGCTAGCCACAGCACTGCACCTTGAGAATGCTCCTCAGTTCAAGGTCGCAACTATTATGTTCGCAAATAGCCCATCGCTTCTCGATGCTGGTAACAGTGCTGCGGAGTGGGTGATTCGACCATCATCGTCGACGGTGGGGAGCGAGCTCGTTCTGGATACTCATTTTTTAGGCATCACTCCCTTGAATGATGTTGAGCCATGGAAGCATCTCTATAAGTAATTTGGTTCATATCTGGCTTAATTGCTTTGCAGTACTGACGTCATATAGCTGCATGACAATTTCTGGGCTAGCAAGTCATCCATTTGGTTCCTGGCAACAAAAGTCGAGTGACAAGACTTTTATGTGGATTCGTGATGAGCTTCCCAAGGCGCTCAAAGGCGTAAGAACGATGCTGTATGGCTACGACACAACACTTTATAACAGCCAGTCAGTCCAAAATATATCGGATCTCGCGAATGCGTTGATTTATTATCTCGAGACGTACGAATGGGGCACCTCGAATGCCAAACCTACTGCGTTTCTCGCGCATAGCCTTGGAGGGCTTGTATTAAAGCAAGCGCTGGTTACGCTTGCTTACAGTAAAAACGACATACACCAGAGGGTCCGTACTGCCATGAAGGGCGCAATTTTCTTCGGTGTGCCCAATCTGGGTATGGATGAAGACCATTTTCGAACCCTCGTGCGTCACAATCTCAGCCAAGAGTCTCTGCTGGATGATATTGCTCGCAATTCGGATTATCTGAATCAACTCCATACAAAGTTCAAAGAGAGTCGTATCGTGGAAAAGTTTCAATGTTTCTGGGGTTATGAGACCCTAAAGTCACCGACAGTTAGAGTGTGTAAGTACTTTACTCGTCAGAGATTAAATCTAATGGAAAATAGAGACTTTCAGGCGACGAAATTGACCGAAATGGTCCACCAGCAATTTTGGTAACTCGGGACTCTGCCACATGCAGGTACTGGAAAGAGACTGATGACCTTGTTACTTTCTCAATTAACGCAAACCATTCGGATATTGTGAAATTCCCGAGGCAATCGCCAATGTGCGATGTCGTTGCATCAAAGCTTTCGAGAATACTATCGGCCTCTGAAAATAGTGGCGGTAACTTAACTGCAACACCATCATTCATATCTCGAGACTCTCTTCACAATGCGATGCAAAGTAGGAAAATAGCTCCATCGCTACAATTGCTGGTAGACTAACGCGAATTGTGACAGATTCCATAGACAATTTTAAACGAACCGCCAAGATTGCAGAAGCAGAGGAAAATACTTTCAGAATGATGACATACGACAAACTACTTGACTTTCTACGACAAATGCAAGTAGATCAGGAACATAGCAAACATGGGTTGCAGGGAATGATACGTATTCAACCGTTTCTACTTTCTGCAAAGCAATTCTGCGACGTCGTAGGGGATATGGTCGGGTCTACCACTGCGACAGCGTTTTTATTTGTGAGTACCAGACACCATATTGTCGTTCTAGAAGCGCTTATTAAAAACATGTATAGGGCCCCATGAAACAAATTCTCCAGGTGAGGCGTATTCGAAGTCGTATAAGAGGGAAGGGCTAACCCTGCGGGTTGGCAGGCAGTGTCTGCGACACCAGATCCATTTAACTTCATTCTCGATTTTTATGAGGATATTGGAGAATCAATGCCCCAGCTTCAAGAAGCCCAACAGTCTTTTGTGTCGAAAGAATACAGCACCGAAGTCATTGTGATGGTATTCAATGATGTATTGGAGTTTCACTCGAAGCTAATTAGCCTCATAAAGACGCCATGTGAGTCTACCCATAACATGAGCCAGGCTTTGATATTAATGATCCGATATAGGCTGGGAAGAATTATTTCATTCGTCATGGCACACTGACAAGCTACACCTAGAACGAATCAGAGATAGCATTCTACAAAGCCGACGACTTTTGGAGCACCCAGTAACTTTGCAGGAATTTGAAGAAATCCGGGCCCGCAAGACAACAGTACTAAACGAAATCCAACAAGAAGAAGATAGGAACGACAATGGACGCTTCGCGGCTGCAAAGCAGTGGCTAGTATCCTTTTCTTGCGAAGGCGAACTGGACAGGCATAGGAACACCAGATCGATCTGTCCTAGTGCTGGCCAATGGCTACTGGAGCACCGCGAATTCAAGAACTGGTTTCAGGGCGACGTTTCTGCCTCACCATTGTTTTGGCTAACTGGAAAACCTGGAGCTGGTAGCTATATAAACTATGGTATTTGTTGATCCATGACTAACTACTGTAAAGGTAAAACCATTCTCGCATCTAGAGTTATAGACGCCGCTCGGGCCGAAAAGGAAGCTGTTGTTGCATTTTTCTTCTGCAAGTACGGCGATGACTCGCGAAATACATTCATCAGTATTTCAAGGGCCATGTTGGCGCAAATAATGGCACAAGTCCGCCAGCTACGGCCATATTTTCATGAGCGTGCCTCATTAAGCAGCGACGCTATACCGACGTCGACCACCATGGCTAGAGACATGTTAAAAACGTGTCTCAGCAGCTGTCCAAACGCCTATCTTATTGTCGATGGTATAGATGAGTGTGGGAATAGAGACCGGAAAGAGATCACTGGATGGTTTCGAGAAATAACACAAAGCATCACGGAAAACAACGGAAATTCGGTGAAATGCTTGTTCATCAGCCAAGAGGACTTGATCTCTCGCAGGGCTTTGGACCCAATTCCTACCCTTAACATAGCCTCACAGAATGAAAGTGACCTGAAGTCGTATCTTATAACAGTACAGGTTAATCTGGAAGCGAAATTCGGCAGTTTGCAATACGGCGGTTCGTCAGTTGCGGACATTCTTTATGCAAGAGCGCAAGGTTTGTATTCTGGCCGCTGGTTGTGTATTGAGATGTTCCTTCCTAATTTACCTTGACTTAGGAATGTTTATTTATGCTGAGCTAATGGCCAAGTATCTTCATGACCAGCCAAATCGAGACGCAATCCTGCGTGAGCTTCACCCAACGAATTGTCCAATTGAATTAAACACAGTGTAAGTACTGTCAGTGCAGTTACAGATTTGGAATTAATATAGGATATAGCTATGATAGAATTCTTCATCGGGTCTTCGAATCCCGGAATCGAAACATGGTTTCATATATTCAGAATATTTTGGGATGGATCGTGTATGCCAAGCGACCAATGCGCTGGCGAGAGGTACAAGGAGCCGTATGCATCGACATTGAAGCGCAGGATATCAACACCGATAGAATGCTCCTAGAGCCCCCTGAGGGACTCTTTGCGTCAATCATTGAAGTGCGATCAAATGGCACCGTGGAACTTACACACACGACCGCATACGAGTAAGTTTGCAGCAGCGCAGATTTGCATATGATAAACTAACTAGGCGTATAGCTATTTGATAAAACAAGATTTTATAAAGCTAATGGAGGTTGACAACTCGCTGGCAATTCTGTGTGTATCGTATTTGACGCTTCCATGCTTTGGACTCGAGACCACGACGGAGCAAATAAACGACCGCCTCCGAAAAGGCATGTATGCTTTTCATGACTATGCTTCCGCTTGCTGGTCAAAACATCTTTTAGCTGCAGTTTCTCCGGCTAAACCAGATAGTAATGATGGAGCTGGCCAAAATATGGAGAGTGTAGAGAAAGCGGCCGAATTGCAGGAGACGCTGGAAGTTTTTGTTGGGACGCATATGAGCCCATCATCAGCAACTCTTCTACCAGTTTCTAAACGGATCACAGAGGCCATGGTATTGTTTAGAGAGTCCAACTATTTCGATGACATCTGCCAAGCCGTTACGTGGTCAGTGAAACAGCTTGGCATTGGTGGCAAGGGTCCGACTAAAGAAGAAGCGTTGGATCTATGGAGGGTTACCGCTAACATGCGATCCGTTTTCGAGACATTGTCCGGGGAGTCAGAAATGGAATCTCTGGCGTGCTACTACGGCACCAACTGGTTCAAATGCCCTCGTCTGAGCTGCTATTTTTATCACGAAGGCTTTGCTACTGCTGCACAGCGCGATCGCCATGTTGAGAGGCACGAGCGTCCCTTTATGTGTGTAGTTATTGGCTGCCATCTATCCGTGTTTGGTTGCTCGACGGAGAGCGAATTGAAGGCTCACATTCTCAATTATCACGGTATTGATATGATAGAGGAGGTGGAGTTCCCGCCATTGCCCAAAAACAGCGGCAGCAACCGGACCGCCGCGGCAAAGTATCAGTGTGACCAATGTCAGCAGACGTTTACTAGGCGGCATAACCTGAATGCCCATATGCGATCGCACACGGACATCAGAAACTTCATCTGCTCCGTGTGCAGCAAGGCATTCGTCCGTAGCGGAGACCGAGATCGTCACCAGCAGGGCCACGGGGAGAAAAGGCACAAGTGTGAAGGCCTCCTGAAGGACGGCTCTACATGGGGCTGCAAAGCCGTCTTTGCCCGATACGATATTCTTGCTAGTCACTTCGGCAGTGCAAAGGGCCAGAAGTGTATTCGGCCGCTGAAGGCTGAAAGACTGCAGGAAGCAGAGCAGATGGGCCTGGAAGGGACTCTGCTGGACAAGTTCCTGGGATCCAACCCAGCCATGCTTGCTGCCGGAAGTCTTCTCTCGTTTAATGAATTTCTAAAATTATGTAAGCTAGAACCGACACCCAAGAGTACAGTGGAGAGGCATTAGGAAGTAGTGGCCTCCAAGATATAAAGAGCTCTGGGTTATAAGAAGTATATAGAGTTTAGTGGCGCTGAGCATATCTTTAAATCTAACTATCTGTATATATCAAATACAAAAAGCACGCTTTGTGAAAAAGGTGGAAACTACCAACGGCAAATAGGATACTGGAGCTTTATTTATCCCCTATCACTAGGTGGGAACATGAAAGCATGAAGCTAGCCACAGCACAGGGCGTGATTCATGTACTCTAAAAGGATGAGGAGACACGGTCCCCACGTTCTCAGCTATGCCAGCTGCCAGGGAGCTAGCAGCTGGCTACAGGCTTAAAGTCTCGATTAAAGTGTAATATAATAAAAATATTACATTCTACTGTTGGAATTTGAGTCAATATTGCAGTTACGTGAATACGGCTGTCTGACTGGGTAGCTAGACACAGCCGCACCACCACCATGAATGTGGCCCTAGGGGATGCCGTCAGCCCTACCATCCTCATAGTCTATAAAATGCACCGCCGACAAAGACCCAAGTAAAAAAGACGCCTGCGCTCACACGTGACTTGGATGGTCTATTCCCTGCTGTGACGTTGCACACAGTCCTTGGTTACGTTATACAGCTGAAAGCAGCCTGGTGTTGTCAAAGACTCAGAACACCATGGCGACACACACGTGATTTTCCGTTTCTTTTCATGGGATCAAGTTTAGTACAGTAGAATAGTGTCTCGTCTAAGCAGACCAAGTTGGAGAAACGTCGTTGAGCCATCGCAGCAGGGCTATGGGTACGCTTGACGGCGGTCGTAGGGGCGCAATCGTTTGCGTCGTAACGGCGGGGTCTGCTTAACAGCCCCAGCTCACCTTAGAGCCAGGGGGCGCTGTAAAAATCACATTGCTACCTAGCCAGAGCCCGAGGAATACGCTTCGTATCACGCGGATTTTGCACCGCCGTGAGATTGTGCTTTCCAAAGAAACGTACTACTCACACGTGACCTGTCTCATGGTTGTCTGGTGCTAAGGGTATTGCATGGAGCGAAGAAGGACGACAGCAACGACAGGGCGAACTGAACATGATAAGCGCAGACTGTCGCCAGATAACGAAGCTAACAGGCCTATACCTAGCAATACTAGTATTTCACCTCTGTGTATGTATATTGGCATGGCCTGTCTCTTCAAACAATCGAGTAACTGTCGCCATGCTACGAGTTGAGTAGTAGACAGATAACTAAGACATATTAAGAGAGCTAACAGACCAGCCCCATAGGCAGACCGGCGCTGGGTACATAGCCGCTGCTGTTGTTCGCTTACTTCAGTAGCTTCTCGTCTGGTTCGGCGACCTCCGATTCACACCACAATATGCCTCTCGGTCTCTGCGCTCTCTCATTGGCTGCTTCGCTCAATTGCGCCCTTCCATTCGCATCTTCGCACTTTCTGCACCGCCGTAAAACTCTACTTGTAATAGACACTCTCAGTTTACACGTGACCCGTCGCTAGCTCTCCTCGACTAGCTCCTCTAACCCGTTGGGACAGCCCCGCTGGTCTTTCGGCTCGGGCCGCTCTGCCTTCCCCTATCGGGGCTTTCGTTCTGCGTGAAGACGCGTTTCCAACCTCCACTTTAAACAACCATTTTTGCCGAGCATCGCCGCTAGGTCATGCAAAAGTAGATAAGCATAAGGGTGTAAGTTGTCCTGTGACTGTCCTTGCCTATCGTAGCTAGTTTCGCATGTCGTCATCACATTCTTAATTTGTCACTTGTAAGAATCACAAACGAAAAAAAACAGTCACTGCTGATACACGTGATCTTGCTCCTGCATCCCGCTGGTTTGCGCTGCTCTGAGGCGCAGCGAGAGCTGAGAGCTGAGAGCCCCGAGCCTTACGTAGGTTGTATGGTTCTAGCCGTGCCCTGCTCAGCCTCTACGAATACGCGCAGTCTATTTCGATTGCAGTCCATCGCCATTGTCCACTGGCCATTCAAGGCATGTCTGGCTCATCTACGCCGAAGCGGCATCTGAGCGAGTTTGCTGATGTCCAATACGCTCTCGGCGCGAAAAGGAATAGGCACAATGCGTATTCATCGCCATCAGAAGGACTCCTGCCGTTACCAAGGTCGCCGTATACAAACGCATCGATTGCCAGCACTCAAGAATTGAATGAGCCACAAGAGCGCAGCCGCATCAACAACGCAGAATTAAATGTCACCAGTGAGAGTCAATGTATGTGTTGAATTTGGTGCCATGACATGACAAATATAGCGAACGGCAGAACGAGCCAGCTAAACTGCTATGTAGCGACTGCCCGAGAAGCGCATGCATCGCAAGAGCAGATTTGTTTTGGAATGGTTTGTAATATACAGTCCCCGCATCGCAAAGCTACACATGTATTCACACGATGCAGTTAAAAGGCATAGAGATACAGCTCGGTTTCATGTCGCAAGCTTTCCCAGCAGCTCTGGAGACCGTCCAGTCGGGTGACGACATTTTTGCATGTTTAGAACTCGTTTTTAACTACAGCCGATGCGATATTCAGACCAAAGATGGCACTCATGTGGCGACGATAAACACAAAATTTCACGTGAGCATCAGGCGTGCTTGTTTCACTGACGATGTCGAGTATAAGGCATTGGTTCTACTGAGTGACATAAAGCAGCAAGCAGCAAATACTACCGCTCAACGAATCCGTACAAGGGCGCCTCGTCAATGTTGCCATACGAACATCCACATTTTTGGGAGCCGACAGATCGCCGCAAAAGTCGGTAGGCAATTGTCACGAGAACGACTCTTCCTGCAGCATCCATCGCCAGTGCTACATGGAGCCACGTACAATAACCCCCAATACCTAACCTTGATTGGTGGCGCGTTACCCAACGGCGCTCTTCTGCCGTCACTCTCAAACGTAACCTTGACGGATGAGAGCACAGATTGTCCAACGCCAGAAACCAATGGCAAGCCTGCTCCTTTCGAACTCCCTGACCTCATTTCGGTCATGAATGAGCTTCCGGAGCATGAGTATCTTGAAAATGTCGCCATTGATGATCGCATCATCACGCCCCTCTATAGGTAAGAACCCCATATAATCTGTTCCAATGACGAAGAGTCACTTATCCTCGCTACTCAAGCCACCAACTGGCTGCCGTAGCCTTCATCACCCATAGGGAATCTAGAAGCATTACGAAGCCCCGGAGTCTGTGGAGCAACGGGAGCTCCGATTCAGATAGTCGAAGGTGCGTACGCCAGTGGCTTTGCTGATCAGGCAGACTAATTAAGCGAAAGCTATCGACATAAAATTACGGGCATACGTGACGAGTTACCAAGAGATATACCTGGTGGTATCCTTGCTGATGATATGGGTCTTGGGAAAACCCTAACTATGATCGCTGCTATTATGTCGACACTTCCGCATGCAGAGAGGTTCGCTTCAGAGGTGCCGCGGCAGCGAGACAGCTCTTCATTCGCTCCCCTGATCTCTGTGAAAACTACTTTAGTCGTTGTGCCCAGTGCCTGTTTGTAATACATACAACCTACTGCCTCATCCGTTGCTAACTAACCACTTAGTGTTGTTGGATGGGTGGCTGGAAGAAATCAACAAGTTCAGTCCAAATCTCACTCACACTAACAGTACTCACGCTAATGATGCCATAGGAGAGTTTTAAGTGGCAGTCTGCAAGTCTATAAGTACTACAGCCTAAACAGAAGGCTGCCTATATCTTCCACCTTCCCCTATCACATTATTCTAACAACATACCAAGTGCTGGCAGCTGAACACGCTCGCGGAGGGGGTGCGCTGCGCCAATTTCACTGGTATAGAATAATCCTCGATGAAGGTAATACAACTTGCTTTCGACCGATATTTAGTCACAAAACACAAAAGTATTAACCAGCTATATAACAGCACATTCGATCCGAAACTCGACTACAAAGATGTTCAAGGCTATAACGGCGTTGTCAGCGAACATTCGCTGGTGTATTAGTGGAACGCCAGTGCAAAACTCGTTACTGGACCTTTTGTCGCTTGTCAAGTTTCTTCAACTACCGCTGTTGAGCGACTCCTTCACGTTTCACAAACACATATCAGGCTCGCCTATTAAAGGCACGAAATTCCGGAGTCCCAATTACGATAACCTGCGGATGCTGCTGGGGTCTATCTGCTTACGGCGCAGTATCTCTACTATAATCGCAGCAGAAGAGATTTCCTATGTCACACACCGGCCGCGCCTGTCTTCTATAGAGCAGCAGTACTATGATAAGATCGCCATTGTCTGCCAAGAGTTGACACTGGCAGCCATTAACAGTCCACGGCGAAAACACAGGGTTCAATCCCTCTTCACAGCCATCCTGATGCTACGAATATTTTGCAACACTGGGCTAACTTCCACGTTAACCCTCGAGAACCTCGCCAAACAATGCCTTCCCGATGAATCTCTCAGCTTACAGTTGCTGACAGGAGTGGCCGTCTGCATGGAGTGCAAAGGCGAGATGTCCTCGCAACGTACAACATACACAGCCGAGAAGGACCATATTTTGCATCGCTTCTTGTGTCACAGATGTTTGCCACGAACCGTAGCGCCTAGCCCTGACGGCACCCCTCATGGAGCGCAATCAACTGAAAGTAACCAAGATGGCGGCCCTATTCAGGAAGCAGAGCATACAATGGAGCTAGATACCTCCCAAAACAGCTTTCCCTATCAACATGGCAGCCCATATCCATCCAAACTGTTAGTGTTACTCGGCGATATTAAGAAATATTATCAGCAAGATAAAAGGTTTGCTCCCCTGCTACCACTAGGTTTCGTTACGCTAATCGATGTGTAGTATTGTCTTTTCATTTTGGAAGCGAAGCCTCCACCTCGTAGGGCGTCTGTTTCAAGAAGAAGACGTGTCTTATTCCCTCATCGATGGCGATGTTGAAACAACGCGAAGAAAGAAAATACTCGAGCAGTTTCACGCCGATCCCTCTGTGCGCGTGCTGCTAATTACCCTGGGAACAGGCGCTGTAGGGTACGGTCATCTTTAACACGAAACAAAACAGTATACTGACAGTTTCTTGAATCAGCCTTAACAACCTAACGGTAGCCAGTCGGATACACATTCTCGAGCCGCAGTGGAATCCAGCCGCAGAGAGCCAGGCAATTGGCCGCGTGGTCCGGATTGGCCAAAAGGTTCGAGTCAGCGTCATCCGATACGTAGTGCATGATTCTATAGAAGTTGTAAGTCAAACACAGCATGTAATGGCCCGGATGAGGGTTCATATGAGCTGACTGTCCATATTTTCAGGCTGTGGAATCGCGGCAACTGAAGAAGGCGATGCTAGCTGTAAATGGTGGCCTGCAGTCATCACGGCAAGATGTTACCGCGAATGAGATAAGAGCGGGTGGATTAGCACAGCTGATGGAAATTTTCAAATCGACAACATCGACAGTAAATAAATCCTAGATAACACTGTATATAGAGAGATGCTGGCACGGCACCATGATACAATTCGACTTGATGCGACGACGATATCCTATTTAGAGTCATATTGCTGCTATAATAGGTATGGTTCTATATGATAAATAGCCTTGTAATTATTGGAGAACTTTGAGGTATGTATTTATTGGATAGAGAGCTACATAGAAGTTTTGTAATCTATGGGGTTGATCCGCGTCCAAGCGAGCCGGCGGCGTTCAAATGGAGTCTGGGCGTAGCCTGGAACCTCAACAGGAATAAACAAATTTAAAATAAAATATAATATTTGATGCAAGACTATCACTTATATATTAGTAAAGTATGGCAGCACTAAGCACCTTAACTCACCGCTCTACAAATGACAACGCTTAAGTGTCTAGGTTATGTTTGCATAAGAAACATCCCCATATTCTTATGCGGAGATCTAAAAGCCGCACATGAGATGGCGTAAAGCCAAAGCTAGATTTTGGGGTTCACGACTAGCGTATTGCAACGAGCACGCCGAGTAAAACTATACAAGACTTCAATGAATATACCTTGTTAAAATTATTTAGCCAATTCTGCGTCATATTAAAAGACATGAATATAATTATTTAATTGTCAACTAAAAAAACGCGTCACTGCGATCTCCCCCTCCAGGACTCAGCCTCAGCAGGGTAGCAGCGCCCAGGCACTAGCGCCTTTTGGAAGTAAATTGCCGATCGTCGTGATGCAGTAAGCCGTAAGCACAACCTGGATGTCAGCATTTAAGGAGGCCCATGTCAGCTCCAACTTCGGGGTCAAACGGTCGGACTGCTTCTGCTTCCACTGTTGCTTCCTGGTAGCAAGAGACGTTGTTATTCTCAGCCCTGTCGCTTCTATCATGAAATTCCACTCGCTTACCCAGCTGGCTACTGGCCTTGTTGCCGGTGCTACTCTCGCTGCTGCTGGCAGTGACCCGCGTCATGCCCCAGGAGCTTACATTTTCGAATTTGAGCCTCAAGTGGTAGGTTAAGCCTTACAATTGCCTCCCCGCGTCGCCGCATCGTCATGCAGAGCCATCGGGTTTACTGGGTCTAACTCTACGCGCTATAGGATGTCGAACCTTTCTTCACTGCACTCGCTGGCGTCGGCGAAGTGCGTTTGCGACTCGAGTCCGCCGTCTTTAAGGGCGCCTCAGTGCAGCTGGACGAGAACGACACGGCCGAGGCACGTCGAGCTTCGGCATTGCTGGCAGATTTGCCCATAGTCAAGAATGTCTGGCCTCTAGGTCTCATCTCCAGGGAGGACCTGTTACATCCTGATATGATAATCAGCGCAGAAGACGTAGCAGCATCAACGCCTACCAACGACAAGCGCTCCGAGCCGATGCAGAATCTCAACTTCCCTCTGGCCATGACCCAGGTAGACCGGCTGCACGAAAAGGGCATCAAGGGTGATGGTATCACCGTGGCCATTGTCGACAGCGGCGTAAGTGTTTGACTCTCGACTTTGCTTGTCTTGTAGCTAATTGTCGTACAGGTCGACTATACCCATCCGGCACTCGGAGGTTGCTTAGGCGAGGGCTGTCTGGTGGCCAAGGGCTGGGACTTTATCGGCAACGGCACCGTTGCGAAGCCGCAGCCCAATGGCGACCCGATGGACTTCACAGGCCATGGCACACACGTTGCAGGTATCATCGCGATGCAGGCTGACAGCAACCCCTTTGGTCTATCGGGAGTGGCACCCCAGATAACCATTCACGCCTACAAAGTGCAGGGGCCGCATCAAGACGTGACCGAGGACACCTTGATTGCTGCGTTCCACCGCGCCGTTGACGAGGGCGCCGACATCATCACCTCATCCATTGGCGCCAACGGCGGCTGGTCTGACGGTGCTTGGGCCGTCGTGGCCTCTCGCATTGTAGCGCAGGGCATCCCGTGCACACTCAGCCAGGGCAACGAGGGCAACGTCGGCCCTTTTACTGGCGATACAGCGGCAGACGGCATCAACGTGACGGCTGTTGCCGCCTTTGACAACACACACAACACATTCCCGCTCCTGGCTTCTTCCTTTTCGGTCGATGGCGGCGACTCTCAGCGTTTTGGGTATTATCTGCCGCCGCTTAACGTGATTACCGCCGACAAGCCCTTGAATCTGCCTCTTTGGACTCCTGAAAAGTCTGCGGCTGGCGATGCATGCGCTGCGTTGCCCAGCGATACGCCCGATTTGAGCACTCGAGCTGTGCTGCTGCGCCGTGGAGGATGCGGTTATGACCAAAAGATTACCAACATCGTGGCCAAAGGCGCCAAAACCGCACTCTTCTACATGGACGGCCCAACCCTTGATTTCACCATGTTTGGCACAAAACTCCAATTTGCCGCCATGCTTACCAAGCCCGTTGGTGAGAAGTTGGTTAATCATCTTGCAGGCGGCCACAATGTCACTCTTAATCTCACTTTGCCTGCAGCGGCAGAGGTGTTCATTGACACCTCGCTCAACGACCAGACTGGCGGTGCCGTCACCACGCTTTCGTCCTGGGGCCCTACGTACGAGATGACGCCCAAGCCCCAGTTTGGTGCTCCCGGCGGCAACATCCTCTCCTTATGGCTTAACCACTCGTATGTAGCCATCTCCGGTACCTCCATGTCCACGCCTCATACTGCCGGCGTCATCGCCCTGATTCGCCAGATCCGTGGCGAGATGCCCCCCGGCGGTGTAGATCGTCTTCTGTCCTCCACGGCCAAGGCTCAGTTGTACAATGACGGCAACAAGTTCTACAACTTCCTCGCTCCCGTGGCCCAGCAGGGCGCTGGTCTCATTCAGGCTTTTGACGCTGCCTACGCAACTACCCTCTTGGAGCCCTTGCACTTGGCCTTTAACGACACCGACCACATGCCCAGCCAGCTTAACTTTGTCATCACGAATACCGGCTCATCGTCCATCTCTTACAAGCTCAGCACCGTCAATACACCCACCGTCTACGGGCTCAAGGCTGACGGCAACGCGCCCAACTTGTTTCCCCCTGAAATGTCCGACGTGTCGGCCTCTCTCACGCTCAACACCACCAGTTTTACTGTTGAACCAGGCTGCTCTGTGACTGTCGCTGCCTCTGCTACGCCGCCTGCTGGCCTGCCTGCCCACCGCTTGCCCATCTGGTCTGGCTACGTAACCATCAACGGCACCGATGGCTCTTCTCTGGCCCTCCCGTACCAGGGCTTGGCAGCCTCGTTGCGCAATCTGGCCGTCTTGTATGACTCCAGGCTGTCATTTAATAACGCCAATGTCGCCGCCGGCGCTAATATTACCCTGCCACCGCTTAACTATAACGAGGATCAAGACCCGAACAAGAAGCAGAAAACGCTTCTGTTCCAGACTAGAACGCGCCACGGCTCTCGCCAGCTCCGCTACCAGGTTGTGTCTGCCGATAATAGCACTCAAGTTATCGGCACGCCATATGGCTGCCCTACGCGCAAGGTAACTCACCGCGCCATCACGCGTTGCTACTGGAGTGGTCGTCTCGAATCTGGCGAGCGTGCGCCGGTTGGTAAATACAAGTTTGCCATTTCTGCGTTGAAGACGTTTGGATCAAGCGATGAGCCCAAGGACTGGGACCGTGTCGAATCCGATTCGTTTACTATTGCTTACCAGGCCAGTGCCAACTAGTAAAGAGTCCAAGTTAGTGTAGCTATTTTGTACAGAGATGGCAATATTTTTGCCATTATGTTGATATCCCGGGAAATTATCTTGTTTATTATAAGAATGCACTTGGATTCTAGAAATTTGCGTTAATGAATCGATATGCAGGATCCGATTTCACGGATTATATAAGAAATATTAATTATATCTAGAGGCAGCAGCTTCTTCAACGACTGTCTTGTCGATTATTGTAAAACCGTTTATTCGAGCCGCCCGTGATGAGGTGGAGTTTACACAGCCTCGTCTCAAAATGCAAACATTGACATCGCCATTTTTGCGTTGTTTACCAAACACCCACAACACACCAGTTGAACAAAAGCCGAAATGGAGCGGGTTTTCGCGTGCGTTGGCCTCGTCACGGCCGCTATAATAGCAGCCAAAGCCTTTATTTTTCTTCGAATCTACCTTCTTCCTTCCAACCTGCATCGATACATCCACAACGCTGCCGACGGGCGTCAAGCTTGGGTGCTTGTAACGGGAGCGTCGGATGGTATCGGCCGAAGCCTTGCTCAAGAGCTTGCAGCCAACGGGCTTAATGTCGTGCTCCACGGTCGCAACCGGGAAAAGCTGGCCACGGTCATGTCGGAACTGCAGCAACTCTTCCCCAAGCGATCCTTCCGCATCTTGATAGCGGACGCAAGCCAAGTCCGAGGTCTCACCCACAATAAGACACACGAAACAGGTGTCGATTTTGAAAGCATCAAGGAATCGCTGGATGACTTGCATCTCACCATACTCATCAACAACGCCGGAGGAGGCCCCGTCAACCCTGTCTGCCTCCCGTTCTCAGAATCATCCGAAGAGAGAGTCACCGCCAATGTCAGCCTGAACGCGCTGTTCCCCGCCCATCTTATTCGCGTGCTTTTCACCTCATCTTGCTAGGAGCGGCAAGCCGGCACTGATACTAAACATCAGTAGCATGGCAGACCAAGGATTTCCGCTACTCGCTTCATACAGCGCCAGCAAGCAATTTCTGATGAACCTGACGCGGGCGGTACGGCTCGAGATGGCTCTCGAAAAGAGCTCGCAAGTTGAGGTGCTTGGCGTCAAGATAGGTAGAGTCACTGGCGTGGTGGCTTTAAAGGAAACGCCCTCGTTCTTTGTGCCGGATGCTCAAACGGCCGCCCGTGCCATCCTGGGCCGCGTCGGCTACGGCCACGGTATGGTTATCGGGTATTGGGTGCACGCTTTACAACATATTGGAGCTAGCATTTTACCAACGTGGGCAGAAGACAGGGTTATTTCAGCCGTGATGCAAAAGGAAAGGGAGAGCAACTTGAAAACGACGTGAAGTCCGTGCACTATCTAACTATCAATATGCGCCTGATATCCTAACAGATAGTCGCTTGTGGTGGATTTAACTACATATAAATATGGAATACGTGACTATCTTCGCGGCTTACAATTTCTGGAAATCAACCAGCTCTTTGTCCAGTGTGCAAAGAAATTCTTCGGCATGTTTAATTTGCATCTCCATCTCTGTCCTCGCAAGCTCCGCCTCATCTGGGACTACTTGCAGCCATTCCTTTTGCTCTGGAAGTCTCTGGCTATAGTAATCTTTGTTGAATAGTATTTCTTGTCTGGATCGGCCAGGCCTGGGTTCATCCAAGGGACGTCTTCCCGTTGCTTCAGTAAACGTCATACCGGGATACAGAGCTGTGTGCACTGATCAAATGCGCGCTGGTAGAGGTTGACTCTGAGACGCGCTTGCTTCAGGCCAAGCCGCAGGGCAGTGGCGAGAAGTGTGCCTTCAATTCCAGACCTTATTTCGATGTAAGTCTCAAGTTCATTTACGTCACCTCACTCAAACCGCATCAAACTCTGCTTCTTTTCCTCGAGTCTCTGGCGGAGCCTTTCCATCTCCCAGAACGGGAAGGAATGTTGCGCCGATAAGGCGAGCTTGGGCTTGTTTTGCTCCGGTTTGCTTAGCTTAAGGGCAGCCCCTCGTTATATGCTACAGCGTCTGTATAGCCTAACAATCGGAATCGTGCCATCCATTCTTCGGCGACGGTTTGAGCATCTTCAACGTACTTAGTATGGGTTCTCACGATGACCTTGAGATCTCTGACAGCTCGGTGAAGTTGTTCGATTTCCTTGTTCACGATCTCTCTCGGGTCCATCGCCGCAAATAGATCTTCGCAAGAGGTCAACGAGAAAGGCATCGCCGTCGAATGTTTCACCGGGCCATCCATGTTTCTTGTACAGAGCCTTGATTGTTCCCTTCATACCCCACATGCCGTCAGAGTTTTCTCCGCCTGGCAGCTCAGCAAGATTCTGATACCATCTGTTTATGTCTCTGAGGACTGTTTGGGCATCACGGCCTTCGCAGTCACCCAACATGTCATCATATTCGTCACTTTCTTGCCCACTTTCTTCCTCATCTTCACCAAGGTCATCTTCTTCTTCCTCAGGTTCAGTTTCGTGTTCATTCTGCTGGTCTTCACCCCTCTCTTCATCTTCATATTCACCGTCCACTCCATCCTCGGCCCTCTTACAGTCATGGTTCTCATCATCCACTGCCCTTTCATCATCAGATATCCCAAACCTAGTTTTCCGCATCAAAATGGGGTCATAAGAACAGGGGTTATCAAAGCCCATTATAAAAATCAGATCCGTCTTTGCGCAGTAAACGAGGGCTAGTCCGCGGGTGCCGCCCATGTCTGAGAGCACAGTCATCCATGGCTTCAGCCCGCCTACCTCGACAACCAGGAAACTCGGATTTCTCAGTTCTGTGAGATCTATACTACAGCGATGGTCAATGGTTTGGCCTCTCCTACATAGAAGTCAACGTCGCCGGTTGTGGTAGAGATAAATGATATCATCGCTGACATTAAGGTCGCGCAAGTCTTGGATGCGGTCGCCCAGGTCATGTGGGCCAGCCTCGATCCATTCAGGATCAAGATAACTCATACGAGCGAGCGTCTCGTAGATGTTGAGTAGCCCGTCTGCTACACTCTTGAGGCGTCAGTTTTGCTTGTTTGTTACGTGAAGTGTATCCATGGTTGCTGACTTGCACACCGCTTTGTCTAGGTGACTGAACAAAATGTCGGAAAATAATGGTAAAGAATTCATACTTTGTCTTGGAAAAGACGTTGTGTGCTATTCACGGTGATGTATTTGTGCTCAACTCAGGCTGCCAGCCTCCTCATCAGAGCTAGCGACTCCACAGAGGGGATGCCAAGTCTTCACGCACGCTCTCCATGTGATGTATGCGTACGAGGTGAAGGATTCTAAAATGAAAAGGTGCTGGACATGCTCTATTTGGTTTCAGATATGATAGAATAAAACGGAATAACTTGGACCATATAATACGTTTGCACCATAGTAACAACAAGCGGGATCCTTGGGCTCGCTTATAGTCGTGTGTATTATTTTGATAGGTGTTTACGATGTGATATACTAGGATGTGTATTACGATGTACAATGTGGATCCAGTTTATATCCAGTTTATATCTAGTGCTAGATTGGTAATATACCGACGGAAGTGCTCAGAGCAATATTATTCTTTTGCCAATCACAGATTGGATTATTAAACCAAGAGGTTGGGCCTTTACATACATTTTTCCTCAGAGGTTTTCAAATCACTGTATCTGGTCGAAAAAACGACTGTATAAACACTCAGTCTCCTGTTATATCAACGTTACCGAGCGGGGGCAGTATTGGTTATGGTGGGAAACCTTGAACAGGGTCGATGATTGTATCGGCAGTTAGCTCCTTCGACTTGGCTGCCACAAGAAGAAGCACTGGTAGAGCGATTTGTTCCATATGCCTTGCCAGGTGCGCTAGAAGGCTCTTCCACGTTGTAAAGCTGCGTCCGCAAAAGCGGCATGGCTCGTTCTGTGGTTGCTTGCTCGTTTTAATATGGCATTGTTCAACCTTTTCCCAAGTTGCGTCGGTATGACCGGCCTTCTTCATCGCGGCCTTGCTTTTCACTGGAGGCTCTTTGAGTTTGTGTTCTCGAACCAGGTGCTGCAAGAAATTATCGCGTCGGTAACATATGTGACGACATGCGTCGACATCGCACCCCCACCACTCCAATTGGCGATGGCCTTCATTCTCATGCCGCGCCCAGTCTGCTTTTCGTTTGAATGTTCTCGGCTCACGGCATCCCGGCCAGGTGCAAGTAAACGGCTCGACGTCTTCATGGACATGCCTTGTCCAATCCGAAGGCTTTTGAACCTTTTTGGGAGAGAAACAATGTGGGCATTCAAATTCGGCTGGCAGGGTTTGCGTTGGTGGCATCGGGATGCCAGCTGGAAAACTCTCTTGGATAATCAACCCTTCCGGTGACGCACCATACTCATCCGCGTCAGATTCCAGGTCAGAGGGATTGTTTGTCTTCTCGTTGCCCTTTTGGTCCATGGAAACACTATAGAAGGGTAAGCCAAGGCTTCCCTTAGCTATGCAAAGAGGTCCGCTAGGACAGTTGCTGCCCACACGCAAGTGTTCAACTATAATGGCTAGGAACCGCTTGTATCGGATGAGCTGATGAAATGCGAGACGATTAATCAGATATGATCCATGACCTTCAAGACTGGGATTTAGTTTGAGGATATGCTTTTGAAACCCAGCGATATCAGGTTCAAAGCCTTCAATCACGCTAACACGATTAAACAGTATACCTGTAACCTCGTCCTCGTCGTGACTTTTATCCTCGTCGTTAGATAGTATTTGTGTCCCCACAGCTTCAGGACTCAGCGACAAGGAATTATTGTCTGGGGGTATAATTATAGATTTTTTGGCTGCGTCTGCATATACATCGATAGTAGTTAGCGCTGGGAATGATAGAGTGTGTCGACATGTATACAAAAAGTAATCGCTGTTCCAACAGGTGAATAAATATTTGACGCGGGAGGACTTCGTGAAAGAGTCCTCAAGATTGCTGTACAACCATTTATTGAGCAAACCATTGTCTGAGCAGCGATTAATATTATCGAAGATGACTCGTGTGTGCTGGAAGTCAGGATGATGGATTGCCATTTCGAATATGGCACTGAGTGTCTCGAACGACGAAGACCAGATTCCAGGACTTTTTAGACATATCTCGGCAGCATACTGGAGAAGACTTCGCTGTTGATTAAGAAGTTGGCGGAGAATGGACCGGAGAGCCCCCATCATGCTTTCTTGGCCGGCATATGCAAAGGAATAGTAGCAAACTGAGAGTCCTGCCAAGGCGTCTATGGGAATGATTTCATCCGTGGTAACTATTCGACTTTGTTGACTAGTAATTGCCAGAACTCGACAGTTGCCTTCCACCCAGTTTTGGAATTTTTCATGTTTTTCGATATTGCTTGATGCATCCGATGTAGAATGGTAATGCTCCCGACGATTCCAATCTGAAGCAATTTCAAGATCCGAGCCTGTGTCTTGAAGAGATTGCAGAATTTGCAAATCGTCTGCTACCGATGAGTTAATGTCTTGCTTATTCTTTTGTGTCTGCACTGGGGCAATTCCGAAGTATTCCTTTAGTTTTGCATCGTCTTCCATATCTGGAAATTGTAGTCCGCTCTGAGGCGATGAGCCAAGGATTTGTTGCCAAAATTCCCATCCATTGGTATTGGACTCAGATATAGTCCAATCTTTATGCGCGGGCAGTACAGGAGATCCGCTCAATTGGATCGTCTCTGAAAAAGATACCCAATCTCCAGATGGAATCGAGTTGTTTATTCTGCAGTCACAGTCGTCGTTGGAACACTGTAATTCTGTGACGGTGGTTAGGCCATCAAGAGCCTGTAGGCCGCCGATGTCTTGAATTGTACCAATCCCAGTATCTATGCCTGTGGCCAAATCGTCGACTTCAGCCGTTTCTACAGCCGCCATATTGATAGGGAGAAGAAACAACGAAATTGTGACAAGATGTACTTTGATATGTTTTGTGAGACCTTCGACCGCAGCTTTGCATTCTCGATCAGGGTAGACTTTTTCGAGCTCTTCAGGATACCCTCCACAGAAAGGGCACTCTGTGCTAAGGGGTTCAGTGCGAACTACGCTATGATTGATGATGGTAGACCAGAGAGTTTTATTAGAATTTTCGCCATGACTGTTCATTAAATGATCTTCGAGGTCGGATGATGATGAAAACAGTCCAGTCTTTGTCGCCGCGGATTGACAATACCAGCAATACCAACGTCGTTGAGAGTGGGCAGTTCGAATATGAGTTAACAATGATGAAAAGGAGTCACCATGGCCGAAGGGGTCTTTGCAGGATTCAAAGATGCAAAAGAATGGCTCGAGGTCGTGGATCAGGTGGTTTTTCCAAGCTGTTTCGTTGATACTTTCAGTGGCAGGGCAAACCAGAGAGCAATACTGACAGGTAAAAGACATGGTTGATTCGTTTATTGTAGGTAGTGGAGGAAATGTACCCATGGTAACTTGTACTGAAGCTACAGATTCTGCATAAGGCTGAGGGTCAAGCTCCGTCGCCACCGTCTTTGATAGCTCTGTTTGCAGGTTGAGAGTTGGTGCTGATTTTTTTCTTATTGATGGTATGTAGTTTTTTGGTTCTTGCAAATCGTTGCCTGTTGTTGACTTTTGGAGCATGGCTTCCGAAGACAATGGATTGTTAGACGAATCTGTAGCTAGCATGTCGGTCGACACTCTAGCTTTCATTTGGTGGCGCTCAAGGTACAGAAAACGGCATCTGCGTATAGCAATAGACTCGGCAATGCGCTTTTGTAGAGCTGTACTGGCGTTTGGAAATATATGAGCGGCCTTTTGGTAAGCTAGGCGTTCAAACATCTCATACTGTTCTCTGTTTCTATCCAAACCAGCAAAACGTGCGACCCGTTGTTGGCGATGACGAACGCCAGCACGACGAAGCGTAGCTCCAAGTTGGCGGAGACTAGTAATGGTATCGTGCACAGACGCCCATATACCATCGCTAGGTGCCAGCTTGTCTTCATCTTCAGGCTGGTCATCCAAAGCAAGCCTGTAAGACGCTTCGGATCGATTCGATGACCTATCTGACTCGCTGTCTATTGACATTTCGTCTTCTTCATTTTCATGTAGCTTGACCCTAGCTAATTATAAATTAGCCTTTTCACTATCCCTAAACAGAGGCTCATTTTACGTAGAAGACCTACAAAGACAGGCTTCGAGACTCAATAGAAGCTGCTGATGAAGAACGCTCATCTCGAGGGAGCTCTTGAGACGAGTGACAAGGGACTGCTGCCCGTTGCGAAAAACTCCCGAAGTAGTAGCCCACATGTTAAAATTCGCCATTTGCCGCGTAGCTAGCTGGCTTTCGTCGCAGTGCTTTTGCAGCTTATTTCTGCAGCGAACGGCCAGAGTCCGCACATCCACAAGGAGCTCGTCCGTTGGTATAGGCGCTAGTCCATTGTCTTCTGCCCCTGAGACTGTAAACCGAGCGGTAATGGGGTCCATTTTCCATATTATTCCCAGAGCGCTATGTGTACAAGGATACAAGATGTACCCATTGGCGAAGGTAGGGAAGCTAGGAGGCTAGGCGAACGGGATCATCCGCGCCGCCCACCTTTCAGCTCGGGCTACCCTCCAATCACTGTCTCGTAAAGTAAGTTGAGACCCCGCCGAGCAGTGAGTCTGCCGCTTGCTTTGACAGCGAAACAGCCGCTGGTCTTGACGATCCGGGGAACTATTCCTGGTCTGCTTCTTGGTAAACATGTATCTAAGGAGCTTACTTTTTACAGAATCAAAGCCTGCCCACAATACAGATGATCTTACGAATCTCTTGGTGGCAGTTTTACCCACCTTTATCGGTGTGGCGAAGCGAGCTTGGGACCAAATACCCGACCGTCAAGAAGGCGAACCTATCGAAATCGTCACCAGGCGCGATTTTTACCAGAATTTCTATGCCAAAGCATTTTCTCTATTTGCTCTTTTGTCTAGACATGACATCGATCCCGGCAACTCGGACACTACCAGCCTAAGCAACCTGTTGTTGAAACTGTTGGATATGCTCGAAAATGCATTTATTTCATGGAAAGATCCAAGTGCAATAGTTGTATGCAGTCAGCTGGGCCTAGATCGACGACCAACAGATCTATATCCGAAGCTATATGCCCTATGGCGCATCGTCCCAGACGACGGAATTGAGGTAAATGAATCCGTCGCAAAGAGTCTTGGAATAATCATCCAGGTCTACAGCAGAAAGGCCGAAAAGCGACGAAATATCTTGAACAATCTCGTTGCTTTGTTTTCACACTTGGATAGTGCGCAGTCTTACCTTGATCAGCAAAACTCGGAATGCCCTCTCCGCTTTGACAACTACCCCATTAAGAATCTACGGAGATTCTTGGCAACTTTATTCTTAGTACTAGAGAAGAGCTGGCGTTGTAAATGTGAAAGCATAGCTCATTCGTCTCGTGCTATCAAGCTTAATCTTACGCAGCATCGACGGTTCGAGACAAGGCCTCTTGATGGACAGCACGTACTGCAGAACAAAGCTCTCTTCCGAGTCATGTTTCCGACAAGCTTCGGGCCACCGCGATGGCAAAATACCGATATTACTGTAAAACACATCGAGTATGTTATTGTTGCATTTGAATTCTATCTTATGTTCCTTTGCCTGAGCTAATCATAATGTAAAAAGCGAGCGAGGGAAACATGAAGAAGTCAAGGATAATCTTTGCAGGATTATTGAAGAAGCTAAAGCCAGTGTTATCCCAAGAATGGCCGTTTTCGATTCGAGGTTGTGGCAGCTTCGATCGCAAGTCGACAAGTCTGGGTGTTTCAAGGTCCCAGACAACGAATTTATATCGCTAAGGGACCTGTTCATTGGCCCTCACTGGAAAGTGTCTTCTATGAACATCAGAGAGCGCATCATATTGTCCTTTATTATTGTTACAACATTTTTACACTTCGTCACGACCAACCAACCTTGGCTACAGTCCAGTCTCACGGCCGATAATATATGCTTTAGGGTTTCACAACGGACCGTCAACATTACGCAGCCATATCTCAACATACGGTTCATCCACACGCCTTCAACCGCTGCACGAGAAAAAGGCCTCAATAACCCGCATCCTTGGCCCGAAATTTTATCTCTTGGTAGTCTTCTTCTAGAACTTGCACGTGGTGAAACCATACAGTATACAGACTTCAACGACAAGTGTGCAGAAACCTTGGTCGTGTATGATAGATGGAGCAGCATGTCTGGCAGCAGTATATCTCCTGATATCCCAGAGGCTCTTTTCCAGGCAATATTCGCATGTATTGAGCCCACACAGCTTGAACTTCGAGGCTTGTGCAAGACAATTGTTCGCGACTCTGAAATACGCAGCTACATTTTTGAACGGGTTCTTTACCCGCTGGGAGATACCCTCGACACCATCTATGATACACCACTACAAATGCTACATGCCGATGCGATGCAGTCATCTACGGCCTCCAACATCAACACACAGCCTGCCGCAATTTTGTCAGAGAAGAAGCTCGCAGGAAAGGAATGGCGACAGCGTCTTGACCGTGTTCATGATACGCTATATCATCCTCGATTGAAGGCTCTTTCGAAGCTGAACCAAGACCAACACGCTGTGAAAATTGCCGTCCTTGATACTGGTTTACAACTGACTGAGTGCTTACAAGAATCATACAAGGCAGAAGGCCGACTAGCGGCTGCTATGTCGTTTTGCCAGGATCCCGATTGGGATGTCGACCATGACGGCCATGGTACATGCGTAGCAAAACTCGTGCTGGACGTTGCATCAAGAGTAAAGCTTCATGTTGCAAAAGTGATCCAGCATCGCTCAGATCTTGCCAACCCCAAAGTGGTAGAGGATGTCTACAAAAACATTGCAAATGTAAGTGGTTCTGCTGGAAGGAAAATACGACAAGAACACTGACGCTGACCAAATTAATTACAGGCCATTGAGCACGCTACAAATACCTGGAACGTCGATATAATCATCATGAGTTATGGTTTTGAAAAGCCAGTTCCCACCATTAATGCCGCCATGGAGCGCGCCATCCACTCGGACTGTTCACCGTTATTCTTTGCGGCTACCCAAAATAGCGGTGCACATGTGGGAATGGCATGGCCTGCCAGAGAACCTTTTGTCTTTGGAATAAGCTCTACTGATGGTCTGGGGGCGCCGTCGCCCTTTAACCCAGAGGAAAATTACTCGCATCCGATCTTCTACGCCTTTGGTGAAGATGTCCAAATCAAAGGCATCCACCCAAACGTCTCAGCAGAATCCACAACATTTGTCTCGGGCACGTCCTTTGCAACGCCAATCGCAGCTGCTCTGGCAGCCAATGTGTTGGCCTATGCTCGCCTAGCCGATTTAGCCGCCTCGGAGAGGGGCGAAACTCAGTATTGGGATGTGCCGCGAGCATTGCGGCGGATGAATGGCATGCTCAAGGTCATGATGCACTGTATGCGTAGAAAGCATCAAAGTAATACATGGAGTTTACTTCCGTGGGAATTTATGGACGCATCGCGGGTAGACGACGATGCAATATTGAAAGATATACATGTCGTACTCAGCACTTTATAGGGTCGCGAATGGCGACGACCAAAAACGAAAATATATCATATTTACGTACTTGATAAGAGTACCGCTATCGTAAACATCACCATTTCGCAGACTTTTGTCTTGTTCAATTATGCTGGGGATGCGAACCATCCCTAGCAACGTAGTATCTTCTTTTATTTGACTTCGCCTTCCGCTCAGCAGATCTCCGTTTTGCAGCTTCGCGACGTTGCTTCTTACAGATAGCATCACAGGGAGAGTCAGGCGCGCACCCGCACATCACAAAAACTTCGCGCTCCAAGTCCAAGTAAACTGGACAGATATCATAATCGAGACGAAAATTATCGTGGGGATCGCAATAAGCCTGGCAATACGTGGCTGTATCGGAAGCGTGCATGGTGCTGCAATACACCATAGAATTTGAGCCCGTGCTGGCGGTGTCAGCGGCGGGTGTCCCCGCCCATCCAGATACTGAGAGCATGGCAAGGAAAACTGTTAAATGAGAGATATGTGCCATGGTAATAAAGCTTCTGTACATCTTTTTATATGGCAATTATTTTATTTTCCTCGAATTTTGGTGTTGTGTTTGAGCAGAGGAAGCCAGGTTTGTCATTGACTTGGCAACTTGTTGTAGCACTAAGCAGGTGTTTTTGATATCGAAGGGCTTTGCCAATTATAAACGCTACTAGTAGAGGGAACTAAACAGTACTAATAGAAGCAACAGATGAAGAGAGACTGTGGCGTGTCATGTGGCATGTAGGGATGTCCAGTGGCGAGGCCTCAGCGGCGCAGACGGGCATATTCCGTGAATATCGAGGTTGTTTGGCGATAGAACGGGTAGTGGAGATCCTTTCGGCCGAGATGGACACGGCGACCATTGATTAGCGGGATTGATAAGGTTAAATAAATAGACGTTTTCAATTCAATTATCTACGCGGTGGATATTTCACGCTCTATTCCTTCTGTCACAGAATGTGCTCGAGGTTTTATTGAATAGCCGTGCGCGTAACAGGAGAAGAGTTGATGACAACTGCACAACCCGTGAGCGTCAAGTTCTGAACAACAACAGCATTTCAGCTACAGTATTTATTAATAATTTTTTGATTCCTTCTATTCTTCTGTACGTATTTGTAGACGAAAGAACCGCATACAATCCTTTTGACAGCGTAATTGTCGTTTGGCATTTTCCTCTAGGGTAGCAAGCTACTTCTACTAACTATACAGTTTACAGTCGGAGTATGATGACATAACTTAGAAAACCGGCTCAAAAGGGTCGGTGTCACTTTTAAATTCTGGTCGTCGGATATATACCATAGCGTGCGCACACACACCGTTCTGGGTGATGAACAGGTCGAAGATGATGATGTCATAAGAAGGAAGGGATATTAGAGAATCAACATAGACTCTGTAATGTCGCATGTGCTTACTTCAAATATTATGCTTCATCTATTGTGAATCTCATATTCGTAATATATAAACCAGTGGTTGACAAGACCTAGTCTTTAAGATATGGGAATCTAGCCAAATTGGCTTTCATTCAGCTCTTTACAGCGTAAATTCGGAAGGACCCTACGTGTATAATAGTTAGTTGCATTCTCTCCTTCTTCGAATATTGCTTGTAACAAGGTAATCAGAGACATACCAGCCCATTCGTTCAAGTTGGCTTGTTTCAGGTCGTCCTTCATGGCCTGTGCTGCCTGGGAACCAGCACTGTCGCCACAGCATTCATTGTTAGCTCCCTCCAAGTAAACATTCAAGTCGCTACCCGTGTTAGTGATTACGATGTCTATTTCCGAAACAAGAGACTGTTAGCCAGCCATAAAACACACGCCCGCATGTGCTGGTATATTCGACAACGTACCTTGGAACCCAGCCACTTCCAAGTATCGCTGGTAATCGGCAACTTCGCCTGCACCTGCGATACATCCCACATACAGGCTCATGCTCTGTTGAATCGATTCCGGTAGTGGCTTACGAGCGAGGATGTCGGAGATGGCAACGCGCCCGCCAGGGCGCAATAGCCGGTGCATTTCGGAAAAGACGAGCTGCTTGTCAGTGTGCGGTACCAGGTTGACGACGCAGTTGGAAATGATGCAGTCGGCAGATGCAGAGGGCAATGGGATATCTGTGATGCTAGCCTCAACGAACTCGACGTTCTGGTTGCCCGAGCTCGCGCAAATGCTGCGCGCCTTGGCTAACATGTCCTGCAAGAGTTTGGTAACAGTCGTCCAGCGATTAGAGTGAGTATAATTACCTTGTTCATATCAATTCCGATGGCAATGCCAGTTGGACCAACTCTTTTGGCTGCGAGGAAGACATCAAAGCCGGCGCCACTGCCAAAGTCGAGAACCGTCTCACCCTAACAGCGCGCTGTTAAGTCCCGAGATTAAAACAATAGCAAGAGTAGACCAGCTTACCTCACGCAGAGTAGCCAAGGCTAATGGGTTACCGCAGCTCAGGCCTAGATTGCTGTCCTTGGGGATAGATTCCAGCTCTTCCTCCGAATAGCCAAAGGCCTTGGCGACTGTGTTGCTGTGAGTGGCGTTGTTGTCCGTGGCTGCTGCGCTGTAGCGCACGCTGACCTGGGCGTAAATAGTCGATGAATCCATGCTGAAGATATGAAATGGTATTGGCAATGATAGTTTTGTAATAGTATAAGAGCGATAGGTAATTTATACCTTTGTTGTTAGTTGGAGGTGTTGTTGGTATGACCTGCCGTATACACCATCTATTCCAAAATAGGTAATGTTTCGATAGGTCACCAGCAAGCATCAGCGTGTCTCCAAGCCACAAGCTGCAAATTTATGGGGAGTGTACGCAATAATATGTGCTTTTTTTGTTTGCTATATATGCATTTTAATATACATTTAAATTGTTTTTTAACTCCGTTTTCGTGATGGTGATTTATCTTGGCAGTATTTTTGCGTCTCAAACCGAGATGTGATTTAGCAGCGCAAATAACAACGAATTTGCAACTCGGCATCCTTCCGTGTCCGATAACCCTCGCCGAAACCCTGGCTCAAGCCAGGATCGCATGGCAAGCATGTCCAATTTAGCATAATTCTGCTCAGCAAGCATCCTAAACGCCTCCTCGCATGATGTAGTGGACTCTCCCACGACGGGCGGCCGCATCTTGCTCTGATCTTCACGCTTACCGCTAAAGCCGTTGACACTAGATGTGCCACCTAGCAGGGGCCCTAGTGGTGGGTCACCGGAGTTCTTGCCGTTTGTGCATATGAGGGTTTCTGGACTGTGTAAAGATATGGCTGGCTCATGGAGAAGAGCGTGCAGTGTAGTCGTGCTGGTGGGAGCGGCTGTGGTAGGGTTGCCTGGATGAGACAGTTGACTGCATCCTTCCACCTTGGCGTTGAGATCCTTGATAGTTTGACGTGCTCTTTCGAGTTCAGCTTGTGTTTCGGCTAACTGTGCCTCGAGATACTCGATGCGATTTTTGATTCTCTCGCGATGGCGACGCTGGTTGTTCCGAACCCGGGTGGTGTTGTGGTTTGCCGGCTTAATCGACCACTTTGTGACGAGCGCCGCAGCACGGGCGCTTGTCTCTTCCCGTGGGCCCATGAGCGCAGAAGTTCGTTTTCTATCACAGAATGAAGCAGAGGGGCACATGGGAGATGGGAAAGTTGTAAAAGTGAAGAGAGAAGGCATTGCCTGAAGTGGGGTTATATCGATGACATATCACAACAATACCAATTCGGGATGAATACCGCCACTCCCAAAGTAGACTATTGTACTGGACAATTACGCCGTCGAAAAGGACGCATATTTACTAATCTAGACGACCCTAAAACATAGAGTGGTGTCTTTAAACCTCTTCCACTAGCCTCCTGTATGGAGGCGTTAACTGCGCTCAGGCAATTTTTGGCAAACCGCGACCCTTTTCAAACAAACTGAGCCTCCTCAGCCCTGTATGTATGGTTATTGTGCAGAAAGTGGCGCAATTAAACTAGACTTAAAAAAGCGGCTGACGAAGAACACAAATTGTTAGCATATCAGACGTTTCTTTCTTTTTTTTGCCTTTCGTTTTAATATGCGGTTTACTATTCGCGAGTATAAACAGCACCTGTGGTGTGAAACCATTGAAACCCAAACTCTGCGGCGGAAACAGGGCGGAAACAAGGCTGGTATCACCTTGGTCCCAACTTGGCTGACCTTGAGGTTGCGCTCGGCCCCCGGCCCGACGACCGTGCATACGCCCCTGGTTTAAAGTTTTTTAGGGCGTGTAAGTGGCCCGTATTATACTACAGTTGGAGTATTATAACCGTTTCCCATCGGATTCGAATCCAAATAAACGTCGCAACGGCGTCGGAACTGTGTTTAGTAGGGCGTTTTTCGTGGTAGATATCGTGTGGCTCTTTCAAACATCGTTGAAGCCAAAAAGTTTAAAAGGTGTAGGATATCGCTACCATGGTCAACTAGAATTCTTCAATCTAATTCCAAACAAGCCTTCTACTCTACAGCTCTAGCTCTCGTCACTTTAACAAAGCTTCTTGCTTCTCTTTGCCTTGCTCTGCTCTGCTACCCACACACAACAAACGCACTCTTCTTAACTTTTTCAAAATGAACAGGTCTTTCCTCAACCTCCTTCTCGCCGCCAGCGCTGCTGTGTTTACCATCGCTCAGCCTGTTGACGTGCAGACCACCACCGTTGTCGACACGCCTGCAACCACTGCGCCACCCCACGAGGCCCGCGTCGCCAAGCAGATGACGGTCAAGATTGTGAACAACTACGGTGCTGACATTAGAACTTTCCACACTGGCGACTTCGCCGTCGGCAAACCCGGTGTCGGTGTCATCTCCAAGGGCCAGATGGCCCAGTATGTCGTCGACGCCGGCTGGCACGGAACCGTCGCCGTCAACGACGCCAAGTTGCATGTCTCTCACTCTTCATAAAGAATATAATAGAACTAACAGATGCCACTACAGCTTGAACAACATGGGCGACGAGTCTCTCATCGAGGGCTCCTTTGTGGACCAGGGCAATGGTTTCGTCGGCGATGTCAACATCAGCTTTGTGTAAGTGTCTAATTCAGTTGAAATAAAAAGCAAAAAAGCCGGCAGTAGCGATTAAGCTAACCAAGAATGCTTCAGTGACGGCTTCTCCGTTCCCATCATCTGCTCGTGCGATGCCAACGGCCTCACCACCGGTTGCAGCAAGGACCTCAACAAGATTGCCAAGTGCCCGGCTCCCAATGGCCAAGGCTCGTGCAAGAACCCTCAGCGTTTCAATATCAATGCCAAGTCGCCCACCCCGTACTTCGCGCCCTGCCACGCAGTCGGCGGCGCTTACACCTTCCCCGCCGACGACCTCTCCAACAACCTCAACGCCAAGTGCCCTCAGGAGCAGTACACTTGCTGTGTCGGTACCAACTGCAAGAAGTTCCCTAACTAAGCGAGACGGGGGGAGGAAGGGAAAGACTGAAGTGCGAAGTGGAGAGTGTTTGACTACATGTACATAGACTTTTTGCCTTTCGCCTTTTGCAGCGTTCAGCTTTTTGTTTTTGCAGCGTTCCGTTATAATTGACTTTTTATTCTTGATATAATAATCACTTGGTGATTGCTCTACTAGTCGTTGATATACTCACTTGAGCCTCTGAGGCAGAACTTAGATTCCTTTACTCATGTCCACCTCAGCCACGTCCAAATCGGGGCTCGACTCGCACAGCACCATAGTGTTTAAAGAAGCGGCCCCAATACTGATTATAGTCCTTGCTCTTGTCCTTTTCCTTGTACTTTGCCTCCATCTGATAGATCGGCCAAAGAAGCCTCGCAGCACCGTCCTCCCAACTAATAGGCCGTTCGCCATTGAACAGATTCTCACACTTTGGCGCAGCGCTCATGTAGCCTGGATCGACTGTATTGAGGGCAATCCTTCTCTCTTTCCACAGAGTCTCAGCTTCCGTTTCGGTGATCATGTTGAGGCCCGCCTTGGACATGTTTGCTTGGCCGTGTTGCCGCGGCGAGCCTCAAAGATGCCCTCGCGTGAGGAGACGTTGACGATATGACCCTGCAGGCCGTCCTCTCCAGTAGACATTATCGGAGCTAGTTCGCGAATGAGTATTAACGGGGTGAATGTATTAACACTGTGCGCGGAAATGAAATCCTCGTAGGGGATGTCGGAAAGTCGCTGAGCCCATGAGGAAGGGCCACTGTCTGTTTGAATGGCAGAGAGATTACGTTTCTGCCTTTCGCCAGTTAGACACATAAGCGGTGGACTTCCATCGACTGCCTCCACAGCGCCCCCTCGTACACGGGGCGTGTAATTGTGCTGCGCAGCCAATATTTTGAAATGGTCCTCCTGTTGTTGTGCCAATGCCGCCTCGCGCTCTATACCAAGTCTCTCTTTTGAGATGCTGTCTGTCAGAGTTTGTGCAGCATTATTGATCAGGAAATAAATACTGGATGGATAACCATCAAAGAATTCGCCATCTGGAGATATTAATTCCTTAATCTTGCGTATCGCTCCAAATACGTCCACTGAGATGCGAAATTCGGCACCAAACATCCTGAGATTCCGAAGTGTATCAAAGGAATCGCGATTCTTGTTGGCCTTGAGGAGAAAATGCCGGTGGTAGCGCTCGAGCGCATCTTGTGGGTAGCGCGTGGTGACGATGACGCGGAAGCCTCGAGACAGGAAGTTCAGGGCGAGGTGGAAGCCCAGATTTACTCGACCACCTGTAATGACAGCGATCTTTTTGTGATTTAGCCAAGGCTCGGGGGACTTGACAAAGGCGGATCCGGCGGCGAGGTTAAAGTCGCCGCAGGGGATGCACATGGCGGGGAATAGTTTGTGTTGCTCGGTAGAGGTGAAGCGGCAGATGTAGCAGCGCATAATGGAACGCTACGGGGGCTGTACTGATGATGTGTGAGATAGAGAGTACTGGTATTCCTTGTCGATAGTATCCCAGTCTTTAGACTCGACCTTGATCTTGGTATTGTGTAAGGCCTGCAATTTGATTAGATCATGGAGTGCGGCGAGCGCGGTAGTAGCAGTCTGAATGTCTTTATCATCGCAGCGATCGTCTCGCAAAGCCTCAGCTATGCGGATGCTGGCTTGTAGCGTCTGCTCAGCTGTAGATGCAAGAGCACTCTCAGAGGAGGTCTTTCCAGTAGTATGAAATGATTCAACAGGCTCCTTGGCAGCATTCTTGGGGTTGATCTTTTGGAAAACATCTTCCGTGGGCTCACCGACTCTGGGATACTGAATGCAATAAGTGATTTTGCTTACAATACTGTCATAAAGCAAGCGGCTGGTGCTGACACTAGATGTTCCGTTGGTCGGCATCAATCGCTTTGCGATTGCGCGCCCTTTCTCAGACTGGAACGGCGGGAGGTAAAGGGCCAAAAGACTAGGTAGCATGCCATCAAGCTTGTCGCGCTTGTTGTCACATATTTGCGAGTCAAGTAAGAGATGCTTGGCAATTTCACCGGGAGACGCTGTTTCCACCATAGCGACGTAGTCCTCGGCATTCATGACGCTGCTTTTGAGCCGGACTGTGTTTGTAGCAGGTTCTGGATCATACCAGACTCGCTTGGAGATCGAAGCATCTTGCGGGAAGGCTTTGGATATCCAGCTGACACATTTCGCGAAGGCTACCAGCCAGCGAATCTCTGCAGGCGACTTTGGGCATCCATATGCCACACTTAGATGTAGTAAATGATATGAACCATCGTTGGATATACGTGGTGTTCTTGGGCTGTCCTGTCCACTTCCATGGCTGTACATATACTCGAATTCCTCCAAGGCCACCTGGAGGTGACCGAGCAGTTCTGCTGGGTATGGTGAATACTTTGTCGCTTTTTGAACGGGGTATCGTTCATTTATGCTGTTGAAGAGATGAATGCACCAGTTGTACGGAATCAGAGGAAGATGCAGGTGACGGAACCTGTAATTTCCAACCGTGGCGGTGGCTGGCACGACGTCCAAGTCAGGTTCGGCACGCGTCCTGCGCGATACGAAGGCTGGCCGCCTGCGTCCTTGTGCGGCTCCGAGGCGCAGCTGCGTAATAATATGGTTGGTATTATGTCGAGGCGTATTTGGTGCGCCTGGCTCCTTCAGGATCTCGCTGTAACGCTGGTACAAGTCTGCCATAGCCTCCAATTCTGCGCTTTGGGCTGAGTTTATCATACCAAGAGCTTGCCGCAAGACAGGAAGCACTATCAGAATTTCCTCAAAGCTCCAGGCCCTCGATGCAAGTGATTCGGCACAGAGCGTAAGCACCTCCTCAGTCGGTGCGTTCTCCATGTGCTGCTCCCAGGTTTCTTGAGTGTCACCATTCGGTTGGAAGCCGATCGCCCCTTATGATGGAGTTTCGAAACGCATCTGGCAGGAATAAAGCAATTGAGCGGCGTTCTATAATACCCAAGGTCCGGTCATTTCTCCAGTGTTGTAGGCCGAAATAATCCCCATTGCGCCAGTCTGACTGGCCTTTTTCTGCTCCAAGAAAGACACCAAAGACAGCAATGACCACCATTCGCAGATCACTGTTAATTGTCTTGGATGTGGTGTTTTCATCCAAGGGCACCCAGAGAGCAGAATAATACCGTTCCTCAAGCTCTGGGCTCATAGCAGAAAAAATGCCGTTTGATCCCTTTTGAATAGAGTTTCTTGCCCTCCACATAGCTAGCCATGACCTTTGGCACCAGAGATCACAGATGGCATCAAGAGCAGCCCATGATGCTTTAATATTGTCTAGATTGTCCGAGAATAGCCATTTCCATTCATCGTTGAGACAAATGTTGTCGTTGAGAACATGGCTTGCTGTTGGCGCGAGGGACAAGCGCACAATGTCGGCAAATCCAAGCTGAGAGAGAATCGCCTCATGAAGCTCAGGTGGCAGTCGCGATATGTCTCGCGCTGCGTGTATTAGGCGCAATGGAATTTTACTTGCTTCCATTTTCTGCTAAGTATTTTATCAGGGAGAGTTGATCATGGTGGTAGGTTGTTTGGGTCAAGGGCATGCGAACACATATGCGAGATGCAGTACGACCTACCGAAACTGGATATCAAGGGAAGTACGCACAAGGTTCAATCAGGGTTTAACATATTATTATTTTTATATAACCAAAACAGAAAATAGCTAATGTTAAAAAGAATGAAAGATACAATGTTGTGCTCTTGTTGCTAGAGTATTATACTATCGGGTCTTCCGGGTTTGCCGGGCTGCTTGATCTCAATATTAACTATTGGAAGGTGACGCTGCGCGCTTCTCAAGTTCGGATAATTTAGCTATAGAGTCCAGTCGAAATGGATCATCTTCGGCTAATGTTTCTTTTTGAGCTGTGATAACTTGCCGTATCAATTGGATAGCGTCTGCAAATTGTCCGTTTGCCTCGTATACCATTATCAACTCAGATTGATAGGCAAGTCGAGATGTATTGCCTTCAGTAAGTATTTTACTTTGGATTTCCACGACATCCTCTAGTATTTGGATAGCTTTTTCAAGTTGTCCATCTTCTGCATATGCGCTTGCAAGCAAAGATTGCGAGCTAAGAAGATATGGATGATCCTCTGCGTATGTCCGGCTTTGAATTGTAACGATATACTCTCGTAATTGAATTGCATCTCCAACCCGCTCATTGTCTTCATACAAGTTTGCCAATTCAGACAGAGATGAAAGTCGACTATGGTCGTCTTCGGCAAGTGTTTTGTTTTGGATTGCCACAACGTGCTCGAGTAGTTCAATAGCATCTTCAACTTGGCCATTCCATCGATATGCTATTGCTAGGGAGGCCTGACACAAAAGCAATTGTGGATTGTCTTCTGTGGATGTTTTTTCTTGTGTCGCAATCAGATGCTGTAATAATCTAATAGCATCTCCAGATTGACCATTTCCTATGTATGCCTTCGCCAGCATGGACTTGGATGAAATTTGGGCTGGGTCATTTTTGACAAATATTTTGTCGTGAACTTTTACAAGATGCTCGAGTAACTGAATAGCGTCCCCATATTGCCCGGTTGCATAGTACACTACTGCTAGAGCATGTTGACAAGCAAGTCGATCGAGGTCATCTTCGACAAGTATTTGATCGTATATCCTTGTAGCGCGTATCAAAAGATCCAGTGCATCTTGGTCATAGCCGTCAATTTGTAGGCAAGAGGCAAGCTTATGTGCCAAGTCAGCAATAGGTAATGTCTCTTCCGAGGCGTGGTATACGACTTTTTTTGCGTGTGGTAGGTATTGTCGCCATACAAATATTTTATCCTCGTAAGGGTAGTTTAAAAGAAGATTCAAGTGCAATGCTGCAGTTTCAATAGTCATCTGCTTGCTCATGTGTTCTTCGATCCATAATTGGGTCGCCAGCTGGACCAGCCGATGCATATCAACTAAGTCACCATTCTCTTGCTTGCGTAGAAATCCATACCCACATAGTGTGCCGAGCGCACTAGTCATAGCTTGGTCCGACCCTACGTTGGGTAGAATAGAGATTGGGATACTCTTTGACTCTATCCAAGCAAGGAAAAGCAGAAGATTGGCTGCAGGAGGCTCGTTGAGTTGGATTTGGGTAAAAGATATGATCCAAGTTGTTGCAACCGCACTTTGGGAGTCGTGGTGATCTCCATCGCGAAATCCCTTTTTCAGTAGCTCTATTGTGTTATTATCTGCTTTTTTGAGCATTTGCAAATATTCACGGATAGTAATGTCGTTCTCGTTCATATAGCTGATAGCCTGCCAGAGAGCTAATGGGAGGTACGTAAGATTAGCTATCAGCTCTTCGCGTGCTTTGTCGTCTTCTAGTTGCCTCGGATCGAGAAATGACTGCTTTAAAAGCGCTTCGGCTTCGGCTAGGGACATCTGAGGGACTTCAACGATATTCCGCTTGGCTAATCCTGTTGCCATCTTTCGAAATCGTGTCGTAGCGAGAATTCTCACATTATTAGTCCGGGGCAAGAACTCAAATATGCAGTTGGTTTGATCTTCGGTGCCGTACAAGACGTCTGAATCGTCGACATTATCCAATATAACTAGCCATTCTTGATCTTTGTTCGATATTATATGTCGTTTTAGAACATCCTTTGCATCTTCGCCATTGTCATTTGTTATCTGAAATGCCTTTATGACTTCATGACAACTCTTCGTATATGCCCCCACACTAAGAGCAGACATCCATAGAACTGCAAAAGCCTCATCGCTTTTCTGTATCTCATGAGCAAACTGAAGCGCGAGTTGAGTCTTCCCTATACCACCCAGGCCGAAAAGCGCAGTAATGTTATACCCGTTACTCTCGATGAGCATCTCGCGGAGCTTGTTCATCTCGTTTTGTCGGCCAACAAAGTCTTCATTTTGTGGTAATGGAAGGTAATGTATCAACTCAATCGTTGATGATCTTTCTTTGGCGACACGGTTAGTATTCGCCATTGTATCCATTTTGTCCGAGATGTTTCCAAGGAGAAGATTTGTTGTAATGCTCTCATTCAAATGCTCTTCAGCTATTTCCAAGTGTCTTGACATGATGCTGACTTGATCCTGAATCATTTGGTTGTTTAATCTTGCCGCCTGGGAGAGTGTTTCAAGACCGTCTCGTATGACTGCATCATTGAGGTCGTGGAATTGTTCTCTAACGAAGTTCTCATTCTTCTTCACCGTCTCAATCATCTCTTTCCAGTTATGCCATTCGACCATATCACCCAGTATTAGTTTCACTTTATTACTATAAAGTCGTAACGCGGTGCTGACTTGGAAGGTGATGATTGATTGGTACAGATTGACGAGCGTTTCTTCCAATCCCAGACGGAAGTCGTCTTGCAGAGGTGTATGCTTTGGCCACCGAAGCTCCTCTAGGCCAATGTAGAAGCGCATACGAGCGATGACATAGGTCAACCCAGTGCTATTAGCTTCTTCGACCGTACCCATGTTGGTAAACAGCGGCAAAATGATGCATATTCCCGCCCAAGCCATGGATGCTGGTGGACACGCGCTCACAGCATCGGCAATGAAGGCCTTTGCCTTCAAGGCATATTGGCTAGCGACAGCGACTTGCTGTTTGATGGTATATTCTTCGCCCGCGATGGTAAAGTGCCATGTATTGGCTTGCATGCGCTCCAGGCCACGGTCTATGATTTGCTTCAATTGTTGTTGGCGGGGCTGGTCCGGAATTGTCTCTGATGATGTCGTGCCACCTGCGGTAGCTAGAGCTTCAGAGTCTGGTAATTCTCTTGAAAGAAGCTTCTCATACTCTGATACTAATGTTGTCTTTTCCACTCGCAATTGCTCGTAAGCACGCTGCCAGAGTAACCCCACCGGTGGTGCTTTGCTTGTGGCAAGACCTACTGGGGGTGGCCCCCGGCTACCATATACATCAATAGCATTGCTGGTTAATTCTTCATATGGTACAATGCTGACTGTCGTAGTCGGTTCGGTAACGGATATTGTCGACGGCGATAGGCGAGCGCCCGGGTTAGGTGGAGAGACAGGGGTTGGCGACGATGTCGTTGTCGTTGGCGAGGCGTGTCTTTTATTCTTTCTAAATCGCCACCAGGCGCCTTGACGCTGCTTGTCGCTCATTTCATCGTATAGTCAGCCAGAGAGAGTGTTTCGTATGAAAAGGAGGTACTGCTCACCATAAACAGTGAGGCTGAAATACCTGCATGAGGCGGTGGCCAATGGCAAATTCGGCAGTAGTTTTTGGGTAGTAAAAGCATGTATTAGTCGTAAAATAAACTAATATAGAATTCTTACTATTCTGGTATCTGTTCAAGAGTTGAAAGTTTGGATCGTTTTCCCCAAATCATTGATAATGGCTTCAGTTACGGTTTGGTACCGGGTCTTATCAGCATCAGGCACCTTGTCTGTAACGCCGGCTCCAAATCCACCCACAGAGCTCTACAGTCCACTCAAATGTCGCTGTACGCCCTTTGCACCGTCTTTTATCTTATCCATAGAAGCCTTCTTCGATATTAAAAGCTGGTTTGCGTCGTTGAGCGCATGACCAAAGTTAACCAAATCGTTGAGAAGCTGCTTAGCCTCAAACTCGTGAAACGGAGCAGAGTCGCGGGCATCAACAGTGCCCCTGGTGAGAAGCTTTGCAATCTCGTCCATGTTGTCTTCAATCATTGTCAATTCTTGTGACGTGCCCTTGAATCCTCGAGTTTTAAAGTCGTATTGTTAGGCAGGGCCTGTAGCGTCACCGAGGTCATGTCGAACGTTGAGGAAGTCAGCAAGCGCGGAACTGGCTGCCATGGCCATGATTGCTAGAAATTTGAGTTTCATATTGTATAGGAAATAAAAGTGAATTGGATTCGTATGAAGTGCTTTGGTGTATTGGCTTCTTGGATGAACTCTGACGTAGTGGGCAGCACTTTATATACCTGTTCCTTCTTCGTGGTAACTTGTCTCACGCATTGGAGTGTAAAATTGTGGCGTTATTTTTGTACTGAGGGGATTGTCAATCGATGATGCAGTGAGGAACACCTTTTACTTATTGTATTGTTCACTATATGCTGGCATACCGCTGCTACCAACTAAGACATAGTAAAGTGTACCTGAACACGGCCCGGATAAAGTGAAAATGTGATTTTTGTGAGACTCAAGCTACAAAAGTAGAATGGGATAGGCATACCAAAGCCGAGACCGAAATTTATCACTAAAAGAAAGATTTCGGCTCTTGGAGGCTTAGATCCAATGCAGTGCAGCAGAAGAGTGGCTTCAGGAATGATCACCCCTTGTAGTGAGCTTCAACCCTCTCGGCAGATATGTTACCCTTGAGAAATAAACAGCAGATAGAACTCGACTTTTCAGCGCATTTATTATTTTATCCTGTGAAATTTTCTGGGTGTGAAGACTACATCCGTGTCTGGATTATTTGTTCATTGATAAAATAGTTTATCTTTGTAGATTGTGCTTCGAATGCACCATCTTAGTTGTGCTCATTGATGTGGAGAATAACCATACTATAGAGAACAACCTACATAAATAAGATGGGTACTAGAATACATGGCATCTATAAACCGCATAGTACGGAAAGTATAGAGTAAGCCACTTTTCCATGATTTAATAATCGTTACCTGTAGATCCGTATAAATGGATACCACGCTCAAGAACCTCGATTGTGTCTCCCACACTAATCAGCAGTGTCAACTGAGAAAGACTCGCGTCTTTAAGGTCTCTGTCTTCCGGTACCGCATGCATGCCAATATAACCTAAAGCAGCCTTATTTCCATTCTCTACTGTACGATACTCCTTCAATGTAGTTGACGGTTGAGGCTTACCCATTCTCTTGCCGTCGTCTGGCTTCTGTGTTGTGAATTCGCCTTTAGATGGGTCGACATTCGTCATGGGGCATCTTGATGTACGGCAAACGACGGACAGGGTGATTGGCGGCCTACTGGGCGAGACGATTCGGCAGCGCTTCCACGAATCTTCGTCATAGGCTGGCGCTCCAGTAAGCCACAAGTTTGCGCGGAAGCGGAGCGCGTTGAGTGGCTTGTTCTCTTCCGGAAGACATGCCGATAACGCATGGACAGAGGACACGCTATTGATGTTGACGGGCTGCTGATCAGTGTATCCGTGGACTGCGGGAGTGCCAATATTAGCAAGTGGCGCCAAATTCCTGTCTGTACGGTGGAGTGTATCAGTTGTGCATTTGAAAAGCCTTAATGTTCGGCTCGGGGGATACCCAAGAAACTTCTTGAGCTTTGGGAGCGCTGCTGCGACAGAGGGTATAGAGCTCATGTCTAAGCCATGCGCTGTTCGGTGATGTATGGCAAATGGTTTCATCTCTAGTTTAGTTGGAGGTGATAGCGGGATGATGAATGAGTAGCTCGAGGTCGCGTTAAGTGATCGAGTCTCACACACGGTCGATATCCTCTTTAATATTGACGGCGACTCTGGATCCGGAAATGTGAGAATGAGGCACCCTCCAGCCTGAACCATCGCATCGTTCTTGTTGCTTGTTGGACCGGGAAGCCATAGCTCGGTCTGGATGAGTGACATTTGCGGCTTGGTGCGTTGACTGATGAACTGCAGCGTGTCTGGGCCTGAGTCGACGGCGAAAGCATAAGCTCGGTCGTATTGGAAGCCGCCTTTGGTCAGGATGGCACGTTCGACTTCTATGGGCGCACATGACTTGACAGGATGTATGAATATTGCTTTTATTCTCGTCGCGCCATGGCTACGCTGGCCTTCGGGTAGCGCGTACTTGCTGTTATATTGATCGTCCATGTTGGATCGGGACAAGCCGACACGACAAAGATTGGAGACCTTGCGCCGTGTTATGAAGTATGTTCCGGTACAGTACGCAGCGGCTATTGACAGTACCATGGCCCATGCTAATAGGAAAATGGCATACAAAGCGCGCTGATATGTCACCATACCAGACACGTGGTGCACGAGCTGAAGCAGCATTGTGGTGGTGGTTGATGGGTTTGTTGGTGTATGTTGGTAGTATTAAAGTCCTTCGAGTAATGTGGCTCTATACGTTTATATATCCGGCCGCGTGAACGTTGAATGGAGTATTATTCTGTGAAGCTAAATTTTTCCTCTTTCGTCTACCGCCGCCGGGAATTAACGGCAGTTGCATGGAGAAGTCCCTTGATGGAGGTGGTGGGGGAACAAACCCTGAAATAGTGCGGCTTTCGCATCGTCGGTTATACACCCCGCAAGTAAAATTAATTCACGAACGCGAAAACAGGGCATTCGTATAAACGCGTTCAGTACCCGCACTTGGGTTGGACGGGCCTCGTGGCTAATCCGCTGACGCTTTCATATAGCAGGGTGCCATTCTGTATAAAATATTAGAAGCTGGGGAGCATTTGTATTAATTGACTTGGATTCTTTCGGCCTGCAGTTGGTATAAGATATAAAAGAAAGCACATATTTATCCATTACTAGTTAGCATCATGTACGACAAGCCACATCACTGAACACAAGGTGTAGCAGTTCATTCACTCTCCACAGGTAATGTAATATGCTACAGACTACCACAAGGCTACGACGATGACGCTACAGTAAAGCCTAGCACGTCATGTTTGCCTTCGTCAGCGGCCCAGGCTACCTGTCGGCCCGATCGCGTGTGGGTGCGATCGCACTGACCACCTGTTACATTTTAAGCCGCAAAAAAGCTGTTTTAATATTTACACCGGTATGACCTGATTTGATTGTGGAATTTTACTCTGTCGTAATGGTCTGCCAATGCTCTTGTCTCTTCAATGAGATCCCATACTCGCTGTTGAGGTGACTGAAAGCTAGAAATCATCCACTATTTGAAGTCTCCAACGAACCATTCCGCCGTGCTCTGTGGATGAAGCTTTTGTTTTGTGTTAACTCTGAGTAGCAGTAGTGGGTTTATCGCTGTCAGTTTGGGCAGCTCTCTCCATATCATGTCGTGGCTTGGGCTTCTCGGTAGGATTGCTTCGGAACCAAACAAAAGTGAGCGCCATGGAAGCGAGCCGTTCTACACTGTGAGACGCAATGTCAGCGATGACTACCCGAACATACATTTCTACGTAGGGGCATACTTACAGTACAATAGCACTAAGAGCGATATACGTGCTTTTACTTGGCAAGCCAGGAACACTAAACACCGAGTAGAATAGATCAAAGTCGCCACTGTAGGGGGGTCGGAGCAGGATAAGTGAAGCGATGCAGCTGCCGAAAGCACCAAGGTCCAGGATACCCGTGGTCAGAGTGAGTAGGCGCATGACGTGAACGAAGAGGGGGATAATAAGAAGTAAATCGACCATGATCGCAAACATTCCCTTGGCAAATCAAAATTAGCATTGGATGAGAGACCGTGTCTTCGGCTAGCACTTACAGCAATGACGCCGGTTGTCAAATTGTACCAAGCAGTGCGGTCAGTGACTAGCTGACCATTCTGGTACATTGTACGGGGGTTCAATAAATCAATGGAATAGGCGAGGAGACAGCAGCTCGTCACCAAAAATCCGATTCTAAGCACCAGTATGATCCATTTCAGCGTCGGCGTCGAAGTCTGCCTCTTTTCGGGGCCCAACATCGTGATTGCGTATCGGAGAGGTAAGGAGTACAAAATCCGGGGTAATTTTGTCGAAAATTCCTTTGAGACAACTGAAAATGCGGGGGAATTGTCTTGATTTTTATTTGCCGAACAAAGGACACGAATACGCGGGCAGAAGCGTCGCTTCGTCCATTTCCGGGTGTGGCGGGGGATCGTGATCACAAACGGCCGGAAGAACCGGATGTACGAGAAATGGGTGGCTTATTGGCAGTGGCAAATTGGGTGGTAATGCAATAGAAGTGTTTCATGAATATAATTATATGTTTATAATTTCTGCTATGTTGTAGGCGTTTCTTCGCTAACTAACTTGGTGCACCCTCTGAAACTCTAAGTTGTCTACCTTGTATTGTAGACGCATTATTTAGGCGTCGTGTCATCGCCCGCCGCAATTTTGGCTTCGTACTCTGCAAACGTCTCGATTCCCTTGGGAACACCATTCCACTGCAGGCCCTGGTCGTCCATGGCCTTGGCGCGATGTTCCATGGATCGCTTCCAAGCGGGAGACTCGACCATCTTTTCATGCCATGCGCGGACATTGGGCGCATTTTCCCAGACTTCATCCCAGGACTGCATGAGTACCTCGCTAAGTCTAAAGTTCCAAGGGACAAACGCCATGTCGGCATAAGTCTGCTTGTCGCCAACCAAAAACTGCTGGTCGGCAGGTTTGGCGGCCAGGACGCCTTGCAGGACGCTAATAATTCGTTTGATCTCGGTCGCATATCGCTCAATGGCTGACGGGAACTTTTCCTGGTGTAGGTGTTGGAACCAACCACACTGGCCATAGTAAGGCCCTTGACCGCTGACTTGGAACTGCAGCCACTGGTTGCAATGGTGCTTCTCTTTCAACGATGTGTACGAGAGACGATTTTCAGTGTCATATTGTTCAATGAGGTATTGGGAAATGGCGCCAGATTCCCATAGCACCAATTCTGTATTGGGGTCTTCAATCGCAGGCACTCGGCCGTTGGGGTTGATGTCGATGAAAGGCTTCTTCTTGACGTCGTCGAAGCGAAACGACTTGATTTCGTAGCTGAGGCCAAGCTCTTCCAGCAAGTACACGGTCTTCCATGAGTTTGGCCCGGGCGCTACCAAGAGTACAAAATACGTTAGCTCTAGAAAACGAGGCTGCGCTAGCAAAAACAATGGTGAGGAAAGGCTATCACTTACGAGTTAGCCAGACCCGGATTGGCTTGGGAGGGTTCGTAGACTTGGTAGACATGGTGTATGGAAGGTTAGTTCAGGTAAGCTGTCAATATTTAACTGGAAGAGAGGACCCCCGTTCAAAAGTTGAGCGCGGTGAGACAACTTTTTTATCACAAATTCCTACAGCCGACCTCATCTGCTATAAACTCTATGACAGCGTCCGGGGTGCGTCGATCGGAGACATATTTTTCAGTCTGTTGACACGGACGCACGCACGCCATTGGCCTACCAAACGACGCCGATCTACTTTAGTGGGCGATGGCTCGGGCATTTCCTATTTTTGACCGAGTAGAGGTGAACCTCTCCTTGTGTTGGTGATTCGAAGTACCATACTTGATCGGATGTTACCAAAGGAGGAACCGGCCACGAAATGTTACCTACGGCCTGAAGTGGAAAGGACCGAAGCCTTTCATGGAAGCTTTGGGCAACGGGTCCCCAACGAGGGATTGCAAGGCTGCAGATGGCCGCTCTCGGAGCCGACTTGATCGGATGTAAAATAATTGAGTGTAGCTATAAACACATCTTCCACTGACTGCTCGATGAAGAGAGTCTTAAAGAGATGGGAAAATATCCACCATCTGGATGAAGTACGGGGAGATGTCTGTGGATGAAGATTTACCCGGGTTGATAGTGAAGTTTCGCCGTTTAACTATATAAGCCTAAATTATCTCTGGAATTAAAATAGAGACACACAACGATCATTGGATACAAACATCGACTATGTCTGCATCCATTCTACTCATAAACGGCCCAAACCTAAACCTTCTAGGGACGCGAGAGCCCACCATCTACGGCTCAGCAACCCTCAACGATATTGTTCAAGACGCCAAATCTCAAGCGCATGCCCTGGGTGCAACACTTGAAGCCTTTCAATCCAACAGTGAGGGCTCTATTATTGATTGTATCCACGCTGCGCGCGGTTCGGCAGATTTCATCGTCATCAACCCCGGCGCCTACACCCACACGAGTGTTGCGATACGGGACGCCTTGTCTGCCGTCGAGATCCCTTTTATCGAAGTTCACATATCGAATATACATGCTAGAGACGCCTTCCGCGCGAAAAGCTTCTTCAGCGATAAAGCAGTTGCGGTGATTTGCGGGCTGGGTGTCGCTGGATATACTGCTGCGATGGAATTTGCTATCAAGTCCACAGCCAACAAGCTAACATCAAAAGCTTAATAGCAAAAAGAAGAGCATTTATTAGATTAATGGACATTTCTGCTGTAATTAACTTATGTGGTAATTTTTTATAATATTACAACAGCGACGTAGTACTGCGGTCTTCATCCTGATTCACATGTCTTATGAGCTTGGTCCACGACTTGGACGCCCTTGATGCAATAGTATCCGGTAGCTCTGGGTCCGTATCAAACAGAGCTCTATTGAATACCTCAAAGCTAACCCATCCTTTGTATCCTAGACCGTGCACAATTGCCTCGTGGATAGCACGGATCGGGAGATAACTGCCACACTTTTCCTCCCCGTAAAAGAGCCTGGCATTCCTTGACCAGCTCATTCGCGCAGGTTGGTCTTTGTGATGAAATGGATGAGATGGGTTAAGAGGTGAAGACAGTTTCTCTGCATCCGCCGTCTGTACCATGAAGACTTTGGAGCTATCCACTGTGCCCATCAACCTGTGTAGAGAGCGCTGCAGCGCCTGGACAGCATCAGCTACGCAGCCATTGGGTTGTGTAGGATCTGCAAAGACACGCCCAGCAATGTTGAAAGTATCCAGACAAATACCAAAATTGGGCTTGTTGACATAACGGACGACATCCCAGCTAGCGTCCCAAGTGTCGATATTCGTGCCCCAGCAAAGTGCTTCTAACGCAAATCGTATTGGTGGCGATGCGCTCGACCCGAGGTCCGCAGCATCAATCATATCGCTGACAACTGTAGATGTATCTGTGCTCAACTTTTCTTTTGACAAAAAGCTGCTCGGAAAGACAATAAGATCTGTCTTCAAAATCTGGCAAAGCTGAGTCCAATGCTGGAGGCGTACTAGATCTTGCTGGTGTGTCTCTCTGTCGATTCGACCACCGAAATGCATAAAGGGCTGTAGACAGATAATCTCGAGCTTGAGCTCCTGGCAGAGGAAGGTGATGTCTTGAGCAGCACGTAGCTCGTGGTCTTGACAGCTGCTGCCATATTTCTGTTCAGCAAAATCGTGTAAATCTTCATACAACAGATCAATTCCCTCGAACCCATGCTGGCTTGCTGCCATTAATTTGTGTGAGAGGGAGTGGCCAGCAGCTGAGCGACCGAGTGATACCGTACAGATGCCAGGTCTGAGGAACATGATCTTGGTTTGATCAAAGGTAACAGAAATAATAATATATTGGAGGAGCATAAATAGAATAGATCAATGACATCGAGGGGGAGAGAGCTTCTGCACGGCCCACGCTCGCCTTTCATACTTGCCTACATAGTGCCACCATTACCTAACTTCTGCTTTTCTCTCAGTATCATATCTTTCTGACGGGTGAAGCTTTAGTCTGAATTGATGAATACCGATGGGTAAATCCTTGTATTGCCGCGTGTAAGTGGCTGACATCATGGTGCGTGTAGACCGGGTAAGGTCTTTTCCGGTGGCTGTTACAACCAATTGCCGTAGCTTAGCGCGGCAACCACACCCGCTCCGCTACTCGTTTACATATTCAGTATCTCTAGGCGAGATATATCCCAGTTGTGGTTGGGTTTCTAAATTTCTCTATTCTTTTTAAATTATAATTCAGACTTGAATCTGCGGTGACAATTCTGTCTGCTTCCGCTTGAGTCAAACGGTACTGCTCGTCCAATAAAATGAATGCGTCAAGTGAACCACAGCCTGAAAAACACCGCAAAAAGGTTGGATACCTGTTTGGCAAGAAAATTACCCATTCACTATCACCGCCATTTCACCAGGCCGTCTACGATCATTTCGACCTCAACTGGGAACAGCTGCGATTAGATTCAGCGGACATCGATGAATTCCTACGTCTTACGAAGCAGCCCAACTTCTATGGTAAGCTTATATCTCTTCCTACAAACTATATATACTGATGACGTAGGGGCTGCTGTAACTATGCCTAATAAAGTGGCTATCTTGCCATATCTGGACGGCATGACGGAAGAGTGTCGCGATGTGGGAGCATGCAACACGATATTCCTAAAACAGAAAGATGGAAGACGTCAGTTGTACGGAACGAATACCGACGTCATTGGTATACGAGACTCTTTTCTTCGCAACGTCCCGCATCCTGCTAGTTCGATCCATGGCAGACCTGCGCTCGTGGTTGGCGGCGGCGGAGCGGCAAGAAGTGCCATCTACGCCCTCAGAAAATCGATGAATGTGACGCACATTTATCTGGTCAACAGAGATGCACAAGAAGTGGAAGATATGATGAAGGACTGTACGCTTCGAGGCTACGGACAAGACCTGGTGCACATACAGACCGAAGAGCAAGCGCGACTGGCTGAGACGCCGGGCGCTATCGTTGCATGTGTGCCGGATTTTGAGCCTCAGTCGCATGAAGAAAAGATGGCTAGAAGCATTCTGCATATCCTTTTGTCTGGCCCAATGCTTGGCGTTATGTTGGAAATGTGCTATAACCCAACACCATTCACGAAATTGGCTGCACTGGCTGAGGGTTTGGGCTGGTCCATCATCTTGGGTACAGAGGCAATGATTTGGCAAGGTCTGGAGCAGGACAAGTACTGGACGGGGAGAAAGGTAGAAGATATGCCTATAGAAAAACTACAAGCACTTGTAGACAGAGAAATTCAGCGCCAACGGCTAGATAGACTTTGAATAGACTTTCTTTTATCTTTTCAAATTCTATCTGTTCTGGATCAAAGATATTTCTTGTCGACCTCACCGCACAACACTAAGCACATTTATATCACGGAATACCAACGCCAGATTTAGACTACATTAGAGTAAAATTTCAACACTTATATCCCTGTAGTATGCATCTCTTAATGACAATCAAAGTGAAATTTTGGTGTATTGCTATTTAAATATCCGTCGATCTACTTTCTAAACAGTGCTGTTAGTCTCTTTTGTATCCAGCGACACATCATCCCAATTCTGGCACTTGCTGTGCGCCAGACGAACCGGTTTAATGTCAAACAGCCTATCCATGGACTCAAGAGGAATGCCTTTGGTTTCCGGAATGCAAAACCACACAAAGACGCAGGAAATAAGCATCAGCGATGCAAAGAAAAAGTATACGCCGTAGCCCCACGCATTAAACATTTGCTCAGTGAATCGCGCAATCAGGAAATTCCACAGCCAGTTGTTAGCAGCGGCGTTCGCCTGGCCCAGCGATCGAATATTCTGATCAAAGATTTCAGAGCAGAGTACCCATGGTGTGCCGTTCCATGACGGCGTGTAGAAGACAGTCCACAGGTAAAAGAAGACGATAGCGGCGATGCCTCCAGCCGAAGGCGTTCCAGAGGCTCCCGCCGAGATATTTGCACTGGTAGTCTTGGTATCGGCGATTTTTATGTATGCGCCAATGAACCACATGCAGACTGAGCCACCGAGGCCGCCAACAAGTAGAAGCGTGCGGCGGCCCATGTGGTCGATGAGAACAAGCAGCCAGATGAAGGTGACGACTGTCTTGACGACGCCAAAGATGCCAGTCGTCAAGAAACCCGTGTTCGTGCCGGTGATGCCTAAGCTGCGAAAGACAGTCGGGCTGTAGTAGTTGATGGCATTAATGCCAGAGCCTGCATGTGTTGTTAGTCCTCGATTCTTCCAGTCTTGGGATGTTCTTTCACTTACCGTTTTGAAAGACGAACAGAAGAATGCTAATGACAAACTTCCACTGTACTCTTCGTTCCTTTAGCAGGCGGAACGGCTTCCAGAACCCGTTACCAACCTGGTCGGCGTGACGCTGAAGCTCGTCCTCGATCGAGGCAACTTCTTGTTGGATATACACATGCTCTGGTCCCAGATTTCTCATCCAGCATAAAACTTCAATAGCCTTCTCACGGCGCCCCTTGAGGAAGAGCCATCGCGGAGATTCGGGGATAAACATGGCGCCAACAAGCAGCAGCCCAGCGGGGATCAATTGTACAGCAAATGGGATGAGCCATTGCGAGTAGCTTGGCGCCATAGTCGAGTTGACGCCGTAGTTGATCCAGAATCCAACAAGGCCACCAATTTGCCAACCCAACTCGTAGATGCCCACAAGTCTACCACGTACTGCTGGAGGCGACAGCTCAGAAATGTAAATCGGCGTCATGTTGGAGCATCCGCCGACTCCAATACCAGCCAGAACTCGACCAGCCAAAATGAGCCCAAGGCCGCGGTCGCCATTGGCACCCAGCATCATCCCTGCACCGACCATGAAGACACAGGTAAACAGCAACAGGGAAATGCGCCGGCCCCAAAAGTAGCTCGACACAAATGCGCCCAAACTCCCGAAAAAGGCACCCGCTTGGTACACAGACACAATGTTCTGCTTCATGACAGCGAGAGACGCAGGAGAGTACTCATTAAAGCGAAACTCTTCCACAAATGACGGCAGGGCTAGTGTCGTGCCGATGAAAGCTGAGTCGTAGCCAATCATGCATGATGCAAACGAGGCCGCGGCAGCGCAGGCGTATACGCGCCAGTTGTACACGGCCTTTGGTGTTGGTCGATCTTCTTTGAGCGAAAGTAAAGTCATTTTTGTTCAGTAAATTGAGAAGCTGCTCGATTGCGAGAATCGGCTAGTGAGCGGCTACTAGTCCGTGTTAAATCACTTGAGTAGTTGCCAAGGGGCGAATGTGGCGTCGTAGACAGAACAAGATTAACCATGTGTACGCACTACTTTGCGAAAAGACTCGCCAAGCGGTTCCCCTTCCTTTCTGCCTGCCGCGATGTTTTAGCCGAAGCTATTTGTTGTGTCCTCGCCAACGCATTGTGCCCCAATTGCCGACACTAGGAAAAGCCTGGGGCATTTTGCGGGGATGTTTAGATGGATCGTGGGGAAATGCGGCTAATGGGCCACCACATCGTCTGGATAAATCTTTACCCGCTAGCTGTGCGGCGGGAAAGCCGAGCCAATGAATTCCAAGCCATTAGCCATTCGGGCGTTTTCGCGGCAAGCAATCGTTGATAGAGTGTATACAATTAGTTCCAATTCGTTGAAAAGGGGATTCGGCTTAAATTTGTGCTCTTTGCTACTCTATGTACCGAAATCATCGTGAAAGGCGTCGCCAAGATCGCAGCCAGGTGCAAACCCGAGGTTTGCCATAAACTGGGCGTCGAGACCGACGTTGTCTAGATACTGTATTGCATCCATGTCTCTCATTATGGCGTCGTAGTCGATTTCTACTTGCCCGTCATTATTGCCTCCGACTTCTTCATTTATTGGACTCTCCTGCACCTGTAGCGGCTCGTCGGTGTCCAGCGGTACTGGTTCCATCTTCACAGCGTCGGTTGACCTTCCACACCTGTTGCAGAGCCTCATTCATATCATTCAGTGCTCTTTTATCTGGATCCGAAAGCTCCATGTACTTTTGTTGCCGCTTTAATATTGCAATGGCCGCTACCAGAAGCGGCGGTGTTCCACAGTCTCCAAAACTTGTTCTGCACGACTGCATCAATTCTGAGAGAGTGCTTAGGAGGGAAATCCGATAGTCATTGCCGGATTCAATCGATGATATGATGAAAAATATGTTTACAAGGAATGATGCCGGTACTGTCGGAGTGGGTTGTGACAAAAGTGAGTTGCAAAAGGAAAATTGCGCGCTAAGGTACCGCAACACGTTGTTGGATTGAGGGTTATCTGCCTGCCTCTGTTTGCTTTTACAAACTGCGACACTGAAATCCATCAATTGATAAAGGCAAAGACTCGGACAGGTGGTGATGGTGTGATGGGCAGTAGTCCGTACTGGGCCAAAACCAGGGACAGGGATCCATGGCTCGCCTTCGGCGTCAATAGTCGAGGTCACCGGTTCATCAAATATGGTCGTTGTGTCTATCAACCCAAATAACACTGGCTGCTGACCCAATCCAAGTGCAGCAAAGGTATCAAGGAAAAGGCAAGCTGCCACCGTTGCATTCACGGGGGCACTTTCTAAACCAGCGGACGATCCGCCTCTATCTGGGTGTAGGAGAAGCACCCTTGATATTCTTCCAAGAAGATACCATGCTTCCGAAAGATTGCCTGATCCAATAAAGATCAAACTGTGAAGGAGAAGTGCCCGCAAGACTCGTAAACTGAAGTTGCTGTCGTCTGTTGGCAGCAGTTTCTTCGCTGTGCAATATATTTGCTCGCACTCATCGCTGTCGCTGTTGTTGGATTGGCTCGGATTGGACGATGAATAATATTGTAGGGAAGCCACGGCCAGTACAGCCCACAGTTCTGCATGTTGGTCTTTGGATGGAGCTAGCTGCTCTAGAGACATCCCAGCTGGTCCGTAGGAAGCTATAGTCATTGCTAAATCATGCCGATCCATTATCGGAAGCCAGCTATGCGTATATGAGAAGTATATATCCATATATATACTCCAATTCGGCGGCAACTGTATCATCAGCGACTGTTCAGTACCTGCTGATAGAGCTGGCTGGCGGATGGCTCGTGTATGTAACGGAGGCGTTATCATATCGGAAGCTTCAGGTTCAGTATCTTCTTCAGATATCTCAAAAAGGGCATCAGTTGTTCCTGCCGAGATTCCTTTACCAGATAGCAAGTTTCCAAGTTCTGTGTTCACCTGGTTCTTTGCCCATCGCCTATGTAGCTTATCTCCAGCGCCTCCTCCTTTATCCACAAGGACACGACTTCCATCGCCATGGCGAAGGAATTTCATGAATTCTTGCTGTGAATTATCGACATTGTCCAAAATCCAGGTTAAGGAGAGCTCCAGAGTCCGAAGATAGCCTGTCTGGAGTCCGCGTTTCTTTGTCGCTGGCGCGTACGCACATCTCCGCCTGTGCTTTACGCAGTTGCGACAACTAGGCCGGACTCCATCACACTTTTCTCTTGATGTTCTGCACGCGTTGCAAGCGACAGATACTCTTTGTCTCTTCGGCTTATCAGGGCTTGGTGCGTCTGTTTTGGCTCGGGTGGCGGAGTCTTGGTTGCGATGCATTGCTGCGGTGCATGGTTTTTAATCACCAACGCAGCGTCTTATCATTTTATTGCATTGGTATTATGAAGCTAGTAAGAGAAAATATCTTACAGTTCCCGGAAGCTACAAAAATTGTCGATTGCTTGTTCTCCGCGCGGCAACTTCGTGATGTGGTTTGCAGAATCTGGAGTCTGGGGTAGCGACCGGGTAAACACTTATCCCCCCGCACTTTCCTACAGCCACATTTGGCTGCCAGCTGGCGCCCCCGTCGTCATCACTTCAAACTTTCTCTTTATTTTATCTTATTTTTGCTTCAAAATCTACAATTATATATTTATCGCACTTGTGACAATGAAAGAACAAGAATCATGAACGGTGTTAAGCGCAGGCACGAGGTAGAACCAACAGAGGGGCCTGAAGCAGGCGATGGGCTAGAGGAGCAACAGCAACCCCGTGCTCAACGGCCGCGATTCGCAGACGGACAAGACCGCCTTTCAAAAAGCCCAAACCTGCTGCCACAAGCTTTCAGTAAAAATGCGACGCTTGTATTGGTCGGAGTCCGCGGTTCTGGCAAATCCACGCTCGCCGTGATGGCGTCGTCGGCTTTGGGGAGAAGGGTTCTGGATTTGGAAGTGCTCTTTCAGAAGAAATACGGCAAGACAACTTCCCAATTGAAGCAAGATATAAGCCCCGAGGAATGCACAACACGACAAATGGATCTTGCGAGAGATGTCTTGGAGCAAAATAAAAAGGGAAAGATCATTGTATCATCGTGGATGGACCGAGGCATGCGGCTGCTGCTGGAGCACTTTTGCCATCGGCATCCTGTCGTCTTTATTGCGAGGGAAAAGGATGCCATTCAACAGCATCTCCAAATCAGCGATGATGCAAAGGCCAATACTCTGCTCTCCGTTTGCCGCGAATTTTACGAGCAATGCACCAATCTTGAGTTCTTCAACATGTCTGAAAGCATCGCAACACCAGGCGATATATCACAGACGGCCTTTATGACTCTCAAGCGAACCGAGCGCCATTGGCTTACATTCCTGTCGCGAATATATCCATCCCAGAATATTCTTCACTTGTCTACTCTTTCACCAATGACTGAAGCACCACTCTTCCGCCACCACACTTATATTGTATGCTTAGAGCTGGATATGATCCTCCAACAAGGTTCCTTTGTCGAGAATTGTGACACAGGTGCCGATGCTATCCAGATCAATGTGCGGGAAGAAAGCATGGAAAATATTTCAAAAGGCCTTGCGATCGTAAGAAAGGGTACAGTGCTCCCCGTCGCTATACACATTGTCCTCCCCAATCAGGCGGGTGGTCCAACATTGGAAGCTTATAGAAGTGCTGTAATGAAAACCCTACGTCTGGCTCCTGATATGATCACTCTTGATTTCAGATTGAGCTCAGAGTCACTATCCGAAATTGCTGGCTGTGGCAATCAGACCAAGCTCATTGGATTTCGAGAAAGCCAGACGGATAAAGAGCATTGGGGCCATGATATTTGGATGCAGACTTATAAACAGGCTGCGACCCTGAGATTGGATGCACTGCGACTTATTCGTAATAGTGACGGGATGACGACAAGTAATCAATATTCTGCAGCAGGGCTTCAGGAGAGACTATTGAACTCTCCGGGGCCGGATTTACCAGTTTCCGTTTACAATACAGGCAAGGACGGCCGACCTTCAGCCTGTCGGAACATCATCATGACACCAGTCGCTTCTATGAAGGCAACCTTTAACCTTCAAGACTATCCCGACAACCCGTACATTACTGCCAAGGATGCTACAAAATCTCTATTTGCTTCCTTTACGCTGGAGCCTATGAAGTTATATGTGATTGGTGCTAGTGTCAACTACAGCATGTCTCCCATCATGCATAACGCGGCGTTGGATGCGTCTGGCATCCCTCACCACTATAGCCCATTCTCTTGCCCAACACTGGAGCATATCAAGCACTTGATTTCTGACAGAAACTTTGGCGGTGCATCTATTGGATTGCCCTTTAAAGTGGAAGTCATCAAACTCACCAGCTATCTAGGCCGGCATGCGCAGGCCATCGGCGCAGTGAATACTCTCATCCCGATACGGGATATTCATCGAACAGCCGACAGCCCTGCCGAATATACTGATATTATACTAGGTGCCAACAAATCCGGCCCTGTGGCTGAACTATACGGTGATAATACCGACTGGATAGGCATTCGATCGTGCATACATCGCGGGCTGTCACCCGCAAACGCTGTTCGTCCCGGCACGTGTGGCGTGATTATTGGTGCAGGAGGCATGGCCCGCGCAGCGACGTATGCTATGCTGCAAGTCGGCGTGAAGAATATCGTCGTCTATAACAGGACTGTTGCGAATGCCGAAAAGTTGGTGGACCACTTCGAGACACTTCTTGGCAGCGATATAGCTCCGGATCTTGGGTTGAGGAACGACACGGGCCAGACGACGTTTCATGTTTTACAAGAATTGAATGATCCCTGGCCAGCCAATATGGCGCATCCTACTATTATCATATCGTGCATACCAACCCACACAATTGGCGACGAACCTGCGCCGAATTTCCGAGCGCCAGAGTCGTGGCTTCTGAATCCCAATGGCGGCGTAGTTGTAGAATTGGGCTACAAGACACTCAACACACCACTACTCGAACAAGCCAGACAGGCAGCATCACGGGGCTGGCTGACAATGGACGGATTGGATTTGCTTCCCGAGCAGGGCTACGCGCAGTTTGAGCTGTTTACGGGGCGGAGGGCGCCGCGAGGCGTGATGAGGGCTGAGCTGTTCAAGAGGTATTGCAATGAGCAAGGCGAGTCTGATCTACCTGAATTACGACAGAGGCTGCAACGCATGACTGATGCGAGTACATGAACACGAAGACATTCCGAATACAATTGGCCACTTATACAGGTTGAAGACGACGGACCGCGCGGTGGTTGACCGAAACGCCGGCTACGGCTGAAGGGAACGGCGTCAGCGCCAAGCCGAGCTGTCACACCACCAGTCGGTACAAGATCGTCGCTGTCAATATTCCAAGATTCAGACGCACGGCAATTGGGCAATATAACGTTTTCAGCCTCACTTTATAATTGCGGTCCCTTGCATGCTAAGCCCCCTCCGCGACTCCACAGGAACAGGAGAGTAGGCAACTGGTTCGGAGCCGCATCGATGCGATGAAAGCTAGCAATTGATGGTTTGATTTAAATTTTTAGAATAAATCAGGTTTACTGGTTTCAATCATGTTCTAAACACCACGCTTATTGCACACCGATGTGCCGGTATTGAAGCTCTCGCCAACCAGTCTGCCAAGGTCTTTCTATCCCCATGAAAAAAAAAGATGGGACTATTATTTGGCTGCGGGCGGCTTACCTGGGACGGGTTCGCCGTTCAGCCTCACGGTTAGGCGACCCTTGGCAAATTCTAAACCTTAATCCAACTTCCTAGAAGGGCAACTCAAGATGTCGCTCGCAATCCACCGCGGTAAGAATACGCACCATACGAACGGTGTTATAGGACAAACTACGTTCTTGGTAATCCGTCTAGCTCGTCTGCTGCTTCGGGAATCCGCGTCTGGATCAACAGGCTGAATTCTGGATCAGTTCTCAGTGAGGCGACTGCACCGACAGTCCGGAGAGCTGGATGATGAGCGAGCATGTGTTATACTGTGAAAGAAAAGTATAAATAGCGTGAAAGAAACCCGTTCAACTACTCAATTCATAACTCACTCTTCATCATACTGTTCCATCATCACTTCCAATCACTTCTTACTCCTTTATCATGAAGTTCCTCGCCGTCCTCGCTACCACTGTGGCCTTGGTCTCTGCTGCTGTCCTCGACCCTGTCCACAGCCTTGTCCAGCGCGAAGTCGCCAACAGCGACGTTACCGCTTTTGCCCTTCCCGATGGCCGCTCCAAGCTCGAGGTTGTTGTTGACGGTGTCCTCGAGGGCACTATCGTCGAGACCGCCGATGGTGGCCGTATGTTGACCCCGCACTCTTGCCTTTCAGACTATAAGACTATGTGCTAACTTGAGTATAGTCATCGCCTACGATGCCTTTGGCAAGGAGATTGACCTTGACGCTGAGCACGGCGATGACTCCATCGTCAAGCGTGGCAAGTTGGACGTTATCCTCAAGCTCGGCAAGATCCTGAAGCGCTGGGGTGGCCGTGCCTGGACCTTTTTCAAGTGCACTGGCTACGGTGCTGCTGTTCGTTGCGGTGATGAGGTAAGTCGTAGTCTTTCTTTACGATTGAGTAATTACTAATACGATGATTTATAGTTCCTTGACTGCGCCCAGTACGGCCAGCCCCCATGGACCTGCATTGAGGGTATTGCCTGTGTTGGTGGATCCGCCAAGAAGTGCATCTAAGTGGCCGACATTTACTCTGTTCGACTATTCAGAGCTCTGGAAATGACAAGATAAATTACAGCTTGTAAACGATATATCAGACTATTATTGGCATTAACTCATCATGCTTCCTTCATGCTGTGATATTTTCATCATTACGGGATCACAGCCAGACCCAAGCGAATGCTCATGTATTGCTTGTTAAAGATCTACAGCTTCGCGTTAACAGGCGGAATGCCAAACTTGGAAATATCGTCCGTTGTTCTTCCATCAATGGCCAGCTCTGCCAGAATACGCCCGATTGCAGGTGCAAACTTGAATCCATGAGCAGCACCCAAACCCAAAATAATATCTGGGTGCTCCACCAACGGGCTTATGATGAACTGGCGATCCGGTGTAATTGTATACTGACATGTAACTGTACGAAGTGCCTGACGGTCCTTGTCCGGGATAAACCCGTCCATGAACGATGTGAGTTGTTGCAGAAGCTGCGGAGAGTGCACAAATGTGCGCTGCTCTGGCGTCATGTAATTATTTGCCTGATCGCGGCCTGCCTTGATCGTTGGCTCGCCGTAGCTAGGGAAGCCATAGAAGCACGGATCAGCATGCCAAATCCAGACGGGGAAATGCGCCGGCTCAAATGTGTCTGGGTTCGCGGGCTTGAAGTACGTAATCTGCTCCTGCATAATAGAAAGCGGAATGCTTGCGTTGAGCGGCGCAAGGAGCTTGTTTGTCCATGCGTCCGTGGCTAGGATGACTTTGTCCGCGTGGAAGGCCCCCTTCGTCGTGCCAACAACGACACCACCTCCGCCACCGTAGCGTTTTGGTTTGACGTATTCGACGGTCGTCTTCTCGAGAATAGTCGCCCCGCGGTTACGCGCCAGGCCTGTCATGGCGGCCACGGATCGTGATGCATGGGCGATGCCCGTATCTGGTGTGTACACCACATCCACCGTATCAGCAATCTTGAACTGTGGCCACCGTTGCGCCACTTGTGCAGAATTCAGCAGCTCATACGGCACTTGGTTTGCATCCAGACTCTGTGCAAAGTCTCTAGCCAACAGCGGCCCGCCTTTGGGCAGGAAGACCACGCCGCCAGTAATGCTTAGAAGCTGTTGGCCAGATGCCTTTTCAACATCTGCCCAATCTTTGTATGCCGATTTGGCGAGTGCGACATACTGCGGCGCTTCATAGGATGTCCGGACAATGCGCGATGTGTCATGGGATGCGCCGCGGACGTGGCCGAGCTCGAATTGCTCAAAGGCGATGACTTTTGCGCCCTTGTGGGCTGCGTAGAAGGCTGCTGCGCTGCCGAGGGCGCCGAGGCCAACAACGGCAACGTCGTAGTGTTGCTGCTGCGACATTCTAAAGGTATTCTCTTACGAGGATGTAAGCACAATGGTCTGAATGCTATGCAGGAGGCGGGCGACCAAGATCAAAGGGTATCTCAAAGGTGAAATACACTGCACAATATAATGGTAACGTGATCGGGAGTATTAAAACAACGTGATCGGAAACAAAAGACGACGAGATCTCAGGCAGTGTATATACCTGCCACTTCGGTACATTGGCGGGCCCTCCACCGGATCGGTGTCCGTTCCGGGTCCGTTCCGTCCCCACTCTCGGCGCCGGCATCGCCAGCACCAGGAGGTGTCACGCGACCATTTCCGGTCCTCGCATACGTAGTGTTTGTCCACCCAAAAGTAAATACGGGAGTTGGCGTAAGCAGGGGGCAAATAAGCGGTGGGAGGACCCTGAAATTTGGGGGTCACCCCATCGATACCCTTATTTTGCTGCGGGCGAGTGACCCGGCGCCACGCCAGCTAATAGTTGGTGGGGACGGATGCGAATGGTCCGGGCATCCGTGCGACAAGTCAGGCGATCGATTCCATGTTTGTTTGTAAGTTAGGCTGGATATTTGATAGGGGTCGTGGCGGAAACAAGTAAGCATTGCAGATGTAATACTGTTCTGGGCACGGAGTGGTTGTGAGTAGTGTGGCTGGTGACTGTGCGAATCGACACTGTTGTGCTTGTATAAAAGTGAGAAGGCTCATTAGCAAGGTGTTGCCAAGTAGGATGTAATCATTTATATTAATCACTAGAGATGTCAACCTAAGGCCAAGAATCCCCCTCTACTACAGAGGTTATCACATAAGGTACCCTCAGAAGAGAACAGCCGCTGACGAAAATAGGATCAGATACCAACGAGGTCTTTGGTGTCAAGCGCATTACCAGCACCAAAGATTTCGTCTGCCTGGTCATCGACCGTCTTTGGCTTACGGCCGAGGAGTTCTTCCAGAGTAGGATCAAGATAGGCCTTCTCGCCTTTGGCAATAGCTGCGTGCCAGCTGGCCCAGTTGTCCAAAAAGCTGGATTGCTCCGGTGGCACGCTACCGTTCCCGATGTGCCATGCTATGGCCTCTTGCGCCGGAACGATGCGAAGGTCAACAGGCCTACCGGTATGCTTGACAAACTTGGTGACAAAGTCGGCGCCAGAAATCAGCTCAGGTCCGGTCAGAGTGATGACCCTGTTGATGTACCTTTTCTGTTGATCAGTTAGCACGTGCTCATGTCTCTCACTATGTATATAGATATCCGTGAATTGTAAAGACATACCCAGTTGGCAATGATGATGCCCGTCGCTTCGCCGAGATCGGCACGGTTGGCCCAGTGCGCAGGACCGTCGCCAGGCAACACAGCCTGCAACGGAGCCGCTGCTGTTGCATCATTGATGTTGCTAGCAGACAAGTTGAGAAAGCCGGCGTAGTTGTTCCAGAGATGCGCGTACGTCGCCATGCGGATGATGGTGTAAGTAAGCCCCGATTCCCCGATATAAGCCTCGGTGCGGATATGCGCCTGCGCGACCTGAGCGATGCTCGTCCTTGGTTTTTGGTCGTTGCTGCCGCCGCCGCCAAAGGACAGGGACGTGTAGATGATGTGGCGGATGCCGACGGCCTTGGCGGCGTCGATGGCGTTCTTGTGAAGCGTAAAGCGCTCCTCGCCCATGGACGGAAACGACACTAGGAACAAGGCTTCTGCGCCTGTGTAAGACTTTTCCAGTGTCTCCGGCTCATACAAGTTGCCTGTACGGATGGCGATGCCGGTTTCTTTGATGTGCGCTGGTATTCCGGCCGTGTTGTACGCCGAGATGCAAAGGTCTGAGATTGGGACAAGCTTGCGGTCGAGAATTGTCTGCAGCGCCGTGCTGCCTATGCCTCCGGTTGTACCTATACCTTGTGGTGAGATGTCGTGCTTTGGACGATTGTATGCGGTATACTTACCAGTGAGAACAATCATGATCTCAGTCGTACGTGTTGGTTTCTGTGAAGTGGTGCAGGTAGTGTTGGTTTGAGTTGCGCGAAGTAGACTTCCGCTCAATTTCGACGTCTCTGCAGCGCCTTTTATAAACGGTGTGCTTGCCATTCTATCATACTAGCATAGCGTATAGCATTATTAATGGACATATTTCTATCCGATTAGAATTGGATATGGAAGCTTGACGAAGCAGCAACACCAGCGCACATCATTTTCGGTGTACAGTACTCTACGCGTGCCTTTACATGTCGCAATATAAGCAAAATTACTGTTTTTGGCATATGCTTTGCATAACATCTCCCGGCTCCCGATGTTTAATAATACATGTCTTTAACCGCCTACCAAACGAACCACAAACATCAATGGGGGACTTGATTGATCAGCGTCGCTTTTAGATGTGGAGGCTAAAAAGAAAAATTACTGCATTTGGCAAATGCTCACCTGATAGAGCAACAGTTAGCGCAGCTGATAGTGGAGTGCTGAGAACTCCACAAGTAAATGTAATCAGGAATCTACACTAACTTGTAGTTGGGTGGTGTATTACAAAGACGCCATTCCACGATGTAGCGGCTTTAGCGGAATGGTTGGTATTTGCTATGATATCGAAGGCATGAGATATAGATCCTTCGCCCTAGTCTCCTACCGCCTGGTGGTGGTCGACTTGGCTCGCATCACGCACTGGCGTCGGCTCGAGCGCCTGCACCAGGCTTGCTTGGTTAACTTATTAGTTCATGACTGGCATATCAATCAGTATTAACAATACCCCTCAAAAAATTCTCTACATCACCAATCTCAAAGCCAGCGGGCGCACTGTTGCAGCACGTGCTCGGCACTATACTTTGCTGAGTCATCGGTGCTACTCCAGCATTTACGGGTTTGGTGAGGGGCGGACTACGAACTACTCAACTTCCACAACAACAAACTCCATATTTTAGCTTCGGACATGAGTTTGCCTAGTGGCTCGACAAGTTCAATGGTCACAGTTCTTTAATGGACGGCTTTTTTCCTAGCGCCCAATGTGGCCATGCGATACAAGGATGCGACAACAAAAGGCCAAGGTGATGTGCGGCCCGTCACCTTTGTCCAGGTTCCTGGCATCTCAGCAAAACACCGACAGACAGCCGCCAACAAATCCATATTGTCAACTGTCCGCTCTCACGCTATGAAGGATTATGTTCGGAGACAAATCCATCTTAATTCAGCTAATAATGGCGTTGTCCACGACCCCCCAAATCGCCCCGTTGAGCAATCGCGCCAGATGGGAAGATTCAGACTAGCCAGCGCAGCGCGGTCATCAAAGCAACGTCGCGGCAATAATAAACGTAGCATACCGCAAGATTCGGTTTCCAGTAGGGCAATAAACCTACCGGATACTAGCCAACCGCTGTTGGTTGGTGCAATTGAGACGCAGCAGCTCTTCGACGCCGTTCAACACCAGACGTTGCAGTCCTCTGGCTATTTACACAGCAACCGGCTGGACCCTTTTGACGTAAACTCGCTCAAACTAGCACCACAAAGCGAGCAGCTTGTATTTTACTGTGAGTCTAGTCACCCTACGCACCATTCCACTGTTTACTCTCTTTACCTCCGTGCTTAATCAGGCCGTGTTCAGCGCTATAAATATCAAATGTCTCTAACGCATTTTCAGACCACCATGGATATAGGATGAACAAGGTAGCCCTTCAGTTTGAGTGGAATTGCTTTTCGCACGCCAATGACAGCCCCGCAATGCTTTATGCTATTCCGTACATTATATCCATCGAACTCGACTTGCGACGCGGAACAGCTGGCTCCAGAAGTAGTCTTTATCATGGGGCCGCAGCATTCCGGTACATTAATGACGTACTCGCTTCGTCGGCTTTAGACGATTATGTGGTTGCTGCCATTTCCATTGTGGCCGCCGCCGAGGTATGTCTTCTACGATCCACGCGCTAGCCAGGCTAACGATACTCAAGTCACTAACTTGTAACAGAATCTTAGCGGGAACTTTGCAGCAGCAGAGCTGCACATGGCCGGGCTAGAACATATTGTTACCAGCCGAGGCGGTATCGAGAATGTCCCTAGTGTGTTTGGACGAGTTGCTACATGGTACTACCTACCAATGAAAAAGTAACCTGATCTACTCGTTACATGCTAATCTGTTACAAGGGCTGACTTTTGCGATGCAAACCTTCGACGCTGTCAACCTCGATTCTCCCAGCCGCGCAGTGCTGTGAGGCTGCCACCAAGAGCTGCAGCAGCTCACGGTTTCGATACCCCAGAAGCGATTCTTTCTGTGGCGCATATTGTAGCTGCGCTGCGGGACATATCCCATGCAATGAGTTCCAATTTCTCTGTCGATACAAAAGGAGTATCTACTTCGCAAGCGATTTACAACCTTGAATATGAGCTATGCTTGCTCAGCGCAACCACAGCGCCTCCTATCCGCGCCGGAGACGGACACATGGGCATTCAGTCACTGAGGCTTGCGCTTCACATATATCTCTATCTAACGATAAGAGAGTTGCCGAGGTCGTCCTCACTAATGGGCGAGCTGGCGGCACGTCTGCAGGCGGCTTTGGCACCCACTATGGACCAGACAAGCACTTTGGAGGGAGATTCGCGAAACTGGTATCTCTGGATGCTATTCCTGGGATACTGCACGTCGAAAGAAACCATTGGGCCCCAGTGGTTTTTAGCGAGTGCTATAGTAGTGTGTGATGCACTTCACATCACCAACCCAGATGACGTGCGTTCGTCGCTAACAAAGGTGCTGTGGACAAGCGCCGGAGAGCCGTATGCAGTTGAGTTTTCCACGGCAGTATTCCTCAGTAAAGTGGAACGACTGAATATAAAAGAAGAAGTACCTTGAGAGAAACTGTTGCGTTGAAAGATCGCACAGTGCCGAGCCACAGCGCCACAAGTGTACTGTGCTAACAACAACAGCGCACGGAGCAATCATTTAGTTTGGCCGCCACTACATGGGGGTGCTATAACTAGCACTGCCCGCGGACTCTACCATCTTCTTTTTAATTTTTCTTGAGAGTAGATGCTTGGAAGAAAGGAAAAAATAAATTTTACGCTTCTGTTTAAAGCATCATGTTAAGTTGGCTTACTTCCAGTACGACCGCTTCCCAAGCCGAACCGGAGACGGTTCTCGCACTGCCGGCTAATTGGTATACTTCGCCAGCGATGCTAGAGCTGGAGCGCCGCGCCATCTTTTCCAAGAAATGGATCCTTATCACTCACAAATTGCGGTTCCCTGAAGTTGGCAGTTATGTCAAGATTACCGAAGCTGGATACTCGTTTTTCCTGATCAAGGATCGAAACGGGGAGATTCGGGGCCATCATAATGTCTGCCGCCACAGGGCGTATCCGCTGGTAGAGAATGAGAGCGGCAAGAAGATGACTCTTGCTTGCAAGTATCACGGTACGTAACGAACTTGTTACTTGGTCATTTCGGGGTACTGCTACTATGTACTTTGTTGCTGACAAGAAATAGGCTGGTCGTATGGATTTGATGGCAAGCTGGCCAAGGCACCAAAGTACCAGGAGATCCCTTCCTTCAACAAGGAAGAAAACGGCCTGTACAAGGTGCATGTGCATATTGACAAGCTGGGCTTTGTATGGGTCAATCTGGATGCTGCTGAAACCCCGTCTTTCTCCTGGGAGGCGGACTTTGCGTCCGTTGATGAACAGCCACGCTTCGAAATTTTCAATATGGACGACTACCACTACGATCACTCGTGGGATATGATTGGCGAATACAACTGGAAAGTTCTAGCTGATAATTATAACGAGGCAAATAACCTGTCCATCAATTTTTATTCTGTTGCTAACGATTCGTGCAGTGCTATCATTGTCCCACGGGACATCCTGGTCTTCCCGCAGTGACCGACCTCAACAAGTATTGGGTCGAAACAGCCGGATCACACATCCAACATTTTGCAGTAGACCATGCTGACCGCAAGGGTCTCGGAAATTTCAGCACCTACATGTATCCCAACACTTCGATAACCCTTTCGTGCGTACACAGTCTTCCGTCATCATATCTTTACTTACAAGCATGTGCCAGGCCAATCTTCTTCTTTATTCAGCGCGTTATTCCCATCTCCGCTACGCAGACGTCCATGGAGTACGAGGTATACCGCCACAATGACTCTACAGACGAAGAGTTTACCCATGTCAGCGACTTTTTCAAGCAAGTTATGAAAGAGGATAAGGACCTTTGCAATGCGACGCAGCATAATCTCGAGTCTGGTATTTTTCTTAGCGGCGAGTTGCACCCACGTGTAGAAAAGGTAATTCCTACCCTTGCAGTTTTCACATTTGGCTAACCACCGTACAGGGCCCTCTCTTCTTTCAACAAATGACGCACGATTTAATCACATCGCATCATCGAGAGGAGCAGGATGCTGGGCGTCAGATTTGGCCAGCAGTCCCGAAGCACAAGATTCCAGACAGGATGCAGGCCGACATCAACTTGTGCGCCAGCCTGGACTGTACAGCAAGCCGGGTAGACACGGGCGAACTGGCGTGGTGAAGACCAAAGACAGAGTGTATTTCTAATTATGTAGTCCTAATACTTTTCAAGCCAACTATCAATGGCCTTGCCAAAATCATGTGCCTGTAGAAACAAATGTTCCTGGTCGCCGCCCATGCCCTCAAAGAACCGATCTTGTACCGCAGTGCTGCTGCCACCAAAAGTCGGCACATCGTCTGGGCCATTACCACCCAGTCTGTCATAACGATGCATCATACTCGGTCGTAGAGTTTCTTCATGTGGCGCATAGACTGGCGTTTCTTTGGAGACCGCTTTGTGGCCCGAGATGCCCGCTGACCCGACGAGGTCAAACTCGGCGGCGTTCCCGCGTGAGTCGTCTTGTTCTCGCGGTGCCACACCGATGCTAAGCGTATTTCCAAAGATGGACTGATCTACACTGGCATGCTCACGACCGGCTCTTTCATAAATTAGGATATCCCACAGCAGCTGGGCATCGATAGCAAACGACGGCTGGCCACTAGCCCTCTCATCCATGTGTGACGACTCGACTACCACGATGCTAGCTCGTAGCTTTTCCAAGTTGTTCGCCTGCAAAAGCCATGTCAACAAACGCTGTTAATAATACGAATGCAAGGGTGCAACGACTCACCATGGTAGACACACTTGGCCAAGTTCCTCCCAGGCGCTGCAAAAAGTCCAGACACTGCTCATATCCCTGCTGTGCCCTGTCGCGTAGTTCTTGGTCCTGCACAAAACTATGCTGCAGATGAATCGTAGCAACTACCGCAATACAGTGCGCTATGGATAAATCGGCAAAGTAAAATGCCTTCTTCTCCAGAAGATCGATAAAGTACATGATCCATCCGGCGTGGCGGTTGAGATGTTCAAATGACTGGTGGATAAAAGACTGTGGAATCGTGTGCCGGAAGCTCTTGAGCCTCATTGACAGTAGAAATGGATGATTCAAGATGCACGGGATGACTGAGTAGACAATCTGGATGAATAACCACGGACCCCAGTAGTGTCGCTGCTGTTCGATGGACTTTTGGTCCTGGTCCCCAAATTTATTGGCTGCGAATCGATACTTCACCGGTACCCGGCAGTCAAACTCTAGATGCATCTGCATCACGCATGAGTAGTCGGACTGTTGATTCCATGGTGGAGGTGCTTTGGACCCGACTCGACACGCTGCATAGGCTCTGGTCATTCGCCATATCTGGCTCAACTCTGCTGCATAACGCATGATGCCAGAATCCATTTGGCAGCTGCTCTCTGGCACGCCTGTCTGTTCTTCTGCCGTCATACTTCGAGCTCCTCCTGCAAAGGCAGCGCCGAAGCCGCGTTCGACGGCGTCGATATTATCGGCTATATGTGGTGATGATGAGACGCCACCCTGGAGATTTTGCAGCATGACAATGCTCCGCGCGCAGTCGCTGAATTCTTGTACATCTCCGAGTGTGTTATCTGGCTGAACAGCTCGCGCGAGATGCGTAGCCATGGAGAGCGTCAGACCTGCCTGGGCGACTTTACCGTCTATTAGAGATATTTAATGTTAGCGGTGGCAGGGTGAAAAGCTTGGTGGGATGGATAGATGCTAACCGGCAAACTCGGAAAGGCTGAGAAGACAAAGTGTCTGAAGTGTCGACAGCTGAATCTCGGAATCTGCAATGCGATCCATAACTAGGTTCTTTGCCTCTCGCTCGGTGAGAGCAATTTGATCGCGCTGTTGTGGTGATAATATCCCGGGAGGGTACCGATATCCGAAAGATTGAATGGCTAGTAGAAGTTCTCGGTCGCGGAACTCGAGCGAGGCAAGGAACGATTCGGGGTTGAACAGCATGATAGGTTGAGCATGGCACCAAGACATATACAGGCGGCCCATGGCGAGCATATGCTCCTTTGTCATTGGTAGGTTTATCCCGTCGGGGCTCTTGGCTCGCGTGCTGTTTGAGGGAGCCAGACCCCTAACGCGCGTTCTGGTATGGCGTGCATTATGGACTTGCGGTGGTGGGTTAGAAGCGACTGCTACCGCATTTTCATCATTATCATCGCTTGATTTTGTATACTCCGTTAGTAGATAGTCTTCGCTGTGGCAGGGGAATGACTTTGTCACCTGAGTTGGCGTATAAGCGTATCCAGCTTTCCTTCTAGGCTGTCTATGCGGTGTTCCTGCGATTAATGACGCTAGTGTTAGTTGTCTATAAATGAAATCATCTGAAAGGAAATATGCATCGGCATACTATTCGTCGTTGGTGGACTGTGTGTGTCTGAGCTGGTGCATGGGGCGCCTCATGTACAGATGTTGCGGCAATGTTGTATGCGCACTTCTGGCCCAGCCTTTGACAGTATGAGCACGTAGGTCGCTCGCCAGGGCATCGGGATTTCTTTCGTCTATGGAAAGGAAAAGGTATTAGAGTTTTATAGAGAATTCTTATCATCCTATCGCCAGCTGCAGATGCTGATTGTCTGAGGCGCTACACTGACTAGAGATGAGGGGGAATCTTACCGACACGGCTCACACGCCTGCTGAATTCGTTTTACCGAGCGAGAGCCGTGCATCCTCACAATGGGCCGACATATAATGGAAGATATTCGATGTGACCGACAGTGTTTCTGGCATAAAAATGGTAAATAGTCTCGGAGGAGCTCGCTTGTTCGCTCGGAAAGATACCCGCAACAAACCCGGGTCAGCAGACCGGAGTATCGTTGGCGCCGCCCCAACAGTGGGAAATAGCGACTAGAATTCGGGCTTGGCTTGTTTTTTTCGGTAGTCTGTAGCAGCGGTTTATTCTCTAACGGTTTATTTATGCAAAGTAAAATAAAGCAAATTTCATTTCATAGCGAGAAATGGAAGGCAAAAAAGAGCAATGAGTTATTTATTCTCACAGCCCGCATAAAGTAGCAGGAGAAGCGATGAAGTAACGGCGCGGAGTGAATACTACACAGAATCCAACGTGCTTGCACAGGATTCACGAAGGAATCTAGTAGTATAGCTAGGGGGTCATACGAGGAGATCATTTTATTCGGATTTCTCTCCGCGGATGATAGAAGTCCCTTATTATACTGCTATTCGCTTCATGGTCGCCGGTTGGCGTCAAATAAGTGATGGCTTTGACGGCTACCTACCCTATGCAAACGTCAACCCCACCGTACATAATTAATTATTATAGAAATATAAATATATATATAAATAAACTCTGTCATGGGTAGTGGATAAGGATCTTATTTTTCCATATTATTTAAATCACTTTAATTCTTCTTGTCTCTTTCTTTACAATTTAAAGTACAGGTTTTTTATGCTCTGGGCTGTAGATTCATCAAGTTGTCTTGCACGAAATGTTGTTGTACAGGTTCATGCGGAACCTCCTCAGTTATTTTCTTTCTTTCTTTCTCTTTCCTTTCTTTTCTAACAATTTTATTTAATTTCTTTTCTAAAACGCCAATAAAATTACATCCTGTATTGAACACCGCGCTACAAGCAACCACGTGACCTGCGAATGCTAACAAACGTAAACGGTATCCCGCGCGAGAGCTTTCTTGCCTCGAATAAGAACGGTAGCACTTTGCAATTAATTTGGATAGTAAGAAATGCGAACATTTGTCAGATTTGATATGCATTTCTCTGGGAAATTTTTATAACCTTTTGTCCAAGTAGCTTCTGTAAGAGGTCGCTCTAATCAATAGATACAGTGCACCAATATGTCTGGTGACAGCACCGCTGTGTAAACTGCAAGGATCTTCCTATTCCCTACCGCTTTTGTCACTGTGGCCGGCGAGCGCGTGTCACACCAGGCCTGCGCCTCCCACGTCCACGCTGTTTAGTCTTGTTGTCTCGCTGCCATGTAAGTGACTTTACATGAGAAAACAGCACCAACATTCATACTCTGGGTGCCTACGAGCTACTCCCCGAAAACAGACCGTGTAAAATCTGCAGACTCTAACATGAGGTTAGCACACGTACTGAAGGAAGCAGCAGCTACTATAGATGAGTACCATGGCGTTATTTTATTATTATTATTATTATTTGGCTAACTTATAGAAATACCGCGAACGTATTGTAGAGTCGACTGTAAACGTCGACCCAGCGAATCGGAAGTGTTGACAACCGACCCGGAGGCAACCAGCCATTTGAAACGAGATGTTGCATGAAAGGGCCACTTTAACGTCGATGCCTAAGGCTGTAGACCCACTTGCCTCTTTGGGCAACTGCCAAATCTGGCACCTGCAGTTACGGTGGCGTGCATGGAACCCGTATACCTGGCCAATTCGAAGCGCTTACAAGGATGATTGGAGTACAGCCAAGTTGGGAGTCGATTGCGTTTGCTATTTCAAGGAGCTTTTATTGTTTTTAGAGCTATAAAAGCATAATCTAGTGGAAAGTTACCAACTATAGTATATAGTAAAGGGACCTGGCCTTGCCTATTATGCTTCGTATAGTAAAAGGGTCGTTGGTGAAGAATGAGTAAACTTGACCAATCACACGGCCAGCATACAGGTGCCACCGATCATTGCCCAGAAGGAATGAGCAAAAGGGGGCGAGCTTACCAGCAAGGGTTGCGGGGAAGACCTGGGAGTCGAGGAGCGAGCGGGCAATCCAAAAGAGGAAGGAAGGCAGCCTGACAGCTGTCAGTCAATGTTACGAACGGAACGGGCTGGCGGCTACGGTCGCCTGGGATGACATGCAGGTGCCCAAATAGGCAGTCGCGTCACGTGACTGCCCAGTGGGGAACAACCTCAGCTACTTAGCACTTGTAACGGGCTAGGCCCGTGGAGGTCTCGGGTAACCCTCGACCATCTAGGCAAGGGACCCATGTAAGTCATATAAAAGGCTATTCCAGCTAGCTGGAATAGCCCCTTTTCGATCCCTTCTTCTTCATCTTCGGATACTCGTAGTAGTCGCTCAGCTAGTTGTCAATATACTCAGTTGAGACCGTTACATTTTGGGTCAACACGCGCACTTCGTGGAACCCCCGTTTCTGTTCTATGACACACAACGTATTTTAACAAACGAAACATATTCTAAGGTGTCCCTTGACTATTCGCGGGGTGTTATTAGAAGCGATCTCGCTAGGGTTTGCACAGATTTCCTATTTAGGTAACTGGGGCTCCCCTTGCCCTCGGGGTGTTGTTAAAGTAAGCCACGGCGATGTCGCCAGGGTTTGCACTGCCTATTTAGGTAATTGGGGCTTGCCCTCGGGGTATTGTTAAAGTAAGCCACTTCTGGCGATGTCGCCAGGGTTTGCACTGCCTATTTAGGTAACTGGGGCTCCCCTTGCCCTCGGGGTGCGCCTAGCGAAACAAAGCGAGTAGCTTATAAGCTAGAATACCCCCTGGAATACCCAGGTTACCCTTCCGAGAATCGAGTCATACCTCATCGACCTGGTAGTCCACGCATATCAGCAAAAAAGCCACCCCTTCATGCGGACGAGGCATAGCAAACCGGGCGACCACCGCCCCTGGCAGGGCACACCTCGCCGTCTGCAATGCTAGACCTGTCTTTCCAGCTTCAAGTCGCCTGGTCCGTGCGTCCCCAGTATCCGTCAACATACTGTAAGCCTTGTGTGTGGTTTTCCAGCGTGTGAGAACTGTTTTGTCTCGCAGAACCTTCCGATTCTTCGCGGCCACTGGCGGATTCAGCCAATGGGAAGAGGATATTATTTTCCGCGGCCGTACAAATCCGCTTTAGCCTATGACCATTGACCCCAAGGTATGAGAGGGCGAAGGTCTTTCGCTGGCGTTAAAAACCTCGATTCCAGTGCCTATATATTGCTGCGCCGCCCCCCGCCACCGGCCTCGTCGATACCTGCTGTTGATCCGACGTACGTTCTGTCTTTATTTTAAATCTTTCATCTCTACTTTTCGTTTAAAGTATGCCCGAATTATCACCCGACGCTATCATATCACTTTGCGGTGTGCTGCTCACCGCCGCAGTGATAGCCTGGAAGTTACACCGCAGGTGTATCCCAAGTGATGAAGAAGGTATGGTAGTAACCCCCCCCCCCCCCCCCAAAAAAAAGCATTTATAGTCAACCTTCCATTGCGATGTTGATAATACGGTTTCACTAATAATTTATTTTTTCTAGAATCTTTGGATGGTACGGTCGAGCAGAGCATTCCACAGGTCCCAACCACAGGTCACACTGGTCAAAGTAATACAGAGCAGCACTGATCCGATGGATTTACTCTGGCAATCATGGTGTGAACATATTTCTCCAGAGCCATGATAGTCTTTTAGAGAAGCTACTTTTATGTTGATTTTATTATATTTTTACAATATATACTTGGTAAAGATTCGTGCTGTTTTTGATGTACGCATGTACGCGATACTACAATGCATCCCAACAAAATCGTTAGTCATAGACAGTGTTAAATGCCCGCACACGGTATGAAAGCAACTGGCGTATCACTCTTCGCGATAGACAGTAGCAATGTACAAAAACATATCTTATATACATTTTAAATATACTCTTAAAATTTAGATTGACTTCTCAATCGCTATGAGTCTATTGAGAGTAAAGTTATTTCGCAAGTAAGAGTCACCAATACAAAGATTTAGCGATAGATTCACTGTCACCTGACGATATCCTACCCGTGATTCGACCAAGGCTATGCAACAAACCACAATTACGCAAGCAGAAAAGCTAGGCGCGGTCCGCTCGTAGATAATTAAATATAGAGAATTTAGAGAGAATAGAAGCATATAGTGATAAATAGCTAAAGTAACTGAATACACGGTCTCTGCTTAAGGAACTGAAGTTTAGAGAGCTCTTCTCTATAAGTCCAGAAAGCGGGGTCGAGGGCACATGCCAAATCGGGAAAACCGCGGCTCGTTACAGGCTACACCAGACATACATTTCCCCTTGTTTGACGTATATCACACGCCCATCACACAAAGCATAATAATTTTGTAATATTTATCTTATGACTTTTTGAACTATTTGCAATATTTTATCTGCATTTAAGCTTAGTTAGAAATCAGGCACGCACACCTGAATTCCACCAGCAAACGTGAGTCCATCCATGAGCCGAAGCAAGACGAGCACAGTTGTCATGACATCGTTTTCAGGTAAACTCACGCAACTGATTCTAAATGCTGATATATTCATATTAGAGTTAAATCGGCTATCCCATACTCTAAATAATCTCAGTTTCGACGGGCTTCTGCCAGTTTTCCAAGTACTTGGCCACGACAGGAAATTTGTTGTCGTTTGCTAATCTCGCCGCTGCCTTGACCCTCTCTTCAAGTGTCTGCGGCTCCTTGTCGTGTTGTAACATTTTTGCCACCTGATCTAAGCGGCCATTCACCGCTGCTGCGTCCAATGCTGTCCGACACCCTCTCGCTGCTGGGGCGTTTACATCGGCTCCATGAAAGAGTAATAAGTCGATGATGCTAGCGTTGCCCAGTGCAGCGGCACACTGCAACGGCGTGACCTCGCGCCCAATCTCACTCCGGAGATCTCCAAGGTTATGATATGGGTTAATCTGTGCCCCGTTTGTAATGCAAAGCCGTACCATGGCGAGCGACCCACTGCTAATAGCTTCGTTGAAGATTGAAGTATATAGAAAGCCAGTAGGTTGAGCATCAATATCTGCGCCTGCATGTATCAAAGCCTCCGCAATAGCAATGTCTGCGCTAGAGACGGCTGCCATCAATGCATTAGCATAGGTGAGGTCAGAATTAACTGACGATGGTAGCCTTAGGAGTCGTTGCATAAGCCCCAAATCGCCAAACCTTGCCGCCTCTGCAAGCGCATCACGGTCTCTTGAGTAGAACTCAACGTCACGAACCAGCAACATGTTGACTGCACTAAGATTTCTGCTCTTGATGGCTTGTGTTAGGGGGCGACATTCCAAACTATACTCCGTATTGATGTGTATAGCCTTAATGCCCAAAAAGAGTAGATATTCCATCATCATGGTGTTGTTTGCCTGTATAGCTTTTGATAGCCCTTCAACCCCAACCTTTCCATAGATTCTGGCTCCGGATTTTATTAGTAGACTAACAAGGTAAATATTTCCGGTATCAATTGCTGTATGTAGAGGCTTGACTGCTCGGCTATCAGTCCGCCAAATGATCTGTGTTCCTATCATATCAATAAGTACGCGAACCAGATGCTCGTCTTGTGCCTTGATCGCTGTGCATAATACTTCGCTGTAGTCGACCCATCTCTTTTCATTTCTGGCGTCCACGGGTAGTAAGCCAATTAGGCCCATCTTTACCTTTGGATCGCGAAGGATCGCGAGACTTAGTGGTGTACGTCCCATATTGTCGGGCGTATATGGGCATGCCCCTTTTGACAGAAGCAAGGATACTGTCTCGACACTACAGTACTTTAATGCTGCAGCAATATAGTGATAATCAACGCTGTTATCTCCTCTGCATGGATTTGCTCCGCTGTCTATAATCTTCTTCACGATATCGTGATTGCCAGAGCGAATTGCTTCGTACAAGACAGGGCAGCCGCCGCTGTGATTGGCAGAGCGAGCATTGACATCAGCCCCATGCTCTAAGAGTAGGCATACCAGTTCCATGTTTGCAGTACGCACGGCAAAGTGTAGCGATGTCCCGCCACGCATCGACGTCGATTCGTTCACCTTGGCCCCCTTTTTGATCAACTTGCGCACTAAATCGGGATATCCCATTTTTGCTGCGCTTTGCATCGCTGTTCGACCAAATATTCTGCTCGGTGGAGCCTGAACATCTGCGTTGCGGTCAAGTAGATATTCAGCAACTTGTATATCGCCGCAACGAATTGCTGCCTGTAGAGCAGTGCGGCCATGCCGGCGGTCCGCAGGAGAATTGACGTCAGCCCCGTTATCAATCAACACCTTTACTACTTCCAGATTCCACCGCTGCATACAGGCGACTTGTAATGCTGTGCCCAGTCCACCCATCCGGTTGACGTCGGCGTGGTGCTTCAGCAGCAGCCGCACCATTGTGACATTCCCTCGGGCTGCTGCCGCCTGAAGTGGCGTATAGAATCCAGACATATTGTAGCAGAGATTAATGTGGTCGAATCTTTCGCAATAAATGTCCGGTCTCGTAGGAGAGTCTCCATCGCAGCGAGGTTCCTCATCGCAAGAGTACTTGTCGTAAATGATCCGGTCATGATCCACTACGGTACACTTGTCGGCGTGTACCTTACCAACACCGTTCAGATAGTAGCCATCCGGAAAAAGATCGTACAAAGGAAAATCGTCAACAGACGCATTATTTTTAAGCAAAACATCAACCATTTCAATGTCGCCTCTCATGACGGCATATTGCAGTGGTGTAGTGAATGACTCGTGAGTATATTCAATCTGAGTCTCGCCTATAAATTCAGTAGGAAGAACAAAATCGGCTCCAGCATCGATTAGTAGTTGTACGGTATCACTTTCACAATACTGCGCAGCTGCTTGCAGCGCAGTGATAGCCTGTTTAGGGCGGTGGCTATCCATACGAATATGTAAGGAATTAAGCCCCCTGGCTTCTGTCAGCTCGCAGAGTTTACGTCCCATGCTGAGAACTGATGGTAAGCCAATGTACTGCGGTATATGTACATTAGGCTCTGAGATGTACTGGAGCAACTGATTTATGGTGTCTAAGCATAGCTCAGGCCCATTAGTTGGAAAATATAAATTTGCCAGTTTGACGTCCACTTCAGTGTAGTTGACCTTGGCGTTATGCTTGATCAAGTTGCGGGCCATAACTCTATCCCCATTTCTCAGAGCAACTTCAAGCAAAGTTTGCATCCTTTTATCTCGGTTTGAAAACTCCGTTTTGTATTGTACAAATAAATCCAAGGTCTTGGTTGGAGGTGGCACCTTAGAAACGTGAGAGTTCGCTTCCACTTCCAAGTTTGGGTCAATTCCTTTGGATAGTAAAGCGTTCGCCATAAAAATATCACGTATTTGGACAGCAGCGCCAAGTACAAAATTGGCAAGCGCGTCTGTGGCTGACAGCTTGCTATCGATACAGGCTTGGACAACTAAATAGAGATTTCGTGCTGCAATCCACGCCATGAGCTCTGTTGTGGCTACTGGTTGAAGAAGGTTGTTCGAAGCAAGATAAACAACCGAACGGAGTATTCGAAAGCCATAAATAAAAGCACAAAGGTTCAGGGATATATCCATGGGTTCAATAATCCCTCTTTGTTCGAGTGTGATTGAGAGCTGCTGTAGCTCTGTCGCAGTGTATATTGTTGGGTCTAGTGTATTTTGGTCTTGGTTTATCCCGAGAGCGTGTTCGAATTCTGCGGCACTGACCCGATATGGCTGCCCTGAAGAACTCAGTTGCAGTACAACAGTCTTGTCCAGATCAGAGATGCCGTATGCTTGTATAGAGACTGGCTCTATACATACGACTGTAAATAATTAGATTGGCGGTGTTCGTATGTTTTAACATGTAAGAGCTTACTTACTTTTGCTTTCAAACCAATCATCAAATTGCGCGATTGGTAGCTTTGAATAGTTGACTTGAATAGGGGATGATTGGCTTTGCACTGGTAGCGCTGTATGCGTTCCCATTGCTGACGGTGTACGGACAATGGTGTCATCTGGAGTCACGGATCTACTTCCCGTTAGCTTAATGTTTTGTGGATTTGGACACTTATTTTACATACCAGATAAATGACCAACCTCGCCAGGATTATCCTGGCCCCTGGTCATCCGTTTTAGTCGTTCCATCTTTCCAGAATTGGTTTCTGAAGGTCCAGCAGCTGCGTTCTGGTTGGTCTTCCGCTTCTGCTCCCTCGCCATAGCTGTAGCTGTCTTTTTCAGCCTCTTTGTAGAAATCCATCGGTCGCCTATTAAGACTCCTGTCGGTCTCGTTCCCTGCTCTTCAGCTTTCGCCATTGCCATTACTTGGAGGCTTCTCTTGAAATTCCTCTGTAAGCTCCATTTCTGCGTTTGGCTCCAGAGCTGGTCTTCACTATACATCGATTACTAGAACTGTACATTTAAACGGCAGTATCAGACATACCTTGGGGTGAAATTATACTTCTCTGTTAAATATTTGATCATTTGTGCACGTGTTTTCTCTAGGAAGTGGTCTGTAATGTCTTTTCGGTACCTCTCCCACTCCTCCTGCGAGATAGGTTTAGAGCGAGTGTTTCGCGGCATGTTGCTCTGACTCCAAACGACAATTCTAAGAATACAAGCTAGCTTGTGTAAACAACGAATGTATTTACACCAAGCTGTAGGGAGGGAGACTAAGACCTGTATTCATGCAAACATGGCCAAAATCGTTTTGGAGTGGGAGGGGGATCAAGGCTGTATTTAAGCAAAGGAGGCCAAAATCGTAAACGGCTTCTGGGGTGGGGGAGGGAGAGAGTTGTAGGCCAACTAGACTAGGTACTTACGATGGTTGTACCACAAAACTAGGTTGAAACGGTGTGAGAGAAGGTACATTGTGTTTGGTGCAAATAAAAGTCAATTGGTGACGTCTTACGGTGGCCGTGGCCAGACTCGTTTTCTCTTGTCTGAAGATGTTCGCCACCTGGGAGTAGCCCGTAAAATGTAAAGCGAGGCTGGCGACACCGAGGCGGCAGAGGCGCCGCCTTGGTTTCTGAAGCCAAAATCGTAAGTCCCTTCCATGAGTGCAGGAGGGGATAGCAGACCTCCTGGCCAGAATTGGAATCTCAACGCGTACTTATACCATCGTGGCAGCTGTCTACCCGCCGGTGTCTCTTTCAAATCAGTCTACCCCTTTTCTTCCTCGCCGTTATACTTGATCGATTTTTGTTCCGAAACTATGCCTGAATTATCGTCCGAAGCCATCATTTCACTTGTCGGTGTACTACTCAGCCTCCCGGCTGTTGCACTGTTGTTCTGGAGCTTGCGCCGTAGGTTCCTTCTCAGAAGCCAAGATCAACAAGGTACCGTAAAACTCCCCAGATTCCTTTGGACAATCGTTACATCCAAATTCTCATTCTTTCTATTTTCTAGCCTTTCTTTTCGCAAAGTAAATGAAGATACAATCGAGCAACGGATCCCTCTGATGCCCACAAATGAAGCAGGCATTGTGGCTTACGCTGTAAACCCTGCGTACAACAACAATTCGACGCGAAAAGACCATCGAATCACTTTGACATTTACCGTGTAGAGCAACTCCCTCAAAGGAACATTATGTTATTATTTTAGATTTCATCTGTATTTTATTACATTTTATACACCATTTGTTTTAGCAAAACAACGACTGTAAAGAAACGAAAAGATCATGACACAAGGTACTAAGCACACGCACGACTGACGTATATGCACAAAATGAAACTCGCATAAATCATAAACATTCATATATATAACACTACATCCTACCGCCCCCATGCTTTAACGACTCTCCATGTGCCGCACATCAGCAGGCATCCGCGCTATACACAACTCCCTACAAAACTTGCCCCAGTCCCCATCACTCGCCTCCCTCACAGCATCCTGCAAATCCTGGCCATACCGCGCCTGATACGCCCTCTTCACAGCCTGCATATGCGCCGCGCTCCAATGGAACCGCACCAACCGCGAGACAAGCAGTTCCCGCCGCATCGTATCCTTTCGAGTCGCAGTCAACGCGTGGTTCAATAGCAAAGCGTCTCGCACAGGGCGGTTAATCACGCCGTTGAGAATATGCGCCAGCACTTCACCGACCAAGTTGCCGCTCTTCTTAAGGGCTTCGCGCGCAAAGTTGCCGTCGTAGCGCTCCTCGTATGCCTTGAGGATCGCGCGGAGGTGGTCGTCGCTGCGCTGGATGATGATGGAAATCATGAGACTCTCGCCGCCCTTTTCGGCCTTGACGGCCTTACGGAGCTCGTGGACGTCCTTGTCGACGAGGTCGTAGTCGATGGGAAGACGGCGGCCTTTGCGGTCAAAGTCTTCCATGCGGCGCTCATCGAGGACGGCAAGAACGGCCGTCTTGAATTTGTCTTCTTTGAGTTCTGTGCGCATGCACTTGACGAGACTGTTGTCGTACTTTTTGTCGGTAAAGGCTTCTTTAATGAGGCGGATTTCCTCGTTGGTGCGGCCCATGAGCGTCTCAATCAACAGTTCACGGCGAGTTTTGTCGCCTTGGTACCAGAAGTTGGCCCAGTATGCTTCTCCTTCCCACATGCCGAGAGCGGTAGAGTAGCATGCCTTCATCAGGAGAGGGTCTTCGTCCTTGAGGCGCGCGCGGATGTGCTTTGCAATGTTGACGCCCTTGCGGTCAGCGCCAGTCTTGACAAGTTTCTTGTAGTCGGAGCGCAGCTCCATCATCTGGTCATGAGTAAGACTGGGTAGAATCTCAATCAGCGGACGGACGTCGGGTGCTCTGTCGCCGCGGAGAGCTTTGGCGAGTGTGGACGCAATATCCTCGGCATCGTGGAATCGCGCACGTCGAGAGTGCTTTCGACCCTCATCTTCGGCGTCAGATTGCAAGGGTGTAAGGGCATCGGCGATGAGAGGTTCGCCAAGCGCAGCACCAGATGCTAGGAGTAGCGGCGATGGCATAGGAGAGCAGTTTTGGTATGTGCCGTGGTATGATTCGAGGAGAGGTGACCCTGGTGCTGCTGAGAGCGAGCCAGCGGGTGCTGCGAAACCACCAACACTAAGAGTCGACTGGCGAGATGCGGGATTGGGCGACTTGTCCCGGCGAATGTCATCGCGTCGTGATGATTTGCGGTCGTCCTTGTCAGAGCGCTTGTCGTCGCGAGAGCGGTCCTTTGAGCGGTCTCGCGACCTGTCTCTTGTGCGGTCGGCGCCTACGGGTGCTAGGAGGGATGATTCATCCCGTTTGCTGCGAGATTCGCGGTCATCCTTCTTGCTGTAAGAGTCACGATCGTCCTTTTTGCTCCTGGATTCGCGATCATCTCTCTTGCTGCGGGATTCACGATCATCCTTTTTGCTGTACGAGTCACGGTCGTCTTTCTTGCTGTAGGAATCACGATCATCCTTCTTACTATAAGAGTCACGATCGTCCTTGCGACGGTCCCTGGAGCGATCTCTCGTGCGGTCAGGTTCCGGAGCGGCCATCAACAAAGCTGGTTCCCTTCTATATCCGTCATCGTCTCTTCGTCTATCGCCCGACGGGTCCCCACGTCCATCTCTGGATACATCTCGAGATCGATCTCGTGAGCGGCCATCACCCTTTCCAGCTGGAGCCAGCAGCTGTGGCTCGTGCCGTCTAGAGTAGTCATCATCTTTGCGGCTAGAGCGGTAGTCTTCGTCTGGGTACGGAGCACCGCTGTGGTTCTTGTCGCGATCGTGTCTATCCCGGTCATACTTGTCGTAATCGCGTCTGTCCCGGTCACTTCGGTCGTGTCTATCGCCACGTCTATCGTCATAATCGTAACCATCATCGTAGTCGTAGTCCTTGTGCCTCGATCCGCCCTCTTTACGAGAAGACTTGGAGTCCCAGTATGCTGGGTCGGAGGACTCCTTGCCATAGCCTGGCTTGGTATCTCTGTATGGCAACTCAGAACGCTTATCGACATCATGGCTGCTCCGCTTGCTCTTGTGGCTATCCTCGTCTGCATATTGGCGGCTATACTTTTGCGGGAGGTAATCCAATTTTGGTCGTTCGTCCCCGCTGCGGTCATCATAGTCGTCGCCATGTCGTCCGTGGCGTGTAAAGCCAATCTGCTTTCTTGGCGTTCTCTTATCATCGCCATGCCGTCTGTCGTCGTCGTCTGGGAACGCTCCAGGGCCGTCATATGGGTCTGCTGGCTTCTTTACAGGAACCAGAGCCTGGCTAGGAGGCTCTCTGGGATCGTAATCATGGTCGTAGGATCTCCCCGCACTGGGCATATACGAGTCGAACCCCTCGTCGGCGGGGTAGGGCAGTCTGCCATTCTTGTTGTCGCGTGTCTCACGCTGGCTGTAGCGCCCGGATCTGTCGTCTCGGCCGTACTGGAGATGCTCGTCATCGTCATCGCTGTAATCGTCGTCCCGCTTGTCTGAACGGTAGCTCGAGCGGTGGCCGCGGTCGTCAGCCCGCTGGTAGCTACGGTCGTCTCGGGAATAGGCCATGTTCTGTTCCCGCAACGCTGCGTGCTGTTCGGCTTAGAGTGTGAGTTTTAACAGCGACACATGTATTGCGGGGGAAAAGGAAACAAAAAGAACACTGGAAACGTGGCAATTGTTCAGAGACGGCGGACTAAGGTGCAGGTGTGAGAAAAATGCTGTTGAACAATGCAAGATTATAGAGGTGGCTGGGGACCGTTGGGCCAGCCACCCCACCTGTTTGATGCAACAGCGGGCACAGGCAAGGATAAGAAAGAGGGCTGACAATTCACTCCATTGGGTAATTCAGTGCGTGTGTGAAATAATTACATACTTTTTGAAGTGATTTTAGTGATGGAAAATATTTTTAAAAATAAATTTTGACCCAATTTGGCAGCATAATAGTGTTTGATGGGAAATACTGATAGTCATGGCGGCCGGCCCAAATAGACGCCCAACACTCACATGACGTCTTGTACTTCATTGTATATATTAACAGTATTTGTTTCTCATCTATTTACTGTCCTTGATTCGCTGAAACATATACAGGGCCTCATCCTTGCCTGGAAATGACGGCAGCGGAACCTGTGCAACACGCACCCAATCCGCAACATGCTCCTTGGCCATGTATTCCGCCATGGTCAATGAGCTGAAGCCCGTATATCCATTACTGTTCTGTGTGCCACCCACTACAATGGTGTCGCCCTTGTATGCAGCAATCACGTCTCTTGTAAAGCTGCCGTCCACACCGTCCTCCGCCGTTCCAACAATCGGATACACCAGTAGCAGCACCATATCCTTACCGCCGCCATTCTTGCCAAGCCATTTGACGCCATCCGCTACCGTAGTATCATCAACCCAAGTCACACGCCACTCGCTCTGCATATTGTCCACAGGATGCACCGTCAGGCCATACGCCCGCAGCATGTGCGTCCAGTACCCGTTCCCTGAACCAACATCTGCTACAGCCCTCGTCCCAGCAATGTTCTTGATAATCTGTAGTCCTTCATGAGACGGAGCGAGACATCCGAAATGGTGCATAAAAATGGGGAGGACGTGGTGGCTAGTCTGTAGCTTTTGCGTGGACTCGTCCGGGCCAACCCACTCCAGAGAGTGGCAGGCCCATTCCCAAAAGTCAAAGTACGGGTTATACGGTACTGGCTTTTTCGACCTAGAGACGGTGAGTTGGGAAGTGTAGTCTGGGTGCACGTAGCGACGCGGTGAGAGGTGCTGTGCGACACTGGCGCGTATCGAGCCCTTTTTGGCGTTGGTGGTGAAGTTGCGGAGAGCAGCTTCGGCAGCAGCCTGGGGCTTAAAGATGGTTACATAGGCGTCAATATCCGGCTGCGAGGGCGGGCCTATCTATAAGGGTGTCAGAGCAGCTTCTAAAGAGTGATGGTGGTGCATTCTTACTACAGAGCCGTCGTCGGAGCGGTACCACGCATGGAGGCCGTTTGCGCCGCCAAGACTGACGACATGCTGGACTTGACGGAGATTTACACTCGCCATTGCATGGTAGACGTAGGTGTCATCTTCCGGGATATTAAAGAGGGCGCGGCTGGCGTTCAGGAGGTCGTTTTGGAAGAGGCGTTTCTGAATGGCCTGCTGCTGGGCTGTATCGGCGATGTCGGTCGGGTTGAACGTCTTGCTCCCTACGCAGAAGTTCTTTTTAGGCGGCGGCATCTTTTCTCTTGTAGAATACGCGTTTAATGGGTGATGTAGATGATGGATGAGGCGGTTGATTCCAAGTAGCGGATATAGGGTAAATGCGTCATTGAGCGACTGGATATGCTTGTAGCGCCGAGATAGGTGTTGTAGACGTTTATTCCGTCATTGGTTGGAAATAAATATTAATAATATGACTCTTATATAGTTTATTCTATGTGATTGGATGGTGGCAGGAGATGTTGTTGGTATTTGGTGATGACGTTGGTGAGAGTTGTGCGTGGGTGAGAGGTTGATAGCGGGGCCAAATTGTTCCGCACCAGACTATCCGACAGCATAAGTCACATTCTGCACATTGCTGGGCTGAATATAAATTCTATAATATTGGTAGTGCTTACTGTAAGTGATGACTTCCACCAAGATATTTTTATAAATTTATCGTGTTTCCTGGTGGCATAGACAGTGGAATTACACAAGAGGCGGCACCACGCCCGAATATACGCACCAGGTAAATAGGTACCGTTGGAAATAAGCGCCGTGGTACTTTAAATAAAAGTAGGCTTAACCCAGTCTAATCTATTATCCCTCGTGAGAGTCATTAATATCTATCAGTCCCCTATCGTACATAATCTTCGCAATTGGGTATACTGCGCGTGCAAAATTACTCTGTCGCTCCAGAACATAACGTGGAGTGATTGTATCGAACCCCTCAATCTTAAATCCAGATCTATCGGGTGCAAAGGCATGCAAGAGATATGTGCTAGAATAGTCAATGGCCCAATCGGGAAACTTTTCCGGATGTTGCCAGCGATCTGCAAGCTTCTCTTCAAATGATGGCAACGTATCGCCAGGTTTAAACCGAGCCAAGTTGGATTCTGTAGTGTTGTGCGTCCCAAAGAGCGTGATGTATGCCTCAGCGAACCATCCTCCTGGAGCAAAAGCAACACGGTCCATAATTAGAACTTCGAGGGGCTCGCGGACGAGCCTGTTGGATAGTCGGGTGATGACAGCGTCACTATGTCTAGACCAGGAGCCATCGAAAGCTTCATGCATGTCGTGTTCCCAGGTAGAGATGAACGTGCCACCAGCCGTCGATAGAAAGATTCCACTGTTGATTATGTCGTCCTGGGCACGACCGACCACGGCCTTGAAGCCACTCTGAAGCAGTGGGCTGAGCGAGCGCAGCGTGTGAACGTCAAAGTCTCGATAGACGCCGCCAAGCCTGTTCATGGCCTGCACACGAGCAAAGTCGCTCTTGTGTTCCATTCCTGTAATCCCGACGCCATTCTTAGCCTTTGTTGGGATTTTCACATGATTTATCCTCAAACCAGGAATATTGAAGATCCGATTATTCCACTTTCCAGCGCGACCGTCAACCGCTCGAGCAACGGACTCGTTGTTGGCATTTGTAGTAAGGTAGATGGTATGGGGGCGGTCAAAGTGCCAGGCGGAGTAGATTGAGAGGTAGTGTTTGAACTGAAAGTTGAAGTCGGCGCTGGGATCTTTGAGAATGTATGTGAAGTGGGCGATGTTAGGGATTTCCTCTCTCTGGCTCAAGACTCGATCTTGGTCATGAACTTGGTCGTTGTGTGTTCCAAAAGCTTTACCAGTTCGGACGACGGCGTACTCATAGTCAGAAGAGGTTCGATCGACCATATACATGTAATGAAATGTACCAAATATAAGAATAGTAGCTAGCAAGACGGTAATGAGGGGGTGGGTTTTTGAAAAAACTCGGTTCTGGGACAGACGACGCAAGGGCCACAGATTTCCGTTCATCGTGCTTTTAGAAGCTTGATAGCCCCAACCGACGGAGAATATATATTGTGGTAATGAAATGGGCATAAAGCTATTAACAAGAATTTATGAGAGAAAATAAGAAATGGCTATGAGAGATAAAAGGGGGATATTTTCAGGCTGGTAGCCGCGGTTGGGTTGACTCTCCATGATATCCATCCGCAGCCTTATTGTTAGTGCACGGGCTTTGCTTCACAGCCCGTTCCTCCATTGGTCCCTTGAGTTTGATGGTTGGGTGTTTGTGGATCGCTCAAGCCGAATCTCTGTGGATCACTCTTGTCGCTTTTGAAAAAGTATTCTTTTAATTAAGACTGTTTGCTAAGAGCTTCGTATTCTGCGGCACTCTGGTAATGTGGTAGGCTTTCGGTGGCAGTGCATCCCCCACCATACGACGCTTGAACTTTTCTGGCAAACCGGAGCAATAGATACTGATAAGTAAATTCAGAAAATAAGTCCATCTGTCTTCTGCTTAATATCGGTATCTATACCTATATACAAGGTAACGTCAGAGTGCCTTTAATAGTTAGGTGCTGGTTTAAAGTCTTGACTGCTTCGAGAATTTTTCGAGACATTTTCCCGAATCAATTAATGTTTGATCCACTATGTACGTTTTAAGACAAGGCTTTTGAACTCCCGCCTGATCATTGAAGACACACGGACTTTAATGGTCCCAACGGTAAATACTGACAACCAGATAAGCGACCAACACAGGCACCAAAAGATGAAGGAGAGGAGAGCCATGCTCGGAGGCTCAGAAGAGCTCTATACGCTCCTCTGTGTCTTGCGGCCGGGGCAGTGTGTAAGCACGAAAAGTATGTAAGCCATGCGCTTACATGGCCGTATTGGCGCATCAGTAATCAACCCAGGACCCTTGGCTACCAGATTCCATCCAATCATTGGAACTAGCCACTGAGCGTAAAACAGTAAACCAGAACTGAGACGGAAAATGGCCTCTTGGTAAATTAGTTAATGTCTTGCTGTTATCGTTTCTAGAACACCGTCACAATCTACAATTCAGCCCATGACAAAGCTGTAAAAGGGTATGACACATCTTGCCCCAACCTAACTACGCTATGTATTTATCTTCTTCTACCTTTTCACTATAACAGAAGAATATTGTCAGTATGCTCTCTAGTCAGTACTTACAAAATTATCAATTCTTTTTTAAATGATACGGACATCTCACAATTATTACAATTAAGCACTGCGAAGGGAAACCGTCCGAAGTCTGTCCAGCACACCGACGTGAGCCACTTGAGCCGCATTAGCGCCGCTCCAGTCGAAAGCCACTTGAGCCACGTTAGAGCCGCAAATAGTCCCTTAAGCATATAATTCGTGCTAAATATTTTTTCCCTTTTTTGCCCCACAACGAGGTTAGTGGAGAGCAAAGTAATAAGTTTGCTTTCAATATCGCAGTAGTGGAGTGAAGTCTACCTGGTGGCTCTTGGGATCCCAGCTGATTGGCAACGGTCGAGGCCTTGGAACCGTTGAGTTAACTACTAACGTGGTATTACCTGTAAACACGCAGTGCGCCTGTTACCCCTATTTCAATCCTCGATATACAGTCCCTCGTAGTTAGCAAACGCTCTTAGAGTGTTCTTTAGGAGAATTCATCACTATCTTGACACACCCTTTTCGCCAACTAGCTCGGGCCAATCCGTAACAATATAGTCTTTTTTAATAATTATTTTATATTCTTTATACCACATGTCGATTCTTTACTCCAAGCTGCTCTAGATCTTTATTCTCCGCGCCAACCTGTCCAAGTTAGAAGAGATAATATTCTCGATGATGATTGTCTCGGTGTTCTTTCGGGTCCAATTTGCAAAGTCTAAAACACGGCTAATAGTCTTGCTAATATTTTGGTTTACATAGTTAAATGGCTATTCCTACACATTTTCCGTAATTTATGTCGGCTACTGGTGGGATGGGCTGTGGAACCATACGAGAGCCTGTTGGCTCCTCACCAGCCAAGAAACCACGGGGCCTAACACCAAACCCATATATATGCAACAGAAAAAATAGATTACGTTGGAAATAAGCGCTGTGGCTACTAGACTACGTCGCGTAGCTTGCATTAAACGCCGCGATATCTGGCCTCCCTCGTGATGGTTTGGCCATTGTTTGAGGCGTCTGTTGCCTAGCAAGGTTGACCGGGAGGTTGCCTCTGGAACAGCGGCAACAGCAAATTATAAAATGTGGTCAAAATCCCTCTGTTGAGCTCAGATTGGAAAAGAAATAAAACAAGAATAAACGCGAAAGCCCCCAAGAAAAGGACGATTGCTCATCTTATTCACACCTCTGAAGCTATGCCCGCCAACAAGGACCGTCTCTACGTTGCCGTCTTCACCAAGATTGGCGCTGAGAACATGCCCAGCGGACTGAGGTACATTTACCGATCACATTACTACCAATGCGTTAAAATTTGATTAATGATACCTCACTTCAGCTTCCACTGGGGCTACATTGTCAGCCACAAGGGACAGACCAGGCTCTACAACTACATCCATGCCCATCGCATGTACCATGCAACCAACGAGACCCTGGATATTGGCTATCCACTCCCGTCGGAAACGGCCTGCCCATGGTGGTACGAAGCGTGCGACTTGCGCATGGAGCGCCCGATGAAGGTGTACCTGCGGCTCGAGGTTGGTAAGATCCTCAACCTGAAAGGGCTCGAGGAGCTCTTTGCCAAGATCCCGCTGCGGCCAGAGTCTGAGGGCTGGAATAGTAAGAAGTGAACGAAGGAAGCGTTTTATGCGGCCATGGCTAGCGGGTATATCGGCCGCCGGTATCAGGAATGGCGGTGCGTGGAGGACGAGGCGGTTTCGTTTATTCGCTTCTTTTATGGTCCCCGCCCGGTGATGCATGCGTTTCAGGGTGGGAGTACGCCCCTTTTAAGCACGTTTAACTGGTTTTGACGAGGAGATGCTAAACAATAAGAATGACGTGCTGTTGTCAGTGTATTGAGAGGGTGGGAGGTGGCTGCGAATTACGAGTGTTTGCATTGGGATTCAGTTAGTCGGCGTCGGCATAGTACATCTAGTTATAGACATAGACAAATAGCACTGTAAGACCGAAAGGGGCGGTTTACTATAGAACTATTGTAGAAGTACTATATATATGGTGGGGAGTTTCAGCGCGTAGGCTGATTATGTTTGTTAATAGGATTTGCTAGTTTACTCGTCAACCAATACAACGATGTGTTTCTACTATGATAGCAGTTGGGTTACAATTGGAGTGAAGTCTACATCAGCTAACCTACCATAATCGATTATAAAGCTGCCGTGACTCGAATAGCGTAGACAGGGAGGTTCTGTACACATTCTATCGAACTATTATGAAGGAAGACATGAGATCTGCCCAATCTCGAGGCGATTAGTCCAACTAAGTGAAAGCTAAAGATCGACTGATTTAACACTCGCTAGAACTAGTACCAAGTAAACAAGGAGCTTTTTGGGGCAGCATTCAGGAGTCAAGAAGAAGATTTGTTTTCCCTGTATATCTTTCCATATCTCTGTGTCTGCAGTTGTTATTATTTATGTCATACGCAATGAATAGCTTCGTCGGGAATTCTGATAAATTAATTTAAGGGGAAACTCATCAAAGTAGGTCCTTGATTTACACGTCACGCGTTTCGAGGATTAACTCCCTAGAATTAGCTCGAACATGAACTTATATAAGAAAACTAGTCTATCAGCTTGGTTGAAAGGGATGCCTGGTCGAAGCTAACTGTTGCTTGGCACACGTTAGTTTCATGAAGGATTTTAAGGATGGCTATTTGGCCAAGCAATTGTCTCGTGTGCTTTACCCAATGTAAAGACCGGAAAAACTTTTTGAATACCGCGTCGTTTGAAACACCAAGAGTAGTGTAAGACCTTTGTGAAACTGAGGGTTGGCGGAAGCTAGCTGTTACTTTCCGTTTATTTTCTCTTGTAACTCCTAATTGATAATACTTGCTATGCTGCGTGCCCATTCCGCCTGCGAGGCTTCGAGAACGTTCGGTGTATACGGTTGATGTGTAGAATCTAGATATACAAGTGGATTTTTGCGAATAATGGGCACTAATATAGCGACAGTATTTGTATATATGTGTAAAGCCAAATTCGATATCGCTTCGAATAGAAAGTTCAGCTTGCCGCCTTTGTCCGAGGTGGATTACTCTTTATAATAGTGAGTTTGTGCACTGTATTTTTTGAAAAAAAAAAGGATTTTAGCAAAGAGAGGGCGAGTCAGGGGTTTATGAAAGGGTATTTGAGGATATCTGGTGAATTATTTTCTCGAACAGTTAGAAAACTCGGAAGCATCCTTTACCAACGCGCTAGAGCCTTTTATAAAGAACAATGTCAGTGTTGCAACTTGGAATGGAAGCAATGGTACAAGAGCTTAATAAGGTTAAGTCTTGCTCATGGGAGAACTTGTTGAAAAATCGACATTGCTGTTATTTGTCCCATGGTGGGTTGTTCGTGGTTAGGTGATGGTCTGGCGGACCAGTGATTGTATAATAGGCTCGGTTACAATGAGGGAGAATTTTGACGACGATATCACTGGGGTAGCAAGCAGCTTTAACAACATAGGACCATTTTTGTTTTTATTTGAAATTGAAGAGTGCCTAGGTTCTAGTATTTATAGAGAGCTACAAGTATGCTCATACATCTTGTTGTAGTACATAGCTGTGTCTAGATACACAAATGAGGGACAGTTATGTTCCCGTTGTATCCGTCGGCCCACAGACAGGCGGACAGGCAAACAAATAGAGTTGCCGGCCCGTTGTCTGCCACCCACCGCCAGACGTTGCATGCTGCTGCTCTATATCTGTTTGTCTGTACGCACGTATATACGGCTACATGCATACGCTCGTTATCATGTTTGCGTCGTGCAGACCACTTCTTGTGCACCCGCCAGCTGGCCGGCAGCTGGTACAACTGGCAGACAGCTCACACCTGGCAGCTGGCGGCGAGGAAAGAGAAGCTGAGAAGCCCACCGCCGCTAGAAATGCACCCACCCGCAACATCCGCATCCACAGCGGGCCATCCTCCCCCCTCTCTCTCCACTGCTCCCCCGGGTACTGTACCGTGCACTAAAACAATAATGTATTACAGTGCAGCGGCCAGCCATGCGGTGCTAGAGCAGAAGTGTGTAGTATATAGAGTACAGTAAATTATACATGCACAGCACACAGCACCACCTACAGTACGTACTCCATCACACCCACACGCCCTTCTCCCCCCCCCCACCCCCTCCCATTTGCTGTACTGTAGGAAAAGCCCCCTAAAAAAGTAAAGGCTATCCACTAATAGGCGACAGCCACGGGGGGCATGCATTGCTCACCCACTGCAAAACACTGCACCCACTACAGCTACAGCTAATACAGCACTTGTTCCAGTGTGGTCCACCACTAACGGGCCTACCGCCTCGTTTGTCCTTCTCTCCACATCTCACCTCACTGGGGCTCGCTCCGCCGCCAGCGTCTCTCTTCTCTCCTTTGCCTTGTTGCATTTTTTGGCAGCAGCATCTCCGTCCCTCGTCCCTCGCACCTCGACCTCCACACATTTCATCCGCTGACACAGGGTTCCTCTGCGTCGTTTTTGCAATTGCCCGCGTCGCCATCCCGTCCACTCGGCCGACGGCATTTTGTGTCCTCCTTTCCCACTTACTCGCCTTGACCACCCACACCAACCCGCCGTAGCCTCGATACATCATCACCATCCGTCGCCATTACCACTACATTAAGCGCTGACCGGCTCGGCTTATCCCATCACCGCCCGCGACTCTATCTTCCACCCAATCGCGTACGACTGGCGCCCGTCACCGATAGACCGCACACTCTGCCCCTACCTACCTGTCCACCGACGGACCAACCGATCCATCCATCCGCCAACAGGCACCTCGTCCAAACAAGCAAACAACCTTGTTGCAGCTGGCTTTCACGCCCGCCCGCCAATTGCGAACCCATTAGATATATACACAGGCTATGGATACGAGTTGATCCATCGACCACAACGCCCGCCTCCCCACGACCGAGCTCCTAGATACATTTTGGTACACTAGACCGCTCTTGACGACAAGATGACGGTGATTGAGACGGAGCCAGAAAAGGCTCACGAGCCAAGGGCCGAGCTGCCCAAGGCAGACGAGACGAGACCCAGCCATGATACTACCACCACCACCGCCCCGAAGCCATCCGACGAAATAATACATAATACTCATCAACATCCTACCCATACACCGACAGACGAACCGACTGTTGCCGCTGCACTGAAGCCCGTCCCCCCGATACCACCACCAGCAGTTGCTGCTACTCCTGCTGCATCCGACGCACATACAGAGCACAAGTCGCCTATTCCTGTTCCTGCTGCTGTTGCCTCTACCCCCAAGGAGACACCAGACCATATCGACACCTCCAACGGACACACACCGGCCGTTCTCCCTACTCAACACCACCACACCGCGACACACACAACAACAGACCCTACATCGACGACTGAGGCAAACGATACGAAATCCAATGTGCCAACTGACAGCTTTCCACAGACAGCAGCAACAACTGCAACAGAACCCGTCCACAGCAGCGGCACACATACCTCAGTAGAAACCTCCACCGCCGACGAAAGCCATGCCACCTCTACCCCCCTCACCTCCAACCCCGAGACGACGACCGTCCCGCTTACCGCAGAGTCGATAGCCCAGATCGCCCCAGCCAATGCCGGTCGACCAACCTCTCTGCTCTCTTATCCACTGACGCATCCCAATGGTGCGTCCATGTTCCCGACCCTGACTCAGGCGGAACAGGAAGACTTGGCTCGAGAAGCCTTAGACCAGGCCCAGGTCAACATTATTGCCGAGAGCTTTCATTATCAGGGACATGATGAAAACGGTTCTGATGGCGGGTATGAGAGTGACGGCAACTCATCCGCCAGTACATCGGCCGAGTCGTCGGTTCGAGATTACCTCTACGAAAATGGCCGCCGATATCACAGCTTCCGCGAGGGCATTTACAACTTCCCCAATGACGACGTCGAGCAGGAGCGTGAGGATATGAAGCACGCCATGCTGAAGCTGCTCTGTAGTCAGAAATTACACTTTTCGCCGATTGGCGAGAATCCGCAGCAGATTCTTGACATGGGCACCGGTACTGGTATCTGGGCCATTGAGAGTGAGTTGACCCGTCCACCATGAGACCACACTCAAAATTTTGGCCGTCACAATGAGTTTTACTAACGTTTCTCTAGTGGGAGACCAATACCCCAGTGCTCAGGTACTTGGTGTCGACTTGTCGCCCATTCAGCCAGACTGGCTGCCGCCAAATGTCAAGTTTTTGGTCGACGATATTGAGTCGCCATGGCTATACCCGCGCAACCACTTTGATTTTATTCACTCACGACACACGGTCATGGCTTTTAAGAATTGGGAAAAATTATTTAGAAGATCACTCGAGTGCGTTTTTTCTCTACGTCCAATCATTTTGACGCACAGCCCCAGATGAAAACCTTGCAGCTAACTTTTTATAGACACTTGAAGCCTGGCGGTTGGATTGAGCTGCAGGAGATTCACCACAGCCCCCGCAGCGCTGGAGGAGACGGCAACGTACCGCCAGACCACCCGATTGCGCGCTTCTGGTCGATGGTGTCTTTGGGCCTGGCCGAGCTGGGCATCAATCTCAACATTGCGGCAGACGGCCAATTGGCGTCGGCGATGCAGTCGGCGGGCTTTGTGAATGTGACGGAGCGCGTGCTGCATGTGCCAATTGGTACCTGGCCGAAGAACAAGGTGCTCAAGACGGTTGGGCTGTACTGGCGCACGATTCTGCTGGATGGGCTGCAGGCGATTGCGCTGGGCCCGCTGACGCGCGGGCTGCGGTGGAAGCGGGAGGAGGTGGAGGTGTTTCTGACAGAGGTGCGCAGGGCATATCATGATAACGTTGCGCTCATGTATATGCCGCTGCATGTAGTCTATGGGCAGAAGCCCGTGGACATGTTCTAGGGGGGCAGGCAGATAATATGACCAGACCAGACCAAACCAGTTCAGACAAGCATCAGCAGCGACGGCGGTTTTTTCTCTTTTACCTACATAGCATATACATTCATATATTACGTACGTGGCAACTATGATGACCAGCAAGATACCAATGAAGTTTTCATTCCCCGTCCCATGCTTTTTCCTTCTGAGTGTACCTACATGGCCACGGCTATTAAATAGCGTCCCACTACGCCGAAGCTGTGAGCTACGAGGAGAAAAAGCGGCTCTTGGACCCTGTCGGTCGAGCATCTCCCGTAAATCCGGCTGGGCCTTCCTCAATTTGTCCACAAGATTCGGCGCGTGTGCAGCAGCACGCACTACGCACACAGTAATTGATTTGTCGTGTTTGTGCGGCACCCCTTGCACAACTAGCACCCGATCAGGCTGGCTGGGCTGGGCTTGCTGGCTGGCCGGTGTGTTGTGAGTGAGTGTGTGTGTGTGTGTTGTAAAGAGCCCGGGTTCTTCGGAAAGCCCTCTTTATTTGCATCATCATCAAATTTGTTTAGTCGGCACACACATGCATCCACTTGCATACATATACAGTATGCATGCATGCAGGCAGGCATATATGCAGGCTGCTGCACCAGTATCGACCCCCGAAGCATGCACGCACTCGACTGCATATCTTTTGCCCACCTCCAGCAAAGCTAAGCTACTTACGTAGCTTGTTCCCTCCCGAGATTCTGCTGAGCGAGACCAGCAAAAAAACGCCACCCGCAGCGCCACGGCCAACCAACCCACTGATGCGCGCTGCGAATAAGAAAAAGGAAAAAATTAAAATATCGCCTAAGTAAACGTGGAGCACCCAACTGCCGAGACGTGGCGTAGGAGGTGTGCAGAAACGGGAAAGCTAGCGGCGACCTGTCAAAAAACGGCGGCGGCACGGCGTTTTTTCTTCATTTCTTTTTGTGAGCAGAACCGGTGAAGGGAATTGAAGTCGGCTGTCTCTCTATCAAAAAGGCTACTGTGGGCTAGCTTAGCCTGGTCCTAGTTTAGTGAGCATCACGAAAAGAAAGAGGGGAAGGAGGGGGGAGAGGTGTGCGTGATTTGCTGCTAATGCAGGCGTCGTCACATCTTGTTCATTTTCGGAGATGCTGTTGCGTAGATGGGCCTTTGGGGTCTTTTTTGGTCCCCGCTCTACGGACGGTTCGCTTGAAACGAACCTGCTCTGACCGTCACTTGGTTTGGTTGTGCTGATTGATGCTGGGCCCACGCGGGATGGCGTAGTGCGGCTCCGGGGACCCGCCACTACGTTTATCGCCTGTTGTTTTTTAGTGTGCTGTGGCCCCTGTAGACGAGGAAAAGTGAGAGAGAAAGTGGGCGGCTAGCGGAATGTGAAACAGCGGAGATTGAAGAAGACGAAGGACGTTGACTTGCACGTTCCATGTGTGCTGGCGGGGTACAAAGCAGGCTAGCTGGTTATTCAGGCTGGCCTTTGCAGGCTTGGCTGGCTCACTGGATAATGTGCGGGCGAGCCGGAGTAGTTTGTACCGTAGACTGCTGTAAAGTATACTTATTGCCGTGTATCGAAGCGAGATAGAGTTTTGTTGTGCAAGTGCCGGAAAGCCAAAAGAGACAAGGAGGGGAATGAATGATGCCTGTATTCAAGGGCGGGGTTTGTGTCTCTTGGCGGGAGAGTAGAGTTCCATTGTCTCTGGTAAAGTAGTGTACTGTGCTGTGCTGTACGGGCTGTAAAGTATCTACCGTAACAAGCTGTACAAATAACAGTAGCTGTATAACTTTGTTGAACATGCAGACACAGACAGACATTCAATATACACGCCCCCTGTGATGCTTGCTTGCTGGCTGGTCCACTATGAGGAAACAAGCCCCTCAATAGAAAAAAAAGGCAGAGTGTGAGAAATATTACCCGTAAATGGCGCCAATTACAGCCGAGCAAGAAAATAAATAGAAAAGAAAAAAGGGAATTGCGGCGTGGCGTCTCTCTCACCCAGTTCCCCGGGCTGCGGCACAGCATTGCACAAACCTATTGTACCCACATGCACACACACACACAGAGATGGCACCTGCAAACATGCACTAACAGACCTCAGAAGGGCACTAAAAGCAACCACTGTAAATCGGCACCGCTTTAGTTACTCGTACCACCCCAAAGCCAAAGCGTGCCAGCGAGTTGCAAGCCCAGGGGCGTACAGGGCGTCTTTTTGTACTGTAGCTGGTGTGCTTGTTTTATGCGACTCTACTAAAAAGGTACTCCAACCAATTTTTTATGCTTCCCGTTCCCAAGCTGTCGGTGCGGCTGCCGTCTGTTGTGCATAACCTTGCTTCCAATTGCTTGCATTAAACTGCCACTGCCACTACAACCACCACCTACACGCCCTCCCTCCTCCTCCCCTTCTTCTTCCTCTTTTGTTCCTCTTTTGTTCCTCTTTTTACTCTCTCTCTTCTACAAACATCGTCATTTCTTCCCCTTTTCACACCAAACAAGCACAATTCACAAAACATTCACTGCGAATTGTCACCACCACCAACACCTTCACTTCGACTTCACCTTCCTCCCCTCCTCCTCCGAATACCTGGTCACCTCCGCAATCAGACCACCAATCCATAAAACGGCCTACTTCCGAACTCTCTCCTCATCCTCGGCTTCCCCCTCGCCTCTTGTTCCCGACGATTCGCCTACAAACAATCTCTCAATCCGGCTGAATTCGTCCTTGCGCCGCTCTCCTTCTAGTATCCCTTCGAAGAGCATCTCCAATTGACACGCAAAATGGGCAAGTTCAAGATGCCCACCTGGCTCCATGGCCATCCGCCTCCCGCCTCCGACACGCAGCGCAAAAAGAACAACCGCAAGTCCCTCTCCTCCAGCTTCACCACAAACGGCAAGACGAGCGCCACCCTCGTCGTCCCCGAGCTCGACGATGCCGCCTCCAAGCAGTCCTCCGACATTTCCTCCCAAATGGTCCTCCTCGCTCGCATCATTAGCGAGCAGACGGCCAAGCTCGAAAATTACATGCGCACCCACGATCTCCCTAGTCCGGGGCTGACCTCCGGATCACCGGCCGACTTTCCGCGCCTTCCAGACGACATGCAAGACGCGCGCATGAAGATCATTTTTGCCACAAAGGAGCTTTCTGCGCTGGCCCACGGCCCGCGGGAGAGTGTCCGATGGGGCGTCTGGGGTGTAAGTTGTTTCTTGTCCTCTATCATGCGTCTCTATCTCTAGTGTATACTAGAGGCGCATGACAATTGACCATCCGGCTCTGGCAGAGTGAAGACGGTGGACAGATTGACTAACACACTTGGCAGTTTTTGGACGTTCTCAGTCTGCAAATCATTAACCACTACAGAATTGGTAAGCTCAACACCTCAATTCACCCCATGTACTTGGAAGACGAAGACTAACAACGGCCAGCCAACTTGGTCCCCGTGGACGGCGAAATCTCCTACAAGGACCTGCAAACCAAAACCACCCTCGATCCCATCAACCTCGCCCGTATCGTGCGACATGCCATGACAAACTACATCTTCCACGAGCCCAAGCCCGGCTTCGTCGCGCACACGGCCGCCTCGCGCGTCCTCGCTGAAGACCCCGACCTCCAAGACTGGATCGGTTTTAATTCTGAAGACATCTTCCCCTCGGCCGGCAGCACCATTGACGCCCTCAAGACACATCCCGAAGCCACCTCGCTCACCCGCTCAGGCTTCACCTTTGCCTTTGACACTGTCGACAAGGAGTCCATGTTTGCCACAATCGGCAAAGAGCCCGTCCGCGCAAAGCGTCTCGCCGGCGCCATGGCCAGTTTGACCGGCGGCGAGGGCTACGAGATTCACCACTTTGTCAACCATGTTAACCTAGAAGAGGTTGACGCTGCGGGTGGCACCTTTGTCGATATCGGCGGCAGCCACGGCTTCATGTCGGTGGCCCTCGCTAAAAAGTGGAAGAAGATGAAGTTTGTTGTCCAAGACCTGCAAAAGACGATTGAAAGCGCCCCGACGCCCATTTGCGAAGATGCCGACGTGGCCGGCCGTATTGAGCTCCAGACTCACGACTTTTTTACAGAGCAGCCCGTTAGAGGAGCTGATGGTATGTTTTCCTTTACTATTTACTAAGGACCCGACTGACTTGTATAGTGTACTTTTTCCGCTGGATTATTCACAACTACTCAACGCCGTATGCCGTCAAGATTCTCAAGAGCCTCGTGCCCTCGCTCAAGCCGGGTGCACGCATTCTCATCAACGATAACTGTTTGAGACCTGTGGGTGCTGAGAACCCGTGGGACGAGAAGATTACGCGCGGCATGGATCTCATTATGCTGGTGCTGTTGAATGCGCAGGAGCGTGATGAGGAGGAGTTTCGCAAGCTGTTCCACGAAGCGGACCCCCGATTTGAGTTTAAAGTGAGCCTTCTTTTGTCTTTGTCAGGGAATTGAATGAATAGTTAAGCTGACTTGTTACAGGGCGTATCGCGCAGTGAAGGCTGCCGCATGAGTGTGGTAGAGGCAGTATGGAACCCCAAGGAGGCGGAAGACGACGATGAGGAGGAGGAGTAAACCCAGATCAGAGACGGAAGAGGGAAAGTGAAAGATTTCAGACACGGCGCAGCATAATTATAGCAGCGCGAAGCTGCGGCAGAGCGGATGGCAGCATAATGAATGGCACGACACTCTATATATATATACCAACACAATACAATACACTGAGTTATACCCACTGATGATGGAATATGACAACGTAGCGGTCTAGGACGGTGCTGTAGTGGTTTATAAGCGTAAGAAGGTACAATTTTGTATTTTGTATGAATTGGCTCGAGGGTAATCATGTCCAATCGACGGCTAAGTTATACGTTGCCTGAATACTGAACTATACCTGCTGATAACAGAAGAATCTCGCGTACCAGTTTGATGACGCCATTTAAAGGTTGAAAAAGCTTAATCATGTATCTATTTGTATTCTTAATGAGTCACTTTGGGGTATTATTTCACATTGATGACTTTGTATTGTAATTGTAGTCATTTTATTTACACCTGTAGGTTAGGGCGGGTACTCCACACATACCATCACCAAGTGGAGCACAATACATTCTTAGTGCGCATTAAGAGCACGGCTTTCATCCACATCCGCGTAATTGGTTTAGTGGTAAAATTCTCCGTTGCCATCCGCAACGTCGGGGAGCCCTGGGTTCGATTCCCAGATTACGCATTTCTTTTTTTTGTCCCTGCCTCTTCTAGAGGCAAGCATTCATTTTTTTGCACATTAACACTTTACACATTCTTTTTATGTATAGATTCTTTATTATAAAAGGAAATAAAAACATGCTGATATTCTATTGATCTGAGGACGAATGGTCAATTTGTTAGGTCCGTCTAATTGCCTCTTTGGGTTATCTCCACATCCAACCAACTTACACCACCAACTCCGGACTATACAATAGTCCTCTGGCCAAGTTACACTACTACCTCTCTAATTAAACAACGATTCGGGACCTGTCCATGACTGTGAACAATCCGACACCGATGAAGGGCATCTATGACACCTCGTCTCCAGCTGTCGCTACATCACCGGATTGCAACTTTGCAACAACACCCTCGGCAACTTCAAAGATGCTCGCATCGCTCAGCAGCTCAAACACAGAGACATCCACCTCGCAGCTCGCCCCGATCCAGTTGCGTATCCCTACAGCTACCAGCGAATCCACACCATACGCTTTAGGCGGCCGCCCGACGTCAATGTCCTCCTCGGGCATACTCATCGCGCGCGCCATCATGGCCCTCAGACCTGCGCAGACCATCTCTGCCGCGTGCGTTGCACTCTGCGCATTCGCGAGATCAAGTTTTGACGATTTCGTCTGGTGGGCATCTCCGCGTACATATGTCGTCCGGCTAAGGTCCGCCACGTCGAGTGCAGCGTAGATGGCCGTGCCGCTCCAGTACGGATCTGCCGGGTTATTTTGAAGGAGGAGACCACCGGTACCTACACCTAGCACAACTTGCTTCGGCGTGGCTGATCCAGCGAACGACTGCTGCCGGAGAGCGTGCCCTAGGATTGTCAAAAAGTCGTCGTAGTGAATCTCAATGAAGCCGCTACTTCGAAGAGCGCGCAGCGTGTCTTCGTTCTCGAGGAGCATGCCCGCACCAACAATCGGACCAAGGTCAAGTGATACAGCAGGTTGTCCGCGAGATAGGCAGTATCCTGCGAGTGAATCGAGGAATGTGTTGCCTGCTGCGTAGTTGGATTGGCCCCGGGCCCCGATGATGCCGGCCGAGCTGGAGAGGAAGATTTGTATAGCCGAGGTGGGGGACGCGTGGACAATGTTCCAAGAGGCGAACTTCGGGGCGAGTGCGGCTTTCCAGGACGTGTACGTCATGTTGTCAAAGATGGAGTCTTCAATCACGGCGGCGCAGTGGAAGACGGCTTCAATGTCCTGTGGGAGGACAGAGAGGGAGTCGGGGTCGGTGATGTCGACTGCGAGGACTTCTACAGAGATGCCCTGGGATCGAATGCCGTCGAGCCATGTTTGGCGTTCAGAGGTTAAAGTGGTAGAGCGCGATATGAAGTGCAGGTATTTGGCGCCGTGGGCGATGAGGAGTTGGGCGATTTTGCGCCCGAGACCGCCGAGGCCGCCGACGAGGACGTATGTGCGATTACTCGAGATGCAGCCTTTGAGAGATATGATTTCGCGCTTTTGCGAGACGCGAAGGGTAGTAGAGGATGTTTGAATGGCGATGGGTGTGCGGGGGGTGAGTGTGGTGATTGCGCTAGTGAAGTTGCACACGGTGTGTTTGCGATATGTTGGCGCAGTGAAGATGTTGGGGTTGCTGTGAGCAAGGGTACATGCGCTGTGGAAGATGGATGCGATTTTGGAGGGGGAGTCTGCTGAAAGCTGGGCAATGTCAATGGTGATGATTGTCTCGATGGGTGTGTATTTGGTGAGGGGAGGGTTGCTGGCGAGTCGGAGCAGGATTCCGGCTATAATCGTTAGTGAGAGTGACATAAAGGTCGGTCGGATGGGTATAACGTACTCTTCTTGAGATGGTGTAGTGGCGTATCGACGCCAGATGCATCATAGACAACATCCACAGAAGGCAGTGAAGCTGGTAAGTTGCTATTGATATTAATGATGTCCTCAGCTGGCACACCCAGTGCTTCCAATTCGTTTCTATCTGCATCGTCATCCTCTGGTAGTAAAGTGGCCACAATTCGGATCTCGTAAGCCGCCAATACTTGAATCGCAGCTTTACCGTGTGGTGTGGCGCCCCCGTGTACCAACACGACATCACTGTCATTCTCATCTTTCAGCCTCGCGCGTGTCACGAGCCCATAGTACGCTGCTACATGGAGCGATGGGATGAAACCCTCAGTAAACGGCGCAGCCAGCCATTGATCAACGCAGACAAAGTTGTTGACTGTGTCTGCGTGTGGTATAAACGCCGTTACCTGGTCTCCTACGTTGAACCTCGTCACACCATCCCCCACAGCGTGAATCTTGCCGTGGAAATCAGCTCCGATGGTGAAGTCATCCTTGCTGCCAAATGCGAATGTCTCTTCAAACAAAATCTGCACCTGGTTATCTGCTGGGTGACCCAGGTCGCGTGATAGGACCCTGTCTCCTGCGAGATATAGCTCCTCGCAATTGTGTGATTTGTCGAACGGGGCATAACTGTACGTGTAAGAATCGTTGGGCCTTTCAATAACCGCATTCAAGTCCCTAGAAAGCTCAAGTCGCGGGATCTGGATCTGTCCATCTCTCTCAGCGTACTCAAACTCCGTGGGAAGTGGACTTGTGGGATCTGTAAACTGATGCCACACACGCGTGACAATCTCGTTGGCATTTGGTGAGATACTCTCAGCAGAGAGATCCAGTGTGCCAATGAAGCAGCGCGGATTCTCAGACCTCAATGTCCTGGTGAGACCCAATAGGGCGGCGCTCTTGGGGTTCGTGCTGTCGTTGCGCTGGCTTTCGCGCGTGACGCAGAGGAGTCTTTTGCAGGTGGTGGCAATGCGCTGGAACGTCTGGAAAGAGTGCTCATCCCAGTGGAAGATGGTCTCATGGAGAGAAGCTTCATCTGCAAGCTCTAGAAGAGAAATGACGTCTTTGTCGCAGAGAGTGTCTTGTTGGAGATCAGACAGCGTGAGAGTTGTGACTTTTGCATTTGTCGTCGCGGTCAAAGATGCATTCAGACATTTAGCAAACATTCGAACTTTAACATCACAGGACGTTGGCATCAACACCACAATTGATTGTGATGATGACTTTGCCTCGCTCTTGGACTCGAAGAATGCGTTTGCAACGTCCGTTGCCAAAAGGTCCTCGCTGATGTCGGGGAGAATGTCTGCAATAATGTCCATGACTCCGTTGAGATACCAAGCGACACGCTGCTTTCGTCCCGGAGGGGTGAGGGTCCGTTGTACTATACTAACATGAGGCTGTCGTACCGGACCAACATCAGGCGGTAGTACCACACCAACAAAAGGCTTGTATAGATATTCGTACATCAGGAGATCCTCTTCTAGGGTTGGGGGCTTGTCGTCGTCGTCGTCGTCCGCTTGGCTGGTATCAGGGATCGGCTGCTGATAAAAGACACGGCCTTTGTTTTCAAGAGACACCTCTCCTGCTCCATCAAACACAAAGGTAACGTTATATCTCCCATTTGCCTCCTCCAGACTTCTCACATGCTCAAAACACCCTTCCAGAGTGGTCCCCTTTAATCCGTCTACCAGCTTGCTTCCAAGCGCATCGTCTGCATCTACAACAGTGTAGTGTATCAGATGTCCCTTTGTCGCCCGGTAATGCAGAGCTGATGTCATTAATGTCAGTGCAAACGCAGCGCTGCCACCGATCTGCAACACTGCAACCGCTGGTGTCTTGAAGCACTGGTAGATAATCATGTCTGTCGCTGTCATGCTCTCAAGAAACGCAATGTCTCGGCCCCATGATATCGTTGTGCACAAATTATGGCGATTCGATATAAATGTATCCGTATCCGCTTGAAAAGCGCTAAGTGTCAAGCCGGTAATGGCGATTTGGAAGCCGGATGAGTCGGAAGCGTGGATATCAGCACGCACATCCCTCTCACCAACCTTTTCCACAGATCCGTAGGCGTCTATTGGTAGGGATGGATTTGTGCCTTTGGCACTCACGACAATCTTTTCAAAGTACGTTGGGACCTTGGGCGTGGGTTGAATGGCAAGAAGTGTCTGGAAGAACGAATCGAGGGTCGCTGGGTGAATCAGGTGCGGATATTCGTAGTTGGCAGGCATTGTAGACTTTGTATCTGGGACAGTGATCGTTGCTACGCAGTTGTTGTTATCACCGGCCATGAGATCCTTCATGTTGCGGAACAATTGGCCGTAGCTGAGGCCCATTGCTGCGAGCTTGTCGTAGACCTGGCTTGTTTCAACAGCACGAGTGCATCTCGAAGCAGCATCTGCATGTTTTGACGCAAAGTCTGTATTGGACAGCGTAGAGTCGCCCTTCCGAATAGAAAGATTACCGGTAGCATGTCTGCTCCAGGCGATGTCGAATCCCTTGGAGTATATGCAAAACTCAAATGGGCCCTTTTCATTGACACCGCCACCAAGCTGCTTCATGTTGAAGGCGTATTCCAACCCGTGCTCCGTTTCGGGTATGATTAAAGCCTGCTCAATGTGCATGTCTGTAATTTCATAGCTCAGGACGTCGAAGTCGTGCGCACAGACTTGGCTGGCTGCCTCAAGGACCATCGCAATCATCCCTGCTGCAGGATAGATTGTCAAGTTTTGTACCTTGTGGTTGAGGATCCAAGGGTTCTCGTGTACTCGTAAGAATCCTCGCCAACGCGGCTCGAACGGGACAGAGTCTGCTGTCGGGGCACCAATAAGATCGTGCCGCCCGAATTCTCGGAACCGGTTGGCAAGGCTGAGATGCGATTCGTGCCAGTACGACTTGCTGTGGTTCCAGCGGTAGGATGGGAGATCTGTGAGGCATTGAGGTAGACTGTTGGGCGATGTAATGTGAGCGAGTGCTTTCATGTCGACTTTGACACCCGCAGCCCAGAGAAGACCTAGAGATTCAAGGAGGGATTCTTCGCACTCGCGCTTCCTTCTCATAGACGACACGTAGACGGGTTTCTTGTTCTCGTGGAAGCCGTCGAGAGTTGGGTTGCGCAGGACAGAAGAAGGACTCATCTCGATGAAGGCGTCGGGTCGCTCACCCTTTGGAAGACTGTCTGTAAAACTGATGGCGGCGGCATATTGAACGGGAGATACGAGATTCTCGACCCAATATTGTCCAGAAAGGTCGACCGAGGGAACATATGTGCCTTTCATAGACGAGATGAATTTGATGGGAGTGTCTGAAGGTGCAGGAAGATCTGCAAGCGATGACAGATAACCATCTGCAGCGGCCTTCATGTACGGCGAGTGATATGCTGCGTCTACAGCCAATATGCGGTTGAAAATCTGACGAGACTCTAGCAGCTCCGCAAAAGACTCAACATCACTCTTTACACCGGACACTGTGACGGAGTTGCGGCTGTTAATGCAAGCGGCGTGCACATTGATATCGGATTCTTCAATGAGGCTGTTGACCTCTTCAGCGCTCGCTGTCACTGCAACCATTGCACCTGGCTGCTGACTCTCATCAGTGAGCTTCTTCACATGAGCACCTCGTTGGTAGGCAATCCTCCAAGCACTCTCGCGGGAAATAGCTCCAGTTGCAAACGCAGCAGCAATCTCGCCAGACGAGTGTCCAATCACCACATCTGGGACAATACCCAGTGCTCTGTATAGCTCTACAAGAGCAACCTGCACGGCTGTGGTAGCTGGCTGGGAGATGTGAGGTGCCGAAAGGGAAGACTCGGCCTCATCTTTAAGTAGCTCCTCGACGAGATCAAACGGAGCAGCAAGCACCGCTTTAAAGTAGAGACCGGCACTGATAATGCAGTCCCAGAACGGTGCGTACTGTTTGAGAGTGGTGCCCATGCCAGCCCACTGTGCGCCTTGGCCACAAAACGTAAAGCAGATACAGGGCGCTGTGGAAAATGGTACCGACTTTGCAGTATCGGGGTTGTAACTGACAAGCGTTTTGTGCAGATCTACTGTCGAAGACGCAACGGTAAAGGCTCGCCAGTCAAGGTTACTGCGGCGGCAGGTCAGTGTGTAGGAGAGATCGTCCAGGTAATTGGCCGAGGTACTGTTTCTCGATATGTGATCAGCCTGAGCGGCCATCGTCTCAAGAAGCCCATTCTTATGATTTGATGAGAAGAAGAAGAGTCGGTTGGGCGGTGTTTCCACTTCGACAGGCTCGACAGCGGCAACGACGGGTTCTTCGGGAGAGGTTTCTTGAGCAACAGGCATAGAAGCCTCTTCCACTGTCTCAATAGTAGCAGAAATTGCAACCTGTGGTTCCCCTAGGTCAATCAATGGAGTATCCGCTTGAACTTCTCCGCTATCATTCCAGGTGACATTAATCAGATCTTCCTCAATCTCAGGTACAGCTTCCACGACGGCCGTGTCTTCAAGCGCGAGTTGATCTGTGGTCTGTGCCTGTTCTTCAATCTTGATGGGAGGTTTCGGGCTTTCATCCATAATGACCTACGGAATTAGCCTCTAATTGATAGTAATCAGCTGCTGTATCACTTACATGGGCATTCGTTCCTCCAAAGCCAAAGCAGTTGACACTGATGCGCTTCAAGCCAGGAACCGGCCATGGCGTCACTTCCCGCGGAACCTTGACCTTCCATTCTTCAAAGTCAATTTCGGGATTTCCATTTTCAAAGTTTGTCTGTGGCGGAATCTGGCCCTTCTCCAGCATCAAAACTGCCTTGATGAGGCCGGCGACGCCAGCAGCACCTTCAAGATGCCCAATGTTGGGTTTCACCGAACCGACATAGATGGGATTATCCCTTGATCGGACAGACGCAATTGTCTCGGAAACGGCTTTGAGTTCGCGCCAGTCGCCAGCTTGTGTCCCTGTACCGTGGCATTCCACATAGCCTGTTTGGTTGAAGTCGAGATTGGCCGAGGCATACACAGAGCGAATGTTGGCAACCTGGGCTTCTTTGCTTGGTAATGTGATGCCTAAAATAGTTAGTGTGCGAAAACTGTACGTGGGTTCAAGACGTACCTGTTGTTTTGCCATCCTGGTTCACACTCGTCGCCCGAATGACGGAGCGGATCGGGTCGTTGTCGCGCAGGGCGTCTTCCAGACGCTTCATGACAACTACTCCAATACCTTCGCCGCGGCCGTATCCGTTTGCACGCGCGTCAAAAGTAAAGCACTTGCCGTTGGGACTGAGAAAGTTGAGCGCCGTCATGGGCATGATACTGTTGGGGGTGAGGATGAGGCCGGCGCCAGCCGCAATTGCCTACACTGTTAGCATAGAACAATACAAGTAATACCAATTGCTGATAGGGCTTATATCGAACCCATTATAAAATAGAAAGGTTCGAGGATGTGGACTAGGAAGGGGGCATCAAGAAGACCACTCACCACTTTGGATTCTCCATTGCGCAGACTCTGAGCGGCTAGATGTACCGATACAAGGCTACCACTACATCCCGTATCGACCGTCATGCTCGGTCCGTGCATATTGAAAGAATATGAAATGCGATTCGACATAATGGCAATGCCGTTGCCTGTGGCGGCATACTGCGGCTGCCAGTCTGGGTCCCGAAGGCAAATCTGCTCATAATCTGTTTCTCTGAGTTGGCATTTTTACATACAAGCTACTTCATAACATCTTACCTTTTACAAAGGAACCTACGTAAACAGCAGTATCGCTGCCGTCGAGGTCTTCTTTTCGGAGTCCCGCTGCGATTCGTTAGCCTGCATATGCGCCGTGTAAGTCAGCCACCACATACCGCTCTCGAGCGCCTCATAGCTGACTTCCAAAAGTATCCGCTGCTGGGGATCGATGGCTTTGGCGTCGTCGGCGGGGACGGAGAAAAACTGCCAGGATTATTAATAACTCCGCTGTGCAATCTATGCCATGCACGTATGGACTTACTGGTGCGTCAAACAGGGACACGTCGTCCTTGAGGAAATGCGCGCCACGAAACGAAATCTGCTCTCGATATTAGCCAAGACAATAAAGAGACTCAACAATATTTGCTTACTGATCCTTGTCTGTTTCCAGACGGGTGAAAGTAGCCGTCAATGTTGAGCCGGTCTTTGGGAAACTCGGACCACTGCGATTCTCCCCCGACCATCACCTCCCAGAGGCCCTCTGGTGTGTTGGCTTTGCCTGGGAACCGAAGTCCCAGGCCAATAACAGCAATGTCGTCCATATAGTCGTCAGTAGAGAATATTTTATGTTGTTGTAAGTAGTGCAAAGCTTTCTAGTGTCGTCTTGTATGTGCGTAGTGTCGTGTATATACAAGGTGTAAGTCAACAACAAGAAGCTGGCCAAAGTGTAGCAACTTGAGGAAAAACACCGAGAGCTCTTCAACGGACATACCAAGAGCTATACAGAAAAGAAGACGGGCAGACGGCACTTATCACAGGCGGCCGAACAGCAACTTGTCGCCGAAGACCGTGCCATGTCATGCTGCCGCGTGCATCCACGCCAGCTCCTACTAATACAAAATACATGGGAAAAGATCGATATCGCTGCCACCAGCCCATCGTTCAACAGAATAGCGCCGTAGCCCAAAACGAACGCCTCCATTAGCTAGCTAGCTCCCTCTCTTTCTTGCCCCCATCGGGTCGGGCTGCTGCTGCTGCACAATATGCGCCGCCGTTCCAAAAGCAGGCTGCGCTCCGCTGCGCAGCATGAATAGTGCGGAATCCCCTTGCCGCCACGCCGCAGCGAATAGAAATGGAAGACTTTTACCAACGCGAACAAAAAGGCAACATGTAACCCTTTCGAGCGCAATCAGCGAGCACAGCTGCTACTCAACCAGCAGCGAGTAAAAATAGCTCCAGGGCATATCAGGCTCCCGCTAGGCTTCAGCTGAGCATAGGGCCTGCAGCACGCAGGGCCATTCGTCGCCGGCCACGTAGGAGGCCGCACTCCTGCGCCAGAGGGTTTTGAGGCAACGCCGATATGCCCGCGCGTTGCCAGTGCATTCGGATCTAGCGGTGCATGACAGCGCGCAGTCTTAGCGACGACACTAACGTGTAACCGTGCAGCCGACATCCAGACCAAACCTCGGCGCACAAGAAGTTCTCGCGTTGCGTTGTACAATGGGCGCTCGGTGGCGCAAACTGCCCTCTCGAATGAATGGATCTTGTCTTAGAGAAGACAAAATAGCGTGTTACAATAGCAGCAACAAGATTATGCCGCTCTGTGGTCGTACAGAATGTCTTGGTCGTTCCGTGCTTGCAGAGGCGGCCCAAATACGAAGATCCCGCGTTGGTTTTTGGTGAGACAGGTTACAGACAAGAGAAGAGAAAAGATGTAGCCGAAAGTCAGCGGAGTTTATCCTACAAGGGGGCCGGGAAAAGCAGCAAGTTCCTGCAGCCATGGCAGAAGCAGCATGCTTCCGCGAGTAAGTTGAGGCGAATCAATGCATGGCGTGTTTGTCGGTAGTCGTGCATATGCCGTTTAAAGTGAGGTGCATCTAAAGTAGAACGGGCCGCACAGGCAGGTCTGCAGCGACAGCGCCCCGAAAGAGGCAATGGCGCGTGCATATATTGGCAGCGAGCGAGCGCCACTGGAGATGCCGTCGGCACCCGTGTTTGGGCAGACGGGAAGGAAAGCCCTGTTCGGTGAATGATGCCCAATAGATGCTCTCTGTGCGAAGTATCACAGAAGGGAATGTTGTCCGAGGGGGCAAAAGGAGACGGGCCGAGACGAAAGAAAAGGGGGCGAGATGACAATCATTTCGTCCTGCTCAATAAAGTAAATAGCGGGATGCGCTTGTTGGATTATATTTGTCAATGAGAGTGAATGTCGATTGCAACCATCATGAACGCCAAGCGCCACGCACTCGACAAGCCCACGCAAGCCATCCTCGTGGCCTGGTAAGTTGGATATGCACGCTGCACACCAAGAACAGAATAGCCTGTAGTAACAATGTAGCCTTCTCACTGGATTGCTGCTGTCTAGTTTGGACACGTCTATTGTTTCGACGTCGCTGATTACGATATCCCACGACCTGAGCGACTTTGTGAATGCGCCATGGATCATTCTGGCGTACCTCCTTACCTACATGGGTATGCAGTCGAAATGTTTCCAGAGGGGGTCTTTGTAAGCTAACAGAATAGGTTTTGCCGTGTTTGTGTCTAGGCTGAGTGATGTCTATGGGCGCAAGACAATTGTCATGTTCTCGTGGACCCTGTTTGTAGCCTTTTCGCTAGGCTGCGCTTCTGCACAGTCCATGATGAGTCTGTAAGTCCAGCATGCGCCGATTGGCTAAGCTACGAGCTGTTATCTGTTCTGACGAGTCAGAATTATTTGTCGTGCTTTCCAAGGGATTGGCGCATCCGGTCTCTACAGCCTTACCCAAATCAGCATTCTCGAAGTTGGCCCGGCGCACCGTCCCAGCTTAATAGGTGCTATGATCGGCGCCACGCTTGCTGTAGCGTTTGTGCTGGGCCCGATTGTCGGCGGGACAGTATCGCAGCTATCAAGTTGGCGATGGCTCTTTAACATGAAGTGAGTATACACAAATATGTTCAACGGTCAAACACGCTAACACGGACCAGCATCCCCGTTGGACTAGTCGTCATGCTGATCCTCGCCAATTTTTGGCCGCACGATGACGCACCCCATATACTCTCTTTGTCGGCACTTAGAAGCATAGATTTCCTTGGAAGTATCGCGCTGCTTCTGGGCTCTGGTCTTCTTGTGTTTGCCATGCAGCAGGCGGGATCGTGGACAATGTCGTGGGCAGACCCAGTGATTATATCCAGCCTAGTCTTGTCCTGTGTAAGCTGGGCCGCCTTTGTATATCGCCAGATGAGGTTGGGTTCAAATCGCAAATCGACGATTGAGCCAATATTTCCGGTCCGGCTCATGTCCTGCCGAGTATACCTGTCTGGTTTGCTGTAAGTTATCTTGTGTCTCAAAATCTCCATAACTCTAACAGATACAAGTGTCACTTTTCTTACCGGCTTTTCTTACATTGCTCTCTGTGTCGAGCTCCCAGAGCGTTTCCAAATCATTTACTCTCAGAATTCACTGATTGCTGGCGTACATGTTCTTCCGCTGCTCGCCGCATGCGCATTTGGGTCTTTTCTTGGCGGTGCTATATCCAGCAAGTCCAACAAGACCTCTTATACCCTCATTGCGGCGTCCCTGCTGCAGCTCCTCGGGGTTAGCCTACTCTCACTCTCGTCCTCTGAGATCCTCCCTTCACAGTCACAGTACGTATTTCAGGCCATATTTGGTCTAGGCGTTGGTCTTAGCCTTTCAGCATCCACCATCATCACAAGCCTGGTCGCGACAGGGGACCATGAGCGTGCCGCCGCCCAGGGAGCCGTTGCTCAAGCACGCGTTCTAGGCGGATGTCTCGGACTATCCACCTGCACAATTATCTACAACAGCAGACTCGGGAGCTTCCTCAGTGACACTCTTACCTCTGAGCAACTTTCTGAGCTGCGGCGGTTCCCGGTCTCCGAGACGAGACTGCCGACTTCCATACTGGAACTTGTGCAGACTATCCATGCCGTTGCATACACGGAAGAATTCAAGGTCATGGCAATGGTCTGTATACCAATGGTAGCAATCTCATTATTCACGTTGGAATCGTCGCCCGCCTCACTGGCTCTGTTGGGCGGACCAAAGCGAGCAGAGCTGCCGTTGTCGGGTAGATAAAACGAGCGAACTTCTTCGAAAAATGACGGTAGACTTGACGTAGTAGTATTATTTAACGATGCTCTGCATGCTATGAACTGGCGTAAATACTCTCTTGTGTCGTTTTACTCCTTGCTCTCGACAATTTGGGGCTTGAAGAAGACAGTCATAACGCCCTCCATGCCGAGGGTCTTTGCAGTAGCCTTGAGGGCCTGGTGAGCCTTGCATTCGTTGTCATAGTACTTGAGATCGTCCATGCTGGCGAATTCGCTCTTGGCCACGACGGTGTAGCCCTGGGATCTGGCGTCTTCTTCCGCAACACCCGCAACGAGGGAGAGGATATACGGCTTGCCGTCCTGTACAGATCTTGTTAGTTCCACTTCCAATTGAGGCAAGTTTGGTAACCCGGAACAATTTCTAGGTATGGATTTCAATCAAGATAGAAAAGAAATACTGACCTTCTCGTTGTTCTTGCTGAGAATCTTGTACTGCTCAAGCAGCGCCACCTGGTCAGCAGGCTTGGGCAGCTTGAACATGGTTACGCGGTGGATGCGGCTGGCCATCTTGACAATCACGATTGGGATGATACTAAGTAGATGAAGATGGAAGAATGCAAGTGTTCTTTTTGGAAGCGGAAATGTTTAACAACCGGCAGGACATGGCGGGCAGCTGTCGGAACGTTCCGTGCCCCTCGGAGCTACCCCACACGTGACGCCTACGCCGATGCAAGCCTTGGATGCGGGGGACGACGATTGACGTATAAGCCGACAAGAAATACTTGAAGTAATTAAGTTTGATTAGCTGTCATCAAAATGCTAGATACAATAAGATCGATCCTTCCTTGACTCCAGATGAATATTCGTCAACCGTCCAGCCGTGCTCTATGAGAAGCGGCTGCTCAACGTACGAGTGGTTTTATACTCTTCGCCGTTGATATAAAAGTATTACAGATTTTTTGTATTTTGAACCCCTCTATACCCAGTGTTGCTTGGCCATGGTCTTTTGATGTTTCTTGACTCTTCCCATGAACTTTCATGCAAAGTGTTTCCTCTTGCGCGTGGTGCAGGAACGCACCTCTCAAGGTCGGGTCAGAATCCACATGAAGAAGAACTGGACAATGTAGGAGTAGAAGAAGAGGAACTGTGTGCGCTGGCTCTTCTTTGCTCTCGAGTCGGTCTGCATGCCGGGCTGGCCGGTAGCCTCGGGTAGGAGCACGTATTTGAGTGATCGCATCTAAGAAGCCGTTTGTTAGTGATGTTAAGTGAACGGGGCCCAGTCCACATACCAGGAACAGCGAGTTGGCCAAAAATGTATAGAGAAAGACAATCCAGCCGACGTAACCGCCGGTGCCAGCGCCGCCGTTGAAGATTTCGGCAATGGTAATAGTGGTGATGATGCCAACAAACTTGTAGCCCGAGTAGGCAATCAGATCGAAGAGCTGAGACTGGCTGGAGATGCTGAGAAGGTAACATCCAAGCTTGAGGGCAAAGATCTCCACAATAACTACCAGCAGACCCTTTGTCGTGTTATATCCAAGCAACTCGGGCTTGAAGTCGCCGCGGAGACCAGCTATCAGTGTCGAGAGCAAGATGAATGTGACGAGGGCCATGACTACCATCGCATTAGCTATCGTCCGAATCTTTCATTCCATCGCTGGAAACCTACCAGGAATGTACATGTCGGGGCTGTTAATGTCGTCTCGAGGGGGCATATACCATCCCTCCTGGCCGTTATTCGATGTCTGCTTGCGAGACCACGGCTTGTGGCGCCAGGGGAAGAGAACCAAGAAGAGCTTGTTGACGACGTACGAGTTCGAGACGTTAAAGTAGTGCTTGAGGGCGGACACGTTGACGTAGCGGCCAATCTGCAGCTGTGAGTTAGTCTAGCTTTTGCGGATGGGATACTTTGCGAGCGTACGTTTTGTTCCATGTATTCCTGACCCTGCTTGAACGCAGTCTGGCCAAACTGCGCAGCCACCTGAGCCGCAGGATCATTCATAAACTGTCCGTACATGCCGAACACATTGCCCGACGTACCGCCCTGCTGCTGCTGTTGCTGCTGGTACGGGTTGCTCCCATAGCCATGGGATTGCGCAGAGCCAGGAGGCGGCGGCGGGGATCGCAGCTGCGGCACGGTCGAGACATGCTGGGGCACAGGGTGGTGCAAGGGCGGCGACTGGCCGTAGGAGCCTCTCTGCATTGTGACGGGATCGATGGTGATGGCGATGATGTTGATGACGAGGGCAACTTTTTTGTTAGTGGAGGGGCGCGATGTTGCCACATTGGTAGCTTTCCCCTGTTGCCAAGTTAGGCTGCCCCCTGGACCGTGGGTGGGCCACGCACCACCACCGCCAGCTGCGCCAGCTGCCAGCACTTCTTTTTTCTGCCAGCTGCGCCAGCCAACGCAAGCGTTTACCACGTGATGGCGGAATGCAAATTCCCGTACAACCTTATCAACGCAAGCTTTCTTCAATAGACGCCCAAATATTTATTTTACAGTTTGCCGCATACCCGGGAAGATTTTGCATTCTGATTTTGCAATAGATATATTATCTTCTGTGGGATAATTGCGCCCCTTTTCTTATCGGCCCTCTGCTACCATTGCTACTGTTGGATTTACCCCTCGGTCACTGCGCAAAAGATGCTCGACACCTTTGAGATTGTCACGACTTCGGGCGTGGTGCTGTGGTCTCGCACTTATGCTCCCGTCAATCCCTCTGTCATCAATGACTTTATTTCGGATACATTTATCGAAGAGAAAGATGGTAGCGCTGCCATCCGCGACTCCCAGTCTGCTTCGGCGAACCCGATCTACAAGACCGATACACACACACTGCGATGGACACTAAACAAAGAGTTGGGCGTCATCTTTGTTGTAAGTGTTTTTGTTCTGTCTTGGTTTCTTTTGGGTACTAACATTTGCAGGTCGTCTACCGCTCGCTGCTTCACCTCTCGTGGGTTGACAAGCTCGTCGACAACATCCGCACCATCTTTGTCCAACTCTACGGCGAACAATTAAAGAAACCCCATACCACGCTTGTCGAATCGGCCGGCTTTGACGACTACTTTGACCAACAGCTGCGCGAACTCGATACGACATCAGGACAATCGGCCGGAAACGCCGCAAGGAAACCCGACGATACACCAGCAGAGCCAAAAGCCGACCCCTTTGACTATGACTCGCCGGATGTCGACTCGGGAACAAACTCGCCCGTTCCTGGGCTCAAGGGATCGCGGCCAACAACCCCTGCTGGCAAAGTCTCCAGACGAGCCCGCAAGGCAATGAACAATAGCAGACCGGGCTCGCCGGCCGAGGACCCCAAGAAGAAGAATGCCAAGCCAACCAAGAAGAACCGTAAATGGGACGCGGACGGTATGGCGGACGAGGAGGATGATGTGCAGCTCGACTACTCGATGCAGGCTGATGGCGAGGAGGCGCCCCGAAGCGGTGCAGTAGAAGAGGTGGATGCTTCCACTTGGGGAACGTCCTCCAAAGGCAAATTTGTCCTGCGCGATCTGGGCGACGAGGTCCACGATATTCTGGCATCCGCATCCGCTGATAAGGCCAACGCTCGCAGCGCGCCCAAGTCTGGCTTCCTCGGCTCAGGTGTCAACGCCATCAGTGGCATTTTCCGCAACGTGGTTGGTGGCAAGACACTGAGCAAGGCAGACCTCGACAAGGCGATGAAGGAGATGGAAGAGCATCTGCTGCGCAAAAATGTCGCCCGCGAGGCCGCCGTCCGTCTATGCGAGGGTGTATCAAAGGAGCTCGTCGGCACCAAGACGGGCAACTTTGAAGGCATCAACGCCAAGATCCAGTCTGCCATGGAAGCCTCTTTGACCAAGATGCTTACACCGACATCTTCGCTCGACCTTCTTCGCGAGATTGACGCCATCACCTCTCCTCCCGTCACCTCGATGCGCCAGCGCCGCCCATACGTCATGTCCATTGTGGGCGTTAACGGTGTTGGCAAGTCGACCAACCTGTCCAAGATTTGCTTCTTCCTTCTCCAGAACAAATACAAGGTTCTCATTGCCGCCGGTGACACGTTCCGTTCCGGTGCAGTCGAGCAGCTTGCCGTCCACGTCCGCAACCTGAAGGAGCTGACAGAGCGAGAGGGCGGCCAAGTCGATCTGTACCAGAAGGGCTACGGCAAGGACGCTGCGACGGTGGCCAAAGATGCTGTCGCGCATGCCGCGCAGTCAGGTTATGACGTTGTTCTTATTGATACTGCTGGCCGCCGCCACAACGACCAGCGCCTCATGTCGTCGCTGGAGAAGTTTGCTAAGTTTGCGCAGCCCGACAAGATCATCATGGTTGGCGAGGCGCTTGTTGGCACCGACTCGGTGGCCCAGGCGCGCAACTTTAACGATGCCTTTGGTTCGGGTCGCACGCTGGATGGCTTCCTCATCTCCAAGTGCGATACTGTCGGCGACATGGTTGGCACGCTGGTCAGTCTGGTGCATGCGACGAATGTGCCCGTGCTGTTTGTCGGTGTTGGACAGCATTATTCGGATCTGCGCAACTTTTCTGTCAAGTGGGCAGTGGAGAAGCTGCTGGCCGGCAATTAACAGGAGAAGAGTTTAGTATAGATATAATAATAACAATCATGATTCCAATGGACGTCTCGTCACAACCTGTAGCATGATTACCACCAATATCCCACATGCAACGGCCGGGTGCATACTGGAATAAATTATTACGATTTTATCACAAAGATTTAGCCGAGCAAATTAATTGTCTTGTGAATTGACAACCGTGAATCGTAGGATGATGCCAAGGTGGGTTACCCATATATTGTTGCCTGTTAATTTTACCAGCCTCACTCACGACCTCCTCCCCAGCTGAGGCCAGTATCTTCCCACACTGCCACCTTCATCATCCTCTTGAAACATCTCATACGACGAATGAGTTTGACTTTATGGCTTTTACACCTTGCAAATATTTGACCGCACCAACCCTTCCATCTGGCTACAACACTTTGCCGTGGCAGCGATGGCTACCCTAAACCATCTCCGGATCATCAACGCCGTGAACGACACCGCCAAAGATGATGCCTTCAGCAGATTCCCCGAGCTCCCTTTAGAGATACGACTCATGATATGGAAATTACTTGTCAATCATCATCGCCTCATTGACTTGACGGTCGGATGTAGCCTAGATAACCACGCCGCCAACCACGTCTACGCTGGCCCTGGTACCCCCCAAGGACCGACAGCAGCGACGCCTTACTTTATTGATATACAAGGCTGGCCGATAAACAATCCCATCCTTTACGCCAATAGAGAATCTCGCACGCTTGCACTAGACTTTTATCGAGTCCAACTACCATTCTATCCAAAACTAGCCAAGGAGGACTCCCCGGACATCCAGGCGAAGCGAGTCTTTTACTTCAGTCCAGAGCACGATATCCTGCACATCAGCACCTATGGCGATAGTCACAGCGCCTTATTCTTTTCATTCCTTAACGAAGTGCAGCAGCACGATCCCAAACGCCTTGGTCTTCTTAACTGGGCGGCAGACGAGTGCTTTGTACGTGGGTTTTGCCATGAGAGGGACTTGCTCGGCACGAGTGTTAAAGATGCATTCATTGGCCATTTATCACGCATACGTGAAGTATTCCTCATGATAAACTGCAAGCGCTCGCTTGACAGCGACCTCATGGCCATGCTTGAGAGGAGAGACGAGTTTGCCGTCGAGCTCAACTGCTCCATGCCTATCCGCCCCAGCGTGACTTATTTTCAAGAGAGTAAGCCGGACTCACGGGCGATTGGGCCAGATCTACAGAGGCTCATACTGAACCGGAATACGCCGCTGGAATTGTTCAGGTACTGGGCTTGGTTGCAGCAGCAGATTCCGTGTGCAGGCAGAGTGCGGTTGTTACTGGCGCGGGATGCTGACCCAAACGGTGCGCCCGTCGACGATGCGCGCTCAGCACAAGAGCTTGTAACAAACGAGTATAGAAAGTGGAGGCAACTTGAATTCACCGGCCGTACCTATATTGCGCGGCGCAAGGGGGGGCCTCCGCCGTTGGAGAGACCTGAGGTTCCGCAAGATGCGGTGCGCCCAGCCATTGGCTTCTGGTTGTTTCCTGTGGAGGCGCTGCGGAATATGCTAGGTAGACTGGAACGTTATAGAATATATGATGCATCAGAGTACCACCCAGAGCTGGTCTTGGCAGAGTTGGAGGGCTGCCGTCGCAGATGAAGACAAAACGGGAGCTAACATATTTTGTCATAGCGAATTGAAGGTTATACAAGTTGTGATTGATTTATTTCTAGTAGAGAGAGTAACATGATTGGTATCTATATATATTTAAAGCGAAAAAAGCCCGGCGCTAACCACCAAACAGAGTGTCGTCAGGCCGAATAAAGACGGGCTGTGCTTTCCGCCGCGCTAGCTCTAGGCATAGTCCCCGCGCGCCCACGATTGCTCCTGCTCCTGCATTCTGTATGATGCAAGAACTAAAATTCGCTTGGTGGGCGTCTTCCTTCGGCTTATCTTTTAACAATGCCGCAGGCACCTCGCACCATTGGTAGCAGGTTGGAGAGCCGACGGCGCGGACTGGGTTGGGCGCACAGCAAGCCGTTACGGCATTGGTGTAGTTGTTGCCCGCTGCAACATAGTAGGTCACTCCCGCTGGAATTTCGAGCAGGGTTCTGTTCGAAGGGATCAAGTTGGCAGTGCAGTTTGAGCTTGCCATTTTGTTTTGACTTTGACAGTGGGCGTTTGTGATAGAAGAGTGAGTCAATAGTAGAAGCAGAGTTACCAATTGGATTTGATTGACGCGGGGGCTCAGGCGTCTAATGTATAGAGATGGCTCCAGCCTCATCTGAACGTGCGGTGGTGGGAAAAAAGTACATTAACGCTAGTTTAGGATCCGAGCGACTGAAACCTAGTCAAGAGTAATGTCTTTGTATAGTCAGGCGCTCAACATAACAATTGGACTGTATATATTGCTATTAAAGTTATTGCTAAATATAACTTTATAGGTTTAAAGCGAAACAAAAACTGCGCGGAAGAATAAGCAAAGAGTGACCAGGTGAAAGACAGACGGGCTGCGCTTGTCGGCGCTAGAAGCGACACCTGCGCCAAAGATGTCCACCCCTCGTGACTTATTTCCTGCTAAACAGACATCAAGCAGATACTAGGTCTGCTCGTGTGAAGATTTGCCTTTGGCGGCATTGGCAGGCAGCTCGCACCATTGGTAGCATGGAGAAGTATGCTGATGCACTGGATTCGATCCGCAGCAGCCTGCCATGGCGGCGCTCACGTTTTTTCCTGCGGCAGCAAAGTAGTTTGTGCCGGCTGGAATTTCCAGATGGTCTAGAAGAAATGAATCCGTGCAATTTGAAATCGCCATGTTGATGGTGGATGGAGATGTTTGTGGTAATCTCGTAGAGGCAACCAACCAAGCTAGACTTGATTGACGCGGGGATTGAGCATCTAATGTAAAGATGGTGTATTTTGCTACAGCCTTGTCTAAGTGGATGACACTGGGATTGACTCGTCGGGCGTACATTTGGTTGTGCAAAACATATGCCAAGCTTGCTACTTTAGGGTTCGAGCGACTATAACCAGGTCGGGGCAGCACGCCCGCCTTTGCATTAGTTTTTTTATGGTCGGGCGGTTGACATGATGAATAGGGGTATATGTTGCCTCTATCAAATGATATAGATATATTTAAAGCGAAATAAGCGCCGCGCTGACAACCAAGCAAAGCGTAGCTAGGTGAAATACTGACGGGCTGCGCTTTTCTGCACTAGAAAGCTTCGCGCCATATATTCCGCCTGTGTGATTTCGGAACAGACAGCTACCAAGTGTAACCTGTAGGTCTTTTTCGGTAGGTTTATTTTGTAAGAGTCTTGCAGGTATTTCACACCACTGGTAGCAGTTTGGATAAGCCTCCCGGTGGACGATGTTGGGCTGGCAGCAGTCCGTCATGGCGGCGCTGATATTTTGTCCCGCAGCCACAAAGTAGTTTGTATGTGCTGGGATTTGGAGGTTGTTTGAGTCTGGCAGCTCTGCCGCGCCGGTACAGTTTAAACTAGCCATTGCCGAGAGAGTAATCGTGCGTGGTTATAGCGATGTGGTGAAGATTGAGTATGTGCAATGGATTCCGGGAATGGGTGGCTGGATGTTGGTTGATACGGGGACTAAGTATCATATATATATAGATTATGTATTCAGCTAGCTACAGTCTCATCCGGATTTTAGCTTGGACATGACTTCATGAACACACGTGAGGCGGTGGAAAATGAACGCCAAGCCAGTTTAGGATCTCGCCCGACCAACACGCAGCCTGGCGCCACGCCTTTACAATATAGTCGGGCGTCTTGGCTAGCGCCACAAACTAGAGCCGGTGACATCAGGTACTGGCTTTATTCGTCCAAAGAGCCCCCAGGCCGGGACTTGGCGTACTATAGCTACATTTCCGTTCATTAATACTAAGCCCCAGGCACTATGCGTGCTAGGATTTAAGAAAACCATTGGCTGTTCTGTATTAATGGACAATTAGGCCAGCACGAAGAGGCTTGGTGGCGTTGGTGTGCTAATCGGTGGAGATGTTGCTAACTTCAGATACCTCTCTTTTCGAGTTATTTGTTAGGGTTTCCGAACTACACCAATGAGCTTCCATTGCCGAGGACTAGTTGGAAATGTGAAAACATCATTCTCGGTAATCATGGTCAGCCGCCCCCAATACCCAATCCACCATCCGGCCCATCCAAGGTCTCAGATGCTAGTATACCGTGTATCACCGATGCAATCCAGGTTCAATGTTGCAATTTAGCACCCACCTTTCCACCATAGCGTCGCACCCAACGTCAGCGCTTACGGACCTCGGTCTTAGTGCGTTGCGGCTGAGGTTCAGCTCGTCCCGGAGATCATTGCTCGATCTATCGTGAGATCCATTTCTTGGCTTATAAAAATTGGCCACTGTCCGCAATGAGGTATATTCCAGAGTTTTCTAGTCGTTAACTCTCTTAAAAACCATCTTACTATTGTTACAAAATGCACTTCAACCCTCTTGTTCTCCTCCTGGCCACCTTTGTGGTGGCTCTCGACCCCAAATGCGCACCGGGAGGCAACTTTGACCTTTCCAAATGGAAGCTCCAAGAACCTGTTGGCGACGATGGCAAGCCCAACGAAGTCTCTGGATCAGACCTCAAGGGCTGCCAGGGCTTCCAGGACAAGTGGTTCTACACGGACAAGACGGACGGCGCTCTCGTCATGAAAGTCCCCAAGCGATCAGACTGCGTCACTACACCGAACAGCAAGCACTGCCGCAGTGAGCTTCGTGAAGCGGATCCTGACAGCTGGGACCCCAAGAAGAGCACCAACCGTCTGTTTGGCGATGTCCAGGTGATCAAGAGCGGCGGCGACATTGTCGTGGGCCAGATCCATATGCCATCCGAGGTCTCCAAAAAGCCTGTTGCCCTCTTGTACGTCGGCAAGGATGGAAAACTGACTCTGGGTGTTGGAAAGTGCCGCACTTGCACTTCTACACGCTCTGACGTCGGCAAGCTCAAGAGCCCCCGTGACAGATTCACGTACGAGATTCGCTATGAGAAGGGCAAGCTCTCTGTGAGCATCAATGGCGGCAGCTTCAAGGAGTTTGACACCTATGACTTGGATTCCCCCAAGAGCTACTTCAAAGCTGGCAACTACAACCAAGCCGAGGATGCGAGTGAGGTTCACTTTTACCAAATCAAGATTACTCACTAAGTCTTGTCATTGGGCTAAAACTTGAAGACGGAAAAGAGTGGACTAGTTTGTTTCGTTGAGATAAATTGTGTATTTCGTCATTAATTAAAAGTATATAATTACAATTAGAAATTATTGCATAATTACATTTAAAGAACAAAAGCAGCAATAGCGGCAACGGCGGCAAAGGCACTACCAACACCAGTCTGCAGCGAACCAGCAGCACTGCTGGGAACAGTCGTGGGAGACGAGCTAGGCATTGTCTGTCCGTTAGTAGACTGAGCCATGGACATGGACATGGCCTTGGAGCTGCTCATACCACCAGCAGCCGAGGACATGGGCTGGCTCATAGCGGCAGTGCTGGACATCATGGCCTGCGAGGACATCATCATGGACGACATCATGGAGCCGCCGCCGACAGGAGAGTTGGCATCGGCAAAGACACCGCCAGTTGGGCCACCGCTGGGGGCGCTGCCGCCGTTGGCATTACCAGCAGCAGCAGCGTAATCGGTAACGTCCTTGTCGCTCTTGGGGTTGACGACGGCAACCATGCCTTGGCTGCAGTGATCGCTGACGCCGCAGTAGACGAACATTTCGTCGGTGTTTTGGACGGTGACACGGAAAACCTGGGACTAGACAGTCAAATACCAATTAGTGTCCTGTTCATGACTGGGAATCAACGAACCGAGGAAAAGACTTGCGTTCATGCCGCCAGAGGACTTGACAACACCAGAGTAGAAGCCGCCTGCGATAGGCTGGCACGCTTTGGAGCCATCGCCCTGAACAACGCTGTGGGAGTTGGGGTAGAAGTGAAACTCGAGAGTATCGCCCTTGTCGGCCTTGATGTTGTTGGGGGAGAATGTCAATCCGCTCTGGGCGACATTGACGGTGACGACCTTGCCGAGAGCGCCAGTGGCGAGGGCAGCAACGACGGTGGAAGTAGTGAAATGCATTGTATTCTAGTTTTGGAAGCGTAGCTTTTTGATGTAGAGCGAATGTCTGAATGTGTTTTTTTGGTTTGCCAATTTGGATTATACGGAAAGAAAAAGCGAGACGAAGGAAAATGGACTACAGCTCTCATATAAGCTACAGACGGCTAAGCTGTGCCGCCCGCTCCCAGCTACACCATAGCGTCTCTACAGTTCCGTATCCTAGGAACCGAATAGAGCGTTCGAGGCGCGGATGGTGGCCCAGCCGACCAAAGCGCTGGGTTTCTGGCAGATCGGTCCTGGGCGCCCGAAGGCAGGGGCAACATGTATTTGCATTGTATCTCTGGGCGCTGGTTGGCTAGGCCGTGGACATGGCAAGCACCAGAACGTATCTAAGACAGGCTCTGATGAGAACTAGTCTAGACGGGACGAGGGCATCCGGCTGGCAAACGGGCGGATTGGCCAATGAGGTACGGGTAATTACAGCTTAGCCTCCCGCCTTGCAGGCTGGTCTGGTGACGGGTCGTCGGGGATCCGAGACGCTAGCGGGCATGTTGTGGCTTGGGGCCGATGCTGTGGGGGAATGCTACGCGGGGGAGAAAGACGCGTGAGACATGCGGGTCGTGACCAATAACCTTAACGGAATTCCAAAGCATCGTCAAAAGTATATGCCAGGGGCAAGTAAGATCAGTTGTTGTTGTTGTTGTTGTGTTGTTGTTGTTGACGGTGATGAGTATGCATGTATTTCATGAGAACGGCTGTTGTCTGCTAGTTGAGGTAGTATAAGTGCCGGTTGAAGGGAGAGCTGTGGACGGCAGATACACAAGAGTTTGAAAACAGACTATACCAATTGTAAAGAGGTTTTTACTTCCCTAGCCTTTTGCTGATGGAACTCATGCTGCGCTGTTGGGGGCGAAAATTTCATCCTTTCCATAGAAACATGAATTCAACTCTACATGTAGGCTGTTAGCGGTCATGAAGTTGGATAGCAGTTGACTTTGCCAGTGCTGTCAGTTGCATATGGCAGACTTTTAATTTCTGTAATCAGGCTATCATGCGTAGAGTTTTGTTGCATTTATCTAGACCTGTATTGGGTTTAACAGAGGATTACGACGGGGACTAGACTCCGGCGAGCCTAGTCACAAGCTGCAAAAGGAAGCAGCACAACTGGGCTTTCTAAACTAAATAAAAGGCATGTGAGGATATAGAAAGATAATCTTTTGTATAAAAATAGGATGGAAATGAAAGTACATCCACGTGCACTGCCGACTCAACAGCACCGCTCTAGAAGCTAGCAAACAACACAGAGTTTAGGCATAAACCCCAACTCTAACAAAGTGCCCTGGAATCATGTGCGTCGTCTGTGAAAGCAAGAATAAGTATTCAAAAAGCCTTGTCAAAGCTAGTTTATTAAGTTGCCCTGCACAGGTATAATTGTAGCCTGCTCCTCTGTAGCTGTCACTCTTCTCTTATTCTCATGTGGTCGATCTTGTAGCGAGGCTATGGGATTGGAGGAAGAATAGAGCACTCCTCAATCCAAAGTCAAGCTTGCCATGCTGGCGGCGGCAAAGTCCTTCGGGAGCTATATTTGTACCTTGGGAGTGTAATGAAGAGGATAATGTACAGGAGAACAGACGCTAAGATTGAAGCGCATGGATTTTGGAGGCACTCTCAGATTATTAGTAATGTGAGCTTGTAGCTATTGGCTTAAGGATCTATGTAGAAAAGTTAGATATAATGATGTGTTGCGTCTTAAGACATGTCCCTACTATTACGCCCAATGGTGCTATTATTGCAATGCAAAAGACCCTCTCCAGAGTTCTTACACAAGGTGATGAATGATCCAATAAAGTCTGTTCGATCCACACCGAAACATTAGAATACCCACGTCAGGCTCCAGATTCTTTGCAAGAAAGTGGGCAGCCAGAAGTTCTGACATGTCCTCAATTGTTCGCAGACACTGGGTCGCACATTGGACAGTAGAAAGCGGATTAATCGACATTGAGCCCTTACGATCTAGGCCCGGGAAAGGGGCCTCGAGCGAGTCGAGATTGTTGGGCTACGCCTGCGGATCTGTCACATCGAAAATTGACAAGGAGGCATCATCAAATTGAGGTGTCATCTGACCTGGAGATGAATTGTCATCGTCCGATGGTGTCCTCGATGTTGGATCGGCCTGGAAATCGTATGATCGGCACGACGTACAATGCGGTTGGCCTCCTTGCGAAACATCAGATTGGTAGTATTCTCAGAGCCAAGAAATTCCTAACCAAAGCTGGCACACTACCCATAACCAAGCACAGCTCCATCATACTGCCAATAAACGCGTCCACCTAGCAACACTTGCACAATGAGAGCACGGCAAGCACAGAGGCAAGGCCTACGTGACGGCGTTTGGGTCGGCAGTTTGCGCCGTTCGCCCACGGCGTGTCGCAATGCGCCATGATAATATTCTTTAAATTCTGACGGACGTCTTTGGTGAAAATCATGGCGACGCATGGCGCAACAAGGGATAAGGGGACCAACAAGGCTGCGACCGTTGCAAGCGACGCCACCTACCTTATGCATCGCGGGGTTTCTGAGGGGAAACGGCATGGCCTTGCATGACGGCCAAGACTGTACGGCTCCTACTTCATCTTGCGCCTCTCTTGGTATGGCTTCCCGTCTCCCATGTGGCTGCGATTGCCCAGCCTTGGTAGCACTGAACTGTCTTTGATCTCGCTTGAAACAATCGCGGGGTTTAGGTATGATATTTTGTGACTTGTACCTAAGTAGCCCAATGGCTGGCAATTGCATGACTAGGGCGCAACAATCAGCCAGTTCGGGCTGTCGGTGACTAAAAGTTATGCTTATCAACTTTCACAGCCACCTTGCTGAAAAGGAGATACGCTTGCCGGGGGCCATATTGTGAAACTGCCGATATCGCAGCATAAAACGAACTACCGAGTGGCAGATTAAGTACCTAGAATCAGCTCCGTGCATTAATTAGGCTCAGGATCTACAGCGAACTCCGTTGCACGCTAGTCCTGCGCTAGCGCCGCGAAGCACGACTAATGAAACGCAGTACGTAAAATACAGTGAGCAGCTTGCTGACTACGGGCTTGGCATTACCTGCCCGTCATCTACACGCCTTCCTAATATGGGAATTGCAAAATGGAGATTGTGGGGAGAAGACCATATCGCCCCATCGCTTCAATTGTACTAGCCGCTTACCGCCAATCAAGTCGGATTGGTCCGAGCAGGAACTAGGGATTAGCGTTACATCTCATTAGTCAAGCTCCTCGAAAGGCAATGTTTATCCCAGCTCTATCAGGAGGTCGGTAATTGAACGATTATACCAGAACGCTTTGATCATGTCCGCTTTCTCAAAGTATATAAACCCATTTTGAGCCCCCGATAACAATGGCATTCACTCCACACTTGCATCCAATTGCATTACTTCCTTCTTCTTTTTTATCTGCGTATTATACCCATCTTCATCATGGAGCTCACCAACCTCCTCTCCTTCCTGGCTGTCATGCTGCCCGTTGCCTACGGTGCTCCCACTCAGGCCGCCGACAGCCTGCACCCTGAGATCCTCAACGCCATGATGCGTGATCTCGGCCTCAACGCTGAGCAGGCCGTTGCCCGCGTCTCTCACGACAACCAGGCCACTGAGCTCATCTCCCAGCTTAGCGGCTCCATTGGCGACAAGTTCGCCGGTGGCTGGATCGATGCCGGCAAGACATACGTCGGCGTCACTGACCAGGCTACTGCCGAGCACGTCAAGGCTGCCGGTGCCGTTCCCGTCGTCATGAACACCAGCCTCTCCAAGCTCGAGGCCGCCAAGGAGGCCATGGACCAGCACCTCTCTTCGGCCATCCAGGCCCGCGACACCGACACCACTGGCATTGCCTCGTACTTTGTCGATGTTACTGCCAACAAGCTCGTCGTCGAGTCTCTCGCTGATAGCCAGGAGCGCGCCCATGCTCTGGCTGCCCGCGGCAACTTGTCCGAGGGCGACTACGAGGTCCGCATCGTCAAGAGCCTGCCTTCGGCCGCTGCCAGCGTTATCGGCGGCAACTCCTACGTCATTAACGGCAAGACTCGCTGCTCTTACGGCTTCGCTGTCTCTGGTGGCTTTGTGTCTGCCGGCCACTGCGGCAACCAGGGCGACAGAGTTACCGCTGGAGCTTCTGCCGGTGGCGAGTACGTCGGTGACTTTGCCGGCTCGACTTTCCCTGGCAAGGACATGTCGTACGTCAAGACGGCCAGCAGTGTCCAGCTTTACGGCGCCATTAACAACTACAACGGCGGTACTATTCCCGTCAAGGGCAGCCAGGAGGCCGCTCAAGGCGCCAGCGTCTGCCGCTCTGGCTACACCACCGGTGTCCGCTGCGGTACCATCACCGGCAAGGACCAGACCGTTATCCTCGACGGTGTGAACAAGGTCTACGGTCTTTCTCGATCCAGCGCCTGCTGCGACCACGGCGACTCCGGCGGCTCGTTCTACTCTGGATCTCAGGGTCAGGGCGTCACCTCTGCTACCAACGGAGGCTGCAGCGACGGCGGCTACAGCTACTTCCAGCCCCTGAACCCTATCCTCCAGAACTACGGCGTCTCTCTTATCACTGGTTAAGTGCTAAGTGCAAGTTGGTGATTTGAGAGTGAGTGAAGAAATACATTGCATGGATGATGCAAAAAACTTGAACAAATTTGTATATACTCAGATAGTACTTATGATGAATGTATTATGTCCAAACTTGACGATCAAAATTCGTGAAAATAAACGGAGGAGTATAGCAATCACTACAACAGCCATAACTCTACCCATTGAATGAGAATAAAATTGTGAGATGCGAGTCGGTGGAATCGCCCTATAGGCCTGTGCATCTAATTACTACAGCTGAATTTAAACTTGCAGCATCACATGGCATAGCTTAAGTTATGCTTATTGAATTCCTATTTATAATGGATTATCTAAAGATAATGTAGATCATCAGTGAGCGCAAATCACTTCCCTTTCCTATCACTCGTGCAGTTATCGCGGATCATTTTGAACTCTGTGGCGAAGATCATCCTCAACAGTGTCTCAACGGTGAAATCTAGAAGAGAGAGTATTATGACTTTTGTCCTATTTACATTAATATTACTAGGTAATTACAGGCAGGAGGAATATTTAATGAGTAAAATTAATACTATAAGGAGTTGAACAGCTAGAAGAAAGACATATATTTGCACTCGGAAACATCCGCACTGTGTGCCCGCACGGCGCTGTTGGATGGACAAGGCTACGCGTTAACTTCCCTCACCGTCTCTCCTCCTTTCCATATATATTCGTCAAATATTAAGAGCGCATAAAACAAGTGATTTATATACAGAATAGATCTACAATGGCTACGTATACCAACTCGGCGAACTGTGGGAGACGGTGCCCCCAGCCGCTTCCCCGCATCCTGTCCACGGAGGAGATTGTGCCAACGATGGAAAGAATTATTAGCCAATATGAGGCTGCTCGGAATTCTGTCTTGAATAATGTCACTGTTGAAACCGCGTCTTTTGCGTCGGTTTTGCAGCCAATCGTGGACGTTGAGCAAGAGACCAACGGCGAGATTGGGGTGATTTGGATGCTTCAATATGGTGCACCAGAGATTGCAACACAAGAAGCTGTCCATAAGGCGCGCCAGCTCTTTGTTGCAGCAGAGGGCTGTTGGAATTCCGATGACAGTATGTACAAACTGTTGGTGGCTGCCCGCGACAACAGCGACAAAGACGCAAATCCAGATGTTGCTTCCAAATTGCTTCTCGACCACACTCTGCTTCGGTACAAGCTAGCAGGCTGCGGCGCCAAAGCAAATCGCAACAATGAGACGCAGGAATCATTTAGTAAGGAGTCATTAGATCTCAGCAACGCCCTGTCAACTACTCTGAGCAACATTGCACAGGAAAACGATGGTATGTGGTTTGCTGTTGAGGAGTTGGAAGACCTTCCAAGCGATGAGCTCAGTCGCATCAAACAAAAAAGACAACTAGAAATCGTACCCCATGAACAAGGCAAGGAGATGATATTTGTGCCCTTCTCTAACGGTGGTACGATTGCCGTCTTGACCTTTAGTGGGAATCAACAAGTGCGCAAACGGATGTACCTGGCTGACCAGCGGAAGCTACAGAAAAACATCCCTATTCTCCAGGACATTGTCGTGAAGCGCCAAAGGCTCGCCAAGAGACTTGGTTACGAAAGCCATGCACATATGCGCATGGAGGATCGTCTTTTGGCAGGGCCGGAGCAAGTGCACGAGCTTCTTGAGAGCCTGACCGACGGCTTGATACGCCGAGGGCGTGAAGAATTGGATGTTATTCAACGAGCTCGGTTAAAGGACATGCGCCAAAGACAGAACGTGAGCAGCAATGGACATTCAGTTGCCAAGTCTGCGTTTCCACCATGGGATCTAAAGTACTATCAGAACATTGTCAACATCGACCGCAACATTGACCAATCCAAGATTGCAGAGTATTTTAGTATGGAGTATGCCATTCCAGCTATGCTCCAGATATTTAACACGACACTGGGCCTACAATTTGATCCCATCCCAGATGATCAGATGCAAAGAAACGAGAAATGGGACGACTCTGTGACAGCGTTTGCTGTGTGGGATACTCGCTCTTCGTCCGACGAGGCGACATTTGTTGGATATCTCTATTTCGATGTTCTATGGAGGCCAAACAAGTTCCGTGGCGCCCACAACGTAACAATGGAATATGTGAGATTTACGTTGCTTGATCAAAGACTGACCGTGGTAGTCTTTGCATTACTAACATTCTTTGATAGGGTTTTGAACGTTCAAATGGTGACAGAAAGTACCCGTCGACCATTGTTATGAGTGCTTTTCCGACTGCGAGTGGCGACAGTCGCTTAGTTTTATTGAAGCACCATCAGTTGCTTACCGTATTTCATGGTGCGTTCCCAGCGTCCAAGTTATTCCAGCATGTGTTTGTGGAAGCTAACTTTGAGCAACAGAGCTTGGTCACGCCATCCACAGTCTCGTTTCCAGAACCAAATACTCGCGATTCCACGGCACTAGTCTCCCACCCGACTTTGTTGAGATTCCAAGCTTAATGCTCGAAAACTGGTGCTGGATGCCCGAGGTCCTCAAATCCATGAGCACTCATTACAGCTACCTGTGCCCAGAGTATCTCGCCAAATGGAAGGCCGAAAATCCTGGCAAAGAGCAGCCGCCAAAAGAAATCCCAGATGCGATTGTCGATGCGCTTGTGAAGTATCGCTACGCAAGTCGTGGGTTATACCATCTGTACCAATTGTAAGTAAACAAGACATCTATAAATAGAGAGGTATGGGTCACTTATCACAAGATACAGAAGCATCTCTCTCTTCGATATGGCTATCCATAGCCCCAGCAGCGCAGTAGAAGCTACGGCCGTGAATGTTCAAAAGCTCTGGTACGACATCCGAGAAAGAATTGAAGGGCTAGATTTTACTGAGGTGAGGGACATCGGGTCTGAGCTAGTCGCATTCAATCATCTACTGGGTGGATTTGACGTGGCGTACTACTCTTATCTCTGGTAAGTGCTTAGTTTTGGGCCTGGTGAACATGTTTGACTGAATTTTTGATAGCTGCTCGTCCTTTGCGCAGGATTTATTTCAGAACTTGTTTGTAGAGGAGCCCATGAACCCAGAGGCGTGGGATCGCTACCGCCGAATTATTCTACAGCCAGGGGGCGAGCATCTAGCTCTCTACAAGTTGGTGGAAGAAGCCCTGGGGCATTCGCCGGATCTGACGGCTCTAATTAAGCCACTACGAAATGCGGTACTCTGAGTACGTAGGTTTCTTTTTTCATGCAAAAGGAACAGCGCTGGTGTAAAGAGAATTTGCTGAGTGCAAGTATTGGTGGAAACCATCTGCTTGCAACACCCAGCACCGGCTAACTTCTCTGCGCAGGGAGACATCGATTTTGTTGCTGCCGGTGCTAACAAGACAAAATCAAAACTCTTATTTATGCGGCTATAGCATGAACATAACCCGAAGCAGTCCCTCATCAATAGCCGAAGCGGTTGCTCCGTGTGGCTATGTCACCGGGAATAAAATCTAGGCAACATCTACAACAGGAATTTTAATAAACCCGCCGTGCACATCTTCTCCACATCCACTTGCCTAATAGGGTATGCTTCTTGCTCATAAATCTATGCCTCTTTATTATGACCCCTGCGGGTCACGCACTTTAAGCTTAACAAGGTACCGGCCCCGTTCCGTGTGGGACACGGAGACATTCGCGGGCATCCGGACATGCCTCTCGGTCCCGACAGACATCGACATTGCCTGAGACACAGTAACGTACTATAATGACGATGTAAAATACAATTCTGCGAGTCCTCCGGTCATAATTTCTTCGACTTCTAGAGCGTCATTGCCAAGACTTGGGATATGAATGAATCGCGTTGAGACTTCGTACTCAAAGTGTCCGAGCCGGCGACTGCGTTAAACTCGAGAACAGGCAGCAGTAATGAAGGAGATATTTGCTTCCCAAAATTTATATAAAGCTTTTGTAGTTCCCATTCATTCACTTCACTTACATTGTACATCACCATCCTCCACGCTCCTCAAATCAACAAGAATCTCTTCTTCTCCTCTACCGCAAACATGCACTTCCAGACCCTTGCACTCTTTGTCGTTACGGCCTCGGCCGCTCATATCAAACTGAGCTTCACTCTCCAAGAGTCCTTTGCTGCCACCAACGCTCTATACTACGACCTCCTCAAGGATGGCAAGAAGATTTGTGCTGGTACTGCGCACAACTCGGGCAAGTTTGGCAAAGCCAACTGGGACATTGACTGCAAGAACAAGGTGCACATTCACATCGGCATGGACGATGGCTACCGTGGCAAGGCCACTGTCAAGGACGGCGGCAAGACCTACCACCTGAATCTGAAGGAGAATGGCCCTGACCACCAGTTTGGCTGCGGGTAAGTGATATGACGAACGTTTCTGGCAGTGCAAATACTAAGAGTGACAGTGATGAACTTTGCGTTGGTGTTGAGAAGAAGCGCATTGGAGAAAACTAGAAAATTATACCGGAATCATACTCAAAGGCCCAGTCGATGAGAAACATAGTTAGTTATGGTGGTCCCCTACCCGGAAGTAGAATCTGGGTGTTAACAAACAGGAATTATACTACTCTAAGAGATATGCGCAGCTCATTAATAACTAATTATAATGAATGAGAACGAAATATTAAAATTATCGTTTTCTAAATACCTCTTACTCGCTTGTGCTGTATGGGATTTGAACTTCAGCAATACCGTCGACTGCCATAACAGCAAGAGTTTGGAACACGCTAAGCATTACTTTTCTCTGGTGCGTATAGTTACGGATAGTAACACACACACACACACACATATATATAATGATTATTAGAAAATATTTCAATTTAGTTACCTGTAATAGTAGAATAAATATTAGCTTGCACTGTATTGATTATTTACCTCAAACTCTTGTTCACTTCATTCTACACCGGTATCATTCTCGAGCCATGCATGGCGTGTTACAATTCCAGTCACACGTGACAGAGCTGCAGAACAACTGCATAACAACTGCAGACAAGTTCTCTCTGATCTGTTTTCATGTATTTCTTGCTAGTAGATACTTCCCTCAAATTCCCCTGTCGCACTTGCCTCACTCCTGGCGGGCTCATACTAAGCAGCCGACATGAAGTCTCACCCTTCAAGTAGATCTGCGCCAAAAGACGCGGAAATGCTCCTCGGCGGCAGCCTCGCGGGAACACCCGGCGCTAAGCCAGTGCCTCTCCGCATTATGCGAAAGCCCGTCGCGGTGCATTCTCCATGGCAGGGCATAGTGCGAGATGAAGAGCCACGACGGTCGCTCCTTTTCAAGCGCAAAGCGATCGATGGAGATGCAAATCAGTATGCACCACTGGTGGATAACCCCGAATTACATCGTGTTAACCACTTTGTTGGATGGGGAGCGACTCTTCGAGTCTGGAGTTGGGAAATCGCAGCGCTGGCTGTCAGCGGTATCGCCTTGATGGCCATCATTATCACGCTACGACAATTTGAGGACGCGAGCATCAAGTGGTGGAAAGCGCCAATATCCATCAATGCAGCTGTTGCCATTCTGTCGGCCCTCTTCCGCGGCCTTTTATTCATACCAATATCCAACGGTTAGTCTCGACGGAGTTTGCATGTCTAGATGCCTGGGGCTAACGTTTCCATATAACAGGTCTTGGCCAGCTCAAGTGGCTATCTGTTTCTCAAATCAACCAAAGACTAGTGGATATGAATATTTATGACCAAGCTAGTCGTGGAGTTTGGGGCTCAGTAGTGCTTCTAGCCAAGCAGTTCACTAGCCGCCGCCTATCGTGCGTCTTATCCTTTACTATCGCCGGATTCACTTTTTAACAATTTACCAAGATTTATTGCCAGTATAGGCGCTATACTAGGTCTCATAGCACTCATTACAGAGCCTTTCTCGCAAGCTGCTGTCTCTATTGGCTCATGTGAGAGGCCTTTCCCTCACCAAGCGGCGTTGCCGCGCGCTAATGGCTACGCCGACGCGCCACATGTCGGTGCTGGCATCAATGAATTAACATCACAGATGCAATTCGCAGCGTTGAGTGGCTTTTACAATCCGCCAAAGGATTTGTCAGATCCGATCAACGGTCTTGTCACTTGTCCAACGGGAAACTGTTCCTTCTCCAACGGCGATGACAGTATCTACTTTGAGACGATAGACTTGGGTTCTTCGTGCAAAGACATATCTAGCAAAATCAAACTAACTGTTGATTCATTTTATCCCAGATCCTACTTATCTGGATATGCGAACAATATTACCTTGACTAGCCTGGGCAAAAGCAGTTTCGACCCACGCGGCACGGTCCTCGGTTTTATGAGCACTCCGGCACTAGGTGAAATAAAAGAGCCTTGGCCAGATGGACCTTGGAAGAGTACAAGCTTGGTATCGTTTCAAGGTATGGCTGGTATGTTGGAGAATGGCTCTCTTTACCCGCGGGCGTTTGATTGTAGCCTACGCCCCTGTGTGCGATCGCTCTCAGCCACAGTTGTCAATGGAAAATATGCTGAAAAGGAACATAGTCGTCAGTATCTACATTATCTTGCTTCAACAAGGCAGTTCGAACTGGCCCTAAACTGTACGCGGATCAACGGCACATGGCATACCTGTAAAAGTAGTGCAACTGAAACAGCTACACACAACATGCAGGCCACTCCATGGGAGCTACAGCAAGATGCGCACCTTACAAAAGCTAACAATACTGGGCGTTGGTACGAGCCAAAGTGCTATTATTTTGTTACTTTAGGAGTTTTGTTGGGCTTCTCACGTTATCTGGGATCAACATTTGATAGTGCGTTTGTAACCGTAGAGCCTGGGTCTATTGTGAGCGGTGCTGCCTGGGCTAAAGACCTTTGGAAGCGAGGCAATATGACCATGGATTCAGTGAACAAGTTCTCCACAGGGCTTGCAGCTTCTATCGGGGCTGAGATGCGAAGAGGCGGTAGTCCTTATGACTTTACTAACAAAGTGATATTGGAGCCAGCAAGTCTAGAGGTTTCCGGCGACATGGTGCTCATAGAGCCTTGTATCACAGTTCAGTGGAAGTACTTGTCATTCCTGGCATTCTTGTGGGCTTTTACGGCGCTCTTTTGTGGTGCTATTATTCTTGCGCAACACCAAAGCCGACTTGGAGCCGGCACCGACTGGAAAACATCAATACTGCCGCTACTCTTTCAAGCAATACATAACGGTGACGGACTATCGTCGAATGCGTCGTACCGGGACTCAGATCTGCAGCGACGAGCGGAAGAGGTTGCTGTGCAACTGGCTGACTCGGACGGGCAATGGGTACTCCAGCGAAGATCAAACTCGAATCATGCTTTTAGATAATTAGAGAATTAGCTAGGAATGGAGCTGCACTGCTCACTGAATGTTTATCTATGTTTTTTCATTGATAGCCTACATGTATCGGCATTGAAGATGCGAAAAGAAAAGTAACATGAGTTTGTTCATAACGGGCTACATACTGGTAAAGCGGGCAAGAACCCTTGGTTAACATTCTTTTAAAGATCTCCTCGGAACTCATGTATTATACCTTCCAATGGTTGTGATTTGGTAATACTAGGGAGTTCGTGCTGGTTTACCAAATGAGGCAAGCACAGAATCTGGTGGCTTCTATGGCGCCTGTGGTTGCAGCCGCAGCTTGCCGTTACAAGCGAACGCACACGGTGCCTTTGAAAAAGAGAAATAAACCTAGAATTGGATTTATTTTTAGTAAGTTGGCCGATTGCAACATAATTAGGCGAAGCCCCTCGTCAATGAGCTAGACTTTTACCACTCCAGCCTTAACTGGTACAATGCGGAACTGCGATGCGTACTCCTCAGGCACAGAATCATTCCTGTTGCTCAAGTCTTCACTAAATGCTTCAATTTCTTTGTTCAATTTTTCATCTGCGATGTCCTCGCCGGGACCCCACGCCCATTGCCGTGTTTTGTTATTGAAGCACCATGCGCGTCCCTCATCGAGTTCTATCCGATACTTTTGGATGTCTCCAGTGTTAATTTCGTCGAGTTCGTCATTTTCATCCGAAATGAAGACGTAAATAGGGACAGTATCGGAAATATAAAAGAAAACGAAATTGAAATAGTCTTCCACACACTCTCGAGCGCAACAACCATGTCGCTCCAAACCAAAGGCTTGAAGAAAGTAATATCCAGCGCCTCCAGCTCCGGACTACGATATTCGTCAAAGTCGATAAGCCCGTTGTATTTGTAATAGAGAATATCCTTTAATCTGTTTATTCTTCGACCAAGGATAGGTACGTTTTTGTTTTGGCTGTGAAAGACTTCGTAGTCAAGCTTCTCTGCATGGAAACTGGCAGCAGCGCGTGCCTCTTGGTTGACATAAACGAGCGGTATTTCCACGGGTACTGGTTCAGCTCGTTGTAAAAGTAACGAAGGTGCATATTATGTTCTGATTGTGGCATATACCACTCATTATCCTCTGGCTTGGCGACCCAGGGTCGCATAAACCTGTGCTCGTGTGGCAAGTTAGAGAGGAGTGTAAACATGCTTGGTCAATATGACATTTCGTAAAAAAAAAAAGGGAAGAGTCTAAAATAGAAATGTTTGCTATTTGTACAGAACGCAAAGTTGCGCGCGTGGACACACGGACACGACAAACTGGGTATGGGAGCCTCAGTCCCTCAGCGCCCGAGAGTAAGCCCCGATCAAGAGAGCTTCTCGTTAAGTAGGAAGGCAAGGCCGCCGGCCTTCTCAAGGGCGAAGAAAATTAAGCATCCCTTTCCAATAGAACCCCGTGACCGCAACAATAGTGATAGAACCTCTCACCAGGCATCGAAAACTACAAAAGTAAACCAGTGTCGCACAATGAGGAGCGCCCTGCTGCCTTGCCGCCTTGCGGAGGTCACTTCGAGTCTGTTCATTGCAAAATAATTATACTATTCATTTAGCTATTTATCAATTTGCTCTCCTAAAGCAATTACAGGAAATTTAATTGCAACTTTCACTATTTATCAATTCCCTGCGGCTTGTTTATTACCGGTATCCTCATGAAAGGCTCAAGTGGAAATACACACTTTTCGGGAACAACTTGTTCATAAAGCCGTGTCCATCCTTGTTTTAAGGCTTCTGGTGTCGGCCATGCTAACGCGGGGTCTCGTAACCACATTCGTATTAAATGGCGCCTGGAGTAATATAAGCGACTGTTCAGATCGTGGTATGATTCGAAAACTTAGACCTAACATACTGCTGTGTGGGACTGTCAGTGTAGGCTTCTCGAGCATGAACGATACTTAGATTATTGATATATTGAATATCACCTGGTTGAAAATCTAAGCTTATGGCATTCTCTTCAGCTAGAAATTGCAGAGCGTCAAGCGCCTCGGCCTGTGCCTCAGTGATGGGTGGGATGTTTGAAGAGCGTGGGCGCGTTCGGTATCCTGTGAATACCCGTCGAGCGTACTGGATAATTATTCGCTCAGGGGAGGTTTGTGTTTGCCGGTGGTGATAAAGAAGGGGACGTAGATGATATCCTTTATCTGTTTTTCCAAAACTATCCTCATAGTAAGTAATATTTCTATAACTGTTGAGTATTTCCGTACTCATCGACCGGCCAAGAGTCGGCTAGCGTTCTGATTAAGTCTGGTCTTGTGGCGGCTAGCTCGTTATAAATACGCCAGCTACTTGCAAGTTTGCTTTGACCACCTTCCGCAGCAATCCCAAGAGCAAAAAGAGCCACCACATCACCCGAGTCAGTGTGAAAGACCTGCGTTTCAGAGGTAAACGCAGGAGCTGTGATATTTTGCACATCCATCGTTTTTGTAAGGTCTTTGATATGAAGTATCATAACATCGGCAGGCTTTCCTTGGAAGATAGTATCTTGGCGCCCTCTAGCCGGCGCGAGATGTGCTGACAAACCAGCATATATTGCAATATTGTCTTCGGTGCTATATGCTTGAACAGCTAACCCCCTGATTACTTTAAAACCATAGCCGTTATGAATTTCATTTGATATATGTCGAAGTGTATTCCGAAGTGTTGGCAGTGGAAATGTTTCGACATTAATAGCTCCAAGCTGTAATGGGCCATTGCCATTGGTTGATCGGAAATACTTGAGAGCGACATCTATTTCCTGTACATCAGTATCGGTAAGGTGATACACCCAGTTGTATTCTTTTTTGACTGATGTTACATCCCAAGCAAGCGTAGACTCTAGGCGCTGAGGGAATCCATGAGGCAACGTGGTAGGTACAGTACTACATAGTTGCAATGCTTCATATCGTTGCTTGCGTCTTGCGTTGTACGTTTCCAGATTAGGTTCGTATGAAATATTTGGTTGCCGAAGTGGCTCGCTCGCTGCTGTATTCATTTTATGAAGTACTCCTAGTTGACTTGTTTAACAAAGATGATCATGCTGAAAATTGTATCGGACGATAGGAGTTAAACAGTATTTCGAAAAATTATACCAAGAACATTACGGATAGCTCTAGACGAATGCAACCGTACAATTACAGAGAGCTCATTGCGTAGATCTGATAAAGCCGCATGAATGGGCTCCATTGCTTTAAAATGTCATGAGCGGGGCAAGCCGATTTGTAAAACACTCACCACTACCCCGCTTCTTTATGACGACGATTTCCAAACATCGCCCTCCGTTCTTCAAAGATGGCGTCCCCTGTACTCTCCCAAAAAACATATAGACTAAGTCAAATCTCAGGTAATATGACCTCCAATGATATTCGCGAGATTTTTCCCACCGAAATCAGACAAACAATCCAGTATCTTTCTCTTGCGAATGCTCTTGATTTTGCAATACCAGACAAGCAAGTTTGCACTATAACGTTCCAGACCCAACCTGCGATATTAGCATCGCTACCCTATAAAACTGGCTCACTGTTGTCTGATCTTATTCCAAGCATCGACGTAAAATATAGTCAGATATGGATCGATGCCCATTTCCATGGATTCACTGTTCTAAACAATACCGACAATAATAATAAAACAGTTGAGTACGAGTTGTCACTTTCTTTTAGAATACTAAATTGCTAACCATCGTAGTATTATTGCTTTGACAGGCCTTGGCGGCAAAGCGTTCGCATCATGGCAATGCTACGATGGTTCCATGTGGCTCAGAGACCATGTACCTCTCGATATCCCAAATTGTCGCATGTCACTATACGGTTATTACTCAGATGTTGGAAACAGCCAGTCAATCACTACCTTATCAGAGCTCACACGGTGTTTTCTGCTAGATTTGATTGAGTATCGAAGGTTAAACTTGCATGATCATCAAAACATGGTTAGTCTAAAACTCCAGAATGCTTCATAACGCCTAATCTTCACGACAACATGTATCTAATAAAGCACGACTCACAGACAAGTTCTTTGCTGCTCATGGGCCACTCAACTGGTGGTCTAATTATCAAAGACGTAAGAAACTATTCGACATGTTTTTATGATCTTCAATTAAATAATTCCTCCTATCTCTTAGACGTGGTGTCAAGTTGCCGAAGAAATATCTAAGCCCCTTACAGATCTTTACCACAGTATTTCCGGGCTAATATTCTTCGGAACACCTCATAATGGCATGTCAGTGGCAAATATCCTACCTGGGATCACGGGACAAGCTTCTGAGAATCTCATACGAGATATTGAACCAGGCTCATCCTACATCAAGGCATTAAAAGCAAGGTTTGCAAGCGCTACAGTTGACTTGAATATTCTTTCTTGCTATGAACTACGCCCCACTCCCCAGTCTGTATGCCAGCCAGACGGCTCATTGGTACGAACTGGTTCTAGTGCTATGAATGTGACAGAGAGCTCTGGATGCTTATACTGGGCGAATGAAGTTCGTTTACCAATCGATGAAAACCATTCCATGATTGCGAAACTGGCGAAACGAGATGGTAATGCGTATCGTACTGTTGTTAGCAGTATAGCTAATCTCGTCGCGGCTTCTCTGGCTAACCATTCACAACACCCCAAAAATGAACAGATTGGTCAGCGTTGCCAGACTCTTAAGCCCCAGAATTTCGCTAGAAACTTTCCATTAACAATTCCAAGAGAAGTTTTGGGTTGGGAGATACCCGCTGCAAATAAACTATCAGATGCTAGTGAGAATTCTCGCCCAGGCAGAGAGTACAGCAGAAACAACTATCCAGAACAATATTCAATATTGGATTCCGAAATGCATACTGGCATTTTTCGAGCGCCTATTCCTCTTCAAGTAAGAGTATTTATCCTTGGGTGTTGGGATATATTTCATTCAGGGTACAGTCTATCTCTTGCTCTCAGTAGAAGCTTACTAAGTATTCTAGACATGTGAAAATTTTACAGTTCCTGAAGTATTTTATCCCAAATACGTATTTGATTGTTGGGGTAGTGGGCGATAATGAAATGCGGGATTTCGGGGATTTCCCAGCTCTCCATGCTACTGATAGAGCGGCAGTCGTACGCTCATGCAGGTATGTAGATGAGGTTATAGAGGACTGTCCTCTGATTCTCACTCAGCAATTTGGAGATCAACATCAAATTGAATATGTTGCATATGATAGAGAATTACTCTCTATGGCGCAGATGGATCTATCAACACAAATGAAGTTTGATGCCAAGATGATTACGATCCCCGAATCCCAAGCCCTCCATTCCGCGAATATTATAAGAAGAATAAGGACGCACTACACTTCTATCACAAAAGCATAATTACGACCATCTCAGAATAGCGTTGATATTTGGTATATATTTGGCTCAGTGGGGGGTTGCTATTGTTTTCGGGTGGTCTGGTCCTAAGATCTTGGTGCGTTTTGCAAAAACAACTTCATACATGCTCTTAGCTTCAACAAACTTCTTATCAGAGTATAGTGTGTTCGCTAAGCTAAACATTGAATCGAGAGTCTCCGGGTGTTCTTGTCCGAGAACGTCTTGTTGGTAATGCACAGCACGTTGCAAAACCTCCAGAGCACGGGAGTTGTCTCCTTTGGCGTGTAGTATATCGCCCAAGTTATTCATAGTGAGAATAGTATTAGGATGCTTCACCCCTAAAAGCTCCGTTTGAATTTCAAGAACTTCCCGACTTATTTCCAAAGCCTCGTCGTATTTCTCTTGATGTAAGAGTGCATCTGCAAGCCATCGTCTTGTTATGAGCGTATGAGGGTGGCGATGGCCTAGCACTCTGATACGGATAGCCAAAACTCGTCTATGGGTTTCTTCAGCATTCACATAATGGCCTAAATCTCTCTCTGCAACTCCAAGGCAACTCATTGTAGCTAGAGTTCCTGGGTACTCTTCTCCTTGGACTCTGAGCCGCGTCTGAAGCAATGATTTGTGCATAGTTTCTGCTTCGGTATATTTCCCTTGTTTGCCCAAGGTTTGTGCGATGTACCCTATGGTTGTTAAAACATTCGGGTGCTCACTATGTAGTACCTCGGTCTGAAGATCAAGGGCGCCACGGTGAACAATTTCCGCTTCATAGTAATTACCACCATCATACAAAGCTTGTGCGAGATAATTCATACTTCGGCCAACCTCAGGATCCTTTGGACCTAGAACTTTCTTCCTTAGCTCCAAAATTTCTCGATGCTGGTTTTCTGCTTGTTTGTGCTTGCCCTGGTGATTCAATGCTTCTGCCATACCAAACATATTTCGCAGGGTATCTCGATTCTCTAGACCAGAGGCTTCTCGCCGTAGCCCAAGCGCTTGTTCATAAGCTTGGTACGCTTCATTATAAGCGCCATTGCTATAGAGGCATTTTGCCAGTTTCTCTGATAGAATAACCACATTTATATCACCTTGCTCTTCGACTACAGATGATACGAGGTATTTCGCATGAGGGAGATAAGTACTCCATACTTTCCTCTCCTCATGTCCGCCATCAGGCAGCAGCTCAACCAGTCTTTCAAGAACCCTTTTAGTCCAAAAATGCAACTTCTGCTCACTCCGTAGCCAGTTCCTTGATGCGAGGTGCACAAGTGGATGTATATCAAAACTAGCCTCTTCATCTCTCTTCTTGATAAATGAGTACGCCTTCAGTGCCCCGATAGCTTCGAGGACTTGCTTCTTTGAAGCTAGCAATGGGAATAAACCTTCAGCAATATTGTGATTGGATAGGCAAGCCATGAATGAAAGCAGCTCTATGGCTACTGGATTTGAACGAGCAAGCTGGCTTAACGAAATCAACCACGTTGTTGCAATCGAATTTTCCGCTTTTTTATACCTCCCATGCACTCCGAAGTCTTCACTGAGTACTTCCATAACTTCTACTTCGCTTTCGTTATATAACCCTGTATATTCACTGATCGAAGTATCATTTTCATTGATATACGCGACTGCTTGAATAATCGCAAGGGGTAGGTAACCGAGTAGCCGAAGAAGCTCAGCAGTGGAATCTTTGTCGAGGAGTATTTCTTGTCGCAGCACCGATTTCTCCAGTAATTCATTAGCATCGTCTGGTTCCATTATCTGCAACATGATAATATTTCGATCTGCTTGCTTTACGGCCACTTTGCGATTCCTTGTCGTAAAAAGTGTTGATCCATTCGGATGAGATGGAATATAATCTATCAGGGCTGGTGTGATTATTTCAGTGTCTGTCGTTTGGCTGAAAAACATGTTGATATCGTCCGCATTATCAACTATCATGAGCCACGGACGACTTCGCTTATCGCTTAGTGCATCTTTCACTAGTTGTTTAACATCTGCTCCATCAGCGTCTATACCAGGTATATTAATGGCCACGCCGATGTCTTTGTAGGCCTGCTCGAACGCCAGGCGATCCGTTGCAGGAACCCAAAACACTGAAAAGTCCTGGTGTTGCTCCTTGGTACGAAAAGCAAATTCAAGAGCGATTTGGGTTTTTCCTACGCCTCCAAGGCCAAAAATTGCCATATTATGGCTTGTGTCCCTTGCTGACGACCATTGCCGCAGTGTGGATAGCTCTTGATCCCTGCCGACGAAGTATTTATTTCTGGAGAAGGGTACCATCCAATGAGGCCCCTGAGCTAGACAGTTATGGTTAGCACTCTGTATTCATATTAGGGATCAAACCAACTAGTTTCTTCGAGGTTATGATTGTATTTCGGGTGAGATAAAACAAACATACCTATCATTTGATTACGCATAGAATTGAGAGGATCCTGCAGGGATGGGACTTCAGTCACTCCACCTGCGAAAGCATTTTGCGTTTCTGGTTCCGTTGGTAGGGCCGTGATCAGTTCTTTGGCATATGCTGCCGCAGCTGCTGCAGCATACTCTTGCCAAACCTTATGCTTATGTGCGTCTGCATAGTCACATATTCCTCGTATGACTACGCAGGGTAATTCATTCATCAGGCCGGCAGCTTCCATTTCAAAGCATAGTACACCGCCCAAACTAGCGCTCACTTGGTCTCGCAGCCGGCCGCTTTTCATGACCGTATTTCCAGATGCTATCAGGCCGTAGTGGATTTGAATGATATTGGAAGGCAGCCGATGGGGTCGCTGAACCTCTACCCACCCCTTGAACAAGCCTGGGTCTTCTGGTTCTGCTTGGTAAAGCACGTCAGGGATCGTTGTCCGCTGGCTAAACTCTAACGGCAGATCGGGATATCGACTGGCCATATCAGATAGATAAAATTGAATTTTATTGCCACGGATTTGATGAAGAGATATCAACTTTGATATGGTTGTTCTTAACAGTGATGGTGGCCCATTGAGTGATCCCGTTCGTAACCATTTACCATACTGCATGTTCTTCCCCATATCATGTTGTATTACCCCTCCAAAACCATGAGCCGGTATACTGACAACAATGTCTCCAAGTCTTATGTCATTTTCTGTGCTTGGTACACCGCCTCCGATACCAACCATGAGACCCATCTTCAAATTTGGGAAGGTAGATTGCATTCTGGTAACCACAGCTGTTGCTGGGTGAGTTCCAATGTCCCCATGGGGCAGAACAGCAATAGCTATATTGGATGCCGCAATAGAGCCAAGAGAGTAATTGTTGGAATCAGATGAAGGTTGGGGTAAGCTCTCGTGGATTATGTCAAGCATAGCTATCGCCGCGGTCAATTCTTTGGGCAAAGCGCAGATCCACCCGACCGTATATGCGCCGTGATCGAGGCGCGGATGCGACGTTGTAAGCGGTGGGGTTGACATCTTATAACCTGTACTCTTAATTAGATGATTTGTTTTAAATAGACAGCAAGCCAGCTCGGATGAGGCCGTACGCTAGAGCTTAACTTTAGTTCAAAGGTAGAAGCAAGAGTGGATAATATACACTAGCTAGCGGAGGATAAGCGAAGCGCACAGTTGAATCGAAGGGAATGAGTTACTATTACAAATGAAAGGTAATTGTAACTAAACAAAAGTGTTATAAAATAGGTGTAATGATCTCTCATGCTTAAGGAGCAAGATGTTAGAGACCATGAAGGTGACAACGGAGGTAATTCAAAACGGCTGCCTTCGCTCGTCTCTACCCCGCTTGTGTAAACGAGGCGGCCGGTCAGCGTTGGGCGCCCAACCGGCGCAAACTCCTGCGCATCGCAGACACTATTCAACCCCAAATGTCAAATAGTTGACGAATTCTTTGTTAAATTTCTTTTAATCTCTACTATAATGGATACTGATCTTGAAAACAACCGAAACCATTTGTTACCTACAGCGAGCAAACTTATCCATCCAGCGGGGTATTTGACAAACCCGCCACCCACGGGCCGGCCCGTCCGCATCTTTGTGCATGGCGTTTTTGACCTATTCCATACAGGGTATTACTATTCAAGTAAGATTATTCCATGAATTATCAGCTAACGTATATATAAACCAGACATCTACAATTTCTCGAAGTAGCAAAGAATATCTTTTTGGAAACCTATGTCATCGTGGGAGTTACGACAGACTCGGACACCCTAAGAGTGAAAGGCCCAACAGTAATTAATGCAACAGACCGCGCCGCCATTGTCAAAGGTTGCAAGTTCGTGGATGAAGTCATCGCCAATTGCGAACCAGTATTGACCATGGAATTTATGGACAAATATTGCATCGACTATTTTGCTCATGCAGATACCATGGATAGCCCAGGTTGGCAAGATCCATATCGCCAGATCAAAGAAGACGGTCGATTTTTAGTAATCCCAAGAATTAAAGATTGGGGTTCGACAACAGAGATTATTTCTCAAATCATTAAAAATCAAGACGATTATCTGCTACGGCAGTTGAAGAACGGCGCCACGTTGGCAGACATGCAAGTGTCTTGGTTAAAACTTCAATGGATCAAAATACGTCGACATTTAAAAAGAGCGTAAACTTTGCTTAATATTGTTCGTTAACACATGACAATATATTATTAACTCCATCCACAGTTGTAATTGTACAATTCTAGAGCTCTAGCTTTGTGCTTCTGAAACAGTTTACTTGGGTCAGTTATTGAATCGGGCGGGGTGAGCCTGGCACAGGTTGGGCACCAGTGCCCAACCTGTGCAAATGCGATTATTAGACATCAGCCGTAGTACAGATATTTCTACGATTTCACAATTGTTTACTTTCTTACCAAATCTAGCTGTTTATCCCCGCAAAATTCGTGCCAGAATGCAACCGCCTATAACTTGGACACTGGATCGATCGCAAGGGATAGTCTTTGCTGCTCATTGCCCAGGACGAGCGGCGACACCAACTACGACACAAAACCAAGACCAAAAGATTAAAATTGCTGCTATCGATCTGGTAATGAAAAATTAGAAATATACCCCTCTATATACTGGGACCTACTAATAATATTAGAATCAAACTCTTATAGTTTCGAAGTCTGGAACACTGCATGGTAAAGATGACGCTGACTGGAAGTGGTGGCATCCAAATGTCCCAACCAAACTGCGAGTTCTAACAGAAAAGGGCTACACGATTATAATTTCTTCTAATCAAGGGCGCTTGACTGACCTGGAAGGAAATGAAGTCCCGGAAGCCCAAAGCTTCAAAAGAAAAATGGAATTTGTCTTACGTGCCTTGGACATCCCCGTCACTTTAATTGTCGCATGTGCTAATGATATCAACCGAAAGCCTAGGCCAGGGCTATGGTCTATGATACCAAAGTTAACAGGCAATAATGGATGTTATATTGACAAACAAGACTCCTACATAGTTGGAGACGCAGCGGGTCGTGAAGCTGATTTTTCAGATTCGGATTTACATTGGGCGATGAACGCAGATATCCCATTTTATACGCCTGAAGAGTTCTTCCTCGGACATAAACAGGAGCCACGAACTCACAAATTTCATCCCGATTGGTATCTATATGGGAAAGAAGACAAGGAGCCAGACGGTACGTGTATGCATACCACCTACAACGAGCCCACTAGCCTAACAGCTCATTCAGCTGATATAACCAACTTACGCCTCTCGCCAATAGTAGTTTTGATTGGTCTACCAGGGGCGGGAAAAACTACCTTTTGTCGCAACGTTCTCTACAACCTTGGATTCACAAGAGTCGATGCTTGGTCATACAGTTCTCGGCAGCTATTTCTATCAGCGGTTGAAGATGCTATTTCTAATGATATTCCGGTAAGAGAAGCACAGCCAGAATAAGCCTCAGCGGATCTAATTATCATCATAACTAGGTTATAATAGGTTGGTTCATAATTAGCCCAAATACAGTAGCAAAGAACGCTAATAAGGTAGATGATATGAATCTCACCGTCGAAGACCGCAGTATCTGGATATCGATGGCGACAAAGAATGGTATGCCAATCAGCGCAGTCTTCTTCAACACATCAGATAAGTTATGTGGTCATAATGATAGCGTCAGAGCTTTTGGGGGGGAATTGGTAAACCTCTCAGACAAATTACGTGTTAGTGTATGCTAATACGGAAAATTAGATGAATCCAGAAAACCGTCCTGCTTACCCACGGCTACAATTTTTCGAGTTAGTGCCTTGCCTTCAAAAACCCATGTCTAGCGAACGATTCAACAGTGTTCATGAGATAAATTTCAAGGTATTTATTATTGGCTAGCTGACAGCTGATATACCAACTAATAAACAACAGTGGAGAGGCACTGACGAAGAACTTGAAATATGGAAGAAATTTTGGCTATAGTACAGGGTAGTATTCACTGTGTTCAAAATCCTCACTTACTGTCTCGTAGGTTAATTTTCGGCGCAGTATAAACTAGATTGCCTGCTTACCTTTTTAACTCCCTTATTTATCCTCACTATAATCCCATCAAAGATATAAAGTAGTTCTCAGCTCCTGATTTTTATTCTTTTGCATGTTAAAAAATGCTACAATATATCAAAGGATTACCCGAGCACCTAGGCTTCCGAACACTTGGACTACATCTGCATGAGATTCTGATTATATTCTTGTCGCATGAACTCGTCTATCGCGTTGTATCCCCGTCACTATCAAACCATTTCTTTTCGAAAACCTATAGAGCGCTCTCTACAAGTCAAAAAATTAATTGGAATGTTCGTGTTGTGTCGTCATTCCAGAGTATTTTGACATGCAGCTTGGCACTTTGGGTGATACGTACCGACGTGGAACGAATGAATATGACTTACAGTGAAAGAGTTTTTGGCTATACACCATTAAATGGAATGATAAATGCGCTTTCTTTTGGGTATTTCATATGGGATCTACATAAAGTAGCTGGTAGGAGTGATATTTTCAGTGTCGGAACCGTTGCTCACGCACTTTGCGCCTCAATTATCTATTTGTTCGGGTTTGTAAGTCAACAACCTTGTCACATACTCTACAATAACATCTATATATACAATTATCTGACTTTAATAGCGCCCATTTATCAACTGCTATGGTTGCAACTTTATTTTATGGCAGCTATCAACACCATTTGCTAACACTCATTGGTTCCTAGATAAAATCAACATGACTGGGTCGACAATGCAACGAGCGAATGGCATCATTCTCATTGGTATGTTCTTTGGTTGTCGCTTAATATATGGAACGTCGCAGCTGCTTGCGCTTGCGGACGATATCTGTATAATAATTCGACAAGAGAACTCTTACTTACCAAGCGTGCCTAACTCTAATGGTGGGACTCCTGTCGTTGATTATCGGCCTTCAACAATGCAGTTTTCAGCCAACCCAGCTCGAATAACACTCTGGTTTTCCATTTTCCATCTTGTGCTCTTGTTCGGCTCTTACGTTAACCATCTTGAACTTTTCCTGGTTTTTAAAGATAGTTAAATCGGTCCGTAAACGGTTCGAGTTACAGAGCAGGTAGCTGATTTATGCATACATATATAGTTCTTTTTTCAACCTGTTTATAGTAAACCTAGCTTACCAACTTCTTGGATCTCACCTATTTCTATCAACTGCACAATACCCTCTAATTAAGCACTGTCCACTCCCGACTTCAAGAGGCAATGACGACGAAAAAGGATAGATAGTATACCATGAAAGAAGAATGGAATTCTTCCATAAATTTAGATGTAATTTTATGAATGGTTAGAAACAGGACATTGACGAACCAACCGCTAAATATGGTACCAAATGGAGAAGAAGCTGAGTCTAACCAGCTAAAGAAGTTAGAAGCCACCCAACGATGTAAGGTGGGGTTGACTGTAGCTTTCACCATTTGCGTTGCGATCGGGACAGGAGTCATTCTGCCGCAGGGCGTGGAAAGCAAATAATGTATTCTCAATTAAATTTTGCGGCTGCAATACTAGCACCGCTAAATTCTTGCCAGACAGCAACAAATGATACAATCAGTCGTAAGCAAACAACCGTTGGTAGGCTGCAGCCCCGCACGGAGACATAGCCGGGTACGACGAGGCTCTGCAAGCTGCTGTGCAGTATAAAGTGACACATATTCCTCAATAACGTAGACCTTAACCCCTCATCATCTTATAGTATAAATCCTCCATTTCACCAATTTCAAAATGACCTCTGTACCCGGGCTTCCTGATCGCTATGAGATCCGCACGCTGACTGCTGAGCACCAGGAGTGGACAACCGCCCTGCTCGCTCACACCAACATGTTTCACTCACACGTCTGGCCTGTCGTCTACCCCGACGGCCTCATCGCGCGCCTCTTCGAGCTCCTCCCCAAATTGAACTACCTCGTCGAGCATCAGATCCAGTCGGGGCTCTCCATCGGTGTCTTTGACAAGGAGTATGAGTACAAGACGGCTGAGGGCAAGGCTGCCGGTGGCGCTCTTCTGTGGGATAAGACGAACCTTGACGTTGATGTCCAAGGCAAGACTCTGCTGGACCAGATGGACTTTCCACTGGTCTCTGTCGCCTTATCGTATGATAACGTCAACCACCTCGACGTAGCAAAGGTCGGCGAACTTGTCGGCATTATTCCCCTGTTTGGCACCGTCTACCATGTTCTTGGTGAGCTCGACCCACGAGACCCGGCATCCTGGGAGGGCAAGAAGGAGGGCGAGGTCTTGTCGCGCAATGGAACCAGCACGCGTCATGATTATGAGGGTAAGGGAATCATGGGAGCGGCTGCGCGATGGCTTATGGCGGACGCTGCCAAGAAGGGATTCCGTGGTATTCAGATTGAATGCATCAGTGATGCCGTCGATCATGTCTGGGCAAATGCTCCTGCGCCGTTCAAGTCCACTACCATCAGCGAGTTCAGTACGGAGACTTATAAGGAAGAGGTGGACGGCAAGAAGGTCCTTCCGTTTGCTCCATCCAAGCAGCGAATCACCAAGGTATGGGTAGATTTAAAGTAAGAAGCATTTCTCTAGATTCATATTGTATTCACATTTCATTTGAAAGCCATTTAATGGTGGGTTAATCCACATCCTTCTTCTATTGATACGCCGGTAGCCAACAAGTTAGTAGGTGAATGAGCTAAGGTCAGCGACCAGTGGCTGTTCCGTGCATTCCGCCTTGCATATATTTTCCCTTATGCACCCGTCCAGCGCGGTAAATGGAGAGAGTTGACAGAGACACCGAGTTGCCCAGGTCATTGATTCCATCTCAAGATAGAGAGGGCAGTAAGCTAGTGACTGTGAATATATGTATACAAAGGCGACAGACTTGGGCCGTATGCGTCTGATTCCAACGTTCGCGACGGCCAAAGGATACGGCCGTCCGGAGCAACAAGTTGACTTAAATGACTCCGTTCGTTTGTCCATACCTTGGCCCCTATGTCAATAGACCTTTCGCTTCGTTTCGCGTTGTAATCTAAACCCAAAATTTCTCTTTCTAATTCAATGTCCCATTGTCCTCGCCCACCTCCCCACGAGTGAAATGGCCATTGGGAGTATATAAAGACGTCCTTTAACGAGGTAAGTTCTTTTAAACGCATTGCAAGGCTTTTATGGGTTTCCCGTAGCGGAAAGTAAGCATCAATCACCCTGTAGAAATTCATGTATAAAGTTAGCCGAAGATTTCTGGTGTTGAACCGCGTTTTTATCTGCGATATGATACTGTCCCATTTTTCATGGGCATCCTCTTGATTTGTGGAAGGTAGTGATATCGCGATCCCTAAGGAGCAAATTTGCGACGTCGCTATTGGTGTCAAACTTTCCAACATGTCTGCCACAGCTGGAAATGGTTCTCTACAAAGGTGTAGGTCATCAAGCCTGCCGCCCTTTGGAAGAAGAACAAAGTGATTGCGGCGATAAAATATTGTTTGAGCAATCTTGTGTACTTGATGGCTGACAAGAAAGATGTTAAGGGGCAGCCTCCAGCAAGTGCATGTCGGAGAAGACCCTCCGTGATATGCGGTGCAAGCGCACGAGTCCAAAGCCTGTGTGCATGTTGTGCAGCAGTCAAATGGGACTAAGCCTCTATACTTGCACCACTCCAAATCGAATGGGGCAACAAGCTCCGAGTATTCTAAAATTAAAGTGATGACTTCTACCGGAAGATGGTATGAGCGCGGTGGTGGCGGTTGTATGGCTTTGTTATTGAATAGTTCCTGGGAAGTAAGATGTCGCACTAGCTGTTGGCACAGTATAGAGTGGTTCCAACTCCGGTTCTGGCTCAAGCGGACAGAAGAAGAACGTAGATTGTGTAGAGGCAGCAGGTGACTTGCAACTTCTTGTGCGGTGGCTATGTCTTTGGTATCACAGATCAAGTCTAGGTTTAGTAGCCTCAGATTGCATTGCGCCGCTACCTTGGTGACTACACACTCCAAGTCATTGAAAACAATGGCATGTTGTCTCGCTTGGAGTTGGAGTGGTCGATCATGGAAACCAGATTCCTCACAATCAGGGTGGCAAGAAAATAGACCGTACTTGCGAGGACCCTGTAAGTGACGTAGCTCCTCAAACAATCCACCATACATCCGTTTGCCGTAGATGCACTCGCAGCTGTTGAATCGAATCGTCAGACGACGAATATTCCGCAGAGCACTGTTAGACAGCTGTTGTAGCGGTTTCAGCCCCCAGACATCACTCCTCCCGACGGTAAACGAGTTTTCCGAGTAGAGAATCTCCAAGACCCCTTCTGATATTTCTCGAGATACATACAAGAGGCTGGCTGGTAGGGGCGGACATATACATGCTGTTACAATTCCTTCCAATGGGCCATGGCCAGAGCATGTTCTGTATTCAAACACACAAGCATATGGTTTGGATGCAAAGACGTCGTCATCGCTCAAGAAAGGCGACCTGGTAGGCCATTGAATATAGTGCCCCAATCGCGTAAAGCTCTTCATTGTGTGAGCTTCTCGCTGTTTATTGAGAAGATGACGCGATCGCGGCCCTTCTTGGTTCATATTGATGGGGCATAGTCGAACGAGACCAGCGAGAACATAGATACGATGACGCACAGAGTACGGTAAACTCAGGAATGATGTACCTGTCCGCTGAGCGGTAGGCGGGTTGCGGTGCCAGTAGAAGTCCAGCTTACGCTGTACCATAATTTATGCGTTATGGCTCAGAATCAGCGTAAAAATGACGATACGTATTAGGATATAGAAGTACTGATGTCAACCTGGAAAACACATACAGGGAAACGGGGCTTGACCGTGCACAGAACCACAACCTGCGACACGTGATGCTAGAGAGCCTCGTGTTGGGCCGCGAAGTCTTATCCATTGTTTACATGAACGTGTTACAGTTTTTCCATTATTTATATTTAAAAAATATTTAGTTGCGCTTGCTTGTTTGACGCTGCGCACGTTCGAGATATCTCTTTGCCACCGCTACTCTGAACCGTTTGCCCCAAATCAAAAAGGGCACAGCCAGTAGCTGAACAGCAAACATGATGGCCGCCACAATGATATGGACGTTAAGGAGACCCATCGCTGTAATCCACGGCGTGAGTGCGAATAGAATAACAACAGCGAAGACGTTGCGCATAAAGATGATGCCGACCATAGATGATCCGACAATCTAGGCGAGGAAGAGTTAGCGGAATATGGTCAAGCGGAACAAAGATAATGACATACGGCGTGATAGCAGTCCATAGTGTAAGAAAGCGCAATGCCGCCCGAGACGCTCATAGAGAAACTGAATACACCAGATGCTACAGCAATGAGGGGCCACCCAACACCCTACAGAACCAACGTTAGTAAACGATCTACACAATCAAGACGGAGCGTTCCTTACATAAGTAAACCCCAGGCCGGTCATTAGCACACTCGCAGGTGTCAGTATTATACACGGTAGAGACAGCCACAGTCTCATCTCTGGTTCGTAGAGTCCACCATTCCTCTTTGACAGCCGCACAATCAGCCAGTCATCGAGCCAGCCGCCAATAAAAGCCGCTGGAATGGCTGCTACAAATCCGGCAAGATTAATGAGTCCAACTCCAACAGCAGTGAAATTGTACGGTGGCAAGAATAGATATGTTGCCTGTACTGAAGCGATCAATGCGAAGACGGCCAACAGCGTTCCAAAAGTGAGTGCTGTAAAAGCCACTGCTGGGAACGTGACGAGAAGGACAAATGGATCGTGAATATTAAGAAACACAGATTCGTCAGTTGGTGTGATAAGCGCCATACGTTTTCGATAAGAGTTCATGGGGATGCTCTCGTCGATATAGCCGCGGTTGCTCGTGATGCTACGCTGGAGCGCGTCGTCCGCATCTATACCGTCCTTCTTTTCGACGTATAAAGTGGCGTCTTTCTCATCCTTGTCGTCACCGTGTGACAACTGGTTTGCCAGGGACTCGCCCTGGAGCAACGGCGTGTATTTGGACTCTTCAAACAAAAACACCACGAGCACCAGGTTGACGCCAATGAGAATCACACACCACCACCATATCCAGCGCCATCCTTGGCTTTCAATGACATAACCGGCGGCGACAGGGCCAAGGTTCGATCCAACAACGGTACAGAAGAGGTAGTATGCGTTCATGGCGGCGTGTTGGTGCACGAAAAAGATGTCGGCAATGGTCATTTGCACAATTGTCTCGCAAATTCCACCACCCAATCCTGCTAGCAAGTTGCTCAGTAGCATATCAGGTGTGGTGTTTGTCAACGCGAGCCACACGCAGGCAGCGACTTGGAGTACAAGACTGGCAATGTATACGGGCCGTCGGCCGTACTTGTTCATGAGCGGGATAAAGACGATGCTGCTCAGACCAAGGCCCGCAAAGCCCATGGCTTGTCCGTTGTTCAGTGTATTGATGTCAAAGCCCAGCTCGCTCTGGTACTGGCCAAATGCAATGACGCCAATGTCGAGTTGGACAAATGTCAATATGACGTAGAGCAACACGAGGCCGAGACTGAAGCCCTTGCGCATCGCGGACCAATTGAGAGGGTCATTGGGATCCGTGGTGGGAATAGGGTGGAGGAGCACTCTGCCACTGCCATGCTGCACTAGATGATCACAGGATTAGTAAATCTGACGATGGAAGAGACGCGCTTTCCTGCGCAATCGGGTTCGGGATCTGGTTCGGCTTACAGTCTTCCAGCAGCAGCGTGCCGGGCGGGTGCTGGTCGTGTGTACTTGAGTCGGTCGCCATATCCAACCCGCACTATGATAGTACAATGCAGTGGTTGAAGATGAGCGGGTCGATGATGTGAAGATGGATCATGGGGATGCGTCGAATATAATTGCCGTCTATCTCGGGCATGCTCCGCACGACGGCGCTAGTTACGAACGATACCGAATCGGTAATTGGAGCCATTATTACTACGCTGTATTAGCGGCAGATACCCCGCGTTGTGGCGCAGACGATTTCTAGCATATCGGGGTCCGCGGTAGGCCGGACGCCTATCTTTTTGGGGGGCTTTTTTCTTAAATAACGTCTAATCCGTGTATATCAATTGGGGGATAGGCAAATGCCGAGGGAGAGTACCGAGAGCTGAATATATGCCACAAACGCCTCTTTGGCTGGCGGTTAAATGCAACGCACGAGAATCTCTGGAAATAGGGCTTGACAAGAGTGTTATGTCCGTCTATTCTAAGCGATATCCGCATTAGAGCCCCAAGATATCCACGTTTTCCAAAGAACGCCAGCGGGTTTCCGCGGACAGCGGCGGTAACCCCAACGCAGCCCGCGCGCTAGATTATTGACGCCGTGGCGCTACGCTTAAATAGGGCCAATTAGACTGCGCATTAGCAGGACGGTTTACTGTCAATCAAAGAGACTTGCACACGATTTCTCCCACCTTATCAGTCTCAGCTGAGCTCTCACGACTGCAGCATCTGCTACTTCCACTAGTCCGCCCAACTGCCGTATTTTCAATTGGCTCCTCTATCTACTTGAGACATGGCGACGATCCTTACCAATGGCCGTGTACTTCGGCCATCCGCCAAATACAACACCAGCAACGCCGAGTTTGCACAATGTCTCGTTATCCGTGATGAAGACGGCACTATCCAACATGTTGGAAGATTCCAAGATGAAGCAGTCCAAAAAATTGTGGCCTCTGGTGGCGCGCAAACCGTGGATATGCAAGGACGCCTGATTATACCAGGACTCATTGATAGCCACATGCATGTGCTTCACACTGGCGAGGCTCTTGGACAATTAGACTTGATCAATTGCAAAGACTTAGATGAGATCCGCGACTCTATCCGGAAATATGCACAATTACATCCCGACGTGCCGCGTCTTTCGTGTCGCAGCTGGTTTCAAGCATCTACCAACAACGAAGCCCTGGCCAGCGCGCTTGACGATCTCGACCCGCGACCAATCTACATCACGGCTTTTGATGTACACTCCATGTGGTGCAATACGGCAGCCTTGACAGAGCTGCAACTCGCCGACATGTCTGATCCGCCTGGCGGCAAAATTCACCGCGACGAGAATGGCAAGCCCAGTGGATTGTTGTCGGAGAGCGCAGCACTCGGCATTGCCCTACCATTCCTTAGCAAGCAGCACAGCGAGCAAAAGAAGCTTCAGTTTATGCACGACGCCTTTGCCGCATACGTTAGGAGTGGCTACACTGGTTTGGTCGAAATGGCCATGGATGACGCCACACTGGACATTCTCCTAAAATACAGGGCTAGCCGTGGAGGCCGTCTGCCAATATGGATGGCTTTTCACTGGTTCATTGCGCCCACACATTCTGCCGAGGAGAACATGGCACAAGTGAAGCGTGCTATTGAGCTCCAAGCCCAGTTCAACGCTACTGGTTCGCCCGACTGCCGCATCGCAGGCATCAAGCTCATGGCTGATGGCGTTGTTGATTCGTGCACAGCCAGCATGGTCGAGCCGTACTCCCACACGAACCAAAACGAGCCCACCATGTGGAAACTCGATGAGCTGAAGCCAATACTAAAGGCAGCCAACGATGCTAAGCTGCAGATAGCTATTCACGCAATTGGCGATGCGGCGATCAAGCTCGCCCTGGATGCCTTGGAGGCAGTGGGCGACCCCACGGCGCGCCACCGCATCGAGCACCTCGAGACATGTGCGCCCGAGGACGTTCCTCGTCTCGGCAAGCTGGGAATCACAGCGTCAGTGCAGCCCGTTCACAGTGACCCGTTCAACTTGACGGCATGGCCAGAGCTGATTGGCCCCAAGCGCTGTGGGCACGTTTTCCCGTATAACGGATTTGCGGAGCACGGTGCCGTCATTGCACTGGGGACCGATGCGCCGACGGCGTCGCATGAGCCGCTGCCCAATTTGTATACGGCGACGACGCGCAGATCCGGGCACAAGCCGGAGATGACGGAGGTGACAACGCCACAGTATGCGCTGAGCTTGGCTGCTGCGCTGGCGGCTTATACAAACGGCGCTGCGTATAGCTGTTTTGCAGATGATCGTGTGGGAACACTAGAAGTTGGGAAATTGGCCAACTTGACGGTTATAGATGTTACGTGGGATCCTGCTGCTCTACTCCAGGGCAAAGTGGTAGAGACTTGGTATCAGGGAAAGAAGCTTGTTTTGTAGAGTAGAGTAGAGGAGACCTGGTGGGTAGCGTTGATTACAGTGATAGTAACCAACTTAAGTTACAACTTGCACCGATGTCATAGAGAATAGACTACAAAACGGTAAAGCAGTATCAAACCATAAAATAGACATCGTGTGGCTTGCATCCAACGTTTCATCAGGTCTCCTTTTTTTGTCTTCCTTTTTTCACAGCCTCAGCTCACAGGAATGTCACTACATCGTACCACTACCACAATGAACGCTCAATAATCGCCCACCACGGCGCCCCGTCCATCGAACATGGCTGTGAAATGTTTACGTCCTGCAGGATGGGTGCTTAGTGTGCGCTACCTTTGGGCGTCATCCCCTGTAGATCCTAGGCTGGAATAGGCATAGTCCGTAGGCACACAGGCACACCAACTGAAAAAGAAAACTGAATTTTCACGGGGCGTCTGTGGTTACCGTTCAAGAGAATCTAGAGAAAGCTGGTGTTTACTCCTCGGCTAGCGTCGACATTCTCCAGCAAGCACAAAACTACGGATGTGTCTTCCATAGTGAAAAACGAGTCATTTCTTTTATTTTCTGCTCGCTCCTCCTCAGCCTGATTCTCTTGCGCCCGGCCACGCTTGGGCCAAAAATAGACCCTCGGTTGGCTGGTTGTGGGACCTCGCAGCCTTATTCTGGTGTTAGTGCATACACCTGGATCACCCATTTTCCGTTCTTTTTCTTTTTCAGGCTAGACGCTATGGGCAAATACGAATGGTCTGAGGACGAGGCTGCCTATCCGTAGAGGTCTATATAGGGAGCTAGTCCATCCCTCAATCCTCCCGAGATGCCCTCTGCCTAGTATACCCAACACTCGCTCTTTTTCACCAAGATGCTTTACAAGTCCCTCGTTCTGGCTCTCGCAGCCTCTGGCGTCGCCAATGCACAGACATTCAGCGACTGCAACCCTGCCAAGGGAGATAGTAAGACCACCAGCACTTCTAGCGCCACGCTTTGAGACTAACCAACTCCTCCAGAGTGCCCTCCCAAGCCCGCCGTAGGCAAGAATGCCTTTACTTGCGACTTCACAAAGGGCAAGTGTGGCCAAATGAAGCCGCTTGAAGGCACAAGCGAACAATACACCGCCGACGGCGCCAAGCTATCCCTCAAGACGGACAAGGAGGGGCCTACCCTGCGCAGCAACGACTACATCTTCTTCGGCCACGTCGATGTAACGATGCGTGCGGCTCCCGGTTCCGGCATCGTGTCCGGCATGGTCCTGCAGTCTGACGACCTCGACGAGATTGACTTTGAGTGGATTGGCAGGGACAACGGCCACGTCCAGAGCAACTGGTTCCATTTCGGCGCCGGCCCTGATGAAAAGTACGACCGTGGCCAAACCGACGCCGTCTCCGATGTCACTGGTACTTTCCACACTTACTCCTTCGACTGGACCCCCGAGCGTCTGCAGTGGCTGGTGGACGGCAAGCCTGTCCGCACCGTTACTGTGGCTGACGCAAAGGGCAAGTTCCCTACATCTCCGTGCTACCTCCGCGTCGGTGTATTCGGCGCCGGTAACAAAAACGCCAACCCGGGCGTCAGGGAATGGGCTGGCGATGTCGACATGTCCAAGGCGCCTTTCGATCTCTACATCAAGAGCGTCAAGGTCATTGACTATGCCGGTGGCTCTACCGCTGCCATCAAGGACGTCAAGAGTTACTCGTACGGCGACAGCTCAGGCAGCGCCGAGTCCATCCAGTTCCACCCCGAGGGCTCTGGCAACACCGGCAGCAAGGGAGGAGATGCCCCCAAGGGCGACTCTTCCAGCGCCGTGTCGTCGTCAGTTGCTCTCAAGGAGACTGCCTCCTCCAAGCCCAGTGCCTCGGTTACCCTGATCTCGACTACCATGAAGACAAGCACTGCCTCCAAGTCTTCTTCTGATGCTACCCAGACATTGGCTACCGACTCTGCTGCGGCTTCCAAGACTTCGGGCGCCCCTGCTGCCACCTCTAGCAAGGCCAGCGGCGCTGTCGCCAACACTGCCGCCGCTAGCTCCATGGCGCTCGTGGCTGCTGGTGTGTTTGCTTGGCTTGCTCTGTAATTAGAAGGCACGATGATAGATACTGCACGGCGTTTTGTCTGCAGAAAAAAGCATGATTCATGTAAATTAGACTAATACCACTATTAATATGACTTTAATCTATATAATTTCTGTATCTCTAGCGCCACACAGTGAACGAGAAGATAACTAGCCTTTCCCTACCTTTACAAATACGACCGGGCATTCGCTTACTGAGCTTTATCTTAGACAGCGGGTTTATAAAGTTACGGCCGATTGTGTGGCGCTAGTGCCCCTCCCAGGTTACATTAGATGGCGGACACCTAATATACTAGCCCAACCCAGACAAACAACGACTGCCGTCACTCACTGTAGCCAATCATTACTTTCTTATCCAGCCCGTCAATCGCCGCAATAAGGAAAGGATCTTCCATCGCGGGAAGCGGCTGCCGCTGAACGAACGCGAGCGGCCGACACCCCCTCTCGCGCAAACCGAGGTTCAGGATGAGCTAAAGTTGGAAGGATTTTCCGGAATGGAGTCCATCCGCTGAGGCAATTTGCACATTCCGGTAGAGTTGTGCAGCGTTGATATAGCCAAGAAGGCAATGATGAACATTTTATGCCTTCGTTGATAGCAATCCGCGCCTAGTCGGTGAGACAAGACAATATAAAATATACAGCAACCAACTGAACCACCCTAAATATAGTGTCCGGCTACGCTCGTTACGCCGCTCTACCGTCGGGTTTTACGGTGGGACTAGCCCAGTTTTAGATTCGGCTTTCCTTGGGTTGTGGATCTAACCGTATATTAATGCACTAAAAAGCAAATACACAATATACACTGCTACTCAGGGTTGCAAAGAAGGATTTACGCGTACATGGAGTAGACTGTGTATTCTATATAAGGCTCCATGGCTGGCTAGGTCCCCATCTCGGGTCATGCATACTAGATCGCATTATAGGTTTGCCCATTATGCATAACGCTCTATTACAACCGTTTGCGCTATTGCTCGCGTGCATACTGCCCAATGCGCTCGCTAGCACGGCGGTATCCTCTCACACCGCAGATGTCTGCACAAAGCTGCATGCTCGGTATCCCGACAAACTCATCTGGGACCCAGCCGGTCCCAAGGGCTGGACTACCCTCAATGAGTCCTCGACTTATAACACGGTGACGTTTGATTACTGGAACGCGGCAGTCAGCTTGGACCGTGCAGCTTGCATGTTTGTTCCCGCCAATGCAGAAGAGGTCTCCTTCGCCGTAACAACATTAAGGCAATATCCCGACGTCCGCTTTGCACTCAAAGGCGCTGGACACAACCCCAATCGAGGCTACTCCAGCACAAAAGGTGGTGTCCTAATTGCGTTTCGGCCCAATTCCCGCTTTGTTATCCCATCCGCGGATCTTAGCACAGTGACAATTGGGCCCGGCTGCAAATGGGAGGATGTCTATGGCACCCTATCGCCTCTCGGCAAGACCGTCACTGGCGGGCGCCTAGGTGATGTCGGTGTCGCCGGCCTCATCCTTGGTGGTGGCCTTTCCTATCTATCAGGTCAACACGTGAGTTGAGCTGCCACATCTCATATAGAACTTCACTGACTGATGGATACAGGGCTTTGCTTGCGACAATGTCGTCAACTATGAAGTGGTGCTTGCCAACGCAACGATTACCAACGTAAACAGCACCTCGCACCCAGACCTCTTCTATGCCCTCTGCGGCGGCGGCAACCAGTACGCCATTGTCACTCGCTTCACTCTCAAGATGTACGAGAGCGGTGTCAAGGGTGTCGTCTGGGGTGGTGTCCGCACCTATGGCGAATGGCAGCATGCTGACGTCTTAGAGGCCGTTGCTCGCTTTACATCAGACAACACAGATGCTCGAGCCGGCATCATCCCCACGTTCAACTTTGTCACTACGCTTGTTCTCGACATCCCAGCCATTGCGGTAGCCATGTTCTACGACGGCCCCGCACCGCCACCCGGGGTCTTTGACGTGTTTGACGATATCAAATCCATCTCGGACAGCACCAAGGCTCAGGACATGCCCGGTGTTACGCGGGAGCTGCTCAATGGCGATATGAAAGGTCTTCGGTTCCGTATCGGCTTCAACTCTTTCCCGGCCATGCCGCTCGACAACATGACCGACTTCCTCAACGACCACTACGCACTTATCAAAAAGGCATCTGTAGAAGCAGCTCTCTGGGACCTGCTCGATTTTAAAGACTTGTCGTTTGCTGTGCAGCCTATGCCGCGACACATTATGCAGGCGTCCAAGGATGCCAATGCCAATGGCGGTAATGCGCTAGGTTTAGACCCGAGAAATGGCGACAAGGCGTGGATTGAGTATGACTTTGCGTGGTTGAGTCCTCTGTGTGACGGCTCATGCGATAACTTTATTCGCAAGGTTGTGAAGGACGCGCACAACTTGCACGCAACAAAGTATGGAGGAATCTACCCAACAAACTACGAGAGTGGCGACTTGGAGGCCTTCAGGTACGTAGAGGATGTTTTTGTTACAAGTTAAGACGCTAACTATATTTTGCAGTTATAATCCCATCTTTATGAATGATGCGCTTGATACGGAGCCCGTCTTGGAAAGTTATGGTGCTGAGACTTATGCGCGCTTGAGAGCTATTCAGCGCGCCTACGACCCCGATGGCTTTATGGCGACGCGACAGGGAGGCTTTTCCTTTACGAACTAAAGAGTTGGATGTCTTTTATGACTTCTATAATGTTTATCAATAATATTTAAATTTTTAGTATTCTTTCTATCATTCGTTTACCACCAGATACTATCAAGAGTGTAATAGCAGTGGTGCGCTACAATTTGTGCAGCTCCGGTGAGCATTGTCTTACGTTGCACCTTTTATTCCCCAAAAACATAATTTCAATAATCTTCAATGCTGACTGCATTTCTTCCAAGTATTATTTAGTATCCTTAAAGTAAACAACTATATAAGTGACGTATATACAAAATTTAGTCTAGGGTAGTCAGATGGCATACTCTGGATTAATGCCTATACACGCGTAAAGGGGCCATTATTAAAATTCAATCAAGTATATAAAATAAACATAGGTGAATAATAAAGATGCATATGTGTTTTGTCGTAGTTTTGAAATAGTCTATTTCATTCACTGTTAATATATCTGATAGCGGACATCTCTCCGCGACTTAAAGTTTAAAGTCAATAATGTTCATTCTATAATATGTCTATACAAACGCCGCGTCTATCCATAAAAACAAAGAAAAACAAAGAAAATGCTCGCTAATTTAAAATTCCAACATTTACAAACTGACTCTTTAGATGGAATCCGCATTGGCAAGAATACAATGGGCATTCACGCCACCATATCCCAACGCAGTGACACCAATACGATCACCTGTCTCCAACTTCAACTGCGCACGCAGCGGCTGCGCACTGGTTGGCAAGACGCCCATGAGCTCATTGCACTCTCCGAGCCGGCGCATTGGAGGCACAACACCCTTGCTTAGAGCCAACGTTGCCTTGATGAGCGAGAACAAGCCCGACGCGGCCTCCGAGTTACCAAAGTTGCCCTTGTTAGACCCGACAAACAGCTTACGCGCCTGAGGAAGCAGAGACAAGTCAGCCGCCTGCTCAGTTCCTGTAGGCGAGACAGCACCACTGTTGCACATTGACGCCATTCTCGTCAATGTGCCGCCGCTGCGGACAGCCTTTTCATATGCTGCAAAGGCGCGCTCAATGCCCTTGTACTCGAGGGCGTCGCCAATGCTCGTACCACTGCCGTGCATCTCGACGTAGCGAATCGACTGGGGCGCCACGCCGGAATTAGCCATGGCCGCGCTGAGGACCTTGGCTTGGCCAGAGGAGCTGGGCACAGTGAAACCAATCTTGTCCACGGCGCCGTCAGTGCCGATAGCGTGGCCTTCAATCACAGCATAGATGCGATCTCCAGCTTCACGGGCAGCCGTAAGAGGCTTCAGGATTACAGCGGCGACGCCATCCGCGGGCACGGAGCCGTCAGAACGGGCGTCGAGAGGACGGCACTGGCCACTGATGGAGAAGATCTTGCCGTCTTGCGTGGCGTATCCGCCGAGTTGAGGGTACGCAATAGAGACACCACCGACAATAGCGGCATCACAGTCTCCGGCGCGCATGGAGTTGATGGCCTGGTGCAGGGCCACGAGCGAGGATGCGCAGGCAGCGTTGATGTCCATGCTGGGACCAGTCAGGTTGAGCTTGTACGCCGTCAATGTTGATGCGTTGGGATCAAGAACGACTTTGTATCGGCGCTCAAAGGTATCTTGGGGCAAGGCTTGCGCGCCAGACTCGAGGTATGTGTTGGGCGCGATGCCAACAAAGGTGCCAATGTTGGAGCCTTCTTCTGTCTGGACGTCGATGCAGGCGTCGTCGAGGGCCTGCTTGGCAATCATGAGGAACATGCGTTTCTAGGGATTGTGTCAGTATGTGTGTGTAAGTTTGGAGGGGATTGTGTTGATATGTGTGTGTGAGTTTGGGGGAGATTGTGTTGGTACGTGCGTGTATGTTTGGATGCTTATACTACTTACTTGAGGATCCAAGGTTCGAGCTTCCTCGTCTGACATATTCCAATTGCTGCCGCGGAAGTCGTCGAGGCCGTTAATGCTACCGTATCGCGGAACAAAGACTTCTCCCTCGTTCAGGTCAGCATCCTTGGCACCAGATCCGTCGCCTGTACTGATTCCATCGCGCTGCTCCATTAAGAGATCCCACATGTCATCAACAGAGTCAGCGCCGGGGAAGCGGCCCGCCATGCCGATGATGGCATATCCGTCATCAGTCGAGACAACCGAGGTCTTGGCGGTCGATTGACCAGAAGAGGGAGTTCCTGGAGTAGTTGCGAGCTTCTGGTCCGCAGAGATGTCGGATGCATTGCTGGAGATGATGCCAGAGCTTCCAACTAGCTCGGCAAGACGGACGGCTTGTCTGCGGACCGTGGGGTTATAAAAGACGTCAAGAAGAGAGATCTTGGAATCAGGGTATAGGGAAATGAGCTCCTTGTGCAGAGCTGTTAGGAGGATACTGTGTCCACCAGCATTGTAAAAGGTGACGTCTGGTCCAGGAGCTTCGCGCGATCCAAGTACCTTTTGCCAAAGCGCCGTAATAGAAGCCTCCATACGAGTAGCAAGACCTGTATCTACAGCTTGGCTCTTGGGCAGGCTACTGTTGCTATTTTTGTTAGCAACAACTAGTTTAGGAACTACAGGCTTAACAGAGTCTTCCTTCTTCTGGCTGTGGAACTGGAGGAGAACCTGCTTGTGGTCCACCTTGCCGTTTGCATTCAGCGGCAGGCTGTTGACAGCGACGATATCGCCTGGGATAGAGTATGATGGAAGATCGAGAGCGATTCTCTCGCGAATCTGTGCTGCCTCGAGCGTGTTGGGGCAGACAAATGCGACGAGCTTCTCATCAATGACCTGCGTCGAAACCATCATGACCTCGGGGCAGTGGTCCAAGATGCTCTTTTCAATAGCGGCAAGGTCCATGCGGAAACCACGCAGTTTGATCTCACGGTTGTTCATGCGGCCCAGAATGTGTAGCTTTCCTTCGGCACTAATGAAGCCGCGATCACCAGATCGGTACATTCTGACCGTCTTTCCGTCACGCTGAATAGTGCGGAAGTTTTGGGCGGTCAATTCTGGCTGTCCCTTGTATCCACGTGTGACTTGGGATCCAACAATGCAAATCTCTCCGACTTCTTCAGCAGCCAATGCCTCCTCAGCGTCTTCCAGGCAGATCATAATGGATACGTTGGGGTTTGCAATGCCAATGTTGGACGGGTTAGGTAGCTTGCCCTCAGAGTTTGGCACAATCAATTCTGTAGCACAGATGACTGTTGTTTCAGTAGGGCCATAGGCATGGACCAGGTGTACCTTGTTACTCCATTTGTCCAGTAGTCCCGAGGAGGAAGCCTCACCACCAACAGACAGCATTCTCAGCGATGGGAGTGCTCTGCTATCTGGGATTGTGGATAGAACCGATGGTGTTGTGTGGAAGAAGTTGATCTTGTTCAAGTCGATCATGTCGGCAAGATAGTCACCAACCAGTAGCGTGGGATGGTCAACAAAGCACAGGGTGGCGCCGTAGGATAGAGTAACCGCCCATTCCAAGATGGAAGCATCAAAGGCAAACGGCGCAAACTGGAGTACGCGCGAGCCAGAGCCAACCTTGACGACGTTTCGGGTTGCGCTAACGTAGCTGCTAAGGTTCTGGTGCTCGACCATGATGGCCTTGGGCTGACCGGTTGAACCAGAAGTGAAGACAAGGTAGGCAAGATCATCAGGCTGTGCGTCCTGAACAACGTTGGGTCGCTGACCAGCAGGGACATCATCACCAGCCCAAACGCTGACCATCTTGGGCGTAGCTGCGCAGTCTGTAAAGTATTCAGTGTCAAACGAGTCGGAAACAAATAACTTGGCTTCGGCTACGCGCAGCACAGCTTGCTTTCTTGCCAGCGGCAAATTCTTGTCTAGAACGACGAAACAAGCGCCAGCTTTGTGAATCGCAAGAATCCAGGCCACCATATCAAACGATGGGCTCACGTGCAAAACAACCACGTCGTTTCTGCCAGCGCCCAGCTTCTGAAGATGAACAGCTCTCTGATCAGACAGACTGTCCAACTCGCCATAGGTCATGGAGGTGTTGTCCTCACCGCGCGACAAGGCAATCTCCCCTGGCTGAGCAACAGCACGGTTATGGATCCAGTCTGCAACACGCGATGATACCACTGCATCTTCATCTTCCACTGAAGGACCACCAGCAAGTGTCGCAATCTCACGGCTTTCAAAGCACGGAAGCTCCGCAAGCTTAAAGTCAGCCGTCTGCTGAGACAACTTGACGATGCTCAGAAAGTTGGCCTTGATGGCCTCAAGGGCCGCATTGTCAAAGACGGTAGGATCGCTAATGACACCAAGGGCCACGCCGTCCTCGTGTTCCAAGAAGCAGAAGAAAAGATCCCAAACGCCATTGACAGGATACAATGTGCAGCGATCGTCAGCCAACTTGGGGCTTAGCGTCACGGCCACCTTGCTAGCAGCTGTGCTTTCGTTGCCCTTGGCTAGTGTGGCCTCGACAAGCGACATAAAGGGCAGCATCTCGTTCTTCTTGGCAGCCGAGATGCTCTTGCCGACTAGCTTGACTAACTCAGCAAACGAAGAGCCCTGCTTTTGTAGGAGCGCTGACACAGGCTGGCGAATAGGCATAGTGTTGGCCATGTGAGAGACACAGCTTGCGAATCGAGGCTCACGGGCACCAAAAGCAACTTGTAAGATGCCGTCGTGGTGCGGTGTAGGCTTTGCGTGAGCAGCCATGACGAGACCAATAGCGGATGTGGCAACACGGAACCAGGATGTGCGGTAGAGCTTGGACCATGCGGCCAGCTCATCATTGGCGAAGAATGTCCATGTGCTGATTTCACGGTAATCTTGGGAAGTGGTTTGGGGTGGAGGTGTTGTGTGCTTCCAGTTGTAGGTCGTGGTGTTGGCCACCTGAGATAGCCAAAAGGCCGTGGCACTCTCTGCTTCAGAAGAACGCAAATAGGCTTCCTGGCGCTGAACAAACTCTCCGTATGAGGCGGACATATCTGGTAGTTCTTCACCAGAGAGTAATTGTAAAATCTCGCGAGAGAGGTGGCTCATACTTGAACCGTCTACGGCAATGTGGTGGCCCATAGCGTAGAGGGTATAAGCGGACTTTAAGCTGCCATTGGTAACTGTAAAGCTCTGATGTATAATCCACCGGACGGGGAATTCGGTAGAGAGGTTGAGACTGCGGCGCAGAGCTTCTTGTAGTTTGGCGTCGTCGCTTACAATCTCGATGTTTTGGAAGCAGTCTTCGGCGTCGTGGACGGCCATGTATGATTGTGATGTCTTTTGGGCCGATTCGTCAATGTGGAAGGTGGTTCGGAGCATGTCGTATTTGCTGCCAAGTTTGTGTATGTCTTAAACAAACAATCAAGATTAATATTTATTACTTAGTGCTTGGAGACTAGGGTTTCAGGTGGCATACTGTTCATAAGGCTCTCCAAGGTCAGTTCAGACTGGCCAAGGTCGACCTTGAGCGTCAGAAAGTAATGTGTAGCCCATGGTTGTCTGAGATAGTCTACCCAGAGAACCTCTTGGACTTTGGATAGCGGGATAATGGCAGACAGACGCCCTTGTGGTGGGGATGGACGCAGCTGCTCTTGTGAAGGCGCCGCTGGCCCTGTGATGAAGGGCATATGTGTAGTCGACATGATGAAGAGATGTCTATAATGATGGAGACGTATGAGGAAAAGATGAAGAAAGAGAAAGAGAAGTGAGTATAGGCAGTATATATAAGATGGATTCACCGCTTTGGATCATTCTTTGCTGAGCTTCTACTTCTTCCATATATATACATGTAGTTTTCTACAACAAACTGGACATACGTACTCACCAGATATACACACTCCCTCTCTCTCCAGCAGAAACGCTAACAAAACGACCTAATTCTCCGGCTTACACGGGCAAAGACAGGCAGCGTTGCCTAGGGTGTATCTAGACCCAGTAGCCAAACCAACATCTCCGGACACCTTTGCAGCCCCAGGATCCATATTACAAGCGAAGCCATGAACACGAGTCGGCCTAGTTTTCGTCCACGTTACAACGTATATCCACTTGCTTCTTTGTCTTTGGGCGTACGGCGTCAGCATGCCTGCCCATGGCGCGTTACAGTTAGTAACAGGCTTGGGCAGCAGCAGGATCCGCGCTGTAACCTGCGTTTGGAATCGTTTTCAGGATGGATCCGCTGGGCTGACTCGCCTTAACGACCGTTTTGCATGGCACTACCCTTTGGGTTGCATACAGCGCCGGACGGACTAGCGGCGTCTATTTCGCCGGAGGGCCCCTTGGCTTCAGCCGTGACTACGCTACGAGCCAATTTAGTTCTACGAGGAATACTCTACAATTCAATGATAGAAGATATAGCTATAATGTTTTTTGGTAGTCAAAAACTCTGTCGAAATCTTGACACAAAGCTGACGACGGTGGCTTTTTCGTCCTCCGTCTCGTTGCCGTCAAACTTAGCCGGAGGATTTTCGTGGCGATGTCGCCAGCTTACAAACCAAACTGCATAAGCCGAGCGGGACGAACAGCGAAGCCAAAAAGAACAAAAAGAACAATTGCGCCGCTAGAGATTAGATGGGGGTCGCAGTCGGTTGGTTACTGATCGCGCATTGGTGGACGCAAGGTTATGCGCAGCATACGAAACCAGGGAATAATTTGACCGGCGACACGCAGGCCCCTGGGATCACGGGAGGGGCTTGGATGTTTTGCCGGTAAATTTCATCTAAATCAAATCGGCATCTGGGGGCTGGATCACCCAATCGTCCCGTCTGTGGTGAATTGGCTCAGTCAACAGACAAGACGGCACATATGTGAATGAAAAAGTCTGTCGATAGAAGTTGTACATAGCCAAGAGATCCAAATGCTCATTGCCAAGATACCCATCTAACTGTAGCCAAGCATGTTGAGCGACAGCCGGCTATGTACTGTAAGCCTTACTACCAGACGTAGTCATCTCAGCGGAAGATGCCGCCGGCCGGCTCTCGTCACGGCTATTTGCAGATCGAAAGAAGCCCCCAAGATGGCTTCTGTGCAGATTTCTCTCCAACGCGTCATCTTCTGTAAGATCCAGTGCAGACGGACACTTTTTCAAGGGTGTACCGCTAACAAAGTTGCTCGATAAGCAACAACAAACAACCCAACGCTAAAATGAACCGGCTTAATTCCCACCCACCAATCCCGGCCACTCATCGTCAGCAGCCTCAAAAAATTTATCGAGATCCACTATCACGCGATACTGCGGCAGGCAAAAGAAGGGCCCCCTTGCTGTTCGGTCCCGAGGCGCGGCATGTGTCGGATTTCCTCGCTGGGGTCATGCCTCGCATTATCTATACGCATGCAGCAAGGCAAGGGGTTGTGAGCAAGGGAACACTTGCATGCATGCTGTTAGATACAATTTACCCAAATAAATTCGGATCCATGAGTCAGCGGGGTTGGTTGGCAGTAGATGACGAGGCGAGCTAGCCCCCTGCTCTTCTCTCTTTTCTCTAAACTGACAGAATAATTCTCCATTGGGCATCAGTGCACGCGTTGGCTCCAGTGCATGTTGGCAGACATAGGAAACGCTGTCTTCTACATATCACGCTCTCCAAGATGCAGCCATCACAGCAAACACGCGCGACGGCGTCTGCTGCTGCTGCTGCAATGGCAGATCCTGAATCCAGCGCTGCTAGTGAAAAGGACATGGCGGTTCTAGCGCCGCCAAGCGCGGGAGACGCCACTGCCAAGCCGCTCGATGAGGAGAAGAAGATCGAAGACACTGTCAAGCCAGCCGCTCACGATGCTGGTCCACCGCCCGATGGTGGCGCCCAGGCTTGGCTGGCTGTCTTGGGTGGTTTCTGTACCGTATTTGCGAGTTTCGGATGGATCAATTGTATGTAGAACGTTGATGAATATTCTTTTGCAGTTATGATGATGGCTAACATTGACGCAGGCATTGGCATTTTCCAGGATTACTACAAATCGACACTCTTGCAAGCCTACTCGCCGAGTACTGTGGCCTGGATCCCTTCCACCGAGTCATTTATGCTCTTCTTCTGGGTATGTGCCACGCCTCTGCTTGTCAATTATTGTACTGACGAAAGATATAGGGCCCCTTCGTAGGCAAGCTGACCGACGACCTTGGCCCTCGCCTCCCCATTCTGATCGGATCATTTCTGCACATCTTTGGCCTTATGATGACGTCGATATCCACGGAATATTACCAGATATTCCTGTCTCAGAGCGTATGCAGCGCCATTGGCTGCTCGTTCCTCTTCTACGCACGTAAGGATACCACTCGATACTGATCAAAATTATGTACTAATCGAACTCTATGTATAGCGATTGTCGCCTTGGGTAGCTGGTTCAAGAGACACCGCGCGCTGGCCTTTGGCATTGTCACAGCTGGATCCAGCATCGGTGGTGTGGTGCTTCCCATCATGGTCAACCATCTTGTAGTCAGAGTCGGCTTCGGATGGGCCATGCGAGCCACTGCGTTTCTCCTGTTTGGCCTGCTCATCATCGGCAACTTGACTATTACTTCGCGCCTCCCGCCTCTTAAGCGCAAGTTTGATATCCGCGACTTCATCATGCCCTTTGCCGAGCCAGCTTTTCTCCTCCTTACCATTGGCGGATTCATCATCTATCTCGGCGGATTTCTGCCCTTCAATTTCATCATTACACAGGCCAAGGCTGAGGGCATGTCCACGGAGCTCGCCAGCTACATGGTCTCTATTGTGAATGCCGCATCGTATGTTCAGCTCGCTAGTTTTTCGAAGATTATTACTAACGTATTCCCTTCACAGCACTTTCGGGCGTATTCTGCCCGCCCATTTCGGCGACAGATATGGCGTCTTCAACGTCATGGCCATCTTCACATTTCTCAGTGGCCTCTTTACGCTGGCTGTATGGCTTCCCGCTCGCTCCAACGCAGCACTTATTGTCTTTGCCGTTCTGTACGGCTTCACCTCGGGCTGCATGCTCTCCATTGTACCTGCTATGGTGGCCTCCATTACGCCTGATCTAAGCAAACTTGGATCCCGCAACGGATCGCTCTACGCCTTTGCAGCTGTGGGTGTCCTCTTTGGAAACCCAATTGCAGGCGCCCTTGTCAACAGCCAGCACGGCGAGTATACTGGCCTGATATTGTTTTGCGGTATTGCTCTGCTCGTAGGTTCCGTGTTTGTTCTTTTGTCCAGACACACTTTGGTTGGCTTTAAGCTGCTCGCCAAGGTATGAGAGACGAAAGAGTTCTGTAGTTGCTGTTTATACTCTTCGGTTTCTGGTCGCTGTAAATGATGTCGGAAGTTCAAAAGCAAAAATAATCGCGTTAGATAATTTTGCACCATGTGCCTATTCTTGTAACACAATAATTAAAGTATTATAATTCGAGTCTATTTTTATCGATCGCTGTGCATTGTACATAGGTCGCAACTGGTGCTTCTATTTGGCGTCTTTGCAGAAGATATTTTGACCAGCCTGAATAGAGTCGTTAGTACAACGCTGCTAAAACACAGCAGGATATACGCTTCCGTGACTTACGATAGCCAAAGCGCAGCAGGAAGCCTTCTTCTCGCTCTTGGCACACTCGGCAATAAGCTCCTGTGCAGTGGTGGAAGATCCTAAATTTGACATATAGTAATTAGTTTCCATTGCTCGAAAGATAACCACAAAAAACGCGGCCTGCCTGAAGGGTTCACGCAGTTGGTGGCAGCAAAGCCAGAGCTCTGAGTGCAGCACTGGGGGTTGATATAGAGGCCGCTGGACGGGCATGCGCTGGAGGCAGCGGCGGCAACAGCGACGAGAGAGGAAATGATGAAAAATTGCATGGTGTCTTTTTTGCTGTTGTTGACGATGATGACGATGATGGCGATGATACTGAGAGTAAAGAGTACAGCAGTGCAGAACAATTCCTATATATCCACATGTATATACAGGAATGTAAACACCCTACAGGGATAGCCTCCCTTCGTGATTCAATGAGCGCTGTGCACATTTCTTCTGCTATTAGGTATTGCCCCACGCAAGGGACGGCCCTAGAGACAGCGATGTCCCGCTGGAATTTCTTGTAATACAGTACTTTTAGTAGTATAACTCGGGTGTATTTCTATCGAAGACGGCCGTTTATCATATATAATTGCGTACATACTTGCACATCTCCTAGTAATGGCTGTCGCGCACAACAAAGCCTTGCTTGGGATGCTTTTAGATGGCATCTCGGCACATAAGGCCCTGACCAACCTGGATAATACGGTTAATACAGCGACGCCAAAACAGAACAAAATAGATATTTCCGTTCCTTACAATAGGAGGAGCGCAGCAAGCACCCTTCTTGGCAAGCTTGGCGCACTCAGCATTGAGGGCCTTTGCAGTGGTGGCAGATCCTTTATGACACATATCAGCTTTAGAGTTCAATGCTAGAAACATCAGAAGGAATCCGACTTACCCGAGGGGCCGAAGCAGATGGTGCCAGCAAGACCATTGTCCTCAGTGCAGCACAGGGGGTTGGCGTAAAGGCCACCAGCTGGGCATGGGCCGGCCGCAGCGACGGCGGTAACAAGAGAGGCGATGACAAGGAACTGCATGATGTCTTTTTTGATGATGATGATGATTGTGAGATTCAAAGGCCACAACCATGTAAACCAGCACACATGCCTACATATATATATACCCGAATATATACACCATACATGGATACATTCCCTTTGTGATTCATAGGACCCTGTCTTCCTTCCTTCTGCTACGAGGCATCGCCGCACATAACAAAGGGCCGGCCCGAGAGATGGCGATGTCCCGGGAATGACAAGTCATGTTGGTCCCTGTTTATGTTACTACTGCACTACGACCAAGTCCATATCGGATGAAACTGGGTTCCTCTCGCATGCACTGGAGATCCTCTTTCCAGCCATGCCAAATAAGATCCATTTACAAAACGCATGCTGGAGGAGATTTAGCCCTGGGGGGGGGGCGCGGTGGCAAACAACAATCGGCTGTGATGCTTCAAAGAGGAACACGTGGGGGCTACTTTGTTGAGATGAAAAGCAAATGCATCATTTCAATTATTTTGTAGTGTTTCCTTGGGAAAGAATACTGAATGGACTTGTTACAGAACTGCGCAGGTCATGGCCAGACTTCAAGTTCGAATAGGGGGCTGCGTCAGACTCTTCATTGGAAAATACGCAGGGCTTGCTTCAGTAATCCATCATGATATACCAATGTATGCAAAGTATAAATACTATTGGCTAGAACTATTTCGGCTTCGAAGAACGTTGATTACTATTGCAATTCATGGGCTATGTTACATGACGATTGCCCCATACAAGCCGGTGTTTCGGCGGCGATATCTGCCCTACTGACAGCTCATCATCCCGTCTTTTCCGTCCCATGCATAGATTCCACATTGGATGATGCCATTCGCTTTATTTTCTTCTCCATCGTCGCAAAAATGCACCCATTTGGTTATAGCGGGAGATCCAGCCATACTTGGCGCAAGTGCCCGTGAGGACCTGCATAATCCCGTAAAAAGACGGACATGGCGAAGATGCCATTGCTTACACCGCAATTGGCGAGCAAATGGGTATCGCTTGGATTAACAGGCTTTCAATTGACATGTCAGTGAGCGACTAGTATTAGTTTCGGATGTGCGTATGACCCAAATGTCCCATTCTCGTCTATTCGGACACTAGCTGCTTCATTAGTATGGTGGATGGCCTGCGGATGCATCACTGGACTGTAACATATAGATGGGCTAGGATAACACTGTTTCTGATTATGTATTTCTATGGAATATATCGATCGCAGTAATTTTCTTTGAGAATTTTACAAGGAGCTGATTAGAACCTTCACGCAGTGGTGGTCGGCGCCAGTCTAAATGTCGACGTTAGCCTACAATTGCCAATAGGGCCAGAATAACACGAAATCTCTTCTTACCTTGGTATGGTCGCAACAGTATGGATCCTTTTTATAAGTGCTGCAAACTGCAGAATGCTGATCTGGTGTTTTTGGTGATGCTATAATTCGCAGAGCATGTTAGTAACATTGCCTCGCCTGATCATCGAAAGCCACGAATAGGACGCACCAAGTGCATCGATGCACCCTTGGCCTACACCTTCCACCACATAATCGCAGCAGCTAGGGACAGCGGATCGAGGGTCTGCACATATTCCTTTCTCAGTGGTCTGAGCAGCAGCAACAAGTGCCATCAAGAGCGTAGCAATAAGAAACTTCATTGTGAGAGATGACTGTAGACTTCGTTTTGGTGGATGGAGAACGGATGGTCCAGAGACTTATTCAGGAGATGGTATATAGTGTTTATGGTTATATATAGGGATGTAGAGACTGCCCCCAAGTGAACCCCTTTTGCCTTGTATTCCTGCACTCAGGTATTTATCGCCCCGCGTAAACGCCATCCCGTGAGGCTTAGCTCTCAACGATCGTCAATCAGCCAACTTTTATATGAGGCTCGAGTCCACTTTGAAGACATTTAAATTCCTGAATGATGTATTTTGTACGTCATTTCTGGGTCGAAAATATGGGCCATCTATCGGTTTTCTTGAAATAACCCTTGAGGGGGCGATCAGATGAGGAGCCGTTGCCCAAACAGTGATACAGGAATGTGGATGCCCTAGACCAGGGATGAAGGAGTATCCACGCCACTGTGATGGATTCTGAACAGCGAGGGCGATTTAAACAAAATTGACGCGTTTCGAAAGGCACAAGTGCTTGTTTCTTTTGAAACGAACATGTGGAGGTACACGTAAAGTTAATGTTAAACGATCCATGGATTTGGGTGGCGTCAAAGGTTAGCATCGTAATCACATCGCTTGACGGGGGCTTCGCCATCTCTAGTCTGTGTTTCCTGCTTTTCCTTTTCCATATCTTATAATGAAATGGAAATTGAACAAAGTTTTAACCTCTTTCTATCTTTCTATGCAACAGTGTAGCCGCCGTCAATGACAAAATCCGCGCCAGTAGCATATGTCGAAGCATCCGATGCTAGATATAGATAAATGCCCTGCAACTCCCCTGTCTCGCCGAAACGCCTGTGAAAAAAAAAAATCAGTAGATGTAGACGGATAAAAGATGGAATACATACCCCATGGGAATTTTATCCGTAATGGCACTCATGACTTCTTCGGCGACAGCGCCAGCGATGCCGGTGTTGATGTATCCCGGAGACACAGAGTTGGCACGGGCAAACCCAAGCCATTCGATCGCCAGAGATTTACCTGCCAAGTCACACAAAACGTTAGAATATTTCTTTTAAAATCATTGAAGTTCGGGTAGGATACACAAAAGAGCGAGGTGCTTACATAGATGAATTACAGCCGCCTTGGACGCGTTGTAAATGGCCTGGCGCCGGGGAATATTGACAATGTGTCCAGACATGCTGGCTGTCGCAATGAAGCTGCCACTCGAGAAGCCATCGAGTTTGGCTCCATCGGATGTGGTGCCTTCGAGCTTTTGTCGGCGAAAGTGCTTTCCCGCCACATGTGCGCAGTAGACCACGCCATCGGTGTTGATCTTCATAAGGTCGTGATATCTCGACATGTCGGCGTCGATGAATGACTCGTCGCCCCAAGAGACACCGGCGTTGGCAACAAAGATGTCCAGACGGCCACCAAGGTCAGAGATGGCCACAGTGACGGCTTTGTCGACGGCTACATGGGAAGTGACATCAACACGATACGCCTTGCCTACAATTGATATCAGTACACATAGCCTCGCTCTCCTACCTCAGTATAGGTTGCCACTCACATTGAACACCAAACTGGGTAGCAATCGTCGCGGCTGTTTCATCAGCATTGCCATTAGAATTGTACCAGATGGCAACATTGGCACCGGCTTCCGCAAATGCTTTTGCTACAGCGAGTCCAATGCCACCTCCGGCTCCGGATATAATTGCCGTCTTGCCTTTGAGGGAAAAGAGGGACATGACCCCGCGATTCGGCAATGGGGGAAGCGTGTTGTTGCGGCAAAAGATGCCATTATTCATGCTCTCAGCCATCGTGAGGTATGGGGGTAATATATTTTGGAGGATTGGGATTCTTGCAACGTAATTCTAAAAGCGTGAAAGGGTTGGGGAGAGTGTCAACCGTTGGAATAGTCGTCTTACGTGGAGGTGACCCCCACATAGAAGGATAATGGAGTGGCTGTTGCAAGTTGGATATTCGTGTCTATTGGACTTCCAATAAAATAAGAAAACTAAAAGTACAATAATTATAGGACGACCACAAGCTATAGTGACGTAATAGTTAGAAAGGGCCATTGGTACGTACACCTGATGAAGCAAGGCTCTGGCGCGCCCTACGAACGATCAACGACACGCGCGTACTTAAGCTTGGCAGACAAAACACTACATACATTTACTACTATGAACATTTAAATCTATATTTTCATATCATGGCATCTAGTAAACCTGTTTCTACAGATGTACTGACTGCCTTTGGCGTAGATGCCGATGCGCCGCTCAAGGCCCTACCCGGAGGCAGCTTGGTGTGCTACTTGGCCGGAGACAACGTGGTGCTGCGCCCGTCTGAAGACGATGTTGAATCACAGCAAATCGCTGAAATTTTAAGAAAGCTGAATAACCTAATGCAACCATCTGCACCATATCGAGTCAGCAATCCAGTGGCTGTGGCTACAAACCCAAACTGCTTCGTCTACTGCGGATGGACCGCCTGGTCATTTGTATCTGGGGAACCCCGGGAAGAATTCCGTTGGGACGAGTCGTTGCGCACTTGTCGTGGATTTCACCATGATATTGGGAAAATTGGCATTGTAAAACCAGAATTTATCAGCCGGCGCATGAACCGTTTCCGCGAGGCAGACCTCGTAGCGTGGGGGGAGAAGGGTCTTGACCAGCTCCCAGTCACTACGAACCCGGCTGTGCTCTCACGAATTGAGGCGCCGATGCGCCGGCTGGAGGCTTTGAAACGTGAATTTACACATGATTTACCGAATCAGCTAGTCCATGGGGATATGGCGGGGAACATGCTCTTTGACGAAGATGGCAAACTGCCGCCGGGGATCATCGACATGACGTTTTATTGGCGACCTGGTGGACTGGGAGCAGCGATTATGGTGGCCGACAGACTTTTATGGAATGATGAAGGGGATGAGGCTGTGAAGATGTACGGAACAGATGCAGATTCTATACAGCTGCTGCTGAGGGCACTGCTCTTCCGTATTGTGACATGGGCGATTGATATTGTGGTGGTGGACGCAGAGCCTGACAGGATTTGGGCCGAGAAGATGCTACCAGTGGTAGATTTTGAAGCCGCAGTTGAGATTGTCAGTAAGTTTGTGACTTTAGATGACTAGTCAACCTTATTTACACCTCTAGAGTATCCTACCTCAAGATTGGGTTCCTTTCAATTATTTTACTTGATGTAACGATTTAACCCTTCTCTCGCCATCCTTGCACAAAGTTTATCCAGTTTCTCATACAGCGTAGAAATGCTTTTGAGCTACACTTTCAACCTCGGCCAATCATGTATAGATATTAAAATACGGGTTTGTTATATACTCAATGGTCTAGCCCAGTCGCAGGATCAGCTGCGCGTCTCCAAGCCGAACAACTGCACTATGACGTGTCAAGCAGGGTAGGTGCACCAGGATCCTACGACTCACACGGCGTGGAACCTGCATGGTGGCTGCATCCAAACAAGATGAGAAAAAAAATGATAAAGTTCAAACAAGTGCGAAATCATGTCATCCTTCTGTAACTATCTAGATGATATATAAGTAGTGCAATGGTGGCACCAGCAACCCCACCCCAGCATCACTGCAACCTCGCAAAATTCCTCCTGCCTTCCAACTCTTCTTCTTCATCACAACACCATCACCACTCCGGCATCATGGGTTTCGACATTCCCGTTGAGATTCTGGGCAAACAGCCAGTCCTCCAAATCTACACTCAAATCTCCTCAATCTATGCGGTCCCATCGCCCTTAGACCGCCCGCGCATCAGCGCCACGCTCCGCACTGGCCTGGAGCGCCTAACCGCCACCTTCCCTTGGATCGCCGGCCAGGTCGTCGATAAGGACACCGTTAATAAATCTGGCGAATTCCACATCGTTCCGTATGAACAGATACCTCAATTGACCGTCGTTGATCGGAGTAGCGGCCATGATAGCCTTCCCTCGATGGAGGAGATGGCGGCCGCCAAGTTCCCCGCACGCATGCTCGATGAAGACCTCATTGCACCAGAATGGACACTGCCCATGCTGAATCCCAAGCGAAATGCAGATGCCCCATTCCCTGTTTTCCTCGTCCAGGTTACATTTATTGATGGCGGCCTTATTCTCACCTTTAACACTGCGCACACGTGCTTTGACTTTATCGGCCAGGCCCACGTCCAGTATCTGCTCTCCAAGGCATGCCAGGGAGAAGCTTTCACCGAAGACGAAATAAGGGAGGGAAACCGCTCAAGACATGATGTTGTTCCTCTTCTAGATGGCTCGCACAACCTAGAAGCCGTGGTCGGACACATGATCAAGAAGCCGAGAGACGGCGACGCTGCGGCTACCGCTCAATCACCGCCAAAATGCACCTGGGAATATTTTAACTTTCCGCCACAGTCGCTGGAAGCATTAAAGGCAGAGGCTAGCTCATCGATTACCTCTGGATTTGTATCGACAGATGACGCCTTGACAGCAACCGTCTGGCAGGCCGTGGCACGAGCACGCGCACATCGCCTCGATCTCACTCAACCCGTCACCTTAACTCGTGCTGTGGATTCTCGCACAAGTTTAGGTGTCGCTAAAGAGTACCCAGGGTTACTTCAGAGTCAGATTTACTACGACTACCGGCTGGGTGACCTGGTCTCGGCCCCGGTAGGCGTTGTTGCCGAGAAGCTGAGGGCGGGTGTCAACCAGGAGCAAATTGGTTACTCGACACGGGCAATGGTCACCTTGCTTAACAAATTGGAAGACAGAAGCATCGTTTCATTTATTGCCAATATCGATCCGGCCTCCGCATTGTGCATTAGCTCGTGGGCGAAACCAGATTTGTACAGCCTCGAGTTTGGACTTGGACTGGGCAAGCCGGTGAGTGTGCGTCGGCCGGGCTTTACGCCCGTGGAGAGTTTGGCGTATTTTGCCCCAAAGAGTGCAGAAAAGGGGATTGCCGTCATGATTTCTTTACGGGAAGAGGAGATGGCGGCGTTGAGAGCGGACAAAGTGTTTACCAAGTACGCGGAGTACGTTGGATAAGAAAACAATGTCGCATGTGTATTGTATATTATACATTCACTGTCTGTTAAATTTAATTTACAATCTTTTTAACTTAATATAATTCGCACATACAAACTTTATGATGTGTTTCTTGCAAATTTTAAGTAACAGTGTAAAGGTAAATGTCTATAAAGTGCTTGGAAGTAACAATTGTATACCTCTGGATTATTAAACAACAGAATTCATAAGCAACTTTGCGAGAATATGAAGCTTGCTTTAGGAAAGATCATGTAGTAGAAATGTTGATCTTGATAAATGTCGTTGTATATACTGTTTGTATACCTAATCCGAATCGTCATTCGAGTCGTTTTCTCCCGTTGCAAATTCATAAAAGAAATCGGATACTCCAAACGAAACTTCTCGCCGCGTGATAGAATTCTCTCCATTATCCATCCAATTCATTGAATCACCGCTTGTCTTACGCTGTAGTTGCGTAGTCCTAGTATCCAGCATGACAGAGTCCAGTCCATCATCCAAAACCGTGAGTTTAACGACACTATTGTTTTGTGTTAGGAATACCATGACACTGCCTTTGGAATGGATCGGCGGGCTGTCATAAACTGGTGTTCCCAAACGACATGGTCCTGGAAGCTTAAAGACTCTGTTTCCGTCTTTGGCAATCCAGTCATCATCGTAAACCAATCTCAATGTATCATCAAAAGAACTGGTCAGCTCTCGTGTATTGCTTTTCAAGTTCCAGTAGCCATCAGCTCGTCGCCATACATTGACATCTGACGTGGGAAATGCGGGAAAACGCAAGTTCGTGTCCGTCATTGTCATATGGTTCTTTACTATTCTCGTGAGTCGGGTTCCAGTGAGAACACAGAATAGATCAACAACGTGCGTGTATGTTGGGTGGGAAGTGTATATGATTGCCAGTTTCGAACTGTTAGGAAGGAAGGAGCCATCGAAAATGAATCCTCTTCCTTCACAAACTTGGCTCTGATATGAAAAGTATTGGCTTATTGGAAACCGGTGAACGCTATATCTCCGCCTGCCTCTCAAGTTGTAGATGACTACCAAAATATCGTCCTCGCTCATATCCTCCGAAAAGAACAAAAGAGATACTGGCAGGACTGGTATTGAGCGTATCAAGTATCCTGTTTGCAAATTCCACACTGTTAACTGTTCGGCTGTATCTTCAATCCAAGTAGCTATTGCTAAATATATACCGTTTGGCGAGATGGCAACCAATGGCTCGGGATGGCTGGCCTCGCCATGGTAAGTGGATGTAAAAACACTTTGTAAGCTGTCCGTATCATAGACAGCAACACACGCAGTCTTGTGAAACGAGCAGATTAAATATTTCCCATCGGCCGAAAATTGCACCATATGTTGATTGGTTTTCATTGTGCGAATGCTGCGGTTAAATGTATCATGGAGCTCAATTGTGCCATCAGTAAACTGGACAGCTACCATATCCTGAGATGAGACTAAAAGCGATTGGGCAGCGTTGGAATAGCCACCTTCATCTACTGTATAAGGAACTGTTGCCTCATCTAGAGATGAATTAAAAATGGCGATAAATGACCGAGATGCAAGAGCCGCGACCTGGCTTCCATCGCCAGTGGCACAAATGGTTTCGATATCAATATTCACAGTAAATTGTCTCCAGGTAATGTCAAGGGTTTCAATATTGAGACTGTATATCCATTTAGAACAGTACATGTCGACAAAGGTGCCGCATTTTGAAAACTGTGCGTGGTCGATGAAACCAGATACACCCGTAGGATTTGGCTGGCCGGTCCAAACCCTGATGTTATCGCGGATATTCCAAAGCTCCGGCTCGCTGGATCCCGCACTCACTAGGAGCAGCCTATTGTCCTGGGATATAATCAACATTGACGGGCGCTTCGTATTAGATGTAATCTCGGCCAAAATCTTTCCATTTCGTGAGTTGCCGACGATAATGAGATTGTTTGGTCCACATGAAACCGAGATTGTCCCGTCTGGAGACAGTACATTACATGGGTACTGGCGTCTAAGATCTTTCCACACAGTTTCGATACTACCAGTTTCAGAGTCTGTAATTATTCCGCCCAGTGATTCGGTTTCTTCAGTAGAGCTAGAGCAAGTCTGAGCAACGCTCTCAGCAATGCTCTCATCAATGTTCTCCGCGCTGCTCTCAACGTGACGGCCATAACCACTATCCACACTGCTGATGATTTCATCCTCATTTTCATCACCCTCCAGACTGTGACTACTACTTTCATATATACTTTCCCAATCTGGTACGTTGTGCTCATGAAATTCGCTGTCATCAGAGCTGCTGTCGGTGTTGTAAGATTCCGGGTTGGATTCAACTAACTCGAACAGCCTCTTTCCAAATTCTGTATCAGTAAAAGGCATTGACTTGACTTCCTGCATAGTGACTGCGTTCCATCCGCGCCCGTTGAATTCATGTAGGCCTTTATATCGAGAATAAAATAGGTATTTTCCTTGTTTTGATGGTAGCAGAAAGGAAAATCCAGTTAGCTTCTGCTTTAAGACGCCACTTTGTGCGTCTACAATGTGAATATCCCGCCATGTCGTATGCACAACGATGAGTCGTGAGTCCGATGAGAAATGCACTTCGCAGATACTGTAGTTGAAGACTTTGGTAAACCTTTCTGAGCCTGAAATGGTGTCCCAGACTTGTACAGAATTGGCTGACGCTGCTAGAAGTAGTCGTCCGTCGTCGGAATACTCCAAATGATCCGTATAGGGTAAAGTCGACAGGGTTTGTAATAGGCTATCCCAATGACCTTGGATTCCTTCAACCTTAACTCCCAATGAAACGGCATGTTTTTTGAAAGTTGTTCTAATGAGACTTGATGTAGGACAAAATACTAGGCCAGCACCATATATTTGCAATGGAGAAGTTTCATAATCGTGTACAAATAAAAGAAAGCGATGCGCATCTTTTAGAAATGCAAGGAGGTTTAGTAATGGGTGTTCAGCTGCCTGTTGACGTGTTAAAATAGAACTTTTTGTTGACGTATAAAACGTTGCTTACCAATATGTAACTTTGCAAATTAATGATGGACGACACTGAATTTGAAAAGTCTTTCAATAACATTGCACATTCTATCCAATGCAGAAAATGTTTGCAAAGAAAGTCACTGATGACGCCGATTTCACTGCCTTCAATTTGGGCGTCCAATACATGATGCACCCAATTTTTAGAGGCATACTGTACACTACCAGGGATACAGTCCTGAATATGGATATCGTCAACCTCTTCGAGAAATGTAAGAGGATCGCCTAGTTTGCAGATATCTCTCATCAACTTTGCATCCAATAGCTTTATGCACTTGAAGGCTATGGTACCGTGTGCCTCTGGAATAGGGATGACGTATGGCGACTCTGCATTAGGAGTGTCCAACGCTGCCTGCACAAAATCGCTGAACGATTTATGGTAAATTTCAATCGCATCATCTTGACCAGTCGGTAAATTTATAACCGAGTGTAGTGTTTTCAAAAGACTCTTCACAACATCTAGCTTGATGCTAAACATTTCTGAGAGTATCCGCCTCGACAACGGTGTTCTGGCCAGAATAATTGCATAAATGAGGTTTTGAAGATCGGCATGTCGTTTTATACCAACGCTTGCAAACGCAATTTTTAACACTGGCTCGTAAATTTCGTTTAACTGATTTGCACCAGCAGACACACTACTAAGCCATTCTTCCAACTGATCGTCGGGCAAGCTCTCCTCGTTTGTGAGAAATCGATACAGAGTTGCTGCATAGATAAAGAGCGGCGAAGGTGTCACTGCGCGAGTAATCAAAATCTCCTGCTGGACTTCCGTTGGCCAGGGATTTTGCTCGATATCGAACTGCTGCTTTATTCGTGTAAACATGTCTGACATGTATACTTGGATATCTTTCTGAGTCTCCTCTGAGAATTGAGCATCTTCTAGATGCAAATTTATGTAATCCTCTCCTTCGACAATGAATTCTCGGACTCGTGACTCGAATGTACCGGCAGCTCGGCTAGTTAGAAGAATGTTGAACCTCTGCTCCGTGGAGTTGAGCCCGGAAAGTAGCGCAATCAAAGGGCCTAGGTCGCCATGATCTGCACATTCGTCGAGGGCGTCAATGATTATGACAAAAGTAAAGCTTGACATCTTACCCTTATCAAGAAGACGTCCAAGAGGGGTTCTGAAAAGAGTATCAAATTGTGTCTCAAGTCCTTTGTCTCGAAGCCAGGTTTTGTCCTTGCCTGAAAGCGCGTCCGCAACATGACGAGCAAGTCCTGGGACACAGTGGATTGCTCTATCCATGATGGTGGATAGGATATTGGCACTTTTCGTTCTGTCCTCGTCACCTCGTCTGAAAAAGTAGGAGCCTGCAAGAACTCCATCTTTGGCGAAATTCGCTGCCATCGTTCGGGCAATGGTCGATTTTCCAGTGCCTGCCAGTCCGCGCACCCAGAGAATATTAGGTCCTGTGTTTGACGCAGCCCAGACTTTGATACGCTGCTGGATTGTCTTTCGTGTGCTTTCAAAACATTTTCCGGCTCGTTCAGAGTCTATGGAATCGAATTGGGCTTTTGTGTCGACAAACATGTCAAGTTTGACAGTTTCGAGCTTTTTACTGCACTACGGTCAGCACAAATGTCACAGTTCTTAAACTTGGCCAACATACCTCTTGGCCTGAGCCAGCATTTCCACTCCATCTGCAATCTCCTTTGTATAGGCGACGCCTTTAGTTTGTATGTCGAGAAGACTTTTGATATCATCCGCTATACTGATAAGGGCTTTGGTTTGCTGGCCCGCGCTCAATACAAGCTCGTCCAGGTTTGATCGGACGGCTTGATCGGTTACGAGTCGAAAGGCGTTAAGAACAACTTCTTCCGCGTCATTTACAGCCTTGACCTTTGTCTCCCAATCGTCATATTTAACAGCATCTCTAACTGTACGCATTATCCACCTTCTGTAGAATCGTCGAGCACTCTCCATTTGAAAGATGATGATGGAGACATAGAGCTGAGTGATTTCATGTTCGAGTGTAATACGGGCACTAGGCTGCAAATTAAGGTGTTTTGGCCATAAGAGTTGCTCCATACCAACATAGAGCTTCATACGGGAAAGAACCTTGATAAAGCTAGCTTTGTGCTCTGCCTCAACTGTGCTGATATTTGTCACCAGTGGAAGGACTAGCGCAACGCCTGCCCAGGCCATAGATGCCTCGGGGGAAGCTTTGAATGCCTCAGCAACGTAGTCTTTGAATCCAACGAGAGTTGAGCTGAGTTGTCCAGCTTGATCCATCAGGACAAAGTCGTTGCCGAATAGCGTATATTTGATTCTGCTGTTTGTGAGCTCTTCAAGTCCTTGCTCTGTTATAAGTGCCATTTTCTCCGGACTGTTGCCTAATACCGAATTGCTAGTGCTCTCGGAGCCAGAATCCTTGTCGAGGTGCTTAGCGAGAAGCTTTTCGTACTCCTCAACGAGGGTTTTGTTTTCTTTTCGAACTTGATCATACGCCCGTGGCCAGAGTGATACAGGCGGTCCATCTGGCACAGTAGCTGCTATTTCGGGCGCATTTTCGGTAGGTATACTGTTTTCTACAGGGGTAGATACTGCAGAATGAGCTGAGCTTGCTCTCGAAGAGGCGCGGCTGCGTAGGGAAAGTTCATCTCCAGAATCGGTCGGTGGCGCCAAACTATCTCCTAAGCGCTTGTTCTTGGAGCGCCGAACCAGCTTGTCGAAGAAGCTCGGTTTTGACGGCATCTTGCCTCAATCCGCGACTTATCCGCCGAACAACAGAGCAGCTAATTGTTCTGAAAAGCGAAACTTGGAGAAGCGGTCGCCAACGAGGGGCTGAACCTGCATAGGCACAGCCTGACCAATAGCGTGTGCAGGTAGACTTGCCAGGGTTCTTGTTGGTATGATTTCGGTTCGTAAATGAATATATAGATGTAATTTCTATATATACTATTACCTGAGACATATAAGATAAGTTCTGTTAGTAATATTACTATGATATTACTCGGAATACAGAACTTATACCGACGCCTAACCTACGCCTTATAAGCTCTGCCTAAAGTATCAGTATCGCTAACTACCCTATAAGAAAATACAAGTCAACAAACCCTAAATATAAATTTGATTAACAGTTATAATTTAGTTTTTTCTAAATGAATAAAATACATAACTCTTATTATTGTATTTCCCTATAAAATATACCAGAGTGAGACGACTTCTTGGGAGAGTTTAGCACAATTTCAAAATTTATCTAATGAGTTTCACTCCTGAACTTAGAGCTTTTACAACACCCGCGATATAAATCTAGATATAGAATATATAGTAAAATTTCTCATAAAATATAAAAATGTGTATTTACAAAAATGTACAAAATATCAAACTATTTCTCATGTCCATCACGTCTACGCCAACAAGTCCTTGCCCACATCGGGAATCAAGCTCTCGACCTTTTGCTCCCAGAGAGAAATAAACTTGGGGCTAAGATCATCGACCTTGTAGTTGTCATTCACCAAGAAATGCGTAGCATCCTCAATAGGCTTGGTGATCTGAGGAACAAAAGGAGGCAAAACACCACGAGCATGCCTAGCGCTGCGCGTGATGCCGCCGTTGATGCAAGACGCATTGGCAAAGCCAGAGTCAGCAGTCGCCTTCCAGATGGCAGTGGAGTCGTCAAGCATGGCCTTGGTCCAGTACTTGCGGCAGTCAGCAGCCTCGTAGACGTACTGGGCAGGCATACCATCGGCAAAGTTGGGGCGGAGGATGGCATCACGCACGTTGTGGCTGGCAGCAAGTGTGCGGTTGATGGCGAGATCGTTGTAGCGCGCAAAGTCGGCCTGGTCGTCCTGGTCGGTGGACAGGTTGACACCGTCCTGGACAAAGGTCTTGATGACGTTGTAGGCGTAAATGTTGGAGCCCTTGACACCGCCAACGCCCTGCATGGCATCGCGGGTGGGACGGCCGCCAAAGACGACGGACTTGACGCCGGCCTGGAGACGGAGCAGCTCGGAGACAATAGTGCAGGTCGAGGCGCAGTAGCCGTCGTACAGAAGGACAATGTTCTCGGCGAGGAAGGGCTGCGTGCCGTTGGTGCGGTTGCCGTAGCCGGTAACGGTGATGCCACCAACGCCCTTGAGGTTCTCAAAGTCGTAGCGCATGCGGTTGGTGTACCCTGTGTCACGGTACGTGTAGGGGCCACTCTTGTCCTCGATGGAGGTAAAGTGCTTGTTGGTCGAGTTGAAGTCGTTTTGGTACGCAAAGGCAATGGACTTGAGGTTTTCGTTGGGGTGGTCGTCGACGTAGTTGGAGTACATCTTGGCCAGGCCCTGCCACGTCTTGGTAGACTTGAAGCGCGAATCACCTTCCTGGATGATCTGGGGGAACAGCTGGCGGAAGAGATCGTAGCCGAGGTAGATGAAACCACCGCCGTTGGCCTGCAGATCCAGAATCAGCTTGGTCTTGCCGTCGCGGACGGCCTTGGCCAAGAAGGTCGAGACGACATCCTGGAAGTCCGAGTTGGACTTGGGAGCAAAGGATGTGAGTGTCAGGACAGCGGTGGTGTTGTAGCCGTTGCCCTCGAGGTAGTAGCCGGATGCGACACCGTCACGAGAGATGACGACAGGCTTGGGGTATCCGGGAAGCTGGGTGACAGCAGCGGCGGGACCAGCAGCACCGCCAGCAGCAGCAGCATGCTTATCGTTCCAGAGGGGATCGCAGAAGCGGTTGTAGAAGGACTGGCCATCGGTGATGCCGCTGAAGTCGCCCTGGATGAGGGCAACATTCTCCACGTTGCGCACAGTGCCGTCGCTCATGGTGTAGTTTGTCCACTGACCCTGGTACATGAAGCCGTCACGGCCACCGAGCGAGTGCTCGCCGTAACCTCCAGAAGATGCCTTTTGGGCAAGCTGGTAAAACTGTGTGTTGTAGGAGGCGTCGACATCCTGGCTGCCACCAGCAAGAGCAGAGTTGCCCAAGACAAAGTCGGAGGCAGACTTGCCGTTGATCTTGGTGATGGAGAGCGCCTGGTCGCCCTTGGAGTCGACATCGTTCTTGAACTTGATCTGGGGCGTGGCATTGCCGTCAGAAGAGAACGAGACGAGGCCACCATAGCCGTATCGACCGAATCGGAGGGCGCGGCCGAGGGCATCGGGGATGATCAGCATGTGGCCGTCATGGGCAGGGTTGTACATCTTGCCCATGATGTCGGCCTGGAAGGCATACTCGCTGGTGTAGCGGTTGTTGACGACATTGTCACGCACGGTGTCGAAGACGGCGTACATGTCGTGGGCAGGGTAGCCAAAGGACGCAGGAGGGTTGCTTCTCCATGGCGTGTCACTCTGCCAGTCCATGTAGGGACGCATGGAGTCGAGCAGATCTAGGGCATTCTGGCGGTTGATCGGCACCGATGTAAGACATGCGTAGGCGAGGGTGGCGTTGACCACAGTTTTGCCTAACCCGTATTAGTTAGCAAGCCCAATTGGAAGAACAATACATGTGACATGATGCAGATCATATTCTATGTAAATAGAATCAAAACGTACCAGCAGCAGCGGCATCTGCAATCTGAGCACAAGCAGCCTTGGGGGCAGCAGGAGCAGCAACGGCCAAGTCGCCAAAGACGACGGTGGCCACGGCCAAAGAAAGAGCGTACTTCATGATGTCAGGCAAACGTCTAAATCAAATGAATTGGTCGTCTTGTCATGATATTCGCCCAGATATCGCGGGCCTCAGTCCCCTCTATATACCACCAACGTCCACTCCTCAACAACTCCGTGGCCAAACTGCCGTGTAATCGCTTCCACTCACCTCCTCCGCGTTTTATTACGCCAAGAGGCCATGCGCCGGTTTCCCTCAATCTAGAACCCCCTGCTAGTTCCCCGAACTTCCTAATCAGGGCCGAAAACTGGACCGATCCATCTTCAGGGCCTTGGAAACTGCCTATTCCAGCAAGTACTGGGGTTCTTCATCTCATTTTAGCGCCTTGACGGGTCCCTCTTTAGGCTACTTCCCACAAATCAAAAACGAAACAAAGGCAGCTGCCAATTCGCACGCAACATTATCAAGCGAAATGACTCGTGTGGTGGACCCCACGAACCACAACACAAAGAAAGTTGGGGTAAAAAAAAAGATACGGGTTCAGTGTCGTGCCCCTGAGATGAGCACGAAAGATCTTTTGAAAGAAAAAATGGCCTGCCCACTAGACGTTTCGTGTTATGGGCGGTAGGTGCCGCTGTTACATCCCACAAAGTCTTGACTCGAATTCAAATTCTACATAGTTTTTTTTAACAATAGAAGCAGCGCCACATTCGGAGCATCAGGAAGGTCAAATGAACATCTCCGCACAAACTATCTAATCTACACGAGTCGTGGCGCCCTGTGGGGGTGGCGCTGGCGTGTCTGCCGAAGCGTGGAGTTTTGTGGTGGCTATTACGGCGCTCTCCGGCTCCGCCCCCGTCTTTTTTCTCCAGGTCGTCAAAGTTAGTTGTCTAGACCAGGGCAGTGCTCTGACGTCGTACTGGAAATCGAGGTGTAAGGGTAAGGATCGGTCCAGATGAGGTCAAAGTGGTCGTCAGGGTATGTTGGGGCATTGCTGTCGCCCAATTTGGACACCAGGTCGGTCAGGTGCTGGTGTTCCCAGCTGAGAGTAGAGTGAGTCAGTGTATCTTTGTAAGAGGGCAGAAAAACATACGCAATGAGAATGTTGCCGGGGCCTGTGTACTTGCCCACGGCCTTTTTCACACACTTGGCGTCCTTTTCATCGCACGATGTGTCGACCGTGAGGCCAAGATCGGCTGCCAGTGGCTGAACGGTTTCATAGGGGCGATCGTGCGAGCCGTCTACTAAGGGTTAGTCGGGCGAAGTTTGTAGTGTATTGCGTAGATGACGGTAGCGCACCTGAGCTTGGCGTCTCGGCCATGATGTAGCCAATGTTATACTGGGACGATGCGCCAAAAACACTGCGAAGACACTGCGCGCGCTGCTGGCCCTGTGGACTGAGTCCTGTACTGCCATCCGCGGGCTTTTCGCCGTGGCGGATAAAGTAGACGGTTGGTTTGGCGAACGCGACAGCCGCCGAGGCGAGGAGGACAGCAACAGGCTTCATTTTTTGGAGTAGTTATGACAATATTTTGTGGAATAGAATCACCGAGTAATAGCAACGGGAAAACCAAGGCACCTGATACTTATAGATGGTGAGGCGTGGCGCTGGCGATGCAGCGGGAGCCAGCTCGGATCGCGGCTAAATAGCGTGTAAGCAGTGGCTGCTCACCGACGTGCCGCACAGCCGGTATATGCCTGCTTATATGGGCAGTGCATATATCTAAATGTAGAACAAGAACTTTGATGGGCTGCCTATGGTAGAACAAGGCTCGACGTTTAGTAAACGAAAATATGGAGTGGCATTACAAGCGGTTGCTGTCAGTCTAGATCTACCTCTCTGCCTTCTACCTGCATACTATCCAGTGAATACACCCGTAACAGTGAAAGACTTCCATTTTCGACAAAAGCATTTTCTTCATCTCCATCTTAGGGGCCCGAGACTTCTTTCAGCGCTTAATGTACTCACCCTGCAGCGGAGTCATCATCCCATCTGCCCTGTCCCAGCGCTGCCTCACGATTCCTGGGAGATTCTTGGTGCGCAAAGGGGATCTATCTCGACGATTACGGCACGATTCAAGAATATGGCACGATTCGGCCATGTTCTCCCAGATGTGATGATGTGGATCGCGTACAGACCCAAGCTGTTGATAGACAAGTGCCTTGGCCCGGTCCTCTCTTTATGATATCCATACTAAAGTCCGTCATACATATGGAACACGATCCCGCAAATGTCTCGCACTCCTGAAAATACTTTGGTGCTATGCAAGCTTTAGCCAAGGCGGGAATATACTTTCAATTGATATGAGGGCAGGCGTCGCTGTAAGTTTCGCTGAAATATCGTCGTAGCATCTTTGCACTGCCGTCTTCATCAAAGGCGGTCAAGTCTGAACGAAGAAACAGATGGTTTTTGATAATTCGAACTCGATGGTTGGTAACATAGCGTACCTTGGGATCTTTATACCATGAACTAGAGCGGCGCCCAGAGAGTGTAGCAACAGAAACATGCCGATCATCTCCGTATAGGTGTGAATTCATTAGTGTCCGAGCAATGGGATAGTCAAGACAGTAAGTGTCGCCCAAGAAATTAAGGCGAATAGCTATTTCTCTTTGGCAAGACAAAGCCGATTTGTTTTGCTTAACCTTACCAGGCTCGGAACTACTCAACGAATCCTTACTCCACGGATGAAGTGACAGACAGAAGTGACAAAAGTAGACGGATGGTGTATCCTTCTCTATCATAAGCAGGAATTCTGTTCGTTCTTTCACAGTCGGGTCGAGTGACTGCGGCGAACATATATGGTAGAACACCGAGCAGGTAACACTCAGCGAGAGTAGTGATGCTGCGTCGGCCCATCTCGCAATCATTATTTTGATCTCTGCGGCCAGTGTCATTATTTCGAGACTAAGTTGGCTGGGAGACATTGGTCTAGCAAGAACGTCCACATTGGACTCTTTACTCTTTGACGTTGGCCGTTCGTCACGGGAGGTTGGGTTTTCATCTGTAGATATTGGCTGTTCGTCGCTTAGCGCTTGCTGGTCAACAGAGCAGGCTGGCATTTTGTTGCTATATATTGGCATTTTATCGCCAGATCCTGGCTGCGAACCATTTTTTGGTATCGTGATGTTGATCGCGATGACGACGCAGCCTTGATCGAGAGCTGGAGAGCAGTCTAGTAAAAAAGGCTATTGTAAAGTTGGTTATAATACTGTGATGTTTGGATAATATCAAAGAAGGTAACAAAGTATTGAATTAACTTTACGCGACCAACCAAGGCTCACAATATTCTAGATTATCGTTTAACTTGAGCTAAAATAATAGAAGCTTGCGAAACTAAGTTTATAGATTTTTAAAAACTTTACTCTTGTGGCAGTAATTGCACAGATTTATCAACATGGAAAACGTACATACTTTGACTGCTTGTAGATGCTTAGACAGACGCACAGCAGCGCACAAAGTGTACTTATTATACCATGTACGTAAAATAAGTTTATTAATTTATCAAATTTATTTAAACCTTTTACAATACTTTTATAAACTCTATAGAGAAAAATTACTCATCTATATTGATATAGGCTGATTATTCAAGACGTACACCAGGAGTTGGACGTATTGAGGCGATAGAACAATCTACACGCTAGACAAAAGCCAAACCTTTACAGGTGCTTAAACACAGTTGGACGATTAAATTCACGTATAAAATTGGCAAGATCAGATGACTGATATCACGGCCGCGCACCAAGCATGGTATTTCCGGTGAGCCAATCACGCTGCTTTCATTGGCCGTCGCCTTCCAGTGGCGTGCGTCAGGCTACCGCTGTGCTACTACACAGTCTGATGTCATGCGAATGAAGCAAAAGATATATAATGAGGGGTAGAGAATACCTATTGATCTGACTTTTGTCGTCTGTCAGTATATTTTATCCATCCATGCCCCCAACGCGATCGGTATGTACCCAGTGGTTCATCCACTACTCCTGCGGCCACGACTTAAACAGCGAGTTTAAGAAGTGTGCGATACATGAAAAGAAAGAAGAATCGAGATGCGGGCGCCTGAGTGCCCAACGGGAAGAAGCAAAGACTTCCTCGCACAAGTGCCGTGCGTGTCTGAAGAGCGACACGACCTGGATCTCTCTCAGGTATCTACGCCCCAGCCAGACCGTTGTTATACGTCTACGGGTATTAAGGAATGCACTATAGACAGTGAAATCATGAGTATTTTCCATGATTAAAGGGGTTATCGTAACTAAATAACCTACAAATTGCAAACCTTCTGGTATTCTGCAAGTACAAACACCGACCAGAGTATAAATTGGCTATCCACTCTATAATATTCAATTTTAACCAATGTAATACAACCTGTTATTAACTTTCCTCCATTTGAAATCATAAAATATAAAAAGAAAAGGACGGTGGCTGAGCATTTCCAAGTATCCCCAAATGTGTTTCATAGTAAATGATGCCCAACGAGCTGCCGAGACCAACACGTGACAACGGTGTGAAGAACGGCGCGCTGCAGCAAGTGACACGCTCCTTTCTCTGCTCTCTATTATCCATCCAAACCCAATTCCATGCTAGCCGATTACATTGTTCAACCATTTTACGCCAAAGTCTCATTTCACCACTGTTTGTCTACTTATACTTGCAGCCTCGGCTTGATCTGCGCCAATGCTACGCAGCCTCGGCTCAAAGCCCATACAATGGGCCTTGCTCGGTGTATGCACCATGTTTATAACATTCAGAGTGTGGAAACGACTCAAATACCGACCGAGTCCTCCAGTTGATACAGTTTTATCGTTTGATGTTGCCGACGAGGACTGCTTATACAGGATCCAGCGACACTGCAAACACCATGGCACCCGGGGAGTGTACGTCTGGTTGAAGTGGCCGGACCTAATCCCTGAAGAATACCGAACATACGGACCGAGTGTAATCCGTCATTTATCGAAGCTTGACGAATGGAATGGCGGATGGGAGACATTGATTATTGACAAGGACGACGCTGGCCGTCTACAAGTCCTCTGTGATGCGTTTCCACCGCACCGCGTATCTGAGGATATGATTATTGGCAGCTATCCAGCCTTTAATGTATTCGATTTGAAAGATGTCAAAGAAGTCAAATCACGAACACACAGCTGTAGAATCCGCGGGAAGAAATGCTTCGTCAAAAGCGCTCGGTTTGCCTTTGAAATACCCGCCCTCGAACGAGAGATATCCGCCTATTATTCTCTTATACAGTACAAGTCGAAACTTGCACCTGGTTTGGTTGGGTTTGTTTATGAAGGCAACAAGAGCAGAATTATAGGCTTTGCTACGGAGGAAGTGGCTGGACGGTATCCGACAATTGACGATTACGACCTGTGTGATGAGGCTTTGCAGAAGTTGCATGGTCTTGGTATTGTACACGGGGATGTGAATATATACAATATGATTGTGATGCGTGACGGAATCAAGTTACTAGACTTTGAAGAAGCGCGAATCGACCAGAGAAGGTCAGAAGCGTGGGCACAGCTGGCGCAGGATGAGCGGCAAACACTACGAGAAAGACTAAGCGATACATCAGGTATTGGAAAGCCATGGGACTAGTCATTATCACCTCGTATATTATAGCTTGTCATATGATGCCACCAGTAGAATCTTCGTAGTATGAACCATCTCAAAATATATTGTCAAATCTACTCTGAACCTATATACACTCAAGCATAGCTACGAGCAATAGATACACTATTCCTTCTACCAGAAACTTCAATGCAAACTTATATCAGAAAGAAAACTCGACGTTGCTGAATCGCAAAGTACTAAAAGAAAAGAATAAACACCGTGTAGAAAACTCAATAGAGAAGCAAATAATTAATAGGAAATAAAGCCAAAGATAAGCGTTATTGGATGTGGTGTTGATACTTTTGTAGAGTGAGCCTGGAGGATGTTGCGTGGCGAAGGTTGCAAGTGTCAAGTTGGCTGGGGAGGATAGCGAGCTAGTAGATATAACAAACATGGTACAAGGTGACTATAAACACGCTTCACTGTAAGAACAAACTGCAGAAATTAATAAGTCTTCCTTAATAAGTGTCACCAACCAATAGAGCTGAGACACCTCAATTGTATACACCATGACCAGAGACATTTCCCCTCTCGATCCTAACTATTGAGCCTAGAATCAATGTAGAATTTGCCACGAGAATACTTTATAGACGTACACACTTAGACACATTCACGGACAACATCACATTCATATTCACATTCACACACGGTGAAGACACACAATCTTTGTAACCAATCTATTCATGCTCGCTATCCAAAAAGAACAAATAGAAAAACACTTCAAGTAACAAAACAAAAAAAGGAGCGTCGATTACAACAATATTATATATAAACACACACCAAATGAATGCAGCGCACAATTTTTCACAAACAAAAACCAAAAACCAGCCCCAAGAAAAAAAAAACCACAAAAAGCCCACCACCAGAAACCATCCCAGTGACGGCACCCAATGCGGCCTTTGCTGCCCCAAAACAAAAAGCAGCATATATATATAATAAAAAAAACAAGGTCCTCCTTTTTTCTCCGGGGTATCTTTTCTTTCTAAAGAGGAGCGCGGGGCAATCTGGGGCAAAAAGTGGTGCAGAATTAAGTATGTAGGCCGTTGGGCAAGTCTGTCGCTGAGGCGAGGTGAAAAAGCTGGGCAACACCCAAAGTCGAGTCTGACACAGAGAATCAAAAGATTGCTGTAGAGACGAGTCTAGATGGACAATGGTGCTGTCGAAACGCTGCTCTGCCGTGGTAAATAACAAGAGAGACAAACAAAAAACAAAAGACAAAGGAAATAGAGGTATAGTATGTGTAGAGTGGTAGGTCGACAAGACTAGACTAATCAATCTTCGAAAAAGTCATTTTCGTCAAAGTCGCCAGGCTGCGCGTCAGAGTCGTAGCCGCTCTGTACCGTCATGGGCGGCGTGCTGGGCGCTTCGGCTTCCGGCGCAGGGCCAGCCTCGATAGTAGTAGATTCGGCTTCGTCGGCCTCGGCGACTGCAGCGACAGCATCAGACGACGTTTCGGGGGCTTCGGAGCGGACGCGGTTCACTGCAAGCTTCTGCGAAGGGTAGCGGCGGCCAGTACTAGAGAATGCTGTGGGTTGGGCACGGCCAGAGGCAGGCGGTGTCAACAGGTTAAAGGACGACGACTTGCTGCGCGACGGTGTGCCGCTGCTCTGCACAGATCCAGACGGCGAGCTCAGGACACCCGAAAGAAAAGGCTGGCTTGACTTGCGCCAGCGGTCCCAGGCATTGAGTCCTGAGCCAACAGCCTGCGCAACGCGAGGGGTGGCAGCTTGAAGGCCAGCAGCAATGTTGGGCAGGCTAATAGCCGAGCCACCGTTCATTGCACGCTCACGCTCCTGTTCCTCCATCTGAAGGTTGGCCTTGAGACGGATGGAAGCATCCTTGACTCTCTCACGGTCAAACTGTTCAGTAGACAGCGCAGTAATAATGTCCTGAAGATCGCCGTGGCGAACAGCAAGAAGCTCGCGCAGCCAGGTAATCTCGTCGTCGCGCTTGGAAATCTTGACGGGCGCTTCAGGGTCGAGCTTGGCAACAGTCTGCTCGAGTTCCTCGATGCGCTGCTCGCGGGCTTGCAGCTGCTCTTGGAGCACCATGATGGATTCGCGCAGGGCCTGGGGCGAAATCTTCTCAGGCAGCTCGAGCTGCTTGTTGACAGGGGCGGCAGGCGAAGCAACAGGAACAGAGGCCAGAGCGCGGGTATCGACACCGGCACTCTTGGCGGCGGCAGCAGCAGCGGCAGCAGCCTGCTTGGCGACCGAAAGCTTCTCCTCCAAGTGGTCGTTGCGGTCTTGCAGGTGGGCAACCTTGTCGGTCAAGTGGTCAAGCTTCTCGGCAGACAGACCAAGACGCTCGCTGAGGGCTTGCTCCGCGCGCTGGCCATCCTCAACAGCGTTGGCCAGCTGGCGTTCGTGCTGGGCCTTGAGGTCGTCAATAGTAGAAGTGTGGGTGGCCTTGAGGTCGTCAATAGTAGAAGTGTGGGTGGCCTTGAGGTCGTCAATGGTGGCAGCGTGGCTGCTCTTGAGGTCTTCGACAATGGTGATCTGGGCGAGCTTGAGGTCGTCAATGACGCCGGAGTGGGCAAGCTTGAGCTCGTCAGCCTCCTGCTGTCTAGAGGCGGCAGCAGTCTCAAGCATGGAGGCGCTGCGCTCACGGACACCATCGGCTCTCGTCTTGTGATCCTCAACTTGAGCGCGGTGGTTCTCGACGGCAGCCTTGTGGCTCTCAATCTCAGCCTTGTAGCCTTCAATCTCCGCACGGTGGCTTTCGATTTCATTCTTGTGCTCCTGGACAATGCCGTGGTGCTTCTGGACATGCTCCTGCAGCTGGCGGCGAAGACCCTCCATCTCAATCTGCATAATGGTCTTGGTCCTCTCCAGGATGAGCGAGCCACCCTCGCGAGCCTCTTCGGATTCGCGCTTAGACTGGGCAGCAAGCTGGTGCAGCTTGTGGTTGTCGTTGCGCATCTCGACAAGCAGAGTCTCCAGACGCTGGCACTCCTTGACGGCACGGATACCAGAGCGCTCGTTGTTCTGCAGACGCTCCATCTCGACTTCCAGTCTCTCGCGCGTCTTGGCCTCGGCCTGCAGGCGGGCATCCAAGACTTCCTGGTGGGCGTCGAGCTGCTGCTGACGAGCAAGAGTAGCCTCGTCCTTCTTGATGCGGCGGGCCGTCTCCTCGGCAATGTCGCGAGCAGCATCGGCCATGGTCTGCTGCAGAGTCTCGTGCTTGCCGCGCCATGATTCGCGAAGGCGCTCGTTCTCTTCCAGCTGGACCTGGATAGAGATGTGAGACTGCTGGAGACGCTTGTTGTCTTCGAGAGCGGTGGCCAGGTCAGCCGCGGTGCTGCGGGCCTTTTCATCAGCACGCTCAACCTCTGTGCGCAGGTTGGCATTGTCCTGGCGGACCTCGCGCAGGTCGGTTTCGAGAACATTCAGCTTGTTGGCAAGATCGCTCTTGGATTGTGTAGCAGTGTTGTGGGCAGCCTCCAGGACAGCCATGCGCGTAGTCTTCTTGCCACTGTGCTGCTCCAGCTCGCGAATCTTGTGCTCCTTCTTCTCAACAACCTCACGCAGGCGAGCCTCCTCTTCAGAAGCAACCTTGAGCTGGCTCTGAGACTGAGCAAGACGCTCTTCAGTGCTGCGACGCATGTTGGCCTCTTCTTCGCTCTTCTCCTCCATTTGGCGAAGGCGCTCTTCAAGGTCAGCCACACGAGAGTCGTAAGCGCTTTTGTTGATGATTTCGACCTCGACACGCGTCTCGGCAGCGTGCAGCTTCTTGGTAAGCTCTTCCATGGCTTCCTCAGCAGCACGGCGTTGCTTGATCTGCTCTTCGACTCGGGTCTGCTCGTAGTACAGCTTCTGGTCCAAGTCGCCAACCTTGTTGTGCAGCTCATCCATCTTCTTGATCATATCAACGTCAGAGCCAAGGGTAGGAGTATCGGCTTCCAAAGAGCGGCTTCCATCCTCGGACGAGCGACCGATGGCGGATGCAGACGTTGTCAACAAGCGCGTCTTGATGTCCTCCAAGGCACTCATGACAGCCTCGCTGTGTTCGTTGGTAGCAGTGGTAGCAGGTGCCACCTCGCGAGGCTGAGCAGCAAGAGCTTCCATGACGGCAAATCTGATTTGCTCCATCTTGCGGTCCTTGCGTGGGCTGGAAGAGCGCTGGGCATGAGGCTGCTCATCATCCTCATCGTCGGCGTCGCTATCGCGGCCAGACAGGCTGCGAGTGTCTCTGCGCGAGGAGGCGCCATGGCGAGATCGCGAGGTAAGAGAGTGCTGCAGCGAAGCCAGCATCTTCTCCATGGACTCCAGTCTTGTGGCAAGACCGTCGTCCATTCCGAAATCCTTAGGGGCAGCATAGGGGTCGGCGTGCTGCGTGTAGTCCTCGGTGGCATGTGTGCTGTGGCCAAAGGCAGCATGCTGTAGGGGCGCAAAGTGGTCAACCTGGCTAAAGACAGTCTGTTGCTGGTGGTGTTGCTGTTCTTGTTGATGGTGCTGGTTAAGGGAGGAACCAAAATCAACAAACGGATCCTCGAGGTTGGGGTTGTGGAAGTGACCAGATGATCGTGCGCTCGGTGTGAATTCGACAGCAGTAGCAGACAACTTGGACTTGATGTGCTCCAGAGAGGGGGGGAACTTGGTAGGTGAAGGGTTGGTAAGCACTGGTGCGGCGCTCACCACCTTGTTGACGCCCTTGGAAGGATCCGTCTTCATGTGCTGCATAATGGCATCAATCTCTTCGAGCGTAGGCTCGCCATCGGCATCCAGGCTCTCGGGCTTGGCGGCGATGGTTTCCTTGGATTCGGCAAGATCAATAAGAGGACCAGTACTAGAAGGCAGCAGCAAAGAATCGTCGGGGTTGGATACAGGCGTAGCAGGAGCCACAACAGGAGCCTCCTTGGCGAATCTGGAAGCGGCGAGACCCTTGCGCTTGGGTTTGGGAGATGCCCGTCCTGCGTCCGACGCGTCGGGAGTGGGCTTGGAGGTGGTGGAGTTGGACAGCGCAGGTTCAGCCTCAACCGTGGGTTGGGGCTTCTCTTCAACAGCAGGTTCCTTGGCGGGAGCCTCTTCAGGAGCGGGTGAGTGGATTTGTTTGAGAGGAGAGGTGGGTGTTTCGTTGCCCTTAGAGTCAGTAACTGGTGAACCGTATTCACTAGCGCCAGGCATAAAGACTGGTGCGGATGCAGAGAGCGATCTCCTGTGCTTATGGCCCTGGCTCTTTTCCATCTCGATCGAGTCGTTTCTGCGGAGGACAGGCTTGTCGGTGCTTCTGTTGAGGAGCGCGTTCCAGAGCTTGCTAGAAAGGCTGGTTCTCGGTGTAATAACCTCTTCTGGTAATACGTCCTTGGCAGGAGCAACGGTTTCTGTAGACTTGATGGGCTTGTCCGCTTCACTGTCCTTGTTCTGCACAGGAGCCGACGATGTAACAATGTTGGCGCTGTCCGACTCATACTCGTGAATGGGGCTAGCAAGCAAGAGGTCTGCGTCTGTAGGAGCAGTGCTTCTGGCGCGCTTGGCTCTGGTCTCGTTGGTGAGGCGGCCGTCTCCATCGTACATGGCATCACCATCCTCTTCTTCAGGAATAGCCGGGCTGGCCTCTGGCTTCACAATAGGAATGGCCCTGGACGAGCGCGAGGGTTGTTGCAGCAGCTCCGGATCAATGACAATATTGCCAAAGATGGAGTCGGTGCGTCTTGACTGGAAGCCACCGTTGCTGCCGAGCGATTGGAACGGTGTAAACGAGGGAGCATCGGGTCTGAATTTGGGACCAGAAGTGGAGAAGCTGAAGGTGCTGTTTCCAGGAGTAAAAGAAGGAATGGCGGCGTTGAAGTTTGTAAAGGAGGAACCAAATTGAGAGGGTGCGGGCACAAGCTCAAGGTCCGACTCGGGTTCGGGTTCAGGCTCAACATACGTGTTGGCACCGGTGAAGACGGCTGGCTCAAAGCTGGCACTAGCACCAGAGAAGCTAAAGGCGCCAGGAGTAAAGTTGCTCGTGGGGTTGAACTTGAATTCCGGAGCCTTGACATTGAGCTTGGAAAAGGTGGGCTTGCCGCCGCTGGTCTTGCGGGTGCCGTTGCCCATGGAGCTGTCTTGCCACGGGTTGCTACCAGTGGAAGTCGCTCGCTGGGGCGGCGCAAGAACAGCCGCAAAGTTGAAGTCTTGTACCGGCGTTCCAAGGTTGCTGGGATTCGTCTCAATCTCGTACTGCTCGTTGGCGTCGACATCGGCCTTGGACTCGGGGATCTGGTTAAGAGGCTCGAATGCGCTGGGAGCGTTGCCGTCAAAGAAGTTCTGGGTCAGCGACTGGCCACGGCTATGTGGGCGAGGGTGGTGCAACACAACAGGTTGAGCCTGGTCATTAGCAAAGTGCTCGGAGACCTGCAGATTTCCAGAGGCCTGGCGCTCGTGAAGAGACGCCAGGGTTTCGTGGCGGGAGTGGGACTGGGCGTTGTGAGGGTTGTAGTCTTCGTGATCGAGTTGGTTGCGGAACTGCTCCTCGAGATGGTACTCGGCGCTCTGGGGGTTGAGCTGCGACTGCTTGCGCGACTTGTTGAGCGGTTCGGGTGTCTTGGACGCGCTCTTGCTGCTGTCGGCCTGGCCCTCATCCTCGGCTTCCTGGACCTTTTCGAGATGCGGTGAGGGAGCGTTAAGCTGCTGAGGGTTAACGTACTGCAAGCTCTGGCGTCTCGCGTGAGCATTAAGACCAGGGCTAGCGGACTGTTGAAAGCCTTCGATGCCGTATGGCGCAGGCGAAATCATGCCGTTCAAGCTGACAAGACCGGGTGAGTCGATTCTGTTCATTCCCTGCATCATGGCAGCCTGGTTAGGCCAAACTTGGAAAGGCGAAGCACTAGCAGGGAGAGAAATAGATTGGCGAGGGTTGAACTTTCCAGGCATGCCAAATGGAATAGGCGAGGCACCGGTTGGGATACCAGGGCTTTGGGACGCCGAGATGCTACCGGCAAGGAACTGTGGGTGGAAAGGAAAGCCAGCCAGAGCGTGGTTGCTGGAAGCTGATGAGGTTGGTAGAGGCGGCGAGAAGGGCAAAGCCGGGTATTGACCAGACGCGATTCTAGAGGCATCAGATGTGATGGGAGACATTGATGGGGTTGGCTCCTCATCTGCACCAGACACGCCAAGCGCTCTAAGTTTGGCTTCTTGGAGCTCCAACATCTCATTGGCCCAAGCATTCAAATCGGGCAGTAGGACCTTAAACTTGCGAGCGCCGCGTTCGCGGGCCATATCCTCGGGGGATGGCCAGTCAGCTCTGCTCTGCGAGTCATCTGTGCCGGGAGGGTGGAAGCCATCTACGAGCAAATCAAAGCCGTCGACTGAGTATCCAAACTCCTTCCAGTCTTTAAACATTCTGTCGACCTCGTCTGATCGCAGAGGTCTAGGCGTCTTACCGGGCTTGCCACGGTCCTCATCGCGAGGGATCAAGATGTTGATCTTCTTTCCCTTCCAGGGGACCTTTTTTGTAACTCTGGGCGTAATAGGAGGGTCCCTCGGCAGGGGCTTGTGAATCTTGGGTGTAACGGGAAGAGCAACGTCGGCGGGGGATTTGCGCGCGTTGTTTTCGGTGGGTGTGCTGGGACGAGGAACCGCCGCCTTGGCATCAACGACATCACCAGCAGCAGCAGTAGTAGTAGATGTGGCGACGGCTGCTTCCTTGGGAGCTGTCATTTCGGGGTTAGCCGTGTAAGCACCGTTGGTTTCGGCTGTTGATGTAGTAGTAGCAGTTGCTGCTGCTGCTGGTGCTGTGGTTATAGGGGCTGCGCGCGCCGGGGATTCGGCGTCGGCAGACATGCTTGGTTGATTGCCCAGCTTGCTTCGTTGAAAGTTGCCTGGCTTGAGCGTTTCGACGCTAGATCGACCGCGAGGATGGCGCGAGGGCTGTTTCGAGGCGGATCTAGAGCGATGGGTGCTGCTATTCCTAGGCGTTTGGAGACCGGTGTCGTCGATCCAGGCTAAATCGGAGCCGCTCACTGAAGAGTGCTCACTATCGCTTCCGTCACTAAACCAGAGGCGAGGTTCGGCGTTTGTGTCGCCGGCGGTGTGTGCGCGAATCCACTCCTCTTTGAGGCCTGCGTTGTTGCGTCGAACTCGGTTGGCGAGGACGGCGGCAGCAGCGCTGAGGGTAGGCTTGGAGGACGACTCGTCGATAAAGGGCTCGTCACCGGGGGCGGGCCGCAGGAATCGGGTGTCGAGTCCTAGCTGGTGGATGGGGGTATCGTCGTCGGAGAGGTCGTCGTCACCGTCTTCGTCGTAGTCGCCGGTGTTGCGATCGCGAAGGTTGTCGTCCTCTTTGGGGTAGGGAGATCCCCAGCTGGCGGTGCCAAATGGGCTCGAGTCTCCAGACGCAGCAGCGTTGGCTGCTGCTGTTGTTGCTGTCGGGGGAGGCGACTTGAGCAAGGAGGCAGCCTTATCCGACAACTTGGGTGCCGGGATAGAAGGCAAGACGGGCGACGAGAGGTAGTCGTCGAGATCGCCGTCTGCTGTAGATGCCGTCGACAAGGCCGGGGAGCTTGGGCGCGGGAGATGTCCAAGATGGCTAGAGACGGTGTTGTCGTCTAGTGGTGCCCAAGCACTTGTCGAAGGGTTCGGAGATGACGTCGTAATTACACTCTGCAGCAAGATGTCAGGGACACCGGTTAGCGACGATGATGATTCTGCTTTGGTGGTGATTTTTTTTTTTTAAGATTCATGCGAGACACCGCCTGGAATTATTGGCTAGCCATTTTCCCCAGGGGAGACGCAAAGAAAAATGCTGCAGGGGGGGTCTTTAGGTTTGAGAGTACGCACCCGTGGGAGATGTTCAGCAGCAGGCGATGAATTATTCGCCTACAACTGAAGACCTCGAAAATTATCACAACTCCTTCGAAATGGACAAGCGGCTTGAACTCTTTTCGTCGGGACGAGAGAGGATAGAGAGATAAAAAGGGGAGGCGATCCAAGTAGCCTGTCGAATGGATGAATGAGCGGTGGATACGCGCGACGCGTTAAGACCACCTTTTTTTTTCCTTTGGCTGGGAGCAGCCTGTAGCAGGCCACCTGTAGCAGGTGGCAGGCAGCTGGCAGCAGACAGTTGGCAGCACCAGTAGCAGTACCAGCCCACTGCAAAAAAAAGGGGGGTCAAGACAATCTGGGGGGATATATTGACCAGCAGCATAAAAATAGACAAAAAATAATTAATAAATAGCACAGTGCTCACTACGACCTGTCTGCAAAATGCATGAAATTCCCAAAAATGCAGTGAATGAATTTGCCGAAAAAGGGTGCTGCTGCTGCAAAAGCTTAAAGCAGGACAGCCAAGTACCGCTACTTGCCACCCTCTTTTTACTGCGCTGTACCTTCATAGGGTTCCAGCACACTACAGGCGACGGAAACCCGCCACACGCCCGCTTTCTGTGCTGCCAGGGAAGTAAGTTTACATACCGCAAGTACATGTATCCCAGCACATTTTTTTCTTTTCGTCCAGCCACCAGTCCGTCGAGCGCTGCAACCGCTTAAAAAAAGTCAGCACCGGAAGTGCTTCCGAGACGCCAAGTAGAGGTACGCGGTGAGCGAGTACAGGGCCCGCATTTAGGCGACGCTGCACTGTAGGAGCAGGCCTAATGCAGTACAACACCGCCCAAGGACAGTACAGGTAGACATTGCATGTACGTATAGTCAGTGCGCAGTGACGTCTCTTTTTTTTCTTGTTTCCAATTGTTCAAACCCCCGCCTAAGTACACCTGTCAATTGTTTAATTGTTTGCGTCTCTTGTCAAATTCGCCCTGTCTATTGCCCACCCACCGTTTTTTATTTCTAGGTTTTCCTCTGGCTTGCAAATTTTCATGGGACAAAGACAGGGGCATGACAATAAGCTGTGGTTGGGCGTGGTTGGCGGTGTAAATACTACTTTTTTTCTTGCTGCGCTGGACAACTGCGTCAGGGCCCCCAGTCCACAACTTTTTTCCTGCGTCTGAGCGGCATATCTCCGCCGCTTGCTGGTTGACAGCCAGGCTGGTAATTGATTACTGGACAATTGGTCGTACGTTATGCAGTGGCCGGTTCTTGGGACAGTGGCAAGTCTGTTCCGAGACATGTGCACGCGACGGTTACAGGCGCATGTGCTGGGTTGCCCCCCTGGAAACAGCTGGGCCGGGGAGATGAAGAAACAGCTGAACGCCATCTGTAAGGACAGCCAACGCTTAACAAAATTACACTCGCAAAAATGCTGTAAATTACTCGGTACAGAGGAATAGTAGACAGTAGAGAGTATAGGGGGCCAACTGAGCCTTTGTTGGGACAAGAGACGTGGTGGTCCACTCGCTTTAAATGACACGACTGGAGCATTTTGTGGGGTGGATTTTATTAGCTCCCGAGGTCCGAACCGATTTGGCGGTCACTTTTTCTGGGGCAGAAGGGCGGGTTCCACTGTGAGAAAACACGCTAGAACATTTGGCGCTCAGTTAGTGAGTGGGATGGACCAGTGACAGACAGCAGATGATACCAACTATTGTTGATATAAAGAGAGAAATAGAAGGGAAATAAGAAGAAGACACATTCGAAGGTGAGTATGGTGGTTTTTCTTTAAAAGAAGTTTACAAGGGCATAAATTCACAGAGACCTAAAGTTGCAGTGACGACACACACATGTTACAAGGAGAGGCTATACAGGCGATATATAGAAGACTTCGGTTCTTGGATAGTATAGTATTAAAAGTACAGCAGTATCAAAAGCTATATCAAACTGGTATTATTGGCCAACGGATATTCCAGAGCCGTTTTTCTCACGGCGTGTGTCTCCCGTCTCGCTTCCTCCTCGGTGGTATTTCCATCTAGGCAACAAACAAATCAGAAAAAAAGAAAGAAATCAAAGACAGTATAGAACAATATGCGTTTCTCTTTCTCTCCTGCTTCACTGCATCAAGCCCATATAAATTCTCTTCCCGCAGGAAATCTTAGAAATTGGACGAGGCAGTCACCTGGCCAGGCTTATGGTAGTCCTCCAGCGTCGACTTAAACGGCGTCTGGTGCTGCTGCTGCGAGGCCTGCTGACCAGCGCCCGCGTACGAGAGGTCCTGCTTCTCGAAGCCGCCAGCGCTCATATCATAGTCCATCAAGCCATCGCTCTCTTCCGTCTGCTTGCGACGGCCCCAAACGCGCCACGCCACGACAGCCAGTGCACCCAGCACAATAGCACCGCCAATGCCCACGACAACACCAATAATCGTCTTCTTCGTGGTATCCGACATGCCGGGCGAGCTGCTGTTGCTGTTATCGCCAGGGGTGCTGCTGCCTGTGGTTGAAGCGGCGCTCGACTCGCTGGCCTTGGTAGGGTCGCTTGACGGCGTCGGCTGGCCAGGCGCGGGTGTGTTGGAAGCCGGCTTGTTGGAGACGGGAGGAGGAGAGGCGGACGACGGTGTGTTGTTGGGAGGCTGTGTAGGCGAGGGAGCGGGAGAGCTGGAGCTAGGAGGAGCGGGAACGGAGGACGAGGACACAGGGACTTCGGAGGAGGTGGATGGCGGGGCGGGCTTGGACGAGCTGGAGGATGCGGGAGGCGAGACGCTCGTTTTCGAATCGGGGGCCGATGGGTTGAGCAGGCCAGATAGTGGGTTTGCCTTGCCGCCGTCCTGGCGCTTCATGAGGGCGTGAGAGTTATCATCTCGAGGCACGGAGCCGACGTGGGCGGCGGCCGAGAGCACGAAGAGGAACTGGAGCAGATGCGTCGCGTGCATGGCGATGTATTAAAAAGGTTGTAATAGTTGTAGCAGAAGAAAGAGGAAAAATCGAATCAAAGTGTTTGTTTTCGGGTCGTTGGTCGTGTCGTCTCTTTTCACGCAGCACAACGCCAACGTGTACGTACGCAAGCTAGTAAGGCGAAGTCGAAAAAAAGAAAACACGGGCTGCCGAGATCCGAAACAAAAATAAAAAACGAGAGGACGAGGTCGTAACCAGTCAATAAAATAAAAGGAAACAATACGCTTGCTTGCGATGGAAACGAAGAATAAAATAAAGTAGTCTTGAGAAGAAGAAAAGAAGGAAAAAGGGACAGGCCGGGGGGGCAACGGTGGTTTTGTGGTGGTGGCAGTAGCACAGCACAGCCTGCAAACAAGGTGTGACTTTTTCTCGTATTCCGTCAGACGCGCCCAAACAGACCCCTGCTCGATCCATGATAAGCTTTGCGGCGGTTGAATGCGCGCGGCCACTAACAGCGCAGCAAAGCCACCCACTGCAAGTGCACCAGCACCACGCTAACTAACTAACAACCCACTGTAACCGGCGCGCCGTTGGTCCCTTGGCGCAGGCGGTTAGGCGTCAAAGGAGGCTGTGTGCGAGCGCCACCATCCACTAAAAAACCACTCTGCCTGAGACACACGCAAACAACGCCCCCTTTTTTGCTGTAATAGATAAAAAAAAAATACATGAAAAAGAAGAAGCGGCTTGTGGCGTTTACAGGCGGCATCTTGTGCCTGCCCGTGTTATTTTTAAACAGCGCGGCTTTGCCAACATGTGCACTATATGACTTGCGTATATATTGTTGCATTGTAGGCGCACACAGACACTGTTGCATTTACATAGACCCCCTCCAAACAGACCCCATTACGTTTGGACGCTACGGCTCTTGCATAATGATCGCCCGGTAGATAGCATAGGGAAAAGAGAAACAGAGACAGCAGGCAGCAAGCACAATGGCGCTGGTATGGGCCGGCGCTAATGCAGTCGTAACAGCCCTTGGAGACACAGATCATCATGGCGCACGCAGGCACAAGCTGTTTCATGCGCTGCATACTTACTCCTGCATTTGCGCTGTGCTGTGCTGTGCTGACAGTCAGCGGCTAAGGCACAGTGTAAAACATCAGCCTGACAGTGTGAAAAAAATAACAAAAACAATGAAGTGTTCTTGATAGTTATCGGATGGGTGTGCATTGTGTTGTTAGAGCGATATGTGCTGGGTGGCTACTACGTGTCAGTGGCGGCTACCCTGTATAACACCTTTGTGAATTTCCTGAGCTCCATACAGACAAAATAGAACTGATTAAATTATACAATTAGTTTCATTTAGCAATGGTCTATATACTGAACTTTTTATGAGCTCTGAAATCAACATTCTGTGCCGTACTGGTCGACTCACTACATTTACACACTAAACGACCGAAGTACCGATATCCCCACAGATTTTCATCTCACCACTCACCTCAACATCTCGACTCTTCACTGTCCACTACACGGCGCACATCACACAATGGGCGACCACTGCTTCACAGTCCACGCCGGGACATACTTTGACCCCAAGACAAAATCCTTCCGGAACAATGTATCCCTAACAATCGACCCCAAGCGGGGCTGCATCGTCCACGTCGCAGACCGCCCGTCTACCAGCTGTGACATCCAAGACGGCGACATCGATCTGCGCCGCAAGATTGTCATGCCAGGCTTTGTTGATGCACACACACATATCTTTCTACACTCCTATGCGTAAGACCCCCATCTATCCATCATACAGTCTACACCCTACTAACACAAGGAACAGCGAACGTCCCGCGCAATCCCAAATGCGCGATGAGAGCATCATTGAGCGCACCATCCGTGCCTCCAACCACTGCCGCCGAGCTCTTCTCTCAGGATACACCACCTACAGAGACCTAGGAACAGAAGGCATGCAATCGTTTGACGCCAACCTCCGCGACTCCATCAACCGCGACCTGCTACCCGGCCCGAGGCTCTTTGTCGCCACCGAGGCCCTCTGCAGCTCCGGCTCCTACGAAGTGCGCTCCGAAAACAGAGCTAACGGCGACACACCCCCTCGAATATCTAATACCTGCGACGGTGTCGACGGCGTGCGCCGTGCTGTGCGCCGGCGGGTCGGAGCCGGCGCCGACATCATCAAGTTCTACGCAGACTACCGGCGGCAGGCGATGCGCTTCCCCAGCGGCCTAGATCCCATTTCTTTCTTACCGGCGGAGCACAACCCCGCACGCGTCATGTTCAGCCAGGACGAAATGCACGCCATGGTGTCGGAAGCGAAGCTCGCCAATCTGCCGATAGCCTGTCACGCGGGGTCTCTCGCAGGTGCCATGATGGCCGCGCGGGCCGGCGTCACGACCATCGAGCACGGCCACGAAGCATCGCCCGATCTGTTCCGCGAGATGAAACGTAACAATGTGCTCTTTGTTCCCACACTTGCCGTTGTCGAGGCCATATCGCCCGCTGCGCTCCCCGAGGCGCTCCGCACCGCGAAGCTCGCATTCGACCAGGGCGTCCGCATGGCGGCCGGCGGGGATACCGGAGCCTTCAACCATGGCGAAGGCGCCCGCGAGACTGAACTCCTCATGCAGGCGGGGATCCCTGTCGAAGACGCCCTCGAGATGGTTACACTGGCTGGGTGGGAGGCGTGCGGCGGGGATCGATGCGGCTTTCGCTTTGGCTGGTTCGAGGCGGGCAACCGGGCCGATATCATTGCGCTAGACTCGGACCCGAGAACGGATGCGCAGGCTCTCAGGAAGGTCGGATTTGTCATGAAGGACGGCAAGGTCTGGAAGCGCGACGGAATACCCGTCGGCTTCATCGATATCATGATGCAGGATGCGGGGCACACGGACCCGAGCTGGCAGCTTGTATAATAGCCTTTTCGGCAAAATTACATGAAACAAGGCACCTCCATTTACAGCGGCACATCCCATCGATTAAGACTGAAAAAAGTGGTGATGACAAACGCCACCCCGCTTAGCTTGTACAGTCTCTGGTGCTGGTGCTGGTGCTGGTGCTGGTGCTGGTGCTGGTGCTGCTATTGTTGCTACTACTAATCGTTTAGTGAATGACCTCTCGTAGTGGTGTGCTTGTTTGTGTCGTTCGTTCGTCTTGTGCATGTCACCTGGCCTGACAAGACACCAACCCACGCTCAATGTAACATGGCCTCTCTTTTTGGCGCAGGCGGCATGTAGTCGTAAATTGGGTTTCTGCATCGGCTTATGCTTTTTAAAAAGCGCTCTTCGGATTCATCCCCGCACGGCAAACCGGATTTAGCGGTCGGTACCTCAAGGTTCGTTAGCGTGGGTAGTCGCTTTGTGTGCAGGTGCAGTGCAGGGGCAGGATGGGATCGTCCGCTCTATTGCTGCAGGTTCGTACTGTACGGTAGTATACCTGCATGGCGCTGTGCTATAGCGAAGTCCGCTGTCAGGTGACTCAACTGGCAGCCAGCCGACACCTGGCAAACTGCAAAGCAAACCGTGTTCACTTCTTCTTGTAAAATCATCACCAGGTTCTGCTTTCTGCAGTTTTAACTTCATCCCGTCCCGCTATCGCACGCAGCTTGATAAACTTTCGGCCGCCGTTGCTGCTGCCGCTGCTCATATGACGATTACGTCCTGTACACCACAATAGGCTAACGCTCGCGCTAACGTCCTTCTGCTGCAGCTAGCACCAAGCCCACTGAGGGGAACGCCACACAATGTGCACCCACTATCTTAGCGTCTGCCTCCAGCAATCTCCGGCGAAATGCAGATCCCCCGCGCCACCATTCCCAATCCAGCCCTGCATGGGGTTCTCCAACACCTCGTCCAGGTAGCACCTACGGTGGACTCGAGACACAAACCTGCGTCGCGCGTGGTATGTAGTACCTGCTTACCGACTCTTCTGCGCGGCCACCCTTCGGCACAGCTAGCTCCAAAAGGCTAAAGAAAAAAGTTCAAACAAAAGAACACTCGGTGTTGATCTCGTGCCAATATCATGCGAGAACGCGCATCGTCGGCCGAAAAGACGACATCCCCTCCTCCACCCGACGGCAGGAGCAGCAAAACCCTCACCCCCGCACACTCTATAGTGTGGAGAATTACGCGCAGAAGCAGGAAACGGCCGAGACGCAGGTCACCACTGGAAAGAAATACAGCAGCCTGCCGTGTGTGCAAATGAAACCTCGAGATACCACCCCGGCCCGTCTGCACGCATCCCCGCACGCTCCTCTTCTATATGTATCCTGGGTCACGCACTTTTTTGCTTCTTGACTTTTGATAGCAGTCATTCTTTTTCTACAAGACTGACACTGGGATACACACTGCCACCATGAAGATCTCCACGCTGTGTGTGGCCGCTCTGTCGACCGCCCCCATGGCAAGCGCGTTGGTGCTCAATCGCCACGCGCCTGGCTCGTACAGTATTATGAACGAGCCAGACAAGCGCGAACTTCTCCAAGATATTGTTACTTGGGATGAGCACTCTATGTTCATCCGCGGTGAGCGCGCCATGCTCTTCTCGGGCGAATTGCACCCATTCCGCATGCCGGTACCGGGCCACTACATTGACATTTTCCAAAAGATCAAGGCCCTCGGCTTCAACATGGTTTCGTTTTACGTCGATTGGGCCATTCTCGAGGGCAAGGCGGGCGACTTTCGCGACGACGGCATCTTTTCCCTTGAACCCTTCTTCAAGGCAGCCAAGGATGCCGGTATCTACCTGTTGGCTCGCCCCGGGCCCTACATCAATGCCGAAGCGTCTGGCGGTGGCTACCCAGGCTGGTTGCAACGCGTAAAGGGCCAACTGCGAACCGATGCCCCCGATTACCTGGCTGCCACTGACAAGTAAGTTTGCCCATATGTACAAAGAAAATTGTATACTAACACTTTGTTACAGCTACATGGCCAAGATGGGCGCCATCATTGCCAAGGCGCAAATCACAAACGGCGGCCCCGTCATCCTCTTCCAGCCCGAGAACGAGTACAGCTCGGGCTTCAATACCCAATTCCCCAACAAAAAGTACATGCAGTACGTGATTGACCAGGCCCGCAAGGCTGGCATTCTTGTACCCCTCATTAACAACGACTCGTTCCCCGGCGGTACTGGCGCTCCCGGCACGGGCGAGGGCGAGTCCGACATCTACGGCTTCGACTCGTACCCGCTAGGCTTTGACTGCGCCAACCCGTCTGTCTGGCCAGCCAACCACTTGCCCACGACTCTGGCAGCCACGCACGAAAGGCTGTCACCCGGAGGACCGTTTTCCATTGTTGAGTTCCAGGGCGGTTCGTACGATACGTACGGCGGCAAGGGCTTTGATGCCTGCTCGGCGCTCGTCAACCACGAGTTTGCGCGTGTCTTTGACAAGAACAACCTTGCATCCGGCGTGCACACCCTCAATCTGTACATGATTTACGGCGGCACCAACTGGGGCAACTTGGGCCACAACAATGGCTACACGTCGTACGACTACGGTGCCAGCATCCGCGAGGACCGCCGCATCGACCGCGAAAAGTACTCGGAGGTGAAGCTCGAGGGCCAGTTTATGCGCGTGACGCCCAGCTACCTACTCACGAAGCCTGGCGCGCTCAGCACGACCGAATACTCCGACAACCCAAGCATTGCCGTGACTCCTCTCCAGTCCAGCCAGACGGGCAGCTTCTTTGTTGTGCGCCATGCCGACTACCAGACACGGGACTCGGCCACTTACACGCTCAAGGTGCCCACGTCCAACGGCACCATGACGATTCCTCGTTCGGGCAAGCTGACGCTGTCGGGTCGCGACTCCAAGATCCACGTTGTGGATTATCCGGTGGGCGACCACCATCTGCTGTACAGCACGGCCGAGATCTTTACATGGCAAAAACTTGATGACAGGACGGTCCTGATTGTCTATGGTGGCCCTGGCGAGTACCACGAGCTGGCGTTTTACGAAAAGTACGGCAAGATGAACGCGACCAATGTTGAAGGAGACCGTGCCAAGTTCCAGTCGACCGGTGAGTTTACCGGTATGGTATCGTGGAACGTGTCGCCGGAGCGCCAAATCATCCAGATCAACGATATTGTCATTTACCTGCTGGACCGCAACTCGGCGTACAACTACTGGGTGCCCGTGCTGCCCGGTGGCAAGGACGGCTCCGCGTACGGCTCGTCGATTATGAACCCCAAGACGGTGATTGTCAACGGTCCGTACCTCGTGCGCTCCGTGGACGTCCGCGGCTCGACCCTGTCCATCAACGCCGACTTTAACAAGACTGCTACCGTGGAAGTGATTGGCGCACCAAAGGGCACCACCAAGCTATCCATCAACGGCAAGCAGGTCCCATACACTACCAACCTCTTTGGCAACTGGGAGGCCAAGCCAGACATTAGCTTCCCCAAGCTCTCGCTGCCTAGTCTGTCCTCGCTGTCCTGGAAGGGCATCGACTCGCTTCCGGAGCTCAAGTCGACCTATGATGACTCCAAGTGGACAAGCGCGCAAAACTACACGGCCAACTCGTTTGCTCCGCTTGAAAACAATACCCCCGTCTCGCTCTACGGCTCCGACTACGGCTACAACACGGGCACACTGCTCTTCCGTGGCCGCTTCACGTCTACCGGCAAAGAATCGTCTCTGTTCCTGCACACCGTCGGCGGCCTTGCGTATGGCAGCAGCGTCTGGCTAGACGACAAGTTTTTGGGCTCTAAGCTAGGCGACCCCAACAACTCGGATGCCAACACCACGCTCGCCATCCCGAAACTTGAAGCCGGCTCCAAGCATATTCTTACCGTCGTCGTCGACAACATGGGTCTCAACGAGAATCTTGTTCCTGGCTACGACTCGATGAAGGAGCCCCGCGGCATCTACTCATGGCGCCTCACTTCTGCCGACGGCACCGAGACCAAGGTCGACGGATGGAAAATCACCGGTAACCTCGGCGGCGAAAACTACAAGGACCGCGCGCGCGGCCCGCTCAACGAGGGAGGCATCTTTTACGAACGCCAGGGATATCATCTGCCCTCGCCGCCTCTTGACAAGTTGTCGTCCATGAGCCCGTTTACGGCGTCCAAGAAGGCCGGTATCTCATACTACACTGCCAAGTTCCATCTTGACCTTCCGCGCGACAAGTATGACATTCCGCTCTCGTTCAACTTTGGCACCGACCAGGCTAGTGGGCGCTACCATGCGTTCCTGTATGTCAATGGGTTCCAGTTTGGCAAGTACATTAGCTATCTGGGCCCGCAGACCGAGTTCCCTGTTCCCGAGGGTATTCTCAACTATGACGGCGACAATTGGATTGGCCTGGGTGTCTGGGCGGTGGATGAGGGCGGCGCCAAGGTTCCGTCGCTGGAGTTGGTGGCGAAGCAGCCGGTGCTGTCGAGCAGGAGTGTGGTCAAGCTGGTGAGCATGCCGTCGTACAGCCGACGCAGCGATGCCTATTAGTTTCCTACTGGGGGTTATTGTTTCTGCGGCTGCCTGTCGATGTTTGTTTTGTATATGTTGTTTAATCTGTGGTCTGCGGACCGTACATGCTGTCTATACGTCTTGCTACAGTCCTATCTATATGATTTGTTATTGTTACGTTTGTTCTGCTGCTACCGCGTGCGTGTGTATGTATGTTTCTGTGTGTAGCGTGTCTATCTGTCTGTTCAATCTGCTTCATTTGTCTGTTTGTTTGCATCGCCACAGCCTTCTTCTCATCCACCACGTTTTATTCCCCCCTGCATCGATTTATCTATTTCCATCGTTCCCCCCTGCAGCCAGCTGACTTCATCTATTTCTAGCTCAGAGAAATCACAGGGCACAGCACAGCCAGCAGTCAGCTTCAATTTCCGCCCACACACAAACTCAGCCTCACTCTTCCAGGGCCACCGACCAATCTCGTCGCGCCAAAAGTATCCGAGCCAGCTAAACCAGCCTTGTAAAACTGGGAATCCACACCCACGCGGGCGAGGCTACAGGGCCGGCCCGCTGAGTTTTAGTTTCAGCCGCCCGCCCCCAAACAGCGTCATTCCCCCTCTTCGGTCTGTCTGTCCAGCAAATTTTGTCCTGTCGGTCGCGTGAAGTCTGTTTTGTGAGGCTGCATACTCGTCTTGCGCAGTCGATTCGGTCAACAGTTACAGAGCGAAGAGAAGTGAAGCGCAGAGTCGACTGTCACTGTCTGTCTCCTTTCCGAACATCGCGAGTCATCTGTCCTCCATAAATCCAACGGTCGCTCAGATTGTCGCTACCATCTCAGTCAACGTCCCTTGATCGTGTGCGTCCACACTGCTCTGTCAGCTCTGGAGCTCGTCGATACTGGTCTCTCGCATCGGTGCATCGCGAGACACTCTCACCTACCTTGGGGTTCATCGCCAGCCTCGGAGGGTCATCGGAGCTGCGAACCAGCTTCACCATTGCCGTTGTCGACTCTCATCGTCGCCCGCCGCCAAAAGAAAACTCTCCCAGCGAACTTGGAAAGCAATCTACCATGCCAGCGCGAAGCCTACCGCCATATCTATAACCTCAAAACGAATTGCCACGCCATACCTATACCCTCGACCAGATTGACAAACCTCTACCCTCGAACGCATTGCCAACCTTATACCCTCGGCTATAATTGTCAGACCTCGCAATCATGTCCTTCTTCTCCTCCCGCGCAACTCGCACATCCATCGCCCAACTCGTCGCCGCCACAACCTTCGCCTCCCCCGCCCGCTCCTTACGCAACAACAACGCCCACCTCTCCGACGCGCAGGCCCTCGAGCGCCTCGACGCCCTCACATCGCCCACCTACGACTTTGAGGACCACTTTGCCGAGGACCTCCAGCTCGTCTTTGAAGCCGTCTACGATGCCCTGCGCGGTGATAATGAGTCCCTCTCGCACGATGCGTTCCACGCGTTCCTTACAAACGTGCAACAAATGACGGATATCCCGCCCATGGATCGCGACGAGTACGATTTCCGCGAGTTTCTCCAGTTTTGGACGTATAATGGCTTTTGGAATGCCGTGGCGGTGTTGCCGCCAAAGGATCTCTCGAGGCCGCTGACGAATTACTTTATAAATAGTAGCCATAATACGTATTTGGATGGGAATCAGTGGAGTTCGACGAGTTCGCCGGATTCGTATACGAATGTGAGTTTGATCCTATGAGCATATGGAGAGGCTAGTGGGCAGATGTGGTAGTGGTAGATGTGTACTTGGTTGCGCTCAGCAATCATCTACATGTCTACGATGGTGCACATTGCGGTTATACAGCATGTCACTGTCATATACATGATCACGCTCACATAGGCTCACGCTCTGCGTTCGTAAATGTCCACTGACACGAAACAGGCTCTCCGCCGCGGCTGCAGATGCATCGAAATCGACGTCTGGAACGGCGTCGCTTCCACATCGTCCTCGCCCTCACAGTCACCACACCGCACCCCCAACATCCACCACGCCAAACGCGCATCCGTCAGCTCCTTCATGAGCGCCGCCACCCAGGCCGTCAACGATACCCGCGATGCCGCCCTCTCCTTTCTCCGCAACCGCTCCAGCTCCAGCTCTCGTGTATCCCAAGCACCTACCCTCTCGCCCGTCTCGACGCTGCACCTCTCGCCGCATACAAGCATGGGTACGGAATCGTGTCCGCCTTCACAAGCCAGCGTGTCGACATCATGCCTTCCCAGCAGTACAGAGATAAACAGACAACCCCGAGCGAGTGCCGTCGTCGAACCCATCGTCACGCATGGACACACATGGACACAGCCCTGCGGCTTTCGCCAAGTCTGCGAGGCCGTCCGAGACGCCGCCTTTGTCAACAACCCTTTGCCCATCATTGTCAGTCTCGAGGTACATGCCGACCATGAGCAGCAGCAGGTCATGGTCGACATCATGCGCGAGGTCTGGAAGGGTCTGCTCATCGAAGTTCCCCAGGACGGATGCGATCCCAAGTTCCGCACGCCAAACCTTGACCAGGTCCAGCGCAAAATCTTTGTCAAGGTCAAGCGCCTTCATGCAAGTCTTCATGCGTCTGGTCCGTCATCACCTAACCCTCAAGCACCAGCAGCTACTGCAACAGCAGCTGTAACAACAGCTCCATTTGCGCTGCAGTCACCTCCATCACTGGCGTCCAAGGCATCAGCGCCAACACCGACAAGCTCTCCTCGACTTGCACAGCTAAGCAAATTCATATCAGCACCGACATACTCACCTCCACCGTCTCCTCTCACCAAGATCAGCCCTGCACTCATGGCCCTCGGCATCTACACACGCAGCGAGCACTTCAAGAGCCCACAGAGCCTCAACACCAAGGAGGCCAAGTTCCCCTCCCACATCTTCTCCGTTGCCGAAAACCAGCTGCTTGACACACACCGGGTCAACGAGCGTGGTCTCTTCCTCCACAACAAGTGCTTCTTTATGCGCGCCTACCCGAATGTCATCCGAGTCGATTCGTCCAACCCAGACCCTTCGCTATTTTGGCGCCGTGGCGTCCAGATGGTCGCCATGAACTGGCAAAACATGGATGAAGGGATGATGCTCAACGACGCCATGTTTGCGGGCGAGGACGGCTGGGTACTCAAACCACCCGGATACCTTAGCTCCAACAAGACCTGCGAGACGGCCGACGACGCCGAGCCCCCTCGCATCATGGACTTTGACGTCACCATCTTCCTCGGCCTCAATGTCGCCGCTGGCGATATCTACACGCCCGACAAAACACTCAGCTCGATTGTCAAGGTAGAAATACACGTCGACAAGAAGGAGGGCGCCGGCGGTAAGGATCGCCCGCTGCCCGAGTCTACTTACAAGCGGCAGACGGCCTCCCACAAGACCCTGAACCCGTTCTTCGGCGCCACCGGCGAGACGCTGTCGTTCCCAAATGTGCCGAGGGTCGTCGAACCCCTCAGCTTTGTCCGGTAAGTTTATTTTTGGGTTTGGGGGGCTTTGCTCCCTCGCATTCCATGTGCCGATCTTCAGCCCCAGCTCGACTAATCATTCGTTTCTTCAGCTTCAAAATAGAAAGCACGTCGGGATTAGTTGCGTCGACGACCCTGTCATGGGCGTGTATTCGGTTAGATAGATTGCGTCAGGGTTATCGATTTATCCATTTGAAGGACGCAAGAGGTGATCCCGTGCATGGCGGCCGACTGTTTGTAAAGATTACCAAGACCATCAAATAGTCTATAAGCAAGGGCGCAAGGCAAAATAAGCAGATGCTCTAGCAAGGGGTTGTGTAGACACACCGCGCTGCTACCACTGTTGCTTCTGTGTTCCGGGTAATACCGCAAATAATGAATCACGAAATCACCAGACAGACCTTGTCCTTGCCCTTGCTGATGGTGCTGGTTGCTGCGACTGCACAGAGCCAATGGCGTAGTGAACCACCAACAAGACCATGTCTCCCACGTCCCGCGCCCACGTCCATATCCACGTCCGCTTTGCTTCCGGGGAGACGTATTACTTGCATCCGCCGTTCTCGGCCCATGCACGTCTCTAGCCTCGATGTTGCACCGGCATCATGTGGCCGAGGATCGACTGGGTATAATCAGGGATGTCATAACCTTGCTAGACGTCGTAGCACAGAGTGAAGACAGGGCCTCTTACGGATTACTGTTTGCGCTCGTGGGCTCCATGGTGGACCAGTCTGTAGTCGAGCATAATGCCACCTTTGCAAAAATAAGAGAGCCCAGCTGTCTCTGTCTGTTTGCCTGTCTGTATTGCTGTCTGTAAAGTTTTGCTTCAATTAAACACACCGCTAGACAGGCGCAGACAGCAGGAGCTGTAAAAAAAACAAAACAAAACAAAACAGGAACAAGCAAATAGACACTGTAAAGCAATCGTATACATGGCGCTGCGCTGGCACCAACAGCAGCGCCAACAGAAACGGCAGACAACAAATTTCGTGGCGTCGAAGCGAGTTCCGCTGAACCGTAGCCCCCCTGCGGCTATCGTCAATGGAATGGCCGAGCAGTGCCGGTATGGCAATTGGCTCTAGCAAAGGGGTATTTTGTTAGGCCAGAAGCATGGCGGCACAAGGGGGGTGGGACTTGGATCAGAGACAGTCGCATATCGAGCGGGACGAGCCACAACAATTAACGGGAATGACTCCGCACCGCCCATTTGCCGATGCAAAGTACGCACTCAGTGCGCCGTGTTTCGCAACGCCGTCCTGTCTCTCTTCGTGTCGTTTTTTGTTTATTATCAATCTTGCATCATCGTAATTATCCATCATTGGCGCGACACTTCTCAGCTGCTACTAGCCCAGCTGTGGTTATGGTGGCGCTTGCGGCGGTGGAATGATATCGAACGACTCTGGACCCCTAGTAATTATGTTGTAGCTCTAGCGCGCGCAGCCCTTTTTTGGGGACCACCTTGTTTTGAAATGGGCCAAAATAGAGACAAGCTAATTCAAGCAAGCCACGAAGTGGTCGGGGCGCGGACTCAGTAAGCTCCAAGTACAGACGCCAAAGTTTGACTGAGCAAAAACGCCGAACGACAAGCATTAGTACTAGAAGCAAACACCGAGCAACACTAATCGGACAATGTGGAGGAAACGGCCGTCCGGAGTGGAGGAGGGGGGGGACCAGAACGCCAAAAACAACCCACGAGGTCTACGCTCGCAAATTAGCTTCTGTTGTAGCTATGCTACGCGTAACTTATAGCAGGGCACGTATGTGGCTGAAGGCATGATTAGTATGCATTTCGCTTAAGTGGTATAGGCATGTAATCGCGATGATGAGTATTCGCTTGTCTTTAAGACGAAGATCGTTGGTAGAGGGTGGTGCAAGTATTTGGAATAGATCTTGGAGTATCGTCATCACAGTTGTTGGTGGTGGTGGTCCATGCACGACCAGCGCGGACGCAATTTTGAACAGCGCCATTTAGCGGCCAGCTGAGCATGTTGAAGGCAAACTAGCCAGGTGTAAGAGTTACGGTATCGTAGTCTTCAAGTCGCATAGTAGCGCATCATTGAATAGCTGCGCAGTACTGTAATGAGCTGGTTGGTTATCGTCTGCGAGGCATCCAGCTCCCTCTTCGCCCGTTGTCTTGTACCAGTTCGTGGAGCGCCAAAATGCCGGGTTGGGCAGTTGCAAGGTTCAGTTTAGCCCAAAGTAAACGACCCAGTCCCTCTAGATATGCTTAGATACGGGGGCGCCTGATGCAGAGACACACTGCTGGGTAAGCCGATCCCATGCCTTGCTATTCGGATGAAACCACCACCAGCAGGCATTTTGCTTAGGATTGATCTGGCAGCTGTGGCTGCCAGATCTAACTTAATATGCACTTTGTTTTTGATTCTCTTTTTGCTTCTTATCCGCTCCCTGTCTTGCTCTCCCCTTTCTGAAATGCTAAAAAGATCTGCCACCGGAGGTGGGATTAGATAGCGTGGCTTTGTTTGCGTTCTATTTCTGGAGAATGCCGCCGTTGCCGGGTCCCCTGGAAGTTGCTAGCTCGCTAGCTGTTACCTTAGTTGGCTAGAAACAGCAGAAAAGCATGGCAAGGATAATTGCTTAACGCTAGAAATGTTCTTAGTTCGAAAATGGTGGAAGACCGTGACCCTGGGTTTGACGATGGCCAGTGCTCGCTCGTTTTGCAAAGAAAAGGTGCTGCCCGCCCGCGAAATATCGGCCGCGATGATCCTTGTCCATCCGCCGCTGGCTGGCGTGTAAGCGGAACCAGTGGCACACATGGTTTTGGTGGGCGGCAGGACGTCATCAAAAACCGTTATTGGCCTAGGCGGGAAAAAAAAAGAGGACAGCGCGCGTCCATTATATTGGGAGGAAGCTTGTCTTGGGTGTAAGTTAGCGTGCTGATTGGAATGGGCGTATGCCGGCGTCTGAGCCGAGCTTCAAAGCCAGTGGTATCCGATTGAAAAATTAAAATGCAGAATTAAGCAAACACACAACCAAGCAGTACGTTTTCTTTTCGGAGAACACTCCGAAGAGTTTCGGTGTAGACTTCGCACTGCAGACGCCAGAAGCGTCGGCTATTGTCACCGCCCACTTCGCTAAACCATATTATCCGTGAAACGCGCTCGTGAAATAAGCGTTTCTGTTTAAGGACGCCTTGGTGTCCCAGTTGATGGCAGCGGATCGAGTAGGAAATTGCGACAAACCAATACCCGACGAGGGAGACGTTGAAAACCGAGGCCGCGTATGAAATAAACTAGACCCTGTGGCGGTCAATGGAAGATAATTAGGCCAACTATCTTCGGCTCCAGTTCTGCTGATCCATGTAGCTTACAAGTATTATGTGGATGACTCCGACGTTGATGGGACCTGCGCAGATGCGTATACTTCACATGTCCAGCTTACGACGGTTGTAATATCGTAAGTGGACTACCTACAGCTGAGGCGTATGCGAGTACAAGCAGGCCAAACGTGGGCCATGTGTAATATAGAAAGCTTGGGCGGTCTACCTCCTAGAATAGCTGTAGGTGCCAGCCATGACTATCCGCCTTAGTCCACTTGTGTAAAAGAGGCACATACAAAACGCTGCTCTCCGTGGACGTCGTTGTGCTTCAGGCTCGGGGTCTTCGGCGCTTTGGCGGTTGTTGCGCCTGATACGGCGCATGTCCCCGTAATAGCGCCATTTCGCCCAAGCGTAAACTGCAACGTAAGTAGCAGAAGCGGCAGCAAAGATGAACGGGTGAATGAGGAATTGGAACGGAGATGGATCCCCGGTGTAGCAAGCAAAGCTATCTAGCTCTGTTTCCTCGCCGTGTCTGGCTGAAGGCTGTTTGGGGAGAGTGAGAGGTGTGTGGGTAGCGAGACCCAGAAAGCTGGGATTGTGGGCCCGCATCGCCGGAGCAAGCCTGAATGTCTCCGCCGGTTCCACGACGCCATCTTTTGCCCTTTCTCTTGTTTCTTTTTCTTTTGTCTCGTTCACATCGTCCAGGGTATATGCGCCATCTGCGGTAATCGTAGGATAACGTTCCCGTGTCTTTCCCCCCTCCTCGGCTCGAGTGGCAATGAGAACATGCAGGGCCAGCTGGGACGAGAGGGGAGAGATTTGCGCACCAAGTGCTCTAAGTCATCGCTCGCAGGTACGAATTTCAGATCAGGGCACCTTGTGTAGAGAGCTGTGGTGGGGGTAAGAGCTAGCTCGCAACTTGTGAAAGCTCCGCAGCCAAGGTTACGGACAGAAGCCTTAGCGTGGGCGTACATACCACATGGCTAGCGCTCTTGTCGCCACCACCCACGATCTGCCCAGCTCATAGTGACGCAGTATTGGCGCGGTAGAATGCCGGCAAGCTTCTGCCCTGTGAAAGGCAACACTAGAGGAGGGGTTTGTTAAATTGGGGTGGGTGTGATGGAGCGGCTGGCGGATATTGAAAAAAGGGCTGGCTGGATGGCTAGCTGATAGCGTTTAAGGTGACGATGCTTGCTTTTGAATTGTGACGTGTGTGAATGGCTGGACAAGATGGGTTTGGCACAGTGGAGGTCCGTTGGGGATAAGCGAGACAGCAAATGAGAGGGCTGTAAAATAGCAGCAATGAAAGGGTGTCGTGATGATGGCTTTCGCGGGCAGATTATTTGTGTGGTGGGCTGCCAATAGTAGTGGTTGTAGTTGTGGGCGAAGGGGAGCAGGCAGTGGTGGTTGCTGTGATGGGATTGGTTGTAGGTGATGGTGATGGTGGCGAGCCGCAGAAGTGAGGGGGTTGAGCAAACACGCTCGCTGGAGCGGTGCAAAGCTCCGCTGGTGGAGGTCCTGCCGTAATGGGCGGATCGGCAGTGGAGGGCGCCAACTGGCAGCCAGCTGGTGCAGCTGGTTTTTGTTGGATTTGCCAGTTGCGACAACTTGCGACACTCGCGACGGCTGTCACGGGTGGTGGGAGACGCGATGGAGGGCAGGTGGTCCGTGGAATATGCTAGCTGTTTAACTCTGAAAAGTGCTAACCTGTCATATCCATCATGCTGGTTCTACTACCGCCACTGGTACTGCAATTACAGGCACGAGTGCTTCGACTGCTTCTGCTGCCACAGTAGTTGTCATTGGCATCGCTGATGGCGCCTACTTTTCCGCTTACACTGGTGATACGTGGATGCACACCACCAATTTTACTAGGCTGCTGCCCTGCGCCCAGTCGTACAATGCTGCTCTGCTATATTTTCTCATCATAGAGGATCAGACAGGGCACTCTGCTTCAGATCTGGCCCAATCAACGATGAGTAAACTAAGACATATGCAGTGCGACGTCTGCACGTACAAACAAACACACATCACTGATTGATTGACAGCGTATACCCGCACCAACTAGCCCCAATTACCCTCACAGCCCTAGAACAAGGGCTCAGCTGTCTTGCCCCCCGCCCATCACTGGCCTGTGCCTGTTATTTCCGATCTTGGCATCTCCCCGGGAGAGCCAACCACCGCGGGAAACAAGAAAAGAAAAGAAAAGCTACGTTGGTTACATTTATAAATGCATAAAACACACACATAGATGCTGGTATTAGTAGCGGGACGCCAGGCTCCGGTGTGGCGGAGATTAACGGGCCGTTAGCCATCCGTGGTTTACTTTTTTTTATCTTTTGTTTCTCGCTGTCTGGAAGGTGTTTCCCGGTATCCAGACAGCTGGGAGAGATTTGTGTAACAGGGTGAAGATCAACAGGTACAGCTTACACCCATATTCGTTTGCAGCGTATGCTCTCTACTTAATCTATCGCGCATGCACAGCTAGATACCGAGTTTTGCACTGGACAACAACACGTACCGACGACCAGCCGAGCATCATCACCACCCCGAACCCACTACAACACCACGACGAAATAAATGTAGAGGACAACTAACAAGCTCAGAAAACCTCCCCGCTGGCGTCCTGTTGCCTCCACCTCCGCCACACCCCCCCAAAAGGCCTCCACACCCCCTACTGGAGATGGCCCTGGCTTCACCACCTGTCAGACCCAACACCGCTGTAACCCCCTTGCCCGCCTTACGACTCTAGCTAATTCAGCCTACCCGAATGAGGAAGCCCGAAACGAGTTCCTTTTCAATGCCCTGTGTTGCTATGTGTGGTTTTTGCAAATGGGTTGGGGAAATCTTCTTGTATAGCATTGTACGGTTGCTCTGCTATACCTGTTCTCTTGCTATTGCACATGTCTTTCAAATTCATGCTTCTCGTTTATTTCATCCTGCATCTTTTTCCCTGTCCCTTCTTGCCTCCTCTTTACCTGTCCAGTAAGAAACTAGTTTAGCGGTGCGATGCGCCCACTGGACTGTTGCAAGTACACTACCACTTACAGCGGCATGCCCCAAAATTTCAATTTACAGAAGGACTAACCCGTCTTTACAGTGCACCTTCAGCGGCCCTCCCCCGCCCATTCCCACCTCCCGTCTCCTCCGCCACTTCTTCTCCCTCCTCCTCGTCCTCTCTTCCCTTTCTCACTTTCTCAAACATCACCATTTCCTATTCCACCAAACGGGAAACAAATCACCAAAAAGCAACCACAGACATATTTATAGCAGCAAATCGTTCTGCAGCACATACACACCATATCACACCCCTCAATCCGCCCCTCATCCCGCACTGTCTCTCATCTCCTCCTCATCGTCTTTTCGCTTCCCACCGCTGCAGACGCCCTCATTTTTTTGTGCCTCTTGATTTTCCTCCCTCCCACCAAAAACTCACACGCCCCCCCCTTGGTCTTTTACTTCCAGCGCTGCATTCCAAACTCTCACCCCTCCCCTCTCTCGCTGTTGTCCTCCCTCTTGTCTCCTCCATCCTCATCTCGCAGGCTATCTACTTTTCTCCATGATCCTCAGAGACACTGTGCCATAGCTTCAACTACTGCTCCCCAAGAATCTGGAAATCTCACCCTGCACATCGCTGCCAACGCAAGGGTCAGACGCAACCATAAAAGTCAACGGCCCCCACTGCCAAAACCTCGGACCACCAGTCGCCAATCCATTGCTGTCTCGACTACTTCTACTACAACTCCTACTACTATTGCGGTTGTTGCTGCCACTGTTCACTTGCCAGTATAACTCTCGACTGCGCCCTACTCTCCGCTTGCTGCTCTTCTGACATACTTCTTGGCATTTCTGTCACTGAACACCTGCACCAAAGCTGCAACTATGGCCCCTGTCCGTCTACAGACGCCGCACTTGGAGATGGTACCCGCGGAACTGCTCTTGCCGCTGCCTCCGTTTACACCACCCATCTTGGACCCTTTGCATTCACATGAAGGCATTGTGTCGTGCCCAGTAAGAGCTGAGCTTGGCGCAGCATACATCAAGCATCAATTGCTAACTCACCACAGGTCCCAGGCACCCGCTGCCCTACCTGCGCCAAAGAAGGCAAGGAAGTTTGGGTGATTCCCGGCCGCAACTGCGGATACTGCAACACACCTTGCTGAGCCCCATGACAGGTCGACTGATACTATGACGATACACACGTTGGCAATACATTGGGGGATACGAAGAATGCATATGCAATATCAGGCTGACCACATCAAGGCTCGAATGCTGCGTTGCAACCTTTCACCAGGAGCGCTGATGGAGCGCATCACCGAGCCATATTATGCTGCAATGGCTTTCCTTTTGTAGATTGGAAAACAAGAATGATACAATATTATTGCAAGAAGGCAACTTGCACAATCACGTTTATGGAGGTATGGAAATCAGAGATATGAAAAGACAAGCCGTCACCGCAAGGAATGGTAAGGCCAGCTACGACAACAGGCTCTGAGCAATGCGGCTTGCTACGACTAGTGCACGCATTATTTTGTCGAGAAGCAACATGATAATGTGGCGGGGAGTTGTTGTTTATTGTGATGCAGGCGAGCGTTTTGGCTTGGCATGTTTCTATACGGCTATGGTACCTATTTTGCAAAACGGCTGGAAAGGCGTTATTGATCGACGCGGACTGCGCCGTGGCAAAGATACCACACAGATACGTTTTATATCCCTTTGCCTGGGTTTGGGTCATTTTTGGAAGACAAGCAACATTGTTATCCTGGTCGTTCGTTTTTTATTATTATTTCTCTATCAGCTCGGAGTCTATGACACGGCTTCTATAATACTGCAAGTTATCGCTGGCACCGCCTGACAGCACGCTGTCAAACCACGCATTGTGAAATAACGCCGACTGAGAATGGCGTGTTCAACTGAAGAAAAATTAGAAAAATATGTATGCATGCACACTGCATCGTATGCTCACACCCAACTGTCCGGGAGAAATCAGGTCGGTGCCAACGAGGCTAGCGGCATCTTAGCAACCCCCGGGGACGTTGGATAGGCCTCGCACATCACCAGAATCATCGTCGCCATTGTTTGGTGTTGGCACATGCACGCGCCCGAACAAAGTTGGCCGACTGATGCTAATTGGACAACGCCACAGGCCGAAGCTGTCAGCCTGCCTCCCTCTTTGGGCGTAAAGCCCAGCCGCAAGCCCACGCAGGGCCTTGTCCAGCAAAGGATGCATGCGAGGAGCAAGCTGTCCGACCTTAGCCGCATACATTGATGCATGCTGCCTGCAGATGCATCTGGCATCTTACTTGGCCGACTTGTCAGCCACTACCCAAGTGCAGCTGGTTTGTACGCTATCATTGTTTGTACTGTTGCCGCTGTTGCTGGTGCTACCGCCGCTATTACCCCGTACATATCAGCAGAACTTGGAGCCAAGGCTATCCATCATATACGCACAGTACGTCAATTACAAGTGCTATGACTCCAGTAAGCGCCTACGGCGGTCCGGCTTGCAGGGCAGAGCAGGGATGACGACGCCGGGCAACAGCCCGCAATGCACCTCCATCTCCACTCGCCTTATGCTCTCGTCGTCCTCCTTCCTTTTCTTGCGTCCTTGTTGCGCCCCTTCACGGATCCGTTTGACGGTTTTGTATGCACGCTAGTGGAGTGGGAGCGGGCCGGTGGCCGCGGGAGCTTAATGTGCACAGCCCAAGCCTAAACGGGGAATAGCAAGGCTAGCGGTACGACGGAACCTACAGTAGCTACCAATCAGACCCGCGACTCCCTTGCAGGGCGTTCAGGTGAATAGACGAGCCTAGGGCATACGCTAGAAGGGCAATGCTTCCGAAGGTTGCTGGCTATTTTAGCCGTACCAGCCGTCTGGTGTGGCGGCTGGGCGAGGCCAGACACTGGGCGTGCAACGAGGGGCATGAATTGAGCCGGATGACGCTTACTGTTTGAGGCGCCAAAAAAAGAAAGTCTGCGCTTGCATCACAGCCTGGGAAAGATTCGTAGGGGGAAAAGAAGGATCTGCGGCGTATTGTGGTGGATTTGCAGGCGTCGGTCTGTCCGATTCGACAATTGCCGGCGATGATAACCCACGATGATGTCTTCGCCGCAATTCAAGACCATCCATCCAGACTTTGGCCTGTGTGGATAGCGGCCGACTTGCTATGTCTGGGGTTCGTTCCCCCCCATAAGTATGGTGGGTGGGTGTCTCTGTTGGTTCTGGTACCCTGTTGCATAAACGTACGATGCGGATATCGTACCCCGTTCCGTCACACCCTCGGTATGCACACACTCGGCTGATCTATGGGTACATGTACGTGCTGGAGGATATGGCGCAGGGAAGAAGAAGAGTTGGCTTACTTTCCGCCTTGTCTACCAATTGGGCCGTGGAAATGAAATGAGACGCGATGACATACCTGGGCCTGGCTCCTCACTCGTTTAGTCCCAGATAAAAAGAAAATATAACGGCTTTATCTGCTGCATCGCAGCCATGTACGAGAAACACGACATGCGGGCTCATGGCTTACAACAGCCAATGCGAGGCTGATGGTCTTCTGCGACCAACGCGAAATTTGCGTGGACGCTTTAGCTACCATTCTACCTTTTTTTTTCGTTTTTAATTTCGAAATTTATTTACAAACTATACGCATGTTGTAACTGTTTGGTCGGCTAATTCACGTGCACGCAAACTAGCTCTCCAACCTTTGCCTAAGCTTGAGCAGCAATGCACGATGATGTGCAACAATTTCATATAAACGAAAGCAACCAAAATAAAGGACAAAAAAAGAGTTATAGTATACTGAGCCGTGTAACGGTAGTAAATGCCGAATACGGCAGTGTGGTAGAGAGAGTATGTGTCAGCAATACAACGGCGAGCCACTGCTGGGTACGGCGGTGCCAGCAAGAAACTCAGGCAGAAAACTAACAGGTAAACACAAATGGACTAAACTGAAAGCGCAGCGTAAAACAAATTGGTACTTGCACGGATGCCAGATGCGGGGATAAGAACTTGTTTAAGAGGGCGGACCTGTCCTGAAGCAAATAGTGTACACCGATTAGGTTCCAACGCTATCCCCATGCTCATCAATAGATTGCTCGCTGGTCTAGCAGCCATCACATCTGCGGCAGGCTTTGCCGTCGATGTGCATCACAGCGGTGGATGCGGCACACAAACGACGCCCGAGGCTCTGCAGATGGCGAAATATCCCCACGGATTGCCAGTCGAACTCCAATTCAAGCGTCTCGTTGAGCACTACAAAGGAACCGGCTTCACATTTACGCTAAAAAGAAACATCACACGGACGATAAATAAGCAGTTAGCAAACGTTCGTAACGGGCAAATCTCTGAACATAGGCGTGCGTTGCGCAAGGGCTCATAAAAACACTCAACCTGTACTATGCCAAGTTTATACAGGACTATGCAGGCTTCTGCTACTACCCTGTGCGGAATCCCAGTTGCGATCAAGTGATCCGGGATGGCTGCTTCAATCGCATCAGTACGCTGCCTGTTGAAGGGGATCCTGCCTCGGGCGCCGTCTCGACGCATGAGATTGGTCACTGGATGTCGCTGATTCATCCGCACGAGGGTGGCTGTGCGAATCCGAACGATTATATCGACCGCCTGCAGAGAAGCTGGGCGATCCGGTCATTGCAGAATGCAAGGACCCGAATGAAGATTCCTGTCCGAATATGCCGGGTAAAGATAATATCCACAACTATATGGCCTATGTGCGTCTGTAAGTATACTGTTGTTACAAACGTGGTAGATGGGATGGCGTGCTGATGATTTTGTGCTTGTAGACAGTGTATGAAGGACTTTACAGCGGGCCAGATAAAGAGGATGAAGTCTGCATGGGATGCCTACCGCAAGCGTTTGTGACGTTTCTTGAGTGGCTACAATACAACGTGTTTGGTGTTCCGATAGGTCTCTCAACTTACATATCCATGTATGAGTGTATATAGGAAGACGAATAGATGGCTAGATAGACACATGGTTGAAATATGTTAGTGAGCAAAGAAATTTGAAGAACTTAGAAAGCGATTATTAATTCGGGTTAGATGTTCGGCTGTCCATGATTCTGCTGTTTGTGAGTCTTAACCCATTTACCGTAATAACTCGACATACTGTGAAATATTTTCCCAGTCAGTCATTCAAATGTCAACACTACCGGCAACGACTCCAGTGACAGTCGATATGCGCGCACTTTATCCCTCGCCTGTAGCGCTTCCTGCAAAACAACTCCCTTCCTATCCACATGTTCAATATTCTCTCTCGAAGCAAATGGGCTCAAAATTTGCGCGGTGGCCAGACTTCCTGAAGAGTAGTCTTTTATAGTCATTGACAAGTAGCGCTCATTGCTGTGGAACTCGTTTATGGCTTGAGAAAAGGCAGTCTCTGGGGTTCCGACTGTCTGGCCCACTGGGAGGGGTATCCAAATATCAGCCTGGAGAGTGTCTGCAATGGCGTAGATTGTCCATTTATGGGCCTCTTCCGCTGTGAGAGGAGTGTGCGAAGTATAAAGAGCCAGTTGGCATGGTGAAGCACTCGGAGATGGTTTGTCAGACACCCCATACGGACTTAGTAGTGTTGTATACTATAATATTTGTTAGTATGATGTAGCCACTAGATAGTAAAAAAGATATTAACCTCAAATGTTTGGCCAACGGATCCCTTGTCGATAGAGTTCAGTTCCTCCGCTCTGTAAATTCCCAGGCGCTGAAGCAGGCCAACCACCTCAGGCTTCATGTTGTCTACACTTCCAACAAGCAAAACAACAACATCTTTCCAAGACAATGACAAGCCTGGGATCTTTTTGTCGTTTACGCCATGAACATTAAGCATGGCGGTGGAAATCGCCATTCTCACATCGTCTTCGTTGTGAGTGGCATCAATATGCACGGAAATGAGAAGTTTTGTTGTCCGTGGTTCTCGGTAGAGCGACGACCGCAGTCTGTTGCCGCTCCTTTGAAATTCCGTAGCAGAGCAGTTCACAGTTGACCATCTCACAACATTTGTTTCGCGGCGATCATGGCCGTATAGTCCCTGCTGTGCGGAGAGAATATCGGCGTGTTGTGGGATATCCAGTTCTAGGATTTCATCTGTTTGGGGGACAAGTAGCGGCATGTTGGTGATTGTGAAGATGACGAATATGATTTTTACAGAAGAAGAGGTCAATATTTGGGAAGGGAAATACTTTTGTGAGAGTGTCGGCGCTGTGACCTGGTGCCTGGAGGCCGTTGCGTGGCTGTGTTGAATCAGGCTGTGACAGTTGCTCCTTGACGGGGGCGGTTTCACCCGTATGCACGTCATGTTGGTGGGAGCGCGGGATGTGTGCACATCAGACGGGGAATCGGAAAGATTTGTCTGGAAAGTGTATCAAGAATTTGCTGTACAGTTTATTAGGCTGTTCTCGACTGGGTTGGGTAGATGGTGTGATGCGCCGCTCCAGGAGGATTGCTTGCATCGATGCAACGCCGGCGACTTTTCATAGCACCGGTGCATGAAATAAAATACAAATAAATTGGGAATCAATGTTAGAAGACAGGATGAAGATGCTGATGGATGTCAGAGAAACCCCCCTTCAAACTCTGCGTGATATTGATACACAGTCGGCGCGACTAGCAAGACTAGTTGGCTTCGCTTACAAGAGCTGTCAGCTAGATGACATATATTGCAATGGGTATAAATGAGGTCTTATCCTCTTCTTAAAATATGCTTACCTTGCTCATCATCACATCTACTCACAAATAACCCATCACAATGGTCAACATTAAAGCCGTCTCTCTCTTTCTTCTGCCGCTGCTGGCCTACGCTGCACCTGTTCTCACTACAGATGAGAATGGACTGCAAGTCTCTTCTTCATCTGTTGATAAAGTTCAACCAATATATGTCCGCGATGAGTCGTTTGACATTGATCTTGAACAAGTCTTTGACTCTCAGAAGCGCGATTCTCTCTCTGATGACATTTACAACGACATCCAGGAGCGCAAATTAAAGAAGCCCAAGCCTGCCGTCATTGCTCCCAGCAAACCCGCCCCCAAAGAACCTGGTGTCAAGGTCAAGCCGCTAAAGGCTCTCCCGAAGCCTAATGACATTCCTAAGCCCAAGAAGTCGGATGAGCTATTGGTGCATCACCCTTCGCCAGCTGATGTTTTAGGAAAGGGTAAACATCACAAGCGGGATGACCTTGAAAACGACATGGATTTTGAGAAGCGAGATCTGAACGAATTCGAGGCAGAGGAAGACGAGGAGTTTGAGAAGCGAGATGCCGATGACTTTGAGGAGGACGAGGGCGAGGAATTTGAGAGGCGCGATGTTGACTCTGGTATTGATATGGATGACGAGGAAGAGGCGGAATTTAACAAGCGCGAGGAGTTTGAAGAGTTTGACTAGGAATATGAGGACAAGTAATTGGTATCGATTGTTTTCTTTGATTATGTTGAAAGGTTTTAGGTTGCTGGACAACTTATAGACTGACGAGAGGTTGGTATAATTTATATAAAATTGCAGCGAATAGAATTGTGTTCCGTTTATTTAACAATATTACATCTAATCTGCTAATTGGCTACTATGTCCGGCGTCTACTCAGAACGTAATATTCCTTCAGTTGTCCCGCCATTTTACTCCAACTTGGTGGCCTTGGCAGTGTAGACTGTGGAAGAAGTTCCAGAGCGAGACTGAAAAGTAACAGTGCCGTCACCGTTGATAATAATGTTGGTGATGGCATTTGCATCCTCAGAACGGAGAATGTGCTGCTTGAAGCCATCGGTACCCTCCGAGTTGAACATGTACTTGGTCGTCTCCTTGGCAAGGGCAACAGCAGCGGCGGCAGCAGCAGCAGCAACAGGGCCAGTCTCGCTGGTAATAAGAGCAGCAGCAGAGCCAATGACAGCCTGAATGGCGTCAGGGGCGACCTTGTCAAGAGCATCAAAGACGCCACGGAAGTTGTTAGGGTCCGTGTAGTACTGCGTCTTCAGGTCCTCGCTGTACCACGTCAGCAGCCACCAGTCGCGGCCGGTGGTGGTGATGCCCGTGTTGTAGTCGGCAGTCAGAAGGGGCCAGCTGCCGTCGCCGGGGTGCAGAATGGGCCATTGCATCTCATTCTTGTAGTTGTCGCTGTACTTGTGGACAAGCGAGATGGACAAGATGTTGTTGGGGGTGTTGTTCTGCACGGTGACTTGGGCTTGGCGGTGGGTGACGGCTTCACAGGTGGTGGCTAGGGCCAGGGCAATGGCGCTCAAAGCAGCAGTGAACTTCATTTTGTATGATGAGAGTGGTGAAGAAAGGGTTTAATGTGTGTGAATGTGTGAATGTGTCTCAGGATGTGTTGATGAATCAAGTACTGAAAACAGTGTACAATACGTTCACCTTATATAGATCTTTGAAAAATATACTCGGACATAGTTCGGTCATGATATCAAGAAAAGACACGCTCGTCATAGGTATAAGAATATTCCGGCGACCAAATGTAGTTGATCGTATAGTTGTCAGTGGGGGCGGGCGGTTGTGTGCCTTGGTTGGATGCGAGATGAAATGAAAGTTTTGTCTTGGCAACTAGGCTACGAATGCTAATACTATGGATATGACGCTGATTTAGTTTTTCAATTAGCCCTATAGTGACAATGTAATGACGTCAAATCCGGGCGGCTAGCCCCGGAGGTGTAAGCACTCCCTCACCACGATCTATCCGAGATGCCCTTTGTGGCGCTTACGATGGGCTGACACGAATCAGTGCACGACGATCTTTTTGTGAAAGCGACGTAATTTATGGATTTACGTGGAGAGCTGAAAAGAGCAAGGCCATGCCCATTTTAAATAATCTCTAGGCGGGAGTTGAGGTAAAGTCTGAAAATCTACAAATACTCTACTAACTCTGACTTTACAGCAGCTTTACAGATATCCAGATGTCATGATATTGTAGATTCTACCGCACCTAGCCTTTATTTACCACAAAGTTGTAGTTTTACTGTACTATTATATTCTACTTAATAAAAAAAAGTATATATATCATGTATATCTCGAAAAGAATGAGAAACGAGCTTGTTGAGGTTTGTTCCCGAAGCTACCCTACATAGCATTTTTTTGGCGCGTATATATTGTTGAAACACGCTTTGAATCTGCGCCCTGTGGCAATACACAATAGATGCGAGGGGTTTAAAAGTTGAATTGATCAATTGCTTTCTCAATATACTTTTATCTATACTGAAGATGATATATTCGCGTTTCGTGGCGTTGCGGGACAGTGGCGCTGCGGCTGAAAAGAGCCCCTTATGCAACAGTGCCTTAATGAAGCCGTAATTCTTTTTCCCTTCCAAACACAACTACAAGCTCCCATTCTTGTAACTGCCTTTATCACATTTTCCGGCGCACCATGACGCATTCTTCTGAGACCAACGTCAACGCGACGCCCCTCGGCCATGATACAGACGATGCTCAGATACAGAAACCCCAGCTCGAGAATCAGACAAAGCCCCCAGCGCAACCAAGTCGGTTTGGCATGATGGTTGAGAATGTTAAGGAAGGATTGCTTTTGGCAATAGTGCTTCCGTTCTTACTAGCCGGGGAGTTGAAAGACAAGCTGCTGGGGAGGCCGCGCCGAAATCGGTGGCAGTGAAGAGCGTTCTCACTTTGTTCTCACCTTGTTTCTACTCAACATCAACAACTCACCCAGCAAGTCAAACTTGCCTTGATTCAATATTTTCATCGAGCCTTGTCTTTACAACATTAAAAGTCAATCCAAATTCCCTCAATGGCGCTGAGGCAGTGTACACTCGACGAGTTTTGGCGCGACTTGAAACCTCCAAGGCGTCGTTCGTCGTTTCTATCGCTTCCGCCGACAATACGCCGACAGATTTACGTTCTGGCAGGATTCCCTGTTGGAAGAATCATGCACATTTTAATCGATAATAGAGACGATCTTGAATGGGAGATGAAGCCCGTGACAGTGAATCTGCTTCTTGTATGCCACCAAGTTCACTCGGAGTTGCAGGAGATACTGCTGGGTGAGAACTTTTTCTTTACTACACTTTTTCGCCCAGGTGACCTACATCTGCTGCGTCAATCGGTAGCCAGAATGACGCGCTTGCGGCATCTGATGATCTATATGAGCTCAAGCGCCAAGGTGTACCAGTCGTTGCTCTGCCGTGGCCGCCGTGCATTACTACCATTGGAAAAACTCGGAACTTGCGACGCTCACAAGAGCCTACGCTTGAAGGCTATACATCTAGAGCTTCGTGAAACTTTGGAATTCATAATGGCCAACACACAACCAAACACCCTAGAACTGGGCATGACGCTACATGGCGATGGAGATACCAAGGTCACTGAATGGATGCTTGCGCCCTTGGCGAGTAAAGATGCTAAGCAGCTGGCCGACTGTGCGATTAGCAATGGGGGGTGGAGAGGTTCCTATAAATGGGAAGTTGTGCGAAAGTACGCAATGCAGGCCATGGCCAAACAAACAACTATACAAAGTACACCATTTCGATTCATGAGTCTCCCCCCGGAGCTACGGAGACTTATACTTGGCTTTACTGACCTTGTTGTTCCCGGCGCTAGGATTGAATGCCGACTTGGAGTATACACTATACCTTGCCCTGACGACTATGAGGCGACATGTGCGGCTGGAGAGGTTTATGACGTTAGTTACCCCACGTTACGGTCGCTATACAGGCGCTTATTTTGCTCTGCCTACCAGTGTGCGTATTCCCAGTACTGTGACTGCTGGTCTCCTCCAACAGATATCTTGCTGTGCAGTCGACAGATGTACTGTGAAGCCATGTCGGTCTTTTTTGACATGAATGAGTTTCCAGAAACTACCGACAGCGCGATATTTGAGAGACGAGCAAACCCTCGAAGTAGAAAGGAAGAATCGGGTTGGTAGTATAAATTATGAATTTACAACTTGCAATTTGTGTATACTATGTATCAATCTTTTCTGGTAAACGTGCTTGTTGTAAACACGTTCTTTGTTATATACTTGAGAGCCGCTATATCCATCCTCTCAAGCGAGGATAAGAGAAACACCATAGGTGGACAGAATGGGCCCTAGAGGCTGGAAGTAGCTGATTCCTGCATTGTTGCAATTGCCGTTGCCGCCAGAGAGAACACCCTGCGCCTGGGTACCAGCGAGGAACGAGCCACCGGAATCACCGTGATCGGAGCAGGCGCTGGTCTGAGTAAGCCCGTAGATGGTTCCCTCGGCGTAGTTGACGGTGACGTCCTTTTGTTTGATGGTGCCGCAGTGCACACCAGTTGTTTGGCCCGATCGGCAAATATTGGCACCAACCGCAGCCTCAGAGCCACCGCTAACGCTGTACGAGCCGCCGTTGTAGTCGTTGACATATCCGGTCAGGGTCACGCTGTCTAGAGTCTTGATGTAGCTCATATCAACACTAGGGAAGCTGGAGCCGGAGAAGGTGCCGAGATCAACACCGCCTGTGCTCTGCACGCCGTCACCCTGACTTCCACAGTGGCCGGCTGAGATGAAACCGCCCGTAACAGAGAATCCGACGGAGCAGCGGAGGCTGGCCCTGATACTGTTGTAGGGGTCACCACCAACAATGTTGTATCTAGGGGTGGGCATGTTCTCAACAGTGCGGATTTCAAACTCAGTGGCCGACAGACCCGCGTGAGCAGCAAGATCCTTGGCTTGGCCGTGGTTGGCTGCGAGAGCCTCAAAGACGACCTTGTTGGCGGCAACGTCAACATAGTAGGCTGCAACACCGGTAATACTGCCAGCGTCAGCTCTAGTCTGGTGGCCCTTGAGTTTGTTGTCAATGGCCGTCTTGGCTTCATTCAGGCGCGAGAGGCTGTTGATCATGACGACAGGAGTGGCGCCAGCAGCAGTGACCTTCTGGGCCATGGCTTGGTCAGTGACACCGACAAAGGACTTGCCGGCGTCAATCCAGCCACCCGCAAAGGCTGGGCCCAAGGAGCCGCTGAGATCATCGAGGACCTTGCTTGCCTGGAGATCTTCGGCAATGCGGGCAACGGCCTGCTTGGCGTCGAGACCAAGATCGCGCTTCATGGCCTTCAGCATGTTAGGGTGGAGGGTAGTGGCGGCCTCGGCGGGGGCACCGTAGGCAACAGGGAGCGCAATGGCGAGGAAGGAAAGGAACTTGGTGAGCTCCATGATGAAGATGCAAGACTGAGAAGAAAGATGTAGAAGGTTTGGTGTAAGTTGGAAGAATGGTGAGTCTGATGCCTCTTGGTCAATTGATTGCTGGACTAGCTGGGGGCTTATATACACATTTCCGATTGTATTCTTGTGAGCAAGTTGGCGGATATGCCAAATACTGTTAAGTAATAGACTGTTTACAAATTAATTCTCTTGTGCATCCCCCTGCGAAGCGTGACAATCGACTTGCCTCCTTGGGATAAGATGAACTAAGGCTGCGGAACCAATGCCCTGCGAAATCCATCGATGTAACTCTCTATATACACATAGTATGAGCTAAATACATGGACTTGTGCACTGCTAGCACGGCGCCATGTAAGCGAGGTTTGACTCTACAGCTAGACTGGGTTGAACTACGCAGAGCTCACGAGTGGCCCATTCCCCAGGACCGCGAGAATTATACACATGCATTTAGGTCGACATTAAACTTTTATAAAAAACCACAATGGTGTAAATTGGTTACTGTTATTATGCGCGGCATATACGCCGCCCCTTGGAGGTCCCCTTGAATTATGCCATATCCACCTCTCATGATAGTGTTTCGGCAGATCGCACGAAATCTGCGGGGACCCCACCAAAACCACGCCGGTAATTGTCAAAGGCGAATTCGGTGCTCTACTGCCGGGAGGGAGGCGCAGTCTTCCTTCGAGGCTTCGCTTTCGGCGCAGCGGCTTCCGTCCGGGCATAAGACGCGTGTCGGCAGTATCCCGACTTACACTATGGGGTAGCGGTATTCGTTGCGTGTTGACGGGTACACTTACCTTCCTATTTGATTAACCGAGCTCACTATGGCTAGGCGCAGCAGCAAAGACTAGTGTTATGCACGCAAGCATGGGATAAGAGGGGGAAATGTTCTCACCCATGTTCTGGCCTACTTTAGCGCCGTTTCGACGACGATCCAAGGCTAACAGTGGCTGCGATGTTTCCTCCCTACATGGGGTGCCATGTTTAAAAAAAACCTTAGTAGCGCCAAATGACGATCAGGGCTGGCTACCTTATGCACGTTTATGCGCTGCCCTCCTGCCTAACGTGGAGTTGGATTGTCGTGCTGCAGAATACAGGCTAACGATTTATATTGCGCTTGCCGGTTTCCATTACGTGGAAGTGCTATTATTTCGTTAAGCTCAACGTCAAGGCCTCCTACATTGGTATTAAGGGGAGAGGCGGGGGTGGGCGACGATCCGCTTACAACTAACTCCTAGTTAGCACCTAGTCCTTCAAGTCAGGCCCGTTTGGGAAGGAGGATCAGGTCAACGGGAAACTATGAAGGTCGCAGGATTCCAGTTGCTTTTTACTCTGGAAATACCACTGCCGACGACTTGATTGGAAGAGACTAAGTTGAGCTAATGCCAAGCGAATGAGAACATGGTCTGAATTGGTGCCGCCTTTAGCATATACGGGAATAGATATTGGTGAACCTACGGTGTGATTCAGGACCTCTCCTTGGCATAGTAGCCGGGCAAACCGGAGGCGATGTTTACTGATCTACCCAGATGAACGCGATTTTGTCGATTCTTGCGACCCATGTTTGCGTCTAAAATGCATGGATCGTACTCGATGGCGAATCATTCGCCCTTCCTACGGGCTACAAGCAAAGGCTGACAGTTGCGCACAGCCGGTACTCGCCAATTGCAGAGTGTCTATCCTAGGCGGTCATGTGTATCACAGTGATCACCTATGTAGCGCGTTATGCTACTGAACACAACAGGATCCAGTCTTTAGCTACCATCGGCTGGAGAAGACCTTAGGTGCAACAAATAGCCTGTAGCCTCTTTTCTCTAATTACCAGGTTCATAATCCCGTAACTGTTCAGGTTAGTCTACCTATATAAGCTGTTGAGATTGAAGACAACGATTGAGAACATATTGTCGTACGGTTGTGGGTTGTCGCTTTGCCGTCGAGGTCAGCGCCGCTGCCATTGACGAATTTTTTAAAACTGAGCTTCGGCAGTTGTGTATTTGAGAACTTTTATGGAAAGTCGACCGAAAAAGCGTCGATTCCTATTCGTGGAGACCTATTTTGTGTTGCAACGCCTTCACACGTTATCCTGCCGTTGCATTGGCTAGTCTAAAGTCCTGGACATCTCCGCGCTCTCATATCAAGGCTTCTCCCTGACTCGTACCTTCTCCTATTGGCCCCCACAGCACCAGGTATGTAGCGTTTCAATAAACCGGATGATAGAATACGTCCGATGTTACCGCACTATTCCCCTGACGGTTGACGGGCAGTGTACAGTGGAGGCTACCGCGGGTATGGAATAAATTTTGTGCAGTGTGAGTACAAAGTAATGAAATCTGTGAATAGGAACATTCTGAGAAGGTTTATGTTGATGAATCTACCCTGTGCTAAGTCCTTCGCTACTGTGATCGCGTTTAATTTACGGTATTTATTTAGCTAGCTGTAGATAAAATTCATTTTTAATTCCCAACTAAATTCCTCGTAATGTCCAGTGAGCGTGACATTAATTTGGCCTTACAGGCACTTAAACGAGATCCGAAATTCAGTATTCGGAAATGCGCTGCGATCTATAATGTGCCGCGCAATACGCTGATGGCGCGGAAAGCTGGCTGTATATCCCGTGTTGGTTTGGCTGGCAATGGCCGCAAGCTTACAGATTGGGAAGAAGATTCAATCATCCAATATATAATTGATCTCGGTTTTACGATCATTCCCGCCTAGAAAGAGCCAGATTGAGGAAATGGCGAACCAACTACTCCAAGAACGAGCTGGTGGGCAAGTTGGCAAGAACTGGGTAACGAATTTTATTCAACGCCAACCACAGCTTGCAACTCGAATGTCACGACAAATTGACTATCAAAGAATCCTTTGCGAAGAACCAGCAATCTACCAAGCATGGTTTTCACTTATCAAGAATACAATTGCGAAGTATGGTATTATTGGAACTGATTCCTGGCGACTACGAGCCCGTAGACGACGGTTTTATTATTGACGGCAGCGTCTTGATCACGGAGTCTTGCTTTGACGAGGGCCGCAACCCTGATGACGGCAAGACTACTACCCATGAAATAGGCCACTGGCTTGGATTGTATCACACATTTGAAGGTGGCTGCGACGCCGAAAACGACCTAGTTGACGACACTCCCGCCACGACAGGAGACGATTACACCTGCAGCAAGAAGACGGATACGTGCCCTGGCATGCCTGGTCTGGACCCCATTTACAACTATATGGCCTACACATTGTGAGCTTAACCCCCCAAAAGAGATGACCTTTTGAGACCGAGTGCATTGCAGTGGTGCTGACAGGAGATGACGTAGCTGCGACCATTTCGAATTCACAAAGGGCCAGGGAGTCCGCATGCGCAACCAATACAAAAAGTACCGCGCCAATGCTAAATAAATTGGGGATTAAGGCGTTGGTAAAATCCTGTTTTGTACTTATATTTGCGATTGCCGTTGTGGGTGTGTGAGGTGACTAGGGGAGAATGTAATGTGACAGAGCTCTACCAAAGGCTTGCCCAATTATTGCAAGAGGTTGATTAGATTCACTATAATACGGCAGAACTGTACCAATCTATTTGATTCTTGCACCTGCGGGGCTTTCCAGCCGCTGGCTGCAGCTCTTACACGAGTAGTACTATCGCCCACAGCGAAGACATTCGGAGTGCATGATACGAAATCCGCGGTATCGGACGGGCGAGGTCGACGACATAGCAAACAAATTCCACAGAAATACGTACACGCTGAGTTGGATGCCGTCTTCGGCACATGCCATCACAGATACCTGGCAATTCAACTAGCCACCGTCTATGTCTGCGTGAAATTTGATGACGCCGGTATACTTGACCGTCTAACGCCGATCGATAAGCCGCAATAACATCTATTACCCGACCCATATGCTCGGCGGGCTAGCTGCAATGGGCAATTTCGCAGCCTTCCGTGGGGCTACTGAGTCACAAATAGACGTAAGCAGTGAGCCAGATAGTCCCTGACAAAGGGAAGCAAAGTAAAACAAGGCTTTCAGCCGGGTTGCAAAACTATACCAAGAGTGGCTAGGCGGCCGAGTGAACGGGTGAAAACTCGTAGACGTTCCGTGGTTTGATAGCAGCTCGGACAATTGCTCCGATACGCCGAGGACGCTGGATCGACGCGCTTTACCCAATGTAGTTAGCCGACCGAGCTGCTGGCTGCATTCGCAATTGCGTGGCCATGTCCGTCTCCACCAGAATATCGTCGGACGTCGGTGGTTATCAAAGTGCGATCACCGCGCATGCTGTGAATATATAAACTAAATGCAGCCACGCACCGTTGTCCTGTACAATACGCTTAATTATACGTCGTGTATAGACTACATATATTTCCCAATATCATAGTGAACTATTGAGTCGCTTTGATACACTGCGAAACCGCCACAACGTGTATCTCCGTGTCAAGCAACCAACCCTCGCGTCCTGGCAACGAACACTTGCGAAAAAACAATTCCAAAAAAATCTCTTAAAAACGCCAGAGATAAAAGACTTCTACTGGAATACTTGACCCAAGACATGGAGTCCGATCAAACACCTAGCCCTGCGCAGCATGGCATAGACCAGACCACGGAAACAGTTACAACAACGCCACCAGCTCCAGTACAGGAGCCTCCCAAATCATGGGACGTCGAAGCAAAAAAGCCTGAAGACGAAACGTCTAGATCCAATCTCGAAACCGCCCTCGTCATCGTCGCGCTCTGCCTGGCCCTCTTTCTCGCGGCCCTCGACACCACCATCGTCACCACCGCTATTCCTACCATTGCCCACGAGTTCCAGTCCTCAGCCGGCTATGTCTGGGTAGGCAGCGCATACCTCCTCGGTAATGCCAGCTTTGTCCCTCTCTGGGGCAAATTATCCGATATCTTTGGCCGAAAGTACACCCTCCTCGCTACCATTGCTGTCTTCTGGGTCGGCTCGCTGCTCTGCGCCGTGAGCGTGTCCATGCCCATGCTGATCGCGGCCAGAGCCATCCAGGGCGTGGGCAGCGGAGGTGCCATCGTGTTGCCCAACATTTGCATCTCCGATCTCTTTTCTGTCCGTAAACGAAGTCTGTACTTTGCCATCTTTGGCGGTGTATGGGCCATCGCTGGCGCCATTGGGCCCGTCCTGGGTGGTGTTTTCACGACAAAGGTCACTTGGCGCTGGTGCTTCTATGTCAACTTGCCCATCTCTGGTCTTGCAATCATTATTCTCATCATCTGGCTTCGCATCCATAACCCGCATACCCCGCTTCGCGAGGGCTTGCTCGCGATTGACTGGGTTGGCAGTCTGCTGATTGTGGGTGGAACACTCATGCTTCTTCTGGGTCTTGGTTTTGGAGGTGTCCAGTACGCTTGGGACTCTGCGACTGTCATCTGTCTCATTATGTTTGGTGTGGTTACAATGGGCATCTTTGCAGCTTACGAAGCAAAGGTTGCCAAGTTTCCCATTTTCCGCATGGCTCTGCTTCGTGACAGAAGCAGTCTGGCATCCCTTGCTGTTTGCTTCTGGCACGCTTTTACATTCATCGGTGGCACATTCTGGCTCCCACTGTACTTTCAAGCCATTCTTAGCCAGTCTTCTCTGATGTCCGGTGTCTACTTGCTGCCCTTTGCTCTGTTTCTGTCGCTTTCGTCCGCTGTTACAGGCATCACCATCAACAAGACAGGGCACTACAAGATCCAGATCTTGATTGGCGCCCTGCTCATGACTCTTGGATTTGGGCTGATGACTGACCTTGGTGCGGAACGAAACTTTGCCAAGACGATTGTTTTCCTAATCATCGCTGGACTGGGTGTTGGGCCTATTTTTCAAGCTCCCCTCATTGCACTTCAGTCGAATGTGGCTCCTCGCGATATTGGCTCCGCGACGTCTTGCTTTGGATTTGTCCGTCAAATTGGAACAAGTATGTCGGTCGTCATTGGAGGCGTCATCTTCAACAACCAGATGGAAACCCAATTTCCTACGCTGGAGAAAGAGCTCGGCAAAAATGCATTCGCATTTAGCGGCGCAAATGCCGCCGCCAATGCCCTGGTAGCTGGTCAACTTGAAGGCCACGAAGCAACTATTGTCCACGAAGCGTACTGGATTTCGCTCCGTGGTCTTTTCATCCTCTTTACATGCACTGCTTTTATCACATTTTTATTTGGGCTAGGAATCCGCCAGAAGGAACTGAGCAAACAGCATCAGGAGCACAAAACAGGTTTGCAATCACTAAAGCCTGCTGAAGGCAAGGAGAAGGAGGGTGAGGTTGCAAAGTAATAATGGACGCCGTTTCACAAAAACTGGGAGAGATTAGTATAGAGAGTTTTTTGTTATGTTTTATTTCTGAATTTTGTATTATTTGCATATTTTTACTCATAGATATTCTCATCTTCCATTTAAAACGTAGCCAACACGTCTAATACAAAATATCCCTACTCCAACTGCCATTGCTATATACTGCACCCAATACCATAAAAATTGTACTATACTCTAAATCCCGTGGTTTCGATTATTTAAATTGAGAATCAGTATTGTGCGGAATATTAAACTGCTGAGGTAAGCGGAAAGCCATTCCTCGCTCTACTCTCAAACTTTATTGTTTGGGGGCGTGGCTGCGTCATCTTGCGTGAAAAGCATACACCATCACCAACAGCATAACTATATCGACGCACCATGACGCCCAAGTTTTATCGCGTTCACGGTTGTAAAAGATGCAAAGAACGGAAAATTAAAGTCAGTAATAGTAGTCAAACAACGTGACCCCTGCGAAATGCTCATCATTTGTAGTGTGATCAAAAAACGCCATGTTGCTCCCAGTGCAGGCGTCTCGGGAAACCTTGCCCTGGATCAAGTTCGGGTCCGATATACTTTCATGCGCGAGCGACGGCTAGTCATCATCATTCACCTCGTATATCATCGAGCTCTTCTCGTAGCTCTCGTTCACCACAATCTAACCCATCCACGACACTGCTGCCCATAGCACAGGTAGGCGAAAGATGCTCTTGGATAATACACACTACGACTAGCGCGCTGACCTTGTTAGCTAACGACGCATAACATACCTCATGCACCCCCATCGCCAAAAGAACAGGGACTACTTTCCCAACTAGCGATCCGAGTCGGGTCTCACCACCAAGCCCCATGGCTCCAGTATCCATGGTTCTTTAGACTCGCGAGTCTTTCCTTACCGCAGAACATACAACAAGCATTCTTATTACCATTGACTGCTACAGTTGAATCATTCCGCGCGCTTCATGCAGGCGATGATGCGCTTGGAACCGCAGCATTCTCACGGTACATGAAGGCGACTAGCCAACAGCGCCTCCAAGTTGCACAACTTTTACACAATGATGGACCTGTGGACCAAGAAATAGTACTTTACCGTGTGATCATGGCTTTACTTCTTCTTGAGTTTGCCATTTCTGCGCCTGCGTCTTTGCCGCGCAAACTAGTGGAACAAGAGGCAGCCATGATACATGCCCGCGGTGCCCTCGATTTATTGAGACTTGTTGGCCCAGTCCGCTGTCAAAGTTCTCCATTCTTCGACATGTTTTGGCACTTGAGATTCATTATAGTAAGATAACAGCTATTGAAAAAAGGATGCGGTTGCTAACACTTGTCCAAGTCTGGATTACTTGCCATTAGCCCAGAGCCGTGCATACTAGGAACTCCAGAGTGGATTCGAATACCCTTTCTTCACCGGACCAAGACGGATTTCGATTACCAGATTGATCAAATTCTATTACAATGCTCCCAGCCGCAGCGTCAAGATCTTCCAGTGTATGCTGATCGCGACTTTTCTGCACTTGCCGCCATCAAGCAAGCGATCGGTCACGGGCCACTGGTTCCTCACTTTGCACCCCATTACGAACGAGTTGAAGATAGTTCCCACGAATCTCAGGATATGATTGCTTGCAAGAAGCTTAGTAATATTCTCAGCTCTACATCGATCCTGATATCTGGGACACTTCCAGAACTCTCGGTGGAAGCGGTTGTCCAAGTCGCCACTGCCACTATCCAGGAATCAGAAGAGCTTGCTATCATGTCTATCGATTCGTTCAGGGCCGTTGAACAGGCTATTTTGGCACTCAATATGATACGAAACCGAGGGCCCTCGGACCATTGTCGCCAACAGGCACAGCAGGCCATGGCTCGTGTGTGCGCATATATCCGCGTACGGTCTGAGCCAAGGCCACTGTGTGCTCAGCTCCCTAATAAATGCCGGTGTGCGATATCCCAGGCCTTGAGTATAAATAACTAGATCTAAAGTCCATCAGATTTATCACATATATATGTACTATAAGTCTAGCTTAGCAATCAGCAGCATGCACTCTTTCGACTTCCATGAGTCAAAAGCCAAATATTATAAATCAGAAATGTTCCATTCGAATGGCATCTCTAGCTACTCAAAACACCAAAAAGGCCCTGCATCTCCTTTTCTGCAAGTGTGAGCTCATCAGCAACCTGACCTGTCACCAGCGCGTATGCATAAAGCAGTGCGTAGTCCCTTTCCTCCACCTTAATCTCGAGCAGTGTATCGTCTATTAGATCGTCACCACCAACCGTCGACGAACCCCTTCTCATGTTGCCCTGACTAGTTTCAGCCTCTGATCTACCGTGTGTGTTGTCTGCCAAACGAGCAGAACGGAACTGGAAGATCTTGCTAAGAAGCCTGTCGCGAGCATTTACTATGCTAGGTACTGCATCCGTCAACGGATACTCTAGCATGATAGAGCTAGCCAATACCTGGAAGATGTGACAGATGCGATCACACAGTACCGCCCGTTCTGTCGCAGTATACTGCAGCAAGGCTCGCTCGCCTGGTGTAAGATTTCCCTTGAGCTGTGTCACCAGGCTCATGGCGTAGAAGCCGTCCAGAATACGGTTCGTACTGCGCATGATACTGCCACTAGCATCAAATGGAAACGGACCACGAAGCTCAAACTCAGACGCTGCGGACTGCCGAAGTGACTCTAGTCTGTCAGCATCCAACTGCATATCTGCCAGCTCCCCGGACTTTAAATAGTTTTGCGTACAGTCGCTGCGCAATAAGATAGCCAACGGTCCTCGCTTCCAGATGAGACCCATTTGGAGGTAGAGAGTCGAGATGCCTTGTTTGAATTTTCGGCGAGCGGATATAGGCCAGATGACACGACAAACGACTAGACCCCAAATAATTCCGGCCATAACCGACATTACACGGTGTTTGACGATTTCCATGATCACTGGATGTGTGCCACCTTCGTCATTATCGCCCTCATCTACTTTCTGACTTAGACTGTACGCATAAAGCGTTGAGACATTGTAGGCAAGCAGCGTCATGCGTCCAAGCGGTGCCTTGCCACGGGCGACAATGAGATAAAAGTTGAAGTAGCTGACCATGAATCCCAAGATCACGAGGACCACGGCATTACCTTGGCTGATAGTCCAGTTGACAATGGAGAATGCCGCTCCAAGAAAGGTTCCTACGAAACGGGACCACCCGGTCGTGTTGGATGCGCCTACTGTCATTGAGCAAACAATCATAAAGGACAAGAGACCCCATTCACCACGGTAGTGATTGTACCAGTCTCGTGTCCCTTCGATGAATGCCAGCATAGCCCACAGGGACGCACCGATACCTACCTTTATTCCAAATCTAACTGGATATATGTTAGCATAATCTGGGACAGGGGGGCCTGTTTCAGTAGACTTACTGTCGTCTTGTGCCATCTTTCTGGCTAACCTCAAAATATACTGAGAAACAGTCGACACTACCCGGCTGGCATTGGGTGCAGCATCCCAGCTATATGTATCTCTTCGCTCCCTTATGGACTCTGAAATCGCCTTTGGAGGGGCTGGATTATGAAGGGTCTCAGTCTCTGGTGTCTCATACGGCATGGTCGAGATGCCGCGCGAGGTGTCCTTTCGCCACCACATCAGCCAATACCACGACCTCTGCTTGAGGTGGGTGACGTCGCGAAGATCTTCAATTACATCCAAATATTTTTGCATCTCCTCTCCCAGACTTTGAAGACTGAAGCTGAAATGCCCACAAGCAGCGGCTATTTCTTCAAACTCTGCCTGCGCAGACCTGGAAATCTCCTTGTTCTGCTCCATAAGCTGGTACAGCTGCTCCAAGGCGTCTGCTCTGGCCAAATTGAAAGACGAGAGGCGGTTAGTCAACTGCCATCGTAGTTCGTTGTTGACGGTAACGGTGTAGCTTGGAGCCTCTCCAAATGGTGGCTCCGAGAGAACCTTGACGAGACTTTCCGCCAACGATTCCATATGTGGTTTGATCATGCTGACAAAGAGATCAAATGCATCCAAAGGGGTATTTAAGCGATGTTTTCCTTTTCTAGAGTTCGAACTAGGCGCCGAATCTAACACTTCCGATTCGTCTACGGCAGCTCCCTGTGACGGTCGACGGATGTTGGCAGAGATTTGGTGTAATAGAGCGATTTGGCTGGTAGCTGCACTTCTTAGCCCGCCAACAGACTGCGCAAGAGTGGCAATAGCTATAGCACTAGACCTCTCTACAGCGTACACATTATCGCGACCAACGAAGTAATGCTCAAACATTGCTTCCCGCAGATTCTTGGTGACTTGCTTGTACGTAGTGCTGTACACTGAAGAAGCTGTCGAGAGCTCTTTGTCAGCCAAATCATCCTGAGCGCCGATTAAAAAGCTGGCGGTTATGACGGATAGAGTCTTGGCGAGAGAAATCGAGGCCGTTGAGAGTGACTGTCGTAGTAGAGCCCGTGCCGACACCCTCCAGAGCAAGAGATTGACAGCTGCAGCAGATGCAATGCCCATCAGAAGCATCTTGAAGACTTGGACAATCTTTTGATTGGAAAAAACATTCGATATAACTGCATTTTCCTTTGTGACGACGCCAATAATGGCCAGCGAGGCCAGGGTACTGGCAACGTTGACGAGTGGGTTGCCCATGCGCTGTTTAACCCATGCCATGAAGCCAAAGCCACCCCCAATGAAGACCAGGACGACTAAAACGTACGCTAGGGTCACCAAGCCCAAAACAGATCCGAACAGGACGGACGTAGCCATGGACAAGATGGAGACAGCCTCGGCGTAGGCCACGGCGACAATAGCAATAAGGGTAGCTTCAATCATGGAACCGGCAGAGCGCGAAGCATGAAAGTAGACAGTAATTGTGGCGACGACATGCTTGCCGTCTGGTTTCCCAAAGAACGCTGACAGCGGCGAGGCAAAGGTTGCCAGACTGGCTATGGTATAGGCGATGGTGCATTTCAGGACTCCGCGACCAGTAGGAGTGGCGAGCCACTGTCCGAACTGCAGCGCCTTGGACATGGTATAGTCGCCAATCTGATTGATTGTGGCAGTCATGGCCTCGGTGCAGATGATAAGTATGCCGTCGTGTGATGTCGGTGGTCTGTGGTGTTTTTGCTGATTGGCATCACCGTTTCATCGCGCGAAGAAGCAAATAGAAGAGACTGCATCCGGATATAAAGGGTAGAAATGATAATATTTATAAATTTATAATAAATAATAGACAGCAAAGACCGTGTGAGGTCGTTGGTGACGTCTCACTGTTTGATGCATGTGTGGTGAGGAGACGCTAGTGCAGGTTGGAGAAGAAACGTTGGTGCTGGCGCCGATCGGCGGGCGGTGCAGGTTAGCAACCACGTGCCCCAATGCCCATATGATTTCATCACGCTATGGCGATCTATTGATGATGGCAGGAATTACTATACAAATTAATGTATCTAGAGATTATTGTTATTTAATGAAAGTATTTAAAAAGCGAAAATGATGAGCAATTATCGTTAGATGGTGGAAGAATCTACCTGCATACTGGAGTAGCCTCGGTCATTTTGTAGAGGGCCGCTCCAACGCTTCGTAAATTCAAATAATATAATAGATCTGTAGGTGGAAGATAATTTAGTCGTGGATGTGTACTACCACATTAATAATGAGAGAAAATTCATACAATTTTATTCGTCCTCCTTGAACAGTGTTCTATCTTCTATCAATGGCCTATTTTAGTCTCTTCCATGCCTTGTTTTGCATCAGCAGCTTCTCTAATGTCAATTCTTCCCATATCATCAGCATAATGACCGGTCGTTCGACGCTGAAACAGCTCGTCCATTTCTTCCAGGGCAACACCATGCGTCTCCTTCATGACAAAGAACGCAAAGAGAGCCATACATACATCAGCTACTCCGTAGTATATGAATGTGCCCCAGCCCATATACTCCATCATGTACGGTGTTGCAAACGAATACGCACATGTAAACGTCCACATGGACGCTATACCAACGGCGACACCAATCTCTCGAATTCTCACAGGGAAAATCTCTGCTATATACAAATACGCAAAGGGCCCCCAGGAAGAGTTGTAGAATGCGATATTGATGAAAATCAGCGCAACAGTAGCAATACTGGCCGAGGACGCGCCGCCTTCCGCAGATGGGGGGAAAGTTTTAAGCAAGACTCCAGTAAGAATCATACAAGCCGCCATACCAAGTCCACCTAGGATAAAAACTTGTCGTCGACCGAGGCGCTCAGACAGGAATATCACAAACACTCCGCAGGCGACAATCTTGATGACACCGAAAAAGGCCGTGATAGTCAGCGCTTGCTGGCCATGGCCAACCAGAATTGTGAAAAACTGCGGTCCAAAATATGCGAGAGCCGGCGCACCTGTGCTTTGTTGGCATAGACAAGTAAGAAAAGCAATAAGCAGCCTGTGACGGTTGGCGGGTTCCAATAGCTCGCGTTTGCGGAAGGCCTGTGAGGCTTCCATCTCTTTCTGGATTCTGAGCTGCATCTCATCGAATTCAAGTTTGACACTTGCATCGTCAGCACGAATCCATTTCAAACTCTGCCATGCCTCGTCGCGTCTGCCCTTTTTAAGCAGCCAGCGTACGCTCTCCCTTTGTGTCCAGAGGCCCAGACCAAGGAGCCCTGCTGGGACCATTTGCAAGCCCAAGGGTATTTGCCATTGCATTGTGATAGGACCCATCAGTTTAGCAACGGCCAGGTCCACCAAGTATGAGACTAGCATGCCCCAGGTAAACATCCATTGTAGACACGAGCCTAAGCGGCCGCGGATTTCTTTTGGCGCCATTTCAGCCAGATACATCGGCGCAACAGAGAAGCAGCTTCCCAGCCCTAAGCCTGCGATAACCCGTCCAACATAGAAAAGTTGGAGGGAGTGTACCGGAAGCACTTCTAAGAGAACGCCAATGTTGAAAACGATGCAGGACACTATAATGGCTTTACGACGGCCGATGCGCTCACTGAGAGGAGCACTGGCTATCGAAGAGACAATGGCACCAGCTTGCTGTAAGCCGACTATCAAAGAACCGACGACAGTTCGCTGATGATCCTGTATCTTAAAGTCCCTGTTGAACGAATCTAGCGTCAAGACACCTCCTGTACGGTTGCTTAGCTTTGTTTCTTGAGTAGTCGATGTGCTCACTTACCGACTATACCGCTATCATATCCAAAGCAAAAGCCAGCGAGGCACAATACGAAACAAAAGTAATAAACCCGGAACTCCTTCAGACGTGCTATCGTGACAATTTCCATTTTGTGAGTACGTGTACAAACACCCTAGGCATGTATGCTCGGGTTGACATGCACAAGGTTAGGTCGCAAGCATCCAACCCCAATTTTGAAGAGAGCAAACGTAGTTAAATCAAGCATTTTACCGTTCTTTGTCAGAGCTACTTTTGTGGGTTACAATTCCGTTCCTAGCTGTCAGATTGGTGGGCAATGACCTTTTTGGACTGCAAACGAGACCCTCGCCCACATTTCGAGGCCATAAAGGTACTCGCGCTTCGACTTCTACCGGCGCTCCCTATCTAGATAAATACTTTCCATTTTTACCGCAGATATATCACGCCTTATTCTATAGAAGTCCATGACTTTATCCGCTACTCATTAAACATGTTGTGGAAATTGAGGTTCTGAAACTCGTTAACTATTACTAGCTTAACTATCGGTAGTCTTTACCATGTAATGATGGGCTTGATCGTTTCGCCCGTCTCCATGGCTTTGACTGCGCTCGCAAAGTCCTCTGCATCATACATCTTGACCAACTTCTCTACTGGAAACTTGCCCTCTTTCCACCACCCAATCATTTGCGGCACAGATTCTTCAGTCTTGGCGTGGCCTTGCACGGCACCAAAGTATTGTTTGGCGCTCACCATGAAGGTCTGCATGGGAATATCCAGCGTTGCGCCGGGCATACCGGTACCAACCTGAATAATCTTGCCCATGTAGCGCGAGGCCTCAACCATGGCGCCGACAAGTGGTGGGAATGCTGTCGTGTCGATGCTAATGGTCGATCCTATTCCTTCCGCCGCCTCTCGAATGCGAGCTACAGTATCCGACATTTCCAAGCCGGTCGTATTAATCACATGCGTCGCTCCAAGTGTCTTGGCCAGATCAAGCCTCGAGTCTAGTCTATCGATTCCGATAATCGCCTTGCAGCCGATATTCTTGGCCGCAATGACGGCAGCTAAGCCAACGCCTCCCATACCGGATATCACTATGCAGTCGTCTACACCAGCTTTGGCGACTTTTACAACTGTGCCGCTGCCCGTTTGTAGTCCGCAACCAAGCGGCGCCAGTAGCTTGAGATCGTCTCTGGTCAGATCGGCACTTTTGACATTGACAACAGACTTGCCGCTGACGACAGAGTGCTTGGCGAAGCTCGACTGGCCAAAGAATCGTCCACCAATGCCACCTTCAAAGACAGGTTCGCCAATAAAGTTGATGTCGAAAAAGCGGATGCAGTGCGATCGAAGACCCTCTTTGCAGACGTAGCACTCGCCACAGTAGGAATACGAAAGAAGAACAGGGTCACCAGGCTGTACATGCGTGATGCTGCTTCCTGTCTGGACAACGTATCCAGATCCTACCACAGTCAGCTCGCCGTACAACTCTGCTTATGCAAATACTAACCTTCGTGACCCAGTACGCGGGGATAGTACACTCCAGGCACATTCTTCTCAAAGTTGGTATTTCCGCAGTGAAGATCGGTATGGCAGATACCGGACGCTACCATTTCGACAAGCACTTCGTCATCGCGTAGTTCACGTAGTTGCACGGGTTCAATGGCCCATTTGCCCTGTGAAAATGGACCACGGCAGACTAGCGCTTTCGATTGGAAGGCCATTTGTGACGATAATTGAAAATAGTAGCGATGATAAAAAGTTGTGACACTGATAGAGTCCAGATCTTAGAGGCGCAGTGGTTTCCCCTCCACCATACCCTGCGACCCCGCGTTTAGGCGCGTGCCCACAGCGACATTTGCAATTAATTAATTCACCAGTCATTTCCGTGCGTCATAGTACAATGCCAATGCAATATTCGTTATTTGCAGGCTCTTCCAATTAGACATGTCACAATTGACACAATTAAATGGCGATATTATGGCAAAGTTTGTCAGCTCTAAACGCATGGTTATTAAAACCATGACTTCATTTATGATACATGGAGTATGGTAAGAATGCAGTATGTTTCAAACTGTACGTACAATACAAATTGCTAAAATATATTACTTTTAATGTCGCTAACCTACATGCCCGATACTGTTGTTACCTGCCCATTCTTATAGCTAGTTTCCACCTCTTGCAGCGAAGCATAGGAGCCATCCTTTTCTCCCAGAGTGATGATCGTTCCGCCGACCTCCTTTGCCCATTTCTTCGTAGAGGCACGCGCCAGCGACGCATGTCCGACATCAGGGTGGTTGCGCAGTGCAGCACGACCAACACTTGTGTCGTTAAGCATCTTTTTCAAGTGCGTAAATAGATGGCGGTGGACGACACCGGCTGCGATTGAACCGAGGATAATGAAAACCCAGCAGGCGAGTAGAATAATCGCCGGGATAGCAAAGCGCATGTCGTACTTGATGCGGTGCTGGAGAAAAGATGCCAGACGCTCATCATCACCTGATGCTTGCGCTGCCTGCTTTTTGCCCGTCTTGGTACCAACAACCCAGTTGGCCATGAGATTAGTCCATTCCAGCTTCAGGATCTTCGCGGGACCCGCCTCCTGGTCGTATATTTTATGGAAAAGAGCAAGTTGGCCGAGTTCTGTAACACCTCCAAAAGACGGTATAGAGTTAAAGTTCCCCGTGAAAGTAAGCATCGTGTTACTCAGGAAGCGAAGCGCCGACATTGGCGCAGTCGTTCCAGCCAGCACATCCCATGGTCCATCATCCCATTGTGACTTGTCAACGAGAGCTGGAGGCAGATAGAAGCTCGGTGCTTCGGTGAAGTTGTACCCAGGCGTACCCTTTTTCTTTGCATCAACGATTCCCCACAGCGGCGCCGTCGTACGGTAGTAGAGCTGGGCGGAGAAATTTTTGGAGCGGTAGTCTTCGACAGCCCAAGTGGGTGGGGGATTAGCCGCGTCGTATTTCTTGTCTTGTATGTCAAGGACTGTTAGATCTTGAAGACCCTCGGTTCCATTGGCCTGGAACGAAACTTGCTTGACTGATGCCTTGACACCACTTGCGCATACATGGATCGGGACTCTCCAGCTGGAACCTGAGGCTTGGATCAGATCTGAAACACCATCGGTACGTTTGGGAATGCCGAAGAATTGGAAACAGCGTAGAAGTCGATTATGAGGATCTGTGTCTGCTGAGTTATAGACGCCTTGGCAGTACGAGTTGACTTGGAGGTTGAGAGCAGATGCAAGCTGTTCAGTATTCTTGGCTGGATCATAAGTCTGGTTGAGGTATACAAGAGACCCATTCATTCCAAATTCGGCCGGCATGAAGCCGACAATGTCTGGGTATGCAAGATCTTCTGTGCTAAGTTGGACGGGGAGTTGATTTTGGAACTTTTGGCTTTTGATCTTGTATTCCTTCCCAAGCGTCGCGTTGATGCCGTATTTGGCGTTCTTCGTGGTCGTCAGATTTAACCCCACACCCATAATGATATTCAAGTACCATGCTGAGTAGTCAGCCTGCAGACGTATATCAGGATTGTCGCCATCGAGTGCTGGCCAATCTGTGATGGGGACACCCTTGCGAATATTGGCAAATCCGCCCTCGTCGACAAAGGTAATGTTATAGAGATTTGCGGATGAGTAGTTGGAGTCGGGTCTTTCAGAGGGAATATGTAGCAGGAGACTTATATTTCGCGGAGTACAGGAAATCTCAGGGCTCATCCATAGGATATCTTCTTGCCACTCCATGCCTTGGCCGCTGAGAGCCGGAGCAGTATGGTTTCGGAACCCGACACCGCCATTGTGCATGTCAACGATGCCGCCTTCGACAAGCAGGATGCGATCTTCCGCAAGAAGCGACTTGGTATGTGCTGCTATACCAGCGGGGTATGGTTTGCCGCTGTCAATATCGTCATCTTGTCTCATTGTAGTGAGACGGTACTGTATGTCCCAGATGCTGGCAACAGTTGAGTTCTTGGTTCCACTCTCAAAGAATTCTAGCACCGCAGGTTCAATTGCCGTGGTGTTGGCGCGGGGGGAGTCGGAGTAGATGAGTAGGCTGGATGAGTTACAGCCCAGATAGCGGCAGTTTCGGTTTGGTAAGTCCGATCTCTGCATGCTGGTGGATAGGCCGAATGAAGTGAGGTCTTTGGTGTAGACGAACTGTTCAATCTTCGCCTTGCTGAGCACTACCTCATCAGACAATCCCAACGGCGTGACAATACCAGTGATAAAAATGAGTATAGATAGGGCCAAGGAGATGTTAGCGACGGTGCGAACGGTCCAGTGGACATTTCGGGAGCCAACAGTGTCGGATCGCAGGATGGATGGCCAAATGGACTTTTGGATTTCGCGAGCCAGGACCGACCATGACGCAGCAGTGAGAGGCTTGTCGAAGTGGTAGAGCAAGAGAATGGCAAGAAACAGAGGAATAGTCAATGAGGCTAGCCACAATGTTAGTTTACGTTTCTAGCAACCATTAAAGGGGTTCTGTCAATCGAATCACGTACTAAGGGATATACCCAGGGCAATGATACCAGAGACTCGACCAACGGTCAAGTTCTCGTGGAAGAAGGAGACATAATCAACAGCCATTGCGTTTATTTCTGTCAGAACAGGGGAAAACACGTCAAGTTCTACGACGATCTACAGAATCTGGCAGTACGCGCGAGGGACACACACGACCTAAGTACTCCCCGTATCCAACGTATTCCGCGGCGCAATTTTACAACGCTTTCAGCTCGTCAGAGGGTAACGATCTCTTGGCCCACGGGCGATAGCCGGCCCAGCGCTGTCCATGGTATCCTTGCGTTGGGGGCGCCCTCCAGGCTCATTTGGCTGCATAAAACACTAAGCTTAATCAAGAATTTCGCTGTGTTAATCTGTTCAGCTGTGTGCCGCCAGGGCCGTAAGACGGAGCAATCTTGGGCCCGCCATCAGCCTCAGAGCTGTCAGGGGCAAAGACAGACACTTTGAGGCCTTGCACGTTTCTTTTTTTCAAGTGCATGAATGCAGTCCCCAGCTTCAGGTAATAGGTAGTCCGACGAAGTTGTCGCAAAATTACCGTATGCCATCGTTGTTCTGATCATATTTTGCCTTTGATTTCGTGTTCACGCGGACAGCAGCGGAGAAATTTTACTTACTAGTGTCAGAAAACGGTCAAGATAGACGTGGCTTAGGGCATGTTCCATCCTTAGCGTGGTGAGGCTGAAAGGATGTGTCACCAAACTTCGACGGCCCCTGAACAGTAAGGGCACACTCCTTATTGCCGACATTGATCGAGCTTGGCAATTTCAGAGGCTTGGTTAGCGAGGCCGCCTTTCAAGGGTCTTGGAGGAAGCTGCAGATTCTTGTTGGTCAATGTCCACAGTTTGCAAAAAAAAAATAACAGAGATCTGCATGAGGAACAATACACCTTATTTTCTCGGGAAATATAAGCATTCATAATATCAGCCTTCGTTTGATTTGCCATGTACAAGTATAGAAGACTAAACGTACACTGGCTCTGTGGCAGTTTAAGAAAAGAATGATATTTTCTTGTCGCTAGTACTGCGATGCCTCGCCAGATATCGGCGCTATAAGTGTATGTGGCTCCTTTAAGAATCAGCAACGTGATCAGCACGCACCAGAGAAGATGGTGATTACTCTCTACATGATTTATATGTACAGCAATTCCGTGATAGTTAGAAGTCGAATATACATTTCATCCATCCAACTTTATGTAACCATGTCAGCTATATAAAAATACGTACTCAGCCATCGAATAACACTACCCTAGACTACGGCTCACCTCCAGCTGATGATCAGATGAATTAAGACTATAGAAGTGAAGACCTCTTCTAGTGAGACTTGGGTTAGTTGTTAGAATACTTCGAAATTTAGTAGATTAACTAACAGGCCTATGCGTGGTCATTATTGTGTTAAGTGGTGGTAATGCTTCTCTACGGATGCGTGCTCTTAGCGTCTGGCCCTTGTTCTCTATCAAGGCTGACGGTGGCCCTAATTGAACGGGCACTTGGATGCGATATACATCGCAATACACCTCGTAAGCTTCATGATTGACTAGCCGAACAATGTCAGATGACCGCTTAGGTGAATCTGAAATGTGTACAATGTAAGGAACACCGTTGACGATGTTTCCTAAAGAGGTCGTGGTCTTGTAGTACCCGCTGTCGATTGTCGGCTTGGGGTCGTGCGATTGCTCAGATTCCTGGGACTGCCTAGACACTAGAGCATTCTTTCGCTTTTCTGAGATGGTGACCTGGCAGCCTGCCTGCGTGCTATGGTTTATGTTAAAGATATATCAATAGGCTCTATTGATTTCCAATTGTAGTAAACTTCTTTCCTCCATATTTCAAAAAGTTTACAGGCTGGAAAGTCTGACAAACAACCCCATGCAGCCACAGCAATAGAAGAATTGCAGATCGGGTCCAGCGATTGTCTTGAGGAAAATTAACAACGAAAATGGAAGATGATACTTCCAAAGCCAGGGGAAATTGTGTTTGGCTGCCGAAGAAACCGCCATTATTTATTCTACTAGTCAGGTTACTAAAGGCAGAGCTAGGTCTGAATTACGTCAGACAGCAGGCTCTTTTCTTCTTCTGGAGATCTCTCCCTCCGCAACCCCGTTCCCGCGGACACACCAACTCCGTGGTCGGCCGGCTCGGCCCCCGATTTAACTATAGAACTAGAACTCGTGCCAAGCAAAATAAGGTGAGCCTGCCCCGTAGAATAAGGCTTGGACCACAGCGCCACGAAAACGGTCGCCACGTGGGTGACGTCTGCCACAGGCATGTATGGCATTCTAAAAATGGCGCGGAGAGTTTCTACTGGATGCCAAGGTGAAGTATAATTTATTTCGCATTAAAGAAATGATTATTGTACGGTGAGAAACGCTAGTGATGGATTTTGCTGTACGCGGCAGCTCAGCCTCGCTGATGCCAAGCATGAAGGGAAGTGAGACCAGTCGACGACAAAAGAGTATATAACTGGATGCAATGTCCTTCTTTCGTAATGACAAAAAGTACCATCATTCGAAAAACAAACCATATTACATCTTCCACTTCCAATTGCATCCAAATCCTCACAACTTGTTCACCAAGAAGCCATGAGCCCCGTCGAGTCTGTCCAAGTAGCCATCATTGGCGCAGGACTAAGCGGCCTCCGTGCTGCAACAGAAATACACAATGCTGGACTTTCTTATGTGGTCCTAGAAGGTATGGACCGCGTGGGTGGCAAAACCCTTTCTGTCCCAACGTCCTCTACAGGCGATGCTGTTATCGATCTTGGTGCAGCTTGGATCAACGACACGACTCAGGCTCAAATGTATGCCCTGGCACAAGAATTCGGATTCAATCTGATACCACAACGTGCGGAAGGACTTTCCATTCACCAAGATGCACAGGGTGGCTTTAAGATGCTACCGTTCGGTGTACCCACTGATGTAAGTGGCCCTGGTCTCTCATGTACAGGGCAGGCGGGCAATGCTAACACAGCACAGATGACTGAAGAAGAGCAAGTCTTATTCCATGAATTTATATCGAAACTCATGGAATACGTGGAACGCTCTGATCTGAGAAACCCTCATCTCGGTCCGGATGCTGCCACCCTAGACAGTCTGACAGTCGCAGAGTTCATCGAGAAGGAGTTCTCGTCGCCGATAATTTTGGGCCTAGCCACCACTCTTACTCGCGCCATTCTCGGTGTTGACGCACATGAAGTTAGTGCCTTGTATCTTGTTGACTTCATCAAGAGCGGCGATGGCTTCGTGAATATCACGTCCGACGTCAAAGACGGCGCCCAGTACCTCCGTAACCAGCAAGGTAAGTCGCTTGAAGTAGATCATCTGCCATAGTGCTGACAGCATGGTAGGCAATCAAACGTTTTCTGTTAAGCTCGCTGCCAAACTAAATCCCGGCACCGTGAAGCTGTCATCCGGTGTTGTCAGCATTGAACAGTTCAACGACTACGCAGCCATTTGCACCAACGATGGCAAGGTGTATCATGCTAAGAAGATTATTTCGTCGGTGCCTACCTGCCTTTTACCTCTCATCAAGTTCACACCAGCTCTTCCGTCAGCCAAGCAAACGTTGACCGAGTCCACGAAGCTGGGTTACTACTCCAAGACAGTCCTCGTCTTTTCAGAGCCCTGGTGGCGCGCAGCAAACTTGTCCGGTGCCTACTCTTCCAACTTTGGGGCCATCGCCTTCACAAGAGATACATGCACTCCCGAAAACGGACAGTTTAGCATAACCTGCTTCCATGTGGGTGAGACTGGCCGGAAATGGTCGGCACTTGATGACGCCGAGAGACGTCGTGTGGTGTTGGAGGAGTTTAAGGCGGCTTTTGGCACAATAGTCTCTGAGATCCCCGAACCACTCAACATTATCGAAAAGGAATGGACCAAGGATCCTTGGGCAAGAGGAAATCCCAACCCCGTGATGATGCCGGGTCTGATGACTAGCGATGCAGGACAGTCTATTCGCGAACCAGTTCAGCATGTACACTTTGTGGGAACAGAGACGTCGTATGAATGGAAGGGGTACATGGAGGGCGCAGTGCTGTCGGGCATCCGCGGTGCAAAGGAGGTTGTTGACTTACTAAAGAGCGAATAAATGTAGATAGGTTTAATATCAGAGAGTATTTATTATAAAAAGAACAAAATTTATGGAAGAAAATATTGGCAGCAATAAAATTACAGTGTAGTCTACTAAAGGTCTCTATAGTGGTACAGGCTAATTATTTTAGCACTCTGTTGGCGCTAAAAGGTAACACTTCCACTACGACATCTATGGCACCTTGAACTATTAATGATGACAATCAAGCTTTTAACGTTGAATGTCCAAAATTCCGCATAATGCTTTCTGCTCACATAAAGGCGCCTTCCAAGTCAAGCTCAAAGGCACGGCCATGTAAACTGACTCACGTGATACTCCCAGGTCTTACAGGTGTTGCAACTTATTAACCGGTCTGCCTTGCCTATCACTGCTGACAAACTTGTCACCCCTCATCACGTCACTGTCGCCTTGAATAAATTGTTGAGTTTAATAGAAGTCACTTTGTCTCATATACCATGGAGTCTCTTTTCCAAGCAATTGACGAGACGCCTATTATCGACCACCATGCTCATAACCTCCTCCTACCCAGCGAGCTTGAGGTGCGCCCGTTTCTCTCCATAACTACAGAGGCTGGCGATGGCGCTCTTCAGCACACACCTTCAACTCTAAGTCACATACGCGCCGTGAAGCAGCTTGCTGAGATCCTCGATTGTAACTGCGATTGGGATAGCGTGCAAGCGGCCATTGAAAAACGACGCCTGGCCCCAGATGATGCGTGGGCGAAGCGATGCTTTGAGGGCATTGAGACGATCTTGATGGACGATGGCCTGGATGAGAGCACTGTACATCCATGGGACTGGCACCATCGATTGACACGTTCCAATTGTAAGCGAATTGTGCGAATAGAGAAAGTGGCGGAGACGATCCTCAAACAACACATCAGACCCCAGATACTCAACCCGTTAGGTGTTGACAACCGGACGCTGTTCGATGACTGGGAGACGTACTTTATTGCCGCCATTGAGGATGCCATCAGAGATACCAATGTGGTTGGTTTCAAATCTGTCATCTGCTACCGCACTGGACTTGCCCTTCCCGGATCAAGCGCAGACCTGGAAACTCTTCAACAGGCCTTCTCACAATTTCTCGACTCTGACTCGAACCGCCTCGATGATGCGCACCTCTCCCCTCACTTTGTGCATTTGACCGCCCGACTCTTGGCACATTCACCAAAACCCTTCCAGTTTCACACGGGGCTCGGCGACAATGACATTACCCTCGCACTATCATCGCCCTCTCATCTGCAGCCGTTTATTAAGGCATACCCCACCGTACCCATTGTTCTGCTCCACGCTAGTTATCCTTTCACTAAAGAAGCTGGGTACTTGGCAAGCGCTTACGAAAATGTCTATCTTGATATCGGCGAAGTGTTTCCCATGGTTAGCCAGGAGGGGCAAGAGACGATAATCCGAGAGAGCCTCGAACTCTGTCCAACTGAGAAGCTGTTTTGGAGCACAGACGGCCATTGGTTTCCAGAGACGTACCTCCTTGCAGTCATACAAGTACGGGAGGCTATGAAAGATGTATGCATTACATTACATTTGTCTTCAGAAGATCATCACTAACCGTAATCGCGCAGGTGTTAGGTCACAAGCTTTCTAGAAACCGTATCAAAGTTGCTGAAGCTATCAGGATTGTACAAGACGTGTTTTTCAACACCTCAAACAAACTATATAATCTGGGCCTCGCGTTAACTCCCATCAAGACCAGGCCAGACACGGCGGTTTCTACTACCAAAGGCACCAAAATCACCAAGCTAGAGATACTGGAGCGTTTCTTATCTGAAAACCCGTCCATCAAGTTTATCCGTCTTCAGTGGCTTGATTACACCGCAACACTTCGGGTCAGAGTCATCCCCGTGAAAGTCGCTCGTGAATTGTTCGGCAGTCAGAGATCCATCGGTATTACAAAAGCTGCGCTGGGTTTGCTGCAACATGACCTCATGGTGCCAGGTTTCAGCCCTGTGGGGGAATACGAGCTCATACCGTGTTTTGATGGTCTACGACGCAGTGACCGCCCAGAGTATGCAACTGTTCAGGGCGAGTTCCGCGAACAAGATGGATCTGAGGTGGGAATTTGCCCTCGAACACTTTTGAGACACATCGTTGAACGCGCACAAGAAAATGAGATCACCTTTCGCATAGGATTTGAGGTCGAGGTTGTGTTTATGGCTGTAGATACCACCGGCGGAGCTCACACATTCAGCAAAAGTTTCAGTGGATCCGGGCACTCTTGGTCAAATGCAAGTGCTCTTCGGGGGATCAAATTGATGACCGTGGTCGAAGAAGTTGTGGCGCTGCTTGAGAACGCCGACATCAACGTAGTTCAGTTCCACCCGGAGAGCGCACCGGGCCAGTTTGAGTTCGTTACTGGGCATCTTGAACCCCTCCAGGCTGTTGATACGCTACTGGCCACGCGTAACATCATATATGCAACAGCGGAGAAGCATGGTATGAAGGCAACATTTGTGCCCAAGCCGTTCGCGAATGCCTGCGGGACAGGAGCGCATGTTCACATGTCGATCGTACCTGAAGACGAGTATGGCTCCTTCTACGCAGGAATCTTGAAACACATTCGCGCAATTGCCGCCTTTACTTACTGCAACGCGTCGAGCTACGACCGCATGCAAGACAGCGTCTGGAGCGGCGGGCGATACGTAGCATGGGGAACACAGAACCGCGAGACGCCGTTGCGCAAGATTAGCAGCAGTCACTGGGAGCTCAAATGCATGGATGGGCTCGCAAACCCTTATTTTGCCATAGCGGCGATCCTGGGAGCTGGCCTCCAAGGCATCCTTGACGCCGAACCGCTGACTAGCAGTGATTGCTTAGACGACCCAGCCATGATGGATATCTTCGATAGGGAAGAGCAAGGGATCACGCAGATGATGCCAGAGGATTTAAGGGAGGCAATGCAGTTCTTGGAGCAGGATTTTCAGCTCGGCTCTATCATGGGCCATTCCTTTGTTAGAGCGTACTTGAGAGTGAAGAACGCGGAGATGGAGATGCTGGAAGCATTGAGTGCTGAAGAGCGACGTCAATTCATGGTTGAACGATACTAAAAAGTATACAAAAGCCATCAATCAATCTCATAGACCGTAAAGTCACAGTGGAGCGCAATTAAAATGCAAAAAAGGTTTTTTGAGTTTTGTACATAATTATATGTAAAATACTGCTGCTATATACAACCGGAAATTTTCCCTCCTACATTCTAGCATCCTGAACCGGCGCCACCACGGACATTGTCGCCTTTGGAGCCCGCATTGGCGCGATTGAAGACTTCGGCGGTTCCAGCACCATACTTGGAAGAGTAGGAGGTGTTGGGGTTGCAGCCACCAGTGTGCCAACCACCGATGTTGCCAATGACGTTGCCGTGTTGTGTCTTGGAATTGTAGCCAGACATCCATGGAGAACCGCTTGTACCACCGCTGAAAGGACCGCAGTTGAAACCCAGCTGACCAGCCTTGGCCTCAAATGTTCCAATGTTGCAGTGTGTTGCCTTCTGTTGACCGTCATTGTATCCGACAACTTCCACCTGGTTCTTGTAACCAGCGTTTGTAACGAGCTTGTTTCCTCCAGTGACTGATTGGACATTGACCAAGTTTCCGTTGTGCTTTCCCTTGCCCAAAGTTAAAAAGGCAAAATCGAAATTGATGTCGTGGTTTTTGTTCCAGTTGGGATGAACGTAGGCGCCAGTAACAGGGTACGAGCCGTATGGTAGCTTGCCATCATGGTAGCCAGGAGCAAAGGAAAGGCCACCACCGGTACCAGAGATGCAGTGTCCAGCTGTAAGAATGACATTGCCAAACTTGCTTTCAATTACACTAGCAGTGCAGAAGTGCTTGCTCGCATCACCGCCGCTGTACAAGACGCCAACAGAAGGAATGCCGTTAAACTGAACAGCGCCAGCCAGAGCGACTGGTGCAAGGGCAGCCAAAAGTGGGATGGGTGAGATCATGGTGTCAAAATTGAGAGTTTATGATAAAAGATTGTTCTTTGTAGTTTGTAGTAGTCTGCCATAATTGACTCTGAGGATATTGGCGATGCTTTATAGTTGGTTTCTCATAGTTCTAGACCATCGAGACCAGCAGTTAAATGAATACGTTGTAATACGGTGCCGTGACTACCGATCTGACAAGAAACCGAGACTTAATGGGGTAATAATCAGCCCTTTGAATTGCAAGGCTGGCCCCTCAAATTGTTCGTGGTAAAGATATACACTTTAAATTACAGTGAGAACAGTGCCTCTAGCCGAAGGCTTCATTTCGTGGGGCTGAATCACTGCCCTCTCAGCCGCATCGGCTAGAGCCGACTACCAGAGCTGAACCGTCAGCAAAGGGACCTTTCGATATAGGATCCACTGGTTTGGCACCAAGTTCAAGTATTGATTTGCTACAATTGCTTACTTGCATTCTCAGGGGCGATATTTCTTGAATGTTAATGGAATTGATGCTTGACTTTTGTGGATTTTTAAGGCTGAGCACTAATTGCCTTCCCTTTTGGTCGTGCTGATTGTACTATACGAATAACACGCGTTTTGTTCGGCAGATCATGGAGTAAAACGAAGTAAAAAAGTGTCTATTGCACTAAGCTAAGTTTAGTTGCAATAACCTGTTGCCAATCTCCAATAAATAATAGTCTGCATATACAAGACCGGTTTCAAAGCTTGGGTTCTTGTTATCTGGGCTATTGTTGACGGTCGCGCCACGCAAAACTGTATCAGCGTCGTTGGGAGCCTTTGAATGCCATATAGCGTATTCTAGCATTTGAGCAACATCAGGCAAAAACTGCGCGTCCCCCGTGAGCTCATAAAGCTCCAGAAGCCCAGAGCAAACCACCATAGCTGCTGACACGTCACGGATAGGAGGTGTCGTGTGCGGCGCGTCAAAGTCCCAGTACACCATGCCAGTATTGTCTGCGGTCTCTCGCATTCGTTTGATAAAGTACGTGGCCAATCGCTTAGCTGTGCTTAGAAATTCGGGATCTTTCGTGTGCTTGTACGCTGTCGTGTAGCCGTATACACCCCATGACTGGCCACGCGCCCAAGTGCTATTATCGGCATACCCTTGGACGGTATAGCGCCCTTGTACATCTCCATTTGCTGGATTGTAATTTACCAGGTGGTAGGTTGAGTCATCTGGGCGAATGTGATGGGCCATTGTCGTCTTTGCATGCTCAGTGGCTCGGCGGGCAAGTTCGTCATCGTCGGTGAGCTCAGCGCCTCGGTAGAGTAGTTCCAAGTTCATCATGTTATCGATAATGACAAGAAAGTTCTTGTTCTTGTCGCTGAAGTTCCATCTAGGGCTACTCATGGAATCCCAAGAACGAATACATTGGACTGTCTCGTTCCACCGTGTCGAGAGTGAATGAGCGGCGTTGATGACAATGTCTCTGCTGCTGTTACTACCACGCAGCTGATAATCGCGGTAAAATGCGGGCATAATCATAAACCCGAGATCATGTGTTCCCTTGTTATACTGCTGGGACTCCATGCCTTCCTGCCATGACAGAGCCAAGTCGAGGATATCAGAGGACGATGTAGATAATGGCATGTGTAGCGATCGCTCGTAGAGTAGCCAGAGGCTGCCTGGGAAGAAGCCGGATGTCCACCACCCAGCGTCCATGTATTTGTAGGAGAATGCTGGCTTCGTAGTATCATGCGGATAGTGGTTCGGTTCTGCTCCTTGCTCAGCGACTCGGATAATGATATCTGTGACATCATCACTTAGAATCTCTTTGGATATCTTCTTGAATCGGCGAGTAAGGTCTGGTGGAAGGCAGTGAACACCCGCTGAGACGGGGTACGATCCCGCTTGCACGCAAGCGGTGGTGCTGACTACTTGACCCATTATCGATGATTGTACTGTAGCTATGTTCCAAGTTCCTGAACCGAAGAAATTGGCCACTCCTAGTTATATATAAATGAAGTAGCGCTAATAAATAACCCCGCAGAAGAACCGTGATCTCTAGTCAATTACCTTCTACGATATTTCTCCGCAGTTACTCTATTGGTTAACGTTGCATCGACGTCGCATTTTGTTGACAAAAAATCCACCAATAGTAAGCGGAGAAAACCGATCGGGTAAAGATCACAACCTCGCGTATTTTAGTTAGTATGTGTGCAAAAGAAATAGTAAATACTAGGCAATTTTTATCCTTTTTAAAACCCAAGAGGTATAAAGAACCGATAGTGACGTAGTAATCTTTCAGTGTACAGTATGTCATTTCGGCGAACTTACCCATGCTCAGTTAAATATGCTTACTGAGCCCCCAACCACTCTCGCCGAATCACGCCAGAGCAACTAGATCAACTTGATGAAATACAGCTTACTTACAAAATTTCACGACCGGCTACCACCTCCGGCATGATGTAATTAGCCTCTGCTTGTTTTCTCTTTCCAATGACTAAATTGTAGCTGAACGTTTACATAGTCCCAAAACCTGGTTAACACACAATCCCATATTGAGATCGCGCATCAGCCCACAACTAGCATTACTTTGCTGCCCAACAAGGTAAAGCCTATTAATAGTCCGATGATACGAAAACCGGGGCTCCTGAAATCCTATTGCGCCACAGATGCACCTGTAAACATCACTCATCGCGCGAGGATGTGCGTAAAGTCTTAGTGAGCACCAAGCCACAGCAAGAATGCGGTGGACAGGCATACAAAAAGTAGAACATGCAGAGTAAAACCAACAGAGATTGTATACTCATAATGCATAGATTGGGGCAATGCAATACAGTAATACCTCTAGGGCGCTGCCTCATCGCCCTTCCTCTGACCTTCTCACAACGCATAAGTAGGCCGAGATTCATGTTCATCACATCCTCTCAATCATCCACATCACACTCACAACTTCTTCACTACCACCTTTAAAACATTCTAAATACCACCAATGTTCACAATGCTTCCTATTGTCGCTGCCACTCTCTTGAGCACCACCCGCGTCTACCTGTAATCAGGACGCTGTCAATATGCAAGCATAGGAGATTAAGGAGGTCAGCTACAGCTACAAGTTCGATCAACCCACCAATAACCTTAACCACGCCTTTACAGGAGCAAACGTCACCGTTGCTCTGGTGAACCCCGCCACCAAACGCGGCTTCCACTGCAAGGGCCGTGGCGTCCCAACACAGCCATTGCAAGATCCCTTCTCTCGCGACGATGCTCAATTTGCTTGCTACGATGACGGCTACGACATCGCCAACCAGAATATCAAGTTCAAGTTTGAGGCACCATCCTACCAGGGCTGGAAGGATGGGCCCCACGAGTTCAACATTACCATGGACCAGACATTCCGATGCTCTAGTGCCCCGGGAACGCCGGCCTACCAGGCAACCAGCTTCATGAGCCTTCCCACTTAATTCACCAATACTTGCGTGAGAGACATTAAGGTCTACCCCGAAGGTGATCCTGACCACCACTACCTGATCAAGACAGAGGTCTGTGGCCCTTACTCTGGACAGCTCAATGTTGATGCCGTCAAGGTTCTTTCTTAAATGCATTTCCACGATGCTCTTTTGCGCCTAGAGATAATTATCTGTTTTTAAATAGACAGACTGATCTGATTTATTACATATTTCTTTAGACTTAATTTATAATTTTATACTGCGAAGGCTAGTCGCTCTGCTCTCTGTTGTAGTACCTCGTAATATTATGTATCTAACTTATATTAATATTATCCGCAAATATCCTGCCAATTATTGTAACATCAGGGCAAAACGTCAGATTGTATATCCAAGACACATATTATGTGCAGTATGTAGCTATTACATCATATCAAATCTCAATCCATCTTGCCATCCACTTATCCACCGCAGCTTTTGCTTCATCTACCAGGCCAAGCTGCAGCAGGAGTTGCACTGAACCGCGGATGGCAGATTCCAAAGCAGAAGCAATCCATGCATGCGTATACGATGTGTGCTCGCCAATGAAGATGGTGTTGTTGTACGTCTTGAAGTACTCTGGGATGTACAACTCGTGTTGCCCAGCTGCAGGGTCGGCCCAGGATCCGCTCTCCAACGGATCAAGAACCCAGCAGCGACGATTGTACTTGCCAGTGTAAAGAGACCTGATGTTTTCACCATGGATCTCAACCATCGCATCCAGGACATACTGCACATGCTCTTCCTCGGGTGTAGCCGCCCAGCGATCGCCAAAGTCGCCAGATACATACGATCCAAGCATTGCGGCAGGACCCTTGCCGTTCAAATTGTAGCTTGGATAGCAAATGTTACCGATTCCAGGGATATCGGTCACCGTAGAGCAGCTACCATGAATGGGGTTTTCATAGTGTTCCCAGAAGCGCTCACTGAACTCCAGAGCGACCTTGCAGGCGCTGGCGTAGTTGAGATTCTTGATGGCTTGCGACATGCCAAAGGGCAGCTTTGGAAAGCGCCACTTTCTAATTACAGAAAAGGGGACTGCAACGAGTGTGTAATCATAAGAGGCACTCTCAAACTTCTGGTTGCGGAACGAGTCTCGCCATTGAAGCTGGACCTGGTTGGATTTTGGGAGGAAGTTGACTCGCTCAATCTTGCGATCCATGATGGTTGAATTGTCAACAAGCGGGTGAAATGCAAGTGGAATACGGTTCAAGCCACCATCAACAGTCTTGTACTGCGCGGCGCTGAAGTACATGCCACCGTAGAGAGCTTCCCAAAATGGGACCGTGGGGGACCCATTAAGAGCATCGGTGGAGTTTAGCGAGCCCTTTAAGAAGTTGACCATGAAGCCAAACTCGGACCAATGATCACCTCCCTGGCCCTTCAAGCCACTCTTAATCCACTCATCGTGGGCCTTGAACATGTTGTTTGCCATGCGGACTGCAAAGTCACTATCTGGCAAATAGCTGTTGAGTTTGGCCTGGAGATCAGTAGTGTCCTTGTCATATGTCATTGGGCTGCCCAAATCAGGGTTCGCTGCAATCTGAGCCAGGGTTGGCGGGAGGCCCGATGGGAGCTTGAAGCCGTTTTGGTAAACAAAACCGTTGTTGTCCGCTTGGATCCACGGAATAAAATCGATGCTGAAATTCTTATTGTTATTGTTCAACTTGTTCAGCTCAGCAGCGAGTTGGAAGACGAGTTGGTGATCGGTGATGTTGTAGACTTTGTTTGTCTTGGTATCCTTATACGTCTCTGGGAAGCGCATCGGCCCCATTTCCTGATACGAGTAGTCAAATGGCCCACCTGACAAATACTCGGTGTGAACTCGGCCGCCGAGTCGTTGTCCCGCCTCGATGATGGTTACATTCGTCATGCCCGCCTGGGTAAGGACAAGATAGCTCATCAAACCTGCCATGCCGGCACCGACGATGGCAATTTTCTTTGATTTAGCCGTCTTTACGTCAACTGCACCTGGCTGATTATCTTGAAGAGCGTGAACGCCTTCGAACCAGGGCCCCATGTTGTTGAAGCGACTGCCGTCGCCAAGGTCGATGCTTGCTAGAAATATGTGAGCGTTTTGATATACAGGAGACTTGTTATCTGGTCAACTTACATCGTCTTTGTGCTCTCTGTTTCCACTGATGGTCAAGTGTGATCGAGTCGCTGCGCCCGAGCAAATCTCCCGCCTCAGTCCAGGACGAGACACAGCCAGCAGAAGGAGCATCCTTTGGCACAACCCAAACTAGGCGATGAGAGCCGCGTAGTTCGGACACAGAGATAGTGTGATGTGCTAATTCTGGCGAGTTGGAGTCACAAGTTCCGTAAGTGTATCGAACGGGTACTTGGACAGGGCTGTCCACGGTAACATGGACGTTGCCAACGCGGGAAGTGATTGGTTCGCGAACCTCCAACTTCAAAGCAGCCGGGTGAGCAGCGACAAGACTGCCCAGTACGAGTGCAAAGCGTAGGAGGGTCATTTTCTTGTAACCAGAAAGATTGAACAAAAACTGGTTGAAGAAACTGGGAGTGTTGGTTGGTTGGTTGGTTGGATGTGTTGGTGGTTTAAATGAGCCTTTGGGGTGTGCACGGTTCGCGTGGCTTTTTATACTTGACAAACTCGGCCTCCTCACCGGAGATAATGTTGAATATTATCATCCAATTCGGTTTACGAAGTGAGTCACCCTGATTACAATGGCTACGAAATATTCCATCATCACGCGAACCATTTATAAGGCTCGCAGCCGTTGACAGCCGTTTGTCGTCTCTACTCGGTTCCAAATTCTGGGCCAATATCTTGACAGAAAAGTGGGTATAGGCATAATAAGGCCGGATGCAAAGAAATAAACTCGTCGTTATCAATCTTTAAGCCGATGCTAGGGCTGGATATTGGACAGTTGCATTTACCGCAGGTACAACGATGGTGCAGTTGGACGAATAAGCCGATGCTGTCGAGGGCTCATCTAAGTAGCAATGATAATATAGTGTCTCTATGCTATACAGCCAGTGTTAGGTGTTCGCCCTGTCGGGTTTTTGCCTTTTCTGGTTTTCAGCCTCGGCGTCCGAAAGGATCATAGTGCGCGCCCTGCCGGTGGCAGAGCATCCTTTCAGGCTCGTATAAACCGCACACAACTCGCGGATAACCGAGGTGCCAAGTACAACCATTATTAAGCAGCTGGACTGTCATTTTGCTCTTAGCAGGCATTCCAATATTATTACTTTTTTCGGTCCATCGCGCTGATCTTGTGACCTGGAAACAATACCGCTGCGTTATTATATATCCTCTTTGTGCGTGGACCTTTATAGGTGGATCGGATGTCACTGGCCGAGCGTAGATAAGCAGTTGCCTAATCGGGTAGCGGCGTACAGCCGACAATCCGCGTGCCTTGACTTAAATCCGAGCATAAACAATAGAGGAGACAAAGAGGCCAATGAACTCTACCACTACAAAATGGTGCGTTGCTCTATTACATTGAATAATATTGATCCCGTGTTATAATCAATCGCCGTCAATAGTTGACATGTTAATTTTCCCTTTCAGCCTCCGAGGTTGGGCATAGAGAAGCAACGTTGACTATGCGCAACATGAGCAAGAATGAGCAGAATATTGTGGTTGGCACGCTATGCGGGTAGCAACGCGATGTAGACTTAAAAGAGCCAAGTCCTTCAGCAAAATGCGATATTGATTTCTTTTCTGTTTTTGCATCTTAATTATAGCTATATTTCATCTGCAAGTATTGACGACGGTGCCGGTCGCCAGCTGCCGTTTGCCAGGCCCCTGCCAGCTGTGACACTTGGCCACCTACAGCGCACGCTACCTACAGTACATCGCCTGTCTGCCCAAACACCACCGTCAGCTACCACCAACAGCATCTCTACCACAACCACGACTACTCCTCTGTCATCGCAACTGCATCTCTCGGAAATCAAACTCTGCGAAAATCATCACGGACATCGTACTCTTTCTCGTTTACACGATGTGCAGCACGAATGGCTCTGCTCAGCCACCCGCCGATGGCGCAGCAATGACCCAGCACGGCGACGGGCCTTCAGAGAGCCCGTGCTGCGCAACGCCAAACCACTCAACTCTAAACAAAACACTCGCTAATCGACAAACAAATGCCGGTTTTTAACAGACTCGGATTACATCCGCCCTTTGCCACGCGCGTTTGACAACGCCACCACCGTCGACCAACAGTTTATTTCCTACATTGCTGCTATTCTGAGACAGCGCAAAGAAACGAATAAATTTAACACTCTCGATGCGACGCTCCATCGACGCAACACTCAATATTTGACACGGCCAGTGACCATGGGGATACACTAAGAGCGGAGCTAGCATTTGGAATAGTGCCCTGGAAAGCCGCCAATGGCAGCGCTGGAAGAGCGAATGGAGGATCTACCATTGCCCCGACTGGCTTGCCCCTGGGCTGCGCTCGCCTCGCTATTCCCCCGCAACCTTGTGCGCCGGTGAAACAAATCATCCCGGCCCCAACACCATCCGAGCTTCAGTATTGGGCCTGGGTCCCACTGTGCACTAAAGTCCATGACGAGGGGCGGCTTAACTAGCTCCGCTAGCCCTGGCGACCTACCTGCCTGTGCTGGGCCAGCGCGAGATAACATCATTGATCAGTCAGCCCTATTCGCCGCAGCTGAGCTGGTTCGCTGAGCTGTGTGTCTCGTCACACTTTGCCTACTGGCACTATCACCATGGTGGTCTGTGGTGACCAAACCAACTCGGACGAAGGCGATCGCGGCTTGGCCTCATGAATTGTTAGTCTTGGAAGTTGCCTTTTTCAGCACTCCCAGAAAAGGTAAATATAGCTTGGTATGAATACTAAAGCGAAAACACGCTGGGGCCGCAAATCGTCCCCAGAAAAACCACGCTAGTGGCCGCCAGCCTTTGCCGATGTGGAGGGATGCATTACTCCGCCCTCGTCGACTTTGGTCCCAGACTCGCATTGGCTCCATCTTAGACCACCTAGAATACGGTTGAGGCTAAGATTTACTCGACGCAGCCCCTTGGAGCATGGCGTAGCCGGCATGTCGGCGCCGCACTTTACGTGCTGCTCGGCCTTCCTCTTTTGCCACGGGGAGGCTGCTGTAACAGTGCCGCACGCCACCTGTACTTTCTGGAAGGGGAGAGTCTGTCTCCCAGAATAGCAGGTCGAGACCTTTAAAGCTCTCGCATTCCCCGGATAGATTGTCTCGTATTTCCCATCGCTCACATCTACACCCCAATTGAATCAAAAAAGTCGCGTCTTCTTTACATCCTCAACCAAACACCTAGCGTCTCTCCAACTCTAGCATAATGCACTTCATCGCCGCTACAGCTCTCTCCATGCTTGCCATGCAGGCGCAGGCCAAGACCGTCAAGGTCATGGTCGGGCAGGGCGGCCTGAAGTTCACTCCCGACAACATCAAGGCCAGCAAGGGCGATACCATTGAGTTCTCCTTCTACACCAGCACGCACAACGTCATCCAGGGTGATGCCACCAAGGCCTGCAACCCCGTTGACAAGGGCGGCTTTTTCTCTGGCGATATGAAGGTTACTTCTGGCAAGGGCGTAAGTTTCTAACTCTATTGGCTATCAATGACGTAGAATCTAGAGCAATCAGCTAACGCACAATGCAGACCAAGACTTTCACTGTCAAGGTCGACAGCACCGACCCCATGTACATCTACTGCGGTGTTGGCCAGCACTGTCAGGCCGGCATGACGGCCGTCATCAACCCCAAGGCCGATGGCGATGTCAAGTCCTACGCCGACAACGCCGCCAAGGCTGACAAGAACGTCACCCCCAAGGGCGATGCTTTCGGTGGAACTGTTGCTGATGCTAAGCTCGAGCCCACCGAGAGCGGCTCCATGGTTTCCACCAAGGGTGTCTCTTCCATGAGCCCTACCGGTGGTGCCATGACTACTGGCAGCATGAGCGGCTCTGCTACTCCCACCAACAGCAAAGCTGCTCCCTCGTCCACTGGTGCCGCCTCCAACCTCGAGGGCCAGCTCGGTGCTGCCGTTGCCGCTGCCGCCGGTCTTGCTGCTTTCATCCTTTAAGTACACCAAAAGAATTGGACTGTACAACACGGATCTCTACATTATGTGTAAAACTTTTTAATGAATAAATACGATATTTAACGACCATTCTGCACTCTCACGTCAATTATCTCACCCCGGGTACCTGTCTCGTCTCGTCTACTAACGCATCTAACTTACCACATGGGCTCTTGGCTGGTGATCGCCGATACAGCTCCACCCCGAATGGCCAGTTGCTCTATTAAGAGTCTGGGGTCCCGACGATGACTGTTACGACGGATAAATGGCAACGTCAGTAATTCGCGCACGACAAGCAAAAAGTCCATCATAAATGCATTCAGCGTCGTCTCAAAGAATGGTACAGTAAAGTGATGCTATGTACGTTCTTGGTGGATATGTACTTGTCCGCAGCTCCTTACGACTGTGGCGCGCCGGGCGTCGTACTGTTGTACACGGCCTTACCCGCATGGCAGTCAAAACTGCGCACCAATCTGTCCCACCCAACGGCGGTCAAGTTGTATTTGTGCTGGTATGCAAAGTCTACATATCCAGAGGTGCAGCCCGTCGGTAGGTTGCACGGGTCGCCGCAGTTGGTCACCCGCGGGTAGCAGTAGAACTCTTCACCGTCAGGAGCAAAGGTTCGTGTGTTAGTGTAGAAGATCTGGGGGACTTGGATACACTCTTCGAAAGGGACGACTTTGTATTGGCAGATGCCTGTTTGATTAGCGCCGGTACATAGGAGAACCTAGGAGGAGGTTAACAGAGAGCAATGATTAGCTGCCTGAGCTAAGGGTGCGTACGCCGCCAAGTTCAGCTGCCGCCACAGCAGCGAGACCAGCAAACACGAATATTTTCTGCATTTTATTTTCTTCGTTGAGTCGTGAAAACGAACCTGGTGAGATCTACTGTTTTTTTAACTTGCAAGGAGACAGGGGAAGCTTGCTGTATATAGGAAAGTCAACTGAGACACTCGTGATTAACACAATAGAGTGCCCGCAGCAGCACCACCACCACCCCTTGCGCCGCCCGCTGTGGTGGGACATGAGGTCGATGGCCTGTCGTCCTACTGAGATTTTCAAGCGAAAAATTGAGCCAATGAAGCTAGCGAGAAACTATCCTTTCGCTAGCTTTGTTTGTCTCCCACTACCCTAGCGATGTACCAACTTTTGATCCAGAAGCATTTTTTAAGAATGCAACTACACCAACGATTACGGCGTATCGCGCATGTCAGGATACTTCGGGCCGGGTCTCCTCACTCACAACATGCAAATCATCATGGATTTCCGACTCTAGCTACCCTATTGAAATATTTCCCGACCAATATGTCGATATATACGGTCTCTTGTATGAGAAGCTTACCTGGACGGGTGTCAATATCAACCATCCGGTTTTGATTGGCTTACAAAGCGTCAGAGGCGATTACAGAATGGAGACAGGTTTGTTTCCTGCTGATTGTGATATGATTACACCAGCTCACGCGTCAGTAGAAACCCCGGGTATTTTTGTTGACATGAAAGTTGATCCCACGACACTTGCCAAGACGATGAACGTTACGTCGGGCTTCCCCAACATAACAGACCCAGAGGTTATGGCTATGTTCATCCTTGGTCTTGGGTCGAAAACTCCATTGCAGTTTACTATTGGGCAGCCAAAGGATCCCAAGTGGGAAAATAGCAAGGAGACGCAGTTTGGCCGTGTTATTGATACTGGTTCGCCATTCTTACTTGTCGGTCGCATGTATGATATCAGGACCTCTGCCCAGCGAAGAGATGAGCGCTTGGGTCGCTATGCCGACGACAAAGAACACAAGTGGAAACTTGGTGTCGGACTCGGTGTTGGTCTCGGTGTGCCAGTGGTCATGATAATGTCCTTCTGCTTTGGTAAAGCCACGGGCAAGAATGTCAGAGCCGCATCGTCTGGAGCAACGCCCGCCCTTGAGAAGTAAATGGTCTTTATATTACATCCCTCCAAAGTGTATGATAGTTTAGATGGGTGCTATGTGAAAAATCGTTTCTTACGAAGCTATTATGTCGTATGTATAGAAAGCCAATCTGCCAAAGGCTTCCCGGATAACTAACCTATCTTTTGACAGCTGCTTTACTTCAATTGCCATTCATCAAATGTAAAGTCGAAGCCAGCAATTGCTATAGTAATCTTTGCTGTTAGGCTCTGGAATAAATCAGCGTAGACGGCTCACTGTGAAATAAAATACAAGATGGCTATTGGACGTGCAATAAATATTACTGATACTACTTCAATTATTATTATTATTATTATTATTATTATTTTCCTTTTTGTGATTTCGCGATTTTGTCGTAATACACGGTCTTGGTCTTTCGGTGACTCTGCTGCACTCACCTAGCGCGGAAATATGTTCTGCCGCCACTCCCGGCTTAACCGACAGCCTTTTCAACACTACAAACTAAGCTGAACTCCAACAAACATCACCAAAAACAACAACCCGACCCCTTCGATGGCGGTCAAAACGGCATCGGTTCCGGCCGGTAGCGAGGCTTCCTCCTCTACAGTTGTCGAAAACGCCAATGCCACCGAAAACACGCCATTGCTCCAATCCCAGGTCTCGTCTCAGGACAACGCCGATGTTGAAGATGGCGCGCCAAACGACGATGAAGAGGAGCCCAAGTCCTACTCCAAGGTCCAATTGGCCCTCATCTGCTATTGCCGGCTTATGGACCCCATCGGTTTCTTCGGCATCTTCCCCTACATTGCCGCCATGGTCGAGGAGAACGGCAACCTGGAGGAAGTCGACTCCGGCAACTACACAGGCGCGATTGAATCGCTCTTCTCTATTGCGCAGATGTGCACCCTCATGTACTGGGGCCGCATGTCAGATCATAGTGGTCGCAAGCCCGTGCTCATGATTAGTCTTGTTGGATCCGTCATCTTCCCCGCCATGTTCGGCATGTCCAAAAGTATCTGGCAGATGGCCCTGACGCGATTCCTGGCCGGCTGCTTCTCGGGAGCCATGCTCGTCTGCCGTACAATTATTGGCGACTCGTTTCCGCCTAAAACACAGGCTTCGGCGTACTCTTGGTTTGCATTTTCTGGTAACATGGGTATCCTGCTTGGTCCCTTGATCGGCGGCGCGCTCGCGAAACCTGCAGAGCAGTACCCCAACGTCTTTGGCCACATCGCCTTCTTCAAAACATATCCGTATGCGCTGCCAGGCTTTGCCTTTTCTTTGATTTGCCTTGTTGGCGCAGTAGCTTGCGCGTTCCTGCTAGAGGAGACGCTACCACGAAAAGACGCCACGCTGCCTGCGCAGGAAACAGCTGGCTCGGATTCGGAAGACTCGCATCAAAGCAATGCGTCCATGACGACGTGGGAGCTTCTCAAGTACCCTGGTGTCTCTATTGCTGTGTGGACATACTGCCATGCTGCACTCCTTGGTATCATCTTTCCAGCGCTGCTGCCGCTGGTGCTGCACATGTCCGTCCCTCATGGTGGTTTAGGATTCTCCCAGTTTGAAATCACGCTGTACACGGCGTCGCAAGGCGCTTCGCAAGCATTTTGGCTGCTCATCATTTTCCCACCACTACAGCGTCGCGTTACTACCAAGGGTGTTTTGCGTATCTGCGCGGCCTTTTATCCGTTCTTCTTCCCAGGTTACATGTTGATGAACGCCATGCTGCGATTTCACACGCCTTTTACAATGGCCATCTTTTGGGTCATTGCGCCAATTACGGCCCTTGTTGCCCCTGGTATAGCCATGGCCTTTACAGGCGTACAGCTCAGCCTCAACGATGCATCGCCCAGCCCGTTTGTCCTGGGTAGCCTCAATGCGCTCACCTTGACGATTGTCAGTGGCCTGCGGGCAGTGGGTCCTGGACTGGCCACTGTACTCTACTCGTATGGTGCTAGAAACGATATCCTCTGGGGCCAATTTGGATGGGTTGTGATGATGCCGCTGGCTGCTACCTTTCCTGTCGTTGTCGCCATGCTGCCACGAAGCCCGGCAAAGTAAGCTGAGCGTACAGCTGTGTCGCATGCAAAGTAAATGGTGGCGCGTTTCCATATTTATAGTACATAGATATCCTGTAAATACAAGTTGCAATTTGATACGTCTCATCATCGTCGGCTAGCATTACACCTTGCGTGTCTTCATATCACTACCATGTCTCTTTTAATCTTTCGCCAATGATTTGAAATCATTATCATTATTATATAAATATTAATTAGACGTCTTATGGCCGACCTGGGCTCTGTGTTTTGGCACTTCTGATCGATGCCCTTGTATATCTGTGGCAGTCAGCTTCTATACCGGGTAGTTGCGCGTCACGAGACTCACACAAACAGAACGGCCGCCATGGCAAAAGCTGCCGCCGGTGCTGTGAATTTCTATAGTTACAATATTAATATAGTTGTATCTGAACACGTCTGATGAATTTCTTACGCGTGGATCCATGTCTTGAAGTGTCCGGTCTGTCGATGTTCTGTCAGGGGCAAGAAAGTTTTGACGTGCTCTTTGCGCTTCACTGTTTCTCAATGACTTGAATGGCCATTCAAACGACGAAATTATTGTCAACTTTGTTAATTTGTATGTAAAGAATGGTCAATCGCTTAACATGGTGTATAACGGACAATATGGGAAAGGTTAGAGATGGATTAGGATGCTAAAAGTTTTGGGGCATTGCTGAGAGTGGTTTTTTAAGTGGATGGCGCTGCCATACAATTGTCTCTCACTGTTCGTCTACGTTAGTATTGCACTTCTTTTCTTAATTAGCACCGCAGTCGCATGTTTTAGTCTTCATCTTTAGATCTGCCACTATTCGGTTTTATTTTTATTTATTCATAAAGTATGATACACCTTCCTAGCTCAGCAATAACCAACAACCGAGGTGGACAAGTCAAGAAGCGAGGCTGCTGCTGACCCCATGCCGCCAAGCAGCTAAATGTTGGGGCTGCTTACACTTACCTGGATGAAGAGCCTGATCGAACGACCTTTCGGAAAGTTTACCCTCGTTCATAAACGGCAGAGTTGTATTCAGACTATACCTTCTTTAACGCTTGACAACCTTGTTGAGTTACTACTTTAGACTGCTACGGTGTGGTCTAACATGTGCGCCCAGTATGAATTTACAGACCGTCCTGACATCTAGGTTGATCAGAGGGCGCCAGGTCCGGCTGTACTTCATGATGCGCCTCCCTTCCCGGCTGTGCGGCCCGGTGGTACTACCGCAGCCTTTGAAAAGGTACTTGCATTGCACAAAGTAACAACAACAACAACAGTAGTAGGACTCGCCGGCACTTCGGAGATGATCAGCCTCGGAGAGAAACGAGGCCCAAGTTTCTTCAGCCCGCTGCCACCGGAGGCTTTCCTCCCCACCGGCATGCTGCATTAGCGTGCTAATTAACCCCTACAAATAGCCAACGAGGGGCCAGGAACGACATCACTAGCGGCAGAGCGAAGCGACGGAGCTCGCTAAAATGTCCCCGAGGACCGCCCTTCCGCGGCAGCCTCAAAGCTAAAATGACGCGCTGCAGGCTGCACGCCAATATATTGCAAGTAAGCAGGATGCCCGATTGGGAGAAGTAGCAATGAATTACCCAGAATCAAAAGTACAATGCGGTTCAAAGCGGCATGGGGATCAAAAAACACTCGGAACGATCGGGGTTTGGATATCGCCGTGGTGGACTATAAAAGAAGTCTACTCTCCTCACCTCGATATCGCTCGTTTTACTCTGTAGATATCCAGCGTCCTCTTTTAACTATCGTCCCTATCTCTTCCATTGAAACCCAGTTCTCAAAATGACTGCTCTTAAGAATATCCTTTTCGCCGTTGCTGCCACTGCTGTTGGCATCCAGGCTTCACCCGTCGCTGCTGATTCCACCGCTACCTCTATCGTCGGTGCTCCCGCGCCTGTTGTTACTGAGGCTTCTACCCCCCTTGAGGGCAAACAGCTTGAAGAGTTCCTTGCCAACGAGCACAACCTCATCCCCGAGGGAGCTCTCGACGTTAGCGACACTGAGCTCGCCAATGTCACCATCAAGTATGTTCAGGAGCACCCCGAGATCCTCGGCCTGAACAAGAGAGGCGGCCCTTGCAGCCAGGGCGACTGCCCCGACTTCAACGCTCCCTTTGACTTCTTCTCTCAGCGCTTTGTCATTCCCGTCAACGGCTCAGCCATCACTACCTGGGCATACTTTGGCCGTGTCAACGACTGCGGCAAGTGCCACAAGATCAACACCAGCAAGGACGGCTGCTGGGACGTTACATCTTGCGGCCGCAAGCAGAACATCTGTGTCGACTCGGGCAAGGCTAGAGCTCACCGCATCTGGCGGGATAACGGCCACAAGACTTGCTACAAGATGACCCGCACGGATCTGGGCAACTGTGGTGTTGGCCTCACCAACTCCATCATCTGGCACCCTGCTGGTGAGACTGCTTGCAACTGGTAAAGAGTCTCGGATACGGATAGAAGTTTGTGTTTGATGGCAAACTATGACAGTCAATGAGCACGGGAATAAAGAAAATAACTTATGTTGGAGAGGTGGGGGCTGCCCGTTTCTGTATAAAAGCTGGTTCAATAAGCCAGCATTAATATTGTGAGCGCAACTGCGCTGACACAAAGTCTGTATTGTATATCTATGTTGTACGGGCGGAAATAAATTATCAAAAAAGAGAATTATAGTTGTTTTGTCTACAAGTACCATGTCAAACAGCCAAAAGTGGCCTAAATAGGCAGTAATTAGCATCACGAATACGGTCGCAGCCTCTCCTGCCCTATCTGTAGGCGATGTAGACTTACGAGTCAGACGGAGCATTTTACACAACTATAGCACCACCATTAAGCAAGACGGATCATGCACGAAAATTAGCTAGGTTTAATGCTAGAAAATCTGATAAATGCATTAACTCTATCCTTTTTGCTCTGAATCGGCTATCCGTAGACTACAGCTAAGTCAGCAGAACCACAGCTCCAAGACAGAAGACCTTGGGCTTCGTGAAAAAGAGATATAGTATGGAAACGTCTGTATAAAGTTGTCTTGCCTTCACGCCAAATCCTGCAAGCATATACACTCAATGGACGCCCTTCAGGCAGCGACCCGACACTTGATCCCTGTAGTGGTGTGCGGCAGCCTCGCTCGCATAGAATCATGTCGAAGCTCGAAGTCGTATATGCGAAGTACAACCACTTTCATGGAATATTATGGAAGAAACTAATCCATGGCGAAGCAACGTGTTCAAAATAATGTACGCCTTTACTGGACATTCAATGAGTCAATCGTCAAAGTCCAGCTACAGCTATGATCACGTATAAATAGGCGGAGACCAGCACACAGATCTTTCTCTGTTGTCATAGCACAACATCCAAATTCAAATGCAATCATGGCTACTTCACCAGACTCGCTATTATCTGCAGCACTGCAGTCCATCACCAAGACTAAAATCTCCCAGCTCACCAGAGTGCAACAAGCCCACGATGCGTGGCTTCGAGAGACAATGGCCGCGATCGAAGCGTTCGATGATAACAACCAGGCAGACAGGTTAGATGCCGTCGAAATGGGGCTCAATTCATCCCATCCATCCTTCAGCAAAGGACAGCTTAGCAAAGCGTATCTCAGCTCATGGGCGAAGCAGTCGCGCTTCGACGCCAGCTTGAGTCCTTCAGTTTTGCGAGCTCGCGTCAACCTCTTCAAGCGAATGGAAGCGCAGCAGAAGGAGCGTTTTCGATTTGCTCGGCTCTACTGCGATTTGCTTACTGACTGGATCTCCCAAAGCCAGGTCCAGACGTTGCCTGACCCCATCACTGTAAAGGCTGCGGACCTTCTGGAGACGGACGATTTTGAAATCCTACAAAAGGATAGACTGCAGCGGTTGCGCGAGCAGTTTGCAGATGTCGTCTTCTCGGAGCCAACGGGTAATGGAAGCCACGAGGACATACTGAGTTATGTGCGCACCCTGTTTCCAAGCAAAGAGGCCAAGTCGCAGTGGGACTGGGCGCGCGGACACTTGTATGCCTTTGGAAATAAGCAGTTCGCAACGGGTAGCCCATTCACATTAACGAAACTCAAGGCTCTCATGCAGGGTGTACTAAGCGATATACTGTTGTCTGATGACAAAAAGGCTGTCCTCCGGGGCTTCATGAAAGATGAAGACGTCCTTACTGAGATTGCTGATGTGCTCAATATGCGCTGGGCCGACATGGAAAATTGGTCGTGGGAGGCTGGTCCCGAGGGTTTGCCTGTTGAGCCCCGGCAACAGCTCAACGGAAAGTATGAAGATTTCTCCTGTCCAATTCAATCCGCAGCTAACAAAAAGCAGGTATAGAGTAATGGCAGACGAAGAAATTCTCCAGGCCATCTTCTTGCACCATATCGGTATAATGTGGTCTGTGGAGCTGCGCCAAAGGCTCAGTGCTTGTTTCAACGACACCAATGTATGGACTGAGCTGAATCCAAAGAACCAAGACGCTATCGACAGGCTCAAGTTTTACTGCCCTCGCCGACGCGCCGAAACTGTGACGTCGCAGTCGACTCGCAGGAATCGATATTTCGGATTGTTTCACTTGATGCAACTGCCTCGGACAGACGAGAGAAAATTAGCTGGTAAGCGAACAAACGGGATGCGGCGAAGAAGACGGTACTGACCATCACACAGATTATGATGACGATGATAGCGATGACGACTACAGCGGTTCTGATGGGGAAGATGACGACGGCGAAAGGGAAAACCAAAACATGTCGGCCACCGGAACACGACAGAAGCTCCTGCACGAGATGGCCACTGATGTCCTCGTAGCCAAGAAGCTTCACGGCCAAGTAGCGGCCATCCAATCCGACCTGCAGTGGTTTGGAACCGCCTTGCCACACACGACGCTGGTTGCTCTTCTCGAGTTCGCCGCCGTGCCCGACAAATGGATTGCGTTTCTGCTAAAGTTTCTCAGGGCCCCGTTGAATATGGGTGACGGGAAGGGGGTTCGCGAGCGTGAACGCGGCATCCCGATGGCACACTCCCTCTCGCTCTTCTTCGGCGAGCTCGTCCTCGCCTTTATGGATCTTGCGGTCAACAAAGAGGCTGATGGCGTGCTGTTGTACCGCCTTCACGATGACCTGTTTCTTTGGGGCGAGCCAGAGAAGGTTGCCAAGGCGTGGCAGACAATGCAGCGATTCGCTGCCCTGATGGGCCTGCAGTTTAACGCCAAGAAGACGGGATCTGTGTACTTTGCGGCCTCGGACCAGAGGGATCCCAATATCGAGGCCATCCTGCCAGATGGAAAGGTTAGCATCGGCTTCTTAAAGCTAAACAAGGACGCCGAGTGGGAGGTTGATCGCCCTGCTGTCGACGAGCACGCGTACCAGCTCTTGAAGCAGCTCAAGCAATGCGATTCGGTATTCTCTTGGATTCAGACTTGGAATAGCTGTATCGGGCGCTTCTTTGTCAAGTCGTTTGGCGAGCCCGCCAACGTGTTTGGTGAAGCTCACGTCGAAGAGATCCTAGAGACGCATCGCCACATCCAAAGCATTTTGTTTGCCGATGACGGCGGCTTGCAAGGTCAGAACTACATGGATCATCTGAAGATTATGATTTCTAAGCGCCACGGTATACCGAAAGACGACATACCCGACGGGTTCCTGGCGCTGCCTGAGCATCTTGGTGGCCTGGGTGTGACGAACCCTTTTGGGCCGTTTCTGCATCTGTGCCATGCAAGCGACAAGGGACCCAGCAATTTGATGGACGATTACCTCTCCAATGACGAGGCTACCTATAATGAGCTAAAGGATAGCTTCATGGCTGAGAAGCCCGTTGTTCGTCGCCAGAGACTAGACAGGATGTTCCCCAGGGACGAGGATGACGAGGACAACGCTGACGACAGACCCGATCCGAATGAGTTTATGACATTTGAAGATTGGATCAGCTACCGTGAGGCTTGCCATGGCGAACTAGGCAGGGTAAAGCGTACTTTGCGAAGGAGAATCGCTCCAGCTCTCAACCTTGATGAGGAGATCAGGAACGTCATAGCCAAGGGAATGGATGGAGATTTGGCAGCCTATCCCGATTCATGGAGCCCGGATTTGAAATGGACAGTCATAACACATCATGACGAGCTGATGGAGAGATTCGGTCGCCTTCAAATCGCAGAAAGAAACTTCCTGCCACTGAGTGTGATCAAAATGGTAAGCCAGTTTCCTATATAGTGATGAAATATTGCTAACCTTGTGCGCAGCTGCAGGAACAGCGGGTATCTTGGCAGATGGCGCTGTGATGGACAGAAGAGTTGAAAGAGCAACAACAATAGTACACAGCCGAGCAGGTCGCTTTTTGCAGTACTTAGAACATGGCTACAAATAAAATTCTATTTTGATTCTATTTTACTGCTTGCTACTACGTCGAATGAACGAGATATCAATTCGGCTTTATCACCCTTCAGAAATGACACAAATTTAAGTATCAAAGCATATACTGTTAATTATTCAAATAAATTGGTCTGTTGCTATATATTTATGGTTCATTTCATCTGCTGTTGGATGATAACGTCCTCTTTGGCAATTCTTAAGAATATGACAATCAAAGGAGCCTCTAATCAATTCTCTGCGCCTTGGCGGGTATTGAATCTTGGCGTGACAAGGCAACGTCCCTGTCAGCACAAGGGCGCTCGCAATCCACTTTGTTAGAACGAGGCTGTAGGATGATTCGAAAAATATCCATCGTTTAAAAGCCTGCCTACTGCATATTTGGTGGTCGCACGTGATATTGTGACCCGAATTATTCACGACGGTGACTCAAAACATAGCACTGTGTCTGTGCATCTGGATGCGCCATCGGATCGGATCTGTGCAAGGACACATATCATATTATCTTCAATCTTGCAGCCGGCCAATAAACTATTACTTCTGATTTGTATTGTTCCTACATTCCGCATACCGCCAGTTAGCACCGACTTCAGTTCCCTAGGATGTGCCAACCCAAGGACGCTGTGATAAGTAGCGAACAGCTCGCCTTTCTTATATCAAATTACCCGATATTGGGTTCCCTCGCTTCCCAGCTATCCACAATCGACCTCTTTCATCTTAGCCTTACATGTAAGGCATTCTACAGCGAGATACGTGCATCCGAATCTGTCTGGCATAAGTTGCGGCGAGTCTGTCTCTGTGATGGACACGGGCTCTCAGACCGCAAGAATCTTACAGGTTTCTATCGAATTCATGATTCTCGATATGGTTACAAATGGAGCCAAAATGGTCGTAGTATCAAGCAAGACGAAGAAATCGAAGTACAGCTTTGGCAACGTCAGTGCCGGGTAGACGACACCCTTCCTTGTCTGAAGTGTGACATCAACATTTGCGAGGAATGTCGCTACTACCCCCGCGCTCAGCCTCTATATTCCTCACGACGTCCCCATTTGAATATAGCGGATACATCAACCGCTGTTATGTGTTTGTGTAGAATCTGCGACGACAGAGAGGAAACAGAACTGGCTGGCAAATTCCTCAGTGACCTCTGTGACTGTGACATACATCGGCGTTGGATATGCTCCAAGTGTCATTGGATTGAGCGTGATGCCAGTCGTAATTACTACAAAAGGCACACAAAGCTTAAAAATAAGCTTCCTGACAGTGGCTTCGATGAGAACGATGTGCCCGTCTCAAAATATCTGACAGACTATCAATTCATGAGATTTGTAAGTTGACCACTAGAGCCAAATACATGCCGTCACACCCCGTATTTTACTAATTTTACTAATTTGACATATTTCCTAGTTTTGGTGCGAATGTGGTGTTACCGTGCCTGAGGATACAATACCGAGGTGTGCATGGTGCCGCCGGCGACATTTGCATGACTCCCTGTGGTGGAGAGAGTGGCAGGAAGTAGGCTCGAAGATGCCTTTCTTTGAAGATGTAAGCTCTTGCTGTTAATTGCTTTGTCGAATACTTTAGCTGTATTCCATGGCAAAGTACCGGTTGTGAAGCTACTAGAGACTAATCAAGAATAGGACCCGTGCTATCCGCTCTGGGTGACGGACGAAAATGGAGAGTATCCAAAACCGTATCCAAAGCTCAGGTATAGCAGTCTGGTATCTGGCTAAAAAGTATAAATCATATATTATAGACAGCGTTATCGTGGTATATCCAACAGCAATAAATTCCAACCTGGCACACATTCTTGCGTCATCCTGTCATATTCTGTCACACGCGCCCTTGTCATTCTAAATAGGTGAGAACTCTAAGCAGAAGCCCGGATACCTTCGTCTGTGTTAGCAGACTCCTTTCTCTGCGCCTCCTCATCAGCGCTTGGCTGTCTCTCTGCCGCAAACTTGCCCATCATGTGGCCCTTTGTCTCGGTAGCCCAGACTCGGAGCTTAATCAAGCACCAAACGACGATAAAGATGATAATGATGCCAACCGCGATACCAAAAATGTACGCCGCCACATAGCCTCTTCCATGGACAGCATCGTGGTCGAGGAAGCTGTAGGTATACCATCCTTGGCTTGCCAGCGTGATGTATGCCACGGCCAAGTATCCCAGCAAGATGAGAATCAGGTATGGAATGTGAATCCAAAACGGCGGCAGTGTGCGCGGGACCACCAGCTCAAAGAGAGCAAAGGCGCTGTTGAGTCCGTGCTTGCTAATGTTACCCCAAGCGTCGTACTCAAGCTTGAACCACGAGCCCTTGTAAAGCACGCCCCAGTACACAATGGTGACAAGAAACGGCAGCGTCACCACGGTAGTGTAGTATAGCGAGTGGAGGGCTTGCAGTGGCCGCGGGAATCTATCCAAAAGAGCTGAGCCGCTGCGCGCATACGTAAATGTGTGCACAGCGCTGACAGCAAAGTAAAAGGCCAGGCCCCAATACGTCAGGACGGTAAAATAGGAGAAGGACTGGGTAGCCGCCTGGCAGCCGCCGTCCTCAGGATGCGTGCAGGGCCATCCCAGACTGAAGAAGAGAGTCGTGAATGCGTATACGGACTGTAGATTCGGGTTAGTTTCTCGGGTTCAAGAAATTTCAGTGACGCAGCGGCCAAGACATACTATCAGGGAGCGAATGGCAAAGAGGATCCACGGGCCGATGAACCACGAGGTCTCGAAGCGGTGCGTGGGATCAAACACGTCGGATCCGAAGCGAAGAGCACGCATTCTCACAGAGTTTGCCAGCTACAGCAGTGTTGCAAGCGAAATCAATACGTTGTGTTGTGTTGCGTTGAAGAGAAATCTGGTGATGCAATGTAGGCGGAAGAAATTTGTTGCGGGTAAATGACAAGGGGGGGCAGTGCTGGCAGCTGGCAGGTGACGGGCGCCAGCTGGCAAAAAAAGAAAATAGTTTTCAAAAAGAGAATGAATACGAAACAACAACAGAATCATGCACTTGAGATGAATTTACATTGGTTTTCCATCAACATTATGCATTGAACAATCTTTGTGGTGCGTTTCGGCGCCTACTTGCGCGCTGTCGATGCATACTCGATATTACAGTGGCCTTGCAGCACCCACAGCGTTCCTGGCCAGTGGAGATGGGTGATGCAAGCTAATGCACAGGTGCCGAGCCCTGACGTCGCTAGCGTTTTTGGGGGCGGCCGAATTGCCCGATGAAGACAAATGGACACTAAAAACGAGCTGTCATCGACGAGAATCAGGCTACCGATGCAGATGCACTCAAGTGCCGTGGCGAGAAATAGTGGTTGACAGCGGTGATGCAGAAGAGGCGACAAAGCAGAGATTTAAGTTCAATGATCAACATTTATTCACAGTAGTGAGTGCAACTGATGTAACCTTGGCGATGGCGACCGACAGAGTTTGTTCAGGTGCCTTTGCCGAAGAACCTCGTGCTAATGGAAAGCTTGCAGCAGAGGCATTTGAAAGGACCACCAAAGGTACTCTTCAAAGATGGGCGACCGACCCCGATATCCGACACCAGCCGCCACGAACCTCGACTGCATCTCAAACGGGCCGTTCAAGAAAAACACCGACGATCGGTCGGCGTTCGATTCCTCCGTCCGTCGGACGCAGTCCAAAATCGGTAGCTCTCCGCCGTGAGTGGCGCGGATATCCCGAACACTACGCTGCTTACATGTGGCTTGGCTTGGCTTTCGCGTTTGCTCGTTTAGATAATTCAACTTTTTTCAATAAAGTACTGCTTTGTCCCTCTTTTCTCCTGTCCAGGAGGGCATTTTTTTGTTTCTCAGCGACAAACCAGTCAATTCGAAACAACAGCAATCAAGATGAAATTCTCAGCCGTTCTTTTCGCTGGACAAGCCGCTGCGGCGTGCTCGCCAACGCTAGTTCTCGACTCGGCCGCGGTACCTCTCGTTATTAAGCCGTCTTGCGGAACCCTCGACACAACCCGCCACGCCGTCTTTGCCTTCGACCACCAGTCTTCCCACTCTCTGGGTGATATTGTCGAAAACACCACCATCTCTGCCGATGCGATTACGCTCCCCAAGGGTATTGGCGCCAACCAGATTGTAACTGTCGCCGCGTTCGACTCCACAGGCAAGCAGCTCCTGCAGAGCTTCAACATCGCCACCCTGCAGTCCTCGCCCAATGTTGAGCGTGATAGCTGGTCCTTGGTCAGCAGAGCGGCTGAGACCCCCGCGACGTCGACATGCACTGCTTGCCACCCTGACGTCATGTGCAAGACCGAGTGCCAGAAGCCTGACCGTGACTGCGGCTTCTATGCATCTTGCGCTGAGGCTGCCTGGCACTGCGGCCCTAACGGATACCCAATTGGCTACGGCTTGAAGAACTGCCAGAAGTTCATGAACCGTCTGGACCAGTTTACTACTGATGGCCAGGCTTGGATCTTCAGAGTCCTGACCTGCCTGCAAAAATTCCTCGTTGGCCCTCTGTCAAGCTGCGACTCTACCTGCGACAGCATCAAGACGCAGGCCTTTGATTCTCACCCCGTGTGCTATGTCGACTCGGGCGTGTGCAGCCTCGGACTGTGGGATAACGTGCAGCTCGTCATTACCATCAACACCGACCTGATTGGTGCCGCGGCGCTGAAGCAAGTGTTTATCACTGGCACCAAGTGTGGCCAGCGTTTCCTGAACATGGTTGTTGACGAGATTAAGAAGCTCAAGGGACTGCTCGGCAGCGGCAACGACATTGCCACCCTGGGCAAGATAACTGTCCTCGAGGCCGCCAAGAAGTTCCTTGAAAGCCTGTAAATTATAGCATATTTATTTACGTATATACGGATTGATGATTGTACAAAGGAATATAAAAAGTAGACTCAGCGATAAAAGCGAGTCCCATATTGTACCTAAATTCGCCCTCTTCTTCATGCTCATCGTTTAACTGTTAAGATACGAAACATGCGCCTTCTTCCAAGCAAATAGCCAAAAGCTAGGCAGCCACCACATAACCATAAGAACAAATCTCCCAATCTAGCTTTGATTTCTTTTATAGAGCAAAACTTGATATAAAGAAAACGCTTCAATCTACGTAAATCGTGCATTGTAATACTAATAGAGAGATAGAAATCTATAGATATAATTCACTTAAAAGCAAAATTAAAACCTATTATAATTAGTACTGCTAGAGTAGATAGTAGTACCTAGTGTATCTAGAAGATTATTTTCCCACCGTGGCTACAAATCAATCTCATAGTTTCAGCCTACGTCAGGACGGGTCGGGCCGCAGCCTTACCCGTCACTTCATTCAACGACTTAGGTTGCTGATACAAATGCGTTTGTAACCTTCATAATAAACATAGCCTTCCAAAAGGGCATTCTGCTCGCATGCAGATTTTACCAGGTTTCGCTTTTTGAGCGCAGGTACACATCTTGGATTAAGAGACTACCCACCGTTGAGAACAGTTGGGGCGTCGAAGTCAACCACTTGAAAGCTCACGACACACCAGTATTTAATATGTTTTTCTCGCCAGACGGAAACCTTATTGCCTCAATCAGTTACACGGAAGTTCAAGTATCCAGTATAATGGGCAAGAGACTTCTAGCTTTTGAAGGTACTGCTGGGAAGCGCGATTACGAAGGAGCAAATGTGGTTGCCGCATTTTCACTCGATTCAAAGTTGATTGCTATGGGAGACGACACGAACAAGATTCAGATTTGGGACATTGCGGCGTCGAAATGCATACACTTGCTAGAGACTACTCACCAAGGGGAAAGAAAATGGACGTGTCCAATCTCCTTCGCCGACGGGGGTTGCTCTATTTTAACGACATCTCAATCATGCGCTGAGATATGGTCCCTTAGAAATGGGGGGATTGTTCGCAGCATCAAGTATCCGTCCGAAGCCACAGGTTCAGTGCTCTCGGCTTGCAACTCAGTAATAGCTGTTTACTTTGAGGATTGTATTATCCTATGGAACATTAATTCTTGTGAGCGAGTCCGAAAAATCGAGCATGAGTCTAATTGGATTGGCTATATTGAATTTATATCATCCTCTAAATTGGACATCCGCATTCGACTAGCACAGTACTCAGAAGATGGCCTCGAACGCCATATTTCACTTATGTCCGGTGAACCATATTTTTCTGCATACCCAGGCGACTTTGCGAGTACATCTTTCGATGAATATTTCATTGTTTTGATGCATGGCGTTATACAAGTTTATAATGCTGAGACTGGAGAGCTCAAGCAGACACTACCCGCTCCGCGGTCTGGAGACATCATCGCTTACTCGCCCAAGTCGTCTTTGTTGGCGGTTTCACTGTCTCTTGCTGACTCTGAAGTGGAAGGCATCATCGTCTTCTTGAGGTTAGAAATCGATCAAACGGAAGCTACAGGTGGGGGTAACGATACAGGTGACAATATCACAACGACACGACGGAGACAACGTACTGGAATTCCTACTTCACTTCCCCGAGCTGTGCCATACTAGGATACAACGATGGACAACATATTACTTTATGGTCAGCGCTAGATGATGCAGACAGTGCTAGAGTCATTGAGGTAGAAAATGAAACACGTGCAATCCTTTGCCCTGCCGACAGATTTTTAGCTATGGCAAGCAGCCCTAAGGTTGGTACTGTCACGGTCTGGGAACTAGAACCAACACCCGTCGTTGTGAGCCAACTCGCCTACGAACTTGCAGACAATCAATACCTCAGTGTTCTTTTCTTTTCTCGAGAATCATCCGTTATAGGATGGGTGGTCGATACCGATCCTCCCTATATTCAGGATCGGAGCGCCTCTTTTGTCCGTTTGTTCTCCGTCGAAACGGGAAAGCAATTATCGGAGATTAACATGATGGGAAAGTTCAACAACCAGACGGAAGCAGCTTGCATCTCATCTGACCATCTCTTACTTGCTTTGGCAGGATATTATGAGGCCGTAGTTTGGGAAATTGGGCGCCAAGATGGGGAGCTCAAAGAGATATTTTGCCACAAGCAAATCGGACAGGACTCTCTTCACGGACAATACAAAAGATTGTTCAGATTGGGCAATCAGGATTTCGTCTGTTGAATTCTCACCTGACTCATCTCGACTTCTTTTTATACGACAGGGAATACTTGAAATCTGGAATATAAAAGAGGGGATTTGTCTTCAGAGGATATCGAAAGGCATGTTCTTTCAGGCTACCATGAAGATGGAAGACTCAAGTATTCTTACTGATGTTGGAAGGATGTCATACAATTTCAACGGGCACCTGACTGAGGATATTCACTGGGATTCGGCTGTAGCAGACCAGTTCTCTATTGCCGAGGAGAAGCCCCTCAGCGACACGAGTTCCCACACACCTTTGCAAATGAACTACACTTGGGTAGGATGGGGATTGAGTAGCGATCGGTGCTGGATTACTTGGAATGATGAGAATTGGCTCTGGTTTCCGCTCGATTTCCGCCCATATTGCAGTGCTGTTAGTAACGGCTCCATCTTAATAGCCAACGAGGACCTTGGAGAAATGTGGTATGAATTTTCCGATGATCCGATATTAGAATATCGGGTAGAGGACAAAGGAAGTCATTCTACATAGTTAGCTTGCAGCTAAGTTAGAGGCTATGGCCAAAGCTCACGCACTGTGACTAACAACTGATCTATATGACACTTGCATATGACACTTGCACAAAGGATATATTAGTGACACTTTCCATGATTGATTCACCCACATGTCGGATACAGCAACATGATCATGTCTTGACATGCACCTTGACCTTGCTGTCTAGGGGATAAGCCCTCCTCTGGAAGAGGTGTTGAGTAGTTTATTTCAACGCTAGTTTGAAGCAAAATATCAACAATTCCCTGACACTGTTTGCGTGCAGTGGCCTGAAGTGCATTGCCATACTCATCGCCCTGTACATTTTTACATTGGCGCCTGCTCGAAGCAGCATCGCAACAGTTCCCTGATGCACTCTGTATGAAGAATAGACTTGACTGCTTCTCTATGGGCCATTGCTACAGCACCAAGCTTACGGGATTTGCGACTGGCGGATGCTATCACGAGCGGCTTGCTGTTAATTTTCATGTAACAGTCGTCATTATACTCGCAGATATTACTTGTAAGTGTATCGTCGAACTCATTGTTGCTATCAACGCTAGAGCTAAACGTGCATCGGCGAGACAAGCTAGTATAGTTGCTTAGTATTATAGTCGTTGACATCGCGTGGCAAACATAGGTTCTAGATCAAAGGGCGGATCTTTAGTAATACAACAGACGCTTTCGATAAGGTAATCCTGGGGCTTTTCCTCTGTACTTCTTCCATTTCCCTCTCGCCCACGACCGCCAACGCCAGCGTCCTCGTCCACGGAACCGCCAGCGTTGCTTTGCACGCAGCGACCGCTGCAGGGTTTCTTCCTTGGAGAGCCTTTGGAACTGGAATCGACTGCGACCCAGCAGCATTCGACACTTTAGACTAGGGCAGAAGCGGAAGCAAATCTTGGGTTGGAAGACGGGCATTGATGCCTTGCGCGCAATAATCCACGGATGAGTATCGTCTGCAGGACAGGCTCTAGATGACGGGAAAGACCGGCTAAGAGAATATTCAGCGTAACGTGGAAACGCTCCAGATAACGCTGTATCATCTGGATTCTTGGTCATGACGGAAATCCAAGCAGCAAATAAGAAATAGTGCTCCCAGTGCGCCATCAACTTCGCTACTGCGCTGCGGTACCCTCGTCTGCCTAGTACAAATGTAAAGAGGACTTCTCGGCACTGGTGCTTCTTGTGCTCGTATTCGTCCGGCACGATGGTATCCCATAAGCAGTAGTATCTTATGAGGGCTTTCCGGTCGCGCACGTCTACCAGCTGGCATGCCTCCTCGCCCAGTCTGCCAAAGAGATCAGATCGGGCAGCTTCCTTTTGGGAGATGTGAAATGTGATTGTCCGAAAGATGACTGGAATGACCATATTCTTCGCCAGGTCCATAGTCTCTGCCATGACTGCGGCCTGTGGGGAACCATAAAATATACAGTCGAAGGCCCGCAGCTTCATAAAGACCCAGTATATACACAGGCGAGTGTTGTGTTTGGCTGCCCAGGCGAACATGGCTCTCCAGTCTTGCAGCATGCTCTGAAAGTCGACGTCCCATGGGAGCATGGAGTCTGAATCATAGTCACCAGCCGGCAAGTCAATATCCCAAATAGTGAAGCGGCCTGTATTTGGGACTCGCCAGACGCAGTAATCGCCCTGCTTCTCTATGGGCCCGTGCTGAAGTACCAAGTTTCGCGACTCGCGACAAACGGATGCGATGACGGGTGGCTTGCTGTTGATCTTCATTTGATGGTCGTCGTCGCATTCGCAGATGTTTCCGGCAGCCCTATCATCGTACCCATTGAACTCATCCCATTCATCCCACTCATCGTCGCGATCAACGTCGGGGAGAAAGGTACATCTGCGAGGCAAGCTGATGAGGCTGTTTGGGTCGTAGTCATTGATGCGGCGCGGTAGACACAGATTCCAGATCAAAAGGCGGATCTCCGGGGGCAGACGCGGAAAATAGTGGAAATTCTGATGACTAGTAGCAACTGGATGAAGCTGTGGCATCTCTTTTTTTTTGCGAGTTTATTTTGTTAAAGGAGAAGTTGGTAGCATCTAGTTATATCCGGCTGCGCTCGCATCGCGTCGGTTAATTAAAGCAGTGGGGTATTTACAGGGCTCTTAGCGGTCAAGTAAACGAGTTGAATAAGGAGCTTATTACTACTGTTGCAAGAATATATTCTCCGATACCATATAGTACACCAACGGAAAAGGAAATGAGAAACAAAAAAAAATAGCAACATTTCTTCGGTCTGGAAATGCACACATAACCAAATATCTATCTTCAGCCCCTTCCCACAACTGCACGTGGATACTCTTAAAAAATGGCGTGCAAAATGCTGCAGCCTGCTTCGTTTGTTTTGCTTGTTCCTGTGAAACTTGGATGGCGTCAACGCCACTTCTACAGCCGCAAAATATTCTAACCTAAAAATACATCTCCGGCTTGCTTTACTAGTTGCAGCTTGCCACGTTGTGTCCCCGATCCCCTCACTCTGCATATCGTCTGCTCTCAAGAACCCTTTACCCGCCTCTCTAGAGCCAAATCCACAGCGGTTAAGCAAATGCCAAGCGGGCTTATCAGATACTAGGCGGCGATCACGCCGTTTCCCTTATTTCTAACAGCCAACTTAGACCTCTTTGCCCGTGACGGCAAGCCCGTCGTCCCGCCCCTCGGCGCCGTAGCAAGCCGCACCGCTGCCGATCAGCGGTGCAGAATTAAAACAAGCATGGCAGCATAGATAGCTTAACTATGAGACTACGCAGTCGGCATATCTTTCGCGTGCTCCCGCCCGCGTGGCACCGTTGCATCAGAGGCGGGCTGCGAGATCATCTCCGCGGCCAAGAGCCCCTCCGGAGATGCTTCATTCCCCCTGGGCAGCAGAACACGCGAAAAAGAAGCGTGAAGCGTTTTTTTTCTCTGTCAATATTTCAGGGTCTAGCGAAACCGTTCTTACTCGTTTTTTCGGTGACCCAGAAAAAGGGGGGTGTTTCTGCACGACTTGTTGCGTGCTCAACTGGTATTATATGGTCGTAGGGATGCGCCGCATGGTTTAGCGACTTACATTATACCTAGAGCCTTCGTTTTCTTTTCTTTTCTTCTATTTCCGCTCTTTTCCCACCTTCTCTCTGTTTTCTTTCTTTTACCAGACTGGCACAAGATACTACGACTGCGACTCGGTTCACTGCATCTCGACATTAAACAAACACGATGGACCCTGCGCCGTCGCCCGATTCCTCGGCGCCATTGTCGGCACCAAAGTCGACTGGCGAGATTCACACACTTAGTGTTGTTATTACGATTGTAGCCACGCTTTCTGCTACCGGCGCAGCATGGATGATTATGGGTTTTGTTGTATGTTGCGGCTCTCGCCACGATTAGCAACCCCTCCTCTAACACAGAATACAGTTGAACAAGTCTCTCCGAAGTTTCAGACATCAGCTGGTCTTGTAAGTGTTGCGATCGAAACAGACGGTATAATGGCACATAAGCTAACGGCATTGTGTTGCAGAGGACTAGCAGTTAGCGATCTTTGCATGGCGATAAACTTTCTGTCATCCGCGGCAGCGAACCTTAGCGGCAACAATATCGGCTTAGGAAGAATGAAGACGTTCTGCAGCTTCAACGGCTTCATGATTCAAACCTTTGTAGACCAGAGTTTGTCAGCCCAATTCACAAGATACGCGTCCCACAGCTAACCAGTTGCTTTACAGCGGATTATTGGGTGCTTTGCATCGCCGCATGCACATTTATCATGGTCAGCGAACGAAAATCGCTGTCGAATTGGATCCAAACCTATAGAGTCGTTATTTTCGCTATTCCATGGATCTTGTCACTGCTCTGGGCGACACTTGGCCTGTCGCTTGTTGGCTACGGCAGCATCGGTGCTTGTACGTCAATAACCACTTTTTACAATGGAGTCTTTGCTAACCAAATGGGATTAGGGTGCTGGTTTACAAGCGACAAGACACGACTTTTGGTCAACTTTTTGCCAAGATGGATCATCATCGCCCTCATGCTTGCCTTGTACATCCGTCTTTACTTTGTCATTCACCGTGCCCACAAGAACTTTGTGTCCATTGACGATGGCGACTACGAGATGGGCTCTCGATTCAAGTCATCCACTACAGCCACTGTCACTGCAACAGCGACTGGCCCCTCTACACCAACCACGGCCTCTGATGCTCCTGGCGTGGCGCCGAGGAGAAGGGCAATCCGAAGCAAGACAGCCGCTCCAGATTTGCAAAGAGTACGTCAAGGATATGTATATCCTCTTGCTATTGATACTGACTCGTACAGCTCGCCTACCAAATGATGCTGTACCCACTCGTGTATATTCTTGTTTGGTCTCTTCCAACAAGCATTAGAATTTACCAAGCCGTGACGGGAAAATCTGCCCCGTTTACGATTGCTACCATCGATGAGGTACGTCCCATCTACAATAAGAAACCGAGATCGACTACTAACTTGGTAATTTGTAGTCTTGCATCGTTATTCAAGGCCTTCTTGATGCCATTGTTTATGGTAAGTCCAGTTTCACTGGGAGTAAAACAATAACGGCTAACGGTGGACTACAGGGTGCAATGAAAAGACATTTGCGGGATGGAAAGCGGCGTTTACAAGAAAAAAATGTCTTTGATTTACAACTTTTGCTGCGTTATAGATTTCTTTTATAGACGGCAGTGCATCTGTCAACACATGCAGACAATGCCTGCTACTTGCTCAAAATGTTCTCGATAAGATTAGACGGCTCGTCGAAAAAGTCAGCCACAACGATTCCCAGCCTCTTGCCCTTTTTCGTTTCCAAGTATTCATTGACTTGCTGGTTTACGCCGCCTTTGGGAGTGCTGCCATTGCCAATCCCAAGTGCCATTGCTCGTGGTGTCATACTAGGATCATTGAACAAGTGCTCCGAAGACAAAAAGGTAATGAACAAATCATCGGGGGCATTTCCATTAGTAGCAAAGTTCAGGTGAGATACAGACGCCTTGACTTTGATATCAATGTTGTCGGCGGCCGTGACGTTGGTTGCTGGGTCTCCCACTTCATAGTTGTCCTCGATGTACGCCGTCGCGCCAGTGGTGTCGTTGTAGATGAGAGTAATGTTGGCCCCGTTGTCTGTCCATCGGCTAGGTGACAGATGAAGACCTGGGATCTCAATATCTTGCGATGCCGCCAAAAACTCAATATCGAATCGCTTCATGAGCACAATCTTGCCGCGAACTTCGCCAAGCGTGCCAAGCCGGCCCGATTCCTGCCAGATATATTTCTTGGCGGCCGGAGATGTCAGCATGTCAAACATGAGCTGCTCAAACTGCTTATTGTGTGATGCACCCGGAATAGTGCCGCCCTGATACTGAAATGACAGCAACAGTGTCTCTGATGGATGGTGATCCAGCCATGCATAAAAGGCAAACATGAGGTCTTCTATAGACGCCAGCTGTGACGCCTCAACAGCGCCATGCCATATAGTGAGATATGTGCGAGTAGGGTCGAGAGCTGGACGCAAGTCAAAGAATCGAATCCCTGAGTTAAGCATATCTGCTAGAGACTTTTGCTGGCACTGAAAGTCCTGCGGATCGGTAATGTTGTTGTCCACGTAAATGTCCTTCATAAGCGGCAGGGTAAAGTTCCACGTCCCGCTGTCGTGCGTGCCGGGAATGTTCATATGCACCAGGGGCGTACTATCAGATATCTGCTTCATCCATTCCGATGTGCCGCCTTTGGAGGAGAGTGCCGATTCATAGTCGCCAAAGAGCTGCGTGCTATCCTGTAGGATCTTGTCGAGGGCAAAGTCGCGTAGTGAGCGGCACTGTGAGGAGGCGACAGCAATGCCTGCAGCCAGAAGGGCCCTGTAAAGAAACATGATATTCGCGATTTATGGCGTAACTGCCAAAGCCAACCGTTTTTTGTCAACTATTGCAATTGTCCAGAGGAGAGGGGTAGATGGTTGTATTTAGCCAGAAGTGGCACTATTGAGCGAATCCCAGACCTCCGTTGTTGTTGCGCCAATAGCGGGCTAACCTATAGCCACGTTTTTAATATTTTAGATGAGAACCAAAGCCCCGAAACCACAATTAAGTCTTGGTATATTTAGGTAGCATTTGGCATATTAAATATTTTAATATGATCCTGTGAAAGATTTATCACTACGAATATTGTTTTTACTAGTATTTTGCTCTTGGGTTCTGAAAGTGCTGATTAGATATTCCACAAGAACGATAAGTCCTTGCGGTAAAGCGTGAGGTGTAAGTCGTGCAATAATAAAGTTCTAAGGGTTGTTTGCTGAGAACAAGTACTACAACTAATAATTGTTTGCAAAATGTTTGCTTCAACTATAGATATATATTTAAAAATAGGAGCATCGCTTTCAGCAGCTTTCAGCTAGTTGTGTTGACGCGTAACGTACGTACAATAGTTTCTAAGCACAGCGCAAACATGATGAATCATGAAACAAAAATTGGTATTACTTCATTCTTGGGATATCAAAAACTACAACAGATCCGTTAAACCCTCAATGGGCTAGGAAACAAATCAATACCACTTGTCAAGACCAAAGTATCCCTTGGCAGGCAAGTCGGGAAGCAAGACAAAAGGAATGTCGCCACCGCCGCCATCCAACGTGCCAGAGTTGACAGTATTACCCCACCAGTTGACATCGACTTCCTTCCACTGCACGGCAAAGAAGATGATGATGGCAGAAAAGGCCAGACCGCCGGTGAAGCCAGCAGAGGTAACAAAGGTGTACTTCTCCCACCAGGCCGTCTTGTATCTCTTGAGGTACCACATGAAGACGAAGCCAAAGTAGGCCGGTGTGAGGTAGTAGTTGAAGTTGTATGGCCAGTTGAGGAAGCCGATGAGGATGAGAGAGGGGTGGACATTCTTGAGCCACGACAAGGGAGTGAAGAGAGCGGCGTTGACGACGTTGAATACGCCAGAGGGCAGGGCTGACTTGGCAGCATCACGAATGCGTGTGCCCATGCGCTTTCCAGTCCACCAGACAAGAGCAAGAAGGAATCCAAAGAGGAAGCAGTACTGCATAACGGGGTAGATTTGGCTAAAGACACGCTGGGGACCAATGGCGCCCTAGTAATATTGAGTTAGCATAGAACGAATATTAAGATAACAAACAGAGCGACTTACCCAAACAACAGAGGCAGAGAAAAAGGTGATGGAACTGGCATTGCAAGTGAATTTTTGGGCTTGGTCAGGGGTGCAGATTCCCTCAATGCTCGTGTCGACAAAGTTAACAGTGGCATAGCAGATCAGGGCAGTGATAACGGCGCTGATGACTTGACCACGGAACATGGATCGGGGAGGAATCTTTGCATAGCAGCCCATCTTTTGGTCACTGACGTAGGTATCTGTCTGTCCAGCAATGTTGTATCCGAAGGCCTTGACAAACATGAGGGCCTCGGGGCGGCCAGGAAGGGCGTAACCAACAACAAGCTCAGTCAAGACGTTCAAGCCGGCTGTGGTTCCTGAGATGGCATAGAGGTACGTCATTGGCACCATGAAGACAAGGTTGAGGGCAATGACGAAGAAGATGGTCCAGACGGGGGTATCTAACTCTGTCCAGTGGGTGAGGATGATGATGGAAAAGATGAAGGCAATAAAGGCAATCATCAGGAACCACCAATCGGGAACTTCTGCGTAGTTGCGCATCATGTTCGTGAACGGGTTGTCAAATTCATCGTAAATAGACTCATCAAACGACGTCATGTCGTAGATGGCACGACCGGCCTCCTTGAATCGGAACGTCACGAGGTTCTTGAGGACAAGGAATGTGGTTCGCAGGGTGCTCTTAACCGTGTTGACCATGGCGCGCATCATAGCCTTGGTAGCGCGGAGGAGAGGACGCCAGGCATCCAGGCAGATGAAGGCCATGGTAAAGGGGTAGTAGGCAAAGAAGGCACCGTAGACAGCCAGATTGGAGGCAGCGTAGTAGGGAGGCGAATACTCTTCGTAAGCTGTCTGGTTGACAATAGCAGTGCCGGGGTACAACACCTTGCTGATCTCGTAGCGACCACCCGTGTTGTTGAAGATGTGCGAGCTGTTGATGGGCAGGTAGCCGGACCAGTTGACGTTGTTGTAGTAGAGAGCCAGGATGATCAGGGCACTGAGAAGCGAGCCAAACGCCTGCTGCATTGTAGAGAAGAAGGGTGTCTGAAGAGGCTGGACAAGCAGCGACGCAACGTTCCAGTCAAAGGTAGGAATAGGGTTGAGGCCCAGGCCCTGGGCTCCGCCAGTGACGACGTTGAGGTTGAAGTTGTTGGGTGCAATCCAGCACATCCAAGCAAAGGTGCTCAGCGCGGTAAACAGGTAGCCGGGAATCCAGAAGTACACGAACATGCCGACAAAGCAGATGAAGAACCAGCGGTAGCGGCTGATGCTCCAGCCGTGAATGCGAGCTTTTGTCTCGGGGACGAGAAGAGCGCGGTTGAGCGCAACCGTGGGGAGAATAGACGGCCAGATAGCCTCAATGGGGTACACGGCAAAACGTCTCATCAAGCCAGCGAAACCCAGACCCATGAGCTGTGTGGAAAGGAGCAGGAGGATCTCGTAGCCAGGGGTCAACCACTTGTCCTTGTACAGAACATCCTGGGTCTGGATATTGTAGAAGCAGTAGGCCGTAGTGACACTGACGTTGACAATGACGGTAGCAAGCATCTGTTCCTTGTAGGTCCATGGACCAGGGTTCAGCGACACGCGTTTGCCGCCCACAGTAAAGCCCCAATCGGGCAGAACAAGCGCCAGGGCGAGACCGCAAGGGTACAGAAGCAGCTGGATGACAGGCGAGGTGATGGTGATGTTGGGGTAGCGGGACATGAAGAGGCCGTTGGTGAACTGCGCAATAATGGCCCAGACGTAGCCGAGGAAATGGGCTCGCAGCGTCTCACAGGGAATGTCGACGTCGTCCTTGGGCTCAGTGACGGCGCGCACCTCGGGGTATGGCGAGTAGAACTTGTTGAGCGCGGCCTCCGTCTTGATCTCCAGACGCCAGTCGATTTCCTTTTGTCCAGGTGCAGGGCCCTCGATCAGCGACTGCATCTTTTCGCGGGTCAGCGCGGGGAAGTTGTAGTCGTAGCGGTGGTAGTCGAGCATTTCTTCGAGGATCTGGCGCGCCTCCTCTACGGAAAGCTCGCCGACCTTGTCCATGATTTCCTGGAGATCTTCCTTGGGTGCTAGGCCGTCGGGGCCATCACCGCCAAACCTGGTGGCAATGTGCTCCAGTTCGGGATCATAGCTTTCAATCTGCTCAGCATCATGGACCTTCTCAGCATCATGGGTGACAGTTCGTTGGGCATGGATCTCCTCGCGGCTGTCACTGCCCTCATGGTGAGTGACAGCCGCGACATGCGGCTCAATGTCCTTTGGTTCGTGGGACATGGTGGTGGTGGTGGTGGTGGCGGTGTGTATATCTCTCCCGATATGCAAGCCTCAACGTGTAAGTCGGAAGGGAGGGGGAGGGGGGAAGGGGAGGACGTTCACGGGAGGCGCACTACCAAGACTCTTGGCTGTGTAGCGAACGCAGCATGGTATTATATACCTTACTTGGCGAGATGGCGTTAGCGTTTCGGCCGTTGTGGTGTTGACTCGGTCATTCTCTGAGCCCCAGAAACGCCTTAGCTCACTAGCACGCATTTTGCATTCATCCCATCTCCACCACCATTGTTCTCGTGAAATGAACGAAGGAACGAACAGACGCGAAAAACAAAAGATCCCCTTGCCACAGAGCCAGGCTGTAGTGTGCCTCGGATATTCCTACGTAAGAGGAATCTGATTCTCATGTAATAGAAAGCGGGGATTAGCACGCTACAGGGGCGCCCCCTTCCTTGTGGCGTCCGCCTCATGGACAAGGCGGGCGGCAGCTCCTGCGCTGCTGTTGGCTGGCTACTGCATGGACAGCACTGTCTTCGACACGCGACTACCGGTAGGGTAATAGTGTGTACTGCGCTGCGGGGAATAGTCTTCAATAGCCTCATCTGGCACGCTCCGCACGGGGAATGCCTCGTCCGGTGGAGTTGCAGCTGGAGAATTAGTGTCAAGTAAAAGCTGGGGAACTTCTGTTGAGGCTTGCTTGGCGCTAGCACATCACTACCGGAATTGGTCACGGGAGGGCTTTCTCTGCAGGACTTTTGGCGAATGGCACGGACGGACTCCCCAGAACGAGAGCCTAATTGGGAGCCATCGCAAGCCGAGATTGCGGGTGATCGCTCGTGTTGCTCGTAGTTGTCCCTGTTGTTTGGCGGCCGATGCCCTTTGCCCCTTGGGACAGACTTCTTGGTTTTTAGGATGTTCGCCGAGGCTCAGCGACGATCAGCGATGTAAAAAGTCTATTTCCTCTGGTTGTATTAATCGTAAGATGAAAGGGAATCTTGCCTCGAGCCATGCATTGCAAAGCAGTTAATCGTAATCGGCCGGGCAGTTTACTGGACCACTAGTCACTGGGCCTCTAGTAACTGGACCACTAGTAGCACCATGGAACTTTCGACGGAAATATTACAACATTACTGCATGGCAAAACTTCCGACGAAAGCCGTGCCCTTAGTGGCGGGTACTGTAGCCCAACCTGCAAGCGACATCGCTCTCCCGGCGAGGCTTCAGCAGAGAATGTCACCATGTCACTATGGCGCCATAGACGACTAATGCATAGCGGCACGTTGAACCATGCGCTTGCCCGTCGTGTCGGAACCAAATGGGTTGGTTTTGTTGGTGATGGGAGGTGGCGCTTCCTGTTGGTTGGACATGATAGCCTCAAGCGCCCGCGACACCTGTCAAAAAGACATGATCAATTTTGCGGAGAAGCACTAGTTTCCAAGTGTCATTCTAAATGCCGTCTCATCCGTCTTGGTATGCTGGATAACTGGCTCTGAGGCCCTCAGCCTGGCCTTTAGTCATGAATACCGTGAGATTGTGGCTAATGGAGGCGCACACTAGCCAGGCAAAAGTCCCTGCGCCATGCGAACGCCATTCCTTTTTATCAAGTATCTAGACCTTCCATTCAGGGTCGCTGGTCCAGGCGACCGTGGCACGCAGCTCCATGTGATGTACGCCAAGAGAGAGAACCTTTGCCTTGGTGGTATGAGTGAGCGCCAGAGATGGTTTGTGTTGGCGTCGTTCCACCAACAACAGAGAGCAAGTGTCGCGAACGCGAGCAGCTGAATTGTATGCAATTAGCTAAAAGTTTTCCAACGGTATCGGTGGCAAAATATCTTGTATCATTACAACTTCTGGTTGAGTCGAAGGGACTGCCTGGGCGACAACGCTGTCCCAATTGGCTGTAAGTGCTTGTGCAAGAGTAGTGTTCAAATGGCATTATGGAAATGGACTGAATACCAGAAAGAGTTATACGAAGAGTGATGTTATACCGTGGTATGAATAAGCAAACGGTGATTCGTGCATAAATGCAAGCTGTTCACAAATTTTGCCCCCCTGAGAAGCCATACCGACCTAGTATACCGCAGTTTCTTACTTCCATCAACCTCTTTGTTCGTCGTGTTTTCTTATTAGACATCTCGTTCATTACTTTACTTAATAGATCCAGCTATGTAATTTCAGGCTTACGAGGGGCCTTCGAAATATTCTCAAAAATGGACTACTTGCTTTCGCCAACCCCCCCGCCTTTCGCCGCCAGAGAACCCAGGTAAAATCTGCATACGAACACAATACCTTTTTGGAAAACTCGTCATAATAGGTATACAATACAAAATCTATCCAATCTCACTCCCCCATCCGAATCAATTGATGCAAACGAATTGATGCCGAACGAAACAAAACTAGTACTGTTGACACAATGCCCGATGCGAAAGCAATTGAGGTATTTTAACTTGATCTCGGGAGCGCAAAATTCACGAGGCAGGTTTCGAACCCAATTCACGATCAATAGTAACCGACGAATAAAATAATACATATTAAGACGGCATTATTACATCCTTGGAAAGACCGTTATTCAAGAGCTCCTCTGATCTGAAGCAGGCTATACAACTATTCTCTAGACTTTTTCGTTCGTAGACGGAGTGAAGTTGCCATTGTACCCTGCACGCATTGGTATATTTAGTTACATAATAAATATGGCAAAGCTCAACAATTTTTATACCAGTAATTCAGGCAATATATTCATATCGCGAATGACCAGGACTGATTGACAAGGTGAGGCGTGCCTCACGTATACAGTGACGCAACGCACGCACCGTCCGCGCAAAACAAAGAACGGTCGTCGTGAATGCCCACCGTTACAGGCTCTAATTCATTCAACTATATAACAACACCACTATTGTCGCTAAAATTTTAGAACCCATCTTAATTTTTACGACTATACTTATTCTTCGCTTAATTGTCTAAATGTCGCCACCAATAGCTGCGTGCCAGCACACACGACTGCATCTCGACGTCAGTGCAAACACAAAACAATGCGGCTTCAAGCGACCATCCAAACAGCAGCGTATTGCTGCAGCACGCCTACATGATACACCTACAGCAGAAAGTCTACTAACACCAATTCATCTTTTTGATGATCTAAACACATTTCCTGCGCCATTGGTACTTCCAGATGACGATCTTGATATTGATCCTGATTGGCCGCCTCAGAGTGTCAAGGAATGGCATGATGAAGAAGAGCGCAATCCTGTGACGCCGAAGAGAAAGACTATTTATCTTGTATCACCGCCATCGATTTCGAAAGAAATGGCCAAGATGAAAGACTGGATATCGCCTCAGACGACAGTTGCGTCAACAGGCTCTCAGCAGCTAAAAGTGGCTGATCTACAAAAGTACATCAGCGCATTTTATCACGGTATGACTGTCAAAATCTTGAATAAACCCTTCTCTTGGAGACAGTGGCATGAAGATGATGCAAAGAAGAGCAAAAGCTATGATGGGAGGCTGCTCAGATTGAACCAACACGCTCTCATCGGTCTACAGACACCGCAAAACACAATGGTGGGGATCCAATGCCGTCTATCGCCCGATGAGGTTGCCATGCAGGTCAATTTGGACAATGTTCTTGATGCACTGGCAGAAAATGTTCCTTCTGATGCATATGCGATTATGATGCTGCTCGACATCGACATGTATGAGGGTGACGACGACGTCTTTACCGGCGGCCGCGCCTACGGGGCCTCGCGTATTGCTGTTGTTTCCTCTTTTAGGGATAATCCGATGCATTCTTATTCCTCGCAGAGTCTTTTGCACAGATGGCCTGTCTCCCATTCTCAGCGATACGTCCCATCACTTTGCAGAGGAATAGCCGCCGGCAAAACGCCACCTCAGCCGTCCTCGGGCGCAATGAAAGGTGCTCTGGATGCTGTGGTAGCCTTACCGCCGAAGGAGCCTACAGCAAAGGGTGCATATATAGAGTGGCTTGGAAGAGTTGCCCAAACCATGGCGCATGAGCTGGGCCATTGCTTTGGCCTGGACCACTGTGTCTACTATGCCTGCGCCATGCAGGGCTGTGCTTCCAGCGCAGAGGCACTGCGGCAGCCACCATATCTATGCCCAGTGTGTCTTGAGAAAGTTGCTACCGCAATTGGTGGTGTTTTAGTCAAAGGGTGGGAAAATCATCAAGTCCGACAGCGATATATTCAGAACCGCTATAGTGCTATTAGAGATAGTTGTCAGTTGTGGAAAGAGCAAACTGTAAACGCATTTTGGGTCGGCCAGCGGGCGTGGTTAGACGATATTATTTTGCCATAAATAAGAACGAGAAATATTAAACTAAGATTGAATTCAGTGTACAATTTTCAATAAATGTTCCGTTCGCGGAGCTATGCGTGGCGAGGGGTGAAAGCAAAGGGAAGAGTGTTTGTAGTGGGGTTAAGACATTTCCCAATTACCCCTGACTGCAACTTGTAGCCGCCCACTCTCCGGATCGATTTCCATTCTCATTGAAATTTACGCATCTTTGTATTACATCTATCAAGAATTTGTTGTCCGCTAGGTCTTGTACCTTTGCCGCCAAAATGGCAGTCAATCTGGATACAGATACGCTTGATAAGCTCAACTCCGAAGAGTCTGTCGCTCTTCACAAACTGATGGACACGTTGACCTCATGCGGTGTTGGAAAGCTTGTTGATCTCCCTCAAATCATTGTTGTGGGTGGCCAGTCCGCAGGCAAGTCATCTGTTCTGGAAGCCATCTCGCGTGTCAAGTTCCCTGTTGCGGGTGGTATCTGCACTCGCTTCGCTACAGAAATCATCCTCCGCGAAGCCGACAAACCCCGGGTGGAGGTTAGCGTCAGGTTCCATGATCAGACCAAAACTCCCAAGTTCTTCGAGAGGTCTGGATTCAGTGAAGATGATTTAGCGGAAATTATTGAGGAGGCCAGATCTTGCATGGGCATTTCCAAAAGCAGCAGAGAGTTTTCAAAAGATGTCTTACGTCTTGTTATTGAGGGGCCAAAGATGTACCCTTTGACACTTGTGGACTTGCCTGGTATCTTCCAGGTTGATACTGGTGACCAGTCTCTCCAGGGAAAGGAGGTCGTGGACCAGTTATTGGACTCCTACATGAAGCAAAAGAATAGCATCATGTTGGTGGTTGTCGAGGCCAACGGCCAGATCGCGTGTCATACAGCTCTCGCCAGAGTGAAAGCCCACGATCCCAAGCGTGAGAGGACAATGGGAGTTATTACAAAACCGGACCTTGCCGCCAGGGGATACACGGAGAACTCCCACATTGAACTGGCCAAGAATCAAGAACCTTCGCACAAGCTCAAGCTGGGCTGGCATGTGCTACGCAACCGAGCTGAGGACGAGGCGGATTTAGATATGGACGCGCGCGATGCCGCCGAGGAAGCCTTTTTCCAATCATCAGCTTGGAAAACCATTGTGCAAAAGGATCGCGGAATTGCCAGTCTACGCAAAAAGCTCAGCAAGGAGTTGTACAACCACATCCGCAAGAATCTCCCCAGCGTCATTGAAGACATCGAGACTAAGCTCGGAGAGAGGCAGGCTGATTTGAACAAATTTGGGTTAGGTCGATCCAGTATCCAAGATATGAGATCTTTCCTCCTTCAGATTGCTAGCGAGTTCCAACGCCTTGCCAGAGATGGCATCACAGGCTCCTATTCCGACTCCTTTTTTGGTCACGTTGCCAAACCTCAGAACAGACTTCGCGCTGATCTCAAGAGTTTCTACCGTGCCTTTGAGTATAACATGAAGTCGAGCGGCCACACTTTCAATATCAAGGGGCTAGACGGTGACAACGATGACAATGACAATGAGTCTAGTGAAGAAGAAGACGACGAAGACGAGGATAGCGAAGAAAATGATACTAAACCCAGTGACATGCTAGCAACTGTTGCCGACTTTCTGGCTACTCACCCGTTGAGCCCTGAGCTTCCTTCTCCTACACGTATGGACCGCAAGGAAATGAACGCGTGGCTGGAGAAGTATGCTGTCAACAGTGTTGGACGTGAGCTGCCAGGCATATGCAACAGCGATCTTGTCATCAAGCTGTTTCAGTGGCAAGCTCGGCCATGGGAGGACATTGCTCGCTCCCATATCAACGGCATCATGGACGTGGCCAAAGACTTTGTCGAAGAGATGTTCCTGAAAATCGTCGGCCGAGGAGACGCTTATACTACCATGGAGGGTCTACTGAGCGAGTTTGTTGATCCCTTTTTCGAGGAGAAGGAGATGCGTCTGGAGACGGCGCTGGCGGATATCCTCTGGCCGTACAAGGAAGGCTATGCGGTGCCGCTGGATGAAGAGTTTCGCGAGATTCTCTCCAATTGGCGAATCCAACGTGTTGCCGCAAAGCTCCAGAAGATGCCTGTTAACGAGGTCCAGGATGAAAGGACCCAGCGGGTGATGAAATCCGAGGGTGCAACCATGCATATGGCCAAGATGTTGAGTGTCTCGGCTAACAGTGGCACCTTTGCTACCGAGGAGGCTATTCAGATGATGCAAGCTTACTATGAGGTACATTGTTTCTTTCCTTCGTTTTCCTCTTTGGTCTAAGCTAACTGTGTAATACATAGATGTCTCGCCGAACATATACAGACAACATCATCAACCTCGCTGTAGAGCGATGCCTTGTCTATGACCTACCCAACCTATTCAGTCCTCTCAAAGTCGGACAGTTGACTGATGAGAAGATCATGGAGCTTGCCGCAGAGTCTCAGGACGCACAAGCTCAGCGTGCGCAGCTCACACAGGAGGTTGCCACGCTACGAAAGGGCCTGGAAAAGTGCCGACGATGGCGTCCTCGCAGTGATCCTGGACAACCGCAGCCTCGGGCTACCAAGAAGATTACCAAGGAATCCACGTCGTCCGTCAAAGCTATCATGGCTGCTCCTAGTTCAAGCAGTACCTTGACAACCCAGCAGCAGCAGCAACTTCCCCTTGGTAAGGTTGCTGTCCCTGGCAGCAGCCTCTTTGCAACGCTTATTACCAAGAAAATACCCGACGAGAGTAGCTTATTTGTGAATCCAACTCCAGTTCACACACCGGAGCCTCCTACGAAATCTACACCTCCAGCAACCATCTCAACACCAAAACAAGGCACCAAAAGCCAGCAGATTGTAAACCAGCCCGTCACAAATGCCTCTGGGAGTCTTTTCGGGCCCAAACAACCTGCCACTAGTACACTTTTTAGTACCAAACCAGCTGCCACTAGTACACCTTTTAGTATTAACACTAGCTCTGGCTTCTCATTCAGCACACCGCCACCTATTACTGGTCAGGTGCAGTCTAAGCCGGCGCCAGGCGCTGGCCTCGGTGCTATAAGCCTGTTCAGCAAGAGTAACAATCCGGCAAAAGGGTAAGGTTTGTAGCCCCATTCAAAAGTCTAAGCAAGAGAGTTATTAACCATGTGGGAGCAGGTCCAACTGGGTGCATCACCGCGAAAGAGAGTCAAATTCTTGCGACACCTCGCTGGAGTTTAACCATATTTGTGCCCATAAGCAATTCGAAAATGTTTCACCAGAGGAGTTGCGGCTGTCTGGGTCTACCGATAGTACGATACCGTATCGCGACCATAGTCAAGTAGAGCAGAGCGAGCAGAGCGAGCAGGAAGGTCATGGCCGTCGTCGCAACAGAAGTAGGCGCAGGAGACGAAGCTCGTAGATGAAGTTTATCTCACATACACCTGGATGTATGTGGTTAGTGAATTGAAGTAATAGCTGAAAAGGGTATATCTGGCTAGCGAATTGGAATTGGCAAATTTATGAAACAATCTATGTACATAGGATGGATATTTCCCGTGCTTCCCTGCCTCATTAGTCGAACTGGAGGATGTCTTCCATTGCATCAGGATCCGATGGCGGTCTGACAGTCGTTCCAACTGCCGTCCCCAATAAATTCAAGGCGTCGATGTATTCCTCATTATGTGGTACGCTGACAGCAGTTCGCTGAGATAAATGAGGCGTGTCATTTGATATTGAAGGTGCTGCCGTGGATCCTGTCCACTGATGTGACGCAGGTAGTTCAAAAAGCCCAACGTCTGTTGCAGAGCCATTCTCTGGGTAGACGAAAATGTCTTTCCATTCCATCCACGGTTCGAAGTCCGTATCCGGGTTAGGACTCACGGTTACCATAGGTGAACCCTCTTTGTTCCCGTTAGGCTGCTCGAAGCTCTGCATCGTGCGTGGTACCGCCGTTTGAAAAAAGTTCATAACATGCGCTTGTACCACGGCTCCTAGACCGGTGAGTTCGACTGGGAGGCCATAAGAAGCAATAAACTTGTTGTATTCGTGTGGAAGTTGCTTTATCAGGTGATCCTGTAGTACGCTCAGGTTTGGTGCCACCAATCGTTCTGAGATGTAATGATCAGCAGGCAAATCCTCGCCAGGGCAGCAAATCTGAAAGATATCATTCCATTGATCGTGTTGACTCTTGGTCTGATCGATGCGTTTCCTGAGTTTCCCTTTTTGCACCTCATTAAGACGCCCTGCCCAGGATGGTGGTCGTTCTTGTACTAGACATGTCTCTTGCTGGCAGTGTACATTTCGATCAGCTGCTTTTTTGAACACCTTGAAGCAAACAGTGCAATGAATTGGGGTTTCGTGTTTTCGCTGGATGTGGCATTTGAGACGATGTATAGCGTCGAACTTTCGGTCTCTGCAGTCTTTATAACGGACAGGATCTGATTTGTAAAATGTGCAGGCAAAGGAGCGGCTTGTTTCCTCTTCCTCGGTGCCGGTGATCGTATTTGGCGATCGTTTTTTGCGGCCGTTTCCATCACCGTTTCTATTGTTGACGCCACCACGGCGCGCCCTTTTTTGTTGTCCTTTGTCGCTCTGTTGACTGCTTTGTTGAGTAGACGCTTGTGAAGCCCTGCTTGACTCCCCGTTTGCGTGCTTGCGAATAGGGCCAATGCCGTAATCATAAGGTCTGACTACTCCTCGCGACTTCGCAAAGGCAGTCAAGAGTCTCCATAATACCAATGCCCTTGTTTGTAGTTTTGGTCTGGGCTTGCACAGGCTGGCAGTTGCGTTGTCGCTGCACATGAAGGGATACACGGCTTCATCTCCAAAAGAGAGGTCCATAGGAAACAATGGCTGCTGGTCATTGATTGTCATGTTTGGTGCCGTGAGTTGCCTTATGGCCGTACCGAAAGTATCCCATTCTCCGGTAAGGTTTTGAGCAGAAGCATACGACCACTCAAGGCCCGGTACAGAAAGGCAAGGTCCAAGCACGGCTGACGTGGGCAAGAGTCCAAGGCCAGCATCGTTACGTCCAATCAAACAAGCGTTGGGTATAGGCTGTTGTAGCTTGCGCCTCTTCTGGTGGTTTTGGTGATTTGCAATCGTAGTATTGCGATTCACACGATTTCGTAGTGAGGTGGTTTTGTAGCGAGCATACTGGTTGGGGTCAAGGTGGCTCCCAAAGCGCTGCCCATCACGGCCCCGTATTAAATAGGGCAGCGTGACCGAGCCACTATCTTCCCGTTAGCGTATGTTTATAATCATTGACTATACAAGTGGTAATAACATACTTATTAGCAAGTCGCTGAGCTGACTGGGCAAGATACCCCGAGGGCAGCACAGCACTCGTTTGGCAACCGCTGCCAATGCCTGGTATGGCTGTGTACTCGCCACTAATGTGGCGTGGAAGAGGCAAGGCGTCTGACTCGTAGAGCCTTGCGGTCGCCTCGTGCGAACTTTGTAGTGGTTCTGCTGAAAGAGTCTGGTCGTCTGACACGACTTGAATATTCATGTTCATTCAATCAAAATATATTTGCGTGCACGTTGCGTATTTGGAACTTGGCTGGTATATGGACAATGTTGGGTATACTTCGATGTTTCGATCGTAAGTTTCTGATGCGCTAAGACCAGCGGGCGCAGCGGTTAATATTGGGGTTGCTACTGTTGCCGAAACAAAGGCGGGGGAGCTTCAGGAAAAGAGTGCCCAGAGGTGCGCTTTTGCGGCACTAAAAGAACGCTCTTCGGGGGGTTTCTTTTCTCTTTGTGGCTGAGCGGCCGCCAACAACGCACGTCTCTCGGGCGGCTGAACTTATATCCAACCAATAGTAGCTGCAGCAGCTACTGCAGCGATCCCAGTAATACGAAACGGGTAGGCCAAGAGTGGAAAACAAGCCAAGGTCGTGAATCTCGATCACTCCCGGAACTTTATTGGTGGTGGCGCAGACTGTGTTTCACCGCTCAATCGTCTGAATTGGCAAGATATAATGACGTATATGTACACACATTTATTTCATAATACTATTCATTGTGTATAACCTATACATCATCAAGATCTTGTACCAACGGATCAAATGGGGCTTGCTGGCCTGTTCCCGTGCCACAGTGTGCCAAGTAGTACTCAAAATCTCCGTAGTCCATCATTCTACCAATCTCATCGGATGTCTCTGTAACTTCATGAGATACCAGTTGCATGGTTACTTGTTGTGGTAAAGGTTGGTCTGAGATATTTGCTGAAGAAGACGCAGAAATCGTTTGTCCTAGAGGTGGCAGTGCCACAGAGACGAAGCTTGACTCTTCCGAATCTGAAATCGGAATATTTTCTCTCCGTTGTTCTGCGCGTTGCAAGATTCGCTCTACTGCCTGTTCAAAAAGGTTTGTTGAAAACGCTTGTAGCACATCCTCTCTGCCAACCAAATCGGCAGGTAAGCCTGGTGCTACAAATCGGCGATATTCGGCTGGCCACTGTTGGTTCATGTATTCTTGCAGTGCACTCAGCTCTTCCGATATCAGTCCATCGCAAAGGTACGGGCTAGCTGGCACTGGAGAGTCGGGAAATAGAACCTTGTACAGCTCATTCCACTGCTCTCTCTGGGTCAAGCGCTGATCGACACGCCTCATAACCCTCTCTTCCAATTCTGGATACATACACTCGGCAAAAACCTTTGTTGGCTGCCTTTCGCACAACTGTTGTCGATAGTGCTCATCTCTGTCGTTCTCTCTGGTAAATTCTGTAAAGCAAATTACGCAATGAATCGGAGGGCGATGACATCGCTTCAAGTGAGCTTTGAGCCGATGGATTTCGTAGAGCTGCTTTGATCGACAAGATTTATACGACAGTGGCTTCCATTTGTAATATGGACAGGCGAGGAGTTTGCTTTCGCCACTCGGGCCATTGGCCTTGCTCTTTGGGTTTCGGCGCCGGCCGCTGCCCTCACCGTTGTTGTGATCGTCGTCACCCGATCGTTTCCGTTTAGATTGTTCATTGCTTGATCGACGACTCCGTTGTGTAGTGGGTGTCTGTAGAGTTCTATCGGATGGTCCTCCATTTGCATGATTCGTGGTATTGTCAGCGTACTCTGTGAAACTGAACGCGCCTCGGGAGCGTGCAAAAGCGTTCAGGAGTACGAATAACGCCTGTGAACGCAGGGACTCGGGGATGTGCTGGTCGAGATTAATGTCTTGAGTGCTGCAAATAGACATGGACTCGTCACAGCTTGAAGGCGCGAGGCTGGACACAGCTGATGAACCTGAGCGTAGACGACTCGGTGTCAGACGATCGTCCTCGGTTTCATCCACCTTGCTCAACAGGCTTGAGACCCCTTGCCACCATTCAAACCCACTGGCTGCGTTCTCCCTGCCAGTGGATCCTCGGCTCGTACGTTGAGCAATAGTGCCGCTCTCTGCATCAGGAGAAGTTGCAACTGTTGAACCTTTCGCGTCCAATAGCCTGATTTCGGGGGCCTTGGATGTAGTGTTGTCGTGCTTGATCTTGGTATGCTTTGGACCACCACCTGTTTTCTTTGTATCTGGTGCATCCTGAGAGCAGGCACAACTCACTCCAGCATTTAGTGTTAAACACTGAAAACACCTCCACAAGCCTGAGAAATCTTCTTCATTTTCTGCCGGAATTAGCCTTCCGTGTCCTTCTATGGTTTCTTTATGAAAGTCACGAAGGTGGTCTCGAAAACGTTCCCGACGGTGGAAGGCTTCCAAGCGACTAGGACAAGACGCATAGTCGCACCAATAGTGTTGTATCTTAGATTCAGGTGGTTCATGGTCGTTCTTATAGTGTCGGCGTAAATCGACTTCTCGCCTGAAAGGTTTCGCATAGCAAAACTGATGATAACAATAAAGGGAGGCAGGATGTCTGTAACAGCATTAGCTATTTAGCATTTACACATCGATGCAATTCCAGTGGCTGCTCCTTACTCCTCTATATATCGCTTTGGGACGTCTTTGGATGGTGTAGGAGGTATATAGTGTTCAACGCCAACGTCTAACGCTTCAAAGGACTCGGTCCTCTCATCACGCGCGAGGCTCAATGCGCTTAGACTGTGCGCCTCTCTCACTAAATCCAACTTCTCTCGGATCGTATTGCGCCTCATGTAATGACGATCCATAACAAAATTGGTGAGTAAAAAATGTGTTCGTTTGTTGTTAAGTCAAAGTCAAAGTTGTTTAGTAAATGTAGCATTAGCAATAGCGAGCAGACAATGGGACAGCAGTCGAGGAAGCCCAAAATATACTGTTGAAGGACTGCGGAGTGATGGATCTCCATCGATCCTCACGACTCAAACACTTAAGTCGTCACTCCAAAAATCTTCACACATTGGCGTGGTGTACTTCTCGTGGCTGTGCGGCCTGCAACTCGGTACCGCTTGCCCCTCTTGGGCGTCATGCAAGCTTCATGCAGCCAGCTACAGTAGCTTAGCTACCTGCAGCTTTTAGTGACAGTGGCTCCGGCATTTGCAGTGGGAATAGTACCATTATAGAAGGTGGTTTATCCCTATGCACACCATCAGCAAACATCGTGGCGCTGCATCGCCCCTTCACGCTATACTCTCATCTTCACCGCTTTGCCGTGCTGGCTGCTTTGCTTCAATATGGCGAGTCAGGCTCATGCATGGCAATCAATCGATTATCTACGTCTACCTGCTAATTACGTGCGATTTCCGTCTTCGTCTTGCTGCGCCTCGCTAGACTCTACATCGGAGGTGTCGTCTTCTTTGGCTAGCGTCTGCTTGCCGTTGAGCTTCGGGTTGCGGATGCTCAGAGAAAACAGAATAAGCGGGATACACAGGCAGATACCAGTGATGGTAAGCATCTTCTGAATATACTGATAAGAAGATACCATGGCATCTCTCTCCGGGGTTCCAATAGGATACTGGGTAATCACCGACAAGGGCATGCCGTAGGCTTCCTCCAAAAGAGTCGCATTTACGGATGCAAGCCGGCGATCCAGCTCTTGCGGGAGCAGCTGGGTCCACAGAGCGCCCGAGATGGCGTTTCCAAGTGCCGATCCGATATTGTAGGTAGCCAGGTAAATACCCGTCATGACTGCGACATTTTCGTGCTTGACACCAACTTGGAGGGAAGCTTGGGCTGTGTAAGGGAACATGCCGCCGGCAAATCCAAGCAGGCATTGCGCCCCAATGACTCCGGCACGGCTGCTGTCACTCGCCCCGCCACGGTAGTGAATTAAAAGACCAAAGGCAACCATGAAGAGACAGGTACCAATGACGATGAAGATTTTGAGACGGCGGACCTTGAAGACGACCAGTCCAAGAAGCGGTCCGACAATGACACTGACGAACGAGTACAACAAAGAAACACGGTTGGCTGTAATGACGTCAAAGTCAAAGGCAACCTGAAGGACAGTCCAGAGATAATCGCCCTGCATGGTCCAGGCAAAGTTGAGGAAACAGGCGATACCAAGGGCGCCCCAGACGCTCCTGTCCTTGATCAGCTTGAAGGGAACCAAGGGATGAGGCGCTCGGAGTTCCCATAGAATAAACACTGGGATACAGAGAACGCCAATGACTAGAGGCGCAATGATGGAGCCCTTCTTCCAATTGGCAGACGTGCCGCCAGCGAGAGTGAGGGGTGCCAGAATCAGAGCAAACACAGCAATGACAAGGATGATGCCAACGACATCAAGCACCCAGAACAGTTGAACGGCAAGGTTTCCAAAGCCCAGCATTTGGAAAGACGAGCGATAGTTTGTCAAAAGACCAAGCTTGTGGGCTCGGCGCGTAACAATGCTGAGGCTGATGATCAGAGGCATAGAGCAGACAGTGTAGATGATGCACCACATGCCAATGCCCCATTTCCAGCGCTGCTCGTCCAATTCACCTCCGGGGAACATGACAGCCTGGACAACGTTGCCGCTGATCCAAGCGTTGATGAGGAAGGGTAATGCGGGGATGAAACTGAAGAAGAGACGAGCACGAGTGGAAGTAATGTCGGCAATGACAACCTCGACAAGCACAATAACCATGGTGTAGCCCATCTGGTAGAGGACGCTGCCACCGCAAAAGCTCTGCACATCACTCGATACAGTCTGAAGAATGGTACCGATAACGTAGAAGAAGACAGATGCGCAAATCAGCTCAACACGACCAAAAACGTCGGCAATTTTGGCAGCAGCAGGCTGGATGGCGGCGGCAATGATGGAGTTAATGACATTGATGGTAGACAGAAGCGAGTGCTTGCTGTAGCTGTTGGTCGCATAGGCCTGGTAGTTGTAGCGAGTAGTACCATCCAGACCGTAGGCGTAGGCAATCAAGAAGACGCCGATGAAGATAAAGATGCGGTCTCTAAAGGTGATGCATGAGGCAATGGCCTGCATGCGCAAAACACCGGGTGATGTGATATCGGCAAGCTCCTTCTTCGGGCCCAGCACGTAGTTGTTGACATTGTTCTTTTCGTCCGTAGTGACCACAGGGTCGGACTTGGTATTCTCGTCGGCCGACATTTCTAGCTCCGTGTTTCTAAGACACTGTTAGTCCAGCTAACTTACTCACAAAACAAACCTAATCTCCAACATACCTGCAAACAGAGAAACTAGCCTCTGCGCTTCGAAAGAAGATATCTTTTCCAGCCAAGCCAGCAGAAAATGGCGCGGGGAGGGGAGGCGCTGCCCAGCTTTATTAAGTACCTTTCAGGTATCCAGCGAAAAGGATCAGTTGATTGATTAGATAACGCCACGGCTATAAAAACTTTCTGTCTACCTCAATCTAGACCGTTGGCATTCCCCACATGACAGGCTTGGCTGCGTGGGTAAAAATTTCCTTTTTTCCAATTAAACAGAGATTGGCTTCCTTTTCGCTATGGAATATTCCGAGCGCGAGTCATCCCGTCTCCCCTCTTGGCTGCTCAGCCCATGCGCTCATTTCCGTTTTTATGAGGGTCTCCACGTGGAAACTTAATAACGCAGCTACTGAGGGCCGTGAAGTCATTGTACAGCCAAGAATTGGCGCTCTTTTTTTTTCACTTGGATGAAGAGTGGCTGATCTTAGCCTCGGCGTTGAGGCGTACTGCCGAAGAGCACATACTACAAGTAGCTCGGCGATGAGCTTCATCTTCAAGCAGACAGATGCACTGTACAACTACGTAGGCTGTATTGCAGATTCTCTGAGCGAAATATCAGACGAAAACAAACTCGTCGCGGTTACTTTTGTCTATATAGGGGTGCTTTCTACTAGCTGCGTTAAAACACCTGGTCCTCAGTTGGCAGAAACGCTCAACGGGAGAGTCTGCGGCCCATGTTAGGATCGATCAAGTTCAGCCCGGTAAAGGAATCTTCCGAATCTAAAATGCGCCTAATGCCAACCACATGGTAGAAAACACCAGATATTTCCTTGGTTTCAACGGCTACCTTGACCTCTCCGCCACTTGTTTCAAAGGTCAATTCAGTCTCCAGCTCTTCTTCTGACTGAATATTAACCCTGCCTGGGTCTCGGAGACACACTTTGAATAACTCTGTTCCTCTTTTAATGTACTTGCACCAGGGTCGAACGAATAAGTCTCGGCGTGAATCAGACAATCTACCAACCAACAGGAGGCCGTCTGCCAATCCCAGGGGTCTCTTCGAATTAAATCGTAATAGCGTGAATATGCCATCTAGGCACCGGAACTGGCCTCTACCGTAGTAATGCTTTGGTATATCTAGGACGCGTAGTTGATACGCATATTTGTCCCACTGTTCAGTTGGATGCACAATGTCGAGTTGTAGATCCTGAATACGCTGTGTGATAGGGTTGAGTGTGCCATAACTGACAAACCAAAATCCAGTATTATCCGGCGCATATTGGTAGTGGAGTGGCGAGAGTGACCATGGAATATCCAGTTGGCTATTCGATACTTCAGGAATTCGCCTAGTCAGAATCACTGACTGGAACTTCCATAGAAGATTTTTATAATCTAACAAGTTAATGTTTTTTGTTACAATCGGAGAGTCGAAACCACGTACCCATCGCTTTTTTGAATTCATCACGGTCAAGTTGTGTAGGGTCAAGACCAAGCACATCCTTGTCCGTCTTGATGAATGCAAAGTTGTCAAAATATTCAAACTTGCCCATCTCCTCTCCCGTCATTATTCGATAATATTGTCTCATTTCCTTTTCATTATTGACCCCGCTAGATGAAACATGGCTTCGCAGCCTAATAACAGGAAATGTGCCCGGTATACGGCCATATTGGCAGTCGAGAATCGCTTCGACCTCACTAAATGGGTCATACTCTGACTGGCCTAGTCGATAGACTGAAATAATGGGGAGTTCCATCATGATGCCTTGATTGGTGATTCTTGTTTCTCTTCGACCGGGTCGATGGAATGGCTCTCTAGCAATTAGCCCTGATATCTCACGAAAGTCTAAAGGGGAGGTTGCTAGGACATCTACCGCCGTTCCCTCCGAATATCTACTATTGAACCAAGCAAATATAGATGGATCATCGGATTTCCTCAGTATTTCCTCTTGAAGCCGGCGAAAGGCTTTGGTTCCTTCACCATAAAGCAGGGGCATATTTACATCAAAGATGCCAAGTAACGAGTATGCGGCGTCCTCAATACGGGTGGTTGTTCGATTGGATGCCCAATACATTTTTCGCGCAATACTGACATGCTCCAGATTTCCCCCTCGGAGTGTTAACTCGTCAATGCCACATATTTCTGTTATGTGAGAGTACAAGGCAATATCGGTCTTTGCTCCAAGACGATACCAATCGGCATTATAAAACTCAACTGAGGCCGGTGCAAGCATCTCCTGTAGCGTCCAACCTCTTGTAAACCATCTGCTGGACCGAAATGAACGTTCAGCTTCTAAGGGGTCGGGTTCAGGTACATCGCTGAGATATGCGTAGCAAACAGCCGCACCCCGATACCATTGGAACATGGAGTTGATTGCTTCAGATAGCTCGGCGCTGCTCGACTTGTCGATACAGCACGTATCTATCCAAATATAATCATACGACTGTTTGCGGGCAAGTCTGCAGGCGCCGCTAAGTTTTCTATAGCCATGCTTCTCGCGAGCACCAGATAGATCAGCCATGTCACCAAAGAGAACCTCTTCAGGTCCCCAAGTATGTGATAAGATTGCATATGAAGGCGTTTCTGAAGAGTAAAACTCCTCTAATTCCAACGTGTTAGTATTTAGAAGCCTCATTGCTATATGTCTGGTTGTATGTAAGTGTGTGTTTGTGGTGATGTTCTCCAAGGCTCCCCGCATAAGCAATAAGGCTTCGCACGTGACTACTCAATAATTCCATGCGTTTTTAAAGACTGGGACAAATTATAAAAATTATACCATTTTTTCAGATTGAACTAGATATAAGGGCTTTTTCTACTGTACTCAACACGCATCTGCTACGTTGAGCCAGAGTTGTCAGCGCACGACCAGGCAGCTGAACCTCCCACCTTGTTATATGAGTCAACAATGCCAACCAGTGCACCATACGTGCCTGCAATCATGAGAAATGTGCCTGATACAATAACAAACACGCACCAGCATACCATAAGCCTCCATCGCAGCGTAGGCGCCTTTCTGCCGGCCGTCCAGTTGTCGTACAGCCACATGCCTCCCATCGGTTGGAAGCAGAGCAGCGTGCCAAAGAGAGCGCCGCCCAGCGATACGATGCCATTGAAGACGGGAATTGCACTAGCAAAGATATATGCGATAAGACAGACCGCGAAACTACAGCCAAGCCAAGTCGCCCAGTGTGTAAATGAATTAGAAGTAAGGTGTTTCGAGCCGCGCAGCATTCGGACAAAGACATATTTGCTCGATACCTAAGACACTGTTAGCGCTTTGTAAAGCAGAAGAAGAATGAGCGTACATACATGTGCTAATAGAACGCCGCTGACAAGAAGGCCCGGAAGAGCAATGCCATAGGCCACCTTTTTGATATTGGCGCCGGCAGAGCCCAGTGCCGGTGAAGCGACGTAGGAGCCGCAATAGTAATAGACCACGATACCAACGATGAGAAAAACGGCAGTGATAACTGTCTGGCAGACAGCCAATGCACGGGGATACTGTTTTGGGTCTCTCATTTCAGACACGATCGGGAAGAACGCGCCTGTGCCGGCGTAGGCAAAGATGAGCGTCGAGATGGCAGCGATGGCCTCTGCAAATGTCGGGTTGCCCACTAGCTTATAGTCGGATTTCCATTCGCCTGTCTGTGGTGCTAATGCGGGGCGCTCTTGAAGACTGACAGCGATTGTCACAGTGAGGACTAAAATCTTGTCAGCAGCTGTGTCTTGGTCAATTGGTAAGTGACAAACATACCAGCGGCAATGATTGCTACGACGCCTATCTTGGCTAGCCACATAATACGGCCGAGAGTGCGAATACAAGAAAGACCAAAGACCAGGACAAATGCCACGGCCACAAATCCTGCTGTGCAAGTGCCATGGTTGCTGAGGGCGTTGAATGCGATCGAGATGCTAAGCATGGCGGATCCAGTCACCATGATGTAGACTGCCAATTGTAATTAGTATAAGGAACGCATGGAAGGATAGCTTCACTTGGAACCTACATCCCATAAATGCAACGGCCAGCACCTCCTTGCCAATGCGCCCAAAGAGCATCTGGCCAACATCATCCACGCCGTATACATGTCTGTGGTTGAGCTTAAATGTGCCCACAATGTAATTCGACCAGGTTGTGATGCCTGCAATGACACAGAGCAGAATAACGCCGGGGATCAAGCCGAGAGTGTCGAATACTGAGGGAAACGAGAGGACGCCGAGACCGATCTGTGTCTTGATCATCAATCCAGCCGTTCCGATCCATCCAACCTAAATATCTCGACGCGTTAGATAAATCTCCCAAAGCAAGCGATCTTGACGAATATCTTGACTTACGCTGCGGTAATCTGGGCCACCTTCCTTAATCTCACCAAAGACTTCGTCATGTTCGACACGGTGTAGCACCGTCTCCTCAGTGACAACACCGGGCTGGGTGGACGATTCGCGCTTCAATTCCTTCTCCATGGTTGCGATTCGGGGGGGAAATGTTAATTGACAGGGCGAGGTGAAGCTGGAGAAAAAGCAAACGGCAAAGGACAGACAATTATGTGCGTGTCCGCGTGCTGTCGCTTGTTGCGGGCTCGTAACAGGCGCAGGGCAGCGGGGTGTTGTATTGGCGGATGCAACATGGAGAGGATACAGCGGCGACGTGGACTTTAATATTCAGCCTTTTTTTTTCTCCATCCGACCAGACAATCGCACGACTGCATTCCTAAGGGCGCTACGAGCGTCGCTAGACTCGGCTTGTGCATACGCTTAAGCTTTGTGTACACTAGGACCCATAGATCTACAGGGAGACGAAGAGCCTCAATCCAGCAAAGATTCTGCAGCTTTTAGTCTCAAACTTTGACAGCTTCTCTTTGTGTAAACTAAACTGGCTAGTGAATCTCGGTAAACTTTGTCCAGAATATGGCGCGAAAAAATGAGACAGGGCCGCTGCCGTCCGTTTCTTCCGACCCGTGGCTCAACACTAGATATTGAAAGCGGCGGCCGCCGATGGGCCGAAGGCGTGAATGGCATGTAAACACAGCCGTGTAGCCGTAGAGCAGCATCAACCCCAGTCAAGGGCCATTGGGCCTATCCAGAGAGTGTCATGGCCATGTTCAACAGCACGCGTCAGTCATCGCTAGGCATACGATTTCACGGCAGCCGCAGCACAGAGCCAAGCGATCGCGGGAGGGATCTGAATCGCGCCGTGTCTGGAAATAATGATGTAATTCATGCGGCCAGAGAAAACCCCCCCTCTCGCGTTACCACGCTCAAATTCAGCCGGCATCGGCCGCCCGCTCCCCGTGAACCGCGAAGAAGAGCGAGCATCCATGCCAAGCGCCGACCGAGTAAGAGGGGAGTAATATTCGCAGGCTAGCATTGTTGCCGATCACTGTGGCTGGCGATGCTGCGCCCGCCAAACTCCCGTAATATGACGTTGCAGCCAAGCCCCAGCCGCCCCAGATCAATTCGCTTGCTGCCCATGGTTGGTTGAGTGTAATTAAGCGGAGAATCACAGTGGCTCTCCCGCTAAAGAGTACTAGTTTACAGTGCTGATTTGCGTTATCTCTGCCTATTTTTAGTGTCGTATCCAGTGTAGCCCGGTACATGGGCAGCGGAGACGTTCATGCTCTACCCACAGTAAGGTTGCTGCTGATGCATGTACTCTGTAGCGAAAGTATATGGATTGGCTACCTCCCTGTCCATTCTGGAAACAGCGTTCTTCGGTTGATGTTTTGGTCTCACCAGTGTGGTTGATAAACGACAAAATGCTGCAACCACCAAACGACGACACAAGGGACGGCAAAGAGCCAGCGCCAGCATGGATGAAGGCACTGCGTTTCGCCCAGGGGTTTCTGGGCCTGGTGGTTTTCGCCATGTCGGCGTATCTTTCTAGCGGAGCGTATCTCGATGTGTTTGGCCTCGGAATCGTGACGGTATGCAGCAAATCTCTACCCCTTTTCACAACGGTAGACTCGTTCTAACAAGGTATTAGGCAATCTTTACATGGCTTGTCATTTCGTATCCTCTGCTTCGAAAGTCCAAATGGCGCCGCTTCCACCGTCAACTGGTCAAAACAGTGCTCGATGCGATCATGGTCATCATGTATCTTGCGCTTTGGGCAGCGACAGCATCACAGCGAGCGTCCATTGGAGGTGGTTGCGACGATGATGATGATGACGACAACAAAGCCTACTGCAAAGCCTACTCGAAAAATAAGACATTCTTCCGCCGCGGCGGCAGCAGCATTATGGCGGCACTGGCAGGTGTCGGCGCTCTAACCTGGTACGTCTTCTCGCTGGGCAATTTCATAGCGAAGTGCTAATGTTTCGCGTAAAGGATCCTGTTTATCGCGACATTCGTGTATAATCTTATTCGACTTATCAAAGATTACAAGACCGAAAGGGAGCTCAAGAAGGGGCGCTCTGCAGATGCCGACGGGGAACAGAAAGTAGATGACACCGCTGGTGGCAACGATCTCGAGGGCGGCTATGCTAGACTCCAGCCGCCGAGTGCTGCCGATGAGGAAGTGTCGCCAGTCCAGCGCTCGACGAGATCGCCGCTTCACGACAACTATCCCGTATCTTCGATTCACACAACACCCTCACCCGTTGGCGCTGCCGGCTTAGCGCCTCATGGACAACCACTGCACACAGAAAGCTCATTCCAGCAGCACCCTGGAGGCATCTCAAATACAGGAGATGACCGTGAAGTCCATACGCTGCATGCCGTCGGCGCAGCGCAGCAGCCTCACTATGGACAACAGGGCGGCTATAACAACCCGGCAACGCTGGCTGCAGTGGCTCCGTCAGCAGAATTGAGCTCGGGAGAGTATAGCCAGCCGCCAACAGAGCTTTCTGGAGATGGAACTGTCATGATTCATCAAGCCGTCGATTCGAATAGAATGTCAGAAATGGTAGACGCAGTCGAGTTGGACGCGGGACAGCATGCGCAGAACTGGAACCCTAGGGGGGCAGAGTTGCCAGGGCAGTAAACTCCTATTTAGATGTATATTTATGCCGTCAATGAATTATTTGAATACCCATTGCTTTATTTGGGAATTGTGTCTGTTGTGCGAAGCTGGCAGCCTGAATTTGGGCAAATTAGCATATAGGGTAGTGCCGGCTATTAGCTGACTAAGTACTATAGAAGCAGTAAATAAATTGCCTTAATTGTAAAATAAATTAGATTGGCTTTGAGAAATAATTGGAGTAGCTTTTGAAGGTAATTTTATTTTAATAAATATTGCGATGATGTAAATGGGAGAAAATAGATACGAACAATGCTCCGCCATTTAAGCTGTGTCGTCACTTGGAAAAAAAGTTCACCCCGCCAAATCGACTGTTCTCAGCGTCGTCCACTACATCAATCCCAACAGCAATTCCCGACAGAGGCAAATTAGACTCATATTTTGCATACCCAGTATCTCTATAGCATATAGAAGTTATAAAATGCCGGTATGCAGCCCGTCCAATACCTACAAACGTCGCTAATAACCGCAGCTCATCATCGTCACTGGCCTGCCGACGTCGGGCAAGTCGACACGCGCAGCTCAGCTTCACAAGTATCTCTCGACAAAGATTGTCGATTCCAAATACCGTCTCCATCTTATTTCCGACGACGCCTTGTCGATATCCCGAACCGTCTACGATCTGTCACCGTCTGCCGTGCCGGCGCATACCCGCTCTGCCAACGCCTCCGAGAAGGATGCCCGAGCCTCTATATATGGCGCAGTCAAGCGCGTACTCTCCGATAAAGATATTGTCATTCTCGACGGCATGAACTACATTAAAGGCTGGAGATATCAACTACATTGCGAAGCCAAAGCCCTGCGAACACCGAGCTGCATCCTCCAGATTGGATGCACGGTCGACCGAGCGAAGCAAGTCAATACTGAACGTCTGGAAAATAAGGACAGCAAACAGCCTGAAGCATACGATCGTAGCAACTGGGAAAACCTCGTCTTTCGTTACGAAGAACCTAATCCGATGACAAGGTGGGACAGCCCGCTCTTTACAATGATTTGGGAAGACGACGAGGCCCAAGCTACAAAGACGTTCGATTCCATGTGGGACGCTATAGCGGGCGAGGGCCGTAAAATTATTCGACCGAACCAGGCCACAGAGCAGCGCGGGCGCGATGCTGATGGCGACTACCTTTATATTTTGGACAAGGAGACGCAAGATGTGGTCAAGCGAATACTCGACCAGCAGGTTGAAGACGCTGGTGGCGAGGTCCGTATACCACTTAGCGCACCAGACCAGGAAGATTTGATAGTTGAGCTTCCTGCGGGTAGAAAGGTCGGCTTGCCACAGCTACAAAGGCATCGACGAGCGTTTATGGGGCTGAACCGGGGAGGAATTGGACTGGAGGCCGTGGGTAACATGGCTGGGGATAGATTACGGGGGTCATTTGTTCGATATCTAAACGCAGCATTTGAAAACGACGAATAGATGGGCGTGTTTCGGTTTGATAGATTAAAAGCATATCTCCTTATAACAAGCTGGATAGTGTTTGGTAGCGAATATCAGCACAACACGAAATTATACACGATACGAATCGAATTAGACGCTCATGAGGTCTGTGCTATAAACAGACGGTCGTTCTCGTATGAAACTGTCCAATCTTAATACGCCACCGCAACGGCGAAGGAGTCATGGACGATGCTGGATGGGGTTTGAAGATGTGGCGGTGCGGGAAGCTAGCAGCTGTTAGTGCGGGACAGCTTGTCCCACGTTAAAGGCGACTGTTGGACGCAAAACATGCAGTTCATGGGCGATTTTCAGGCCACAACCATTGAAATTTTCAAAATTTCTTTCTTAAGAATATTAATTCTGCCTGTAAAGAATTTTAATTTTTAATTAATTTGTCTGAACATCTCCTCTGCCGGCGTGCAGACCGATGTTAATACTTTTCTACCTACTGCGCCACTCACTGACTGACTGGTCTGGCCGCCCGTACTGTGCCTGGCTGGCTTTGCCTTAGCCTGGCTGCGGTGTGCGGTGGTGTTGTCTGCCTGACCTGTTGTCATTGCGTGGCCTGCCAGTTGCCTGGTGGAAGACGGCAGAACGTTCTACCGCCACCACACAGCGCTAAGGTACAGGCTTCCCAGCGCCTTGTGGCCCTGTGTCAGCCACTGAAGCTCCCCTACAAAGCGATGCACCCGCCCTGGACCATCAATGTTCCGCCTCCGCTCTCAGGGCTGCGCGGCCGCTGATTGGCCTGCCACTGCCCCCAGGTCTCCGTTTTCGATGCACCCGGCAAGCAACTGTGGCCACTGTAGCACTCGATTCGCAAGCGTGCGTCAGTTGCTAAGCAAACGCCGCCTTCTTCCTCTTTCCATCCTGCCTTTTGCCTCTTCCTCCATCCTCCTTTGCCGCAACTCATCGACTTTCCCGCCCGGGCCTGACGAAAGTTGCAATCTGTTTTTATACCGCGCACCTCTCATTTTCTTTCCTGTCCCTTTGTGCGCCAGACATCCTTGTGTACAAGCTTGCTCCGTCTGTGAGTGCCTAGGCAACTCAGCTACTCCGATTCCGCACAACAAGCCATCCCATCATCCATCATGTCTTCTCAGCCTGAAGAGCCCAAGAAGAAGGTCAACTTGACGTAAGTTGTTATCGTTTTGGGGGTGTTGCGACGCCCTCCATCCGCCGCATTGCTTTCCGCTTGCTAACCATCCATCCCGCAGTGACCCTTCTGGTGCGGAGATCAAGAACGTACGACCAACCAATCCATCCGCAATACTTCCCGAGGAGCTTCGACTGACTTGTCTATAGGAAGATGACACTTCGACCGCCATTCTCAAGAAGAAGAAGAAGCCTAACCAGTTGATGTAAGCTGCTGCCCACCACGCCCAGCCTCCTCCCGCTAGACGCCGCGCTAACCATCTCCATCAGGGTCACCGACGCCGTCAACGATGACAACAGTATTATCGCCCTCTCCGAGGCCACCATGGACGCTCTCCAGCTCTTCCGTGGTGATACCGTCCTCGTCCGAGGCAAGAAGAGAAAGGACACCGTCCTCGTCGTCCTCGCCGATGAGGAGCTCGACGAGGGCAGCGCCCGCATCAACCGAGTCGTCCGCCACAACCTCCGCGTCAAGCACGGCGATATGATTACCGTCTTGCCTTGCCCTGACATCAAATACGTGCGTACTCTTCCTTTTAAAATCCCCTTCACCGCCTAATTTCCCGTCTAACACCCTCTCTAGGCCAAGCGCGTTGCCATTCTCCCCATTGCCGACACCGTTGAGGGCATCACGGGCAACCTCTTCGATGCCTACCTCAAAGACTACTTCCTTGAAAACTACCGCCCTCTGCGACAAGGAGATCTCTTCATTGTCCGTGGTGGTATGAGACAGGTCGAGTTCAAGGTCGTCGAGGTTGACCCTCCAGAGTACGGTATCGTTGCCCAGGACACCGTCATCCACTGTGAAGGCGACCCCATTGAGCGTGATGAGGAAGAGAATAACCTCAACGAGGTTGGCTACGACGATATTGGTGGCTGTCGCAAGCAGATGGCTCAGATCCGTGAAATGGTTGAGCTTCCTCTGCGCCACCCGCAGCTCTTCAAGTCCATTGGTATCAAGCCCCCTCGTGGTGTCTTGCTCTACGGTCCTCCTGGTACTGGTAAGACACTGATGGCTCGTGCCGTTGCCAACGAGACTGGTGCCTTCTTCTTCCTCATCAACGGTCCCGAAATCATGTCCAAGATGGCCGGTGAATCCGAGTCCAACTTGCGCAAGGCTTTCGAGGAGGCTGAGAAGAACTCTCCCGCCATTATTTTCATTGACGAAATCGACTCAATTGCCCCCAAGCGTGACAAGACTAACGGTGAAGTCGAGCGCCGTGTCGTCTCCCAGCTGCTTACCCTCATGGACGGCATGAAGGCTCGCTCCAACGTTGTCGTCATGGCCGCCACTAACCGTCCCAACTCCATCGACCCTGCCCTCCGACGTTTCGGCCGTTTCGATCGCGAAGTCGACATTGGTATCCCCGACCCTACCGGTCGTCTTGAGATTCTCCAGATCCACACAAAGAACATGAAGCTTGGCGACGATGTCGACCTGGAGCAGATTGCTGCCGAGACCCACGGTTACGTCGGTTCCGATGTGGCTGCCCTCTGCTCTGAGGCTGCCATGCAGCAGATTCGTGAGAAGATGGACCTCATTGATCTTGACGAGGACACCATTGACGTTGAGGTCCTTGAGTCCCTCGGTGTCACCATGGAGAACTTCCGCTTCGCTCTTGGCGTCTCCAACCCCTCTGCCCTTCGCGAGGTTGCCGTTGTCGAGGTTCCCAACGTCCGCTGGGAGGATATTGGTGGTCTCGAGCAGGTCAAGCAGGATCTCCGCGAGAGTGTCCAGTATCCCGTCGATCACCCCGAAAAGTTCCTCAAGTTTGGCATGTCTCCCTCCCGAGGTGTTCTGTTCTACGGACCCCCCGGTACCGGTAAGACTATGTTGGCCAAGGCCGTCGCCAACGAGTGCGCTGCCAACTTCATTTCCGTCAAGGGTCCTGAGCTGCTTTCCATGTGGTTTGGTGAATCCGAGTCCAACATTCGTGACATTTTCGACAAGGCTCGCGCTGCCGCTCCTTGTGTTGTTTTCCTCGATGAGTTGGATTCCATTGCCAAGGCCCGTGGTGGCTCTGTCGGTGATGCCGGCGGTGCCTCTGACCGTGTCGTCAACCAGCTTCTTACCGAAATGGACGGCATGACCTCCAAGAAGAACGTCTTCGTCATTGGTGCCACCAACAGACCCGAGCAGCTTGACCCTGCCCTGTGCCGTCCCGGCCGTCTTGACTCGCTCATCTACGTTCCTCTGCCCGACGAGCCTGGACGATTGAGCGTTCTCAAGGCCCAGCTCCGCAAGACCCCCGTTGCCGACGATGTCGACCTCGGCTACATTGCCTCCAAAACCAACGGCTTCTCTCCTGCCGATCTTGGTTTCATTACCCAGCGCGCCGTCAAGATTGCCATCAAGGAGGCCATTACTGCCGACATTGAGCGCACCAAGGCTCGCGAGGCTGCTGGTGACGAGATGGAGGTTGATGAGGATGCTGAGGACCCCGTTCCTGAGCTGACCAAGGCTCACTTTGCCGAGGCCATGCAGATGGCCCGCCGCTCCGTCTCTGACGTTGAGATTCGCCGCTACGAGGCCTTTTCTCAGCAGATGAAGAATGCCGGCCCCGGTGCCTTCTTCTCGTTCCCCGAGGATGGTGCTGCCGCCGGTGGTGCTGGTGGCGACTCCTTTGGTGACGCCGGCAACGATGACGGTCTTTACGATTAAACCAGTTATTTTCCGGACCAAGAAGGTCCCACGAACTTTGTATTTTAGGACGCGTCAGGTCAGTTGCGAGAGGTGATGCTTTAAATAGTGAGAGGAGGTCTTCGCGCCCCTGGCTGCAGAGCCGCATTGTTTTTACGTCGGACATGTTTCTCGCATCGCAAGACAGCTCGATAAGATTAGTTTGATAGATGTGCAATTGATTCCCTTATGATAGATTTTATGGCTGTAGCTTGTGTATGTGTCTGATTGTGTAGTGGTTCTAGAATGGGCATGTCGATGTCTTGTCCATGGCAACGACACAAGTGGTGGCCATCAATCGATATCTTGGCGTTGACATGGAAGTATTGACACAGGAGAAGTGAACTTTACAGTAAATAGAAAAATATATTTAACAGTGTTACAAAAAATACAGGCCAAATAGACGCCATATGTTTATGAAAACAACAAAAAAAGACTGAACAATGTGTACCAACGCCGTGGTCGAGCAGAGATTCCCCTTGGACAGTTTCGCAGCGTCCAAGCAAAAGAGATGCTGCTCGCCATGATTATATATTTATCATGATTTGATTTGATTCTTTTCGCTTCCATTCGATTGTCCGTTATCCGGGCCGGACATGTTTATGTGTATTTTTTTGTCATTTCTCTCTTCTTCGTTGCTCTCTATTGCCGATGTTTCTTTGATGTTTGTCGAAAATTCGTTCAATTCACTCGTCCGTTGGGCTCTTCAATCTCGCACACGTCTTTAAGACACTCCCTCGTCACGCTGAGTACCTCGTCCACGACGACTTGCGGCACAGCGAGCGCCGACTTGTCTGCCGCTGTGCCGTTGACGCCGTTCGCTTTCGGTTTCGACTTATTTGGAGATGTGGACGACGAGGATGCTGCCGAGGCTTCTTGGATATCGTCGAGGACTTGTCGGAGTAGCGCGGGGAAGGTCTGTACTTGGCCGGAGCGGAGGAGCGTGAGGGCGTGGTCTTGGAGTGCCGTGGGCCAGTTGGAGGCGTTGGAGTTGAGTGTGTGGAGGAGGCGTTCTTGGATTCTGGCACGCACACAGCTAGTTAGCAAGAGTATTATAACAATAAGAGTAGCAGAGAGAGGCGTGGGAGCAGTGGTGGTGGTGGTTGTGCTTCCGAGGACAGACGTACTTGGAGACGTGGCCGTCACGTAGCAGAATTGTGTTTATTTGCGATCGCAAGTCGGGATCGAGGGTCGCGGGAGAGTATGTCGTCGCCGACGCAGGCACTTTGACTGGTGTAGAGGGCTGCTGGGCCATGATGGGCGCGAAGGAGGTGATCTTGTGCCTGGGTGGTGGTGATGATGGGGTGGGTGGTGGCGGGTTAAGCAAGTGTGTTGGGCGGAGGAGGCGGAGGAGGATGTTGTTGTTCTTAGCGATGAATCGGAAGATGAAGAATTCTTGGGTTTGAAAAATGATTGGAGGTGTTGAGATACGGCGTCGTGAAGAGGAGAGACAATGGCGATGGTGGTTTTGAGGCTTTGGTGGTTGCAAAAGCTTTGGAGCTGTTGTTGCGCGCTCGCAGGGTTTGGCGGGCAGCGCTTGCGGGGAGGTCAGCGTCTACAGGGCCAATCAGGGCGCTGTGGTTGCAGAGGCAGTTCTTAGTACAGAGAGCGGTGTAAGAAAGGGGTAAATAAATAGAAATAAATATTTGTGAGTAGATTAATTTATATTAAGATGAGAATAATTTATTGAAAATGTCTATTATTATGGCAGTAAAGGCTATTTTGTTACTGTTGATGGTTGTGTCTAGATACTAACCTATGTACTAACATAGTGTATATTGCGTTACGTGTGAGTGGTCAAGGCTGCGATAATGTGCCAAGAGTTGTACTGAAATAATGCTTGCATATATATGCTTGTATACAAATAGATAGAAAATACAAAGAAAGGCATCGATTCTGCTCTTTAAAGGTAGACCAGTCATAGTTGAAAATGGTAGCTCGTCCATCATATATGTAAAGTTAAATAGACATCTTCATAGACAATCCTCAGCAAGCTGATCCCGTCGTGAGAATGCGCTTCGCCTCCTGGGCATATGTGCATCCATTGTTCACCTCGGCGTCAGAAAAGCCCGCTGCCCACATCATCACGCCGCCAAACGCAGAGTCGCTCTTGTGCTGGGCCACTAGTGAAGCCAGAGCACTCGGCTGGAGAAAGTAGCGTGCGCCGCTCTGAGTTCCCGTGGCTCCCAGAGGAGACGCAGGCACACCAATAAAGATTTTAGCATCGGCAGACGGGCTCCCCGCAATGTTCTTCTTCCACTGGTCAAAGTTGACTGTACCGTCAACCGAGCAGCCAGGGTTGTTGTAGAACTGAACAAACAGATAGTCAAACTGCGCCTTGGTGATGATTTCGTTCATGTTGGGCTCTGGGATGGGACACTGCGGCGCGCCTGTGATGAGCATCTGGGACGGCGCCGAGGCAAAGTTGGACCGCAGCTTGGCAATCATGAACTGGTAGAACTGGTTGCCCGAGTTGCTCTCAATGTCAAAGTCGAAGCCGTTGACAAAGGCGTCCCCAAAAGGTCGTGGCACTGTGCCCTTGTGTGAAGCAGAGGTTGGGCCGTACGCATCCCACAAGTTCTGACCAATTGCCTCGGCCTCTTGCTGTGAGGAGAGCGAGTAGGCACCAGACGCACCACCCAGAGACATGATGATCTTGATGCCAGCCGCCTGGCATGTGGTAATGGCAGACGCGAGCTCATCGCAGTTCTGGGGCTGGCCAGTTGTGGAAATGGAGCATGATTGGCCAATGGTGCCCGCAGGAATGGTCACTCCGTTACCGTATTGGTAAAGAAACGAGAGTACAAGAATATCGATGCCAGAGGACGATTTGCAGTATGATGCCAAGTCGTTGTTCTCGACGACACCACCGCCGTTCTGGCCCCAGTACACGACATTCTGATGGCCAGATGTGCCGTTGCTAAAGATGCCGGATTGGCGGGTGAAGACTTGCGGAGCAGCTGTGGCAGCGCCAGCAAGGGAAAGTGTAAGAGGAAGGAGTGAATGCATAATGGAAGTCTCTCAAAAAGGAATGTATGAAAAGTAGGGAGACAAGGCACGGCCTTGGTCAAGTATATACAAGAATGGTGGAAGTTGGTGCTGGACTAATGAGTCTTTTCGAATATGTTAGTGGGGAAACATGGCCATTTTATAGATTATATTCGGTCATAGAGGCTGTAGATTCTAAAGAGTACGAAAAATCCGTTTCTCGTCAGCATCATGCCGTTTCGCATAAACGTTCATGGCTTGAAACACCACCATCTGATGAAAGGATGTCCGCTGACTGTGCCTGATGCCCAGCAAGTCTAGTCTATGCAAATCTTGCCCACCGTGGAAAGTTCACCCGTAGTAAATGGCCGCTTTAGGTTGGTCGGTTTATCGCTGGACCTGGCGATCTGCAACGCATCGATAAGCCCCTCGTTTCGGATTGCGTGGGGGAGAGAGGGATGCTGCAACGTGACAGCAAAATGGACGAAATGTTACCATTGGCAATTACATATGACTATCAAAGTTGTAGATCATCGGCAATTTTTTATTATTGATTATGCGCACGAACGAACATTGTAGTCGGTGAGTGAGTGAGCCCACTTACACCAGCTCTCTGTACAAAGTATCCCGAAATCAAGTACATGGCCAAAGCTGCTGCTCATAAGGTGTATTATTGGTATTATTGGTATTTTAATAATTTCATCTTACAAAGGAAATTGTTTAATATGGTATAATATCCCCGCTGGCAATTCGCTTAGAATTTGCCAATGGTAAGTAAGGTAGGGTTGGGTGACATGGCCTTGTCAGCTTCGCACTCCTGCTTGCCAAAGAAATGTGTCCAGGCACTGTAGGAAATAACATTCTTCAGTCTATCTTCGTTCTCAAAGTCCAGACCCAGGTCGCCCTTGGGGTTGGCACCCATGGCCCAGACCAGGAAAGCGTGCTGGCCGTAGATAAAGCGCTCGTTGCACACGCTGGGGTAGTCAAAGTCGAACACGGAAAAGGCAATGGGGCAGATATGTGTGTTGATGGCCTTGTCGCCGGCAGCCGAATAGTACCACGCATACTGGCCCTCGGCACACATCTTCTCAGGGTCGCTGCACAGGTAGTTGATGTTGTCGTTCTTGGCGGCGCCGCAGCGCTTCTGCATCTCGCCCAGTGTCTTGGCCACGGCGTCACGCGTGGGCTTGTCCGCCTTGCCAAAGACCTTGGTGAATGTATCCTCGGGCGCCGTGCCGGCAAACTTCATTGCCTTTTCAATAATAGCAGGGCAGCTCTGCGTCATGAGCGTCAGCTCAATGCCACACTCGACAGCCTCCTGGGGTGCCTTGCTGCCTATATACAACAAGTTAGAAAGCCTGTAGGCTTAAGAAATAAGGAAAATGTATACCAGGGTTCTTGGAATCAACCATAACCATCTTGCCGTCCAAGCGCATGGCTTGGATCTTCTTCTCCTGCGCCGAGGGGGCGGCGGCCGCCAAAGCAGCGAGGCTAGCAATAATAAAAGAAGACTTCATTTTGAACTAAAAACAAATAAATTAATCCTCTCAGACAGTCAAGTTGGAAAATTTTTGCTTTTCAAGACGGGTGAAATTCAGGCGCTGGGTATAGTCGGCCTAGAGGGTGTTGGCTGAGGCCTAATATAAGTAGCCTGAGCAGCCGCAGCACTGACATCGCTAACGATGCTATTTTGTGCTATTCTGGATGTTCTTTTTATTCATTTGTCTCACTTTTAACCTTACTTCTCAGAATTTAGCTTTGGCGCAGGCACTGGGGCGGGAAGTTGCAGCTGTCTAGCGTTGGCAGCGTTGCAATAGGCGCCAAAACTGGACAATTGTGTTACAGCATCAATACCCTTTTGCACTTTGTTTCTCGGGGTGCGGTAGCTTCCGCATCTGCGTAAATAGAATGCAGATGCGGCATAACGTAAAATCAAGCGTGCGGACTGGGCTCACTCTCTACGGGCGAGGTGCTCGCCGGGTGTGCTCGTCGCCCAAGCGAGGTTACAACTTGCCAACGAAGTTGTTGCTGGCTCCGACGGTACATAGTTCTCGATGTGGGTTGTTGCATTTCGATTCCAAACTCGTAGTACAGAATCAACAGGCTGTGATGTATAAGACTGTTGAGGCATTGAATCGTGCCGAAGAGATCGATCATCTGAATCACTCGCACTGAATTTGGATGCGCCTTAGACTATCCACAGGATCTTCAACGGAGATTAATAATGATACAAGTATTTGTTTTACTGATAAGCGTGATCAGTCCCTACTGCAGGAGTGTTCATCCTCCGTCGTAGTTCCGCAAACAAGCTGGGACCATGCGCAAACGCTCCAAATACAACCTGTTTGCACAACGCAGTTACCATACCTTTAAAACAAACAAGAGCTTCCAACAGAAGCCTTTGTGAAATGAATTCTATGATAAAGAGCTGGCCCATCGCGCCTCGCAATGTGTCATGACGCTCCCTATATTACTCCATGTCAAATGGCATTGTCGTATTCAGGTGTTGCATCCCGGCGACGATCGCATTACCTCTTATGGGTATTAGCGAGGGATTCGAATACAGCTTAGAGCCTGGCTGAACTGTTCTGATCGGCAGAGTTACGCTTGAGTTGATTTGTAATTGTCTTTTATTCGGAGAATCGAAGAAAAGTACGTCCATCTTTCATCAGGATGGGCAATAGAATTGGTTCATTGGAATCAGTTTGTATTATAGCTAAACTTTTATAGATAATCTTTACCATTAATCACAGTTTCGCCCTGGCCTGGTCTCCAACTTGATGTATTGGCCCACGGCCGAGGATCTTGGTTGTCTCTGTACCACGTCCGAATAGCATCAACGTTTCGGCACTCGTGATTATTCTGAAAGTTGGGCAGAGATACATGAATGCATTTAAAGGCTGCAGAATCCCAACCAAATAAAAATCTTGGCAAATTAATTCATCTGTCAATCTGCTTTATCTTTTTCTCCGCATTATTATTACCATGACTGCCACAAAGAGCGTCCAAACTCCCCCGCAGCCTTTGTTGGTGTTCACCAACATCAACAAAACTATTGCCGCTCACGCTAAGGAGCTTATTGAACCCCATGGTGTCTTTTTAGATAACCTAGTCAAAGAGGTTACTCCCGAAACGGCAACATTTCAAAATGTGGCGGAAGCGCTGGAATATAACACGCCTAGATTTGAACTCTCCTTCCTCAAATATGTCTCCCCCGACGCTGAGGTTCGCAACGCTGTGACACAGGCCGAACAGGCTATTGAGGCTCACACCAACCAGTCTATGATGCGGGATGATGTTTTCAGACTATTGGACGCAGTCTATCAAAAGCGCGCTTCTTTGAAGCTAGATGAGGAAGCTATTAGCCTCTTAGAACGGCAGCATCTGCAATACCAGCTGCAGGGCATCGCTCTGGCGCCGGGTGCCCAGCGTGACCAACTCCAACAGATCCAGGATGAGACAGGAAACCTGATCGGAAATTTTATAAGAAATACGCTACAAGAGAATGGCGGCATCTGGTTCAGCAAGAGTGAACTTGATGGTGTTTCCGAAGATGCGCTCAAAACCTTCCAAGTTGGGACAGATGAGAATGAAGGTAAGCTGCGAGCGAATTTCAAGATGCCTCACGTAACTGTAATTCTTGGCAATTGCCATGATTCAGAGACAAGAAAGCGCATGTATATTGGTAATCAGAACAAATGCAATTCGAACAGCGATATTCCTAAAAGAATCGCTCTCCTTCGACACCAAAAGGCGCAGCTCTTGGGCTTTGAAACTCACGCAGCCGAACAGCTTTCACAAAAAATGGCCAAGACGCCCATGAACGTTCATGTGTTTCTCACCAAGTTACAAGAGAGGTACACACCTAGCGCGAAACAAGAAAGTGAAAAGCTCAAGAGTCTCAAAGAGGCTGATCTCACCGCTAGAGGTGCTCCCGACGACGGCCGTTTCTATCTTTGGGATAACCAGTACTACACTAGGGCACTCAAGGAAGCCGAGTATAATATCGACTATGTAGAGTTTAGTCAGTTCTTTGCACTGGACAGGACCGTTGCGCGCATGCTTGGTATATATGAGGATCTCATGGGATTCCGATTTCAACGCCTCAACACGTCGGATCTGGAGATGCTTTCCCCTACAGGAAAGGCAGAAGATGTTATATGGCATGACGATAACATGGTATACAGCGTTTGGGACGAAAACGAAACTGGCGGTGGATTTATCGGATATCTATACATGGACTTACACCCTCGACCCGGAAAATTCACAAACGCCGCGCAGATGGGCATCCGAACTGGATGCACATTCAGCGATGGGGCACGCCAATATCCTGCTACGGCTCTTGTGTGCAACTTTTCTCCACCAACGCCGGAGAAGCCATCCCTTCTCAAGCATATAGCGAGCTGATTGCGCTATTCCATGAGCTTGGTCATGGCATACACAACTTGGCGTCAAAGACACGCTATAGCCAATTCCACGGCACTGTGACAGCGCTGGACTTTATCGAGGCTCCATCCCAGATGCTAGAAAACTGGTGCTGGACACCTAATGTTCTTCTCGCCCTCTCCGGTCACTGGAAGACAGGAGAACGGGTGCCTGAGGACTTCGTCTAGAGACTTATTGCCACTCGGTATGTTAATGATTCACTGTACAATCTGAATCTCGTCCACATCAGCCTGTTTGATATGGCGTTGCATGACCCTGAATCGGAGGCTGTCCTAGACGCACTTAATATAGCATCTCTATACAATTCGCTGCGACTGTCGACTTGTTTGCAGGATGGTGGCGAAGTTGAAACAAAAACTGAGTAATTACTTCTAGTGAAATGGAGATGAGCCTTCTGCTAACACCCCAAAGTGACTGGGCTTACGGCCATTGCATATCAACACACCTAGTCGGACCATATAGTGCCGGATACTATGGATATCTTTGGTCGCGTGCGTATTCCAATTGCACGTTTTCTACATTCACTCAGAATCCTATGGATGGCGCCCTAGGATGCAAGTACGGGCGCTGTGTTCTTGAGCACGGTGGCCGACGCGATGAGACGGACATGATTGCGGAGTTTCTTGGCAAGAGACCTAATACGGAGGACTTATTCTAATATTTCCAAGTTACATATCGCTGAGTGGCACTATTAGCGCTTTTAAACATGTTAGTTTAAAATTGATTTCACTTGTTGAATGTCCCTACATGGTCGCGAGAGCGATTGTGCTGCGACGCGGCTGATCTCTCTCTCGTAAGTATGATGTTTATAGGGAAAGGCAGACTGCGGCTTCCCTAAGTCCTAGATATTCTTTAAGCTTCCATTTATATCTTTTCCCTTCCATTTTCAAGTGGTTGGCCCACATTAGACGGGCGAGCACTTACAAACGGCATGTAACACCGGGCGCAATCTGTTTGTTTGCGTTTGCTGCCTTTCCTTTCCGAAAATAGTCGCTTCACTGCACTAAGGGAAGATTCCAATTGTTTAAGCGGGCGTAACGGCTATTCACAGTGCCTTTACCAACCTCTCGGTGAATGTATGAAGCCCAGTCTTTAACTGGAGGGTGACCACGATTGTTGGCTCATTCAACCATTTTCTTCAACCATTCCCACGCATAAGAAAAATGTCAAACAACGCAGAACCCGGGCCAGATGGTGACTTATCTCCAGAGAAAATCCTTCTAGAAGATTGCATAACCCATTTGAAAGCCACCGACCCGACCGAGTGCAATAACCGACATCAACAATTCAACGAATGGAGCGACTTGGAGTTCAAGCGCTGCCGTCTCGAAAGAGACGCTGCTCGTCGATATCAAGCGATACTCATTCTTGAGAATAAGCTTCATGACGAGTACAAACGGCAAGATGATGAGAGAGAGCTACGTAAAAGAGACATTATCAAGTTTATGGAAGTCTTTGACAGGTATTATGAAGCCCTTTTCAATTCTTCGATGCTTAACTTGGTTTGTTTGCACTTTGGCGAGGATCCAAATTTGCTCGATTGGAAAACTGTGCTAGGTCAAGATGATGACCTCCTTGAAATGGATGTTCGTGCTGAGCTCATCAACATCGAAGCTGACGAAGAGATGGCGGAAGCCGGCGAGGATAAGGTGGAGGGTGCGGTTCTACAGGAACCAGAACACTTGCCTGTCCCAAAGCCAATCAATAAACTAGCATTTGGTTTCTCAAGAATGGACAAAGTACCTCAGATGACTTTGATGAAGCCGACAAAAGCGACATCAACCCCATCAAGAACGCCTGAGCCGGAGAAGCAATTACCCGTGATGCCACTACCATCAGGTATTCTTGCCATGCTTGGGGAACAAGATGATAGTTCATTGATTGGACGTGAGCCAGATCCAACGACGTGTGAAAAGCCATCTGCACTGTATATGAAACCGTTCGCAAAAACAATACAGGCAATAACTTCATCACAATCGTCAACCCCGAACCCAGAGATACCGCCCACGATAGCTGTGCATGGGCCAGCGACCTCACCATCAACGACAACTGCCCTCCCTATGACACCCCCCAAAACACCAGCTGTTAAAGTGATGAAGGTATCACCGCTTGGCAAGAGTTCATATGTCAGTGCCAGTCTTGCTAGTCCCAAGTCAGACTCAATTGAGGTACCAGCCAAGCACCACGCTGCAAATCTCTAGTTGGCTGACTTGATCTCTAGTACCAAAGCAAACGCACCTTGCTCTTTGCAAATCAACGGCCTCCAAAACGTCGCAAGCGTACGCAACGGAAGCCACTCACAGACCGGACAATCCCATTTGCCGAGGTATACGATAATGGGAAAGCACACCACGAAATCACCGAGTTCCCTCCAGGCAGTGGCCATTACTATATATTTCAGTGCAAGGTCCCTGGCCATGATGTCTCCTTTAGCAAGCCTAGAACACCCAAAGACGGTCAACTGAGACGCTCCGCACCGATCAGGAGTGCTGGTGTCCATTGTGGTCATCGCCACGGGACCGATCGGAGCGCAAAGACTGCGATTCGAGAGGTTGGGTACTGCGTCACAGACTGTACTCCTGCACTGAAAGAACTCAATAATGCTGCGTTCAGCGCTAGATTTTGGGCAACTTACAAATGTGAAGATTGGCCCTATGATGGCGTCCCGAAGAACATGGGGAAACAAACAAAAGACACCAGCCGCGAAGAAACAAACGAACCATCTACAGCAACGCAAGGTTCCACGTTCACTACTACGAAGCGTCGAGTAATCTCTACAGCGGAGTATTTTGCTTCGCGCGGTGCAGTCTCTTCGCCTAAGCGATTGGAGACGACGAACAGTGTTCCCGAGACTAAGACTACTGAAGTCGCAAATCCAGAAGACAGTGACGATGAGCCTCTGGTCAGGTTGAGGCTGAAGAGATCCGACAGGTATTCCATGTCGGCAACAACCAACAGTGAGCCTCTATATCAGAGTCGAAAAGGCCTCATCCTCCCAAACCCAAATCAACCCCGACTTGGGCAACTTGCGGTGACCAACGGCCGTTCGAACGAGCAGACTGCAACGACACATCTGTCTATACCTACGACATCAAACACAAATTCGGGGCCACCTCTGCGCCTGTAACGGGGCTAACAAGTGGTGCGCTTTTGAAGAAAGATTACAATATGGAATGATCCTTCCGAGGGTCTCTTGGGTAACACTTATATTCAAAAAGTGCATGGTTATTCCAGAGTTTCTTTATTGGGTACCTTCAGGCCTTCTTGATTCCGCGAAGAGCCTCCCATTCGTGTTCCGTCATGGAGAATAGAATGCTATCATACCATTCCCGATCATACCAGATCACCTGCCGCTTACGTCCTTCCACGACAAATCCCATCTTCTCATACAGCGCCGCAGCACGTGTATTAAATGATGCCGTTGCGATGCTTACAGTGTGCATGCCTGCGTGACGGAAGCACCAATCTAGCGCCCAATTCAGCGCCTCGGGTCCATATCCTTGGCCCTGGTACTCTTTCAGCAGCAACAGCCCAAGAGCAATATTCCTGTGCTGGGCCATGGATACAGAAATACCATCTTCTCCGATAACGAGCTCGCCAATGATGGTTCTCTTGGAGGATGCGTCTACAGCAGGGAGGCAGATTAGCAGAGGCAGAACAGCGTCGGCATACCCAGCCATGACCGCTTCAATCTGTTTCGGACCCTGTGGTCGCATAAGCATGGTCATTGCCAAGGCATATGTTTCGGGGTCATTGAGGGACTGCTGGAAGAAGTCTTTGGCGTCTTGGTCGTCCTTGTCAAGGCGGATGAATTCAAGGCGCTTTGAGCGGTATGTGGATTGCACGTTGTGAAGCATATTGAGTGTTGTTCTCTTGACGTATGGTATAAGGTAAAGGTAGAGAAAATTATGAAAAATGAGAATGAGGTCGGTTTAACGAATTTTATAAGTAAATGGTGGCGGTGATGCTGTGTTGATGGTTTCGGTAGCATTCTGAAAGAGGAAGCTCGGTTAGATCTAGTTAACTATGACTCTTAAACTCTGACTATGGGCTTCAATCCAGCGCGCTCTGCATAATAGAATCTGCACAGAGATGACTCAAATTGGAATAATATCTTATTTGAGCGACCGAATTTCGTATTTAATTATGAATTACTTAATTCATCTCTACTTGGTTAGATCGTGCCCCGTCACCTACTGCTTATTATCAACAGTGATCTTAATCTTGTGAGTAGTCAAGATAGGTTCCTCAATACGCTTGTAAAAGGAATCCTTGGCTGGGCCAGCCTTATTGGTGGCCAGCGTCGTCTCCGTTTGCGCGTAGTTCGCCCAAACGGAAGAAATCGTATCCCATGCCTCAACCCAGTCCTTGACGTTGCCGCTTTGAACGTCACAAAAGGTGGTCTTGTCGATGCAGTACTTTGCCAACGTGTCTTTGTACCTATTAACATGTTAGAATTTTGGTACTAATAAAAGCATTAATTGGAGATTTACTCGTTCTTCTTCGACTTCTTGTCCGCCTGAATGGCTTGGAAAATCGTTGTTTCCACGGTCTGCAGGCGTTTACTCTTGGCCACCTGGAAAGCTTTGGCCGCACCGATATTCGAATGCATCATCGTCTTTGAGGGAGATGGGCCAAATGCTTTGATTGCTGCTGCCGCGTGAGCTGCAAAATTCTTTGGGATGGAGCGCGACACAAGGACGGCGTCACTGTAGTCAGAGCCAACGTTGGTAGGAGAAGCAGCGACTACACCAGCCAACAGGAGAGGCGAGATAACATTGGACAGGAGCATCTCTACTAAGAATAGAAAGATAGATTATAGAGTAGATAGAGCAGTAAGGAATAATCAAGGATGAGATCCATGGTTCTAGAGCTTGTGCGATTTGAGGATATTATATACACTTGCCAGCAAACGTGCTATCGCTTTCAGCGCGGTATATTTCCATATTAACTGACTAGTAGCATTATCTCTTACCCTAATGAAACTCATCCCAAGATACGAATCATCGTCGAACTGATGGTGCGGCGCTAATGCATAACACAACATTCATCAAAGATCGTCCGAGCAAGTCATAACCCTGTCGTGTATTCTCTCCGCGCTAGTTAAAATCTCCAGTTCCGGACCCCATGTAACCTCCATAGCGCGACTACAAACGCTATGCTGTAACCTACATCGCCTCCAAAACCACGCAGTTACGAGTCAAATGGGCCAGAAGGTCTGAGCGCAGACCCGCTAGAGCGCCCTGAAAACAGTTATCCAAGCGCTGAGGCGAACCCCCTAAGGGGGAAGACGAAGTTACGATATATAAATAGTTCTAAATTAATATAATAAAAACAAGCACGCCCGTTTTGCAATTCGAAAGACCAAAATTTGGCGTCAGGGTGCCAAAAAAAAAAAAAGCATCGTTGTCGCATTTGCCAGCAAGAATTTCCACTAAGCGCCGTTGATACCTCAGGGCTCAGACGCTATTTAGTTACAACAGAACGCCCAAAACAGCCTTGTTTCTCTCTCATCGCCACTTTGTCCCCAAAATCCAAACCTAATCCTCCATACTACCTCTTATATTCTTCTTCAGTATCACTTTCTCATCCTCCCCGTCCTCCTCATACAATACTCTGGGCCAAAGAAAATGCCATCAGAATCTCAGCTTCGCACTCTCTCTACGACCCTTCTCAATGCCTGCAAACAGGGCTCCCTGGCTACCGTCCGTTCAACGGCACCGATTCTCTACCCATCTGCAACTCCGCCTACTTCTAGTGCCGTGATGCCACTCTCATATGCCCTTGCTACAGCTGCTCGACATGGTCGTGCCGATGTACTAAAGTATATGCTCACATCGCTTCCCGCGTGTTCTACATCACGGCGGCCTTGGAGCCCACTAATGGACCCGTCAGTATCTATTGATAAGGCATGGGAAGATGCACGATATAGCGATCTCGTTATTATGCGCGCTGTTCAGTCTTCGTCAACAGGCGTAGTTCAAGCGCTGCTGGATGCTGGCATGCATGTTGACCAAGAGATTGACAAGGTTGGCACACCACTCTCACTGGCTATCGCAACGCAGAATGTCGAGATGGTTCGTTTCTTACTTGGAAGAGGTGCAAATGCCAATGGAATGGAATGGCTACCGCCAGTGACATTCTTGGCCAGGGCTGCTTCATTCAAGTCCCAGCAGATTTTGCTCTCGCTATTGGACCATGGGGCCAAGGTACACGGATCGTCGGCTCTGTATAATGCTGCAGAATATGGACATATTGACAATGTAGAATTATTGTTGGCTCGCGGAGCTGACCTTGATGAACTTGCCATGATCGATTATGGTCTAAAGAGTCGGCATAATGCAGGCACAGCGCTGCATGCAGCGGTGGAGAATGGCCAAACTGAGATAGTTCAAATTCTACTGAAGCGAGGCGCTAAGACAGACATCAAAGACGCGGAAGGAAAGACAGCAAGAGATCTTGCTCTGGAAACAGAATGTGCTGATATTGTGCGTGCTTTCGATGAAGCAGCCCAACAGAGCTGAACGATGGAATGCCAACACTTCCTGCAGTTAGCGAAATATTTGTACTATTAAAACTTCGAAGACAGACAAATCCCAAGCGTCCATGTGATAAATGATGACTTCCAGAGCAATTGGTAACGCTTACCTCGGTTTTACAGGAAGTTGTCTCGGAAACCGGTCGTTTTCGTTGTTTGGCCATCTTACTCGGATAGCTTGTGGAACATCGTGATTTCGATTCTTGTGATGACATATCAAGCTACACACCGAATTCGACCGAGGTAAATTTACATAGCGCGGATTTCATTGTTTTGCACTACCTAGGATCTATTCGTTAATATTCTATGATAACTTTGGCCGTTCCCCTTCACTGAATGGTAAAGCGTTCGATGATACTAAGCTCCCATCGTTATAATGCCGCCTCGGATGTACTAGTTCCTGAGCTGACGGACAGACGGGTATCATAAGCAGTTCTTAAGACACTATCAATGTGTAAATGCAAAAAATGGGATAAAATGGTCCAGATTTAGTTCCGAGGGGGAAGAGTGTCGCACGGCATTTCTTGGGACCGCTATGGAGCCAAAACACAAAAGCGAATGCGCCAGTCAAATGTTTTACTGTCTGTTTCAATGAAGAGTCTTATAGGTTTAACGGCAAAAGTTTTAGTCGTGAACCTCCGATGGGGATTTCGCACTTGTCACTTGTTTCATGTTACACTGCGCAAGCACAATCGCCAATGTTGGCAGCGTTGCATCTTAGTCAAGATCTCTCATGAACCCATCGGTAGGCAAGGGTACACTGCGATGGAACAGTAAAAATAGCTGGACGGCATTTTTCACACAATCAGCATTATCCAATGTGTGTACAGCCAGTATGTAGAGTTACAAATGGAGGCGGGTTTGCACGATACATAAGAAAGGTTCGAAGCCGGCTCTGGAGATCTCTTGCCTTTTCCGTTATCATCGCTTGATCGACTCTGGTAGTCTAGCATTCTACCATCAGTTTCAACGCATTTCACTCTACCTCTTCATTGATACCTGCTCTCTCATACTCTCAAGGCGAACCGTCAAGATGCGCATGTCTACACTGGCCGCGGCCGTGCTGCCCGCTGCAGTTCTGGCAAACAGAGTCGCTCCCTTAAACATGCGTAACACTGCCATTAAGGGCGAATACATTGTTCAACTATTTGATGAAGCCAGCTTAACTTCAGATGATGGCGCCATGAAGATCCTCAAAGAAGAGCCTCGATACACCTGGAAGAGCGCTATTAACGGCTTCTCGGCCACCATGGACGAACAGACACTTGAAGCTATGCGCCAACACCCCGACGTCAAGCAAATCACTGAAAATGGAATGGTTCACGCTGCTGGTTGGGCAATCCCTGGTACTGAAGGCCCCATTGTCCACCAAAGCCCCAACCCTGCCAACGACTGGCTCAAGCAGGACAAGCCTGTGTGGGGTTTGGCCAGATCATCAAACAAAGCCCCCAAGGGTACCGTTTATGAGTACCACAAGTCCCAAGGTGAGGGTATCTGTGCCTGGGTCCTTGATACTGGCATTGATGCTAAGCACCCTGAGTTTGAGGGTCGCGCTGAGAACGTCTTGAACATGATTAAGAAAGAAGAGAACACCGACTTGAACAACCACGGCACTCACTGTGCAGGTACCATCGGATCCAAGACATATGGTATTGCCAAGAAGGTGTTGCTCAAGTCGATCAAAGTTCTTGGTGCCAATGCTAGTGGCCCTGATGACGGTATTGTTGAAGCAATCAACTGGATGCTAGAAAACCTTCCCAAGCGCGATGACTGTAAGGGTGGTCACGTTGTCAATATGAGCTTTACTGCGGATAACATTCACCCCGCTATGAAGGAGGGTTGTGCCAAGCTTGTCAAGGCTGGCTGGCCTGTTGCTGTTGCTTCAGGCAACAGCAACCGCGACGCCAGCAAGGATTCTCCTGGTGATGAGCCTCTTGTTTGCACAGCCGCTGCCACCGACGCTGTAAGTTTTCTAGTCTCCGGTCGCACAACCTACTATGCTCTATTCTAACAACAAGTGTATCACAGAGCGATAAGAAGGCGTCCTTCTCTAACTTCGGCAAGCTTATTGACCTCAACGCACCTGGCATGATGATCGAGTCCACCGTGAAGGGAGGAGGCAAGCAGCAGATGTCAGGCACCTCCATGGCTGCTCCTCACATTTGTGGTGTGGCAGCCACTCTTATGAGTGAAAAGGGAACCAAAGGCCAGGAAGTGTGCAATGAGCTTGTGAAGATGGCGCATAAGGATGTGTTAGGAGGTCTGGGCAACGGAACCCCTAACCTGCTTCTGTTCAACGGTAACCCCGGCGCTAAATAGATGACTAAATGCTGCATGGTCTGGTACCTTACAGTCAGCTGATCTCGTCATGTCCAATAAGCCTTACTATTAATTAACCTTTCTTATCATTTCCGTGCCTCTTTATTTGTAGATATGCAACGCCCTTAATCGGCGCCCATCGTCGTGCTATAGGCTGATCGTATCCACTGTATTTTCCGATTCAGAGGGCACCATGTGGCTCATCTTTAGTTTCGCCTCTCAATTCACCTTGCCGCCTATATCTCCGGCGCTATATTTATTGCAATGCTTAAACTTGGAAATATTTTACACCAATGGAAATACTGTAAGTCAACTGGCAGTGCCTTGCCAGCTGTTAATCGGGCTGCCAGCTGTCGGCACTGCCCACCGGTCGGCACCTGGCCTGACAAAGTCTCCGCCCACGTGTCAACCCGTCCGCCCTGTCGCCTCTTTTCTCCCCCGTTAAACCCCGCTGACGGGCTTCGATGGCGCAAAATAGGGAACAAGCCGCGGAGCTGAAGCTGAAGATAACGTTAGCGCATCGCCTGCGGTTTAGCCGCTTCCAGCGAAACGTCACGCACTTCTTCTGCTTCCCCTCCCTCTCACAACCACCTTTCACCAAGGGCCGTGGCACGGATGGCAGCGCTGATACCGCTTCTATGCTTTGCAAATCGCCATGGTCAAGATTGAAAACGATGCGACGGGGCTTTGGAAGAAGCGATGGGCCCCCAAGGTGCGGTCGGGATGCCTCACATGCAGGTACGGCTGCGCACGTTGGCCGCTTTTTGTGGTCGCATTCCCGTCTCTGAGACTGGTAACTAACAATACATTGTAGAACTCGCCGCGTGAAATGCGATGAGCAGAAGCCGTCGTGTAAGCGATGCATTCGAAGCACCCGACAATGCGTCTACGACCGCGAACGGCAAACCGAGCTCCAGCGATCGATCGAGCCGACAATCCTTATCCAACCTTTGGCCTTTCAGGGCCCCTTTTCCAGTCCACCGTGCGTCCAAGAACGAAGAACATTTGAAATGTTCCGGGAAACAGTCGTCCCCTTTGTGTCGGACATTTTCGATGTCGACTTCTGGAATATTGTGACTCTGCGGGCTGCTTACATGTATCCGGCAGTCTGGTACGCCAGTCTTGCCATGGCATCAGCCAGCAAGGTGGCCGAGATAGATGCCACAGCGGATGAAGCAGCAATGCAACTGCGACAAAGCTACGAACAACAAGCACTCACCTTTTGTAGCAAATCGGCTCGACACCTCACACAAGTCAACTACAAGAACCCCTCTGTAGCAGATCAGGAGATGCTGCTGCTTACATGCAATTTGCTGATTGGCTATGCAAATCTGCGAGGAGACAAGGAGCAGGCCATGATGCATCTTGCCAACGGTGCCTACTTGTCGAAGAAATGGAAATACTGGGAGACAGGCCAGGGAGCTCCGTTACAGCACCGATTGAAGGACTGCGTTGCGCCAGTGCTGTCCATAAACCTACTCTTTAGACGCCTTGAAATGCAACTCTATAACTCATTTCAACAATTGCCCAAGGATCAGGATGTCGAGATGGAAGACAGCATCCCCACCGATTTAACACCATTTACATCCGCCACAGAAGCTTACATGCATCTGCTACCCATCCAACGAGAGCTACGCATGCTAATGAGACTTCCTCCACCAAGACCTGGTGCCATTGCTATTTCCTTCATGGCCCCTGGTTGTGAGCAATGGCGGCAGCCGTTTCAAGACTGGCGCACAAAGCTGCATCTGTACGGCGCCCAGTTGGCTGAAAAAGAAAAGATTGGCAGCGTACCTGGCGACGAAAAAATACGCATGGAAATTCTGCACATCTGGGAGCTTTGCTTTGAGACCTCCCTTTATGTAGACATGTTGAAAGGACCGCTCGGTTGGGACGACTTCAACACAAACTTTATTAACATCGCAGACACCTGCGAGAAACTGCTCGAGCAACACCGCAACGAGCGCCTTCGAGGCAACACAGATGCAGCAGTGGCCAACTTATCCTGCTTCATGTCACTAGTCTCCCAGCCCCTCACGTTTGTTGCGTCGACGTGCCGAATTCCGAGCGTACGGCGAAGAGCGCTGCAGCTCGTTAAAGAGCACCCCTTTCGAGATGGTGTGGCGGCCGGTGCCGATTTCATCACGCTGTTTGAGCGTAAGATTGAATTTGAAGAGCAAGCTGCCAAGTTGGCGCCACTGGAAGGCGGCTGCGACTGTGGCTCAAATATATTTGTCTGCAATTCGCACCGAGTCCCAACAGGCATCGTGGAGTTTCGCCCAGACGGCTCCATGTTTGCTGAGATGAGAACAGTGCATGATGAAGCCATGAATCAACTTGGCAAAATGATACCCCTTGTACTCCCTACGAAAAACTATGGATGAAAAGATCACATAACTCAATGTATACATATATGTACAAAATAACACGACATATTTTACAACAAGCTACTTTCACGTCACTGTTTAGAATAAGCAAAGTGAAATAAATGTCAAGAGCGCATTCAACTGTAATTATCATTTTTATACCAAATAGTCAGATATTGCTGCGTCTATTTATAGGCCAGCTAGCAACTTGTGGCAATATTTGCGTGAAAAATCTCTAATTTTATGCGTTCGTCGGCATATCATACACTTTCGTTAACTTCTATTTACTCGTTCCAGTGGGTGACGAGCCAGAGAAGGGCGTCACGGACGGTCGACTCGGTGACGGTAGCAACGTCGGTAAGAGTCTCGCCGCTGGCAATAAGCATCTGAGCAATCATGCCAGCAGTGTTGAGAAGGTTGAGGTCGTTCTGGGGTCTGCGCCAGCCCTCGTTGTAAGGAAGACGTTCTTGCTCTGCATTGAATTGGTCAGTCTCACACATTGTTTACAGTGAAAAATAGGGAACAGAAAGACTTACCAAAGAAGACCTTGACCCAGCTCTTGTTGGCGTCACCCTTGTAGATGTCACCAAAGATACCCATGATGAGCGCGCTCTCACCGTTGCTGATGAGCTGCTGCTTCTGGCCGTACTTGAATTCCGGGTCGCGAGCCTGCTCGGTCTTGACACGGTACATTCTAGCCTTGCCGGCAAGGGCAGTAGTGATGACGTCAGTGTCACCAATCTGGGCCAACCAGGAATCGAAGATGGTCTGGTTGAAGGAGTGGTTGTTGCCGGCAAAGTTGTCCTGGCGAGACAGAGAGCCGTCGTGCTCAATGGCGTTGTGCTTGATAAGAGCATCAAGGTCGAGGGTGAAGAGATCCTTGCTCAGACCCATGCCAACAGCACCGCCAAAGAAGAGGTTGGAAAGGTCGTTGTCGACATTGAGGACATCAGAGAGAACCTTCTGGAGCATGGGAAGGGTGATGCCACGGCCGTTGTGAGGAAGGAACCCGTGGTTAGCGAGAGAGTTGAGCGCAGGGCAAGGCGCACGAGCATCGTTGGGGCCCGCGGGCTTCCATTGCGAGAAGTCGACAGGCTTGCCGCCGGGGAGAGCAGCAACTGTGGCAAGAAGGCCAGAAGCGAGGACGGCGCGCATGCTAACCATTGTGAACGGTGTATGTGGATTGGTGGGAAAGCTGGTATGGGAGATCTCTATCGGCCAGATTCGTCGCTCTCCCGCTCGTGGGGCGACGCCAATATTATAGCTTGCATCCCATCAGCGCAATTCGTCGTCGCTTGGAGTACTCGATTCATTCCAAATACTTGATGAACTCTATGCCTCGGCTGACCTATGAGAGAAGGGGTGATGCTAAGCATCGTCAGCCGCTAAACAACCACCATGTGGGCTCTGCAGGCACGACAATGCAACGTTCTTCGGACATTCCTCCTATTCTCCGTTAAATGTTAGCCTATCAACGGCCCAGCATCTGATCTAGCGCCCGGGGTTCGGTCACAACGCACTAAAACGGCAGCAGCTTAATGCTGGCTCCGTCCTCCAATATCACTAGTCATTGGCTTTTCGACCCTGGCCGAGTTTCGACTCTCCTCCATATCCTGTCGGCCAACAAGGCCGAATTAAGGTTTTCTGCTCCGTCGGCACGATAGTTGCCCGACCATAACCAGCTGCGCAAGGGCAAGGTAGAGAATTTACAGCAAAATCAAACAGCCGCAGGGAAGATCGAAGGGGTAAATTTTGATCGTGAGTTCGGCCGAAGCGCCTTGTCCAGTCTTCTGTCACACCCTGATAGAACGCATCTTCGGAGCTTATTCTCACTAGTACAACTATTGAGGCTATTATGTATGAATTGCATCAGTATTGTATCTATCGGCTCGTCGGAACGTTACTTAGTCGACCAGCCGTCATTTTCGTCTGATGTGAACTTGTCCCGGCTTTGAGACGAATTATTATGTCAGCTGCATAGATCGACTGGCGTACTTGTGGAGATTTCCGTGGCGCGCCGAAATCGATATTTTCTTAATATCGGTCCGTCCGGAATAGGCAGAGAACTTGATTCGTTGCAGGATCTAGACTCTGGAGCTCAGTGGATAACCCTCCGCAAAAAGTGCTTCTTTTGGCAGTCCGCTAAAATACACGGTACAGTCAGGTAAATAAACAAAAGGAGATGCCTAAAAAGAGTTTTCCATTACTGCCGCTGTCCATTAAACTGAGTACTTTGCAGCAACAATATTTCCCTGCACCTGGTCCTCGGTCTTGTCCGAAGGATATCCGCTCGTCATGGCGCCCTCGTAAAACGTTCCCTGTCCACGGTCACTATTGTCTCCGCCAACACCCAAAACAATGGCCCCTTCCTTGTTCATGCGCTCGTAGCCTGCAGGGCGAGCTCCTTTATAATACGTTTCCAAAGATCCCGTCTTGGAGTTTCCACCACGCAACGCCCATTGACCCTTCATGCCCTTTAGCACCGCCGTTGTAAACCGGAATGAGATGCTCGGGCTCTTTTCATTGGGTGTGTTGCCAATACCTGCGAAGAGACCATTTTCTAGATCAGCTCTGATCCATGGACCTTTGCCAGCTCCGTTTCCATGGCCTTTACCACCACTTCCAAAGTTGATCGTTTCCATGTGTGTTTTGCCATTGTCTTTGGTATTGACTTCAGCATTGCCATAATCGAAACAACACTTGCCATTATAGTGTGTTCCGTCTAGGACCGCATACATTCCCTCTGGATCATCACCTGTGGCTGTACCCTTCGCTTTGTTGTTGCGATATCCATAGCTGGGTTCGATAAATGTTCCATAAACGTTGTGTCCGTTCAGCCTAACAGGAGCGGCTGTCGCATTGGCCAATTTGTCGTAGCCTCCGGGCTCTGGACCTTGGGCAGCTCCACCTGGAGGTGCTTGGGTGAGATGGTTCCCATGTCCGGATTGGTCATAAATGATCGTGATAACACAGTTTGAGCCCTTACAGAAGGAGTCTTGTGTACCTGCGTTTGCCACGCCGCCAGCTGTCAGAGGCATGATTTCAGACTTGGCTCCGTCGGAGTCACGGGATACTTGATAAAGTTTGCCATTATATGCGTTGTACAAGGCCCGAGTAGTACTATGCGCTGCAACACATGGTGTTTTCCCAGCAGCGTACAGATCACAAGGCCCTGCCTCTGCGAAAGCCATAATGCTGACGACGCTAGCGATAGCCAGACCTGAGCGACTCATATTTGGTGATCAAAGAACTAAGAAGTAAAAATTGTAAAAATTCATATCATGAAAAACCATCCTTTCAACTCTGCGATGGCCTATTTATATTAGGACCTTCGCTTAACCGTCTTGGGACAAGATGGGTGTAAGCGCTAAGAAGGGAAGTCACCGAGTTCAACATAGCAGGTGCTATACGAAGTCTGTATGGGCAAAGTTGAATCTGGCAAACGCTTGAAAAGTGTCCGATGACCAAAAGTGTGACGGTACCGCCTGCTTGTACCTATTTTAAGCATCAATTCTGCGCTCTATGTCGCCGGTGCGAGCTCATAGGTAAATTTAATACTCGCCGTTTCTAAAAGGGCCGATAAACAAAAGTACCCGATCCTGCAACCATTGATCTGAGTACTGTACAATCGTCTCGATTATATCAATGCCATTTGTGGATACTTGGGCCCATACACAAACATTTATACGTACGCGCTCTCCGACTAGAGCATAGAGCCAAGCCAAGCCAAGCCACCAGCTAGCCTGCATCGAACCACTTACACCGTTGGACCATGATTGGTTTATATATCGGCTAAGTACAGCTGAAAAACGTAATTAAAAGGATTAACTGTTCTAAGGATACGAAACGGATTATTTCATAATACAACAAATAGCCACTTGTCTAGGCTCCGCCTTGGTCTACGGCTAGAACTGCCACCAGTCATTCTAACAGGAGAGGCATAAGCTAGATGGTCAATTCGGAGCGCTGGTAATAATTGGATCATTCAACTATAAGGCAATTTAGGAATAAAAAAAGGCTCTATTAAAGGGCTATTAGCTACGGGATAGAACCGGCTGGTTCACAACCAAGTTGAAAGGAGCGCCCCCAAAAATGCGCCGTTGTTTGTCGTGTTAACAGATTGTTATCAGGCATCTGTGTAATCAAGCTGTCAACTGCGAAAGCTCTCTGCTATATGTGAGTGAACTACTGTTAGGCCAACAGCATAGCCTCTGTCGAAGGGATGCATTGGTTATCCAGCAACGGCCCAAGTGCAATAATAATGACCACCGGGATCCCGCTATCCGAGCATGGAAGCCACCACTACTGAAACACTGTGCCTCTACCTACCTGGGCGCTGCTTGTTTTGGTCGCCAAACTTACCCAAACGTCTGGCTCCTACATTCCTAGTTGTGGTACTGTGGGAAAAAATTTTGGTCCCCCGTGTGCCAAGATTGAACCAAGAGTCTCTTCCAGTGGAATACTCGGTAGAGATGCGGTTGGGCCTCTCGGAAGAATTCCAATAGTCCTGCTGTCTCAAGGGATACGCTAACCGTTGGCCGACGTGTCCCGGTGGAGTGGTTACAAAAGAACGACGAAGCTAAACAGACAGGCTGGGCGGACAACCGAACGACGACTGCAAATGTGTTCGACACGCCCGGAAGAACTGTATCAGCTATGAGCAACAAGGCCCACAACGTTCGTTGACAAGCTTTACCTGTAAGTCAAGACGCGTCGCAGCGGAGTCTGGCTGGGAGGCAGCAGGCATGTGAACTGACAGGTCCGATCGCTGGCTAGCTCAAGATCCGCCCGTTGCGTTACGGCGTATCCGGTAGAGATCTACACATTATGGGTAAGCTGCCCTTCAAGCAGGCATTCTATAGTTATTATAGCATGCCAGATTCTACTACTAAATAGATGCATCCCCATTAAATCATATAGTATTCTGGACATGGTGATCGAGTACTACGATATACCTTGTAAGACTACACGTCTGCAGAAGTCGTTCCGGTTCGGCAACATCGATTCCACAGCTGATCAGCGCATCTTGTCTTGGCGCATGAGATCTGGCTCATTTCGCGACAAAACGCGTCCAGCATACAGTGGCAACTCATTAATTAACCTCCGTCCCGTTTGACGCGTAGAGACGCGGAAGGCAGTAGGAAAATTCCAAATCTGTTAAGGGACTAGAACACGCATATTCGGATGGGTGGCAGGGCGAAAGGTTTCTCGCCGCGTGTTTCGCGCACAGGTTTCGCGTCTGTTGTGCACCGTCGGGCCGACACTCAGAGGAAACGTAAGAGAGAGATTGCTGAACGTCGAGTCCATGCTGTAGTAGCATTGAGGCATAAATTGTATCTGATAATTCTGTTAATGTAGACTATTTGCATTTTTCCACAAATTAGGTTATATATTCTTTGTGATTGGGGCTTGATATTGTTGTACACCTAGAATCGGGTTCTCTCGCTGACTTCTCATATCGATTTGTATACTTAAATAACTGTCCCTTTAGATATAATAGCCACGACGGACAATACAGCGCCCCAAAGCGAATGCAGAGAGATGATTATAAAGAAGATATGTTACAGGCATTTAAATTAAATTAAATTAAATTAAATTAATAAGATGGTAGTTATATAAAATAGCAATCATTTTAAACAGGTGCAGTGTAAACTTTAGGGTAGCAAAGTCGACTTGACTACCTATGGGCCATTCTGAAATTAGAAATATCTAGAAACCATCGTGGTGGTTCCCAAATAGGCAAGTAACTGCCATCCATTGTAAAACTGATTTGGGTTATGTGGAATGCGCTCTCCGTTGCCCAGGAATGAGAACTACTAGGCTGACACCGCCAGACCAAGAGGGCACACGCAGAAGTGCCCAACTTTGTACGCCGTAGACGCGAAATCGGAAATGAGATGAGGTTAGTACTTGCTAGGGGCACCGTGCGTTGATTCAAACCAGTCAAGACGCGCTTTGTCATGCAAGCTGTTGTGAATGGCCAAGGAAGCGCGGACAACAAGATCGCAAGGCTAACGTGCGATTTTAATAGAAGAGACAAAGTTTAAGACGTGAAAACCGTGATATTATTTCAACCTATTTAAAAACCGCCAACATACTATTAAGTGTATCACATATGCCAGATATTGTACAAATCCCGCCGAAGGATCTTAGTTGGCGATGGAGCCGATAGCAATGCAAGGGAGAGCAAGGTTGATGAGACCACCAACGGCAACGGCCTGGGAGCGGTTGCAGCAGGCAACGCGGCCCTCGCAGGTCTGTCCGTTAAGAAGGGCACCACCACCGATGACTGGAATTTGTTAGTATAAGGCTCAATACTAGGCAAATGAATGCGATTGTACTTACGGGAAGCGACGTCAATGGGAGAGCAGTCACCGAGAAGAGAGCTGCCGTCACCACCGAGAACACCGTTGGCAAGACCTGCAAGGAGGCCAGACTGGTGAGGACCAATATCAGCAGTCTCGGTGTTAATCTGGCGGTTGCAGCAGTTAAGCTCCATGCCGGAGCCACAGTACTCGCCCTCAGCGGGAGTAGGCTCGGGCTTGGCACTGGTGGTGCTGCTGCCTCCAACGTTGCCGCCATCGCTGGTAGTGCAGATGGTGGACATGGTGGTAGGAGGAACAGAGCTGCTGGTAGGAGGGCAGTCAGTGGTGGTAGGAGTGGGAGTGGTGCTGGTGGTGCAGTCGGAGTCATCAGCGTAGACGGTGCCGACGGCAAAGGCAAAAGCCGTAGCGATGTAGGTGAAAGAAACCATTTTGGCTAGAGGTTGGTAGATGGAGATCTAAGAGGAGGAGAGAGAGAGCAGAGTGAAGATTGTGACTTGAACTGATGCTGAAGAAACAGAAGCGAAACTTTGGTCGAGAGATTGGCCTCTATATATGTGTTTCTCTTCTCACCCTCTGCGGGTCGCGGGATTTCGAGCGCATCCTACTTCAATCCTCACTCGCCCAAAAACATGCAGGCTGGCCAAAGGTTGCGCAGCGACCTGACTTAGACTGTGTGCTGGTGGAATGTAGATGGGGCGTCACTAGCAATCTAGACTGGTTGGCAGCACGCGAACTTTCTTCGGCACGGTATGGTGGCGTTTTTGCCGCATGTCTCACTATAGTGTTCAACCAAACCACCCAATCAGCGCATCTGTGTTCCTGGCACTTGACATCTGCAGCCCATCTCCACCCGTAAAGGTCGCTATAATGTATGTACAATAGCCACGGGCTTCATGGTTCCGTCTACCGGCCCCGCCCGCTGTAATCTGGCTCGCCAAGCAACACGCATACCTTTGCAGGCCTCTCCATCCGCTAGCCAGTTGTCATAACCACCAGATAGAGTCACAAATGCGAATCAAATGCATTGTGCTGCATCCATGGGAATGACCTTGTTGCTACTGCGCCAGACAAGGCCTCGCCAGCCATGTGCTAGAAAACAGCATCTCTGTTTCGAGAGTTTTCTTTCTTTTGAGACACCAGGGCTCGTCTCTCAGCGCCGAAATTTTTTGCGACGGCGTTTTGTAATATCAACCCTGGATCTACGCTACCCGCACCTGTCATCCGAGATATCCTCCTAGCGCGGATGATCACTACGAGGGGACCCAGGCTCTCTAAGAATAACAAATCTTCGCTATGTTGAGTCTTGATTCCAGCAAGTATCAGTCGACTATAGTGTAGCTATTATGCCTTGTATATGAATAAACAATTTTGATACCTTCCGGGTAGATCTGCTATTGTTTGTTCCAACGCGAAGCGTTTCACTCAAAAAAATCCTGGTCTATCAAGACAAAACTACAATGACCTCCAGAAAAATAAAAGATATTGTTTATTATACTTGATTACTGCGGCTTCTATATGAATCATTACCGAAAGAGTTGTCTGCAAAATATCCAGCAATTCACTTCGCCCATGAACGATAAGCTCTCCTCTTTTCTCACTCAATGAGCCCATTAATGGATATCCTACAATTCTATTAGCATACTCTCTTGCCCACCTTTTGAAACCAATCCTTACCACGGCAACACGATTTGTCATGTATTTCTTAATATTCGGTAGAAATAGGCATGCAATAAAGCTGATGATTCCAAACGGAATGGTGGTGTACCAGACGTACTTGAGCGCGTCCGCAAAGGCCCACTGTCGCGCCATTGTTGCCGCTGCAATGATGCTCGGCGATGAGCCAGGGATCTGGGGTGCTAGCAAATCAAATGCTGGTGATGCCATCGCAGTGACAAAATCCACAACATTCTCCTTGGGCAGGCCGGCACCAATGGATGCAGTTACAAGGGCATTGGGAAGAATGGCCGAGATCTTGTCGTGAAAGACAGAAAAGTAGATTGTCGTTCCAACAGAGCCTCCAACAAACCTTGAAGACAGGGATAGAGCAGTGGTTGTACCAATGTATTCATCTGGACAGGCATACAATGCCAACGTCAATGCAGGGACCACCATGGCACCATTTCCAAAGGCTGCCAAGGTGGCCATAGCAATAGTAAATCCAGGGTTCTCAGGTGTCGATGCGACAAGCGCTGCGGTAAACGCCGTCATGATGACTGCGACGGTCAAGAAAAGCACACGAACATGACCTCCGGTGTAGGACATGGCAGCACTAACAACACAGGCGCCTACCAGAATGGCAATGGGATAGCACAAAGCTCTCACTCCCAACTCAATCGCGCTTGTATGGTACACGTTCTGTAAAACGACCGGGAAGAATCCAAGAATGGAGTAAAACTCCATTCCCGCGATGAAGACAATGATGAAGGCCAGCGCCACCACTCTCTGGCCTCGAAAGATGGACGACGGCACCATTGGGTACTCGTGTGGACCGAATGCCTCCCATAGCGGAAACAGAATCAGCAAGATGATGCCTGAGATCAACGGGCCTAGCACACGCCCGTCCATCCACGGGTACTGATAGCCACCAGCTTGTAAGCCGACGAGAAACAGCGTCACACCACCAATGGAAAGGAAAGCGCCAACATAATCGATGCGCTTGAGGATTTGAGATGTCGTGAGACCCAGCGAATTCTCGCGGCGAGGTGGACGGTAGCAGAGCACGATACCGATGAATCCGATAAAGTTCCAGATGCCGCAGATACAAACTACGAAAGAGACGAGTCAGCCATTAATTTTCTGAATTATGAGAAAACAAATGATGAAAGTATACTCACATGTCCATCTCCATGTCGAGGCTTGCTGGCAAAGCACAACGTACAGAACTGCCGGCATAAACGGGACAATGGAAAACGTAACACATGACAATGTGACGCCTCTCCATCGCTGGGGTGAGATTTCAGCAACACTAGAGAACTAGAGATTAGCACTCATTGGCAACAAGACAGAATGGAAAATGGTGACCATACCCTGCTAGAGCAGTCAGCTCACAGATGCCAGCTCCAATGCCGCCAATGGTCATGGCAACGATGCCTGTAGCAAGCGATTTGGCAACTCCCATGACAATGCTAGAAATTAGCAGACAAACTGTGCCGAATACGGCCATCCAGCGTCTACCCAGCATGTCTGTGAGGTAGCCGACAAAAGGGCAGATAGCAGCTACGGCGAGTGTGTTGGCAGTCAAGAGCCAATTGGGAATGGACGTGTTCAAGTCAACAGAGATGAAGTCGAGCGCTGGTGACACAAAGTAGAGCAGCATTTGTGAACCGACATAGACGATACATAGTGCTGCAACGGCCACAAGACGGGTTAATGTCCATGGAATATCCTCATAGTGACCACCGTTTGCTTCAACGTCTCCCTTCTTCTCGTCGACTGACGCATTGCTTTCGCGGTGCTTCGTCATGGTGTGTTCACGAATCACACTAGAACGAAACAAGGATAAAAGTGGTTTAGGTTTAACAGATAACCCTTACGTTGGAAGGGTCATGCGCGGCGCTACCTCTGAATATAGCTATCGAACAGATGAGAAGGGAACTAGCTCTTCATCGTCATGGGATGGTTACTTACATGCAACCGAGAGGCGCCTTTGAGCCGCCCTTGGTCCAGCCCGTTCTGTGGCGTCCGTTGGCTTTGCCATTACACCCTGCGCACGCCGCCTTCTTCACAGCCTTGTTGGGCCGGCGGACAAGTTTGACGGGCGCATATTGTGGCGGCCCCTACATGATTTCTTGCGATTACATTTCATCAGGTAATGCTGGCTGCGCCCACTGCGCGATCGTTTCTTGCCTTGTCCTTGGAGGTAAAGCCTTCGCTGCTGCACCATCCGCCACCACGACGCGCGGTGCGGCCATAGGGCTTTGCCAGGGTCAACTTGGTAGAAGCTACTGTAATACCCTTTCAAGGACTAGCACGGGTGTGCTAAACAGCTACAGTAGCTCGTTCCACCGCTACTACTGTATTAGCTTCACAGGCGCTAGTTGCAACCACTGTAGAAGGTACTCTTAGCGTATGACAGCCACTAACCCCGCATTCCTACGTGGTAGGCTCACCTCTTTCCACAGGCATTTGGTAGCTTGTTGGATGCGCGAGTAGAGTAATTGTGCTTTGGCGTACAGGGGTCAGGCTAACGCTTGAACAAGATAGCCTTAGTACAAGTTTTGTTTGTACCGCTTGCTGGCTGGTTTATCGAGGCGTAACATGGTGGTCGGCTGTTTGTTTCGCACTAATCCTAGTGTGATGTAAGTGGTTGAACAGAGACCATGTCGGCTACATGCAGCTTGTTCACCTGTGTTACGCGACGCGGCGTATGCTAGCTTGGCGAAGAGGGTGCGCCATTGGCAATAGTGTTTTGTGAAAATGCTGTGTGAATAAATCGGACACAAGGAAGCCAGCTCTCGGCCGCAGCTGCAGGTCAGATGCTCTTGGGCGCGGAGACGAAGCTCTTCTTGGAAACTTGTTCGTTTTCTGTCTTTTCGCTGTCTTATTTCGCATTTGTATCATTGCATCTTGAACATAACAATCGTTCGTGTCATTCTGTGCCGGTATGTCTTTGCATTACATCGCGAACAACCTCTCTGAGGCGCAGTTGAGCTCGACTTCTGCCTATGCGCCAGCATTTCTCGCCGGTGTAGCTTCACACCAACTTTTCTTCCGCTTTGGAGAATGGGACCTGTATGCTGCGCAGCTCATTTTCGGATTCATAGCGGCTAACGTTGGAGGAGCTGTTGCTCTGACACGCTACTGCCCCGAAATTGAGTTGGCTGCTGCAGTCAAAGTGGTTCCGTCATTGAGCTCTATTGCGGTCGGAGGTATCGTTTCGAGCATGCTTGTGTACAGGGCATTTTTCCATCGCTTGAACAAATTCCCAGGTCCCTTTTTGGCTCGCCTCTCGAACTTTTACATTACGTGGCGTTCAGTCAGCAAATTCCAGCTCTTTAAAGACGTCCAGGAGCTGCATAGACAGTACGGTGACATTGTTAGGATTGGTATGTTGTAAAACACAATACTACGGTCCTAGGATGAACAACCTAACAATGCAGTACAGGTCCATCTGAAATCTCAATTGCAAGCCCTGAGGCTCTTGAGAAAATCCACTCGAACCAATCTCCCTGCGTCAAAGGACCTTGGTATAATGTTCTTTATCCGGTCGTATCGCTACAAATGGTCAAGGACCGCAAGGAACATGCCCGGCGTAGGAGAACATGGGACTTGGGCTTTGGCGCCAAAGGTGATATCAACCCTCTAAGAAGATATCAAAGAAGAACGATCTAACGATGTGGTAGCCCTCCGAAACTACGAGCCTCGCGTCTCGATTTACACTGACCAGCTCCTGAAGAAGGTTCAGGAATCCAAAGACACCCCCTTGGACATGGCTCAGTGGTTCAACTTTTATAGCTTTGATGTCATGGGTGACTTAGCATTTGGCAAATCCTTTGACATGCTCAAAGATGGCGTCGTTCACGATTATATGAAGGTTGTTCACACCAACATGATGGCAATTGGCGCATTCACCCATCTCATATGGCTTTTCCCCATCATCAAGGCCATTCCGCTCCTGAACCGCAACAACGAACTGTTTCAAAAATGGCTCTACAATCATGTGAAGGAGAGGCGTGATGTAAGAGATAACTCGATGACAATTTCTTTTTTGCTAATTTGATAAATAGCGAGGCTCCGCGGTAGAAGACGTTTTTTCGTGGATTCTGAAGGAGCACGATGCCATTGAAAATCCAACGAAGAAAGACATTGTTGATCTACATGGTGACGCCGAACTCATTGTAGTCGCAGGAAGGTAATGTCAAACTAATGATTCCGCAGTTTATAAGTAAAGTTATTGACTTCCATTCACCAGTGACACCACTGCCGCAACGCTGACATGTCTGTTTTATGAGCTTTCACGCAACCAGGAGGTTGTTGAGAAACTTCAAGCCGAAGTCGACGAATTCCATCGCGATAATACCGACATCAATGCCGTTGGCCTTGCGAAGCTCGAATACCTTCAAGCTTGTATCAATGAGGCACTTCGCCTGTATCCTCCTGTTCCCTCAGGTGTACAGAGAATGACGCCACCTCAGGGTCTACAGATCAACGACGCGTTTATCCCTGGTAACACAATTGTCCAGGTTCCCACGTACACCCTGCAGAGAGGTACGCATGGAAGCATTTATGTTCACGAATTATCGCCAGTTACTAAAGAATGTCGCATAGATGCACGAGTCTTTCCCCAGCCGGATGAATTCATTCCAGAGAGGTGGACTTCAAAGCCAGAGCTCGCACCCAACCCGGCAGCTTTTGCGCCGTTCTCCATGGGTAAGGCGAATATTTAATTGTTGATATATTCCCACTAAGTGAATTATTTTAGGACGTTATTCTTGTGTCGGTAAACAGCTCGCCTTGATGGAAATTCGCTACGTCACGACCTCCATCCTCCACAAATACAACTTGGCATATGATAGCTCGGCCGACCAAGCTTCCTTTCAGAAGGGTCTAGTCGATGGTTTCACTCTAGCCTTACCTGTTACACCAATAGTTTTCTCCGATAGGTAAATATTATATGAGGGTAAAGTGCATGGATTAATCAATCAACAGTGGAGACGGTATCTTAAGCGACATAAGAAGTGATGCGAGTTTAGTGACAGTACAACCCTTTTTGGACCGTTGACACGGTCTGAACATCTCTCTCCAGCGTACAGTGAGCGCTGCGGACACCCATACCACTGTTTAATGGCTCCTAACATGGCAGCCCTTCTAGGCCGTTGGCGCACCTGCTGCTTGTGATCATGAAAAATATTCTCGACGCTCGTGTTTCGAGGCCAAGAGCATCTCGAGTGTGATGCACTGCAAATTAATAGGCCAAGATTCTTAGCCTTGACAACAAAAATTGCTCCTGCGTCCCGTATGCCGATCGTAATTCAGTCGGGTGTGAACCAGTCTGCCGCTTTGCAATCAGAAACCCGTACCCATGGCCCTGTTAGCCAATCAGCTCTGCGTCTTTCTTGGAAATGAGCTTTGTTCCCTTTTTGTTGCCGCTCTCCCTGCTGCGGCTATTTACGGGTTCCCAAGTATACAGCACTAGCTAAATTTGCCGTGCATCGGAAATTGACCACGGCATTGAATACAGCCCAAGCGGTTGGCTCAAATATGATATAGCCGACTATGTTTACCATCATCCCAACCCAATCCCCCACTTACCCCGCAAACTACAACCGCTGGCGTGATCGATGGCGGACCGATCTTGACAGCAACAGAATGAGCCAATACGAAGCTGGTGATTAGTATTCATGCGAATTGTCGATCAATAGAGTTACGAAGAACTATTATTTCCAGGTATTTAGAGTTCTTTGCTAACTAGTCGTTGTGTTTCCTCTCCACGGCAAGTCTTGAACATGCATCCTGAGGACGATCCCATTGTTGCCTTAGTGCCACGCCTAGTGGGTTTTCTGCCCGCTACTGCGGAATTTCCCATGTTCATCCTACGCGCTAGCTATAGTTCGCCAATACGATTCAGCTGAGAAATACACTGCTGCTCATTCCACTTATTCTGAATCCTACAGTTCTGAAAAAGAAAAGGTCGTTTATTGTACTACTAGGACAATAGCAGAGACAAGAGTACATGGGCCTCATCGTCATGTATTCAGGATATGAGACACGCGCTCAACCAGGCGCAGTGTAGGATTACGCCCACCTTGTTTAACAATCCAATTACTGGGGCTGAGAGCTATCTGAAAGCTAATTTCAGCTGGGGAGAACAGCATAATCTGCTGCCCTACTCGATGATAGGGCCGCGGAACTTGCAGTTGATTCTGGCGCTGAGCCGACTGTTCGCGACCTGGATAATTCCGCCATACTTTTTCAACAGTGGCGAACTACCGTTGCTTCTCGGACTCACTGACTCTAGCCATGAGTTTTCCTACGCGATGCGACACATCATCTACTGAACCACGTTATATTTGGAGCCAATGGTGTGCAGGATATTGGTATAAGTGGGTTAAATCACTAGGTCCAGTTAGATTAACCGTAGTCCTGAGCTCGCAACAGACTCGGCAACCAATAGAGAAGGAGTGTAGAAGATCGTTTTCCCGAAAATACAACCGTTTCTCATATCATTCTGGGTTAATGCTTGCCCTTTGCTTTTATAACCGGCACTTGTTTTGACTTTCTTATCCGACCCAATCGCCGCGAGGTCTGCTAGCTGGCTCTGAACGTCACGCTTCCAGCAACAAAGGTGCGGAACTAGCTCGCGTCTTTGACCCACGCAACATCTCGCCTAGTGGTTGCATTATGCATGTCTGTACACGGTACTTGCATGGATGTATTTGATGCGTTTCTAGACCAGATTGTTACCTCACCATATAGCCGACGTGGCCATCCTTCTTTGGTTACTATTCTTACTTGCTAGCGGAGGCAATCGCTGCAAACAGGGAAACAAAACAAAGATGCACTATGATTATCCGATGGATCCATTAAAAGACTAAGGATCATGTTTAAAGGATGTTACTAATAACGATAGCTAAAAAGGCGGCCCTCCTCTCCCATTCTTATGATTCTTATGCATAATTTCCTGCCACATACCAAACGTGCAGATAATATTCTTTTCTACATACGAGTACACCCGATATATCTTAATCATGGTCAAAATTTCCCCATCTTTGCTCCCGCTTCTCTCTGTGGCGGCCGCTTGGCCTACTGTCATGGAGATGGATATGCATCTGAAGCGCGCCGCCACTTCGGGTCGCCTCAACACCGGTGCTGGTCACCCATTCCCATCATTTGATGCCAAGGCACAATATGTTGATGTTGGTCCTGGAAGTGGCCATGAATTTCGCTCGCCTGGCCCTAACGACCGTCGCGGTCAGTGCCCTGGCCTCAACGCTGCTGCCAACCACGGCTTTTTACCTCGCAATGGACTGCCCACCATCGTTGATAGTAAGTGCTTATACCCACTGTTAAGGCATCTCATATTAACTATTGTATTAGCTATCACTGGTTTGGAGGAGGCTTACAACATGAGCCCAGAACTTGCTGCTGGTCTTGCTGCTATTGCGGTGCTTATTTCTGGAGATATCCCGACCCTTAAGTGGTCCATCGGAGGCGGCTTCCCTTCAACTTTGCCTTTAGTTCTTTCTGATCCCAAGGGGATTATCGGCTCCCATAACAAGTACGAAGGAGATGCATCCATTGTTCGAGGTGACGCTCACCTCAATGGGGGCAATGTTGGCGTCTTCCAGGACCGCTCTTGGAACAACCTTATGGCCATTATTGGGGACAGTTTGACCCTTGAGAAGACAATCGTATTGTCAGACGACGTTACCAATTTCTCTATCAACAACAACCCGTACTACTTCTCGGGACCTTTCTCTGGCTTAGTTGCGCCTGCTGCGCACAACTTTGTCATCAACTTCATGTCCAACCACTCCGCAGAGAACCCAGGAGGCTTCTTGACGAAGGAAGTTGTTAAGAGCTTTTTTGCGGTCACAGGTGACGAGGGCAAATTTGTACATCACCCCGGCCAGGAACGCATCCCTGACAACTGGTACCGTCGCCCAGGAGGCAAAGACCAGTACAATGTCGTCGATGTCTTCATTGACTTGATTGCTGGCGCTGCAGAGAAGCCTGGCACCCTTCGTTTTGGCGGAAACACTGGCACTACAAACTCCTTCACCGGTGTTGATCTAACAGATCTTACTGGCGGTGTTTTCAATGGAGCCAGTCTTCTTGAAGGAAACAATTTGGCCTGCTTTGCCTTCCAGGCAGCCATGGCGGGTGGAGTTGATGAGCTAGACGGTGTCCTTGGCCTCCTTGGTGGCCTCCTTGACCCTGTCCTCAACCCTATTAAGGATGCCTTCGCCGGACTTGCATGCCCACAACTCAAGGAATTCCGTAGCCAGCTGTTTGACATTTTCCCTGGATATAAGGGAAAATGAACATTTTGAACAGATATAGTGTCTATAGCTACCTCAAATGTTGAAATTGAACCATGATGTCTCCTTTAGCTTCTCTCAGTGCATATGCTTTGGCACAGCCTGCACGGCGTAACTCAACAGTGGCGTTCGCGCAGTTCTGTGACGGGATAAGAGCCATAACCCAGACAAACGGGAAGTCATGCATAGCGAGTCAGGCATAGCAAATTTCAGCTTCATTAGGCTTCCTAGTTTGTCATTGGCGCGTACTTAGCGTGTCTCGGGGGGCGCGGATCCTTGTTGTCCCAGAGGGTTACATTGCGGGGAGGCGACACTGCACACCTGCCGCTCCCCAATTCGGCTATATGCTTTATTAATTCAAATCTCAAGAGAGGCGGTAGAAGGTACATCTGATCTGGGAAGTGATAGTGAGTTTGTTCCATGGCGGCGATTGGAGCTAGGGGCGTCGTCCACCGCTAGCACCTGGAGTAGGCTATGCTCTGCCTACGGGAGTTAGTCAAAGACGCAGGACGGCAGTATGTACATACGCTAGTAGTAAACTGCGAGTCCGAGACTTGGCGCACTAATTTGGATTCACTAGCTGTAGAGTGGTGAGTAGCTCTTGTTTGTGAGCGGATCAGTCTCTATCCGTCAAATCGCGAAATATTTAACAGCCATCCCCAAGCCACCTGAAACCTCTGCAGTCCCACGGCACGCTTTCGATACTCTTTTGCGATAATAATAATAGACACCATGAAATCAATTTTCTCCGTTGTTTTCAGCGCCCTGGCACTTCGAGTGGATGCTGCACCAGCCTTGGCTGATGAGTCTCGATTTACAGTGTACGAGATGCCAACGCCATTGGCTGGCCCGTGTGATCTTACAACAGGCCCCGACGGCGCGATCTGGGTATCGTACATGCTCGACAACAAATTGGCTCGCATAGATCCAGACACTGGTAACATAGACGAGTATGAGATACCGTGGACGCTACCGGAACTTAATGTCACACTGCCAAATATCCTTGGCCGAACTGTGTTGGCCTGTGTGGTTCAGCCTGGTGCCGACGGGCATCTCTATGCTGCCAATGGCGTGCGCAACCAGCTCGTCAAGATGAATGTCACCACAAAGCACATTGAGGTTATCACACCTCCTAATTTCAACCCTCTTGGCAATCTGCAGCCGTTCAACGATCTATACACCGGGCCTCATGGCATGTACTTCACACAGACAACCAACAATGTCATCTCATACTACGAATACGCCACGGGTAACTTCAAGACTTACACAGTGCCGACTGCGCTGTCGGCACCGCTAGGTATCTACTACGGATCCGACGACAAGGTGTACTTTCTCGAACTACTCGGCCAAAAAGTCGGACGCCTTGACCCAGCTACAGAAACTATTGAAGAATTCCCGTTGCCACTGAACCTGTTCGGACCCGGTGTCGTGCGTGCCGAGACAGAAGGCAAATACGTATGGTTTACGTCAGTCATTGGAAACGCCATTGGCCGTATTGATATGCGCACAGGCGAATTAAAGGCTTTTCCAGACGACATCCCCCTCGCCCTGCCTGCTGAAGACACCGTTGACGGTGATGGCAATGTGTGGTATTCCACCTTCAACCAAAACTTGCTGAACCGGATCGATAAGAATACTGGCAAGGTGACGCATATCAAAATGCCCGGCACCCTAATTCCAGCACCACTAAGTATCCCATACAATTTTGACGTCGCGATGCACTATGGCCCGGGTAATTCCATGTGGTTCACAAATGACTTGGTAAATCGTGTTGGACGTTATCAGCTGTAAACTATCCCGTTGTTGAGCTACCAGTAAATAAAGACCATATCATAATGTATTTTAGATAATTGAAAACTTCGGTCTATTACCAGTAATCACTTGACGGCCACGCGCAAGCCCCGACAGCCTCGGAACCTTTGAGGTTGGCGCTGTTCGCTCAGGACCCAATCAGCAGAACGCAAGTGAGCTTTGTTGCATTTTCAAACGTTCGGAACCCTACCCTCAGTGGTACGCCGCTGATGAAGACCAATTTTTTGCTTCTACTGTTCGAAAACTACGCGACCGCTGTGATCCGGTGGCGATCAACAAGGGCCGCCCGAGAGACACCCTCTGGGCAATATCCACAACACTAGGGACGGTAATTGTTGTGGATATTGACTTGTACACTTGCATTCATATAGTTGCCGTCTAAATGGATCTTCTGTCATAAAAAAATACCGACTTTTCATAATGCACAACCATTTTGCAGCTCACATGTATTGCAATTTTACAGAGTCATGGAAAATAGCAAGCCACTTTCGCAAGTGGCGCCTCCACAATTTAGTGGCTACAGGCCGTGGAGTGTTATATCCGCATCCGGGGCTAGCGGGAGAGCCGTGCTATCCACAAGCGGCTTGGCATTAGACTTTAGTAATATGCAGTTTGCCGATGGACTTGGTAGTCTGATAGTCTTCAGGGGCTGTTTGGGAGACTGGGAGAGAGAGCTGAATAACAATAAAAACTGTGTGCCCAATAATATCGACAAAGAAGGGACCGCTCCTGTTCAAGGCTGCCAACAACGGTGGTCGGATGTTAGGCTGGGGTGGAAGCCAACATGGACACACCATCTCCTCAGTCGTCTCATGCACTTTTGTTCATAGTTCGTGTGGGGCATCACTTGCAGTACCCTTTTTCCTTGTGCCTTTGAAAAAGTGCTTACTGAATCAGTCGCGTGGGGGGACCTGATTGCCCACCCACTCGCGCTCAACAAGGCATGGCCAACCACTAGCTTAACTATTTAACTCGTTGTTCCCCAGAGCTTTCCAGTTAATGTTCAATCCACAACAAGAAAGCTAGAGTGTTCAAACATGACCAAGGAACAAAACACTGGCGACGCGGTCATTGAACCATGCCCGCCGACCTACCAGGCGGCCACTGGTGACGGCCAAGCTTCCTACGAGGACAGCAAACCCGTACCAGCACCGCTTCGAGGCTATGGCATTGAATATCGCGTAGATCCTACTGTATCTTTTGCAGAGTTTACGTACTGGGCCAAAGTTGAGAGAGAAGAAGAGGCCGAAGCTGAGCGTCTCTTCCTCGAACGTCGCGGGCCCATGACACCCAAGAAGATGATTATGAGTCGCTTCTCCAAGGGTGTCCATCACGAGAACAAAAAGATGGACGAGAAAGATGGAAACCCCACTACAGGCGTTGTTGCCCCAGCTGACAACGGTATTACTCGCGACTCATCCTCTGACCTTACGGAGGAGTGGAAGGTTGCCTCAAGGGCCATGCGCACTGCTGGCTGGAGCTCCATCTTTTTCCTCATCACCACTGACATTCTCGGATGGTCTGGATGCCCGTAAGCAACCCTGTCAATCCTAATTTGGAGAATTCTTAACTAATCGCTTTTTCGTTGCAGATTTGTCTTTGCAAGTGTCGGCTATGGTACCGGTGTCGCTCTCTACGTCATCTTTGGCCTTGCCGCCACGCTTAGTGGTTACATGCTGTACAAGATGTTTGTAACGCTGGACTCTTCCCGGTATCCGATTCTGAGCTATGGAGATCTATTCTTCAGAGTCTTTGGACCCAAGACCCGCCACTTCATCAACGTCACTCAGTCCCTGCAGCAGTTTTGCACCGTTATGGTCCTCATTCTAAGCAAGGGTCGAGTTATATCCCTCTTGGCTGGCCCAAAGCTGTGCTTCATCATTTGCATGCTCATCATCATGCTTGTTGGTGTTGTATTTGGCAGTATTCGCTCTCTGCAGCGTCTCGGTTGGATCTGCAATCTCTCCGTTTGGTTCAACGTTGCCTCCTTCATCTCCATGTATGTGAACTATTGCTTGCTTTCGTACTATTTCCGCAGCTAACCCGTTTACGTTAGCATGGTCGCTGCAGCCAAGTACGAGCCGTACTATGGTCCTGTAATTCAATCAACGATTCTCCCTAAAACCATCATGCCAATTCGAACGTTCGTTGGCCTTGTTCCCGACGAGTACCAACAGCAGGCACACGGATTCGCTGGAATCTTCAACGGTGTTGACAGCATGGTTTGTAAGTACAACTCTAAACTTGAGCTTCTATAATTTTGCTTTAAGCTAACGTATTTCTCCAGACGCCTACAGTGGTGCCATCTTGTTTGTCTCCTTCATGTCCGAGATGAGACATCCCATGGACTTCTGGAAGGGCATGCTCTTGGCCCAGGCGTTCATCTGCGCAATCTACGTCATCTTCGGAGCCTTTGTCTACAGCAATTTTGGTCAATATTCTGGATCCGCCATCTACCAAGTCATCAACCCAGCTGGCCTGCGCACTTTCAATAATGTGCTCAACCTTCTCACTGGAATCATCGCGAGTGGTATGTCTACAATTGATGCTTGATTCACTTCTTTTTGGCCATGGCCTCTAACAAGTCTCTAATAGTTCTTTACTTTCATGTGGGTATGAAAACGGTATACATCGAGGTTTTCCAAGAGGTCTTCAAATTCCCTCCCATTGCAAGCAAACGGGGCCGTTGGATGTGGTATGCCCTGGGTCCCATCTATTGGGCCATCGCATTCATGCTCGCCGCTGCCGTGCCCAATCTCAATGGCATTGTGAATCTTGTTGGTGGATTGTTTGGAGTCAACTTCAGCTACTCACTTCCTGCAATGTGCTTCCTCGGCTGGCTAATTCACACAAACTCCACCCTGCCTGGCGAGGGCTACAGCCCAGAGACTGGCGAAGTGATCCAACACGACTCGGGAATTAAGAGATGGACCCGTGGCTTTGTCAAGTGTTGGTACGTCAGTGTCCCTTGTCTGATCTATGCTCTTGCCGCTCTTGCCACTTCAGGTATGGGAAGCTGGGCTGCTATCGAAGGGTTGATTTCAGTGTTTGGCCCAGGTGGAACGGTCGCAACTTACTACGGATGCCAATCGCCAGTGTGGAAGAAGGAGTAAATTATCCAATGTGGGAGATTTGAACTACAAGTATTTATTGTCTGGTTATTATAATTAAATTGTCTATCAAATAATACATCTTACGCAGTATGTGCTGATCATTAACAGAAGGGGTCGGCGTTTGCATCCATGTTCGGCGAATATTCCATATTTCTTGCAGCGGCATCAGCAATCTCGTCGCCAAAAATGTCTCGCAAAAATCCAAATGTCATGTCGATTCCTGCGGAAACCCCAGAAGATGTGTAAATGTTGCCGTCAATAACCCATCTAGCCTCTCTTATCCAGGTAACTTTGTCGCTCTGAGAGACAACCTGCAATTGTTAGTAAAAGATGAACACGCGAACTAGTACAGGTAAAGCATATACCCAGGTGAAAGATCGCTTATTGGATGTCGCGCGCTTCCCGTCAAGAACGCCTGCCCTTGCAGCTAGGACCGCGCCAGTACACACAGTCAAGAGGTACTTGAGAGTTGGATACCTCGCCTTGACGAAGTCGACTGCTGCTTGGGATGATTCCGTTGCCCGCACACCCTGGCCACCAGGGACAAGAAGTACATCAATATCCTTTGGGGCATCCACGAAAGAGTAAGATGGCAAAACTTCAGTACCGAAGGCCCCTTCAATATTGTGTGGTCTTGAAGTGGTCGGGTCACAGGTTTCCGCTAGTAGACAGACGGAGATGCCGGGTTGTCCACGCGACCGCATGGCATTGTTGGCAAAATAGAACGTGTCATACGGCCCAAACGCGTCAGTAATCTGGAATCCAGGGAACAAAATAACTCCAATCTTCATCATTGTTGTACACGGAATCTTTGCGGGAAATATTAAGTCTCCAAATGCGCGGGGTAAGATCTGAGCCGAAACAAGGCTCTCATAATCCGAGTCAGCATCACGGATCGTTCATCAGCCACTAAAATGCTCCCTCCAAAACGCAGAGTCAATTACATTATTGCTTTACAAGGTGGCGACTACCAAAATCAATTCGACCTAAAATTTCTAGCCTGAGTTATACAAAGAGATGACTTGTACCCTAAATCCGGCCAAAATGTGATGCGTGGCTGATTCCTGGACAAACATGCCGTCGGCTAGTTTCGGGATGAAAGCCCATATACTACCGCCACCGAAATAATGCAGAGCTATTGGAAGATAGTATAGTACTATACGTAGGGTGACATTTGCCGGTTAAGGCTCACGACAGCGCTATGTATGTAGAGCGCAAAGGCAACCGTGCGCAGCCTGCTGCAAGTCCTAAACGACGGCACACCCATAAGTCAGTTGAAGGTATCACTTACACCCACAAAGCAAGCACCAATGATCTGCAGCTAAGAGGGATATTACTGAGCAAGGCTACAGGGGAGATACCGGTTCATTTGACGTTGAGTGGAAAGAGATCACGGATGGCTGGACGCTAAGAAATATACATTGACTCGGCCATCCCCTCCCCAAGGGTTTGAAGTAGCAACATAATTAACTCCATCAATTCAATATACCACAGAATCTTTTTATTTGAGGTTTCCATATCAAATTATCAATATGTACCTCTCCACAACCTTCATCTCTCTGGCATTGGCTGGCTTTAGTCATGTTACTGCTCAAAGCGACGGTGGTTGGGACAATGCGCCCGTCAATGCTACTGGCAAAGTCATCATGAGGGGCTATGATGTGTCGAAGCCCTCAAGTCACCAAACATCCCCTTGGTCTTGGAACGTCCGAGTTTCTGCTGCTTATCCCAGCGAAAACGGCACAGTTCCAGCCGCCGAAGTTACCCTCTTGGATGACACTAAGACATCTGGCAATGCTATTGACGGCTGGAACCTATGTCCCACTATACTCTACACATTAAAGAAGAGGAATGGAAAACGTGTACCTGCTGATTGCAAAGGTATTGTGAGCGACAGCTGCCTGGAGCGTCTACGTAACTTCGAAGCCTTCCAACCCAATGGTACTTGCTTGACGAGCCCCGGCGCCAACCTTTTGGGGGATTGTGAGGTTGACCTTGGGGAAAGCGGTAAGAAAACACTTACTATGCACTAGAATAACATAAATACTGACGTATAAAAGGATTCTACGATGCGGAAGCCATACGCGCAACGAACAGTCGCACTCTTTTTTGGAACGGCCCATATCGACACAAAGACGGGAGCCTGCAGACGTACGAAGAGACGGCTGAGAAAATTTACATTTCTGTCGTTGGTTGGAGTTTTAATGATTCCGCGGGAAATGGTAGAGTTCACAAGCGAACTGAACATGTTTGCTTTGCTGCCCAGCCTGTTTGAACCACTGCCAATAGGCGGTTGCCTGCCCATGGAGTGCTAGCACGTAGGCATGGGGTAAAAGGATTAGACCAAGACGGTAGATAGTTTCCTTTAAACAAGTTACTTGCGAAATATAGACTTTGTCTAATACCGAACTGACCGATACTAAAAGCGCAGTGTTCCGTTGCGCTACTCGCAGCTGTAATGGCAGGCCAGGCTATGCGAGATTGCCTCCAGGCTTGAGGTGCGAGGTGCAAGCAGAAGAATACACGGTCACATTGTAGAACTTGAAATATAAATAGGGAGCATAGAGCCAGTAAGCAGATACCTTTGGATAATTTATTTATTACAGGAATTAAAACGAAACATCCAATGACGATCCTCACGGCTGACAATTATGTTGTTGCTCCTCGTCGTGACCATTATCGCGGGCCTTCTCCCCGCGGTAGCCGCAGCCCCGGGTGGCTCCAGTACGTCAATATTCAATTGCTAGTATTTTTTGGCCGATCTAATTCGATCTCTAGTCCCAAGTCTTGCCACTCGCGACAATCCATGGCCAGGATGGGAAATGCTCAACAACAACAACCACACAAAGCAAATTGTTGTCGACGGCGACAACCTCTACTAAATACACGACACTGGACATATATACCAGTTTACCGGCACTCCAATGACTGGGTGGTTGGAATTGGATAACAATCCTTTGTCGTACAAGCTCGTTGCTGCGGACGGCGAGCTTTACCAAGTCCACTCCAACTACGACATCTGGAAATATACTGGCAAACCATACACCGGCTGGCAATTGATTGACAACCAAAGGCTCCTAGCTACTGTGTTTGCTACTCAGGGCATGGTCTTCAAATCGGACACCACCAACCGCATCAAGCAGTATACTGGCGTTCCTTTGCAGCCGTGGCAGCAGATCCTCTATGAAGACTGGGGCAACCTTGCAGTTGGTGCAGCCGGTGGTGAGGTATACATATCGATTCGTGGACGTGTGTATAGATACTCCGGTACACCAAACAGGTGGTATCGTATCCGCGATTATGCTGGTGTTAAGGAGCTTGCTGCCTATGGCAAAGACGTCTACGCTAGAGACGCGGACTCCACCATCATCAAGTGGGCTGGCGTGCCTAACCAGTGGGATTTAATGGATCCTGGTAAATATTCAGTGGCAATCACTGTAGGGGCGCGCGGTTTATATCAGATCCACGGCAATGGTCACATTTTCCAATTCGTTGGCTCACCGTTCAACGGCTGGAAGCAGAATGACGCATATGCTGCCTCCAAAGCAATTGTTGCTGGCAACCACTTACACCAGTTGCATAGAGACGGTAAGATTTGGCGATACTTGAACTAAGCTCATATAAAAATAGAATCTTCTATTTATTGAAGTATATTCTGCGCAAACTTGAGTGCTCTTTGGACCATTTCGGATGAATGTTCTACTGTAGGGTAATGGCAGGGCATGAGCTGTTACAGCCCATTCAGCACATTAAATCACGCGCGTAGATATAAGCCTCATTATTCATATTACATATTTGTTATTTTAATAAAAACAATAAAATCTTTGGGTAATAAATACATACGCAGGCAATGCAAGTTTTGTTGTCTGGGATATCACAAATTGTACGGTAATGGGACGCGGTCGGGGCCAACAAGTAGGTGCCGTGCGGTCCTTCTAAAACTTGGGCGCGTTCAAAAACAAACCCATAAGCACACCACCAAGAGTGCCAGCAATTGGGATGGTCATGATCCAAGAAAGAAGAAGAAGGCCAACTCGCTGGAAGTTGACAGCCTTGAGAGTTCCATTGCAGAGACCGACACCAACGGTGGCACCAGTAATGCACATGGAGGTAGAGACAGGGAGCGAGAACTGAGAGAAAACAAGAACGGTGATGGCAGCACCCATTTCCATAGAGCAGCCTCTGCTAGGAGAGTGGTAGGTGATCTTGTTACCCATGACTGAAGAGAGGTGAAGTTAGCATAATGTTTGTGTTTTCTATTTGTACTGTGGTGGACATACCTTTCATGATGTTGTAGCCGTATGTGATGAGACCGAAGGAAATAGCAAGAGCCAGGACAGCAATCTGCCAGAGGTCAACAGGAGCAGTGGCACCAGTAGTCTTTCCAGTCTTCCATGCAGTGTAGATGACAGCCCAAGGACCGACGGAGTTACCGATGTCGTTCGCGCCGTGAGCAAAAGAAGCAGTGCAAGCCGTCAAAACCTGGACAAAGGAGTAGGTGTGCTCAACCTCGTTGGGGTATTTTTCAGCAGCAGCGTACACACGCTTCATGCGCTCACCCTCTGGGGTACCGTGGATGCCAGACTGAGCAGCGTGGATGTCGTAGTGAAGACCGTAGAGGAGACCGCAGGTGATCATGGCAGGCAGACGCTTGGCGAGGATCTTCATGTTTCTCAATTCGTAAATCTGGCCAGGGCCCATGGGGTTCTCGTGGAGAGTACGCATCGCCCAGCCAATAGGGCCTCGCTTCTGGCGAAGCTTGGCGTGGAAGCGAGCCTCACCTTCGGCCATCAGCTGAGCGTAGGACTTGTTAGACTCGAGGGCTTCAAGGCTGGTGTTGGCTGCGACAGGGGCGGTCTTGGCAACATAGTTGCCCTTCTCATCGACATGGCCAGCCTCGCCAGCTTCAGTGGAAGAAGCATCGGAATCATCCTCCTGGACAACGGCATAGTCGGGGACAACAGCAGCGCTGGCATCAATAGGAGTAGGGCGGTTGAGGAGGAGGGGGCCGTAGACGAACATCCACCACTTGACAGAAGCATCGCGCTTGATGATCTTGGCGTAGATATAAGGGACAAAGAAGAGAGCAGAAGCGACGGCGACCGCACCGCCAGTGCCAAGAGTGACGGCAACGATGTAAGAGGCAGGCTTCTTGTTCAGACCCAACTTGGGAGAACCCTTGTAAACGATAGACAGAGTGCAGATGGTGGCGGCGATGAGGAAGAAGAAAGGAGATGTGTAAACAGCCCAAGGGACGGGATTCTTGCGCATGTGAACAACAAGCTTGATGAGCATGAAAATGGTGGCTGCAAAGGCACCAGAGATGGCGGGCGCCATGCCAAGACCAGCAAAGATGGCACCAAGACCCTTTCCGTTGTTCCAACCCCACTGGACCTTGGAGGCGCCAACAGTGGCAACACCAACACCAGCCACGGCAGAGATGAGGGAGTAGGTAGAGGAGACGTGAGCAGAGTGGCGAGTGCACCACATGACCCAGGATGAAGCAGCAGCGAGAGCACAGGTGAAGGCAAGCATCTGTACACCAGCGTTGCCATTGAAGGCTGTGGCGGGAATGATACCGTTCTTGATAGTCTCAGCAGTGCGAGCACCAACAGTGATGGCGCCAAGCATTTCGAAAATGGTGCCCAAGATCATGGCCTGTCGGTAAGATATGGATCGCGATGAGACACTGGTAGCCCAGGAGTTGGCAACATCATCTGTATGATCGTTAGTATGTGAACGGTGACAGCCTCATACCTCCAGCACTTGGCGTGCAGATTCGACATTGCCTTGGCAGGACTTGCCAAGGCGACTGCCACGGCGGTTGGGGTCCGAATGTCACTTACTGGCTCCATTGTTGAAAGCATCCAAGAGGGCAAACAGAGTGCCAATGGCGAAAACCCAAGTGTATTGGTAGAGTGTAGTGTCCATGGCTGCGAATTGGGGGGGTTGGTGTGGTTCGAATGTCTCAGCAACGAGCTGCAGGAAGGCTTGTCTGGAATTGGAAGCAGAAGGGAAGAGCGCTGGGCTGTGTATTTAATTGTTTGTAGAGCCTTTATCTCTCATCAGGCTAATTCTTGCCAAAAGACCACGCAGTGTCGGCACACCGAGCCCCAAATGGGCCTCTCTCTCGGACGATTGTCCACTAGCAGCGGAAAAGTCCCTCCTCTCGCTCGCCATGCCCGCGTGCGCGACCGAATGTCGCAATCTAGAACAACGGTTCTGCGGAGCAGGGCTGAGCGTCAGTTGCATGATTGGCCCGGGGCAGGACGGTATATGTCAAGTCTAACCATTAACCTTAAAGCTAACGCCAGTGGCGTTGCGTGGGCACAATGGGCCTTGGGCAGGAAGATTGTCCAATCACGCAAAGGATCGTCTCCACGTGGGGAAGTCAACGGGAATCTATGGATCTCTGGCTCAGCCGGTGCGTATTTGGTGGCTTGGTCTAGAGTGCCTCAATTCGCATACTTGTTCATCAGCGCGTGCAAAAGCTGCGACTCAGGAAGAGCAAAATTTTTTTTATCTTTGCCTCAGCATTTGAAGCTGCCAAGACATTAAAGCAAGCCACCGGATTATTGGAAATTTACTGTCGCCACTACTGCGGTCGACGCAGCGATCCAGGACGTCCAGTACCAACACGTGCGAGCGGCCATATCCGTCCGGTTGGATATGGGGTCTCGTAAATCAAGCTATTGCTGTGGAAATAAGATGAAAATCAGTATTGGCCTAAGTATGATGTTCTTCGTAGAACGCGACTTTTGCAGTCGCGTTGTCAAAGAACAACGATAGTACGGTCCACTACCTAGCTACTGCAGACACGGCATCGAACACAAGGAGATCACCAGTGACACTGAAATAGTTCCAGTCATACTGTATATGAGTTCAGTTTGCAGCGTATGTGGATGATGATTGTGCCTCAAACGGCCTGTTTAGAGAATAGAGGATAGCTAGATTAGGCACCCTTTACCACGCGCACCTGGGCCCAGGGTGCCTACCGTTTAGCTCACCGGTGTCTCTATGTTAGACGCAAGCCGGTGGTGGCGGCTTCGACCTCGACAAGTTTGTTTCGCAACTACCCGATGGCTCTAAAAACCCGTCTGATCTACTGGCTGTCTCGCACCTTGCATGCGACAATGAATAAGGTACTGTGCTCAGGTGCTTCTTTACCGAGTTTGGCGACGGCGCCATGCCACTAAGCCTCAAGCTGAGAGGGCGTGCGTTATAAATTTAGCTGTAGGCGCGCCACACGGTCGCATGGTGCACTAGCATTACCAGCATTTTCAGTGGCTAGATTTTCACATTCAGCGACAAGCGTCTCATGAGTTGGGCCAAAAACAACAACAAAAAAAAAAATACAGCACAATAGTGCCATTGTGTAACATGAGTGAGCTGAGGCCTATTGTAGTAGTAACGGGCAAGGTACGATTCGTACGAAGTACAAGATGAGGGAGACGGTAGACTCTAGAACTTGAACAAGACTACAGTCCTACAACAAACTTACAACAGGCGGCGATCGGATTGTGCTCGCTTAACGGTGGGGATGTGAAACTAAGGGTCTTCTTCTAAATACGCATACAATAATCAACCTGAGTGATAACAACTCTAATATTTATGCCTTTAGTCTTATGATAAAAACACCAAAGAGTCAGGGTATCCAATAAGTACTCACCAAAAACTAGATTATACCTATATTTAATAAAATTATTATGCACTCAATTCTGGTTAGCTGACTGGTCTCTACGTATCCTCGCGACACATGCCAGTGCTAGCATGAAGCCCCACCTATCATCGGAGTGATGTTTTTTCTGCACGATGAAAATCTCGACACTGTAGAAAAAGAAGCACACATATATCGAAAACTCAATATATCGCGACAATGCCTATTTCCAAGAAAGCAAAGGTGTGTCTCTAATACATTGCACAGGCTTTCGTCACACTATACTAACAGCTGTCCTAGATTCAACGCGAGCATAAGAAAGCAGAGGCTGCTGGTACTCGCGCCCCAGTCAAGCCCAACGGCCTACCTGTGAAAGCCCCCAAGCCGACCTCTATTGTAAGTATCTAACGCTGTAAAATGATTTAACACCAAAAGTCTTGGTCTGTGGTCTTGCCTTTACTAAATTACGTTGTCTTTCAATAGTGTGCCAACTGTCGCAAAGAAATGGTGAGGACAAATTTGGCACAGCTTGAAGCCCATGCCCAGACCCATGATCAGAAGAACTGGCCCAAGGAGAAGTGCTGGCCCAATGACTTTAGCTAGTCAATACGTCCACTGTGTAGAGTGGTATGCATATTTGGATTTTGTGATTTGATGTAACGAGGTCTGCCGTGGCCCCGTGTAGAGGGTAACAGTCGAGGGAACTAGTGATGTCCCTGGCGAAGATGTCGATAGCGTCCACCGCTTCGGGCTTATTGGCGTCTCCTACCAACCGGAGCAGTTTCGTTTTGAGGGTAGATATAGAGGAAAGAACCTTTTCCTTCGTCAGGTCCGTTGCAGCTTCGGCGCGCGCCCGTGCCTTCTTCGGGGAGTTCCCCTGGGAGGATCGTTTTGTTGGCGAAAAGACCGATTGACTCAGTGCTCCTGCCGCGGAGCCTGCGCGGCTACGTGGAGGGCCCATGGAGCTATATCGCTATGTTATCGATAATATAAAGGGTCGTTTAGCGATTTTAGTGAACAATGAAGCAAGCAATAGTCGATTTAAGGAATCTTCAAAGTCGATGATGTATAACTTAGATAGCATAACATTAATCTAATTTTAGATAGGCCACATATGTCCATATATTTGGTGATTCAAATGTAGAGAGCATGATTTATAAACTAGCTATAGTCCGCATGTCGACAAAAATGCTTCTGTTTATTTGCCATTTGATTAAGGTTAAATATAATCATTATGGTTCGAAACAAACTCGGTGTTCTATACGCAGCCTTTAGGGCGAGCTGTTCGGCGTTCGCTGTAAGCGTCGACGACCAACCACAATTGGTCACATCATCTGCCTCAGAGAACTGCCAGATTGCATCGAACGCGACGATTACTTTTACCAACTATTGCCATTATTCATTCAGTATTTCAAACACAGAGGATGTCAGCGTTGATGAACATGTCGGCAAAGAGCTTCAATTTGGGCAGTCTCACACCGTCAGCTTTAAGCCTGAAAACGATGCAAGGCATTATTTATATATGAGGGCTAGCAAGCATAGCCTACCCGGGGACGAACTCATTGTCGTAAGCTATCGACATAAGTCATGCGAAAGGTTTATAAGTGGCGGATCAACGATGTATTACAAGAGCCGAAAGGTTGGCAAGCGTTGGGATATTGGGCACGAGACCAATTCGCGGGTCATTTGCAAAGGAGCAGTGACCTTTGATAGAGGAGAAGTTTACGGTTGCGAGTTTGAAGATGATCCGCCACCCAAAGACCAAATAATATCCGCATATGGAACTGGTGCAAACTGTCGGCCGGATAAAAAGCTGACCATAACCGACAGGTCGTTTGCAATTACTTTCAAGATGTGCAGCGAGAATATGCCCTGAATTCACAAAGTTATACCTTTAAAGAGTGAAATATTTGGTCTAACTTATGATAATAAATGTAATTGGATTAATGTAGAATCTTATAAGACACAAAAATATCAAAATTGAGAGATTATCCCCAAAGATCGCTGACGCTATACTATACAGTGGAAAATGCACGGATGCCAAAGCTCATAACCAATGTCCAGTCTTCACAGGTGGACTGGTTTCTATTGACTTACATATTTTTACTAAATTTTGATGACCAGCTTATCCATTCCAACAAATTGTAGTATTATTACTTTTATCATTCTCAGGTAAAATAAAAAATGGTTGCTTGATAGAAGGCTTTGTTTGTGCTGATCACCGACTATACCAGCACTCTCTAACCATGGATAATGGTCGCCGTATGGTAACTTTTAAGAGCAAATACGACCTCCACTATGGATTTGAAGGCGCCTCCTACGAGTTTGCGTGGGTTTAATTACTGAAAGATGACTGGACACAAAACCGGTTATATACACATTACTCACAAACTACTCATCAGGCTGCACTTTGGATTAAAATTAATCTTTCCTTATTTGTTAAAGCGTGTACATTATCAATCATTTCATAGTAGTTCAACTTTGCGGAATGAAGACCTTGCGCCAAACATGCAACACCGTACACCATCGTCTCGTAGCCGCAGTAGAGACCCGACCTTTACCCGGGATGTTATCCGGGAGGTCGTCAAGGAAACCCTCCTCCAGTCCAAATCCCAACCGACCTGAGCCCAGGTCGCCTCCACTACCAAGCCATCTACTACCGACAAGACCAATGCTAAAGCCCCAAACAAAGCCGAACCTTATGAAGTCACCGTCCGCGTTGCGAACTGCCCGGAGGCGACCCGGCGCCGGTCCAGCCACGATACTATCCAGCGCGCCAACTCAGTGCTTGGAAACAACACGGTAATAGCTGCCCGAACACTCCCTTCTGGCGACGTACGCCTCACTTTCGCGGCCGCAGCTGCTAGCTCCCAGATCGACGAGGCTTGGCTGCTACACGTATTCGGCACGGGAGCGACTCGGCTCCGAACTGAACATGCAGTCATCGTAAGAGGCGTACCGCCCGCGGTCATCAATCCCGATTTCGATATCCACGGCGTAGCTGCGCAGAACAGCATTTCCTTCCAAAGGGTGATCCCTGCCCGGGCCCGACCCGGAGCCACCAAGCGCAGTTTCATCCTGTATGTAACATACATAGAGACCGCTAATAAGCTCTGTGACCGAGGCTTTGGTATCGACGGCCAGCTCTTCGACTGCGAGCCCTACACAGCTGCAGCCCGCCCCCTCCAGTGCTACAACAGCTTCCAGTTCGGCCACCAATCTCGCCAGTGCGCCAAACCTGCGATCTGCGGCTACTGCTCTGGGGACCACCACGGCTTCGTCGAGGGCACGAAGCGGGGTCTCTCCCCTGCCCCGAGGCCTTCGACATCGTCGCTCTCCAGGAGCCGACCCGGACCAGTCACGTCCCCGCGTCGGCCCTGTTGAACTACCACGTCGTTTTCACTGATAACAGCACGGCCACATACGTACACAAACGCCACCCTACACATTCTTGGAGCTCGTCCTCCACAGCATTTTCTACTACTATCCGCTTCGGCTCCGTCTCGGTCACTAATATATACCGGTCCGGAGCTGTCTCTGTCCTCGATATAGTCACCCTCTTTAACAATCTCCCTCCTAGAATCCCACACGTTATTGTCGGTGACTTCAACGCCCACCACCTAAGCTGGGACTTCTTCGGCCGCGAAACCCGGGACTCCTCGGATCTCATCGCGGCCGCGGGACAGGCCCGGCTCGTACTAGTAACACCACCCGGCATCTTCACTTGGGAACCGCCAGATGACCGGCACGAGTCCTCGCGCCCTAGTACTATCGACCTAGTCTGGGCCTCCCCCTCACTCCAGCCCCGACATGTACCCGCGCCGCGGGACCTCCACGGCTCCGACTATATACTCCAACTAACATATATCCAGCATACACGTACACCTTCGCCGGCCCCTACCTGGCGATGGTGCGAGGCCGACCCGGACACTATACGCGCCCTAGGGGCCACGCTCATAATAACACCCGAAGTCCCAACAGACTCGGCCGCGATTGACCGAGCCTTAACCGACCTCCATAACCAACTTGAAGAAATCGCCTCAGCCACGGTCCTGAGCCGCATCCCGGGCTCTACAGCACAACCGCCTTGGTGGTCTAGCGTCGTCTACGACGCTGTCATCTCGGCTCGGCGAGCTCGTCGGCACCGGCACGATAGCGACGCGGCCAAGGAACGGTACCGCGACGCTGTACGCGACCGCAACCGGGCCATACGACAAGCGAAGACAGCGGCCTGGCGCCGGTTCGTCGACGAGCTGTCACACGGGTCCTCGGCGCTTTGGCGGTTGGCCGAATGGGGTGCCAAACCCCCGGACGCTAAATACCAGTCCCGAGCAGTACCGCCGCTAGACCGCGACGGAGCCTCCCCGGCGACGTCTATCGAGGAGAAGGCAGCAGTGTTCGCCGCGAAGTTCTCCCCCCCTGCTCCTAACCTCCTGCCCTCGGGCCCCTGGCGGGGCCCACGTTGTGCGCTCAAAGGCCTCGCTGACTCTATTGATGATGAAGTGCGTGCTACTCTTAATCGGTGTCGGTCGTGGAACGCCGCGGGCCCGGACGGGATCCCTTACAGCTTCTTGAAAGCGTGCAGCGACCCATTAGTGGCCACCCTGTCCATTATTTTCAATACCTGCCTCCAAGGTAGATACTATCTATACCGGTACCAGGCCAGAGCTACCGTTATCATCCCCAGGCCCGGTCGGTCTTCAGCCGCTCTCCGCACCGCTGGCGCATGGCGACCGATTACTCTTCTTAACACGATAGGCAAGCTCCTCGAGAAAATCATAGCCGACCGGCTCGCATCCGCCGCGGAGGCGGCTGGTGCCCTCCCAGAGGGCCAGATGGGGACCGGCGCGGGCGCGGCACGGAGTCGGCCGCCTTCCTACTCAAAGAACTTATACAGACTACATAGGGCCGCGCTCTAGCGATCTCGCTGATGCAGCTAGACATAGCAGGTGCCTTCGACGCCATGCCACACGAGTGCCTACTTAAGATCCTCGTCCACCTCGGAGCCGACCCGGCCGCGCTTAATCTTATCGGCTCCTTCCTCGATGATCGCTCCACGTATCTTGTTATCGACGGGGTCTCTACGGGTCCGTTCCGACTCCGATTCGGGAGCCCCCAGGGGTCCTCTATCTCGCCTATCCTCTTTATTATCTACATCTTAACCTTATATCACCATCTATCTAATATCCCTAGTATCCAACTTATCGGGTTCTCCGATGATAGTAATATTGTCGCTATTGCTCCTACACACGCAGGTGTCGTTCGCTTGCTGGAGGAAGCCTGGACTCGCTGCGCGTCCTGGGCGGACGCGCACGGCGCTACTTTCGCAGCGGCTAAGACAACTATCACCCACTTCACTCGCGCTCACTCCCCTCTCACTACTAGCGTCCGACTCGGCCCCGTGTCGCAGCCGCCTACAGAAACGGCGCGCTTCCTCGGGTTCTACTTCTATCGGAAGCTTACGTGGGAATACCACGCACGCGAAGCCAAGACCCGCGCTGCCCGAGCTGCCGGGGCCCTGAGCGGCACCGGCGGGATAGCGTGGGGGACCCGGCTCGAGAACGCTCGCCTTATCTACACAATGGTCCACTGCTCTATCCTTACGTATGGGTCAGTTCTCTTCCACAAACCTGGGGATATCCCCCTAGGACCGGCACGTACTATGAGTAGTACCCAGCACGATATGCCCCGGCTCCTAGCCGGGGCCTTCCGGGCCACACCAGCGCACTACCTAGAGGCCGAGCTTCAAATCCCGCCCCTTCATCTATACATGACCTACCGCAGCGAACGCTCCCTTGCGCGGTTCAAGAATAACGAGACCCTTGCGAGGGTCCGTGCTGCGTCCGCCACGGTGGCGGGCCTCCAGCGGCTCCCTCGTCGCCAGCACTACCGTCGTCGAAGACTGCCACCGTCAGTACAGTCGCGACCTTCTCGGGGCCGGACCGGCCCCCGATCGCAAATCCCTCTCCAAGCACCTGGACAAGCGCTGGCAGCAGCACTGGCTGCACCAGGAGTCCGCACGGCTCTCCCGCCGGAGCAGCGCACAAGGCCACCGACCGTCGAACTGCTCAGAGCTCCCGCCTCGGCTCCGCACTGGCCGCCTGTCGGCGCCCTACTGGGGAGGGAACACGCCGAAACACATCTCCTCCTTGGCGCTGCAGATGAGGACTGGAAAGATTAGTCTAAACGACTTCTTGTTTAGCCGGCGCGTACCCGACCTAGCGTCGCCCCTATGCTGTTGCGGATCCGGGCGGGAGACCGTGTTCCATATGATCCTACACTGCGAACTCTACGACCGTCCGTCGCTGTCGACCGAGGCGGCCGTTCGCCGGGCCGTCGACGAACCCGAAAATGCCGCGCGATTAGCGCGATGGTTACTAGACACAGGCCGAATCGGCTACCTCACGGCAGCGCACCGGGCCCACGATGGCCGACCTGGACAAGGAACGACTAACTGATATCACTATTTCCTTATTCGTTCTTTATAGCTTTTTTTACATGTATATTTGTTTCTCTTCTTGTATTACTAACCTTTGTCTCCTACTATCCGGTCCAGTGTCGTCTCCGGCCTGGACCCTCCACGACACCGGCACGGACCCACCGCGGCCAACCCAAATATAGGGTTTTTCTTTGTTTTTCCCCTATACTATACATAGTTAGAGCTAGATAAGCTAGATAGCTTCTATTAGCCTAATAATAATAATAATATGCTATCTATAATTGAAAATAATCAAGACTACTAGGCTCAAATACAGTCTACTCGTTTTACACCGTGTTTTTGATTTGTCGGTTTCTACCAGCTAGTGTTTCAAATTTGGAACATAGCATGGTTTACTAACCAAAAGTTGCGTAGCGACGATAATTAAAAATACATTAGTCTTTAAATAAACTAAATTTTAGTGTCACGAGAAAAGCTAAAATAAAAGAATTAGCATGGCATGATAACTCTACGATCTCATGTGGTAGCTGTAATGACTTCGTGCAAATGTTATTCCACCCCTCGACCATATACTATATTTCATTTTACAAAAGAGAGATGTTAATATTGCTGTTGTAAGAAGAATAAAAATGGTCCCCATATATTTACATCTCTTCATGGCAGCCATTGCGATAGCGCAAATGTCAGCATTTGATGCGAGAAACTTGGTTGCACAAGGCATCCAGCCGATGGTCTGGGAAGACAAACTTATGGTGGTGTATAATCTATGCAAATCTCCGCTTCATATCATGAGGATCGGATCGAAGATTGAAAAACTGCCGACAATTCCCGCTGAAAAGTCCGATGTGAAGCACCAGCTTATCAACGACCCGGGCTCAAGCGCGATTGAATACCGATTCTCATTATCAGAGAAGAATCTGCACTATGGAGCTGGAACGGTGCAACTTTTATACAATCTCAATTACACTGATAATAGTCTAGCGATTGAAAGTCAATCCAACACCATGTTCCGAAGTCCGTTCCCTGGTGGCCAGGATTACACCCATAACGTCGCCATCTCTCTCGACTGAGTGCGAGGATTCCTACGATGCCTATGTTGATTTCGGACGCAACACTAAGTTTTCACGCCAATGTCCTACGAAGTTGAAAACACATGTTGCCATGTGGGTCTTTTTCTGTCTAGAAAAATAATGGCTGTATTTTAAAAATATTTTCCTTTCCTGTATGCCAACTGTTCGAACTCGGGCCTGCATTTCGATTATCAAAGTGGGTGCCTCAGGCGTCAGCTGTTACTGCTAGCTTGTTGCACTAGCTCGATCGTATTCAGCAGGCTAGGCGGTACACAACCACCGGTCATAACGTAGAACTATCCAAAACACACTCGGGGCATCTTGGTCGCCTATTAAAATATTATTGCCGAACAAATACTCGTGACCGTTATCACTCTTTAACAACATGACGTTAATTGGGATTGAGAAAGGCACCGCTTGCGTTGACAGTCTTGTCACCATGACCAAGTCAAGAGATGACATGCCAGACAAGTTGAGCTCAGAGCAGGAACATTCTCTGCGTATCCTGCAAAAGGCTATGTTCTTTATCGATTCTTTATCGTTGACATCGCTCGCCGAACCAAGACTAGCCGATTTAAATGTGCGGCAACGAAATCTACTAGGCTATTTTGAACACGAAATGTCAAGCTCCGTCTCGATCCACGCCGCGGTTCAGCGCGAACTCTGCCGTGTAGTTCTTCCAATGGCTCTTGACAACCCGCAGATTCTTGCTGCAATTCTCTCCGTATCTTCAACATATAGAGTGTCGACTGGTCTAGAGCAAGGCGAAGACGATGCCACACAACTCCGGGTGGTGGCAATCCGTCAACTAAATGACAGTTTAAGTGGCGCAGATGAGAACAGGCTTATGGCAGCATTTGCAACAAGCCTGATTTTATCTCTGGGTGACATTTTTTCACCAACACGTACAGAAAATTGGCGAATATTCCTGCGCGGTGCAATTGTCTTACGAGAGCATCTTATCAACCAGCCTCCCACCTCGGAGCTAGAATTTTTGAGAAGACTGTGCCTATCGCTTCGGCTAATGGCAGCTAGTGAGATGAGCAGCATAGATATGGGTAAGGAGACAGCAAAAATCGCACCACCAGGATACATCTGCGACCTCGCTGGCTTTTCACCTTCCCTTGGGTCAATTCTCGAGCAAATTCAAGACTTTTGCCGCGAGTGCGACGCCCACCCAACCGCATTGCATGATCGCATTGGGCCATTGTATCAAACGTATGCACAGCTGGTCGACAAAATAAATCTGCTGTGTCGCCTACGCCTACGCGCACCCCTCTTTCGCCCAGAGGCTGCCAGGACGTTGACTGCCGAGATGAAACAAGACCTTTGGAACCTGGATGAAGCGTTCCACCACTCAGCGCTATTACAGCTGCATGCGCGTATGCATTCCGTGAGAACCCCTGTTACTCAAGCTATCCGTGCATCGGTATTGCGCATCATTGCATGTATTGGTTGTATGGACTTTACAAGGAAGCCGAATCCCGCTGTCAGTACCATTGGACCTCTGTATGAGGCTGGCAGAGCGGCTATAGTTCGAGAGGATCAAGAACAGGTGTTTGCGATTATACTGAGGATCCAAAAGACTTGTCCCGTTGCTAATTTTGCAAGGCTTGTTAGTATATTGCCGTTAATATGGGGATGGGAGTAATTTCATATTAGTAAATATTGTGTATTTTAAGATGTATAACGTGGTTCACGGGCGAGCGCCGCACTTCGTGTCATTTTTAATTGATCAACTTTAAACAATAATTCCACAACTAACAGTGATAGGAAAAGCCTCAAATGAAGCTAATGTTATTTCAGCTAGACAAGCTTTAGAGCATGATCCAAAAGTATCTATTCGAGAAGCTGCTCGAATCTACAACAGCTCCGATCGAACACTCCGCCGCCGACGCAACAAAATCCCTTGCCGAGCCGATACAACATCCAAATCTCGAAGATTGACAAATGAAGAGGAAAATAATCTAATAGGATATATTCTTGACTTCGATTCCCGAGCTCAGCCTCCTCGCTTGCGCGACGTTGAAGCTATGGCCAATCGCTTATTGGAGCTACGTCACGACATTCTAGTTGGAAGGAACTGGGTTGCAAGTTTCACCAGACGACAACCCGAAGTCGTCATGCGTTTATCACGTCAAATCAACTATTAAAGAGTTCAATGCGAAGATCCAGATAAATATCGAGCCTGTTTTGAGCTTGTGAAGAACACAATCGCGAAACATGGTATATCCGAAGCGGATATTTACAACTTTGACGAGACTGGCTTTGTAATGGGCATCATTTCATCGGAAATGGTTGTAACGAGCTCAGAAAGATCTCAAAAGGGGCGAAAAGCATAACAAGGAAATAAACAATGGGCAACTTTAATTGAATGCATCAGTGCAGGTGGCTACGTGATTCCACCTTTCGTCATCATCGCGGGCGAAACCTACCTCTCGTCTTGGTACGAAAATAGCCCATTGCCCAGCAATTGGGCGATTGGTGTTACTGAAAATGGCTGGAATACGAATGAGAGATACTTAGATTGGCTCTATCATTTTCAAAAGTATACAATTAAGCAAAAAAAGGAAAATATCGGCTTCTAATTCTTGATGGACACGAAAGCCACCAATCGACAGATTTTCAGCTATATTGCCAGCAAAACAATATAATTACATTATTTATGCCGTCCCATACGTCATATAAGCTTCAACCGCTCGATGTGGCCTGTTTTGGACCTCTAAAATGAGCATATGGTAATGCAATTAGTGATTTTATGCGCGTATACGTCACCCATATTACCAACGAAGAATTCTTCCCAGCTCTTTACGCAGCATACAAGGCTGCTATGACTGAATCAAATATACTGGGAGGTTTTCAAGGCGCTGGGCTTGCCCCATTCAATCCAGAATATGTGATTTCACAATTGGATACGAAATTCTTAACACCCTCGCCTCCTGGATCATCAAATGGGCTCGAGCTACCTTGGCTTCCCAAAACACCTAGCAACACAACCGAAGCTCTATCGCAAACAGAATATATTGAAAAAAGAATCCGAAGCCATAGGAGCAGCTGCCCAGCCGAAATTATTGAAAGTCTTAATCAAATGGCGAAGAGTATATCAAAGGCTATGCGACGGATGAAATCAAACACCTTCGAGAGGCTAATAACCGACTTTCACGCCGGAAACGCGTCACAAAACGACAACTACAGAGTGTAACAACCCTTACAGTAGATTCTGGCAAAAATCTAGCCTCCCAAACGCCTTCTAAGGTAAAAAGAGAACGCGACGAAGTTGTAAGTACAGGTCGACGGAAGCGAGTGGAAACACGGCGCAGACGCTGTGGAAAATGCGGCGAAATAGGTCATAATTCCAGAACATGCGAAAGAGAAGTGGAAGCCATTTCCTTAGATAGTTCAAAATAGATTTTAATTTTTCAATAATGTTTGGGGGTGATGCAGTAGTTTTTATAGGTTAAGGTCGGGAAGGGTGCGTCGCTCACCCGTGAACCACGTTATACTAGTCAACTATTAGCCTCACTGCTTGAGATGCCATATTCCAGGCGATTAGGTACTCTGTTGCCAGGCGATACAAGAACCTTGCTGCTTCGCGATATCTAGTGACCTTGAGCATCATCTTGAGGAAATTCTTTCGTTAACTCGGTCCTATGCCCGGGTTTGGAATTGACCCTAACATCTTCGATATAGAAGGGACCTGGGAGAGCGCAAAGTTCTTGTCTTAGTTAACCTGTAATGAATGTGACAACTGCTGATGTAGTAATGAATATAGTATACTATAACTTTATAACAGTAGCATATTAATCGATGAAAATCATACTTTCCCGGTGAAGAATCTGCTGATATTTTAAACAATTGTAATGAGAAATAACTCGTCCATGCCTTGACTGCTTCGACTAGCGGCGCGACCCTCTCTTGTTGTAGTTTGGCGGATGGCCCGAGTCACCAATATGACGGGTAATTTACGCTGCATTGTTCACAATCCAAATGACATTTAGCATAATACAATAGCCAGAGAGATGCATCAGGCCATTAATTTATCTCTGCCAGATCAGAATCCAATTTATTTCACTGTAAGAGCTCGCTGGCTGTCGTAATCACGTGATATGAATTTAATCATGGCGTGTCTCCTCTCCAGCAACGCCCAATTTGCTACCTGAAACCTGTTCATTTAGTACGGCGAAGGTGAACAGCTCATACACTCTCAATACTTTATATTCCCTCAGTATATCCGTACATTGACTGACGCGATGTCATGGCTATTTGCAGCCATCGGCTGTCTTGCCGCAGCTCTCATCGGTTACCAGGTGATGGAAGCCCGTCGACTGCAGCACATTCCTGGCCCCAGGCTTGCACCTTGGACGAATTTTTGGCTCGTTTACAGTCAACTCACTGGCCGTATACACCTAATTCTTCACCAACTCATTGAACAGCATGGTAAATTCTCATGTATACCCACTGCAAACCTCTGTACTCACGCTGACCGAATAGGGCCTGTTGCAAGAATTGCTCCAAAATGGGTTGTGTGCGGCGACCCTACCGAGATCCGACGTATCTGGGCTGCAAGATCTCCATGGATAAGAGGCGAATGGTACAGGGGTATGCGGATTGACCCGTACCGGGATAGCTCATTCTCCACTCGGAGTGACGATTTACATAGCGCGATCCGGCAAAAGCTTCTCCCAGGTTACAGCGGTCATGATGTCGACAACGTTCATGGGCTCATCGATGAGCAGGTCAAGCGGTTTGTCGACCTTATAGATACTTACCTTAACACCAGCGGTGGCTCACGTGTCATAGACATGGCTCAGAAGGTGCAGTACTTTGCTCTCGATACGATTTCATCTCTCGCATTTGGAGATTCGTTTGGATTTCTAAAGCAAGACGAGGACAAGTTTCGCTACATTGAAACGACGGGGCAAACTGTCTACATCCTTGTTGCAACAACGCTGATACCTGGCATGGTCCGCACGATGCAATCACCATACCTTAAATGGCTGGCACCGAGCGTGAAAGATATGGCCGGCATTGGCGACGTAATACGGTTTGCTGAGAGGGCTGTTGGGCAACGGTTCGGAGCCAATGCAATGATTCAACGTGATATGTTAGGTTCTTTTGTCAAACACGGACTGGGGCAAAAGGACGCTGAGGCTGAGGCACTTGTGCAGATTATTGCTGGCTCAGAGACCACTGCGACGGCCATTCAAGCAACCATCTTACACATTATTACCACCCCTCGTGTCTACCGACGACTGCAGGATGAAATCGACGAGGCAATCACAGCTGGCCGCATATCATCCCCCATCACCAATGACGAGGCAGAGAACTTTAAGTACTTGAAGGCGATTATTTTAGAGGGCATTCGCATATTTCCACCTGCTGCAGCGCTGTATCCCAAGGTATCTCACAAGGACCAAGTAATATGCGGAGTACACATCCCCGCGGGTACTAATGTTTCATGGTCGCCATGGAGTATCATGCGCAACGTGGCCATCTTTGGCAAAGATGCCGCTTTATTCCGGCCTGAGCGGTGGATGGAGGATAATAGGCCTAAGGATATGGAACGAACTGTCATGATGGCGTTTGCCATGGGAAGTCGTTGGGAGTGCCTCGGGAAGAATATTGCCATGGTTGAGCTTAACAAAATCTTTGTTGAGGTAAGTATTACTATTAGATGGACATTTCAAGCACGTTGGAAGTAGTACTGATATTTAATAGTTGTTTAGGCGATTTGAATTCACGTTGGCTAATCCGGTGAAGCCATGGAACTCGTTCAATGCAGGGATGTTCGCGCAGAGTGATCTTAATATCCTAGTTAGTAGAAGGGAGTCGCAGAAATCTAATGCATGACTGGGTAGCTGTATTCTTCTTGCATATACTTTAGCTAACTTAAACTTAATCTTTTGTTATAAAATTACTGTAACGAAGTCGCTTGCACTACGTAGGGCTCTATCCTATGTAGTAGAATAGTGGCGGTATAAGTGGACTAAGTCCAAGAGTAGTAGTAATAAAGAGTTGGTTAAGCGGTCGTTGAGGGGTTATCCTCAATTATCAAGTAATTGCTTAGATTGATCACTGAAGATCTGAACTATCCTAAAGGCTAACTAACTATCTACTTATGTAACGGTATCAACTGAGTATATTGACAACTAGCTGAGCGACTACTACGAGTATCCGAAGATGAAGAAGGAAGGATCGAAAAGGGGCTATTCCAGCTAGCTGGAATAGCCCCTTATATAACTTACATGGGTCCCTTGCCTAGATGGTATCACGACCTGCTGGATCGCTCTATAGTCTATCGGTCACAACACTTACGACAGTTATAATGTCGAAATAGTTGCTACGCAACGTGTTCGCTTGCTAACTAGCCAATAGAGAAGTTTCAACAACAAGTGTTTGCCAGCTGGCAAAGGAAAGCCGCCAGCTGGCAGAACCACAACAACCTTGTATATAAATAGAGAAGTGAACTGTGGAAGGAGGAAAGGGATTTGTCCTCCTTTAAGTTTGTTGTCTTTTTTCTATCTCATATATAGAACAGTCAACAATAGCATCACGTTTAGCGAACTTTTCTCGTACTACCTAGACAGCTACGTGACAAGATCAGCATGCCTACCCTACAGTATCTGAGGATCATTAACGCCAACGTCCACGGCACTAATACTCGTTCTTAGCATATTTCAAGGCTATGCGTAGAGTTAAATATACTAATACAGACATCTAGTCTTATGCAGAAGCGTCCTACGGGCCTTGAGATCAACAGGCGCTACTGGATCTCTAGCTTGGTGTGTCCTCGCTCAATAGATGGGTAGAGTATCTAGTTGCTAGAGAGAGCCCATATATTTACATGAAAAATTGACAATGATTGTCCCTAAGCAACTCATATCTACGCGTCGTCCTCGTTGACCCAGCCGTGGGACCTCCTGATTTGAACCGTGCGCAGGTTCTTCGCCATCTGATCCCATCCATCAGCCACCTCCTTCTTCAAAACCCTCGCAATATTTCGTTTAGTGTAGTAACTTCCCGACTGAATCTCGGCGTTATCCAAAGCATAGCGCAAGTCCACCCAGAGTCCCGGGGGCCTAGGTAAAATAGTAGTCAGCCCGTACCAGCTAGAAACGCTCAGCTCACCCACGCTGCGAGCCAACACGCGAAGATACATAAAGTATATAGAGTCGCTGCTATGACTCATACCACAGAGCTTTTCGTCTAACCTATCCTTCAGCTGGTGGCAGGCATACATGCCCCGAGCAAGCAAGTCTTCGTCGTTTTCAAGCACGTCGTTATCCTTGCAATCTGTGCTGTAGTCCTCAAACACTTCTCGGCCGAACTGCACGTAACCCGCTTTGAAGAACTGGCTTTCTTTCAAAGGATCTGGTACTGTTGTAGTGATAATTCTGCCACTGGCTTCGTACTCGTGCTTGTCATAGAAAATGTGCAGCTCGTCGGTGACATACTTGCTCGAAGGAACAAGGTGGGCATCAATGACGTTAGCCTGAGGATCTCGAGGAGCCGAAATGCAGCTGAATGCGTATATCGAAATGGCCATCATAATATTCCGGATCGCAGGAGAGTGATGTGAATACGAAACCCCCGCGGTGTATCGTGCTGCCTCGACCCATTCGTCAGGAACGGCGACAGACCCTGGACGAACAATGCGCAAGTGGATGGTGAGAAGCTTGAGGTGTTGTGGCTGATAAGGGAAGGTTCTCCAATATGGAAAAACGCCGATATCCTTGACAATCAGGACGTCTAGAACAAACGGGATGTCAACTTTGCCTGATTTCAGCTCTTGCTCTATCGCGAGATCTACCTCGCTTTGAAGCTGGCGGTTGGCGGCTCGCAGGCCGTTGCCGTGGAGGTATTGGTTTCTGCGCTGTGGGACGTAAAAGTTGGTTGCCTTGGGAAAGTCCTTGTCAAAGCAGTTGCGTAGACGTACGCTGTTGTCTATGAGCTCTTGGTTGAAGCATGGAGCGCTGCTGCGTCCGCAACAGATGACAAGGACGATGATGGCGCGCCGAAGCTCCCCCGGAAGCTGGAGAAGTCTGCTTGCTTCGGCATCTAGAGACATTTATTTAAACTGCACTGTCGATGGCAAGGACTGACGTTGGATAGGCTAAAGAGAACAGGTCATGTGTGTGTGTGTGAGAGAGAGAGCGTTGTGCGGGGGCGCTACGTAGCCAGTCTCCTTATGGGTAGCCACGTGAGCGGCAACATTGATCACGGCACGTCTGTGCTCTGTTTAGTGCAGCAAGTATATTATAAGGTGTATTCTCAGTGCAGGTTGATGACGTAAATTTTAGGGAATATTAATACGTATTTTTCCAACTTGGGACGGCTGTGCTGTGGGCAGCTACAAGGTGCTGGTCGCTCACTTACACGACGATACGGCAGGCTTGCTACTCTAGACCCTAGACGCTTATATCTATTCGCTGAAAGAATGGGTAAAAAGAGAACGCATGCAAGCTCTCCGGGGAAAGCGATTGTCGCTTTTACTGCTAAAAACTATGCCTACAGCTATTGACTATCTTCCACATGTCTTGCCCATGAAGCCTTGAAACTTATCATCGAGCTTCTTGATAGTAGCACCCGACTTTTCAATCAAGTCTTCTGAGATTCCCTTTCGAGCAGCCGCAGCGTCCTTGAAGCCCTTGGCGTCCTTGAGCGATGAGCCGTCCATGACGATACCCAGGACGTCCATGAAGGCGTTAGTGTTGTGTCGCAGCGCGGGTTGCTCGGGCAGATGTCCTCCTCATCGTCGCAGATGAGAATCTCTGGGTCGCTTTCGTCGCCCCAGACGGCCAAAGCGCTCCAGAATGGATGTGAGTTAGCCTGCATATTGCTCTTGGCTGCTTCAATGACGCTCTTAGAGTCGCTGATCATCTCGACTGTGCCTATAGTCAGTAGGGTGGTAAAGGTCTCTATTTATTCTAGCAAAGTTAGGGTGGTAAAGGTCTCTATTTATTCTAGCAAAGTTATACTACTCTAAATAACTACCAAAAGTACAGGTAAAGTAAGTAAAGAAAGAAAAAGAAAGAAAGTTGAGAAGTTAAAAGACTGTTGAAGTGTTTTAGAGTCTTGGAGACTTGGGTAGAGTGGTTTGCTGTTAAGAGCGATATTGTAGCCTTGATAGTATTATAGTAGTGGTACTCTTCGGTTTTATATGTTGCGTGGTCTGTTTAGTGCTGTTGTTTTGGAGCGGTTTTTCGGGTTTCTTTGAGCCGTTTATTGAGGTTGTTAGTTGGCGATCGATATAGCTGCTATCATGCGGGCTCGATTTAGTATAAGACCAATCGTTGTGTCGAGATAGTTAGCAGCGTAAGGGCTTAGAAGCGCTTGCAAGCCTTTGTACGTTTGCGCTGTCTCCTTTTCCATCAAGCCGCCAGCTAAGAAGATAAGCGGTTTGAAGAACGTACCAAGGCAGCTATATTTGAGCTGTTTTGCCTTGTAGGCCTCGGCGAGCGTGTTCTGGAGCTTGTCTTTCGCTGACGCTTTGTTGACTGCCACGACTTGGATGTCGTAGTAGTATTTGCTCGAGCCGAGCGTAATAGCGAAGTCGACGTGCTCGTTGACTCCTGGGATGGCTACCTCTGGAGCGACTTCAAGATCTTCCCGGCAAGTAAGTGTTTTAGTAATAGCTCGGTTGATCTGGTCGTGGCGTGCTTGGTAGCGTCTTTGGGCGGCTTTGTATGTATCTTGGTGGTTGATGGCGGTACGTGCAGCGCAGTGTGTACAGGGTAAGTCTAGTGGCTTTATAGGTATTAAGAGCCTGTTTCGGAGTCCCTCGGTGATTTCAGCGTCGGTGAACATGGTGTTGGGACTTGTTGGTAGAACCTCGATCCAGCGACGACCCAGGTAGCTTGCGTTTTCGGCGAGAGCATTGCGCTCGAGTTCGGAGATTAAGTCGAGGCTCTTGAGCTGTTCTGTATAGAAGCTCTTAAGCACGCTTTGCGCTGTTTCGGCCGGGTGGGCGGGTTCGACTAGTAGTAGTATAGTAGGTGTTGTCTTACCATGTAGAATGAACTATATAGTAGTAGTATTAGCGTCGCGAGCGGCTATATAGAGCTATTTTGCTACTTTCGCATGTAATATAAGTCCGAGTCCACCTTGGCGGGCTGGGATACTAATTAAGGCAGCATGCTCTATATTGATTGGCTGGAGTCGACGAGACGCGATGTGGCCTAGTGCGGCGATTGTAGCGGCGTCGGCTTGTTGCCATAGTTCTATAAGCCCGCGCGGGGCGAGCTGGCGGAGCAAGTGGCGTAGCAGGTGGTTAATGCTACCTTTAAGTAGCAGTAATGCATGCTGTTTGGGCAGCGTGCGTAGAGTGAGAAGGATAGAGTTATACTTGTCGATCTTCTTCTCGAGGAACGTTTTTCGAGCAGCTCGTGGCCCCACAAACGAGCCTAGCACCGGCAGGCCTGTAGTTCGAAGGTCTTCGATCTTGTGTTCCTTGGTTTTACGTATGTTGAGTTCAAGGTTGTGTTCGGTGAAGGTTTCTAGGAGTACTGGTTTGATTTCCGGATCTTTACGCGAACCAAGTACATAGAGGTCGTCCAGGTAAGCGAAAATGCGGGAGTTTAGCAGCTTTCTTTGGAGCGCTTCGATAGTTGGGCGCTACGAGAGCGAGTAGAGCAGACTAGCGAGTGGATCGCCTTAGCGTACACCTTGCGCAGAGGCTAGAGCTGTGCCGTCTGAGAGTACAAGCAGCGCCGGGTGGTTGAGTGCCCAGGCAGAGGCTTGTAGCAGCGTGGGCGCATGGTTGAGGACTGCTGTTGCGATAGTTGTACGGTCGCGGTTATTGAAGGCGTTGCTTTCATCGGCCGAGGTGATAGTGTCGAACTCGGTAGAGTCGCTCATAATGACGCTTTGGAGCGCAAAGATGGCGGGTTCGACGCCGCCGGGGGAGCTGACGCCGAGCTGGTTCGGGAGTAGCATCTCGGGGCGGAAGAGCGTGGCAACAACAGCTTTCATGGCGATTCTATAGATCATGTCACCGATAGCGATAGGGCGGATACCGCCATCGTCTTTTTCCAGCGCGATGAGGCGTGATGCTGTAAGGAGGTGCGAGCCTTTCGCTGTAGCTAGTCGGATGCCCTCTGCAATATGGCGGATCATAGCAAGCACGCCGGTGCGCGTAGAGCCGTCTGTTTCGTCTGCTGTCGCAATGTCGAGAAGCGAGCGCGTCCAACCGCTGAGACCAGGGGCCTTTTCTTTACTGGTGGTACGGATCGCTGTGCGGATGGCATCGATCTTGATAGGCTGGCCTGCGTGTGGGCGGGCTCTAATCTGGAAGGGGTCTTTGGGGCCGATTGGGTGCTTCTGGCAGAGCTGTGCTTTGAGTTCTGGAGTGAGCTCTGCGAGAGGCGCCTGGTCGACGAGCGCTTGTGATTATAGGCCTTTTTCCGTACCGTTGGTTTGGGGGTAGAGTGAGCTTTTGCTCTATTAGCCAATCAAATCACTCCACTGCCCCCACTTCTGGACAANTCGGCCGAGGTGATAGTGTCGAACTCGGTAGAGTCGCTCATAATGACGCTTTGGAGCGCAAAGATGGCGGGTTCGACGCCGCCGGGGGAGCTGACACCGAGCTGGTTCGGGAGTAGCATCTCGGGGCGGAAGAGCGTGGCAATAACAGCTTTCATGGCGATTCTATAGATCATGTCACCGATAGCGATAGGGCGGATACCGCCATCGTCTTTTTCCAGCGCGATAAGGCGTGATGCTGTAAGGAGGTGCGAGCCTAGGTATTATTCCCTGTTGGTTTGACCTGAATTCCCCATACAAAACGGGCTAAGTGGTCCGAGCTTTCATGTCAAACCAATTCATGTCAGACCAACGCGTTGATTGGCTGGAGGATGTTTTGGATCCACTTGCCCAATTAGGTTGGGTTAAGGGTTACCATACGTTAAAGGGTTATTAGATGGCGTTAGGGTTCATAGATGCATGGTAGGTACGATACGGCCGGCAGGGGTTACGCGCTTCCCATAAGATTCGCGTCGTGCATCGTGATGTGACTGTATTGTAGTTGTAGTTTGCAATTGAAGCAATACACAGATGGAATCAATGCCGAAGAAATGATTCCGCAGATAAAATACGACGAGCAGTTCAGAGTCATCATCTGCGATAGATGCAAATTTGTTATTCTACCAGGCAAAGCAGCTGAAACCCATTTTCGGAGCCATGGTTTCAAAGGGCAAGAGTTAGTAGAACGGCTACACTACATTGAGGTTCTGGCACCATCTATTGATTGTAACCCAGAGCGGCGAGCGGATGGCAGCAAAAAGCATCCACTACTCATAGATCATAGCGGTTTCAGCTGTACGCAGTGCCGCTTCTTGACAACCAGTCCGTTCAACACTGCAAGACATTGGCGCCAAGCAAAGCATCAAGGTAGCAGCACATTCGTGCAAGTCAAGCTGCAGAGCTGGCGAGCAAAGAAAGAGGCAGACTACTGGATTGTGGCTGATGAAACTGATGGACAAGCAGCCGCTACAGATATGCAGCCAGCAGATGATGCACTCAGCCAGATTGTCAGCCAAGCCAGCCAGCAAATCAGGGGAGAGACCAAAGCACGGCTCGAGATTGGAGATGGACAAACAGGGCTGGATCACGATTCGACATGGGTGAAAGAAATGAAGTGGGCCATGCATTTCGTTGGCAAGAACTTGGTGGAGATCTACGATGCGGCCCACCAGCCGGGACTTACATCACTACTAGAGACGATTACACCGGAGAGCACGCAGGATGAGAGAGACTACGCTCGCCATGTTGCGCTGCTGTACGAGAGCTTTGACCGTGAGGTTGACCGATGCAGCTGGCGCGTGGACAGCGTACCGAAAGAGACATTACAGTGTTTAGGCGGCATCACGAAAGGCCAGCCATCAGGAAATCCGTTTACAGTTCAGAAGCAAGACAGAAGCTGCAACAAGTATCTTACCGTCGCACGCCGATATCTGGCTTTCTGCTGGCGTGCGTATAGCATGGGTCGTACGAGCGCAAAGGAGAAGCTGGGCATGGTATTTACCGACGAGCAGTGGGGTCTTATGGTTGACATAGCGCTGGAGCTGGAAAACGACGAGCTGCGGATTCGTGGCGCAAGTAATATTGTCCACAGCAGCGACTATAAGGCATCTGATGATAGTGGCATCTTCGACGTCGACGACAACTACAGCGACGTGGGCTCGGACGATGGGCAAGATCGAACAGATAGAGCTGGTGAGCTGCCACCGCTCGAAACGCTAGGGCTGGACCAAGTAGTGTTCCGGTTTATGGCTGCATCGATTAAGACTAAGGTTGCAGGCGCCATGTACCGGAACTCGCTGCTGTGCTTTTGCGCCGCTGCGGGTGTACGCAAGCAGCCGCTCGGATACTACGAAGTATACTTATATACTGCTGTTCTTGCTGCTCTGCAGTGGACTATGCGGATCTTCTTTCTCGAGTTGTGCTTCCAAGATGAGCTGCGCGACGTGGATAGCATTACTTATGATGCTATGGAGGCATTCCGGCTGCAGCATGAAGAGTAGATGTGTCTTGGCACATACACTGTAATGAATCGCATCATAAACTGGATGGCATACGGCAAGGGCCATCGCAACAAAACTGGCGGGGCGCCAACCGTGCACTGGAGCGAAGACGAACAAGTACTGCACCATAGCGGCGAGCGGCTTGTTATGCATGACTTCCAGGCCGCAGCGTGTTAACTGATGCTTGATGCTGAGAAGGCTATGGACGAGCTATTTGCAAGAGGCTAGGGTCATATAAAGAGCGAGATCGACATGCTTCGCATAGTGGATAGCATGATCAGCGTCGGAGCTGGAAAGTCGTTTGTTGACCATGAGAAGAACCAGTGGCTTCAACCAGGGCCAGAGAAGGTTGTCTACGCTATGCAGAAAGCTATCTTTGACAAGACAACATGCACATGGAAGTAAAAGGGCGTGCTGAAGTGGCTGAGGCAACTGCGATAGTTCCGTGAGCTGCTTATGATCATCGTGCACGTCTGGAGCGGGCAGCCAGGTCGGGGACCCGAGATTACAACAATGCGCCACTGCGACGGCTAGCAGGTGCTGCGAAACGTGTTCATCTATGATGGCCAAGTTATGATTGTAACGGATCGCGACAAGATGAAGGCAATCCGGGATCTTGGCCGCAAGGTAGCAAGGTTTCTGCCGGATGATGCTAGCCGGATGATGGTCGCGTACATTGCATGGCTACTACCAGCCGAGCTGCTACTGACAAGAGTCTGTGGTCTGAAAGAGCCAGTACTAAAGGTTTATGAGTTTATGTGGCGGCATAGGGCATTGTCAGTGTGGGGGACGGATCGTCTGAGCTCTGTAATGATACTTCATATGCAGAGACATATCAAGATGCGCATGGGCGTAGCCAGATATCGGCCCATAGCCATTGAGATGGGGCGTCGGATTCGCGGGCTCGTTATGAAGCAGGTTGAAGGATTAGCCGGCGAGAACGACGAGGAAGGCGTGGAAATAGACGAGATGACGGGCGATGTTATTGACGTTGGCGGGAGCTGGAATATTGTATGGGATCTGTAATCAACACACGGCACCAAAATGGCACGCATGGGCTATGCAGTACATGTAGGGTTAGGGTTAGTAGGGTTAGTAGGGTGGTAAAGGTCTCTATTTATTCTAGCAAAGTTATACTACTCTAAATAACTACCCAAAGTACAAGTAAAGTAAGTAAAGAAAGAAAAAAG